ATGATTGATGATTGATGATTGATGATTGATGATTGATGATTGATGATTGATGATTGATGATTGATGATTGATGATTGATGATTGATGATTGATGAATGATGATGGCCTCGCACGAGTAAACCTGGCAGTTCTCCTCAACCAAGAACAAAGATATAAGGATCAAGTCGATAATACCTAGGTATTTGATCCAGCACCCCGCTTCCGATATAACCCCCCTCCGCACACCAGTGACAAGACGAAAGAGTTTCGGCAGCCTGGGGATCAAATTGATTACTGTGTCCAGTACATTTCGTCATAGGCTCAACTACGCAAAAGAAAAGAGGTGCTACGCGTAACGATGTAATTATTGTATTTACTCTGTAGAATTGAGCCAGTGTTCCTCCTGTGCACGCAGACTTTCGACGCTACTGCGATCATCACTGCCCGCCAATTTGGCCGATATTTCGTAGCCTCGCCTGGTGAGGACCCAGTGAAGATACTTGTAACTACTTCTGGCACCCTCGGCGGTATGGACATCCAACGTAGCTTTAGAACTGGGGCATGTCGGGATGATCGAATCACGATCGTAGATGAACCGCATAGCCACGAGCATCCAGGACGTGCCTGAAGCCCCTTCAACCTTCACTGCTCGATGAATCCACCAACCCCAGGAAACCATATCATACTCATGCCCATCATCTGAGGAGCGCAAAGTAATGTGGCCATAAGAATGAGCCAATGCCTTGGCCCCATGTATTTGCACATCCACCGGCTGGATGAAATGTGTCGAAGATACTCTGTTGGCCATCTGCTTGGACTCTCTAACGAATTTGTCAATCGTGCCAGAGATCCTGTCTACAGGTTAGTCTCTCGACCCTTGGAGCCGTCAGCCCGAACAAGAAGCAGTTTTACCAGGCAATCTCTATCCAGGTCTTTTCATCGTCATCGTGATACGTTCGGCGCCATTTATCCCACTGAAAGGTGTCTTTGTAGAATCTCTCTCGGAGAACCAGCGACCGGATCTCGAAGTCCTCAGATGATTGGGACTGCAGAGCCATTTGTGCAATTGAATCCCGTCGGGATGACTCTTTGCCTAGATTCACGAGCAGCAAGCGAATAAAGAGAAACACAGGCAGGGATAATAGAATTCTACCTTAGTAAGGAGGTTCTCACGAGACCATGACCGTCCACGAAGTTATCACGTGCACCTCTGCTAATCTTCAAGTGTCTCGGGAATTGGGATCCATGAAAAGTCCATAGTGTGCATTCGACCGTTCGGTCGGAACCCGCAGGGACATCCGCGGACGTTAAATCTCTCTCCGAGGCCTCGAAATCCAAATTTTGATGGCTGGTGGATGATCTCCAATTTCTCGGCAGCGGACCATCAAATCACAGTGGAAGACCTGTATATCGACCACGTGATCGACAGAGGAGATCACCAATGTCGGGCCTTGGAGGATGTGGTTAGCGTGGTGGTCACGTGATTGTCGCAACGCGCAGCTGGTAGCCACAGCACTTGCTTGTTTCTTATTAGGTTTCAGTTACACAGATTGCACAGCATAACAACATCAATTATTGCACAGTCAGCCTTACATCCAAATTAGCTTTTTCCTCCCTTGTCGGGCCATTTCTACACTACATCACTTATGAATTATCGAGAAAGCTGGATCATGCTAGATCGAGTTTCACGGGCGCGTCGATTTGTGCGCGATGTATGTAACAGTGCCTATCTACCGAAGAATACCCGTTATAACCAATGCTGCTGATTGATCTCCCGGGCTACCCATTTGGTTTGTGCTACACCTTGACGTGGACCGATTTGACTTGCGTGAAAGAGAGCAACTCTTCCAGGCAATCCTCTCGCCCAATCCCCGACTGTTTGTATCCTCCAAAAGGCATCGAAAGGAAGTGCGTACCCACGTTGTTCACCCACACAGTGCCAGACTCAATTCGGCGGACTGCCTTTTGCGCAGTCTTCATGTCGGACGTGTAGACTGCGCCTGTCAAGCCATACTCAACCCCGTTAACCTCCTCGTACATCTTTTCCTCGTCCGACCACTTTAGCACGGAGACTATCGGACCGAAGACCTCCTCCGTAGCGATTTTCATGGTCTGCTTGACGTCTGCAAAGATCGTCGGCTCGAAGAAATATCCGCCCTTTGTCTCGTCGGTAGTTGGAGGCGAGCCGCCAGTGACTAACCTTGCACCTTCGTCTTTACCCAGCTGGACGTATCGACGTACACGGTCCTGCGCAACTTTACTGACCATCGAGCCCATCGTTGTCCGGGGGTCTAAGGGCGGACCAGGCTTGTACGATTTTTTCAATTTTTCTGTAACCTTCTCTAGTACCTCGTCGTGTAGAGATTCGTGCAGAAAGATGCGCGAAGTCGATCCGCATGATTGTCCGCACCAAGACCAGTTCATGCCTGCCACGACACCGTCGACTAGGCTATCGATATCCGCATCTGGATAGGCGATCAAAGGGTTTTTGCCGCCAAGCTCGTAGGCCGTCTGCTTTAGCGACTCTGCCGAGGCCTTTTGGATTGCTCGACCAGTTGGTAAACTACCGACCAGCGTGATTTTCTTGACCATAAGGTTCGTGGAGAGCTCTTTGCCGCATTCGATACCACCGGTAACGACGTTCAGCACGCCCGGGGGGAAGATGTCGCCAATCAGTTCCATGAACCGTAGTGCCGATAAAGGCGCCTGCTCCGGCGGCTTGATGACGATTGTATTGCCCATCGCCAGCGGCGCGGCCAGCTTAAACCCAGTGAACATAAGCGGGTGGTTCGATGCGACGATTCTCGCGACTACCCCTAGCGGCTCACGTAGAGTATAGTTGAACGTCGCCTCACCAAGGTCCATCGTCTCACCGGTGATAGCGGGGATTAAGCCAGCAAAGAACTCGATATGCTCAGCAGCAAAAATGGCGTCTCCAGCCATGATAGTGATAGGACTTCCGATATTCAGCGCATCAAGCATGGCGAGCTCGACAGAATGTTTGCGTAGAACATCGGCCACTTTTCTGAGTAGCTTTCCTCGTTCCATTGGCGGGGTCGCCCGCCATGCTGGATAAGCCGCTTGTGCGGCTTTTATAGCCGCCGCTGTGTCCTTTTCTCCAGCGAAAGCGACCTTGGTGATCACCGTACCGTTGCCTGGGTTCCAGGTTTCGCGGTACTGTCCGTCCTGCGGCTCATGCCAACCTCCATTGTAATAGAGGGAGGTATGATTTGGCATACATTTCTCGATTTTTGGGAGTTCTTTCGGAAGAGCAGCAACCATTGTCCCAGTTGTGTATTGAAACTGCTTGAGTTTTGAGATAGCTAGTAGATTCTCCTTGTGGCGCCTACACAATATTATAGCAAGTCTCCAGACACTCTTTATACACCATTCCAAACGTGAACAACTCTCGATGAACCTAGAGATCCGCCGAGTTCGCATCAAACAACTGCCCGAGAACCTTGGCTAGGGACGGGGCTATTAAAACATGAAGGCAAGCCGACATACCCTCCACATTCCGACACACGCGCATGGCATGGCTGTACGGGCCATCATTAATGCCGCTAGACTGGTGACCGGATTCGGCTGTGAGGAGAGCGAATTCAAGCTAGTGAACCGACCCAAGTGAGCCCGACTCGTGTCTCTGAAAACCGAACCCAGGGCTAAAAGGAGAGGTAAAAAGTTGAAGTTTGATTCTCTGCTCATCTTCATCAAAAAACTGAATCTCTACTATGGCGACCATTCTTGATTTCGAGATAGGTCCCGTCGGCTTCGGCCTTATGGGCCTTACTCGCCCTATTGACCCTATCTCCCAGGAACAGGCATTTTCGGCCATGGACGCAGCACTCAAATACGGATCAAATTATTGGAACGGAGGCGAGTTCTATGGCAGTCCTGAGAGAAATACTCTACATTTACTCAATGAGTACTTCACTGAGAAACCAGAGAATGCATCCCGGGTATTGCTCGTCATCAAAGGTGGCCGAACTCCCGGTACACTAGACTTTGACGGTTCGGAGAAGGGTGTAATGCGGAGTGTCAACGAGTGTTTAAGAGTCCTCGATGGCAAGAAGACTCTCGACATCTTCGAATGCGCTCGTGTTGACCCTAGCACTCCTATCGAAGAAACGATAGGAGTGCTCGCTAAATGCGTTCGAGAGGGCAAGATTAAAGGCATCGGATTGAGCGAGGTCAAGGCGGAGACGATCCGGAGGGCTGCTAAGGTCCATCCGATCGCGCAGGTCGAAGTCGAGTTATCACTGTGGACGACAGATATCCTGCGGAACGGAGTTGCGCAGACATGCGCCGAGCTGGGCATCCCAATCCTGGCATACGCGCCGCTCAGCCGTGGCGGCCTCACCAAAGAAGTCTCCGAGAAGAGCGAGAGTGAGCTTCCTCCGCATCTCAAGATCTTCCCACGCTTCCAGGGCGAGACGCTGGAGACCAACAAGCGCCTGACAAAGGAGGTCGACAAGATGGCGGCGCGGAAGGGATGCACGACGCCCCAGATCGCGATCTCATGGATCAGATCCTTGAGCGGCAGGAATGGTCTAGGGGTTATCATTCCTCTTCCGGGCGCAGAGAAGGAAGAATGGATTCGCGACAACACTACCCGGGTCGAGCTGACGCCAGAAGATTTGAAGGAGTTGGATGACATTGTCAGCAAGGTACCCATCACGGGTATGCGGTATGGAGGCGTCATTGAGAAATTGAATGAAGGCTAGAGGAATGGTCCGCATCGCGTTATAGCAGCCAACGGCTCCCGCAGACCATGGTCGACAGTTTCGAGAGTTTCTCGCGCATTCTGTGCTAGTTGTCTTTGGCTCGTAGAGATACCTGTGACTCCATTTTTCGAGCATTGGCCCCGCAGTATCCGGTAAATGTGCCAACAATTAAATTGACGTTAGCCCGGAATTTGCTCTTCGATAAGGAGTAATCCAACGCATGACATGAATAGCGAGTATGAAATCCATTCACGTAGAAGGCGCCACTCAGCGCCTCCAGAAGCCAGCCTGTGCATGTCATTCGCGATGACCAGCGCTTCGGGTATAGAAGGGCCAGTCCCGACCGGAGCTTCAACTCTGTCCGGAAGTAAAGCGTGCTTCCCCATTCATTGCCCGTGAGAAGTCTTTGTGCTCAAGCAGTACTGCACAGTGCTCTTTGCCCAGAAAGAGACCGCCTCTGGTGAATTTGGATATATTCGTGGATGCGCGAATAGCGTAGGATGTGTGTGTCGTGGGGGGTTCTTCTCAGAACATCACAGTGTCCAGATCCAAAGGACGTTTTCAATAATGCCATCATTGCCATTTCCCACGGGATACCCTGTGAAGGTCTTCGCCCTCCCCACAGGCCAGCTTACACATCCTGACCGGTGGTTATTCGAGGATGGTGATGAGGATATAATCAAAGCAAGCAATCCATACCCGGATTACAGTTTTCTTATCCAACACCAAGATTCCGGCAGGAACGTCCTTTTTGACCTAGGTTTGATGAAAGTGAGAAAGAAATCATCCATCCACTTCGACATAGCTGACCCTTTCAGGACGAAAATCTTATGCCAGCAGTGATTAGAGGTCTATCCCACATCACCAAGCCTTACGTGCCCGAGGATGCCTTTGATATTCTCAAAAGAGGGCCAGTTGCTCCCTCGAGCATCTCAGATATTACTTTTAGCCATCTGCACTTCGATCACATCGGAGACTGCACCAAATTTCCTGACGCACGGCTTCTTGCTGGACCAGGCAGCAAGGCTGCCAACGGACCTGGATGGCCTACACTTTCCAAGTCGCCATTTGGGTCTGCCCCTATCCAGCATCCCAAGTATTCTGAACTCAGCTTTGAGGAACATAGCTGGTCGCCACTTGGCCCATTTGATAGGGCATACGACTTCTTCGGCGACGGGACTTTCTATCTCATCGACACTCCAGGCCACATGGCCGGACACTTGGGCGGTCTGGCATTGACGGGGTCAGACGAGTGGCTTTTCATGGGCGGCGACTGCTGTCATCACCGATCCTTACTCTTCGGGAGTCGACCCATGAGTGTGACTTGCGGCCCTGCGGGACAGCCTGGGTTTCATCGGGATCCTGAAGTCGCGAAGCAGACGATTGCGAACATTCGCAAGCTGGAAAAGTCGGACAACGTCTTTGTGGCGCTGGCTCATGACTCGTTCTTGGTAGATATCATGCCAGAATATCCAGAACCTATAAATGGATGGTCTCAGAGCCAATGGAACAAGAACCTACAAGGAGTTCTGGCCCAGAACTATGAATGACAAGAGATTGAGTGGAGGGATCTGACCTCAATGACTCGGGTCGATTAGAGTTAACAACAGGAGAAAAGATGTTGGGGCGATAAGCGCCAGCAACGGCCTACGAGCAACAGCATGATCGGGAAACTCAAGCGCCCAAAGGCTGTGACGCGGGACTGTACCGTAAACTCAACATACAAGTAATCTAACGTGGGGAATTTGTGAAGCACATTCGGAATTCATCATCTCTACCTAGCTCTTTATCCCAAGTGCAGTAGGATTACCGTAATTGTCTTGGCCGCCCGTTTTGGTGATAGCCTCACCAAATCCTCTGACCTTTAGCATTGTCGCTACCCACATTATTGAGTAACTGGCGGCTGGCCCTTGAAATATTGCTTCTTTGATGAGGCTGTCACAAAAATGGGAAGACTAAGACTCTTAGGCTAATCCTGCTGCACTTGGGATAACGAACCAAGCACAATATGGTCTACCAGTCCAACCTGATGTCTCTCTGACATTCTACGTGACAATTTGTCCGGACGTCTCATTCAGAGCGTGTAACGGTATTCAGGGTGTTTGTCACCCAATGCATCCTTCTCAGCCTGTGGGAGGGCTAGAAGGTGATCACGCTTGCCTTCCGCCTTCTGCTTATTCTCATACCGAAGATATACAACGTTGCATGTCGCTGCCACCATCGTCAGGATGACCATTGAACATGAGACCGAATATCCGGTTCGATAGAGTGGCGCCTCATCTGCCAAGTAGACATTGCTGCCCAGGATGCTGCCGCAGTTGCCGAATGCGAGCATGATGGCTGTGGAGATACCACGCCGCTTCTGCCCGACGATGTTGTTATTCAGCCAGGTCAGCGAGACGGTGATGGCGGCAAAGGCACCATTGATGATGAAAAAGAGCGCCATGTATCTAACCCCGACGCTGACATGGATTTGAGCGAGCAATATGACGTATCCTATGACGCAGACAGAGAGCGGACCAACCGAGAAGGCCCATCGATGGTTGGTGATGTCTGACACGTAGCCGAGGGTAACGGAAGTAACCACCGAGCTCATCCAGATGGGGATGGTCATATACTGGGCCTTAAGCGACGTCCACCCAAGACCCTTTAGGATGCTGGGGAGGAAATAGGACGAAGAACTCCCTGTCACTGCGGTTCCGAAATACATCAAGGCGCTAGATGAACATCAATATAAACCCTTTGCACGAGATCGTGGACATGCCTGAAATAGACTTTAGGGTCTCTGAGACAGTCCTTGAAGACCTGCAGGCTTGACTTGTCTTCAACAAATTCTTTAGTATCTCGAGCCAGCTTTCTAAGGAGTACTGTTCGCTCGGCGTCATTGAGATGCTTCGCTTGTTCAGGCCAATCCGGTAGAAAGAAAAATGTCGCGACAGCCACGATGCAGGTAACAAGACCTTCAAGGATGAAAATCCATCTCCATGCGCTGTAGCCACCGACGTCTTCCATGTGAGCAATAGCATAGGCAAGCAACTAGAGGCAACGAGGTCAGTCATGTCTGATTGTAACTCATGTGGGATTATAGACTCACTCCGCCAAAGGCACTCGAAACAGAGCCTGCTGCGTAATAGATGTTCATGCGTGCATGAAGTTCGTAGCGACTGTAGTACATTGCTAGAAGGAAGATGGCGCCCGGGAACTGTTACGAAAGAGATATGGACTCAGTACAAATCGATTCGAGCACATCGTCGCTGACAATAGAACTGAAGGCGGGGGTAGCAAGTTTGCAAAGTTAATAATGTGGTGACTTACGTAGCCAGCCTCCAATGCACCCAGAAGCACTCTGCACACAACGAGACCGGCATAGCTCTGGGTGACACCCTCTCCAACAGTAACAACCCCTTGACCATGGTCAGCATTATAGATAATCCCAGGTGCGAAAGTAAACTCACCCCAGGAAAATATAAGAACGCTTAGGTATCGTGAGGGTCGCAGGTGTTTCATAATCATATTCCAGGGGACGTCAAGGATGAGGTAAGGGATGAAAAACATGAAGAGTGCGATGTTGTATTTCGAGCCATCGAGATCCAAGTCGGCGGCCATGCCTTGAATTTTCGCATTGCCGATATTAGTTCTGTCTAAGAAGGCCACGATGAGAAGGAGGCACAGCATTGGCAACAAGATGCGGTCGGTCTTATGCAAGACCTTACGCTCAGCGTCATGGTCGTAATCTTGTGTCGAGATCTTCTCGATTTGGTCTGGTGATTCCTCGATGTAAGCCTTTGCTTTGATCTCGGCATCAGCCTCATAGGTGGTCGCCGGAGGAACAGTTTCCATCTTGACAACAATTAATAAGAGTCAGTTAACCAAAGTACGATGGAGCCGTTAGGTAGAAATTAAGGACGGTGGAAGTCTGTACTTTGCAGCCCAGAATCAAGAAGGAGACGGGCCTCCGATCTAGTAAAGACGAGATATATGTCTCTCCAGCGTTGCGGGCATAGCCTACCACCCGTTCTAGTGAGCTTTGCGGATATCGTCCTAGGAGTCCGACTTGGTTATTCTCTTCGTTGCCATGCAGAAGCTCATTAAAATTGGCAAAAGCTGATATAGGTACCGGCAGTGACCACTCGTATTCTCCCGCGTTATTGGAAGTGGTGTGTGCCCCCGTTCGGCGGAGCTGGCTACATCCGAGGGGATGCTTTTTAAGATCCGGATGAGATGGGGAAATATCTCAAACCTCCGATCATAGCGCTCAGCCCTGGAGTTGACACGCACCAAGCCAACCCTACAACTAACACATGTCGGTCCCAGACACTGTTGCTCATGATCAGCTGGAGTAGATTGCATGGATGTGCCACGACTCTCGTCCCGGGATTGCAGCTGCAACGGTGACTAGCTCTCCCGACTTGCACCCGGTCGAAGGAGCGGAGTTGGCAGAATGCTCATCTTGCAGTCTCAGTCACTTCCTCGCCAATATGCACATGAGGATGTGCATTACTGCCTAGGCCAGAGATGAGTAGAGGTAGGATCCTCAAAATGCACATCATGCCGTCGCTGCGCACGAGAGAGACGAGTTGGATAATATTTCTCTTGTCGATCAAAGTACAATCACGAAATATGAAGCAAGCGATACATTTCTTGATAGAATGGAATAAGAGAGTATTCTGCAGGGAGCATGGTGGAGCTCATATCCATCACGCTAGCAAATAATCTAACATCTGTATGGTTTTCATCCATCCTCTCTGCAATAAGTATGCAAGAGCCAGTGTGGTGTCAAACCAGATAAAGCCATATTGTTCATCTCATTCCTGACTCTACATCTTCAGAGAGACCTTTCAACATTTCCCACTTCAATAGTTAAGAGGCACCACATGGCCAGCCCACGCGCGTAGTCTAGGACCAAATCTTTGGACGATAATAGCAAGGACGAAAACGGAAACCACGACGACCGCTTGCAGACCGAATGCCAGTCCGTACCCTTGTTTAGCCGTCCAATCTGGTTCGAAGTACCCGCAGGAGAAGCCAGCAGATACACGTGCCATGTTGATGAGAGCAGAGACCTCTCCGGAAGCCGTGGGGTAGCAATCTAGCACAAATGCTACGGTTGCTACTGAGGTTATCATGACACCGAAGCAGGTTATCCCCCAGCCGAACACGAGTCCTGCGACGTTGAGTCTGTGTTCGAGAGTCTGACCTACGAGGACAAGGCCGGGCACGATAAGCGCTAAGCCTAGGAACGTAGTCCAAAGTCGAACCTCGGGGACAAACAGACCGTTATGACGGCGCGTATAGCGTGCTGCAATATAGTCGTTAAACCAGTGACCAAAGATTTCACCGAGGATAACGCCTGCTATAGGGGTGAAAAAAACGTAGCCAACAGTAGCAGCTGATAGGCCATAGCCGCCGAGTTCGCGAGGTGTGCCTAGAAGGATACTCGAAGACAGCGTCAGACCGATAAACCACATGAAAATAGCGGCATAGAAGACCATCGTTAGTGGAATAACAGGCTTCAGAAAGACGGCGACCAGGCGGACGTAGGAGCTTAAGACCGTGCAGAAGTATCCTTTATGGTGCCGCAATTGCCAGGTGCCAAACACACGTGTAAGCCGCTGAAGTTGGCCGTGCTTGCGCGGAGGTTGTTGATCAGCGGGCACCGCACGATTATAGTAGCTTTCATCCCCAAACACCAGGATCATACAGATCAACATCGAAGACCACGCAGAAACGCACCAGAAGACGGTATGCCAGTTACCAGTCTTGCCGATGATGATGTTACCCAAGAGAGGGCCCATAAAAGGCGAAGTGATATAGATAGCATACCAAATTCCGATCTTCCGGGCGTGCTCATGGAAAAAGAAGCAATCCTTGACGAATGCTAGCCCAATGGTCTGGCCCGTGCTCTGTGTGACGCCCTGGAGGACACGCATTGCATAGTGCACCTTATAAGTCGGTGCCAGTACGGCACCGACAGAGAAGCCTAGACCTAGCAGCGCGGACCAGAAGAGCACTGGCATTCTGCCCCAGGAATTGAGGAGAGGCATCCAGATAATGCCGGAGACTCCACACATCAAAGCATTGATGCTATTAGGTGCATTGGCCTGGGTGAGGGTGACATCCCATTGCTTGGATTGCAAGATAATGGCTGGGATCCCACTTGTGGCACCAAAATCGCCGGCAAATGAACCAAAGGACACTAAGATGAGCATGATGTGCTTCTTGAAGGAGCTCCAGTTCAGAGGATCATTTGAGTCATCTGTGGGTTGGGGGATGAGGATAGTCTGCCATTATTTATCAGTGGAGGCTGCAACGAGACCCTAACTATCCATACGCACACGTCCATCCTTCGCCAATTTAAGCCCAGAGGTATTTTCACCCTTGGCGTTGGTGACAACTGTGAGCAGGACTTCACCATTGGCGTTTTCGATCTATCCAATTCAGTAGGGTTCTTGAAACATTGCTATTGTCTAGCGTTCTTACCTCGTCGACGTCGTGTGCGATGTGGTTATTCATTTTTACCTGCTCTTCGTCGTGGTGAGCCGGGGTCTTCTCCTCCATTGCAGGTGCTTTAGTGCTGCAGATATGGCAGCTGTGTATTGGGCTATACTCGAAATCTCTGCAATGTTGGCTGGCAAGAGAGTTGCAAAATAGCCAAAGAATGAATTAAAGACCGGCGGTCGTTTGAGATAGAGCTGAGTTAAAAATCACCATCCGGGGATATCTCGCCTTGCTTAGGAAGAACCAGGACCTGGGGAAGCCAATCGGATATACAGTCAACGTCATGTTGTTCTTCTAGACCTCGCGAAGCTTACCTACTTGACTCTGGAGCATACGTATTCTGGCTCTGGAAGGCCGGAAGCTCTTCCGAGCTACTGGCAGCGGAAGCTGGAAAGTTCCCTTCCGGTCTGGAAATCACGGCGAACAGCAGATGAGAGAGATTACACTTGATGAACTCCCAGGCTGGGAACTTTGCGCTTTTTGCGGAGATTTGAGCTACTCGTATACCATGGTGGACTTTTAGTTGACACTCACAGAAAGTTCATCAAAAACATGGAGGAATTCGGCTTTCAGCAAGTTCAAGTAGCTCTGCGAGAATGATGTCAAGTCTCGCAAAGCACAGGCTAGATTGAATTCAATGCGATACATGCATCCGTCCGAACTCGTACTGCTTGTTAAGGATGTTCAGGTTAAAGAACTGTCTTTGTCGCCTATCTCCTGTCACTGTCCAAGATTAAATTGTACCACGCTGCTTGGAAGTAGTTGATGCGTCACGTGCCTATGGTGGGTCGCTTTTACCTCGCGCTTCCCCTAGGACTGCGTTGATCACCACAGGACTCGAGAACAGGCACAGTTTGCAGTGCTAGAATGTAGCATAATGGTTGCTGGTAGGGAACTTGGAAAGAGAGTGCTAATGTGGTGTAGAAGAGCATTAGTGGCTGCCTGCACCAAGGCATAACAACGGTCTAGCTTACTATGTAAGTGGCTCTGTTCTAATCTGTGCACGAATACACCATCTTCGCGAATCGACTAGTAATTTTATACTAAGGCGTTAGTAGCCAGTCCTAGCAATAGCTACCTGTAATTTATTATCTAATCTATAGAATACTTATCCTTAGAGACTAATTACTCCTTAGTAGTAATGCTTCTCTTACGCGAGCTTCGCTGTTTAGTGTAAGTGAGCGTTTACTTAGCGAATTTAGATAGAGAGTTTAGTGGTTCGCGAATAGTGATGTAACTGTTATTCTCGCTGTATTCGTAGAAGAATGCGAACAGCCCCTGTTCTAATTCGCCAAGAATAAATCTGCCCGTCGTGGTATCAGTAATCAAGGAATAATGTCAAGATTTGGCTGGATAACAGCCAGGTGCAGTATGAATCATCTTAAGACGCTGTGCATGACCTTTCAACATTTCTTTGTGGGGTTCACATTGTTAAAACGATAGAAAGTGAAAAGTGTCAAATGTTCTATGACCGGTGATATAATGTTGCTATCATAGATCAGTTGATGTATATTGATAGGCCTGTATTACTAGTGTTGCCTTATAGAGAGGGTAAAGATTAGTTTTCGAGGTAGTAATGCTTAATAAAGATTCTGCACCGGTTAGATTCAAACCATCTATTTTCGATTACTTCGAGTCCATAAAAACGCTTGAGGTTTGAAGGATACAAAATTACGGGCCTCTGGAGGTAGCATACAAGACGTCGGGACCTCCTCTCTCTACCTGTCGAGGTGGTATTATGGTCGAAGTCAATGTGGAACAAGAGCTTAATGTTTCTCTAGTAACTTCAGCTTGCTATCCTCAGTGGGGACATGAGATCCGCCAGGTGACTCTGGCCCGGCGGATATCAATTAGCTGCCTCGACTTTAGCCGTGTAAGTATACTTAAGGTCAGAGCCCTAATGCCCGGAACTTCTATAGTAGATCTAATTATTCTATGGGCTCTTATTACTAGACTCCTCTATATATTAAGCTATTATTTCTTTCAGCTTCTAACTAAGTAATCATAGTTATAAGACCTGTTCTTCCTAATATATTAATAATTTAGTTAGATTTTTCATTACACTTATCTCTCTCTCTCTCTCTCTCACATAACTTTCCAGGATTGTTCAGCTCGAAACCTCTAGAAAAACTCTTCGAGCTTTCACCTGAGCTAATAAACAAGAACTACTTTTACATATATCCATTTCCAGAACTTGTCGCTCTAACGTATTCTCTATCAGTCGCTATTTGGTACGAAAAGCGCCATGCCCTCGTTGGACTGGTAAAAACCTACCGAGACCTGGTCTAAGCCCTGTACCTGACATTTGATAGTTTCGATGGAGGTGACGCGCTTGGACTTATAATTTGGAAGAAAGGTTCAGTGGTGACCGCATCATCTGCAGCATTGATCGTCACTTTGGAAAAAGAGTAAGACATAAGCTTACTACGAATACCCAGACAAATCCAAGAGACTTGCAGAATTAGAATTCTTGAAGAGGACAAGTCATTACGACGAACGCCGTGATTGAATCGCGTTCGGCAACCTATCACTCTGTTTTCAGAACGCCATTCGAATAGATAGAGATATTGCAGTCCATTGCTCCTAGATTGAATCCCTCTGCATTTCATAAGTCTCGCTTGTGGATTGAGAGAGAAGTGAGTTTGAGGGGCCAACTTTATGCCGGGCCCTATTGCAATTTGGCAGCTGCATTGTTGCCAAACTGCGTGGAAGGCTGCAGACGAGGCTTCCAGAAACAGGCGGCGTTTGAGGAGCTGTCCACTGGGCGGACTCGCGGGTGTCAGCAACGGACATGGCCCTATGCTCGCAGGTGCTTACGCTGTCGTATCATGCAATGGGTGCAGCATGCAGTGCGAGGAATTTAGTTGCCAATGGTTGCATCTTATTACACTATTTCTTGGAGCACGGTGCGACCGGGCCGTAAAACGCGCAGCAACGATGCAGATGCTTGTCCGGCCAACACGCAGCCTGCACCTGATCTGATCGACTCAACTCCGAAGCCTACTGCAGAGTGCAGAGAACCAAAAAATGGAAGAGCAATTATGTTACAGCCTTGCCATAATGCTCCAACTTCAGGGAAGATTGTCATCGGACGTAAATGAAGCGAAACTCCATCAGTCAATGCATTACCTGGAATTGCTAGACTATCAAGAAAGTGAAACCAATCTTGGGCAGACGATGTTCCGGACAGCAGAGTCCAAAATGAGGGTCCTCTTTCTGATTTCCCGCATCAAATTGGAGTGGGAGGGGAGGATCTAGAAGCCATCGGTGACTGGCGTGGAAGTTAGCTCGCTGTCAAGGAAGAACGAGTGATCCTCAAAACCTACCTGCTATTTCTGACCTCAGTGCGACCACCCTGTTTGCATCCCTTTTCGCCTTGTTAATACCTGTAGTAATTGCATCCAAGACCACTTCAGAGGCGGGAAGCTGCTTAGTGATGCGTTGCATGGATTGGATTCGTTGGTCCATTCCGTTCATCATCTTGTCGTAGTACTGGGGAAATTGCCATGTCAGCGATTTTCGTCCAAAAGTGTAAATCTTGGGATGTGGTGAGTTTTCATACCTCTTTCGCCTCTCGCTCGACCTGTGCCGAGGCCTTTTTGGACCAAGCCTGCAATTTTCTGGCCTTTTCCTGCGTTTCGTCCTGGCCCCTGTAGATGCTCAACTCTTCGACAAAGGCTATGCCCGGCTGGATGCTGTCGACAGATAATTTCATCCACATGGAAGCGATATCTGCGTAAAGAGAAAAGTAAGATCGTATGAGGACTGCACCACGGTAGATTATCTGCAAGTTATTTAGACGTGGCGGGCAAGAAGAAAGTCAGAACGGCTTTTGTTTACCTCTCGTTGCCCATCAGCCAACGTATAATCGCCAATTTTTGCAATTTCGGTAGATCCATCACTGGACACGCTTGAGGAAATCGTATCTGCCCAGTCTTTCACACGGCGTCTTACGATGCTGTCGATGACAATGGAAATCGCGTTAAAGAATCGGACAAGATTTGCCACGTCGTTCTTGATGCTAACCACAAGAGCGATGCAATCTTGAAGAACCATTTTGACGTTCTCCTGGAAAATAAAATTCCCGTCAGCTGTCTGATCATCGTAAGAAAGAAACCACACGAGGGGGTTGACGTGCCAAATCCATGGTCATCATCTGCAAATCTGTAATCTTGCTCTGTATTTCGCCCAACCTAACTTTCTGAGTTGTGAGCATCTCTGCCGAGGCTAGGAAGTTGTCTTGAGTAGTTCGGTATGCCTCCTGGGTCGTGTTCAGCCTGTTCTTGGCCGACTCCAAGATTGCTTGTGCTTGGTCGCTCTTGGGATCTGTAGATGATTCCAGAGGGGTACTTTGTATGAGCGGGAACTGGATTGGCACTTCCTGTTAGTACCGGCTCATTTTCGGTGTGGCGGCTCACTCACCCCATTCGGCGGGTTTCCTGGGAGAGCTTTGGCGGTTGAATATAGTCCATAGGCTTTCAGGTATGCGTCCCTGAACTTTTGCTGCCAAAGATTTACAAGAGCGCTGCCTCCCTTGGGAAGCTCATATGAAGCGCTTGTGCCCTTGTTGACTTCCTTTTCGACCGCAGTGGCAACCTGTGCCCATGTCAGCTTGCAAAACGACACAAGTCTGTTGTGGTCGCACCTCTAAAGCAGTCTCGATGACATCTCTATAATCAGTGCTCGCTTGAGCCTTCGTTGCCAAGCCCGCAAATGACTGCTTAGCATCGCTGAACATGGAAACAAGAAATTTAGCAGTTGTCTTGGGGTCAGTCTTCTCACTCCCTCTAGCCTTATCCCAGTTGACACCTTTATCTTTACCACTGCTCAGTAGATCATTGAGGATGTTGAGGTATAACATGTAGGTGTTGATTTGAGAGTAAGCTGGGTCTGTAATGTGCGGTACTGGAATCTGATTGGACGCGGTTGGAGCAGGTCCTGAAGGCCTAGTGGATGTCGCACCGTTCGTCGGGGGGCGTTGAGATTGCGGGGTTTCGTCGTCCTGAATGTCGTCTATGAAATCACCGACTGCTCCAGCAGCTGCGGTGAAATTCTTGAAAGGCGACAAGTGCTGCATCAGGACTGGAATTGCAGCATTCACAGCTGTGTTGAATGTATCGGCAAGACCGCTGACAATCTGTTGACCTACAATGTCCCAACTTCAATGGGGTTAGCTGAGGAAGGAGAAGAAAGTTGTGCTCATTACCCTGTAGGATACTCGTCAGAAGCCTTCTTGAAAGCCTCCGACGCAACAGTTAACTCCTGCTCCAACCTCTTGGTGGCGTTCTCCGCGCTTGCGACAGCCATGGTTTGGTAATCAAGTCTAGTCTTCTCGGACAACTGGTTGATCTTGCCCGTCCGAAGCTCGTCCTCAGTTGTGGACGACTGCTCCACGCAGGCGACACGGAGATCACATATGAACTCAAGCCATTCATCGAATTTCTTGTCCATATCCAGTGCCCGTTGCAGGCACTCTTGAGCTGCACCCATGAGATTATTCAAGTGGGAGGGGAGGTTCCTCTTAGCCATTGTAGGATCTCCCAACGCGTTGATGATGTCAGCAACCTGTTAATGGAGTTAGCCCCCAGTTTCAGTCGTACGGCAAAGTACGTCTGAAGCCATGAACGAGCAGGGGCTCACCTACCTTCATATCAACCATCTTCGAGTTCATGTGAATCGAACCCATGGCAGCCTCCGCTTCGATAAAGGCATTTGTGCCTAAGTTGCCGCACTCGACCAGGTTTGCAGGCAAGGAGGGAGTTCTATGGCCTGAGAGTTGGTTACGCCGTGCGTCACATATGAGTGTACTTACGTCAACTTGCTATCCTTGGGAATTGTCAACTTGATAGTCCGCGCAATTTCTGATGAGCTGGCAACGTAGCAAGCCCCCAGGGAGCTCAGGGCAATGGGCGCCGACATGAGCAATGACTCCCATCTTGCCGTGAAAAGCAACGAGCTTTTGATATCTGAGCTAGCTTCCTTCGTACTTATGGTACCAGCTTTGTCAATAAGGGCCAGAGCCGACGATTCTGACATTTTTGCAATGTTGGTGCTTTCGCAGTGGGAAAAGGCTTCAATTCAGCAAGGGATTAGTTGCTGTTCAACGAGATGCGGCACAGGAGGACTGCCGGGAACGGGATGTCCTAAATGCTCTATCGATTCGACCACCAGGCCATGTTCACGTATCTCCAGCTCTCGCTAGAGGCCATATATAGTCCGGGACGGCCGGGTCCATGGTGCCCAAGTTAATCCAAGACGTGCGGCTTGCTGAGCATGAATCTCGCGAACACCGATCTCTTGCAGGTGCAAATAGAATGTCCCGATCTTTCCGAGACGTGAGAGGCACCCGCAGTCTACGGCTGGCTGAAAGATTTGCGTGAAGTGCACGAAGGTTGCTGCTGACAAGCTCGTACTTCCTCCGAGCCGCCATGGGTTATAATAGGAGTGGTGTTGTGACACTTGATAGACTCATGACAGGGGGAGTAATTGGACGTTCCAAAGAGGTTGAAACCCTCAGGAGTCATAGGGCTTGTTGATGAGGAGCTGATGGGAGAACTGAGCTCGTCACAAAGCCAGCACACCCTGTCGCTTGGCGCAGCCTCAGTCGAGCTATTGATGCATTGTTTGGCGCCGACTCAAACTTGCGTGGCTTGGCAATGCTGGCGTGAACTTGACTCTGCCCAACGTCAAGTTTGTGCTCGATCTCTTTCGCTTCATGTCCTAAACAGAGTCTGCACAAGGAATTGAGACACGATCAATGTGGCTGGCTGGTAGCAGCTTTGGAGTACGCGTGTCCATGAAACACGACTTGTATAGTACCGGCTACAGGTGATCAACGGATTTATGATAGGAGCAGGAGAGGATCCACCTGCGGCTACAGTTATAGACACTATAGATTTAGCAGTAACGTAGCCTAATGGCTGCTTCACCTGCGTTGAAAACGAAGACGAACCCTGACCGGAGGATACAGAACGTCCTCAGTGTATCGGTTGCCCTGCTCGCACGGGACACATGGACCCAAATCCGTGACAACCTGCGCAAGAGTGGAGAGTGGAGATTCTAAAGAGTATAAAGATGGAGTGATATGCCGCGTAGCTAGATCTCTCAAAGAACGAAATAGTTTGCACTCCATTAGTCGGAAACCTTACTAGGTGAACCCTAGCTCTCGCAACCTACCCAATGTCTTCGGGATACGGCAGCACGGTGTCCAAGTTGCGGAACGACGCGAACAGCCTCCGACACCAGCTGGGATGGTTGTCAAATTCAGCCGACTCTACATCCAACTGGTATACCACTGAATTTCTGAACACCTTGGAGCTTGGCATGACCACAGTGTACAAACTGGCCGTTCTACTTCGTGGAGACTATGACAACTCGCCTCAACCAAACTCAAAGGCTCAGCAGGACTACGTGATGTCGATGATGGTACAGTATTTTAATATCGTCGAGACCTATGCGAATAATGGTCTCCAGAAGTTGCAGGAAAGCTCCAAGAAGGTAAGCAGAGCACTCTGAAAATTAAGTTGTCAAAAAGGACTTCTCTGACGAGCTTTACAGATTGTTGAGCTGCAGACCCTGGAGATGATCCCTCTAGGTCAAAAGGTCGAAAGCCTACTGAAGGAATTGGAGGCCAAAGCCCTATCCCTCAATCAGGATATGGAGCAGAAGACAAGTCAGCTGAAAGCTCTGCAGGCTTCCTACCAGAAAGAGCTCGAGGCCAGGCAGGCACTGGCGCAGAAAGCTGCCGATGCCAGGGCGGAGCGAGAAAAGGAGGAGCTTGGGGTGAGTTTCAGTGGTTGGTCCATTCTGGGCCATTTCGCTGCATTCCGTGGAGCCTGCTAACACCCTTGCTCCGATAGTGGCGAATTGCGTCGTTCAACATCACGGCGCTGACGGGGACTCCTGACCTCTTCGGCTTCGAGGACCAGGTAAAAGACCTCGAGGCGCAGCTCACCAAATCAAATGAAGGCATCATACAGACAAACCTGGTCCTTCAAACCCTTGGAAACGCCAAGGTTGAGGCTGAAAATTCCGAGCGCCTATTGCGAGGCTTGCGGGACACGCTTCCTGCCACGGGCCAGATCATTGAAACCGGCATTAAGCACGCGGGGGATCTGCAACAATCCCTCAACAAGATGAAAACTGTGTCCGGCACCTTGCTGACTCGAGCCAAAGAGATGAAAGGGGGCTCAAACGCAACCAAATCAGTTGCATCCAGCAAGGGTCAGATTTCGTACGCGGTTGTCAACATGTGTGTCGATGCGTTGGTCCACTTCCGCCTGCTCGACGAAGTCAAGATGGTCCGCGACGAGCTGGTCAATAACTATGGCGCACCGCTCCCCGAACAAGTTGCCGATATTCTTGCAGAGCTGGACAAGAAGTGGAGCGACATGGCCGGCACCAAGCCCGTCAGAAAGCTGAAAATCATTGGCGCAACATACGGCGGGAGGCAGGTGACAGCTGACGTCCGAAGGCATGTCAAGGACGACCAAACCGTGCTCCTGGACTCGACGCGCTTCACGACAGACTTGATTCCTGATCCCATCCCCGGCCAACCCAAGGTATTTACGCTTTTCTACGAATATGAAGGACAAGATAAAGCTTTATTGAAGATGAAGGACTCCAGCGGCTCCATTACTCTCACCTCTGACTCGCAATTCACCGATCTAGTAAGGATTACCACTATCAAGGAAGGGAAAACACGCCTGGGGGGCGAGACCATCATCTATGCAGTAATCTACGGAGATGAGATTTTCACGTCTACTGATGTTTACAACAAAATATGGGACATGGATCAAGGGCGGAAGTGGAAGATCGACAACGAGTCCTTCGGCAAAGATCCCTGGCCGCGTGTTGTGAAAACGGGAACCTTGTACTACAGCATGGGAAAAGGATTTCCGGACAGCGTTTGGACTGGAAAGGAGGGAAGAGATACATGGTACCCTGATAAGTCGGCGCGCTCTACTGCGTGACTGTCCCACTCCTAATGCACTGGCTTCGTAATGTTAAAGATAGTCTACAACCCCTCTTAATTCAGTCTTCCCGAGGTTGATAATAGTGCGTCAAAAGCTAAAAGTGCTGAAATACGAAGGCGCAGGCATAACTTGAGTGGCCTCAGTCGATAAACCTGCTTCCGAAGCTGAGATCATCCATCAGAACTCACTTCTAGCAACACGAGGTCAAAGCCCACTTCCCACGCCTAGTTGTACCTAGGCGTCACATCAAAAGCCGCCCGCAGGTCACGGCCTGTAGTTTGAACCCCTGGCACATCTGGAACCCTGCCAAGCCCACGATCTGTCGGGACTCAGGCAGCCTCATCTCACGGCGTAGCTAGCGTTGCCCTTTGGCTGTGGCTGTCTCTCATCACCGCTTTGATTCTCAGCCCAGTGGGCGTTGTAGACTCCGTACGAAAAGAATAGAGAGGTTGCGTATATACAGAGAGAGAAGGATTGGAGAGAAGGATTGGTGTGTGCAGTGGGCTGGTATTGGGTAAGAGGCAAATAGTGTACGAGGTATTCAAGACTCGCACTTCTATCCAGCTAACCACCTGATGACCTTGGCGCCAAGCCCCAACAATGTCGCTGGCTCATCCGCTCTCACTTGGCACGGTAAGCGAGATCGTCGAAAACATCACCATTTCGTGGAGAAAAGCAACGCTTGCCTTCTAGACTTCGGACGCTGTGGCTAGCTGTACTAGAAACTATTTCATTTCTCATCGCATTTCTCATCGCATTAGCTGGCTTCACCACACGATGCTTTCTGCATTGGCTTCAAGTTTGCTTTGATTTTGTCCAATGGCGCGTTGCTTTGTTCCAGTAGAGAAGTTGTCGCCCCTCCAAGACACCATGTGGCTGCTGTTCCAAAACGCAGATTTATAACATGGCGTCCTTGGCCGCTGGATCAGCTGTTGCCGTATTCAAAGCGTGAAGTTCGTTCCTGGGAAATCGGGTTAGACCCGTGATTGTACCAGCTCCACATAGTCGTGCTTTACGTACTGCTTCGTTCAACGGGATGATACTGGACATCAACTTCGGTAGAGGCATCAGCTGAATGATTCTTTGACTGGTTGGTCAGGCCGCAGAGTGAATGGTCGGGAGGTCCGAGGCAGGCTGAAAGGGTTTGCCAAAACACAACAGGATACTTTCATATCCTTGACGTCTGCGAATCAGACTCCTGTAAGGTATATGAGCAGAGGATCGTGTACCTTCACCATTTTTTGATTGTCCTTGACTTTAAACGGCCAATTTAACCTCGTTCGGCCTATCGTAGTGTCAGTAAATTACTTGCACGATAGCACAAAATTTTGGCAACGCGAGACCTGGACAATGGATTCCAATTCCGACATTTCAGCGGCGGTGAAGCATGAAATGAGAGCTTTGGCGCAAAAACTTGCGGATTTTCCAAGAACTCTTGGACATCAGCCAACAACGGAAGAAGTATTGCAGATTCATCAGACGAAGCATCGCGAGCTGGTAGTCTTGGTCATGAGGGAATGTGGGTCACGCTTCAAAGAAGTGCGTCTGGAAGAGTTGCGGCTACTTTTGCAACAAGATGTCAATTCATGGCAAGGAGCTGCTGGTGTAACCAGCGGTGGCTCCCCTTCAGCTCACATCGAGATTTCTGGGCCAGACTCGACAGGTGAGCACGACAGGATAACGATGAAGCTGGCATCGTTCACAGACTACTTTTTTGCCGAAAATGGCCCGGGCACATGGTGCGGACTCGATCCGATCCCGACGCTGTACGAAGACGTCATGCTCGAGGATATCCAGATAGACGCTTGGACAGGCACCATCATGACCGATAATACATTTCTGAAGAGGCGGCTCACATTCAAAAGGCACGAGGACGCGGGCCCGGATATCGACGTCTCAGATTCCAAATGGTTCAACATACGCTGTGAGCCTGGCAACGACAAGCTCGAGTTCGCCGACGGAGAAGCCCCATTTTTCAGCAGGCTATACAGACTGGTGTACGATGCTCCTGAATTGGACGGTGAGGGAGTTGAGGTGCTGGCGATTCCTGGAATCCTCGGGGATGAGTCGGAACACCTTCTCGACTTCATCATAGGGTGGATCCATCTTGAAAACTTCAGAGATCGAGTGAACGAACTGGCTGACGGGTACCCCAACACAATTGACCAACGGTTCCGTTCAAACAACATGTGGAAGTCGACCCACCGCCAACTGGTCCACGATGGATTTGGGGCATGGGTCCCCACAGATGAGTATGAAGACTCACCCAAGGCATGGGAAATGAAATTGGCGGGGTTCTACCACAATCTCATGGATCTCTCGCTGTGTCGGGACAAATTACCCACACCGGAACACGTCTCGGGAAAGACCAGACTTCGGGTCGATGAGACCAAATCCACGATTCGGTACCAGCCGACTGACAAGATCAAGTACGTGAACAGGACTCCGTCAACACTCCTCGTCAGGGTGGAAAACATGAAGAACGATGGTTTACACAATGAGATGGAGCAAGAGAGAAGCCGGACGTTGGGCGAAAGAATCCGAAAGAGGCTCGCGGATGGAGAATATGACAATCCCTATCTAAATCTAGAATAGGGTAGTACTACGATAGTGAAACGGTCTTGGCACCAAATAGTAAATGCGCGATTCACGGCACGGATTCAGCTGGCAGGGAGACGACATGCAGTCGTGTCTCAATCGAATGATCAAGGGGTCTTTTCAGGGTCATTGTTAACTATCTTTCTCTCCCAACCTGTCTTTCTGTCAGTCAGAACGCTTTACCTCTCTCTTCTTCCCACTTCACTGGTGGCTGAGCGCTGCATCGGACTGCGAATACGTTGTTGAAGCAGCGTCTTCATTACTTCGCTTATTCTTCCTGTTGTTATTCCACTTCCCTGCATCAACGCTAACTCCCTGCAGAGTTGTTTCGCTCGTCTCCTGCTGAAGCAAATCTATCCGCAAACCCTGTTGCATCGCTCTGCTCCCTTGTCCCTATCACGTCATATTTCCCTTGATGATTTGGAAGCAGCATCCTTTATATCTTAAGATATTTTCTTGTCGATTCCTGATAGGATTGATTCTAGGGTCAGCGACGTGCAGAATATTGAACTGATGCAGAACAAGAACCGATATCGAAGTCAGCAAAGCAGTGTAACATGGTTAAATGCGCATGATTCCAAGGGTGCCTAGACGTTAGGCTAAGGCTGAGCGTGCAGATGGCATAGCTATTCTTGTAACATAGCATCATAGTAGCATAGACAAGCAGGTACAGAATGAGACGGCAGCACACTCTCATGGAGAGCTCAGCCGTGTTCATGAGATGAGTAACGGCCTACAGCACAGAGAATGCGTGTACGAGTATATAGTTGCGAGCCTCGTCCTAGAGAGCGATGAGCGACTTGTAGCATTGCGATACGGTTGATTTTCTTGATTATTGAGTGTTTGCGTCATTGCCTACGATGAAGTCCTCTCTATCCCGATCCGATCTCTTTTACTTCCGAGCCCCTTTCGACCTGTTTTCAGCAGTTTACATTCTGCCAGTCAAGTATTGGAGCTTAGATCTTACCGCTAGACTCATGCCGAACATGAGCATCTCAGCACAATACACCATTGGAATATTTCTGCCGAATCCGCTGAAATGTGTGGAGATTTTCGTCTAATACTCAGCGCAGTCAGTGACGATCCTGAGTATGTTTAGCGAAGTGTTTTAGGTACTTCGATGTTCTCGTTCCGCAACGCTTAAGAAATCAGATAGCAGAGTAGCTAGGATAGTGACCTGTTCAGCTTGAGCGCGTCGCGTAATCGTTCTACGTGACTCCCAGTTTAGAGCATGAGGACCTATAGGAGCTTTCGTATTACTGAGGTCTAGCTCTTTCAGTACACAGGTAGTGAGGTGAAATGTTGATAAGTCATCGTAAAATTGGTGCGAATTTTGGGCTTCGCTTGCGTGATTGCGTTCCTGTTTCTTGAAGACGTGTTGGATTTCGTAAATCAGCGATGAGAGATGAGCCGGGTTCCCGCGTTTACGTGAGGGAGGGAGATGCTTCTCTGGAATTCTCAACCGTAACACTCCCTTGGATGTAGCTCAAGAAAGAGGGAGACTGACGTTTGGTACGTGGCTTGCCTGTTCCCCGCAACTGTGAATTCAGTCGCAGGGAGAGATTGGGTGTCAGACAAATGCATGTATATTTCGCGCGAGTACACTTGGACAAGCAGTTGAAGACGCTCCGAGCCTGGGATTGGAATACTGCTCCAATTACGATGATCAGAACAGTTCTACCAGCATCTTAAAAAGTTACTGCTCTGTGAGGGGACATATCAGATTTGTAGAGCCTCCTTCGTCACGACGGGTAACGATCCGCCATATGTCAAGGTCACGGTTGGAGCCACCGCAACAGTCACTGTCTCCCAAGCAAACTCACCATGCAAGCCGCGAGGATTATTATCCAGCTGGTTGCCAGCTGCTTATACCATTGCCTTTCTGATCCCAAGATGATTTTGACTAGAGAATAACAGGCCTGGGATATATTCGAAAGGGGAGCAGCTGCAACGAACTCCAAGAACCAGGCAGCGTCTCAGACTTTCTCCGCTACGTCAATCTCGCCATAGACATCAGTTACAGATCGATCTGCACGACTTACAGCATCAGAAACTGATACATCTTTAACCCCCGCCAAAAACACACGCCTTCTAGTACTGGACCATCAATCTCGATAGTACTGGTGAGCGCTGGCTACGTCAGACCGTTTTTGAGTTGCTAGCCGGCCTGTGGATTTCCCAACACACAAAGATACCAGTACGATCAAGGAATAAGATCTACCTTCTGATACGAAGGCTGCTGACCTCGATTGCCCTTCCTGGCCTAGAACCTTGGGTGGGCCAATAGTACCACCTTGTCGGAAAGCGAAGGACGCGAGTTGGATTGTTGACTACTCTTCGCACCAAATGTCGATGGCTTCAGCACCTAGACAGACCTGTTTGTATGCCTGCCTTACTAGAAAGGGACGAGTCTTCGCCTGATTCCTGTAATATTACGCCCAATCGCCATTTCGAACTCTCGAGGGGATGCGCCTGCGAAACGACTGCGCAATGTTGGGAGGGGGACAGAAAATGCCTGCCAGCGCATTGTGTCGCAAATTCCACTAGATACAGGAAGGGAGGATGATTGGGGCCGAGCGCCGCCATATTAGCCAACTTAGGGTCGGGCCAAAATAGTTGAGGAACTAACCGCAGTACACAATACTACTCGTGACTCGAACTACAGACTGGGTCAGATTCTTCTCGTTCCTCTTGGGAAAGTCTAGATGCCGAGGACAGCCATGACTTATAGACTCCTATCCTATTTGAATGAGGCTTTAATCATTCCAATTGCAAATCACCGCAGCATGAAGTACGACAACTGAGATCCAGCAGACGCGGCGAGGATTGCTTGGCAGGTTGGTGACAGAGAGAGCATAGCACGGATGTGGGGAAGAGATACTCGCTTCAATCAGCCAGCTTATATTAGTCGTCCATCCAACCCCCTCTATGAAGCTTCATGATTGCTTAAACGGCACTTAGGAGGTAGGTCTGGGCGAGGCACATCCTCCGTGGATCGGTGGCTCAGGGGAGAAGGCCGAGACTGTTTACTAGGCTACAGTAATTGACCAGCGTGGAATCGGTGAATTCTGTAATACCTTGATTTCGGGTTTTTCGGGTATTGTGCTCACCTTGGTTTGCCTCGCTTGCCTAGCTTTGAATGTTGATAAAAATTAATCCTGTTTACATGTCTTTTACGAAGGTTTCAGTCTCGTTCTTGTTCGGGTCCAGGCACTGTAACGCCACAGCATTACCTCGCCATAGGGGAAGCAGCAGTCCAGCCCCATCCTTCCCATACTATATGGTCTGGAGCAAGGAAAACGATTCCTTCCAGTCTCTTTTCAAGAGCATACAACTGATGAGCGAAGTCTGTCCTCTCTTGTTAGCTACAGACGAACCAAGCTCGAATCGTGTATAGATCCGGATCCAGCACTCCAGTCAGAGCAATGGCATGAGAAACAAACCAGCAAAGAGTATGGCCGAGCAGGCTTCAATTTCTCGGCTCCAGCTGCAACTGCATTTCACAACTTCTACACAGTTCTTCTGCCATGGGAAATGCCTAGGACCCGCTCGTCGTCGTTACCCGATAGATCATGTACTGCATTTCCCACACCCTTGTTTCTGAAGTGGGAAGCTCCGGCGCTGTCCTAAAGTGGCTGGAGTCTTTTATTTTACTCTCCTTCTCTAGTCACTAAGTGGTGATGATCTACGAGCGCAAATGCCAATCCATCTACGCAGGAGAGCGGCGTTGGGATTTCCGAAAGGTGGCAAGCTCCACCAGGGCGTTTAAAGCCTTGACTATAATCAAAACTTAACATTAAGGGCTTGGCTACCCTATTTCGACAGTTTCCTTTCATGCTAGGATCAAATGCTGTCTCAAATTAATGTATGGCTTCCCTCAGAAATAAAGCCGCCATTGAGCTCATGGCCCTCGATTTGATCGTCGAGAAAATGTTGAACCAGAAGTCTGCAAGAAAATCTTCAGTGGATTCTGGATCATTTGGTGGGACCTTCTTCACCAACACGCTCTCGGGGTCCTCCGAAATCTTATGTCAAACTACTGGAAACGCTGCATGATGCATATAGGTGATGTGGGACTGCATCTCTACAACAGGCGCAGGACTGCCACGCCTTGGTAATTTCTTACTGTCGGCACACTACAAAAGACGATACATTTGAGTCCTGCCTGGAGTTTATTGGAGAGTTGAGACCTCAGTTTCATTCAACTCAGGCATGCGATGCTGCCTTCACTTGACCTTGAGCGACGAGCAGTTGAAGCCAAGGCTGACCTAATGAAGTCTAGGGTCGGCTCGGTAGAGCCTAAGTTTATCAGGCTCTTGACCTGCGGCTGGGCTTTGAGGAATGGACCGTGATTGGCATCGACTTTTTGTCTAAACCCCACTCTGGTGTTAAACTCCGCGAAGCTAAGGTGTAAGCTCATTTAGCGGCGATCAACTAGAAGGATGCGAAACCTCGATCCGTTCCCCGGCTCTAGACTAGCTTAAAAATATGAAATAACTAATGCCCTATCTAAGGCTAAGTAGAGCGGGAAAAGGGAGAGAGGTCTAGATTAGTTAACCGTCGCCGAGAGAAAAAGTCAAATGGGTCAGCTTTTGCCGTCGACCAGGAACAACTTGCCTCGGAAATTTTGCTCCTTGCATTGCCATAATTTCGCAGAGCGCCCGGACCTCCTGCCACCACGGTCATTCAACTCGGGTTGGCTGGTGATCCCTACATCAAAAATCTGCCCCTGGGTAGGCGCCCATTTCTCTGCGTTTCGATACTGGATCGGCCCAAGCTATTATCCGCTCATGTGAGGAGAGTGTGACACGCCTTGTGCAGAATTCTTGCATGCTGTGAACCATATAACTTCCAAAATTTGGGCATTTTCACGATTCCATTGTAGAAATATGGTACATGTAGAGATTATCGCACGAAACGCAGATATTTTGTTGGCCGGCGATCAATGGCGACCTTTTCTATCCGTAGAATTGACAAGGCTGCCATCTTCTAATATGCTTTAGATCCGACACTTTTCATGCGGCACTAACCTCATCCAAACGGATCTATGGCCATGTAATGAACCAAAGGCCGGCTCTAGACCACCCACTGCAGGCCTTTGCAGCTTGGCTCGCAATCTCGACATTTCTTGGGTTTTGTGGACATTCAGCACATGTTGAATTTGTGCTTGGCGTATTTGGTGGCTGGGGACTAAATTAGCTACCCAGCAGAGCTTGAGGACCTTGCTCCGATCACGTAAAATGTCTTTGTCGGTGAGAACTATTCACCATCCTTTATTGCAAAGTTTTCGATGTCAGGTGGCCAGCAACTGCCAAGAGATAGGTTGAGTTCAGCTGAGGCGCATCCAGGTGGACTACCTTGGTCGTCGCAAGGCAATTGCAGAGGCGAGTAGCAGCAGCAGCTGTCTTTAATACGAGCAGCCTGATTCACGGGATTCAGCTCATTGAAAGCTTTGAGACATTCAAGGGACTCGGTCTGATCTTCATGGCCGTTCCTGATCTGTCGAAATTGGCTAGCATGCAAGCGAAGTTCTAGGCCTTTGCAGAGCTGCAGAATGTCCTTTGCCCGATTGCTATTGGGGTTGCCCTGTGGAGGGTGGACATGGTTCTTGCGCCAAGGCAGCACGGATACGGGCTTCGTGGTTTGTGAACCAGACGATCTTCCCATACACTGTCCCCGACACACGCCACATGAATAATTACAAGACAATCAGCTGTGCAAGAATCCAAACTTATCAGGGTGATACAGCAGCAGGGCCTGCCAAAGGCATTTCACTTCGAACGAGAGATCAGCTGCGGCTGAATACGGGATACTGAGTATCAGGATGCTTGACTTCTGATGCATCTTTGATGGTGTATATATGTAGAGACAGTTTCCAGCGTTACTGAACATCCTCTCGCCAGCTCAGGCTACACCATTTCCACACATTCACCACTTGTGTCATGGCTCTACCTAAACTTCCCAAAGTGGTTGAGGATGTCAAGGCGCGCCCTTTCAAGAAGAACTACATTCTGTTCTGGAACAATCTGGGTCTTGACCTAAACCGTATCGTGCACACTTTCGCACCTGGCGGGCCGCAGGACGGCCCGCCAGTCTCCGCAAGAGCCTTAGCGATTCTTCACCTTGCGATACATGATGCATATTTTGGGGTATTCCCTTGGAAGGAACATACGGGGGTTGTAACTCTCCCGGACATCCCATTGTACCTAGATGAAAATAGAATTGGGGAAACTGAGGCACCAACGAGTGAGGAGGCGAAAGATGCCGTCGCTGGGGCTGCCATCAGGGTTCTACGCAAGTTGTATACCGAGCCAAATAAGCCAAATCCTATTGGATCAGACCCCAGCCAAGCGAGACAGATTACGCAGAGTCTGGCTGATTTCATCGATACAAATGTCAACACCTATACCGACTTCCATGGGCTGAACGTCGGATCCAAAGGCTATCAACATGGAGTCAAGGTTGCTGACAGAATTCTCATCGAACACGAAGTCAAGAGTACTGACATCGGCGCTGGTTCAGGAGACTATAAGCCGAAATCAGGTGAAGCTTTTGCGTTTGATGATGACCCATCCCATCCTGTCAGGCTTCGCCCAGACCTGGGCAATAAGGCAATGCGCCCATACCATGGGCCGAAATACGGCACAACAGCCACTATTATGGCAGCGACAAAAGACTTCAAAATAGCAGAACCATACATCAAACCTGGATATCCCATCCCCCTGTCGGGCAATGATGTCAGATACAACCAATACCTTGAGTCTCTAGAAGATGTGTACAGAATGGGAGGAGCGGAGGGCCTCCCATCAACCCGCAGGCGCCCGGCTCAAACCGCTGAGGCCTTGTTTTGGGCTTACGATGGAGTCAAACTCATCGGCACGCCTCCTCGTCTCTATAACCAGATCATTCGCCAAGTCGCCTTCGACAAGGCGAAACAACCGATCGATTCCGATCGCAACAATGCCGATTTTGCGCGACTGCTGGCTCTCGCGAACGTCGCAATGTCCGATGCTGGTGTCTTTTGCTGGCGCGAGAAATACGCCTACGAAGTCTGGCGCCCGTTGTCGGGAGTCAGACAGCATCCGGGCGATTCAGCACCAGAAGGTGCGGCACGGCCTTTCTGGAAGGTTTTAGGCGCACCCGCGACGAACAGCGACGAAGGCGGCTTCAAGCCTCCTTTCCCAGCCTACCCTTCAGGTCATGCAACATTTGGTGCAGCAGCCTTCCAGGTTGTTCGTCGATTCTATCACGAACGATGTACTGGACCAGTTATTTCGGCGTTGTTGGATACCCAAAAGGGTGATCCTACAGGCCAGAGCGAGGAGTCAACCACAAACAAAGCATCGAACATTAACGGTGCCCCTTCAAATCCTCCTATCTGTGGGAACGATACATTAGGGTTCACCTTTGTATCGGATGAGCTTAACGGTATCAGCCGTGAACTCTACCAGGCCTACATCCCGACCGTAGATTTGAAGGATCAACCGGGGGATGTTCGCACCCGCATCAGTTTGACCTTTAAGTCAATGAAGCATGCGATCTATAGTAATGCGATCTCCCGCATTTGGCTTGGCGTGCACTGGCATTTTGACGCCTTTGCGGGATATGATATCATGCATCCATACGCCGATGGGGAGACACCTGCAACTGGCAAAGACAAGTTTAATGAGCCGAAACGTGGTCCTGGCTACGACACGAATCCTTACAGACCGAAGTGTTATAAACAACTGTACCAATGTGATGCTGACGGATCAACAAAGTATCGTGAAGTTGAGGAGATGAACTGGTTTCATACCAGCACCACCGTGGGAAAGGACACGCGGTACTACGGTGGTGTGCCCTTGGGCATGCAAATTGCCGACAACATCTTCGAAACTGGAATGAAGAGCGAGGGAAGTTTGCTGAATCTGTCACCACAATCCTGCTGAGATAGGGCTGTGTGAGAATCTAAGACGTGACCATCGCGCCACAGTCATGCAGGAACCAAATAGGCAAGCTCTGCGGGTCCCAATCATTTAGTCCAATCAGTCCTTACCAATCTCGGATGTCATCCCCGCCAGTCAGAGACCGTAATGTTCGGAGTTTATATATCACTATGAACAATTATGGTATTGTTTACCAGACCCAAATTGTCGCAATTCTCCTTCGTGGCCTAGGGTAAACGTAACCGTGTAGACCCATGCTGTGTAGCCTTCGGGCATCGATGAACATGGTTCAAGGAGTGCCCATAGTTAATACAATACCCTGATAGTAAGAAGCATTCTGGAAATCTTGTGTCCGGACGCTGCCAGTGGGAGCTACTAATAATTATATCTACGAGCTATTACAACTAATGACTCCTGAGTAAGTAGTAATTATGTAGTATACGTCAAGTGCCAAGGCACTAAGGCCCAAGCCTACTCTACGAATAATTAATTACGTGCTTCCCCGCTCCTCTCTCCGGTCGTACTCGCTGCGAAATGAGAGTCCGACTTTCCCACTCCACTCTTAAGCCATTGACATCGATCCACAACTCTGCTTGTACACCTAGTAGAGAACCTATTCCCTGTCTCTGCTTCGGCAACTGATCTGCTGTGCGTAGGTAGGCCCTGTCATCTTCACTGCAAAGGGAGTATTGTTCATACACATTATCAGTAAAGCATTGCACCGCTCAAACCAAGCAAAACGACGCGGAAGAGAAGGCACCACCATGTCCATGTCGACGCCCACAGCAGCGATCAAGCTCGCGACCTCGGACGACCTGCTTCTGTGCACAGCATGTGGAGCGCAGTACGAAGAGGATGAAGCAGCCGGAAAATCGGAATGTAGAATCTGTGAGGTGGGCATACCTCGTTCCTTTTCCATGGCCAGATATATCTAGGATCTACGGACATCGTTACAAACGCGTTGCGTGCGCGAAGCGGAAACGAAAATAGGCTTACGAAGCTTCGCTTACATGTTTCGACAATATAGGATCCAAGACAATATGTTCCCCCGCCGGGGCAATCATTCACGACGCTGGGGAAGCTGAAAGCGGAGGGAAATCTCAAGAATGTGTTTGAGACGACGAAGGACGACGAGAATGTTATTGAGATCTGGACAGAGCCGAAAGTAGGTAATTATATACTTCCCCGCGAGATATGATCACAGTTGAGATCGGGGATCCTTGCGTGTCAGGCTAAGAAAGCTGACATATGGCGATAATCTCTAGTTCGGTATTGGACAGCGGGCGTGTTTGATACAGACACCACATGGAAATGTCCTTTGGGATATAGTGGCGTATCTAGATCAAGATACTGTTGACAAGGTAAGCTGAGGAACACAGGAGCGGTGCGAAAATTGTGGGCTTGTTGGCGTGGCTGCAACGGTTGACACTCAGTGCTCCTGCAAAGGTCAGTGAACTCGGCGGGTTGAAGTTCATCATCATTTCTCATCCGCATTTCTACACGTGAGTCCTCCCAGCTCTCGTACTCGTACACGACCTTGACTTCTCTTTCGGAGACGGGAGGAGGCTAATCCTTTTCTTCTAGCACATGGGCGGACTGGTCTGCCACCTTCCAATGCCCCGTGTATATCACCGATGTCGACTCGGTTTGGGCCAACAGAAAAGGAGTTTCTTCTGCGACTTTAAAGTTGTTGAAAGAGCCTTACACTGAGCTCCTTCCCGGACTGACAGCTGCGATATGTGGAGGTCACTTCGATGGAAGCATGGTGTTGCATTCTGCAACCCCCAATACCAAAATCCCCACTCTCTTCGTAGCAGACACCATTTTTGCTGTCGCTTCCGCACAAAATCCCGACCCAGGCAAGAGGAAGGACACGATCTCATACCAGTTCTTGTGGAGCATTCCAAATTTCATCCCATTGCCACCAGATAAGGTTTTCCAGATATGGAGCCGATTGAAGCCATTTGAATTCAAGGCAACATATGGAGTGATGGCAAAGTTTACCAACGTTTGTAAGTGGTTGTATCACTGGCCCTCAGAGTTGTTACTAATAATTCTGCCTATTGAGATGAGAGGCCTGGTCAGACTATGAGTCTGAAAGCAAGGGTCTTGCAGAGTGCGAAGATCGCTGTCAAGGCTATGGGGTACCAAGATCATAGTATCTTTGCAGAGGAATTGTGAAACGGGTTCTCGAGTAAGGTGGCGGTCAACATGACGAGTAACGCTGTGAACTCTGAAAACATCTCCTGCGTTATGAAGGAAACCTTTCGGGTTGTGGAGATAACATGCTCACACCAACAACACTGCGTTTAAGCAGCCATCTCGACTCGGATCATTTGTAACCTGTGCATACTTGCCCCAGACAACCTTACCGCCCGTGGTGACCAGTCCAAGCTCAGAAACGTTGACTTCGATCACCGTGCCCTTAGTGAGCACTCCCAATTGGGTATAAAGAGGATTTTGCGGGTTCTTCTTCACACTGATAATCGGAAGTTGGACTGTAACACCCAACTCAGGGTGTGTGACATTGGCCTTCTTGTATCGCAGACCCATCGGGCGAATAAAGCGTTCGTATTTGACCGGTCGCCTCGTAAAATCCGGACCGACAAACGTTGGCTGGGTAATCATCCTCTTCCAGCTCTTCTTCGCTGTCTTCTTGCCGGTCTTGACCACCTTGAACATTTCTTCTTCACTGATTCCTTTCACCTTGGGCAAGGGAACCGAGAACTTCGCGGCCTTCTCGGCTCTCTTATTCTTGATCGCGCTTGATAGTGCTTTGGCATTGTTGGCTTGTGATCGGTCAAGTAGATAACTGGGCAGTGGTTGGGAGGACGGTTCGCTTGGAGCGGCCGATTTGACATCTTTCTCTTCTTGCGCCTTGATGGCCTTCTTCATCTGAATCTTCTCGGCATGTCGCTTCTTCTGATGCAGTTTGGCCCTCAGACCGCGCAGATTCTGCGCCTTTTCAGACTGCGCATGGCCTTCTCTGGCCTCTCGCTTCCGTACTCTCTCGTCGTGGTCGAGACGTTTGCCATGTTGCTTCTGCCATCTTTCGATATACTCGTTTTGAGGCATGGTTGCGGGCTTTGTGGCGAGTGGTGGGTGATGTGAATGCTGTCGGTGAGTCCGCAAGGCAGGATTAAAAAAATGTTCGGGTTTCAGTCGGAGGCACAATTCTGCCCAGTGAATTTTTGGCTTTTATCACGTGAATGCCAAGAAGACTCTGAGGGTTCCACTCGACCTCAAGTTTGTGGCTGGGACGGTTTTCTCCAATTTTGCTTCCGAGGCCGGAAAGAGGCTTGTGAGTACAGAATAAGGACGGGCAGGTTTGCCATCCAAGATAAAATCCTCTTCGATTGACCAGAGCTTCACGTCCGAATTGACGAGGTACAACCTACTACTATCCCTCACCCACAAGCTGTCAAAGTAATACACAATGAATCCTCAAGTCCGTCCGCTTCGGCTGATGAGCGCTGCTCCCCGGGCACATCTTTTCACGAGTTCATGCAGATACCACATCCGGCGCAGGGCATTCGGCACGGGCGCGCCCCTCAAGAATAGCGACGATAGCGATCATTCCAAAAGGCCTCCTTCATCTGGCGGCTCATTCGAGTCTTTTGGGTCGTTCCGTAGCGGACCCGCTCCACCACTTCTGCCGAAGGAGGAGCAAGACATCTTCGACTCGCTGCAGCGAGCATCAACGGGTGCATTCTCTACGCCGCGAGCGCCACCACGGATAAACCAATCCCCTCACTCGTCACTAGGCGAGACAGAAGATGCACAGGGGGTGGTGGAAGCGAGGACTGAGAAGATCGCCACTGAAGGTGGTAACAAAGCCGCGGATGGAGATCAGCCTATCTTCAAGGACAAGTACGACCGGGTCATTGAGGCGAGAGGCAAAGGAGGGGAACTACACCCCGACGTCGTGCGACGTGCGCAGCCGGAGTTTGAGGGCGATGTCAATCCCAGGACGGGCGAGGTCGGTGGTCCAAAAAATGAGCCGTTGAGATGGGGCCCGACCAGCGAGTGGACATATAACGGCCGGGCTACGGATTTCTAGGCAAGCAAGGTTAGAAAGAGAAAGCTTATTTGTTCAAGACTTGAATTCTATCCTCGTCAATCAAGCTCAGTATCTGAATTCTAGTTCATCCCATGGATTGTCCCACAGCGCCATTTCCATGCAAATAGTGTGTTTGTCTAGTTGAATTGCCGCCGTGAGTTGTCGAGGGTATAGAACCAAAGCTCGTGAAATAAGATGCCATTTCTTCGTTCCAAAAAGTTCGCAGATGCCCAGAAAAGATTTCTGGTCATGCTATAAGTGGAAAGCTCGCTCCCATGCTTTACTGAGTCTTGACCTCTTGGTCTTGCTCAACGTGGATATGCTCGTTGGTCTGCAGGACGCCGACTTTGTCGCCGGGGAACTCGACACTGCAGAGGCGACAAACAGTCAGCTAATGGGCTCATCAGAGTACCAAGGGGGGAATTGTCATTACGTGAAGCCCTTGATCAGAGTGAACTCGTGCTTGATGTTGCCACCGTCTGCTTTCGCCTTTTCCTTGGCCTTATTGAGTTCCTCGGGCGAGGCATTCTCTTTTAGTGTAACCTGGAGATAACATCAGTTTGGATGGATACTGGCAAGACAGGAGGGACAATACATTGTAGAGAGGCATTCTGACTGAAGAGGTGGATGATAGTAATTGGTGCCTGGGTTTCGGATTGCGGGGGTAGTAACGAAGCAAGGCCGAATAAGTTCTAGGTTGTTGGAGCAGAATTGTTGGTTTGATGAAGATGGTTTTTGATGGATGGCAACGATGTGAGCAGAAGGAAGAGTATATATCTGATGGCAGAATAGGATGTGAAGCTGAATTGCAGGATTGCCAACTTCATGGAAACGGGCCATTGGGCGAACCAACCCCTCGGCTCAGGCTGTCGCTGCGACGTACGGCTGGCACATGAGAGACACGCGCTACGAGGGGCAATGACGACATGCTTGGCACTCTGCTTCACCGGCACATACTCTGTATGTGGTGCACCGCAGTTCTTATTAATATTATTATTGGCACCAGATCGTGGTATGCCATAAACCCTCGGCGTAATCTTCACACTCGTCTTCAGGCTGAAAGAGGTGCTTAGGATCATGAGAAACTCCAGCTCATTTCTCATCAAGTGTTACTGTCTTCCCAGTGTACTGTACTGACAGGGTGGACCTCAGTCCTCTCAACAAGACAGCCGACTTGCCTTCTGGGGTGTGTGACGATCTTCTTAGCCTTGGTCAAGCTCGCTTGGCCTCAATCCTGGTTGCCTCCAGTTGGCACCCTTCATTCCCGGCCGATCCTTACACTTCAAGGACTGGCCTCGGAAAAGCAGTACTCTTTTCGGAAGCAGAAGATAGCTCATCCACCTCATCCTCGTCCTCAGTCTCATCTGGATTGGGTTTTCGGGTCTGTCCTGCATACTCGGCTAGGATCCTGGTGAGCGCGCCTTGATAGTCCCACGACGCGATCATGATTTGCCGTCTTTGCAAGGCTTCCTCTTTATGCTTCGAAGTCGCTGCTGTGAAGGTCCAATCCAACCCCGTTGCAATGCGGGGCCGTCGGTGGAGCTTGAAGCGTCCTTCCCATTTATCATAGGTTGTAATGTGCTCCTCAGCCTCTGCAAGCCAAGCCCTCCAAACATCGTTCATGGGTGCTATGGCTGTCGCTTCGTTCAACCATTGAGTTGTACCTGTCAAGGCGATTGCTGTCCATAATGCTGCGGTAAAGTTTCTTGCTTCTGTCGGGACCATTGTCTTAGCCCGATCTTGTCTCTTGGAGAGTACCCACGCATTTTGAAAGCGATGCCACAACTTTTTGACCTTCATTTTCAGTTCGGCAGTTCCGCCCAGTCTATCTTGCTCCGTGCTGAGCTCTGTCGGTCGTTTGATTGGAAGAACGTCAACTTTATAAGCATGTTGCCAATGGAATGTGAACGGATTCAACGCAGACACCGCCCAGTACACCGCGTTCAGCGTGAAATATGTGGCTACAAAGGCAACTTGAAGGATGTTCTGAGAATTGGCTAGTGACACCACTCCGCCCATAAGCATAATCGTTGAGAGCAAAGCTAAAGTTCGATAAGGCGTATCTGAAAACTGTTAGCCATGGGGAAGATATCTCAATTGAGTCTCTCACTCACCATCGATGATATATTCAGCATGCTCTGTTTGGAAATATAGTCGTGCCACCTTTTCAGATTCCGCTCGAATAACTCGGATGGCTCCATTTGGATAATATATCAACACATCGCTTCTAGGCAACGTTTTGTCACGCTTAGCATCAAGGGTGGGTTCCTGAAACACCAAATCCCAATGCGTGCCCAATCCCGCAAACGAACTCACCATTGAAAGCATGATGGTCGCCAACAAGGAGAACCCATCTTTGTAGTATACGGACAGAGCTATCAGTCCCGTAGCCATGGCAAACCCTAGCCACGAGACGAAGAACAACGGGCCGTATTGTTTCGGGCCAAATGAACGCACCTGTTGCTTTCGTCGCGTTACTTGGACAAGCTCGACCTCGTAGTCCGCCAGTTGTTTTGGATGTAGTAATTGGGCAAAAAAGTTGATTTCTTTCTTTATCGTACCGGAGTACGCGCCAGCGACGACTCCTGTGGCTGTGGGCAGGCGATATTTTCGTTCATGTTCAAGTAATGCTTGTGGCGCTGGGAGAAGCCTTGGAATGGTTGACCACCATGTCAACCCGGTGACTTGCGCGTTTCTTGTCACAGATCCCTCTCCGAGCACGGCGATGATACCAACTATGTCCAGACGTAAATCATCAAACTTCTCTATCCAGCGCATGGCTGCAGAAAGAGGGTGCGAGGGGCAAGGAGGGTAGAAGAACGGAGAAGAGTTCTCAGCCTGATAAGTGGGGAGGTTCCCTCACATCATGTACTTATGTGATTTGAACAACTCACTCGTGGCTGCATGGCGCCGCTTAGGTCAACCTCTTTTTCAGCCTCCGAAGATCGTACCCAATGAAACATCGGGCCCCCTCGAGCCACGAATGGAACCCAACCTCTGTCCGCACCTGGCGGCTCGACTGGTCCGATCTGCATGTCATTTGTCCGGTTCTGCATCAAGCCGCAGCACTTTACTTGGGAAGTAGATCGACAACAGCCTAGAAGGTAAACAGAGTGGCCAAATCCATGTTGAACTGGGACAACAAAGTATTGAGACAGGCGAAGGGCCGAAGCGGTTCTGCTGTTAGCTGCAACCTGGCACACCCGATTGGCTAGTTCCTGGATTTAAGGCTCGGCTCCTTCTCATTAGGTCGAGGGTGGTTGCATTCGAGGTTTCAAGCGAGGGTGGCCTCAAGAAGAGCCCTGTGGGCAACAAACGTCAGGGCCGACGGGCTTGTGCCGCGGACGCTTTGGCCCCTACCTGGATACGCTGTACCAAGTCGTCAGGACTAGGTGCAGGTTGTTTGTTTGTCCAGTGACCCCTCTGACTGGGCATTCGACTCCGAATCTGTTTCAATTTGGCAGAACACGGAAAGATTATGCCCTTTCCGGCAGCTGAGGTCTGGAGAAGATTGTGGCAGCTGAATGATTGGCGATCTGGTGATTTGGGTCGCTGGTGAACGGGGAGATGGCTAGGCAGTGAGGCACAACGCTCAGTGGCCTTGTCGCGCTGAGTCATTTCAGGGAAGCACAAAAGCTCTTGGTCGCTCTCCCCGTCTTCATATCTCAATGTAAGAACCAGACTTTGTAGAAAGTGCTTCAGGACCAATACCTCCAGTGGGCAGTATTGAGAAGCACTCCGTACGCAATACAGGGACGATGGCACCAGAAACTGACTCGCAAGTGCAATGACACGATTAAGCTTGTCGACTAAACCCAGACTTGGCTTGGCTTCCCCTCCCGCAGCAAGTGCCCAGTGCCCTCGCCCAGTGCCCGGGATGCCCGTATCCAGGCGCGAGCCAGCGCCCGAGGGGCCCGAGAAGGCCTCCAAGCACCCTCCGAGTCCCGCGCCCGCTCCCGTTCGACTACCTGCGCCACAGCACCCGCACAGCCACTCGTCATCAAGCGCTCCGAGCCCGCTAACGCTCACAACCCCGATGCCCTCCCCACTAAAAATGCCCTCCCCGACGCATGCGTTTGTTTCCCTTGCATCTTCACATGTATGTACGAGCTGTGTCTCCTCCCAAGACCTGAACGTCCCTTCCCCTGCTAACCACGAAATGCACTCAGATGTCGACTACTAGACCTGTTGAGGGTTCGAATGCCTCGCTCATCAATCTTACCAAACGTATCAGACATCTTGGTCGCCTCCCAGCCAGTTGGGTCAAGGCTATTGTAAGTCTCACTTCCCCCCTCTGCCCGGGTTTCCCCCTGAGGTAATCTTCATTTGGCTAACGAAGTGATGGCTGCTAGGATGGCCCGACCACTCCAGAAGAATCCTACCTTTGCGAGACTTGCCAGCGGCTAGATCTGAAAGTCGAATCTTTCTATGTCCAACTGGGAGACAACGAATATGAAATCGCGAAGAAATTTAGATATCTAGGCAGATTGTCTCAGATCCAAAGAAAAGCCCACTGTCCTTTCTGCAGGCTGGTGTTAGACATCGCAGACCGTCCCCCGGATCAGAGAACTCCCAGCCTCGTCGCCGATGAGGACCCTGCCTGTTATGCTCGATGGGTTGTTGATGGACTGGAAGATTCGGGCCCGGATCCAGACCGCCCTGGAGAACATCATTTCAAACCGCGAACACGACGGCTCTTGATCTATAGCGACCCTCAGACATTCAAAGATGGTTATATCGTCCTTTTGGCAGAGGACGCCCCAAGACCAGAGTGGTTTGGAAGACGAATAACCTCTCCCGACCTCCTAGACACCCAACAACTCCGGCGATGGATTCACGACTGTGAGACGACGCATGGAGCGGAGTGCGAGGAATCTCTTGTCCATCCTGACCTCCTGGGTGCACCGAAAGATGTGTTCCGAGCCATTGACGTGAACACCATGAACATCGTCGAGGCACCTCGAAATTCGAGATATGTTGCCTTGAGTTACCTTTGGGGAAAGAACTTCAACCAGTTGTTCACCACCAGCAAGAATCTTGCGACATTGTCTAAGCCTGGAGCACTAGAAAAGGAAAAGCTACCTAGAACGATCAAGGACACAATCCAACTGACACGGATGCTGGGCGAGCGATATCTGTGGACCGACAGTCTCGCCCTCCTGCACGACGTCGGGTTCCAGTATCACGATGATTGGGTCTACGCACGTGCTGCTCTAACCGTGGTTGCTGGCTCTGGCAAGGACGCTAACGCCGGACTCCCTGGTGTGAGAAAAGAGTCACGAAAATTCCACCAGGAGATAGAAGAGATTCGGCCTGGCCTCAGGTTAATGATGTCTCATCTTGCGGAAGGCAAGTTCTCTCTTTGAATGGCACGTTTTGTTGCTAACATACGGCAGATTATATCTCGACATCGCAGTGGGACTCGCGTGCCTGGACATTCCAGGAGCGTATGCTGTCAAGACGGTGTCTCTTATTTGTCAACGGACGTATTTACTATCAATGCCGGAGAACCACTTTCTGCGAAGATATGGAAATGCCTCTCAATGGTGGATGGTCACTGGACTCGATTGACATGCCAACCAGGATTTTCCGAGAAAAGCCATTTGTTCAATTCACGTCCGCTGTGGAGCTTTATACCCGAAGAGAGCTGACCAACCCGGCTGATATTCTGAACGCTTTTGAAGGAGTACAGCTAGTGCTCGAAAAACGGATCTCGGCCAAGATCTTTTATGGCGTACTGGAAACAATGGTGGATTCCTCACTGGTATGGGAATCCACGAAGCGGCTTTTCCGCCGATCAGGATTCCCAAGTTGGTCCTGGTCAGGCTGGATTGGAGAGATCCAGTGGAAGTTCAATGAACCGGCACGATCATGGATCGAGTGGCATGCCGATCAAAATGTTGGCCTGCATGCATTCTCACGCCAGGAGTACGAGAGAATACCACCACCCCTAGAGCGACCAGAGAACCCACCCCCTCTCTCGCAACATAACTTGAGCAAATCGATGCCATTACTGCACTTCCGAACCGTTGCAGCCCAATTCAGTCTTATTTCTCCCGCGCTCATCCATAAATCGGTTATCTCGCCCTTGCGCAAAAGGCTTACTGGACCCAGCGCATTGTCAACGGTACGGCCAGCCCCTGCAGACCCCGGCTTGATTCGAGCAGGAATTGCGGACGACAGGGGATGGTGGTGTGGGACGATCGATCTGGATGCTGCCTGGATGTCTCGGGTTGGCATACCACTGGAGTTCTTGCTCGTGTCGCGGGTCAGCACATTCACTGACGACGAACTCGCTATATGGGAGGGTACATTGCCAGACGAAGTGGAAGACTTGATAGCTCAGCGGAATTACGGAGTGTACAATGTGATGTTGGTGTCTCGACGAGACGGTATATACTATCGAGAAGGGTTAGGGCGCATATTGACAGGGGCATTGCATCGGGCTGTCCAGCCTGCTAGCTGGAAGGACGTTGTGCTAGGTTGAGCAGCCATCACTTGGTGGTTGTCAAGATTCGACTGCGATCTTGGGTTTAAGTATGGAGCTTTGGAGTACAGATGCCTCGACAAAGACCTCGTACGGATTGGGAACAAGGTCGAATGAGAGTACATGCAACTATCAGCCCTATGAAGCAATACGTCGGATTTCAAGACATCCTATTTGTCAATTAGTTGGTCATGGCCCAGGAGCCTATGTAGGACACAGGACAGGCCATGTACGGAATGCTTGTATGCCAAGTTTAGGTATGGGACAGTGTCGCCTGACCCTAACTACATACCACTGAATCACGCTGGGCCGCCCCTCCCTTTGACAGGGCTCGTTATGGCCCCCCAGTCACGTTCCAAACCTCGTGTCCAGGCCCCTGTAGATGCAACGTCCAAGGCAAGTCTAAGTGGGGATGGGGATGTGGGTGTCTGTGTTCTTGGAGGACTTGCCGATCATGACCACTTTTCTTCCAGCCAACCAAGCAACCCACGGGCCATCCATTTACCTTTGCTCAGTCCGCTTGTCTTCCTCTTTTCCAAAGCAGTACGGAGTGCGATTGTAGCAATTCAACTTCATGCGCATCATATTTGAACCCATCGAGAGTTCTTCGAGTATGGTAGAGTGCGCTTGTTTCCAAGAGTTGTAGCTTTGTTTGCGCACACCGAATCGACTACCCACCGCTTTGACGTTGTTTTAACCGACCGCGCCCGCGCAACGGGCAGGTTTGAAGCAGCAATAGCCCCGATAAGGAAGATATGCACTGAGCATGTCAAATAACGCAATACCCACTTCATACTCCAGCGATCAAGTCTCACATATAAGCTGTGTTTACGCCATCTCAGGATCCTATGGATTACTGCCTCGCCTGTTGTACTACGTCACGCTCGTTTTAGCCATCTTTGGGAGAAGTAAAGAATGGCTTATCATCGGCGCGCTCGTCAGCGCGTTGACTTATGCTGGTACGGCGTCGATTCATATGATGGCACTTTGCTCTAGTAAATCCGGGGTGTTTGACTTGGACATTATGGCTGCATGGGCCATCCTCAGCACCGGCGCTTTGGGATATATCGGCATGATCCATTGGAGTTCAACCCTGAGATATTCCAATGCGAAGTGGATAATGATATGCTGGGGCATGTTGGTGGGCATAGGCTTGATTTTCGGCCGCGCTGTTCTCTTCGACTCGCCCAAGCCGGAAGCTGAGCCCTCTTGTTACTCGACTTCAGGCAAGCTTCTGGAATATCCCATTGAGCTCATCAGCCCAGAGTTCAAGTGCACGTACAAGTGTTTCTCGATCTCGAAACCAATGCGCCATACGTCGGAGATTATGGCGGTGCCTTCCCAACTGTTGAACAATACATACACGGGTTTGGCGCTTGTTCTCGTGGGACCGATTCAGTTTGCGGCATATGCTGCACTGAGCCTTGACACCCAACAGCACAATCCCTCACAATTGTGTCAAAGGGCCGTCATGAAGTATCTGATACACCCTGGACATAAGGACCAGCTCACCAAGACGGTCTATCACGCGTCTTCGGATGGCTGGTATGGAGGCTATTTCGCCCTCTTGAGCTACCTTGGGAGGACAGAGTGGACGGTTAAGAAGACTTTGATCTGTTCTATTACTGTGCCATGGCTTTTTCTGACTTTCTTGATTGACGTTTTCTGTCTTCCGATGATGGTCACTAATATCATACTAAACGAGATCACCCTTCTGCAGGGTGACATTCCAACGAATGAATCCAACATCAATGTTGGTCAGTGGGGAGCCGTCGTCAACTCTTTGCTTGTTGTCATTGCTGCATGCATGGGCAAGCTCATAGAGATGCGACAGAACTCTCAGAAAGCAAAGGTTCTACGGCTGGAGCAGCCTCACGGTACTGTGACGGAGGTGCCTTCCGATTTGGAGCAGGGATTCCTGGAGGAACAGGTGACGGGCGTGGTAAAACCAAAACTTGCACACGTTCCGACCTTACAGGATATGGAACACTGGATAAAAAAGTCAAAGGGGTAAAAATGATGAAGGCGACTCTCTCCCGCGGATTCGCTTGTTGGAGGTATCAATATTTTCTTGCAGGCTTTAAAGCTGGCAGCACGAAGCATGATACTCTGGCAGAGGATATACTTACCTCGCATGAAGCAATTCATGATGGAAGCCCTTACAAGAGAGTGCAATTCTGCCCATTCGTGGGTTCCATGATATGGATATTACGCTAGCACTTGCATTGAAAGAGGCCGACAATTGCAACAGAACCCGCAACCGTGGGAAATCATGGGAAGTCAGAAACGTATCTGAACCCGTCAGATCTTAGAGGATTATGACTCATACAGACTGCCGGAGATGAGATGGTTTGCTTTATCATCGAAACATGATTGCACGCGGATGCCAACCGTCCCTGAGTGCATTAGCCGACGGTAGGATGTATGTCCATTACATAGGAAAGAATTGAGATCCAAGTACCAGCGAGCTTCTATAGCAGAAGAGCATGTTCAAACATCAGAGATTATTATGTAAGCAAGTACACGACAGACCACCGGGCGCCACCAGCCCTAAACTCGCGTTGTATTTGAATCTGCTGTTTGCTACCAAGTCAGGGCCTTGAGGGCCGTAATGGGCGGTTGTCGGGAAGGCAAGGCTGTGGTCGCGGGCCGCGCCTGCACAAGCAACCAGAGGGCACGAGATGGGGCTAAACCTAATTTGGTGTTGGTCGGGAAGTCGGGGAAACTGGCATTGCATCTTCCGAGAGTCCACCAGTATTTGGGCCTGTTCCCCCCACCATCCATCATCGAATTTATCCAGGGACGCAGATTTGGCCACAAAATTGCTCGACATCCCGTCGACTGAATACAAATCTCGCCTCGACCACAGTTTGATGATTTATGAGTCAGGCTGGGAGCATATATTCTCGTCTTGACCGTCATCCAGGCTCAGTCCTTCCTCTTCCCCCCACATCAACCTGCACAATATGGCGGAACACTTGAAAGCAACTTTTGCCCAGGCGAAAAAGGATGGCCGCTCTGCCCTTGTGGGCTATTTCACAGCTGGTTATCCCACACCTGAAGAAACCCCGGCTATTATGCTGGGAATGCAGGCCGGTGGCGTTGGTATGGTTTTCTACCCACCATGACATCTCTCAATTAACAAGCGCTTCCCAGACATCATCGAGCTAGGTCTTCCCTTCACCGACCCCATCGCAGACGGCCCTACAATTCAACACTCGAATACTGTCGCTCTTACGAACGGTGTCACTGTCTCTAGCACTCTCCAGTTTGTTCGGGATGCTCGAAAGCAAGGCTTGCGGGTCCCCGTCCTCTTCATGGGATACTACAACCCTCTCCTACGCTATGGTGAAGATCGCATGCTGAAAGATTGCCGAGAAGCTGGTGTCAATGGTTTCATTATGGTGGATTTGCCCCCCGAGGAGGCAGTGAGGTTCAGAAACAATTGCAAAAAGCAGGGTCTGTCATATGTGCCTTTGATTGCCCCAGCGACCTCGGACAAGCGAATGCAACTCCTGTGCAAGATTGCAGACTCCTTTATATATGTCGTCTCCAGGATGGGTGTTACGGGCGCCACAGGGACTCTGAACACAAAGCTTCCCGAATTACTCGCGAGAGTCAAGCAATACTCGGGCGGGGTTCCAGCAGCCGTCGGCTTTGGTGTCAGCACCAGAGAGCATTTCTTGAGTGTAGCCCAAATCGCCGACGGTGTAGTTATAGGCAGTCAAATTGTCACGACACTGGGCAATGCCAAGGAGGGTGGAGCAGCGAAGGCCGTGGAGGAGTATTGCTCCCAGATCACCGGGCGGACGGTTGGGGCATTCAACGACACGAATGGATTGACTCGCGAAGTGGGAATAGTAGAGACGATGAACGCTGCCAAGGAACCCAACGCGAGCACCATCAATGGAATCGACGGGCACCCAGTACAAGTGGATCAGGTCATCACCGACGATGATGTTCCAGACGAGCCAGGTCTTGCTGACCAATTGGACGCCCTCAATTCATCTACAAATGGTACCACACCCAACCCTAACGCGATTCCTCATCGATTCGGTCAATTCGGTGGACAATATGTCCCTGAATCACTCATGGATTGCTTGGCGGAACTCGAAGAGGGCTTCACTAAAGCAAACAATGACCCCGAGTTTTGGAAGGAATTTAAATCGTACTACCCCTACATGGGTCGGCCTTCACATCTTCATCTCGCAGAAAGGTTGACTGCAGCGGCTGGTGGTGCACAGATCTATCTGAAACGAGAAGATCTTAATCACACTGGCAGTCACAAGATCAACAATGCGATTGGCCAGATCCTCATCGCGAGACGGTTAGGCAAGACCCGAATCATTGCTGAGACTGGTGCAGGACAACACGGTGTAGCAACTGCAACAGTGTGTGCCAAATTCGGCATGCAGTGCGTTGTTTACATGGGGGCCGAAGACGTAAGAAGACAAGCATTGAATGTCTTCAGAATGAAATTACTGGGTGCCAAGGTGGTGGCTGTCGAAGCAGGATCACGCACTTTGCGGGATGCAGTGAACGAAGCTTTGCGGGCGTGGGTTGTCGACCTCGACACAACACACTACATCATTGGGTCGGCCATTGGACCTCACCCATTCCCTACGATTGTCCGTACTTTCCAGAGCGTGATTGGACAGGAAACGAAAGAGCAGTTCAAAGCGCTCACTGGTGGCAAACTTCCAGACGCAGTCATTGCCTGCGTTGGTGGCGGTTCTAATGCTGTGGGCATGTTCTATCCCTTCAGCTCCGAACCATCCGTGAAATTGATCGGAGTTGAAGCCGGTGGTGAGGGTGTAGACACTGATAAACACTCGGCCACTCTGGGAGGTGGTTCCATTGGTGTGCTGCACGGTGTGAGGACATATGTCCTGCAAAATGAACACGGCCAGATCAGTGACACACATTCGATCTCCGCCGGTCTTGATTATCCTGGTGTTGGGCCGGAGCTCTCGAATTGGAAGGACAGCGACCGGGCGATCTTCATCAACGCGACCGACCCTCAGGCTTTGATAGGGTTCCGGACCTTGAGTGAGACCGAAGGCATCATTCCCGCTCTTGAATCAAGTCACGCCATTTACGGTGCGATGGAGGTCGCCAAGAAGATGAAGAAGGAAGAGACAATTGTCATCTGTCTCAGTGGAAGAGGTGACAAGGATGTACAAAGTGTTGCGGATGAGCTGCCTAAACTTGGTCCGGTTATTGGTTGGGATCTGCGATTTTAAACTTAGATGGTTGACTGATATATCGGTAACATCTGGCGGATGGAAAAGGGACGGCATTGCGCGTTATCTAGGGTGGAAAGACATCTTCTTTTTCTATCGGGGAAATGGACATTCTCCGTAGTAGTGTACGGAGTTCTCTGTACGGACAGGAATATATTCGTACAAAGTACGAGTTACGGAGTCTAAACATGGGCCGAGCCATGCTCGTATTCTACCGTTCGAGTGCATCCAAAGGCCAATTGGAACTTGTAGTCAGATTAACATCCGACTTCTGTCGAATTTCTAAGTTTGTACCAGTGGCACGTACATTGACTGGGTACGCGCTCGACTCCTCTCGCGAAGTTAAATCATGATTAACAGATAGAGCCGAAAAGAGACGCTAGGTGAGAGAGCAGTCTCTGGCCGACCCCTTGGGTGCCCCCGTACAAGAAAGTGGCTGTTAGTCAGGCAGCCTCGTGCCGCACGTGAGCCCTGGCTGGTTCTGAGGCGAGCCGAACTCTATCAGCGGCCACGTGGGGCTACGGGCCGAATTTGGATTACTTAATTTCCACCTCCAGCTACAGCTCGCCTCCCAATTCCCATCCTGATGCCCCTGTTTACCCATCCACTTTTTTCTTCGAGCAGCGAGAGCTTAATCGACCGGTCTACGAGAGCATTCCGGCATTAGAAGGTCTTCCAAGATCGGACTTGAATGCATCATTTTTGCTGAACGGCAAGCCTGTGTAAATCTCACATTATGATTCTACCACCCAATGTACCAAGTCCTGTGGTCCCATAGTCACGCGTGTGGCGCGGAGCGTCTAGTGGAGACTCATTATTAACGAGCAAAGGGAAGTGGCAAAAGCTGTGTCGTGTGAATTTGAAGATATCGTGAGTTTTTGACATTCTGAGGCGTATGTTCCAGCCAGCCTTGTGTCGCGCCTAGTCTCGGAGATGGTCATTGGCGTAGTCAATAGTCCACGCCTCCTCAACTGCCACACTTCCACCAATACATCCACAATGCCCCATCTCCTACAGTTCGAGGTGAGCTATGGATACCTTTCACGGAGAGAAGCCGGCCACGAATGCGCGGCACATCACAATCACAATACAATGTCTTTAAACGGTGGCAGTCCCAGACCGCCGACTGCTTGGAAAGTCTATTTTTCTTCTTTGTAGGTAGGTTGAGTTTGTTACCTGTAATTATTTCCTCGAGTTCAAGCGGCATACTCTGGAATCTGCGTACTCGGACACCACGAAGAATCATGGATCAAGCTGCTGGTATCTCATCGAGTGGTACAACCATAGCGGCTATACTGCAGCACTGGAGTCAGCGAGCATCACCCAGAACAGCGGGTGCAGTGCCTTTGGCGGACGTGCCACCACAGTATGAGAATAGAAACAAGGATTTCACGATCGGCGTGAGGGAAGTGCCATCAAGTAGTGGTACAGACTCTACCTATATTCAACGGTCACAGACAGAACAACCTTTGAAGCGATGGCCGCAAGAACCACAGCCGATCACCAATGAACCCGTTGTAGAACGCTTTCTCGACTTCTTCGATGTCATTCTGTGTATCCTGCCCTGCGCGCTGCTCATCAAAGCCGGTCTCTGCGTGCTAGCGTCGCGGCTCGATGCTGAAAATAAAGGGCCATATATCGACAAGGCTAGCCAGCTCACGGTCAAACTCATTCAATTCAACGAGCAACTCACCACCATCTTCACCATTATATTCATCCTGATCGTGTCGACAACCGTCCGGAGGTTTGCCCTGTGGAGGGCAGAAAAGGGGGCCACAATTGGCGAGCTCGAACAGCTCCACGCCTCGATCAGTCTGCCGGCAACCCTCAAAGCCATCTGGTCCCTTCGAGCCTTCACATTCACCAGCCTAGGGCTAGTCTTCGTCTGGACCTGGTACTACGCTGGATCCCAAGCTTCTACCCGAGAGTACAGTTATCAAGACTCGAGTCCGCTGCAGCAAGTCGATGTGGCATTCCTCGGCTCGCAAGCGACATCTGCGTTCCAAAACGGCATCATCGACACACTGTCTCCCGTTCGGAAAACAGACATGACTGCACGCTACCACATGTACAGCCAGTTCACGGCAGGCACGCAGAAAGCCAACTCACAGGATGCCAAAAGCATAAACGGCGCCGACATCTACGGAGCGACCCTCACGCCGTGGTACGGACCAACACGCGGGGGATCGTGGGCGGACTTGGAGTTTGACAAGGATGGATGGCTCGAGATCCGAGAGATGTCGACGCAGCCTGTGGTGTCGTCGATCGGTACATCCCTCTATCGCCGAAACATGTCACAAAGCTCGCTGAATGAATGGTATCCTTCGAAAATGATCGGTTCTTACACCTACAACACATCCCACTTTCAAGCAAACTGCACTGCCCCCCTGCTGTCCACCAACAGCACGAGACCTGTGGGCCTGCTCCCCGTCCTGTCAACGGGGATGAACATGAGCGCGCCATCTTCCGACCCCAGCGTCCCTCGAGAACTATCCTTCTGGCACTACGTGAACTCGACCGCAAGCCTAGAGGCAACCTGTTCCATGAGCCGCATCAACGTCGAGATCGAAGCGCACTGCACCGCAGCAATCTGCAAGCCGACCCGGATGCGCAAGTTTTCCACGGAACTCCGCACACTCCTTGACGACGACAGCTTCGCTCAATCATTCTTCAACTCAATGATGGTCGCATGCGGTATGCCCACAAAGCCTGGCGATTTCTCGACCTTCGACAATGACAACGGCATTTCCGACCTGCGTAACGACATCAACCTAGGCCGGCTGAATGACCCCGCGGCGCTCGCGGCCGCAACCAGCGTGGCCCAGTTTCCCATGTCCATGGCGATCACGCGCTTCATAAACACGTACTTCACCGCCTCCCAAGTCCTCTTATACGAGCACGATTTCCAAGACGACCTCGCCATCAACGGCTCCATCGCACTCAATCAAAACCCCGACTTCTCGTTCCTATCAATGGACGGCGCGAAGTTCGAGCCCCAGTATAGCCTATCCTGGCCGTGGCTGGCTGTCGACTGCATTTCCAACAGCGTGTTGCTTGCGGCGGCCGTGTTTGCGTTCTGGCTGAGGAAGAAGACCCTCGCACCGGATATTTTCGGGTTTGTCTCGAGCTTGACCAGGGACAATCCCAATCTGCAGTTGCCGGATGGTGGGAGTACGCTGTCGGGTATTGATCGCTCGAGAAGGATGAAGCATGTTAAGGTCAAGATTGGGGATGTGGGCACCGCGGCTGAGGTCGGCAGGGTGGGCTTGACGGCTCTGGATGATGGAAATCCGCTTAGGAGTCCCCGGGATTTGGAGAAGGGTCGTTGTTATCAGTAATTCAGCGATGATGCTAAGTAATTGACTGGAAAGCCCATACCCTGTTGTTTTTTTGTATACTTTTACATCGACAAAATCCCCGACCTTTACGATTTGATTGATAAATAGATTGCCTAGGTAATGTTTAAATTTTGCTCTGACATCTTGCTTTTTGAATGACATCTAAGTTTCTTCTCTGAAGCCTCGATTGGGTGCCCGGCGTTATTGGCGTTGATGAATAATCTCCCAGGGCTTCTCTTCGACAAAGATATCTCAATGCATGTGCCCCTTCTGGACCGGAGTTTGTCCAGAATTCATGTCTGTGCATAGATGTCAGGCCTTGGCCGACATTGGGAGACCGTGGCTCTCCACTCAGGGCAAAATGGAGTCTTCGTGAATTCACACTGAAAGCACCTGGCTTGTGTAATTAGGCACCACTTCCTCCACCATTTTGTTCGTGGGGAGAGATCCTTGTCTAAAGCTTCGACCACCTCTCTGACTTTTCTGTGTCACCAATCAGCCATTGGTCGATAAAGGTTCTTTCAAGGCATTTTTTACCATTCAGAAGTCGACTCTTTTCTGCAAAGCGTTGTGCTGGTGCACCCTCAACAAACCTCTCAGCCACTGCATCGGCTGCTTCGTACAGAGCTAGTAGCCTTCTGCTCCTTAAAGGGGCGTTCATCAATCTCTTGTGCTCCATCATTGATTTTCCATCGTTGATCTCTAGCTGTTCCTGCAAATAGCGCACCACCTCGGCGTGAAATCCCTCGTGGTCAATCACTCGATTGACCATGCCCCACTGCAGTAGCTCGTCCACAGAGACCTTGCGTCCAAACATCAGGATATCGTTTGCCCGATGCACTCCAATACTCTGGGGGAAAGTAGATGCAGATCCGAATTCGGGAACCAGGGCGAGAGCAGAGAACGGACACTGTAGCCAAGTTGTGGTCGACGCCAGAACAATGTCCGCCACGCCTTGAAACCAGGCAGCACCTCCACCGACCGCAGGCCCATTCATCGCGAGCACAAGGACTTTGCGGTGCTGTATCATCGAGCTAATCAACTGAATAGACGGATTGATCTTTTGGAGAACGCCGAGCTTCTTCACCGCGTCAGAATCGTAGTCAGGCGTGCATTGACTCGCCTCAGCTATTGCAGAGATCGTGAATTAGCAAATGGCTAACTGGTCACTACGGCCTCAATCGACGGAAGTACTGAGAGAGATGCCCAACCTTTCACATCTGCCCCTGACGAAAAGAACCGGCCTACCGCCGTGATGACGGTCACGACTGTATCAGGATGATTGTCGAGTACGCGTAGAGCGTGGAGAGTATCGACAATGAGGTTTCCACCGAACGAATTAAGACTTTTAGGGCGATTGAACTGCGCCGGTCTTAGCCAATGGAGTCAAATGATATAGCAAACATCACTCTAAAGCGGTTTCCCGTGTTCCCATTAACAGGGTGTGCGTCTTAAGTCTCTGCCATGAAATTGTAGCCACACACCTGGATGATCCCAATCTTGCCCTTGATATCAAATATTATGTCAGAGTACTGGTATTCGGACATCATGGCAGTCTGTACACGATAGTGACAAGATTTCAAGGAAATTGGGAATGCTAGGGATACGTGGACAAGAAAAGGCTCATGAAGAGTGGAATTATGGCGAGTAGTGACTTCGTTATTGTGCTGAAATGCCCACGGAACCCTGTCAGCACAGGCAGAGATATTAAAATGCTGGTTTGACCGTAGATTCTAAGCCGCTTGGCCTGGAAGTCTCGTCCTACTATGGTATCATAATATCACGGCCCTCGGGCTCCACATTAACGAATCTTCTCCGAGATCCTCACACAGAGGCTACAGTTTGAGCGCGTACTAGACAAGGCTGTGAATCGGTGTACCGAGGTCAGTACATACTCACAAGGTGGCGACACCCGAGGTCAGGGAAATACCGTACAGCGAGGCCAAACATACCACAACACGCACTGGTCATATTCATGCCTTCTCTCCCTTCCACGTCCTGCACTAATTATCCACCAGCAAAATGCCTCGCTCACCTCGCCCTCTGTTGGAGGTTCCCGAGTCCTACAGCTCTCTCCCTTTACGCCAAATCAAGGTCACCAATGTGCCCGAGTCATCTCAGATCGTGACTCCCGTGCTACTGATCACGCTGAACCGACCCCAAAAACTCAATGCCTTCACCGAGTTTATGCGGGAGGACTTGGAACGGGTCTACGAGCTTGTGAATATTGACCCCCGAGTCAAAGCGGTGGTTTTGACGGGCGCTGGGAATGCCTTCTGCGCAGGAGCCGATCTCGAAATTGGATTCCCAGGAGTCAAAGACGAGCACGGGACGCTTCGAAGACCGAAGACAGAGCGCGACATCGATCATCGAGACGGGTAAGATAGGAATTCCAGAGTAAAAGCGTAGAAGCTAACAAATGGCAGTGGTGGAAGAGCGGCACTGGCAATTCATTATTGTACTAAGCCCACGGTAGCGGCCATACAAGGCTCTGCCGTCGGTGTGGGTATTACACTTACACTGCCCGCAGCGATTCGCGTCGCCTACGCGAAGGCCAATGTCGGGTTTGTCTTCAGTAGACGAGGTGTTGTAATGGAGGCCTGCTCCAGCTATTTCCTTCCTCGCTTGATCGGTCACTCCAGGGCAATCCACCTGGCTGCCATGGGCGCCGCGTATAGCGCCGACCATCGCCTCTTCAGCACCCTTTTCTCCGAAGTGTGTGCAACGCCGGAGGCGACTTTGGCACGGGCGCTCGAACTCGCTCAAAATCTTGCGCAAAACACGTCGACAGTTTCGACAAAAATCATGAGAGAATTGATGTACCGAGGCCCTGATAACGTTGAAGAAGCACACCTGCTTGATTCGCAGATGATTTATGGCCTATATGGACGCAAGGACAATCTTGAGGGTGTACAGAGTTTCCTGCAGAAGAGGCCAGTGAATTTCACGGGCCAGTTGCCGCAAGATGCGCCAGATGGATATCCATGGTGGAGGCAAATCGATATCGGCGATAAGCCTCTGGAGTACAGCCATGAAAAGGCCAAGCTGTAAATACAAACAATTGTTTTGGCCCAGCCATAGAAGATAGCCTTGTTCGGAGTTCGGTGGTGTCGACCCACCACCCCTCTAATGCTATTTCCAAAACCCGAATTACTGATAAATTCGGCCGACCAAGGACGAAGCCCCAGTCTCGATAGATATCCTGGCTTGTGCTGAACAATGACCAAGCAGTCGAAGTGCGGCGCAAATGCGTCTTCGTCCTCGACGGCCCAAGTGGAGTACGGATTCATCGCATGGTTTATTGCGTCCCGCCACAACTTGATTGATTGCAAGCGGAACCTTGAGGATCATGTTATAAATGTGCCTAGCCAGGTATGGAACAAGAACATGAAGCGACCATTACTTGAATATACTTAAATCTATTATACCACAACCGCCCTTCGCTGTCAGATTGAGATCCTTACGACCACCTTGGGACGTAGACAGGACAAATTCAACTTCGAACCTCCTGATATTTCGGCGGGAAATCATGGCTACTCACGTTTTTGAATGCGCTCCAGAACCGTCGTCTGAGCTGGGTCGGTACAGGATTCTATCTAGCACCGCAGGCGTCCGGGTGTCTCCTTTGTGCCTGGGTGCTTTGTCGATTGGGGACGCATGGCAAGCAGTATGTCATCCGCCGTGTATTCATTGTAGACACTCCACCGCCATTTCCTAGACATACTGACGAATACACGACACGCAGATGTTGGGCAGCATGAGCAAAGAGGCCTCGTTTAAGTTGCTCGATGCGTATTACAACGCCGGTGGCAACTTCATCGACACTGCGGTAAGCCCAGGCCCTCGCGTAATCCGTTTACCTCTAAGTCACTGCCACAGAACAACTACCAGGACGAGCAGTCAGAGAAGTGGGTTGGAGAATGGATGGCTGAGAGGAAGAATCGAGACATGCTGGTCGTGGCCACCAAGTAAGCCCCCGGCGTCAGTGTCGCAGCGAATAGGTATAGATGGAGACCGGCAATGTTTGCTCACGCGTCCGTTAGATTCACCTCTGCATACCGCAGCCACGAACTGGGCAAGAGGCACACTGCCAACTTCTCCGGCAACCACAAAAAGTCTCTCAACCTCTCTGTGGCCGCATCGCTCAAGAAGCTACAGACAAGCTATATCGATCTTCTGTACCTACACTGGTGGGTAAGTCAATTGGAAGCGAGTGATCCTACTTCAATGTTCCATTACTTACGGCCTCCAGGACTGGAGCACTTCCATCGAAGAACTCATGGACAGCCTGCATATGCTAGTAGAGCAAGGCAAAGTCCTATACCTCGGCATCAGCGATACGCCCGCTTGGATCGTCAGTGCCGCCAATACCTATGCCCGGAATCACGGGAAGACGCCATTTAGTGTGTACCAAGGCCGCTGGAACGTCATGCTTCGAGACTTCGAACGAGACATCATACCCATGGCGCGCCATTTCGGCATGGCACTGGCCCCCTGGGATGTCATTGGTGGTGGTAAGTTTCAATCCCAGAAACAAATCAAGGAACGCGAAAAGGCCGGCGAAGGTCTACGGTCCATGTTAGGCGCAGGTCAATCAGCCCAGGAGGCCAAGGTTAGTGTGGCATTGGACAAGGTCGCCCAGGAGCACGGAACAACGAGCTTGGCCACTATTGCGCTGGCCTATGTCATCCAAAAGGCGCCAAACGTAATCCCGATCATTGGCGGGCGCAAGATCGAACATCTGCAGGACAACATCACCGCGTTGAGTATAAAGCTGAGCAGTGAGCAGATGCAGTATCTGGAGAGTCAGACCGATTTTGACATTGGATTTCCTGGTAATTTTGTAGGCGAGAGTCCGGCGGCGACGGGCCACAGCTCCAATATGGTCGCAGCGACCGCACAGATTGGGTATCCGACTCCGCCGAAGCCTTTTGTAAGACAATAGGAATCACAGATTCACAATCCTCCGTAAGGACACGGGAGGGACTTCAAGGTGAATTGGAGAGCCAATGATCAAGTCCACAAGGAGCAGAGGGATTGAAAAGATCCAGTAATCGTCCATAGCACACGCTCACTGATTTGATCTACTGGTCAGCGTTCGATGGCCAGGGCTCACGCATACTGTATACTACGAAACGGTACTATCAATATAAGAGTGAAAAGGTGGGGACAACGGGTTTGAAGTGGCTCTAGTTGGCCAGCGCTCACAGATTTCCTGCCCTTTGTGAAGGCCAAGAAAGAGCCATCAGAATGCATGCCATAGCTTTTCCTCCCAAGGGAAGTGCTCTCCATGCTGATCTCCAGAGTCCAATGATCGTGTTGCCAGGTGACTAGCGGAAGAGTTCGAAGTAATGCAGGCCTACTGCGATTTGCATTTGGCGGAGTTCGGGCCTCGGAATTTCGGTTTTTCGTTCTTGGTTCGTGAGAATGGGGGATGCTCGATTCGCTTTCCCGGCGACAAATTCTACAGATACAGGCATTCACAACCTCTGAATCGGGCACTTCTTCTACCAGTCCCCTCTATCTTGAAGTAAACTGATTTCAATCCTTTATCGTTATATCAAAGTACTATATTGTCGGAACACGGGTCAGAATGGGTTCTCTATCCGTAGCGCAAGACTTTAACGTTTTTACTGGCTTCTACAACACAATCGATGGAAATTCAACCAAAACCGAGAAGACCAGGCATAGCATCAACCCAGCTACTGGAAAGCCCAATCCGGATGTGCCAGTCTCAACTCCAGAGGACGTTGACCATGCCGTTGCATCAGCAAAGAAGGCCTTTAAAACATGGTCGAAAACTCCTTGGGAAGAACGAAAAAAGGCGGTCCTCAAATTTGCTGATGCTCTCGAGGCACATACAGACGACTTTGCGAAACTCCTGACTCAAGAACAAGGCAAACCGGTAAGCGTCCTCGAGACTTCCGAGGGCGGAAAGCCTAATTTAATCCTTTCAAAAATAGCTTCGATTTGCCGTTCAAGAGGTCCAGGTCGGGGTTCTCTGGATGCGCAAACTCGCGGAAATAGAGTTAAAAGAGGAGACGATCGAGGAGAACGCCGAAAAACAAGTCATCGTTCGATATACACCTCTTGGGATCACAGTCGGCATCGTCCCGTGGAATTTCCCTATCCATTTAGCGTGTGGTAAGATAGCACCGTCGTTAATCACTGGAAATCCTATCATCATAAAGCCGTCTCCTTTTACTCCTTACTGCAACCTTAAGCTCGGAGAGCTAGGACAACGTATCTTTCCACCTGGAGTTCTTCAAGTATTGAGCGGCGACGACAACCTGGGTCCTTGGCTTACATCTCATCCCGGGCCTGATAAAATTAGTTTTACTGGATCCACTACCACTGGTCGACTTGTGATGTCTAGCGCCGCAAAGACCTTGAAGAGGGTAACTCTCGAATTGCAAGTTATAGTACTATTGAACTCTCCCTGGAACTCTTTTCTAATCCAAAATAGGGGCGGAAATGATCCAGCCATCATTACAAAGAACGTCGACATTCCGAAGACTGCTGAGAAGGTATAGCAAAAAAACTCGGTTTCCGCACTTTCTACTATGTGTTAACCTTAAGCGTAGATTGCAACCCTGGCATTTCTCAACTCAGGTCAAATTTGCCTCGCAATTAAGCGAATTTATGTACACGAATCGATCTATGAGGACTTCCGAGCCGCGATAGTGGCCTTTACCAAGACTCTTAAGATTGGTGATGGAAACGAGGAAGATGTATTCCTTGGGCCCGTCCAAAATGCTATGCAGTATGAGAAGGTCAAGACGTTCTTTTCCGATATTGAGAAGGAGAACTGGAAGGTAGCGGTGGGTGGTAATAATAAAGAGGGGCCTGGCTACTTCATCAATCCAACTATTATTGACAAACCGGCGGAAGGCTCTCGCATTGTCACAGAAGAACCTTTTGGTCCTATCGTACCTATGCTCACGTGGAGTAACGAGGACGATGTGATTGCACGTGCAAATGACACGAAGACCGGTCTAGGGGCGTCAGTGTGGTCTGACGATATGGATGAAGCCAACCGAATCGCGCGTCAATTGGACGCCGGGAGCGTCTGGGTCAACACCCACATCGAGCTGGATCCCAATGCCCCATTTGGTGGCCACAAGGAGAGCGGTGTCGGATATGAATGGAGTGGTAAGTTGATCCGCCGGCCGAAAATTTGCGGTGGCCAACTCGATCCACTTTCTTACTGACGGTCTTGCAGTTGGTGGCCTCAGGGCGTTTTGTAACGTGCAAACTCTCTTCTTGAAGAAGACAGCCTGAGTAGGGGCGACTGAAGACGGGACTACGAAGGGAATGCATATTGGCGGGAAAAGCGAAGGTCTGTTGATGTTGTGCTCCGTATGTCTGTTTGCATATCCTCCAAATAAATAAAATTGCGTCCTTCGCGGCCATTACGGACACCAGCCACCTCACTGGGGCCTTCAAGAGCCACCGTAAGCACTACATGTATCTCCCACAACAGACACCCACAGTCGGCCTTGGGGGTTTTGAGGTTCATAATAGCAATTTTATGCCGCAACCTTAGATAGGAGCTAGAATAAAGCAAGTACCGCTAATTCCGAGTTCAGAAAGGTGAGGTGAAGGATGATTGTCGGGGCTAGATGCGACCCAGAAGCGTTATATTGCTGCAAGCGATAGCAAGGCTACACAATCCATAGAGACAAAATTCTCCTTCTATCTGTCGCACTATGAACGGCCTTTCCAAACTTCAAAGGGCAGATTTCAACATCTGGGAACGCCCCGCATCTCTTCTGGCCCACTCTCTGATTGTGCTTCTCATTATTTTGCCGCTGGGAAGCCGGGGTATGGATTGTACAAACTGGACACCTCCCGTTAAATGCTTGTGCTTGGCCACACGGCCAGCGACATAGGACTGTATGTCCGGCTCGGTGAGCCATTCTGGTGCCGGGTCCAGGCGTTTCACGACGTACGCACGAGGATATTCGTTTCCATCAACGATCAAGCCTACAACGGCAGCGTCGGATATTTCTTCGTACTGTAGTAGCACAGCTTCAAGCTCTGCAGGGGCGACTTGGAAGCCGTTGACTTTTATGATCTCCTTTCGTCTATCCACGACCCACCAGAGATCATTTTTGACCACGACAATATCACCGGTCCTCAGCCAGCCATCCGCTGTCACCGTCTCATGCGTAGCCTTCTCATTGTTCCAGTAACCGAGCATCGTCTGCGGACCGCGCACCCACAGCTCTCCCGGGGTGTCTGCGACTTCAAGACCCTCGTCGTCCACGATTTTCGCTTCCGTGTTTGGTAGAAGGTACCCTGAGCTGCCCCCCTCGTCACGCACATTGTCAGGTGACAGCATGCCAACGCAGGTGGTTTCAGTCATTCCCCAGCCGCGGGCAATGAACAAATTGTGTCGATCCGCCAACTCATTTGAAAGTTGGACGGACATCGCAGCCGCACCGACCATAATATTCCTTAGACTGCTGATATCGTATTTGGCCGTCTCGGGTCGTTTTGCTAGCATATTCATGACTGGTGGAACTGCTTGGAGAGTGGTGATTCTGTGTCGCTGAATGAGTTGCAGGAATTCGATGAACGAGAACGCTTGCATGATGTAGACGGTAGCTTCCAGTCGACATGCGATATTGATCGTAAACAGTTGTGAGAACGCATGATAAAGGGGTAGAAAGGCCAGCCATCTCTCATTCTTCTTATCAGCTTCTTGGTTCTGTCTTGATAGCTTAACGTGCATTGTTTGGGACGAGTTGGCGACCAGATTGTAGTGGCTAATGCAAACACCCTTGGGCAAGCCGGTGGTCCCGCTAGAGAAATTGATTGCGGCGATTTGTGTAGTCGCCTCGTCGCCGAGATCATCCCAAGTCCAAGAGAGAGCATCTTTCTCTGGAGAGAGAAATGTTTTCCAATCGCGAATCCCCTGCTGCTCTGGACAGTCCGAGTCACTGAACAGGAAAACTTTGGTCGAGGGCAGATTTGCCTTTCTCACAGCGGCATAACCGGTATGGAATAAGCTGGGATGGACGAGGACAACGGCCGGCTTTACTGCAGCCATTTGAAACGACAACTCCTCAACGGTGTAAGTTGGGTTTGCTCCCGTGTAGTACCTCTTGGACCCCGCGGCTCCAAGATACACTACTGGCACGAAGACGTGATTTGGTGTGAAGACCATGATGGCTTCGTTTGCAGCAACTTCTAGGCGGTCGAGTCCGAGTGCGAATCTTTGAACCCATCGCAGTAGGCTGGCAGGTGAGAGCCACCTTTCGGGAGACCTTGCATCTATCCATACGGGTTTTGTAGATGGTGCCTTGTTTCTGGGAAACAAATATGAAAGGATATTGCATCGTGGAATGTCGAGATCGTCAAACTTGGATTTGTAAACCATGATGCCGCTGTCTTGAGGTGCCCGTCGTGTGTTTTGCGTCCCTGGGTCGAGACTAACATAAAATTCGATCTCGCTGTTTTTCACATTGAGCATTTCCAGTGGTGCTCGACATATGGTCGGGCGAATGCGACGAATGAGGGATCACAGCCGAAGGCCGAAAGCCACACACGAGGCCATTCGGGGATCGGGTATGATAAAATCATGACTGTGTTTGGATCCGAAGTGACAAATACACACTATGTTCGTCAATTGCTGAGAACTTCCATGTCCAGGGTTTAGTCAGATTACTCTATTTGCCATGCTATCAAGAGCACGCTAAGTCGTGCCACAACTGAGTGCTTTCGGTCCTCGGGAGCTTTGAATGTTTCTACTGACAAGTCTCGGCTACACCTTCTATCTGCCTGCCAACGAAACTAATCTAGCAGAATATGCATATATCTGGAGTTATAGACATGTTCAGGCTCCACAGGAGCAGTGTCCCATGAGCTCCTACGTACCATTGGTGCTTATAGTCACGTAATTTAGGAGAATGGATTCATTCAAAGACAAGGTGGTAAGGCTCTCCAAACTCGATTGGGATGCTGGAGACGCTGAAACTTGGTGCCCAAGATCGCCATCACTGGGGGAGCCTCAGGAATTGGTCTCGCCACGGCCAAAGAACTCTCCTTGCGTGGTGCCACCATTTCACTCGCAGACATCAATAAGACCGGAATTGATGATGCTCTCAAGGCTTTAGCAGGTAGCGGTGGCAGTCACACTGGCGCCGTGGTTAACGTCCGCGACAGCAGAGCCATTACTGAATGGATCAATCAAACAGTGGTAGACCATGGTAAGCTAGATGGGGCAGCTAATCTAGCCGGCACGATTCACATCCAACGCCCGATTGCAGCGGAGACGGATGAGATCTGGGCAAGGACGATGGATGTTAATACCAACGGCGTATTCTATAGTCTAAGGGCTGAGTTGAACGTTATGAAAGATGGCGGGAGTATTGTATGTGCCACCTCTCCACCGTTGGGTAGGCTAGGGGTGATGCCGTCAAGAATGGGTGAGCTAACTCCGTGACCGCAATCTGACAGGTCAACGCGAGTAGCGTTGCTGGCCATATCGGCTTCCAAGGGATGGCGGCATACTGTGCGAGTAAAGCGGCCGTTAATCTCTTGACGAAGACGGCAGCGCGCGAACATCCCGGGATCAGGGTGAACGCTGTCTCACCAGGTATGTTTCCAGAATCTAGTCGATCAGGAATGAATTAAGTGCTGATTGAAACGCTGATGGCCAGGGGCCACTGCAACTCCTATGGTCAAAGCCATGGAGGAGCAAATGGGGCATAGCCAGCCCACATCCGCGGCATGCATACCTCGCCAGGCGGATCCCATTGAGATTGCCAAAGCGATTGCGTTTCTTCTGAGTGACGATGCCAGTTTCGTTACTGGCACCGTGTTCGATGTGGATGGTGGTTACATGGCTTGAGAGATGGAAATGCATTAGCTATGAATATATGGATTATCAGAAACGAATTCAATATAAGCTTGCTCAGGAGACGAGCGAATACGTCGCTGACGAGCAAGTTTGCTAGTCAAGAAATACAGACTGTCTGTCTATAGCACCAATTTCATTCTCCATAAACTATCTTGATATCTCTGTGAAAGCCACATGGCACATGTCTAAGCTTATCAGTCCTCCTAGTCCTGCAATCAGATGCACGTGCTCCTGAACTTTGGGCGTTTTGACAAAGCTATTGTGAGCCTCAATACTCTCCCAGCCAAACATCATGATGAAAGCTTTCCCTTTCTTGTCCTGGCCCGGAATCTCTACCTCCTCCAGCACCCAGCCCCCAGAACTAGCGATACAGCCATCAGGGGTGTCCAAAATTGCCCTGAACTTCTTAGTGTCAGAGACAACCTTTTCCTGTGTCAACTCAGGGAGATCAACAGGAAAATATATGGTGGCCACCTCGGTAACAGGGGACTGGGGCTTCGTCAGTATCCCAGGGGCAGGCTCTGGAGTAAGTTCTGCATGATATATTACAGGCGTCCCAGCGAAGAGGGGCGACAGATCCGTAGCATCATCGCGCCTGTTTACGAATGATCTGGTCAGTAACACCGTCTCCAAACTTGGTCCTAATATGGAGGGGAAAACATACGGGTTATTTGTGAAGTTGACGTGATGTTGCAAAGTATCCCAATCAACCAGCAGATACAATAGATCCGGGTGCTCGACCGCCCGGCCCCAATAGCACCTTTGAGCTCCTGGTGATTTCAAGATGTCGGAAATGCGTCCCTGCATAAGGCTGCTTGCGGAGGTGCCCACATCCTCAGGGCGGTCGCCGTGACTGAGTGGCACAATCGCTATTGAAGTCACTGTCATTGTCCACGTGCGAATGGCTCGCTAACCTTCAAGCAAGGTAGTGGTTTATTCGAATTCTTATACTGTAGAAAGCACGATATCGCACTACACGTGAGGCGCGAATTTCCAGGAAAGGGGCACAAGAAGATAAAGACGTCTTAGCCCCACCTAAGGTATCAATATTCGCCTTCCAAGAACCCTTTACTCCATCAGCTGGTCGTTAAATCTCGTGATCCCACCATTGGCGGCACAAGTGAAACGAAGCCCACGAACGGGGGTATTTTCCCTCATTCGGCTCTCGAGGGTGTCGATGAGAAGCCACTTCGGACTACCGAACTTTTCTTGAGCTAGTTCCTCCAAACCCGAAAGCCCCACCCCTGCTTAGAAGGCGTCAAAACTTAAATTATACTTCAAGCGGACATGTGTGGACCGTGGAAATCTCGCGTACCCCATTGTTGCTGTTCGTCCTTGGCGGTGCTGGATGCATTGCGGGCGTCGATCAGTGATTCCAAAGGCGTGATCTTCTAGGCTGGTCGCCTCTGCCGCAATTGTACGTCGTCCACCTGGCATGAGTAAGTGATAGTCGCATTCCTTCCATCATTCACCCTTCACGTGCCAAGGAGTTCGATTCATTTCAACATGCCCACCCAGACCCAATGTATGATCGTCAAGCCAGCCCACCACGAGCCGGCACCGTGGCCGGTGAGAACACCTGAGGGAGTTCATCGAGCCTTTTGTTGGTTGACTGTGTGGCTCGCCTTGTAATTTCATTAAGAGGATAACTCGATCTCGCTATGTACGACATCTACTGGCTAGGGACGCTACATCACCGCTCTGGTGAGAATCAACTCTTCTAGCCTACTGCCATCAGGATTTATAGGAAGAATGTCCTTCATACACTTGTTATTTCCACCGGGAGCTCTAGAAGACTCTGAAAACACATGGTACGAACCGGCCACCAAGAAAAGGAGAGTCGACCCAGAAGTGGTGCGTGCAGAAAGGACAATACCAAGGTCCTTGAGCAAGCAATCACATGGAACTCGGGGTCATGGGCGAAGATGCTCCAAATATTCAGAGCAAGTCGCGTCTTGGAAGGCAAGGCGCTGTCATTCGCAACACTCAGCCAGAAGCCCCAGCCGACCCAGCCCAGCTATAAATAAATGCGGTCTCCTTGACGTTGTCAGGACTTACGCCCTTGCGAACCACCTCGTCGATCCTGCAAGCCTTCACTTTGAATCCCAATCCAAAAAATCGTTAACTTGCGACTCTTGGGATACTCCATGCTCTCCTCCGCAGTTCGATCATGACTCGATCTCTCTATCTTCACCTACATACAGCACCCCAGCGCCTGCGACTCCAGCATCCGTTTGTGACCAATTCCGTTCCGGACCATTTGGTCACATCTTCGATGGCCTACGACTCACAGACCAAGAGCGAGACTTGATGGAGGAACTGGTCGACCCCAGCACAGGTCTGCAGACGTTTGAATCTCCATACCAACCTCGAAAAGCACCGACCGAGAGTGAGATTGTCGAAACACTGTCTCAACGAAATTTTTTGGACATCAAATATTCCGCTTTCAATCAATTAAGGCCAAGTAACCTTCAATCACCCAAAGGCCTATCAGTCTCGTTTGTAGATAGACCAAGAAGTGGCAGTATGCCGAAGACTGAGGAACAGGACTGAGAACTTCGCACTGAAGAGACTACTTCCCCTTTTGACCTTCTCGCACTTCTCTGTCTCCCTCTTTTTACTTTACTACTCGACAGACAGCTCCAACATACAGCCCTACCGGAGATCCAATACAAGACGAAATACTTACAGAGTAATTTATTGCCAACATGGTCATCTGGTCTTCCATACATCGTTTTCCTTGATTCTCTATGACAAGAAGAGTTGTGTTCACATTACTGAAGTCCTCGAATGTGTCCACAGTCCTCTGCGCATGTAACTCGTTGAGACTGGAGAGGCTATTCACTTGGGACTGAAGATAGAGCCACTAAGGGAACCAAACGGATATCCATGAGATAGATGTACCAATCGGCTGTTGCCATTTTATGACACCCATTAGCGCCACCTGATAACTTTGGAAGTTTCCATTCTTTTGATACCTTCAATTACACTGCTCCGTGTAATTTGGAGCCATCTAAGAGCCATAGAACAGATTCTTTCTGGAACCTTTGTCGAATAGCATCGGTCGGATCTCCGATCTCGGCGCAAAGCACATCATGGCAAGATTTTGGTCTCTCATTCCAAAAGCTCATGATCGGGAGCCTAGAGCACATCAAGCCCAGGAAGACACGATAGGCTCGAAGAATCAACCTCTACCACAAATGCTGAACCTCATCGTTCTGTCCACGTGATTTCTCATCTTGAGAGTTGCCCGTACATATCGGTGATCGACCACGAAACTCTTCGGATTTTTCGAAAGTATGGTACACAATAGGGGAGGAATGAGGTTTACCCCTGCTTACATGGTGACAAGCTCCGCATAAAGCTCATTTCCGAATACCTTACATGAGGCATAGGATTGATCTCTGCATTTGGGTTTTGTGGCCTCCTGACTCGTCAGCGGCTAATAAGTTTGGTCGTGGAGATTTTTCGTGCTCGTGAACGTGAGCTCCGAAACCCGAAGTGTTTTGTGGCCCGCGCTCCCCTTGTGTGGCGGATGCTAGACACCAACCACCTAATACTCATGAGAGACCTAGACTGACCTCAGCCAATCTCAAGCTGTGCTCACACCAATGCCGACCATAGCCATTGGATTGAGGTGCTCGTATCAAAGCACTTTCCCGTATTTCCATCGGCATGAATGACCAATTGCTGGGTAGCTCGCGGGATACTCTTCGGGCAAATTGACTGTGACAGGAAGACTGCCTGCGGGGCCCTCGAGTTTGTCTTCTACCCCACGGGGTAGATCGGACCATGGCTCGGCTGTGCTCACAGCGCAGAGTATAGTGTTTTCTATATATTTATCCACCATTGCAAACCTCTGACTGAAAAGACTTCCCCTAATGAGACATTGCAAATTTTCCTGAACTTCACCCATCGAATTGTAATCATGGCGAAACTTACCAACTACAACATTAAAGTCTGTTTGGTTGTAATCATAGCTGCCTTCAGCTTTGGCTTTGGAGCGTCCATCTTCGTCACCAGCGTTGGGCAACCTGGATTCTACCGCTATTATGATCTCGACCCTACCAGTTTGCGTGAGTGCTCGCCCGCTTCTACAAGTCTAAAGTGCTAATCAGATAGACACGGCCAATATTCTCAGCGCTATCAATGCACTATTCTTTTTCGGGTGTGCGGTTGGTGCCATTGGCCAGTGCTTCGTTGCCGACTGGATCGGAAGGAAGGGTGCCTTGACCAGTTCTGCGATATTCTCCATCATTGGCAGCGCCTTGGTCGCCGGCTCAGTCAACATCCCAATGCTCTTTGTCATGCGCATCATCCAAGGCGTTGGATTGGGCATGCTGCTCGCTTTAGTGCCACTATACCTCACCGAGGTTGCTCCACCACAGCACCGTGGGTTTCTCACGGGTTCGACTCAATTCTCCACTGGTATTGGCTACATAGTGTAGGATTCCCCGTCCAGCTTGTGTCTTCGAATGCTCCTGCTGATAAGCTCGATCTAGTTGCTCATGGGGCTCGCTTGGTTGCTATCATGCCGAAAACCTGACGGTCAGCTGGCGGCTCCCGCTCGCCCTTGCATGCGTGGGACCCATAGCACTTTATATCGGCCTCCTTTTTGTGCCAGGTAAGGCATCTATATCTTTCATCTCTCATCAAATGTGCTGATTGGATCACACAGAATCACCTCGATACCTCATCTGGAAGGGAAAGAAAGATGAAGCCTGGGCCATCTTAAAGAGGCTACACCACGACCCATCCAATCCTTCCGAGGCGGATGCAAGCGCTGAGTTTACCCAGATCTTGAGACAGGTTGAGATGGACAAAGAAGAAAATCCTACGTTTTGGAAGATGTTCAAGGTGCCCTCTTGGCGACGTCGATCTATCTCGGTGCTATTTCTCCTGTGGGTGTATATGCCTATGCTTGATTGATCTAGAAAGTAGTGTACTAAGTTTGTCTAGGTTCGCCCAACAAGGGTCGGGTGTAAGTCCGCTGAATACGATGAACACCACTTCGCAAGAGTTGAAGTCAAGAATATCTTACTGACCCTGGACTGTAGATTTACGGTATTACCAACTTCTTCCCTCTTCTTATCGGGTCTCTCGGCTTGACAGGGGATGTCCCTCTGATCTTGTATGGTGAGTATCTCACAATGGTTGCGACCGATGAACTTGGCTTAAAGTCTTAGCGTCTTATACCACGGTCGCCACCATCTCAATCTTTATCACCATGTGGCTGGTCGATCGATTCGGCCGCAGAGTGCTCCTCTGTAAGTTTTAGTCAGAATGAATGCGAAGTCCACCTCAGCTAACAAGTTGACCAAGTGACCGGGTTTGCGTCGGTGGCATGTATTCTGTTTACTGAAGCTCTTCTGCAGTGGAAGTACCAGGGGACATCTAACAAAGCCGGGAACAATGCATGCATTTTCTTCATCTTCATGTTTATTGCATTCTTCCAGGTTTGTCACCTTCGCTTGATTAGTTTTCCAATCGAATGACTGAAACACAAAGTGTATCGATGCTCCCACATTCGTCTGGGCCGCCGAGATATTTCCCACCACGCTTCGGGCCAAGGGTGTCAGCTTAGCCATATTCGCCTATTTCGCTGGAACCATTACATTTTCGACACCGGCACCTGTGGCATTGCAAAGCATGTAAGTATATCGTCCAAGTCAGAACACTCTAAGATGCTCACAAAATCCACAGCAAGTGGGGCATGTTCCTGATTTACGCCGGGCTCTGTGTCATCTCCTTCGTTATCACCTACTTTTATATTCCCGAGACTAAGGGCCTTCCTGTTGAAGAAATTGGTGCTCTTTTTGGTGACACGGTCGCTGTGCACTTGACAGCCGATGGGGAGGGCATCGTGGAAGAGAAGCCCGAAGAAGGCCAAGTTGAGGACAATGCGCTACATATTGTTCAAAAGGTGTAAAGATACTGGTATCGCCGACCTCGATGCCATCTAGTGGGCATGCAGTCCAAAGGAGGAGGTCAAGCGGCAGTGTGACTGTGCCCTTCGCAAAGGAGGGTTAGGGCAATATTTTGGAAGGCTGGAATAGAGTGGGAGGTGGAAGAAGTTGTTGATTCAAAAGAGACGTGCCGGTTTTGAGGACACTAGCAGAAGCATCAAATTTGAGAGTAGAATATGTATCTCATCCTACTCTTGCCAGCTTTCAAATCTCCATACTGGACTTGAACAATAATACAGACCAAGAATTCAGCAAGCCAATATTTAACCATGCAACATTTCCGAGTAGGCTATGGAAAGCTATAAATATATAAGACGTTGGCACACCAATGATCAGGCACCGACTGCAAGAAGAGACTCGACTGTGTCGATGACACAATTTTCGAATTTTCGGTAGTCGAGCTTCAGCACCTGTTTACTGCTTGAGCTGTCATAGCCATATACATCTTTTGGCATATCATCGTCCAACTTGGCTGGAAGTCGATCTGCGAGAGCCGGAAAGTTATCCTTGATGGTGCGGGCGATCTTCGCGTTGGTCATATAGGTATCACCTGCAATCAAAAATCTCTTGCCACCGGCTTCAGGGACTTCCGCTGCTTTCACGTGCGCGAGAGCGACATCTCGAACATCTGCCCACAAGTAGACTCCAAAAGTGGGTGGAAGAGCGTCCTTACACTTGCCCTGAATCATATTCCGAATGCGTTCGTTCGAGGTATTGATGCTATCTAGGGAGCTGAGGTAATGAATGACCGGGCCAAGCACCAAAGGTGGATTGATCGTGGCAAGATCGAAGTTGGGCTTTTCGTTTGCGATGAAGTCCCAGGCAGCCTTTTCGGCAAACTTCTTACTCGCCCGGTAGGCATTGGCGGCGTTCAATTTGGCTTCTACCATAGTGATGGGATTCCAGCTTGTCTCATCGTAGGCCTCAGGATGCTGACTTGGATGGATCATTGATGCGAACGACGACGTGATCACGACTCTCGTGACTGAAGGTGCAGCTGCCTGCACCGCGCGGAGCAATCCAACAGTTCCGATAATGGCTGGATCCAGAAGATCTTTAGGATCGGTGATGTTCAGATGAAAAGGTGAGGCGGTGTGCAACACGGCATCAAATGGTGGCTCAGACTTGACTGCTTCGTCAAATGCATTCTCTTTGGCGATGTCCTTGACGATGACATAGCTGAGTCTATTGAAAGGCGTACCCGCGTAGTTGCTCAGTATCTTCTGACCTTTCTCGTCGGAGCGGACTGTGAAGACGATGCTATGACCACGCTGCAGAAGATGGTCGATGCAGTGAGCTGCGATAAAGCCCGAGCCACCAGTAAGAAGAACTTTCATGTTGGAGGTTCAATACTCCTCGCTAGGCTGGACGGTGGTGGTGTGTCGACCCTTCCAGAGCGGAGCCATCGCCAGGATATATTCCTGCAATATGAACCTGGTTCGTTGATTATTCACCCTAGTTCCCTTTCCCTGTGACCCAGACACCTAGATCCTGTGAACGATTGCGTGTATCAATATCGATGAAATCACCTGATCCTGGTTGTGTCGGTCGCTGACTAAACAAGTAAAGAGGATATCCGACACCCGAAGACGTAAACTCATCCTTGTCCTCATCCTCCGAACCCCGAGCAATGAAAGGACGAATGAGTCGCTGATATAGATGAGTTCCTGCTGTCGTCAGCAGCCTCTCCACTGAAACTGCTTACTCAATCATACTTCGTCCACCGTTGTCCACCGTTGTCCCCGGTCGGATGTTCACGATGATCGACCGGCCGGAGCCCTGGCTATGTTCAGTCGTCGTGATGGTTTAAATTGAGACAAAATTATCGCACGACACGTTGTAAAATGGGCAAATGTCATAGCTCCTCCCTTGATATCTACTAGTTGGAGCCTCCTCTATCTCCTCGACTGTTCACCAAACAACAACCCAACAACTAGAACACCTAGATATCCCAAGCAACGCCCAAATATGGCCAAAGTTCTTGCAGTGCTTGGCGCGACCGGCCAACAAGGGTCCTCCGTGGTAGAATATGTGATCAATGACCAGGAACTCTCGCAAAAATATGCCATTCGCGCGGTGACACGAAGCGTTGACTCAGCTAAGGCTCAGTTGCTCAAGGAAAAAGTTGAAGTGGTCCAGGGTGATGTATCTGACCAAGCATCTCTCGAGAAAGCTTTCACCGGTGTACACACCTTGTTTGCCATGACAACCCCTGCGCTTGGCGAAGACGCGATCCAGATCGAGTACAATATCATCAAAACTATTGCCGATGTGGCGGTCGAGAAAGGAGTCGAGTACATAATCTTCAGCACTCTACCATCGGTCACAGATATATCTCAGGGGAAGTATCAAGGCGTAACACCGTTTGACGCCAAGGCAAAAGGTGAAGAGTATATTCGTGGTCTTCCTATCAAGAGCTCCTTCTACTGTCCGGGATCATTCATGGAGAATTTTGCCTCTCAGCCGTTCCTTGCTCCACAGCCAGATCCAGATCATAACGGTACCTGGGTCCTGAGCCGCAACATGCCTTCTGAGAGCGAGATGCCTTTAATTGACGCCATTGGTGACGGAGGGAAATTTGTGGGCGCCATCCTCGCCGATCCCGACAAGTATCAAGGCAAGAAAATATGTGCCGCAACAAAGCTGTATACCATGGAGGAAATGGCAACTGTCTTGTCCGAATCGACCGGCAAGACCGTCATCTACAAACAAGTTTCCGATGAGAAGTTTGCCCAGAGCCTCCCTCCGCCAGTGGTGACGATTTTCGTGGACTACTTCAAGTACATCGGTGAATTTGGATATTTCGGTCCAGGCTCCAAGGAACTGGTAGCTTGGGCCGCTGCGCAGGCGCGAGGCAAGCTATCTACTTTCCAGGAGTATCTGAAGGCACATCCCTATGAACTGGCATAGGTTCGTTTGCGAACTCCACGGGGAGGGAGTGATGGGAAGTGGGCATAATTGGTTCTGATCTATTCCTACAGTGGAGTTTTCTCTAGCTGGTATTCAGAATGCGGCCTATGCACTGGCACATACACTTGTACAGATCTCCCCTGGTGAAGAGAGCACTTCGGTAAATCTTTCGAGGTCATGTGAGAAATGAGAGAACCAATCCTTATTACAAATTTCGTCTCTGCCATCCCGCATTCATTTACACTGTCAAAGGAATCAAGTATAAGCATAGTTGGGAGTTTGATGTGACGTTTTTCATTGGCACGGGTTATCCGGAGCCCTAACGTAGGTAGATAAAGGTAAGATCAAAGGGGTGTTGAAATCAAATGAAGATCGTCTTCAGTCCTGATCGATCGCCATCCAACTAGCTTTACCCATCACCTCCCGCTCATACCTAGACGGGGCGTCTCAACGTAGCACACTAGCTTTAGCTCCTCTTTCGTACCCAGACTCGTTATTAACCAGCAGAATCACTCTGAACTTAATTCCGACGGATTCCGGACCCTGCCAGAAACCGAACTCGGTGTTCACCCACACGCTGACCCTCAAATTGCCGGACTACCGAGAGCGAGAGGTGGTAAAATTCAACTTGCGAGAGTGGCCAGGGTTGGGCGCGACTCCAACATCCCAGGGAATTGTCTAGGCCCGGACAACAATATGAGGTCGTAGTCACCACTTCTTTTCAGGTGTTCTTAAATGATAAGGCGATTTTGGAGCAACTCTCCAACGCGCAGGGACCTTGAAGATGGACTGCAAAAACATGAAACCTGTAACGATACTGGGAGGTGGTCTTGGGGTAAGGTCATCTACCAAGCGTGTGCCTGGCCCAAGATCTAACTAGTAGTCCCTAGGGGTTGACACTCGCCCTATCTCTACGAAAGCAAGATGTTCCATGTGTGGTCTACGAATATCGCGATGAAGAATTCCGGAAAGGAGGCGACATTGCCCTGTCGCCCAACGCTCTGCGTGTTCTGGACCACGTTGGGGTTTATGGCAGAGTGAGGAAGCAGGGTTGGAACTACGACGCTGTAAGAATGATTAGCGTCGCGGGCAAGTATCTGGGGTCCCATGCTTGGGGAGGATTGAACAGCTTCCACTACCACTGCCTACGCATCAACCGGGATATAGTTCGACGGGCTTTGTTGGCCGAGGCCCAGTTGCAGGGCATCCCTATTTACTTCAACAAGAAATGTGTAGCAATCTCAGAAGAGGGAGACGGAATTTCGCTAGCGTTCCAAGACGGCGAAACGGTCCACACAGAGTTCCTGATCGGGGCAGATGGTATTCATTCCATAACCAGACAGTACCTCTATCCTGGGAGTTACTCCAAGTACAGCGGCTTGCTCGTTGCGTTGGGCCATACCCAACGGCATCGCATTGGCAATTCGCTGGACGGGATGCATTTGCCATGTATGTTTTTCGGCAAGAACGGGACACTTTCAATTCTCCCCAATAGCTACGACGGGGAAGAGATCGGCTATTTCATCACGACAGATGTTCCAGACCGAGGTGCAGAGAATTGGGCATTGCTGGAGAAGGACAAACAGGCCATCAGTCGGATTTTCGACGAGATAATTGAAGAGAAGGGCTGGCCGCAGTTTGTGAGGGACTTGCCCAGACAAACACGCCTGGAGGACTTCCGAACATGGCCGTGAGTGTTCTGGCTTGATGTTTTTTGACCAATACTGAGCTGACTGTTTTCCATCCAGCTTCGCAAAGGTTCCTGATCTCGAACATTGGGTTTCTCGGACCGGCCGAGTAATCTTGATTGGGGATGCAGCACACGCCATCCCCCCTTCCGGCGGACAAGGAGCAGCATCCGCCTTTGAAGATGCCGAAACTCTGGCATACGTGTTGGCCAAGCTGAACTTACCTGGCTCTACACTGCCAAATCTGAGGCAAAGCCTTGCACGCTGGGAGACACATCGCATGGATCGTATCCGTCAAATTCTGAGTTACACTATTCGAGCAGGGAACATTAGGAAACGGAGTTCGGGAATGATGCAGATACTCAAAGAGTGGACCATCTGGACGATGTTCAAATTCTACGAATACAGTGGGGGAGGGCCCGCATGGATCTACAATTACAGCGCAGAGAATATCCTTAGTATTATATCCAAGTAGCGTAGACGCAAGGAAGACATTGGTTAAGTCAATTGACCTGTTTGGTTTCTGTAAGGGCTGGTACTTGCTTTTCCGAAGAGCAAACACCGAAAACCGCAAGGTAACTCCTTTCCAAGAGTGTCCGTTTACATGACTCGACCCGCTTTGATCCTGGCTCGGCTCATATTACAGTATATATTGATCATTTCTCCCAGAGCATCTGCCGCCGTGTCTGCGTAGTACTCTTTTGATTTGGTCGTATCCAGCCTTCATTCCGATATCAATTGCAGTATCGCTCAGCCTTCTATTTCCAAGACCCTTTTAATTCAAGTGTTGGCGGCTACGAGAATCAACATGGCGAAAAGCAATACAGACACAGCTGGACCCGAACGCTCAGAGAAGTATCTCCTAGGAGAAAAGATGGTGGTGGAGTTCCTTGGCAAGCCATACCAGCTCGGCGTAAGGAGAATGAAACTGCCCTTCAGATACAGGAAGCCAGGTCAAAGAATACTAATGGTTTCGTCTCCATCTTCTAGAAAAGCAACATATTCTCCGAGACTCTAAGAGAGTATACGTTCGAGCACACCCTTTCGAGCTACGCTCGACCAGGCCTCACGTTTAGAGAACGCAACCTGCTGAACATTGCACTGTTCATAGCCACTAATCGGGAACACGAACTGCGGATTAATCTGCTATCTACGGAGCACAATGGCTTATCGAAGGAGGATACTTGTGAGGCCATCCGACACTGCATGCTCTACACGGGGATGGCAGCGGGGAGAGATGCGTTCCTGGTGGCCAGCGAGTTGCTGGGGGACTAAAGTGGGGTGGCGCTGGTAAGGCTGGACTCCTGACGTGGCTGAAATTGAACGCACGGCGCGTGTGAACCGTGGAGGCATGCAGCGCCACTCGAAGAGTGGGTTTCGTGACGAAGACGTTAGCGATTCTGTAGTGAGACTGTGGCAATTTTCTCCCCGATAAATGCTTTTTATGAGGAGAAAATTCCTTTTGCTATGGATCTTAGGCTCCAAGTCTCAAGGAGACATCCACAAGGTCCTTTCTGGAGTAAAACGCATGCACCAGTAGTGATTTGCATTGTCACAATTATCAAAACCCCATCAATCTGGCAATATGCGTTGGAACTTGTTGATGCAGTGGTCGGTCTCGCGTATGGGAATCTCTCGACACTGAGAGCCTATACCCGAAATCTAGAAAGATGCCCCAATGCGCATCCCGAAGTTTCGGAGGTCCGAAACCTAACCTAAAGCCCACGGAAATGGGACCTCGGGAAAACGCCTCGGGTTTCGGGTTTTAAGTCTTTGACATTTCCCAGGATCCTGGAAATCAACCCCCATGGGGTCCTATATCTGGGGTAGATATTACCGAGGCGCAGCTCTTTCCTAAAGCTCTCATCTTCCTGCGTCCTTCTTTCTGGACCGAAATACCTCTCCTTGACTGTTTCTTCCACTGAACCCATCAGACGCCGTGATGAAATCCAACACCCACGTGACCGGGGACGTCGTCCCACCTTCCGAGGTCAAGGATGTTGAGATTGAACACCTCGATGCCGTCGAGGCTGTCATCAACAAACGCCTGATTCGGAAGATTGACTTCCGCATCATCCCGGTTCTCATTCTTTTGTTCGCATTCTCGCTTATCGACAGGAATATCATTGCCACAGCCAGAGTCGCGGGGATGGGCAAAGACCTGGATCTGGTGGGCAATAGATACTCTGTTGCCCTCCTGTCCCTCTTCCCTCTGTATATTCTCATCGAGCTGCCGACGAATTTCATTCTAAGACGAATCAGCGTCAAGGCTTTCTTCTTTGGAATGGTATTGTGCTGGGGTGTGGTGGCCCTGTGTCACGCCTTTGTGCAGACCTACCCGCAGCTGGTGGCAGTCAGGGTTCTCCTCGGCCTCTTCGAGGGCAGTTTCCAGGTAAGCCCAAGGTCAGTCCGCTAGACGTGTGATCAATCCTGACACGCATTGCAGCCCGTCTGCATCTACATCGTGTCCTCCTGGTACACGCGGTACGAAACGCAAAGACGTCTCGCAATCTGGTTTGCCCTCGGACAGCTCATCGCCGCGTTTTCCGGCATTCTGTCGTACGGCCTTAGCACCCTGAATGGCACCGGTGGCCTTGAAGGCTGGCGCTGGATCTATATTGTCCCAGGATTAATCACCACGGTGCTGGCATTTCCTCTCTGGTTCCTCATCTCTGAGTTCCCGGAAAAGGCAAAGTGGTTGAAACCTGAGGAGTTGGCTCAATTGAGGGCGTCGCTTTCCGAGGATCGAGCAGAGATTCTTGAAGAACAAATGAATATGGCAAGAGCGCTCAAGGCCCTCAAAGACTGGAAAGTATGGCTGCTCGCCAGCCTCTTGTTCTTCCTCACATCAGCCGCCTACACCATGAGCTTCTTTACGCCGACCATTCTCAGCTCCTTGGGATACAGCGTGGCTATGAGCCAGATTCTGGTCACGCCGCCGTATATCGCGGCGTGTTTGGCGAATATCACCACCGGCATTGCCGCTGACAAGCTACACATGCGTAGTCCGTTCATCATTGGCCACGGGATTCTGACCATGGTGGGATTTGGCATGATAGGCTGGGGCCCGAACACCGGAGCTAAGATGACCGGCATATACTTCTCTATCATCGGTTCCCAGTGCGCCATCCCCGCGGTCTACACCTTTCTCGCAAACAACGTTGTCGGGACTACCAAGCGACAGATAGCGGTGCCCCTACAGACCGTCTGGGGCGGCATCGGGGGCATAGCCGGCTCGGTGTACTTTCGACAACAAGACTATCCACTCTACAGACCAGGCTTGTACGCATCATTTACTAGTCTCTCGCTCTGCTTGATCTTGACTACGTTCCTGGCTATCTACTTTTGGAGGGAGAATCGCAAGGCTGAAAGGGACGGTAAGATCTTGGAGGGTGTTCAGCACTTCCGATACACCCTCTGAGACCGAGGGAGAAATTATCTCGTCGCAAGCACCACAAGTGCAAGAAAATTGGAAGCGGGTGCTCCCGTGTCGAGGATCTACGACAAAATATTAGGTACATAGCTATAATCCTCTCACAGCTGTTCAACAGCGACATCAAACGCGATTCATTATCAAATTTCGTTAGCATAGCGGGACCTGGCCCCTGCGCACTGAATTCTAGAGAACTGTACGTGGCAAGTATACCACGGTGCCACTGTAGATCGGGTCCAGGGCCCCACTCCACGTAAAAAGTCAAGTCAAGCCCTCCAGATGGCGGGGGTCGGTTAATTATTAGCGCTATGATGCTCGTAAGTTAGGTGCATCCGAATAGTGGGGAGCGCTTGGGGAGGGGCCGGGGGTTCCCCTCTTCTTCCTCGCCTTACGTCCATCCACGAAATCAAAAGTAAGTACTAAGCAACCCTTGTTCCCACCCTCGGCTTTCGCTTTCCTCGACGCCATCGCCATCGCCATCGCGCATCATGCTCGAGTCCAAATTATCAAGGACCTGTGACAGCTGCAAGTTTCGCAAAGTGCGTTGTAGCGGTGAGTCCATCGTTTAAGCGTCTCCGTAGCCGCGCCCTCGAAGTGCAGCATCTAACGACGTTGGATCTCAGGTTCTCGCCATCCGAATCAGATCGCGTGTATCAACTGTACAGTAGGTTTCGCAGTTGGCAAATTTGGTGAAATGCAGTCTCATTGGAATTTCAGAAGCGCCGGACGGCATGCCACTTCAGCCAGAATAAGAGACGGACCAAAACCATCGACGATGGTCCCGACGACACTCACCTCTCCTCAAGCTGGCAGCGGGAGACGAGACCAGTGGAACGTTCTGCCTCGGCAGGCTTAGATTCTCCAAGTGCGCCCGATCATGCTGAGCAGACTCAAGCTCAACCTACGTGGCTTAACAGTATGAGTGATGGCGCCCCAGGCGCACATCCAACCAGGCCGACTTCGAACCAGATCTACATGGACGAGATGCTTGAGCGACGAGGGGTCAATGGCAAGGAGTTCCACGGATGCCTCATCCCTAAGGTAAGCCACTGACGCTGGCAGGACAGACCCAGATGGTATGGCTGATTCCTTATAATAGTCCGAAAAGCAGAACAGTCAGTGATGCCGCTTTGCTAACCAACCCGTCCAAACTGCCAATTCTAAGTGTAAGCTTCCTGTAGTTTCGAGTTCCAGTCTCTCCCTTTTCTCTGATGGTGACATCCGCTCCATCTCCCAAAAACTCAGCAACGCGCGATTTGGAGACCTGATCGAATCTTTCTCGGACTCGATCAACAAACGCCTACACCGAAAGGCGAATGAATCATATCCGAAAGTGACCTTTAGATCGCCATCGGAGCCACTGCGACTGTCCCGGGAACAGCAGACAGAATACGTCCGAGGCAAGCTATGTTCACCATACCGCGATAGTTGCCCAACTGTTCGCTGACACGTTTTCACAGTGTACTTTGATCACATCCATCCAATCTTTCCATTTTTGGTAAAGGAGGACTTTGAGCGGCAGCTTCTAGACTATGAACATGAGGAAACGCTAGAACAGAGTGTCCCATTCTTTGTCTTGTACCACGCCATTCAAGCCATTGGTAGCCAGTATAGTGGAAACGGGGCATTCGAGCCGGGCAGGGGAGAATCGTGGCAGCTATTCCAAGTCGCACTGGACCGGTTACAAGAATTGATAGGTTCTAAACCGTGTTTGGAGAGCGTTCAGGTGGGCAAACTGCTTTTCTTCCAGGTACGGCTGACTGATGTTGGTAGGCAATCCTCGCCATGGTAAGGTTCCCGGTCGGAGTGCCCGGATAGAGGACATCTTTGCTGAGGTTGCATTTCTGAAGTTTTGTTATTCCATGACACATTGTGGCGGCCAGGTCGCAGAGACCTTGTTATCGGAAGCGGCAAGGATGTCACAGTTTGTGCGACTCAATCGGGGTTCTGCTGCACTGACAGATGGAGCTCATCAGCGTACGTTCTGGGTCATATATTCCCTTGAGAAGCTGTCATGCTTTTGCCAGGGAAGGACTTCGGTGAGGAGAATTGCCCCTACCCTTTCTGTTTGTAGCCATTTCTGACGCATGCATGGTCGATGACAGGCAATCCCCGACGAGGACATCGGTTGCCATATTCCACATGTACCCGAAGCCATCTTTGGGGACTTCAACTGGTTTCTGAGCTCGGTCCGATTTGGCCGTTTGATATCCAAGGCATTAACTGCGCTTTTCTCAGTTAGCGCAACCATGAAGCCCAGAGATGAATACCAGCAAGACCTGCAGGCAATAAGTTCCCAGTTGGAAACGTGGAGGCAATCTATACCGCCTCTTTTTCGCCCGGGCGGGCGATTTGCCAGGGCCCATTTCTCGAGCCCGACTGCTGTGATCGCAGCGTTAAGAACGCACTTCACGTATCACAATTTTGTCATGGTACTGTGTCGGTTGGGTTTACAAATTGGGGTATCCGATGCTGGCACATCCCCTTTCAATCCCCTCGAGACTTTCATGAGCTCGGCTCGTCGAGTGATCGAGCTAACGGGCCATCTCGAGGTGGAACCTTACGCTCCATCTGTGTAGGCCATCTCTCTTCCCCTTAGCCGCAGTTTTCTTGCTGACCTCAGACAGCATGTTGACCGTCTTTCCGTTATCCGCGTTTTTCAGTCTCTTCCATCTGATCATCGACAATCCGCAGCACTTTGAGACCCGAGATAATTTGACCTTCTTGGACGTCGCCGCCGGATACTTCCGCCGCCTTGAATACACCATGAAGCAAGAGTTTCCGTTCTCCATCTTCCCCAAACTCGCCGCGGTGGCGCAGGAATTTGTGCTCAAGCTACCGCGGCGGTCCGGTCCCACGAGTTCGGCCACAGAAGTTGAAACTCTGTCGCTACCAGACGGCCATCCTGTTCCAGAAGCGGGACTAGAGCTGCAGTCGACGTCTGAGCTCGGTATATCAAACCCTCATGTATTGCCGATTCAGGACCAAAGCGATTTTGGAGATCCCTTGTATGCGATGAATGCGAATGCTGCGTTTGACCAGCTTCCTCTCGCCATTGACGGCGCAGCATACCACGTAGACGGCACACAATTCAGCCCAGAGGATGGGATGGGCTTCTTCGGGAATCTATTGGATCAGACGTATAATTCTTTGTACGGTGTCGATGTTAGCTGGCAATAATACATCCCGTTGCAATGTGACATTGAGCCCCTGCTGACGTGTCCTATCTACCCTCTCGACCAGACACTTCTCTGTGAATGGATATATACTTGTCGTCCTGGCTCCTGCCATAGACTTGGTGGGTGCACCTGTCTGCGGTGGTAGAGATTCGGCTTTCGTCAGCTTTCTCGGACAACATTTAGACCGAACCGGGCCCTCGTAGCTGTTGGAGCCATCGGCATCGGCATAGGTGTGTAGTTCTATTCGTCACTCCATTGCCACCCTGGCCGGTGGGTCTTAGATCTCAGAGTGAACATTGGCCGCGAAGGGCCTTACAGACAGTTGTGCTTTGTAGACTTTTTGCCGATGCGATGAATCTTTCTAGGCTAACGCTGCGTCCTGACTTTTTAGTTACATGACTGCACGACTTCATGGACCACCGGTAGTTCATGATCAGTACTGACTGACCCGTTCCATTATTCGGTTTTCGGAAATACCGGAGGAAATCTCAATGGTCCATCTAGTATTTTAAGTAGTGGCTGTATTCAACCACTGACATAACGGAATTTCGACTGGCGGTATACACACTTCATTTCTGTGTGGTTCAATATCATCATTGACGCAGCGATATCATGACAAATCAAACCTCCAATTTCCCTATCCCGGCTGGGGAGATCACGGTGCAGATTCGAATCATTGATACGACGGCAAGGATTGGCAAGCTACCCTTGACCTTTTTGATGAAGCCTGCACTTGAATCGTTGGAGTTCATGCCGACGTTGCCGTCATGGTCATTTCTCATCGAGCACCCTTCCGGGCACAAAGCGGTATTTGACTTAGGCATGCCCAAGAATCGGGAGAAGCTTGCACCCCAAGTGGCAGACGACGAGCGCTTCAACGACTGGGACATCCGTACCCCGAAAGAGGTGATCGACGTCCTCGAAGAGAATCAAGTTCCGGGGTCGCATATAAACACTGTGATTTGGAGGTGAGTGGCTCTTTATCACCATGGCGGAGGTGGTACTTTGAAAACTATTGACCACTCTTCGTCTCTAGCCATTGGCATTGGGATCATATAGGAGATCCTTCGCGTTTTCCATCAACAACGGATTTGATAGTAGGCCCAGGTTTTATGAAGAACTTTTACCCTGGTTACCCTAGTAAGGTCGACTCGCCGGTGCGGGAGAGTGACTTCCGGTTCGTGGCCCTTATAACGATATTTCACTAATCGAGTCGCTAAACACCTCCAGGGGACGCAAGGTAATAGAAATCGGCTTCGAAGACTCCCGCCGTGCCACCACGGTCGGAGACTTTCGAGCTCATGATTTCTTTGGAGACGGCTCATTCTATCTACTGGACACCCCTGGACATGCGATAGGGCACATGGGAGGTCTGGCGCGCACAACCACGAATCCGGATACCTTCATCTTCATGGGCGGCGACCTCTGCCACCACAGTGGACAAATCCGACCTTCTCGCTTTCTAAGGATCCCCGCTCAGCTCTCGGAGTCCCCGTTTGGGGTACAGACATCACGAGTGGGACGCAGCTATGAAGAACTCTTGCTCTCGAGAACCGGATCCACGGAGACGCCGTTCTTCGTACCCACAGCCTCCCAGTGTGTGAGTGAGGAAGACTCGTCAAACACGAGGAGGAAGGTACAGAAGGCCGACGCCCAGGAAAATATATGGCTGGTTTATGCACACGACCCAAGTCTATCCGACGTGGTGGACTTCTTTCCTTCCTCCGCCAATTCCTGGAAGGAGAAGAATTGGCGGTCCAAGACAATGTGGTCTTTCCTTGCTGACTTTCAGGTAGCCATTAAAGATACGACAGAGAGCGTCGGGGAAGTAGAATAAGCCTTCATACTACACTGCTCGAATGGGTTCTGTCAAAGGGAATTGCTGTTCGAACAAGATATGATTTAATATGTCTAATTTATATCAGATCAATGTCATGCACTGGAATGTCTATGGTTGAAAGGATCACATCAAGAGCTTACAGCGTGGCGTAACACGCTGTTCAGTAACGTTTTTCCTTTTATACAGTTCTTCCTTCACTACGCTATCCGTCCAGAGCACTGAACGGGAACATGAGGATATTTCCTTCACGATGCCCCTCGCCGTACAATGTTGAGAATACTCGAAAAAAATTGCCACTCACACCTTGTTGAATGGGTCGTTCAGATACCAGACTGAGTCTGTGTCGTCACCAATCTCACAATGTGTATAGCCATTGCCCAGGAACTGAAATCTGTTCTTGGAGAGGTATGTGATATCATAGTCCTCCCATCTCACCTGTTTCAGTAGTTCAAAGAAGTGGAGCCGACTTCCGGGGTAGATGGCCGTGACTGGGCCGTGGACTTTGCCGTTCTTGAACCATGATCTACAGACTGGATTACATCGTGTCAGCAATGTCTGGAACTCATCTCATGATCAGGAGGATGGCTTTACCCGATGACCAAACCATGCGTTTCATGAACTCGTGGGTGTAATTGTAGTGGTCTTTGATCACACTTTTCTTCGGCTCGAAGGATTTGAGCCCTTCAGTCTGGAATTTCTCGATCATCTGAAACGCATACCGCGTGTACCACTCCAGCACTTGGAGGAGGGAGCCATGGCTCGTGGGACCATTGGGGCCAATCAAGACTGGTTTTGGCAAGTTAGTTGTATTCACGTCAGGATTGAGGAGTATGGTAGTCGAGCACTTACTGAAAAAATTTGGGAAGTTGTCGACCGTGATTCCCAAGTATCCAGTGGGAAAATCGCCGAATTGCTCCTTGATGTTCGCCCCGTGGCGGCCGGTCAATTGGAAATGAGGCGTGAAGGAAGTGTCGAACCCCGTAGCACAAATTACCACGTCCACTTCGTGTTCCGTGCCGGATTCGTCCACGATGCCAGTCTCGGTGAGCCTTACCACGGATTTGTGGACTGTCTCTACGTTCTCTTTGGTCAAAGATTCCAGATACCCACTACCAGGTGTCATCCGTCGGCAGCCCAGCGCGAAGTCAGGAATCATTCGTTTTGTCAATACAGGATCTCCGTTTAGTTGTTTCGCCATCATGTCGGCGGTGGAAGATCGCGAGTCCAATTGGTCTTTGTCCTGGGTATGCATCAGAGAAAACCTCTTGTTGAGTTCTCCTTCAACATCGCGGCAGTACTGAATGTAACAATCAGGGTCTTTTTTAAACTTAGCTTTCTGTTCTTCCGAGTATTCAAAGTTGGTACCATCCTTCGCTGCATACTTGGCACCGAAGCCTGTGGTGATCCACGCTGCTGAGCGAAGGAATGCCGTAAGCTTTTTCACTTTGGGTTGGATTGATGGAATCAGTTGAACAGCGGAAGAACCACCACCAATGACGGCCACTTTCTTGCCTGTTAAATCGTAATCCTCATCCCAGTTGGCGCTGTGCATGAGCTTTCCTTTGAAGATGTCAAGGCCTGGGATGTCGGGGTACTTCCACGAGTTCAGGATGCCGGAGCCGCTAATCAAGATATCACAGTAGTCCTCGAACTGGACACCGTCTGCACCTTTTATTTTCAGCGTATACTGGCCCCGGTCTTCGTGCCAGACTGCCGATTCCACACTCGACTTGAACTGAATATATCTCTCAAGGTTGAACTTGGTGGCTATATCCCTAAAATACTGCCAAATCTCTCGAGACGACGAGTAGTAGCTGGACCAGTTCGGATTTCGAGCCCAGGTAAATTGGTACGCGTGTGAGGGGATGTCACAGGTGCAGCCTGGATAACGGTTTTCAAGCCAGGTTCCACCTATGTCGTTGTTCTTTTCATATATCTGGAGGTCGACATTTTCAAGTATCCGCTCGGCTTTATAGGCAATCTGGAGACCTGTAGCACCAGCGCCAACACAGATTATTCTGACACGTCGCTTGGTATATAGAGGCTGCTCAGTCACGCGAAAGCCGTCAAAATCCTGGTTGTACCACTCGTTCTCGTGAATGGGGCGTTCATGTCCCACTCCATTGGTACTCTGTGCCGACGACGAAGTCGAAACTTGAACTCCTCCGGTCATATTGTCCTCTTCAAGAAGAATACCTGGGTTTTCCCTGTTTAAATGCATGATGGAAAGATGGAAAGCAAAGCATTCAAAGCTGGGAAAGCACACCTGAAAACACTTTGATATATCTGAGACCAAAATAGGGTTAGGTGCTATACCAATATATCAAAGGATGTGTCCTCGAGCTCACTCTCTGGCCTGCCATTTCTCAAATATTGTCAATACCCTTCACCCGAGGTATACCAGCCGACAGTAGTATGGTCTAAAACCGAGGTTGAACGCAACAAGTGTAGAAGAGAGTAAGGCAGCATATGACACAAGATTTCCGAAACCCGAGCAATTCACCTGAGGACCGAACGTCCGAGAATTCCCAGTCTTGTCCCGTGGTCTGAGGTCCCGCCTTTCTTGGCCGGTGGGATGAGCGTTAAGAGGGCATCTATTGATCATATGCTGCATCATTGGAGGCATTGGGATTACAAAGCAATAATGATCACGCAGTGACGGCCGCTCAAGGTTCCAATCAGGAGATATGTCCGTTTAAGAATTAAACGTAGATTAGGAGAATTCTGGGATACATCTGTCTTTCAGCTATGGTCGTCATGCCTGAACGCCAGGTTACATATATAATCGCATCTCCGGGAATAGGCCCGCATCGACCGGCTCACAGTGCATTTGTTCAATCTGGATCTCCTTGCGCAGGGGCGTGCCTTCTGTATCCTCCAAGTCCAAATCAATATAGCCCCGGGGTGCCCACTTCCTTGGCGCAATGAACAGAGAATGACCATTAACAGTTGGGTCAGCTAGTAATCGCAGCAAACACTGCCCCGCGTCTTCCAAGGTAGCAAAGTCGATTCCTTTTCCCCTAATGAACTCATAGACCTTTTTCGGAAGCACGGTCGTCTCAACATAGTAGGGACTAATCATGTTGACTCGGCTGCCATAAAAATGGGCTGTTCGACGCAAGCCGTGCATGATGCCACGCACAGCCCATTTCGACGCACAGTATTCCGGCATCCGTATGCAATCGTAGATTCCGGCCCCAGAACTGATGACAACTAGACTGGTGTCTTCTTGGGATGGCGACGGGGCCGTCCCGTTTTGTTTGATAAAGTAGTGCATTGCAAGTTTAGTTGTGTACAGGGAACCTTTGACGTTGACGTCGATCGTGCTGAGGTTGGGCTCCAATGGTTGTGATGAGTACGAGTAGACCTCGTCGGCTCGAAATATGCCGGCGTTCGCGACAACATGATGGATCTTGCCCGTCGGCGAAACCTCTGCAGCCTTCGCAAAGAGGCGAACCTGGTCCTCCCAGATGCTTACATTGCATGAAACAAAGTAAAGGCGATTGGGGTATTGTGCCGCAAAAGCCTCACCAGCCGACTCGTCCAGGTCGGCGATGATGACCGTGGAGCCGGCGTCGAGAAGAGCAAGCGCGTAAGCTTGGCCAAGTCCTTTCGCTCCGCCCGTCACGATTGCCGTCTTGCCTTTGAGTGTGCTAACGTCGATATCAACGTTGCAGTCGAGTGGTCCCGTATACTTGTAAGGCCCCATGTTCCGGAGTCGTGCAGATATGTTTAAGTCTGGGAAATGCTTCAAAACTTAATGAGGCCATGGAACACAGAGACCTGTATGGATCCTACTTACTTTAAGTCCTGCTTAAGCATGCTCGCTGTAATGGTCAGATCCACGGTCGACTACCGAGTGGTGGGATGCACGGCTAAGCATTGGAGGGGTACATAGTTTAGCGATGGGAAAAATTGTTCCCTATTCCCATGCTACACCTACGCCTCGCAGTTTTGAAATACGCAATAGCAGGGGAGCCCGAGAAATTTCGGCCCAAATCTTGCCAAATTGCAACTTCGGCCTTCCAGTACAGATCATGTACTCCTGTAGTCTATGGGGTGGACGTCTCGGGCTTCGGAAGCTCGGCTCCACATCTCTGCAGCATCCCGCGTGCTGGAATCCTTAGTACAACAGACCATTTAACGCTGGTAACTTGAAAAGAGAAATGCAGAATGAGTCTAGCCGGAAAGACTAGAGTTGGCCCTGTTGCGCGAGAACCAGAGAACGCTGAGCACGATTGAATAGTCTAGAGAAGATTCCTCCCTGTCAATATATCTCCTCCGGAACAAATGCAGCACAGATGTCATGGCTTCTACTCCTCGCACGTGACCCGATGGGAATCAGACCGGAGACACGACTGCAGTCGCTATGTGGGTTGTGTTGGAATTTATACTGCCTCAGGATACGAGTGTCTGTCATTGTTATGCTGTAAGGATATAAACAGGACGATTCGGTCCCTGTCCTTTCTTTATTCCCACGCTTGAATGTTTATTTCATCGCTGCTTAAAAATGCACTGGTGCTTTCTGACGATGCTTCCTTCAAATTTTCTTTACAACAGTTGCACATCCCGCTCGATTGCCTCCGACCCTACTTTTGAACAGACAAAGTGCTGCTATTCCCATGAGCGCCGTCCCTCTGCTCAATCTACACGGTTTGGCAGCCGTCTCGACGTCAAAGTTACGTTAGGGACCCTCCAAAGAACCAGCCTCGGACCCCTAAATCTTTTTGGTTAGCCTGACAGGTGCCACCAATTCCCAATAATTAACTTGGTGCCGCGCAATTCAAGCATTCGACAACCTCTCAAACTCACCATAAACTTCTTTCAAATCGGAACCTTCCTCTTTTCGCTGAAGGCACAGGGCACAGCCAGACCAAAGTCCCTCGTGCATCCGACATGAACTAACATATGACAAAGCCCCAGTAACACTTTCATTGACGTCGCTTGCGCGCTACTAACCGCACCAGAACAAACATGCTGGCGACGTTTAATTAGGCAATTTCGATAATATGTTTTCTTCTTATATAATACATGTACTTATCGGCCTTGAACAAGTAAATGTTGTGAAAGCTTGGGCATTGATGCGTCGCCTCGAGGATTATAGCTCACTCTCAGCACCGCCAAAGATGCACAGACCAGACTCCATTCGAGACAATCTCCTCACAGAATTCCTATCTGAAATCTCGACATGATTATAAACAGGTAAGAAGCCTTGCACCGAGGACCATGCTCCTAAGCCGAAATCTCCACCATTCCGACCTTGCGACGCAGTGATTTAGGAAAGATGTTGTCTTTCCTGCTCTTGTCCTTACTAACGGTCCCCGGTGAAAGCCGGCCGCAATCCAAAGAGGATCGGCAACGACGTGGCAATGGTGTTGACGTCTGTCTGTTCGACTCTCCTCCGTCCGTTGTTACCGTCACTGTTCCGGTAGTCTCAACGGTAGTCCAGACCCAGATTTATACTCATTACGTTCCTGTGCCAACTTATTGGGCTGGCAGGCAAGAATGGCATACTTCAGAAAGTCCTGATGAGGACGGATCTGACTCTGGCTCACAGCCCCAGGGCCAATCCAGTCCTCCGTGGGGCTCAGGACCTCCTCCGTGGTTGCAGCCTTGGGATGGGGATGATGAGGGTGGGCCTCAGAATTCCCCAGATCAGCCCTACTGGCATTGGCCTTGGGAACCACAGCAACAGTCAGGACAAGTCGGACAAACAGGGCAGTCATCAGGGCAGTCATCAGGGCAGTCATCAGGGCAGTCATCAGGGCAGTCATCAGAGCAGTCATCAGAGCAGTCATCAGAGCAGTCATCAGAGCAGTCGTCAGGACAAGCAGGACAAGCAGGACAGCCCAACCCTGGCTCAGGCTGGCAACCGCCTGTATCATTCTCGTCATCCGAGAAGAAACCCACCTCAACTGGCACCAATCCGGCTTCCACAGCCAAATCGACCTCCCTTTCGATCAGCTCCAATTCCTTCCTCACGTCGTCCACCTCCACCTCCACGTCCTCCATAAAAACAACCACAACGCATAAAAGCAGCTCCCAGTCGTCCCAACCCACCCCAACGCCAGACGACTGGCCAGATCACACTGTAACTGCATACTACGGCGCGGGAAACACGGACGTCTTTCCACCCGAGAAGATTCCTTGGCAGTATCTCACGCATCTCTGTTTCGCGTTTGCCAACACAAATAATTCAACGGCCAACTATTCCATTGACTTGGGGAATCATCAAGAACTCCTTAGCTATCTGAGTGAACAAGCACAATCGCATGGCGTCAAATTGATTCTCAGTATAGGAGGATTCGGAAGAGGTGGTAGATACTTTTCTGAAGTCGTCCAAACCAACCAGTCGATCAGCGCCTTTGTGCAATCGGTAAAGTCCGTTGTCTCTGAGTACGATATCGCGGGAGTTGACCTTGGTAATGTCCCGCCTCCCCCCTGTGTGGTGTCTTTCTGGTCATCTAAGATGATAAAACTAAAACTAACGATATCTGTGTTGAACAATAGACTGGGAACATGTTGGCAATTTGGAAGACGCCCCCGTACCAAGACCTCTTACCGATGCTGCTGGTTATTTGCAAATGCTTCAGGCTTTGCGAGCAGCAATGCCATTGGCCGAACTATCTGCCGCAGTATCTATGGAACTATTCCTCAAGGCCACAAGTCCAACAAATAATGCGCTCGAGGATGTTGACATGACGCCTTACATCCCCCTCTTTGACAGGATCTACCTTATGTCCTATGACCTGTGGAATGGCAAGTCCACTGCAGGCTCGAACGCGGCCTTGAAGGCCGACGGCGAATCCCCAGTCCCCGACGGCCAGGAATTCGGCGCTGACGGCGTCCAAAACTGGCATAATGCGGGCTTTCCCATGAGCAAACTTGTCTATGGTACGTTGACTCGTCGCACTGCATTTGAAACGTAATTGCTCCGACTAATTTGGCTTGCTAGGTGTCCCCTTTTACGGCTACGGTTACGACCTGGCTGACGTGAGTTCATCTCGATCTTCATCGAGAAGAACCTCTTGTGCTGACTCATCAATTTTAGGGGAGCGACCCAGAGACCACAGGACTATACAGTCCAGCCGACGGGAGGTCGACAGGAGATAGTAACGAAAATCCAAAAGATTACACCGGATTCTGGAAGTGGAGGAATCTGAAATCTCAGAATGTGGTCCAACAACAAGTCGATGGCAGTTATGCTGCGGGTCCAGGATGGACATACGGTTTCGACAACTCGACCCAGACCCCTTATGTCTTCGACACTGACTCGGAAAGCCCCCAGGTCATCTCCTACGACGATCCGCACAGCATTGGATTGAAGAGAGAGTATGCAAAAGGTCAGGGAATGGGAGGAATGATGTTCTGGGCTATGTATGGTGATACAGACGATGGAGAATTAACTCGGTTGCTTGCTTAGAGAACAGGCGAGAACATTTCCCAATGCCCACACGAATCAACTCCAAATCCAGCAAAGCGGGGCTCCAGCATCAAGGCCTCGTTTAGGATATCTGAAGAGATATCGGGATGCCATTTCAGTATGCTCATCATCAACTCATCAAGGACTGTGGCCCCGTGGTCATTAGGACAGATAGTCTACAGCCTTCGAAGACTTGAGCAGAGTATATCAAGGATGAGGTAGCAAGTTGACCCACCGTTGAGGTAGCTGGGGGCTATACGTAGCGGATATGTCGTCGTCACATCGATGCACCCATCAGAAAGCTTCTCTAACATATAAGGGAGGAGCTGTGTATTCCTGGCCATAATGGTAGATGAATGCAACTAGGAAAAGAGCCCATTGAGCGTTCTTTCGACAGCATTCACGGTCTGCGCCATTGTTGTAGGCAGTCTATCCGCTACAATAATACATAAATGGGTATTTTCAAGCGCATTTTCCAACTGCTCTTGGAGGGGTGCGTCATCAGCCCGCGACAACGCAGTCATCGACCTCTCCCTAAATGGCTCTTTCCAGTGTGCATTGCAGAATGTGACTCTTTGATCGCCATGAGATATTCTTCGTCCAACCTCAGTGCTTGAAATGATATTGGTAGGCAGCTTCGCTGAAGCTCGGCAAGAACAGTCTCCAGTTGAAGGACAAAGCGTTCCTAGAATGCACTCACTTCTCATTGAAACCATATTGCTCCTTCACGAGCTCAGCTCGATCTTTGACCTTGCGAGCAGTGTACAAGATGTCTAGATTATCTTTCAATAGGGATCAGTTTTTGTGATGAAGAGTGGAGGGGCGGGGGGTCCTAGTAGAACAGTCCTGGCCCGCGGTTCAGTGGGCTCTGACTCGGTGTCGGAGGGTGTCAGTATCTCCATCAAAAACGGCACGGAGGATGAGTTGCAAGTGTATAGCAAATAAGCCGCCTAGCTAGATTATGAAGCTGTTAGAGGACTCGTCAGGCGTGTAGGGATGGTTCCGGATATAAGCGAGACCCGTCACGCAAGCTACTCGTAAGTCGTGCGTTGTGAATACGAGTCTAGGATGTATCAATGACACAGTGGCTGGAACAATGAGCACACAAGGTTGCGAAGCTACTGCACAAAAAAGAATAGCAGCCGGTGAGGAATTCGAGATTGACGCAGCCTTGTTGATACGTGCCCCACTCATACAAGGATCGGCGGCTGATATATCGATCCTGCCAACCGAGTCCTATCTCCTCCAAGTCTGAGTTCAACTCGTTACGACCATCTGCCATGTGGCCACAGTGGTCCACTCGGGCTCTCACATTCTACAGAAAGGCCAAAGCTTCCCCTGTGCACTTCCTGGCCAGGGGGGACAAATACATGCGGTCCAATGGCACAGCATCGCTCCCCTGTTACACTAGAAGCCGCAGGAATTTCCTCAAAGTTGAGTTGCTGGATAGACAGACCCGTTCGCGCTTTGAACCGGATCACACTGTCCTGGAAGGATCCAGCTGTAGGGCACTCGACAGGCGCTCGCTCTTCAGACCTCAAAGAGTGTGCTCTGGCTGAGTATGGAACCATGATAACTCGAGAAGTCCTCGTAGCAACCATACTTTTCTCTTTCTTTTTTGTCCTGGCAATTCATAACACGCGTACAATCGGATGCGCTTCTTCTCGCTTCTTGGCTGTATCATCTTTGGTTAGGCCTGATGGTTCGAAATGACGTCCCACAGAACGACATCATCCTCAACCGCAGGTAATCCGTCTTCGGTATTGTGGTTCTATCGCTGATCGATCTTCACAGGATACTGACAGGAGCCGCAGGCTCGTGGGCATCAAGATCAACCCATCTTACAGGACCTATTCAAGGTGTCCACCTCCCACCGTCACTGCCCATACCATGATCCTCTCATAGATCTATGCGTGCCACAAAAACAAGCTTGCAACTCTGGCATCATGGACATATTTATGCAGGAAGATCCCGCTGTTCAGTCGACCCTCTTCAACCGGCCAGACAATGGTAACGTCTCGATCTCCAAGGGGTGTACTTGTCTAGACAAGGTCGAAAACGGAGCCTCTCGTCTCTGACACAATGCTTCAACCCTTTGGTAAGGCATTACCGTGGCTCACCTCGTCGGTAGCCTACTAACAAGGGTTTACGTGTCCTGTGCAGATTTGAGGATATCAATGGATCTCGGCCAGCAGTGCTACTCCAACGCCGGCGCAATGGTGAAGAGGCGGTGCCATGGGAAGAGCAACAATAAAACTGTCATCACCTCGTTCGACCTGGCTGGGGAGACTAATGTCTAGTTCCCCAGGAGGGTTGTTGCTTTCTAGATCGTCTGCAGTTGATGGTAGATAACACGCTGGTTGGGGGAGAAGGGTTGACTAATTAATTGCTCCATAGCTATTATACAAGTCAAAGCCTACACTAGGTGCATACAGCGTGGCTTACAGGTCCTATCCACTTATCCTTGTCGCTCGTTTCCGCCAGCAGCTCACTCCATAGCCGTGAACGCAATCTCTTGAGTCGGGAAAGGATCGCCAAATGGTTTAATTCCAGATATAAGACAGCGTGAATCAAAAAGAAACAATAACGAAACTTAAGGTGATTCTCTTGGGCCAGTTGGCACAGCTCTGTTGGTCGGCGACATCATGCATTGGTGGATGGTGTCTTCATCGAGGGTCACGACGAGAAATGTGATGAATCCTCCTCTCCTCCTGAGTCCGACATCATTCACAAGAGCCCCGCCGGTGAGATCTTGCACTCAATTGAAAACCACCAGCAATCTCAAAATGAGGTAGATCCGATTATTCTTTCTGGCGGGGAACTCGCTGAAAGCGTAGGCACCATCAAAGCTTTCGGCCTCGGCAAGATACGGTTGAGCATAGGCACTTCTGCACCTATGACGTTTTGTTTCGCCATATAATGGGAGCTTTGGTCGATTCACTCGTACTCCACGGTTCGATCGAGGCTACCTAAGGCTGGACTTCAAAGTACCTGGGTCTTAAAATGGCGACGTGGCCATGCGCAATACCTTGACTGAACATCGGTACAGCATTATCTGCACACAGAGATATAATTGACCTATGGAAATAGGAATCATCCATTACTGCCTAAATAGTCGCTGTAGTTGTCTACGCTGACACCAAGTGCTGGTGAGAGGGATTACCTGCGAGTAACAACGTGCAACCTGTACATATATCTCCCGAATCGTGCGCATGCATACGAAGTCCCCTCTCCGAACACAACATTCCGTACACGGGATCATCTTTCCGTCCGCCCCCGAATCATTCTCTTCCAATGCCGCTGGACGCTAAGTAGCGAGAACTTTGACCCTGACACCCTTACTATCGAGCTTAGGACTCGGGAGGAAAAAATCATGAGCGAGCTCCACATCCGAGATGTCTGTCTCGTACAACTCAAATGTGAAGTTGCGAAACACGGCTGCCATAGTCATGTACAATTCAGCGTGGGCAAGGCTGGAAGTGTGAGTTAGCTGATGTCGACTGTAGGGGATCGTGATTTTCTGGGACAACATGGGAGGAACGAGATAGAGCGGAAGACAGGTACGTACTTGACTCCCAAACAGCTCCTCGACCCCTTCCCGAATCCAACGAAGTATCGCTCGAGACTGCTCCCATCGGGAGTCTTCGGGGGATTGATCCATCTCTCGGGTCTGAATTCTCGAGGGCTGGGAAAGATCTCTGGGTCATCATTGACGTCCACGATCGTCATTGACACCGGGGTCCGAGCTGGAATAACCCACCCTTCGTACGTGATTTCCTTGTTGAACAGGCGCGGGTTGCGCGTTGTGACGGCGTAGGACATTCGCACTGCTTCGCGCACACAGCCCGTCAGATATGGCAGACGCTCGAGGTCGGTCCAGGATAGTGGTACTTTTGGATCCGGAAGGGCGGTTTCGAGTTCCTCGCGGAGGGTTTTGAAGAGCGTCGGGTTCTTGATGATATGAAAGGCTGCGGTGCTCAGTGCCCAGCCGGTAGTGGTGACGCCTGCGGCTACGACGAGCTGCGCTTCGTCCTGCAGTCGTAGGTTTTCTTTCTCTGAGGCTGGCAGGGAGCCTGAGATGAGTTCCTGGAAGACTGTTGGATGAATTGATTTGGCGAGCTTTTCATTCATCTTTCCTTGCTTCATTGCCGTAATCTGCTTGCGAAAATCCTGCGCTAGGTCAACATGAAAACCCCAGACCGTTGGAATCGGGCAGGCAACAACAAACTCACTGCTTGCATCTTGAAGACCAGTGCATACAGGGGCTCGATCTTGACTAATATCGATTCTGGTAGGGCGAACAGAATTTTTGGGACCCAGGGACACTGTAGCGACAGGTGACCGCTAATACTGGCTGCCATGAAAGGTTCATGCATGGTCTTCTCGAAATTGCGCAGTTTCAAATGGTCGTAACTCAAGGAGAAGCAGTATTCCATGACAACATCACCTGTCAGAGCCATGAAGGCATGGCTAATAGCCAACACGCGGCCCTCCCTTTGGAATTCACCGATCCTACCAATGAGGATGTCAATCTTTTCGCGGATGATGGTTTGGAGGTCGAGAATTCGAGTGCGAGAAAACAGTGGATTCAAAGCACCGCGTCGTATACGATGTAGCTCATCCGCGCCGGTGGTGAAGACTGAAGTGTCGCAGCCAAATCGCCCAGCCATCCAGTCATACTTGTCAACGCGCCCTGCTTTGGTGTAGAGTGTATCGTAGAACTGCGAGTCCTGAATGTGCAGTTCATCAGGGACAATTCGGACAATCGGACCTAAGGGTGGTCAGCAAACTGCGAGGCCAAACGTGTCATGAGAGGCTCGTTCAAGCATCGTCAGATTGAACAAACCATATTTCTTATGTAGCTCCTGGACTTTGAAGGTAAACTGGCCTTTCTTCACGACCTCGTAGTAAAACTCATGCCATCGACTGAGAGCTGCATACTTGGGACCAGGGAATCTTGCCAAAGGATGAAAGTACAAGCGATAGCAGACTAGGCCAGCGAGATACACAAAGGATGCGAGCGCACCTGTAGTCAGAGGGTAAGACAGGACATTGACAGCCGCCATCTCAAGCTATTTCAAGCTCATGTGAACGAAAGAAAGGATGGAGAGGCCAAAGCTCGATCAGAGTTCATGTACTCAGCTTTCCTGAGAGGGTTCAACTACCGACGCACTTTCTGCGAGGTCCTCTATTGGTGGCAAACCAGGAAGAGGAGGAGCTTCGACGCTTTAATGGCAGTGATGTTGGATCCAGTCACATTGTACCCGTTTGCACATGTAACAAGGAAGGTAGCGAACTTGCAGCTACGGGTCCCCAGTATCGAACAATAGATCCATGCCTTGCATGAAATAGATGCAGTTGCGTGGACGACGTGATGCAGACTAGACCGTTAGCACTTCAACTGCCTGCAGCAGCACCGGCATGCCGGGCGACTTCCGCGGAACCATAGACCGGGGTCTTTATTGGCATCGTTGGGCAAGCATTGGAACCGAACCACCCTCATATGACAAAGTTTTCACCTGTTACTTCACTTTAGATTTGGAAGTGGACATAGAAGCTTCGCGAGAAGTGTCAGTAAGAGAGACTGGGATCGTGGTGCGACAAACATCTGCGTGTTCAGCCGAGGGTCGAGATTTGCACCAAGTGATGTCGTTACTTCTGCATCAAAACGCATGCTTATCAGGAGCCAAGCACAACAGCTCCTCGATTACGGGATATCTGCCCAGGCAAATACTGGCCCGGCCCGCATGGAAGCCACTCTAACGATCTAGGGCAGAAACAATCACAGGAAGCGCCACTACGCATACCCTTGCTCAACTTCCAAGCCCACAAGCAGCAGGCTAGTCAACAAGCGTACAGATCGGCTTGTCGGCATGCGGAAAGGCTGTGATGCAACAAGAGGGAAGTGTCAACTTTCAAGAGATGATTCCTGGCGTAGCAGTTGCAAGTGCCGTAGCTCGGCGACACGGTCTGGGAGTTTGGAAGATTCTTTTTTTGGAACGAGGGCAGAGGATAGCTTGCGTGTGGTACTTGCATAAGACCATCATGTCAGTCTTGGAACATCGAAAGGGTTCGTCCATCAATAATTGAGCACAGCCAAATCCATCTGCGATCCGGTCATATTCACTATGGCCTCTGTCCATATACAAAATGCCATCGTAGATACAAGTGTAAACTTCGATCGGAAAACTCGTTCTTCACAAGGGCCATTGTGACTTGGGTGTGTTCTATACTATATCCTAAAATCCGGGTATAGTATGCGAGCATAAAGGAAGGAACAGACTGTATCATCTGAACTCTGAACAGCCGCCCCATCTCTTTGAGTTTCGGGTCCTTTGCCCAGGGACCGATGGGAATCTTTGTCACAGTCAGCCAACATTCTGCTTGAACCCCTGCAGAAGCTTACTTTGCGGACCATCTCGCGGACATTGATGAAACCAGCATCGATCATCCACTGTCGATGTTGATGGGCAATGTTGAGGCGCTTGCCAAAGATGATACTTGCTCGATCGACCTCTCGTATCCACTCGGAGCAACCGGGAGCATGATCCATACCCCCATCATCGCTGTTGATCCAGCACTCGTGATCTTGCATCTCCATCCAACCACCCGGGTTCAGATTCTCATAGGCTTGAGCGTAGAATTTCGGCCAATCAGCAATTCCTCCGCACAGAGCTCGACCGTGAATGAAGTCGAACTTCTGCCCATCATCAAATAACCATGCGCTCTCAGCATCGTCGATATAGAACCGTAGGTTTGGCGGCACCCACAAAGGTTGGATTGGGCTCAAATCGGTGCCCACAATGCTCGCGGCGGGGAACTTGTCGGCTATTTCCACCGCCCATATTCCTGTCCCAGTCCCCACGTCGAGTATCCGTTGGACTGACGATGGCACCGGCGCCATGTACAACTCTCCCCCCAAGATCATCTTGAAAAGGTGATGTAAGAGATCGAGTCTTTCTTGCTCTTCTTCATCATTCGGGATGGGATACTGTCCATCTTGGAAAGCGTGGTACGAGCCTGTCCTCATAGCTTGTTAACTATTCATACAATCTTATCTTCCTCACCAGGTTCTCCTGTACGTACGGCCATTCTCATAACGGTGGTTGAAGATAGAAGACCTGAGACTGGTACTTATAACCGTCTGGGAGTCGTCACTGAATGCAGAATCATTGTCGCTAGACTGAGCCTATGAGATTGTTAAAGATCCAATTCTTCCCTGTCGTGTGATTGGGGTCCTTTAGCTTCATACAGCAGGATTGTCCTCCACGGATAAGTTTTGCTCCCCATGAATATCTGGTCCGTTCTCGTCATTGGTGAGAGCCATGCCCGCGACATCAAAGGGCGATATAATGATAGAACAAGGCCAATCCAAGGTCAGCACATTTGAAGAGGATGAAATGAATTTACAATATGTCTGTTAGCCACTGGAATTATACGTCACGCAAGTCTGCACAACAGTTCAGACTTCAATTCGAGCAAGGTTTTGACGTGCGGCGGCTTTGTCCACTGTGCTCTGGGGAGGTCTGCTTCATGAACTCGAGGTCACCGGATCTTGAATACCAATGATGTCGGTGGCGGGAATGCAGACAATTTTCAACAAAGTGGATAATTTTTCCTTAACATTCAATCGAAGGTAGGAAAGTTTAAGCTGCAGCAGGAGGCAGATGTCGATGGGCCACGAAGACTCTACCTGCAGGAGGTGCCATGTAACTATCCATTAGTAGACGCAGTAGCGCGGAGCTGGCGCTTGCTTCAGAGAAGCCAGGGAAACAGAGAGCATAAAACCCAGTCAATTTCAGCTTGCTTGGCTTCAATGGCAGGGGGAGTGGTGTGCGAGGCAAAAGTCCAGGCGATGAAGTCCAACATTGAGGGTATTGGAGGGAACCCTAGGTTCGTGGGGTCCGTGGATCAGGTCCCCTGGGGTTACCAGCTGGGGATTGAGATGTACATATATCCATACGCCTTGATAGCATTTCACCTGTCAAGTGCGTGCACATATAACATGAACCATTGCGTCGCACGATGCATCTGGTCTATATATTTTTCTTTTTTGGTTGAAAGCCAGACATAGGCAAAAGCAGCGTGCCCAAGCTCTGGCGTGCCTCGACGAAAGAGCGGTCCTGTAGCAGATTCTTTCAAAGCTGATTCCACGACATTAATTGGACAACCAGAAGTACAGGAAAGAGAGGTCGAGTAGGCCATGGAGATGGAGATGGGGACGACGGTTGGTCCAAACCCTTCAGTACTCCTTCCAGCTCATGAGTTTTGTTCTAACTTCTCACCGACATTGTCGATTCTGCAGTGAGGGGTTCTTTGAACACAGAAAGTACTCCGTACTCCGTACTTCGATAATTGGGGAAGTTGGACTGGTAGTAGTTTCGACCGCTTGTGTGTCCTCGGATGGAGGGAGAGGCCGAGAGAAGGATGCTTGGAACGAGACTAAGTGAGGCTGAGTGAGGCTAAGTGAGACTAACTTGGACTAACTGGCACGAGGGCGCCACATTGGGCAGAGAGGTCTGTCCGTAGTACTTAGTACTTGGACTACTGACAGTAGTACGAGTAGTGGAGGAAGCCCGTCGGGTAACCTGCCGACCTCAGAGCTAAGGGTCGCCAAGTAAACAAATGGGGAAGGAGCGACAACGGAAGGAGCAGGGTCGATCTGAGAGGAAAGCGCCAAACTGCATCGGAGCTTCAACTTTTGGGCCAGTATCAAACGAAACCCTCCTCCCATCATCAACACCTGCATCTCACCCAGCAGCTCATTGAATACCTTCTCTTGACTATCTCCTTTCATCTCCCTCAATCCACCATGTCTTTTGCACGACAGGCTTATGCTCAGATCCAACGTAGGGCGTTCACCGCCTCTGCGAGACAGGTACTCCACGTTCCGCTAGTCCTTTCTACCGTCACAAGCTAATCACCATCTTTTCCATAGTCCTCAAAGGTCACTGTTCTCGGTGCTGCTGGTGGCATCGGTCAGCCATTGTCTCTGTTGATGAAACTCAACCCTCGCGTCTCCCAATTAGCTCTCTACGACATCCGTCTTGGTCCAGGTCCGTTTGCCCACACTCCTCTTAGGCAAAGAAAAAGAAAGCACGCTCACAAACCATGTTTGAACAGGTGTGGCCGCCGATATCAGCCATATCAACACCAAGAGCACCGTCAAAGGCTATGACCCAACACCGTCGGGCCTCAAGGAGGCCTTGACTGGTGCCGAGGTTGTCCTCATCCCAGCCGGTGTTCCAAGAAAACCCGGCATGACTCGTGATGGTGAATATAAGGCCACTCCAGAACAAACCGATCGGGATTCTGACAGCTCCTAGATCTCTTCAACACCAATGCTAGCATCGTCCGTGACCTGGCAAAGGCTGTTGCTGATGCTGCACCCAACGCCAATGTCCTGGTCATTTCCAACCCCGTGAGTTCGCCACTGCCTGCCCCAAATGCGGAATCGTACTGACCAAAGGACAGGTCAACTCAACCGTTCCCATCGTGGCCGAGATCTTCAAGTCCAAGGGCGTCTACAACCCCAAACGCCTCTTCGGTGTCACCACTCTTGATGTCGTTCGAGCCTCCCGATTCGTCTCCGAAATCAAGGGAACCGACCCTGCCGATGAGAATATCACCGTTGTTGGTGGTCACTCCGGTGTCACCATTGTGCCATTGATCTCACAGTCTGGCCACAGCGATATTGCAGGGGAGAAGCTCGATTCTCTGGTCAACCGCATTCAATTCGGTGGTGACGAAGTTGTCAAGGCTAAGGATGGTGCTGGATCTGCCACACTCTCCATGGCTATGGCTGGTGCCCGCTTCGCAGAGAGCCTGTTGAAGGCTTCTCAAGGTGAGAAGGGTGTGGTTGAGCCTACATTTGTGGACAGCCCTCTCTACAAGGATCAAGGAGTCGATTTCTTCGCATCCAGAGTCGAACTTGGACCAGAAGGCGTGGAGAAGATCCACGACATTGGCAAGATCACCACTTACGAGGAGGGTCTAGTTGAGGCCGCATTATCAGGTCTGTAATCTTGTCCCAGCCCCCGGAGGAGGTCATGCTAACCATTGAACAGACTTGAAGAAGAACATCCAGAAGGGAGTCGACTTTGTCAAGGCTAACCCATAACTGGTAGACGACACCGCCAGCGGCTAAACAGAGTCGTTGTGTACAAAAGTAACCCTTGCCGCCGAGGGAGAGCAGAGTTTGCATTCATCTAGTGTTCTAGTTCGGATACTTTTTTGAGCCTTGCAAACAAAAACAAATCATACACTGTACTCTACCTCTTGTTTTTCCCTTGGTTGATTTATTTTTCAATCTCTTGCCAGGGGTGCTTGATTGACCTCGGCCAGCACAAATCGTCAGAGTGTGGGACAGAGTACGACCGTACTGCGACCCATCTGTGCAACCTGCGAAGAAGCGTGTCGTTAGCTAATTCATAGGATGCTGGTGAATAAGGCTGTGAATTCCGGTGGCTCGCCTGTCATGGTAGACGATCCAATTGTGCTGTTCCAGGTGGTGGCCAACATCAACGTCAACATCAATAGGGACTGCGGATAAAGGGCCGGGCCTATGTCTCAATATTCACCTCACCTTGTCTTGTAAGTTGTAATCCGGCCACCCTTGAATTCGATTGTTTTTGATAATACCCATTGTTTGCGTGTAGTGTCACCCAAGACCAAGGACAAGATCCCAAGGTATGTGGCTTTACTGCCTGTGGACTTGACGTCCTGATCTTTGGGTGATAAAAACCCACCGCGAATGTCCCGCATCTCATCAGGCAACTGCCAGTGCCTGTCCAATGCCCAACATCCAGCAACCAACACGACCAACTTCAGTTCTTGACCCTCTCCCACATTTTCAATTGCAATTTCCTGGCCCTGCAGTCTTCCATTCTTGAAAATCACCCCTGTTTCTCCAAACCTGTTCTGTTGCTTCACTTCCTCCTCACCCTCTCGTGCTGCAGCATCTCACTGCCTAGCCAGAAATAGGCGAATCCTCCCGCAGTCAGCAAAGTGGCTCTGCCAGCCTCATCGGAGTGCGCCACTCTTCTGAATCCTGGAGACTATGGGATCGACCTCAGATCCAAGACTGATTGACTGCGACGGAGATACAGTGATGGAAGACCATGAACCGGAGCGAGGCTTCCTGGGAGGCCCCTCCGGCCCTTGGGTTCCAAATCCCATCTTTCAGCCACTTCGAGATGCAAGACAAGCCGCGCTGAATTCGCCTCGTTCTGAACACTTGCTCGATTTAGACGGCAACTTAAGAACACTTAGCCCGAGACCAGACCTCTCCTCCCAACGGCTTGCACCACCTCATCGCATATATGGGAACATGAGAGTTCTGCCACCACCCGGACCGGACAGGCCCAACACCGGTTACAACATCGAAGTCCTGCATCCCATGAGCTCTAGATCGATCTTTGACCCAATTCCAAGCAATTGGCCCCCGTTTCCCCGACTTGGGGATTTCAATGGAGGACAACAACCCCCGGCACAGCCACAATCACAGTCACAGCTCGGATCCTCCAACACTTCTGATCCAGGAACTCAGGCTCCGTCCCTTGCTTCTCTCTTCACGATGCGAACTCGAGATGGTTTAGAACTCATGGACCAAGAAGACCTGCGTAGAATACCTGTGCGTGGAGGAAATAATACGGGTCCTAGACGACTACCATCCCATGATCGCTTCGATGACTCATTCCAAGAATCCCACACAGCCTATAGCTCAGATCATGATTCATATCATGATTCACTCTCCGATTCCTCAAATACCACCCATCTTCTTCATCGTCAGATAGATACTCATATCAACCACAATGGTACTGGAGTCAGACCACGACAGCGTCGCCTGCACCGCCGTCGACACTCACCTCGGCCAATCATTACTATGCCTTGCTCGGTATGTTTAGAGGACTTCCCAGAAGATGACCTTCTCCATCTCGAATGCGCATGTGAATACTGCAAGGACTGTCTGAACGGGGCTTTTCGCGTTGGCTGTGCCAGTATGACTTCATTCCCGCCTCGATGCTGTGGGAAACCACTCCGATCCATGGTGTGGGCCAGCTACCTTGACCCCGATGTTCTTGGAAGATACAATGAGATTGAAGCTGAATTCACCACTCATCGCCCTCTTTACTGTGCACAGAAAAGATGTTCCGAATTCATCCCAGATCAAAGACATCTTGACGGACAAGAAGCTGGACGTTGCCCCGAATGCCACACGGTGACGTGCAAATTATGCATCAAAGGAAAAGAGGCACATAAACAGTGGGATCTCTGTCGTCGAATATGCCCCGCCGAAGATAAAGATGAAACTGCACTGTATGATCTCAGTATGCGACAGAAATGGCGACAGTGTCCAACTTGCTTCACCATGGTGGAAAAGACAGACGGATGCAACCACATGGATTGTGTTTGTGGACTCGACTTCTGTTACACCTGTGGCAAGCGCTACGATGGAGAGGGTGCATGTGACTGCGATGGGGAGTGGGATGGAGAAGGGCCACCAGATGATGAGAATAACGACGAGGAAGAAGATTGGCCCGATTTCCGTGCAGCCGTCGATATGCTAGGAAGACCTACATGCCTCCATTGGTCTACAGATGCGGTTGGACTCGACAGCCCAGAAGCATGCCATGGCTGTCTTTCTTTAACGCAGGACCTTCAGAGCTGTACCGATTGTCATGTGGAGCTTTGTGAGATGTGCTTGTCCAATGTTCAAGGACTTGCCCGAATCAATGGGGAAGTGGACCAAGACCATCCCAATGAGGCTGACCAGCCTCGTGTCAACAACGCTCCTCGTCGCCTAGGCTTTCCTCGCTTCTTCCAACGACAACGCGCATGAACGGGATGAACCAAGTCCATCATTTGAACGCGGGTCAAGCCTTCCAACAGGAACATGGCAAATAGTTTCTGGCCAAGCAATACGCAGACGTGAGCCACGAGGTCAATACGAGAACAACAGGACTATCGATCTCCAAGTCATTAACAGTTCCTCTTTTCTTTTGTGGGACACTACGCTTTATCTTCACAGCAGAGGAGTTGGGGCAAAGTTACGGGTTTCCTATGGACTAAAGCTATGTCATCACACTGGGGGACCGGAACATAACGAGAATATGAACCAGATTCCTCAGCAAGAATGGTTGCATGATGGACACAGCAGTCAATAGTGGGTTAGGCAGTGAACTTGGCGGGCAGTACTTTCTACTCAGTTAACGAAGACTGCGAGCGAAATGTTTTAGTTTAGTCAACGAGGTATTCCACGTGAGAGACTTGTTCCTCTTGGGGGGCTGAAGTCAAGAATCATGGATACCGACGATGGGCGCTCTTAGGTAGACCATAGGGGCAGTGCTGAATGTTTAATCGAGGTCGTGCATCTCGCTCCAGTCATCAGATACGGGATCTTTTGAACGTTTGGTGCCCTCCACTTTCTTGGCTAGCCCCTGAGTCTGGGGAGGCCAACACCAAGCCTGTGCTTGCAAGTGGAAATGCACCATCATCGAAGAGCTCCGAGCTTGCCTCTTTCTTTCATTCCACCCTACCTTTTCTGTTCTTTCCTCTCGGTCATTCCTCACTCCGGATCCGCAATCTTCAAAATGCTCTTCCCCAAGTTCTCGCCCTTGAGCATGCCCAAAAAGCCGTCCACGGCGTTGTCAATCCCGTCGGTGATATGGTCGACGCTCTTAAAACTCCCGTCCGCGATCCACTTGCTCACGTTCTCATCCCGCTCCTTCGCCCACCGCGCAATGTTGGGGTCAAAGACCAAGAAGCCCTGCCAGCGGAGCCGGCGGCGCACGACCTGCGCGTAGTTCTTGATCCCGTAGTTGTCGGCGGTGGATTTGTTGTTGTACGTCGAGATGGCCCCGCAGGCGACGATGCGGCCGAAGTCGTTCATGTGCGTGATCGCCACGTCGAGGAGTTCCCCGCCGACGTTGTCGTAGTAGATGTCGATGCCGTTCGGCGCTAGGCGCGTCAGGGCCGCGTGCTGGTCTTCCGTCTTGTAGTTGAAGCCCGATGTGAAGCCGAGGTCTTTCGTGATGAAGTTGAGTTTCGCGTCGTCGCCGACGGAGCCGATTACCTGTTGATTGAGGTGGCGTTAGTTTTGGTCGTGGGCTTGGACCTGGGTATCAGGGGAGACACTAGGGGGGGGGGATGACACAGGGAGCGAAGCATTTCGCAGTACAGCAATTACTCACGTTCAGGCCTTCTCGCAGGGCGATCTGGCCGACTGCCTGGCCGACGGCGCCGGCAGCAGCGCTGATGAGGATGGTTTCGCCTCTCTTGGGCGTGCCGATCTCATGCAGCGAGCCGTAGGCCGTCATGCCCGTCATGCCCAGCAAGCTCAGATAGGCCGTCAGAGGCACGCCGGGCTTCTCTTCAATGACCTTGGTTCTGCCGGAGGTGATGGCGGACTCGTCGACCGCGGAATAGGATTCGGTATAGTGGCTGGTGACCATCACCACGCTGCCTTCCTTGATCGCGGCGTTGTCGCTCTTCAGGACCCGGCCGATGACGCTAACGGAGATCACGGGCTTGCCTGTGCTCATGGCCGGAGAGTACGACCTGACGGACGGGTCCCGCATGCGTCCCCTCTGGCTGGGGTCGTACGCGGCGTAGAAGTTCTTCGTGGTAAACCCGCCCTTGGGAGGGGCGGCGTTTTCGTCAAAGCCGATGTCCTCCACCGTCAGGTCCTGGCCCGCCACAGGCCACCCGTTGGGGATGGCCTTATAGATGAAGGCTTTGTTTTGAACCATGGCTGGGATGGTTTTTGTTTGATTTGGTGAAGAGGGCGAGGATGAGAAAGACGGGATATGGGATACGGGTAAGAGTGTAGAAGCGGGGAGGAGATTGTTGGATGCTTGTTATGTTAGTCGAGGTCGTATGCTTCCATCCATACGTCTTATAACTAGCTTGACTGTATGCTTTATGCAGGGAATGCCACGACAAGGGGAGCATATGTTTATTAAGCAGCAAAGTGGTTAACTAGCCGTGTCTGTTGGTCCGATGGACGGTCAAGCCGGCACTCACCTTTTGACGTAGAGTTATTGGATCAGATTGATGTCAGAAAGAAGTTTCTTGATCATTGAATGTTTGCCAATGATGGAATTGCCGAGGTATTTCTCAGCGGCTACTCCGTACGGAGTGCACCAGACGATAATAGCATCGGGCGGCCTGGCTGCCTTTGGGGTACTCGCCCACCTTTGTCCTCTGTACGAAGTGCAGAACGTTGATAGCATGTGTTTAGTCATGGTGCTGCATACTAATCGAACCAGCTGATTAGGTAATTGTCCCAGCTCCCTACTGGTATCGCGTACTGGGTGCAGTATTGTGAATAATAACATGTCTCCGTGACTTGCTACTTCGTAGAACACGCATTCGCCTCCGGCCGTAAGGCCATATTTGAAGAGTGCACCCTCCCCTGCCCGTAAAACCCTCTTTCAGTGGGCCCCGGGCGAGCCTGTTGGTACCTAATTGGAGCATCTCCACGCCCGAGACGCCCCCTCACACCCCTCTAGCATGCCTATATAATCAGCCTCGCCGCTCCCATTCTGAATTCTGCAAATCCCCCGGTCGCCCTGGCTGCGATCACGTGTCGGTCACCAACAATGGTATGCAGCAAGCTAACTTCCCTTGCCTCGCTTCTCTGGTATGAATATCGACGGCACACAAGGTAACGACTGCGGATAGAGACAGTGAAGGGCCAGCGATGAGAGCATATCTAGGAAGAGAGCGTGCCGTCCTTCGTGGTGGTTGGTGGCCGAGGCAGCTATCCATGGCTGGTCGGAAGGAGGTCACCGCTGTTTCAGCAAGGCGCGTCTTCTCGCTTCTGGGCGCAACTGGTCACATTCACTCATCCTGTGATGCCAACAGCACAGCTTCATGCTTGGGTTGGGCAGACCATTCAATATAATCAAGTTCACAGTATTGAGCTTCACAACTTTGATTTCTCGGCGCGATTGTGCCCTTTCCCTTTGATTTTCTATGAAGCAGCTGTTCGCTTGGTCAAACGTTGTCCGATTCAGCCTTTGAATTCGCAATGGCTACGCTTCCTAACCTACAGGGCGTTGAAGCGCTCTTGCACTCGTTTCGTGAGGCTGATATTCAACGTGATCAATTATTGCAGACCCTCGCACAAGCTGTCTTCGAGACGCAAAATGAATTGAAGACCGTTCAGGGTGATCTTGACGATGAACGCAACACTCGCCGCGAGTGGAAACGAAAAGCCGAAGAGGCCGCCGCGGCAATTGAACGGAAATATTCTGCTTTCCTTGTTGATGGAGATGGTTACATCTTCCACAAGGCGTTATACCAAGCTGTTGCGACATCTGGTGGCTCTAGAGCGGCCAATGATCTCTACAATGAGGTTGTCGAATACCTCAGACAGCAAGGCCTTCTGAGAAACAACAGTTCAAACTACGATGTCGTTGTGAATGTTTACGCCAACAAATTGGGCCTGGCTAGAGCCCTGGTTGCTGCCGGCTACCTTGATCATCCTTCCCAACTAGACCAATTCTTCTGTTCATTCTCCCAGGGACAGCCTCTCTTCCAGTTTATCGACTGCGGACCGGGCAAGGAGCGTGCAGATACAAAACTAAGAGGTAGTTTGCATCCCTACCCAAACCTGTCACTCACCAGGCATTTGCTGACATGTCTTTGGAATTAGATACCTTCCGGTTCTATGCTGATAATGTTCAGTGCCAGCGAGTTTTCCTGGCTGTCACACACGATAACGGATATATTGCTGAGCTAGACAAATTTCGCTATGCTACATTTCAATCAAAGATAGTGCTAGTCCATCAATCTTCGGCGGCCAAATCAACACAATCTTTTGCCAGCTTGCCGTTCAAGACGACGACCTTCGAAACCGTTTTCGAGCCATACCCCCTAAGCATCACACCAAGAATTCATAGCCAGGCATTGTCCCCAAGCTTCGATGAAGCCATTGCTGAATCCTCGATAGCCAGCTATGAAGAAGCAGAACTCACTCCGCCAGTGAGCCGGACTAGCTCATCGATCTCTGTGCCACCTAGACTAGCACCTGTCTCAACGCCAGCTGGGATCCCAACGATAGCCAAATCCCCCACCCCACCCTCAGAAACACCTACTGCTGCACTTGATACGAAGACTGGCATTCCAATCAATCGAAGTGGACAGAGAATCGATCTTAAGCTCCGGACCCCTACCGCGGCTGAGTTGGCCCAGTTTGAGACTCGGATCAAAGTGCGTAAGCTTTGCAATGAACACCATCTCCGAGACAGTTGTGAAGCATATAACTGTAGGTTTGATCACGAGTGGATTGATGCGAACACGAAGAATGCACTTCGATACAAGGCCAGAAGCATCCCTTGCAGTTATGGGTCAAAATGTCGAATTCGGAATTGTTTCTATGGCCACATCTGTCCATGGGAGAGTAATGGCGGAGAATGTGGTAATCGCAAGTGCCAGTTCATCGTGAAGGGGCTGCATGATATCAAAGATCTACAAGTGGCTAGATTTGTTGCAGCAGCGCCGCCAAATGCGTACTGATCGACACGTCCCGAGATGGAGGAGTCCGAGCCCTTCTTCAGGAGGTGGGAGGCTGTCGACGCCATGGACGAAAGATTAATTAACTGGGGTGGAGAGAACCAGAACTCAGCCGAGGAGTAGTAATCAGGAAGCCTGAGGATGGCAATTCGTATTCCTGCAGATAGGGAGCAAGACTGTCAAAAAATTTGGTGAGAGTAGGAGCAGGGCTACTATACTGCATTATTCGGTACAGACATTATGAGTATCTAGCCCGCCTACTATGGTGTAGGTACAGTACGGAGTACATATCTCTTAGCACAATCAGAGAGATATGAAAGCACCGTGGGTCGAAGATGCATTTACATTGTGCTACTGTTGTGCCACCAAGCCAGCTAAACTTCTTGTAATTCGAGAACCCTGTTGGCCATGTGCCCTTGGCGTAGTTTAGTCAAATCCACTTCTTATTGGCGCCGCTTGGGGGACTGTGCGTTCAACCCAGTGCCTGTGTTACCTGGAGAAGTGTTCCTCGAGGCCGAATAGTCTTCCTGAACAGTGGACGGTTGGTTCCCGGTGTACGGACGACGCGGTTGCGACGAAGGCGCCAACACTCTGGACTCTACTCGGAGTTAATAGGCTGTTGGTCCCCTGTAACCCACCTGGAGGCCGTCGATCACCTGCAACTTCTGCGGGGAAGAGGCCAAGGGGCCTTGACAGCAGCCTGTGCGGGTTCCACTGGGCAAGGTGGGCATTGGCGGGTCAGGCGCTCTTTGGCTCTGGGCCGGCGGGGCCCTCCTCGGCCTTCTGTCTGGGGTCTGAGTGCCTGGAGGCTCAGGCTTCCCGGGACCCAAACCTCGAACCCTGGTTTAGTAACTAGTGGTGCCGTAGGCAAGGGCCTCTCCGTCCACCACCGCCATTATGGAGTACTTGTGCCACCATCCATCCATCCAGATGGCACTTTGAGAATGAGGCAACCATCACCACCACAAAGGCATCAAATCCAAATCCACAACCAGGCAGCACACACCACATCCTCTCCTCTTCCATCTTCATCATCTCTCAGCCTTCTTCTATCCAATCCCAATGCCATGCCCCTTGTTCTCAGCCATTCACTTGTCTGCCTGTTGTTTGCCTTGTCACGATATTCTTGCTTGGCTGGGCACAACCCATAGCAATATTATTCATTATTTTCCATTTGTCTCAATTTCTGCCTGAGCCTGGCCTGTCCTAACCTGAGCCGGTTTCACTTTAATGATTCATTCACTGCTTTCACTTCACTTCACTTCACTTCACGACTGACTACCTGCCTGCCTATCTCTCCTTTGAATTTCGTTCCAAGTTTAGCTGTTTGCCGAACGCACTCGTCAACAACTCTCTTACCTTTTCATTCCTGACCTTTCCTGCTTGTACTACCTTCCTTCTTTTCCCTGTACCCTCCGTCTCTTCCTCCTCTCTCCTCACCCGCAGACTCTCCCTCAGCATGGATCAGACCACCTCTGGTCTCACAGAGGCCAAGAACAAGAAGATCGAGCCTGCCACTGATCGATCAGCAATTACCAAGGCCAACTCCACAGAATCTCCCAAAGACCAGAAGAAGCATTGCAAGAAGCATGCTGCTTCTCCCTCCAAACGCAAGCTGAAACACTCCTCCAAGCCCAAGAAGTCAGACTCCAGCGAAACCAGCTCAAGTTCATGCTCTGAATCATCTGATCCGTCCTCTACCAGTGACTCCTCCACTGACTCGGAGAACGACTCCTCCACTGACTCCACTGCCGAGAGGAAGAAGCTCAAAGCTAAAAAATTGAAGGCGAAGCTCAAGGCGCAGGCTAAAATGAAGAAACAGAAGAAGGCAAGAAAGAGGGCCGCTGCCAAGGCTGCAGCACTAGCAGAAGAGGAAGAGGAGGACTCGTCTTATACTGACAGCGAATCCGAGGAAGAGCTCCTGCAAAATGTTAAACCCTCTAGAACCAAGCCTGCAAAGAGAACGGCGAAGAAGGCGAGAGATAATGAGGACTCTGACCACGTCGAGTACGAAGAGGACCCTAACTCGGCCAGATTGAGAGCCATGAAGACCCAACTGCACGACCTTCGATTCGTCCAGCCAGGGTCGGGCGTGCCTGTTAGCCACCTTGCTCACCGGGGTCAGATCATCCCTCCTGTCACTCGCTCAGACAATTACACAATCAGCAAGCGAAGATCTGGTCTCGAAGAGCGGGCTCTGGTAAAAGAAACAAAACCACCAAAGCACAAGATTGCCAAACGTGCATCTAAGGTTGCTTACAAGCGTGTGGATCAGCTCTGGGATCAGGGAATCCATAACTTCAAGCTCACCGAGACCGCGAAGAACACGGGAGAGGCTGTTTGGGACCAGTATATTTTCACAGTCCGTCGCAAGTTTGACTGGGAGCAGAAATACCAGGGCACCGTTGTTGATATCAAGTCAACACCTTTGAAAGACTCTCTTCACCATATTATGGCGGGTGTCAAGGGTGTCAGCTTGGTTGGTGAGACCCTCCACATGGATCCCAACATGCTATTCCTTTACTTGGAAGAAATGAGAAATTATGTCGATATTCTAGAACAATCTGCTTCAACACGAAAGCGCAAGGAACGAAAGGCGCTGGCCACCCAGATACAACACCTTCGGGTTATGGTTCGCTATCTCGACAAGGACTTTGCCGAGACCAAGAGAAACCTATACCCTATGTTGGAGAACAACCAGATTACATTTGATCTTCTATGGGCGTTGTACAAACCCAATACGATTGCGTATTGCTCAACCTATGGAGATTCAGATGAAGGTCGCGCCTTCAAAATCGACTTTGCAACAAAAGACCAGAACTTCATGAAGGGCGTTTGGTACAATGTCGAAGGAAGATACCTCGAATATGACGGCAAGTCATTTGGTATGGGAACATTGCATAACGAAGTCCAAGCTTTCCAGGGTGTGCGCAAGATTTCATCCTTGGAATGTTTTCCACTTCAATATCACAGAGATCCTAAAAAGATTCGTGAGCAACTCATTGAACGTGGCAAGAAGTTTGTGCAACTTCAAGGTATGAACCATCGCTATCACAAGGGCATGGCCTATGCCAAGCGCAAGAAGCAGGTATTGAAGATCAACATTGACGGCAGAATTATGGTTGACCCGGCAATCCATCGTCGTATCAACCCCAATTATCCTGTCAGCACCGTCAAAAAGAATTCTCTTGAAGGAAACAATGGCGATGACTCTGACGCCGAATGTGGATGTGGAGATGATAGTAGCTCTGATGATGGAGTCAATAATCAGAATACCCCATCTGAGGACACAATTCAAGAGAGAAAGCGTTTCAAGGCAGTCAAAATGCCTAATGGGCAAACAGCAATCATCTTAGTCAGCTCCAAGGACGATCCTGACGCTGATGCTCTTGATGAATCTCGTGCCATCCAGCCACAAGAAAGTCATGAGTTTTCTGAAGAAGAACTGTTGCTTGCAAGCCCTGTGGTGCTTGGATTTGCCTTTGGCGAGAAGTTATGGCTCGAATTTACTGTTTCTGGCATCTCCGACATCGTCTACAATGATGAGGCTTTTGATACTCTCGTCCTTCCTGAAAATCAAAAGGATATTATCAAAGCCCTGGTATCATCCCACGCCTTCCACGCCCACAAGAGTATTGATGATATTATCTCCGGCAAAGGTCGCGGCCTGGTTGCCGTACTTCATGGCAGGCCGGGCACCGGGAAGACACTTACAGCTGAAGGAATTGCCGATCTCTTGAAATGCCCGCTCTACATGGTCTCCGCCGGTGATCTCGGAACCGATCCTACCAGATTGGAAAAGGAATTGCAGAATATTCTTGATATTGCACACAGTTGGGGTGCAATTTTGTTGCTTGATGAAGCAGATGTCTTCTTAGAACAACGTTCGATTCATGATATTCATCGGAATGCCCTGGTTAGTATCTTCCTACGATTACTGGAATACTTTCAAGGGATTTTGTTCTTGACAACCAACCGTGTTGAGACATTTGATTCTGCCTTTGTGTCTAGAATTCATCTGTCTCTCCGATTCCAGGACTTGACGACCAAGGCCAAGCGTACTGTCTGGAATTTGTTCATCGACAGAGTTAGAAAACAAGAGGGAATGGAAGTGGGAAACATTACTGAAACTGACCTGTCAGATCTGGCACGCCGAGATGTTAATGGTCGACAAATCAAGAATCTCGTTAGGGCTGCACAAGCATTAGCTATTCATGAAGAGAAGCCATTGAGTATGGTGCACATTCGACGTGTTATCGAGGTGGCGGAAAGTTTCGAAAATGATCTCAAAGGTGGTACCGGGTTTACTGATGCTATGAGGAGTGAGTCTCCGTATGTTTAGATGATGTTCGACGACGATGCTAACTTGGGTCTAGGTTACACCTAATCAATCATCAGGACTCTGGCTAGGTCTATTGTGCTCAAAGTAGAGATGAAGAAGGTCTTGGAGACCTTCCTTGTGTTCCTTGCGGACTTGAAATGTATGGATGGATGGATGGGTAGAAACCAACATCTCTTAACTATGGAGCAGCATTGACCTGGATTTCCGACAAAAGGGTCACACGAACGGATTTGGCAATATTGGTTATGGAAATGGAAACGGCGAAACTCCAAGAGAATTTCAGGCATATCGTGTATCATGTTCATGACGAATGGAAACCCGGACTGGAGAGGCATTAATGATCAGAATTCGTATCTTGACCACGTAATTGAGCGTTCATTTTCATAGCGGTCTTTTGTTCATCAAACGTGCCATGTTATATTCATGCCGACGACCATGATCAATTCGATATTCCATCTCCTGGGTTGACCTAAACAGCGATTACGCTACCGATGGAGTCACATGAAATCAGTGTTGCATGTTGTATATAGATTTCATGGCCGGACGAGTCGGCGCACATGCCTCTGTGTCCACTCATGTTTGCTGTGTCTAGATACCACATGGGCTAAGTTTGGGAGCAACATGAGTAGGAGTGGGTAGCTCTCATACACCCTCACTGCGTACAGTGCACTGCACCTCACCTCCCTTCTCTCCCTTTCCGTTGTGGTTTCCTCCATCGCTCCTCCCAGGGGACGCAAGGCCGGGCTCCTTTCGTATCTCCCTTCGATTAGGAGGGCACGGTAGAATCATCCTTGCAATGCAATCATGCATGCGTGCATACATAATCAAATGACCCTCGGCCCCAGCGTCGCCTCTCCTTGCTCAACTACTCACCGTTTTGTCCTTGCTCAAAGATCCGCACTAAACCGCGCGGTCCCTCGGTCCCCGCTGCCGCCTCCCTCTCGTCCCTCGTCCCTCGTCCCTCGTCCCCCGTCCCGGTTCAACTCGCATCACTGAGCAAGGTACCCGCCATCCACGACGATACTGCTGCCAGTGACCCAGCCGACGCCGTCGCCGGCCAAGAAGACGGCCACTCGCGCGACATCCTCGGGCCTGCCGGTGCGGCCCCAAGGATGCGCGACGTTCAGCTTTTGCAGCACGGCGTCGCGGCCGCCGGGCGCGGTGGCGTACAGGGTCTCGAGGAAATGCGTGTCGGTGAAGCCGGGCTGGATGGCGTTGATGTGGATCTTGTCGGGCGCGTACTCGAGCGCCGCCGCGCGCGTCAGATTCAGCACCGCGCCCTTGCTCGCGCAGTACGACGTCGCGCCGACGAGGCCCGTCGACGCAAGGATCGACGCCAGGTTGATGACCCAGCCGCGCGAGGCGCCGGCGGGTGCCGCCGCCCGCGGCTCTTGCGTGAGCATCTGCGCGACCGCGTGTTTGGTGCCCAGCCACACCCCGCGCACGTTGACCGCCAGGGACGCGTCCAGCGTCGAGACCGGCGTCTCGTGGATCCGCGTCAGACTGCCTGTGGCGGTGCTGCGGGCCGCAGATTCGGCGGATATGCCTGTTGGACGGCGGGGCAGAACGTCAGATATCGGATGCATCTCGGTGAGTGGGGTTGAGGGAGCAGGTAAAGCTGGTCGGAGCTGGAGAGGGAGAAGGCCTCCCTCCTACCCTCCTCCCTCGCTCTTCTTTGCGGAGACCCATGAAATAGGGACGATGCATAATCCCAAACGAATTCGGCGGTGCGAGACTAGGGGGAGTAAGAGGGAGGGGAAAGCCGTCGAGGAACGTCTCAGGCGTCTGATTTCCGTTCTTTTGTGACCTCGACCTCGACAATGTTTCCCCCCTCCATACCCTTTCTCCCCTGAGGAGTAACAAAGGCTCCAAACAACGTCGACCAAGGGGGCCGCAGAGAAGAGAGATGCAAATGAAAATGAAAATGGAAATGGAAATGGAAATGAACCTAATCAAAGGAAAACATACCAGCATTATTGACCATGATATCCAGCCTCCCGAACGTGTCCACCGCGAAGCGGACCGCGTTCCTCACGCTCTCCTCGTCGGTAACATCGACCTTGACAAAGGCGGCGCGCTGCTTGCGCCCTTCGTCGGCGGCAGGCCACTGCGCATTGACCAGCTCGACGGTGGGCGTGCTGAAATCCTGCGTGCTGCCTTCGCCCTTCAGCGCGCTCTCGACGACGGGCGCGGCGGCCGGTGTCTCCTTGAGGTCGGCGGACACGACGTACGCGCCGGCGGCGGCGTAGGCCTGGGCGATGCAGCGGCCGAGCCCGCTGCTGGCTCCCGTGATGAGCGCGACTTTGTTGTGCAGGCTGGCGATGTTGCCGATCGGTGAGTTCGCGAGCGGGTACTGTGCTGGTTGGGACATGGTTGACGTATATATATATGGTTGGGATTCTGGGGATATTGATGAATATAAGGAATGGGTATAAAAGGGTAAGTAGAGGTAGTAGTCGTCCAGTCAGGATCCTTCAGGGCAAGGGAATAAATAGAAGAACACAATGTTTAGCGGGGCGGATGATTTACTTGTTCTCTTGCTTTGTTTCTTTCTTTACTTGTTCTCTTGCTTTGTTTCTTTCTTCCCTTGCTACCTAACGGCTAAGGTACAACCAGGGAATAATGTTAGAGAGCGAGAAAGAAGAAAATCCTGTCAAGAGCAGCCAGGTAAGTTTGGGAGGTCAAATATGCAGGCTGACACAGACAAGGCGTGCCGGGTGGAGAGAGACTACTCGATTCTTGGATACCTTTGGTGTCATCAGGGCTGTGGTCGGGTCAAATGCGGGGGAAACAAGGATGTCGGACACGACAAGCAAAGACTCGACCGAGGATGAAAATGGAAAACTGGGTTGATATATTGGTCCATTTGCCGGGAAAACCAAAGCGCCTGAGTCAGTCCATATCGATGTATGTCCAGAATGAACTGAGATCACTCTTCTTTCTTTGTGCAGTAAACCCCTCCCGTCGATGTCTGCCCTTTTCCGGATCGTGTGAGGCGGTACTAGGTAGCCCCTGTCCCAATTCCACTGTATGCAAAATCCCAGTCCAAATAAATAGAGACATAAAGCCCAAACAAACACAGGCAAAAGATTGCGACTGTACAGATTTGATGATTGTCGTTCCTTCGTAGCCTCACGAGAGGCTTCCCAAAAATGCAAGAACAATAAATCCACCGCGTATCAGGGTATGTATGCAGGATGAAATGGGAAACACCATGTGGCAGAAAACCAAAGGATATGTTGCAAGAGAACTCAAGTCGACAGGGGATGAGCTGTTGGTTTAGTTTTGTCGGCCAGTTTGAAAGCTCGCTCAAGACTTCCATCACTGTCATCAGACAACTCGTCCAGCATGCGATCAATCAAAGCATCTTTATCGGCCGCAGAAGTGGCGCTATGCTTCTCAGAAAATGCCACTTTCTTCGGCGATGTCATTGAAGTTTGACTGAACTGTGTGCGGAGGGGGGATGTCTGTGAAGCAAAGATCTGGCTGGCACGAGTCGACGAGGATTCTTGGGATGAACGGCCGGGGGGGTTGTAGCCTGAATTATTTGGACTGGCCATAAACAACAAAGTTTCGACTGCATCCGCCTCCATGGCGGCATTTTGACTTGGCGTCCGTTGACCAGTCACCGGGTTAGAAGAATGCAAATGTCTCGCTTGAACCTGCGGACCATGGACGTTGTGATATGACGCATTTGGAGTGGGCCGGCGTCGCGAAGCGGGCCCTATATCGAGCGGTGGAGCCAAGGCACGGTGCGATGGAGCTTGAGGGCTCGTCACCATATTTACCAGACCACGGTGCTCCAAAGCGACAGTGCTGTCGGAAGAATCGCTTTCACTAGACTGGCGTTGATATTTCCTCGTCATGACAATGCGAGGTGACAGTATGGACTGAGGGTCGTTGAAATGTTGGAAGCCAGACACGGTGGAGCGAGGAGATTGAGAGGCGAGAGACTCAATCTCATCAAATGTCCGCGACTGCCAACCATTCTGAACCTTGATCATGGCGTATTTAAGTTTGGTGCGTAGCTGTTGAGAGACCTAAGAAATGGTTATCAGGGCAGCAGGTGGCTAGTAGAATGAGTGGCTTGTTTACCTCGAGAACATTTCCATTACTGTTACTCCCATTTGAGACCATACTTGAGGCGCGCGTGTGACTGGAAGCTTTGGCAACCAGGTCCCCTAGACCATTCACACTGGATCTCTTCAACTGGCCGGTGGCTGTCCGCTTGGTGCCGGATAACGAAAAGGGCTCTGGGCTTTGAGAAGTGGAAAGTGAGCATTGTTGTTCATTGCCGGCTTCAGTCTTGAGATTCTCGACAACCTGCAGAGGCTTCCTGTCTAACAAATCTGTGGAGCCAGTGTCCTGCGATTCGGCTTGACTTGATCTGGCTGAAGAAGGCGAGGTGGTGGAGTCATCGTGGTTGAGGGTGGGTAGGTTGTGGGTGGTGGTGGTGGAAGAGGCAGTGTCGGATGTTGTGATGTTGAGAGATTTAGGGCGGGTCGAGTCTGATAGAGCTGATTGTTGCAAAGTTGGATGCGAACTCGAGGGGAAAGATGCAGCAGGAGGATGCAGCCAGGGCGCAGGGGCAGATGTCAGAGGTTCGTGTGATGGTGGTGGTGATTGTTCTGCTGGTGGTGGGCCTTTGTCCATGTCCATGACTGACGCATGATGCGGATTGGGATCAGCTTCGGTCAGAGTCGGCATGCCCTGATCTGGAATACGGATATGCTGGAGGAGTTGGTCTCAAGTGGGAAAAGGAATGGAGGCGGGTAAGCGACAAGTAGCAATTATGTGCAAAGGAAGAAAGGTAGGGTAGTTGCCAGTGTGTTGGTAGTTGGTATTTGGTTTGTGAAGACTGAGGACACGACGACGCGTGTTGGTGAAGGCCGGACCCGTGGAGTGGACTCGTGTGGTTGTATCGCTGAAGGGCCCGACTTCCCAAGGGTTGTAACTAGTTGTAACTTTGTACGGAGTAGTAAAAAGTGGGTTGGACTTGGATGCCAGGGCTCCTAGAGTTTGGTGGCCGATCGGGACCTGATGGGCGCGGGCGAGGGCGTGGCTCTCGTGGCTCTGACGCCTGCGGCCTGGCTTGGAGTCGCGTGGCCTTGAAGAAAAACGACGTCTGCTCCTTCCCTCGAGGGACTGACGGTGGAGTTCCTTCCGCCCAGATGATCGAGCCCGGCACGACGCGTAAAGGCTAAGTGACGAAAGCGTCCAACGTGACGCAGTCCAGGCAGACACGCGTTGACCAGATACACAAGAAAGCCGTACTGTACCAAGTGCAATCGAAGCATGCCTAGGTAAATATTGCAAGTGGAAGACATGTTCCAGTTCAATATCCAAGATCCGACGCGTAGCACATATCCAATAATTCCCCGCGCTGTGCGTTTCTCGCCAGTGTGTCGGTGTGTGCGTGGGATGCGGATGCGTGCCTCGTGTCAAATCCCCCCCAAACCCGCCATCCAAATTTTCACTCAATATTGAACAAATCACAGACCATGTCCAATAGTGACCACCTCCATTAGGCCATATCTTCTGAGGCTTCTCCTTGACCAACTTTAGTGGCGCTTTGCATATCGACTACTCTCGTCAGACTGCAGACTTCAGTGCTTGTACCTGTAGAGCATATCGTGCATTCATGACATCTCATAGCGTATACATCATTTGCCTCGGGCAAGGCCATGCTCGTCCTGCCTGGGCCTCGTCTCTAACAACTTTTTACGAAGACCGTTTGTATCTTTTCCCTCCCCCTCCGCCACCGCCATCACCAGCTGGTTTGCGTTTCCTCCCTTCTTTCCTCCAGTAATCATCTCGTTCTCTCTTCTCCCTCTCTGATTTCTTCTCCAGATTCTCCGCCACCTTCTTGCGGTACACTGCCCGTCGCTCCTCCTGCTTCTTTGCTCGCTTTTCTACCTTCTCGTTCCGTAGCGTCTGCAGCTTTTGCATCAAATCTCGTGCCTTCTTCTCCTCTCCACCCAACACCACTGCTCGCTTCTGGAGGTATGTTGGTGCTTTTCGCGCCTTTTGTCGTACGATCTGCGATTTGAATGGAAGATCTGATGCTAGAGCACGGGGCACTCTCAGAGGGTTGAAATGACGAGTTGGTCGTTCGATCTTCCTATATGCCGAGTCTTTGAGTAGAGGTGTTGCAATCCCCATGGCCGCACGGACGGCTCCCGTCAGCCGCATAGCTTTCCACGCCCCCGACCCATCATCCATACGCTCTCCGTCTCCGCTGATCTCACCACTGGGAGGCGCGTCTAAAAGATTGGTGACGGGGTTATAGAATCGATGAGGCTTGACCGGAAACCACGCTCGTAAGAATACAATGTCAGACATGAGGATCTTGTCTTCGAATGTCGCTCGAAAATGCCCTTCAGGTTTGCTCAGTGCTCGCTTGATCTGTCCTCGAATCCCAGATACCGTCTTGATGCTTGCCCCTTCAAATTTGGCAATTTCAATTGATGAGTTGAACATGTCCCGAATGAACGCCGTGTTGCGGAATACCTTGTATGGATGCCCCGTAAGCTTGAGTTTTTTCACGATCTCGGTCGTCTCGTCCACATTCAACACCACTCCCGTGGCTGCTATTCGAAACCCGGGGTTGGCGTTGGAAAAGGATTGCACACAGCAGAACCCCGTGTTGGGTGCAACCAGTGGTCCGTAGAATGTTCCAAAGCAATGCATGTGTTCCGGTGTATACTTCAGCATCCGATTTCTTGTTCGAGAATCGGATATCGAGTACAGCGGCATGGTCTGAAACCGCCGCCAGCCCAGAGAAAAGATCAATGGATCGTTTGTTTTGAGGATTTTCTTGTGCCATCGATGTCGTTTAATCCGGATGTGAACAAACCCAAATCGATCTTCAGTCGGCGCCAAACCGCCCACAATGACAGGCATCCGAGGGTTGAACGATCGAACAAACTCATACGGCACCTTGTCAAGAACAATCCTTGCATATGTCCCTGCCTTGAACCCCTCCGCCCGTGCTCGGGAGACAGCGTCTAGACTGTCAAACTCTGCACGATTGATGTCCAACTGCTTTTGCAGCATGGCCTTTTGTGCTTCATACCAGTCGTCCTCCCCAAATTCATCTTCCGTGGCCTTGACTTCGTTCTTGCTGTTGGCAAATCCTTCTCGATCTTCTTCTTCGAATCGTAGTCTCAGCTCTTCTTTTCGTTTGGCATTCTTCGCCCTTTCTTCATCGAGCGTGAGCTTTTCTTGTGCTGCTTGGTCTTCCTCTGCAGGTGCTTCCAGGTCTTCGAACTCCCCGTCGCCTTCATCGGATTCATCGCCAAAGCCATTTTCCCCGTTTTCTTCGTCTTCGTCTCCAAGATCGTCTGCGTTGGCACCGGTAGCCAAAGACCCTCGTGTAAACCGCGACATGAGCGCCTGGATGTTATTTTCGTCTTCCCACTTCGTCGACAGTGCTGCATGATCGTATCTGGGTGTGAGTCGATCCTCGTTTTCAGCTTCGTAATCTGTCTTTGCCTTCTTGAAAAAGTCGTCTTCGGGATCGACATCATTTTCTGCGTCCGAGGTAAGGGCGTCTCCCCGCCACTTAGGCATTACTCGGGACGGGGACAGACTTAGGTCGTACATCAGCCTCGACAGATCTGCAGCGCGGAAAGCCACTTTCGACGCATGTGTTCTTCTTGCTTTGTCTGCCAGATTCTCTTTCCAACGTATACCACCATCCTCGTCTTCGTCTTCGACTTCGTCCGCGGATGAGTTTTCATCTAACAGACCAGAACCCTGTTGTTCTCCTGAGACAGAACCCATATCAGAATCGCTCTCGGCGAATGCCAAGTCATCCTCATCATTCTCAGCCATATCGTCGTCTGCAGCAAACCCAGGCTTCCCTCTATGCTCTGGGTAATCGTCAAGTTCGTCTTCATCCTCTCCGCCACTCTCCCCGCTGACGAAGCCTTCGTCATCGTCCTGGTCTTCAACATCTTGAGTACTGTCTTCGTTCTGTTGGATAAAACGCGCCCCTCTTTTGGTGGTCCGACCCATGTCACCTTCGTCTGTGAGTTCTCGGCCACCTTGGAAAAGCCGTACACCACCTTCTGCCTCTCCTAGTAAGTTTCTTTCACCTTGCAGATTCATCATCAATTGTTCGCCCAGCCCACGATCCTCAACATCATCCGCATCTCGGTCGAATGTGTTGGTCTTGACTTCGATGTAAACTGCATCCTTGTCCACAAGGACACCTCCAACATCGGACATGGGTGCAAACAAAACCTTTTGTTTTTCACCCAGCTTTCGTCGATGAGACTTGCCAGTCGCTTTAGCGATCGCCTGATCCAAGAACGGTGTAGGACAAGGGTCGGGCAACGACTCGATCTCCTTAACCGTTAGGTCCCCTACACCAGGAACATGAACCCTCGCACCGTCGGCAGGAAAATTTGTCCCACGAAGGTACCCGTACAGCGCCACCTGCCTGTCACACTTCTCATTCTCCTCAATAGCCGTCGGCGGGGTGACATCGAGGAAACGATCGGCCAGGCAGTACGGATGACTGTTCCTCCACACGAGCGGCCGCGGATTCTTCATCACCGACAGAAACCGCGACAGATTATGCACCTCACGGTCGGGGTACCGGCCATTGATGACACCGGACAAGTAAAACAACTTCGCACCCTGGTACAGCTCGGACCAGAAGCGGTGTTTCAGTCTCTTCTTCGCCATGCGCAGCGTGCTCTGCTTCTTGAACAGGTCCAGGTGCGTGAGGATCCCAAACACATTGCCCGGCATTCCGGACGTGCTCAATGCGTTGAGGAACTCCATCGTTTCCATCTCAAACCCGTAATTTCCGTCGATCATGAGGAGCACGATGTCGGCGATCTTAGCCACATCAATCATCGCAGCAAGAGATTCTGAGGGAGATTCGAAAAACGTGAGTCGCCGCCGCTTCGAGGTCACCACCGTGAGGGGGCCGGTGGGATGTGAGAGCGTCTGCTTCGAGTATCGTTTGATCAAGCTCTTGATGAGTGTGGTCTTCCCGACGCCGGAGGGTCCGACGACGGCGACGACAATAGGAGGGGCTTCTTCGGGAATGCGGTCGACCTGCGGTACGTGAAGACGTTTTTCTTTGATGTCGCTTGACCGTACAGCTTCCTTAGCCAGACGGCCTGGGTTGGCGACTGCGAAGGCTTTGACATTCTTCTGCCCTCGTTGTGGCTTTTTCTTCTCCTTGGTTGCCCGGTGAGGGCGATTCGATTGTGTCTCCATGACGGTCTGCGCGCCTCCTCTCCCACCTGCTCTTGGCAACTTCTTTACATATGGGCCTTGGGAGGTTTTTGGCAACCAGTTCCGTGAACAAAAAAAAAAGTTGGGTGGAGGGCAGGCAGTGCGGAGAAGAATCACTCTGGGAGGATTTGCGCCAATCAGGGCACACGATAGAGATCTCCCACTGTTGGTCACGTGCTTGGGAGAGACATACCCTTCCCGTGGAAGGGATCGGCGCCCGCCAAAGCCTTCGACGAGTACAGAGTACACAATCAGTCTACAGTAGTGAAAACCATACAACAGAGTGGACATTCATGAGTACCATTGCCAGAATTCGAGCGGTTCGCTGCCAAAAATCATTGTGAACCGAGAATTTGACAGGTAATCAGAGACAACGATACGCTCGGTAAATCCCTAGGTAAGTTACCAATCAGGACTGTATTGATTGCCTCGGAATCCCAAGCAGGTGTAATAGTAGCATTGAGCACATCACAGCCATCCGCATTAACATCAGCGTCAAGTCAATAGAAGTCATCGCATGCAGACAGAATCAGGACTAGACTAGACGTCTGTCACGTTCAACGCTTCCCCTTCTTCTTAGTAGCAACCACTTTGAAAGCAGAGTTGGGCTCTTCCTTTGGTGCCGGTCCTTTCTTCGCAACTTCGCTCCAACCACCTGCACTCTTGTTGTCTGCACCAAGTCCTTGTGCACCATTCGCCGCCGGTTCAACGATTCCCTTATCCGCCAATTTACGACGGCGGACAAACTCTTCTGCAAAGCGACGACCATCCAAAGTCTGAGAGCTGGCGTAGATCGAGTCTGAGATAATCTCCACCTCGGGAGGGAGGATCAGCAAATCTTGTACGAAACTATCGACTGTGGCCAATTCAGTTAGTCTTCATTCATGTATTTCTATTAGTCTTTCTTCACTTACGGTTGATATTGCTGTTGAGTCCCTTCCCGAGTGACCCCCTGATCCATTTAGCGAACTCCTCATTGGCCTTGCTTGGACTAGCCAGGTTCGAGGTTCGAGGTGTTGAAAGGGTTGGCTTGACTTTCGCAGCGCTTGCAAGCGTACCACTCACAGTCCGAGATGCTGGTTGAGGTGTGGCAACAACAGGGGCAGGGGCAGGGCCAGTGCCAGGGGTTTTGCTCTTGCCATTTGAGCCAACTGTCATCCACGCACCTCCAGCGGTGTTCGGGACTGCCGGTGCTGCCTTGCTGGCGAGCTCTGCATATCGCTTGCCTACAGCCGCAGACACCGGGCTAGCAGCATGTTGGGCACCTGCTGAAGTAGCAGCTGCGGCAGCCGCCCGTTGCTTACGTGACTCTTCTTCCTTTTGAATTTGAGCCAGTGTCTTTTTAGCACTTGTCCCACTGGCGGCTTGAACGGGCTTTGCGGGTGCTGGTTTGGCTCCCCATACTGATGATTGTGCGCCAACTGGCGATGACGAGGCACCCCAAGTAGAAGTCAACGGTAGACCTGGTGCTGGAACTGGGGCTGAAGCTTGGGCTTGAACTAGTCTCTCTTGTTCAGCCTGCGCCCGACGTGCTGCAGCGGCAATTTCTTCTTGCTCGGCCGCTCGCTTCGCCTCTGCCTCTTGGATCTCTTTCAAGGATGGCCCTTTTGGATGTTCAGCAGTGCGTTCGGCCCAAGGTGCGATGGAAACAGTTGGCGTTTCGATCGGAGTTTGAGTTGCGGATCTAGAGTCAGCTGCGAGAGCATCAGCAACATGTTGTCGATTACGCTGAGCCGCGGGTGCTGGCAACGGAGAAATAGAAACGGGTGGTAGTTCAATGGGAGCATCAATTCTAGCCCATGCACTCTCTTCTGCAGCTGCTTGTTGACTTGCTGCAGCAATTTGTACCTGCTGAGCCAAGGAGAGGCTCTCAAGCTCGCCCTTGTGTACGGGCTGGCTAGTTGGGACTGGAGGCTTCGAGGGTGCAGTCTGAGTACTCTGTTCTTCGGACTGGCGATGAGATCCAATTGGCTGTGGGAGAGCTTCATCAGGGCCGAGACGTCCAGCTTGGTTGTCCACCTCTCCACGAAGGGTGTGGAACTCTTCCAGCCGGTCGTTGCGGCCCTGCTGGCCTAAAAAAGTTTCCTGATGGCTTTGAATGTCGGATTGTTGCTGCTGCTGAAGCCGGGCTCTATCTTGTAACATGGACGAGACCTGTTGGGAGGTCGGCGCCCCCTCCACGGGTGGTGGGCCTAAAGGGCCAGCCGAAGAATATGGAAGGTTGGCTCGCTGGCTGAAACTCAGCCTATCCATCATACCCTGTACATCATCGTCCCGATTTCCGCCAAAGGGTTGTCCAGGGTTGGGGCCTCCCGGTGGACCAAAGGATTGCCCAGGCTGCTGCTGTTGTGCTGCTGGTGGTTGGATTGGACCTTGCATTGGCGATGGTTGATACCCGGTAGGAGAAGTGATGCTACCAAAGCTTGGCTGGCTTTGTAGGGAGTGGGCACTCGAGTGATGCTGCAAAGAATGGAGCCCATTCTGAATTTGCATATGCTTCATGGCCATCTGCTGTTGAGCCAAATGCTCCTTTTGCCTAGCCATGAGGAATTGCTCTTCCTGCTTTCTTCTCTCCAAAGCATTCTGTTGTTCTGCGGTCAAGGTGGTTCCGAAACTTGGGAAGCTGCTTGCAAAGGGTGGTTGTGCAGAACCTCCTGACCCGGCCATTGAGGTTGCCCAGTGATTTCCTTGTGCTATAGATGGAGGCCCATGAGGAACCCCGATTTGCGGCACCAGAAAAGGCTCGCGGGAGTTTCCAATGCGTCGGACGAGTTGTGCTAATGGCTCGTACTCGGTATCCTCCAACTTTTTCACCTGCAATTCTGCCGTGAAGAATCCAGCTTTGAACCAGTCGTGCATCTCTAAGCCTGACCATGGGCCCTGCGTGTTACCTTGAGGATCGCGATAGATCCAGCGCATCCGATCTGGCATTACCATCTGCCGCTGTTGTGCAGCCGGCATCTGGTTGGAAGAGCTGCTACCGCTTGATTGGCTGAGACCATGGGCAGACTGATAGCCTTCTGCTCCAGGTGGACCGCGGCCCGCAGCTGATTGTGGAGTTGGTAAGGAAGTTGTTTGTGGGCCTGATGTTGACGGTCCAAATGCACCCGCCGGGCCTAAGGTTCCTGCGTCCTCAACAGTCCGGACTGGAGGTGATTCTTCAAATGAGCTCGACCCACGACCAAAACCTTCCAATCTGCGTCCTGTGTTGTCGAAAGGATCTCTGCTGATATGCTGAGCGCTATCAGGACGGGAGTCGAAAGATCCGGACGGGATCTCGTTTCTGCTGTCTCCTCTCATCTGTTCTTGCATCGCTGGAGGGAACATGGCACCGAGGCGACTGGCACGGCCTGCTGATCCAAACCCACCAGAAGCAAAGAAACCACCTCCGAGACCTCCAGTGGTTGGTGACTGTAAATCGGCCAAGGGACTGAATATTGGATCACCAAAACCTGTACCCATACCACGATCGAGAGCAGGCTTTCCAGACCCAATTCCAGCTGCAGACCACGCGGGTCCTCCCCCGAGGCTACCAAACCCTATATTACCAAAGGCACCTGCACCACGAAGACCAGATCCTGGACCTCTCTCATCAGGATTGGGAAACACATTCCTACGGTTGCCGCCAAATGGTGGAAGGGCCGAGGCTTGCGATGCTGAGTCATTTGTGTCTTGCTCGTCATCTTCCAACCGACCATGAGGACTCTGATAGGGGTTTGTATTTGTCGGGCTCATGGGCTCATGGGGATTGAAACGGCCTTGCGGCGTCTGCTGGTATGAGTCATCGTTGCCAAAATCTCGTGCACCAATGTTGGATTGAGGTCCATAAGCAGAGAAGCCCATTTGTTCGATGCCTTGAGGTGGAACGTTTTCTTGGGAACCACCGAGAGCAGCACTCCCGGCTCGAGCTGGGATTTCTTCGTAAGGATTAGTCTCGCTACGACCTGGGCGTGTTGCCAATCCGTCTCGTGACCGTAAGTGAGCTGCATCTGTATCCTCCTCAGGAAGTTTTTCGAGAGCACCAAAAGAAGTCTTATCTTTGATACTTTGGCCAATATCTTCTGAGCTTGTCTTCGATAGAAGGTCCTTGAAACGACTACCACCACGGGCGCTTCCAAAACCGGGTCTCTTGTCTGTGGTTTCCGTTGGGGTTGTCGCTGAGCCAATTGCAAAGCTACCGAAACTTCCCATCGAGCCAAATCCCCCGCCTTGTGTGCCAGCAGACCACGGTGAGCCAGATGGCGGATGCAAACCCGCACTCAAGGGTCCCGTAGCAGAACGTCGCAACGCAGGGAACTGTGGCTGCGAGTCAGCGGGGTCGTCTCCTTCGGCGTCGTCCTTGGATGGTGGTGTGGTTTCTTCGTCCTTATAGTCAGTACGACGGCGTAGTAGAGCAGGAGGTGGTGTGGCAGTGTTAGAATCGCCGCGGAAGAAAGTCTTGGGCTCTACGGGAGACAAGGGTCCGTTACTGGCAAAAGAATCACTTGTCTCCCTTCGTCGGGTGCCTGGTCTCGACCCTTGCGTAGTACTACTGTAGCCTGATAAAGACGCCTTGCGGCCTGCGATCGTTCCACCTCCCGTGCTTTCCTTTGCGGTATTCTGTTGCAGCTTGATCGGAGAATTGACGGAGGTCGAGAAGAGCTATGATCGCGGTCAGATCATACCTTGAAGAGCGCGCATGTCAGGTCTACAAGGAAGTTGGGCATACCTGTTTCTCATCCTCTGTCAAATCTGTCATACCAAATGGATTTGCATCGACGGTATAATTCCAACAGACTTCAGGACCTGGGGTTTGGTCTTTGGAGTCTCCACGCCCTGCTTGATTCGAAAGACTATTTTTGGCATCTAGAGGATCCCACGAGCCTAGGAAGATATCCTCTAGGCTACGGTCAAGAGCGGCAGAGTCCTTGAGCGTCTGGTAGATTGTCAGGAGTTGGTCTTTGCTGTAGCGAACATCACCCAAAGGAAGGGAGCGGGAGGAATTCGAAGGATGATTGGCGTTGAGATGAGGTGGGATATAGACTCCCCCGTGGTTGGTACTCGGCGTGGGAGGCATGTCGCGCGGCTGTGCCTGTGCTTGTGAATTCGAATTGGACGGTGTGGTGGCCACAGAGGATCTGCGGAAAGTTTGAGTGGCTCCATTCACACGGCTCCTTGACCTAAAGGTTCGAAACACATCAGTTTATTCTTGAACTATATTTCGCAAAGAGCATGGGCAGAATAGGTCAAAATGAGCACTGTACGCAGTGTATCGCGCGGTTGGTGGTTCAGGGTCCGTGGTGCGCGTAGAGTCGAGTTGCTGAAGGGTGGCCATACCAGTCATTCCCAGCACTATTATTGCTCTTCGTTCCTGAGGTTTCACCATTTGTGCTTGCTGCGGCCGAGGCGAATGTGGAGGTAAAAGGAGTGGGCATATTTGCTGTGGATTGGGAGCAATTGGGGCCACAGAGAGACGGAGGAGCTTTGAAGAGCAAGAGTGGAAAAGTGATCTGAGCGCGTGCTGTGTGTAGGATGGAGGAGTTGGGTAGGCAAATGCAGTGTTCGTGGGTTCGCGGTAAGAATCGTGAAGACGGTCGTGTTACAGAGAAGGTGAATGTGCGATCTGGGACGTGTGATTTTGTCGAACAATAAACAGTGGGTAGAAGGAGAAGAGAGAAAAATGACTTTGAAGTCCGCCAAACTGCGTGGAGTCAAAGTTAGTGAGTTGCGAGGAGTTAGTGGGTTAGTTAGGGGAGGTTAGTGGATTAGGGACCACTAGAACCACCTGGGCCGGCAAGGTAAGAGGTGCTAGAGGCCGAGGGGGTCCTGCCATTGAGTTTTAAGTGGCCACCGAAAAGCGGCAGGGCTTCCCCAGTTACGATTCAGCCAGTCCGAGGGGTCTTGGATCCCTAAGCCTTTAACTAACCCCTAGGTCGTAGGCACCTAAAGGAGCTGTCACTGGTTACCAATATTACTCGTAATGCTCAGGTGTGGTGCTCAAATAGCGGGACTCCAAGTCACGACCCCGTCTATTTCGGATTTGCATCGAGCATCACTGCAGGTACGGGCCCCTCGGACCACAGTTGCCACCAGATAAACTCCGTATTTACAGCAGACACCAATCACCCCTATCCGCTGCATATCGCGCGTACCTCAGCTAGTACCTAGGAACTCCATACAAAGCATGCTGTGAACGGGAGCGGTACTCGGGTCAACAATCCAACACAATCTCTGTGTCGGTGTCTGTCTCTCATCTCAGCCGCAACCGGCCAGAGTTGCGAAATGCTATTCCTGCCCCAACTGCCACAAGACTGAGAGCAGTCAGTCCCATGGTCTTGTAGCTCACCAGCGACTCCTCCACAACTCGACCAAGTTGGGTTTTGTGAGAACCACAAAGGTGGTTTGCCCCTTGCCCTGACACCTCGAAATCCGCCCAGTCCACCTGGCTCAGAAGCTGCAAGCAAAATGTCAGTGGACAAGAATACAGCACAGCACAACAGATCAAGTCTCGACCCACCTTCTGGTATGCAACCACATTTCTACTCCAATTGTTGGTGATCTTCCCACTATCTTTGATCTTATACCAAGAATTGCAGTTCGGGTCTGCAAAATTGCTCTTCTCCAGCTCTGACTGGATCTCATCGTTGAACTGCTTGACCCGTGATGGCTTGGGAGCAAGCACCAGGCTCTCACCACGTGATCTCGCGGTAATCACTTCCTTGATCATTGCATTAATGTATCTGCTTTGGGCTTCAATCATGAGAATAATGCTATTGTGGCCCAGGTTGGTGTTGGGTCCATATAGCATGCCAAAGTTAGGAAGGCTTTCGACAACAACTCCATAAAGTGCCTGCCCACCGTCTTTCCAGATGCTGCTCAATGTGCGCCCGGCACTGCCTGTGATCTCAATAGGGTGCATAAATTCAACTGTGCGGAATCCTGTAGCCAAGATGATGAGATCGTATTTTTCCTCCTTGCCATCAGTCACGATACCATTCGCGGTGATGTTATCGATTTTCCCCGTCTCAAGCTTAACGTTATTCCTCAAGAAAACGGGGAAGTAGTCATCAGTAATGATGACCCGTTTACAGCCTACTGCGTAGTTGGGTTGTAGTTTCTCCCAGAGATCGGTCCGGTCTTTCAATTGAGTATGCAAATGGTCCTTGCTCATTGCCTCGATAAATTGAGATGTGGGCGAATTCTTGTCGAAAACGGCGTCGTAGAATGCTTCTCGGAAGTCCATCATGTCCGCCCTCTTGCGCTGACGGACATAGGGAACCCACTTGTACATACTGCGTTTCCAAGGGGCAATCGCGGCGTCTAACCGAGGTATTACCCAGTTGGGGGTGCGTTGATGGATCGTGAGATGATCGACTTCCTTGACGATTTCTGGGATGATCTGGGCAGCGGTTGCTCCGTTACCAATGATGGCGACCTTTTTCCCTCGCAGGTCATAGCTCCAATCCCAGCGAGCGCTGTGCATCAGCTTGCCCTTGAATTCTCCAAGGCCTCTGATATCCGGCAACCTTGGCACATTCAATTGACCGACGGCGGAGACTAGGAAATCTGAGCTGATAGTATATGTACTGCCAAACTCAGCATCCTTGCCACCTTGAACTGAGACCGTCGTCTTCCACTTCTTGCTAGCATCATCCCATTGGGCTGAATCAACCGCAGTGTTGAAGCGAACGTAACGATACAGGTCGTACTTCTGTGCCACTCGCATCAGGTACTCTAGTATTTCTTCTTGTCCCGGGTATTCCCTTGTCCAATCAGAATTCTGTTCGAACGAGTAACTGTAGAGATGCGACCACACTAGAGCATCATGAGCAATCTCGAAGGTGAAATGCGAGGAGCTGTGGATCATTACCATCACAACAACAGCCAGGATATTTGTTATCCCTCCAGGTACCGCCAACACCTCCAGATTTCTCCAGTATGATGAAGTTCCGGCAATTGTTTCTGGCGATCAAGTCGATCGCCGTACACATTCCCGAAATCCCACCTCCGATAATGACAACGTTGGCCTCGGTGTAGTCTTTGTTGCCCACAGGAACTTGGGGCCAAGGTCGGTTGCCGGCCATGATGGTCGCAGGTGCCGCAGCAAATAGAACTACCAATACCAGGTACACTAGGGATCAGAAAGAGCAGCAGGTCAAGATCACATATATTGGGCGGATATTCTGTTTGCAGGGGGATTGGGTGCAAACCGAACAGGAGTTGAATCTGAAGCTTGGAGGACGAGAGCTCAAGAACTTTTTTGGTATCTAAAAAAGCACAGTATCCGCGCCCAAAAAACATGGCCATGGCCCGAGGTTGCTATGTCGCTTGCCCACTGTTGATACATCTTGGTCAGGACCTGCCGGCCAGGGGGTGAGCTCCAATCACAGAAACGCAAAGTGGTCCGTTGTGCGGGGAAGTATTTGCCACATTAAAATGGTAAATCGACCAGGCTCCGTTCAGACCGAAAGCCTATTTCGGTAGAGCCTTTCTGACTCGATTCCATCTGACTCATGCGGTTTGGAGATCACGGGCCGAGTGACGGATTAGATGGGTGGTTTGGCCAGCTCCTGATCGGGACATGCCGTTGATGCGACCCGCCCAATAAGGACATTGTTTTATTCTCATGAGCCCTCGGCATGCCAGTGAGACCTCAAGGTGCTGTCTAAGAACTTAGATGAGAAGGGGCCATCATTGGCCATGTGTTTGATGAAAGCATGTCATCTCCATCTCCTGCTCTATCGTGCCTTGGTTAAAGAGCGGAATAGAGAGTGAACGGTAGCACCACTCAGAAATCCTCCACACCAGTGTTTGAATCTGAGTGGCATAGCTGGCAGTTAGCCACCCTTAAGATTATGGTAATGGGTCTTCACGGACGATACGTCGCAAAGATGATTACCCTGCGTCAAGAGCTTGCTCGTAAGCCCCGGCCATCGACAGTGTCCTTATTGAGTTGGCAAGGTAGGCGTGGCGACGGGTTGTAAGCGGCCCATCTGAATTCTTGGTCCAGAAACCGGCTGAGCACATGACCAGCACCAATGTCGTAGGTCCACAGGAGATCGCGTCGCTAGTCACCAGCAGTGGTCACCTAGAGCCAACGCGAGATGCTAGCGATCCGATAGAGTGGAGGTTTCATCGGAGGAAGTGTATGACCAGGAAGCAGAAGAGAAAAAAGACAATGACTCCTCCCCAGAAGATCCATTTATCCTGTTTGGCCCTTCTCTCGACCATACGGATGGTATCACCACTGACACCAAGTGTATTCGCGACACTGTATAACTTTCTTTGGGTGCCTTTCAGAATTTCTCGTTGTTGGCCCAGATCGCCGAGCACTGCCCGGCCTCGATCTAGGAATTCATCGATTTGAGCGTTGGCTGTGCTGAAGAAGTTCTGTTCGGCAAGGGCGTGGTTCTCCCTGCTGTACTCATTCGGACTCGCTCCAAAGGAGAGACCGTCTTGTGTATTTCGGTGTGCTGGAGCGAATGCGCTCTGGTTGGCTACGTGGGCATATGGATTCTCCGGGGTCGCAGCGTGATGTGGACGCCTTCCTAGCAATTCACTCCTATTGTTGGCTGCCACGGCCCCTTCGCGCTCCTTTTTTAGTTGGTCAAACTGTGTGCGGTAGGACGCTAGATCTGCGCGGAAGTTCTTCAGTCTCTCGACAGCCTTTTCCTTCTTTTCTTCGTTCAGCTCATTGCGTGATAGATTCTGATAGTCTTCGAGAGTGCGGGAGAAACTAGTCAGGGTAGTAGAGATTTGACCTTGGAGTGCTGGGGATGCAGTTGCTGGTGCCTGCGCAAAGGTCTCCAGATCTCGACGCACCGCAGTCGACTGTTTTAATGCTGAATTGAATAAAACGTTCTGCAAAATTTGTCAGGCTTAAGATGTCAGTTGGATTTGGTGGGAGGCTCGTACCATGTTGAAGCGCGCGCGGGTTGTACTGAGGGGGTGAAGGAACAGAAATCAAGCTCAAGTTGAAGACGAGGGTTAGGCTAGAGTACGCTCGCTGGGAGACGAGCTAAGAAGTGCTTCTAATGTGATTTCGTGACATGGTGTCGGTCGTTGAAGGAGACAAAGGTACAATCTGTCCTTGTGTACGGAGTACATGTGCCAGCCTGCCAGGCGCAGGCAGGCGGATGGCTTGACTCTACGGCCAACCAAAAAACAATGATGGGGGGGAAATGTTGGACCGGAACCCGGTGACCGCGCTCTTCTTGTCTATTCTCGACACCAGCACACAGGACTCAGCATTCTGTCCACGCCTTCCTATGGCATTTATCCACAGAATTCGTGGGCTTTGAGAATCCCATGATCTGAGCAAAAGAGGGGAATTAGACTTGAAGGGTTGGTGATTAAAGCATTCCATGTGTTCTATGACATGCTTGCATGGACGTACTCCCATTGTCAAGTCCCGCTTGATACACATTCTCCAAGACCAAGGCAAATTCGCACGGTCTAGGCTCGCTCGCAACCATTGCCGCTTGTGAGAAAAGTCAATCCTTCTCCACTGCTAATGAAACCAAAGGTCAAGACTCAAGAGGTCAACCCGGGCGAGAGCTGTTCACAGCATGGGCAACCCGAAATAGAACGGACTCGGCGTGGGAACTTGACATCTTGGTGGCCGCCGTATCATGCCAGTGTAAGTACATTACTAACTAGTTAGGGTTGCTCTTTTTTGGCCTTTACTTTTCTTCCTTGAACTTGAAGTGTCACAAAGCATCAAACAGACTCGAGTGTGGAAGGTGCCACTGACACAACTGCCTGACCTTGTCTCTCACGTCTGCGTCTCACTCATCCTTTCTGGGACTATCAACCAAGAACTTGCACACCACACGCTCTATATACAGTCATCTAAATATTACTCTGATCCTAATGAAGGACACCAACGAACATCGTTTCAAAAGTCCTTCGCCTGGCTAAACCGCACCATACTCTCCGGCCGCTAAGTCACGGCTAGTGTCCAATTGCAAACAAGACAAGCCGATCTTGCGCCCAGAGCGCTCTCGAAAACCGCTGGCTCAGGACTTTAAGAACATCTGGTCAACACTTCACCGAGGCTCTTGAGCCCGGCGAACTCCAATGCAAGGACCATTGCACAAGATGGCCGAGAAGACCTGGCTAAAACTCAAAAGAAATCAACGAATGCTTGCTTCGGCTGTTGTCTGCAATCCGACCCTGGTGCTCTACTCGATCAACAAAGTACTCTCGATTTTCCGACCAACTTACCTTCTCGACCCGGCCTTTGATGCTTGGGTAGACCCACTTCTCGACGTGCATGCCCACGACAGATCTTGCAAAGTGTTTGTTCTTTTAATGGTGGCCCTGCAAATAGTGCTTTACGTGCCTAGAACGCCCGATGTAGGAACAACACGCATCCGAGGAAAAGAAAGCCCGGAAGCTCCAAACGCGATCTGCTGTCATGACGATTGAGAATGTCGGACGCGACTAAAGATCACCTAGCCACCGAGGCATCCACCACAATGGATTCATACCGCCATCAGAACATGCAACCATAACTGTGGAAAATTCTCGAACAAGCAAGGGATATCATATTCGTGGAAACAGGGAGATACGGTTCAAAACATCCTGCGCCGCAAGCCACCTTGGCGAACCGAGTAGAGAGGTTATAAGAGGAGTACACAATTCAGTCCAGCCCGCCGAAAGACCTTAGCCCAGTGCTGCCACTGTCTATTTGGGAGGATACTTGTTTTCGAGCAGCCACCTACACAACAATTAGTCACTCGCAACATTGCTCCGGAAGAGAAATACCCACTTGCTCCCAAAGTAGTCTGCCACACCAAAAGCGCCCACAACACCAGCAACTGTTCCGGCAAGCTTCCAGTCCAACTTGCCTTCACTGTGCTTCTGATATGCCCCATATCCGATGGCAACAGTCGCAATTCCCCATATTATAGCATTGCCAACCACAACCGGGTTGTCTCTGTTTTCACTCAACTTCCTGCCGTCCTTCTTGAGGGCGTCCTTGACCTCCTTGCCCTTCGTAGCGGCCCTCTTCTTAGCCTTATCTGCTGCATCGGCAGCCTGTCGAGCCTCAGCACGGGCCTTGTCTTCGAACTCGTGCTCAATTCTCTCCGCCTGGGTCTCTGTCTTCACAGCCTGTTCTTGGAAATCCGACTTGACAGAACCCACGTGGGGGGAGTCGACATCAATCAAGCTGGCGGATTCGGATTCGGAGTGATTAAGTTCTGGGACTGGTGCTGCGCGACTGTGGTTCCGATATTAGTACCCGTGGACCTGGTCAGAATGGACTCCTATAGACTCACGCCTACGGAATGTTAGCTATATCCTTGTACCCAAAGAGCTACAGGGAAAAACACCATACCTCATCTGCGGACTGCTTGGGGCCACTGGCGGCAACATCTGCGTAACTCATCTTGACAGGAGTATTGAAGGATGGTGAAGCTGAACGGAGGCGAGACAGGAAGGTCTAGGAGGGAACAGGGAGAGGTTGATCAAAGTTGCGATTATAGAAGTGATGAATCAGAAGAAAACTGGAGCAAAAAGGTGGTGTTACAGTTGTAGGGGCAGGCCAGGAAATCGAACTGAGTTGCCAGGTCAAGCGGCAAGCGACAGTATGACGACTGTGGATGGCCATGTACGGAGTAGAATTGGCGCAGAGGGCAGGGCAGGTGGGCCAACTGGCAACTGCAAGTCACCCGCCCCACAGGCTAATGAAAATGAGCATGTGCCCGGTTTTGCAATTCGCATCCCAGCCACTCACGTGATGCGTCATCGTACCAGGACCGATATACTTCGCCCTAGAAAGCTGGTCACATGATTTCGACACGTGAGCAGCTCATCTCGGTATCGTCCGTCGCCCCAAGACATCGCGCGGAGTACCCCACGCGTATGTAGCTTCACCTCAATCCGTGACTACACCAGGCGGTCTACAGCACATATCTGGCCAAGGGGAGCTGCTTACCACCTTCCTAATCTAGAGTAATCCCTGCTGTCTTCGAATGATAACAACCTCACTGTCTTCGAGGGCCGAGTGCCATAGCCTATCAACCTCTTCTCTCTGAGCAATGTCGATAGTGATAATAGCTGCTTCGATAGCAGCATACGATAGACCATCTCCAGAATAGCAATATTTGAGACTTCTCCCCTTGAACCTTGAGTACCCTCCATGAATCTTCAATAGAAAACGTGAGCGAGATGAGTGACTACGAAAAGTACCGTTTCAGCGGTGCAAGAGACGTTGATTTCGAACCTCAACACGCTCTTTCTACATCTCACCCAAGAGATGTTTCTGACGGCCCTCCTACTGGTTATGATCACGGTACGCTTCTGATGCTCAACGCCTCCTTGTATCTTCTTCAGTGCCATCTACTGACCTTCGATATCCAGAGCACGACGTCTTCGGCAATGAAGAAAATGCCACCATCAAGTACAAAACATTGTCATGGCCGCTCGTTGCCGTTCTCATGATCGCCGAGATTGTCAGCAACGGCATGCTGTCTCTGCCTGCTGCTACAGCTGTGGTCGGCATTGTGCCAGGAGTGATCTTGATAGCTTTCCTCGGTGAGTGTCTCAACATGGCTCGCTAGGAATCTGGCCTGATCAGCCTACTCGCACAGGCATCTTCGCCCTGTACACATCTCTCGTCCTCGTCGACTTCAAGATGAACCACCCTGAGGTCCACAACATGGGTGACGCCGGCAGAATTCTAGGCGGCCCGATTGTGCGAGAAATCCTGTCCGCTGGCACCGTCATCTTCGCCATCTGCGCCACAGGATCACAGCTGCTAGCAGGACAGATCACCCTGGGAGTCCTCTCGGAGAGCAAGCTCTGCCTGATGTGGTACACCGGCATCTTCGCGATCCCGACACTGCTACTCTCCTTCCCACGGACCCTCGACCAGCTCTCCTGGCTCTGCATCCCATCGTGCATCTGCATCCTCGTCGCTGGCCTGGTCGGCATGGGCGCCGCGGGCGCCAACCCAGCACCCGACCGGCACATCGATATCACCCGCTCAGCAAGCTTCTATGACGCATTCGTCTCGATCACCAACCCGGTCTTCTCCTACGCTGGCCACTTTATGTTCTTCATCCTCATCTCAGAGATGAAGCACCCCGGCGACGCGAAAAAGGCAGCGTGGGTGCTCCAAATCTTCGCGACGACCTTCTACATCGTCTTCGCCATCGTCATGTACGTCTACCTGGGGCCCAGCGTTGCATCGCCCGCCTTCTCGTCCTTGCCCCCGAAATGGGCCAAGGCCACCTACGGCATCGCCCTGCCCAACTTCCTGATCGCGGGGAGCCTGTACTCGCACACGGCCGCCAAACTCTTCTTCATCCGCCTATTCCGCCGCACGCGCCACCTGCACGAGCACACCGTGCTGGGCTGGGGCACCTGGACGCTGCTGATTGTCCTCGCCAACGGCGCGGCGTTCGTGCTCGCCGTGGGCGTCCCGATCTTCGCGTACCTAGTCTCTATCGCGGCCTCGCTCTTTGCCAGTTGGTACACGTACGGCATTGCGGGTGCCTTCTGGCTGCACGACAGCTACTACGGCATGGACCGCGGCCGCTCGAGAGGCATCCACGGACTGGCCGCTTGGATCCGCAGCCCCGCGAAGACCGTCGTCAATATCCTGACTTTCCTGGCCGGCGCCTTCATCTGCGTCGCCGGCACCTACGTCTCCATCAAGCTGATCATCGATGCTTACGACAGTGGCTCCGTCGGCGAGCCTTTCGCCTGCTGACACTCGCACAAGAGGACAAAGGTCTTAATCTCCTTGCATCTAATCGCCTGATAATAACAAGTGGAATGAATCGCCAGATCATACATCGATACTCCTGCCTCGCGCGCGAGCTGGAGGATGGAGATGGTGCTAGATTTAGCTACGGCAGGCAGCAATTATGGAATGTTCAAGATGCTATATCTACATGCAAGCAGGACCGTATGTAGCCTAGATCAGTAAATAATATCTCTATACCAACCACTTAGGCCGTCATAAAAGTCTAGCCCTGGCATCCGCCAGAGTCCAAACCAGCAGTAAAGGTAGGGGATAAAGGAAGCTACGCACGGGGATCACCAGGACCTCAAGACGGTATCAGGGAGCTATCTATAGCTCTACGGACGAGGAGAGATAAAATTGGTATTCGTCTGCTACCAAATACAAGCCCGAGCACACGTCCCCCTCATATCGGTCTAGCTGTTTTCTTTCGTCTGTAGCAAATACAACGATGTAATAAGCATGATATCTGTGTGTGTGCATTCATTACGACATCATCAACCGTCGTCCTTCATGCAGAATTCATTCATTTACGCCACAGGCAAGCCCAGCATACCTGGTTCTGGCTCACCGGTATCAGCAGCAGCAGCAGCCTTCTTAACTTCTCCAACCACGTCTTCTGGCATTCCATCACTGACACTATCGTGATGTTTTGCCGTGGATCCCTTTGGGCGCCAGGTGGAGACAGCGGGAATGTCGGCTTTGAAGCGCTCGACTTCGGTACCATAAGCTTTAGGTGTGAGCTTCATAAGCGTGTGGAGAGGTACTTCCATCCATGGTGATTTCTCCTGGGGGATCTCCATGAAGTAGGCGAAGATGCAGCGGACGATGGCTTGATGGCTGTGAAACAGGGGGGAAAGTGTCAGCATATCGTATAGGCAAAAAGGCTGGAGGCGATTGAGGACGGGCAGATGTCTTACGTGATGATGATGATGTTCTCGCTTCGCTCCAGTTCCATAATGATGGGCTCGAGACGAATGACCACGTCACGATACGACTCGCCTCCGCGATAGCGATAGTTGTATTTGTCGTCATCACGAGCTTGGAAATCCTCAGGGTATTGCTCCGCAATCTCCTGATACTATGGCAGCCAATTAGAGAGCAGATAGAAAGATCAAACCAGGAGTAGAAAATACTCACAGTCATCCCATCACATACGCCACTGTCCAATTCATCGAGGGCTTTCCACTGCAACTTTTCCCAACCAAGTTCCTCGACAAGGTATTTGGCAGTTTGGCTTGTACGTTTCAGAGTAGACGTCCAGATTGTCAAGGGAGCATCTTTGGGAAGCCCTGATCGTTTGACAAGTTCGGGGAGAAGTTTTGCATAGCGTTCGCCACGTTCGCTCAAGTTGGCATCTCCTCCAATTTGGCCTCCAAGATTGAACTCGGATTCGCCATGGCGTGAAAGCCAGATGCTTCGGGGTTTGATATGGAGGTTGGTCAGGTAATAAACGAGACGGGACTGAAGATAGTCTTGTATCATGTTGATGACAGTTCGTGCCCTAGAAAAGTGGTTAGTGAGGTGAGTGGCGCGGGCGTGAGGATCGTACCCGATATTAATAATCTTCACGTATGTCAAATGCCGTTCCGACTCGTCAATAGTTTGATAGACCTTCTCATAATTTCTGATTCTGTCACGGAAATCTCGTGCCGCCGCCTCAGGATCTTGTCTAGTCAAAGAGTCAGAACAATCATGAATTCATTCATCCATCAACCAGAGGCGAGGATCGTACCCGACGTAATCAGGGGAGCTGGTCTTGACTTCCAAGATATTTGACATGATGAGGTCCTCGTCATCACATTTGCTCTCGACAAATAGGTCTGTGTAGGGCGTTAGCTAGGTCCTGTCGGGATACCAATGATGAGCTTACGGAGGAGGTTGGCCTCAACGATCTTCTCATAGATCCATTTGCGTCTGCTCTTTGTTGAGTTCGTAGCGTCCAGAAGGGCAACCTTATTGTCCTTGTCTTTGAACCAGTTGAGCATGTCTGCAACAGCTGCTTCAGCAGCGGCACGGCGGGCCTTTTCTCCCTCGGGGTTGTTCACGTCGAAGAACTTGGCATCGGGATGAGGATTGTCTGTACGTCTGTATTTGCCTACATTAAAGACCTCTGCTTTGACGGACGTCCATCGGAGGTAACGCTTGACTGTACAGTAGGGTCAGCTGGGCAAGGGGCATTGTGAGGTGAGTGGACGAGAAACAGACCTTTGCCAGCTATAAGACTCTTGCCACGAGCCGGCAAGCCGACCATGACCACAACGATCTGGGTGACATCTGTCTGTTTGAATGGTCAGCAGCCTGGCTTGAATGAAGCTTTCAACAAATGCAGCATGTCCCAAGAACGAAGAAAAGCATACTCGATCACTAATCGGTCCACAGAACGACATCTTGGGAAGAATCCAGAGTAGATTGAGATCGTGTTGTGAGAGAGGTGTAGAGGTGGACCGGGAAGAGTTTGTCCTGGGAGCAGAAATTGGTGCTGGCCTTCCCTCACAAGCAGTCGCGGCCGCGCCCTGTCGTCCCCTTATTTCTCCTTATTGGCGCTCAATATCAGAAAGGATCGCCCACGTTTGAAGCATTCCAGCACAGTCCCAGTCAATACGCTTCCCTCGGGTTATTCGCCTGGGGAATAATTGTCAATTCTCACAATGAGAGGAGCAAAGGGTCCTGAGTAAGCAGTGTGGGCCTGTACCCCTTGCACGGCCGTCACCCTGAGCGAGATGTCGCCAGTACCGAGCCTTGCGAAACTTGTTCTTACAACCCACAAAATTTCTTTGAAGAAGGCTGAGGCACGTCACATGCAAGCACAATTGATGCCCGTCAGGACTATCATGCCACTCCTTCTGAGACTAGAGTGCTTTTGCCGTGGGCGGGAAATGGTGTGGTTGAGTCTAACAGATCATGCAAGGTCAACGGATGACCGCAACTCAGATCTGGGCTCAACACAAATTTGCAGGTTTGATCTGTTTTTGTCCTCGGAGAATTAAGGAACCACTTGGTCCCCACGCTGAGCGTCTTTCTCCACCAAGAAACATGAATGTTTGCCTCAAGGGTCGTGACAGAAAAGACCAGCCTGTCGGTTCACCGGATACAGTCTTGGTAGGTGACCGAGTGAGCAGCAGGATAACTCTTCCAGCCTCACTCCGATCAAGACCTGAGCGTGCCCTATCGCTGCTGTTCAGAAGAAAACAGCTGCCATCGTCATCTCCACCAATTGCCTCGGCTGAATTGGACGCAATTTTCACAGCGACCACACAAAGTCTGTGTGGATACGGTGTAGCTGAGAGACGCCGCGACGCACATTCCATCCGTATGAAAAGCCTGTCCACCGGCCACTAGACGAGAATGGCCGAAGGTTCATGTGACTCAATTAAGCCATAGCCGAATTCATCCCATCGCGAATACGGCGCCGGGCCATTCCATCGTACGAGGAATGGGGCAAACACGCAAAAGCCGCGGCATGTCAAGACAATGCAACACCTTTCAACAAATCAAGACAATGAAAATCAGCAAACTCACATCAGTAGTCTGGAGAAGCCTGTTCAGAGAGCTTCGGTTTAACAGCGAAATAGGACTGGATTGGACAAAACTCATGGCTGCAGGTTATCTCCCGTCCCAAGAGCGTGGTCAGTCACTTGCCCTGGGATCTAGGTGTGGCTTGCGGCGTGGGGTGTGTCGTTAGGCTTGCCTAAGACAGTCTTCCCGGCCGTGAATTCGTGCCAATGATTGGAGAATTCCAGGCTGCGTGTTTGGGTGCTGGGAGCTGTCTGAAACAAAGCACTTGTCGACGCTGGATCAAGCAGAGCAACAGAAGACGTCGTCCAAGGATGGCCAATGATGAGCTTGATAAAGCAAGATCTGATGCACAAGAGCGTGAGTCCTGCTTGACGGATATTGACTCGCTTATAGTGACGGACAATGGATGAATATCGGCCTCTTGGAGCTATGAACTTGTCGGTGAAGATGCGAGCTGGTGGCGGAAAATTGACAGGCGCTATTTTGTTTTGGTTATTTGGTAACGTCCTTTGACAATGGAACACTTATTGCAATGGCTATGGGAGCCCTTCAATCGATTTTGCTATTGTGTGGATATACCGCTGCTTTGGATAGAGAAAAATAAGTTGAAATGGCCATTTCCCACCAAACTACTTATCGCGACGGCTTCTCCCTTATCAGCGCTAGGTTTCCCGCAATTTTGTATGTTATCATTCTTTGTCACACCATGATGCCGTTGTATCTGTCATAGAGAATAAGATCATGGATTTTCAAGTTGCGCGTGCTCAAGGCCCCGATGGTGCCAGAATATCAAACAAAAAGGGCAAAGGCCTAGAGGAGAAGAAGATCGAAGAAATTCAGGCATCGCAAATGACCATCCACCAGATTTGTTTTACAGCTCCCAATCATCATTGACAAGCCATATTGTGCCAACCGGGGCCTGTAGTCGGGCCTTACTGATTGCAAAAAAGATCTCAAGCAAATCCCCTCATAGCTACCAAACTCGTGTTGCTTTCATTTGAGAACTCAAAAGCCCACAATGACCTCCTTTTTCTATGCATTTTCCTCCTTTCCCCGCTGCGATGCTTCAACGAAAGGCATCGTGGAGGAGGCTTCCGCGAAAGAGGAAATCAACGTCAGCTCGCTGACCAATCTGAAATTTTGCCATATCGGCTTGTTCAATCGAAGGTCTTCTCAATATCCCATCCTCCTTAACCTGCGGAGCACAGTCGTCACACAACAAAAGACCACAGCCTTTCCCTTTCCCTTTGAGACTCGGGATTCGCATGCCAACGATGTTGAGTTGCTGATCAGCAGCACAGCGCCAGTGAGCAGATCTCGGACACAGCGAGCATGTCGGGAGAGGACCGGTCTTCAATTTAGACTGATGTGGCCGCCAAATTTCCACCAACTGAGAGATATACCGGTTTTCGAGCTCTGGCGAACGGATGCCGAAGGGGATAATAAAATGAGCCTTGCATCTAGAAATGTACAAGCGGCTCAAGGAGCATTTGACACACATCCTGGTTGGTTCCCAGCCCTCTGATCGATGCCCATCTCCAGTCTCTTCATAGTCTGGGCTGTCACTGTATTTGATGACGTGGACCTCTATCTCACCGTATCCAAATATGCCGTAGCGGAAGTCGGAGCAAAAATGACATGGTTCTTCATCAGTCGGTGTATGCTTAAAGTTTATTGGATGAGCCCAGGTTGTCCGGATGGTCAGTTCGACTCCATCTGAGTCAGTTGGTGGTGACGGCGCAGTGGAGTTCGACCATGTCACATGACTTCGTTGTAAACTGGGTGATGGCGACGGCTCATTGGAGTCTGACGAAGAATCCAACTCGATTGGATCTTCTCGAGAAGATCCTAAGTTGACCTTACGGTGAATACTTCCTTCCTGATCCCTTGTTACTCGAGATTGAAGTTGAAGGGACGCCACATGACCTCCGATGATTAGAACCGGTGTAAGAGGAGCTGCTGGTACAGGTGCTTCAGGACGAGGCGTTTCAGGTACTGCTTTCAGAGAAGTCTGATCTATTTTTAGAGGTTGTTGTGGTACAAATGAGTCCTCTACACAGATATCATCTTCCTTGAAGCATTCAATACGATTCTTGTTGCACCGTATACAGCACTTATCGTCATTATTCTGTTTGATGCATTTAGCCCAAGCTCTCGTGCAAGGCAAGCATCTTTCCGTCAGTGAAGCACGGTCCTCATCCAGAATATATTTTTGGTTTCTGAGCCGTCTTCCATGTTCATTGTCGATCTTGGCGGCTTCTTCATCAAGTCTCTCCAGGTACTGCTGAGCGGGAACAAATTTGTCGGGCTTGCCAAACATCATACTTCGGTCATGGTCGCGTTGTGTCGTCAGTGCGCGCGTGGCGTTGGGATCAATCGCCAGATACTCTTGCCGACAACACGTCGGGCTTGAGTAGCCATCTCGCTTGGCCCGCTTCGATGAACCCAACATTGCTTTGAACAATCTTCGCTTCCGCTTTGCTAGACCGGAGTCGTACTCATCAAGCTCTTCGGAGGAAGACGAGTCCTCGTTGAAGAGAGCAACCTGCTTCGTGCTGATATTTTGGGTGTTGGAGATCTGACGGAACTCGTAATCATCTCGTAGGTGTCTTTCGCTAGTGACGGGGGACAAGGCAGGTACTTCATCATCTCCATAGCTCTGGAAGACCCGTAAGGCTTGCCGCAATATAACTCGCGAGTACGTCATAGTTGATGTTGGGCAAGGCGGTAGACGTGATGAGATAAGGTCATGTGCATGGTTCAAAGTACGAAAGGCCTTGTATGAGGAGGGTGGGAATGGAAGACTAAGATCGTTGAGGAAATACAAGCCGATAGTCCATGGACAGAAGTGCAGACGTCGGCCAAGGACTGGGACCTGAGAGGTTAGGATGCTTGAAGGTGTAAGATGAGAGACGAAAGTTGTCCTGACTACTGGGAGGTGATGGTTGGAGACAGAGATGGGTTGAACATGAGTGAAAGTAAAGCTGGTAAGAAGAGCAAGGTTTCATTTTCAGGGTCTCGAAAGATCTGCATGTGATTACATTATTTCGAAGTGAACAATCTGCAATTCAAGTCAGTTGTTGCACAGGAATGGGTTTGGATATGCAAGTGAATGGATGTGAATGTTTCAGATCTAAGCCCTGTCACAGGCTGTGGTCGTCAAAGTTGTAGCTACGTTGACCGTCGTGATAATAGAATAAATCATCATAGAGATGGATGGTTGGTGGCGTTGGGTACAGATGATTGACTCACAGGAAAGATTAATGTGGTAGAGTCTGGTAGAGATACCCTCTGTGATTCTTTCAGACACATCAGCCAGGGTCCATTTCGAATAAGGATAGATGCTGGTCCAATTTGAAGTGTCATCAGGCGGACAGTATCGTCTTCGTCAATCGAAATCAACTTGGACATATGCTTGTCTTTAAATTTGTGTCGATTCATCATATGAAAATCTGAGGAAGTCCGACATAAACCACATACCATGGAAGAAGATCCTCGAGGTCAACTGCGTAAAAGTATATTAGCACAAGTTTGCAAACAGACGATGAGCAAAAGCTTGCGTATTTGATCTCAGAAAATGCATGAATGGTAAAAAGATATGTCTCTGCATCAGCAAAGCTGAATAAGACTCGTCATCTAGATGGGCTCATCACAGAAGATAGAAGCATGGGATAGGTTTAACCTACCTCGAATGAAAAACGGACGACAACTTTAAGAAACTTGCAGCTGCGCCCAACTCTCTGTTAGCATGACATGAATGCAAACCATAAACAAAACTTTTAAAGGCAAGGTCTTTCAATCAGTGGGCGAGGTTTTCTAGGCCTGCCACAAAAGGGCATATCCATCAAGACCAGCCATGATAAGGCTGTCGGAGCCCAGTGCCATTCATCATAGAAGCGAGGGTTGTAGGAGTAGGTTCGAGCATGAGAGGAAAGCCATACCATGGTAGATCGGTCACTTTGAAGCAGTCAGTTATTCCATCATGATATTGTGTGAGGAGTTGTGAATTGAAAGAGGAAGAATCGCGATCAGAGATAGCCATTTGAATATCTTCAACAACCCGAGGGTCTCAGCCGGTAATTTCCAGCGTATATAATATTCCAAACAATCATCATAACAAGTGTAGGTAGAGAAGGGGGCAGGTGAACGTACCGATAGTGGAAGGGAGCGACAGGCTTCAGGTCTGTTATTGTCGTTAGTGAACAGCAATGACCGCTTGTTTTATGGCGTGATACATAGAGTGTCGACTGTTTTCTCAGACTGACGTGCTTGCAATTGAGAGTTTCATTCCCTCATGGGGTCAAAGACTCTAGTTTGTTGCGGTATGCGGATTCATCACTTTGGAGGATGTTTGTGATGCTGCAGCTGCAGGAAAAGACGTACCAGAAACTAATGTTTGCACCGCACCCGTATTCTATGCCATCGTTGTAGGCGTTTCTTTCTCGACCCACCCAAGAGCTGCTGAGTAGTGGCTGCTGAGAGAGGAAGAAAGTGTAAGGTTAGTATTCTCTCAAATTAAACTCTGGTGAATAACTGCAATAATGCAGCTTCTGTAGTGAACTGGAAGCATCGATCATGACATAAAGCACTTTTTAATCCAACAGACCACGCATCTGATGGACAACGCCTGGCTGATGAGAAGAAAGCTCGCATTTGCGTTCATGGGAATGAAAAAAGAAAAAATTGCTTTAGTGTGTTGACTGGACTTCAACTTGGTTTGTTTCGGCTTCCCCAAAATTTCCAGATCACGTGCCTGCTTGGCATACTCTAACCACGCTAGTATTAATCTGGAATAGAGCAGGCGTAGTGCAGGTCTTTATTTGGATCACATCCCACCTCCACTTCAATTGGCCACCTCGTGAGAAAATAGCCGCCTGAGATATCACCAACGCAATCAACCAAGGCCTAGCCTACGGATACACCATGCCCTTTTGTTGACGACTTAATCCAATCCTCACGTTTTCAGACTCGCTAGGCTTAGTCTTATTCTCCGGCTGGGGTTCTCAGGTGCCTCTCCTCCTCTAGTTGCAGGCTCAATGGCAAAGAATAGAACACCCTAAGAATTCACTCTCCTTGTACTTCTCGCGTTTCTGTTCATTCCCGTCGTCTTGCTTTCATCACAATCCAGCCTTTCCAATTTCGTTCGAGTCAACGTTGATTTCACAGTTATTCAAGCCTATTCCTGTGCTTCGAGACTTGCGATAGCCGTTCTAACTAGGCACAGCATCATGGCCCAGAGCATTGTCCAATGTGATATGATCCGTCTGGGCGCTTAGCCCACCAATCTGTCTCCTGTGGTTGGTGAATGCTCTCAAAGCGTCTAGTATGTCTGTGTATGTGCACGTTTCTTTCCCATTGAAGCTGTTTCTGTCAACAGCTAATGTTTCAAAAGCCGACCGTGGCCTGCGGCTGAACAGGTACCATATCCACAAAGACTGTCCATCGCCCTTCCTCTTCCTCCTCCTCCTCCTCCTAGGGATGGCCAGCCTCGAGCCTCGCCAGTGCGGCTTGGATACCCGCCTTTGCTAACCACGAATATTCCATCTCCTCGAGGTCCACCGACCCAAACGCCAGCCTCCACTACTTCACTATATGGGCCACTTTCCTCTTCATATACTCAATCGCCTGCACCGAGCCCACGAAGTGTTGTTCCCATGGCTTCTAGGGTATCGGCAAACTACAGTGTCCCTTATAATCCGAGAGAATGGGTGGGAGGCAGTCGGAGGGCTTCACTGATTGAAAGCCATGGAAATGAGCCAGAGAGTATGAATATCTCCCAAAGAGCATCGCAGAAAGTATCTTATGGTTCTACAGATGGAGTTTCCAATCCACCTCCGCCATATTCTGGACCGGCTCCTCGAGATGCAGCTGTTTGCACGAGTGCAGGATCAACCATGTCTCCCGCAGATTCGACCTTCACTGGGGAAGACCCATCACAGATGAATACTCCTACTAGTACTGTTGGTGTTCTATCGCCACTCAATCCAGCCTCGTCGATGTTGGGGGATGGTGGACAGGCTCTAAACTCGTCAAATGGTGTTCAATATATGAATCATTCAGCTGGCCGTACAACTAGCTTTGACCCTCGACCGTCACACCTCAGTATCACTACTCAACTTGCTGAGTCCCGACCAGGGTCTGCTTTGAGTGTTGCCAGACAGTCATTACCCCCAACTGGTCTGTCGATCTCTACCAGCGCTGCTCAAGCCTCTCATATCTCTGCAAATTTAAGAGACAATGCTTCCCACGTTGGGTCATATCCAGATCCCCCAGGAGCACGAAGAGCAGCATCTGCTGGTGCTGTTTCCTCTCATGGATCGTCCAATCAAAGTCTTGATGGTTCCCTTTCTCGGTCATCCTCTAGACAACGAGGCTGGCATCCGGGAATGCCTTTACCTGGTCCTCCACCAGGACCGCCTCCCCCATCTTCAAGGTCCCACAGCACTGGTGGTGTTCGGACTCATGCCCAATCTCAAAGTGCTGGTCAAAGCAGCCGTCCTTCACACCGTGTTCCACTGAGGGCCCCCTTACTTAGTCCACTTCCTCCGACGCCCGCAAATTGGCGAGATGGTTCGACCTCCCGGTCTAGCTCCAAAGCTCCAGTTCCACTTCATATCGAGACCACAAACCTTGAGAACGCAACGTCGCAGCAGATGGGGCTCAGTCGTAGCGCTGCTCTACGAGTTTCGTCTGCAAAAGGTCTTTTAGAACGACGCAAGAATCGACGCAGTATGCACGATGCACCACTAGCGGATTGGAGCGCTCTGACTATTGAAACCGACCCGTGGCTTGACGCTGTAAGCCCAACAGGGTTCAGTCCGGAGCAGTCTCCAATTTTGGACTCTAGAGCTCCGGGCATGAGTCCGGAATCAAGCCGACGGAGAATGGCATCTAGCAGGAGGTCAACTCAGACATCTAACGAAGAGCAGTCATCGTATGCACCACAATTTGCCATGAAGTCCAACAATCCATTTAGCCCTAGGGTGGCGACGCCTATCATGCCACCAAGGACTCTCCCAACGCCTCCACTGAGTCAGAAAAACCCTGCATCTGCTCATAGCATGCTACCATCCACAGCCTCCTCAGTATCCGACTTACTTCACGGCGAGACCGATTCTTTCATCGCCGATGCTTCACGCCGGCATCACGAGTTTCTGCTGCGAGAAAGTCAAGCCGGTAGTGACTTGGAGCGGTTGCAATTGTTTACCCAATTCTTTGCATCAGAGGCCAAGTTGAGAAGAGCAAAGTACCCAGGGCCATTCGTAGAGGGCACCTTGAAAGTGAGCGGTGCAAGCCAACGGCTATTCGAGGAATTGCTTGACGACGTCAGTTTGGAAGCCTTCAAGAGCCCTGTTACTACTGGCAAAGAACGATCGTCATTCAATGGACTTCGAATTGACCCTCCTCAACGTCCAGACACAATGTGGTGGAACGATTATCGCCCAGCTCTATCACCCATCGCGAGCATGAGTAACGATGAACTTAGTTCACGTGGCCGTACTGCGAGCCGTTGGTGGCAATCTCAAACTGCGGAGACCAATTCAGAAGCAAACGGTGCGCCGAAGAAAATGAAGCGATCAAAACGAGAATCTAAATATATGGGATTGTCGGCACTGTCTGTCGAGGAAGTCCTTTCGGAAGCGGCAACTCCCACAAGGCTCGATCAAATACTTGAAAGCGGCGATACCTACCCTCAGGAGAAGGTCAATTCAGATGCATTTGGCATATTTGAAGACCAAGAGCCTGTACTACATTTCGATCGAGCGAACAGTTTTCCAATGAGCCCTCAAGCCGTGGACATCTCCCGTTTTATCACTCTTCCGCCGCCGTATCCACGTCACTATCCAGCAGTAAATAACAGTCACCCGAAATTAGCAGCCTCACGGAATTTAGTTCGTACACTGAGCGATCTAACAGAGCTCGAAGACCGTAGGTCTCGTGTCAATGTCAGCGTGGAAGCCTTGCGGACAGAACATAAACGGAAAATTCGAGAAGCACAGCGAACATTCAAAGAAAATATACATGCACAGATCAGTGAGGGCAGCATCACCTATGCTGAAGCGGCAGAAGCTGAACAAGCATTAAAATTGGACGAAAATAAACAAGAGAAGATCTGTCTACAGGCAGAATTCGACACATTACAAGATGTATTAATCAACCCTATGCATGATCTGTTGAATGCGCGGGTTGAGCAGCTCAATGCAGGTATTGTCGAGTTGAAAGAGAAGTTATTCGCCGAGACGCAAGCACAAAATCCTGATCGACCTCAGCAAGAAGGAGATGCCATGCCGGAAATCCTGGAATATCTAACACAGCTCAAATGGCTATTTGAGACCCGAGAGCATGCTCATCAGGAGTTATTCAACCTCCTCAGTGACCGCAATGAGAAGTACAAGGCCATTGTCTTACTGCCCTACCATCAAGTCTCCCATATGGAAAAGATACGAGATACCGAGGAGTTCTTCCACCGCGACAGTCTACAGCGCAAGAGGGTATTCCGGGATGAATCTGTCGCACGATATCAGACACTCCGCCAATTGGTTGCAGAGCATGTTGCGCAAGAGGTGGAACTGCAGTCCTCGGCGTTCTGGGATATTGCACCGGGGATCCTCGATTTGATTCAGAGATTGCCGGATGGGGTCATCCCAGCGGGGGCCATTGCAATTCCGCAGGCCGAATATGAAGAGAATCCATCCTATGTTGATTTCCCTCAACAATACCTCTACACACTGCTCGACCATGCAGAGAAATCAACCTACCAGTTCATCGAATCACAAATCAACTTAAACTGCTTACTTCATGAAGTGAAGCTTGGAGTATTGAAGGCACGGTGCCGAGCAGCAGAGGCGATTCAAGCGCAAAACAGCGTGAACGGTACCAGCCGCTCTGCTGAAGATCCGAGGGAAACTTGTGACAACGAAGAAGCACAGGCGACCAATGAGTTGAAGCAGCAAGTGACCATGATCGAAGAACAGTGGATGGAAGCACTGGGTGCTGCGTTGCAGAACAAGAAAACGCAGGTGAAGCTTGACCTCGAGACCGTGGGTGGCTGGGATGAGTCTATCCAGGCTGCTGAATAGATTGCAAAGCAGGTTGTAAATGATGCAATTTGAGCGAATCTTCATGTGCCCCAAAATGTCTCGAAAGGACATACCTATTAATGATTGAATGGAAATTAATGGACCATTTGACCTTCGCCAATTCCCTTCATAGCAGCGGATACAGTGACTTATCCCTTCTTGAGGACCAAGGTACTGAACGGGCATTGGCTCGCAGCCTTGCCCTGTCGTTTGTCACTTGGACCGCCGCGTCCGTCAGCCTCTTTACCCGTAACCCAGGTCGACGACAGCGTCTCCACCGCTGCTGCCATACCACACAATAAACTTCCACGCCGAGTTCGTGATCATCGTCCAGCTTCACCGAATGAGTGCCCGACCACTAACGACAACTTTCCATCAACAGGTTCGGAAAATGAAACCCGCGACTTAACCAACCGGGGTAGGTCCTTTGGCCAGTCGCTTGACTAGCGGATGGTCATGACGTTCGCGCTCGTGTTACGCTCGGTGCGTGAAAGGTTCTTGGATCGCTCAGTCGCTGAATCTCGAGATTCCACTTGGCCCATGGATGATGTGATCATGCATACATTATTTCCGAGGTACCTTGACAACAAAGACCAGAGACCAGCGAACTTGGCAAAGGGGGTATAGCATCCGAGCCAGCCAGTGCAAGGAGTATTTCTTGTTTCTGTCCTTGGCCAGGGGTAAGACCAGCCCAGGAGAGCGTGAGAGGAGGAGATAATAGACCAAGTTACTGCCGTTTCATTGTCACATCTATCATCCATTTATTTGATACAAACGATACTACCTAAGTGTCATCTTCACTCAGCATGCCGACTGCTATTGTCACCGGGGCCACAGGTAGGCACATAACGTCCTTGGGCGCCCCTCCCCACTCACCTCTTACCATCCCATCCAGCAAGCAGAGGGTCTAACTACCCACCAGGCATCACAGGCCATGCCATAGTGCAAGCACTTCTGAAATCACCAGAATGGACGAAAATCACCACGCTCAGCCGCAGTCAGGAACCGACTGCTAACTCTCGAATCTCACACAGCACCCTAGATCTCCAATCGTCAGCCTCAGACATGACATCATCACTATCCAATGTGAAAGGCGAATACGTGTTCTTCTGTGCATACCTGGCACGGGACGACGATCAGGCTACAACGGATGCGAACGCGGCGATGCTGCAGAACTTCATCGATGCGCTGCGGCAGTCGGGCGCCATCAGAGACCTCAAGCGCCTTGTGCTGGTCAACGGCCTCAAACAGTACGGCGTGCACTGGGGTCGTGCCAAGCAGCCCATGCATGAGACCGACCCGTGGATCGAGGGAGCTACCTGGCCACCGAACTTCTACTACTCGCAGCAGCGCATCTTGGCCGAGGCTGCGAAGCAGAACAAGGACGAGAACTGGACCTGGGCCGTGACGTATCCCCAAGACGTGATAGGCGTGGCGAGGGCGAACTTCATGAACCTTGCAACCGCGCTGGGCCTGTATGCGAGCATCTCTGCAACATTGCCGGAGCGAGAGCTAGTATTCCCGGGCAGTCTGACCAACTACCTTGCATTCAACTGCTGGACATCTGCACGGTTGCATGCGGAGTTCTGCATCTGGGCAGCTCTGGAGCCCAAGGCCGGGAACCAAGCATTCAACGTCACCAACGGCGACACGGAGAGCTGGCAGAATCTTTGGCCAGCCATCGCAGAGAGGTACGGTGCTAAAATCCCGGCCACTATGTTCCCAGGTGCGGATTTCTCGGAGGGCAAGAAAGACCAGCGGTACAAAGATTTCGAAGCGGCGCACATAGTCCTCCCGACACCGCCACCGATCGTGGAACACGCGGACAACATCGGGTTGAAAGGGCTTTTCGACGGCGACGACAAACACAATGCGGTGCACCAGCAAATCGACACAGCGAAGTGGGCGCAGAGACCTGAGGTCGTCAAGAAATGGGAAGAGCTCAGGGACAAGTTTGGTCTCGACCAGAGTACCTGGGACAAGGCCACCTGGGGGTTCCTGGCCTTCCTCTTGGGCAGAGACTTCGATTGTGTGGTGAGCATGAGCAAGGCGAGGAAACTGGGCTGGACGGGATATGTCGACACCAAAGATGCGTTCTTCGAGACGTGGGATCAGTTGGAAAAGGAGGGCATTTTGCCCAAGGCGGGCGAATTGAATATGTGAGTGAGATGAATACATGGGTAAGGGTGTGCTCATGGCTTTTCCTCGAAGAGAGGACATGGATGTGCCCATCGTACACGACTGAGTGCAAAGACGGCAGTCAAATACATACTGTGAGGTTGTACATAAGCCGATCTGCTGAAACACATCCCTCAGCGTGACGAAGACCGCCACGAGACAGCTCAAGGCTATTACATAGCAATCAAACCAATCAATCAATAAGTCCGAACACCGACCCTGCCCAGCTCTTCATCGAAGACGAGCCCCAACCCTCGAAAAACCGGCTCGCCCAGCACCCAAACATCCTTGAGCCCACTGCCCCCCCACTCCTCTCCATGTGCGAGCCCCCGACTCTCAACCACACTCCCAACACAATAGCCCGTCCCCTGCGCGACCTTCCCAAGACTGAACATCCCTCCACTGGGCCCATACAGCGCGTCCGGCGCGGTCCCGTCGCCGTTCATAACCGGGAAGTTCCAGCCGCCGATCTCGAACGCGATGTGCACGTGGTTGAGGCAAGGAAACGCAAAGAAGGCGTCGTACGGTGATGGGAGGCGTTTCGTGCCGCCGATGGAGTCGTAGAAGGTTTGTGCTGCGACTGGCGGTGCCAGGATGAACGGGATGTTGATGTCGAGGAGGATCGGTTGGTTTTTCAGGACCTGGTTTTGGAGAGTGAGTGAGTGTGATAGGGTGGGTATAAACATTGATGTAGAAGCGCAACAAACACACACACATCCACCCTCGAGGGGAGACGTCGTGGTCCTGTCATATCATTCTTTTCATACATACCTTCGCACCGTTAAGCCACACCCCCGCCATCAGCGCCGTCCACCAACCGGCCGCGCCCCGGACATTGGTCCACTTGAAATGCGCATCCCAGGCATCTCCCCTCGGCATGGCGAGCTTCAAGCGCCCCTCGACTTGCTCCGCGATCCAATCGGGCGTCGCAACAGGGTCACCGAAATGCTTCAGCTCGAGCTCGACGCGGGCCTTCGTTTCTTCGACTTCCTGCACAATAGTGCCGCCCAGGCTGAGGATCCCGGTCTCGGTGTCGAGCAGCGTTACCGACCAGACCTTCTGCGCGATTGCGCCTTTGGAGTGGAGTTGGTCGAGGAGAGAGGGGGCGGACAGGCGGGAGAGCGTGCTTCGAGAGGAGGAGGAAGACGGTGAGAGTCCGAGGAAGGTGCCGGCGTGGGCCAGGGTTTGTCGAGAGGACTTGGAGGGCCTGCAGACGGCGAAGTCCAGGCGGATGGGCCGCAGACCTATGGTACTGCCACTGCTGCTGCTGCTGCTGCTGGTGAAGGGGAGGTGGAAATGGAACTCGTCGCTGGGGAGCCGGCAGATGGCGTGTACGGAGTCATCGTTGGGGCCTTTTGGTCATTAGCGAAAAGAGAGACCACAGTCAGCTCTTTGAGAGATGAGGATGCGCTTGATGATTACTGTGTGCACCTCGTGAAGATAAGCGGCCATCTGGACTTACCGTGTGTGCTTGAGGCAGAGGCATCATACAGCGTACCTTTCCCACTGGTGGTGACGACGGTGTAGAAGTCTGGACTCAGCATGTCGAGCTCAACTTCCAGGCTCTGCGGCGGCTCGCCCACTGTGAAGCGTGTGTACCTGTTGACATCCATCGAGTCAAGATCAAGACAACGGAATCCCTATCCCAGGAACAAGAATGAGGCCCGCTCACCATCGGTCGAGATGTCCAGCAACATCAATCAAGTGCGGGTCATTCTCGTCGTCGTTATCCTTCATCCGCCAGCGGCGGACCAGGCGATTGCCCTCAACTTCGCGGTAGCTGGGAGCATATTTGGCTTCTACGGCCTGCAACACCTCTGCTAGATGTGTCATGTTGGCAGGTTCGCGTCGCGAGAAGCGATTCCCTCGTCTGAACAGTGGGAGATGGATGATGGTGCCTGTGACATCTTCAGGCTGGGTTGCCACGAGGTGAGATGTGAGACAGTTCAATAGGAGCATAACAAGGAAGGTAGCCATGATAGAAAAGACGGGACGATGATCTTGATTTCGAAGGGTTGGATTATATGCGGTGTGTGGATTGCAGAAGACAATCAAGGTGTTCTTTTTTGGTAAGTCAGTACAGTACTTAGGTATCTCATCAGTTCAACAACCACTGCCTTGGAGTGGCAACTGGAATAGCAGTACGAACAACCACAAACCAGTCAACGACAAACTCCGGGTTCATGCCTTGTCCTCGTTTCTTAGTGCCGGACTAGGGAGATAAATGCAGTTAAGCACTATCTCTTACTTGATTTTCGTTTCCAGTTCCCTTTATCCTCGCCCACTACCACCCCCATTGACGCTATCCCTCGACATTCCATGCTTGAAAAACGCTCCCCAAACCTGGTCTTTTTCGGTGTCTTTATTTGTGAGCCTCGAAGACTTTGTCCAATTCATCGGGACTTCCCATAAAAATTCCGGACCTGTCGTGGATACTCTGCGGCACGACCTCGAGCATTCGCTTCATGTTGGAGTCGACAGCTTTACCGCCAGCATTTTCCATTACCATGGCCATGGGAGCGCACTCGTACAGGATTCGGAGCTTGCCCTTCGGACTCTTTTTATCGGCAGGGTAAGCAAACATACCTCCGTAGAGCAATGTCCGGTACGCATCAGCAACCATGGAGCCGATGTATCGAGCTGAATATGGCTTGGCACCCTCGCCGGCAGGATATTTCAAAGACTCGAAGTAGGCTTTCGTCTTCTCAGTCCAGTATAGTGAGTTTCCTTCATTGACACTGTAAATGGCGCGCTTCTTGGGGATGCGCATATCGGGGTGGGTCAAAATAAATTCGCCGAGGGCATTGTCCTACATAGGGTGTTAGGGAGAATAGTCTTCCGGGAGCAACAGGAGCGAAAAAGATCCTTCTACTTACCAAGGTAAATCCGTTGACAGTACCGCCCTTCATGGTGATGACTAATTGAGCTGAGGCACCATACATGGTAAAACTGTCCATGCTGTTAGCAAAGACAAGGACTAGAGGCTCTCCTTGGTGCCGACTTACCCAGCAGCCAACAGTTCAGTGCCAGGCATTAACAAGTCCTCCACAGTGGGTTTGCGCCCAATAGTACTGTCTGGGAGCTTCATGATACCAAAAATGGTACCGACGGAGACGCCAGCATCCAAGTTCGAGGAGCCGTCAATAGGATCACAGGCGACAATGTATCTGGCATCAGGGCTCTCGTCGAAATAGATAATTTCATCCTCCTCTTCCGAGACGACCGCTCTGCAGCGGCCGGAGCCTCGCATGGCAGCGACAAACAGGTCATTTCCAATAACATCGAGTTTCTTCTGATCGTCACCGGTGGTGTTGGAGGAGCCAGCCAAACCGGTCAAGTTGATCAAGGTAGCTCGTCGGATGTAGTAGGCGATGGATTTAAACGAGAATTGAAGGGCGTGACATAGTAGTCTGCGTGGGGAAGTCTTAGTATGCATCCACTTCTCTCATTGTTTGAAGAGGCCACTCACGTAAAGTCTCCAGTGGCTTCCTTGTGCTTTGCTTGCTCTTCCGTCAGAAACCTGGTCAGAGTAATGATGTCGAGATTGATCTTCTCTGTGCCAGTGCCGGTGCTATGGCCATTGGAGTCTCCGTTGGCAGCCATCGTGAATTGACGGGATTGAGTTGAACGAGAAGCAGAATAGAAATGGGCGTCAAGGAGGTTAAGGCCGGGCACGCGACGGGATTGTTTCAAGACCCTCGGCAGAATGGAGGACGGGCTCTCGGAGGAATGTGTCGAGTTGGAATATGCGTGTTTTCCACAACCCAAACCAAACAGATGCAAGTACAGCGAGAATCGAAGAGATCAAGGAGGGAGAACTTTGTGGGAGAAGAAGGAGACGACGGATATATCTATCTATCGAGAAGAGAGCAAGGTCAACTGTTGAGAGACGAGAAGCTGTCTGAGATCCCGAAGCCCCATTTTCGTGGGCAGAGGGCAGAGAACAGCTTCCGTTACCATCGAGCGAGAACGAGGAACAAGTCTGATACAGTCAGTAACTGGTACGAGTACAGGGCCCTACTCCGCAATCGAACTGATCCGACGATACCCATGGCCAGAGAACGGACGTGCGAAGATGGGTCCTGGGTACGGAGTGTGTATGTAATAATTGATTGACTTGTGGTCGGAGAAACGAGAAGCGAAAAGGCGAGGGGCAACCTGGGCCAGAGCGCAGGGGCCAGGAGGGGCAGATGGCAGATGGCAAATGGGGCAGTCGCGATGCCGTCATGCCCACAAACGTCGAACTCTTCCGAGAGCAAATGCCCAGACTTTTGCTGTGCGTTCTCCTGAATCACCCGACACCAGCAAAATGGGTCAAGGGCATCGAAGAACCGCCCAACGGCTGCCTCGGTCTGGATTCCCCGAGCCCACCGAGCCATGATGTCTTTCGTGTCTCTGATGATTCTCAAAGGCTCGGATGCCAGGACAACGTGGTTGATGTCGGTTGAGTTCTAGAGCTTCTCGTACGGATCAGTGGTGCAGTAGTATGTATTGATAAAACCTACGGGTTATACGCGACTTTCATTGTATTATTGTACATGAACTCAAGATATAAGACACGGTATTATACTAGCTATAAAACTGAAGGAAGTGTAGGTAATATCTAGGAACATTGACTATAGAAGACAGCCATTAGTATTTGCGATAATTATTAGGGTGAAGCGGTTCCCTCAACGACCCCGTTTTGGCGCCCTCGACATCAGAGCCACGCGATGCCAAGAACTGATTTTAGTATTGACAATGAGGTGCAGCTATACGGGCAAGCGCAACATGCGTATGGCAATTTGCGGCAGCGGACTACTGATCGACCCTGGTAGAGCCCCAGATCCAATTAAGGCTTTCGACGCAATACGCGTTGCATTGCCAAACTTGAGGGCGTCGCTCAACAGTCAGCCACAACGTCCTCGGCATCCTTTCTTGGGGAAGACTTCCAGCACGGATTGCCCATCCTACCATTGGCCAGCTCAGGGTCAGGGAGCTGCGCCTCAAGCCCGCAGCGGTGTAGGATCGATCTGAGCACAATGCCCATCATACATTCATCGCCAGTTGAAGGGTAAATGCAATCACTCTTTTGATAATGCCCTAAACCAAAGTCAACGTGGCCGAGCTCTATAAGTTGCTGTGCAAGCTCATGACAAGCATCTGTTGCAGTCCAGCGCTGCGAGCCCACATCAGCCCAGGGCTTACCTTTTACCCGGGCCAGAACACAGATGAAAGGCAACTTCAAATTCAGCGTTATACTATAATATATCTTAAAATCATACTGCGAGAGAAATATTACTACATAATATGTTGTTTACACCCTAAAACACGTTAAATCTCCCTGGTACGGTTTTCCTCGAGCCCTGGTCACAACACTACTCCTTCCCTCGCACAAGCCAAACTCATCGTTATTTGGAAAAATATTATGCCGCTGGGGAATTTCCAAGCAACATCTTCATATCAGCGACCCATAGGCTGTGCTACCACTCATTCTCACTCATGCCGCCGCGTTGGCCTTTTCAGCGTGACGATAGAAATCCGGCAAAGGTTCAAGCTTCCGCCTCAATACCCACGTCTGGAAATGCCACACAGCATTCTTCAATTGGTAAGACATATGCCGGCGCGTGCTGATGCCGAACACTTGATCCAGCTCCTCCAGGGTAAGTGCCTATTGAACATCGGTCAGCGCCTCCTAGTCCAAACAAACCCAATGATAAGGACAGCCTACCTTTGTCTCAGGCACGAATAGGAGAATGAGCACCCAAAGAATGAGGCACCAAGCACCATACCAACCAAATGCCCCTTGAGGCTTGAATGCCGTTTGCAACGATGGCCAGCTGAAACTGAGGATAAAGTTGAAGCACCATGTCGTGGCTGTCGCAAATGACATGCCCACGTCTCGAACGTGCACTGGAAATGCCTCGGCAGAATAGGTGAACGGAACAGGTCCTTCTCCAGGAGAGTAGAAAACCTGTCATTAATATCAGAATGATGTGGCATTTTTGTGCTTAGGGGGGAAAGTCTATCCGGACCTCAAATAAGTACATCCCCGTCGTGACCATCGCAACCTTGGTCTTATCGTCTTGAAACCAAAAGCTAAACCCCGTCCAGAGCAGGAAGATCGACAAGAACGGGAACGTAAAGAGGAGCAGGTTGCGCCGTCCCCATCGATCAATAGTGAATACGGCTGGAATAGCGAATACCCAATTCAGGATGCCTGTACCCATTGATGCCAAAAGAGCAGACGTAACCGAATATCCGGACTGGATGAATATGGTGGTACTGTAGTATGCAATAACTATGTCAGGTTAGCAGGGATCGCCACAAATGAGTCGATGAATTGGCGTACCATTGACGCCACAAAATTGCTGGCCTGTTATACATGATTAGCTGTCATTCTCTTTATGATGGCTGCCCCATGACCTCACCGAACATGACAATCCACGACGCCCAGGTTGCTCGTCGATTGCGTGGGACCGTGAAGAGCTCGATAAATTGGGTGAACAGGTTCTTGCCATGGTGGGCCTTGCGTTCCAATTCTACACCGATATATGTATAGTACGTATCTCTCGCCGCCTGCACATCGCTGTATCTCAGTCGCTGGAAAGACTGGAACGCCTTGCCTGCCTTCCTGTGCTGGATATACCACCTGTGGCACATCTACGTCAATATCATCATACCGCACCACACCATTTATCATGTGGCCACCTACCTGGGGCTCTCAGGGCAAAAATAGACTTGAGCACAAACAATAAGTGGGAGAACTACCGTGCTTCCGAGCATTAGACGCCATCCGAGATCTGGATCTAAACCTCCAAAAGCCACTCCCATGATATTTCCAAGCATGATACCTAGATATTGGAATCAGTCGGGGGAAAACGCTTCTCTTTGGCTCTCTCCGACTTACCGAACGCAGTCCACATCTGCCACATCATGACAAGTGCGCCGCGAATAGGGGCAGGTGCACATTCAGCACTGTACACAGGAACGGTCGAGGATTTTGGACCAATTCCAAGCCCTTGAAGAGTCAACATCTTGCCAGTGCCGTCAAATTTGAGGTCAGCCACATCACTTACCAAGCACAAATCGAGCAAGGAACAGATTGACCCATGAATTGGCAAGGCCTTCCCAAACCGAAGCAATCGCTGCAATGAAGCAACTAATGAAGATGGTCCCCCGACGGGCAAAGAGCTTGTTCATTGGTTCTGTCAACCAACATCCCAGAATCGCACAGCAGAGGTATGCTGCATAGCTCATTAGTAAGTGTTCCACGTCCCCAAATCACATCGTGCTCATCGAATCCGACATGGAATGAAACACGGGATTGCAACCAAGGGGAACAATCACATACGCGCACCAACAACCAATCCAGTCAGATTATCAACCATGCTCTGGGAGAACCGATCGGTAGTGATGTTCAGCTGCTCCAGGTATAGCGCCTGAGCGCCATTGTTGACCGTCTCATCCATACCCTGCACAGCGGCGGCCAGCGAGCACATGACGACCAGCCAATACAAGGTCATAGGCTGCGACCATCGATGAGTATGCTCTCTGTCTAGGGTAATCCTGTCTTCATCACTCAGCTCCGTGATACTCGCCGTGTTCCGCGGATTCTGAGCGACCAATGCCCCCTTTCGGAAAGCATCCACGTGCTCCATGAGATTGTTGTCTCTGCAGAAGTCCTCGACATCCTGCATCAACTGCTCTTTGGAAACTCCCTCTAGTGGGTTCTCGAACGCAGCGCTCAATTGCTCGTCGTCGACATCAATGAAGCTTTTCTTGCGCCCTTTACCACCGCCTTGCTTGGCGTCTTCTACATTCGTGGCTGTTTTCTCGCTATCACGAGATGCCCGGGGGAGGTTGGCATGCGTCGGCTTCTCGTTCTCCGCCATGGTATAGCGCAAAAACACGTTCAGGAGTTCGAAAATACCGAATTCAAGGCCCAAGGAGCACCAGCAAAAAAGAGTCAAGAAATGGGCAAGAAAAGAAAAGCTTCTCTAGGCGAAGACAAGACAAGCTTACTCCAAGACTTCAATACGTAAGGACAAGAAGATCCAAGAACCAAGAAACGGCGACAACTCAGTGCTTATTTGTATCCTCTTGGGTGGATCAGCCGTTTCCTCTCTCAAACTATCAAGTAACCCTGAACGCAAGCTTCGTTCCCTCGTATTCCCGTCCCGCACATCTGAAGTCATCCTCCGGTAGAGGACTTCAAACGTCATAGCGCTTCCACAATTGAAGATAGCGAGCGGAACAGAAATATGGGGATGTACACGGGTACGTGTTCTAATTTCTTCTCCACGTCCAATCCAATCCCACAACCTGGGGGGAGCTAGGGCGGGGGGAACGACTGGTTTGGTCAATGATATACCTACCTGCGGCCAAATGATACCTGGCTGTTTACCTAGGGAGCCATGTCTGTGCTCTGTAGACAGCCTCATGAGCCGATTTTTCCGTGCGGAACCAGACCGACGTCATCAGGCCCTGCGGATCAACGCGAGGCTCGACGATCGCCGCATCAAATGCAACCCATATCCCGCCTGGCGGACCATCCCCAGTATTGAATGTGTACCGGTGATGAGGAGCCAGATCGCCGATCAGAATGGATGAGCATGCTACGATCGTTCACGCGGCCCTTTCGAATTTTCTTCTAGCGGTAGTGGGATGCATGGACATAGTCTCCAGCACGAGTCGGCCCATCGTGGTGTGGAAGGGATCTGCAGTCCAGATAAGAGCTGTAGCGAGTAGAAAAGCTCGGAATGCACCTCCGGGACTGAGCTGGCTGGGTGGCTGATCAGTACCTAACTAGATAATCTCCTTGATTCTACTCCACAATCCGCCAGGCACCTTGGCACTATCATGTCGTACCAATACTGAGGTCTAGCACATTGGTACTCAGGTCTATTGGATCGACAAGAACAACAATGAATACAGAATTCATGATTTGTATAACTCATGTGGAGAAAGAGAGAGGTTTGACATATTACGAGTATAACGACAACGTGGACGAAACATCGCTATTCCACGTCCAGGACTGACTGGCTAGGTAGGTAACATTTAGTTAGAAGAACGAGGTTCAGAGTCAACAAGAACGGCCCTCTATTAAAACAACTCCTTAACGTAATGCACATGTGTCTAAAATAAAGGTATGAAAAGGGTGTGAGAATACCAAAACCCTCTTTCCCCAAAACGAAGGCTACCTCCGTTTGACAGAGGGCGCCGTAACAGTGTTGTTGAGTACGCCCCGTTTCTTCTCGATTGCCTCAATTCTCTCCTGCTCAACCTTGTCCGCAGCTTCCTTCTTTCGCTTGTCATCTCGTTCGACCTGGTCCGGTCGCTTGATGGCAATGTCTTTGGGACGGAAATCACTGAAGGCTCGCTTGAACACCTGCTCGACAACCCAGCATCCGCAGAAATCGATGACCATCAGCCCGGTCAATATCCGTTTGAAATCGCTTTGGAATGGGACTAATCGCAATTTGTCGTTGAGTTCTGGGATGAACTCTGTACTGCCAGAAAATGCGACGAAGGTACAACCGAGAAGACCCCAATACATTCCACGATTCTCTCGAATGCTCTCTCGGAATGGTCGACCTTGGTAGTTGATGGCAAATGTCGAGACTTGCTGAATCAGTTGCATGAGGTAAACTGCACTGTTCAGCAATGAGGGCTCAAATTCACCCTCGAGGTCAACTTCGTCAGAAGGTGGGACGATCGAGTAGACGACTCTTGACAGGTAGATTAGAGTTGCACAGTGAATGGCAAATTGACCCAGGACCGATCCTAAGATATAAGCGTTCAAGATATTTGGCTGGGGTCGTTCTCGAGAAAGTGCTTCAACTGGTCTAGCTCTCGAGATAGAAAGAAAGCACACCGACATCATCATACCAGAAATGGTGACCTGCCCATCTCCAAACTTGATTCCCGCAAGATAGATGACTGACAAACTGTACGCGCTGATGAGACAGTTTAATGCAAGAATTTTGTACATCTGAATGGTAGCGACAAGTGTGCATCGGCCCTGGCGGATGATGTTGGGGATCGCAATTACATTGGAAAGCTTGCTGGTGAAAGGGGCAGCGACTGAAGCGTCGCCCAACTTGATCGTTGGTGGTTCGTTATCGTCCAATTCGTTTTCCATCATTGCGGATGTGAACTTGTCTGCCCAACCTGCCGCTTTCTGTGAGGCTTCTTGTTGACGACGCTGCTGAAGAGTGAGATTAGCATTGCTTTGCTGGAGAGCTTGTGCACCTGGGGAGGTGATGGTTTCAATAACACCATTTTCTGCATCACCATTTTCCAGATTGAGCCCTCGTCTCTCGGCGAAAGCTTTGATGGCCTTGTCGTAGTGGGGATTACTTGGTCCTTGAGGGTAAAGATGTGCAATCCCCACGGGGACGGGAGGCGCCGGCTGGTTGAATCTTTTCATGACCGAAACTTGTTTTTCATATATTTCCTTCATCTTAGTCGTTCTGAAATGTTCTCCAATCCGGTTGAGATCATCTTGAGATCCATTGAGGAGAGCCACTCCGATGTGAGCTTGTTTGAGTGCGCCAACATCATTCGTACCATCACCGCACATCAATGTGGTGTAACCGAGATCTTTCAGACCGATCAGGATTTCCTCTTTTTGCTTTGGAGAAACTCGAGCATATACCCACGTGTATCTCAGTAGTTGCAGGAAGGCTTTTTGCCCAGTAAATTTCGCTAGAGCATAACCAGTGACGCAGAGATCTTTGGATTCCAAAATTTTCGGATCGATGTCAGCAGTAGGATCGACGGGAATGATGGTCTTCTCATCAACACTTCGCCAGACTAATTTAGTCCCTGAATCGTCATGCTCAGGCGCATCCAAGATCAAGGCATCTCGATCAACGATCTCAACCTGTCTGGCTACGTGGACAGCCGTGAGGGGGTTGTCTCCGGTAATCATAACAACTCGGTGACTGCTTTCATTCAGCATCTGAATAGCCTTGATAGCATCTTCTTTGAGTGGAGTCTGAAGAACCAAAAAGCCAGCGAAATGAAGGCATGACTCTACCTCTTCTCGCTTGAGATCATTGATCCGTTTTTGGCCCAATTCAGCTTCGGTGGAAAGGTATTTATAGGCAAGTGCGAGCACACGAGCTCCATTTCGTGTAAAGTACTTGAATGTTTCCTCGTAGTGTGGAGGAGTCTCAACCAACATCTTTTGAATGGTCTCGGGTGCGCCTTTGACACCGACGAAAGTCCCCTTTGCTTTCCGGCCAGTTTTTGGATCCGTCATGAGTACAAATGCAACAGAGCTCTGGCGCTTAAGCGCAGAAGAGAATTGGAAACGACGTTTGACTTGGACAACATGAGCGGCACTCGAGATTGGTACTGGCTTTTTGTATTTTGACGGTTGAGTGCTTGACAAGGTATCGTTATTGCCCAAAGTCCAGTTTAGGGCAGTCAAGGTGGCTTTCTCCATCGGATCTCCCACAATGTCTCCTTCATCAAGTTTCACAAGCGCGTGCGCGGTTGCCAAGACAAGTGTTGTGTGTATCCCGACTTCAGGCACTTTCATAATGCTCGACTGGGCACCATCGGCCTCCACTTTGACATTATTTTGTCCAAGTTGGAGTCCGGCAATGCCATCCACAACTAGGTCTTCACCAGTGAGTGTCCCAGTCTTGTCAAAACAGGCAACATCAACCCTGCCAGCGAAGGGGATACGGAAGGGCTCGGTACAGAAGATCGCAAATTTACTCAGTGCTGCAAGACTGGTGTTGACAGCCAAGGACAACTCCATTGGGAGTTCGGGTGGAACGACACTTGTCACGATCAACACGCAATCAAGCAATAACTTTGAGCGCTTTCGGTTGTTTCTCACACCTTCTTGCCAAACGTAGCCCGAAGCGGCCAGCGCGAAAACAAGAAGGAATAAGATGAACCAAAGTGCTTCGGCGTTGTTCGCCGACACACGTTCAGTCGAAAAGATCATTGTCCTAACAAGACTGCCCTGACTCGTTTCAAACCCGGTTTTCAAAACAACGGCTAAGGCTCCTTTATCTGGAGGGGCTGGCACACCATTTTTAACAGCCTGGACGGAGTCTTGGGCGTCATCAGTGGCAGCTGGATGAGTAATTTGGAGGACTTTGGTACCGCCGAAGAGAAAAGCGTGCTTGTCAAGGCCTTCTGGGTCAATAGGGGCATCTCCTGGCCTCAGAAGAATTGATTCTTTCAAAAGAGGCGTACTTTCACCTGACAACATGGCTTCGTTGACGATGGCTGTTCCTTCAATAAGAAGCATGTCGCAAGCAACACCAGAATCTTCCTGCGTACGGCCAACAGAAGCTAGGTCACCAGGCAAGAGCTTGTCACTTTTGATTTCGATCCACTTCTGGGACCTATAGACCCAGATATCATATGGCTTGATGCTCATACCTCGGAATTCATTCAATGTTCGTTGTCTTTGCCAAACAACAGTACTTTCAAACGCTACCAGCATGAATAGCGTGAATAGAGAGTAATACCAATAGTCATCGAGAAGCCAAAGACCGACGCAGAAGATCTGGAAAATGAAAAATGGAGCCACTGCATGTTCTTTCCATAATTCCACGAAGCCGGGGACAGGAATGTCGAAGGTGTTGTCACCATAATGATTCTGAATTTCCTCGATCTCCTTCTCAGTGGTGAGACCTCGTGAGAGTTGGAAATCTCGCAGTAAAGGTTTCTTGACAGCATCTAGTGCATATGCTAACGGGGCAAAAGTCCCCTTTTCAGAGTTGTAGAGGAATCGTCTTTTTTGGAACAGAAAAGAAGTCCTGCCATCTGCCTCACGGTCTATCTTGACAATTGCCGGGGTACCCGAGTTGACGATCGGGATGATCTTGATAAGCTCGGCCGTGTCCACTTCGCTAGCTTTGGTTGTGGTAAAAGAGGTTTCCAAATTGACATTCCATTTGGTGACAAGCCAGGCCAGGGACTGCAGGGTGACAATGGTGGCAACGTAGACAAATGTCCACTCCTGGCCATCGATATATTCATCGTAGAGATCTTCGTTGAGATAGAAGGCGAAGAAAATTGGCCATAGGATGGTGAAGGGCCAGACGTAGGCCTTCAGATATACAGGCAGAGGGTGGTGAAGGGTCGCAGATTGGATTTGGTCATTATCGACCAGTCTGGATCTAGGAGCTTTGTCAATTTGACGAACCATCGCAATTTCTTCAGCAACGTACGGTTTCTGCGCCATAGCGAGCGTCAGTAAAGAGCTCGACAAGAGGGACAGGGTTGTCTGGGGGTAATGGTTGTTGAAGGGCGGCGGCGAATTGCCATGAACAGGGTGTCCTTGGAAAAGTTGGTACGTTCGAGAATGCAGTCTGGGAGTTTCATTAGCACAGATAATGACGCTAAACAGGACTAAGTGGGAATCCGGCACCTGTGAATGGCTGAGAAGTACTTGCCGTCTTTCGGACATCCTAGCGCTTTGCCGACTCTCTCCCATTGGCAGTGCCCCGATATCAGCCTTGGCATATTTGTTCCCAACACTGCCCGGTATCTCAATTCGAGATCCTGACTCACTCGACATTATTTCCACAGAACAGTAAGAGGAGTCAGAGTCACCGAAACACAAACATAACCTAAAAGTGATATCTGTGTCTTCGCGCAGTCCAGAACTTTTTTCTTATGAGCAAGCAATTCCATCAGGGCAGTTACTGGTAAATAGAGGAAAGAGATAAAACTCAGGCGCCTCTGGCTTAACTACAAATCCCCCGCAAGCCAACATGGCAGAGAGTGCAGAAGGCAGCAAGGCTTTGCCAGAACGGGTAAAGGACGCAATCGAGGATGCTGTCGCCGAGAAGAAGCCCAAGAAGGAGAAAGCTCCCAAGCAGCCCAAGCCACCAAAAGAACCAAAGCCGCAAGGTGCCAAACCGGCCAAACCCGCAAAAACAGAGCCTGTCGCCCCTATGGACCCGGAAGCCATGTTCAAGGAGGGCTGGCTGGCAGGTGTGAGACGTGAACGACCTGACGATGAACAGGTGGTGACTCGTTTCCCCCCCGAGCCTAATGGCTACCTCCACATTGGCCATAGTAAGGCTATTGCAATCAATTTTGGATTCGCCAAGTTCTGGGGTGGCAAATGCAACCTGAGATACGATGACACCAACCCGGAGGCAGAAGAAGAGGTATATTTTACTGCCATTGAGGATATCGTCAGATGGCTTGGTTTCGATCCTGCCCTCATCACCTACTCCAGTGACTGCTTTGACAAACTTTATGAATTGGCAGAGAAATTGATCATATTGGATGGTGCCTACGTATGCCACTGCACTGATGAACAACTAAAAGATCAGCGAGGCGGAACAGATGTAAAGAATAAACATGAGCGGTACGCATGTCCACACCGGAATCGGCCAATTGAAGAGTCTCTCTCCGAGTTTCGAGCAATGAGGGATGGCAAATACAAGCCCAAAGAAGCATTTTTGCGCATGAAACAGGACCTTACAGATGGAAATCCACAAATGTGGGACCTGGTGGCATATCGAGTTCTTGAAAAGCCACATCACCGTACGGGCAACAAATGGAGAATCTATCCCACATATGACTTCACACACTGTCTCTGTGACAGCTTTGAAGGCATTACCCATTCACTCTGCACAACGGAATTTATCCTATCCCGAGTGTCGTATGAGTGGCTGAATAACACAGTCAATGTCCCCCACAAGCCCATGCAGAGAGAGTATGGGCGCTTGAATGTGACGGGCACTGTCCTGTCCAAGCGAAAAATCAAGAAGCTGGTCGACGAAAAGATAGTCAATGGGTGGGATGATCCAAGGTTGTACACTCTCGTTGCTCTACGCCGGAGGGGTATCCCACCAGGAGCAATTCTGTCTTTTGTCAATGAACTAGGTGTCACGACTGCGAAGATCAATATTCAAATCAAGAGATTCGAGCAGTCCGTGCGGAAATATCTCGAATCTACTGTGCCTCGCCTCATGGTGGTTTTGGACCCAATCCCGGTCGTCATCGATGATTTACCAGACGACCATTATGAAGAATTCGAAAATGGATTCGGTCCCAAAGACGTCGACATGGGATCACACAAACTTCCGTTCACAAAGACGGTGTATATCGACCGAGATGATTTCAGAGAGGAAGATAGCAAAGACTTTTTCAGGATGGCTCCAGGGAAACCTGTAGGGTTATTGAAAGTCCCTTATCCCGTCATAGCCACAAGTTTCAAGAAGAATGAAGCCACAGGCCTCGTGACCGAGGTTCATGCGAAATATGATAAGCCGGCCGAGGGAGAGAAACCGAAAAAGCCGAAAGCGTACATTCATTGGGTTGCTAACGCACCTGAACATGGCTCACCCATTAATTGTGAGGTGCGAGTCTTCCAACCGCTCTTCAAGTCAGAAAATCCTGACGCTGTAGAGCCAAGCTTTATGGCAGACTTGCGAGAGGATAGTCTGAATGTATATCCCAATGCGGTTGCAGAGGTTGGCTTGAAGGAGATTCGTGAACGAGCACCATGGCCGGAGGAGGCGGGCGAGAAAAGGGGACGGGCTGGATTCGAGTCGGTCCGATTCCAAGCAATGCGGACTGGATATTTCTGTCTAGACAGCGACACGGATGAGACATCGGGGAGGATTGTTCTCAACCGGATCGTCGGGCTCAAGGAAGACACGGGCAAAAATGTATGAAGGATGACGAGACGACTGATGAAAGGGGAGGCTGACTTTATGGGACTGAGCAAGGCTTGATATGAGCTTTTTAGGAATGCATTGACGAGAGTTTTGTGATAGAGCCTCGACAAATCCCAAGTAAATGCGATGGTGTGTCTCTTCTATGCCTCGACGACTTCCGATCCCACTGCATAGAGTCCCAGTACCGTGGTACACGTGACAGCACCCACGTGTGTCTATCGGGGCTGCTGGTTAGTAGCGCAATTACGTTTCTCCGGAGCCCGAATGGCTGTATGGGACCAACGTCATATCCTTGCTTGCATTCCAGAGGGCGTTGATTGGATCTGCTGGTCCATCTTACGTTTCTGAATGCACTGGCACCCTCGGTTTCCCTCACTCACTTCCACCCGTGCACCAGGGGTCCATGGTGCTTCGGAGCCAACGCTACGACCAGTTTTGGATTGCACCTGACCAGCATTATTATTGTTCATATCTGTAAAGACAGCTTCATCCTTTTTTTGTACCAAGACTAGTATTCTTACTGCTGTAGTTGGCAGCGGATTATGGCTGTTCGAGAAGACTGACCACCTGAAGAACCCACTCCATGTCAATGTCTTATACCACAAAATACAATAACCATGTCCGAACGCGAGCCAGGTTCTACCTCGAATTCCTCCTCCAACCCGTCTAGCCCTCCTCTCTCTCCGAGACCGACGACCACCCATAGTCGCATGTCGAGTCAACATGTACCCCTCATTCCAAGTCGACTGCGGGAGGCCATGATCCAGTCTCCGGAAGACAGAATGGCTAGGTCAAAGTCGTCAGAAGAGATAGATCCAGGGCCCAGGTTGACTCTGTCCCCACCAGCACTGCAGCCCCAGACCTCGAATCCTACTATCATTGAGCCCGAGCCCGAGCCCGAATTCTCTTTGGACGGTGGGAATAGGCAAGTGCGAGGCGAGATTGATGAACCGTCCTCGCGAGAAATCAACGCCAGAACCAGCTTGCTAGGCAATTACCATCACAATCACCGTGTGTGTGGCCTAAAGAACTGCAATCATGGCACATTTTCCCCGCGGGCCCCTTCATTCAGGAGTGCGAGGAGCAGTATTGACAGCTCTATCCAATTTGGTGGTCGGTATGCAGGGGCCATTGGAGACGATGGTGGCTCAAGAGACCAGGTGCATGGCATTTTGGGAGACAGTCTGGCGGACTCATTACCAGGCAGTAAAAGCATGAGCACAACGACTTGGTTGGCCAAAAGGCACGGAGTCAACAGCCCGGGATTCATGTACTTCTCCTACTATTTCCCATTTGTCAAATGGGTTCGACAATACAGATGGGCATGGTTTCAAGGGGATCTCATTGCTGCCCTCACAATGGCCTCCTTCTACATTCCAATGTCATTGTCATACGCTTCGAATCTCAGTCATGTTCCACCAATCAACGGTTTGTATGCTTTTGTATTCAATCCTCTGATTTATGCCTTTCTGGGCACCTGCCCCCAAATGGTCGTCGGCCCAGAAGCCGCAGGATCTCTACTTGTTGGATCCGTGGTAAGATCCTCGATCGACAAAGGAAATTCCGGAGACGACAACAGCCTTATCAATGCTGAGATTGCTGGAGTCGTTACTGCCACTGCCGGAGCTGTCATCTTTGTTGCTGGTCTAAGCCGTCTTGGATTTCTTGACAGCGTTCTGAGCCGACCTTTTCTTCGAGGTTTCATCAGCGCTATTGGATTTGTTATTTTCGTTGATCAACTGATCACCGAGCTGGGCCTCGGGGATGTGGCTAAAGATGCAGGAGATGTTTCGCATGGCAGCAGTGCACAAAAATTGGTATTCCTGGTTAAAAATGTTGGAAAATCACATGGTCTTACAGCCGCCGTGTCTTTTACGAGCTTTGTTATAATTATGTTCTTCCGGTAAGAATCACACAGTTGGCTTCTTTTGATTGTGGCTGACGATATCAGAACCATCAAACGCAAACTTCAGCCAAGGTTTCCCTCAGTTGCGTATTTCCCTGATCGTTTTCTGGTCGTTGCATTAACGGCGGTTCTGACGTGGACTTTGGGCTGGGACAAAAGGGGCTTGGGTGTCCTCGGAAAAGTCGAATCTGCTACGGGATCCAAGGCAATTCCATTCCACTGGCCTTTCCAATATGCGCACCTGAAGCATATCGATACTGCGCTGAGCACTTCGTTCTTGATTGCATTACTTGGGTTTTTTGAATCATCCGTAGCTGCAAAAAGTCTTGGTGAAGGCACCCACGGATTAAAAGGCATGACCTTGAGCGCAAACAGGGAACTGATCGCTTTGGGGACCGCCAACATTGTGGGAGGATGTTTCATGGCCCTGCCCGCCTTTGGGGGCTATGGGAGGAGCAAGGTGAACGCTTCGACCGGTGGAACCACTCCGATGAGCAGTATCCTTCTCAGCCTCATTACCCTTTTGTGTGTGTTTTTCGTGGTGCCTTACTTTTACTACGTGCCAAAGGGAGTCCTTTCAGCAATGATTTCGGTGGTTGCATATTCGCTCATCGAAGAATGCCCGCATGATATCAAATTCTTCTTCAAGATCAGGGGTTGGACGGAGTTGTCTCTCATGTCCATAATCTTTCTCTCGACCGTCTTCTACTCTCTATCTACCGGAATCGCATTGGGTATCGGACTATCACTTCTATCGCTGATCCGCCACGCCACCAAACCACGGATACAGATCCTTGGTCGCATGCCAGGCACCGATCGATTTGAAAACGCAGAGCACTCCCCGGAAAACATCGAATACATCGAAGGTTGCCTGATTGTCAAGATTCCCGAGCCCCTGACCTTCGCCAATACAGGTGAGCTTAAGAACCGTCTACGACGTCTCGAACAATACGGCACGAATGCCGCACACCCGTCTCTCCCACGCGTCCGCCACGAGGAGAACAACAAGAACGTCATCTTCGACGTGCACGGCGTCACCAAGATCGACGGCTCTGGCACCCAAGTCTTCACGGAAATCGTTGAGGAATACGTCAAGCGCGGGACCCGCGTCTTCTTCTGCCGCCTGCCACACCGCCGCAGCAAAGTGTTCCAGAGCTTTGAGAGAAGCGGCATCGTAGATCTCTGTGGTGGGAAGCATCATTTTGTAGGAAGTGTCGAGGAGGCGCTGCGGTTGTCAGAAGCGGAGGTTCTGGAGAGGTATTTTGATGAGCGTCTAGCCGACCATGAGAGGGATACGCAATGGTGATGAACAGATGAACGACCGGGTTTGATAAAAAGTTTGGAGTAGATAGGATCTATATTTGAGAACTTTCTATACCTATATGTATATCTTGGATTCATCCGAACTAGCTTATTTTGAATGACCACAGCGTCCTAGTCTATTCTCCTGCCCTCCCGAAACCACTGCTGATCTTGCAAGCCTCGTTAATGAAGCTGTCACCGTATGGACTCTTCATAGCTTGGGAAAGAACATAGGAGTCTCTTTTTTCCAACGTTGATAATCCTCACGATCACCAAATTTTTGGTCATATTTCTTCTCACTCAGGGGAATACCCGAGACCTTGAACAGCAAAAAGGTGACAAATGCGGGACTGACGCCGGCAGCCAACAGCGCAACAACCTTCCCCATCAACGCCGAGCCCGCGAGCCCTATCCCCGCGACACCGGCTTCACTCGCCAGCACACCGGCGGCCAATGTCGCGATTCCGGTCCACAGCGTGCTTTCGCCGAAGTAGTTTGGGTGGCGGCTCTTACTCCACAGCCCGCGGGTTAGGTAATCTTCGTCGTGTTTCTTTTCTTTCTTCTCCTGGCTCCATTTGCTTTTCTGTCGGTCGGCGGTTACTTCAAAGCCCAGGCCGCCTACGTAGAGCAGAATGCCGAGGATGTCGGTGAGAGAGATCAAGGAGGAGCCGAGGGCGGCGAATGTGCTCGCTGGGAGAGAGTTGATGGACAGAACCGGGAGCAAGCACAGAGACACCCAGACGGCTTGGGCGAAGAATGCGACAGCAAATTTCGGTGGTGAGCACCGGCTCTTCTCAAAGCGGGAGTCAGTGCCGTCGTTCAGGATACGTTGGAAGAGGAAGGATCCCACTGAAATACGGCCGGTGGTCAGTAACAAAGATGTAGATAGTGAAAGAGGCGGTCTCAACTAACGTCGAGCAGCCCAGAAGCTGACAGCGGCGCTCAGAACGACCTGTCGCCAGTTGAAACCATATGGTCCTGCAGTGCCATTGAACGCACTCAACAATGTCGGCCAGGCTGGTTTCACTGCTCCGGCCGCGGCGGCCGCGGCACGCGCCCGTATGACTGGGAGGTAGAGACTCAACGCGGTACACGAGAGATATGTAACAGACCCGGACAGGTCATAGAAGCGTTCGGTCTGGCCGATGATCGAGGGCACGCCAAACGCAGCCTGGATACCAAACGCCAGACCCACGCTGGGGATGAGGTTCCTCAAAAATGGATTGCGGAAGTTGGTCGCGCTGAGGAGCGAATGTATGATAGACATTCTTTGATCTGATATGGCGTAGGATGGACTGGAAGTTGCGATGCACAGGCAATGCAGTAAATGACACACTCTCACACTTGAAGCGGACCTACCGACTATTTAATTCAGATCAGGGACCATCCGTGCCCGAGACAGCAACAGTTAGGCCTCCTGATCGTACTCATTCAAATACATGTGCACCCGGGGAGGACGCAATCGTGCAGAAATGTATGACGACAAGTAAGTGTTGGAGCCATCAAAAGCCAAAATATGCACGTACAAAGCCTCAATCACGTGCCATGGAATTAGATGACCCCGCACTCCGGGCGGGAATTTGGAGAGGGAGGGAGAGAGCGAGATGGCCACCACAAATGTGCGATCAACGGCGGCCAGTCTTGCTGCGTCACGATCGACCGCAGAACTGAGTCCTGGACACAGCTGAAGATGGATGAAGGCGAGGCTTCAATGCCCGGCGCGTTCCCTACCGCTGCCACAGAAGAACGCCTTTCCGCGACCCGAGTTCCGCAGAAACGATTCGTCGGCAGGCGGACTGCGGAAGCGCAGGCGAAACGGCGACAACAGGATGGGAATCCCTCAGTGGAGGAGACAACAGCGATCGTCCAGAACAGTATGTTTATTCCTGTGCAGCATATCCTGATTGTGCATTTCTCACTGTCAGCGTCTAGCACAACGAAAGACACCTCGGGCTCTGAACCAAGTTCCTAGTGAGATCCTCGACGATCCAGATATCCGAGCCGCCATCTCGTTGTTGCCCCCCAACTACAGTTTTGAGATTCCCAAGACGATCCACCGGATACGGACTCTCGATGCCAAACGGGTAGCTTTGCAGTTCCCCGAAGGCCTGCTCATGTTTGCCACTACCATATCCGATATCTTGACCCAATTCTGCCCCAGGGCGGAGACGTTGATTATGGGAGATGTTACCTATGGGGCGTGCTGCATCGACGATTACACAGCGAGAGCTCTTGGTTGTGACCTGCTGGTACACTATGCACACAGCTGCTTGATTCCAGTGTCAGCGACCAAGATTGCTACGTTGTATATCTTCGTGGACATTTCTATTGACACCAAGCACCTCGTGAGCACCCTGTCAAGAAATATCACACCAGGTAAGACCATTGCCATGGTGGGTACCATTCAGTTCAACTCCACTCTGCACACTATCAGACCTGCGCTCGAAGCCGAAGGTCTCAAGTTGATAGTGCCTCAAATCATGCCCTTGAGCAAAGGTGAGGTGCTAGGATGCACTGCTCCAAAGATCAGTCCAGACGCCAACGTCGATCTGATCTTGTACCTGGGAGATGGCCGTTTCCACCTTGAAGCAGCCATGATCGCCAATCCGGACATGCCAGCCTATCGATACGACCCTTATTCAAGAAAACTGACGAGAGAAACATATTCCCACGACGAGATGCTGGATATGCGGTCTATGGCGATCAGCACCTCAAAGAAGGCGAAGAAGTGGGGATTGATTCTTGGAGCGCTAGGAAGGCAGGGGAACCCACATATATTGACCATGATCGAAAATCACCTCAATCAGCAAGGTATCCCCTTTGTCAACCTGCTGCTCAGCGAGATCTTTCCCGGAAAGCTGGCTATGTTTGAGGATGTCGACTGCTGGGTGCAAGTGGCATGTCCACGCCTGAGTATAGATTGGGGGTATGCATTTCCTCGTCCTCTTTTGACACCCTATGAAGCCCTGGTTGTGCTGGGTGCAAAGCAGGGATGGGAGAAGGGAGATGGTGTCTACCCCGTTGATTACTATGCGAATAATGGTCTGGGAAGAACAACCGAGAAACTTGCGGCATTGCAAGTGGGTGTTGCTGGCTGATTTACTCCTTCCCGCACTCTTAATGTTGCTTAACGCCGGCAACCTTAAGTGCCGTCACAATCACAATCAAAGCCGAAGTACCATGGGCAGGACTCTTTTTTCCTACTTGTGGCATAGCCAGCATCGGCTGGGAATAATCAAGCAACCAATTTGATCTCGTTCTTCAAGATCTCTCCTGAGCGATGAAATGCGATACATGCCCATGCTATCCATCAAGAAGATTCTCGGCGTCCGTGCCATTCAAGGTGCCTGAAGCCCTGGATATACACTCAACCCAGAATCGGAGCGAACACTGCGTTTCTTCCAGGCTCCCAAGAAGTGCCACATTAGACAGCCACAGTTCGGAAATACTACGAACTCAGGAGGAGGCTTAAGTTTATATTTGCATGCGAAGAAAGATCTCGGGAACGTCAGTCTATCCTTCCCTGTGGTTAATTATCCAATAAGATGAAATGCAGGCCAAGGAATGTTCAGTAAGGCGAACATGCAAGATGAAGGCATGTTTTCATATTGAGCCAGCTTTAAATAATACACCACGAGATTTGGAGGGTGTGATGAACACGACTCCCGGACGAGCGGGTGGTCGTCAACCGGCTGGCGATACCCTCAAGTGGCAGATGGTATGCGTCGGGGAACAATATGTGTTGTAGTTGCATCGAAGGGGTGCTACCTACAGAAACAAGGGATGTCCCTTGTGGGCATGGGCCATGAATACTGGGGCAACTATCGGGGCAAACCAAGAGCGAGAGGCGGTTCAGGCAGGCCTGGCCTGATGTAGCAGGTTTAGATCATTCTATGACAATTGGAGATACAGTCATAGTTGAACGAGCGTACAGGTGAATGGCAAGAGAAAAGTGTTGGTGCTTGAACATAAATGTACCTAGGTACCAACCGTAGTAGCCATCCATACCAGCGAGGCTTCCAAGTTCTCAGGCCTTCTCTCAATGTTGGAGGTTGGGACGTCGTGCCTCATTGCCGAGGTTCTGCCGGTCAACGTCGACTCCAGACTGTCCCCTTCATAGCCCTCTCAACTAGCCAATCTTCTTACGACGACCCAGCCCCAGGATACTCTGCCCTACATCTTCAGCCTCTGCGGCGTGGTATGCATTCGGATATCCATGTAGTTGTCCGCTTTCATGAACAGTCAGTATTTGCGGGCGAACATTTGCGATGCACCATTACCTTCAGAAACGTCGCCAACCTTTCTGAACCTGTCACTCCCGCTCACCCACCTCGACGAAGTAGTCGACGCGAAAGCATTAGTCAAATTGCCAGTCAGGTAGCTAGAAATCACGCTGCCGCTCGAGTTGGTCTGAATGGCCGAACAAACAACAGCGGCGATCACTCCATCGAGGTAGGCGGTCGCCACCGACCAACAGCATCGTTTCATACTCCACCTAGCGCAAGCGACAATGAAGTTCATCATCAACGTCCAGCCCACAAGCAGCAAAGGTCAGTATCGATAATCTCGGTAACGTCTCCAATATCAGCTGGAGATCTCGCCGACTCCAACATTGGCAGTTGGGCAAAGCAGCAAAGACTAAGTCACCACCACCGTTCTTCGACGGTGGGCAATACGCATGGTATGTCATTAACCACGAAAATCGACTGGGCCTCCATGACTGACTTCGTTATCAGGGTCACCGCACCCCCATAACAGACGAAATTCCCCAACGGGGCTACACCTCGCGGTCAGAGGGGGTCGTCGCAGTCCCCTGTCACCGGGTACGAGTAGGAGTCGTGATTCTACTCCAGATTTCAAATTTCCACCAGATAGGCCAGATCACCAGCTGCTCAATTTAGAGCGCCATGATGGTCAGACTGAAAGCCCAGTGGGACCCACTGGCTCCCATGCTAGCCAGGTGGCGAGCGAGCGGAGCAGTGGTGATTTTTATTCCCTGAGCAATCATTCACAGGAAACTCTAATGTCTGAGCAGCCTTCTATCATGTCAGACACCCGACCAATTATGCATTATGGAAACCTGCTCTCACGAAAACCCGCTTTGAAACCCCAACAAAAACCACAAGCCGTAAACCTACTCATGGGTTATGCCCAGCTGGGTGCCACGTTTACAGTGGATGCCTCCCTGATCGATCAGTCTCATTTCGAAGAAGTCAAGAACAAGGGCTTCCTCGGTGGTCAGGCTGGTGGCGGTGTTGTTGGCGTCAAGAAGCCGAGGCCAAATAGCGGATTTCTTGGAACTTTCAACTTCAATAGTATTGGAGACTCTCTGAACAGCTTGATGGGAGGGGAGAATTTGAGCAGCGTGAAAGAAATGCACGCGGTCACGAACGCGAGGGCCATCCCTCTGCTGTCCACACCACAATCATTACTTTTTGTGGATCTACATCTCGAACCTGGCGAAGAAAGGAGCTATTCCTACAATTATCCGCTGCCACATGGCTTACCTTCGAGTCATCGTGGGAAAGCCATCAAGATATCTTACAACCTCACAATCGGTGTCCAAGGCCTACCTGGAGGCCGCGATGCCCACTCCGTCCGACAGGTGAACATTCCGGTCCGTGTATTCTCTGGAGTCAATTACGATGGAGAAATCTACGGTCACGATCTTATGCAGCCACACGTTATCCTTCGGGATTTAGCCCGGACAAAATCCATATCTTCGGCGGAAGATCAGGAAGAACCAGAAACACCAATCACAAAATCCGATGAGGCCTCAACCACCGAGTTCTTGCAATTTGTCGACACTCTGCTGGATCGCCACCGAAGACGTCAATCAAGCAGTGGAACCATGGAGGCGTTTCTGAGTGGTCAAGCCGCTGGAGATCCTCGGAAAGCCGCTCAGTCGATCAACCGAGCAATCCAGTTCGGGAACCAGCTTCAAGACAACCAATCCAGCTCTAACCGTTTTGATATCTCCCGCAACGGCCTTCGAGTCGCAGTCATCGTCATTGACAGGCCCTTACATCGATTAGGGGAGACTGTCACAGCAGTAGTCGACTTCTCCGACAGTCAAGTTCACTGCTCCATGCTCAGATCAACACTCGAGACTTGTGAGAAAGTCACACCCTCACTTGCGGTCCGCTCTGCCGCCACCATCAGCCGCATCACGCGCAAGACCTATGGAGGGCGGTCGGAAAACCTCCTGTTCTCCAAACGCGCGACCTTCGCCCCCAGTATCCCAGCATCAGCGACCCCTACGTTCATCACCACCGGCGTCAACCTCGAGTGGAGTCTGCGCTTTGAGTTCGGCACCATCAAGCACACAGAGAATGAGGTCGGAGAGGCAGAAGGCGGAGGCGGAGGGGGGGGAGGAGGAGAAGCCGCACCCGCGATGAGCCTCCTGGAGGAAGTCGCCAAGGACGAACGTGGCACAGTCAATGTGGCGGTCGAGAACTTGGACTGTGAGAGTTTCGAGGTCGTTATTCCCATCACTGTCTACGGCGATCTCGTCCCCGACGGTCGAGAGGCGGAAGATATTTCCGGCGTGCCTATTTGAGTAGATGATATCTATCACTCGGAGTTGGAAAGCAGAGAAGAGCGAGGCGGTGATTCCTTTGATGGCGATAGAATTACAAGTTTTGTCGTTCGACGCATCTCCATCAGCGAAGGTGCTATCCGTCCGCCTATCACTGTGAAATGTGAAACTTATCTGGCTGGCGAGACTGTATATATGTCATGATTATTCATTCTCCTTCCCCCAGTATAAGCTACATGTCACAGCTTCGCCCTCTTTCCCTCCTCATACCTCCTCTTCTCCAGCGCCTTCAACTCGGCCCTCTTGATCTTCCCACTGATCGTCTTCGGCAGGAACTTCGCATCCACAAACTCAATCTTCCGCGGGTACTTATACGGCGCTGCGTTCTCCTTGCAGAAGCCCTGCAGTTCTTTGATCAATTCGGTTTCTTGCGTTGACGGTGGCGACGACCGGATCTTGGAGAAGGCCGAGTCGGTCAGCACGATAAACGCCTTGACAACTTCGTCGCGTGCTGGGTCGGGGGACGCGACGACCGCGGACTCGACGACGGCCGGGTGGAGTTTGAGCGTCGACTCGACTTCGAAGGGGCCTTTTAAACATCCCAGGAAAGGGGGATCTGTTAGCAAACATAGTCCCGCAGTCCTAGTCCTAGTCCTTTTTCTTTTCCTGGACCAAAGCAGAAGCCAAATTGGAAATCTCATCTCGTCTCATCTGGCCTTGATGGCGAATGCCAATGAACTGAACTGAACTGAACTTACCGATCCGATAACCACTGGAGTTGATGACATCGTCGCTCCGCCCCACGAACCAGAAATAGCCGTCGGAATCCCTGCTGGCGCGGTCTCCCGTGATGAAGAACCGATTGCCGTTGGCGAACGTCTTGATTTTATTGTCGATCTGACCTGTTGCGCGGTCGATGTAGCCTTCGAAGATGCCGAAGAAGGCGTCTTTTCTTTTCAGGGTGCTCGCATCTCTTGATATGGCGATCGCGATGTCGCCTTCGACGCCGTTGTCGGTGACATTTCCATCGGCATCGATGATCGTTAGTGGGACGCCGGGGATCGGCTTGCCCATGCTCCCGGGCTTGACGGGGTTGGCCTTCTGATTTGCGCAGATGACGGTCGTCTCGGTCTGGCCGTAGGCGTCGAAGATGTCGATCCCGCCGGTCATGTCCTTCCAGGTGCGGATGACGCTCTCATTCAGCGGCTCACCGGCACCGCAGCAGTGGCGGAGAGCTCTGGGCCTGCCTTGGGGTGTTTCGAAGAAGGCCCGGGTTTCGTCCAGCACTAGTTGTCGATACACTGTCGGTGGTGCGCAGAGGGTCGTGATGGGGAATTGGTTCAACACTTGCAGTGTGCGCTTGGCGCTGAATGGCTGCCTGTCGTCGTGGATGAACAGCGTCGCACCGCAGTTCCATGAACTGAAGAATGACCAGGCCGCCTTCGCCCACCCTTGCTCCGACAGGTTCCAGTAGATCTGCCCAGGTGAAAGTTGCAACCAGTGGATACCCGTGAGGGCGTGCGCTAGTGGATAGGAGGTCTGCGTGTGGAGGACAACCTTGGGAGGGCCAGTGGTTCCAGAGGTGAAGAAGGTCAAAGCAGGCGATATCGGGGTCAATGACCCGGGCACAGGGAAGTCTGCGTCCTGAGGGATACGGGCCAGAGACGCGTGGAAGTCCACCACGTCCTTGGCTTCGACCTTGCCTTCTATCTGGATGATGCTCCTTAGCTTCGGACATCTCTGGCGCACCTTCAGGCACTTTGCGACGGACGCCTCGTCGCCAACGAACGCCGCGGCCTGAGAAACCTGCAGCCGAGATTCAATGTCCTTGTCCACGAGCAGAGTCGTGCAAGGGCACACGATGACGCCGGAGCGGAGGCATGCCGTCGCGACCTCCCACCAAGCTGGGATCCGAGATGAGATCAGGATGCATGTCTCGCCCTGCTTGATTCCCAGAGATGCCAGGAGGTGCGAGATCCTGTGCGATTGTCGCGAGAAGTTTAGGTAGGTCAATTGTTTGGATTCGCTCAGTGACTGATTCGTCCAGTAGAGTGCAACTTGAGTCGGATCCCGCCGTGCCCAGTAGTCGACAACATCCGTTGCGAAGTTGAATGAGGATGGGAGCTGGAGCGGAGAGACTGGCACGGGAGAGTTGGTCATGCCGAGGTCAAGTTGTTTGATAGCGATGGGGCTCTTATTTCAAGGTTCTGTCTATCTATCATAAATTCAGGTTGCCTGCAAGGGGAGGATCAACGTTGAATACGGTGAATGAAGGTCACGGTACTAATAACTGAGTATTGATGTTTCGGTAGAGCGGAAGCCGGGGAAGGGTTCCAGAACTTGGTATGCGAGGCTGTTATCCTTCCTGATTCATTCGGGCTTCTACCGAGTATACGAGGTACTTTCCGCCAATTGTGGGGAAGCCATCGTCGCCTTTATCATGCCATCCCTAGAACAGGACATGATGTACGGCCAGACAAGGCAGAAGTTGACGTGTCGCTACTAGCTAGTCAGATGGTTCCTAGACTTTGTTTCTGAGTTTGGTTCGACTTCGGCAGGTGCTTGTATCAGATTGGTACGGAGTACTCTGGGGTCTGTATGGTGTAAGAGATGCTTAACCCTTCAGGACGGAGAAAGCCCGAGTTGCGGGATTCATTGCAAAAGGCGCAGCGGGATTTTGCTTGGTACGACGTACGAACCAGACCACGAATTTCAGAGATAGAAGTCTCCTGAGTTGTCGTTGGAAAGCGATCAATTATCATCTTATGGACAGTACCACCCCGACCCGCCATTCCCAACCAAATCATCAACCGACTTTTGATAACCTTCCTGATCATCACTCTTCCAGAAAAGATGTCGCGTATGATGCTAAATCTAACCTGCTCGCATGGACACCGTAATGTTCATAGACTCCTCTTTCAGACAGTACGAAAACGCCATTCCTGGTCCACCTACCCCAGGTGGAATTAACAATTAAGCCTGTTCATGCAACCCTTGAATCTTGGGACACAACAAAAGAGAACTCGTGGTTTTGGGTATCAATAATGACGGCACAGGTATAGAGACGGTCATTGCTCCTTCCCCAGGGGGGGCGGTCCTATACAAATATTATCCAACGTGGGGACAGCTGGTGCATTTTCGATAGGATTAATCTTGGGGTTCATTTGATAGTCGTTGCCGCTTCGTAGGCTGCTCTGGGTCATTAAGTTCTTGGATTCGTTTTTCCAGCTCCTCGAATTTGCGTTTTAGCTCGTCTCGTTCCTTGACGGCGCGGTCGCGCTCAGCACGCAGACTGTTCTCGTTGTCGGAATAGACCATGTTGATCACTTCCAGCTCAGACACTCGCGTTCGCAGGTTGGTGTTTGCAACTACAAGCTGTTCGTAGCTCATGGGCGCTTCCAGATGGCGGTCGCCGCCCAAAGAAATGGCGCCGGGCGAGGGATGGTTGAAATGCATGGCTGGGAGTGAAGGGGAGCCATTGAAGTGAGGGTCATTGATAGCTGCACCGTCGAACAAGTGTTGCGGGGCGATATTAGGATCGTGTAGAGCGCCTGGTGTTCCCGTTCGCGACACCGGCGAGTGTGAGCGATCTGAGGTCACAGACGCCGCCATCTGAGAAACGCGACGGTGTGGGTTAATGCCATTAGGTGGAGACACCATCTCAGACTGGGAGGCTGGGAGGCCATTCTGATCGAACTTGGACAAGTCAGGATGCTTGTACTTGACCACTTGTATGGAATGCGAAACTCACCTTCTTCTTCGGGCCTTGATTGGCTGTCTTGACTCTGTTGCGACTCTTGATCACATCGGTCTTGAGACTGATCGGGCGAGGTCGGCCGTGGAGTTTGAGAAAGAGGCCGCAGGCATTGCAGAGGACTGAGCCCGCTTCGTCGCGTCGCCAGAGAGGGGTGGTCGAAGTCTGACAGTTCTGGCAGACGGGCTGTGTAAAGGGTAGGTTGTGGTCAGCACCTGGTAAAGAGGCGGCCATTGCTTTTCCGCAACGGAGATGAAAAGCCAGCGGGGGGAGTGAAATTCACGATAAGATAAGTGAAAAAGGCGAGGTTGAGAAGCCGATGGGGAGGAAAGGTGGGTGTTGTCTGACGGTTGCATATCGCCACAAAATAGCAGGTGGAGCGTTGTCAGACCAAGCCATTTCCTCATAGCGCACGTGGACCGAAATTCGGTGGCAGGGGAGAACTTCAAACTTGGGCCACTGGAGTGACGACTTACTGGTGCACTTCCTGCAATTCCTGGTGTTGGGATTGGTGGCATGATGCCTGGAAGACTCATCGGTGATGATCCATAACTCCCTGAGAACGTTCTGTTTGACTATCAGTCTCTCTCTTCCCTGTACGGATATCAATTCTTCTAAGAAGCATACCTAATCGGCGGTGGAGTGGCAGCTAAAGATGTCAGCGATGACAATCCAGGTAAGGCAGGTCGTGGTTCGCTATGCTGGTAGCGGTATTCGCCACCAACGCTCAAGCTTGCACTTCGGATGTGGAATTGCGGTTGGGTCTGAAAGAGACTACTCGCAGAGGGCAGAGCCGTCGAAGATGGTCGTGAGATGTCTCTCCCAAACGCGGCGGATGGTGGCAGCGGTGACAGTCCCCGGTAATGGTCCCGTCTCGGTGTGCCGTACTCGTCGAGTCTTGAGTCGGTCAAAGGAGTTGAAGATGGTCGATAGGGAGGGTCCAAGGGTGAGGCTCGAAAGAGCGGTGCTGCAACTGCGGAAGCCGTGTTCGCTATGGTTTGAGACCAAAACGCGGTCTCAACGATTATCAGAGGTAACGTTAAAGAGAGGACGCCGTACGAGCAGTAGGCACAAGGACAATTCGACTGGATCTATCTCTACTGTACACGAGACATCAAACAAGTGACGATATGGAAATCCAGAACCAAAAAACGAGTGTTACAGAATGGAGGAGATAGCAGACCGTCTATCGATAGACGGGAGCCTCGAGACTTTAGGGTCTTGTCCAATACAATCTCTCAGTCAGGGGCCTTGATCAACGGAGGATCCCTACAGATATGCAGGCAGAGTATTGGACTCTGGTCCCCGCTCCGTCAGCCCATGAACCATGGCTAATTGCGCCTTGTCGGAGCTCGGACGCGTCTCTCGAGATGACTCTGCTTGCGAGGATAATTCCACCTGGTTTGAACAGACCAGTTGTATACCTGACCGTCAGGTTGCCGAATCTGTTGCCCGTCCTCGCACACCATTAACAATGCCTCTGATACATTTCGAATGGAACCACATGTCTGTCCTGGAGGCAGTGAGCAGCAGCAAGGAGAGGGGAAATGTGCAGAGATTGGCGCTTCGAAGATCTGGGGAAATGGATAGTAAAATTGGTTAATTTATGATGTGGGTATCCCGGCAGCCGAAGAGCCCCTTTTCCTAAGCCGGTCAACCAGGTAGCAATTTTCTGGCGGGAACAGCCGCAATTGGACGCTGTGACTGACAGGAGCAGACTGCACGGTTGTAAATTTGACTGCATGCGTCAAAGAAAGCAGATGTGAACTTCCCAATTCCCCGAGACATTATAGAAGTAAATGTTCCGAAATCTACGGCTGGGGGAGGCATGTCAAGACTCAAGACCAGACTTCACCAAAATTCAGCGAGGTGCCGAAGCCCACCACGAGCGCGTGTACTAAAGAGACGCGAGGCTCCACGCACCAGGCGCACGGTGAAACAGACAGAGGAGCAGCAATTTCTCAAGTCGTCATTGTGATTAATGGCATTAGTTGGCCCCTGAGATAAACCGTTGTAATCGGCCAGCAAGCGATAACCAGCCACACGAGGGTCAGTCGCGGAAGGCTCTGGAACACCCCAATCAAATGGGAATGTGAACCAATGTCTCGGCAGGGGCGATTATGCTTAAATTTAAAGATGGTCTTTAACCAAAGGCAGCCTAGACAAGCGCTGCCTGTGAAAGAAGCTCAAGGTGAGGACGACCAGAAGTCGTACTCGTAGACTACGAGTAATAGGAAGGCACACTGGGTTGTTCTAGGATTTACGTGAGGATCAATCGCAGTCGGTGCCTCGTACGGCAGTATAGCTGCTGAAAAGCAGAAAACTATGAGCTATTTTGTCCTAAGGACAGGAGTTTTAGGCGTCCTTCGTACAAAATCCCCAATCCCAGTCGGACAGGCCAGGTGTTCGTAGAAGGGTGGTAAGAGGCCCAAAGGAGAATCTCGCACCTCGTAGTGCGAGTAATATCGAGTCTATGGTGTTCCCTCTGACGGTCTACGGATACTGTACCTAATTCACAATGGGTCAGTGCGTTCCAGGCGTCAGGCCCGGCCGAGGCACACCCATCTCGCAAACCCTTAGCCCAAAGTCACCCCTAAATACAGACAGGTCAGGCTTACCTAATATCATGTGGCTACAGGCGCTGGGTGGGCGCGCACTAGCCACCGGTCCTTCATCCTCACTTCTGCGGACCTTTCGTAGCCGACAACCCCGAACAAGCGTTCCTTGCTGTCAAGGCACCAACAGTTGTTCTTTTCCCATATGGCCTGCTCTTTTTCTCGTTGACCACACTGTGCCCTGGGATCGGTTACTCTCTGTGATGGCACACGGGAGAATAAAGCCAACTGTCATCTAGAACCTGATTATACCCACGTGAGCACCCTCGAACCATGCCCTCCCGTCAGAGACCTGCTGCATCGGGTTATGCACGCCTTGCGCAGGCTGATGAGGATGACGGTCCCCTGACCGACGACTCCGGCGACGAAGACTATGCCCATACGCCGCTTACCACCCGGTATGCCTCTATACAACCTGCTCCGCGAGAGGGAATGCGCCCTGGCATCTCTCCTCATCCTCGAAGAAAGGCGGGTAGACGGATGAGAAGTAACTCATCCGGAGTTGATATCAAAGCAATCAATGCTAGACTGGAAAGATGGGCCGAGGAAATCGCGTCCAAATTCAAAATCAGCTCCGTCAAGGGCAAGACACAAGAGGAGGAACAACTAGAGATACACCACTCTGTTTTCCAAGCACCCCCAGGCGTACGTCCTTACACTGCTCAGCAAATCACCGCCTATTCTACTACGGAGTCGGATAGAATGACGAGATTCCAATTCAATGATATTGTGGAATCCGTTCGTGTTGCCATTGAAGTCGGAACTCATCCCAAAATGATTTCACAAGGCAGCTCAGGCAGTTACTTTGCTCGAAATAGCGAGGGTAAAGTAGTTGGGGTCTTCAAGCCCAAAGATGAAGAGCCATACGCATCGAGAAACCCGAAATGGACGAAATGGATCCATCGCAATCTATTTCCGTTCGCTTTCGGGAGAGCGTGTCTCATTCCTAATTTATCTTACGTCTCCGAAGCTGCTGCGTATGTACTGGACTGCCAATTACGAACAAATTTGGTCCCCTACACAGATATCGTCTGGCTATCCTCAAAGTCCTTCTACTACGACTTCTGGGAACGACGGAGTAATTGGCGAGGCAAAAAGAGCTTGCCTGCAAAGGTCGGAAGTTTCCAGGTCTTCTTAAAAGGGTTCAAAGATGCAAATATCTTCTTACGGGAGAACCCTTGGCCTGACCAGCAGACCGAGTTTCGGGGAGACCTTGAACATAAGCGCAAAAGGAGACCGTTGACCAACTGCATCCCCGGAGGTGCTCAGTCGGATGATGAGGACCAAATACCACGCGTGGCATCACCAATGCCTCAGGAACAAGCACCCAAATTCCAATGGACACCACCACTAAAGCAAGCATTCCGCGAGGAGCTCGAGAAACTGGTTATACTAGATTACATCATGCGGAATACTGATAGAGGACTCGACAATTGGATGATTAAAATTGATTGGAAACATGAAGAAGTGTCGATCGTTGCTGAACCACCAAAGTCGAACGGATCCATGATGCCAGGCGATGCTGCGCCTCGCCCTGTGTCAGTGAGCCCAAGACCAGAATCTAACACATCAAGGCCATATCGAAGATACGAAGCTATGGAAAGCCGGTCTGGAACACCTTCAAATGCGCCTGACCAACCTCAGCCTTCAATATCGATAGGGGCCATTGACAACAGTTTGTCGTGGCCATGGAAGCACCCTGACGCTGTATGTTTGCACTCAAATCTTTAGCAGATCCAGACTAACATTTTTTCCAGTGGCGGAGTTTCCCATTTGGCTGGCTCTTCCTTCCGGTCTCCCTCATCGGACAGCCATTTTCACAAAAAGCACGTAACCATTTTCTCCCCTTACTCACATCCACTGCTTGGTGGAGCGAAACCCAAATGGCGCTCAGGAGAGTCTTTGCTCAGGACGCCGACTTCAAGGAAAGCATGTTCGCACGGCAGATTGCGGTCATGAAAGGTCAGGCATGGAATGTTGTTGAAACTCTCAAACAAGACGACCATGGCCCTCTTGAGCTCACTCGACGAACGCGAGTATGTGTGTGGGATGATCTCGTCGATGTTCCAGTCGCGATACCAATGCGAGTACCCTCAGCAGAGATGAGCAGGAGAAAAGCCAGGGTCGATCAGGAAGAAGAAATGGACATCGGAGCGTCGTATGCCTCCGCCCCATCGGGACGACATGCGCCACCACTTGATCTCCTCGGCTCACCAACAACCGAGCTCCCCAATCCCAACCGCTTCGACCTGACTAGGGATGACAGCGCCGGCGATATATCTCACCTTCCCAACGATGAAAGCCCAAGCAGTCCCATATTAACGAGCATGAACCCATTTGACGCCAAGGAAGCCCGCAACTCTCTAGGCAACAGCGCCTCGGTGCCCATACGACCTAACCCGAAGCACCGCTCGCGCTTCAGCTTCGAATTCCCACGCCAGACCGTCCTCAAGAGCAACACCGTCGGGGGCAGCGGCAATGCCGCGAAGAGACAGAGGTCACTCTCAACACGGAGTGGCAAGCCGCCGCAAATCTTCTACGAAGGTGACGATCTCGAGGGTGACTTGGGATACGCCGCTGCAAGTGACATGGAGCAGAATAAACGGAAAGTCATCGTCGAGAGGCTCGAGACCGTCAAGAGCAAGAAGCCTGTCTTCACTTGGTGTTAAGTCCTAGTTCTAGATCGACCCGGACCAGAGGCCGGACTAGAGCGCACGCTCCTTTTCTCATTGGATTTGACGGAGAAGAGGCGTGCGTGGTCGTCGAATGACTTCTTACGATGTGTAGCACTACATGAGCTGGAGCCCCAGCCCTCGTCGCACGAAGCATGGCCCCACGCCATGCATGTATAACGTCACAACATAAACGTAGGCATATGTAAATCGAGATAGGAGCAGAAGACGAGGGGGGATTGGCCAAGGAAATGTCGGCCAAGGAAAAGGAACAAGGGCCAGACAAAATAAAACAGGCTTATATATACCCCATACGGGGTCGTCAAGTGAGCGGTTTGAAGAAAGAGCTTTTTTTCTCTTTTTGATAGCATTTAGCCAGTTTCCGCTCTCTGCAGGGCTGAGGGGATGGATATTGTGATTGCCATTGTACGTTGGAGGAAAATGAGTGAAACTCGGAGAAGAAGGGCAAAAGATGGCTGGATCGTCGGTTTGTCCAACGTACAGAAAAAAACAGACTGAACCCTAGCCTGAGAGAGTTCCTTGCTGCCGCCTCTATATACCGAAGTATCTCTCTCGGATCTCTCAGACATCAAGCCGCTGACCGGAAACGCCGTTTCTCCCTCGAGAATGATCATTGTTTGTTCGTGCAGTTCCTAAGGCCAGTCGTTCCAGCCTTGCTGTCGCATATGCCTCCATGGCTGGCCTGCTTAGAACATGGCGGAGTTGGCTTGAGTGTGTTTATGATGGATACTCTAGGTCATCTCTCTCTCTCCGATCGACGGATCGGGGAGCTTTGGTTGGGCCGAGTCCTAAAGGAGCAGCGATTTGGGCCCGTCAACGCAACCACAAATGCATAACCCCCATGAGACGTTCGCGATCAGTTCCCTACGCGAAGTCGTCTTCCTGGCTCTCGATCGCATTTTTAACCCTGAGGAGGAGCGTTGTCTTCCACTTGTCGAGCTTACTCAGCTGGTCGAATTGGAATAATTTATCGGCAAAGGCTTCTTGATCGCCCTCCTCACAACAGCCCACCAGATCCGTCAAGAGCATGTTCTCCCTCGTGCTTGCAAATGAGTTGTCCAACTCCCGATACTGGTCGAGTGCGCGTCTGGTCGCAACCTGGTCTCCAGCGGCTAGGTGGCAGATGCCAGCTTTGAGAAAGTAGTCCTTAACACTCCATCTCATGAGATTGTTGTTCAGACTAGTTTTAGCGACGGCTTCGAGTTTATTGATTGCATTCTGATAGTCACCCTCCAAGGCCGCGAGGTCTGCCACTTTCAGGTACAGCTTGTTTGCGAGGGCCTCAGCGTTGTCAGACTCGTACCATTGCGCGGCGGTGTCGTAGGCCGCGAGGGCTTTCTTCTGGTCGCCAATCTCCATCTCGTATACCTCTGCCAGGTTCTGTTGGTGGGTGGCTGCTCTTCTGAAATTACCTTTTGATGTGTAGTGTCCGATGGCTGTTGTGAGGACACGAGCGGCATCCTGAGGCGATTCTTTTCGGTAGACTTTGAATGCTTCGGTTAATGTATTGGCCATGTCGTCTAGCTCGTTTAATTTAGTTTGTTGGATTTGCGCCGCTTTCTCAAATGCCTGGCCAGCCTCATGGTCTATGGTAGAAAGCGCGTGTGAGCATGTGGTGATGCAACCCGGATGACGAGGAACTCTTGCTTACTCTGCTTCTGAACTCGAAAGGCATTTGCAGCTTGTGTGTACAAATCGGCGGCATTTTCCCATTTCTCACCACGTCCACCAAAGAGACTGAAGCCACCTGTTGCACCCTGTACGGCTTTATCGGCCTTTTGTAGTAATGCTCGTGGATCGGTGGCCATGGTTTGGAGAGGATGGAGGGGTCAAGTGGCAGCCCCAGGAGAGCAATCGGATATCGAGATGAGGAAGTTCAGAGCAGGACAATAGAGACAGAGATACTTTCGGAGGTAGTGTAGACTTCAAGGAACAATGAATACGTGGCTTGAGGACTGAGCCGAAGATTCCACCGATTGCTTGGAGTGTTTAGGCATGCGATGTCATTCTGAAAGTCTGGGGGACTTGACGCAGCTGCCAAGGAGTATACGAGGGTGCCTCATCACGTGCGAGGTACGAGGCAGGGAGGTAACTCGAGTATCCGCCACGTGATCTGATAGGTATGATGACCGATGGAAAGCTTTCCTATTCCCTAATGATGCCCCGCACGCATAATTGGAGATGCTTGGATGACTCGAACTGAGGAGAAAAAAAAAGGTTATCAATGTCAATGGCCTTCAAGTTTGGGTTCTTCTTAGCCTCTACTCCATGCTGTGCATACAATAGTTCTTATTGAAATTGGTTCCTCTCACCTCTGATTTGAAAGTATGGCGTCTCGTTTGTTCCATCGAACTACTACTTCCCAGCTGTCAAAGCTATCCTTGTCCTCCCCCACAACTAGAACCCAACTCACAAAGCGCTGCTATGCCTCTGCGGCCACTGTTCCCACGTCCTCCTCCATCCCAGTGCATGATCGAGCCCAGATGAAACATGAAGCATCTTTGCCCAACCCTGATCCCGCGGAAGATTCGCCTACTGCAGCCTTCCTAAATCAATCCACTCCTTTCATGGTTCCAACTTATGTTCGACCTCCTCCCATGATGGTCAGAGGAGAAGGATGCTTTATATATGACAATGAGAATAGGCAATATCTTGATTTCACGGCGGGAATAGCTGTAAATTCCCTTGGTCATGCTGATCCCGAGATCTCGAGGGTCATTGCCCATCAAGCACAACAACTGATCCATGCTTCAAACCTCTACCACAATCCATGGACGCCAACCCTATCGAAACTGCTGGTACAGGAGACACAGAAACAATCTCCAGGCTCAGAACTCAGACAGGTATTTGTCTCAAATTCTGGCTCGGAAGCAAACGAAGCCGCCATCAAGTTCGCGAGAAAGGTCGCCTACGCCAAAGGCCCTGAGACCGCCCAGAGAGGTATCGTCTCGTTTCATGGGTCATTCCACGGTCGAACATACGGCTCTCTATCAGCCACTCCAAATAAAAAGTACCAGGCCCCTTTTGGTCCCATGCTCGCTGGCTTCCGCTATGGAACATACAATGACGTTGGGAAGGTCAAAGACTTGATCACTGGGGACACTGCTGGAGTCATCGTTGAGCCCATCCAAGGTGAAGGAGGTGTCAACGTTGCAACTTCTGAATTTCTGCAAGCACTACGTAAGCGATGTGATGAAGTCGGAGCGGTTCTGATTTTTGACGAAATCCAATGTGGCCTGTCCCGCACCGGTGATCTCTGGGCTCACACCGCCTCTGGTGTCCATCCGGATATTTTGACAACCGCAAAAGCACTCGGGAATGGGATTCCTATTGGAGCCACTCTCGTTTCTGGAAGAACAGTCGCACCGTTCATCAAGACTGGAGACCATGGAACAACGTTCGGCGGAAACCCCCTCGCATGTCGAGTTGCCCATCATGTCTTCGAACGACTAGCCAAATCCAAGCTGCAAGATGAAGTCAAGATCAAGTCCAAATTGTTCTTAACTGCGTCTGAGACCCTAAATCAGAAATTTCCTGGTGTCATCACAGAAGTCAGAGGCCGAGGTCTTATTATTGGCTACCAACTAAGCGATGAGGCTAAACCAAAGGTTACGGAGATCGTTACCGCCGCCAGAGAACGAGGTTTGTTGGTTATCACCGCCGGAGATGGTGTCATCAGGATTGTGCCTCCGCTAGTCATTTCACAGGATGAGATCAACCGTGGTCTGGCCATCTTGGAGCAAGCTATGGAAGTCGTATTCAACAAACCAGTTGAGATCCCTCCAACCAAAGGTCAGCAGGAGTTTGGAAGCCGGTAAAGGAAGCATCTATCGATTCAAAAGTTAAATTGACTTTGCTCTTCTACTACTTGTGCTCTCCTTCGGGAATTTTCATTCCATGCCTTCCTACATAGTGTGGGTGTTCAGCACCAGTCCATTTCTGAGCCAAGATTTTGTCCTCATCCTCGAGCCGGAAAACTTCTACTTTGAGTGGTCGGCAACATTTGATCATGTCTTTCTCGCTATCACTCCCGAAACCCCATAACGAGAGGTCACCTCCTGGACAGGTCGACAAGGCCATGAGCAGATCCTGCTCGGCGAAGAACTCGATGAAATCGCCTGGTTCCGCTGGGCATGGATTCATGAAATATCTTCCTTTCGAATCCAGGCCTGTGACCTGGAACAGGTTGATGACATCGTGCACATCTGATTCATTGAGCCCGAACGGTATTACAGCTCGAGTCAGATTGGAATGACAGTGATAGTCATAAGATGCCCCAGGTCCCCCCAACAATGTGTTGATGTATGGGTCGCACCTCGTGCCAAGTAGATCATGGACGCGACCGCCAGTCTCGTCTTCACCATACCATGAAAGGGAATCCGCGATGATGGTGACCATAGGACGCAAATAAGGGAGGCACGACCACAGCCTATCATAAGTCGTCACATGCGACGAATGGAGTTGCTTGGTTCGACCAGGCCAAAACCTTTCTCGCGGATTATGAGCGTTCCAGATATTGAGATCACCTTCCTCTTTTGTCAGCACACAGATAATGGCAATCCGATGTCCGATCGAGAATTCTTGTACTCACCAACTTGAGCGCCTTCAGGAGTGCTGATCCGAATGATGCTCTTAGCTGGTGCCTTCCAAGCACGACCTGATCTGATAGGCAGAGTAAAAGACTCAACCAGAGTTCTAGACCCTTGCTGGATTTCCTGATACAAGTCCTTGTCTACCGATAGTGGTGATCCAGCCTTGGCGAGGTACGCTGGCACGGGAGCCCGCATCGGCTTTCTATCCCGTAGGCGCTCCTCGCCAGACTTTTGAGTAGCCATGTTATTGAAGTATAATATAATAAGCCGATTTTCTTGTTCTCTGGCAATGCAAGGAGACCTTGTAAATAGAAATCTGCCGAGATATTTCCCCAGAAAAGCGTGAAATCATTTTCATGCTTGCGCCTTGTGGCAGATTATTTATATTTTTCGAGGGAGAAAGTAGACCGGACATCTCCGTTGATGACATTATTTGTCTCTGAGAGGGCACGGATAGCAAGGAGTTCAGAATCGATTATGTGATATTCTATTCCGCGTGGCGCAGTGCTTCAGTCATAGAATGAGGTAGGGCTGGCTGGCCTGGGCTGGCCTGGGCTCATTGGCTTTACATTTCTCGATAGACTCTATACAATCGTTGTCTATGAAAAGTGGGTGGCTTACCCTAAGCTAGTATCTAGAGGTCTTCTCGCTCCGTGATAACACTCAATAGTGTTCTTCTCGCTACAAGGCCAGCCCGGGACCCGACCCTGTCAAGCCGTGAGATCTTCAGAACACCATGGGCCTCTTATCGACCGTCCCCAGATGCTAACCCTCCGCCAGCGCTCCATGTTCCGCTACTGCTGCCTGCGCTCGCGGTAGGTGTGCTCCCAGTGTGGCCCCCATTGCCGCCTGGCAAGGACGGGGCGGACGAGGATTCCGAGACACTCCCTCCCCCTCCCCTAGCGCTGGAGAAGCAGCTTCCTCCCTTGTCGCCCGATGGCTTGGTTAGTTGACTCATCGTTTGTCTCGTCCTTATTTTCTTGGGGTAGATAAATTTTACTGTTGGATTTGTTTTCGGGCTTTTGGTCGGATTCATTGGTCGAGAATCGGAAGCAAAGGAAGAGAAGACGGACAGAAGTGGAGAGTGACTCCTTTATGGACGTGGACCGAAGCCTGCGTTTGCTTGTCCGTTTGTCGATTGGTCCGTTCAGACGCTGAGGCTCGGCTGGTTCTGTGCCACGGTACCTTACGCTAGAATTCTTACATAGAGGTGAGAAATCTTCAGCTTCGAGGTTCACGTCCACCCATTCCGTCGTATATCCCTTGTGGTCCGTCCTCTTGACGATACTGCCGTAGTCAACGACTCAAAGAGTGTATATGTCCGGTTTGACCATCACACTCTCCCTCCAGTACCACACGCCTGCGAGAACGGCTGCAGGACCCACGGCAACGCTTCCGATGACGATCAAGGTACCGGAAGTGAAAAGAGAGACATTAGTCTTGCCCAGGCGCCTCAGATCCAACACGGCAAGATATGCCCACACCAAGGAGGCAAGGAATATGATCCAATAGTCTGCCTGGAATACCGCATGCAAGCCCTTGGTGACACCGGATTGTCCCCACTCGTGCGGCTTAACAAACACGTGCGTAAACGAATGTTGTGGGTCGGCCGAAGTAAGAATTATATAGAACGTGGCGATGTGCGCGGCAGCCGTCGCGGTGAATGCCGCGACGTAGATAGTATTGAGATACTTCACATCCGGAGCTGAGGAGGCACTCTCTTTCTTTGCTGGCGCTGGACTGCCCGAGGACAAGAATCTGGAAAGCAAGAGCAGAATACCATTGACGTATAAGGGCGTGGGTTGCCAAACGAAGATCAAAAACTGCTTCCTCTTTTGCTCAGGGTCCGAGTCATTGATGAACAAAGCTAGCGTCGGGATCAAATAGCCGATTACCAACGCTGGAAGAAGTGCCTTCGCATAGTTAAGCGGTACTACTCGCTGAGACGTCGCCCAGTACTTGACGCCTCTGGATTCATACAGATAGGCGATGTAGTAGAGTGGAATGATGATGGCCCCCCCAGCCGTTTGGTAAAATAACGCCCACAGGCTTGTACTGAATTGTGGTCAGTCAACGGGGTTTTCGTTTTGGATGACGAGGAGATCGCCCAGCCAGAATTATACATACTATCTTATGAATGCCAATTCATTTCGTTTCCTCACCGACTCGATCGACCAGATGGAAATGACCGAGAAGAATGATACCAAAAAGTAGGCCATCTGGACTTGGAATCCCACATCCCACCCAGCAGGACCAGCCATGAAGGCGGCGATAAGAGTTCCAATACCTTGGTCGACCGGTGCGATGCCCGTGTAGTCGGCGCGAAGATCTATGCCTCGATCGAGAAATCTGCGCGCGCTGACGATCTGGTCAAGATCATGAGACACTCCATTGTTTACCGTCGCAACGCGGATGAGCTGTGCTGCGACGACGGAAAGCGCTACGAAGATGCCAGTCAGGACCACCGTCGAAAATGATCCCCTGGCCGGGAGCACTTTTGCTGGCTGTGGAGTTTTGGCCATGACGTTTTGTTGCGAAACTGTGGAAGCTAAGTCAAGTCAGGGGATAGATTTCAGTATGATGATCCTTAAAATGATGAGAATTGAGTTCATGGAAGTCAGTTAGTTCGGCACCGTTTTCATTCTTTTAGGGGTGGAACCATGAATCTTCGCCAATCCGGATATGAGCTTATTGGTGGCCTTACTCGGAACGTGACGACGAAGCACCCGATGGTTCCGCTCTGTGGATGTTTGCCCAAGTCGGTTATTAATAGCCCAGCTCCATGACGGAGTTGGAAGCCTGATATACACTCAATAGTTGATTCCGAGTAATTAGTTGACCCTGCCGTAATTGGGTTGGCCAACTTACTCCGTAGATGCTTTGGGCTGCGAACCTTACTGGTGGTAATCCACAACTTATATACACTACGTCTGGGCTTTGAATACTCGGCCCTCACCTGCAGCTGCTATCTAAGACACAGGTAAAGTCTTTCCTTGAAGGTTGCATCAGTTTGTTCAGCCTGCTCCGTTTCCCCCGGGAACCAAGTTCGGTTGCTGAGAAGGCTATGAGCCAGAACGGAGTCGTCGCGATAGGCCCATAGCCGAGCAGTGGGTGGCTCTGCTCTGGGATGTTCTACTTTAAAAGGTAATGTCTTCGCCCTCCAACCATGCCTTTGCATGCCAGTAAAGCAGATTGTGATTATGGCCCGCTTCTCGACTTCCACCTTGCACACCGTTCTCCCGATTATGCCCGGGCATGTCCCTTAGCACCCGGACTCTCATCGTTTTCTCCTGGCAATAGGCCAAGTATCTGTACCCTGATGGAAACAGGTGAAGATGTTCCTGATCCAAGGTTGGCACCTGGTTTGGATCCACTGGAATCAATTTATCCTTCTCATACCAATGTCGGACGAATGCCGCCTGCCAAGCATCACCGTTCTTGACCCAGAAGAAGAGGAATCGACAATCGCTCTCCGCATCTACCTCGCACCCTGAAAGCTCAAACCGCTGTGTAATCGTTGCTTTCATCTTTGTTACGGCCCGATTGCCAGCCAGGTTGATATCCGTGCTGATGCCGTGGCATCGATGCATGATGAAAGCGCCCACATCCATGCCGCGCTTGGAAGCTTCGATGAAGTCTTTGTAGAACGTCTTGCCGGTCCAGGTGGTGTAGACATATGCGTCTGGGCTAAAAATGGAGGCGAAGTTCTCCCATTCACAGGCATCTCTATCTCCACCACGTTAGCAAAGACATGGTGTGCCACGAAGGAGCACTGTACCGATACATCGGCCAGCCTTCGGCCAGCTCTCGGAGTTTCATGCGTTCTAGCAGCAGGTGATCAGGGCCATTGTTCCGAACTGCATTTACAGGTCTTGACCCTAATGGCAAGCTGTGTAAATCGGCCATATTGATTGAGTATCTGTTGGGCGTCGCGTATCCGGTTCTATAGCCAAAGATGATGGAGTGTGTTCAACGGACCATACCAGAAAGGCTGGCTCGGCGACATGATCAATATTGATACATTGAAGGCCCAGCCAGTGTCCAGACCAAAGGACAGGAGTGCCATGCCTGCCAAAGATATTGCGGATGAGAACATGACCACCTTTACGGATTGCAAATGAAGAAAGGAGTAAACCGCTTGCAGAAATGCATATCCGGACGGCTGAAGTTAAAGCCGTACGGATATTTGCTTGCCGCATCCGCCTCGAGAGTAGCCCTGACTGTGGAGACTATGGAGTACTCGTAGTAGATCTCACAACGAGCGGTATCTTCTCCAACTTCATTGGACAACCGACTCGTCTCGCCGTTTCTTTAGATACCGCTCGCCGGACCCATCGTTTAGTTATACACCGAGTCTGTTGCACGTCATACGCAAGGCCCCACGGATCGAGAGAAGCATGGCGAAATCTAGGCTGGCTAAAGGGCCAAGAAAAGGGTGACACTTTCCGGGCTCATGTCTGCCCATCTCATAAACCCAAACCGTTGCACTAGGATATCTTTCTATGCGGCGAATAGTGTCGGCGATCTTCAGACGACTCTGCAGCCACCGTGAGCTATTAGCTGACTAGTAATCTAGCTCGTGACTATGATGCAGAGGCTAGAATTGGCCACTGCCAGCTCGAGCCTTGGGAAGCCCCAAGGCGGGCACCGCATCGAGACAATATTGCAGGCCGCCGCAGAAAATGGCATCAAGGGCATCGAAATCTGCTATGAAGCGTTACTTCATCACGCCGCGAGAAACGGAGTACCTCAGGAGGTGGTCAGCGAGCTCTCCATAATTCAAGCTGCCGAGGATATCAAAAAGCAATGTGATGCTCTCGGCCTCGTTGCCATTGTTTTGCAACCATTCGACTCCTACGAAGGGCTTCTCGACAATGAGGCACACAGTCGCGCTATTCGTAGATGGTCGCATTGGCTCGTCCTCGCCCACACACTTGGCTGCGACATGATCCAGATGCCTTCCAACTTCATGCTCTCGGGCACGACTGGAGACTTCGACAGAGTCGTTGCCGACTTGGTCCAAGTCGCCGACCTAGCCCTCCGCGTATCTCCACCTGTCCGCATAGCATACGAGAGCGTTGCATGGGGCACTCATTTCGATCTATGGGAGCAGAGCTGGGACCTCGTCAAAGCGGTCGACAGGCCTAACTTTGGGCTCTGCTTGGACACTTTCCACATTGCTGGCCGGGTCTGGGGTGATCCTTCGGCCGCCGAGGGGAAAAATTCAAATGCGGATGCAGAGCTCGCTGCTTCTCTGTTGCGCCTTGTACGCAACGTTGACCAGACCAAGGTGTTCTATGTTCAGCTATCTGATGCGGAGAAGCTGTCGAAGCCGCTGGTGGCAGGTCATCCTCTCTATGTGGAAGGCCAGCCATGTCGAATGACGTGGTCACGAGCTGCGAGGCTTTTCCCATGTGAAGAGCATTTTGGAGGATACCTGCCAGTCCTGGATGTCGTGCATGCGATTGTTAATGAACTGGGCTATCGTGGATGGATTAGCATGGAGACTTTCTCGCGACACCTCTGGGAATCAAATCCAAATATCCCAAGCAATTATGCTAGACGCACTGCATTGTCATACCAATTAGTGTACGAGAAGCTGGGCTGGGAAAAGTTGCTAGATGGAACTGGGGCTTGATACCTAGGACACCTGTGCCGTCAGCACGCGTTGACGAGCCGTGTTATATGCGTCGGTAGGAGCGAGTTTGCAATTAATGTGAATTTTGTTCTACCTAAGTAGCGGTGTTGTCTTATCTCTATTGTAAAATCTCCGTGGTCTCAATCTCTTCTGGAAACCGAATGCCATTTTGCGCCCTTACCTGGTCCATGACCTGCATAATGACCATACTTTCCGCTAGATTCTGGTGCTGGCTCTCCTTTCGACCGTCTCTAAGCGCGAAGGCGCACTCGTCTGCCTCCCAGAACATGCCATGGCCCTCACCTTCTTGATTCAGAGTACCTCCAGCTTCATTGCGGAATCCATTATGCCAGCCGCTTCCCAGTCCGGGGCCCGGCTGTGGCCATTCCGTTTCCTCCACATTACCATTAGTGAAGACGACTCTGGTTTTGGTAGGGCGGAATGCAGGGTGGAAGACTTGAATTTCGCCCTTGGAACCTTGAATCCGTACTGCTGGTCCTGCTGTCCCTTTCCTATCTGGATCTGTGGACGTGCGAGCGCTAGCCGTTGCAATCCCATGAGCGTCTCCGTCGGTTTCTCTCGGGAAGGTCAACAACATCGACACCTGCTCGTCCGTACCAAGTCGATATTTGCGAAGAGTGCTCAAAACAGCCGGTGCTACCGGATTTGTCTGCGTGGTGAACAGGGTCTGAAATATCCAGGTCAAAGCATAGACTCCAATATCCAAGAGCACCCCACCCGCCAGTTGCGGACTTACTAGGCGGTGAGTGTCCGGGAGCGACTCAGGAGATGATAGCATGCTCAGGTCGGCAAACGTACGATAGACAGTCCCGATGATGCCGGACTCAATTTGACGTCGCACATAGAGCGAGAGGGGGAAATATCTTGTCCAGGCCTACGATTGCTGTGAGAATTAAGGCAATATCAAAGCACATAGGGCCAACGTACGGCTTCCATTAGAAACACATTCTTCTCCTTCGCCTTCCTAATGAGTACCTTCAACTGCTCAGCGTTGGTAGTGAACGCCTTCTCACATAGGACATTCTTTCCAGCTTCGAGACATAGCATGCAATGTTGATAATGGTGGCTATGCGGCGTCGAGATGTATATGATGTCAACGTTCGGATCTTGAGCGAGCTCTTTGTACGAGCCATAAGCAACCGCGGAACTTGGTGCACCGATCTTATCAAGAAAAGTGCGCGCACGCGATTGTGAAGATGATGCCGCTGCTGCGACGATGACATGCTCAATCTCGCGAACGCCTCTTGTTTCAGGGCTGAGGAGGATGTCCCGACCAAATGTCTCTGCGATACCACCCGTGGCTAGCATGCCCCATTTGACCTGAAATTTTGCCATGCTGAGCCTAGCAATGCACAGATTCTTTCACATCCGCACATGTCTTAAAAGGTCCAAGCAAGATGTTGGTATAATACAGATTCTACTACAAACGGCAGTGGACTCTTCCGGTACCGTGGACGGCAAAAGGCTAACGAGGGTGTTGCGGCTAAGCATTGGCCAAGTTCTAATGGAGGCCGCCGCGATCCACGTGACGGTGGACAACCCATTGCCGTCGACGAATGCACGTGTGATATAATAAAATACGTGAGCGTGGTCAGTACTGTACATTTATCTCTCAATCAAGCATCATGGCCCCCAATCACCTACTCGAGGGTAAGGTAGCGCTGATCACTGGAGCTGCCAGTGGTACGTCCAACGCAACATATTGGCAGTGTGAAGGCGCTGACTCTGTCGTTATCTCTAGGCTTTGGGGAAGGTATCGCAAGACTTTTTGCCGACGAAGGTGCCAAAATTGTGGTCACAGATAGTGAGTTGCCCATACCTAGGAATGATTCTTCCGTTCCTATCAGAGCGATTGGTCCTGTTCTGTCAAACCGCGGTCTAGGCTAACGAGGATCCGCAGTCAACGAGGCGGGTGGCAAAAAGTAAGACTCGGTCGCGCGACGACTGCATTCAGCTTTATTGACTATTACGACAGAACTGCAGAGGAGATTGTGGCTTCAGGCGGGAAAGCCGTTTTCGCAAAGACCGACATCACTAGAGAAGAAGACTGGAAGAAGGCTCTAGAGATCGCCAAAACCGAGTTCGGCACGGTGGACATCCTCGTCAACAACGCCGGGTGGACTTACAAGAAGAAAGACACACTTACCGTTACAGAAGCTGAATACGACCGTTAGTCTAGCATTAGCAAGGTGAAATGCTGAATCTCCGCGCTAACGCATCCTGTCAGGCGTTTTTGACATCAATGTGAAGAGCATCTTCCACTCCGTCAACATCATTCTACCACATCTCATTGCCCAGGGCTCGGGGAGTGTCGTCAACATTGCATCCTGCATTACCTGTAAGCCGACCAACGGGCTGATGTGGTACTCAGCCACCAAAGCCGCCGTCGAGGTCATTACTCGTTCTCTGGCTCGGGAATACTCTGGAAAGGGCGTCCGCTTCAATGCCGTCTCGCCTTCTATCAGCGAAACTCCTCTAATGCGAGAATTCATCGGCGAAGAACCATCGACCGAGTCATTATCTTCTGCGGCGGTTGAGGTTCCAATCGGACGACTTTGCACACCATTGGACATCGCGAAGGCAGCCCTATACTTTGCCTCATCCTACTTCAATGATTTCCAAACGTAAGTGAGCAGCTTCTTGATCGGCTACGTTGGACTAACCACTGTATCAACTATCAGAGGGATCATTCTTAGAGCTGATGGAGGACATTATGCGTAAATAGACACCTTGCGATCACAGAGGCGATATTCTAGTCTAACTACGCACAAACACTCGTCACCAATAGACTAGTAATCTATTACCGTTCCTCTAACCTTCCCAAATAACCTCTATCCCCTGTGCTTGTCATCACAGAAAGTTATAAAGTTCATATTTCGTCCTAGCCCGGCCGTACCGTGCCATTTTTACAGATAGACCTTGGGAGAGACGTACTAATTTGGCAATTATACAACACGAAAGCTGGGACAGATTAAGATCCGTTACCTTGCTTAATTGAGAGTCTATATAAATTATTCGACTGTGTGTACGAAGATTTTCCTCAGAACAGAAGTGGAGCGAACTAAGTATATGATGATGAGTTCAGGTCAGTGTTGATTTGTCTTGGTAGCAGCTCAGTTTGCCATTGGATACATCGTAATTCTCATGCAGTGGAATCGGTAGATGCTTTCATTATTTCCCAGGTGCCGGCTTTTGTCTAATGTACACAGATTTCTCCTCGAGCCAGGACAAAACTGCATTTGAACCCTTAGAGCGTCCAATGCCCGAGGATTTATAACCACCAAATGGTAACTCATATGAGTCGAATGGCGATGTGCAGTTGACCCCAACATTGCCAGCCTCTAAAGCACGAGCAACACGAAGAGCTGTGTCGATATTAGAGCTGAAGACCGAGGCGTACAAGCCATCTGCAAACTTTGTCAGCTATCATGTGGCAGTCGAGGATCCTCCGAGACCTACATTCGGTATCATTGGCACGCGCCACGACTTCTTCTTCGGTATCGAACTCATGCAAGACCAGGACTGGTCCGAACACTTCTTCCACATTAATGCGACTGTCGTCCGGCACCCCTGCAAAAATAGTTGGTTCAATGTAGTTTGAGCCGGTCTGTGACTTTTCTCCGCCGGTTAGGACAGTCCCATCACGTTTTCCAATATCTAGATAGCTCGCGACTGCTTTCGCCTGTGACACGTCGGCTTGCGGACCAAGGTCTGTTCCTTTACTGTTAGGAGAGCCTAGCCTTAGCGATTTGAACCGAGTCACCAGTAGCTTCTTGAAGGAGTCTGCGGCCCCTTTCTGTACGTATACACGGGAAGAAGCAGTGCAGACCTGACCGGAATCTGGGAGGTGTATTAGCGGAAATATGGCGAGAAGCAAGTATTTAAGGGACATACTGTACGTTATTGACGTTGTAGCCAGTTCAGCTGCCGACTCGAGGTCGGCATCGGCGAAAACAATAAGGGGAGACTTCCCTCCCAGTTCGAGACAAACGGACTTAAGGTTCGAACGAGCAGCCGCTTGCATGACAGCTCGCCCAGCTCGGACAGATCCAGTGAAACTGATTTTGCTAAAAATCTCATTAGCACATGCCTTGTCCATCAAGGAACGCTAAGCTTACCGAATCGTCATGTGAGAAGAGAGCAACTCGCCGGTCGGTCCTGCGCCTGACACTACGTTTACAATTCCAGGAGGGAAACCTGCATCGAGCGCGAGTTGAGCGAGGAACAACCCCTGCCCAAGTCGAATTAGTTGAAGGCTAGGTTCTATTGATGGGGGTGAAGTACACTTAACGGACTCTTCTCTGACGTCTTCAAGATTATCGCGTTACCTGCACCGCACGCAGGGGGTACTTCGTGACACCACTGTATCGAAATTGTTTAGCGCACGCCAGTCTTCCCTCTATCGCCCTGGGCCAACTCACAATCATGGTGGGAAAGTTCCAAGGAACAATGGCGGCAACAACACCAAAAGGCTGGCGGAGTGAGATATTGAGGTGGTGAGGTGCATTTAGAGACGTTTGCCCGTATGCCTGCTCGACTTGGCCGGCGAAGAAATTGGTAATGTCGCATGCCGTCTCAACCTCTCCGCGATGTGCAGAGATCGGCTTGCCCATGCATATTGCGTCAAGCTAAAGTCAGTGTCAGTATCAGCCTTCAGGATCACGATGGCATCTTCCTACCTCCGCCAACTTGGATGCATTTTCTGCCATCAAGTCGGAGAACTTCCTGAGTATGCCTGCGCGCTTGCTGGCGGCAAGAGCGGCCCAGGCAGGCTGAGCTCTCGCCGCCGCCGCGACTGCGAAGGAGATGTCCTCTTCGCAGGCGGCAGGAAGGGTGGCAACCACCTTGCCATCGCAAGGGTTCTAAATTTGGCGTCAATTTCTATGTGTATCAAGAAATGATTTGGAACGTACAGTGACGTCAAAGGTTTTGGAGCTTTGCCTGTCGACGAACTGTCCGTCGATAAAGTGCCGGGTCTCGTATTTAGCCATGATAGCACATGCAAACTGTAATGAGAACAACGGTTCTCAAATTGGACTGAATGGTTCCGATATAAGGCTTCAGGAATTGAGGTGTGGGACTTGCGTTTCCATTTGGTCGGTTATGAAATCAGCCGTGTGGTTGAAGGAAAAGATGGCAGCTCCGTGGGTGGTGCAACCACCGAAATGCTTGAACAGCAATAGAGCGCAGAAACCCTTCAATGCGTGCTAGTACGGCATAGACAATTGACCATCAAGCATCGTCCTTGATCCGACAGCATTGAGAGCGAGGCAGTTATGGCTAGAGAAGCCAGTATCGTTCCCTAGGTCTTGGCGTCATGGGGTGCGATATGGCCATCAATCTTATTCAACAGGGCTTCAAGGTGGCGGGCTATGATGTGATCGAGATCGCCATTCAGCGACTGGCACCTGCTGGAGAAAAAGGGCCTACGAGCCCTAGATCTGCTGTCGAGCAAACGAATGTGCTCATCTGCATGGGGGCTACAGAGCAGCAGGCGTCGTTGTGCTTGTTTGACGTCGATGATGGAGCTATTGCCAGCCTGCAAATAAATGCAACCATCTTTCTCTGTCTGACCGCCTGGCCAGACTTTGCCCGCAGGGTTCGCTCCGGTCTCGATTGTAGACATCGCGAAGACGTCGTCTTACTTGACTGTCCTTTGTCGGGTGGGGCCGATCGCGCGGCGGAGGGAGCACTTTCGATTCTCTAATCAGGCACAAGACACCTTTCAGAGATTTGCAAGCATGTACTTCATGGGTTGAGCTCGCAACTTTACGAGGCAGGTGCTCAAGTCGGGAATGCGTTTGCGCTAAAAAGGGTGCATCAGATCCTGGTAGGCGTTCATATTGTAGCCGCTGCGAAGACCATTGGGCTAGCTACAGTAGCTGGCCTGGAAATTTTACCGCTTCACAGCAAGATCATGAGCACAGAGGGGGAAACCGGTTATTTGGCCAGCGCGTACCTCATATAATGGCTTTAGATGAGCCCCAATTCTCATCACTGGGCATCATTTGAAGGACTTGCTTACCTTCCATGCATAAAAAGGAAGTCAGCAAGAAATGCATGGTTAACACACTGATCGATGAATGTAGATTATGGTGAATGCCTATGGTCAGGCAAGACGGTATCCATTACTTCTTTCGTCGACGGTGGCACAAATCTTCTTATCTGTGATCAGTGCTGGACATGGCTCTGAGGGCGATTGTGCAACCCTGCGCCTTTATCTACTTGGACGAATAAACACATCAGCAGAATTTCAAAAGAATGTTTGTATCAAAAAACAGCCCACGTCTGTACCCGCTTCGGCCATCACAGCCTCAACCGCAAGGAATATTCTCTGAGGAGTACACCTCGTAGCGGCCGTGGATGCTCTATCCTTCGCCTGCGGGCTTAAACTGGACGTAAAAGTATTTCACCATTTTGTCAAAGGTGGACCCGAATCGAGTGTGATGTTTCAAAAGTATAGTTCCCAACGATGGCGGTCAAATTCCTCTACAACATCCAAGCTGATCGATTGAAATGAGGAGGTACTCTCGGAACTGGTATGTAAATCGAACGACCGCCAAGAGGAAATGAGCTGCCTGACTCAGGTTCTGTGTCTAGGAATCCGCCTTTCGGGCAAGCCGCAGCCATTCATGATCCTCTCCCGCTATGTGCGGCAGCATTGCAGAGTTTCTATGTCAGTGTTCAACAACTTCGCTAAGTTGCTCAGAATAAAGACGAAAATTGACCCTGAACGGCAGAACGGAGATAAAGGCAAAAATCAAGCCCAGAAACTTTAAGACAGTGACAGAACATTGCAATTCAGCCTGCTTACCTATCGCGACCTGAGATATCTGATTGGTCTTTGAGGTAGATACGTAGCGTTAGAAATCAATTCTATGCCGAAAAGCGCATCACGGAGTTATTGATGGTCGTTGGCGGGTTACAAGATTATGATGCAACGGAAGATTGATCGGATAGCGTTGCGTGTGGCAGAACGAGTATATATATAGCCGGCTGGCTTGGGGTTAACTAGCCTCATTCCACAATCGTGGTATTGAGCTGTAGCTTTTTTTTTGTGCGATTCTGCATTTCCTTCTTTCTTAGAGCCTGAAGCATCTGTTATTTTATTTCCAGAACCTCAATTAGCAGCGCTATGGGCTTAGCAACAGCTTCCCTGGGTCTTGATAAAACGCCACGCGAATTGTATCTCATTGGCATCGGTACAGGGCATTCAGTTGCACCTCCTATGCATAACTATATCGCGAAATCTCTCCATCTCCCCTGGACCTTCCATACCAAAGACTGCTCGACGATCGACGATTGTATGAAGCTGCTGCAATCAGACATATGTGCTGGGGCTTCTATCACTATGCCCTATAAGAGTATGATCTTAGGTCAACTCAATGAGGTAGATGAGCTTGCAAGAACTCTGGCGGCATGCAACACGGTGTGTAAATATCGCAGTGGGTCGGATCGTAAACTCATTGGCACCAATGTCGACTGGTGTGGCATTTCAGGGTCGCTTTTAGAAGGCTCCTTGCCACTCTGTCTACCTTCAAGCAAAGTCGCACTTGTAATCGGTGCCGGTGGTGCAGCGCGAGCCGCGATCTATGCACTGTCGGCACAGATCGGCTGCCGTGAGATCTATATCTTGAATCGGGACGAGCAAGAAGTGCTAGACCTCATGCGAGATGTCGACGAGCACTACGACTCCCAGCCTCGTATCACTCATGTCAAATCAATACAACATGCTCGAACACTAAGGACACCAGTCTACATCGTCGGCACTGTGCCGGACTTCGAACCAGTCACAGCAGAGGAGAAAATGCTGAAAAGCCTGCTCACGATATTTCTTGACCGACCAGAGAAGGGAGTTATGCTTGACATGTGTTACAAACCGCGACGGACAAGACATCTCATCCTGGGCGAAGCATACAAGTGGCGGACAATCGAAGGCACCCACGTCATCGGCCATCAGGCTGAGCTTCAATGGAGAGCCTGGGTTGGTGATGAGGGACTTCAGATACTCGACAAACAAGGGATGTGGGAATGCTTGCAGCGCACTGCTGATGAAAGCGCGATTGTAAATCCAAGGCGCAAGTGAGGAATTCTTTTCGTCACTTCGCAGTTCTAATCTTTCACGTGCAAAATGTGTCACATAGAGGCAGGCACTTGTGTACTGGCCAGTCAAGCACATGAGCAATGATAAAAAGACTGACATTCGCCCGGGCATAACTTAAGAATGAAAACTTCCCTGGACACAATCTGGACACAAGGTTGAGTAGGGTTCTTCGCCAACCTACTGTTCTGAGAATGGCACTCCGGAGCTAGTACTCTTGCGTGGTATTTCGGTTGTAGATTTACGCGACTTCCACAGGCTCATTGCATCACCCAGCAGCAGATTGCATCGTGTTCTAGAGACTTCGGTGGTTTCCAGGAGGATGGGCCTGACCTTCTAAGAGTTGCTTTCTGTCCATTGAACTCATCCATCAGTGTTGCTCCGTACCCAATGAATTATTGCCAGAACCTTACGTCCTTTCCCAGCGCCGTATCGGCTTTCTAGAGATGCCTGCCTATCATATTGGTAGGACTCCACTCAAGACACGGTCTTGTTTACCAGTAAAGGCACGCTGTATAAGGGGTGATACTGTGCTAAAATCTGATAATGCTTTCCCGTCTTAAAAGACTCATATGCAGAATCCGACCTCATCTTATGGAAGTCACCAGTGGATACTCTTGCGGACATAATAGCGGGTCACTCCATGTCAACTCGTCTGCTATGTTGTGTCACCTGTTGACGAATTCGCGGCAGGTCCCAAATACGTTGATGTAGGAAGTCCGCTAGCAGCGACGGCGTTTCGGGCAAAGGGATTCGACTTGGCACTGGTTGCAGTGCTTGGTTGAGCGGAAGACGTTCCAACTTATGCGGAAGATCCTGAACATGTGGAGTACGTTGCCGCTGTAAAATTTCGGTCAGTTGAAATGATAAGTACCAATATGAAAAGGCACAGGATAGTTGAATAGCTTCGACCCAAGTTGTTTGACGAGGCTGTAGTGTTCGATCTACCATTCCCCTGAGAAGAATTTGATTACACCAACCGCAATGGAGGTCATGGGCTGAAACGAGGGAACGCTCGTGGAAGAGCTTCTTGACGTATTCTTCGACATTTTTATACCGCAGTGGTACACAAAGTACAAGATTTAGAACACATTAATTATCATTTGGTGACAAGGTATCGAATACCTCGTCCTTTGCACCTAACTTTCCTCACCCTGTCGCATTTTGTTTAGCACCGACATGCTTCAAAACATCTTGGCTGTACTGCCGGAGGCAAGAGTCCCACATCACACTTCGAGGCGCTGGAGTACCAGTAAAAAGCTCAAATTGGGCAGCGCCTTGTTCGAAGAAGATCTCGATCGGATCTATCGTCACCCAACCCCGGCGCTCTGTTTCCTGAGTTTGATGTGCCGTTGCCGGCTCAAAATCATGGTAAGACACCTGCAATATTGTTAGAAGCCATAGACAAAAAGAGTGGATTCCACCTTACATCAACAAGAAGGCCTCCAGTGTCATTTTGAAGCCAGTGTTCTGGTACTCTTAGATTGCGGTGACCACTTTTCCCAGACTGACGTGTTGGTATAGTATATACAACAATACTGGGATATGAATATTCCTTGGGCCAGACGTCTTCTCGGGATTTGAGGATGTGGATGACAGGTCTCACAGCAGTCGATGTGCCGCTTGAACTGACCATCGAACCACGAGAATCATGGTTGCTTTCACTCTTGGAGTTGTAATGCTTTGCCAGTGTCTCTGCGTTTTCTAGAGTTCTATTGAGAATGAAGATGTTGCTCACTCCCAGCCGTGCCATGGCGTAAATTGCTGCCCGGGCAATACCACCAGCTCCAATGACAAGGCTTGTTGTCCGGGGAGATGGAGCATTAGCCGGGGATATGTACCTGGATATACAGGCATAGATGCCCATCCAATCGGTATTGGCGCCATGCAAAGCTGTAAGAGGGCCAGCTCGATTCCTTTGAGACTTCGAGAATGGATGCCCTAGTGATTGCTGGCTGTCTTGGTGACGGATAGGAAGCAATGTATTGACAGCTCCAATTTCTCGTGCTGAAGGGCTCAAAGAGTCAACTGTGGACAAGATCTCTCGCTTGAAGGGCATGCTGATACTCGCGCCACCAAAATAGTCGTCCTGTATGAGAGCACGTACGTCTTCCAAGGATTTGCACTGCCGAATATCATACCTGTGAGGCATCCAGCATGCTTGGAACCCGGCCTTATGTACGGCTGGCGAAAGGCTGTACTCGACATCCGCGCCAAATACATAGAAACTGAGCGCATTTAGAGTGCGCGTGGCATATAGTATCTGCTGAATCTCTTGCGTGGTGATAGTCGGTGCTGTCGACGGTGCAGCCTTTGCTCTTTCCAAAGTTTTGCTGGCAAGTAACAGTGGATGTGTTACCGGCGTCATGGAGGCGTTCAAGGCACACGAAATGCTGCCCAACGTACCCACATTATAAGCAACTACCGGAATCCCACCTGGGTTGCTGTTCATCCTCGACATGAATGCGAGACAAGAGAAGTTATCTGATCTCGATTGCGTCGATCGGTAGAGACGTATGACATGACAGCCAACCTCGGTTGCTCTTCGATAGATGTTTTCGGGCTTCGCCCCTGACCAGAAGCCGTGATGGGCATCCCGATCGTAGAAGTTGCCTACAATCTTGGCGCGGCCTCTCGATAATATCAAACTCTGGATGTCCTCATCTGGACTCCGAAGGTCGACCGTTAGAAACTCCGGTGCGAAACGTAGACCAAGATGAAGCAGAGCAAAATATTCTTTGATGACGTCTGGTGTGAATTGAGTGTCTTCGATGCAGTCCAGACTGAAATGGCAAATAATCGGAACCGCAAGACGACGTCGGATGACTGCCATTGATCGACCTAGGCTCTCGCACGTCGTCGGTATGATTGAAGCGTTCAACCCAGGCAAAGTCAGCTCCACAACAATTTCTACGGCATCGAGGCCGCATTCGAAATCATTCAAGCTCACACTCGGTGACTCAATTAAATCAATTGGTATGGACAAGGCCATGGTGTTCGGCCGAATTTCAGGCTCAAGAGGGTGGAGGGTGTGGAACAGACCTTCAGATGAATTCAGTCCCAGTGCGGCGTTTAGAAAGCAGAGCAGATCTTTCTTGGTGTTTTGAAGCGTCTGGAATGATTTTCGTCGAAACACGCGATCAGGCAGGATGTTGTGGAGTTCATCTTCCGAGAGCGATTGAGCCTCGCTTCCCCATCGCTCTGCGAGGTTATAGTATTCAAAATTAGACACTTGGTGATGGATCGCATGCATTTCCTGTATCACGTCCAACAACCGTTCTTGGTCTTTGAGGTCAAGACACTTTCTGATCATGTCATCCTCCCGACCAACACAAATGACAGCGTGCGATCTGCTGAAATTCTGCAAGAGTTCTCTGCCTTTCCCTACCACGAAATGAGGTCCACAAGCAATGACACAATCCCTTTCATATCGCGACAACATTTCTCTCAGAACCTCAACCTGACGCAGTCGATGCTCCTCTATGCCGTGTGCCCTTCGAAATGCGGATGGAGTCATGCCAGTCGCTTGAGTGAAATAGTGGTCGGCATCCACAACCTCCCTGCGGAGGGCCGTGGCTGCGATGACTGCAAGACTGGACTTTCCATTGCCTCGAGGACCGATGAAAGCGATTGAGGCACCCCGTTCAAAGTTCCTAACCTGTCGCTGAACGGGCGAATTTGCTGTCGACAGTGCAGGTGCACCAGGTGTTGAGATATCGGTTCTGCGACGCTTAACGATCATATTTGACGTGGTCGGATTGGAATTATTTCGACTTCCAGGATCGTCCCAAGATCCTGCTTTTCGCTTCCTTGGCTCATCGTCTGAACTGATGGACTGAGCTTTGGGTGAGTTCTGAAGGAATTGGGAAGTGCTGATTTGCGTAGTTGCTGTTTGCATTAGGAACAGGAGTACGAATCATGAGTTCAGTGCCTGAGAAGTGGTAGTGATGGGAAGTCTGAGGCTGCTTGTAGATGCAAAGCCAAGGAGTGAATTCCATGTCAGCAGTGGTACCGTACTTTGAACTGTCTGGGAGGAGGCAAGATGGCGCTACTACAGGCTCGGCTAACTCATTATCCGCATCGTTGAGGAGTTGGGATTCGTGGGGTCCTTTGCCTGGGACTCGGCTGACTGTTCATCCGTGCGAGAGTGGCGAAAGTTTCTGCATATGGTTGTCAACCTTGACGAGACCTCGCGACTCGAACATTGTTGGAAAATTGCGGTCTCGAGCGATAGACATCTCATTAGGACGTGAGCCTCTGTAGCTCTGTTCCAGGGTCGTGGGGAATGATGCTGCTTGCGCCAGAAGGTGCATCGCGGTTTGCTTGGGCAGCACAGAAGGACACCTACTAAGAACGACAAGCGTCTCTTCCGTTGCTTCTGCAATTCACTCATCAACATGTCAGACGCTGACGAAGGATGTCAAATGGCTAAAAGACGTCGGATCGCGCGAGCGTGTGACCAGTGTCGTCATGGAAAGCTCAGATGCGATGGACGCAGCCCTCGCTGCACCAAATGCCTTGAGACCAAGAAGCCTTGCTCATATGGTGCTGCAGCAAAGAGGCGAGGACTCAAGACAGGTTACGTTCGGGCGCTAGAGTCTCTCTGGGGACTTGTGCTCCAAAAGATCGACGGCAGCGAGGCGGCGATCGAGTCGCTCTTAAGCAGAGCATCTGTGCTGGACTTCCGTGTACGAGATCAGAATGGAGACAGTACAAGCGGTCCTGAGAGCCTTCTAGCATCTTGGAAGGCAAGCAAGATCCCAGAAAGGATAAATCATCTCCTTGTGTCGACAGAGGACTCTGAAGATGAATCAAATACACTCCCACTCGAGACTGCGCGAGAATTAGACGAGCACCGTCCTGCAATTTCGTGGAAGTCATTCGCACAGCAACCCAAAGAGCAAACAAATATCCCAAAAACTGCTCGAAATCCTGCCGAGACAGATATGGTGGAGCTATCAGAAACTTCTTTACGCGGAGATGAGATGAGAGTGACGACAGGTTGTGACAACACCAGCGTCTTGCTCGGCCAGCCAACACTGCCTCATGTACTTAAGCTCCCTGCTGCTTCGTCACGCTTACTTGATTGGTATTTCACTTACACCCATTCTTGGCTGCCAATCGTGGAGCGACATGTGGTATTCCGAACCTTGTTTTCATATCCTGCTGGAGGTTCTATAACGAGCCGGCAATCCTCAGATTCTGGACAACATGCGGTTTTGTGGGCAATCCTGGCCTGCGCCTCGGTGGAGCAAGCACAGACGGATGCTACTCCAACTTCACTTGCTCAGTCGACCCAAAGCTCCGAAGTGATTTACGCGTGCGCGCGGAATCTCATCCCATGGGAGCACGAGCATGGGTATTCCCTTGGACATGTGCAAGCCTTGACAATACTTGCAGTATATCGCTGGGTTATTCAAGACTATAAAGCTGCCTGGTCTCTTATTGCACACGCAATCTCAGTCGCTGTCGCCATCAACCTTGATGAAATTGCTAGCACTTGGCCGGTTCAAAAATTCCCTGCCGACCGTGTCTGGCTTGGATGTTTCGTGGTGGAATCTCTTTTGGCGATGCGCTTGAGAAGAGAGCCTTACATGAAACTACAGAATGTTGGACGGTGCCTTCCAATCGATGAGTCTGGTATGGAGGAGTGGGAACCGTGGCGACCCCATCGCTCACATTCAGATGCTGAACCAAGTCTACCCTTACGCACCCTGAGTACATTCAACCAACTAGTCCATCTCGTCTGTGTTGCTAATAATTCTCTGCACTCAGCTCCCGAAAATGCCTGTCTGCAACACGCCACAAGTTTGAATAGCTGGGTAGAGCAGTTACCAGACCATTGCAAACAGTCCGGCTTCCAAAGCGGTCGCAATGACACAGCTCTAATTCTGACACCCAATATTGTCAACTTAGGTTTTGTCTACATGTCTCTAGCGATCCGCCTCTGCGTGGACCCTTCAAGCCACCAGGGCGAAAGAACAGCTCTTGGCGAATACGCAGAGCTCATCAACCAATTCTGTAATTCTGATGCATCAGAACGGCTGCCCCCATCATGGGAGATCCTTGCGAACGCAGCATCGGTGTCGGAAAACTTCCCGATTCAGTCGCGAGAAGCATTCTTGAGACAGCTTCAACAAGACCTTACGAGGCTAGGTTTTAGTAGTAGTGGTACAAGGTCGAAGACGGCCACGAGCAGCGATCATGTTCTTCATCCGTACGACGGACCAGGGCTTTCCAGCGTTCTAGATCCGGACACAAACACAATTTTGGCCTCTCGAACGAACCCTGCCACTCAGAGAGACATTATTTCTGTTGTTCGAGAACGAAGTGGGAACGCGGGCCAGCCATTCTCACAAAAAAGATATGACGTATCCGGTGTCGCGAACTCTACCCGCATATCAACAGCAGGACTAGAAGAGAGCATAATGAGGCCCGTAAACTCCACTCACAGATCTCCATCAGCGCCAATTGCGCAACAGCACTTCCCGCACGAAACGATCCCAGCTGAGGATAAAAATCTGCCCCCAGAGCTAATAGCCTCAGCGACCGCGCAAGCAACAGACTTCATCAGTTCCGAGATCCTTCCCACTATGACCGAAGAGGATCCATTCCTAGACTACTTTGAGCTGTTTGATGATGAAGAAATGTTTGTGTTGCTCAGTCGGCAATGCCATTGTTGTATTGATGCTAACTCCTGCTGTAGGCAAAATCAATCACATTTCATGAAAGCCCTCGGATATAACGTCTGAACAACAAAATGCGAATAAGGCATTTGGTCTCAATACAGACACAGCTCGCTCAACACCGCGGAATTTTTCTCAGTGCAACTTTCGCCGCGCCCTCGTGTGTGTCAGATCGTCTTGTACAATTTCAACCTGTGTCGCATACCTCTGCGTGTGTCTATAATATTCCAATTTTCTTCAGGACCGCCCGGGATGAATGCAATATCCAGGTCGGAATAAAATATACTAGTCTCATAGATAACTTATCCGCAGCGGGCAAAGTCGGCATGTGCAACACTGTGTTCACCGATCCTGACCAAGATTTCTTTCTTCCCTGACGGGATCAAGTCCAACCCCGATGCCTCGGATATCTTTTCATCCGTGGTACTGAGATTAATCTCAAAGTTACTGTGACACTAGTTTCATCATCTTGCGTACTGCAGAAGTTGCCAAGTGCAGCTTCTCTGTAGACATAGAAGCTGTCCGTGAAATGTGCGATGTTGGGTCAAATGCAATCTAGACGCGAGGCTTCGACAAGACTAGCTGAGAACACGAGAATGAGGCATAGGATTTTGCCGGTCTAGACTACAACTCTCCCACCAACTTTTAGCATCCCAAGCCGAAAAAGAAGGCACGCTGACTCGGCTATGTCTTCTCTCTTGGTTTCTGGGGAACGTGGGTTAATTTGCGGGGACTAGCTGAAGCGCTCCTATAAAGACACCTTGAGGCATTCATCCAGCACTTCCATTCTAGAGCACAGCCAGAAGCAACACTCACCCTGTTTTCCCCTGTCACGTAGACAGAAGGTCTCAACGCCAACATGCCTGGAGGAGCGCCGATCGTCATCACAGGAACAGCCGATACAGCTCGCGTTGAAGCTCCAGTCACTGTCAAAGCCTACTTGATATGTGCCTTCGCTGCGCTGGGCGGGATATTCTTCGGCTACGACACTGGCTACATGAGCGGCGTCCTGGGAATGAAGTACTTCATCCGTCAGTACACTGGTTTGCCATACCCAGACCCCAACGACGCGGCCGCAGTGGCAGCCTTCCATCTTCGGGCTAGCGAGCAGTCTCTCATTGTGTCGATCCTGTCGGCTGGGACATTCTTCGGTGCGATCATATCTGGTGATGCGGCTGATTTTATTGGACGACGTACGACGATCATTGTTGGGTGTCTCATTTTCATCAGCGGATGTATTCTGCAGACTGCTTCGACGAGCCTGGGCCTCATGGTTCCAGGCCGCTTGATCGGAGGGTTTGGCGTGGGGTTTATCTCTGCAATTGTCATTCTCTATATGTCGGTAAGATGCAAATCTTGTCAGACATACTCACTCTTTGCCCACTCGCTCACCAATTGTGAATAGGAGATTGCCCCAAAGAGAGTGCGTGGAGCGTTGATCGCAGGCAACAATTTCTGCATCACCATCGGAATCCTCCTCGCCAATGTCGTGTGCTATTCGACTCAAAACCGAGATGACAGCGGCTCCTATCGTATCCCCATTGCTGTCCAATTTCTCTGGGCAATGATCCTTGGAATCGGTCTCTTCTTCCTTCCCGAAAGTCCGAGGTACTTTGTCAAGAAGGGGAAATTGGAGCAAGCAGCAAAGGCTTTGTCTTCCGTACGCGGTCAGGACGTTAACTCGCAGTATATCCAAGACGAGCTTGCAGAGATCATTGCAAATCATGAATATGAAAAGCAATTGACTCCTCAAGTAAACTATTTCGGAAAGTGGGCGGCGTGCTTCAAGGGTTCATTGCTACGAGGCAATTCAAATTGTCGCCGCACCCTCATCGGTATTCATTGTCCTTTGGCGCATCTCCAACGTGGATTTACAGCTAACAGCTACAAGGAATCCTCATGCAGATGTTTCAACAATTCACCGGCATAAATTTCATATTCTATTTCGGTATGTCATTGTCGACCTGATGGTCGGAAAACGGCCCCTAACTTTTGATGAACAGGCGTTGTCTTCTTCCAGAACCTCGGTACTATCAACAACCCTTTCCTGATCCAATTGATCACCAGTCTCGTCAACTCATGCTCGACCCCTTTCGCGTTCTGGACGGTCGAACGCTTCGGTCGACGCAAGATCCTGCTGACTGGCGGGTCTGGCATGGTGATCTCGCAATTTATCATCGGCATTGTCGGTGTCACTGCCGGCAAAAATGGTGATCCCGCCGCCGTTAGATGCATGATCGCGTTTATCTGCATCAATATTTCCATGTTCGCTATGAGCTGGGGTCCGGCAGCGTGGATCATAGTTGGCGAGATCTTCCCTCTGCCGATTCGATCTCGAGCTGTGGGTCTCTCTACTGCGAGCAACTGGTTCTGGAACTGCGTAAGATCCTCACAATTTTTTTAAAGCTCTTTAGCTGTGCTCGTCGCTAATTTGGATGATCAGATCATAGCCATAATAACCCCTTACCTAGTGGGCAATGGAGCGGGCGAAGCAAACCTGGGTGCCAAAGTCTTTTTCCTCTGGGGCTCACTGTGCTCTCTCTGTGTCTTGTTCACCTACTTCGTGGTCCCTGAGATGAAAGGCTTGAGCTTGGAACAGATTGACAAAATGCTCGAGGAGACAACGCCAAGGAAGAGTGCATCCTGGATGCCGCATAGTACTTTCGCTAGTGAGATGGGTCTGACAGAGAAAGGCGTACCTGTCACCGCCAACATTGAGGACGTTCATCAGCATAAAGTCGTTTGAAGATGGTCTTCGATGGCACGCGTCGGCTGGATCCATGAGGTAATAGGGTTGTGATACACAGAGCTTTTGATATTACGACATGATTGGATCAGGTAGTACGTCAAGAGTAGTCACTCCCTAGCTTCCCGAGCTCCAGTAGAGCTACAAGCAATACGGTATCTGCTGCAACCGAGAAGTGAGACGTTTCACAGCAGAAATCACTGGACATTTGGAACACTAATTCTCAGGGTGTGGCTAATGAATCGTGTTCGTTGTTGTACGAGGCAATGTCATCTGCAACATCGACAATCAAGGATAACTCAATTCTTGTGGATGCTGAGGACGAGAATGTTAGATAAAAAGAGTAATAGGGTGAAAATACCTCTAGAGCTATTGCTAAGGCTAGATTTACTAATCTTTATCATGAGTAGCATTTTAATAGTGTCACGCACCTTGTAGTCCCGACAGAATGATAGTTGGTGAATTTTCGGGAGTGTCTCGCTATTAGAAGGCTGTCTCATTAAAAGGGGGTGCCTAGAGACAGCCTATGAAGTGGAGAATACCGGCATCATTTCGAGCATTTAGAGCAAGAGCAAAAGGAACAATACTATTTATTGGTGGGATGTTATTCCTCAAACTCGAGCTCATAGTCAAGCCCTGCCAAAGCAGAAGCTTGCTGCATCTGTAATAACAATTCCTGTTGCTGGACTCCTGAACCACATTCCAGATCCTTTAGCCTCATCATCCACTAGTTAAAGAGAATAGAACGGCATCTCACAGGCTGAAAGGGCCATGAGAATACCGTTCAAGGACAGCTCGAAGTTGGGTTCATGTTGGCAAGCTAATGTAGCATCTCATTCATTGCATAAACATGAGCACTCCGGCACGGGGCAAACCCGGTGCTTCTGAAACCACATCCTCGCATGTGCAGCATGGCAGCCATGTGAGCACTTTACGCAAAGCACTGTGAAGCGCGACATGGCAGTGTCCCACCTCTCCGCTGCTTCAGTCTCTGCCCTATCCTTCCCTTCGCCTCCCGCTGCTTCTTGAGATGTTTCCACCAAGGCGGCATCAGCAGAGACCATTTTTGTGTTCGAAGTTATCGACTGAGTTGCTGTTCGATTTGAAGCCTCAGACGTCGAGGATGACTCCTTAGATACTGGTTGCGACTGTTGCGCCTGCTTCAATCGTGGCGATCGGCTTCGTTGAGGTGCGACACTCTGCTGTTGGCTCGGCCCAATCGTCGTCTGAATACTGCCCGTCATGCTTGCACTCAGATCCATGCTTTCCTTAGCTCCAGATTTGTGCCGTGAACTGTACCATGGTAGATATGACCCGTCTGGCATTCCAAGCCATAAGTCACATACACCACATCTTGGTAAATGGCGACCACATTTTGGACAGACTGTTCCGAGTGCTGCTGCCTTTTCTTTCATTATAGGCTTTTGACCATCCCTCGATCTCTGGCCAGGACTGTTGTTACGGTCATTGGCACTAGAATGAGCAATTCCCTGTGCACAGAAGCCACAAACCAGTCGTACTTGCTGCTTTGCAGGTGGCAGAAGCCGCCTACCACCTTCATCAACAGCGGTATTTTGGCAACCAATGTCAAATCGAACCCGATCGAACTTTAAGTTCCAACTATTCATCATGTTGCGATAGGCATCCTTCCACCCATTGAATCGTCTCACCATCTTATCGTCATCCAAATATCTCGGAATGGAAGGACAAAGTACCAAAACCGATGTTTGCAGATCCCCAAATCGACGCAAATAACTAGAAATTAGGTCGAACGCTTCCTGTGTCGCAGTACCAGTTAGGACCACACCTTCAATATCCCCTTTAGCAACTGCTTCCTTGGTTACTTGCGAAATGTAATGAGTTACTTTCGAGTCATCAAGGTGTCTCAAAGCAATGCAAACCCGGTACTTTAGAGGGATGGATTCCTCTTCGAGAACCGTTTCCCAGTCTCCTGACTTAACATAAGTGAGGATTCCTCGAGCGTAGGGATCTGTCAATTCTTCTGCTAGTGAAGATACAGTCTCATTCCAGTCATCCTGGGTATCAGCGTCATCACCGGAGGTGGCATTGTCGTCGACCTTTCTTCTTCTTGAAGCACCAGCAATAGCCATAGCAAGCATTTTATGCGATTGTGTAGCACCTTTGCCCCGCAAAGCTTTGTAGGCAAGCTTCCGTTGTGAAGCAAACATAGCTAACGCGGCAGCTTTCGTATGCTGATTTTGTGCAACCAGTCTTTTCACGAGGACCTCAATATCTTCATATGACCATGCGAGCCCTGATGCGTGGAGACAGAGTTGACGGTTTGCATAATACTCAGTAGAGACGCCTTTAAGCTCGGGTATGTTGAGACGCCTGACAAGGTTTTCGATGATTTTGGCAAGCTTATTAGAACTTGGCCCGAGAGACCGGTTCTTAGAGTTGATATCTTCCATCCAGAGCCCATATACCCCAACGTAAGAAAGATCAAAGTTATCCTGAACCATGCTGCCCCTCCGAGAGCTTTTTGTCGCCTTCTCTACCCAGGCCCAAAGAGCCTGTAGCCAACGAGAGTCGGAAACGACAGCCTTGTTCTTCGTGGGGTCAAGGAGATACCCGTCTTTGCAACGTAATTGCTGAATCGAGTTCAGAGTGAGCATGTCCTGAATCGGAACATTCTTTTCATAAAATCCAAGGTCCGAATACCATTCTTGGTCTGCCAGGCTCGACATTCTTTTAGTCTCGGTTGATACTTTATTTTGCCTGGAAACTTTGTAAGCCTGTTTAAGAGCGTTCTGAGGCTGCGCACGACGCCGGACAAGTTCAGCCGATTCGCCTGGATGAGGGTTCAGTAGATCGGCTTCGCCAACAAGGTTTTCACCTTTGTAGAGCTGCCCAACAGATGAAAGCGTACTTGGCTCGGGTGAAGCCCGGGTTGTCATAATATTCACTGAGCCCGTAGCACTCAGTGTCATAATTCTTGACTCACCAAGCTTAGTCTGGGACGTTGTAAAATCGAATGAAACAACTCGAGTTTTCTCATCGCCAGGTGCAGCCGGATCTGAGTAAGGCTTTGCTACTTCCTGCAAGCGATCGAGAAATAAATCTTGGGGTGGGACGGTTTCCCAAGCAGGCTCATTGTCAGGCCCATAATTGTCTCGGTACTCATCAGTTAGTGAGTCCTTGCCGATGTCGTACACTTTGAGATGCCCAGTACTAGAGAGAACGCCAAGGCATCCTCGCTGTGCTTTACTGAATCGAAGACTCCAGATAACACCAGGATTCTGGATCGCATTTCGTAGCTCCATGGATACCTCAGGTGCTCGGGACTCTGTATGAGCTCCAGAACCGAAAATCATGTTTGCATGACCGAGGCGTGATGTCATTCTCCTGTCCCAGACACATATTGCGGGATCAGATGTTGGATAACAGGAGGCAAAATAATTCTCATCGTGCCAATCTATGGCGATATTGTGGACACAGCGGGTGGCGAACTGCAAGCCGTTTCCCACCGTCGGTTCTCGCAGGTCAAACAGTCTGACAAATTGCCCTTTGACTCCAGCTACCAGCAGCTGTGGATGGTCGTGGAAAAATTTCAAGCTTGTGATGTGTTCGCCACTGGCAAGCTTGTATACCGGCTCAGAATAGCTCTTAGAGAAGCCCGCATATCCCGGAGCCGGAAGACGTTGACTGAAGTCCCAAATGTTCAGACAGAAGTCCGTTCGGACTTTGTCAAGTCCTGCTGCCAGCAAATTCCCACTGTTGAGAGCCACAGAATTGCATTGTCTCTGGCTGCGAACTTGGAACGACAAAGAGTCCTGTTGTCCTTCCGCAATTTTGAGTAAAGTGGCTTCGCCGCCAGCCTGTCCCACAACCACTAGGTCCTCATTGACAGGATGCCAGTCAAATGCACGAAATGCCGGCGCTTTCGTGCACGTGTGGATTGTGTCATACTTGATGGCTTCTTTGGAGTCATGGGTCACTTTGCAGAGCTTGAATGACTTCCCTGTTACATCGACGTACAGGAAACGCTGGTCACCATAGGGTGTCGAGTTGAAGGAGAAACGCAAAGCGGCTTCCATTCTGGGCTGGGGAAGTCGAGATCGCGCTGACCATTTCCTAGCGATGGAAATGAATGAATTGCACCCGTCTCATCATCTTCGACGTGCCTTATTATCTCCGCAGCGATATAATGTCCAGATGGCACCATCCGATACAACCATATTCATACCTGAGAGGTTCCAGGTGGCTGGTTGTCTTACTCATGTTGGTGGGGAGGTTTATTGGGTGGCTAGAAGAAGCTTAGTGTGGGTTAGGCGGTGAAGACCTGCTACTAAAGTGTTTCTGCCATTCTGATATCAACAACATGTCTAAATTTTAATTAGAAGGAATGTTCACCCCATATAACAGTCCTGGATCTGTCTTCAGTGTCTGATGTATTCTTCGGCGGCGATAGCCTCTCCCGTATTGCGATCGCAGCTCATCCTTGCACACCTATAGCTCCAGATCACGTTGACTCTTAAAAGAAATTTTATGCGCCCTATGTTGGCGATGCAGCTCCTATCAAGAACCTAAGCCTGATCACGCTGCAGGTGTGTATTTGAGTTCTCTTTCCTCCCCATCAGAATCAGGGCCGAACACCAGTCACGATTTGTGAAATATCAAATCAAAAATGAGATGGCATCCATACTAGTAGCTTTCTTCAAGTCCACCATCTCCCACTGTCATGTCCTTCAACGCTCAAGTTTAAAATCAAACAGCCTGCAACCGCTGCCCGGTGAGTGTTTTCTCTCTCCCAAACTACATGGAATTCCTGGAGATGGATATTTCTTCAGGTCGGTCCGTATTCCATGACCATGGACAGATATCTTCAGGGTACGAAATACAATCATTCCACATACATAACTCAAGTCTTGATTTTTACACCAAGTTCTTGAAAATGCAAGTTGCCTCTTCCCTTTCCCGCCAGCCACCGAATACTATACGTTGCAATGCAGGTCAGTATCTATTGTCGTCACCATAGCACCCCTGGCTATGATAGTCCTGTCTGCCATCGTGTTCTTCACCATTGTCGTCCCAGTGACCATCATCACCCGGGTGCTGTTGCTGGTCGTGGTCGTGGTCGTGGTCGTGGTCGTGGTCGTGGTCGTCTTCTTCGTACTGATTGTGTTCTCCCTCATCTCCATGCTGATGATGCTCGGCGTTCTCATCGTTCTCTGCCATCTGACCTTGGAGGTCGTCTAGCTTTGATGAATCATCCTCGTCCCCATGGTGGCCCTCGGGTCGATGTTCTTCATGGACATCCTCGAGATAGGAAAGGAGTTTGGCCACCCGGTTCATGAAACCTTCCACTACTGTCCACACATCTGGGTCCTGAAGCTTTTCCACCTGATAACCCTCAATCATGTTGAGCAGACTACTCTCTACATCATGGGCATGGCCCGTGAAGACCTTTTCGAGGTCTTCTTGTTCGTCACCGTGGTCGCCGTAGGCGTTATGTTCATCATGTCCATCTTATTCGCCGTCCATGTTGATTGCAGAGAAGAAAGATCTTGCTATTCTTCGAAAGGGAAACGTTGGAAACCTGGACAATAGCTATGGGCTTTGGAGATTGGGATGGGGGCAAGAACAAGGCGTAATTTCAAGATTGTGAAATCTTGGGAGTCAAAAGCAAGAATCTTCCATGTCTAGTAGCCTAAATACATCAATAACGGCCACGCTAGGCTTATAAAGAAAGAGATCTGTTTAGATATCTAAAGAAGGGTAGCTGCTAGTACATACGCAACTTTCGCCCTTGGATATCTTCCCCGACTATCCGACGATACAAGATTCTTGTGTACGTAAGTCAGACTATTATAAGGTGTCGAGGGTTATGGGGGATGATAACGAGATACCCTACTAACTTCCCGTAGCAGTTCTAGACAGAGCAGATGGTGGTAAGGGTCGCGCATGTCTTTGCCATGTTTAAGAGAATGCTACCCAAAGCGCCGCCATCGGTGTTCTAAGGCACGCAATGCGGTGTTCCTGGAGGCCTCATCAGTGCGTGGGAAGCCAGTAGAAAACCTTCCAAAAGAATGGAGACAATTTGATGCTCAGAATGGTACACTGCCCCTCCGGGGGCTTGTTTTCGATGCCCTTCTCAAAATGGGAAGACCTTGGTACGTAACGATGTATTCGTCTATTTTCTATCCAGGGTAGTGGTGTTTAGTGACCAAGTTTTAAGGCGGCCAGAGTCAGTGGGGGCGGAGTTCCACATCTGTCAGGCGTGTGGTCTTTGATATTAAGCAAACCTCAACCTTGCCGAAGCTAGATGCACCCCATTCTCCTTGTTTAGACATGCATCGCCGTTGGTCTCCCTGGAAGGTGTGGACTTAGAGAGAGATAGCGCACGCGACAGTGTGACACTTTTATCCTAGGCGCTGAGATCGCAACCATTCCCCACGGATCTGATAAGCCTGGGCCGCGATCTTTGTCCAGGTCCTGACTCGTACACATGAGGCTGAGGCTGAGATCTCCCGCTTGATCGACGTGCGGCCTTACCCGTACCTCGGGCTTGGAGTGCCTCCATCCCTTAGAGATGATCCTTTACAGAGGCACTCGGTAGTATATTTAGCGGAGGATGGAACGACTTGTGATAGGGAGCGTATGCTTGTTGCCGCGCTCAGGTGTGACGGGTGCATACCTCGCATCTCAAAATGTAAATATGTATGCGATTGTCAACGTCGAGTAAGCCGCCTATTTTCGACCACTAACTAGTTACTGCGAGTAGGTCTGGCCAACGGCGGGACTTGTAGTCGAGGGCTCTGGTCTACGAGTACTAAACACTCCATCTCTGTATTCTCGCCGTCTGATACCCACTAAGGACTAAGTATTACCGGGCCACTTGACTTGATCTCACGTAGCTTGAGCACGCACCTTATCTAAGTTTTCCATCACTCTTCATCCCGGCAGCAGCCAAGTGAGAGGTTTGAAATGCAGCCGTTCACGAAACCCTCAGAAAATCAAACACCGCCCGTGAGCCCTGCAGTCCAACCAACAAGAAAGCCACCAAGGGGACCACCACAAGTACCACCAGCAGGAGAGACTACAGAGTGGCCTCCAACACGTCGGCCTCCACCTACACAGCCGTCAGCTCAACATTCAATGACGGCTCCAATAGAACCAGGTCCTACTCATCCTCGTCCATAGCGACCTCCCACACAACCCTTGACTGGTCAACCTCAAGATCGGCAGCTTGTTGGTCACGCAATTACTACCGCAATTAACTATCGCGCACCGTTCACAACACCACAAAGTCTGGAAATCGGCACAACAATACCGGCAAATCCCCCAGAAGCCGTGGAGGAGCGAAGTCATCGACAAGGCCAAGTCGACAGTGAACGACGGCGTCAAGATTTAATGTAGCAGACTGACCGTACGTAACCATGAAGACACGCAGGGGAAGTCCAGAAAAACATGATCATTGGTGGTGCTTTGCTTTGACATTTACTTAGACTGAACAGCCCTTGAAACAAACCTATCTCGATGTATGCTGATCCTGTTCCCTGGCTCGAATGGTGAAGTTGGTGGACGTGTCCATTGATGTACATGTGACTAGCACTTTAATGATAAGGGCTTGGCACTGTCTACGAGTGGTAGGTTAGCCGACATAGAAATTTTTGGCCGAGATTTACTTGACTTTTGATATTCCACGAGGACTCTGATCTGGTTCGCAACTTCTTGAACCATAGCCTCCTGCTAGGCCTTGCTTCATGGAAACCTGACCTCAGATCTTCTACCTCTCATCATGGCTCATTATAGCCCTGAACCACAAAGCGGAGATCGGTCCAGTCTCGACAGAAAGCGGCCACAACGAAGAGATCCTGCGAGTTCGTATCGCCCATCCCCATCAGATCGCTACCGACCAGACCGAACCAGACAGTCGGGAAGGGACCGACCAGCGGATCTAAACAGACTTCAACATCGCAACACCGATGCTTTCGGCAGTCAGCATCGTCCTCGGATGCAACAAGCCAGACAGCCCCCACCTTTCAAAAGACCTGGTGTCTCGAGGACTAAGCATGCCCGCACTACGAACCCCTCTACCCGTATTCATTCTCTCAAGAAGCTCCTCAATGGATCTAGCAGTCTTCCCATGACCATACGTCAGGAAAAAGAACGGGAGCTTGCTGCCTTGCTCCTGGATCAAGAGAAAGCCCGGATGGCTGAAGATGGTCGAAAGAACTTACAGAAATATCATTTTGTACGCTTCATAGAGCGGCAAAAATCAGAGCGTACTTTGAAGAGGCTAATTCGACGCCGGGACAACTCTGACGAACTAGACGACACTACTAGAAAGCAACTTGAAAAAGAGATACACGAAACAGAGGTGGACCTAAACTACACCAAGTACGCTCCGCTCGGAGAAAAGTACATCAGTCTGCTACCCAACGAAGAGAAACGTAGGGGCAATCTTTCTATGGCCTCAGATGATAGCTCTATGCTTAACTCGGAAGAGACAGACCACTTGATCAGTTTTGAGGATGACCAGAGCAACCTACTGAGGCTAGTTCCAGGTTCGAAACCTCCGATGTGGTATCGAATTGAAGAATGTATGCTTGAAGGCCAGTCGAAACTAGAAGCTTTGCGGGACGGCAAATTGAACGCTAGGCCCAAGTTGGACAAGGAGTTGACAGCTGTTGGCAGCAAAGACGAAGGAGCTTCACGACGTGTGCGAGATCCAATTTTGAGAGAGGAGGACATGATAGATCCGGCAGATCTAGACACTGACGAGAACATGAGCGACGGTGGCTTCTTCGAACGCTGAGCTCGCAGGCTTTCTAACGATGGCACGAATTCATGAACTGTGATACCCTCCATACCTAACATTCTTTTCTTTTTGGGGGGAGTAGCATCGACTGCACCAAAGGCGTCGATGCGATTTCCTTGCGATTCTCTTTTCCGAAACCATCATCCGCTTGCGATGTGACCGCTGTACTTGACTTGGCCTCGGGGGCTTTCCCTGTATTCCACTACGCATTATATATTGCCTCTATGCCAAGCACGGATAACTCCAGCCTCTGTGTAACGCTTTACAGTGTCGACTATCTCACTGCATGTTATCATCAAAGCTTCCGAGGTCAAATGGATCCTAGCCTACAATTAAAACTGTTTCAGGAGTGACAGATGAGACCACTACTTCGAATCATGGCGCAGTATTTCGATCAAGCCTGAACATCGATGCTAATCTGGCCTTGAAGGCTACATGCAGTGACGCATCCGAATATTCTAGATTGGGCTTCTGGCAAACTTGGTACAAACATGATGAAGCACACCATGCTATTACCGCACTGGCAGTTAAGACTACTGACTATGCAAGAGTGATAGGTCTTTTTCATGGCAGATTCACGTAGAGTACGACTGTTCGTGCCTAGCAGTTTCGGTAGCCTCGAACCAAGATGTGGTTTGCTTTCATCCACGCGAGAAACTTCTGTGTACATTGCACATCACCTTTGCACACCATCTTTTCCATAACCAAAGCCTTAGGAGTATCCGACGGCGCATTGCAAAGGTTGATATCGCCGCCACTGAGACCTTCTTTCGGATTTGCCTGCATGTCGACAATTCGATAACAACAAGCGATATGCCCTGCCTTTCGCCTTCTCTTCTTGTCACTTCAATACTGCGATGATGTCGGATCTCAAGGACGACAGTAAACGATCCCCCATCAAGCGAGCCTTTGGATGCCTTGTCCGCTCACCTAAGTCGTCAACCCCACACAATGGCACTGCCTGTACACAAGAAAATCTTGACGGTTCAGACACCAGAATGGAGAATGAATATTTCAGCGATTCCCAGTCGCGTGAGAATCTGAGCACCAACCCCGGTGATGCTGGGAAACATCTTTTGGAACGGTCTGAATGCACGAGGCAAAACCATGTTGCAGAGATCGAACGAAGAGTCTGGGGCCACAGTGAGATGAGGGATTGGGGTTACACAGTCGATGACCCTTTGCATGTGCGATCCTATGGGCATAAGGCTCTTGAAAAATGAACAATGACCCTCCAAGGCGCAACTGGCAGGATCTCTTTGAGCAGCTGTGCCTGGAGTTGGTGATAAGCGCGGCGATTGCCCCCTAACTATTGCTGACAACAATTCGACACCCTTTCGAGCTGCCAGATCACATCAGGTGTTACGGAACGACAGCCGAAAAAAGACTTATTCCATGAACAGAGCACGAAACCCATTCTTTATGTGTGAGGTACTCTTAGGAACATTCGAGAAGGCCCTACAGAAGCCAGCCTTGGAACAAATGAAACATTTGTTCCAGGTCGCTCGCGTTTATGTGTTGTCTATCTCGTGTAATTCCGTTCCTTGGAAGCGAACTTGATATTCAAAATTCAGTCAGACTGCCTGGAAGGAAATCCGCTTGGCTGCAGCTCTTAGTCCGACAGGACCCGAGCAGTATCTAGGAAGATGCTTGCTCTGCGCTGTTGCTTCGATTGTTCGTGAGACGTGACTTTCCCCTTTAAAGCTCCTCATCCAACGCCATGCAATTCCGCTACAGGATCTCCTGGGCAGTCCTGAGAGCGCCCACACTGGCCAAATGCACGTCTTCACTACCGGTATAACGTTCGGTGATAGCTTCTCCGTGTCCCTGTGAACAAAGTCAATATCAAGGGGTGGAAGCGAATGGTTATACTTCTCTCCATGAATAACCCCGTTGGTCGAGTCGTCACTCGGGTTGTAATGCAAAAGCAGTTGAAAGCGTGTTGGGCGCGTATGACAGCAGCGAAGTGCTATTCGTAGCTCCATGAATCTTTCTCGGAGCAAAGGATGTGAACCATTGTTAAGAGCCGAGCCCCAAAATATGAGCAGGAATTGATACATGTCCTCTCAAACCCATCACGAAGGGCGGATACACATACCTGGTTCTTCACAATAGACAATTTTATGTACACTGCCATACACTCTAGCAGGGGCGAATGCCACATAAACGTCCTGTCATTTGGCTGAGGACTCTCAATCAATCGATGAATATTTGTCCAACCATTTCAGAAGGCCACTGGGTTAGATGCTAAGAGTCGGATCAATTAGTTATTAATGGCACCTACTCTCCAATCGGACTCGATGATCCGCATGACAACCGAGCCTCTCGGCCCCCTGCATGCATAATCTTTCTTGTTTGCCCTGAGCCTATTATGTTAGCTCGTTCAAAGAAGACCAATTCTGCAAACCACGAAACAGAATTCCCAGGCTCTTGATGGGGTCCCTGTGATGTTGTTGCTCTGTCAATTTAGAACTCATCCATCTGAGTTCATTGATCCAATGGAAGGATCTCCCAAGCGTTCCCAAACTGTGACTTCTTGTAGCCTGAACCATTCACCAGGCTCGGAATCAATGACAATACGAGATTTGGGCGGTCCAGAACACATCGTGCGTGAACTGAAGGTGTCCGATTAGCGATCAATCCTTTAGAAAGAGCATAGCAAAATCTCAAACGCCGGAGTCTAGACCTTTGAGACAAGGGTATCGCGGGGGACTCTTAGACTCTCCAGACATGGCAATCAATTCCACATCAGAAAGTCCGACTTCTGGCTGATGGCAGGATCATAGTATCATCACTTAGATACTTGAACGCTTGTCACTGACCAAATACTCCGTGAAACGCCAGAAAATACCCATTCCTATGGCTGGCTCGCTGGTTGAGAACTATACGCTAGCAATGCAAGTCCTTCTCTGTAACCAGCTCGTTCACTTCGTCATACAAAAACATGAATCATGGGATTTTCAACCGAAAGGCAATCGCTCTTTCGCTTCACTCACCGCAAGTACGTAGTCCACAACACTTTTTCGGTGCCCGGTCCCTAGACTCTATTGTGTCACCAACTTCTACATACTCATGGAAGCATTAGGCCACAATGAACGACGTCAATGCATCAATGGGCCGCGCCAATGGTGGGTGTTTTCATAATTACATGAGGTATTCATCCCACTCCAAGCAATGAGTTTATGGATCTTTCTTTCTGTGCAGTATCCAGAACCTCTCTCCGCGTGGTTTTGCACCACTTCAGCTAGTTAAGCAGAACTCTCAAGTTTAATAATATCTGCAAGTTGGGGAAGAGAAGTTATTGGGCCCGTTTGCTGGAGCAGCTCACAAAGAGGTTAGAGCTTACCTTGGTAGTGAAGGGGAGTCGCAAATTTTCTGTTACTGACTCAACAAGTCCCTGAGAGTGTTGGAATATAGCTCGGCCGAGTCAACAAGGCTTCGCAGAACGAACTCCGTTTGAGAAAGTGATTTTGGTCAGCTGCAACACGCAATTACTATTGACGCTTGTTTCAAAAGAAGGCTCGTGTACCTCATGTCGAATAGCCCCATGGTCAGTACAAATTGACAGCTTTTCTACACTACTCATCTGTCGACTTGGGTTGATATTGTTCAGCAACGAAACCAAATCACGGGTATAGATGACTTGTACCTTCTGAGCGCTCCTCTGCAACTCATCACATAGTATCAGCCACAAAGTTAATGTACCTGGCTGACTAGACATAGCCATGGCTCATCAGGTTGCAAGCTTCTCTTCTGGCAGTCCAAATAGTTCTATCCGGCAACCATATAAGATGACATCTCTTGTATCGAAGCATACTCTTCAGACAGCTTACACGACTGAGTCTTTCAAAAACAAGTCATCAGGAGCATGTGAACGACCAAGCAACGCAAGTTATCTTGTTGAAGTCCTTTTCAAGAATATCAACAATTCAGGCAGTATGTCTGACCATATTATTGATCAGAGGAATGAATTTGAGGAGATCCCTACCAGAAATTGGGGATTGGAGGATGTTAGTGACTACCCTAATGCATGGGGCTACTTCTACGGTGGCCATTCCAGCACCCAGGCCCAAAGACACGCCCTTCGATTTGGCATTCCGATGTTTTTCGGTCTAGGTACCGGCGTCTTCGTCCGAGCCAACAGGTACTATCATGTTCCCAAAGCCTACAGAAAGGAACTCCCGGCCTCTGTCAAAGAAGTTCAGATAGGGGCTAAAAAGGTGAATGTGATCCAGGAGGGCTTGTTTCCTTTTCGAATGTGGAGTGTCACCGCTGGGCAATACTTTTCTCTGAACCTGAAATGCCTTGTGATTGAGGATTTTGAGCCCGACAAAGCGCCAAAATCAGCCGTCGACGTTTTTTTTGGCGCGGACTCGATCCTCCCTTTCCGCATCAACGATGGGCCTCGCGAATTCAGAGATGGGGCAATTGAAATCGATATCAACTTCCATTACGACGGCCTCGCCCAAGAATACCGTGACGTCGGGGCATGGACTCAGTCAACTCTACAGGAGCCGTGGCTGAGGCCCTTGATTTGGTCTGTGCCAGCAGCAGGGCTTGAGCACTTCAGGCGAGTCGAGGAAAAATGGCGGGCGCAACTCAAGTCCGGTGCCTTGTCAGTAACCGCTGCTGCAGCCTCGCCACCTTAAAGCTCACAGTTGCAGCCCACCAGCAAGCTTTAAGTACTTCCCAAGCCACAAGAGACTGAGAGGTCGATCTACCATTTCTCCGGAGACAGCTCTTTGTCAACGCAATGTTTTGCTATTTTGCCTTCCGTGGGTGGGCTTACTCTCCTGCTCGGCTATATATGAGAGGTCTAGGCACTGGGAACCTATGATAGGTATCTACGACGACTATGTTCAAGTCATTCTAGCTTTTGAGATCTCGGCAAGAGATCCAGCCTCCTTCGGGAAGCACTGGACCCGGTCGATCAGGCGAGTTCCGTGAGCTTCATAAAGTGGAGAGCATCAGATATTTGTTCGGGTATTAAATCCATTCGCTTACATTACAATTTCTTATCATATTCTTTCGTGCTCTTTCTCCATCCTCAGCTTTTGGCAAGCGACCGAGCTTTGAGAAGAAGAGCCAGATTGCGGATTCCTCACAGTAGGCCCCAGCAATGAAACAGCTCTGAAAAGTTTGTCCCAGCCAATTGAAGTAATAACAAAAGATTATTCAATGAGTCCCGCATTGAAAGCTAGAAAGCACAATGGGTTTTCCCGCCGCAGCATCTGCACAAGTTGAGAAAAAGAAAAAAAAGGGGTCAACAGCCTTGTGGGACTTGGCGAACCACACGGATTTGCTTCGACCTAGGCCTTTTCGCGCCCTAGACCTCTGCCGTGCAGGAAACCTACACTAGGTGCTATGTATAGTTCTGATGTACTATGACGATAGCAGGCATAATATCACAACGACCTTCGAATGCTGCAGAATGAAGGCATGCCAGGGGTGTCAGCCAGTCAGCATTCGCTACTTCTCGCGCGAGCTATGCACTTGGACTTTCACCTCGATCAACAAATTTTCGATCAACCCTGGAGCCAGCAATGCGTCGTCTAAGCTCAATACACAGACATAGCGAGGTCCGTCTTCAACTTTGTCAACTCCATCACCGTCTGCAGCCGTATTCCTTCTTCCCCAGCACGCTCGAGACCACCAGCAGCCTCACTCGCGCCCCCTTCTTCCACACGGAGACACTAGTCGACTGGGTATAAATACATCTTTGCGATGTGGCACAGGACAATGCCCCGAATATGTTCGAAAAATAAAAGGATTGGCGAAGATGTGGGGGAACAGGATATAACGTGGGGTCCGCCATGCTTCGCATGCAACAGTGTCACCTGTGACGGCAAGGTCACGTCTCCTACGAACAGTGATCTGGTGAGTATCAGCAAAGAGAAAACCCCCATTCTGAATTGTTGTTCCCTGTTTGCCTTCCGAATATGCTCAACGGTAGCCACGCTGGTGGGATCGGAGATACAATTTATCTAGGATGGTCCGATTCCTTCAATTGATCGGATTGCCCCCTGGCATTCTTGTTTCTTGAGAAAGAAATTGCCTCGCGGGGCATTTTACCCGGGCTTGTTGGCCTCGCGAGGATGTTAAATAACATACCGCAAGGCGATAGGCTGAGTTTTCGGATTCAGGCTCTCGATTTGTGCCGGTAGGAATTTGACGAGGCTGTCCTTGCGAGGCTACGCTAGTCCGAATCTCACAATACCGAATTTGATGAGCCTTTTCGAGAGTTGCGATGTCAATTTGCTCCTCCGGTGCCCTGTCTCTACATCGGCTTTATTATTGTGATTAATTACCAAAGAATAGAACAGAACCAATCGAATGGGTATCTTATTTTGTGCTTGTCTAACAATGGCGTAGTGCGCCGGCCCGAGAAAGGGGCCATCCATGACGCCGCGTTTTGTGTCGATTTTCCAGATCAACTGAGGTCATGAAGCAGATTCATGATTTCATTGAAGCGATACCCTTTCTCCGTTTCTCCCTGTTGGTATCATTAACCGCTGGAAACACATAAATTTTCCTGATCGCATCACGTGCCGTGGTAGAATAGATGTTTTTAGCGTTGCCATTGGGCCTTTCCTAGAATGTCTCTGGCTCCTCTCCAGTTCCATCCTGATCAGGAATTTCAAAACCTTCTTCTGTGCTGTACAAGATAGCCTGAATGTTTTTGACCAACCCATTTTCATCTGTCTCAATGGAAGGGTCCTGTTCGATGGCGGTCTGGAGCAGTAACTCGATATCCCGTAGCTTGGCGAAGTAGAAGTCTCGTTCCTTTTCGAGACCGGCGATAGCCTCCTTGAGCTGATCATTCTCTTGCTTCAATGCTGAGCTACTCGCACCGGAAGTGACGCCTCGAGCACCAGGTCGGCTGACCGGAGTAGGGGCCGTTCTCCGCGTTGTGCTCGCGCCAGTGCTTGTGCGAGCGCCGGCAGGGGGGGCAGCAGGGGCAGCAGCACCCACTGCTTTCCGTCGGGCTACAGCGTCATACTCATGTCCAGGGAAATATTGATCCCAGAATCTCTTTGACCACTGTAAGAATTCCAGGTTATCTTGCATTTTGCATTTGACGAGGGATTCAACTGGCACGGTTCGATCAATAGAATGCTTTGTGAAGCAGTCTGTAAAGAAAACGTTAGTTCGGTCTGCAGCTGCAAGTTAGGAGGAGTGAGGCGAACTTTGTAGTATCTTGAAATTCTGAATATAAGCATATTCTGTGTTTACATTGAACTTGACTCGGGCCATGGGGATATCAACTGAAAACGCGGGTTAGCCTAGTTGTCGTAGTTCGACGTGATGGAAGGCAGCCAAGTTTGCCAATTGGCAGGTCCTTACGGAAGATAGAGTCGAATAATTGGCACAAGGCCGCGCTTTCGAGCCGCCAGTCAGCATGCGACGCCCAAGAACAAGGACGATTCGAGAATCTTACCCTGTGCCACATTGTTCCACTTTGGTAACATTGAGTTGGAGCAGCCCGTTTAACCAAGAGAGCAGTTCTTGCCTGTATTGGGTACACGTTAGTCGTCAGGAGGGCGTCAAACCGGAACACTCTCGAGGCCATGGATTATCCATACCTGGATTCGCCCATCGTAGAGGCTGTTGGATGGACAGGAGAGAAGGCGATGGAATAAATCTGCGAGGGAAGATGTTTCGGTGTGGGATAAGGTGCTGCAACCAGTACAAAAGTAGGATGTCAAGAGCAGGCCGAAAGAAGTAGTGGAAAGAGTTTAAAGGTTGGCTGTGGGTATTGCAGGAGTCTGGATGAGAAAAGTCCAAAGGCGCAGGCAGTGGAGGTGGAGGGGTTGAGATGGGAAGTTGTTTAGGGCAGGCACGGGGGCGACGGCGAGACAGCAATGGGCTGCAGGGATGGACTGTGTTTACTCGTACAAACTTTATGGCGGACAGGAGCGACCAAGTGGCGCTTTCCTTCTAACTTGTTTGGACATTCTTGGCCCGGGCTCGTCTTCTTCAAGAGTCAAAATGATTGCCACGTGACACGCGTCGGCTTGTCCATTTGGATGCTGGAGGTGCTATGAGTAGTACACAGGTACCTAGGGTGTAACTAGAAGTAGTAATACAACATTCTTTCTCTATTCATTTCATTCCTCTCCAATTCTTCATCAGGTCTACTTCGTTGCCTCGCTGGCATCACTTGCTGGCTTTGCCTTGCCATCATCTTCTTTCTTTACTGACCCTCCAGCATTGACATCCGCAGGTTGGCTCCGACCCTTCTCCTCAGGCACTCCCTTTGTATCGGGGTTTTGTCCTTGGACGTCAGGATGATCGGGTGCCACCCCGGATGCGTTGACTTCGTTGCCAAACTCATCCACCATTCGAGTCCGTGTTTCGTACTTAGTCTGGAAGCTGGCCTTGCCCTCTGCTAAGAGCTCCGAAACTTGTGCTTCGTCTAGCAGATTTCCATCCTGATCACGGTACTCCACATGCTCTTCTTGCGCAATGACTTGTGGTTCGCCAGCCAACTGTGATACTGCAGCGTCTCCTTTGCGCTCAGAATCTACCTTGGGTCCCGGTACTGTAGGAGTAGCGTCCGGCGCCGACGGAAGACTGTATTTGGCATACTACTCTTGTCAGCACACACGGGATTCACCTGCTCGGATCGATCGAACTTACATCAGTATGGAATGTGTTGCAGTCAAAATCCCAGGTATCAAATAATTTGACCGCTTTGCATTTATCCTGAGTCCACTGATTTCCATAAATCAATGGGGCGTAAATCGTAAAGACTCCAATAGCAAATGCGACAAACAGAACTGCCGCCGCACGACCAATTTCAGGATATTTCTTGAGGCCTAGGGACGCGATGCGGTTGAACAAGAAATCATAGATCTGGCACATGGCGATAATGGCAAAGTATAGTGCTGGAAAGTAGTGGTGAAGGAACAACTGACGGGCCATAAGATAGAAAGGGAAGTAGTGGAACGCCCAGGCGAGGACAGTTTGCCCAATCTCGTAGTCAAATCGCTTGAAGTTGACATTGGAGTAGTCATCGCAACTTCGTTGCCATCGCAACACAGCGATGGCTTTAAAGACGACGTAGGCTACGATAGCCACAGTCGACGGCCACCAGATAGCTGGGTTCCCAAGAAGGTAGATTTGACGATGGTCCTTGCCCCAGAAGTTGATACCACGGCGGAGAATTGGCCAAGAACCCGGTCGAGAGTCCCAGGCATGGGATTCAACCAATCCTGCATTTGTTCTCCACATGACCTTTTGAAGCTCCAGAAACTTGCCCAAGAACCCAGGGTTCTTGTAGTTGACCTTTTCCGCCGTTTCATCGAACATGGGATGGTAATTTTGTTCCACATACCATACACTGTTGGGGAGAGTGCCGCCTTTGGCGCATGTCACCTCCTGTTGCTCGAAGCCCCAGTCCGGGAGCTTGACTTTGTGCGAGAAAAGCACACAGCCGCTCATGACATGAACCAACTTGAACTTGGTCTGGATGGTGCGGAGTCGTGTCTTTGCCTCCTCTCCATCCGACATGGATTTGACAATTTCCACCCGGAAGAAGTCGTTCGCATCACCTTCAAACCCTTCATAACCATAAGCAGTAATCTCGTTCTGCCATTCAGCTTCAGTAACGGGAGGTCGGACATCGTGAGAATGGATTCGGCGGTGGGTCATAATGTGGTAGAGCCTGACGACATCTCCATCCTGGATGAATTCGATCGTCTGATTGCTCCAAGCACGGGGGCCAGCAATGGTGACATTATCGGCAGTGACGGGTTGTGTCTGGTTCTCGAGGAGGAAGACATTGTTCTCGTCCTTGTGAGGATAGAGGGTGACTTGCTGCTGTTTGCTTCCAGTAGGGTACATATGTGGGTGAGAGTGGAGATAGCCTCCCTGAGTGTTGTGGTGTCGAATGGACACTTCGCTTCCGAAGGCGACGTCTGCGGGGGTATCTGCCATTCCCTTGTTGTTCAGAGTCGCTTGGAATTCAGAAGACATGAATCCATCTCCGTCTCCAGGATTGACCAAGCACAGGAAATGGATGCCAAACATACCCACGTAGAACGCGATGGGAATGACGATCAAACAGAAGATCCGGGCGAACAAATGCTTGAACCATTTTCTTGGGCTAACGTTGACCGTGTCGCCCAGTAAGACCCACAGTTGCAAGACTGTCAAACTTCCGACCCATGCGATGGTGAAGAGGCCAACCCATTTCATGCTGACAGTAGCGCCCAGGCCTAAACCAGTTGCAACTAGCCAAAACCACCAGCTGGCATCAAAAGCCCGGCTAGGTCCAAGTTCGTGCTGGTTGGTAAACGCAGTCCACGCCAATCCAGTGAATGCGGTACAGATGATCAGGGGAGAGTCGAGCAGAATCAAACGGGATTGTGTGATGAAGCCGTTCTCAAAGATGAGAAGGGCAGCACCCAAGCCCGCAGACCAGGTCCGGCACCCGGAGGCTTTGAGGGTGAGGAAGATGGTAGGAATGGTCAAGACACCAAGGATGGCAGGTAATAGTCGCATTGAGACATAGGGAACCTTGGGCTCGATATAATCCTTTCCAATGTCTTTGAAGTCGAAACTTCCATCAAAACCAGCGGCCCAGCCTGCGAGGGTAATGAGAAGCTTGGCAAGAGGTGGATGAACATCCATGAAGAATTTGCCCTTGATATATTTGGTCGCAAAACCACCGAAGCTGGGATAGAATTAGCGATGTATGATCAGACGCACCACAGAGACGTACTGGACTTCGTCAAAGACAACACTGGTGGGCTGGTAGATGCGGAATAGGCGCACAACAGCACCGACCAAGGTCAAAAGGACCATGATCTGGTAGTCTGAGACAGGTAACAGAAAGATATCATTGTCTGTGACGCCTTCAGAAGCATAACTCTTTCGTTTGGGCTGTTTGGCCGGGAGTTGGGTTCGGGGCACATTTTGTGGAGGTGCAGGCGAGACACCTTTCTGCTTTCTAGGCAGGGTGTCGGCCATGTTGGACAAACCAGTATCGGGAGGACAAAGTTGCCAATGGAGCCCGGTGGTAGTTAGAGGAAAAAAGGTAGGTTGAATGAAAGACAAGAAGGTAGTTTGGGTTAGAGAGGTTATGTAATTAATTGGAAGAAATCATCAAAGGCAGGTCATACGACCATCGTCAAGGATCGAAGAGAACAAGCAGAGAAGGACAAGGCACAACGAAGGGGCTGAAGTGTAAAGAGAAAAAAGTGTAGGCCCTGAGGCTGTGAAGGGGAAGCAGAAATCAGGAGTTGACGGGATTGAAGGACACGGTTGACTTGAGTGACGGCCAACTGCGACTGCGCTCGTAGCGGCATCTGCAATTGTTCTCTCCGCATGCACATGTATGTAAAGCCAGGCTCTCCTATTATTATCCCTCTAGCTCTAAAGAGAAAGGTTGTCACGTGTGGGTCGCAATATCACGTGATAAATGCACGGCACCAGCCGCCTCCAACCGCGCGCCACAGTTCCCATCAGCCACATATCGAAATCCCAAAGCATCTTTTCGCCGTAGGAGCACCGCAACCGCAGACGCAGACTCTTTGCCTGATTCTGCATATCATTCATCCCTTCCTCGCCATCTGCCAACCATGGCTCAAGACGGCGCAGTCCCAGACCTTCCCGAGTCTGCTACCAAGGCTCCTGAAGGCGTCGTTCTTCCACCTAAAGATATACGTGCCATCATCGAGAAGACTGCTGGTTATGTCGCCCGAAATGGTTCCGTGTTCGAAGACCGAATTCGCGACAAGGAACAAGCCAACTCCAAGTTCTCTTTCCTGTCTTCACACGATGCATACGCACCATTCTACCAATGGCGACTCTCAGAAGTTCGCTCAGGGCGAGGTACCGCTATCTCTGCTGGAAGACCTGGCGATGCAACTCCCGTCCCAGAAAAGCCAAAAGGGCCTGAACCTCCTTCAGAATTTCAGTTCAGTGCTCGTATGCCCAATATCAGTGCTCTCGATCTTGAAGTCGTGAAGCTCACAGCTTTGCATGTCGCCCGTAAGGGCAAGAGTTGGATGACTGCACTGTCTCAGCGCGAAGCCAGAAACTTCCAGTTCGATTTCCTTCGCCCACAGCACTCCCTCTACAATTTCTTCCAGCGCCTTGTCGACCAATACACTCTTCTCTTGCAGACGGGTCAAGATGGACAAAAGGCGGAGCAAGCCCGGATACACGTTTTACAAGCCAACCTTCAAGATCGTTTCCGAGTCCTCAAACTAGCCAAAAAACGATCCGAGTACGTGAAATGGCAGGAATCACAGAAGCAGGAAAAGGAAGAAGCTGACGAGGCTGAAAAACTGGCCTATGCTCAAATCGACTGGCATGACTTTGTCGTCGTTGAGACGGTCGTCTTTACCGACACCGATGAACAGGCGGATCTGCCACCTCCAACCACCCTAAATGATCTACAAAGTGCAAGCCTGGAACAGAAGGCGATGATGTCTCTTGCACGACCGGACATGCGTATTGAGGAAGCAATGCCCACGGATGATATGAATGGATACACCTACCAGGAATACAACTCGTACGCCCAACAGCACAACAACGCCCATGCCCACGCTTCTGGCCCTACATACACTCCATCTCCCTCGCTACCACAGCTGCCCGTGGTTCCTGCGCCTCCAACCTATGCACCGGCACCGGATCCGATCGCATCTCCTCATCCACTACCCACTACCTCATCTCCAGCTCCAGCTCCAGCAGCAATTCCAGGCCAGCCGCCTATGCGCATCAAGTCCGACTACGTTCCTCGAGCGCAACAGCGTGCTGCGCGTACCGCCACAGCACTCTGCCCTAATTGCGGCCAGCAAATCCCCGTGACCGAACTTGACGCCCACTTGCGAATCGAACTGCTCGATCCCCGCTGGAAGGAGCAGCAAGCGAAGGCCGCCGCGCGTTTTTCGACGACCAATCTTGGTGGCACTGATGTTGCCGCAAACCTCAAGCGGCTTCGCGCCAAGACCGATGGAACGGGATCTGGTACGAGTGGAGACGTCCTGGCCGAGGCTGCTGCTCGGGTATTAGGCGAGCAAGAAGAGGAAGAGCGGAGGAAAAGGATGCGAACGGAGGGGGCGCCTGACGTCGGTGGAAACTACCCAGGAATCGGGGTACAGCCGTATCAACCAAGTACGACCAACGTCCAGGAACAGATCCGCCAGATCCACAGCAAATATAAGTCATAAGACCAGACAGATCATGCAACGTGCACGTTGTGCTAAGGATCAACGTGCGCTGTCCTCGATATTCCACCCAAAGTTTGAGCTCACTCTACTAAGGACTCGAAGCAAGACCACTTAAGCACACGCGCGCAAATCGACCATAGACCCCTTGAGCACAGCCATGCCGTAACTGAGTGATGGTTGAACTTATTAAGGTCTACTCAAACCTGGTTTATCTACCGCAAGAGAAGCATGCTTTCAAGACCTTACGGCAGGATGCTGCTACTTGCTCGGGCAAGAAGTACGCAAAAGGAAAGGATAGGAACACAGCCTACCACAAAACTCCGCTGTTTGAGCGAGAGTGAATCCCCCAAGCACAGCAGCTCAGGCGGACTGAGTGAAGAACCGCGCCGACCATCTGAGTGCCAGTGGGCATCAAAAGTAATTAATTCGACAGAAGTATACTGTCACTATTGTGTCACAGGGGCGGAGCCGACCGGTGTCGAGACTAGAAGGCCGAATAGAGAACCTCAAATGCCAATCCTCATCGCTAGGGAGATGTAGCTCCAGGTGGCGAAGCAGAGACGATACATTGGCTGAAAACAGGGAGAGCCTTAATAGGCGGTTGGTGATCGCCACTATGACGAGCTGATGCCAATATCTTCGTCTCATACGGAGAGAAGCAAGAGAGGAAAGCGTAGCGGGAGAAATAAGCCGCAAGGACTATCAGATTAGTGATGATATAGTTGAATTAAGGAAACCGAATGTTTCATAGTGGTTTGTTACCCTTGCACTTTTGCCACTCGAGATAACATGATTACAAGAAGAAAAGCTAATGGCTCAAAAATAATTATTCGTAAAGGCACTATCCGGTCCCACTTTGTGATTCACTATTCTTATGATATCAGGTTTGTATCAATCTCGGGGGGTGAGATAAGTGACTAAGATGCAGCAGATTGTTGTCAATCAGAGAGCCTAGTCCCGACTAAAAGAGATCAAAAAATATGAGAACCTGCTTGAACGCGCCAAAGCTCTGAGCAATATGCCATCACATCGATATCAGGTCATGGAAAGATTCCATGTTTGGATAGGAGTCCAATATCAAACCAATTGGCCCAAGGTGGGCGTTGCTTTTTGTCTTGAGGCGAAATTCTCTTGATTTTCGACTGTTCCAATGTACCAAGAGAAGGGAGGGAAACCCGCAGGAAGACCGGTTAGACTATGGGTCGACGGTTGTCTTGTGGTGGGCATTATTGAGGTCCGAACGTGCATTGTGTTCAGTGACGTTTGCGTTCCTGGTATCAGGTTGTGTGCCACGCTGTGCACTGGAAGTCCGGCCTTCCCTAGAAATTCGAGAATCCTCCTGCAGCATTGTACGATCGCCGGACTGAAGCTGTGAGAGCAATGAACTGGCCGGGTCATCCCTGGATGGCCGAGACCCTCGATCGCTAGACATGGGTCGATCAAGGATTGAAGTTGGCATCACCACCGGGCGGGCGAGAGACTCCTCGGGATTGAATGCGCTTGCCTCAAGGTCGTCGAAATCCTGGCCGAAGTTTGCGCTTTGGTATGCACAGCTCTTGATGATCCAGAAAAAGCCCGATGCAAGTGCCGCGCCCATTGATGGTCCAACCCAATAGATCCAGTGTTCACTTGGGAAATGACGATTCGCCACGCACGGACCAAAGCTGCGAGCTGGATTGAGTGATCCGCCAGTGTAATAAACACCTAGGGATGAATGATCAGCTTCGCACCAATTTGAATTCCTGGGCTCTCACCTGATAGCTCAGCAATAAAAAGTGATAGTCCAATGCCAATAGGGGCAAGGAATGTGCCTTTGTGCTTTTCTGCCTAATATTCAATCTGATGAGTGAAATGTCAAGTAACGAAGAGATAGGGTATACTAACCGCTAGCATAATGATGGTGAACACAAGCTGAGCTGTGAGAAACTGTGGAGATGTCAATCGAGCACGTGAAGGTAGTTGAAGAGGGTACATACCATCTCAATGAACACTCCCTGAGCCAAACTTGTCCCACCGCCTAAAGAGGTTGTAACGGCCAGAGGACCGTTAAACAGAGCCTTGACTACACCAGCCGAGGCGATGGCTCCCAGCATTTGGGAAATAAACACCAAGGCACCACGGGTGAGAGGTAGCGCGCCGATGAGACATAAGCCGAAGGTGACCTACAGTTCTTGGTGTCAGTGTAGATCTGCCATACTCTCGTCACATACCGCAGGATTGAAAAGGCCGCCAGAGACTCGAAAGAAAACCCAAGCATTGGCAGCCAAGGAGAAGCCAAAGCATAGGCTGATGTAGAGCAGCGCTATAGGATTTGGACCTTGAGGCAAGTCGGTACTCGTACTACCAGCGGTAGTCTGCGGGGTGTTGGCTACCTGAGTGCCGCTGAAGGCGAAGAATCTGGAGGTGGTTGTCAGTGGCAGTCAGCGTTGGGTTGGGGGGTCTGGAATGGACGTACAAGAACAAAAATGTTCCAGCAAACTCGCCCAGCATGGCAATCATATGATTGCGAGGGCCATCTGGAATCTTCATCAGGAACGACACTGGTGTCGGACTCGGGATCTTGTCGTCTTGAAAAGGACTTGATGCAAACTTTGGTTTTCCTTCGGTTTGCTAGAGCCAGGCGAAAAGGCTGGCTTCGCTTTTATCTTCTCCATGGTGTGGGACGCGACTGCTTGCTTGTGGGAGGCGAGTTCCCTGGGGAACGGAAGGAATGCACAGGTTTTTGAACACGTGGAAGCGGTGGGACAGAATACGAGGCTGAAAGGAAAGCGCGGTTAAGGGAGGAGTAATCGTACAAGGTATGACCGCGGTAGGACAGCAGTTGGATTCAAGCTCAACAGATGGACGCAGGAGCGAGGTACATACAGCGCAGCGGCGTTGAAAAGAGCGAGCAGAAGATATCGAAAGAAACGAAAGGGAATTCTGACAACATGACGTTCGTCTCCAGTCATGTCTTGGATGGCTGGGGAACGCAGAGAATGATAAGAACCTCCATCATTGGACTGAGATGGCGGACTGCGAAGGGCCTAGGGATCTCAGATTGGGGAAGCATCTTCGTCACTGGCGTCATGTTCATTGCTCTGTCGGTGGGCAAAACGGAAGGATAAAAGAATCGAGTGGTAAGAATGGCAGATGGCAAGCAAGGGCCATGGAGACAATAGGATCAGCATGGTGCAGTGCTATGTAGTTTCGCTTGTGGGCGTCGCGAATCTAAATCGAGTGACGAGACCTCGCCTAGATTAGGCATCGTGCCCATCCAGGCGTCTGAAGTGACAAACTTAGTTAATTAGCCCTTAGCCCGGGCCTTAGCAGAGCCAAAATGACGCCCGGAGAAACGTACAGTTAGCCTGAAACTTGGGCCCTAGGGCCCGGGCTGGGGGTATGTTGCCTTCGCTGGGGGTTTTGCATTATTGAGGCTTTGCCACTCCAAATGCTTGACCGGATGTGTGTACCAAATGCTCGGTACTGCGTTCAGACCTATCTGTTCGAGCTTAGAGTCATGAGCGATCATTCTAGGTGCTGAGGTACTGTGGAATAGCAGTAAGGCCATTCAGGCTGGCGCCACTTATGTACTTTGTACTCCTTGAGGAAGACTCCTTCGCAGATCCATTTCTGGGATAGACAAGTTCTCCGCAGCTCAACGGATCATGGCCGGGATCGAATGTCCACATTCTGAACGACACGCAATCGTCCGCACACCAGGACTAGCATTGAGAAATGTCCCCTTGGGCTAGCAGAGCTACCTAGGCTAAGGGGCGCCAGTTTATTTCACAGAGGACGGGGTCCAGCAATGAGTGGACATGTGGGAGTAGAGAGGATTGCTGCAAGTGGACGGCAGGGGCCTGTGCAAGGCTAATCAGCTTGTCTGATGAACATCCATCAGAGACAAAGAGAAATAGGATATGTGGTATCAATGTATAATAGTATGTATGTGGGAGGCGTGGGAAAGGGGATGGCGGCACTGTGGCAGCCACTAACCACTGTCCTCTGTTCTGGTACGACTCCCCACGGCAGGCCTCTCACGTGATCTTGGCGTGGCCAGTGGCCTTAATTGGCAGGAGCGAGCGGGCTTGCACTCGCTGACCAGCAGAGCGTGTCAGTCTCCTCATCCAAAGGTCCAGCCAGAAACAGGCTGCACCGCTTTCCACTTCTGGCTTCTTCCACTCCCTCTCTTCTCCGAACTTCCACTCTCGTTTCAGAACCGGCTTCTTCTCACATGTCCCAGTGACTCTGTTCTACGCCAGTCCAGTCTGTTCTAGACGTATGGCGTTCAGATCAAATACTCCTTGATTATCGGGCAATCGACTGGCCTTTCCGTCAACTCTCCCCCCACTGTCCTTCACCGTTATCAACGGTTCACCATGCGTCCCTTCCGATTCCTCCTCTTGTTGATCATCTTCGTTGCTCTGCCCATGGCCTTGACTTGCTGGTCTCTCTTCGCTTCCGTCGACAACGCTGCGGACTCTTTTCATCCCGGCTACAACACGAGGTCAAGTCGTTTCACATCCTTATTCTCCTTCTCAACACCCTCGTCTCTTTTTCCGCCCTCCGCTGTCATCAGCCTTACCAACGACAATTCTACATTCTTCCTTGCTAGGCCCGCTGCTTTTGGCCCAAGTCTACCCTCAAATGGCTTGAGTGGTCAGCTATGGGTGGGAAAAGGCTTTGGGGATGATAGTCTATTAAAAGAGGAGAGCATTCATGTCACTGGTTGGGAGCTTGGCTGTTCCGATGTTCCAGGATGGGGCGAGTCGGTGCATAAACACCTGCAGCACTCAGCTCCCGATCGGAACAAGAAGAAAACTGCAGCCTTACCTCGTGACTTCCCCCCAAATGGCCGCTCAGCCGACCATACCAACGATGTCTCGAGTTCTCCTTCTGATAACTTACCAACGACCGATGATGGAACAGACGATTATCTTCATCACCCTCTGAAAGATTCGAACCCTGCTACCCCTGGCCATCTCGGTGAGCCCGCCAACGTGGATCAGGCCGACAAAACCAAGCAGGCCACTCACGCCGACATCGAGTCCCTCCAAGAAAGTGCAGCTATCGCTGGTAAGGTCGTCATGCTTGCCCGAGGTGGCTGTGGCTTCCTTGAAAAAGTGAAGTGGGCTCAGCGTCGCGGCGGTATTGCTGTTATTGTTGGAGACAATGAGCGTGGCGCCCAACTCACCATCATGTATGCTAAGGGGGATACCTCGAACATCACTGTTCCCGCTTTATTTACCTCATATACCTCTGCTCATCTTTTGTCCTCTCTTGTCCCACCAGAAGATAAGGATGAGGTTATGATTGATAGCCAAAAACCTTCACAGTCTTCTGCAGAGAAAGGTTCAATCCAGAAACCCGATGATAGCAAACCAGTATTTACCTCAACAAAACCTGGCTCCAGACAGCCAACAAATGTTCCTGTTGGAGATTCCGTGGGCAACCAGCCCGATGAGGACAAGACATGGGTCAAGAATGTGCTCTCAGCCATTGGATTGAGTGAAAATTCTCCCTTTTCACATGCTGAAGACAGCCGAAGACCGCCAAGCAGCGGAAACATCGATTGGGTACTGCTAGAGGATTGGGATGATGACCACCCTGTCGACTCACCCAACAAGCCTCCTTCTATCACCGTTAGTGATTGGGATGCCACTCCGACCCCTGCACCACGTGCTAAAAGCACCACCTCGCGGAAGATTGACAGCGATGACTTTGTTATCGGTGTTCAAGATTGGCGAGATGCAGACTTGGTTGCTCCTTTACCCACACCCGGGTCAACTGAAACTGTTAAGAAAGCAAAGAACGTCAAAGATGGAGCACCAGAGACCTTGAATGGCATCAAACCCACTTCTACCCCAGCCGCCACTCTTAAAGGAGGGAGTATTACCCCCGGAAGCGGGGAGTATGACCACGGGAGTTCAGATCAGGCCAGCGACCTTTCCCAACAGCGAAACAGGCCCGCAAGACCCCAGCCAAACAGAGAAGACCGACCATCTCAAGGAGAACCCTCAGAGGGCTCATGGCTTGATTTCTTCAAGCCCAGTGAGGTGAATGCAGATGCCAGCAATGAGGGCACATCCAGAGACTCAACAGCCGACGATCATAAAGTGAATGGCGCTTCAAGCCGGAAATCCGGGGATGAAGACAATCACGAGGGGCTGTGGGTGACTTTGACTCCAACGAGTGTCTCCACCAATCCTTTCTTTGATACCTTGCTTGTCCTTGTTGTTAGTCCATTGGTTACCTTGACTGTGGTGTACGCCCTACTATTGCTTCGCTCCCGCATTCGTCGAAGGAGGTGGCGAGCACCAAAGTCTGTAGTCGAGCGACTGCCTGTTCGCACTTATCATACCATGACAACCACCTCCTCCACTACATCCTCACAAATAGCATCTCCTGAGGCATTCTCACCTACCTCCCCGCTTCTCATTTCCACTTCTCAAGACATCTCACGCCGGCCAACAAACCCTAACCGCACTCGCTCCCAGACGACGATAGGTGTCTTTCCTAGTGCCAGCGTTGATGGTGGGCTTTCACGACCCACCACGAGAAGTTCACCCGCGGAAAAGACAGCCTCCCCATCCAAGATTACGAAACGAAAACGCTATACCGGCCGACAGGTTGAGTGCGTGGTTTGTTTGGAAGAATATGTTGATGGCGAAAGTCAAGTCATGTCCCTGCCTTGTGGCCACGAGTTTCATGCCGACTGCATCACACCATGGCTGGTTACTAGAAGACGAACGTGCCCCATTTGCAAGGGAGACGTAGTGCGATCACTTGCCAGAGCCGGCTCAGCCAGATGGGAGGATGAAATGCTTCAAGAACACACGACTGATGATGTTCAGAGTCTCGTTGCGGAGACTACAAATGACGAACCTAGTGCAGCCATTCCGATACCGACTCGGACCGAGGAGGATCGAATAGATGATGACGTAGAGCAAGGCAGGGATATCGAAGAGCCATTGATGGGTGGTTCGCGCGACCAGCAATCCGATCGGCACGGTGAACGACAGTCCCTCTGGAGAAACATTGTCAGTGCTTCTGTCAGTCGACTCAGTGGTGACACGTTATGGCGGCAAACACCCGTCGATCGGAATCGGTAATCTGCCCGAGGAGGCGCAATGCCCGGTATTTCTATATTCTGGTTTACCAGCTGCCTCACACTATATCGTTCTGTCTCATAATATCTGCAAGGAGTCCGGGCCCTGGATGGGCCATCACCTCACCACGAGCGAGAGTTGTCTGTGAATCATATGTGTATTGATATTGAACTGGTGGGGATGTAGACCGAGGTGAAGATGGACCTAAGATACCACTTTTTTTTCATTAACGGACAATACTAATCATTCTCAACCAACTAGACAGTCTATAGTCGTCTATTATATGTATAACCCACACCAAGAAGGGTGTAGGAGAGGTAGGTCAAGGATAAAACGTCCGAGGACATTTACGGATTTTGCTGCTCAGGCGCCGAATTTTCAACGTGATCAAAGATGCGAGTTCATTTAAAATATCCATATAGTATGGACATGTTACATAATATGTACATGGATATATGTGTATGTAATGCAACGCAATGCAATGTACGGATACACAACTGGAAACGGGGGACGCAAGTCGTGCTCAAGTTCGTGCTCGTGCTCATGCTCGTTGACCGTCTTACTGCGCTCGCTAGGCCACGGCCATAGATATATCGGTGTGCAATCGGTATGTACGCCCCAGGGGCGCGCTGTGGGTAGGCGGGCTTCAGGAGGTTAATGCAGGGTATGCGTGGAAAGGAGGTGTTGCCTGCCTTATCGACGCACATGAACAAGTTTATGAATGGACGGACGGATGTAAAGAGATGGCGTTTTATAGTACAGCAATTGTTGCTCAGCTTCTGGGGTTTAGTTGATCGAACATAATTTGATCCCATGTCGGCATCGAGTGATGATACATGAACCTTTTGCTTCCTTCGATCTTTCAAGGGAAACCCAAGGGCGCCGAGCCGGGCTTTGAATCTAAGATCTATCATAGCCGAGCGAAAGCGGGCCTTGGATTCTTGTTTTGGTACCCATAAGGAAAGGTCCTTGAAAAGAAGCAGGGAGGAGGTCTCTACAACCTCCTGAGGCTTTAGTTTATCTTCAGTGAAGATCACCGCCCAGTCAGGAAATGATGCGAGCAGATCCCAGATTAGACCAGACCAGACCCGGCGCGGTGGTGCAGCTGCCTGATCGTCGACACTTGATCATCCCCCGAGTCTGGTTTGCGTCGCTGTGGGCATGCGGAATCGACATGGGTTCCTGTAAGGGCGTTTCATCCTCGACATGGATAGACACATTACGGAGCACGTGTCCATTGAAAGTCGTTGTGTCTATCTGATGTACAGCTTGAACGATCCTTCTCTCCTGGATTAGAGGTTGTGCCTCTTAGCGACTGGCCTTACTCGTCGACCGCGGAAAGGGAGACCATTTCCCGGTTTGGCTCGAGGCCGATGCTCTCCGGTCATCAGAAGTCTTCCTCGGACCATGATTCTGATATGACGAAGGCGGTCGTCGCGATGATGAAGAAGGGACACGCGCAGGACCCGGTGCCGGCGGTAACGGTTGTGTCGGGGGCGGATGGGGCGGGGGCGATGATTCGAGAATTCCCTGTGGATGCTGTTCGTTGACGAGATAGTGCCGAGTGATCGGCGCCAAGGTGGAGGTGTCAGGCTTTCTTGGCATCAGGTTTGCCGGCATTGACCAGCCTTCGGGCGCTGCGATTTCCCTCTTCTCCCCCGTCTCCGGATCAACGATAAAGTGTCTCGCTGGAAGTACCTCCAAAGCTCGGAGCGGTTGCATGTATGTGAAATAGTGGTGCACGTGGATCTCTCGCGTGACTTCTTCTTGCACGATTTCTATTCGGTGCTCTTGTACCACTTCTTGTGTCACCGCCGGGCGTAGAGTCTCTGTCACGTCTGTGTGGTGTTGGACTGTGGTCGCCCCGGTGCCTGATTCCAAGTGGTCGGTAGGCTGCGCTTCAACGGTCGCAGCGAGCTGTTGCGTCGCCGCTTCTATGGGGGTCATAGCTCTGCTCCTCCGCTGACGGGTTGCCACAGCGGGCTGCTCGCTGTTAGGTGACTGCTTGGGTTCGGGTGAAGGTCTGGATTCTGTGTTCGACAGAGGCGGACTCGGGATATGGTATAATGGATTAAGTGGGTATGGGTCGTAGGGTGCGAGAGCAACGTGCCGTGGTAGTCGATTGGTCCCAGGAGGAGGGCTTTTGACTGCGGCCGTAGATGCCGGAAGTAATGTTGGAGGAGGAGGGGTTCTTGCCTGTGCTCTCGCCTTGATGTTTTCCACGGATGGTGCAGTTCTAGGTCTAATGGGCAGAGCAGTATGTGAATCTGTGCATGACGTATCACCGTTGGTATAATTTGCGTCTGTGCGCCTTGGTTTGTCTTTTGCAGTCTTCGGCCGCTCTGAGCCCGCGGAAGGTTGCGCTGTTTTAACGCGCAGGGAGGATGACCTCTCTGGTACAGCAGCAGAATCAGAGAGTGCAGGTGACGTGGCCAAGTTGTTCTGTTCCAGCACGGCCCTTTTCTGGGCGGTAGACATTTGTGATGATTTCATGCCACGTTGCGAGGGACGTTTCTGCAAGCGAGATCGTGACCGCATAGGACGAAGGTTTTGGTCAGGCTTTTCCGCCAAAAATTGCTGCGAACGAGAGCGCCATATAGGGTCAAAGTCATAAGTCCCAGGTTGCTGGTGAACGGAGATATGCAGTGGGTTGTTAATTTTCTTTGGGTTGGAGGCGGAAGACGGCAAAGAGGCGGGAACAGCACCAGAATGTGCCACTGATTGATGGGTGACGTATGGGTAAGTCTGTAGGAGTTCAAAGCGAGCCACTTCTTCATCCTTCCAACGGCGACGTTGAGCCGCTGTCATGATTGTCATGGCTGTTCTAGAATACTGTACAACTGCCAGAGCGCATGAGTGGAAGAACACCAGAAAGGAACACTCCAATGATGTGAGCGACACACAGAATCCACGGCAGGAGCAGTCGGGCTGACGCTGCACCCCTTAGCTGGCTGTGGGGTGTGACTTGTTGATCACAACTCGCATGGCTCTGAAGCGAGCCGAGACAGGTTCGCATTTTCAGGCAAGCCGGCACTTGTGGCTGCGCCTAGAAGCATGGGCTAGCAGGAGGGCCCCATGGCGAGGCTCAAGGATTGAAGAGGACGGTGGAGAGAGCGAGGTTACGAACCAGCCGAAATAGGGATCGGCATATGGGCCTGCCACGCTGAAGGGAAACATGGCCCAAGACCGAGGTTTTGAAAATGAAAGACAGCCAAGCGGGTGGTGGTCCGTAGAGTAGTAACTTCCATGCCCCCCTCACTCCTCCCGTCCGGAGTTCTTGCAAGTACTCGGAAGTGACGAATCCTTGCGCCCTGACAGTTGCAAGTTTCTCTGATAAGTGGCTGTGTGGGCCATGACCAACCAGGCCGGAAAGGGATGGCCAGGGATACACTAATGAGACGGTGATGAGGAGCTAGGTTGGATTACTCTGTCCGTGTCTTGCACGAGCTTGCATCTGTATGGCCTATTGTACGAGTTATCAAGGCTCCTTTGTTGCAGCAGCCCTGCAGGGGCGTACTGTACCATGGGTCTGAGTTGTTTATGTGCGCGAAAATCCAAGGATGGAATCAGGTTGACACGTGTGTTTAGTGTTTAGTGTCAAGAGCAATTAGCACTTGCGCTAGTTGGGCTTAGTGCTCAGCACTACTTCGCTAGCCCATTGGTAGATCAAGGATTAGCCGGTCAACCATCAAGTCACTCTCTATTGGCGGACGCACTAACTTTTAGCCCACAATTATCCGGTTAAGAGGATAAAACTATGATTCATCGGTTTGTCGTGTCTGGACTCCATGACTCCTGCGTAAGCACTGCCACTGTCGAAATCGTCCTCGAAATTGCCAAAACGGACCTCAAACCCGCATCCTCTCCTGATTCAGAATCACGACATCACAACTCGAAGCTTGAACCCGCTTTTTCCCATCTAGATCTGGGTCATGACGCAAAGATTCCATTGTCTGTCAATTACCAACCTGTCGCTTGAGAGAGCCATTGATAGACTTTGTCAACGCCAGGTCGAGGCTATCCTTCCACTCACATGCTCTTGAGACATCTCCTCTCAAGCCACAGTAGAGCCAACACTCCGTCTAGACTGAGCCAATTCGGCTGCTTATGAGGCGGTGCTACGGCGGCGCCAGCTCTTGCTAAAAAGACTTCAGTGCATTGAGTTCAGAATGTTGCTGCACAATGACGCCCCCTGTCCTGTACCAGTCCACCGATACACACAATCACACCCAAAATGATCTGCACGTCATCAGAATTTCATGCACGAGGCTGCATGATTTCAACTTTTGGGTCCAGATGCATCCAAACTCTGCGTAAGTCAAGCCTCCAGATCTATCATCGGCATGTTGTTAGACGAGCGCGGAAGCGAGTCCCATGCCTATCACATGGATGCCATCCATCTTCCGGCAGCTCTCCTGAAGCTTAGGCGTTCATTCGAGCTCGAGTTCAAGATGATTCTCCGCACAATGATATCACAGCAAAGCCCAAAAAACCTTCCCATGTCATATGGTGTCGAAACTACGGACTAGGTATATGAGCCATGAAAGCCGGAAAGCTAGGTCGGTCGTGCTCGGTTTGACTCTATCATCTCAGTTACATTTCAAGTCTCTTCCGTCAAGTCTCGTTAGAATTAGTCACAATGGACGCAGCCAAAGCAGCCATTTCGAAGTTTACTTCCAACAAGGGCCACAAGACCTCTGTAGAAGAAAGCGTTCAACCTTCCATCACACAGGAGACTGTCAAACCTCACCGCCATGAAGAGGCCACTCAGGCAGTAGATCGAGAGGTTCATCAGGATCACTACCATACTACAGTGCAACCACTTTCCCACCAAGAGGTCCTCCCTGAGAAACATACCCACAATGTAGTCCCTACCGAACACCGAGAATTTCACCATGGCAACGAGCAAGGAAAACAACAAAGTCTTGCTGCTGATCTAGCCCATTTCAAGGACAGCTCGAGGACTGAACAAACTCGTCATACTACATCAGCCGCACCAGCTGTCACTGGAGAACATGTTCACCACCACGTGCATGAGACTGTTGTGCCTGTTATCCAGAAAGAAACAATTCAACCCGAAGTTGTCCACACGACTGTTCCCATTCATGAGTGAGTATCCTTGTTGTCGCCCATCAATGCCAGTTCTAACGTTCATCGACCCCAGGACCCACCATGCAGCACCACAGCACCACGGGCTCTCAGCACTACCCACGAAGAATCTGGACGAGTTTACCAAGAGTGGCGCTAGGCTAACTGGTGGTTCCCATGAATCTCATGAGGAATATGGGGGTCCGCCTCGCCAATACAACGACAAGCTCTCTACAACCTTCGAAAAGCTTGGACTTAGCAATGCCGGTGCGGGCGCCGGTGCAGGTACAGCAACGACTAGTGGGATCAAATCTCATCATCAGCCAACCGACTCCGGCGTGAGCGGTGTTGGTGGGCATGGGCACCATGGTGTAGGCACTGGCGTGCCTGGCGCTGGTGCTGGTGCTGCTACCGGCGCCGCGGCTAACCGTCACCGCAGAAGCTCATACAGTTCATACAGTAGCAGCAGTGAGGAAAGTGTTGGGGGTACACGAAGGAAGAAGGATAACCATTGGAGAAAAGCTGGTGGTACAGGAGGCCTCACTGGTAGCGGCACAGCTACGGGCCAAGCTGCAAAGCCTAGCTTGATAGATCGCTTGAATCCCCGTAAGGATGCCGACGGAGATGGCAAGGCTGGAATTGGGGATTAGATCTCATGATCATTGCTATCCTTCCTTACGTCGGCCTTGACAGAATATCTAGGTATCTTTCGATAACACATTCGCAATCGAATCATTTGCTCAGGGGATTACCCTGCGATCTATGCTTCATGACGTTTCAGTACCTTCAGGTTTTACAGGTTTATCTTGAAGAATTTAAATAGAATATGACAATTCAGCAATTGTTCCGCCCTTTCACGTTAATCGCTACTCTTCACTTGGTAGCGGATAGTGAAAGATCCTTGCGTGACTCCCTCATCCTAGAAGCATCAGCTGGCCCAAACTTACTTAGCGGGATAGCACGCGTATCTATGTATATTACAAGTAAATTTAGGCGTAGGGTTTGTCTTCACAAACTCGGCACGAAGACCGCGCCTACTAGTAGGTTTGGAGACGTATCAGATAATTATTACGGAGAATGGCAATTCCTTGAGTAGCCGTTCGTACGGTTTTCCCTCCAAATACGGAAAGCCAGTACGGGGAGGCTTAATAATCCTACCTCAAACAACCATTTGAATCTGAACTGCCTCGACTATTTAGGTGCCTAGGCAGGTTTCTCCAAAAACAGGTATGGACGGCTGGAAGACCGCCTGTCAGAAAGTTCTTTTTCCAACGTCTGAGGCTATCAAATATCACACCAGCTACACATGCACAATTCTTCGGACTCGGTCATCAATTAAATATCAGTAAACCGCACATAGGCCGTCTAGGTCTGCCTCCAACATAAAATGTCTGACAAGATTGTTCTATATGACCTTCCTGCCCGAGATGGTAAGGCCTGGAGTTTGAATCCTTGGAAGAGTAAGTTGCTATTGATGGCATTCCAGTACAAGTCGGTCAGCTAACCACGAACTCCGCCCCTAATCAGCTCGCCTGTTCCTTAATTACAAGGGTATTCCCTACAAAACCGAGTGGATTGAATATCCTGATTTGCAACCTGCCTTTGAGAAACTGTGGGTATTTGTCTTGCCAGACGTTGAAGCGGGCACAGGGCAGTACATGTCTACGTGCCATGCCTCGAAAGTTGCTGTTGAGGTTCAAAGGCTCACAGGCACAAGTCCACGTTCTTCCCTGGCTAGAAATTTCATGACGGGCAAAGGGCTGACCTACTTTCATTGACCATACAGTGGAATCCCACCAAATGAGAGCGGGTTCAAATACACGTCCCCGACAATCCGCCTCCCCAATGGCTCGTACATCATGGAGTCCAAGAAGATCGCATGGGACCTGGAATCCCGATATCCAGACCCACCACTCCAACTCGACCCACCCATGCTCGCACGTGTCGAAGCCATCCTCCAACCGATCGTGACTTGTCTCCGGCCTGTCTTCGTGCCCCTTGTACCCAAGGTGTTCCTCAACCCGGTCTCGCAGGCGTATTTCATCCCTAGCCGTGAAAAAGGGTTGGGCAAGTCTCTAGACGAATTCGCCAAGGGCGGCGACCAGGGTATCGAGGACGCGAAGCCTCATGTCAAGGAGCTGGCGGGTTTATTGGGTGAGAATCCAGACGGCCCGTTCTTCCTGGGGAAGCAGGTCAGTTATGTTGATTTTGTGGTGGTTGCGTGGTTGAAGATGCTGGTGCGCTTGGGCGTTGAGGAAAGGATCTGGGGCTTGGACGGTGGGAGTGAATTGAAGGCATTGTATGATGCCAGTGCGAAGTGGTTGGAGCGAGATTCTTAAGTAAAGCCGCACACCCTTGTTGTCAGTCGAATCTCGCTGATAGACTTCAGGCAACAGTCGAGCTAATACACTAGATCTAAAGTGATTAGAACAATAAACACCTCGAGGCTTCGGAGCTATACATAGTCTCCTGGCAATTCAAGTACAGTATCACGTACACAAATGAAACCCTCTGATGTACAATATCGCATGTGAAACAAGCATTTCCACAGGAGATGCCAACAATTCTCACAGCATGCGGTGCTATTTTGCACCCGAAGTCTCTTTCAGATGGGCTCTGGAACTGCTTATTCCAGCACCGACAAATAGACCACAAGCTTATCGAAATCTGTACTTCTAGGCTTCGAGTACATTCTGTAAGCCAGATCTGAATCGAACTAGGACTTCATCCTCTTCTGGTGCTCGTTGCCACTATCACTTTGAACCAGAATACTTGAGTCTATGCTGGTTAGTTACATGGAACGGGAGCCTTCATCAGGCGATAATCCGGCACCATGCAGGTAGATGATCTCGAAGACGTTGGTTCAGGCTGCAGTAATTAAGGGGGGCAACATTTAACGAATCCGGCTGGCAGCGTCTTGATACCGACGCTCGACTGTATAAATTGGGTCAAGCACAAGATTCTTGATCGTGAGTCTTGGCTCGACGTTGAAAATCATGTGATCCAGAGTTGAATCTCAAGCCCTAGAAAATTCTTGGCACAAGCCAAACGAAATCCACCCTAAGGAATTTCGGCCAAACACCAAGTCTGCGATCACGACAATCAAAGGCACCCTCAACAGCGTCCTGTAATCTCAAGACATTCAAAGCGATTGGAAAGAGTTTCGAAGACTCCAGTCGCAATCATGTCTGGACAAGCACTCAACAAGATTGCTGCCAATAGCCCTTCGCGGCAACATCCCTCTGAGTTGGAGACCAGCATCGCTACCGCCCTCTACGAACTCGAAACCAACATCCCAGACCTCAAGTCTGCTTTGAGGCCCCTTCAATTCGTCTCTGCTCGTGAGGTAGGAACCCTCACTCTAGAAAATTTAGAAGAAAAGCCGTTTCGAGGCCCCAGGGAATATTTATTGGAATTCTGAAAACTAACACAATTTCAATGAACAGCTCGAAGTCGGCCACGGCAAGCGCGCCATTGTCATCTTCGTCCCAGTTCCACTGCTGCCAGGCTTTCACAAGGTCCAACAACGCGTGACCCGAGAGCTCGAGAAGAAGTTCTCCGACCGCCATGTCCTGATCCTCGCCTCCCGACGCATCCTTCCCCGCCCCAAACGCAGCAACCGCTCCCGAACATCCCAGACTCAGAAGCGTCCTCGCAGCCGAACTCTCACAGCGGTCCACGACGCTATCCTCGCTGACGTTGTCTATCCTGTTGAGATTGTGGGCAAGAGACTCCGAACAAAGGAAGACGGAAGCAAGGTCTTGAAGGTCGTTTTGGACGAGAAGGAGCGCGGTGGTGTGGACTACAGACTCGACACCTACTCAGAGGTCTACCGGAAGTTGACAGGCCGTGGAGTTGGATTTGAATTCCCCTTGAGCGGTACTGCGGATTATTAGACGTGGACAATCGACTGGAGTGCGTCGGGTTCAAGGTGAAGCCAAAGGTGGTGGAGAAAGTCGTGTCGGAACGAGCAAGCTGCGTACTCGATATGCATACATGAGGGGCAATTCTGGTGCTTGATGCAAGCATCATTTGCATGAAAACCAGGCTCGGACATGCGATCTGCAACTGGTAGCGTTGTGCCTCGAATTCAAACGAAGATTCAAATACCATTCAATCCAGAAAATTAAAAAGCCTGTCTCGTTTGTGGCTAGTCGTATCGGCGTATGGGTTTTGGGCTTCTCTAAGGTATTTCTCTTTGATTTTACAGACGGAGAGATTCTCTCTAGGCGAACTCTCCACCGCCCAATATGTCCTTCATGTTGACACTCCCGCTTCCTCTTTCCAGCGGTTTCGGTTGGTTTTTGCTCTCTTTCCAACCGATCATATAGATAACTCGGAAGGTTGCCTGTATTCTATCCTTCTCATCCTCGTTACAGTGCAATTCTCTATATATGGCCTCATTTGCTAGCAGAACATCTCGACTCAATGGGCTACCCATAGATTTTAGTATGGCATTGCCCTCACCCATGGCCTGAACGTCGGTCATGAGGGCAAAAGTATCGGGATATTCGACGATAATGTCGTCCACGTCGACGGTCAGGAGCTTGAAGCCTGCGCGACCGAGTAGATTACCCACGTCTCGTACATCAGCCAGTGGAGAAATGTGAGGAGAGACACCTCCATGCCGCTCAATATCAGCTAATTGTAATGACGATCTAAGCTCAAAGAGCGTGTCCCCACCAAACATTGCAGCGATGAAAGGTGCATCCGGTTTTAGTATGTTGTTTATACTTGAGAGGACTGACGGCAGGTCGTTGATCCAGTGGAGTGACAGAGAAGATAGCACAGCGTCAAACGTATTTGCATCGTACGGTAGTGTCTCGAGGGATGGGAGGACAGTCTGGGTTATGGGAACGGTGGGCGCAGGAAGCGCATCATCGCGGTGCAACGATGTTGGAGACACATCGGCGCAGGTGAGATGCTGGACCCGCTCTGAAAGTGGCACTTTGGACTCCGCCTGTCCTTCTGGTACCTCGGGAGCAATCAGAGGTGGCTTGGACAGCGCTCGAGCAATGTTGCAGCTGTTGGCACCCAGGTCGAGTACCTTGCCGAACTGCCGGTTGATGTCGAGAAGTCTGTCCACTAGTCTTTGAGCGACTTCATCTTTCAAGTAGTCGACCTTTCTACTGTATTCTGCGTTTGCAGCTGTTCGTTCTTTCTGGAGGTATTTCGTGTGCCCGTTGAAGATCTGGAGTGTTGGAGCACCAGGTGCCTGGATTGCGTAGGACCTGCATTGAACCGCTCTCCTGCGCAAGGCAGATGTGGGAAGCCAGGGCCGGAGTGCTGGTGGCTTCATTCTGACGACACTGAGTGCTCAGACAAATTAATGTCTGGACTCATTAAAACTAGGGAGTGCTTTTATGATCTCAGGCATATTTCATGATGTCAATCAGAGATGGTGCTTGATTAGGAAAGCTTGCCGAACGAGGCACGTTGACCACGTCTGGCCAGTGGGTCGACGACCCTTGAATCTCAACCAGTATTTCAAGCAGCAACGCAGCCCTCCAATGAGAACACATAGTAAGAATTTGTTGCCCTTTAAGGCCTCAGGTAACTACTCTTAAAGATTGAGGAACTTGTGGTTGCTATGGGTTTAAGAGACGAACATCAGAGATGGCTCAGACTTTTCCATATACACTCATCTCTTGCCCTTGTTCGGATGCTTCCAAGAGAGCCTTGACGTCAAAAAGAAGATCTCGAGATATCGATATAGATCAAGAAATTCAAGACTCGGAAAACACATTCGACCCCCGACATCCACGGTCTGCATTTTCGCTTTTTCCACCGGAGCATTTACTGTATTGCGAAGAATGTCATGAGATCAAATGTCCACGATGTGTGCTGGAGGAGATTGCATCTATCTACTGTCCCGACTGCCTCTTCGAAAGTTCGAAGGGGATGGTACGGACCGACGGAGGTAGATGCCCCAGAAACTGTGTTCATTGCCCCTTGTGCACGTCTCAGATGATCACGGCTTCCATTGGCGATCCCAAGAACGGACCGTTCATCTTGAGCTGTAATTACTGCATGTGGAACACCCTTGACGTCGGGATCAAGTTCGATAAAGGCACTGGCATTCGTAATCAACTGTCTGAGCTTGCCGTTTCAAGAGGAGAGTTACCCAAACCAATTCAAACAACTCGACCCAGCGACGATCCGATGCGAAAGTCGTCACTCTCTCAGCCTCCCTTTACTGCATCGGAGCAGCCTCAAGCAACAGAGCCAAAGCAAGGTGATCCTCCAAAGCAGTTACCAAGCCTGACGGTACGGTATAATGCTTTGAAACAATTCTATAAAGATCAAATCGCAGAGTCCTCATCCATGGATTCCGGATTTTCTACGTCCGCTCTCGATATGGCTTTCTCTTCGCCGTCATCGGTAGCTAGAATTATGAATCTTTACATCAATAAGGACAGTGCCGTCAAGAAAGCTCCACAGAAAGCCACAATTATGCGAGAAGCCCAAACGGCGAGCGAGGGTCTTACATTTGCTGAGCCTCTTACCATTTCATCCCTCCTCCCAGACTACAGCGAGACTACAACCCTATCACAACGAGACTATCAAAATCCATCTTTCATTGGCCATCCTGATGCCTCAGCACTTAAGGACCTACGACCAATGCCGACTCTTATGAGGTCAAAGCGCTCCAAGCGATGCGCGACATGCAAACACATCCTGACCAGACCAGAAGTCAAAGTCAGCTCCGCCCGATATCGTATCAAACTCATTGCATTAGCCTATATCCCATTTGTGACGATCAAACCTCTCCCTCTCTCCGGCGGCCTGCCCCCGCCCGGGCCCGACGGGAGCGATATTGTACTCTCGGCAGGCAAACCAATCCAATTTATCCTGACATTACGCAACCCATTATTCGAAAACGTTAACGTCAATCTCGGCAGCCCTAGTGTAACGCCAGGCAAACACGGTCATCGAGTCACAATCCTATGTCCTCAATTCCAGATCGGAAAGAACAGTGATGCATGGGACGATGCGTTAAATAACCCGCCAAATCGCGGCATGGTCAACCCTGCTGGTGGAGAGCAAATCGCAGGCAAGCTCTACGACCAAGGGCGCAATTGGGCCAGTGTGGTGTTAGAGATTATACCCGCGAGTATTGTGCGGATGCACGACGAACAATTAGACGAAGACGAAGACGTCATTGAGGTTCCAATCCGTGTAAGGCTGGAGTGGCAGGTCACAGAGGAAGAGACAGGAATCGAGACGAGAAGAAGGGACAAGCGTCTGGATGAAGAGGATGCAGATGATGGGAAGAGGGAGTTGAGTTACTGGATGGTCGTGGGTATTGGAAGAGTGTCTTGCTGATTTCTTTCCCGGTCTTGATTACAGTCCATTGGTACTTGTCTTTGAGAATGATACCCAGAGCCTGAATTGTTTTTATGAAGCCACGCGTCGGACAAGTCGGACAAGCCTTCAATGTGAGCCGCCGAGTTTCATAGCCTCCGTGCCCGTTGATTCTTTTTGGAGGTCTTATCGCCTTCATAAGTCATGTAGAGCCGTTCGTCGTTCGTGTGCCAAGCTGAAGCATCTTCTTCATACCGTCCTGCGATCCGACAAAACCCTGACGATCCCGCCCACGCCGACGACCTCGGTCAGCTTCTCATGCCAACTGAGCAGGACACTCATGACCTGGCCACCGCCACCCTCGCCAAAGTTCCGCGACTGCACCTGACTGAATCCACTACCGGTTGTCTGAGGACTGACACCTTTAGTGCCGCTTCCACCAGCACCCACAGCCATGCCCTTGTAGATGTACTTCATCAAGGTATCTCCCAATGCATTTCCGCCAGGTTGTTTCAAGATCTCATTCAGTATCCTGCCAACGTCGGACTGCCTGATAGCTTGTAGGACTTCGAGGACTGTGGCAAGGTGGACTTGCTTCGCAGACTCGTCGCCAGCGAACGGCGCCGTCTCCAGTGCCGATTGTAGTGCACCCACACTGTCGCCTGCTCGGAGCAGTTGGCGCACTTGTTGGCCTATCTGTGCTGACTCGGCGGACGTGGATGGCGCGGGTAGGTTCGATGGCAGAAGCGTCGTCATAGGGAAGTTCACGGCCGCTTCCGGGTCATACGAGTCGACGTCTATCGTCCGCCAGTTGAAGTTGGCCATCTTGTTGCGTACGTTGGAGAGAAGGGCTCGAGTTCTATACGGACAATGCTCTCCACCGGGCGCGCAATGGACGTGAGTTTTAGAGTGCAAACGGTTTTATGTATCTCCCTTTACCTCGAATTTCAACGCAAGGTAAAGCCGGAGAGAATTGTATTTGAATATGAGCGGAACGTTGGCATAGCCCAAAGTCTGACGCCAGTGCGGGAGACCAGAGGGCGGGCATAAGTATGTCCGTCGAATCATATGAGTGCCAGTAGCACAATGCTACGGTCAATCACAGACCTTGACTCCCTACCCTTATTTTGATTATTTCCTAGCTCTCTCTAGCACTTCATCAACCTTAGATCTTAATTGAACCCAGCCAATTTCCGATTAAAGCATAAATCGAATATTAAACTCGGTGGTCCAAGGCCGAAATAAATCATTTAAACGAGCTCTCTAACTACTAAACTCATGTCACACCAGAAGTCCTATGAAATGGGTCGTGCTCCCTAGTTGACGACGAAACGGGCATTTTATCATGACCAAATTGACAAAATTCTAGAGTGTTCATTGAACATCGCCTTAAATTGAGCTTCTGCGTTACTACAAAGACTTGAGGCGTTGGTTTAATACGACCTTGGGCTTGCAGCAACCCCAACTATATTCTCACCAAACTTCACAGCTGTAAAAGCCTCAATTCTTGATATACCATGCCAAATCATTGGTATCATCGAGCTCGTATTCAGTGAACCCATTACCCATGAATCTGAAACGATTGGCGGAGTTGTACTCAATCTCGAAGTCTTCTCCTCTGATATCCGTAATCATGCTTCGGAAGAGCAGGGCACTCCCAGGAAACGTTGCGGTCACCCGACCGTCTATCCTGTTCTTCTTATACCAGCTCCGACACTGTCCGGTCCAGACCAGCGTCTTATGTATCTTGTCTCCATACCTGACGAACTCATTGACAGCACTCTGTTTAGGCGAGACAGACTTGATATCCTCAGAAGCTATCTTTTTCAACCACTTAATGATATACTCTGCAACCCATCCGAGTCCTTCTATCAATGAGCCATGCCCCACGATAGCATTGGGACCGGTGAATATGAAGTAGTTGGGAAACTCAGGGCATGCTAGAGAGAAGTAAGATTCGGGTTCGTCAGCCCATTTATCTGCCAGGCTGACTTTGTTGCGACCAATCACTGGATACACAGGTTGGTGGGACACGTCGAACCCAGTGGCACACACCACTAAATGACATCAGTCGTTGATTAATTGGCCCGCTGCTTGCTAGGTTGATACTTACTGACATCAACTTGATGCTCATGTCCATCTTCAGTGACTATCGAATCCCTTGTCACTTTCGCGATAAGACTCTGAGTAAGGCGGACATTTGGCCGCAAGAATGCCTCCAAATATCCAGCTCCAGGAGTGACTCGGCGGCAACCGAGTTCCCACTTGGGTATGAGCTGCTCACAGAGCACCGGATCGTTGTTGAGTTTATCTGCCATCTGTCTTCTTGCGAACTCGGAGTTGTCTTTATTCTCAACTGAACCTTTAATGAACTGAAAGACCAATGTTAGTAAGTCTTACCTAATATTGGAAACATGAATTCACCATTCTGAAAGCGCGGTTTATCCTATGGATGAGGTTTCTCCTATACTGATGGTGATGTTCTCTGTCTTCTCGGAACTTCTGCTTGTCTTCCTCGGTGTATTCTGGATTTGCTCCAATATTCGGTTTTCCCAGGAGTCTACCAGGATCCATCCGGGCCACGATCCAAGTCGGCCCTCTTTGGAAGCTTGTCAGCTGAGTACCCTCCAATCGCGCAAGTGCGGGCAGTATCTGGATTCCCGAAGAACCATTTCCGATCACAGCGATTCTTTTACCAGAATAGTCATATGAGTGGTCCCAGGATGCTGAGTGAACCTTGTGGCCCTTAAAGTCCTGTAAGCCAGGGATGGCTGGCCACTTCCAGGTGTTCAGAAATCCTTGAGCAGAAACAAGGATATCGGCATATTCTTCACGTTGACGGCCTTCGTGCTCCACGACAATTTTCCACTGGCCTGCATCTTCTTGCCAATGGGTGCCTAAAACACGAGTTCTGAACTGAATGTCACGGTCCAGGTTCCACTTCTTCACCGTTTTGGTAATATACTCCTGAATCTGTGGCCCAGTTGAATAAAAGTGACTCCAATCTGGATTTGGATCGAACGGGAAAGCGTAGATATGTGATGGGACATCGCACTGGACACCTGGATAGGAATTGACGAGCCATGTCCCACCTACCTCGGCTCGTGCCTCAAATATTGTATTCGTCACGATCTCCTCCATCTCCGGATGCTCATAACGAAGTTTATGCGCAAATATCAAGCTCGAGAATCCTGCGCCAATGGTAACAATCCGCAACTTCCTTGGAATTGAATATGCAGGTGTATTCCACAAAGGGATATGGATATTTGAGTCTTGTGTTGCGCCATTTATGCATCCATTCCTGGAGACTTTGTTTTCTGGGTTCTCTGTCTTGTGATGCTCGTCATTGAGGTGAGGTTCAGTCCCGTTCGTGGAGGCTAACTTCGTGCTGTTGTCATTCAACGCGTCAATGATAATGCCCTCACTAATACCCTCCGCAAATTCTAAGCTTTCTCGACCAGGACTCATGGTCCTCTCCTTACTTTCGAGGTAGTACTCTATGGTTTGGTTCTCTACCACCAACTGTATCATTCAATATTTTCACCGTCTTTGCAGTTTATTTGTGCCATACATACCCAGAGGGGTAGCAAGCCATCCGAGGGGAGGCATTGCTAATGTTGTTGCCAAAGACTGGCATTACCGAGAAAGTCTCCAATTCTCGGCTACGGGTAACCGCATGGGGAAATTGAATTGCCAGCTGCTGCCCCCCCATCAGAGGCATGCTTTAGGTCATTACTTCTCCAAGAAGAGTCTTAATTCAGTCTGTTCATTATGCACACAACATTATCTTAACACGACTAGCATCAGCTCAAGCCCATGACATTTCTCACTTCATAAGGCATACAGTGCAAAGCCTGGTCGCTCATCGACTGCCTTGTTCAACCCCCATGCTTGGCTGCTATCATCGTGGACAGTTGTTCTTCGCAAGTCTCGTCGGTACTTCCCAGCGAAGGAGCCCCCTTCTGCTCTGTGCAAAACACACCTGATACAGGCTTTGTTAGCTGTGTTTGTACATGATCGGCAGGACACTCACGTATTGTCCCAGATCACCAAGTCCCCTGGGTCATTCCAAGGTACGCTTAACGTGTATTTGTCCTGAGTTACATGGCGCATGAGCTTCTCCATCAGTTCTGTGGACTCTTCTGACGGCACATCTACCACGTGATCCATATGGGCAGCGACATATAGGTTCATTCTACCCGAAGGCTCATGCTTTTGCACGATGCGGTGCTTGTGCATTGGGTACTTTGTCACATCGAGGTCTTTGAAAAATTCAGGTGCAGCCTTTTTGCGCGACGAATAGAGCGAATGTGCTCCAATATAGTCGTGCTCGAGAAGTTTGGCCTTCAGTTCAGGATCAAGCTCTTCAAAGGCGGTCCTACTGTCAGCGAAGCCTGTGTTCCCCCCTGTGTTCGGTGGCGGCAGCTCATGAGCTTTCAAAATCGAATATGACGCTCGGCGGGGATTAAACGATGAGTCAACATGGAACAGAGCATTTCCCTTGTTGTACTGCGCACGCGCGCTCTCCGGGCTCAAGACTGTGTTCGTGTCGGCATCGATGTTCCCTGCATCGAAGAGCTCGTAGAATTCGTAGCGTGGCTTTCTCCCATTCGTCATGTACGGTCGAATGTCGTCCAACTCACCGAAACGGCGTGAGAATTCCACGTGTCCTGCATCATCCAGGCCGGTCTTCCGAAAGACGATCACACCATACTAGATATTCATCAGTGACCATTGATTCAAAGTCCGGTTCAAATACCTTCGCTGAAGCCGCGAGAATTTCTTTGAACACGTCCTCTGGAATCGGCTTCGAAAAGTCCACACCTTCGATCTCGGCCGCAAACGTTGGATGAAGCTTCTTGAACTTCAGAGTCTTGAACTCTGTCTCTGGGGTAAGGAGTAGTCCAGGCATGTCTGATGTTCTCTTTGCGGGTTGATTGAGATCGTGTATTGACCCTTCGAAACGTGCAACACCATACTGTAGGCCATGAAGGAGCAGGTTATATCCAACATTCTTCAAGACTCCGGCAGTTCTCCTTTGCTTTGCTCTAAACATCTGCCGAAGCCCCATATTCATGCCGCTAGCCTCCTTATTCCCACGATTCGCAATCAGCCTCGATATTCTCCACAGATGGGTAGTCATTTCGTGCGGGGAATGTATTCTGGCTCCCCCACTTTCCCCTCTACAAAAGCACAATCGTATGACCTCGAAACAGTTGTGGACGTGGGGTTGAACGGCCAAATGCCTTTGAAGTATCGCGCCTATTCGTCAGTGGCGCTCTTAGCAGTCTCTTGTCCACCTTTAACCATGCTTAAGTTCTTTTCGTGTTGCTTGCCGACTTCCGAAGCCTCCAACGGTAGGCGGTGCTTGCTTAGGGAAAGCCACCAGTCCGGACATAAATACATTTCAGTACACGAATAGATGCTTTTGGCTTGCGAAGTTTATGTTGAAGCCACTTGTTGCTAACCGTTTCATCCAACGTGCTATGCTCTCCACTCTCCAAGGGATACTAGGCCATTCCCCAGTACTGGAATCAGGAAATTTCCAGTAGGTCCGCTTGCAATCAGACATAATGTCCCAAGTAGGACATCTACTAAACCCAGGCGTCACTTGATTAATACGTGCCTGGCGTACTGCTGTAGATATGTGTTGCAACTCTCTAATCCCACAATATTGTCAATCAGGTAATCATAACGGAAGCATCCGAAAGACTGTGGACATCTGCGGACTCGGCCGACACACCGCCTGATGACGCCCGGATTCGGTTCAAGAAACGTATACCAGTGTACCAAAGACAACTGAAATGCCAACTTAGACCCTCATATCAGACCTTGAGGGCTTAAGAGCAGTCAACCTCCCCTCGCACCAGAGCGAAAAAGCGTTCTAGTAAAGCGAACAAGCGTCCCATACCTTGAGGGCTGTAAGTAGAAATTGAAGCTCAAGAGACGGGGATAGCGAACCAAAGGAAATTCCGGCGTCTTGCCACTTTGGCGTGCCTGCTGGTGTGTGCTCAGTCTCAGACCAAGCAACTGAGAAGGAAGCATTTGCTGAACAAAACTGTGTGGACAGTTTTCCCTATTTCTCGCGGCGCTCGACTTCTCCATCATCACAACGGCGGTGCCTTCCATCTCGTACGAATTCCAGTCCCAGACAGCCTATATCTGGATTGGCTCCGCATATCTGCTTACAAGTGCGGCGGTGACTCCAGCCTGGGGCAAAACAGCCGACATTTGGGGTCGCAAGCCCGCATTAATAAGCTCCATTGTACTGTTTGCCGGTGGATCTGCCATATGTGGATGGTCAAAGACTATTGCACAGCTGATCTCCGGCCGTGCTGTACAAGGTTCTGCGGCTGGCGGCATCGTTGTGCTCGTTAACATCTCGATTAGTGATTTATGGGACGCACGGTATGTCGGCCTTGTCTCTTTCTTACAGCCTTGTTTCCCACTTTGATGCTTTACAGGCATCGCAGTATGTTCCTAGCAACTACTGGGTTGGTCTGGGCCATTTCTGCTGGTGTAGGAACGCTTCTCGGTGGTGTATTCTCTCAGTATCTCACATGGCGATGGGCATTCTGGATCAATCTCCCGTGTTCCTTTGTCGCCTTCTTCGTTCTGCTCTTTTTCATGAGGTCTGTGCAACCACAATCGACGGGAGCCGACCGGCAAAAGTCTATGGACTGGATTGGCGCCGTCTCGATTATTGGAGTCACAGTTCTGATCCTGCTCAGTCTTGATTTCGGTGGTGTGGCCTCTCCATGGGACTCGCCGAAAGTTCTCAGCCTTCTTATCGGTGGGTTTGTGCCTTTGATCCTTTTCATGTTTTGGGAAGCCAAAGGCGCGTCAAATCCTCTCTTGCCAGGCCGCTTGCTTGACCGCACGTCGAAAATCAGCCCACTTATAGTCTGCTTCACGCACGGGTTTGTATGAGCTCACTCTCTCCAGATACCTTAGCACCAGTGCTGATTGATTGTAGGTGAACATTTCATCTTGGTACTTTTTGCCTCTATATTTTCAAGCTGTTCGAGGAGCCTCGCCGACCCGCTCTGGCGTACTGATTATGCCTATTGTTGTAGTACAAGCCATTACAGGCCTTGCAGTAGGAGCGATAGTCTCTCGCTTTGGATCCATCCGCTCGCTGATGTTTGCAGGGATGGCTCTGACCACAATTGGTTTCGGGCTGTTCGTCAGTATTGGTACCTCTACGTCCATTGTCAACACAATGGTGATTGAAGTCGTTGCTGCTCTCGGGATAGGAATAACCTTTCAAGCCCCGATGATAGCATACCAGTCAGTCGCCGTATCAGCAGATATTGCAGTTGCTACTGCGTTGTTCGGATTCGTCCGGAGTCTTTCAACTTCTATATCAGTCGTCATAGGCGGCGCTGTCTTCCAGAACAGTATGTCTACCCATGGTGCATACCTGAGCAGTGTTCTAGGGCCACAGCTAGCCCAGAACTTCTCTTCCTCGTGAGCAGCAACAAACGTGTTGGCAGGACGCACTCTACCCTTGTACCAACAGGTAGAGGTGAAGAAAGTATATGCTTCTAGTTTTAAGGATATGTGGATTATGTACATGGTTATTGGCGGACTTGGCCTTGTCCCCACGTCCTTTGTGAAGAAGCATGCACTTGCAGAGACAGGCAGTGAATCACCGAACACAAACAACGTGGAGCTTATGGGGCCTCAAAATTAGTGCCATTCTATCTGCATGCGTAGAAATTACAGTTCCGGTCGGCGCAAGGCTGAACGAAGACCTGAATAAATCGTTGTCAATGTGACTCGTCCTACCGCAATCACATTCATTTATGATTTTTTAGGATATCAGACCGCGAAACATGAGTGGACGGGATAAAAGCGCCATGTGTAAAGTCAAGTGGAGGGCAACTTCAGGATATGGATAAGGCGGTGCTCTCCAATTTCGATCGAATTCTTGGACCTCAGGAAACGAGGAACCCGCATTCCAATGGGGAGCACAGACAAAACAATGTTCAAGGACAAAGACGACAGGTTTATCCCTTGTACATGACATCAATGACGTTTTCCCTCGATAATGGCAGGGGATCACAGCAATGCTCCGTTGTCCTGCAAGGCCCCATAACCAGAAAGAAAGCACACATATGCAGTCACAGCAATCAGCAACTTGAGTTTGCAATGCCGACCGGATGGCTCGAAGAGGAGTTCAACTCTAGTCCACCATATAGCCCTCAGTACAGCCCTTCGCAGTCCAGTCACGAAGCGCAGGTAAGGGTCGTCGAAGCGGTACATAAAATTGAACTTCAGGCAATGCCAGCTATGAATCAGTCGGCTTCCGGGATGGAATCACCGCCAATCTTTCAACATTGTACTGAGGCTGCACATGGGGCATTCAGACCCGCGGTAAGGGAGGTTGAGGATGGGTTTAGAGCTTCTCAAAGACGAGGATACCCACCGCAATCATGCCAATCATGCACGGCAGCCCAAGAAGCAGAGATGAGCACAGTACTTCCAGGATTATCAACATCGCCAGTCGGAGTTGGCTTGGGGATCGAACTAGAAGCGAAATCTGGCCTTGATTCCTTGTTTAGGGCTAATGACCCTGTAGAAGACCCAGAACCTTCTCACTATCACGACAATGATGATGAAGGATCAGGATTGGGAACATTGAGAGTGTTCGAGCCCGCAATCCAGCAAAGTTATGTACAGGAAATCAAACAACTTGCACGGCAAAGGTTCGAGCAAGACCTAGCTGGCGCCCGCGGCAGTCCTGTCGAGTCAACCCTCCCAGGGCGTCAGCACTCACATCTATCGGAAGGGATAGGAGCACTTATAGTCGGTGGTCACGATATCTCTATGACTAGGTTTACTCATAATGAGAGTAATCATGAAGATTGCGGCTGCTACGGAAAATTTAATTGCGTATGTCGCCCCATCGATTGTCTCTGCGATGGTTGCGATCATAGTGACCAGATTGATAAAATGATGCAAGAACGTTGGCAACGGCGCATTGAAGTATCAGGATGTGGCTGTGCAGGTGATGAAAGCAAGTGCTCCTGTTTACCAGGGTTATGTCGGTGCGACAATTGCCATGAACATTCACGAACCAAGAGTCCCATTGGACACCCTCCGAGAGGTGGCTACGACTCTGGGCCAAACAGACCACCATGGCCATGGCAGTGGCAGGACGTGTTTCCTGGTGGAGAAATGATCTTTGATGATACAGGAAATTGGGCGGTCAGATCGAAATTCCCACCGATACCGTGGAAGGTCGTGAAAAGGTTTATAACTGAAGCCCTGCCATTCCCGCACAATATGTCACGGGAAGAGCGTGACATGGCTCTTCAAGACTTCTACAAGTTTGCGCACGGTCAGGAAATGCACCAGAGCCCAGGAGTTGATGCTTCGAAACGTGCCAGTGCAGAAAGCGATAACAATCAGATGGAAGAAGCTGGTCATTGTTCTTGCTCGGCGGGTGGAGGTTGCACATGTGCCTCAAGTGCTTGCAATTGTGTCGGAAGCCTGGAAAGTAGGTTGTGCAAAGATACCCCTTCACAAGTGACAAGCCTCACAGTCGAGTCCGCCTGTCTTTGCACCTGTGGAGGCAGTTGTAAGTGCCTATCTTGTGAATGCGGACCATCAAACAGTCTCTCACTAGTTCGTGATTCACACGATCATGAGTCAAATCTAGTGCGAGTGAGAGGTGAAGCTGTTCATCCTCCGAGGACCTTGCTCTCAGTCTTAGACCTTTCTGGAGTTCCAGGCCCTGAATGCAGATCGCAAGCGCCAGCATCAAGGCCATACTCCTATATCCAGACTCAGATGCCACCCAGTCGTCCTGACACACCACACCTGTACCCTGATACTGCCCCATCAACACCATATACATCTGAGATCAGACCGGAATATATCGAGCGGGATACTGAGTTCGAGTCAATACGCCAAAGCGTTGAGCCTGAAATGCTGTTAGCAAACTGGCAGCGTCAATCAACCCCAGCCCATCAGGATCGCTCTCTTACACCGTCCCCGATTTCCAGGAGAGGAGACGTAGACATGCTTGATAGTCCACTTGGTCGAGGTGAAGTGCCGCTCATGTCGCCCCCGATCACCTCGGTCGGAACCAATACTGGTCGGCCTATTTCACCAACACGGCCGCCCATACCGCCCATGCCTACTGGATTGAGTCCATTTAAAGTGGCTAAGCGCGATGAGAGACACAAGTCTGGAGTTCAGGGCTCAAAAGTGGACAAGCGATCAGTAACAGGGTTGCCCACGAAAGCCAAGGCTAGGTCGAAGAGCAGGAGTATCACCAAAAAGCTGAACTCTAATCGTCAGCCACATCCGACTGTAGGAGAACTTGTCGGAGGAGAACAGAGTACTATGGAAATTTCTGACAATGCTGCAGTGACCGAGCCTGCACTATTTCCTTTAGGACGGGTTGGCGCAGAAGTGGCGAATATTGAGGCGCAGATCAGCCAGCGGGAAGAAAAGGACACCAAGCAGAAAGACGGAACGCCAGTACGGCGAAGCCAACGCAAGAACAAGGGTGTCAGGAATTCCTCGGAGTTGTAAAAGTAGCTCAAACACCAAAAATTCTTCAGTGACATAGCACTTGAACCCTTCCAAACAATGCATCTCTCCAGGACCGCGTAGGACATGAGGAGGTAATATTGACCCAGAGGAAGTCGCGGAGACGTTCACGCCCAACGCAAAGAACAAAACCTGGATGATCGGTGGGAACCCCTCCCAGGCTTGCGAGATGCCCCCCCATAGGACCATTGAGGAGCGCCAGGACATCGAGATCAGGTACTCCATTGTTCACGCTTGTCACTCGGATGTCTCCAAGATCGAGGGAAGGAGTTCTCGGAGGACGTGTAGTGAACTGTGCAGGTTTTAGCAATTGAGAAGGGTTTAATATGGATCATTAGCCACTAACTTGATCAAAGCCACAGCCCAGCCTTGCTCCGATCACGCTGGCTCTCATCTCGTTCGAAGATCTCGTATTCGACGCCAAATTTCCGCAGGATCTGTGCAAGTGCGAGTCCTCCAGGTCCAGTTTCGATGATCAGGACCTTTTTGTTTTTGTTTGAAGCTGTCATTGTGGAAAGCTAGAAAGCAGCAAGTTCATGGAGAGTTCTAGAGCGCTCTCAATGATAATTGAGCGATTTGAAGAAGACTTATTGAGTACACTATTTCTAGAAGAAGAGCCTCTCTGAGAGGCTGCGTCAAAGCCATGCATGACGCAGTCATCTACCTATTTAGAAATTTCAATGCCGTTCTTTCTCGTGATTTAGCCCGACAAAGATGACGTAGCTCTAGTTGTGGTCGTGGTCAGAAATACAACGAGACTTCTGCAACTCTTCATGAGACGTTATGACGAGCACTCTCGTAACAATGGTAGCATGGACATCACTCAGATACGACCAAAGCAGCCATCAATAATTCAGTTAGCGATTCGATGTGTTACATTTGACTTCGTGTTGACAACCAAGGCGAATCGTTTCACCACATGGAGTAAGAGGGGGAGGCGGTAAGAACATATCTTTCAGCTTTTTTGCTCAAAGAAAAGCTGATCGGTAGTCATAGACCATCCCTGAAGAAGAGCTTCGGCATATGCAGGATGGGAGAGTCTTTCACCTCCGGTCGGCCACTTCATACTGATTTGGTATCCATGACATTTTCCAGCGTGCGATGGACAAAGACTCATTGATTCCTCACCAGGTACAAGTGGTTCCAGAGTACAGTTTCACAGATAGTGGTAGCACGGCACTCCTTATATGAGGTAACTCCAAGATGAGAGGACTTACTCCAACGAGATTCTGAAAGGATTCTGGACCTGATTAGTTCGTGACCAGGGGACGCTCTGCTATATGATGTGGTAACACGCGCCAATAGTCAGTACCATGACTACTGTTGAAACTGTACCCATGCGACGACACAACTGGCGTTCTATGGACCAGCGGGACCCGGAAGATTGGGTGGTTGGACATGATGTATTTTCGTGCCATCCGATTCCGTCTGTTCATCAGCACTAAGCTATTACCTGACAAAACCGACTCTCAAAGCAAGCAGCAAGAGCAGAGCATTCGTAAGAACAACGAAAATAGTGACAAGTTTGAGGTACTTCAAATATTATTGGGATAGCAGTGTAACGATCAAGAAGGGAGGCTGCAAATGGCAGACTGTATGTTGTTCACGAACCGTTTGGCTGAAGCGTAGCCCCTATGTTCAGGGGCTTGTTCAGCGACTCTAGCCTTGCACGTGCAGAGAAAGTTTCCCGAGCGGTTGCCTCTTGGCGCATTTCTTACCTCACCTCATCTTTCTCGCTGTCGTTTCCATGGTAGGCCTCGAACTATCTAGAAATTTCCACGAGCTCGACATGATTCTGAATTTCCAAGCTGCAGCTGATACATCTAGTTACTGGATGCTTTCCTTGATTTCCTTGGCTACGCCCTTTCCAGATTTGCTAGCTAACTCTACCTCACCTCTCTACGCAGCAAACTAGCTTAGGACGAACCAATAATATCACTTTGTGCGCTTGACACTGGAGTTTTTCATGGCGACGGTGTTAAAACCAATGAGTGGCATCTCGGCCGTGCAAGTGTGGTCTACTGATCGGCCTGCGACAGCTTTTTATATGCCCAGAACGGACACAGCTGTTCTCTCTTCAATCGTTAAACGGAAGGTTTTCTGCCCCTACATTACCTGATTATTCAAAGCTACCGCTAAATCATGGTAAGCAACTTGCCTATTAGGTCGACTACTTCTAGAGTGCCAGTAAGATCGTTATTGGGGTTGAGTTTCATAATTACCATCCACATTTACCCATGAATTACAGTGTAACTCGACCCCAAAACCATGCATTACACCTGGTGGGTCTTACAACATCCAGGACGTTGATTTTAAAGCTACTGCCATTATTTCTGCCTAGCGCAGTGCCATTTTGCCACTTCTCCCGCTTGATTCAAGTCTAGGCTGAATGATTTTCAGGGTACAGGATCTTCCTCTTCCTAGACAGTGAACGGGGTTTCTGCTTGTTCTGTCATAAGCTTCTATTCTGAATATTTCAATATCTGCATTGGTAATGACAAGATGCTTGGATATTTCGGCTCCATGAGCTAGATGGTTTTGGTATCTTACCGAGGGCATTGAAGGTGCGAGCGACACAGTGGCTTTATCCTCCAACCATTTGCCTTTTCAGGGTCCACACCGCCTTCTTCCACTCAAACAACTCTTTCCACCACATTCAGAGCGCCAAGAGACTCGGTGGAAAGTAGCTCGCGTACGGCCTTCTTCAGCTCATTCACATGTCTCCAACAAGCACCTCTATGTCCTGTCGGTGGCAGAAAGGCAAAACATACTTCCACTATCGAGTCCTCTGCCGTCCACCTGACAACACACTCACGCTAGGATAAAACGAAGTGAGATCTTTTGGCTCCGTATATATCTGCTTGTCTGACCGGATCAACTTATGGGACGCATACAGAGGTAACGTTAATCGACTTCTGATACGGCTGGAAATTTTGTCTCTATTCGGGCAAATGATTACGCGGTTTTCCTGACATACAGCTGCAGGCAGAGAATGATGGAGAACTGCGTGCCCAGAGACTCGAGTAAGGTATCATCATCTATGTCTGGCGAAAGGTGCCCTGTGTTACTGCCCATTTTTGGCACACCATTGAAGCAGTGAGTATGTAACTCGAAAAGCCTTGATCCTCATTCATACTATCTCCCAGCCAGCTCCCAGTATTTTACTATGTACAATATCCACTCTTACTGTTGCTGATACCACAAGACAAGCGACATCATTCAGATGTCACTCAGGCTCTTGCTCTTCTTCAACGGTGGCTTGACGGCCGCAGGACTCTTGCTTAGCGATTTCAAGAATTCCTCCTTTCTTGATCCTGTCAGATTCATATGCTCGGCCACAAACGTCCTGGGTGTCTGCGCCAACCACTGTTCAACACTGAAATCCTCAAATCTTGGTGCTCTGAACATCTCCAACATCTCCACAGGCCCGTCGCCGACATTCTCAACATAGTGGGCGTGATTCTTCAGAACCACCATCACGTCACCAGCCTGGTAGTTGAAGGTTCGGGCGCAACCGTTTGACGCGAATATTGTGACACGGGCCTTGCCGCGGATGAAGAATGACCACTCGTCAGCGTTGGGGTGCCAGTGCATCTCCCTCAAAGCGTCAGGGTTGATGATGACGTGCGCAGCCGCTACGGTCTTTGAGATAGGGAAATTGGTTGAGTCGACGATGCGAACCTCGCCACCATCAAACTTGAGAGGCTTCTGCTTTAGGAGACGGTGAGTAAATCGATGCTTAGAAGCAATGACTTGAGAGCGATCAGAATCAAGTGAGCCGGGAATGGAACCCTGGAAGATATATTTCTCTATGGCAAAGTTAGCCAGATCAGTTTGATTTCTGTTGGGGCAATTGATAAGTACCGTGCCTTGACAGTGTGTCGAAAGTGCGAGCATCCACACGGAAGTTCTTTGCTAGAATATCCTTTGGTGTTCGAGCAAGATAATCAGTCAAGAGGAAGGTCGAGTCTTCGCTAAAATTTCCATCATCAAAGACAAGCAAGAATTCGGTGCCTTCGTCTCCAGTGCCAATGATCGAATGGGGATATCCGGTTGGGAAGTACCTGCACGTCCACGCATCAACATCCATTCCTCAATCAAGCCACCGAAAGTATAAGCACTTACCAGAGATCACCTTCCTCAAGGTCATCAATGAAACTTCCCCCTTCAACATCCAGAACTGTCATTCTGCAACTTCCTTTCAGAATATATGCCCATTCGGCTTCTGAGTGCCAATGAAGCTCCCGATATACGCCAGCTTCGAGGCGCATATTGACACCAGCCAATTCCTTGGAAGTGCCTAGTTCGCGCACTGTCGTCTCGCGTGCCCAGCCACCTTCTTCAAGACGCATATGTGAGTCTGTGAAAGACCTGTGCTCCATTAACACTCTCCTCAGAACCTAACCTTCCGACTATACGTACCACTTCATGTTTGGCATCTTCCCCCCATCTGTGCTCGGTGGGCGCACCAGCGAGTAGCTCTGCTCAGCACGTTCTGGGTTATCGGGGCCGAGGATATTACTACCCTTTTCACCACGCTTTGGGACCACTCTATGTCATGGCTGGTTAGCTACTATGATGGACGGCGGTCTCTATCATCTGGGAACTAACCCATGGGCCTCCTTGACGCGCTGAGGGATGATCTCCTCCCATGTGTTGAAATTGGGGTCTCTACGTTCGTCGAGCACAGAAGCCATTCGGTGAGTCATCTCCGCGGTGTCTGATGTGGTGGTGTATGGAGTAGTCGTACCAGTAGTGAGGTTTGTTGAAGTCGAACAACTCTCGATATGATGAGTGCTTTGTATGAGCTTGCGGGTCATACAGTGAGTGCTGGGCAGAACTTCTGAGAGAGAGTAGTGCTAGTAAAGCACTGGGGGTTCTCCTGATGTTAAGAGCTACATGAAGAAGTATTCGAAGAGCATTGCTTGGTGTCCTCTCTTTCAAATATAATTCAACCGCCTTGGTACAAACAACCCTGTGTGAATCTACTACTCTAACCTGGTTTTGATGACCCCATGTTTGAGGCGCATCCACTTCGAGATTAATCTTCATAGACTGGCCTTGGAGATATCATTCCACGACTCGCGGGCTGGGTGTGCACATGTTCCTCTACCAAACGCGTAAACAGGTCAACAGATGACCAGTGCTAAAATGCCGGTGAGACAAAGAATTGTGGCATGAGGACTGTATGGTATTGGCTTGCAGCGATGGGTCAAGTCAGACAATGCTCCACAACCACCGCGAAGAGGACCAAGCCGCCCAGATGCCCCAGGCTAAACGTTCACCCTCCGTCCGCCAGGCCCCAGAGCCTTCTCCTCTCTTCAGCTTAGTTTTAGTTCTGAACCCCCATAGCAGGGGCCCAAAATAGTCGAACTATGCACTTTCAACAGCGTTGTTTCGCGGGGTACTTGTCTGTGGGCATAGGTTTGGACCTCAAGCTTATCTCCATACGACAAGGGGCAGAGGCCTTCGGCCCAACACCCTGAGCAGCTCTGTGGGCCAAGGTGCGAAATCTTTGTGCCGCGACTTTGACAAATCCTGAATGGGAGACCCGTTACTCTTGGAAACGTCAAAGCCCCTAGTGTTCTCCTGTGGACGGAACCTTGGCAGAGATCTTCAGCTCCATCTGTCTGGGGTGTCGAGATGGGACGAGGGAGATCTTGGAGAGGGAGTAATCAAGCACACTTCTCAAAACTTTCCAAGACACGTTGACCACCGTATATTTCCTCGTCTAGTCTTCCTCAGTTGAGCACTTTCAGCGCTCCTAGCTCTAAGTGAAGAGTCTACGCGTACTTCCAGAATTGTGAGCACTTCGAGTTCGATCTATTGCAGCTTAAAGAAAAATTTACTCAGCAAGCACTCATTTCTGCGAGCTATTTCCAGGTCCACGCCGGATCATCTTCACTGTAAATTTGTATCGGTTTCTCATTGGAAGGCTTGGGTGTGCTGAGGCCACAGAAGCACCATGGCAGGAAAGAAGCCCAGCGTAAGGGCAAGAATCGAGAGCATTTCTTCTCCATCCACGTCAGATGCAGACTCGGAGTCGCAGGTGTTGAATGGTAAGTTAGTCTTTGAAGCAAGCCCGGGCCGTATTACAATTAACATTCGCATCTCGATTGTCACAATGTCACTACGTACAATCTATATACCTACACTCAGAGGTTTCTACAGTACTGACGATCGAGATCAGGCTACGGCAACGGGGCGCTTAAAAAGCAGTCTCGCATCTCGAGGGTTAAAAGCCTCATGGCTCAAGATGTCCATGAAGACTGGTCCGACATAATTCTGGTCATACTCAGCTTCATATCTGGTATGGTCGACTCTGCGGTTTTCAACACCTGGAGTTGCTTCGTCAGTATGCAAACAGGTAAGTCATGCCCAGCCTCAAGATAGAGCTCCGTATTCAGCCTTAATCACCTCCGATTTTGATGCTACCGAGAAAACCCAGGGCTGACTGACATAATGTCTTAGGAAATACTGTCTACGTTGGTCTCGGTGTATCTGGCCAGCCACACAGCCAGCCATACCGATGGGTGAAATCCAGCACTGCAATTGCCTCTTTCTGTGCCGGCTGCTTTTTCTTCTCCAGGGCCTCTCGTTTCCTAGGTCCTCTCAAACGCAGCACCATGGTATCTTCCTGTATCTTCCAAGCAATCTTCTGCTTCGCAGCAGTTGCAATGGTCATTACAGGCTTCGTGCCAAAGGATGCAGGCGATAGACTACCCCATAACTTTATCGTTCTGCTACCACTCATGCTCTTGAGTTTCCAATCCGCAGGACAAATCGTCATGTCCAGATTCCTAGGGTTTGTATGTCAATAAATACCTTCCCCTCTCAGTATTTTTGAAGCTTCTCTAACACTCAAAGAACGAACTTCCTACTGTGGTCCTCACATCGACTTACTGTGACCTATTCATGGACGCAGCTCTATTCACTCTCCCAGTCGCACGGGGAGGGAATCTCAAGCGCAATCGTCGATTTATTTCTGCAATTGCTCTTGTTGTCGGCGCTGCGATCAGTGGCTTCCTGACCGAGGATGGTGACATTGCACACCCCCTCTGGATCACAGGAGTTCTGAAGATCTTTATTGCTATGACATGGGTATTCTGGCAAGGGAAGGGGGCTATTCGTCTTGAATAGAACTCCAGTGCATGTGCCAGGCATGGAGCGTTAGTAAGTGTCCAGTTAATGTCGTGACAGGAATGTGACGGTCAGCGACATTTTCTGGAATTCAGGAGCAAAGGTGCATCTGAGCTTATGTGATGTACTTTTTGCTTTTGTGTACTCGAATTGGAGTTGCTAGGGAGCAGCGAAGAGGCCATTCATGGACAAGTGCGTGATGTCGAATTGGAGGTACAAGCGTTCTAGCAGGACTAGAGCAAAAAACGAAGTAGTAGTGGTAGCAATCTAGCTAGTCACTCAGCCTCGGGCTGGGTAAAAAATTCGTAGGAGGCCTTAGCGCTTGACTCCTGTCCACAGACTTGTGACTCCCTTGGTCAGATATCGACTGCATTTGTAGATAAGGCCTCGCTTGTTTTTGACATGAAATCAGTGGGGTAAAATGCAGTTTTGCTTCGTGACCGCCTGATATCTTAGCCCCCAGGTGTATGTTGGAAAACTCAGTGAAGAATCTCACTAGAAAAAAGGTGGGAACTGGTCCGGCTGAACATATCAGCGGTCACTAACGAGCTTCCAGACTGGATCGCTTCAAGTACCTAGGTGGACACAACTGCAATTCCGATGGTTATGGGATTTAGTGGTCTGTCAAGAGCTTCCTTGATGGTTTGGTGATCGTCCAACCGTTTCAGCGAGTGGATGAAAGCGGTGACTGTCTGTGGCTGGACAACCACATGTTTGATCAATAGGAAGGGGTAGCTGGAGGCCTCTTTGCGAAAAGGATGAGCCACTCTAGAAGCTAGCCATCCGAAAGCCCCCACAACATTCACTGTGAGATAGTAGCTAAGGGGATGCTTAACAGATACCCTTTGCTATACCAAGGGAGATATCAGCGAGGCGTTTCCGGAATGAAATCCTATATAGCCGGAGAAATGTGGAACTCGGTTCTTCAAGCGTGCACAGACTTCTGCAACAGGCACTCGAAGATAAAGCAAATCATAATCCGGTTTCATCCTATATATATGTCGGAAAATGTCTCTTCCATTGAATCAAGGCTAAATCGTCCAGCCACGTAGGCTACAAGATACAAACATCGCTGTCCTGGCGTATCAATCGTCATGTCCAAATGCAAAGGACAACAAGGCTACACATGGTCGCCGTTATGCATCGAAGAGAGTTGAGACTCATCAAACTTTCTCACTAAAATCCTCCTGGGTCGATGGGGTCTGGCTCACCTGTTTAGGGATTCAGTATACTCTCACCATGCCAAGTATAAAGGGGTCCAAATATGAAATTTCATACCTTTTCTCGGTGTTCCGCTGCCCCGTCGTCTCCCTTGCTCACCAACTCAACGCTTTCTGACACGATTGGTCTTCTCTCTACCGCATCGGCAACACATCTATAAACCCGAACAGATTTTGCGCCTGTTGGTTTCTCGGGGCTACTGCCAGCTGACGAGTCGGCGTCGATCATGTCCCAGCCCGCACGCTCAAACCTGAACCTAACACCATCGCCCATAGAAGCAAATCGGATCTCACAATCTGCGCCGCCATACTTCTTCACCTCAGCGAACACTTCTTTCATGACATGGAGAGCCGTGACGTCTGCAAATGTGACTTTGGTAAAATCCATGACTACAATTCGAACTGGAGGGAGATTGTTGACATCAAGACCGGCTCTCTTCCGGAGTTTCTTGACACGTCGCTCTCCAACAACGGACCAGATGCGATCCTTTTCAGCACCGTTGGCTGACGAGTATGCTGGTGCATGGTACGTCTGCACTCCATCAACCAACTGGTTCTTGACTCTTGTGGCATTGGGGAAGAAAACGCTCTCCTCAAACTTGAAGATCTGCACATCCTCAGGAATGTGGGTCGGCATACCTCGTCCGCTATCAATTGATCGGACAAGCTCGGAACGAGTGTGGCTGCCGATGATGCGAGTCCGCATCCATGCCAGACGGAGGAGATAGTATACGATGGACCAGCCGACACCGACGCCGATGCCGATTTCTGCGTCGACGAAGAGCGTCAGCCAAAACGCTAACATCGCGGCAATGAAGTCTGCGAGGGAAGTTCTCCAGAAGTGGTAATAAGTCCTCCAGCTACCAACCAGTGGCCAGATGGCTGTGATTATAATAGCTGCAAGAGTTGCCTTAGGGATCCAGTAAAGTGCGCCGGTAAGTTCATACAAACAAAGGATCACCACAGCAGTTGTGACAATACCTGAAAGGGGAGATCGAACGTTGCACTGTGAGTTGACAGCAGTACGCGACATCGCACCACCAACTCCCATAGCGGTGAAGAATGAATTGAAGAAGTTTGTGATGCCTAGATAGCAGAGTTCCTGAGAAGGGTCTGTCAGGTAATTACCACGTGCACCGAATGCACGGGCGATAGCGACGTGCTCGACCGAAGCGGCAATAAAGGCAGCAATGGATCGCATGGGAGTTTTGGCCAGCAGATCAGCTGGAGGGACCGCCGGTGGAATGATGCCCTTGTGAGTCATCTCAGTGACCGCGAATAAATAGTCGTCCTCTCCACGGTTCTTGTTTACGCCGTATGAGATGCCAGTGTATAGAACAAGCACGGTGAAAGCGCGAGTGATGGAGAGCATCCAGGCAACCTTATTCGTCTTGCCCCATCTGGTACCCACATGTTGTAAGAGGCACAAGATGAGAACTCCAGTAACACCGATAGCTGCAGTAACCCCATTGGCTTGAGGCAACTTCGCAAAGGTATCGTGCACGATATTCGCAAATCCTGAGCGGATGCCCTTCTGTCCGATAAGGTGTTTGATCTGGCCAGAGCCGATAATGATGGCAGCGGCGGAGATGAAACCGGTAAGAACAGGCTCAGAGATAAACTCAAGCAGAAACCCCAACTTCAAGAAGCCAATGACCATGCAGTATACTCCCATCCACATGGCAACCGCAGCGGCAATGGCAGCGGGCTCGTAGCCTTCAGGCTCTAGATGTTCAATGACCTCCGCGGTCAGTAGGCCAATCAATGATGTTGGACCAGTGGAGAGATCTAGATGGATTAGTTGATGAGCTTTGCATATACCGAAAAGATGTTCCTGAACCTACCTTTGGAAGTCCCCATAAATGCGTAGACGGTGGCGGGAAGCCAACTAGCCATCAGACCATGTTGGACAGGAATCGTGGCAATTGCAGCGTACGCCAAACTTTGGGGAATCAGCATGATACCGAGGGTCAACCCTGCGATAACATCGCTGATCGCCCATCGAGGGTTATATCTCGGTAGCCATCCTACGATGGGGACCTTGTCCAGCAAGTATCCGACAGCGGTAGCAGGGGCAGCTTTGGCACCAATAACTGAATATCTCCGAGCCCGTTCCCAATTGACATCAGTGCGAAGAGAGTGTTTCACGTCGCTAATAAACTTCATACTGGGCAGATGTGAAAAAGTACACACGGAATAAAAAGTATCAAAGATGTCTAAGGACAATGAAGAAAGATTGATGAACGACGGAACCAGGTGTACATGTATATCAAGCAACGTGTGAGGTTAGCAATTCTCCTCCTCCAGTCCCCGGTCGATATTTCTCCAACTCAGGTGTGGTCATATGTCGCGTGGGCAGCGAAATATGAGTGGTGTTTGATCAGACTTCCGTCACCGAGGAGCTAGATCGACGCAAACTCGAATTGAGCGTAAAGAACCAGTCACCTTGATGGCAAGCAATATGGAAATTACAGCATGGCGTCCGGGGTTTGTGTGCTTGACAAAGTCAGAAAGGTCTGGGCAACAGAGGAGGGTGGCATGTGAGTGGTCGCGGGGCAGAAGAGGTTGGACGTCAGGGCGCTGGTGCGGCGCCAATGTGCCAAGCGTGCCGCCAGGTGGAGCTTAGCCAGGCATATCAAAACGGCCCTCTACTGATGCTAGAGCACCATCCTCCCACCCCGGACTGTTCAATGCGGGGGTGGAGGCGAGAGGAGGGCGAACCAATTTGTGCGGTTTTCTCCAGTTCGATAGCCCGCCTTGCCCGCACCCTGCAGAAGGCATTACAGCAGGGACTTCCGGTGCACATCCCTCCCCATACGAGCTCGCGTGAACATTCTACCGGAGATGACGGCAGGGTGAATGAATAACCGTGTCATGCCTATATAAGTCCTTCCTGGGGAGGCGTCGTGCCAAGGTCGGCTCTCGAAATAAGGGCGGGATGCCAAGAACAACGTGCAGACCCTAGACACAGATATTGGGCAGGATGCCGCCTGTTCATACGGCAATGTGCGCTGCTGACAGTTGAAGTTACAACAAGAAAGACATGTAATGACTGAGTAACCGCGGCATTTGGCACTTGGACCGTGTAAGGACCTCCCTAATCGAGATGCCGAATACTTGCATGCCAATCCTGCACTACGAAGTTACTTATGTCTTGGCTGTGGGCGGGCTAAACCTGAGCAACCCGCCTAGCTGGCAAAGAGCCAAGGTTGAGTTCGTTGTATACGGGCTAGGAATTCCGTATACAGCGTCAGCCTTGAACGCGTGGACCGACTCCTATGAGTATTGATTTACGATGTATCAAGCTCTCATCTACATCTCAACATGTAATGGTACTCAAGTTTGGCTGGCTGATTTGTCGCCACTCACCATATCCGATAGCAAGCCGCTGGGAGTGAGCCCAAGTCAAAACGAGATCGAATGGAGATGATGGCTTGAATACGTTGTACTTCGAAGACGCTAGGATTACGGCATTCTGTTCATCGGTGATGGCGGGCGCGTGATTACTACCATTACTAGTGCCTCGAAGAAGGAAATACGCGAGTGAGACAGGCTTGATCAAAACGTATGTTCTAAGATTCCCCAGGAAACAGGTTTCACATCACTAAATATCACCCAAATGCGCTTGTACAGCCTGTTCAGACACATAATGGCACCTTACGGTGGATTGAGTGCAAGTCGGGGTGTGTCTCCATGATAAGAGATGTAGCTTTGGAAGTGGATTGAGGTTGAGATTAACAACGGGACCATGTTGTATAGAGAAAACATCCACGTCAATGAATCACAGATGAAACCGTGGTCTACAACACCTTGATGTCCTCGCAATCCTGGTGAGGATCCCGAGACGTCCACGATGAACTTGATTCATAGAGACAACGGCTATCAATCGGCGATCTGGATGTCGCCCAGGGGGCACAGATTCCTGCCATCCGACCCACTTTTTTACACGATGTACTATGTATGGATTGCTGTCATGTTCTGCTATCCGCACTTATAACTTGTTAAAAGTTTTGCCTCCTTGAACCGTATTCTTGTGGAGATTAGAGTCATTCACAGATTCACAGCTTCTAGCCTCGACGAGGTCGGTGGGGCGACGGCCGCGAGGCACCCTGCCCCGGTGATAAGGTCCAAGCTGAGGTCCTCTCGAAGACTCCAGAGGCAGTGCGATTCCCTCAGTATTTAGATTAGCCAAAAAGGATTCCCACTGGAATATGCCTATCTCTATCTGTCTCGAGACCCAGGTGGTCCGATTAAAATTGGAATTGATTGTTGGGTTAGTAGTGAGACCTGACTCAGCTGCACTGTCCGTTCAAACTGAGAAGAACGTTGCTACCAGATTTCAACCCTCAATAAAAGCTCGATATAGATTACTATGTACATATCTTCCACGTCCTCGTTTGCCCACAGGTTTCCTACATCCAGGAGAAGAATGCCTGTAGCTGTCTCCTTGTTCGTCCGGTCCTCCATCCCCCCTTTAAACCTACAACTTTACCCCCAAACAAAGGCCCAAGTTTTCAGCACCATATGCTATATAAATACCCGTTATCCGTCTGCTGTTCTAACATCATGGCCGTCTCTGGATCGCTTCACATGTTTTCCATGCTCTGGCGGAGGTGGCAACATCGGTTCATAAAATGAAGATGGCTTGCCCAAAAGAAAGTTGCGGAGATTCCTCCTGTTCAATGGCGTCTAGACTGGGTAAGCTAATCGACGAAAGTGACTTGCTATATGTTTGTTGCCTTGAGAAAAGTAGTAGCATAAGCAAAACAGACTCAGTTTTAAGGATGACTTTAAGTTTTGTTCCTAGAAGGGTTAGATTTTATGAGACCCGGGGTCGTACTCATCATGTAAATTGAGTTGTCTATAGCGGAACGATTTTACTAGCAAATCTGATACTACCCCGGGAGTGGGCTGCGAAGGTTCTGGCAGAGACTACTCATATTGCTGTTAACTCTAAGCTGGGCTACAGTAGCGCCGAGATCAGAATGACAACGACCCTTGCCTAAAGAAGAGTTAGGAGTTTCTCGCTACAGACTGTCAATGACCATCCTAATTCTCCGTAGTCGAACGCCATCACCAGATCAAGAGGTATCTAATAAACTCGACCTCAAACCCTATGTAGTCATGAGTCCCTTCCACATCGACCTTCGCGCCTGTGCATGGCCCGAGCCTAGTTGCTTCAGTCCGAGATATTTCGACAAGTGGGGCTGAGAATGCGGTTCTCACATATATGTGCCCTTCTGGCCCTATGCCACGCAATTGCTACGATTTTCTCCGGAGGCCGAGGAGGCACGATTCAGCACACTTCCTCAATCACGCCCGTAGTACATAACCATGTAATCACCCCATGCGTTCTGACCTTTCCACCTGCACGAATTACAGGTAGGTTATATGTAGCTTAACCCCAATCCGGAGCTTACTAAGTCTGCGACTATTTAGGAGATACTATGTATTTTGTAGCTAAGTAGGCACCTAGGGCACATTTGTGACTAACGACGATTTCAAGGTACGATGTGAAGACGAGGTGCTAGCAGCCCTCCAGAGCGAACTATATAGTAGTACCTAAGTCCCTAGTACATAGTATAGTACTTACCCAAGTGTTGACTCACACGATGCTTTTCAAGAGAGGTTTGAAATACATAGTACCGTACATAGTAGGAAAGACGAACAAAGATTGACTAAGTACTATACTTTAGCAAGGTATATGTACATCAATAAGTACTACATACATACTAGAAGTTATGTACTTGTATAGTACATACATAGTTGTCGTACTTAACTTATATTTCTGATAACGCCGTTTCGGAGCAAGGCTGTCTATCTATCCGTCCAGGGCGCTTCCCTAACCGCCATAGTAAGTTGTTTCTTTGCTGAGTTGAGGGCCTTCAACCTCATACTTTATTAAGATAGAAATAAATTCACTGGTCAATCACTGGTGATAAGTGCTACGTACACAGGACGTCCTGTGCATGACAAAGACTCGCATATAATTCCCGACAAAATAAAAATCTTGGCACAGCTTAACGATTACTTGGCCCGGACCGACGAAACCGACAGAGCCGATGACCGACCCCATAACGCTACAATATCCTATAAGTAAAGTACATATTACTTAGCATTATTGCTTAATAGTATAAGGCAATGTCGCCCGCGGCTCCATACTATAACTAGATATATAGCGAGTAATTTAACTCTAATTATAATTTGTATTCTGTACTACATCCTTAGGACTTCTGTGATATATAACTCATATATACTTTAAGAGAATCATCATCCTTCAAAGTTAAGTACTACTACTAATGCACATTTATATAGTACTTTATACTGACCTCTGAGTACTACTTAGATATAGTAATAGTATGATATTAGTATACAGTACATTAGTATATAGTAATTATATCGTACCATATACATAATATATAAAGCAATCATCCTGATAAACCAGCTCTCAGCCAGTATTCACTACTAAGTACTTAGTAACATTCGCGATTTCTCTTTTCATCGTGTATCCGCTTGATTGCTATGTAATGTATACTATGTACTATATATGATTTGCATAGTAGTCTCCTTGCCAGCTCGTGCTGCACTAGTGCTTTCGGCCATCCTACACGACTAGTGACGTCGTATGAACTGAAGGCCTACCTACTACTGTGTATTGTGTACTCAGCATATATATCTACTGTAATATGTAGCAGTTACATAGGACTACATAATGTAGACAGACTCCCCAGCTCTACTCCTGACGCGACGAGAAGGCAGCCTCGACGTCTTGTGCAAACCCCTTCAAATCCTGGAATCGCCACCCATAACCGACCAGTTTCTTTTCTAAGACCATCTTACTCTCTGCGTCTTTCCCCCATCGAGGCCCATCGCCCACAAGCCAAACACTGCTGAGACCTAATCGCTTTGCTGGCGCCTGGTCGTGTCCCAGACTTTGTGCAACATGCAACATTTGTTCCTTCCGAACACCATTTTCTTCAGCGAATTTAATCACCGTCTCAAGCTTGATCTCGTCTGCCCTCTTCGCGTCTTCGCCGAAATCCTCCGCAGTGAAAACCTTCCACCACTTGACTTCCCCGAGACGGCTCACCAGTGAAGATTCCGTAAGTGACCAGGCGAAGCGGTCAATGTTGGACAGCGCGACCAGTTTGTAGCGCTTGTCTAGCTGCTTAAGAGCGTCCAGGGTGCCCGGAAAGGTTGGCCACGATTTGATGACAGCCTCACTGCCGAAATGCCGAGCCTCTGCTTCGTTGCTCTCAACTTCCAGGTCCCTGGCGATTCGTCGCCAGATCTCCGCCAAGATCTCATCGAATCGTCTCACCGGCTTTTCCAGCTTGATTGCATCCTCTTGCATTTGAAAATGTTTCAGAAATTCAATTGCGCCGACAGTGGCGGAGCCTGGGATGGTGGCTGATAATGGAGTGGGATCAAGGTATGGTGACGATTGTGGAAGACGAGAGAGAAGTGGTTGGAAAGACTCGAGGATGTGAGCTTTATATTCGATGAGCGAGCCGTAAATATCGAATGAGACAACCTGATAGTCGGTCAACGATAGAGAGGGGTTTGTGGGTTCAGGCATTGGCAGAGCCATTGTTACACGCGTGACGGTTGTGGGAGATTGCTAGAACTCCAAGATGTACTCGTAACTTTGAGCTAAGTGATAGACGACCTTTCTTAGGTGATCCTAACCGCTCAAGAACTAAAAGTGATAATTATGGCAGTGGTGGTGAGTACTCTACCAAGTACTATGTATTACGTAGGTATAATTGAAAGTGAAAAGCTACAGTCTTAACAAGCAGAGTACGAACTACTATAGTCGGACCTTACTTTAGGATCACCCCGGCTGTGCCGCTTTTAAAGCCACCCCACCCCTACGAATTTACGACTCACCCTCCTCTCACCTCGTCTTGCTACATAAGTACAGTACGTACCTTCTACTTACCTACTTCCCTATACACCCTTCGCGCCGCTCTTATGCAGACGTGTATTCCCATGTCGCTCTGCAGTGACTGCTCCCCCCTCCCCCAAACGGGTCTGCTACCGCTAAACTAGGAACCCGAAACTTGGACACAGTAGATGCTGCCTAATTCTACGTCCTCTAGGATTGGATTCTACATACTATGTATACCTTTAACGTTCTCCTACTATCGACGGTGCCTCTTCCTCCCTTTAAAAATGGACACGAGAATTAAATATATTAATCTAGATATATAGTACCTCGTTCGCTAAGTCCCCGGGACAGGAAATGGCCCGGCCTAGGAATAACCCACGTGATGCACCTTGCCACTGGTTAATATGATCGTATATATCTGTATTTTGATGTATACCTAAAGGCGCTAGGGCCTTGGTAAGGATTACTAATGTAGATTCTTTCCCGGAAAATAGTTACTAAGATAGACCTTTAAGAATGTTACAATAGCCTTATTCACACGGCGGTAAAGCTAGAAAGGCACCTCCATAAGCTTATAGACTAGATAGTAACTAGATCTAAGGCGGCGTTAATGCCTACGGAAGGTATTCCTAAATATGATCTTTAGTAGAAATCAAGGCCTTAGGTGGAGAATCAGATATGTTAGAGGCCGCCTTAATAATACCTCGCTCCAGTAATTATCGCACGACATATCATCTAGCGCTAATGCGGTGGTAGGGGCTGGGAACTATTTCCGAGTTTTGGGAACCGTACGGGTATAATTTTAAGCTCAGGTCAAATCAATCCCGGGTGTTCCAAAATCTACTGCGAGCTGAGCGGAGCGCTTGAGGCACAGTACACCGAGGACATCGTGAACTAAGCACAAGAAGTAGGTCGGGAGGCTCTAGCGGTACTCTGCCCTGCTGGTCATTGCCGAGGGGCGGCGCCGTCCAGTCGACTTGAGCAACGCTTTGGAAAGCACGCTGAAACTGCAGTGGAAAATGTGGCCCTAAGTCCAGGAGCATCGTACGATAGGACATGTTGCCCCGTGCATGACGATCTTCCTTCAATGTATCATACTCTATCTCCTGTTCACGAAGGACGCTGTCAGGACCTGGATGCTGAGGTCAAAATTTACCTGGCCATGATAGTTCTCTTTGTTATCATCCGCCGACTTCAGGTCCAGTATGACCAAGAGAGTCAACTCACACAAGATTGTCGCACGGACCCTTTGACATGTGGAACGGTTGCGGCGCATCCGCCGGTTCGAGGCCCCAGAACCTATTTTCTCAGAGTGATTCGAGTTCGAATTGATCAGGTCCAACGCGAGTGGTGCCAAGCAGTTACGGCATCGAGTATGATCGCTTATTAGGCCACGGCTTACATCTCGACCGGCATTTCTTTCGTCTTTACTCTAGTCTATATAGCCTGAAATTACCTCAGAAAGGCCGCGGAATTGGCAGCTGTAAGTACATCATCGGAGTGTGTTGTTGCGATCCATGAGTGTCAGTCTCTCCAAACCCTCCACAAATTGTATTCCGAACGATCGTCGCCTTGTAAGCCAGCGCTTGATCGAAGAAGAGATCGGCCACGATCTTATGCTCAGGAACTTTGTATAATTTGGCGATGGTCTTTTTATTCAAGATGCCTGTTGCCTTGACCTTTTCGTAGATCTCTGTGTTGGGAAACATGGCATCGAGTGTCATCTCGTAAGGACCAGCGTTCTTACTCCGCAGAAGGCTGGTGAGGTCGGCAAGGTAGCAGTGACCGGGGGGTGGATCAGGTGATAAGCGCACTGGCACATCAGCATCCAGCATGACCGCCCTCTTCGCGTCTGCTTTCGCTATACCGACTTGCGAGTCAACTGCATATATATAAGCACCTGAGTACAGAGAGGGAATGGAATACCCACGTTTCTCACGAATGTATGTATTGGGACCAGGAATGTTGTAAACCACCTGTGGGAACAGGCCTACCGGATCAACCCCTTTCATGATATGGTAGATGCAGAACTCCGATACTGGGCCCATAGCGATTTCGGAAGGATTGAAAGGCCACGCAAAGTTACCAGCATTGTTGAGCTGGCCTTTGTATGGTCCATGGACAAAAGCAAACTTGAGCATGCTTGCGACCTGGTCTGCCTCGTCTTGGGTTGGGGCTCGAATGGCACCTGCGATGAAGACTTCCTTCGAAGTAGTCGGGTCTGGCTCGTTGGGCCCCATGACACCATTAACACCATACTTATGAATCTTGGCCTCATACTTGACGTGAGAGTACTTATCCTCAACGTAGGCCAACAGGAAAGCAATAAAATCGTCGAGTTGTCTCAAGAGTATCGGATCTCGAATCGCGCCAAGGAAGATTGTCTGATATCCATTAACTCGAGCGCCTTCTAGTTTGACGGTGTATTCGCCCTCTTTGGCCGGCTCAAAAGTGCTATTTCGAACCTTGACAGTTCTATCGTCAATCTGCTCGAAGGTGGCTTTGTCGAGGTGAATTACTCCACCAGGTCCAAGAAGTATATCGGGCCTTCGGTTCTCGTACAGGAAGTGCGAAGCGACACCAAGTTCTGTACATCTTGCTCGAGGATCACAAGGTGCCACGTCGAAGCTGTCACGGTAAAGGATTGCCATTCCTTCCTTGGTCTTCGGGATACCGCACATACCACCACACTCCATAATTTTTCCCATGGCATAAGCGATGCCTTCTAACTTTAGCAGTAAATCTTATAGAGGAGTGTCCCATACGTACCAAGATTTGTAAACCCTCTGTACATGGCGTACGCTGCGAAAGGCGCCGGATCATATGCTCGCCCAGCGATGATCATGTCCAAGTCAGGATGGTCATTTAACGCCTTCAGGAACGGTTCGAGACCCATCTGAGCGACTATACGGGTACTAGAATTGATATCGTCGTTGGTGAGCTCGGGGACGCCGTCGCCGCAAGGGCTGATAGCGCCCTCTTCCATCTTTCGTCGGACATAGTCTTTGTCGATCTCGGCGTAAATCTTGATAACCTTCAGAGGGCGAAAGCCATTCTCCATAACAGCCCTTGCAACGAATTCTGCGCACATATCAACAAACCTGTTCTCTCCGTTACCACCAATTGAGCCAATAATGACGGGGACTTTAAACAAAGCTGCTGCCTTTGCGAAAAGCTTGACATCACGCTCCAGACAATTCAATGGTACATTGGGCTTTCCAAGGGCCAAACGTGAAGGCCCACTGTCCGTCGAACCTCCATCTGCAATGATTACATCGGCGCCAGCTTCGAGGGTGCGCCACAAGACCTGCTCGCTGAAGCTTTGACCAAGCTGGCCGATGGGTGCGAAAATTCTGAGGTGATCTGGAGTAGCCATAACGAACGTTATACTGATGGAATGTGGATGGAAGCTGTGACCAAATTATAAGCCTGATAGTATGGACTCGCCTTCTTTATCTATTCGGGAGAATTTCTCGTAAAGGCTGCCGTATATAAGTCACTGGCTGAGGAGGCCAATGATCGGAGGCCATAATCCGTGCACCGTGGCACAGACGATTCAATCGGCATTCAGTAAAAAGCTCGCTAGTCTGAAAGTCGAGAATCCTCCAGTCAACTGGTTTAATAAAACCCCACAATTCCTCTCGCGTAGAAACGCAGAATCGGCGGCGGCTTTTTTACCCGTCGCTGGTAGTACATTCCAAGTTTATCCGCAACGGGGACGGCTCTGCTCGTTATGGTGTGTACCTATCAGGTTCGGGGACGGAAATTCCGACTGAGCGGTGTCCTTGTAGGGTGGACCGCTCGACTCTGGGGCGATTTAATAATTCTAACTCAACTGTCTTAAGTCAGGCCTTACCACCGCCATATTATGACTACCGATACTCGGGTAATAATGACAATCTGGTCAACTTCGAAGATATGAATCTGTCTCAGGACTGTCCACGTGGCTCATTTACTTATCAGCCTTCGTGAGTCCTCTCACTTTTTTGATCGACCGCAATCACAGATAACTTTAAGCTCGCTGAGCTTTCCAAGATTTTGAGATTTAGATCACGATGGCAGTAGCGCCAAGATCTTTACCGAAAGAAGACTTTCAAGTCCATTGCAAAGGCATTTACTTGTGCTGCTATCCTTATAGCAAATGCTGGTATTTCGAAATGGTCAACCGGAAGAGCCGGCACCGAGCGGTTTAGTGCTTGACTGCTACAGCACAATTCTCATTTGAGTGTTCTCCTAGTTCGAGGCACCCGTTTTCTCCAATTTGATTCACATGCTATCCCTAACTTTGCCAGAATCCATCATCAAGAAATTCGAACAACATATTGTTCTGAATGCCAAACTCGTCCGCAAATTCCAGTGTGGTATCTGTCGCTCCCGTCTTGGTAATATTTGGCGTTGGGGCTTGCGACTGTGTTGTTCGGATCATTTGGTGAACAGTCTTTGCTTCATGGATTCGGGCTGCTATACTATCGAAAAACACCGGGATCTCGCGCAGCAGCCTATCGTACCCTGTCTCGCTTTCCTGCTGGCAATATTGCATAGCGTATATTTTTGCCTCTTCGACCTTAGCTGTAAATGTGTCTAAAATTGTAAAGAAGTCTAAAGTGTTGGCAACGTACGTCTGTTCCCAGCCGTCTCCGACAAAGAGGGACAATTTTGACAAGACGACATTCTGGTGTGTAAGGAGCGACCATGTAGAGTATGGTAGGTCGAAATAGACGGTTACTGATAAACGGTGGAATGTTTCGAAAAAGTGTTGCGTCGAAGTAAGACATGCGAAGAGCATAGTGAGCCGAGAGACGGGATATGTGCCATATTGTGTGGAGTCGATGCTGTTGTCGAGCGCGATCTCAAACAAGACTGTTTCGGTGATGTGGTAGTGTAATAGAAGGAGGTCTACGATGTCAGCAACAAAAACTACAGTACAGAACGGAAACCTTACCATTCTCAAGCAGTGTCGGTGGTATTGTAGCTTTCAAGCTTTGCAATTCACCGTGCAAGGCTGTCACACTAGCTCCTACTGGAGATGACAATCCTGAAGGCATGTCCCAGTTCTCGGGACCTACGGTTTGGTTGATTTTCTCACTCAGCCGGCATATCTTGATTAGTTCCAGCAAGTAGAGGTCTGTGGGAGTTTCAGCGGCTTCCGCTATCGAGCGACAACATTCATCAGCATATTTAGTATATCTTATCCTCTCGATGTCTCGTGCACAAATTGAAACACTCTCCAAGGTCAGCAAGCAAAGCATACAGAGCAAGGCACACTCAGACCCTGAAAATAACAACATACATAGAGGTCAAGTAAAGACAACCCAAGAAAGCCCTTCTTTCATCTAGTGTTCGAGGAGCATGAACGTGCATTATCCCGTTCGCGGCGAAGTATTCCCGTTGTGGTTTGGCAAATCTTGACTGGACAACCTGCTTATTCAAGCCCAGGTCCGTCATCACGGTCAGTGCCAAATACACGAAACTGGCTAGGCTTGGTCCCAGCTGAGATTGGAAATGGTGCCTATTCTCGGTAGTAGTCAGCATATTATCACTCTCTTCAATCCATCATAGTGGTTGCACGCACCAACCAAGACAAACGAGAAGTCCTTGAAGTATATCCAAACTCCGCTCTGCCTGGACCACTGTTCTCTGACTGACGATCTCTCTGACTCTTTTGATCATCGCCGTCCGGCGCGCTATATCATGTCGACATGCCACCATCATGATAGCCATACACAAGAAAGGCCTCTCTGCTTTCAGCTGTTCTAGGCTCATCGACGGTGGAAAAACGACGAAGGGAAAGTACTGCGCCATGTCATCGCGATATGCCACTAGAATCAACCTTCCTTCTCTGTCACTCTTGATAAAGTGGTCGAAGTAGGCGGTAACGGAGTCATCCTGATTTAGGACCAAGCGCTGTCCGGCCACAGCTTGGAATTCCATTACTCTCTCGGACGCCGTAAGGATGGCGACCATTCCATCCAATTTCTGTTCTAGTCGTGCGACATCGCTGAGGAGAAGTCAGAAGAAGGAAAAGCCTCGAGGACTTATGGAATTACGAACGATTTCTTTTCCGCCTTCCGCCGGTACGAGCCCAGCCCTTGGGCACTGCATACCTTTCTTAATCTCTCGCACCTGGGGGTATGCATGAATTCTCGCCTCTAAGCAGCTACATTTAAGGCTCACCTCTTGCAGTTGACTTTTCCGGGCTCGGTTTCGCATCTAATCTTTGCATGAGCACACGGCACGCAGGCCCTGGGTGCCCGCGTCGCGTCTGCTTCGATCAGTGGTTTTAAGTGTGATGACATAAGATATCGCTCGATCTTATCGGATGATCTAGTCGGCTATTGAGAACCTTGATTGATCCACGAACACTCCTGTTTTTAACTAAAGTCGACTAGGAGGCCACGCAGGGGCTCAGTTCTTCAATCGGGGTCTGGATGGAGACGAGAAGTGGCTACGATGGAATGAGGAGAATAAGTAGGAACGGGAATTCCGATTCCGCAGCTGTGGACGAGCTGCGGAAGCGCTAAGGCATAAGGGACTAGTGTATGCCGACAGTAGAACGGTAGCAAGCCCTACAGACGAGGCGAATCGGTAGCGCGCAGGGCTAAGAAATTCTTTTAGGGGTTATACAAGAACTTTTCGATATTTAGCGGACGAGACTTTTGTCGAGAGATTAAAGTTGATTTAGGATTCCCAATTTTCGAGATTATTGACTGGAGACACCACTAATCGTTTTCCTTCAAACAATCTAAATACAATTCTAGGGCAGAAACCAAGAAAATTCAAGATAAGAGATTTGTCAGAGTAGCTCGTGTGTCTTGCGAAACTAAGAGCAACAAGGCAGGAAAGGGCAAGGAAAGTAAAATTGCCCGTGAGAGCTAGCTAGTTTCGGTCGGTCCAAACCAAGTCCCCTTTCGCTCCCCAGCCGCAGAAGGAGGAACAAAACATTTCGAAACTATGACGCCTCCGCCGCGGCGGTGTATGCTTTACAGGGACCTCTATAAGGATCTGCGATTGCCGTGGACTAGCATCAGTGCCCCGGGAGTGGATAGGGGGTTGAAGGAGCAGTGGGATCGATTTAATGAGAGAGAGTTGGTGAGGTTGGAGTTCAACAAGGATGGGAATGTCCCTGAAGGGGAATCTTTCCTCATGGGACGCAGGGTGACGTTTAAGCGGACCAGGGGTATGTGTGTGGACGTCCTATTGTCCATTTCAGCTACCGGTACATGTCTAAAGAACAAATTAGGATTAGATTTTTGCGGGAGTCGCCGTCCGTGGGGTGCGATAAAGACATGTAGGCCATAAGCTCATTTGGAAAAATGACTCTGGTCAAATGGCGGAATACTCAGGTCTGGAAACGGAAAGGGACTTTGGAGACGTCAAGATTCGCTGCTAAGTATAATGGTATTTTAATAGTGCACGTTTTGCATTTGAACCAGGCATCGCGTGCTGCTGGAGCATTGGTCGTGTTCTCCGCCTCCGCAGTGAAGGCACTCCTGCCACACAGAATGCTGAAAGCAGTCCCACTACCGACTGATTCAGGGAGCGATCGACCTATCGGATGCTCGCCTCACTGTCGGCTAGGACTGATGTGCAGGGTAGTGAAAAAGGTCGCCTTGTCTCTCAAGCTAGGGAGCCCAAGTGCACGTGCTTCGACGGACTGGCTTGGCCGACCTCCCAGCTCGACGCTCTCAAATGGCGTTCGACTTGCGTTCGGGGGTGATGGTGCGCTTGAACACCACCTAACTACGGTGGGGAAGCCCAGTCGAAACCGCCTGCGGTGCCAGATAATGATATGAGCATGATGATTTTGGCAAGCCTGGACATATGTAATTACCTAGGTCTATCTCGTTTCCAGATAGTGGAACTGCGAATCATTCCAGATCCAGTGCGGGCGAGACTACCGTCGGTCGATCCACTCTCCACCCTTCTTGATAGTGTCCCAGAAGCCTTGAGCGCTGACTTCCTTGTCCATGTTACAAATGAGGGTCATAATTCTCAGTTCATCATCTATTAATTTATCTATATTCTAACTAGCTGTAAACCGGTCGAAATGTCGCCATACTTCGCATGCAAGATATCCTTCAACCAGAGTCTCCTAGGCAACCAGGGACCCCGATCGCCACCTTTCGGTAGGACATTCGCCTCCTTTGCGGCCTTGGCATAGGAGCTTGACAGTAGATCCATGATGAATTTCTCACGAACGCCATCCTTTGCATCCACGCGGGGGATCGCGCTGTTCATGCCTCTACTGTGAGCTCTTTTCAACAGACGTACCCAAAGCTGAGCAGCGGCATCAGCACCAAGGGTCCAGGACTGATTAGTATAGCCAAAGACAAAGGCAAGGTTAGGAACGTCTTGTAACATGATACCTCGCCATATAAATTTGTCGGGTACGTTCACCGGGGTTCCATCCACAGAGAGCTTAATGGCACCTCCAAACTGCACCTTTAGCCCAGTTGCGGTGACGATAATGTCAGCATCGAGCTCTGCTCCGGAGTCGAGTTTGATGCCGGATTCTGTCACCGTGTTGATAGTATCGGTGACCACATGGGCCTTACCACTTCGCAGGCAGTCAAAAAAGTCTCCTCCTGCGGAACAGTCAGTGAAAAGGGTTCGCTTCAGCACAGTATCCTCAACTAACCGGGGCAAATACACATTCGTTGCTCCCAAGGGTTGTACTTGGGTTTGAAGTGAGGGTCATAAGGGAGATGCTCAGGGAGCTGCCGTTCAGTGTTCTTGCGAAGGAAGTTGATCATCCGCTCAGGAAACATTCGGCAGAAGTTGTAGAATATGATGGCCCTCGTAAAGTACATCATCCGGATCATCGGATTTGCCCATTTGAGCGGGAGCCATCGCTTGATGAGAGTGACGAGTGGGTCGACAATGGGGATGCGGACAAAGTACCCAGGTGATCTCTGCAGCATGGTGATTGATTTGACCTTGTCGGCCATACTGGGAAGAAGTGTCACAGCGGTGGCGCCGCTGCCGATGACGACGACCCTCTTGTCAACATAGTTAAGGTCCTCTGGCCAAAACTGGGGATGCACGACAGTACCCTGGAATTTCTCGATTCCTTCAATCGCAGTGTTCAGCCCACGCTTGTAGTCGTAATAGCCCGTACCCAGTAGAACATGGCGTGCGTGAAGATATCTCCGTTCTCCGCCGACAGTAACTTCCAGCTTCCAAAGTTGATTTGATGACGACCAATCCATCGAAAGCACCATGTGTCCGAATTTGAAATGCATGTCAATCTCGTATTTGGTAGCGGCGCATTCAAGATAGCTGAGAATATCCTTGCCTTCTGCAATGGCACGATCATGCTGCCACGGCTCCCAAGGCAGCCCAAAGGTGAAAAGGTCCGAATCCGACCTGATTCCAGGATATTTGAACTGGTCCCATGTCCCCCCCAACCGACTCTTCCCGTCCAGGATGGCATATGAGTAGTCTGGGAGGGTTTGTTGCAGGCGATAGGCAGCATTGATACCGCTGATCCCGGCTCCGACGATAATGACATCGAATGTATTTTTTTCCATGACCAAGATGTTTGAGAGATCGGATCGAGAAAATGCTGGGTGTAGTGAGAGTTTCCCACCACGAAAACCGTGACCTAGATGTAATACTGGAGCCTTGCGAGTTGAGGATTTTCCATGTACAGAAGCTTGCGATGGTGGAATTGCGTATTCGCAGTGAATAGCGAAATCGCTCCGAGATGCAAGCCGACGGGGCTAGGATGCAGCACTTTGCACACAAGGAAGCGAGATCTAGAACAGTGCGGTACCTATCACAAGACATGGGTCAAGCACTCGCAGACTTCAGCCGCGATTTCGATCGCCACCAGGGTGAAAACGAGGACAGGAGATTCGCGAGACCATTGTTGAGAGATGGAGGGCAGGAGCTCGTAAGAGATTTGGTGACTGACGAGTGATCGCACAACAACTTGATTCAGAATTAAAGACTGCCAGTACATCGGTCATTCACCGGAATAGAAGTGCATCCACTCCGAAGAAAGACATACAATTGGCAAATCAAATCAGTTTGGTTACTAGGTCTATTCGATCCAACACTAAAGGTGTTGGAATGCCATCCATTTGAAACCGATCACAAAGGCTTGATCCAGCGGTTCTTGTTACCTTCATCTTCCCACCTCAGGAGTTCCCAGCCTTCCAATTTAGGCAGAATTTCCGCCATCCTCTTGAACTTGCCAGGATAACAAGCCATGCCGAGGGTCTCGACGCCCAGTTCGCGCGCATGCTTCTCGGACTCGACCATGAGTGTGCGAAACACGCCCTTCCCTCTTTCAATTTCAGCAATGACCACGACCCAGTGTTGAAGGGTTGGGGAGTCGTAAAAAGGTTGCTGTCTCATAAAGGAGAAGATGAAGCCTATGGGTTCAGTCGAGTTAGGTTTTGTCGCGTAGAGAATGAAAGATTTGGGCACGTTCAGATGATTCATCCAAGTCTCGATTGTGGAATGATGGTCTCGCTTCCTTCCCATGGCATCAAAGACGTTCATGGCAAGGTCGAGGATCTGTTGGACAGTTTCGGGGCTGGCATAAGGGTCGATCCTGTGGATGGTGATGTCTGGATTTGATGCCATGTTTACAATATGTGTGATGGTGTGAGAATTGTGGGAGTGAACAAATCAATGCACACATATAATCCTTACCTTGAGTAGCTTATTGGGAATACCTCCTTATATCACTCCCCTGGATGAAACCTTTTTGGGTCGAGAGAAGCTGCCCTCTCCAGACTTCTCCAGAGACCACACGTCGAGCATTTGGAACCTGCAACTTGCAAAGTTGATTCCAAGCATTCAACCCCATCTCCGACTTAGCTCCAATGTGCGAGAAGATATTCTGGGTCAGAGGGACCTCCTGCCTGTAGGGCGGATCCACCTCCGCATCTGCAGAAAAACAACCCTCAGATGCGGAGCCAGCCTCTTAGTCAGTCCGTTTGACCAGTAGTACGTGGCACAGGCGTGTAATGAATGGATCGACCACACCATTATGGTGTCGACTAAATAATTGGCCGAGTTGCGGGGAGGGGTTGGGAAATGGTGCGTGAAGGATGCTTCACACACGCACGATCTCACGTGGACAGCATCGACTTGTCCATGATTAAGAGTATTAAGTGTGACTCGACAGGCTCAATCGGCCATTGCCCACGCCTTGTCAAGGTTGCCCTCTCAACTTTACGACAGTAACTTCCTGCCAACTACTTCTTTGAAACGGCTTTGCTGCTCCAGCTGCCACGTTTTAGTCTTCCAGAAAAGATGACAAAGGTCCACGAAACAGATTTCAAAGAGACAGCCGTGGACAGCTCTGCAATCATGGACGGCGACTGCGAGAGCAAGGTGAACGTCTTTCATGCCGAGGACCTTGGCCTCAGCGATGAGGAGAAAAGGCAGAACCTAGTGCAAGCTCTGAGAAGATGGCCGAAGATGTCGGCTTATTGCCTTGCTCTGACCTCTGCAATCCTACTCTGGGGATACGATATGGCCATGTCTGGAAGTCTAGCTGGATTGGACCAATTCAAGTATGCGTCTCATGCAGCTCAAATCCCGAATCTGATAGCTGACAGTGACACTCAACAGGGAAGCGTTTGGAGTATACTACCAAGGCGAATGGATCATTGCCTCTCACTGGATAAGTCTATGGGATGCCGCCGGCCCCATTGGAATGCTTATCGGATCCCTCTTCGGTGGCTGGTTCCAAGACAAAGTTGGCCGAAAAATATCTCTCGGCACCGGGAGTCTCAGTTCCTGCGTGGGCATCCTCATTGTCTGGTGCGCTCAATACCCAACTATCGGGAACACTCGCAACGGTATCTTCATGTTTGGCAAGATCTTCCAGGGTGTCACCTGCGGTATCATTGTGACCACATGCCAGACATACATGTCTGAAGTCTTACCATCGGTTCTCCGAGGACCAATCCTGGCATTCTTCCCAGTGTTTTTCATGCTCGGCCAGCTCGTCAGTGCTGTCGTCGTCTTTGGTGTGGAACCGATCCCAGGGATGAGGTCCTACCAACTGGCGGTCATCTCTCAGTGGCCGTTCTCGGCTCTTCCCATCATTCTATCATTTATCATTCCAGAAAGCCCGGTGTATTATATCCGGAAAGGGAAGCTCGACCTCGTCAGAAAATCACTGCAGCGCTTGAGCACATCACACGACAGTGTCGATGAACAGATCGTGCAACTCCAAAAGGTTATCCGGCATGAAACAGAGCAAGCAGCCGCAAATGCTCGTACCTCATACCTGGATTGCTTCCGAAGCACCGATCTGCGCCGTACACTGCTTGCCATGTTCGGCGCTTGCCTGCCCCAGCTGTTTGGCCTCAGCCTCGTGGGACAAGGCTCATATTTCCTCCAAATTGGTGGCATGGACTCCCGACCTAGTATGATTTTCCTCATGACAGGCATAACCGCAGGCATCGTAGGGATGATTATCAGCATATATAGTTCCACTCGGTTCGGACGACGGAAACTAATTATCTCCTCATTAATCCCAATTGCTGTCCTGTGGGTCGTTGTTGGTGTGTGTGGAACCGTGGAGAACAGCGCTTCTGTTTGGTGAGTCCCACTGCCTTCTATCACCATCATCCTCGCTCACAAAACTACCAGGGTCTTGGGTGTCTGTTTGAACCTGATCCCCCTCATCGCTGGGTTGGGTGTATGGCCAGCATCCTACAGTGTCACGGCCGAAGTGTCTGCTCTGCGGCTCCGTGCAAGGACTCAAGGTCTAGCTTGGGCGGTGGGTGGAGCGGTCAACTTTGTGATCAGCTTCGTCATTCCATTCATATTCAATCCCGACCAGGGAGATCTTCGAGCACAGACAGGCTACATATGGGTCGTCATCACCTTCCTCACCGCAGCTGGTGCATTCTTCTTCGTTCCCGAGACTTTCAGACGCACTCCGCTCCAAGTCGATCTCATGTTCGAGCAAAAGCTTCCCGCAAGAGGATTTAAATCCTGGGAAGGGCCTCGAAACTTCTGACCTTGAGAAATATATCGGCAAGGGAGTCAAAGTTGCTGAAGGAGGAAGGAATGAAACCAAATTGGTCGAATGAAGGGTGGTGGAGATATCCATGGCTCCGAGGAAATGTGTAAATATGCTTCGGCTACCCTGGTTTTACCTTGAAAGCGGCACAGATAGTTCAATCTCTGGTAGATTTGGAGCCACTTTACTACTTTTATCTCTCCCGAAGCTGTCTTGAATGTGAACCCGAAGCCGTATCGTACCCTGAGCTCTGAAGATATTATCACACATTCAAGAAAACAAGAGATGGTGATTAAGTCCTGCGTAGTCTTTCAGACACGAGACTGACGTGCAATTTCCTCATCCATGAGCTGATATCGAGAATGGTTGCACAACCTATCAACTCTGTGTCACCGTACGGCGAACGACATGAAATGGATGAATCCTTTGAAGGACGTGTTAGGTTATTTTGATAGTAGACCCGTTGTCCTGTCCAACTCACATCTGTGATCCTAACCATTCCAAGGTCTTTCGATGGCCTGAGATACGCTTCTGTCACACGACAATTGCAAGAGCAATATGGGAGTGTACTTCTCACAGCCAGGGGCACCAGGCTCAGCAAATGCTCCTGGCACGGCTAGTCTAGCAACGGTGCTCTCGTAACTCAAAACCGGGCTCCAGAAGGGAGAGAGACCACAAGATCTTTGCCGTAACACAAGCACAGCTCCGCGAAACCATTCTCCATGCCCTGGATTTTTTCAATCACGACCGAAAAGACGCCAAAAGAGTATTCTCCTTCCTCTTTTGGAGACCTTTCGCTCCGGTCAGCGAAATCGGCTTTGTGACTGGAATTTAGGGGAGGGAAGGGACTGGGGGGGCGGGGTGAGGGAAATCCAAAAAGCGGAAGGGGTAGTCTGCTCGCTCGGCTTCAAGATTACCCACCAGTGGCAACACGACAACAGTTAATCGCATCTAAGAAGATCGAGTGACAGTGACTCATCCCTCCAGCATTTAGTAGAGGGGCCGTAGTATATACTCATGTGCAAAACAATAAATGCGGGCCAACAGAACTCAACTGTCAGTTGTCAGAAAAGTCTACTTGATATTTGCTGCACTTCAAGAAGGAAATCTCAGGATCCAATATGGCGATATCCATGACCAATACATCTCTCGCACCGCGTGACTTGGATACCGACGCTCAGCGCCTGTGTCAAATCATTACCCCCGTGGGAAACCTAGGCTATGGCTTCATCGACAAGCAGGTCGAGGCCGAGCTAGAGCGCACCAGTAAGCTATCTTCACCAACAGCAATCATCTTGGACGCGGGGTCGACGGATTCGGGTCCTCAGAGACTGGCACTGGGCCAGACGGCGGCTCCCAGATCTGCCTACACGCGGGATCTGGCTAAATTGATCAAGTATGTAGTCAAGTACAAGGTTCCTTTGATCTCATCGTCAAATGGCGGCGATGGCAGTGATGAACACGTCGACTTGATGCTTGAAATCATCAGGGAACTGGCAGAGCTCCCAGAGTATAGGTGAGAATCTCAAGCTCTGATAATACGCCCGAGAATGATGTTAATTTAAGGGATAAAGAGAATGGAACCTCAAAGTGCTGGCGATATACTCCAGCGTCTCACATGAGCGAGTGACGAAGAGGTTCAACGCCGGCGGCATTGTCGGCTGTGGACCAGCCGTGCCTGATCTGACACAGAGCGACATCGATGGAGCCACTCGAATTCTGGCCCAGATCGGCCCGGAGCCTTTCCTTGAGGCCATGAATGCAAATCCAGATTTCGACATCATTATTGGTGGCCGAGCCTACGACCCCGCTCCATACATGGCATACTGTGCATTCAACGCTCTGAAGGGGAAATCTGACGATCTACATTCTCTCTCAAAGGAAGTCCTGGGATCATTTGGCCATATGGGAAAGATCATGGAGTGTGGAGGACAGTGTGCCACGCCAAAGAGTATCGGAGCGGTCGCTGATATTTACCAAGATACCACGTTCACCGTCACTCCATTGGACCCCATCGCCAAATGCCTTCCTCTAAGCGTTGCGGCACATTGTCTCTATGAGAAAACACGGCCGGATATCCTCCATGGCCCGGGCGGGTTTTGGAATTTCACCAAGGCAGTCTACAAGCAACTTCATGATGGGAGATCAGTACGGGTTGGGGGAGCGGTCTTTGAGTCGTATCGAAACCACGGCGAGAAATACCATATCAAACTGGAAGGCGCCAAAATCTCAGGATACCGCGCCATCTTCATCGGCTCGTGGATTGACCCAATCCTTGTCAGTCAAGCAAAGGAAACGTGCGCGTTGATCAAGGAATATGTGGCCTATCAACATAGCCATATCGACGAATACTGGGATCTTGGTTTCCACGTCTATGGCGCCGATGATGACTGGGACCCATCACAAGGGGGTCGTCCATATAAAGGCAAGAAAGGTGTCTTTATAGTGGGAGAAGCCATCGCGGCGAACCAGGAGCTTGCCACGAGTATTGCCTCGGTTGCGAAGCTAGGAGCTACCCATGGGCCTTACAAAGGCCAAAAGGCAACATCTGGCAATCTGGGCTTCGGGATTGGAGGCAAGATCGAGATGGAGACCGAAGAGTGTGTCGAATTTTGCGTCTATCACTTGATGCCGCTGGAGGAGGGAGAGCAAGGCGGCTTCCCTGCCTCCTCCCATGAAGCTGGTGTCGCCAACACTGAAGATGGGAAACCGCTCTTCCACTGGACAGAAGCTACAATCGGCAAAGGTGAGTCGCCCTTGGAAGTTCAAGCCACCAACGGAGCCACGGGAGCGGTATCAAAGCTGTTGAAGAAGAGCAACTATAAACTTCCTGCATACGAAGCCCCTCAAATTCAGAACAACCCGCGCTTCCTGGGCGACATTGCTCCCGTCGTCCGATCCAAGAATGCGGGTCCATATGAGATTACAATTGACATTCTCTTTCCAACCAAGGCCGTCTTCGACATCGTTGCCAATTCTGGACTCCTCACTCCAGAAATCTTTGGCAAGATCTACGACCTGAAGATGGAAGAGGTGATATATTGCTCGTTTTTCGAGCAGGCGTTGGCTTTCAAAGCTACCTTCCCAAGAAGGCGCAATGGGAAGCTCACTCCCTCAGGTGGTTTCTTGGAAACCGATATGCATGGTTCGCAACAGTACATCGACCTTTTGGAGCTACCACTCCACAACGATCTGATCGAGAAGATTGACAGTCTTCCCAGGGAGGAAAAGATCCAAGGTGGTGCCAATGCTACAAAGTAACCTTATGGCTACAATATGCTAACATTAGGAGGATGGTGGGCCGAACAGCCAAACAGCCACGTGCAGCCCAAAGGGAGCCTTGGGAAGGAAAGACTGAGGTCTTATGACAGCTCTGTTGATCTAGTGCTCTGCTTAATCTGGACAGTGCAATAGAGGACATAGATCAACAGTCGGAGACGACTTTTCATTGCCTACATGGGCACACACTTTCTTAATTAGGACTCCGTAGTCAACTTCATTCATATTGCAAGTTCCGATCGTGACAGGAAAAGGAATTTCTGAAGTCAAGAGCCGGTCCGTTTCCTCAACCCTCACGACGTACTTGACAGCACTCGCCTTCCCTTTCATCAACTTCCCCTGTGCCGCCTTGATGCCTTTCAAGCCTCCCGGGACCACCTCGTGTGGATGCGGCTTCAGCCTCCATTCCTTCAATAACAGTCCGAAGTACTGCGAAAAGACAAAATCAAAGTCATTCGCATTGCCGTGCGGATATTGATGCGATTTGAAGATACTATGGGCCAACGTCACTGTCACCCGGACACCATCTTTGTACCTAAAGTTCGGTGTGCAAGTGAATCTCTCTGGCGCGTTCTTGACGCCAAGGTTCCTGTAGCCGTCGGCTTGTTGGACATGGGCGGCAACGCCAGCATTTGAGATGATCTGACCGAATGACTTCGTGGCTTCCATTCTCGCTGATCGCGTTGAAGACTTAGTCGACCGTAGGTGGATATCCAGCGGCGGCCAAGGCTTTTTGGATGTCCAATTCCAAAGCCTAGTCTCATCCGTAATAGTTCACCACAGCGTCGCCTTTGGCTTTGTCAATCATAGTGTTGACAAATTTGTCGCCCCGGACTGGGGTATAACCGTAGATATCCCTCACATAAGGCATCGTGAAGGCTACCAGTTTAGGTCATAGACGCGTCTCCGAGCTACGACACAAAAGGTTTGTGATATAGCGTGGATTAGAGACCAAGGACCTTATGACAGAGGATCCCACGGCTCTTCAGGTCACTCAAAATATTAGTAAAGAAGGTATATTTAGGAAATAGGTCATCTCAATGGCGAAATGATGTCAAAGACTGCCAGAGTAGGTACAGTACCAAGTTGAACCCAGCAAACCTAAAACCATCCATCGCCGTGAGTTATTTTGACCTCACATCATGGGCTGTAATCATGAATCAACCATGAAAATACATTTTGTTCACTTCTAAGAGTAGTTCCATTTGCCAAAGTGTAAAAGTATTTCGTCCAAGAGACGTCCGTGGGCAGAATCGACCTTTCAGACTTATAACCCATGATCGATAAGGGGTTCTCCACCCCTACCAGGATGACTAGAGATGGTTCCACTGTTGTACTTGCATGCTCATGTCGCAAGCCCATGATATGTCCCAGCTCATGCTGGAAAGAATTCCTCATTCTGGCCAAACCAATTGGCGTGAAAGTCTTCTCATATACCAGCACTTTTCTGGGTCGCTGTTGGTTGGGGAAAAATGCTTCTGCCACGGCTGTATCATGCGGCCCGCCATATACTTCCTCGAAAGCTGCTTCTGCAGGGTTCACTGTCCATTGTAATGATATTCCGAGGTCCTTTGAATTCCAGTCGGTTGCCGCGGCCCACATGATATCGCTGACAAGCTGTCATTGGCCTCCAGGCCACCCTGAAAAGTACGATATGTATTTGAGGACGCTTCCAGGTTTGAAACGCGGGACTTGACCTTGAGTGCCAACCATGATTTCAAGGCCGCCGTCTTGCTGTGTCTCGCATCCGTACTTCGTGGAGCTTTCATTGGTGGGATTTACTGCTACCAACGTCGTCTCATGGCCTCCAGTGGTCAGGCACTCAGCTGTATCAGCCTCTCCAGTTGCATCGTGACTTGCAGACTCCGGCAGACTAGCTCCTGGTGTGGCAGCAGCACCGAAGAATGGCTTGTCGTATTCATTGTCGGAATATGAAGACGAGATCACAACAGACGAGATCGTTCTTTAATATGTATTGATGTCCAGGGAGATGGGTTTAAAAGTAAGACAATCGTCAGGTGTGGTGATATGAACGCAAACTAACTGAACCAAACGGGAACGAACAAGCAGGGGTAAGTCTTCTGAATATATTGTAGATCACAAAGAAATCGGTTGGCATGAAAAATAAAATCCTCCGTCCAGCTGATGTTTTAACCTCTGCTCGTTTCTGAGAAGAGACATGTTCAGCTCAACATAAGCCACATCATTAAAGGTCACCCGACCATCGCTGATCAGCCATAAATGACCTGCAGCCGGTGAATCCAAGTATCAAAAACGGCCCATCACCTTCTTTGTCAACCTCTCACATGCAACACATAAAGATCTCTTTCTTTTGTACACAGTGCAAGAGCTAAGCTCGACCTCGATAGTTGGTCTCGTATCCAAGTATGCAAAGTTCCGGTAGCTCTTCTTCATGTCAGGTTTGAGATCACGCTCCGTTGGATCATAATTAAAACAATAAGGTCCAGCCTATCCTGTTTCGGCTATGAAAGGACATTGCCTTGATGTTTACGTCAGAAAAATTGGATTGGGCTCGCAAAATTCTGCCCTGTTGCTGGCAAGGGAGTGAGGACATGCTCGTGTACGCCCATGAACAGTTACTGTTGTTTTCTCCTTAGCCTAATATGTTTAACTCATCCTTAGAACAGAATATCACTGAGGTCTATCGTGTTTTCTATAATGAATCTGGTCAAGGCTTACCGAAAGTAGATCGTCAAGTACGAATTACACTGACAAGCTGTGCTTGTCTCCGAAGCTCGAGGCAGCTGCTTGCTAACGTTCATCTATGTTTTTGAGTGCCCAAAGGCCGGCAGCCTCCTTTTCGTATCCCAAGCTAGATGCCGCAAGCAGGGGGTCCGCTGCTGTACAGAACAGGAAAGCCGAAATTTGTGGCGCACACATTGCTGTTCCCCGGTGCTGCTAGTCGAAGACATTCTGGTCAGTCGTAAACAGTTTTAACGAAGCTAATTTGTAGCATTAGTACAGCGGTTGAAGATATTCTAGTTGAATTGTTGAAAAGAACTTTCGTCAGGCTTCTCGCAATGACTGGGGCCTAAGGCTGATAGGGTTGACAACTACACGATCCTGCCAAATTTTCAGCTTCTGGACCTTTTCAATTATGTCACAATTACATACGCAGTGACATGAGATGTTAGAACCCAATCATCTTTCAAGAGGTAGGGCTGAATGGTGACAGGTGAAGCGGGCGTTCTGTGGAGGTTGCGCCAAGATGTGAACCTGAGTCTTGGCAGAGGGGACAACTTTTCGCTCCGCTCCAAACTCTCTCATTGCTAGCAATGCTTCTTTTTGCCGTGCTTCCACTCTTCCTTCTCGATTAATCAATACTGCTACCATGCTGTAGAGATTCAAACAGTACGGTTTCTTGGACTAAATAGGCCGAACTGAGTGGAACAACAAATCTTACGATCGCAGCCAGCTGATGATTGCTCCGTCGATGATCGGATCACAATATGGTCATGTCCGATATACACGAACTCCTTGGCTATGGAGCATTGAGCTATGGATCGTACAATATGTCGTAGCCAAAAGGCCGACGGAGAAATTCGTATACGCTCTGATCCAGACACGGACTTGCCTACCATATCAAGACGTCTTTGCGTGCACTGGGCCGAAGTGGAAACTATCCCCATGCAGCACTGCTGAGAAGTAAAGTGCCTGCTGATATCAAGTGAGAGAACACACGGTGAGGAAATTGGAGTCATATAAGATCCACATTTAACTCACTAAATCCAACTTTCACATCGCCTTGGTCTCCAAAAGAAATATTCATTCAAATTTACTTACCACCAATATGAGCGAGGTGCAGCATCCTATCTGCGGCTTCGTGCCTCCACATGTTCTCGAGGCTATAGCCGGCTCTACTTCCGTCCCGGAAGAGTGTCGTATTGCATGCCACTATACACTCAAGCATGCAGGATCCTATAAAGATCAACACCATCAGCTGGGTTGGAAAGCTCATGTTCGTAGCCCGTCCACCAAATCCAAGGAGGATCGTACTACGGCACTGCAACCGGTGCAGCAACCTCTGACCGCAGCAGGTGCCGAGCTTGCAGTGCCTGTGCAAAGAAAGATCTACGATTGCAAGGAGACCCAGGCTCGCCCAGGAACCCTTGTCAGATCAGAGGGACAGGAGCGGATCAAAGACCGCCAAGGCAACAACTGCTACGATGGATTCAAAATCACGCACGACTTCTACTCCAAGATCTTTGGACGCAACTCCATCGATGACAGGGGGCTCGCGCTTGTTGGCAGTATTCATTACAAGCTCAATAGCGCACCAGCCGGGTACAATAATGCCTTCTGGGACGGCAACAAGAACCAAATGGTTTTCGGCGACGGCGACCACATCGCCTTTGACTATCTCACCGACTCGCCGGATGTGATCGCTCACGAATTGTCCCACGGGTTTGTGCAATTCACCTCACCACTGGAATACTACTGGCAAGCCGGAGCATTGAATGAATCTTGTGCCGACGTCTTCGGCTGTATGATTGAGCAATGGCATATGCGGCAGAGTGTGGACGACGGGGACTGGAATGTCGGCCAAACGGTCTTCCCGGTCTCGTTCAGGGGCACCGCCCTCAGGACATTGAAGGCTGGGAAGGCACTATTCCGAAGACCCTGTCCTTGGAACCGACCCACAGCCCAAGCACATGCAAGATCTCTACACCGGCGGAGCAGACAACAGAGGGGTCCATATCAACTCGGGAATCCCGAATCATGCATTCTATCTGGCTGCGAAATCTCTACGGGGATACTCATGGGAAAAGGCCGGCAAAGTGTGGTACAAAACCATGACCTCAGGTAAGATCCCGTCTAATTGCGACTTTGCGACTTTCGCGGCGGTCACGGTCGACGTCGCTGGGAAAGAGTTCATTGACGCGTCGGTGGAGAACGCGATTCGTGATGCGTGGGTCAAGGTTGGCGTCCTTGCTCCAAATGTGTCTTTGAAGGCGTTGCTCTGATGCAAACGCCCCAATGTATTTCCCGCCTGGATTTTGTAGTGTAAACAATGCCTTGACTCATCCGGCGACTTCCAAGTCGTAATACACTTAAACGGGAATGATCTCTCTGAAAGCACTAGTAAAATTGTTCCATCAGTCAAGGCATCTCAAAATGAATAGCTGAATCTCGAGTATCGAATGGCTACCATGGCAATGTGACTGCTCTCTGAGGCGGGCAAAAAATGCATATTCATCGGGTGTACGAATTGGCTTGGGGTCACTTCCATCACTCAAAGAACATGTGGCTTGATCTGTTGATGGTAGAACTTGTACTATGTTACTTTTCCACATCTGCCTCAGTTTTAAACGGAGATATGTCCCTCCACTATTTCAACAGAACGAACTTCGTGCAGACAATCAACCACACTGGATTCCTGGAATGACGTCAAGGGCTTGGCGAACTTTTGAGGAGGCAGGACTAAACTTGTTTAGCATTAGCCGCCCACTGTTTTTGCTAGCTAGTTATAGGGATATCCAAGTTGACGCTTACTTAAAATGGGCAATTTCAGCTTTATCTTTACCAGACTCTCCTCGCATGAAATACAAGCAAGGGGCTTTCTCGCAGCGCCTCCTTCGCCAAAATGGTAACAGCGATTCGGCTAGCTCGTAATTCTCAGTCAACTGACGTTACTTACAATGTTCCGCCGGACCAAAGCAGGTAGTGTAAAGGTAGCACGAGGTAGGCTTGGTCTTAGCACCACAGTGAGAAAAGGTAGCTCTAGGCGGGGCAACAACATCATTCTCGTGCACGAGCAGCTGGATGTCCTAACGTTGACCTAACTCTTGTTGAATCCGTGCTCTATAAACTGTCTTCATGGAAATCAATACTTGTAATATCATCACCATTTAGGTGGATTGAATTATTCCGCCAACTGCACGCTCGCAAATACTTGGCTCGGCTCGGTGTAATTATTGATGCCAAGCGATTGTAAAGACCGTGGTCTACAATATCGCTTCGACGCATCCGAACTAGATCCGAGAGATGTTCGAACGCTATCCGAAGCGAACCCGGAGCGCCCAGGCGCTAGTCTAGTACGTACTTAGGATACTATATAGTCTGACGAGTCCCTCGTACCGTCTTAGGCATAACCATGTCCCCTTCCCATCACATCGGCCCCAACGCGTCCGAACGACACTCTGAACACCTCTTTTCTCCTATCTACTCTCCCATCAAAGTACTCGTGGATTGACGACACCGATATCATTTATCTCTATGATTGCCTATTACTCGCCCCTCCCAGTGTTTGGCACGATGCCGCTGTTGGCCACATCATCCGCACTTGCCGTGCGCCTAACCTAGCGAGATCGCTAAAACCAGAGGTCCTTGACCTGGCTCGCAACTGCAACACAACTGTGAAATACTATACTAATTCTATCTGTGCAATTAATACATCTGACCGAGATTCGGTTCACAACTCTACCAATGGGACGTACACCTGGATTACTGGACTCCCCCCTTCTCAGTGGCTTGACTCTTCAGATGGTCTCGCCATGCTGCACAATGCTCTTCCCGCGCTACATGCAGGTATTATTAACTTGGAACTCGAGGCTGGGCCAATATCGGTTTACCTGACAAATTCTTCGGCAGTCCCTATGAGTCAGTCGTCGCGAGGGCACGCTACCTTTGGATGTCTGAGTTTTGTCGGAAACTACACAGCAAGTATGGCGTAAATTTATGGAGCTCCACGATTGAGATGTTCTCCCCTATACATGTCCGTGTGCCCGCGCCAAAATGTATCAGACGCGTATCCATGTTTATTGCATCGGCTTGCAACCAACGATCGGGTCGAAACTGATCCGCGTCTGGTCCGAAGACGTCTTTGTCGAAATGAACGACCGGTGGGTTGATCCCGACGCGATACCCATGAGGAATGTAAGTTCCATTAAGCTGCACACCACCTTCAGGAACTACTCGGGCCAAATTTAATTGAACGCTTGGGAAAATTCGGAAAGCTTCCTTGATACAGGCGCAAAGATATGGGAGCTGAGTTGCTTCTGAATGCTTGGCCGGGAAGGTCAGCTTTCCGCTTTCCACGGTCTCATCGATCTCGTTTAGCAGCCTCTGGTAGATTTGTGGGTTCTTCATAACATTATAAAAGGTTGTACGAAAGGCAATTGCCGTTGTGTCAAAGCCGGCCGACCTAGACTTTAATTAGAACGTTAGACATTATTTGACCTGCGTTGAGACGAACAGTGCCACATAAGCTTCCTGCTCAATATCGCTGAATGAGAAGTCGAGTTTGTCGCCGCTTTCGAAATCTTCAGGTTGCTGCAGAATATCCGTACGGGTCTCTCCTTGCCCAAGACGAGTTGCCACCGTCTCGCGAGACGCATTGATGATGGTCTTGATAGCTCCGAGAGCACTTCGTGAGCCAGGTATGAGCAGAGAGGATGTTAGTATCAAGGGTCGACAAGATATGGGTGAGACTACTGTTAGAGCTAGCCACGGCAAATAGCGATCTAGTGACTGAATCCCATCCTTGTAATCTGAACTAGTCTCGAGACATCCAAAGGCCTTGCCGAACATAAGTTCGCCAATCACATCGAATGCATACCTAAGACTGGGTTCGTTATTGTCTTTGAGATCATGAGCGTGAAGTGCCTTACATCTGGAGCCAGCGGACTAGATCAAAGGCTTCTGCCCTTTCCGAAAATCCTCGCAATTTCTCGATAAACTTTTTGGAACATTGGTCGATATAGGACTCGGACTTTGGAACATTGAAGAGAGCATAGACGTGATTGATGTTGCGTCTTCGTTCAGCGTGGGTCTTGTCGTTGGGAATGGAAAAGAGCCCTGTGTGTCTGCCAAAGCCACCGCTGTTCCATACGGTGTAGAAATCAATCTAGTCGAAAGCTCTCTGGACGCGATAGGTGCTTTTAATGGCTTCCAGTGAGGCACACGCAATCTCGTCAGGCGCTATCCTGATCAACACACCAGTTTTGCGTGCAGACGCCTTTGTGTCTTTCGGTGTCACTCCGCGCAACAGAAAATCATATACCAAAGCCGACTAACTGAGGCCAGCCATGGTCCTGGGATGTGCCTCAGACGATGCAAAGCTCTGCAATAGACGATTCTGATTCATCCCGCATAATAGATCACCAGAATCAGAAACAAGTACCTAAATAAGGAGATACTGAGGTGGTCAGCCCACCATAGACACGATCTTCACTATGCCGAGTAGTTGCTCGCAAGCTTGAGCACAGCTGTTGTAACGGATGGGCTAAAAGTCCAGATTTTGGTCTGGCGTCGTTCGGGGACTAATCCGCTTACCCTGGACTGCCAAATGTAGGTTGTATGATGGACGCCAGCAACTGGAATCGCCACAGTACCGATTCGATCCCGCGCTGGGTCGTCTCAGGACGACAGTCACTACACCAAAGAACCCTAGATTGCGGAAGATTTGAATTTGGCGCCGCACCTTTCTATTCGGGACAGGTTGCCCTCCCTCATTTGCGCATGGCACTGCGTCGAGTCCAACAGATTGGGAGGAAATTTGCAACATCACTCAGTAAAGTTATTACTACCGGGTTATGTATCCGCCTGCGGTTCAACTTCGGATTCACAAAGGACGGAGTATCCTAATCCACCATGCCCTCGAAACAATACACCACCTGCCACCCCTAAAAGTAGAGTCGGCTCAAAAAGTGGCTATCTAATAGAACGTAGAGTAAGCGGATTAACTCGATATGAATGAGGTTCGCTAACAGCCGACGAGACAACGGCAGCTGCAAAGTTCAGAAGCTATGCAAAACTGCAGGAATAGTCGCCCCGGAATGGCCCCTACACTGTCAATCAGGGTTGGCAATGCAATGGGGTTGAACAGTCAACAGCGCAACGCAGGTTCATTGCTACTTTGAACTTTACCATAAATATGGCAGAAGATACCATAAGAAACTGAGCCATCGAGAGTGCACAGTGATCGGTTTGGAGTTGGTGTCTTCAAAGGGTTTATAGACAAGATTGCAGCCAGCTGATGCTATGCTCCGACAGTTTCTTAGGATTCTGGGAGGATTAGCACAATGTCATGCAACAGTTGGTCATACGCGACTTGACTACAAAGATTTATTTTCTGGTGCATATCATTACTAAGTTGAACTCAGCGTCCCCTTGTTTCCATTACTATAGATATGATGCTCCTTGCTTAAGATCTACAGAGACAAACGCTATCTATGGAGCATGGAAGCAAGTCGAACCCTGAAAATATAGCCTTGTTTCGACAAGCCTTTCCAACCTGGCGGGCTCTGGTGGCGTTTTGCTTCCCTGAGTGCCCGAACCACTTAAGTACTGCAATGATGTATCGAGCAAAGTTGTGTCTTCATCCTGAGAAATCTTTGGCATGTCTCCTCCTATACCACCCGGCCTCTAAAGCCTGATCGATGGCATGTTGCCCATCAGCGAACAGCCTTTTTACATTTCTCCTTCCTTGTTCTCGCAGCCTCCGATCCCACTCATCGGGGGTATCTGTGATGACCCAGTTAAACCCTGTTTCTAGAATCCAGGCGAAATCGCTACGATAATCATGACCGTCGACAGATTTGTTCCCAACAATGCTGTCGAGGAGAGCGGGTGCTTTATTGTCCTGGAACACATAGACGGAATTCTTGACTCGAATATCTGCTGGAAGGCTATAGTTGGCCGTGTCGAAACTTGACGTGGTCAGATGATTGGCAATGAATTCATTCATAGAACAGGGCATACAAAGTTTTTCGTGAAGCAATCGGTTCAACAAAGTCACCCACAGCATAACTGCAGTCCAGAGGTTTCATCAGTATAGTAATCCTGAGGTAGTATTCCGAAGCAAAAGATGACTTGTGACTGCTCGCACTTACAATATTCCTGATGTTCGGAATGCCTCATTACTATAATCAAGCCCCTTGACATGATCAAGAAGTTGCTGTAGTGGACCATTTGGAGAGTACAGTTCTATCTCAGCGGAAATGGTGTAATTTGTCCTAAGAAATCCTTTGAGACCGTTCAAAGTGTCCCATGCTGCCTCGTCAATGGGATTGTAGACTGGGATATATGCGAGCTGAATGCCACTGCGAAAAGCATCCCGGACCCAAGGGAGAGCTTCGAATTCTTCAGGAGTGCGCCACCAAGTTGCTTGTAATTTATAGATACACCATTCATTGGCGGGAACACCGGCGGCGTTTTTCAACCCCTTGAGCTGCCAGTATGCTGGTTCAACAGCCTCCTTGTCCTTGAAATCTAGCTGCAAAACGAGATCGGTGCCAGCGTCGTGGATATTCTGTATCATCTCGGGCAAGGAAGGGACTGTCTCCTCCCTTACACGACCCGACTCATCGCGAAGGTGTAACTTTTCGATAAATCCTGTGAAGTTGCTATCCTTGACCTTTGGGTTATATCCTTTGCCGGTGAAAGGATTGTATGCCGCTTGGCCGGTCTGTTCGCCCACATCAGTCTCACGTCCAAGGCCATTGTCATGAATCATGGGGAGATAGCCATCGGCAGAAATATGTATATCAGTCTCGACACACTCGATTCCAGCTTCAGCTGCACGGAAGTATGCATCGCGTGAGTTCTCAGTCGTCCCGTTCCATCTGTTGAAACTTTGGATCAGAGACTCTTCTGAGTTGTTGGTGTTGATTGCATCAGGACCTTACCGAAGACCTCTGTGCGCACACAGTATTGTCAAATCGGGATGCGGCTGGCGAAAAGCATTGATAATCTTCCTCACATCATATGGCTGCCGTGCAGCTCCAACAGTGGCGGTTAATAGGCCAAACCCAAGTGCCAATGCAAGAATAGCGGAAGATCGGCTAATGGCGATCATCTTTAGTGTAACTGTTCAAGCTTTTGCCCGGGCTTTAACTGTGCGGGAGGACGACTTCTAGCCAACATTTATATAGACAGGCCCTCTACCTCTGGTGTCATGCGGCAGATATTCCGTCCAAGGCATGTGCATGAGATCTGCTCCAAAATGTATACATTCGGTGTCGTGTATATAAGCCGATCCCTGAGAAAGCCATCACGTGGCTGAAGGCTTGGATCCGATATGGCATCGGTATTAGCTTGCGGGTCCTTCAAGTCTCTCGAACAGTCTAGCGACGATTTAGAGCTGTCCACTAACTCTTGGTGTCCAAGGGTCTATGATGCTGCTAGGTATAATTGGATCATCAGCACTTACTCTGTGTAGTTCCTTCGCATTGTTGTAGCTCGGAGAGTGGTGAATAGACCCACCCACGTGCTCAGCCTGCGGCGATGACGAGAGTCTACCAGGACGGATAGTATATGAGGAATTCAATGTGGCATGATGGGGCTCAACAAGAAATTCTAGAAAGACAAGCTTTGGCCTGCACCTGTCCCTGTAGAGACGAGGAGCGAGAACTGTAGAGAAGAACTTCGTGTGAGAATCCAAGATACGGTGGAGCAATTTACCCTGGTTTGTCAGTGACGTCTGCTGAGTCCTGACTTTCCCTCCTGCCGAAAGTTTAAATGGCGAGAAACACATAATTCGACGCACATGAACTCTACCCAGCTTCACGGACCCAGGAGCCATAATAATGTGCCATTGCAGTCCTCTATCTTACAGTATGACACAAGGGTGCGCCTGTTAAAGTCATCCTCACACAATTCCCACCTCCTCCGGTAATGGCTAGGCGCTCTGCTCTTCTCCAAACATGTCCTCAACCCTGACCTTCACGCAAGGGCTGCTTCTGGGCCAGCTCTCAGTCGTCCTCTTGATCGGAGCCTTCATAAAGTTCTTCATCTTTGGCGAAGCTCCTCCTGTTCCCTCAAGGTCGTCGCCCTCAGGCCGCACTCCGAAGCACGTCCGCTCGCCCTCTCTTCACAGCCTAGCATCCTCGAAGAACGCTGCCCCGCAGTCTCTACGGAATAAAGCGAGTGCAAATGTGCTTAGGCCCGTTCCGACTACTGCCACCGACATAGCTTCTATACTTAGGAAGACATACTATCAAATTCCCGCCCACAGTCATGGGAAAAACAACCATTCCACTCATCAGCCTGAGAGCTTGGATTGGTTGAATGTTTTGATTGCGCAGACGATCGCCCAATACCGGCAGACTGCTTACAATCTCAGAGATGGCGCGTCTGGAGGGGTTTCTACAATTTTGACGAGTCTTGAAGCCGCAATCAACAATCCTGACAAGCGCCCGTCTTATATTGATAAGATCAAAATTACCGAGATATCTATGGGCGAGGAGTTTCCTATCTTCAGCAATGTACGTGTTATAGCTGTGGAGGATGATACTTCAAGCGCTACAGGTGGAAGACTACAGGCCTTGATGGATGTAGATCTGTCTGATGATAACCTCACCCTTGCCATCGAGACTGCTCTAATTCTCAATTATCCCAAGCCATTGTCTGCCGTGCTCCCAGTTGCGCTGGCTGTCTCGGTTGTCAGATTTTCTGCTACATTGTCAATCAGTTTCGTGCCTGCTACTCATCCGAAGATGACAGACAAGGACAAGCAAAGCTCTGCATCCGGAAATCCCAAGACAAATCTTGCCTTTTCCTTCCTTCCAGACTATCGTCTGGATTTATCTGTTCGAAGTTTGATCGGTTCTCGCACCCGGCTGCAAGATGTGCCCAAGATTGCACAACTTATTGAAGCCAGAGTACAAGCTTGGTTTGAGGAAAGGGTTGTGGAGCCTCGTGTTCAAGTGGTCCCTCTCCCAGGTCTATGGCCTCGTATGGGCAAGGTCAGAGTCAGAGAGGGGCAAGAAGACGATCGCCCATCGACTCAGGACGAGCATCGAACTACATCCTTCACTAGCCACCGAGATACCCGCACCGAGGATGATTTCCCCAGTCAAGAGGAGACCGAGAAGATCTTTGAGAATCTCAGGTTCCGCAGCGGTCGTGTTCGATCAGACAGTCAGGCCATAATGGGCGAGGAAGACGACCCGACTTCAAAGCCTGTGAGGACGATGCCCGGGGCCTTGCCCGCCTGAGATTCGGCAATGACTTTTGGAAAAAATTTATTTGATCCAAGTGCTGGAAAAGGTCGGAGAATGATAAATCAGCCTGAATCTGTGATGGATATACTGATCTCCCAATCATTAGGTTGGGATCTAGCTGTTGTCGTCAAATCGGGGGAACATCTCAGCCCACAGAGTTTCAGTAGGTTCCCCACAGACGGGTTTCCACCACAAAAACCTCGAGCAAATGGAATCGAGGGTCGAGCAGTGATCTATACCCAGGTTTTTGACGTGCTCGACCATTTGCCCAATATACCAGCTTCGATCATAGGTATATGATGCGGCAATAGCGCCTAGAGTGGTTGCCCATAGCAGCACATAAGCATGTAGGTCCCAGCTACGAGCGATGGAGCAGGCTTGCAGCGCATGGCGCAATAACGGTGCGAGGCGGTACTTGACCCCCTGTGTCGGTGGTAGCGGGAAAATCACCATATCGCTGAAGATCAAAGCTGCTAGACGACATGCCTGAAGCACGCTACTATCACCACCAAGAAAATTCGATTGGGGTGGTGGAAGCTGAGATAACAACCGGTGTTGTGCGGCGTGACGCGCTGTGACAAGATCAACCAGATCTGGAGCGGTGGGACCGCCTCTTGCATAATGATCTAGTGCTACAGTAACTTCGGAAAATGCTTCCAGAACGGCAAGTAGCTCGCGTCCGTCAGGGGTCAATTGGAAGTATTTGAAACCGCTACTTAGCTCCGAGTCGAGTTCGATGGCAACACCATCGAGGACATGTTTGCCAGTCAGGACCAGAGACTCTGGTTCTCTTCGTAGTGGGAAGGAGGGGGAGCAGACGTGCTTTGTTGAGAAGTAGACATCGCACCTAAATAGATTGCAGATCCGTTCAGTGGGTATGCACTCATACAACAGTGGTCATTTTAGGCAAAGCATGACTTCGTGCTATACGCATGCTAGTCACGAGGGAAACGGAAGCCACTTACAGAGCCATAGTATCAGCCAGTCCATACAGCTTGAGGCCATCAAGACCTCCTTTCTGCATAATCATATACACGATCCACCTGACATGGCTCTCATCATTGACCATGCTCCCATAGACGTGCATATTCTGGGCTTTGGCGAGGGGACTCTGGGGATGGATGTGAGGATGAACGACATTGTCTCTGGAGCCGTGTATGGCGAGGATAGCGATCGCCATGATGAGAGCGTCGCTGGGTGGGGTGTGAGGGTCGTACTGAAGACTCAATGCGTCCTTGATCAGGGCTATGGTCTGCGTTTTGTGCACCAGGCGCAGCGTGGGCGCGTTCGCCATGATCTCCTGTCCTTGGTGCGCGCATAGCATGTGCAGCGTTGTTGCGTAGATTAAACTGTGGAATGCCACTGGGTGATCCATCGCTAATTGGAACCATGCTCCTTGTACTGGGTTCATCATTGCTCGTGACCGTGCTGGTACTGTGTTCGGCCATGAGTGCACTAGAGCTGTGGTTAGGGAAACAGATACTTAGTTAGCTAGTCTTCCTTTGTTTCGATATCTTCGTCTGCGGATAGGTGTTTGTGCGCTGTCGGTGAACGGACCATCATCCTTTTTACAAGGGGGTTTGAAAGAGAGGAAGAGGGACACAGTAGGATCATGTGCATGAAGGAGGGCTAAGGCAACCTACCATGATCTAGGACTCGATGGATAAAAGCCGGCATGCCCTGTGATGGCAAGGCATCAAATGGATCAAGCCGACCTTCACCCAACAAGTTTCGTAGCTGAGGTGAGCTGCTCGTGCTCGCCACGACCTCACCTCGCGGAGACAGCGGCGCCACAACAGCAGAAGCCGCACTCCATGGTGACGACGATGACGATGCGCTCCTCGGTCTGGACTCTTTGCGCGAGTACCTCTTCTGATCCTGCTCGTCACCCGCTGCAATGAGCGAGGCTGTCGTTTCAAATTCGCCAGCCTTTGTGCGGTCCGGTAAGGCAACGCGCCCTTCCAAATCCTTTTCATCCAGTATCGATTCAACATCCTCGATAGTCTTCGGCGCGCCTAAGCGCTTCACTCGCAATTTGCGATGATACTCCTTGGTGATGTGGGCGCGCACTTCACTTGGTCCACCGCGTCGCTTCTTCGTGCCTTTCGGAACGGGTGCTGCAGGCGCTGAAAATTCAACGAACATGAACCGAGAACTATCACTTTTGCTCTGTCCTCCTTCCTTGGCGCTTGCGCCTCCCTGCGGATTCGTGGTGGCCGTGGCCATGTCGTTCTGATGTTCTGGACATTAAATACAGACTTCTCCACGTCTCGCTCCTGGATAGAAAATTGTTGTGCGTTTCTCCCTCAAAACTGGAAATTTGTCGAGGGAAATATGAGCCACAACACGGAGGCAGCTGGCGCTCAATACCGAATAGAGCCAATTGGAACCAGAGATCAAGATAAGTGTTGCATGATCCGACGATTTGGTGTTTTTGGGGTTAATAGTGACATCGTTAGAACAGGAACCATGTGTCAGCACTGACAAGCGAGGGGAATCACCTGGGATGCTAAGAATATGGATACCTAGGGAGTTCTACTAAGTAACAACTTCCCAACGAGGTGACTCGCTTGAGCTGTTCGCCCGAGCGACCTGGTGGTCTCAGGGCTGCAACGGATGGACCCCGCGTTCAGGGGCCAGTCAGCCGAGTCCTTGGGCGCGGGCGGCAGTTTGGCGAGCCTCCACGGCGAAGAGGCCGAGGTTCTTCCCTAACGAGGAATTGGTTGTCAATATTGGGATACAAAGATACAAACGCGGACGCCAGGAATATGCAAGGCCTTCGATGAGACAAATCAGTGATCAAGGGACCCCAGTAACAACTATCAGGCAGGCATGCCACACCCACTGGATTATGAGAAGGTACGAGTACACTCATGGTCCCTGTGTCGCAACTTCCCAAGTTTGCCAGTTGATGGAACCAATGAGTCGGCGATTCGGGCTAAAGGTGATCCGGATGCTCGTGCTCTCCTCCGCATAAAACACCGGCATGATATAGATTTTGTGAAGGAGTCCAACTTTCTAGTCAGAGCGTTACACACCTCGTATTTAGGCATCGGACTTTATATATTGTGTCACTCCAGCTTTGGAGCAGAAGAGTGCTGCGAGAGCCCGCTTCCTCCTAGGGCGAGTGGCCGATTGGGCACCCCCGTGGGCTTCCCCATTTGATACGTTTACTGATGATGGTGATATGTATGTGAAGATTGGCTTTTCCAAACAGACTGCATCTGGAACAAAGTATTTGACAAGCTGATCTTGAGCTGAAGGAAATTCTTGTTCAATTTGATGATTGTTTCCATCTAGGTCAATCCTCCCACAAGGCTATGTACAAATGGAAATGGGCGTTAAATGCTGTACTTGTGGGACTCGTCTATTCTAGCGAAATACAAGCGTCCTGTAGTCGCAGATACTCTGCTCGGTGGGCGTTGACATCTGTGTCGGGGCCACGGTTCAACGGAGTCCACTTAGGCTCATCTTTAAACAATCGCATGGCTTTGATATACTGAAATAGCGGTTTTGTTAGAGCACCTCATCCCTGACCATGTTGTCCGTAGCATACTTACATTGTTCTCATCGGTTGTAAATCGATGATAGATGCCGGCAGGGAGGATGATCAGATCGTCCTTCTCCAACCGAATCCTCACCCACTCGTCACCTTCGCTCCGTACGTCAAAATAACCTGCGCCGTCTCGAATGTATCTGATCTCCTCATCCTCGTGCAGATGCTCGTTGAAGAACATCTTGACTTTGTCCTCGTACACAGCTCCCATGGCCGAAGGGCTCACGGTAATCTCATCGCGGTTCCTGTAACTGCGGTCTTTCGCGATGGCGTCGACCGTGGAGAGCTCGGGTGCATGGTGATAGAGAACCCCTAATTTGGCCAGGTATGAGGGTTCAACTTCGCGGCCAGAGTCATGGGTGAGACGCTGGTCTCCTTCTTGGTTATCGAACCAGTATGCCTTCATTGTGCCTGTGAAATCGGAGCTGGGATGGGTTTTCAGTGTTGGTGGCTGTAGGTGAGGGACAAGTTGTTTGTCGGGGGGCTTCGATCGCGAGAAGGGTGTATGACAGGTTTAAGGAGTGTTTGGGCTGACGAGGTTGCACGTTGGGAGACAATGTTTTACGAATGGTCAGATCCAAATCATGACCAGTCCACGAACCTCTTGCGCATAATTTTGATTGCTCCCACTTTTCCCTCAGGGAACGAGCGCCACCGGCCATTCACTCGGTGCGGGGAGAGATGCCGCCGCAGTGCCGCTAGTTGGTTAAGTCATCCGCTAAGTGGATATTAACTGCCTCACTTCCCTTGTTCAAGACTAGCTAGTCGGCACTAAATCCTGCTTAGTAATTTAACGCATGCGTCACTTTAACTCAACACCGCCAAAGAAAACAAATCACGTTGCCCGCTATTGTCATACTTATCCAGATCTCCCACCATAAGCAAATTGCATCGCTATTTTATGCTCTTGATCCTGCATCGCTTCGGACAATAATTAGCCGATGACTAGGCTCTACACAGAGGAAACATTTCCAAGATTCTTGCGGATATTGCCATTCGAACGAACCTCGGCACCTGGGCAGCAATTCCTCTCCACCCGAGTTCCCGTCCACCAAATGGATTGGATAGCTCGTCAGAAGAGGTAGGCAAAATTGCTCTGGCCTGCTGTTGGCTTCTCGCCGTCATTCACTGTCCAACATACTCCCCAGCGGAGTGTCAAACAACATGGCGCTGGACAATAACAACCCATCGTCACCATCAACGCAGCGCTCACTAAACACCGCCTTCTCATCCGACGTAACCAAAATATCACTCCCGCAGACGACTGAACCTCCTGGACCGTCAAACCCACCGAAGCAGAGGGTATGGCTAGTTTTCGGAGCAACAGGTCACATGGGTCGGTCTATTGTGAAAGCGGCCTTGCAACACGGTGACATCGCCTCTGCCGCGGGCCAGTCACTCGTCGACTCCCAGGCGTCGATGCTAAAGTGGCACGATGATCCTAATCGATATCTCGGCCTGCTGTGTGACGTGCGCATTCGGTCCACAGTCGCGATGGTTCTCGAGAAAACCATGTGTCAATTCGGTCGCGTCGACATCATCGCCAATTGCACGGGCTATGGTGTGATCGGCGCGTGCGAGGACCAGGACGAAGCTGAGATCCGCAACCAGTTCGAAACCAACTTCATGGGCACATTGAACATCATCCAGCTCTCTCTGCCCTACTTCCGCAAACGCCAGGCCGGGCGCTATCTGATCTTCAGCTCGACATCCGGCGCCCTTGGCGTGCCGGGCCAAGGTCCATACTGTGCAAGCAAATACGCCGTAGAAGGACTAATCGAGAGCATGCTGTATGAAGTCGACGGATTCGACATCCGGGCAACACTGGTAGAGCCAGGCCATCTGCGGCGGGACGATGTGCACACGCTTGCGAACGGAGTCAAGCTCCCCATCTTCGGCCACTTCAAAGTCGCTAAGCCGTCGGAACCGTACATGGCTAAGGACGCACCGGCTGGTCATGCGAAGCGTACGCTGCAGTGGATCGGCGAGAATCAAAACACCAGTGTTGTCAAGGCCGCCGAGCTTGTCTGGCAACTGGGCCACTGCAGCTATCCGCCGCTCAGGCTCTTGCTGGGTACCTATGCCGTCGAGAGCATTAGAGATCGACTCAAGAGCGTGACCGAAGAAATTGAGGATTGGAAACATCTCCATTTCCCGCCCTTGGAGGGCCATGAGGAGAAAGAGGGCGAAGACGACAATGATGGAGACGATGTCGACGGTAACGAGGATAGAGACGATGAGAGGGACGGAGATGAAAAGGATGACGACGATGACGACGACGAAGATGGTGGTCAGGAGAACAACGACGCTGAATCAACGATAATAAAACTAGAAAAGTCAGGAGACGTGGACATGTGTGACTGAGCTACAGAGAAGGAACTGAACGGCTTGGAGCAGCACCGATTTTAACGAGGGCTGTGTTTCAACACGCCCTTAGTCAACAGGACTACGACTACATTATCGATTGATGCACTCTTATGAGACCAAGTACCCTCTGCGAGTCGAAAAGGAAACTTCCGACGATTCCTCCATGACTAGAGCATCCCTTTCATCCTCTTGTCATCAACGGCCACTTGCCTTTGACCAGCTACACATGGAAGTGCCTTTGTGCTGAGCATATAATCGTTGAACCCGCATATTGGGAGATGTTAGCACAGGCTGCACCCTAACAGGCGTTTCATCCCTGAACAGACTGGAATAATCTGAATGGCCTGGATCTTGCAAGGATTGCTTCAAGTCTCGGCTCGTGTCGTGCGTGCAGTCACAATTGCATCTTCCAACTAGTCGGTTGTAAAAGCGACTGAGGCTTGGAAAGGTGGCGTGGCGCGCACACAACCTCTCCGATGACAATCCAAGGATGGATGAACCCCCAAAGTACAGCACATTCCTTTGCGCAGTCGGTGTCCAACAGTTCATTTGAGACGACTTAGGGCAGGCGGCGGTACTCTGGACGTCTCAATTCACTACGGAATGCTTGGAACTGTATTGTATTCGTACATGCTTCGTTTGGCTCTGAACGAACACAAGTAGTGTTGAGCAGATCTTGGCTGAAGGCCACCCGGATGACGCCGAAAGGTGTGGATGGATTGAGTGCGAGTCGAGACTGGGTGGTGAAAAGCTCTAGAAGTACAGTGGTGTTTGTCTGATGAAACAGACGGACTCCAGGCCTCTCTTGCTGATCTATCTCAAAGCGTGATCCGCATGTGATCATTACTGCCGAAGCTTTTCCCGCAGTTGGGGCACTTTCTTGATCGGCTCGTTAGCCGTTCCTCCACGCAGTCATTGCAGAACGTGTGTCCACAAGTTTTGATGACCGTGTTTTTCAACGCCCGCTTGCAGATATTGCAGTACGCGAATTGGCGCAGCATCTCATATTGTTCGGATTGTCCACTCTTGTTCTTCCAGGATTCGAGATTCCTTCGGGTGTCCTTTAGCGAGGATTTGAGTTCTTCAACTTCAACTTCAGCCGATCGACACAAATTCGAGGTTGTGGCGAATTTGGCGTCCTTGGCCGATAGCAGACCCTTCAATTCGGTCACCTGTGTTCGAAGTCTAGAGGCTTCCAATCCTTGGCTTATACTTTGCTGCTGCACGTTTCGATGTTCGTTCGTTTTCGTTGCCAATGCTTCTTTCAAGTCTGACAATTGTTTTTCCATGGTTGTTAGGCAAGCCCGACTGGCCCCCTCGGCTTCTTTCAACGCAGTCACGGCTTCACCAGATTTAGAATTTTGCAACCGCAATGTTCGAATCTCTCCGTCACGGGTTTCCTTGCTTTTCATTGCAGCAAAATATTTCTGGTCGGCTTTGGCCTTCTCTGCAGACAATCGCATCACTTTCTCTTCCAGCAAGGCAAGATCGGATACTTTCTGGCTCGCCAGTTTTGACGCTTTTGTGAAAGCCGTTGACATTGACGCAAGTTCACCGTTCAAAAGGTGGTAATTCCTTGACAGCTCGGTGAATTTTGCTCGCAAATCATCAATATTCAGAGATTCTAGCTCCGGGTTCTCCACAGCCATCCCATTTGGCTCGGCCGTTAGCCGTTCATTTTCGGATTCCAGGGCCTTGATGCGATCTTCTTGCGCAGAGACTAAATCGGCCATCTTTTTAGATGCTTCCTGATCTTGATCCAAGGTAGCCTTCTTAATCGCTTGATCAGCTAGAAGTTCATCTCGATTGTGCCGAATTCTTGCCAAGTTAGCTTCTGATGCCGCTAGAAGTGACTCCTTCTCAGCAAGTGTACTTAGAGTCTCATTTTCCAGCTGTGTCTGAAAAATGGTTCGCTCTGCCCGGAGTTTTTGGGCCTCTTCTCTCAGCTCAACATTCATCGCTTCAAGGTTGTTAATTCTCTTTATAACATCCTCGTGCTGAGATTTGAATTGCTTGAACAATTCTGTCTTAGCATAATCCTCGTCAGTCAACAGCGCTGATTTTGTTGATAGTTCGGTCAATTGCCCAATAAGCTTGGCGTTTTCCTCCTCCAATCTGTCAAGTTGTTCTTTCTGCTTTTCAGACGTCGCTACAGTCTTGTTCAACTCCTTCTCCAGCTCCGCAAGCTCTTCCGAATTGTCTGTTGTTCCATTGACCGTGCTATCTTCACGCTTAACCGGACCTCCTTCCTCTGGCGAGGCTTTTGTAGCGCCCAACAAAGCCTGTTTTTCGAGTTTTGCCACTGTAACGCTCTTGGCTCGATCAATCTTCTTTTCTGCCATCATGTAACGCAACGAAGCATTTTCTAGTCGGTTTTCGAGATCCTCTTTTTCTGCCTGTAGTCTGGAGAGTTCGACCACGTGACCTTTTTCGGCAGCTAATAATCGAGATATTCTCGACTGAAGTTCTGCTACATCTGGTGTGTATGATTTGGTGTTTGAAAATAAACGAGAGATAACGGTCTTGATTTCCGTTGAGCGATCGCGAAGGTGCTCCTCGAAATGGTCATGATCGGTGAACAGTAGGGACGAGGGAAGTGAGGCAGCGTCCATATCTACATCGTCATCTCCCTTGGAAGCGAGTTTGACTTCGTCAACTACCTGTTGGAACCAAGAATCAATGATTCGAAGATGATCATCATGGTATCGTGCCTTTTTTCGCATCTCTTTCAATTGTGTCTCAAGCGTGTTCTTTTCTCGTCGATACTCTTGCATCTGCCGGTAGATCGCATCCTTTTGGAACCTCTGCGCCAGGAACAAGCAATTAGTATTGTGCATTGAAGAAGAGGCGCGGGCTGAGGCTGAAGCACAGCGACTTACCTCGAGGTCATCCTTCCAAGGCATATCATCATCTTTATGGGACTTGGAAGCGCCATTTGCAGTAGATTGGTGCTTCTTCAAGGGAGGAGCGGATTCAACCTGATCATAAGGGCTAGGTCTTTTGCGCTCATCCATCTTGACAAGACTTTGCTGGGAGGAGAGTGAAAGGGGAACTTCGATGGCCGTCATCAGTCCTGGCACGCCCTAAAATGAGGCTGTCTCTGGCCAAGACGTCCTTGACGAAGCCAATACTGGCTATCGCTGCAATACAGTGTGGAGGATGGGGATTGTCGATGAGTGAGCAGGCCGTTGAGGGATCAAGACAAAGACTTGCAGTTCCGAGTTGAAAGATTACCAGTTCCTTTGTTTGGGATCGCGCTCAGCCACAGATGCTTGGCATTTGACGCCACCGCCACCGGATCACGCGCCATAGATTTGCCTGCGACCTGTACGGAGGCACATGCCCGGCGGATTCTCGAAACGTTGGGGAAGAGCAGATATATTCTTCGAAAGTCCGTCCTAAACACAAAAAATGTTTGCACCGCAGCTGATACCTCCAATGCTGTTAAGGTAGCCTCCATTGCTAGTACTGCGCAATGTGATTACTTGTTCGAAGATTACCACTCCAGGCCTCCCTCCGACATGTCCTCCTTCAGTTCAGTCGTGCGCAAACCAGGCCAAAAGATCACCCCCAAGACTGCTCCGCGCCGAAATGTCCAGAGACAGAGTGCCAGGTACACTGCACCTCCATCTTTGACACCAGAGAACTATACTACGAGTCCTGGTCTTGAGCCTATTAACGATCGAGCTTCAAGTCAAGAGGATGCCCCGCCCTCGACCATCCTAGAGTCGACCGAATTGCCAGCCGACCCAGAGACTGTTGATGCCTCTCTCCCAGTGCTATCCCCTGTTGAGGTGATTTCAACACCCATACCGGATGTTCCAGCTACTTATCGGACTTTGCCATCTGTCGATGTATATGCCCCAATTAGGAAAAGCGAAGGATCAACAGCTATCAACCCTCCAACTGGAACGGCCGGCACACACAGGTCAGACTCCATCCCCACAGTCGCAACCACTACTTCCACCAGACTACGGCGGAGGGATACAAATGAACCGACTCCTGCACCCTCGGAGGACTCGAATCGAGAGCCCGGGGTCGAGCCGGAAGTGGCAGAGAGCATTGCGTCCTCCATGTCAAGAAAAAGACGAAAGATATCCCACACAGGTCAAATCCATCCAATTGTACAACCCAGCCCAACTCCACCCTTATCAGAAGGTGCCGCCATAATCTTAAGGAGAAATTCAAGGAGCAGCCGAAGCGAATCACGAACTTCAGATGCGTTGTTGCAGGACGCTACAAGCCAGGCTGCTGCAGTCTCCGAGCTCGCAAACTCGATTGAGAACCGGGTAAGATCGCTCGAACAACCCTGCATCGACGAAAGCCCAGGCCTAACCCAAAAACCCCGAAAGAAGAGAGGGGCTAGGACCATAGAGGACGCGACTAGACAAGTCGTTGAGGATGCTGCTCCAGGCGGCCGGCGTAATTCTCGTTTGTCGACACCAGAGAATGCAGAGGAGCTGCAAATCGATCCCGAAGAGGTGTCGATGGCCGCTTTGACTCGCGACACAAAAATGGGAAGGAAGTCCGAGACAGAAAAGAAAATGCAGGAAAACTGGTCTGAAATTCAGCAACGACGAAAAGAAGAAGTTGCGCGTCGAAGAGAGGCTGCTGGTCAGGGCCGCCATGGGAGACAAGCAGCCGATGTTTTAGGTCCTGTGGTCGAAGAGATCCATGCCCCTCAGCAAATTATCGTCAATGGTCAAATTGTTGTCGCAGCCGAGTCACGAGAAGTTGCCTTTGGCGCTGGGGTTGAGCAAGCTGTTATCGAGGATGCGGATGTTGCACTCGAGGATGACCGCATCTACAAATATGTCAATCAAGGGACAGTGGGAAAACATGCAGGGCTCCGACGGGGCACTCGATGGGACGACGATAAGACGGGGCTCTTCTACAAAGGTCTCCGCTGGTTCGGGACAGATTTCAGCATGATAGCCAATCTATTCCCACATTTCGACCGTCGGCAGGTCAAGTTAAAATTTACTATTGAAATGAGGGAGAACCCCCACAGGGTTCGCGAATGTGTAGCAGCCAAAGAACCTGTCGATATAGGTGAATACGCGATGATGACCGAGCAGGAATTCATTGACCCAGCAACACTGCAGGCGGAACTGGACGCCGAGGAAAAGCGGTTACGAGACGAAGATGACCAGCGACGGGAACGTGAAGGTCACATCAAGGACCCTGCTGATGTCGCTATACCAACGACGGAGCGGGACGACAGCGACGAAGAGGCCGCCGAACCGATCGAGGATGAAGGTGATGTTCAACAGCCGCAGAATGCCGCTGCGAGTTCCCGCAGAGACCGGATTTCGGCGGTAGCGGAGCAGGTGGTCCATACGGCTGTGGCACCTAAAAAGCGAACCACTCAGCAGCAACAGCGCAAGACCAGGGAGTCAGTCAGCGTTAGAGGGCGGCAACGGAAGAAGAGCAGAATGCCCATGGAAGGCGTGGAGGAGCGGATCGGACCGATTGATGAAGTTGGTTGACATACACTCTTGCTATTTGGAATGTGAAACGGTTCATGTGGTAATCTGTTGATGCTCTTCATGCATTCTCAGGTTTGTGCAGATATTACCATTAGAACTTGTGGTTTTGAATGTCCGACGAATGATCTAGTCAATGGTATCCCTTTCCAACATTCCCACAAAACCAGAACTCTCGAGACTTGACTACCTCGCTCGATTTCCAACGTCGGCCAGCTCCACACTCGCGGTCGGGTAGTCCCCCTGATCCCAAGTGCATTTCTTGATACAAATTCATCAAGAGGTGCTTTTATCACCCTGAATCAGGCCAAAGGCTCCCGTAGTGTTGTTTCTGGCGATTGATCTGAAATCAATACCACGCCCAGCGCCAGATGCACCAGTCGCGACAATCGTGCTGCATCGGGACGGGGTTGAATGTTCGTCGGATCATGCGACAGTCGCACTCTCCAGACGGCACAATTGCTGAGAGCGGCCCTGGATGTAAATTGCTGGGTCTTGGTACTGTGATCAACGTGTTTGGGGTCTGGGCTCCGCGGACTGCGACAGTTCGGTGGTTGAGAAGAAGTAGGAGGAGCAGCAAAAGGAGGAGCTGGTGATGGCCGCACTGGGAACCAGGGACTTGAGACATTGCTTTCAAAGCTCTGTGCAACTATGGATCGCTGGCGATGTTGCTTGGTTTGCTAGTGGATGGTCAGGAGGGACGTTTCGAGGAGGGGAGCTAGGTGCTGCTGTATACTTAGAGATAAGACTGGACAGTGTATTTGAGATTCAGGTACAGCGCCTGATGCGCCATGATCTGTCTTCCAGACGTGGTTGATGTGAGTGATTGTCCAGTTCAGTCACGACCCCGTGACTTTGCGCTGGGGTCCATTGTTGGAAGACTGTCGCTTGGCGAATATCAAGACATAAAAGACCGAGATTTCGTCCATATTCGCATATGTCGCCAGTGTGATAGGGCTTCATGCCTTCTCAATTGCATTGTCATCACAGCAGAGATTCAGCTAGTATCGGCCCCTTCCATGACCTGAGAAAGGCTGAGACCTATCAACAGAGGGACGTGTTTTCAGGAATTGAAAATCCGACTGTACAGCAGCTCATGCCTACCGAGCCACAAATCCATGGATGGCACGACTTGACCAGCATCTTCGGGCCGAAGAAGCCAGACCCTCTCCAGACTGCCGCGAATCAGATCCTGCAGCTCCTTACCAGCAAGGACAGTCTGAGCCACGTAAGGACCCATGACCGAAGCTCTGACCGCAGCGCTCACAACCGCTTTGGCGTGATTGAGGAGGAAAAGATATCCGGCTTCTTCAAGATTGAGGCCTAATGCCAGGCATACCACACCCCATACTGGTGCGAAGTGGCCGTTGACTGGTAAGGGGTTATTGGAGACGGCAGCGATCTTGAGGTCTTTAGAGAAAATCTCAAGAGCGGCGATGGGTTCAACGCCTTCTTCGAATGTGGACTTTGTCGACGAGGCGAATGCTTTCTCCCAGACGCTCAATAGAGCTCGACCCTGGGCGATGCTCGCTCTCTTGGCCACGTTGCACGGCGTGGAAGCATCAAGATCGTTATCCAAGTCCATCAAATCCAGTGGATCACGAAACGTAGCCAGGGCATACGGGATATTTGTATATGCCACTGATTGGATAGAGAGACTCAAGAATTTCTGGAATAGTGACAAGGTCGTGTGCCCTGCTGGCAATGGCTTGTGGTGAGCGAGGAAGGACTCCAAGCCACTTGAGTATGCGAAAGAGCCTAGTGGTAGGGCTGAGTCGGACAGAAGCATTAGATTATGGATTGAAGGGCCCAGTGGCAGCGTTACAGGGATACTGAACGGTTTACTGTCCCCCCGGCCATCTTCAGCACTCGATGCTGTTGGCCTTTGTTCTATCCGTCGAAGGATGGCCGTGGTGGCCTGCAGCTCAGCCTCAAGCTCCACCACACGCGCGCGGATGGCGCCTGCATCGTCGAAGTTCATGAAGCCATAAAAGGGATTTTAGGCTTGACGGTCTGTTATCTTATAGTTGTACATTGAGCGGACGAAGGGAGGATGGCAGATACTTGGTCGACTAAACGCCATGGTATGAATCTACGACGAGGAAGCTTGAGTGGAGAAGGGTGAAATTTCGGCGTGGATAAACTTGGCTCCGATCTTCGGAATTCCTTCTTTGATGATGTCTTTGAATGTATGAATTATCCGGATTGCGTACCCTGCGACTGCTTGGACATCTATCGATCTACAGGCCATTAATAGTAGTTCTAGGTTCCACCTCTCATGATCTCTTGAGCTTGTGTACAAGTCAGACAGTGCCTGCTACAACGAAATGAATATATACTGATAGCACCACTCTGCAACCATGTCTGGCAAGCGCATTCTGGATGCTGTCGCCCTGTTTAATATTTCGCGAAAAATTGCAACCAAGCACTTTGAAATTCGATTTTCTCAGGTTCAACTCTATAGCCAAACTTCGTCGCTCATCAAGGCTTTGAGGACCCAGGGCCTTCCTGTGGTGGCCGCGGCTGCTTCTCGGTTTGCCTCCTCTCGTTCTCCTCCCGGCCCATCACGAGAAGGCATAGACCAGGACCACTTCTACAAACCCTCCGAACAGAACTCGAGCTCCGAGCCACTGGCTAGCGAAGATTTGGAGGTCGAACAGGCAAATGCAAAGAGACATCCCCTCCCAGATGGAACCATCCCTCCGCGAGACAGTCCAATTGGTGAGGAAGCCAGTGACGGCATTACACTCAACAAGAGACCAACCGGCGAGAGTCCTCAACACCCAGTAGGGAAACATGCACATGCAGACCTTTCACCCAAATCCTCCAACCGGTCTACTATACCTGACCCTACATCCAACCCTCTATCCTCTGAAGAGGTAAGAAGTCTCCAACGACAGTCCGAAGATCAGATACCAACAAGGAGTGCAGAGCCTCCGACCGGAGGAGAACCTAGTAGAGAGTTTGGGATTGAACAAGAACAAGATGTGTTCTACCAACCACCAGGAAGTGTAAAGCCTGTGCTATCTGCGTTGCCACGGGTCCGGGTGCCCAAAACTGAAAATGACGTGCAAGAGGGAGACTCACACATCCCACCCGGGATTAATGCAGACGTCTACTACTCAGGAGCTAAGAGCCCCGATGGAGGCAATGAGCCTACCGAGCAGGAACTTTCCCAATTATTTCGCAGTCCCAAGAATGCCAAAGCGTTCGCTCAGAAGTCCAAGTACGCTCCCGGAGTGTCAGCCCGAAGCTTTCATACATCCACGGTATTTCGGGAGAAATCATCTGCTACAGACGCCGAGAGCATCAAGCAGCTAGCGGCTGATATGGCAAATGACGCCGCGAAGCTCAATGTAAGTTGTCTATTGATCTATACTATGGTGATCTCAACTGATCGACTGACAGATGTAGGCATCGCAAGCACCAAGTGTCGAGGCGTACCAGATGCGGGAGTCGAAAGTGCCTTCGTCGCGAATCTCTCGTCTGTTCGAGTATGGAGGGCTTGCAGCGTCCATGGCATTTGGCGCCGTGAGCGAGAGCATTTCTCGATCAGGTGGACCTGACGGGTCATTGATGTTGAGCGCGGCGAACATGGAACGATTGGTGGCCAAGCTTTCAAAAATGCGTGGAGCTGCATTGAAGCTAGGACAAATGATGAGCTTTCAAGATGCAAAGATGCTCCCCAAGCCCATCCATGACGTGCTCCAGCGTGTTCAAGACAGCGCCGACTACATGCCTGCTTCTCAACGGGATGCCGTGATTGCGTCCAATTTAGGCCCGGAGTGGCGTAATTTGTACGATCATTTTGATGAGCGACCCATGGCGGCGGCGTCGATCGGTCAAGTTCATGGTGCCGTGCTCAGGTCTGGTCAGCAAGTCGCTGTCAAAGTGCAGTATCCAGGCGTGGCGGACTCTATCTCGTCTGATCTGAATAATCTGTCATTGCTGCTAACCGCATCTCGTCTACTTCCTAAGGGGCTTTATTTAGACAAGACGATTGCCAATGCACGGACAGAACTCGCGTGGGAGTGTGATTATCTTCGGGAAGCGGAAGGTGCTCGCAGGTTTCGAGAGCTCCTGGAGGACGAGCATGACACCTTCTCCGTTCCTGAGATCATTGACGAGGCCTCTGGCAAACAGGTGTTGACGATGGAGAGAATGGAGGGCATTGCCGTCACCAAGGTTCAGACTTTTACTAAGGAGCAACGAGATTGGATCGGAACACAAATTCTTCGCCTGTGTCTCAGAGAAATCACCGAGTTCAGATACATGCAGACCGATCCCAACTGGACCAACTTCCTCTTCAATTCCAAAACGAACAAACTTGAGTTACTAGATTTTGGAGCGTCGCGGGAGTTCCCCGCCGAGTTCATCGACCTATACGTGAAGGTACTGGAAGCAGCATCAAGGGGAGACCGGGCAGGTTGTGTCGACTACTCGATCAAGTTAGGTTATCTTACTGGCTACGAGTCCAAGACGATGATCAAAGCACATGTGGAGTCTATAATGACACTTGCCGAGCCATTTATGGATTATGCTCCTGATGTGTATGATTTCAAGGACCAGACCATCACCGATCGGGTCCGTGATCTCATTCCTGTGATGCTGAGAGAGCGACTGGCTCCACCACCAGAGGAAACATACAGTTTGCACCGAAAGCTGAGCGGGGCATTCCTGCTGTGCGCTAGATTGGGTAGTCGGGTTAAGTGCAAGGATCTGTTCCAGTCGGCGCTGGTCAAGGCCGGGCTGCGATGAGAGATTTGAGTATCGACTGCTCGTCTCAAAATACTGAGTCATCGTCGTCCTCGTCAGTGTGCTCAAGAATAGTCTCTTGCAAGAGTCCATGTCGGCTCGGACCTGGTACACTTGGACTCAAAGGCCCTGCTGACCCCGAGAAGGGCATTTTCCTCACTTCGCGCACAACTTCTTGTATTAGTGGCTGGGAGGCTATCAGCCTAGCTTGAACAGCAATGGCGGCTTGTTCTTCGACTTCTGCCTTTTTCTTCTTCTCTCCTCTTGCCTTCCTGTATGATAGTGCATCATGTCCTTTGGCCGGAATCGATTTGGGCTTGGGGGCAGGTTTCGGGACGGATTTCCGATCGAGACGGCAGACTACGACGAAGGCGCGCAGGGTGAAGTGTAGAAGGAGGCCAAGTAGTAGTCCCAACAGGATTGCGCTACCGAGGAAATACCAGAGAGCCTAAACGTGGAGGTTGGTGTAAGTGAGAACTAGCTGCAAAGGTGACTTGCATTCAGAAGGAAGGGCAAGGGTAAGGGTTACCTCGAAACGCGTGAACAGGCGCCATGGAATCGTGGACAGGCGGAGCAGAACCCGTCCAATGTATAGAAAAGGAGTGGAGAGTATCGCCACAATGTACCATAAAGCCTTCAACAAAAGCAGAAGAGGATGGACAACCACATAATAGAGAACGGTGGTGGCAGTAGTGAGCAGGGTCCTGGCAGATGATTGAGCATCGGTGGCTGTCATGGAGTCGCTCTGACCATAACTCGAAATCAAAATCTTCTCGATGATGGCGGCACACTCGGTATAGATGCGAGGATGGAAGCAAAAGTCTGGTCGTGGGAGACAGGATTCCGTGTTATTGGCTTTAGGAACCCGAACAGGAACAGGGGCCGAAGAGATCCAAAATGGGTGGGGGCTTTGCTTGTACAGTACGATCCCCCCAGTGTGGGAGAGGAGCTCAGTCAACACCAAGCCTAGGAAGTTTAGTTAGGTCGCAGTTAAAGGACTGCCCGGGAGGATGCGGGGCTGGGGCTCCATTGTTCCTTGGACGATGCCGCAAAGTGCCCAAGCCTTGCCCGGCCTGAACCCCGAGTCGCCCAGCTATCTCGAGGGACAGGACCAGCTTCCCCTCCACGATATCCTCCACACACCGTCGGTCAGCGGCAGCTTCTCAACTCAACCCCTCCCACTTCCACCTTCATCATTCCCACTCACTCCTCATTCCATCTCCTCTCCATCATCTAGTTCCGTCCTCCCATTCTCAACTTTACCTACTTGGATTCACTCAAAAGAAGATGGCTTAAACAGCAGTTTCCTCGCAGCAATGAACCTCATGATTACAACCATCAAGTCTTCTTCTACTCTTGTACTCTTCCTCCCAGAGATCGGATGCTAATCTGTCTGGCGCCGGCAACATTCCCCTCGGATTTCCTATCTCCCTGACACTGTTGGCACGGCCCACTCGCACCCAAGCACGTGTCGCATGTCATCTCAAATTTTGCACATGCAAATTCCTCCGACATTCAAACTAGCATAATCCACAATTCGCCAACATGGGCCAGCAACAATCTGCTGAGAAGGGCCCTTCTTCCAAATCCAGTTCGCTTCAGCCAGACAGAGAAAAAGACCGCAAGGTCAACCGCAGAGTTTCCATCCAAGCCTTGACTCACGGCCGAGCCACTCCCGTCGACCCTTCAGCATCCCAAGAGGTCGCCGTTGCCCAGACCACTTCCCAGCACCTCGAGAAGCCTGCTCTCCAGCAGTACCTCCAAAATTCCTCGTCCCCGGAGCACAATGCCCGATTTGCGGGCAAGCTAGAGAGGTCCACTTCAAGAACAAGCAAAGAGAAGAAGCCAGAACTGGAGCATAGGCCTAAGGAACCTAGGCATCAGTCATCGGTCCCTATTCCACAGACTTCTGGTCCCATGGACGTCCCTGCCTCCAGGAGCAAGCAGGATACTATCGAGGAACGATTTGAAGATCATCGCAATGTCTACAACGATAGGAGATACACACCCGTCGCTCAAACTCGCCCACCACGTCTTCCTCTACCTATTGCCGATGTCACCATTCCGGAGTCACCAACCCTCCTGCCTGTCGACAAAAGCAATGCCGACGTACCAATTTTCGAGACAGATGAACCTCTTTCCGCCGTTGAACCGGCATTGCGGAGGAAGAGCTCCATGTTAAGTGAAACCACCACTCAGTCAGAAGAGGATGTTGGCGACGAGTTGCAACCTTTCCCTGTTGATACCAGTTCTCAAACTGTCCCAACTGTTATTGAGTGGAACCATGGAGGACACAAGGTCTATGTCACAGGCACTTTCGCGAATTGGGAGAAGAAATATCGTCTTCATCAGAGGTGCGCTTTCTTTTTATCTACTCGCACTTAGAATATACATGTACTAACTTTGGTATCAGAAAGAATGCGCCTGGCATGTTTACTACAATCAATCTTCCCTCGGGAACTCACCACCTTAAGTTCGTGGTAGATGGGGAGATGGTCACAAGCCCCTCCTTGCCAACAGCCGTCGACTTCAATAATTTCCTTGTCAATTACATTGAGATAGCCACCGAAGATCTGTCCAAACCAAGACGAGAGAGTGCTCAGCCTGGCAGTAAATCTGCTGCAACACAAGGTCTTACGGCTGATGAGCAAGACCAGGCCAGGTCCGGAGATCAGACTCCAGATGATTCGGATATCGATGAACTCCAGGCTGAAGAAATTCCAGCAGGAGATTTCCGTCGCATCATCCCTCAAGCTTTAGTTGATATCGACCTTCCCGAGGAAGATCCAAGATATCAGACAGCACAGAGGATTTTGACTGAAGTGCCCGGCCCTCCAACTCTTCCCCTGTTTCTTAGCAGATCGATTCTCAACGGGATTCTCCCAGTCAAGGACGATAACAGCGTCCTGACGCTACCGAATCACACTGTTCTTAATCATCTCATGACAAGTAGCGTCAAGAATGGCGTACTGGCAACTAGTGTAACCACGAGATACAAGAAGAAGGTCAGTCTCAATGTCTTATCATGTTGCTAATATGGTTCTAACGATGATGCAGTATGTGACAACGATCTCCTTCAAGCCCGTCCCGCGGTTTCAAACACCATCTCAATAGCGAAGAATGGGGCTACCGGTTCCCAATCAAGTATCTTGTGCCAGGACAATTCTAGAACCAGGACTGAGTTTTATTAATTTGTTTTTCGAGAAGAAATGATGTCACGATTGGACGTGGTATGCGGTGGGATGGGGCGACAGGTTTACTTCGATGTAATGGGCTGCTTCAGGAATGCTTTGAGACACCAAAAAGGGGAGGCCAGTTATTCCATTTAGGAAATGCCCAATAGATAGACGGCTTGTCCCTGGGCTGAGATCGGCTCAATTCTGATCAATCTTCTCTCAACACACATTTAGAGTGATCGTATCCAATTTATCCTGGTTTTTGTGAGATCAGAAATGCATTCATATCCTTTGCCATAATATCTCGTCAATCTCATTGAATATTTACCCCGAGCGCATGCCGTCAGCCAGTAGAAGTTTAATCCTCCCTCCACCCTATATAGACATCATCCGTCCGATACCGCTGCGTACACGTACTATCCTCCAGCTCCGTCCTCACGCCAGTCTGATACGCCAACAAACCGGCATGGGCAATCATGATTCCATTGTCGATGCAAAACCGCTCATCGGTAGCATAGACACTCCCGCCACGATCACGGGCCATGATACCCATCATCTCCTGCACGCGCTCATTACAGCCGACACCGCCGACAATCAAGACTTGGTTTGAACCCACATGAGCCATGGCACGCTCCGTGATCTCTACCAGCATCGCAAACACCGTCTCCTGCAGACTGAAGCACAGATCTTCAGGCGTGACCGGATCCCCACTGACCGGGTCTTTTAATGTTCCCGCGTGGATCTGGTGAGCAAGCTCGTCAACCCGCGCCAGGATACCAGAGAAGGAGCAATCCATGCCCTTGACCGCATAAGGCAGGTCGAGGAGGGCTCTCCCTTTCTTCGCCAGCTGCTCGATGTTGTACCCCGGCGCCGGGTCATTGGGGATACCCAGTGTGCGCGCAAACCGGTCCAGACAGTTCCCCACCGCGATGTCCAGCGTCTCCCCGAAGATCCGATACCGTTGTGTTGAGTACGCAATCACCTGCGTGTTGCCGCCGGACACGTACAGCACGACTGGGTTCGTCGCGCCCGTGATCTCTCGCCCCATCTCAATGTGGCCTACGCAGTGGTTCACGCCGATCAGCGGCTTCCCCCACAGCAGCGACAGTGTCCGAGCCGCGATCGCCACAGACTGTAGCGGTGCGCCCATCCCCGGCCCTTTCGTGTAGCAGATGCATGAGATGTCGGAAATTTGGAGGTTGGATTCCGAAAGTGCTTGTCTGACCAGCTGGACGACGTGCGCTCGGTGGTGTTTGGCCGTGTCTTTGGGTAGGAAGCCTTCGCCTGGTGGTGAGACGTAGGTGTGCCGGATGTTGGACAGTATTCTGGCCGCTCCTGTCTTGCCTGGTGGTGGGTGTGCGATGATCCCAACGCCGAGCTTGTTTGCTGAGCCTTCGAGCCCGATCGCGATCATCTTGGATGTTGGGAGAAGGATCTTGGATCAGTTATGGTAAGAAGTAGCTCCTGGCATGGAGATATGCAATCGTGGTGTTCGACCGATCCGTCCTATTGCAAGCCGGGTTCTTTCTGTTGTGAATATTCTTTTAGTGTTTGGTGGGAAGTCCTTTGTTCGCTTTGGGGTATTTCCCCTCAAAGCAGAGCAAGTACTCCCGATTAATTCAGATGTGTCTTCTGAATGTCGGACTGATGAAATTGGATATTTCTGCACATGCAGCGGTCGCTATTAGCCTTGTCTTGGAATCAGGTCTCTGCCTCGCCGAATGACAGCCTGATGGATGGGAAACATTGGTGGCGAGCAGATGAAGTGCCAGCGTATGCGGTGACGCACAAAGCCTCTACGTACAACCCCCCACCAATCGGATAATTGGTGTGCGGGCGGACCGAAAAAATGGACCCTTGCTGGGCTTGGCATGGCACTGTAGACTTTGAAATGTACAAGTTCCATCCGCCGTCCACATCCACATCCTCTGCCCACTTCCTCACTATAAGGTGCCCATTACTCGAATTTTCTGTTTTTCATGCACGCTCTTTTCCTTGGTTTTGTCGCTCGTCGCTGAATTCATCAGATGGACGACTCTACCATCCTGTTAGGGTCTTCGGAATTTGATCACACCACTGCTGATTTCCTAGCCTGGTTCGCTGCCGCGAATGGGACGAGGTTGAGTTCCAAGATTCAGTTGAAGGACTTTAGGGCCCAGGATGCTGGTAGAAGCGCTGGTACGCTTCTTCCGACTTACATCCTTGCTGTCCACTGACCCTGCGGGCTCCCAGTCGCGCAAGCAGACATTGCCGAGGATGAGGAACTATTCGCCATACCGCGCTCGTTAGTGCTCACTACCACCACTTCCAGCATCCCAGCTTCATTACTCGAGCCCCTCACCGAGATAGGAGCATGGTCGCCGTTGATTGTTACCATCATCTACGAATACCTCCGTAGAGAACAGTCGCCGTGGTACCCTTACTTCCGAGTCCTGCCCACCACCTTTGACAGCCTTATGTTCTGGAACCACCAAGAGCTCACAGAGCTACAGGCCAGCGCCGTGGTGAACAAAATTGGCAAGTCGTCAGCTGAAGAGTCATGGAAGACCTCGATTATACCACTGATGCTACAGCATCCTGACTTATTCCCACTTCCTCCTGTGACCACTGAGGTAGACAAGTCCAATCAGCTGATCAACCTCGCCCACATGGCTGGCAGTCTGATCATGGCTTATGCATTCGATATTGACCGCGACGACACGAATAGCGAAAGTGACGATGAAGCTCGAGGCGAGGATGATTGGGAAGAAGACGACGAAGCTGCGCCACTCAAGGGCATGGTCCCTTTGGCTGACATGCTCAACGCCGATGCGGACCGAAACAATGTATGTACTCCTTTCCCTACGACTCGAGCTATGGAACTGACAAGGCCTTCTCTCACTAGGCAAAACTCTACCAAGAACCAGACTTTCTTGTCATGAAGGCCACAAAACCCATATCTCAGGGCGAACAGATCTTCAATGACTACGGTCCCCTCCCCCGATCCGACCTGCTACGCATGTACGGCTACATCACGGATAATTACGCACAGTACGACGTGGTCGAGGTCTCCTACGATCTGTTCATCGAGGTTGCTGGCAGGAAGCACGAGAAGAACAATACCACATGGTTGAAGAGAGAACGGCAGCTTGACTAGCTGGGCCTCCTGGACGATGGCTATGCAATCCCTTGTCCGGGGCAGGGTTTTGGCACTCCCCTTCACGATGCCATCCCCACCGAAGTCCACATGCTGTTGAGAGCGCTGTGCGCGCGCGATGAGGATGGCGGTGCTAGGCCCAAGAAGCTCAAAGATCCTGTCACGATCGAAGAAGCTGCTCTACTGCAATCAGTCCTCATCAAGCGATTGTCCGAGTACAGTACCTCATATGAAGCTGACCAGACCACCTGGGACAAGTTCATCCAAACACAAACTGCATCTGACGCGTCAAAGATTTCCCCTGCCAGAAGCTCCAAACGAATATCCATGGCTCTCCAAGTACGCCTTGGCGAAAAGGGTATCCTCCATCAGCTGATTTCCATCTGTCAAGAACACATCAGGTTGAAATCCGAGGAGCTCGCCTTCAACAGATCGTCTAAGCGAAAGCACGACGAGGAACCTACTTCGCAATCCAAGAAGATGGCTCGCAACTACGAAAAGCACCGAAGATGACACGTTTGGACTTATCAAGAATGAAGGTTTCGACTTTCTCCTTCTGAGATGTTTGTCTTCATCGGGCTGAAAATCAAGGCGCTGGCCTTATAATACTATTTACAAAACACCGCTATCGGTTGTTTCTCTGCTGCCGCCATCCCCAATCCTGACCCTCACCCCTGTTCTTCAACTTTCAACTCCTGCTGCCGAGCATTCTCTCCAGCGCACACTGAGTTCTTTCAAGCTTTCCGTCATCATACAGGTACCCATGAGAAATTGTGGGAGGCGAAAAACATTCTGCAGCATCGACAAGCTCCAGCACCGATTGTCGAGCTGAGAAAAGAGAGGTTTGAAAATTGTGCTCTCTGGTTCAACGGTTCAAAATCACAAAACAAATATTCGAATCAAGACAGGTCAAGAAGGTGCAGATGTTGACTGCTGCTGTTGTGGACCTGCTGGTGATGACTGACTGGGAGCACCAGCCTCGACCTGAGCTTTCCTCGCTGATAACCCCTGGGCGTCTGTTGGTCGACTGTTGCCCATGAGGTAAGCACGCTGGATCATACGGCCTAAAACATCATCGGTTCTCAAATCCGAGACGGAGGATTCATCATCATCGGAGTCAAACTTGAATCTGTCGTCGTCAGAAGGATCTCGTCTCGGTCGAGGGAGTTTTCGATCTATCATGATTCGACCGCCTCTACCTAGTCTTCTTCGGAAAGATGGTATCTGTGTACCATGATCGTCACTGGGAGGTGTTGCATACCGGATCGGTGTTGGTGGGCGAGGCGTGTCTTTCATTATTACATCTGGACCATCTTGTTGTGGATGGGATTCTTCATCTGAAATACTGGCTGGCGGCGTTGGAAGATATACACTAGCTGCCAATGCTTCTCGGAAATGGTCATCTGGCTCTGGATGTTCGGGTTCGAGTTCAGGAGTGAGTGGTGCCATGGTTTTATCGACGAACCCCTCATTCCATCGGATATGCTTGTCAACATTCGTCTGGATTTCCTTCTCCATGTCACGTTCCTTGGCAGCGATTACATCCTCAAGAGTACGCAATTCTGGGCCACTACCCGGAACCATGGGCATTCGAAGTTGGTGAGCAAGAGCAGCTTGGTTGGGAGTCATGCCAGTTGGAAGTTTCTGCTTCTATACCCACAGGTTAGTCTGATGTTTAAAGGTATGGATTTCATTGATGTGGTTACCTTTTGATTGATGAGCAGATCTTCGTCTCCCTTCATGCCCAACTTTCTCTTTGTTTCTCTGAATGCTAGGCGCTGCTCAAAGACCAGGCGATCCATCTCGAGGGTTTCTTTCCTCAAGAATTCTCTCCGTTTGATCATAAGCAGAAGATTCCGCGCGGTTTCGAGTTCCAGCCGAAGCTTCCGCAGCTTATCAGCACTCTGAGCGTCTCTATTTCTGGTCTTCCGAATTTGACGAAGTTCTCGTCGTCGAAAGCAAACATATGGATCTGAGTCATCTGTTTCTTGACCAGTCTCAAACTTGAGTCGAGGAGCCAGCCCGCGGTTTCCTGTGACGGTCCGCCGGGATTTCCAATGTTCATACAGGAACTTGGAAAGATTTCTCACGTGCGGAGGAATGATATTGTCAAACTGTTCTTGCAGTTCTTCTAAAGGTAAGACGGGAGGACTATCGACAGCAGCAAAAGGCTGTTTTGTCTGAGCGGTTTCTTCGAAGAAGTTCATGACTTCTTCAAATTGATCTTCCGTACAAGGAGCTTGCTCTGCAGGTAACGTCTTGTTGAGCAATTTCAAGGCAAGTTCATCCTCCTCATCCATGCAATACGCCACTCCAGCACAATCTTCGACTGTGGCTGAGAAGCGGATGTATGTTGCGGGCTGTTGAAAGCCTTTGGGGTAGAGGACGTCATATTGAACATCATTTGCAATGGTAGGTGGAGTTGGGATGTATGCATCTTTGATTTTGGAATCAGCTTTTGCTACTTCTGACGCTTTGATGGCTTGTTGGAGATGGTATTCCTGATGAAGAGTCAGCGACACGATGCCAAGACCGGGTGACTAAGCCAAAAGAAGAGGACAGATGCGATCAAAGGAGCAGTGAGGTCCCCGGGGGTAAAAACTTACGGCTTCCTCGGCCTTTTCAACACCAGTTTCTATTTGAGCTCTCTGAGAATCATAGTCGATCAATGATTCAACTTGATCCTCACGAAAAATCTGGACATTCTGTTTGGCGTTGAGTTTCTTGGGGCGGGTGTGCCTGCCTGTCGCGCGCGACATGGAGGCTATAGGGAGGCCAAATGCATGAGAGAAGAGGCAGAGTGGGCGAGGGGGGAGGGTGGCCGGCCACCTAACCCAAAACTCTTGGGGATCCCTTCGGTCACAGCAGAGACGTGAGAGGGAAAAACCACTCCAAAACCCTCTCAAAAGTAGTTCAGTAGAAGTTCACTTGGATAATTTACAAAATGTATGTCAAATTGTAGCGCTTGATCCACTGAGATGAATGCAAGCCTCAAAGTGATGGATTTGTGTGGTGGTGGTGATGTTTTCGATTGTGGAAAGAAATTTTCGCCCTTGGGTTTGGGAACTTGCGGGCAGGCAAATTCGGAGGTGGTGGTTAGAGAGTGGTAGGGAGGGTGCTTGAAATTTTTCGGAGACGGGCAAATTGTTGGTGTTGGGTGTGGAAAGGTCAGGGAGTAAGTGAGCGAGTAGTGAGTGGGTGGGGAGAAGAAGGGGAAGGGGGGTCGAGCTTGCTTGCTTTGCTTTGTCCTTGTGGTGTGGGTGGGCAAAGCTGGTTGTTGTTGTTTGGGTGGCTTGGGAGGAACAAAGGGTTGCATAGGTGGGAAGAATCATCGTGCGGAGAGGGAAATTGGCCCTTTTCGCGTGCAATCACTTGTGGTGCAGGCCGTACTCGCAAGGGTTTAGGCTCCAGGCAGGCCCAGTGCTGCTGCGTCGCTTCACGCCTTGGTGGTGACGTGCGATAGTGATGCACCGGGCTGGTGAGTCTGTGACTGGGTGGCCCCCAAGTGAGGCCGGTTGCACAGCCACGACTCTGACTGGTACACTGGACGCATTATTCATTGGTTGCTTGAAAGGAAGCGTCACGTGCTAACCCGGCACCCGGATTAGACTTTATCCGTCACCGAACACTACATAAATCTTAAACAGATAGGGGTCCCGATATCTACCAACTTGTGCCACCCCCTGCCACCCCCTTCCCCCCATCATTCCCTTCCCTCCGTCTATGCAATATGTAAGATATATCTAATACTACTAGATACACTATCTCGCTGAGTCTCACTAGGTATGTCTGTGCCTCCTACTGAGTACTCATCTATGCCTCCTCCTCATCCGTGGTTCCTACTTACTAAGTGGCCACTTAATCCTAGACGCTTCTGAACGGAAAGCCAGTGATATTTTACATTAACAGTAGAGGTCTGTAGAGGGTTCGAACCCTCGCGCCCTCGTGTCGAGGGCGCGAATTTCTATATTCTCCTAGGTGATGTCATCATCAGTATTGGTGTGGTTCAATTTGACTTCGGCCGTCCCACGAAGAGGCCATCAGGTTTGAGATGGAGGACGCTGGAGCGTGGGACACCTTCTGTGGTCTCCAAGCGCGTGTGCGATTATGCCGACAGCCATAAGAATGACACGAAGTGGTTGAAGTATGCTGGGGTTTAGCCTGCTCGAGGATGAGCCCGAATGTATTGTAATTATTCGAAAGTTACAGGCCTTTCCAATTGGGGCTTCATCTTTATATACATAACGCTTCTATTTAATCTCTTCTCGGTGGCCGACCTTTGGCCTATAGGTGTAACTAATTATCGTGTCGCAACCCGATTATGCCTATAGCAAAGTTAGAGCATTGACTGGATTCTTGCACATCCTGATCTGAGACGAAGTTCTCGATAAAACGCGGGTGTCCATGTTGACGCAATCAAAGCGTGCTATGCATTCTTGTCTGTTGGGAAGTATTTGAGCAGTATGTTACGGTATTATCTAATGCTTGCGAGTCCTTTGTACTGTTCAGATGTTCTCCTAAAAGCACTAGACTAGCTTTTGTAGATCTATGCATTATCTTTGCCGCTTGTGAATATCAATGAATCTTCCCAAGCCGTCTGAGCTTGTCTGTAATGTATGAGTATAGGATCGGTTGGGCCATCAGACAAGGCAATACGGACTTCACATATCCTGTCAAGCTGCGGAGACGTTGGCAAAGAGAGGTCGTCAATCTCAGGAGAGCTGGAAAGAGAGAAGTCATCACCAGGGCCCAAATCGTTGTAAAAGCCACCTTCTTCGATCTCCATGACCCTGCGCGCGACGCATGAAGCTATTTTCGAATCCCACATACCTTCTCGGTATGAAGTTGTTTCTATTAGTCTGATGGCTTGGAGCCTGATGCGGTGGACACGGCACTTAAGAGCAGTGTAGTAGAGTGGAGCTATCCACCCAATGTCGACGATGGACCTTGACATGTAGATGCGTGGCCACGGGAGAGGCCCTGCCGGATGTTCGGAACGGCCTGCTTTCCACATAACTATGGCTTTGCTAAGAATGGAGATGAATCCTTGTGTATGAGAGTCGAAGACAGATTCGTCGTCTAAACGCAGGCAAGTGTCCGCCATGATGGCTGCCATATTGGAGTATATGAATAGCAGGCCATATGCTAGACCTCTTGAGTCTTGGTCCTGCATGGAATGTCTGGACGCTTCAAGGGTATCAAAGCACCTGGAGGTATCTATCTGAATCTTTGTCAGATACGATACCAGGGAAGATGATTCTTCCACAAGGGCAGGGCGAGAAACCTGTTGACGGCGCGCCAACTCGGTAAGATGGAATATACTGCCGAATATCTTCTCAATTTGCGTCCACGCCTGGTTGATGTTTCGGAAAATCGAAGGTGATGACGAATGCTCGGATATTTGCAGAACTTGACATGGATGCTGATGACTATTTCTGAATAGCTTTGACTGGAGATCTAAACGGCAAAAGGCCCTGACGATAGCATCATCGATAGAGCCGGGAACAACCTCGAAGAGCAGAGTTCCATTGCTTTTGGTGATAGGTATTTCCAACTCCCTGAGGAGTTTTAACCCATTCTCGAGATGGGTTTGACCAGTCGCTAAGTGGCCACAGAGGAGCTCTAAGCACACAAAAACGAAGCACGTCATAAGAGCCGTACGTGCCGATGCCTTATCTTTGATCGCGAAAGGCGGTTGCAGGTGATGAATGGCCTTGGTATAATGCTGAAGTGTAAACCGTTCCTGTTTGTCAGGAGTGTCACGTACCCGTCTTCCGTAGTTGCTCTGGTAAACCTCTCTCCTGTGGACAGAGCTCAGAGATAGGACAGCGTGCAGTACGGCAGGCTCGCTTAAGCATGCGGAGTAGAGTAGAGGGTCCCATAAAGTAAGGATGGAGGCGCCGGGTATCTTCTTAGATGTACGATATTTGAACCACTCAAGATTCTCCCACTCTTCTGTGCTTTTAGTAGATGGGAAGACACGTATGCGTTGCAGATAATTTAATCTGCCAATAGAACCCCGGGCCAATTGTGGATTAATGTAGCAGTTCACTTCGCTGCCTAACACCCCGTAGCCATCACAAACCCGACCGGTCGAAACGCACCGGCGGCAAGCTGGACGAGTTTCATCACATTTGATCTTTCGAATCCTGCCATAATTGTTAGCCTCTCTCTCGCTGCTCAATGCTACTGTTAACAACCCCAGGAGACTTACTTGCAAGTTCGGCAACCGGTCTTCACCTGTACCCGGCGCACGCCACCAGGAACATTAGGCTTATACGCCTGACCAGCTCCGCCCATCAGATAAAAGTCATAACGTGGCTACTTATGCATCTTGTTAACCATCGTCCTCAGGCTGACCTTCCAGGAAGTTTGACAACTCAAGAGATTTCCGATGGAGCCGGGCGGTATCAACGCTTCTATCGGTCGCTCCAGAAAACCACCAAATGATTGGCTGAACGTTTTTTGTGGGACCCGGTACCAAGGTACCAGAGTCTAACCCTCCCATTGGCCTGATCGGGGTTTCGACGTGATGATTGGTTAGACCAACAAGCTAAAGGCTGGCCATCCACGTAGAAGGTATTGAATGGAACGACACACTCACAGGGCCCGAATACATCATATATTTGATCTTCGCTCTCTCCTGAACCCATGGACTTAACGGAAGCAGCTTCGTCCACTAATGCCGGGCACTATCTGCTCTATAAAACGATAAATACCTTCCTTTCCTTCCCGTACGTAGCCGGAATTTGTACTCTAATCAGATCAAGAGTTGCTCTTTCATTCCCTATCAGCCCTAACTTACTTCGCTAAAGAGATACAATGACTACGAAACCCGTCCCACTGCACGAGCTGGGGAAAGATGGCCCCAGCATTCCGCCAATGGGCTTCGGGCTGATGACGATTGCTGGCGCTCATGGCGATCGCCCCAGCGACGAAGAGCAATTTACCATCCTGAACCGGGCCCTTGAGCTGGGAGACACATTCTGGGATACTGCTGAGTACGTCTCCGAACAAGTTGCCCTGGGCAGGAGATACTCATCAATCGCAGCATTTACGGAGACAATCTAGAAGTCTTGGCCAAGTGGTTCCAGCGCACTGGGAAGCGAGACAACATCTTCCTTGCATCAAAATTTGGAATCATCATGGGGGAGAATCTCCAGTTGAAGGGAATTAACAGCTCCGCTGAGTACTGCAAGAAGGCCTGCGAAGAGAGTCTCAAGCGGCTTGGCATCGCTTGCATTGACCTATGTAAGTCCGCGATATGAGCTTCTTAAAATATGACATCGGTAAATTTATCGTTGGTCCTCGATAATAAACAATCAGTCTATGTCCACCATATCAACTCGGAAACGCCTATCGAGGAAACGATGCGAGCAATGGCGGATCTGAAAGCGTAAGCTCTCACCGGCTTTTCTTTTCTTTTGTTGACAACGTGTTTAATATTGTAATATCTAACGCATCCTAGAGAAGGAAAAATCAAACATATTGGCTTGTGTGGGCTAAGCTCGAGTACCCTCCGTCGTGCTTGCAAAATCGTACCCGTCGCTGCGGTGCAAATTGAGTACTCGGCTTTCGTGCTTGATATCGAAGCGGAACGCGGCACCAACCTTCTTCAGACTTGCCGAGAGCTTGGGGTTGCTGTCGTCTGCTTCGGGCCCATTGGTCGAGGCCTGCTCACAGGAACAGTGACGGACGGAGAGTCAGTTTCTGGGACAGGCGATATCCGCACCAAGTGGGTTCCTCGCTTCCAAGGAGACAACCTAAAGAAGAATCTCAAGGTCGTCAATCAGTTCAAGGCTCTAGCGGATAAGAAGGGATGTACTTCGTCCCAGCTGGCTCTTGCATGGGTTCTCAAGCAGGGAGATGACATCTTTCCAATTCCAGGAACCAAGAAGATTAAATATTTAGAGGCCAATTGGGCAGCGCTTGATGTACATCTCAGTGACGCGGAAGAGGCCGAGGTTCGAAAGATGGTTGCGGGCTCGGAGCTAGCCGGCTTTGAAACCCATCCCTCTACGTATGTAGATACAAAGGAATTAGCTTGAGCAGACCCAAAATTGACGCCTAGGGTCACAACGACCACTTCAGCTGATATTCCACTTGCGTGCCAACCTCGCTCGACATCAGTCAGCCACCGGTCACGGCACGTATCTACTTTGAGCCTGCAGCGTGATACCAGTCAGGCCAGCGTGTTGGAACTCTAAAATTTTAGCGTTGCTTGCGATCTTCAGCACCATACTGGCCGGGTCTACCACTAACCACCTTCTCTTTCGTACCGCAGTCGCTAATCGGCTCACCCAGGAGAAGACAGGGTTTTGGAGAGAGACGGTCTGTATTTCAGTTTGCAAAGTATCGATGGGGTGGAGATCCTTGGTCTTCTACGGTTACAGACTGCGTGAAAATATCGCTATAGGAGAAAGGATTGGATAAGATCTTATCACGGCTTTCACTCTGTTCGAATATATGGCTAGACAATCCTCAAATATGCCTTTGCAATCATAGAGAGGCCAAGTTCGACGATTTGATCTTCCGAAAATCCCTTGAAGAGGGGCCCTGCCTTCAGCTGTACTTCCATGTCATGTGAACATTTCTCCTTCAAAAACTAGTTGACTGTGACAACGGCAGCAGTTGTATCGAATTTTTGTCCTGATGATAGCTCCTCATCTTTTGCATCAAACATTCGTATCAGGTTCCACAGCAGCAAACAGCAATATTTCGCGGGTTCTTTTCTCAAAGTCCGGATCTTTTGCAATATCACCCCTGGGTTGACTCTTTGGGAATAGATTTCTAACTGGTACCATACCACACTGTCCATCGATCTGATAAGAGCATCGAAACTATCGATTTGTTGTTGCTGTCTTCCTGTCAGATTGAGGGTAGATCATCCGGAGCTCAGACTTACATCGACAAGCCCCCAGAAATTGAAACCTTTGACAGTATTTTACAAAGCTGGTGGACTATCTATGGTCAGGTTGCTCTTCACGAAGCTGAGAGGAAATACTTACTTTGAGGACAGCATTGTATCCCCGTCCCTAGCATTCCGGGCAAGTTTCACTTGTTATTGAAGGCCTTTGTAATGTGCTTGAATGCATATGATCAAGGATGCCAAGGTCGAAAGACGAGGCTGTGCAAGTAAGGGGTCGTAGAGTCATTTTTCTCAGAGAGACTGCACTCAAGAAGACAGACGATTAGACACACAGAGTTGAGACCGAGTATTCTACGCCGATGAGACTGTATGCTTACAGATTAGGCAAAGGATTTATGTGTTGAACGTGTCTATTAGGAGTTGTGCAACTTTAGTACGCTCATATACTATTGAGTTATTCTTCTTTCTTGTTCTATCGCCTGCGTTCTACACTTTCTATCCTAATCTACGTTTTCTCCTACTTTCCAACCCACTTCCGACCTGACTACATTAGCATTGCCCATATCGGCAGAGTCAGAGTCAAGATTTAGCATAGTTGAAGGCACCGCCTACTTTCGGCGTTTGATTGCTCGACCCCGCAGACATCCGAGTTGAATTCTTGATTTGCACGAGTTGAGATTGTTCAGCGCTGGTGACATTGCGTGTGCTTTGCAGAGAGCCACCAAGAGCAAAAGAGCAGACGAAAATATTTCTTAAATCGCTCATACCTCACGTCAGAGATATCGCTCGAGACTTAATTTAACAGAGTTGTAAGACATCAGACGTACGGTAGTTGCGGTAGAATTTCTCTACATCGGCCTTGGTTGTCACGTTCATGGCATCTCTTCTACAATCTTCGGTGAGCTCGAGACTTTGATGGTCAAGTTCGAACAACTCTCGAGAACTGGGCTTCACAGAGTCAGTTTCATACGGATATATCACATTTCGGAGTTTTGACTCACTTTGTATGTAATGATGAGAAACTGAACATCTGTTTTGTCTGGATTTTGTGATGCTGTCGCCTGCTCTTGCACATATGAGGCTTCGGCTGATCGGCCAGGCCTCCATTCCCAGGGCTACTCGGGAAGCAGAAACTTACAGACTGAACTCACAACATAAAAGCTTACTTTTGCAACTTGTTCTACGGGTTCAGACGCCTTTTGCTCCCCGTTCTTGTCGTCTGCTTTTTCCCTCTCCTGGCTTTTCCTCAGGTTCTTCGTAGATAGAGGCATTTCTACATAGTTTGAATACTGGGACGCAAACATGTTAACATGCTGTTACACGAAGGCTTAATGCATATCGAATCTCTCTTCTTTGCCTTCCTCATCGCGGTTTTGGTGTGAAAATCAAACAAATGCCCTCACAGAGCGCGATTCCTATCACTCTCCTTTATATCCGGTGGATACGTGTAGTCATTATCACTTATGATGGCGCCATGATTGTCATTGATGATGGCAAGTTCTTCGTCGTCAAACTTTGGAAGCTTGCACAGTTCCAGCTGACCTTTTCCAATTCCTTCCATGAGCTTGGCTAATGCCTCATTTTTAACAGGCAGAGGCAAAGGCAGCTCAGGGCTGGAGTCTCTGCCCCCAACATTGATGCTAGAACTCGCAATGATTGGTCTAGGCGCACTGTGATCTGCTTCTTCTTCTTCTGCTTCTTCTTCTTTCTTTCTTTTATCCGGCTAGATTCTTAATTCCGTCAGCCCTGGGTATTCTTTCATTCCTCGGCTTTGCATTGCGTGCAAACAGACTTCTCGTGCACTTGGAACGCATCAGAAAGAACACGATCTGCGTCCAGGTAAGCGTAACTCATCCGTCAAAGGCATGCAATATGCGGGTGAGAGACCGTCAGAGATGAGATTTTTTCCGTCTACTCCAAAGAAAAGCCTATTCGAGCTCGCAAAGGACGGAAACATCGTTCTTGCAGGACCATTGACGACAACATGGAAGGACAGATTAGCCATTATGGCTGGATGAAAGGAGTATTCCTAATGAAGACTTTGCGAAGGAAGATGGTAGGGACGAAACTGGACTTCTTTCCTTCGAAGAGGATGTTGAGCGCTAAACTTACCAAGCGTCATTTCTAAAACAATCTGTTGAAGGGATTCTCGGAGGCTCGGGGTCTCAGACTCGCGGGTCAGCCTCCCCATGAACAGCCCAGCTACAAGCTGACATGTCTTCCGCTCAAATCCTGCAGCGATATAGCCTTGTTCCAAAGCACTCGATACCCTGGACAGTTCCAGGCTAAGCTGGAAGTTGCTCAAAAGTAAACTGCTGCATCAGTAGCAATGATCGGCTGGACGCCCCTTCAAAGGGACTTTTGGTAGCTTCAATGAGGGGTCCACTGTGATCATGGAACATTCAAACACAGGTTCGAGTCCACTATCGTCTTGTAACTTTCGATCGATTAAGCATCAAATTCACACTATTTCTCTCCCTCGGGCTGGAGAGGTCTGAGAGCCGTAACAGAGCATCTGTGGCTTGCTAATAATGTAGACCGAGACCTGAGTTGGGGTGTGGGTCTCCAAAGTTAGAGATTGCTTGCAAGTCGAACTAAGTTTATAAAATCGGAAGCCGCTTTACAGTATACATGGCCTCCTGAAGGCCATAACGCGATACTAATGCAAAGCCCACATATTATAGTTTTCGGTTCCAATGGCTCATTTGGACAGCAGGACCAACACAACACGTACGTCTGGGTCGGTAGTTCTCGAGAACCGTTTTGTATCGCTTCCATTAGTCACGGGCTCTCTCATCAGCATGCCACAGGTGACAGGAGTAGACCGCCACAGGCTAACTGGGAAGGGGATGTTCTTGTCCCACATTAGCGCGACTATCATAACCAGTAGTAACTTGTGCGAGCGGTGTTTGAGCCAGAATCTTTGTTTCGGCGAATACAGGATGGAAGCTCAACTGAGTTGCCTTGGCGATCTATTAAGGTGGGGTCTGCATCCATACGCAATCGGCGGGCAAGGCTCTCCCAATCGTATTGTTACGGAGAGCGCTTTGCTCTTTGTTTTGTAATTTTTCAGGTACAAGTAGAGAGTAAAGTAGAACACAGCGAACTAGGGTGGAGTATATTTGTCTTGATGCAGTGCTTGGCAACCCCTGACTTGCCGGACCCGTTTTGGCTCACTCGTAATCAGATCGAACAAATGTTAACTTCGGATTTGTGGGGCATCTTCAGTGTGATTTGTGGCTGATCACGTGCCTCATACTGTGGCTGAAGCGACTCGGTCACTGGTGAAAAAGCACTGTTTGAGGATTGCTTGTCTGCCAGAGGTACTTCTCAGACTGCGGCTGCGAGCGCAGCCCTGAATCTCGCTATTCGCAACTGCCCCCAATTGTAATACCTTCAGCTGAAAGTCTTCACATCAAACAACGTCCTGGCCTCGACGGTCATAACTCACATTCATTTTTGCACTTGAGTATTGCGAGTCTCTTGACACTCCTAATACCTCTGCGAAATTCCTACATTCCCCGCCGACTGATCGACCGCCCCTCCTTTCTCTACATCATGGCAACGCCCGCCTACGGCGCTCAGGCGTCGACCGTCGCAGAACCCAACAATGCTGCTCTCTATGAGTCAAGGAGACGACAAACTATTAGCGGGTCCCAAGTCGTTGACAACATTGTCTCTTTCTCCAATTGTGTGTCCTTGCGCTTCCCTCTACTCTTTCTGTGACCGCCCAAGAAGCGGAACATGAATCCACCTCGCTTCAGGGTGCCAATTGAAGCACGTGCTGACCAAGTCGCGACGTAGTCGATCGAGAGGAAGTGGACAGACTGCGAAAAAGATTCATGAAGTTGGACAAGGTACGGAACAAATCAGACGAGGCTTCGGAAGTGCAACATCCTGGTTAACGAGGCTGGGGATAGGACAACAGCGGCACAATTGAAAGGGAAGAGTTTTTGTCATTACCACAGGTCTCGTCAAACCCTTTGGCCACGAGGTATGTTCTCTCGGTCTCGAGAGAGACTCACTTTCTTTTCCAGAATGCCTGCTTAAATTGGCATGCAACAGAATGATCGCCATCTTTGACGAGGATGGTGGCGGTGACGTCGACTTCCAGGAATTCGTCCTCGGCCTCTCCGCTTTCAGTTCGAAGGGAAACAAGGAAGAAAAGCTCAAGTTCGCCTTCAAGGTCTACGATATCGATCGTGACGGCTACATCTCGAATGGCGAGCTATTCATTGTGCTCAAGATGATGGTGGGCAGCAACCTAAAGGACCAGCAGCTGCAGCAGATTGTGGACAAGACCATCATGGAGGCCGACAAGGACGGCGATGGCAAGATCAGCTTTGAAGAGTTCACGCAGATGGTGGAAAATACAGACGTCAGCATGAGTCTGACTTTAGGTAAGTCCTTCTGAAACTAGAAGAATGATCTTGAGGTTGACATGTTCCCATAGACCAGTTCTAAGTGCAAGCGATTATTTGCTACTATTAGCATGGCAGCATAGTTCCCACCCGATCTATATGATCGACTAGAAGACTCTGTCAATGTTTCATGACTACTACACGGATCCATGAAGAGAATATGAAGAGCCCATTCAGTTGATGATGACGCTTCAAACCCCCTGGTCATTGGGCCGCTTTTTTTGTCTTCATATCTGATTTCCTTTCCAGTGAATTCGATCGATTTTGGTCTACGGATGTGGATATTTAAAGCCAATCCAAGTGCAATGGCTTCAAGTCCCATGAGCCCAGGAACACGCAACCGCTTGAATCAAGTTCTCATTTGGCTGCATCACAATAGCTTCTTGACACTATGCCAATCATTGAACCTCATCCCATCAGTGAAAATTGACGAAAATTGACGAGGCACGAGATACAATGAATGGTCTTGGGCGTCCTATTGTCCACTTACCACCTGAGTTTCCTTGAGACGTTTCATCTGCAGCTTTCTTGCCATGTCAGTTTTCGCGAGGCTTAGAATAACAGTCCAGGCGCTTTGCAGCCGTATGCAGTACTTCGACTACTCGACAGGAAGTTATGTACACCCTCGGCAGCAGTGACACCTCTGATAATGGCATGTCAGCTTCAACTGCACTACTGCTCCGTAAAATGTCTTTAGCCTGATACTCGGGCCGGAGGTCTCCCAGCCGAATTGTCCTGCCGTCCAAAAGAACGCGATATGAATTCCCGTAAACCTCTTCGGTTTCCGATACTCCGTACTAACTACATAGCTTCTGAACAGATCTTCAGTAGCCCGAAGACAGCATGGCTAGTGCATTGCACTCCAAAAGTGCCTCAAACTGATGGATTACATACTATGTAGTGCCCCAGGATCTGCAACGAAGGTTTAGACTAGACCCTACTGGGCGGCCCCGGACTTTTCTGCCTTTAGGCGACAGTCCGGCTGGGCTCCGAGTCGTCAACAACGCATCGCTAAGCTCGCAACCGCCGCAAAGTCGTCCGGCAGCACCGGTTGAAGAGGTTTGCCACGCTAAGCTCGCCTCCCCAGTATTCGCCTGAGAAATCTTACAGCTCTGGAATCCTAGGACGAATTGTGATCTAACTACCTACGATATCTACTTTTCGTTTTGTGTTTACGATGAGACACTAGATATAGAGAGCAAAGACGGAAAGGGAAGCTCTTCTTTCCATTGTGATTGGGGGAAGAGCTGCTATGTCGTTACGCATTTTTCGCTGATTGTTGTCATGGCTTGTCAACTCCTCTCCGCAACGATGATGCTCCTTTCCCCGCAACATGACGACTGGCCTCCACGAGAGAGCCTAACAATTTGTTCAAGGCCCCGCCCGGCTCGTGTTGGAGCGGAGACGTCGATGTCCTAGCTTGGTCTGGGAGGTTTGATATCCCTTTCGGAGAAACCGGGGGAGAGAGGGGAGGTTGCACGGCGTGGACTGGACATAAATATCATGAGGTTATCCCGGGCCGAGTGAATGAATTCAAGTTGCTCACGCGAAAATTCGATTGACTATAGTACATAGATAGTACTTTCAGCTACAGTATCTCATCTTGAAGAGTAAACAGCAAAGGAAAGCCAACCAATACGGTCAAGATGCCCAATACCAAAACCGTCCATGTTCCCCATCTGGGAGGAATTGATGCAGCATACCAAATGCCGCATCCTTACGACTCATCCAAACCCACCTTGATACTGGTCAATAGCTTCACCACCTCATCTGAGCTTTACCGTCAACAATACGCCAACAAGGAGCTGACGGATAAGATGAACCTCATCGCTATTGAGCTTCTCGGCCATGGCCAGACAAGGTCCAAGTCGGAGAATTTCACCTATTGGGATACCGCCATTATGAACCTCCAGGTCATGGAGGCCCTTGGAATCCCTAAGGCATTCGTCCTGGGCACTTCTCAAGGCGGCTGGATCACGGTGCGGATGGCCCTGCTAGCACCAGAAAAGGTATGTGAAACTTCTAATCACCAAGCCCTAGGATCTTGTGCTCCTATTTTGACCTAGCTCTGACGATGCTAACCCACTCCCGATCCCAGATCCAAGGCATCATCCCACTGGGTACATCTCTGGACTACGAATCCGAGAGAACGCGAAAACTTGGGTGCTGGGACGGCGTCGCGGCGTGCACAGGACCAATCGACAAGTGGACCAGCAACGACGCAACACCTGATTTCCAGCCAGACCAGGAATACTGCGACTTCCTCATCGACATCGGCTTTGGCAAGAACTGTCACCAAGACGTCCGAGATATGTGGCGCAAGATCATTCCCTCCAACTACCAGGGCGATGACGGCAGACGCCGCGCTCGCATGGCCGCAATCAACCTGCGTGAGCGAGACGGTCTGCACGGCCGTCTGTTCGACGTCAGGTGTCCTGTCATGTGGCTCCATGTAAGTACTATGTATTGTCTATGTACTAACTTACTATACTATGCATTTCTCTTGTCTTCTTAACCCACTTTCGCCCTGAAACATTGGATCAAGACTGACCTTGAATTTTCGCTGCAATCCTTAGGGGACGGACGATGTGGTTTACACCGTTGCGAATGCAGAACAGGAGATCAAGATGTTCACGAATAGCCCGTCCGCAGAGCTTGTTGTTGTGAATGGTGGAGCGCATTTCTTGTCCGCGTCCCATCCGAAGGAAGTCGACGGTGCTTTGATTTCGTTCGTGGGCAAATACGCTGCTTAGGAATATACATAGTACATAATATCCAAGTTGATCCGGGCTCCACGAGATGGTGAGGAAAGCAAGGGTGTTAGAATACTAAGTAATCAGCAGCAGAGCGTTGGCGATGGAAGGCAGGCTAGCTCAAGTTTGCTATGTATCAACTTCAAGCTGTCTACATTACATTGTACTTCAGCCTCGTATGTATTGGATACTTCAATGCACGAAAGCAATGACATGTTGAAATACTGCAGCCTTCAGCAGCACCTCAAATTCCCTAAGCCTAGCCTAGTAGGGTTTCGCCTAGCCTGTGTTGGTAGAGTATGCTCTGCTCGTTCCCCGACTCTGAGACTTGCCTTGATATACTAAAGTGTTCTCTACCCGACGTACTCAAGAGGAGTCTGTTTCGAACTACTACATGGCTGTTGATTATTCGCCCATACATCTTCCATCTCACGTCCGTCCCGTACTCGACACCATACCACCATCGACGACCAACTTCTGTCCCGTGATATATCCCGCTGCTGAGCTGCTGCAGAGAAACACCACTGCATTTGCGACGTCGCGGCTACTCCCCATCTTACCGGAAGGGACCTGCGCATGTCTGGTCCTCACAAATCCATCGTAGTCACCGTCAGCATATTTACTCGCGATCGTGTGCACCAGTGGAGTAAACATGAGGCCCGGCAGCACAGCGTTCAATCGCACGCCTTTGTCCGCGTATATGACAGCGGTATGCTTGGTGAACTGCTTGACGGCCGCCTTGGTAGCAGCATACGCGACCTGCGGCTTGCCGATGTATCTAACGGCAGCGATGCTAGCGATGTTGACGACGGCGCCTGAGCCTTGCGTCTCCATGATGGGCAGCACGGAGTGGCAGGTCAGATACACGGATTTGAGGTTGACTGCGACCTGGGCATCGAACGTCCCCTCGTCCATGTCGGCCGGCCCGCCTTTCTCGCTCTTGCCCACGTTGTTGACTAGGATGTCGATCCGTCCGCCGTGCCGTTGGAGGCAGGATTGAACTAGGTTTTGCACTGCTGACGAGGATGTCACGTCTGCGGACACCACGTCGACGACTGCATTTGGCACTTCGGCCTCGATGCGTGCCTTCGTCCGCTCCGCTGCGGAGAGATTGACGTCGCATCCGAAAACCCTGGCTCCATTGCGTGCCAGTGTCAATGCAATCGCGGCTCCGTTGCCCCAGTTGTCCACGATGTCCACTGGCCCATCTTGCCCGATCCCCGTCACGAGTGCGACCTTGTCGCGCAGGTCAGGGTATGATGGACTCGCTCCTGCGGTGGACGAGGTCGTGGACATTTTGTACCTTGATAATGTCACCGAGCTCAAACATTGAAGCCGCCCCCATGATGTGTTGAAGGCCAAGATTATCTCCACACGGTTCGGTGATGTCAACTCTAGGACGACTCGGTTGGAGCGGCATCCTTCTCCACGTTTTTGTTAACCTCGGGGAGTATGGCCGGTGTGGAGATCGAGATTTTATCCCCATATGCCCCAGTGACAATACCACTCCCTGATGAACCGAACAAATACATGGTAATGTAGAGCTTCATTGCATCTACAAATAAGCGAAACGGCCTCGCATTTCTCTGGGCTGTTTGCGCAATGGTTGAAATGTGAGAAAACCCGTTACCTCAATTAGCACGCAAGGCTGAAGAGCAGGAGAGCTTGGCAGGATGCATTGACCACAAATCCACGATGCGGTTATCAAGGCGGATACACAGTACTGGTATGACACATTGACAGATTATGCCTAACCCCATGGCCGTCTATCACAGACTAGCTTTCGTTGCCTCTGCCTCGTGAATGCGATATCTACCCACAACCTCACAGCCTTGCCCACCCTATTCGATCAAGCACATCTTGTGCAGCGTCCCTTTTTGTAGCATCGCAGCTGAAAGTAGCCACAGCTTCCAAGGGGAACACAAATTGCAGACAAGCACCGGGGTTGAGGCCCTCTGGGTTTTCCTCGAGAGTCCGGGCTGCATTCTGAAGTATGGAAGTCGAACGTCGGTCTTGCTCGTTCAGGAAAGATATTTTCTCGACTGGAGACCAAGCGTCGTATTGTGACAGGATCAAATGCGCTATAATAACCATTGCGGAATCGAGCATCGTTTCAATGTCAAAATTGCAGAAGTCTCCGCCGCCATTGTCGGACCATTGCGTTTTGCGTCTGTTTGATTCTGGGAGTCGTGGCTTAGCCGCATCGGAGTCCCTGGAAAGTGCTAGACTTTCGTCACACTCTTTGAAATATCGGCGGTCATATTGATTAAACCGTTCAATGAGATTGACCAATCTCGACTTCTCCGCCAGCGAAGTGGTCCCATGGCCAGTGACACCGCTCGATTCCATGAAGCGGTTGCTTGTAGCGGAGAGATAGGTTGGCAGAGCAAGCAAGATGTCGAGAATTTCGCCCTCGGAACCCGTGCCGTCTTGCGCCTGAATAGCTTCATACCAATCGACGGAGGCCAACGGACTTGGTATCCGGAATTTGATAGAGTGGCGAACCTGCATACAGAACGCAATCAGCTGACACGAACATTGATCTTCTGGCGCTGGGAGAAGAAGAGCCGGATTCTCTGGAGTCATGGTGCATGATCAGAATCTGAATTACTCACATTCAGAACTCTCAAGCTCTGCAGCAGGAGTTTCGAGATAGCCGTCCGGCAGTTCATTGGTCTTCGGAGCTCCATCAGTCGGCAAGCACCACTGAAGTGTTTCATCCAACTCGCCACTGCCGTCGGTTGGATGAGTTCAAAGTACAATAGCATCATGGAAGTACAGATCTCTTGATCCGTAGGGATTAGATCCTGGTCCACAGTTCCCGCTTTCGGAGAATAACGCGCCGACAGCCATGCCCTCTGGCGCGAGAGCGCCACCATGTACCATCGATCAGCCTCCCTCTCAATAGCTGGATCATGTGCGCAGTATGCGTAGTACGCCAAAGTAGTAGCACGTATCGAAGGCCGAACCAAATCGCAGTTGGAAAGAAAAGCGGGGAGATACTGCATCCATGACTGATGCTTGCCGTCGCCTAGGAGTGGATGTGCGAATGAGGAAATAAAGTTAGACATGAACATTTGTTCGAATGCAAGTGCTTGCGATGGCTCATATTGGGATAGCGAGTTGTGTCGAGTCGCTGTCAATTTGCCAGATCTAGGTCCTAGGTCTGAATGAGGTGGTTTGGGCTGTGGTAACATTCGTAATATGAAGATGCCAGACGAGGGGCCAGGACAGCTCTTGCCGATGCGATGGCATTGTCTGCATCTGGGCACCTCTTCACCACACTTCCACCATCGTATGGTTAGCCTGGGCTTGAAGAAATTCGTTTATGCCTCGGTGAAAGCAAAATTTTCGAGTTCGTGACACCTACCTTTACCCTACGACGCCGACATGTCTCACAACCTCGACTCCTGGCGGCTGATCGAACCATGGCTATGGCGAGGAATTTAAATGCGAGACCTTGGGATCTATGAACATGTATCTAGAGCAAAGGATCTGTAGATGCGTGTTGTTTGTGCGACGTCAGCTGCTGGTCACATGATGGTAAGCCTGGTGTAACGAACGAACAACAGGTAGCAGTTTGTCGTGTTGGCCAGTGATTCAGAACTCGTGTTCGTACACAGTGTCACAGATCCGATAGAGCTTTCGAATCGGATGTTGCTTAACTTGCTTACCACCCAATATCACATTGCGCCGGCAGGCAGGTGCCGGCACTTCTCCGGATCGGTTAAATTTTGCGACTTGCATTAGCGTGGGATCAGTCTTTTGTGGGGCACAAGGCTGTGTCTGCCCTCTTGTTGGAGTCGCTTTATGTTGGGGCTGAGAACAAACACGGTCAAACACTTGCAGGATCTGGAGAGGGTTAGCAGGATTGGAAACTCGTATAGATCAACTTCCGCACATATAAAGCTCCTTGAAAACCCTCCCGATGGGGTGAGTCTCCTTGCCGATGATGATCACTTCTGAATACCTGTTATCTGATCAATAGTACACCCAGTTCCTACCAGAAGATCAAGCCGGTCAATATCCGAGCTCATCCTTGCCCAAGATGCCTTCGGGAAGCTGCTGGTGTGGCGCATGTGCATACAGTTATTCTGGGGAACCCGCATTGAAGGTAACAACCACTCTTGCGTTTCAGACAGACCGCTCCTATAACAGTCGTGCCGACTGACTTGATCTATCTAGGCACTCTGTCATTGCACCACATGTCGCAAAGTTTCCGGTAGTAGCAATACCACCAACTACGCTATTCCTGGTGGAAACTTTACCTGGGAAAAGGGCAATCCGACTAAATTCGCAAAGGAGCATGAATCTGGAATGATCCTTACCATTTACTTCTGCCCACACTGTGGAAGCACTCTGTACAAGGAGGGAAGTGCGGACATGTTCAAGGGATTGAAACTCGTCCAGGCGGGAACACTGCATGATAATAATCTGCTGAACTCGGGCTTCGCGGCAGAGTTGTATGTGAGCGAGAGAGCTTCTTGGCTGGCAAAGGTGGATGGCGCAGCTGAGATGGCAACCTTTACCAATGATGAAAAGGCATCCTTGTAGTGATTGCCACACCGCCACGGGACTGACAGGCAGTTTTGAAGTTAAAAATACACTTTCATGAGGCCTGAAGCAGCCATGGAACACTCATTCGTTTCGAGTGTCGACAAGTGCAGGATGCAGTCGAAGCCCAACAGATCGCTAAAAATATCTGATTATCCACTCAATAATGCCTACTCTCTTCCACCATCTATGGTTAGGTCTAATTTACATTGTTTTCGCATTCTGCGAAAATCGTGGGCTCAAAACCCTTCTCGAAGTACTGGTCTTTGCATTTGCAAGATTGGTCCTTTGAGCTCCGACAATGGCTTAATTCGGCGTTCGATGAAGCCTGGTTCGCTCAACATCATCCTGACGAGCCTGGTCATGTCTATTGCTCTTGGATTTCCTCGTCACTCCGTCCATAACAGCAGCACCAAGGGAAAGCAGCTCTAACTTGCCGCCACCGAAGTCTCCTCTCCCAAGTCGATAGGATACCCCTTCACCGTTGCTAGCATTCGGGATGGGGACAGCTGGAAGTTTCAACCCCGTGACAATATAGATGAATACCACGACACATTCTTCCAGCACCTCCATGAACAAGGAGATGGTGACTGCTGCTGTTGACTCATTTCCAATTTGAAAGTCAACATTGTGCCCAAATGCCGCGACCAGAGCGTAGATCACCCGAACTAATAGGAAGGGCAAGGCGAAAGCCACAGCCATGATCAGCTGGCCTTCCCCACGCTTGGTCCTTCGTGCGGCGATCGACGCAATGACACACATTAAGCATAGCATAGCGAATACAACGGCAAACAAGATCACGCCGATCTTGATAGTAACCTCGTTGTAGATCTCAGTGGGATCGTTCGCACTCGTAGCGCCAACGACGCAGAGAATAAGAGCTACCAAAGCTGGGGTTTGGACGAGCCTGAGAACAACCAGGGAGAATATGGTGTTCCACGGTTGTTGGAGCATTGAATAATAGCTAGCGCACCGTTAAAACGCTTTTCTACCGAACACAGCCATGAAACTACTTACCAGCGAGCTAGAAGGCCGAGAGATGCCAGAAGCAAGGGCGACAGCCCCAAGACCGCGCATACCAACGCCGTTGTGCTTGCGCCGCTTGAAGTCGGGTCTGATATCAAGACGAATTCTGCCACTGAGCCTACAATTCGAACAATACAAAATATTGTAAGGTAGATCCAGCCTGAACTCTTTGTGAAGCCATGTCTGCGGGCCACCAGTAGGCTCGCCAGAAGTGTCGGTACATAGAACACTACTTTCCAAACTGCTACACCATCAGAGTATGTAAATTTGCCCATGCTTGTGGTTGAGGGGATGTGAGGTTTTCGAGATTTGGAGGGATTGAGTTGGTGAAATGTGGGAGGATGTTGACCTGTGGATTGAACTCAGTCTCTCAGATGCCTTTGATTGTGTTTGCTTCTTTTCTAAGGGCTGATACCACAGTTTTAATAGAACTCTGGGGGTTCTGTGTGGATAGAGTCAACCCGGCTTCTGGTATACGCTGATGCTAATCTACAATGTACGTGCACAGCGCCCCCTTGTTTGATTGGTGCCTGGCGAGTTGCATACCAAAAGCGGAACATCCGAACGAGATGCATGCCTGATTAGGCAATGTGCAAGAAATGGGGCTGTAGTGCCACACAGGACTCTAATTCTTGATTACCTGTAATTGTCTCGTGGCTTGCGTAACTGTTGTCGATGGCAACATTCGCTGATCTCGATCTCGGCTCTGACCGAGAATTTGAATCTTTTCAGAAAGGTCGACCCAAGTGGTGGGATATTGGGAAAAGATGACTCTGCACTACTAGAAGGCATGATACATATGCATCCAAGCCTCGTCACTAGCACCCTCTCTCAACAACTCTTCAGCCCAGTGGGCTTGAGGCAGCTTAAATTCTCTGGCAATATAAATCAACGTGTTGATAATATAGTCCTTAGTTGAGGCTGTTACTAGTGGGTTCGCACCCACCGTGAACAGTGGCCATATGAGGGAATAGCCCATGAAGACTGCGGCGAGAGGCTTCTCTGACCGTTTTGGCGGTACATTCAGTTGGAACGACTGTGGAACAGTGGCGCAGACATTTTCTGCCGCTTTAGCAATCTCCTCCTGAGCCTTTACTGCCCTGATGGTCCTACTGGCGTTAGAAACCATTTCCTCCGGCGACATCGCTTTTTTTAAGACTTGAAGCTCTTGCTTATAAATCATGCTGTTGAGAGCAAGCTTAGCCATCCATGCAGCATTCCACGCATAGGCAACCTGATGATTTCTGAAATTAATGCAAAACTTCTGAGCACTAGCAATCTCAGGAGGGCCCACCGCCACCCTGTCGTATTGCTGGCAAGACAGATTAATGACGAAGAAGTCCTCAACAAGCCGAAGCACGACCTCGCATCTTGCAATTATGTCGTCAGGTTCAGACAAGAGGCCTTCGGCTATATCTGTTCGCAGATCCGTGAAAGCCTCGGTGGCTGAGGGCTGGGAAAATATAGGATCGGGAGTTTGTGAATACAATGCAGCGGACTCAACCAGTTCGCGCAGCTGGATGGGTATTCTGATGCAATTCTGGATGCAGAATAGCCTGACACCAGTAGCTATGTGTTTGAAGAGTTCAAGGCCAACCTTGGTTTGGAATTGTTGCGGTCCACGCAGAGCAACCAGCGACCAGGCTCCATGTATATGCGAAGACCATGCCTTGGTATCACTTGTCTTGCGAAGAGTCAATGCTTCATACAAGGAAAGTAACATGATTGAGGCAAGCACATCATCACGCTGAGTAGCATTTTGAGACTTCAGAGAATTGTTGACTTTCGTGATGGCTTTGCTGTAGAACATCAAAGCTTGAGTCCGCAGTTCTGGTCGTGAAGCATATAATGATAGGCTGGCTAGTCCGACGGCCTTCAGAGCGGTTGAAAGAACACCTTCTACGTCACCGACGGTGTAAAGGGCGGGCAAATATTCGAAATGGGAGCCTTGAATATAATCCTTGAGGAGAAATGTGACAGCCACATCCTCCATTGGCTCGTTGATGGAAGGCCGGATTTGTGTTGGCTTCAGGGTATCTGCATACTGCAGCCACGGGTAGCCAAGGTTCTGGAGCTTGTGTCGGTCTTCGCTTGATTCACTGGCAGCAAAACCCTTACAATACTTGGTCACGACCTTTTGACTTTCATTGCGGAATGCCAGATCAATTGTGTCACGGTACCCGCGACATTCTCGTCTCTTATTGGAACATTGACTGCATGAAGGCCGCTTTTGGTCGCACTGATCCTTGAGTCAGTCTAGGAGAAGGTCTAGGGATGACAATGATATACCTTTAGTCTTTTCGCTCGGCAATTCTCACAGCCCTTGGAAGGCTTCCCACAGTACACCATAGTCGAAAAGTGTTGCGATTCTGAGGCTGTCTGAGCTACACAATGCTTCGAACAAGCATCTACCACAGTTGGAAAATGTCAATGAATTACGCGCCGATTTGCTACTGCGCCGTCACTGAGAGGAACCATTAGTAGCCACATGGGAGCCAAGGCAGCCACGAAAACTTCAAGCTATTAAGCACCATTTCCGCTTTGCAGCAAAGTATTCGGTACCTGATAGGAGCGCAACATGCATTGAGGCCTGAAGGACAGTGTCAAACAACGAAGAACACCACAATGTGACGTAGAGTTCGTAGGAAGAAACGTTGAGGCAAAAGACTGAAGCCTTGCGCTAGATCTAAAGAGGCATGCAGCTCGGCGCTATTAACTGATTAACGTAGGCGGTCGCCAAAGCGGTGCACTGACACGGTGGTGAAAACGGAGTACGGAGTACAAGGTGCACTGAAACGTTGCAACTTGCCATGCTGCCCTGCCAATGATTCGCTTATCCGACAAGTCCGATATTGAAAGTCTTGTACGGAGTAAGCATAAGCTTGATCAACTAGTATGGCGCAGCATGATGTATGGTGCTGAAGGACACGACCATCGCCTTTTCAGCCAAGTATCGATGCAAACCTGAGCAAGGGTAGGGTTACGGAGTATTTTTAATAGTGAATGGCGGTATTCCGAATATGTCCACTCCGGTCTTACATAGCTGAGAGGTCTATCATGAAACCCCCAGTCGCTCGAGCCTGAGTCCCCGTCGCTGAAATAGGAATCCAGGTTGGTAGCCAGGTAACATAAAGATTGTGTTGCGCTGTCATCTACTGCAGGTAAATTAAAGCCAATCCTCAACCTTTGATACCAACCGGTCTCCCTGGACGCAATCCCTCGGCATCCTGCACCGTGTGAGTCCTCGTATGGATGGAGCAATGGGTGGCAGCTTGGAAAGTCTCTAGCTTTTGCATAATTAGCGAATCGTAATCGTGATGACTCGAACCTGACTCATTTTAATCTAGCTTTGCACAATTATCGTTCAATTTGGCACAACCTGGTAAACGAGCTTCTTTCCCGCTGCCTTGCCGTCTCTCAACCTATTCAAGCCTGCCTCAACCCCTTTGAGTCCCCCAGGAACCACATCAAATGGCTGTCCTTCGAACTTCCGCTGTTTAATAACCTCTTCTAGCCATAGAAATAGCTTTCCCGCGAATTCAACGTCTCCACGCGCCTCTTCCGGGGCCGGCTGTTTCGGCATTCCTGGTTTGTACGCTCCTTCATGCGCTGAGCCGACGAACGTGTAAATAATCTCAGTGAAGGCTGGAATAGCCTCCTCGTCGTATTTATTTGCGCCAGAGAAGACGCTAACCCTCCCGCCTGCTTCCAACATCTGGGCAACATTCACCCAGCTGGAGTTTTCACTGTAGGCGTCGATCGCGTTCCTCAAGGTTAGCCCTGTTTCCTTGACCGTACGCCTTACTGCTTCTTGCACCTTGGATATGCCAGAGCGGTAATCCAGGAAGACGTCGCCAGCTTGGTTGTCTAACAGCGTCCTGAGGTACTCGCTGCTGCCACCTCCAATGGCAATGATTGGACCAATGCCTGCTAATTTTGCGAGCTTGACGAGATAAGTTCCAAGAGGAGAAGAGGCAGCGTAGATAAGAAGAGGCTTCGCGTTGAAGTCTTTGCATGTTGGTATCGAGATCTCCCATGGCGCCAGAAAGCCTTGCCGGCGGAACAATGTCAGTGCAGCAGTGGCGGTGACGAGCGGAATCGTGGCTGCTTCCTCGTAGGACATGATCCTAGGGATCTTCAGAACGGTGTGTGCAGGAGCGACTGCATACTCAGCGTAGGCGCCAAAGGGTGCGAACATAGGGTGGAACGCGGCCACGCGGGCCCCAATTTGAAGACGCGATACGTTGGACCCGACTGCGACGACTGTCCCGGCGAGGTCATCGCCCGAGTTGAGTGATAGTTTTCTTGCTACCAAATGCAGCCAGTCTTTGGGATTTGATGCCGCAACATGGACTTTGATCAGCACTTGATCTGGGCTTAGAGTAGTGGGCGTCGGGACGGTCGAGAGTTCGGTGGATAATGGTGTCGTTGGACGCACCGTAACAGTGCTCATATGCGCAGGGGTCTCACTAATTGAACCCATCATGCAATACTGTTGCGCTGAAATGGTAATGGCAGATGCTAGCTGGTTGATATGAAAGTGGAGGAGCTCGTTGGAGTCGTTGCTATCACGATCAACGTCTTTATATATTCATTCTTCCTATGAATTATCTCTGTGCATACCATACAATCCATGATCATCTCAGCAGCATAACAATCATATCTCATAAATGACGAAAGCAGAAATTGTTGCACGATTGGAATTGGAACCGTGAACTTGCTTGGCACGTAAGCAGTCCCATATACGCAGCCACAAGTAGATAATGCCACGTGGATGTGCTACAGACGGTGAATAATCCATTCTCTGCAGGATCAATCCAAGTGGCATATTTTATGTCATGGCTGAAAGACAAAAGTAGGAAGGATTCAATGTTGTACGAAGGCGTGAGCGAATTACAAAGCATGCACAATTCAAACGAATACGAGATCAGCCACTGAATAGGCCAAGCAATCGGACGGGGAGATTCCGGTGATACATATTCAACGGCAGACCGGTGAAGGAACTTAGCTCAATTCTGTTAACCTCTGGGTCTTCTTTTCTTCTTGCCGTAAGCTCTCCCAAAGAGCGGCTAGGAATGCTGTTTCGCCAAGCGAATTACTCACTGCTCATTATCATTGACTGCGCAGCTAGCACAAGCGACGCATGAAAACCCCCCGTTATTCAATACATCCGAGAGAAAAGCAACTTGTAGCTTTCACCCTGACCTCTTTTGCTGGCCAGCGTTCTCCAGCCAAATGCCATGACAGGGATTGAAGATGAGGAATTCCAATTTGGCACCAATACTCCGACAAGAACTCAGAACCAACGTGGCTGTTTCAAACTGTCCCACTGCATTTGGTTGTGCTCGAACGTTGGGTGAACCTTATCCTCTCAAGCTGTTCCGCGGCTTTTGCTTAGCGTTCACTGATCCCGGCTCCTCTTGAGTCAAAATACCGACTTCTTAAAGCCTGACTGATGCCACTGACCCTCCCAGCGACTCCGCCATGTACGGTCATTGTGGTGTTGCCCATACCTGATAGGAGTGCCTCTTCCAAAGCCGATTGTGTTACACTTGCATCATCAAGATCTGAGAACGAACTACCCATGCTAGGGCTCGTGTCGCTGCCTGCACCCGTCGCATGACGACGCGGCGAGGATGGCAAAAGTGCTCGATGTGGTGGACTCAATGGGGTTTGGTTGCTCCGTCTGCCGGAGGCTTGCGATGCCTGAGCTGGACCTGGAAGATTATTGCTCGCATTGGAGTGATTGGTCCTGGCTGTTGCACATGTTGCAGTAGTACCTGGATGAGACTGCGTAGTCGGGCTCGACAATGACGAAGTGGAGCTTATGATATCTCGGTCCGGCTTGGGTGTTGGTGGTTCAACAGTTGGGGAAGAGATCCGTTCAGACGTGGTTCGACGATGGATGTTAGGTCGAAGATTCTGTGTCTGAACTAGTCCAGCTGGATGGGTAAATCCTCCACGTAGGGTTGCGCTAGGATCTTGCTGAGAGGAAGAGGAAGGGCGGAGCTTTGGTTCAACACTGTTAGGTTGTGAATTCGGTGTTGCAAATGGGAGGAAAGAGGGCGAGTCTTCATCCTCATCATCACCTGAGTCTGCAGGTGGAGCGGCTGCGCCAAGGTCGACTGGGCTAGCAGCATTGCCACGTTGAGACTGAGAGTCCTTCCGCAGAGCTAGAGCAACACGACGGTGAGTTTGTAGTGATGGATTTCCTCGTCGGGTGATCATTCGTGATTGTGTCATTTCTTCCTCAGAGTCTGAAGATTGAGGTTGACCCTGTTGTTGCTGTTGCCCAGCTGTACGCGCTTGCCCTGGCGGACGGGACGCCATATGCTGAAGACTTCCGCGTCGTGACTGTGTCGCAACATGGCCAGCTGTAATCTCTGCATCCCTTGATGACTGACGAGACAGTGGTCTCGTAGTGCCTGAGGCAGTTCGGGCTTGGGATGGGCCGGTGCTTCCGACCGCACTAGCGTTCCGCACTGGCAAGGAAGCTCTGCTCTTAGCAGGCGTCCCTGGTGTACTATCACCACCAGCGCCCGTAGTTGGACTACCCAATGCTTGGGTTGAAAGCCTGGATGGGACACGTGATCCGCCACTTCCAGCTCTCCTCATAGCCTGACCACCAACCATGCTTGCAGAAGTAGACCCAGGGGCTGGACTGGGGGTGGAGGATTGCCTACTATTTCCAATACGTCGCATGTGAGCACGAACCTGCTGTAGATTGCGTTCATAAAGCCAGGCGGCTTGCTGGAGGAGGAAAGTCGGGGTGACCTCGAATTGCTCAGCCAACGATTTCCAGTCAGTCTCGCTGTTTTTGGCGACCCGTGAAAGAATGTCCCATAGCGCATGTTCTTTGGTGGAATTCCAAGCGACAGGAGGAGGGTCAACAAAGTCACCGCGCGCGTAGGGCATCCGGATGAAGACGTTGAAGTGATGCTCTGGTTGACCCATTTCCGTCAGTTGCTACAAGGGTATGTTGATTAGTACGAGATTTGCACGATGAAAAGTGGAGTGTGGGATGTTTCTGGGCAAATACACCATCACTGCAATGATAGATGGACTTACAGTGAGAGTTATTGATGAAAGATTTGATAGATCGAAGGGATCAGGCTTCTCGGGATCAAGTGGTTGTCGACGTTCGGTCAAGTCCTGTGGCTGCTGTGGCTGCTGTGGCTGGAGAGCCATGTAGCCGGCGATATTGTTGTTCCCATTCCGATGTGGCGTCATTGCGGCTTTAGCGCCGTTGTTAGCGGTTGCACCTTTAACGTCTACTTGTCCTCTTGCTTTTGATGGATCATACCTCCTTCACCAGACACGCAAGCTTTCTCCTCAAAGTATCCTGGACCATACGTTCTGACAGGCGCGAAGCCGTCTTGATGCTCATGGTGTGGTACATATTGTACCTCTGGGGCCATTCGGCATAGTGCTTTCTGGCTGGCCTAAACAAAGCCACAGTCAGCAGACGTTGTGAGTGTTGACCGACACTGGACTTTCCCAGTGTCGGATTCAGCACCAATGCAGAACTATTTCGTGACTTACAGGACATTCCTACTCTTCTGTGTTGTTGCGGCTCCATGGTCCCGGATATTTGGGTTGGTCAAGCGATGACAGGAGATAGTGTGCTGCTGTGGTTTGGGATTCTTGGTCCGTCTTAGGCCCGACTATAGCTACTGGATTTTGGAGAAAATCGCAAAGAATATTACGAAAGAAGCGGTCCCATTGGACGGCCACGCTAGGATCGAGTGCCAGCCAGCCGTTGTGACTGCTTGACCACGATCTGGGCAAGTGGGCGATTGCAGTCAATGCCTGGGTCGACCTGGCACACAATCGACCGAAACTACTGGCCGATAAATGGTGCGATATATTGAGATCGATTGAATATGGCGACTTGGAGCGACGCTATTCGCTGAACACTACGTCCAAGATATTTGTGTCGATCTACAGCACGATCCAGCAATATTATTCGCTGGTCAACATTCAAGGTCATGCGATCCTAGAATCTAACTGGCCGATAGAAGCCACCGGATCGACCCAGGAGGTAGGTGAAGTTGCAACCATCCTTCAACAAAGATTGATCTTGCGCGGTGACAAGTCTCATGGGTTCTTAAACATGGTTTGGACGCAACAGGTCTTGTATCCCTTCCTCATTTGCTCCCTCTCAAAGGCCCTTAGCTTTTCAATCATGCCTGAAGCATACAGCAAACTTCTCTTTATTCCCCTTGACCCAGGCACGTCACAATTTCCTTACATCAGTACTGCACAAGTCTTGTTCTCATTATCCCTTCAGCGTCCAAAGCGAGTTGGTATGCACTCTACTAGTATGCCAAAGCACGTGGTCTCCATGCTCAATGCGGCGCTCAGTCATGTTGGAACATGCCAAGGCGCAACTGGCCAGTCCTCGATGAGGCAGGTCGCATACGAGCTCAGAAAAACACTTCTTCTTGCCAGAAAGCTTGTCCCAGCACTTCCTCTTCTCCTACCACTGCTCACTGTCACCATCATCTTTGTCAGATCCTACCAGTCCATTCAAAACAAACACTCTGGTCTAGCTTGACTGACTACTTCATCTCCACACAATCCTGTCTTGATATCCTGTTTTGGGAGTCCTTGGGACTCACAAAGTCGAAATCACGCAAACTCAGCTGTGTAGAGACGTCTATTAATCACAATACAAGCACATCACCTCAACCACACGTTTTCAACACAATCAGACGTGTTGGATTTCTTTGCACAGAAGCACAAGGACACGGCAAACCATCTCTCTTCGTTATTCTTCTTTGTCACTATGTGCTTTCAATACAAGTGCGCCGACTGCAAAGAGATCAAGTTGGGTGCCTGCGCTCACTATGACAACAACGCCAAGAGGTGTCCTCTCTTTGGCGAGAAATTACCCCGGGCTACAAGGCGTTCGAAATGCTACACTTGTGTAACAATCAAGGGAGTGATTGTCGAATTACGAAACCTCTTGTACAGAGAGCCATGGCTCGGAACAGAGGGGCTCAGTGGAGCGCCTAGGAAGGAGAGTTGGGAGACAGACAACAACAACAACAACAACAACAGCAGCAGCAGGGAAAACGAGGAGTACGACTCTGGGGGTGAAGACCCAGACGGGTACACCCGTGAGCAACGGAAGAAGGTGAGGAGGGAGGCGGAGAGAGCGGTGGCTCTGCGGTGGGGGCTGATGAAGGCGGAGCAGAGCGAGGAGAGGGAGACCTCATGTTGATCGCGTGTGCACAATAATCCTTTCGAAATTGTCGGAAAGTCAAGTGAGAGCAGAGCGAGGTGGAAAAGTTACCTTACTCTAAGACTTTGGCTAGTCCAATGAAAAGCAATGGAAACCCATAAAGTTTTGGACTCTAGCCCTGTTCTCCCCTCGAGTACCCATAATGTAGATCAAAACAAATAATACCAGTGGGCATGCACCTGGAGGGCTGCCTTCTAGTGAAGGACGGATACCTAAGGTGTCATGCCCACGTCAACTCTAATATAGTGGTTTGCAAGACGCCCAATGGCTAAATCTGCAGCGGACGTCCCAGACCCAAGGGCCGCAATGGATATCAGACATTCCTCAGATCCACTTCGAGGCTTTTCTCTCTGTAGGTTCTCACAGCCTAAGAAGCGTGCCCTAGTATATATCAAGAGCCCACCAAGCCCATTCCTCTTCTCTTTACGATACAAATAGCGGTCTCGATATCCATAAACATCACCTCGATATCCTCTCGTATTCTCTTTTTCTAAGGCGTGTGTGTTAATACCACTGAAGCTCAAATCCCTCGACAATGTCGATCATCAGGGAACCGACCAGAAAGCCATTCTTCTGTTCGACTATCGGCCAGCCCCTCCCTTGGGAAGTCGATGTGTACTTCGAGAGGGCCCGAAGAATACCAAAGAGGGTGAAACCCTCAGACACCTTTGCCCCGCGTGGTCCGCCGCAGCCAACGGAGCGGGCCTCGAAGAGGAGGCAGCCGCAACCAGACGTTGGTGGCAGCGGCAGGTCGTTTCGCTTGCGGCTCCCCTCGCCGCCCGCAAAGAAGCCTGCGGCTGTATCGGGCGCCGGCTCGGATGATGTCGACGCAGACATCAAGAAGCCCAAATCAGGGGTCCGGAGGCGGCGAGTAGAGCCCCATCATGACAGCATGCGCAGCGTGGTCGAACAGGAGAGGTTCGAACCACTCTGAACAGTTCGAACTGACGTGGTCGGCGCTCTTCCCCACGGCGAAGTGCAAGTGCTGCGGCCACGTCTATGCACAGAAGTGTGCCAGAATCACATATCAGAAGTTCAACCCGGCCAAGCTTGCCTGCTACAGCTCCGTCTACGGCTCCGTCTACGGCTCCGACGGCGCCATAGTCCCATGGTTTACTGGTCACGCCTGCTTGACGATGTCAGGCGTTACATCAGCCTTACCCGTGCTTCCGGCGAGAAAGGGGTAAGGATCGAGGCGAGGCTCAGGATATGGGACGAGGTGATGAGCCGGGCGGAGAAAAGATTACAGAAGGCGGAGAGCGTGCTTTTTGGCGGCAACGTGGATACATCGTTACAGGTAGGTAAGTGTGTCGCACGATCAAAGTGCGTGCGCCGTTGGAAGATGGAGAGGATAGGTGGAGAGAGAAAAGGAAGCGGGCAATTTGGGTGAGGTGTAAAAATTTAGGGTGCACCTCGCACCGCTCGAGCGTCGTCAAGGAACCAAAGAGTTCGTCAACCAAGACACGCAGACTTCCGCCTCCTCGAAGAGGATTCGAGCAACAGATTCAGGCTCGGCGAGGCAAGGAGACTGATTTCGTGTGCCCCTTTCTCTGTAGGCCGGAAAAGTTCGCCCCTGAGAGATAGCGCGGTAATGGAGGAAGTTGAGGCCGAAGAGATCGAGGTTGTACAAGACGAGATTGAAGAAGATGAGGACGAAGAAGACGCACCCTAATTTTGAAGCGTTGTAGGCGCAAGGGTTGAAAGGCTTTGATATAGTGGTGACACCTGGAATGCAGGATGACCAAGGTTGGACTCTTGTGTCAGCAGTTGCGTGAAGGTTGTATAATACTTCAAATGTGTGGAATCGCTGTCCGAGATCAGCCTCAATAGTGTAAAGATTCTCTATCATAACACTCATTTGTTCCAGAAATCTCGTATCATCGTATCAGTCCTCTTATATCAGTCGATGATCAAGATACTGGAAAGCATGGGTCTTCTCCTGTGATAAACTGCAGAGACTTGATCAAATGGTATCTCCTTCTCGCGTGACATTGAAGTCCTGATCAAACTTGGCCCAGCCGCCAGCATCCGGTGCATCCAACATCTTCAATTCATGGACAACAAAATCATAGGTACCATCACGAGGAGTCTGGCCTTGAGTTACATTTCCGCCCATAGCGATGTTCAATAGGATTACAAAATCTGCCATTTTTCTTGTCCCTTGAGGAATGGGAGCCTTCATGACTGGGCGTCCGTCGATATACCAGACCATTCTTCCTTGGCCTGATCCCTCATCTTGATTCCACGCAAATTCGTACCTCACAGGGCGTCCCTGCTGCATACCAGGGACGAAAGTGCCTACCACCCGATGCTTCCAGTTGTCTTCAGGTGTGTAGAAGCCCCAATGGAGACATGAATGGTTGATCCCGTCACCGTTCCAGGTCTCAGCAATGTCGACCTCGCCTTCGTGTGGCCAAGTGAAGGGTTCGAAAGGCAGCAGCCAGAAGGCCGGCCAGATGCCAGGCGCACAGGGCAAGGTAAGGGTTGCCACGAGGCTGCCTCTCGGGCGGGACAAGCGTTGACGGGAAACGAGCCGTGCCGAGGTGTACTTTCGCGCAGGATCGGGATTGGAGGGAGAAGCAAGGGCGCGGAGGACTAGAAGATTATTTCCTGTGCTGCCCGTTCATCAGATGCGTGTACACCAACCTCTGATAAGCAATGTAAGAAAGTAAATCCGGTCTTTCCCGCCGCGATTTCTTCGTGGGCCATCGGATGAGCTCAGATCAAATGTCAAGCAACTAATGAGATACTACCTAGGTATGCAAATGCAAGGGCCGGATATGATCATGGACGAAATCGATCAACTTACAAGAAAGAGTTGGCGCGGTCATTTGTATAATGCTGCAACTCATTATTGCCCCAGCCGTTATTGTTGCCCAATTTCTCCTCCCACTCCTGGCTAATTGGAGTGTTAGGATCAAATCGAGCCGACCAGTAGACGCTCTGTCCCGGAGGACCACCGGCAAAATTACCTTGTGCGAACGCGGCCGCATGCTGAGGTGGCGGAGGCGGAGGGTGATTATATTGAGGTTGTGCCTGATGATATTGCGGTTGTGGTTGGGCATGGGACTGGGAACTCTGGGAGCCTCCAAGGAATTTCTGGCCTTCATTCTGAAGATCTTTCAGTTGCCCTTTCAAGGCGTTCAGCGTTGATTTGAAAGGCATATTGAGACCAGGAATTGAGAAGATGCAGTGTAATCACGCAATAGGAGCTTTAATGCCGTGCTGGAAAGCTGAACAAGAGTCGCGCTTGGAAGTATGTCATGCAAATTCGCTCATATCAAAGGGAGAAAGGACCGAGTGTCCAATAAGGGTAGGAAAGAGTGCGTAGCCCTAAGCTTTCGGAAGGACCAGGAGTCTGCCTTGGTACCCAGACGAAGAAAATAATTAAATTCGAGCATGCAAGATAGTCAGAGGCAAGCAAAGCAAGGTTGTGCTCAACCAAGAGCTTGAGCGATGACGTTGCCCCAAGACTTCTAACGGAAGTCAGTAGCAAGCGAGAGGTATTTTCGTTGTCTGACAAAATCATCGACGTCCCATACACATTGGCCTCGGTCTCATAGTACATGGTCAATGAGGGGAGTAACAGGCACATCCACATGTACCCTGCCTATAATCATACGTGTTGGGTGGGGTGTATTTACCGTAAATTTGGCGATCAAATGTCCAGCCTTTTTGATCGGATCGGTATAACATTGTTCCAGCATATAATAGTCAGGTTCAAATTGCTAAAGAAATAACCAAGGTCGGCATATTATTAACTACGAGAGCAACATTATTGACTTCGCGAACATGACATGGTTGTCCATCACCACCCATTTCTCAACTCATGCAACCTTGGCGAAATTGACACCGTCATAAATCTCGCCTTTTCCGTTGGAACTCATCCTAACTTATCCTGCTTGATAAAGAGCGGGACCCGCATAGACAAAGGGATTTACCAGTGACAAGTTGAATGGTGTGAGATAAGGATTTTGACTCGTGATGGCGACGAACATTGTCCCGTTAACGGATGGATCTCCCATAAAAGTCGACATATTTGGTTGAATAGCGGCCGCGGTGGTACCACTAACGTTGACCAGTGGAACGTAGGTGGCATTGAGCTGAGATACAAACATTGCATAGCGAGGCTCATCCGCCAAGGATGACCGAGAGGTGACATAACTATTGTTGGGTCCCACAGTCTCATTCACACTGCCCCAGGAGAACTGAATCGGACGGCCTGGGTATGAGAGTGGAATGGATCTGTTCTGACTGATGCTGGGGCCACAATCGCCAAGCTCATCATGGTTGCCGATGCAACGATTGCTGTCGTCGATGTTGGAGCTGTTGAGAGGATCTGATCCAGTAGCACTCTGAGCAGGTCCCAAGTTAGGATTGGTCTTCGCAGGGTTCGGCTGATTAAGGACAGTCAAAGCCGGGAAGTTTTGCCATGCAAGTCGTGTTGTGTTTGCTGGACAACTGGAAATGTAGGGTGCCAATAATGTCCCTGGGTGGAAAATTAGCTCACATTCACTTGAATAAGGACAAGGTACACTTACAGGCCCAGGATTGGGGAACTCCAACCTCGAACCAGACAGGCATCGGGAAGAGACCATCAAATTGACGGAAAATCATTTGCTGCCTGGCTTCGGTGGAGATGGACTGCAACAAAAGTGTGGCGGACTCGCGAGAATCTAAATGTCCGAGAAAACCATACACGCCACTCTCTCCGAACCTGGTAAGCTTTTGACTAAAATCCAGGAATTCGCGAACGGTGCTGAAAGGATAGTTGTATGTGCACTGCGGCGGTGCTGCAGCACCAAGAATGTTGCTCAGCAATGTTGCGTGGCCGATTTCTTGGTTGGCCATGAAGGAGATCAGATAACGATCCTCTGCAGTAAGGCCAGCCCTCTCAAAGTCTTCCGTGGAAAAAGTAGCTAATCCGTGATTGAAAAGGTCTAACTCAATCCATTCCTGATACAGGGCAAGGGTGAGCGACTCGTAGTCGAAGTCGGACAAAGGGTGATAGTATGGCTCGGTGCCATTCGTACCAGCTCCTCCCGCGGGCTGATAAGGGATTGGCTGATACCCTGCTTGCAGCTCACCATTCTCGTTGGCATAAGTCACCGGTAATGGTGGTAGAGGAGCGATAGACTGTGCCTGTGCTGGCGCAGAAAGAGCCCCTGTGGTGGTTGGCGTACCCTCAAACGGACCATGAGATGTTGCTCCAGTTGGGTCTGAACTGCGCACAGGAGGAATTGGGCCACTTGCAGGTGTAAGAGTGACCTGAGGCGCTGCGACCACCAGAGCGCTGAGGCTCAGCAGAATACCGGTGTAGGACTTCATCGCTGCAAGTCGAGTAGGTGGAGAGGACGAAGGGGCGGAGACGTTCTTCCAAGTCCTTCAAGATTTATGAGAGCAACACGCCTTATATCTGGCCCTTCGCCTTCCAATTGTGCGTGACCTCACAAATGACTGCAGGAATGTTCGTCATCCTGTTGTACCAGTTCACGTAAATCGACATGTCGCCTTTGAGCCGTCGAATTGTCGAGCAGTGACGACTGTGTGGATCGCAGATAGTTTGTCGCTAGCCATTCACTACTTTCTATTCTGAATCTCGTCACAAATGAAGCAAAAGCCCGATGTTGACTTGCCCGTTAGGGAACTTCGGTACTTCTTACATTGCAGGGGAGCTCTCTGCGGAAGACAATCAATGATGCATTAGACTTGGGAACATGGAATTCAGAAATGGTGGGGCAAAGAATGGAAAATACTCCGAGAGGCTGCTCTCAAAATTATGACTTACAAGGATATGGTATCCGATTCCTAGAGTCGTGACGTTCATCGGACTCGGAAGTGTGTTCCTCCTTACCATTGTCTCAACCCGCAAGGCTGCTTGTGATGCTCTCCACATCGCGTCATATCCTTTGGAGAAGGGTCTATCCCAATCGCAGGCTTCTGCAAAATCTGTCGCTTACCAAAGTGAGATCGTAGGACATCCTGTGGAGGCTAGCTACTGCTTTGACAGTCCATGAGGGGCTGAAAAATAGCTTGCAGGCAGCCTGAACACATAACTGGACGGGCGTACTAGCAGTACTGCAGGAACCAACAAGCTCTTTGTCGCAGAGCTTTCTCAAAGGCAATGCCGAAGCTCTTGGGTGGCCTGGAGCCGGAGGACATAGCAGGTTGTGTCGTCGACTCAAGCTGAGGCTCGGATCTTGGCTCCGTAAATCCTGACATCACTGGTTGATTGACATCAATTTTAAGATGGGACGGGCACAACAGTTTTCATTCAAACCGATACACAGGCATTGTATTCTCTCGGCGATACTCATGGTGAAGAAAATCAATAATGACGAAGGGTTCCGTAGAGGGTGCGATGCCTAGGGTAGACGAGAAAGGAGATGGAAAAAAGGGTCGGTCGGAGTCTCGATCACGAAGCCTGTGAAGTGGACTTGGCGGTTTTACCTCGCTTCCCACAAGCCTCCTAGCAGAAAGCTTGCACGGCGAATGTATGTACTGTACAGTAGATCTGGAGTGGCTTGGAATCTGCTTCGCTTCCACCAAGATCCAATCATTTTCCGTATCGAAAAAGGAGATTCAATGAGGATTGTAACAAATCTGTGGCCTTCGAAACAGAGCACGCGCGCTGTCGTCATAGATTATATAGATGCAATATTAGAGCCAACTACGAGGCTGGACTTTGAATATGTGCCAGTCACACGGTTGACTGGAATCGACCGATCCTAATATAGACTTCCAGGTATTATCATCGCCCGTCTTCTGTCATGTTTGAAGCATGGCACAGTTCGAGGCTGACAGACAGATGGACCTGGACAGAGTACGCCGTAAGCTGGCCTCCTTTTATGGAGATCAGGCCCAAGCTTCTATCACGAAATTCAAGCTCATTTTGTCGGGCCGCCAAAAGCGCCACATTCATCACGGTTAAGAAAAGCCAAAATTGTCAATTGTCGGAACCAGTTGTACGGAGGAGTCGGCGTGTCAAGGCCTCAAGGTAGTGTTGCCGGAACCACATGGCCGCTGAGTAGCCAGTCCATGGGCGAGACAAATGCCATCAATGGTGCTGGAATTGTGATTGAGATGTTTTCCACATGTGGCGTCTGGAGGTTTTACTCATCCAGGCCTTCGTTTCGAGAAGTCCGTCATGCAGTTATCCGAATCGCTGTAGGACAGCCCATAACGCAGGGTCCGTCCTACACATGAAGGATCGACCCACGCATTGATGATGTACATGCATACAGCACGGAGTACTCGTACATACATACATTTCTGAGAATCCATATGCTATGATGAGGACTTCTCTAAGTTATCATCTCGGAAGAGCATGGAGAAAAGGGCGAACCAGTGTGATTCATTTCATGTGGACGCGGACGCCACACGGAGCTTCGTATGGCCAAGATCGAGGCCCAAGGGAACAACGCTCAGGATGTGGGAATACTGGGTAGGCCTCGAAATCCGAAGAGTGCTTGTCGCTATAGGATTACATAGGCATTCTGTCCTTGGTTAGAAGCCCGACACCCACCCGGGACTCAGGTTAGGTGTTAGTCATTGCGGGTAGATGCAATCCCAAGCCATTCCCCCTACTCCTAGGGGCTTGTACGACCGAGAAAGGGAGCCCGAGGGACTGCACCCAGAGGCCGTAGGACCGCTCAATCAAGGTGAAACCACCCTAGATCAACAAGCAGCAACACGATGGAAGCAATGAGCAAGTGCACGCTCAAAATCCACGCTTACTCGTAGGCCGTGGAGCTGTGATGATCAACGGATGGGCCTGTTGCTCGGTTGCTCACCCGGCAATGTTTATTTGTGGGCGAGCCAAGACGGTCTTTCGCTGAATTGGGGAATCGAGAGCTTCCCCTGAGCTTGTTTGAAACGGAGAGTAGCATGTCCCACTGGCCACCAACATTGCAGCATTCGTTGCCACGGCTCTGCAAGATGGGCAGATTCAGCAGGGCCGAAAGGAGCTTACAGCACTTGCGGCTCCAGCTGATAGATTGAGATCTCGTCTCCTTTTCCTGAGGACATGATCCTGTCATGGATGGGAGGCTTGGGGAAATTGCGCTCTGGAGAAGCAGTGTTAGTGCGCGCCACCGGCAGGGGTTATTAGGGGAAGAGGAGCCAGTCGGGACCAGGGAGATTCATCAAGCGCGAAATTAAGGCTGCGGCAGTCTTGCGCAGGTACCAGATGAGATGGCCAGTCACAACGGCTCTGATAGTGCCACATCAACACCAAAATCTCGTCTGTTCCTGGATTCAGCCTAGCCGGGCTGCTCCTCCTCCTCCACCGCGGACGGCTTGAGAGGGCGCAGGCGCCCAAACCAACGGGGGTGGGTGGAGAGGAGCAAAATAGTCTTGCTTCTGGTCGGCCCATCAGCAGGTTTGCCCGGTCCAATTTGCCATGGCAGCCAGAGCACTTAAGTATCGCAAGATGCCCAATGCCTCTTGGATCTTCTCTTCATACTCAAGCCAGAACTTCTGTATCCTAGAAACAACTTGACTTCGGTCGTCCATTCTTTCGAGTTCCGCTCACCACATTCGCTTAACATAATAACTACCTAGTCACCGCTTCTCGAAGCCTCCTGCATTTTTTTCGGTAATTCCAGACCAAGTCAACCAAAATCAATCAAAATGCGTGCCTCCATTGCTATCGCTGCCAGCATTCTTGCTGTTGCATCCGCAAAGACCATCAGCGTTACCGACACTGTTGATGTAACTATCACCTCCTGCGAACCGACTGTCTCTAACTGTCCTTACAAGCCAACTGCCACCGGTACCTGGGATGACTGGACCAGCTCCACCACCACCACTACCACCACGAAGAAGGTCGACCCCGCCAAGAGCACCTCGACCACATGGGCCGACTGGGAGATGACCACCACCACGACCACCACCAAGAAGGTCGATCCCGTCACCTCGACCACCTGGGCCGACTGGGAGATGACCACCAGCACCACCACCAAGAAAGTCGAAGCCGTCACCTCGACCTCAGCCACCTGGGCTGACTGGGAATCCACCACCCTGTCGACCGTCCCCGTCGCCCCCGTCACCACCTGGGCATCCAGCGTCCCAGTGGCCCCCGCCACCACTGGTGTCTGGACCTACACCAGCAGGTAAGCCGATTTCATTTCGTTGACTTGTGTCCGAAGCTAATGGCCCGTGTAGCACTGCCGTTAAGCCTGCCGTTGCCACCTACACCGGTGCCGCCAACGCCAACGCTGGCTCTTTCGCTCTTGCTGGTCTTGCTGCCGCTGCCGTCATGGTCATCGCATAAACGCCTCACCAGCTTTTGCGCGTTTGATTACCTGTTACGATTACCATGGCCGTCGCAGCAAATACCACAGCAGCATGTCTGGGGATGAGTTCAGAAAGTGAATAGTCGGCTTTGTAATTAGTTCACCAGGGGATGTCAGAAATGGTCGATTGGGGAGGACATTCTATGCATATTTTTGGACGCATCAAGGAGATGCTGGCTAGACCGCTGTAGCTAGCATTGCGTAATACCTGTTCTTACCGGATTGATGTGTTCCATACCGATCCCTTTTCCCGTTCCATTGATGTGTGATTTTGGGTGCCTTGTCCAATTCGACGTTCTCAACGACCGCTGACATGAACAAAGGATAACTCTGCTTCGAAGAGGAGAGAAGGCAAGCAGGCGAGTGGGAGCCGAACAGCCAGAGTCCACGTGTAGCGCCAATGCTCAATACTCCTGAGCCTGGGAAATTGGAATTGGATGTTGTCAGAATGGGCGCCAGATGCCAAGCTTGTGGCTTCAACCTCCTTCCCACAGCGCAACGCGGTTGTTCGGCTGCGCCATGGGGGGAGTCGCGTTCTATCTGGCTCGTTAACTTTTTCCCATTGTGTCTGGAACCATCGCGATCGCCTCGCCACTCGTGCAGACAGACACATGTGTGCGTCTACATACTGGTACTCTATTTGCAGATGTTTCCCGCCTCTGTACGAGGTAGCATTTTATGAGCGCATCAATGAAAAATCCCACCCCACATATACCATCCGCACCGCCAAATACGACCCAGTACTCAATTCAAAGACGATGAATTGAGACCTCCCTTTCTCAAGCCACCCACCTTTTGGGCTTCTGTTCTCACTGACCCGGGACGCCATTGTATCTGAGTACCAGGCAGTGCCCGTATTGCAGCAGCTTTACGATCTGCCTCGCACTGAGCCTGTTGCGGCGCCCTGGTTTCAAGCCCATGGATTTGGGCATACGTGATGTGTGGGCTGCCAATGGCCCGAAGTAGGTGATCACAAAACCACTCAAAGGAGGTGTACAAGGTCGCTGCGAGCTTGGTACAGAGAGTGACTCGAATTCTCTGTAATTTTCTTTGCTTGCCGAATCCTGGAAAACCGTCAGGGTTGGGCGATCTGTACCCTAACTGAGGCTCAACATGACGTGCTGGGAATTGGACTGCACACTGGAAGTAGTGGGAGCGATCTGGTTCTCACCGCCACCACCTGTTGAGGAGAGATCCGATTCCGTGTTGCAACGCCCTTTGGGGACCGCTTTTTTCAGCTAAAATCAATAACTGCAAATCGGGGCTCGATCCCATGATCGTAGTCCTTGGATATTTTCTCATCCGTAGAATAGTGTCACCACTCTCCCTCATCCTTGGTATTTTGGTTGATATGGCGAGGTTCATGGCTCCCCATGGGGTCGGAAGGACTTACTCGTACTACCTCGATACTTTCCGCGGTTCCGGTTGGCCTCCTACTAACGCCTGTTCCAGTGATAGGCCCAGCATATTAAGTCCTTGCAAGGTACTAAGCAGGAATACGAGTAGTGAAGGACATGGTGAAATATTCTCTGCTTCAGGTTCTAGCAGGCGGCGCCAAGGGGACATTGAATGCTCTTGTATCTCATGCACCAAGCTTTAATGCGAATCCTTCGATAAAATTGTTTGCTAATTTAATTCCTCAGTGACGGATCGATTGCAATGAATCCTGTGCAAAGCCGGGGATCATTACCTGCTGCAAACTGTTGCCAATCTGCCGTGCTCATTCCTCTAGCTGTCTCATCCACCTCCCAAACTCATTCTAGCGGCTTTCGATAGGACAAAAATATGTGCTCCGAATCAGTGTCCAAGAACCAGACATTAACCTCAGCCGATACGGGGGTGGAGCACGCATATTGGCATCGTCCACGGCTTTGACTTCCAAAGTGCTAGCTCAGACCTCGTAGATGATGTTGCACGCTGTATACCGTTGGCCGATCACCCGAGGCTGCAGATTCAGATCTTGACTCGTCTCGCGTGCGTAGGACCGAGTACAACAAGCGTGGAAACAATACATGACTCCGTATGGAGTAACATGAATTCCCTAGACGGCCTTTGCTTCGACTAGAACCTCGTTCCACTGTCATCGGCATGTACGGAGTATTGAATCCAACATCTCCGTTTCGGGCAGAACGTTTGGGCCCCCGATTAACAGAGAGCGCCATCATGGGTCTGAATATATTTTTGGGGCGGCAATGAGTCCTCCCACCACCCCTGCTGCTTGAGCTAACTTTGAGGCTTACCGCAGAAATATTGTACAGCCAACCGGCTGCCGATCACGCAAACCCCGTCAGCTCTAGTCCTTATCGGAATGGATAAATTCTCTGGCCCCTTCACTAATTAACATGCATGGTCTTCCGATGAAGAACATCTTCGACGATGTGAATCAAATCCGCAAAGCAACTCTCTGCGAATTGTCGCATCGATAGAGGCTATGTTTGGCATTATAGCACTTCAGGATTGTTCGGAAGCTCGTCGTCTCTGAACTGCCAATTCAGTGAGCTCTTGGATCGATTTCTCGATTTCTCCGTATGTAAACGCTTGTCACCATGCACAGCCAGCGAATAATTTTAACTACAGTGCTAGCCCAGTCATCTAAGCGTTCAAAAATGGCATCGGCAGCGTTCAGCGAAGACTGGCCCCTACTCATCCATCGTCCCATGCTCATACGCCTTCTTCCCTCCTCAGTCTATTCGTTTCGCTTGTGACGCTGACCACGATCCTGGACCAACGGGGACGACACTTGACCTCTTACCCTACATCACTATCTTTGCGGCGTTGGATTCCGCGCCCCAAATAATGCAAGTCTCCCATGCTCCACTGCCTCCTTCATATACTGAATATGTTATCAACCTCCATTGAAAACGAAGCTAGTAAGTCTTCCATCCTGCCGAGCCTGCGAGCCTGCTTGCCTAGTTTTATATCTGGAAGTCTGACTCCATTACCTCCTGCCGAGCGTTGCGGATCTCCATGATTTGAATCCTATCCGTGCGAAGCTACAGTTGGCACGTTTCCACATCATCCTTTCGCCAGAGCTCACATAACTCTCACTCCCACTCCCACTCCCACTCCCTCTCTGTCATTTATATCCCCTTCGTGTAACTCTTCATGTACATCTTGAGATCCTGTGAGCTCAGCGGGATCAAGATAAGTTTGTTCCTTGGTGGGTATATGTTTCAGCCGCGCTGCAGACGATCTACCAAGGATGGATACATCGAACACGATATTCAACTCGGTCCGAACGAAATTGAGGCATTCCAGATCCAATATAATATTCCCGGTATCAGATCAGTATCAACATGAGTCATCGAGATCAAGTGTCGTATATCCGGTATCAAATTCATATCAGCATCAATCATCGAGATCGAGTATGACAGTTCCGGGATCAAGTTCATATCAACATGACTCGATGAGGGGTTGGGAAAACGTCCCTGTTGAATATCGACCTGTTCAAAGATCGAACCCTCGACCAGTTTCAGGGTATTATGCCTCACCAGCTCTTCTCCCAGGCCCTCCTCCACGACCGCGAACTGCTTCCCCCATCAGGAAACTCGAAGCAATCAGAGCGTCCTCCACTCCAATCCTACTGCACCCAAACCCCAAAACATATCGTCGCAGATCTGCACTGGATGTTCGGAACCCGTGGCCTGGTCTACCAAATCCCACTCCGGTAGACGAAGCGAAGATGATGAGTGTCGAAATCGCTGCGGCATTGCCGCCGGATCATCTTGACCCACCTCCTCCCTACTCATATTATCCACCAGCACCATCCCTACCGCCACCTCCACCTCCGCCGCCGCCTCCGCTAGCACGACCACATCCATCTTCTACGACTACTCGACATCGGTCATGGTCCAATCAGCAGCAATATGCCGCTGCCGTAAACCGATACAACGGCCACACATATTACAACCCAGGGGATTTTCAACAACAACCCATTCGAACACAAGCTATTCAAGCTATTCCTTCAATTGGTTTACCGCAACCTCCCACACCGGTATCCCCTATCAACACCCTGGACGCCCAGTATCTTGCCCTGAGGCAAGCCAGGCGAAGGAAAGCAGCGAGTGATGTGACAATCGACAATCTGCTGGGTCACCCGATGCTAAGCCAGCCGTAGGGAATGCCAGACTGTCTAAATGGCTGCACACGACTATAAGTCTATTAAAACTCAACCACCGATTCTGGTGGCCTGTTAGCAGTGATACGGTCGTGGAGACCGTTGCCCTACGTCATCTCTTTGAAAATCAGCGCGTCTGGCCATCTCGCATTTACTATTCCACATGTTGGAATGTGAACAGGCGCGTGACGCGTGATGCCTTGACCCCTTGGGATCCGCGCACGGAGGCAAAATCGAAAATATATTATAATGGGCTTGGAAAGCTGTCCGCCCTACCTGTCCATAATGCCTTTCTAATTTTTGCTTCATTCGCTCATTGCCTTTTCAATAAGGCCAAGACTTACCTCATCGCTTGACAGGTTTCACTCACTTTCCTGACACTCGCTAAATAGCGCTTTTACGATGTGCTCCTCCATCATCTAATTCGAAGCTCAGCATGGACTCCATGGCCAAGCAAACCCGGGTCCTCCGGCGCCGAGATAATCTTCCACCATGGACGATTGCGACTTTTACGATACTATCGGCAATATTTGTCATTCTTTTGATCGGTCTTGTGTGGAGAAAGCTGAGACTGAACAAGGCAGCAGATAAGCAATCCCACGCAACCCCAAACACGACTTCAGAGATATCTCACAAACACAGCGACTGGTTGCGCAACAATAGCAATGTCATCTGGTCGACTTATATCGAAGAGGATGGTCTCAAAAGCCAGTTTGCTCTATCAAATTCGAGACTGTTTTCCATCGCATCAGTATCAACAATCGAAGACGGGGAATTTCCCTTCGATACGGAGCCATCATCGAAACTGGTTACCACTCAAGACCCAAACAAACGCTCAGAGCCACCGAAGCTAGAACTACACTTGACAAACGATGAAAATACTCTTCGTAGTCGGGCAGCCCATGATCAAGACCTCACTCCGACTCCAAACTCTCCGATGTCACGCGATGTCATCGCCTCACCCAGCATAGCCTCACCAGCATCTTTGCTGACGCAAGGGCTCACAAGCAAAGTCTTTCAATGTCAAAAGCCTTACATACGAGTTGAAATATGAAAACACGAATGATACGGACGAGCTCCATTGGAAGGTTCAGCTGTATGGCTTGTGGGAGCAAGGGGGTTATTTGTAGTCGTCTCAACTATGAATTACTTCAGAAACGGGCCGATATCACTCCCTATATCTCGTACTCCGTACGCATGACGCAGTATACCGTTTGACACACCCTTTTTGCGCCCCGCGTATAATCCGAGGGCTGGCATGGAATTTAAGGGTCGAGCAGCGGAGCATGGGGCCACCACGTGATCATCGCACGTGCCAGTCTCGATCTGGGCTTGGCACTATTGATCCATGATTTCTGTTAAGGTCCTCAATCTTCTGTATCTATCCTTCATCGCCAATCGAACAAATCAGATTGTTCCAGGCTCAGGCTTAGACCAATGATGCGCATCGGAAACCCAGCTCGTCCTGATTCTGATGAGAATGAAGCCTTCAGAAATATCATCTTATCGAACTCTCCCTGCCTCAATGTGGATCGCGCGGGTCGCAGTCCTCATTTCCAATGATGTAAAATATCCACGACTTTCCCCCGCGTGCTTCGCTTTATGAACGTCTGCCCCTGCTTCATGATTTCTGAACGACCTACCCGGCACTGAATCTCCTTGATGTTCGAAAGCGGAAGAGAAGTCTTTGATTTTTCTTACCTCCAGACCCTCGTCATCAGGGGTTGCTCCCAGAACCAATACGACTTTTGTAAGCCATGCTGCTCAATCCGTCCCACAAGGTCACGTTTAGTGGTTTACCTCCAGATGTACTGGATGCGTACGTTCGGTACAAAAAGGGTACACGGGCTTTGGTTGCCTGGTTTATTCAGTATAGTCCCTCACCACACAGGCGTGTGAAGAGCTTGCCTATCAAGGAATTGGCCTCGTTGGCACAAACGGTTGCAGACAGTACGAAATCTCTACCTGACATAATTCACTTTCACTTTCGTGAGACCATTGCCGCGAGGAAAAGACTCAGCAAGCACTTTCGTGGCAATGTTGACGATTGTCACGAGGATGTAGATACCATCAACCATGAACATTTTACTAGCAGGTGAGTTGGTTGCAAGCCGCAGTAAAACCCTAGTGCTGAGAGACACCCAGTCTCGCCCAGATTTACGCTGATCTATGTGCTTGCTGTGGTAAACCAAATCACCAGGGCAAGCCGAACAAAGCTGCCAGGAAATCGGCTCTTTCCATGGGCGAGGTCTCGAATCATTACAACAATTTACTCATTGAGGATATCGAAGAGAACGAGCCCAAAGAGAGCTTTACATCATCAGAGTGTTCGGAATGTGCTGCTGCTGCACCGTCATCTTGCGGTAGTACGGGGTTAGAGATCAACTTCGAGGGAGATGAGCTCGGCGAAGCTCTTGAGATCACTGCTGCCGTGCAGGTAAGTCCTACTAGAAATCCTAGACGCCCAATTATTGACTTAAATACAGCGAGCCCAAGAGATATCCAATTCGGTGGAAGAATGCTGGGAGCTTGCGGGCGAAGGGCGAATATCAACCACGACTGCGGCATTCGTAACCAACGTGGCGTTTGCTCAAGTTCGTCAAGTCGGGGCAGAGTTACTCGAATACGATGAGAAGATGACCGTATCTGGGCTTCACCGCATGTGCTGCTCATTCGATCGCCAGAGCGGGCAGGCAACAAAGCATTCCTTGTTGAATCAGCTTCAAGAAACAGAAAAGATCCTAGACCATTATCGAGCCGGTCATCGACCTTCACCAATTCGATCTTGTCCTTCATGTGTTCAGAAGCCTACAGAATATGTCCAATCACCAGAAGTTGAAGAGGGCAAAACCCAAAGCAATTTTGTTACTGCTATTGTTGACAACATCATCCATCTTGTAACAGAGAAGGTGGCTCTCACCAGCATTGTTCGAAACGGCACTCCAGTATATGCTGATGTTGGCTACCTTGTTACCAACATCAGCCACAGCAATCAATCGTGGTCGGCTGTAATTGGTTTACATCTACTAAGCCAAGGCTATAAAACTTATATCCATTCAGCTCCCCAGCCGAAGCTAGTCTCAATCTGCCGCATAAAGGCCCTACGACTCGCTCAACAAGCACAGTCTCAAGTCTCGGCGATACTGAACGACAAGTCCTGTTTCCCATGCCGCTGTTCACAGACTCTAGCATACCACTTGCAAAATTTGAACGGCGACCTGACAAACTTTGTGAAGCATAAATGCTGGGATTTATACTTCCAATCACCCTGGGTGGCTGGTAACCACAGTTTGGAAATCCTCGATCTTTGCCACTACTATGGCATGCGACTGTTCAGCTATCGTCACTATGTCGGGGCAGTATTGCACTCGTACAATGTCCTCAAAGAGCTTGCTGGAATGGCACCTATATCCATCCTCGAGAGTCTCTCTGACCAATTTCGAGAAGTCTTTTACCCCGGTGGCAACTGTCCGAAGAGCAGCTTTCGTGCATGCTGGGGCAGATATGTTGGAGCCCGGGTCAAATTCAAAAAGGGCCATAAAAGCAGAAACAGCAGAGATAGTTGGTGCATGGCAATACCTCCACATGCAGCCAGACGCGCGGCGGGCCTGGGAACGAAAAGCGATGTAAGCCAACAGAAAGGTGCTTGCATGCTTATCAAGCTAAAACAACAGGACTACCACGTGAGTGATGAGGACTGGAAAGTGGTGGACCTGACGCTAAAGCCTACCTATAAAGAGAGTGCCAAGCGCCAGCTGCGAGGGGTTACTTTAACAACCGAATCCAGGGATGCCCAAGGACAACTTCTCGATCTGGCAAGAGCACTCGAGCCCTCTTTGACACAGTCCAACGAGAACGCTCTACCCGTGGCACGCCTAAACCTCCTGGCTGTCTTTCAAAGCTGTGTGCGCGTGGTAACCAGGCTATCGGATGAGACGCACACAGGAGCAGACGAAAAGGGCATCAATTGCATCTGCTTTGCCAGCGTGATCCTGACTGGTGCAGATCGCATTGTCGACGGCCGACGGCTAGGGCGGGTCGAAGCGTGGAAGAAAGACGAGAGGGAGTGCATCGATCAGGCGAGCAAGGCGATCAGAGATGTCTTCGGGGATCTCAAACCGGATGAATGGCTGTGGGATATTTGAAGCGCCTCGATCATCCGCGAGTAAGCTTTCTGTTGGCTGTGGTGCGTATGATGATCCTTAGGCCTATCTATCTATCTAGACAATTAGTGAGAGGCAGAGTGGTTTGCCTGAGGTCTTCTCCGTCGAGATGATGTGCCTCCACAAGGAGCTTTCCGACGCTAAGTCTCATCACTGGATTTACTGCGTCATTTCGGAGACCGACACTAGAAGATATGGCGGCAAGATGTAATCAACGTGTCATCGTAAGAGCGCGGAGGAGAACAGCGTCCGCGGCGGCTCGTCGCACTAAGGCCAGGGCGGCCGCCGAGACCCCTATTTGCGTCAGCCTTGTCTCCAAAACTGGCACTTCCAAGGATCCCCTCACATATGACATGGTCAAACCTCTGCATGACGAACTTCTCTGATCACTTCGCACTACCAAAAGTTCTAGGATTACAAGAATATGGAATGTTCGAAAAAACGTACAACGCGAGCAGACCACCAACCTTCCCCCCCCCCCGACCGCCTCACTACTGACGATGCATGAACAATGTGCAGAACACTGAGACTCCACCAAGAAAAACCCCGACCTCAATACGCCGGCGCGGGCGTGAGTCTTAATAAAACACTCTCCCCCTCATCCAAATCAAAGCTCAACTCCCCATCGACACCAACCGTACCACTCGCCCCATCCCAGATACTCCGCCAGAGCCAGGCCTTGCCATCGATGCCCAGATCCTCCAACGTGACATTCACATTCTGCACACCAGGCAAGGGCTGACCGAATCCGCCATCGCCCTCGTCAGGTCCGTAATTGGCCATTATGACGACGGCCTCGCCAGCCTGGTCATCAGAGGGCCCCGCGATCCACGCTTGAAGCTGCTGCGCGCTGGTGCCGCCGGTGCCAGGGTTGCGAGGCTGGACCGGGTATTTGGCCGTGAAGTCTGCAACAGCCATGGCCTGCGGATTCGTGAGTAGATTGCGCCCAAGAGTATCCAGGCTGGTCAGGTCCGAGCCCGTGATCAGGTTCGCAGCCGTGCCGATCCAGTGGGTCATGATGGTCTGGCGCTGTGCGTCTGAGACACCCGTCGTTGCTTCCGGGTTGCCCACATTCACGTTGTCCAAGTCCGGGTAGATCGACAGCGGTTCGTTCTTGGGGATCTGGAGCTCGATGTACTGTCGGTAGTTGTCGATGGCTCGTTGTACGGTCTTCCAGTGGATGAAGGTTGCTTCTCCTTGGTTATTGAGGTCTTGGTCTGTCCGGAACGAGTCGGCGTTGGCCTTCCAGATGTTGTAGTACGGGTCACTTCGATCGAGTTTCCATGAGATATCGAGGCGCATCGGCCGCCCGACTTTTTGGATGGCGTTGTGGTATTGGACCACTTGGCCGCTCGTGTCCGGACTCAAATGCCCTCCATTATCAGGGCTGCCTGGTGTGACAAAATCGAGTTTGATCTGAACTCGGCACCGTGGTTAGCGATTTTGGTCGAGAGGCAGAGCTATCGCACGTAGCTACCGGGCTTCAGAAGCTGGTGGCCAGGACGAGGAGAAACAAAGAAATTGAGAGCAGTCCACTTACAAAGTCAACACCCCATTCAGCGAATAGCTCAATGATGCTATCATGCCACTCTTGAGAGCCGTCCTTGGCCGTGTCAATATCGCAGCGAAGGAATCCATTGTCGTTGCCATTCCAGATGCTGCCCAGCGGGATATCAGTGCCAATGATGGTCTTGTTTGCATCTGAACAAAAGAACCCTGGCAGGATGTACACCCCAAGTGAGAGACCCCGGCCATGTAACCAGTCACCGAGCTCTGGAAGGTCGAATGTGGCAGCGTTGTAGAGGATGCGGCCATTCTCGTCTCCGCCGTCCTGCGACCATCCCGAATCGAGACTGCAATACTTGTACCCCGCTGCTTGGAAATCGGGCTGTCCAAGGACACCGCATTGAGCTTTCACGTTGGACTCGTCAAAGCCGGTCCAGCTCGGAGTGGTTAGAGGATTGGCCTGGATCGGCCACGTATTGAAGCCTCTCGGAGCATTGTAAAAGCCGTTGGGCGTAGTAGTATACTTCAAGACGTTCAAGCCTGCTGCACTAGTGACTGCTGTTGCAGCGAAAAATATAGCACGTGAGAACGTCATATTGACGGTTCCTTTCTAGGAGGAGTTGATGAGAAAAATCGATTTGTCCATTGTGCCCGTCTTTCTAGCATCTATATACGCCCTACAGGACATCTTGCTCCTTGGATCAATCTGTTACGAGGAAATGGCCGAGTACAGTTAGCAAGCAAGTGAGATGGGTAGATGAAGTTTCGGAGATTAAAGAGAGACACAAGCCATCTAGTCAAGGTCGTTGCAATGTTGATAGAAGCGGCTTGTGGTGTATGCATTGGAGATTCCCGTAGGACGCCATCTTGGTGATTGAGCCTGGAGGTGGATGAAACATCGCGGGCTCTGCAACTGGCATAGTCACGGAGAAAATTTCCTCCTTGGGATGAAATGCTGCTAGGGCATTAGGCGAAGGACGAACTGTTGCCATGCTTGGAAAAGTCCATTGAAGATCAAATACAATTTATGCTATGTGGGATCATCCGGGGCTGCTCCATGCATGAGGATGGGACGAATGAAGCCATTCCGCTTGTAGCAAAAGGTGTTCCACCATGTAAGCCTGGGGAGACCTAGGGTGCGGGTTATGACAGGAAAACCCCTGGAAAGCCAAGGAGGTGCCTGGTCGGTACTCTGCTGGTGAACGTAAACGAGATGTTGACATGCTGAAGCCTAACCCTAATATCATGTCCCATAGGTGGGTCAACAACGTGTGTAAGTCCTATGGGAGCGTAGCCGTCTTCCCAGCTCCTCCATTTGACTATCCTTCAATTTGCGCAATTACGCTCGTCTAAATAGCCTAGTATTTGCAATCTGTGGTTCACATCTCACAATTCATCTCGACGTCTATCCTGTGCCCGTAAGCGAAACATTCGAACTCCATGTGCCGGAACGTCAGCTTCAAGGGTCCCTTCTGGCTGGAGAATGTCTTCGTGCGTGCCCATCAGAGCGACGTTGTCCGCCTGAGGCCAACCCTTGTATCCATTGGCAGTGGCATTCCATCTCGCTCTTTCGGGAACGGTGCCATTCTGATTAATAATGTTCTGGGCAGTTTGACGGTCCATCCTAGCGCCCCAGAGATCGTACACATCCCATACGTACTGCGCCTGAGGAGCAGTCCCACGTCGTCCGAAGTCGAACCATATCTGCTCCGATGTTGCGTTCATCCGCAAAGGCGAACTCCCCGAGTTAAGGAACAATACGAGCATATCAAAACCAAATGGCTCTGGAGGCCCCATCAATTGGCTTGTCCATAACTGAATCTCTCCGGGACCATGTTCATCTCCTAGAGAAAGAACCTTAGCTGGAGACATATCGTATGGATGAATGAGACATACCATCAACATAGTATCGCCAGCGACGATTCGCGCCCTGTCCCAATTCGTCCTGGCTCACTTGAATGACCGCACTATTTTGTAATAATGATAGGGTGTCGGGGTCAATTCTGCGGAGATCATTGCTGAGGATGAAAGGAGATTTGACGGCAGCCCATACGGAAAACTGCAATTTGTACTCTATGGTACCAGTCAGCTGTGAATCAGATCAAGTCGGGATAGTTAATGGTTCCATTTCAAAGGTTGCGGAGAAAGGCCCTGTCTACTGATACCAACATATTGGATGACATACCTTCATCAGCCATCCCCCCTTGGCCAGCCTCTGTTTCACCATATCAGTCATGTATGATTCCAAGCTGTGTCTGCACTCACGGAGCATATCAAGGTCGTTCCAGTTGCCTATTCCGCCCTTGGAGATGAAATATGCCACTTTGTTGATCACATTCATGACCGAACAGTAATATCCTGCCACCTTACAATCCAAACCCTCCTACAAACCATCAAATTAGTACCAAGGATAGGCGTGATTTGCAACGATATCAAGTCATTATGTGGCCCTATCACTCCACGTGCAAAGGCTTGAACCTGAGGACATCATAATGGGGCATTAACTTTTGGGGTTGAAGGAACAGTTGGAAATCATACCTTTTCGGAGCAAGGGCATCTTGGGTCTTCTCGATTGAACATGTCGAAAACATCACCTTGAATGATATTCAGCTCCTTCCCCGGGGCGGAAAGTGGTATAAATTGAACCAACCTGACATTCTCCATGAATGTGCCACGCTTTGTGCCCATGCCCAGGGATAGTCTTCACCCCAATTGCACATGGAGTACAGCATTGGACGCCCAGTTGCATTCAAAGCATTTCCCATACGTTTGAATCGAGTAGCTGAAATCTCTGGGGTTCCCGCAAAGCCATCGTGATTGCAATTGTCATATTTGACATAGTCAATCTGTAGACAATCAGCGGACAGCATGATCAAGGACCCAAAGGCACCATCTAACACCCCAGGACGCCCATGTCTTCGCGTCGATCTCTTCGTGGCCCAAAGATCCTGCATATCCCCCACAAGTCCAATTTCCAGCGTCGCCATAAATGCCAGCCTTGAGACCCAAATTGTGGATCCTGTCAGTGACATCTTGCATACCATTTGGAAACTTCGTAGTGTTGACTTGGAGATTTCCACTTGAATTCCGACCGTCCGACCCTGTGGGACACATTGGTAAGCTTCTCTCGGGTCAAATTTATAGTTTTAGTCCGTCGGTTGGTAAGGAGGATCCCGAGTTGAATGTGAAATACGTAGTCAAGGGGTGTTGTTATTTACAGCAGTCATCAATCAAGACATATTCATAGCCCAGATCCTTGAATCCGTAGTCGACGATTAGGTTGGCCATGGACAGGATGACTTCCTCGGAAATGTTGCAGTAGAAAGAATACCACGTGTTCTGCAAGTGTCAGCGAGGGTTAGAGCCTGTTGTCGAATGCTGTGTCCCACCCATCCCATCTGAGGTGTACGGGCCAATCCATCCTTTAAACCCTCTACAGGTGGTACTGAAGCAAGGAGTGGTAACAGAAGGCCGGTAAGCACGGAAGTCAAGCGGGCTGCTCCAGCGAAAGCCTGTTGGCTGAACTGTGTCATAATGGCGAGGATGACTTAGAGACAATAATCTCGAGATTTCCATGACATCCTTCACTTTCGAGCACTGACCGGCGTACACACTAATTTATACCTCCATCTTGCGGTGAGGTCGGAACAGCCTCGTCGCTTTGCTAGTCTCTCTCCAGGAGATGCCCCTCCCGAAATCCAGTGATGCTGGCAAAGACCAGCAAGCAAGTACTGTGCAATCCACAACTCTAGCTTCATGCCCTAACCGGTATTCTAGAAAGGTTTTGGCAGCCGATGATCTTATTCGGCTAAGGGTGATCAATATTGCGGGGAGATCTTCGTCCCAATGGGTGGGCTTGGGGAGGCACTGTGTGCGGGATTTGTTGCTACAATCGACTGCGGATAAGCTAAACATCCCGGAGTGAGAAATAGTACCCCAAATTGGGTCAATTAATTAGAGAGGTCATTAGAATTTGCATTTGGTATGGCTGCATGCGGATCCGTGTCGGCAGTGATGCACGTGGCATCTTTAGGCGGGTCAGTTGAAAGCTGCCTTTGCCCGTGGATTTGCGTGGCAATTTGGTATACAAGCCCTAGTAGTTGTGCCACAAACTCGAAGTCTGCTTCTGCGGAGTGAGATCAGTGCTGCTAGCTTGTCCATCCCCAAACTTGCTTTACCATCGTTTGGGTGTTAACAGTAGGCCATCCATGAAGGCGTTCAGTTCGGATCAGTACTTCGAGCAATCGTTCTTGCTCCTGTCGTAAAGTGAAGAGATCTCCACCTAGCCCGATGATAAGCCACTTTATACCATTGATGAACATGTGAATACGCACAAAGATTGATTGCCATGCAGGCAACAAATATTGCGGGAGAGGTAGCGTGATTGGATAGTCCTACGCCGCAAAGAGTCCAAACATCTTTTTTGACTGCGGACTCAAAGTAAAAGTCAGTCCTTTTTGACTGTAATCTGGACCTGTAGACTTACTTCAACTTTCATGATCGCGGCTCTGTGGGCTGGCCCAACTCTTGGGATACCCGGGTCATACACCAAAAGCAGAATATGTGCGAGTGTTAGGTATTGATAACCCATGACTGTGAGCGTGAGTTCGATCACCTTAGCCGAGTAAACTGAGACTTACCGTGCCAATCCATGTGATATCTAATATCTGGGAAGTCGACGGACTCAGGCGAGACCGATGCTGTTGAAAACCAAGGATCAAATGAAACAGGACGAATGACTCGCCATCTTTGATTGAAATTCATCAACGCGTGATGTAAAGAAACAGCCCGAGAGCCTTGTCCAAACGAGAAATCCAATACTTCTGCACAATGTGCGATGGCCATATTGGCCCAAGCGCAGTCATCGCTGCGGTCGATTGCTGGGGGATGACCTTGTTGCTCAAGACCTGGCCGAAATGCTGGTGCACGCTGTAAGGTCGCCGAAATATAGATTTCCTGGCGGACACCTGCCCAGTACGCAGCTTGGCGAAGGCCAGCTGCCCTGGGGTAATCTTCTTGCGACTTGATGAAGGATTGAGTGCCTATGGAATGCCCTTGAAGGTCCGAGCCGACGAGAGGAACTATTGCATTTAGGTCAAATTTTCTTGCAATTTTTGGAGAAATCTTACCATCAAACTCCTCTAAGAGCCTAAGGACTACAGTTGCGGCTAGGAGATTATCATCGCTGGATGCCTCTTGGTCATCAAGTGCTGGTATCAATGTTTTGAGACATTCCTGATAGTAATGGTCGGAAATGTAAGGGTCAAATTTGGCAACTCGACTCATGTGTCTTGCAGACAGTGCCAAAATCGCGTTGAAGAGTGTAGCGGATTGTTTTGCTCTTTGGGGAACATCCACTGCGAAGTGCCGTTGTCGATCACAGAAATCGAACTGCAGACAAGACATCAGTACAAGGCCACAGTCGGAAATAACTGCCATGGCCTGTGTCTTACAAACGGGGAAATCTTCTCAACAAAATGCTGAAGGAGTGTGGCCTGCTGTAGCTCTAGCCTTGGTACTTGCGAGCTGAACCTTGGTCGTTCAGGGGCCCCAGACCAAGATTGCTCTTGTGAAATTGATGCAACAGGCGCTCCTTCCAGGCGGGCAGGTAAGTCCTCGGCGGCAAATGCAATGAGTTTCCCGGCCGGACGAGGCTCCAATCGTTCAGGCCCAATTCTAAGGACCAGCTCACTATCACCAACATCCGATGCACCTGTAGATTTAGGTGAGATGTCACCGTCCGGTGGATGCTGCTCCGCCGCTTCGATTACTTGGTGTGTCAGTTGAGTCTCACAAGTGCTGTTTTGGCTGCTAGTAAGTATGCGGAACCCATCAGCTGTCTCCGAAGTCTGGTCAATGAATTGCACTAAAATAAGATATTAGTACCATGTCAAGCGACCTGTTAGAGAACATAGTATCCCACCTCTTGGGGGGTAATTCAACCAGACTTGATTTGGTGGAAATCGAGTTTGACTGCGTTGTCCATCGGCACGAAAACGAACAGTGCGCGATCGTATGCACTTGGAGCCAAGGCCTGTCAACTCATGCAATATCCTGTGGGTTGGTCGAATTCTGACCTTCCTTCCCGCTCGCTTGCATCTATAACAATCAAGGTAATCTCCATCACCTGGGAATACTCAGCCTCGGCCTGATCGATATGTCTTGGTACGTACACTTGTAATGGCGCAGACGACAAGGATCACTGTCGCCCAATGAGTGCCGACCCTAAGAGTATCTTTGGCTGTTGGACGTACCAGCATGTAGCCTTGGAAGGGACGTTGAACATTACTGTATAGGGATTGTACGCATTTTGGCTCAGTGAAATATCAGGTCGGATGGGTTGGAACGAGTTCGTGGTTCGGAGAAAGTAGCCCTGATTTAAAGAGGTGGAATGGCCAAAAGCCAGACTTCAGGCCTTGCCCCTTTTTGGTGGATACTTAACCCAGTTAGGTCCCCAACGGGTAAGAACACCTTGTATAGGTGCCCACTGGGCCACTAACCGTTAGTTAAGCACCCCCCGCACAAGAGGCACTCAGAGGAAGCCACCGAGGTCATTACCGAGAACAACCCCCCTCCCCACCCCCAGATTCTTGGTCTTAGCTCTGGGCTCCTTTCCTTCTCTTCCAGCCCTAGCTTGATGCATAAGGAGTATTTTGAATGAGGAACAAGCCTGCCTTAGCACAGCCACCCCCAGTGTAACCCAATGCAAGAGGGGAGTATTCCCCAGTCGTTCCTGCCCTCTAACCATTTGTGGAACCTTTACCTGCCGATCCAGGGAGTCACCGTTGGCCTTGGGGATTTGGAGAAGGCGCGGCCGTCCCGTTATCACTGCGAGATACTCTGTACCCATGTCTTGTTATGTCTCTACTCAGCAGGATCTCTACCGGCCATTTGCACCAGTCTCTCTTCAGGCCCACATCAACATTCGGGATTTATTGCCTATCACAATGCAACATTACCCCTTGGTGGGGTTCAGACCATAGTTCATGAAAACATATCTGGCTTCAAGCCTACAAAGGTACGACAACCGATCCTCCAGCATCAAATTCAACGAGAGACAAGGCAGCCCTTCTGACCATCATGCAGGTCACAAATGTTTACGCCATCTGTGCTTTTGCGGCCATTGGGGGTGGGTTGTTTGGCTTCGATCTGTCTTCGATGTCAGGAGTTCTAGGGACACAGGCCTACATTCGCTACTTTGACAACCCGCAATCGTAGGTCTTCCTGTCTCTGCGGCTCTTTCGAATATCTTTTTTGACTGTAACCAGGTATCGTCAGGGAGGGATCACAGCCTCGATGCCCGCCGGCTCCTTTGTCGGCTCCTTGCTCTCATCATTTATCGCCGATAGGTTCTCCCGTCGAAGCGCAATTCAATATGCTGCCTTGATCTGGATTGTTGGAGCTATGTGAGATCACTACCTCGACACTGTAGCGATATCCTAACAGCATCATGATAGTATTCAATGCGCCAGTCAAAATGTCGCAATGCTCGTGGTTGGTCGAGTGATTGCAGGGATAAGTATTGGAATGGCATCTTCGATAGTGTAAGTGAAATCTGAGTATCTTGACCGGTCGCCTTCATAGCCTGATAGCACCTACAGTCCGATATACCAGTCTGAAATTGCACCGAAGGAAATCCGTGGGCGCATCGTGTCTCTGCAACAGTGGGCCATAACCTGGGGCATCCTTATTCAATATTATATCCAATACGGAGCCTCCTTTACCGGTGGGGGAATTGACAATCCAAACCAAGGAACCCAGGCTTTCCGTATACCCTGGGGCGTGCAAGCCGTCCCCGGAGTTCTGCTCTATTTTGGTCTCTTCTTCTTCCCACGCAGCCCTCGATGGTTGGCGAGCAAAGATCGGTGGGAAGAAGCCCTCAAAGTCCTTGCAGATCTTCATGGGAAAGGGGATGTGAATCACCCCAAAGTACTTGCCGAATACACGGAGATACAAGAAGCTCTGCAATTTGAACGGGAGATGGCACAGTCTAGTTTCAAAGCTTTGATTGCTCCGAAGATGGCCAAGCGAGTCTTTCTTGGTATGTCAGTCCAGATGTGGTCACAGCTATCCGGTAAGTCCACGAATGACGAAAGCCGTCAATTTCATACTACTCAAGGTTACCTCGTCCTATACTAATCGATATCCTGGCTAAGGTATGAACGTTATGATGTACTACATCGTCTGTGAGTCATGTTGAATGATCCTTGACTCTGTGAGTGCCCCAGACTGATGATCTCTTCACACAGATGTTTTCCAAGGCGCGGGAGTCAATGATCCCCTGCTCATAGCTTCTATTCAGTATGTGATCAACGTCGCAATGACACTCCCTGCCATTATCTACATAGATCGCTGGGGACGTCGCCCCACTCTGATCCTCGGATCAATTGGTATGATGATATTCCTGTTCATCAACGGCGCTATTCAAGGAGCTTTTGGTGAGCCCAACGTGCATCCAACAGCCCTCAACTCCGCCGTCACATGGATACTAGTCGACAAGAATTCACAGGCAAAAGCCGTCATCGCCTGCTCATATATCTTCGTCGCGATCTTTGCAACTTCTTGGGGTCCAGTCAGTTGGACTTATCCATCAGAGATCTATCCTGCCCAAGTAAGGGCCAAGGCAGTGTCGTTGGCGACGGCGTCCTGCTGGGGCTGGAATACAGGTTTAGCATTCTCTGTGCCTCCATTACTTCGCGCTATTAATTGGAAGGTACGTCAGTCATGAATCTTTTAAAGTCTTCCAAAGCACATCAGATTCCCCAACCCCTGTCGCCCGTGCCAATATTAGAAGCTGAAGTCACGTCGAAATAGATGTATATGCTCTTTGCCACCTTCAATGGCCTGGCTTCTATCCACATGGCTCTGGCCGCACCAGAGACCAAGGGCAAGACGCTAGAAGAGATGGACGAACTCTTTGAGTCAGGTCGTCCTGCATGGAAAACGGTCAAGGGCTCTAAACTTGACGAGATTACCCGCAAGATTGAGGAAGGCAATCTCAAAATCGACGTTCCTGGCCATGTCGAATCAGTTCACGCGCCTTCGAAAGAATGACTGAGTGTGGGGGCTTGGATATCGTAGTCGGATGAGAATTGACGGTGTTCGCTCGTAGCTGGCATTAGCTCAGGGTCAAGGTCCAAGAGACAAGAAGGTTTGAAACGGAGACGTTTCGTGCTGAGGTGATGACGGTGGGCATTGCAAGAAGGCTGAGGTGGAGGTTTTGAAAAGGGAAAGATCCAGTGCAAGTTCACGTCCTTCAGGCTAGCATCGTTTAGATGGATCTAAGATCATACTTGAATTCACACGAGCTTAACTCTAGGCCTTGGAAAACAAATCTAATGATTGAATTTTCATCACCCTGGACTTCCCCTTGCAAGGACCAAGAGCCTGTTCAAAACTCGTCACCGACAAAATACAAGGTGATGATTCGACCAACGAGTCTGGCTCATGGAATTAAGGCGCTCGTGCGAAATCAGTAATCTCAAACTTCGTCGAGCCCTCCACTTATTGTTGTCTATCTAGGTAGGTAACTAAGCTCACCCCCAAGTCTCAAGAAACACACACCTACGTACACGGTACAACCTTCGGGGCTCACGCACACAGCCTTGCAAAGCGGCCCCGAACGTATCAGCCAACATTAACCGGGGGGGGCTCCGAGCCGTTACACACCCACACACCTAGTTAAACACCATCACCAACAGTGTAGACATTCATCCACCTCGCATCAAAGCTGCGTCTGGAATCACAAAACCTCAGATCCGTCGCGAGGCGAATAACGCCGTCCTTGTCGTGATTGACCGTCGAAGCGTGGATGGTGTACGGGGAGTGGAAGACGACGTCGCCTGCCTCGAAGGCGCTGACGAGCCAAGGCCGGCCGTGCTGGCGCGAGAACTCGAGTGGGTTCTCTGAGATGAGACCCGTCGACATCATGTTTTGGTTGAATGCGGATTTCGCTTCTTCGGCGCTGAGGCCTGTTGAGAGCGCTTTGGTCGTGAAGGATTCTTCGAGAGCACGGCCGATTGGTGTGCCTTTTAAGAGAAAACGGGGAGGGAGCGATGGTCAGTAACTGAGGCAAGATTGGGACACCACGAAGCGGATTGGCGTGGCGATCATGACTGAACCACTTTGTGGAACTTACTGTCTTGGAGATAAATAAGGCCGCCCCCGTCCAGCGCGACATCACCAATGGGCACCCAGGCGGTGATGTTACTCTCGTCGCCGTGGCGCAAGAAGATCTGATCGTAGTGGACGCCAATAGGCTTCGTCCCAGGCACGTTGTTCCGCAGGAGGGAGCGCTTCAACGGCAAGGTCGCGTCCCCCCAGCCAGTAAGCTCCGCGACGAAGCTCAACAGCGCGGGATGCTTGCAGAAGACGTCGGCGTACCAGGGCTCCGAGTGCGCCTGGAGCGCGAGATCGACGAACAGCGCCGCAGCGCGTTCGTCGCCCGGTCGTCCGTTCATGCCTGAGGAGCCCGCGCCGACGCCTGGGAACTCTTCGGGCGTGCGCTCGCTGCGGTTGAACCGGCCTTCCTCCACTGCCGTTCCGGGTTCCAGAACGCCTGTTGGGACCATCATTTGGAAGTACGCTGAGCGCGCTTTCAGCACGTCTTCTCGCGGCAGCAGGTTCTTCACCAGCAGGTACCCGTCGCGGCGGTAGCGGTGGAGGAGTTCGGAGGTCGGGAGGTTGGTTGTCGATGGTGTGAGCTGGCCTATGTCTTCTGCGGTCAGTGGGCCGTCGTTGACGGCCAGCTCGGGCATTGGTTCCAGGCTTCCCATTTTCCTGGACAAAAAGTTTCGCGAAACCCACCAGGGATTTGGTGGCTCTTGGATGTGTTGGAGCAATGTGTAGAGACAAGATATGGTCTCGATGTCGTGCCCCTCTGGGTGTGCAATGTCTTCGTCTTTTGTTCTCGTCCCACGTTGTATTGATGCAATCACAAGAGTGGGCTCCTTCGAAAAGTTCTTTCCCGTCTTCCTCTGCGACACAGGGTTACCTACCTGGATCCACGAGCAGGAGCAATCAAACACCGAAAGAGCCTAAAGTCGACGTTTGAGTGGTACTCATCCGTTGCGAATTCAAATCGGATCGGCGAACATACTGGAGTGTCTGATGCAGAGTTATCCAGCTTCATTTCTCGTCACTAGGCTGATTTAGAAGGTCCCCGGGATTAATTTCCATTTGGAGTCGACATCAAGTTAAAGGCCCCGAGCATGCAGCGTGGAGACGCGGAAATTTAAACCCTGACATATTTGGGCCCTCAAAAGGCAGACTGCCCAAAATGGAGATAGGGCAGGGGTCGGCCATGTTTGCTCGATGTAACATTTATTCATCGGTGCTCAATACCTTCTAGGTCGTCTTCCTCTTATGTCTGAAAGGAAAGGAACCTGCATATCTGGGGCATTGTTGTGGCTAAGAGTGTGTTCAGAGTGCGTGCTCCAAAGGAAAGGATGGTGGGAGCATTGATCGCTGTTCACCTTGGTACATATCTCTCGATTGAGAATTAGCGATAAGCTCGCTGGCAGGGGTAGAGCTCGCGGCATTGTTGTAGAATTGTGGCCTGGGAAATTAAGGTTCATACAGCAAAGACAAAGACTGTGAGAAGAGTGCGGCAGATATTACAGTTTCGAAGAATGCATGGTTTCATCTGTCTCTGGAACTGAAGGCGTCTAGTTGATTTTCTCTTCGAATGATAGATAAGCGCCACTTAATACGACATAGACTCCGCACAATCTGCAACGGGCTACTCAAACCCTACTTAGGGCGTGATATCGATCAAGAATCATTTGACCCCATCAACCCAACGGTCAAGCCCTTCATTCGCCGCTTGAGAAGATCCTCCTCACTGCCGAGAGAGATTAGACTTTTGCTTCGCTCCGGATTGGATTTGTCTTCTGCCTTTAAGCCTCCTTGAGGAGCGCCATTTAACTTGGGTGGGGACCGATTGACATAGTCGGATCTCAAACTCGACATAGCTAATGGAGCATCATCGTCAATACTCTCCCCTGTCATTGTCCGGCGATGGTGTCGAAGTTGGGTTGTTGCTAATTCTAGGTTGCTTCCAATAGAAGCGCCATTAGTTAGGGTCCTAGAACGAAGCCTGGATTCAATGGCTGGCCCCTCAAAAGCATGAGGAGGTTGACTGAAAATCTGTTGAATCCAACCTCCGCAACGGAAGATGTGGTTCCAGCCTTCAGGGAAAATAGAGACAAATTGTACGAAGCCATGGGAGATACCAGGAATGAGAGCTACCTCCACGTGATCCTTTTCGTCGAACTCAGCGGTTGACTTTTCAAGCCCGACTTCTTGACGCTCCTGGAAGAGATGCAATTTGGCCTGTCGTAGTCTTCCGGCAAAAATGACAGTATCGTCCACCAAAGGATCTCGCTCACCGGTCAAGAAGTAAGTCTTCGGGAATTTGGCAAGGAGATTTTCTGGTGCAACAGCTGGACAAAGAAGGTGGTCTGTGGTGAAATCGGGACGATTAAAGGGTCCGACGTACAAAATGATCATGGCACGCATCATTTCCGGAGTTAGAATCCGATCGCCGAAATAAGAGATGATGGAGGACACCGCCAGTCTTGTTCTGAGTGGTTGGGGTTTAGACTCTGCGACGGCTTGTCTCTGTGCCTTGATGTCTGTATCAACCCGTTGAAGGGTAGGCTTTTCTTGAGGGTCTTCTTCTCTGGTGGCGAAGAAGTCGTGGTTGGGATTATCTTCGCCCTCATCCGAAGGCTTCGGCGTTGTACGTGTATAACGCCTGTCAATATCTTCACTCTTCCTCTTGATGAAGGTCTCGTATTTCTTCGATGTTCTGGGATTTCTAATCAAAGCCATCTGATCATCCGTCATCCAACTGCCAATATTCATGTCCAAGGCAGGATACATCAAAACCAGTCCAGCTGGAGATGGAAGGAGACCGCGAGTCGGGCTGGCCTGATTTGATTGGATAATCATCAAAGCTGTTCCTGTAGCCAGATTCCCACCTGCACTGTCTCCCGTAAGGACTATCCGTGGACAAGAGTCTGGCTTCATGCCAATGCAGCGGCCTCGAGTGGCAACAATTTGGGCGTAGACGTCGAAGCACTCGTTCAAAGCGTATGGATAGGGATACTCCGGTGCTTTCCGATAGTCCAGACTCAAAATAGGGAGACCTGTTTTTCCAGCCCATGCCAATAGCTTATCATCACTGGTTCTCGGATCCATAGCGACGAAGCCTCCACCTGGAACGTCCAGTACCAGATTTTGCTGCTTCTCGAGCTCGGCGAGGGAGCCATCGAAGTACATCCAAGCAACCACCGGCTCTTTATATGCAGAGGCTCTTGGTCGAGGGATCCGGATGCGACGGGGTTTATATTTGGTAAAGCGGGGACGCATGAGAGCCGTAAACCATTGCAAATAGGGGGTGTTTGGTTTGTTCCAGGCCACTCGCAGATGGTCCACCGTCAGAACGGCGCGGATTTTCCGAACCTTTTCATCTGCTTGTTCAGCGGCAATGAGGTAATATACAGTAAAAATGATGGAAGCCAGATCTCTAACTCTTTTGTTTCGAATCTTCATGGCGCTCCAAAAGCCGGCATCTAGTGCAGTGGTGATCCATGTTGCTCGGAAATATGATCTATTGTACAGATTGGCCAGCGGCTCAGGTGACTCTAGGCCGACGATTTTCGCGAAATTGCGACATATGTAAAGCCAAAGGAGAGTGAGAACAACAGATTGCCATGGGGTGGATCGTTTTGACAATTTCTGCGATAGGTTTCGTAGGATCGGAGGGCCGTGTCGATCGCCTCTTGTAATTGTAAGCCATGAGTATGCCGCCTAGAAAGGGAGCATACCTCAATAAGTAGAGCGACCAAAAGGAGACCACAGCAAAGACCTGGACTTTGCGGAATTGGGAGGAAGGCCGTCCGAGTACATGGTCTGGTCAACATCAGATGTATGAATGGGCATCGGTGAGCATGGGAAAGATACCTATCATGGTTGTTGTACAGAGGACTGGACAAGCTGAATTCAAGGTTGATGGACAGTCGGATTAAGGAACCGCAGAATAATGCAAAGCCATGTCAAGCACAGACGTTTTATGATTGAAGCCTAGTACTAGTGGTCATACAGCAAAAGGAACTCGACGTTGACCAGAGTATCGAACGAAAGAGAGGTGCTTTCATTCATGTGTTTGCAGTCCGGCTGGACTGGACGTGTGACCTCGTAGTGGTACCCATACGAAGCATGGTGACAATGGTGGACGCGGGATCTGACGTTGGCCCTGAGGGAATTGGAGGGGTGGTAGAACCGCGTACAAAAGGATGAGGGCGGAGTGCCGAAAGCATGTGAAAAAACAATCCGAGTCAAGGCCAGGCAAAACAGCCACATGCTTCTATTTTCGGGATCAGGTGACGACATGGTGCTTTGACACGTGACACAATAAGCCAACTACATAGATACCTATGGGTATTCATTACTATCGACGTCAGCTACTGCTATGCCTGTTCTCCCAACATAATCCTACACTGGTTCCTTTCTTTGTTAGCTGTCTTGCCACAGTGTTCCATGGTCAGCTATGGTCACTGTGTTCAACTGGCCAGTATATTTATCACTTGAGTCTTGAACCAAATCTTGGTCACTCGGCTCAGCTCGGTGGCTGTGTCTTTGCGGGTAAAGTCTGACTGGCCATGGTCGTGAATCTGGTTCCCCAGGTTTCCTCGGTGGAGAAGGTAGTGAAGAGAGAATCGAAGGATGCTCTCACTTACTCGGAGGGTGTCAAGTGAAAGGCATATGGTCTCGAATCCATCCTGACACTCCCCCACTGGCCTGATTTCTACTTGCTCCATTGCTTCCACTGCCACTCCCCGATCTGTGCCTTCGCACGTCATGGCTACTTGAAGGTTGAATGGTCTCGGGTCGGTCCATTTGACTCCCGCGTGGACTTCCATAATATTGCCGCCTCGCTTCTCGAAGCTCACTGGGGCTCTCAGGTATGTGGATGGGATTGTATCTGGAGCCTTCTACTGGTGGTGCTCGCGGACTTGAAACTGAGGATGCTCGTCGACTGGCACTTCGCCTCGATGGTCCGGACTGTCGGTTCTGGTTCTGGTTCTGATCGCGTGGGGAAATAGGACTTCGACAGTGTGGACAAGTATCATGCTCCTTCAGCCACGCGGTCACACAATCACCATGAAACCAGTGTTTGCACGGTAGGACTGTAACCTCCTGGCCCAGGACAACGTCATCCATACAGATCGAGCATTCTGCATTGCCTTCTGCCCCCAACATCTCCTGGTCAACCTTTTTCTTCTCCAGTGATTGTATGGCTTCTTCCGATGCAGGTGGGGGAGCGTTACTCCCACCATTCTGCTCCATTAGCTGTGACATAACTCGATCGAAGGCGTCCTGAGAGAAGACCATGTCTCCCTGACGTCCGGTACCACCATTGAAGATTTGATTAAGAAGGTCGAATGGATGTTGGGGATGATCCTGACCCCGGAATCCATCATTATCAGGGTGCATTTGTTGGCCGGGGCCAGCGCCAGCCGGTTGCATTGACTGCAAGATCATCGAGAACAGGCTGTGGACATTAGCTTCAGAGAAGTGTAATCAGTATCTCATCATCGACCTACTCTTGTAAGTTGCCTGCTTGAGCAGGTGCGTGCGGATCTCTCCCTGCAAAGCCACCAAAACCAGGCTGTTGAGGTCCCGGGAAGACGAAGGGCGAGAATGCCCCGAACGGAGGAGGGATAGCTCGAGCCTGAGAGACAGAGGTACAGGTTAGCATGCTCGACAGAAGGCTGACGATGGAGTCATTACGTTCGGCCCGGTCCCACTTGTTCTGAACGATCTCGTACTAAAAGATATTCTACCACCTCCGCCATTGCTGGCGAATTCGAAGGTGGTGAAGTTATTCCGCGGATCAGGGTCAAGCTCGTCGTGGTGGAGAGCATTATCCCAAGGATTATGATCGAACAAAGGGCGCAGGGGAGGGGAGGGTGGCAGCGAAGGAGATCTGGGGGCGTTATCGAATTCTAGAGATGAGGTGGTGCCCGGTTCGAGCTGGAGAGAGGTGCGTTAACGTAGGACTTGAGAATGAGAGGTGGTGGACTCGACGTACGACTTCTGTAAATTCCCCATCACAGCGAGGACATATTAAGCCACCGTGAGCGCGATCCCATTCATTGTTGCACTGATGGCAGAAAACCCTTTCGCCATGTGGCCGAGAGTCGGCCATTATGATGACGAAACACAAGCGGTGCTCGGTACGCTCAAGGGCGCATTGAAGAGTAGGGTTGGAGTTGTTGTGCTACGTGATGGCGAATGGGTGCGGCTGCGTCATGCACCGGTCGCAGTGGGGCGAAAGGTAATGAGCAGCTAGGTAGTAATCGGACCGGGTTTAGGAGTGGAAGTAATTGAGATGGAAGAGTCCGTGGGCGTGGCGACGGCCGTTGAATGATGTTGTGATGGGTGAGCGTTGAATGAGAAAGAAATATGATTAATCAAGGTCCCAAGAGTACGAAGAACTTGAAAGAAGAATATGAATAGAAAGATGATCAAAACTCCAGGCCAAAGAACAAAAGGATAGATGGCACACGCTGTTGTCACCGCGACTCGGTTCACTGGGCTGCCACCTGACCACCTGACGACAGTACAGTTTGGTGATGCTGGTGATTACAAGTAGAACAACTTAAACGAAGAAGCAGAACCAGAGATGCGTTGGGTTGACGTATGTCTGCAGTCTAAGGCACAAGTGAGGCACCGAGGGACGAGCACCTGGGACAGAGGGATGGATTCGGAGTACGGAGCAATTACTGGACGTGCTGCGTAATGTTGCCACTTTTCCTGTATCGATAACAGCCTTGCTTCCAGACTCACATACAGGAGTGCTGTCCGGAGTACTGTACGGAGTATGTACGGAGTAAAAGCTACCACTAATACGGAGGACCACTGGTCCCAGTTCCCAGTCCCCAGTCCCCTAGACCAAAAGCTGGCGTTAAGGTTGCGGAGCATGGCCTGTTCCATGTCTTTCCGAATACTTCTGTCGGGTGCTGTGTATGGAGGACGGCCATCCGTAGCAGAACTTGGGGTCTTTGCCTGGTGCCCAAAGGACTTGTCACTTAGGCTGCAGGCATCACAATTAAAGGCGGTCACATTATTGTCACGCCGTCTGTTTGCATGTATCGTACACTCCAACACCAAGAACCAACGTCTCCCAGGTCACTCTCGAGTCGTGAGTCGTCCATGCCGCTGCAAATCGCCTGCAAATCGCCTGCAAATCGCCTGATGCTGGTCCATTTCGTCCACTTGGTCCATTTACTGCTCATGTTCGCCCTCACCTTTTCCGTGACCCTCTCATGATAATTCCACCTACAATGCCTGCAACCACAGCTGCACCCCCAATGATGGCTACGCCCATCAGTCCCTCCCTCGAAACCTTGTCGTCGATTAGCTGGCCGAGACTGCTTGCTTGCAGATTGCCGGGCTCTTTCTCCATAAGTAAATCATTATATCTTCTCGCCTCTGCATAGTTCCCAAGCTTGTAATTGCCCAGCGCCAGATAGTATAAGCATTCTCTTCTTCGCTCGGGGGTCGTCTTGAAGATGTCTGAGAGTAGCTGCACGCCCAGTTGCTGTTCCGGCCGCTGATTTGATTTGATCAAGCCCTGTCCTGCAGTGAGCTACACAGGTTTCCAGTCTCAAGATAGGTGTAAACTCCTACCCAAGCATAGTTGAATTTAGTTTGAACCCCAACATATTCTCCTTCCTTTTCATACTGCGCTCGGAGGACTTGTAACTCGGCAGGCTTGAGCGGACTAGAATCGCATGGTCAGTCGCAAGGGCACGCTATACACTTCATGGTGTTGGAGTGATGCCCACCTTTCTGCATCTGCAGCATCTATCAAAGTTAGCAAATATCCATTCTTACGCCTGCGCACCTAGTCCAGCTTACATGGTAAATTTGATGCCATTGTGAGAGATAGAAATGGTATGAAAGACCAATCAAACGTTTCGACTGAGAGAGAAAGAAAGAAGAGAAACGCTAAGGTGAGTCGCAGACGTTTACGTTGTTCTGAACATGAGCATGTGGCCAGTGGCACCCACTCTCTGTACTTCGCTTCATCGATGCAAGGACTTTTGGGGCTGTGGCTGTGCCTAACCAGCCAACTCCGTCCTGCAATGACGTGTTTTCGGGGGCCAAGTACCAGACGTCTAGGTGCCAGTGGGCGGCCGTGGCCCAAGGGCTCCCGTGACTCCAGCCACAATGTTGGCCGAGGGGGTCCGTTGCTCCCCGCAACCACCCAATGTCAACATTCACCATCGTGTTTCCCACATTACGAACACAACACTGCGATTACAAAAGACACTGCGATTTATCCTCATAAGAACACTGCAACCGCTAAAATGTTGCTCGACGAAGACCCTGCAACTGTACGTATATGAGCATCCATATTCTCATCCCTTCCACTGACCAAACCATAGCTCATACGCGCCACTGTTTCCAATTTCAACATCGCCCCCGACAAAGCTGCCCTTTCACGCGTCAACGATTCCCTCTCAACACTGCAGCAGTCCCGCGACCTCAGAACTCGAGATGCAGAGACCGCACTGAGAAAGCTTTCTCGACAATTTGCCACGCTATCCTCGCAACATAGAGAAGTCCTTTCCAGCCATGACAGCGGGAGGCATGCAAGCGAAATCCTCCACCTGGACACCAAGAAATTCAAAATTGCAAAACAAGCCTCGGAGCTTGAGGTCGAGAATGAGAGGTTGGAGGCTGAACTTGAGAGGCTGAAGATGCGCCTGGCAGATTTGGAAGACCAAGGCGTTGAAGGCGATGAGACCAGCCGACGGAACAGAGAGGCTGACGATCCAACAATGTAAGTCCTGCTTTCATGCACGCACAGCACGAACGCTAATACATGTAGATTGCGATTATGGCTCTATCGGTCTCTGGGTATCACGCTTGGACAGGACGAAGCAGGCAATTACAACAAGGCAACCATTGGTAATACCAAGAAGGGCGACGTTCATGTGCTCAACATTGATCCCAAGTTCTCAAGATGGTTCTATGCTGATTACTTTTGGCAAACAATGCAAGGCTAGAGCCAAAGACCCTCTTCTGACTCTGAGGCCACGAATGAGTGATGACTGTATAGATAATCAGCAAGGCGTTGGAGGTTGGGAAGGCTGAAAAGGCTCGCATTCTAATATTTGGCAATGGATCGAATAGATGAATATAATTCGCCCTGCCGCACATACTTTATTTGTGAGAGAACGTATTGATGAAGCAATCTCGACCGCAAGGGTTGCGGCTATGGCCATGCTCGTCAACGCAAGAACATGACAATCATACTACTCAATGCGGATATCAGCAAGCTGTGTGCATAGCCACCAGAGCTTCACAACCAAACCCACAAGTTTCCTACGGACTCAAACAGTGCTCCGTCGCACGGAATTTTCTTACATGATTGACTTACTGGACGACTTCTTCTCCAAGGCCTTGCACAAGGCAAGAGAGCCTGATGAAAAATGTATGTTTTTTGAGGGCCAAAAAATACGCGGATAAGAGCCCCGAAGGACACTTAATAACGATCTCCTCCGCGCTGTGCAATGCAGGGACACCGCTATAGCAAACCCAATTCTTGATCTGAGTCGCTCCCACAAGGTCTGGAATCATGTTAGCCAAAGGTCATTTTTCAATATACACGGACGGGGGTGACGAACAAGTATGAAGAAAAAGAAAAGAAAAGAAAAGAGGACAGACGAGGAGGGGAGAAGGAAATACATAGCCCACAGTGCCAAGAATGCGCTCGGCGTGTTTGTCCTATTTGCCCTCCGTAGGTGTCTGCCTGTGGGTATCTTCGACCATCACTTACCTTGCACCAGGATTTCACGTGATCACAATTTCTCTAAAATCGGACATCTCAACTCGAAAGCTCATCGCAGCCCGCGATAGAGAAGCACCCACGATCGTCCCGCTGCCGCAGCGAAGCAATTGCACCAATATGGCGCGTGGTACTCGATTTCTACCGTTAAAGACGGTCAAGGATTCGAACGCAGTTGTCGTAAGTAACAATCTGGAATAGGATCTCCCGAAGTCCTTTGGGTTGCCGAAAACTTTACTGACCAAGGATGTAGAAACTGCGACAATCGTGGAGCAAATACAATCTCTACAATTTCAGCCGAATAACCGCCAACACTCTAAGGGGTCGAAATTTCTTCCAGACCAAATGGAAAACGAAGTCTCTAACGAGAGATTACCACGGATACCAGGTGCGGGAGAGAATATGGGAGCGGATGTTCTCTCGGCGGCTGCGGTCTGTCATTCCCATGAGTCCGGAATACCTGGCAGTCAATGATGGGAGCAACGAGTCTGCTGGTCGCGGTTCCGGTGTGGTTCAAAGCGCAAAAGCAACGACTAAAAAGCTTCCCATTCCATACATGCAAATGACATACGCTCCGTTGGAAAGGAGGTTGGACACAGCCGTATTTCGGGCAATGTTCGCAAGCAGTATCAGGCAGGCAAGACAATTCGTGATTCACGGTTCGGTCAAGGTCAACGGCAAGAGAGTAGGACATTTCGATTCTTTTTCCATTTCTTCGCGTGAGTGATCTGCTGACGATCACCGTTCATTATAGATGCAATATCCCGGATATCTCCTCAACCCTGGCGACATGTTCCAAGTTGTACCGGATCGAGTAATGTATGCGGCAGGCCAACCCAAAGTCAATATTGCCGTCAGAAAAGCGCAAGCGCAAGTAGAAGCCGAAAATGCGGAGGAAGACGCTGCACAGGCTGAAGAGGAGCCACCAGTAATCGAGGCCGCAGCCGAAGAAGACGTCGACGACGTCCGCGACCCACGAGACGTACTGAAAGAATTACAGTCACAAGCCAAGACCATCCTTGCCTCCCCGAGGGAGAACATCGGGGCGAAGAGAAAGCAGGATCTAAGAGCGTTCACCAAATCCATCCGCAGATTACTATCGCGGTCGAAATCCGACACGATCCACACAGACAGCTTGGAAGCACAATTCGCCGAGATCCAGAACCAGCTGCAGATCCGGAGAGACAACAAAGCAGCAGCCACCACCACCAGCGCCGCCGCCGAGTCCTCGGCAGCAACGAGCAGCCCAAGTACAGGCGAATCGATATCAACCACCACCACGACAGACGCCAAAGCACAAGCGGTAACGGGCAGCATCCTGAGCGACAGCGAATACAGTGAGCTGTTCGCGGCACTACAGTCGATGCAGGAGAACCCGGTGGACGAGGCGAAGCCGTACGCGACACCTTGGATGCCGCGGGACTATATGAGCGCGTTCGCATTCATCCCGCGGTATCTGGAGGTCAACCACAACATCTGCGCCGCTGTGTACATCCGACATCCTGTCGCGAGACCCGGTCTCGCCGAGGTGCCCACCCCTTACAACGAGTTCACCAACAGCAGCGCCTTTACCTGGTATTTACGGAGGAGGTGAGATGTCTCCTCTGTGGACCTATTCGAATAGAAATGAAGTTTTGCTGGTGTTGAGGCGGTTAGGCAGGCAGGCAGGCAGGCATGAAGACTGCCTTGTGTGTGTTGTGTGCGCGACGTCTGTACTACTATCTATGTATATACACAATTATCAAGTGTGAGATAGCCTGCATAGCGCTGGCGTGGAATGAACGGATCATACATACAATTTTTCAAGCAGCAGGAAGTACAAGTCTGCTTCATATATGTGTAGATGTATTGGGAAGACAAGTCGGGCAAAACCGTATGGTGTTAGGCTTGCCTTGTTTCTTTCAGTCCTTCCCTTCGCAAAGTGAAAAGCCACTTCCATCTATCTCGGTTGATCCTCAACCTCAACCAGTTCTTGGATGTCAAGTCATGTCATCATCTATGAGCTCTTCGGACTATGTCTTGGTTGTGCCTGCGGCTCTGTAGTCTAGTCTAATACAAGTCCAGCAAACATATTTGCCGTCTTTTCTTCGCTAGAATGCCATTGACTGTAGGGTTGTCGCGTGGACCTAACATGTCGCAAACAGGGCCTTGTTTCATGTAGATATTTTTTCGGTTTACAGCAGTGGATTAGAGCGGTATTCAGGAGCAGAGGAGTCGCCATTGACCTCGGGCTTCTTGGCCTGGTTCTCTTTCTCGAGATTCGGCTGGTCATCATCTTCCAGTTCGACGAGGTACTTCTCAGCCTCGAGGGCGGCGATGCAACCACTGCCGGCACTGGTGATGGCTTGTCGGTACCTCTTGTCCTGGACGTCACCGGCGGCAAAGACACCGGGGATGCTGGTGTAGCTAGTGCCGGGCTTGGTGATGACGTAGCCTTCCTCGTCGATGTCGAGTTGGCCTTTCACCAGCGCGGTGGCCGGGTCGTGGCCGACGGCGTAGAAGAGTCCGTTGGCGTCGACCACCTCCTCTTCACCGGTCACCACGTTCTTGATCTTGAGATGCGTCATAAGCCCGCGCACCTTGTCTTCGCCCTGGATCTCGACTGCGACGTGGTTGAATTTCACCGTCACCTTCGGGTTGGCGAGAAGGCGCTTGGCCATGGTCTTGCTCGCGCGCAGCTTGTCCTTCCGCACCAGTACCGTGACGTGCGAGCCGTATTTCGTCAGGAACATGGCTTCCTCTGCCGCCGAGTCGCCGCCGCCGATGACAGCCAGTGGTCGGTTGCGGAAGATCGGTACGGCGCCGTCGCAGACCGCGCACGCTGATACGCCGTTCTGCCAGTACTTGTCTTCACCGGGCAGGTTGAGCCGGCGGGCGTTGGCGCCCGTGGCGATGATGACAGCATCGGCGGTGTGGGCAGGCTCGTCTCCTTCCGCGTCGTCGTAGTCGCGCCACAGGCGGAATGGGCGGGATTGTAAGTCGATCCGCGTTATCGTCTCTGTGATGATCTCAGTGCCGAACCGTGTAGATTGTGCGCGCATCTCGTCCATCAGCTCGGAGCCGCCGATGCCCTTGGAGAAGCCTGGGTAGTTCTCCACGTCCGTGGTGGTCGTCAGTTGTCCCCCTGCTGCTGTGCCGCCCGCGAGCATGCCTTCGTACATGACGGGCTTCATTTCAGCTCGGGAGAGGTATATGGCGGCGGTGTGTGCGGCAGGGCCGGAGCCGATGATGGCGACTTTGGTGTGAGGAGGCGCCATGGCGCGGTGGAGCGGGCCGGCAGTCGAGTAGTAGTGAGAGGTTGTGAGTGTTGGGCTCTTGATCGTTGCTGCCGCTGCCGCTGCTCCTCCCGTTGGTGATTGGGATCTTTGATGTGTTATGGAGGCTGCGGCGACTGAGAGAGAAATGGAGGAATGGAGGGGATGGTGGGTCGCACGACGGAAGAATGCCGAGGAAAACAGTTTGGCGGGGAAATATGGTAATGTAGGAAGAGAGATCAGATGGAGGCGGGTAGAGGGACGTCCAAATGTATTAAACGACGGAATGGTGGTGGAGGGTGTCGTGGGAGTTGTGAAAATGAGAGAGATTCTCGTGATTGATGGGATTGAAAATACAGAGAGTACTACGAGTAAAATTACGTTACCAATCAGTATTGACAAATTCTTTGAGGCACTGGCATAGCGGTCCAAGGAGGGGCCCGCCAGCTCCATCATCCATCGTCTCTCGAGGCACCACCAATTGGCCTACTCCATCCCGTTCATCCCTGTTCGCCCCTGATTGTGCTGAGGTAAACAGAATGGTCCAGAGGCAATTGATCACGGCATCATTTTACTGTGTTCAAGAGCGTACTCGCGTTCTCGCACTGCCCAGCTCACGCACTCCCTAAGTAGTTAATTTGTACTGCTCAGGGAATCGTCTTCGCCAGCTACTGGGGCTATCTAGGTATCTACTGACTTCCTAGCAGCTACTATTAGTGCTTTGCATCTCAATTCCCACCTCGTGTAATATTGGATTCTGAAGCTCTATGTCCTGAGCAGCCTTCAAATTGGCCGTGGGCCAAGGCTTGAGACATGGGCCATGTCAATAGCATTCTCAGAATACGGCACAACGCAATCTCAAATAAGAGAGCTGTTCCAATGTTTGTCGTCTCACTTGATGCGTTGGGCACATTGTATCGTTTTCGAGAACCTGTGTCAGTCCAATACCTCAATTGTGCTCGTCAATGTGGCTTGAAGACCGATATTAGTCCGCAGGACCTGGAAAAGTCCTTCAGAACCACCTTCAAGCATTACACCCAAACCTATCCTAACTATGGCAAGGGCAAGCTCGAAAGTCCCAGGGAATGGTGGACTGGGCTGATCAATGATGCATTCGTTGATGCGACAGGGCTCCGGACTTTACCCTCGCATCTGGGACCCACGCTTTACACGCATTTTTCCTCCGAGGCTGCGTACCAACCCTACCCTGATTCTTTTTCATTCCTCAAGAGCATGCATGCTTTGAGAAAGCAATACTCTGACCCCGAAGGTCCCTTGCTCTGTGTTGGAGTTGTCACCAATTCGGATTCTCGTGTCCGGCCCGTTCTCGAATCCATGGGGTTTCGAGTCGGCCTTTCAGAGTATGGTGTCACGCAAGAGAAAGAAACTCTGAGGCGCACATCTGATGGAATATCAATTATTCCACCGAGTCTTCGGCTTCTTAGTTATGATCCTGGCAACGATTTTGACTTCCTAGCAACCAGCTACGACGCAGGATCCGAGAAGCCTGATGGGGGCATCTGGGCATATGCCAAAGGTTTCATTGAGGACATCGCGCCGACCAGGGCGGAGAGAGCTTTGGCGGTCCCTCAGGAGCCTCGCCAGTTCTCCGTGTCGAATTCCGTCGCCAAGAATTGGAGGGATTCCCAGGAGGTCATGCTAGAATTGACCAGGAGTGAGAGGGAACGTGTTCGGATTTGCGGAGGAAAAGTCAGCTGGGTACATATCGGAGATGAGCTGAAAAAGGACTATGAAGGCGCCCGAAAATTCGGCCACGAAGCTCTGCACCTCGAACGAGAACGAGAACGAGAACGAGAAGGCGCAGGAAGGGGAGGAGAGGCCAATCCGGCTGGTGGTGGGATTCACACCATCTCGAGTTTAGAGGAAGCGGCGATGATTGTGAACGTGATGGCAAAGGCCCATTTCGAGGCCAATTCTGCCAGATCTGCGGCAGGCGCAACATCCGCTTGACGGAAGGAGCATGCGCGCGCGGCCTTGTCTCTGCGGTGCACAGTTTGAATGGGATTTGAGACTGTCACTGTTCCTGTTATGTTCCTGTGCTTTCTCTTCTCTTTCTCACAATCATCTCATCGTCACAAGAAAGTCACAACTGACTTCTTTGCTTACCAAAAAAGCCTGTCCTTAGTTATTCTTGATGTCTGCAAACACTCCCCCATTGAACAATTGTTTTCCAGAGACAACGCTGACTTCAAAGTACGTACGCATCAGGCTTTCCCATCAAATATCATCATCTGAGCATTGTCCTGACCTTTCATTCTGGTCGGAGCCCGCCTCAGATCTCTCGCAACCCCCAGAATGGACAGCAAATCCTCTGCTGGAGGGCCCATTCATCCCCTACAGCCTCACTCTCGCAGCAGTGGAGCGGCACGCCCGAATCGCTGCGGCTGCTTGAAAGCTTGCCATATCTGCCATGAGGTCGGCCACGTTGCCAAGTTTTGTCCAATCAAAGAATGTTGGACTTGTGGAAGTCTTCAGCATACAAAGAAAGATTGCCCTTGCTATTTGGAAACTCTCCAGTCTCTGGGCCAAGTTCGGCAGCCGTATCAGGTTCACAGACTGCTAGTTGAAGTCACAGGCGCAGCACAGCGACCAGCACGTTCCAACTCATGCATGTTTATGCGCTGTGGGACACGCAGATCGATGTTTCATTCCAACGAAGGTTGCCTTTTTCAGACCAATTACAAGTTCAGTGAAACCAATGGACGTGTAGTCAATGAGTTACCATCGATTCCTGTGCTGCTGAAGCCAATCAAGACTACGGCTGCCCTCGAAACGGAGAGAAGATATGCGGAAAAGCTTGCAGATATTGAATTCAGGGATGATGAGAAAGAGAGATGCCGTACCGCTGGAGGAGAAGAGGAGGCTGGAGAGAAGCAAAGTGCTTCCAAGGTCAATGAGCCTGGTGATTTGATCGAGTTTGATTGAGTCCGTGCTCATGTTCACGACCATTCAACACGACAATGCCATTGTTTGGGTTGGTCAGTCAATCACGGGGTACACAGGATGGCCATGGAAGCCAACCAGTGTTCAACGGCCGAGACGAAAGGCGGTGTTACACTATGTGTTATCCGTGGGCTTCAATGGGTTCGAAAAGGGACATTTTCAGATGACGGACAGCTCGATACTCGAAACTCGATACCAATCAAATTCTATTCTTTTTAGGGCAGGTCTCGATTAGCATTATCCCCCTACAACGTGTATGTTTCCAGAGTCCGGTTCAGCCTTATCTTTGCATCTTGTATATGACAGGTTAGTGATTTCCATCATAGCCGACGCAGTGAAATGATATGCGGGCTATCTATCCAGGTTCGAAGGTCGTCGATTCTTTGAAAATCAGGCCGGTTGATATGACGTATGCCCAACCACTGAAGTGCTACCAATTGAATTATTCTCTCCTATTATGTATTGTAGGACTACGTCAGATTTCCTATCCGAATCGCACGACCCAAAGCGGCGATACATAAGTGGGTGGAATGATGCTGACTAGCATGCTTAATATTCGCTCATCTCATCCTTTCTATATTGTCTCCGCTGTCTCCCGACAGCGGCAGTGGCACCGCGGAGCTTCGGTTCCTACCATTGGGCCTCATTATCGTCCTTTCACTCTCATGAACAACTGCACATGTGGGTATTGGAACTTATTCTGAAAGCTTGGCCAGACTGGTGTACCTCGATGACATCAAGTCAGGCATGATTTTATCTCTTCCTCGCTCTGGTCAGCTACTCCGGACAAATCCTGACTCCATCGAAATATCGATCGTTTGGGCCACTTCAAGAGCTTTCCAATACTCGAGATCAAACCCGATTAGAACAATGGCAACGGTCAAGGGGAAACACGAGCACCTGGCGTTGGCACATGGCCAAGACTCGTTGAAGGTCCCGCTATCAGGACGCCTTCTCCTGGACAACCCATTCTACAACAAAGGCACGGGGTTTACATCAAAGGAGCGGCTCGAGTTCGGGCTCAAGGGCCTGCTCCCAACCAACATCCAAACGCTCGATGAACAGGTCGTACGTGCATATCAGCAGTACAGCAACCAGAAGGACGACCTGTCGAAGAACACGTTCATGACGTCGATGGCCGAGCAGAACACCGTACTTTACTACCGCCTGATCCAGGACCATCTGAAGGAGATGTTCAGCATCATCTACACGCCGACCGAAGGCGACGCGATCGAGAACTACTCGCGCGTGTTCCGGCGGCCAGACGGCTGTTTCTTGAGCATCAAGCATCCCGACGAGGTTGAAGAGCGCATGAGAAAGTTTGTGAGGTCAGACGATCCAGACGGCGGGGTGGATTACATCGTGGTCAGCGACGGCGAGGAGATCCTAGGGATCGGCGACCAGGGCATCGGCGGGATCCTCATCAGCGTTGCCAAACTTGCACTCACCACCATCTGTGCCGGATTGCATCCTGACCGAACGCTTCCAGTGGTCTTAGACACGGGGACCGACAATGAAGCCCTTCTCGACGACGACTTGTATCTGGGCCATCGCTTCAAGCGCGTTCGTGGCGAAGCATACAGTGACTTCGTCGACCGCTTCGTCAAGACGGCGAAGAAGCTGTTCCCGAAGGCATACATCCATTTTGAAGACTTCGGCCTCACCAACGCCCGCACCCTTCTGGACAGATATCGCCATGAGACTGCCGTCTTCAACGACGACATCCAGGGCACGGGCTGTGTCACGCTCGCTGCCATTATGGCTGGACTTCACATCAACAAGGTCAAGATGAAGGATCTGCGAGTCGTCATTTTCGGCGCGGGAACCGCTGGCTGTGGCATCGCGGAGCAGATCCAAGCTGCGATTGCGACCGAGGCTGGCAAGGATAAGGATGAGGTCACCAAGCAAATCTGGTAAGTCGCAGGCTCTCCCCTGTACTTTGTCCCTCATTGCAGTATCACGTCACAGAACCCCCACCACGGGCCGTAGGTTCCTCACGAACAACTCACTAACCACATCTTGTGCCTCTCCTACAACAGGTGCGTAGACAAGCCGGGTGTCCTTCTAGACTCGATGGGCGACAAGCTCTCCGTAGCACAGAAGCCGTACGCACGAGCGTCCTCGGAATGGGAGGGCAAAGACAGCCACTCCCTGCAGGCGATCATCGCCGAAGTGAAGCCTCACGTGCTGATCGGAACATCCACAAAGCCTGGCGCATTCACGCAGGAAGTGGTGCGCGAGATGTGCCGGCACGTAGAACGGCCTATGATCTTCCCGCTCAGCAACCCCACACGGCTGCACGAGGCGAAGCCGCAGGACATCGCCGAGTGGAGTGCTGGCAAGGCGCTCGTGGCGACGGGCTCGCCGTTCCCGGCCGTGCGGTACGACGGGAAGGAGATGGAGGTCGCCGAGTGTAACAACTCGGTGTGTTTCCCGGGGATTGGGCTCGGCGCGGTGTTGAGTCGGGCCAAGCTCGTCACAGACCGGATGCTGGTCAGCGCGGTCACGGCGCTGGCTAAGGAGGCGCCCGCTTTGCAGGGACAAGGCAGCGCGGATCCCGAGAGAGGCGTCGCTGGGTTGGTCCCGGACGTGCAGGACGCTCGTCGAGTTAGTGTCAAGATTGCCATGGCCGTCATCCGCTGTGCGGTCGAGGACGGCCTGGCCCAGGTGCATGATATCCCTGTCGACAGCGACGACGAGCTGCAAGACTGGGTTCAGGCCCAGATGTGGGATCCTGTCTACAGGGACTATCAGAAGGTCTAGGTGCCAAGGACCACCACCCAGAACAAGGTGCTTGTCGACCTGGCGCAAAGCACGTAAGCAAGCAACACTGGCGGACGGATGGATATAGGTACGTTTACTTTGGCCTGCAGCGAAAGAAACGGAGAGGGAACTCCTGACTCCCGACTCCCGACTCCCGACTCCTGTACCTGCTCCACGGGAAGGATTCAGCAGATGCACGCACGCTCTGAGATTCTGAGTCAGATCGTTCATTATTGAATCGCTGGGGGTCTACAGCAACATCACCAGCCATTGATCGACATCAGAGTTCAGGCCTACGTGGCTTTCGAACACTCACTCATAGGCTATGAATACGTGTACATGGCTTGGTACATGCTTATGTACCACAGCGTCGACATAGCAATCCTGAAACAATGGCGACATGGAAACCACACACCCTCGCCGGCATTGGATGGGAGATGTACAAATACCAGTCTGATTGGGTCTCCGTCTTTCCTTCCACTTTTACAATAAAGTGCCCATCTATTCATGTCTCTATCCATAATGTAGACCCATGCCATGTACATCCAACAGCATCTCCAGACGCTCCCTAACCCCAGTAGACCATAAATGGCCCACACAACGGCCTCAGATGCAGGAAACGGAATTCCACATCTCTCCATCTCAAACGAGAAATTATTGTTTGGGTTAAATCTGCCGGACTACGCTTACTGTATCCAACCATCTATCTACGCAAGCTCTCCGGACCAGAATCCGCGCAATCTTCCGCGCTGCACTGTCTGCCTCGTTTCTCGCTATCTTCAAACCTTCGGCCTGGTGGGGTGATTTAGAAGGGAAAGGAGACCTTGGCTGCCAGGCCGGTTCATATTTTTAACAATTGTATCAGACCTATCAGCGAATTCGTACGAAGTGCTATAACACCTACATATTAGACAGACGGAGACTCCGCGACATAGCTAGATATGTTCCCTAGAAGGATGTCAGATGTTGTAGAGGACGGCCTACGCATATAGATGCCAAAGGGGCCCAATCCTCTATTTCCACTTTGGTTGTGATGAAGCAATAAACGTGACAAGTAAATGCGGTGAGAGTAGGCTACGTTTTACTAAATTGTCGGTCATTGACTGTGGATTGTGTGACGATCCTGGTGACTGGCGAGGCTGCCGGGGAATTGTGGGTCCTTATTCTCGACTTGAAAAGCATGCGAGGGTGTTTGTTGGCGAAACATGGTTCACGTAATTAGATCAATCCTGTGGCAAAGAATGAGAATCCAGGGGTAAGAGTATTGGAGGAGAAGCCATGCGCCGAGGCATGTGATATGCGTTGGCTGGTTGCATACTACTACTATCTGCCGTGATAAATCTTTTCTTGACTAAATGAAGGATGTAGACTGTGTGGAGCGTCATTGGGCTGACGGATAGATCAAGTTACTGCCGAGCAAGCGAATGTCCACTGAAATATTCCTGTGACCGCAGCTAAGGTATCATCGCATAGCATATCAACCGACGGATATTTGATGGTATTCATTACCGGGTCCTGTTTTACGATCTATTCCGTCTCAAACGGCCTTCTCTTCGTCTTGGTCCCGCTCACGGTCAACTGGAACAATATCATCCGATTCGAATGTATATAGGTGAGGAGATGTAAGTCCCTTCTTTCGGAGGACTTGGGTCTTGAACCAGTATGGAAGCACCTGGGAGACTTGATAGTGCATATGTGTACGAGTTGGTACCGCAAAGACGTAGTCCAACTCCTCGAGAGATCGCTGCTTGGTCTCGGGTAGCCAGAGGAAAATCATGATGAAGGCAAGGATGTTGAGGGCAGCGTAGAAACCAAAGGCACCTTGTGGCTTCATGGCTCGTAGCATTCGTGGCCAAGTCAGGGCCAGAACCGAGGCCCAGAAGTTGTTTGTCGCAACAGCCCAGGACATGCCGACTTCACGGTGAGACAAGGGGAATACCTCGGCGGAGTAGGTGAAAGGGACTGGTCCTTCACCAGGAGAGTAAAAGGCGTCGAATAAGTAGATGAACGTGGCAATCAAGCCCAAATGGGCGTTGCTACTTTCAGGAATCCAGAAACAGAATCCTGCCGCCAGAAGAGTCCAGCACATATTGGGGAAGGTGAAGAGGAGTAGTGTTCTTCGTCCGAAAGTGTCGATTGTCCATACTGCTGGCCATGCGAAGATGAAATTGACTAGACCGAAGCCCCAACTTGCCAAGAGGGCCTCGGTGACTGAGGCACCTGCCTGGCTGAAGACGCTGCTCGAATAGAAGGCTATGATGTTGATGCCGCACATCTGTTGAGCAATCATGACAATACCAGAAGCTTGAGTGGCACGTCGGATACGAGGGATAGTGAAAAGCTCGATGAAGCGGGTGAAGAAGTTTCCGTGAGTGGCGACGGCAGATTCCTCGACCAGAATTTCTTCCTGAATTAACTGGGCGTGGACAAAGTAGAGATCACGCGCGGCCTGAAGAGGAGTGTTTCGGAGCCGGAGAAGGGATTTGTAGGCTTGCGCGTGTCTGCCCTTCTTCATGAGCCAGCGAGGCGACTTCAAGTTGTTAGTATATAGGACTGTTTGAAAAAGGGAATATGGGTACAGGGGACCGACCTCAGGGCAAAAATAGATACCAATGACCAATGGAATAGCTGGAATGAAAGCTGAGCCGAGTTGCAATCTCCACGCAATGCGGCCAACATCTTTCACGGCGAGATTTGCACAAGTCCCTAGGAAAATTCCAAAAGCGGTCCAGACTTGCCAGGTCATCACCAAGCCTCCACGAATATTGGTAGGAGAGTTTTCAGCTGAGAAGACAGGGACAGTGACTTCTTTGAGACCCATGCCTATTCCGAGCAGAATCCGAGTTGCTACCAATTGACCCCAATGCTGAGTGAGGCCTGAGCCGATAGGAGCAAGCAAAGAGAAGATTGCGGCAATAAAAATGGTGCCACGGCGACCCAGCCAGTCATTCAAAGGGTCGGAGATCCAACCAGCACTGTTCAAGTTAGTAAGGGGGTAGGATCGGGCGTCGAGGTGGTGAGAAGTTAGAGCTCACAAGAAAGCAATGGCTATGTAGGGGCAAGAGTTGACGAAACCCACGATCCATGAATTCTTGTCGCAGGTTGCCTTGTCTATGCAGTAAGGAGCACTGTCCGGGATCCCGAATTCGACGGGGAAGGACAAGTTCGCACCATTTGAACCGGTTTGGTCCCAACCTTGGATAGCAGCAGCAATGGAGTTGAGGACGATGGTATAATAGAGGGTTCTTGGATGCTTCCAACGATGGGTGATTTCCTCGCGGAGACAAGTGCGATCAGCCTCGTCTAGCTCGGGGAGATGTTCGTACGCATGGGGACTCTGAGCCACAATGGCACCTTTTCGGAGCAGAGGCAGGATGTCACCAAGATTGTTCTCGGCGGCAAAATTCTCGACATCCTGGAGCAAAGCGTCTCGCGGAATACCTACGAGAGGATTTCGAATTCTATGAGAGTTAGTCGGGAGTCGGGACAAGTGAGGTGGAAAAGAGGTTAAGGAGACTCACTCCCCGGTCGTGTTGGAGGTCAGTTGAGCGACACTGGCCTTTCGCTTGGACTCCTCAGCAAAGAGAACAGAAGGGCGCCTCGTCTCGGAGTTCTGCCGGCCTTCCTCGATGGCATCCTTGAGAGTGGCCATGTTGGTGGCACGATGAATGAAAGCTGTGAAGAAAAGTTGTTGCACAAGATGACAGACAAGAGGGAGAGGAAGGCATGCGTGAAGGAAAGAAGGCGCGCGGGGTCTCTTATGGGAAAGCACAATCACGCGTCAAGTGAAGTGTGGACGACTACTTGGTAGTGAAGATGAACGAAGGGATCGGGCCCTGGTGGGTCACTGCATGGATGAATGGTGGTACTGTACGCATGCACAATGGAACATCGAGTGGGACAAGTCGACTAGAGGCATAAGACCCTGGAGCCTTGAGCCCTTGGTTTGTGGTAAGCATGAAGCATGGAATTGATCCAGCATGGTGACAGGATAGCCAAGGTTGGCAAGGTCAGCAACAAGAGGAACGGTTACCTCGTACGGACGACACTGGGGGAGCTTGGAAGGGCCTATCCTACGGCGTCCGAAGCCACTCAAGTCATACGACAACGGGAATTCATGCATGTAGGTCAAGAGGGACAATGTGTTTAGGGATCTGAAGGGCCAACACGTGCAGGGATGATGTCGTCGCAACTTCCAACAGGCAGGCTTGGCAAGGCTCGAACAGGGGAGCCGGGGAATGAGTAGGAGACAAGATAAGCCGGGGCTCCGCATGTGAGTCGAAGGGGTGCATCGCTGACTCGGTGGTCAGAGGGGGCCAGGGGGGTGGTGGTGGAACGGCCTGAGGTACGGAGCATTGTGAAAGTTGAGGACTGAAGCGCGATGGTGATATGCATGAGAACTTGGGGGTGGCCACTGTATTCAGTATTAACGGGAAAGAGTAAGGACAACCAAAGCAGCAAGGGCGAGGGCGAGGGCGAGGGCAAGGGCAAGAGCGATGGGACCAGCAGGCCTCAACTCTCAAGGCGCGCCGACCAATGATCCGGACATCCAACGTAGCACGAGGCAACTGCCCCAGGACGAAGCTGGAAACTGCATCTCACGCTCTGCCCTGGAGTAAGTGGTAATCCGTACGCGTAAGTAACATCGAACCACCACCAACTTGTCGTGTCGTGCCGTGTCGAGGTGCAGCTTTGAACGCCTGGCAAGTCGAGACCCCGGCATCCAACGGCCAAGAGTACATGAGTTCAGTCGTGGCAAGTTCTAACAGCCTTCACTGCTAAAAGCTTCAGGAAGCTTGAGCAGGAGGCAACGTTCGGTGAAGTGGCGATGGTAGCAGGCTTGGTTTGCTTGTCAGGCTTGGAATGTGGCACTTGGAAGATAAAGTACGCGTGGTGGCGGTGGTACTGTACTGTACTACACTCCGTCCTCGGCCTGATTTCATCATGTACCAAGTACCAAGAACTTACATAGTCACTCAGTAAGGAGTGCTGAACGGAGTACCGAACGGAGTACCGAACGGAGTACCGAACGGAATGTGTCAGTTCCCACTTTCCAGGAAGTTACCGGGAAGTTACCAGTAAGCGGTATTGTAAGTAAAGAGCGATCGGCACTCTCCAATACCGAGTATCCTGTAGTGTGTTAGTGACAGCTGCTGTAGCCTATCCCAAGCACCTCATCCCCATTGTCTGTCGGCTGGAAATTCATTTCACGCGCCACAACCACACCATCTCAGTCTTCCACCACGAAATCGAACCGAGCCCTTGGCCATTCCAACCTGAACGTAGCAACCGGATTGCCCGGATTGACACTCTCCACACCGTTGCTTCCCCCCGACTTCACAGGACAGAACACGGAATACACACAGCACCCTGGAGCTAGACCATGTCAAGCGGGTCCAGTTGTGACTTTCTTGGTTCCCTGGATCCCAGAGATTGAGATGGCGGAGTCAGTAGCTGCCATTCAACCGTCGCGCTAAAAGTCGAGGATCACTGTGGCTTTATGGGCCAAGGCGAGCAGCCGGACACAAACCCCCAAGGCTCAATCTACGATTACCACTACATACATGATCGAAAGATGTCATTCCAGGCTGATTCCGGCAATCTTCGAGAAACTCTCAAGCCAGCTGATACAAAGAGTCAGGCAGTCCTTCTCTGAGGTTCAAGTGGTACGGAGTACATACATACCTCGATCCCGCAGCCTGGCGCTCTGTGAGCCAACTTTCTCCCCGTATTCGCATGCTTGGGCCTGCTCAGGCCGGGCCAACTATCTTTGCTATCAAGTCCCGCGCATTCACTAACACGCAATACCGACAGCGTGCTGGTATGGCTCGCTCCTCTTCTATCAGGCCCCCTGCCGCTACCGCTCTACCTTCACTGTCAAATCATTGTTCCGCCTCAATGGGGAGCTGCCAATTGATCCCACCTTTCACCCCGATCCAGCCATGAACCCATCCCCACTAATCGCTGTACCCCACTTGATTACTCCCTCGACGTCTACAGTACGGAGTACTCGGGAGACTGCTCACAAAAATCACTCAATACACCGTTTACGCTGAGCCAACACACGTGGAGAGAGCCCGCTGAGGGGGCCATCCAGCCATCAGAGCCCTGCCACTCGTGGTACCAACCTCGTTGCTCAGCTGACACCACACGGCGTCTTATGTGCAGGGACGGAGGAAACGCACCGAACTTCCTCCTACGCGATTCGGTCTTCCCTAGCCTCTTCAGCGGCGATACCTAATGCAGGCACTATATCCGATATAGGAACGGCAGGGACGCTCAATGCGGAGAAAGTCGTCGCAAAGTGAAATATGTACTCCGTACTCGTAACTCCCGAAACAATATTTGACCAGGGCCACGTTGGTATTCAGTCCAGTGATGCTGAAAAATTGATCTGAATTGACGGTGCCAGCTGGCCAACCCAGAGAGACAAAAAGGTTCTGAATCAAGAGCGTTAAAAACTACTACTTATACATTCCTATTTTAATCTTGGCGAGCTGCTTTCGACACTCAGTCCGCATTGCATGCATCGCCAGTAGGAGAGCCATGCATTCCTCTTTTTGGACCTCCTACAACCTCACTCTGGGACTAGGTGTAATCGTGAAAGCGTGGTCGCCCAACCGCGTCACCTATTCCTCCTCACACGATGCTCATCTCGTCTCCGACCTTTCTTGCGCTGATCCTTACCCGGGCCCAGCGGAATGTCTCGCATCAGGAACGTCTGTAGGCGGACCAAATACTCGTCTATGTGGTGGGAATTCGATGCTTTCTCTCCCGCATGAGCTTCCGCCAGTGCCGTTTCCGTCGCACCAAACGGCCCTGGTGTTTGTGCATCATTGGTGCGCGGGGTAGCCGTCGCTGTTGCTGTGGCCTTGTCCTCGAAATCTCCATCGTCCGCATGTTGCACTTCTCTCACAGCCACTTTGGCCGCCGCACGATCTTCTTGGTCTTCCGCCTGCTCAAGCACGACTGCGCTGGTTTTATCATTGCCCAGGACTCTATCCATGGCGGCACCTGCAGCGTCATCTTCGCCTTCATCGTCGAGCATGTCGCGATACGAGACTTTGTTCATGTAGCCAGTCGTGAATTCACCTTCCTGGATTACCACATCATCCAACAGCTGCTTTTGGTTGGCCTTGCGTAGAATATTGGATTCAATAGTGTGTTCTGATACGAAACGATAGATGTGAACATCTCTTGTCTGACCAATTCGATGGGCTCGATCGGTACATTGCTTGTCCATGGCAGGGTTCCAGTCCAGGTCATAGAAAATCACCGTGTCTGCACCTGTCAAATTGATCCCTAGGCCACCAGATCGAGAAGAAAGAATGAAAGCCAAGATGCGAGTGTCGTTATTGAATCGATCCGTCAGGATCTGGCGTTGTTCAATTTTAGTGGCGCCATCAAGTCGAAGGTAACGATGACCGTGTATGTTGAGAAACTGCTCAAGAATGTCTAGCACCTTGGTCATCTGCGTGAAAATTAGAGCTCGATGTCCACCCGCCTGCAGCCGTCGTAGAAGCTTGTCAAGTCGCTGAAGTTTGCCACAGTCGTATTGCAACAACCTTTTGTCTGGAAAGGCAATGGACAGTTTCATTCTAGCCTGATGAAATGGATCGCTGCTCACTGCCGATTGTGACTGCTGTCTGAGGGCCAGTGCACCTGCCTCCGTCACAGTAGTTAGGTTTAGACCGGTCGCAACCGCCGCAGGGGTGATGCACGCAAATTTTTGAATAAATGGCTCCATCTGTGCGGACCGAGAAGTGATTGAATGCACGAGATCCATTGGCTCCATTGGAGAGTCGGTGATCCATCCACTTGCAGATCTCTCGTTGGCCAGATGGGTAAGTCGAGACCTCGTGGTTTTGAGCACAAGCTTGTCCAATAAACCTCGGCCATATACTGGATGTTGGTTGTGACGATAGGCTTCATAGTACATGGTCCGTTCGATTTCGTGAAGTCTAGCTTTTCTCCCGACATTTTCGAGGGATCCAAGTACTCCATCGCGATTTTCACCGTGCCAGGCCCAGCCACGAGGTACTCTTCTAAACTGGATATCTCGGAGGTTCTTAAACTGGTCGTAGGCGTGTCTTTTGGTCGTTCCCATGAACTCAATCTTCGACATACTCTCGTCTGATATCGGTGCAAGCTTTAGGAAGTCTAGGTCGAGGTTATCCCTGGCGTCTAATGACAGTTTTCGCCGTACGAGGAGATCACGGATCTCGAACTCCGCTGCCACCGATCTGGGCATTGCAAATGAGGTATTAATGGGACGTGTTTCAAACAAATCTGGATGATTGCAGACTTTGCGAAGCTGCATCAAGGCGTTGATGATAGACAAATAATTGCCGGACGAAAGTGTCTCCTTCGTCTGAGCTCTGGACATGAAGCCATCGTATAATTGTCGTTGACGCTTGGAAAGCCGACAAATCTCAACGTGTTCATACTTCAGGGGCATTTGTTTTTCCACATCCCGTTTGAGTCGGCGGAGTAGGAAAGGTCGAATGACCTTATGCAACTTGGCCACCTGTTCTTTATCTTCCTCATCCAGAACTTGCCGCCCATGTTCGAGAATGGATTCTACTGGCCGTCTGAACCATTCAGACCATTCCTTGAGTCCTGCAAATGCATCGTCTTCACCTTCATTGTCTTGACCATAGTGGAGAAAGAAAAGCAAGGACCAGAGCTCGGTCAGATTGTTCTGAAGAGGGGTTCCCGTTAATAGGAGGCGAGCCCTTGTGTTGAATGTCATCATGGTCTGCCATCGCTCTGACCTAAAATTCTTGATGTTGTGAGCTTCATCCAGGATCATATAATGCCATCGTCGTCGTTTAAATGAGTTTGCGTCCTGCAGGACAAGTTGATAGGAGGTGATGCACACATTGAAACTGTCATCTGCCATCCAGCCTCTTCTTTTCTGTTTCCGCTCTTCCTGATTGCCATAATAGGTCAGGATCTTAAAGCCAGGTAAGAACTTTTTGAATTCCATTTCCCAATTGAGCATCACACTTGTGGGGACAACGATGAGATGTGGGCCCCATACTTCATGAACTTCGGCAAGGTGCGCCAATACGGAGATGCTTTGAATGGTTTTGCCCAACCCCATTTCATCAGCAAGAATACCGCTTCTGCCTTTTGCGTAAAGATCCGCAAGCCAGTCTAGTCCTTCATGTTGATATTCTCGCAGTGTACCGCGGAGCAGGCTAGGTACTGGCGTTCTGACGACAGATTTCACTTCTGACGGGGTTACTGGCACTGCAGATTCGGCGCGTGCATCGATTGACGAGACTGATTCAGGCTCAGATACCTTGGTAGCCGTAGTATGAGGTGAAGTATGTGCACTAGGTTCTTGACTTGCGGGATCCCTTGCAACTTGCAAAAACGTGTCGACTGGCTCATCGGCCATCATTTCCGCGGCCTTCTGCTCAGATAGATGGCCATCAATGGTACGGTCATCGGGGACAATGGTTGGATCATCTGAGTCGATTCGAGTGTCGGTATTTGGAGTCTCTGTTTCTTCCAGAACTTGAACTAAAGGGGACTTTGGGTTATCATCCTCTTTGTCGGGACCTTCGACTTGTTGTTCTTCTTCTCGTCCTCGTCCTCGTCCTTCCTCTCCTCCATCATTATCATTATCATGAGCAACTGGTTCCATATTTGCAATCTCCTTTTTCGAGAATAACAGAGATAGTAAGCCTCCACGAGAGCCGTCTCCACTCCCATCGTCCTCGTCACTTTCGGCCTCGCTACTATCGGAATCGAATTCGCTATCCATCTCCATTTCGGGGTCAGAATCGTCATCGCTTGGCGCCAGATTCAAACCGGTCTCCCCATCGGTGGCCGGTGTTTCGACTTCATCATCTTCTGTAGGGACACTAGGTAGATTTTCGTACTTGCGCTTGAGTTCTTCGATAGACATTTCAGCATCCAAATCATTGCCATCTTCGTCGACCTCTGAATCTGATGCACTTTCTGACATTTGCTCGCTGTTTTCAGTGTCGTTGTCGGTGGTGTCGTTGGAAGATGCGTCAGTTTCTCGGTCGCTATTCATGATGGAATCGTCTAATTCGTTTGCACGACTTAGCATTTGATCCGTCCTATCCAAAACGCGAGCCAAATGACCTTTCATCTTGGCTTGTTGTTGCTCTTCATATTCTTTGAGCCGCATTGCATCCACTTCGATTTTCACAGCACCCCAGAGTTTATCGAGGTCTCGGACAACAATTCGATATAAGCCGATCGTGGCGTCTCTCTTTTCCTGCTCGATTTCTTCTGCGGTTTTGACTTTATTCCGCCGGCTCTTTTCTTCCACGTATCTCTTCGCTTCGTAGGCGATGATTTCTGCCTTCCTCTTGTGGTCACGGCGCTCCTGCCGAAGTAGAGTTCTGAAATGGGTAACATGGGCCAGTAAATGATCATGGTGTGCGTATTGTCTTTGGGGCTCCAATTGTTTTTCAGGCAAGGAATCAGAAAGGTTGGTGTCTAGTAAGCCACCAGGATGCAGAGCGTCGAGGACGCGGTTGCGAGTAATAGCTTCCTTGGTAATTTGTTCTGGGGTCAGAGTATCCTCTCCAGCCCTAGGTTCTAGCTCATCGAGGTCCAGGAATTCTTTGAAAGACGAATACTTCCTGGGCACGGCAATGTTTGCCGGGGTTGCGACGGTGGCCGAGGGGAGGCTAACCCTGAAAGTTACTCTTTGTAGGGTCAAAGGCGGACTGGATGGTCTCGAAGACCTAAGGCTCGACAAGTCGGAGTCACTCGTAATGCCATTCTCTTCGTGCTCAGACTTCACAACAGCATTGGTAAAGGGATGGTGATGATTGGATCCATTGACGAGAGGGGGACTTTTAACACCCTTATTGGAGGGAGTGTTCAGAGAACGCCGCGTGGAAACGGATGAGGATGGTTTTATGGCCGACTGCCTAGTCGACCTTGAGGTGGTGGGACTTTCTTTGGAGCGGATTTGATGTTGTTGCGCGCTGACAGAAGTTGTCCTGTCAGCCCGTTTTGCAACTGCGGGTGCAGATGGCTCGACTTTGAAGGGTCGGGCAGATACATTGTAGATGGGTTTGGGAATTTTCTCGTGTTCTGTCTTCGTCTTGTCGAATTGGGCGCGTGTCTGCCTCTTATTCGACTGAGGTAGAAGGGCGAGCGGGATGGCGTTGGTTCTACCAGACTTCCGGCGGCCATTCTCAAGGAAGGTGGTAGGGCCATCAGCGACAACACGTTTCCATGGGGGAGAGATAGTTCGTGGTAAAGGTCTATGGTCCGGGCCTGCGACTTTTTGCCTCTTTGATGGAGGCTCATCGTTGGCATTGGGCGCCAGCTCCTGGTCGGGAGGGGAGGTTGGATGACGAGGTGGGGAGGGAGGAGGATGGTCAATGATATCTTTATGAATTGTTAGTTCGAGGATGACGGATGGAGGGCGATTGTCTATTACCTGGAGTCTGGGAACTGAGATGCAGATCGGATTCGGTGGTCGGCAAGGAATCGGGCATTTGGCGCAGCGAGCAGCGAGTAGTGCAGCGAGACTGTCATGGCAAAATTCGATCCTTAACTAAATCGAGGGAAAGGTGACGAGCATGCTCCACGAAAAGGGCGAAATAATGGTTGATTCGTAGGGCAAAACGAAGCGTGGACCGAGTGGGAGCGGCTGACGAAGTTTCAGTGAGACTGCGACAATAATGTGGTGCTGAAGGAGGAATCAAGTTGTCGTGGTGGAAGAATGGTATCGCTCAAAAAGTGGTGATGCGTGATGCGTGATGAGGGAAGCCAGAAAAGCGAAAGCGCAGGCGAGGGCAAGGGCAAGGCAAGTCCAAGCAAGGGCAGGGGCCACCGTGCTAGTCCTCGTCATTGGGGAACTCGTTGGCCTCCCTCCTATGGGCGCCAGGCACTTCACATCCCTTAGACACCTGCCTAACTCCTGAGCCTAAGCCACGCCTAAAGCCCATTGCTCTCCTTCCTAAAGCGCTGGTCTTTCTTGGCTTCAGCTACGTCTAGATCACCTACACTTCGCCCTAGGCTGGCTCATGGAGCTTGACCACATCAAAGCCAATCACACGGCCCCCTTTGGGGCATCAATTCCATCACCTGGCGACATCCCCTCTAGACAAAACCCGAGATCTCCTCTCGTCAACCACCGATTCTGGCTGACTTCGACTGCTACGAGCTTCACCCGGCTCCTTGAGCCCATCACTCCTCCCAATATGCTTTCCCGACGGGCATTTAATCTGGCCGCCAGGTCGACTCGAGCATTTCCACGGTCTCCGCCTCAACCTCTCCTTCAACGAGCACCATTCTCCAGCGCAGTTTCCAGAAGAGCCCAAGAAGAGATCGATGACCCGGAAATGGTACATTCACACTAAACAAACCACAGGGAAAAGAGAAAAATGTGCTGACCATGTATATCTTGCAAGAATAATAACTACATCAACCCGCCTAGAATCAAGCGACAACACCGTGATCCCTATGCCGACTGGGACGACAAGCAGGAGCGACGCAACTTCGGAGAGCCCGTACACGAAGACAATGAAGTCCTGGGTATCTTCGCCTTAGAAGATTATACACACATGACACCCGCTCGGGGCGCGTTATTGTGGGCTGGTTTCATCAGCGCTATCCTGGCCGTCTCCTATGCCGTATCCCTCACATACCCAGGCAAACCTAGTGTGCCGACGGAATATCCGGGAGGCCTTGATAAAGAACTGGGGGGGCCAGGTGCAACGAGGGTGAGTTTTCTGAAGAAATGGGCATTGGACCCTCCATCGGCATGCCAGTCCTTGGCTAACTTCCTCTGCAGGCGTTTCAAGCGGGTGATAAATATGAGGAATAAACATACCAAATTGTTTTGTTGAAAAGAAAAAAAGAAGGGAAACCTTGTACATAGGAAGAGAGCATGAAATGATTGCAGAATCAAAGAATCCCTTTACGTGAACGACATTCCAAATTGAGTTTCTAAAATCCCTCATGATTCTACTTTGACTATTATGCTGCCTGCCATTTCATAGATCATGTGGTTGGGGACTGCAACCCTACCAATTAACACATCTCTCGGAAGACGAGCATATTGTCCCTTTTAATCCAAAAATCCATCCCAGTCATGTCGACAAGAGTAAGAAGACATTCATGTCTAATTCCAGGATGGCAAATGTGATCTGAATAGAGCAGCCGGATAGCCATACCAGCGCCAGCCAGAGAATCCAACATAATCTTCATGTAGAGCGCAAACGTGATTGAGAAGTGGCACAAGCTCAAAAAGATTTCAAGTCAAAGATCCGATCCAAGTAGAGTTTTCATTTTTCAAGAACGAACGGAAACCAACAAAACGTTAGAGCATATGGGGAATCAACCTAGATGGCACCAAAACAAAGCCCACCAATCATTCGTTCCGATCAAAGCAATTGATGCATTTGATCGATTTCGTCCCAATGTCATCGAGGCTATCCAGAAAACCTGGATAAACCTGCAGGCCTGATTGATCCTTTTCGGTGCCCCCAAAACGTATAGATAGATAGATATATAAGAGATCATCTGACGTGGAAAACAGAAAAAGCGCAATTTACGCTGCCATCCACATGCCCAGTACGACGGTGGTGACCATGATCCAGTAGCCGCCGAAGTCGACGAGGAGCTTGGCTGCGGGACTGACTTGGCTGTCGTTGGAAGGGTCGGTACCACCATCAGCAGTGGTGCCGTTAGCGAGGGAACCATTGATGAAAGTCGAAACGGAGCCGTTTCCAAAATCCACGGTCCTGACGTCAGTCGAATTGACCGGCTGACCGGTGCCATTGAGGATGACCTCGTCGAGGAACGTGCTGTTGTCGATGGGGTCACAGCCGCAGACCTGGTACTGCTGACAGAGGCAGGTTACGTTGCTTGTGTGATTCCTGCCGCCATAGTACCAGTGGTACGGGGCGCCGTAGGGGTAGGCGAAGACGGAACCATACAACCATATTCCAGGGAAGAAGGCGAGCGCGCCGACGCCCAGCGCGTAGGGTGCGATTGATCTGGTTGGCGAGGACTGACCTGCTGTGTATGGTACGACGGCGCCGCCGGTGTATCTGTTGCCATATGCTTTGGGCGTGCCGGACCCGTCCCGCGTGCGACCACCCGACATCGACGACGTCGAGTATGAATATCCTCCCCGCCCGCCGCTGCTTCCACTACTGCCTCCTGATCCACCTCTACCCCCGCCGCCGCCTTTCCGCTTCTCTAGAGCATTGTATGATTCAAGTGGCGACGCTTCTCGCGCAGAGATGTCTGTTCGAGGTGATGATGCTGGTGGCGCCGCGGCGACCAGGGAGATGAGGTAGACCGTGGTGGTCAGTATCGATAATGAAAGCTTCATGGTTGTGTGTTTCGCTGTACACTGTGTTGGATGCAGACGAGGAGAATTTGTGACACCGCTCGCTCCAAAAACGGTGCTCTCTATAGTCTCTGTAACACGCAGCGCGATTGATATAGTGCGATCAGTTTTGCGGTCTGCCTTGCGGGACCCAACGTATGCAGTCTGTGGAAGGATGAAGTCTGTTGTACAATTCGGGTGCGGAAGCAAACGAGACCAGAAAGGGATTGCTTGTTTGAAACACGGAAGATGAAACAATTCCCGCCTGGCGAATCGAGATAGATATTGAGAAATTAGTAGTTAGTTTGCAGTTACAAACGCAATGGACGTGAATTAGAGAGACTCATGGCAAAGGGGCAAAATACGCCGTGCGAAAGCCTGGTCAATGGTCACCCACCACTCAGCACCCACCACGCGCCCAACCCCAACCCGTCGATTCGCTTCGAGGAATGTCGAGGGACTTGAAGGCACAGCCGCAAAGGATCAACGACTAAGCATCAAGACTCTACAAGAGACATCTCATCATTGGTTGGGATATGTCCCGCCTGCAACCCGCTCACTAGAGGCGCGATGGAATTTGAGTTGCATGCGCGATCTCTTGAATGTCTTGTCATCATTATTGTCATCCGCCTCAACCGTGGTCCGCTGTTACATCACCAGTTCTGCACAAACGCCTATGGTGGATGCTTGCCTTGGACCCTGCCTCCGCCATGCTCTTCTAGAACGTCACCTGTGCTTTGCGGGTCATCTGCTAATCCTCTTGGGTTTGCCGAGCACTCCGTACTATACGGAGTACCTTGGTATTGTAGTTTGCGTCCCTCGTACGTACATACTCCCCCTTGCCGTTATCCGCCTGGCCCAATGTCACTTCCGCGCCTGCGCCACACGAACCAAGCTACGGAGATTAGTCCTGGGCATCGCTCATGATCGTTCTGGAATATACGAGATCGGGTTGTGATTGGCATTCCATTCTTCAGACTGCTAGTATCCAACTGCATGCCTCGTACTCGTTATCCCAATGAGCATTCTCCAGGTACAGTCCTAATTGCACAGCCTTGTCCGTTCCTGATCAACTACATCAAATTGGAAGCGAATGGCGAACTTCATTGTGCTGGTTTAACCACAACAGACTTGCTACGAATGGCAAGGCGGACAACTCAGACAATGTTAATGGTGCCATCTTGTCAAGCTTCTTTTGACTCGAGCGCTGTGAATGAGAGACATCGTAGACCAAGAATCAGGTGTCCATCTCTACCCCCTTCGTATGCGCGCTCTCTTTCGATTGCAGACCCGCTCCAATTTGACAAAGAGGTTTGCCCGGCTTCTTCCATAAACCGTGATGTATGCAGCATCAAGGAGTGACTAAATGAAAAAACCATCCAGATTTGACCCCGGACAGTTGATTTGGTGCGGACGAGTCGGTCCATATCGTCTTATTCGTTGCAGCCAGAAGCCAGCCCACAAAGGCTGGCTGGCGCAAGTTAGCATTGAACATAGCCTCTGCTCAGCCACCGCTGCGGGAAGTAGTGAATCGAGCTAGTTCTGATTGTACTTGCTGACCACTTTCGAGGTTGCTCGTTGTCAGTGTTCAATTGGCTAAGTCAAGGATGGCCGTGCGGAGGGCAACATGGTACAGAAAGTATATCCTGCTTCATGCTCTTTTTCATTCGGTTTTGGGGGAATTCAACCTGGTTGGGATCTTAGCAGCTAGTGGCAAAGCCACTCCTGTATAGAATTGTTCCTGGAAGTCCCCGTCCTCAAGACTGTAGCTATGCATGTCAAAACTGCACCTGACGCATTTCCCAGCTGCATCGGCATACTTTCACCTTCGATCGACTTCAGATCTTTCACCAGCCGAGATGCGGTTTGAAGTTCTGAATGAGGATAATCATTCCCCTGGTCGTCCACATCTCCCGCCTGCTTAAAAGTGACCAATGGCTGTTGATATGCAAGCTCGATCAAAATAACGCCCAAGGCAAACACCAGCTTGTCCTCAATCAAAGGAGTCGATGGTTTTGTGCGCGATCGGGTGCTTGAGGGGAAATCACATTGGACCTACGGGTTCGCTGTTGTCAGTGCTCGATGCTTCAAACCCATCCAGAAATACTTCCTTCAGGTCAAATGCAGAGCTGCGGTTCAATGTCCAGTTCGTCCCAGAGAAATTTCTGAGGCTGAGGCCCTCCGTGATCAAGAGAGATGAGTAGCCGAAGCGAAAAGCCTCACAGATATCTGTGGCTTTCCGAGTCTCGAGTCTGAGACTGGCAGCATGAGCGTGACCCGGCGGCTGTTGCCAATGAGCCGCAAGGGAGCCGCATATACTTTTCGCCACCTCCCGAACTGCTTGCCAAATTGTGGCATTTCCTCGTCTCTTCCGCTCTAGTCACACTGGAGCGTCTAGCATCATGGGCCGGATGAGTCGTTTGCAGGTGTGTAAGTATCATAGAGAGGCGACGCTAAAAGCGAAGGACTAGGCTTTCAAGAGCGTGTTCATATTTAACCCATATGAGAGGCCGTCTGACTCCTTCTTGGTAGTGCTGGAAGTTAGCACTTGTTCAGCGTGCACGTTCTAGGACGCACTTCTTTAAGACCCTTCCACGAGGAGTGGTATCACTCCCAGCACAAGACCCACCACTTCGAGACCGGACATGACATATGGTTTGAGGGCACGCCACTGTCCATTCAGGAGTCTCTCGTGGTCAGTGGTGAGAGCTGCACGGTATGCAATGGGCGATGCCTTCGATCACTCGCCAAGGCTGAGCAACATTCAGAAGGACGAGTAGGTTAATTACCCCGGAATGTGTCCGGTCTCCTACTCCGGAATTTCATCATGCTGCTTTAACAGGAATCGGGACAAATGCCAAAGAACTTGAAAGAAGAAGCACACTACAAAATGTGTCTCCCGGAGATCCTAGTGTGAAGATAGAGCGACTACTCCGTGTAGGCGTGCTCCCATTAGGATTTGTACAATAGTTGAGAGACTAAACACAAGGGGTTATTGCTGGCCGAGAACACCGGCTTGCATAAGGTGACGAACGGTTCATACGCGTAGGCGTTATCTGGCTCCACAAAAGAACTAAATCACTCAAATTTGACAAACCGCTGGAGAGTGATCTAAGTCTTGAGGAACTGCTCCGCAGCCGATCTGCGGATTCAACGAAGAGCATGATCGTCCTTTGGAAACTGGAAGTCCAGGTGCATGGGTCTGCAAGGAAGGTGAAAACGGGAGGTGTGGTCAAAAACAATAAATATGTACAATCGGAAGCCTCCGTTTTGTACACTGGAGCGATGATATAAAGTCTATTCTACATTGCGATGTGTGGCCTCATACCTCTTTCCTCTGAAAGCCCAGATGCCCCAGTTTCCACAACTGATATCCTGGGGGTCGAGATCATTCAAGTCCCACCTCAGGGAACGGAACCTATTCTCCCCTGGTTCCATTAAAAGATCCACTTCTCCAGCACACTTTTCCATCACCCATTTCCAATCTCGGTGCATATCCCACTCCGTGTATCCGGTACAGATGATCGGGATCTTGGTCTCGAGCAATTTAGGTATTGTGCTTTCCCACTCATGAGACGATGCTGGGTGGCCCAGGCCAGGATGATAGAGCATGAAACAGTCGAAATAAGGATCATAGGGGTAAAACAGGTTAGCCTCGTGGAGTGTATGGAAATAATCGACATAGGTTGTGATCTTCATTTTGTCGGAGATTCGATCTTCCACAATCGCGCCGAACGGGTTGGAAGCTGTTCGCTCCGGGAGGGGAAATTCGGCGTCTCGGTTTAACATGGACTCAGGACCGATGAAATTGAGATGGATGGTGGATCGGGGAAATATGTGGTTGAGCTGTGTCCAGACTTCGCGCGGCAGAGAAGATTCAGCACGAGCACCAAGTACAAATATCCTGATCGGTGGACTCGACAATCTCAATCCTGCTACAGAGATGCCCTGCCCTTGGCGTGGTGGATGAAGTGTATACCGTAGAGCTATGTATGTAAGTTTAGTTTCACACACCCGAGTTGCACAGACTTACCACTCAAACTCTTCAACCCTTCTGCCGTCAATCTCCCTCCTCTGCGAATGTTATAAGGACTCAATTCATGCAAAACGCTTCCGATAGACAACGGATAGGTCAAAAGCCGGGTTGCCTGGCGCATACTTCTTTCCTCGTTAATAGCTTCAAATTGCCGGGTGTATAAGAATGTATCCCAGCTCGTCATGTTCACCAGAATCTCATCTAGCTGAGGCCCAGGGTATTCAAACTCGGAGAACCATCGTCCAGACCTCAAATCGTGGTCGTCTTCATTGATCTGCCGCAGAGTATCGCAGATCTCGAGATGTGCTTCAAAATCATCTGCCCAGTGCTCCTCGCAGCAGTATGTAGCAATTCCGCAATCTGGACATTCGAAGCTTACGTGTGCTGGCGGTTGCGTACTTAGTCCAGTAACTTTTCTTGACTCGGGATCGTACGGAGACACTGGAACTCTAGTCTGCTGGTGTGCAGGATGCGGACAAAGGGCATGCTGTTTTGTGAAGCGAGCGCGCTGCCTTATCTCAGGAATAGGAGATTCGGAGAAAGGGTGGAACAGGTTGTCAGGTTGGAGGAGCACTCGACCGTGGGCTCGCCATTCGCCATAGTCTGTTGGAGGGATGTTGTGCCGTTCGAAATTGTCGGGCTCTTCTACAGGTGCCGTAGAAATAGATGACGCTCGTGCGAGTTGTTTGGGAGGTTGTCTCCAGGCCATGCCAATGCCGCCGCCAATGCTGGCACGATTGTGATATACTGAGGAGCTTGCGGTAAACCATCGATGGCTAGGTAGGGATCGTTGGATTTTGCTAGTTGTTTGCCTTCGCCCCGTAGCGGCCAGGGCCCTGGTGCACCTCAGGCATGTGTAAACGCCTTCCATGGAGATAGAATGCAAGGTATTGCTCTCGGACAAAGCGAGCAATCGTCGCCTGGGAAAGGTACAAATGTCATTCGATCAGACCATATCAGCATAGCTGCCAAGGGAGAGGAAATCTGCTCGCGACTCCCCATTTAGGGAACAGGGTGATGCCGCCCTGTGTTCACGCCGATCTCGCGCAAGCTGGGAGAGTGATTACCCAGGTGGATCCCCTTGCAGATGGTCGTGATTGGCTTTCTTGACCAATGGGTTCCCAACCAGAGACGGAGCGGAGCCCATCCAATGAAAACGCCAAGCTACTCAAAAGCAGCGCCGATGGACGCCTACCTTTGGGCTAGCTTTGATTAAGCCGCTTTGCCTATAGTGGTAAAGAGCTGCCCTACACGGTCGACCGCTTAATACCACTTACGTCCAACCACCAAAATTCTACCATTGATAAATAGAGGAGAATCCCTCCTCGCTGCTTTCAACAGAGTCCAAGGTTCCCAGATATCCCAGCGTCGTCATCTTCTACTCCTGGCAGCATCTGACTGTCCAGCACAAAGTTGGCATTCGTGTGATCATCACTCGTGGTGGCCAAAAACATTTGAGGAATGATCCCGTACGCCTGACCGGCCGACTGGAAGGCTCGGGCTCATAAGGATCTATTGACATATTCGGGGTGTGGCTTCTACGGCCACGTCCAATATCACCGACCGCTAGCTCGTCGATGCCACAAGTCCCAACTGAATCTCTCCACATCCGAAGTCATTGCGCGAAATAGGTTGACCATGTTTGTGCTTCCGTCGTAGCCGACTCGAAATTATCAATCAAGGGAAGTTCTGCCAAAAGTGCGAAATTGTCTTCTCTCATGGAGGCGCTTAGCAACATACATCTCAATCCTCTTATGCTCGGCTTATTTCCAGTACTACAAAACTGTTGTCTTGCCGCCTTTCCTGATCCTACTTAGAAACAGTCAGCCCTTCAAGGCGCTTAATAGAAGTAACATGCAAAAGAAAGAGCGCGTTATCAATAATACAAGGCTTTCTTCATTACTACACTACGGATATGAGCGAGAACAACATGTCGACAAGCGCCTGGCAGGGATGCAGGCTCATGGGGCTGAGCAACATCGCTTATCAAGATCCGGTCTGTCTTCATAAAAGAGATATACCGAACAAACAGTACCTAAGGACTACCTGGCCCTTGAGCATTTGGATCTTAGACTCGAAGCATGACCTGCGAAGACCCTTACGGGTCTACTAACAGGACCAGATATAGATTATCTTTGTGCTCTCGCAAGGCGTCTCTACGGTTGCAACAATTCTACCTTTTGCCTTCCGTAAAGCGGAACGAAGTATACACCACCATCAAATTCAAAAACAAAGCTACTGTTGAGTGGTCGTCGTCGCCCTAAGAACGTGGTTTTAAGCCCGAAAGTAACGCCTCTCCTCAACGGTCTATTCTACATCAACGACTTTATTGAACCCTGAGAGAATAAGTAGTCAGACGAATAAAGAGGGACATTCAGAGAGAAGGACCCACCGGGGCAGAACACGGTGTAAGAGAAGACATAAACTTTGTTACCACTGTCGAATTTAGTTGCTGAACCAAGATGAAGAGAGATTGAATTGCGTGCATCAATTGCCAACGAAGAACAAGGGGAAATAGATCCCAGACTCGATCCTGACTCTTCGACGAGCCGGTGGAAGCGCCGCTTTCTCGTTGTTTCCACTGTCTGATCCCATGAACTTTCGGTTGTACGCATTTTCACTGAAGATCACTTTTGTCTAAGTTCTTGGGTCCGTTTCGAAATCCAACAGCTCCTTCAACAAAAACCGATTGCAAAAACCAGCCTGAGGTGGGAATAGTTCTGGCATGACTGGCATGTTATTGTCTCGAGCGTCCACACCCCAAGCAGCAGGATTGAGCTGTGGGTCGATATTCTGAAGACCATTATCTGCTCTGGTGTCCACCGCCAGGGACTGGAAAATATGGGACATTTTGATGTTCTGTGGAGGCCAGCTCAGGTTTAGGTGCTGTCGATCGATCTCAGATATCAAGGCGGCCAATAGGCCGGCGCCACGAACGGCGACGACGCTGGTTTCGAATTTCTGCAAGAGCGAGATACATTCCACCACTAAGTCATGGTAGCTCTGATACTCAGGGTCTAATTGCGATTGACGGTGGAACAAATCCAAACACAAAACGATTCCGGCCACTACGCAGAACGCCTTGTCGACCCAAATGATAGGACCGCTCTTTTCGTCCATTTGTTTTGCTTCATTCAGTATTGTTTTGGCAGCTGCAATGCACGTCACGCGGGTGGTGGAGTAGGCCGGATTGGCGAAGCTTGGCCGGATGAATTGTCGATGGATCATGATGATCTTGTGCGCGAAGCAGATGGTTAGGCTCCGCCGGGCCCAGGGCACCCACTTGGGCCAGGCCGGGTCGATAGGTTCGACGACATGGAAATACCTGGGCATATCTTGGGTGGCTAACGTACGCATCCTAGAGTCGAAATCCAAAACTTGTTCGTACTTAGTGAAAGGCGTTGTGGCACGTAGCATAGCTTCATGGTGAGTGGCCATAAGCTTTGCGATCTCAAACAGATAATTACCATAACTGACATACGTCGGAAATGTGGCCGGAATTGGATCCATGGTCAAATGGTTGCGGCTGGATGGTTTCGTGGTCGTGAAATGTAAAGGGTTGATGCAGTGATTTCCAGCGAATGGCAAAGACATCCAATCCTGAATGCATAGCTGCGACCATAACCTCCGACCGACCTCCAGGCGCAATAGAGTATGTCGTTGCTCTTCGGACGTGGTAGGCAGAATCTGCTCCAATGCTGGATTTTGACGCAGTTGATCTAAGCCTAAACTTTGGGCGATCTTGAGGGCACTTCCCATGAGTATCGACAATTCAGAAGATCGACCTAGGGGATGAGCGGACATGGTCAGGGTGGCTATTGCGTGCAACGAATAGATAGTGTGGTTCGTGGTGTATTCCGCCTGGTTTAGACATATAATGGTCGCTTTGTACCACTGCATCGACAGCTTCACAGCTTCACTTTTGGAGAAGCCCAATTGTTCGAGTTGCCGTGACGTCGCACAGGTTAAACTGCCGGTTATGACGGCGAACAACAAAGCGAGCCATTGAAGGTCTAAGCCTCTGATCATAAGCGAGCTAACTTGTTCTTGCGAGCTCAAAACGCTATAGAGCTCCCACCGTAGGGTTGGGCCATGATAACATCCGTGGTACCACAGTAAGTACAGTTCATGGTAGTCGACCAACTTCCAGATGCTGTCGACGCTAGGAAGAAGCATTTGAAGAAATGTCTCTTGGGCATCGGCTGCCGAGCCGAACCCGACGCCTATCGTCGAGACCCATTGACTGGGCGAGGTAGCGTGTTGCCTGGTTTGCGCAGCCAGAGGTCGTCGGAGTGCTTTGCGTTCAAACGGCCGAAAAGAATATTGTAGACGGGGATCCTCATTCGCCCACTCGTACCCTGTCAAACCGATCTCCGGACCGTTCGCTTCGGGTTCCCGTTCTGCCGAAGCTACGTCTTTCTCTTCGAGGAGACCTGAATTGGTCGCATCAGTCACGAAAGATGGAGATACATGGTGAGCATGTGGTGAATTCTTCCGCTTCTTGTTCGGTTGTGATCTTGGGGAAACCCGATGGACAGACGGATCGTACTTGTCACCGGGCCACTGGCGAGTGCAGCGATTGCGCTCGCCTCGTTTGATGCAGCGTCCACAGGGAAGCTGTCGGTCACATTTCTGCCGGCGCAGTGAACATGCGGTACATGTCTCCCTTGGACGTGGGGGCATCGTTCGATAAGGGACACTATCACCAACTAACGTGAAAATGATGTGGGCGAAACCCGACGTACAATGGAGAGCGGAGCCAGGATTTGAAGATACATCTACTTGAGGCCTGGAGGGGAGTCCAAGCCACGCAGTCGAAGGAATCCCAACCGCACGAGAGGGACCCAGGACCGGGCGATGTGACCCGATTTTCGTCCCGTACGAAGTGAACACGAGCCGAAAGCGCCGCCAATCAGGTGGTCGCCTTTGAGCGCCAAGATCACTAGCCGAGCCGACTTGATAACGTGATAGAGCGCTGCTGCGTTGGTTGATTCACTCAGAGATCGAACGTCGTACGGCCAAATAGTCACGAGGGTCCCCCGACATGGAGGCCTCCGACGAAAGTCAAATATAGGACGTATGAGTGTCCTTCCAGGCCGATGGCACCTTGCTCTCACGAGTCCTATATCAGGTGTACCAAGATCCCTATCCGATCAGCAGGAGCCGGGCCATCATCGACACATTGGATATCGAAACCCCTATTGTTGCGACCCACGAAACACTTTGACCAGCCAAAAAGGCCGTCTGCTGGACTGAAATGGCCATCACCTACGAGCCCAGTCCTACATTCATCATCCCGACCGTAGATTTAACGGCATATTTCAAAGACCCCAGTTCACCCGAGGCAGAACGAATCGTCGAACAGGTCCGCACTGCATGTGCCACAAGTGGCTTCTTCCAGATCACAGGTCATGGTGTCTCGCAATCCCTCCAAGAACGAGGATTTGCTGCGGCAAAGAAATTATTTGCTCTTCCTGACGAAGTCAAGCGTACATTGACCGGCGATCCTGGTCGGGGATACGAAGTACTTGGTTCGCAAATTCTGGAGGAGGGTAAGAAGCCCGACTTGAAAGAGGTACGTGTCTACGGTTCTGGCAGGGCGCCTCTACAGCTCCATAGATCGCGATGGCGCCGATCAGGAAGAATTTCCGTGCTGGAGAGGCTGGCACGTTGGTCGAATCTGACTTACCAATCTGATTGTGGTGTTTCAGGGCTATTTTATCGGCCGCGAAATCCCCGGAAACAAGCCCCCTTTTCGTCGGTTTCAAGAGGCCAACATCTGGCCGGACCCGAACTTGCTACCAGAAAGTGAGTTCAAGGATCCTTTGCTAGAGTATCACGACGCTCTGTCAGAACTTTCATTTCACGTCACGAGTATTCTGTTTCGGGGCCTTTCCGATTTCGACACGAGCATCTTTACGGACTTTTGCAAAGATCCTATCGCCACCGTCAGACTGCTCCATTACCCTCCCCACCCGCCGTTGGCGGATCCCAATCTTGTTGGTGCCGGTGCTCACACTGATTTCGGCGCTCTCACGCTCCTGCTGCAGGACGGTCACTCGGGACTTCAGGTGTTGAAAAAGACCCCGGAACAAGATCAATGGATCGATGTCCCGCCCCAGAAAAACGCCTACGTGGTCAATGTCGGCGACTTTCTCGAGTCCTGGACCGGTGGCGCCTACAAGAGCAACATCCACCGCGTCATCAACACCAGCGGCACGGACAGATATTCTATCCCATTCTTCTGGGACGGAAATGCAGATTGTGTCATCAAGCCTCTCGATGGATCACTGGCTGAAGGGTACACGGTGGAGGAACATATGCTCTCGAGATATGCGAAAAGTTTTGCCTGATTAGTGGTCGCTTGTCAGATCTGCAACGTCGGCGAGTCCTGGAGGTAGGCGATATATAATGCGTGATTTTATAGTCAAATTTAGGCTCACCCCGTTGAGGCGAGCGGCAGTCATGACAGAACCACTTTATGTGTAGATCATCGCCGTTTGAATCCTTCATTACGACAGAGTGGAGCGCTTTCATGACATGTACAGCTTTTATGCAGCGGGAACGCTCAGGAATCAAACAGACGCTAGTTGGTTTCCAATATTTCACCGCTGTCGATGCTGTATCGTCGCATAAATTGGTCTTTGTTCTGCGAACTATGCCGCCCAATGCATCAAATTTCGATACAAGCATTCATCTATACTTTCTCTCTGGCTTTAACTTGGCTATGCTCGACTTTCCCCGAATCCGTCTAATGACGTCCCGCGCCGCATCCTTGATCTGACGTTCGTCTGCCACGACGAGTCGGTGGTCATCCACCACGACCTGTCCGTCAACCAGTACGGTCTTGACATCAGCTGCCGTGCAAGAGTAGACAATGGTCGTCAAAGGGTCGACCCCGCCGCCCAAGACCTGGTCGGGGTCGAATGGACAACACTGTAGACTTGACGGGTCTAGCACGACAAGATCGGCCTTTTTGCCCACTTCCAGACTTCCTACCTCCTTTTCAAGACCCAACGCTCTGGCTCCGTCAATGGTGGCCATACGAATCAGTTGTTCCGCTTCCATGAGCGAAGGGTCGTTCCGGCTGCCTCTCTGGATCAGAGCTGCCGTTCTCATCTCCTGAATCATGTCATAGGTGTTGGCACATGGAGCTCCGTCGGTCCCTAGACTGACGTTGATGCCAGCAGCAAGTAGTTCTGGTATGGGAGCAATGCCCGATGCAATCTTGCAGTTGCAGCTAGGGTTGTGAGCGACGGACACCGAGGGACGAGAGACATGGTTGTCATCTCGCGAGGTTGGGACTTGTTGATGTCGTTGCAAAACCGCCAGATCCTTTTCCAGATCTAGATTAACCATGTGAGCTAATACGGTCTTCCGGCTCTCCTCTTCGCCAGCGATCAGGTTAGTGCGTTCGCAGAATTCGACTGGGGAACAGTTGTAGCGGTCGCGATAGATCCAAAGATCCGCCGGTGCTTCCGCACAGTGCATGGTCAGGGAAATGTCGTGTCGGGCACAAGCGTCCCCGATGGCCCTGTGGGAGGCTTCACCTGAGCCTCTGGGGGTGCCGGCGGCCATCCAGACGCGAATCCGTCCTCCATAGGACCCGTCATATCTACTGTGTGCGGCCAAGGCGCTTTCTATAGACATGCTGGAGACGTCCCTGTCGCGCGCGTCTACCAGGACGCCTGGTGTTTCCGGCTTGACAAGTTTGGCCTGAGGCTGTAAGTTTCAGGGTCGTTAGACTCGAGAAAGAGGGAAAGGCGTACCAAACAACCCCTCACGCCCATCTCCTCCACAGCACGAACCACATTGTCGAACCCGCTTTGGTGAGTCAACATGGCTTCCAGAAAACAGGTCGTGCCACTCTTCAACATCTCGGCGATGGTCAATCTTGCAGCCACGTAGCCATCCTTCCCTTCATAGTTGGTCTCGAGAGGCCAGATCGAATCACACAGCCAGGAATGCAATGATACGTTCTCGGCCAGACCTCTCAAAAGGGACTGAGTCAGGTGAGCGTGAGTGTTGATCAGTCCTGGCAGTATGATACACCCAGAGACGTCGACGATATCGACGTTGGAGGGGACTTGGTTCAATAGGTCTGCACTCTTTGCGATCGCCACAATCCGGTCGGCGTTGACCAAGAGCGCACCGTTCAGCCAGATCGTGTTCTGGGCATCGACGGTGATGATGGTGGCGTGGACGAACAAGGTCGATCTGTTCTTCATGTTGGGATGGTGAACGGAGCGATCAGAAGTTTGGACGGTTCGAGGACTCGCCGTCTGCCAGACATTGGAGGCTGCGAACACAGCTTGTCGCTTCTCGCACTCTCTGCAACATTGTCGTACAGAGAAGGTTAGGCAAAAGACGCGACGACTGAAACGACTGTGACCTAGAACATTAGTGAGACCCTCCTGCCTACAATCCAGCCTCCGCAGGAGATAGGACGAGACTTTTTGCATCAAACGATGGAGGCTGGGATAGCTGGATCCACCAGTCGTTTGTCGCGGGCCAAATCTCGTACGAGCAGACGTAACTTTATCGAAGATAAAGCTGAGCGAGACCCCGCAATCGCTATCACGGACGTGACTACCTCCGTACGAAGTATCCATCCATTCGGAACACCAATGGGGGCCTCCTGGCAAGCATATAGCTAATAGGTCCGAGATATCATCCCACTCTTGTGCGAGATTCTAGCCTTTTGAGCGATCCCTAAGGGCTTACAGACCTATTGCTTGATAGAAGTCTAGAATTATGCCCGATCTATGTGCGGGGCTATGCCATATTCATAGCAGGGATAGACTTTGCACCGATGTTGATTGTGATGACGCCATTCTGGTAAACGATATTGCAAATGGATTGATTTCGAGGGCTGTGGAACAAAGGTTCTCGAGCCAACTGCCCTTTACAAGACGACTTCTCTTAGTAGGCGCTTATGTGTAGACCCGGCTACTTCTTGGGCATACAAGAGTCATGATCAGCTGGGTGGTGAATCGCGTCCTGGTCTCCCGCTCGAACGCTTTCGAGCAGCCTAGAAAGTTGGCGACCTAATGGAATCGATGGCACCGGCTGTGGTGCAGGACGTCGAGGTTCTCTTTGGACAAATCCTTTATCATAACCGTCAAACACTCGGCATGCAATGTTCCTCTACAGTCCGACGTCTATTCCTCGATCATGTCGACATGCGTGACCTGGCTTTAAAGGAGCTGCTCGGCCGCTGTCCAGCCTCGCAATCCTGCATTATCGTTGGGTGCTCAATCATTGTCCTCCATGGCAAGACTGTCGATGTGACGATGGGATGACACGAGAATTGGACCTGGCCCTGTCGCAGGTGAAGAACTCTCTCCGACCTGCACTTGCAGTTTTGCCCGGTTTCCGCGAGAGAAGTGATCGTCGCCATGATCGCTGCGAAATTGCTTGACCTTGTCGTCCCTGAAAGCCACTCAGACGACTGGTGAATCTGAGCATCATCATCGAACTCCTGCTCGGTCGACGAGTCTGTCAGCTACGTGGTGGTGTCGAACAACACCATCCGAGAGATTTGGCAAGAAGGCTGCCCACCATCTGCGGCAACTGACCCTTTTCGTGTGTGTCTTTTATGCCTCGTACGAGAAGAAACTCTCACCATCTGATGCAGGAACCATTCTGGAGAAGGGACGTTAGCCTATGTTTGAGAGGCCAATAGACGTTATTCCGTCTCCCAGACGATGTATCTTACTTACAAAGCCCTCCAGTTCCAAGTTTGGCAGCAATAACCATCTTCCTCATCGCCATTGCGTTCAACCTCGAAGCCTTTGAATGTGTCTAGGAATTTGTGAGAAACTCTCTTCAGCTAAGTTAGAAACGGAACAGGCAGATAATATGGAAATGAATGGAAATTCCACCTGAATCGACAGGGGCTCCTTGGAAAGGTTCAAAGGAGGACAGAGCCAGCCTAGTCAAGGGATATTTGCTGCTCATCAGAAGAATGTGGCTCCCTGTGTGGCTATGCCACTCGATTACCACCTCCTCTCCCCAGCTCCAAGTCTACAGCGAGATTAGCAACAGCTATCCCGCTACGTGCTTGGTTCTCTATAGTGGATGCGCCAACGTGAGGTGTTATGATCACGTTTGACCTGCTGAGAAATGTGCCATAGGCCTCTCTTGGTGGAAGCTCGATCTCCACGCGTCCAAGCCGACTCCGGCCAGCTTGTTCGACTCCAGCACTTCAAGCAGTGGTTTCTCATCGAGGATCCCACCCCTCGCACAGTTGAGGAGAATTGCATCTGGTTTCATCTGCGCGAATTCGTCTCTAGAAATCATACCCTTGATAGATCCTGTCAACGGTAAATGGAGTGACACTACATCAGCGTCCTTGAGGAGACTGTTGAGGTCGTCGACTTAGCTCATGCGAGAGCTGAGGGTATTGGACCACGAAGTGCCCTTGTAATATGGGTCATAAGTTAGTATCGTTCCTTCCATTGCCCCGGCTCATTTCTTAGCAAATGCTAGCCCTATATTGCCGGTTTTAGGTCAATGTGGTCAACTCCAATGCCCTGCTTGATCACATATCTGAGCTGGTCGGACTTGCGGAACTCTGCCATTGACAATAAATTACTAGCATAGCAGAAGACACGTCAGATAATAGTCGTCCAGCTGGTCGAGTAAAGCGTTTACGATTTACCTGTGTCAATTGTTGAAACTGGAAAATCCGCTGTGACGGGGCCCAACCGAGTTGTGGCATATGCTCAAGCTGTTTTATGACAAGCCTCCTCCGATGAGCCAAATGATCGCCATGGTAGAAAAACTCAAGGAACTTGAAGACACCGTCGAAGAATTGAAGAATAGCAACAACAAGACAATTTCAGGGCAAGATCCTGGCCTGAGTCAACGTCGTACCGAGCGGCTCCGGGCACTGAGCTAAACAACCACGATTCGTTGGGAGATACTACGCACCTGGACCATTCAAGAGCCTATTACGACTCAACCTCCGCCGTAGATATACCTCAAGGAGCTGAAGCCAACAGCGTTCCCACGACTCTTCTCCTCACCAAGCAACAGACTCTCGAATCGACCACAATTGCCACCACGACATGAAGCTTTGGGAAGAGTATGCCATAGCCAACAGCGGCTCGCTTTTAGACTCTCGCGCCAGACCGAATTCGACATCTCTTCGCAATTCACTGGACCTGGCTGTATCCGGATTTTATGTTCGAGAACCGGGCTATGTTCCTCCGCGATGCCGCCGCCGGAAGAGAATAACTTCTCACCTCTATTGTTGACGACAATCTGTTTACATTCCACCAGGTTCGCCAACCATGAACATGTGGAAAATCCACTCACACGTACGAAAAGCCTTATTGGACAAGCGATCCATGGAAACCATCTATACCGACTGTATCAAGCTTTGCTAGAGTTGAGCATTCACCAAGTAGGGGAAGGCAACACTTTTGAGGCATGGCTTTTAGGATGGTTATCGATCTTGGCTATTTCTCGGACCGACCTTTTGATGGTACCGATGCACAACAGCCAGCCCATCAGGGTCCCAAACAGGACGAAAACTTGCTGGTCATGCTTCATGTGGGATAAAGCCCTCAGCTTTCACTTGAGAAGAGCTCTAACTCTTCTAAATGCCCTATCGACGCTGCTCGAGCCGTCCAACGACATGATCGAGCAGCAGCCGTGGACAGCGTGTGGAACCGAACAGACTACAATGGTACATACGGCCTCACCCTCAAATGCCGCAATGTGTTTCAGCAATCTCTGCGCCATAGGAAAGGTCGTCAATGAGATCTTGCTTGGGATATACAGTGAACGCCATACCGAGGATGCCGGTTTGTTGATCAGATCGACTCGCCAGAAGCTTGAAAACGGCGTGAAAATTGGTCTTCGATCCTGAGGTTGGACGAATCACCTTTCTTCTGTCCAAATATACACGTTTTAACACTGAAGTAAGCACGGTACCTTGTTTGCACTGAAGCATCAGCTGACCGCAATTCTAGCTTGCTCTACCATACTGCTACAATACTGCTTCTGCGACCTTTTCATCACAATCAATCATACCGAGGGTCTTTTCGCAACGCTACCGACTCTATCGAATCCCTGTCTCTTAGCTTTGAACGGACGTTTGGGCTGTTGAGAGTCACCTTTCTTGTGGTGGTAAGTGAGAGAGACAGCGCGTATGGCAACCATCAAACCCTGAAAGGAGAGGCTCTGCCCTCGGCACTGCTGGAAAATATAGCAGGAGGAAGAAACATGTCCGCGCGAAGACGGCGCCGAAGCAGAAGACTAGTGACAGCAAAGCCAGTTGCCGAAATCCGGCAAACAGGTGCTTTGGGATTATCGGCTAACGCGCTACTCGCCATTCGATCTGCAGGAAGAGGGTAAAGGTAATTACGCCGAAAACGATCAGACAAATGACTGTTGCTGACTTCAATGTATGTGTGCCGCCGCCTATTTACAACCCCAGCAGAAACATGATGGTGGCACCTCTTATAGTGAGACTTCCAAACCAGTCGATGGCCTTAAGAGCTGGATTGACTGTGGGTCTTTCGTTGTGTAGCTTGAGAGTGAAAAGGACAAGAAAGAATTGGGTATCGGAGGTTGGAACTGCGCTGAGGCAGAGAATCTACGAAGTGGGCCAGTATTGCACTTGGGTACATGAGTAATGTTGTGACAATTGTTGACGGTTTTACCAACTGGGTCCGGGACTCAATCCGTCCCGAGCGGGTAGTTAAAGTCAAATTGCTTTTCGGTGTTGATAGATGGTCTATTCGAGCGTTACTCGAAGACCACCAAACAGGTTCGCTTTCTGCTCGACGCAGAGAGAGGGTCGGTGCAACTATAACGCTAAATCACTACTTTACGGATGACCTTGAAAAATGGTCAGTCGCAACAGACCTCAGTCGCTTCGCTGACCCCTCAGCAGTCGACAGAAACGAATGCGGGCTCGAATGTCCTAGATGTCCATCAATGACTGCACACATGGCCAGGTAGTCAGACTTCAAGATCTGACTCAAAGCCATCCGATGAGCAACTCCGAATATATCGTTCAGGACCTCCACGATATCCTTTTTCCTTACTACAAAGTAGCCCCGGAAGCGATTTGGGGATAGCATTTGTATGCAGGCTGCCGATCATTTTCTCGGTAATGGACCTAAGACACCTTTGACTGTGTTTTCACCTACGTCTGTCAGTGGTCTCAATGCCGAGCAGTCATGCATCCACTGATTTGTTTCGTTTTGTCTCTTGTCTCCCAAGGCTTAGGTGATGGGTTTCAGGAATGGTCAGGTAAATATTAATCTCTCACCTGTAGCGCTGCTTCAACATGCAAGACAATATCATGCCCAAGGCCAAGGCTTGGAAAAGCTCGGCCCGTTTTTTGCTTGTTCTTTCCTATGAGAGTTGCTGCAATATCTGGTTGAGATTGCAGGTCCATGCAATGTATTTTGAGCGAAGCAAGAGGAGGGTGGTCAAGTGATAATGTACACGACAATTTCTTTTCGGTCGCAGAAGTCTATTCTACTTGCCGATCCAGACTCTGGCCAAGAACCATCTGGTAGTATCGTCCCCTTCGAGCGATCAATTCGCCATGTGTTCCAACTTCAGCAACCCTCCCCTGGTGAAGGATGTATATTCGGTCGCATCGCTTGATCGTGGAGAGGCGGTGAGCGACAGAAATAGTCGTCCTTCCAGGTCCTTTTGCCGCCGCTTCAATGGCTTCCTGGACGACAATCTCATTCTCCGTATCGAGTGCACTCGTGGCTTCGTCGAACAGGAGGATCTCAGGGTCGCGAATCAACGCTCGGGCAATGGCAATTCTCTGTCTTTGGCCGCCGGAGAGAGCGAGACCCCTTGTCCCGGCGTCAGTGTTATATCCATCGGGCAGAGACTGGATGAACTCGTGAATGTTGGCATCTTTGCATGCTTTGACGAGTCGCTCTTCCGATACTGTATCGTCCGGCACGCCGATAAGCACATTCTCCCTGATCGAGCCTTGATACAGTGTAGTGTCTTGTGAGACCATTCCGATTCTCGATCGATGGAAATGGACATCGAAGTCCCTGATGGGCATGTTGCTGAGTAGGATCTCTCCGCGTGCGATGTCGTAGAATCGCTCGAGCAAGCTGATGACCGTCGTTTTGCCACAGCCTGATGCACCTACAATGCCTATAGATTCGCCTTTATGCACCTTCAGATTCAAGCCCTGCAGAACCTGAACATCCAGTCGGCTTGGATAAGTGAACCATACATCCCGGAACTCGATGGCCACATCGGAATTGCCATCACTGGACAAGGCCTTTGCACCAGTTGACGTATTGATTGCGGGTCTGGACCTCCGAAGGTCGATTATATGGTTCGCCGCCGAGTGCGCTTTCGTCGTATCTAATTCCAGGTCAGTAGAGGCGAGGCGTTAGAGGCGAGGCTGCTTACTCAAAGTGAAGCCAAATAAGAACCCGGCAGCTTGTCCTCCAAATATGATTGCAATAAACACAATGAAAAAGACACCTGCGTCCAATTTGCCTTCTGACATCAATTTACCGCCATACCAAAATGCCAGACCGATCGCACCCAGGTCCAGACTCTCACTTAGACCGAACAGAATCATGCTGAGAACAGTTTGACGTAGGTCCTTTTTGGATGTTGTCACAAGTTTCTCGTCGTATGTCTTCACAACCTTCGGCTCGAGAGTTAAACTGGAGACAGTCCTGATGGCTCCAATCGCTTCGGCAGCAAATCGGGCACTCTCATGATACATCTTGCTCATTCGATCTTGACTTTTCATCTCAAGCCGCATCCTTGTGAATCCTGCGAAGAAGAGCGGAGGCAAGCAGCCAAATATGGCTACAAGAGCAAGTCGCCAACCATAAGCCAGTGCTAACGTGCAGGATCCAATGAGGTTGACGATGACAATCAAGATGAGGCCAAAATTTGCCGAGATCAAGTCTTGGAGCCTTTGTGTGTCGGTGGAAAGTCGACTGGCCATCGTCCCCGCAGAATGACCGTCGAGGTCGAAGAACGAAACGTCCTGGTTCAACATCGCGGTGAAGTACTCACTTCGATAGAAACGAGTTGCGTAAAAGGCGGCAACGGTAAACAGTAGGCCAAGACATGCATAGCAAACGAGTACCCCCAAACCCATAATAAAATACATCAAGGCCCAGAAGTTTCCGCGATCTTCTACGCGATCGGGAGGAAGTTGGAAGACGAGGACGCTTCTGCTGAAGACAATTGCTTGAGCTGGGAAGACACCACCACCGCCAACAGAGGCCAGTGCACCTCCCAGGAACAACAGCCAATGCTTTCGTTGCTCATACAGGACAATAAGGATACACCTGACCAGAGAGAGCTTGCGTGATACATCCTCTGCTTCGACTGCGGGTTTGATGGAAGTTTCTTGAGCGGGCGTCGGTGTATTCTGCAACTGCAGTTCTTCCGCCTTCTCGTCGATGGTATTCGATGAGGCATCTTGCTGAGAGTCGAGATTCTGTGCATTGACGAGCCCATGATATGCGCCTTTGCGGGCCAATAGCTCTTGGTGAGTGCCTTGCTCAACCAGTTTCCCCTTGCTCAAAACGACAATCTTGTCGGCCTTCTGAACAGTTGACAGCTTGTGGGCAATCATGATCGTTGTGCGTGTTTGCGAGACATTGTCTAGTGCGGCCTGGACAATTCCCTCCGCATTCGGGTCAAGAGCTGAAGTGGCTTCGTCCAAGAGAAGAATGCGAGGATCGGATATCACACTGCGAGCTATCGCTACTCTCTGCTTTTGTCCGCCACTCAGGAAGCCGCCTCTGTCACCCACTTTGGTATCATATTTTTCCGGGAGTTCCTCCACAAATTGATCTGCATATGCTTGAACGCAGGCTTGTCGAACGAGCTCACGTTTTTCTGAGTCGGGGAGATCGTCACTATCGGTCCCAAAGAGGCCATGGAGGACATTGTTGGAAATGGTGTCGCTGAAAAGGGTGGGTTCCTGGGTCGCGTTTAGCGATTAATGCAGCCGCTTGCTGCTTGAGGCGTTTTAGCTCACCTGCTGGACAAACCCCATATTCGTCCTCAGCCAGCGAACGTTAAGATCTTTGATATCGGCACCATCGAACAGTATCGATCCAGATTCTGGGTCGAACCAGCGAATTATGAGCCCCATGATAGTACTTTTGCCACTGCCAGAGGCTCCAACAATTGCTGTGACTTTCCCTGCCTCAAAGTCGACGCTGAAGTCATCCAAGACTCGCACTGTTGGTCGCGAAGGGTAACAGAAGGTCACATTTCTCAAACTGATGTTTCCTGTGGCTTGTTCCGGTCGCTTGCCCTCCTCAGACATCGGATCAATTAGAGACTTGCGGTCGATCATCTCAAACATTCCCTGCGCAGCTGCAGCTGCCTTGGTCAGCTCTCCCATCGAGGGCGCAATCATAGTGATGGACGAGGTTCCGATCAGAACGGAGAATAATACTGTGAGAATGTCTCCACCCGTAGCAACTTCTCCTTGGAGCAGAAGCTTGATACCGTAGAACCAAGCCAGAGCATAGGCACAGTACATTGCGAAGAATTCAGTACTGTATTGAAACCCTAGCACCGGGCCCTTCTTTACGCCGTAGCGTTTGGCGGTCTCTAGATATGTATCGTATTTCCGGCTCAGTTTGTTCTTCGCATTAAATGCGGTCACAATGCGGATGGTGCTCATTGCCTCTTCCGCTAGTCCACCAGCTTTGCCGTAGATTTTGAGGATCTTCGCTTCAAGCTTTGCGTCGAGAGCAACAGTGATGCCCACCACGATGACAGCCAAGGGTAGAGTAGTTGCGGTGACCAAGGTGAGCTTCCATTGTTGAGTGAATGCCACGATAAACGCGGCCGTCAACATGGCCATGGCCTGGAAAGCAACTCCGACCTTCTCGCCTAGTCCATTCTCAACGATATCGGCATTGTTCGAAATTGTGGTAGCCACTGTACCTGGCGAGCAATTGTCGAAGTAAGCAATGTCTTGTCGAACGAGGGCCGTGATGAAATCCTGCCGCAGAGCCTTTGTTGCTCTGATAGCTGTGATTCTGAAGCAGGTGGTATTAATGAAGACAAGAAAGAACTTCCCAATGAAGAGGTAGAGAAACCATAAGGCGTTGTGGGAGATGCTGTTATACATGTCATCGATCGAGGTTTGGCCCGCGTCGAAATTGTTGAAATCATTGATCATATCCCCAAAGACGATTGTCATCAGGGGCAAGGCTGAACCGGCACCACAGGCAGCAAGAAATCCACATAGTCTCAGTGCATGATCGATCGGTTGCGCATAGCGCCAGACTCGAAGGTATGGCCCAAACCCAGCGCCTTTCTTCTTGTTGTTGTCCTTATCATCCTCGAGTACTCTGCTTGTATCGCTTGTTTGTCCAGTGACATTGACGATAACATCCTTGTCAACGTCCTTGAGTGCAGAAGTGGCGGGCAAGCTCGAAGTGGAATCCTTTCCGCTGTCTGGTGGAGGACTCGGCAGTCCTTTTTCTTGTTCTGTCCCCAGTGCTTGCGTCATTGTTTCGAGCTGCACTCCTGAAGATATGGCAACCCGAACTCCGCGTTCTTCATCTCAATTCGGATCATTAATAAATATGTGGTTCGAAAATTTGAAATGTGCCTGATCCCCTTTTTTATGATGTCAAACGAAACCCTTCTTGGGCAAAGTCGTACTCGTATCGAACATAAAATCACGATCAATGGATCAGAAGATCCGACTTGGCTTTCACGATACACAATCTCGCTGGCCTATTTCATTGGTGCCTAGGGAGAAATGCCAAACGTGTGGCATAGCACACCCCCCCCAGCGGCCAGGCAGACGTCTCGGCTGTCTAGATGTAGGCCTTCTGGGGGTCGTGGCGCCCCAGGACCCGAGGCAATTCGGGGCCCGCGGCCTCCGGCTCAATTTGGCAAAATGTAAAATACCAAGATACGTTGGGTTGGAATATGCTTTCCAACACCACGCGATAACACTCCAGCTGCAACAGCTCCGTATTTCGTTCATTTAAATCGTAGCTCAAGCCAGGCACACGGGGACGAACCAAGGCTAAACCAAGGCCTTGCCTTGGCATGACACACACAGCCTTGCTCTCTTCGCCAAGCACCAGCCTTCCCTCTCAGGCTTTTCACCCAACTAGAAATTATTCCAACTTTACCACTTATTTTTATCGGTTTCTGTGGACTGAAATTTACAGATTCTGTCAGCAATCATTACATGCCTATAGGTCTCAGCCAGGTGCGTGGAATCCCATCACGTTGTAACCGTATGAGAGTACTCGGCACATCCCTTGAAACGATCAGCAAGCGTACAAGATCAAGAAACGGTAGGACACCTACGCACACACGCAACATTCACTTTCCAGCTGCTTGATTACCTCAGGGTATATTCTACAAGCTCCCTTCCTTTCGGGGTTGGGTCATGGTCTTCAGGTTCTGCATTTTGTAGGCTTGCTTACTAGAGCTGATGGTTTTTCACACACATCGTTGCAAGAAGAAAAGAAAAAAGGACCTTCATAGTTCAACTTAATTTCTGGATTAGTCTTCGGGCTCTTTCCACTATGAGCGGGTTGACTCCTTGAGTCCTACATTCTCTTATTGAGGTACTGTAAAGTAGAATAATAATACATTTGTCTCATTTCAATCGTAATGTTATCGCTCAGAACGCTACAAATACAACCGACATATAAACGAACACCAAAGTGAAACCCGCCTCAAGTAGTTGAAGATTTCATGTTGCCCAAATTGGTGTTTTGCAGCAGAACTGCCACCTGCTCTGCAGAATAGCCAAAGAAGACTGGGCCGTTGAATATGATCTGGGTGGGTGTCTTCGTTGAGTCCTTGGTGTCCTCTTTCTCATTTGAAGCAGTTTGCGCAGAAGGCTTTGTCTGTCTATGATCCACAGGACACTTGCGTGGTTGCACGTTTGGGGAGGGTGGAGCGGGCTTCAGATTGTGGTGGTCGACTCCTAGGTCAGATTGCAAAGCACTCGGGGTCGGCTCCTTGTCAGGCGGCACCGAGATACCCCATGGGCGACTCGGTGATTCACCGACTCGGATCTCTCTTAGAGGCTTCTCAAACCGCGACAATCTGGCTTCCTCAGGGTCGGCCTGGGATTCATGAGTCGGAGGCGTGGGCTGTGAGCTGACGTCCTCTGCCCATGTCTCGACTGTACGAGCAGGAGCTTTGGCTGGCTCTTCAATTCGGTCCTTCCCTGGAAGATATGCCTTGTGCTTGACACCCAATCCTTGTATCATATTGACCAAATTACCATACTTTGCATCGAGTTGACGGACGCTGCTCTCATCTCCTTGATATCTTCTGACACATATCTCATGACTTCGAGGAATTTCATGCTTATGGTTTTCAAAGTACTGTGCAACCTCCTCAGGTGAGTGTTGATCCAGAAATCGTATTGGACACTGACCCGGACGTTGTTCGGTGCCGGCAGACCTTGCAGAAGCAATATCTTGATGAAACTCAGCAGCGATAGGGTCTTCACAATTACTTGAATCAGGTGGATGGCCATTGGATGCCATCTTGGCGAATGGGCAGCCCAGGTTACCCCGGACTCCTGGTGTGGTGAAGTCTTTCTCCATATCTTCGGGGTCCAAGGTCTTATGCGCTACTGGGCATCGTGCAACATTGGCAGGCGCTCGATGGTTGGCCATCTTATATCTTCGTACATGTGACTTTGCCTGCTTGACGGTGTCTAACGTCTCGGGATCTTCAGATTCTGGAAGGGGTTCACGAATATGCTTGACCACTTGGCTTGTGGGAACTGAGGCTTCCGAGTCACTGCCGTCTGCGGCTATGATTTTCTCGTACTATAGTCGATGACATTAGCGATACGGCAAAAGAAGAGAATGAACAGGTGGCTAGAGAGAAGAAGGTTCAGGTAATACATGCAAATGTCGCTCATCGCTACAGAAGCAGCTCTTGATCTAGAGCTAATCAAAAGACTCTCATCATGACAAAGAAGAAAGGACGGGCAAAAAAGAGCAACGCGTACCTCATTTGCGGCAAACTCAAGTCTCTGCCGCAGAGTCTTTTCCAGTTCCCGGTGGGCGCGAAGGCTGGAGAGTAGAGTCTGGAATCCAGATGTCAAGGAGTCGACAATGGCTACCAGGCGGGCTTCGGAAGGAGAAGACGCGCTCATTTGAATGGTGATGGGAATGGCAGCGTGATGACGCCTCGCCTGTTCTCCAAGGAAGGCGTCTCAAAGGACCGGTGAGATCTTGGGAATCGAGCCCTGCAGGCTGCAGTCGCTGTGAGAGGATGCCAAGAATTCTTTAGGGACGGAAAAACGCCATCGGGTCGGCGCAACCGATATCGGGAGAGAAGGTTATCACGTGATTAAGCTGAGTCAGCGGCGACGCTATGGTCCTTGCACTTCACCGGATCCTCCTACTATTCCCCTCATAACTTTACCGAGGTCCAGTCCCACAGTTGTTCCCATTGAGAGCACCAAACCGCACTCCAAGCCAGTCAGCGTCAAGAAGGTTAACCGCCACGGACAAAGGACAAAATAAAATATACATAGCCGGGTGGAAGTGGGATTCATTCTTTAACAATATCTTTTTCCTTCCCTAGTTTCTGAATCAGCCAGAGGCATCTCCAAGATGAAAGCTGTCCAAATCAGCCAATATGTCTCCGGGCCCCAAGAGCTCACAGTAACCAACCTACCCACCCCCAGCCCTCACCCCGATAAATACCTGATCAAGATCCGTGCGTGCGGGACCAATTTCTTCGATATCCTCCAAATCCAGGGCAAATACCAACATCAGCCACCTCTACCATGGCTAGCAGGCATGGAGTTCGCCGGCGTGGTCGTGGCAACCCCAACCAGCTCCGGCTCCACCTCCGGTGCAGTTGCTAGCAGTATGGACGGCACTGTCAGCAGTCGAACAAGCCATCAATTCAAAGTTGGCGACAGGGTCTTTGGTGCCAACCAAGGTGCATACGCTACGCATGTTCTTGCTGCGGAAGAAGCACTCTTTCCCGTCCCTGAAGGCTGGTCCTTCGCAGATGCGGCTGGTGTCTACGTGACGACTCCGACTGCATATGGAGCGCTAGTCACACGGGCAAAAACACAACCTGGAGAATGGGTGCTCGTCCATGCCGGTGCTGGAGGTGTCGGTCTGTCGGCGGTGCAAGTGGCCAAGGCTCTAGGGGCGACCGTCATCGCCACAGCCGGTTCTGAGCGAAAACGGCAAGTCTGCTTAGACTTCGGAGCCGATTACGTGATTGACTATCGAGAGAAAGACTGGCCACAGAAGGTTATTGCACTCTGTGCGAAACATCGGACAGGCAATGGAAAGGCCGGGGTTGACGTCGTGTACGACCCAGTTGGTAAGTTATATGCCAGGGCCCGTTCTAGAGTAAAAGCACGTTTAACCAAATACCACAGGCATGATCGATCTTTCGATCAAATGTATAGCATGGAACGGCCGACTACTGGTGATTGGATTCGCTGGCGGAAACATCGAGAAACTTGCCCTGAACCGAGTCCTCCTGAAGAACATCAGCATTGTGGGTCTACATTGGGGCATGTACAACACCAAGGAGAAGGACACGGTGAAAGACGTCTGGAAGGGCATCTTCGAGCTGATCGCGACAGGGAAACTGAGGGGAATCACCTACACAGATAAGACATACAAGGGGCTTGAGCAGGTCCCCAATGCACTGACCGCCCTAGGTGCAAGAGATACATGGGGTAAAGTCGTTGTCGAGCTGGGAGAGCACGAAGGTGAGGAGACCAGGAGCAAGCTATAAAAACCAGAGCGGGGCCATTTTCCACCATTATAAGAATATCACTTGCTAGAGAGGCTGTCTGAGCTAGGTACTTGTACTCTATGGTATTTTGATCTCGGTTAGGCCCAGGATGATGCAGCTTCATGAGTGAAGCTTCCGACAAGCTGTATCGATCGTATGGTCTTCTACTGAATAGCAATAGCCTCGATCTCGACATCGACACCGAGGGGGAGCTGCTTGACAGCAACGCACGTTCGGGCCGGCTTGTGAGTGAACCACTTCTCATACTCGCCATTCATCTCCTTGAAATACTGCATATCGGAGAGAAAGACCTGTTTTTGGCAGGCAAATCATGTGTCAGCCCATCCCGTGCATTGTTGGTCCTTGTACGACCTCGCAGTCAAGATGAGACAGAGAGCACGAAACTTACTCCGATCCTGACGGTCTTCTCAATCCCACTGCCAGCCTCCTCTAGAATAGCCTTGAGGTTCTTGCAGCACTGCTCGGTCTTCTGGGCGATGGAGCCGGTAACCAGGTTTCCCTGCTCATCAGCCGGGATCTGGCCCGCGACCCAGACTTGGCCGGCGGCTTTGATCGCCTGGCTGTATGGTCCAGCAGCTAATTAAGCAAGGCAAACACGTGTTAGAGATATTCCTTTGCTTTTACCCAACTTCACTGATATAGCAAGGCATTGCTAGCGAGAGAAAGACATACGAGGGCAAGCATTCTTGGTGAAGACCTTGGTCAAGCCATTAGAGTCAGACATGTTGGCGGTACTCTTGCTCTGCTGAAGTTGAGATTGAGAGAAATGTCGCTGCTGTTGGTCGAGTCTTTGCATTCGTTGGACCCTGCAGGAGCTTGTACGAATGGACACAGAGGGAGAAGGGTAGGTGAATCTCGAATTCAAAGAGCGGAGTCGAAGTGTCTTGGACATCTGAGGAGAAGAATTGAATAATATTTTTATAAACAAGCGCCGAAACCGGGTTTAGCCGCAGGGCGTGCTGTGTGTCTAGGGATGTAAGTAAAGTAGTACTCCGTACGGAGGTCGAATCAGCGTGTGTGTGGCGGGAGTCGAATGTCTTAAGAATGACGATTGAACGGTCCCTCCCCCGCCAAGCAAAGCAATGTATCGATTAAGGGATTTAACCAGCTTTAGCGACCGAGATGCACTTTCTCTGGACCTGTTTTACTGTATACACAATTGGAGACATATCCTACCTCTTGTTACCCATCTTGCAGCAACGGCCAGAATAGCCGTGGATATGCGATTCTGGAATACTCTCCTACCAGTTAGCTAACCCGAGACTCCCATTACGAGCAGGCCAGTCATGCAGCCCCGGCAAGGCTTCCTTGAGGAGGGAAGGCCGGAGTTGAGTGGAGCGCCCCGAAGTCTCAGGCAAAGCAAGCCTGAGCGTATACACAGTTAAAAGCAAGTGGTACGAAGTTAGTGACAACCGTTCCAGGAACCTTAGGCGCATGTGAATTAGGCACATGCATCGTGTCCAGTGTGTCCATCTTGGAAGACATCCCGTAGCGATAGCCGTAGAGGCATCCCATAAGATACAGCTATGTAAACTCACATAGGATTCGTCCTTGATCAGTTGATAGTTTTCACCAAGTTTACCCTGATGTATGTGATTTATTTTCCACAGCGACACCCAAATCCAAAACAACTGTGATATCATTATGCTACATTCATTCAAACAGAACCATGCGCTTTGAAAATGGGAGAAGAAAACGCTTTGGTAGTTTTCCTCACATGGAACTTTATCATTACAGTCATCATTTCAACCCCCCCCCCCTGCCCACCCGAAACAGCCTTTGGCAAACACAGAAAGATGCTCCTCTTTTCCTGTTCCACTAGTACTCGTAGTCATCGTAACCACTCCCATCATATCGCCTCCTGACACTCCCGGACACACTGCTCAAGTCTATGCTTTGCCGACCCTGCGGATGTAGCGTACGTTGTGGCTGTTGCTGTGGTGGCAGATTTCCTGAAGGGGTTCTTCCGTACCCTGAGGTATAGAGCAACGCTTCTTGTGGAAGATCCTTTGCTTCGTACGAGTTCTCGCTGAACTGTCGGGACCGGTTGGCGTCTTGATTATAATTTGGATACCGAGGCTGCTGACTGGGGAGCAACGCACGGCCCGTGGTGGAGGTGATTTGACTGTACGCTGCTGAGGCATTGGCCATCTGATCACGGGCTGGATTCCTTCCTGTTGGTGATGTAACAAAATCGAAGCTGGGCACAGACGCAGGTATCGAATTTCTGAAAGGGTTCCCTTGATCTTCGTAAGGACTTTCGTCCGGACGCTCCTCTGACAGATTCATCGCTCGTAGAGTTGAAGTTGGTGTCGCTGTCGCCGTGTATGAAGTGGGTGTGTTTTCATTGCTACCATTCGCCGAGTAGTTGTCAGGATTAACAAGGGACAATCGAGGAGGCCCCCCAGGAGCAGACTCAGTCTGCAGCTCTTGAGTATTGTAGTCCTCCCATGGACGATTCCAATCGGCATTGGGGTCAAAGAATTTCTCGTCAGTCAAGTAGGGATTCTCAGGTTCTTCGACGTCCTGAAAGTTGGTAGGCATCTCCACCACCCCCTCTGGAAGGCTGTAAGGTCGATCATTTAATGCTACCGCAGGAGCCTTCTTCTCAGCCTGAGTCATTGGCTGCTCATACATCCCGGTCGGATCGATCTGATAGTGATTTGGTGGCAAAGAGAGTGGCAATTCCGGCATTATACTGGACCTGCTAGAGAGCTTTTCGGATTGACCTGGATTTGTTTGTGTCTCAGATGCCATGGAAGCTCGAGGCTGTTCATGCTGGCTGCTGCTAGTCTTGCCCGCCATGCTTGTTCTTCTCCGCTCTGCTAATAATCCAGAGTCTTGTGCATCAGGCCCATCAGCATCCCGTATGCCAAATTGGGCGATCGTCCTCAACTTCCTGGTAACCCAAGAGGCCAAGATTTTACCTCTTTGCTTTTCTGATAGTCGACTTCGTGGGAAGTCACCTTCTCCAACGAAAGCGACTATGTCAACCACAATCTGGTGCTCATTCAAGACAGCGTTAACAATGACTGGCACAATCGAAGCCAGGTACGCTTTTCGGAAAACTTCCACCAGAACAACAACCATTCCACCGGCCTGGAAAACTGCACAACCTCCAGGTGTGATATTTCGATGACACTTTTCTACGCTGTTCTCAATATCGATAGGGAAGTGATTCAGACCATGCACTTCAAACGTCTCGCCAATATTTCCAAGGACAAACAGAATCTGCATTTCCACAGGTTGATTGCCCGGCCCAATAGGTCTGGTAACATTGTGGAGGAACCCAAGGTCACCAGTACGAACATAGGTATTGTTGGGATCACCACCAACAAGACGTCCGCCAAATCTCTCTTGGTCAAAAGGAGATTTCGACATATAGAATGCTTTTGCACACGCTTCTGATTGTACCCAAATTTCTCCAAACTCGCCGACACGGCACAATTGACACGTCTCTGGATTTACAACTGCGATGCGAGTTGCCACAGGGACCATTCCTGAGTCCTGAATGCATAGTGCTGTCGGGTCGCTGTCAGGATCGATTGGATAGATGAGTCCTCTTCGAAGCGCTCGAACATCCAGCCACAATTCGATCGGCTCGATAGACATGTAACTTCGGGATGCTATCATTGGGTTTAGTACATGGGCATAGATGGTGTTGATGGCGGTTCGTTCCAGACCAGTCTGCGCAAAATGCGTTTTGGCCTTGGAGAAAAGATCAAGTCTCGGTCTTGACTCGGTGGCAATCATTAAATTTCGCATTTCATGAAGGGAGAACCCTTTTCCTGGCACATGTCCCATGGCAAAGTCCAACATCTGAGTCGTGGCATAGGTATCTTTGACTTTATAGCGAGACAAAGCAAGAAATAGAGAGCTTGGATTTTGAGCAAAATCCAATGGCGAAATCAGATAAGTTGCACTGCCATTATATACACCCATTAACACGGTATGGAGGAACCCGATCCCTATTGTGCTCCTGACACATGCCAGGACCGGCTTTGAGCTTGTCATTTGACAGGTTTCTTTCTGGACCTTACACATTCCAAGGATGGTGTCATGGCCGAGCTGGACAGAAATCCGTCGTTGATCAGGAGTCCAGTACGTCCAGATAATTACAGGATTGGTGGGAGAGACCCAGGAACGGTTCATCGTGAGACCAAGATCTCTGCAGCCATGGGACTGCTTGGAGGGTTTTGTGGTATTGTAAACGATGGGAATATGTGCTTTGAGATATTGTGCGGATTGCTTGAGATGTTGAGACACTATTTTTTGCCTGAAAAGATGGTCGACTTCTGTGTTGCAAAGGACTGCCTTCACCCCCATATCTGCTACGATGTGCAGAAAGGCGGGCGCGTCTTCCGAAAGTCGATTGGCGTCGAGAGGAGCGACAGGAATTGCGATAACTCCCAATACCATACAGGCATAAACAGCGAAAACATAGTCCTCAGAATGCGTGTACATCAAGATGACATGATCGCTTGGTTTCATCTTGAGTTTGTTGCGTAAATACATGGCCACAGCTGCGACCCGAGTGTCAAATTTCTTCCACGTGAGGCCCTTGCCCTCCTTTCCTCTGCCATCGATGGTGCAATACGCGAGTTCATCAGTTTGCCTTGCTACTCGCCATTGCATCAAGTCAAATATGTTTGTGAAATTGCTTAGGGCAGTTGAAGTCCGGTCATCAATGACCACTTCTCGAGGATCAACCCCCGACCATTGTGTTTCTTGTTCGTACAACAAATCAGTGCGAGCTGCGCTCGAGTCGGCCGACCATATGCCACCACTGATGTCCTCACCAAATGGCAAGTTTTGAACCGCTCTCTGGACCCCGAATCGTACATGGACGCAAGGTAATGCCCCCGTGTCGAATTCTTTGCGACAGAGCATATTGCCGATTTCTCGGCGTCCATTCTTCGTTACCCGTGGGAGGATACCAGGCGCGGTGATCAGAACACAATACACTCTGAGATGATGCTCCTGATAGAGTACTTCCATCGCCTTCTCTGCTAAAGAGTCAAGGAAAGCAATATCAAGTTGACGGGGTGGACCGCCGGATGAGATAGGAGCGGTCGAAGCGGATGCTGATTCGAGGAGAACAATTGGAAGATGCTCGTCATTCACGAAACAATCAAAAGCCGAACAGTCATGGATCTTGGGCACATTTCTCATGATGCTCAGAATCAGATGCTGGACAAAGAAGTAGCGGTGTTCTTGTACATCAAGCCCGTGTTCCACCCACTCTACTCTTTGTCTGAGTCGATCCTCGTACAAACCAAGGACGTATATCTTGCCCTCAATTATGCATCCTAGTAGGCCAGTGCGAAGGAACTCCGGATCAATTGCGGTGGGCGTTGGATTGCCTTCTCTGAAGCAATATGGACGCGCATGAAAGATGGTTTCGGTGTGTCTAGGGAGTGCCCAGAACCCACCCGAGAGAGAGGGAGAATCAACCCAGATCTCGCCCACGGTATTTGGTGTGCATAGAAGCCCGGATTCAGGGTCGACGACGGCCATGGTAGCATCAGGTATAGGATAGCCGAATGCACCGCATCTGACTGCATTGGGGTACGAGCTCGCTTTGGCACGCGCCTCCGAGCCCATGGCTAGAACAAGAATGTCGTTGGTTTTGAGAGCTTCTTTATCGAGCAAAACCTCGCCTAGATCTTCAGTTGACCGTACCTTTGTTGAAGGCTTAGTGGTTCCACCGCCAATTAAACTGCTCCCAAATCCAGATTTGGTTGCATGAAGCTCGTCTTCTTTCTTCTCATCCTCTTCCATATCGCGGTCATGATCCATTTCATGAGTAAGAGAGCAGCCCATACGCTCTTCTCCACCCAACCAATCACGCATGCTGATGAGCATCCCGCCATGTTCTGGTAAACACAACATGGGTGCCACGATCTCTCGTGCCCTTGGATTTCGTAGCGGCTTTAACCAGCGATCGGCGAGAAGTTCATGGAACTCAGCATCAACTGTGAGTGTATCAATCAAACACAACTTGACCGAACTGAAATTAGGTTCGAAGTTCCGCTTAAAATTTCGGGTTGTCATAGGATCGGCTTGGTAGTTATAAACCGCTCGTTTCAGCCCTGGATAATCCGCCACCAGTAGAGTTGTTTTATATTTCGTGATTAAATTTGCGTACAGTCCAGCAGTCTCGATTGATCGTTGATCGATATAGATGACAGTGTGGCCACCGTATATGTTCAACAACACGCCCAAAATCATTCCAATGCTTTGGCGGGGGTCCAAATAGCTGAGCAGTGTCTCACCATGACGAGAGCCTGTGATTAAATGTCCTTGCTTGTCTCGTAGGGAAGGATTAAAAGTATCGGCTTTTGTATTGCTTGTAGCGGAAGTCATCATAGCACTTAAAGTCGCCATCTGATGCATGATGGTCTTGTGGCTCATGACAACACCACGAAGATCGCCAGTAGGTGCCGTGGAAAACTCAATGTATGCGAGATCTGGCACCACTAGCGGAGGATCCTCACCCTTCTTTCGGGGATGATAACTCCCAAATTCATTGGTTTTCCACCACTCCACCCCTCGAGGCCAACTGAGTTTCGCAGCGGTGATGTCCCGCTGAAAGCTCTTGAGATTAGCCTCTGTCGTCAGGGCCAGATGCGCTTGTGTTGAGGTGAGTACGACATTGAGTCGATTATAGTTCTTCAGGTCATTGATTGGGACAGCCACAACTCCTGCAATAAAGCAGCCAAGTAATGCCACCGCAAACTCGATGATTTCATATTCACTGTAGATCAGTGCGACACGATCACCCTTGTAGAGACTGCTCTTGTCTCTAATGACTTGGCCCACTTTCTCCGCTCGACTGCACAACTTTTCCCATGTGATGGAAACTAGTTCCTTTCCTTTCTGATCCAGTACCCAGTAGGCTGCCTGCTTAGGGTTGGTCGTAGCTCGATATCGGAGGACCGCGGCGATGTTTTCAAAACTGGACATTTCGATATGAGAGTCATGAGGGTCACAGATTGCGAAGGGCACTTCTCTAGGCTCTAATGGCATCTGGTGAACTGCTGCACCACCTGCGAGTTGTCCTGGGTTCAAGAATGGAGGGGCGACCTGAGCCGTCGGCGAGGTGACCTCACTCTGGGAATATCTGTGCACATGTCCGCCATATGTCTCTTGGTGATCCTCACGCTGTTGTCCAGCGAAATCAGAGAAGTAACCCTGCTGAGAATCTAGCATGGTAGAGTTCCGAGTGTCTGCGCCCGGGTAATTTTGTTGAGTGTCGGGGTTGAAGGCATAATTCTGGCTGGCGAGAGTCTGTGTCCTTGATTGATCATTTGCAGTGATGAAGGTATCATTGCGGGGCTCAGAGGAGCCTGCAAATGACCCGCGTGGTCGACCACCAATCTCCCGCTCTTGAAATCGGTTAACATGGCTCTGAGGGGTGGTGCTTCGGTACTGTTCCTCCCGCTGACGAGTGATGCTGGAGTAGTTGTCGCTCAAAGTTCCATTCCTTGAATGGCCAGGGCCGGGTGCGACGGGAGAACCAGTTAGCGCAGCGAGAGAGGCGGCCCTCGAGGCCTCGTTGGAAATTGAAGAGGCAGGATGATCACTGTCGTCAGGTGAGTGGATTCGCAGGCCTCGCGAAGTGGGTGCGGTGGTCGAAGCCGATAATGGAGAGGGCGAAAGGTACTGAGAGAGGATGAGCGTCCGGCGCTTTTCATAACCTTTCCTAGTAATGTCTCCTTCTTCCAGCTCTTCATCGAGTTTGCGCAAGGCACTTTCTAGGTCGGGGTTGATGTTGGCCATGGTACAGTCGCCGCATCGAGGTGTAGCCAGACTGCAAAGTAGTTCGTGGGAACGTCCTGCAAAGCACCCACGTCACCTACAAGGATTTGCAGCCCAGAGATTTGCTCGATGGGGTTTGGATAGGGTCAAAAGCAAGTACTAAGCGAGTGACAATTGATACATGTGAGGAGGCCAGGAGCACACTGTTCTGACCGAGTTTCAATTCAGGGAAAAGCGAAACATGGGGCATCGAATAGTTGAGGGGATTGGGCGGCGGCTCTTCTTGGGCCCGGGGCGGATCAACGTTTTTAGGTTCCTCCGACCCCCAACTTCATTTTTGTATACACTGCACATTCGTCCAGCACTAAATAATAATGAACACTCGGCTTATCGATTAAAAACCCTCACAAGTGCTGGAAGACACATACGACAAAATTAAAATCAATTATTGTAAATCCCTGAAACTGGGTATGGTCTGTCAAGGGCCCCGGCCGTCCCTAGACCATTCCGGATCGCTAGAGTGCAAGCGTTCGATCAAGTCTGCTTTGCAAAGTTTGGTTGCATGCCTGTGGAAGCGTCTGTTTCCTGGCCTCTGCGACCAGGAAATAAGGTAAAGATCAGGAAACAAGTCCTCGCTTTCCATTCTGCGCCTCTCTGCTTGCTGCTAAAGTCTAGGTACGCTTGCATTTTAATGCCGGACCTTGAAACTCCTGAGAACTGCCTCAACTTTCCTTCGAGTCAGACTGTTTGAGTGTAGTGGTTCCTGAATTCGGTCTGTGGCCATCCATGTTTCTCCTTTCCTCCAATGTGCTATGTTGTAATACAGAAACATATTCAGAAACGCTCAACGCAGACATGTGGATGGATTTAGGCAAGTTCGAGGTTTTGCTGAAATCGCTTGGGATGAGTTGTAGATTTTGCAAGGACGTTGAGACGAGCACGCTGATGTGCTCTGAACCACTCCAGATTTGGAGGCAGTCATGGTTCTGGGACAGCATCTGGAAGTGTGCCGGTGGCCACGATGTAGTAGCACTGTCGTGGCTCGCATATTAATGATCGAGGTATGACCGTAATGCATATTCACTCCGATTGACTTTCCAACAACGTATAAACGGGAGCGTTGAGCTTGTCCCGACCCTTGAGGAAGGTAAGCTCAATGATGAAGAGGTATCCGAGTAGCACTCCTCCAGATTTTTCGATCAGGGCCCCAGCTGCGGATGCCGACCCACCGGTAGCAATTAGATCGTCAACCACCAGCACCTTCTGGCCGGGTTGGATGGCATCTGCCTGTATGGCGAAGGTATCGGTACCATATTCCTTTTCAAACTCGGCCGTTTCAATTTTACCAGGGAGCTTGCCAGGCTTCCTGACTGGAACAAAGCCAGCTCCTAAGCGAAGTGCCAGCGTCGGCCCGATCAGAAATCCTCGGGCATCAAGACCGACAATCACATCTGGCGTGTTGTGCAGTCCAAAGCTCTCGAGAATCTGTAGCTCATAGGCTTGGATGAGATCTTTGTGAAGGGAATGAGAAGCAAATAGTGGGAGAATGTCCTCGAACAAGATCCCTTGCTAAAAGAAAAAAAGGGCAGTCAGTCTTCGGAACAGAGGATTGGCTTATACTACAAGGGCTGAGGACAACTCACCTTTGGAAAATCAGGGTATGTCCTCAAACCGGCCTTGATTCGCTTCTTCAATTCCGGTAGCGCTTTAGAACCGGTGAGTTGGGTGGCTGCGATAATTTAGCAAGGCTGAAAGTCTTTTCCGGTGCAAGGCTCAACATACTGGAGGAGGGGGCATTGGGCTCTGATCGCGCGGGGCCATGGCTGGTGTCAGAACTCGGTTCACTTGTCATGATGAGAGGAAAGTATGCGAGGCAGCAAGAGGGAGCAGGCAGGATAAATATGGAACGAGGGAAAAAAAGATGACAGCAGAGAGTGGGAGTACGAGACGAAAAGCGCAGGACGAATCAGTTGCGCATGCAAGGGCCGACCACAGCAGGGCGGAAGGGGATCTGGTGGGAAGGAATTGGAACTGCCAGGCTGCTAGGGTCAGGACATGCGGCGCTATTCCAGCTTCGCCTGTGGTCTCCGATGATCCAGCATCAGTCAACACACCTGCACAGGCTTGTTGGTAATTGCATGTGTTCTGTTGCAAAAGGAGTCAGCCTGCACGGCCGGGGAGTCCCAACGGGCAAGCTTCTGGTGGTTTGAGATGGTTCGTGGATAGTTTCTTTTGGGCTATTTGGGACCACCAGGGCCACTACTGACAGGGACCGACGTGACTGTATCCGAAGACCACCCGTTGGCACATTGCACCATTGATTGCACCACCCAAACCAGCTCTTGGAGCATTGTGCAGCGGCGGTGTGCACTCGACAAGCGGTCCACTCGGGAACAGAGAAGCAAAAGGTTGACTAACAAGCATGGTGACAGGTGTATGTACATGGCCATGACCATGCCGCACGGCACGAATCTGATGAGTCGAGAACTTGAGGTGTGCTGTTACGCATCCCATCCACAGGCCACTGGTCGGAAGTGGGCTTGGGCTTCAAAGTGGGATCCTCGATAGGGATATCCTATGGAAATCGACGGGGTAGTACCGAGTACGGAGGAATTAAAATTTAGCAACATTCAAAATACCCGGAACGGGAAGATAACACAGTAGCCACCGATAAAAGGAACGATCGATATGGAGGCTGGATTGGGTGGTGAGAATGGTGCTGAGACGAGGGTGGGGTGGAGGGGTGGATTTCTGGATTCTGAGCAGGATCTGTCAGTGAGGGAAGGGTGGGAGGTGCGTTGCGCAAAACAGGTGGAAGGAGCGATTCACGAACCACGAGTCCACGACTCACTTTGCAGGCGCCAGCTGTTGCACCCACTTACCGAGCACAGTGCACTTTTTACGAGCACCTTAAACCATCCACGTTCCTCGTCTGTATAAGGCCCTACTCGCAGGTAATCAGTTAGTGGATTGATGAATTAGCTGCAGAGGGCTGAATTCAACGTTGTTCCGCGTCTTCCTACTTTCCACGGTTCTCTTCTCGCTTCAGTTTATCGTGGCTTGGGCATTCCTTGCTCCGACAAAGTCGTTCCGTACGCCGTACGAAGTACCTCGGACTTTCGCTCACTACTGGTCGGCCCCTCCCTTGTCCTGAGTCCTGACTCCCGAATAGCAGATGCTGATACATACCCTCTGAACGTGGGTGGACCGATGCTGTTTCAGTGGCTGCATTCGGTACAGGATATCGTAACTCGCGAGTTTCTCTCCATTCTTGCTCTCAAGTTCTCGTATGCCATGGCCGAGCCCTCAATCCTCATTGATGGAATTCTGAGCAAGATCCCATCCGTGGTGTCATCATCCTGTCTTAGATTCGTGTCTCCCCCCGCTGTCATCCTGCATCTGCAGTATAATGGAGGTTGACTTTGGCCATTACGGGTGGAAAGTGGAATCCGGCTTGTGTCTTGCTCTGCCACAGTCTGAGCTTGAGCCTGAGCCATTTTTCCCATTCCCCACGCGGCGCAACTCATTTCAAACCACCAGAGCCGCCCGCCCAATCCTTTCTCACCCCCTCAGCTAGGATCTTGCAGCCAATCGCTGCTCCTCTCTCGCTTCCCAGAGGACATGTTCTGGAATTGAGGATCAGCCCTGCTGCTTGTCGATGATCGTCTCTGATCGGCATCCCATGCGGACAAAGGTCCGCCTTCCTCAAGCCTAGCTCTTTCGGCTAATCGTGAATTTCACCAACAAATGGATTGGAAGCAACCCTTACTTGGACTGCCACATACGGAGCAATATTTCCTGGAAACTCAGACGTATCAAGTAGCGGTGACAAAATGCCAGGATCACAAACACCCTGTTAGGAAACTACTGCAAGCCACTTTTCCAGAAGTTGAACAGATCACCAGGGTGTGTCACACAGCCTAACAAGGTCCTCAGCCTTTCCAAGTTTCCTTATTCATGGCCCGGTCAAACCCGTCAAGAGGGGATTATAGATGTACCGTAGTCGTACCTCGTACTGGAGGATCAATGAGAACCTCGAGAGTCGAGAGCCACTGCGATATACCTGGGAGACTTTGGAGCAGTCCACAATTAAGTTCCGCTTCGATGTAGCAGGCCTGCAGCGAGAGTAACATTGCAAGAACCTCTGATAAAAGTCGTGGGTCTCAACCCTAATGCGACGTCGTTTGCGTCGAACGATTGTACTCCCAAGCTTCGCTTCGTGGAAGCGTCTCCAAAATGATGACTGTGAGTCATGGACCACGGCCAGACTCATCACGATAAGACCACGTGGGGGAGACCATCAAACGAGTCGCAAAAATCTCGAACAACGACGAATGTGTTGGTCAGCGCTACAAGGCTCCCTCTGCATTAAATTGCTTTTGTGACCTGCGATCATGTTCTCGCCCCAGCGCCAGCGACAGTGATATTCGAAGAACACACTACCCCGACCATGGGGACTTTTTCCTGAGTCTGAAGTGCAATCTTTGAAATGGGACCCCCCGGCACTCTATCCGCTTAGGTCCCTTACTATCACCCACTAGTTAGGTAGATACCTTGGTAGACAGCGAGGACTCTTGCTATGATGGTTACGATCTCGGGAATCCGTGCCATGACCGTTGTTAGCACCAAATCGCGAGCAGATCGAGTGGTTAGATCAAAATTGCCAGGCCTTATCCTCAGTCAAGCGGATTGCAACACCACGACGTACCGAGGTAGATCTGGACTTGAACATGGACGACTAGCCGCGTAAAGTGTACGTACTGTACGTTGCTGCCTCATCGAATCTTCGGCCCTTCGCCTGATCCATATTTAACTAATGAGACGCTTTACGGACTTTGGTGTTGCAATCACCTCAAGGTGGAATGACAGCTGCATCAACTTGTGTGTTCTAGTCACTTAGAAGTTTACCGGCTTACTGTAATTAGATGGAGATCCGTCTTGGGCGCGTCGGCCTGAGTGAGGGGTACCCTTCTGGGTGCCGTTCATGAGAATCTTATTTGGGACATCAAAGAGTAAAAGCGGCATGTGCAGCTCAGATATTTCCACGTGATTTTGCGTGCGGAGAAAAAAATAATTTGAAGATTCAAGACAACCTTGAGACTTTCGCATAGACGTAATTGTCCAGGAATGAGCAGAGATGGGCCCTTTCAAAAGGGACACTGACTTCATCCTTACACTGTCTGACGATGAGCGTCAGTCTCCACCCAGCGATTCCGAATCCGACCTCGTACTCGTACATACCGCCGGTCAAAAGAGGAAGCGAGAGGACAGCGCAGTCACCGCCCAGAAGGGCAAAAAGAAGAAGTCGAAACAGGACCTGAAGAGAGCTGCGAATGCCACCGCCTCGGACTCTGAGAGTGACGATTCGCAAGGTGTGCAGGATGGTGCTCTAGATCCTGATTTCGAGTTCGACCTAGGGGACAATGCAGCCCTAGATGAAGTCGAAGAGTTTGACGGCTGGGGCAAGGGCGACACAAGCGAAAAAGATGGTGGATCTGCGAAGAAGGGGATTGATCTTGACGAGATAATTGCCCGAAGAGCAGCGAAAACTTTCAAGGCGACGCAAAATGGCCTTCCGGACGGACAAGAATTAAGCGAGAATGGATCAGAGGAGGACCCCGACGACCCTGGCGATGACGATTCCGAGCCTCCGATGATCATGCCAGACTTTGACGACGACGAGCTTGTTGCGCCCGATACATTTGGGGCAGGAATCGATCACGGCGAAGAGAACGAGCCTGATGATGAGCATGATGCGGACAACGAAGACGATGAGCATGAGGGTGCCTCTGACGACGATTCTGTCGCTTCGCCGACCGCTCACCCTGATGATCTTATTTCTGATCAGTCAGATGCAGAATCAGTGATTTCGGCGCCTGACCGTGAAGAGCAGGCAAAGAGGGCTGCATTTTTCGCTCCTGAAGACAACTCGAAACTTCCAACCACCAAGGCCGCTTCCTCCTTTCAGCAGTTTTCACTGTCACGGCCGATCTTACGAGGATTGACGTCTCTATCGTTCACTACACCTACTCCCATCCAGGTTCGCGCTATACCGGTGGCTTTGCAAGGTCTTGACGTTGTTGGCTCGGCGGTCACGGGATCAGGCAAGACCGCTGCCTTCTTACTCCCTATCCTCGAGCGCCTACTTTACCGGCCGCGCAAAGTGCCGACCACCCGCGTTGCCATCCTGATGCCGACACGTGAATTGGCTGTACAGTGCTACAATGTTGCTACTGCACTCGCACGATACACCGACATTACCTTTGCACAAGTGGTTGGTGGATTTTCACTGCGAGAGCAAGCATCCATTTTGAAGAAGCGTCCAGATGTTGTCATCGCAACTCCTGGAAGATTTATTGACCATATGCGGAATTCAGCCAGTTTTGCTGTAGAGAACGTTGAGATCCTTGTCTTGGACGAGGCTGACCGAATGCTCGAGACCGGCTTCGAGGATGAATTGAATGAGATTCTGAAGACCATACCAAAAAGCCGCCAGACGATGCTTTTCTCTGCAACTATGACAGACAGTGTGGACAAATTGGTACGAGTTGGAATGAACCGTCCTGTACGTTTGTCAGTCGATGCAAAGAAGAGCACCACCGCTGGACTAGTGCAGGAATTCGTTCGTCTACGACCTGGACGCGAGGGTATGCGGCTAGCTACGCTCTGCCTCTTGTGCAAAAACGTCTTCACAGAGAGAACCATCATTTTCTTCCGTCAGAAGAAGGAAGCGCACCGGGTACGGATCGTGTTTGGCCTTCTCGGTATCAAAGCGGGAGAGTTGCATGGGAGCATGACCCAAGAACAGCGTATCGGCTCAGTGAACGGATTTCGTGAGGGCAAAACCACCCATCTCCTTGCCACCGATCTCGCGTCCCGTGGCCTCGACATCAAGAACGTCCTAACGGTGGTTAACTACGAAGCGCCTCAAACACACGAGATCTATCTTCACAGAGTAGGACGAACCGCTCGTGCAGGCCGATCAGGCCGGGCGTGCACAATTGCGGCCGAGCCAGATCGCAAGATCGTGAAAGTGGCTGTGAAAAGCGGGCGCACGCAGGGGGCCAAGATTGTGTCCAGGGCAATGGAGACCAAAGAAGTAGACGAGATGAACAAGCACATCGAAGAGCTAGAGGCCGACATCGAAGCGATCCTGAAGGAGGAGAAAGAAGAAAAACAACTCGCCCAAGTCGAAACTCAGCTCACCCGCGGCGAGAATCTGGTCAAGCACGAGGCGGAAATCATGTCGCGGCCCAAACGCACCTGGTTCGAGACCGAGAAGGACAAGCGCGATGCTAAGCAGCGTGGCCACTTCGAGTTGAACGGGCCGGATGGTGGTTCCGTCCGCGTGAAGTCAGAGAAGAAGAAGTTGAGTAATAAGGACAGGAAGCGGCTTGATGCCAGGAAGGATCGTGCCGAGGGTAAGATGTGGCGGAAGGGGAAGGGCAGTGAGGCCATGGCCAAGAGGGACAAGCAAGAGAGCAAGGCGGTCAAGAAGGGCAAGGCTGCTTCGGGAAAGGGCAATGGTAAATCGAAAGGAAAGGGGCAGAGGAGATGATGGAGATGGTTGTTGTACCATTCGTTGACTACTATAGCGAATGATGCATTGGTTCACGCTCCTGCTACGAGTAAAAGCCAAATGTTCCATTAGGATGCGGACCGCTCTAATTGGGCGCCGAAATGATGATCGTCATGTCTGGAACTCGTCTCGATCACTTGTCACTCAACCCAACACCTCAACACAACTGTCTATACATGAAAGGGGTGGGCATGGCACCGAGAAACCACTGCATGTCCCGTCACAGATCTACTCACGCCGTTTCGCGCTTATCGTCATAGTTTACAAAGAGAATTGTGCTCCATCATCCAAGACAAAATAAACATCATAGGAGTCATGACCGAGACGCTCCTGGCAGAGGTGGAGGCTTCAGTTTCCCCTGACGAATCAAATCATCGACCTTGGGCGGCATGACAAACGCAGTCCTATCATTGCGCCTGTAGAAATCACAGACAACCGTAGCCGTCCTGGCAGGCTGGTCCTCGTGCAGGAAATGGCCGGCCTCAGGGAACACTTGCAGCTGGTACTTGCCCTGCATCTGGCCGATCATGAGCTCCTTGTCGAGGCGATCGGTGCCGGCCAAGAGGAGCAGCTTTCCGCCGCGGGACTCGAGGAATTTCTTCGACAAGCCCACGAACCAGTCTTCCCAGAAGGGCTTTGTCGCGGCCAGGTCCGTCCGCCATGTCCAGGTCTTTGAGTCGGCGGACTCCGTGAGCAGAGAGGGCACGGAGACGCGCGCGGAGGTCGTGTTACGGATCGTGCGCGACCGCGTGTGCCATTCGATCCCGGAGGCTAGGGACGGGAACGATTTGGGGCGCGTGGACAGATATGTGTCCATGCTTTGTAGGGCGTCCATGGCGGAGCCTTCGACGACGTCGAGGACGCCATAAGCCAAGAGTGAGCTTCCCAGGAGCCGTTGGTGTGCAACCTCAGTCACGACGGCGCCGCCAAGGCTGTGGCCGATGAGGACGATGTCGGGCAGAGTTGCCCATTTCATGGGTGCTTTGACCGCTTCGACGATGAATGATAGATCTTCTGCCAGGGTCTTTAGGCTCAGATCGAGGGTTTGTGGTGCTCCCGAGCCCCCTGAGACTGATCCAGCCGGCGTGATAGATGTGAGGCCATGGCCGCGGGCATCCAGAGACAAAACACCAGCGTTCGGTAAGAGCTTCAATAGTTCTGCTGTGAAGGCAGCGAACGATAACCCCGACGACCCTGCCCCGTGATGTGTGACTATGAGAGGGCCCTTGGAAGAAGGGGGCGTGAGATAGGCGTGATGACGAATGGTCTCCAACGAGGTCTGACGCTCAAAGGTGAGGTCCTGGGCAAAGAAATCATCCCATGGAAGAGGAGCTGATCGGGACTTGATGGCTGAGCCTCTGGGTTTCTCAAACAGGTTTTGACTTGCGGAAGGTACGATCGTCCCGGTCGAAGAGGCTGAAGAGGCCGAGGAGGACGAATCGTTGGGTGAACTGGCACGGAGACCAGCCAATTGGTCCTGAAGCTCATCGTCCTCGTTCAAAATTGGTGGTGGCTCTGGTGGGAGCTTGGAGAGATGGGTTTTGGCGAATGATCTCTGAAGATCACTCATTGTTTGTTGGTAGGACAGAGCCTCCGTAGAGATCAGAACAAGAGGGGGCGTTCCAGACTCCAGTGCGATGTGGTCAATGCAAGGCTGGCACGGCGGGATTGAGAGTGGGAGTTGTGGCAGGGCTGGCAATGTGTTTGGTTCTCATGGGCTCTCATCTCTGGTCTCCCCCGAAGCCCGAGGCTGGAGGGGTTCGCTCGGTCGGCTATTCTATTGGATTGGGAAACCCGGAAGCCAAGCCGCCTGGCCCTGGCCCCCCTGGGAGCTTCAAACTTCAAGGGTGACGGGGATCGGCACAGGGCTGTCCTAGGCTTGGCCTTTAGCTAAAGTCGACCGCCCCCGGTTAAAGACCAGCCTAGACTGCAGCTGCAAGCATGAGGCAGATCGCCACTCGCGGGCCACTTGCGGCACTTGACTTAGTATGGCACGCACAAGGCGACTGTATTCACCAGACTGAGGACCTTGGAAGGAAAGGATTGACTGTTTCGAAGGTCTGGCTGCCGATCACAAGGCAGTACACCTGCTTTCAGCTTTTGTCGGAGGGCGCTGACCGCAGTAATCCTTTTAGAGTTCATTGTTGGTTATTGGCTTTCATCTTCCTGCGCCGCCGCGGTGACAGCGACGTCGATGGTGTGCCCCACAACACAAAACGCACGGCCAGGTGATGACGTCGGTCCATTTATTTGCTGTGCCTCACTCTTCCTCAACTCTCCCGACCTAAACCACAGAAAGAGCTCTTTAGTTTTTGTTTATGAATTCCATCACATTTCGTCTAAGCTTCTTCTCATAGATTTAGCTGTAGAAAGGCTATCGAACGTCGCTACAAGGGCTATTTAGTTGCGGGGTTTTGTTTCGAATTGGCCTTTGATCCATCCGCACCTGATAAGACCACCTCGCCGACTATGGGGTCTCTCTGGGGAAGCAAGACGAATGGTGAGGATCATGAAGACCAACAGGAGCATCATGAAGACGAAGCAGAAGAACCGAGCGCAACATCTTCACACAGCCAACCGAGTCGACGCTCTGAAGATGCAACTGAACGGACCAGGCTGTTGCCTCGCCACGGTCAAAGTGCTGGATATTTGAGTCCAGATGACCCTGCTGTGAGCTCCCCATCCATAGATTCTGCAACGTCTCCTTAGATTAACCCAAATCCATAGGTCTCTCCATACAATTTGTGGGGAGTTCGAGCATTGCGGTGGTTCGAAGTCCTTTTCCTTGTAATCACCTGCCTGTGGTGGGTCATACTCTTCATATCTCTCTTCGTGAGCCCTCCGAAGATGTACTCGAGGGGGTCAGGTTTCTTTGATGTCTCATACACCACCCTCACCATCGGCAACATCCTGATAGCTCTACTGTTTTTTGCTGTGCCGTCAACCGCAATGAGTATTCTCAGCATGGCAATATCGGTCCTCCTCCTCATCGACATGATCATTATCCTGGCCGCGGCGCGCATCAGACTGGAAGAAGGATGGATTGGGATAGCCTCAGTGGTGTGGGCCGCCCTTATCGCCTTCTACAATGTTGTAGCAAACAGAGCTGTGAAATGGGGCAAGGCTGAGGAGGAACAACGTCTCACTGGACGCCACGAAACACGTCGGTCCCTAAGGGAGTGGTGTGCTGTCTTCACGGCTACCTTCTTCATGGTGATCTACGTCATCATCACGGTCCTTCTCACGGCAACCTTGGTTCTACGTTCCCGCGATGCAACGCTGTCCCCTCCAGGCCGTCGTTACCTGGTGGATGGTGACAAGTATCAAGTCCACTTTGCATGTGTTGGCAACCAGACGTACACCCACAAGGGCAAACCCAACCCTACAGTCCTCCTGGAAGGTGGATACATGCCAGTTGAGGATTCTTTTGAGGAATGGGTTTACGATGCCTATCAGAATGGTACCATCCCCCGCTACTGCTACTGGGATCGGCCAGGATTGGCGTGGTCTGATAACGCGCCATCCCCACATTCTGCTGGAATGTCTGCCGATGCAATCTCGGAGGCTCTCGCCGTTGCTGGCGAGGAGGGACCATGGATCTTGGTCTCTGCAGGCATTGGCAGTATTTACAGTCGGGTGTTTTCTGCTCGGCACCCGCGTGCCATCGCAGGCATGATGTTCATCGACGGGCTACACGAGGATCTACTCTACAAAATCGCAAGCCCAGGTCGAGGTTTCGTGCTCTGGGGCCGTGGGATCATCTCACCGCTAGGACTTGATCGACTGGCTGGTGCACTATTCAAAGGGCGCACCAAAGAAGACCGAGTCTTCGGCAAGTCGTCTTACCAAGGTGGAAAATTCATCAAGAACAAGTTGCAAGAAAACTTGATCGCAGATACATTGACGAAGAACGAAGTGGTTAGTGCAAGAAACATACAAGATCCAAAGGTCCCGCTCGTGGTGGTGACTTCAGGTGTGCACATCCGACAAGATAAAGACTGGGAGCGAAAGCAAGAGGACTTGACCAAGGTCACTGAAAAACTGCTGGCGTGGGACATTGTGAAGGGAGCACCACGAGAAGAGGTGTGGAGAACATTGGAAGGCCGAAGGATGCTGGAAAAGAGACTGGGAGAACTTTACAATAATGGTTCTTAAATGGAGCGACGCACCAACAGAGTGCGTCAGGATCAGACACCAAAACGCTGCATCAGGATATGTAGTCTGCGAAGCGAGGGAGTTTGGATTTCCGGGAAATGAAACCGAAAGTATGAGCACAGAATATTTGACGGGCCTCTTCACATCCCCCGCACGTCTACTTACTAGGTAGCATCAGTAATACGTAATTGAGCCAAGTCACAGAGGGAATTTTGAATCCTGCCAGTGCAGTACTTGTACATAGTGTGACAAGAAGGCTGCTGCCATTGATAGGCTGCCTCTGAACAGTGTCCCAGATCACATGACAAGCCTTGACTTGGAAGGTGTAGCGACTGGTGAAATGCTTGTATGACGCAAGAACGTCGGCCTGCGTTGGATGATGTTGGAGAAGGCACCACCACCATCAGTATCACCGTTACGGAGTTTGTGATCTGGATTGCCGCAGCCACCTTTCTAGGCACCGTTTCGTCCAGAGCCTCATTCGTTAGATATCTCACCAGGTATTGGCTGAGTATTGACCTTCTCGCTCCATGAGTCGCCATTATATTCTTTTGCTTTCCAGCACTCCTCCTCGTGACTGGTGACCGCTGTGTCAAGGCTCAAGTGTCCAACCCAACGGAGACGACCATCACAGCCCTTCCACTACCAAAACCCCAGCCCATTTGCTTGACTCTCCATCTGAAGTACTCTCCGTATCTGCCATCATACAGGCGCCATGTTGTTAAGATTTGAATCGAAATGGGGTCAGTTTCGACTGAATGTTGAGCCCACCGCACACTTCTCCTCCTTGACTTCTCTGGTACGTGGACATCTCTTGGAGCTTGACATCTTACTCACCAGACCAAACAGATCCTTGATCAACTTCCTCCAGATACCGATGCCGCCTCTATAGTACTCAGCAATAAGCCCGTGAGCTCGAAACCAGACCCTGAGCGTGAGAGACGCTTGAAGGATCTCCCTGGAGTTGAGCTGCACCAAGTTAATCTAAAGTGCGTATAGATAGATCCCAGACCTGTGACGCCCTGGACCTATTGGGACTAATCTACGAATCAGACATGGGGATAAGTTATACCTAGGATATTCCGAGGTAAAGAACCTCTCAAACGGCCATGCGAGCCACGTCAACGACGCCTCACCTCCACCTGCACGCCGCCTCAACGGAACCATTGCCCTCCCCGATGTCTCGGTCCCCATTACCGCCCCCGCAGTCACATCTCCTACTCTAATACGAAAACCTTGGGAAGTTATCAAGCAGTCTCCTCTCGATGATCGTTTGGACAAACTCGATGGCAAGATATCTAGACCGCGAGATCAGAAGATGTGTCGACATGGTCCCAAGGGCATGTGTGACTACTGTCAGCCACTGGAACCTTACGACAAGAATTACTTGGCTGAGAGAAAGATCAAACATTTGTCATTTCATGGATACCTGAGGAAGATCAATTCGGCGACGAATAAGCCTGAACTCAAGAGTTCATATATGCCACCACTTTCGGAGCCGTATTATCGAGTGAAGAAGAACTGCCCCTCGGGCCATCCACCTTGGCCTGAAGGTATTTGTACCAAGTGCCAGCCGGGCGCCATCACGTTACACCCACAAGAATTTCGAATGGTGGACCATGTGGAGTTTGCCTCGCCTAACATGGTGGACAAATTGATCGACTTTTGGCGAAAGTCGGGCGGTCAACGACTCGGATTTCTTTATGGGCGTTACGAGGAATACCCAGAGGTACCCCTCGGAACCAAAGTTGTGGTTGAAGCTGTCTATGAGCCTCCACAAGTCTGTGAAATTGACGGCTTGACGTTACTCGAATGGCTGAACGAAAAGGATGTTGACGCTGTGGCTGGAGCTTGTGGTCTCGAGCGCGTGGGAGTCATCTACACCGACCTGATGCCTCCAGACAACGAGACTGGACAGGCTCTTTGCCGCCGTCATATTGATTCTTACTTTTTGCCATCTTTAGAGATCGCATTTGCAGCGCGGCTTCAAGCACAATACCCTACACCTTCGAAATGGAGCGAAACAGGACGGTTTGGATCTCGGTTTGTCACGTGTGTTGTCACTGGCGATCAAGATGAAAGCATCACTATCAATGCATATCAGGCGTCGAACGCAGCTGTTGAAATGGTGCGAGCGGATATTGTTGAGCCTTCGGCAGACCCAACTGTGATGCTGGTTCAATCAGAGGATGATGAGATAACTGGGTCCCGGACGCGATACATCCCCGAGGTTTTCTATCGACGTATCAATGAATACGGTGCTAATGTGCAGGAAAATGCCAAGCCCAGTTTCCCCGTTGAGTATTTACTGGTGTCGCTGACGGCAGGTATGCCTATTCAACCATCTCCACTGTTCAAGAACAGCCAGTTTCCCGTCGAGAATCGAGAAGCGGTAGCAGAAGGACAGGATCCCAAAGACGTGGCCAAGCAACTCAGTTCGAAAAAGCTCGAGGCAATCTCAGACTTCCATCTCCTATGCTATCTTCGTGGGATGGGGATATTCACCGAGGTAGGTCCCATGTCCCTCCGTGATATTTATCTGACCTGGATGATTTTGTAGGTTGAGGAGAAAATCCTGTGCAAAGTGGCAACTACAGGTGACCAGGTGGATGCAGCTCATCTGACTCAGACAGAAGGCTGGGGAACATTGACGGCGATACTCGATTCATATGGTGAGCGGTCCTTGAAGCGTCCTTGGTCGCTAGAATCAGACAGCGAGCTTTCCAACCCTGAGAGCCCATCAGAAGGTCTGGCTAAGAGATTCAAACAGGCGGCTAGTCTTGAACGCTAGAAATGGAACTTGCTCCGTGACGGTGACGAAGCCATGTTAGGGCCCGGGGACTGAAGTGGATTGACCTGAACAGGCTCAGTATACCGGCATAGCACACAGGGGTCATGCATGCAGAAGGGAAGGTATTGGAAAGTGCATCGGGGTGTCGGCCTGTTTGAGGATTCCAGGCTTGTGCGATGATCTTGTGTGGGAGCTAGATAGATAACGCTTAATGAGTGGAGACAATCAGCAGGGCAGAGCAATGGAAACAGAAGTTGAGACAAGGTTTGGGATGCGAGACGTTCAAACTGGGCTTTGGCGATAATGGGCAAAACAATATGGTGATGGATTTGGAGGGCGGATGTCGATCCATCGACTGGAGATCGACAATGTACAGTGGGATGGCGCCTGATCGACATGTAGCGAGGTACGGAGAACGTCACAGATAGAGGGATATCACCACCAATGGAGCGTACTAGTGAACTAGATTGGTCTTGTGCATGGCCGAAAGCAGCGGGTGACTTATAGTAATTTTTGATAGGGTTTGGATCTGGCGGTCAGGTCACCTGGCCTCTGCGAAAAATTCCGGATGCAACAGGGAAACCAAGGGTCCATGTGACGACACAGGAGATGGGATGTGGATGTGGACGGAAACGACAGAAAGTACCAGGGCGGCGACCAGGGGGGGAAATAGAATGAATGCATGAATAATGGTCACAACCATGTGTTCACGGATTTACTATTGCTACAGCATCACAAGGTTCGATGAGTTTGCTCGGTTCGCACCAAGCACTCCCGATGTGAATGATGGCCCATGGGATCAATTGGGTTCGGCAAGTGCGGGAGGGGGGTGCTTCTAGAAGGGCCGTGGAAGAGGTTGATGGACCTTAGGGCCTTGGGGATCGTCAATGGGGGCCCCCTCAGGCTCTAGAAAGATGACGGAAGAGTCAAGACTCGTTGGGGTGGGGAGGCACCCAGGAGGGGAACGGGAACATCAGTCAGTCCAAGTTGATGACTGACTGATGGTCCACGGCTGGGTGGAAAGCGGGCCCCTCAGGCCGCAGGCAGTGACTGTGAGTGGGTGGATGGCTGGAGTTGGCGGGAAGAAGGGCTAAGAAGCGTTCCAAACATGTTCCCTGGGCCACGACCCATGAGTCCACGACTCCATGCTCCATCATGATCAGGCTTCAGGCATTCCCAGGAGAAATCGCACTTGAACTGATCAAGAAGGACTTGCCGTGCGCTTGGGGTTTGAGACTCCCCTCATTGGCTCCTGCTCCGCATTCGAACGCCTCTAAGCAGCCTACAATGCGCATAGTGCCACTAAGAACGAAGCCCCCTGGCCCCCTCCAAGGAGCCCATCGCCCCAGCCCGCGCAGAGAAGACTGAGAGAAGGAAAGCAGAGCAGACCATTGCCCGTTCCTGCTCGGTCTAACAAGCCCTCTTCGCTTCTTGCACTCTTGGACTTTTTAGACGCAGCGGTCCCCATTGCCTACCTGACCTGACCTTACCTTGCCTCTTACCTCAGGTGGTACTTCGTAGGGATACTGTCTCCCTTGTACTCGTATGGCCAGCCAGGTCGGGTGGTAGACTCGTACTCGTAGCTGTCTTTCCTGCCATTACTATTACTATGACTACTAGTGGGCATGCACTACCACTCACTAATCACCACCACTGCCACCAATATCACCGCTAACTAACCTCCCGACCTCCCCAGAAACCTTGCCCTCTTTTCCCTTTCGACTCTACCACGGTGTTTGAGATACTATAGCAAGGTACGAATCCTGCCAGTGTTAGTTGTCCAACAACAGCAACAGCGCCATTGCTACCTTTCCTGCTCCTCCTCAGCCGCTCGCCGCTTCTGCTGTGCAGCCGTGCTTCACCAACCCTGCACCTGCAAGCTTGTAACCACCACCACCACCACCACCACCACCACCACCACCACCATCCACTTCCTCTCCCTCTCGACACCTGCGCCTATCCGACGACTCGACAATCTTGACAGCTACCGTCCACCACTCCAAATCTGCGCACCTCTGTTTCTCAACTTCCTCCATCCATTCCGCGACACCGGCCTGAATTGCTCGTTGGCAATATACAAACGGACTTGTATTCCAGTCATTGTGGCCGCCCAAACCTCCTCTCTTGCACTCGCGCCTTCGATATAACCCGACTGATCTGCACCCTCCCTCCATCACTGCGCAATCCGCGCCATGCTTCTGCCATAACCGCACTACATTCGCCGACTCTGCTTTTGCCATCGCACGTCGACGAGAATAGCGCACGCACACCACCAATATTGCTCTTCAACACTCCGTCGATCGACCTTGATCAGGTTGCAGAATGGGCCAGTAAGGTCCCAGACGAAGCAAGAGTGCCTTGTCTCTTTCATCCGCTGCATACCTCCAGCCATGGATCCAAGCGCTTGTCGAGTCATCTACATCGACGAGCGATTCAACACTGAGCGATGGATCTCGAGGGAGGGGCTGTCTCCCAGCACACCGCAGAGAAGCGGCTCTCAAGGAGAATTCTCCGACCTCCCACACGACCTACAAACCAACGTCAATGCCTTTTTGACCGTTTTCAATCAAGGTGGGCCCATCTTCCACAGTCCACGACTTTTGCTGCTGATGGAGAAGCTGACATGTGCATCGACCAGTTTACGTTTGCTCCTCCGGTAGAGCTTTCTCCACCAAGCTGTCAGAGCTTCATGACCAGGTCAAGCTCGACTGTACCCCAATTCTCGCTTGTTTTGACATCGGCTCTGAGTCAAAGGTAGAACACCTGCGCTCATCACGCAACAAGTTCAACCCGGCCTCCGATTCCCCTCTCCCCTCGCCGAACCTTCTTCGTCGAGAGATCACCTTCTCCTCCGAGTCCGACGAATCCTACGGTCTTCAACTGCTGTCGCGGATAGCTTCCGATCTTCAAGTTGAGGAGGGAGTTAAGCTCATTATACCTGTTGCCATTGTCCAGCCGAAGAGAAAGGATTCTTACGATCACAACCACGCTACGGATCATCTACATCCGAGCAGCATCTCCAGAGCCCCGCTTGGTCAAGAGTCCACCGCGGTGGAAATCAGAGACAACTCGGACATAATCGATGCTCAGCTGATGCTCCAATGTCTCGATGCCGGTGCCCTCGATGTGGTCAAGAGCCCGCTAGATAAAGCGGGGATCATGGGCCTGACCGTTCATGCATATCGCATTTACAAGAGTGCCAAGAAGGAGCAAGCTGGCTTCATGGCAATGTCCCGCAGAGGTCGTAAGCAGTCCTGGGTGGGCGTTGAGGATGAAAAACCATATGCTTATCTTCGGGAAGCTATGGTCAAGAAACTCTTGAAGGGCATCTGTGAACCACAAAATATCATCGAAGACTATCAGCACCGCAATCTCTACATCCAAGATCGTCGGAAAGAGGTTGTCGCAGAAGCAATCGGCAGATGGGATTTTTGTGGCCACGATTTCACCGAGGACGAACTAGTTTATGCAGGTTACTACATACTCAACCATGCTCTCAAGATGGAAGCAGCAGAACACTGGCGATTGGATCAAGGTAAATCTCACTTACTTTCTCTCGATGACTGGAATTGACCAAGTCTTTGTATAGCGGACTTGCTTCACTTTATGCAAGGTTGTCGAGTGGCTTATAATTCGTTTGTCCTTTATCACAACTTCAGACACGCCGTGGACGTCCTTCAATCAGTCTTCTATTTCCTAGTAGCCATCGGTGCGCTCCCACCATATCCTGAAGGGGCCGGACCTGCCCCCTACGCGAACAAGAAGTCACCCATTGCACGCCTTGTTGGCCCATTTGAAGCCCTCAGTCTCCTGATTTCTGCTATAGGTCATGACGTCGGTCATCCTGGTGTGAACAATATGTTCTTGGTCAAGTTGAATGCTCCTCTCGCCCAGCTATACAACGACCAGTCGGTGCTAGAGGCATTCCATTGCGCGGCTTATTCACAAATTCTAAGACGACACTGGCCCGCTGCTTTTCAACATAAGGTACTCCGCAAACTTATGATTGACACTATATTAGCTACCGATATGGGAGTACATGCAGACTACATGGGAAAGCTGGGTAACCTGCAAGAGAAGATTCACCAGAGTGGAGATACCGATGGTTGGGCTCCGAAAGACATCGAATGGGCCAGGACGCTGACCTGCGGCTTACTGATCAAATGCGCCGATATCAGTAATGTTGTAAGTAATCTATTTAATCATCACCTAAAGAACCCAGAGACTGACTTATCCAGGCACGGCCATGGTTGGTGGCTGAAAAATGGACTCATCTACTGCAGAAGGAATTTGCACATCAAGGAGAGATGGAATCAGCTGTCGGTATGGAGACCACATTGTTCGGTGGTCCACCAGAATTAGGCAACATGCTCAAACTGGCTAATGGCCAGATTGGGTTCATGACAATCTTCGCCCATCCACTCTTTGCCAATGTGGCCGATATCATCCCAGCCATGCGCTTTGCCGCAGACGAGATCTTGACGAATAAAGGGGTCTGGTTTACTAGAGCGGAACACGAGAAGAGGCTGCAGGTCTTGCACAAGCAGGGTGGAGGCTTGACTGACAGTGGTGCTGTTAGTCCCAGGACCCAGAGTCCAGTTGGCCGCAAGTCCACGCCGGATCACAGCCTTCTCGCATCGTCACCTTTGCGAGAGCGTGCAAACACTCCAGATAATGAAAGGGCTGAAGACCACACTGAGAGGGGGAGAGGTCGTGGGAGCGGGACACAAACAGCACAGGATCACCCAAGAGGCTCGACCTTGGCGGCAGTTGCGGCTATCCCAGTTTCAGGCGACAACACCACTCCCACCAGATCGTCTTCAGCCAAGGCCAATTCAATTGTGGAGAGTCGGAGAAAGTCAGCTCTCGTTAATGGCGAGCATATCTCGAGACTTTCTGCGTTTGACGGAGAGCAGGGCCTTGATTCTTCGAGCACACCGAGGCTGACATCCACTAAACCTGATATGTCAGACGAGTCAGAACAAAGCCTGAATGACACTAGGAGAGACAATGCAGTCTCAATGCGGGCTGGCGTCGAAGCCTTGCCCAAGGGTTTATTACAAGATGAGAAGGACCGAGAATCCTCGGCAGAGGCGTTGTCAAAGTTCAATTTTGCGACATCTGACCAGGATGAACCGGTGCGAACGTTTAATCCGCAGCGAAACTATACTGCCCCTCACGCCGATGCGAGAGCCAGCGCTCCAGCTCCGACAGGTAATACGGAGCACCAGAATCCTATAGTTGTTGGCGCTGATGATGCGAGGCAGACTCAGAGTGAAGAAGTTACGAATGCAACGCTGAGGTGCGGCAGCGGTAATGATACCTTGACACCCGTCCAAAGTACCGAAGCCTCAAGTTATGCTTCGGAGAAGAGTGAGAGCTATCCACGGATCAGAAGCAGCTTCCAGGCGATACGGAATCGTGCTGCGAGTGCACCTCTATCACCCGGAAGTCCAATCATGCAGCCTAGCTTCAGTATGGGAAGCAACAGCATCACCAGTCGCGAGAGCAGCAAGCTTGATGTTCATGCCACAATACTCAGTAATGGTGAGGTCGACGAGTCTGGCAACCGGGACCGAAAAGGCAGCTCGAGATCCGTGGGCCGACGGCGGAGCAAGCTAAAACTAAATCTTGCGTTTTGGAAGAGGAACAAGAGCGAAAAGAGCGTGGGGGTGGATGAACGACCAGATAGTCAAGGAAGTGGGGGACGGTAAAGAATGTTGTGGAACGATGGTGTTGGTGTGTTTTCATGTCTAATTGCAGCGTTATGGCCCATGTTTTATATTTTATATCCTGGTTCCAGGACGGACTCTTTCTATGTGGGCGGTAAGGTATATCAGGCATTGCACTGGGTTGTGGAACAAAAGGAGGCAGAACTACGGAGTCTTGACTAACTTGCAGGACCGTGGTGGTACTGGGCCGGTTTAATCGTGTTTTGTTTTATTCCGGATGGATGGAAGCTGGGACAACAGAAGACATGCAAGAAAGGTTGTGTGCCAAACCCGTGTCCTGGAGCAATCGACGGTGGTATTGCCAGCTGAGGGCGCTAGGGTTACTATTGTGGTACCAGAAGGTCTAGGAACGAGTCTGTATCGCGAAGTCACGAGGTGGATATAGAAAAGTCCTACAATCCCAGCATGAGACAAGGGATGAGATGATTCCAAGACTATGAAAAGGGCAGGGAATGGGACGAAATGAAAGTCCACACCGGACTCTGATGATCGCAAGGAGACAGAGGAATGAGTTGAATAAGGGGGGGATCTGTCAAAGGAGGGTAGGCCAAATTCCTGCGCGAGGGAACTTCCACTCAGGATCCAAGGGAAAAGGGAAAGGCTCAAAGTAAGGCATGAAAATGACATCAGACTAGATGGAATCGCGAGTACCAGAGCCAGAGATTACATCCACATCCACACATAACTTTGTTGACGGACAATTGTACGGAAGTGTTGCGCTGGACTTTACCCTCCTTTGCTCCCTTTGTGCTGTCGGGTGTGTGATAATGACATCACAAGGTGTAAGTCCGTTGAAAATAGTGAACTACCCAAGGGAACCCGATATAATGGTTGACATTTTGAAAATATATACCTAGATGTGTGTGTATATAAAACACCTGAAGGATTTCATCTTCAAGCCTGGGCAGCTAGGTATTCATCCAAGGGCATTGCGGAACTGCCTCGCGAACCCGCTGTCCTTGCGCTGCCACACGTCGTCTAGACTCCGGACGCCGTTTCCGGTGCGTCCATCTTTGGGATGCTTTCTGTGAGCGTTGTTGCTTGTGTCGGCCCTGGTCCTGCGATCATTGTCGCCCTTTGGGCAGTCATCGTCCGAATCGTCGTCAATATCGTCATCATTATCGGACAGCCTCACTTTTCCCGAGTCCCACTCCTTCTCCTCGCCTCGCTTCCGCCACTTGACGTCTCGGATGTCTCCGTCTCGAGCGTCTCCTCCGCCTGAACCGCCGGATGAGAACGTGGGTCTTGTTGCGCTCTTCTCCCAGCGCTCGATTTCCGCGTCCCCGAACCCAGCCTCACGCAGCCGCTCCGCTTGCTTGGAGCGCCACGCACGCCGGTCACGCAGCGCTTCCAGCGCGTTGTCCCAGTCTTCTTGCTCGTCGTCATCATCGTTGTCGTTATCAGAAGCATCGTGTGATGGATTATAGGCCGCAGAGAAGTGGTGGTCGATGTTGGACGTGGATGGTGCCACTTGTGATGATGTCCTTTGGGATAGAAAGCCACGCCCTCGTTTTCGGGGTGGTGATGACAGACTCTCCCTTTTGGCTGGGAGTGGGCCGATGAGGGATGTTAGTGGGTCGGAGGATGCTGTATTTGCGGTGGACGTGGATGAGCTGCGTCGGTATCGATTGCCGCCCCGGCCTCTCTGACTGAACTTTTGTTCGTCGTGCTGCTCCTCCCTCTGACGTCCTTCCCGGGAAATGGTTTCATTGTCTCTATTGTCAGCGCTGGGAGACCTATCCCGTCGCCGCTTGGTTGAATCGGCCTGCCTTCCTTGCTCTCTGCGATCCCCTCTCCTGTCATAGGACTTTGTTGCTGGTTCGTTGGCGGAGGATTCATGGTGCTTGGATCTCCGGTAGCGGTCGCCGTCATCAATGGCATGATTTCTCCGCTTGTGTCGATGCCTGGAATCTGGGCTTCTTGACCGGTCCCGGTCTGAGCTCGGGTGTCTTCTTCGTGTTCGTTGTTCGTGTCTGGAATGTCTATGGTGGTGCCTCGACCTCGACTGCTGATGATCGTCGCTCAAGCGCCGCCGTTTGGTAGGCCGTTCGTGCCCTTGCCTGTGTTTCGACTCGGACTCGTGCAAACGATCCGGGCTTGCTAAAGATCCACCCTCTCTGATCTTCCTCAGACGGATTCGCGCCTCGAGCTCTTCCTTTTTCTTGAGCGCCGCATTGTGGTTGTCGGCCTCTCGAACGAGTGTCTGTAAGAAGCGAGTGTTCGGCTTTGGGGCCGCATTGGTTGGTCTGCGAACAAAGGGAAGAGATGTGTCAGTGGTGTCACAACATCGCTCGTTCATGGGGTATTTGGAAGCCCTTACCTGTTTGGCAGTAGAGCAGACATGCCAGCTGAGGAATACCGGAGTGAACTTTTGCGGGCATCTTCGGCGAGCAGCTCGGCGATGTACTTGTCATCGTTTAGATCTCCCTGGTGGGCCATCGCGGAAGTGGTCGGCGACCCTTTGACCTTTCATCAGCATCAGCGGGGACTCTTCACCGGGAATACAATAAGGCTTACCTTGAGGGACAGGATTAGTGGAGTGCGTTCGGGATGCCGCTGCCTTTGAAGACACCCCAGATTGCTAATCGGCAAACTTTCCTTTTACGCGTGCCGAAGGCACATACATATCTTCGTGGCTCTACGAGTGATCAGCAAGACTGGATTCCGTTTAAATAGCTTCTCCTGAAAGTCGTAATCTTTTCTACGTAGGTGACAAGAGTATTGAATTGTACCTGACAGTTCTTCAAAGCGGGATGGATTCTGAATAGCATGTCAATCACAACTATCCTCACCCTCCACCAGCACCTCCAATATGGTTTCTCGCCTGCTAAAATACATCAGGATCGGCCCTATGCCCAATACTGGATCCGTCGCCAGAGATCTGCTTGCTTCGGAGAGAACATTTCTCGCATGGGCTAGGACTGGTCTCGGATTCATCGCACTGGGTGTCGCTCTGGAGAAAGTCGAGGCTTTTGCCGCCATATCTCCAACACTGTTCCACCTCTCAGACTCAAGGACGAAAGTGGCTGCCGGCGTTCTTGTGGGAAGCGGTAGTCTCTGTGTAGCCCATGGCACTCAAAGATACTTCAGTACGTTGAGATTGCTTCAGGAGGGCAAATTCAGGCCCAACACAGGCGGCGTCACCCTGATGGCTGTCACCTGCATCGCCATCGCCGTCTCGGGCAGTATTCTCGTAATTGAGAACGAAGCGACCAAGGCAAAAGAATCTAGCAAGATCACTGCGCAAATTTGAGGGTTGATTTTCTGAGGTCCGTCAGGCGCTTCCCCATTGGATTTGCGTTACGATATCAGCTCGATTATTTGGTTCAATTGCGACATGTGGATGTTCAGCTTATTATAACCCCGCAGTTACGGCGGAGGCTACTGCTCTACCATACGGAGTTGGAATACCATCGCCTTTGAATCCTCCTTCTTACCGGGCGTTGCTGGGAGATAGAGTAATCGGTTCCAGTCCTTTACCAGCCTTCCTTGTGGACCACCTGCTGGGGCCAATCTTGGACCTGGGGTCCAGTCAGCCTCTTGCCAGATTCCAAAAAGCGTCAAAGCATTATACAGGCGGTCGCTGGTAGATCCAGCGGATTGATAGCAGTGCTCCAAGCCACCAATTGATGACTGTCGACCATAGTGTTACAGGTTGAGAAGGTGTCCCGGACATTCTTCTCTATTCTTCGCACAGCAATACTCACCTTGTTTTCTTCTGCGAGTTCCACGATGCGGGCTAGCAGGCCTAGCGGCTTTGAGGGATCAGAACATTCCCAAGAAGGGCAGGCCCGAACGCCGAACACAGACCTCATCGCTGGTGCTCATGGGTTGATACTTCCTAGTATCGAGTTAATCTACAATAAAGACATGAATACGTAGCAACGTCCTTCTAGGGTATCAATCAATACATCATGAGGTTCTCAAACTAAGATTCCAGATGCTATCCACCATGACCGAGGGGGAAAGCCTCATTCGAAAGAGAAGTCTAAGAAAACATATTTTATACTGTACGCTCAAAGGATATATTCTATACTGCAAGAGTTTCTTTCGCAATCGACCATAGGATGTGGAGAACAGGGCTTCCCGTTCGCTCAGCCGTACTTAAGCCACATGCCGGTCAGTTAGTACTAAAGTGGGTGACCATTTGGGAATCCTGGCTGTTGATTGTTTTTGCACATTTTCCGATATTTTTGGTGCTGTATCTCTTTTTAAAGATCGATAGAGGCACCAAGGACGAGGCTGAAACTCCTTAGGTTGTGTTTATATCTTATGCGGCCGGTTTGGTGGCCTGCTAGTAATTAGTAGAGGTGCTTGAGATGAGGGGTTCCTGGGCGCGCGAATAAGCTGTCCCTAGCTAGGGCACATCGCGTGACATAATAAGAATATTATGGGCTCGTGGATTTGGAGATACAGACATATTTAATAGTACACGGATATTCCCAGGCGAGTCATTATTAATGTTGGTCACCTAGTCGTCTTGCCCTAGTTAAAACTTGTGTGGAGGGTGTGCCTTAAAACCACTCGTACAGCAAGCATGTCTTTATCAATAGGCTACTTCAGCTTCTGATATAGACCATTGTCTACTTACGCACGGTATTTACTTCAACAGTAAACGTTCAACCGTCTAAATTGATCTTTTGCACCGAGCCTCAACTATTTGAGACCAGGATAAGATACGTAAGCTCAATAGAAGTGAGGAGACTATCGTCTCAAATAGTCGAACGTGGCAATTTGTACATGCTATTTAGTCCGGTGGAATTATATGCTCGTATACACCAACCTCCCAAGAAGCTGTGTGTGGTCTAAAATCTTGATTGGACCTTGGTGCCTACATCTTGCAGAGCCCAGTCTGAGAAGTTCTTCTGGGATACGGCTTGTTTAACTTGGTCGGCTGTGAATCCCTTTGCTTGAGTTGCAGGGTTGTAACCGAGACCGGTGATCTTAGCCACCTGCTCGTCCGATACTGGGGATGCGGCCTGTCCGTCAGCACGTTTGTAGATGGTGACTACAACAGCGCCGCCCAGGCCAAGATTGTGTTGCATAGCATATTTGGTGTCTTTGACCAGACGATTGTTGGCCCACCCTCGGAGATGCCAGACTAATTCGGCACACTGCGCGAGACCAGTAGCTCCTGTTGGATGGGTTAAAAAAGTTGAAGAAAGCGGATCGCAAAATAGAAGCACTTACCAAGAGGGTGACCCTTGGAAATCAACCCACCTGAGGGGTTGACGACATATTTTCCTCCATATGTGATGCCACCAGCGCGCACAAGTTCGTGCGCTTTGCCCTTGGGAGAAAGTCCAATGGCGTCAATTGTGATTAATTCGTTGGCACTGAAGCAATCATGGACTTCCACGACGCTGACTTCATTGGCAGTGATGCCTGCCTGCTTCAGAGCCTCCTTGGCTGCAAACTCCGACATCTTAGCACCGATTAAATCGATGGCGGAGCGGTTAAATAGATCTGGAGAATCGGTGGCGAGCTGTTGGCCTGCGATAAGAATGGCCTGAGACTTTAGGTGTGGTCGCTTGTCTAGGAATTCTTGTGACACAACAACGGTGGCCGCTGCGCCGTCGGAGGTGGGACAGCATTGTAGTTTGGTTAGAGGAGCGTGAATCATGGGTGACTTGAGAATTTCCTCCAATGTGTACTCCTGCTGAAACTGCGAGTAGGGGTTTCGCTTGCTGTGCTCATGGTTAACTCGAGCGATCTCAGCCATATCCTCGGCTGCGGCACCATATTTCTCCATATACTCACGGCCAGCATTGCCGAAGAGTTGAGCGGCCGAAGGAGCATTAGTGATACCTCGGGTGGCCTGCATAACTTTCATTGTGGTGCCCATGGGCGGGTCACGGTCGTTGAAGTAGTTTTGCAGGCTACCAGGAGACATCTTCTCAAAACCGACAACGAGGACACAGTCGGCAGCGCCATATGCGACCGCCTGCCTCGCCATATTCAAACCCGTACTTCCTGTTGAGCAGTTGTTGTTGACGTTATAGATGGGGATCTGGGTCATTCCGAATTGATAGAAAACTCGCTGTCCGCAGGTAGAATCGCCATAGCAATAACAGGCGACCCCTTGGTCAACATCATCGTAGTTGATGTGTGCATCGAGCATGGCTTTCACACCCGCCTCAAAGCCAACTTCCATATAGTCGACCTTGCCGCGAGGCTTGATGAACTTGGTCATGCCCACGCCGAGGACGTAGGCTGGGGAGGCTTTACGAGGCATGATGGCGGTGGCTGTGGCTGAGTGAGGAGAGAGGGGGTCGCGGTAGGTAGTTGTGGTGGTTGTGGTGGTTCTCGTGAGAATGGCGAAGAGTTGTATTGCTATGGGGAGGTGCTGATGAAGGTGGACAGCAGGGAAGGAGGGACGAATATATCATGGACCGAGTTTCTTGAAATATTGATTACCTTTGAGATCGAGGCCGAGAGGGTTCTGGCTATGCTGGTCCCGACTCCCTCGGTTCCAAGTTGAGTGGTGTAGACCATTTCAGCCGAGGCCCGTTGCGGCGGCGGTGAGACAGTAGGGTTCACCGTAGACTTTGGAGACATTGCGTCTCTGGTGCTGTGCCCGGTCGTAGAGCTCTCGGGCGGCCCCTGTGACCCCATTGGTTTGACCGAACGTCGAACACGTACGAGTTCTCCAGGCAGGTTTTGGAGTTCCCAGGTAAGTTTACTATCTGGCGGGGTGGCTCGCTTGACCGCCAATGATCACCCGTCCAAAGATGCTCCTTTACATCATGACACAATCATGCGCTACTGGATGATTCAGAGACAGGTCGACAAGTGGAGAGGACGACCCCGGAGAGGAGCCGCTGTGTTGCAGACCCAACCAGCACCCAGCAAATCTACAGGGGTGCACTATAGGTGCGTGGAAGTGCCAATAGGCGTGGGGTTTGGTTTCCAGGGCCCCTCGCAGCCCTAACCCGCCTACAGCGATGGCTGTCATAGGTAAATGGGCGAGAGCTCTTCTGTGACAGCTTTGGGCATCGACGTCAGACCGACAGGCTTTGACCCTCCTCGTCGTGAATCGTGATTGTCTGGATGTGGTCGCTGGCTTTGTCTACGGAATTGGAGGAGTGCCCCTCTTATCGTCAAGGAGCAGCCATGGATCATTGGGCCATTGTCATCCAGCCCACCAGCCCATTCCCCACATTCTGCCCTAGACCAACCAGCAATCAGTGTCTGGACAGTCTTGCTTTTATCCCCAGATGTCTGTGTCTGAGAGAAGCGATATGGCCACATTCTGCATGCCCATCCATCGTCTGCACATGCACATCCTATAGTTGCTATGCTCCTCGCTCTGCTCTCCCTCGTCTTCAGTCTGCCCTCTTGACCATCTATCTGTCTTTGGACTCCTTCTTGACCTGAAATTGGGCTCTCAATCTCACCCGCCGTGCGAAAGTGGCCTGTACGTTCCGATTCTTTCTCGTTCAGAGCTCAAGCCGCCCAACAATTTTGCTGCTGCTGTTCAATCGGTCAAAAACAGGGTACCCCCTTGCGAAGACCCAATTCAAGCCACCAACCACTCCCCTCCACTCCCTTCACATCTCAATCAGGAAGCAAAACTACCAGTAATTATACCAAGAACTAGCAATACTGTTCCCGAGCGTCGAAGCACAACCATTGTCCCTTTGAACGCGTCGGAGCCGTTTCAAGGAAGTGGTCTTGTGCTTCTACCTTCAGTTGTCCTCTGTGGCTTCTGGCAAGAAAGAGGTCGACTGTACCGAGACAATCGATGGATTGTGGAACGCGTAGAGATCTACTCATTTGATTGAGAGATCTTCTTGCGTTCCATCGGGTTCCGCAGCCCAAGAGAGATATTCAAAATCCAAAAGCGGTGGTATATCTGGCGGTATTGGAGCTAGAACAGGCTTATCCACCAAGAGTTTGTGGGCAAACATATCATTCACGAGATGAATCATGTTAGTAAGGACGACGACACACGACATCTGCCTCTGAACCATGATCCAACGTCCACACTACCGTCCAAGTCGTCTCAACCACCCTTAAAGATGTCTCGAAAACCAAAGGTCGATACGGATTGGAACTCTCCTGATACTCGAGTCTACTATGCCAAAAAGTATCGACAGACTCTTGCTTCTGCACCTGCTTGTGCTCTCGCTGTCATAGCAGGGGTAAGTCTGAACAATCTCTACCCTTTCAAACAAAGAGTCTCGTCGTTAAAACATTGAAGGCTCCCCTTGAAAATGTCAAAGTCCGAATGCAATCGTGAGTAGCATTACCCGATGTCTGGCAAGTTTACCCCATTCTGACCGTTCTTAGTCGCTACTTTCCCAACGCCTACCTAGCAACAAAGCACACATATCGCACTGAAGGCATTCGTGGATTCTGGGCAGGTAAGATGAGTCGAGGCTTTCCACAGCCAGTGTCAAGGAACAAAACTTTAAAACTAACCCCCTTTCACAGGCACCTTCAGTCCTTTGGTCTCAATCACCACCTCCCGAGCCCTAGGATTTTCTATCTATCGAAAAGCTAAATATACTCTCGACGGCTGGATCGAAGCTGCCACTGGATCATCTCCGTTGCAGCATGTTAATAAACCAGGCACATACCCCAACTCATCGACGCTTCTCTGTTTTACAGGCGCCGGCATGATATCCGGGGGCGTCACAGCTGTTGTATTGACTCCGGTCGAGCTAATCAAAAATGCCACCCAGTCGTCTGTCCTTATGGCTTCTTCACCATCCACCTCCACCTCCACCCCCAAACCAGCCTCTGGGGCCGCAGCTCCATCGGTTAAGAACTACGGGCGAGTCAGCTCCTGGACATCAATGAAGCGTATCATTGAGAGACGAGGGGTCTTTGGACTTTGGACCGGCTTCCGCTTGCATCTCTTGCGCGATGTCATTGGCAGTGGTATCTATTTCGGTGTCTACGAGACCACCAAGCAGTCCTTGAACTCATATTACGGCGCGGAAAAGGCCAACACCCCTGGCGCCATCGCCATTGCAGGTGCCATCTGTGGAATCGGTGCCTGGGTCGTGGTACGTTCTGTCATGGTCATTTTGGCAGCTCTCGCCATCACAATTCATGTTATTCTAACTCTTTTTTTCCTCCACTACTATAGACATATCCACTCGACACCATGAAAACACGCGCCCAGAACAACCTAGTCAACATAGGAAGCTCCGCCGCCGCCGCCGCCGCCGCCGCCACCACCACTTCGTCGTCCTCATCGTCATCCCCATCCGCGGCAGTTGCACTCTCTAAAGCGGCTATGCGGTCTAGCAAATGGAAAGGCGTGGAGATGATCATCTTGCGGTCGTCGATCCAGAACATGATCCAGATGAGCTTCTTCGAGCAGGCGAAAGTCGTCATCGACAACATGAGCTTCAGCGACGGAAGCAAGACGCTACCAGAGGTAGAGCGCCATTTCGGCAGAGACAGCAAGGTCTTGAAGAACGAGAAGTTGTGATTGGAATTTCATGTCCCGCGAGTGAAAAGTGCCAAAGCATGTTTAGTTCCAAGTAGTGTATCTACGATAGCTTTTGGGGCTTTGGGGAGAGCTCCATGCCATGCCATCCCGTCCCAAACGATTGATTGAAATCGCTAGGCCAGGACATCAGGCGCAACTACTTCCTGCATTTTCTCGCGCGCTCCCGCAGTGCCAGCGTCGACCGACCAACTAAACCATTGATTTCAAACCCCCTCCCTTTTCTTCACCTCTTCAGCGGCTGCCTCACTGGCCGTGAGAACGCGCACGTGCTGTTTTCGACAGCGTCTTATCGAAGGAGAAGTTGAGGCTAAATCAGCACATTGTCCAGGACCGGACAGGACATGCTGGACAAGCGGTTATACTGTATTCTTTATGGTCTATGCAATACTAGTTAAGTAATACTGATACCGAAACCGAATTGGTATCTACTCCGTTGCAGAGCAGCCAAACGTGCTGTCCTTTCACAGTTATTGAAAAAGGTCCGGGGGTATCGTCGTTTCTCTCCTGTGCATATCCCCGATGCTCGTCCGTAAAAAGCCTCGCTTCAATTCGTCAATCCCCTGTAACCGCCCACAACAGCTATCATCAATCGTGCACTTTCATCTTCTCACGGTCCAGAGCCTCCGAGACATCGCCTAGTGCGGTGGTGTAATTAGTTCCTGAGCCCGGCCCGTCAACTAGAGGGCTAGTCGGAGCGGTGACCATCCCGCTCTCACGATCTTTCTGGTTCTCCTTCTCCCGAGGCTCCTTCCCGCCACCGATACTGCCACTGATGCTGTCAGTTCGACCATGTCCGCCCAAGAGTCCGCTTCGGATACTGGCGGCGTCACCGTACTTGCTGCCAATATAGCTGTTCCGTTCACTGGTCAACGCCGGGGCAGTGATTCCCGAGGTAGAAATTAAGCTCGAGCGCTCAGCGTTGAAATTGGACCGTGGGTATGTTGAGGTGCCGGCCTCGCGGAGGGAAACATTGTCGCCACCGGGAGAGATAACAGTGCCTGACAGGACAGATAAGGGCAAGGATTCTCGGCTTCCACCAAACATGGAAGCTGGGGCTAGTGCCCTCATCGAGGCATTGGTATCGACAGAGTTTCGACGGCGGCGCTTCGATGATGAAGCAAGTGTGAGGATGGAGGCATCATCAGTGAGGACATTGTTTGCCGTGGCAGAATGATATGTGGTGGGCTGTCCATGGGGCGCAAGATGGGCGGGCACAGCGGTAGCGGGTGGGCCATGGAATGAGGCAGGATTGCTGGCAGTCGAGGTGTGTGTAGGGTTGGCTGCGCCGAGATTTTGATGAGGCGGAGCGATAGATTGGACCGTGGTCAAAGTGGTGGCGAAGGAGCGCACAGAGGGAGCTGGCGAAGAGAAGGTGCTGTCTCTTCCACCCTCTGTTCTCGCAGCGGTGGCACTGGTGCCTGCGCCGGACACGATGGTTTCTGCATTTGTAGCGAGTGTGGGTGCCCTCGACTTGGGATGGATCTGGCTGTCGTGAGATATAGAGACCGAGTGTTTGCTTTGAGAAAGCGAACTGTGTCGCGATCGCTGAGATGAGATCGGGGTCGAGTGGGAGACGGGCCCATTATTTGGAGGATCGGGACGCGACGAGAGAGGATATGGGTTGTTCTTTGCAATATTCCCCTTCTTGGACTTGATGGTCATGTTGAGGTTGGATCGACGAGTGCCTTCGCCGGTATCATTCGAGTCGACGTGGGCCTTGAGATTGGCGAGGCGGCGCATCCAAGCCGCGAAAGGTCGGCGGCGATCATGGCGGTCTAGAAACATGATGATTAGAGACGGGCGTTTTGGAGCGGACGGTCCAGACTCACCGTGAGGACGCGGAGAGACCTCTGTAGAAGCCATGAGATTTCTTTGACGTACGAGGGAGCTGAGAGCACGTGTGAGGTTGGTGCTGAGCACGGCGGACGAAGGTAGAGATGCGAACGAGGCGCAGCAGGTGTCGTGTTCAGTGTTGGTTAGGCCAGACGCCCAAGAGTTTTCAACGACAGGGGTGCATTTTCGGTGCAGTCAGAAAGCAGAAATGTGCGGTGACAATGACACGTAGCAGAGAAGCAAAAAGAAGCGAATGTAATTGCTACCCGTGTCTCTATGCCGTGTAGAACTTGGAGGGTGCTAATTTGATGGATGGTTGTGTGGTGGTGGTGATGATGTTGGTGGTGGGTGTGGTTGTGCTGTGGATGGAAACCGGGTCCCCTTACTCCATCCTCGGGCGTCCCATGTGGCTGCTCCAGATGGTCGATTCTCCATATTCCACCAGGGACAGATCCAGAGAGCGCTGCCATCATACCACACTCTCCACCAGAAAAAGCCACCCGCACTGGGGACTTGGGACTTGACCCTTTAATTTCAACCGACAATACCAAGTACGGAGTACGGAGTACTTGGTCTCGGTACATACGGAGCAATGAACAGGAACAGGAACATTAGCGGCACAAGTGGCGGATACCTCTCTATGCTTTTTATCATTATTTTTATCATCATCCACTTCCCCGTCATCACATGAAGTCGTCGTCGTAGAAGTGAGAGCCCCGATCCTCGTTGCTCACCATGTTCTCCTCCCGCATCAGGTCGTCATATGCATGATCCTTTTGGTACCGAAGCTCCTCCCGTTTCTTCTTCTCCTCTCGATCCCGAGCCTTCTGCTGCTCCCGTTCGAGCCTCTCTACTTTGCGTTTCTCCCTTTGGTTTGCTTCTCTCTCTGCCCGGAGATCTGGAAACCTCTCCTCTCGCGTCTTATTCAATCGATTAACGATCGGATTTTCCCGGGTAGCAACGTGGATCTTCTTGACCATCTTGTGATCGTGAAATGACACTTGCCCGGTGGCCATCGAGGCATCTTTTTTCAGGTTCGACCATGGAGTGTAGATGATGGTCACATTGTCCTTCTTGTTGCCTGAACACAGCCTCAGTCACCCCCCGTTGAACCTCGACGCCACTCTTAGACTCTATCACTTACCTTCAATTGAATTTGCTTTGGTGAGTTGCGCACAGTCTTCTAACAAACCCGGCTCGATGGAAGTCCACGTCTCGCCAGGCGGGAGACGAACGTAGACATGCGCACTGGACAGGTTGTCTACGTGAAACTTTTCATCTCAGGTTAGCAACAAACGGACCGTGCGCATGAGGGTTTTGGTGGCAGCAGTAGTACCCTAAGCAATAACAATTCTCAGCCTCTGTGTTTGTGTTTGTGTTTGTGTTTGTGTTGTGCTCAAGCGCCGAAGAGGGTGTGCTCTCACCATACGTCTTCATCCCAGCCGAATTGGATGAGATCTTCGTCTGTCGTCTGTTGGTCAATCATTCACCCCGTACACACGACACATTCATGACATGACACTTGACGCACTTTCCACTTTGTCTTTGCCAACATAGATGAAGGCGGGCGGATTGACCGCCGTTGATTTAAAGTAGTAAACCATCTCCACCCCGTGGCAGAGCGAAAGATGTCAAGCGCAGCGCGGGTGATTACACCCCTCGAGCCCTTATGTTCGTAGGCAATGAGAGGTCGAGGTTGGACGTCCGAGCCCTCGATATCTGCGGACGACCCTTCAGAGAAATGATTGACGTTTGAAAAGAGGATGGAGACATCCGAGAGTCAAATCCAAGTCAGATTCGATCGATCGTTGAAATTGTGCTGTGCGCCACCGGATTTGACAGTAAGATATTGCTACGGAATACTGTCAATCACAGAGGCAGATTGAAGCGACAATATTGAGTAGAGGTTGCACGTGATGCCTGCATCCGTCGAGCCTACAACCACTCAACGAGGAATCGAATCATCCAGCCAGACCCGTGAGCCGATAGATTGAAACCCAAGTGTACCGCGAGATACGGTCTTACTTTATGGTCAATGGCATTTTCTTTAGAGGTGTCGAAAGCCTCACGGAGCGGCCGCCTTAACGCAAGTGATATCGCACAAGTAGAGTATCTATTGAGAGGAAGCATTCCTCACAACAAAGAATAACACTTCCAATTTAGGTTTCCCTACCTTCATGCTGCCTAGTACTTGGTCTCAGTACAAAGCACTGTAGCCTCCCTTACCATCTGCATGTTCTTTGGTACCTCACTCATCATCCCCAACACGGAGTAGGTACAATCCCCTACTGCTTAGATAAATTTTCTGCTAGTCGTGGCGAACGTTATGTCTGTTGCATTGTCTTGCTGTCGATAGTCGTCAAGGCACTAGGTAGTTGTGGACTCGTGTTCCCCTATCAACTATTGGTAATTGCGAATCCTCGTCACGGGTCAGCATCGCTACTTAAGCGACCATTAAAAAAGATTCCACTGACGTATAGGGTATTTCTAAGGTAAGAGATAAACAGCTCCCGAGAAGACAAAAAACAATCAACAGCCAGGATTCCCAAATGGTCACCCACTTTAGTACTAACTGACCGGCATGTGGCTTAAGTACGGCTGAGCGAACGGGAAGCCCTGTTCTCCACATCCTATGGTCGATTGTGACGGTGTTGTTGACCTTTATGATATATATCATCTCTTAGTAAATCTTACGGTAAAGGGTATTGAGGCCTGATGTTCTGGTGAGTCTAGGCCGTATCCCGTTGATTAGAAAATGATAATATTCCAACTTGGTTCTTAGTACTTACAGTATAAGAGAATGCCTTTACTGGAACTGCTATCAGCAGGTAGATGGATCGTTGGCCTTGGCACTTCTTGCTGTCTAAGTGGCGTCGGAATACTGAGCCAAGCAATGTAGATGTTCTTAGGATAGACAGAGAGACTCTATCGCTTGATTTCTAGGAACACTGGAACATGTGCTTCGGTTTACTTGCGCACCCATACCTAGCTTTGGGGGTCGATACCCTGGAACTGTTCAACGGCAAGAAGCATGGTCAGGAAATGGGATATTTCGTCACTAGAGTGTTATGTTCGCAGCCTTGTGGAGAGCCAGGTGATTGCATCCATGGTACATAATTTCGTTCCCTCTACTGTCAAAGCTCGTGGTAAGTTAACGGGCTTTAGCCTGTGTTCGGCCGAGGAACTTGTTCCACCGGAGGATTGCAGTACCACGGCGACTAACGGTGAGCATGATTGCAAAAAGTGCTCAAGTCCTCAGTACGGGTAGTGGGGCAATTGTCCAGACCGACAATTGATCAGTAGTCATGTGGATACCAGCAGTTAAAGAACCCAAGTCAAGAGCGAACATACGAGCACGCCGATGAGTTGTATCAGGAGATATTAAGGTTTGCCATGCCAAGTTGTGAACCTTGATTCTACCAGCAGAAGCCTAGGCGCAAGGTCCTGGGGTTGGCCATGGTTAGATTTTATGTTTTCGCCGACTAGAGATGGCGCGAGATCTTCGATGGTATTCCTGTCGTCTCATGACTCGAAGTTGAAGTGCCTATGGCCGGCTATGCACCGATAAACGTTTATGCTTGGGATGATCAGTACGCCTCGATTTTCCTCCCACTTGGAACCTCGCGTCCCTGAACCTGATATCGCTAGCCGGAGCGAGCAATGGGCAGCAACACGAACAAGTGATGCAAGGATAGCCGTTTCAATGTGGCAAGTCTTGGGTCTGACCGTTTCAGAAGTAATTACAGTGATATTTCTCAGGCGATCCAGAATTCCTAACTCGCGACTCGACGTGAAGTTTTCGTCGGAACAAAAACCACCAATACCCAACCCGGTTCGCAATTTCAGCCTCGTGGATGCCGTCATCGAAATAAAGGGTGGCAGCCCCACTGGACTTGTGGGGGAGCTGCTCCAAAGTGAAATATTAGTGTAGAGATCTGCCTCACCGCCACTTAAGAGCTGCAACCGCCCCACCAGCATGGAGAGCTGCTCCAGAGATCAGGGAGCTGAGGCAGACGGGTTGATACAAGCCCGGGCGAAATAACGGGATTTCGGCAATCAGAGTTTCGCAAGTTCAGACGATCCATAGTTACGAATCGCGGAAAATCAAAGGTGTCTCAAGAAAGTAATCCTCGAAGGAACCCAGCTAGGCCGCTTGGCGGTAAGAAAGTTGGTTTCGAAGCAAAAGGTTGATTTCCATCATTTCCTCAGGCCGTCCGTGGCTCGGAATTCCTGCATTCCCAACGAGAGTAGGGAAGTAGCATGAACAACATTCTCAACACGAATCCTTCGTAGGCTATCGAAAATGCTAGGGTGAACTAAGCTTGCCCAAACGCCAAGTGATGCACAGAATTGATGGACTTTCGAAAACGCAAAGTATCGTAGAGTACCTGGTACGCCTGTGAATGTCCGGGTACAACACCCTCCAATAGTCGACGTGGTAAGTGATAATGCTTTCAGGCAGGCCACTATTAGATCTAGCTGGATCTGGCTGGACGGGGCTGGATTTTGATACTGATATCCGAAGTACCAGGTAGCTCCAGAACTGGCTGGTAATTGTCGGATGGCAGGGGGGCTCGGTCACTACCACGAGGGTCCAGCATATCCTTGGAGATCGAGAACTTGGATCATTTTTATTAAAGTGGGAGCCAAGATATGGGGTTGTCTGGTGTTGCGTTGGTCCACACAGTTTAGCCCTGTTCGAGTCCTATATTAGGCCTCGATTTTCGCTAAAGGACCAGTACCACTGTCTATGAGCGGCTGAGGTACCTAGGCCCTCCGTAGATCATCGTTGATGCACAAGAAGAAATCATGCTGTTTACACGTGCTTAAAATGCGGGAGGCGGAAAGTTACCCATACGGGTCCGTGCGAGGCGTCGGCGATTCGGACGACGAGGAACAAAGAGCCGCCAGCTCACGTTGGAGACAAAGTCGACTGGTGCGATCCCTTTTGGAGCCAAGCGACCGATTTTTTTAATTAAACAAAGGGACAAACCCCAGCTTCAGGTATGCTTCGATCGGGAGAGCCGACACTTGGTTTTGGGAGACTCGATGCGTCGGAACAAGGTTTCAGACCAGCCGCAGTGAGGTTGGCAACTGTGGAGGAAATGGTACACCGCCTCCGAGATGTTGATGCCTCTCGAGGCCTGACGCCTGCAACCTACCGCCGGCCTTTGAGGGCATTTGGGTCTCAATCATCTGGAGCTGCGAGACTTTTAGAGTTTGCGAGACCTCGGTGCTCGGCTGGGCCTCATTGTGCGGCCAATTAGGACATTGCCTACATGAGAAGGATCGCCGGTGCGTATTTGGACGACCAGCCAAAATGATTGGGGGCTCATGGAAACCATGCGCCTTTTCAAACATCGTTAGACCGTGGGGGGATCTACGAGAACTTGTGAGCAGAGCTGACTTCATGATAGGGTCGCTTGCAAGCCCTAGACAATCTGACAGGACGATACGGAGCCAACGTGGAAAAAAGTGGGCGCGCCATGGCTTCGACGCGCAATGTCCGCTACTCAATTACTCGTACAGTACGAGCAGAGAAAACCTAAAATGAGAATCGGGCTTGAGCATCCAGATAGGGTATAAGGAGTACGGACACGCACGCACAACATGGCACGGTTGCCGGGTATGATGCTGAAAGCCAATTGCAATTGGAACACGGCCGGCACTTGATCGTGCTCTTCTCTTACTTGCGGCTTCATAGCACGCGATCACGAAGAGGTAAGCGCACCGCCCGGGAATTCATCACCAGTCCCATGAGCTGCATTCATCCCACGATCACAGTCCTGTCCCAAGGCACCCGAAGTGGCACCACTTGCGTCTTGACATGCGGAGTTTGTGGTATTGTCATGATCCAGTTGCTCGTATTGCCAATTGCACGCTCTCGTTGGACCAAGTCCTCCAGACCCATGGTAGATCGAATCGCGACTGGTTTTATGCCATGAAAGTTGGGCGTGCTGCAGGATATCATGCGAATCGGATCTATACCGTACGATCAGCATCCTCGTTCTCGTGCGTTGATACGAGGACGCAGTCTCTGGAGTTCGGGGCGTGTATATCGCTCTGTATTTTATTACAAGACGAGTGTACGGGGTTGTCCAGAAGGTCAACCCGGCGAAAATAAGTTTATAGGATTTCTAATGCCAGTGCTGGCCTACGAGTATGTCGGGGTTCCGAATGACTTACGATTTAGGGCCTTCATGCGCTGTCGCGGCGCACAAGCTGCATCTCGGCCGTTGAAGTGGCAGCTTGGCAGACCCCGTACAAGGTATTTGTGCAGACCGGGTAGCTTGGTGGTACCGGAAATGAGCAGGATCCTACAGAACAAGTCAACATGTGTCCAACCGGCCAATGTCGTCGCTATACGTCCTCGACAACCTGCATATTGGAGCCAGGTCAAGATGCAACCTCGCGTCATGGGGCGTCTGCGGCTGCAGCAGCAAATAACCGCGCCAGTGTCATCCAGCTTTCTAAATAGACGCCTTGCTGCTCGTAAGTCAGAAATCCACCTTCAGGATTATTGGGAAAGGTGGGCCCTCGAGTTACACAGAAGGAATCATTGCCCGCTCAGAGGCATTGGAGTATCACAGCTTTCCAATCCTAAATCCTGGTGAACTCTGCCTACGAGTTGGTTTTGGTCGGTAAACCCAACAGAGACCCTGACCAAGGATATTTCTGACTCGGGTTCATACGAGCCGCGAGCGAGGTCGTAGGGTCTAGCCCTACAATTTGGCCGGGGGGTATGCAGTTCAATGCACTGCTTCGCCATGAGCGCCACAGCAGAGCAAACGTCGCTAGAGAGCGCTGTTGTCTCTCCACCCCGTGCAGCGGATGCTTGTGCATCAAGGCTTCCTTCCCATCGTCCTTCGGAAGTAGGAATCCTCACAATTATCTCCAAGCTAAGCACAGCCGTTCCTCGGCGTATGGACGAAGCAAGACAACGTCTAGTACAAGTCTTTGGATTGTGTGAAGTACCAACTCGTGTCGCACGTTGGTAAGCTTTACAGCTGACCATTGGGTCTGGCATTAGAGCGTCATCATATCCTTGACTAACGCAGCAGCCTGCCCCACGTTCTGCTTGGGCGGGCCACTGCCCGGCACTGTCCCATACAGAGAGGGATGTCCAGGCCAGAAAGGACCCCAGAAGCGAGGATTCGATTCGCTCTTAACACGACTTTCTTGTGTCCTTCGGAGTTTTTCGATCGAGACACTCTAAGCTCTGCCGATGCATTCCCGTACGTCTGAGTCGGGTGGATGCTGCTCCTGCAAACACGTCCCGTATCGAGTTCTTTGGAGTCACCCTTGGCCATCGAAATTCCAGGTTCTCTGCCTATATCTATTTTCTCTTCGCAAGGCGTGACATCTTTGATTGTCATCGCGATTCACCCCCGACGTCTTAGCTTCGCGTCAGACTGGCCGGGCCGCTCCTTCTCTTTTTGATACCAGGCTCTTTGCCGGTGGCAGTTGCAGGTCGAGGTTCGAAATCATAGCAATCAGGCGCACAGTAATTTGAAACCTTTATGAGCACTACTTCCAGGACATGGTGTTAGAGGACTTTACGTTACTCCAGAAGCACTGTGGTGTTCCAGCATGATGTGGAACAGCGTGGGCCAGCAGTCACCCCTGATGAAAGATCATTCCCTGTAATGTTAAGCGACTCGGCTCTCCCGTGGACAAGCTCGAGTGCTACTGGAGCAGTTCTGAGATAATTGCACAGTCACAATGTTAAGTGGCTTTTGGGCGGAGTACTCCATATCTCGGGAAAAATTGGGCGAAACTCGCAGCATCAGGGCGATCCCTAGCGCGCGCTATTGTCGACAGGGTCCGAGCTTGCATCTGTCAGTACCTTTGATTGGCGGGAAGCAAAAGCCTTCTACAGGTGAAGCTTACTTTCCAATCGCTGGAGTTAGGCAAAACTCAACAAAGGAGCTCTCATCTTTGATAGCCTAAAACAGCGCTACCGTCCTTTTGCATACAAAACCTCTTGGCTGCTGAGCTCATATCACATTGTGGAGCCCAGGACGTCGATGTCAAATTATTCGTTTTTCATGTGGGCTTGGCTTCACACAACCGTGACTTAGCCATCGAGATCAATGGACGTCCACCAATCGTGCATTTCGGCCATGTTCTCCACCACTGAGAATCAAGGCTTTACTCTCCCGTTACAAGCCGGGTCATGGGGGCCAACTAGCTAGAACGAGACGGGTAACCCAGCTACCGAGGAGCTACAGGGGAATTTTTAGGGTCTGACCCTGGGAGAGGTGCACCCGCAGCCACTATCCGTCACACGATTCTCCATTGTCTATGCTCATATCTGATGCAGCCGAAAGCCAAAATTTCGAAGTCGAAAAAGAATGACGCTCCGTCCACCAAACTGGAGCCCTGGCCTCCCTAGCCTGTGACAGACTTCTGAATGTGGTACCAGGCAAACCTTGGGTAACTTCACACGTGCAGCGAGCGGACCCAGCTTTACATTGGGAGACCCAAATCCGACTTGATCAAAACCCTCGCTGCCACGTCGCACTACCTGTGGCGGCCGGGTTCTGGACAAGGCGATGCCAGATGTCTTCACTTCATCTGGATAGCCTCGGACCAACCCTGTTTGCGCAAGGAGGGATATCCATCATAAAGTATAACAATTCAGGAAACTGGCGCGGCAGGATCTGCTCTTCCATCATGGATGCACCTCATCCGCGCTCCTGCATGGGCCGAGATGTCAACCTTAATACTCCATGCAACAGGAATGCTCTTTTGCGTCTCGCTTATATAGTTGCACCACGACTTGGTGGGGCGCCCGACTGTTCCTCTGTGCTGTGATCCGACCCGTAGTATGGAGTACCATGGTCCAACTTGTTTACCAGTGTCCATTAATATTACCTGTGATGGTTCTCGGTCTTCATCCTCCCAGGGGCTTTTGATCAATCATTCTTGCGAGGTTCCGAGTCGCTTAGAAAAGGCTGGCTATGGAATGTTGTCTGACACTTTCCCCCCTCCTGATCAATTATTACCACTATTCCCAGATCCCTAGATTCCCAGATCAACTGCCATACGCCACAGCCGCTGGTTTGAGGCTTTGGTTATCCGAATCAGTAAGACTATGTCTAGAACGGTACAGCTCAGCCTTCGGAATGCTCTGCAGATCGCTCAGAACAGCCAGAGTGAACAAATCGACCCCAGAATAACGCAGATCCTCGAGGACGCGCTTGCGAAGATTTGGCGCAACATACAGGCCCAGCCTAACTCGTATATAATGAGTGAACTCGAGTTTGCTGTGTTCAACCGGTACAGAAGTCGGTCTGAATTTCAGAATGAGACCGCTCGCAAGGCCGTCTCACGCTATTGGAACAGCCGGAGTGCCAACAATGGGGTAATTAATTTACGAATGCCAACTCCTGTTCTTCCTTAGCGTCGACTTACAAAATGCGCTACAGCTTCCGTCCAAACGGTCGTAGTAAATCGCCAGCAAACTGTCGGTCCCGGTTGCTCAGAAACTCCTTTCACATACGGGCTTTTTCAGCCTTCACAGCAGATTCCGCCAGTCTCCTTTATGGATTTACGGGATCAGTTGACAAACCGGCTAGCCTACCGAGTACTCGATACAATTGATTCAGCGAATGGAGAGGTTCTGATATAAATTGCAGGGTTACACGTCGTCCTTCAATCACTTCATGTCTTGGGGAAGCGGATATACAACTTTGAACCAGCTAACAGGCTCGGCCTCCCTGGCCTTCCATCCATGGGAAGCGCTTCTTCTTAACGAGTCCTTTCCTTCACCAGTGACTCACCTAGCTAAGTGAGCACCTCCCGCGCATTTTTTTCAAGCTTTTATCATGTATTATAGCACTTCCAGCCTTCCATTGGTAAAATGGCTGGCTTAACTCTTTCTGGCCGATCGGCCTGCTGATCCCGGGTTTTGGAGGACTGCGCTCCATCCCTATTATAACTAGCATAGCCGAAGGATCTGATTTTTTTCTGCTCGCCCAAAGAGAGCGAATGCAGGCTTTAGCACTGACAAAGCACACTGCACTTGTGCCTCGAGTCTGCGACTCCTGCGAGCGGCGCAGTCCTGATAAACAAATCTTTGTCAACATCAGCACTCCTGTTCGTCCACAAACTTTTAGAAGAGAGAAGCATGTTTCATTCAAGAAATGCACTTCTACTTGGTACTTTCAATCCCCTTGATTATGTGGGCAAATTGATTGATCAAATGCCTCGATTAACATTCCAATGCTAACCACGAATGTAAAGGGACCGTGCGAACGAATTCAACTAGTACCTCAGGCGACATGTCTTCAATATCCTGCCCTCATCCTCCAATCTTCAGTTTACAGATGAAAAGAAAATGTACCACGCATTTCACTCTACCCTGCTGGCGTTGTTGCCTTGTGTAGCTTCGTTGATAACCACGGTTAGTTTGAGTGAGCATCATCTTTCCAAGTCTACGCAAGTCGGGGACACTGTGCAGCTCCAACAGCGTCAACCTCCTAAGACTGACTATTATGAGGTACGCAAGATGCGAGAAGAGCTTTGTTGGCACTGTTGACATTGTTAGTTACTCCAACGAGACACGCCCCCAATCACGATGACGCCTCAATGCGATTTATATAATGGCTATTTCTACGTGACTCCACAAAATTACACATGGCAATTGCAATGTACAACCAACTACGAGGGCGACATTGTCTTTGTAGGAGACAGCGTGGGCTTCGGCGCGTGTATCAACACATGTATTGATCACAATCGAGCCACCGCGCCAGGAGCTTGTCTTGCAGTGACCTTCAATGGCCCAAATGACGGCGCTGTGGGATCATGCACCTTGTGGTCGGACATTTCTAACGTGCTATTAGCATATGAAGAAGGGAGTAAGCATATCCCCATCCCTTAATACATAGTTCAGAGCCTGCTTATAGAGAGCTAGTGGTCTTACTCAACCGCACCCATTCATTTACCCCGACAAGTACAGCCCAGAGAGACATTTGTTCCAGGCTAATGGAATGACTCTACAGACATACAAGACTCCGCTGTGCTCATCTTCGGGGCTAATGGAGAGGCTTTTGCAACACCTCAGGCAGATCCGAGCTTCTCAGGTGCACCAACGCAGCCACCCACCGTTGTTCCGCTACCTACAAGCACCACAGCTGCAGATCCCGTCACTTTGTCTAGCCCTAGCCCAGCGACTAGTCCTAGCCTACAAACTATCCTGACAGTTTTAACGGTGACAACGACGGGAACATGGGTTGTGTATATCACATCGTGTCCAGCCGGGATCCAGAATTGCCTACTAGAGTCTTCGACATCTGTAACAGCTACTTCAACATCCACTACGAGTCACTACGACTATATACCATCCACCACTACTACCATGACTTCCACGTACATCACCGACGGGGGATCTCGACCAGCTACAACGGTACCAACATCAAGGTGGATTGAATCGCTTACCCCTTTGACTGTGACGTCTCAAACAAGTACAAATAGAGCTTCCGGCAGTGTCTTGATAGACCCCATTCAAGCGACTTACAGAAATGTTGTCCATTACACCGAATATAGGATACAAATTGTGGAGGTATGTGCGGCCACTTCGACACCATGCTCTCGATCTAGTATTCAGGCGACAGTGGTTGGAGCTCGGACCGAGGTTTCATGTTCGCCCGGATTGTGCTCAGGATTGCACGTTGCAACAGGCCTGACAGCAAAGGTAGCAGCCACAGGAATATGCATAAGACTTTAGAATTTCAGGTGTTCATTTTGATTGTTGTAGAATACGAGACGACCCTGCAAAGGGGATAGATCGAATCTCTCTGATTTCCTTCACTCATATCCCGTCTCATTAATAAAAAGGTGGGGAAACTATGCAACTATACGAGAGTAGTAAGACGAGAAGTACCTCAGACAGGCACGACGGTCGCGAATTGCGAAGGAAGGGGTCTGTAATGAAGGGCCCCTGGGGGATCGCAAGGAGCAAGGTACTTTTTAGGCTCTGAAGGTTCGACGGAGGATTTTAGAATTTCGCTTACCTCCTTAGTTGGTCGATCTCTGGGCGAGTTCAAACCCAAAACCATCCTCTCTCAACAATTTCTTGTCATTGAGAATGATCTCTTTGCACTATGAAATAGACTGCCGTTTACGGCGCACCTTTGATTTATATATGATAACCTCAGACATGCCTTGGAAGAACAATTGATATCCCCTTCCGCTATAACAGGAAACGTGGGATAAAGGGAGGATCTCATTTCTCAGCAAACACCCTCAACGCCAAAAGAACCCTTCAGATTTCCAAACAATGGACCACAGTGATTGTGTGCCTCCGGTAGAGCGAATGCGGTTTTGCCCTTGTGTTCACCTCTTTGTTCTGCGCTGGCCGTCCGATGGAGGCATTTTGCAGCTGGCTTCCATTGCCTGTTTGCGGTCGATGTAAGTGCTCGCTTTTATTTCTGATCTTTGGTTTCTATGCCTCAACATCCATAAGGGCCCAAGAGCCAATTTTCTCTCGAATCTATTTTCCCGAGTATCTTGAGCCTCTAGATTGAGAATGGCCTTCCACCTACCGTTTGCAAAATTGCTGGCCGCGTTGACTGTGTTGACTTACGTGGTGAATGCTGACCCATGCAACCCACTGATCAGTTTGTCATCCCATTCCCAGATTGATCATCATCATTCATTGACTCATACACAGCCTCGTGTTCCCCAATACCGGGTTTGTTGAGCGGAGCATATTCGATTGACTTTACGCAGCAAACTGACACGCCTGCCGGCTGGATTTTAGCTGACCATGCAACCGTTAGCTATGGTAGCCCAAATGGAGCCAATTTCACATTTGGCAAACGTAAAGATGCGCCCTACATATGGACTCGCTTCTATATTCTGTTTGGTCGCATAGAGGTTGTTTTGAAAGCAGCACCTGGGTCTGGTATCATCACTGGAGCGGTCATGATGTCCGATGACCTTGATGAGATTGACTGGGAATGGTCTGGCAACAACTTTGCCCAATCGACCGGTCAGGTTCAGACGAATTTTTTTGGCAAAGGTATTGCTGGTACCTATAGTAGAGGAACAGCACCACAGGTTGATGAGCCTCAGGACCAGTTTCATACTTATGCCTTGGACTGGACCCCTGACGCTCTGACCTGGTCCATCGATGGGAAGAACGTGCGAACGCTCAACAACAATCATCTCACCTATGGAGAGTGGCAATACCCACAAACACCTTCACGGCTACATATAGGTCTGTGGTGCTCAGGAGATAACGAAACTAACAGCTGGGGCACAATCGGATGGGGTGGTGGGCCCACCGACTTCACCAAGCTACCCTATAGTGCGTACGTCAAGTCCGTCAACATCACAACTCCCAACCCTTGCTCGAGTTGGAAGTATCCAACCCCTTTTGACGGCCTTTATAACTCTGTTCAATGCACAAATGAAACCATCTCTCTTCCTTGCACTTACTCCGTCGTTGCAGGGGATGATGGGTACAAGATTGCGAAGAACTTGACTGTCAACTTCGAGAACCTAAAGGCAGTGAACCCAGGGATTAACTGGGACGTACTTCAGCTGGACCAGGCTCTGAAAGTTCCCGGAGGAAATTGTACCACGTCTTCGAATACTGTATCTGTTTCAACGTCAAGCTCATCTGTCAACACGTCGACCACAAGTTCCATGGGGAGCTCAACGGATTCCTCTTCCATCGTATCATCAAGCTCTCTGACACCTCCTGGTCGTACCTCCGCGAGCTCCTCCAGCTCATACCCATATGTTAGCTCCTCTTCGACCACATCTCATAGTTCATTAACCACTCGCTCTCTATCCATTGTAACAACTTCAAGCCTTACATCTTCGACTCAATCATCCCAAACTTCGTCTAGTTCATTGTCCAAGACGACGTCGTCCTCGAGCGCAAGTTCGTTTTCTACCCCCTCTAGCTCCAAATCAACAAGCACTACTGCGAGCGCGGCGGCAAACGGAACCACAACGTCTACCGCCCAATCTTCCACCAGTTCACAGTATAAAGTTGTTGCTGGTGACTATGGATATGCCATTGCTCAAAAACTTGGATGTACGTTTGATGCATTGGACGGAGCAAATCCTGGATTGGATTGGGACAAGCTGGACATCGGTCAAATGCTAAACGTGCCTTCGAGGGCCGCTTCTTCTTCCTCGTCTTCGAGAAGCAGATCATTCACTGCAACTCGGACTGATAGAACAACGGGAACCTCTAGCACTTCAAAAGCCTCCATGAGTAGTAGCGGATCAAGTACTACCTCATCAGTCTCTTCTTCGACCAGCAGTACTAGGTCCGGTGCGAGTGGCGGTTCTTCAACCTCGAAACCTTCAACTTCTCCGAGCAGTCAAGCGTCAACAACCAAAAGTGGGATAAGCACAAGGAGCAGTACGCATCTTACCGCCACTACCACGAGCTCTAATGCTTCAAGCGCACCTTCAATAAGCAGCTCCACTTTCGCCCCTGGCAGCTCATCAACACCTAGTACACCATCAACGACATCTCGCTCGAACGTGGTGCAGCCGACCGTGCCACCAAATTCAACGACAACCACATTGAAATGCAATGAGGACAACTGTTTACGCAATATTCTAGATTCCAGGTATCTCATCCCCAGCTCTATGTATGCCTTTTGCACTGGGTACATTAGTGCAACTTCCAATCCAGCACCACTACCAACATATATTGGTGGATGCAATAACAATGTAACGAGGGTGAGTAGTGCATGTTTCTGCCTGGTCACGAATTATGCAAATGCAAGTGGTATTGTGACGCGGACGGCGAGCTCCGGGGCAGCTTCCTCGAGGAAGAGACCCATTTTGAGGTGGGAGAGGGCGAGAGGGTAATGTGCCGGTGATTCAGTTGGGACCTCTCTTTGACGCGATAATGAAGCTGGGTGACTAAATTTTGTCATGAACAGTAGATTTTTAGCCTCATCAATGTCTTGGAAATGATAATGCGTTCTTCTTCACCCCCCTGCAGAACTGCATAGGCAGGCTGGTCTGTGGACCGACCAATCATACAGTTGCGTGAGGAGAACGCAAGGCTGAGGCACGTGACTATAATTCGCCAAGACCAAATACAACTCTTGGCACCCACACATGCACCTGTGGACTTTGCCTTTGTAGGAAGAGAAGAGAAAGACCTCAATCCAGTCCCTCCGTTTTCACGCCGCCACGATTCCTGTACGATTCCTTCTCCCGAATTTTGCACAGCAGTCATTTAACAACATTGCAGACCGTTCCGACAGATAACTAGTCAAGATGACGAAGGGAACGAGTTCTTTCGGAAAGAGTAAGGGCTTTCACTGAATGGCTGGACCTGGAAAGAAGTGGAATCTGACGGGGCTTTTTCTACAGGACACAACAAGACGCATACTCTCTGCCGGAGGTTAGTTATCGCTGGTTCCAGCCCGACTGGTTGTTTTAGCAGACTTCTCACACTTGTCTCACAGATGCGGTCGCCGAAGTCTACATATCCAAAAGCACACATGCGCAAACTGCGGAGTACGAAAGCCCTAACCTCCCGTTTTCTCTCGTGCTCAGAAGCACGTAATTCTGAAGAATCCATCGACTGACATCGATTCTTCTCAATTCTAGTATCCCGCTGCTAAAGTGCGAAAGTATGAATGGAGCGAGAAGGCCAAGAGACGCAAAGTTACTGGTACCGGCCGTATGCGATCGCTGAAGACTGTTGCTCGGTAAGACGCCTGCTATACACTGCTGCGAAATTTGAAGATCTCCGAAGACAAGAGGAAGGGATGGATGTGTCAAGGCATCAATTGTGGCAGGGAAATTCGATTCGTACACAAGGACAAAAAGGGCCCTACTTTACCAAAGAAGTTTGACTAACATGCATTGAACAACAGTAAATTCAAGAACGGCTTCCAGTCCGGTGCACCAAAAGGCTCTCGGGGGCCATCAAAGGCATAAATGTGGGGACGATCTCGTTTAGCTTGTTAGAAAAAAGAGGTGCATTGAGTGTTCCATGCAGTGCCAGTGTGTTCTCACGCGGACCATGCGATGACGATGACGGCTGAAAAACATGGAATCGTTTCGCGATTCAGACTGGGGGTGGCCGGTGATGGAACTACTACCAGGAGGTTCGGCATGGAGGCTACGGGAATCATTTCAAAGTCGTGGAATGCCATTGAAAGCAGCAGCCAGGCAGAGAAACCTCTTCTTTCCTCCGAGTTGAAGATTCCGCGATGGCAATCTTGCTATTTGTGTAAATGGCGCAGAATACGCATGAAGCATAAAACCATTCAAAGAACTCCAACTCCACAACTTCTCCGTGTAGTTTTCCACGTCCAGTAGAGGCTTGAGAAATCAAACCCATCAATGGCTCGTTCACTTCTGGATAAAAGATCCCTGTACGTGGACCACCTAGTAAACTTTTAGAGTTCCAACACAATAACATCGCCGGATTAATTTTGCTTGCCACGACCACGAAACGTCGCTACTGACGTGCACCTTTGAATAATTATTTGGGTGTTACAACCACAACCAAAATATGCCTAGCCTAATCCCACCGTCGCTGTTATCATACATGTCAGCATGCCTCGCTCCTAGTAATGCCCATAGTCAGACACTTCTCACGTCGACACTCAGTACGCCGTCACCATGGCTAACACTGCGCTTCCTATACGCGGCGGCTTACGGCCTTGGAGAAGAAAGTCCCGGCGATGTTGCCCCTCGCAGATCGGTCGGTGATCAACATTCTTCTAGTGGAAGCCCCGTGCTGTTTGTCAGTCTCTTCAGACCACTGGCGCTGTGGAGGGAGATCGGAAGGAAACTGGTGAGGGCCCTTCATCCTTTTTCATGGGAGTCCAAGTCGAGAAGACTACTTTTTCTAATAGGGATTTTAATTTCTAGGGTCTCGATATCGTGGGTCTCGTCAGGACCGGGAGGATAGTCTACATCGACGGCCTTCCCTCTTACGGCGAGCCTGATTCGAAGGCACTCGGACCAGACGTTGTTCCAACAAAGTCTACTGTGAGGCTTAAGTCTTTGACGCTCGAGGACCTTGATCATACTTTGAACGAGGGGCTGCGAATTCTCTCTACGCCGGTCATTGCGTCTTCGACTTCGGCTTCGGCTTCAACGAGAACTACTGGTGCTGGTGCCGCGCATGCGCGGGTGCCGACAGCAGCAGCGTCTCCTTTTGCAGCGGCAGGTGAGGTGATGCCAGTCGTGATCGTGGATGGAATTGATTTCGTGCTCGCTTCACAACAGCCATCAGTTTCCGCATTATCCCTACAGTCGATGCTGGCCACGCTACGGGCTAAGTCTCAGTCTCTTGTTGTCACTTGCAGCGGCGACGGCCCTCTCCTTCACAACCATGACGGAGTCTCTGCGTCGGCTACACGGCTCGAGGCAGACCACGCACTTTTTGTCACGAGCATGGCGCATCAGAGTCAATGGTTGTTCCAACTAAGGGGTCTGGATACGGGGACTGCGAATGACGTCTCTGGTGTGGTCAGGGTCAGTCGGGGAGGTGCTGAGGGAGATGACCACAGGGACGGGGGCATGTCCAGGGGACCTAGGCAAGAAGATCTTGATGATGCCGAATGGCTTTACCAGATCAAGGGCGATGGCTCTGCAAGGGTCTGGGGAAGAGGCGAATGATGGGTGCACGGCTCGCACTGTTCCAAAGTCTGCATAATTGTGCTCGAGCGAAGAGGTAACGAAGGCATCCATCTCCCTGATCTGTCATGTCGAGTTTCGCCTGAAGTAGGTGGACACGATATATTGTTTTCCATTGCATACCTCCAGCGTTCTGGCCGCGGCAATACCGAAGTACAATTGTTGTGGTGCATGTCATATTCAGGCCACAAGAAACATGCAAACTTCATATCACAACCAGTCAGTGTATCAGTTGAGCGATACGGCGGACTAACACATGTGGAAATCAGGTAGTGAGAAAAGGTTATTCGAGATGAGCCATCTGTGCTTGATTGTTGTCGGTTGAGCTCTCATTCATTGCGCAGTCACAGCTACATGTAACTTGTAAGTTACCATCAAGGTGTCGAGGTAGATAGGTACGGAGTGGCCCCTCGTAAGTGGCCTGGGAACTGTGGATAGTTGGTCGGTCGGGCATTCTTCTCAGTCGCGGGGCACACGGGGATCGACGGGCCGACGGGGCTTACGGGTAAATGTCTGGCTGGGCGTCACGATGCCCACCAAGGCACACCTCCAGGGGATGGTTGACCAAACCTCCGACAGAAATCATCGCAACTCCTCGCACTCAGAACACCATCACTCAACTCACTCACCTCTACGGAGTAGTATAATCACAACGGGTTCTTCCTCTCCCACTTCTACAGGCACAGTTCGTCGTTGACCATATTTCTGGATAATGACTGCCGGATGTTCTTGAGTCTCTATCTTGATCTTCTAAGTCAGGTCAGTATCTGCGTCCCTGGCAAGCCGAGTTTGAATGCAACCTTCTAGGCGCCGGGGAAATTCTGCCCACCACTAGCAAGGTCCTAGCTTGCAGCGCTGCGACGATGATTCCAATTGCTGGCTCTGCGTCCAACTAATCGAAGTTAGTCACTGGGATGTAGTGTCTCCTGGTGGACTGAACCCCGGCCATCAGCCGGCGCCTAAGTCGAGCGAAGCTTAGACCGCCACGTAGCGACCTAAGTAATGGGTGTTCACTGTTCAGCGAGGTAAGGGAAAGGGTCTTTTGCTCCCATTGATCAAACCGCAAGTTATCAAGATATCAGTCCTGGGCCACTCCGCACAGTTTCAACAATTGTGTTATCAATCTATCTTCTAGCTTTCTCGAAGTTTTGTGACACAATGAAGAAGTTCATCAAACAAATAGGGAAGAGGCACTCCCGACGGGAAGATCCACCAAGACAGACGAGCGAACCAGACGTCGTAATTCCACTGCTACAAAAGGATTGTAGGCGTATTATGCTGATCATTGTACCAGGGCCAAACACACAATGTTGAGCAGAATCGCTTACTCCCGGAACTTCAAGTTTTGGCAGACCACCAACACCGCTACGGACTTAGAGAGCTTCCGTCCTTACCAGAAGAGTCCGTATCCGACAATTCTTATGAACTCAGCGTTGTCGCCGTGCATGGCCTGGGAGGGGATTTTTACCAGACGTGGGCAAGCACCGACGCTCAGCGGACATTATGGCTCTCCCAACTTCTTCCAGAAAAATTGCCCCGGGCACGCATTTTCTCATTTGGCTATGCATCTGCACCGACATTCAGCAAGTCCGTAACCGGGATCAGTGACTCCGCGAACGACCTACTCCATCATTTGATGCCGATCACCGAGCAGGTACGTGGAAGGATACAAGCTCATCGAGCCTGAAAAGTAACCAATTCTCAGTGGCCCGACCAACCAATCATTTTTATTTGTCACAGCCTTGGAGGAATAATAGTGAAACAGGTACGATGTCTCGCTCGAAGTCTAAGTGGATTTGAAGTTGTTGAAAGCGGTCTCAGGCAATGATCTCGGCGCACGAGAACGACTACTTTTCCAACGTTCTGCGGGCTACACGGATGGTTGTGTTCATGGGAACACCGCATCGAGGGAGCCAAATTGCGGCAGCCTTAGGACCCCTCGCAGCATTCGCTAACTTCTGGCTGGATATCTCCTTCACCTCGCTCTTTGTCGGATCCATGAGGACCGATCTGATCCGACTATTGTCGCGAGATTCGGCGAAGCTTGATGAGATAAATGAATCATTCAAGCAACGTGCCAAAGGAATGACCGTTATCTCTTGTTACGAAAGAGTGAAACCCCCTGGCTCTTCTTCTCTGGTGAGTCTATCACACTGCTTAAGTTTATTGGCTAAGATCCGTAGGTCGTTGACAAGCAGTCCAGCCTCCTTCACCTCCAAGACGAGATCCAAATCTCCATTGAAGCAGATCACATGGGCATGTGTCGCTTTTCATCACGAAATGCCCCCGGGTACGAACCTATGATCTGGGCTATAGTTCGAGCTGTAAAGCAGATGATGCCGGACTCCTCGCATCGCTGTACGTCACAGGCTTAGGATAGCGACTAGGAAGAGGCTAAATGTTCTTTAATCAAGCATTCACAGAGTCAGAAAATAAATACATCGCAGCGTTCGGCCAACAACTTGATGTTCCTATTGACGAACCATTGCAGGGAACTTGTCTCTGGTCGATCTCCACCCAGGAATATCGCAATTGGTACGCCGAGAATAGGCCAGCTGTACTATGGTTGACAGGCGAGGCGGGTTGCGGCAAAACCGTACTGACTAACTTTCTCATTCAAGAATTGAGAGCGGGAGTAGCACCGAGCTCACTGAAGGACGAGCTCGTTTGTTGCTTCTTCTGCACAAGGGACATTGAGCTGCAGAAAGACGCAAGGTCTCTTCTGCGGGCACTGATACTGCAAATTCTGACCGTTAAGAAAGACGTGGTACGCCAGATCAAGACAAGACACAGCTCGATAAAGCACGAGTATGAGCCGTCTTTTGAAACGCTCTGGCATATCTTTGAAATGGCCGTGGAAACCACCCCGTGCAGCTGTCTCTACATTGTGATTGATGCTTTGGATGAATGTGAAGAGAAGTCAAGAGCTCTACTTCTGACTAAACTTCTTCGTATGTTTCAGCCTCGAAACCTAGACAGCGAGGTATGGCGAAAGAAAATCAAGCTCATCATAAGCGGGCAGCCTCTGATCAGCCGAACTTGGAAAGTTAGAGATGAAAGCCTATCTCAATTCCATATTAATATGGAGGGACGTCCGGAAGGCCTGGTGCGAGACTTACAACGTTTCGTTGAATATAAGGTGGAAGATCTCGTCTACAATGCTATATTTACCGAAGCATTTGGCGAGCAATTGAAACGGAGACTCTATGCTCTCGCTGAGAACTCTTTTTTGTGGTTGAGCGTTGTGCTAGAGGATCTCAAGCACGGGCTAAACTATCGCGATGATGATGTACAACGGGTATTAACATCTATTCCCAGCAATCTGAAGGACTCCTATGCAAAGCACCTTCCGCCGATATCGCGAACCCAGTTGCCACGATTGAGGTGCTACTTGCAGCTACTAGTAGCAAGTGCAAGACCTTTAACGTTATTTGAGATCGACATATTTACAACACTCTTTAATCGACAATCTACAGAGTGCATCTCTCCAGTCGATGGTGCATTGGTCCTGAGTAGCCTACGCCGTGCTCTAGGCCCCTTAATAAAGTTTCCTGATGGGAAAGTTCAACTAATCCACTCTACAGTCAAGGAATTTTTCTTAATTCTACGATTAGAATCGGATCATCCTCTTTACGAGACCCACGGTGTGGACCTGGAAATGGCACATCTACAGTTAGCAAAGGTTTGTATGCAGAATATTTTGCAGGAAGCAAATAGCCCCGACGACGTTGATGAAGAGAGAGTTTCGCCAGGAATGGCCTCCTCGAGTCCGATTTCTGTCCGATCCTTAGATGTCGAGGCTGACCAGTGGGGACTTTATGGTGAATTGTACAACATTGAGGATGTCGCCTTTTTACGAGATGAGAATACTATTTCGGAGAGCGTCTTATCACATCTCCGTACTCGCTACCCAGGGTATGATTACTCCTCATGGTATTGGGATTACCACTATGGCCAGGCTGAACACCTTGCTGATGCTGCTGTACAACAAACCGCTGCCAAATTACTATCCTGCGGGTCAGCAAAGTTCTCAAGATGGTACAAATATAAAGCTAATCATTCGACTTCTGCGATGCCCGATCCATCCGAAGGTGGCGCCTTAGTTCTTGCGGCATTGTTCGATTTCCCGATAACCTTACGAAGTCTCTTATCAGAGCGTGGCCTTGGTGATGACCGCAGCGACCTTCAAGCTGCCTTGTATTGGGCATCGTCTCGAGGCCACCTCAAGTCCATGAGTGTCTTACTCGAATACAAATCCCCTCTACTCGATGCAAGCGGTAGTAGGTCTGCATTGGCTGTTACCATTCGAGGAGGGTTTACCGAGGCCTGCGAGCTATTGCTTAGGGTCGGTGGGGCTGATCCTAATTATTCTGGCCTTAGAACACCACCACCACTCGTCCTCGCTGCAGCTCACAATCATGTGGAAATACTGATAGAATTGCTTCAGCATGAAAACATTGACATAAATCAGGCGGATGCATCAGGACGAACCAGCTTAATGCAAGCTTGCAACTCTGGTGCCGACCAATGTCTGAAAGAACTATTGCGACATGACCGCTCCAGGATCAACTCTTGTGATAACGACGGCCGCAACGCCCTCATCCATGCTTGTATGGCAAACCATGCACAGGCAGTGCAACAATTGCTAAGGGAACCATTGCTCAATGTGCATTTGTGCGATAAATATGATCGAAATGCCATGTCATACGCTGCCGAGAGAGCCACACTGACTATCGTGAGGTGTTTGTTCCACGCGGGAGTGTCAATAGGGCAAAAGGATGTCAACGGACGAAATGCGGTCTCATGGGCAGCCAGTAGCGCTAGAGCAACCAAACCCTCCGATCAATATGGAAAGTGCGTACTTGAGTATCTTGTTGAAAAATGTCCGCATGGCGTTGACTCCCAAGATAATTATGATTGGTCGCCTCTGGCGTGGGCCTTGGATCGACCTGGATATCCTGAGGCCGTCCGAATCCTTGTCGAAAAGGGCAGGGCAGCTGTCAATCCAAAAGACAAAGCTTCCGGTCGTTCCGTGCTAGCATGGGCAGCAGGCGAGGGTTCCACTGAGATCGTCGAATATCTGCTAGGTCTACCTTATCTGGACAAAAACGCAACAGATGGTGACGGGCGCTCACCGTTGTCGTATGCTGCCGCTAATGGGATGATACACACTGTAGAATTATTGCTACGCTATAGTGACGTTATAGCAGGCTTGCGAGACTCGAAGGGAAGAAGCCCGCTCGACTGGGCGAGGATGAACCATCAGGATGACATTGTCTCTTTGCTATCTGAACATGGTCTGGAATAGTATGATACCTGTCTTGTGACAAGTTCCCTAAAGATTCATGAATCACAGCGGCCACCATTTCAATTAGCAGATAGATTGCGTACGAGACCGCAAGCTCGACATTACGCAATCGCACCTGACTAGGCAACGATAACGTAGGAAATCTGCATTTCCTCCCCTTTGGTCATCATATCTTCCAGAAAGCTGATCTGTTTCAAGGGAAGCGGTTGCTGGTGTGGGAGGCTACGGAGTTGAGATCGTCCGACTCTTTCGACGTGCATCTGATCAGGAGCACTGTAAACTTCGCGCAATAACACTCGTGGGTTCCATAATCCAGATTCTTGGATGAATCAACTTCCAACATGGGATGTTACCCTTCACAGCCACGTAGTCGCGAGAGAGATGTAGTGACAGTCTGATCACTTCCGAAGAAGAGTCTTGTATCATAGCTCTCCGGCAGGATCTCTAAAATGGTCACACAGTCAACATGGACATGTGGAAATTCCAGCGCCTGTTCATGCTTGATTGCTCTGTAGTTTTAGGATGCTATCCAAGCATCCGACTAAGGTCAACTTTTCTCCGCCCAAGGATGCCCACAGCTCGTTCTCTGAGTTCACCACCACATTCTCGCCGGTTAAGCCACTGACAGGGACCAGCAGAGTTCTGTGTAATACTATTAGCCAAGCATTGCCATCGTGGATGTACATACTTGTCAGTATCGATTCCAAGTGACTTGAGCTTTTCAAGGACTGAGCGCTTGAAATCCCTGAATGCATTTTCTCCCCCGGAGAAAGAGTCCCTTGACAACAGTCAGCACACCATCCAATTAGCAGCGAACGCAAAGTTTCTTTTCGCATACATCTTGTTCAGAATACACACGAGTGGACATCTAGTCAGCTTTCCGGCCGGAACAGAGAAATCATCGTTGATCGTATCGGGAGACAAGACCAACACAATACCGTCTGCGGGTTTATGCTCCAGTCGCGAGTCGACTGAGAATAATCAACATAACTGCAACGCTTCGAAAGCCGCAGAAAACATACCAATCACCACCTCGAACGACGGGGTGTAGAAAGATGGCGTTTTGGCTAATTCTCGGAACGTGGGCAAGATCTGTTCGTACTTGGTTTTGCCTCCTGTTTGTAGAACCCCGAACGACTTAAGATCGACACCATTCAACTTTTTCCAGACGTAAGCATGCGCACAGTGACAGAAAGAGAATCAAAACAAATTAGAGAGGGCCACCGATGGTTCTTAAGAGACAGGGACAGAATAACCTGGTATAGCAGTTGGCCGGCAATCATCTTCTTTCCAGCCTTGGAGGGTCCGACAATCTCGAGAGTTCTAGTCCTCGTAAGTCAAACCATCAATGAAGGCGTATTAGATAGCGGTATCTGCTTTGACTCACTTCATCTTCGTGATCGATTGCTAGTGGAAGCAAGTGAGTTTAACTTCGAAACACCACGCAAAGTTGAAAGCCTGTGGCCTCGGTTCGCTATTTAATGCCCATTCAACTTGGCCCTTTGAGGGCTCCTCGTCTTAGTGCAAAATGTAGTTGCAAACCCTCACGTGACGAAAATTTAGAAAGGCCGGAAGGACGGGGTCCGCTAACATGCATTAATTGTTGCGATCTACACTTGTATTTTAGGATTTCTCTCCAATATACTACTACCTCTTCATTGAAAGATATAGAAGTATACTAGTACTATAAAGTATTAAGTCCTCGACTCTACCTTTCTAAGAGACATTATCTATGGATTTCTTATTGTTGTGAAGGTTGATTCTTCATCCCATGGCACTGCATCTCCTTGTTCCCTCTGCAGCTGCGAATGCCGAGAAGGGCCATCCCCTCCCCTACCAGCGTCCGAGAGGCCTATTCTGGTCAACTTGGAAGAGTGCGAAGGCATCGCAACTCGCTTAGCTCGTGCTCTAGTACCTGGTCCATCAAAACTGTTTCTTACCTGCAACGCCTTCAACCAAGCCGTTGCTGAGTCGGTTCTCCGGCCTCTGTCAAAATATCTCCTCCTTGCCAGCTGTGCCATTCACCTTGGTGAGCAACCCAATCATGGGCTCCAGCGACTTGCTGAAACTACTATCCGGCGGGTCACAGGACGACCTCATCTCCCTAGTGCAGACTTTCGTTGGAATGACCTTCCTCCGGAAGTCCAGCTCCGAGTTCTACAATTTTCGGGCCCTCGTCGCTCCTCAATCAATTGAATGGACCGAGGGTATTGGCCCAGATGCACAAGGTAGTTGCAGGAGCTGCACTGATATACTAGTGGTATGTTTTTGTCTTACTGTGCATGCAAGTTATAGAGCAACAGGGCGACAATGCTAGGTGCAGCCCTGGGCCCACTTTCTTGTGAGTCAGGCATTTCGCGAGCAGGCACTCGAGGTGTTCTACGGTCCCAATGTATTCATGGCTACCTCAGAGGAATATCGGACTGTGGATGACAATCAAGATATCATGAAAGTTGATCACCAATCGGCTCTAGCTTTCATCATGTCTGTGCCAAAGGAAGTCTTGCGGCATTTACGAAGCCTACTGATCATGTTCTCTAGCTATGCTTCTATGATGCTCCCTCCGGGGCTTGGATTGTTTGCTATATGGAGGGAAGCCCTCGAGTATATGGAAACGAATCTGTCCCTATCCCGGTCAAGCGTCACGATCTGAACGCGCACAGCCTTGCAATACTCACTAGTTTCCCAGTTAACAGCCGAGGAAATCGAATGGGAGTTTCACCAGCGGGTTGCAGAGCCTGCGAAAGATCTCCGGGCATCAAAAGTTTATGGATCGTTTTCCCGCCGACGTCTGATTCCGACCGTGAGGCGCGTGACCGCGTCCGCGAGACGGAACGTCTGTCTCAGGCACTTGGCCCTGAGTTTTGCAGATCTTCGACGCAGTTCACGATTGGAGCCATTCATCCGATGTCCGATGACGATTGGGGGACCCTACGTGTAGCCAAACAGAGCAGAGCCGGCTCCAGACAAGTCGGCGACGATGCCTAGTTTGTCGCTTCTGCTATGCTGCCTCATGCAAAACTCTATTCCCTCCTTTTCTACACCATTCCTCTCAGCATCAGTAGTAGGGGATGCAGAGCCGGCTCGCATATATCAGGAGGATGAGCAGGTCTTTAAGAAGGCATCTAAGTAAGGTGGATGAAGAATCGAGCGGATAGGAGCTCGTGTGAAGGCTGTCAGCCGAGTTGCGCTGGTCTTGGCAGGGACTGTTTAAAGCGGCAACATAATCCTTAAAACCAGCGGGAAATCTTTTGTCGAACCTACTCGTAGGGAAGGACCCTTGGGTCACCCGCCACTGGCCCGGAACGGCTTCCGCACTGGATCAATTGCTATATCTAAGCAGACATGATATTATCATCCTTGAATGTTTTATGCAGGATTACCAACGACGTTCCGTCCTCGGCTTCTGGAAGGTTGTTTAACGGATGAAAGAGATTAATGTGCACACAAAAAATAATATAAGGCGGTTTCTAAAGTACTGGTTCCCGCTCGTGCGATATCTTGACTTCACTCCAAACTCACCAAGCAATCCCAACCCCCACCACCATCCGCCATGTCAGACGCATTCCTGTATATCTACGACTCTCCACTGAAAGGCTACGAAAACGCACAGCCGCTGGGCGAAGAGCTGAGCGAGGATGGGAAATCACTCAAGAACCCCGAGACTGGGGTTCTCAGCGAGGCGTACGAGAAGTTTACCGGCGGAGTCACGAATGGCGCGCGTGGAGGATTCGACGTCCATATCTACCACCATGGCAACAATGCAGAGCAGGCCAAGTATGCGAGGGAGTTGAGGGAGAGGATCAGGCGAGAGTTTCCGGAACTGAGGTAAGGCGAAGCGAAGCTTGGCTCAGCATGAATGACTGAAGGATTTGCTCAATTGTTTTGTAGAATGTACAAATTCTTCGACAAGCCAGTCGGGCCGCACACGCTGCCCATGTTTGAGGTGAATCTATTCACTCCGGCACAGTTTGGTGCTTTCATACCTTGGTTAGTGGTCAATAGAGGCCCTCTATCTGCCCTTGTCCATCCAAACACAGATGATGGGGATGAGTTAAGAGCCCATAGTCAAAGAGCGACTTGGTTGGGTGAACGCATCCCACTCGACCTAGCTATGTTGAAGAAATTCATGGAGATGAAAGACAAGGAGAAGAATAATGGACAGTAGGAATGAAGTTTCTGGATGGGGTATGTCACTGTGTGTCCTTGGGCAGAAGGAACGAGCGATGGACTTTGGAGCAGGGCGCGCCTTCCACAACTCATGGTCGTCCTCTTTAGTCGTTTTGTTTGGCGCCCTTCCCACACACACCAATGCACCCCAATGCAGGCCGAATTCGAAAGGCCAGCACTATCTTTCCAGCGCGCGGTTGACCTTCACATCAACGGTTGTTTTACTGAATTCATGTTGTCGACTGCCTCTTATTTAGCCGAGGCAGCCCTTCCAGTCGCAGTACCTCATTCGAAACGCCCCGATGTTCTAAACCACATCTACCTTCCAAAAATTCAAGACCATTCCTCCACTTCCTCCATTCAACCTACCGTGTACTCGGCCACAGACACATCCGCAGCAATCGACGAGATGATTCCAAAGAGTTTTCAGCCTGATCAGGCTCTGGAGCCTGCGGACACGGGCTCTGATGGAACAATTGGCACGAGGTCCACACCTTATCAATATCATGACTCTCTTCTGGACGATGACACCGACGATTTAGAAGATTTCTTCACAGGCAGCAAGAAAAGGGCCACCCAAAAGCGCAGTACAAAACCCAGCCTGTCTCAGAACTGCTCTCCAACTGCATCCGCACGTATATCCTCCGCCCCAACACTAGCCAAAGATATCCCGGGAACCCCGACTCGCGAGAATGGCGAGGCAGATGAATCAGCCCATAGCAATTTCAGCTCACCACCTGCCAGGAAATCCACCAGAAAGCAGCCGTGTAATGCCCACAGAAAGCGACGAAACTCGAACAGAAGCAACGCCCAAGAATCGATTCCCAAGACTTCGAAGAAAGCGAAAGTCCAGGAGGAAGGGAAACAGGAACAGCAAATACCCGCAGGCTCCCGTAGTCTGCGAAGGAGAACGATACAACAAGAGCATCCGTACAAATACGACAAAATCCGGTACGATCTGGCCAAGTCCTCTGGAAGTGCTGCACCAGTCGACAAAGTTGAAGATGCGGTCCAAGAGAACGTCGAATCCACCCAGAAGCAGAATGCACGTACGAAGGAGAGACGTTCAATTGGCAGCGGCAAAGGTCGTAAGGCCAATACTGTGACTCCCAGGAGTGAGAAACAGCGACGCCGTTCTGTCTCGCTGTTGTCAATCACGAGCTCTGCGGCCTCGCCGAATTTTGAGAGAACCACGTTGCAGATCTGGTTGGATGGGTTCAGCCGCGGAGCTGCCCCGGTCCCGCTCAGCAAAGTTGTTGGCGCCGACCATCTTGTTGAACTCATCATTCAGAATTGGGGGTGGAAGTTTGAGGGCCAGAGTTTCTCATATGCGATCGCATCGTTCCCTTGGCTGAGCCATGATTCAAACATTGTCATAAGAAGTGGTATGACGGATAGTTTCCAGAAGATGTTGGATGAAGTCAAGGCGGCACCTGTTTGGGCACAAGGCGGAGGCGAGGTGAGATGTGAGGTGAAGATCACGGTGTACGTACAAGCATGAAGGGAGCTCTTCAGTGCTGGACTTGGCGCTCACCTCGTGCCTCCGTACTTGCTAGCGATGAGTCGATGACCCATCTGTTTGTGAGAATCAAGATGGTGCAGAGATCAACAACCAGGTTAACCGGATGAAAGCGTCACGGGACGAGGCGTACTTATGGCCTAGATCAGCCACGGGACGTGGATGGCGTAGACGGGAAAACGGGGAGTGGAACTTTGTGATGGTGGTGACCAAATAATAAACAAGTTGAAGAAGGATGGAAAAACTCTGATTCCCTTTTTGCTCTTGCATAGAGTTCTGGAGGGTGGTATTAGGTAGGGGTGGCCGAAGTGCTCAAGGTGGTAGGGGTGTGGATTGGTAGTTCGAGATAGGAGCCCTGGGAGGAGACGCTAATGTGACAAGTGCTCCTGAAACGCGACAGCGTTGATGGTTAGCCAGTCGGTAAGCGCACTCAGCCAAGGGACTCGAGCCCCTGAATTATCACGATGTGCATGAGGAAATATTCAGGAGTGGTGCTACGGTTGCAATCATTATTCAAGGAGCATTGAGAGATGTGCTCGGTGATGTCGCGTGTCTCAGAGAGTCCATCTGGAAATTTGGGTGTTTGTTGTTCTGGTGGTCCCCAAAAACACCAGAACACCTGGCCATGGCGACTTGTAGCACACATTATGGAGACTCTGTTAGTTACGGAGTCCTTGCATATCGTCTCTCGATCGCCGTTACCTGTCAATTGGCAATAAACGTGGTTGACACTGAAGCTTCAGGCACGAAGCCAATGATTAAGCGTCAGCAGACAGATCTCGGAGGTTTTCGCCCACTAGGAATCATGGGCTGGTTAGTTGGGTTAGTTACGGAGTTATGCAAGCCTAAGCCCAACGCTATGCCTAAGGAGCCTATTGCCCGTTACTATTGGCGGTGGCTCCAGGCTCCTCAGGGTCTTCCTTTTGCCTTGGGGACCCCCTAAGTCCCCTAAGTTCCCCAAGCTCTCAATTACGAGTGCACCCACTGCACCCCGGAGACCCGACGAGCTTCTCGACGCTTTCTAGTTGGCAGCCAGGTTGGTAGTACATAACTTGGTACCTTACTAGTAGTTACTGCTCGTGAATCGTAAGTACTCCGTCCGCCAGAGGCACTTCTCTACTCGCTGGAACTGGCTCGTCCTGCTGGGTGCGTACCTGCTTGTCGGACGTGGAACGGAGTACTCGTACTTGGCCCTCCATCCTCCATACAGATGTCCAATTCAGCTGCCCACTGTCCTTTGATCTTCTCGATCTTCTCGATCTAATCCCCTCGAACGCGTACTCCGTACGGAACTGCGTCCAGTAACTCTTGACTGGCCCAGAGAGTGCCTACTGTCGACACCCTCATTCTTTCTTCAGCTCATCCATCATTCACCTCGTCACTCCTTTTCACGCACCCACACTCCCTCCCTCTATATTCGGAGCTGCGCCTGCGCTGGTCGCCATCAGTTACGCCAACGAGTCTTGCTGTGAGGACTAATTCCAAACAAGTCTACCACCCGGGCTCCTGGTCGTTCAATTAATCAAGCAAGCCAACAACCACCTCCCATCAGCAGCAACCACCGGAACCCTTCTCACGTCAGCGCGTTCCACCACACCACCACTCCATACCACTCCATACCAGACTTGAACCTCATCATGACTTCACCTGCTTCTCTCGCTCGAAATGAGTCGCAGGCCTCCAGTCGTCGAAGTGCCAGTCTCGGCTCGCGTCTGTTTCGCTCAAAAAGTGGTGAAGCCTTGGGCGACCGCAAAGGCTCAGGAGGTCGTCTGAAGAAGAAGCACGGTGAATTGGACGAGCAGGCAAAGGTGATGCAGTCGCCTCCACGTCTGCCAGTCCATACTCCCCAGCCTCTGGGCATCCAGTCCTTCGGTGGTGAAAACTACCATCCTCATGTTGCCTCGAGAGAGTACACAAACGGCTCTAGGAATGCTCCACCTGTGCCTCCGCTTCCCGCCAACCTCGACAAAGATGCCGTTGATCCATATGCCAGGACCGAGAGCATGACCCATCGTAAGTTGTCCGCTCCGTCAACCATCACCCCACTCACTAATCTTGTCCTGTGACAGGTGGTCGATACTCGTACGCAACCTCCATTGTGTCTACCATCAACTCTCCCCGAAGAGTCCGGCGCCGTAAGGATCCGACTCCCTACAACATTCTGATCATTGGTGCTCGCAATTCCGGCAAGACCTCCTTCCTCAACTTCCTCAAGCGCTCCCTCGCCCTTCCTGCAAGGAAACAGTCGAGCAAGGCCCCTGACACAGACTCTCCGCCTTCATCAGCCCGCATAAACCCAAACTATACTCACCATTACCAAGAATTCGAAGTCGACCACGAACGAATTGGTTTGACCTTGTGGGACTCGCAGGGACTGGACAAGGGGGTGGTCGATCTACAGTTGCGCGACATGTCCAATTTTGTTGAGAGCAAGTTTGACGATACCTTCATTGAGGAGATGAAGGTTGTTCGTTCTCCCGGTATTGTCGACTCACATATCCATTGCGTATTCCTCATGCTCGATCCATCCAGGCTTGACGAGAACATCAATTTGTCACAGGGTCAAGAAAATACCGCTGACGGAGGCCGCATCTCCAAGCCTGCTCGGATCGTTGGCGCACTTGACGAGGACTTTGACATCCAAATCCTGAAGACCCTCTCCAAACAGACTACAGTCATTCCTGTAATAAGCAAGGCCGATACCATTACTTCTGCGCATATGTCATTCTTGAAACAAACAGTCAGCAAGAGTTTGAAGAAGGCCGGCCTTGACCCATTAGAAGCTCTGAATTTCGCTGTCGATGACTCCGATGACGACCGATTTGACGAACGTCAAGAAGACGGCATGAGTAGCAATGAGGATTCGGGAAGTGAAGCTGGTTCCAAGAGTGACGGTTCTGATCCCAACCGACCCACTTCTAGCACGAAACGACCACCGAACCACCGCCGTCAACAGTCCACCTTGTCCTCAACGGATATCAATTTCACAAGCGGATTTGAGCTGTGGTCTATCATCAGCCCGGACAAGTATTCTCTTGAGTCCAAGGATGGTCCCCTTGGTCGACAGTTCCCTTGGGGTTTTGCCGATCCTTACAGTGCCGCCCATTGTGATTTCATCAAATTGAAGGAAGCGGTGTTTGGCGAGTGGAGATCAGAATTGCGCGAAGCATGTCGTGAAGTGGTATGTATAGTGACCTCGAGTAGTACTGCTTCCCACTTACCATTTGCAGTTCTACGAAAGTTGGCGAACAAATCGCCTGAATCGACGTGGCGTCCCTCAAACAAATGGTGGCCTTCCAAGTGGACCTAGGCAACAAGGGAGTATACCGATCCCACTTGAAACTCGAGTCCGGTGATCGACTCTTCATACAATAAGTGTAAAACATTTCTAGCAACACAATACAAAAGGATTCGACAAATCGGCGATGACAAGCCAGGCATTCTTTTTTTCTTGCCCGCAAGATATAGAATGAGGGGGCCTGGGTGGAAAGGATGAGATTGTGTGGTGATTGAGTCCAAGTTCTAGAGTTAAGATGAACTTGGTTTGGAGTATGTGCTGTTTTTATTGTATTGGTGCTGTCCCCCTTGCATTGCTTTGGATACAAGCCTGCACGGTTTTTGCCCCTTTGTGGAGATCTTTGGATTCACCACAAATTGACACGAGTCACGACCCCCAACAACAAATCTTGATGACTACCCTCATCCTTTCGTTCTACACCAAAACGCACAGCAGGCGACGCACAGCCCATCTCTGTCGTTTTGGACTTCGAGCTTTGTTCGATGTCATATCGTGGCGGAAAACATCAGAAATTGAGTGAGTGACTGAGCGCAGTGCGCCTGGCTTCTCGTCTGGTGGATCACGCCATGATTGGTTGGTTATTGTTGAAGACAGCGCATTCTTGTCATTTCTTTGTGCTCGGAAAAATACCCCTTATCACCCTCTACGTCGTACCCCACAGATTTACTACCTCTTGGTAGGTCGTCCGTTCAGTCAGTCACCCGCAAATACCTTTTTATCTTTGACAGAGTATGAGAATGAGAATGGATTCATACAGGCGGTTGATCGATCCCTTTGTGTCTCGTGGCATTTGCATACCTCCAGTTCTTGAATCTGGACTGAGTTATCTGAGCGATTTCTAGATTGTCTCGTGTGCAGATTTCATTCAGGCAGGGCAATCAAGCCCTCCCTCCCTCGGCTTTTCCAAGTCAACATACTACCCGAGTACCTGCACTGTATGTAGCACCTTGTGTACAATGAGTTGTGGAGGATAGGTTGAAGCAAGTACTCGTCTCGAGTATCCGATATCACGTGCCAAGATTCACTTCCTCAACCCCTTTATCTTCCCTTCCCCCTTTCCCAGAAAAAAAAGCCCCTCCCCCGAAAAACCGAAAAAATTTAAAGTGTTGTGCTTGCTGATATTAGGGGGTCGCTGCTCATGGTTGTTCTCCGGAATACAGACGCCTAATACCTTGGGGAGGTACACACGGGCCACGGAACCGCCTGTCTCTGCGGTAAATCGGTTCATGGAAGAACTGTCTGCCTGGCCTGCGTATGTATGTAGGTATCTAGTTAGAGGGGCTGGATACATAGGCGTCTGGGTTGTTGGCTAATCAAGGTAGCGATTGTCCCCACGGACTTGGCCAACGAACGCGCCCAAGGCACAGCATACATAGCAAATAGAAGTCATATGACTAAGAGATATGGTGTAGTGTGCAGTAACATGCATGATATAAGATGCCGATGGCGATGTCGATGACGCAACTAACCACTAACTCAGTAGAACCAGCGATACTCGGGCGTGTCAGGGCCGTCACGGAGGCGTTCGGACGGGACGTCTCTGGCCCTGATGGTCCTGCCGGCCTTCATGTTGCGCCGTTTATTGTCAAACACCATCCACGCGCCCAGCGAGAGTGTCAAGAGGCAGCCCGTGGCGCCAAACACTGCCGTCGTGATCAGCGCCGGCAGGTATTTCGGTGCGTCTTTGTTTTGGAAGATGTTGGAGCTGGAGGGGTAGAAAATGGTGTTAGTTCTGCTTTTAGTTCTCGTGAAAGCTTTTTTGCTTTGGGGACAGCTAAAGGGAACACCCAAAAAATAGGGAACGAGGGAGAGACATTGCGTGAAATAAAAGAGAAACGCACCTGACCACACCCATGAGATTCGCAACGGGGACACCAACAGTCGTGAGCATCATGCGCTTGTTCTCATCGGCGATGTTGTTGTTGAACCACGTGTCGAGAATGACACTCGGGGCGCTGGTGCCCCAGGTCATCATGAAGCACGCGAAGTACGACACCGTGAGGTTGGAATGATCCACCGCGGCGAAGATGACGAAGCCAATGCAAGTAAAGGCGAAGCCCAGGGCGACGAATGGGAACCTCAGCCGCGTGTAATCCGACGCAAAGGCGAGGATCAACAGCATGACGGCGCCGGTGACGTTTGGTGCGACCGTGTAGAGGTTCGATTTCACTGTCGAATAGCCCAATTGCTTGACGATCACGGGCAGGAAGAGTGCCACTGACTGGATAGGAACGCCGAGGCACATCTCAATCGCCAGAATGACCCAGCTGGTTGGTTGTTTGAAGATCCCGAGAGCGGACCTAATATTGAGCTTCTCACTTACAATGGACGAGGAGTCGACTTGGATGCGATAGAAGGCGAGTTCTTTCTCTTCCTTGTTCAAGAACCTGGCCGACTGCGCGTCGTATGGCAGGAACCAAAACACAAAGATGGCGAAGAGGATCGAGCAGGCTCCTTCGATGATGAACAAGTATCGCCAGTTCTCAAGGGCTCCTGAGTGGATGTGGAAGACAGCGAAAGAGAGGAGACCTCCGAAGGCATTGGCGATGGACGATGCCGCATAGAAGATGGCCAGTCGACGTGCCAGCTCACCACGTCGGTAGAAAGTGGTCTGGTAGTAAATGACCTGCATATCCGCCCCAATCAGCATACTGCTCGATGTGGGAAAAGAGTCCTTCAAGAAGGGAGAAAAAGGTTGTTACCACCTACCAGGGGGAAGAACGCGGACTCCGCCATGCCTAAAAACCATCTCGTTGCCATGAGGCCACCAAAGTTTTTGACGGCGACGCCCATCTAGACGATGCACAAAGTCGGTCAGCACCGCTCCTTCTCAATCAACAAGACATGCTGTTCCTGTTCTGATCTTTTCGCGGGAAACACCACTACGATCAAAACGATATCGAGCTCTCATAGAGGCGAGTGGGAAAGAATCGGAATCAAACGCACCAGGGTCGCAAAGCCAAAAGTCACCATCATCGCCGGAAGGACCCTACTGGGGCCGTACTTCTTGCCAGCGAGACCGAGAAACGGGGCGGTCAAGACATAGGGAACAAAGAAGATGGAAAGGATAAGGTTGTACTGTCCATCCTTGAGGTGGAGGTCTTCCTCCAGGCCAGCAGTCTTTGCATTGCCCAAGTTCCCTTTATCCTATCGAGTGTAACAACTTTGGGTTAGCACCCCACCAAATATAAATCCAGGGTGGTGAGTGAAATAAACGGGCAAAGACTCACCAATGCGTTGAAGAAGTACATAACAGCGAGGCATGGAAGGAGCCGACAGTCGAATTTCCACACCAGCCTCCTCTCAGCGGCGGGGTCCAGCGCAATACTCGCGGAGATATGCTCCTCACCACCGGTGGGTGTGGTCCGGACAACGCCATCGTCGACTAGGACTTTCTTGTCATCCCCGAGGGTGACGTTGTGGCCGCTACCGCCGTTGCTTGATTGGGATTCCATGATCAGGCCAGGTCCTCTGGTACTCGGTACTCGGTACTGTGATCGAGAAGGGGGGATTGAAATCCCGTCCAATTGACAATGATATTGGTAACCGGCGAAATTGTGAGAAATGGGTCAGGCCGATGAAGATGAACTCTGTCAAGGTAGGACGGAACGGGCTCGGGTCTTATAAAATCCCACGATATGCAGTCATGGTACGAGGTAGTCGTTTGGAATCAGTAGGGTCTCAATATGGATTCCATCCGAACGTGTGGCATGTCGAGATAAGGGAGCGTTGGCTGCTGGAGTAACCTACATAAAGTACTACTCGTCAGTAACAGGAGTTGTCCGAGCCATACCTAGATACTCTTGCTTGGCTATCAAGGATCGCTCGCAGTACAACATCCTGTATCGCGGGCTCACGACGGCAACATTACCCCCTCCAGCAACCCTGGAGGGCCTTGTTGTCCTTCTGACAGGATAACGGTGTAGCACTCCACGAAAGCCGACGGGTCGATCCCGCTCTTCTTTTCCCCAACGTCGATGGTGGGGTGAGGCTAGCGAGGCCCGTTGCGGATGCTTAAGGCGGAAGGATAGGAGCGTGGGTCACGGGTCCTGCGTGGGGTCGTGGCTGATTATAGGCTGGTCACCATTTAAGAGTGGGCCTCGGGCGTTTTTATACCCGTAGGCTGCTTGCTCTTATTCCAACGGCGATCCTTTACCGATCTAGGCTCAACCTAGAAGAAATGTTGCATTCAAAAGCCCATTGCGATCATCACGAGTGCCTAGCAGATCAGAGGCTATGATTTGTTTGATGCATATCGAAGACTGCACCCGGATGAGTGTTGCTTGGACCGTACGGTACTTGCCACTTTCGAATCCATGATACAGGATGATGTACACATACATGACATACCCTGTCGAACAACCAAGGGAACCAAGACGGATGGATGGATCCCCAAGCGACCAGCCTAGCAAACTCATCGATTTCTGCTTTGGTAACGTTACATTCAGTCGTTCATGCGCCGAAAGTTGACCTAACAGAGATATCAAAAGTTTTTTGAGCGATTCACCAGCTAACAAACCTAGAGAGGTCTCCGCATCGAGTATTTTCTCCGTCCTTCCTCAGCCTGGGCAACCCTGTTCAACGTCATTGGCTGGAAATCCGACCAGAGGCTGTAGGAACGCGGTTGTTAGGAAGGCTTGAGAGCTGGGATGATCACGCCAAAGCTATCATGGCCGCAATGCTCGTTATGATATGCACGCACGGTTTGCTCAGATCTCTCGAGTGAAAGCCTGTGATGCCCTTGCTGAAACCGATGTCACCTAGAATATCTGCCAATTCTCCCCACGTGGACAAGCGAGGATGGTGGGGTGTGCATCAGGCTGTCGGCCTGTACTCTTGTTCAAGGGATCTATTGTGTAAGTTAAGATGGATGGCGAGAGCGGGGACACTTGGTGAGTCGACCCTCACAATTGAGACAACCGTCCAGACCGATGGAACTTCCTTGATCTACTCAATAGGAGGTTGACCCTGGAGATAGCTTTGCTAGTAATCAGGCTGGGAGAGATCCTTGAATCCCCCACGACTGACATCGCCAATTTCGTGGGGAGGTGAAGGTTCGAGGCTCGAAGGGTAACATCGGCCGGAATGCTACATCGCTTAGCACACGAGACTCCTGGTTTATGGCCATTTCTTGAGTCACAACAACATCCATTGTCAGTCCATCAAGGGGATGCAGTGGGGGAGAAAGAATAATTTGAATATTCCATCTGAAAAGATGCTAGAATGCTAGATATCGATGATCGTATGCACCCCGCAAAACCCCCTGCGCTATCGCTTGGCTTCTGAGTTCTGTCTGAGTCATTCTTGTTGCCCGCGTCATAAATGCTTGTGTTGCAAGTTGCAACCCCAAATGGTGATCATCCGGTCCAAAAAACCCAAACCCGCTGGCAATAGTCCAGGAAAACGCTGCATTCGCTGTGATTGTGCCCAAGATAAAGGAGAGAAGTTGAGAGTATCGTATGTACGAGCTGAGCTGCATTCACGCTCGGAACATCTTCACCACCTGCTTCACGCTCCTTCGGCAGATCGGGCAGATCTCGCACTGCCGAGCACATTCCACACAAGAGCAAATGTGTCCACAGTCAAAGAACAATGCGTCAATCTCTTCGCTGTAACAAATCTGACACAGATCCGCCTGTTCATCTGCGACCTGCCAATAAGTCGTGCCCATTCCCCATCGCTTTCCATATTCAAACCCTCCTACATATTTGTTTCCTGTTCGACTCTCCACAAATGTACCCTGTCCGTGCCGCTCGTCTGCGTCCCATTCTCCATCATATGTGTCGCCATTCTGATACGTCATTTTACCTCCTCTGCCGCATTTTTTATTGCAAACCAGTGGACCTTCGTAGGTATTCCCGGTAGACGTAATACAGAGGCAGTTTGGACCATGCGCCCGCCCGTTGACCAGTGGACCTTTGTAATAGTCCGTCCCAAATGTGGCGACCTCAACTGGAGTAACACTAGTCACTGATTCGATCGGATGCCTTCGTTCTACCATGCGGAGATATCTTGACAAGGCAAAAGGATTGGAGAACTTCCCTTGCTGTTCAAGCGCTTTTTCGGCAGAGTCGCCGAGGACTTCGCCAACGATGATGTCGACACCATTGACAAAGCGACGATCATCAAAATTCTCGTGGTCCTCAATCATGCTACCCTCAACGGGCGACTCGCGGCGCCAGACAATGAATTCCTTATCAGCTGCGTACCCCATGCGTGTTCTGATGAAGTCCTTCACTTTGTCATCGCACTTGGCGAAGAAGGTGCCAAAGACCATGAAATTCTGCTTTACCGTATCGAAAATCTGGATGAAGCCATAAATGTTTCTGACTTGTGGATCTGGTGTGGATGTTGCCGACGACGCAGAAGATGTGGATTCGGATGAATCGGTGGACTGACTTTCAGAGGCCTGCGTGTCGGTAGCAGGCTGCATCGTGAAATCCATTATTTCTCCGTCTTGTGCAATAACTGCAGCAATCACTCGTTCTTCCGCACCGGTAAGGGAGGTCAAAGTGGTAGGGTCCTCAGGCAGTTGAGCATTTGGGTCGGAGACTACTTCTGTGGAGGTGTGGTGGTTTGCTGCATCAATCAGATGCCCGTGTGGGACATCCGCTAACAGACTCTCTTCTGCTGTTGGAGGCGAGTCCTCTAGCTGCATTGGCGTATCTGCGTCCTCGACTTGTTCTTCTGATAGGACGAGCTCTGGTTCCCGGACAGTGGTGACTCTTTCTAGATCTGCAACAACTGCCTCCTGCACTGAAGCCTGCTCAAGATCAGCAGCTGCAAGTTGAATTCCACTGGGAGGAGCCACTGCTGCGATAAGGTCTGTTGGTCCGTCACTCTCTCCACTCAACTCCGGGTCTGGCTGTGTGGATTCAGTTTCAACAGACGGAATAGGATCACCAAACAATTCAATCTCTTCCCGGGTCTTCAGTACGGAGTACCAAAGGCAGATGGGTTGCACCAATGGTTTCTCTTCGGTGATATTACGTGACAACTGGACAGGCTCCATAAGCGCACTGGTGTAGTTGCCGATGTCAGAATAACGCATGATGAAAAGTCGAAGGCTACTCGAGTTTCCAATACCCAGTTTCCCGCAAAATGCCGTTCTGAGATCTTGATAAGTCGTCGACTTCGGGAGAGTAAGACAATGGTAAAGGCCCTTGTGGTTGGACTGTTTTTTGATGTTAAACATGTCCAGTAGACCTTCTCGTCCATACACACCCTCTTCTGAATAGAGTTCCACGTTGACTTCATCTGGATTCTCCTCCACCATTTCCTCAACGAATGGATCGTGCTTGTCTTGGTATTCCCACGTGAGGCTGGATGCTAGCCATCTTGGGAGTCGGTACGGCTCCAGAGCGCCGGGAAGATATTCGGGGAGGCAACTAGTTCTGATGTACATTGCCAGGTAGGCAGTCTGTCTCGTGGAAGTGAAATCTTTCAGCGCTTGCCCTTCAAGACCTTCAAACTCGTTGATTCGTTTTCTGGTATATGAGAAAATTTTATTTCCATCCCCATCTTCAAAAGCCAGCCATTTGGTGTTTGGACCGTTGGGCCGCAAAACGCTGTAAATCTTCGCTGAATTTCTTTCCCCGACATGTACCATGAAGCCATAAAGTGTATAACTTGAGCGGTCGCCTTCTGCGGTATTCTCAACCGCCATGATTTCATCGTTGAGGATGACACGATCGTGAAGGAGTTTCCATTCACGCGATTTCTTGTCAAACTTCTCTCTTGCAAGTGGGAGCGAGAGGAAGTCTGGTAGACGGCCGCGGAAATTCTTGGCTTCCAGGACTCTGTCCAGGCCCTGTTGGATGTCACTGACTCCTTCAACGGGTAATGGAGGTACGGAAAATCGGCCATCAGGTGAATCGAAGATTTTGGCAATCATGCGCATGGATTCAGGATCCTCCTCCAGTTCTAGCTCGATCCCTCTGCGAAACATTTCCCAAAATGTCACAACGTCAGTGAATGATTCTCCATGTTCTTTGAGAGATTCAATCACAGGATTGACATCAACGTATGTATCCTTGTCCTTCCTCAGCCACCGCATCAGGAACATGACGACCTGAAGCTGGCATATGAGAGGTCGTGGTCGGATCTGAGAGTTCCTCCTCCACTGGCCAGCGTCGATGGCTTGGATGACCTGCCGGAAGGGAGCCAACAAAAGCCAAGCAGTAATGCCTGCAACCGCAGGACTGTGGTATAATGGAGGGGTGCCCATTGGGTGATAACCGGCCAACGTCTTGGAGTCCCACTGAGGCTCGGTCTCTGAGGGATGCCACCATAATGCTTGACTCGGATCGTCGAAGATGCGGATGTAGGCGTCAATGGCAATTGTGTCATTCCGGAGCAGAGGGGTTCTCTGTGCATACTGGCGGCGATGAATCTCTTTCCATGGTCCATGGAAATTTGTCCACCCCCAGTCATCATTAGCACGGGAGAATTGGTGTTCGGAAGACATGTAGGTACAGGTTCGCGGTTCCTCGGGGTTGTACATGATCACTCCTAGCTGCGCGGGCACTCTCCAGGCTTCGTCTGCAGGCTGGATGTATTTCGATTCATCTGCCGACGTAGTACTCTCACGCGGGACAGGGTGTACATCCTGGCCATCAGTGCCTTGCGAGGTCCCTTGCGAGCTCTCCTGCTTCTGAGAATCATGGGACTCAGGGGCGTCACTTGGGGTTGCCTTGCTTGCTGGTCTGTTCTCTGCTTCGACGGTGAAGGTCTGGATGGGAACGGCGTCATTTCCAAGGTCTGCATCCGGAGTGCCCTCGTAGAAGGAGAATGTGCTATCGGGAGCTTCTGACTCTGGCTCGGGGGCGATCCTGCTGCATCTGATGTACGCACTCATGGAAGAGCACTTGTTCCCTCTTGGGTAGAATTTGATCTGCCAGTAATTGCCATCGACCTCTGCAGGCGGGGAGATCATAACCCGACTTGAGTTGGGCTTGTTTCTGGTTCCTCGCAGGTTCTTGATCACCCAGCTGAGACGAAGCTTCTTGACCGGTCGCTGGTCTGGATCATCCACATCCTGATAGATTCTCTTCTCCACACTGGGGACGTCTAAGGCACTCAACTCAAAATCTCGAGCATTGATCTGAGTCATTTCCTCCTCAGTTGGAGTAGAGAGATCGTCTTCCCAGGTGACCCAGTCTGGAACTTCCGGGCTGGGCACTGCTGCCATGGGAGGTGGGGGCGGGGAAAAGTCGTCTTGTTGAGGCAATGAGTCTGGTGGAGGTGGAATTGTGTCTTCAACTGGCCCGGTTGTCGTAGATGACAAATGCTCAGAAACAGACGGCACCTCTTCTTGAGATGGTGTTGGTATTTCGACAACGTTGGAAGGCTGTTGTGCCGGGGCTGGAGCCGCAGCTGCGGCATCTGCCATCTCTGTATCTGCCTCTTCAACAGCTACAGTTGTCGTGTTCTGTTCTATCTCAGGCACTGAAGTGGGAGGGGGGAATATCGGCTCTGGGAGCGTTGAAGGTTCGGTGAGAGAGTCTGGAGAGAAGGGAGGGATCGAGACAACTGACAATGAAGGACTCAGCGTGTGGGGAGCAGAGGCGTGCTGGACAAGGACGGGAGAATTCTGAGAGCTGGCCATGATGATTGAGGCAATGAAGTGAGAGATGAGTCACTTTGACTGTGGTTTATGTTAGGCTGTGATGGCGTACGGGGTAAGCGATGCTACATGGTCAACATCCAAGTGAGGCTGGGTCAGTTCAGGACGGAACAGCTCTTTTGGGGTCAGTTCCTCAGCGTAACTAGCAAGGTGAGAGCGGCGGAAAGATAGATGAGAGATGAGTGAGGATGCTCGGCCGTGGAACATGAAAGTTGATATATTCGGGGCCCAAAAAGAGACAGCGGCAACGAGGATGAGTAAATGGGATCTGGGATCTTGGATATGGGGATGTGTGCACAAAGGTTCAGCGTGGGTTAGCCAGATTCGACTAGTCAGTTAGTTGTTGCAGCCTGGACTTGAGCAGGCAGGCAAGGAACAGGCAGGCAGGCATAGGCATGGATGGATGGATGGATGTGAGTAGGAGTGAGTCTCAGTTGACCGGTTGGAACTTGGAAGAGGTTAGACTCTACAGGTCAGGCTGCAAGTGCAGAGGAAACAAGAGTCACCGGCATGTCAGGCAACGGCGTGCTAAGCAGGGGATGGATGGGGTAGCGTTTAGGGATGAGGTGCGGGTAGGTGGGTAGTTGGACAGGTGGATAGGTGCCAGAGAGGGCATATCAAAGCAAGGCACTCGGGTGGATTGAGGCGCAGGTGTTCAGCTATGACTGGGCCACAAGTTCGCCTTACGCCGGGAAGCCCAGGCTTATCGATGGTCATCGGATAGGCTCCGTGGGGAGGGGTCTGTAGAGCCATGCTTTTCTGGGGCTAGCCGGCGAGGGATGGCCTCTAACTGAGCACCTAATGTCTCTAGCCCGACGGAGCCCCACGCCATCCGCCCTCTCCAGGCGATGGATACCTGCACCATCCGCATGAGTGCTCCTTATAGAGTACTCGGTACTTTATGCAGGCCAGGGCTGTGGGCGAGGTGAGGCTCAGACTGGTTGTGAAAAGGAAGCCTACCACCGGTCAAGCCAAATTCCTTCTATATTATTCAGGCATCAATACTCTCGCCACTACATCGTCATTGGAGCGTCGCCACATTGACATGATGAATGATGCATACATACTCGATGCTCGGTATAGGAGGCCACAAAGGATTCACCTCGACTGTCTGCTCTCACATGAATTCCGTGGCGTGTTCTCCTTACCGTCCAACTCCTCCACCGCCTTCTCATTATCCTAAGAGTGCTCGCTAACCCCCTGGAGGATCAATTGGCTAACTAACCAGATAGTTAGGTTGGAGGCCGATGGGCTGTCTATAGGTTGCCCAGGTAGTCTCCGCTAATGCATACGTGTACTTCCGGTCATCGTACGAGGTACGCTGTGCTCCGTACCTGCTTTCAAGATTCCGGCTGAGCAAATGTCCCAGCGACGATCAGCGGAAAAGCGACTGTGGCCTCGACATAAACCTAAATTGCATGAGTGACTCCGCGGGTCTGTGGCCAAGAAGATTGTTCTCACTCACCTTGACACTGTCGCCGTCAGTTCTGATCTTGCCCCAACTCACAGCTTCATCTGGCCGGGCCCCAGCATCACTGCCATCGAACTCTTGTCCTGTGTTAATGTACACCGCACTTTCGGCACCATTCCGCATCAGGCACGCATTAGCAATATGATGTTTGACAACGCCACCACCTAGGATGATCATTCCCGCCCGCTTAGCCCGAACCGCGATGGTGTTGATCTTGCGAATATCCTGAGCAATATCGACTCCAAGTTGGAGTGGAGATGCTTTGAACGAATGAAAGTAGATCATGTCGCCGAGACTCCCATCAGTCAACGCTGGACAAAATACTGGGATGTCGTTTCGGTACGCCCAGTAGTAGACTGACGATTCATTGTTGATTTCTTTGCCAAGTCGGTGGATGATCCTGCTGGGGGACCACATGAAGCGCTGTCCACTACGTGCAAATTCATCCTCCTGCTCCTGTAGCATTTGGTCCAAGATAGGTACCACCCAGTCCTCGAACGCACAGTAGTTGTTATTCGGAACTACCAGGTTTCCAATGCGATTGAGTCCTTTGGCCCGTAACACAGCCCCCGGCGTCGAGAAAGACCCTAGATATGTCGGTGCCAGGCATTTGATGAAGTCTTCCTCAATCCCGCCCGCCGTCGTAACAATAGCCGACACGTGGCGGTGCTGTACAAGCCAGCGGAAAGTCTCGCGCAACCCCGACGATATCATATTGGATGTGTAACCGAGAAAAATGGTTGTTTTGTCACCGGTCTCTGGATCTCTCCATGTTCTCTACATTCAGTCAGAACCTGCCTCGCTGACTGTCGATTGCCGGAAGAAACCAACCATGTCGTTGACGATGCGAATGGCGTCTCCTACCGCACTGGACTGGAATCCTTGCCCTGTGATCTGATGCACGAAGTTTGAGATGACAGTGCGCTGTTCTGCAGGTAATGCGGTCCAATCGATGCCTCTGACCTCTTGGACGCCATCTGGCACCGGGTCAGATGCCACCAGGACTGCATCGGTGGCTTTGGTGGGAGGTGCTGAACCCATCCCTCAATCTTGCCCTAGCTTTGTATATCAAGCTCGTAAGCAGGACTTTTACCTGCATCTGATGCTGAATGTCCTATTTCCATCAGCATCAGAACAGTTCTGGGATTACGTTGGAGATATTTTTTGTGAGGGGCCGAGGAGGCGTGATTTGGGCATGGGAAGGCTTCCGCATTAGCTTTCCCACAGAGTTTGAGCAAAAATCCCAAGCTCCCTGGGGGGTCAGCGTGGGCCTATCGGAGAAGATAAGCACCTCCAGGTAGAAATAAATGCGAGGTAAAGTGGTAATTTGGTAGCCTAGTGGGATGGAGAGGCCTGGAAGTTGGTGGGCTTTTTCCCTGCCAAGGCACACCAGGACCCAGCAACCCGTAACGGCAACGTCTTTACATCAGGGTCAAGATCCGACAGTCACCAAAAAGCCCCACCGATAATGGCTATTCATTTCGTAATAAGCGCTGCCTGACATCGCGAATGAATCACTGTCCGCTGCTGTGGTCTAGAGGGAGGTTGCATGCTGCAGGTGACAAGCTCATAGTCGTGACGAAGCACTACTCGTACTATCTACTCGCAGCACTAGCATCCCAGCGGATCGGCGGCTAAATCTCAAGCGCGTTGTGGTTGCCTCGTTCTCGTCTGTGTCAGCCCCATCTCTTTCGTCTCTTCTCTCCTGGCCTTTTCCATCCTTTCTTCACGATACCCATTCCGCCATTACATTATCCACTCACAACAGTGTGTAAAACACAACAAACACACAACACACTGCCGCCCGCGCGTCTCCCTTCGGAATCCCGAGGCCTTGGATCAAATTCCGTCCGACGCGCTGTCGATTAGCCCAGTTCAACCCTTTTCACCATTGAGGTGTCGACCGAAGCACCACGTCGTCTACACGTCGGCAACTTCAGCCCTTCCAAATCCAAAGCGGCGCATCTGGAGTTTGTTCCGTTCAAGGTGCCTGTTGCATCAACTCAACAACAACGCGGTGAAGGAAGACCACTGCATCAATAGCAACGAATCAATCTAGAGTCTGATTTACCCTGTAGCAAGAATCCCGAACTCGGCAATAAGACCCTGTGTCGCTCAGCGCAATACCAGGGCTGCTCAACTTTGAGACTTCTGATCATACTGCAGCAAAGGGCGGGGAACCCAGCTGCAGGATCGCAGGGCTACCAACTGCCTTGCGACTGATTACATTCCTTTTGCGCTGAACGATCCAGGCAAATTGTGATCTGGTGCAAACCAGTCTTTTCCGCTTCGCCTTCGCCTTTGACGGACACCTCCAAGTGCACCACAGGCTTGTAGCAAGCTCCAAGCGCCAAGCGCGTGGCTGAAACGGAGCTGAGTCATCTCCAGCACGTGATGTCCTTCGTGCGACAACCACAACTCAACCCAGTGCTCGCTCCCCCTGTTTCTCCGTCGGGGCGGCTGACATAATCCATGTCCTCGCGGTACCCCAACTCCAACAATCGAGAACGCTCTCCACCTCCTCGGTTCGATCGCAGACCCTCAGGCACTTACAGCTCGTTAGGTTCGTCTTATAGAGGAGCTGCCGACCCTGGCCCATCATCCGATCGAGCTCCTCCACGTGGGCCCAAGGCGGATTTTCGAGGCTCTGGCTTTCTATTTTCCGCAGCGACTCGAGGTCGAGGCGGCTTCCCACGCTCTGGTGATACATGGGACCGTGACCGTGATCGCGATCGCGACAGGGAGACACGCCCTGCTCCACAGTCATACCGCGCCAGAGATGATGATAGACCAGACTGGCAACGACGAGACCGTGACTTTGGCACTGCAGACAGAAGCGGTGCAGCAGCGAGAGACACCCGGCCATATGTAGCTTCGCGTGATCGCTCTGCCTCTCCTATACGAGCCCGAAGAGATTCAAGGGAGAGCATTCCATCGACCTATAGTCGCCAACCCGACAATGCGTCCTCTTACTACGCACCTGCTTCACGAGGCGCCTTGAATAGAGGACGTGGCAGAGGTGATTGGGACCGATCCAGAGGTCGGAATTCCTTTGTTGGTGAACGGGACAGAGATCTTTTCCACAATCGCAGTCGCTCTCGGGAGAGTTGGCGTGATCGTGATTTTGATCGTGGTCGGCAACTCCCATCGGATCCGGATCGACCAGATCGCTACGAGCGCAGAGAGTATGATCGCAGTAGTAGAGAGCGCGATATCCGAGCCCAAGATGGCCGGCAGAGAGACCACTCCCCAGCCAGAAGCACAGGTGGACATGCGCTTGGGCCGGTGACGGCACCATCAGCCACCCCGAGTGACCGACCGGGAAAGCCTGACCACGAGTCCGGTAGAAAGTCATCTATTGTTGCTACTCCAACAAGCTCAACCCGTGATCCGCGTAGGGATGCCGATCAATCAGACTATTTTGGGGTCTCAAGAGCAGATCCGCTGCGACGTGATCCATCTCAAGTTGCTCAACAACCAGCTTCTGCTGTTGGCCTTGACTATGGACCTCCACCTTCAGTTGCTCCGGCCACTACTGCGGCATTCGAGAAGCCTCCCGCCTCAAAACCTCCTCCTCCTCCAAAGATAGAGCCGATCTCCGGGACTTCAACAACCTTCCAACCCCCGAGTGGACCAAAAGCTGTTCGGACACCCTCTACACCTAATGCACCGCAAGGCCCCAAAGCATCTCAAGCCAACGATGCTTGGCCTCGCAGTGAACCGCACTCAAGGCCCGTTCGAACGGGCATCGCGCCGGCAACAAGTACTGCATCGGCGGAGACGAATACGAAGAAAGAGGAGCCTCCAACTGAACCACGCGCCACCCAGCCTCCAACCGTTGATCGAGCAATGCCACCAAATGTACCTTCTGGGCCCAGATTGGGGACTACAGCATCAACTTTCAAGCAAAGAATATCCTCGGTGGAGCCTGTAGGCAGTACCCCATCTCCCACCACCCCACGGGAGCACTCGAAACCACCTGTCGTGGACACAAAGCCCCCAACGATTCCAACTGGACCAAGACTTGATAGGGAGGTAGCACATAGGGATGGTCCTCGACCCATGCCGGGGACCGGTTCGAAGATATGGGTTTCACCTGACTATAAACCGAAGCCCTCCATTATGAATCAACTGAATAAGCCATATCAACCGGAACCCCGGGAAAGGGCATTGTTCATACCTACAGGTCCCAGACAAGGGTCGGCCTTCCACGGGCTTACAGACAAGGGTCGGCCTTTAGCAAGTGCTGCCACCTCCATTCCGACGGCACCTTCAGGTCCAAAGGCACTAACTGCTGGTAGTCCAAGAATTCCAGATGCAAAGATCACACTTATCCCTAGGCAACCCATTGAAGATGTCCAAACGCCTGATGATTTAGAAATGTCAATGCCGGCCACCAGCGAGGACGATGACGAAGGCGAGGATGACCCTTTTGATGAGGAATATTTTGCCGAGTCAGAGGAAAGATTTAAACAAGAGGTAAATCTACTGGAAGGTCGGAAGCCTCCACCAGTGCTACAGGACGGTGCGATTGTGGCTCTTTTGATCAAATTACAATTCCTGGAGATGCTTTTGCAAGATAGCATACCACAACCTGCTGTCGCGCCGGTAGAAGATTCAAAGCAAGATCTTGCTGTCACGTTAGCCATTTCTACCAGTCTACCATCGCCCACCCGAACTTCAAATGATGCCAGCACCAAGTCTGAAGTGGAAGACCTTTATCCAAAGGGACGGCCATTAAAGCAAGCACCCATTAACCCTATCCCAACCCCACCAATCGAGGATCTACCCTACCTCAATGGCATTTGTTCTGACCGAGTAATATTCGACGAATCTGACAATGAGGTTGAACACGAAGCTGTCAACATGCTACTTCAGCAAGAGTTCGAGCGCAATGCTTGGGACTGGTGCTCAGAGATGGAAGACAACCATGCCGAATTCAAGTGGAAATTCCCTTTGTGGAGGTATGAAATTGCCCACATAGAACATGAACGGCGCGAGTTGCAGGCAAGCCCAGCACCGGCTTCTCCTGCTCCATCCGCTGCACCCTCTGTCACACCTTCGTTGACCCATGAACGTACGAGAGGAGCACGCAATACTACCGAAGCAGATTTACAAGCGGCTATCTTGATGTCACAGCAGTCAGCTAAAGAAGAAGAAGAAAGACGAGAGCGGGAAGCAGCATCTAGCTCTGTGCCGAACTATGATACTGAAGCAGTCATCCCCGCAATGCTGAAGCCGATGGAGATTGAATCATGCCATTTCCAAGATACCAATCGCTTGATCGCGCACGAATTGATCGTCGATATATACTCCTTTCTACCACCGGTAGATGACTTTACAGATGAAGAACAGTCTCTCTTCATCACGGCTTATTGTCAAACCCCAAAGAAGTGGGGCAAGATTGCCGAATCTCTACCAGGGCGCACTTATCAAGATTGCATCGCCCACTATTATCTGACCAAGAACAAGGCCCATTACAAAGATATTTGGAGACGATCGCAGCCAAAGAGAAGGCGTGGTAGGGCCGCAACTAAACCTCGATCAACTGCGTTAATGTCTGAGCTGGTGTCTGGTGATGACGGGGAACCTGGCCCTATTTCCGTCACGGAGAGTGGAAGACCAAGACGAGCTGCGGCACCAACCTTTGGAGATCCTGTCAGCGAGAATGACCCTTCTACACCAGTGCCTCAATCGAGGAAACTGAATGCCGCACCGAAAGATGGTAGTGCGGAGCCAACTCCGAAAGCCACTCGAGGCCGCAAAGCAGGTATAGCGACAAAAACAAGAAGAACAAAGGCTCAAATTCAAGCGGACCAGCAAGCACTATTAAATGCAGCTGAGACTCCACCTGGTAAGACAGTTAATGGAACCAAGGCAGAGCGAGGTCGCACCCTTCTGCGCGCAGAGAATGTTACAATCAGGACCGAACCACCAGCCGTGCCACAAGCTCCTCGACCATTAGACGCCAGTCTACCACAGTACCCTCTTCCCGACCTTCCAGCTGAACCGGTTGTCCCTCACAATCCTGTAATGTCTCAAGTTACTAGCTACTGGTCAGTGCCAGAGCAAAGCAAATTTCCCCAACTATTAGCCTATTTCGGTCGGGACTTTGCTGCAATTGCTGAATTCATGAAGACCAAGAGCATGACGATGGTAAGGAATTGTGTCGATCGCTAATTCCGGAATCTTCGGCTAATCTTCCTTAGATCAAAAATTACTATGTCCGACAAGTCAATGATGGCAAGGAGGAGTTTGACAGATTGGCTCAACTCGGTGACCAAGCGCGTGCAGCAGGCAAGAAGCTTGGACAACCTCCGAGTCCAATCGCACCACCAAAGCGCAGATATGAAGCAACACCTTCCATGGCGCTTCCACGTCATCTACCTGTTCAAGTTGAACAAACCCCGGTTGAAGCTGAATCATCAGGCCCCGTGGTCAAGCAGAATGTTATAGACGAATTTCCACGAAACATAGTGGAGAGAAATGCGTCGGGTGATGTCGTTGCCAAAACTCAGGCAGTTTCTCGAGATGTCCTTCGTGACCAGCTCCCCTTACAGCTGCAAGCCCAACCAAAGGTGGAGGAGGCTCAGAAATTGGACCGGACCTCATTATATGGGCCCAAGCCCTTACATGGTCCAAGACCTGGAGTCTTTCAGGATGATCACCTTGGATTTCCACCAAATCGTCAACCCTTGCGCATGCCTCCACAGGATCGGTCGCCTCATCAACATTCGCAGCGTCTTCCGGAGCTCAACCGATCTGATCTACCTAATCAGACTCCATTGTCAAATATTGCACAAAACCTCCTCAACCAGCCACGAGATTCTGTCACCCAAGCTCAGCAAAGACCTCAAGCTCCTCCTGTGCAGAACGTGCACCCTGTCCACTCACAAGCTGAGAATTATGGTCAGCAACCTGCAAGTATTTTTCGGCATACGCATAGTCGCAATAGTAGCTCAAGCGTTCCCAGTCATGCTCTCTTAGAGCAGGCTCAAGATTTGTCTTCACTCCGGAGACTTGAAACCCAGCCACGAAATACACACTACAATTTAGTGCCGAACCCGTCGCAAGTGTTAATTCCATCGGTATCATCAAACGCCCAGTCTTCGAGGAATGAGATGCCTGTTCAACCAACCCCGCCTCCGGCCTCCAACCTTGCTCCCGCAGAACCACCAAAGCCACCAACCAAACGGTCAAATGTTTTTGGTCTGCTCAATGATGACCCCCCCGAGCCACCACCCAAGCGCCCTTCACTCGAAGGGCCGAAAAGATCAAGCCTGATTTCGCCTCCGTCAGCACCAGAAGTAGCTACACACGGTGTCCTGCAACATCAGAGCCGTCAAGCACAACCGGAGGACCCTGTGCTTGGTCGGTCAATCAGAACATCTTATGGCTCCAGTGGCAGTACTGTTGGGGGTGGAGCTGGTCATTCCCTGGCAGATTATCAGAATGCCTTCAATGCTCTCCAGACCGCGCCACCTAGCCATGAGGCGTGGATGGACCGTTTTGATCCTAGACCCCAGAGTGGTCTAAGTGAACAGCGGAACTCGCATCACTCGCCCGTTTCGAGTCATTATTCTGTGGTTCCACCTTCTACACAGTCTAACAGTGTTCCTCCAATTCATTCGCTCCGTACCGAACCTTCCAGAGGCTTAGATCGTAGCCCAATGGATCATCGACGGTCATTACTAGGTGGTGTCGGTCAATTGCCTCATGCTCCATCTCCACCGCCTCCACCTCAACAACCAGCACAAACCAACCAGCCGTATCGAAGCCTATCCGGAAGTTCTCATCACTCGCGGGTGTCATCCATTGGCTATAATCAAGGCCAAAATGCAAGTCAGCCCAGTACTCTTGGTCATCAACCAACAACTCTCTCACAGTCTGCAAGCTCAACTCCGGTCTCAAGTCATCACCAACGCGCCCCTTCAGGTCATGATTATCAGCCCCGTCTGACAATACAACAACACATGGCTCAAAAACAACAAGAATTGCAACGTGAAGCGCTTCAACGTCAGCGAGAAGTAGATTTAGCTCAACAGCGAGAACGGGAAAGAGATCGCGAGCGTGAGATTCAACATCATCAGCAGCAGCAGCAACAACAACAACAACAACAACAACAACAACAACAACAACAACAGCAACAACAACAGCAGCAGCAGCAGCAGCAGCAGCAACAACAGCAACAGCAACAGCCTGCCCCTCCTCATCCTCATTCTCAGCAGCAGCTGAGGCGAGACATCTTCGGTATAGACGCCCATGCTTCGAGCACAATAGCTCGTCAGAACCAATTCGGAGGAGCCGCAAACCAGGCTCACATGCCATTCGCCCAACGTGAAATACAGAGGACTTTCACACCTCCTCAACAGCTTCACCATAATCCTTATTCTGGGCCTGGCGGCGTCGGACACACACTGAATATGTCACACCAACATCCACAAGCTGCTCCTCCGAATCAGCCCCAAGTGCAAGGGCAACAACCCCAGCCTCCACCACCCCAGCATCAGCATCAGATGCATCATCGCCTCCACGCACCACAGCCGCAACGTCAGTCACAATCACAATCACAATCACAATCACAATCCCACATTCTTCATCCTGGAACGCCAGTGCACTATAGAGCTTTAAGTCAAGGCGGGGTGGAGCCCAGACGTGAGGAGAGGCGATGACTTTGCAAGGTGCCTCGAGGTGAAAGGATCAACTGACGAAGGAAAGTAAGAGGATTCTTTGTCCGCTTCTACCTCTATCTCGAGCATGAGCGACATCTTGATGATGATCAAGACGTCGTCTTATTCATTGTATCAATTTTCGAAGAGTGTACAAAAAGATTCTGTGGCAGGAGCTATATCTACGTGTATGATCGGTGCTTGGACTTTTGGGTGGAAGAATATACAGGACAATGACAGGGGAACCCCCATACTTGGCTGACTATTGTACGGGGCACACCTAGGAAAAGGAGGGCTAAAAGATATAGATTTTATATTTCTGTACGATCATATTTGGGAACCCCGGTGCCTTGCTATGTGGCTGGGATTTCAGTTTGACGGATCATGTCCTCTCACCATAGCACAGCGTTTGGATGAATAGGATCGGTCTCCTCCTACTTCTCTTCTTCCACACACAACTCATTTATGAAGGACATGCTATGGACAGAAAGAGAAAAGCATTCGATTTCAAGAGTAGCCAGCACTAACTGTGTTCCAGCCTTCCTGTCGCCATGAAAACTAGTAGAATCGAGTCATGTCAATCAACTTTTAGACCAGTTGTCTGGCACTGCAAATCGAGCATCGTGTTCATCGATTTTCTCTCCCCCACCCTCTAGATGGGATGGTTCTTCGACTCAATGTCTTGATTTAAAGTCGCGTCTTTATCGTTCCTATTATCATTGGCCTTCGGAAGCTGCATTCGAACCACGGTGTTGAGGAACGATATGCCCCATTTAACACTGTGAGGAGGATTGTCAGCTCGTTTTCAAGGGGTGGTGAGGAAAGCCAGCATCCGCGCGCTCTTACTGACCTGGTCCATCCATCGACGACCTTCCCATTAGCACGGTGTCGACTATCACGCTCCTCTTGCGGCATGGTCAAGGATTCCCGTATGATTTCTGCGAAGCGAGGCGTATCCCACGGATTCACGCCGACGCAGGCTGGGAGCGTCTTTGCCGCGCCAGCATACTGTGACATGACCAGCACGCCCTTTTTCTTGGCCTGGCATGCTGAGTACTCGTAGCTTACCATATTCAGGCCGTCTTGGACGGATGATATGATGCATACATCGGATGCAGCGTACAGGGCGCACAGGTGCTCGGGCTGGACGGATCGGTAAAGATAGTGGATCGGGGTGTGCGAGAAGGATCCTTTCGTGCCTGTCAGTGTTTCTATTTGGATTTTGAGAGATGTGGAGGGGAGGAGTCAATTTTCGGGATTGGACTGACCGTGCTTGCCATTGATATGTCCGACCAGACGCTCAACTTCCTCTCTCAGTTTCTGGTAAGTCCCCACGTCTGAACGGGTTGGAATGGCTAACTGGATCAACGTCACCTTGCCCAGCCAGTCGGGATTCTTGGTGAGAAATCGATCAAAAGCTTTCAATTTCTGAGGGATACCCTTGATGTAGTCCAGTCGGTCGACGCCTACAATGATTTTCTGTCCTTCAAAGGAGCTTTCTAACTTTGCCAGTTCGGTTTGAGTTTCTTCGGCTGATAATCTGACCTTAAATTCGTTGGGCTCGATCCCTATGGGAAAGCCGTGGACAATGACTTTTCTGTCTTCGTAGTGCAGGTCGTTCGGTGAGACGCTGACGCCTCTGACGGCATAGGTGAGTAACAGGGAGGAAGGTGGATCGAAATTGGGCTTACTCCAGAACCGTGCAAGCACTTTCGACAAAGTCTCTTGCATAGCCGTTCGTGTGGAAACCTACCACGTCACAACTAAGGAGACTCTGGCATATCGCCTCGCGGAATGGTAATATAGAGAAAAAATCCTCGCTGGGAAATGGCGTGTGCAGGAAGAAACCAATGCGAAGATTCTTCTTCTTCGTCATCCGCTGTCGCAGAATGCCAGGAAGGAGTAAGAGGTGGTAGTCGTGGACCCAGATGATGTCGTCGTCTTCGACGTAGGGAAGGATATTATCGGCGAATACCTCGTTCACCTCCTGGTAGGCTGAAGACCAGCTTTCTTCGGAGATCACTTTGTCCGGCATGCGGTGCAGCAGCGGCCATAGAACGGAATCTATTTGAAGTCCAGCTGTTGATATTGCACAGGAAAATAGGGTCTACATCTCTCGATTTAATGGAGCCACTTACTCGAAAATCCATTGTAGTGCCTCTCAGCAAGCTGACTATCGAGAAAGACGGGCACCGCATCGAAGCCATGTTGGAGGTCACGGCGAACGGCGTCCTTGTCGTTCCGGTGTACATCGATACCAGGCCAACCAAACCATTTGAAATCTACTGCCTTGGCCAGACTCCTCAAACCAGACACCAGTCCCCCCGAGGACATGCTATAGTCGAAGTTACCATCTGGCTGTGGTTTGACAGTGATTGGTAGGCGGTTGGCAACGACAATCACACGGCCCTCGAAGCTCTCGTCCATAGTGTAGCTGAATGGAAGCTTTGGGTTGATCGGGTCAGATACTGGGATAGAAATACGGTGTAGTTTTGGGGTTATGTAGTGGTTCCCTCCACTCTTATATCAAGACCAGTTCTGCAAGTAAAACTTTTATCGCATGATGTCAGTGGTGGAGACCAGCGACTACTGCTACATGGCATGTGGACGTTGAGGATGTAAGGTAAAGACATCCGTTATACTGAATGGCATGGCGCGGTCCAGGGCAGTGGCAATGACAGATGGAAACTAGATGTGGTGTCCATGAGGAAGAGGCCCATTCCTATGCTGACCAATGCCACACAGCCAAGGAGAATAGCTGCAATCCGAACCTGGAAAAAGCTACTGAAAGAAAAGGCGGCAAAGAGAAGAGTTATGGCAGTATTGGTCCTCGACCTTTGAGAATCGCCGATTGCGGATTTAACATCCGCTGCACCCTGGACTACAAGGCTGAGATATGACGCCAGCTCCAGGGCCGATCACGCAGGTGAGGAAGGGTAGGAAAGCAAGATTTCGATAGCATAACAGAGACCGGGGGTTGTTAGCTCTGTCCTTTGTGTTGGCCAGGCAGCTCGTACTTGAAAACATCCGAAAAGACTGGGCTGAATGAAGAAGAGGAACGCAACTATTCAAACACAGTGATCCCTCCCAGGGATAAATACCTGCTGGAGATGCAAGTCGCACTATCACAGCTTCTGGGGGTCGGCGGCCGGGGGGGAAAAACATCTTTGATCAACCTTACCAAGCCATTTCCTTCTCAGGGAGAGAGATGCAGCCATACGGATGCGGATGCGGATCCTTACGCAGGTGGTGATGTGAGCTTGGTGGCCCGGGAGAAGAATAGGCAACGATATAAAAGTCAATGTGGTTTGCGGAGTACTGTATATGAGGAATCGGTATCACCGCCGAAGACGAGGGGCTGAATGGCTGATGTGGCTGAGGCGGGTTGGCACCGCCACACTAACGTCATATCTGGCTAGTAGCAGTTGGGCGCTAAGGGCGGCCTCACAGGCTGCGCTGGAGGGCAATCACGCTCATAACGGAAGTCGACAGTCGTACTCGTAGTCGTCGTAAGTCAAAGTCGAAATAGCCAGGCGGATCATTCGACCTCAGGCACCTAGGTAGTCAACAACAGCTTTGAAGGTTCAATCCGCCTCATCGGCCCTTTGTCTTCGCTTACGCGGTCATTCCTCTTACAAACGCCTGTCCGCCCCTCTGCTTCCGTCCATGTTATCACTCCTACCATTCCCACTTATCATGTAAAACCACAGGCAGCCAGCAATTCCAACTTCTCCTCCCGAGAACCATTGAAGTTCAACAGCCATAACTATGGTTACCCGAAAGTCCTCTCTCCCGTATTCCAACAGCCCTCCCGAGCAGCCTGTCTATGCAAACTACAATCCCAGCCACGAGGACAACCTCATCCCCGATGCAGCCGCCATCCCTCCCGTCCCTCATCCTGCCCGGAGGTCTCCTCAATTTCAGAATAATAATGCTCCTTTTGACACGGCAGACAACCCGTGGTCTGATGCTCCTCACAGGGATTTAAGGTCTGATCGCCCCCTGCCTGATTTTCTCAAGGCTGGTTCGCGTACTCCAGAAAACGGTCCTCCAACTCCGTCTCTCGCTAATATCCCGAACATTCTTCGAGCTGGCCAGTCTGGGGAAGACACTCCTAGATCCTCTCTCGATAGCCAGAGATCCAAGGATTTCTGGGACGACTCAGATGATGATAGACCGGGGAAGAAGACCACTAGCAAGAGTCCTAGACGAAGTCCCAAGAAACCCACCCTCCCCAACGTGGAGGTCACTCAAGACGACCCTTGGATATCGGTCGAGGCGCCTGCGAAGTCACCTGGCATCAAGAGGAAGCCGGTGGCAGTATCGCCGCAACATTCCAGATCTGATCTGACTTCACCAGTAGGCTTTGCCTCCAACAACCCCTTCAGGCGCCCTTCCGAGGGTACTGTAGTGCCAGATTTGTCCCAGGATGGGAATCCAACATCCAAGGGTAAAGCGCCAGTCAGAGATAGTCCCAAAAGCCCTCCAGTCCCATATGGTTCGCCAGCACCACATATGGGAAGTAGGACCGGCCCCGAAACATCCTACAATACCTTCCAACATGGTCAGCCCGAGACTGAAGCATGGGCAAATCAGCCACACTCACTCCCACCGATGCCATCAGGTTCTCCTCCACCGCCACCACCACCTGATGCAGCCCCCCTTTCGCCGTTCAGTAAACAGGCTCCATTAATCCCTTTGGAACCACAGAAGACAAGCTCCTCAGAGAACCCTTGGACCAATTCGGCGCCACCCATTGCCGCAACTCCCTCCCCAATTCCTTTTCCACCATCCCAGAAGCAGGTGTCCGCTTACAACCGTGACCTTCTAGACCGAGGACAGCAGACAGGCGTCGTATCATTACAAGATGAACTTTCCACGCTTCCCAATGCGGTCGAGACTGGACCGGTTACTCGACCTGAACCTTCTCTACTTGACGATGACAACGATGTCGGACCTCCTCTCCCTGTTCGACCTGTCCAGCGCACAGAGACTGAATTTTTTGAACCACCTGAGGGACCGCCTCCACCCAAACCCCCACGGCCAGCCTTGAAGACGACCGCCCCTTCAGAGCAAGAAATCGCGAAACTCCTTGAACAAAGGAATGAAACCTATCAAGTCAAGCATTTCAACTGGTTTGATCATAGTTCTCGGAGACTTCGAGCATCTTCGATGTTGACCCAGAACAGAAACGGTCCATGCCCTCTACTAGCTCTGGTCAATGCACTAATTCTGGGAGCTGGGGACGAGTCTCAACCAGCTCTGGATGAAGCACTTCGGTCTAGAGAGCAAGTCACTTTGGGCCTCATTATCGAAACACTGATGGACGAGTTACTTTCAAGGGGGCTTGAGAGCGTTGGAGATATGTTGCCCGATGTTGATGAACTCAATGCCTTTTTGCTACGACTACGCACAGGCATGAATGCCAATCCACGTTTTGTGCCTCCAACCATCCCTGCACCCAATCTCATGGATGATGATGGCTCCATGCTGAATATTCCCCAACAGCAGAGGGCCCAATACAAATCGGGCACATTTGAGGCCACCACCGATATGAAACTATATGGCGCCTTTACTGTGCCATTAATTCATGGTTGGTTGCCAGAGCCAGGCTCCGATGCTGCAAAAGCATTTGCAAGATCTGCTCAAACATACGAGGATGCCCAAGCTTTGCAGTTTGGTGAAGAAGAATTAGAATACAAGTTGTCCAACTTCTCACTGTCCCCGGAGGAGCAGAATCTGTTGCAAGACATTACGTCGATCAAGAATTTCTTCAAGACATATCCTACACAACTCTCACCTACAGGCCTTGAAGCCGTTCAAGATTCCATTCCATCAGGCTCATTCGCCATCATGTTTCGCAATGACCATTTCAGCACGATATACAAGCACCCTGAGAATGGACAGCTGTTCACACTGATCACGGACGCTGGCTACGCTGATAGAGATGAAATCATATGGGAGAGCTTGGTCGACATCAATGGAAAGCATAGTGAATTCTTCTCGGGAGATTTCATGCCCGTCAGCCACAATGGATCTGCAGATGAGTCCAATACTCATCCGGCACGTCGTTCTTCGCTACTTTTATCAGTCAACACTCCTTCCAATGCTAATGCTCCACTATCCCCTCAAGAGCAACAAGAACAACATGACGCCGATTTTGCCATGGCTTTACAGCTCCAGGAAGAGGAGGAACAAAGACAGCGAGCTGAACGAAATCGACGAAGGAGTGGTGCAAATCAAACTAGTGGCAGTGCGACCACGAACACTAGCAGCAGCAACAACAATCGAAGATCTGGAGGAAATATTCCCATCCCTCTTCCAAGTCGTCCACAGGCAGAAGTGCGCCCGTCGATCCCACCACGTACTTCAAGGAACCCCAATCCTGCTGTAAATCGACCGTCTGATGCTGACGCGGATGATGCGCCACCGGCTTATGAAGAAGCGGCCAAAGGACGACCATATATCCCGCCATTGGGCAGTCCACTTCATCCATCGTCAGATCCCAGCCCCATGAACTCGAATTTGCAGCTGACTGGTACCATTAGCAATAACTCTGGCTCTTCGGCTCTTGATAGCCACCCACCAGGCCCGAACGTGGCAATGGGAAGGCGGCAACCTGGACGTAGAATGAGTGCATACAACGAACAAGCGCAGTACTACAATGCGCCTCAGAGACCGCACGGATTGAACGTTGCCCAAGGGGTTGGCCCATCGGGACCCTCCCGTCCAAACAGACAGGATCGTGACTGTGTGGTGATGTGAGGCAGCAGAGAGAGTAACCCTACCTACCTACATAGTGTCCTACCTACATAATGTAACGAGATGAATGATTGATACCAAAATCGGGAAATCCGGGCATGACTTTTTGCATGATACGATGGGCTTTTGGTCCCGATGAGTCGTCATATTGACGACGGACCCAATCACTGTAGTAGACTGTCATCACTATAAACCAACGTAAGTCTTCGACATGTCCACTCTATCCCCTCGAAGTTTGCCCCGTCATCATCGCTGATCTTGCCGATATCGCCGATAAGCCACCGTCCTTAGACACCTCTGCTTGACTGATACGAACAAGGCAGCTCTGCTCCATCATGGTTCATCGTCCAGCATCTGGTCCCCGGCATCTCCGTCATCGCACGGGGCTGACCAAAGAAGCGTCAACCATTTGCTCTCTCGTACAAAATATCCAGCCCAAGTCCCTACTCCGCATCCCGCGTTCCGGCAAACGTTGTGGTGTGGGGGTCAGAGATTTTGTATTTGGTGGTGCTTCTGAATACAAGTCTCTCCCGCGCAAAACTTAATCTTGCTATTTCATCCCGTACTTACTCGTTAAGGTAGATTGGTTTACAGGGCGAAATGACGGTCCGTGATCGGAGATGTGAAACCCAGAATTTTTGGAGTCTTTTGGTGGGAAACGCTGCCTTCGGGCTGGGCTCGGGGCATATCCGACCGTGAGGAGAAGCAGGAGTCAACGACACACATAATACTAACGATATCAAGACGATCATAGGATCCAAGGGGGGAGGGGAGGGGTTCTTTTACAATTCCTTCCTTCGCCACCTTCTCTGTTCTTAAGTTGTTCTACTCGTGCTTTTCGTTGAAGAACATTCTTCCTGCTGATATAAAGCGATCCTTGCATGGGGTTGAGGACAGATCGAACTCACGCCACGCTCACAGGAACATCGGTAGTGGCTACTCCAGTGGTATCATTCAGTGGATCCAACGTTGCCGCGAGATTGCGAACAGAGTGCAGTCGCGCCTAACTCCTACGTTGACAATCACCACTGGACCAAGCTCTGTTGCAAAACTTGACATAAATCCCAACGGGGTCGTCGTGAGGAGAATAAAATTAGTGCGTCGCTTACAATGGCGGCTTCAATGATCGATACGAGCGGCGCGACTGGCACAGCGGGGGCCGCGCAGACATTTCGCGTCCTGGTCTTGCCGGGCGATCATGTCGGGCCAGAAGTGATGGCTGAGGCACTTCGGGTATTGGAGGTCGTTCAGGAGCGTTCGCAGGGCAAGGTCAAGTTCGAGTACAACCACCAGATTGCTGGCGGTTGCAGTATCGACAAGCATGGCACGCCTATCACAGATGAGGTGTTGAAGATTGCGAAGGAAGAGAGCGATGCGGTGCTCTTTGGCAGTGTGGGCGGTCCAGAATGGTGAGTCATTGGGAAATCTTGATTCTTTCTTCCTTCCTGATCTTCGAGCTGAGTGAGTTGGGGAAAGGGGTACGGCATACCCGAACCCAGAATCGGGTTTGCTTCGACTGCGACGACATCTAGATGCATTTGCGAATATTCGACCATGCACGTTCTATTCAAAGTCTTTGATTCCACTGTCACCCTTAAAGCAGTCAGTCGCCGAAGGGACGAACTTCATCATTCTGCGAGAAAATTGCGGCGGTGCTTACTTTGGGGAGAAGGTGGAGCAAGCCGACTACGCGAGCGACTCGTGGGCTTACGGCCGCGAGGAGATCTCGAGAGCTTCTCGCGTCGCGGCTGCGCTCGCTGAGAAGATGGGCAAGGACGGTCTCGGCACGGGGAAATGTCCAGAAGGCCCGGCCACGGTGTGGTCCAGCGACAAGGCGAATGTGTTAGCGAGTGGCCGTCTTTGGAGGAAAGTCACTTCGGAAGTCTTCGCGAAGGAGTTCCCCCACATTGAACTCAAGCACCAGTTGGCAGATTCACTGTCGATGCTTATGTGCAAGAACCCTCGAATGTTCAACGGGGTCGTCCACACAGATAACACCTTTGGTGATATGCTGTCCGACCAAGCGGGAGGGGTGGTCGGCACACTAGGAGTTCTTCCAAGTGCTTCACTGTGCGGCATCCCAGACGGGAGTAAGTGCAACGGCATCTACGAGCCCACGCACGGCTCGGCGCCGGACATCTCAGGCAAAGGAATCGTCAATCCTGTCGCACAGATCCTCTCCGCTGCAATGATGTTGAGATACAGCTTCAACATGGGCGAGGAAGCGCTCGCCATCGAGCAAGCCGTGGAGAAGGTCCTAGACGGGAAGGACATCGGCGGATTGGAGATTCGCACAGGTGACCTCGGAGGCAAGGCCACCACCAAGGAAGTCGGAGATGCCATTGTCGATGTTCTCAGACAGATCTTGAGCGGACATCTGAGCTCGGTCCGGAGCCCGGACCCGTCCAGCAAGGAACTGTCCAGCCGTGCGAAAGAGCACGCCGCCCATGGTGACGAGAATAAGAAGTGGGAGCATAGGTTGAAGAAGGATCATGTCCACACTGGGCCCGCTGATGCTTTGATACAGCCTTGAGAGGACTTTGTGGTACGAGTTGTCAAAGAGACACATTCAGCACGAAATAAATGGATCATGTCTCTACGCAAATTCATCATGCTCCTGAAGTTCGTAGTAGATCTGACGTCTGTGCTGAAAACCAATTCATTTCGGTTTCCCTTATATTGATTTGATCCAATGTTGTATGCTCTCGTTCGCTCTCAGAGTCGGGGTACTCCTATTTCCTAAACGTCTAAGTAATTAAAGCAAGCTCAAAGGGGCAGCACAACCAGTCTACTAGATGCTTTATCTACGTTCAAATCATTGTGGCCAGCCGGTCAATCCTAGAGTGAGTAGTAGTGGGTTTTCCTGGAACTCCTTACTCCTTTGTTTGAGTTCCTCGACATCCCAGTTTGCCCACAAGAATCGACCTTTCAAGAAAACTGCTTCAGGAGAGGATAGCCAAACCATTAAATTACCTGGGAGCTCGACTACAGTCGAAGGAAATCAGTACAGGGTCCAACCTAGCGCGGCCAACAAGGAATTCAACTTACGTGTATCCGAATGCTCAATGGCGGCACCGCTTTGTTCAACCCCTTTGCTCGCAAGACCTGTGGATAAGATGACCCCGGGATGGAGGTTGAAAACTCTCAGGTCAGGGTTTTCGTTCTGGACATATTCGAACAGTCTGGCTGCCCCGGCCTTGCCGACCGCATAGGATGAGAAGTCGGGGATATAATGCGCATGTGTTACTCCCGAGCTGACATTTATGATCACTCCATGCTTTGATATGTTTTTCAGCACGGATTGGAGTACGTGCAAGGCACCTTTGACGTTGACTTCTATCGACTTCCACCAGTCCTCGACGTCAGCAGCCGCTATGGGCCCAAGGTTGGCAAGGTATGCAGCATTGTTGATGAAGACGTCAATAGGGCCATCCTTCGAGATGTTGTCGAAGGCATCTGCCGTGCTGGTAAGGCTCGAAATGTCGACAACCACGGCCGTCACCTTCGAACCTTTGTGTTTTGCTTCGATCGCGTTCTTGGTTGCGTCTAGAGTCGCCTGAGTGCGACCCAGAATTACTACTTCAGAAGCCCCCGCTATCGCGAAGGCTTCTGCGGTCGCTGCTCCGATCCCGACGGCTGCTCCAGTGATCACCACTCGCTTCCCTTTCTGTGACAGTTCAGGCCGAGAGGCGTGGATGCCGGGGTATACGTCAGTGTGAAAAGTCTTGGTGTAAGTAGAGAATGCTGGTGCCATGACTGATCTTCGGGAGCTGGATATATTCTCTTTCGTATTGTCAATCTGGGAGCTCTTGGTCGGCGATTAGTTTGGTTTGTATATTTCTGCTTTGTCTCAAGAGTTAAACCGACTCCCTTTGACGGGTCATAAGGCCAGTTTTATACCCAACTCCGTAGCTGCAATGAAGCCCGCCACTGCCGAATCATTAGGGGCTAAGTGATATCCAGACCCATGTACAATCGTTTGGCCACTCAGATACAGTACTTGAGAGTACGGGTACCGACCCCACCATGCTTGCAAGAATTTCATGGTCGAGCCGCGTACAGTATATGTCGTACCACGATAAATGAAACCAAGCTGTAGGGTTCGCCGCTCCAGGCCGTTTTCTGTTAGAAATCAACGCCTCGCCCGTCCGCATTTTCGGACGGCCTGTGTTTTTGCGTATCCATCGGTGATGGCTAGGTAAGATAGATCTTGACGGTGAGACTTGATTGGTGTAGAAAAGACGAAGAAGGCGCAATGCATCAGTGGGACTCCAAGTCGGAAGAGTTCGAAGCTGCCTGATGTGATGTCGGATTTCACTGGACGCGAATCATGTTGACACCGAGACACATGTTCCGCCTCAGTGCCAGAATTGGGCCAAGACCAGATTTCAAGGTACAAATTCCCGGAATTGCTGTACCTGCTTATGTATAGGAGCGGACAGGAGCGGACGGGTGCTAGCGAGTCTCCACCCGCATGGACCTTGGTCTTTTCGAGTTTATCATTGCCAACTCGCGATCGTACATTCTCTAAATTCCTAGTGGTGGAGAGCAACACTAAGATCTTCCGGTGCTGAGGGTAGACGATTTGTCGCGCCGTCGGTCTCAATAATGCCTCGTACACGGATAGCCAGCGTTTGTATTATACAGTATTGATACGAGCAGCGCCACTAGCAGCCACATATATTTGGACGGGCCAGGTTCTTCATTGAAATCAAACCAGGTTTGTCCTTTCGAGTTGATCAATGACACCAGAAATCCTCCTTCCTTGTCTATGTCGAGGGATTCAACATATGGATGGGGAAGAGCTTTGGAGGGATAGAAGGGGTCCGCTTCTTATGTGACAGAAACCCTGAAGCCTGTGAACCTAGTGACCAGACCATTATCTCCATTGTATACGGTCTTGGTGCTGGAACGAAAAACATCGTTAATAGAATAGCATTCCCAATAGAAGGTCTGAATCTTTATTAGAAGGTGTGTTGCATACCACATTTGGTGTCATGTCACCGCCAAGAATGGCTAGCGACCAGAAACTTCCCAGTTTGCGAGGACTGTCCTTCAGAGAACAATATCAATCTTCCATGTCGCCGGTAGATGGGCTGCTCGCCTTGGACGATATGGTTCTCATGTTTCGAGAATGTTATGTCTATAACACTACTGACCGGCTACCATACGTAGAGAAGCATTAGAGAAGCTATTTGATCCCGTGATTAGGGTAGTCAATCAGTGATGGCGCTTGGAATATGCTGATTGTGCCAGCGAACGGTCTAGGTTATTATTGTTGTCTGAGGTCTATGATAGAGATCCTGCTCAAGGGCTCATTAAACAGGAATGGAGACTTTGAAGACGAGAGCCTGATTGTCTAGACTAAAGCCACTTTCATCCGCGTACGGCAGCTTCCCACCATTCATGAAACCGTTCTGCGAGATGAAGTCGTTATCGCTGAGGCTAAAGAGGAAGAACTGCCCGTCATCGCTAGCCGGGTTCGTGCTCCAGCCCATCCACCCAGACTTGGGATTGACGGGTACAAGCGCCAAGCTCTCCCACTTCTCATTCAAGAGCCCAGAGTCCTGTGCACCGCCGTTGTGCAGACCGAAGCGGTTGAGTTGCGAGTTGACGTTGAAGTCGAGCCAGGAGTAGTATGCGGCAGGCGTGATGGCCGGGTCAAGGACACCCTTGGGCGCCGCGGAGCTGTCGGTGGAGTCGTATTTTGGTCCCTTGATATTGGTTGCCTTGGAGATGTCGAAGATATCGATATGGCGGTACGCGGAGTTGGAGTCGTCTTGACCGTGGCCGTGGCCCGAGTCTCGTGCGAGGACAAGGAATTGTGTCGCGCTGAGATAGTGGATCTCTGACTGTGCCGCAACGCGTGTGTTATTGGTGATCTGAGGAAGTGGCACGATATACTCGGCCTTGTAGATGGGCTTGAAGACGTCAGTGACATCGTACTCCAGCAAGCGAGCATAGCGCCGAGTGGAAGCGTTAAGGCCGCCGTCCTGGTCCAAGGCAGATTGTAGAAGGGCGTAGAGAGTTTTACCGTCGGGGGAGGCGGTCAGACCTTCAAGCCCTTGGTTGTTGGCTCGGCCAGTAGGATTTGCGGTCGGAGTAATCTTGAGGTCTGGATCATAGCGAGGAGCGCTGGCAGCGGAGAACGAGTTGGTGTTGTTGCGTTGAGGAATGACCGCTGCAGGAGGTCGAATGGCAGAAAGCATGCGACCAGAGGGATCGAAGCGGTAGACGTAGGCACCATACTCATCTGAGACCCAGAATGAACCATCTGCTGCAAGGACGAGGCCTTCTGAATCTAGACATACGCGACGGCCACCTGATCCAGCTCCGCCGAATCCATCGCCTTGATAGGTCGCTGAGGGGAGTTCAGGAAAGCCCGGGAAGGTGAGATAAGGACCGTGGGCATCAGGGTCTAAACCAGTCATAGGGTTGCCCATTGGATCTGTAAACGCAACAGTATCGAGATATTGCAGCTTTAGATTAGGTGGGCTGGGTTTGGAAGATGTTGCCGTATCGTTGGGAGCGAATGTGATTGCGAACTTGTGAACACGAGGCTGGAAGTTCAGTGTTCCTTCGGTGTTCCATCCGCGATCAGGAAGGCCCCAGAGGATGCCAGTGTATACACCGGTCTTGCTGTTTAGCTTCCAGGATTTGAGATCAATCGCGGCACTGCTTCCAATACCGCCTGCAGTGTCTCCGAATTTGTCCCGTGCGTTGCTGGGAGTGAAACCATATCCTGCGAGAGCTTCATATACAAAGCTCTTGCCATTAACGACCGTGGTGTTTACGGCAATGGTGGTAGCTCGTGGAGCCGGTGAAGAAGCTGCAAGGCTGGCCAGCAATGTGGCTATGATAAATCCGATGAGCATTGTGATTTGAACCTATCGAGATATATTGAGAGTCAAGTATCAATTGTTCAACCTTGGCCTATGTAAAGTCTGCTGTCCGGAAACGCTATTAGCTCACCGAAACGAATGAGGGAGCACAGCGCAACAGTACGTGTGTAACGATTGGATTCCATGGCCGGGAGAGCTCCTCGGGCCCTTTTAATACTCAGGCTGTTGCGAGAGTGAGGTCTGATGAGACGTTCAAGGATGTACAAACACGTGGACCACTAGCTCAGTATGATTCGCGAAAATTGCGTTCTTGGAGTATAGGGCGTCTTAGCAAATAGTGACTAATTCGTTAGTTAGTTAATGCGACCTGCTGCTTTTGAACACCGTTCATGCGCCAATCGATTGCTTTTGACTAGTATGGGAGGGTAGAAGAGAAAAACAGTCTGTTGGAGCTTTGCACTTGTAATTCTTTGGTTAGATGGTGTTTCTTCTGTTGACACCTACTAGATTCGGTCCGCCAGTAGCCTGAGTAGTTGGTGCACTGGGACCGTATCGAAGAACCACGTTTGTTGATGGGCCCAAAGCTCGAATGGCAACACCTACGTGCTCGGTAATCCAGAGGGACAAAGACTCATAATTGTCGGTCTCCTCTCCAGTCATGGGTAAGATGAAGATTCTTTCTGTTCTGGGGCCTGCTCCACGTCTACCCGACCGGTGAAGATATCGGTGTGTCACTCAATGAAAAGAGACCTCTAGTTACAAATGAGGATCATGGCTGCTAGAAATTTCAATCATATGGGACGAAAGGTGCTCGCCAAACGCCACGAAAGGAGGGAAAGAGCGACAGCATCCCAAATTACCACGAACTTTCTCCGAGTCGAGGGCGTGGCGCTGTCTAACTGACTTGGGGAAAGCGCCCTGAGAACGATGACGACATTCCTCACACCTGCAGAACTCGATACTCGTCGAGGACCTCTTCCACTTCACAAGGGCAAGAGAAACAACGAGACAATCAGTCCGTACTCCGTACCTCGCACAGAAAACTTGGTTGTGGCGCAGCTAAGATGGAGGTGAGTGCGGTAGTAGCACAGCGAGCGGGCCCAGGGCGTTGCTGTGGCCAATGCATGAGACTACTGCCTCCACCTGTCAATTCTTCCATCGCGGACAAACTCCAGGATCGAGAACTCCGTGGATCGGCAGGTTTCCATGTGATAACAATAATCAGATTGGATCAAGAGGGCCAAATCGAGATGGAAAAGAGGAGGCCGCCAACGTCATCCTCTTGGTCCATGAGCTGCAAAGAGAACTGCTTGGTACCTGAGCATCCTTTGCACGTGATCGGCGCGATCTGATTTGTTGCTTCTACGTCATCCTAAGCTCCTTCCTCTCCTTGATGACGTCGGGCACTTTGGTAAATGCTTCAAGGTTTCAAGCGGATGCACCAGCTGACCTGCAACCGGTCGCCCCTCGTTACTAGATCTGTGTATATATACCTTCCATTCTGTCCAGGTGGAAATCTGAAATCTTCCAAAGCCAGAAACAAGCCAAATAAAATCAAGACTATCAAACAAAATACAACTTTCAAGACTTCTTAGTCAATTCCAATCCAAACAATCGCAATGGATACCATCAAGTAGGCCGTCTGCCTTGCCTTCACGGCCTAGCGACATCCAACTGACATTCTCTCCAGGAACGCCGCAAACTACGTTAGCGAGAGCTTCCAAGGTGCTGGAGCCACCGCTTCCAAGGAGGCCAACAAGAACGTCGCCAAGGACAACAACGCTTCTGTCAGCACCCGTGCCCAAGCTGCCGGTGATGCCATCTCAGACAAGGTCGACGAGCAGACCCACGACCGGAAGGCCGATGTCCACCGTGAGGCTGCCAAGCACTAGATAGTTGGTAATGATGGGCAACGATGCGTGACTGAATGAGGTTCGTCACGGCGAGATGAGAAATCATTATATACCCCTATATCACCGCAGAATCATGATAGGCGTTGGAGGAAACGCGAGATTGCAGGTCCATAGCAACAATGCAAATAACTTGCTAATCGGACGCATTTGATCTTTGTTTTGTTGCCATTCTTGACGTGTCTGTAAACAAAACATTTCGCAGCATCATTGACTATCGACCCAAATCCGGGTAAGCCACCTGACCAATGGAACGATTTCCGAACACTCGCTCTGTGGTCAAGGGGTCATCGAAACAGGAACGATGTTAAGGCTTTTCCACGAGAAGCCTTCCAGGCATCCTGGGCATGGCTGCAATAGTGTCACATGTGAAAATATAATGGATAACTCCCCGGACGCGGGATGTTCTAGAATACATATGCCAGCCACAACCTTGCTCCAGTCTGGTTTCAATTTGGGCCACGACCTTCTAGCGCATCAGCCGCCATGTTCCTCATACGTTCTCTCTCCAAGGGATGGATGTGTTCGAGCGCGGCATCTACGTCTCGGCTTTGGTTTTCGAGTACTTGCGTCATACCGCTCTCGGACAAGTAGCTCGGAGGACGATATGTCGTTGTCGGCAGCACATGATTCAACGCCTCGTCATAAGTGGGAGTTAGGGGTGATGGAGGTACGTGCTTCCAGTGGACAAAATCCGGGTTCATTCTCTGTGGTCACCGAAAGAGATTGATTAGTTGCGTACACGAGCGCAGTAACCAGTGTAAGACAATCAACTCACAGTACTCGTTCGGAAATTTCCGTACACAGGCGGTGGATATTGGACCGGTGCGTCACCTATCATCTCCACATCAGCGCCAAACCCATCATCATTAGACATGTGGATTTGAATGGGCTTCTCTGGTGGAATGTCATCAGCAGTCCCGCCATGTCTCTTCGTGCGGTGAGATGTGCCACCGTGTCGACGACCATGCGCAGCCCTTCTTCGTGTTCTCCTCGGTGCCTTTATTAGTATGAACATCCGGATAAGTTGGTGACAAAATATCCCCGTCAACGAGAGGATGAACAAAATAGAAAGCACATGGAAGGCGGTGTTGCCAGCAACCCCTGTGACTGCCAGTACAAGATCTGTGGTGGTCAGCGAAAACTATCGACGAGTAGTTGTATCTCCGCTTCCAACTCACAGATGACCACGGCGACCACTAGTGTAACGCCGAAAGCAAAACATATCTTCGCTTTGGAATTCACCTTGGGGTCTCGATATGCTCTCGTCGACAATATCTGGCGGCTTCTAGCAGTCCTCCTTGAATTCTGAGTGCTACGACTGCCACGACTACCACTTCGCGAACTTGTAGTCTGTGTGCGGCTTGACCCTGAAGCACTGGTTGACTCGTTCGTTGTACTCGTTACTGAATGGGGTGCAGTAACGGAGCTATCGACTGTGCCTGGTTGTGAGCCGCTTCCGTATAGATCCGACTGCTCCCACTGTTCAGGCCTAGGATCATGGATCGACCGGACAGCCATAGTCCTTGGAACCTCGTTATCGATGACCGACCGCGTAGAAGTTCTAGATCTTGTGGCTGCTGGTAACGCGCCCCTGGCAAAGAGATTGTTCCTGCCAGACGATCGTGATGCAGATAAGAACAAAGGTACCACGAATGTCTTCGTCGGGCGGCCTTGTGACGCTCCAGAGCTCTCCGGCGCCGGCCTCGTCCTCCAGAATCGTGACATGCTACTGATGATGCTGTTCCGTGACTCGTCAACTCGTGGAGGTATAAGGAATCCTTCAGTTGGTCGCTGGGAAGCGTGCTCCATTGTCGGTATGATATACCTTCGCTGGGTAGACAATCAGTGCTGCTAAGTCAATAGTGCCGGGGAGCGAGGATTCAGAGCACTTATGAGTCGGCATGCATAGAAGACGCGTCGACGAGGCTGGCACGAGAAGCATGGCAGAAAGGAAGGGGACCAAAACAACTAAACGATTGATATCACATGGTCAGACCTGTGAAAATCGAGATGACAATATTTGCGACCAGAAACTGCGACAGTGGGCTTCTTGATCCTGTATTCTTGCTGCAAAAGAGATGCGCAAGGAGAGGAGAATAGGCAAAGGAATGTACTTCCGTGATGAGACTGAGACATTACGAGGGATCCAAATGAAGGACCTTTCACCACCTTGATAGGCTGTCGTCACGTCAACCTGCTTTGGGCAGCAGTCCTCTTCGAGCGTGCCATACGAAGTTCATGGGCAATGACCCTTGGATATCGATAGATAACACGTCGACAAGCAGGTGTTCGTGCACGAACGCGTCCTGAAACATGGACGTTGGAGAAGCGCGCCTTTCGGCTGGACGTCAACTTGCCCCTGCTTTGGCTTGGCAAACGCAAAGCCCAACAGTGAAATCTGTTTAATTACCTTGGCCCCTTATCCTGTCTAAAAGAAGGATCTGGAAAGGCCCTTCGCTTGATGTGTAAATAGTAATACAACATGGATTAGTGTGTGATATTAAATTTATCCATAAAAACATATAATCTCAAGAACAAGATTATGAATCGGAAAAAAAACAGTTCCTCGACCGGGAGTTGAACCCGGGGCGCCTGGGTGATATTTCACTTGAGATTTTCTACTGAAAACCAGGTATGTTACCGTTACACCATCGGGGATATGATGAATTCTGAAGAAATTTACCGTATCCAAATATTTATAGTTTCTGTGTATTTCTGATCTTAGATTTGGTTGGCGTGATCATTCACGGCGTCTGCAGACTATCTAATTATTTTTAAGCATAGTTCGTGCACTTGATGCCACTGCAAGTTGATAAGCGATCATAGCTATGTTTACAGAGGTGGTGCATAACATCACGAGAAGCCACTCTGAACATTGTAGTCTTCCTCGAGCGTACTTGCTCCAAACCCAACGAGAGCGAGGTCGGTCAGAGCATGAGATTCAATGAGAAGTAAGCTAGGATCGAGCTCGTTTAGAAATTATTTGTTTGCATTTTGTATGCTCCCTAGATGTGTTGAGACTTCATTGATGAAAGCTTACCCGAAACACTAGACAACTTGATTTTGTAACTAACAACAGGAGGCAACGACCTCATAATGGAAATCCCCTCATGACAAATGTTATTAGTGCCTTCACTACTGTACATGCCTCCAGGATCGGATTGTATTAGCACCATACTAAATAGACCTTGCCTACTCAGCCCCTTGCCTCAGTCTCGAATCTGAGCTTAGACTGGCTCTTGTACGTAAGTTCACGGACTTTTATTTCAGGTATGAAGACCGGAAAGCAGGAGAATCGCTCTGGACCTCTCCCATTCATGCAGAGGCTTGCCTCGGGTGGGGCTGGCAAATATCCTGCCAGCAGGGAAAACCGTGCAAGCAAATGTCCTGTTTGAACAGTCGACGCTTGAATATCAAGGAACCAAAGCGTAGGGGATATCCTCCTGCGGCTCGGTAGGAGCCTCTGCCGGGACTCGGGCTCGCAAACAATTGCAGCTAGAGCCTACAGCTCATGATAGCCGTCTCTTGCGGCTGAGTTCATGAAGAGAGTAAACCTCTTTGGCCGATTGAACACATAATCCCTCTCATCTGCCAAGTTCACCCAGAAGGAGATTTCGTTCTGTCGAGCCAGACACAACTAGGTTTCGTTAGTAAATATCATCCTACCGTCAAATGCAGAACTTACTGATAGGATCTTCCGAAGGCGAAAATCGCACATCATTGACCGTCCCTTTGTGACCTGGCAATTTGTATAGTAACCTAGCCGAGCGCGTATCCCACACAACCACAGTACGATCTCCGCTTCCGGCGGCGATCTTGTCTCCCTTGGAACTCCAACTTGCGCGAATCAAGTTTTTCTCAAATCCTGCCGGCGCTCCATCATAGGTTTGTACAGCTCGATCCACTGGAGCAAAGGGACGAACATCCCATGTTCGAACGGTTGAGTCGTGAGAATTGGAAAGTAGTGTTTGAGAGTCTGGAGATACTTCCAGGGATGTAATAGTGTCTGTATGCCCAACCAAAGTGTATATCACTTCCAGCGTACGCGCGTCCCAGACCTTGATATCGTTGTCAATCCCACCAGAATAAATTTCGTGGCCTTGTTCCGCAAGCGCAACTGCTGTTATAGGGAAATCTGTTTCAATGTAGTCCACTGCTGCTCTCTGCCGGGGATCCCATATTCCAATGGTGCCATCGTCACTGCCACTGAGAAGAAGGTCTTGGCCGCGTCTGCTGAGATCAAGACAGTTTATAACCTCCTCATGTCCAACATGCTTGCGCACTCTTAGCCCTGTCTCAAGATCCCAATTCGCGACAGTCATATCTGCGGAAGCCGAGTAGATTGTCCTCGAGTCGCGCGACCATTGGAGGTCTAAGACGGCACCTTTGTGGCCGGTCAAGGTACCATAGTTTTCAGATTGTCCGTACGTGTTCCACAGCATTACAGACCGGTCCATAGAGCCAGAAGCAATATGTTGACCTGTCGGATCGAACCGAGTCGTGAAGATCTCGCCTGAATGACCTGTCAATTCCATAATGGGTGCAGTAAGGCCGCTTGTGCGCAGAGCAGAGGTGATAAGGGCGCCATCTGAATCTTTGCCAGTAACCGTAACGGCACTCTCATCGCGAAGGTCAGAATTCGATTTCTGTCGCTTGACCAAAGCCTGTGGCTTGGAAAAGCTGTCCGATGCCTGCCTCTTGATAGACGGCATCATGATTACTCCCAATGTTTGTGTGATAGAAGAGCAGGTGAACTAGGCCGCACCTTAGATAGGAATCCAGATGCAAAACAGAGAATATTGGATGGCCTTTTCACCAAGTGTAAACGCAGCCTTCATCTAACGAACTTTTTGGAGAGCGCAGCCCGCAATGAGAGGGCCGAGGTATAGCCGACCTCACAAGGCGCGGGCTTGGCAGCATGTTGTATGCCAATCATTTCATGCAAGGCTTTCACATATCTGTTCTTCTAATGTTAGTCAAGTCAATAATCATTCGTCCACTGTCTTTCATCGATTTGAATATCGTCTTGTCAGCTCATCGCGCATCCTCCCAGGTTTCTGAGATGACTCCTCAGCGATAAATCTTCTCCCCAGCTTTTATGGCAGCAAGCCAGAAGGCCGCCCGGTTGGGCGAAGAGTAAGCAAATCACAACCAGCAGGGATAATTCTCCTTCTAACAGCAATCAACAGGGTCTGGAAGTGAGCAGCACAGGTGTATCAATTCGTTGCTCTTTCTTACATGTAACAGGACACGGGTTGACAAAGTTAATGCTGAACTGGTCACTCTCACATATGGCACAATTGTGGCTCAGCTCTGCGCCGACTATGGCAATGACTATGCCCAAGTCAACCAGCAGCTTGACAAAATGGGCTACAACATCGGAATGCGTCTCATTGAAGACTTTCTGGCAAAATCCAATACTGGTCGATGTGGTAACTTTCGAGACACGGCAGAGATGATTTCAAAGGTGGGCTGATGATGGCGAGGAACACGTGGTACTAAATCTAATGATGATCCAGGTTGGCTTCAAGATATTCCTTAACATCACCCCAACTGTCACGAACTGGACGGCAGACAATAAACAATTCTCCTTGTTGTTTGACGAGAATCCTCTGGCAGATTTCGTCGAACTTCCCGACGACGGCAGGGCACAAGATGAATTGTGGTTTTCTAACATCTTTTGCGGTGTTCTACGTGGAGCCCTGGAAATGGTATGTGCACACCCATACAGATCAAGATTACATCTGCTAACACCTTCCCATAGGTGCAAATGTCTATCGAGGCCCACTTCGTCAGTGACGTCCTCCGTGGGAACGACGTTACTGAAATACGAGTGACCTTGATACGCTACATCGAGGATGAAATGCCACCGGATGATGAATGAAGCTACCAATCGTCATCAGGTTCTCACGGTGCCACCCTAAAATGGGTATAGGATGCTGGTGCCCAACCTCCAATCCGGTGGCAACGTGTCATAGCCCCCATGGTCATCGACTACCACGTGACCAGGCCCCTTTTCCAGTATACCATCAGGATCACGATACCCCTAACTCTGTTTCAGCAGGATAGCGAGGGGCAGGGGCAATTTTGCTGTGACCATATCTGCAAGATTCAGGGGAGACGGGGGAGTTATCTCTTTGCTCGTGACAATGAGAATCCTAGAATCGTTCCCTGTGTGTAGTCCTGCTGCTGGAAAGGACTTTTTGATTATTTTGGGTGCGGTGATGGAAGGGCGAGGTTCAGAGGTTCTTTGCTTCATGCCAAGCACCCCACCATGGATATTCCCCATTATGGTATAGCGTGCTGCACTCTACGCGGGGCATAATGCATAGGGCTGGGTGAGGGCGGTGCTGTGAGTCGTGCAGACCAGCACCCTCGACCTTGAGATTTCTGGGTTTCTCTCTCAGCCTCCGAACTTTTTTTCGCCCTCTCACCAGCTGCAACTGCGTCCTTACGCCGAGGAGGCTATCCTTTGTTCCAGGCGCGCTGAAGTGCCCCCGTCGCCCCCAAAGTGCGTTGTCTTGGGCGCTTCCCAGCCAAATCAGTGGTCCCCATCTTAAGCCCCAGAAGGCCACCATAGAGCCGTACAGAGTACCTGTAATTCCAGTATTTCCAACAGGCAACCTGTGTCCTTCTGCCTGACCCAAACTCCCGCAGCCGCAACGTTAACCTCACAAGTCACCACCCCGTTACCCATCCGTCACCCCATTATTTCATTTCGCCAGCAGACGTTGTTCTTCTCACTTCTCTTCAATCTCGGCAATTGCCTTCCCTCATAACTGCATCGCTCGTCGCACGCACAAATTACTTCTACACATTCGAATTAGCAGCGAATATCTGCAGATCCAACGACTTGTTGATTTCCCTTTGAGACCCTAGGCCGTCTACATCTCCCAAGATTAGCCGGCTCGCCAGCCCATCCGCTTTTGTGGCGGTCGCGTTTCGTTTCAGAGCAACCTCTTCTGGAGACCTTTTCGACCTTTCTTTGATTACAGCCACACCTGCTTCAACCATTTACCTCTTCGACACTGCACTCTCACTCCTCCTCTTGTCTCGATGCACCAGAAATGAACCTTGTCTGTCACCTCTGAAGTCGCTGTCGGTTTGCGCGACCGACTCTCCGCACGTTCCTGATCCATAATCCATCGGCCGACCCACTCGACGTATCCTCCTACACCCATCGCCTGAGGTTGAAACTCCTCGCCTCTGACCTCTGTTTGGTTCACAGCTAGCACTGATTGCCATACCTTTGCGAGCCTTTGATGGCTATGATGAACATGACACAAATGAATGCCGCAGGAGTGGCTGGAGGTCCGGTCGGTGGTGGAATGGTCATGATGAATAGTGGCAGTCCAGCAATACCGGCCAACAGTGGCGTCGGCAGCGGCAATGGAATGCCAGCAGAGCATATCAAGACCCAGCTGAACACCTACATATACGAATATTTCCTCAAGCTCGGCCATTATGACATCGCCAGAAGCATTCTCAACGACAAGAATGTCACCATTCACACAAGGCCACCGGTCAAGCAAAGTCCCGGTCGTCGCAAGGATGGTGAAGTAAATGGCGTTGATGCAGATGCAATGGACACTGATCTTAAAGACGACGTTCCGGATGACCTACCTCGTCCAGGCCATCTGGGAGAAACAACCATACCAGGCATCGGATTCCTCTTCGAATGGTTCAGCATCTTCTCCGACTTGTTCTCTGCCCACCGAGGTGGCAAGGGTCCAGCTGGGAACATGGGTCCCGCTGCTCAATATTTGATGCAACATCAGGTAACACCACCGCATCCTACGTGACTGCGCTTACTGATTTTCTGGCTAGAACATGCAGCGTATGAGGGAAAGTCAGCAGAACCAAAACCTCAACCGACCTGGAATGATGAATCCAAATCAATTTGCCATGCGTGCTAACATTGCGGCGCGGAACGGAATGATGAATGGAAACATACCTAACGCGAACAAAATGTAGGCTGAACATTTTGTGTCACATTATCACCATATTGACATCTCACAGGACACCTCAGCAGATGCAGCAGTATAGCAAAGCCCATATGCTCCAACAACAGCAACAGATCCAGCGAGAGCAAGGCGAGATGGACATGAACGGCCGTGGTTCGTCACCGGCAGAAGGAGAAAACGGCGGGTCGCCCTCGAAGCGGCCACGACTGGAGGGCCAACAATTCAACGGAGCTATGATGCCAAACGGGCGTCCAGGAATGCCTGGCGGTGTCGCGCCTCAAGGCATGATGATTCAGAATGCTTTCAACCCCAACATGAACAATGCTCAATTCAGACAAAACGGTGCCATGCCTCAGAAGCCCATGCAGGTGAGTCATCACACAGCCTATCTACCACAAGCTGCTGATCATTTCCAGGTTGGAATGGCGAATGGGATGATGAACATGGGCAATGCCGGATCTCCCATGATGCAAGGAATGAATCCCGCCCAATTCGCTGATGGCATGCAGCTGGAAATGTACAACCAGAGAATGGCTGGCCAGCAGATGCAAGGTGCTCCTGGTGGTGGTCAGAGTGGCAATCATGCCTTGCAAGATTATCAGATGCAGTTGATGCTGTTGGAACAGCAGAACAAGAAACGCTTGATGATGGCAAGACAAGAACAGGATAACGCGGTTAACCGAGATGGCCAACCCATGGGTATGCCTGGAGGCATGTCGCCCTCAGGAAGCGGTCGGACTGGTAATTCTCCCAACCCAGTCGATCAAATGAAGCGAACTCCACAGATGGGTGGTCTGCCTGGCTCCCCGTCTGCCGGTGATATGGCAGGACGCTCTCCTGCTGGCATGAACTTCATGAACGGCATGCCCACCGGCGAGTTCAACCCAGCGATGTTCATGAAAGACGGCCAGACAATGGTCGGCCCTGGAGGTCCTAATATGCGACCGCCGACATCCATGGATGTTCAAGCCATGGCCCGTCAAGCACAACAGCAAAATCGCATGAACAATCAATTCCAGGGCGGTCAACCGATGATCCAACAACCATCCCAAGGCCAGCCGCCACCAATGGGCACACCTGGCCAGCGGAATGAGATGCCACCACCCCAAGCACCAGCCGGCAACAATGGACAGCGCAATCAACCAGGATCTCCCCAGAGTGGCAACGCACCACCGACACCATCGACGACGAACAAAGCAGTACCCAAGTCGAAGAAGGCCAAGGATGACAGCAAGAAGCGTACCGCGAAGAAGCCTGCTGCTGCCAATGCAGCTAGCACAGAAAATGAACCTCCTGCAACTCCAACGCCCTCAACGCCCATCACGCCGGTGCATCCAGGACCAGGATTTAACTCGGGCGGTAAGGCTACAGCAGCTGTCACCAATCCCAACCAAGCGCCACCACCAAGTCAGCCCATGCCTCCCAGCCAACCAATGCATCAACCCGACCTCTCACAAAACGCTTTCAACGACTTCGGCGGACCTGACCAAAACTTTAATTTGGATTTCAGCACATTAGAAAATAGCGACGTTTTGGAAAATTTCGACTTTGACAGCTTCCTCAACACAACCAACGATGACACATTCAACTTCGATGGAGGTATTGGTGTTGGGGGTGACTTCGGTCTAGATGGGACGGGAGAATAGGAAGAGCTCCCCCATTAGGACACCCTAAGTTCCTTACTGCTCTGTAACATTTAATAACCTCGGCGTTGAGCTTGGAGAGAGCACGGTACGCATTGGCGGTGGGCGCGTGCATAGTTTCTTTGGACATGTTGATGCTGAATACTTGTTTCTTGTTCACAATACCCGCTGCTCAGACGAAAATGATTTTATTGACATGGACATACCTCGACAGGTCAAATATGGTGGTGCAAAGTGTGGGGAGCGGAGGTGGACATGGGATGGCGCACGATTACCTTTATTATCATTTTCTATTGACCGTTTTGTGTAGTCTTACTTCCCACCATTGAGACCAAAAAGCTGATCAGCTTGAGATCTACCTACCTTCTTTAATGAAATTTAGATCATTCAGATCATCCTCAGATAGTCACATTACTGCGGATTCCCATGACTCAAATTCCCGGGCCGCAACTTCCTTGAGTCCTGAGGCGATCGCCATTTCCCCATGAACAGTCGTTGGAAGAAAGGGGATTTGCAGGTCGAAGCAGGCACCACCCTGCTTCTTCTATCTGTGATGTTCTCATCCCCAGTGAGGAAACAATGCTAACTCATGCATCCATGGATCCTCCATCCTAGGACGCATCGATACCCAGTTCATCTTCGGCGGCAGAATGAGGTATCAGAATTGGGACGTGCTCCTCTTTCCTGCGGATTCCAGGGTTCCAATCCAGGAATTTGATACAAAATGCTTCGCCCTCGATCCAAGTAAGTATGAGTCATCAGGGCTGATCCTCAGGTATTGAAGGTGGTAGGCTCTCGCATTACGACGCTGCAGGGGCAGTCTCACGGGGAACTCGACAACTTCGAATCCATGACACTGGTACCCACGGTCACCTCATTCGTGGCAAGCCTGGAACGCCATACTCCTTTCCGAATCTCTATCCACAGCTGGAAAAAGCCCACGGCCTCCCAAGTACTCCGAAGCTACAAGACACGTGATGAGAGCGTCATGTTCGAAGCACGTATCTATGTTGATGGAACTCTTCAGGCGTACGTCTCAGCCCATATGTGCGAGACACATGAAACTGACGTAGGATGCTAGTCAACATTCTTTCGATGACGATAGTGCATGGCCAGAAGTGATAGAAGAAGAGACACGCACCGGTGAGGGTCGCCCACTCTTGTTTCCTGTCTTTCATAGAGACGTTCTCTACCAGACGCATTGGGAACCAGGAGATGCTATTGGTCGCATTAAAGTCGTTATTGCAGAAGGGGTAGTTCGCGAAGATATCCCTCAACCAGATACTCACATCACATTCGACCGATTGCGTGATGTGGTGTCATTTGCATTCCAGCATGCACCTCAAGGTCTGTCCTTCACTAATCTACCAAGTTATGTTACTGATATGAGGTGCAAGATGTCCTAGAGTATTCCAGCATCGCATGGCCGAATTTGCGAATGTTTGGCAGAGTCACAAAACCTGCGAAGCGACCAGGTCCCATCGTGTCCCGAGTGGCCCCAGCTATTCCTTATCATGACGTTTATTCGCACTCACCCGAGAGATTATCCATCGGTAGTCGAAACATCAAGCACAGATCAACTGACTGTGACGGGTTTCAGAGGTTGTTGAATGCAGAGACCTTCTCTGACTTGCAATCTGATCCTCCAACCAAGGCCATTGAGAACGATTCCACCAAGGCTGCGCCATACCGGCGTCCGGGACTTGTGGACCCTACGGACAATCCAGAGGATCCATTTGTTGGCCCTCGATCGGTCGCAAGTCGAGCATGGCGAGCACAGCTAAGGGCTTCCAGCCATGACGTTTCCATGCCGGACTACGTCTCAAGCGGGAGGGAGCACAGTCGAACGCATACCGAAATGTCTGATGTCAACTATCCGAAAGCAAACTTCCTCAAACACATGGAACAGGCTCATCCACGAGAGATTGTACAGGCTCTCAGCCCAGCTCAGCAAGCGCAGCTTATGAAGGAACTGAAAGCGTTCAGAACCCCAACACAGGGGACACATGCTCCCTCCAATACACCACGGTCTTTATCTGTACTAAAGAAGACAACGCTGGCCGTGGACAAGATTCGCGACAGCATAGGCAGCAGAGTCAGATCAAGTGCAAGCTCATCTCGTCAATTTAATGACACGTATTGCCCTCCAAATGAAGCCACATGCGAGCATAGGACACGAAGCAGTCCTTGCTCCGGCAACAGTGGCCAGCCAGAGATAGCATTGTCCACGGTAGCCGATGGCTGTCGACCAGCACCTTTGGGGACAAGCCGCACAAGATCACACTCGAACACCTCCAAGCGTAAACGGCACTTTAATTCGGCAGAGGACGAAGCGACCAGTGAGGGTTGCAGAGTACAAGTCACGGAGCACTCGTCGCCGTCAAGAACCGTCGGCATTGTCGCAGCGGCTTGCGAGGACCAAGCAGCCGAGGTAGGAGATGGTCTCAATGCTGACTAGAACGGCTACACGGTCCTGGCTTGCGTCAACTCACAGACCCTATTTGGAGTATTGGTAAGACGGGTGGCTGTTTGGGTGGCAGGGCAAGGCTCTAGAAGGAAAAGGGGGAGCCGAGACGGCTGGGACGGGTCGATGGCCGGTTATATCAGTACGGAGTATGAAGTGGTATTTGACCATAACCGAATGACATGGAAGGTATGAGTAAGTCATCAGAAGAGAAAGATATCTTCTAAGGAGGAGCTTGTCGCCAGAATGAATAGGACGTTCAGAGACTGAAGAAGCTCCTCAAAGGATTCGCTATTCAGTGGCTTGTTAGCTCCACTCTGCATCGCTTGTGGTTAGTGAGGCGAATAAGTAGTGTGCATTTGCTATTCTACACCTAAACTATGGGAATGGTATGTATGGACACACTCTGACAAATTGGGGCATTTTTGAAGTACGCTACTCTCGTCCATATCTGCATCACAATACTACTGTACAATATTATATAGGTACCCAGCGGCTCCCGAAATACTGTACCATGGATTACCCGGAAATGTCCAATAAATACCGTCAATGCTCTTGATACGAGCCCTGCTGCCCCACGTCACAAAACCTTGTTCGGTTATACACGGGTTGAAAACCACCTCTTACACTGACTCATTATTCCCATTCTTTCGAAAAGTGCTTTCTTGCCCATACCATATATTCTAGGTACACTTTTCATTGTGCATTACACCCTCGTCTCTAACTAGCACTGCCCTTGGTTTTTTGGAATTGCCCAACCTTAGCTGGTGACGACGGACAAGCGAAAAACATCCTTGCATCGCTGAGCACCCCGCTTCCGTCATTTTTCCAACGTCTCTGGAAGCGTTTCAATCACTTGTTCGCAATAATGGTGATGTGAGTTCCTGTCTACTCGCTACGGGATATTGGAGTCTCTTTTTACTCATCGGCCCTTGTCAGGTTACGGGAGCCCTGGAAGAAATACCGCAAGTTCAAACCTCTCGACCTGCCCAACCGGCAATGGCCCTCCAAGACGAACGACAAGCCACCGCGCTGGCTGGCAACGGACCTACGAGATGGGAACCAGAGCTTGGTTGATCCGATGGTATGTTGAAGCTCCGAGGACAGACTGGTGGTCGACATGCTGACCCGCAGGCAGGACGGCGAACAGAAACTGCGCTTTTTCAAGATGCTCGTGGAACTTGGCTACAAAGAAATCGAAGTTTCCTTTCCTTCGGCCTCTCAAACCGACTACGACTTTACGAGACACCTGGTTAATACCCCCGGCGTGGTTCCCGATGATGTCTGGCTACAAGTTCTGTCTCCGTGCCGAGAAGACTTCATCCGTCGCACGGTTGAGTCGTTAAGAGGCGCAAAGAAGGCTATCCTTCACTTATACCTCGCGACGAGCGAATGCTTTCAGAGGATTGTTTTTGGCATGACGCAGGAAGAGAGTATTGCGCTGGCTGTCAAATGCACCCAGTTCGCCCGCTCCATCACCAAGGACGACCCCAGCCACGCAGGCACCGAGTGGCTTTACGAGTTCAGTCCCGAGACCTTCTCCGACACCTCGCCCGAATTTGCGGTACGGATTTGTGAAGCTGTCAAGGCTGCCTGGGAACCCACCGAAGACGCGAAGCTCATCTTCAACCTCCCGGCGACGGTCGAGATGGCAACGCCTAATGTCTTTGCTGATCAAGTGGAATACTTTTGCACGAACATGACTGAACGTGAAAAGTTCTGTGTGTCAGTGCACCCCCATAATGACCGAGGTTGCGCGGTGGCTGCGGCCGAACTGGCACAGATGGCTGGTGCTGACCGAGTGGAGGGGACTCTGTTTGGAAATGGGGAGAGAACCGGCAATGTCGATCTGGTCACCCTAGCTCTGAATCTCTATACCCAGGGAGTGTGGCCGAATATTGACTTCAGCGACATCAACAAGGTCATTCGAGTATGTGAGGAGTCGACCAAGATCCCAGTCAATGAACGATGGCCATATGGCGGGCAGCTAGTCGTCTGCGCATTTAGTGGATCCCACCAGGATGCCATCAAGAAAGGATTTAATGTACGCAAGAAGGATGGAGTTGGACGGGAAGACCGTTGGGAGGTCCCGTACCTGCCGCTCGATCCTCAGGATATCGGACGCACCTACGAGGCCATCATCCGTGTCAATTCACAATCTGGCAAGGGTGGTGTGGCGTGGGTTATCCAACGAAGCCTGGAACTCGACCTTCCTCGGGGTCTTCAAGTGGCGTTCAGCAGGATCGTGCAGAAAGAAGCCGATGCCAAAGGCCGAGAATTGCTACCTCGAGAGATCCAGGCTCTTTTCGAGGAGTCGTACCATCTCAAGAGCAATCCCAGATTTACGCTGATCGACTACAACATCACGGCGGTAAGAACGGCCTCGCCGGCTCCGACGTCCAAGGCTGCGACGGTTTCACAGGCACAGAACACGTCGACGGCAAAACGGCAATTTGCTGGCGTGATTGCCATCGACGGAATCCAACATCCAATTGTGGGCGTGGGCAATGGAGCCATCTCATCTCTTGCGCAAGCTCTTCATTCTCTGGGTATCGACCTCGATGTGGCTGACTACAAGGAACATGCTATCGGAGAGGGCCGAGAGGTCAAGGCAGCAACGTATATCGAGTGTACGGCGACAAACTCGCACGAAAAGGTGTGGGGTGTTGGGATTCACGAAGATGTTGTCCAGGCATCTTTGATTGCCCTTTTGAGTGCAGCAAGCTCGGTATGGCAACTATCTCAGAAAGGTGTGGAGGTGTAAAGTGACTAACCGTCGGATCCAGTTCTTATCATCGCGAGTCTCGACTCCCAATCCATTCAAGCCGAAGCATCTCAGGCAGTTTTCGGAGGCGGAGCTGGAAGCCCTGGAGCGCTTGAACCTCAACGGGTCAGAGAGCCCTATCAGCCCGTTGAGGACGGTGCAAACACCATCTAAAATGAATATCGAGTCCACACCGCACAGCGCGCCGGCGGCGAAGATCGACATCGGGCTGTTGGAGCAAAAGGCTGAACATATCAACGGACATACATAGGAGTAAGGGGGTTAGCTCGATAGCACCAAAATTGGGCATTCGATATCTAGGATGGATTTGGAGATCGCATTATTGTCACCCTGGAAGGGAATGGAGGGCGAGAACAAGTTGAAAAGTATAGTCGACATTTGATAAAAGCTAAGCTGCAAAAGTTGATCGTTCTCGATCCCATTTGTCTCGGTGCTGTTTCTTGAAGCACATGCTCCGTCATCCTTCCCAAGATTCAACAGTCATGATGGGACTCGGATAAAGGGTCATGTGGACGAGCATGCAGGACTCGTCCATGTCAACAACATGTTGGCATGTGTTCAGACGGTCGCCGACAAGGCGGATGCTAAGTAGTTAGTACAGAGTACTTGCTCGTGGGTCGATCAATCCCCCTCGTCAAGCGAGAATGGTTTGTTTAATTATGAAGGCCCGAGGCCCAGAGAAAGAGGCGTCCAATTGCCAACGGCGCGGCGACGATTGGGATTCCACTTCTCGGGCTGGAGATACCGACCTGCAGATGCATGACGATGGCTTTGCATCCTCACACCTCACGCAGTTTGCTTCGACCTGAGCTTCATCCACCATCCACATCCACTCCCCCAAACCCCAGGAGTCCAGGACTGGATGAGCAACACGACCCCCGTTGTTCGGCTGTGGTGCTCGTGCTCGTGCTCGTGCTCGTGCTAATGCTGTAGCAAAGTCAGCCAGCTACTTACCTGCGACTCGACGAATAGCAGTCAGTGGTGAATTGTTACGGAGACCTCGTGTACCTCCTGCTCCTCCCACTCCCACTCCCACCCCCATTCCTGCTATTGCTATTGCTGTTCCTATTCCCGCCCTTCCTCTTATTCTTCCTCACATCCCAAGCCGCCGGCACCCCGGACTTCTTGTCTCTGACATACATCATTCATGCTACCCTACCACTCCCAGTCAGTCCCTTTGCTCGGTCCCCTACTTGGCCACACACCTCACCACACGCGCTTGCCATCTACTCATTTCCACCGTCCGCACTTCTGGCGTCGAGCATGGAGACTCTAGCGGAATAGCTCCCTCTTTGTAAAGTGAAACGAAACAGTCCTCAAAACCTCCGCCCTTCATCCTCGAGAGTCAACCATTGACGCAACGCCCCGGCCGAGTGTAACCCTCGATCCTCATGGCGGCCGCTGGTCGTCCGTTATCCGCCCGTCGATTCCTCAAGCCCCTCCTCTACTCCGCTGGCGCCCTCGCTGGTGTTGGCGGAACCCTCATATACGTCTCCTACCGCCCCATCAACGTGCCTGGTTCACAAGGGGCCATCGTTCCCACCCCGCGCACCGACGACGGGACCATCATTCCTCCCAAATTCCCCTTGATCAAGTCTCGAGCGGCGCAGATCGCAGATCTGAGAAAGAGCGGGGGCTTGGCTGGAGCATCGTCGGAGACTCCTCTCACACAGCAGCTGATCAACAGTCTAGACCGTTTAAGAGGCGCTACCAGCGATGACCGGGATCGAGACTTGCCCGCCGATCAACAAGCCGGAGAGCCCTATGATCTCTTGGTCATTGGTGGAGGCGCGACCGGCTCAGGCATTGCCCTTGATGCCGCCACTCGCGGGCTGAAGGTCGCTCTGGTCGAACGCGACGACTTCGCCGCCGGTACCAGCAGCAAAAGTACCAAGCTCGTCCACGGTGGTGTGCGGTACTTGGAGAAAGCCGTCTGGGAGCTCGACTACAATCAATATGCTCTGGTCAAAGAAGCCCTGCGGGAGAGGAAGTACTTCCTCGACACTGCGCCTCATCTCTCCATGTGGCTGCCCATCATGATTCCCCTGCAGAAATGGTGGCAGGCCCCTTATTTTTGGGCCGGCACCAAGTTCTATGACTTTCTGGCTGGCAGCGAGGGGATCGAGACAAGTTACTTTCTGACCAAAAGCAAGGCTCTGGACGCCTTTCCCATGCTGAAAAAGGACAACCTGGTTGGTGCTTTAGTCTACTACGATGGGGCACATAACGACAGCAGAATGAACATATCCATCGCTGCAACCGCCGCCTTGTATGGTGCGACTGTGGTAAACCATATGGAGATCACCAGTTTGACCAAGGACGCGAGTGGCAGACTGGATGGTGCTGTGGTGAAGGATGTCATTGCCGAGAAGAACGGCAAGCTGGCTGCACCCATCACTATCCGAGCAAAGGGGGTCATCAATGCCACTGGACCCTTCTGTGATTCCATTCGCAAGATGGATGATCACAACGTCCAAGAGATAGTTGCTCCGAGCTCTGGGGTACATGTGGTCCTTCCCGGCTATTACAGTCCTCAGAAGAACTCTATGGGTCTGATCGATCCCGCAACCTCGGACGGGCGAGTTATCTTCTTCCTTCCATGGCAAGGGAACACCATTGCTGGTACCACCGATGCTCCTTGTGATATTACCCAACAACCAATCGCTGGCGAAGACGAAATAGGCTGGATCTTGAACGAGATCAAAGGTTACCTGTCCCCTGACATAAATGTCCGACGTGGAGATGTCCTGGCTGCTTGGTCTGGCATTCGTCCGCTTGTGAAAGACCCCAAAGCAAAGAACACCGAGTCACTGGTCCGAAATCACTTGGTTACTGTGTCAGAATCAGGCCTTTTGACATGTGCTGGTGGCAAATGGACCACGTATCGTCAAATGGCCGAAGACGCAGTGGATGAAGCCATTAAACAATTCAAATTACAGACCAAGCCCCTCACCTCGCCCACCAGAGTGAGTGGGACCGAAGCGATCGACGACGCTGCACCACTGGACGGACTCTGCCAGACACACCAAGTCCGCTTGGTGGGCGCACACGGATTTTCCAAAACTCTCTTCATCAACCTTGTTCAACACTTTGGCATCGAAACCGAAGTGGCCAAACACCTGGCTGAAGCTTATGGGGATCGGGCATGGACCGTGGCAGCCTTGTCAAGCCCCACCAACGAAAGGTTTCCCGTCCGGGGAAAACGGATATCTGCCTTGTACCCCTTTGTGGATGGGGAGGTCCGGTATGCGGTCCGCCACGAGTTTGCCCAGCGGGCGGTCGATGTTATTGCACGACGGACGCGACTGGCATTTTTGAACGCTCAAGCTGCCTTGGAAGCGTTGCCTACAGTGATCGACCTGATGGCTGAGGAACTCAAATGGGACAACAAGAGGAAAGAAGTCGAATGGAGAGAAAGCGTGGCCTTTTTGGCATCGATGGGTCTTCCCAAGAGCAAACTGGGCGTGTCGAGGAAGGATGTGGAGAGCGGAAAGGTTGGTTTCACCGACGAGTATGAACGAAAGCTTTACTCGAGATACGGTAAGTTCCCTGGCAGAGCAGCTTCTCCCGAAAGCTATCTAGCAGTTTCTTGGCTAATACCCTTCCAGATGGTCCGGCGGACACCCTCGAGAGCGACTCGAAGCTGATGCCCGGTCAGAACCCGGTTCTGGGCCAACAATCCCCCGCGAACAAATAATTCATAAATGCCATGCACCCTCACGTTATGACGTTTTTTGGTTTGGTTTCCAGCGATGCATCTGTTTCTCGCACCGCACTGCGGACTAGCAACGGGAATCAAGGACTCGACCGCCGGTGCATCTGAAGGCAAAGCAAAAGTGGTTCTCAATCGCTTGTATGAATGTGGGTTTTTGGTTGGTGCATTTTGACTTTTGACTTTCTTGGTCCAGAGCTCGCTTTATCATTCGCGAACCAGAAAGTTAGACGACTACTACCCCGTGGGGCCTTCCATCGAAATTTCTATAATACAGTAATACATCAACCCCTGTGAATCGTGGACTACAGGATGTGTGGAGCCGTTGTCCGCTGCCCGCTGCCCGCTGCTCGCCTTGTGCCTGATCTGTTGTGTGAGGACCTTTTCGTCAAGTTTCTCGATGAGGACCTCCAGACTCCATATATAATGCCTCATCTCCTAGGTCCTTCCCACCTGTACATTCTTTACTACCCTACTCATCACTTTACTTACTTGCTTGACTTCCATCCACTTTAACGATTGCGGTTAGCCAGAATGGACACGGAACAGTCAAACCAGAGGGCCGCCGACGTCGAGAAGGCGGCTGCCTCCTCTCAACTAACACAGCTAGCTACGGACAAAGCGCCCACAACCGGCGGCCATGATGTTGACCCGATGGCCAACCGAGTCGAGGACGGGGTCGAATACCAGTCGATGACCTGGTGGCAGGCGGGAATGGTGATGGTGGCCGAGACCATTTCGCTGGGGATCTTGTCGCTGCCACAGGCCATGTCGACGGTCGGGGCCGTGCCAGGGCTCATCCTCCTCCTGTTTTTCGGTGCATTCGCGTCGTATTCTGGGTTGGTCATCGGTCAGTTCAAGCTTCAACATCCCCACGTCCACTCAATGGGGTGCGCCGGTCAAGTCCTATTCGGGAAATGGGGTGGCATCGTCATCGGATGCGCCCAGTTCCTGTTCTACATCTTCGTCATGGGCAGCCACATCCTCACCTTCGCCATCTGCATGAACACCATCACCGGGCACGGCGCCTGCACGATCGTCTGGATGATGCTCGGCACCGCCCTGAGCCTGGTGTGCACGCTGCCACGCACCCTGAAGCATCTCTCGTACTTCTCCATGGCTAGCTTCGTCAGCATCATCGGCGCCGTCATGGTCACGATGGTCGCAGTCGGCATCAGCAAACCGGCAATGCAAGCGGCCAAACTGTCCGGTGGTGGTGGTGATGGTGCTCTCTCCTTCCGCCTCTGGCCCAGCGACGACGTGACTTTCGTCCAAGGGTTCCTGGCCGTCTCTAACATCGTGTTCGCGTACGCGGGTCACCCGGCGTTCTTCACGTTCATTTCAGAACTGAAGAACCCCCGTGACTTTCCCAAGGCGCTGGCATTCCTCCAGATCAGCGACATCTCCATGTACGTGATCGCGGCCATCGTCATCTACTACTTCGCAGGAGACTCGGTGGCGAGTCCGGCGCTGAACAGCGCGAAGCCCGTGGTGGCCAAGGTCGCGTGGGGCGTGGCCATCCCCACGATCATCGTGGCCGGCGTCGTCAACGGCCACGTCGGCGTCAAGTACCTCTACGTCCGCTGCCTGCGAGACCGCGACGACGACCTCATGCACCAGAAGACATGGAGGTCACGGGCCATCTGGATCGGCATGGCCACGCTCTCGTGGCTCGCCGCGTGGTTCATCGCCGAGGTCGTCCCCGTCTTCAACGACATGCTGGGCATCACGAGCGCCCTGTTCGCCAGCTGGTTCACCTTCGGCCTCAGCGGCATATTCTGGTTCTCGATGAATTTCGAGAGGCGCGAGATTTGGTACCACGTCCGATCCAGAGGGTCGTGGTCGTGGAAGAAGACGATCCTCCTTCTCGTCAATTTGGTTCTCATCGCCATGGCCTGTATACTCTGTGTGGTTGGCTTGTACGCCAGTATCAGCAGCATCAAGGAACATGGTGCCACCAAGAAGCCATTTAGCTGTTCTGCTTGATTGGTATGGGCGGTACTCTAGTTGATATTGCTAAGTGTTCATACTCAGGCGTAAGAGGGAGTATCCATGTTCATGACAGAACTATTCCTACCAGTGGCAACGAGATGCAACTCTTGTACAGCTAACCATGATATTCTGCAATCGCGGCGGTAGCACATGTGACATGAAAATTAGCGGCTCCTACATAGTACAGTAATCAATGTGATCATCCAGGTTCTTTCCTGCTGGGAGTCTGAGTCAGTTCCAAGATCTGGCGTTGCTGAGCTACGTTAGTTGACCAGTGAGTTAGTTAGATAATAAAGACGAAACAAGCAACTTACATAGGCCCTCCCAGGCCGAGTCTTCTCGGCCTCTGAGCGCTTTTGCTTCCACAACTAATATGAACGTCCACACCAGCTTACCTCGACGAGTTATATGTCGTCGGTTGATTAGTGTAGTGATGTGCCTCAGAAGTCTAGTGGCGAGGAGGATATCATCCATCAAATTCATCAGTAGTAGTCACTAATTTAACTAAAATGCCGCAGCATCCAAAGTACAATGTGTAGAACCTAACTACGAGTAGGTAGTCGGTGCTCCTGACTCAGCAGCAGAGATAGTACCGAGCGGACGAAACTCGACTTGCATTTCGTTTGATTGGCTTGAGAATTCCAATGACGAGCGTCCACGTTTTCAGAAGACTGGCGGTTCTGCCCTATATTCCTTGATTGATGGCGGAGTTCTCTCGGTGATGAATGGAATGGAGATGAAGACGCTGGAGTGAGCCCCCCCCCCTAAAGAACGAAGTGCGGTTGCACTATTCACACCGGGTTGATGTTTGAGCGTTAAAATAACTCGCGATCTTCCTCCGACTGAGATAGCCGGTACAATAAGCAAGTGGCTCCTTGTTACCCTGCTCGTTGATCGGGGCTCGGGAGTTAGTTGAGGGCGCATGTCTGTCCTGTGTACGACTACAGTACGTATTAGTAAAGCCATGGAGCAGCTGTGCCCACTTTTGGCATGGTCACTTGTTCTTTCTCGTGTTTCGGGCCTCCGTTCAGCTTGCGCAAACTTGAGTGATAGGCGGGCTGTTATCGGCAACGGTAGGGAGCCTTTTTTTGGGATCATGCGAAGCACCCGTTTGCTACGTCGAGTCCGTAATAACCCTGAGATGCTACATAAGCGTTGGACTGCCGCCTTGTCACCTTCGAAGATGATCGTTGAATTCCCTCGCCTTCCTCGTACACCGTGAAATACCTCGAGCGACCCCGTGACCGGCAGTAGAAGTCGTCTGCGCCATGCAAATATCATTGGCCTCGCTCTCATGACTCAGCACTTTGATGCTGACGGATACCTCCAGTCAGATCGCTTATCCTCCACGGGGTCATTCAGCGGTACTTTCGCCACCGGGGTAAGAAGGAGTAAGAAGGAGCCTGACGAACCTCTGCTGGCCGAAAACAAAAAGGGAACCAGTTATCAATTGTTCACTCACCCAGTCTTTATAACTCGAGTCCTTAACGCATCAAATCGGATCTGAACAGTAATGGCTGAATACCAAAATATTGCGGTCTGGGATTTCGCCTATCCCAAAGGCCAGTGTGGCTTGCAAAATGGGAAAACATCATTCAACAACTTCACCACGCCAGAAATCGATCCACGCACACCACACCGTAAACCTCGCAGCACGTCGGCAAAGTCGTTAGCAAGCATTATCGTGGACAACTTGTATTCAGCATCGTCGCCAACAGAAGGGACCGGTCGCGAGAAATCAAGCAGCAAGTCCAAGGCCAAAGCCAAAAGCAAAAGCCACCCTCTGGATCGGGAGGAAACATCACAGCTCCAAAAAACTTACCTCCTTTCGATCCCGAACTCGGGGCGCGTCTACTGTGGGCAGATGAAAAACACCATCTCGACGCTTCTGCTTACACCCAAGACCCAGCTGGTTCTGCTCGTGCCAGAATCGCATATCGTCTGTGAGCGGATGTGTGCATTGCAACGCCTGCCCAAGGCTCGTGGCAGCGGGCTCCGAATCCTGCCTGTCCCGTCCGAGATTGTCATGGAATGCAGCAAGAAAGAAGCAGCGATCGGTGAAGAATACGCCACGGGTCTTGAAAGTCGCCTGGAAATGCTTGCCGTGGAGGAAATCGCGGCCAAAGTTGTCAAGTGCACTAAAGCGAGGCGCTTTGATGGGTATCTGGCTTTCGAGGATGAGCGTTCCAGTTGGCTGTTTTTAGAGAGGGTTGGCAAGACTGTTGCTGATCTCCCTGGGAAAGTGTGATCGTCACGGTCCATTCTTTGAACGATTGGGGCAACCAGAAAATTTCCATGTCGCCCCGCGCAAGTCTTTGCACTGGGCAGCAATGCATCAGAGTCCGCTCAAGGGAACGCGAAATGTGTGAAGATGACCCTTCCCAAAATTTGCTTTATGAATGGGACAATACTCCTAATCGCCATTGAGAAGAAAATGCAGAAAGAGGTCAGACACTAGTGTCAAGGCTGGCATCCCACAGGACCAAATGATCTCATCAGCAACGATATACTCCGGTTGCCAATCTCACTTCATTAGAGAGAGACACAAACGCAACTCAGCAGACGATGTCAAAAATGGTAGAAATTGGGGGTGGGTGGAGGAAGACCAAATAAGAAAGGAACGGCGGTGGTCCTCCCTCCCAAACACCTAAATGCAAGACCACACCTGATCAAAGTCACGGGGACATCACGATCAGATCCCAAGGCTGACTCTTGAACGCCGCAATATAAAGTCCAAAAAGGCATATGAGGCGTTTCAACGCCAAGGCCTTGCACGAGGACCAAGCGGAACCTTTGTAAAGGTAAACTAAGCCACTGTTCCGAGGTGGACTTGAACTATAGTCTAGTCTCTCCTCAGACGCGAGATTTTTTCACTTGCACCGGTGGTCTGGTGAAGTTTTTAAATCTAAAGGTCGGCACTGTGACATGTCTTTCAAAATGGGTTTGATGGCAGGAGGAGCCTTGTGGAAGAGTCGATGAGGCTGAGTCTTGACGGGGTAATTCCGTCAAGGAAAAATTGGTGGTGGCTGTCGCGACTCACGAATCACGACAACTAGCGGGGCCCTTGGTACCATGGAAATTACAAGGAAGAATAGATCTTGAAGCAGAGAGATTGTGGGAGTGGCTGAGATTAGATTACTTCCAGATGGAATATCCTTTCTATTTCTGATACATCCGTATCCACCCGTGGGCCCTTCACGAACCTTGTTCAGAGAAGACCTGGCCTCTATCAACGCGATGTCGTAATTACGACATCGCAAACCTTCTATAGCCGTCTCTCTTACACTCCTCGAGGGTCTTGATATACATGGGAATACCACCGGCATAATTCAACGGTTCGCGTGGCTTTCCAGGGATATTGGCGCCATTGTACCACGAATCCGTATGGCCCCTGACGCCCTTGAGACTGAGTTCCTTGACCAAGGCACGCCAGTCGTTCTCGGCGTCGAGGTCGGCATCCGCGCGGGTGTGGCCATTGTCACGCATTGCGGTGAACAGGTCGACGAGCCAGTCGCCCTGCAACTCGACGCAGGAAGGCCCGTTGCTGAACGCGGTGGGCGCGTGCGGCCCATACGTGAACCAGAAATTCGGAAACCCAGACGTCGTGAGGCCCAGATACGCCCACGTGCCCGTCTTCCACTTCTCCGTCAGCAGGGCGCCGCCCAGCCCGCGGATCGCAATGTCTTTGATGCCGCCGGTGATGGAGTCGAACCCGGTCGCGAGCGCGATCACGTCGAGCGCGTGGAACGTCCCGTCGGCCTGCCGGATTCCGTCCGCTTCGAACCGCTCGATCGGGTTGCTCTTCATGTCCACCACGTGCACGTTGGCCTTGTTGAAGTGGTCGTAGAAGTCCTGCTCCAGGGACAGTCGTTTCGCCCCGAATGGATGCGGTGGATCCCATGGCGCCAGGAGTTCTGCCTTGGCAGGGTCCTGCACTCGTTCTCGAACCTTGTCGCGCCAGAAATTGTACGCTTCGCGGTTCGCCTGCAGTTCTCGCGTCATGTCGTAGTAGTTGTTCATGAGAAAGCGAAATCCGCCCTTTGGGATCATTGATGCTTCGTCAGTTGAGGCGAAGCGCAGGTTAATTCCCACAAGGTGTAGTAAAAAGCAGGGAGGAAAGGTGTAAGTGAGGGCGAAAGGGGAAAAGACTCACCATCTTCCACAACATTTCAAACATCTCCCGCCGCTCCTCAGGCGTCGCGTCGAACATCATTTCTGCCCGGAACTGATACAGAAATCCATTGTAATTCACCCATCTCTGGTTGAACAGCTCGGGGTAGTTCTTCTTGTCGTTTGCCTGTTCTTCCGGCGTGAGAAAGACCTGTCTCATAGGACACGCGAGATTGGGGGTCCGCTGGAACATTTTCAAGTCGCCCTCGTTGCCGATTTCTTTGGCCCACTCCTGCGTGATCTGCACTCCGGTCGCTCCCGTGCCGATGACTGCACACCTCTTACCCTTGACGTCGACGCCTTCATGGGGCCAGAACGAGCTGTGATGGATCACCCCCTTGAACGAGTCGAGACCTTCCCAGTCCCCGAAATACCGCTTAGCGGCGAACCCGAGTGAGGCGATGAAATGCGTAGCTCGAAACTTCCTGCCCGTGTCACAGGCCAGAAGCCATTGGTTTCGGCTTTCGTCAAAGTCGGCGGAGAGGACCTTGGAGTTGAAAACCGTATCCTTCTTGATCTGCAATTTCTTGTCGACGTGAGCGAAGTACTGTCTCAGCTCGACGTGGTCTGGATAGTGGGAGCTCCAGTTCCAGTCCTCGTACACTTCGGGCAATGAGAGTGCATATATCGGATATTGGCTGTCGACTCGTGCACCGGGATACGTGTTCCAGTACCAGATGCCCCCGAGATCTGACGCGGCATCCACGATCTTGACTTTGAATCCGCGCTGTCGGAGTTTGTAGAGAAGATAGCAGCCTGCAAACCCGGCTCCTACCACCACTATGTCAAGCACCTCTTCGTTCGAGTCGTCGCTATGGCAGCCGTTTGATCCGTGTACTGTGTCATTAGTGATGTCGTTGCTAGATGCCCCCTTGGCACCGGCGTGGGAGTCGGCGATGTCCCGCTGCATTACGGGCACTATTGTTTTGCGATTCGCCCAATGCCTTCCCCCTGGTTACGGTTGGAAAGTTGAACCAATGGTCAAGTATCAGTCAATGGAAATCGGGAATGTAAGAGAGCTTACCAGGCTCATCACAGACGATCCCATCTTCCTCCATCAGCATGATCACACCAATCCTTCATCCATTTATGCTTCCTGCCTTGAAGTGAGTGAGCATCTCCGCGTGCCGATTCTCCGAGCAGCGCGCCTCTGGTTCGCCAGCTCGCCTTGGAGAGACGCGTGATGTTATGCTCCCATCTAGTTTACCCTTTATGTCTGTGGGGTAAACGATGGAGATAACCCCTCTACAACCGAGGCATGTCCCGCATGGGTCATCTTGGAGAGACAGAGTCAATGAATGAGAACAGAATTCGCGTTGACAGATGGGGAAACCATTTCTATGATGGTTGCCAGTGGTTCACGGCGGGTCACATGTCTTCCCTCGCACAGTGCGCGATAAGCACCGTATTTGGGTAAGGAAACACAGCTCGCGGGTTTGGGACTTAAAAAGAATAGATTGATGGATGCAGAAGGAAGTTTTCGTGCGACTTCAGATGTAGAAAGGGTGTTGATGGTTTGCGATCCCTTCAGCGTGATATTTGGAATATGCATACAAGCTGGAGGCATGTCGTGAGCCCATTACAAAATGTACGAGCGCGAAACAGCATCTTCTTGGCAGAGGTGGTTCAATGTTTACTGCAATCATCGGGTGAAATTTAGCCCCAAGGATGCGTGCGATGCCGATAATAATAATAAAACTGATGACCGTCAGTGAATGACTGAGTCCACTCTCATCGCTCCATCGCTGTCCATAAAAAAAATTCGTCCCTTAGAAAGGCCCATAAGCAAAACTTTGAAATGTATTATTCTTTAGCTGTATCTTTCGACGCCCTGAGACTTTGAAATGCTAGATCGTCGCATGTAGCCGGCCATTCCAGTGCTAGTTTGTCCCTGAGCAGCAGCGTCTGAACCTGCCATCTCGTGGATCTGTGGCTGGAGGGGAGCCCCGTATGGTAATGAAGACCTAGTAATTTGTTAGGATAGAGCAAATGAAAACATCAGTGTCATAAAGGACTTACATGCTGGGTGGAACACCATTCGGATAAGCTGGTGTCGAATACAGTGGGCTCGGTGATGTGCTGTGGAGTGTAGCAATATCACTGCCCGGACCCGGTTTTAGAGAGTCGCTCATGGGGTAATTGTGATGGAGGGAAGGCGACATGGTAGGATCGTAAGATGGGGCGTAACCTGGTAGAGCAGGGCTAAGAGGCATCACACTGCTGTGCATCGACATATGTTTTGTAGGATCCATATACTGGCTCATTGGGTGGCCATGTGGATTGTATGCCATAGAGTGTACGGTTGCATGACCGGTGCCCGGTCTCTCTTCATGTTGATTGACTGGGGTCCGGCGGCGGGATTGACGACCACAAATATACAGAAGAACCGCTGCTGCAAGCGCGACAGCTGCCGCACCAATAGCGATCCCGGCAATCGCCCCGGTGGAGAGGGCAGAATGAGGTGATGAGGATGCTGCGGCGGCATCTGCGGTGCCTGAAGCACCGCTTACAGTTGAGGTGGCGGTTCCTGAAGGTGCGCTCGTTGTCGTGAAAGGATCCTCAGCCTCATCCGGCCACGGTTGGCCGGGAGTAAGCATGAAGGTCGAGTCCTTGGCCAGCTGTTTCTGGTACTGTAAGGAAGTCGTAGCATTGGGGTTGATCACTCCAACCATTTGCCAGTTGATACATGATCCAGGAGCACCACAGTAGAAAAACATTGGGTTGGTGTCGTTGACCGTGACATAAAACGCCGGTGGGTCGTCGAGGACGGCATCAACCGGCTTGAATCCAGAATAAAAGCCAATCTTGTCGACACCAGTGTATTCATACGGAATACATGGGAAACCATACTCTGCGCGAACAACGGAATGGTTGGTCGGATAGAATTCAAATTTGATGGTATCGCCGATCCGCGCCTGCGTAACGTCAGGTTCGAATGTGTGGCCTCCCTGTGTTTCATTAGCGCGATTCTTAAGCCTCTTCAATACCTCTTCGCACCTTTGCAACCCCAATAGTATGTGTGATTGGTGCACTGGACGTCGATGAAGCATCGGTACTGCTTGGAGCAGCACCGCTTTCAGTGCTTGTCACGGATGCGGAGGTAACAGCGCTCGAAACATCAGTGCTTTCTTGACTGACTACCAAGGTCGAGATGCCTATCAGGCATGCCAAAGACCACCTCATGCTGGCGAATTAATTCTTAAGAGACTCGATTGAAGCGAATGACAGTAGGAAAATATTAAAGAATTGTAAATAGAACGAGTGACTGGTGGTCCAGATGTGTGAACAACGGCGACACAACGAACAGAAGTGGAAGGAAAAACGGAGGGGACACAGATCAGAAAGAGATGGAAACAGCATACGATTTCCAAAGCGACCTAGCCCAAGCGTTCGATAACTCGAGGCCATTGATGTGTGAAGAGTCAAGACGCAGGAAGGCGGTGCTGGGCTGAAATCCACGTAGCCAGGGGATCCCGAGCGGAGCACCCGTCTACAAGGCTACTCGGGCCAGACTTCCTGGGTTTGACCAGGGCTCCAATTCCAGATTTGGTAGCATTAGCAGAGTAGGGGCATCAGCGCTAGGTTGCAACGGATTTGGCGACATGCCAGAATTGCTTGGCCTTCAGGTCCCTGAACCCAGGTGCTTTGACGATGAAAGGCCCTTCATGAATGCTGTGTGAGCAATCAAACATCGCGAAGCATGGCCTGGAAAGATGCATATACCCTTGAGGCGGACACACGCTCCCAGCCGTATTGGGGTAACGATTCGCATCGTTGATGACCACGTCTCGGGATCAGAAAGAGTCCAATACGAAGCGGTGGTGTTTTGAGGGTGGCTGTACGAGTAGTCGGCAGTGAAAATTCCTACAGAGCAGGACAAGGGTAGGCGGTCAAGCTGCCTCGGAGAGGCCAGCCAAGATCACGGACAAAGAAGCAGAGAAGCAAATACGAGAAGCTGGATCAAAACTCGTGGAGGTGAAGTCGCAACTCGCCTAAGCTTGGGGTCGGAAGAAAGCGCGCTACTAGGCGCCAAGAGACCATATGATGCTTATTACTCAGTACAGCCAATTAACACGCAGGAATTCGTTGATAGGCTGGGGCTAGCTAGGCTTGGAAATTAAAAACATATGCAGGAACAGATTGCCTCAACGAACGCCCTCGTCCACAAACACGGGCTCCGGCGGGCAACATGGCTGGCGCAGGACAGCTGACCAGCTTTGCCGTCAGCTTTCAGGAGGAGATGGGGTCAAAAGTATTCCGTACGGAGAAGAGATTGTACGAGTAGCTGAGATCCTTTATCTAGCTTAGTACGGAGTACTTCGTATGTCAGAGGATCCACGATGTTCCTCCCCTCTTTACGACTCGGAGGTCTGTGAATCGCATGGAGTACTAGGTCCCCTCTCTCTGTGGACAAAATCAGGGTTCTCTATCCAGCACTCGTGTTTTACCGTTCACAGCAATGGCTAAGCATTGAGCGTCAAACTCTTGCATTTGGAGAGCTAGCAAACGACTTGAAGGCCTGGTAAAGGATGTCTTTGGGCCTCTAGAATCGAACAGGTCACACCTGACGTTCTTCGCTGGAAGCCGGCGTCGTGCACTCCGTACAACACGGGTCTATTACTCGTAAGTTCAAGGCAGCACGAGGTCTTGGAAAGAGGATCGAGTGATAAATACTCCAAGCGTCAGGTACTTCGTGGTCACGAATTTAGAAATTGATGACACATCCAAAAGCCTTGTCTACCTTGGGAAAGGTGCGAACTCTAGAGGTGTCTCGGCCTGGGGGCCTCCAAGACAAGCTGGCCTTGAGTTCAGCGCACGCCGCTCAACTTTATCGAGATTGTACATCACGGAGGACTCCTAATTACTGTACCATGTGGCTATTCGTACAGACGAAATGATACATTGATAACATTTGCAGAGAAACAATCACCGGGGAAGGGGCGAAAAAGGAGTCGATCTATCATGCCAGCTCGCCCAAAATGCTCCCCGGCGTGCCACTACTCCCAAGCAGAGGAGCACCCCTAGACTTTCGCAGTTCATTACTTCGCCGAACGACATCACGATCAAATATCCACCACCAAGAGTTGAAAACCTTCTCTCCAACTTCCCAATTATTCGCCGAGTATGGATCGCTGCCTGATATCCGGACACCTTCTGAACTGTCCTCGATGTCATACACGAAATCTAGCAACGCGGTAGGTGACGCAGCTTGTGGCGGTCGTGCCTCGGGAGGCTGTGCCAGGATCATAATCATCCTGTCTCGCACTGCCGGCCAAGGTAGAATGTCCAGAATGGGATGATGTGGTACCGTCAACTGGACCATGCTGGGTTGCAGATTGGTGGGTAAGTGTTTGTATTGTGCGAACGCCATCGAGGGGTCTGTGAATGGCGACGATGCCGTCAGTGACCACATGATTTCGTGAACGTCTATCCGTCTGGCGACCATCATACAGCCTCGAAGCAGCGTCAGCTCAAGTACTTCGAGGGTTGCCTCGTCCGGGAAGCAATACTGTAGACCGTCTGCTTGTGGTCTGGGAGATAATTGCTTCCCCGTTTTATCGACCGTTGCATTGTCGGCCTCATCTGCTATTGGAACGGGCGTTAGAGACCAACTCGCACTTCCATTCGAGGACGAAGCAGTGGTAGAGGACTGAGGGCTATTTGATATCGACGGCATTCCCAGGGACATATCCCAGAAGGACTGGCTGTTGACGGGAAAAGCCAGGGAATTGATATCGTACATGGCAAAAGGGTCGTCTTGAAACAGATCCGACTGACCTACAGATCCTTGGTTTAGAAATTCTTTCTGGAATTGCCCGGGTGAGGCTGCAGAGAAACAAGCAGTCGGATCGAATGAGCTTTCATCGAAATCCTCACTCACAATGGCGGGCACATCAGTTGTCATCGTCGGTTCATACTGCGATGTCCCGCCATGAGTTGGACTCGATGAGAGTGGTGACGCCGATGTTTTGCCAGGAGGCAAGTCTGTGGACTGGGATGACTTCTGCTGATCACGTCCCTCAGTCCTGTCCGAAGGTTGGACCTGAGCCTCGAGCTTCTGCACGTGCTCCTTTTTGCGTTGACGATACCTCCTCTGAGCTAGCACGTTGAGCACTCTTTTCCTTTCCGAGGCATCCTCCCCACGGCTCGGAAGCTCAATCTGTTCGGCCTTTCTTTTTGGCTGACTTTTGTTTGTAGTCATTCTTGCTCTTCCAGAGACTGGACAAATTCGACGAGACACTCACTCAAAAGCTAATAGAGGAACGCTCAACGCAGCCCTCACCAGGACTGCAATTATGTATATTGTAGTGTGGGTAGTGAGCTCCGCAGACAACCAAGAGGCGAAACAGAACGGTGAAATGGCCAGCGACTTGCTCAATCGGACTCGTTCTCCAGAATATTATGTACTTTCAATTCAATCGTAGTTACATCTCCTTCCCAAACTCACCATAAAAACCAGTGACAACATCCATTTGGCATCCAACAGGCAACGGGCGGAAACAAGAAAACATAACGTTATGTTCAGTGCCCAGAACAGAAGGTTCAAGCCGACTTGGCGGGGGGTGGGGGGGGCGACCTCCGAATTCCAATGAATCGTCACTTTCCGAATACGATGGCGAAGATATCTTCCAACACCTGGTCGGCATGCGTGAGGTACAACCCATGCGCCGCGTTCTTGTAGATCTTGACCTGGGCCTGGGTTGCGAGGGTTGGGATGATGCATGCGCTGCTTTCAGCGGGCATGCCTGCATGATAATGGTCAGTTATCCAAAGGCTCCAGCGTGTGAGGTACAACGGCAGGTCATGTCCTCATAGACGGGGCATCCTTCGAGAACGAAATGGAAAAGAAAGGTAAACTCACTCTGATCATTATCCCCATGGACGACCAAGATCTTGACATCCAGCCCATCCAACCTCCTAACCACCTCGGTGAGGTCCGTACCGGTGATAATCTGAACACACCTCTCGAGCGCAAGGGCATCAGCCCTCTCCACCATGCTCTCAAAACGCTTCTTGACCGTAGGCTGCAGCTCGATGCCGATATTGAAAGTCTCACCAAAGACACCCGGGATCGCCGCGCGCGTGAACCCGACGCGATCATCGCGGAATCCCTGGAGGATGGCGTCCCAGAGCTCACGCGGCGGCGCGGTCGGGTTCGCGTCCGTCTTCAGGGGAAGCGGCAGGCTGGCTCCCAGCCAGATGAAGCCGCGGCATCGCCGCTGCAACGCCGGCGAGCTGCCGAGGAGATGGTACGCCAGCGCCGTCTCGCCGCAGCCCATGCTCGCCGCGACGAAGTAGAACGATCCATGGTTATCACTGCTCGCCTGGAATACAGTCGAGAGAAAATCCACCGTGTCCTGCGCGAAGGTGTCGTACGTGATGGGACCGGTGTTTCCACCGGCACCGCTCCACTCGCTGTCGCCGAAGCCACGCCGATCGCTCGCGACGCAGCGCACGCCATGCGTCTCGCTCAGCCGCAGCAGCAGATGCTCGTACATGCGATGCGACATGGGCCAGCCATGGATGAACACAAGCGTCACCTGGTCGTCCGCGCTGAAGTCTTTCGTTGAGTCGCTTGTCGCCGCGAACCGCGCCGGTGCGTTGGGGCCGGTGCGTGCTGGACGATATTCGACGTAGTGGAGGCGTGCGCCGTCGGTGCTGGAGGTGAAATACGGCATCTTTTCTTTTCCGCTTGGTATCTTCGGTCTCGCTCGGATCTCTGGGCAAGTTAGCACTGGACTAGACGATTTCTTTTGGTTGCTTACTAGAGTCGACGTGCTGATAATTTGGCTCTATTCTTCTTCGTGTTTGAAATACAATAAAATTGTGATTGGGGTCTTTTGGGTCTTCGTGTCCAAAGGAATGGGTAGGGATTTGGCTTTCTTTTTAATGCATCAACGGGCCAGTGTATGTAACCTTTAATAAACGTCATCTTCGTGCTCCTTCACGGTGAGCATAACGTTAGAAGACCATAACGAGGACTGCAGCATAGACTATACGACCGTGAAACAATGGGGAACATTATGTAAGGCAATGCCCCTCAGTCTCATCAAAGTGTAGTCTTGGTGAGCGATTACTATGTGGAAATATGGTGGTTCGTTAAAGTACTATGTTATTCTAAACACATGGCGGAGAGCTGATGTTGTATCGTCAAGACGCATTTCGATCCCCTCTTGAAGAGTCATCACCTTGCTTACTAACTGTACCCTGTCTGGTCGGTGTGGGTGTCGGGCTTCCATCTCGGTTCAATCCGCGGATGGTAGAGCCCACACTCCCCATGGGCCTGACTCGACTGCCTATGAACCCTTTTCGGTTGCGACCTGTACGACCTCTCCCTAGCCAGTTCAACTTCAGCTGCCTGCTGAGTTCTTCCATCTTGGCTTGAGCATCATCTCCAGACTGGACAGAACATAGAACTGACAAGCATTGCAGCATCCGACCCACAGTCTCAGTCACTTGTGCGGATGAGCTATCAGAGGGTCTGGCCGCCGGTGGTGAGCTGAAAGATTGGAAGGCAACATCCTGAGCAGGGTTACTGGATATCGAAAGGTTGGATGTCGCTCGGGACCTTCCTCCAGAAGCTGCACTTCCTAGTAAAGTGCTGGACTGGGAGTTGTAACTGGCATACATTGGTTCGAGGCCAGTTGCAGTGCCTGGCCTGTCACTAGCTCCACTGTTACCCCGGTTTCTATTACCAGTCTCAAAAGAAGACAATGTGATGTTAATGCTCTCTAGGCTCAGTCGTGAGAATGTTGCCTTCAGAAGCTCGAAACGAGGTAATATGATCACATCACGATAAGCGATCAACATGATGCGTCGGACCTCAAGCTCTTCTCCTGCTGCGACGACAAAGTCAATACCATCACCAGTAGCGGGAGAAGATGATAGTTGACTTCCACTGTCTGCGCTGGGAAGTGCTCCCCAGAATTCAGCGGCCAATTTTGGACTTGTTAAGATACTGCCCCTTCCTTTGAATTCCTGGTCGAGAGGAAGAAAAACCGCCTGCATAAAAGGCAGCACGGTGCCGAAAACCTGCATCCACATGCTGACCAGATGTGGGACAAGTCTATCGTCGGATATAAGGCGCAGAGTGTGGTTGAGGCTGAGGAAGCCAGTTTTCAGGAGGTCCTCCAAGTCCCCTATAATTATGCTTGGGTCTCGTTTCTGTACGCATCTCTGGACGTGGATTGTGACCAACTTATTGAGATTCTCCACAGCAATCCGTACACCTTCACCCTCAAAAGCGACGAGGATCTTGGCTCGAAGTAGATCCCATGCATCGTCAGCTGACATGTTATTCAGACCGAAGTTGGCAGAAGCATCTTTGACCTCAGCGTAAGGATTGAAGTTGGTAGAGGATTGGTTTGTAAAACTGGCGCCCAAGGAGGGCCACTCGGAAATGTCGGTCTCTCCACGACTGTAGACAGGTTCGAGGCCAGCGAGGGCCTGTGCTTTCTCCTTTTCCTCCTTCTTCTTTTCCCGCAACGCACGTCCTCCGTGGCGGAGATCCAAGCCAGAGACTGATTTGGCGAAGGAGGAGGAAGGGTTAGGAGACGAGGGGGCAAATGAATAGAGAGACTGAGGATTATTTATATCCACAGGTCGTGAGTTGGAATTGGCCGACGATAGTGGTAGGGCGAAAGAGTCGTCTTTGTCTTTCAACTTGAGTTTCTGACGTAGTCCATGATGCTTATGGGGTTTGTCCTTTGCCTCGGGAATGGGAACTATAGTGGAAGAGGAGGGATTTGCGAGTTGGTACAGAGAAGAGTTGTTGGAAGATAATGATTCGGTCAGGCTGGTGGTAGATGCATTCAGGACCTTGGATAGACCGCTGGGTGCCAATCTGCTTGGCGAGGGTAAGGGCTTGTCCTTGACCTCCTTGTCCTTGTCTCGGGACAATACCATGTGCTTGGGTCTAAAGCGTTTCAGTCCCTTTTTGGACTTCTCTTCTTCCACCAGAGAAACTTGGCTAGTAGAGGTGGCAACCTGGCGGGGAAAGACAACGCTGGCTGCAGTGGCTGCGGCATTAGTGCCAATAAGACCATTTCGGTACTGCTGGTCGGGAGCAGGATTGGAAGGGGCCAGTCCTTCATGGGAACCGGTAGAACCCCGACTACTGCGACGACTCTCCTGTTGGGTCTGTTCCTGAGGGAAAGGGACAGTTTGTGAGCGCTTTCGATTGTGGTTGGTTGCATTTAGATGTTGCATTGCAGCCTGTGCAGCGATCTGGGAAGGGGTGAGGCCAGACATGGCGGCATGGTCGTGGAGGTTAGATTGGCTGGCGAGTGAGGCCGAGGGCATGGATGGCTCAAAATAGCCTTGGGAATGTTGTCTCGGACGGTGCTTCTGCAATTCGGGAGGAGGGGGGCCGCCGAAAGAGGGTCTTCCTTGGTCATCTCGAGGCATGTAGGGAGCAGAAGGTCGCGCATGACCGGCCGGAGGCGCATTGTTGTGATTTACATGAGAGGAGAAGGTTGGAAGCTGCTGGTTGTAGGGAGATCTTTTTACAACAGAGAGATTGGACGAGACAGAGGTGTCACTTCCACTCGAACCGGGGCGGTTGCTTTGTTTGGAGGCCGCGCGGGAGGGGTTTGGGGAGACAGAAGCGGCGGAGTGAGGAGGCACAGGGGATCGGAGGCCTGCTCGACGTTGTGTAGGAGGTTCCATGTTGTCAATTGAGCCTTATGGCAGAATGGAAACAGACAAGCAGGCCGACTGCAAGGGGAGATGACTGAGCATGGCGCCAGGATCTACAGCGAGGTGAGGGCGAAGAAGACCAGCATCTGGGGTCGGAATGGTGACACTATGCGCCCGTCAAGAGCAGAGGCATGTAGGTGAAGTGGTTGATGTAGAGTGAGTTGAGGAGATGGTGGTGGTGATGGTCACAGTTGGCCTCAGCATAGTCGTACCCCCGGCCGTGGCTCGTGACTCGGAGACTCGATGCGGGAAGGAGCCCCCTCGGCCCCTCCTGCATCAACATTAGCGGTGGTTGCGCATTCCTTGGATAGATACGAGTAACTCTAAGAAAATTGTATCATCATCACCAGCAGCAGCAGAAATCTTACATTAGCAATAACAAATTCAACATGTCTGCGCCCTCAGAACCCACCCAGGAATCCCTCACTGCCGCCTACAAATCCCCTTCCGGCACCAAACAATTCCACTATGCCATCGAGAACCCCCATGTCGACAAGCAGCTCGACACCACCTCCCAGACCAGCTACCTGAGCCAACTCCGCGCCTCTACCAAGAAACTGCAGGAGGACATCAATTATTTCCTCACCGAGAAGATGGACGAGGATAAGAAGATTGGTTTGGGAGCCATGGTCAGGTCCAAGACAAAGGAAGAGTTAGAAGAGGAGAATTATGGCGAAGAGATTGCCGATGATGACGACAACGACGGCACTGGGTAAATTGCTACGAGAGGGTATCTAGGTATCAGGATATCTGGAAATCAACAAACTACGCTTTCCCCGCCAGTTCGTTTTGTTTGCGAACTGCACATCCAAGGTGCACCACCGAGTTGCTGCAAAAGTCAGCTGTTCAGTCTCAGCAAGGAGGTTTAGGAACGGGGAGACTTACTCGGGGAACACACTAATGACACTGCCTCCAAGTCGTTTATAACAGACACCACACACACGTTCCTCATCCACCCGCACTTTGCGGTTTCGACCACCCGACTGCGTGCCCTCGCCGAGTAGCAGCCCCGCCTGCACACGTACCGCCTCAACCTTTCTCAGCCCAGCCACAATCATCGACTCATTCATGATGCTGTTGGCATTGCGCATGCGTCCTCGGAAATAAAACTCGAGCTCTCGAACCAAAAGATCCTCAGGTATCAGCTCCAGCGTTGAGCTGGCTGGCAGACGCGCCCCGTGTCGCGCCATTAATTCAATTGCTGGACCCCACTTCGCGGTTTCCCCCTTGGGCGGATTTAGATAGAGGTTAAGAAGTATGTGGTAGATAGATGGTTGTTCGTCCACTGGATCCGTTGTTGATTTTCGACGTGATGATGTTACCTTGCCATCATCATTCAAACTGGTCTCGAGGTGCGTCTGGTTGCAGTATTCCTCCGCCTTTGCCGTGTCACGTAGTTTGAATACATACACCTCGAGTGCCTGTTTGTGGTTCCCCATCTTGCTGAACAATATTGCTCGAGCCTCGTAGAAGGTCGGCTCGTCTCGAGGAAGCATTCCAAGTGTCTTTGCAGGAGAATACTGTTCCGACGTGCGCAGCAGAGTGAGGAACTTGTCCAGAATCTCTTCTCCTCCACTTCGAGAGCCGTCTTTCAATCTCTCCAAATACAGCGTCACCAGCTTTTGATGCAGATCTGGTGTGAGGTCATTCAGCTCATCCACAACATGCTCCAGGAACCTCTGTGCAAGTTCTTTGCTGATCGGTTCGAGGAAACCCAGCACTTTATGCCGTGGAAGAGATTCTGCATTTTCTGTATCACCAAGGAAAATCTCCATCGCCTGTTCAGGCTGTGTCTCCAGAGGCCACTGTGCAAATTCAAGTATCATATCAATCAATTCGGGTCCAAGGTTCTGAAGGTACGTTATCGTACGGCCAGGCCCGTGCAATTGCGGATCGATATCTGCCTGTCCAAACTTCTGTAGTCTTTCTAACGCCTGTCGATGTAGTCGTTTCCCATATAGGAATTCTGTGAGATCGTTGTATCGTTCTGTCTCCTCCAGTTTCGCCATTACCACTTCTGGATCGCAAAAGTTGGCGATGCGGAACAGTGATGTTGCGAGGGATGGAGTTGCATACATGTGCGCCCGGAAAAGTGTTGTGTCTACGAGTCTGGCCACTGCGATCAATTTGTCCGATAGATCAACGTCATTGAGTGAGGTCAATCCCAGGAGATACTCCGTGCTCTGTTTGATATCTTCGGATTGAGACCCTAGTTCCACTTCTGAGAGCGCCCGGACAGATTGATCGCCGTTGAAGAAGCGTTGCAACCTCCGTCGTACGTCTGCTAAGAATGCTTGAAGCTCACGAACTGCAAACTTGAGCTCCTTCTCGCTAAGGGCATTCGAGTCAGAGCCCACATTCTCAGTGGTTCTAACACTCCTTATGCTGTTGGTGTCAGCGTCTGACAAACCGCTCTTGATTTTCTTGACGGGGCTCGCTGTTGACTCGCTCTTCTTATGATCCTTTTCAGGTGACTCTTGACTATTGACGGCATCGGGATCTTCTTTCCTATCCTTCGACTTCTCGTCAGCTAAATCGCCCGCAATGATTTCCGGGTAGAGCTTGATGACAAGTTCCGGCGGCGCTGACACCTCTCCGAAAAGATCCAGCGATTCTCGAAACTTCTTGTCATCAAAGAGCTTCTGTGCTTTCTGCATTTTGATCTCACGGAGTCGTCCGGGTTTATTCTCTACCAAAGTCTCTTCTATCATATCCAGCAGACTGATCGCTTCATCGAGGTGGCCACCGTCGACCAATGCATCAATCTGAGCGTCATAGTTGAGTCCCTGCATCCGCCAAACACTGCGCTCACTGGCAACTAGGAATCCTTTGCCTTGATGCGCCAAACTGATGTTGGGATTGGGTACTTGGAGAAGGACTGCCCCAGAAAGTTCAATAGATTGAAGCAGTGTCAATGTCTGAGGGTTTCGAACTTCTAGAATACCTTTCGTGGGTTCTTGCAAGGCCAGTAGGTATGGGTAAGAGTAGCCCACCGCTTGAGGAGGTATGCGCCACGGAATCTGACGTCGATTGACGGGCTCGCCTTCTCTGTCAATAAACAGCGTGTTGACGTCTTTGGCCAAAAGCATTTCTTTCTCGCCGAGTCCAGTGGCGAGTGGGGTTGGCACCATTCCACCCATACCGATATAACTCATGGTGCCTCCCAGTCTACTGCTCTCCTGTCCTGCCGCGCCCCCAATACTCCCAGGCCCCACGATAGTTTTGACTTCCTGTGACTCGATGTCGACCATGACATAGTTCGCGTTCAATCCCGCCACGATCTTGGTTCCGGTCGCCCAGGTTAGAGATTTGATGCTGTTCGACAGTGCGATCTCAGCAGCATCTCCGTCAAGTTCACCATCGTGCCAGGACCAAAGCAAAAGCCTGCGCTTGACAGCAACGGCAAGTCGACTGACAAGGGTGGGCACACCGGTCGGAGTGTCTTTGACTATGTTGCTCGTGGCCGCAAAGCTACTGGCTCCTTTCGTTTTTGTCAATTGCTCATTCAACTTGTAGGTCCCCAGGTCATGAATTGACACAAAGCCATTACTCAAAGATATCAAGATATTTGCTTCACGGAAAACAGCAAGCTGATCAATCTTGTACTTGGAGAACCTCTCATACTCGCGGAGTAGTTCCGACGCCTTGGGAGGAGGGACTAGGGTTGGGTCGTTGGAAGGCGCTTGGTCGGTGGCAGTGGTCTCAGTATCCGAGGATCGAGAGGGAGGATTATTGACGCGGTAGATACGGAGGGAGCCAGTGTTCAAGCCAACAAGTAGCTGGTCACTGTGGGAGAGAATGGATTCAATCTTGGACTTGTCCCGCTGCTTCAGCTCAACAATGGGCTGCGCAGTGAATGCAGACAACATGGGGGCGATTTTCGATGCGAAGCATCATGTACACACCATGTCGCTCGAGTTCTATTCTTGAGGTAGCACGCCGCAGTAATAGTACCAGACTTCGTTTGTTTTAGTGGGTAGAAGAGGGCGAGTGGCAGCCTCGATGAGGCTGCGGCGAAAGACGAACTCCGATTGGTAGTAGATGAATTACGTCAGATATCAACTCGAAGGTGAGGTCACGTGCGGATATGGAATAGTTGGGATTCAATCCTTTTCACCATGTGATGATCAAAAGAATACTTGGTTGATGAGAAGGGCCATAGATCATAGTTTTCACCTGTGCAGCAATCTCGACGAAGAGAGCTTTATGGTTCGTGGAAGTACAAAGTTGAACACTCCCCTCAAGTCACACTGGTTGCATGAACAACCACCTGAAAGGCTCTTCTCTAACGCATTTGTGGCCCAATGCAGGTCGTTTGGCATCAATATGAGCCCTGAAAGATTGTACCGGGCGCATCATAGCTTGTGACTCTCGGGACGGTACCTAGGCAACCCATCGCTCAGGAAGGTCGTTTCGTTCATCTCCCTTGAGTTGTACTATCGGAAGAGATAGGGGCTTGATTTCGCTCATCCCTTTCCTCTTCCTCCTTGTCACTCTCTTCAGCAAATCGAATTGTGTCTTCAATCATGGCAAGGTCAGCATCGAGGTCTGCCATTAAAGCATCCAAATCTCCAAGGCTCTGAAATTCCTTATTCGCCTTGTCAACCAATTTCTGCAGGGAGTCATTCTCCTTCGACAAAGCTTTGGTCTGCTTGCGTAACTCCTCTTCCTGTTTTGTTAGCGCCTTGGAGTTGGCATGTATGTTCTTCGCTCGCGCTTGCAACTCTGCATCAATGGTAGAACCCACAGCGTTCAACGAGGCTGTGAACGCTGCTCTCGCTTCCTCGGTGCGCTGAGCTGATGATGCCGCGGCATCTTGTGGAGGTGATGTTGTAGCTGCTGCTTGTGAAGAGCTGGACATTTCAGCCGAGCCTATTTCTGGAATCTCGATGACAGGGTTCCTGTATGGCGACGCCTTTGATGTTCAGGTGTGGACGAGGAACGTTGGCAGACCACTTTGTCGACATCAGCAGCCGCTTCGTCATTAATACGATACGAGTAATCCTGTCGCAACAATAGCCTTTGGTACGACGAGTAGGCGCCTGCGTTAAATGCTAAGACGCAAGGTTTCGGACTCTTGCCCTTACGCTCAGGAACCAGAATCTGTGGCCGGTGTGCACCACAAACGAAGCATTTTTGGGGGCGAGATTGATGCTTAGTGGGAGATGATCCCCGTACTGTATTGAACGGTAATTTACATACCCGGGCCTCACGCTCGCCTGTCCCTTTGGCCATGACTCCTTTCCATGTCCACCAACCATGTCTTCCTTTCAGACGCCTTCGAATCAGCGCAACCCTCGTTTCTTGTGTGGTGAAGTACACATGGCCAAAATGGTCTAGCACACATCGTACGCAATTTGGCTGTACATTCCATTCGTTGACTCCTGTAAGCACACCTTGGACTTCTACAAGGAACAAAACTCCAGCATCACGAAAGTACGACCCGGAGATGGAGCTAGAGCAGAACTCGTCAAGCGCGTCAGCAGAGGTCCGAACGGACCTGCTCATGAGAGAACCCAGCACCCTGTGTTGACACCCGCAGCCGGCAACCTATCACATGCATTTCGCTCTGCTCTACCATGTGCGCGGCAGAAACCTGAGCTTTGTCAATAAGTCTGCAGAATGACACCAGGTTCGTCGACGAATCCTCCCGCGCTAATCCAATTGCACAATATCTCAAACTAGAAAGTATGTCGTATTGAATGGTCGGGCTTTTGGTTGTCGAAATTCAATCCAGTGCAAGACATGCTGTGGTTCACCTATGCCAGCTCCATCACCGATGATGAAAATGCAACATCGTGTACGGTATGAATTTTCAATTGCTTCGGTACATTTTCAGAACATCTACCAGAACCTGACTGAGCCCACCCAATGCATATATGCAGCTCGCGCGATTGACTCAGCGTCCTGGATTCGGATCGACTGCCAACTAGAACATGAACGGGAGGTAACTAACGAAGGCCTTGTGCTTTATCCAGATTCAACTGAGCAAGGTAACATTACTTCAGCACTCAACCGGAATTTAAAAGCTCGCTTCACGATGGAACCCGCGACGAACCGAACTATACCTCAATTCCTATCAGAAGACGTTATCAGGCGCCATCGACTACGTTAGATATTCCTCAGATCTCTGAAGAGCTATACCCACAGAGCCCATAGCCAGAGTGAAGATCACAAGCATTTGGGATCATGGAAGTAGCCTGCCAGCGTCTCGTATCTCGCACTGCAAGACTTACACAGGTGCTGGGGCTTGTTGTCTAATCTCATGGGATCAACCTTGTAAAGCGTAGCAAATCTACGGTTTCGCATTCCCTTAGCACGCGAGAACCATGTGGCGAGAAACCTATATTTGATACAGGAATCCTGTAGACAGCCTCCGTACGAGACATCTTTGAAGTCGGTCCATGCGACCCGGTACAGAATCAGCATCATCTGAACCTGGAGCGATTGCTCCGGGGGTACCTGGATAACGAGACTGCCGCTTGTGGAAGCGGTCATTCTGATGAAGCCAGCTGTTAGAAAGTGGAACACGTGACAGCGCGTGATGAGTGAAACACAGGGCGCGAGGAGCCCGGTGTAGCTTCATTGTGTTTGGGATATCTATCATGAGGAAGAGTAGGATAGGGTATCTATATTGTTCACCAGAACTACTAGGAAGAGGGTCCATCCTACGATTGACATGTGTATGCTAGGACACGTGCGATTACATCAGACCCGCCTAAAGGTGCCAGTCCTCCTTGTGAAGGGCGCGCTGAGACTCCGGGATAATGCTTGGGCATGGTTATGTGACATCTCGTCGAAGCGCTCAGACTCAATGCAGGTATTCAGCAAGGACAATGATGGCCTCACATCCACGGCAACCCAAGCCTGTGCATCTCGACTGCAAGCTGGAACAAATAGTCTAAGCTTTCGCACTGTGTTTTGGCTTTGGCCGGTGTGTCACCCCAGACATAACTTTTAGCATCTTGTTAGCAGATGCCTCAATCGGATCTAGGTTATAGCACTCACATCCCATGTCGCCTGACGAGCACTGCATAAGTATCAGGATATTGCTCCATGGCTTTTTCCAGCCACTCTGTCAGATCCTCCTCGAAAGGGGTATTCTCAATGATAGGAATGCGAAGGGTATCGTGAAATCCCAACATTCCCTTGCCTGGGCCCTTGGGAATGCCTTTGATCTGCTCGATATTACTGATCTCGAAGCAGGCATCCTTCCCGTGAAGCTTCTCGACGAGTAATGTCACCAGCACAGCCCATTGAGAATGGGTGTGTATGGAGCAGAGGGCGCCTCGCTCAAAAGCTGCCAGGAACAACGGCGTGCAGGCGGATGGCTTCAGATCCTGAGGCTTGCGAATGTACTTCCGTGCCTCGGGCGGATACTTGGGCGTGGGCCAGGAAAGGACGAACATGTTCTCCGACTTGATCAGCTCTTTCTGGACACCCGAGGGAGCAATGTAGATGTGTTCATCCTTGCGGATGCTCGTGCCGCCCCCTGTTCCAGTGACCCAACCTTTGGACTCAGAGTCAGTTTGTCTGATCTCGGGTCTTGTGTGCCTACCATGTCTTACCGAGGGTGTAGAACTGTCTGCATAGTCTAGGAATTAGATTTGCTGGGTGGTCCGGGTCTTCAGACTGCACCAGATGTTCATTGTCTGTAGTAGCCATCGTTATGAAAGACTGTGGACAATACAGTGTCTGAAGAAGCTTAAGATCTTCACGACAAGGAAAATAAAATGTGACCCACGTGTTTGAACAGCGCGTCACTGCCGTGCAATCATGGGCAATTGCGTGACAGGCTCAATCGCCCCTTCCCCAATAATCTCCTCTCGCCATACCTGCCGGGTTTGGTAGACAGGCGGACACTTGGCAGGCGGTGAGGCAGTGCGTTTGGCTCTAAACTCAGCTAGCGGCATTTCGCGTTTAGTCTGTGACCTTGTCCCACTCTCCCTGCGGATGCTTCTTAGCATTACTACTAGCAGATCAAGTAAAGGACACCTTGCGTTGAACCAAGGACACTCAAATATATCCACTACCACCGTGTGGGCGACCCTTCGACTCCTTTCTCCTCAGTATCGACTCGACCTCTCACTGGTAGAGCAGTTTCATTTCTTCTTTCCTTTCTCCCATTGCCCATCATGCGGTTCAATTCTGCAATCGCTCCGGCTCTGTGTGCCTCTGTCTTCTTTGCCGGTAATGCGCTTGCACAGGAAGATCTCGAGCCAGAGCCAGCCTCAAGCGCTGCCGTCGAGCGGCCAACCTTCACAGTAAGTCCCCCTGGGTCTTCGATCTTTGCACCTCTAGATTAACCTGCATCCAGCCTACCAGCCTCAAGGCCCCTTTCCTAGAACAGTTCACCGACGACTGGGACACAAGATGGACGCCCTCGCACGCCAAGAAGCAGGATTCCAAGAGCGACGAGGACTGGGCCTACGTTGGTGAATGGTCTGTGGAAGAGCCTACCGTTCTACCTGGTATTGTTGGTGACAAGGGTTTGGTCGTCAAGAATGCCGCTGCCCACCATGCCATCTCCGCCAAGTTCCCCAAGGCCGTCAACAACAAAGGCAAGACTCTTGTCGTACAGTATGAAGTCAAGCTGCAGAATGGTCTAGAGTGCGGTGGCGCTTACCTCAAGCTGTTGCGAGACAACAAAGCTCTCCATGCCGAAGAGTTCTCAAACAGCTCCCCTTACGTGATCATGTTCGGTCCTGACAAATGCGGAGCCACCAACAAGGTACGTTTCCCTCGCTCATCCCCTCTCCCTCGCGCACGACTAACATGAACAGGTCCACTTCATCTTCCAACACAAGAACCCAAAGACAGGCGAGTACGAAGAGAAGCATCTCAAGAGCCCTCCCCAGGCCAAGATCAACAAGCTCACCACCCTTTACACCCTCATTGTCAAACCGGACAACACCTTCGAAATCCTCATCGACAATAAATCTGCCAAGAATGGCAGTCTTCTCGAGGACTTCAGCCCTGCCGTAAACCCAGACAAGGAGATTGACGATCCCAAGGACAAGAAGCCCGAAGACTGGGTTGAACTCGCCCGTATCCCAGACCCTGAAGCTACTAAGCCTGAAGATTGGGACGAGGATGAGCCATATGAGCTTCCAGATGAGGATGCCGAGAAGCCTGATGACTGGCTCGAAAATGAACCTCTCACAGTTCCTGACCCAGAAGCCGAAAAACCTGAGGATTGGGATGATGAGGAGGATGGCGACTGGATTCCTCCCCAAGTCCCCAACCCCAAATGCGAAGACGCCTCTGGATGCGGCCCATGGGAACGACCAAACAAGAAGAACCCCAACTATAAAGGCAAATGGACTGCTCCTTACATTGACAACCCGGATTACAAGGGCACATGGGCTCCTCGCAAGATCGCTAACCCCAACTACTTTGAGGACAAGACTCCCTCCAACCTTGAGCCAATCGGAGCTGTAAGTTTAAATGCCCGCTCGACTATAATGACCTTGACTAATATGTTTTCTAGATTGGATTCGAGATCTGGACCATGCAATCTGATATTACCTTCGACAACATCTTCATCGGTCACTCAGTCGAAGATGCCGCTGCTTTCACAAGCGAGACCTACACTGTCAAGAGAGCCGTTGAGGAGGCTGAAGAAGAAAAGACCAAGCCCAAGCCATCTGATCTACCCAAAGCAACCACTCCCAGCGGAGACTTCATGGATGACCCGGTCAACTTCGTCAAGGAGAAACTCGAGCTATTCATCACACTCGCTCAAAGAGATCCCATCGAGGCCATCAAGATCATGCCCGAGGTTGCCGGTGGAATTGGAGGTGCTTTGGCTCTACTCATTGCCATCATCGTTGGCCTCTTCAGCCTCGGTGGCTCTTCAGCTCCTAGCAAGGAAGACATCAAGAAGACCGCACAGAAAGCCAAGGAAGCCGCCACGGATGCCAAGGATAAGGCTACTACAGCCACTGCAAGCGGTGCGGACGCAGTCAAGTCCGAGGTGAACAAGCGTACTACTCGGTCAAGCGGTAGCTCTGATTAGACTTGTGTGTTTCGGACTTATTATCTATCCTCCAGGACAGAAAAGAGCCGAAGCAGTAGCCCACCAGCGAAGAATGGGTGCTAGATCAATGGGAGGCAACCACCGTTTTCGAGGTGAAAATTTGAACGGAACGGCGTCTTGATTGCGCGCAAAACTTGGTCATATCTCGATATGCTCCTTTTGCCTCGAATGCCTTGTCTTGGGGTGGAATCCAGCTCCTTTTCTTCTACGAAGACCAAAAAGTTCAATTGATCAACGAACCAGAGCAGTTATGGCTGATTGGGGAGAGGGAGTCGAAGGCGAGCGAGGCTAGTTAGAGGACGACAGAAACGAAATTCAAATTCCAAGTTCGAAATCCAAATCCAAATCCAAATGTACATCATAGTCTAGTCAGCGAGCCAGCCAGCCAGCCAGGGTAACCCCAAAAATTGCATCCATTCAAGTCGTAGTCTTTCTCGTAGTAGGACGACTAAGTAGTAACCAACATACTATCTCGCATAGTGATAGCGAAACACGCGCATAGGGTAGGTATCAGAAAATATTCATGGTGGACGAGTAATTACTTGCGCTTCAGTACTGCGTACTAAGCAATACGTAACACTACTGTTCAGAGTAGAATCCGGAGCACTGTCGTACAGTCTCGGGCAGTAGCAGCGCTTCGATGTTTCGTTACCTTGGTATATAGGTACATACAGCGGTGAGGTTGATGCGGAATTGCGACCTACCCTCCCTCCTTACGGGCAGATGAACACTGGACGTATAGCTTCAGCCCCAGTAGATAGTTTTCCTATTTGTGGCTATTCAGCGCGTCAATGTCGCTACATTCGACCAGATCCAAGGACGACGACAATGACGACAGTTTGCTTTTCTCTGCCATGCCAGTTTTGCTTGAGTCACTCAATGTACATTAGATACAATTTCAAAGCGGGGCAAAGGGAAAGATCCCTTACTCGCTCTTTATCCCACCCAAGAGTTGCAAGAAATTCCAGTTCCAATTCCGATCCTCCGTTCCTTTATCACTTTGTGGAAACAATCCAGCACCAGCTCATCTCACTTGAAAAAATTTCAATTTCGCTCTTCCAGGCCTGCTCCTTTACTAGATTACGAATGAGTTGGCATAGACACCTGCTTCTCTGTGGCAATCGCGTCCTCAGCTCTCCAGAGACTGGTGACCGTCTTCCACTGGGTGTAAAATCGGATGCCGTCCTTGCCGTAAAAGTTCGAGGCACCGGTGCCAGCGACACTCTTCTTGTTGCCGGTGAAGCTGAACATGGGCAACGGGACAGGGATAGGCACGTTGATACCAATCTGACCAGCCTCGAGCTCCTTTTGGAATAGCGATGCTGTCGGGCCAGATTGCGTGAAGATGGCGGCACCATTTCCATAGGGATTGGCATTGATCAGCTCAATGGCTTCTTCTGTGGTTTCAACATTCAAGCACACCAGCACGGGACCGAAGATCTCCTCCGTGTAACATTTCATGTGTGGTTTGACGTTGGTGATGATTGTTGGGCCGACCTATTGTTGAGTGTTCGTTAGTGAAATGTTTGTAGATGATGGCAAATCGAAATTTAGTAGGGGCGGCCAACTTACCCAGTTTCCATTGGGATATTTAGGGGGCTTTTGACCTCTACCATCAAGCAGGATGGTGGCACCCTCCTCTTCGGCACTCTTGATCAAATCCTCGACTCGCTTCTTACTCTGTGGGCTGATCAAAGGACCGAGATCAGCGCCTTTTTCAAAACCTCCGTTTATGGTCAGGTTCCTAGCCCGGTCTGCGAGTTCTGAAAGCCACTCTTTGGTTTCGCCAACCATGACGAGGGTGCTGAGAGCCATGCATCGCTGGCCGGCTGCACCAAATGCGGCACCAGCAATAGCATTGAGAGCGTGATTCTTGTTGCAGTCGGGCAGAACGGCAGCATGGTTCTTCGCACCGAGATTTGCCTGGACTCGCTTCCCATTAGCGGAACCGCGAGTGTAGATATACTCGCCAGCGCGGTTGGAGCCGACAAAGCTGATGGCTTTAATGGCGGGTTCGTCAATAATGTAATCGACAGTCTTGGCAGCTCCGTGGACAATGTTGACAACACCGTCAGGGAAACCAGCTTTCTGGCAGAGTTCGGCAATAATCATGGCCGCACCAGGGTCACGTTCGCTAGGCTTAAGTATTAAGGTATTTCCAGTGACAGTGGCCAGCGGAACACTCCAGAGCGGGATCATAGCAGGGAAGTTGAAGGGACAAATAGCCGCAACGACACCGAGAGGTTCACGGTATGATCTTGTCTCCATATCCTTTGCAACTTCAATGACTTCGCCAGTCAACTGCGTTGTGATGCCACAGGCGGTCTCACAGACTTGTAAACCACGGAGTACATCGCCCTTTGCATCGGCAAATGTTTTGCCCTGCTCGAGCGTAATGGATGCGGCCAGTCGATCCATGTTCTCGCGGACCAGATGAGTCAATCGAAACATGATCTGTTGTCTGGTCATGATGCTGGTGGCACGCCATGCAGGGAAGGCCTTCGAGGCAGAATCGGTGGCAGCCCTAAGCTCAGCATCGGTAGATTGAGGAACTCGGGTGACTAGATTGTTCGTAGCTGGGTCGTGGAGGTCAATCCAGGTAGCGGCTTGTGAAGGCACGAATTTGTTGTCAATGAAGTTGTGGGTGTCAACCACATTCTTAATCTGTTCGTGAGACCTAGGATAGTCGGCAACGGCAGCGCCGGCAGCAGCGAGATGCTTGCTTGTGGCATGCAGCCTGCGTCTTGCAATCTGCTGGTTGGGAGACATTCTGAGGGAAGTTGTCGAGGATAAGATATGGGGGGATCGTCTGGCAGACAATGCGGGGACAGCTCGAAATAGGGAACGGCGTGCGGCCATTTTATGCAAAGGAGGGGGGAAGGGGAGGGCGAAGCGTTGGTTCTATCTGGCAACCGCTATTCGAGATGAAGTGATGAGATGTATACCAGGTGGAAGAAAGATTGTAAGATGATGGCAGTAAATACAGCATGGGAATCTTTTGAATGGGAGCGGCAGCGGCGACCTGCCCCCGAGCCTGCCTTTGCGGAGATCGAGAATTGCCCGCCCGAGGTTGAGGTCCAACGGCCACTAAATTGCCAGCAACGGACCTGAGAATGCAGAATATGAGGGGGAGAAGACCGTCGCCACGGTTAGCATCGGAAGGGGGTCTCTAGTAGCCCTTTAGCTGTTCGACAACTGGCTGCATTGGCATTATATCATGACGCTAGTGTACTAGCCCCTTGGCACGGGCTCATGCACGACGAGGCCAACTCCCATCTGGCTCCCCCACTCCCCCACACGATCAAACAGAAATCACGCCAAACACGCTGAGCTCTGACTCGTACCGGGAACTCGGTACGAGGGGCAACTTACTCGTACCGGTACAGAGTGCCTATGTACGAGGGAGTCAGGACTCAGGAGCAGAAGACACTTGCATCGAACAGGTCCAAGGCCAACCTAACCTCAACAGAAGAACTAGCACTATTACATCCTATTACGATTCCTCGCCATATGCCAGGTCCTGGTCATCTTCTTCTTCTTTCTTCTCGACCTTGCCTGTGTAATTGTATACCAGCCTTGCCATCTGCACACTGCCTTCCTTCTCAACCACAACCCGTCGCGTGTAGTACCTCTTCTCTTCAATCTCTTCGAATCCCCAGTTTTGCTCTGCTGTCCAACCGCCACCGCTGTCCACGTTTTTCGCCCAGCTTTGTACATGTTCATCGTCCAGGAACTTCGAGGCTGTTTTGCCGTCCTTGAGCGTCTCGGCCCGGAGGAATCCTGCCACCTCTTCGCCTCCAGGGGTTAGCTTTTCAAACTCTCCTGTTTTCCACCATCGACTTCTTCCTTTGACGTTTCCAAAGATCCTGTCTGCATGATCTCGCTCGTTCCAGTCGAGAGTGCGATTCTCCTGTGTTGTTGACAGGCCACTTGCGACCGAGGTGATATCGATGTGGTAGACAGAATCCTGCTCGTATTCTTTGATGGTGAGCTGCGGCAGCGTCAGCGAAGGCTCTCGTGGGCCCGTGAACATTCGTGCGACTGACCACCACTGTTGCGAGGCTAATAGCTTTGCGAGTAAACCAGCTCAGGCCTTGTAAAGCCAGCATTGCATCGACGTCATCAGACAGCGTTTTATTCTACTCGTAGTTGCGTTAGCCTGACCTAGCCCGCCGTGAAATAAGAGGCCCAGCTACCATGACATATTTTCCCGACAGATTTTTGGTGGTCACCTCTGGAGGCGCCGCCATGTTGGTGAGTTGTGGCTGTGGGAGCGAACAGAAAGAGGGTATAGGCTTCGGTGTTCAAGGAGGCTGCTCATCAGAGTATTTGTAGTCGACGGCTACCAAAGACATGTGAAGTCCAGGGCAGTGGTGGTAGTTTGTAGTAGTCTGTTCGGCACGCAGACGAGTGCTGGGCGGAGTTGCGCAGGAGCAGGGCTGTCCAGATGCCAGTGGTTCGTGGATGGTGGATGGTGGATGGTGCCATGTGATGTTGCAATTGGAGCAGGAACAGCCCACCTCAGCTTCCCTCCCTCCTGCCTGGATTCCTGGACTCTTGGGTCGTACCTTCCCACTTCCCACTTCCCCACCTGCCGAGGCTCCTGTTGAACCTCCTCCCAGCGGATTGGACCTGGAGCAGTTTCTCGAAACATATGAATCTTCGTTCAAGCTGCACCACAGGCATGCGACCCACGATCAGAACTTTGTGCCTCGGACCATGACGCTCGATTATCAAAAGCAGAGCATGTCTTTGATCGATGCCAATCTGCTATACTGTCTGCCGTGAAACTGGACTGATAGCTAAGTAGATTGAACGAGGTGCATTGACTCAAGTCTGAAGAATTATCTCCTTGATATAGAACACTCCCATCATTCGGCACACAACCCTATGTCAACGTTCGTTGAATTTCATTTCAAGAAGGACCAGTCCTGCTGCTTGATCCAGTCTGCTACACTCCCAAGGTCGATCGGAATGCCAAGCTATGTCCATCAGCGACAAATACAGCACCCAGAGTAAGGGGTTCACACTTACGTCTTTGGGGTGAACCACCGTGGGGTCACCCCGTCCTTCGTATCCGAAGTCCGCGATATAACCAAAAGTCTCTTTCAATTCCTCCACGAGGAAGTCAGGAACCCCTGCATTGCCTGGGTTTGGATCTCTCTGCGCTGGGATCCCCGTTGTTCTGCTCCAAAGACTGATAAAGTCATCATAGGTCATCAGTCCACGATAGGCTAACATGTTTTTTCCACCTCCCACTTCCACCAGTGCCCTTGTCAACGAACCGGTGTCTTTTTCCGCTGCAATAAGCGGCAACAAACAATCGCCCTTCAAGAGTCCTAGGAATTGGACGACCCCCTTTTCATCCTTTCTATGGAATGAAACCGGACTAGCCAAGAAATTTTCGAGGTAGAAGCCAAGCTGGATGATACTGGTCTTCTTCCAGAGCTCCGGGTGTGTCTCCTGCCCATATTCCGCAGCTACGGCCTTGGCTTCATACTGAGGTACATGCATATATTTCCCCTTGGACCATTTGGATACATGTGACAGCCCAGAGAACACGAGCCTATCCAGAGTCTTCACCTTTGCCGCCGCATCAAAGATATTCTTTCCCTGTTGTAGTTCCAGCTCATACGCCAAATCAATCAGCTTCTGTCCCGGTTTTGCCTTTGCCTGGTTCTCCGGGTTGAAATAAGTTCCCCAGAAATCGGTGACGCTAAATATAGCATTGGCCCCGTCGAAAGCAATATCGAGTGATGCAGGATCGTCAAGGTTGGCAGTTACTGTTTGAATCCCTTCTGCATGCAAGGCTTTAGCCTTTTCGGATGATTCGTTTCGAGTGACCGCTCGAACTGTCCACGATGGCTCCTTACGAAAGGCATCGACAACGGACCTTCCCTGGGCTCCTGTCGCCCCAAATACCACAATGATTTTGAGAGACATCCTCTGAAGGTGGGCGTTTTCCAAGATATAACGAGCATTTTCATAGTTGCATCTCTACGCCCCTTTTATATGTCGACTTCAGCTTCGACATTTATAATCCGTATTGTCGACATCAACTTCGATATTTATAATCAGTACTATGACAATAATGGAAGATTCTCCAAAGCGACCCGTAGTGTCAGCATCCCAGCAGATATCATGTTTTGCAATGTTGTGAGTCACGTGTGACGCTTCAACCCTGTTCAGTTTTCGTCCGCTTCTGATAAATCAATATGATCGGATAAGCCCAAACGCTTGAGGCCACCCGCTAGCTAGCGCACCAAAGGACAGATCATTTCAATGCCGCATGTTTCCTGAGGATCCAATTTCACGGTCTTCCTCTAAGGCGACTTCAATAACCGTGGAGCGGTCGCATTTCACAGTTGGCTCAGGGACCAATCACGGCGCCTGGGTCATTCTTTGCCTCAGAGGAGTGAAAGCCTCTGACCAATCTCCACCCTGCTTAGCTAACTAGAGCATAAATGTCGACCTCACCCAAGGATCTGAGTATTGTGATATTGTTATGCATTGACATGCAAAGTACTTAGTCGTCTCGAACCCCAATAGGCACGTCTAATAGTTCTCGAGATCATGGCAGTGGAATGATCTCCGTTGTTCCAAATTCACGAGACCTATGCTATCAACAACCAAATGCTAACCTCACCCTCCTAGTTTACAAATCTGGTTGCACGGGAAGGGGCAAGAGACCTGGATCTGTGTCGAGACTCGGGACTCCAGTCGCAGGCAGTTAGCGATCTGCTGAAAGTGGTACGTATCAAAACCTTAGCCTTCCTGGTGTCGTTATGCCACCAAACCTAATTTTCGTCGAAGGTGGATCCCTAAGTCCATCCAAGACAAGAACACGCGCTCACATATTCGCTCTGGTCTCATAGGAAGGGTTTGCGCGTCGCAAAATCACGCCGCAAACAGAAAGCTACAGAATTCGAGACATCAAATGTTATTAAGGATCAACAGACTTCGCTTGACAGAGCAGCCGTTGGAAGTTCGGTCTAAGTTCGGCCTCGAGATGATGCAAAAGCAACACGACTAGGCGGATGTCTCCAATGTCTCTTCTTAGCGCTCCAAGGACCGACCTTTTCGGTTGCTTTGGGATGGACCCAGATGAGCAATACAGTCAAGGCCTCCTTGACTATTATAGGGCATCCGCAAACTTGTGTACGGGCCTTCTCAAGCTTACTGGAAGTTCCCCAGGTGCGAATGATTTATGGCCAGGCTTTTGCCCGAATGGCACCTACGCGACGAAGGTTGCAAGGCATTGGGTCGTTCAGGAAGCACAAAATCCCGTTGTTTCGACGGCGATCTTGTTTGGCGCAGCATCGCACCGGCAAGTAAGGACCAGCCTGGAAATCCCCTCCTATAGAACGATATCTACAGCTGAGAGGCGTTGCCATAAAGAACAATTCGGGAACAGGTTATGAAAGAGATTGCCCTAGAGAGCATAGGTGAGATAATCTATGCGGTTCTCTGCCTGTCAGTCAGCCAACTTGTCACAACATCTACTCTTCGCTTGCCTGACATGACTAACCTTGAAACTCTCTTTGAATCACGGTGGCTTATGAAGTACATAGCTTCGGTTTCAATCAAATGCATTTCACAGCCATTCAGGCATTAATTCAGTTCGCTGAAGGCATAATTAACCTTCGCGGCTACAGTGTTGGCTGATTGTTATTCTTGCAAGTTTTGTTCGCCTGCTAGCATGTTCCAGCAAAGTCCTCCCTTCCGTGATACTAAAGATTCTGTAGTGCAAGTTCCATCGGGGCTGCAAACAATGTGACACCGCCGGTCTTTCTTTTGATGAAGTTGTCCGATTGTTTTTATGGCTCTCGGAGTCCTCTCAGAATCCTCGATATCTTTGATTCCCCGTGACACCAGAGGGCTTCCACAATTCCACTGGTGGAATTCATGCCCTGCGTACTCTAAAGATTACGCCAGGCATTGATCAGACTTTGTTGGATATCAGCGAGTCCTCTCCAGCATTGGAGATACGTCCTCGAGGAGCTATTGACGAGAATCTCATCGCTCCCCGCCTCGACAGTCGAAGTCACCTGTTGTGTTATCCCTTCCCGTGTTAGTGAAGGAACTCCTGGTGCAGACTCCAGAGAGCCATACTGACGAGGAGTTAGATCATGCGGAGGTATTTTATGCTTGCGCACGGTTAGCAGCCCAACTATATAGCCTACACGTTATCCTACCAGTGTCTAGGGCGTCACATGCCAGGCGAATTCTTGTCCCTCGGATCAAAACACAAGTCACAGACTCACGGCAGCAGACAAGGGCATGATACTTGGCGAAGCATCCTTGCGGCTCACTACATGGACGTGCATGGTGGCTGCGATGGCTTCGAGCGCGGACACCGAATGGAACCAGTCGCAGAATTGAAAAATGGTTCGCTCCTCATCTAGCAGTGGGTGCATCGATTGCTTGGGATCTTCCATTACGAAGAAATGAGAGCGGTTCCGCGACGCTATGGGTGGGTCGACGCAGCTTGCGACAAGGACAAGTACGGCACATTCACCTGGAATACTCGATGGAACGAATAATATTGAAGTCGTGGGTTTCTCGTACCGTCCTGTGAGGTCTCCTGGGAGTCGGGGGAAGCATACCTGGAACCGAGCGCGAGGTTGCATATTAAGTGCAAGGTTTGCAATATATTTCCTGCGAACATGCATGTTCTGAGTAAATCTGGGAGTGGAATCAGCCTATATTTGCGCCTGATAGGGGTGAGATACTTTAGCCTTCTAGGAATAAGCTCTACCAAATTACCAACTGGGGGTGATCGCGAAAGAACAACTCCTTAATGCTGCCTTGGGCAACCACCTTTGAGCCCATTGGGTTCAGTTGTGCTGTAGGAGCGATCAGATAATTCTACTCGCATCCAACTAATTGCGACTTAGGTTAAGGAACCTGGGAAGCTTGAGGGCCTGATCCCGTTCTTGAGCAAAGCTGCTTAGTGGGTCTCTAACTCAGTCAAGCTACATTTGCAGGAGAAGAACCGGTGCTGTGGTTCCTTGGCTGGAGAATTACATTCGACACACTCCCACCAATTCAGAGGCTCAGATGACCACCAAAGTATGGAGCCCTCCACTCTTATTTGACGAAGAAGTCTGTTGTAGGACTCAGCGTCAGAGTCGCGGAAGTTTCACCTTCCCCAATCATACAAACGAGAGGCGATGCTCTCTGCATATTCCTAGTTTTACACCTCAATATCATTAAATAAGCTCAAGGATTCGATGAGTGATATCTCCATCCACAGAAAATACACATTGCACCTTACATCTCCACCTACCACAGTCCATGGATACCGTCCTCTGCCTTTCCCAACACGGGGTCGTTCTCTGGTTTAGGAACGTCCCACACCTTCTGATAATCTCCTGCGCTCTCTCCGCCCTTCGCAAAATCCCAAACGCCACCATCCCTGGGGTAGGCACCAATCATGGTAAAGCCTGAAAGTTGGATAGTGTCTAGAGTACGTCTTACATCCTCAGCGGCAACCCTGTGTCCATCTCCCGGGGTCAGCAACTTAAATTCAGCACTTGGGCTCGTATCGAAGGTCTTATGCGCAGTACCTGCCGGGAGGATAAAGACATCTCCCGCATGCGCTTGCAATTCAACGCCACCTTCCTCCTTGCCGGAGCCATGTGTGCTCTCCTCTAGATCGGAAACGGTATCCGCAACGCCGAACCGGATCGTTGCAGATCCTGACAGCACGGCCATGCATTCATGCACACCAGAATGATAGTGAGAATCCTGGGTTGAGCCATATCGAAAAATCCACTGTGTCTCCCACCCGTTCTTCAGGAATAAGTCGTAGATCTTCGCCGGGACACACTCCGATTCACCGGCTAGGATACCCGGGTAGTGAATCAAGGCGCGTGGTGAATTGGGTATCAGCGGCGTTGGAGGCAGATAGTATTTCTTCACCTCGACCATGGCTTTATTCCGCTCGGCGCCAGAGATGTGGTCTTGGATGATTTATTGGTAAGTTGCGACAGGGTCGCGTCGCGTCTGGTCGTCGAAGAAACACTCGAAGTGAAGCCCAGCTAGCTACAGGTCTTACTTATGTTTGGACTTCGTACGCCACTCCCGGGCGACACTGCGGGGGAACCGACTCATTTTTATACTTTGATCGGATTTCGGCGCTGATGGTGGATAGTCTTTCCGCTTTTGCTGGAGAGAGCGTCCTGGCATCACTTGTCCCTGGGCGTACTGGGAAGGTGTTTCCCCTTGGGCCTCCAACACCTCCAACACCAAATATTGTGATGCGGTTTATTGTATGCTGAAGGCAATGATGAGCATCATACCAGAAGCTATGAGACAGCTCCAGATCACGCCCTGCTCAACTGACATGACCTTGAAGGCCCTACTCACCAGATTCATGGTATTAATAACCCTGTTGCTCCTAGATGCCCACTTAAATGGCAACGACTGTCTTTACACCGATTCAAACTGATGAGGGCTTTGCCTCCATCGAGGAACTGTTGCACCTAATGCAACAAGTATTCCCGTTCATAGCATTATTACCCCTTTGGTCGTAATGATGCCGCTAAAGAGGTAAACTTGCACGTCGAGTGGTGGGTAATGAAGGGCCCAGATTAGAAAAGAGCACTATGAAATGGTCAGAAAATGGTGGCGGCGCTATGACAAAATAATCCCTACAGCGAGATATTAGATATCTCTAGGTATACAATGAATGTAAGCTGATAGGCAGTATCTCGTAGGGAACGCCGTCCTTGGCACGCGTTACTGGAACTGTACATTGATACTGTAATTAATTATCGAGCAGATTCCCAACCCAATCCTCTCACATCGTCACGCCTTGAGACATAGATTCTTCGGTGAATGTCAGATTCTTACAAATTCAGGCTGACTAATCTTGATCGTATAACGTACGTGTTATTTGAGGGATTCGTATGGACATCAGGACCGAGTCAGGTGGTATTCCAGCAGCCGAGGCTAACAATCAGGACATGCCATGAAGGAGCTTACATATTAGGTGAACACGTCAATCAATCTTTACGCCATCAGCCATCAACATAATAACGTCTATTCCACCTGGGCGTCGGCGTGGATTAGCCTCATCATGGAACAGAAATTCTCCTCTAACGTCTTTTCGCTCCCGAACAACGGAAAACAGATCTTTTATCTCTCTGCTGGGCCTTCAAATGGTCCGTTGATATGTTTCCTGCACGGCTGGCCCGGTATCGCCATGACCTGGAAAAATCAATTGCAAGCATTTGCCAGACTGGGATTCTATGTCGTTGCCCCAGATATGCCGGGCTACGGTCAAACATGGACCTCAACTGATTCGAGTGATTATGCACTTGAGAAGATCGTCCCGCAATGCATCGACCTCTTGCGCCACTTGGGGAGAGAGGAGGCCATCTGGTTTGGCCACGACTGGGGCTGTGGTCCGCTCTGGGCCATTGCGAGTCATCATCCTGAGGTATGCACGGCTGTCATAGCGATGTCAGTGCCATACCGCACCCTTGAGCTCGGTGTGAACTTTTTAGTCTCCCTGGTGGATCGCAAGTTATACCCCGAGGATGCTTTCCCATATGGCCAGTGGGATTATCAGAAATTTTACGAGCAAGACGCCCAGACGAGAGCCGGTGACAGGCAGTTCGAGTCGAATATTTCTGATTATATCAAGCTGTTCTTCTCCAAAGGCAGTGAAAAGACAGGCCTTTCGTATGCGAGGACATCGATGGTCACCAAAGATGGAGGCTGGTTTGGTGGTCCTAATGTTTCCCCGCCACAGATACCGCTGAGCAGTACTGTGCTGGACGAGGAGCTACTGACGGAGCTGGTCTCTGCGCTGACAAAGACCGGCTTTCATGGTGCCACGTCGTGGTACCTGAACCACGCAGCGAATGAGAAGTATACGCGGGAAACAAGCGTCAATGGAGGTCATCTCAAGATGCCAGTTTTGTTTATCCACACCGAATATGACGCTGTCTGTCAGACTGTGCACAATCCTTCGTTTATGAAGGAAATGCGAGCTCTTGCCGAGAACCTTACTGAGTTTACCATCAAAGCAGGGCATTGGGGGTTACTTGAGTGCCCCGAGGAAACAAATGCCGGTACAGTGGAATGGATATTGAAGGAAGTCAAAGGATCCTGGCCTGGGCCGGACTTGAAGAATGAACAATCCACGCCGCAAAGGCTATGATTGCTCAAGCAATTGTGCAAAGGTCGGGCATCGCTGCTCATCCGTGAGGATACTTATTTGTTTATGTTGGATCAGATTCATGAATCCGTGAATTTCCTTCTATGGAGCAACGGTCAAGCAATATACGAAAGAGGTAGAAATTGAACGGGTTTGTGCCGTCTGCGGAGATCCATTAAACGCTCTTGACGTCCGCTAGAACTAGGGGCCTGTGCCCTGAATTCCTAGTGATATGATGACGAGGACCCTTTGGGATGATCCAAGTTGGTATCCACATCCCTTTATACTCCTCTTCATTGAATCCCTGTCCACCTCTTTCCCCCACAGATGCACCCCATGCTTTCTCCTCATCCAACCATGACTTCCTCGGTAAGTTGTCAGATTGTATACTTGGCGACAATCCTCATAGCCGAATGCCCAGTTATGCTAAGTCAGAACCTTATAAAACATGGGCGGTCTGCAGAGATAAGATTGAATAATAAGCTCATGCCCAGTGCGCCTCAACCTTTCTTCTTTCGCTTTGTGATAACGCCAACGATTCAAGCCTTCCCGCCCCTGCCACCCAGCCAGTAGCAATGTCAGAAGAAGGAAAAGCACGGGAAATTCAGACAGAAGGTCAGGAGCAGCCTGAAAACATCGAACAGCTCAAGAAAACAATCACGATCGATACAATTCACAATGATGAGGCGCTCAAGGTACTTGCAAACTATGTCGGAGACGAGCAGTGGACAGAAGAGGAGGAGAAAAAGCTGGTGCGAAAGATCGATCGGAGACTCCTGACCATCCTTTGCTTGACATATGGCCTGTGAGTTCCCTCTGCACAATGCGTCTGTTTGGACAGAGCCTCCCAAGGAGCAGCTCTGGCCATATGGATCGCACTCAAATCACTGTGCAGTGTGACTTACTGAGCCGCTATTAGTCAATACTACGACAAGGCCATGCTCTCACAGGCGGTAAGTTATCTGCAGCTGCTAGCTTCTGTTGTTGTATTTCTTAACTATCACATAGGCTCTATTTGGCCTCAGAGATGACCTTGAACTCAACATCGGAATACGATACTCGATGTCAGCTTCGATTTTCTATCTGGGATTCATCGTCGGGGCCTACCCTGCTATTGTCCTAGCACAGCGATATCCCATTGAGCGTGTCGTCTTTGGAATTGTGTTGCTATGGGGAGTATGCCTCACCTGTACTGCGGCCTGTCATAACTACCAGAGCCTTTACGCACAACGGTTCTTCCTTGGAGCCCTTGAATCAGGCGTTTCGCCTGCGTGGATGTTGGTAGTGGGAGGGTATATTTCGATTCAGTTCACTGTCGAAGGTACTTGTACTAACACTTCTTCCAGATGGTACAAGAAACAGGAGCAAGCCTTGCGGATGGGGTAATAAGACCGTCGTTCATGCATAGCCCGAATGCATTGCTAATGAGCTGTGCTTCAGGGCTTGGTATAGTAGCACCGGATACGTTTCCATGGTGTCGCCTCTCATCAACTACGGACTCGGACATATCAAAGGTTCCCTTTCTCCTTGGCGCTACATGTACCTAGTTGCCGGATCAATCACCATACTGTGGTCGTTTGTGATTCTCTTCCTAATGCCACCGGACCCCATACGTGCAAGACGATTTACCGACAGAGAACGCTACATTGCCGTTGCTCGAATGAGAATGAATAACTCTGGAGTTCGCAATACTCATTTCAAGAAGGCGCAAGTATATGAATTGCTGCTGGACATCAAATTCTGGCTCGTCTTCGTCATGGCTTTTTGCATTCTAGTAGCAAACGGTCCAGTTTCAACATTCATTCCGATCATCATCAATCAGTTGGGATTTAGCGGACTTAACTCTTTACTTCTAATCATGCCAGCCGGCTTCATTATCGGCACAATCGAGCTGGGTGTACCATACTTTGCCTACAAATTCCCTGGCTGGAGAGCCTACTTGGTCACGATCACCGTCTGTGGTACAATTCTCGGATCTTTCCTGCTCTGGCTTCTGCCGCAGACGCAGACAGGGGCGAGGCTATTTGGAGTGTATATATTAGCTTCCTACGGGGGTGGGTATGCAGTCCTCATGAGTATGCAGATCGCCAATACTGCCGGTTATACGAAACGTTCAGTTGGTTCTTCTGGGATGTTTGTGGGCTACTGTCTAGGTAAGCCAATCTTTGAATCCCTAGAATATCAGGATCTTCTTCTTACAAACGGTCCTTCTAGGAAATTTTCTGGGACCATTAGTCTTCAGGACTGAAGAGGCTCCCAAGTACAACACTGGCTGGATCACCACTGTTGTCACATCAATTGTTGCTGCGATTCTTGCCATTGTGTATAGGGTGATCTGCTCGCGGGAAAACAAAAAGCGAGATCAAAATGGCGAGATGGAGGCATATGAACATGCCTACGAAGATGATTTGACCGACAGAAAGAACCCGCAATTTAGATATACTCTTTGATATATGGTTCGTGCAGCCGATCAGCAGTTCCATGCATGGGAGCCGGATCAAATATTGAATGCTGAGCATAATGAGCGCATTCGCCTTGTAGAGAAGAGCCAGAGGTCGATTCGAAAAGAAAGGGTGCGTGTTAATTAGACATACTTAGTTGGCGTTGGAAATAGATGCACTCTCCCAGCCCAAGAATCTGAATGATCCCAGAATTCAATCTATTTTGATAACCACCTTGCCCCACTGTTTCTGATCCCACAGGAACTGGTAAGCCTCCTTCACCTCTTCTAGCCCAAACAGCCGCTCTTCGACAACGGGAGCTATCCCTGTAGCAGCCAGGAACTCATTCATGGCGAGAAATTGCTCCTTCGAGCCGACATTCACCCCTCGAAGGATACAAAGGGTAGCCAAACAGTCTCCGAAGCTCGAAGAACTCGACGCATCCTTCCCACCCAAGAACCCAATCACAGAGATAACGCCCTCAATCTTGATCGCATTGAAGGACTGCTGCATCGATGCGTTGCCTCCGACCTCGACAATATGCTCAACCCCATTTCCACCAGGCGACAGCTTCTTAGCGACATCTCCCCAGTTCGGGGTCTCTCTGTAGTTGATCACGTACTGGACGCCGATCTCCTTCAATTTCTGCGCTTTCTCCTCGGAAGACGTGGTCGCTATGACATTCGCACCAATACCCAGGGCGAATTGTGCCGCGAAGAGACTAACTCCTCCAGTCCCCTGGACGAGCACGGTTTGACCCTTCTCCAGCGCCCTGCTCTCAAGGCCAAAGAGGGCATTCCACGCAGTCACCGCTGCGCAAGGGAGTGTGGCAGCCTGTATCGAGGTCAGGTAGCTCGGGAAATGCACAAGCCCATCCTCTGGAAACACAGCGTGTTGGCGGAGAACACCGTCAAAGAAGTTTCCAAGGGTGGTGACTCGAATCTCCGGGGTTAGGAGTCCCCTCTGCCATCGCTGATGGAATAAAGTGCAGACCTTGTCTCCAACCTTGAGTTTCTCAACACGATCGCCGGTCGCAATGACGACACCTGCTCCATCTGACACTGGGACGAGCCCTGCTTTGAGAGCAAAGGGGTAGTTCCCTTGCAGCATCGCGACATCTCGGTAGTTCAAGGAGGCCGCTTCAAACTGTACTAGGCAGTCCGTGGGGCCGAGCTCAGTGATTGGAGCTGAGGTCTGGAGCTCAAGTGCGGCTAGCCAGGATCCTCGAGATTTGTCCACGGTCCATTGGACAGTGGAAGTTGGGAGTGACGAGTGTTGCCCTGCCATGCTGGGTTGCTTGCGCACGATAAAGCGCGGGAGTTCAGCCTTGTCGTTTGATCAGAGGACTTTGAGCACTGTCTGCGGACGCTACTCAACTGGAGTCTTGTGTTGTGTTGTGGGACGAGGAGTTTATCAGGTACGTAGCCTTATATCATCCAGGACTCTCTTCGATTAATATCAGCCTTACCAAGCAATTGCCTTTCTCCAATTCAACCCCGACTCCAAGCCCAGTCTGAGGCCGAACTGTGGCTTGACAAATTGGAATTATTGTGTCAATTGATCACCGTCAGGGAGCACGCGCGACCTTCGTGGGCAATACACTCTCGAGCCCATTCAGCTGGATATAATTTGCACCTCTCTCGGATTCCTGATGTCGCCATGGTGCAATTAGGTCGCTGACTGTCGATTCGGCCGGCTCTGGGGAAAGATAGAGTTTGTGGAGGAATTTGGAGAACTTCATCTCCACAACCTTGGGTGACTCGGCCCAGTACCATAGCGCATACTTGCTGTGCCTGATGCTGCGTTTCACATGTTTGTATCCGCTGATATCGAGATAAAGTCCCCATACTTTCCAGGTTCGAGGTAAGTGCCGTTGCCTATACACAGCACTAATTCCCGTCGAAGGGCACTCTGCTTCCTCGACCTGGCAGGCTGATGATCATTCTGTCACACATACTATTTCCCTACTCGTATTAGCTAGAACAAGGAGTCTATACAAGAGACACCCATCAGAGGGCCACGTAGCTCATACGCTGATAGGAAAGTGGGTGCTGTGAACTTTTCTTTGAGTTTATCAAAGGTCTATTAAATAACGTTGCTCTATATGCTGAATCGTAAACTTTTTTTTAACATGTATATGCCAGGACATGATGTCATGCATGTCTCCTGCTCTAAAGAGCGAACACGGCCAAAAGAGCGCCTGCAGCAACTCCTAGTACCGAGCCGGACATGCGAGAGGCCGCAGCAGTGAACGAGGCTGCTGGGGCTCCCGAACCAATGCTGGATGCTCCATTGCCCGCCTGTGTCGAAGTAGCGAGAGTGGAACCGGCACCCTGAGTCGTGGGAGCACCATTACCGCTAGTGGGACTTGATCCAGTAGGTTCAGCACTTCCGCTGCGCGAGGACGTTGCACCTTGTGATCCGCTAGAGCCGTACGATCCAGTTGCTGTGGAATTAGATGAGCTGGAGGTAGACGAGGTCGAGTTTGACTTTGCGCTCGCTTTGCAAGACAGATCGTACAGTGGTTTGCCATTCTCGCTAACGCCAAAAGAGGGTGATGCACCACCATCGGCAAGGATGTACCACCAAAAGTCAATATTGCGTCGCTGCAGCTCGCATGAGACGTCTTGCCAGAATGATTCAGCGTTATCAGTGCTCGCAATCGCCAAGTGTGATGTTGGGCCAGAGGTTGGCCAGCCGGCTTCGGTGATCCAGATTGGTCTGCCACCAGCAACTGCGCTCACTTTGTCGTATGCCTCGAAGAACAGGGAGCCGGCATTTTCTATATTGTTGGTATCGGTCGTCTGGAAATAAGGATATTCGTCGAGACCGAGCCAGTCGCATGCTGAAACTAGCTCGGCGTTCGACTGGTTGACGTAGACGTTCCAGGTGTCAACGTGGCCAATAGGTTTACTTCCCAGGCTTGTTCCTTGAACGGCTTTCCGGACTTGGCCGATATAGTCCACAAGAACATCAGGACTTTGACCAACTCCACTATCGGCAGCAATGCCGATTGTCGAAATTCGGTAGAGGTCTTCGCTGCCCACAGAAATGCCTGTGACTAGGTCGGCAAAATCTGAGCCATATTGATCAATCGCACTCTTCAAAGCCGCCAGTTCGTTACTGAAAGCGGTCTGATCGACAGAGGCCCAGAGACCAAGAAGGAGAGTGGTCTTAGTCTCGATTGCGGCCTGGATTGCAGAGATGGGTGTGTTTTGAGTCCCCTCTTGAATCATAGTGTACAGCCTTGCACTGGTGAAGTCACTGGCACCCTCTAGACTAGCGGCAATCTTGAACTGGGCAGCAAAGGTCTCGTAGCTCTGGCCCTGGGATGCATAATTAAAGCCATGGACAGCCGCAAGAACCGAAGGAGCGGCCGCGAGGGCGGCGAGAATAGCGGTCTTCATATTTGGACTCTAAGGAAAATAATGAGGAAGGATGGTCGAGAATGAGAACGAAGGACTTGATCAATATACAAAAAGAGTGTAGAAGAGTACAAAGAATAAAGAAAACGCGCTGATAGATCGCGTGTCAGGACTGAATGTTGAGAATGGAAACAATGAAAATTCCAACTTGGCTTTCAGTGCCAATTGTACGCGATAATTAAGGTTGTTTACTCACCCTTGCACTACCCCTGATACCCATAAAAAGGTGGGCCTTTGGCTGCTGCCGTTCGGCAGGATCTTCCTCTGGCGCCTCGTTTGTTATTTGCCTTACATAAGTTAGGGGTTGAGCTGCCTAGAAGCACTCCATACTCGTAAGCTAGGCAGTCTGGCTGGACACGTCACACCACCGCTAAGGCTCGGGCTCTAACTAGGGGTAACTAGTCGCCTGTCACTGTGTGGAGGATCGTTATTTTTGGGCTGGGAGTGACAGATAGGAGAAGTCATAAGGAGAACCCCGACAAGGGTCGATGAGTGAATCATACGGAGTATACATCGTGAATGCTTGAATTCATCATTGTTCACCTAAACTATCCCGTACTCCGTAAACGAGAAATAGAAGGCACCTGTTGTCAAGATTGCTCCCTCGCTTGTTCATTGCTATGAAGTTCCGTACCATTCGTCACCACTCCTTCCTTTAGCATCTTATGTCAGTGCTTCACCGATCAAAGACATGAGAAAACAATCCGACCTAACAGAAGTCGCCAATGTTGAACGTAGGGTCGATATGACTTGTCTCGCAGACATCAGTCACAGGGTCATATAACACAGTTGCATCGACCTCGAGGTCTGCCGCTGGATTTCTGACAATCGAGAGCGAGTCGTCGGGTGTTAGATTGTTCTCGCAATTGATCTGGCTATCTCCACCACTTAGATCTGGGGAGCCAGTCCAGATGTCTATGTGATGAATTCCCAATTCCCAATCATCTGTGCATTGCTGACAGAAGTCCTCATAGACGACGTATTTTCGAAGGTGAGGGACGTAAACAACCTCGCATTGCTCGAATTGTCCCTCTGCGCTTGCCATTGTGAGAGGATCAGAGAAAGTTCCTGTGCCTCCCGCGGTGAAGTTGCGCCCGCAATCATATGCCGTTGCAGGACCTGGAGGGTCGTTATCAGGAAATCCGTAAAATGTATGCTGCACTGAATCGACAATAGTACAGGAGCTGCCTTGCGCATGTACGCTGGCGGCAAGAAGGGAGCAGAGAAGAGAGATAGTGTGATGCATCGCCGGCATGGCTGCGGAAGGCGTCGATTATGTAGATTGATAGATTCTCTTCTGAGATTTCAAGGAAATGCTTTGAGATCCTTTGCGTGCAGTTTGGTTGTCAGGAGGTGTAGGAATGGTGTCGGGCTGCGTCAAAAGTCTTTAGCGGAGAGTCGCTTTGAGCATGACAGAATTGCTGAGCATGTAGGACTCGTGGCTATGTGATCTGACTGAGGCGTCTTTATAGCACGAGGCATTCAGAAGTCTCTCATGAGGACGGTGATTGTGGCAGGGTTCGAAGGGATTGCTCCTGAGGCCGGGAGCGTCTTACAGCGCACCATCACAAATGAAGTAAATGCTGATGGCAGGATCTCTAGTAAAACAGCTCAATAATGATCCCATGGAACGTTCAGCCAGATACAACATCCTCCTCATGCTGTCTTCCAATCAAGTCTACGGTAGGCGTGTTCTCAAGGCTGATGACTCTGGGGCTAGCTTGCTTCACTGCGCGGAGATCGGAGGAGGATTTGCCCCTGAAATCTCCGCAGACCGGTCGGACTGGGTTGAAAAGCTCTTGTCATCCGTTGGATCGTCAGTCGTCAACCTTGAAACACGATGCAGATTGCCAGGTCGTCCCAGCATTCTCTAGGTAGCATTACTTATTGCTTCTTCAAAGAGAAAGTGGTCCAGTCAAGCTCTAGATGGGCGTAAATTAAGCCTCAAAGCTTGCTTGCACCGCCCTCAGAATTCGGAATCATGGCACCGACATAGTGTTTCCGACTAATGCTTACCTTTACGGGGAGGTAGAGTGCTTCTGTCCGACAGTTGCTATATTGCAAATAACAATAAATACAGCTGTCGGTCTTAGAAGAAAGGCCAGGTGATACTCAAAGGGTTATTTGCAGATCGATTTTGCATGAGTCAGTTCGACCAACAAAATATCCGGAGAGAATAATTAGCATCGGAATACTATTAATAAGTCTTAATTGGGCTAGAGCTCTGCCAGTCTGAATACTACCTAATCTGTGAAAGCTTGATAGGATCCGTTTTACCTCTTCGTCGTTCTCGGCCCTGACCCCCTGACTCAGGATCAATGCACAGTTCCCAGCGTATCAAATTGGGCTTCTTGCATAAGCCGTAAGCTTGAACGGCAAGTCCAAAACTTCTTAACTCGTATCAGCCTCGACACTAATTAAAGTCAATCTAGAGCGCGACGCAAGGCTGGCCTCTCAGGAGGGCAATACCCCTACTCATCACTCCTTTTGTCCTGCCCTTCGTTCAATAAATCACATCCCGGAAAACGATGGCCCGCTGATGATCGACTTGATGCTGCCGTTTCGGATGCTAGAGAATGCGTCTGTTGCGTCATCGAAAGAAAATCTATCTCTGATCAGGTCCACAACGTTGATTTTGTCAAACAGATACCCAGACTGGAAGCACCAGTATCTTCGGTGCCGGAAATTTGCCAAGGCAAGCAAGAGTACAAGTTCACATTTCAGATCAAAGCCCAATTTGTCCAATCTCAATCAACGAAGATTCGGTCTGGCCACTAGTTAGATCGAGTAAACATCGCGGGGTATTCATTATCTCTTTTAACTAATGGCGTTGCTTAATTTCACCTCTAGAACAGAGTCGGAGGAGGCGCTCTTGACGAGATTGACGGACTGTAGATCTGGCACAACCCAATCTGCCCCAGCATCCAGCAAATCCTGCGTGCTATGCGTCATTGCTAACCCGAGAACTTTACAACCCGCCGCCTTTCCGGCCTTCGCACCCGCAGGGGCATCCTCAAGCACCAGGACCGGGTTGGCCGATGCCTCAAAGTCCGAGTCTACACAAACCTTGTTGGTATGGTTCCGGATCTGGTTTGCCACGGGACACATCCTCTGCCGTTACCATATACTCTGGTTCAATTAGTTGCAGAGCCTTCAGCCAGCCCTCGACAAGTGGGTGCGTTCCAGACGTGAGGATGGCCCACTTCGAATTAAGCAATTTCAGCGTAGAAAGAAGTTGCCTCGCCCCTGTATTTCTTCTGCGTCGGCGCCGTAGAGGATAGGTACCTCTCCTTCGATTTGACGGATATAGCTCCACTCTGCCTTGGTCGGATCGATGGTCTGGAAGACATCAATGGATCGGCGGCCATGTGAGGTCGCTAGTATAACTTTAGAGTCGATGCCGTACATTCGACTAATTCTACGTTCCGAGCAATGAGTTAGCAATGTTAACCTGTTTGTTAGGAGTTAGTAATAGTGGCCCACCTCTCCGAATGTTTGATGATCGCGTTAGTGGAGTTTATCAAAGTACCGTCCATGTCCGACAGTATTCCCAAAACGTTGATAGTACATTTTTGCAGTCTGAAACGGATCTCGCTGTGGAGGGGTATCTAAGGCCGGTCAATTGGCGTATTGTACCAGAGAGCGCCATGTTTAATAAAACGCTGACACAGCTGTACGAGCTAAATGATTTTTGCACAAGGACTGCCCATTTCAGCCATGAGTTGTAAGGGGTTTTATCTATCCAGGAGAGAAACTAAGAACAGAGTTTCTCCGTACTTTATTCTAGTACTTTATTCTAGTGGAGGCTTACAAGATCATAATTCTCGCATCATCCCGACCATTCCGCTCAATCGCATCGCGAGAAAAACCGAAAGTCGCAAATGGGCCGGCGGTGCCTAATGTGGCAAGTCCGCGCTAACACTTAGGAATCAACATTTAACGAGCCGATCCGGTGGTGGAATCGTTTGATTTCACTCCTAGGTTGTGATTTAGTTTAATGGGAGACAATATGGCTTGGGTTGTTTGGTTTGGCCGAGTAGCGGGTGAGGAAGAGTGATGCCGCCATCTGCTAGCTTTAGAAAGACTGTTATATAATCTGTTCAGGTGAATACACGTCGATTGGGATTATGTCCTTATCCTATAATCTCAGTTATGCTAGGATTTGGGTAGCTTTTGATTGGCTCGCTGGCTCGATGTTGAGAATATCATGGCGGACTTCCTGATTCGGTAACTCCCGCTCCCACTCTCAACCGTTGGTCAGCACCACGAGGGCAAGGTGAGACGCATTTGTATCCACGGCAGACCAAATTGCGATGAGTTTCCCAATGTTGATGCAGTGCTCGGAGGACCGTGTTGGACATCATGCCCACGCTTTCTTGGCTTTCAGAGCGGCTTGGATCGCGGCAGATACATCATCCTGAGTTACGGGCTGTACTTGGCCGACACTCTTACGTGCTCGGCTGGCATATGCTGCGACAATTCAATATTTCCTGCTTTGCTTATGCTTCACGCCCTCCTAACCCCTTCTCTGATCCAAGATCGTGGCAGAGCTCTGCCTTTTGGTCGTCGCTGTGCCCAGCGTTTTAGTAATCATATCGGTGTTTGCATCCGTCGTGGTGACCGTGTAACCATTAGCGACAGGGTGTCGATTATATTCAGAAAGTTGACTTCAGCCTAATTCGTACTCACAAGTCGCAAGCCTACCCGGCACTGCGTTGGTGATTACGAAAACTATATCAATTGGCTATCTACCGTCCCTCACGATTATATTTACAAACTCGTTACAGTATAATGGCTTAAAATATTCCTCTCGCCTATTTAATGATTATTACTATTTACTGGTTTAAATTATAATATTTAGCTACTAAAACTGTAATATGTTAATCTATTCTCTATTATTTTTAGTAAGAAGTCTTTTGTTATTGCTTACTATAAGAGTCATATGCTCAACTTTATCGGGCGACACCAACTATAGGCATAATCACATGTCTCTACGTTGTAGGGGGGATAATTAAGAGTAAGTATCAAGCCTTCCTATTCTTTACTGATTACTCAAACTTACTAGAAACTAGCGATTGGAGAAAATACTTAAAAATCTAGGATATATAGCACGATTGCCTTGATCTTCCTATCTCAAGGCTTCTATGCATTCTTCATCACACCCTTGACGAATCTATACTCGACCGAAATCTAGCAGTGAAAAGTACGTACTACAGGCATCACTATTTTCCACCTGCTTGATAGTGGATCTAGGTAAGCCTACATTATATTCTTTGCTCTTTATAATCATATTCACTATTACTCCTGAAATAAGACACATGGCTTCCTTTAACGCTCCCTTAAACCACAGTAAATCTGGGATGGAAGGCCTTGCCCGTCACCGCTCCTACGATATTGCGTTCTTGATCATCATTTACTTCACCTGGCTGGAGACCAAGGGCACTCCATTGAAGGAGGCCGCACTCAAATTTGAGAGAACGGCTGCCTTTGCCGATCCTACCATCCTTGCTTTGCCGGACAGAGCATTGAGGGAGCTCAGGCGACGACATGAATAGCAAAGTTGGACGTAGCCTCCTTCTGAATGATCTACCATTTCTACTTTGCCAGCAAAGACGGATAGGTAGCCTGTCCAGATCGGACTCTTACATTCTGAGCACATACAAAATTCGATGACCATCAGACCAGGCTGTTCATGGACGTGTTCATATGTAGTGACTATGGAATTTTGTTCAATTCAACTCATATTCGAAGACTTTCCGTATTTGTGATTTCGTGGCTCCCTTCCGTCCGACATGCGCGAGAATGCGCCTACCTACTGGCTCGAGATTTCACACTCTAGCCTTGGGACTTTTGGACTTCGACGTGGGATACCTCACCGCTTTTCATCTCCTCTAACTTTCTGAGAGCAATGATGCTACCCATATCCACTTGTGCGGTTGCGAAGTTGCGCAACGGAGTGCCTGACTCGAATAGCCGGTCCACTTCCTCCAAGCTACGGCCCTTCACTTCCGGCACGCACCAATATGCAAACACCAGGGACAGGACAGCCATAGAGCCAAAGATGAAGCCCACTTTGGAGCCTAAATTAGCATATGGTGCGTTGAGGAGGTATGGAAGAGAGAACGAAACGGCGAATCTGGATCTGGGTTAGCATTTCTCGACTCGTAATCACGATCTCTACTTACTGGGTGATAACGTTGACCACCGAGGCCGTTCGGTAGGTCAAGTCACGCAGCTTTGAGCTGGGAAGTTCCGCGCTGAGAGTATGGACGATTGATGCCCAGCCAATGAAATATCCAGTGACAAAAATCACCTGCATAGCTATTATACCCGATTTGATGCCTCTGCTTGGATCGTTCACTGTACCCAGACCACCCATTGTCATCAGGGCAGCAGACTGAACGGTACCTCCCACGAGCAGTAACTTGCGCCGGCCGACCTTGTCAACTAGAGCCATCGAGACCAAGCAGACGACTGTATTGATGCATGCCGTGATAATCGTGATGTTAAATTGATTGATAGTCCCGAGGGATTTGACAAACAAAGCTCCGTAAATGGAGGCAAAGATCTGGCCAGTTGATTGCAGGAAGAAATTTGCGGTGATGACTACCAAGGAGCGTTTGAGGTTGACTCCTTTCCACATGTCGAAGAACGTCCCTTTTTCCTGTTGAAGTTGTATGCCCGCGAGGATCATATGGTACTCGGCATTAATTTCCTGCTCGCTGAACTTTCCTTCCCGTAACTCGCGGAGAGCCTTCATGGCGGCTTCGGGACGGTCCTTTATAGCCAGCCAGCGAGGCGACTATGAGTTTGATGAATTCAATCAGCTCGGCTGGTTGAAACAAGGATGGTCAGGGACATTCTCACCTCTGGCACGAACCAGATTAGGGAGGCGACAATGACCGGTACAACGTAGAACAAGCCGAATGGAATTCTCCACGCAGAGTTATCATTATTGCTACCGGTTCCTCGCGCAACTGAATTGATTACAAGGCCGCCAATCTTTGAACGTGGTAAAATTAGTCTCAAAACGCGCATATGGGGTTAGACTTTGATTTACAGTCAAGCTGAGCTGGTAAGTCCCGACAATGAACCCACGCGCCCTGGCTAGAGAGATATGTCAGAATATGCCAAAAAGGGTTTTTGGGAAAAGTCGACGAGTAGCAACGCGTACCTGGGGTAATTTCTGATTGGAAGACAGGCACAACAGAAAGCTCCATACCAATGTAGATGTCTAGATACGCGTATGTTAATCAGTGTCCCCTGCGCTGAAGGCTGTTTGCTTACAATTCAATATCCTTCCCGCTAGAATCTGGTCCGGTGTCTTCGAGGTAATAACGATTGTGGCGGAAAAAATGGCCCATAGACTCATGATGAACATACACATCCTCCGGCCGAAATGCTTGCTGACCCAACTGCCAATGATAATGCCTGTAGGCAATTAGCCTAGATACCCAAGTTACTTGGTCAGAAGCTAGTACCGAGGCCAAATGTGATATAATTGAAGCCATTGAAGTATGACAGCCATACAGTAGGGAGGACATAGGTCTTCTTCTTTACATCCCATACCCCAAATTGCTTGTCAAAGGCATCCATTGACTGCGTTGCTGCGAAACCTTGCTGATCGAATCCAAAATTGAACTGCGAGACTGCAATGAGGAGTGCACTCAGCGTTAGCCTGCGATTGAAGGTCTCGCGTAAGGCGAGATGTTCGAATCCTAGCATCTTGACGGTGTTGTTCTTGATATTAGAGAAAATGGAAAGCACAGAAAGCGCTATAATATATCCTCAGGAGACTTGGATAAGCTGTGAACCTTAACAATTACACTGCACTTTCAAAGAAATATATAAAACGCCGGGAGGAAATCTAAAAGACCTTCTATAGGATTTATTCAATAGCTGTGCACAGTGCAGGGCGGTCTCGCCGCAATGGCAAGGTTGATGGTGAAAAGCACTTCCCTACCGGGGTGTCATGAGAGTATGGACGTCCCACACGGAAGTCGGAGACGCTATCGGCTATCGGAGAAAATTGACGGTGCGACTCCCGTACCATCGCAGACTCTAAATGCAGTTGTTTTGAAGTTCCGAATACTCAGATGATCAAGGGTGGCTTGTCGTAAGGGCATTGGACCAAATCATTCAAATGTAAGCCCTTGCAAGGACCGAAACCACATTCTTGCTTCGAAGGGACTTCGGCAGTTGGCAAGCTTTAGTCTTTTTCCCAACATTGAGGCAGCATAATATCTCTTGAGGCCAAGGAGGCTCTCCTGAAAATACCACCACCAGAACAGCTGCTCAATATCTCCTATGGCTAAACGCCCGAATTTCCTGATCATCGTTGCGGATGATCTGGGGTTTAGTGATATTAGTCCCTATGGGGGTGAAATCTCGACACCTGTGCTCGAAAATATGGCCAAGGAAGGTATCCGAATGACAAATTTCCATACAGCCTCGGCATGCTCTCCCACAAGATCGATGCTGTTCTCTGGGACTGACAACCATATAGCCGGTCTCGGGCAAATGGCCGAGCACATGCGCGCATTTGGCGACTACTTCAAAGGGAAGCCTGGATATGAGGGATACCTCAACTGGCGGGTCGCTGCCCTCTCCGAGATATTGGAAGATGCGGGATACCACACGATTATGTCCGGAAAGTGGCATCTAGGCTTGTCTCAAGAGCTGGCACCATGCTCGAGAGGTTTCCAAAAGAATTTCAGCTTCTTGCCAGGCTCGGGCAACCACTATGCATACGAGCCCCAACTTGACGATGATGGTTTCAAGATTCCTGTTCTAAGTACCGAAGGCCGTTGGATGGAAGGAAAAGGGTTTGTTGACATGAAAAAGGATCTACCTGCGGACTTTTATTCGACAACTTCCTTCACCGATAAGCTACTGGGATACCTAGAGACGAGGAACATAAAAGAGCAGGATGATCCTTTTTTTGCCTACTTACCATTTACTGCCCCACACTGGCCATTACAGGCACCACGAGAAGTGGTCAAAAAATACCAAGGGGTATATGATGATGGTCCTGATGCCTTAACGCAAAAGAGACTTCGTCGTCTCGTCTCGCTGGGATTGATTGAAGCCGGGGTCGAACATGCCCCTCCTCAAGGAGTCCTCGGCAAGGAATGGATCGATATGACGGGAGATGAGCGTGAGGCATCTGCTCGTAAAATGGAGGTATTTGCCGCCATGGTTGAAATAATCGATCAAAACATTGGACGGGTGGTGGAATATCTAAGTAGGACGGGTGAACTTGACAACACTTTCACCCTCTTCATGAGTGACAATGGGGCGGAAGGGGCTGCTCTCGAAGCCATACCGATGATGGGTGGACCCAAAACTATGGGCGGAATCATCGAGAAATATTATGACAACCGCCTGGAGAATATTGGTGAGCCGACGTCATTCGCTTGGTATGGAGCTCGCTGGGCGTGTGCGGCGACAGCACCGTCAAGGGGGTCAAAATGCTGGATCACCGAGGGAGGCATCAGGTGTCCTTGCTTGATTCGCTATCCGCCTTTCAAGAGCACACGAAACGCGATAAGTCACGCGTTCACAACTGTGATGGACATCCTGCCCACAATTCTCGATCTCGCTGGTGTTCCCCACCCAGGGAAGACTTTTCGCGGGCGCGAAGTAGTCGCCCCTCGTGGCAAGTCCTGGGTCAATCACTTGTCTGCCAGCAGCGACCACACCTCTACTGTTCACGGTGAAGACGTCCACGTCCACGGGTGGGAGCTGTTCGGCCAGCGAGCGATCAGAGAGGGCTATTGGAAGGCCGTCTGGCTGGACAAGCCCCGCGGTAAGGCGGATTGGCAGCTTTTCAACGTGGAGAACGATCCTGCTGAATTGTATGACTTGTCCGATTCGAACAGAGAGATTATGGATCGTCTGGTGAGGCACTGGGAGGTCTATTATGCCGAGACAGGAATGGTGCAGACCCCTATGTTCGCAATCACTAAAGCTTGAAGTAGATGAACCAATAAAACTTTCTGGCTATCGTATTGAGAATAAGAGATCATCAGCGATGGACGATCAGGGCCCTTCTGGTCTTGCAGGCAAGTTTTACCTTTTGTCGGAAGTATTATGAAGCGGCACGGCTTGCAGGGATCAGACCGGCTCAAACCGGCTCATGTAGAGTGCTCACGGGGGATTATGCTAGGTAAAAACTCAACCTGGGCCTTGAGTTCCACTGTGCATCGAACGGAGGCAAAGGTAAATGGAAGCCTTACATCGAGTTTACCGCGTGACCGACGGTATTGTACACTCGGATATCCGAGATTCAATGAGATTCAGGAGTGACGGTGCTACGTCCTACGCTGTGTCTGACTGCAGAATATCCCATGTGCTTGCCGTGGCTTGCCCATCCAAGCGGAGCCTGTTGTTAGCTGATGTCTTGTCAGACGCACCTTGTTTTGCTTCCAGAGACACACACTCTCTTTACGTCACTGCATAGGCACCTTCGGCTCACCGGCTATCGGAGACGGCTGCTCGGAGTTGTGGATGACCACTTTCAATCTTGACCTACTGGAATTGTGCTTTGTCGAAGCCTATGATCAGCGACCGTTCGAGCATTCGGCGCCTCCGCTTATACTCTGAAGGAGTCTTCCACTTTCAAACGCTTTGCTAGTGACACATGGATGGGGGCTTCTCACGAGCCGCAACGGAAGCACTAGTTGGCGTTGCCAATGCAACTTCAGGTCGAAGCTCGCTCAATGTGTGCGCGCAATGCAGGGCTCGAAAGGTACGATGAGTTACTTCGCACATTGTTCTTCTCTGTAATCGTGAATAGCCCATGTAGAACATAGCTGACTTGAGTTGCGATGGCTAGGTGAAATGCGATGGCCAACGTAGCATATGTGGTACCTGCCAACGACTGGGCTTCCGGTGTAGCTTCTTGCACCAGGCTCCCAATGAAAGCCTTGCGACAGAATCCTCTCAGACCTTTCGCCATCGAGCAAGGCGAGCCTGCGTCGCCTGCCGTGCTTCAAAGACTCGATGCATCGGCGAGCATACGCAATGCAACAGATGCCGGAAGCGCGGCACCGAGTGTGTATTCCTGCCCAGAAGCGGCCATTCACCTTCTTCTGTTCAGCTGCTCTCCCCAGAGGCTTCCAGTTACTTGAGACCGGGAAGCCAAACAATTTTACCGAGCTGCACTGTTCACTCTGCAAATGATTTCGGTGATGGACAAAGAGACACGACCGAAAACCGAATTGATTCATTCGAGCATGTCCGGTATGTTTAATTGGCAGAACAGTTTCAGGACCCCTTTAATGCATTCTATGTAGTACGGTACTGCCAATCAAAGCGATAGTCATGCAAACCATTGAAGACTTTTTCCGACATATTCATCCGCTTTCCTATTTCGCCTTTCTTCACAAAGCTTCAGTGATACAAGGATACCTCAAAGGCCATGCTGATGCTGCATTTATCTTTGCGCTCTGTGGCGTCACAAGTCAGATGATGGGATCAACATTAGAGACCCAGCAGCAAGCCGCCAAATGGATCAAGGAAGCTGAAACTGTGGTGCTGCAGAGCCTGGGCAAACCATCTATCCTCAAGATCCAGGTAATCCTGCTAATTATTGGGTACAAAGTGCACATTGATGCCATGTCGTCCGCATTTATGCTTCTACCACTGGCTGCAAGGTTTGCCTTTGCGATGAGACTTAATTACGAGAACCCGTCATTGTGTTGGCTCGCCCAGGAATCGAGAAGACGAGTCATGTGGGCAATCTTCATTCTCGATACCAAAGCAGCAGCAGGTCTTGCAGAATTTACCACCTGCGCTTTGGACACGATTCATGTACAGTTACCATGTCGAGAAGAGGACTTCGAGCTCGACAATCCACAAGTTACTGGCAGCTTGAAGTCAATTTCCCAGCAGCCTCCGACATCAATCGGCCTTTTTACACAGTACATTCGTATCATCAATATCAGAGATCGCATTCTCAGGTATGAGAGGAGATCAATATGTTACAGGATACGTAATACTGAGTAAACATGCAGGTTCACTAAACATGCCGCGGGAAGTGGCAGAATTGACTCCAATCCAGCACAAACCGTGCGAGATTTTGAGGGTGAATTGCACCTATTCGCAAGCACGCTTCCACAGTCGCTGGCTTTCTCGGAAAGAAACCTGTTGCTTCGTGCATATTCCTCAGAATTGTCCCAATACATTATGGTCCACATCTGGTGGCATCAATGTCATTGTGACCTCTATCGGCTTCTCTTTGACGGCTTCCGGGAGGCCATTTCAAAAAGGGTGCTTCTCAGCATTGACCCGGAGCTAATCGCTTATTGTCGATCCAGATGCCTTGACCATGCTCGAGCCATAGCAGCAGATATATTTGCGACACTACTTGCCGTTGAGGTGGACGTCAAAGTTGTGGATAAGGACATATCTGTTTGTGCCTATCAGAGCGCTAGGATTCTGTACCAAGGGCTTCAACCAAGTGCCGAGCGGTCCTCTATACTTAATGAGACCGTGTTGGCACAGATCGGTAATTGTTCTGCGGTCTTAAGGAAGCTCTGCGCGAATTTCCCCGCGGCGTTAGATATTGTAGGTTCAGAGCTGGTCCGTCAACACCTTTGCATGCTAACATTCGCTCTAGGCACAAGAAATTGACGCTAAGCTTGGAGGTCAGATCTCAAGCAGTTCATCCCTGAGCGGACCAAGTTCACCAGCTTGTTCAGTCATGGCGTCGTCTGAGCCTTCAGCTGTGCAAAGAAAGCCCCGAGTGAGACAGGTTTTGTCACGCCACAGCTTTGTCAGAGCATCTGGTTTCACTGACGACAGCTCGGAACTAGTAGCACCACTCAATACTATGATTGCCAAACGACAAGAGCACGTATATGCATTCAGTCCCAGCCCCAGCGTGTTGCGAGACGGCCATCCCCAAAATCCCAAGTCCTCTGGCGGAAATGCCGGAATAGGGCTCAGTGCGGACACTGGAAACCCTAATTCAGTTGTGTTCAACACCCCACTCCTTCCCTACGCCTCTGCGGAAGGCTCAGCAGATCCTTCAGCTATTGTCCCTCGAGATGGATGTGAAAGTGTTGTAGGTGGCGATTGGGCTAACGATGGCGCATACCAAATGGCCTGGTCCTCATTCGATCCTTGGATAAGTGGGACCTACCATCAGGATAACTGGGACGTGCAAGATTTCATGACTGGGAAATGGGATTAGCAGCATAAGCATCCTAGCTTGGTATGAAAATTAATGCTTCCAAGCCCTGCGAGATCTCCTGATTGCATTCAGTCTAGGATCAAACCCTTGACATTGTCCCACAGAGAATGTAACAAATTATAACATTCCCAGGTTACAGAAATTTTCTGTCCAGATTAGAGTTTCGTGTTCACATTTGGCTTTGTGGGAAACAGGGCTTATTGAGGTCTCAGATTTCTAGACAATGCCAGATTTTTGGCATTCTATGTACAACGCGAAGCCAGTTATTTGGCATTTCCATTCATCCCTTGATCTGCCCGCTCCAGGCGTTCTAGAAACTGCTCTCTTGGGGATTTCAGCTGGACCTGGGGGAAACGAGCATCCCTCTGCCAGGGCAGGAAGTCCGAGCCACCAACCATCCAGCGGAAGATCTCACTTTCCAGGGCGCGTGCGACGCTCGCATGCTCGGGGTCGTGGGCTAGATTGTGCATCTCTTCCGGATCGTTGATGCGGTGGTACAGCTCTGCCGGTTCGTACAATCGATAGACGTATGCCCACTCTTGACTCCGAATACTAATGGCCTTGCCCACTAAAGCCGTATCCTTGTGCTGGAGACTTGCCTTGATGTCGTACGGATAGGGTGCTTGTTCGAGCAGTGGTTCCTCGCTGATCAGAAAGCCACCTTCACAGAAGGCATACTTTTTATGTTCAGACTTCCCGTCGATGAGCACAGGGACCAGCGACTGGCCATTATGTGGAAAGTGCTCTCCTATCTCGCACAACTCGAAGATAGTCGGGACGAGATCGACCATCTCGGCCATGACCTCCGTGACCTGACCCTGAGGTAGACCGGCACCACCAATGATGAGTGGTTCGTGGACTAGTGTTTCCGACAGCCCTGACGGCCACTTTTCGATCATCCCATGGTCTCCAAGGTACTCGCCGTGGTCCGTGAAGAACATGGTTACAGTCTCATCCCATAGACTTAATGAGTCGAGCTTTGCGATAATCCTCCCGAATTGATCATCCAAGCGAGATATCATCCCGTAGTACGTAGCTTTGATCTCGGCCCAGATCTCAGGGGTTGCGCGGTGCGTGCCGTACTGTTCACGATTCACCGTCATATATCGCGGTTCGTATCCGGTCTTGTCCTTCGGAGTCGACTTTACCGGGGGCATAGCCGAGCGGTCGTACATAGAAAAGTATGGCTCCTCAACTTGGAATGGGCAGTGTGGGAAGAGCAACGGCATAAAAAGGACCCAAGGCTTATCGTTGGGTGGACAATCTAGCCACGTAAGTGCCGATCGGACTACTGCGTCGTCGTAGTCCGAGGCTTCTGTCGAATTCCGCAGCCCTTTGTAGAATAATCGACTCCAGATATTCTCTTTATCAATATTTTCAGGTGCACCCCCTCCGGTGAACTTAGGCACGACTTCAGGCGTTTCGAGAAATCCGTACTCAGTCACGCTCAGTTCGGTAACAGTAGGTGCAAAAGTATCACCTCTGGGAGCTAGGCACGCCACATGGTAGCCACTCTCCTTGAGACTTCGAAATATATTCGGCTCCCAAGGCTTGATGAGATTCTCCAGACTTCGATGCCCACTGACATGTGGATATGTCCCCGTAAACATGGAGCACCTCGACTGCGAGCATACTGATGCCTGGACAAAGCAGTTGTTGAAAAGCGTGCCTCTTCGACTGAAAGCATCAATGTTGGGCGTTTTCACAGGAGAAACTCCTTTCGTGGTGCATCCCAACGAATCGTAGCGAAGCTGGTCTGGCATGAATATTACCAGGTTCGGCCGCTGCTGACCATGCTTGCTCTTTATTTTCAGAGGGCATGGCTTGGCTGGTACAGAGTACGACATTATCGCTATCGGAAGAAATCCCCAACAAAGTGTCAAGGAAATTTCAAGGTGCTTCCTGTATCAGTTTTTTCACAAAGCAGGCCAGAGGGACGAGTTACAAGTATTTTGATCTTAGCAATACGAAGCTCAGCCCGTCCATTATTTCGAGCTAACTATCCCTTTCCGATCCGAGGGCGTTCGACACTGACTAAGTCGAGGAACAAAGCCAAATCCATGACAGAAACAACTAAAGCTATACATGATAAGCACCGAAGGGTGTTGAAGAAATACATGGTCAGGTGGTGGGCCAAGTGTGGGCCAGTGCTCCGAGTGCCGTCCATATTTCGGCCCTTCGGGCTTCCCTGTCGGCATCGGAGGACACTAACTGACTAGCTGCATATAAGGCTGGCTGAGAGTTCCCATCCTCCAAGCTCTCCAGAACCGCCCGACGTGTCGAAACTGATGCTAATTTTCCCAGGGGCTTTGAAAAGGTCAATTAGTAAAATCAGGAACAGTCACTAAATTCTGTTCCAACTCGGCGCTCCAGCATTACAGGCCCTATCGAACAAACCAATTTTAGATTGCTGAGTCTGCCGTGGAGAATACTCATACTATGTACTTCCCTGGTCTGACTTCTGCTCCACCACAGCGCAGCGACATATCAACACCAGCACTAGCAAGATGCGTCTTGTGTCTCAATTTCAATACTTCAACACGAAGTTGACTTTGATTTGCTCCCTCATTGCCTTGTAATTCTTTAATTATGGCCTGGAGAATTCCCTTAGGAATGTTCTACGTTGTCCCCAACATTATCCTCAGCCTGATTTGGTTCGTTCCAGAGTCTCCCCGTTGGCTCCTATTGCAGGGGCGCAACGACGAAGCCGAGGCCAGTCTATACAAGCTCCTTGAAGGACCATTTTCAGAGAAGGAGATCGACAGTCAGTTTGAGGAGCCCAAATACTCCTTTGAGATGAAACAAGAGAAGGGGAGATTTTCGCAAATCTTCCGCGGCAACCACCTCAAACGAACGTTGCTCGTAATTATTGCCAACTTTGTCCAGCAAGACACAGTCAAGCATTTGCACCATCTATATCAAATCCCTTGGCACAATCAATGCGTTCAACTTTTCCCTCATATTGGCCGCGGTCAAGATAACCGCCTGCACAGCATATCTTTTCATGGCTGATCGAGTAGGAAGGAAGTATGTCGACCTCCAGTCCTGAACATCCTTTCTCATGGGGTATAATTTTTTAACTTGAGGTTCCAGACGTCTCCTCCTGATCGGCGCCGCCGTTCAGTGCGCAGCACTCATGACTATGGGCGGCCTCGGCACGCCCAAGCCGGTCACTTATTCGTATAAGATCGGCATCATCTCTAGCCTGGCTGTCATGACGGCCGGCTTCTCGCTCGCATGGGCACCCTTAACATATGTCGTGAACCGAGCGTCACTGACACATCCTTAATCTTCTGAGCTCGCTAAATTCTTGTCTCACTGCCCCCACATCTCCCAATTAATAGCCGAGGTGTTCCCCTCATCCTTGAAGATGGCTTGATACTCGATGTCACTATCGTCATTTAGTGCTCATGATATCCTTGCTAAGGGGTACTACACTCCCATTGGATCGGAAGAAGAACTAAGCGAAAGGCTGAGACCTGGAATGGGATGTGGGGTTCACTGAATTGAGCAAAAGGACTGCGGGGTGCTGGGGAAGCCAAGATGAGGAGAATAGATGCGAATAGCATATCCCCAGAAAGCCAAGGCTTCGGCAGATGCCCCTTTGACCTTGAGAAGAGGTGATGGATGGGGAATGCGGGCAGACAAGGTGCATTGGACCTGCTATAAATCATGTAAGTACCCTTCTCTATCCTGAAGGAAAGAAAGATACTGCTTCGCCAGCGTTGTTGTTTGTGACCCTGAAGCTGCCTATCAAGCTTGGTTTGCGGCCCAATCTCTCGAGGCGGCCAATCATGGATCCAATCGAAGCAGAAGGCAACATCAACATCGATGGCAAGCATGAGGTCGAGCTAGAACACACTGAGAGACTCGGCGATGTGCAAAAGCATGAACTTCCTCCACTGACGAAAGGTCAAACTCGACGCTTCAAGACCAAGGTCGATCTCCATGTCTTACCAATGTTGGGTATAATCTACGCGATATCCATCATCGATCGAATCAACATTGGAAGTGCTAAAGTCTTGGGAATGCAGCAAGACTTGGACTTGGGAACTGGACAGCGATACTCGATCATCCTTATGTTGTTCTTTCCAGGCTATGCCATTTCAGATGTGCCGTCGAACTGGATTCTCACCAGAGTTCAGCCGCGAATTTGGCTCCCCTTCCTGACGTTTGCATGGGGTGCGGTATTGACAGGTATGAAATGAAGCTTAGAAGCGTGGTCCAAGTGGTATGATGAAGTCGATCAGAGCTAATTGTTGCTCAGGTATGGCATTCCTGCATAACTGGCAGGCGATGGTTTTCTGTCGTTTCCTGCTTGGTTTGTTCGAAGGGGGAGTCTTGCCAGGTATTACATTCACAATTGCGTGCTGGTACACAAGGACAGAATTGCACAAGCGGATCGCCGTTGCCTATGGAGTTGGGATTATTGCGTCTGCATTCGCCGGCATCCTCTCTTATGGACTCGGGTCTATGGGAGGACTCCGCGATATGAAAGGGTGACTACACATCTATTACTATATTGGCAAGTACGCTTACATCTGATAGTTGGCGCTGGGTCTTCTCTATCGAAGGAGGTGCCTCCATGCTGGTCGGTCTTATTGCTCCGTTCTTCGTTCCCAGATTCCCAGATTCCACGAAATGGATTAAGCCAGACGAAAGACAGTATCTCTATACAAAACTTGAGCAAGATCGTGGAGACTACAAGACAGGCACGGTGAATTGGTCCTCCTTTATCGAAACCTCGAAAGACTGGACACTGTGGGTTCAGGGAACGATATACGCCTTCAATGTTGGAACCGCTAATGCAACCGCCTTTTTTGCTCCGACTATTATAACAGTAAGTAACGAGCTATGTTCAAATGTCGGCCGATAGGCTGATGGCTGGATAGGGCCTGGGTTATTCCGGCCTAGATGCTAGTCTGCGTTCTGGTTACCCCTTTTTCGCCGCACTTGGTCTTATGGCCATTACTTCGACGATCTCAGACAAATATCAGCGAAGGGCATCTATATGCATCTTCAATTCAATCGTTATGATCATCGGCTTCTCTAGTAGGTCCATGACTACGCTCTGATATCATTTTCACTGCTTACCATCTCTCAGTTATGCGTCAGGGTTTATCTAACAATGTTCGGTATGCCGGTATCTTCCTGGCCACGATGGGGGTTCATTCCAACACCCCAGCACTACTAGCTTTCAACCAATCCAACATAGTCGGGTCAGCTGCGCGAGCAGTATCTGCAGGTATCCTAATTGCCTGCGGCGCTATAGGAGGGATTATTGGAAGCTTGATTTTTCGTGGTCAAGATGCTCCTTCTTATGGACCTGGAATCTATACTACGATTGGTCTAACGACTTACATGGTATTTGCTCTTGCCTTCATGGTATGGATTTACAGGAAGCGTAATAAAGCCGCGGATAGAGACGGTGTCGATATTCAAGGTGTGCCAGGATTCAGATATGCATTATGAGAATACAGACATGCTACTCAGGCTATGTTGGTAGCAAGGACAGAAGCTCATGCAGTACGGTGTAAGCTTATCAGGTGCCGCAGTGCTCCGGGCCGAGGCATCCTATGATAGGGATAGACTATGAATTTACCATGTTGTTCAGCATGTTGTCGAGATGATCCGCTCCAGGCCCTGTGATAGTTCTCGCGCTTGTCATCATTGAGGTCTTTCTATCACATTAAATGAATGTAGAGCACGCATAGTCTCGCTGGACGAGCATACCTTCGCAGCTAGCAGGAGGTATTGCATAGAGCATAAAGGGCAGTCCATGAATTGACTACATATGATTCAAAAGAATTAGGTCGAATCTTGTTCCCCTGAATCCATCAGCCTCACCAACAGTTAGTTACCTCGTCTACTTCTGACTTCGTTTCTGAACATGAACCTCAAGGCCTTCCTGCACAACGAAAAACGTAGAATGATACTGCAGTGGTCGTCCAGGATGCAGCAGTGTGATCTCGAATTCTCTGAGGATCTGGATGAGGGCCTTGTTCATCTCAAAGAGTGCAAGGTTACGCCCGATGCAAAGATGACTGCCACCGCCGAACTGTTCGCTACGTTAGAATGGTTTGACCTCTCTTTCATTTTGAGGTGGGAAAACGTACCTGGTAAAGATGAGAGCCCATGAGCTTCGCGTCGCGTTCAAACCACCTCTCAGGGCGAAAGACTTCAACGTCATCTCCAAAGACTGTCCTGTCTCGGTGCAAAACCCAGCCATTTACCGCAACCTCGGTCCCTCCGGGATAAAATTTCCCATCGATCTCAACCCCCTCCGGTGGCACATTGCGGTAAATCCCCAACCCAACGGCCGGCCGTACTCGCATTGCCTCCTTCAGGCACGCTTGGAAGTAGTCCAATTTCTGCGCTTCAGCATATGTGACAATCTCCGATAATCCTCCGGATTGCTGCGCCTTGTCGATTTCTTCCTTCAAATTCGAATAGACAGCTGGGTTGTTCAATACCAGGTAAAAGAAAGACTGCATCGTCGAAGCCGTGGAGTCAGATCCGGCAAACCTGATGAAGTTAATCGAAGCGTGCGGGGACCATATGGCTTCAGAGAAGAACTTACACCGCACCATGAGCAATGCTGAAAACATCGTTCACACTGAACTTCTCGGCGTTTCCTTCATGTGCTCGGAGTAATTCTGCCAGGAGATCAATGCCGGACGAGTCGTAAGTGCCGTCTGATTGTTTTCTCTTCTCGAGTTCTTCAACAGCAATTTTAGTCATCGTCGTCGGACTTGGCTTCCAAAAGGGCAGAAATGGTCTTAATGGGTTGTTTCGAAACAGGATGTCGAACTCGGGAATGTGCCCTACAATCCCGTCGTACCATTGCACATCATCAATATTCTTAATTGAGCCTTCAACATCAACCTCGGCCTCCAGAAATCCGAAACTCCTTGAGAAGGCGACTTCTCCAAGCACCTGGAAGTTGTCAGTTGCGGCAAACATGGTGGGGACTTCAAAGATACGTACATCAAAAGCAAAGTAATGTAACAGGTTCCCAAGATTGCAGTCTTTGGGAGTATCGGTCGCATAATTTGCCAGATGATCCATTAAAGACATGATCATCCTCTCGATTGGCTCGGATCGCTTTTGCATCTGTGCCAGGCTGTAAGGGGTGACGGCGTAGCGTTTCATTTGAGCATGCTTCCATTCGCGGACCTCAGTAAAGATATCTGGTGCGTGCTAAAATACTTATGAGCACTATGCCGGATTTTGAGTCAGAATTCATGACGCAGCCCACCTTTGGAGGAAATACGCTGTAGAACATCGTCTTATGGAAACCCTTACCAACAGCAAAAATATCTTTTGCCGCATTGGTGGAGGAAAATGATACTTCATTGGGAGCAGTGCGAACTACGGGTCCTGAAGAACACGGCTGGATTAGAATGGGCGCAGTTGAGGTACGGATTCAAACAAGGGAGAATTACCATATTTCTCATGCAGGGCGATATGGTCAAGTTCTGTATGGCCGGAATGCGTGCTCCATACTGTACATCTTAGACAGATCTTCCGGCGGACTCTGTGGTGGAACCCTCACCTTTCCATAATCGAGAACATGATGCGAGCACGGGGCCTGGAATATGACGCAAAGGTGAAGAATATCGCCTGTACAAGGCTCGAACGATGACTGAAGCGAATATCAGAAGGAGGAAATGTGCTTTGGCAAAGGCAAAAGCCTGTGCTGAAAGGGATTCGTGCGCTGAGTGCTGGTTATTCTCCATACTGGCTCGAATGCTGGTAGGTTCTTAGCAGTGAGGCACAATTCACGAAAAAAATTGCCAGATGTTATCATCATCCAAGAAGCAATCCTCCATCTTTAATCTCCTCGAGGTTTATCCCCCATACCTTGTAGGATTCTGTGGCGGAGGATTGACCCCACACAAGCCTCAACTCGTTCAGGCCAAGCGGTCGACTCGTGTATGGCCATTTGTGTTCCTGTCACTCTATGCGGAGAAGCAGCAAGTGGCCACTGGACTTCGGCAATTGAAGCTTTCCAGCAATACCTGGTAATGGCCCCTCATAGGAAGTCCCCACGCTCGTTTCCGATGGAAGACTCCAATTGGGATGTAAGTCCTAATCTGCAACGTCTAATTGGTGCTGAGGGGCAACCCCACAGCAAGCATGGTCTCTACGAGTAGGTTAGACGGTGGCTTTAAGTGCTTTTAAGTACGGGTATGGTCTCGCATTCTCGACTGTCACCCAAGAAGTCGCTCCACCAATGACAAGACAAGATCTTAGTTGGGTACAGCTTTCCATCATAGCATGCATCGAGTCGACACTGAGAAGAATGCTTGAGGAAGAGAAATTCGTTCTGTGGTCGGAATTGGCCAACCTCATCTGCTCCATGGCATTGCTAGGCAGGGGACTTCCAAACGATAGGCAACATACAGTGGCCCTTTGTCTAGCCCAGCGGAGCTATGCCTTTATCAGACCGCCTACGGAAGAAGACGTTCTCGCGAGCAGGAATGGTTAAATCCTTGGTGAGGTTTTCGCGACTACAACCCCTTGCTATGGGACCGATGTTCATTGTGAAATCGACATGGACTTGCTGGCTCCATTCGGTGGCATATATCACGGAATGAAGCGCACTTACCATCAGGTATTGGCTAGTTGCTGTGATTGCACCCCTAAGATCTTATAGTAAAACCCCAAAGCGTGTAAGGGAAAGTTTGATTCTATGGATAGATATTGGGATCGAATTGCCAGGCTTCATGTCGCCAACATAGAGCTGCATCGTCGCTGTCCCCTTTGATTCTTCGTCTAGTGCACCTGATCCTCGACTTGTGTGACCAGGACAGCCGGTTCCAATCTGAGGACTAGATCACACGAGAATCCTCCAAGCTCCGCATCTGCCACTTGATCTAGCTTGACGTCCAGAGCAAGGGTCTTGTACACCATAACAAGTTTATGACCTCCTGATTTCCCAGACTCCATAACATTGATCAATTTCTTCAACCTGATCGAAACGAAAGGATCGAATAGGCGACTCGTGATTCCTGGTACCGATCATACTATATCTTCTCAGGGCCATCTCGGTTGCATGGAACGAAACTTCATTCGCAGGGCATCCTACTACAACTAGTTTCCCTAGGGTTCGTAACATCCTTGGTGCAATGTCAAAGCCCTCCTTGACCGCAGTGATAACTGCTAGGGCGTGCACTCCTCCAGAGGCTAACTGGTGAACTGGCCGAGCAAGTCTGGATTCAATTGGCGGTTAATTATGTAATCCGCTCCTCCTTCTTTCGCACGCTCGAGGACTTCATCATTTATGCCCACCTCGATAAATCTGAATTTCAGGGCTTTAACATCCCTGACAGCTTTTCCGGGTCAGTAATTGTGCTCGTAAAGTCATGAACAACGTACCCATTTGACCAAGACTAATAACTCCGAGCTAATCTTTCTTCCGAAGCTCCGGGGGGGGAACAACGTCGTAAGCAGTGATCGCTGCACAGAATAATGGCGCCGCTTCTGTTGCGCCGTTATTCCGCTAGGTACCATCATGGCTGCGCAGTACTCCACTATACAGGAATCTGGTAGAAATCCATCTTCAACCCAGCCTCGCATCTGGAGTTTTCCGGATGTGCAGCAGCCATCATGACATTTACACCTAGGAATATCCTAATAGGCATAGAATGCTTTTATCAACCCATTAATGTCACTCTCGTTGAAGACGTCTTGGTTTCCAATTGTGACAATTTCGCAAACACCTTCGTGCGCTATGATTACTATGTCCTTGGGAATATTCGGTGTAGAGCCATCCAAGACCATCTAGCTGCAGATTATTACTCTGCCTGTGTTTCTTGAAACCGTGCATACGAGGTCAGTATGACAAGGGCCGGATGAGATAGTTCGAACAACGATTTCGTCACCCTCGGGCTCTGGAATAGGTATGTCTCCAAGGTTGACAGTGCCACTGTCGATGTGGAATTGTGCGGCTCTCATGATTGTGTCGTTTAGAAGGACATGAACAACAACCATTCACAAAAAGGTAGGATAGTCGAAGACTCGATGATGGCAGAAGATTGAAGAACACTCATATTCCTCATTGGTTGGGGAAAAAGGTACGGGAGCCGGCGTCGTAGGTGACCTTGATTCGAACACAATGATCTCTTTCCAATTGGTGAGCATGTTCTGGTAGGCAGCACTAGCATGCAACTAAACTTGGCGCCTATTATGAGAAATGTGACGGAAATCGTTGCATCTAAAGTGATATATGTGCTGGGCGAATCACGTGCGCCTCATCTCGCATCTTATATGGCAAGCGAGGTGCGTATAGTCATCCATTCTTTTCAAGGCTCAGCGTTTCAAGATGCTGGCGGTTATCGACAGGGTCTGATGCAGCCGGCTCCCCAACGTTATGACTCCTATGGAGTTGAAAGGGGTGGCATGCTGAGCTCCCGTGACGAGGGCTTGGCTGTCACAGGTGATATCCAGCCTGCAGGGTGAAGCAATGGTCCTAGATCGGTGAGTAGCTTTTGCTCGCGGGCGGTACGAGTCTCAAGCTTTCAATGATATGCTCTCGAAATTTCAAAATCTAGATCTTGCAGCTCTATTTCTCCAAAGCTTTCGACTGTGGTGAGGTCGCAAGTTGCCATTACGGACCTTAAAAAGCCCCTGCTGAGTCGTAGCCTTGTGCCAAAGTCGAGAAGAGGGAACACAGTCATGGCGCTGATAGAGGAACTGCTGAGATTCACTTCTAGTGGAAAGGTATCAAATGTATCGTGAGTACTGAAAGACAGAAAATCTGGTGTTGGACCTCGTCTTTCTTTCTTAAGGTCTTTGCGTAAATGTGAGACCAAGCCGACGACGGCACAAGGGTGAAGGTTGGAAAGTTCACTGTCCTCCTCGCCTGCTTGCAGTGATTGCTTTGTGCTATGTCTATTTGTACTTTGCTCCATCTGAGTCTGCAAAGATGAAAGAAATTGTGGTGTAGATACTGGGCTCAAATCGTATGCTACCATGGTGTTGCACAGAGTGAATAGTAGATTGAAAGTGCCGGCTGCTTGGTGATGAGGAGCGGTTGCTTCTCGGAGGTATTTATTTGTAATAGTCGAGAGATAGGACTTGAACTTTGTGAGTTTGGGTTGGTCCTGGTGGCGATCATGGAGCTTTAATTGCGATAATGCGATTGTGTCGGTTTGTAGACCCTGAATTTGCAATGTCCAAATTCGAATGCGGCGTAAGGTGTCAACGAAATCATCCTTTGCTTTAGCCAGTACGTCTTGATTGCCATGAGCATCAAACTCTGCCAGCATGTACTGATTGGAATACTCCACAGGCTCCGTCAACGCGGATTCCGGATGCGTCATTTGCAGGAAGAATTGAAAACCACCGCGCCGTTCAACCAGCTCGTGCATGGCTCTCAAATGGACAGACTGTAGATCAGTGCGCCCAATTGTGTGTTCAGCCATTTGTAGGCATATCAATCCACACAGCTGATTGTCAAACTGGGCTTCAGGATTCAGTACAAGGTCTCCGACGGTCTTGTATGCATCTGCTCGACGTCGGAAAAAGTTGGCGGTCACCTGTTCTGATCTCAAACCACATAAAATATGCTCTGCCATAGCTATATGGGTTTCAACATAAGCGGGGCTCCTTTGGAGAAGACCTCTGCCAGCAAGATGAAGAGCCGGACAATATGCGGGTTGTGCCGATGTTCCATAAACGACCTGTCTACCTTCGGTAAGGTCTATTCAAGAGTCAGCACGTGGCAGGAGAACTCACAAATCAACATACAGAAATGCAGAAGCTGTTGCTCATATGTGGACACCTTTATTGCTAGTTGCAGGAAGGGGTCTAGTATAGACTCGATCTCCTTCGCGAGGGTTGGAGGATGATACGTGTTTGCTGGTTGGTGGGATGATTGGCCTGCTGGGGCAGCTTTTTGGTGACCTTGGTTGATCAGGCTTCGACTTGTGGCTCGATGAGGTAACCGTAAGACGGAGTCTTGTGCCCCAGCTGCTTGGTCCCAGTTGACTGGCCTTAGCTCATCCCTAATCGGGTGGTACAAAACCTGGTGTTGGGCATCCGTAGGAGCAGATTGAAACAAGCCTGGTCGATCCTGTTGCGACGGGGTCTGGGGATTACTTGATAGTGTGTCAATCCTGTGGCCGTAGTGAAGCGTAGTCACTGGCTTTTTGGGGTCCGTATTCTTTTTGTTCTGGTCGCCAAAGATATCTTGGAGTTCTTCCAGAGACCAACCGGCCCTTTCATCCAATTGTGCCTTAGATTCGACCTTCTCAGCCTCGCTCTGGGTCTCACTTTCATCGATCAACAGATCAGCTGGACCGACAGAGGTGCGTTTACGCGGTCGTGCCTGCCGAGCCGTCCTACTCGACTGGGCTCGACGTTGGCTCGCCTGCTGTGCTTTGCGGTTGGCGACATGAGAGTTGATTAAAGATAATGTAGATTTCTTCTCGGGATACCAAGCACCGTGAGCGCTGGATGTAGTTACAATGAAAGTGGTTTTTTGTTCTTCCTTTGGCATCGCATCTCGTCAGCGGAGCAAAAAGCGATAGGAATCAAGCAAGATCCTCGGATTTCTCGATGGGGGAACCGTTTTTACACAAGCGACATGAGCACGATCTGGAGTGGCGTGGATCTGGCACCCGCAAGTTCACATCACCTAATGGTAGGCTACCCGAGCCCAGGAAGCTCCTGCTGCCTGGGCCTATCAAGTCACTCACCCAGACACCGCTCGGTGCTGAAAACCTTTAGCTTCATGCAGGGACCCAGAGGAGGCCTTTTACAGGTGCTCGGTCGCCAGATGGCCACTGATGATAGGCAAAGGGGCGCTTGGGCGGCAGCAGGACCAGCGCCCTAACTTAATTCCCCTTTAGTAGGACGCGTACGGAGCCCTCGGCAGAGTCTGCTCGAACATGTGTGCCTAGCGACCCAAGACCCAAGAGTACTCCGTACGACTGCCTAAGGATATGGCGTATATAACCACCTACGTCGATACGGTGCTGTGGCTTCAAAAGACGAAGGGGTCAAATTTAGTAGTGGCCAAATGGGTATCGAAGTGAAGTTATGTATGAGTATTCAGGATCCCACCTGGGGGTGTGGCCCCATTGACCTGGTGCGCACCCCCCGCAACCTGCAAGCCGCTTTACCCGTACTACCAAATAATGGACAATGGTACTATCTACTCGTAGGTGCGTGGGTGCCCCCCCGACCCTCTGCTTACTGTGAAATACTTGCTACTTCATCCTCTGTACGGAGTACGAGAAACTGGTGATTGTTCGTCCGCACTTCTGGAAGGAGAAGTAGTAAGTCCCCAGGCTCATCAGACCTGAGACTCTCCCCAGCACCATTTACTACCCCGTAATTAATATCTCACCGACTCCCATCGCCCAAAAGGTGAACATTGCGGTTACTAGGTTTGGACTAGCAGTGCTCATGTGACAAAATCATTCATCGTTCCCTACTCCGTCCTACTTCTGTCAGTTCTTTCCTTCAAATTGTGCCGGCCTTTCGGATCGCTAAGAAGAAGCCTGAATTTTCTCACACCAACTCCGCCATCACCAGCCAGATGAGCCTACGTGTTGGTGCCGCCGTCTTGAATGTTCTTATCTAAGATATATCGAACCCCCGATGGCACGTAATTAAACAAGCTTAGCCATCACTCATGGATGATGATATTCAAGCCATTCAACCAGAAGTTGAATCATGGTATGGTGCCGAATTGAGACATCTTCGTTCAGCGAACGAGCAGGTCGCCTTCTACTCGGCCGATAGTTACATCTTCAACGACGGCGTTATTCCAAGCGATGCCTCCCAGGATATCGTCCTTTACGATGGCAAGCATGAGCGTGGGCTACTTATGCCTAAGCAAATACACACGTCATTGGACCCCTTCGTAGCTCTCCCAATGGGCGTTCCAGAGCATCAGCGGGTGCGCGTCCAGTTTTGTATGCCTCAACTTATATTGTCAGCACTGCCATGCTGACCACGTCATAGATACTCAAACGCTTGGAGCTGGGATTTTCGGGGTTTCGGAATCACCCCGCTACTCTCCAACCGCAGCGACAGGCATAACCACTGCCATATACTCCGAGGTTGGCCGAGCCTGGATTTGTATCCTGGTGGATGAGACCTTGAATGTTCTGAAAGGGGGCGCTGATAACAAAGCGCTGTCCCGTCAGAGAGCGCGTGGCTACCACGAGCTCAGCAAGGCATTGCGATCTGGAGATGATCATTTTCAGGAAGCCCTTATGGGTTTGACCATATGTGGACTAAGCGAATTCCGGTTTGGGACGTCTCATTCAAGGGATATGCATGTCACAGCCGTCGATATGTTCATTCGCTCTAAAGGTGGCATCAAGGAAGCACTCGCAGCAGCACCGAATGTTGAACCGTTTTATGTCAGCGGACAGTTCGGATTTGGAAGGTGTTATTTTCCATCTGCCGAGCAATTGCAAAGCACCATTCAAAGGTGGAAATCTGATATTACGAGCATCCTCTCAAGGCCTCGGCCAAGCTGCATTGCGACACCTACCTCGTCCCCCGTTGCACCGTTTATTCGAAGAGACTATCGCACTCGCGAAGCAAGGATAATAAGACTGGCGATTGAATCCACTGACACAATCTCACCACCAACAATGTTCGCCGCATCCATGCAGTTGAGTCTGTTTCTCGAGCTATCGTGGCTGATACTACAGTTTGGCAGCCGTTTTGACATGGCTATCAACCTCTTCAAACGAATCGAGTACCTTGTTAAAGGTAGCTTCGATGGCGGGGTTCCCGGAAACAAGGCTTTCGAACTTCGTGCTGCAGCTTTCGCTACAATGGTTAGTCGCGCCCGACGGGATGTTCTTGGTAACTATTTTCCGACCCAAGTTGCAGAATCCGATGCCTGCATCACCGGCATCCATACAGATGCAATGAAGATGTTCCAATATCTTGAGCCTGAAGGACGACAATTTATTATCAACAAGCTCGCAAATTGGTTATCGCGGAAGGAATTCTCGACCTATCAGCCGGAGGCCCTGGAGTCTGAGCTAGCCGTGCTGGAAGATCAGATCACTGAAACATGGGCCAGACTCAAGCCCTGATGGTTATGGCATCAGTATTACATGCTCGACACCTCCTTCCGCGACTACTCGATCTCACATCGTTTCCTCCTGAACGGCTGGTCTCAGTGAAGGAGTTCCACGCGATCGATGATGGATGGCCTGATTCGACCGTCTTCCCTAACATCTACATGAAGCAAGCTGAGCAGCGAAAGCGCTGTCGCCTACAGTCCAACAAACTTAAGAACTCGGTGCCGGCGATACGCAGTCGTAAATAACTGTTGGGTGTACAACAATTTCTTCCATTGCCTCATTGTACGGGTCGAAGATGACTGAGGATGGTGTTCGAAAAAGATCTAGCTTAAGCAATAAGGAGATTGGTATGTCTTCATCGTCGAGTTCCTTTGTTGGCGACTGGACCTTCCCATATTCCGCCTATAATGGTTTCTATGATCAACGAGCACGTCACTTGCCAAGTTGTTACTCCCGTCTGTGTCCAGCCATTTGAGATTGACTTTGCTCCATCATTGGGCAGAGTGGTCCGCGAACGCAAACTTGCAGCACTGACCATCCAACCCGGCTGATCGATGATCTGCAACAATTGCTGTCACCGAGCTGTCGGGGGCTTCTTCGGCATGATGCTTTGGCCCAGTTCCTCCACCTGCACCAAACATCTCTTCCGTGCAAAACGAGCGGTCTGGGAGAAAGGGCTCCGCAGACTGACTCAGCCCCAACACGAGGATGTATTGTCTTAGACTTACCACACGAATGATATGAAGGATATAGGAATCAAATGGGAGTACGGCTCAATCCTCCCTCCGAGTTCGCACGATCCTCGTCTTCATGTGTTGCCGTACTGATCTGTCATCCTCTTCATATTTCTTGCAGCGTTCTATCAATACATTTACCTTTTTCAAGCGTATCTCGTTTTCATCTATCAAGGCCTACCATAGCTAGTAATGTGCGAGGAAACGGATATTGCATGATCTGCTCTCGGAACAAGTACAGTACCCGTGTATTATGAGCTAAATCGGGATACAATGACTTGGGGGAATATGCCAATTGAAGAGTCGATTGATAGTAAACCCACTGTCCTGTCACAATTGTTTCTCACATCGCAAAAGTTGTGCGGAGCTGCGCTTGTATCAAACCCGAGGTCAGCGAAGTCCGCGCCTTTCTGATATCTTCGTGTATATTTTCGTACAAGTCCACAATCATTGTAGCCGGCTAGATCAAGATTATGGGTTCTTCAAAAACAAAGTATATATGAGAAGCATACCAAGATCTCATCAAATATGGTTGATCTTTAATGCTTGTTAAGGTTGTGCTCAAACATGACAAGTGACCCTAAGGATCCCTGGGATCGTGGCTCAATAGTTTCAACAGCCAATACCCCAGCCCTGAAATTTCCAGTGGGACAATGCTTGACTTAAGGTTTACAGCAGGCCGCACATCCGCAGCAAGCAACCGAGTCTCTAATCGCTGCCTTGAAGTCAATGCAGGTGCTTCGGTGTTGCATAGTCATCCGTGTGGGGAACGCCGCCGGCTATTATAGTGTTCTCGGTGAGGAATGTTTCCATGACCGTTGTCAACGGAGTCGAAAGACCACGAACAACGTATCCTGTGCGATGCGGATTAGTTGAGAATGGATTAGCGATTGGCCATTGCAGGTGAGACCCGTTTCCAATGGGCAAATATCGAGATTAGAAGGCATGGGTACGCGAACCAGAAACATTTCATACCAAGTGGTATTTCAAGTGATGAAACCCAAGGCTGGTTGAAAGCTCTGGCCGTTTGCCATGTATTGGGTGTATTTATGGTCCAGGCATGGTGTAAGTCGCATGTATAGTGAGCAGACCGAAAAAATCGATCTTAAACATCTTTGGAAAGGAAACGGCTTCGACGTCCAGCACAGTATAGTCCATGCTCCGGGGGAACTAATGGTGGTGAGTGATGTCTCAAGTTGCAATGGAGATGTTAAGATCAATCGTCTTGGAGACAAGGGCAACGTGAATCACACTCGATGTAGTCCAATGCCCGCCTACCTGTATTGATTTGACAGCAATGGCCGTTCCAAAACGTCGGCAGTCGTGCTGACATGGCATGGTTCAAGATATGGGTCGGAATCGTCTTTAGAAAGAGATCCAATATGAGCCATTCACTTAGTTAGATCGAAGAATCATAATATGCGCACGAATTTTGAAGGTGGTTCCTTGTGCCTGAGCATCAAGCAGTCCCAGTACACTGAGGCGTATTGGCCTTTATATGGACAGTAGGAGAGCAAGTTCCAATTTTTCAGCGATTTGTCGGCCTGTGTAGCGCAGTCACTCTCCACCCTTCACGACTTCAGTTTTGTTTTCTAGTGCACAGTTCTCAAATTTCCACAGACCTTGGTAGACATGATGCGATTGGAAAGGAGGCAGGTTCTGCGTGCGACTAAGGTTGGGCTCGCGCAATATATCGGTGTGTTCGTGAAGGTTTTTGAACAACCCGTGTTCCTAAGTGGTCGCCATCTCAAGCAGTTCACAGAAGATGCTACTGAGTCTCCAGTGAGGTGTCGCCAGCATGAAGACCCCGGAGAAGAATTTGCTGAAGCCGACGAGAGTTGACGCAATTTTCGCATATGCGTATCTGGGACAATACAAGATGTAGGTGCGGAGAGAAGAGTGCCTGGCCCACGTGCGATCTGGATTAACGGACACTCTGAACGGTAATGACCGAGTCGCCAATGAGCAGCAATATCCCAGTGATCGGTTAGTCAGAGGATGAGTTTGATTGTGCTTGGCAGAATGTGAAACTTGGTCAAGTCGGGGCTGGACCGAACTTGATATGGATAGGCGTCAGGGGTAAAGAGAAGGGGGCTCCATTAGTAACTCGGCAACGCTCACGCTTAATACTTAAGATAATCACAAAGACCCACTTTCCCCTTTATCAATCCTCCGCAAAATGTGTAGATCCGACTAAAATTAGAGAGCTAATTCCTCCGGACTGCACGCAATGTAACTGTTTGCCTCCGCTCTTCGCCAACAATTTACCTCCTCAAACACCGATGTCTCTCTTCTTCCAATACGAGGCCAAGCGCAGCGAACGAGGCTTGGCGCTGCAGCTGGAGTGGTACGGCTAGTAGGCTAGCAGTAGCAGCGCAGGTTGAAGAGCTGCCTTTTGACGGTGGGCTTCTTGTCGTTCGGGCGGTCATGGTCCCAGGAGTCAAGGACAGCTCAGATTGGTGTGTGACATGAAGGATATCGACTGTGCGAGCCTGACCCTGAGCCCGAGCCCGGTCACCCGTAGACAGACTTCCAAACTCTGTGAACACGTTTTGCTGCCTTCAATGAACGACAGCTCTGCACGAGCGTCTGGTCTTGGACCTCAGAAAGACCAGTACTCCCCTCTACACGCAGCCTACAGCCAATCCAAGGTGCCATCTGATTGGACCTGCTGAAAACGCCTGATTTCCCACTTCATCTGAGCCACTCGGTCAATCTCGAGTCGCAATTTCAAAAATGTCTCTGGCCACCCAATCAGGAAGCCGTTTCCTGCACCCACTTAACCCACCTGGGGTTAGACTCCCGTGCAAGCCAAAGCCTTGCTATCCTCCTCAACATCCACTCATCCCACCCTATTCAACACCTTGCACCTGCGCACAACCTGGCTCGACGACCTGGAAATTGACCAGCACTAACTATGACGGAGGTACTCCTCCTTAGACGCGGGCCGTCCAAATTGTCAGTGGATTGGCCCCAATCAGGTGAGCTTTCCTGTTTCCAGCTATACTGCTAGACCATGCGATGCGCCCGTCACAAGACTATATCCCTCTGCTCCCGTCGCATCGTCTTCCTTCTTTCTTCTTTCCTCGACCTCTGTTCCAACTACAATCCAACAATCGACCTTCGTGTCCCTACGTTCGTTACTTTCCATTTGCACCCTGGTTCATCACGAGTCTCTCGAAGAGCTCCAGTCATTCTTTCAGAACCAAACTAAGTCACTCTTTTATCAATCACCATGGTTAAAGCTACCTCCGCCTTCGTGGCCACCACCCTGCTGGCTTCCTCAGCCATGGCCTGGGAGTCTGCTGCAACCACCACCACCACCACCACCAAACCTGTCGACCCGGCCACCACCGATGCCCCATGGCTCGATTGGACCAGCTCTACGACAACCAGCAAGGAGGTTGACCCTGTGAAGAGCACCACCACCACTGTCGACCCTTGGCTCGACTGGACCAGCTCGACCACCACCAGCAAGAAGGTCGACCCGGTCAAGAGCACCTCGACCAGCGTTGATCCATGGGCTGACTGGGCGAGCACCACCACCACCTCCAAGAAGGTTGATCCCGCAAAGACCACATCGACCACCCACGTCTGGGCTGACTGGACTAGCTCGTCCGTCAAGCCAGTTGACCCCGCCGTCACCGCCTCGACTTGGGCCCCTGTCGACCCCGCCGTTTGCGCCGCCGTCACTGTGACCTATACCGGTGCCGGATTCTGGGTTCCCGATCCCGCTGGAGCCTGGGCTGACTGGACCAGCTCTTCATCGACCACCAAGAAGGTCGATCCGGCCAAGAGCACCTCAACCACCTGGGCTGACTGGGAGGTCACGACCACCAAGAAGGTTGACCCGGCGAAGTCCACCAGCACCACGGTTGATCCCACCTGGTCCGACTGGGTTGCCTCGACCACCACAACCTTGAAGACAGTTGTCAGCACCACCACCAAGCCTGCTGCCACCACCACCGGCACCAAGCCTCCGTCTGCCGCGCCCACTTGCCCATCTGACAACAAGAAGAGCGTCCTTGCTGGTGGATCTTGCGGCTGCAGCTTCACCGTGAACTGCGGCGTTAAGGCCTCCCCAGATGCCTCGTCCCTCTTCTGGGAGAAGACTTCCGGCGGCATTGTTCCTACCCTTGCTGAATGTTTGGCTCTCTGCGACAGCAACGACAAGTGCGAGGCTGCCCTGTGGGTTGATGATGCCACCAACGGCGACTACCATCACTGCTGGCAAATCAGCGGACTCGGTGCCCCAACTGGTGAGGGTGTTGCTCAAATCTCATACAAGGGTACCTGCTCCGGCAAGTGCTCTGAGTCCTACACCAAGGCATAAGTTCGTTCATGGGATGAGAGTGTTCATAGCGGGTCTCTCGACAGGAATGTCAATCTTCTAGTTTCAATTGCATAATTTTCAACACCCATGTGCCTGGAGAATGGATAGGCTTGGTGAACTCGAATTTAATGGCTGCATGTATAAATTCTTGAAGTCTCTTTCTCGAGAACAGGCAAAGATATGTGAACGCGGCATGAAAACGGGAACAGTGGCGTGCAGCCAAAAGCCACAATTGCAGACGAGTCCTACGATCTTGATAATTATCGTTTCCAAATCCAATCCCTCCATGCTGCAATTAACGCGTATCTGAGCTGCATTATTCTGGTTCCTGACAATTTCTCCGGGGGAGAGCACCCAGCGTTAGAGCAGCTAGGAGCAGCCAGCTTTCTAAATCCATTGGCAGCACAATTTTGCCCGCAAAAAACCATCAAGTTCGTTGAACCAGTATGTTGAATCCTTCTGCATGAACGAAGCTACAGTCGAAAGTTAATCGGGCCAGATCGAGTAGCCTGAAATTCTTAAGCCTAAACATCCTTCCTATCTAGGTTCTCGGTTTTCGGTACTCCGTCTCGAGTTCTCCGAGTCCCCCCTTTCCTTGCTTCAATAACCAAAGTTTGGGAGTATCAACCACAGTAAATGTTACCATGTCCATGTGTCGTCCTAGCCCAAGTAACATCTCTCACACTCCATTTCTCATTGGCGCTGGTGTCTTATAGGCGTCTTCCCAGAATTTTGCACTGTCTTCTCCTAGCCATCTCTGACTTTCATTTGGCCAGTCTGGCTGCTTTCTAAAATAAAGGTTGTCCAGGCTCAGTTCCACACTTTGGCCTGTCATTTCGTCGTTGTCGATAAAAGTGTCGAAAGCTTTCAAGACAGTGCTCATCGGAGTAATATGCTCCTTTGGGAATATGTCTCTGACATGTGGAGGACACAGATTCGTTACTATAAATGCAGGACAGATACAATTCACCGTAATTCCCTCTTTGACCAAAGCTGGCCCGGTCGCCCTGGTGAGTCCAACGATACCATACTTTGCAGCAGTATACAATGGATTGCTTTCCATGGAACTAGACAATGTTAGATTGGTATGGTGTATCCATCTTGCTTCACTTACTATAACCCAGCAGATGAAGAAGTCATAACGACCTTGCCTCCCTTCTTCTCATTCTGTCGAGCATAATACTTGAAGAGCCACAACCCCTGAATCACAGCGTCGAGGTCCACTTGCATCGTCTTCAGATTCAGTGGCCTCGGAGCACCATTCTCATCGACTTCCATAGTTTCGTTCTTCTCATACAGACTCTGTCGATCATCGATACCTGCGTTTGCTGCGAAAAAGTCCAGTCTCCCACCGCCCCATTTGAATGCCGTTGAAAATAATGCGGCCTGTTGCTCATATACGGATATGTCAACCTTCTGGAACAATGTATCAGAGCCAAGTTCCGAGCGCAGGCGATCACCTTCTTTCTGATTGACATCAGCCATTACCACTCGATACCCACGGCTGAGCAGATGTTTGGTCACAGCAAGCCCGATGCCTGAGGCGGCCCCGGTTACAATGGCAACTGGCTTCGTCATCATAGCTATCTGTCTGGTCAGTCGGATCAAGAAAGTTTCAACTAGCAATTTGACAACAAAGTCTGATGCTGTCAACTGATATATTATGTGCCCTGACTCCTTAAGGCTAAATGCATCACCACAAGTCGTCCTCCTGTCTGATCAAACAAATGTGGGGTTGTATGTTTGCCTAATGTGGAGTTCCCCAAGAATATGATCACCCCCACAAGTTCATGCTCCAACACCCACCCCACAGCATCTGCATCATCCCAGCGAGAAATCTTTAACTTTTGTACCACGGTCATAGAAATGACAGCTAAATCTCGCACATGATTACTTCTCCTCTGGGGGTTTTCCGATCGGCCCATCTTCACATTCTCTCGACGATATATGTACCTGCATGGTGCCCCAAGACAAGGCTATGGTGAATAAATAACAACTCTTGTCTTGGTGAATCGGTAACAAGGAGACAATACTCTCTTTCTCTCTTTCCATCTCCCCATACTCAATCTACCAACAAAATTATGACAACAGCCTCAGACCCATGGGTGATTGTTGTTGGAGCAGGGCCTTCCGGTCTTCTCCTAGGACTGCTCCTAGCACAGCAAGGGATCGCTGTGCACCTTATTGATCAGTCTGATAAGCTTGATGAACAACCAAGAGCAACTCATTACGCCACGCCAGCCGTGTCCGAGCTGAGGCGAGCTGGTGTCACAGACGACCTTCGTGCAGCAGGATTCATACCGAATACGATATGCTGGCGGAAGTTAGATGGTACTTATCTTACCGGTCTGGATTCCAGGGTTCTTGGGGATGATCCTGATCGGATGATATGCCTACCATTGAATAAAGTCTGTCAAATACTGTATAACCACTTGACTCGACATCCATCTGCGACGGTGTCTTGGGGACAAAAGGTTGTCTCCATTGGACAGGACGAAAATACGGCCTGGGTAGATGTTGACACGCCGCAAGGCCAGAAGACTCTCCACGCGAAATATATTGTTGGATGTGATGGTGCGAACAGTCGGGTACGGCGCTCCCTGTTTGGAGACTTTCCTGGCAAAACCTGGGACCAGCAGATAGTTGCTACAAATGTAAGTGTCATTCCTGTCAATCAAATGGTCGTTACCTAACTGTCCGAGACATACTACGACTTCGAGAAATTTGGCTGGGAGGACTCGAATTTCATAATACACCCTGAGCACTGGTACATGGCTGCCAAAATCACCAAGGATGGTCTCTACCGCGTGACGTATGGGGAACTTCCTGGTCTTACGAACGAAGAACTACGTCAACGTCAGCCAGAGAAGTTCAGAACCATGCTGCCAGGCCACCCTGAACCGGAAGAATACAACATTGTCAATTTCAGTCCTTATAAGATTCATCAACGCGTCGCCCCTAGCATGAGGGTCGGAAGATTCTGTCTAGCTGCAGATGCCGCACACCGCAAGTCACTTCTCTCCCCTGTCGGTAAAACATGCTCCTAACACTCTCAGTATGTAATCCTTTCGGTGGCATGGGATTGACCAGCGGCATCGTCGATGTGGGTGGGCTATTTGATTGTCTCCTCGGGATTCACGAAGGCGGTGCCGACGAGTCGATATTGGACAAGTACTCTGAGATCCGGCGTCAGAAATACCATGAGATCATTGATCCCATTTCGAGTCAGAATATCCTGCGGCTGTTCGACCAGGATCCAGAGACGGCTCTCGAAAACGACGAGTTCTTGCAAATATTGAAGCGAGGAGAGCAAGATCATGACTTTGCCAGAGAAGTTCAACTCGGTATCAACCGCTTGAAGCATGATTTCACTCAATACTATCACCAGCCTCTAAGGACTGGGACTGACAAGTTTGCCGGAAATCTCTCTCCAGCGCATGATATTCCCCTCCAAGCAGCTGCTATTGGTGTAGCAGATTGAGAAGCTACAGTACTTGAATATATCTTGGAGAGTACCGCGGTATTGCAGAGCTGGATACGAGCGAGAGCTTGACGGGACGTGCACGTGTAAGACTGCTTGAAGTGGAATCGCTCGTACTTAGTACCTTGAGAATTGCAGGCTCATAGCGAGATTGGAGCAGCCCTCGTTTGAACTATGCCTAGACGACAGACAAGAGTTGCGGCACTTGATTTCAAAGAATCTTATGACAATATCCGGAGGAGGAAAATATGAGCAATTCGATTGGCATCAGTATGCGAGCGGACGTGCTCCTCAAGAGTCCATCAGCGCTAAGTACCAGCATGTACATCTACTGTGCAGCCACTTGCAATCTACATCCGTACAACAATCTTTTTGGCGGATACTCCTTTCTTCTGAAGTTCGAGTGCGTCTTGAACCACGTCGAGCCCACCGGTCAAAACCCTAGGCTCTGGCTTGGCTCGAAGTGCGCCTGTTCGCAACCCGGACTCAACAAAATCTCTCCATACCGTTATTCCAACATGATCGGGGACTAACCCGGGATTGGAGGCGTAGACTGTAGTAGGCATCAGTAATTGTGACTGACAATCTGGGCGGTGGAAAACTCACCCATAATCGCGTTCACATTTTCGGGAAGGTCATTTGGTGGCCACAAAACAGTTGAGAAGATTCCACCACCAAGTGACGACAGAATTGCCGCACAAGCCCTGATAGACGACTCTTCGCCAATGGAATCGCAAATCCCTGCCACGTCAAACCCCTGGAGCCTTCCTGAAATCTTCTCCACAACCTCAGGGTCGGTATGATCGAAGACCTCTTGAGCTCCCAAGTCTTTGACGTATTCGTGATTGCGCTTGCTGGCCGTGGACACGACGTCGTAGCCTGCGGCGACAGCAAGCTGGATTGCTGTGCTTCCCATTGACGAGCTACCTCCCCAGATGAGAACTGTCTTGCCCTTCTTCTCAGCATTGCTGCTGGTGGGAAGGTCAAGCTTCAGAATCTCAAACAGGCCTGTGATGGAGGTGGACAGGCCAAGCGGGAGGACGACTGCGCTTTCAAGTGGAACGCTGTCAGGAACCTTCGCAACAACAATCTCGCGACAGGTCGTGTAGTGCTGAAAGCCACCGTGCCTTGCTCCACCAAACATCAGGCCGAGACAGTGGCTAGGAGTCATAGTTAGAGGATAGCCAAAGAAAGAGTGGAATTGAAAGAATGGCTGCCTACCCGATAACTCGATCGCCGTCCTTGAAGCGAGTGACTGCATCTCCTGTCTTGACAACAATCCCGGCGACATCGCTCCCAAGGACATGCGGGAACTGCAATGGGAGGTAGTTGAAGTCTTGCATCTGCGACGATTTAGCCTTTTGGTACACTTGCACCCCGGTTGGATGCAGACCTACCTTCCACTCAGAAGGATTAATTGCAACATATTCAACTTTGATGACCACTTCATCAGAGGCTGGATTGCTCTGGTCGGGCCCCGGTCCGACCTTCAGTGGCTTCGTATTTGCGGCAGTCTGCCATGCGGCTTGATTGACGAATTGAGTGCTCATGGTTCCCGATTGCGTTCGTGTATGGTTGTTCTTTAGTGCTTAGCTGTTGGAAAATGGAATGATGCTGTAGCTGAAGTTGTATGTTGTTCGATTGGGAGTGTGGAGTCCTCCCCAGCTTGTTATATGCGTTTTCCACATCGTCGACGCTGAGTTCGAGCTTACAAAATCAGAAGTTTGCATTAAGGGATTTTGTCAGAAATTGGTTGCTGCCTCTTTGGTCTTGAGAAACCTGTACTGTGGATCGTGATGAATGCATTCAGGAGAGCGTCTAGAACTGAGAGCCTTATGCAAGCTTGGCCCTTATTGACCTTACATAATTTATGCAAATGCAAGTGCGACACGTAATCAGGCTGAGCGGGTTCAGGTGCCATTTGAGCTCAACTAGTTAAGGCCCCCAGACACACGTTTGTTATGATGGCTTCCCAGTTAATCTTACTGCAGGTATTGAACTTGATTTCTCACCTCGGAAAGTCCTATAAATATCGAAGACTTTGCACGTGCTGCGTAGGATGCTCGTAAGGAGGAATATCCGGTGATAAGACAGCAAGCACAGGAGATCGTTGCCCTCTCTCGAAGCACAGAGTATCAATAATGCACAATGTCCTATCGCTTCTCAGGCGGGGGACAAAACCATACCCGTGGCTATTGCAGTCCGCGTGTTTGGTCCAAAGGGCACGTCCGGGCGCATGAACAAGTGTTCAGGTGATGAGCCCCCGACTATTCAGCAAGATCGAGCAGGTTTTCATGTGTTTTGTTGGATGATATATGCATATATATATATATATATCTGATCTTACAATTCTGGTGTATAATAAGCGGTCTGGCCTCAATGTTGACACGATCGCAGGTGATAGGTGGTGTTGTTTTCCTTTCCACACTGCTCGAGGTGCAGCCACTGTCAGCGATAGCGGTCCAAGTCATGGATGTAGTAATGAGAGCTTTTGCGGTCTCCCTAACAACGCCGGTCTGCCGAAGGGGTTAAAAGAAGCCGAGGGCCCTTGGCCACACACTTTGGGGCCTGTACCCAACAAAAAGAGACATGTCTTCAGTAACAGCTCCTTCGGTAGCATCCATCCCGATGGGTATGATACGTCGTACTCCGTACTCGGACTGGACGACGAGCGTTGCACACCTTCGCATCGGCCCAATAATACGGCCTGCTCGCTCCTAGCATTGAACCATACTAAGATGCCCCCGGACTTGAGCGGTAGGCAAGCACCGAGGGCAAGTTTGAGTTCCGCCGATGCAAATGCCAGCTCTGCCTTGCCAGCGGATTCCAGAGTCTGTTCAGCAGCATTCCAATAAGTGCCGTACTGTATTTGTACCTTCCAAACAACTAGGCCTCATACCTACGAGTACCGTCAGATGTGTCTCCGTCCTTCAGATGTTGGACGTATCGCGGCCCACGGGTTGAGACGTTGCCGTGCCCGAACATCTCCAGCGTATGTCGTGGAACGTCCAGCATCACTAACTAATGTTCGCTTGACTAGAGCCCACTGACCACTCTCGATCTGGACAAACACCACCCAAATTGCTCAACAATTTTCGAGCACTTTTTGTTCATCTGCAGTAACTGAGGTTCTCTCTCTCACTCTTCTTCCACTTTACCTACAAAGCACCGGCTGATTGTTCTACATAGTTCTCTCGGTAGCATTTGCGTTCGATAGCATAAGACAACTCCCGAGCTCTCCTCATGAAGAGTAGGGGCTTCCGGGTCATCATCAGTGGGGGAGGTATTTGTGGACTCACATTGGCAAATGCGCTAGAACGCGGGCGAGTTGAGTACATCCTGCTGGAAAGTCGCGATGATATTGCACCACCTCTAGGGGCATCGATTGCCATCAACGCAAATGGTTTCCGCATACTTGATCAGTTAGGCTGCTATGATCGAATTGACTCCAAAACGGCACCTTTCGACTACATCCGAACATACCTTCCGGATGGAAAGTTGCAGAGAAATGTAGATTCGCCGCTATTGACCCACAAAAGGTATGCCGCAATGTTTTACGTTGATTGCGTTCAGTATCTAATACTTGACTCACGTCCGAGGTCAGGCTTGGCTATCCATTCAGCTTCATGGAAAGAACGTTCCTTCTCCAATCCTTGTACGACAATATCAGCGACAAGAGCAAGGTTCTACTCAAAAAGAGAGTTTCCCGTGTCGACCAGGAGCACGATGGAGTCACCGTTCACTGCCAAGATGGCACCAAGTACGAAGGAGATGTCGTTGTTGGCGCAGATGGTGTTCACAGCGCAGTTCGTGGGGAAATGTGGCGGCATATGAATGTTGAGCATTTCCCATTAGCGGAATCTGAGAGATCGGGTAAGGAAAGCCCATTTTTCGAACCATTGTCAGCTAATGTCCAAAGCAATGACCTCCACGTACAAGGCAATCTATGCTATTTCGAAACCGACAAAAGGGCTTGCGGGAAATACCTTCAACCAGGTCGTGGGATATGACCGTTCGATGCTTTACACTACTGAAAAATCAGGAAGAATATTTTGGTTCCTTTTTGAGAAGATGGACAAGAAATACCGGTACCCGGACATTCCTAAGTTCAACAATGACGATACTGAAAATATGATCCGTCGCCATCTTGACATTCGTCTCAACGAGACTTTGACCTTGGCAGACCTTTGGGAGAACCGAGTCCAGTGGAACATGGCTCCACTTGAAGAAGCATTGCGTAAACAATGGACCTGGGGTCGATTCGTATGCGCTGGAGACTCGGTCCATAAGGTATGCATACTACCATGGGACATGATCTAGTGCCTTTGCTGACAATCTCTAGTGGACTCCTAATCTCGGAGCGGGAGGCAACCATGCTATTGAAAGTGCCGCAGCACTTGCTAATGCGCTTTATGATCTGGCAAATCACTCCAGTCCAGCTACACTGAAAGATATACAGTCATCATTAATCGGCTATCACTCTCATCGCAAATACAGAGCGAAGAAGACTTATCGAGTTTCTAACATGGTGACGCGTCTAGAAGCAATGAGATCCAGAAAAGCACGGTTTTGGGTGTTTTGCCTTCAACCGACACTCGATGGGTGGGTCGGAAACCGCATGAGCGACGAACTTATAGGTGCCGAAGTGATCAAATTTCTGCCTTACCCCCAGCGAGCACTTACTGGAACGATGGGCTTCAATCCGAATTTCTCAAATGGATATCCATCAAAACTAAAGCAAAGGATGCTGCTTGCCCTACCATTGATTTTGCTTGCTATCTTCGCCTACACCGTACTTGCTGGCATTGTCTCCTCTGTTCCCTTCTCCATTGAGGTTATCAAAGCAGCCGAAAGTGGCTACATTCATTTAGCTGGAACCGGTTGGAAACTTCCGATGGATACATATCCTTTCAACGTTCTTACCACGGTTTTTGCGCCTTCATTACTCAACATCGACCCTTCACAGCGGCTACAAGCACTTGCATTCCTGATCGATTTGAATCCGATGTGGCTCATCTGGATGCTCGAAAGCCACCGCAGAGCGAACGTAGCATCCCTGGCGAGTTTTATTAGCTATCCACTTATCTATGGAATCGCTTTCCAGATCCTGGGAATCGGTGTCGTTGGACCGGTTTGGTTCTTCCTACATTACATGCAGAGCTCCATTCGCAATTTCATCGCCCCCGACTTGCGGATGATCGATACAGCAGCCTCGAAAACTGCCTTGCTCGCTGTTCTCACGGGATTGACGACACCCACTCTATTGATGTACCTCCTTCCGGACTATGATCAACGCTTGACAATTAACGCCGTATGGCAGGCGTTCCCAATCACGACCATACTCCTTCATTATATCCTGCGCAGATTCACCGTAAAAAACACTATGAAACATGACATCATTTGGAATGTTGGAGCCGACCTACCTTTTGTCAGACTCAGTATCCAGATTGCTGCGGTAATTTCGACTCTATGTTTTAACTGGGTTCGATGGATATCTGCTGGTCAGTTCTTCAGCATCTTTATGCCACAATGGTCCACAGTAACTGCAGCATTACTTTTGAAGCCACTGGGGTTGAACTTGGTCGATGGCATGAGCCTTTTTCTTCAGATTGATGAACTTAGTATCTTCGCCGCAGCATTCCTATGGTTGGCTCTTCTGGTCCATGATCTAAAAACGGAGGAGATGACTAAGATCAGCTGGCTACAAGCACTCGTAGTAGGCATCATTGGAACTTGTTTGCTAGGTCCTGGAGCTCTTTTCGCACTTACATGGCTCTGGAGGGAGGAAATTATGGCAAATAAGACTTTGAAGGGGGCCATCATCTCGAAAACCACCAAGTAAAGACATGGGCTCATAAATTAAACTTCAACGACTTGAGCGATTGAGATACGCCATGAAGGGCTAATATACATATATGTCAAACATCATCGATTTATTGCTGCCGATGCTCTGACCAGTAGTAGTCCTACGAATGCTCATTTTCATCGGTATCTTGAGTCGTGGATCCCAATGTAGGATTTTGGAACTCTACTCGTAATTCTTGAGCACGCGCTAACCTCCACGCCCTACGTAGGAAGCCCTACGAGTTGTATATCTATTGCTTCTTTGGTACCTTTCGCCAAGACGTAGTCAGAGAAAGGGCGTACTAGTAGTACTTCAGGAGATACAAAACCGCGAGCACCCCAAGAGCAGTGCTACTGCCTTGCAAGGTTCTGCCAATCGATCACATACATATTCAAGTACTTACTGAGTGCTAGTAAGTCCGTTACACTCTAGTCGTTCCTTCGTTCTTTACCAGAGCTTCCATCACAAGGAAGAAAGACCTTGCGCCATGGTAGCGCTTGCTCAATTCGCGTTAGCTGATGTCTGTACCCACCCTCACCCAGCATTTGCTCGACTGACATCAAGTGAAGTGGGTTGAAAATCAGAGTGCTCATGCCTCTCATGTCCTCGCAGGGAGTGCCACCCCAGCATTAACAATCAATGATCTCATATCACTCTCGAGCGATGCCGATGCAACCAAAAACGCCTTGAGCTTTGAGAAAGTGCAATTAAGCTTAGGGGATGTGACAGGAAGCCAAGCGCTTCGTAGCTCTATTGCAGGGCTCTACAGTGGTGAAGGACACAAGATTGCGCCCGAGAATGTCATCACCGCCACTGGCACGACTGGTGCCAACTTAATCGTGCTGTACAGTCTCCTACGACCTGATGATCATGTCATATGTGCATATCCTATTTACAACCAACTCCTCAACCTCCCCCAGGCCCAGGGTTGTGAAGTCTCGCTTTGGAGACTGAAGCAAGATAACGACTGGTCGCTTGATCTTAAAGAACTGGAAAGCCTAATCAGGCCCAACACGAAGCTCCTCATCGTCAACAATCCCAACAATCCCACAGCATCGCATCTCGACAAGTCGAAACAACTGGCAATCCTGGATATCGCCGAACGCCACAACCTCATTGTGGTCGTGGATGAGATATTCAGGCCACTATTCCATGATAAAGCAAGCCTCCAAAGCCCGCCACCATCCTTCGTTAAGCACAATTATGGAAAAGTGGTCGTTACTGGATCCATGAGCAAAGCATGGGGATTGACTGGGACAAGACTTGGATGGATTGTTTCTCGGGACCAATCTCTCCTAGACAATTTCATCAACACGAAATTCTACACGTCGGAGTCCACCAGCACCATCGACGAGCTAATTGTCACAGAAGCGCTGAGCGATCGATGTCGACCCACAATCCTTAAACGGCATCTCAGTTATGCGCAGGCGAATCTGTCCTCACTGGATAAATTCATGGCTAAGAACAAAGATCTGTGTAAATGGACGAGACCGACAGCAGCGGCTACTGCGTTCATCCAATTTCTTTCCGGCAGTGGTGAGCCGGTGGACGATGTTGAGTTCTGTCGGTCTCTCTTGCAAGCAACAGGTGTTCTCCTGAGCCCTGGAAGCCTCTTCACAGATCCCAGTAAGCAAGACCGGGGTTTCAGAGGGTTTGTGCGAGTCCACTTCACTGTCCCCCCAGCAAACATGACGAAAAGTCTAGAATTGATCGACGATTTTCTTCAGCAATCCCGCCGTTCTTGACGCTAGAGCGAGATACTTATATACATAACTCACAGCCATTCAGGCTCGACTTCGTGCTAATCTAACTGCTATGTACTATATATATAATATGTAGTAAATATGAGTATACATAGTAGCATAATAAGCCCAAGCCTCAAACCCCTTGCAAGCTATATATATACAGCCGATAGCTCTAGTATACTATTTCTACACTAGTTTATTTATCACTAGCTCAATCCTAAATTTTCAAAACAGTATCTAGCAGCCTTGAGAGCCTTCGATTTAGCGATTTCGCTAGACTCGCTAAAATCGCTTGAATATAAGTAGTTGATTACAGAGCATTCGGAGAGTATATCTATAAAGTACGACAGCATAGACAATCGAATATATATAGAGAGAGAGAGTCGAGACTACTTGGTAACTATCCTGCGCCAACGAGACTGTAAGCTTACAGGATAGGCAAAGGACTTAAATAGGGGGGTATCATATACGTTCTACGTAGGTAGTAGTTGTAGGTCAACGAGGATGAACAGAAATTAGTCGAACTTGTCTAATCCCCGCTGTTCTCGTCGAGTTCTTCCGGCAAAGGCAGGGGCCGGGGTCCCGACCGTGCATCCCAAGATTCCAGTGACCCACTGATCATGTTGGCAGACTGAATGGGCCATTCAATGTCCGGGGCGGGAACTATATCGTCGTACGTCTCAGGGAAGCTAACAAAGAAATTCATGTCCATCTTCCACATTCGGATCTCATACACGTAGTGATCGTACACCTTGGAGAATCCATACAGCCCAGTGGCGGAGTCAAGGCTTACAATGTCATCAACGGTATATGGCCAGCAGAAGCGGAAGTAGTAGATGACCTCGGTCCAGAACTTGTTCGATTGTGTCAAGCCATGACAGAGCACAGCGCGTTCCCGAAGCCCAGGCCTATTGAGAGAGGAACACTCAGTGGCAATACTAGCTATATAGCTCGGGCGGGCAGACCTACCAGGGGAGGACGTCTGCTGCTAAGGGATGCGGGAAACGATACTGCGAAGGACTTTGCCATTGACGTCAGCGATTCACTTTTCATGTCGGTGTGTATCCACGACTTACCGCGGCCGATACCAGGCGGGCAAGCTTCCAAATGAATTGGCCTTCATGAGACACTGGTGAGTGTCGGCGGTTAGCTAGTGGCGCTCGAGGACATAGTTACTTAAATTAAGCACGGTGGATTTACCAGGAGCAAAGAATGGATCATTCGCAGGGTGCATAGCCTAGTAATGGTCCCACTTAGTTGAAATATACGTTTGTCCAAGTGTCGCAAGATCTCCCACAGTGGGCAAAAGAATGGTGATGTCGTGATGATGTTATCCCAGCCGAAGAGAATGCCCCGAATCAGAGCGTCTTGGTTCAAGCTGGGATCAGTACAAACACTTGTCCGGGATAGAAAATGAGCCGTAGTCAGGACGTTATTAAAGATGCTTTGGCAATTGCCGGCACTCGTAGGATCCGAACGATAGCGAGTTGTGGAGTAAGGAGCTGTATCAATCCATTCTTCGGTGATGTCGCGATTTATTTCAGTGATGTGTTCTGATCTACTCTCGGTGATCTGTCCAGAGATCATTCCACTGGGCCAACTCGGTATGCTTAGGCTTTTCGGGCTTAGTACTCCAATCTGAGTGGTTGTATCATCTTGCCGGGTCGATTGATCAACAGGCATCCAATCTGAAGAATCTAGGGTCGACAAAGGATCTGGTTTCGAGTCGATATTGTTGAGAGTACCAGATACGGGTCCATTTTCCGCTGCTTCGTTGTTGTGAACTGACAATGGACCGTGGCAAGACAATGGGATGTCATATGGCGGTAAAGGAGTTGGGCTTGGTCTGCTTCTCTTCAGGGTCTCGAGCTCTTTACAGAGTTCTTCCAGCCTGGATTCAAGGCTGGCAACGTGAGCAGCCGCTTGCACTCTTCGTTTGCTGGCACGCTGTCGGTCGACAGCGCGCTTCCTTTCCCGCTGAGCACTTGTTAGATTACGGCCCGAAGCCCATCGCTCTCCAGAGGGGGTGCTTGACCTTGACCGTCGAGACACCATTACTACTCGGGAAAATAAGTGTCTGTGGCCAAGATGAGTCGCCAAACCGGCCGTAACTCTGATTATGGTATGGTGTCGCAGTATGGCACACTGCTATCAAACCCCGATCAATTGAATAGAGAAGATGCAATTACGTTGAACAGATTACAACAGCCGCAAGAGAATCCATACAAACCCTCAAAGACCCCGCAGCTTTAATCAGTGTAGCTAGAAATTTTGCGGGGAGCAAGGGATCTCGGGCCGGGGGCCACTCGGGATAAATCTCTGCTCGCGTCAGTCAGTTATCGTGTTCCCCCTTGCGATCGCCTGGAGTCACTAACGTATCGACCAATGAATGCCGAGGGGTTATACAAGGGACTCCAGTGTGCGACTCGCCAGCGCAGAACGGATCTCGCAGGCATCTAGAGAGCTCTGCCTCAGATGTTCACGCCCAAATGCTAGCGATCCCGAATAAAAAGCCCCCATCTTTGCCAATGATTTGCAGGTACGTGCTGTAGACGAACTCTATTAGGATAGCTACGAGGGATTGTGATGGATGAGGAATGCACCAATGGACCACAAAAGAATAAACAATATCTCAAGCCGAAAAAGAGCCTCAACTCATAACATTTGCATCGGAAACGACCCACCTCAGACAATCACTAACCAGGTCAATCATTGCTTCAAGACTATGTTCCTTGGCCCTTGGCAGCATCCTCGACAAGTTCATCCTCATCTGGCACGGCCACAACTCTGGACTCTCGATATCCTTTGACTTCAAGAGAGCACGCCCTTCTTGTGTCTGTATCTCCACATGCCCTGCCTTGGCCATGCCAGAATTTACGACCTGGAAACGGTGTCTAAGCCTCATCCTCTGCACTTCTCGTTTCTGTTCCGGACTTTGTCCAAAAGCGACCCAGGTCACCAACGGGAAGGCAGACAGAGAACTGCATCTCAGCACTCATCATCGCCACCGTCATGTACCAGGCTAACACTCCTGCAACAAATATGATTGCGCCGCCCGCCTTGACAAAAGATCAGTGTCAATTCTAACAAGAGGGGGTGGGATATTTCTCGTGACTTACCTTTTGCAAGGTCTCTGCCCCGCTGTAGTCACCAGTACTGAGCTTCCAGTAAGCACCGCTGAGAATCCAGGCACCGGCAGTCACGAAAAGGAAAATGGACATGAAGACCAAATTCGTCTTGACGGAGAGGATCAAGAAGGTAAGTATGGCAAAACCCCAGACAATCAGATACAGGGCGATGACGGCGTTGAACGCTATCGAGAGTGTGCCGGCAGGACCGCCATCGGTAGCGGTGTACGGCTCAGCGAGGTTCAATGTCGGCAGCTGCAACATGCCGAAGCTCAGCCAGAAGACTGCGAGCACACCGCACGCCATCATGGGGAAAAAGTTGCCCATGATCCATTCAAAGATACAGGTCAACAGTAGAAGCACTGGACCAACGAAGAAGAAAATCCCGCTGTTACTGTGAATGAGCAAACGAGAGCGTAACTGAATAGGATGGTCCGAAGCACTTACACAACAGGGGTGAGTCCACTTGCTCCACCCCAGCCCATCAAGACCATGGAAAAGGTCATCGCAGATATGACGAATCTAGGTGATCGCTTATTAGAACGGCAAGTCGCAAAATATGCTTCGACGTAATCAAAACTCACCCAACCAACCCCAGTGGCGTAGGATTGGCGAAGCGCCTGATATTGTCGCCAACGCGGGGGGTTTGGGGAGTCAGATAGAGCTAGAGACCCATGCTATTTCAGTGTATGGCTCTGCTCTATCTCAGATCTTACTTATACCTTTTCAAAGAGTTCCGGGTTCATGGAGACAACGCCGGCAGAGACGGCAGGTGTCAGTGTCGGCTCAGGTCCAAGAGTGTCAACTCCCACACAGGCAGAGTGATCTGGTGAAGCGCCCATCTTCGCCCAGTTGGCTTTCACTTCGGGGGGTAGAGAAATGACCACGTGGAGAAGCTTGACTTGCAAGAACGCGTGTCTGATTCAAGATGGAGACAAAGGATCGTCGTCCCAGCTTCGTGAAAAGGACCTTCTTATATGATAGTCGTAACAATCAAACATAACCGCATCCATGGGAATCGGCCTAATCCCCATGGATGTAGCATTTCCGATAGGTAGATAACCCTCTTCCGAGATTGACCAAACAATAGGACATGCATCGGATCGAATAGAGCCTGTCCGACTTTGGACAATCCTTACGTCTAGGGACGCTGACTTGGTGCTTCATTGAGTTAAGCGGATCCTAAGTTGCGCATGCGGAGCGGATCTGACGAGGGCCCGTCGCCTAAAGAGCCACCTATCCTCCGTTTCCATCTGATACTCTTGGAACTCTTTCATCAGCTTAAGTTCATACAAGGACGTAAGATTGTAAGATATTTTTTTCACCGAAGGGTGCTGGCATTCAGGTGGCAAGTCGTGGGCAACAGGATTAGCTCGATGACACGGAAGAGATTGAATTGAACCTTCCACCCGGTTTGTGGTGCTGTTAGAGCTAGTTGGACAGGGACGAATGTGATGCTCCACATTCCGGAGAGCTGATGGAAGGAATTACTCACGCCCTCGCCAGATGTAGTCGGAGCAATAACTCAAGAGGAGTGTGCGGTCCGAGATCAGTTGATTGGGCTTCACGCTGTATGGCATGTACCTGCGAGCGACGTCGCTCACCATTCAGCAACTGGCACTGAGGACTGGAGGGGAGGATGAGCTGCCTTGCCAGAAGGTGCGGGCTCAGATTCTCCATTGACTCGGTGTCAGGGCGGGCGAATCGAATCACATGAGAAGCGCTACGCCAGTACGCTCGTGATAAAAAGTATTCTCCACCCGGCGGACCTCGCACGCGCTCATGATCGGAGACCATCCGCAGGTTAAGAGGTAGGGCTATCCCTCTAGGCCGTTTTGTGGGCACCTTTCCGGCTTGGCACGTGCTACAACTATCAAGTCTGAATGCACCAAACGGGACAACAGATCTATGATGACTGATTTCTCAGTGATCTGCTATACAAAAGAGTAATCCGAGCCGAAAAGGAGTCCACAAAACATCTCCGGGGATAACATGGGACCCGACCAATGAGCGGAGAAAGTGAGGAGAAGCGAGTCTCCTGAAGTTTGGACTGGGGTAAGGCCAGCTCCCAACATGCTGATTCCAAAAGGAAGAATCAAGGGGGAGAGAATGAGGCACCAGATGTGCCAGTGCGATTCGCGCACCCTGGAAACCACAATCAAGTCACCAACAGTTCGACGGAAAGCGCACAGTGCGAGTTTGAACACGGTCCGAGGGACACACCTAGCAGTATGTGAATGCTCTGCGTGGGCCATGTTGTATTAATCTGTGGTGTAGGTTTGTTTCCCCAAGTAAAATGTCGGTTCGGAAAGTCCAAAGTCCTGAGTTGTCAAATTAGCAACATCGGATGGCTTGCTTTTGTGCCTCAGATGACAACCAGACTTCGTACTATTTAAGTTGATATCCCGTGGGTCGTGACAAAGGTTCCAACATAAAACTATCTTTCCTATGCCAACCCGATTTGGCCAACAAGGAGTTCAAGCTGTATAGCGACAATATGTCCTTGTCTTTCCTTCCAGACCAACTTCTGTCAAGAATTATCTTCGGTGTTGCTGTATTGGTACCTTCTTTCCTTGCATGGTCGTTAGTCGCTCATCTCTTGTCACCTTTGAGAAGATACCCGGGACCCTTTCTGGCCAGTAAGTCAATCCATGACTCCCAGATCTGCCCTAGAAAACGATCAGGTTCCCATGGATCAGGAACAGAGCGGGCTGATGTTCATTGGATCTATAGAATTCACCAATCTATGGCGTTTACATCAAGTGTGGACTCAGAAATATCAGTGGAATATCAAAAGACTGCATGATCAGTACGGGCCAGTAGTGCGGATTGGTCCAAACTTGCTGGACCTAGACTACCCGGAGTTGATCAAGACCCTCTATAGCACCGATGGCAAATGGCGCAAAGTGAGTCTATGTGTGTGGTCATAGTTTGCACCCACGTTGACCGAAGATTAGACCGAGTTCTACCACAACAGCAGTACCATCATCGATGGTAAAGTTACATACCATCTGTTCAGTACTACCGACCAGGTGGCTCATGCACGCATGAAGAAGCCAGTCGTCAAGTATTATTCCATGAGCAGCATCTTAGGCTTGGAAAGGGGGATGAATGAGGTAATCAATGACTTTTGTGGTCATCTGGAACGTCGGTTTATGGAAGGAAACAACAAGGGCAAAGACTGTGATCTGGGAAAGTGGCTAGCATATTGTAAGGCGTTGCAAATCTTCTACTCTATTGCATGTCGTTTGATCTAACGTTACTATTAGATACCTGGGACTTGATCAGCTCGGCCACTTTCAGTAAACGCTTCGGATATATGGAAAAAGGATATGATTTTGACGGCACCATCCACATTGCCGACCAGGTCACGGACTATTTTGCCATGGTGGGCCAGATACCTTTCCTCGACTTCTTGCTCGACAAAAATCCCATCAAGCGCATCGGTCCACCTAATCTGGGCAACGTAACACGCATTTCAGTCGAGAACATGATCGCTCGTCTCCAAGGGAAGTGTGAAAAGACAGATCCTAATGAGATGGATTTCCTTGATCACTTCATCGAGGCCAAGACAAAAAATCCGGATGTTGTAGATGAGAAGCTCATCATAGGCTACCTACAAGTCAACATGCTTGCCGGCGCCGACACCACCGCAATCACGCTCCGGGCCATTTTCAACTTTCTTCTTCGAAACCCCATTGCCTTTGAGAAACTTGGACGGGAACTCGTCGAAGCTAAGTTTGATCTGTCAAACCCAGTATCTTACAGTTCGGCACGTGCCTTGCCTTACCTCGATGCCGTCATCAAAGAGGCAATGCGTATGCACCCTGGTGTGGGGATGCTCCTGGAGCGATATGTGCCTGATTCAGGACTTACATTGCCAGACGGCAGTTATGTCCCTCCTGGAACCGCTGTCGGCATTAATCCGTATATCATGGGGCGCAACAAGAGCGTGTGGGGAGACGACGCGGATGACTTTCGGCCGGAGCGTTGGCTGCAGGCTGATAACGAAGACGAGGAAGATTATCAGCGGCGCCTGCGTAACATGAGTAATGCCGACCTCACATTTGGGAGTGGATCTCGTATTTGTATCGGTCGCAACATCGCCCTGCTGGAAGTGTACAAGGTCATCGCCACGCTTGTATCGAGGTACGAGATCTCGCTTGCAGACCCTTGCCGCGAATTTGTCATGATTTCCACCTGGTTCCCTCGTCAATCAGGTCTTGTATGCACTCTGAGGAAGCGGAAGGAAGTATGAGGGCAAGAACAGCATGAATGTGGAGATATTATTGGGTGAAATTGAAGACTGACACTAGAGTGATGCGGGAATGGTGACTATTTCACATGCTAAATTGTCTGGATAGTAACAACAACAAGATAAGAACTGACGTAAAATTAGTATCGCGGTGATCGTCTGAGAGTTCCAGGTCACTCTTCTAGTAGGTACCAATTATCGATTTTATAGCTAGAGTCGCATAGGGAGGCTTTACCTTAAGGCTATAGTAGGCATTAAAGTAGAAGTTCTTTATAATTTGATTACTATATATGTGTATACTCAGATCTCTATAGTAGCGGCCTTCCAAGTGGCCTGGTCCGTAACATGTGGGAATAGCCAGTACTATGTACTACTGACTACGATATATGCGCTAGTTAGAGAGATTAGTGGCCACATAGTCCCGTGACTGAGAATTGCGCCACACGTTCAGTGATCCACCGTCAAGCCTGGCTCCGGGCATGTTGCACACCACTAAATCAATTTCCAAGTCACATACACTCCGTACTCACCACGCTCAACCTCATCTTGTAGGATGGTAACAATTTACATGGAGACCAACGGGCCTTGCTTCTCTTGGCATATCCCATGAGACCCGAATGCAACCCTGATCCTCAAGTTTGTGGGTACAGCCTAGAGAGGACAGGCGAAGATGATTTCAAGGTTTGACCGAGCATAACCCCGGATTCTCTGAGTGATCGTCGAGCAAAATCTATCCAAGGTCGGGGCTCTCTTGAGTTATAGCAACCCGCATCCACTCTTGCGGTCTACAAGACATAAAGCACTCAGGATTAGTCTGCCGCTATACACAAAGGCTCTGAACTCACACGCACGGTAGCAATGACTGAACTGCAGATAACCTCCACCCTCCCACTGAAGTCAGGCCACGAGATCCCGGTTCTGGGCTTCGGCACATGCGCGAGCGAGACCTGCACGCAGTCGGCGGTCGCAGCCCTTCGGCAGTCCTACGTCCACCTCGATACGGCACAGATATACAAGAATGAGGCGGAGACGGGGGCCGCGATAGCAGCGAGCCAGATCTCGCCGTCGGACCTGTTCGTGTGCTCTAAGCTCTGGGAAGACATGTACACGCGCGCAGGCGCATTGGCGGGTGTCGAAAGCAGTCTCAAGAACCTGGGCCTTGAGACTATTGACTTGTACCTACTACACACACCGCGTCCAGGTCGCGAAGCGCGCAAAGAGGCGTGGCTGGGCTTGCAGGATGCAGTGGGCAAGGGATTGGTGAAGAGCATAGGCGTATCCAACTGGGCGCCGAAACACATCGAGCAGTTGATGGCCGAAGACGGCGTGCACATCCATCCGGTGGTCAACCAGATTGAACTGCACCCTTGGAACCAGCAGAGAAAGCTGGTCGAGTACTGTAAATCGAAAGGAATCGTCATCACGGCGTATTCTCCACTTACGCAAGGCCGGCGGTTGAATGACCAGACGATCGTGGCATTAGCGCAGAAGTACGGAAAGTCTCCAGCACAAATTGTCCTACGCTGGGCTATACAGAAGGGCTTGGTGGTGATTCCGAAGAGCGACAAAGAGGCACGAATCATCGAGAACAAGGGGATTTTCGGCTGGGGACTCTCCGGGGAGGACATGGCCGCTATTGACTCACTCGACGAGGGGCAACAAGCAAATCTGGGAGAGTGGGACCCTTACGCTTGGGATTGATATACTGTTTATCATCAAAGAAAGCGGACTGTAACTCCGAAATGAATGTCCAAACATCAATGGCCTCCCCCAGAGCCCGTCTGTTTTCTTTGCATTCAAGTTTTTTTCAGGTGCATAAAATTCGCAAATCATGCTTCGCCCTCTCACACCCAGACCTCACTCCCCGCCCTTTCCTTCATCGAGCTGTTTCCTCAATTGCTGGATCTCGTACTTCAATTTCTTCCAAAGAATGTAGTCATCCAGGTCCTTGTGATCCTTCTCAGTAGCACTCCGAACGGGAGTCCTGTCCTCGATATCAAGCAGTTCCCAATCCTGGCGCAGCTCTTCGACATGATCGACAGTCAAGCGGTTCCCAGCACTCTCAGACGATCTCGCAATATCCAAGAGAGCCGTGACGAAAGCTTCCTGGATATAAGCAAAGGAGAACCCATCCGTGATCTTAGCCGCAGCATCACATATCTCGTCTGGGAACTCGATATCCTTATTGTCTTTCAGCTTTCCCTGCCAGAAGTGGCAGTACTTGACGCGCTGGAGGAGGTCCGGGTTCGGGAAGAGGTATTTCCTGTCGAAGCGCGAGGGCCGCTTCGCGATGCCCGGGTCCAGGCGCTCGAGGTGGTTGGTGCTGCCGACCATGAGGATGCCGTCGTTCTCGGCCAGGCCGTCGATGGCGTTGAGGAAGAAGCTGCGCACATCGTCGGTGACGAGGCTGTCGAGGTCTTCAAATACCAGGTAGCAGGGGGCTTCCTGCCGTGCTTTTGCGAAGACGTTCTCGATGCTGTACTCTGGCGGCATGAAGCTCACCAGCGTCTTCACGTAGAGGGTTGGGATTGGCGGTGAGCGTTTGTACAGCGTGTGCATCGTCGCTTTGATCGAGATGGTTTTCCCGTTCCCTGGGGGGCCGTAGAAGATGATCCCTCGCTTCCACGGCACACGCAGGCGTTGGTAGTGATCTTGAGAATCAAAGAATCGCTCCACCGTGTCTACTAGATCGTCTTTCAGGCCCTTGTCCAGGATAACGTCCTTCCACTCCGATTTGAGAATGCTCTGATACAGGTAAGGGTCCTTTTGCCAGTAGCCCTGGTTGAAGACCCATATCTCGTTGTGAAGCACTGATTGCCACCGCCCAATCGTCTCGACCAGGGTGAGAACGGCTGTCTTGTCACCTAGGATATACTGGTTTCGAACAGTGGGCCAACTCTCCCCGCCATCGCGCCCATCGATGAAGTAGACAAGAAATTCAAGGCCATGCCACTTATACAAGAAGCTCTCAAAGAAGGTCTCCTCGGCGATGATGCCGTTGCCGCCATCGAGACGTCTAGCCGGCGGGATGAAAAAGGTCCATTTCAAGGTGTTGGGGCACACCTTGGTGTCTGCAGTTGCGCTCTCGACCGATTGGATAGAAGCGAAGCCGGCTCCGGCATAGGCTTTGAGACTACTGTTGTACTCTGGGACAATTGTCACCGGGACGCCAGGGTGCTTGTTCTCGATGGCTTCGAGGATGAGTGCGTCGGTATTAATGCGCTGGCTGTGTGCATTGCCGAAGAAGGTCTCGGCGATGTCTGGAGCCCGCTCGGAGCTGCTGCGGAATTGCTTTGATGAAGTCATTGTTGATTGAGAGCTCGTGAGATACCGTCAAGAAAACGAATTCATCAGAGAAATGAAGTCTCGCCGTAGTTGGGAGATGCCACGTCTGGGGCAGCTTATGCCCGTTCGAGCGCGCAAGGCTGATCAATGAGAGAACCGATGTCACACTGTGTTTCAGGCACCAGCTTTTAGAGGTGCAGCTCCCTTGCTTAAGCTCCACTCTCTATTGTCTCCTCTTGTCTGGGGAGCATGACATGCCGCGGGATGGCCCAGTTTTCTCCCAACATAGCCCCAATCCTTCGTCTTTTTGGGGCTGATCAAGCCGGTGCTAATCAAGCCCGGCCTGAAGGCATTGCTATCTGCTGAATGGCTGGGACTCATCGCCTAAGTTCCAAGGACGCGGCATTGCTCCGTTCTTGATTCTATTGTGTCAGTGCTTAGGTTACCTGCTCGTAGTCAATTATCTAGATACTTGCGTGGCTGTCTCAGTTATGATGTCCGAGCTCTTCAACTTGAATTCCTTCTTCTTTGACTAGATAGTCATGTATCTTTTGATCTAACCATGCCCAAGCGGATGCAGAGTTGCTGACCCTTTCTTCATACTTGCCCCAAATAAATGGCTCACTCTGCACGGCATGTAATGCTTTGACTACAAGATGTTCAAACTGCCCCTCCACCCTACCACCAATATCGAGAAGGCTGTTTAATTCGTGGAGTGCCGCGCAGCCAAGCGTCACCAGTGGCTCGGAATAGCCTTCTGGGCTGGTTTGAGTGACCAACAGAGCGTGACACATTCGGAAAAGAGTCCACATTTCCACCAGTCGTACGGGATGGTGTCTCTGTGTGAAGATCACTGGATAGACTTTCTGGAGCAATATGGCGCACTGAAGGAAAGCGGCGTCAAATTCCTCCAGACCAAGTAAACCGAGGAACAAAAGCTTTCTCAGCTGTGGCCATGGATATCGATGGAGCTCCCAGTTATGGGTGGCAGCCAACTTGCTCATGGCGTCTCTGATCTCAGCAACTTGCTGGTGCTCCAGCCCTGGCGTCGCCTTGACCCATTCGAGATATTGTTCGGCTGAGGTTTGAGCGTTCATGAGCTTCTTCGACTCTTCTTGTCGTTGGTAAGCACTGGAGTCGCCGTCGAGGCGGAGCCCATCTAGGACATGACTGGTGCCTTGCGAACATAATTTGCAAGCACAGTCGAAGAAATAGCGCTCCTTCAGCTCCTGTTGGCGTTTGACTAGGGGGCTGGTCGTGTCGATGTACGAAATGGTAAGTTCTTCGTCCTTGGACACTGGTCGTAGAGTGTACACCGATATGCTACCTGAGGGTGGAAATTTTCCAGCCTCGGATTTGGGAGCGACGTCGAAACGAACCAGCGCGTTGGGTTCGCAGGAGTGGTTGAAAAGCGCAGATCTCGGGTGGAGAGCGAGACCAATAGGGTCAAATGTAGGATTAGTTAATGTGAAGGAGTTGACAACGACCTTGCTTTTGTCAGAAGGAACTGCAATCAAGGTACAGACCAGCTTCATTCCTTACCAGACACACAAGGCGCAAGATGGTTTCCAACCTCCGCTTACCCCCCGAATCTTGTTGGAGCTTCTTGGCCACAAGAAGAAGATCCTGCCAATTCTTACCACCCACTTGCAAGAGTCCTTCATAATGGTCTTGAAGAGAATGGAGAGCTTCCCACTCTCCGACTGGAAGTATCCCTGCATCGTGTTGCTTCAACAGCCTCAAAATCGCTCGATTCAGTGTTGGCAATGCACGAGGTTGGGCTGCATAGACCTTGCATTCCAACTTGTGGTACTGAGCCCAGGCATGCTTCTGGCATTGCTGTTTTCTTGTCAGCGTCAGTTGAGGGGCTCAAAGAAAAATTAGCGTGCCCACCCGATCGCAAAATCTGAGAACACTGCATCCTGTGCATCTTTTCAGCGTGTTGTTTTCACCCGAATCTGCCCAAGGAGAGTGCTCCGAGGGAGGTTTCAAACAATAGTCGCAGTGTGACTTTAGTTGTGCGGTATCGAGGACCATCAGTAGCGGCCTCGCCACGAATATCACTTGTGACTTGACCTGAAGGTCTTGGGAGGCAAACAGGCCGTTGCCGCGGCTTGCTGAGTACTTCTTGTACACATTTGACTCCTCGATCATCTGTGAGAGAAGTGAAGCCATTGCACGGGATGGATCTCCATCACAGGCGATGAACGAATGCCCAAGGGACTGGCTAATGACCACGCGGGGTAGAGACCTTGAGTTTGTCTTCCACGGCCACTGGGTCAGATACAACACCTCTATTACGAAAACTGAGATATCGATAAGCGTCTTGCAAGCGGCCACTGGTATGCAAGACGCACCGTGAAGGGTTGTTTGTTGGGTTGTATCTGATTCAGCGACATTGTGCGAACGAACAAGTTTGACACCGTGAATGATATACAAGTGGGAGTGAAATGACGTAGTTTTTTGGGTGCCCTCCCGGGCCGTTCGTCAGGCACTTGAAGACTGCTTACAAGACTGGCTCGCTACTGCCTCAGAAACGACTATGCATGTATGAAAGCAAGAGCAACTGGTTTACATACAAACGAACGTCCTGTCGTGCCATCCCATCGTCCTTCTCCAACTTGTCTATTGTTGGGGGGGGGGGGGGAGAAATTGGCCACTGGAAAGACATCTGCCCTCACCTGTTGCTGCTACACTCTGCCGATGACTACACCACATGGCCACACCCAATCCAAGTGATAACTGTTCAACGTGTGAACGATGGCTCCTCCGTTGAGGTCTGGTGCCAAAATACGCGTTCATACGGGCGTCTAGCAAGATATTAGTATCATGGCGTTATAAAGTGAGTAATGATGACTGTTTCGACGGAGGAGAGCTTCGTTCCCCAAGGATATTGTCTTCGAAGACCAAAGAGTAATCGAAATCCTTGTGGCCACGAATTTTTCCGGGACGAGATAGGGTTCAGTCCAACTCCTGGCCTACCTCACCACCGACATGGTGAGCGCCCACTTATTCACGGCCGTCTTGGCTAGTGGTTGAGACTCGACTGCGTGGTTGCCTCATCCTTCCAATAAATCAGCTTGATCATAGCAAGCGTTCGATGGCAGAAGTCATGGTAGAGATAGTGATATCTCATATTCATGTTCTTGAGAGCCCTCGCAAGCACTCCGAGGATCGACACTTTCGCTTAGCCGGGCCTCTTTTCAGTCATTCGAGACTAAATCTTTCCAATAAGAACGCACCGATTCATCAAGCAGACTGGTCCAAAGAAATCTTCTCGCCATGGTGATAGCGGCATCGACACTTCGTGTTGCAGGGTACCCTTCTTGCAATTTCACCAGCAGCACGAGGCCGTCAGGTTGGAGCCTCGACCCCACACTCCAAGCGTCAACGGCGACGACATACATCCACAGCAGACAATCGGCTTCCGCGACGGATTTAGGGTTGTAAAGGTGCAAATTCATTAGTAGCTCCGCCCTCGACCCTCGAAGCGCACTTGCAGAGGTTCGCGAACCAAAACCCGTGTAGGCAAAGCACAAGATGGCGGTGGCTATCAACTTCTCCAACATTGAGCCGCTGCGACCACTGATTGCTAATGAGGGACATGCCTCTGCGAAATCGTTGTATTGCCCGGGTAACCTGCGTTTCGTGGATAGTAATTGCCAGCGAGCACTGGGGCTCAAGCGTGCCAGATGGGCCGCTCGATAAACCAATGGGATCACGTCATATGATAGCACACCTTCGAGAGCTAGTGCCTCGAAGCCTGGCGGGAAGCTTTCAATAACCTTACACAGTTCCGGAGAGTATGGATGACTGGGGAGCTCAGGGTCATGCTGACGACGCTCACCCGGGAATATGGTTTTGCCAGAGTCCAACGACCACAGTGTGTCAAACTGCAGCATCGCTCCCTTCACTAGTGAGCCATCTTGAAAAGCCTTCAAGCCGCCTCTTTTAGACACAATCATTTGCAAGTTCTTCTTGTGGAGTTCGTGCGCACTGGTGTTCCGGAAGGACCGTTCGAGAACCGCCAGAAAGATCATGGCGATAACGGTACTGTCGTCTACGTTGATCGCGTCCTTGAGAATTCTCTGCCTGACTTTTGCCATGGCTTTACCTCGATGTGTGAGGACTTGTGGGGAGGTGGAAGGATCGATTGCTCTCACGTCATCATGTAGTCCCTGTACAACACTCATTCCAGCGTCGTAGAAATGCCCCACGGCCAGTGCATCGAGGAACCAAGCGTAGATATTTGTGACGTCAAACACATAGCAAACCGCATCGTTGCCAGGACTTAGATGCTGGGCGTAGAAATCAATCGTCGATGCGACTCGGGTATCAACGCTACCCGGGATACAATGAAAGGGATCGGTTCGGAATCCAGAGAAGAGATCTGAGATCGAAGGACTCTGGGGTGCGAATGGCCACCCCTGATCATGCGTAGGCTCAACTTGCTTGATATATCGGGTGTTCACCTCATACGCAGGCTCCCTTTGTTCGTCCACTTCGCGGTTGCTTGTCGTTAACTCGAGATTATCGCTGTAGTGGCCTGAATCCGGACTCTCTGGAGGACTGATGGGGTAATATTCTAGTAGACGAGGTCCTGGTGCTGGTACATATTCGTACGTATCCTCTTCCTTATCTGGCGAAGTAGGAGGCGAGCTCGGTCTGTGAACTCGAAAGCGCCGGAAAGGTTGAGCCTTTGCTACTACCGGGGCACCATCTAGCGAGGTTGGCGTGTCTGTGTTTGAGCGGGGCGGGGGCGGCCTTCGATTGCTCGCTCTGATTTTCTGATGAGTGATCAGAGCTGCATGAGATCTCACACTTGATATTCGCAGCCCTTTGGTATGCGCCGATTCTCCCGCATTGACCTCGACAAAGACGAATTTGTCTGGTGGCGTCATTGGTCGGTCACACGACGTCGATCCCTGGCGATTGTATCGATTCTGGTGGCATTACAGACTGGGCATGCGAAGAACCGTGGAGAAGGTTCCCACTGTTTGGGTTTTATCTGAACAATGATATGAACGGCCGCTTTCAATAATCGCAATTTCCTTAGAGTTACATAAGCGCTGGTTCCCCGTTTGGGGGTTTAAGCACGTCGGGTCGTCGACCTCGATGATATTTAGAGCAGGTGGCCTTGAACGCCGTACCGCTTCATAGTAAAGGAGCGAAACTCGCCAACTCCTCAAGCGTGGTCGACGGCCTCAGAAAAGGATCGATAAGTCGAGGCAGCCCCTCCAGGTATGAGTGTGAGCCAGTGCACTTGGGTAGCCCACGTGGGCGAGAGTCGAGTGGTCTTCCTTCGGAACGGAAGAGGAGAACTTTCTTGACTGGGAAGTAGGTCTCCCCAAGTGGTGGTTACTAATAATTACCCAAATCGGCAAATAGTCACCCATTGGCGAGAGAGAGTATGGCCATGTTCGCGGGAGAAAGTATGGACCACGCTATTGATTATTATCTAATCGCAAAGACACAATAGCTTTAAAGCTATTGTTCGCGCCTTAATTCGACTCTCCACGCTCTCGGCTCGAGAGCAACAGCCTTCCCCGTTTCGTCTACAGTAGTCATGAAATGATCCAAGCCTTCCAATCCGTACGTGACTCCGTCGATCAAGAACCATGTCTGGCAGCTGCCCTGAGGGAAGAACATCTGAGAGTCAAACTCGGCTAGCTCCTCCGCAGATCGCATCGTCAAGACGGCCCGCCAGGAAGTCTGGTTTCCTGATCGGAGTCCCGCCTGGGATAGACGAATTGAGGTTGATGTGGCGCCTACATGAGCTGCCAGGCCGGCTGCAACGTCGACTCCATTGACTGAAAACCTTGAAACCGCCAGACCGCCTTCATCGACCGACAGTTTCACACTAGAAAACTAGCACCTGAAACGTATACTCCAGAGTATTGCAGAGAAGCCTCCTATTTGGTCACCTAATCAACTACAGGAATGAGGGCCTTGACGAGGGCGGAAAATAAAGCCTCGATCTCCGGGAGGCTGCTATGGACCCCGCCCACAAGGTTTATCGCAATGACCAAGTCATAGTCAGGGACCAGAACAAGGACATTGGTATAATCATATTGATTTCCCGTTTTCGTGTAAAAGTCAATGTTTCGACCATCTGATGCGAGATTTGCTCCACGTGCGACCTCCCAGGGTCCCCCAACGTAAGGGCCAGATGAGGATGTAGAAGACCTTGGCTTCAGCCAGGCACGTGTCCTCTCCAGTGTGAAAAGCTCAGATGATAGTATCGATGCTCTGAACGAGAGGATGTCGTTGTTGCTGGAGTACATGGCGCCGGAACTGCAAACCCGGGTAAGGACTTGTTAAAATCTCCTCAGTGTTATGAGGAGAGCATACCTGGTTTCAACTCCGAATTGGATGTCCTACCAACCTGGCACCGCGGGGATGAAGCCAATACTTTGGTCGCCTGGAATTTCGACGGATGTGCGATTGAGTTTGGCGGTTTGGAAGACGGAGTCTTGGAGATACTCCGAATAAGATTTTCCATTGACATTTTCCACCAGTTTTCCAAGGATGTCAAAGCCTACGCTAGAGTAGACTGGAGTCGGAAAAGGATCATAGACCCGTGACTGCCGTCCAGAGTTGGTCAAAAGGTCTAGATGCTTGTCAGCTGACAGCTGGGAATCTGCACTTGGACTGGATGCAAGCTGGTGGCCTACCGTGCCATGTACAGGCAGGCACATCTGTAGTATATCTACAAGAGGAATCTTCGGCTTTGTCGAGAGGCGGCAGACCAAGCTGCTCCGTAACTCTAGGCACATAAGGGATTGCACCCGTGCCAACTACCAGACAGGAAAGATTAGATTGCGGCTCAGAAATGATCGATAGCTCACCTACTAGTAGTTTCAATGCCGCTCAGTTGGCTCAGTAGTGATTCCACGGTGGTAAGTTTCCAATCTACTGAAAGATCATGTTCAGTGCTTTTGATGTTCAAGAGGTCGGGCACATATTCTGTGATTGATTCTGCAAGTTTAACCTTGCCTTCTAGTTGCAGCACAGCCACTGTGGAGCCGTGAATATTTTTGTGATACTAGCAATGCGATAGACCGTATCGCCATCCACTTTATGCACACCGCTCACATTGTATGTGGAAGGGGTATGATGGAGACTGAGGAATAGATCGGAATCGTGGATGGACCTAACGCCGATTGAGAGAGCCGTTTAGTTGTAGAGAAGTGTGAGGTTCTTCAATTGTTCGGTGATTGCCTCAACAAACTTGTTGAAAATCGGGATTGGATAGTAGATTCCTGGGTGCTGGAAGGATAGGACCGAGCGACGGACAGTATGCCAGCAGGAGCCGTGCCTGAATGATAGCCACCAGGCTTATTTTTTCGAGAGACTTCATGACGGTCAAAAGTTGCAGATTCCGTGGCGTTGTAGTTCAGAGAGCAAGTGAAGCATAGGAAAATAACAAGTACTCTGTAAAGGGATAACAAGATGCAATTGATACCGAGGAGATTCTAGGCTTGTTGGTTCTTTCTTACCGTCTTATACGTCCTTGACCTTTTGTACTGTGTTGAGACATACAACCAGGTAGAAACATTTCTCAAATTTTAAATCGAGTCTTTTGTCCGAAGGGCTTGGAGGACTCACAATTCATCTCTGCATTACGTGAAGAGTGCGAGCCGCGCTTCATACGCCTCAGGAAACATCGTCTCGAGGAGTTGAGCAGTAAGAGGACACTCAGCCGTCGATGGCGCGGGCACCACAATGACGATAGGAATCCGTCGCCTGGTGCGAAATAATAGTGTGGTGCGCAGAGCAGCGAGGAATAATGCGGTTAGTGGTGTGAGGCGACCCGCCAAGCTCGGGTTCGTGACTCGATGCGGGAATGCTGTGCAGGGTTGTTTTCCCAACATGGCACGAGGAGAAGGGTTTGTAGAGTATATTTTCAGAGTAGCACAGCGGCTTCTGAGCGCTCCTTAAGGCTGCCTGGCGCTAACGAGCAAGCCAGCAGGCAGATAACGAGGTATTGCTTGAAACTAGTAACCGGCGACCCACGGGAAAATCATACTGGGTTGCCCAGAAGAGGAGACAGAGCCAAGTTGATTGCTAGGCTTATATCCTCGCATGACAGAGTGCTTGCCTCGACTGAAGCCTCTTGTTAGCACGCTTCAGACGAATAGAGCGATTTAGTTAAGAATTCAGGCCGTAGTAACAAGTGAGGTTTCAAGTGCTAAAAATTAGAAATGACGAACAGAGAGCTGGGACTATGGTCGTGATGAGAAGGCAGTACAATGATACTGGCATGGAAGGGTATCATTTCTCGATGAGCAAGGTCTCGGTGAAAGTTCGCCAGGGTTCTGGAGAGGCCTCGTCATAAAGGGTATAAACAACATCCACAAACAGAGATCCTAGTTTGCGATAGTTAATATCACAGGAAACATCGTAGAGACGGGGCGGGGCTTGGCCGGAATCACTACTGTCTCTGTCCCCGGAGAAGACTGAGGTGCAGCCCTCTTCGATCTCCATAACTCGTGCAAGTACACAAACCAACTCGCTCCGGCACCAAAGGCCCTCTTTGGCATTACATCGATGCATCAGGCTCAATATTTTTCGCCTGATTTCTGGATCTCGACATTTCAATCCAGCGAGATACAACGAAGGCAGAAAGCCACCTTCGAAAGTAAATCCAAGCCACGTCTCGTCATTTGAGGCATGTTGCACCCCTTCCTCCGCTGCGGCGACAATTGCTTTGAAATCGTCAATATAGTCAAGATATATATCTTGCGAGATTTCCAGTGCAGTGTTTATGTGTATTCTGGTTGAAAGAAACTTTGCGTAGAGGAATTGCACCGCGAACGGGGAGACATCTTGCCCTGGATGCAATTTCAAGCCCTCAAATGCTCTAAACCATGAGGCGAGCTGTGTCTTTGCAATGTCTTGCTCGTTGGTCAGGGCACGAAGTGACAGGGCCAAGTCACTCCTATGGGTATCAAGACGATGAGCTTTTGACGCAGCCACCCTCAAGCTCTGGGCTTTGGGAGTGAGTTTAAGCAATATCTCTCTTGCAACTCCCAGATTTTCGAAGCGTAACTGCTCGGAAGCCACGGCGAGAGCGTCGATGGAGGGGCGTCCGTTGAAATCCCAACTAAACATGCCCGTTGAGATTCGAAGGCGATTGAACAAGTTCAACAAACTCGGATGAGGTTGACGGTGGTGGAAGTTTAGTTCAGTAGCTTGAGATAGGATGCTGCTACCTTTTTCCACAAGAGTGATGGCATTTCTATCATTTGTGCGATATAGTTCGATGCAAGTGAACAGCACACAAGATACGAGAGCAAGATCAATCGACTCATTGGCCGGTGTCTTCTGTAAGTAGTCTGATAAGGACAAGATGGACTTGTTGTAGTACCTCAGTCCTTGACGGCAATGTGTGCATAAACAACTCGAGATGTGTTGCACGCTTCCTGATTCGTTGTGTCTAACAAGTGTACCCAGAGCAAATAGCGCTAGACGGACTGGAACCTCGGTGGTTGCAATTTGTAGGAAAAGGCTCTGCCACAGGTCGGTGTCGAACGCACCACTAAGGGCGGACGAAACCTTGCGGCTGTAAAGGCCATATGCCTGCCACTCCTGCCGAGTGGCGCTGAAAGCTGAGAGTAGCGTCGTAGAAGTACTGATGACTGTTGAACGCGAGATTTGTGCCAGAGTCGAGGAGATCAACTCTAATGGATAGCCTCCACAACCCAGCCCTGCCTTGATGCATCGCTGGCATGTAGGCCGGGCTTGATCGCATTTGACACGTCGTTTCTTGCAGGTTAAGCAACCGGCCCGTGACTTGGGCGCATGTCGTCCAAGATTTGCCATCATCGACTGTTTCAAACTTGGCAGAGTTGCAACAGTCTCAAGTAGACTATATATTGATCGAAAGGAGACCAAATCGGTGTACTCCGTAATGAGGGCATGGGATATCTACCCCAGAATCATGGGGTGGCCTGACCTGTCCATGAAGCAAAATTTCAGGGAAACGGATTAACAATGGAGCAGCTTCAAGAGAGCGGTGTCAGGAGAGGCAAGGACCTCCCATCACATTAAGTCTCACATCTTTCAAGTCAATAGAGAAGGAGATTTAGGCACTTGGAGACACAAATTTGGGAGGTGTCCTTAGGTACCCGTCTCGGAAGAAGTCACGTGAAATGCGATGGTCACGGGACTGCGGGGAAACTAATTCGATACGATAATTACACGTCCTGCAAACAGGCAACGAAGAAACACCATTCGAGATCCAGGATCTGGCGCCGTGGCTTCGACTTGCTTTCCTTTTGTCTTCTGGAAACCGTGTCTTTTACCGGCTCGATGGGTATGTCTTGATGGGTTGATGCTCCAGTCTGCGTACTGTCAACGATGACCTAGATTTCTCCTACTGCCACTTCCACACCTGCGACCTGCCAATTCCCGGCCTTCAGAATGGTCCGCTTAGTCCCCGACAAACTCGCCTTATGTCTTCTGACCTTTCTCTTGACGGAAATAGCCCTGACTGCGAAAGTGACGAACCCTAAAAAGGTCCCCAAAAATGCTGTCCTCCTTTCAAAGGTCTCGGCGCTCACCGTACGATCTGGCAAGCAGACTGCGTCCAGACGGGTCAAGCCTGTCCCGCAGTTGCAATGTGTGGGCCCTGCCAATATCTGCAAATTATATGCGATTGATGTGATGCGTTGTACGAATGAAGGCGCTGATTACGACGAGAACAACGTGCAGTGGAGCTGCAAAGCTTCACTGCCAGAAGAATTCAAGCTCGGCGCGACAGATGTCTCCTGTGAAGGCTATCTTAGCAGCGAAGATCCCTATGTCTTGTCTGGAAGCTGCGGCGTTGAGTACAGGCTCCTTCTGACAGACAAGGGTGAGGCTAGGTACGGGTCGCAAAGCAGTTGGGGATCTAGGAAATATGGCGACGGGAACAGCAACGCTGTCGAGACATACGCTGGATATCTTTTCATGGCCTTGTTTTTGGGCGTGCTTTTCATCATTCTGCGCGGGATTTACAAAGCCTGGCGTGATGAAGCCCGTCGCAGACCAACAACACGACCACGGGGAGGCGGCGGCGGTTTTGGGGGAGGTGGTGACGATGACCCACCGAATGATCCACCACCGCCATACTCGGCTCGCCCCAAGAAGGCAACATGGTCTTCAGGATCACGGTCAGGGACATTCTCGACCACTCGGACTCAACAGGAGGGATGGCGACCTGGTTTTTGGACTGGCACTGCGGCCGGAGCGGCAGCCGGCTACCTAGCGGGCAGAGGCAATCAGACTCGGACCGAACAGCAACCTCCAAGACGTGGTACAGGGAGCAATTGGTTCGGAGGTGGCGGGGGTTATGCAGGACCATCTACACCTCGATCCTCAGGCTCTGGATCAAGCTCATCTTCCGGCGCAAGACACGAGAGTACAGGTTTCGGTGGTACTTCGAGGCGTTGAGCTCTCTGCCTGACATATCAGCGAATTCATTGTTGTAGAAGCACAACACAATGCCTGATAGATCAGAATTAAAGCAACCGAAGTCTTTCTGATAACCCAAAATGAATGTCTGCCCTTGACTCTGCCCTCTAGAAACAATACCAATTATTTGTAGCTGCTGGAGCCCGGCCCGACTCACCCTCCCAGGCTCCCAGGCTCCCACACTGATGCACAGTGCAGGTGGAGTCTGACATGGAAGCCAGTGCAACCCGAAACAGGCAACCCCCAGTACTCTTTTCTGACTTTTATCCATGATCCATCCTCCTTACCATCAAATCTCACTTCCCAAATTCCCAGACATTTTTAGAGTCCTAATCCTCTCGGAGCCCCTTTACCCAGCTGCACAGAAATGACCATAAACAGGGCCCTCGGATGAAACCTCAGGACCAAAATGATGTGATATGATTGCGTTGCATAAGTGCGAGCCCTAGATTTCACCATCCCTGGTATTCAGTCCTGGGAAGCAACATCTCCAGTACTTTCGCGAATGCTGGCGCGTGGGCTCCTAGCATCCATATCCTGACCTCTTTGGATAACCTGAATCTGGCTGAGAAGTGTCGCCGGGGGCGCTCGCAGAAACAAACAAGGCCATCGGCACGATCTAGACGCGTGATTTTATTTCTCGCCAATACGTCGAACGCCGTTGTTGACCTCCTTCATGCACGCTTGATATCCAGGCATTGAGGACAAAAGCATAGGACATGCAACCGCCCCCTTGGTTCGTGCAGCAATCTGTTTTCTCTGGGCCCTTTTCGTACGCACGAGTCCGCAAGACAAACAAAGTAGAGGGTCTCTGGACAAGACATCCTCATTTCAAGCTTCATCTCTTTGTCAGGTGTGCAGCGGCCCAACGGGCCTTGCATGCTTTGTTTTGATATAAGCCATCGCGAGAAAGGGAAGACCTTATAACATCAGCACGACATCGCCTAAAGCTGCGAAGGAGGGTGGGAGAGAGTACGTTGGCATCACCACTTTTCTGCATGCGGCTCTTTAGTCGGGGCATCATTGCTATTATCAGGCCCAGCACTACTGGTACTTCTAGTCTATCTGGCAGCAGCAGCAGCAGCAGCAATACTGCAAATATCCCGAAAAGAACCAGTGTCACCTCACTGCCGCATCATTTGGGGCTTGCGAGCAAAACTGGTCACCTCAACAACCACCAACTCTTCGTCTCACATCCTTGTCACCACCATCAATATTCGCGGGAGATATCAACCTCTTGCCTGATTTCCTCAACTTTGTTCCTCACAGATTACAACCCGGTCAACAGTCGTCCTGCTCTGCGGCAAGCTTGGTCGTCATTTCCGTGGCGGTGCGAGAGAGCCTCATCTCTCGTTGCTGCGTCGCGCGTTAGTGAAAGATCTCACTCGTCGTCCAACATGACGCGTGAGTGTATCGATCTGACTTCTGACGACGACGAGGGGCTAGACAACCGCGTGCTGCCACCTCGGAATCACACCAGCCTGGGCTCTTCTACCGCCTCTCGAAAGAAGCGACCAGAAGACGCTCGTCCATGCACACAAGGTACTTGATCTTTCATGCTCTCTTTCTACCCTTTTCTACCCTATTATCTGAAGAAGGCTTTCTCAGTGTGAAATACATATCTAAATCTCTCTGACTCAGATGGAGGGCAACCTCGTGAAGGCGGCCTGAGAAATATCTCGCATCCACGTCACGGGCTATCCAACAATGATCCCATCCTGCTGGATGAAGAGGACGAAGTCGATGCTGCCACCACCACCTCTACCACCAATACTCTCCGCTCCACCCTCAACTCGCACAATCGAACCGTCAGACTGGACGGGAGGAATGACGCTACAGCAACCTCAACAAGCGGAACCAATCGCCAGGCACATCAAAACAACAGCACACTCACCACCAACGAGGCCAGAAGTGATGAAGGAGTGAATGACGCCAATCGCATAAACAGCAACAGCAGCACAGCTGCAGCTACACCACCTGCACCCGTGACACCACCCGTGACACTGCCATCTCGTCGGCGCCCACTACCCAACCTCGGGAAGACCGTGCTAGGCCCAGGCATGCCTCCACCGCTGTACCCTGACCTGCCGAACTTCGGCGGACCGTGGCTCGTGAAAGACCGCGAAGGGGATATCCCCCCAATCTGGGTTCCTTACAGATCGATCCCACAAGATATGACACCACTGCCACCTGAGCCGCTACTTGATGCAGAGCCGGGCCCCGAGTTTGACATGATCGAATCGGACGTGGACGTGGATGCGGACATGGATATGGACTCTGAAGAGGCAGAAGACCTTAAGATGGCGATTGCAATGTCCTTGGAAGACCAGGGTGCGTTGTTGGTCAGCAGCGGTAGCAGCGCTGCGAGGATGGATGTCGATGTTGATCTCGACATCGGTGAATATGAGGATGAGGATGATGAAGATGTGAGACCTGCGTTTCGTGCCAGTCAACTTAAGCGGAAGAAAAGGGCACCACCCGGAGCGGAATTTCCTATGAGAAGAATGCATGCGAGACCGATCTCGATTGATTTGACTCGCCCGGGCCATGGAACAGCTACAGACACGGAATCAGATAGAGATACAAACGCTATGGGTGCGAGTTTGGGGCCATGCCCACGTCGTCGCAGCAATGACTTACTCAGTACACACGGCCAAGACGGAACCGCAGTTCGAAGCATCGAAGCCATTGAATCGCCAGTTCGCACAGCCTTGGGTTTGCAGACGCGTCAGACATTGACGTCGGCAGCAGGAGCATCAATTCGCGACGATCGAACCATTTCAGCTTCCCCAACCACTGCAACAACTACACAGGGTCAAAAAGGGCCGACATCGGAACCGTCTGAGCTCACATCGTTCAATCTATTAACTCTGAACCGACACGCAATGGAGGCGGAGCGGTTGATGCGACTTAAGCGGAAGCGTGAAGCAGAAGCAGAAGCAGAAATAGTGGTAGTGGATGGTGATATCAACAGAGGAAGAGTGCCTGCTAGGTCGAACCGTGAAGGGTCCAAGACCATTAGCCCCTCTCCACCACCGTCGAGGAGAGCGAGATTAGGCGTACAAGGGACCTCTCTCCATCAACCCGGGAGTGCTGCCGGCGTCGCGGATGCCAAGGGAGCAGCAGCAGCAGCAGCGACGGTACCATCAACTTCACAGCGAGTACAAGGATCAGCACCTACCTCGTCGAATGCTATGTATTTCCCCACCGGCAAAGTATTTCAAACCTACATCAACGGATTCCCGTCCGCAAACACAATAACATTTCCTCAACTGATCGGACGCAAGGAGTCATTGACCGGTTGCCTGCTCTCGAGTTTCGTCTGGGACTTCGACTGGCTGTTGCCGCACTTTGCGACAGCTAAGACGAAGTTCCAGCTCGTGATGCATGCCAAATCAGCCGCGCAGCGGGAAGCATTACTTGGGGATTTCCGCGGTATCAGCAACGTGCGGCTCTGCTTCCCGCCCATGGACTCGATCATCAATTGCATGCACAGTAAATTGATGCTGTTGTTCTACGACGCCAGTGATATGGACATGGCTGTGGCGATGAGCATGCCCAGTCGAACTATCAGCGGCACGAGCTGGCTGGCAGGGCCTCGATGTCGCATCGTCGTGCCGACGGCCAATCTGACTGGGGCCGATTGGGGGGTAGGCGGTGTCATGGAAAATACTGTGTTTCTGATTGACTTGCCTGTAAAGGGGCAGCCAACCGCAGCTCCAACTGATGCATCAGGAGAAGGAAACGAGATAGCGTTCCAGAAGTCCTTGGTGGCATTCCTGCAAGCACAGACCGTGCCTGAAGACATCCTCGAAAAGCTCGACCATTTTGATTTCCGAAATACTGCAGAGTATGGATTTGTCCACACCATCGGTGGTATGCATGGAGGAGAGCGGTGGCGTACGACTGGTCTGGGTGGCTTGTGTCGCACGGTCGCAGAACTAGGTCTCGCCAGCTCCAATTCTCCTGAAGTCCACTATGTAACCTCCTCAGTTGGCAGTCTGAACGATGAATTTATGAGTGTTATGTACTCAGCAGCCCAGGGGGACAACAATGGGTTGACAGGTGCCCGGCACCGTACTACTGGGACATTTCAACGTCAGTTGGGGGCAACAAAAGATCCCATCGTTTCCACCAGGGGCCTGACAGCCGCCGCAGTAACAGACAAGTGGCGTCAACGTTTTCGGTTCTTCTTTCCCAGCGAAAATACGGTCAAGGCTTCCATCGGGGGACCAGGCGCTGCAGAGACGATTTGTTTCTCTGACAAGTGGTGGCAGAGTTCAAGATTTCCCCGACAGAACATGCGAGATTGCGTTTCTGCGAGGCGTGGCTGTCTGATGCACAACAAAGTACGTAGACATCTTGAAAGAGCACTGACCAAAGGTAATTGAATGCACGTCAATGCTAACCTTACAGCAGCTCATGTTCGTGGGATACCCCACCCCTGTAGTGAGGAGTTTGAAGACTGGAAAGAGCAAAAGCTACATTGGCTGGGTCTATGTTGGAAGTGCAAATCTCTCAGAAAGTGCATGGTGAGTCTTTTCCTTGAATCCGCGCCAAATTCGTGGCCTAGTGCCACAGGGACAGTGCACATGACATTCTGGGCCAGACCGCTGTCGTTGGCGCAACAATTCGGTTGGAAAGACATCAAGCTGACATGTATACTTCCTGCAGGGGTCGACTTGTTCAGGACAAGAGCACAGGGACTCCCAAGTTGAATTGTCGCAACTGGGAATGTGGAGTCATTGTTCCTGTTGAAGAGGAGGGTGAAGATATGAAATCATCGACCAACAGCAGTGGTGAAGGCGCGCTCGTCGTGATGGGTAGGGTCGTCCCAGTCCCAATGGAGCACCCCGGTAAAAGTTTCGAAGGAAGAAAACCCTGGCTGTTCTCGGAAGGGATTACGCGGTGACAGCCATAGTGGAAAGCTGGGGGGAATTGACAGCAATGGACGCCCTTGTGGACTCCATAGTTTAGGTTGAGAACGTCCTGAAGTGAAGTAGATTGAGATGAAGATGACGATACCAATGCACGGATGATGGGGCAGCTAGGCTGCTGGGGAGTCTACAGGGGCCCAGAATCGTCACTGACACATGCCTTGGTCTTGTGGCAGCCCTTGGTAGAGAGTCGGGTTGTAATTAGTGTGACTTGGTACCTACGATTAGGTATCTGTACTCCTTGTCGAGGGCAGATAGGAGTGATTAGTGAATTCTGTGCAGGCCCGATTCAAGAATCAAGACTGATCGGTCCCGGTCACTAGTAGGAATAATGGAGCCTTTCGCTTGCGCGGATGGCCGCAAGACTTAACAGGGTTATTCTGTACGAGTGACAGACAGACAGCCGATGACAGGTGCTCTCGGAACTGTGGATCTTGGGTGCCAGTGCAACTTGCGTTACACCAGCTTCTCTGGTCAAGAACCGCGGATACAACGGGTTGCAATTACTCGTATGATGAGTGGACCTTGGTGCTGTTAATCAACGAAGCACGTGGGCCTTCATGCCCTCAACCTCGATTCTAGAGCAGCTTACTCGTCCTCGACCTGGCGATGATGGTGAGTAGTAATAACGAGTTTGTAAGGTTGTAGTCATGCCGCTTGTACCGAGTGCGGAAATGTGGAACAAGCAGGCTCTGTCGATCATCAACCTCAAGCGACGAAGTTGAGTGTGCGATGTCGATCATACCCTCAAGCACGAACTTGAGTGTGGGAGACGGCCAGAGAAGAAAATCTCCTTTATCAGTCAGCCACCTTCAGGCTGGGATGTGGTGGCTTTGTATGAAAATAAGCGGGACCCTGTCGCTGGACTGCTTGAGCTGGCTGGGGAAACGATTCCCGAAGTTAGTTGAATAGTTGTGAGCCATTCCGTCCTTGGGAGTGGGTTGGGAAAGCCTGAGTGGTCGAGTGAAAGGAGCTTGAATTGGACCCCGCGAAAAGCCATTGAAAGCTTGTGCGGGCCGCAATTTATTCGGTGATAAACTTTTGGGGGCTATCGGCCTCCCTAAGTTAAGGCTAGACAGCCCTTGTTGTAACCGTAGCTGACTCCGTACTGTAGTCCTTAGTGGGCACTGCGTACCAGGTAGGACTCCTCGCCTACCAACGGGTACGGAATTCTGACTGGAGAGAACGAGGTACGGAGTACCAGGTATTCGGTCTTCCGTACCTTCTTGCCTCCAACCAACCTTAAGTGTACGTACACTCCCGAGGCTTGGCCGCGTTTCGAGCCAAATGAGCCATTTCTGCAACATGCGAGAGCGGCAAGCTGCTGGGGTGGAAGACGAGCCGGGGAAGCGACAGATAGTTCCCAATGGCGAGTGGGATGGAGGATTGTTTGTGCTTTTTTTTAGAAGTATTTCTAGCTCGACATATTTACAAGAGGGTCTAGACTCTAGACGCCGCTGTGAAGTCGTGCAACGGAGTCCAGAGTGCTACCTATCTAGGGACCTACCTAGATAGGCAGCTACATTTGCTATGAAGCATGAAGATAGCTGAGGAGGGACAAGTGGAAGGAGTTGTCGGCGGTGGTTCCCAGCATCACGGCATTGCCAATACGAGAAGATCAACACTGTTGATTGCGGGGGACCCTCCGTCCTCCGTAGACTGCAGTACGACGAGTCTCAGAGGGCTGGGTGTTGCTGGAGATGAGGTGGTACGGGGGGAGTGGTAAGTGGTAACTATGCGGTGGCAATTCTGGCGGGGTTGAAGTCGTGACAAGGCCTTGGCACTTCTTGGAGGGGAGAAGGACGCACAACTACGGATTAGGCAGGTACAGAGTACGGAGTACCAGATACATCGTGCCATACCAGGTACCATGTGCAACACCAGGTACTACACCAGGTACTACACCAGGTACCATACCTGGTACTACGGTAAGCCGTCCTGGAACCGCTCCTGCCTCGAAACACGCTCCTTATGTATAGGACGGGGGAGGTGGTACAGAGTACAGAGTATCTACCAGGTGGTCGTCTGCAAGGCTCGCATCAAAGCCAGCAATTCCCCGAGCCCTCGCTGTCCTCCTCATACGTACGCAGACATGTTTCTGACACGGGCGAGAGTCCATTGCCTGCGGACTGCCTGCGGTAGACAGAGGCTGGCACGACGGTCAGTACAGAGTACTTGGTGCGCCGTATTCGCAGTTGCTTGTAGAGGCAGCTTGAAGACGATGAACCACACCACCTCGGGGCTACAGGGCCGACTCGACTCCTCTGGATGGCACTGCTCGTACGAGTGAGCTGCCTCCAGGCCCGCATGGTGTTGATACACTGGCCAACTACGAGGCGTAGGCGCTGGCGTTGGGTCTTGAAGGGAATTAGCGTGGCCCGGGGATCAGGAATCATTGCATTTAGCGTGGCTTCGCCTCTTTCAATGACCGTCCTTGCAGGGATAATGTGCACTGTCGCCGCACAATCGTCACGAGTCACGAGTCACGAGTCACGACTTACGACCCCTCTTGAATCGGTGGGCGCTCTCGAGAACATTTACTGCTGTATTCGTAGTCGTACTCCGTACTTCGTAGCGCATCAGACTGCCTCGCACCTCGTTCTCCCCAGCTGCACCTTGCCAGTTGTAACCCACTTGGGGCCAGGGTTCGGCGCCACAAGCATGAGAGGCCAAAGCTCACGATCGAGCTGCCAAAAGTCTCACTTTCTTATTCTGGCCTAGTCCAATGGCCACTGTCAGGGTCGTGGTCCCGAACCGTTCGCTTGGGTCGCGCGTGTTCCATGATCGGTTGACCCCGACATGAGAGAGCTGCCAGCTCAACACTCAGTGCTCAGGGCTCAATAGGCCGTACCTCCGTCTTGGGCTTGTCATGCAGGCTTCATCGGGACCCTCGGGCTCTCGTTCTTTCAACGGAACCGCAAGGATGGTGGACAACTCACCAATCAGGGTAGTCTACCACCTCCGTGGCAAGTTTCAGTGACAAACACCGCGTAGCCACGGCAGAAGGCGAGTGAAGTCTGCGGTTGTAGCGTCTGAGCCATGTTGAATCACGCATCGTTCAAAGCCATGAGCGCCTTGTCCACATGCCAGGTAGTTTCTTGTGCTAACCACGACACAGTCCAAGGGCGTCATTTCCTTATTCCGGCTCAATTCCGACGGGATGGGGGTGGACTTCCGATGGGATCAAGGCCGACCCGGTCTCTGCTGTGTTGGTATGGAAGAGTACTGGATGCGCCATCCCGACAAGTCCGTAGTCTGCACAGATCAGTCGCCAGTAGCAGGTCCACGAAGTGTTGTTGCGAATGCAAGGACCCGGATCCCTTCAAAGATACTGCCAAACTCAAAATGAAAACCAAGCAATTACTCCAGATCTTGCATCCGTACATACCTACGCCGTACTGGGTTGCCCAAATCTGCTATCCACCACACATTACGTAATATTTCTCCGACCCACAACAGGTCGCGGGTGTTGACGGTGAGGCGAACAGTTATGCAATTAATGCAGAAGATGCCTTGATTACCATGGCAGATTGAGTGCTCACTTATGTTGTGGCTGGGCTTTCTACGCAACCGACCTTGATGATGATCTGCGGTCCACCTCTGCCCTCAGCGAGACTCCCTCGAGCAAACTTGGTCGGTGGGCTGCCCATTGGGCTGAGGAGATCTAAACCCCTGACATCGATGCGCCTGGACCAAGGCCTGCAGAAAATAGAGTTTCTTTTGGGATGGAGATTGATCGGCATTACTCCCTGCAGCAGCTAGCCCTGAATGAGCCACCATGCTCGGTCTATTTCGCACACTTTTCGTCCTGAGGCTGCAAGTGAGCCAGTCAACCAGTCTGCTAATTCAACGCTGTGGCTCCCGCTTACGAGGGCCGGGTCTGTCAAGCGGACTTGGTCGTGGCCCCATAATAGAGCAACAATTCTCGGAAGAGCGCGAGGTACAAGCGTTCGAACAAAGCTCACCCCGTCTGTGGTAAGCCTGCCCTCGAGGGACTAAATCAAGCTAGAATTGGGTTGAGTGTTGACGGTGGCATCAGCGCTCGGTTTTGAGCGGTGCTATTTGAGCGGTGCTATTCGAATTGCAATCTCAGCTTCGGTTGTGTCGGCGGATGATCATACCATTACATGGGACATCAGCCGCTCCCCCTGCAGGCGACGACCCGGCAGCTGAGTGTCTGAGTGTTCGGGATGCGCATGTCTGGTCCCTGAGTCCCTCCCTGTGTGCATGCAACGCTCACGACTGAACATGGCATTTGCAAATATGCTCCCTCTGTGGGCCGTCGATGCTGGAATGCAATTCTCCAAAGTCATGCGGAACACCTGCATAGTGTCGATCCGCCTCCTCGGGAATAATGTTGACGACGATTCTGGGATGCATTATACCTCTTCCCTCGTGCGGAATACCACTGGATGCAGGGAGGCAGTGACTTGGTCCCTGGCGGGCTGTCTCATCACTGACAACTGCTTTCCTTTCCTGTCCTGTGCGTTGCGGCAAACATGTCGCGTCATGGTACTGCGCATGATTCCCTATCTTTGCGTTGATTCAGGGTGTTACATCACAGTGTGGTCTGGACCGGCGCGAAACCAAGGCGGTGGTGCTTTCGTTGTGCGCCCGCTGATGGAGAGGATGACATGAAGATGACCACTGACCAGGCTACGGCTATTTAAAGGATCCGTCATACGTTCTGCCATGATGCCGCCATGCTGATGCGACACACGTTTGAACATGGAACTGATACTCTATTGGTCTTCCCATTAGACTGCTCACCTGATTTGGATATTGGGTGGTATAGAGGCAAGTGGGAGTGCGGTCGTGGCTGACGTTCGATCACCACCGACGACAAGGTGAGCCACAACAAATCTACATATAGCGAGCGCTTTGCTCTTACTCTAAATACACCACACCACGCGTCGCGCGTCGCGTCCAAGACGCGGCATACTCCACCATATGGAAGAAAGAGCCAGTTTTGTACTGCTGTAGCCGTAGTGTATCTGTTGTGAGCTTGTGATGCTACCACTACGGAGGACGGCAGTTGACTCACATTCTGAACTGATAGCCGTGCCAGATACACTATTTACGGATGCCTCCGCCGATGCAGCGGTGGTCTTGCACCAGCTGGGCAACACATGCAGGTTCGCTACGTGCCAGCGCCAATCGCACCTTGTGATCGAGTCGGATACTTGACCCAAAGTCAATCCAGCCCACCGGGCTCTCCAGACCCAGCACTTCTTCTCTCGAGGACTGCTGGGAGCCTGGGATCTTGCTTCTCCCTCCCCTCCCCCTCCCCTTTCCCCCGGCACCCCTGTGACTTCTGATGGGCCTGGGCTGAGGAAAGCAGACTAATGGATCAGTAGTCGGTGGAGTGGCGGCGGTGGATCCGGATACAGGATTCGCTTTGGTGGGCCTTGAGCCCTAGCCGTGCCTGAAGACATTCATGGACACGCGCCGCCCATGCCCCTGCCCTGCCCCTGCCCCTGCCCCCATCGCCCTACGAGCCTAAGCGTGCTTGAGCCTGAGCGGACACCTACAGGCTACAAGCTACAGGCTCCAGGCTTCAGGCTTCAGGCTTGCTACGAGTAAGTATGTCTGTACTAACCCCCGAAGCCTTCGCCTGAGTGTGAGCGGGCATCTTCGCCTGCGGGCTCCCTACGCGGGCTTCCCTCCTCTCTCTTCCCTCCACCTGGGGCCACAACGAGAAAGCGCACGGCAGCAAGCTTGCCATGCTGGTTGGCACTAAACGTCCCCTCCGTCCCAGTTAGTCAGGTCGATGTTTCCTCTTTCTTCCCACGCGTTACTGCATGTATTGGGGTGGTTCCGCCGACGCCTTCCCCCCCCCCCTCGCCCGCGTCTTATTCGTGGACAAGCAGGGCATTCCGTCAGATCTTTTCCACCAAGGATCTGCTGCTCACCAACTATCGTTTCATTGACGACACAAATCCGTCTCGACTCGGAAAGCCAGAGCACCATCGTCTGTGAGAGTCGCGGCTCTCGATCACGGCTGCTGGTGCGGGTGCTGGTGCGGTCACTGTCGCTGTTGCCGGTGTTGTTGGTTCATCAAAAGCCGACGCGGTCTCTCCTTCCCTGGGAGTCTGCGACTTACCATCCCAACCCATGGAGCACAGAGTTACCGCTAGACACTTCCTGCCTCCTGTTCGTCATTCCCAAACTCTATATCTCCCTCATCCCCGCCAGACTTTCAGGTCATCCAGAGCTTCGTCCCTCCCCAAGGTCTCCCGAAAGTCTATCGCTTAACCACCCTGGCACTTGCAACATAGAGTTGATAATAGACTTTGGTCATCCAGTGACCCTCACAAGGCACAACTATTCGCGTTACCGGAGGCTATTGGCCACCTCTACCAGGGCTGCCTCCAGCACCCCCGAGCTCTCTGCTTTTGGCCTGCGACCGAGCCTGGTGCCGTTTGAGCGGTTGACCCTTTCAAACCTCCCCCCCCCCCGGGGGCCCAGTGTGTTGAGCACAAGCCATTTCACCGCTGCTGCGCCGTTTCTTCGCGCCAGCATAGCTTCCTGACCCGTTTCCTTAATCGACTGGGGACTACCCCTACCTAACACCACTGGCCCAGGTACTGAGGCTTAAGCACTGCCGTTTGGCAACGCAAGTTGTTGAGCAGCATTACGAGTACACTGCAACTTCTTGGTCCACTCCGCCAAACCCTCAAGACCCGATCAATTCGCTCCTCGTACCAGTTCCGCTTTGCATAAAGCAGCTTTGTTGACCATTAATGTCTTGGAGGACTGATAAGAACACCCATCCGCCGCGCTGCTCACCTAGCACTATTACTGTTGGCTGACCTGCTACGGAGTACGAGACGAGACCTACCCACCAAGGCAGCACAAACTGACGCCGTTGCTGTGATCGAGTGGGCCAAACAGTTTTGTGTGCAGAAAACCCAATCTTCACCATCAATCTTGCTTGCAGAACTGGCACTACTTTACCTCCAGAACCAAAAGTTACCTAGAGGCACTAAATCTACTCTCCAGTGGACTGCCTTTTGCCTTTGGCTTTCCCAATAAGTGGCTTCTCGAGATCGAGAGGAGCACAGAAGGTCGTGGTGGAGCTGCGACCCTGGACCTCTACCTGTGCGGGCAAATGAACCCAGCTGCTCAAAACAATAACGATCACCCCTCAGAACGCCCCCCAGCAATTCATCACCGCACTGTCCAAACTCTGTCTACCATTATTCTGCCCGGACTGCCACTCAAAACGCTTTGCGAAACTCAAATTCCTACGGATCACAACCTGAGCCGAGACATCCTCCTCTGGGGTGTCATTTGAATGTAAACAACGACTGACAACTTTCCCTCTACTCTCCGCCTGCACCGCCACCAGCTCGTGCATGAACATTGACTCTGTGGCCCTTTCCTTCCTACAAGTTGACACCTCCTCCAGATCCTGGCTTTCTATCGCACCCCTACTGGACTCTTGAACCATCCATCCGACAAATTTGCGGTCCCGTCAGGTCCAGAACTGGTGCTGCACAGACCCCAGAAACAGAGGACCGGTCAGCTACCAACCCAAGTGCTTGTATATTGTCTTGTCTGCCCCAGCTTGACTTTAAATCTTCATCAACTCAACTCTGTTCCTGGCGTCACATCTTAGTAACCTTTCAACCTTGGGTGTGCGTCTGCTGCCTGCGCCTAGGTCTGAGTTTCGCCTAAGTTAAAGTTCTGGCTCACGCGAAAACTCTCCTACAAGGCTGTGATATCTGATATCATTGTATTGTACTTCACCATTCAACACACTTCACCATGTCGACGGGGGGTGCTGCACTTCAGCCGACCTTCCATGGTCATGTAGCAACGACTCAAGATGCTCTGGTTCTGTTCGAGGCCTGCTTGCAAGGCCATCTTTCACATGTTCCCCGCCGACCACATGACCGGGAACGCAGCAGTCTGATCCGGAGCGGCTGTATCTTCATCTACGAAGAGAATGCATCTGGCATCAAGAGGTGGACAGATGGCGTCACCTGGAGTCCGAGTCGCATCCTTGGCAACTTCTTGGTCTATCGCGAACTCGACAAACCCTTCCCGCCAGGCGAGAAGAAGCGAGCCATGAAAAAGCAGCAAAGACGACCGAGTCGACCTGGAGAGCCCTACCCTCGGCCTGACGCGGGGTCCTTCTCAGATGGCGGCAGTCAGTCTTCGGCCTATGGCTCAGAAAGAGCAGCAACGGAAGTTGAGAGACAACTCATTGGCTCGCTCATCGACTCGTATGGATTCAAACAGGATGGCTTGGTCAAAAAGACCATGAGTGTCACTGTACAAGGAGTGACACATCATCTCGTCAGCTACTACAACGTCAATGATGTTATCCAGAACAATCTACGAACTCCTTCGCAAACCGACAATCTACAGTACATTCGTCCTCGACAAGAACTTACATCTAAGCAGAGCTTCCGATCTCCGATCGAGGATGTGGACGAAGTTGACGCCGCTCCCACCCCGTATGGTTATCGAGTCAACCAGCCGCCCTACATTCAAGACTACAAGCAGCAGCCGTATTACATGCCTCCCAACTATCCGTCTATGAATCAGCAACAGCCCCCAAGCGGAGCACCATATTCTATGGGTGTGCCTCCCATCGCTGGCTCTTACATCCAATCGCCAGTCCCGCCCTCACACATCCAAACAACTCGCAATGACTACAGCCAGTATGATCAATCCACGTACAACAGGAGCTATGACTCGTTGAATAACTCGATTCCTCCATCCTCCAAGTCGATGCCCCCTACCCCAACGACGATGCCGTCTATGGTGCCTGACAGAGGTCAACCCCAATCGGGAATGTATCCTCCTATGAGCATCCAACGCCCTATTGATAATCTCAGCCCCACGTCAATAGACTCGAGAAATAGCGGACCCTACCGCGCAAATCATTATCCCGTCAACCCCAGCCATACAGCCATGGATCAGTCTCGCCAAAGTCAGCCCTCCCCGACTCAGGTCAAATACGAGGATCGTCGGGATTCCAATCAGCAATCGTCCCATCTCTATGGCTCAAGGCCAGGTTATTATCCCGACGGTGCTGGACAATCCATGGGGTCGTCGCAGTATTCTCAACCGGGACAACTAGGACAGTGGCAAGGACAAAACCATCCTCAACAGTAAGTCATAGCGCCTGGACGAGTATTCTTCGAACGCGACCCAAATCTATTCTCATGGATTCGACGATCTATGTGTGTTCGTGTATGAATCTGTGGGTTAGAATTGTCCGCAGTGTCAATCTTTTGTGAGCACTTTCTGACTTCCGGGGCCGAAATAGGCAAATGAGTGTGCAGCACTTTATCACCGCTCCTTTAAACGCGAGTTAAACAAGTCACATTCTTTCTCATCACACATGTTGTGCGCCCGGCCTGTGAGACGACAACCAGCAAGGGTGGGCTCGGTGTGCTTTGAGACTGGTGAATCGCGCATTGGTCAACGCCATGATCGAGACCTTCACTCTCTGTTACTATACAGATTTGTGAGCGGTCGACAGTCACTATGAAAATATGTATGAAAGTGTCTTCCACCTGTTACGCATTGGGTTACTGGGATAGAGGCGGGTGATACGGAGCGAGTGGTGCGGAAAACGTCAGGAGAACTGTCAATTGACCTTCAACTGACCTCCAAGGTGTCTGGGCGGCGAGGTTTTGATTCGCTTACGGTCATGAATCCTGGGCAGGATGGACACAACCAGCAAAATGGAACAAGGTATGATTATCAAGAGCGAAAACGAATCGTTATGAATGGTGGCAATCGTGAAATTTCTTTCGAAAAGAGAATGGTCTCTCAGCCCTGTGAAGCATCGCCGATGTCTACAGGGTACTTGACGAGCCCGAGTCCACCCTGAACATGGCGAGCTTGATCGACGCCTTCATGAGAGAATGTTATGGTGGACGAGGAAAAAAGCCTGGATCAACAGGACAGACGGTGTTGCTTGGGCGCTACTGTTCTAGACAAGCTATGACAACCCCACCCGCTTGTCTCAGCTATGCACACAACGAGCTGCAGCCTCGAGCTTGACTCGGATGGACAACCCGCGACGTAGTAGGTAGACCAAATTGTATTGTTAAGTCTACCTTGATGAATCACGTGACCTGGCTCGAGAGTCCCGATTTAGACCAGTGCATCGTTAGATCTTCCCAACACGAGAAGCTCTGACATCCTTCATGCGCAGCCACGGTATGTGGCCAATCGTTGGCCATGTCCTCGCTCAGATGTCAAGATCCCTGGTTCCATGCTGGCCGTTTCTGGTCTGCTCATTATTGATGTCCACAACGGACTCAATGTTTAGTCCTGCATCGTGCAAGTTGCAGTAGACACCCCAGCCCATCTGAACATAGGATTTCCAATGCCCATCCTCGGAAGACAGGCCAGTGAAGGCCAAAGGTGCAAATTATTGGGATTGCTCGCGAGAAGAGCTGCTCCGCATGCCCACTGCTTTCCCTGGACTTGTAACTGCATTGCAACTTGACCTGGGTCGCACCAACACTGGCAGGCAGGTGGTGCCATTTGGTACTGGTATTACCCCCCTGCCATCGGAGCATAAACGCTACTGACAAGGGATTTTGCAGCTCCCGCCGAAGGCCCCGGTGCAAAGAGTCGTGGCCGTGCATGATGCTGCTCGGGCAAACTCGCTCGGTGAATCTGCCATGGTCGTTCGACCACGACAGCGACAGCGAGGGCGACATCACAGTGGACGACCCCCTCGGTGGAGCTGCACACGACTATGACCTATCCAGGAGAACTGTCACACCGACCAGATTTAGATGCAAGGCCACTCGTGTTAAAGCAATGTGATCGTTGACGGATCCCTAGCGACTTGCCGCCATGTAGAGTTGCCATGAGCGTCACGCAGAACCCACGACATTGGCAGCTGTTCCTTTCTCAGGCGCTATGCCGATCATGCACCCAGACTTGGACTTATTGTATCTTGCAGGGCCCGACCATGGCAGCACATCTTACCAATTCCCTCTTCCGCTTCCACGAGTGTTGCAATGGATGTGCCGTCGAAGCTACAGGACAGTGCATGGGTGATTCGGCGAGTTCTCTTGGAAAACGGCCGATACCACAGCAAGCATTGCCTCGCTTGTCACAGAGCCATGCGCCGAGCTGCTGTTTTCTAGATTAAGTTCCATCCCGATCCCTGCGATCGCAAATTGGCACCAGAGAATTCATGTTACACATCGCTAGACAGTGTGATACTTCCGTTATTTGTCGACGCCAAGTTGGCTTTACTCCAACCACGCCAATCAACAATAGCCGTGTCCCCGCATCATCCTGACTTGCGCAATCATGCCATAGGTCCGATGCCGCTTGGGCGTGCAAATCTGCCGTTTCTCAAGCGTTGAAGGCGATACTATCACGGTACAGAGTGCACTGTACGAGGTAAGAGTTGGCCGTCAAACCCCTGCATGATATCAGCCACGAGCAGGACCATCCATCCACCCCGTCCAAGCTCCTGCGTGCTCCCCACTATACAGACATCTAAGCATGATCACGCCTATCTGAACACGTCTAAAATGAGGCAACCAATGGTGTTGCTCAGGGAGAAAAATCCGCCCCTTCAAGAAGCAATCATTAATCGCAATCTCTTTGGTCCCGAAAGTGAAATTTTACTTTTCGGCAAGCATTGGGAACTAAAGCAAAACCTCAAACTTATTGCTCACGACAAGTCTACTGATATGCCTCGCTCCTTGAGAGTATGGTCTGGATATGATCGAGCGAATAATAACACAATGGCTCAACGGAATCTGCAGTGGACCAGTCTGTAAATCCAGATGATCAGCTCATTATTTCGTCATTACTTCAAGGATGCAAGTCGATGGTCGCAATGCAATGCACTGCTGTACTATGTACCTCTAGCAGACCGCTGGTCGAAAACAAAGCCTCGACAAGGTGTAAAAAATGCGACATGTTCGATCCCCGGCTGGGTTTTTTTTGGGGTGGCGGGGGGGGGGGCCTGTGCCTTCGATAGCGCGCAACATTACAACAGAACAATTATCGCATGGAGAAACCCGGCCTGTGGGAAGTATCGTTGAGATGGCAAATACCTCGGTTGGGAAAGCGGAAGCAGCTTGGTTTCGTCACAGACTACTGTCTTCCAAGCTAACAAGGATCGCAGTGCCTCATCAAATGCCTTCCGGTCGAAATCCGTCCATTGAATTGAGGGATTGGGCAGCCGCGGTCATTATTCAATTGTGGGCCAGACCCCGTTCTAACTACTCCGTACTTAGCCGACCAGTGCGATCAGCCGCTGTCCTTAGCTCACAAGCAGAATCCAGGCTCAAACCTCGCATCGGGTTGCGAGCTTGCAGACTCACATCTGCGGGAGGCCGCATCCATGGGGTCGTCGATCGTCATGTAATTATTCGCTTCTGCAAATGGACGCTAGAATCGAAACCAGATAAGCAGATCTCAGCTGAACCAGGATCCCTGTCTCGATGAAGGAATGTTCTTTCCAGTTTTCCTAGCTCGTCTACTCCGGAACAAGGATAGTTGGAGTATTGTGAAGGCCTTCACTTCATACCTTGTACATTTCCTATGTGCTATTGGACTCTCGATCCACTGATCTCAGGTTGACATCTCTGTGCAGCATGTGATGACATTCAAGCTTGGACGGTAAGCGTCAAGTCTACCCTCTGGGCGCTGCACTCTCACTCCACCCGTCTGGTGGAAAGCGGATGTTGGATTTTCATGATGAATCTGCGTCCTTGTTCCGCTGTCAGGCGGGATGTGTATTCTACAAACGAAGAAAATAGCCTGCTCGATGGTGGCGGTGATGGCGCATGTTTGGATGCCAAATTCCGAGGCAGTTCCAAATTATGGGAGGCGGGAGCATTCGTGTTCAATTCCATTGCCATGGTTCGCGATGGGGGCACCAGACTGCTCACCAGAAACTAGCCCAGGTCAAGTGGAGCGAGTAGAATACTCCTGGTTACAAGGTACGCATACGGAGTACACAAAGCATTGCAAGGTCTCGACCGTCGAATAACAGAGGCCTATCGAGCCCTGAGCTCGGTTCAGTCCAGTCCGGTTCAATTCAGGTTCCTAATCCTTGCTCTTCGTACGAGGGCGAGCTCTGGCAATCTCCCCACAGTACAACTCTGAAAATAATTCGTCTGTGTCAGCCACCTCCTCTGTGGAATATACCTATGCAGGGAAGATATTTGTCTGGAATCCCAATCGGGAATTCTACTGTACTCCTCGCTGCACCGAAGCCGCGCGGCAGACGTCAAACCCGCTCGCAGACGTACGAGAACCCGACTCTTAGAGTCTTAGTGCGCCCACCAGCTGGTGTAATCACTCTGTCTCCAGCATCTCGATGGAAAAGCTGGATGAGCTAATCAACACGGAGCCAGTGATTACTAATGACCGCCTCTGGCTGTCTTGGCGGCCCTTTGGTCCTGTTGATGAATCCGGTCTTTATGAGGACGTGTTCCCCTCCTTCGATCTTCGCACTTAGCACGACGGTAACCATGTCTTATTTTGGAGGTTAGAAGATATGCCTGTGCCTATGCCTACGAGGTACAGAGCCGAGCCAAGATTGTGATACCTTTGTTTTTCGTGGCCCATGGTCGTCGACCGGTATGGAGATAATTACGATTCCATAGTCGACCTCGAAATAGCCTTTGAGATCAGCGCCAGAGCCCGCGGAACTGAACATCCGACTAAGTTCATTCACGCGAGAAATCGTAGAACTCTGATTATACTGGGTCCAGATATACTTTTCTCGTCGGATTATCTGGTCACACATAGACTTTCGGAGCGTCGTTCGCTTCCAGGGAAGACGACCGGGTTCACACGACCCTCGCAGAAAGCTAACTTCAACAGATGGCCCCCTGGATGGCCCCCAGCCGGTTCAGCCCTATGCAAACAGAAAAGCCTATTACTGTCGGACCTGGTACCAGTACGGAGTACCAAGAACGAAGTACTCCGAACTTTCGTGATGGAGCCGGGGAACCTCACATCCCGGCCACTCTCCTCCCAGCCCGCGGAAACGCTTTAGGCGACAAGCATGAGTTTTCACCCTGCCTACCTACGGAGTATAGATTTTCTCTAGTTTAGCGCTCGAAGTGAGTTTCCATTTCCCCCGCAAAACTTTTACCTTCCTAACTACAAAGTTTCGGACCCTGTTCATTCTGCTCAGGGCCTGTTGCATGAACAAAGCCTAATGCAGAAAAGACAATTAAGACAGCCATTTTTGGAAGCCGTCAAATAATAGCTCCACGTCTGGACAATGGAATACGGAGTACTGCCATCCATTTCGTCTGGGCCTTCTGGTCAACCCACAGCTCCCAATAAACAGCAGCAGTGCTTTTATTCGTGTTTCTCTAACCTCATCTCCGTTCGGTCCGGCCTTGGGTCATGTTATCCACTTCACCCAGTTCGCACGGACGTGGTGTCCCATTTTGGACAGTCACGTCCATTGTTTTCGGCGACGGAGCCATATAATACGAACCACTATCATGGGCTCCCCGTTGGCTAGATTGAAGAGCTGAGGGCCACGGGCCGCGGAGGTAACTGTCAACTGAACAAATACCACGGGTGGAATCCCTTGCTTCCGAAGTTTCGGAAGCGACCCCTTGTTCCGGTGGAGCTCGTCACAGGTTCAGCAGCAAGCAAAGGAAAGGCTGCGGTGTGAGTCTGATCCATCTGGAGGCAAGCAAGGCAAGCAGTTCAAAGCTGCGGGCAAGAGAATATGAGCTGTAGGGAAGACGGATAATTATATACATGGTTTATATCATGATTGCACCTGGGGCTGGCCCTCTATCCCCCTTCCGGTGGTGATGCCAGTGCACGATCCAGAGAGATAGGCATAACCACAGCAACATCGACTGTTAGTCACTGTCGAGAGCACAAATCCGTGGGGAGTGCTGCTCCGGTCCAACGCGCAGTAATAGTAATCCAGCCGCCCACGAATCCGGACTTCCACCACATAGGAAATTTACTGTGTTCGGCCTTCCTCCACTAATACTTCCCACGACCATCCTTTCCGGCTTTCCCTATTCCAAGCCACGGCACCAAGTACCGAGTATCGAGTTTCCTTCAGAGCAGACGATGGAGAGCACGACACCCCTGAGGACAGCGGTGACTGATCGCATCACACACATATGTAACTTAACTACCAACCAACCAACCAACCAGCCAACCATTGGCCCCATCCACGTCTTTGCGCCAACGTTGCGGTTCGCACCGCGACAACAACAGAACAGTCCGTAGGACCTAGCATCCCGAGACTAGGTATTGACTACTACTGCTGCTGCTGCTGCTGCTGCTGCTACTGCTGCTACTGCTCTTCTTTGCCGGGCCAGAAACGCCCTCGCTCCGCTGACAGCGGCGGCGACGGGGACCAGTGAACAGCGACCTGGAATGAGACAACAAGAGAAGAAGAGAATGAAAGCCACACGCCTGGGACGAGCCTACGGGTGCGGGTGCGGGTGCGGGTGCGCCGAGGACGAAACGATATCCCTGAATCTCTGCAGTGTATGTCCCACGGGGCCCAGGCCACCACGACACCAAATGACGAGGCCGTGTTGTGTGTGTGTGTGTGAGTGAGGTACGCCCGCCCTAGCCGGCCTACCCGCGACCGACCACGCGCACTCCCACACACGCACCTGTGTATGCTCGGCCCAGGAGTGAAGCCCGTGGCTGTGTCCACCTCTTCCGACATACCCTGGGCGATGTTTGCGACGGGAGGAACGACCAGAGCATTTGCCAGGCAAACGATGCCCGACCCAGTCCGGTAGAGGGGCCCGTCCGTCACTCAGATCAGTTGGACTTTGGGTGAGGTAGGTCTGTATGTAAGTATTGGGGAATGAATCTGTGCAGAAAAGTGAAGCGTATAAAAGTAGTACCTAGATAAGGAAGGTGTACAGTGAAAGCAAGCGTCTACTATGGCTTTCTCATTAAGCATCTTTCATCAAATCTGTCGTATTTCTATGCGCTAAATTTACGCAGAAGATCCATCTCGCGTTATCAATCACCACTGGGTTGATACTGGAAGTGATCCCGGTACTAGGTTTAGGGCGTCCCTCCATTTTGGACGGTGAAAGTGTTTATTCCTGTCCCAATATATGGGCAAGTCACTCATTGTCGGACTACCTCTTCACCAGCTTTGGTGCGAGAGTATGAGCTCCCATCTTTCTCAAATGTAAGCACAGGTGGCTCAAGCGTAACATCGCTATAGGAGTTGCTGAGTGTCAAGGAGACAAGACTATGTAGTTCATGGTGAACCACTGAAATCCTGGACGAATAATGCCATTGTCCATCTTGTGAGCATCAAGTCGGAAAAAGAGTCTCTCACCTTTTCGTAGGGTTTCGCTCTTTTAACAACTGGTCAGGGTTCAAGTTAGGGGTGACACCGGAGTTTGCGACCTCGGTTTGCTTATCTGCCTTGTCCTGAGCGATCATGTGTGTCGAAGTAGCACTGGTATCTCCGTCGTTCTTAACATCTAGTCGGATCCCACCAGGACCAGAACTGAACTCCAATTTTCGTCCAATTCTTTCCTCAATGGCCCGTTTCAGACCCTCACCGGAAGGCATCGTAACTGTGCTGCCACGCCTACGCCTGGCATCGACCTCTTGTTTGATCTCGTCAATAGCCTCATCAATTTCTCGGATAGGGTCACTAGGAAGGCCAAGACTTGGTGGGTAATTTGTTTCTTGCGACAAGGTTTTCCGCACATGTGGATGGTTACGCTTGTCAAGCTTTTGAATGAGAAGCTTCTTGGCCGGGGAAGAGAAGAAAGCAATAGCCATGATGATGCCAATGATTGCATAGAAGTAAACTCTTGCCCAGACGGTAAGACTGTCGTTAAAGCCCAGGATAACAAAGGGAGCGGTGACGAAGCAGAAGGCCAATTGAGTAATGATGTAGCTCGCGATATCATAATAAAATTTGTACTTGGTTGCCTTTGAACCGTCGGGAGTGAGGAAAAATGGGCGAACATAGCGGCGGAAATTCTTTGCGACAGTCTGGATGAAAGCGCCCATCAGAAAAGTGAGGTAGTATCCTGGGTAGAAGCCGTGCCAGAAAGCAGAGGTGATGAAAGTGGCTAGGGTTGCTCGAAAGCCCGGTTTTTTCCCCTTTGGAGTGACCCGTAGGTAGACATAATTTCGTAGCCATTTGTTGGTGTTCTTGTTCCAGCCATCCAGATATGCGCGCGAATTTTGGGCGGTTTCAATTTCCCAGGCATTGACGTTCTCCAATCGATTCCATAACGGCTTGCCAGTCTTGGGATCGAGACCGTTATAACCCAAGCCAGAAAGAATACAAGCACCCTCTGTCAATGTCCAGACGCCGTAGTATTTGAGGCGCGAGGTAAAACCGAGCATGTATAGGATCCAGACGCGGCGGAGAAAGGAGTACTTTAAGTACTGATCTGAAAGGAGGAGAGGGACGTTGTACCAGCCGGAGAATTGAATATAGAGAACAATCCATACCAAGCCAATGATGGCTTTCTTGGTGGCAGGAGTGCCGGAGCGGGGGATTCGTCTGTTGGGATGGGTAGGAGGGGCCTTGGAGCCTTGGGGGATCTCGAACATGGTGGTTTGCAGCCAGCGATCGTAGTCGACGTAGTCAAAAGCAGGACCAGTCCAGACGGAAGGAAAGAAGAAGACATAGCCCGCATAGTCGAGAAAGCCCGGCATTTTGTACACGGCGCGGTCTCTCTGGCTATCGGTCATCAGCTCGGGTTTGAGGCGGCCGTCATGAACATTCCAAGCGAAAGCGCTCAATTTGATAATCAAGACCATTTGACCCCCGGTTATGTCAACAACAGTTGGATCGTCGAGTCGCTGACGGACGATGTGAGACCAGGACATAGAAGCCATCTTCAGAAATGCGGTCAGAAACGGCAGCAGGGCAATGAAGACGGGAATGTCTAACCAAGTAAAAAAAGGCAATCCATGGCATTAGGCTTCCGTCGATATAATAGGCGATGGCATATGTGCCAACGGCGCTATAGAGAAAGGTGCGCAGGCCATCATACAGGTCGAAGAGACCGATGAAATAGAAGACACTGATGGCGACGATGAACAGATTCTTCTGGTCGGGTCTATTGTCTGGGATGCGCTTGAGGAGGCCGGCGAGAGGGTAGCTTATGAGAAAGCTGAATATCAGCTTAATCTCGTCCGGGGCTGCGCCTATGGCACGGCCGACATATTGAAATGCTGCGCGGGGGAGTTAGAGGGACGTTGGCACAAGGTCACTGGTGAGGAAATCACATACGAATATCAATCCCAGGGATCATGGTGATGGAGAATCAGACCCCCTTGAGACTGCTGAGATAACCTAGGCTCTAGGTTGTAGGAGGGATAGGAGGATCAATGGTCGTCGACATGGTTGAAGTAGAAGCTTGAAGGTTGACGTTGAGGCTGATGAAATTGTCCCGAGTCCTGTATTTGGAAGGAACGTGCGGAGATGCCACTGTTTGGATGGGGAAAGTGCGACCTCCACAATGTTTACCACTTCCATCCAACAACCACATCACCATCGTACCTAAACAGAACTCTTCCACGACAACCCAACCTCTCCTGAACACTGTTCCTATACTCCGTCCCTTGTACACTACTCCTCCTTCTACCACAATCTACTTAGCCATAGACATTTCACCGCACCCCGCCACCAACTGGCACCCCCTCACCCCTCACTCCTGCCTGCGCCAGAATGAATTGACCACCCCGTCCTCCTGCAATTCAGACTTCACCCCTGCTGAAGCCATGGATGTAGCCTCGGCTGTGCAGAACTATGTCTCCAGGATAGCCGGCGTCGGTGAGGGTGCTGCCTCGTCTCGAAACCAAAACCAAAAGCTCAAGATACTCCTTCTGGACTCTGCCACCGTCTCCATCGTCTCGACCGCCATTACCCAGTCTGCCCTCTTAAAACATGATGTCTTTCTCGTCGAAAGGCTTGAGTCGTCCCGCGAGCGAATGCGACACTTGCGATGCCTAGTCTTTGTCCGGCCCTCACCTGACTCCATTCAATTTCTCATCGATGAACTCCGAGATCCAAAGTATGGCGAGTACCAACTGTACTTTTCCAACATTATAAAGAAGTCAACCCTCGAGAGACTTGCCGAAGCCGATGATCATGAAGTTGTCAAGGCTGTCCAGGAATATTTTGCTGACTACATCGTTGTCAATCCCGACCTAATGACCCTGAATCTTGGCTTTCCCACCCAGCGCCTGTGGAGTCACAGTCCTGATATCTGGAATACCGATGCCCTACAGAGAACCACCGAGGGTGTCATCGCTTTACTATTGTCCCTGAAAAAGAACCCCTTGATCCGCTACGAGAAGAACAGCTTGATGGCTAAAAAGCTGGCTACGGAAGTCCGCTATCACATCACTCAAGAAGAACAATTATTTGATTTCCGAAAGACTGACACTCCTCCCATCCTCTTAATTCTTGATCGACGCGATGATCCCATTACTCCTCTCCTCACTCAGTGGACCTATCAAGCTCAGGTCCACGAACTGCTCGGTATTCACAACGGCCGCGTAGACCTCTCTGTTGTGCCGGACATCAGACCCGAATTGAAAGAAATTGTTCTCAGTCAGGACCAGGATCCATTCTTCAAGAAGAACATGTACCAGAACTTTGGCGATCTTGGCGGGAACATCAAAGATTACGTTGATCAATATCAATCTCGCACCAAGTCCACTGCCCAGATCGAGAGCATTGCTGACATGAAACGTTTCGTCGAGGACTATCCTGAGTTCCGCAAACTATCGGGAAATGTATCCAAACATGTCACCCTGGTTAGCGAACTGAGTCGTCGTGTATCTGCCGATCAATTGCTGGATGTCTCGGAGCTGGAACAGAGTCTGGTTTGCAACGATAATCACGCCAACGACCTGAAAACCTTGCAAAAACATATCCAAAACCCCTCCATCCCTGCCGACAACAAAATCAGACTCGTCACTCTATATGCCATCCGCTATGAACGCAACCAAAACAATGCTCTGCCTGTTCTCCTCGATCTTCTCACCACGGTCGCGGATATCAGTCCTAACAAGCTCTCCATCATCCCCAAAGTCCTTGCCTATCATCATTCACTCCAACCCGCCCCAGTCGGAGGCGGTTTTAGCGATCTCTTCGCTTTCGACGCTGTCAACTCTCCCTTCTCAAACTTCCGGAGAAACCTAAACTTGAAAGGTGTTGAAAATGTCTATACCCAACATTCTCCACGATTGGAAGCAACACTACAGAATCTCATCAAAGGCCGGCTGAAGGAATTACAGTATCCATTCCTTGAAGGAATGGGCCATACACGAGACAAACCCCAAGATATTCTTATTTTCATGGTTGGCGGCGTTACCTACGAGGAGGCTCGCATCGTTACACAGGTCAATGCCTCAATCCCTGGCGTCCGCGTAGTGCTGGGTGGCACCAATGTGGTGAACTCGGAAATATTCCTGCAAGAAGTTGATGACGCCGTGGGCTCTTGGCCAGATCAAGCACCTGCTACTGCTCAAGGAAGGCTGGGTAAGGCTGTTGGAAGATAATCGCCCCATGTCTTTGAAACCAGCCACGAGACCTCTACGAGAAATATTATACAGAGCAAGACATATCATGTCTTGCCAACCTCACCCTTTCCTAATCCTTCAACTAACCTCCGCTTCCTCTCCTCGCCCTCCTCACGACTCAGAATCTTCACTGCCTCTCTATTCCCCACATAACTGAGTCCACTCCACAGTGTCGTGCACGCGACAAGATAGCACCAGCCCTCAAACACCCCGATCAGGTTCCACGCGCCGACCAGCGCCTCCGGCAAGACAGGCAACAGCATGGCATTCCCAACGAGCAACAGCTGCAAGAAGGTGTTGATCTTGCTGATCTCGGTCGGACGGACCTCCGCGCTCGGCAAGCTGAAGTCCCAGTATCGCGCGAAGGTCTTGGGCGGCGGCAGGCTGATCCAGCGGAAGTAGATCGCCGAGATGGCGAGCGCGACGTCTCGGCCCAGGATGACCACGCTCAGCCATAAGGGCAGGATCGACTGGATCGTCAGGCACACCACCGTGATCGTCATCAGCGCTTTGTCAGCCATCGGGTCGATCACGGTGCCGACTACCGTCTGCGAGTTGTAGCGCCGCGCCAGATACCCGTCCACGGCGTCCGTCACGCCCGCGTAGAAAAATAAAAGGATCGCGGTCACGGGTTGTGAGTGTAGGATGTAGTAGCCAACGGCCGGGGCAGCGAGGAGGCGTGTGAAAGTTAGGAAGTTGGGTAGCGTGTAGATGTTTTCGTGCTTGGTGGGCGAGGGGAGCGGGAGTTTGGGGAGCGCTTGGAGGATTTTGGAGGTCGTTGTTGTGTCTTTGTTGCTGCTGTGTGTTGGAGGTGTTGGTGTTAGCGGCGTTGACGAGGCTAGAGGGATATTGCAGTGATCATCAATGTCCATTTAAAGGATGGGCTTGGCCCAGACAAGGAGAATAACGCCACAAAGGCATAAGCACAACACTGTTAAGATCTAGGTAGATTTCCGCGACATGACATACCTTTTCTCATCTTGGGCACCAGCGTGCTCGGGCTTCGACTCTGTCGACGCATATCTGGCCTTGCCGCTACCGCAGCCGCCACTGCTAAACAATGCCCCAATCCGTGCCCATGATTGAAGACATGGCGAAGAAAACAGTGACCCCGGCGGTGGCGGCGCCGAGGCACCCCTTGCGATACCCCCAAAGAACTGGCATCTCCTAGTCAGGTTCGACGAAACATAGAGTCCAAGCCTTGTTGCCTGGGAGTGTACCGTTGGCAGTCCATCTCGCTGCCTCGACAGGACTGAGAGAGACCTCGAGGGCCCGTTGAGCAGTCGTGCCGAGCTAGACACCGAGCAGCGGCCATGCCGTAGATTTAATCTCGTGCCGATGGCCTGTCCTCGGGCGCTGTAGCCCATCATCGACGCCATTGCATCCTTTTGGTGGTGTGCCCTCGTTTTCTTCTCCCCCTTTCCCTTCCACCGGGGGTGCACGTCGCGGGACTTCCCAAAAAAGAAAAAGAAGAGAGAGAGAGAGATGACTGGTGGGAAAGCCAATCGGTTGATCTCAGAAGAAAACGGTCAATTAAACTTGGGCTGCGGAACAAGTAAGCAGCTCGTTCGAGTCTAGGACGAGGGATGAGCTTTTTCTGCGAACTGGATTGTTCAATCTTTCTGGATGGGAACGTGAACTCGATGCTCCTGAGGGCAGCCTTGAAGCTCGCGTAAGGTTTCTCGCTTCGGTGATTCGGGCTTTGTTACAGCACCACTTTGCGTCAGGCCAGGCGGCTGGGCTGAGTCAGCGAACAAAGAGATATTAGTATCCAGTCCCACGTGACCTTACTAATTACAGTGGAAGAGAAAGACCACGGCCTGCTGAAAACCTCAGGCTCCTCTAGCATGGCATGATCCAGCCAGATCTGTGGACTAGGATGTATTTTGTAATTTAACATGTTGGACGAGGGTGAACAAACCTCGCTCTCCCGTATCTCAAAGTCTTCTCTGGGCAAGTCATACCGACGCCGCTCGCTATGCAGGGGAACCTCAATTCCAGATCCGTCATGATGTACTACATATATATACATTTCCTTCGAGCGCAACCACATGCACCCGATCAAGCAGCGCCAATCGCGCCTTCGGCCTCTTCTTGCTCAGATTGCAGTAGGTCATCACCAGGCACCGTCGGACTGCGAACGGCCTTTGAGCCTGTCCGAACGTACTGGAGCAACCGTAAGGCTCCACTGGGTGTGACACCCTCGACCCGTCTCGCCATTCCGATACTTGCAGGCCGAACGAGCTTCAAAACCTCCTTCTCTGCGAAGCTCAACCCAAATATTTTATCGTAGTCGAGATTGGTAGGCAAGGACAGCGATTCATCCCGTTCGAACGAATCAGCATTCTTCTGTTGCCTGGCAATGTAAGGTGTGTAGTTGCTCTCAATCAGCACTCGTCTTTTGATCAAGTCGGAGTAGTTAGATGTCGTAGATGACAGACCAGGTGTGCGGCTGGCAATCGAATTGACATCCATGCTTTTTGTCCGGAGCAAGTCGAATGCGGATCGCCGGCTAGAATCTGTTCTGACATTCATGCCGAGCTTGAGCCATTCCGAGCTTGATAGCTTGACATCTTCCAGTGTCTTCCGCAACTCTGCCATTTCGCTGCGGGTATTTGCAAAGTGTGTCCATCGAGTGTCTCCAACAACTCCAGCATCGCGTCCTTTTTCGGTCAACCTCAAATCCGCATTGTCCGATCTGCAACTCATGCGGTATTCGCTGCGACTAGTGAACATTCGATATGGCTCTGATACCCCTTTAGTTATCAAGTCGTCGATAAGAATGCCAATAAATGCTTCGGCGCGAGAAAGGGTAAATGGCTCTTTGCCTTGCGCCGCTAAACCTGCGTTGATTCCGGCGACAATACCCTGAGCAGCAGCCTCCTCGTATCCTGTAGTGCCATTGATCTGACCTGCGAGGAAAAGACCTTTGATGAGTTTCGTTTCCAGAGTGGCAAACAGGTTGCGAGGGTCAATGTAATCATACTCCACCCCGTATCCGGCTTGAAGCATCTTCACATTCTCAAGCCCAACAATTGTTTTCAACATTGCGTACTGGGCATCCGCTGGTACTGTCATGCTCATGCCATTGGGATAAATAACCTTATTTGGTTCGAGTCCTTCGGGTTCCAGCCATATCATGTGCTGTGATTTGTGCCCAAATTTGATGATCTTGGATTCCAGGGATGGACAATATCGAGGACCTTTCACAGTCTCACGAATATGTATCGTCTTGTCTAGATTTGCACGAATGATCGCGTGAGATGCGTCATTGGTGTATGTGGTCCAGCAATTGAGTTGACCCTTGTCGCCTATTTGAACAGTATCATTGAGATAAGAAAATGGATTTGGGGGGGAGTCTCCAGGTTGGATCTCCAGACGACTGAAGTCGATTGAATCTCGATCCAATCGTGGTGGCGTTCCCGTTTTCAGCCTTCCAAGTGTAAATCCTGCACTTCGCAACGACTTGCTGAGACCAAACGTTGCCGCTTCACCCATGCGCCCTGATGGGTAGGCTTCCAGACCAATATGAATTTCTCCACCCAAGAAGGTGCCAGTTGTAATCACCACCTGAGACGCAGGAACGACTTGACCATCCTCGAGACGAATCCCAGAAATCCGACCTTGGGAGACCGTGTCTCGAGGATGAATGTTCTCCTTCGAAACTATTATGTCCGCCACTTTGCCTTCTAGGATACTCAAATTCGGCGTGGAGAGCATCTCCTCCCGCATATATGTCTTGTAAAGATCCCTGTCGATCTGAGCCCTCGGTCCCCAAACCGCAGGTCCCTTTTTCACGTTCAGCATTCGAAATTGTATGCCCGCCTTGTCAATTATTCGCCCAGCGACTCCGTCCAAAGCGTCGATCTCGCGGATCATGGTCCCCTTGCCAATACCACCAAAACTGGGGTTGCAGGAACAGACCCCAAGGTTGGACAACGAGGGAGTGATAAGTGCAGTTCGGGCACCTGATCTGGCGGCTGCAGCACTGGCTTCAGTGCCTGCATGACCACCGCCAATGACAACGACATCATAAGGCCTGTAGAATGTCAATGCGCGTCTCCTGGACGAGTCAGAGCTGATAGGAATACCGAAGAGTGTCTGCGACAGCGGCGAACAGACGACGCTGCTGACGTCCAGACCTTGTGCGAGGACTATGTCCCCAGCAACTGGGGCCTACCGGCCTAAACAAAGGCCTCATTCTGTGCTAAGAACCTGATGTTGCTGGATCGAAAGATCAAGTGGGAGCGACTTTGGCCGCAGGCACGGCAGTGTGTCTGGATTCTTGGGGAAATTTCAGGACGGGAAAACCTCGGCTTCACGACGATGGGAGGGAGGAGGCTTTCCAGTTTTGAGACGTCAAACTTCCAATTACAGTACTCGTATGATAATGCGGCTGACTGAATTGGACAGGTAGGGACAGGTTGGGCTAAGCATCTGCTGCACTGATTGTGTATGATGCAGCTGCATGTGGTTCAAAGGAATGCAATCGAGGTGAGATGATCAACTTCTCAGGCTCTCGGCTTTGGATATGCTACATCTGATCGCTAGCATCCCATTCTCTAAGCGAAGTCTTTGTTGCTCGAGGATGGTACACAATCCTCATGTTATACAAGTGTCAGAAGACGAAGTTGACCACTTTTCCTTCGCCTACCACCACGACTCTCTTCCTGTTCTCCCATTTGTTCTTCTCCGTCAGCCACGTGTGGCCCTGTTCGGTGCCGAGTATGGCGTCAATAATCTCTGTTTCTCGCTTTTCTTTGCCGTTGTTGACTTCGCTGTTTGATGGCGATGGTATTTGGACGGTGAAACGCATTTTGCCGTTGATCTGTACAGCGCAAGTTATGGTCTTGCGCAAACCCTGTAAGAAAATTTCTTGCTCTTCGGAAAGGATGTTGTTAGGCCAAGACGAGTTGAAAATGCTCTGGGTAGTAGTCTTTTCGGTGGCTTCACTCCTACTGATGCTTTCCCAGGATTCTTCTGCGAACGCGGGAGTAATGGGGGCCATCATTTTCAAAAGTGCAGCGATCGTGACGTGTGCGACCATTGGCGATAGATTTTGCACTCCAGTCTCTTGTAGCGCGTTCGTCAACTTGATCAAGTCTGATATGGCCGTGTTCAGAGTGTAGACGTTGTTTGAGAATGTATCAGAGATAGCATTGCTTGTCTTGTGAGCCTGGAGCAGTATCGCGGTATCAGTGGCCGAGAGTGTTTTGAGGTCCAGAGGACTTGTCGAGGTGACACCAAAATTGCCATTGTTTGAAGTTACAAGATCATGGACCAGACGATGAACGCGGCCCAACCACCGTTGTATTCCCACGACCTTCTCTTCATCCCATTGTAGAACCTCACTGACGGGTGCCGCGAACAGGATGTGGGCTCGTAGTGCATCTGCACCAAATTTCTGGATGCAAGTGGATGGATCGACCCCATTGTACTTGCTCTTGGACATTTTCTCCCAAGTCACGCTCGGTGATTTGCCGGTCGCCTTGATGGTTGGAAGGTCTCCCTTCAGCTCTAACTCTTGCGGTAGAAGAAATCTCCCCGTTTCTGGGTCTGAAAAAGTCTTTCCGTGGACCATTCCTTGAGCGATCAGCTTTTGAAATGGCTCGGCAGGACCCGCCTTTTCCGAGATATGCCCTTGACTGCAGAGGAATTTATAGATGAACCGAGCATATAGAAGGTGCAATATTGCATGCTCAACTCCTCCAACATAAAAATCCACCGGGACAATACCTTCTGTGGATCGCGACGAGAATGGTTCAGTCTCATTTGACGGGTCTAGGAATCGCATGAAGTACCATGATGAATCCACGAAGGTGTCCATTGTATCCGTCTCTCTCTTGGCCGGCCCGTTGCATTTCGGACATTGGCAATTGACCCAATCATCAATCTTGTCCAAGGGGTTGCCTATCTGGCCTTGGATAGAGGAATCAAGCTTGGGGAGTTCCACAGGCAGATGATCTTCTGCCACTGGTACAGTGCCACAACTCGAACAATTAATAATCGGAATAGGAGTTCCCCAATATCGTTGTCTACTGACAAGCCAATCACGAAGTCTCCACGTTTCGAATGGCTCTGCAAGTCCTTTTCGCTGGAGGTCTTCAATGATCTTGAGGCCTGCTTCAGCGCTGGGCATGCCAGCGTAAGGGCCGCACAGGTCCGTCAGGATACCATGCTCAGTATATGCCTCAGGAAGGTCGGCCATGTACAGATCGCTTGGCTTTTTCGTGGTAGAAGCGGGAGTAATGACGATCGGAACTGCGGCTGATGGTCTATGGGTCCTCCAAAAGCTCAAGTCTCTAGAATCATGAGCTGGTACTCCCATAACGACACCTTCGCCATAGTTGTCCAAGACATATGGAGCTGTGAATACAGGTAATGACTCGGATCGATCACCAGCCATTTCTGACAACGGGTTGATGGCTGAAAGGGGAAGTTCGAACCCTTCTTTGGAGTCAGGTGCAAAGGACGCCCGTCTATCGAGGAACTTTTGCAACTCTTGATTGGTCTGTGCAGCCCGCTGCACGAAAGGATGATTCATGGATAAAGAAATGAACTTTACTCCAAAGAGAGTATCTGGGCGAGTTGTAAAGACGTGAATCGGAGTAGATTGGCCCGTTGAATCCTCCAAGGTGAACTGAATGCGTGCTCCAGGAGAGCGGCCGATCCAGTTACGCTGTTGTGTGACAACTCGATCAGGCCATCTTGCCGCTTCGGAAAGATACTTCAAATCCTCCAGGAGAGGTTCTTTAAAAGCTGTAATTCGAAAGAACCATTGCCGGAGTTTGACCTGCTGTACAAGTGCTCCAGAGCGCCATGATCTCCCATTGCTATCAACCTGGACGGGCTTTGTTAGAAGAGAATGGAACAAGTTGAATGTCCTTTACCTGTTCGTTTGCAAGGACGGTCTTATCAACAGGATCGAAGTTCACTAGAGCTTCCGCCTGATATGCTAGATCCTTCTTATACAGTTCCAAGAATATCCTTTGAGTATGTTTGTAGAAAGAGGGTGAACAAGTTGATATTTCCTACCCAGATATCAGTCCTATGTACAAAAGATCCAGCCTCTTGACCTACTGCATCCCAGTCAAAGTGTGTGTTCATGCTCTTTAATTGCGCTTTCATCTTCGTAATATTCTCCTTGGTCCAAAGTGCAGGATCTATGCCACGCTCAATCGCAGCATTTTCGGCTGGTAAACCAAATGCGTCCCATCCCGTGGGGTGAAGGACACGATCACCTCGCATGCGCCGATATCGAGCAATCACGTCGGAAATGGTGTAGACTCGAAGGTGACCCATGTGGAGGGAGCCGGACGGATAGGCAAACATGGGCAGGATGTATGAGATCCCTTGGCCTTTTGAGGGCGTTGCAGCTTTGGGCTGATGTGCCCATATCTGCTGCCATTTTGCATCAATTGCACCAAAATCCAATGGTGGTAGTGCAGGAGGCGCTGGTCGACGCGAGAAGGACGAAAACAAACGAAACAAGACTGGTCCTGTCGACGAACGCCGAATTGAAATCTTGAACATCTCCTCCAGCCCCTCCACCACCACTTAGCAGTCCAAGGTGTGGGAAATATTGGAGGAGAGAGACAAGTGTAGGGTTGCAACTTATTCTTCTTGACCCGAACAGTGGACTGGGCTTTCGTCGGTGCTCGGCGATTCGGGGAGAGCCTCACCGAGATCACGTGCTCATCCATCAAGGATCTCCACCAACATGGACAACGATGTCTCTCCTTTTTCTATCTCAACATCAATTGTGAAGTTTTCTAGCGGAAGCTACGCCCGCGAAAAGAGTTATAAAGAGTTAATTGCCGACTGACACTAAGCAGTACGCGACTATCCCTAAAATGATCTGAATGTCAGGCTCGCGTATCCGGGCTTGCCAGAGCTCGCAGCAAATGCTCCAGCAAGGACGTCAATCGTACTGCACATATTAATCAGCGCTTTGAGCTCTCCATCAGATGCCTGGAAATATTTCGAGCACAGTACAAGGTGAATATTCCCGCTCTTACAACTTCAGGTCTTCTTGGTGTAGTGCATTTGTGTTGAATGTCCGCGAACCACAAGCATTTGGCTGACACGCCTGTGGACCTGAGGCAGCGCCCTGCGATGCCGGCATCAACGTTTCTTACATGATCATTAGCCAAAAGCGACCTTGGGCGCACACATCCATACCGCTTGTTTGCCGTTGTTGTGAAGCAAGAGCCATAACAGAATCCCACAGTTCTCACCGGCAAAACGTGCCAGTCTGGCAATATTGGGGCATTAAACCAATGTGAGGTCGAAGCCGACCTAATGATCCGCTAGTCATTTCTTTACAAGCACAGAACCATGTGCGCTGAGGGTTCCTTGAACCTTGTGATGTTTGCCAATGAGAATACTCTTCCTGAGCTTTTGAAGGCGTGGTTCAAAGCACGAAGATGTTCATCATGCTCAGGCACCAGCATTCAACCCATTCTCTGGGATGATCAAGGTTTGCCGATCAGGTCGTAGCTTTTGGAGTCTTCGACAGCATGTACCTGGGTTCCTAGCTTCGACCCAAAAAACCTTGTCGAGCACACCACTCGAAGATTCAACAGCCTTTGCGGATGAGCACATACATGCATATGCTCTCCTTCATGCTGGGAATCGACACTGAAACCTTCGCTTCGTTTTCTTCTCACTAATGGCCTTATGCCTTTGCCCACTTTACCCTGTTCATTGATATAACCAACAGTTGGTGAAGATTTGTCAGTCTACGCGCTGACTGCGCGGGTGACAACTCACCCTTGAAAAAGGTGCAAAATCGTGAAGAAGATGTGTCTAAAAAGACCCTTGGGCTAAGCTTACCCTTTCATTCGCCTCGCTCTGAGTCGCGCTCCGAATTTCCCTCTCTTCTCTTATTTCCTACTTATCTTGTGCTTGCTATTCCCTCTCTAGAGTCGCAAGTTTTCATCTGAGTGCGGCCTGCCTAGCATGGCCCAAAGTATAGCAGCTGTCAATGCCTACGGGTTTGCAATGGCGACAACGAGCCAAATGGCACGAGCAGCACCACAAACATCATTGTCCAACTCCATCAGTATGCCATTTCGGCTTCAACTCAAACGAATCGAGATCTGTGATAGTTACATTACCTACAAAGCGGCACATTTCCTAGGACTTCCACGAGAAATTCGCAATCGCATCTACGTGGCGGCACGAGACGACATCAACTCACAGAGCGGACTCACTTCCAAGCTTTCTCAACACCCATTGACCGGATTCGAGGGTTTGCGGCAAGCCAGTCGACAACTGTACCATGAAGTGCCTCAGATCTTGGGTACATTCATCGTTCCACGTACATTCGTCAATTCTTTCCTACGCATGCCAATCCATAGCCACAGTATGTGGGATAATTTCAGGTCTCTCCACGTCGAGATACCTCACGACAGTGACGTTGAAGTCTTCGGCTGTCTAGCACATGCACTGAAGCAGGTTGCCCGCGAACTACAAGACCTCCGGCTCTATGGAGTTGGCTTGGATGCCCATGGAATCCCAACAAGTTCGCAAACTAAAGCTTGTGGAAAATTCGACAACTCCTTGTTCCCTAATCAGAGAAATCTCGCAATATCTGGCCAGGATTGGATGGTTCGACTACCTCTCATCAACACTATCCAGTGTCTTATCAACCTCAGAACGCTTGTTCTCGACAATCTCAATATGCCTGTACTTGAGGCCCATGTCCTGAAATACAAGGATCATTTAGAATCTCTGTACATCTGCATGGATCACCGAACAACTCTGCATTACGAATATCTGCTCGATTCATCTGCCAAGAAAATGGTTAGGAATCTGATGTGGGGGGTTAGACAATCGTGCCCACTGAAAGAACTAGAGATCTCGATGAACAGCACGATGAACGTGGGCCGGATCCTAGGCTTGTCAGTGAATACTCTGGAGAAATTGACGATCATCGTTCCCGATCAATCGAAGCAGTCCGCGTGCGAGCGGCAGAGCAACTGGATTGGGGACCTCGCACAAATCCTTCAGTTCATACTGCGAACTTCTCAAAAGTTACAGACACTCAAAGTCTGCATCCACGCAGCTCTCTACGAGAACGATAAGTGGTCTGGTCAGTTGATTGGTGCTTTCAACATGCATATGCCGTTCATGTTGACATTGCAAACTGTCGAGTTGCACATCCAAGCCAGATCCCGCTGGTTTGCGCAAGAGTTCATAGAAGCCTTGCCTGACTCTGTGCAGAGATTCTATGCTCCTGAACTGCTTTTTGCGGGCCATTTCAAGGCTATGCTTACTATGCTTACATTCAAGACTAAGCTTGACCTCGAGGGATATGACCACACCAAGCACCGAATGATTGGTGAGGATCCTATGAGACGTGACTCGATTTTCTTTCCGCGTTCTGAACTCTGCTTTATTGGGTATGAGTATGCTCTCGAAACGAGACCAACCCTGTATGAGATGCAGCACGAATATGCGATTGAACTCCTCAAGCTTAATGCGAAATTGCTAGACCGACATCGAAATCGACATTTGGCAAAAATTGGTGGTTGGCATATCCCTTTGAACTCAAAGGAACCCGCGTCACTTGAAGAATACAATGCTGCGGTCACGGCAGCCAGATTGGGTCAACTAGGTGGTCCTATATTCGACGAAATTCCAGAACTTCATGTCTTCGCTACTCATAATGAGTATTTTGGCAAAGAAGACGAGGCAGTAGATATCTTCTACCGGGAAGCCGTGGCACAGGCAAATGATCTTCTCTCACTGACATACCCAGCTTTTGAGGATGTGTCAGATGACTTCAGGCATTCCAACCACTGGATCTCCGAATGACCTAGACCGAGGTGAGATTTTGGATTTGAGGCGTGGTTGGTGATTTGAGGACATTTAGGGAGACTCTCAGCAAGTCACGGCATCAACACCATTAATTACGAGCACGAGCATCAGCACTAGGACGGGCATTATCACTAGCACTTGGGCATGATGCAACTTTGTGATCTCAGGGATACTTTCGAGAGAGGCTCAGCGATTTCGGAGCATCAGCATCAATATCAATATCGGTAGCATTCGCACAAGCAGCAGCATGTGGATTGGTTCGGGCATGAGCACTCGCATTTAGGCAGTGGACCAATCCATGAAGCATAGGGCCGATCCAAAATTGAGCCCCAGGTTTCCAATGCTACTTGCTGACATGGCAGCCGCAGAGTCAACCTTGTCGCCGATCTAGATGGAGTCACTGACCTTGGGTTGTTCCTGGAGTCACGCAACCTGTCTCCACGATCATTAAATTAGCATTCTGTAACGATATATCAGAGCACCTGATTCGTGCATCCAAGGCCTAAAGCGTGGTGCTCGTGACCCTGGTCTCCCCAATCAGGACTAGCGTGTACCGTGTATACCAGAAGCAGCAAGACAGCCGAAAGTTGCATGACTCAACATCATCTCCTTCGGTGCACCAATTTACAAATCTAACAACGCGTCCGAGTCATTCATCCTGCAGCCTCGCCAAGGGTCGCAAATCTACTGGTTGCTGACCATGCAACATGATCTAGGTCCCTCCAACACCTCCTCTGCCAATGGCGACGAAAACCCCTCCTCACCTGCCCAGGCAGGAAGAAAGCGCAAAGCCACCTCCGGATCTCGCGGTGTCGCTACCCTCACTCCTGACCAGCTAGCAAAGAAGAGAGCGAATGACCGAGAGGCGCAGCGGGCAATCAGAGAGCGGACCAAGCATCAGATTGATAGTCTCGAGCGGAGGATACAGGAATTGACTGCGCAGCAGCCATACCAGGAGCTGCAGAATGTCATCCGCCAGAAAGACGCTATCCAAGCTGAGAATGACGAGATCCGGCGGAGGTTGGCTTCTATCATGTCCATACTGCAGCCCATAGTTGGTGCTCAGGGTTTGACTGGTAGGTGGTTACTATCCCCGTTCATGTCTAGAGGGCTAACTGGGTGTACAGATCTCGCGACAGCAGCACAGAGCAATGTACATGCTGGCCCACAGCCGCAGAGCCACCCCTTCCCAAACAACGGCATAACCCATCCAGACCAATATCTAAGTAGCCAGCAACCGCCAGCCTATCCTCATCCGTACAGCCCCGCTGAAGCGGTAGAGAACAGACAGTGGACTGGTCAGCGAGATGCCTTGACCGTTCAACGGGACAATCTCCAACGTGGCTTAGAATTGAATGACGCCGGCGAGCGTCTGTCGTTCAATTTCCTCCTGGAAAGCCTTGGCCAGCGCCCGGGAGACGCACATCCTCAAAACACCCAGTCCTCTCCCTTACGCCAGTCAAATTATCCTCTCCCTGGTGAGCCTTCGCCACCACCCTGGACACAGCTCCCCAAGAATGTTCCGGCCACCTGCCCCTTGGACGGCCTACTCTTGAACTTCCGCGATGCTCGTCGACAAGAAGCAGCTGGGGACTCATCAAGCGCGTTATTTAATCCAGCCTACCCATCCGTCTCTTCACTTCTCAACCCGTCTGGTAGTGGAGGACGTTTCCCCGACCCCCTCTCGCAACTCATGGCTGATATCATCAGCAAATTCCCCAACATTTGCAACCTACCAGAACAAACCGCGGTTCTCTATTGCATGTTCATCAACATGCGATGGCACATCAATCCAACCAAGGAGAATTTTGAGCGACTCGTGGAGTGGATGCGGCCGACACCTACACAGATCTACAATCCACACCCGGCATGGATCGACCATATCCCATGGCCACGCATGCGCGACAAGTTAGTAGCCAACTACGCAGACTACACCTTCGAGCACTGGTTCATCCCCTTCACCACCGACCTGAGCGTCAATTGGCCCTATGAGGACAGCGACTGTCTGATATCAACCTCGGAGAAAGAAGAGACTGTCATCAACCCAGCTTTCGAACGCCATCTCCGACGTCTCGAAAATTGGAGTGTCGGGCCGTCCTTCGCGGAAGCGTTTCCTGCCCTCGTCGACACGACGAGGATCAAGGCCAGGGATCACGCTTCGTCTACAACTACGAATGCTCCCGCAGGCGGCAGTACGGTTGCAAGTGGGAGGAACAAATCAAGCTAAGCACAGAGACTGTCGAGGTTGACTGAAGAGGAAATTACGGACTTGGATGCAATAGTGGCAATGTGTTACTCCAATAATCCCAGCGGAACCCCTCGTCCGGCGCTACAGGAGGTCCTTTTGAAAGTAATCTGGTGGGCGCTGGCGGCTTTCGTGGACATTGAGCCAGCCTTATTTATTAGCGACGTAGGCACGCAGATACACCAGAAACCGGTACAGGACAACAATACAAAGTTGCTACTTTTGCGCTCAAGATTATTCTTACGTCTCATGATATTTGACAGCACTCCCTCGTGGTACGGAATAGTACTTCGCCCGACTCCCAGCGTTTGGCTTTTCGCGACTTAGTACGCGCTAGCTGGGTGTTGGCGCCAACACTTGTTTGATTACGCATCTACCATCGATACTCAGGTGAGGAGGCGTGGCAATTGTTTACGCAAGGCACCCGAATGCGAATCCGAGGTGAGGTTAGGCCGCCGACGACCTGAACAGGGCCTGAACAGACCAAAACCAGAGACCTTCAATCGACGGTTTTCCGCTTGAACCGTTCTGTCAATGACTTTTGTACTCGTAGTCTTACATAGCCTCTCTCTGACCATCTTCTGTTGCCCGTTTGCTGTCCTCCAGGGCAGGTGAGACCGCCAAAGCAATGGATCGCTTGTATTCAGCCTCGTGCTGGTTCGTTGTGATCGTGTTTCTTTACCGGGTATGTCATCCAAGTTCCATTCATGACTATGGTACATATCCCCAGGCGCGCCAACGGTTCAGAGATCCAGAGACCAACCGCCCCAGAGACTGACAACCTCCGTAGTGGGTGAGGATTACCTTCCACCCCGAACTTCGCCACGTGCCGGGCCCATTCCTCAACCGCTTCAGCAGACTGCCCCTGAAATACGCGATATGTACGGGCCACCGCGCCGACTACATCCACGCACTGCACCAAAGATACGGTCACTTTGTCCGCATCGCGCCGAACGAGGTGGCCGTCTCGGAAATCCAGGCGGTCAAGGCAATCCACAGGTCTGGCACGGGGTTCCTCAAGGCTGACTGGTACGTGGAGACGCACCCGACGATGAAAAGCGAGGACGACCTGTGCCTCTTCCAGGTCCAGAATCCTCGCACCGCGGCTGAGAGGAGGAAGCTTTACCATCGCTCAGGGAGTAGGTTGGCTCTGAAGGCGTGGGAGCCGCAGGTCAGGCAGTATACCGAGGCGGCGGTGGCGAGGATAAAGGGAGATGTAGGTTAGATGCTGGGTTCAGACCCGCATGCTTGCAAAAGGCGTCCCCCTGGCATGTAGACATAGGTTCGCCGATCGCTGATCCAGACTTTCCAGATTCAAACAACTGGCTATGCCGACATATACAAGTGGTTTACTTTCATGGCCACTGACCTCATTGGCGTGGTTGCCTTCGGAGAACCTTTTGGTCTACTTCGAACCGGCGCGGTACGTCACATTCACACATACATATTCCAGCGAAACAAACCCAGGTCGCTGGCACGGGCTGCGGCTCTTCCTTTCGTGGCTTCGTTCACTGGACACAGACCCTAGACGCTAACGCGCAGACCATGTTCACAGGCAACAACGCTGAACCACGACCTCGAGAAAATCATGATGCTTACGGGACTCGGTGTCGAATTCAACCTGTGGCTCTTCGTCAAGTACTTCCCTGTGCCAGGGATCGGCAACCTGAAGAAGATACTCGCGCGGATGCAGGAGGAAGGCTATCGAGCAGTGGCGGCGACCAAGGACTCTCTGTCCAAGGGAAGTAGCTCGTCTCATCAGACGCTGTTCTCGAAGATGGTCTCGGAGGACGGCTCTGAAGCGCCCTTCTCGGATGCCGTGGTTGCCAACGAGGCGATCGGCGATATCGTGGCCGGCAGCGACACCTCCGCCGCTGGGATCGCCTACATGATCTATGCGGTTCTAGGACACCCCGATGTGAAGAAGAGGTTACAGGATGAGCTTGCCACCTGCTCGCCGAGTCCTGGTTGGGACGAGCTGGAGGGCAAGCAATACCTCAACTGGGTGATCGATGAAGGCCTGAGGCTGTACCCGCCTGCTCCCTCAAGCCTGCCGCGCAAGGTGCCCGACAAGGGCGCCGTGCTAGGAGGGTATAAGCTGCCAGGCCGATGTGTGGTGTCTACCCAAGCCCTCACAATCCAGCGAGACCCTGTTGCATTTCCGAATCCGGAGGAGTTCGTCCCCGAGCGCTGGGAGAATGCCACCCCGGAGATGAGGGACCACTTTGTTCCCTTCGGTGGCAGCATGAGATGTAAGTCGCTCGCCCTCACCTGTAGGCCACCCACTGGCTGAAATCGAAAGATTCGAACTATAAGCTAATACTTCATGGGTTTGGGTTAGCATGTGTCGGACAGCACCTGGCTCGGCTTGAGCTGTTGTTTGCAATTCAGACGTTCTTTCACGAATGCCCTGATGTTGTCATGGCGAAAAGCGCGGACGAGAAATGCATGGAACGACTCGACTTCTTCACCGCTAAGCCGCGGGGCGGTAAGGTGGAAGTTACCAACGCCTAAGCTAGGCCAGACTGGAGTCCAGAGAAATGAGCGTGATAGCGTTGCATAGAAGACATATGTATGGCGTGGACACCGCCAGCCCGGCATTCTTGAAAGCCCCTGTCAATAAGATGCCCACAGCGGTCTTCGCCAACCCTGACCCCCTATTTACTTCAGCCTTCGTACGATCCGGGAGAAGGCTTTGGTGGCTCCCCACGGAGTACCCAGGCCAGTTGATGTATGCCACCGCGGAAGGACATCCGCCGACGATGCCCGTAAAACTTACTCGTACACTGGGACTTGAACTTCAACCGCCGATTGCATAGATAGAGTTTCTCTTCTTGAAAAACCATCGTTCTCACGTGCTCCTACTAAAATACTCTGGTATGTACGATGGCCGGTTTGAAATCAAGATGGACATATATTCCGTACTCGAGCTTTCTTCGCGGAGTCGTGGGCTTATGCTGAAGTCATCCGATGAAAGCAACTCCCAACAATGACGGGCTCCACGTCGGAAAACACAGTTTCAAGATATCACATAGTCTCCAGACAGTCAAGAGGTTCTTCCCAAATGATGATTCAGCATGCGATGGAGGAGGGATACGCTGGGCTTTGGTTATATAGCTATCGGTAGAAACTAACACCGTTGAGCGAATGCAGATGAACACAGCCTTCTTTTGGTTCTCCGAGGTCCTCCTGCGTTATCCGGCCTGCTTCAGGGAGGAGGTTTTACATTTTACTGAGTACTATCATCTCAGCGCCATCTGACTCCAGTGTCGGTTTGCAGAATTCGGACGAGGCGAAAGCGGTGTAATTTGCCATCAGTCCACAATTTGGTCCAGAACAAGCTTCACGAATCTCAGTTGAGTGGACCTTTGGATTTCCCGGTTGAGGCATCTGGGCACGAGTGCTTCTCGGGTTTGCCTGAAAACAGCCAAGTTGGGATAAGCTGCAGGGCCAGGAGTCAGAAGAAGGACTCGAAAAGATTCAAGACGTTGAGAGCTTGTTTCCAAGCATCTCAAGGATGTCCTCCGATTCTGGACAGCATGGGAGTCATCGAAGACACGGCGGCGAGCTGAAGCGCAAGCAGACCGCACAATCATCGATTCATCCACAAGCTAGTCTCACAATGACGATCTCTAGAATGCCTACTGCGAGCGAACCGCCATGCTCTTCGACCTGGCACGAAATTCTCTTCATCGGGGTAATTAGTGGCACACAGCTGCTCACTCAAGCGGGCTCACCCAGTCCATTGCGCTGATACATGATATTGGAAGGTCATTCAACACCACAAATCCGGGCCAACTATCATGGTTGCCTGCTGGTTACTCTTTGACAGTCGGCAACTTCATCCTTCCCGCTGGCCGTTGGGATGATCTGAACGGACATAAAAAGCTGTTCGTACTCGGCTATTTTTGGTTCGCTCTCTGGTCTTTCATCGCTGGTTTCAGCATGTATTCTGGCTCTTTGACAATCTTCGCGTTTTGTCCTGGGATGCAAGGCATTGGGCCTGCATTACTGCTGCCAAAGGGAATAGCTGTTTTAAGTAGGACACACCGCCCTAGCCCAAGGAAGGACATAGTGTTGAGCATTTTCGGAGCCACGGCGCCAGGTGGTTCTGTCCTTGGAGCGGTCTTCTCTGGCATCTTCACAATATTCGGTTGGTGGCCTTGGGAATACTGGGTAATGGCGGTGGTTCTTGCCTTTTTCGGTGTAATAGCATTGTTCTTCATACCAAATATGCCTGTCGCTGGGGTCCGGCCTAATCGCGCCGAGTTCGATATACCCTGGTACTGTACTCGGAGTCTCAGGATTGATCTTATTCAACTTTGCCTGGAATCAAGGCCCAGCAGCTGGTTGGCAAAAGGTGTATGTGTACGTTCTGCTGATCGTCGGAATCGCTGCGATTTCGATGTTCTTTTGTTATGAGAAGCGTTGGGCCCGATACCCACTTGTTCCAATGTCGTCCTTCTCAAAGGATACATGGCTTGTCTTCGGTGGTGAGGCCATGGGTTGAGCCTCGTTTGGCACATGGCTGTTTTACTACTGGTAATGAGAATTCTCCCGAGACTTTTCTTCCGCACAATTCTAATTCACTGGCAGGCAATTCCAGGGGATATTAAGAGACCAGACAATCTTGCTCACAGCGGCTCAGACAGTCCCCACGGCAATTTCCGGAGCCATAGCCGCCATTGTTACGGGGTTGACCATTCGTAGGGTTCAACCCGGTGTTGTCATACTCATTAGCATGACGGCGTTTATGGTTGGAACAATACTCTTGGCTACAATGCCAGTAGAACAAACCTACTGGGCTCAGACTTTTATCGCTTCCATTATCACTTGCTAGGGAATAGACATGCCATTCCCTTCTAGTGTCATTGTCTAGTCGAACCATATGCCTCCTAAGCATCAAGGACTTTCGGCATGGTTGATCAACACTGTCATCAACTATAGCATCTCGAGTGGGTTAGGAATGACAGGAATTGTCGAGGTTCATATCAACTCAAACGGAGTCAACTTGTTAGACGACCACCGAGGCGCTTGGTATCTAGGGATCGGATTCGATTTGTTAGGCTGTGTCCTTGCTGTGGGACTCATTCTTTGTTGCAGAGCGCTAACGAAGGCGGAAAAGATGGCGCAGCGAGAGAAAGAGGTGGTTTAGGGAGCCTGGTGTCATGAGATTCATTATTGCCTCGCTCAAATAGCAAGAGCACAGCATTTTGAAGATCTTGCGTACCAATAATTCTCGTATTGCGCAACCGTCTATGAAAGAGCCATATTCGACAGGGCTCTTTTGCCCTCCCAATCGATTCATCCACCTCCCTGGACCAGGTAGAATCTCCTTCTTGTACTTTTATACAGTCAAGATGGGCCGGAGGGCCATTCTGAAATGATACCATGTCGACGTTGGGCCAGGCGGTGTTTTGATCACTCCTGAAATCGTAGTGGCCCAAGGGGTGATGCTCTTGTTGACTCATCGGGTTTGAATTCAGCGAAAGCGAATCTCATTCGATGGAGATCCGGATTTGGATTTCACCAGCACAAGGGTAGTCGTTCAAATAATACTGAAGTCGATACATTGGCATGCTGAAGCGCAGCAAAGTCTAATAAAATCATTCAGAATCGGAAGCCGAGTTAGCGCCTCCATTGTCATCATCGTCGTGGACGACATCGGCGTTCTTCAAGCCTTCATTGAGCACATATTCTTCTTTGATGAGAATGCTCCGTAGTTGCTCCGTTCTTGGAGTACAGAGTTCGACAGGCTTTCTTCCATGTCCATCTTTGACTCTGGGATCGCCACCAGCGTCAATCAACATCTTGGCCATAGCCTCACCCAGGTCCGCTTCCCGTTCGTTGGCGTATTTGACAGCAGAGTGTATAGGAGTTTCTTTGTCTCGTCGTGTTAGAGGGTCACATTCAAGAAATTCGACGTTCAAAAGTTCGTCCATAACGTCGTCTGGAAGTGAATTAGTTCCAGTGTCTGAGCCAGCTCACAATTGCAGCTTACATGCTCCATAGTTTGCACAGACGTGCAGTAGATGGTTGCCCATTGTGTCTGTGGCATTGTTGAAGAATTCGGCTATCTGCTCTTTGCTCTTGTCTTTGAGACCCTCCACTACCTCATGGAAAAGTTCGATATTATCTCTACGGCATGCTTCGAGGATTTGTTCTTTGGGAGAGGCACCCTGCATCGAGGGGTCAGTTGGGGGACGATGGAGCAAAGATCCCACTCACATCAGCGTCAGCCATACTGGCTGTAGAGGGTATGGTGCTTCAACTAGTTAATCAGCGGAGGTGACCACGGGTTCAATGTCAGACTAGACAGTGTGAGGGAGTTTGAAGTAAGCGATATGTTGCGCAGCAAGCGGAGAACAACCGGTGAGCAAAGAGTAGGAAAGGTTGGAGGAAGTGCGGATTTGATCACGTTCAAAGGTGGTCTAGTTGTTGAATCTGGGATATAAGTTCACCGATTGTGGTTCACAAGGAGTGTCTGTTTCAAATTGATCGGGCAGGCAGAGAGATCGCGGGATGAGTTCGGTTGGTAGCGGGCAAGTCACCCCCTCAGCGAGACCGAGCATCAATGCAGTCACTCAGCTGGGAGAGCCCTGGGTGAGCCCACTTACAAACATGCCAAAGCTCCAGTATTTTTCGGCAAGTTTGACGTGTTTGACGTGTTTAATGGGTTTGACGTGTTTGCACTTATTTTTCCTTGTCTAGCGCAGTCAGTTACCATAAGTCAAGTCACAGCCGTTTCGCAGACTTGTGCTGGCACCATGGGGACAAATTCAATTAATGTGCGACTGTTGACGGAGTTGGTTACCCAGCAAGATGCCTCCAACGTGTAAGAACACAGCTCATTAAATGAACAAAATCCTAACAGAGCGCATAGTTTGTCCATACTGCTGTAATTGCCTCACGATCGCACGATCAGAAGGGGATGCACAGAATCCTCAAGGCGTAAACGCTTTTACCTGCCGTACCTGCCCGTATCAGTTCAAGTTGGATCAGCCATATTATGAGCGCACATACATGAAGAAAAAGCAGAAGGATGACATTATGGGCGAAGAGGAATCAGATCTACCCATCAATGAAGGTGTGTAACGCCGGTGTTGACAGCGATACTTCCCGCATACTGACGGCCAGCAACAGTCCCAGGAGGCTGTCCAAACGAGGAGTGTACTTCCAAGCAGGCTTACTTCTACCAACTCCAAACGAGAAGTGCAGATGAGCCGCCTACATCGTTCTTCAAGGTAATACCACCTCCGCGCAGGTGAATCTTACAGAGGCTGATGTGAGCAGTGCGTCGAATGCAGTAAACAATGGAGAGAATACTGAAGATCAACGTACGAAACTCCCTACTTGGACTTGCACTATCAAGAGGAAGCTGCAGACCAGTTCTGACTTGCAAGGTTCTCCAGCGTAGAACTCTCGACAGGTCCAGGCCCATCTGAAGATCTAGAGTTCGAGCAACAGTCTCTACTTCTGCTCACTACTAATGGACATCGCAACGACCCTTGAATCATGCCACACTGATGATAGCCAAGGGTACACGCGCCATTGGAAGGATTTCTGACCACGGCGAGGCAGAAATATACCAACCCAATTGGCGAAGTAAAAAGTCTCAAAGGAGGCAAACCCGATGGGCATGCATGACCTAGCAGCAGCACATGCCGAAGCCTTGAGTGTAACTCGCCAGGATCCCGTCGAAAAGAGGATCAAGGACCAGTAGGAGGGGCAAAGGGAGCAAGGTGGCGTTGCAATGGTGGGGTTATTTTGGTTTGGGCCGCCAAAAAAAAGAGGGACAACGGTGGTGTGGTCGTAGTGGTGGTGGTAGCGATCAACCGCGATTATGATTGAGTCACTGATGCTAGACTCCGATTCACTGCCTGGTCCTCAGGGCCCAGAAAAAAAAACAGTCACTGCTGTCAGTAGTAACTAGTCACCAGTAACTTGCAATAATAATTGCCCACCAACTGTCCCGAGTGTCCCTCCTTCGCCAAGATTTATCTTCTGTCTCAGCCTACAAAATCTTTCGCACACTGCCACCAACTTATTCCTCTCCCTCCTCGTCGCTCAGTGAGTTCTTCTCCCACCCTATACCATTCCAACCCATCAAGACTAACATCATCCCAGCACCTCTACGCAAGCCGTGGTATCTGAGCATTCATCCGAACTCTTCTAGCATCTGCCACAGAACTACAAGACTTCAAATCCTTTTCAATCAATACCGTCACCATGGGGTAAGCAACTCACTTTTTTCCACCCGCGCCATTCTCTGGCATGCCAGAAAAAGCCTTCAATTTGATATCAATGGTCATCGCTGACATGTTTTTCACCACTGCAGTAAGGAAAAGACTCATATCAACGTCGTCGTCATCGGCCATGTCGACTCCGGCAAGTCCACCACCACTGGTAAGATTTCCATCTGAAAGAGAAGTGAAAAAAAAAAAAGAGTCATAACTACTCACACCATCATCAGGTCACTTGATCTACAAGTGCGGTGGTATCGACAAGCGAACCATCGAGAAGTTCGAGAAGGTGCGTTGCCTCATATTTCTCCTCAATTCATCGCACCGTCGCCTTATCACCACTGCTGTCATTGGTGGGGGCGGGGCTATTCCCATCACGTGATGCCAGTATATGCCCAAAACGGAATTCATACTGATCCGCGTTATGAACAGGAAGCCGCTGAGTTGGGCAAGGGCTCTTTCAAGTATGCGTGGGTTTTGGACAAGCTCAAGGCCGAGCGTGAGCGTGGTATCACCATCGATATCGCCCTCTGGAAGTTCGAGACCCCCAAGTACTTCGTCACCGTCATCGACGCCCCCGGCCATCGTGATTTCATCAAGAACATGATCACCGGTACCTCCCAGGCTGATTGCGCCATTCTCATCATTGCTGCCGGCACTGGTGAGTTCGAGGCTGGTATCTCCAAGGATGGCCAGACCCGTGAGCATGCTCTTCTTGCCTTCACCCTCGGTGTCCGACAGCTCATTGTCGCCATCAACAAGATGGACACCACCAAGTGGTCTGAGGATCGTTTCAACGAAATCATCAAGGAGACTTCCAACTTTATCAAGAAGGTTGGCTACAACCCCAAGACCGTTCCTTTCGTCCCCATCTCCGGCTTCAACGGTGACAACATGATCGATGTCTCCTCCAACTGCCCCTGGTACAAGGGATGGGAGAAGGAGTCCAAGGCCAGCAAGGCCTCTGGCAAGACCCTCCTCGAGGCCATTGACGCTATCGACCCTCCTTCGCGACCCACCGACAAGCCTCTCCGTCTCCCTCTCCAGGATGTCTACAAGATCTCTGGTATCGGAACGGTCCCCGTCGGTCGTGTTGAAACCGGTATCATCAAGGCCGGTATGGTCGTCACCTTCGCCCCTGCCAACGTCACCACTGAAGTCAAGTCCGTCGAAATGCACCACGAACAGCTCGCTGAGGGTGTTCCCGGTGACAATGTTGGCTTCAACGTCAAGAACGTCTCCGTCAAGGAAGTTCGTCGTGGCAACGTCGCCGGTGACTCCAAGAACGACCCCCCCAAGGGTGCCGAGTCCTTCAACGCCCAGGTCATCGTCCTCAACCACCCCGGCCAAGTTGGTGCTGGCTACGCTCCAGTCTTGGACTGCCACACTGCCCACATTGCCTGCAAGTTCTCCGAGCTCCTGGAGAAGATCGATCGCCGTACCGGCAAGTCCATTGAGAACAACCCCAAATTCATCAAGTCCGGTGACGCCGCCATCGTCAAGATGGTTCCAAGCAAGCCCATGTGTGTCGAGGCCTTCACCGACTACCCTCCTCTCGGTCGTTTCGCCGTACGTGACATGAGACAGACCGTTGCCGTTGGAGTTGTAAAGAGCGTTGCTAAAGTGGATAAGGGTGCTGGGAAAGTGACTAAGTGCGTTCCTGCGGGGAAAAAGCTCTTTCTGAACCTCTGCTAACTTCTACTTAGGGCTGCTGTCAAAGCCGGCAAGAAGTAATTTTCTTCGACTTCGACCCACGGATCAAACGCCTCCAGCAAGATGGTTATGGTTTTTCGGCGGTGTAAGTCATGGCGAAAGGAACGTGCTAGATCAGTTTCATGTCTATGCGGAATCACTCAGGTGGTTAAAACATAAGGTAGCTAGCTATTTGAGAAGCGCATGAGATTCTAGCTGAGAACTGTGCTTTGCATCAGAAACCATGCACCATTGTAATCCATGCTTCCATTGTATTCCGTGTTTCCTTCCCATTCCATGCTGCCATCAGAGTCCATGCTCCCAGCAGATTCCATGCTCCCATCTTAGTCCATCTTCCCATCTTAAACCATTCCTCTAGGGTGTTTCTAGTACGCAGTGTCGGTTTGGTTGGGAGTTGATTGCCAGAGTACATTGCGACGGCGGCGATCGTTGGGCTCAGCATCGGTGGCAGAAGGAATCACCACAGGTGATTCTGGCTCAGAGTCGTCCCTTAGAAGGGGGTCGGAATCATCAGGTCCTGCGGTAGCTCGGTTTTCTTTCTATCTGTACTCGTGTTGCCGTGCATAGGATCCGGAGCTTTGCATTCAGCGCGAAACAAGCTCTATCATTAATTATGCCAGCGTTTTCCAGTTTCGTCACAGGAGTGCTTCATCAAACACGACCCCCTCGGATTCCATCTCCAGTAATGGTCAGTTTACTATAAGAACCCAACCGACTTCATAGACTCTGAACGCCCTGGTGCAGTAATATTTTTGTTCCTCCATTCGCTCCATCAAGTCTCTCTTGCCCTGTGTTGATTCTTCACCTTGTTATAAGACACCAAAACAATGTCCATCTTCCGGAGCTGGTCAATTATCATTATTCGTTTGCTGACCGGGTCTCCGTACAGTCATGGTCATAATTCCGGGGAGGTGCCGCGGCTAGGCCAGGAGTAAAACTTCAACGTCCGAATAGCGGAAATATACGTTTCCACGGATTACTTGCCCAGCACGAGGATTCATGGCTACGGAGTAGCATCATTGCACTTGTCGGAGGATTTTCTACGCTCTCACCTTAAGTTTCATATAGTGAGGGGCTCTACCGAAGTATAGAAAGAAGAAAGGGTTAAGAATCTATATAGTAGAGCTTTCCTATAGAGCTTCCTACCAGGTTAAACTCAATACAAGAATATAGAGAATCCTCCTATAAGTATAGTCGTACTACTCTATAGCTATAAATCCTTGTAGTAGGTGAGTAATCTATATAAAAATAGAAAACCTAGTATCGTGAAATTTTAGCTTTAGCTATTATATAACTACAACCCTTTTTACAGAATTAATAGAATTCAGGACTTTTATAGTGAGGCAATAGGCCCGTAAGGCCTCAAGGATCGCTTAAAAAGACTGGAATCTCGCATGGAGGTACGAGAAATCTCGGACCTACTAGCTACATGTTTACCAGGAGGCCCCCGAGGCATGCCTGACATTTATAGACTACACGCCCGCCATAAATTCTCCTGGCGAGCGAGTAATCCCGTGGAAATACATATTTCTATTATCCGGACGTGTCAGGCATAGGTCGGTTAGCCCTTGAGGATCGCTCAAAAAGACTAGAATCTCGCACGAAAGTGCGAGGATATCTCGGACGTATTAGCAATATGCTTGCCAGAAGGCCACCCTAGGCATTCCTGACAGGACGTTGAATTTTTACTCGTGGCCTAGCCCGCGGCACCTCCCCGGAATTATGACCACGACTGTAAAGGGAAAGGGGAGAGTTTGGAATGTTGATTAGTCTCCAAGCTGAAGTGAGGCGGATGTGAGAAGTAGCAGGTATATCAATTTCAGGGCCTATCATAGAGCGCTGCGGGAAAGGGTCCAGCTACTTGGCATATAAACCGAGATTGAGAGATCTCTTTCATTCTCTTCACTTACAGTTTCTCCTCTCCCCCCCCCAGGAGAAAGATCACCGGTGCTCTACTGAATGGACCGAACCATTCGGCCCAACTGAATCATCTCCATCAACAGCTCAAAAAGCCCAATAGTGGGACGATATCATGTCACAGCGCGCTGGTACGTGTAATGCAGATGACATACAGCGAGAGAACTATGGCTCGAGTTCGCAAGAAGCTGAAAGTCTAGGCTAACCTGACAAAGAAGTGATCATGTCTACGAAGGTTTCGGAGTCTGATAGGACAGGAAAGCTACCTCCCAAGAGTTTGGCGCTATTGGCAGGCTTCTGGCCACCAGATGACCTGCAAGATGAAGAACTCGATTTCGGGTTTGTCTAGCCCGGAAGCTCCTGAGAAAAGTGCTGACGCGATCTATTTAGATCACCGTCCCCAACCATCCTGTTCAGCCCCAACGGAACTCCGTTGGTTTTCGTCGGATACACGGAGGAGCAAGACATTGACCATGTCATATGGGCACAATTGGAAGCTTACAGAGAGGGTGTTCGAGTGAAGTTTCTTGTGGATGCCATCAACTCGACGAACACATTTTGTACACAGTTCCTCGGTTCTAAGGAGACGACAGTCGCATAGTGGATTGAGAACGTGATTGAACAAATCAACGACCTTGGGGATGAAGCAAGAGTTGATTCACTGGTAGGGAAGACCACCATCCAGACGCGCGCAGAGATCAAGATGTTCATCGGCGGAGTTACACGCCTAGTGCTGCAGGATTGCATTGGAAACACCTTCAAAATGCGCACCGAGGACAACATCACCACTCTGGCGGAACTCAACCGGGCAGAAGCGCATAAGCTGCCATGCGATGTTTCCCAATTCATTGGCTCAGCTGACGATCTCCAGCCGCGGTATCTCATGCTGGAAGGAAAAGAGGCTCGAAGCCTTTTCCGGACTACGCCCACACAACCCGGCAAACTTAAACGCATTACGAAGTCAGGTTTCCAAGAATTGGAGGCATGTCAGGACATGGATGCCGTTGCCAAGTGGACTTCGTTGTGGAGAGTGAGATTCACAGACAACAGAGATGAGGCATACCTGACGATCAACGAGAAAATCAAGGAACTATATGGGGGCAGCATTCCGGAAGATACACTCAGGACCGCGATTGGTCGGCAACAGGGCAATATTATGAAGGACAAATGGTTCGCCTTGGAGTTCAAGCGAATGAAGGATCAAGTCCAATACGAGCAGGATCTAGCGAACGGCGTCAAGCCCAGCGTGCGAAAGCCGAGAGGCAGGAAGATGGATGGAAGTCCCCCAGTCGGTCAAGCGTCCAGCTTCTCATTCCCCCGACGGAGTTCCCAAGCGCAGGATGACTTCCAAAAAGCAAAGAACCCAGCTTTCGGTGGTGGAAGGCGACGAGGACAACATTATGACCGAATCAGACATTCTCGAGCTCGACAGCCCGCTTGCAGTGCCGGCAGTATTGAGGAAGGGTCCATCGCCAATGGAGAGGAAGATTGAGGCCGCCAAACGAGAGGCTAAGATGCAAGAAATCGAAGAATGGTTTGAGAAGGCACACTGCACCGTTAAAGCGATGTTCCATCTCATTTGATTTCCTAGGCTGCTCGACGATCTGATTTTGCAGTTGCCAGCGGGAATGTTGGCAGGGCGATTTGAATTTCGCATTTCGCATTTCGCATTTCGCATTTTGCCTTTCTTTGCTTGGGTGGGTTTCCTTTTGATGAGCGCTGCATCATGGGGAAGGGGCAATTGTGCAGTCCACAGATGCTGTGACCAGGCTTGGATTCCAGCTTGGATTCCATTGAGCAGGGCGTGGTTGCTCCATTCAAAGTCACAGACAATCTTTCCAATTTGTGTATAGTGTTTAGCAGAATTGATGCTAGGCAATCAATTTGACAAGGGAGCTGGAAGATCACGAGTTAAAGTCTTTTCAATTTTGCTCCTGAACATCTGCTACTCCTTCTTAAAAATCAAGATATATTAATTTTTACTATTCTATAAGATATTAACCTTTTTCCTCACCAGGAGTACGCCTTCCTTGAATTGAGAGTAGGCTTGATCAGTGTCTTAGGAGACTCCCTCTATAGTACTGAAACTAGGTCGAAAGGGAGTCAGAAGCAAAAGGGATCGGTTCGAGACAGAGAGGCCGCGGTGGTGGTGCAGGTAAATGATAGTACATGTGTTTAATGATCAAATCAATCCACTAAATCGCAATGTCTGAAATCGTATCTCTCTCTGTGAGATGTGAAACATAACCTATACTCTTACACACATTCTCTATTCCGTGGGCCGTTACTCATCTCATAAACACCGCTGTATGCTTAATGAGAGTGTGCTGTTATCTTATTCTCTGCCTGCTTGCTTGTCTATAATCCTATGATACAAGAATGGCTATCATGACCCTTGCACGCTCAGCCTCGATACTACCTTGGCACACACTTAGAATCATGTTTATTCAACCATATAACATCAGCTCTTTTACTCGCCAGGAGTACACCTTCCTTAAATCAAGAATACGCTTTGTTAGTATCATAGGCGAACCTCTCCATCTTTAACCTAATTAAACTTACAAGATATATTTATTTTTACTATTTCATTAAATATGAACCTTTTTCATCTACTAGGAGTACACCTTCTTTAAATTGAGACTAGGCCCTGTTGGTGTCTCGGGAGGCTCCCTACCCAAGTCACGACCAAGTACGACGAGAGCATTCCTATCTTAGGATCCTGTGAAATGAGAACGTTGTAGGTGAAATTATAGTTTTCTAATCTCAGTCTCATGGAGCACAAGTAGCCACCCTGAAGAGAGCGTTGTATGCGATCATGCACTTTCAACTTTCACTCCGGTGGTCCTCCATCATGCCGGTGTGTATGTAAAGTAGACAGCACGGATCGAGTAGTGCACTGGTATCAAGAAGCCCAAGAAGCCCAAGAAGCCTGATGTTCTTCTCATCACCCCCACTGGAGCCATCTCGCCTCTGATAGACATAGATTCCCAGACATTATGCTCCAACTTCTCAAGTGATTTCCGTGAATTTAGGTCGAATCGGCCAACTCGATGCAAAACTCGGCACACAGCTTGCCTTCGGGTGTTCTCATGCCGTCCCAGACTTCCCTCTTGATCGCTTGACGCACCGCTACATGATATCTCTCTTGGTACACTTGCTTGACTTTGTCTAGGTGCTTAGGCTCCCAGTGTAGACGGACGAGGCGAGAGATAAGCAGTTCGGTGCGTTCCTTACCGGGTGCGGTTTCGCTGATCGCCTGACGTAGCAACAAGGCGTCACGCATGGGGCGGTTCAGCGCACCGTTGAGTATGTGGGCAAGGGTCTCGCCTACGAGATTGCGAGACTTGCTAATCATGGCACGCGCAAAGTGGATGCCGTAGGTTCCTTCGAAGATCCGCAGGACTTCCCTGAGGTGCATGTCGCTGCGCAGCACAATAATCTTCAGCATGTCGCTTTCACCTCCTTGAGAATCGAGTGCGTTGTAGAGAGCACCCACATCGGCTTTGATGAGGCGAGGGTCGAGAGGCGTTGACTCTGGCATGCGTCGTTCCTCTAGTGCCAACAGGATCGCCATGCGAAATTTATCGGCTCTGAGCTCGGTGCGAATGCACCGTTCCAGGTCGTCACCGTATTTTTTGTCTTTGAAGCAATTCTTGATTTCCTTGATGTCGTGGTTGCTCCGGCCCATAAGCGATTCGATCAACAGCTCTCGTCGGCTGGCTCCTCCTTGATAAAAGCTGTTGGCCCAGTAGGCTTCGCTCTCCCACCGACCAAGGGCGGTAGTGTAGCAGGCTTTGCCCAGGTTGCCTGGAACACGCATCTTAATGTGCTTGGCGATATTGATACCTTGGCCCTGTACCTTTGCGTGATTCTTGTACTCGGCACGTAGGGCAAAGAGTTCGTCTGTGGTAAGACCCGGGAGGATCTGTAGCAATGGACGTGGGTCGGCAGGACCAGTGCCCTGGAGGGCCTTGGCGATGCGTTGTGCATCTGATGTTGGATCGTAGAACGAAACCTTCTTCTTGCCCGACGGTGTAGTTGGTGAAATGATGTCGTTAGTTCCACGTCTGTCTCGAGATCTGTCACGAACACCTCCCGGCTCGCGGACTTCGAGGCTAGTGTCAAGATTGGACAAGCGACGCGATCGAGGTTCACGGGTCTCAAGTCCACCGCTTGAACGTGGCTCGCGTGTCTCATACTCATTGGCCGCGCGCTTTTTCTCCCGCTCTTTCTCCCGTGAGGCTTCATACTCGGCTTTCTCCCGTTCGAGTTTGCGAATTTTGCGTTTAATATCATCGTCGCTATCGTCATCTCTGCCAATATCGAGATCTGACAAATCCGAATCATCTTTATGATTTGCGAGGACCAGCGCTGTAGGCATGGGCGAGATGGACTGATAGGTTCCTTTATATGCCTCCAGCAAAGGTGAAGCAGGCGGTTTTCCACCATCATGCGAGATTTGGGTCGCAACGCCGAGGGTGGCAGCACCAAGGCCGCCAGCAAATGCGAGCTTGGATAGGTTTTTCGTCATGTCCTCTGTGGGAGCACCATACTTATCGCTATGGTATTTGCTGCTTCTTCTGTGGTCTTTATCATCGTCGTCTTCGTAATACTTCCTCTCATGCGGCTCGCGTGTCTCATAACGGTCGTCAGAATATTTCTTCTCCTTGATTCTGTCGGAATCTGAAGGTCGTGACCGATCATATTCTTGCCTCCGTCCATTATATTGAGGTTGACTGGAGCTGTCCTTATATTTGTAGCTGGCATTTGCGTCAGGTTGAGCGTACTTGTACTGGTCGACCTTTGCATATTCTGGCGCCGTGGGTCCGCTGTAAGATGGTGTTCGTTGAGTTGGTGGTGGGCCAGATGAAGTTGGAAAGGCTCCAGGCGGCCCATAGCGAGAATCACCATAGCTCATGTGGTGGGAGTCTTTTGGACGAATCTCCGCATAGGCCCCAGGGGGTGGGACGTAGCCATGTGCTGGCTGCTGGGAATAACTTGAAGTACGGCCATTGGTGTATTTGCGGCGGTCGTCTTCAGAGTGACTTTCTGAATCGTCGCGATGCTTCCTGTTCGACTTGCGGCGGTCGTCGTTGTCGTCGCTGTCTGAACGCTTTCTATTACTGTCCCTCTTTGATGTGGTACGACGCCTCTCCTTCTCATCATCTGAGGGCGACCAATCCCGCCTGCGAGATTCCTTGCCTGGTTTGGAAGAACGATACCTGTCGTCTTCACTCTGACCTTCGTAAGCTCGAGAAGTTCTCGTACTCTTGCGACGGTCATCTTCCTCCTCTGCGTAGTACGAGTTCCTGCTCGATCTTTGGTCCTTGTATCTGCGCTCGTCCTCAGCATCGTCATCGGAGCCAGAGTACTTGGTGGAGCGTCGGTGGTCACTGCTTCGATCACGTTCTCGGCGGTCGAAGTCTCCGCGAGCGTCGCGTGAGTGAGATCTTGATCTTGACCTCTCTCTTCCACCGGGAGATTTGGATCTAGAACGACGGCTGTCGCGAACCTCCAACATTGAGGACATTTTGGCGCATTCCAAAGTATCTACTCGAACGCCCTAGATTGACTTGTGTTGAGGAGGTGGGAGGAAAGAGAAAGAGAAGAACAAGACAGCGCAGCGGAAATCAAACAAATGAAACGCCCCAAAAGATAAAATCGGGCTGGGTGGTCTGCACAGCACCCGGACACATACAGATGAGAGTGTGAAACCCGCCAATTGGTAGCTTGCGCACCCCAAATCCTTCCGTGCAAGTTGACGGCCCCCAAGGTTCTTGACCTGAAGCTTTGCATTAGGGCTGCAGATACGAACCAGGGAAGACGGAGGGGCCGAGGGACACCCTGGCTTGTGGGTGCTTGTGATCAACTCCCTAACTTAGGTAATTAGCCAACTAGCAGGGAATCCGGGATAGGGATCGAGGGGCGAGGCCGCAAGGAGCTCATTGTGCCCCGCCATGTGAACATACGCCATGCAGAGTAGCTGGCACCTGTTACTCGTAGATTCGTTCCTTTTTCAGCTGGTATTTCTGAAGATCTGGACGGATCGCCTTTTTGTTAGTTTTCAAGATACAATATCTCACAGCTGTTGTTATTCTGGCTCTATACCGCAAAAGTGTCCCGGTAGACGACTAGTTGGGAGTATCGCGTCCTCGCAGATGGAAGGGCACCGAAGCATCCCCACAATGCCCATGGGACGCTCCAACCTTGGCTTGCGTTGTATCCGTAATAGATACTTAGGTTTCTGGATGTCTGGTCCTTTACAAGCATCGCGGGGCCGCTGCAGTCCTGCAGTCCCCCGTTTCGCTGCCTCGCCGAAGCACTGAGTGTGTCACACGGATCAAGATGGCGCGAATCAAGCGACACCGCCATAAAGCAGCACATTGATGTCCACGTGTGCTCTGTCAAGGCACGAACGGACGAGGGGTAAGTTGTAACTTGTAAGTTTGCAGGACTCGGAAGTTTATATAAGACCAGGGGTGCCAGGGCAGGCACGACCACCATACTATATCGCATCACTCAAGGCAGGTGCAGGTGCAGGTGCAGGTGCGGCCCTTCCAAAAATGTTATTCCGCTGCCGTCTGCGGTCTTCATTTTTGTCCCACGCCACCATCCTTAGGAGCTCCCCTCGTCACACTCAGCTTCGCACTCTTCGTACGCTCCCGTTGTTCTCTCTGGAAGGGAAAACCTGCGTGGTAACAGGTTCAGCACGGGGCTTGGGCAAAGAATTCCTCACGGCCTTTGCTCTCTCTGGCGCCCGAGGGGCTTGTATCGACCTGTCCCAGAAAGATGCAGAATCCTCCATCACATCCATTGCCTCGGAGGTGCAGTCCTCATACCCCAGCTCTCCCGTCCCGGAGCTTCGTGCATACGAATGCAATGCCACCGTCGAGTCAGACGTGAAGCGCACCTGGTCTCAGGTCGTCAGCGATTTCGGAAAGGTTGATGTTCTTGTCACCGCGGCGGGCATTGTGGACAACGTCGAGGCCGAGAACTATGAGTTTGCTCGTTGGCGGAAGATGATGGACGTCAACGTCGACGGGAGCTGGATGTTTGCTCGTGAAGCGGGCAAGCATATGTTGCAACATAACATCCAGGGATCCATCATTCTCATCGCCAGCATGTCTGCCACCATCTGCGTCAGGCCACAGAAACAGGCTGCATACAACGCCTCCAAAGGTGCAATCCAGATGCTTTCCAAGAGTCTGGCCACCGAGTGGGGGCCTCTAGGCATCAGGGTCAATAGCCTCAGCCCGGGCTACATGAGAACGGACTTGATCAAAGGATTGCTTGAGAATGAAGGGAAGGATCTCGTCAACTCATGGGAGAAAGACATCCCGATGGGAAGGATGGCCGAGCCGCATGAGCTGAGAGGAACCATCGTCTGGATGGCGAGCGATGCAAGTTCATACCTAAATGGTTCTGATATTGTATGTGTTACCTCATTTCACATCGACCCAGAGCATCGTTGCTAACTTACTACTTGCAGATTGTTGATGGCGGCTACACTAGTTGGTAATCCTAACGGCACTCGGGGTTCGAGACATAACCCTGCAACCTGCTATATAGGTAGTGGCAGGCATGAGATACCAATGTAAGATCTGAGAAATGGAGTTGAGAAGTCTCCAATGAACGGCAAAAGGCCCATGCGTTTGAGAAGGGAGATCCCTAGGGGAGGTGTGGAGGACCATGAGAGCTTTCGAGCCTAGAACTACAAAGTGAGAACGATGTGCAAATTGACCACCATAGTTCGTATCTTCATTCATCTCATTTCATTTCGGTCTAGTGCGAGCTTGAAAGGCAGGTCAAGACGGGTCGCGTTTCCGCGACTAGATCTCGTGCAGGTCTATTAGAGCACCATCATGCACGAGGCTCGTAGTAGACACATGTATATGAAACAACCCCTTTCTCAGCGGAGAGCGGACGAGCGATCTCAGGTCGTTGCACTTTCTCAGGTTCCCAGGCTTTGCTGCAGCTAGCTGTCCAAATCCACAAATCAGATCATCATCGTTGACGTTCACGCCACAGCCTTTGCACTATACTTGGCCGCGGCGGTGTCGAAAGCCTCACTCTTCTCTTCCAGATCCTTCAACAGAGCGTGTTTTCTGTCCTTCTCAGCCAATTGCTTCAGAAGGTCCTGAACCACATCTGACTTCTTCCCCATCAGACTGGCCAATACCACGCTGTTGGCAAGCGCTTGGACGTCAACATTGTCCGCGGCCAACGCTTGCTGCAGTGCCGCTTCGGCCTCTTCGTACCTTCCCAAGTGTATTTCAGCCACGGCTTGGCCGACAATTGCGCTTGGAGAAGTATTTCCAGGGGTGGTGGCCAGTTCTTCATAGACATAAAAGGCAGACTGGTATTTGTCGGAGCCTCCCTCACGCAGATTGGACCAGGCCTCGGCCAGATTGATGAGAAGAGAGTCCTGGGCCCAACGTTTGGCGGCTTGGACTTCCTTCACCGCTCGATCGGTGCGGTTTTGCACGAGGTGTATCTGTGTGAGTAAGGCAACGGCTTCCAGGTTGCCCTGATGCTTGTTCAGCAGCTCGATGGCCTTGGTGTACTCGCCCGCAGCGGCCAGGATGGTGCCGGCCACGACTTGAACGACGGCATCTTCGGGGTCTGATTCTGCTAGCGACGAGGCGGTGTCGACAGCAGAGGCGTCTCCAGTAGATTGCTGTGCTAAGGCAACTATCGAGCGTGAGGCGGGATCTTTGGAGGATTTGAGAGAGGAGACGACGGAGGAGGATTGGCCTAGTGCTATTTGAGCGCGGTACTTCAGAAGCTGAGCGGTCTTCTTGTTTTCTGTGGATAGGGAGGAGGTGTCGAAGTCGAGGACTGTCTGGTAGGCATGGGTATAGAACGCAGTGGATATGTTTAGGAGTTCTGGGACGTGGTCAGTGGTGCAGAGGCGAGAGGGAATGAAGACATACCGCCTTCGCCGGAGAAGGGATCCATGATGGAAGAGGTCGATGAGAGGTGATGTTGTTGTCGATTGGATTGCCAGTGTGGCCTGGACTCCTGCGAACAATGAAGGGGAAGTGGGAATGTCGATGGACCCGGAATGGAAGGTGCGGCGAGTTGAACTGCCTCCGCGTTCCTGCCTCGATGCCTCGATGCCTCCCCCTTCCTTATCGATTGCTGAGTGACTGGATTCTCCCAGCCTTGAAGCAACGACACCCTCGATTGCTGTTTGTTATGCTCGTGTCCAGACAATTGCTCGGACGTCATTGAAACCATCAGCCCCAGGACCGCTCGCCTCATCCCAGCAATCAACACGCTCCTCAGACCCTGAACGACAACATATTACCTCGCACTCCAATCTACCAACCTCCTCTCCCTGTCCCTGTCCTTGTCCCTCTCCTCTCCCGCCCACTCACCATGCCTCGACCCGGTCGTGGATTGAGTTTCACATACAACAGCATCAAGCTCGAACACCAAGCAATCCAGACTCGCCGGGCAGTGAGTCGAGTAAGGGGAAACTACCACCTGTTCCTCCGAAACCAGCCCACCAAACCACAATTCAAACAGGCAGATCTTGTACCAAAGCGAATGTGGTCAGTCCCCAAGATGACGCACATGGAGTAGTGATGTACTAGTTGGTAGCCCAAAACCACGCGGCTGTTGGGCATGGGGAGTATGGTATGGTAGGATAGGCGTCGAGGACTACGATTCCTATACAGATGTAATACGATTGCGCGGAGTCGGACTTGGTTTGGGACTTGACTTGGTATAGGTGATACCCGATCTTTCAACTCATGTATTTTCTCCCTCTCCACTTCAAGCGTACGTCTGAGAAACTCTTCTTTTCAAAACAAAGACTTTTTTTCCCTCGTGATACATGATTTGTTCATTGTGTTTCCCCTTCCCCCTTCCCCCTTCCCCATTCAGGATCCCAACAACACCACCTATTTCTTCAACGGCACCGTCGACACATAAAGTGCCTTTGCAAACGCCTCGGGGTACCGGCCTCCACCGACTTCGACCTGTGAAATCGCGTTTCGGATCTTCTCATCGTCCTCCTTGGAGATCTTGACCTTGAGAGACGCAATGTTTTCGTCAAAGTTCTTGATCTTGGTGGTGCCGGGGATGGGGAAAATATCTAGAGAGTATCTTCATTAGTGACTTCAATCTCTCTCTCACCGGGACAAGGGGTCATCGCATCGGAGAGGGGATGGACGCAATAATCGAGAGAAGCACTCACCGTCACCCTGAGCCATCAGCCACGCCAGGACGAGCTGGCCGGGCGTCACGCCCTTGGCGTCCGCCAACGCCTTGAACTCATCCACCAGCTTCAGATTCTTGGGGAAGTTCTCCGGGCTGAACCTGGGAGCGAACTTCCGGAAATCGCCCTCCTCGAAGTCGTCGGGCGACCTCAGCGATCCAGTCAAGAAGCCACGGCCGAGAGGCGAGTAGGCGACGATGGCCGTGCCCGTTTCGCGCGCGGCCCTGAGGACGTCGATCTGGGGATCTTCGATCTCGAGCGAGAAGGGGCTGTACTCGACCTGCGCGGCGTCGATGTGCACCACCTTCTCGGCGCGGCGCAACGTGTCGGCGCTCATCTCGCTGAGGCCGATGTACTTGATCTTGCCGGCCTGCTGCAGCTCCTTCAGCACGCCGACGGTGATCTCGATGGGCTGGTCGTCCTGGATGCGATGCACGTAGTACAGGTCGATCTGGTCAATCCCCAACCTCTTGAGCGACGTGTCGACGGCTTTCCGGATGTAGTCTGGCTCGTTCCGCACCGACCGCTCTTGGGTGACGGGGTCGACGTAGTTGGCGAATTTGGTCGCCAGGAAGATCTTTTCCCGCTTGCCCGGGTTCTTCTTGAACCATTTGCCGATGAGGTCTTCGTTGTCGCCGTACATGTCGGCGCTGTCCCAGAACAGCTCTCCCGCGTTGTATGCGTGGTCGAGCACGCTGAAGCGCTCTTCGTCGGACTTGGGTGCGCCGTAGAACGCACTCAAGCCCATCAGCCCAAAGCCCAGCGCTGTCACTTGCGGCCCGTTCTTGCCCAGCTTGCGGGTGGGAAGCTGTGTTGCCATTGTTTGCTGAAGATGTCCTTTCCGATGGTTTGAAGATGGTCGCTGTGTCTGTGTCTGTGTCTGTGTCTGTGTCCGTGACCGTTGTGTGATCACTCGCCTGTAAAGAGCCGGCTTCAACTCAAGCAGCTCAACGGGGTGAGCTGACCGAGGTATTTATATAAAACCTCCGACCTCACAAGCTTCATTTGCAGCCGAGACAGAACCACCATTGTTTCCACCGATTGCCCCCTCCAATGCGTGACTTCATGACTGACGTAGTCGCCCGAGTACAGGACGAGGGCAGGGGGCACTAGCCCGTCCCAATACGCGCAAGACCGCTAAGTCCATCTCACATTCTCTCTGGTCCTCGGTGCTAAGTCGCACCCTCGAGCCCAATCAATTGCTCGTCCCCCATCGATTCATTCATTCTCTTTCTCCATCTCCGCCAATACGTCCGGCGGCCGCCATCCGCACCGGCGATGCAGACTTACCCAATCTGGGCGGCTCTCGGCGTTAAGGCCAGCCTGACGTTGAAGTACGACCCTCCCACCCGTCTTTCCCCCCACTCCCAATGGCACAAAAACCCGTCTTGAGTCTTGACTCTCGAGCCTCAAAAGTGATGGCATGCCCTGATTGGTGATATCTCTCCAGGGAACGTCTCGAGCACTCTTGGGCCCCGGATATTAGCAGGGGCTGGTTTCGGCGACGATGCCTGTTGCGTGCAGCTACAGAGATTGCTGGGCAGGCGTGTTCTTGTGTCCATCTGCGCTGACTAATTATGCTGCGGCGTGGACAGAATGCAGTGTTATGCAGGGCAGATAGCTCGCTAAGGGGATAGGCAGTGTGAGCCCGAAGAATGACTCGGGTAGGTTGCTTAAAGCATATATTGTGCTGTTTTCTGAGATTCAAGTGGTGATGTGATTTCAGAGGACGTTTCCCCTTCTATTCTCGATATAGCTGTCGATCCCCCTCGTCTTCCTCCGCCTCCTCCCTCTTCCTGTTGCATGGCTTGCCGGGTAAGGACCCCTCGGGTGTGCACAAATGCGATACTTAGTAGCAAGGAGCGTGCCCAGCTGCCTTCCTGCGTTGCCCCGGTCGTGACCAGCCATTCTGATTCTGGAGATTCGGTACCCATATACACCTCTCTGCTCTATATCTAAAAGAACTCCACAACATATCGCCCTATTTATACACGTGAGGAAAAGGGGGCATTGCTCGCTCGCCGCACATCCCAAACGCCCGGTTCGCCGGCAGGAACGTACGCGAGCTCGTTGGTAGGTGCATCGCAAAAAGGCCTCAGAAAGACCTGGATTTCAACCTTCAAAGACGGAATGGTTCATCTCGACCCCGTAGTCCTTCATCATCCTGCGCATCTGCACCTCCATCTCGTCATCCATTCCCCGACCTCTGCCAAACCGTTGTTTCAACCAGCTGTACCACCAAAAGGCATCGGAGGCGAACAGAACGAGTTTGAACACGATGTGGCTGCCGTAATACCTCCAGCGCTCCGAGACAGACAGCTCTCGGTCCTCGGCGAGGGCCCTGGACGCCCAATTGCCGGTGATCTTGATGCGGTTGACGGGGCTGCCGAGGAACTGGTTGTTACCTTGGACGATGCGCATATTGCGGCCAATGAAGATCAGCTCACGAGGCCACTTGGTCTCATCACCCAAAATTTCCTTGATACCTTTGCGCATCGCTTGCTGCATTTCGTACTGTCGCTTTTTCTTCTCCGCTTGTGAGATTCCTTGGATGCGTCTCGACACCGTCATGTCGCCGCCCTCGTAGGGCTTCATCAGCGTGGCGGAAGCAAAGACCTCCGGGTTGGTCACGCCCCATTGATGGACGACCTCCTTTAGCGTGGAGTTGTCAAAGGTCATGAGCGATTTCCAGAAGAGCGAGTATTGGTGTCGGAACTGTGGACTCATGTGAATGTACAAGCCATGGTCGATTAGGACCAGTTCGGACCGACCGCTGGGTTGTCGTCGGATGAAGATGTTACCCGGGTGTGGATCACAGTGAACCCATCCCCAGAGGAACATCTGGGCGGAGAAGAGGTCAACCATAGTGGTCATGACTTCTCCCAGGTCCAATCCTAGGCCACCTTTCCCGTCCGAACCTTTCCAGTAGGACCGATCAGGCTTCAATTCGGTATCGTAAGATGGTCGTGCTTGATGCAGCTGACTCGAGGTGGGGGCGTTGGGTAGGTCGAGAGGGGTGCCGTGGCTACCAGGGCTGCCTGCCCTCCATCCGCCTTGCCACGGGCGAGTGATAGCATCCTTGTCCCAGAGACGAACCCCTTCAATCCACTCGGCGGTCATGACCCGTTTGGTGGTCAGGTCGTCGTAGACTTTAGGAATGTAAACTCGATCGCGGAGACGAGGTTCACTCTGGACAAACTCGGCCATTTTCCTCGAGTTGATGGCTTCATTCTGGAAATCACACTCGAGCTGCAGGCGTTCGGTAATGTAGGGAACAAGGGAGTAGAGTGGCAGATCGAACCACCAGGTGTAGATTTTGGTGACAACTTTGAAAGCCCACAGATCCCAACCGACCTGTTGAGCAATCTCCCTCTTCTGAATCTTGATCGCCACCTCCCGGCCGTCCTTTAGCCTTGCCCAATGGACCTGAGCAACACTGGCACTTGCTCTCGCCTGCTTCTCCATGACACCGCCCTCTGGATCGCCATCAAAGGAAATTCCAAAGACCTCTTCCGGAGTCCGTCCCCCAAAGTCTTCCATGATGACCTGCCGCACCTCGGACCAGTCATTTTGAGGAGCGTCATCGAACATCTTGGCGAACATCTTCTGGAACTCCGGGGGCAGAATGGCTGACTGCATGGCAATGGCCTGGCCGATCTTCAGATATAAACCACCATTCGTGCGCAGCAGATTGAAAAGCTTGGTTGCACTGCGAGCGTGGACTTCTGCAATGTCATCGGCAAAGGGGGGGTTCTCTCGAAAATTGATCTTGTAGTCTAACGCGACGGTCAAGCCGAGGGCAAAGGTACGAGTGCATCTGGTCAAACTGGAGGCGTAGAATTGCCGGTCCAGGGTATATGCGACGGCTCCGAAGAGGGTCATGTAGGCGAGTCGTCGAGTCCATTTTCTCAATCTCTTGAACTGTCTGGCTGGTGCAGCTTTGCCTAGAGAAGAGGGCGAGGGAGGAGTGAAGGCAGGGCGGAGGTGGGATTCTGAGAACGGTCGGATTGGACTCGCATTCGCCCGCCGAGGAATCGGCCTGAACGGGCTTCTGGAATTCAGGCAGAAGGCACAGATGCGCCCTCTTGCGGACGACATGGAGAGTGACTTGTTAGCTGCACGACGACATAGAGGGGACAAAGTCTGTGCTGGGACAGGAGAATGTCAACTCGTGGGATTGAGAAACAGAAAAGGCATCAAGAAGGATGATGCAGACGATTGGGATCTGCCTGGTTGCCGCCAAAGCCAAAAAGGATAATCACCTGCATGATAATAATCCATGATAATGTCGATCGATCGGCCGAAGCCGACGGAGATTCCACGGGCCCGAGACCAAGAGGCCACAGTCCAGGAGTCTGACACGGATGTATTCACTCCGAGATCCGCTTCCCAGGATACCTACTCGTTTAGTAAGTTCTCTTCTACCGAGTACATAATACTCGTAGCGTTCCAACAGGGACATGCACGTAATTGCTGATGAGGAATTGCTGATACCCCGATACTCTACATCGACCAATACAAATGTCCAAGGCTACAAAGCAGGTAGCATCTGAAGCTCCTCGCAGGGCCTCAGGGTCATGGAATCGAGCTCTTTGAACTCATTTGTCTGGATATTAAGTAGGATTAATTTGCAAGACATGCCTCAACCTCGGGACCAAAATTCCCGCAGCTTGGTGTTGGAGAGCCATCCAGACACCCATAAGAATAATGCTAATAGGACTGAGAGATACGACCGCTCTTCCCCCTATTGAGACCCATATAAATTGCCTTATGGACGCAGCCCGTCAGCAATCATCAATCATTCAACCATGGCATTTCTCGTTCGCTTTCAATTACACTTGACCTAGCCTTCCTCAAAGTCCCATCTCATTTGAGTACCAGGCGCTCGACCTCGTGATCGCCTTCCGTATCACTATGTCGAGGCCCTAGCCAGGAGGCCGATGTATGATTCTGCTGAGGTTGCCGCCTAGCCTGAGAAGGCAGCTCCGTGATCGAGACGCTTGTGTATGCCGATCCGACCGGCTTTCGAGGAATATTGCTACCAAGAGCAGAGAAGGGGAGGGGAGGCAAGTTCCAGCCGTGGTCTACCTGCTCGAGCGGCGGACCAGGCTCCGATGCATATACCTGGCGTCCATAACCGTCCGACATTATGGCAGATCCAGACTGGGATCGAATGGAGAGAGACTCGGGTTGCAAACGCCCAGATCCAAACGAAAGGCCATCTGAGGAATAAGGTGATGCCTCGTAACGGTGTCCTACTTCTTGCAGATTTATGTCATCATCGTTCCGGGTTTGAGTATTGCTATATCTTGCATTTTCAAAGACACTGCGTCTTTTCTCTCCGCTTTGTTGGACGCTCGATGCTATACTCAATACCCCGGCGGTCGACGATCGCTTCAGTGACTTCGGGCTCAAAGGTGTGGCGGATGACTGGAAGACGTCGACTTTTTTATCCGGGGGGGCTCCCAAAATTTCGTGTTGAGGCTGAATTTGCAGACACCGTGAAGCTCGGAGCTCTACTGCGAACTGCGGTTTGAGTGGGGTCTTGGTCTTGGAGAGCCTTCAGCATCCATTCGAGTTTGCTCTGAGGCGTGTCCTCAAATGCTTTCCTGTACCGCAATGCGGCGAAGATATACGTGCCCAGGCCGAGGACAATGAGCATGAATATTAGTATCGAAAATGCAAGGAAGACCGTTGATAGCTGGACAATGGGCAGCCTGACGCTCAGAGAACGGGAGACAGGAAATCCATTCTGCGTGTCCTTCGTCGCGACCCACACTTGATAAAACCTCGTGAGGTCCCTTGGTGTGATAACAGTGATATTGCCTCTGATCGATTCGCGGATAAATTGTGCTTGATAATTCTGGACTAGAGCTCGTGAGACCAACCAGGGAGTGGCACTGTCTGGGAATGCAATGTTGTGTTGATCAGGATTCAGGTCAATCCGCCGGAGAGTGCATTCTATCTTGGTATATGAGGCCGACTCGACTGGTCCTTCGCCGAAATTGCACAGACTATCCGAATCTTCTTGCATGCTTAGTTTGTGCAAGTGAATTGCGGCTAAGTCGATAGCCATCTCATTCGTGATGCCGGTTGCTTGGTCGATTGACGTCTCCTTTGCAGCACCAATGCTTAAGAGAGCGTCCTTGTGCAATCCGTCCTCGTAATAGGCTGTCCACCATGAACTTGTGTTGCTTAAGTGGAATTTGTCTAGAGAAATGACCGCTGTCAGACCTGGGATCTCGTCGAACATGGACGTACAATTTCCCACATCCTCAAGTTCGATTTGGGTGAGCTCAGTGTGGTCACAGTCCAGAGTCCAGCTAGAATTCCATTCTCCAGGCACATAAAGCCAGTTGATGGCGGGATCTGGAAGGTAGTCAAGGAGTTGGTCGTATGGAAAATTTGCACTCTCTAGACTGAAGGAGGTTGTGTTCCAGATAACGGGAGCGCCCAGGATTGAATCATGCTTCCGCCAGGTAATCTTCCCGGGAGTTTCATAGTTGCTGATGCGATGGCTCAGACGAGTCGAATATCTAGCTATGGGACCAGATATCAAAGCAGCGAGGGAAAGGAATACGACAAGGCAGGCTTGCACCAAGATTTTCACATGTCTTCGACTGAAAATCTTGACCTTTAACAACCATATCACGTCGACAGCGTCGCCAAAGGCGCTAATACTTAACAAGGCAGAAGCTGGAACGCTGTCATACCTTGCGCCACTCGTCACACTGGATTGCCAACAAAACCGGGCACAGGCAAAGACTGCAAGGACGCTCAGGCCAGTAACGATGACATTCAAAGCTGTCTGAACATTCTGGAGGCTCCACGAGCCTGGTAAATTGATCCAGCTCGCTGTCATTGCTTCAAGGGGACCAGAGGTGTTTGAAATGCGCGACTCTCAATCATATGAAAGCAGTGTGAAAACACACCTGGCAGTGCAAATGCACATTAAAGACATGTCTGGAGTCTGAGTGAGGCATTTTTGGCCTCGGAAATCGCAACATTTTGGCAGTGGGTCTACCAGTTGTAGGAGGAGCGATACGATGTGCTCCCTCCGACATTGTAGAGATGGTCGTTGGCCTTTGCTGGAGGTCGGCGCAGAGTGGTACAGCGAAGGATGGGCTTCGAGGAACATGAGTCGAGGAGAATATTGTGGCTGTTCTCAAAGAGCAAAATTTGATGCAAGGTTGTCTGGATTGGCTGTTTCCAAGACTCTTGGTCTAAGTCGGTCGCTTTGAGGCTGACTGAGCCAGCCTTTGATTTGGGGATCATGATGGTCTTCATGCTTTTAGACTGTGCTTCCTCGTATTTGACTTACACCTTTGCAATTAGCAACACTAAGAATGTCTGCTCTTGCCGTAAACTCAGAGGCGGATGTCTGTCTGGGAGCTATACGAAGCTGAATCTCCAGCTGGACACAGTACATAGTGAATCATTGTATTCCGAACGTACCCGGCTCGAGCTCCAGTCCGAGCTCGAACAACAGCCATTCGCAAGGAACAGGACTACTCATTTGATTTGCTGTACCTCGTTTTTGATGAGGCTCGCTGTCAAATTCCTCACGCTCATGGACAGCCTCAATGCTCGGACCGGTTCCACGCTTGGTTCCTATCTTGAGGAAGATGTTCACAAGTTGTTTTGGGCTCGAGACGATCACCTGCGCCGAACCTTTTGCTATTCGACAAGGGAAAAGATCAAAATCGGGTCTTCGTTGGCGAAGCGAATGTCTCAACAGAGACTTCAAAAGTTGGCGAAGGAGGATTAGATGTAACAGCAAACAACGACCACCTACGGGGCATGCGTCGATCTTAGATCCTCGAGTTCAGAACTCATTTCTGGGTGTTTACGTTTCACCGGGCTCACCTGGGTCCCTCGCAGAACGGGGCTTTCCACTTATCACTTGGCCCATCTAGGCGGAACGAGCCAACACCCCTGATTAAACATCTTCAGGTGGGTGCTACCGACTTACCTAAGTGAAATGCTCCCATACATACTAGGGTTGCCTAGGCACCCCTCGGGGGACCGATCAACCAGAGCCTCAAAGTCTGATCTGCACAACCGGTGATTTTTGCCTCGCTAAAGGCCGTTGAGCCTTTCGCGTTCATTGCGGGAGCAAAATTGAACGCTCATTAGCTTCCACTATCTACTCCGTACCAATATTTGAGAGGTAGACTCAACAGATGTTCTCATTCAACTACGAGGTACGGGGCGAGGCATTGGCCTTATTATCAACCTTGCCCACTGCCTGGGAGCCTGAGTACTTCAGAATTCGACGAGGAAAACTTATGCGAGATCTGAGTTCGACTAGAGCAAGTCCCGACAGGACTTGCATCGACATTCATTCAACACAATACGAAGTAGTACTAACTTGATACTAAGTACTTCTCAAGGCAGGCCCGTCGATGAATCCCATTCACGCTGGTTAATCTCCCACCCATTGCCTCCTGGAGACGGTGCCTCGCTGGCCCCCATCATCCTCAATCCAAGCAGTCTGGAGAGGGCTGATATCAGCTTCAGAGTCATGCCAACATTCAAGACATGTTCGCCAGATTGTCTGACATGCCAAACTGGCAGCACTGAGTCGAGGCAGGCAGGGCACGTACCTTGGAACCAGAGGTCGCCGCCCTCATCACAACCTGATCATGAATTGCAGCCTCGCGGCTTCCGGTCGGGGCTGAAACGAACAATTGCCTACCGCTCTCTCTATTTTTCATGTTGTACGTTGTATGGGTATCAGACTGATGCCGAAAGCCAGACTGCTGAGAATTTCTGCTATTGGTGCTCATCGACCTGGAAATGCTGCTGCCAGCTGCACCTCGGGCAGAGGTCATTGCTATCGATGCAGCGCGGGCGCTTGCTGTCGTGGCAGATCTCCTGGGAGTTGATGATGCAGGTGCATGAGTGTAACAGTAGTCTTCAACTTCACCAAATTCAGAAGGCTCTACCTCTACCACTGTGTGGCCGTCATCTGAAACATAGTATTTTGTCGTTGTGCTCGACATTGTATCGCGGCGAGAGACCGGTGGGACTGGTTCAGGCCCCTCGTCATCGGATGAAGAATACTGATCATTCATGGCAGAGGATCGCCCTAGAGAATTTTCCACCATCTCAGTGGTGCACTGTTTAAGTCTCGAGATCATTGCTTGAAAGTAGTCACTTACGAACGCTAGCTCTGCTCATGATGGACCTATTTGCACTACTCCTCAGCCCGCCGTCGGATTGCAAATACTCAGCATCCGCTCGCTGTCTCCTCGTTCGAACAGCCTCATCTTCCAAGAGCAAGGTTGAACCACTATCACCAAGAAACTTGTCTCCACGACGATTTCCTTCAGATTGCCTTCCAGAGTACATTGATGCGGCGATCTTTTGGGCTTGTACTGCATGCTCACTGCCTTCAGGTAGGTGGCAGACAAACTGAGCATTTCTTTTGTCATCTTTGCTGGCATATGTGACGCTAGTTACCCCCATTGGTGAACGGACAATGGTCCGGGGTGAGTTTTCATCTCGTCGAACGATGATGCTTGATCCCCGGCTGCTGCTATTCGAGGAATGAGTTGTTGGTGGACGCTCGTCTCGGGCTGTGATCCATCGCACAAATGAAGCCATGGACCTATGGTGATTGAGGCTATGAGCAGGAAAATGATGTACTCAGCGGAATTGATGTCGTACTTTCCAACGAAGAAGAATTTCTCAACCACCGACGACAGTCATAATAAGGCTGAGGATAGTGGGGTTTGATCGTGGCAGCTGCCAGGAAACTTCGCACCCGGACCACGAGAGAGAGAGAGACAACGCCTGCCCGATGCCAGTCTCAAGCTAGACCCTTGAGGAGTGGCAAATACTGGCTTCGAAGCTAATACTCGTATATTTGGTGTCAAGCAAGGATCTGGAGCAAAGAGGCTGATTATCAGGCGACCAATCAGAGTGGCATTTCAACGTCTCATTATCCATTCATCACGCCCAGTCTACAAAAAGGCAACCGCATCTTCTCTCTATCTCGAGCCGTCCACGAAAATCTAGCCTCTTATCGTCCGTGTCTCCGCCGAGTCATATGCCGTCCAAGCCCAGAAATCATGCATCTGTAACAATACTCCACTCAACCATGTTCCTTCCTGCAGTTGAGATCAGCAATTGAACAACGAGGTGCATGGGGCAATGATCTTACAAATGGTTTTCTGAATCGAGTTCCCTTGCTGATTCCACATGGGTGTCAGGCTACCTCCTCCGGCGTGAGTACTCCATGCTCTCGGCGATGTTCATAGCACGACCTGCGAGGTGGCTATCATGTGGCCCTGAGTAGAAGAATGCTGCCTTTGCATTTCCGTCCTTATAACCAACATTGCAATGGTTTGAGAACAAGGCGGGATAGCCATTTGCAGCCGCGTTGGCTCCTGCGCCGGCTACTTGCTGGCCTTTTCTATCGTAAATCGTCAGGGCTCCTTGTTGTGACATATCGGTGTCTGAAGCAACGGGCTGGTGGGGGACAGGGTCAAAGTGGTAGAAAAGGAATGAGAGAGTGAAGTGTCTACGGCCCCGAGAGAGAAGAGGGAACAGAGCACTCTTTTGCACACCAGAGTCGAAACAAATGATCATTACATGTCTGAGGCTGAGAATGGATGAGCACTGCTATTCTGTAGCCTGAAGCGCCACCCGCCTCGTGATAAGAAATCTGTAATTGCAGAAATAATCTGTAACTGCAAAAATACCGGATGAAAGAGGCAATGAGCACTCGCCACGATGTGAACACTATGCATCACTCAGCAATGTTGCCCCTTTCCTCGCCGGCTCGCCCTGTAATAGACACATTGCCTTGCACTAACGCACTCCAAGTTTTAGCGTGAACGCCCGAAATCTATGTGAGCCAAGTGACTTTAGCCCTTAGGGCAATAAGCCTAGGTACGAGGATATCCGTTGATCATTCCTTTTTCTGATGTGACAGCCGTGATTGAGACTGGTGCGACGGCATGATTACCCAACAGCAGCGGTGCGCTCGTTCTGTCTCACCGGGTCTGCATCCGACCTCCGTGATCACCGATCAGGCAAACGTTTCCATGCCTCCATTGAAGTTGTTTTTGACATAGTAGGCGTTTCTGAAAAGCAAAAACCGAACAGGTCAGAATTGGATATTTCCGGAGCTCGAATCAATTTCAAGGGGCGCAAACGTAGGGGGGAAGGGACAGCAAGTAAGGGATGGGATGGGCGGTGGCCATACCGACACATGTCCTCAAACTGGTGGTAGGAGCTCCCAGACGGTCTCCCTTGCCAGACGGCATAGCTGCCATCAGTAAAATAGGCCGTTGACATGAATCTGTCCATGTGAAACCACGACCCGACGACTTTTTTGACTCGGTTGGTGAACCGTCGCCACCATGACCGGAGACCCATGGCAAGAGTGAGTGGTACCGTTTACCTGCGGTGGCGCTGGACAGGAGACAGAGTGATTCTGAGGAAAAATCAAAGGGGATTTCAGAGGGTCTCTTTTGGATGATGGTCATGGGAGTTGAATGAACTGTTGGGGCTGCCTTCCAACAACTCGTAGTAATTAAGGTCACTACAGCGGCCTTTTTCCCGTTAAGAATGTGACTAGAGACAAGCATCTTGCATGTCTGCAGAGGACACTCGCCCCGTTTCTGCTTCCCAGTTCCATATGCACTGCAGCCTGAGCCTAACCCGAGATTCCACTGGGAACGCACCGCGGGCCACCTAGCTCGTTTCAAGCCCACTCGGCATCATCCTCTGGTCCCCAGGTCTCCCATTGGCTTCTCTGAGTCACGGCTCTTGGGCGATAGTAGGACTCCGTGTCTCTGTACAGCTGGGAATCCCGCTGCAATAGCGGTCGGAGATGTGTCTCGATGAGATGTTGTGGCGACGCCGTCAATCGTCTCTCTAGAGAGGACAAAAAAGCATTCAGCTAACAGCTCCTGGGCCTCGCAATGTGGGGTTCTTACTGCTACCACCGAAGAAGTTTCTGATCTTTTCCCATAGCTTCGAGAATATCGGCTCTCCAGCAAAGATGGCGTTGATGATGGCAACGACCAGAGCTGCGACCTCAAGGACCATCTTGCCGGTGGTTCTTCTTACGTTGTCAGGTCGCCGAGGTCAATCCGATTTGTCTTGGTTGTGATGGAAGTAGCAAAAGAAGGACCGTTGTTGTTTGAAGGATCGGGACAGAGTGTACTACTGTGAGTAAGCATTATGTTGTCCTAGAGGTGAGGGGTTGAAGCACTCTTGTGGTATACACAGCATTCGTATTTTGCCCTGAGCAATATGCACGGTCGCCTTGACAGCTTGCATTCTCGGCAGGCCGTGGGAGCTGAGGCTACCGCTCGTTGGGCACGAAGGTCAAGATACTCGTGCTTTCCATCTAATGGAACACGCTTCACTTGTCTTATTAGGCGGTCCAATGGGCGGCCTTCAGACCTTCTTTTTTAACGCCGATTTCCTGCCTGTAGCCGATTGGATAGATTGTGACCGCTCCACACTTGGAACGGTGGTGAGAGTTGACGGCCAGACCAATTCGAAGTCATCTTGTTTGCCTTCGACGCAATATCTCATCCATATGCTCCAGGTCAAGTTAAAATACTGGGCAATGCCCGTAAAAACATGCCTGTCACAGGTAATGTCATGTTAATACACACCCAGACTGGTTCTCGACTTAGGACCTTGAAGGACTCACCACCAACCATGACCTTCCAACAGTATCCCCCAAGGCAGGCCAAACTGACGGCGCCACTGCCGTAAAGTAGTGCAGAAAATGTTGTCCAAGTTCCAGATCAGAAACGCAAAAGCAATGGAGCCCATACCAACGGGGATCATCCTCCTCCAGATCGTCCTCAGAATGTCCAGATCTCGACGATCTCTCCTCGCCTGCTCAGCCTTATCCCGGGCAGGAACAAAATCAGGGCGCTTGTTACGACGCGATGGCCGAAGAGTCACTTCCATCCCCCAGAGGCTCCGGAAGAAGACGACGGCCGTCAGCAGAGCAAATGCATTCTGATGGAACAGCGGATCCTTGATATAGTAATAATAGCCCGTGATGAAAACCGCAATGAACGTGGTGAACAGCCCGGTGAACACCGCACTCGTCACCGACTTCCGGTGCGCGAAGATAGCATAGAACATGATGCACGTGGTGTAAACCATGGACAATTCATCAAGAAGCTGCATTTCATCTTTGTCACAAGAACAATCAGCTTTGCGTCCAACCCCACTCCGAGAGCAGAAGAGGACTGGGACGAACACTTGAGAGTCGCGTGGAACAAGAAGCTCCCGAGGCCGATAACCAAATAGCTGATGAAGCCAATGAGAAACACCCAGTCATGCCCGTTTCGAATACAGCTGGCAATCCCTCGATACGCCAGGTAGACAAATGCGAGGTTGGTGAACGAGTTCATGATTTCAGCGGCATATGGTGTAGCGTAATAATCCTGGCAAGTCGCAGGTGCTGTTAGTCAGCGTGCCGGCCATGCACACCCTCGGTAGAGGTACGAGATTTGCTGGGCTTCAGGCCACGTACCTCCTCGCACCAGTTCAGGGTCGATGTCACAGGACCCCAATATCCATCACGGGGTGGTGGGTAAGGATATGAAGGCAGTGATACCCCCATTTTTGCGACGTTGAGTCCCGTTGAGATATTTCAGTTGTCAGAGTCAGTGAGCTTTCGGACCTGGCGGACGAGATCAGACGTTGGAACGTGGAACATGGGAGCCTTGACTTGCCCCTGAGAACTTGAGAAGTGGAGAGTTGCCAGGGCTTGGCACTCTCTATTCCGAACAGTCATCATCTTTGCGGACAATGTTTCGACGACAGAGCTATCTTACAACTACGATAAATACCTGCATATCTAACAAGAATTTCAGATTGACTACGACACCTCAAAGGTTACCAAGGAGAGATACAATCGTCTAAGGTCGCGTCTGCCGCTTCGTTGCTACATAAAGCCCATATCTACCACATGGAATTCGAGACGCCGACGCTGTAGTCCAAAATACTGGGGTAACATCAAGCTCGCCTCGGAGCAGGGTACCCTGCCTGTCCATGTGCTTGACTAGGGGGGCCACCAAACCGTATACCCATATCTGGGGACCAAACTCCACCAGCTGCCACAGTCCCACCAGCGACTCCAAGAGGAACGGGGGCATTCGACGGCATAACTCCGGCAGGCACGCCGGTCGGATTCCTCGTTGGAACCGGTGCGGTGATGGCTTCTTGGTTCTGCTCAGGAGCATGGCGGCCGGCGCTTTGAGAGGGCACGCTTTCACGCTGCTGGCTCCGGAGTTCTCGCCGCGTCTCTTGAAGATTCAACCTGCCCATGTCCTGACCTGCAAGATCTGATTCCATTTGACTTGCTTCGACTCTTCTTTCGGAGACTTGAGTCTTGCAGCTCTCTCGAAACCGCGTAACATGACCGGCCAAGTCGTTATAGAACTTCCTTCCCGTCTCCAAATTATTGACTAATTCCTTGTATTTCGAATATCCATTCTCCAATGCTTGCAGCGCCTTTTGTCGATCTTTCGTACTGGTGTCCCCTTGGCGAGCATCCAAGAATCCCTTATTTGCCTCCCTTAGCCTAGCAATGATTTGGTCTTGGTCTTCTTGCTCCGTAATCAACGCTTCGCGATCTGTCTCATACGCTTCCAACCTCTTCTCAAACAAGTTTTCAAACTGACCCGGTTCGATCTTTTGCATTGGATATTCCCGCTCCAGACGTGCAGCTTCAGTGAGTAATGCCGGGCCGATATCGTCAGATTTTGCTTTCTCCCGGAGTGCTGTAATCCTGTTCTTGCGCTTTGTTTCCATTCGAGACACTCCGTTAAGGCAAGTCCGCAACTGGGAAGCAGCTTGTTCTATTGCTGGTGTCATGGCAACCTGACTCGAGGATGGGACAAAACGCTCCAGATCTCGGTTGGTTCCGGTTAGGACGCGAAGAATATGTTCATTCTCTCGCATCTTGCTTTGAACAAGACTATCACTAGATCCGGCTGAATTGAGGTATGTTTGCAGATCTTTAGAGGTTTGGTATAGCTTAGCAAGGGAGGTTGTTGAAGCTGGCCTAGCCCATCGATCAGTCCCATACTTCCCTCGTGCCCGTTCATCTTCAGCTCGTTCGGCATCGAGTAATGAAACACCCTCTTGATAGATGGCGAGATCATTGGTGCGGACTTTGGTAGTGTCCTCTAAAGCTCTTTTCAAACGATAAAGGGCATCTTGTTGACGAAGCTCTTCTGCTTTCGACACTAGACTAGGTGGGAGACCTAGTGGCTTCTCTAATGCTTGTAGTGAGCCAGGCAGATCAAGTGACTGAAGTATCTCCCGAAGTTTGGCCGTCATGGTATCAAGGTCCACAATGATTGATTGATTGACAAGGCGGTCTCTTCTATCGGCATAGATCGAGGCTGCCTGATGAACTGCATAGGGAACGAGTTTCTCAAAGAGTGGTTTCCCGAATGGTTGGCCATCCCCAAGTAGGGACAACCCGTCGACTACATTCGCTGGCGTTCTCGCCTTGACCATATTGGTACGTTCCAGAATTTTGAGTTCCGCTTTGGGCGGTAGCGCTTGTAAGTATATCATGTCGTTGTCCTTCTCTGCTCTCTTAAGCTCTTCGGTAATTCTGGATTTCAGTCCCTTCAGATCTCCGAGGACTGTGGCGTTTATCCAGCGAGCCTCCTGAAGACCTTCGTTCACACAAATGAGACTATCCTTCAATCGCGCAATCTCCTCACCATACTGCTTGTTGGTTAGACAAAACCTAGATTGTCGGAATTGAGCAGCAGCAGCGAAATGGTGATGCTTGGCTTGGAAGTGATGAATCCATTCGGTACTGATTGTACGAGACTGGCGTGCAGCGTCCGCCGCAGATATGTAGAAATCCGAAGCACTCGCAGCAAGCCTTGCAACAGTACCGTCTGACATGCCTTTCTTGATGATCATTTGCCAAAAGCATTCCTGGGCCTGTGCTAGGCACAACTGTTGTAGACTCTGGAGTGTGATATCGTCCATATCTTCCGGTGGAGAAGAGCGCATATCCGGGAGTACTTCCGTCCGCATGAATGCAAATATACCTGCTGCCGCAGCACCATGTTCAGCCGCAGTCTTGAGCCCATCTACCGTCGTCCTATTGGTGCCAAATGCAAGCTGGGAATATAATGCCCCAAGATTGAACAGGATATTGGCCAACTCAAATCTGACGTTATTCTGCAGTATGGGCTTGTCTTTGTCATAGCCCAAGGCAGGGTACCAGGGAAAGTCCACACCAATATCTATAGGGAATTTTCCACCGATGTATCGCAGCTGTGCCGCATATGCGGTCAGTTTCTGGATTCCACTGACGTGCGTTTCTTGCACATGGATGGCATCGTTCCGGAGGTTGTTGATGTGCCATAAATCATCGGCGAACATCTCTGGAGATTGGTCATATTTGCTTGAGATATACTGCTTGATAGCGAAGGAGAGGTCTACGGAATGGGTACGACGAAAGGGAACCTCGAGGAGATTTCTAGTGCGGTCAGAACACGCATAAAGAAGCAACTGGGGGCTTTATTCAACTCACGAAGCCATTGTTTCGACCGGAGTTTGGTACAAGCGCGCCAGGACAGATCAAGCCACAAGGCGATGGGTTGGCATTGTAGCCTGCGCAAAAGTTGGGATGATTGCGGGCAGGTCCAGGATCAACAAAAAGGCACGCAGCCTCGCGTGACGTCAGTACTAGCCAAAGGCTTTTGTCGTCCACGTGATCTCGACATCGATCTCAGCCTTGTGTCCCGCCGACCTTCCTGTTAAGAATAGTTGATTCCAGGAAGCATCCTAGCGGGGATCTACACCACCAGGTACTGTATTAGTGGCCGCGATAAGTTAATAAGTGACCGGATATTTCGAAAGCTAAGCCAGGCAATGGAAATAGATTCACCGGGCCGGCGCTCTACGACTGGCGGACTTCTCCACGATAGGCTCTCGATCGAGACCCCACGCTGTTGATCGCATATGGATTCATCAAGTACCAGGCGCCGGTCAATGTGGGTTTTCCAGGTCTTCCACTCCTTCATCTACTTTCTCTATCTTCTCAGCAAGAACCAAATAGAGAGCATCTTCCTGAGACAGCGCTGCAGTAGGTAAACTTTGAAACCCAAGGCCGGCGGAAAAATCCATTTCGAATCTCCCCCACCCCATCGTACATAGCACACGTTCACTTTCCACCTTTCCAAAATCAAACCGGTACTGAACATGTCCCCATCCGCGATCGCCGACCTGCTCCCAAGCACGGGACCATTGACATCAAAATCCATCCAAGCAGAGAAGGAACATCACGAACATGGGATGCAAGACAAGAGCCCGCTCGCCGCGATCTCGCACGGCGACGTGATGTTAGCCGGCGTGCCGAAGTTCACATCCATGGAACTCAAGCGACAGTGGCAACTGGAGCACATGGCGGCGGCATTCCGGCACTGGGCGCGAGAAGGGTACGTGGAGGGCATCTCGGGCCACATCAGTGTGCGGGACCCGGAGACGCACGACGTGTTCTGGACGAACCCTCTGGGCAAGCACTTTGGACTGCTGAAAGCCAGCGACATGATCGCGGTGAACATGGAAGGCAAAGTCGTGGGCGGAAACCGCACTCGGCCACCCAACGCCGCGGGCTTCCTGATCCACAGTGAAGTGCACAAGGCGCGGCCTGACGTCGTCGCCGTCTGCCACGCACACACTGTCTACGGCAAGGCGTGGAGCGTGTTCGGCAAGCCGCTCGAAATGCTGACGCAGGACGCCTGCAAGTTCCACAACGCACACTCGGTATACAACTCGTATGGCGGCGTTGTGCTGGCGAGCGCAGAGGGTGAACTCATCGCCAAGGCTCTGGGCCCAACCAACAAGGCCTGCATCCTGCAAAACCACGGCTTGATCACCGTAGGCAGCACCGTCGACGAGGCCGCGTTCCTCTTCCTCAGCCTCGAGCACGCATGCCAGACCCAACTGCTTGCCGAGGCCGCAAGTCAAGGAGGGAAGATCCCCAAGGTCCTGATCACAGATGAAGAGGCCGAGTACACTTTCCGCATGGAAAGCGATTCCGAGACCTGCTACGCCGAGTTCCAGGCCTACTACGACTGGGAGGACTATCACTGCAAAGGTGACTTCAAGAATTAAAAGAAGCATGCGAGGGCCTTTATTTTTGGTTTCTTTCGATTTTCCCCAAATCCGAGGTCCAGCTCAACATCGTTGGGCATGTTGGGCAATAGAAAGCCAGTTTCAACTGCATGATGCACCAATTTTAATTGCACCATGTTTTAGTTTCCGCTGATTACTGCTGGAAAGCCTTCTTGTGCAAAAACTATAGACTATGTGCGTAGCCACTCATTTTCTCATTGAAAGGGCATGAAAGAGTCAGCTACGCGAAGGAACAGGGCAGGGGGCCTTGCACGCCGTGATTTGGGCAAAGGCGACAATGCCTTAGGCTGGCTGGTACATGAACAAATGGTCAAAGCACGTTATTGCACCAAGGAATAAGTGAACCCCATCTGAACATGTGTTGGCTCTTTTAAGCCCGTAGGGCTGTGTGTTCTTCTGGTGAAACCCGTGTCCTGGTTGTCTGATTGAAATGAGCTCTATTTGCACCGGCGCATATGTGGCAGTGTAGACCGGTCTCTCCCAGGGGGCACGCAACCAACCTCAGAGTAAACGATGGAACTCACTGGTCCGGACACATTCATTGTGCATTAGGTCCATCCGTGAGACCGACTGTGCTCAACCCCCTACCAACTCCTTTGCCCACGAACAAGACGAGAATCCCACACAGTTGTGGCTCGGTGAGTATTTGCTCCCGAAACCTAGAAATGCAATCACGCGACGAAAGCATCTAAGCCTGCTGTCATTGCCATCATCACATCAATCTCCCTCTCCTGGCCTCTGGTCCTGCTGTCCGTCCTGATCCCGATCCTGCTGCTCCTCCCGCTGGTGGCGCTCCCGCTCACCACCGCCACCGTCACCGCCATTGCCAGCATCACCGTCACCCCAGCCCCTCAGCGTCCAAGTGATAGCACAGGACACCAAGATCCACCTCGACAAAAAACTGCACAATGCGGCCCTCCACATGAAAACGCGCTCCCACGCCGGACGCTTCATGAATCCAGCAGCAAAGAGAGTGGTGGCGAGAAGCAGGGGTGATGACGCTTGGCATGCTGTGAGTAGGAACCGCTGCAGGTTCGGGTGGGCGCGCTCAAACGCCGTGACATATTCGTCTTTGGGGTTGGTTCTTCGGCGCGGTGGCATTGCAAATGTCTTATCCAAGGTGGTGTGGAATGGATGTGTGAAGAGTGCTGAAGGAGTTCAATCAGTTTCGGTTGTGGTTGATATAATAAGGCAGTGAAACAAGTGAGTGAGTGGCCTTGTCAGGTGATACAGGCATAGGCCGATTAACCCTGATCAACTGGGGGTTGGGACGTTCCGCTCCAACTGGTGTCAGGTACCTGCGGAAAGAGGGGCAGTGGTGCTCAGTGACCGCGCTGGATGTGTAAGTTCTTCCGGCTTTGATAATAACGACCGCCTCAGTCTTCAGCAAGGCTGGTTCCTCGTGCCGAACAGCTTGCCGAGCGGCACTCGACCCCTGCCAAGACCCAGACGACCTCGAGACTTCAATCCGTTGAGATGCGAATTAGAATGGAAGAGGCAGAGGTGCAGGTTTTAATGATGGCAGTGCACGAGGGTCGTTGGTTGGATCGTCACTTCATCGATGGACGGCACCTGGGACCGGATCAGGCCGAACCTCTTTGACGTCAAGTTCTTGGCCTGAGAGAATACGGCTAACCTAGGTCGCGTTTGTTCCTTGGGAATCGAGGGGGCTGGCTAATGAACAAGTCTGGATATTTATGGATGTCGCACTTCAAGTTTGTAACGGATCTTTGCAGCAAGGGCCGAGTCTGATATGATGAAAGAGAGGCAAAGGCGCGGCACGCGAGCAGAGATGAGGCCGAACTTGGAAGGCGATGCGCTTATGTCAGCAATATCCCCAATCCAATTCCATGCCGTCTATGTATGTCACTTGCACACAACAGATAAATTCAAACAACCCTAGCGATTGACATATTTATAAGTGTTCGTCTCCGTAACACCTAGTCCCAAATTGCAGTTCAATCCACTTCAACGGGAGGTAATCCTACCAGGATCTGTTATCTATCCCACCCAAACCAAAGGTCATATATGATATAGCGAGCGTTAGTATTGACACCATCGAGGTCCAGCCGGGCGCAATCCCAATCAGGACTATTTTTTAACTTTACCATCCAAACCCTTCCTCCATAAAGTCCAGATTGAAGCCTTCGTTAAGCATCAACCGTGAAACTCGTCGTACTTCGTCTGCCAACCCACCCCCAGCACAGACACTAATCCCCATACAGCCTACCTTTGTGAGTGCCTCACTGCGCACCAAATCCTCGACATTGGGTCTGCCTCGTGACATGCGGACTGTCTCACTTGGGCTTGTGATAGATTGACTGAGGCCGGCTTGAGTCACATAAGCCAGGATCCGCAAAATGTCACGTCTGCCTTCCACGCCGAGAATTTCGTGCATCCAAGGTCGAATCCAGTCGATGCAATCTGTGGTCGGAACAACCCACACAAGCGTAACTCTCTTCGCCGCCGCCGTTCCTTGACAGTGGTTTTCGACAAGCTGTTTAACATAACCAATCTGATGTGTAATGCCAACGCCACTGGCAAAAAGGACAACCGTGCCATAACTGGCCAGGGATCGTTGTGTCCCATAAGGTCCCTCCACGAACGCATTGACAGTGAGCGTTGCGTCAGGCTTGACTGCGTGGTCAAAGAGCCTCCGCGTAAGACCCGAGTGTGATTTCACTATAAGTGAAATGGTTTGATCCCCAGGAATTTCAGCTTCGACGTCGCGATTGAGTGTCGCCGAAGTCTTTTCAGAGGATTGTATTCTAACGGAGGCCGACCTGTCCAGTGCTTGTTCAACACCACTCCATGCAACTGAAAAGGGATGAGCCGTCCATAGACCAACCGATGGAATGGTCAAGTAGAGTGACTGTCCTGGTCTGTAGGTCCATGGGCGTGCAACCTTGAGCGAGATCTTCACAGCGCCCCCTTGCAATGATTCGATCCTGGCCTTGCATCCACCTCGACCAGCGCTTCGCCATAATAGCGTGACAAGCCTCCAACCCCTTGCGATGGCCCAGAGGCAGATTGCCGTCATAAGCATGTGCAGTTGCCAATGTCCATCCAAATGTAGCCACAGGAAGATCATGGTCAGGAGCACCAGCGCAAAGTGGGCGTGAAGGAAAAATTCATATGCAAGGCTCCTGAATATCTTGGGGCTCAGGATGAGAAGAATCGTCATGGCAACAGCAGCGATCAAGCCATTGTAGATAAAAGGATTTGGCACCGAGCTCCGGACTCCATCCCACCCTTGTGAACGAACCTTGCCAACCAGCCAACACAAAGCGTGAAGAATGGCTTGCAGGGCAGACAGTCGACCAAACCAGCGATGCATAAGGTTGAAAGTATCATATGATATATCCAGGAGCCAGATTAGCGGGTTTTTTGCCGTCGCAAGTAACATGATAGGAACCATATTTGCAACGGCCAGAGTACCCGAGCGATCCCGGAGGATAGCTAAGGTGTCCTTCTCAGGCCCAGCCCATGGTATGTTCCAGGTGCAGGCGAAAATATTGGTAGCAACGATAAGGAAGAGAAAGGCGGCCTGTAGTCGGGTCGGTAGAGTACCAAGCCTAATGTGCTTGGAAAATTTGAGCTCTCTGGCTCGGCGGTAGTTGAGAAGAGGCGCATAGAGGATGTTGGTCTTCGTCCAGCGCATATACGGCGAGCTCATGGAGAAATATCGAAGGGCTCCTTTATTGTCGGTCATTGATGCAAGCCTTCGGAGATGGGCATTGGTCCTGTTGGCCGTGACGTAGACAAAAGCCACACCGACGACTCCAAGTAAGCTGTACAAGTATATCGGCCCAATAGATTCATCTATCTGGTGGCCCAGTATTTGAGCAGGACTGAGTCGGTATGGCGACGAGCCGGTAACACTGGAGGAAAACAATGCAACAGATATAACCACCACATTGAGGAAGTAGATCAAAATCATTTTTCGCCTGGTTCTGTGGAAGTGATGGGTACCAGACCAAATAAGATAGGGGCCAATGAGTCAAACACACCCACAAAGGGAACGCCAAATGTGTTCCAATCGCAAAAGAGGGAGCTGTAGCTGGGTTAACAAAAGGTGAAAGAAGTCGGTTCAGGTTGGAGAGGTGAAGGCCTTGATATGACTCTGGATATTTCGTGACGAAGTGCAACTGAGGAGGTCTTTGTTTGCGACGGAATCAAGATTGGCCCCTCTCTCGTCTAAGAGTGAAGATGACAACTTCACGAATTATCCCAGCCGATGCAAAGCTGGGACTCTAGAGTTTACCGTACCAGGCATGGCAAAGGTAACTTCCTCATACGAGCAGACCCGACTTCTTTATCATGGGGGAAGGAGCTAGCCAGGAAGCCACGCGTTCCACAAGTCCGAGTAGATTTGGGCATGTTGAAGTTCAACACTGTCACTATGAAAAGCTCCGCAGGGCGTCACAGATGACAGGACCATGGGAGACCTTACCTGGGATGGTGAAAGGGACGACTTCTGGACACGGCCGTCGGCTGTACGGGTACCGACTGGACGAGGTATTGTGATGCCATCCACGCCAGGTTGATGATTATGGACAGATAGAGGCGGTTACTCCATAGAAGAATTGATGATAAGACTGCCAATATTTCAAGCTCCGCAAGGCTCTGCAGGTGCCGCGTGGTATGGCATTAGTATAGACAGACAGCCATCCACATGCAGGTGAGGACAAGAATCGACCTGCCAATGGTCCATCCATGTCGTTCGGACTGGTCGTGGGCACTTGGAAGCTGGAAGGGAACAGCGATCTCAGGGCTGCCGTCCATTGGCTTGCTTCAACCGCTTCATTGGCTGGGACTGTCGCAGTTCGGAAAAGAATGATTTGAGTGGAAAGGCCAAGCGGAAAGCAAAAGCCGTGCAGATGGAATGCAACCAGGCGATTGGCATACTAGAGCCTTGGTCTGCACCTCATCGTTTTTCTCCAATCCGTCTGGCTTTGGACCTGAGGATTTCTGTTTAGGCCAGAAAACAAGGATGGACTTCCAGAGTCCCAAGAGCCGGACTAAACCATTTCAAGTCATGAAACGAGCGTCTCAACATCGTCCCTGGTGAGTAGCTAGGCAGTGAGTCCTGCAACGCGCACGGGCCATTGTGGCTGTAGCCTCGTTGCACGTGCAGGAGGATTGCGTTTCCGCCCCGTTGCGAATCCGAGATAATAGTCATCCCCGAAACTCCCAACTACCGAATCGGTCAAGGGGACTCCTTGGCTCCTTGATCGGCGCCTCTGCGACCGGCATTCCACAACTTATCCAGCCGTGTCCCGTGGGATGTCAAGACTTTTCCACGAGCGCGGGTCACGATAGCATGCTTTCTGCAAGGGTCGTGCAACGTAACCCACATAGCCAAGCGCGACTTTTACGAATCACTAACGAGCCGCCCAATGCCTATACTGCTATCGGTACGGAACTCTCCATGCCCACGTAATATCACACTAATAAGCTGAGCTCGTCTGTAGACTCTTTATCGTGATAGAGCTTGAGTCTACGGCCGCCGCGAGAACCCAAGTTGAAGTCCGTGCTTGCGTCTGAATTCCCTTCCATACCTGACTTCGGCACTTTCAATCTTGGCTTCTTATATTCGAAGTCGTCATCTCTGTGTAGCTCAAAGTCATACCGAGAGCTCTTACGCTTGAACGTGTGGTCTGTGTCTTTCGTGCCTTCGCTTTTGGGCACGGGCGCATTCTTGCTCGCAGCACAACTTTCACATGCGATTTTCAGCCGATTGATTTGGGTGGCCGGGAGCACGCCTAGTGCCTTCCTTGGGGTCCTTTCAACCCATTCTCGTACATCTTCGTCCCATCGATACCCGGTCGACACCTTGCGTTGTTGCAGATCGGGTAGGCTGGCGTCGTTATGGACGGAGCAGCTATTGCGGTTCCGCGCTTTCTCTTCAATGGCGGAGGCCCAAGTCCGAAAGAACGTATGAATTTCAGGTTTATCAGTGGCATAGTCCGTGGCGTAGTCCATGGCTGCCTCGGAGCAGACCCTTGCAAGGAGCGCCTGGAGCCTCTCCTTTTCCGTGCACTTTTCTTTTTCGCACTTTATTGCCATCCTTGAAATTACCTCCATAAGCGTCTTCGGATGAAGTGATGCGTGCAGCAACGTGGATATCAGAAGCGCTTCTATCTGCTTCTCCGCATCACTGTCACACCCAGACAACAGCTCTTCAAAACATTCCTGCAAAGAGTTCTCAAGGGGTTTCCCAGCCAATAGACCTAGAACCATGTTGATGAAGAAGATCTGAGCTATGACAAGCTTCTGGCCCTGTGGTATAGCCTGAATCACATGCAATGCGATGAACACCTGCACTTGTGTGCAAATCTTCTCCAGCAGATGACTAGTTCCCTTCAGTTGGAAAGAGAAGAACAGTCTAGAGATCAACTTGAGTCTTTTTTCTAGCTCTGCTGTAAGCTGCTCACAACACGTCCCTTCGCAGCCAATATGGGTTGTTGTCTGTGCATCATGATTCTTATGACGCAGGTGCTCCTGTGAAGCTCGACAATTGCCCAAAAGTGCACAGGAGTAGGTGGTCTCAATGAGATCGTCTGCAGCAACCTGCTCCAGTTTGACGGAAATCGTGACGGCCTTGGTCAGTACATCGTATCTGAGAAGCCGAGAAATCAGGGGTACGGGTTTGAATTCCTGTCGCATTGCTTGGGTAAGCCACCTGAACTGCATCAACTGCCGCCAACGGTCCCCCTCATCGAATGCGTATGATTGGAAGGCATGAATGGCGGATCCACCCTCTAGAGCAGGAGATGTGTTGTAACTATTCGCATCCACCCTCACCAGGACTTCAGTGATCGCTTCTCCAAAATCTGCGAGGAGAGGATTGTCGAAAGCACGGATCGCGAGAGCACTAGCGTGGTCCTTGGGAAATGCGCCCGATTCGATTAAACGTGATACCATGGCTATGCCGCAGTTTCGAGTCACAGTCCTCAGTGAGGGCCAGCCTCTTTTGGAATCCCCAAAATAGTCTTGGAGAGCTTCCAGCTCAGAGTCAACAACGTCGCACTGGCCCTCATATCCATCATGCTTGGCGTCGCTCTGCTTTTGTTCCTCGATCATATTTTGAGATACCTTAACCAAGCACATTGACACTAATGATTTCGCCCCTCGCTCGTCTGCCTTCGCTTCTTCAGTTCTTGACCCTTTCCATTGAGCGGGCAGCTTGGGATCGGATGTTGCGACTAGAAAGGAAGTGATGACGGTGTTACCATTCCGAAGGATACCTGCACGACTCGTAGCCAAAGACGTTCTTTCCTTCGTACGCGCGTCAGAGTCAGTGCTCGGGTCTTGCCTTTGAGGATTTCGAGGATTCAGGACATTCTTCCTCCCTGTGTGACCGCGGTTTAAAGCATTCCCCACGGATGTGTCTGCGGGCGTCTTAAGCAAGATAGCGTCGGAAAGCTGTGTATATGCATTAGGGGTTCGCTGTATCGATCGGACAAGTGGACGGCGTTGAGCGGCCGGAGTTTCAGGCACGATTTTCTGGCGTGAGGCATAACTCTTCATCGTCTTTCCATGCCGTCTGCCGGTAGGGTTTGACAGCCACGCCAGCGGCTCATCTCCACTCTTGGTTGTAGATTCTGCATCTGCATCCCCATTCTTCTCGTCTTTTCCAACTTCATTTTGTGTTTGGAGAGCCAGGTAGTCCTTGTGCCATTTCTCAAGTCGCTTCACGAACGAATTGAGCTGTCGTAATGTTCGGTTGCATCGTGAAGCAGTCCATGGTGCTGCGGCAGGTCGCGGGGGCAGGTGGTTCTCGTATTCAACATTTCGAGGCATTTGCCACAGTAGTATGCGCATTCAAGGGGAATTATTAACCAGGAGTAGGAAGAATTGAGAGGACTGAGTGGAAAAGGAATTCTGTTGATGGGTTTCCATTTTGGGCGGAGTGGCGGCAGAGAATTTACGGCGGAACATATGATCCATTCACGCAGCCTTTCAATTACGTATGCGGCACCCTAAATCGAAGCTGGTGGACGCCTCGTAGCATCACTTGATTATCCAAGCAGTTCTCCAAGCAGTCTCCAAGTATTTGTATCATGATCATTTTCGATCCAGCTTGTAAGTCGCAGTGTCGGGTATATATTGGTATCTGGTATCATAAGAGAGACAACGAAACAAGCGTACAGGTCCAAGTAGAAATAATATGTCAACCTCTTACTCACGTTCCACGGGGGAGGCCTTCAAGAACTGAGCAGCCTTGCGGAGACTCACCTCTTGCAACGACTTCGAATAGAGGTAGTGAGACATGTGGTCGTTCAGGTCTTCATAGGTAGAGTAGCCGAAGTAGCGGCACATATTGATTGCCCGCACCATGAACCACCCTTCCTCCGCTACGCCCTCAGCGGACCAGATTCCGGTAAACATGGCCCAGAGGACGAATCCGGCTTGTGTGTCCTGGAACGTAGGCAGACGCTTGTCGGGGTCACAGGGCTGACACTCAAATGTCCACCCGATTGAGGGGCACCAGTACTCCAGCGCTGCGCGGCTCGATTCTTTCAGGCGCTGTACATTTAATCGAGCGGTTTGGAATCCGATCATGGTGCAGGCGTGTGTCATCAGGATCATCAGGCACATTCTCGCATTTTCCGTACATTTACTGTATAAATCGATGGGCCCCGTGGTGTTTTCTGGTGCGAGGACCAGGAGCGCGCGGAGCACTGCTCGTGCTTTTCTGCACAGCCACTCTGCGTCAAAGCAAACCGCCAACGGAGAAAGCCAGACCACCTTCGCGATCTCAATACAATCAACGAGGTCAGACACCACGTTGGCAAGCTTGCCGGAGAATGCACCGATTTTCAAAGCGAGGCTGAATCGATAGCCCATCCTTGGGTCGAGCGTCGCGGCAAGGTCGGCAACTGCGTCATTCAGCCCTTGGGGCGCCTTGGGCACCAGCATTCTCGTCGGAGATGGACATTCAAAAGCCAACAGTCTTCGCGCTTCTCGTTTCAATATCCCCATCCGTTCTGGTAACATTGGCCCGGGGTCAAACTCGTACGGTAGAACCGGACGCCTGCCTGTTGATAAAGCTAGCTGATTATCCACATGGGCAGCGGTCTCTGATATCCACCGGTCAAGGTATTCATTCATGTTCAGTAATTGATAGAGCTTGCCGACGATTTGTAGATGTCTCCTTGCATCATCGAAATACCCATATTGTATTTCATTCACCACCAAGTAAAGCAGGTCCAGGATGGTTTGCTTATCCACAATGCCTGATCTTGCACATGCTACCAATTCCTTTCGGAGGTGGTGCATTGCAATGTCGCGAATCTGTTTGGGATCTGAGAAGGGACTATTCGCGAAGAAAACGTGCTTCATTCGGGCGGTCGTCGCGGCCATTAAGGAGTAAAGGTGGTGTTCTTTGTATACACTTCGCTGAACAACGGCTCTGATGGGAAATCGTGGCATTGTAGCCCCTAGATGCTGCGGTAAGTGCGCCAACTTGTAGTTGTTGCCCGAGTAGGTATACACCTTCAGCAAATACTCAAGGACAGTGTGTACTTGGCTGGTGATTTGAACAGGTGTCGTGGCGAACGGATCGACGCAATCATAAGCTGTAAAATTTGCACTGTATACAGGCTCGCTGAGGATGAGGCTTTCGCCATCATCGACGGGTTCTGACTCAATACTGAGGTTATCCGGCTCCACATCTGCAAGTTCGTCCGCCTCACGTGGAGGGCTTAGGGATGATGATTGAGCACTCGAGACCACTTCTGGCGTCGTAACCATAACATTCAGGGAGACATGTTGACCGATTGTCTGATCTGGTGGTGATTCGCCGCACGTATTTTCTATGGACGATGATCCAGGTGAATCTCCATCACTACTTGAACTATGAAGATGGTCAAGTCAGACTCGGCACACTTGGGAAGCCAAAACGGTTTGGACGACTCACTTATTGACAGCGGTTTCTTTGCGATGCCATCCATCTAGCGCGATCCGGCGCGCAGATGAACTGTTCGTTCGAGCAGATGACAACCTTTGGGTTTCGACTTTCTTACTGCGCACCTGTTGGGCGTGTCGGTTGATGGATCTCGCTATGGCACCATCGCTCTTGGACAGTGACTTGGACTTTTGAGTCTTGTTAACGAAAAGGAAGACCTGGCTGTCATTGCCATCAGGTCGAGCCTTCTTCATCGTCTCCCATCAAAGAAGGCTGTTAGGGGCGACTGCACGAGGCTAGGGTCATGTAAGTGCTGTACCCGCAGAACCGCCGGGTAGAGCCTAGAATCCCAAAGCCACGTCTAGGAAAGCAGATAAGGCAGCTTCCAAGCATACAATGAACGGCGAAGCGATCAGAATGTGTTTCGCTTTGTTTGCCGTGATGATCGGGTATTGTTATTTGAGGTAGGCAGGTGAGATTTGGGTTCCAGTTTGAGGTTTCAGTAGTGGAAGGGCTCTCAGGCAGTCTGGCACTTTCCGATCGCCTAAGCTTGTTCAGTCACGTCAGAGCTGCACGCTATAACATTAATTACCTGGGAGCAGCCCCAGTTAGGATCGGCTGAGTCGTGGAAAAACCTCCGGGTGTTGGCTGGGTTTGGCCCTTAGGCGAGCAGGGGCAAAGTCGACGGTCGATTCTAAAGCCGGACACCCATGGGGTGATCCAGAAACTGCACAGTGATGACCAATCAACATAGGCTTCCCTTCAACTGTGCAATCCTAGAACTTGGTAGGGGAGAACGGGGTTGTTTAGTCTCTCGACTTTTTGTATTCCTCGTAGGGAAGAAGCTACTCAAAATGCGGTGAAGAAGCCAATAGGTTGGCAGCGCATGTCCTGGGCATGGTTCCAATAATGGGCACCAGCCGATACGACGGAGAGCTGACGCAGGTGCTGACTACATATATCTTACTCTTGTGTGGGGTGCGTGCTCATCTCGTTTCTCTACAGCCGTAATAATGCGTACAGCCGCCTCGATTGTGATCCAAATTGAGGGCTACCTGCATTGCCTTGGAATACTGAACAAGTCTACTTCAGGTAAGGACGAACCTGCAACTTGTTACTCTATCACGAGGCATTGTTTGCGAGGCATTCTATGTACCTTGTACGGCAAAAGTTATATCGCACACCACTCGATTGGGAAGTTGCTGTACCGGGGGCTCTCGAGAGTCAATGGGATCAAAATCTCTTCATGCATTATTGCGGACCATGCTCATTGTGCTTGGGGAAGCGGCCGCCACTGAGGGTCACCCGTTTCAGCCCACTGGTCTTTGGAGATGACTATTGTATCCAGAGATGAAGAGGGACGAATACACTTTCGATTGGACACATTTGTTACTATGACCGTAGAACGCCTTCTGATCTCACTCCTACCATGAACTCCAACGAACCAGTCCATATTGAACGCCAGGCTGAGTGCTGGTTGGCGGGATCTCTAGGAGCAGGGATGGCGTAGCAAATACTATGCCGACATATTGCATTCTCCTCGCTGGAACGAGGTGTCGGTCGGGTCCTGGTACAGAGCCTCGACTCGCGTCTTCTTTGCGGACTGTTTAATTTTTCAATACGGCACAACCTGGCGTGGTGTGATGCTACGGATTTTTCAGGCAACGAGTCGATACCAACATTGGTGCGGTACAGTACTCATCAGCAAAGCACTTCAGCCCTGGTGAACGGTGGGGTTAAAGGCAGCCCTCGATGCCCTACAAATGGTCAGTAATAAAGTAGACCTCCTGGCCGATTGGAACTTTTTGGGTAGAGAATTCAATACCTCAACCCAGGGCCCAGCAGCATCCAGTTCCAGACTGACTACCCAGGTGGGTGCCACCGAATCGAATGCCTGCTGAGTAACACACGATCTGCCATGTCAACCCTGCACGGTCTCCCAATGCAGGGGCTTGGCCCGACTTGGTAGTCGGCTGGCAGTCTTCAATTGGGCCGTTAGCTTGCGCCGGGAAAGCTTCGTGCTGGAATTGAACTTCGTTGGGGAAAGAGAACGGAGTCGATACCAGACTTGGTTGTGATGTTCGCTTCCAGCCGATGAGGATTATGATGGCCAGCGAGCTACCCTATTTAGACAGTCGCCACTTTGGAAAGGGTTCAAGGGCCACGGGCCGAGACTAGTTATCACGTTGTCAGGGTTCCTAGATATTTGTAGCCTCTAAGCCTCATTCTGTTTCTTTACCTAGTAGTATTGCAAATGTATGTGTTGGCCTAAGTACTATGGACGAGTTCTCATACGAGAGGTACACTTGCCCCATCCGTTCAATTTCTAGTTGTAGATATCACATCACTATTCATTGTTATCTTCCAAGCCGGAATGTCCGCCCAGAAAGAAAAACCCACTGGCAAATTGACTAAGACTACAGAAGTACCTACTCGTAGTCATTTGTTTCTTCAAGTTGTACTTTGAATCATTGTTCTCCAAACCACCAAAACGCCTTGAGCTGATAATTCACTTCTTTCCGGTCATAAATGTTGATACTGGTCAGAGCATCTGCTCACTTGAATTCTTCTACGGGGAGACTGGTGCAAAGTTCTTCCACGGCGGCCACTGCATACTTCTGGTCAGGTCTGACGTCGAGAAGTGCAGGTTCTTCGGTGCTTACTGGGGAGCAATCTTGGCTGTCGACGCTGAGTGCTGGAGTGCAAGTCTCACTATCAATGCCGAGTACTGGGGTGGACATCTTAGCTGCTGGTAGAGTTGCGTGCACATCACGGACAGGGGAAGACGAAGCTTCGACACTCGGGGCTTCGACAGTACGTTCAGGGTCGTAAACCCATTCCAACACTGAATGACACTTGGGATCGTGGGTTGCTTTCAACTCGCCTTGTCGGAAACTCTTGAATTTGAGATTGGGTACGACGCTGTGGAAAAGATCTTGGAACTCATCCAGTTCTCGGACCTTACCCTTCATTAGACTGTACATAACGTTGTCCAATCGTCGGGTTGCAACTTCAGCGTAGATGGGTGCAGTCCCGATCTTTGGCATAACATACTCGATGGCAATGACACGAGCACCAGGTCGGAGAACCGGTAGCAGAGCCTTAATGATGCGACGGGCGCCTTGGTCACACCAATTATGGAAGACCATGCGGAATAAATAGAGGTCCGCAATCACTGGTTGGGGTTCCAAGAATGAGTGTGCCTGGAACGTGATAGAATCATGGGGAAAGCTGGGATCCTTGGATGCGACAGCAATTGCAGAGCTGACAACCTTGGGGAGGTCCTGGACAATGCATCGAACTCCAGGTGATTTGCGGACGATAGCTGTGGCGACCGAGCCGAATGAGCCTCCACACTGGCACACAATTAGTAGACCCTCGTTGGCTGTCGAGACCATGCACTCACATCGATCAGAGTCTTGCCCTTCATGGAGTCCCAATCATAGCATTCTTGAATAGCTTCATCACCAGATTGTGCTGCCTGGGCGCGCATGTGGGCCGCAAAGCGTCGACCTTGGTCAGGATTTGACTCGAGATACTCGAAGAGTGGAGCACCTCGTGCGAGACTGAACCCATCGACTCTCTCTTGCTCGTCGTTAGGATCTCGGGTGCAGACTTCACCGAGATGGAATGAGGAAGAAGGCAGATGATTCAGCATGACCTCCATGCCGTTTGCCATCATGGGATCAAGTTGCCAGATGGACGAATTTGGACTGTGAGCCACCTCACCATTCGCGGTTTCTCTCAAATAATTGGAGCAAACTGCTGCATTGCGGATCAAATGCTTGAGACGGTCCTGCGACACTCCAACTTTGGCAGATAGATCGGCATAAGATATTGAACCTTCTAATGGTATGGACCGGGGCACTTCCAGTTGGCATAGCGCCTGAACAACACCGGCTTCTGCGCTCTGATGACCACGTTAGAGACAACCACACTGTCAATAAGAGATGGGAAGGCTCACCCGGTAATACAAACTCTGCATAGCATCCTTGGGACCGAGGACGAGCTGTTCCAGTTGTCTTAGACTGGCGATGAGTTGATTTCGTGCTTGTTCCCCAGCGAGGTTTAATTTTGGAGCTGTTGTTCGGTTCTTGCTAGCCCACGATGATAGACCGTGTACCTCATTGTCGTGCCAGGCTTTGCTCAAGAGCTGTGACTGGATACTCACTGAAAGAGCGAGAGATTCGATTCGACACATTTTGATTGGTGCTTGAAGGGGCTTGGTGACGAAGACCGATGTCAGACGATAATGGTGCTCAACACGAGGAAGGGGGAGTGAGGCCTTTAAATAGAGGGTATGGATATATTTCTGAGTCTCGGACCAGCCATGCCCAGAAGTGGTTCCCAATAGCTTTCGCTTTCCTACGAGTAGGTGCTATCCTTTGATACACGACCGTAAAACTCAAGGCTCGCGCATGAAAGACCCGCACCTAGTGGAGATGCAGGCGTATCACAGTTCTGCTGAGTGCGATGACAAGATCTGCATCTTGGTTCCAAGTCACTAATGGTCCACCCGTGCGATTTGAACCAAAGTCCAACTGGTCACCCCTGTCCTATGGCTGCCTCAAGCAGATCCGGAAGGACACCCACAGAAATGTGTGGCATGTATGGCGTATTCCGCTCGCGCATTTCGGGGACAGGTTGCAAACGTGCTCGGCCTGGAGGCTGAATGCTGTTTGTTTGGGCTTTGAAAGTGGAAAAGACCACCATCCTTGCGCCAACCGTGGTGAGTGTTACTCAAAGCTGAAAGGGTGTAATAAAGACACTCGAAAGTCAATCACCTCATGCTTCATTCTTAAGCAAGGTTAATCCTGTGAAACGTTTGTTCATGTTTTTTACTAGCGCCTGGATAAACATACGCGTTCTCCGGAATGGGCTTATCCGCGAACATTCGCCCTGTGGGGACAAGTTTCAATAGGACATTGTCGGTTTGAAAGCCTGTCCAGGTCGTCATGATGTGCTGAACAGGCTATATTCGGAGTCGTACGGGGTTCAAGACCTGCCGACGATGACATGTTGAGTCTGAGGGCAAAGGTCTCCCTCAAACACACCTTCCCAAAGGTCAATTAAACCACCTTCTTGCCCTCTTTTCTTTGATGCTCAACACGCGATGTTAATTCGTGATTTCTCAAAGTGCTCCAAACTCGGTACAAACACTGTTTGTCCACAATCCAACCAGTTAGGCTAGGATCCCCTAGTGGACACTGATGGCACTGATGGGTTCAACCGGCGGAGTGGACAGACAAGATGTTCCTGGGGCTGAGACTTGGCTCTGTTTGCCCAGGCGAACAATTGATGGAGCTCGTCTATGGCAAGGGGCCCTGGTAATTAAAGCCTAAAAGTCTCATCTCCTCGACGCTAAAACTCCAGATATGCTTTTTGAGCCAATTCGGTTCACTTAATTAGCATCTGGGGAAGCTGACCTGTTTAGATCGCGTACTGACCACGTGTCTTAATTGTAGAAGCTCAATGTGGTGGGGGAACGCGTTCCTTGGGCACTCGATTGTATGATTTAAGTCACAACAGGACAGGGGACTTTGGGTCAACAGGCCACAGCCCCTTTAGCCCCAAATCTACCTGATTTTCGTTTGGATATCTCGGCGGGCTTCCACCCCAGGTGTGATGATTGGAGCTCCAATTTGGATGACGCAAACTTCAGGGCCGATTCGTGATAGCTTGGTTGGACAAGCCAAGGCCCAAGATGCCTTGGGGCAGCTCTCGACTTGGGCGCCGGGAAGAGTGCTGCAACGGATCTATGAGGACTCGAGGAGACAGACACTAGGGTAGGGAAAAACTGACCTGTCTGACATTGGCGCGCGTCACGATTGCGTTTCCAACGTCTTGATCTCTGGGCAGGCATAGATACGAAAATAATAGCGGTTCGCCAAGTTGCACTCCAGCTCAAAATAGCGTGGTTGAAAGGACGAGAAGTCCGAAGGTTTGAGGAGGAAAGGATATTTGAATTGTTCAGTGGCTAGGCACGAATACAACATTTATCAGGGCCTCAAAACCTCCTCCCTTGGGAGCGTGTTGGTTCATGCAACTCCACCTCGGCATCTCTCTTTCCATCATTCCCTCTCTCCCTCCCTGCCTTGCAGCTTGTATGTTCGGAACCTCTTCAAGAATGGAAAGATTGCAATCCAAACACCGGTTCAGCAAAAGAGAATCATTCCGATCGTTCAAATAAGTACGTGACGAAGTCGTGGGACCGTATAGCAGCAAATGGTGCCACGGCATGAGTGGCACCGTAGTGTGAGAGGTTTAGTTGCCACCGAATGTGTTCTCTCCAGAGTATCTATTCATTTGTCAGCATGTGATTCACGTGGCGGCTAGCGGTGGAGAGGAACGTACGTGATGTAGAGGAAACCATCTTCGTCCTTGTGCTCGTCATAAATGCTGCTCATGAGGGCAGCGGTGGGAGGGAGGACTTCATCAACGAAGATGAAGATTGCCTTTTCGGGGCTAAGCTTGATACGCTTGCGAATAACATAGACGAATTGGCCGACGGTGAGATCTGCGGGGACGAGGTACTTCTTCTTATCGATGGTAGCAATATCAGACTTCTCTACCTTCTCGCAGATGACCTGTTAAGACAGTCAGTACTTGCGAAGACCTTGGGAGGAAACGGGGCGGGGAGGAATCCTTACAGGAATGCGGTCGGCATACTTCTGGCGAATGCGTTCGGCTTCTGCCTTGCGCTTCTCGAAGGGGTGTTCGTCCTTGAATTTGGAACGCATGATGGCTATGTTTGATGCAAATGAAATGGAGAGAGGGATCTGATGGAATTTGTCGGGCGCAGTTGGTTATCGCAGATCTATCCAGGTGCGTTGGGTGGATGAATGATGAATAGGATGGCTGGTTGGTCGGTGAGTGGGAGATGAGGTTCGCAACGCAACAGGCAGGGCAGGCAGGGCAGTATGTACGAGGTCCAGAGGGAGGCGGCGCAGCAGGGATGGCACCCAGAGTGCAAGTGCTCGGAAAAAGTAGTGCCAGGCGTCGCAGTCTCGGGGCAGGAAGAACGTTGTGACGTGCCCCGCGTTCGGCCTGCTGGGTGCCTATTTACAAAGCTGAACCCGTGACTCGCAGAGTCAAAGGCGGCAAGATCTTTCGTCACCGCTGGGAGAATATAGTGTCACGGGACCAGGTCAGTGAGGCAGGTCAAGCCACTCGATATCTCTTCCTAGTTCCTACTGCCAGCACCGAGGTTTACAACCACCTGGACTGGATTGCAGTGGCAGTAATGATAACGGGCACGAGGCCTCCATCCATGGTTGTGCGTGTTATAAATACCCAGACAATGACTCACGTCATCCAGTTCAGGAACAATCACAGCAGCCTATCTCACCATCTTGGAGTTTGGTATTTTCTCTGGCGGCTTTGTTTGACTCAGAAGCGGTGCAGTCATTGTCATACCGAGTCAACATCTAATTGACCCCCACTCGGCATTGCATTCTACAAACCAAGCCTAGTTGTTGCGCGAATCGACAATGCCGAGCTCAATTGGTGAATTAAAGAAGCTGCAATGATGGTCTGTTCTCTGCACCGTGGTAGTTGTGCTGGCACGTGTTGCGTCACTCGTGTGGTGTGAGCCGTCGCGTGCTAGTGGGGAACATTAAATATCCGACGCCGCATCCAAAATCCAACTGCTGCAGCTCGATGCTCTGCTCACCAGTCTTTTTTATCGAATTTGCAATGTACTGTGTCAACACCACCATGGCTGCAGATATCTCATTAGGTTACAACTAGGGTAATCCTGACTAGTAATACCACTGCTCATATAAATTCACATTCATTTTCCTCAGGCGGGGGAGAACCCGTCTCTTTTGTGCCATGTCCTTCCAAGCATCAGCAACAAGCTCACGACGAGTTATCCGTACATCCACCTCCAAGTCAAACGTATATAGTCGATCTCGCTCGCTTCCATCACGCTCGTTCTTCTCTTCTACATCTTGTAGAGCTTCAACGTTCAGTCCTCTCCCCCGCAGCCAACAGTCAAGATCACGTCCATACCTCTACCTGTTTGGCGGAACCCTCTCCGTTGGCACCTGTATCTACAATATGAGCAATGGCAGTATTGTGTCAAACGACGCACCCGTTCAGGCGGTGTCCTTGGCCGAAGTCGATCAATTTACCAAAAGCAAGTCCAATATCACACGAAAGTCGCCCATGCGATTGAGGATGGAGGCTCTGATTCTCGAGCATCAAAACCGCATCGTCTTTGCTCTAGAGAACATTGATGGCAATAAATTCCGTCGAGACGAATGGACACGGCCGCATGGAGGTGGCGGCGTGTCCTGTGTCCTTCAGAACTCGAATGTCTTTGAGAAAGCAGGTGTCAACACGAGCATTGTATATGGTGAGCTACCACGGTCAGCTATCGAAAAAATGCGAGCAGACCACAAGTCACTTGTTGGATCGGACGTGGAAAAACTCAACTTCTTCGCGGCGGGCATTTCCCTGGTGCTCCACCCCCATAATCCCATGGCACCCACCGTCCACCTCAATTATCGGTACTTCGAAACGTCCGATCCGAGGGATCCAGTCAACGCTACGGGCTCTGCGACTCAAAACTGGTGGTTTGGTGGGGGAACAGATCTAACGCCTTGTTACTTATTCGAGGAAGACGCTCAACATTTCCATAAGACGCTCAAGGCGGCCTGCGACAAACATGACAAAGAATACTATCCCCGTTTCAAGCAATGGTGTGATAAGTATTTCTACATCCCACATAGAAAGGAATGTCGAGGGATCGGCGGCATCTTCTTCGATGATCTTGATACTTCAGCACAGCCAAACTCCAAAAACCCCCAGGAGGATCTCTTTCAATTCGTTGTGAGCGGACTGGAGTCATTTCTTCCTTCATATCTCCCCATCGTCAAGAAGAGGAAAGACATGCCGTATTTACCCAAGCACAAAGAGTGGCAACAGATCCGTCGGGGCAGGTATGTCGAATTCAATTTAATCGAGGATCGAGGAACTAGTTTTGGCCTCCGGACACCCAGCGCCAGGGTAGAAAGCATCCTGATGAGTTTACCACTCACCGCTCGATGGGAGTATATGCACCCCGTATGCGGTACCGGTGTCGCAGAGGACGCCGAGGGTGATGCCGACCCTGATGTGGAAAAGGAAAAGGAAATGATGAAGGTGCTCAAAACCCCCAAAGAATGGGTCTAAAAGTTCTTACTGCTTGACGCCACTAATTCCAGATCGAGTCCGTGAATTCAATGAACTCTTCGAACTCCAACATCCAAGGTCGCGACCATGTCCATGATGAGGTGAAACGCATCCAGAAGTGCTGTTTCCAGTTGCACGACTCACTGTGCGCAGCTCCAGATGCAGTGAGACTCGACCTGCGAAAAGTTTGGTCTCGTATTCGGCTTTTAAAACAAAGACCGCCATATGACCGGTGCGTACGTGGTAGTGTATGATCATGTACACCATCCATAATGATATCAATTACAAATGCTTTGTGCGTGCACTCAGCCGTGCCTTCACGAGATCGAGCGATGAGGTTGTTAGCCGGTTTTCGCATCTTTTTGCAGAGGGAACCAAATCTAGATTAGAGCTACAGAAGTGTCTTGCGACATTTACCGATATCGATTTTAACGGTCTCCGTGGAACCATGGTGGTTGTGAGACGAACCGATCGGGTCCCTCGTGTCAGCTCACGGGGGTATTTTAGGCGGAGGCTGACGCGAGAGGCTCCCAGGCTTCCGCAACTAAGCTTTCCTTTACCCCACGAGCCCTTCAATGAGTGCCGGGCGTTAAATCGACCTCTTAGAATCCCACGTCCTGCGCTATCTGTGGACGCGCCCCATCCATTTCAAATGATCCATCTTTCAAAGATGGGCTTGACGCGGAGTCGGTCACCGCAGAACAAGCCACTAGCATGAAGTGAGCGTCTTGTAGTTGATTGCAACATTGTCTTTCTCAGCTCTCTAAAAAGCACGCGACATCAGTTGAGCCCATGATCTCCAGCAGGCTCTAGGAGAATACGTCGGTGAAGGAGACCTCAGCCGCTTCGAAGGTTGTGCTTGAACTTGCCCTGTCGCCCAGTCTTTACGCAAATCAGGACGTGTCTGACAGCGGCATGCCCTGTGAGTTCCGCTGGCAGTGCTTGAACCAAATCCAATCACCATCCCGAAGCCCATCAGAAGGAGTAAGCCTTCCAATGTCTTACCGCCTTCGATCAAAGCTAATGGGGGGGAAGATGCCTGGAACGTATTAGTCCAACTAGGCATCGCATATCTTTTTGTGGCCATTGCAAGGCTTCCCACTATGAATGCACTTTTGTCCGAGCCCGGTGAGGCGCCTGGGCCCGCTGCTGCTGCACGCGATGGTACCAAGGTACTTTGGTTCGACATCACAGGTCAACAGGGGACTCACCAGACTTAATGGTTACTTTCTGCGGCTGTGATCATTGGCCCCGTACTTGAAGCTGTGGCCGAAAATACTCGATCCCTTATTCCATCTGCTTTTCACGGCTCATCGGCCGCACAACTCACCTCCGCCCTCTCAATGTGACTCTCTGTAGGCCGGGCAGTTTGGCTCTTCCATTATCGTATCTCTGACAAAGCCCATGTATGAAAATAGCGGAGATTCAAGCCTCGGTGCTTGACACATGTCAGCATTACGTTTTTTTTTGGCTCACTATGGGCCATGGCACATATAATGCTCCCCAAGCCCCTGAAGTCACCCAAGCTTCGAGAAGTCTCGCACTTTTCCTTGACTATTTCATTACACTCTTCACACGCTGAAACATGAGGCAGAGGTTGATCACGACCCTGCTGGGCGCGGCATTCGCCCAGGGCGCCTTAGCCGGTCTTGGTAAATGGCTTGATGTGGGTTGCTGGTCGGTCTGCTGATGAACATTGTCTAATTGTCAAAAGGGTGGTGACTGTCCATGGGGTGATAAGACGGCCTCACAAACTCATCCAAGCGATTATCCTGATACTGGTTAGTGGTGATTCTCTCGTATAGCTCATCAAGCTGATACCAAATCCAGGTGTCACCAGGCACTATGATTTTACCGTGTCCCGTGCAACACTGGCACCGGATGGTGTTCAACAGTCCATGATCGTTGTCAATGGTCAATATCCTGGTCCTTTGATCGAGGCAAATTGGGGTGACTGGTAGGTTCTCTCCATCGAAATGCTTGACTTCGCAAACTAAGAATGCTGCTTCAGGATTGAAGTAAATGTTCACAACGAGATCCATGGGCCAGACGACCTAACTCTTATGCATTGGCATGGCGTGAACCAGCCTGGGACTCAATATTACGACGGTGTATCCAGTATATCGCAATGTCCCATTGTTCCAGGCGGCAACTTCACCTATAAATTTCGTGCGGACGAGCACGGAAGCTCTTGGTATCATACCCATTATTCCGCTCAATACTCTGCAGGAGCAGTTGGCCCGATTGTGATTCATGGGCCCAATGATGTCAACTATGATGAGGATCTTGGACCAATATTAGTCTCAGACTGGTATCACGATACCTATGAGCATATCGTTGACCTCGTTCTTCAGCCAACTAACGGGCCGCCTTTCCGACCACTTTCCGATTCGAATCTTGTCGGAGGAAAGGGCCAATATCCCTGTGCCAATGTTACAAGTGGTGCCGCATGCACAGTAAACCCATATGCGTCGTGGGAGGTTGAGCCAGGCAAGACCTACCGTGCTCGTTTTGTCAATACCGGAGCAACTGCGTTTGAAACTATCTCACTTGATGGCCACACTTTCACAGTCATTGCAAACGACTTTGTCCCAGTACAGCCATATCAAACCGACTTCGTAACAATCGGCGTCGGACAGCGAACGGATGTGATCTTCACCGCCAATGCAGGATCAGGCTCATTTTGGCTACGTGCCTTTAACAGCCCCTGCGGAGACACAAATGGTCCCGACGGCCGAGGAATCATCTACTACAAGGGAGCGGATCCATCTGTGCCTCCTACAAGCCAGGGGCAGCAAGGGACTCCCAATCCCATTTGTGGCAATGATGCCCTCTCGCAGACAATTCCGCAATATGCTATCCCGGCCGCAGAGCCAGATACGACAATCACCCTCACCATTGGTGGCGCACCGGACTCACAAGGAATTTTCCGCTGGTCGTTCAACGGCATCTCTTTCCAAGGTGATTTGGATTCCCCTGCTCTATTCGATGCGGTTGCAGGGGTCGATCTTCCCCCCGAGCGAAACGTCTACTTAACTGGGACAAATGAGACGGTGAGATTGATCGTCATCAACACCCTCCCAGCGCCACATCCAATGCACATCCACGGACATGACTTCCAGGTCCTAGCTGAGGGTCAGGGCACATGGGACGGAACCATCGTCAACCCTTCCAACCCACAACGTCGCGATGTTCACATGTCGTGGGCCGGCGCAGACTCTACCAATCCAGCCATCGCGACAAACTACCAGGTTATCCAATACACCCAGGACAACCCAGGCGTCTGGCCATTCCATTGTCACATTGCCTGGCACTTGTCCGCCGGCATGAGTATCTTGCTCCTCGAACGACCAGACGAAGTGCACAAGATCCAGATTCCAGATTCCGTCTCTGGAACCTGCGACGCTTACAAGGCATGGCAAGCAGCCAACCCAGCCGTTCCCGTCGATGATGGCCTGAAGAAGCGTGATCTTGCCAAGAGAATGGTCGACTTCATGAAGGGACATGCTCACGGCGACAAACACCACAAACGCGGATATCGAGGCTTCTCGTTCAGAGACAGAGACACTACCAGTCTCGGTCCCGGCAAGGTCGACGAGAATCTAGTCCACAAGAGAGACGAGGTTTGAGCGGCCACAGCGGCCGAGATAGATAAAGAGTCTTTTTGAGGAGATGATGGTCGTTTTTCTGAGCGGAAAGCGAGAGCATGCACCATGACCACGAAAGGGGTTTTCTTGCGAAGCAAGGCCGCCCTGAGACCGATCTTTGCTTTGACAGGTTGAGAACACCCTGTAGACGTTTGACTAACTCGGGTGTGTTCAATCTACAAACGCAGCCTACAAGTTTCTTTTTTCATCGTTTTCAAATATCCAATACTAAATGTACCTTCAATTACCCCCGAAAGTCCGACGCCTGCTTATTCCTTCCTCGTGTTAGATCTGCATCCATGTCAGAATAGGACTGGCGATGGTGAGCAGGAACGGAGGGGTTATCTAGAACTGGTTTTTCCTGATATACCCGTCTTCTCCGGGTCAGCAAGCTGCACCTACTCCGAGGACAAGACTGCCAACGCTTGCTGTAACGAAGCCCTCCCATGTCTCGGTCCAGGGCAAGTGTATATGTACGTGAGTGCTCGATGCACCCTGAGTCGATGAGTGGAGACCATAGATGGGGAACGATGAAAGAGGGAAAGCACCTGGAGCATGAAGAGTGAGGGATGTGGGGGGAACGTTATATGAATATCTGTGGAGAAGGATACAAACGCCCCTGCACGGATACATTCGCTGTTAAGTGCAAGAGCCACGTACTCCGGCTCCGAGTCCCCAACAAAACAAATAAAGACTCAGACTTTTTTCTTTCCACCCTGAGCCAACTTCAGCCTTGCGACCAGGACAAATCCCGCGGAGGCAAGAGCTACGCCCCCAGCATAAAAGATAGCTGGGCGATAGGGAGCAATAGATGTGCCATATGTCGGTTGATGGGCACCAGGATCTGAACCGACAGCTTTGCCCACGCCTGAGGCTTCAAGTAGGTACCCGGCAATAGGCACACCCATGAGGTAGCCACCGGTCCAGCCCGTGGAGCCCATCCCCATCGCTACCGCCTGACCGGTGACGTCACCACGGCCGATAGCTGTCGCAGTACTCGCCACGACTACAGGGTAGAGAGTGAAGAACGCACCATTTGCGAGTCCATTGAGCAGGGCAAAGACCAGCAGCGGCGCAAATGAGTTGGAAACAGGCCAAATAGCAAGCATGCTGACCGCATTGAGAACCATGGCCAGCAGGAACATGTTCACAGGTCCCGTGTAGTCACTGAGCCAGCCAGACATGAAGCGGCCGATCGCAGTGCACGCGTTGAAGCCTGCGACCAACCATGCACCGGTGGTGGAACTCAAGCCTACAGATTGTGCCACCAGTGGGAGACAGTACGGCGGCACGAACATGCAGAAAACTCCAATTGCGCCGGCGAGAAATATGGCCGTGAATGACAGGTGTCGAAACATCGACAAGTCGAGAAATGGAGCTTGCCTGATGGGGACCCGCTCACGGATAACGCAGGCAGCTGGAATTCCCGTGGCGAGGATACATAGACCCAGTATGCGCAGGGTCCACTCTATCCCAACGCCGTTGATCATAGCATCGATCGCAATGGAGAGGATTGCAGCACCTATCCCGCCTCCGAGCTTGACAATGCCGGAAGCGAGGCCAATCCTGGCCACGAAATAATGGGTTGGGAGAATGTTAGAAACCGAATAGCAGAGACAAGCCCCGAGTCCGACTATCGCGCCAGCGCAACCGAACATGCCACCGAGATTCGTCGTCGTGAAACTCGAGCTGAATTCTCCGATGGCGATGAAGATTACGCCCACAAGCGCGGTTGTACGTGCGCCCACCAGCCGAGCCATGGTGACCCCGAACAGACTAAATGCCACGATACATGCTAGAGCCAGTCCCGCGATGAAGGACGCTGTTGACGTTGAGGTGGTCACGAGTTTTGACTGTAAGAGCGCTACCTGGAGAACACCCCACGACCCCAGAAGGCCATTGAACCAAAATGTCATGATTGCACAGCTGGTGATGACTGCCCAGCCGTAACCACCTTCAGGTGCCGCGGTGGTGACATTTCGCGGCGGCGCCGATTCGTCTAGTGGCGGCGAGGTCAAATCGACAAACGAGCGTGAGGTATCTGCCTGATCATCATGGCTAACTATTGAATGCCATGAGTTTGCGGTACCGGTTGAACGCAGAAATGTGTGGAATTCAACCTCGGTCGTGGTTGCCATTGTTGGACGGCCCGGCAACTTTTGGCTTTGCCCAAGCTGTTCCCTCTCCAGGGGGTTTCCAAAGCCTTTAATAAACAATGCTATGCGTTAATGAGTCAAAGGGCGTGCATGGTCTTGCACAAAACCGCACGTCATTGACCGTTTCTTGTTCATCGAGAAGTGTTTGCAGCGTTTGTGTAGCGTGAATCGGATTTGACCGCAGCCAATAGTGGGTGGCAGGTGCGATGAGGAGAGTTTGTGAGCGGGTACATTTCCGAGGGGCCAATTCCGTGGCCTGCTTAGGGCCGCGTCCCTGCCTAAGCTACAGAGCTTCGGGGGAGAATGCCGTTCACCCCTGCGCCTCCGAAGCGAGCCGGCGGCGGCGCCATGCAGTGCGACCAACCTGAAAGGGATCTAGGAACCACGATGCGCAGGTGAACACAAGATGATGTAATGTGCCCCCCCGCTATTCAACATTTTCACTCTTGCCTGCCGATTGTATCCAGTGCAATCAAGGATACATATGAGTATCGTAATAATCATCGTTCGCACCCGTGAAGAGGGTTTCCATGGTCGTGTCATCTTCCTCGGAGTGATGCGCCTGCGCAAGCATGGGAAAGCTCAACCTCCTGCTGTCGATCGTGTCCGCAGCCTTCAGAAGTGAGCCAACCGCAGACTCGAGAATGCCGCTGGCGATCTCCAGGAACTCTGCACTCTTGTTCGAGACCCGCAACGTCCAGCGGTATTCCTGGAGCCGGCGCTGGTAGAACTCGGCTTCCTCCTGGCTGACTGAGGTCACGAAACAGAGGCCGGCGAAGGTACCTATGAGGGCGAAATTGAATTTCGATGCGAAATACCAGAATGATTGTAGGTGTTCGGGCTTCAGGCGGTTGAAGAAGTCCATCGCGCTGATCAGGCGGGCTTTTGCTGCTGAGCGGCAGATCTGAATCATGTAAGGGTCGGTGTTGTGGGACAGGGAGCGCAGGACTCGTCGGTGTAGCGTGATCTCGGTGGCAAAGTATGCTAGATGCAGGTATCCGACTGAGCTGAGTTTTCCAACTCGCGTGTTATCCATGCGTAGGGCTTCGGGCATTTCGGAGTACCACGATCGTAGCTTCAGTTGGATCGGTTTGGCTTTCTCCAGTATCATCTTGGTCGAGTCGTACGAATTCTTCACCTCCATCTCTGCCCGTAGCGAGTATAGTGCATCCAGAACGTCAGAAAGCATTTTGGTAAGAGTTATCATGGCGCTGAACAAGGTCCGTCCCTTCTCGACCTCCGCACTACCGTCTTCCTCATCTTCGTCGGCTGCACTTTCCGGGAAATCGCTACTGATGACAGGCTGCACAGCCCAATTGGCGGCTGCGATATGAGGAGGGCGGCCATATATCAGAGCTGACCAGGTATCTTGCATGAACAGTGCCCAAGCTAATCGTTTGCGTAGTCCGCGTTCCCAGGCAGGAACTCGCCAGTTGGAGCAGTCAAGGTGTAACCCAAGATCTTGACCAATCGCCACCAGTTGGGCCGTCAACTGCCACGCCTGATTGCTATTTGGACGTTGCAACAGTAAAAGCCCGGCCTGCACTGTGGACAACTTTGCTCGATGGGATACATCTTGTAATGTCCGGTAGGCAATGTCTTCCAGTTCGGCGACGTCGGGTTTGGTGAGCTTTGCGAGTTCGGCGCTGTACGACCACCAGTTCAATGCCAGGATGTAAACCGCAGCCAGCAATGGAGGCGAGAATTCCCTGTGCGTTCTACTATACTTTTCGAGGTAGACCTTCTTGTGTAAGATGGGAAAACTTGGATGGACGATCCTGAAATAGAGTCTGATTAGAGCTTCGCCGTGAGGAGCAACTATCCGTTCGATGTTGTCGAGCTCCTCAACCTCTCTGAAATGATTAGGCGAGTCGGCATCGGCATACTGGTGGAAGAACTCGTTGGGGCCGACTTTCCGGAATGAACCTTGGTCGGCAGGACTCTCTCCTTTGATGTCATCATAGAGTCGAAGGTCGAGCAGGGCAAAGTCGTGCTCATCGGTAGGGCCTATATATTTTGCATAGCGATGATTTTGCAAACTGGCCATGGTCAGCCGCCCGGGAAGGGTTAGGAAAGGCATGACGGGAATCAAACTACAACGTACCCGAGGGTCTTCTTCAACAAAGATTCACCCTGCAAGTTGGCATAATCATCAATGACGGGGCCAGTACGAATAGGCTCAGTATCCGTAGATTGCGGTCGTGGGGCGTGGCCATTGCCCTCGGAGTCTCTGTTATCTACCTTAGCTTCATGATAGGGAAATGGTTGAGGGGTGTGGGTGGAAAGCCTCACGATCGTCTTTGCCGAGCTAAGGAAGTAGCCGACCCCGTAGTGGCATCTGAAGAAGCAATTGGGTTTGCAGGCCTTCGTCGCCTGGGAGCTGCATCTTCGATGAAAGTACATGCCTGCTTGTGGAATTGGCACATCACACATGTGGAGGTGTCTGGATCGATTTGGCAACGGGTCTTGCGACGACGGCACGAGTCACAAGGCCGATCGTGTCGTACAAGGGGGTTTGAGATAGGCATGGCCACGTCGCCTAGACTGCCTGTCCTACTACCTGGAAGGCCGTCTTGAGTAGGATCGGCTTGGAGAAGACGCGGCATGGTCGAGAGCATTGTTTCTTACGGGGTGTCAACAAGAGGTACCCTTTATTGGCGATAGAGGACCCAGCATTATCAGTGCAGGTCGGATCTGTTTTCGTTGTTTTGCTTTTCTTCGGCGTTGGGGCAATCGTGCAGGACCAGGCGTTTGGATAAGCTCTCGCGGCCTGGTAGGAGGTTTTGAATGCCACGATCAATCTTAAGGACTTATCTGGGCAAATGGTAATAAGGTTGCAAATGGCAGATCTGGGCCGATGCAGTGTTTGATGGAGATGAAACCCCGTTAGGAAAAGTAGGGCCTGAACCCGGTTGAGAGCAGCAATTGATTGAGTAAGAATTTACAGGAATTGGCTGGAGCAGTTGTTAGCTTCTCTTGGTGAAAGATAAGAAGACGCGGGTCTGATTGGCCCCGCGCTCAGTCACGTGCTATCGCGGTGGGATTGTGGGAGAAATGACCAACCGAATGCGTGTTTTTATCAACTAGTCGGCTCCCAATCGATAAAAGCCCGCAAGCCCGTAGGAATACAAATTGAAAATGCCAAACGATTCAATGCTCCTCTATCGCTCTCGAGTCGTTGCTGTTGCGATCAGCTCACGCTCCAGTGCGTGATGATGTGGTGATGCGAAGAACCCACTTCGATTATCGTCCCCTCCCTTGTCTGCGTCATCGCCGACGCTGAAATCTACTGGCGATCTCCAAGACCTCTGAGTCAGTGCACCGAGCTCCGAGAAAGGTTATGCTGAACGGCAGTTGCGGCGCAGCCTCGTCGGCTGGTACGTACGTGCCGCTTGGCACGGCCACCCCACATAAATCCAATACGTTGCCGAAATGTGTAAATGTCCCCATCTTGCTGTTTAGCCGGATCGGGTCTGCCAGCATAGCCTCAATGGTTGGATGTTCGGGTGCGGTCGGTACCACCAGCACATCGATGCCCAATTTATCCGCTGATGCGAATTGAGAGGTCGCGTTGCGGGTGCACAAAGCCTTGGTCTGGAGATCACGGAACAATTGGACTGCCGTACTCTGTCGTGCCACAACCTGTTCGAATAGTTCCAAAATCACCGGATGCAAGTGTTGGCGGTTCTTATCCAAGAAATCGTCCGGTAAGCTCGCAAGCCTCTCTGACACAAAAGTGCCTGCGTACAGCAGATCGCCTGCTTGTTGAAATGGTGTCCAATCAATGGGCGTCAATATCCCACCCAGCTGCTGAAGCTGTTGCACGGCCTCGTTGAAGAGCTTTCTGAACGTTGGAGAGCATATCTCGAGAATCTCCGGAGGAGGGATTCCAAACCGAAACTCACACCTTTGTGAACCAAGTGAATTGACATGCCGTTCAAGGGGGAATGTATCTCTGGAATATCTGTCATTGACGTCAAATGCTTCACACGCCTGCCACAATGTTCGAGCATCAGCCACCGTTCGCGCAGTGAACGCTATGCAGTCGAGTGACAAGCAGGCAGGTGTTACACCTTCGAATGAAATCAGACCCCTCGTTGGTTTGTAGCCTACGACGCCATTGAAGCCAGCTGGCACACGGCCAGACCCGGCTGTGTCGGTTGCTAAAGAGAACGTCGCCTGACAAACTTATTAGCCAAATTTTGTGCATGTTGATGTGACAGAAGATTCTTACCAAACCTGCACCAACGCTTACACAACTTCCACTGCTGCTCCCCCCAGAAATATGCTTGTCACTGAACACGGAATGTGTAACACCATACGGACTCCTGCATCCACTCAGGCCGGTCGCCAATTGATCGAGATTGACCTTACCCAGATAAAGGGCGCCTTGAGATATCACTTTTTGGAAGACGACGGCAGATTTACTGGCAACGTACGCCAATGGGGGACATGCCGTAGTTGTTTCGATTCCCTGAACATCAATCGAGTCTTTGACTGTGAAAGGGATACCAAAAAGTGGAGGCAAGGAGTTCTTGTCTGGATATTGTTCAAGCAGCTTCCTGGCAGAATCCAGCACCGAGTCTCGAGATTCACGTTTGATCCAAACTGCAGGGTCGATTCTGTCATATTTTTCAATTGTGTCGTACAAGGTGTTGACGAGCTCAATTGGCGAAAGGCCGGTTCTGTAAGATTGCTGGAGCTCTGATATTCCGATCTCACCATCCCACATGGGTGGTGTTTGCGGAGGCGTAGTTTCGCCATTGCTCTCCCTTTTCCAGGGGGCCAACGCATCCAAGACGGGTTGAAGATCTGCCACAAAACCAAACAACCCCTGAGACCAGTAAATCATGTCGAGTGATGCGGTTTTGAATGCTGGGTTGTATCCAGCAGTACTCTGGGCGATCCCACAGCACTCAAAGCCTCGGTCGTTGGCCTCCCGAATCGTCGTAGAAAAACAGCATTCCGTGGTCACTCCAGAAACGAGCAAATGCGTGATGCCGCGAGCTTTCAATTTATGCATAATACCGGTATTCCAGAACGAACCCTTGCCGGGTTTATCGATGACCACTTCAGATGCTCGTGGTTGTAGCTCATCAACAATATCATGACCGTATTCGCCCCTGACCAGTAGACGGCCCATCTCTCCTTTATCGCCGATGACCTTGAGATGCTGGGTATTTTCTGGTGCAGCGGCCTGTCTGATGAGCTTTGACGACGGGCAATCGGCGAGTGAGGGGACCTGACCCTCTCTAGTGTGAAAGATCTGTAAGCCGGCATTTCTACATGCCTCAAGTAAAGATTTTGTTGGTGCAATGGAGGCTTGAACAGCCTCCAGGTTCCCCCCTTGGATCTCTCCAAATCCACCGGCACAAATGAAGTCACGTTGCATGTCAATTACCAGTAAAGCGGTGTGTTGACGAGGGAAAGCGAATGGGTAAGGCTTTGCCTCGATGGTGAGGAAGCCTGATGTTTGTGATGGCATGCTCATTGTGAACTCAGCCAATTTTGAGATCGATGTCCTGAGCCGTTCTTGACAGATTCCGCACAAGAGTTCTGGAGTTGCAGGATGGACTTGTAGGATGCCTGTTTTATAACGACTTAAGGGATGGGGAAGTCTGCGTTTCAATTATGATGGGATCATTTGACCTGGTAGACGGGAAGGATACATTTCGGTCACGTAACTTCATGGACGCTCAACACCGAAGCATTAATCTACGTGGAGGAACATCAACAATGAAGATATATTGCAACCAATCCCATGCCTTAGAATACAGATAGATAAGACCAACGCCACAGAAATCTTTGAGTGGCTAGAAGCAATATTGAATACGAGTAATGTTTCGGCGGCCGGCGGCCCTTGGACATATTTAAGTGACTGGCCGGCGGCGGTATCGTATCACTGGGTAACAGTTGGTCAGAACCGAAGTCCGTATCAATGCAATCGCCCCGTCGGCGAGCCTGCGTCGCCCGGAGGCCGTATCATCAACGCATGAGGCTTTCTCACGGTGTATCTGCCAATTTTCATATCCATCGGCCTCTCGAGTACCCCAGAATCACCTTCCCCAGGTCTTGAATACCAAAGTCTGTGTGATCGACGGCCCTCGGGCCCTTCGACAGGGGGGCGTAGTCCCTATCTCCCTGCTAACTCGTGGCACCCTGGTTTATCTGAGTATCTACAGATGCGTTTTCGTGTATCTGAAAAGATCCCAGCCTTGAGGCTTGAGGTGCTTTACATGTTGTCTAACTTGCCCTATATAGACCATCCACGTTCTCTTGCCTTCAGTTAAGGCTCTCACAACATCGTCCGCTCCCTTTCATTTCGCAGATCTATTCACATTTCCATTACTGAATATATACGATGGTTAACATTTCCGCTGAGCGCTTCTCACCAAAGCGCTTGTCGCCCTCCAATATCAAGGCTAAGATTCAGCCTCACCTCCACTGGAAGGTGCCTATGGAGGAGGGCGTATATAAAGATCCACGATGGTCTAACCCTGATTTGGACCCAGTCAAGCCGGAAGACCGTACCTGGGGTGCTTTGGTAGGCCGTCAACCATTTGTTTCTTGTCATTGCTAACGTATACCTCCGCAGGACTATTGGGTATGCCGATAAAGCCCCTACTTTGACATGTCTAACCGTCTCGACCAGGCTTACTGGACCAGTGATATGCTGGCACCGCCCCTAGCTTCAACGGTATCTTCAGTTATGAGTTTGGGTTTCACAGCCCGTGAAACCATCCCGATTGTGTTTTGTGGGTTCGCAATCTGCTCTGGTGCATTGACCCTCACGGGAAAGATGGGAGCTCGATATTCAATCCCATTTCCAGTCTTGGTCCGCTCGATGTTTGGAATGTACGGCAGCTATCCAGTGATCGTCCTTCGGTAAGTATTGCTCAGCCCACCTTCGGGTTACTGAAGGCACCCTGGCCTGCAGAAGCTGATGACGAGTTCGATGAGTTAGAGCATTCGTGGCTGCCATGTGGACGGCAATTCTGTGCGTGCAGGCAGGTGACTTTCTGAACAACTGTATCACAGCGATTTGGCCAAGTTTCGCGAACTTTCCAAATCACTTGCCCGAAAGTGCTGGTATCACTTCGGCAGGACTTCTTTGTTTCGTAAGTTTGTCTGGGTCCTTCCAGAACAGAAACCTCTAACAGTGGTTCTCTAGTTCATATACTGGATTTTCCAGACCATTCTCGCTCTGATGCCTATCAAGAAACTTCGACTTTTGTTCCTCATCAAGGGTATTGTGGTACCTCCAACTTTCCTAGCATTGTTCCTCTGGGGTGCAATCGTAACCCACGGTGGAGGGCCTCTCGTCACAGGTCAGGCAAAGATCACCTCTTCGTACATGAACACAGCATATTCTGCTCTCACAGCATTGAACGTAATCATCGGTCTTTTCAGCAGCATGGCTGTCAACTTTCCCGATTTTGCCCGATTCTCAAAGAACAATTTGAGTGGTTATAATCAATTCTTTGCCCTTCCAATAATCGGCACATTCGGTGCTTTGACACCCATCTTTGTCACTTCGGCACACAGCTATATCTGGGGAGAATTTGAATGGTATATGCCAGCAGTGATTGCGAAGTTTGATTCCCGAGCCGCCAAGTTTTTCACTGCATTCAGCTTCATGCTGGCTACCATCGGTAACCAGATCGCAGCAGGTATGTCCTTTTCTTGGTCGCATACTTGAGATCTTGCTTGACAAGGCTCTACACACTTTCCACCCTCCACCAACACTTCCACCCCATTTGCACAACTCCTAGGAAGATCATCATATTGACTGGGTGATATCATATTAGGAACGTACCCCTTCTCAAATGATGTATCAGGTCTCTACCCAAAATATCTCAACATCTTCCGAGCAACCTTGATTATTTCTCTCTTCTGTGTAGTCTCGAATCCTTGGCAGATTATCAGAAACGCAAGTGGACTACTTGCATTCCTGTCTGGATACAGCATGTTCATGGGTGCGGTATGCGGAGTCATGTGCTGCCAATATTACCTCATTCTTAAGAAGAAGCTCAACATCCATGAGTTGTACAACGGTCATGGTATTTATCGATACTGGCATGGCATCAACTGGAGGGCATACGCGGCCTTCTTTGTCGCCATTGGTCCATTGCTACCGGGATTCTCCAAGAGTATCGATAACAATCTGGATGTCGGCGGTGCATGGAAAATATACACCTTCTCTTGCATATATGGCTTCACCGTTAGTGGCCTGGTATATTACCTGATTTGCAACTATGTTTCAGACATTGGCCCAGCCAAGATTGATGAGGCTGTATACCCACCAGCTAAGATGCAGAGTTCTGATGTCGAAATTGGTATTCCCGATTCCGAGGATGCGTCCTTCGAGGAGAAAACAGGTGGAGTTGAGGTCAAGGTGGGACCCAAGGATTTGGAAGGCTGAGTAGAGACCATCAATGGGGTCATGTATCTCAGCAATTGTGCTTTGTGGGAACACATCGAGTGTCTGGCACTGATCAACCAGGGTTGACAAGAATGCCGAACCAAATCACTTTGAAACGACATCCCGAAAGAAATTCTCATAGTCGTGCTAGCGAGGGGCGAGGAGTTGGAGCAAGGTTTAATGTGAACGTTTCAAATACCCAATATCAATCGATCCCACACAGAGTCGGTCACTGGCAGGAGGTCCTGATTCATATTCATCTGTAATACTCTTTTTTCTTCTTGGTTGTGGTCTCGTATTCGGAATATGTGGAGCGATCGTCGTCGTCATAACGGTGATGACGATGCCTTCTTGATTCCCGTTGTGGTGGATATGCTTCTTTCCTGTCCTCATATTCATATTGTCTCATTGTTTCTTCGGTATAGGTCCCTCTATCATCTTCGTAGTCATAGTCTCGCAATCGTGGATCACTATGTCGAGGCCCGTGGCCCCCTCTGGACCTGGATCTTGCTCTATAACTCACTCTGGGCTGTTGGATGTAATCATCGTCATCGTCATCGTCATGATGAAGATACCGACCGGCAAGATGCGCCTCGGCACCCGGGCGTTCATGGCGGCTCTCACTCGCATCGTGGTGACTGATCTGGTCTTTGTAAAAGCCCACACTGTGAGATCTCCGGATCTTCCATTCCTCCGGAGGCGATTCATTTCTTCCACGCATGGAGCTTCGAAGTCTCGGCGGCGATGCCATAATCTCTTCAGGAACAATTTCAGGTTCCCTGCCTCGGCGGCGATCGCGTGGACCATCGTCGGTGTCTTCGATGACCTGGACATCATTATAGCTCGCATGACTGATTGCACGGTCCCCGACACGAGCCCTTGACGTATCGTACATAATTACGTCTTCATCTCTTCTATTCCTTGATGGAGGTGGCGCATCGTAGTACCTTGCTCGAGGATCGTAGCCATAGTCTCGATCATCATAGCCTCGCGAGGTCGCCAGGTCAACCACGTAGGTCCCGTCATCTCTTCTTTGGGGCCGGAGAACCTCAAATTCGGACCTTGGGTTGGTGGGAGCAATGACAAGAGTATTTGACCGCTTTACATAGGCCTCTGAATTTCTGTCTCTACCAATTTCATAGGTAGTTTTTGTCCTGCTGGGAACGAGCGCAGATTGAGCCGGCGGGTGATATCCCCGAAGGTCGTCAGCCCGTGCGTTTCTTTCAACTAAAATTCGGTCATCTCGATGGTCACGCGAATAGGATCTATCATGATCGTAGTCATGATCGTAGTCATAATCCCGTCGCGGCCGGCGCAGGGGAGGCTCTCCTTCCACCCGATCCGGAGCACGGCTTCGGCTTGCATAGACCACTTTGTGATAGTTACGATCTTCACCGCGCGTCGACATTCTTACTGAATACTAGTCAGAGGCTTCACAGAGTGATCTCTGATGTCGCATGGTCTTGTTTTCGCAGATTGGTGGTGGCCATGTGGTCAGGTCAGGCTGGTGCTTCGTTGTCGCCCAGCCTTTTAGACGAAACATGTGGGACAAAATTATCTGCACATGCTTTTGCTGAGCTGAGCTGGAACTCCCTCTTGCTGACGTCATCCAAAATGGCCTGACATTGAAAGAACTCTGGACGATGAGCTACCGTTTTGGGTGAGGACCACTCAATCCTATATAATATACAGCCAGGTCAGGGGTATTGTGAAACCACTGTTTGGAACTGCAGGCAAGCATCAACTGTGGGCTAGGCTACCTGTACCATTTCCCAGAATATATTCTCACGTAGGTTCGGAATTTCGGTCACGTGCAACAAACGTCCGGGATTTGAGTTTACCCGTTCCGACCTCATCCTGAACAGAATCTACCTCTACGAAACTTATCGACCTGAATTTGAAGTAGTGGGCGACACTCCATGATCTGCAAACGGTTGAGAAGAGAACAATGATCATTTCTGCATACATACTAGCAGGGTGAGATTATGTCCACCCATGTTGGTAGGCAAGTGTGGTCGTAGGCCTCGCATGCTCACCCTGTTCAACCCCTCATCAATTCGCCTGACATTCTCTCACCACCTCATGTTCCCATGTTCTACTTGTGCTCCGGAAATGTGTACCAAATGTGTACCTGGCGGGCCCTTCAGAACCCTAGGTAAGTAAGTCGTCCGTCATATATCATGGCCTGAAAAGCTCCATTATCTCATTCCACACTGTGGATGCGGTCCTATACACGACGCCGCGGCTATGTGGTGAGATGGTGGGTGACCTTGAATCATGTTTCACTGCAACTGGGATTAAATTCCAAGATGTCTTAGGGCATATCTCCCCGAAAAGTCGGATTGCTACCACCATTGAGGGTTGAAGACCGACCAGGTATATGGTCCAATGCTGATATAGGCGAAGTCTAATGGAGAAAACGTGGACGCGTGGACAAAGTCATCCGAGATTTGAACGCTTCGGTGCATCTTGATCGGAAGAAACAGCATCGTGGGGAAATGGACGCCGAGAACGACACCACATTGAGAGCCCCAAAAAGGAGCAATACAGTGCTCTGCGTATGTTCATCAGGAAGAAGCACACTACTCCTCCCCCCAGCTCTCTCATGAGGATTGTTCCTGCCCCACAAGTCCAATACAGCCCAGTACCACTTGATCCGTCGCAAACAAGCAACATATTTCTACTCAAAATGTCCTCAGACAGTGCAAAATACCGAATCATCAATCTGGATACGGGTGGGGACAAAGGGCAGGTGTATGCGAACCTGCGAGATCAAGCTGTGAGTGTTCTTGGGATGATTACGGATTGAGACTATCCCATTCCGATACAATTCTCTGGGGCGAAACACTCGAGGTGGTTGATGACTCTTCATTGTCAGTCGCGCTCCAAGAATGTACTGCTGGGGGAGAGAACCCCGAGGCTTCCCGCCGTCACACTGGAGGAAGCGACTTGTAAGTTCTCTCAAACTTCCTCAGGTTATACAAAACTAACCATAAGTCGTCTAACAGCAGACTTCTGAGCTAATAGTCTCATGCTGACAGGAGCAGAATGCACAATTTCACCCTGTATTGTCAAAGAAAGGCTGGAGGAAGGGCATAGCTATCCTGAAGATCAGTAGAAGTTAATGTTTTTACTTCTCTTGCTCCTGCTCCTTCCAGAGCGAACTGAGCAGAGAACCAGTGACACCCTTACCGCACCTGCTCCTGAGATCCTCCCTGGAGGCAGCCCCGACGGCTTGTGCAACCACCTGCTATCAGCGCTTCGCTACCATGCCCAAGATAGTACTATAAACTAAATCAAAAGAAAAAATATTTATTAAAAAGAAAAAACGACCACCCCATGCATTCCCTGGATGTGAGACGCATATTTTCGGATTGGTTATTGCCATCGCTTTTTGTTTAAGCATTCGTGAAACAATCCCACAGGGGTATCATTGCTCGTGTATACCGTTTCCCTCGCCAGGCTTCATCTTCGCCACAGCGTTCGCCACTTTGCCCAAGCCAACTTCCATGCCATTACCGACCCGAGTATCTTCCTTGTCAGAGTCACTGTAGCCGACATGGTCTTCACCTTCAGGACCAGTAGTCTTAACGCCCTCATCGTCAGTCTCCTCGGCCCTTTGTATCTCGGTGCTTTTTCTAAGCGGCTCCTTGATGCTCGATGCGCGGCTGATATTCGCGCTGTCAGGAGCACTTTTTCTCAACCCCAGTTCCTTTCCGAGGGTCTGGGCCCCTTCAGCTACCACGGCACCCATGGTCAGTGCGGCTCCTCCAGGCCTACCGCTGGTAACTCCGTCTGCCGGTCGACTTTCTTCATTTCCTTCACCACGCCAATCAGCTGGTGGGTTTTCTGGTACAGTCTCACCTCTAGCTGGTTCAGTAATGACATGCTCTTCGTTTGGAGCATATTTCCAAACAACCTTCAACCGGTCAAGTGCTCTTGTGCCTTTTCTCGCACTCCCTTTGATACCGTCCATTGCATCCCATTCAATGGCAAAGACTCCTGAGTCAAAGCCATCATGTCCGCCCTCAAAGTAGGTATTAAACCAAACATGTGCAAGGGCAGTAACCATTGTAAACCCCGTGTATGAAGCTTTATTTCGTCGTTCAAAGTCGATGTTGATATCACTCGTAGGAAGAATAAGTGGAGTTTTCGGTCTAAGGATGATAGTTTGAGCAGTAGAGGCGCCTGGCAAACTGGTATTCGATGATTGAGGAGTTCCTTCGACGGGACTCACCAGTATTTCATCGTCCTTTCGTACGTGGCTATAGCTAAGTGGTGGCCTTGATGATTCGACCTTGCCTTCTTCGATGACGGTCTTCTCGTCCCTTGTAAAAGTATGAAATTGACGAATGCGGCGACCATGTTCAACGTAGCCTTCCACGGAAACCTTGACGCCGTCTCGAAGACCCCAGACGTGGATTTCAACCACTTCTACTGGTCTTTCAACATACTTCTTGCCCATACTGTTGGCCCATCGATCGACGTAACCTACCCAACGAAGTTGGCTGGGAATGCTCACACCGTTTCCAAATCCTGCTCGCATACGCCGAGTGGTAAAGCGTTCAAGGGCGTCCTCCTTCTTCCAGCCCTCCTCACTTATCAGATAGGAGCATGCGGTAGTACCGCTGCGACCTTTTCCAGCCTTGCAATGTACAACAGCAACCCTGTTCTTCTTATTCTCTCCAACAGCGTTTGGGTCATCGAGACGTTGAATCCAATTTCGCATGGCTGCCATCAGATTTGGAATCATGCCAAAGGGTGGGGGATGGTGATCAGGCCAAGGGAAGTGGTGTATTCTGTTGTAGACCTCAGAGTCAGGATAACCTGTTCCTTCAGCACGGAATTCGAATATTGACCACTCCTCTCCATGTTTTTTATCTAGGAATTTGACGAGTTGGTCCGTAGGGTTTCGGTAGGCTTTCTTTGGCCACACTGAGCTAGGTCCAGAGGTAACAACAACTATTGAGTAATTAACACAGGCTACGCGAGCAGTTTGGAATAGAGCGTACTATAATCAGTCATGTAGCATAGATCCAAGCCAGCCTCTGGATGTCTGGCTCGAGGGCCTGCGACAATCTGCCGCAGTATCGAAGCCTACTCGAGTTAGTCGCTTTGCTGGCGTTTTGAGCCAAGAGGATTTACCATATCTGCGTCCGTGAATGAGTTTTGTATTATTGTAATTTCATTGCTTTTAATGAGGTGGCTTCTGTACGGGGTACTTTAGTACTACATGAATTCAGTCGAGCGCCGATGAAATCTGCGGAAGTCGCGTTCAGATCGCGATGACGTCAGGCCGTACCCCCTTATCCCACCAGCACCTCAGCCTTGTCAGCCCCCACTAACTAGATCCTTCCTACCAACTTGCTATGACCTATGATAATTAGGGGAGATCCAATATATATACTTGTTATCCGTTGCACTCAATATTTCAATCAATAGACACGTAGTCTGTGACAGAATCCCTGATGAAGAGGCTGAGACGCAACTTCCCATTAAGGATGGATTTAAAGTGAGCGCGATGTCTTAGCTATTAGGGGTTCGAAGCTGAATAGTAAATCCTCTCTGGACATCGCCAGGCCAGAGCCTCTGAGCCCTCCAATTGTTTGTTGGCATAATTCCAGACAGAACATGGCAAGTGTGAACTCAGTGTGATCTGCTCATGTTCAATCTTACTCATTAGGCATAAATTCCTCCTTGCTACTGTCCAGTCAATATCTCAGATGAAAGTAGCCAAGCACTTCCTCGGATGATACTCCAAAGCAGTTGACCAGCGGGACAGCGATTCGATGTTGGTGTTCTTGCATGCCTTTGGAGAAAAAGTATCAGAATTCAAAACATTCCTTGCATTCTGTTATTGTGTTTTCTGAGAATGGGAAGCTGTAGCTAGCTATTTGACTGGCTTTCCCATATTCCTCGAACAAGCTTTTTCACCCTCACGGACGATCCTCTAGAGAGGATGGGTCTCATATCAGCAATGGTCAATACTTTGGTCATTACCGCCAATCTCGAACAATTCTTGACTAATTGAGCAAGCTCGTTGGGTCTTTCGACATCATCGACGCTGCCGAGGTTTCTAACGAACAACCCCTTGCCAGATGGTTATCCATGGGGGAAACGCACTTTCACCAACACATATCCTTATAAGCAAGATGTCGAACCCGGTATCACTAGAACATACGACTTCACCCTCTCTCGTTGTAAACTCTCGCCCGACGAGTATGAAAAGGATATGATTGTTGTGAATGGACAGTTCACCGGTCCAACTATACAAGCAAATCGGGGCGACACAATTGTTGTCAAGGTGACAAACAACATATCCAGCCCATTAGCAGGCACAAAAATTCATTGGCATGGCTTTCTACAGCACAGCACTCAATGAGTGGATGGGACTCCCGGTAAGTATGGTCTTGACCCCCCTGATCCTATCTGATGACTAGTAGGTTTTACCCAATGTCCTATCGCCCCTGGGAAGTCTTTCACTTACAGGTTTCGAGCTGGGCTTTACGGCACGACATGGTATCACGCACGTTATTCTTCCCAGTACGCAGATCGTGTCGTTGGATCTATCGTGATATACGGACCCAGGCCAAAAGACTATAACATTGTTGTTAGCCCAATATTACTCTCTGATTATTATCACAGCAGCTATGAATCCATTGTCAAGCAGTTGGTATCGCCTCGTCCCAAGCTTACACCTCTCAAGCCAGTAAGCGACAATAACCTGATCAACGGAAAATGAACTTTAATTGTTCTACCGCTGCAGATAAAAGGGTGAAGTGTGCTAATAAAGCTGGCCTCACCAAATTCAGGTTTCAAACTGGCAAACGCCATCGCCTTTGATTGATCAATGTCGTTGCCGATGCCGCCCAAAAGTTCTCTATCGATGGCCACACCATGACAGTGATAGAAAATGACATCGTCGCCGTTCAGATCAGCACAATCAAAGATCGTTGTATTCAAAGACAGGAAGCTGACATGAGATTGCAGCCATATGATAGGTCAGTGGTCACACTCGGGGCCGGACAGGGGACCGACGTTATCGTTCAGGGCCTCTCCAGCCCGAAAGGCATTTACTGGATCAGAAACAATGCTACGTGTGCTGAGGCCCGGCAGCCTCACGCCTTGGCCGCTCTCTACTATCAAAATGCAAGTCCCGTAGTATTGCCCACTTCGACTGCTTCGAATCCTCACAGCGTCGGCTGCGACAACGATCCAATAGACGCAATTGCCCCAATTTATCCCCTTGCCCTGACCGACCCCGATCAAACGTCACGCTAGATCTCACAGCCGGCCAGAACGCTCAAACGTTTGGCTATGGCCCATCAACAACTCGTCCTTCCGCGCAGACCTCAGCCAACCAATCCTACTACAAGCCAAAAGGGGCGACCTGACCCTTCCCAAGCAATGGAACATCATCAACGCCGGCTCCGCAAGCTCCTACCGCGTGATCTTCAACAACAACACTCCGGTGCCGCACCCGATGCAATTGCACGGCCACAACATGCACATTCTGGCCGTCGAACGGGGCAAAATGGGACGGAAAGATGATCGTCCGACCCCGCAATCCGCAGAGGAGAGATGTCCAGGTCGTGCCTGAATTTGGCTACCTGGCCTGGCAGACGAGTGCTGATAACCCCGGCGCTTGGGCTTTCCATTGCCATGTTGCGTGGCATGCCGCTACGGGCATGACCGTGGATTTCCTGGAGCAGCCTGGTAAGATTAAAGATCTGCCGATTCCGGCTGCGCTTGACCGGACTGGTAAGGAGTGGAAGGCAGTGGTTGCGAGCAGACAAATCGAGCAAATTGATTCGGGTGTGTAGAATGGGGGAACATTTCAGCTTCTTCGCAATTTCTCGATAGACCTTCAATTAGACTATTTTCAATCATATCTCAGGGCTCGCAATACATGGCTAAGACAAAAGAGTTTTCCTTCGGTGTTTCATAATCAAAAATTAATAATATAAACTCTTAGTTCTTGACGTAGGTTTCCCTAGATTTCTCTCCTCGGTACTACTTTTGCTTCTGTCGCTTCGGGATGCTCTAGGTCCAGTGGACAAGCGAAGCTGCTCCCAGTAATGGGGAGCAACCAACTCGTGACTACAGCAGAAGCTAGGAGCTCACTCGCGACCACCCAAGCTGTTTCTCCCATCTAAGAGAAGCGCTTCCTTAGATATCGATCCACCTCGCCGTCCACTTCTCGACGACATCTTTCACCTCATCGACGAGGCCTAGTTCAAGCAGAACCTAGACGGGTACGGCTCTCAAGGGCACTCGCGACCCACGAGCTAATGAAACTCGTGCTCTCACCATCTGAACTGTCTCGTTGGGATCTGCATAGGTGGTGGACAAGTGCAATCGCAAGCTGTGTGACATTATCTCAATGCTTGGCCAGTCAAGCAGTTGCCAAGGACATGCGAAAGGCATTAATTAGATACATCAATACCCATATGGCCTCAACCCTGCTTCTAGATAAATGCAGGATCACGAATACAGAGGACTGTTCAACCAGCCATTGTGCTGTTGGCTGTGAGTGCTGTGCAACTGGCCTAGTAATACTCGTTAAACATTGTTTCGTATTTTGATAATGGCGATAGGGGGACGGGCTGCTTGATGTATGCAAGGCGCTCCCTCCCCGTCAAGTGCTCCATACGGCTTGCTAAGAGGACAGAGCGAAGTGGGTTGGGATGCCGGCCTTCTGGGAACGCCCTACTCCGTATACTCGAGCTTTGAAGCACTTTTGGAGAAGGCTACGTCATCGAAGATTCCAGTTCCATTGATCTTTCGACTGAATGCAGTCACCTACAACAGCTCCAATTCAAAAAAGCGGGAAATGCTATTGCTCTTGGATATCATATTCGGTCATACAATCATAGAACGAGTATCACAAATTCCAGCAGGCGAAATGGAGCTTGCTTGCTCAAACTGCCTGAAGCAATGCTCCAGAAGCTGACAACCACCAGCTAGAAGGATTACTACACGCATGCCTCCCAAATTTTGCAATGACTGAGGCTTCTAGTGTTGGTCGCCTCCCCCAGGATCTTTACCACTTTCGGGCTCAGCTACCTTGAGGCGCTTTGCATCCACACCGTCCGTGGTCAAGGCCGTCGCATTGTGTTGTAAGTTGCTCACATCTCCAAGGGGCGGTCTCTTCACTGCTTCAAGGGCTCGGTCTACTCCCCCGGTGCTAATCGCTGGTATTGTCGATCCGCCATTTGACTCTGGACCACGTCTGGTAGGTGGTCGGTAAGCTGAAGTACTCGGTCCTCGACTCATCTGAAACTGTCCTGTATTGCCTGGACCACCAACACGTCTTGCGGGATCGAACTGTGGATTGATTATTTGCGTTGCATGAGGTGCCGTATCAGCCGTCAAATCTCTTTTCAAAGGCACGGATCTGTTGTGATCAACTCCAGAAGTCTTGCGGATTGAGGGACTCTCAGTCCTAGGATCGAATTTAGGACTTGCACTCACGCCGTTCGCGATGATGTTATTGTTGGCATCGATATTGGTTGCTACTCGAGCCGAGTAGAAAGCGGCAGTCCGGTTGGCTTGGGCTGTAGACGAACCTTGACCGGGTAAGGGTGCAGCACAATGTTGAGAAGCAAGGTTAGGTGATGACGATCTAGCAGCTTGATCTGCATGTGACCGTGGATCAGAACTTGGGGTCTTGTTTGGTGGGTTCGGAGCAACCGAGGTCCGCTGGCCAGGTAAAGGTTGGGGAACAATGGTCGGTCCAGAACCAGCAGATTGAACAGGTCTTGCAGGTGGCACGCGAGGGAGTGTAGCACCAGCCGGTGGTTTTGAAGGTGTTATTGTCTCTGGTCTCGCAGGGGGTGCCATTCGCTCTGAGGCGCCATTCGCTGGGCCATGTCTTGAACCCGTTGACTCAGCAGACAGAGTGACCTCGTCTGAGTGGTCCATGTCAACGCTGCCAAAGTCCACCTCATCGAAATCACCGAGATCGAAGCTGTCATCGAATTCGGCTGACGCTTCCTTTACCACTTGACATGGCATTTCTGCCTCGAGCCTCTCCTCTTTTTTGGGAGCAAAATCCGAATGTCGGTGTAGTGCATCTGGATCCCACTTGACAGCTCCAACCTTGAGCTTTGTCACCTTAGCAAGGTAGGTCTTGTCATAGACACAATTCCCAAGAATGTTGCCAAAATTCCTCAAGGTTCGCTTTAATGCATCTGTTGTTCCCTCTTTCTTAGCCTTCTCAAATGCAGCCGCCTTGCCTTTGCAATTCTCAATCTGGCCGTAGCCTATGTCTTCGTGGTAGGCGCCATCTTTTAGGGTGATTCGAACGATAACCGAGAGTCCCAGAGAGATCTTTCCAGTCTGAGGATTTTCGTCTACGAAATCAATCTGGATGTTTTGAATTGAGCTGCTCCAACCATTGAAACCAAACACTTCGTTTGCGAGGCTGATGGCCTTGTCAGCAGCCAAATAATGTACTTTTGAGCCTCCAGGCCCCGCACGGGCAGATATATATTCAGGTCCTAGTTGCTTGTTGAGGCGACTTTGTAGGGTAGCAATTTCCTGAGCGGTATATTCAGCAATCCTCGGCTTCGTATCTTCGAAAGGGTTGGAAGTGGTGGTGCCATTAGGCTTATGCTGATCCCCTGGCCTAGAATTTGATCAGCATTAAATAATATCGATCTCATTGAGAGGGTCTCTTACGCCGGCATGGCAACAGTCCCAGAAGTGTACTGGCGAGGGTTGGGCGTGGACTACATGCGCAGTTGCGTGATTAGAGACCAAGAACTGAGAATTGGGTCAATTATCAAACGCATGTTGACGAGTGAATGCGGAACGCGGAACGCGGCACGCGCAGGGGAGGCGCATCGACACGTGACCTCAGTTCCCACCAATTTTTGAGTAAGAGTGCCAATTTCTCATTCTTCTTTACTAGATAAGATGCATTTGGCTTACTCGTGCCTTATCATTGAACGACTTTATGAACCATGTATTGGCTGTCTCATAGTTTCTGCTCCTACGGTACCCAGAGCCTACATGTTCCGTCACCACCTGCACTGACCAGCCATGGATGTTGAGGGTGCCAATCTAACTCCATCACTCCCAACCCTCCTGCGACTTTGTGTCCTCGCAAAACTTTCAATGGCACTATCTGTGCACTGCTCATCATGTCACTAGTAACCTGTCCATGGAATATCTGAATGCTACCATCATCGCTGCCGTCTGCAAAAAGAGGATACCTATTGGTCGCTGGGTGAAATCGCACTGATCTGATCGCCTTGTCGTGAAAGCGCAGGGTCTTGTATGGGCGAGGAGAGAGATCCAAGTCCATCCATAACAGCCTTCGATCGTACGACCCAACGATGAGATTGTCCGAACCTGCAGTTGATGAACTTGTGGGATGGATATCAAAGCTGCTAATCCATCGTGCGCCAGGCTGTACAATCTTGAGTAGAGACTGCCTTGATAGATCGTATGCTCGGATTATCCTCTGATTTGCAACAAACAGTGTCGGCTTGGTTGGGTGAAAGTGAGCGACTTGTGGAGTGCCACCGCCTCGAATTCTTTTGCGGAACGGGAGTTGTGTTTGATGCTTCGAAATGGTATGGATAGCAATGGCTTGTGAGGCTGGAACAGTTGTACCAGAACATATCGTGACGAAGTGATTCCCACCTGAATGGAAAGATAGAGTCTTGGGAGTGTGTCCAATATGTATGACAATTGCTACCCCTTTGTCACGGAGGCCGGCTGATGGCCGGCTCCACTTGATTCCTCCAGAGATTGACGTAGTCTTTTCGGATGCAGCATAGCCCCAACCAGCATCAAGCACGTCTTGCGACGCATCAGCTTCCGGACTGACTTCTACGCCAAGTTTTGGGATGCTCAAGTACACATCATCACCAGCACAGCAGGCCAATATCGGAGTAGCCTTTCCAGGTCGCCAACGCACAGCATTAACGGGACTATCAGAGCCGAGTTCCAAGGACCAAACCTCACGTGGTGGTTGTAGAGTCCAGACTCGGACTGTGCCATCATCTCCGCCGCTAGCAAGATATTGACCAGAAGGATCAATAGCAATTGACCGGACTCGACCATTGTGGCCATGAAAGCGTCCCGCTTCATGTGTAGGGAACGGACGTAGCTCGTCAGGATTCGGAAGTTTCGGTAACAACGATTCTGGGTCGATGTTGAGCTTAGTTCGCCGGACTCTAGGTGCAAGATAGAGATCGAGACAGCGGTCAAACTTTTCCTTGACAAAGCGATCGTAGCCGGGGACTTTTCTGAGTGCAGAATGATCAGCAGGCAGGTAGTCTTTCTCTCGATCTTCCTCATCAGCTTTCTCCCAGGCATCCTTCTCTTTCTTGTCTGGGAGATACTCCGGTGGAGGGTGATAGCTCTCATCGAAACCGGGAGGTGGTAATTTAGGAGCGGGCATATGCATGACGTGATCTAGTCGAGGCTGCTCATCGGCCCAGATGTCGTAGTTTTGGACACCTTCATCCTCGTACTCCTCTTCTTTGGGAGGTTTGTAAGGTTGAATACGTCCCTCTCTTATTGCTCGAACGATCTTCATGACACGTTTGGCTTCATGTTTCGAGGGAACGAATCGTCTTTTTGGCTCAGGGGCTGCACTCAATGGCATGGTTTCCACCTTGCTAGTAAACCACTCCACCGTAGGTTCGTAAGGATCATATCCATCAACAGGCATCTCGTTCATCTGGATTTTTCGGAGCAGTTGTAATTCTTGCTGAGAGAGCTCGAGGGGCTTTCCAGTCGAAGGGTCGGTTAAACCAGTCCAGCCCTTGGGGATCTCAATACTGTCGAGCAGAGCATCTAGGGCTTGACCTTTCGCCGGCCTCATAATTTTCTTGCCGTTGATATTGTAGCCGATGTGAGGGTACGACTCGTAGAAGGAGAGAGGTATATTGCCAATGGTGTTGGCTTCGTCATCCGCCACTGAATAGTCCGAGTCATTGCCTGGATCAATCTCGTCGTAGATATATCTGTCATTTCCATTCGCATCCTTGACCACCCGATAGTTGGGAATTTCATCTTCTGATTCTTGGGCTGCGGTGGACTCTGGGTCCTTCTGGACATCGATGTCCACTGTCCCATTTGTCTTGCTTTGGCGAGGCTGCAGAATGTCGTCTTCGTCTTCGGATAGAACTTCATCAGTCGCAATGGAGATATTATCTTCGTCGTCTTGTGCTAAGCTCAACTCATTCTCGGCCTGGCTATCACTCTCGCTCTCGCTGCCACCACTCGCCGACTCACTATCAGAGAGAGTAATGTCTAAATTGGCGAAGTCGAACTCATCGCCAGACACGACTGCAGCATCCTCCTCGACATCTTTAGTCACAGCCTTGCGCTTCTTCGAGCCCGTCATAATGTATGGTTTGCTGAGGGTGTTGGCTGCGTCGAATTGCACGTTGGAAAATTTCTAGGAGTTTAATTATTGTACTCGGAGAAATTCTTTGGATCCTCCGTCTGCGGTGAGGGGATTGACCAATGAATAGATGTCGTATTATGTCAGCACCACTTGACTTTGATGTTCAAACAAGTGCTTGCTCACGTGACCCAAGTCGGACCCCGCCACGGATGAAGACAAACCCTCCGTTTTCTTCACAAAACTTGCTCGCAAGGCTCTTCCTAAGGCGTCCACCCATGCCCAGCTAAAACCAATGAACTCAAGTCAGATGGGGATCCCAGCAGTTGAGGCCTCCTGATCGGTTACTATCCTCCCAGTAAACAGTGACCCGTGGGTCTCAAACACCCAGCTAGGCATTGACAATTCGTGTGCCTTGACTTCCACCCACTGGTCGAGATAGCTCTCATTTCCAGACCTTCTTTGTTGACTCTCTATTCTCTGCAGGTACTGCTTAGTACGATGGTGACCGCAACGATGTCTACCATGTCCGAACGAGCATCCGAGCTGGTTGCGATATACGGCAGCTATCCAATGGCAAAGCAGTTCGCGGGCAATGACCTGACCCCCGACTTACAAGACGATGAAGCACCCGCTTATGACGCTGCTTTCGACCCTGACCCGACCTTGAAGCGGCACGCTGCTTGTGATGAATGTAGTATGACTCAATATTCAACCCTAGTCTTCCTCCTCATTGACATAGAATCTGCAGGAAAGCGCAAACTGAAATGTTCAGGCGAGCCCACCGGATGTGGGCGCTGCATCAAGCAACACCTTGTTTGCCATTACTCTGTTCAGAAGCAGATGGGCCGTCCAAGAAAGAGACAGAAGACAGATCAAGATCAATCACAACATGCGCGAGCAAGGTCTCAATCTCTTCCGACCCAGTCGCTTCCCGAGCCTGTCATCGACCCCGAATTGACCGCAAAGTTCTCCGAAAGAGCAGACTTCGAGAACGTTTGTACCGGACCCGTCGCACAGACCATCAAGAGAGCGAGCAATCAGAATTATAGTAATATGCCCAACACATTCCCCAACATGCCATCATCACAGACCAGTGCCTCTCGCAGCTCTCGCACACCTCCGTACGATCAGCCGCAAACTCCCCCGGACGGTGTCCCCATCTCAAATATATCCTACCCAACCGACGCCACGTTATGGCCCGATTTCTCCGAAATGGCCATGCTGCCAATGCCGCTGCAAGACCGCCAAACTAAAGAAAATATAATCCTCTTCGACCCCAGAAATCCCGATAACCCCTCCATCTCCTACGATGCAGACGCGGACCCATCCACACTCTTAAATCTGCCATCAGTGCCCGAGTGCCCATGCCTGCCGAATTCGTACCTCACACTCTCTACGCTTTCCACCCTCTCAGCATTCCCAGTCTCCAGCGGCACAATAGACACTCTCCTACAAGCGCACCGCACCACCAAGGCCAGTTTACACTGCGCAGTTTGCCCGCAAAAGTTTCAATCCGGGTCGCAGAACGTCATGCTGAACAGCGTGCTGATCAACGTGATGGCGGACCACTGGCACAGGGTCCGCAAGGCAACGGCCCAAGACCTTAAAAAAGGCTTTGGGTCCAACCCCGACGCGGTAACAGATAGATCTCCTTCAAGTGGCGCCAGCGACAGCAGCGACCGCACCACAATGAGCGTGCACGAAGAACTTGCCTGGCGCACATTCGGGCACAACCTGATCCGGGCACACGTGTTCGGCGACGCACCCATCCCGCAACCCCCAGACACACCCAGTCCCCGTCCCAGCCTTGCCGCCTCCGCCTCGGCGGTGACGCTTCTCTCCGCACTGTCTACCTTTGAAAGGCGGCAAAAGCAATGGCACGGCCAGGAGCAATGGACGGGCGAATTCCCCAAGCGCTTCTCCACGGACCTGCAGCGGGGCTACACCGTGGGCATGACGCTCGAGGAAATTGAGCGGTGCCATCAGCAAGTACAGCTGGAGAAGGAGGGCAGCCACGGTGGCGGCGACACTGACGCTTTCCTGTGTTTGAAGATTGTCGACGCAGGAAGGCGCATTGTCATGAGCCTTGACACGAAGCCGCCGACGGTAGAAGTTTGAACGATGAGATGAAAGGTCAAACATGAATAGGGGTGGAGGGGGGCCAGATGGAGGGAGGAAAAACCCACCGCCACCTCCATCCAGTTAGCTTATGATGAAAACCGGAGGTTTATATCAACTTATACCCGATTTTCTTGACTTTTCAATAACGACTGATGTAATGTGAGTAATTCTATGATGGTTTATTGCCACTTCTGATTGCCAAACAATATGTGGAAGACGCAAGGAGCTTTTGGGCCGTTCGGTCGGATCCAGTCCGTATTCTTGCTAAGCTAAAGTAGGTATTTTTGGTTTCGGGTTGGCTTTAACGAAACCCCAACGTCAGGTTCATGCAATATGAGACTACTATGGGGGTCTAGCGGTTCTTTTTTTTGCAACATCACTCATGGCTCTCGTTGCTCGTCTCCTAAAGAATGACACACTTCTTGGGCAGGCCACACGGTCCACTTTCCTCTTCCTTGTCGTCCGCTTGTTGTGTAGTCTGAGCGGGAGTAGGTGTTGATGTGGTCTCCTTCACTGCTGGTGTCTCCGCTGCCGCCGGATTTGTCGCCTCCACCCCATTAGTCTTCTTCTCACTGCCATCTAGTCACTCAAATTTGACTCTGCTGACTAGCTCGTAGAAGCTCTTGCCTTGGATCTCGGCCAACTCTAGCTCCTTGGGGGTGGGCTGTCTGGAGCCATCGGCGCCAGAGAAGGTGCCAGCACCCCAAGGGGAGCCACCGCGGACCTCAGACAGGTCGGCGAGGATGGGGAAGGCCTTGGCGTAGCCCAGAGGGACGTAGATCATGCCCTGGTGGACCCATGAGCTGAGAGCTTGGAGGGCGGTCGCTTCCTGGCCACCACCCATAGTGCCGGTGGAGACGAAGAGACCGAAGTATTTGCCATAGAGAGCGCCGGATTGCCACAAGCCACCAAGGTGGTCGATGAAGGTTTTCCACTGAGCGCTGTAGTTGGCATAGCGGGTGGGCACACCGAACAGGAAGGCATCGTATTTTGTGAGGATATCTGGGGTTGCGATAGGGATGGAAGCATCTTGCTCTGGGGCATACATCTTCTTCAGGACTTCGGCGGGGAGAGTCTCTTTAATTCTAGATGAAGGCAAGGCCTGTCAGACGTGCGGATGGAGAGAAGGAATTGTAGGAATGGTGAGTGCCAACATACTGGTAGACATCGACACTTCCACCGGCAGCTTCAATGCCCTTCTTCTCAGAGGCCGCCAGCTTGGCAACGTGGCCCCAGGTGGAGTACTAGATGGCAGTCACAAGTCAGCGAGTTTGACCTTGGTCATGAAGGCGCGTTCCTGGAATCTGGCACAGCAGCAGGCGTGGAAGAGGGGGGAACATACGTAGATGATGGCGATCTTAGCCATGGTGACTGTCTATTGAGATGTAGTTGTCCTTGTAAACTGAAGATGGAATTATTTGTCTGGGACTGGATAGCAAGACTGGAGGAGAGAAAACAGACCGTGAGATGGGAGACAAGAGACCCTTATGTATGGAAGGTGCTACACCAGGATTCTCTGGAAGGCACAATGTGGCTAACTGGGAAGTCTCATCTTGGTATTTACCTGTGTTTCACGAATCACGATCGAAGTGGATCTTGCAGTCTTACGGCAGTACAACGGTATACTGGTCACGAAGGAGACACTCCATCCTGGAAGAGGTACAAAGAGGTGGGGCCGATCGGTTTCTGTCGACACCTTCTTCTGCCGTCGACACATGCCAGGAACAGAACCCTCCCTCAGCTGTTGTCAGAAATGAAACGCAGCCATGCAGTATTACCATAGCGTGACCCAAGCAACGTCCGGAATTCTGCCTGATCCATGGTTGGTTACCCTTCATGGAGGATCACTTGAACGGGTTGCTAAGTAATTGCTTCGACTAAATGAATAGTATTATCCCTAGGATCCTTACTCGATATGCGGCACGCACCCTGACTTAGCTAAGGGTAACTTAGAAGGAAGCTCATGTGGATTGTCCGCATTAACGGATGACGAACATCGACAGGGATAGCCCCGGTCAACGGCGGGCACGCTCCAACGCCGATGTAGATTTGTAGAATCGCTTATGAAAAGCTGACACAGGATTGCCCAAGCAATTGCCAGGGGACCAAGCCGAGATAGACAAGCCAATGAGGGCCACTACCCCGCTGGCCGAGTGCGGAACCCAAGCCTGTACCGTTTGTCAGCTGCATCTGATGAGGTGAAGAAGACTCATGTTAGTAGTACCCAGGTACTTCTTGGAAGCCGGAAATCAATAAATCGTATCTACCCACCGAAGCAGTCAAGCGTCTTGGAAATGTTCAGTCTATCGAAGCCACCTTTGTAATCTGCAGCGACTCTATGCAAGTCTCAACCGCCGCCGACGACAATGGGGCAAGAGAGCGGTGTTAGCGACCTACTCGTAACAATGTAAGGATGAAGTCTCCAATGCCTGCTGCGGTCCTGTGTGTGCATGAATACTGAATAGTGCAATTGCGAGTCCTAGTGACCCTGATACCATATATATGGCAATCGGTATGAGCAATTAATCCTCTCCACCTGCTCGAATTCTCCTCCAGACTTGCGCCGGTCGCCAACGCAAGGCATCCCAAAATGATGAGTTGTGGTTGGCTTGCAAAGTGTCTTTACCAGAATGCAGGACTCGCCGCTGTGATTTTTCAACTGGCAACTTTGTCAAAGGCTGGCCTGTCCCCTCACTCTTCTTCTTCCCATTGCACTATTTGCTGTCTTTCCCACAGCCGACTGGCACTGTTCACAATGATTTCGGCCTTGACCATCAGCTTGGCGTTAAGCTTCTCTACTGCTTTGCCTTCTAACCGCAATTTTCGTGCTTGAGCTTGCGCCATAATAGGAACCAGATTCCGAGGCTCGGCCTCACTCATTGCCCTCACACTCCGGAAGCCATTTCCCCAGAATATTCGCGCCATGCGGCTCTTCACAAACGAGACCTCGACCATCTCAAGCAGATCTGCTCGAGCTCCCGCCCGAAGACGATCGAGCATGTGCTCCAGTTCCGCGCCTAGCATGCCCCAATTCATGCGTTCGCAGAACTTGATCATCCCTGCCGCAAAACCGTGACACGTTTGAGACAGATTCTGAACCTGACCTCGAGGAACGCTGTATTTCAGACTGACATCATGGATGGGCATCTCATTGCAGAGATCTCGGAATTGAAAGGCTGAGTACGCACGACGATACACCCGAGCATTTCGGATCTCCTCGGTCGTGTTTTCCTTCAGTTCTGCTCCGCTGTTGCCGAGACGACTGACGAATGCAGGCTTCACACCGATCAACCGAAGGGCCTCAATCGACTTTCTTCCTGAGATTCCAATTGATTTCGAAAGGTAAACCACGAGATCTCACTCAGTCCGCTTGTCCGCACAGGTGTGAAGAGACAAAGATACGTAGACCCCCATCCGGCACGAGTGATTCGAGCGCACGAGATAGTTCTGAACGCACAAACACCCCGTCTTCGGGACTAAGACCACTAGCCACAACCGCCGTGCCAGATTTTGTGGGTTCCAAACAGCGGTCGAACTCTGCCCTTTTTATCAGCCCTTGGGCTATCGGTTCTTCCATTGCCGTCTCGACCATTTGGTCTACTCAGCCATGATCGGTTGTGTGCCAGAGAAGAGATGAGTGGACATAATTGTCAAGAGCATCTCGGCTCGACATCATTCGAATGCCGAGGATCTCCAGCAGAGCTCTCTTGATCCCACACTGCTCAGGAGTGAGGCAGCTTTCGACTGGAGGAAATTCGGCCTCGAGAAGTTCAGCAACAGCTTCAAATTCTGAGTCCTGACAGCAAAGATAAGTCTCGCCCGCCTCATCTTTGCTTTTTCGACCTGCCCGACCTCGCATCTGCCGGAGCATGGCAGGACCGACCAATTCATGTCCCATTCTGGCTCCACTCAAAATGACCCTACGTGCGGGTAAATTTATACCGGCCGCAAGACTGCATGTGGCTACCATCACCTTCAGGGTGCCCGCATCGTATGCTTCTGCAACCAGGGACCGCTCTTCTACCATCAATCTCGCATGGCGGAATGCTACCCCACAGAGAATGGTGTCTGAAAATGCAGCCTCAAAGCCGCCAGGAAGGGTACGTAATAAGGCAAGTACCACTTGCCGTGTGTCCAAAACCTCTGGCGCAAGAGTCGTAGTTGGCATAGCATCGCTGATCAGCAGTGCCATCCTCTCTGCACCGGCCCTGCTACTGCAGAAAATTAGAGTTCCATGGTCGCTAGATGCAATCTCGACTGCCAGTGCAACCACAGCATTCATGATTGGGCTCTCCAATTGTTGATCAGTCGTTTTCTCGATGGTTCTGTATGGCCGAGGCTTTGGGGTGGACATTGCGTCATCTGTCGTCAACTGGCTTGCCGTCCGAAAGAATCCCTTCGTATTGCAGTGGAATAAATCCTGTTCTCATATACCAGGTGCTCTTCGGTTGGAATAGGCCGGTATTTTGCGATGTAAAACTTGGCATTAAGCCACTTGGCCAACAACTGAGGATTTGGCAGAGTAGCACTCATCCCAACCATTTGCACATCAGCTCCCAGTACCAGGAGTTTCGTGGCCAACAATTCCATGAGGTAGCCGCGGTGCTCATCGTTCAACATTTGCAATTCATCCAAGAAGACCACCCCAATATCGCCATGTTTGCACTCCTCAGTTGCAGTATTGGCCAGGGAGTTGGCCTTCTCAATGGTACAAACAGCAACATCACAATGAGCCCAACTGACTGTAAATTCACTGCCCCCAAAATATCCCGCAACGCGGATCGAATTGCTACTTTGTTGCCAATTGGGTGGCCGTGCAAGTTGCGTTGAACTGTGGTTGTTCTTGGTAACGCCGTCTACAAGACACAGTAGCCATTTCAGCTTTTCCTGCACTAGCGCCACATAGGGCAGCACCAGGATTGATTCCTTTCCTGGGTTGTCGATGATTCTTTTGTGGAGCAGAAAATCAGCAACGAGTGACTTCCCTCCATCTGTTGGGGCGGTATAAACAAGGTTCTGCTCACCCGTCAATAAACCTTTACCCCAAGAAGGCACGAAGACTGCCATGGATATATTGACCGTACTCCACAGGCCTCGAAGTTATCAACCAATTTCGTAGGGAGGCCATAACGCGCGTGGCGGAGTGTGAGTAAAGGGTTCTGAGAAGGCCCTGGTGTAGATGGTATATGTGGAGGTAACGGGATCGGTAACCTCCCTTGGGTATGCCGATTAGGGGCATTGTCATCAACAGTATTGATCCGACTTGGTTCTAACAGCGGCCTCCTAGGATGTAACAAGGGCACCCCAACGGGTGGATTGCCGGGCAATGAGAGGCTGGGAATTGCACCCACCTTTAGTCGTTTCGTGCCTGCAAGAAAAGTTGTTCGATATGTTGAATTCCGAGCGAGACTAAGTGATGTTTGTTGGTCATCAGGTCGTGTTGCCGACGCGTTCTCCTGCTGCCGTCATGACCAGCGGGCACCCAAAATTTGACAATCGATAACGAGATGATACAAGCAGCACGAGGAAACCATTACGCGAAATCAGAGATCATCATGTAGCATGCGAATTCCAAACGGCCAAAACTTGATGGGACATGCGATGTGGTAACGTTGGTGAGCAGCATGTGGACCAGGGTGGACGTGGCGGAACGCCACCAACGCACCATGCGGGCAGCAGAACACGTGAAAAGCGGGGCACATCCTTGCACCCATCATCGGTAGGGGGGACGCCGCTGGCCAGAAATTGGGAACTGCCAAGCCAGCCGGACTTTGAGTCCACCCCATGTCAAAGCGGCGCCTAGGATGAGAGCCCGCGCTGTCTTCCAGAGATCACCCTACAGGTGAATATGTATGTACATACTCGTACTGATCAGACGTCTTGATTTCATCGATTTACCGGAAACTGCCGGCAATACCTAGATGGATATGGATGAGTAGATACATCAAACCGTAACAGCGCAAGAATGCTTTAACACGAGGAGAGCTAGTTCACGACCAGGAAGCTGGCGGAATCCAAAATTTGAAGAAGATAATAATAGATGGGATTTGAGATGCAAGGATAGAGCAATTCCACCGTGTCGTGGTGGTGAGGGGCTGAAGTCGTGACGTTCACAAGACTGGAACGAGATGGCAGGGGATAAATTTAACAAGGAACAAGGAACAAGGAAGAATGAATTAGGGGCCACGAAGGACATTAAAATGATGTTAGGGTGATGAACTATCACAGGTTATAGTAGAATCGCAGTGGCCAAAAAGCCGAAGTCACGAGGTCACAATAGCCAGCCGTGAGAGAGACGGAGCGAAGTGCAGAGAATCAGAGATGTGGTTGAATTTGAGGAAGAAGCTGATCAAGTCCTGCCAAGCCCGCTTGACACTAAGAGATCGTGTGGGGCTCAAAGAGGCAGGGTTCAAGCCCAGCTCGCCAGTCTTTCACAACCTCCTCCCATCAACCACACCGGTACTCCGCCCAGCGACCGCCAAACCAAGAGTGACGGATGAGGGTTGGATGCTGAAAGGCACGCTGAAGAATTCCCATGCCTTGGTGAGTCTATTGCAAGCCCAAATGTTGACGCCAGTGGACAGTTTGAGGGGGTCTACCGTTTCAGGCAGGCCACGCAGCAGAATTGCCGGAGCCGACAGCCTTGAAACGAGGCGACAAGTGCCCGCCTACAACTACTTTGTTGGCTTCGAGTTGGCACCAAATCAACTGCGGCTGCCCTAAACGCACAGTTCCTTGCGCTGACGCCGCATTGGGCACATGTGTGCAACGTATTATACAGGGTATTTACAACAGCACTGGCAGGGAGTACATCTGAGTTACTTGTCCCCTCGCTGGTACTATTACCTGCTCGTAAGTAACTCGTGACCTGGTCTGCTGCCACGTCAATCCCCTCTACTAACGGAGTCCTCGGCAAGGGTACGGGGGATGGTACTCGTAAGTCTGAGATCCCAGCTCTGGCCAGTGGTTAGGCCGGGGCCAGCGGGCAGTGGGCAGTGGGCAGCGGTGGACATACCCGAGTGTCAGTTGTCAGTTGTGTGTCAGTTGTTAGTTGTTATGTAGACTAAAAGCGTCTTTTAGACTCTGCCTTGCAGGTCTCCACCTGGCGTCAGTGGCCCGTGGCCAGTGGCCAACGGATAGTATGGCCAGGCCTAGGAAGTGTGATGTTGTTGTTACTCTTATGCTCCAACCCTATCCGCATTCCCTGCCAACTTTCCTCGCTTGTTATTTGTCCTGGCCACTTCACGTCTGTCTGGCCTCTGCCCGCTGCCCGCTGCCCTTTTTGATGGACCAAGTCGACGTCTGACCCTCTTTGGCCTTTTCCTCCGACATTTCCATTCCTGCTCTTCACCTCCTCCCTCCCTCTTCGAATTTCCGTTTGTCTCCATCTTCTGTGAAGCTTCTTCAACTTGACCACTCCGTCCTCTGCAGCACTGTAGCACGGGTCGCCCTGTAATTGATCCCCTTGCCCTTCGATAACATCCATAGTACCTTTGGTAATTACTCGCATTCCTTCAGCCATATCGCTTGTATGAGGTCCCTACTACCACTCTAGCTAGTCCCCTAAGATCCACCCCATGCATGTCCTCCTGCTCCGTACTCGTAGATTCACCTATATCTCGGCAACCCTCCCGGGCTTAGGTAGAGCCCTGTCTCTGTCACGCTTTTCTTCCAACCCATTCTTCTTTCTGCCGACGTCCTGTCTTTGTTCTCGTCCTGGTCCCTCCCCATCTTGACGTCCATCCTTCCCACTCTCCTTGGCTTTTCTTCCTCTCTCCCTCCCTTTGCCTTCGATTTTCCCTCCTGCAGCCTTCTCCCTCTCTAACTACCTCGTCTATCACATATCTTTTCTCGCCTCCAGCTAGGATCAATTATCGCCTTCTTCTCCCGTCCAGAACCCACTTTAAATCGCATCAATCACCCTCTATCAGCGCCCCAATTTTTATCAAGGCGCTAAACTTCGCGCTCATCCTCTTCGAGCGCGTGCCTCTTTATATCGACCTTTCAACAGCCACTGGCACCCACGTCCTTCTGCTTCCACTTTTCGCGTCTCCCCATCTGTCACCCGCATTGCATTTCCACTTTCCACTGCACGACTTTCGTCAGTGTGCCACTATTCACTTGAGCATACCTGTATAGTCCTCAGCCAGTGACCGGGTTTATTATTCTGCTCTTTCCACCCGGGTGTTGGCCACCTGTTGTTTGAGCGGACGAGCCATGCGATGATTCAACCCACCTCAAATTTCCTCCCCAGCACACATTTCTTCACGACTCGCCATGTCGGAGTCAGACAATGGCCCTGTCGCAAGCGTGCCTTCAGAACTCACTCCCAAAATTCATTCAGCTTCAGTCGCCCAGTCTCCCGACGATGCACCGCCAAGCACACCTCTCGATAGCATGGATGTTTCGCCTGCACCCGAAACTGCGCAACCCCTCGAGACGCCTCAGTCGCAGCCCATGACCGCCACCGCGTCTTCTTCCTCACAGCACCCCCCGCCCGACCAGGTCGATGCAAACAGTGTAGGCCCTACAAGTTATGGAACTCGTTCTAGGAATCGTACTGGAGGACGCATTAATTATGCTGAAGACAAAGATCTAGACATCGAGTTGGAGGCTTTGAGTAAACCTCAGCGGTCCAGCAAGAGAACCTCTGCTGCTGCCACCGAGAGTCAAGCTGCCACTCCTAGCTATACTGCGGTCAATTCTCTTGTTGACCAGCCCACTGACAATGGGCCTGCCACGTCATCTGCGGCCCATACTCCGGCTTCAACCCCTGCTCCTGCGCCTTCAAAGAAGAGGAAACAACCTGGTGCCAACCACACTGTCGCTGCACATTCGAGTGCCACCGCTTCCCGACTGAGAAATACTGCCTCAGTCCCTTTCAAGGGTTATGTTGAGACAAACATGATGAGTTTCACAAACTGTGGGCGCAGACTCAACCCGAAAAACCAGTTAGTTTCGGACGACGGCACAGTCGTGCAGGCAAACGGTAAAACAACTTCAGCTACTCAAATTTGTCGTACATCGAATTCTAATTGTTCCCAGATCATGTCTACTTTGTTTGTGAACCTCCCGGGGAGCCGTACTATCTTGCGCGGATCATGGAGTTTCTGCACCAGAAGAACGACCCTGAACTTCCCATTGATGCGATGCGAGTCAATTGGTACTACCGTCCGAAAGACATCCTCCGGCGTGTCCAAGACACTCGGGTCGTCTTTGCTTCAATGCATTCCGATACCTGTCCCCTCACCTCGATTCGTGGGAAGTGTAACATTCAGCATCTATCTGATATCTCCAACATGGACGAATATCGATGCCAACAAGATTCATTTTGGTTTGACAAGCTTTACGACCGTTATATGCACCGCTATTATGAGGTCATCCCTGTGCGCAAAGTCGTCAATGTACCCCAGCGGGTCAAGATGGTACTAGACCAAAGGTGGAAGTTTGTTCTGGTCGAGGTTGGTCGAGGTCGTGAATTGACCAGCGAGAGCAAGAAGTGCACGAAATGCGAGCAGTTTGCTAGCAATCATGACTCGGTCGATTGTGCAGTATGCAAGAAAACATACCACATGCGGTGCGTGAGGCCACCACTTCTGAAGAAGCCTGCTCGAGGTTTTGCGTGGGCCTGCGCTGCCTGCAGCAGGGCACAGGAGATGAAGATGGACTACCGGAATACTCCTGCGGGCTCCGAAGCGGCCCATGGAGATGATGACGATCCTATGGACGAGGACGAAGACGACAGTGGTCCGAGAACCCAAGACACTCGCGAGAGTAGCGCTGCCCCGGAGCCACATCCAGAACCTACACCTGCCCAAATTGCACAAGCAAATCTGTGGCCGTGGCGATACTTGGGGGTCCATTCTCGAGTGGAGGACGCTCTAGATTATGACGATCGTATCTATCCCCGTGCCAGCTCTAGACTTGGTCCTCGCCATCAGGCAAATGTCAACGTGTGGCATGGTAGACCTGTGGAATTGGTCAAGCCCGCTGAAATCAAGCGAAAATATATGAAACACACCAATCTTAAAGGCGCCAAGCCTTCTAAGGATACCGGTACTGACACGGACAAAGACCATCGTCTCAAACGTCCTAAGTGGGTGGTTGACGAGCCGCCTGGCTACATCCCCCGTGGACTCGATGAGCCAGTTGAAATCAAAGGTAAGAAGGAACATACTGCTCAGTTGATTTTCAAAATGCCAGAACCACAGACCCTTGAAAGGGGTGGTGACGACAACAACGAGCCGCCGGAGGATGCAGAAAGGATTGTGGATGACTATATGAAGCGAGTCAAGCCAATCGCCCAACAGTACAACGTTCACGACACATCGGTTGACTTTCTTACTAAAGCGATCGAGAAGTTACAGGAGAACAATTATGATGTCGAAAAAGCACTGCAAGCTATGAAAGGATTGTCCTTGAGAGCAGATTTGAAGCAACCCGATTTAAATCGCGAAGAGATCAAACGATTTGAAGAAGGAGTCGCCAAATATGGGAGTGAACTCCACGCAGTGTCTCGGCACGTCGGAAGCAGTGTCAAGGAGTCAAGAATTGTTCGTTTCTACTACATGTGGAAGAAATCTGAGCGTGGACGACAGATCTGGGGCGCCTTCGAGGGGCGACGATCAAAGAAAGAGTCCAAGCGCGCCGATAAAGAAGGCAACGCCCCGAAATTGCTAGATGATGTAGCACATGACTATGACGACTCCGCCTTTGACGACGAGAAAGCACAGCAGAAAAAGCGTGGCTTCGAATGCAAATTCTGTTCAACCCGTCACTCTAGACAGTGGCGACGGGCTCCGCAGACCGCTCCTGGTACACTTGTGCCCAAAGACCAGTCGGCCAAGAATAGCAAAGATAAAAGCCTATGGCTGACATTGGCGCTTTGTGGAAGATGTGCATACTTGTGGCGCAAATACGCCGTTCAGTACGAAGACATCGAAGAAATCTCGAAGAAGATCGCCTCATCTGGAAGCAGAGCCGCTAAACGAAAGGTTGACGAAGAGCTACTACGTTTGATCCTTGAGGCACATCAGATGTCAGGCGATCCTATTCCTCCTCGTGCAGCGGATGAGGTGAACAAAGCTGGCCTGGAGGTGCCTGCTAATATCATCCAACCGGACGAGCCACCCAAGAAGAAGACCAAAGCCGATAAAGACGTCAATGCTCAACCGACCCTAGACGTACCTCCCGTGGAGAAGAAGAAGCAAGTGCCAGAGAAGCCTCAAGAACCTCCCCCTATTGAACCGGATCCACCTAAGGTGAAAATTCATCCATGTGCTGTTTGCCACGTGATCGATGTTCCGGGTCAGAAGTTGCTTAAATGCCGAGACTGCAGGTTGCATGTCCATGGTGCTTGCTATGGAATAGGACCAAAAGCAAATACGAACCCCTGGTTTTGTGACATGTGCAGGAACGATCACAATTTACAAGTCTCGACGACCTATGAGTGTGTTCTCTGCCCTGTCAAATACACCCAACAGGAACTTATGGAGCCTCTGAGAGCGACCCATAAAAAGAAAACTGACCGCGACCGCGAAAAAGAACGCATAGAACGCGAAATCATTCAGGAAGCGAGTCGGCGCTGGAGAATGGAACAAGAAGCGGCAGGTCGCCCCGTCAACCCACGGGAAGCCCTTAAAAGGACGGCTTGGAACAATTGGGTACATGTCACATGTGCAATCTGGACCAAGGAGATCAAATTTGGCAATGCAGATTTGCTTGACGAAGCTGAGGGTGTCGGTTTCATTCCTGCTGAAAGATTTGAACCTGCGTGCAAGCTTTGCAAAAGGACTGGATTGCCAACCGTCAAATGCCACCAAACGAACTGCAACTCGTACTTTCATGTGGGCTGCGGTCACCAGGCAGAGTACCTGTTCGGTTTTGACGTTGCCCCGGTTAAGAGCAGTCGACGAGATGCCGTCAACGTGATGAAATTTGACAATGAAAGTGGCATTGTGACTGCTGCTATCTGGTGCCCAGCCCATCAACCGACATCCTACGTGCACAGCATGCTTGAGCCAACAGAGTCTGGCTTGACTGCCATGCAGCTCTTCGCTCATACATACAAGCAAGTGGACGCTTCAACGACAGGGACGGTTCGACGCGCGGCTCAATTCACCACCAATATTACTACCTCGGCATTTCCAGTTCATTCCTCACAAGGCCGTACTTCTGTCATAAATGGCACCACCAGTGGCTCTGCATCGCAGATTGAAATGCCAGCAGGACACAGTCTTCGATCCTCGCCGGCAGCCGAATCACCACGAGCTCTCGACGATACCGTGATCGAGTCAAGGAATGCCGAATCAACAATAAAGAAGTCTGGTGGCGTCAGAAAATGCTGTACATGCTTGGTGGATGTTAGTCCTAGATGGTGGCCCATTGCACAAGATGGCCATGTTTCATCACGCTCTCCACCAATGACCAACGGAGCACAAGCAGATGGCGGGTATGGACCTAGCAATGGATCTTACGACACTTTCATGACCAATGGCCTTGTCAAGGCAGAACCCGTTGATGGTCCTGCAGTGAGCTCTTTGGCCGATGACAAGGCTTCTGCGCAATATCAATGCCACAAATGCCATGTCTTGAAACGTGAGCCACCCACGTCACCCTCACAGATCAAGCCACGCGAAGCACGCTCGATTGAACCTGTTCAGGAAGTATTTGCATATCCGCCACCGTCTTCCTTCCCTGCACCTCCTGCGCCGCCCACTTATCCTCTCAATCGTCCATCGTTGGATGTCTCACCACATTCGCATCCAAACGGAGCGCCGATTGCCCCTCCACCTCCACCGCCTCCTTCTCATCCTCCAGCATGGCAGACTGCGCCTCCTCCTCCTCCTCCTCCTCCTCCTCCACACTGGTCTTCGGCATCTATCCGTCCTGCGAATCATCAATCTCCTGTGGGTGGAATTTATGGTCATTCATCCCTCTATCGGCCTGCTCCACCTCATGAATACAATCCACCTCCTTACGGTCGACCACCACATAGTTCACCATATGGATCCGCTCCACCACCTCCTCCGGCCGGTCTTGCCACCAGCCACTTAGCGCAGCATTCACCTCCTCCTGGACCATACGGTCATGGCGTGTCTCATCATTCTATGCCACCTTCTGCTTCGCCGTCTCTGCCACCACGGTATCCCTCACCCCCTCGATTTGGACCAGAACGCCCTCCAGTACCATCGCCTAGACTGGGACTCGGCGGTCGAGATATTCTAGCTCGTCCGTATCCTCCTGATCCACCTCGTCAAAGCGGGATAGGCTCACCAGTCAATGGATATACCGTGCCACATTCGTCGAGTCAAAGAATATACAGCCAACAAGCGCCTCCGCCGCCACCACCGCTTACAATTGCGAGACAGCCGTCATCGTCACAGTCACTTGCCCAAATTGCACAGCAAGCGGAACAAGCCGGACGGCCACATTCTAGACAGGCGAGTGTTGAGATGACAGGCACACAGAGGTTTGGTCCTCTAGCTGTGCCGAGCCCCACACATCGGCCTATCACTCCGGCCACTGGAGTACCGGCAAGGGATGAGAAGAGAGATGGACCTGGAGCGAGTGCGAGTCCTAGCCTGAGGAATTTATTGAGCTGAAGGGCTGGGAGCGCTCCCGTTGTAGGTGGCAACTTATGGTCTAGCACCCAAGACGGGCCAAGGCTATGCTTGCCAGGATTCAAGTGGTTTCTGTATATGCTCCTGTAATTTATGATACACCACAGGTACATTGATCGGGCTGTTTCTGGCAGAATTTTTCTTTGGTGATTGATGACGATGATGGCTTTGTTGGGAACTTGCAGAGAAGAAGGATACAGCAGGGCCCAAAAGAAGACTATACGTCGGAAATAGATTGAACCTAGCTCCACGATACCTTCACAGGTATGTACCTAGGTAATTGAGGAGCGTATGTTTATGATTGCCGACACATCTCGAGAGAAAGTCGCGGAATCGCGCCGAGTTCTGGAGGACTTGTCTGCGTGAGGGAGGGCAAGCCTTGCCGCGCGGAGCTTTCTGTAGACATGTAGTCAATGAGTGCATTAGTTGATCGACACTACTATGCTATGTAAGTCCAGTATCACCCAGTGACCAGCGGTAGGAGGTGGCCGGTGCAGTGTCACTATATCAGGTCCGTATGTGTACCATGGGTATGGCATGGTGTCTCATCAATTGTGTAGCAAGTAGTACTAGATATGTAGTAGTTAGTCTACAGTACTTTAGGATGCTACAGGCAGGCGCTCAGTTACTAAGGCCGCAAGCAGTCAAGAACTCATCGCCGGACTACGTTGTGGAGGTCACTTAGTTGATCACACCGTGTAGCGCTTAGTTGCCGCCTGCCACCAGCTTTAGGGATGTAGTTAGACCACATATATATAGATATATCTGTCGTGACTCGCCGTACTACTGTAACTAGGTCTGGGAAGATTTCTTGTGTAGTGTGTGGAAAGTGGCCTTCGATTAATGGTTCTCGAGCAGAGATCAGTACGCCCGGGAAGAAGCGATCTGAGTATCTAACGAGGTGGCTAGTCAGATCCTTGCGATTAAGCTTGGATGTCTAGCTGTCATGCTCGCTCTCGAGACATGTATGTCAGTTGTCGAAAAATGCGCAGACAGGCTTCCGGTTCTATCTGGCTAGAGCATGTTTCACTCGTCTTCATCGTCGTCATCAATGATCCGCCGCCTCTTCCCTCTCTGCGGTGAGCCTTGCGGAAGGGGACCCGCGGTGTCGTCGTCATCATCCTCCCCACCACCACCACTCGCAGAGCGCTTGGGAGTAGAACCTCTTTCTCGGCCTCTACTGCGACCTTGCTGCTCGCCTCTAGTCCGTGAATCAACAACGGTATCACGGCCCTCGATCTCGAGATCATCGACGTCCGGATCATCGTCTTCAGCCTCGACCTCGTCGCCGTCGTCATCGTAGATCTCAGGCTCTTCGTCCGAGGCCGCGAGGAAGTCATCTTCGCGGTCGTATTCGTCCTCGCGCCGGCCGCGGGGCATGTCTTCGTCTTCGTCGTCAGAGTAGATCTCGCCGCGGCGGTTTGTCTTGCGCCGCTTCGCTTTCGCTTTGAGGTGGCTGCCCCGCGCGCCTGGCATGCCGTCTTCGTCTTCTAGCCCTGCGATGCTGAGTCCCGTGCCACCGAGACGTCCGCCCATGCCGGCTCGGCCCATGACTCGGTCTTTGCGTGTGATCAAACGCTCCCGTGCGGCTTCGACTTTGCGATTGGCGCGGACTCGCTCTTTCTCGAATTTCTCGGCTTCGCGCTTTGCGAGCTCGGGGTCGATTCGTGTCGGTCGGAGGGCCGCGATCGGGTCATGCTGTTCGGTCGCGGCTGCGAGGGATTGTTGCAGTTTGAGAACTGACTCGTCCACGTAGTCGCCTGTCGGTTGGATCTTGAGCGTTGCGTCGAATGGTGCCACGATCTGTAAGTCGACGCCGACTACCGAGTGCGGTGCGGCGAGGTAATTGTGAGTGTCCTTGTTGGGGTCGTAGTCCTGGCTGGTGTTGCCTCCCGCTCCTCCTCCAGCGCCGCCTTGCGTCTTGGGCCATGCTTGCCGTAGAGGATTCGTGGACATTCGGTAATGGTCTTTGGGTTGGGAGGCGATTTGCAGCGTCATGCTGCCGTCGGACCAGCGCACCATGCGTGTGTTGGACTGAATGAGACTCGGGGTCTTGGGGTCTCGCCGCCAGAACATGGTGGTGGACGCCGTCGAAAATGCGGAGAATTTTCCTGCTTCAACATCTGTTTTTGTCCGGTCGCGAGCTTCGTGCGGCACGGTCGGTGGTTCATATGTGGATGGTTGGAAGGCCTTGTGCTTGACACCAAGGAACGGGGGCATGTTGAGAAAGTATAGGTCGTCTCCCTCAGGGGGTTTTATTCTTGCCAGGTCGACTTGTAGCATCCGCACTTGCTTAAACTCATTGTCTTCCTGGTTGTCCTCGATAGTGGGTTCGATGCGATCCGTTCGTCCTTCGTCGTCTCCAGAGTCGAGCTCCGAGTCATCGAGTTTTCGGTTGAGCCTGCAAGCAAGGTAATCAGTTTTCCTTTCTAGGTAGCCCATTCGTATGCGGGAAGAGGGTATCGGTCCGTACTCGTTGGCTTCACCTTGAACCTCACCATCGTCGTCATCTCCGAATAAATCAGCATCATCTTCGGAACCTCCACCGTTCAGACCCTCGGGAGTGAGATTGTCGTCCACATCGCCGTTGGAGGGGGGGGTGTCGACCTCGGCCGACATTATTCAAAGATGGGGTCAAGTGTGGCTATAGCAGAGGCTGTCGATATTGTGGAAGATCAATTACCTAGGAAACAGTGTGAGTCGGCGTGGAGATATGAGCCTGCGGGAAGTGAGCCACAAAGACGGGCATAAAGATGAGCGAGACTTGACGGAGACAAGTAAATAAACGTGTCTTGGACGTTCAAATTGTCAAGAATTCATGGTCGCGAATTAACAGATTGATATTGCCTGAAGCGGCTAGCGGCCGTCCTCGGCGAAGTTGCCTCATATTGAATTGACCTCCGTGTTTCGAGTTTCAATGTGCAGGCCAGTTCCACCGCCAACTTGGGATCTATTCCTCCTCCTGTCTTGCCCCAGCATAATTCTAAACACACCACTACTTAGGAGGCCTGGTGGACTGTGATTGTGACTGCGTCTGCGACACTGAACGGTGTATAGCAATATGGCAACCTTCTTCCAGAGCGTGTAAGTTCTCGTGCGAGACGCTCCCCTCCCCTCTACCGCTTTCACAATGGCCAGATTTGTCGAGCGACCATGGTGTGGAAAATCCGATTTCACAGCCTTCAAAGGCCAATTCAGAATGCTAACGATCGCCCTCCGTCTCTTAGACGTCAAGGCTTCACCAGAGGCAATACCAAGAGCAACCAGAATCTCAAGGGCCAGTACAACGGATCTCAGTCGCCTATCCAGCAAAACGCTCCCCCCATGCCTCCTCTGGTTAACTCTCCTTCCATGTCTTCCACATACAGTCAAGAGGCAGTCTATAATGAGCATGAGCCCAAGAAATTTCTTAATGAGAAGTACGCCAAGTGCTCAGTCAAGGGTAACTTCTTGACACTGGCTGCTCAACCTAAGAACGTTGATCTGGGTGAATGGCTAGCCCATCAATGTATGTTCTGACCTCCTGAGCGAGGCCTCTCATCACATTTCTAACAAACGGTAGTGGTGGAAATGAACAGACTACTTACCGGCATGATTCAAGTCATACAAGAGACAGACACAAATACCGGTCAGCCATTGTGCAACGATCACAGTTGTCCAACCATGTCCGCAGGACGGTATGTTCTCCTCTAACATCCACAGCCGTTAGTCTCGTGATTCTCACTGACCGTTCTTACCATAGACTCACATACACCTGGCTCGAAAACGGACGACCTGCCAAAATCCCCGCCCCATCTTATATAGTCCGTGTCCAGCGATGGATTGTTGGCAAGATCCACGATCAGAATGTCTTCCCCACCGACCCTCCTCCCGCTATTGCTGCAACGGCTTACGCTTCAGGCGACGTGGGCGCAACCCCTACAAGTGCAAGCACCCCGATCGCCGCACCCCCTACCAATCTCAATCAATCACTCACTTCACTATCGGGTATGAACGATGATTGGATTGGTAAGGCTGCTGGTTTCCCCCAACATTACCACCAGGACGTCAAGAGCATCATCAAGCAGATGTTTCGGTGCTACGCACATCTATACCATAATCACTGGGACAGTCCATTCTGGCACATCAACCGCCATCTGGAACTGAACAGTTGCTTCGTTCACTTCATCACAGTCGCAATGTACTACGATCTACTACCCAAGAAAGACATGGAACCTTTGCAGGGCCTGGTAGATATCTTTGTTGCGCAAGGCGTGGTGCCAAAGGAAGCCGTTCAGCAGCATGTTAGTTAAGCCAGAAATAAGACCAGTGCTTGCCCTTGCCCTTGCCCTGCATGCTACGATCAGAAGGAACGAATGAATTGCATTTAGCGACACAACACGGCGTTTACGAGGAGATGAGAAACCTTGAGCATGAAGAAATCACCGAGGTCTAAGAATGATGTGAGAACTGAATTGTTAGATCGAGCTTGAATTTGTGGCAGTCGGAAACTGTCGATCCACTATGTGTAGGATGAATTACCAATCACATTGACCCTAGTGACCACCAGCAGCATCTACAAACCAAACCAATTCATCCTGCTCATTCCACACAGGCCACTTTTCTTTCTGGGAGGAGACTGTAAATCCTCCCTACCGTGACAATCCAAATACATATAGCGCTCAATCCCACATGCTCACAGACCCACCCCTTTTTGGCCCGTTCCTCCCTTGAAATTTTTCTTCATCAAGAACACCAAACTCACCAGCAACCCCAAGCCGGAACACCCGATGCCGAGATACCAAGCACTGCGATAGCCGTAAAGCAGGTCACTGGGCGTCCTGCCGCCACGGTTGACATGGACCTCGACGGTGCCTGCGAACCCCAGACCTAGCGAGATGCTGTAGTTGACAATGGTGTTGACCAAGCTCGCAGCGATGCCCTGCGTCTCGGCGCCCACGGCGTTCGAAAGGACTATGGTGGCCGCGGGGAAGGACATGTCCATGCCCCTGTATTTTGGAACACTCTAGATTAGCAATGTGGGTTGCAGGATTGATGACGATGAGATACACAAGGCGTTGAGGAGCAAGGAGGGGTGGACTTGATTCGATTATTGAACGTACCAGGGGATCACAACCGCACAGACGAACGTTTGAGCCCAGTAAGTCTGGTGGACGGGGGTCGTCGCGATGATCAGGTTGCCGATCGTGAAGAAGAACATCGATATTGCAAGGACCGGTGCCGGCCCGAGTTTGTTCAGGAGGAGGCCCGTGGCTACCGAGGCGAGACCTCCGGATACCGCGACGGGCGATCCCCATGCGACTGTTTGTAATGGTGTTGCGTGGCGCAGCGTTGTGCAGAATTTCACGAAGTATAGGATGAAGATTCCTGGGTTGGGATTGTGAGTAAATGCGAGAGGGGGGAGGCAGGAGGGTGACGGTGGAAGGGGCTCAGTCTTTATGTCCTACTTGTGCTAACTGTTTGGGCTGGGAGGTAAGGTCCGGGAGGGAAGGGGTGGGATTCCAACGGTTCAGACAGGAAGGAGATGAAGACTGAGCCTCGTTTCTCGCGTAGTTGCTCACCGAAAGAAGACCATCCGCAGGCGATGCAGCCGAGAACGAACCCGGTGTCTGAGGTGAACGCATCGAGGGGAAGTAGCGGATTTTTCGACACGCGGAATTCGATGTAGAAGAACAGTGGGACCAGCAGGGCGCTGATGATCAACGTCACGTAGACGTATGGTTGCTGCCAGCCGACGATGGGCGCCTGGTTCCATGACAAGTTGAAGAGAACCAGGGCCGTGATGCCCACGGCGGCGGCGGCCAGATCCAGGAGTTGGACCATCTCCCATAGTGATGACTGTAGGTTTGTGGGCGAAGGCTTGGGTTGTTTGGGTGCTTGTTTCGAAGATGCTTGAGGGTCGGGGACGATGAAGATCGCTGAGACGGTGATGATGGCGATGATGAGAGCCAGCGACCAGAACGTCCATGGCCACCATGCCAATGCGAAGACAGCGGCTGATGCGCCGCCGAGAATGCCGCCGCCTGTGAAGATGGGTCAAGGTGCGTCAGTAGAAAGATTCAGACTTGACTTCTGGTGTTTGAGAGTTTGGAGCCTGGGCCTGGTTCACGCACCTGGAGCACAAGCACCGAAGAGAGCGAATGCCATATTTTTCCTCGGCCCAGGAGGGTAGAAGGCGCCAAACAGTGCCAAACCGTTGGGGAGAATTATTGCAGGTCCAACGCCCTGGAGAACTCTCGCGAAGATGAACAGGATGTGGTTGGAGTACACGCTCAAGCCACAGATCTGCTTATCGGGTCAGCGTTCGACATACCACGAGAAAAAGTTGGGTCGTCGGCTTCAGAGCTTCCAGGGTCTCGACTGACCATAGTCCACAGCGCGAACCAGCCGTAACCTATGATAAGCATACGCTTATAGCCAAAGACATCACCAAAGCGGCCGGAAATCAAGATAAAAGTCCCAACGGTCAGGGAGTATCCGGCGACGAGCCAGCTCAACTCGCTCTCATCGCTGAGAGAAAAGCTCTCACCAATGACGGGCAGGATGAACAGGACCTGGCCAAAGCTGACTTGAGTGCATAATTGGGCAAGGCACACGATGGCCACGAAGAGGACCTCGTGAATAAGAGGGAGGGCAGGGGCAGACGATAAGGCCCCGGTGATCTCTTGAGGTCCTGGGGCTGGGAATTTAGGCTTTTCATCATCGTGTTGGCTGGTGATGAAGGCGCTTGTTCCTCCTTGAGAGAGACATTTTCGAGCATCTAAGTCCGCGACCTTGTCATCACAGGCGACGATAGGGTTCAAGCTGTCGTGGCTGATATTGACAGTATAGCCTCGCACGGGCGTGGATGCTGTGTGACTGTTATTGGCAGCCTCGTCCACTGCTTCTTTTGCGCCGTTCATTACGAACAATCGACTCTCTCCAAGCAAGCACACAATGTGTGGACAGCTGAGGCATGGCACATTTCACAGTGAGGGAGCGCCACTCTTTTCAATGACTAGCAGCACTTACAGTAGGGTGATAGGGAATGACTTGAGCCATGACGCTGGATGGGACAAGACAAACCAGGGGTGGAGCATGTCTAGCAGGCCCCACACAACAACTCTCCGCATCGCGGGCCTTGACGGTGGAACGAGGCTCCGGGACTTACAAATACACATGTTCTTCCTTCAAGGGTGCGGAATTGATGCCATCACCGGGCTCCCAGAACATCTGTGAGAAGGCTGGAGATGAGCTTGCGCGTGTTCCTCACAGGAGATCCTTTGTCTAGAAGGGCTCCACCAACACCCGCAGCTTATTCATTATAACCACACCGGAACGAAATAAGGATAGAGTCCTTTCGGGCGTGAGATAGAAAAACGATCCTGTCATTGTGGAGCAGTGAATTCGAGCCTGCTGCCAGTGGTGCGTCATCCCTTCTCTGTGCAGAGATCTCACTATCATGGTCCTTTCGTCTGTGCATTTGAAGTTGGTCTTCCAGCCTAGCTATCGGGCAGCGCGCAGACTTGTTCTCGGAGATAGACCGTGAGTTGGCTGGCTTGTTAACACCCAACCAGGACTTGAGGAAAATAAGGGTGATCATCACAGCCCCCCTTGCCATACATTACAGCTCCTTCAAGACTAGGTGCAAGTGATGTACTGCCAGATCAATTCGCTGTTGGAGGACTTGGTTATTCCTACATCCACGGGTGTAGTCACAATGAACTTCTCCTTTTCGCCGGTGACTGTCATGGTGCCGGGAGTGGCGCTATGAACATCGCTAAAAGATGGTGATTCTTCGGTATTCAGCACAATTTTGATATCACGGTCGCCACCGCCAATGCTAACAGAACGTCCGGGACAGGTGAAGACCAGGTCGATGTTGCTGTTGCCTTTGCTGTCGGAACTGACGAGAAGATCGCGCACAGCATTACAGACAGCGCTGGTCGAGGCAGGGGAGCCTGCATCTTTCACATTGATGTTGGCGGAGAAATGTTTGCCGCAGGCAATGCCGTAGATGTCGGGGTCGATATTGAAGCGGAGTGCAGTGACAGCTTCGACTTCGGGGTCGCTGGCGTGTTCATTGCGAATGGCAAGTTGGGCGACATCCAGGACAGGGTATACTGGGAATGCAAGGGAGAGCACCGAGAGGGTGAGTGCCAGAATGAGCATCATGGCCAGGTCGGTTACATGGGTGTTTCTGCTGTGACGTTTGGTTCTGCGCAGACCGTTTATTGCTTTGCTTGACAACAACGGGCACCAGTGACAAATGATCTGAACTCGGGTTTCGAGTGAACTTTGCCTTGGGCATATTCGATGGCAAGATGATGGACGGGGACAAGAGTCATCTCGACGAAGGCCTGATCGAGTATACCAATCGTGAATTTCAGTATGCTTCACTCTGCGACATGACGAGGCTTGAGGAACTCTTCCTCTCTTTCGCTTCACTTTACACTGTAATTTCCCTCAGGAAGAGATGATGTAGGGTAGAATGAAGGAACACTAGCCCAGATCACATCGTGCCTTTGCAATACGCCCACTGAAGGCCTTGATGTCGACGTGCGCCACGAATGGAACGGGCAGAAGCGCACAGCTGACAACGTCTGCAGGGCCTTTGCTCTTCTGTTAATGGGTATAGAAGAGGATACTCTCGTAGTGCGACTGACAGTCAGACTAGAAGCCTCAGGGATGACAAGATGTAAGAGCGGTTTCGTGATGTGAGACCTCTCAGTGCCAACATCATTGGAAGTATTCACGACGATTGGGCTTATGATAAGTAAGCCGCAAACCTCGAATCGTGTTTTAGGTGTCGTTAATCTGACCAACTACTTCGGAACAGGATCAGGTCAAGTACATAGGTAGTATTTGTAGGACATGATGTAGAAGACAAGGCAGGGGTGCTCGAGGCCTTGTTGAACAAGGTGTCTTAACTAGGCCACGTCCTCCCAGGCGCCTAGATAGCACGGCCCCTGGGGAGAATTTGTGCCCCGATGGGCCAAGACCGCCTGAACGAGCCACCTGGACTCTCCTGCCGAAGCGGTATCTCCTCAACTTGTAATTACATAGGAGCAAGGACCCTTTACCTGGCGGGGTAACAACTGCCTCCGCCAATAATTTTATTTCGTCACTGCTTCCTTCCTCACTTCAAGTCCACCTTCCGCAACACGCAGCACGCCCTACAGATATTCATCGGGCCGCACACTCGTAAATCAACATGTCGCTGGCGCCCGAGCGCATAAGTATCAAGCGGAGAAGACAGGAGGAGCCCGTGGAGACACTGTGTGAGTTCCGTCCAGCATGTGCATCAACTAGCAACTGCCCACTAACTGGCGTCCCCCAGACCTAGAACAGAGTACCGCGCCTGATCGCAAGAGAAGGGTCACCGACTTCTACTTCCAACGCGTGCAAGAACGCATCGTTGCTCCATTATCTCAGCTGAATTCTTTACCTCAATATACTCGCCCTGCATCATCAGGGATTCCTGCCGTACGCTCCTCAGCTCCTGGGGATGATGTGCGGGATTATGCGAGGCTCAAGGAAGCTTGGAAGGCCAGGACTGAAGAACAGACATCTCAACCATCTCAGACACAAGCGGGAGCAGCTCGGAATGCTGCCGAAGGCTCGTCATCACCGATACCCGCCGAGGACAGAAATCTACAACAGCAGCAGCAACCTCGCCGCTTCCACCTGACACGTAACCTATCTTCAGTTGCCCCAGCTCCTGGAAAAATCCAGAGAACGAAGATTGATATACGTCCACCATTAGCAACATTCGTCGAGAGACGCACAGCATCGTTCAAGCACAAACGTAACCCAATTTATCAAAGCGACCCAGTGGACAAAGTGATTGATCTTGGGCAAGGCGAGGATGGAGCATCACAACTTGTGAGTGGGGACCAAGCACATAGTCTTGAAGAATTACAATCCTCCAAGCGTGCACCAACGAAATCCTTCGTCATCGCCGAGGCCCAGTCCGACCGGAAAGGCACATCGATACAGGATCATCCGAGTACGTGGGATCACGACTCTGATCAGCTGGCGGACGAGCTTGCGGCTTTGGCGATGGAGTTGGACCCAGAGTCCAGAGATAAAGCCGCCGAGCTTGAAGGCCAGGCAGAAAAGACCCCACCGCCTCCACCTGTCCCTGCCGATTCGGACAGGATGGTGCTCGATGATAATGACTTTGTATATGAGACGTATATTAAAGTCCAGCATGATGCAGGGCAGGCCACTCTAGTCGACATTGACGGATGGGGCACCAAAATCGGTGTGCTTGTCATCGACGAAGAAGACGAGGATCTCTGGAATAGGTACGTGGACAGTGATCACGACGACGACTGGGATGAAGAAGATTCGAATGGTGAGTCAAAGCACTTTTGTAATCATTGCAACGTTAACGCGCCATCACCAGCTGAGGACAATCCCGCCAACGACTATCCAGAAGACGAAGTTAGCTCCGATGATCAGTTCTCTCGAAATCCTTACAAGTATCGTCAGTACGACTCGGACAACGAATACGACGATGACTATGATGGCAAGTGGTGACCATGCGCAACCCCCAAAAATCATCAAGGTACCTCCCATAACTGTACTTGCCAAACCCACCAAGTGAAGATCACACCAACCCAAAGAACCAACCAAGACACCACCTATAGTTATACTTGCAAACCCAGCACACCTCCAAAATCACTTGTTGCTGATTCCAGTGGGATCGGCTTTCATGCTCCCTGTTGCAATCGGATCCAGGGATAATTGCACTTAACCGTTGCCAGCAGGCCATATTTTCCAATTTTGGCTTTGCCAATGACTTGGCCCCATTTCGTTTGCTGCCGGACCTTTTCAACATTGTAGGAGTTGAGGACTCGATAGTACTTGCATTGAAGCCCGCCTTTTTCACGGTCGTGGTTGAAATACTGCTTGTACTCATGTTCGACTTGATCCCACGGCATGTGGAGATCGGTCCTATGGTACCATATAAAATGCTCCTGCTCACGCGTGTACTTGTGGCAGGCTCCTCGGGATTTCTTGGGTCTTGAGTCCTGGCGTGCGCGCTTGCGTTGGGTGCGCTTAGTGCCAGGTGGAGATGAGGACAGCGATAATGTGGAGATGGTGGGCGACAACGTCGAGCTCGATGGCGACGGACTCGATTCTGACGAGCAAGATGTGGAGCTTGACTCGTATTGCTCATCATCGCTGTCATTCAAGATGGATGATATTTTCATCATTTTGACCGGGTGTTGCGGTCGATATTCTGGCCACCCGCCTATCAAAGCCGTGGAATGAACGGAGGTTTTGTTTTCATTGCGAGAACTGTAATCCATCTTCTGCTCTGGGAAGATGTTAAGGCAGAGTGTGAATCAGGGGCGGAAACGAGCACAAAGAAGTAGGTGGTGTGTTGGCTGACACCCCATTGTGCAAAACATGGTATCCATTAAGTACACTCAGCGCGTCCCGACAAAGCGGTTCATCCTTGATGTTTGGGGTAGCCAAGTTGATATATCACAATTTATAACCAAGGGATGAGGTCTGAATACTGCGGCCAACCCCTGCTTGGCTTCCTCAGCCCTTGCCACTGGCCATCAGTTATCCGAAAAGTCGGATGCAGCGGGGGCTGCGGACGGGGGCGGGAGATCCTTGTCATTAGCAATCTGATGAATTGCTGCAGAACAACGAGCTACCTTCCCAATAGGTAGTGGTGAGGCCGCCGGTTGTGATTGACCGTCTGTTAGTGTGGGATGCAAGGTGGATCACCTCTCGACACAAGCAATATTGTGGGAGTGGTGATTATTGCTCTCTAGGTCTGCCATTTGCCTCAGTTTCGCAGGCTGTGAAGTGGACGCGTGCTATCGCTGAGCCAGCTCTCTCTCCTCGATCAAGCGCTGTCATGTTGGTTTCTGACGCGGACATGAATCCCCACACTGGTTCAAGCTGCACGGATCTTGCAGGAGCTCGAGCCAGCCAAGCATATCAGGCCCGGTCGGGTCAGGTCAGGCCAGATACCTGGTCGTCCGAACCCAAGGAAGGCGGCGAGGGGGCGAGGAGTCCTCCATAGGTACTCCGTACGGATGACTGTAATGTTGTGCAACCCCAGCCAGTTGACAGCAGTTCTTCGCGATCGCGCGCTTAGAACTAGGGCTGGCTCAAGGTTTCGGCAAGGAAGATCGCCACAGAATCCGAGATCCCCGCAGACGCACACGGGGGTGGAAGTGGATATGGCCAGGAAGGTCGATTGATCCACGGTGGATGAGCGTACATACAGAGTACGGAGTAGAAGGGCATGGATGGCATGGATGACGGGCTAGTGGGTCAGGTGTCCGTTGGAGATCCAATGGGAGCAGAAGAGTCACGCCCAGGAAGCTACGATTGGACGTGATCCGCGCCCCCGCTCGGTAGCCCCTCGCGCCTTCCCACCCAACAGCCCCTCTCCACCCCTCCCTGTTCTTGCAGGCTTTCACCGAGTACATATGTCTGGGCAGCCGTAGGTACCAAATATGTAACAATACGGAATACCCTCGATGTTCTTCCCCATGCACAACCTAGCGACGCCTCACACTGCATGACCCACCCATGGGTCATGTGAGTCGACATCCTGGTTCTCCTTGTCAACTTTGTCACGGACTTTGGGTGCTCGATACTCGTACTTTTGCAGGGAGCTCATCTCAACACACACCTGAAACCGAAAAGAGACAATGCCACGAGGGTCGACGTTCGAGGGCTGAGGGCTAGGCACCACTAGAGACAATTCCTCAGCGCAGTGGCGGCCACATGTGTCTTCAATATCCACCGGTGGCCGGTGCTGCTGAAGACCTTGTTATTAGACTTCCCACGAGGTACAGAGTACGCCATACGAAGTAATGGTCCCACGTTCTGCTGGCACGGGCGGGGATGGCTTTCCCATCACACACTGACATCCTTCTGTTTGGTACGGATATGTGGCCTGGATTTCCACCCTTTTACCCTAGTACTATACAAGAAGGAGTGAGGAGACCCGAGCCAGTGAGCCAGTGAGGAGGCTTCGCAATTTCCTCGTATGCGGATCACCGTCGCCCACATATACGTTCTCCCATCGTTGGAACTTGAAAATGGGAAATACGAGACCCGACCCGGTTGACTTTCGGTGTACGGAGTACTTTCTGTTGTAAATCATGCAGATTGGGAGATCAAATCAAGGGCGGCTTCTGGCACCGCTGCCCTGCGACGCGTTCTAATACGCTAGCCAACGCGAGCTTTCTCTCGGCTTGCAGGCAGCAACAACGTTCAACCTCCTCTAGTCCGCCCTGCAACTTGTGCGGGTACTTGAGCCCATTCGAATCGAGGTAATGAAGCAATGCAAGGAGCTCGGCCTCCTTACTCCTCAAAATGTCGCATGGATGCAGTCCAGCAGCGGACCGGTCAGTCTAGGCTGAGTTGCACACGTTTCTCCTTGAGTTGAATATCATCGGAATGTCATCAATCAGCTGGCGGATCTGGAATGTATTGCTAGTGCAAGCAAACGAGTCAAAGAAAGCCTAGCTCTGCAACTTTACATCCACTTTGATGCACTTTTGAAGCAGCTGGGTGGTCATCAATTGTGGCGAAAATTCAATATGCAAGCGCGCTTGTACTCACACCACAATCAAGGCCTTGTTGGGTTGCATCGATTCAATTTTGGTTCATGGTACCGTGCCACGGAGTATGGGGCCAGGGTGTGAGGAGGAGCATCCTAAACCAGCACTTTCTTTGTTCCAAAGATATGGTTACGGAGTATCACAACAGCTGATACTCATTTTGACATCCAGGGACCAGGGCTATGCTAGCTCCTAACCTTTTCCACATCCTCTCGGTAGCTCCACAGGTATTGTTTGCTGGAGAAAGCATCTGAGCATTGAAGATCTGTTCTGACAAAAGCTCGTCTGCTGCGCGCACGATGTCTCCCTATTCAAGGCCAGTGCAAACTCGAGCAGTCGAAATTGTGCACGCCTTCGTTGTCACCGATTACCATTCCGTATCGGCAAATTATGTCAAGCGCCCTGCCTGCGATATGCGTCATGTTTCCACTTTCGTGGTCCTTGCATGTGGTGGCTTTTATTGGTTCTGATCGGCTGGTCTGCGTTGATCCTCGTCAGATGCTAGGGTTCTCTGAATTTTGGGATCTTGAAAAGTAGCGGGATGAACAGCCATGCGACACAGACCGCTGATTTTCTGCTACATGGCCATAGCCTCTGAGTACCTCTGAGGTTAGTTGACATGTCGATTCTTCCGACATGCTGAGGCACGAGTGAGGCAGTGCATCTATTTTCTAAGCCGCTACCTGTTCCTTGATCAGCCTCGTTTCAACAAAGAAGTGGTAACCGCTCCTTTGGCAGTTTTGCAAGGAAGATGGCCTCTGCTCTTGTCACTAGAATCAACAAATCAGGAATCCAGAAGGGGACTTAGGAGCGAAATGAGCAGACCACTAGGGCCCATTGCCGCCTTGGTGAGTTTTATTGCCATTAATGTCCTTTTCAACCATTAGCTTGGCTTTATGAGACTCGCCACAGATCGCATGAGCGAGGGTGCGGAAACTCCACTTAAAATCCCTGAAACGGCAACCTGTCCCGTCACATAGATAGACGCGTTTGAGTCCTCCCTGGAGGCCGGTGGGCTTTTACCAAATTTCACTAGTGGTAACTTCCATGAACGAGTCCCCTCCCTTCCCCTTCCTCGAGGAATATTGTGTCTGATCCTTTGTTGAGCGGGGGCCTGGATTTTTCTCGTGTCCTCACTCCCTCACTACAGATCTGATTCACTTGGAGTCATGTCTTCTCAATCAGCACTACAAGAGACGGCAGATGGCGACGGGGCAGATAGGACAACCAAGCAGGACGATCCATGCTATCGGGTCCGCTATGCTGGTCCGAAGGCTACCCACGACTGCGATTTACGATGCATCGTACATTCGCATCTGTCAGAGCGCGATCTAAAGATCCCAGAAAAGGTCTCAATATCCCGGTCGAATAGTCCTACTTGTCAGGCTATCGAGATCTCTAACACACCAATACGAGGTAGCCTCCAGTCAAAAACCATCTATTTTTCGACCCTGGAGCCCTCGCTATTGTAGCTGTTTCGTCTCCCACAGTTGGCTGCTCCGAAATCCCCAGGGTTTGATTCCGAACAGTGCAAAAATAAGACATGATGTCGTATAGCTTGAGGAGCTGACTTGTTGCTGTTGAGTGAGACAGTCAATTCACCATTGCCATGTGCCATCCAAAGGCTCGGATGTTTACCCTACGTTGAGGGTGATAGGTGATTTTTCTATTTGGGTCAAACGCACAATGCTTTATGTCGATGCTCTATGTCGTGACCTGTGGCCAAACCGTCAAACGAACTCTGAGCCAGCATATCTGAAAACCAATGGCTCACGTTCAACTTCAGCAACAAAATCGGTCACCTCGCTCGGCTTCTTGTGCTTTTCATATATGTAAGTAACTACCTACATGACCGACTACGTGAATAAGGGACTCATTATTTCACCTCTTTACAATTGTCCAATACCATTATTACCACGGTCTTTGTTAATCTTGTCCCAGAACAGCACTATTAATGTGCATTTCACTTCCTTCGCTTCCCTCCCTTCCCATCCACTTCCCCCTTTCCCATCTCAAGACCATATGCCCATATCTCTATTGGACCATCTATGATTGAACCACTGATCCAAAATCACCTGCTGAACCTCAACTATATTCCCATCCAGATCCGCAACAACAACATGGTCGAGCGTCCCACTCGGGCACCAAGCCCAGTACAATCGCCCTCTTCTCCTCCTCCGTCAATTTCAGAGTACTCAGCCTCCCCAGGCCGTAAGCATTCGCCAAGAGCCCTTCCAGACCGGGCAGCTCACCCTTGCCCTTCAATATGTTGACCCCCAGCTCATGGAACTTTTCCTGTGCCTCCGTGGTATTCGGCACACCCATCCCAAATGGCTGAACGTGTTCGTCACCTCCGTCGCCGGCAGCGGCGCGTACGAGGAAACATTGCGCAGCATAGCCACAATCTCAAGTAGCCCCTTTACACTATTCTTCTGCGCCGTGAACGTCGCGCCGTCCGGGAACAGCGTCCCGTTGACGGGCTCACTGCCGATTCCGTCGTTGTGGCCCAGGTACGCGATGGAGAAGAATGTTGCGTTCTCAGGCGTGTACATGAATAGGTGTGCCATCTCCAGTGGGCCGGTATAGAAGTCCAGCTTTGCGGGGAGGTTGGTGGTCACGAGGCTCATATGGTTCATGCCGTAGCACCGTGTGGACGCCGCTGGTGTGCAATTACGTCCAAATTCGAATGGATCGTATGCTCCACCGTCAGCTTGGTGTGCGTGGACTGAGCTTGGTGGTGATGAGCATGGCCTGGCTTGGAGGAGCGAAGTAGGTGACTGCAACGAGCAGTGAAATGAGCATGCTGGAACTGGAAATGGAAGCAAGGCTATGGCCGTATCGGCGCACCAGCCAACTTCCTCCCACTGCCGCAGCAGGCTCATAACTGCCCTTCTTTGGCGATGCCATCTCCCTCGCTCCTCGGTCCTTTGGAGTATTCTCCGCTCTTTCTTTTGTGGACTTGAGTTTCCGACCCTGGGCAGATCCACATGTTAGCCACAGCTCAATTAGTAAGTCGGCGAAAGGGATGCACGTAATCGGGCCCCTGAACTGACTGACTGACTGACTGACTGGCTCGTCATGTAGCCGGCCAGTATAAAGGTGGATCACAAAAGCATCATCGATCCATCCGCTCTAATCGATAAATGAATATACCCTGGACTTACCTGGTCCAACAACAGCGACGCGCTTGATCCGCGTGGCCCTTTCCTAATCTCAAAAGCTTTTCTCCCGGCGGTGGCCCCCGTCTATTGCTTTGCACACAATACACCGGTTTTCTATCGAAATGAATCCTTCGTGTATGTAACGCGGGGTTGAGCCGGCCCGCTTCGCCTCGTCCCACACTTATCTGCTTTCAGTTTCGAGTGCGTCGGGATTCACGCCCTGCCGATGTGGTCCTCCGTGCACCCTTATTTGCATCCATATCCACATCCACACCTATATACTATATACAACTGGACCTCTGCGCCATACGATCCGTTGAAGATTCGACCCGCACCGCAGCCAGCCAAGCCCGCTCCTTAGCTGCGCAGGGGCTACACCAGCAATAGTCGTACGGGAGTCAAGGGTGACCAATGGCAACAGGGCGTGTGTTGTATTGGCTTGGGCGGGCGAAAGCGGTATTTTCTTTGAGGTCAATGTAGGCATGTATGTGGTAATGGGTTGAACGTCACGCTCGGGATTGGGTTGCTGTGGACTGACTGAATAGCTCACTGGGCCTTTGCCAGGAGGATGACGAAGTCTAGATTACTGTAGTTACCAACTATTAGCTGGAGGCCCCTCTTTAAGGACACGCTAATTACCGGGTATCGATATGTTGAAGTGTTCGCCGATGTAATAGTTCGACAGTCAGGTGCATTACATGGGGTGGGCGCCCACAACAGCAGCACCACATCCATCCATGATAGATACAGCGATCATCACGTCTGCTTTGATGCAAGACATTTTCGTGTCATGATTGGACGGCTCTTTCTGTCCTCTCTGGCGGACACACTGATCGCACAACCGCCTGCTAATCGCAGCGTGATCCTACCTGGGAAGAACTGGATCAATGTAACTACCGCTGAGATTGGAAAGCGATCAGGATACACGAATGGATTGGACAGCGGTAAGAAAATCAATCCTCTGGCAACGAGAGGGAGCGGAGCAAAGGAAATTCGTTCTCATTGATCGTATCAATGACCCGGAATTGGGTTGAATGGAAAAAGGATCGTCAAAAGTACAACGTGAAGCTTTGCCATGCAGAATACATTTCTTTCCTTTGCTCATTGATGGTGGATGCGAGCAAACCCCAGTTCCCTCAGAAACATCGTCTGTAACGCCTTTGATACCTCAGTCCACATGCTGAGGATTTCAAGAGTAAAGGGGAGGAATTGAAAGATTTTCGATTTTTAATGCCAGTCTAGGTCACCATCAAGGCTGTTTGACAAAAGGGTGGCGATGCGAAATATATAAGACTTGTGAGTTGGTTCCCCACCTCCGAGTTCGGTATTGCTCCAAAGGGCAATTTGCCTGACAGCCATCAAATTGCATCGTCGTGGGTTGAAATGAATTTTATAGGACAAAAATTGCAAATATATCCGGTCAATGCTTGAATCATCTCATCGAAACATTCTACCGCGGCGCCCCAGAAAAACCAGTACTATCATAATCCCCACTTAACCAGGGTGAAGGTCGAGCCCTCTATTGAAGTCAAGCGAGTGGTCAAGGTGAACAACACCTAAAATTTGATTCATCTCTATGAAGCCGGTCAGTAAGTGCGAACAATTTCATCCCAGTGTGTAAGACTTACCCTGCGACCGCCGCGACCACCAGAGTGGACAGTTTGCATAGGTGGAGAAAAGTAGAACTGGTGTTGAGGGTAGTTGTACATGTTATTGGGCATATTTTGCTGGGCGAAGTTGTTCTGAGGAAAGGCCGCTGCTGAGCCAACAACCGGACTCATTTGGGCCGAGTATGACATGGGTGAGGAAGAGGTGTTTTGTAATCCCCTGAATGGATCTACTGCTGAAGATGGTGTACTATATTCACCAAACCCGTTTGACATGTATGCACTGCTCGACCGTTGAGGAGGACCTGGAAAGTTTTGATATTGCGTTCCTGGTTGCATCTGTTGATATGGAAGCTGAGAGTATGCATGTTGACCCTGGTAACCATTCATACCATAGGTAGCAAACCCAAAGGAATCAGCGGATCCAGTTCGAACTGGGCTCATGCCATTCTCAAACGGAGATGCATTGACATTAGGCACGTAACCTGCGCCGAATTGACGCTGATACGATTGTCCTTGGACACCATTTGGAGTAGGCTGCTGAGATTGTGGCATGGGTCGGACTTGACTGTTGATTGTCGGATGAGCATGGGAATTATATTGTTGTGTTGCAGGCTGATTTGGACGTGATGAAAGACCAACCTCGTCCATGATCCTCTTATAGCCTTGATTCGGCTGCGCCTTGATCTTAGTCAATACTCGAGATATATTTTGGACCACGTCCGGTCTCATTGCATCATCCAAGAACGGCGTGGTAAGGATCTTGAAGATCAACGTAACGCCAGAGGCTTGGTCAGAGAGAATTTGTTCGAGGACGGCATCGTCAGCACTGAAGAACAGTGCTTTCAACACCAGGTCTCGTGCTTCCGGTTCGTTGCGTTGGTTGATGACTTTCAATACGGTAAGGTACGCCACCTTGTGAGTGCAGAGCTGGACAAGGTGAGGTACAAGTCTAGGTGCGAGGACAGACCGTCGACGAGGGAAAGTGCAAGTGTCAAGTAGCCAGGTAAGCAACAAGGCTCCGTTGGCATTTTGAGCCAACTGAACACTGTTGAGGGCGATGGCTGCTGCCATCATACGTTGCTGGTTCTTTGTCGCATGATGAGCTTCAAGGCATGCTCGCATAGCTCTCGCGCCGAACCTTCCCTGAGCGATTTCCCAGAGCTGTGATAACATCGTCTCGAAGATGTAATCGTTGTAAGGAGGCCCGAATCGCAGACAGCACTGAAGGACATAGTTCCCGTACTGATCGAGGAACAGTGGAACTGTATAGGGTCGCAAATGAGTGACGATCATCCCCGTCTGGGACTCAGTCTTGCAGACTTCTATGATTTTTTGTGCAGCCCAAGTACCGTTCTTGTGCACACCGATTTCGGCCAGGTGAGGTGCAATACAAGTCAACATCTGTTCCTTTGTTTGTTCTGAACAATATTCGAACAGTTTCTGAACCACAGTGTTGCCCAAGTAGTCAGAGGACAATTCTGCGATCTCAGGTAACATGTCAATGGCAATTTGCTCAATCTCTTGCAATCCACAAGCACCATTGTCAATGCGCTTTCGAATATCTCGCAGCCTAGGGGCATCGAACATTCTTGCCGTACTTGATTCCGGGATCGAAGGGATTTCCTTCGAAAGCTGGGTGTACCTGATGGCGCTTTCTATGTTTGCCGATACAATAGGCAGGTCAGACTGTTGTCCACCAAAATCAAGGACAATTTGCAGTATTTCAGGTTTTAACTCTGCAAGACGGTCGCCTGCAGGGATGTTTCTATTTTGAACACCGGAGAATGAGTCACTGGGACTTCCTTCAACAGCGGCAGATTGTGAAGCAAAAACATCATCCTTGTTCGCGTTGGCAGCAACCGGGGGAGGGGTTCCATTTGGAACTGGCGTGAGTGAGGCGGAAGCTGTTGGAGCCTTTGCAAATCCAATTCTTACTGGACCCGCACCAGGGAAGATCTCCTTGCCATTCAGAATCTGGCGTGCACGAACGGCATGTTCGGTGGTCTCAAAGTTGACAAAGCCACAATTCTTATGGGTGAGGACTCTTGTAGACTCAATGGTTCCATATCTACTGAAAATAGCATCCAGAGATGACATTGTCGTAGAGTTGGGGATAGATCCAATCCACAACGAGCGAGATACCTGTATATCGGATTCATCATGCCCTTCAAATCCGACTTGGCCGCCTTCGGTCATGTTCAGATTGTGCAAGGCATCGGCGAGTGCTTGTTCGCTGAGACCATTTGCAGCTTGCAGCTCCATTACCAAGTTAGTGGCATCAGAGGACGGTTGAACCAGGTTACGCAGAGTCGTGCGTTGGGGAGTCTCGACGAGTCCAGCAGTGCGGGCTCGTGGCCGTGCAGCACTCGCATTGACGGCAAAAGCCTGAACAGCCTGGTTGTGGAGGCGGACTTTTTCCTGCACCATCTCGTACTCTGCTTCGAGTGCGGCAGCCGCTGAAGGGGTCATAGTACCGCTTTGGAAGGAAGAATACGCTGAATTATCTTGAGTTTCGGAGCCAAACTTGGGCTGAGTATTGACAGAAAAGGACCTGAATCTGCTAGCATTCCTCAGTCCTAAGTTTGTCAAGACATCAGACAAGCCGGCATCCCGAGCATGTGCCAGATCAGATCTAGATTGTTGAGGAGGTTCAGCGAGACCAAGATAGTCAAGGGTACGGACGCCTGAATCCGACATACCATCCTTAGAAAAGGACGATTGTTGGGGAGAGGTGGGATCATCAGCTGAACTTATACTGGTCAAGGTCGCAGCGCGAGCTCGTGTGCCCCAACTTGAACCAAATGGTGTTTGAGCAAATGGACCAGATGAGCCCAAGAGACTGGAGCGTTGCGGCATGCTTCCGGCACGCAGGCGTGATAAGAGAGTAGCATTTGAAGGAGTGTTGATGCTTGAGCCTGAAGTGGTGGAATAGAAAGCGGTCTCAGCAGCGGAGGTGGAACCAGGGCGGAAGGGGCTTGTGGAAGGAGTTGGACGGGATGTCTTGGAGGTGACCACATTGACGCCGTTGATCGTACCTACAGGCGAAATCCTTGAGGGCAAGGTACCGGCTCTTCCTCGCCTGGCGGGGCTATTGATACCGGTCTCTGTCAAGGGGACTAGATCCGGGAACCCGTCCTGAGAGGGAGACTCGGGAATTTCAAACAGAGGAGTTGAAGTTCCGCTTGTGGGTGGACCCCAGATATTTGGAGAGAGAGAGTTCTGAGACTGCAGTTCACGAGTTCGCTTCGGAAACAGTCGCGAGGCTTGTTCATGAAGAGGAGAACCGGCTCCGACTCTTGCACTAGACAAACCTGCGAGGCCTGCCGAAGTCTTTGGACCACCGAAAGGGGATTTTGAGGTTGGGACTGAGGAAGGATCGGTAAGAGGGGGCAAGCCAGAGAGATTGAGGTTCAGCTGGCCGTCCGATCTGGTGGTGGAAGCCATTGTCATGTTGGGCCACAGCGGAGTGTCCTGGAGTGTACCGGTATGGTTGGGGAGGGTGCTGAATAGGAACAAATTCAAGTCCACTACTTGTAGTGAGCGGCCTTGGTGGTGTGTCCGAAATTACAGCAGATCAAGTCAAGAATTGCCCAACTCGAATTGGCCAAGTCCATCCAACTTTTTCTTGCAGAATGTAAACCGGAAACACTCTTCTTTCAGGCCACGATTGTTGTCGGATCGGCAGGGATACGGCCAGCGAGAGACAGGATGGCACTGAATCAAAGGATGGACAATCGCAGGAAGAGTAAAATATTACTTTATGGGATACGGGGGAGGTGGTTGGATGGGACCGGGCGATGTGTGGCCGGGTAATAATAAGACAAGCTGTGGTCAAGGAAGGAATCGAAAGCAGCACTCCAGGGCTGAATAAGATATTAGATGGAGGAGGAAATAAAGCGAAAGCAGGTGGAAGAAACGGAGGTAGGAGGAGGTGAGGAAGTTGAAGGAGAGGATGATGCAGTGGATGGAGGTGGGAATAATGTGATTAGGGGCCAGGGAGGTAAGTTGGAACTGGAACTTGGTGCAAGTGGTGAGAGCAGTGCAGTTTTGCGGTGCGGTAGGTGGACAGGCATAGGTAGTATAGTGGTCGTTGGTCTTTGGCCGTAGCTCCCTTGCAGGTTACCGGGCTTGCCTTGGTGAACAGTTTTAGTTCGTCCCAGCACCGGCAGCAGTTTAACTAACCACCTTCATTACGTACCTAGAAGCTGGTTAGTGAGTGCATGCAAGCATAATCTGGGACACTAAGTTGAGTTAGTAGACTATTAGGTGCCCCCGGGTCTTCAACTACTGTCTAGTTGCTACTAACCGACTGTCCTTCATGCCCTGGGCCAGACAGCCTACGAGTAACTCCTAGGCTACCACGAGAGCACCACTAGTTACGAGTCACGGATTTTCCAGGGCCATTATCACCTACGAGCAGTACTCGTAAGTACTCTTGCCTGTCTATGCCGTGGCATTCTCTTGCTCGTGCTTCTACTCCTCCAATTCTTCGTACCTGCCAAGCAATATTCCTCATCCGTCCCGCAGGGAACCCTCATGCCTCAAGTCTCAAGGCAGAAGATCTCCCGCTCCCCAGGTCACAACGTGCCACTAGTCGTGCTCTGTCCAGGAGGTCCGTAGAAGAAGTCGAGGGTATTCGTGTATCTGGGTATGCAAGCCTACTGAGGTATCCTTGATTCCTTGGACTTTCTTCTTTCTCGTCTCGGATGAGCTACAACGCCTAACTGGGAGCGGATAGCGGGATATTCTCCGGCCACAGACTACAGTAGTAGACCAGACCATAGTCCACTCGGTCCCCTTGGTCCCCTGAGTCCCGAGGCTCACAGCCTCAGACCTGTTCGTTCTGTGGTATGTTCTGGAGCCTCCCGAAGCCAGCTAAGCCTAGAATTGTGGTCCGAGGGGTTCTTGCTCCACGCCCAAACATCCAGCTTCCACTCATGAAACAGATATCGTCTGTCCACCATGTTTGCTCAATTTAACACGATCATCCTTATTCCCTGGTCTTGACAATCTGACTGATCCTCAAGCCTAGTATTGTGTTCCAAACGGGATTTCCGGTCTGTTCACAGTTAGATGTTCGCTTGCTGTTCAATCCTCTTCGCGGGTTACTATCCTGGCAGAAAGATGAAACACTGGCGTTCAGCTGACGGAGCCAATCCGGGCGCCAGGACCAACCAAGCATCCACACTTTGCGGGGATGAGCATTCACACCTCTACCCCTGATCACATTCCCGCCTGGTGATCCCTCGGCTTCGGGCCCTTGGGTTTGGTCACTACTGGCACCATTAGGGCCTGGGTGGGTGTTGGGCGCTGCATATCTATCGAATAGTGGGCGAAGTCAGGCTATACTGCTGGCATACTCCGTAATCATCCATTCTATTCCTGGTCATATCACGAATGACGCGCCCATCAGTCCGAAGCATACTCTGCCACAGTCTTGGTTCTTTCCATCTCCATGTACCGTATGGAGCCAGCCCCCGGTCCTTGATTGAATTGTCCGGCATCACGTGTCCCTGATGATGTGATTGGGGTGACTGGCTTGCAAGGCAGCAGAGGCGCGTACGACTACCCTGAGCCCAAGGGGGGGGCACAAGCCCGCAAAGACAAGCTTGAGGACGGAGTAGTCCATACGAGTAGCTGCGTAAGCAGGCTTTTGCTTGGACTGCTGAGTGGCAGAGCTCGCCAGCGTGCATGAAATGGCTTGAACTGCCAGGATGGAGGTTGGGCATTGTGCACAACGAACTAGGTTACTTAGTCCTTGCTCTGGAGCAGTCTGTCCAACCTAGTAATTTGCTCAGAGACCATCGGCATCCAGCAGAATGAGTTCGGAATCAGGAGCACCTAGCTAGTAGCTACTCGGACGCATTACGGAGTACGGAGAACCTAGGTATTATTTGCCCCGGACTAGGTAATGTACTTAAAGTTAGGGTACATCTCCCCGGACCGCGGGTACCAACTCCCAGGTGCTTGGGTCGGTTCAGCTGCATTGGAGTTAGCATTAGTACTACGGTGTGTGGGAGAGAGTCGCCGTTCCGGAACAGTGCATGCCAGTGCATCCAAATACTGTCTGGAGACCTGAGTCTTGATTTTGCTAGAGATTCTGTGTCTAGGTAGTATCCATCGACGTAAAAAAGTCCCTAGCCCTAAGTACCAGGTATGTACGGAGTACTCGATACGATACCTTGGTTCAGTACTACTGTACGTACCTCGTACCGTGCCTCGTAGTGTCAGGCCTTACTCCGTACTTTTGGGAGTGGGTGTGGTACCTGAGCAATCTGCCGCACGCCACCACGAGGCTCAAACAGCCCAAAGTCTCCATGCATCTCTGCTATCGATAAAGCAATGCGCAATAATAGGCGAGGATTTTTGGCTGAGATTGCATGGTGCATGTGTTCGCTCGTCGGTTTGCATTCCGTCAACGGGACCGAGAGACGGCGTTCCGGCGTGCTGGCTTTCTGGTTGACGTAAAGCGAACCTTGAGATTGATGCGGATCAACGCACTTGTTTGAAGGCACAAAGTCAAGCCGAGCATCAACTGATGATAGTGGAGGATAGTGGATGAAGCTGGACACTTGGATGCTTCCCCGACGAACTCTCATCGAAATGGTGCCGGTTAGCATTATGTACACTTCCGGAATGTGTCCTGCCAAGCCCAGCTCTTCTCGTGTTTCCCATCCTATGGCATCCCATGGCATCCCATGGCTATCTCCATCTCCAGTCGGGTCCCTTGTCAGTGGTCACCGGTCGCTGGGCACATATACACTCTTCTTACGGAGTACGTACCTTCACTGCTACTAAACATCTGCCGTCACGCCGGATTATTCTCAACTACCAGGAACTACTTAGTGGTAAGCACGACACGAATCCATTCTTCTAGACCCAGAACATCAACTTGCGGTCCCCTACCCCCATGCATCTGCATCAGCCAGACACACCCTCCGTACGTGGCAATCACCACCTCTGCACCACCTTCTCTTAGACTCGCCACTGGTCTGCTACGACTCGTGGCATATTCCGATTCACACTCCGTCTTCGCTCGTTGCTCTACCCTCTTTCCTCGTCCTTCGTCGCTCTAGGCCACGGCCCGCCCCCGTTACTTCCAATATCAATGCCCCAAAGCCTGGCTTCTGTCCTGTTCAAGTTCGCTTTGCAATGACCCTCGCCAACCATGAACGGCATCACCCAGCCATTACCTGGCCTCCTTGATACCTTCCAGTTCCAGATTCCCGACCTGCCAGCCCTCACTGATTTCCAGATCGCCCCGCTCCGAGATCCTGCACCAACCCGTCCTGCCAATGTACCACTCCCTCTGGAACCGCTGACCAGCAACCTCCTGAACAACTCCCACCACCGAGAAGACAATCGTGAGAAGAGACGGGCTCCCAAGATCACTCCCAACGATGTATTACTTGCTCGGGAGGCAAAGAAACCACACTTGGCCATCAGCGAACTCCTCGAAGCCAACGATGGCCAGGAAATCCTGCCCACCCAGTTACCATCTTTCATAAGTCTTTCAGTCGTTGAAAAATCCCCAATTCAGGCTCCAACCTCTCTGGAATATGCTCACACGGCCGCTCACACGGCCGCTCAGAAGCGCCTGAGGTTGGATACTGACGCCGACCATGTCTCCTTGGATTTCATCAGACGATTACCCCGACCGGCCCAGAAGGATGAGAGACAACCAAGGCCGGCTCCTCTCCTGCCGGCCATGGTCACTGGCCTCCACGAGCCTCCACCATCCGCCGCACTTCTCCCTTCCATTGATGTCGCTTCCCGCCCTGGTGTTGTTCGCACTGCTACTACTTCCAAGATGCATGTCAAAGACATGCTGACACAATCCGATCCCAGCACTTCCCCGCCTCAATCGTCCTCAGCACCTGCACCGTCAAGTCAAGAGGTACTTCTCTTCAAAAATTCTGGTACTTTAACCACCACCCCTCCCCAAGAAGCCGGCTTTGCTGTTTTGGATCTGCAGCACACTACCTCATACCGGGACAACAAACCAAGAAGGGCCCGAAGAAAGTGGTCCGAAGAGGAGACCAGGGATTTACTGGCTGGTGTCAAAAAATATGGCATCGGCAAATGGAAGCAGATTTTAGATGACTCCTCTTTCAGTTTCTGTGAACGGAGTTCAGTCGATCTCAAGGATCGTTACAGGGTTTGTGCCAACAATGACTCCTTTCCCAAGTCAGACCCACCGCCGAGCAGGACACCGTCGAACGATGATTTGACCAACACGGCTCAATTTACGTCCCCTCCAAATAGTTCCACCCCCGCTGATGAGGCGGCACCCAAGTCACCCACCGATCATTCGCAGCCTCTAAAGCAACGTCGAAAGAGACGAGCTTGGACTGCATTGGAAGATGAGAATCTTATCAAAGGTGTGGCAAAGCATGGATTTCAGTGGACTGCCATCCATGACGACGTTCAGCTGGAGCTACAACATCGCCGAGCTACCGACCTGCGAGATCGTATCAGGAACAGGTTTCCTGATGGTTACAAACACGCCGAGTCTGCTCCTCTGAGATCCGAAATGAGGAAAGCAGAGAAAACCGGTGCTCCCGCATCGACAACTTCGTCAACAAGTTACGAAGATGGTGAAGTCCCTCCACAACAGTCGGCAACCTCGAAATCACAACCCAGCACAGCTGCCTTGACGCCTACGAGCACAGATACTCCTTCGCGACTCGTCAACGGAAATAACAGATCAACAGCGGCTACCGTGACCATGTTGATACACAACACTGATCATGATACCGAACCATGCAGCCACAAGTCTGATAAGGAAAAGGACAAGGACAAGGATCAGCTTCCTGGTGTTACTCTCCCGAGCTTCACTCTGGATGTGGATGACCATATGGATTGGGAAGATAACAGGCTACCCCCACTTCATGAATGGGACGATATCGGGCTTTGACTGAAACTGAGAAGCGAAGCTCGACAAGCTTCGTGCCCCAAGCTCAAGACATCGGTATCTGCACGATACAAAACGGGCGAGCAACCTTGAAAGTCCAAGAAACAACTCTCATTTCACATGCGTATTGGTATTTTTCGCTTTTTTGCAAACTGGATTTCACTGAGCGTGTTTTTGCGGGAACGGAAAAAGGGTGGTAGCAAGACCGAGGGTACAAATGGGCAGCCGCAAGGCATTTGCATTCTTTTGGGAATTTTCGATTTGACCTGCTGGCGAAAATCAACAGGCACACACCATTTTAAGAGGGACTAACACTTTCCCCTTCTACTTCTATGTTACGGTCGCTCTCTCTCTCTCTCTCTCTCTCTCCCCCTCTGAATTTTCCGTTCCTCACTTTTACTTGTTTTGTTTATACTATTTTTGCTTTGTTTTGCGTTCTTGCGCTTCAGCAAGAGATCTAGCTTTCACAGACTTATGATACCCCCAAGTATACACAGAGAGCGGAAAGAAGGAGAAAGGGAGAGCAAAGAGAAATTTTTGACGTTTTGGGTAGGCTTCCTTTGTGGTTGTCGCGGGATTTGGAAAATAGGCGAAAGGGAAAGGGAAAGGGAACGCAATGAAAGACAACAGGAAAAGATTTAAAAGTTATTTCTTTTTGGAGACATCAAGTCTTCTGAGATATGTTGGGAGAGAAAGGGAAGGTGACAGGGCCTTGGGCGAACAACCTGGCCAAACCCGAATCACAGCAGATCTTGTTGTCTTTGCACAACACGCGAAGGACAGGCAAGTTGGGTTCCATTCAGGCGCTGGGAGATCCAGCATCAAGTGCTATTGAGTTGACCTCGTACTGGCGTTCCTCCTCGTAGAGCCATCGTGGGGCTCCAAGGATGGCCCATGACAGCCAGTGACTATATACAAGCTGATTAACTACGTATTATGTAGATAGTAGTAGATAGTAAATGTACCAAGTCATCACTTATCTATCAGTCCAAAGAAGCCATGGCTGCAGAAACTACTCCTAAAATTGATAGACCCAGCGTCTCAGACGAAATGAAAAGAAGATCATGATCTGCGGCTTTTCAAGATGCAGTGTAGCACTTGACATAGGTCTGGTTCTGGGTCCTCGTACACGTGGATTTGCATGCTTACGCAGAGGGACAGAGGGAGGCGCGCAGAACGGAATACACAGAAGGCAAAAATCCGGGAGCATGTTTCGAGAAGGGGGGAATAATAAATGCGTACTCGGTTTCGATTTAGAATCGCATTGAGTAGCTGCATATACGAATTTCCGTACCAGTACGAGGAACGACATCTCAGATGGCTTGGTCGGCTTCATTGCCGACCGCCTCATTTTCCTTCGCAATCCAAGGGTTGATCATTTCAAGGCAGGGCAAAACAGATGGTCGTGTTTATTGTACTCCGAAACGAGACATGCCGCTCTCCAGACTCCGTGGTGACCTGCCAAGTTTCTCGCGCCGAAAAGAAGCATTGCTGCAGAATATCGTTGCATCGTGATGGATCATCTTGTCGGTATTTGTCTCATCATTCTCATAGTTCGCTCACAGCCGGAAACCGATTTCAAGGAGGTTTGGGCGCAGTCTTCTCACATTCACTAGCCCACCTCACCACGCATTGCGGTCCCAATTGGGATCTGCGTTTCAGCGACTGTCAGCTTTTCTAAACGCTCAATATCTGGAAAAGTTACACCCGTTACACCCTTACCTTGTATGAATGCCCCGAGGACTTTGCTGCCTGTCTGCAGCAGTGGATGGCCTACAACAATCTGCAAGAACCTTTGGAGGCCCTCCCTTCTGTGCTCGATCACATCGTCGGAGAATCTGTTGGTAAAGACCTTGCCGGGCAGCGGTGGAATGGTGACTCTAGCGCTCTCACGTTCCAATATGTCACGGAAGTACTCGAAATCTGAATAGCGGCGCCTAACAACAGAGTGGCGCAGTTTGAACGCTGGGATGTTTGTTCGCGTATGGATTTCATATGAGGTGTACATGTTCCGGGGTGACGAGCCATGCGTTTGGGGATTCTTGACCTGTAGGCAGCCATGCTGTCAGCCAAGATGCTCAAAGAGTACGGAGTCTTGCGGAGGCACTGACTTCGATCTCGAGAAAGTTCTCAGGAGGACCATAGATCTCTTCGAAGGTCTGTTGGCGGGAGTCTGGTAAGGCTTGCATGATTGTGGTTGAAACCTGGATGGTGGGGTGACCGGAGGTGGTCGAAGGACGGGGATTACAGGCGCGTGCAGGATGCGATTGAGGACAGGAACAATATTCTAGGGTCGAGGTTCTTTTCCGCAAGTTAGATTTCGAAGGATGCCAAATGACAATGGAGGGCAGAGAGGGTGCTGGGTTGTGGGTGGAGGTTCAAGCAGTCGCTCTTTGCCGCTGCAACTTTCCTCCCGCTTCGTCGATCCGGATTTGGCACTTGCTGGTTAGTGAGGACTCAGTGCGGCACCTACCTAAGTACTCGTACCTAAAATTCTAGGTGTCACCAGTCGCAGTTGCAGTTGCAGGAATCAGCAGTCCGCTCCTTCCCGTTACCTGAACCTTGCGGTCTGCACCCCGCGTCCAGGCTTGGCACCGATGGACTTTGGGAAAAAATCATGCCAAGAATCTATCCAATATTTTTCATGACCGAAGCTGCCTCCTATTCAATCGGCCAGACACGCCCATTGAATCCTCACCGTAACAAATACAATGTCAAAAAAACGCAAGAGGGAAGTCGACATCGAACTCGTCAAGGTCTATGAGGAATTGGCGGACGAGAATGAGCCAGTGCGTCTCAAGGCGGCTATGACTTTGGTCTCAATCATCTTCAAACCGGGGGTAACAAGTGAAGAACAGACCAAATCCATTATTACGCGCCTCTTTCGGGGACTATGCAGTGGCCGCAAGGCCGCTCGACTCGGCTTTTCTGTTGCCCTGACTGAGTTACTATCCAAGCTTCCCGTATCATCAGATGCATTCCCGACCGCAACAGTGCCGACTTCGAGCGTGGTAGATCTCCTCGAAGCCAATACGATGCCTGAAGGTGGTACCTCTGGCCAAGAGGAGCGAGATCACTATTTTGGAAGAATTTTCGGTGCTGAGGCCGTCCTCAAATCTGGCATTCTGTTCAAGACCCCGCAGCCTGTTCAGTGGAAACGCGTCTTGGATCTCATCTGTGCAGTTGCTCTGAAGAAGCCATGGCTCAGACAAACATGTGGTCGAGCACTATACAACTGCATCCTATCCAACGACTCCAAGCTTGTCACCGAGACATTTGTCATAGACACAATATCCGCATTCGACACGTACAGACTCATTCGCACGCCTGAAGGCGTTGCCGTATGGATCGCAGCTACTCGTGCATTCCCGCAAGCACAATTGCCCAAGTCTTTATGGTACGACGAAGACCCTCTGGGGAGCAAGGGTATGAATTCGCTTGCTGTCATACTGGTGGACGCTCGCACTCACTCAGACGGCTCTGATGAGGCTTTTGAAGCTCAAGGGTCTGCCGCGTGGTCCGCAAATCTGCATTTCGCTTGGGATGTGGTCTTAAGTGATCTGTATCAGGCAAGACCTACGAGCGAACAGAATGGCCATCGTCCTGTTAAGAGAGTTGGTTTCGAAACGTTTTGGCTGACTGTGGTGGACGATGGTCTCTTCGCAGACACCAGTAGCACAGAGCGCAAAGCATGGGGTCTTAGTCTCTGGAAGAAAGTGTTCGAAACAGCGCCGCAAACATATTTGGAGTATACCTTTTCACATCGTGCTCTAAATTGCTTGGTCAATTCGCTCAGAGCTACAGACAGATATTTACAGAAGCTTGCGCAAAGGGTTTCTCAGGTCTTCCCCACACGTTTGTCAGGATCTGCGCTAGTTTCCACCGATTACGGGCTTGTCGGCACCTGTATCCAGTCACTATTAGAATCTGTTTCATTTGGCGACTTCGACCAGATCACCAAATCCAAAACTATGCTCAATATTCTCGAAGTTGAGCAGCCATCCGTTCAAGAAGCCATTTTCCTGACACTTGAGAAATTGCTCAACGCCTCTTTAAATGAAGACGAAGAGAAGGAACGCTCTACTCAACAAAAGACTGTCATTGCTTTGCAAGGAAAACTCCTGGCCGCATCTCTTCGCCACCTCGAACAACAACTCGCAACAGATGAAGTGAAGCTCGCTCAGCTCAATGTCTCTCGGATGATACTTAAGGCTTGGGTGCAACGAGGTTATGTTTCCTCGCAGACACCTTCATCCAATGCTCTGCCACAGAGTTTCTTTACAGAGCAAGCTCGAAAATTGCTCAAAGACCGCCTTGCATCGGGCTTCGAACAAACCCTGAAGCTCGGAAAGCCTGGTATTGAACTACTGAGAGAAACCTTGCTTTGTGTTTCTCAGCTTGAGAAGGATGGGGTTTCACTGGCCGTTCAATTTGAAGAAGAAATTAAAGCCAGCGTACGGAAAGGCTGGAAGAAATTGGCAAAGATGAAAGTCTCGGAGGGACCATATATCAACACCACACGCTATAAACAAAGTACTGGATCCATTCAGGATGGACTGGTGCTTTTGTACTGCTTGGTTCTATTCCAGATCTACAATGGCGAAGCAGAGGCGGTCGAAATCTTACAAGAAGTCATCGCACTGGATGATGACCTGAAAGCGAAGAGAAAGCGAGTGTCAACCTCGATCAGCGACGATGTTTCGATAATTCAGATCTTGCTCGGCTTTGCGTCCCGTCCCTCAAAATTTATGAGACGTATCACTATCCAAATGTTCGAGGCATTTGCACCACAGGTCAGCCGTGAGGGTCTTCAATCGCTGTGCGATGTTCTCGAAGCCAAAGAAAACGCTCAGGGTCAACAAGAAATGTTCGAAGAGAGAGACACGGAGATGAATGAGGATGATGCAGATAGCATTGGCTCGGACGTGGACGAACTAGGGTCAGATGTAGAGGTTTTGGATGCGTCAGAAGATGGGGATGACGAATCCAGTACTGGGTCTGAGAGCGAGAATGAGCAACAGAATGATGACGAAGCCGAAGAAGAAGACGACGAGCTTGCAGCATTTGATGCCGCTCTGGCCTCAGCGTTGGGAACCCGACAATTGAACGAAAATGATACTGATCCAACCTCGGACTCTGATTCTGATATGGATGACGACGAAATGATGGAGCTAGACTCAAAACTGGTTGAGGTCTTTCGAGCTCGTGAAGAGCAGCAATCGAAGAACAAACAGCGCTCTGCCAAAGACGCAAAGGAGAACATCATCAACTTCAAGAACCGAGTGCTCGATCTCATCGAATCATATCTGAAACAACAATACCAGAACGCCCTCGCGATCGATCTGATCTTGCCACTATTGCGATTGGTCCGCACAACGCAAGCGAAACAGGTAGCCACCAGGGCCGGAGACATCCTCCGTGGATTGGCTTCTAGATGCAAAGGGCAACTCATCCCCGAGCTAGCGGGTGTCGATGGTCTTAAACATGCGACCTCGGAGTTGGTGAAGATTCATGAAGAAGCCGGCCTGCAATCCTCGAATTTGCATTCTACTCTGGCTAGCCTTGGCAGTATTCTTGTGGTGAAAGCGATGACCAAGTCACATCCCGGAAGCATTCGAGCCGTGATCGACATTTATGCCTCCACACGTCTGAAACAACTGACTAAAGAATCATGCTTCATAACACCTGGTTTCTTCACAGATTGGAACAACTGGTGCCAGAGTATGGAGAAGAAATTAGCTCAATAGGCCAGAGGAGGGTGAATAAATTCAACCACCCACTGTCAGATGCCTGACATTATGTGCATACCTTTTGTTTACTTTTCACCTTCCTTGACGCCCTCGCTCTATCCAACGCCCTTGTTGGACATATGAGCAGGATGAAACTAACTTTCAGTGTGGGAACAGATCATGTCGACTAACCATCTCCCTCCTTCACCTTCCCACACGTATCACATTTCCATCAGGTACACAGAGTCTGAATGTGGAGATGCTGGCAATGGCGTCCGTGCTTCCGGGGCCGCACTCGAGTTCACGATCCTATACGAGTCCCACTCTCCTGTAGCCTCTGAAGGGACATTGTCCAGCCGTATGGCCTGACAGATGCCCTTGCCAGGATCATATTCTCATATGCTGGATCGGAGAACGCCTTTAATTGCTGTCAGTGAAGTCAAAGGATGTTCTTAGTTCACACTCTGTCCTGAAACCCCCTGCGCGATCATCCGTACTCTGTTCTCTTTCCCGCACAAGATCCATGCACACTCTACTCAGTAGTACGCAGTGACACACACCAGTGGCGCGACTTGAGCCATGGAACGTGGCCTCGCCTCCACGGATATCTTGAATCCTGGAAAGCCGCGCAAGGCTCCAACACCAGCAGTCAACCACTTGCCTCGTAGCCCGGCCTTGTCCTTACGGTGCTCCGTATTTCAAGGGATAAATACTGGATTTTCATTTCAACGAGTACAGTACATAGTAACTTCTGAACCTTCTGTGTGCTCGGCCCGATTCTAGAGAGACGCATGTTCCGAAGCGTCCCACAACGATGGGTTTTCCGGGTGGATTTCCGAAGCCTTTACATTCTAAATACTCAGCAGTTGAACAAGTGGCGCGGTGGGTGTTGCGTTCTCGACTGGTTAACCGGTTGGCTACTATGTAACTACCTAACTAGTGGTATGGAACTGCAACTCATGACTACTATAGGTAGGGAAAGAACAGGCGGTAAACGCCACGGACGGCAGAAGAAGCAAAGAGGTCGACTCACACAAATCAGCATACCTTGAGATAGCGTGACTGCTAGACTCTAGTTAATTAGACTCTGCATGCATTTCCCGATCTTCGTGCGGAGTCTAAGTTCGTAGATAGGTTAGTAGTTAAATAATTGGGCCAGTGTCCCCCGCATGCCAAAGGACGGTTCACGGCCAAGACAAATAGGAGGCACAGCCTTGTGCTCGAGGTCGGTTGCGACAATTGCTTGGACCGCGACTATGCACCTAGGAGGAATATGAAGACAGGCTTCTGCAATATCGGTGTCTGCAGAACCATCCGTAGCCATACTCACTTATTTGCTGGGCTCTTACGCATTGAAAGCAGGAAATGGAACTATTCTCTAAACCCAAAATAATGTGTTGTAGTACTTACCTAGTCAGCGGATAACTCGCAAAATCAGTGGCGCAAAGAAAGAATATTGTACCAACCTCTGAAAGGCAACGCCACAAGCATATGAAAATAGAAAACGGGGGTCAGATACACTTACCCTGTCCACTCCACTTACCTTGGCATCGCGGATCTGATTCCCATTGAGCACAGTATTTTGCTCACGGTCATTTGAGACGAGGGTGATTCTATACCAACATCTCAACGTCCGAGTGTGCATCCGAGTCCCCATCCGATTCCTCCCAGCTTGAGTCGTCCCCAAACATGTCCAAGTCTCGAAGGTCAGGTCGACGTCGCGGTGGTTGGATATACAATCGCTCTTCACCAGATTCGGCGGAGTGCGCTGTACGCACGCCGCTATTGCTGTCAGAGGTCTCACTGCCGCTGGCGTCGGTCAAATCGCTGTCACCGTCCGCGTCCGTGGAAGGGTCAGGTGATTGCCAAGTGCGGCAGCGGTTCGAGCGGCGTGCCGCTGCAGCCTCGTCCACGGCCAGAGAGTATGTGATTCTGCGGAGCGCACCCATGTCCATGGCGCGAACCGGCGGCTGGTCCGTATTGTCGTCCTCAGGCGGATCTGGGAGGTCCTGGACGGCGGTGGTGAAAGCCGAGTGTCGCGGGGCAACGCTTCGGCGCGCGCCATCATCATCGCTATCGTCGTCGTCTTCCGTCTCCTCATTACTACCCTCATAGATCTCATCTTCTTCAAGACCCTCATGATTGGCAACGTGCCGCTCTTCGGGGGTAATAGTTTCCTCTGGAACAATCAGTACGGAGTCCAAGGTGAGTAATGCGTTACGTACCTTGTAGCGTAGCTCGACAAGGAGCTCCTCTAGCACAACACCCTGGCCACTCGCCGCTCTCCACAATTGCTCGCGCAGGAAGGGCCATTCTGGACTGTGTTCCATATACTCGAATTCCATCATGAGAGGCAACAAGTCCCGGCGGATGTCGCTATGAGTGATAACACGGGTCTCAGAGTCTTGCGCTGGGAGCGTTCTGACTCGAAGGGCACCATACGTCAGGCAATAGAACTCGGCATGGAGTTCTTCGATATCTGCCTGAAAACTCCGCACCCACTGAGCTTGCCATTCACTGTAGAAAGCGCCGTGCTGAGGTAAACCATCTGGATCAAGCATGATCATGTCCGCGAAGGTTGTGATCTCAAGGTCACTCTGCAAGTTCTCGAGCTCAAAGCCCAATCTCCACAATTGCGGTTGTGCGTCTGATGACTCTCTACACCGATCAATCTCTGCGGCGTATTGCACCAGCCGGTCCGCGATAAGATTTGCCTCTGTTAAATTCTCAGGGATTTCTGCAAGCTGGCTCAACCAATCTTGGAGCCGATACAGAATTCGAGTGTGTCTCGCGATTCTGTGTGCATGCAGATCATCCGAAGCTTCGCTATTGGCAGATTGCACGCGTCTCGATGAAAACATTGCGTTAAGATATTGAACAGGCTCATCTGACCTACGTACAGGAGCTTGTATTGTTAGATGAAAGTCCGTCCCTGGATTAGGAGAAGGTTGAGGGGCGACATTGGGTACTGAACGAGGAATATGAGGGTGATTGACAAGACCGTCGACCATGTCAACGTCAATATCAAGAGTCGAACTAGGAGCGCGATGATAGTTGGCAAACCCGGCGAACATGTCTGAAATGCGATTTTTTCGCTCATTCACCTCCGCCAGGAAGTCGAACAATGAAGCAAAGGTATAGCGATGGTTGGCTGTACTGAATGACATTAAAGTCATAGTGACAGAAGGATCCGTAAGCTTGTAAAACAGCTTCAGGATGCCTGCCGTCAGATCAGAGCTTTCGTCATGAATACCCATAACGTTCAAACCTTTGGCACGTCCCAGATGGTTTACTAGTCCAATTGCGTTGGCGGAAGGCGAAAGATTGTCGAAATACGAGACTCGGGTAGTCACGTCTGGCTGCAGCAGCTCAAATAAGCCCCGAACTGTCCCAGCCATCGAGCTGTTGATAATTTCCCAAGGCGTCGCGTTCGCAAAGTCAACGCCTGACTCAATATCAATTTCTTGCATTCGTCTATGACGTGCCTCTGAGATGATACGACGAATCCTTGAGGGAGTCTCGTGGATCGCTCGGGATGCAAGGTGAACCGGTTCATGAGGACCGTAAGGATAAATGACTGAAGGAATGTCAGCTGGATCAAGGCGATACTGATCATTGAGATACTCGATGATATCTTGCTTGTTGAACACACTACTCACAGTCTCATCACAACCAAGCCATCCGGGAGGCTTACGATCTGAGACCATCAGCTGACGGGGCCCAGGAACGGCGGGAGACGCAGGGCTCTCTTGCACTGGAGGGAAATCTGCCATAGATACATCAATATGGGAAGATTCTCCAACAGCTTCCACGTTTTCACAAACCGGTGATGGAAGCCCCGACGAAAAGTCTAGGTAGCTTGGGACATTGCCATAAATCGGTGGCGGGAGCCCAGGAGAGTATTCCGGAGGATTCGGAGTGTCGCCAGGGCTATAATAAGGCGCAAGCTGTCCTCCAAAATCGCCAACTTCGTGGGGATGCTTGAAAGTCACATTGCCCCAAGTGGGGCGAGGTGAATATAGTGGAGGTGGAACAGAAAACGATGATCGCCTATCCTGAGCTTCAATGATTTCAGTCCCAAGCTCAGCTAGACGCCGTCCAGGAGGAGCCGGTCGAACGTCGCCAACAGGAACGACAGGCACTCCGTCCTCGTTTGTGGGAAGCGCATCGATCCACTCATTCCAGATCTCAATAATCATATCTTCTTCCAGCTCGAATCCCCATCTAGTCGATAGGTACTTCTCAACAAATGCGGGAGTATTGTCACGAAGATTGATAATCTCATAGTATATACCTGATGGGATAACGGTCCCGCGCACAAATTCTGGATGGTCGATGGCGGGTTCCTCTGGAAACACTACATGTTCTCCTTCGGGGACAGGGAGCTCAGTCGTGTCGAAGTCCATATCGAGAACTGCCTCTGCTGTATCCGGACATATCTCACGGTTCCACTCTTCACGAAATTTGAGAGGGACTTCTTCACAAGAAAGCCCCTCGTTGAAATACCGCATGATTCGCTTTGCCATACCAACCGACAGAATCTCTCCGGTAGGCTTCATCAGAAGACGAGGCCACTTTCTGTCGTGGAGGATCTCGGGCTCGAGTTCGGGGTCATCGATAAATATCTTTGAAAAGGAAGGCATGGTTGCCGTTACTGGTGCTGATGTTGATTTTGTTGATGTTGATATTAGTGCTGACGTTGCTGCTATTGCTGTTATTTATGTTATTGGTGCTGTTGTTGTGTAGGCACTTTAGACCCCTTGGTAGTAGTATTGGAGTTGGCTAGGGCAGATCAGAAAATTAATGAAGCTTCGCGGTTGACTTGTAAACCAGATGATGGGTTCTAGTCGAGACTGTTCGGATCTGATACTACTATCTGCGAGATCAAAGCTGTGTTGGTCATGGAGATCGAAAAATCGAGGCTGCCATGGACGGCAAGACCACGTTACCTAAATAGAGCATGCCAGAGGGGGACTTCGGATCATGCATAAAGAATGGCCTAGCCATCGTGGCTCTTTGTTCAGTTGTTGACTGGACAAGAAGTCGTTGTTGTCTTGGTTCAACAGCACAAGGCTCTTTGGTTCGGCAAAGTAACGATTTCTTTCTTTCTAGCTAGCAGGAGGCTAGGAGCTCTTCGGTCTTGCGTGATGGAAACTTCACGCAGCAGGTGGGTGTTGATCTCGAGCTGTTGGGAGCATCAGTGGAACCCACCTCAGCACTCCCTTGATAAGATGACCTGAAATCATAGCTGAATTAACCATGACAGTCAAAAGCAGTGTCTATGGGTGGCAATGCGTCTGGGTTCTATCTTGCTCGGTTCCACCATGGCCACAGTGCCATGACCAGCTTCAATGGCCGTACCTCATGGATAAGCATTAAGAGAAAGTATGCCAAAGGAGAAAATTTTAGCTTATTGAAATGAAGAGTGCCGAGTAATAAGAAAAAAAGAATGGAAGCCCGTTCACAGAAAAGTGTTGGTTGACTGACTTCACCGTATTAACAGTATGCAATGCCTGGCCTGCTGACACGATGATTTACCCATCAGCCATCGGCATCTTACGGAAATCCTGCCAAAGTTGAAAGATCGGGTAGGGAGCGCATGCACCCCCAGCATACTTGTTGAGAGCGGAAATCGCTAATGCTCGCCCCCCAGAAAAACGATAAGGATTTCACCATACCCAACCAGAGAAAGGAATTCATGAAACTGGCTCCAGCCTCCAAATGAATCAACACCCGGCCTAATTTCCTCCTTTCAACCCAGCGCCTAGCCCTTCTGCTTCATCTCATCACCGTCAGCCTTCTCGCATACTCGATCTGGGTCTCGATCTCCGCGTGGCGCTGCAAGGTCTTCTTGATTTCATAATCGATGGCAGCGATCGTTCGCCTCCTCTCGTCTTCGTCGTCCACCACACCGGTGCGGCCGAGCTTCCTCCTCCCACGCGCGGTCACACTTTTCTCATATCTCTCATTGCTGATGTTGTTGCTATTGAGCAACTCTTTCCGGCGTGCAAGCGCCAATGTCGTGCTGAGCTGCTGCTTCTCCTGTGGCTTGAATTCCTCGAGGTGAGACTCTGCATCTCCAAGGTGCTCGGGTTCAGGTTCGAGTTCACGGTGTACGTCAAGGCGCGACGCCCGCCGGGTGTAGATGCTGAATCGCTTTTTCGGACTCGTGGACAACAGTAGAGTGCTGAGTCTATTGCTCGACCTATTCGCCTTGGAACCGTTCCCCACAGCAGCTTCGGTGGTTCTCTTCGATGCGTGCGCGGTCATTAAGCGGTGGTTGTCCGTGATTGCGGTGATGACTTCCTCCACGGACCGCCGGGTTTTAATCCCGCCATCTAAAACGATGAGTTGAACGACCTGCTGCTTTGGGATGCCATCGTGCAGGAGCTCGGCGATCCGCCAATAGGCGGGCAGAGGCACTTCGTAGCTGTAAATATTGATTGTGGGGATGCCGCTGTAATTAGGGAATGGCGCGAATAGTGCTCGCACCGTCTCAGGCTTTGGAGACATTGTTGATCATTAACGATCATCACCTTGCCAGCCTGCGGCGTGACCACGAGTCTGGAGCTGTAACCTACATGCTGGAAGGTTGAGCTGCGCATGTTGAAGTTGTCATAATTTCATCGCTCTGAGATTGGATGTACTGTAGGATGTTTCATTGTCGGTTCTTTGTTCGAACCTCAGAGAATATCCTTTACCACGCCGGATTCGGTAACCGCTCGGCCACCAGGCGCATTGGCGGAATACAAAGAACACGGCCTAGTTGTCACTGCAATCAGCCACAGCAGGCCTCCCTGATGGAATATTTGTCCAATACCAGCGTTCTGACGGCTGAGGAGCAAAATGACTTCAGCCTTGTGAGTAGAATGTGCATTGCGAAGTTTAGCCGGGCTGGGAAGGCCGTTGAACAACGTGATAGCGTGGACGCAGATGAAGATCTCAGAGTGTTCAAAGCAAAGGGTAGGATCGTAAATGCCGTGTGGTGTTAAGATGGCTTAGACACTTTTCATAAGACTGGAGTTTCGAGGAATATGTGTAATTGCAGAGCTCGGGCCGAGATTACGTTTATGAAATGGTCATCCTCAATGCCTCCATATGCGGGCTCGAGTCGGTCGGTAAGAGGACGTGAAAGTCTAACCATATGGTCATTGTTCATCATCACATTAGCTTCTGTTATTCGCCTTTGTTACACATGCCTCATAAGCCACTGGCAAGCCATTAAGGGTAGGTTGGAATTGTCTGGCACATGACAGCATGATTCTCTTCATATCTCACAGCCTTTCCCTTCTTTCCGACATGCCGCTGATAATATTTTCCAGGCCATTCACAAGGGGAAGAATAAATATGCGCAAACGAATATGGGGTATCTCCTCGCAATTGAAACTTTCATCAAGTCCTTGGGTAACGCTCCAGGTTTGGTTTCGATCGATGCTGATAAGAAATGAGGTGTAGTTCCTGATCATTTAATATGACATCCACATCATAGAGGGTCAGCTGCTTGTTCGAGTTCGTCAATCACGACAATGTCTGGCAGTGGCGCGTACTGAAGCCCGGTCGCTTTTTCCACCTTCGTACGCTCGATTAGAGCTTGAGTTCTCCATCTTGCTTCCAGCCTGGCTCTCTTCTGCCCTAGAATCAATGTCACACTTGATTGTTGGTTGGAAAACTCCTTCTCCACGGCATCGAGTTCTTTTTGCAGTTCCAGCTCCAACTGGTTGATTTCAAGTTCTTTTTTATTCATGAGATTCTCCACGGCCTTCTTCTGCTTGCCTCGAAGAACGTTGATCTTGGACATATGGAGGGTGTCCATGGCATCACGTTCGCGATATTGTTGAGCGAGACTGTGGTAGTCTTTGTCGGTGACCTTGCGTTCTGGTAATGAAGAGTCGCTTGATGGCCTGCCTGACACCGCGTCAATAGGCGTGGGAGGGGGCGTGGGGTTTCTGCAATAGGCCTCCATGTGCCGCAGTCGTACCATGACGGCGCGCTTTTCCATGTCGTGCTCCTTTTGGATTTTCAATTCTTCCTCGAGTTGACGGGCTTCAAGTTCTTCTACCGCCCTCTCTTTCTGCATTGTGTTAGATAGTCTGAAGGAGACAATCTCGTGGACTCACCTTGTCAAATCGCTCTGCGATCAGCCTGTCCCAGTCTGTGCGCGTACGCGCTTTGGCTCGGTCACATTGCTCTCTTAGGTCAGAGATGAGCGCAGCCTGGTATCGAAGAAACCGAGCCTTCTGGTCAAGCTGTGCCGTTTGCAGATTGAGCATCTCTTTACACTCCAAACTTCTTTTCATAGCTTCTGGGTCGGGTAAGTGTTGATGTTCATAGCTTGACTTGGCGCAAGACATGGGTTGTGAGCATGAGCTCTTGCTCGATTTGAGTGACAATGGGCTTTTCAAGTCACTCTTGATGGACAGGTCGCCGCTGGCATTAGTACCGGTGTCGCTGCTAATGCTTGAGAGAGTGGAAGAAGAGGTGAGGGCTGCGGATCTGCGCTTTCGGAAGCCTGCCATTCTCCGAAAACCCCTGCGAAAAGGTGAAGTAGGCTTTTTGGAAACATCGGTGGGTGTCGACAGGGAATCCGAGTCAGTAAGGATTTGCTCCGACGTAGGAGATGGGTGGATTGTATGACGATAGTCACTGGATGCACAGGAAGTAGGTGGGGTAGAATATGACTGAATGGAACCCTGATTGATGGAATTGGAGCGAATGGTGACTGTAGATGTGGGAGAGGTGATACCGTCGACATCTACGGCAGGCCGCACAGGCAGCAAGCCGAGACGCCGGGCCTCAAGTGCTACACAATCATCTAGGTCGTCCTCCGTTGTGGGAGGAAGGAGCTGCAGGATAGAAGCATTGTAAAAGTCGATGTCGACCAAGTTGAGGTGTGATTTCCAGGTAGGGTCCTCCAGACGCAACGGCTTTCGCTGAGAGTTGGTGATTGAGGGTGAGGAGGCCGAGGTGAAGGGCCAGGCCTGTGCAGTTGCTGTCATGGTGATCGCAAAGGGTGGTTGATGTCTTTGCCAGATGATTGCACGCAGCTACCTAGCCATGGTGTCACACCGAGACGTCCTCTAGATTTCACCTCAAGAGTTCGAGGAGGAGGGCGAGGGCCTGTGAGTGTAACCACAAGGCGACAGGATGCAGCAGGTGTTGCGACAATGCTGATGGCTAAGTGGAAGATCAGAGAGGCAGGCCGGTGGGGCTGATGAAGCGGTCACCAGTCATGGCTAGAACCAGCTGTCAGCGAGAGCCAATACCACCAAATTTAGGCCTTACAATTGAAATGTCTGATTGCAGCGAGTGTGAGACCAGCGAGCAAGAGAGTGGCTTTCGAAGAGGTCGACCTCAACAACGTTGGAGGTGAAGAGGTGACAATGCGAAGAAGCACGAGGAGGTTCGAAGATGTTCTCAGAAGGCAGGCGGTCGGTTGGCAGCGGTACAGTGTCGTAGGTGGAGGTGTGTTTTGCAAGGATCCCCAACTAACGGCGGAGCCGGGACAGGGGAGGCAAGGTAGACCGTGAGGAGCCACAACGGCGGCGGCGCCAACTTTTGGGGCGGTTGTGGGGTCTGGTGCTTGACTTCAGTGGATCTCTCTTGACTAGGGAGAAGAAAGGCTCTCGAGATGGGCGATGGATGGAAAGGACACGAAGGTAGGATGTGAGGCCAGAGAAGGGCAATGCTGACAAGGACGAAGACGCACTTTCAAAGTCCGGAGGATCGAGTAGAACGACTGGGCACGAGACAGGTGCTTTAATTAGCGAGGGCAGGAATTGGGCAAGACTGCTCAACATGGGGTTGTTGAGGAGTGCATTTGCGATTCACAAAGCAGGGTGAGTGGTGTTGGTGGGAGATGGTGGTGGCTTGTCCCAACTCCCTCAGTGGCATGCCGCCAGCTAATAAGGTATCATATGCTAGTAGTCAGTCAACAGTGACAGTAACGCCTTCCTCGGTGGCAGAACTGAGCCCGACTTGGAACAAGAGGGCAAGTAGGGGGCCGCTTGGAGGCTTAGAGAGGGAGGGGCGGCCGACTGAATGTTTGACGCCGGTGAGGCGAATTGAACCGAATGGATTAGCATCTCGTCAGAATCAAGCAACGACAACTCACGGGTTCGATCAGACGCGGAAGGAGCCATGTCAAATCGCCAAAGTCGACCAGCCGTGGCTTCCTTCATTGGTTGCTGCCCCGTCCAATGAAGGCGCCTGCACCCCGGAGCGCCTTCCTTTCTCCTCACCCGCCCACGCTCGGTTTCCAATTCTGTGCGATCTTCTCTTCCTTCGGTCGGAAACCACAGCACGGCTGCTTTGGGAAGTACGGAGTATTAGCTAGTCGCCTAGTCGCCTAGTCGCCTAGCCGCTGAGTAGCCGAGTAGCCGAGTAGCCGAGTAGTTGACTGCACGTTTTCAAGGTTCCGATGTGGCGCTGGTGGGCCGTGTGTATCACCCCTTCCTGTGCTCCCGGGGGGACTTGGGCCCTCGGCCCTGGCTTTAGGCGGGGCGAGGCCACCTGTGCTGCGACATCTCTCTAACTAGACCTCTTATGCCAACTTGGCCACTACTTCTCAGGAGACTAAAAACAGCGTCATTCAACTCCTACCACAGCCGTATCCTGCACATATATATATGATGAGATCGAGCATTTACGCAGTACATCCAGGTTGCCAGCGATCTGGAGTGTGTGGCTTGAGATTCCAATGAGATCAGATGTACGATGGCGATGGCGATGGCGTCTACTGTAGTTCTAAGGCGAATGGTGGGCGGGACGAAGCGAGGTCGTCGCACTGGCACGGCGGCAATCACAGCGCCCTTTAGCGCTCTTTCGGGCCCTGGTCTTGGAGCCGAGGGCTGCTTGGGGGCTTGCCACTGCTTAGGTGCCGGGTGGGTGCTAAGCTGTTGGCTAAGTCGCCCCAGAAGGATAAGGAGTCATCCAATTGGCAGCCCCAGGACCATCACCGCCTTGCATCTCGTAACCGCGACTTTGGAAGACACTAGCAGCTGTCAACAATGACAACTTGATATCCATCAAAGATGGCCTCTCTGTTGATTCAGATCATCTCCAGCAATCCGTAGTTTGCGCCAAAAACGTCAGAATGGGCTTGTTTGCCAATTCCAATTCTCACCTACACACCGCTTGCACTGCTTCCAGCTGTCTATCTCATTCACCTCCGTTCACACCCTTTGATCACAAAGGCTTTGCTCGCAAACCCACACCCTTGGGCCCATTATCCCAAGCCTAAGCCAGTAGCCTCCGTGGTGGGTTTCTCGCCTTGCCCCAAGCGTGACGCCCTCCCAAGCCACCAGCCCACCACCTCATCGGCCCAACCGAAAAGGTGAATGTTTCGGGTATGATTGATGCGCATCCTTCCATGCCCAAGTGGCTCCAGAGCGCTGTTCATCCACAAACGGGAGCATCCTCAGCCACGGACCAGGTGAGGAGGAATCTGCACTTCTGTCTACATCTTCATCCGTTGTCACGTCCCCACTACTCTTTAGCGTATACCTCATCAAGTTCTTCCGTTCTATGCCTTCCAATGAATGCTAATAAGGATACTAAGGTATTGTTAACACGCATGTCAGGACCCACAGGTGCAGGATTGAGGGTAAAGAAGATGTTATTTTAATTCGTGTTGGTGTTTACCCCGGGCAGTTGAAAGGACGACATCATCCCCTCTTCGTACCCACGCATGTTACGGACTGAGTCCTGTAGTAATAGATTTCTATTCAGTGTGCCCCGTGAGAGAGTGTGTTGTTATTGGCTCCACCTCCCCAAGACTGATTGCTTTCCGACGCAATCATTTTCCTGCCTTTCTTTCCAGGAATCCAACCCGGTCGATCTGTCATGCTCCATATCTTGGGCACGAACGCATATATGAATTGTCCGCTATGACTGTTGTTCGATCATCTTGGTGTGCATACTTGCTAAGTCGGGGATGATCAAGCTCTCAATCTCCATTCCCTCAGTCACCGTTCCCCCTTCGAGATCAACCGGCTCGCTCTCGTGTTTGCGCTCTGCCAAGCCAATCATTTTCTCAATACCAGAAAAACTCTTGGATCTCCGAGATTTGGGCACACGCACCCAGTGCTCCCCCCCGCCAGGGCTGATAAAGACAACTTCCCACTTGCGTGTCGTGAGGAGATTGCCAATCACCAGATCATGATGGTACCGGTCCAGGGCTTGCTCGGCTTTGGCCACCAGGAGATCCGGATCCGTTTCAAGCTTGAAGCTGACGATCATGCTACCCTTGGGTGCCCACGACACCACCAATGTGTTGAGGAACTTTGGGACCGGGTCAAGGTTGATAACCAATTGTCGGCTCGCCCCTGAGCCTTGCCCTCCCACCTGGTTGTCGCGTGACTGGATCTTGTGCTCGTCCATCCGTTCGCGAGGAATGAAAAAGTCCGACACAGCTGCTGCCAGATAGAACATTGCGCGGCTGCCCACAGGTTGCATTAGTGTTGCGAGGGCCCGAAGCTCAAACAGATAATCGGTGACTGTGATGAAAGGGAGGAGGAGGAGGAGTCGATTCCGCTTGGCAAAGTGGTATTCCTCCAGCACTCGCCGCATCTTCTCTTGGTACTCTTTTCGCACGACAACACCTCCATTGTCATCTTCTGACTCATCCATGAAATCGAGGAAACAGTTCGTACTGTGGCTGTAGTGCCTAGAATAAGGCAGCAGGCTGAACTGCCTGTGGAGGAAGATAACTGCATAGCCTTGCTTCAAGAAGTATTCCGCCGACGTTGCTCCACGAGTGCCCGCCGAAAAGTTGTCAATGAACCGGACAGTTTGGTTTTCAAGTGGAACAGTAGTCCCACCTGAAGTCACCAGCACGATCCGGCGCTCCGGCGAAGTCTCTGTGTGATATTGAATGAACTCGCGCGCAAGCGACTGGTGGCTGTTCAGAGCCTTCGGCGCAGGATTTTTCTGAAAGTACTCGACCGCAGGGTCCACAGCGGACTCCTCAGGGGGCTCACCCGTCTTATGGGGGGACATGATGGCTGTTGTCTGTCGGAGATCTAGCGCGTGATGCCACCAGCGCAGATATCACAATCGAATGCTTCGGACGCCAAGCACAATGTCAAAATATTGTTGTGATGGTACTGTAAGTCGCAACGACTAAATTGATTGCACACAAAATCCTTGTGTCGTGTGATCAGTGCCTCAAGATAACAACAGGCTAGAGGAGGAACGGTGAGTCTTCTTGTTGACCGAGAAATGATCGCTTTGATGATGAAAAGTGCAGCGCACAGTCCATCATATCTCTAACGGACCGAGAATTACATGTTTTGGGCCAGCTTTGAATCGTTGTGAGCATCTGACATACATCAGGGTACAGACAGTTCCATAGTATCAACGACGGAAATGAAGTTAGAGCCGCGGCCACGACCTGCTCATCTCATAGTATGGATCTCTTCTTCCATATCAACGCGCGGCACGGGGAAACTCGCTTGAGCCGAGGTTGATGCGGGAGAGAATCGGGGTGACATCATAAGGTGAGAAGATTGGGGACAGATCACGTGACTGCGACCATCCTGAGTCATGTGATTTTACCACCTCCGCGCAAGGCAAGGCGTCTTGCAAGGCTGACTTTCCTGTGCCGATAACCCGTAGCCTCAAACGTTGCGCAGACAAAGACGGTGTGATCTCGTATTCGGATTTGCACCTACCAAGCGCACTGAGGACCATGTCACTGAATCACGGTTCTCTGGCCAACACACCAGCTTTGCATCTTCTTCTCCGCTGCGACTAATCTGGGTCATTGTGCGAATCCTGCCCACTAAGAAGTGATGACCATCCTGTAAGGCATCCACAAGGCTGTCTCAGGCTCCGTTGTTTCAAAGATCCAGAACTACCGCCGATGCTCGTGTTACCCGCCTACTGGCACTGCGCTGGAAGTCCCTCATCGTCTAAATTAATGGCGGCAGCCTTTCCTCGATGGTATTGATTCCCCTATTCTGATCCTCAGATGGATCCTGTAACCTTTTGACCACTCAATTCGTATCCTTGTCCACCCGATACGTCGCTCCTATCGCTAGGCGTTTCTGTGGGCTCTCCTGAATCGAATTTCAATTGACATCGCGCCGCTTCTGTGAAGTTGCAACAATATCGAATGCTTCTACCTACTGGATATGATCTGAGCCGTTGATCGAGCTGGCTAACTGTTCCAAGGAACTATATAGATACCCGAGTCATTCTGGATTAAAGGTTGAATAACACACACTTTCACCATCTTCCACACGATCAAAGACCAAGTGAACTTCAAGATGACGATCCAACCCGTGTCCGGGTCATATTACATCTATGCACCCACAAAGGGCGTCTCCATTGTCTTCGCTGTCTTGTTTGCCATCTCTGGGGGCCTACACATCTGGCAAAATAACCTCAAATACAAATCTTGGCGCATCGGAATGTTGCTGCCATGGGCCGCCCTACTCTTTGTCGTCGGATTTTCCATGCGCGAATATGGAGCCTATCACTATGACAATATGGCTCTGTTCATCACTAGTACGGTCCTCCTCTTCGTCGCACCCCCTGTCTACCAAGGTGCCAACTATTTTATCTTCGGACGAATCCTCTACTACTTGCCTTATCACTCTATTATCCACCCAGGTCGAGTGTGGACAACATTTATTGCACTGGATACCATCGATGGGATTCTTGCAGGCAACGGAGCTGCATATGCTGCCAATCCAGAGAACAGTCCAGGACAAATACAGACCGGCGTGATCTTGGTCAAGGTTTCACTGTTTCTTCTCTTGGCTATGTTCCTTGCCTTTGTTTACCTGATCATTCTCTTTCATCGGCGGTGTCGAGCCGCAGGTGTCTTGAATTACAAAGCGAAGGTCATTATCTATGAGCTCTACCTATCCAGCTTCCTGATCCTCACTCGCAACGTTTTCCGCACGGCTGCGTTCTTCTACTCTTGGGACTCGGTCGCTAACGGCAAAGAGTGGCCTTTCTGGGTCTTCGAGGCCGTCCCCATGCTGCTCAACACTTTCCTCCTGAATATCTATCCTCCAGCCAAGTATCTGCCAAGGAGTTATAAGACTTACCTTGCCATGGATGGGAAGACGGAGATTGAAGGACCCGGAATGGTCGACAAGAGACCCTTCTTTCATTCGCTGTTGGACCCCTTTGATATCGGGGGTTTAATTTCTGGAAAAGACAATAAGAATAAATTCTGGGAGAAGGATGGCATTGGTGGCCCCCGGGAAGGAGAGGGAGGAGGCGCCATCGAGCGCCACGTCACCTCATCCGTCGAAGGGGAAAGTCTGAGCAAAAGGTGAAGTTGTACTGTTAGGCTTGCAAAGTCGAATGCGAGGATGTTCGGAATCCAGGAAATTGGAAACTTGGGCTGATTGCGATCCTTTGGAAACAGAATGCGTTTAGATCTTATCTTGTTGCTATATGAAGAGGGTGGGCTTTGTTAATGCAACGTCAATGAAGTACCGGTGTAGATTGCATGAAACATCAAGCCCTTGTTCAGCCTTGCTGCCCTGAGCGTACCTAATCCTTAGGTTGTATTATTGCCCACTGGCAGCAACATAAAGCTTGGTAAAGCTTACAATTCTGCGGTGGAGTATAGTGCTTGGAGTGCAAGGGATCAGTTACTTGTTCTGCCGAAATTTTGCCGTTGTGTCGTCATTAGGATTAAAAAGTCTACCAACGTCGCAACACCTTGGAAGCCGTGTAGATCATCCAGTTAGGCTTGTTCTCCCGCAAGAGCACAGACGCGTCATATCTGTCGTCATAATGTTGAGGACGATTTGTGAAATAGGATGTCATCGCTAGATGTCTCCTTACTCTCTACGATGTCTTCCAGACTTTCAGCCATCTGATCAGTCCGTTGAAATCGTATTCTACTAACACCAATATCATTGCGCGCACAGCTGCGAAAATGGCAGACCAAACACAAAAGCAAACACATGGCGCTCTTGGTGACGTCAAGTCCGCACTCCAAGGCATCAAGGGTGCTGGGGATACTATCCGGGGTACCTTCAATGAATCCGTCGACACCGCTTTCCATGAAAGAGAGGGGGAGGCCAAGAACAAAGCAATAAAAGAGAAAGGCGTGGCCGCGATGGAACAGACAGACGCCCACTTCAACAAGCATAAAGGCGTTGGATCGACAACAGCCACAACTCACCCGTCGAGTGGAACCACAACCAGTGCACCTATTGATCAACACCACGCGCCCACAACACCAGGAGTGACAGGAGGCCTCGCGCGCAATACTCAGCTCCCTGATGGCACATCAACAGGTGCAGGTGCACATTCAGGAAGCGTTGGAAACATGGAAAGTCACATGCCTCAGAATGGACTGGGCGGAGAACCCGCGGGATCCACAGGAAGATTCTGAAGGAGAAGACAAAGACGATCCGCTTCTCTGTTGACAACGACCATTACTTGGAGTTATGCGATGCCTGATGCCTGATACCCATATCCTGTTGTCCAGCTTTGACTTTACTTCAATAAGGACATGTTTGCTACTGCGCAGTTGGTGCAGCTATGGTCGTGGAAATGGTGCTCAGAGACTCATACCATATATCAGGCGGGCTCCTCTGCCTTAACATCCCTCATCGCTCCTGCCCGCTGCACTCTACTTTACCTCACTCCTTCTCTTCATCAGCTGCCAGTGCACTAACCTTTTCTCTTGGCTTGGCGTGTCACGACCCTAACTTGCGCCTATATTGGGCACGTGTTTTGGACTTCCCTCCCTTCCCAGGTCTTCATCATTCCATCTTGCCTTCTTGATGCCGTTGTGATGAACACAAGGTCTTCCAATAAGCCTGGACCTGATCCTATCCAGTTAACTCTGGCAGAATTCAGGGATTCATTGTTACTACGTGCAACCACTCCGTCGGGTTCAGCAGCGATGACCAACAATCCTGCTATCCCCACCACGTCGAGAACCCGCAACCCTTTGATTTCCCCTGCCCAGCAAGTAGGTTCTGCTCTACACGGATCAAGAACCATGGGCCAAGTACAAAGTACTCCACCTCGCTCAGGTCTACCAGATTCTGGAGCCACTACTCTCAGTCAACAGCCAGCGGTTCAATCTGGACCCAGAGTATATTATACACACACGCTCCATCCCTTGAGTGGTCTGGCTAACTCGGAGACAGGTTCCCGCAGAACCCTCTTCGGGCCTCTCTGCTCTTATCAAGGAAGAACCCTCACATGACTCAGGCCCTGGTTTTGAATCATTCCCTTCCCGCCCAGCAGCATCTCTCCCACTAGAAAATCTTCCCACATTTCAGTGGGCGGCCTCCCCACCCTTGGTCGCACCACAACCTTCAATGCTTATGGCGACCCCTCCAACTGAGGAGACAGATTCCAAGACCCAGGAGTTCCTTCAGCTCCTTCATGGTTCTTCAAGAGAGGGTCATGAAGGCTTCAATTCCGCCACCAGTTTGGGGAATGATGGAAAGCTACAGGAAGTCAAGACTACCCCGTTGTTTTCCAACCAGGTCCGTCTTGCTCTGACTCCAGAGAAGATGATGCTCTTGGGATCTCTGGATCAAGTTGCATTCCCTCAGTACGGTCTGCTTGGTGTCCGCCAGCAGTCGTACGGAGCAGACCAACTTGATGCAAGATTTCTGCCAGTGGAGCATAATCTTATCATGGCAAACATGAATGCGCCATGGTCAGCCTTCATTTGCGGTTCCCAAGGCGGTGGTAAGAGTCATACCTTGTCTTGCTTGTTGGAGAACTCGCTGCTACCCTCTTCCCTGGCGAATGTGAATCCAAAACCGCTCGCTGGCCTTGTCTTCCATTTTGATCATTTCACAAGCGCAGAGACTACGCAGCTGTGTGAAGCTGCATACCTCTGCTCATCTGGAGTTCCTGTGCGAGTTCTCGTATCTCCTTCGAATTATGCTGTAATGCATACACTTTACAGCAACTTGCCGGGGTTGCCAAGCGGAAGTCCCAAGCCTCAGGTTGTGCCATTGTACCTCAAAGAAGAACAGTTGAATGTTAGTCGTATGATGACCCTCATGGCGATGAACGACAACGAACATCCACCCTTGTACATGGAAGTCCTTCGCAAAATCCTACGCGACATGGCTATGGAGGGCAGCGGTCGTCGCGGAGTGAACTATCGTGACTTCACCTCTCGCATGGGCCGACAAGGATTCTCAGGCCAGCAAAATGGTCCTTTGAATCTTAGATTGCAGCTTCTGGAGTCATTCCTCGCTGACGAAGTGCAAGATAGGGAGTCTTCGACTCTATTGGATGACATTTTCAAGTCCTCTCAAGGGACGCTGACCATTGTTGATCTCAGTTGCCCCTTTGTGAATGAGAACGATGCTTGTGCTTTGTTCGCAATATGCCTGTCCATCTTCATGGAGCATCGCGCCGACTGTGGAAGAATTGTCGCCATCGATGAAGCCCACAAGGTGAGACTTGAGACCTGTTTTGTTATCTGCTGACGATTAATATACCCAGTTTCTTACCAAAACAGGCGAAGCTCAGAGACTGACAGAACAGCTCATCTCTCTGATCCGTCAACAGCGTCATCTGGCCACCCGTGTTGTTATTGCCACACAGGAGCCTACCCTATCTTCTAAGCTAATTGACCTTTGCAATGTCTGCATTGTCCACAGATTCAATTCTCCTGCCTGGTTCCAGATCCTGGAAAAGCATCTCGCTGGCGCTAGTAATATGCGCGATGATAAGGATGCTGACACTTCGCGACTTTTCGAAATGATTGTTGCCCTTCGTACCGGGGAGGCGTTTGTGTTTTGTCCAACAGCATTGCTTGATCTCCACAATGGCAAATTGTTCCAGTTAGAAACTGGCTTCATCAGAGTCAAGATTCGCGCTCGCTGTTCTACTGATGGCGGTAGAAGTGTCATGGCCGAAGATAGGCATTCGGTTGGCAGCGTTGACTATCGACCAGTCTCGACCATTATTCGTCCTTACAGAAGCTCTCGCACTGCTACCACAGCTCGTCGTGAGAGACGTCGGTCTGCGAGTCCGGTCAGAGCCCCCACCGCCCCTCGCCCCATGCAACGGGTGAATGTCGTTCAGACAGTGCCACCTTCAAAGCAGTCACGTGCTTCAGATGCGACCTTGCCAGTGGCCGTACCCACCACCACTGAGCCTGCTGGAAGCTCTACAACTCACCTGCCGCAACCTCAGGTCGACCAGGCGAGAGCTCTTGAATTTGTGCGAAGAACGGCCTCTCAGTGGTTGCGGAGCTCCCCACATACTTTCACGCATGATCGAGTGAGGATGAGAGTGATTGGAGATCTGAGTTTGCCGCCTGCTTTTTTCGACGGACCTTACTGGCTCAACCTTAGCAGGGAGGCGATTCGGACAGAAGTAGTAAGTTGTCCACCTTGAAAGAAAGGCCTGGAGATTGAGCACTAACGGAACGAACTACAGGCCAAGTTCCGCAAAACCAATGCCACTCGATTGCCGGGATACAATTAAATCTTTGAGATTGTTGGTCAAAGGGGAAGGAGCCACACTGTGTGTGATAGTGATATGGACGGTCACGAGCTACTGAGTGTGTATGCGCGGTCGTTTGCTCAGGGTAATTTGTTGATCAAGGAGACATCCATTTGGCCACCAATACCAGTGGGGATGTTCACGTTGATCCCCAACGCTTGAATTGTGCAGCAACAGAGAAAAAATCACCGAATATGCCGCCACGGTCAATACCGAGCTTAAAGGAGCCGTTGAGAAGGTTCGGGCTAGGCAATGACATAAGTAAAGCTATCCCCAAATTGATTGATTTCGCGCACTTGAACAAACGTATGGAAGCTCCCAGAGGCAACATAAACTGTGACTACTGAAATATATCTTCAGCATGACGGCACCATATGCAGCAAACGAAAAAAATAGAGGTATGCTAAACCCACTGGCTACTGCATTCAGCCAGTTCGTCGCCTTTTCCTCACTCTATGCATACGAGGGAATTGTCCTCGGGGGGTTCACATTCCATCCCTTCAGTCATGTCTTATGCTGACGACGTGGGTCATGGGCGTTGAGGTGCAGTGCTTGATTCTGCAAGATCTCTTTCGTCGGGTGCCTGCCTGGCTGGTACATCGTCCATCTACTTGATGAGACGCCAGGGGGGTTCGCCAGTGCAATCTTATGGGCCTGCTGAAGGAGATCATGCCCATATCTCCTGTGAAACCGGCCTGGATTCGTTGAGGCGCGGGCGCTTTTATGACTGAGAACGCTGGTGGTGAATGAAAGATCAACAACGACGCCCAGAAACAGCTATACCGAGCACTCGACATGAGCCCAACGCTGCTGAGGCCGGCCGGCCCTTCGTTTGCTGTTTTTCGCGCGGCGCGAGCCGCCAGAGCTGCCCTCAACACTGCCAAGAACGCCGGTCATGAATTGCAGCACTTTGCTGGAGAACACGTCCAATGAAAACGCTCGCTGTGGTCGTCTCTCGGGGAAGACCTCCAGAATGACATTACTGTTCGTCTCGGCAACCGACGTGTCGATTCTCAGAGTCGGGCGGATTGATACCGGCGACGACGACGGTGATTCAACGTTTCCGCACATTTTCTCCATGTCCGTGAGCATGATGGAGTCTCGGAGCGTGTGCTCCTCGAATACTGCAGCGCTGATCTTGGCGCAAGTGATGATACCGTAGAATCCGAGAGAGATCGCGATTAGTCGGAGAGCAACGCTGAGCATCTTTCTTATATCACTCAGAGGCGGAAGTGGTGGTGGTGGTGGCGGCGGCGGTCTGGCTTAAAAGAGGCGTTCTCGTGGTGTTCAACCTTCAATATGTGTGAGTTCGACTTATTGCATAGACTTTTTCGTAGTCTGAGGTGGGTGAGGTGAAAAATTCTCCAATCTAGTCCTTGAGAGGACAGACGCGAACTCGGACGCACGAGCAGTATTGCACGAAAGGGGAGGAGGCAGGCGAATAAGTTCAATGAATAAATCTCAAATATCATTTTTCGTGGCTGGTACCGAAGAGATATATCTCCTCACGGCGGGGACGTTCGACCTTTTTTTTTTCCAGATTCGATTTACCCCTGAGTGAGCCTGTTTGGCGACATATGAGTTCCCCACCACGGGTCTCTCGTCTTATCACGGCGAATGAGGCTCCTGTAAGGAGGTCGAGGACGGAGGCTGATTTCACGAATCGTTCCTCACAGCAGACAGAGCGCACATGACGGTCTCGCATGGTCACTTGGACATGGGCAGGTGATGGGCTGTGCTACGATACGCTGCGCTTTGACCGTGGTTCAACAAACAAGAAGGGAAGACGGTTGGTTAGATTGCTAGTCACAGAATCGAGTGCTTGGTCAAAGCGTAAGTTTGAGGCATGGCTCGAGCACTCCAGGCTGACTGACCATCGCTGTTTATCGCGAGGCTGGGCCCGATCCGCAATATTGCAAGATCGGGACATTAAAATGTATCTCACACAGTAATATCGGTGGGTGGCCTTTGTGAAGTATTGATTCACTTGGCGGGGTTCTCCAGATTGTGTGCAACTTCTTGTGCGTCTGCCTTGATACGGGGCAGAGAAAGATGGGAATAAAAAGGACCGCATCGCGGCAGGGCAGGAGGCGGCTCAAATATTCGGGGCCGGGGTTCCTTGAGGAATAAACCTTCTTTTCATGCTTTGACCGCCGTACCTCTCATCGATGTTCGTACATGCAGTTGACGCATGCTCGGGGTCCCTGAGGGCTGCGAATCCCACTAGCGTCATTCGTCTGCGTCCTGGTCAAATGATCCGTCGAAAAATCCCGAGTGGTCTTGGTCAACTTGAGCTATAGGTGCCGCTGACGGAAGTGCAGGATCAAAGTTCATAGAAAGCTGCGCAATGTTAATTACTGCCTATCCACCGGTCAAGAGGGAAACGTGGCTGGGATGGCCGTGCTGAACCGAGGCAAATGGATCAGGAGGTGCAGCTGAAGCTCATTCATTTCTGCAGTCAACGACAATTTTTGCGGAATATAGCAAAGGTCTCTCTGATGCGGATTGAGACGGATAATATTTTAGGATATGGGGTGATAAATGACTGTTAGCTTTGTAAAGGCTAGCTTTCCGAATTTAGTTTTTCCTTCTTTGTTCAGCCTCGTCCACCAGAATTGGTTGGACTTTCGGGGAGGTCGGCCAGGAAATTCTGTTTTTCCGGTCGTCGCCCAAGCAAAAATGTTCAACTGGGTTGTCCGACATCACTCAGTGGCTTTCTCATTCCGAACAAGTGGGTGTTTTTCTCTGTCTCTAACAGAATTCTCTGTACCGTCATTTACGCAGCCAGTTGCCCCATTCACGAGACACAGGAATCAATCCGTAGGCACGAGAGGTCGGGCATTTGAAAGACCATGTCTTAATTCTCAAAATATAATTTACAGGGGATGAGTGTGTCACCCATCATGGAGGGGCAAACTACAGCCGCCTACCCTACCACCCGGTTCAATCTGATACAAGTGTTGTGATCTACGAGATACCCGCGGCCAAAGGCAGAGGAACAGAAAATACAATTCTCTGCCGATATTGAAAAAGGCCCGCTTTCACAGTCGACAAGGTGACCGATATCTCGATCACGATTCACCGTCAGTTGAGACGATGGTGACGCAGTCAATCTCAAACCCCACACCATCGTCGATCCCCCCCAATGAAGCCGACGATAATGTTCTTTCCAGCCTCCATGACTTCATTACGAAACACAAAATCGATCTATCAAGCTCGCTCGAGTTCCGCCGCGTCCCAAGCCGTGGCCTGGGTATCTACGCTACGGCAGATCTCCCCAGCGGCGAGCGCATTATGCACGTCCCCAGTACGGAATTGCTCACCACAGCATCTATCCCTTCTAGATTTGCGAGCAAGGATCTGAAGTCGAAGCTTCCAGTGCATGTACTTTTGGCCGCGTACATCGCTTTCGGCATGACCGAGGAAAAGAAGCAAGAGCTGCAACCGTGGATGGCGACGTGGCCTCAGATGCACGAGTTTGTCGACTCGATGTGTCTCTGGTGGCCGGAACGGATGAGGAGACCTGTGACGTTGCAGACCGGTCGGGCAGCGAATAATGGTAGGGCTATGGAGGTTAAATGGGGTGATAGCTCGGAGTCGGCATCAGACCGGGCAATCACTTTCCAGCCTGTACCGCAGTGTCTGACGGGTTCTTGGCTGCGAAGCAAGGAAGATACGCCCTCTTCCGAAACCGCAAAGCCTAAGCTTCTAGATGCACAGCTCGCCAAATTCCACAAGCACATCTCCCTCGCGTTTGCTCATTTCCGCTCACATATTGGGGCTTCACCATCGTTGCACGGTGCCTCCCCAGAGCTCACGAGCTTCATCCACGCCTGGGCGATCGTGAACACGCGGTGCTTCTATCACCTGGCACCGGGAAAGCGGGCGCCGAAGGACAGCAACGAGGCCATAGCGCTGGTTCCTGTGATGGACCTGTTCAATCACACCAACGTCTCGAATTGCAAGACCTCCTACGACCGGAAAGGGTTTTACATTAATGCCGGCCAGGCCATCCCTGCTGGTCAAGAGTTACTGCTCAGCTACGGCGCTCATGGCAATGACCTGCTCTGGACGGAGTATGGGTTCACCATGGACGCGAACGGGGATGACAGCGTTGCCGGATTCGACGAACTCGTGCTCGAGGGTCTGACCCTGGCGGAAAAAGACGTGTTGCAGGGTGCAGGGTATCTGGGGAACTACATGCTCACGGCCGAGGGGTTCTGCTGGCGCAGCGAAGTTGTGTCCTGGCTTGGCACCCTTTCGAGGACGCAGTGGCTCCGGTTCGTGGAAGGGACGCTGACCCCCGAGACTGCGGATCGACTGCATGTGGAGAAGATGAGAACGGGGGCCGCTAAGAGGAGGAAAGGGAACGATGCCGCTGTCGCACAAGGAGACGCTGTGGTGCCGAGCGCTAAGGCTCGTGAGAAGCAGCTTCACTGGCTGGCGCTGCTGAAGGCCCAGGTGGAAGTCAGCCTGGAGGGTCTGGCCATGCTCGGTCAAGCTGCCGCTGATAAAAGCATGTTGGACATCTTTGCAGATACAGAGGATGAGCTGACGGCACTCGGTTGGACAGACACTCCAATTAACGACTTCAGGCGAACGCAAGCGAAGCAACGACTTGGGATGTGCTTGCAGAGGTGGACACAGTTACTTGAGATATGCAATGCCGCAAGGATGAGTTTAAAGCAACGCCGAAGCAACAGGGTCTCGGAGGATCCCATCGAAGATGTAAAGTCCAAAGCAACTTAGAAGAAAAGAACATGAATCTTATAAGAGAATAGGATGCAGGTTGAAGGGTTCTTTGGAGGTGAGCATTTCTGCAGTAATTGTTTGCTGCATCACTAGGATTAAATGCCAGGCGACAAGAGCCGCCATTCTGGTCCACTCTGCAACGGCAATGCTAGCACTGAGTCGGAACTCCATAAACCAGGTCAGGCATTAAAGAAGCACAAAAATTTGTGATCTGAAGCTTTATCATGGGTGAGGTGAGGAGTGCAGCTGCAGCGGATCACTCGCGATGAACTCCACAGTCAGTGAACAAGCAATTCTCCCATACCAAGTGCTTGATGTAGCAATATTGTCACGAGAAAGAAACTTGAGAGCTCGGAACCTTCTTGTGGTGGTCGACACGCCATGTTGAAACACAGGCGTCGAAGAAGATGTGAACGATCAATAGTACAGCAATGTAAGCGAGTATCTATCTGACTGATGACAGGTATTGCCGAATAGAAGCTCACCTCAATATTGAAGCCCATCAGCAGCTTGTAGGACTTTCGAGGCCTTAGTCCCCATCGAAATCAGTAACTAAGGGGCACGGTGGAATCCAGACAATATGACACCCACTTTGTCTGTCATGCAAGTGTTGGTACTTAAGCAGAAAATTGATGTAGGAGATCGTTCAACCGTTCTGGGTGCCAACCTTTGTTTTTTTGGCCTTCTTAGGTTTCTTGGGCTTCTTCGCCTTGGGAGCTGGTTGACTCTTGCTCGATCCTGCCATGCTGGCCTTTCTGGCTTGTTTTCGTTGCTTCTTGGCCGTTGCTTTCGCTTGTTTTAGGGTTTGAGAGCCTGTTGAAGTTGAGTGTTTGCGCTTCTTGCCCCTCTTTCCAGTATCAAGGGCAGGGGAGAGAGGCGCTGATTGACCTGAGAGAGATTGCTGCTCTTGGTCAAACGTGTGAGGTTCGGGCGGAATCAGATCGGATGTGGAAGAGCTGCGTAACTCAGTTGTGGTGCCCAATACCCCCTCATCACCAGAATCAGAAGATACTGATGAGGAGATGTCTTGATCCGAAATCTCCCCTTCTTCCAAATCCATTGCGATCAATTGAGCAGCCTCTTGAGCAGCAGCTAGTGCGGTTGCTTCAGCTTCGGCGTCTTCTTGGGCGCTGGCCTCAGCCTTCTCTTTCATGATCGCTTCAAGGCTCTTGAGCTTCCTCTTTGCAAGCAATTTCTCACGGGCCTCTCGCTCCCTACGCTCAAGGTCGTACTGGTCGTTACCGGCCTATGGTTTGTTCAGCGCAAGACGCTGGAGTCATGTACCCACCTGGACTCACCAAGGCATGCTTGATAAATCTGCCTGCAGCCTTCTTGTCGAGGACGAGATGCGGTTGAGACTTGGTGGGTTCAGCTTCAGCTTCTTTTATTTTTTCGAAGTACTGCTTGACCCTGGACAATTCGCGAAAGACTGGATGTTCCTTGGCTTGGACACCATGAAGCCTGAGGTGCGCTAGAGAGACTCATTAGCAAGAGCAAGAGCAAGAGGGCGCCATGAGGCGGCAACCAACAGAATATCAAGGACTCGATGGCATAGACTAGCAGGACGTTGAGTTTTGCACGATCAAGCAGAGGCAACTTCTTGGTGGTGGTAATTAGAGAGTTCACGAGGAGGGGCTCAAGAGTCTCTTCCAGATCTTCCAGGTCATCTGCGAGTTGATCCACCAGGTCAAGGACAGATTTGGTATTCATCTTGCAATCTGGATGGTGGGCTTGAGGATGGAAGTGAATGAATAACAAGCCAGAGTTGAGTAGTATGAAGTTTCCTAGCAGAGCCGCAGCCTGCAAATCACGTGGTACCATCTTGAGAAGTCGCCGCACCTGCCCCATTAGTTGCGCATGCTTTCCCCCTGCACTCCTGGCAGCCAGCCAGACGTGTTCAGTTATTCTTGTGTTTGCCTCTCTATGTTTCATTCAAACGATACGAAGATCGACATTCTCCTGCACAGGCTTGACTTTTCTATTGACTTGTGACTGTATTTGGTGGCTTTCGCAGTTGCAGCTCCTCCTGAACGTGACTCTACCTCTGACATCCTAAACTGAAGCAGAACAGTTGCTCCTCTTACCACTTCCCTCCCCAAGTTTCAGGGCAGGCCTATTGACTCCGTTGGATATTTTGCCCATTTGAATCTCACTACCTTCAAACTGTCTCAGCGGACTCTTCACTACCTTCAAACTGTCTCAGCGGACTCTTCTTCGTCCGCTCCGTCGAGCCCTGGGCAGATGGTCCAACTATATTGTCCATGGCTCTGTGCCCCATAGGAGACCAGGAATATCTGCAGGAACACGAGCAACATTCTCCGCCATGACCGAATCGCAATCATGGTGGTCCGGATCGCCCCCTATTGACGACACAACCAGCCATCCCGACGTCGCGGATTTTAAACCAATCGGGCAGGAAGAAATCCGGCAGCCCACCGAAGAAGAGCTCCTTACAAGAAGGATTCACATCTTAGGCTTGGGTAGTATCGGTACTCTGGTCGCTCATTCTCTCAAATGTCTACCAAACCCACCACCAATTACTCTGATGATCCATCGGGATTCCATGTACCAGACTTACAAGAAGCAATCTCGTACCATCCGCCTGATCAACAAGCAAAATGAGGTCAACGACGAGCAGACTGGCTTTGATGTTGACGTGCTCAACGTTCGTGAGGGCAAACAGGCTTATTGGAAGTTTATTGCTGACGTGCCTGGTGCTCGCGGAACTGCTCCTACCAATCCACCTGAACCGCTTGAAAGATTGCCTTCCGGCGAGACTTATATCTACAACTTGATAGTGACCGTCAAGGGGCCTACCACCATTGGTGCTTTGCGCTCTATTAGACATAGAGTTGATGCAAACTCGACGATATGCTTCATGCAGAATGGCTTGGGTCAGATCGACCTACTTAATACCCAGGTCTTCACCGATCCCAAGACGCGTCCTACATACATGCTTGGTATTGTTTCTCATGGCGCCTATTTGTCTGGCGAATTTGCCGTTGTCCACGCTGGATTCGGTTCAATCGCCTTGGGCATCCATCGTGATCTAGATCGCTTTCCATTACCCCCGAAGTCTTCAAATTCCAGCCTCTCTGACATCTCCGAAGACCAGAGGAAGATCAACTATCCCACAGACAAAGAACTCTTCTCCAACATTTCATCTCGTTTTCTTCTACGCACTTTGACTCGATCGCCCGTACTGGCATGTGCTGCATTTCCCTACCTTGATCTTTTCCAGCTGCAGTTGGAGAAATTGTCAGCCAATGCCCTATTGAACCCAATCACCGCTCTGCTCAACGTACCAAATGGCGCATTAATGCAAAACCCATCACTCTCGATGGTGCAACGAATGTTACTGGCCGAAATCTCACTGGTTCTACGAGGTTTGCCTGAGTTGGAAGGCATTCCCAATGTTCAACGAAGGTTCTCCGCCCAAAGGTTGGAGCTTTTTGTCCTAGGCGTGATTGCTCGAACTGCAGAGAATTCCAGCAGCATGCGCGAGGATGTCAGGCACTCCAACATGACGGAAATTGATTTTATCAATGGATATATCATTAGCCGAGGCGAAGAGCAAGGTATCAAATGTGCCCTAAATTTTATGTTGATGCACCTGGTCAAAGGTAAAACATGGATCCAGCGCGGCGCAGAGGCTGCTAGCTTGCCGTATGGTACCAGTCGAATGGAGAGCGAGGTCGATTCCCGAGGCATCGTCACCCTTGATGACACTAGCATACCAGCCAAGGGCAAGGTTCAGTAACCTTTTGTTTGTTGCCCTGGTCCAAGTGTATTGACTACGACTTTCGTGCGGCAATAAGACGATGCGGCTGTCACAACAATAAATGGCAGATGACAGGATGTCATTATCCATCAACCAAAACCTTGTATCACTACGTCAGAAATTTCAATTAATTCGGAGTTTCCGTCAGCAATAATTGGGTCATTTCGTTTTCCAAACTGCACTAAATCCCAAACGAAGTGGCGCTTATTGATGTTTGATATTGCAGCTGATGATGGGCATGCCTGATACTTGATCGATGGATGTCAGAAACACCAAACGCACAGATGATACATCAACCTCCACGAGGCCAAAAGCCTAGATTCAAATGTGATATCGCTAGTCACGAGTCGGACGAGTCTTGGGCGAGTTGGAAAGGTTACATCTTACGATGGATTCAATAGATTTGCGATTGGTCTCAGGCTGCCTGACTTCCAGGAGCCTCGATTTTTTCCCCCTGGAAGGATTGTAATGAACGGCCCGGGAAACAAGTGGAGTGTATTCGCTGACACATGAGAAATGAAAGGATTTTTCAAATTTTCACTGTCAGAAGGGAGTCTGGGAGAGTGGCAATAGCAGGCCCAAAGCAGTTCCAAAAATACTCCAAGCTACGTGGGACAGCAGCGACGAAGAGAGAGCCACACCTCGGTCAGGTGTCTCTTTCGACCGCGGGGAGACGAAGATAAACGAGAAACAAACTCCAATATCAGTTAGGACCAAGCGTCAAGTGTCAAATTCTCGAGCTTCTCGACCACGCGGAGACGAGGACAATGACTTGGCGGTAAATTGGCAGCATAATCATGATGCGTGCTTCTTGTGGGATAGTGGGGCTTTGGGGATAGCCCAAACGGTCGATCGAGCAAGGGTAACTTGATCTGGCTAGCAAAGCATCCCAAATCCCAGGCCAGGCGCATCGCTCTAAATCTGGATGGATCGTGTGGCTGGGGTTGGGGTTGCTGAAGCGTCCAATCTAGTGATGCTCCGTGCCTATTTACACCTGTTGCCAATTTTCCCACAAGCATAGGAGTCTAGGAGGAGCTAGCATCCTTCCGAGGGTGGAGCAGAGATGACCATGGCTCGTGGGACATGTTACCGTCCAAGCGGATGCACAACAAGCTGCAGCTAACTGCCAAACACGGCGGGGTTTTGGTCTATATAACTTGCAGCTATCCCCAGCTGAAATGCTCTCGTCCAGTCCAAAGCATCTACCACATTCGCTCAATACGCCTCACTCGTTACCAATACTACTTCATAACCACAATCGTTTCTAAATCTCCCCCCGAAGAACCCAACAATCCATCAAGATGCGCTTCACCGTCGCTGCCACCGCTGCCCTTGTCTCCTCTGCTGCTGCTGCTCCATGGGGACCTGGCGGTGCTTGGTGGGGCAGGCCCAACCCAGGCAAATGCTTGACTGCCGACTCGGCTCAATACCTCGTCGACGGCTTCGAGGGTCTGATCTCAGCCTACACTGACGCCAACGCTGACAAGCTTTTGTCCGACGACTTCAGCGACTACTCTGACAGCATCAACTCTTTGGCCGGTATCCCCGTTGGTCAAGTCACCTTCCCCAGCAAAGCTGCATTCAAGGCTGGCCAGGGCGCACAGCCAGCTGTCCCCATTTCGACTCTCGCCATTGAGTCTTTCACTTGCGATACCATTGCTCTCCGTTGGCTCGTCGGGCTCCAACCTGAGCCAGTCAAGGGTATCACCATCTTGAAGGCATCCAACGCCCAGGGCAAAAAGGATACCTGGCAAATCAAGACCATCTTCACCGAGTTCAACAGCATCTCATGGTTGAAGGACATTGGTGGCAAGGTCACCCTGCCCGGCCGTTCATAAGCAGATTACACAAAGGGTTACTTTTCAGATGCAGACATAGGGTCATTAGCGCTGGCGTCAAAAGTTGAGATTTTTTTGGTCTTCACCAGTACATAAGAACTTGAAGGTGGCGACATCATGCGGTCGATAACATGATAAGACCAGAGCTCGGTGTCAGTAACAGGTTATTCTTTGCAAAGCCGATTAATATTCAAGCATTTAATATGGATACTCTTCTTTACAATACTTCGTCATTGTTGAGACATCTGTGACGGCTGGTGCATTTTCCCCGTGCCCTCTACCCGAATCGTGAATGGTGATACAGTTTGGACGAAGCGGCCCACCATCCTAGCTCGCACAAATTGACGCAATTAAGCTTGACAACGATAAAGGGCCTGCTTTGGGGCTTGAGGCTTGGAAGGTGGCTTGGAGGCGTAATCGGCGCCTCCCTTCTAGCGCCAGGGTCTCGATACCTGAAGCAGGGAGGCGTGTCTTGAATCTTGGACCTTCGAGCCAGGCAAGCCATGATCGATTGTCAGCAAAGTTTGCTCAACATTTCAGGGCGTGAAGGATCACACCCAATGTGCCGCGGTTTTTGTAACAGATTATGCACTGGGCCGGATGCGGCTCATGAATTACTGTAATTACTGCGATGGGTGGTCCCGCTCCAGTATACGATTTCTAAATCGATGTATTTTACAGCTGAGAAAGAAAGGCTGTTAACTCCACCTGAAGGCTCAAATTGCGTTGTGTACACCGCACCTCACCACCGATCAATCCGTAAAAAGTGCAAGATTACTACCATTGTTGTAATCCCTTTTTTGCCCTTTCACTTTTTTTCCGATCGCCAATGAATGCCTGTCACTGCCTGGCTAGCTAGCTGCTGGAGCTGCCGACTTTCAAAGCTGGGAACCTGCATTATCGCGCAAAGTTAGATCAGGAAGCCTGCATCTTGCCCCTGGGGGGTCCATCGCCTATTATTGCAACCAGGTCAAGAAGAGGACCGTTGCAGGAGTGCCTCGTGCGTTTCGCTTTGGCTGCTGGCCTTGTTCAATCCCCAGGACCTCATAACTAGATCTGTCTCATACTAGTGTACGAGGAAACTCAAGGGCGGTGTTCTCTCCTGCTAACTGGGCTAAGTATGAGTTTTATGAAACGACGTTACGAATTAGTTAAACCAGCAACCAGTAAGTGCAACGCCCAACGCTTCGGACATGCCTAACGTCCCCCTTCGTCGCTAAGGCTTCCTCTAGCCTCAGTACTCCGTAGGTAGACGCAGGAACGAAGTAGTAATTACCCAGTTCGCCGCAGGCATGTCTCCACATTCTGCTATTGAAGTCGCCCGTAGACTAACCAGCTACCTGTACAGTAGTTAGACTAATACTAAATAATATGGGATGTGCCCTCGTGCCTCCCAAACGGTAGCGCTGCGATCGTCGTCCCCTTCCCTTGCAAATTACAAGCTTTCCCCTGGCCTATGGACAGCCTGATTCCCCAGAGAGCCGTTGTAACCTTCAGCAACAACACTAATTTCGCCAAAAATATCCCGGGGGATGTGATTGAGAGTACTCGTAATGGCAATCTGTTCAACTTAGACTTTGAGCTGGGAAAAACATAACGAACGATGAGATTCCGGTGGCAGACTTGTGCGGATGCGATGGATCCTGTTTTGGCACTCACGAAAATGTGGCGAGAAGCCTCACCTAGCTCGCAGAGGGTCCAACTGAAGGGACTCCTAGTCCCCCAAATATATACCCCCGAGCGGCTAGGGAAACTTGGTCGGTAGTGAATACTTGGACCCAGCTTCTGACCTTCCAGCCATAGCTTCATGATCCTTCTGCAAGCTTCTTCCAGCCGATGAATGTCTTAATTGAACCTCCGTTCTTTTCGAGCCCGTGAATTGTTGCCCTAGCTAGCACCAATGTTCCCCGTCTCGATCGTCGCCAATAATACATCTCAACGCAAGTTGCAGGGAAATCTCCCACGACATTTGGAGGTAGGCGCCGCCGCTTTTGGAGGCGCTCTCCCCCCTCAGCCAAGGAAAGTGCCCCCCACTACTTTGAAGGCAGCTTTTCCTTTCTCCACTGCCACCCCAACATCGCGTAAATAGGTACCATCATCATGACCATTCGCCGTCGCCATCACAGCGATGGATCACCCAATCCCCCTCGGTCCGCAGCCGGATTTTAATCTCCTGGGCCAACATTTGATTTCTGCCGGCGATGAAATCAAGAAAGCCCAAAATCTACCTACAATCACCATTGGAGAAAGAATCCTAGCCGAACTTCAGCAATTGAGACAGGATGGTCAGCAAATGAGACAGGAATTTAAAGAGGCCACTCAGGCTATTCGTCAAGACCTCGCTACTATGATGACCGCAAGGTACGCATTACCCTCCTATTTTCTAATATTACTATAGCTAATTCTATAGCAATCACAATAATGCAGCTCGAGTTCAGAATTCCTATCTTACGGACCGATCGAACTCTCTTTTGCCGTTCCTCAACCCCTTAACTGGTGCTATTATTGCTGGATTCCCTACCACGCCCGCAGAAATTGAGCGAATGGATGAGCAAGAAGTGGATCGTGTCTCACAGCAACTTGGTGTACAGGCTCTTGGTCTTACTATGACTCTGGCAGCGAAGAGAAGACAGCTAAGGGCGCACATCGGCTTAAAAGCACAAAGTGCATGAAGAGCACGAACTAAAATTGTATTAATAGATGATGATTAACGAAAACAAATGTAAGGTAGTGAGCAGTTATATCCTCCACCAATGTTATGGGCTGAACCAGCAGCTGATTTCCCTGCAATAACTTTACGAAGAAAGCATTCTGGTGTGCGATGCGAGCAGATGCTGAGAGATTGCAACAGAGAAATTACAGTAGATCCCGTCTGAGCTCCTCTAGGGTCGCTTGACGGTCGAAACAATAACCAAAGGAGCTATTCGTTGAGATCTGCAGAGGATCGGTTCAGGCATCGAGATCCTGTTCCTGGAACGCGCAGGCCAAGGACATCCTCTCAATCTAGAAAGCCACAGAGGTTCTATTGCCAGACACTCCCCGGATTCGAAATGCGTCAGCAGAGCTTTGTAGCAGGTCACATGCCCTACGAATCTGAGCTGCATATATCTGTAACATATTCATGAACGAGCCGTTGAATAGATGGTTAGATTCGAACAATACTGCCTGCGCCTCACTGTGTGGCCGTGCCTCGGGGACAGGTTCGAGCCGCTTCTCCATCTAGTGGTCTGTTCCCGGTCTCAATCAAATTGTAGTGAGCTGACAGCTGGCCGCAGAGCTCTGACCAGGCCAATGCTTTGGACCGAGAATCAGTAATTATTATCAAAAGCTCAACGGAGGGCTAGTTCTATGGTGGAACCGGACCTGATGCACGGGACCGTGCCATGTGTGCAATTAGTACAAGATTATCACAACATGGCCAATGCAGCGATCTCATCTTGTGAGGCAGCCACAACAAAATAGCTGTGCGCAGCCCTGTGAGCCGTGTTGTGATTGACCATGTACGCGTAACTACACCGTAAACATTAGGGAATTGCGAGTAGGCACGAGCGATAAGGGGCTTGGTATGTAAATGTGAAGAGTCATAAAATCAGCCACACCACTCTGGCATTTACGGTGCTACGCATCATCATGTCGTATAGTTGCCGTTGCTGTTATTCAGTGACAAGCCCAGGTAGGCAGGCCACCTAATAAAAATAATGAATGCATGGCAGTCGCGGAAGAGTATCGATACGGTGGAGCATACATTCTACTCAAGCCAAGCCTGTGTTGCACCGAAGTCAGACATTGGCCCCAAAGAGAAATGACCGCATCACCCGGAAGCACGGTCTCACCGGGCAGTTACGAGTCACCATTCATCACTCAAACTGCCCCTCACGGAAAAGGAAGAGCTGGCCATGCACGACCCCTCCAGGTAGTCTGGCAGTGGCTCGACACTGGGAACCACGATATTCACCATGGACTATTGCTGCTTCCCGGATACACAGGTCTCCAAAGGCAAGCCTCCTAGCTCCTAAAATCCACAGCCTGCATTGTATTCCGGATGGAATGGTGACCTGGTTCCAACGCCAATGCATCCCCAGAAAGTCATGTTGTCATGGATTCGACGACTCTGGACAGGCGTGATCTTGTTTCCAACTTCTTGAACAGAATCCCCTGTGATTCTTTCCTCAACATCTTCCTCTGAGTCTGCTGTTGCGTTCCCAGGAGAATATTTGTTCCCAGCCTAATAGCCATGAGCAAGCCCAAGAGCGTTGTCGTCGTTGGTGAGTTCAACACCCACACCACAATCATGCCTCGAATTCACCTCTAAACCTTCCACCCAGGCGCGGGCGCGGGCGGTATTGCCAGCGCTGCCCGACTGGCCAAGGCCGGCTTGCGGGTCACTGTAGTCGAGAAGAATGATCACACAGGCGGTCGATGCAGCCTAATATATGACCATGGCCACCGCTTTGATCAAGGCCCTTCGTTGCTTCTACTTCCAGGGTTCTTCGAAGAAGCTTTCGTTGACCTTGGCACCTCTCTTGAGGCCGAGGGAATCGAACTGGTAAAATGCGAGCCTAACTACAATGTCTGGTTTGGCGATGGAGAATGTATCGAATTGTCCACCGACATTGCAAAGATGAAAAAGACCATCGAGCGCTGGGAGGGCAAAGAGGGCTTCGAGAGATATCTGGCATGGATGCAAGAGGCTCATGTCCATTACGAGGCCAGCACCGCTCACGTCCTGAGAAAAAATTTCTCCACATTCTGGGCGATGCTGCGTCCGAGCTTCCTGCAACACCTGCCTGCACTTCATCCCTTTGAGAGTATCTGGAGCCGAGCATCACGTTATTTCAGGACAGACCGACTGCGACGCGCCTTCACATTCGGTAGCATGTACATGGGCATGAGTCCATTTGAAGCCCCGGGTACATACAGTCTTCTGCAGTATACGGAATTGGCAGAGGGAATCTGGTGAGTAGCAAATCCATTCACTGCAGTGTACGAGGACAGCTGACTGATGAGAAACAAGGTACCCCAAGGGTGGATTTCACAAAGTGCTGGATGCCCTGGTCCAAGTTGGAGAGAGACTTGGAGTCAAATATCGCCTGTCGGCCCCAGTAGCCTGCGTGAACGTGGATGGCTATTCCAAGCGTGCCACGGGAGTCACGTTGGTCTCTGGAGAGATCCTGAACGCTGATATCGTCCTGGTAAACGCTGACCTTGTTTATGCGTATAATGAGCTTCTACCACCCTCAAGCCAAGCATCCTCTCTGTCCAAAAGGGCTGTTTCCTGCTCAAGTATCTCATTCTATTGTAAGTCAGAAGATATCAAAAGCCATGCCCCCAATAACGCCTGTCTAGGGTCAACGGACAAAGTTATCCCGGAACTGCACGCGCACAATGTTTTTCTTGCAGATGATTATCAAGACAGCTTTGATGATATCTTTAAGCGACAACTCATTCCGAAGGAGCCGTCATTCTACGTTAACGTACCATCCAGGGTCGATCCTACAGCAGCCCCAAACGGTCACGACAGTATTGTTGTACTAGTTCCCTGTGGTCACCTGCAAGAAGGTGAAGTAAGCCGTGGATTGAATCCTCAAAACGTTCAAGACTGGCAGTCGATAGTGTCAAAGGCTCGCAATGCAGTATTCGATACGGTCCGCCTGAGAACCGGTGTTGATCTCCCGGCGCATATCACCAATGAGATCATCAATACTCCAGCCTCGTGGAAGGAGAGGTTCAACCTTGACAAGGGTGCAATTCTAGGTTTGAGCCACTCATTTTTCAACGTTCTCAGCTTCAGACCCGGAACAAAGCACCGCGACATCAAGAGCCTCTATTTCGTTGGCGCGAGCACTCATCCTGGTACAGGTGTGCCAATTGTGCTTGCAGGAAGCAAAATCACCACAGGGCAAATCCTGGATGATCTAGCCATGATCAAACCATGGTCACCTGGTTTCCATCCCAAGAAGAGAGTCAGCACCCTCGACAAGGAAGGAAGGGTACCACCGGACCTAACCCGCACCGTTGTTTTCCTACTGTCCCTGCTGATACTGGCGCTGTACCTCTATCCTTTGAACTGATCGGTCACAAAATTCCCTCAAACTATAGACTCATCAAGCCTGGAGTTCCGGATTAGACTTCGTATATACCCATTGTCATTAGTCACCCAATCGACCAGTAAATCCGTCTGTCAAGCAAATTGTTCGCAGGTGATCACCTGAGCCGAACATTGTCCTTCGACACTCATTTTCCGCACATGCAAATGATGCTTTAGAGTTTGAAGTTGGAAAGGCCAAGAGGGGAAAACTTGAGGCGGTCATGAGATCAGTCTGTTTTCATTTCTCCGTTTACTCAATTGTTTCTGGTCGCCTGCAGCAGCGATCAATTACTTACCAGGGTCCGGGAGTCACGGATGCTCCATCCAATGGGCTCACGTCTAATGATCCCAACATTTTAGTTACAGGGCGCTCGCTTGATTCACTTGAGCCCTGCCAGCGACAACAATGGCTGAGGTCGCCTGGCTTTCATGTTTCTGACAAACGACTACATGGTTTATCCATCCTATTCAAGTGGAGACCCATCGTCATAAGACTGACCGAATCCGGCCAATTCCGGCCTTCCATGTCAACACGCACACCGCACTTCACTCGTCGGGCATCTTTCTGGAGGATCAACCTCGTATCATAACGTCCCAAACTGGACGAAGCCCACTACTGCACTCTCGAAACAATCGACCAAGAGTCATCCGAGCTCTAGGCGAACCATCGGCCGATCATTTCCGCGGCGGGGCTATCTTGTAAGACGGTTGGGCCAAACTGACCAGGTGTCAGGCCATTTTGTACGATCTCCATCACTCTGACTGAGCCCTTTGAGCCCAAATTGGTGGAGAGATGAGCCTATCGACCTGCAATTCGTGGCACACCCACGGGCTCTTATATCAATGTGAGTAATTGATTCTAACCTTTCCAGGCCTGACCTTGGCGCTATGACCCACACAACCCATGCCCTGCAGAGCCTTGCGATGGATGAGGTAAACTTCACTTTCTCCGTTGGGATCGCTTGCAGAGGAGCCTATCTATTATTCTGCCAGAATTGCTGTTGGCTTCTCTTTCGGCTGCAACGGCTGGCCCAGGAATATCCTCTTCCACGCCAGGGTCTGCCCAGTGCCTGCCAACAGGAGGAGACTTCCGTTGCTCTTACCAATGGCGACAACATGTCGACGTCACTCATTGCTGTCTTCTCTCAAACCTCTGTCTCTTGAGAGAGATATAAAAACGAGCTGCTCGCGGCGTCTTCAAATCAACCCCCACAGGTCAGCAACCGTGTCAAGGAGCAGCAAATTAATGAGACCACCAGAGGAACAGCGTCTCTTCCATCACACGAGGCCCAACCACTTTCAAAATGCCTAACCAAGCCCTTGAAATCAATGGTTTCACCAATACGGTGACTACCGACAACCACATCACCACTCGTGGAAGCGACTGGTACTTCACTGTTACCGCCGTCTTCGGTGCAGCTACCCTTGCCATCTGGGCTTTATCATTTACCAAGACCCGTTCTCAACGACTCTTTCACTATATCACAGCTGCTCTTACCCTTGTCTCTTCCATCGCTTACTTCTCGGAGGGATCGAACCTGGGATGGACTGCAATTGAGGTTGAGTTCTCCCGCAGCTGGCCCAAAGTCGCGGGTGACATGCGCCAAATCTTCTATGTTCGCTACATCGACTATTTCATCACCACTCCTCTCTTGTTGGCTGATCTCCTGCTGACCGCCGGCCTCCCCACACCAACTATCTGGTACACCATTCTGATCAACCAAGTCTTTGTTGTCACCCGTCTTGTTGGTGCTTTGGTCAAGTCAACATATAAGTGGGGTACGTGTTCTTCCGGTGTCGTTAACATCTTAAGATACTGACAATTATCGCCTACAGGTTTCTTCACATTCGGTGTTGTCTCGTTCTTCTTTGTCGCGTACACCATCATTTATGAAGGCCGTGCTTATGCTCGTACTCTCGGTGCTGATGTCTTCCGTCTGTACAACATCCTTGCCATCTGGACTGTTTCTATCACTCTCGTCTATCCCATCATCTGGGGTGTTGCCGAGGGTGGGAACGTAATTCCAGCTGACTCCGAGGCTGTCGCATATGGTGTCCTCGATCTTGCCTCTAAAGTCGTCTTCGCCGCCGTCCTCCTCTGGGGTCACCGCAACATTGACATCGAGCGTCTTGGGATCCACATCCGTGATGCGGAGCAGCTCCCTGTCGCACCCGTTGTGCCCGAGAAGAAGGCTGAGGCTGACGCCGCCGCCGGCGTCACGGCTCCTCCGGCTCACTCTGTTGAGCCCGAGACCGTCTAAACGTCTCGTGATGGTCCCACAAGCATCGCTTGCGATTGAGTGGGCGAAGCATCATCTCCAGTCTGACACATAGAGCCTCGAATGTGTCGTGCAGGCTCTTCCAGACTGGCGCCGCTCTCAACCTAGCAAAAAAGACCAATTCGGTTCTGATGAACCCTCTCCGAAGCTCTCTCAGGCACTGTCACTTCCCAACAACCTCTTGCTATAGTAGCATAATTCAGTGCGACTATGATCCGCTCGTTCCATACACAACAGCAACAACAATACTGGAAGGCTTCCTCCATTAATAATCAACGGCTGCAACATCTAATAACACCTCTGAACGCAGCCCACTGCACACATGAATCGGAAGGCAACAATAATGATTGGATCAGTTTTTGCTATAAGATACCACTTGCTGCGAGCGTTGGGAATTTGCCGCCCTGGTCTCCTTTTCTCATTTATATACCCCACCGATCATGATCACTCTCGGAGTCGATTGATTGATTGGTTCACCTGATTTGACTGCCTGCCGGGTGCATGAGGACCTGGGTGAGCGGGATATATTTATCCTGCCTTGCCGCCATGCCATTTTCCCTGCCATACAGACCTACGTACAATGCACTACCTCATTAATACTATCTTTCCACCTCTGGATAGGACTCTTCCATAGAATACCTGTTCTGGTAGTCTTCGTCCTTGAGACGCTCTTCACATGCCCATCACTCTGCTTCCCCTTTTTGGGCTTCTCGGAGCTCGTGTGGGTCTGCGAGAGCCTCCAGCTAGCCAACCAGTTCCATCCGTCGTTAACCGGTGCGTACTTACTAGCATTGCTCAACGGTGACGAACCCCTCAATCACCCGCCATTCACCTTTTAACAGCGGTATGTAGCTTACTCACAACGCCCCGTTGCGGAGCTGCTGCGTCTGCAGATACCCTACCACAGCAAGATTTGGCCATCCTTGGTAGAATTGTCTGTCTGTCACTCGTGCGTTATCGGAGGAACATGCATGCGTGAGACGAGTGATTCCATTGTCAGGCCGTTCGTTTACATGTGCAACTGCTCCTGTGGATCAGAGCCTGCCCCGCGTGCGTACGGTACATACCCCTCCCTGCCTCAAGGGAAACATTGCACATTGGTATTTAAAAACCACCAAGAACGGAGAGCTCGGCTTTCCGAGTCTTTTCAGTCTTCTCTCTTGCCTCTTCTGTCCTTTCTAGGATTTTATTGACATCGTAACCCTTCATCTCTTGACTGTACCTGAGCTCCCTCCTCGTTCACTCTCCACCATAGCGGCACCCTCTGAGCGCTCCATCTCTGAATACATTCCTTGTCTCAGACCCACATCAACCAGTCAACGGGTACGCACAGGTCAAAATGAACCTACCTAAGCAGGCCAGAGCAGCAAAGAGCAACCATGGTCGACCTTTTCTCCGGAAAGGGCTGGGACTTATCCATTAGAGTGATCGAGGTAACAATTCTCAAGGAAGAAAATTGGCATGGCGGGTGTTCAATCCCGGGTGCGGGGGTTTCTCTCTCTCGCTCCTTTCTTGTCTCCTTGTCGGCACTCTCTTCTGGGAGACCAAGGAGAACATGACAGGGAGAGGGAGAGGGAAACCCGCCCCATCCGGGTTGATCTGAGAAATACCGCTGAACTTGATCTGGATAATACCAGCGAAAGAACATGCTTCTTTGATGCTCCCCTCCAACCCACCCCCCAACAATATCATTGGGGGAGGGGTCAAAACTATGGTCGAGCATGATCCCCACTGACTGTTGTAGTGTCGTTATTTGTTCTTGATCTGATCACGATGGCCAGCGACAAGATTGTCTTCTTGACCAACTGGTATGCTGCTGAAACTAGGATTAGAGCTCAACCCACATGGCCTGATCTGATCCCCGCTTGGGCTTGTGTCGCTCTGGATGACTGACTGGGCGTCCCGAGATAGGCACGCCACGCCCTACCATGCACCGTTGTACCTTGCGCAAGCCAAAGGCTTCTTCAACGATGAAGGTGTCAAAGTCGCTTTGCTTGAGCCGAATGATCCCAGCGTGAGTATTGTTGCCAAACCGTTTTCATTCTACGCCCTGCCTGACCTGGCCTGCAGGATGTGACTGAAATCATCGGCACTGGGAAAGCGGATCTTGGATTCAAAGCGATGATTCATACTCTTGCGGTAAGTGAAGAAGTACTTGATTTGCGCTATGTCATTTCTCGGTAGCTTTTACTGAGGGTGCCCTGGGACCCACAACAGGCCAAAGCCCGAAGCTTCCCTGTCAGTTCGATTGGCAGCTTACTCGATGAGCCATTCACTGGGGTGGTGTACCTCAAGTCGTCTGGTATCACAACAGAGTTTCGCACACTCAAGGGCAAACGCATCGGCTATGTGGGCGAATTTGGCAAGATCCAGATCGACGAGCTTACCTCTCACTATGGCATGACTCCCTCCGACTACACGGCGGTGCGGTGCGGAATGAACGTATCCAAAGCCATTATCCGAGGCGAGATCGACGCCGGAATTGGACTCGAGAACGTTCAAATGGTCGAGCTGGAAGAATGGCTCGAGTCCCAAGGCCGCCCTAAATCAGACGTGCAGATGCTGCGGATCGACGAGTTGGCCGAGCTGGGCTGCTGCTGCTTCTGTACGATCCTGTACATCGGCAACGACAACTTCATCGCGCAGAACCCCGAGCGAGTGCGCGCGTTCATGCGCGCGGTGAAACGCGCGACGGACTTCGTGCTCAACCAGCCCGAGGAGGCCTGGAAGGAATTCATCGACTTCAAGCCGGTCATGAATACGCCGCTGAACCGCAAGATCTTCGAGCGCAGCTTCCCTTACTTGTCCAAGGACCTGAAGAATGTCAAGCGAGACTGGACCAAGGTCACGCGATATGGAAAGAGATTGGGGGTTCTGGACGCCGACTTTGTGCCAAACTATACCAACGCGTTCCTCCAGTGGGCTCTGGACGAGGAGTCGTCGGACCCCGGTGGTGACCAGAAGAGGATGGCGGACCTCCAGTGCGATGTCAGGGCCAGAGGTGGACTTCAGCGACTCAATGCCGTGAATGGCGCCGTCGAAACTGCCGTTGGAGCTTGATTTTTGATTCGGCTCCGGGCTGCGCACTCGTTGCCGGCCAAAGACAAGGGGTTTCCGTTTCCCTTAGTTGTTGGCCCTTGTGATCCCACCCAGACGTAGAAGGGTGGCGAAGTCGAGCCAGTCGTTCATTTAGCTTTCGCTCAAGAATAAAGACCTACGAATACTGCTCAGGCCCGTCTAGTTCAGGGGATTAATTAATGCCTTCACGGTCTGATAGAACGGTGTACGGTGTACGGTGAGCTACAGGACGCCACTCAGCGGTCACCTGATCTTGCTTGTTCAAAGTACTCGTAATTTCCCCAGATTTCCCCTTCATGGCCGGGCTAGTGCTGGATACAGTATAGTGTGTTATCAGTACTCAATCATGTCGGTCCTGCTCTGTGTTGTTGTGTTGCTGTCCCGTCACGCCAATCACTCACCGCTGCCAGGCAGATGGACGTCAACCAACGCCAGGTGGATGTCAACGAGCCGTCGGCCGGGTGCGCAGCAGGGCAACAGCACATCCCAGCACAGACCCCGCCTAATTCAATCAACGTCATATGAGATTTCCATAATCATCAATAGTTACTGTAGCTCTCTCTCTGTGTGCGAGAGAGCGAGAGCGACCAAGCGACCAAGCGCCCCGCTGCGCGAAATACATACTGCGTGTGCATGACATGAACAATTCCGTGGGGGCTTTGGTTTTGATCTCGATGACGCCGGTGGAGGCGCGCCCAGATAAGAGTTTCTTGATGGCTGTGAGATCAAAGTGAGCCCTTTGTTGGAAATTGATCATCGTCGTCGTCGTCGTCATCATCGAAGACTGCATGCAGTCTGCCCAGGTGGGCGTGCGTATGTAGACTCCACGTGACTTTGACGTCTTACTTTTGCTGGGGGCTCGTGCCGACTAATTAGTACGAGTCCTTGCTTTGCCTACGAGTGCTCGTACGAGTCTGTACCCGTGCATGGCTGGGGAGCGGTGCTCCATTTTCACTGCCAAAGACGCAAGGACCGGGGCCAACGAGCTGAGGAATGTGCAACCAGATGCCATAGAGCTGGCCCGGAGACACACGACTCGTTTCATCATGGGCTTGATTTCAATGTTTTATCTTCTTCTCTTGGGGTTGCAAATTACAAAACCTGGGCTAGTAGTTTACATCATACCGAAGGGACGGGGAAAAGAAAATCAAACCAGGACTCGCTCGCATGCTCACAAGTGTGGAAAGTACTCGTCATTATCGGTCGTACTCGTAGATAGGATACATTCCAGGCTTTCTGTTTCTGTAGTATATCACCCGTGGCACACAGAGCACGTAGCCGCTGCTCATACATGCATGGATGCTGTCCACTCCACCCCTCAAATGTATATCGGACTCTTCTTCTGCAAGAGACATCAAGTTCGAGACATTTGCGCCCCAGGCGCTGGCTAGTCATAAACCCCCCAAGCCATAGCAACGAAGACCGGCTGCGGTCATGTCGCATCAAGCTCCCTTCCATTGTCCTCCAAACTCTCTCAGAGACGAAATCGTAATTGGGTATCTCAATCAAAGATATGGTAGTGGATACCAAAAGTGAGCAAGCTAGTGCCCAGTCGAATATTGACACAGTCAAGGAAAGGAAAGGAAATAATGTTGGTCGACTGGACGGATTGAGACATGTCGACACTGAGTTTTACATGACTGGTCATAAGGATCCCCAGACCATGGCGGCGGCACCGGCTAAGGCAGCAACCGCGAGATTGATTTCTTGGATGGTGGCAGCTCCGGTTGCTGTTGCAATGGCTACCCCGGTCGTGGATGCAACCGATGATGCAGCGGTTAGCGAGGGCTTGTTGACTGTGGACGCTGCCTTGGTGGTTGAAGAGGTAGCATTCCAGCCTGTTGGATGCATAGATGTGGTGGTTGCGTTGTGGGCGTATGTGAGGGTTTTGGTGATGGTCATTGTCGTCGAGTATGAGGACGTGACAGTGACAGTGGTTTCTCCTGACCAATCTCCGGGAGGGAGGTCTGCAAGAGCTGCTGGTGCAAGTAGCAGAGCTACCGCAACGGCAAGGGCGGTGAAGCGCATAGTGATAGAGCAATTGAGTATCGTTGCGATGGGTGCGCAATGAGTGCTTTCGCGATTGCGATTGTCGCGTGTGTGCGATCGCTAGTACAGACTGAAACTGAGGCACGGGCTGGTCTGAGTCTGATAGCTGCAGTATTGCTTGGTTCTGGATGGCGTGTACGAGCACTGCTCAAGTGTAATAGCGAACGACTGAATAAGCTGAGAGGGAGCTCAGCGACTCGGACGACAGCAAGGTGCTATCAGAGGAATGGGAGGCTCTGAGTCGAGGCAAAGAGTTGTAGAGAAGGAGGCTGTGGTGTGCACAGGGCAGCACGAGCAGGTATATGTGGCGGTGGGAAGGACAAGATGAAGGCAGGAGGACGAGTGGGTACCAGATGCGGTCCAACCCATGCTGGCACGGAGTCACCCATGCAACTCACTGACAACCAGCAAGATTGCGTGCGATTGCATTTCCTCTGCAGAGGCGACAAGCATGTCACTGGCTTGTTATGGCTGATTGCGCTGGGGAACAGAGGGCCGAAGGGGGGCCGGGGGGGGGCACTCTCGTACCTGACGGGTCTTGACTCTTGAGCCTCGTTGATCGCAGAGGAGCAAAAGAATGAAGGCTTCGGGCTTCGGGGGGCGACAGCCAATCCCATGGATGCCAAATTTCCCGACGACCCCACCTGGGAATGCCAGCGTACCTGACCAGACTCTAGGCGGTCTAGGCAGACTTCCTTGGTGGCACCCGGGGGCTCTTAGGGCCAGGGACGCCCCGAACTGACTGGAAACCCAGTCTGCAAGAGACCCCCGTCACGATGATGATTCTTGCGCTCCTCTCTTCATTCGTGGGCGGAAACGGGTGGGGACTGGGCACTGGGCCAAATGGGTATTTTGCATGACGGGTGTTTGACCAGAAGATGCATGGCCGTGACTCGCTTGGCCTGGTCCGGTTGAGAACTTGAGACTCGAGACTGGCACTCTCGGTTCAAGCGTTGGCCCTGCAACCAAAGGTTCAGACATACATACCTTGCTCGTACTCGTAGATGCGGTACGATCATTTAGCCGCTTGAGTGCAGATTTCAAGATTGTGCTGCTGCATTATTGCCGTCTGGTGCCAGTCTGGTATGCAACATGTTTGATGAGCCGCTGGGTCTTGCGGGTGCCCTGCTAACGGCCAGCCTGTCAGTGCAGCTGCCCGCCGCCAGTCAATCTTGACCTCGCCTGCTGTTGCTCTGCACTTCGGCTACGTGCGAGCCCATAGGGCAGCCTGTAACAGGCTAACAGCCTACGGTATGTACTACTTAGTTCCGAGTACTGTCCTTGGTAGCCTGTAAGAGCCCCGGGTGGCGGCTTGGACCTGCGGGCCTCAGGCTCCTGCTTCATCGTGCTTCAGCCTCCAGCGTTGTCGCCGTCTGCCGTGGGACACAAGGCAAATGGTCAACGATTGAGTCAATTCCAATTCATCACACCATCCAACAAGCGCCAGTCTCACTCGACCAATCTACGCAAGCAGGCTCGCTTCGCGAATCACGACCGATGCTTTGAACAAGTCGGACCTAGTCGCTGATAACATTCAACACTTGACTCCCAAACGCGCAAGCGGCTCAAGTAGCCAACCGTTGGCTCCAGGCTAAAGGAGGTGGTTGTCTCGCTCGCAAAGATAGCAGACGCATCTGCGATGGTTTTGGTTTAGTTGATCACCCTCTTGCCCGCCCAGAAAGATCGCACGCTCCACAGTTCCTTCAGGATGGAGGATGGAGGATGGAGGATGGAGGACGGAGCGACGAGGAACTTGGAAGAGTTCGCGTGTTCCTCTCTCAACTCTCGACTCTCGACACTTGCTGTCTATCTCCGCATTTTCCCTTCCGCCTGGCCCAAAGAAGAGAGATGTGCGTGCGCGCTTACCGACTTGGCTTCTCGTCTCTCCTTTCGTGCAGCATACTATCGACTGAAAGCGAGATACATCCTCACTCGGGATCTAAGCTGACGCTCTTTTTCCACTTTGAGGCTCTACCAATACTCCTACTCCGTGCCATCTACCTTCACACTCCACATCACAATAGCAATCTCATTCCTCATGCATCCCTCGAGGACTCTCAATGGACTTCTCTACCGAGCACCTAGTGCCGAGTACTTGCAGTTCCACAGCTATCCAGGAACTTCCCCTATCACCGGACCCATGTTAATCTAATTAGCTAACAAGCATACGAGCACTCCGTACTCCGTATGCAAGCACTCATCTAAATTACGAGATGAGATGCAGCTAGGGAGACTCCACCGCCGCCGATTCGCACTCTCCATTTGTGTTCTAGCGGCCGTGTCTGTCCCCGAGCCTCCAGATAAACTCTGCCGCAGTCTGAGACCAAACCACCTACTCCGTACTACTTGTAAACCTACACATTGCCAACTGAAAGCTCTAATTTATGGATGCTTTTTCGGCAACGTTGGAGAACTCTATGGGCTGTCTTCTGGGCCCCTTTTACTTTGCTTGTCCTGATCACAGTTTGAAGAGCCACAAGAAGATCGGATGGCTGGTTGAGAGCTCTCATTACAGAGCACTGAACCTGCGTCTCTACCTTCCTCCCTACAGACCCGAAAATTATCTCTTGCAACCTAGCGTCTCATGCAAGCTGCGACTTCGTGCTGGCACAATCTCGGTACAATGTGAGCCATGCCATCAATTCACCACGTGATTCAACATCCCTAGGTGCGACCGCAGCGAGATCCCCCATCGCTCCTCCGGATTCCTTCCAAGCGCCGTGGGTTCACTTTTGGTGAGTAGTAAGCGATCAAAAATCCAAGCGTGAGATGCCAGCACGCCCTCAGTCGCAAATGATTGCGCTCCCTAGTTGAAGCGCGATCTGGGAATAAAGCATGTTATGGAGGCAATCAAGCGCACTCAATCAATAGTTCCTAACCAGTCTCGAGAGTGATGGCCATGCTAATGTCAGAGACGATTGAGACTGGCGTGTCGACTTGAGCGCACTCTGAGAACCCGGGACGACAGAACGGCATTCTGCGTGTGCCAAGTAGTTGTATTGATCTCACATAATCGGTCGGATAACAAGGCAATATTAGTCCATAGTTGATGATCGTGCACTGTCCCACATTCGAGCCGAGCGTACGAGGAAGTACACAAACACCCTATCGCATCAGCTGGTCAGAGTATTTCAACCAGAGGAACCTTTATGCCGAAGATACACCACCTAGATCTTTGTTGGACATTCTTCACTACCTCGTAACCACCATGCACCACCAACCTGCCAACTCCCTTCCCGTCTCAGCGGCCTGAATGGTGACCCGAAGACTGGCATCATTGACGTATCCTAACCAGATAGGGGCAGCAGCACTGCCCGATCGGGCTGAACCTTCATCGACAAAAACCCTTGACAGCGGGCCGGCCCGTAGCGAATGTCCAATCAAATTGAGGCTGGAGTTTTCACGTCTTTAGTTGATTTTCCGTTCCATGTTGGTCTGGGACTCATGCTGCACGTGCAGTCTCTCAAGTCACATGTCGTTGGGCTCTTATCCATCCATCCATGCTAAAACAGCAGGAGTGGGCATGAAGACTTGAAAGTTCACATGTTGTTGATAATGTGGCCCATTTCCGAGGAACATATATGCGAATAGAAAAAAACAGGTCAATGGATATCTACCTTGGTCGGTTTAGATCGCATCAATTCAATCTCCGTCATCGTGGTTGTCCACTTCAAAAGGTGTTTACCACTATCAAAAAGCGAAGAACAATCTTCGTGCCGACCATGAAATGCTATAACTGGTAGTATGTAGTTTGAGACGCCAAATAAACCAGATACCCATTCCTACTCCTCACCTCTGCCTCCCAAAATTCCTCCTGTCATCTTCTCTTCCAGCTTACAGCTTGATAAAGAACAAACTCCCGCAGTTTTCTTTAGAACTCCCTTATTTTATTCTCCACGAACCACTCCCTTCAATTAGAACGCCAAGGCATCTAGAAGCATCGCCAACATTTTGTTTTCTTCCTCAGCTTTTCATCCATCGAAGAGCGAGTCATTCGGCTAGACTGTCCACCAGGGCTGTCGTCTTCTAGCCTCTTGCAGCTCTTGTCTCAACCGAGTGTTCTTGGGAGTGATCCCAAGCTGGAAGCTGAGACTCTGACGGTCGCATAACAATGTAGTTGACGACAACAAGTTAGGGTCCGCCCCTCCAGCCCTCCGCAAGTAGCGCCAGATCGTGCTCCAGAGCCTGTTCCGGGGTGATGTCAAAGTACTTAGGGGCTCCTTTAGACCAAGGGTCGACCATTGGTATTATGCCTCCCTCTGGAGCCCACATCTCCTTTCCCCAAACCTTGCCATTCTTGTCTGCGTCCAGAACGCCATGCTCCCTCAGATTTGACATCCAATACATGAACTCCAGGTCGCTGTTCGGTTTCAAATTCCTGCATTGGATGTGATTGATGTTGTATTTCCCTGGGTCATGCTGGACAATCATCCGCGTCGTGTTGCTAATGTCCTTGACATCTCGATAATCAAGCGTATACCAATATCGTTGGTCTTTCACGTCGATTTGAACCCTCTCTCTCGCCGTTGGGTAATCAGCGTAGAGGGGATCGTCGTACGAGATCCAATCGCCGCAGCAATGGATCACGGATGGGATACCGCCTCCCGAGTCGCAGGCCCAGCCATCTGTCCACTTCCCACTCTTGTTGTCGATGATCTGCCGGCACCAATATCGATACTTGGCCGCGGCTGCCAAGGCCAGTCGAGTGCAGGTCAGCGGGAAAAGAGGCGGGTCGAACTTGGCCTCGTTGGTGTAGACGGACTCATTCTTCGCCGTGAACTCTCTGCACTCTTTGCAAGTTATCTCGACCTCCACGCGGAGCTCCCTCTTGGTAGGCGGCAGCAAGTCGTTTCTTCCGTAGGCGGTGCTGAAGGGAGGTGCTGAATTGCTCCATTCATATGGAAGAGCCGCTGCACTGGCAGGCCCTTGCATAAGGCCAGGCAGTCCCACGGCACCAGCCAGGATGATGATGGGAATCGATCCAGCATGACCCATTTTGGTTTCAAGGGGGGTGCGCTGTTGCGCAGGAGGCGGAGGGGTTAACGGAGTGGTTGATTTGTGGGAGGGTGTTGTTGAAGAGGCAAGAGGCAGAGCACGAGTTGACACAAGGGAGGGTGTTGCAGAAACCAAAGGAGGAGTAGTCTGCTAAGTCAGGATGTTTGGCTTGAAGGACCAGAGTGTAGGTGAGGACAGATGAGAAGACGGAAAGTGAAGGGGGGAGAAGACTTTTATAACGGGATATTAGAAGACTTGGGCTTGGGAATCCTCGAGGACAAAACGTACCGGACATCTCGTCCAAGTTTTGGCTCTGCACCCTGAGGTCCTCACACCTTGCCATGTTGGCCTCCAAATGACTCAGATCGACATCCCTGAAAGCCAAATCCACATTGGAAGAGTTGGCGCATCTCGCCTTGTTCTTTTCTTCTCTCTTCCCAGAAAGTCGATGTCCAGAAACCGCAGCAGTCTGACGAAAAATTCGACCCGCCGTAAGGTCGGAGAGGCAGAACACAGTGTCCACATTATTGAGGCCCTCGAACAAGCATCGCCAGCTGAGAAATCCGCTCCAGACAGTCTCAGCGTGTGCTGGTCTAGTGGATGTTGACGGAGATGGGGAAAATTCGATCCACGGCGCTCTCAGATATGGATTCCCAGGAGGACCTCAAGATAGATTCAGAAATCAGCCCACAATCGACGACAAACCAGTCAGATGCAGCAAGGCTGTAGAATGGTACTCCGTCCGCGAGTCGAGGTTCTCATTGTGCCGAGTACATACCCAAAGTAAATTGTGGGGTTGTGGGGATTTGAGGTAAACGCTGAGAGCGCCTTGGCCGCCTCTGGAAATCAAACCTTGAGCGAAGTTAGATAAACACCGACTATCACTCGCCTAGACTCGCTGAGGCTGAGTACCTTTTCCAATGCTTTCGGGTTCTGTCGATGGTAGCTCGACTCAGTCTCCGCACCGAGTTCGACTAAACCTTAGCTCCGCGATTCTACTGGCTTTTGATCGTTTTTTCTTGACCTCGGTGGCACGGGATCCGCGGGAATGGGGGTTCTCGCGGTCAGTACTTGGTTAGGCGCGAGCGAAAAGCCTGAATCATCCATCGGCTGTGGGCATTCCCGATAAGTGTTGCTGCATCTGATGAAACGTAACGGGAAAGCGGGTGAAGCAAGGGAAAAGACCTCAGTGTTCTTACCGGCTGGCCTCAACTACAAAAGAGGGAAAGGAAAACACTACATCCATCCACTGACGTTCCCGCTTTATTTGCTGTTGTTCTTCTCCACAGAGGTGCAGAACATCTTGAGTGGAACGAAGGCGTCGATCTTCGGCATGAAGACCTCGACCATGGCCTGCATTGCGTGGGCATTGCCACCCTGAGCCAGACTTGCGCCCATCGTCTCTGGCAGCTGAGGATATGTCCACGCGGGGACGTCATTGTACGACTCTTCCATGCCGTGAGCCCAACGCTCGACCGTGCAGCCATCGTTGTTGATCATAAAAACGAGGTGGTAGATGGTCTGCCGGCAATATGCACAACAGGAACATGCTCGGCATACGAACCAACAACGGGAGTCAGAGCAGACAATTCGCCAATCCAAAACGTCGTGATCAATGCACCAATCCCCTTCATCCGAGCATATCCGTCTGCTGCGTAACCTGAGATTGAGAAATTCTATCAGCGACCTCTTGTGTGAGAAGGGACTTCACTCGTCGTAAGTGCTTACCTGCCTTGAGCTGGTTGGCGTCTCCAACCTAATCCAGCCCCGTCGGCTCGAGAAGTCAAGGCATACTAGATTTTAGTCACCTGGTACTCCGTGGACCGAGTCGATTCCCAACTGGCGTAGTCTGGAAAATAGATGATGGGCAAGAGTTACAGTATTCTGCATTGTGTCAAGCGTAAACATACTTCGATGTTGATAATGGTTGGTAAGTTGATTTGCGACTGCACTTGTTCACGGTGATATTTGGACTTTGCTCGTTGTCGTTGTTGTTTGATATGATGATTTCCAAATCGAAAGGCACTGCCATTCATAGTTATACTTTTCTCAAACATGACGCAGACGCATTGTAACAGCTTGATGGTTGAATCCGCATTATAATTCTGGTGGATTGTTGAAGCAACCGACTCGTTTTCATTCACGCTGATGGAAGACTTGGCTGATCCACCAGATGAAGATAGGGGTGCTGGACGGGATGGGAGATGCGTCGAAAGACAAAACACCTCAGATCTTCAATAGCTCACTCTCATCAACACCTTCTCTATGGCCGCGACAGGCCATGGACCACGGTTGGTACGGCCTGTGGCCCGACAGCAACTTGTTTTGAATCGTATCTCTGGGAAAGTGCACAGAAGGTCCAGCAGCGATCTTCCTCATCTGGGACTATGTTCGAAGATCAGGATATTCACGGATCTTGCACCTCAGTGAGACGCAACGTTTGCGTTGGCATCAGTGAAGTTTAAGGGGAGTTGTTGATGGATGCCTTCTCCAGCCGCGTGTGAACTCGGTCCCTGTTATCGCCTCAGGCCTGTCCAAGCCTTCTGCAGGATGTTTCCCTCTAAGATGCTAGGATGCGCCAGCGGATGGATTTTGCAGCTGTTCGAATTCCTTTCCGAATGCATGTACGCAATCTGGATTGAATACACGCGAATAGATTGTGGGAAACCCATGGTCTAGGTTTGAGATGTGCTTTAACCGGTCACCCAATTTGTTAGACAAATAATGGCATGCAGCTGGGCTCTGGTTAATAGCGGATAGGAAGAGAGGTGAACATTGGTATCTGAGATCTTAAGTCGGCTCCGAGAGGCTTGTACGAGCTCCGTTTAGAGAGCTACGGATCTGTTGGCGCCAAAGTGACTATCGACGGAACAGGCAGACAACCCCGTGAGGACGATCAATGAGTCAGTGCTATAGCATCTGGAATGCTTTGGAATCATGGGAAATAGGCTCCAGGAGGTCATCTTGCCTAGTAATTATCTATATAAACCAGAACGGTGACCATAGAATAGAAGAAGACAGAAATCTCATCGACGCTGACTTGCCTGTATCGATTGGCCCGTACAGTTGTACAGTCCAAATCCTCCAACAGGATCACACTATCCTGCGTCTGCTACTGAGTTTTGACTGAGCTGTGGACAGAACATTCACCAACCCGTACGATAGAAATACGGAGGCGGATGGGAAATTGATGATGGCCGCGTGCCGGTTGACCAAGAAGACAGGGGTTCCTGGGCTTGTACGAGTAAATAGCTCCAGAAGACGAGGCCTAGAGATATAGACGAGGTGTCAGGTAGAGTGCTTCCAACAGGCGCAACGAATTGGCAGTCCACTGCGCATCAAGGCATGACAAAACTTTTTTCCATTCGACTCATGCGTGCAAGCTGATACTTAATTAAGTCTGCACATCGAGCTGGGATCAAGCCAGTTGAGGACGCTCCATTCTGGGGGAATTGCCTCGGTAGCTCTGGCCAAAGCTTGGAAACATCAGGGGGTCCAACTTGAATCTAAATCGTCCATCAATCATCACCAGTCTGGAGTTCTTTCTTCCCCTAATCCGGTAAGATCTCATTCCACACCACAAGAATAACACCACATAGAGAAGAGGGTCACGCTCTTTATCGGTGTCATTGCCGAATTGCAACCATTATCACGGTACAGTGATGGTAGGAGTTGAATGACGACTCCCCCGCACTTGACAGTCGTTCGGATCATACTACACTCCGTGACAAAAGGCCAAAGGTGGATTATATTGGACTCCTTCAGAGAAGTGGCAGTCCGACAATAATTCTGTACCAGGCTTCGCAGGGAGTCGGCTCCTATCAGCGCTGTCACGGTGTCATGAGATAGGTTGGCATTCATCGTCTACCGTCCAGCTCACAACCTCAATCTCTTTTGAACCCGTCAACATATATAGAGGCTGCAAACCAATGAGCAATGACCAAACAAAGCTTTGTCGCTAACGCCAAACGGCTTGCTGCGATAGCAAGCTGTGGCAATGGGGCGCGAGCCTACAACCTGCTGCAACACAGGTACATGACTACAGGGAGCAAGCTAAGCAAGGGCCGTACACTCAATTACAGGCGAGCAGCTCTTATCGGAGCAGGCATCACTATTTCTGCAGCCTACACCTTCACAGGCGGAGCTAGACAAGCACATGCCGAGCAGCCAGCCAGAGACGCACATACTCCAGCCTCTTCTTCGACATGCCCGCTGGTCACCATGCCTGTGGTGTACTACGACACGTCCACTGAGAATCTCAATGGTGCGACAACAGAGTTCTCGAAATTACTAGGTGCCAAGCGCGTGGACGTAGACCTGGGGTCGCGGATATCTCATTCGAGTACGGAATGGTCAACGGCACCTCGGGGGGAGCTCGATCGCTTTGACATCATTGTAAGCCCGAGCAGCACCGAGGAAGTCAGTGCCATTGCCAAGATCTGCCACAGGCGCCGTATACCCATGACGGCCTTTTCTGGTGGAACGAGTCTCGAGGGCACTCTGGCAGCGACGCAGGGCGGTGTTTGCATTGATTTCAAATTAATGAACAGAGTCATCAAAGTGCGAAAGGATGATCTGGACGTCACCGTGCAACCGGGAGTGGGATATCTAGATCTGAACCAACTTCTGGCCGAGGAAGGCCTGTTCTTCCCTCCCGACCCCGGACCAGGTGCTCAAATCGGCGGGATGATGTAAGTATTGCCCCTCGTTTCAGCAATGCTGGCTCATTGATTCTGCCGTAACAGTGCGCAAGGCTGCAGTGGTACGAATGCCTTCAGATACGGGACGATGAAGGACTGGGTGCTCGGCCTGACGCTGGTACTGGCCGACGGTACGGTAGTCAAGACTCGAGGACGACCTAGGAAATCCAGTGCAGGGTATGATCTCACGAGACTGATTGTAGGCTCAGAAGGCACGCTTGGGTTTGTGACCGAGGCACACCTAAAACTTACGAGCAAGCCACAGAATGAGCGGGTCGCATTGGCGGCATTCTCCAGCACCTCCCACGCTGTTGCGACAGTCGTCCGAGTCATCCAGAGCGACATGCCGATCGCGGCCTTGGAACTTGTAGACGACACGGGGATGCGGGGCGTGAACCAAGGCGGCTATTGCGCCAAAGAATACCCTGAGGTTCCGACTCTCTTTCTCAAGTTCGCCGGCCATGACAAGGCTTCTGTCGAGCGGCAGATCCAAACGGTCCAAGACTTCGCTCGACAGTCTGGGTGCCAGACTTTTGAGTTTTCGACTACCGCTGAAGAAGCAGATGCGATTTGGGCAGCACGAAAGACACTCCTCTGGAGCATGTTGACGTTGAAGAACGATCCGTCTGATATTTTCCTGAGCGCCGACACAGCTGTACCTATCTCTAGAATGGGCGAGGCCATGGACGCAGTGAAACAAAAGATCAACGAGAGCGGGTTCGTGGGAACCTGTTTAGGACATGTTGGGGATGGTGAGTCTAAACCTGATACTGAGTAGTCTATGTGTTTGCTTCTCTGTTCTGCGAGACAGGAAAGGGAGGGTCTAACGCATCTTGACAATAGGTAATTTCCACACCGCTGTGATGTGCCCGCCAGAACAGAAGCATCAGGCCCGCGAGATCATTGCATGGGTGCAGCGCCTAGCAATCGACATGGACGGGACGGTGACGGGAGAGCATGGCATTGGACTCGAATTCCGCGACGCCATGGTCGAGGAGATTGGGGAAAACGGCGTGGATATGATGAGGCAGGTCAAGCTGGCGCTTGACCCGTTGTGTTTACTGAATCCCGACAAGCTGTTTAGATTGAGGATTGAGCAGGCGGACGGCAGATGACCTTTAACCTTCTTCTGGGTTAGTGAGAGGACTTCACCGGCTGATGCCTCGCGCGGCGAAAGCTCGTCCAAAGCTGCTGGACGCCTGGGGAGGAAGCATGCGAGGCGCTGAATGTCCATACGAACGGCTGGAGGCCGCCTTATATCCAGTACGTGTTTGTGATACAGCCATTTGCGGTGATACGCTGACGCTGAAGCGCTGGGAGACAATTAGGGTATGGCTTCCGCATCTGCAAGGCACCCAGGCCGGCCTTGGTAGTCCTAGTTCAGTATAATGTTGCGATGGAGGCTTACGTATTTTACAAGGCTCAAATCGACAAGTCGACCTCTCTCTCTCGCTCTCTTAGTTCTAGTGGCATGTGAAACACAATTGTGGATTGCCAAGTGTTGGCGTAGGCCTCGGGGCCTTGCTGACATCTCACATCCGGTCCGTCTTCCGCTCCTGTGGTACTGATCTATCCGGGCGATGAGGTTTCCACTTTTCATAATAGGTATACTAGCTGATAAGAAGTCCCCTTGACCTACTTGGACCTTGGAGCCCGGGCTTTGCTCATTCTTTTCATTTCACTGATTTCCGTACACAATCAAATCCGATCCCGCCTCACTTGTCCATCCATCATGACAGCAAGCGCACCTGCACCAATCGCACTGACCTCGTCGCTCTCACCGGGGTGCATCCTGTCCGTCAAGGTGTGGATCCCAGAGGAGAAGATCGCCGAGTTCTTCGAGTTGTTCAAGCCCGCCTACGACGCTGTGGTGGCCGAACCCGAATGCCGATTTTTCGTCGTGTCCAGGAACCCGCACGATCCCACGTGTCTGAGTTGGGTGGAGGGCTGGGCGAAACCGGTTCAGTGGCTCAGTGAAGTGCAATTGAAGAAGGCCTATTACGAACCCTACATCAGCACTACGGAGAAGTGGTTTCTGAAGCCCCGCCAGTTTGAGATCACGAATGTGGAGGAGGGACTGGCTCATTTCAAGTTGCCTTAAAGCACGGTGGACTTGGCCGGGAAATCTAGGAACGACGGTTGGTACGAGGGTTGACTTGGCCGGCTGGTTGGTCCTGATGCTAGCTATCACGGAGACTTTGTTCATGCATTGCAAGGCTTGCAGGTATCATGTGGTTGCGCTCAAAAGCACGAGTTCTGGTTGGAGACGGTCCAGGGGATTCAGAACGTTTTGATATGATCCATGTGAGGGAAGATTTATTTGCCTCGAGGTATTTCGAGTGTTGAGGCAACTGTCGCAACAGCCTCGTTCTTGGTTCGCCCTTCGTTCACCGCGTCGAAGATCTTGCCAGGATTCATCAACCAATCTGGATCAAGGGCTCGTTTGATTGTTTGCATCACCCCAATCGTGTCCAAACCGAGCTCATGAATCAAGCTTTCTTTTTTCCCAAGCCCGATTCCATGTTCTCCTGTACAGGTACCTTCCTAATTGCCTACGTGGTCAGTAAGTAGCGTAAAGGTAGGATGAGATCTCGGCCCACCATTTCCAATGCTCGATTCACCATATTGTGTACCGCATGCTCGACCTTCTCGCGCTCATTTGGGTCTTGACGATTGTAAAGGATGGACGTGTGAAAGTTGCCATCTCCTATGTGGCCCAAAACACTGGCAAAGAGGCCAAGATCGTCAATTTCTTGCTTTGAGATTTCTATCAAAAAGTTAGTTAGGCCTAGGTTTCTCGCTGCCGCTAGGAGTGCTTACCAACAATATCCGGCAATCGTGAGATAGGTACCGCAACATCGGTAGACCATACTTCATCTCCTTCTCGTCGTAGAGATAACATGCTCCACAGTGAATCTTTCCTTGCCTTCCACAGATCATGGGCCTCTTGGTCATTACGAGCATAGATGAAATCGCCACCTTGATTTGCTCTTGCAATACGAGTAGTGGATGTGATGTTATCTTGCACTCCAGCTTTTGTGCCTGAGAACTTGAAAAATATCGTCGGGACCTCTTTCCAAGTTCTGTTTGTGCCTCCTGCCCTGTTGATGACAGACATCTGAACATCGTCCATGATTTCCATGGCAGCAACAGGTACTCCGGAACGAATGATCTGCATCGCAGCGGCTGCAGCATGACGAATCGTTGGAAAGGTGACCACTCCAACTTTGGTTTCTTGGGGAATCACGGCAAGTTTGAGTGTCGCTTCAGTGACAATTCCAAGAGTACCTTCGGCTCCAATGAATAAGTGGTTGAGATTCTACCCCGCCGAAGATTTCCTTGGTCTTTGTCTCGTCTTGATGATACGGCCATCTGGGAGAACCACGGTAAGATTAAGAACCCAATCTCTCATGGTACCATAACGGAACGCATTCGTCCCGCTACAGGATGTTCCGATCATGCCTCCAATCTTAGCCGATGGACCGGGGTCCACAGGAAACCAAAGTCCAGTTGGTGCTAGTCTCTCGTTCAATTCCATCCACTGTATTGACGGTTGCACGACAACATCCATGTCTTCGTCGTGGAGCGCAATGATCGTATCCATGAACGCTAAATCAATGCTGAAGCCTCCATAGGGGGCCGCGAAGTTGGCTTCTAGAGAAGATCCGCCTGAGAAGGGGATCATTGGTACTTTGAACCTGGATGCAATCTTGACGATTTGAGACACCTCCTCGGTGTTCTTTGGGTAGGCGACTGCTACAGGCAATTGGTGAATGTTGATAGAGGACCACTCTGAGTATCCGTGTGCATGAAGGTCCTCATCATCCGTGCTGATTGCATCTTCGCCTAATAGATTGCGGACCTCTTGGATCGCCTGTTGATGATTAGAGATGTAGGTCTTCCCATTGTTCAGCTTGCCATTACCTCTTCAAGTTCTTTCTTTGTCGCATAGGTAGGGGCTTTGGTATGCCGCTTGCTGGAGCGGTTTATAGAGCCCTTAACGCTGTATGCATAGCCTATGGACGCTGCTGCTGCACCAGCTAGGAGAAATAGAATATCTCTTGACCATGTTAACCGAGAGGGAGATTCTGGCCGTGATGAGGAGTAGTTGGCTCGAGATATTGCCCTCGATCCGTGAAGAAGGACAGCAGACGTTGGGCACCAGCCACGCGGGGGGGCCAGCGCCGAGCCTGAGGGCGAGGAAGAAGAGGAAGAAGAACAAGCCACTGCCGCAGCCACAGGCAACTTCAAGTTCGAATTGCCCAAAAGGCCAACTCCCCTCCTTAAGCGCCCCACCGTCATCGACCTCAACATCACTGACAGACTCCAGTACGGAATATGCAGAAGCGGCCTATCTAGTTTCCTGCTCCGGTGAAATATTGTAGAGAGTAATGTAGCTGCAGAGGCGAAGGCCTTTTCATTTCAATTCAAGCAGCGGAAAAGGCTCAACGGGTCCGCGGGTATGCCCAGTGGTGCTCAGACGCTTGGGCGAGGTCCTGCTCGGGGGCGGGAGGGTCTTTGCCGAAAGCGCAGGGATCGCGGATCGTGGAGGCTCGAGGCGAGGAATGCGGCCCACGGCGCCCTTGGTGGGCGTGGGGGTTGGGACTGAGTTATAACCATCCTTCCGACCGGTCCTCCATCGCAACCCACGATTGCTGGCTGTGTCGAGATACTCGTCCAGCTGTAGGACGTCGCTGGAGAAATCGCAGGCAATGGAGGAGTTGGGCGGGCAACCATGCTGGACCGGCGGACGGGTGTGCGTCACAAGTCCACAAATCACGGGTGCCACCAAAGGGCTGCGTTGAGTTGCTGCCGTTGCCGTTGTCTTGCCGTCGCCCCTCGTCGTTGCCCGCGCCCACCTCAAGGTCGCACACTGCCGCAAAGAATTGCATGTCGTTGACCCTTTCCCCTCCAGGCGACGGTGACATCTCTCCCTTTCCTGCCACCACCAACCCCACTCCATTCCTCGCCGACAGACGCAACGATGGGGCGAGCAACGCTTGTCGATCTGCTAGACGAGATAGAGCTAATCCTCACAGGAATGACGGAGACACCTCTGTCCTTCAAGGTAAGTCTGTCAGTGGGTTTGAAAGCCTAGCTGAGCCCGACTCTGGCTGGGCCTTGTCAGAACAATGCTGACCAGCCTCAGGGACTCACCAATCTTCTCAACCACAACCACGAGAAGGCTCTCTTGGCACAGTGGATCTCCCTGAAGCCTTGCCAAACTTGGTACCTCCTTGTCGCTGCCTTGAAGAATGCCGAAAAGGACCCGTTTGCAGTACCTGTTCTCCTCAAGCTGTGTATGTTTCCGCCTCTCGCTAAAGTGGCCCTGGGCATGGTTTACATCCGAGGGAAACGTCTCATCCGATGTGTTCTCAAGGCCACGGTTGGCCGTGGCCAACACTTAGGAACCCGTTCGCCCGATGATCTTGAACAATTTCAACGAGTCGATGCAACCCGCGACTTGTGCGAAGCCGCACTACCCTACGCAATGTACGATGAGCGATTATTCTCTGGCCTTCTCCTGCGAAGGACTGTTGGCAATGTGCTAAATGTACATCCATCAGTCTGGAATCGAAGAGTCAAGGCCCTCTTTAGCACACAAGATCTAAGCGCTCTGGCCAAGATCACAGGACCCGACCTGGTTCTCGCTTACGAGAACTGGAAGACCCAGATGCAGTCAAGAGATCACTTTGACGCGATGGCCTCCATTCATATTGCTGCCTCACTTTTCCGTCTTGATCGTGATCGAGTCCTGTCAGCAGCATCGCCAACAAACGATCCTGATCCAGTTGAGCTCCCACCAGCCTTGTCGAAATGGATTGCGCAGGCGTGTGAGCTGTTTGTTCTACCCAAAGGGTTCAGCACTGTCAAAGCCACATTTCTCCGTACCTTGAAGGCTGTTGTCGAGGCAATCTCAGAACCGGCCGTTGTCAACCTTGAGATGACCGCCATGGCGAGAGACATCCTTGCTGTCGTCGACCATGAAAGCCTCGAAGAGTGGGACAAAGCATCGGAATCCGCGGTACGAAAGCTGAGATGCAAGTTGCTTGAACCCGATATCCCTCCAGCAATGATGGCTAACGCGTTTTGTGTTCTCTGCGAGAGTACGTCGAGCCGGCCCCATGTTTCTACTAGATTCATCCTTCTCTTCGAGACATTCGTCAAGACGGTTCTGCTGCAGTCTCAACTTTTCTCCGTCAATGAGATCAAGACTCCGGAGGAATTTATTGGGTTGCTTGTCGAGCTTCTTCCAACGGCCCCGGAAGAGCCAGTATCAAGGCCATTTATTTCTCAATGTCTTGAGGTTGCTGTTTCTGCTGTATTTGATTTGTGCCGTCCTGCAGATCCCGAGCCCAAAACATATCTCGGTATTGAATGGGCTCTATTGCTGTTGACCGCCTTGGATAAACATATCGCGAAGAGCAAATCGCAGTTCCTTGCTGGCATCTTCTGCAGTGTCATCCGTGGTCTTGGCTTTCCTGCGTGGTGGCCAGCCAACCTGTCGGACCCGGGGAACCCTCCAAACTGCTCCGGATTGACGGCTTGTCCCCACTGTCAAGAAACCATAAGACAGAGACTGTGTCTTAGACTGTCAAGGCTTTTCACCAAATCTGCCTTTGACGGCAAGGCACCACTCGCCTATTCTGACCGAATCAACAAAATTCAAGCTCAAGCTCAGATGGACCAAGCAACACCAGGGATAACCTGGAAAATCTGCTATTTCGGTCAGTTCGTTGATCGCCGTGAATTTGGAACAAATCCGGACATTGAAGTGCAATGGCCTTGTGAGCAAACTTTTAGTGATGTCTTGGATGACATCCGCAATGATATCCAACGGGCTGCAATGGTGCACGTCAACCAAAGAACACGTGCTTTGCAAAATCGATGTGATAGTGTGGAAAGACCGTTGCGTGAGGAGAGAAAAAAGTCCAGTGAATTGAGGCGGGTCTTAAAAGACTCAGAAGAGGACTTGGCCGCACTGGAGGAAACGCACAAAAGCGTGAAGGCTGATTTTTCTCGCATGCGTGAGAGACATGCTTTTCTTTTGCAGCGCTCCCACGACCAAGCCATGTCTCCACAAGCCATGCAACTAGAACACGAAAGTTTGAAGCAAGAAATCTCAAGCACACTCGACATAATGGCGAACCAGAAGAAAAAGTTCTCAGACCGATTGGAAGAGGTCAACTGTGAGACCCGTCGAGAGATCCAAGACCACGAATTCGCAAATTGTGGGGCACAATTGGTCAGAGAGGAGGAAGCAGAGATGGAGGAACTGCTGAAACAGGATCTGGAGTCGCAGGTCGCGTGGTTGAGAGAACAGCTCGATCTCATGCACGTTGAACTCGGCGAACAACATGCGAAAGAATTGCAGATCCTCAAAGAACAATTCACTACCGAGATGGCTACGATGAAACTCCAGGTTAGTCCCAAATAGGGGTTTAAGATCTAGAGAGCAACTGATGCTGAGCGATACAGGTCGAATTGTACACCAGTTTCCTGAAAGTTACTGAAAAGAAAACGGACGAGTACGAACGAGAAATTAAGAACCTGGAGCTGCAGATTGATCGACTTACGCGACACAATGAAGACCTATCCTTACAGAATGGCGTGTTCAAAGAGGAGATCGGAAAGCTCGAGAAGCGGAATGCGGAACTCGACGCTGAGTGTGCCAACTGGAAAGACCAGGCACTGAGTGCGATAAAGGAACTCTCTGATTCAAAGGAGGCTGATAAGAAGGTTCTAGAGATCTTGCAGAAGCGTCGTTAAATCTCTTTATTGGCATGATCACTCAGTTTGAGAACGGGCGACTGAGCGTTGGAGTTAAACGAACAATTTGCTGGAGGTAACATAACCGCACAGGATAGCCATTGGGCGCGGATTGGCTTGATGGACTCATTTGCTACTTGGTTGGACAGTTCAGCTCAGATCAGCTGGCACAGGGGATTGACTCTCTGCGCCTTGTCAAAAGGCAATTGTCAGTACTTGAAGCTAGTGAACAACCCAAACAACAGTATTCAAGTCAAACAAACTCCTCTATATGTATCAATCCATCTCCTGGCAGGCTGACATAACATCATTTTTCCTGTTACGCTAATATGATCGTGTTCCTGGCCTCAAGATATAAGGTGCTCCTTTTCACCAGAACCCTGCCGCAAAAAAGTTTCTCCGATGCCGGGACCTTTTTCTCACGAAATTTGAAGGAGGAGCCAACTCGCCATTCTTTGACACGATCGACATGTGTGAGCATGACCATTCAAGCAAGGCAACGAACATTGTATAATTTCTATCTTTTTATCACTGCTTAGCACGGAATCCGAAAGCTACTTCCATAGCGTCTCGCTTCAAAATCATGTATCGCTTCGAAGCGACGCTACTCTGAGCAGCAAACAACTGAACGCAAGGGCAGGGCAGCGAAGTGTCGGTGAGCGTTGCCTCTCTCAAAACGACCAGTCAGATGTAGTTTGTGGCCGCCCGATGTGAACTGAGTCTCAATCTGAGATCAGGCGCAATCCAGCATCAAACAGTCAACTGAGAAATTCAATCACAGCAAACAATCTACTTGGCAGTTAGTTCTACTAGAGCGCTTTGTTCGCTACATCCTTTCCATCCCGTCCTCCCTTCCTGTTCTTCACCGCGTCACTTACCAGGTGAATCTCTTTCTTGCCGTTGCTGTTTCCGCCTCAGCCTGACCCGTGATCAGTCCTCACCACCGAAATAGCCGAGCCACTAAGGCGCGTTAGCCCCTCCAACCGGGCTACTGGTCCAAAGCCTAATCCTCACCCTGGTCTGCTGTATCACAATCACGACCGCCTTCAGCCACTTTCATCCAGACTCTGACCATCTATTTGTTACTTTCAGCGAGGCCTCAAGTGTCCTGAGAGTGAAATAGCTATGAGCCGTTCAAGGACTTGTTCTCATCCCTTATAATGGCATACCAATCTTCTTCCGCTCGGCGACCAGCACTTCATGGAAACATTTCAAATGGATCTCCAGGTCGTCTGATTGGCGAGGAATGGAAGAAGTGGGCAGTTGTCAGAGCCTCCATCCCTCGTCTACCGGAGGGCGTTAGTACGTGGGATATCCATCGAAACCTCCACCGGTATGGAAAGATCGACTTCATTCGAATCAATGAAAGTCGACAGGGCAATTTCACAAGTGGAGCGTCAGTGACCTTTAAGTATGACCTACTGTTCCAATATTTGTTCCCTCTACTAACTACCGCTCTAGGCCACCGCCGCGTAGAGCTCCTTGGGAGTACAAAGGGGGCGTTGAGTTCATCTTCAAAAAGAAAGAAGCCGATCCCGTGACAAAAGTCGTCACAGAGATCGAGCAAAAGCATACAATTATTGTCCTATTGGAAAGATATCAGACTCCAGAAGCACTAATTGAAAGCCCTGTAAGGCCCGGGATCAAGTATCCCGCGGAGATGACCCTCTTGGGCGATTCCATTGATTTTGGATATTTGGTCAACGAAGACCGAATGGCTGTCCTCGCATCGAGAGATGATCGCACGCCTCACAAGCACTCCGTCCGCCTAATCTTGAATCTCAAGAGGAGGGAGTTGGCGCTTTATTTTCCCACCACACTTGAGTCAAGAGGAAAGACTGCTTCCAGACTGTATCGATTTTTCGTTGCTCTGGATGACCAATTTTCAATGTGTGACACCTTTGACGGCAAGGACACATCTCTCATCATTCATGTCAGGCATCCGCCGTGGTATTCTCGGCAACTCAAGGAAGCAATGCAGTTGAGCCATGACCCCCTGTCACGCAAATGGGGCATCGACGATACCTGGGTTCGTCAGACCGACGTTGTGAAACATAAAGACATGTATGCAATCATCAATGAGACGCCAATCTCTGTACGCAAGGATGGGAATTCGATCGACATTTCACGTTGGACGACGTTCCGTTTCAATGTCAAGTCTGAACGGGCAGATCATGGAAGGCGACCTAATCCACTGCAAGAAGTCCTTAAGGCACTAAAAGATTTCAATATCCGCGTGACCGAAAATCCCGCTTTCGGAGTTCAGAACAGTGCACAAACGGAAGCGTCAATCTGGAACGTCCTGCATACTCCCCTCACGATACGCACACCAGGGTCCATTTATCTCGACTTCCAGGTGCGATACCAGCTTGAAGTATGCATATCATCTGGATGGCTGAACGAATACCTCATCGACATGGCATTTTTGAAACGTCTCTCAGAAATGGAGCCTCGAATTGCGAAGCGGATGCTCGTCCACATTGATACTCTTCAACATCGTGTCTACAACCCCATGGACATTTTTGATGACATTCGTTTCCAGAGGCCGGTCAAAGCTCGGCCATTACCTGCTAATTGCCAAGAGCTGCTTCATGCAACAGTCACAGCAACAGGCTTAATTCTCCATACGCCTTCTATCGAGCTAACAAATCGCATCATCCGCATGTATCGACAATGCTCGGATCGCTTTTTACGTGTGCGGTTTGAAGATGACTCCTACCGTGGCCAGACGAGGCTGTTCCCTGCCACAAACAACAAAATGGTGCTAGTATTCGAGAGAGTTCGGCGTGCAATGAGGAAGGGCATCGTAGTTGCGGGCCGTCACTACGAATTCCTCGCCTGGGGCAATTCGCAGCTTCGAGAGCACGGAGCCTACTTTTTCGCCTCAGACCCGGCAGACGACATCACGGCCGAGACTATTCGTGCTAGGATGGGCACATTTGACGGCGAAAAGATTGTTGCAAAACGCGCGGCTAGAATGGGCCAATGTTTCTCTACCACTAAACCCGTTAAAACTATAGGTGGTAAGAGGCAATGGCACAAAGACCCAACCTCGGATATCATAAACAATAATTATACCTTTACCGATGGTGTGGGCAGAATTTCCTCCGCTGCTGCTGAAATGATTCAGCTCGAGCTCAAGATCCCTGGTCCTTCACCTCCATCCGCATTTCAGTTTCGTCTGGGGGGCTGTAAGGGTGTCTTGGCTATTGATACAACGCTGAGTGATGTGAACATCCTAATCAGACCGAGCCAGTTCAAGTTTGACAGCGACTCTGACGAACTTGAAATCATCAGAGTTTCCGAGTATTGGCAGAGCTTTTTAAATCGACAATTGATTCTCGTCCTGTCAGATCTAGGTGTAGTAGACGAAGTCTTCTTGCACATGCAAGAGGATTGCATTACAGCTCTGGATCAAGCATTGACGGATGATGATGCCGCGCTGAGATCACTGAGGGAGAACGTCGATCCGAACCGGATGACGACCAGTATCGCCAATCTTGTTGAGGCTGGACTCCGGACCGAACCATTTGTGATGTCTCTCCTTAAGCTCTACCGCGCTTGCACATTGAAATATCTAAAGGAAAAGGCCAAGATTCCCATCTCAAAAGGTGCGTTTGTTTTAGGAGTTGCCGATGAGACCCAGAGCCTTAGAGGATATAGCCAGGAGAGGTTAGCCAAGGCATCCACGCGAGAGGAAATGGTCAAGGCTCTGCCCCAGATTTTCCTTCAATATACCGATCAGTGCACGGGAAGGCTCTGTGTGGTCGAAGGGGTCTGCATCGTTGCTCGCAACCCTTCCTTACACCGTGGTGATATTCGCGTGGTGAAGGCCATCGGTGAATGCGAAAAATTGCAACATCTGCGTGATGTTCTGGTCATGCCTACTGATGGCGATCGCGATCTACCTAGCATGTGCTCTGGTGGTGATCTGGACGGGGACGACTACATCGTCTCTTGGGATCCAAATCTTATTCCACCAGAATGGAACGCTGAGCCATTTCACTATCACGCACCAACTCCTGTAACAAAGGATAACATAAAGACCGATGACATCATCAATTTTTTCCATGATTATCTACAGAATGATTACCTGGGTCGGATCGCGCACGCCCATCTTGCTGCGGCGGATTTCCTGGATCAAGGCATCCAAAGTCAGCAATGTCTTCAACTTGTCAATCTCCACTCGATGGCAGTGGATTACCCGAAGACTGGTGTCCCTGCTCAAATGCCTCGCGATCTAGAACGTGACCAATGGCCGCACTTCATGGAGAAGAAAGGTCGACATGAGTATAGATCTCCCAAAATACTCGGGAAATTATATGATGCCGTTGAGAGGGTCAATTTTGTTCCAAAGCTAACCGACGCGTTCGACCGCCGAATCCTGTCCCATAAACCAGTGCCAAGAATTTTGGACGTTGTAAAGAACATGAAGACAGAATATGAAGAATCGATGCTGCGAATTATGGCACAGCACGAAATCTGCTCCGAGTTCGAGGTTTGGTCGACCTTCGTGCTTAACCACAGCAAGGCTGCCCGAGATTTCAAGTTTCATGAAGAAATTGGCCGGCACGCCAGGACACTCAAGGAGACTTATTACGAGATCTTCTGTGATGAAGCAGGTGGAAGAGAGTTCGCACACCTCGCGCCTTTCGCTGTCACCGCATATCACGTTACTTATGAAGAAGTCAGGCAAGCCTTATCAAAAGACGCAAGTAAAGACAGTAGCACGGGTTCATCCTCTTCCTCTACGTGTCCAGATGATATAGCGAGCTCCTCCGACTCTATGTCTCAACCTTCTCCTGAAAATTCGGAGTCGGCAATGTCTGACACACCTATGATCAGTTTTCCCTGGGTTTTACAGGATGTATTGTGCAAAATCGCTATCCACACATATCTAGAAGATGATCTCGACCTTATGAGTTCAGAGGAGCGCGAGCGACACGATGCAAAAGTTCTAGAGATGTTCGACAGCGGGGAGACGGTCGATTGGTGGTCATTTTTTACACTGCACGGTCTTGATCCGATACTATCAAAGCAAAAGGAGGAAGCGCAAGAATCGGTCAACTTTAACGCAAACGGCGTTCGTAAGCCTGACACAGCACCCTGTGGTAGCCGTCAAGAGCTATGGAACGGACATCTCACAGAAAACGGCCCAGATAGCCAGGGCTCGAGCTCTACTTCAATCGCCTCTTCAAGGGATACTGGCAGGGGAAAGAGCACCATTGAACAAGACTGCAAGAAAGACCACGCTACCAATAGATCGTCACTTGAGCTAGGCGCGACTACTCTACCAGATGAAACAGCTCAAGTGCCCTTCCGAGATCCAGCATTGATGACACCAGCAGAGAAGCTGAGGGCCCTCAACATTGACGACGAGGACGAAGACTTCACATTCTAGAAATCTTGCGATGGGCTCGGCTACGAGGGAGATTCACACAGATTGTCCAGAAGATGAGCGAAGCATCCTCTGGCGTATAACACCTACGGTACCAGTACCGAAAGCCAGCCACACCGCCCAGAGTTTTCCCTCACTAGTACTTTTGTTGCTTTTATGTTTCTTTCCCTTTTTCACAGACATGACTTTCATGGGACCGCGATCCACAAGCGCAACAGTGCGGGGGGCTGATGCTCGACATGGGCGTGCACAGAGCTGTAACAGTATTGAGGATGGCCTGGCGTTAGGTGGAAGTGCAAACCAGGGATCCGGAGGGAGCGAGGGTTTTTTCAATGAGGCATGATCATGTACTGATGTTACGATTCAAAGGCACAGACACAGACACAGACACAGACACAGACACAGACGAAATGCAATAATAGGGTTGAGCACAATGGAGGGAGGGAACGAGAAGTGAGTGTGGGCGGTTTGTGGCAGTGACTTGATTTCGCGAGCACTTTGAAAAGCACTTGGACGTCACTATTGGTTGGCTTTGCTGAGCCTTGCCCCTCTAAGCAGTCGGTGAACCAACCCTTGATCTCAGCAGCAAGGATCGTTGAGCGCCTTCAAGGGGAGAGGCAATGCTATTATAGATTTCAAGGCGCAAGCTAAGCCTTCTTGTCTTGTACAGAGAGCATGAAAATGAAAAGATCAAACCCAAGAAGCGTACAGTGTTTCAAACGAGCAAAGGCCCAACGCCCTATTGTTCCGGTATGCGAAGCGGAACGTGCGGTTTTTAAGAGCCAAGCAATAGAATAGAAGAAGTCATGGTGGGTATTCTTTTGTTTTTCTTCATGAAAATTGTCATTTCCCGTCCATTTATTTATTTTTCCTTTTTGGCTTGATATGCTGGGAATCATGTAGAAGCCCGGTGCTCCTAACTAGAAGTTCTAGGTCCTCCGGTAGGAGGTCAGGAAATCACCACTGTTTCTCCAACCCACTTGGAAACATCGCACACTTCTCACCGTCACTGAGCCGATGGTTTTGCTCCTTCTGCACCTTTGACGACATAGTTCAGAAATCACCGACCGCGCACCCGGTCGGAGATCCGGGTTGTTCTCTCGCCTCTCGCGCTCCGTCATCTGGACCACTTCCACCCAGGTCCATCTCACGCACTCGCACCCTCACTCGCAGCTTGCCATTAAAAGCCCGACCGGAAACAAGAACCAGTAAGGTGGTAGTAGTAATGTCGCATTTAAATGTGGGTATCGTATGGCTGGGGTGCCAGACTCTCGATCTCGGTGAACTCGACGACCCTTGATCCCCGGGGACCGACCGGTTGACGCTTCAGCTGGACACTCTCACCCCTCTCCTTGGCGGCCTTGCGGCTAGCGGCGTTGGTCTTGACTCTGTTCAGGACTGTTCACAACAAGGGTTAGAGATCAAAGGTCAACCCCTCGGCTTCGTTGGGGGGAACCGGCTCTTACATTCATCTCTTGATCGGGAGTGGGCGATATGTTCGACGCGGACGTTGACTCGCTTCTCCATGTATCGGTTGCCGACCTTCTTGTAGATGATGACACCGACTGCGGATTTGGTCACGTTGTACACGACGCCAGTTTTCCCGTGGTAGACTTTGAAGGGCATCTGTTTGGTTCCAGAAGGATAGATGTCAGCCAAATAATATCCTCGTGCTTTCATCCCCTTCAGACTCCATTCCAGGAGGTTTGGTGCCGTTTCCAATTCGAAAAAAGCGTGGGGAATGGATGTTGAGGGAAGGGAAGGGAATGCTTACGCCCTTCTGAACAGCACCGTTGGCCTTGATATCGACAATATCTCCGACTTTGTAGATTTTCATGTACGTTCCGAGGGCGATCATACCCTAGAAGTTCACAGTCAGTTCATCTCTTCCTCGCAGCTTCTGGATTGAAGCCTCTTCATTTCATCTTAGGCTCGTGCGTTCGTACCTTCTTACGGAAATCACGACTGAACGCATAGCGCGTTCCAGCCCGGAGACCGGCAGGGTGACCCATTGCGAATGATTATCGAAAGGATCTCTTTGAAGAATGGGTGATGGTCGTGTCGTTTGTGGGACTGTCGAATTTGGTGGTGGTGATGTTGGTGGAGGGTAGGTGCAGGAAGTTGCGACTGCCAAGACCTCGATGGCCGCACAAATTCCTTCAATTCATTGTGCGCCAAGCCTTTGCGGGTTGCAAATTCGAAGGGTGCCGACTCTCCAAAACTGCCTTGCAAAACCAACACCACCCTCTCAACTATCTTCCCACAATCCCACGAATCTGTTTGTGACGACACTCTGATTGCGCAGGTACTATCGCAGTCATGGCGCCACGATCATATTCCAAGACCTACAAGGTCCCTCGTCGACGTGAGTTTCTGCCGTCCGATTCCTATATTTGAAATCCAGCGCTAATGGGACATTCTCGAAAACAGCATTCGAATCGGCTCGTCTGTACGTGTATCCTGGCCACTGAGCATGAGCTTGTTCTCTCTGCTTATGTCTGAGATATCCATTGTCTAACATCCTTCCTTCTCTGAATCTAGCGACTCCGAATTGAAGATCGTCGGTGAATACGGTCTGCGCAATAAGCGTGAGGTGTGGCGTGTCCAGCTCACCCTGTCCAAGATCCGTCGTGCTGCTCGGTAAGAGAGAAATCACCATCAAGTCCATCTGAGGATACTCTCCATCCGTCCCAAGGCAAATACGACTAACCACATCGTCGCACCGAACAGTCAACTTCTTACTCTCGATGAGAAGGATCCCAAGCGTCTCTTCGAAGGCAATGCCCTGATTCGACGTCTTGTGCGAGTCGGCGTGCTGGACGAGTCGCGCATGAAGCTCGATTACGTGTTGGCCCTGAACGTTGAGGATTTCTTGGAGCGCCGCCTGCAGACCTGTGTCTACAAGCTCGGTCTGGCCAAGTCGATCCATCACGCCCGTGTCCTGATCAAGCAACGCCACATCCGCGTTGGCAAGCAGATCGTCAACGTCCCTTCCTTCATCGTCCGTCTCGATTCTCAGAAGCACATCGATTTCGCCCTCACAAGTCCTTTCGGCGGTGGTCGCCCTGGTCGTGTTAGGAGAAAGAAGGCCAAGGCTGCCGAGAGCAAGGAGGAGGGTGGTGACGAGGAAGGTGACGACGAGGAGTAGATTTTGTGTCTCAAAACGGCCATCAAAAGAACTCACGGCGTTGGTGAAAAAGGTCAGGAGCCACAAGATTAACGAGGCCCCTCCCCAGGATGATTCTGTGTGATTGAAAATTATTATCCAGACATCAATCGACCCTTGGAGGGAATATCTGCAAATCAATGGCAGATACAAGCAAGAACTCTCCCAAGCTTCGTGCTATATAGCATGAGAACGGGTGGCAATGAACTCACAATTTTTAACACTCCAGTCATCGACGATCTTGATGTTTTTGTCGTCAAGTAGTACCTGGTATCGTGCACGCATAATCTTCATTAGAAAAACACATCGTAAACTCCCCGCTGTTGGAAGAACTCATGATTCATTCAACCTTCGGACCCCAGCAACCCTCGTAGAACAACGTCACTTCCTCTATACCACCTCCCCAGCTGTTCCAGCTCATCCCTACCACCCTCCTCCTTCCTCCTTCTAACGTCCCTCGCCAGTCTCGTAGCCTCATTCCGCTTCTTCTCTAATTCGCCCAACTCAGCGTCGACCTTCTCACACTCACGTGTTTTGGCGGGTAACTGGCGCTGCAGCAACTCGATCTGTTGGTCGAGATCTCGATTTCTCGCCCGCTGTTCCTCGAGCGCATCGGCCGTCTCTTCCAAGGACAGATTCATCCTCGCATCCCCGCCGAAACTCTCCCTCGCATCGTAACCACCACCGCCCTTCTTCTCCCGAATCAGGCGTTTCAAGTCCTCGACCTCTCTCTTCAAAGCCTGTACCTCGAGCGGCACCGTCTCCAGCACCTGCACGCCCTCTGCGACACTCCGGTACCGCGCCGCGACCTCTCTGGCGCGGCTGTCCATCTCCGTAACCAGCTGCTCCACTTCCTCCTTCTGCCGCTTGACGTCCGCCTTCATGCCCACCAGGCTCTCCTCGAGCGCAAGGTTGTCATCGTGAGTCACCACCAGCGGTGGGTCGCCGACAATGCTGCGCAAATATTTCTCCTTCGTCACCTGCTCGAGGTAGCTGAAGCGCAATTTTGAGAACAGTTCCTTGTAGTGGGTTAGGTCGGCGGCGAGCGAGGTGGGGGTTAGATGCGTGTCGAGCTCGGAAGAATGATGGGTTGTCGAGGAGGCGTCTGAGGGTCTGAACTGATTGTGTGCCTCTGCATTGGTCTGACTCTGCGAAGTGGAGCTGAGGATGGGCTCGGCCAGTGAGAGTATCGACAGTGGTTGTATGGACTGCTGTTCTCGCAATGCTGAGAGCGTGGCGGCGTAGTCTGCCGCTGCCATTGTTTTTGGGTGTGACTCTGACTCTGTTAGGGCGCAATTTTGCTTTTAAAGGCACAGATAGTGTTTGCGTCTCGTCGTTCTCAGCAGGTCGTGGTGGGTGAACTGCAACGGAGGCTCAGGCGTCGCGCCCCCCGAAATGGTATCTCGATGGGGAAGGAGTAAACATCAACTACCTCGGAACATTTGACCCTCTTTAACAAACTGCGCTTCAGGCTCTATGATTGTCTCTATATGCCAATCATTTCAGGAGAAAGGTGCCCTGCTTGAATACATTCTAGAATTTTTCGCCTAGATCGAGTCGAAGGTTCTTGCCAATACTCGGATGCTATACCGTGAAATGTAGTATTATTGGTCCTCTCTCAGTTCCTGCGCTGGAGACATCGCTTTTTGCTTGCCATCTAAACTTGAAGCTCAGCGAGAGGCAACGCACCTGGTCCCTATTTGTGAATTATTTCGTCGGACTTTCAGATGTTGCTATAATAGGAGGATTTCGAATATTTTATTGTACATTAGATAAACAGGAGAAGGGTATATCGTTCTCAGCAAAATCCCGTGGCCAGGAGCCTTCAAGACTCCATTGGCCCATATCTCTGACTATGTGTTCCTAGCTCATGCAACACCAGTGTGCAGAAAGCATGCGTGGCCAGGTCAAGGATGAGGTGAAACCAACGACTCCGTTCTATGCGATGCTATGTAAAGCATGGAATGGTAAGGTATGACAATAGCGGTGGTGATGGTGGTGGTAGTAGTTTTGAGGAGTTGGTTGGGTCATAACATTGATAGCGATGATGTACACGTGAGCCGGCTTTCGAGAGACGGGCTGCAGCATTTGCGAGACATATCGAACTCAAGAAGTGGTTCCGACAAGTCGCAAAATTATTTCATATCTACTTGACGTTAGCGATCCGATCTGAAAGGAGAAGGAGATCTGAGGGATGTAACACTCACGTTCCAAACATGATGGCCGCACTGGGCACAGCGCGGAGCAGATGGGGCGTCATGCCGCCATACAGACCTGCCAGGCCTTCTTCCTTCGCCACCAATTTGAAGCACTGGACAAGTCCGGTGTACTTCAACGTAGGTTTTCCATTTTCCGCTATCGTCGTAGGTGCCTGTCGTAGCCTTGTCCGTACGACTTCATGAGGGTATGTCGCGACGGCTGCCACTCCCTTGGCACCGGCAGCGGCGGAAAATTTGCCAGCCCATTCTTCCGTGTTGTCGAGCCATGTTGGTTGGTAACCCGGAGTCGCAAGTCTCTTGGCTTCTCTTCGTGCTAACGACAGCTTCATCCGCTCGTATAAAACCCATTGCAGAGTTGATTCCGTCACTCCCAGATAGGAAGCAGACAGCCCTCGGTATAGGCCTCGGATTCCCTCGTGGCGAACGGTCTGTTTGATGCAATCCCAACTATTTCGATACTGCCGCCGGCTCAGCGGATCGTGGCTCGCATTATTCTTATCCAACTGCAACCTTGTCTTCACCAACCATATCGGATTCGTCGCCGTGCCCGTTGCGATCCCAGCTGTTGCGGCCGCCAACAGGTGGACTGTCCACATGTTCTCTTTTCCCTCCGGGTTCAGATAATCATTTAGGATCCGCTTGCCATTGCCATAGACATAGAAATTGATACTCCTGGCCGGAACCACGCCAATCAAGTTTGCGCCCAGGCCGCGGAACAGGGCTCGAAACCCTTCATGTTGGTGTATCGATCGAAGAATTTGAACAGTTTCGGCCAGGTGAAAGTAGGCAGACCGAGGTATTGAGAGAAGGGTGGTTTTCTGGGGAAGGGGATGCTGAGCATGAAGAGCCCGCAATTGGGCTTGATAAAAATCGGATTGTAATCGTGTCTTCAGTACATCAAGAGGCGAAGTCAGGGCTGCCGCTGTCATCCCACCGACGCTGGAAAGAGATGTCAATATGGAGTCCACTGCAGCGAAAATTCGTGGTTGCCTACCCTCCTGCGACAAAATGCGCCCATGGCTTGGCCTTGGGCACTTCTCTCGTCACTGCGGCCGCATCTGGTTCCTGGCCATCTGGCACCACTAGCCCGGTCTCGCGGGCTTGTGGAAGGAGATTCTCTTCTCTCGTGGTTACCTGGAAAGGCTTCGGAGTGGCTGCAGGAAAGGTCATGAACGTGGTGGATACTTGCAGAGACTCGCTTATGTAGAGGTATAGAGCGGAAAATGATGCTCTGATATTCAAATGATGTACAAGGGAATGAACGAAGTGGAGTTACAAGAGTCGAAAGGTTAGTATGGGCAAACGCGCAAAGTGACGGCAGTGATGAATCCAAATTTCTTTGCGCGCGAAAATCGATAAATGCGCGAGTCATGCAAGAAAAGCGTGAGCAGGGGTTCAAGGTCGGGGTAATAACAGACTCGGATTAACCAGGTTTATCCGAAGTCATGTGACTAAAAGAACACCCTCGAAAAGTGGTCGTCTGTTTCATCTTCAGTGTTGGTATGAGGTGTATTCTCCAGATTAGTGATAACTTTGTGAATCGATTATTATTGAAGGCTTATTCGACGTATCCTACACCCTCTCCTTCAGCCGAGGTCAACCTACGAGTACTCTGTACGTCTGGAGTTCTCACCAATTTCCACTTTAGTGCTGCCAAGATTGGCTTCCGGTGGATGACCCTTTTGAGCATCTCCTCGGCTGTGCGCTGCTTGTAGATTGCCATCCACAAACACTGCTGGTTCGTATCTTTGCCGATTGACCGTGAGAGAGAATACATCGAACCTTTGGTACCCGCCCACGACGTCGTGATACTGTTTTCCTTCAACGCACTGGTTCAGATCGAGGTCTGCATAGAGGATACCCTCTTTGTCTATCAGGCTGTCCGTTACTTCACCAGTGGAGTCTACGAAACCAGGTAGGAGTGTACCTGTCGGATCAAAGAACTGTGTAGGCGCCCTTGGTGACCTCGTAAGCGCACTGCTCAATTTCAAGCCATGCTCGCCGTCCACCATCTCTGAGATTTTGTCGATCGTCGAGATAGGAAGAGGGCCCGCGCAGGAAACTCCAAAGCATTTGGCCTCGAAGCAATGAGCCGCCGCTCGCGTACGATTTGCTGCTATGTTGTTATAGTTTGAGGATGCGAATGCTTTGTCTGAGCCCCAGCTAGCTTGGGGCTTTTTATCTGGCTGCGGAATGAATTGGTCTGCTATTTTCTCAGTGGGTCGAGCCTTGCTTATCCTTTCTGGCGGCTTTTCAGCATCATGAATTAAACCATCCTGAAATTGGCTGTTTTCGTTGGCCAATTCTGAATTGGACTTGTGGTCGACACCCGATCTGTCGTAGTCGTCGAAATCTCTTGTAGGCCACACAGCAGGCCATGTGGAGATATGTATCTGTTCGCCTTGGGCCATAAGAGCATAACGTGCTAGAGGATTTGTGTTTTCTCCACAGATCAAGCCCCCGATCTTGCCGAACCTGGTCTCTGCAATACGTAGACCGTAACCATCACCAGGGGCCCAGCTGAGCTTCTCGAAGAATGTGGGCATCAGCTTCCGATGATGGTTCAGTAATTCCCCATGTTCACCAATGAGAATGTTGGAATTGAAAAGAGTCGCAGTGCTGTATCGGACTTTTTCCGAAAAGCCAAGACTCACGATCACCTTATCCTTCGCAGCTGCATGGCGAATGGCAGAGATCTCTTCGCTATCTACGTACAGTGACGACTGGGCGAAACGCTGGAAAAGGTCGTGTGTTCTTGTCGGTGGTAGCAAGGCAGCCCATACCGGAAATCCGGGGATGGCGGACTCGGGGAAAACGACCAGATTGGCCCCTGAACGTGCTGCTTGGTGGATTAGACCAATTGCCTTGTCACATGATCTTGTGGCCTCGAAGATTATCGGTGCGAAATGGCATGCAGCAGCCCTCACCTTGGGCAAAGACATTACCGGATTCCAGACGATTGATCAGTCACTTGTTCGATTAGTCCACATCCAAAAGAGTGCTATGCCGAGGGAGTGTAGCCTTTTTTGGGACTGTCGTAGGGGCTCGTGGCCTGACTTGGTCTGTCAAAGCATGATTCACCCGTAGTTCTCGAGCCAACAGCTAAAACTTGTCCCTTGACAAGCAAGTCCAGCCATAGGAAAGCAGTTGGGAAAGCAGCTTGAGGTTGGCAGTGGTTTGATCTCTGGGTACTACTAGCCAATCGGAGTAGCCAGACAGAAAGGACGTCACGTCCTCTTGTCTGACGGCCTACCCACGGCTGCTTAGGCTCCCAGCCACGGGCATCCGCGCGACATTGTCTCGTCAGACAATATCTTTCCCGTTTAGTACAGCAGCCGAGCGCGATAGCCTCGGCTTGATCTCTTCCCGGGGTCATGGCGAAGTTGGAGCTTCGGGCGGATAACTAATTTACCAAAAACATCAACGTCAACAGTTCTCTCTTCACCCATTAATTATTGATTTATTAAGAGTAATCGACGGCTCTTCCCCATCCATCTTCTTCCCGCAAGCCTTGAGCATTCCCAAGTCTCTACTCTTGATACTTCTGTTCATTCCCTTAGAAATGTCTGTTCCTTACCTCATGAACAGCCCTACTGGCCATCTCCCTGCATCAGAGAGAATCCCCGTGATTGCACGGCCTTGGGTGAGCGAACGGGCGAAGAAGACTCTAGATCTGGTATGCATCTCTTCAGCCCCGGCATCTTAACTACTGCGGCAAATTGTGTGTGCCGATGCTCACTTTTGGATTTGACAGGTTGAGCGATTCGTCGAAGAAGAATGTATCCCAGCGGATGCCGTCTTCCAGCAACAGATTGGCGAGGGAACAGTTGCCCGCTTCGACGCACACCCAAAGGTAATCGAGGACCTTAAAGCCAAAGCCAGAAAACTTGGGCTGTGGAACATGTTCCTGCCCAAGAACCACTTCAAGGAGGGCGCTGGCTTCAGCAATCTTGAGTATGGCTTGATGGCAGAATACTTGGGCAAGAGTATTACCGCCAGTGAAGCCACCAATTGTGCCGCCCCAGATACTGGCAACATGGAGGTGTTCGCAAAGTATGGCACCGAGGAGCAGAAAAAGCAGTGGCTTGGCCCTCTACTGAACGGCGAGATTCGATCTGCTTTCTTGATGACCGAGCCGCAAGTTGCCAGCAGTGACGCTACAAACATTGAGCTCAATATGAGGAAGGATGGTGATTACTGGGTTCTCAACGGTCAAGTATGTTCTGCACCTGTGCATCCTGTTGTCTGTGAGTGTGTCGATCTAATCCGTCTTAGAAATGGTGGTCTAGCGGGGCTGGCGACCGCCGATGTAAGATTTATATCGTCATGGGAAAGTCAGACCCAAACAACAGCAACGTTCACAAACAGCAATCCGTCATCCTTGTCCCCGCAGACGCACCTGGCGTCACTATCGACCGCATGCTTTCAGTCATGGGTTTCGATGATGCGCCTCACGGCCACGGTCACATTACCTTCAAGAATGTCCGCGTCCATAAGAGCAACATGGTCCTTGGAGAGGGTCGTGGTTTTGAGGTTGTCCAGGGACGTCTCGGACCAGGTCGCATCCACCATGCAATGAGATCTGTTGGCTCCGTAAGTACACTTTGAGCGATCGTAAGGCGAAGCCTGGGCTAATTCAAATAAACACAGGCCGAAAGAGGCCTGGAATACTTCCTTGCTCGGTTGAACGACCCAGCGAAGCGACCTTTCGGGAAGCAGCTATCTGAGCACGGCATCATGCTCGAACGTGTTGCCAAGTCACGGATTGAAATTGATTCGGCACGTCTCGCAGTTCTGAACGCCGCCATAAAGATCGATCAGTCAAACGCGAAAGACGCGCTCAAGGAGATCGCCGAAGTCAAGGTCCAAGTTCCCAACATGCTTTTGGAGGTCCTTGACCGCGCCATCCAGGCGTACGGCGGTGCAGGTGTCTCTCAGGACACTCCACTAGCACAGATGTGGTCCTCGGGTCGGACGATGAGAATCGTGGATGGCCCTGATGAGGTGCATATGCTCCAGTTGGGACGGAATGAAAACAAGAGGGGCCCTAACTTACTGAAGAGAATCCAGGCTCAGAAGGAGAAGACGAGGGAGCTCCTCAAGTTCTACGGCCTCCAGGAGAGGGATGTCTTGGAATTGAACCGTGTGAACGGTGGCCAGTCCAAATTGTAGATATTCCGCTTTGTGTTGGTAGGATGTGTCTAAATTTTCCGTCGGCGCGGTCCATGCGTCACAAATTATCCAGTTGACGCCGCATACCAGATGCCTAAGCTTTCTGCCACTTCAAGTCTATTTCCGCTCCCGTACGTGTTGAGAACGAGATTACGTCCTTGCAGTTACATGCCTCGAGACTTTGTGAAGAAGCGGCCTAATCCCGGCGGCCTGTCACCTTTTTTGACGTGGTATGGTGCTAGTGATGGTTTCCAAAGATCGGCTACGATCGCCTTCTACGTCTCGAAGGTTTAGTGAAGGTTTTCTGCACACTTTCACCTGGAGCTGTCTCGGATCATCACCTAACGGAAACTGGGTTAGGGTGAGACCATTACATATATCTTGATAGAATGAAGTGAAAGAGGGCATGTCCCCGTAAATCGATCACAGTGAGAAGCTTAGAATTTCCGAGACTGGCGCTACGGCGAGATGGTTTCCACCTTTAACACATCCTAAGTTCCTAACAAATCTCCCAAGGACAAAGCGATAAGATTCAAAGCCATGTAGATGATAGGGTACTTGAGAATTAATTTTTCCAATGTATTTCGCATGGAGACTGGCGATTGGGCTTGGGAGCGCAGGAAATCCCGGCAGTGGTCGTGTGAATCCCCCATGAACAGAGAGTACCGAGGGCTCCAAAAGTTGAACTAGTGGCGTGTTTGCGTGGGTGCAAGAGACAGAGGCGCACATGGTAGAACTTGAAATCCGGGTGCACTACGGGTAGTGCTGTGGCAGAACGCTCTCTCGACCAACCGATTGTGATTGAGCACTCCTTGGAAGACGTTCCAGAACCGACGATCAGCGGCATCCGAGCTTGGAGGGCCCTGGCGATCCAGTAACGTCAACCTCTGCCAAGGTGAGGCACACACTGTGAAGAGAATTTCTGGTGGAAAAGGTGGCAATTTGGAATTTCTGAGCACATGTTGATAAACCATTTATAGACAAGCTGATCATCTACGCTGCTCAGCTTGCGCGTCATCGGAGCGCTTGGACAAACAGATCTCGGAGCCGCAAGCCAAGATCAGATGGCCACTGCGTGAGAACATGGCCGTGGAGAAATTCGAGATCCATCGACTTTCGAGATGGGGATTTGGGGTAGATCCGTGAACCGTGACCAAAGTATTGACCGGGTAGGACGGGTTCTGGCAAAGCAGATCTCCCCTTCCACCCCCCAACCCCCAATCACTGGCTAGCTTGTCCATACTTCCCAGCTTCTCGGCAGCAAGCAGCAAGCCAGACTTTATAGTCGAAGGTCAGCATGCAATATGTTGGAGCAACACATGTACAATACAACACATTAGGCGGCCGATTCGGGGACTGAAATGGCAGACCAGCCGCTGGCAGATATTCTTGCCTGGAAAGTGAAGAAGTGAGCCGGGGAGGCGTTCCCATGAAGAACAGCTCGGGTGAACGTCAAGGAAGAAAGTCAATTAGAAACCTAAGACGCCCGAGCTTCGAAGGGACCACCAGCCTGGAACGAGGCTCTGATTGCGAGCGGGGAGCTTGTGCGGTCCCACTGCTGATCTGAACAAGGAATGCAACTGTAATCGGTTGATTGAAGACGCAATTTGATGGAAAGTTGACCTGCTCCGTCCTGTAGAACGCATGGTCAATGAACGGGCAGAAAAGTTAAGTTCTCCTTAAGAGAAAGCTACATTGAGAACTGAGAAGGTCGGTGCATCGCAGTCCTTGGAGTTGCTTGCTCACCGTCGCACCCGTGACCAAAGTCTCGACAGATCGAAAGGAGCGGGTTATCATGACCCGTGTCCGGTGATCCGCTGTACTGGATTTGGCAGCACGGATGAAGCATGGGCATCTGCCTAACATCCCAGCCCTCGTCAGGCGGATGAGGTCGCGGGAGCAGGAGGCTGGTTGGATAGTGGCCCAAGTGACTTCGGTAGGTGCATGTACTTGACTTACACTGACCAACTTAGTTATGTAATCTACCGAGGGAAGTGGCTAGTCCCATGCTTGCTTACCACTACGTTATGTAAATATCGCCTTTGATTGGAGTCCATGCCAGATGCTGAATTGGAACAAGATTCGAGGTTCAGAGAGCGGGAGCGAGTGGCAGTGGCGAAAGAGCCAATGGCAAGGGATGTGCGGGTGGGCAAGGGCGACCCCGATATTGCCTCAGATGGACAGGCGCCTCAGGCCGGAAGCAGGGACACTTGGAAGGCGCGCGCCATGGGAACCCACGAGTTGCGATTGGGAAGCCGCAGGCCACTACTCGTCCTTGTTCTCGCAGTAACTGCGAGGGCGGAGGGCGTCGACCGTCGTTCCTTCCTCCCCGGGAATAGAGAAGAAAAGGGCCGGGTAGAGGACGCTGCCGCTCGAACTACGGCTGCCGCACACCTGGATGGACCTGAGCCTGAGCCTGAGCCTGAGCCCCTGCAACAAGCCCACCTTCAAACTCTGTGTGAAATCGTGTCTGTTGACTACGAGTATTGACCGACGGCGACTGGATACCCAGCTCACTCAACATTCAAGCTGGGTAGAGATCCGAATTTGCGCTGTCACAGCCACAGCCACGGGCCACACACACCTGTTTACAATGTGGGCTTCTTCTTCTGCTTCTTCCTTCACATGATGGCGGGTCAAGTATCTAGTCGAAGACTGAGGTGTCCACCGGGCGCCCTCTCACATGGGCCCATCTGCACGCTGCAAACACGCTACCTCCAGGCTACACGCTTCTTCCGATGGCTCGAATAAACTTCAGAGCCATCAATTGACGTGCGCAAGACCAACCAGCCCTGGGCACCTGTCCTATTCATTCCAACTACTATACCGGTCCCGGCCGGAATTCTGACCAAGTCTCTCCCCAATATTGTGTGGGCACTGCTCTACAGCACGTTTGGCATCTGCAACGTAGCTTCCCTTTCCAGAAACCAGCCTGTTTAACTTTGCCCTCACCAGTCCGTATATCCCCTAAGTCGCCCTAGCTTCTTTGCCCCTTCCTCTCAGAGGCCCGGCGTGTCTCGCACTGGGATTTGTGTTCCTTCCCATCAGATTCAGGTCAATCGTTGTGACTTTCGCCCTCCCAAGGTGCAACGAGAAGCACTGCATTACGCATTCAGTGCCAATTTCCAGAGCGCCAGCGATGTCCATCCAACGACTCTTGTTTGTTCAATCGCCCATCGTATCTTACTAATATCCCACTTCACAATCTGTCGTTTCCTGTCTGGCTTAGCCACCGAGCCTCCTCATCGAAGGCCCGACCAAGTTGACAATTTGTACCCATCCGATTCTGGCATGGAGTAGTCCAAACTCTGGCAGCAATGTCCTCTGACGGCAGTGTGCGGACATCCAGCGCAGCCAAATCCAAGCAAGAACGGATTCGTGATAACCAAAGGCGTAGTCGTGCCCGCCGCCAGGAATACCTGGCTGAGCTTGAGAGGCGGCTGAACGAAAGCAATATCACTCGTCGTGAGGCTGAGCTTCAGCGAACTGCTTTTGTCGATCTACAGTCCGAGAATGCTCGTCTCAGGGCATTGCTCGAGTTTGCAGGAGTCAGTGCCGATGTTGTCGAGAATTTCGGTCGGGATGCCATCAACCAACACCCAGCTTATCCGAACACCACCTCGCTTCGATACCTCAAACCCAAATATCCTGCGACAGACGTTAACAGAAGTCAAGTCGGACTTGCGATTTCAAATCAGGGACCGGATCCCAGTCCGCCTGCTCAGCACCTGGGATTTTCAGCAGCTCACAATCCGTCCGCAACTTATACAGCTCTTCCAAACCACATGGCGTACAGCACTATGGCTACAGCAACACCACTCACTGGTATAAATAATCAATCCAGCACTGCCTTATATGCAACTACTCATGAATGGCTCCAAAACTCCGATGGTGGCAGTATGACAGCCTCTAGTGATGAGCCCTTCACGGGTGATCCATTTCACGCCGCCCCACATGATGCGCAGTCATACCAGTCATGCAACGCCCTCAGTCCATTATCTAAAGCTATGCTCGATCGATACAGCCCAAACCCTGCCGAAATGCAAGAGATTAGAAGACGAGTTGCAATGGCATATGGTCAGCCCAAGATGGAAAATCCAGGCTTCCAGGTCCACGATCAGGTCCTGCTGCATATCCTTAACGAAGTGAATGCAAAACCTTTGGGCCACTGAAGGAAATTCCTAAGCGTCATACCTCATCAACGATTATCACGGCTATCAATGCAGCCCTAGCGCTTGGCGTAATCCTTGGCTTAAGGTCAGGAGCCCTTTGGACGCCGATCATTCAAGGCTTTTGGCGTCACCCCAGCGCCTGTGACCCTGGAATCCTGTCCGATCAACCGCGTCACATCTGGGGCCCTCCATGATATAAGACCAGGGGAACACTTCAGCCAACTTGATACTACGAACAAAGTAATCTGCGCCAACCTCAGAGATCCTGCTATGGCAACAACCCAAGACGAAAAGGTGGACGCCAAAGTCCGCAAAGGCCTGGCAGGGACTTCGTTCGAGCCTTCGAGCCTCCAGCGGCTGTCAGGTGGGTTGGTGAATTGGGGATACCAAGCCGCCTTGTTGGTGCCTCTCGACGATGGCACATCCGAGGTATTCCTTAAACATGGAGAGACGTTTCTGGCCAAAATTCCGGATTTTGAGGTTGGCCTGTTGCGCTGCGTAAGTTCTGTATCCCGGACCTGACACAGAGGTTGGAGCTGAAATTGAATCCCTTCAGCGCATGGAGGCTCAAGCTTTGCGACATCTAACTGAGTTTCCATTCGCCGGCCAGACTGACCACGCCGATTCGCATAGATTTATCGTACTAACACCAAAATTGTTGTATTTCGACGAAGCGAACACCACGCAGATTCACGGATATATACCAAACAGTACCACTCTTCAGGCGTACATTCTTCAGCACTACTCTGCACCCACGAACAAATCGCAGGAAATCGAATGTCGTCAAATGGGGAAAGCCATAGGCAGGTGGATGAATGAGTTCGTCAAATATACTGCCTCTCAGCCTGAGATAAAGCAATGTGCTGTGGATAACAGAGATGCGCAACCGATTCGACACCAGTTCAGCTATGGGTGGCTCCACGATCGCATTGAGGAGTACCCAAGGATCTTATCCGAGACCAAAGAGATCCTTGAACACGTCTTAAGGATGGCGACCGAGGAGTTGGAGGACGAGAGCAGGCTCCAGGTGGTACATGGCGATCTTGCCCCAGCCAAGTAAGTTCGCCCATGGTTTCGACTGACAGAGTCGTGGGTGGTTTTAACCAATGCTACCAGCATCGTCCTTTCGGATCGGCCGCTCGAAGAGCATCGTGAAACGAGAATTTTTGTCGTCGACTGGGAAGTCATTCATATGGGAGGGCGACACTTCGATTTCGGCCAGATGGCTGTGGAGCTGTATCTCTTGTGGCTGCGCAAAGGCATCACGGCCGGGCTTTGGATTTTGGAGGGCCTCATTACCGCATTTCATGGTCTCGACGAGGACCTGGCTTTCCGTGTAGCGATTCACATGGGCTCTTATCTGATCTGCATGGCCCCATTGACACCTGAATGGGGAACGCCCGAGCAGATTGAGGATCTCGTTCGTGCTGGGAGAGACATTCTTTTCCACGCGTGGAACAAAGACGGAGTTTGGTTCGGCAATAGCGAATTGGCATGCTTGTTCACTTGTGTGCCATCATCAAAACAGTAGCAATGAGACGTAAAGGCGGTCTATTTCACGTTTCGGCGAGCATTGTGCTGGCAATGCTGAGATTCTTGTGCCGCAGCAGCCTGCAGGCTAACCTTGGTTGGAAGACTGTAGACGACGAAAGGAAGGGCACACGTAATAGACAAAGTGATTTTCTGCCAGTTGAACGCAAAGACCTTTTTCATAGCTGATGGGCTCTTGGCTGCTGGTATCATGCCCCATAGCTACATGGGAAAACCACAAGAGCCTCCTGTTACGTGCCTTGACTACGGCTTACCACGGTGGCCCTATTATGACTTGCTTTGCCCTCAAATTCTGATCAGCAGTTGAAACCTTGTGTCAGGCCTCAAAATAGCGATGGGCACCACTTCTGTGACCACTGTCATACCTATGCTTTGACACATATTTACCAGCAAGATATATGCCTAACGCAGTGAGTGGATGCAGCTACCAAAAGCTCGGTATCGTCTTTGAACGCCAGGGATAGAACTCTGTCGGTGGTGGTGTGATATTTCAGTCTCTTTCTAGAGTCAAGTCGACGAAGTCCCCGAAAGCAACCTGAATCGGAAATGTTCCTGGGCTGAGGGAAATGTCAAGGCAAGGTCTCAAAGCACATTTTCCAAAGGGCAGAGTGCATCACGACAAGCAACCCGGTCTCTCGCTGTCTCGAGCAAGTTGTAGCCCTAGGCCGCAAAGCCTCCGGGGCCATCGCAGCGTCTATCTTGTCGATGTGCGCGTCGTTGAAGTCCTTTTATTACACACGACGCACACGGACGACACTAATACAGAAGAAATAACTGAATAATGGCATTTCATCATCGACTCGGATACTGGTCCAACATCTCCAGAAAACGCCTACTCGCCGAGCGATCAAACCGCAAGCGTGACCCCATCTGCCTGGGCAGAAAACAAGGTGTGTATTGGCGATTTCGAAGCATGTATGTGGCAATCTTCCCAAAACGTGTTCGACGAAAGCATCATATTGACCATCCAAGGTAGGGAAACCCTCATGACTGCATAGTTTCTTAAACTTTCCAGACTAAGGCTTTGTAGACGGGCACAGGCTCACAGGCCCCACATGCCCTTCCCTAATGCTATGATTCATTGGAACTGGTCCACCTCTGGTTACTGTGGTGTCCCTAGCGGTCTCACGTTCGAGAAACATTGCAGAGCAAATGTAGTCTTTCCCTGTCGTCTGGCCCGAGTGCGACCGATAGACAAGCCCGCCGCGTACAGAGGCTAGAGCTGCCCCATGCCTTAAATATATCCTGCTCCATCTACATGTGAGCCCATCAGAAGCTCGCTGAAAGGGTTGTCGGGTATAGGACCGCCGATAGCAAAGGTTTAGTAACTCAATTATCAGCTACCTGGGTAGTTAGAGAGAGGAGATTCGGGGGGGTGTAGGGGAAGAACTCCGCGAATTAAGGTTACGAGAAGTTTGGGTACCTTCCTACGGCACTCGTACGGAGTACCCATTTGTGGCAGTCCGACAGGTCGGGGAGAAGAGAGGTGGAAAGTGATCTGCATCAACTATCGTGACCTCAGGGCGTACCTGGTTCGTCGAGCCATCAATTGCTACCAGCCTTCGATTTTCTATTACTTAAAAGCTTACCAATTCCTCAGCCTGGCCCTTATATCTACGAGGAGATCACTAAATTCAGAAAAGTGGATGAGAAGTAAAAAAGAAATATGAAAAACAATGTTGACCGGCGTTAGGTTTGTGCTTTTCCCAGTCCAGCTGTCCATTCTTGCGCCTTGCTTGAATGGGTGCGCCGCGGTTCACATGGTTTTGAGTGGAGTGTGGAGCCCACGCCGACGGTCCTAATGTAGCTTTCTTTCTCTTCGTAGGCTCGTAGCTCTACTCGTAGATAGTGACTCTGTGGAGCAAGAGCTGGCGCAGCCCAGCTACCACTCGACCTTGAACAGCTTGTTCTCTCGAATTCTTTCTCCATACCGAATGAAAACGAACGGGAGGGGTACCATGCCCACAGCTATGAATCCAAGGACAGAGGTGCCCCAGCCCACACCGAGAGCGGAATACATGGGAGGACCTGCTAGGGGCAACAGCGCTCCAAGGAGAGATCGAAGCACTGTGCCAGCTGCAGTGGCGGACGCAGCATATGTCTTAAACGCATCAATTATGTAAGTTGCGCTCGCCATCTGAAGTTCAACGTTAGCCTCTTCCTGATCTTGTTCAGGACAAGCGACGTCTCGACTTACATATGCGATAACCATGCCCCCTCCTAGAAATGATGTTCCGATGATGGGGACGATGTAGTGCGTCTTCGTCTGCGCCGACCATCCGTACCAGAAAAGGCCAACCGGTACGAAGATTCCACCAATGATCATCAATGGCAATCGATATTCTGGTTTCGGCTCGCCGCCGTTTTTGACCGTTAACGCCTTAAGCATGCGGTCAGAAAGACCACCAGCCAGGAGCAGCCCAAAGATGCACCCGGTACCGATCCCCAGATAAGCCAGGCTGGAACTGCTTGGGGAAAACCCGTATTGCTGTTCGAAGATGGTTGGGAAGGTGGTGAAACAGAGGTACATATATGCGTAAATGGAGGATGTGTACAAAGAGAGCAAGAATACAATTGGCGACATGAATAGCATCTTCGTTGGCCGAAGGATTGCAAGCATGAAAAGTTCTTTCGATGCTCTCCCCGTGTGCAGCTTCGACCTGAGTTTGTCGTTACCTGTTTCCTTGCGGGCACGCCTCGCTTTGCGCTCCAGGATGATGAGGGCTGACGACTCTTTCATGAGGGCAAACGTCACCACACAGATGGCACCACTCTGTGACGGTCGACAATGTCAGTTAAACTGATTTTCCACTGATATACTCACTTACCACGATGGACAGCAACCAGAACACCCATCGCCATGACTTCGCGGGTGCAAGGTAGCCGCCAACTTCAAAACACAATAAGCAAGGAGCCATAAGTTGGTGAGGCCAAGTCACTCACTGATTGGACCGACCACTGGGCCAATAAGGGGTCCAATAATCCAACCTGTCATAGCAAGCCCTCTATTCTCTACAGCGATCATATCCGCTATCGAGCCTGCTCCAATTGTGACAGGAGATCTACAAAGAAGCGAAGTCAGCATTCTGGAATGGACAGGCACAAATCTTAATGACCATATGTGCCCTCTTATATGTGCGTAGGTCACATCCATTTGGAGTTCAGGGTGACACATACGATCCAGCAATGCCCGCGAAGAGGCGAAACGCGAGCAGACCTCCCATGTTCGGTGCTTTAGCACAAGCGACATTGAAAACGAGGAAAACGACATTGCAAACGTTATACACAATGCTGCGGCCGTATAGTTCCGACACCGGAGCCAGCACGAGAGGCCCGAAGGCGTATCCGAGGAGGTATATCGAAGTGATGAATGACCCCAAGATCGAGCTGGTCGTGTGGAAGTCTCGCATCACAAGCCCTGCCGCTGGAGCAATGATGGTAGAGGCAAGTGGCCTGGCAGGGATCAGCAGTCAGACCGTGAAGCTCGAGGATATGTGTGTATTGCATACGATAAGAAGGTGATGAATGAGACGACTCCAATCATGGTCGCTTTTCGTGTGGCAGACCAGTTGAGAGGGTTCGCAGGATCGTCTGGTCCATCCCAATCAACTATATTAGGATCTCTGAGTTCATCGACCTTTTCCGCTTCGCCTGGATTGTAGTGTGTCTCGCCCTCTCCCGTTGGAGTGGTCCGGTCCGATATTTCCGCGCTTGGCATGTCTGTGTTGCTGGCCTTGAAGGTTAGGGATGGGAGCCAGGCGTAACAATGATACCTCGAAGTATGTTATACGGGGATCTGGAAAGAAGGCTTCAGCACATTTACCAATACAAGCTACATGATGGCAGTACCAATGAGACCTGAGGTTGGTTTCGAATGCAGAAGATACGGCGCCAAGAATAAGACGTTGCACCAACTTCGAATTCGAGGGCGAAGTCCAAGCAAGTGAATAGCGGGAGATGGGACCATCGAACTATGATCCTTCTGCCCTGAAGCTCATATACGTCTACGATCGGTTGTTGGAACATGCCATGATTTCCGAAGCAACGCGGACAGTCCGCTCAAACATCAACGAATCGAACGCTCCATGGTCTGATGAATTTAACATCAAGCACTACTGCCCGTAAGGGAAAAGTGTACTCAGGTGAATAGTAGCGGTCTCATTCTTCACCCTTGTCAAACAGGGTGATTGACGATGAACAACCGGAGGATCCGCGGAGCTCGCGTAGTTCTATCCCGCTATCGGCCGCCAGATCCCACCGACTTTCCCTCATCTCCCCTGAGTGCACTCAACTCTCACAAAGGGGTGGGCGTCAAATATGTGGCCTCTCATCTGTCAGAACCCCTGCCAGTCCAAACCACCAAACAAGTAATTCCAGTCCGCAGAAAGTGCCTCAGAATTGTTGGAGAAGGGCTCGTTGATGGTGGTGAGATATGTCAAAGGCTCCGTCGGTACACTTTGCGCATCGAAGCCGCTCCAGTTCATGGAGTTGAGACAGTGACCCTGCGCACCAAGATTCCTCGCCGGAGCATCAGTCATACTGTCTTCCATCATGTGGGAAGGCACTGGAGGCTCCACGCCTCTACTGTTGGACAATATACGCTTTATGCTACACCAAAACCGGGCCGCAATCTGAGAATGAGGTTTGGCTTGTTCAAGAATGCGCATCGCGTGCACTGCTTCGTTGCAACGTCGGCTCGCTAAGCCAACACTTGCACTGGGCAAAGAACAGCCGTCCAGTAGAAACACAACATTCGCCATCAACAGTCCATACAAGACGCCGGTGTGTCTGAACCGGGTCCTCGTGAAGGGGATGTCTTCCTGTTCCAGTTGCAGTTCGGTCTGGACGATCATCCGAGCTGACGCTAGACACGAATGCCTGGAGTAGACATATTCAGGACCAATTAATCCTTGAACAAGGTACGGCAGGTGAAGCTTGCACCGCTGGGTATGAATCAGCGAATTGATGAAATATCGTTGTACTATGATCGTGGAGTTCTGCGAATGATCACTGATCTGCCGTTTATTGTTGTCGAGAAGGAAGAATAGTGGCAATGATTCGCTGAGTCGTTTCAACTCGGCATCGATATAGATCACATTGCTTTGATTCAGGCTTTCCGAGCTCTGAGGGTTTGTTAACCCACGGTCGGCGGAAATGCGACAAATTTCTGCAAGTCGAAGCCTCTGCAGAAAGTATGACATGGATGTCGGCTGGGACGTTGGTTTTTCTTGCTCGAGACGACCGGTGTCCAAGTCATCGTCATCCAGATGGAGAGGCTTATTGACTGCCATGTGGGCTGGATGGGCAGTATATACAGCCGCTGAAGGACTATCATATCTAGTCAAAAGCCTGAGCAATATCTTGTTAGCACGTCTCATATCTCCGATTTTCAAGCAAGAATTCTTACCACTCCGTCGCTATGAGGTACCACCATACTCGTCTCCCAATTTCAGCTTCAACTTGATTGGAAGCTCCCACGTTGGACGGGAGGTTTTGCTCCGACTCGTTCAGACGGTGCAATCCGAGTTCGCGACCCAATGTCAAAGCAGTCGATAGCATGGTACGGTAGCGCTGTGACACGCCCTCCAGGTTACAAACTACCATGGAGACGATGATGATGGCTTGCAAGACCGCGATGGAGAGGCTACCTCTATCCCGAGAGTTGTCTACCACGTCGAGAGTTGCCTTGACCCAAACCAAGCTTTGCTGATTTGCCCTTTCTACTGTCGAGAACAGGTTGCTGTCCTCCTCTCCTGATGACCAGAAGTAGGTGGCACTAGCTAGAACGGCAAGAACAAGACTGACATTTCCATGACTGGTGTGACCCGCTCTAGCCAGATTACTGTATAGGCCTTCGACCGCCAAGCGAAGCGATGTCGCAGTGACAACTGGCAAGATATACGCAACTCCCCTTATGTAACTCTCAATAATCAGTGCGGTCTCGTCACGACGAGGTAGCCAGATGCAACGAATGAGTCGATGGGCCGGCTTCCCCCCGAAATCTATCTTGTCGTTGACAAAGTTGGGACAATCTCGTATCTTCCGGATCGGAGACGTTTGAACGAGGATTTCGTCTGAGGGGATGGTGCTCTATCTTTCAACCCGGCATCAGCCATCGATTCCCAAAGATTTGGACTAATATGTATCGGAACTGGAGAAATTACCGTCACCCCAACCCCTCTTGAGACCATTTCCAGAGATTTGATATCTGTCATGACTCCTCCTGGCGTATCCGTCGCACCACTGTGTATCTGAGAGAGGATGTCGATCTGCTGCGTGGAGATCGTGTCCTGTAGAGATGGGTGTTGCATGGCTCGAGCAAAGCCGTCGTCATCGGCCACGTTCCCTCTCAGGGCATGCGAACGGCCGCTTATCAGTTCCTCCAACCTTTCTAGACGCTGAATAATTTCCAAAGACAACCGGTTCGTCGCAAAGCCGCGATCGCCAACAATATCGGCATTATTGGGGCGTGGATTTACGGTCGATTCGTTGGCAGTTTCAATGGCATTGGAGGAGGAACCCGTGGGCGACGAGGAGTTGGCGAGGCTCCCATCATCACGATACACCAGACATTGAATCTTCCTAGCAATGCAGTTTGAGCAAGGCGACCCCCGATTGCACCGAAGCTTGCGTGAACGGCAGAAGAAACATGACACCGGCCGTTGTCTAGGTTGCCTGGATGCCGCCGCCGCCGAGTCGCTTCCTTTCCTGATACGCGAAGTTGTCCCCATTTTTCTAATACTGGAAGATTGCACGCAGGCATAACGGACTTAAAAAGCTTTGCGTGCGAGACCGATGTGCAGGAGAGAGGACATGATCTCCATGCCGTTCGAGCTCCGAACTCCGTGGAGCTTCCGTTCAGGTGGGGGCGCGTGTGGTCGCTTAGCCAATCTTCGGGCCGGACGCCCACCTCGGTTGGCTTGTCAGGGTAGGTCTTCCTAGGTACCTAGTCGATAAATTTATTGATCCTATGCCCGCCCTCGATCCGACCCACTATTTCCAATATCTATACTAGATAGTACTCGGCTACTCGATGCTCCATGGCTCATCAGAATTTCGAATATATGGTGTGAGCTTTGCTACATCCTTGGTAATTTCAGCCTTCACTCGGCCGTTGCCCAGAAATGCCCACATGTTCCTGGTGTTGTACCGGAATTTATAGTGTTCCCACCGGACGAATTCTAAGCTCTTGAGAAAATGCAGATTCTTTTGGCAAGTGTTAGTTGATGGTCGACGTTACCCAGTCTCGCTCTGGTGTGGGATGAATGCAGCTTACCGAGCCCGCCCATATGATCAGCTTACGTTCTGGAGTGCTACTTTTATACCAGCTACATGTTGTCAGCCAAGGCCGCAGCATCCGGGAGGGGGCCTCATTTACCTCTTGCATTCGGCATTCCAGACCGAGCATTTATGCCATTCATCTGTGTGTTGATAGAGATCTTCGACGGGCTCTGGCCTCACCTCCAACGCCCGGATATCCTCGTTTTGGATGCGGTTGAGGCACTGAACAATGTAGTTGACACACGCCTCGTGCGAGTTCAAAGCCGTGCCGGTCGCCCAGCTTCCTCTAAACCCGTTGATGGTGAAGTAATTTGGGAACTTTGGAACTGTCATGGACAAGTAGACACTGGGGATTCCCGTCCGCTCGAATTCTGCCTCCATGGAGACACCATCCACGCCCAAAATTTGGAAGGACGGCTTGAACGTGACGTCGAATCCCGTCGCAGCTACTATTATGTCTACTTCGTGCAGTCTTCCTGTAGCGTCCACGAGTCCCTGCGGTGTGACCTTTGCGATCTCGTCGTACACTCGAGTAACGTTCTGCTTGGTCAGGGCTTCCAAGTATCCTTCGCCGGGTGTCATCCGGCGACACCCAGGTGGCCAGGAAGGAATCAAGTGTTGCTTAAGGTCGTCGTTGCCAGTCCCAATGCGGCGAAGCATTTCCTTTCTCATTGTCTGCTGAGCCTGTTTTGATACCTCCGAGCCGGCGATAAAGACGTCAAACATGATGTTGAACCTAGATTCGAGTTCTTTACGATAGGCGAGAAACTCTTTGGGGTTTTCATTAAATCGTCGGATCTCTTCCTCCGTATACCGGTGCTGTGGCCGATCGTCTGCGTCAAGAGTCTCAGCTTCGGGATTTCTGTCCTTGAGCATGTCCTCTGCTATGGGTGGTGATATCCACGTCACGGATCGCATGAATGTAGTGATGTGGCTGGCGGATGGTTGAATCTGAGGGATTATCTGAATGGCAGAAGAACCTGTCCCGATCACCGCAACTTTCATGTTGCGGCAGGAGATATTGGGATCCCAACTCGCACTATGGACCAGGATTCCTTTGAAATCATGGAGACCTGGAATATCTGGCCACTTCCACTTGTTCAATGTTCCGGTAGCGTTGATGAGGAGATGACCCCAATCTGTGATAGTTCCACCCTGGGTTTCAATCTCCACTTCGTAGATGCCTTTGTCTTCAATCCATCGGGCTGAACGTATGGTGTGGTTGAGGTGGATGTACTGATTGAGTTCATACTTGTCTACGAAATTGATGAAGTACTGTTGGATTTCGGCCGACCCAGCATAGAACTTCGACCAGTTCGGATTCGGCTCAAAGGGATATGTATAGACATGTGCCGGCCTAGTAACTGTCAGTTTCGGGCTCCGTCGGAATCGTGGGCAGGTTAGTTCCTCACACGTCACAAGCACAGCCTGGGTATCGATTTTCATACCTATAGATTTTCACAAGTCAACCTTAGACGCAAGACAGACTGCACATGAGCAAACCAAGTTCCACCAATTTCGGGATTTCTGAGAAATGTCAGTTGCTCGTGTTGTCTAGTACGAAGGCTGTCATTATCGGACTCACTTATCATAGATGGCCAAGTCAAAATTCTCGCAGTTCCGTTTCAACTTATACGCAACCATCACCCCGGCCGCCCCTGCCCCCACACAGACTACACGGATATTGCGTGGTTGGGAATGCCATTGCTGCTCGACAACATATCCTGCGTCACCCATGTTGAGAAATACAGCGCCGGAGAGTAGTGGTCTTATATCGATGGCTCGATTTGCCAGTGCAATTCAGACTTATCGAAACTCGAGGTTTCCAGAGCTTGCGGAATCGCGCCGTGGAAGCCCTACATATAGTATTGCCAATATTTGTCGTGGTCCTTCACGGCAGTAGCCTGCCGCTTTATGCTCGGACATAGCATAGTTACCGCGGATCTATGGCTGGTATTCACGGTAATTGAATTCACTGAAGCTACGAAGACGCAATTATCTAATATCAGGTGAGGTCTTTGCAATAAACGTTGAGAATTTTGCTTGTCTCGGCTTGAATTCTAAAGAGATATGGGCGGGTTGTCTGTTCAGAATATCGGTCTCGACTCTCGTGGCGTCCAAATCAGGAAAGCCAGAGTTGTTTTCGGCTTAGCGGCTAATCTAGGGTGCGACCAGATGTTCAGTCTGCCGGCCATAGAAGAAGGGAGATACGACCTCTATCGCCGAGGTACGGATATGGGTACACTCTTCCTCAGACTTATACTTGGGGGTAAATCCGTATATCAGACTTCTTAGCAGCGGATCGGATGTCTCAGGTTACGGACTAGCTGACTATCTACTTATTTTGTCGAGGTTGTTCCAGTCCAGATCTGAGAAACTTTATAACCATTATTTATCCCATGCAGACAGGGACTCGCTATGCCGATCTTGGCTACCGACAAGCGATAACAGAGATCGAGGGACTCGATATCCCGCCATAGCTCTTTGGGAGCATAATTTTTCTGTGTCCCACCAACCCAAAGGAAGAAACTATGCTTTTCTATGCACATTGATATCAGTGAATCATTCGTGCAAAGATTAAGACAGATCCATAGGGAGCGGGCTCAGAACGATTCATCCTCTGAATGCTAGGTTTTCTAGAGGCACCTCTTATGTCCTTATTTATAATTGGGAGCTTCACAATAGACAGTCATTGGGCTTTGAATTATTCCTCATTGTTCTAACTGTGTCTGAATAGCGTTCGGCTGAGGTGAATAGGTTGCGAAAGCATATTTCTGATTTCTTACTGAGCTTTGGGTTCCAACACAGCTGCACATCCACCTAATGATTCATCTCAGTATACATAGCGGAAAGCATGATTCTCTCCATCCGTCTCATCAGTAAGCATTGGCAGTTGCCTCGCGTTTTCAATCACTCCAGACACTTCAGGTGGTGCTCCGTAGGCTTGATCCCGACGGTGGTTCTCTCGAATAATAATCAGTAAAAGCGTGACTGAGAATACCAGTGCAGCAACAAAGCATCCAATGACACCGTTGTAGCCGCTCTGTACTCATATTAGCTTCCAATTCACCTCGGTGGAAATTATTCTGGTTAGACTTACTGTATACTTCGGTGCATCTTTTAGTTGGAAGGTAAATGGTCCGACAATATTTCCTACACAATATGCAACCGTGAACATAGCGGAGGATACGCTCTTCTTGGTGAATCCTGCCGTGTTAGATGCAATGAGTGACAATGAGATGGTTAAACCAGGTACGAAAGCGAAGTAGCACAGAAACCCGAACAGCCGAACACCCCTGCCTGTGGTCAATCGGACGATGAGACTACCCATTAAACTGTCCAATGGTCAGTTCTGGTTGAGACAGAGTCTGTTGGGCTCGTAAGTACCTGATGGAGCATACTCCGATAAGCGTGAAGCATCGTGTGTTTGGCAGCTTAGTGCAGATGTAAGAGGAGCTGAGGACAAAGAAAGCGTGGATACCACCAATGGCAATGTTGAAGAGGTATGCCTGCAGTCTCGAGAAACCGAAGCTGACCAGAATAATTGGGTTGAACTGTTAAACTGCAAGTCAGCTGAATAGATCTAGGTCTTCAGGGGTTGTCCACAACTGACGGCATTAAGAGCTCCATTGGTGATGCTGAGGGAACAAGCGATCATTGCAGGGAGCCAAACTTTAGGGTCTTGCATGGCCTCACGAACTTGATACCATTTGAAGTGAGTGTCTTTGAAACCCTGCTTATTGGTGCGAATACGGTTCACGGCTTGTAATTTCTGGGCCTTGGAGAGAAAACGGGCATTATGAGGTGTGTCAGGTAGAGCCCAAAGGAGGAATGTCGCCAAAACAGTCGTGACAATGGCAAATATTATAAAAAGCCACTGATCGAAGCCATTATCAGCATCAGGTTCGATCAAGGCAGGAGAAACATTGAGAGAGTGAGCTTACCCTCCAAGGGCCAATTCCACCTTGGATATGAGCAATTGCGTAGGCCAGTAGCCCTCCGCACATGACACCAAGCGAGGTTCCCAGAAACCAGGCGCCGTGCCGGAGCGGATGCTCTTCTCGCTTGTACCACATCCCAGTGAGGAGACTCGAGCCCGGAAGGATGGCGGCCTCTGCAGCTCCGAGCAGGAATCGGACACTCATCAACCCACCGAAGTTCTTGCACGCCGCGGTAAGACCAATGAACAGTGCCCAAGCATACCTGGCTCTGGTTAATATCACCAACGACTAATCCCACCGCTTGACTTACAAGGTCCCTACGAGAAACTTTGCGACGGGCAGCCGCACCATAAAGTAAGACGCCACCCAAGTGAAAGTAAAGGCCCCAAAATAGAAAACGCTGTTGGTCCACGAATACTCTGTACCGTTGAGGTGCTGAAGCCGGTCAGCCAAGCAGACTCCTGGGCGAGGCCCAATGAGAAAGACAGGAACTTACCAGGTCTTGAATCAATCCCATGATAGATGCGGAGCCTAGCGTAGACCTATCAAGGTAGTTTAGGAAGGAAAGGCTTGCTAACATGGGCAAGATGCTTTACATGGCAAGTGTCAGTGAGGGCCAATATACCGGGAGAGGATCTGGCCTACCACATGTCGATGCGTCTCAGGAGTCGCTTTTCATCGGCCTCGTTCATAACATCAACGCTATCTCCATCTCCAACAGAGTCGACAGGGACGAGATCCTCTTTCATTTTGATCGTTTGTTCCTCAACTGTGTCTCCCATGGCCACCGCTTTTTTTGCTGGAGTTCAAGTGATCTGAAGAAGGCTGGTTTCAACAAAAATCAAAGGTACAGTAAAATTGAACCTTGAGTGTTGATACACCAGTAGGGTGGATGACCGCCGTCTATATACAATTCAGTTGCTGCTGTGTTCACTTCCGCTTTGGGATTTACTGGCAAGCCACTGCAAGAGACCCGAGGTTCAAGTCTTTGTCAAGGCGAATGCCCGGTTATACTGTGAACGGAGGAATCTCACAAAGCGTAGTGAGAAGCCCAGCCCAACGATCTGGACCTTGGAGAAAGTGGTATCTGAACAAGAACATGGCCGATCTGGTTTTCGGTTGAAGGTTGGTGTCGATCCGAGCAGAGGCTGATAACTTGGCATTACATCGAGCCATTCCCGAATTGGGTCTGGATTTCCCAAAGGGGAAATATAGTTTGCGGAGGTGGGTCCAGCCACACAAGCCATCAAACAACTATGCACATTATCTATGGGGATGCTAAGCAGCCTATTCATAGACTTGTCCCATGCAGGTTTCGATTGAACAAGATAGGTGATTTTTTCATCTCGGCAGCAGATTTTCGACCGATGCGGTGTACAATCAAGCCTCGTGTGGAAAATCCCGGGCACGTTTGGGAGTCTCTCAAAAGCAAGGAGTCCTGCAGGGGGGCCAGGCAATTGCTTTACCAAATCTTGCCTACTTGGAACTTAGGGACCGACTCTTCAGCGAAATCCCTTGATAGTGCGCCGAGGCTGTATCTTGAAGAAATGGCGGCTTTGACTACTCGTCGCGTTGTCACGGGTGAGAGGCGTAACATCTGGCTTGCAAGAACTGCAGCTGACACCCGACAGGGCACAACGCAGAGGGGAAAGCGATATTTTTGCAAGATGATTCCCTGGTGTCTCTCAACCCCATGACTGGAAAACCCCCTGAAGGAAGCAGTGCTGGTATCACGAACATATGCAAGACCGAAGGGATTCCACCAAACATAAACGCACCTTTCGTTGACTTCTATGGGAAATTGATTCCTCTTGTCGATGATTCTGGCATCTACTGTCGTGTTTGCCACTTTCTCCCTGTGTTGAATCCGGAGGAAGACACCCTGAATATCGAGCATCGAACGCAAAGCATTGATTTCGGTGTGGTTCTCGAGGGCGAAATCCAACTGGCACTCGATGATGGCGAGAAGAAAATTCTCCGCAAAGGAGACGTTGTAGTTCAGCGAGGAACGATGCACGTAAGATGGAATCCCCGAAATTACGTCTCCAGAATACTAAGGATAATGCAGGACTGGAGCAATATCTCTAGTGAGGTTTGCAGCGTATTTTTCGTTCTCATACCTTCAGACAGAGTCAGGATCGAAAAGTCAGGGGACTATCTTGAGGCGACCGAATGGCCTGGCACAGACTAGGGTACTGGAAATCTCACACTGAATTACTTGATACAGAAAAGATGTTCAAAATGGTAAATGCAAGAAGCACCCTGGTATAGAGCATATCGATAATGCTAGATACAACTTCTGAAACGGATATTCTCATGAGCCCAAGTCACTCTCAAACCAGGGGGGATTCTTAATTGGTGAACTGCTCTTCGGAATTGGGCTTAATATGGTTCTTAAGAATCATCAGTTCGCAAAAGATCTTGCCTGGTAAGTCTTTCATATATGAAGTATAGATTCAGCGAAGAAGCAGGCTTGCTGCTCCATTGGGTGCCGTCCGAGTTCTCACCCTACTCTACCAGCTGGGGCGGGCATACATTTCATGCAGGTGTTTCTGCATAGAATCTAAGTAGTCTTTGGATGTAGTACACGAACCTCAAACGCTGGACAGTCGAGAGCAGCAGCATCGTCTAAAATCCCTGATAAACTAGACTAACCGGCGCTCACGCCATTAATTTCCTTGCTTCCAAGCTGTTTGCTCAGCCAACTGAGAATAACCTGGTTGAGAAAGGCAACGGCACCAACGTGACAGTGAGCTTCTGCGCCTTCTTGTACGGTGAACCTCCTCAGAAAGGCTTTCTCACCCAGGGCGTTCTTCACCTGCCCCGGCTGGTCAGTCTTATCGAAAATATCGTTTTCAGCCCCGGCTATGAACACGGGGCAGTTGATTTGATCCTCAATCCCCTTCAACGTCATCTTCTTGCACTGCTGCATGACTTGGTAGAAGTTCATCATGAATGCCCAAGAGGCTTGATTCATCAAGAATCTCAGATTGACAGATTTTTCCATAAGCCTGCGTATCTCTTCGTCGAATTTCTCTTCGTCTCCATCCTCTTCAAACTTCATCACCTCGGTTCCAATCAAGGTGCATATCCCGTTGTACAGGTCGTATATTCCGTCAATAAGTATGACTGCAGCTAGTCTTTTCTCGAAGGCAGCCGCTCGCGCCGCAAGCCACCCCCCAAGGGAGTTCCCTAATAGCGCGATCTTTGTCTTCTCCACGAAAGGCAAGGGTTCCAAATAATCCACGATAGGAGTGACTACGTCTTCCCAGTTACAAATGAAACCGATATTCTGTGCTCGACGCACAGATGGCTGACCAGGGCCCTCATAGAGGACGACATTGTAGCCTCTTTCCAACGCTTGAAGGCCATTCATATGCAACATTTCCTCCATGGAACCATCTAAACCGTTCCCAATGATCAAGGTAGGCCGAGGTCTGTCATCCAAGGAGCACCGGAAGATGATAATAGGCACTGTGAACCCTTTGGCCTGGAGAGTTGCGCGCTCTGGAGGAATTTCCATCATCCGGCAACCTTTGTCGAAAAGTGAAACCCATCGCTGATAAACTGTAATTGCTCTCGGGTCCTCCTTCTCAGCTTGAAAGAAGAAACCACACGCAAAATGATACCTTGAAGCTCTCCAATAGGCATCCCGCAGAGAGACTTTGTCATATTCGTTCTCATCGATTGTGGTCTCGACCCACTCGGCAAGTGCAAGAAACTCCTGATACCAACTCTCAAAATCGCCGGGAATGAGCTTCTCGCAAACATTGAGAACCTCACTCACATCGGCTCCAAACCCTCGAACCGAGGCCAGAATGCGAAGGAGCTCAAAATGAAAGTATTTATCTTCGTTGAGTTGATGCATGAGTTCAGAATTCTGAAGGGAGTATCTTGCAGCTGAGGAAGTGCAATTTCCAAAGATACCGGTTGTCCAAGAGCTGCATTTTGAAGTTTTACAAGTAGCTAAGAATACGGAATAATTTGAGCAGGATTTCGAGTTCTGCATGGTGGGTGGAATAGTTCGTTCAGGCTCCTCGCATTGCACAAGCCAAACTTCCACTTTGGGAGCTGGGTTTCCACTTAGGGATTGCTGGCCTCCAAATGGCCAAGCGATAATTAGGAGAGGTTTGGTGATAGAATTAAGCCCGAAAGCTTCAGTCTAAGCGGTGGCGCTTTGGGCTTCGCTGATATTCACTAGTGTGAAGAAGAATCTCCCACTCATTGGCCCAGAAGCTTCAGGGTACTGCTCCTCGTCCGCGGAGTCTCCAGATGGTGCCTTATCTCAACCTTCCCTCTGCGTAACTGTGGGGAGAGGCTAGTTTGTGAACAATCTCAACGTGGTTTACCAATTGCTCAAACAGTTACAAAATTCTCCTTCTCCACACGCTTAGTATCATCGCCGACTAGCTGCTAAGATGCCTGACGGTATAGTCTCATCGTTCACCTTCATAACCACCGATTCTCGGCGAAAGGCCGCCCGAGAGGCCGTCAAGGTACATGTCCTTCGTCTGCGTCGCAACAAGCGCAAGCGAAATGGCGGTAGTTGCAAATCTCGGCATGACGACGCCAATCGCGGTGGGCAAATGCATCTTTGGGATTCGACCGTCCCACAAGTCCCGGATCCTTCACCTTGGTCAAGCGCGATTACCGAGTCCGATCATTCTGACTCCGCCGAAAGCCTTGATGCTACAATTGCGGAGAGTAGGTACTCATCATCTCTGGATTTTGAAGGTCCCGCCAGTTCGCCTATTCGAAGGCAGAGGGAGCCATGTCCAATCACCTCGATGCATGTGCCAGCTGTATCCCCTGAGGATGTGCTCATCCATTGCTGTAGGCAGTTGAATTATCCAGGGCTCGGCGGGGTTGTGCAATGGCTGACCGAAACAGATATCGAGGAGGATCCTGGATGTGGAATCACTCCAGTTTGGCTACAATGCTTCAAGACAAGTGAGGCTTCTTACAATGCCTTCCTAGCAGCGTCATCTTTTCGATTCTCTGTCGAACGAGGTGTCCAACCGCTGGCAGATGCGCCAGAGAGAGAGATTCGGGCGTTGCAAGCCATAGCCAAGCAAATCGAGCTCTCGCCTACGACGCCAACCGCTGGCACCATGCTTGCCGTCGCCCTCTTGATGAATCTACAGGAGTATCGAGGAGAAACGTCGCTTGCCGTACGGCATTGGAAGGGTTTACAATCGATGGTGGAGGTAAGTGGTGGGTTGCATTGCCTTCGGATCTGGGCAGAGCTGCACAATTTTCTGTTCTGGGTTGATGTGTTAATCTGCAACGCTTTGTCTGTTCCACTTGGACGGATTTCGAGTGACGACGATCCGGATCAGACCCTCGGCACGCAAGAGCTGCATGCGCTTCTCACCCAGATTAGCCAGCAGCCCTCCACCTTGACCCCAAACGCAGACACAGGAGCTGGCGGTGACGGTGACGGCTATTTTTCGCCTCTATTCCAAGTCCTCCAGCGGTCAAGCCCGGACCAGAGCACAACCGGCGTGGCAAAGTCATCGAGAGCCAAGCTTGCCTGCCTGATGTACATTTCCTTGTTAGAATTACATTTCCACAAGCCTCGCGCTAAGATTCCAATATATCAAGAGATCGAAGAGGAGGTACTGAGGCGAGGGCGGGACCGGGTAATCCACACGGTGGAGCTATTGTACGTGATTTTGTCTATGAGCAACCAAGACAGTCTGTGTCACTTGGTATACAAGTTGTCACGCGTCATGAATGCGGCCAAGAAATTGGAGCGGAGTGACTACAATATTTGTGCGCGGTTACTGTCTGCATACCTTGGGCATCGGAACCCGTTCGAAGACATTGGGGAGATATTGGGTGACTGGCAGGACCTGTCATCGAGGATCCTGGTCAGCTACATATGATAGCCCGTTGTTGTCCAAACACCGGCAGAGTGAATCAGAGGGCAGGGATTCATTCACGGCTGCAAGCCTTGGGCCCTAAAATCTCACTAATGCAGATCTAGTCTCTAATAGTACTAGCTTCATGGATAAAAGGTACCCCCGAGGTTCGTCCCAAGGAAGGGGCACCAATGCCGTCATTTGGCGGAGGATGCCAATGAGCCGAAGTGTGTGTCTTGTGATGTCTCAAAGCCAACCCAGTTTCCTCCCCACACTGGAACTTCAGTCGCAATACATGCTCTCCTCCTCCTGTTCTCTCTTGTCCTCTCCCTTCTGTTGTGTATGCTGAATGAGCGTTTGAGTGCAATCATCATCACCATCATCGCAGCTTCTCCCTTTTCTGGCAGTCATGCGGCTGGTTTCCGCATTGGCACTTCTTGCCGTCATCCCTTCGATCGTCGAATCCTCACGCTTAACTCCTCCTGTGCTTCCACTCATTGTCCGAAACCCTTACCTGAGCACCTGGCTGCAGAACGCTCGAGATGACCCATGGGAAAGATGGCCCATGTTCTGGACCGGGCAAGAGATTGGTTTCTCAGTGTTAGCCAGTGTTTCAGAAGGGCGCACTTCGTACCCGCTCTTGGGAAGACCTCATGACTCTTTACGCAGAGATGATGAACAGTAGGTCTGGTTGAAAAGCTTGGTGAACGCCCGCTGACTCGTCCTCCTCAGCTACTCGGTGTCTTCACCGATCTTTAACGGTGCTCAATACGATGCTTCCACCACCAACTTGTCTTACTCCCTCCCTCTGCCATCGTCCTATGCAGCTTCCAGGCATGTGGAGATCACGCTATCTTTCTTGTCTCCCATTACGCCCACGTCAACAGTGAGGCAGTCCATTCCGGCCAGCTATCTGACAGTTTATGTCTCTGGGAACGTGGATGTTGACATCTACCTTGACGTCAACGGACAATGGGTCAGTGGAAACCGAGGAAGTAAGATTGTCTGGGATATTGAGCACACCGCCTTGAATGAGAAGGTGCATGGGTTCAAGACCTGGGTCATCAAGCGAGAAATTGAACAGCTTTTCACCGAATACTTTGACCGGGCAGAATGGGGAAGTCTACACTTCTCCGCTCCAACCGACGTCCGCCACGAAGCGGGGACATCGGCAATTTTGCGGCAACGGTTCTCGCGCACAGGAACATTGCAGGACTCGGTAGATCGTCGATTCCGTTCCATTATGGACGAAGAGCCGGTATTCGCCTTTTCCAAGTCATTTGAATTCAATGCTAGCTCCCACTCGATCCACCACCAAGAAGTGACTTTTACAATCGCACACATTCAGGACCCTGTTGTTCAGTACGCCGCTGCTCGTGGAATGACTCTGATGAGACCGCTCTGGAACTCCTATTTCGATACAGTCACCAAGTTGCTCACCTTTCATTACCTCGATTTCCGCTCCGCCAAGCAATTGGCGGGAGACTACTCTGCGAAGCTGGCGGTCGATGCGTACAAATCTGGGGCCGAAGACTATGTGGACATTGTTGCTCTATCCGCTCGGCAGGTCCTCGGAGCCACCAGCTTCTCTGGAACGCCGGATGATCCGATTCTCTTTCTGAAGGAGATATCATCCAATGGCAATTTCCAGACCATCGACGTCATCTTCCCCAGCTTCCCCTTCTTTTTGTATACCAACCCAAGATGGTTGGGATATCTACTCGAGCCATTGATCGAACATATGCTCAGTGGACAATACCCCAACAAATATGCCATGCACGACCTTGGAGCACATTTCCCCAATGCCACGGGCCACCCTGACGGACGTGATGAATATATGCCTGTGGAGGAGTGCGGAAATATCTTGATCATGGGCTTGGCACTGGCCAATTCTTTGCGTGACGGTTCCAACACATCAGCTTCGGCGAACTGGCAACCAATGAATGGTGTCCCTATTCCCAATGCATCGCACGACAGCCTCTCTCCTCTCTCCGTGGGGGCAGCAGATGATATGTCCTACATTGACGATGCTTGGGTGGGGAAGCCTCAAAGTTTGAAGGACGCCCAGAAATGGGTGAGCCGGAGCTATCGATTGTGGAAGCAGTGGACCAGCTATCTGGTGGAGTTTTCGCTGCTACCTCACAATCAATTGTCGACGGATGATTTCGCAGGGTGGCTGGCTTTGCAGACCAATCTCGCTTTGAAAGGTATCATCGGAATCAAGGCAATGGCCGGGCTGGCCGAGCTTGCAGAGAACTATGAGGATGCCAAATTTTACAACAATGTCTCTGAAACATACATCGCGAAATGGGAAGAGTACGGTATCTCTCGCGACAAGACGCATGCCAAGGTTGCATATAACTGGTATGGATCGTGGACCACGACATATAACCTTTATGCCGACAGTTTACTATGCTTTCATCTGGGATCAAGACATCATTCTAAGCAAAGCACGACTATCGGTGGACGTTATGAGTATCAGAAACCGCTGAAGGACATCAAGGGTGACAAGGATGGGTTCGTGCCGAAGCATATTTACCAGATGCAAAGCGATTGGTACTATGCCGTCAGGCAGAAATACGGGTTGCCCCTAGACTCGCGACACCTCTATACCAAAACCGATTGGGAATTTTTTGCCATGGCGGTAGCAGCACCAAAGGTGCGCGCCGAGATTCTCCAGTCCGTGGCCAAATGGGTGAATGAGACCTCTACGGACCGACCATTTACGGACCTTCACATGACCGAAGGTACGGGAGGCTTCCCCGGACCAAACTTCTTTGCTCGACCGGTTGTCGGCGGACATTTTGCATTCTTGACGTTAGGACAGGCTTGTGGCGGAAGAGCAGAAGAAGGGTTGAAGTTCCTGGACGACAGCGTGACAAAAGAAATGGACGTGGAACAGATATTGGCGGCAGAGGCGATTGAGACCATCAAGGAGTTATAAAGGGAGCGAATTTGACCAGCTTCGCAGGATTACATTCTTACCACTGTACTTTTCAGGGTGCTATCGAATATATCGATCGCTCTCCAAATGTCCTGTACAGCCAAATCTTTGAGCTCTCATACCAGTCACACACGGTGGCCGCGAACTCTTATGGACCCGCTATTTTGCTAAAATGGAACTAAGCTGCTTAGGCGGCAGTTAGCAGCTCGAGCTTCCCCAGTCCCGCCAGCGAAACCACCATTAACGTGCCAGATTTCCCCACTTGACGTGCGTGCGGCTCGGCTCACTGCTTTAGTGCCTGGAACATTTTCGGCATCTGATCTTTCCAACAACACAACTCCAAACTCGTGTTATGTGGGTTGTGCCCACTCTGAATTGGACGTGCACCGTGACCGCGACTTGATCGTCTTCGTGTCTGGCTTCCCTCCCTCCCTTCTGATCTGCCAATTGACTTGGTCCAACCTCTCGGTCCTCGTGAGGGTTTTCCTTGCGATCTGAAACTCGACAATACGCACCCTTGCTTAGGACCATATCGAGTCGTGATCGAGTCCCATCCATCCATCCATCCATCCGTTAGTCTGCACCGTCCCATGTCACAGACACCCTTCCTGTCGCTGGCTAGACCTACTCTATTGGCTGTATGTAACACAATCTGATCGGCACAATGAACACCGTCACCTCTCCTACCAGACGCGTTCTGGGCCAGAAGGACCCCAACGCGCCTCTGCAATCATCTTCTCCAAGAAAGTCCCAACATGCCCTTGCTATCGTGAGTGTCGCCTCCGAGCGACCTAATCTCAAGCGGCCCTCTTCCGCCAGCTCTTCGAACCCACCAAGTCCTCGAGCCGGGCAGAAAAGAAAGATCCAAGAGGCAGGAGACGATCTACCAGCAGATCCACAGAATAGTACACTTGGCCACCACCCACTCTCTCAGATGACCGGCCTCTGGAGCGAACCGTCTTCCCAAGATGTATCTAGCCCTCCAAGATCGATGCTGCAGGCAAAGTCCACTCCCAATACGGCTCAAACATCATTCCAAGCCTCACAAGAGGAATCTCAAATTGTTGAGGCACAATTCGTCATCCACGAAGAGCCAAGTCAGAGGACGCTAGACAAGATGGTATCGCATACTCCGGATTATACACGTGGCTCCTACTGACCCTCTACAGCATGCTGTTGCGCTGCCTCAAAGTACATCTCAATTGATCCCACTCCTCCGACCAAATCTTACCAAAGAAACCTCCCAGATCAGCGTGAGCATGTCAAGTTTTGTCGACTTTGACAACGACACTGCCCCCGAGGATGATCACATGGATTACATCGAGGAGGCTCCGTCCATGCCTAAGCAAAGACCCCAGACAGAAGACGAGACAAGGAAGCAGATGCTGCTCGAGGTAAAACCCTTCTCATTTTGGATCCTAGTCTAGTGTTGACTGTGATATTCAGAAAGCCGAGATCCTTCGCACTCGACTACAACTGGCCATCTTCAAGGTTCAAACAAATCAAGTCACTAAACCCTTTGCGCGTCTGGATGTTCCGAAGAATAAATCCTCGCCCCGAGATCCTCGGGCACACTCATCCTCACCTCGGTCATCCTCTACTGTCAAAGCCAGGTCTGTGTCACACGCGACACTCAGTCCAGAAACAGTAGTCGCTCGAGCGCGAGCGCGAGCCTCCATGGAGGGGAAACCCGCAGTCAAGCCACTCTCACACGTGCCGTTTCCAAAAATCGCTCCCACAACATTTTCAGCGAGATGGTCCGAACCGACCACCCAGAATGAAACCCAGGGACCCAGCCAGGATGGGGAGGCCGGACTGCCCAGTAGCCCTCCTTCATCGCAAGAAGGATCCGACAACAGAGCCTTGCCCGAGGTCGCCGCAGACCACCCAAGCGCTGAGCCAAGGACTCCAATACAACTATCAAGTCCAGTGAGCAATCCAGATGCCGATTTGGAATGCGAAGCTACCTCCACAACCACTCGCAAGGTCTCAAGCCAGCAGCACCGTCTCCGTCAGAGCGGTCTTACAAGCAGTGTTGTCAAAGGCGAAGCGGCGAGTGGTCTGTTAGAACTAATGAGAGCCGGAGCCAGCGGTTATGTTGGAGTGGCCAGATCCGGTGGCATTGGGATGTGTGGTTTGTGATGGCGGGGTGCCAATCTTAGCGGCTTTAGCCATGGTACCCAAGATGCATCGTTTGCATTATAACACCAGGACAAGGCGAAAGAGAGACAATCCCGCGCCGCATTTGCTCTAGTTTCTCTGCTTCGCAGTGTTGTTTAATCTTGATATCTTCTGAGCGAATTGAAACTTTCTTTTCAAATGACGAAATGGCCCCTGTCCAGCTGGGGTTTGTCTCTTGGGGTTCCTTGAAAAAGAGGCATCATCCGGACAGTGGAGATTGAGGCCGTGTGGAAAAGATTACCTGGAAATCTCGTATCGGTCTTCAGATGCTGCTTCTGAGGCGTGCTTCTTGCAGGGTTTCGGAGCAGAAGATGTTTGGGCGCACCTGTAGAGAGTGACCCCAACATGTGAAGCGCTATTGGTGATATACAGTAACCCTTTCTAAATCGTGCGCTTTAAGCTGATTTCGGGGAGCACGGCACAGCTTTCCAGGCTTAGGCATGGTGACCGAGTAGTGGAGGAAATCGGGTGTCTACCGTTGCCGGAGAAATCTTTGAAATATATTCCTCACCCGTCATGGCTTTGGTCAATGGATCGAGGTCTTGTGACTTTCTCGATTCACCACTCTAGGGTAACCACTGAGTCGACATGATGTAAGATCTCTAGTATCAAATATATACCGAACCATCATGCACACCTTCAACCCGGCAACTAATCGCAAGCATGTGAACGGGACCGATATCAAAAGGGTTGCTCCTGTAGCGAAAAAGGGTTAGCGAGCCTTGCGCCTCGCAGGTCTTAAGCTCCACCGTAAGTTTCCTCCGCAGCCCGGATATCGAAGTTGAAAGCTCTCTGACCTCGATGACAATCATACCAAACCTCGACAACAACCCTCCCAATAAATTTGACGGAGAAATGTCTGGCCCGCTACCCTCATATTGCCAGGCCTGGCGACTACTCGCCGTTGGATCGATGCCCTCGCGCTTCAGACCGTCGCAGACATTCCTTAAGCACGCCTCCATCAGACCACTCTCAACCGCGACATCCTCTGCGCGGCGCCAGCCTCTATCGTCTCAATGTCTGCGAATCCGACAGTTCTCCTCTTCAAGTGCCAGATTCAGGGCGGGTGATAAGCTGTACAGTCGCACAGGTGTACGTATGGCCGTTCGCGGTACGTCTTTCCGCGCTCATCCTCTGACTGTCAAGTAGCCATTCTCATTCAGATCAGCGGCGCTTTTTGTCACCACCGGTGCCTTGATGATTTTCTATTTCCAGTACGAGAAGGCAAGGCTCGAACGAAAACGAATTGTGGAAATGAGCAAAGGGTACGGCAAACCGAAGGTCGGCGGTCCTTTCACCTTGAGGGACGTCAACGGCAAGGAATTTACGGAGAAGGATCTTTTGGGGAAATACTCTCTGGTAAGGGAACATATGGCGAGTATCTCAATGGGCGAGGCTGACTGGAGGGAAATGCTGCAGATTTACTTTGGCTTCAGCCACTGTCCGGATATCTGCCCTGACGAGCTAGACAAGATGGGCGAGGCGATCGACATCATTCAAGAGAAGGCGCCCAACACCCTACGCTCGATATTCATCTCCTGCGACCCGAACCGCGACACGCCGGAAGTGTTGAAGGCCTACCTGGCCGAGTTCCACCCCTCCATCACCGGACTAGCAGGAACGTGGCTTCAGACGAAAGAAGTGTGCAAGCAGTACAGGGTGTATTTCTCCACGCCACCAGAGCTCAAGCCAGGTGAGGAAGACTACCTGGTTGACCACAGTATATACTTCTACGTGATGGATCCCGAGGGTGATTTTGTGGAATGCATTGGCAGACAAGATACCCCCGAAAGTGCATCTGCAATCGTCCTGCAGCACGTTAGGGACTGGAAGAAGGAGGGTAAGCCTCTCGACACGACGCCTCTGCCATATCTCAGTGCGGACAAACCAGAAAGCACCCGGGCGTGAGGACACAAATTATCAGCCAGGTCATATTTTGGGTGTACAGGACATGGCGACGGTGCATACTACGGATCGGGAGTCTGGGATACACTCCACTTCTTAGATGTTGTACTTTGTACTCGGATAATCAAAGAATGAAGAACGATTGTACCAACAGTGCACGAGAAGAGGGAAGAGACGAGAGGACTCTTGCAAGTACGGAGTGCTCCATATTGAAATTATTCGCAGCAGTGTGTGTTGCATGTAGTTGCGCAGTTGAGCCTCCATGTAAGCCGAGACTTGCAGAGGACCAAAACCCCCGAGCGAAAAGCCCCTCCCAGATCGCGCCGTCTCTGATCTTGCATAAGACCAACATCCAATCCTAACGCTTCCCAGCCACTTCAATTACATTGCTGAGGCACGAAGTTCTGGTTTAGGAAAGCAGCAGCACTGGAACAGGACATGTCATATGCAGGGGAGACTTTAGACACATAATTCAGACCATTCCCCCGGGATGAGTGGAATGGAAGGCGGTGAAAAGTGAGGCGGTGAACGTGAACGTGGCTCCAGTTGTGTCGGTCAGATGCTGTGAATTTTCGCTTTTTTCGGGATGGACGGAGGGGATGGCACATGAACCACAACTTTTGCGGGAGTAGAGAACAAGACGAACAACGCACCGTCAACCCGGGATGGGGGATGGCGGGAGAGGGGAGGAGGGGGGAGGAGACATGTCTTAAAAGCTGGAAGACTTGGGTCTACGGACGCTGGAATTATGGGATCAAATTCGAGAGGAGCTCGATGGGGTGTGAGTGTACCTACAGGTTGCTACGAGTACAGTTTTGTTCTGCAGGTGTTTCTTTTTCTGATAGAGTAGGGAGGTAGATGGGAGATACTATGTACAGTATGTTTATCAGTTTCATTGTGATATTTGGAGCACGCCCCCCCTTCCAAAACCGAGATCAAAATGTAGGTACGTGCATTATGTGTGCGATTGTGCGGCTGAGAATGTCGCCAAGTAGTCAGTGATAGGCAGTAGGTGTACGGAGCCAGTATGTAATAGTAGGATGCTATCGCACCCCTCAGGCTCGGTAACAGACTCGTATTTAATCTTATGTTCTTGTCTCCGACAGAAGGAGATGGCCGAATGACGTAGGGGATTCGCTTAGCTAAGAAGCCGGAGATAGCCAGGCTGGTGAGCCCCCATAACCTTTTCTTTTTCGGTCTCGCGCGAGAAGGCGAAGGGCGTCATTTCAGACAATGTGCCAGAACATTTCTCCGTGGACAGACGAAAGGTAAGAGTCGCAAACTATTACAACGACTTACATTCCCCCGAAACGACCTTCACGGCTTTATTCTCCCTTGCAAAAAGAAAATCTCCGAGCAAGAGACACTGAAAACAAGCCAGCGGTACGAGTCCTGCGTCTCTTCGGTATTGATATATCGTTGATCCTGGCAATCGTGTCGCAACCGGAAAGATGAGCACACAAGTCCCTTCTGCAAACTTGAACGGAACCAACGGTGGTCCCGAATCAGCGGGAATCGCAAAGACTGCATCGATTCTCGATCCTGCAAAATTTCCACAGACGCTCGAATCGCCGACCATCTACATATCGCTTGTCTACGACCCTCTGGACATCACAGCCTACCTGAGATTCACCCGGTCCGCCACGGCAGGAGCCAACATTCTCTTCCTGGGCACCACGCGCGACAATTTCGACCACCGACCGGTATCTCGACTGTCGTACTCGGCGTACCCATCTCTGGCCCTGAAATCTCTATACGCGATCGCCGAAGACGTCCAGAAGAAGCACGGGTTGGAAAAAGTCGCGATAGTGCATCGCTTGGGAGAGGTCAAGGTGGAAGAAGAGAGCATCGCAGTCACTGTCAGTAGTGGACACAGAGCTGCGGGCTGGAAAGGCGCCGAGGAAATCCTCGAGCGTGTCAAGGCCAGGGCTGAAATCTGGAAGAGAGAGTGGTTCGCCGACACCGGTGAGATGGAAGAGGGCGTCTGGCGTGCAAACAGGGACAGAGATGCAACGGGGAGCATCATTGACAAGTCGACTACGCATTCGACCACCACTGGCACCGGTGCTGGCAACTGATAACCATCTTGCCATATTGAGACTTCCATTCGAGCGTCGAGGCCACGCGACATGTTTCCCGCGCAGGGACTGCTGAAGCCGCCTCACGCCGGTCTTGATTTAACACCACCGAGTACGGACTACACGCTGGGAACACGAAGTGGACGCCGGTGGTCCGCATCGTATGTCTTGAACCTGGTTGTGGTGGACTGAAACGCCATCAGTACGAGATACATGGGGAGCCATTTGGACTGAGGAGGGCAATGGTCACTTGAAAGCAGGTAAACAATCTGCTTGCCCGTCGAGGCCGATCAGCGACATAATTGGCCTACGAGGCACCTTGCAGTCGGTACGGATAGCCCGAGAAGAATGGCACGAAGGAAAGGGCCGCGAAAGGAAAGTCGTTGGTCTCGCACCTCCGAGCTCAGACCTCAGACCTTGATTATCATCCCACCTGGAGGATAAGCAGAACGCCACAGGCGCCGGCGAGTCCTCACCAACTAGGTCCATGGCTGGTCTCTAAGAACCTTGGGCACGGGTATCTCCCTATCTAGCACGCTTCACCCCTGGACTGATAGACATGGATCCATCACCAGAATCTCCGAGAAGGGTATCTGCAGGGAGGACCCAGCTATCATAATTCAGGTGGCTGGGGAACAGAAAAGCCACCCATCGACGATTGCACGCAACGCCAGGATGCGGGGTCACATCGAGAAAACGATGAAAGGACGGCATGTGTCACAACACTCGATAGTAGCGCCAGACATTTGAGACAGGGCCACGACCTCCAGAAAGAATGACAGAGCGAAGAGTTGAAAAAAAAAGGAAGCTCATTCTGACCCAATATTGTGCCCGTGACTGATCCCCGTGTTCGAGCTCGAGCTCGACTTCTGGCGATGGGGACCCGTTTCCCCAACCTGGACACATGGTGCTACAGAGTGCGAGTACAGAGTCCAGAGTCCAGAGTCCAGAGTCCAGAGTCCAGAGTCCAGAGTCCAGAGTCCAGAGTCCAGAGTCCAGAGTCCAGAGTCCAGAGTCCAGAGTCCAGAGTCCAGAGTCCAGAGTCCAGAGTCCAGAGTCCAGAACCGTGCACTCAGCTACGAGGACAGAGGACGACGCATGCTCTACATGCCCCGAGAGGCGATTCAGACAATCCGGCTGGGTAGTATAGCAGTCTAGCTTTTGGTGTTTGGTTCTTGGTTCTTGGGTGCTTGGATTTTTTCTTCCCCTTGTCCTCCCCTCCCCTTTTTGATTAAGATTTGGAGAAGAAAGAGCTATGGCCGGGAAAGGCGTTGAACCACGCAGCAGCACCCAGCAGTGGAACGTTAAGTTCATGGACTAGTAGTCAACGACACCTCGAGTGATTTTCAGGGCCAATATTTTTTTTAAGCAGAACGGAGTAACGAGTACTATCGATTAGGTACCAAGTGGTGAGTACGATAGATAGATAAACTTTGAGAACCCTTGAAATCTACTCTGCATCGAGTACGGAGTACGGAGTACCTCATCACCCTGTACTCGCGTGCAAAGGTAGCATAGCAAGTGAGACAGGGCTGAAGAAGGGTTCTCTCCTTTCCCAATGCAATAGTGCGGCTTCTGAAACGTTGCTTGAAATCCCCAGCCTTTCGAATTTGTTCCCTTTTCTTTCTGCTAAGGTTTCACCATTATCTGAGATTTGGGCTTTATTAATAGAACTAGTAGGGTGGGTGGCACCAAGGGACCGGGTGTGGTTCAATGTCTGATGACTCTTCATTGTTGACCTTTCAGGGGGACTTTACTCGTTGGTCTTGTGAGCCAGTCGTCACTCGGGATCAACTGCTCCATCTTTCGTATGTACATAGTAGGTCGTGAGCTTGTGGTCTGAGAGATGACGATCGTGTAGCTCGGACGAGGTATGTCCGAGCCGCTCTTTGCTCAGGGCAGATCAGCGGTGCTTTCCGCGCCAACTACTCGTATATAATCACGTCGTATTCGCATGAGGTCGAAAGTCGACCCAACTTGGGCCTGTTCAGGTCAAATGCACCGCTGCCATTCGCACTCCCTCGGACCAGCTCCTAGCCAAGTTGCAATCCTCTTCTCTCTTGCCCGATATCTACAAGTACGCTGCTAGCGTGGAAGTCTACATCTGGGGCCTTCACCAGCTGATGGAGGGTACTCCGTAGTTAGAGCGTGAGAAAGCATGATGCTGCATGTCATCATCAATGACGGCCGTGACCAGCCAGACCACAATGCCGTTTCGGAACTAGCTCTAGCCAATTAGTAGTCACAAACTCAAATGGACCAGATTCTTGAGGCGACTGTCGACAAAGTTCGGAGAGGGAAGAAGTCATGAAGCAAATGCGGATACTGTTACGAATGGAAAACGTGTGCAGAGCTTCCCAGCTTCAAGCATTCAGGAACATTGAGGGCATTAACGGCAATGACGGCAGCTGCAAAGCCATTGGCGTCACTGCACAGCCGTGCCAATGGCGGGAAGATAGAAAGCTTCTTCTGTTCTTCTTCAGGCTTCATGGACTACTATTCCGGGTCTCGAAATCGAGCATTGCTGGGTGGGTTTGTGATACGTATGACAAGACACGGGCCAACGCGCCATGTTGAACTTACAGCCAATACTCCATCTCACCAGCCTCTCAACGGAAGAGCGTGGATCCGGGGCAGCTGTAGTCCAATGGTGGTTAGTCGAAACCTGTGAGTGATGACCTCTTCAATCATTTCAGCTTTGGCGCAGGCCGGAAGTGATCCTGGGAAGCTGGGCGTCTTTTTGAAGCCCCCAAGCTGGAGACCTGCAGTAGAGTTCGGAAAGCCAAGCTCGACAGAGAGGTTGGATGCACGATGAGGGCAGAGGCATCGTGCAGATTCTGTTGCAGCTTGGGTAATCCTAGACCGGACTCTTGCCGGGGGACAGGACGAATAATAGCATACCGTAAGGAGATGAATGTGGAAGCGTTACTCGACAGCCCTATGGATCCTGCCCGCTGATAGTTGCACCGACATCTTGCTGTGCTGGCAAGCGAGCTTGGAACTAGATAATCCCTCCGCAGTAGCCGCCAAAAGATCTCAACCGATCTGTCTCGTGACATGATCTATTGAAGGATGAGACTTGGTGAGTCGTGATTGGTGGTGGTAAGGAGACAGGACGGGCTGCGTACTTTGGACCCTCCTACTGCTGTTACGTCAGGTCAATAAGCTGGGTCATAGCTAGAAGGCAAGCGGTGCATGCTGCTGCAAAGTCGGGTCAGCTCGATGTTCGAGGTACCTCGTACGGAGTACGAGGACTGGGTCGAGCTTGTTGAAGCAAGGCAGGGTGGATCGGGTGCCGGCGACAGACAGGGGCTTGTTCTTGTTTGGCGGGGAAAAGTCAAGGGTGGTGGTCCTTTTTTTAGAACGGATCGGACTCAGGCTGCGGTGCCAACCCACGGGGGCTGGGATCGGATCCCTGCTTACCCGATTGCGAGTACATTCTCAAGTCGATGGACTCAAGAGTCAAGACGAGGGCCTCGTTATCGACCGTTGCCTGTGGACCACGGTTTAGACGATCATCGTATCGCTCCCCCGGAGTACCGTCATCGTACATTTGTCCGATCAGCGGCCGCAACTCCTTCTGGCGGTTGAATGATGCATACTCGTAGACATTCCTTCTATTCTGGCGGAGTGTGTGAAGGCAAGATGGACTTGTACCACGTATCTGGGATCCGAACCTTTGGCCCATCGCCACAAGGCAGACTTCTCCGCCCGATGGGCAATTTTAGTTTCTAGGGAAAGGACAAGGCGCCGAAGCGTGGTTTGAGTGGGAGAGACAGGGCAAAAGCACATGAGCTAGTGACTAGTTGGCCAGTTAGGAACGGAGTGCGCGGTCAGGTATCAGAATCGTTATCATGTGTATCAGATACGTATACAGAGTGGGTGCAGCAAAAAGGGCTCCCCACAATGTTGCACGTTTTGGTGCCCACGCCGGAAAAGCCCGCCGGCGAGGTTATAGTTGACATTGTTCCACATGGCGTGTTCAAGTGGTAAGGTGGCATGAGGAGCCATAGGAGTACACAAAGCCACGAGCTACGGACATTATTCACAATTAGACATAGAGCTCGTGCTACCACGAAAGCGTCGAGGGTGAGATCAGGAAACGGGGAACGAGGGATAGAACAAGAACAAGAACAGATCTACTTGTAGATCCACCAAGTACATTTTGGGAGAAGCGCGAAACCAAGTTGCTGACGAATCGTGCGTTCAACGGGCGGTCGATAAGTGGATGATTCGCAGGGCATCGACCACGGCGTCGGCCATGGCTCGCGTATTCCGGGTTATGGCGGACAGAGCCATTTCTTTAAATGCACCCAAGCTGACCGGGGTGTAGCAGCAAAAAGGACGGATTGACACCCCGGAGGTGATACAGCCCAGCAAGCGAGAGCAACGTGGTCGCATATGGGGGACACGTCAGTGGAATTCCTATGGATGATGAGGTGAGTGAGGGGACGATTCGGGACAATATCACAGCGGGTGGCTTCAAACTGAACTCAGTAAAACCCAACTTGGTCGAGAGCAAGCAGATTCTACTGCTCGTATGGCTGCACCCTTTCAGCCGCATGGCAATCGCCTGGTGGGGATCCGCGCGTGGACGGAGATGGACAGTTCTAAGGGGGTTGCGCGTTCGTGCGGTCGTGCGTTCGTAGCGACGAAATTTGCACGGCTTCTCGAACAAGATGAACGATTCGAGGGCGGTAGCGGGTGAGGCTAAGATTCGAAGTCAGACACCAAGAGGCGAAAACAGGTCAAGCACAATCTCATTCCCGATGATGTGCTTGACTCGGTTGGGGGATTATCAGGGGCGCCAAGCCCCCGGCAAATTAAAAGTGACCAAACGAGCAAGAGCAACGAGGAGGGCGAGGGCGAGGGGGAGCGGGGGGAAGGTGCAATGGGCATGTGCGACATGCTGTGTGCAGTTTGCGGGTATAGTTAGACGCCCTCGATTCTCCTCTCTGCCTGCATACTCGTACGGTCCTCCATAGCCCCGAGTAATGTGCAATGTGTATGATATCGGTCCGCATCTTATTTTTGTTGTTTGTTATTGAAACTCGGACCAAGCAAGGTCTCATGGCTGGCGACGAGTGCGTTTGAGCCACTACGAGTCCAACTGTAATGGTGGTAGCATAGACCTGAGTTATGCTCGCTCAATGCTGTCAACAGGCAAGCTTGTTTTTGGGGACGATTAATTAAAGGGATGGGGATTGGGCCGGGTGTCCACTGCCATGCCATTCTGGGCATGGCGGCTTGAAGAGAGGCGCTGTTAGCCCGGTGGTCGGACGACAAAGTCCGTGGAGGTGGGATCAGCACCCTTGTCGATCGGCAGGGATCAAGATTGCGGCGCAGGCTGAGAGTGAGCAAGGGCCCACTCAGCGACACTAGCGAGACACGCTACGGACTGATTTTAGAAACAATGCGATTCAAAGGAGCAGGCGCCATGGACACCCTGGGCACCCTAGGCACCCTGGGACGATATCGACCGCCGCACCTTCCCACGCCGTGTGCTCGCCATCAAGGCTTAACACGGGCTAGTGCCAATTACTGCGCATTAAACCTCCATTTTCAATACCTGGCTGCCTTTGAACAGCCTTGTGTCATTTTGGGACCGAGCCTGCGCTTTTACCGCTGTGGCCCTAGGGTTTGGGTACGAAGACCTCGCGGTCATCCAAGTAAAGTCAAACCAGATACGATATTGCAGAATACGCGGTACAGAACTGCCACCAGTGCGCAGGTACTAGACATCTCTCTCACACGGGTCTCCTCTGTCTCCATCAAACTCCGTCTCCCTCGTGGCTCGGGAGTGTCTTGAGTCCCGGTTCCTGTTTCTCCGTCTCGTAGAACGGTGATGCAGCCAGAGCCTCTGCACCGCGTGGCTGGGACTCGGATGAACAAGAATAACAATAATCAATGACGAGCAAAGCCCTCTTTCTTACCACCTAGGCCGTAGCATGACACGGGGCCTAATGAAGCCTAAGTCAACAAGCGGTTCGAGCTAGCGGGTGTCGAGCTATTCCTCATGGGCAGCAAGTGCCAGGCCCGTCCTCCACATCCACATCCACATCCATAATCCACATCCACCATCCACAGCCTCAGCCCAGTGGCCACTACCACAGCCCGAAAGTAGAGCTGCGTTTTGGCTTCGCTTTGCCCTCTCAGTCGCTCCTCCTCGCCCTGCCCATACCCCCATCCACATCCACATCCACATCCACTGGCATCCCTCATCCCTCCCTCATCCCTAATCCTCGTCGGTCATCCTGCACTGCGGATCTTCCTTTCCTGTTGGTGTCCCAGGGCTTAAGCAGTCCCTTTCACCCTCGTCCTCTTCTCCTCGCTGACCACACCCACCCATTCTTTCTTTACCTTGACTCACCCCGTGCTCCCTGTCTCTTTCCTTCATCTAATCCACCTGCCCATCCAACTCTTTTCTTGTTGCAATAGCCTTTTCCCTCCCCTTCCCCTACAGCCAACCCATCCACGCTCGTTATATCCTTTCCTCTTCAGAACGCTCTGGCGGCACCTGCAAACTGGGACAGCTGGGAGGTCGCAAGTGGTTACGACTCCCATTCGCGTCCACAGACTCCTTTGCCAGCCATCACCACATCCACCGCAGGGTACCCTCATAATATCGCCCTCGTCCACACCGCGTCTTCCACCATGGAGGACGACTCCCGGAGCAATGGCATGCTGCGTCCATTCTCACAGCCAGCCCTGAACTCCAGATTCCCCTCGCTACGACGACTCAATTCCACCGAGCCCTACCGACACCGATCCTTACCTGCCGAACCCTCACCTGGCTCCGACCGCGCCAGCAGTGAGATTACCTTCGCTGTTCTTTATGATGATGGCCCAGACTACCATGTCGGCCAGTATGACGACCAAGGTTCCATGCGATCTCAGCAAAACAGACCTGACTCCATGGCCTCCTATGCTCCATCCTTCCGCACTCGAGACTCCAGGCTCGTGAGTGACGACCATTACCTCGACCGTAACCAGGACTTTGTAGCAAACCAGAGATTGCTCGCTGAAGGCTACCTCAACAACAATGACTCCCTCTATGACCAGTCTGTCCCTCGTTATCCCACCCAATCTGAAGAGACCTTGGCCATGAACACTCTGTACAACTCCTATCCTCGAGACGAGAAGCGTCCACTTAACCAGATGATGACCCCTCCCCTCGAGCGTCCTCACTCGAAACATTCTCACGAATCGTGGTGTACTTGTGAAGAAGACCACGGTCATGGTCATGGCCACGGGCCCAATCCGCCTCAAACCTCCACAGACAGGAAAGACCCTTCCAAGTTTGATCTTGAACGTCAAAATGGGCCTGCTACGCCCACGCCCTTCCTTCCAAAAGAGAAACCTTCCGACCAGTACGAGGTATGTGTTTTTCTCGCGATGGCTTGGGAATGCTCGAATTGCTAACGCGTCTGATAGGTCAAATTCAACGGTCCGGATGACCCACTCAATCCCAAGAATTGGCCCTCGAAAAAAAAGTGGGCTGTTACTGGTCTGACCGCAGCCTTCACCTTCTTGTCGCCCTTGGCGTCGTCCATGGTCGCGCCTGCTATTCCTCAGATCATGGAAGACTTCAATATCCCCCCTACCGACAGAATTCAAGGACAGATCGTCCTCTCTATCTTCGTCTTGGCTTACGCCGTTGGCCCCATGTTTTTGGGTCCTCTTTCCGAGCTGTATGGTCGTGTCTTGATTCTTCAGCTATCCAATATAGTATTTCTCGCCTTCAACATTGCGTGCGGCTTTGCTCAATCCAAAGAACAACTAATGGCTTTCCGCTTCCTCTCTGGTCTAGGTGGTTCTGCTCCACTCGCCATCGGAGGTGGCGTTCTGGGGGATTTGTTCAAGCCTGAAGAACGCGGCAAGGCCATGGGTATCTATGCCTTGGGTCCTCTACTCGGCCCTGCCATTGGCCCCATTGTCGGTGCTTGGGTGGCTGAGAAATCTGACTGGCGATGGATGTTCCATGCCTGCTCTATCACCACCGTCTTCATCCTGATCTCCGGTTTCTGGAAGTTCAGCGAGACTTACGCACCATATATTCTGCATAAGAAGGCCAAGATGATTCGTAAGCAGACCGGTGATACCCGTTACTGGGCCGACGGAGAAGGCGAAGTCGACCAGCCTGTCTGGAAGAAGGTTGTCAAAACCATGGGCCGCGCATTTGGCATGTTGTTCACCCAGCCAATCGTCCAGGTTATGGCACTTTACATGGCTTTCTCCTATGGTGTCCTCTACCTCGCCCTATCAACCTTTCCCTCGCTCTACCAGGGTGTTTACGGCCAAAGTGTTGGTATCTCGGGTCTCAACTACATTTCCCTCGGTCTCGGCTTCTTCATTGGCGCCCCTGTCTGTGGAAAATCCAGTGACAAGATCTACCAAAAACTCAAGAAGAAGGATCCTCGTGGTCAGGGAAAGCCTGAGTACCGTATGCCTCTGGTCATCCCTTTCTCCTTTTTGGTCCCCATTGGCCTTTTGACCTACGGATGGGCTGCTCAAGCCAAGACCCACTGGATCGTCCCCAACATCGGTTCCTTCATCTTCGGTATTGGTACCATCGCCGCCTTTCAATGTGTCACCAGCTACCTAGTCGATACTTACGGCCGTATGGCCGCTTCTGCTGTGGCCGCCGTCACTGTTCTGCGCTCTCTCGCTGGTTTTGGGTTCCCTCTGTTTGCCCCTTATATGTACGAGTCTCTCGAATTTGGTTGGGGTAACACTGTTCTGGCTATCGCTGCCATTGGGATCGGTGTTCCTACACCAATCCTCCTGTGGATGTTCGGTGAGAAACTCCGAAAGAGAAGTTCTCTCGCCGCCAAGGGTCCCCCAGGCGGCCCAGGGGGTCCAGGAGGTCCTGGTGGTAAAGGCCCCGGAGGTCCCGGTGGTCCCGGAGGCAAAGGCCCTGGAGGTCCTCCAGGGAAAGGCCCAGGTGGTCCCGGAGGCAAACCAGGATTTGGTCCTGACGGTACTCCCATGGGCCCTCCCCCTCCATTTCCAGGCGGTCCCAGCAAAGGCCCTGGACCGCGATAAATGATTTCTCCACGCTTCATACAAACGACAACCCTCAGAAATATACTAATATAATCTCAACCTCTGATCATCGCCCCTGTATCTATGTCACATGTCCCATTTCACTATGTCATCATGGTATGAGCGGGAACGGCGTTTTTGGTTTCGAAAAGGCATTTGGAAGGGTTTCATCTGCGCAAGAGCGCACTAGCAGGGCACTATAAATTCTATATGAACTCTTTTATGTTGAATCTTTTGGGTTTGTGGGGAGGAACGTCTCAAAGGTCGGTGATGGTCTTGATTAGCCCCTGGAGAAGCAGTCATTGAACCCGACGAAAGGATGAAGAGATGGGAGACGGAATCGTGAAATACTTTCTTTTTCCTTTTCAAGTCGACACAACTCAATATAGTCAGCAGACTCAGTCATACCAAGTCAGTCAGACGGTCGGATCAAGCCAGACGAAAAGAATGTTGTATGATCAAATCGGGTTCTTTACTATGCTGACGATCAATCAATAACATTAATTCATGAAAGACTGTGGACGAATCGAGTGGGACTCTAAAGTGCACACTACTCTTCTAGATTGTCACGGAGCTCTAACAGTATTTCCTCTTGGAAGATTTGCATGGCTTGGCTTATGTTACTCCTTCCGACCTCCTTCGAGAGCTAACCCCTACCTGATCCTCCGTACGAGTACAGTGCGGTCAGAATTCCTAGAAGCGACAGAAGAAGCGGCTAACTAATCACTGTATTCACTAGTACAACCTCACGTAAGCGATAATAACAAGTACATTGGACGTCTTAGTATCTAGTATGCCACTGCCTGCACATTGAGTTTCGCCTATTTGGAGTGCCATGCAGCAGTGCAGGTATGACGGACGTTGGTATGTACGTCCGTCCCTCGTATGCCGGAGTAGGGATGGGTACGACACGCGTGGCTCGGCAGGTTTCCACAGGCCGTGCAAGGCACTAGATGTCTACGAGTCCTCCGCGTGCTCGTACTCGTACAGTACTACTACTATACGGAGAGAAATAGTAGTTGGACCCGTGCGTTGCGTTGTCGCGATCGCCTTTGGGGGCGGGAATGGGCTGGTTCTTGACCGGGTCTGTTTCGTCCGAGTATCTAGCTTTTGCTCGTTGGGGGCTGAACGGCTTCATCATGACTAACCGCGAAGTGAGGGCACCTATGTATAGCTGTTCGCCTCGAGGATCTTCTCGCTCGTGCAGAAGATTACGTTTTTCGCCCTTGTTCTCTTCCTCGTACATACCTCAGTCGCCTTGTTACGGAGCCTCAACGCGAGATATACCCTGCTCATCCGCGGCCTGCCCAGGATCTTGTTTACCCAAGTAGCCGGAACGCGCCGCCATCATTGTTCAAGCTGTTTCATGTCTCCTAGTTATTACCGAGGTTGATTGGCTTTCTGTTGGCTCGTGGTTTTTGCGCTCCTCCTTGGGCGCAGAGATAAAGAGGGTCACTAGCAGAGCGAGGGGCAAGGGGCCTGGAGGGAAGAGGGAAGAGGGAAGAGGGAAAAGCAATGAACTGTGGTGGAGATGATGGCCTGGAAATGTGGGAACTCAGCCTTGCCGGCGATTTCAGAATGTTTATTTTGAATGGTGGCATGGAGCTTTTTCAAACTCTCTGCATATTAGCCGGCATCCATAATTCAATTGTGAGGATGCTATGTATGTAGTCAATGCATGCAAGTTGCAATGCTTGCTCTCGGTTCGAATATAATCCCCATTTATCGCCTGCAGTGTTGGTACGTTCCGAAGAGGGCAATACATAATGTGGGTGAGTTAAGATGACAGAACAAAGCTACTACAAAAGGTTGGTTAGGAGGGCATTTGGTATCCGCTGTGCCTGTTGATGTCAGTGCTCCTCGTCATTACACGAGTGACTCAAGGGAACACGCAGATGTTGTCTCCCCGGATTACACTGGCAGCTTCAAGAATGTCGAAGAGTGGATTGGGGAGGAACAGATTCAACAACACATAGCAAGTTGTCGGGCCCTCTTTGCTCCTGTGGCATAGCCAGACTATGTCACCGAATAAGGCCCGAGCAGATACTCACGCAAGGGAAAAGTAGAACAACAGTGATCTGGCATAACTCCTCAGGGTCGAAAGACGGGGAGTTCTCTTCAAAAATTGTGGTCGAGTTTCGTAACGGCCTGCAGCATAGTAGAAGGCGCCGATGAACATCAGATTACAGTAGTAGATGTCCACGATGCGGGTCAGAGAAGCCATAGTGCATCCCCATAGTCCCCGGAATTCCCAACTGACGAAATGGGATCTCGAGTTTGAGTCGGTGGTTGGGAAGGAAAAGGATCCAAATACCTTGTCGAGGTCTTCAGCGCTGGGAGAATACATGTTGGCGATGTGAGGTCCGGAATTCAGCAGGAGGGGTCGACGAGACCTGCACAGCTAGTTATGAGCCATCGACCACCCGCAATATTTCTCGCTGGCTATCTATTCGGTATGGTCATCAGGTACAACAAAGGCTCCTAGGCAATAACGAACGAAGACAATCATCCAGCATGAAGGATGAGCTTCAAAGTAGACAATGTCGGTGAGATCCCAACAAGGGATATGTCTCACAATGCACAGGTCTCAAAGCCGGTCCTTGGGGCCTTGATGATCTGTCATCTCGTGGTCCTTACCATGAGGCTATGGTTGATTAAGACCTTTTTCCGGTCTTTCGAGAATGATCTTATGTGTAACTCATGCGCCTTACCGATCGCCAGACGGGGAAGTGTCGAGGCGTTTGAAGGTCAATGGTGAATCCGCAACGAACCGGCTTGAAGGGCCCGGAAGTGCTACGGTGTTGCTCCTCTCTCTGAGGGTGAAATATGGGGAGAACAGCTTTGAGCTGGTAGCTCAGTCGTGCTAAAAGAAAGTCTGGTTGCTTGTTGCTTTATGATTCACATTTTGTGAGCTGATACTAAACTTTCAGGTACCTGCAGGGCGTCATGCCTGCTTATTCAAAATCGAAGGAGCATGCACAAGTCACAGCAGCAAGGACGACACCCCTGTGTCACATTACGGTTAGTAGCGGTTCATCGATGCATGAAACTCACCTCTCAATTGTCCGGTCCATCGATCTGGATCCCATTGGAAGAGTAGTAGAACAATGGAATCCCGAAGGCAAGCAAGTAAGTGACTACCTGGCAGACTAGCATGATCAGCGGCAGATTGTCCAGGATGATTTGTCTGAGGACCGCATTCTTGAATGGTGATGACATCTTGACGAGCGTCGTCCTGTCTCCCCGGCTTTTGAAATCTCAGATGTGAGATTGCCTCTTTTGACCGATGGGAAGATATTGGAATGCGTTAGTCAAGACGTCGGGTTGGGTATGGAGTCGAGAAGAGCCAGACCGGCCGAGCTCAAAGAGCATATTTATTCTCCCTCTGATGGATTCCCACGGCCCATGTTGTTTGTAGCGCGGTTGGTCGAATGGTTCTTGCAAACAATGGATTCCTTCATGAACTCAACAACATAAAGACTTTGGAACAATGGAATCAATGGGCCGGTCTATTGGTAGGGCGACGCCGCCGTAGACCGTGTACTGACTTGATCAGCAAAAGGTTGGCGGCGGTGTGCTCTCGAATGAACCGTCCTGACGTTGCCACGTGTTGTGATTTAACTGCTGAAGTGGGCGGCGATGTAGCCTATCAAGAAGGCGATGGAATGCCTCAATGCCAGCAGAAACAATAATTTGAGAAAACTCAGGGATCGAGGAGCCTCAAGTGCGCTTGGCCCTTCTCCGACGTCATTGGTCCGTTTCGCGGCAGCCTTGTCTGGACCTCTCTGGCCATGTTGAAAAACGACCGTCTGATTGTCCCACAGAGATAACTGCAATACCTAGGGTGTCAATCCATATGCAAAGTAGAGTCCGTATTACACGTTGACTCGGTCTACATGTCGAGTAGCTATTACTAACATCAAGACATGTCCGCTCCGCCACGTCACCACCATCCCTGCTCACCATTCCCATTGAGTTGAGATGCCAGATCTACGACCACCTGCTCTCAGGATCCAATCAGTATATTATATCGCCTTTGGACCGCTGCCACTTCTACCAGCATCTTGCAGAGAGGACCCTCATATCCCAGGGCGCCTATGTCTTCCCTACTGCCAACCTGCTCGTGGTGAATCAACAGCTTCGTTCGGAGATCCAACCCATGATCATTGAGAAAGCCCGATTTTACTGCTCTCTCACTGACTTCTACGGCAATTCCTACTGCACCAGCCAACTCCCGGACTGGCTGCGCATCTCGTTGCGGCACTTCACCATCTATCCAGGCTACGTCTCCTCGACTCGAGGAACCAGTGAGGATTCCAGTGGCAGCAGCAGCGGCAATGGCAACATCAGTGAGGAATCCGGGCTCGGACGGCATGGACGCATCGTTAAAAGCATGCAAATGATGCTGGCGCCATCCCGACATCCCCGGTCGGAGTATGTGCGTAGGGGAAAGTTCCTCAAGGTGTTTCCCGCACTTGAGTCCGTCGAGGTGATTTACTTCTGGCCTGAGATTCTCGGTCGTTTAAAGACGCGCCTGGAAGAGTTCTATGACGGGAGGCGCGACGACGAGCTGCTGCTGATCATCAAGATGGCCTTCCACAATGAGTTGGCGTTCAACTTGCTCGTTGCGGAGATGCTCGTGAATGGACACACGGAAGGGTTGGATCCGGATGATATTCCAGAGGCGATCTTGGATGGGAGAGTACATGTGTTGGACTCTGCTTCCAAGGACTTACCTGTAAATAGGGTCGAGATCTCCGTCACGGCTCATTTTCGTGAGATGTACCCCGCAGATGGAAGTGAAAGGAGGGGCCTGGTAGGTTTTGAACCATCGTCCGTGGGAATATGATCACGCATTGACCTTTCTTTTTAGTGTGTCAGCTATGAGACGCCATCATATGCCATTTTAGATCGATGGCTCGGGTCACATTATCACCCTCCAGATTCGGCCAGGCTTGGGTGGCACCCTCATGATTAACATAGAGGAAATATGCCGGCTTAACACGAGTCACATATGAGAAGCTACATCGTCAGCCAAGTTAAAACGGTGGCCCAAAGAGGCAATATTGAATCACTCATTGCTCATCGTCAGCATGATGGTACGAGATTGTTTGCTCCGCCTTCCTGGTTCATTGCATCAACATCGTCTCTCGAGTTCTCTGGATTAGTCATGCATGTCTAATAACTGTCGTGGTCGCTCATGGGGTATCTCAAGTCTCTCAACACCGTTACCAATGCGTTGGATTAGTATACAATTCATCAGCCCACCACACGCTCAACTCGATCCCTTACACTTGCCCATAAACTGCGGGTAATTTGCTCCTCAGGATGTTTCAAAGCACGAATGGTTTCCACTGACCGCTGGGACATGACCTGGTGCTCACTGAAAAATACCCCATGCAGGCCGTAAGACACTCTCTGAGTCAATTCCACTCTACCGACGATAGTTTTCATGTCCCTTGCATCAATGATCCACAGCTCACTCTTCGCATTGGGTAGACATTCTCCAGAAGAATCGAGCTGAGATTCATCGAACACATAGGTCAGCAACCAACCATCATCTTCCCGTTGAGCATCTTTGCGAGGAACAAAGCGTGGCTCCTGGGCAAACCAGCCTGGAGGCAATTGGAAAATCATGATAGGGTCGTCGTCGCTGTTTGACTCGAGCACCTCACGTACGGACCTTGTGTCTACACACCCCGTTACAGGACACAAACTAGGATCCTTCATGCCCCGATTGATCAAAGTCTCTGCGTCAATCTTGGCCAGGCAATCGATCTTCACGGCCCGGCCGAGTGCAGCACCGAATGAGCCTTCCGATGTTGAGCAACCGTAGATAAACTTGGATTTTCCCATCGCTTTGTCTTCTCGTGTACTGGGGAATTCAAACGGAACAGCGCTCAGCCCGAATTGATAATTGATCTCATTGCGGTGGGCGTCAGCGAGGGAGAACTGATAATAGTAGAGTCGGCATTGTTCTTCTTCCCGGCCAGCCTCCATGATGGTAGGTTGTGGAGCAGCTATATCCCCGGCAGAGAATACCAACGATGCGGATGTGAGCCGACAAGTCAACATGTTGACCGCCAGTGTTGTCAGTTGGCCGGTTAACCCGTCCATGGCTTGATCATCCCACGTATTTGCTGTGTGAAAGATACAACAAGGATCGGTCGTAAACCAACGAACAAGGTCTGGCTGATGTCTGGGGAAAACTCCAAACCTGGACTTGACGGAAGGATTGTAAGAAACTGTGGGCCTATTCTTCATCAAGTTTAATGGGTCCAAGGAGAGAGGCAGATCCATAATGACGGTATGATTGGAGGAGACACCAAAGTCGTGCATCATTTTCGCCGATGAAATCCCGAGTATGGGGGCATTCAGAAGTCTTGTCGGTGTCTCGAAAGGCGTTGGCGGACTAGTGGGCGAGCGTGTGGCAGGAATAATCGAGTAATGGATGTACGGGGGAATAAACGTAGAGTGGAAGAGAATCATCTCTCCTGACCTCAAGTCAACACGTGGATGGGCTGTAGTCCATTCTTTCATGAACCCAGTCAGTCCGTCGCCTCCAAAACCAGAACCATGCTCTCCACCATATTCTCCCTCTGCCCTTTTCCCATTGTACCAGCCAATAGTTTCCAGCCCTGGAAGTGAGACGCGCATTGGCGGGCCCGACTCACAAGTAGCAAGTGCCCTGCCATCGTGGAAAAGAATCCCAGTATTCGCCACGCTGATCCTCTCCAGTGCTTGGAGAGATCCAGGGAGGCGTGATAGGATGACGAGTAATATGGTGCGAAAAACGACGATGAAGATCTTGAAAAAGGACGCAAGTGGGTTCACCAGAGTGGCGATACTAGGTAAAATCGGGGTTCGCAGGTGCCTCGAAGTAATGGAAGAGAGGTAGACGTCGGTCAAAATGTATTGATTGACAAACTCTGGCTGCACACCACCATGTGTCCGGGTGAAGGATACTCCACTGAGCATGCCGTCGCCATCAAACCAATGGGCGTCTCTCCCAAGATCCTCGTTGGACACAGGATTGCCTCCATTTCGGACATATTCACCTCCCCATAGCTCTTCTGGTATTGTTCCCGAAAACTGACAAGGGGTAAGAGGTTGAACTTGCTGGATCGGAGCAAAATTCCCACTCAGATATGGATGTGGATGGCTCTTCTGTCGCTTTCTTGGATTTGGGACCGACGCCATTGTGGAAGAGAGCGGAGAGAGAGGCTGCTGGGATGCATTTGATCTTGCTCGAAAGGCCTTGGGTTTGAGCATAAAAGCGATACTGTTGTGCCAAGTTCGGAGGGTGGTGAACGTGCCAGTCCCTTCACGAACAGGCCTCCGCAGGCATATGCTCGGGATTGTCGTAAAGCCGTGCGTCGCTGGTCTAGGTGAGGGTCGGAGGGAGAAGTAAGGATGCTTTAGAAAAGATGTGACGGTGGTGTGATGAGGTTTCAATCGGAACAAGGACAGAAAGAATCCAACCATACATAATAGAGCGCCACAGGATCTCCCTGTAAACAGCCAGAGCTCTTATGTCAAACCATGCGTGTAAGAAAGAGCAGGCGACGTGGTTGTATATGATGGGACATGGCAGGTATAGTGCGTGGTGCTCAGAGGCCAGGCGGAAGCGGAGAAGTCGCTACGGAGGACAAAGAGCACATGAAAGGAGGAATGACGAGAGAACCAATGCATGAACAAGGATTGATAGCGTCGGGTGAGCGATGAACTTGCATGAAATTGGGGAGGAGGTGCAGCAGTAGCATCAAAACCCCCACCTCTACAGACTTGGGCCTCGGATGTCGTCACTGGAAATTATACGAGGAAGGTATACCGACGCTAGAGGCACCCTAGCCTCGGCTATCCTGCCTCAATCGATACGCCGAGCAAGAGCCCTGCCACTAGCGGTCGTTAAAAATGGTTCCTCAGCGAGCTTGTTTATACTTGCCAGGCCTCTAAACTGGATAGAGCGCGTCATGATGTAGGCAATCTTTCTCGCCCATGCCATGCGTCCCAACTTTTTCTTTGACCGAATGGCGTCCCTAGAAGGTTTGGGATGTGCTGCTGGCAGCTGCACTCTGCTTCACTGTATTGCGTTACCCAATTGCTTACCGCTGATTTTGCGGAAGCAGCTGTGACCAAGCTGCAAGCGTGAAAACTCCACCAACTGCCCGAGACTGACATTCCCAAAATCCTAATTGTTTCTGTCCTCAAAACTGTCAAATACGATATTGCTACCAAGTATGGATGATACCGGAAGCCACTGTCCTTGACCTCAGTGTTGATCCGATTTACTGTACAGTTGGCACCTGGACCTCACTCCAGCAAAATCCGCCCTCCATGTACGAATATGCTTTTGTGTACGTCCATGTCCCTGATCAGCACGGTAGTCGGTAATCGTAAACGCTAATCTAAGCTGTCATGGACAGCCATATCATTTTCACAATCCCCATAGCAGTTATTCTTAGCATTCTTCTTGGGCCTCTTTTCACGCGGAGAGATGTCTACAAGATCTGCTTCCTGGAATTCATTGCGGTCGCCTACACCATTCCATGGTAAGTTGGACATAGCTCTAGCCAATGCCGTTTCGGAGACACTGACAATATAGGGACTCTTACTTGATCAGAACAGGGATTTGGAGTGAGTCGACTTGAGTTCAATTAAAAGGCCACACCGAAGACTGACTGGTACCAGCCTACCCACCGACGGTCATCATAGGTCCGAGACTCTTCAGTATCCCCGTGGAAGAGCTGTTCTTTATTGTCGTCCAGACGTACATTGTGGGTGCACCAGGATGTCTGATCGCGCTTTTATTGACATCTCTCAGACGACATGCATCCAGATTTTTCTCTCTAAATCGGTCATGACCGCCACTCATCTGCACAATGAAACCGACACCAAAGATTCTGTCGGAAATAAATTGCTGCTCCGCAAGCGGATTGGACAAGTCATACTGTTGCTTTGCTCCGTACTCCCTCCTTCCTTGTGGAATGGACACTCAAAGGGCACCTATATGATACTTATTCTGAGCTGGTCCGCTCCAGTGATGCTCATGCTGTGGACTTTCGCCTATCAATTGTTACTTACCTTGCCAACGACACATACGTTGTTTCCCGTTGTTGTGACCACCCTCTACCTGTGGATTGTCGACACTTTCGCTTTGCACCGAGGCACCTGGAGTATCGCCCCAGGCACAAAGCTAGGTATTTATGTCTGGCCACACCTTGAGCTGGAAGAAGCAATTTTCTTCCTCGTCACCAATGTTCTCGTTGTCTGGGGTGCCACTGCTTATGACAACGCAGTTGCAATTTTGGATGTCTTTCCAGTGCAATTTCCCCACGTCCCAGGAACTCCACCACCAATCATGCTACTCAAAGCATTGTTTCTTTCCACGTCTAAGTATGATGTCGAACGGCTCGAGGGTCTGAACACGGCACTTTCAGTTCTAGCGCGTAAGAGTCGTTCGTTCTACCTGGCCTCAGGGGTCTTCGTCGGGCGACTGAGAATTGATCTCATTCTCCTCTACGGATTCTGCAGGGTAGCAGACGATTTGATTGACAACGTGACGTCAGAGGAAGAGGCTGAGACCTGGGTCAAGCACTTTTCGAGATTCCTCGATGTCATGTATTCGCCCGAATCTGACGCGAAAAGTATCAAAGAGGCCTTGAATCCGTTCCCTTCTGAAGTACAATCCGTGTTGCTTCAGCTTCCTGTGGACAAGCTGCCCTCTGCGCCATTTCACTCTCTTCTAGATGGATTCCGCATGGACCAAAAGTTCTTGAACAGAGAATCGAAATCCAACCCACCTATCCAAACATTTGAGGATCTGCAACGATATGCTACCTGTGTCGCGTCAACCATCGGCGAACTATGCCTCCACCTGGTTTTCTACCATGATCCGGACGGTGATACAAATGCAGTGGTGAAGCAGAGGTGCCTTGAGTCAGGTGCGCGGATGGGGCGGGCCTTGCAATACGTCAACATTGTGCGAGATGTGCCTACTGATGCTGAAGCTGGCCGATGCTATATCCCAGCGGAATGGATCACAGAACCGAAGTCTCCCATCGAAGCGGAAGTCAGGGTGCGACAGGAGACCACGCATTTGCGAAAGAAGATCTTGGATATAGCGTTCGCCCTGTACGTTGAGAATCGAGATGCGATTGAGGAGTTGCCTCCGTATGCTCGAGCCGGCATTCGCGTTGCCGTGGAGAGCTACATGGAGATAGGTCGGATGATGCGGTATCGTATCCTTGAGGACAGGCCACTGAACTTTGATGGAGGAGGCAGAGCCGGTCGAGCTTCTGTTCCCAAACGCAGACGGTTAATTGTGGGATGGCGGACAATGAGGGGCTGGCGAGGCGATCCGTGATATTGAAAACAGGCTGTGTGCCCCTGATTTCAATCTAGGGTGCACAAGATATACACCTCTCTGGACCTCAGCAGTCAGGACTTATCATTCGCCAAGCCCAGACATCAACGCAGAGTCACGTGCCGGTCTCTGCCAGACTGCCCATGTGCCCTCAGCCGCAGAGTCTGGACGCGGGGCACCAGCTCCCTCGGAGGCTCCAAGATCAGGTACCGCACTGGTTCAGCACTAACCATGATTAGCTAGATAGATCACGCTACACGTAAGAACACGGCAATTCTGACAAGACGGTTCCTGGGGTATATCCACGGAGTTCCATGTTTCGCCTGTCCACGTCCACACCCGGACGATCTCCTTTTCTTTGCGAACTTCCTTGATCTCCTTCTCTTTCGCACATCGCGCCCGTTGAACGCCAATTGTACTCGGTAGACTGGCGGCTCCTGGATCTCGCCATCTCATTCGGACTCTCCCAAAGATATACCTTTGATACCCTTACCGCTATTCTTGCTTTCTCATTCAACTTGACTCGATCCCTCTCGGTGCAATTTCCGAAGGGAAGGTTCCCCATAATTGGCCAGTGTACTCCCTCCTAGATACAAGGCCTCGAAAGTCAAGGTGCACCGAGGTCGCTCGTGCCAGTCTAGAAAGAGTAGAAGTTCTTTATTACACAAACCGAAATATAGGCGCAGTGATCTAGGCGATTGCAGCATTGGTGTAAATAATACGTGATTTGTGGAAAAATCTGGCTGCTTCACTCAAAAAGGATTTCTGTTTCAAGAGAAGTGCAGCCAAGTCATCAGCTGAGGGTTGCTTTCTGGTATCACTTGGAAGACGAGCGAAAAAGATGGTTTCAACTAGACACCACCCTCGCCCTTTTCCGGAACCGGCTACACCGTTAACGAACCGTGGGAGTTCAGGATCGTCGTCAAAGGCAAACTCGCCGACCTTATCCGACTCAATGGCGGTCTCGTCTCAAGCCACCAACAAGAAATCGCGGTCGAATCGTCCTTCAGCCGCGAAGCGCGATGCAGGATCGACACGGTTTATCCACACGATTCCTCCCATGTTCATGATCTGGTTGACCTTCTCATTACCGTTGGTCATGTGGGACACTGGCTATATTTTTCTTCGGCCGCATTCTATGCCAGGTGGGAAATACCATTCACCCGTGTGGAAGCTGTATGCCTTGTACGGAACGGTTGATCACGTTTATGGCTGGCCGGCTTGGGATAGCCACAGCGGCTTCACAGCGGCCCAAGCATCACTCAACGTCATTGAGACAGTCATGTACATCTATTATCTGGTCGTCATCTGGCGGTCCTCTGCCAAGGACTTGTATGCCTTCCGCGACATCGAGACACTATTCTTGGGAAACCGGCAGAAAACCGTGTCTGGACCTGGAATTGCGACGGCTGTGCTTGTGCTCTTTTCTGCGACCGTCATGACTATCAGTAAGACCGTCCTATATTGTAAGTGTTGACTATCCCTCGAAGTTGTCCCCGGCTCGCTCCCGAGGAGGTTCATGATACTGACTCCTTGGCAGGGGCCAATGAATACTTTTCTGGCTTTGCAAGTATTGGGCATAACGCAGCATGGGATCTGTTCTGGTTGTGGATCCTTCCCAACGGTCTTTGGATCATTTTCCCAGGATATATTGCGTATCTGCTCGGAGATGAGCTTGTCAACGCTCTCGAGGGAGCTTCTGGAAATGAGAGGGAAGACTAAAAGTGAGGAGGCATCTGACGGTATTCGAACTTGACATGTGATTCAACCCGATTTCCCGGGGGGGATACAGAACGAATCATGTACATCCTAGTCTACAGTCTCGCGACGAGATGTACATACATACATGAAACTGACCGAAAATCTGGCTGGTCCAGAGTATGGCAGGCCCTGGTATGCTTTCCTGTGGCCATGTCCCTAATGTTGGCACACCACCTCCCTATTCTGGACAAATGCCGTTGGGTAAGAGTACTTCTCTCTCCAGGTTCGTGTTGCTCTTCCCAACCCCGCAACTCGGAGCGTGCATGCAATCCGCGGACCAGTCATGGTGTACACCTTGGAAGGATCACTCCTCCAAAATCGCAAGGACAAGCATGTTCACACTTTGTGCTCGGCAATCGATATATGCAACCCACGCGAGGCCACTGAATTACTCCGCAGGTCCGCCTGCAAGCATCCATGGCCAGAAGGCGCGGCTGATATTGGGTACACGGGATGATTGAAAAACAGATATTGCAACCTCACGTTATGTCAAGCGACTCGTGTTAAGGTGAGATCCGGGACAGAGCAAGTGTAGCAGCTGCAAGCTGTCCCTCATACCACCCACAGTGGACGGATATAACCGTACTAAGCGATCCGGTATTCCGCTTGGCCGACGGAGTGATATTAGCGGCTTGTAGACGGCACGTCGCTCTCTCCCGGACTGATGTGGGGAACCCTTATTGCCTGGAGTTTACGAGTAGTCCGCAGGTATGTTGACCTCTGGCGTGTGGGCACGCTGCAGCTGTTTTATGCATTCCTACGCAGTTCAAGCAGTACGCCCTAACTGCTAGACACCTAGGCACCTAGGTCTGTAGTCTCTGTCCTGGACACGCGAGGTCGTGGAAGTGCCTAGCTAAGGGAGGTTACAAGTAAATCACACCGTGGAGTTGAGCGACTTAAGACATCAGTCTTCGGACAGAAGTGGCGAAAGCGATTCGTAGCCTTGAAGTGCCGGGCAAATGCCAAGACCTGGAGAGAACACTGCGGAAGGCCGGGAGAACTTCTGACAAGACAAGATGGTCAACAAATGGGTTAAACATCGGGCACAGTTTGAGCAGAAGAGGGAAAAGAGGCGCATTCTGTGGAGCTCGGCGGTGGTCGGTGGCGCTGTGGGGAGCAAGGATCTCCGCAGCAGTGGAATGCTTGTGAGTCTTGCTTGGGCAACACCTTGGCCTAGGGGCGCACCCGCCGCAGGCTTAGGGACGCCCTGAGGCTTGATCGGCCGGAGCTATGCCCGGAATGAGCTGGTAGCCTGGTACTGTTCAGGCACCGCATGGAATGGATACCTCGTACTTTGACAAAGCTCAGAGTCGGGAAGATCGTCCTTCAGGCTTCAGTGAGAATGGCGCGACATGCCGTTGGGGCTTTGTGGCTTTGTGATGGAACCTCTTCGCGCGCTGACCAACCCAAGAGGTGTTGTCAATTCCGCTGATCCTGGTGGTAGCGTCGGGACGATGGCGATGACATGGTTGACCAGGTACAGTACCTCGCAATCCCCCGTAGAGATGCTCCGCGAAGGCAGCGCCTGTGTAAGCAAATGCAACATCTTGGTTCCCATAAGCGCTCGAGTGATAATGGCCAGAATGTTGCGGGGTAAGCTCGCGATGAGTCTATCTGCAGTCTGTATGTGCATCGAGACTGAAGATCTGGTCATGCGAAGCGCAGAAAATGGACAAGAAGAATACCGGGTAGAAGGTTGCTACTAACGAGGTACGACCAGTACCACCTTTCCCACCCAAATGCAACCTCACCAGGACTGGCATACCTTGAGTTGCCTTGACCCTGAGCAACAATGGAGTCGATGATACGCAGGCACCCGCACAATGCCCCAGCATCCTCAGACAGGCTTCGCTACCGGACCCAATGAACAGCCATGAAGTATGAATCCCAGCCACGCTGACCTGTATGCTGCCGTCCTCCACAAATCGCGAAGCTCCAACTGACCCTGTGGACGGAGTACCGTGCACATCATACCTGGAAAAGGTAGCAATACTGGTACCTGTGATATTCCAGCATCCTCGGTTTGCAAGGCCCTGTCAACTCATGACATCCCTCAAATCAGATTCAAATATCGGTGAGGATATTTATTCGCACGGGTTTCACCATTCCATTCTCTTCCTTTTCCTACGAGGAGATTGATTCACTGGAGAGTCTCACCATTCACCATACACCATACTCCTGCTCCGGTCTCCCGCCTCGTCACCCGGCACAACTTCGGGGTTCCTCCCCGTAACACTTCACCGCGCACTGCCTACAGCGTGCCTACTGGGGCTTCAACCCCCAAATCCAGCGCCCCAAGGCCAACGACTGTTTAGCTACAGGGAGTAAACAAAATTCATATCCGCCTATCCAAGCACGAATAGCGCTCTTGTCGCTTATCGATCGGGAAGGATTACAGCCTAAAACACAACAAGATATCGCCCTTTGTCGTCGGCCTTGTCCGTTCGGACCCTTTATAATGTGGCTCGAAACCACTATTATCGGGGCGGCGTTGGCTATTCTTCCCTTTTCCCAGTTGTTGTTGGTGGAAGCCAGTGTGAGCATTTCTCTTCCCCAACTTTGTCACTTCCCTGCCCCGGCCCCCTGCCCTGGCCCCTTCCCTTTGTGGTGATCGGAAAATATTTGTTCCCTCCGCACGCAAACTTGCAGCCATGCAACTTCCACTCTCTGCCTTTTATTTATTCAATACAACCATTCCAACCCTAGGCATCCCTCCTTACTTACAAAGTCTTCTTCTGCAACAGCCGGTCGAATCTCCTGAAGCAATCTACAAACGGCAAGCGGCCCAACCTTTCAACAATGATTACGATGGCCCTCTCTGGACTTCACCGCCAAGTTATCCATCTCCATGGGGCTCTGGCCTGGGAGACTGGGGTGCTGCTTACGAGAAGGCCCACGCTTTCGTCAGTCAATTGACATTGCTCGAGAAAGTCAATCTCACCACAGGTGTCGGGTACGTCTTCGTCATACCATGCACTCTCCCCTAGTGGTACTGACCCGCCTACAGCTGGGAGTCTGACCGATGTGTCGGCAACGTCGGCGCAATTCCACGGCTAGGCTTTCCAAGCCTGTGTATGCAAGATTCGCCCTTGGGGGTCAGACTCGGTAATACTGCCTTGCCTCGAGTTCCAGATCGATCTCGGATACTAATCTGACTCCCTAGCTGATTATGTTTCTGCCTTTCCTGGAGGTGTCAATGTTGCTGCCACTTGGGACCGAAATCTTGCTTATCTTCGTGGCCAAGCTATTGGTGAAGAGCATAGATCGAAAGGTGTTGATGCTGTATTGGGCCCTGTTTGTGGACCTCTTGGTCGTTCTCCTGAAGGTGGTAGGAATTGGGTACGAGCGTTGAGAAACCAATGTGGCAGCACAAATACTGACGGAGAGTAGGAAGGTTTCAGTCCCGACCCATATCTCACAGGTGCTCTGATTGCTCCGACCATCGAAGGCATTCAAAGTGCTGGGGTCATAGCCACCACAAAGCACTACATCGCCAACGAACAGGAGCATTTCCGTCAAGTCGGTGAATCGATCAGCTATGGCTTCAACATCACTGCAACTTTGAGCTCCAACATCGACGACAAGACGATGCACGAGATCTATCTTTGGCCATTTGCTGATGCTGTTCGTGCAGGTACTGGGTCGAGTAAGTACTCATGTCCGGGTTTGGATGTAGCTTGCTAACCGCAGACTCTAACTAGTCATGTGTTCATACCAACAGATCAACAACTCATACGGCTGTGCTAATTCATACACCTTGAATCATCTCCTCAAGAACGAACTGGGATTCCAGGGCTTTGTCATGTCCGATTGGCAAGCTCAACATTCTGGCGTCGGGACCGCCTTCGCGGGTCTTGACATGTCGATGCCTGGTGACACTGTCTTCAATTCCGGTTACACCTTTTGGGGAACGAATCTCACGGTCGCCGTTCTCAACGGAACCGTTCCTGAGTGGCGTGTCGATGATATGGCTGTCAGAATTATGGCAGCTTACTATTATGTGGGACGCGACCAGAACTATGTCCCCACAAATTTCTATGCCGTAAGGGAACCTATCCCACATCGATCCGTAGGCAACTACTGACCATTCTCTTAGTGGAGTCAAGATACCTATGACCATATTCACGCCGCAGACGTGAACTCTCCTGTCGGCCTTGTCAACGAACATGTCAACGCTCGTGCTGAACATGCACGCGTCATTCGTGAAGTGGGAGCCAAATCAAATGTTCTCCTGAAGAACACCGGTAGTCTCCCCCTCAGTGGTAAGGAGAAGCAGGTTGGCATCTTTGGCTACGATGCAGGCAGCAATCCATGGGGAGCAAATGGATGTCCTAACAGGAACTGCAACAACGGAACTTTGGCCATGGGTTATGGTAGCGGTACCGCCGAGTTCCCATACCTTGTCACCCCGGAACAGGCAATTCAACAGTACGTCTTGACGCAAACAGATGGCGAGGTCTTTGCCATCCTCGACAACTACGCCGACAGCCAGGTCAAGAATGTCGCATCTCAATCGGATGTCGCAATCGTGTTTGCCAACGCTCAATCAGGTGAAGGATTCATCACCATAGATGGCAATACTGGAGACCGTAACAATCTTTCGCTGTGGGAGGGAGCCGACCGATTGATCGGCAACGTCACGACTTACAACCCCAACACAATTATCGTCCTTCACACCGTAGGACCGGTCAATGTCTCTTCGTGGTACGACAACGAAAACGTCACCGCCATCATCTGGGCTGGTCTGCCAGGACAAGAAAGCGGAAATGCCATTGTTGATGTCCTTTACGGATTCGTCAATCCTGGAGGCAAGCTACCATTCACCATTGCGCGCAACCGGGATGACTTTGGAACCGATGTCATCTATGAGCCGAACAACGGTCAGTTCGACGCTCCACAAGATTACTTCTCCGAGGGCGTCTTCCTCGACTATCGCTGGCTTGATCAAAACGGAATTGATCCCATCTACGAATTCGGCTTTGGTCTCAGCTATACCACCTTCGAGTATTCCAACCTTGTCATCATACCAGGAAATCCAGCACCGTACACTCCGGCCAGCGGATCAACCGGCCCAGCTCCAGTGCTCAGTAACTCAAGCAGCGACGCCTCGCTCTACGTCTTCCCCAACGGAACCATTCCGTATCGACCGTACCTCTTCATCTATCCCTACCTCAACTCCACCGATCTGGAAGCTTCTGCCGATGATCCTGATTACGGTCTATCTGCTGATCAATATATTCCCGCCGGTGCCAGTGATGGTTCCCCACAGCCTGTTCTTCCCGCAGGCGGTGCGCCAGGAGGCAACCCGTTACTATATGAGATCGTCGCCACCGTGTCTGCAACAATTACCAACACCGGATCTGTTGCAGGTGATGAAGTGGTGCAGCTTTATCTTGGCCTCGGCGACGGCGAACCACCAAAAGTCCTCCGTGGGTTTGACCGCTTGACCATCGCTCCAGGAGCTTCTGCAACCTTCACCGCAGACCTCACCCGCCGGGACGTTTCGGTCTGGGATACGACCTTTCAGAACTGGGTGGAAGTGTCAAACCCGACCGTCTACGTCGGCGCCTCGAGCAGGAACCTGCCGCTCTCGGGCTCGCTCACCAGCGGTGGCTCAGGGAGTGGTGCACCGCCACCACCGCCTCCTCAATATAGTTCCAGCTATGGAGGCTATCCTCATCCCTCTGCATCAGCAAGTGGTGCTCCACCTCCGCCTGTCGTCAGTCAGAGCCCTGACGGTCAGCCTATTTGGCCCACTGGCGCCCCCGTCAGCCAGATCTCAGATGGCCAACCTCAGTGGAACACTGCCAAGCCGCAGTCGACGACGACCTGGTCGTGATGAGTATCTAAACGCCATCACATAAGCGGGTGACAAATGACCGAGCACGGTGGCGTTAGAAGATAATGGACGCGTTATTAATGACATGATGAGATGAGCTTTAATGCCAAACGAGACACGAGCCAAGCAGGCGAGGAATTCCGAGAAAAAGAATGAACATATCTAATCCACTTAGCGGAGTCTCGGTCCGGGCACGTAAAATAATTTTTTTTTTCTAAACCACAAAGCGAATGAAGAAAGTTTCAAAGAGTCTCGACATCGCCGTGGACCTACCTGGCCGTTAGTTTCTTTTGTTGTCTCCAACTCGAAAACTTGGAACGCGATCTTGAGCTTCATCAATCCCCATCCTTAAACCACTAACGTAGATTCGTTCTTATTTATCCCTTTCTCTCTTTTGCACAAAATCCTCGGCTCTAGCTTCGGTTGTGAGTATCTCGAGCCTGTGGATCGGTGGGATCGGTTGGGAGATCTCGGAACTCAGATCTCAATTCCTATATTTAAGCTTAGGCTAGATAAGTATAGCACAGCTGTGAAGGTTAATAACGATTAAGATTTTAGAGTTTCCCATGCCCATTTTGGGAGTGTGGAATGTGGCCCGCTACGCAAATGTCGTCATGGACTTTTTGTTTTGGCGTCTTTGCTCATGAGCCTGAACGACACGGCCGTGCAATGAGTGTTTGGAAACTCTTACAGGTTCTCCCCCTTTTTCTCGAGTGGAGGGGTAGGAAAAGAGAGAAGCATTACACTCTTGCTTTCAGATTTGCGTAGGAGCTCTCCACGCAGCACATTTCACACCAGGGAAAACGCTCCGCGATTTCCGTACCTTGGATATTTGACGCAGAAAGCCCGACCTTTGGGATGGGCCCATCTTGCTGATTTACGGAACCTCCATCAACGTAAACACAATCTAGCCAGTGCTTCCCTCCTGCCCTCTTTTCAACAATGCCGCCGAAATTCAAAAGCCCCAAGAAGCAGGCCCAGGGCGCAGGCCCAGGTCCTAGGGTTCTGTATTGGTTTCGCACCGACCTTCGCCTGCACGACAGCCCAGCACTTGTGCACGCATTATCCCTCGAACCATCCGTGTTCATCCCACTGTGGTGCTGGGACCCGCACTACGTGTACCGCCAACGTGGGGCCGCCAATCGGTGGAACTTTCTGGTCAGCTGCATGCGCGACGTATCGAGGTCGTTAACCGCGTTGAATCCGAAGCAGAAGCTTCATGTCGTGAGGCGCGCGCCCGGAAAGGTCATGGTGGAGTTGTTGCGCAGGTGGAAGGTCGATGTGTTGGTGTTTGAGAAAGATACGGATGCGTATGCCCGCATGAGGGATGACGAGGTGAGGGCGATTGCAGAGGGATTGGGAGTCAAGGTGGTTAGTTTGAGTGGAAGGACGCTGTTTGATAGTGATGAGGTGGTCAAGATGAACGGTGGGAAGCCGACTATGTCTATGAACCAGCTTGTCAATGCGAGTAAGAAGATTGGAGATGGCGCTCCGAAGAAGCCTCTTGACAGGCCTACCAGCCTGCCTGATCCGCTGGCTGAGGCCGAGATGGATCTCATCGATTTGGATGATGATACGGGCGGAGGAGGGGAGGAAAATGTGGATTACAATCTACCGCAAAGGAGCCTGGGGAAGGCAAAAAATAGGCAGTATGATACAGGGATCATGGGTCCCAAGCGAGATTTCGGCATTCCCACGCTCGAAGAGATGGGCATCGACTCGGCCGACGTGACGTCTCCCCACAAAGGAGGCGAAACTGCTGGACTTGAAGCTTTAAAGTCCATGATGGACAAGTCCGACTATACTGGTACCTTTGAGAAGCCCAAAACAGCACCGACCGACTTCGAGCCGCAAGCAACGACGCTGCTCTCACCACACATGCACTTCGGCAGCGTCTCTGTAAGAAAATTCTGGTGGGACGTCCAGGATGTCTTGGAGAAGCGGCGGAAACAGAACAAGCATGTCAGTGGAGAGCCGGTCAATCTACCCGGGCAGTTACTGTTCAGAGATATGTATTTTGCCGCTTACGCAAAATTGGGATTCCAATTCGGACAAGCAGTGGGCAACAGCGTGGCGAGATTCATCCCTTGGCATTTGCAGTCGCATTACGTCAAGGGACAGAAAGATGGAAACCCTACCGGAGATGGAGCTTACGTCGTGGATGACCCTCAGGCGGAAGAGTATTTTCGTAGGTGGAAGGAGGGCAGAACGGGTTTTCCCTGGATCGACGCCATCATGCGCCAGCTCAAACTGGAAGGCTGGATCCACCACCTCGGGAGACACGCCGTGGCGTGCTTCCTGACCAGAGGTGGGTGCTATGTCAGCTGGGAACGCGGAGCGGAGGTCTTCGAAGAGTGGCTCATCGACCACGAAGTCGCCTGCAACGCGGGAAACTGGATGTGGTTGAGCTGCACGGCCTTTTTCAGCCAGTTCTATCGTGTGTATTCGCCCATCGCGTTTGGGAAAAAGTGGGACCCCGAAGGCAAGTTTGTGAGAAAGTATGTTCCAGAGTTAGCCCAATTTGACAAGAAATACATCTATGAGCCGTACAAGGCCCCGATCGCAGACCAGAAGGCTTGGGGTTGTATCATTCAGGGTGATGGGACAAAGACCGAAGAAAAGGGCACCAAGGTCTTTCCGAAACCGATGTTCGACTTCAACAAGCGCAGACAATTTTGCCTGGATCGCATGAAAGAGGCATACGATGTTGGGCTATATGGTGATGATAAGAGAGTGTTGTCTGGAGAGTGGAAGAAGCTGTTTGACTTCAATGATAAGCGTAGGGAGAGGAAGGAGGAAGCCAACGGCCATCTTCCCACTCATGGGACAAAGCGTTCGAAAACCGAGGCATCAGATGATGCCGATCGCCCTGCGTCCGAGGATGATACCGGGGAACTCGCGGACCAGGGAGCTGCAAGCCAAGACGAAGAAGACGAGAAGCCACCCAGAAAAGCCGTCAAACAAACTAAACCTAAGAAAGGTGCTCAGAAGACCTTAGATACGGTCGTGACGACGACGAGGGCAAAGAAATGAAGGGGAGTAAATTTGGGCCGCAGTTGGTAGTCCAGCAGCCAAGGATCTCAATGGCATAAGCGCAGCATCAAGGGAAGGTGGTCACGAGGGTGTAGAGCCCATAGCATGTCTGCCCAACTCTGCGCCTTGATAGAATGAATGGCACGAGGCCACGGGATATCAAAATTTGTGAGTGAATTGAATGGCTTTGGCTTTGGCTTTGGTAAATATCGGCTGCACCTGAGGTCTACGTGATCATTCTACTACGAAGTGTCGCCTGGGACATAGTGAGATGTTGTCGAACTGGCACGAGATTCCTTCTTTTCCGGCCACTGTGTTTGTCAGTGCCGCTTTCATGATATATATCTGTATAAACATTGGGTACTGTAGGAAGATTAGTAGTTATCCGAGCGTCGGTTATTACGCATGCCCTCGAACCTGGTGGTCGGAAATACCCTTTCTCGTTGTGAGCTGGCCATAAAGGCAAAGCCATGGTCAAACGTTGGCCAGATAGCATCATGTATTTTAGAGGCTTCGTCGACATTGAGACAAAACACAGCCGTCTGGTCATCACTTCCGCTCCAGTGACAGTTTGAAGTGAAGCCACTGATGCCCAACACTTCGGGCGGCAAACGACCGAACCCCTGATATTAGGCAGCAAATTGTATGGAACGGGCGTTGAGCTATAGTGAGAGCACTGGTTAGAGTGCGAAGTTTATCACAGTTTGATTTGAGGACTCCAAGTCTTTGGAGCCCCTCTGGGTGCTTTGCAGCTTGTCTGAGCCTGTGGAGTTGGGTTGAAATTGATAAAGTTGGAGAATAACAGTCCCTCTTATACAGAATTGTGGGTAACGCAGTGATTTGATAGGTGTTGGAGCCTCACTCAATATGCCTAGACCTTTCTGCGTCAATTAAAGCTCGAGATGAGAGGGTCTTGTTGGACTGATGACAGGAGTAAATAAATCAACCAATTATATCGGTCGCGTTCATATGCCTCGTATTGGCCGAAAGCTCGACCGGTGTCGAGTAATGTATTCGTTGCCTTGCTTTAGCTCCATCCATCCTTGTGGTCTGCCTTGTCCCATGGCCGAAAGGCGTGCCAGAGGTGACCGTGACACTGTGCGGAATGCGATAATCACACCTGCATCATATCTGTTTCTATACCTGGGCAAATGCAGGTCATAGAAGTGTCAGGCAGCATTGCGTGGTCGGATTTAGGATTTCGAGAGCCGAACAGTGTCTCACACAGAAAGGGGCGGGGGCACTGGAACAACTCAGCCACCTGATGACATGCCGTTGGACAATGTCCAGAATGTACATTGACATCCGCGAATCCGTGGAACGGTGTCATTGGCCTAGGCTGACAGGGTGTGAGTAACTGCCTATCAGCTGGGCGCCTGCCAGGCTGGGAGGTATATCATCACCAGGCTGAACTCGTCCAGGTTCTTTCGACTTCTCATGCATTCTGTTCCGTTGAAACTTTTACTACAGTTTGTCACCCGGCTTGTTTGTGAATTTCAGTTGCATTTGCTTTAGTGATTACAGAATGTCGTCCCTAACTGAGCGCATTGAACGAGTCAAGCATCACGATGCGGAAAAAGCCGAGCTATTTAAGGTGGCATGGTCCAGACGTTTTATGTGGTCGATCCTTTCGCTTATCTATCTCTAGGATCTCGTTGACCAGTTGAAAGAACTGGAAGAAGAGAAGCAGAAGATTCAAAATGAGTTGGAGCTCTCTCGATATCTCTGTGGAAAGCAGTTGGCAGATCTGAAGACGAAGAACCAAGATATCAGTGGTCTTCAAAAGACGATGGTGCGTTGTCACAGCTCAAACATGGAGGCAATTGCTCATTCGATCACAGGACTGTGATCCTTTCGTTCTCTTTTTAGTCGATGGGGACATCACCAAGGTAAGGCCCGAGGTGGAATGGAGCCGGCGAGGATGTGCTTACGCGCTCAAAATAGTTTTCTGATGATTATATCAAAAGGGGAGCCGCGGGGGGGCATGATGCAGCGCGAGATTTGAGGAAAGCCGTCTATGAATACTTCGAGCCAAAGCCGGACTTCCTGCTCAACACAAAGATTATCATACACATCTTTGCCAACATCGCTGGCATGTTAAAGGTTTATCAGGAGTCGAGAATATTGACAGATTCCAGTATTATCCGCCAATTTCTCCAAGGCTTCAACAGGGAACATGCCCTCTCACATTTCATTGATGCAGGCGATGATAAGGAAGCAGCTGATAGCAAAGTCAAAGGTTCGTTATTGCCAGATGAAAGAGTTCGACTGACCCATCAAAGAGGAGATGTCCTTGTTCTTCAACAATACCCACTGCAAACACATAATGTTTGCAGGATCCGGTGACAGCAGTTACGCTGGCTTTTTGAGGCAGTATACACTCACTACTCAAGTATGTTCAAGACTAGTCCTGGTTGAGTCAGTGCCGTTTGCGAACAAATTCATCGAATTGGCCGACAAGTTTGAAAAGACTGAATTCAAGAGCCTGTTTCGGGACTCCAAGATAGATATCAGAAGACCCTCACTTCGAGATGAAGCAGCTAGTCGTCCTCAGAGATCACCACCTCCGAGTTACGCTTCGACTGTGAAGCAAGTAGGTCAGTCACAGTCCGAAGAAGATAGTTTTCTCAAAGACGCGACCAGTCCCACCGCTGAACGGGGAGAGCGCCGAAAGATTTTCCTCAATAAGGATGGACATCGCGTCGACCGAGATGTTAGACCAGATAAGGGATTGGTCACCAGTTTGAAGCCGAGGAAGCTTTGCAATCGGCATTTCCTCACGCGATGCAATTATGTTTCGTGCATGCATTCCCATGAGGGAACCTTGACACCGGCGCAGACCGAAGCATTACGATATATTGCCCGGTTGAGTCCTTGTCAAACGTTGCTTTGTGACGACCCTGATTGTGTTGCCGGCCATCGATGTATGGCCGGGTCGAAATGTGATAGGCGAGGGAGTAATTGCTGGTTCAGCGAGGAGATGCATAATGTGGATACAACCATTGTGAGATCTCTCCCACCCTGAGGGTCTCACAAGACGGAATTACTCAAGAGAATAGATTACCCGGAAGGAAGAACATGGTACAGGAAAGAAGTCCAGACAGTCGGATTCATGAGCTGTATGCCAGTTGAAAAGCTGATTTGAATACAGTGCTGCATGTATGGAGTTGGGGGGTGCTGCCTAGAGAGCCTGGGGACAGCAGGGGATGGTCGGTCGCGACGGGGAAAGTTGATAGCGCGATGCCAAGACTTTCATTGATGAAGCATGCCTGCCACTTGCAGCCTCCAGAAATTCCACCTTCCAGTATATGTACAAATTAAGTTCCTTCACTGCTTCATCCCATACATGTCGTCGTTTTATTCATCAGCTGTTCCTTGGCCCTGCTTTTTGGGCGTCACATGGCGTCGTTCAAAACAAGAGTGGAACAGCTCCTCCGAGAAGATGCCGCTAGGAGCGCGCTGCTTGAGGTACGTTGCTTCCTTGGAGGTTCCAGCGTAGCTGACCATCTACAGGAGATGCTGGCCGAGTTGGAGTCACTCACTTCTCAGCATGATGCCGTTAAAAGAGAACTGGCTATGTCGCAGGACACTGCACGTACTTATTATGAAAAGATGGTGCAAGCCCAGACCGAAGCCAGCAAGCGCTCAGACCCAGCCCTGGTGAACCTTACCATCAATCTACCATGCCCCTTGGCTCCAGGCTGACCGACCTTTCAGGAAGGTGACCGTTTCGTCTTAGTCCTTGTCGATGCAGACAGTGTGCCGGTGAGAGACGGAGCCATTCATTCTTCAGGCGACGTGTTCCGCTACAAATGACCTGCTGACAGAGTTAGTTCCTCGACGACCTGGTTGCGAAGGGCAAGTCAGGTGGTGATGATGCCGGCAAACACCTTCGAATCGCCGTTGAAGCGTACCACAGATCAAATCCAAACTATCATCCCGATGACCGCATCATCATCCGCGCCTTTGCCAATACCTTGGGCTCAGGAAGGACCTACAAGGCAGCCCGTGTCATTCCAGATGAGACCGTCTTCAATGAATTCGTCGCTGGCTTCAACAGAAGTCATCCTCTCTCGGAACTCATCAATGCTGGCAATCACAAAGAAGCGGCGGATGCCAAGATGAAAGGTAATCCCATACCTCACCACCCATGACAACCCATTCTCACATCTCATTAGCAAACTTTGAACTTTTCTGCAGAAATCGGCATTGCCAACACATCCTCTTTGCTGGGTCTGCCGACAGCGGCTATGCCGGGTTCCTCGGTCCCTATTCATCACCGAATGGTGTCAACGAGAAGATCACGCTGATCGAAGGGCCCCCTTTCCCCTTCGATCTCAAGAGAGTTGCTAGAGGTTTTCAACACACGACTTTCCCGACCGTTTTCAGATCCTCCAAAATCCATGTTTCTCCCAGCACGCCATCGGCGACCATGAGAACGAAAAGGGCTGGTCCAGAGCTCACTTCCAACCGAGAGCGACCGACCCTGGTAGTAGCCGGCACGGGATCCAACACTCCATCTACTCCCCGACAATCAGCTACGCCTTTCCTTTCACTCGTGGCGCCGGCCCCGCTGGTCTATCAGAACAAATTTGGTCAGCGAATTGACCCGCCGCTCAACATCGATAAAGATTACCTACAATTTCTGTACCAGCACCTCAAATTATGCAACAACTTCTATCTTAAAGGCTATTGCCCATATGGTTCCAACTGCGAGTTCGACCATTCGAAGGCTTTGACTTCGGTAGAACTCGATACGTTCAGATACAAGGCGAGGACTTCTAGCTGTCGGACGTCGTTCTGCCAGGATCCTACATGCTGTCTCGGCCATACCTGTCCCCGTGGAGAAAATTGCACCATCAGCATGTGCAAATTTGCACCCGAGATGCATAACCCGGATGTCAGCGACTTGTATCAGTTCGATCCGGCCACGAACCAAAGACAGCACATAACGATGCCTGTCTAGAAGCCAGAGCGAAGACGAAGACGACCATCCAGTTCAAACTTCGTGGGCGCTGCTCCCACGTCAAGGCCCGTCGACCCAGTCGAACACCCCACGAACAACACTGACAAACAGCCTCGTATTGACCCTTCAGGTGCCTTTCCCATTGCAGCTGCCACAGCGGCGCGCACTGCCAGGATCGCCAGATTCGATCCCGCGCCTTCTTGCCAGATTTTGTAGGTCAGTGATCTCACGTCATAAATCAGCCTCATCTGCAAGACTTCAAGAGTGTGAGCGTACACCATGGAGGGAGTAGGACGACATGCACTCAATGACAGACCGGACTTGCTCAAGGTCTGTCTATCTGTGTGCCCAATCAGAATCAGACACAGCATGCTGGACCAGAAGCATCTTCTATGAAGTTATCCCCATTCCTGCGGTGGCCTCTTCCCCCCCCCTTCTGCTGTCCTCCTGATGGTGGGCTGCGAGCTTTTATTCGAGACTTGCAATCCGCACCCCAGAATCATGCATCAGCAAAATGTGTTGCGCGTATTCTCCATCTTGTGCATCCATTATCAAAGCTAAAAAGTATTATAATACAGGGGCGCTTTGGACTGCTGCCACAGCGTCTTAACAGACCCAAGACCCTGCACGTGAAGTAGCCGGGATTAAAATATCATAGCGATAGAACTATTTTATTCAATGTTGGTTTCTCTTGAGTCTTTACTGCCCATCTTTCTAGACCTGGTTTATAACCTAAAGCCCGTGACAGGGCGGCACGTGGCGACCGAACCGATATTGACCCAGCAAAGTTCGTGAACTGTTAAGGGGCTGCTGAAGCTGCCTCCCTCCACGAAGGTCGTCCTGTCATCAAGATTTCTCACTTGCAACTTTGTCGTCCAGCAGGACATACCACGCTGTACCGACACGGACAGACCGTGCACATTCTAGAGCTAGTGAAGGCGACGAAGTGTTTGTAAATCCGTCGACCAATGCAATGCGGCAACGCATTTTTCTAGCTTGGTGAGTGATTGTTTTCATCCAGCCAGTGCCTTCTTAAAATTAGGTGATGGGCCGCCGCACTCCTGGCCTAGGCTTGCTGGTCACGAGTGTATCTCCTCTCGAGAATGGGTGGCCTTGAGCACTCCGATATAGTGCAGGGATGTTCTTCATGATTGTGACTGCTCACGGAGTCTGCCAATTCTGCCCACGTGACATGAATGTCACTCACACCTTAATTTCGTATCGGCCATCCTGCGGAGGTATTATGCATCGAGGGTGGAGGGCAGCCGACACGGCCGGAGCTGATCCGATATGCCAGGGGTCGCGAAGAGTCCCTGCTCAATCACTCACGAAGGCCATGCTTTTCCTCAATTCTCTTTCTCTCTGTTTGCCCTGGAGCTCCAATCTTTCAATGGCGTACTGTAGTCTTTCTTTCTTCTGCTGTAGGCGTTTCATCTCCAGCATTTTCGTGTCACTGAGTACCGCGGACGAGGTGGACTCGGACGTCCGGGAAGGCTGGATACCATCTCCACCAAAACTCGAACTCCGTCGGCTATTGTTCAACCGTCCTTTCAAGAGTTCGGACCGCGCTTTGAGACTCTCCTCCTTCCGGGCGAGTTGATCGATGTGCCTCTCGGCGGTGGACACAAGCTGGTGTATGGCGGGTACAATTTCATCGACCAGGGATTGTTGAGCTTCTCGCAGGGTTGGTTCGGCGAGGAGTTCAAAATGTTGTTGGGTTTGCAGGACTCTGCACAAGCGGGGAAAATCAGAGACTCCTTCGTCAAGAATCGATATGCTAGAATCCAGCAACGACAATGAGGAGCGTAGGGAGGACACTGCAGGCCCTAGAGATGCCATGTCGATTGACCGGGGTAGCGGGTTGTCAAGTGTTCACGCGGTGCGGGTGATCCTCTAAACAAATGATCTCCCCGCGTCGCGTGGACATGCAACGGGCAAACCAAGAAACGGTTGAATGCGGGCCAGCCGGCAGATAGGAAAGGAACTTAAGACAGCCAATGAGCCGCCGTCCTCTACCAGCCAATTGCAAACACAGCAAACTAGCCAAGACCCGACAAAAGCTCGCTCAGACTGGGAGCTTCATGCAAAGCTCGTCCCTGATGACCAGCGCAACAAGACACCAACGTTCTTTCAACCAGATCAACCAAAAATGCCTGGCTGGATCCCCAAGAAGTTTCCCGGCAAAATTGGTCAGTTTCCCAAACTGTGTTCTCTCGTGATGGACGTGCGTACTGATCCCCATCACAGCCGAGCCGATGATCCCTTTCTACGCCGCAGGTCTGATTGTCCTGTACGCAGTCAACGCTGGTGCCAACGCCATGATGGCTTGTAAGTGACGGCCTACCATTGAAAACCCCCTATGCCTCTGATCCCAGACTGACCACCTCTCCATAGCGGACGAGTTCAAGAACGACCCTCGAAACCCCAACGCGAAAGCTGACGCCAAATGAGCCGTAAATTCTACTTATCAGTTCACGGGGAAAGAAAAGTCGGGGATGGACTGCTTGGAGATGACGCTCGGACCCAGAGCGCCGCTCTCTGCATTGTACATAAATCAGGCATAGACCGTGGGAATTGAAGGAGCTGAAACTCGAGGAGACATCTTCTGGATTTTATCACTACGCCTCCATGCCTGTTGTTTTGACATCCACGCAAACGTCTGAATCTCGAGGGAAGAATTCATAAGCTACAATGTTCTGTGACAATGGCGACAAGCTTCCGAATGCCCATTCTTAGCCCCCAAAAAGATCTCCCAAAGTCGCGTTCAATGAGACAATCTCATTACCCGAATACCTTGCACTACGACTTGGTTGAGGGAACACCTTTTCAGTCAAACTAACCCGTGTCAACTAGGTATCTTCAACCATTGGGATTACATGAGGGGAATCCCGAGCAAATACATTCCAGGGCTCTCGCACCGCGCAGCTGTTTGGTGGTTCACAGAGGTGTGTCAGGTTGGTGAAGGACTTGTGCGTGGCATCTGTCTTGGGCGGGGCAAGTTCTGCTGGCCTGCATAGGGCCGGTGGAAATAAAAATCCCTGGCGCAGACCCGATGCAGCTGGGCTTTCGAACTCCAGGAATCTCAAAACGCCCTATATCCTGTGTGAGCGGGCAGGGTCAGGTTCCCAAGACAACTATTGGTAAACCGGGTGGCTTCCATGCAGGGACGAGTGTTGGCAGCTATCATAGTTGGACGTTTATCCCTTGGTCTTCTGGTCGTTTTGAACACGAAGCGGCTGGAGCCTGGCTTTCCTCATGATTAAACTCGATCATCATGCAAGCATGGCAGTGCAGGCCCCCATCGTGCGCCATGCTCTGCCACCATGAATCTCTTCACAGCCTCGTCCGTAATTCTTTCATTTTCATGAACCTGGGACTCCGGTAGGGAGCCAGGGGCAAGATGGAGACTTGCGGCAGTGTACTGATGCCAGAGAGCTATCTATCGACGGGGTAGTGGCTGCCTCTATACACCTACATCTTAGGCACAACCACTGGCACTACTCGAAGTAAATTGACCCCCGGGTCTTTTTTTCCTAGGCCCATGACCACTCCTGAACCAGAGAAACCCGGTCTTCCTCTCACTTCGCGCGGTAAGCTCGAGATATCCGAAGACTAACCTCCATGCGAAATGTACGCCTATTATTTCTCCCCTTGCTCCATAGACACGCAATATTCAATCCTTGTTAACCAGCGACGAGGCTGAGTGATGCCTTGGCAAGGCTGGAATATCCAGGTTCGGACCTCGGCTAATCAACAATATCCTGGGCTCGTTTCCCGTGTTTGCTTGTTGAACATAAAAAGGATCGTAATTCCCCAGATGTAGACCGTACAACACCGTTGCATCGAGACCATTGTCATTTTACTGTATGTCAGAAATCTCTTGCGTCCAATCAGCAAAGAGGAATTGTGATCACCCAGCACGGGGCATCACTCACCGGGACCCTCCACACGCGGCCAGAGAGCGAGACAACCAGATCATGAAAGCTCTCCACATTACCGAGTTTGTCAAATCAAACTCGGATCTTCGAGTTTCGAATATCCCATATCCACAGCCGAAAGCCGGTCAAGTGCTCGTGAACATCACGCATAGCGCGCTCAATCACGTCGATCTCCTGTATGCCCGTGGTCTCCACCAGAACAACCACGGCGGTCTCATCAGACCGCCGTTCACTCTCGGGCTGGAATTCGCCGGGATCGTTGCCTCAGCTCCTCGTGGCTGCCCATTCAAGTCCGGCGACGAGGTGTGGGGAGCCGGGGTTGGTGGATTCGCCGAGCAGATCGCAGTACCTGTATCGAGTCTGCAACGGGTTCCCCCTGGGTGGACCTTGCACGACATTGCAGGCTTAGGCGCTGCCACAGCTCCAGTGAGCTATGGAGCCTTGGTGCGTGTCGCAAACATTCAAAAGGGCCAAACAGTGTTGATCCACGCGGCTGCTGGAGGGCTTGGTGTTGTCGCTGTACAGATTGCACAGGCCTTGGGAGCACAGGTGATCGGGACGGTCGGCAGCGAGGAGAAAGGGGAAGTGGTGAAGAGATTGGGTGTTCTTGGCGTGGTGAGATATGACAGGGATGGATGGGAGAAGGAGGTGCTGAGCCTGACCAGCAACGTTGGTGTGGACTCCGTGTATGACACTGTCGGGCTGGTTCAGAAAAGCATCAGATGCTTGAAGTTTGGGGGCAATATTGTCATTGCTGGGTTCGCCGGCTTAGGTGGCAAGATGGAGACGTTAGCAATGAACCGTGTCTTGCTGAAAGGGGCCAAACTGCTTGGTTACGTAAGTTTACGGACCCTTCTGTTCGAAACCAGTCTTTCATGTACTCACATTACCTTAGCGATTTGGAGAGACTGGAAGGAGAGATCCCCAGCAAACCGAAGAAGTTTGGAAAGGTTTGAACGAGCTTCTCCAGAGAGGTCTGATCAAGCCGGTCATCTATGGAACCTACTCCGGACTGGAAAGTGTCCCCAATGCTCTTGACGATCTGGCTGCAAGGAAAGTATGGGGCAAAGCTGTTGTGGCTATTCAAGCATCGGGAACTGGCGCCTCGAAGCTGTGAGCTTCTTTACGGGAGTTTCACCACTCACAAACAAAACAAATCATGTGGCTCAACTACTGCACTAGAACACGCCAGCATCGCCCATTGTGCTCGTGTACCGCGAGAGAAGACACGACAGCGAAAGCTTGGAAGATCAGTTCATTACCAGTCCTCCATCGACGACAATCTGTTGACCTGTAACGCTATTCGCCCATGGACTCGCGAAGAATAACACTGCCCCAGCAAGATCATCGGGAGTGGTCACCTTTCTCAACGGCGTAATTGCTTTGATCTGGTCAAAAACCTCTCGAGGCGTACTCGAACTGGCATCTGTTACCTCCAACAAGCCACCCGCTACAGAATTGACTGTGACGCCTATCGGACCAAGGTCTGCTGCACACGTTCTGGTGAATGCCAGCAGAGCACCCTTGGCTGCCGTATAGTCATGGTACGGAACGACTGGATTGTGAAACAAATTTGAACCGATGTTGACGATCCGGCCAAATTTAACCTTCTCAAAACCTGGCAGGGCTGCTTGTGTTGTGTTCAACGACCCTCTGAGAAAACCTTGCAGCTGGGTGTCGAAATCGGACCAGGACAGTTGGGCAACTCTGGGTCGGCTATCACCATTGAACGCAAAATCCCCGACGATGGCGTTGTTGACGACGGTCGTGACGGGTGTTCCGAAATGCTCCTCAGCAGCATCAAAGAGAGCTTTCACTTCCGCCGCTCGGGCGACATCTGCTCGGAACGCGAATGCATCCAGATCCTTGGCCAGGCTGGACATTTTGTCGGGGTCGGATTTGAAATAGTTCAGAACGACTTTTGAGCCTTGGCATCGGAAGGCTTGGGCGATGGCCAGCCCAACACCCCTTGAAGAGCCTGGTCGGGAGGTGTTAGTAGCTCCTGCGGTCGCAAATTCTCCATTGTCGTCTCTTGCGACGCTCTTCTTTTCAATCGAGGAGATGCGTTATGAATGCCGAAGACTGACCGTGCGGAGATTCTGACTCACCTGTGACGAGAACGACTTGGTCTTTTAGCTCCATACTGTGTAGGAAAGCCTGAGTAGGAACAATAAAATCTACGGAGACCAATGTTATGAGATGACCCAGCATTGATCGGGAGAGAGAACCGATTTTACTCGTGTCGCCTTAGTGGTGACTAGCTACGAGTGGTTAGTTATGTAGGCACAAATGATGTCATTTCTGTGGCATTTCTTGGGCCTCGACATTATTCGTGTAGCAGGTGGTGATGTTTAAGTGACATTTTCAGTATTAATGATTGTTTTCTAGCATGCTTCCTTTTTCAGAGGCTCCCACCCAATAATCATACAATAATCATACAACGTGCCTCCGAGAAGGAAAACCTTCTATCCCCAAAGCCGCCCGATGGCCCCTTCAACTCGTCGGATTGAAACGAGATTTTTACCTGATCTGCGACCCATATTTGTAGAACAAATAGTGGGACAGGAAAGAACGCCACCAGCGGGAACGCGAGCAGTGAGCCTGCCCACGCGACTCCCAGGTTTCAATACATGGCCGGTGCAAAGAGCGGGAAACCGGCTGCGGCGATGGATCGAATGAAGGTGTTGAGGGCGATGGCGCTGTTCGAGTAGAGTCCATAGCAATCGATGAGATAGTTCATGCCTTGCCAGAACGTGATCAGGCGGCCCATACCGATGACCGCCGTTGAAATTACCTGCGGCAACCAGATAATATGGGGATTCGACGTCCTGGTGAGTGAGATTAGTGTTTGAGTTCGTCACGTTGCATCAGGTTCGCGGATGGGCTCGCTCACCAACAAAACCAGAACAGGCCAGCCGGCAATATAACGGCCCCGATGATCATCAGTGGGAATCGTTCTTCAGGGACCGTATTGCCGTGTCGCTTATACCCCTTGGTGAAATTCGTTCTCGTCGAATACGCAATGAGACCTGTTCTGATAGCGATGCCGACTATAAACGCGGACACTGGTAGAGACGCAAAGCTGAGATTCTAACCACGGTCTCCTTGAAACGAGACTGGATGCTTCAAGATGTCAGGCTAGTGGAACCCCGGTTTGATGGGAGCGTCCTCCTTACCGCCTCAGACAAGAGAGAGATTATTCTAGCGCCTCGTGCTAGTATCATATCAAAACGCATCGATCGGGAAACGCATACCTATAGATAACGCTCATGTACGCCGTCATAAGAGCTAAGATCGGCTCTTGAACAAACATGACAAATGGCTGAGCCAGATATTCTGAGACGACGGTGCGCGCATCATTCTTCCTTTCGTCTACCTTTGCGTATAGGGCCCAATTTTTGGTCTCATCGCGGAGATTTTGGGCCTTGGTTTGCAGGATTTTGGCGGCGGAGGTTTCTGGGACGAGGAATAGTCAACACTCCAGACAAAGCGGCCATGATAAGAGTGATCCAAGCCGTCCACCTCCAGCCGAGGTGACTCTGGACAATAAAGCCTCCCATGATTGGGCCTAGAAATGTGAGCCCCCGGTCCAGAACAGACGCCATCCTCAAGAGACCTCATCGAAGGATGAGGCTATGCTTATGCAAAAGAAAACGGCGACTAGAACCCTCGACTTGGAGTCTGATAACAGTATCGTACAATGGTACTCCGTATTGCGGCTGCTTTACTTTGCCATAGATTCAGGAGTTCCACTGTCTCCTCCCACTTCATTTCAGTCAGCACACTGAGTATCCTCTAGTTCCTATCTAAATGGGCCAGTCTCATGGTTTCTCTCTCTGTTATAGAACACTTCAATGCTAAAAATACGGACACCCGCAAAGTAATATCAAGTAGACAAGGGAAGAAGGCTGTATAACAATGGAAAAGAATGGGGTTATTTCAAAAGTCCATTGGATTGTTTCTCAGCTTGATCATGGAAACCTGAAAGACCAGGCCGTTTGAATTTAAGTGGAGCACCTGCCTGAGAGTATCTGGAGAGTATCAAGTACGTTGCTCGAGACCAGCGAAGCTTATGTCATCTGTGACCATCGAGATACAGAGGTCCCGAAACGACCTCAATGTCATTACTCTTCGTGTTATACTGTCAACTTTGGCTGAAACTGAAAAGCTGTGGTGGCCACACTGACGTTCTGTTCGCCACGACTGCTTCCATATTTTCCTGCATCGCTCGCGAGAGAGAGACGGGGGGGGGTCTTCATCCCCCGAAATGCTTGGGCCACCTCCGCTTTGATTGACGGTGCGAAATCGAAAATATCCTGGCCGCATCACTCGCCAGAGCAATGCCGACGTTGCTGCTCATCCAAGGTGTCGACGACGGAGGCCTCAGTTGTTTGTGCTACTGAAAATGCTTTGCGATCAGGCACCACTTGTGATTCGAGAAGCTCGGCGGCGTTGTTCAATCATGCTGGCAGAAGAAATCGCCAGGCAGGAGGTACGAAGGATCCAATGGTTCTCAAAAGAGCCAACACATCAATCTGTCGGGTTGACACCGTGGATGTATGCGTCGAGCATTATCTGACCTTTTGTCAAAGGTCCGAGCTCCTCCCATTTGGGGACTTTGAAAGATGATGGATCCACCTTTAAAATGAGCTCTCAGGCGATGGTGCCTATCAAGATCGGTGCCTTGGCATCGATTGCAGTATGGCCTCGGGAGATTGTGTAACGAGTGATCGCCAAGAGAATATATATATGTCAGTGGCCAGTTGACAATGTCGGCAACCTGGCCATGGGGGTTTTCCTAGCACACTTCGATCAACAGACTCCCCGATCAGTTTTCACATTCATGGTGACATGACAGCCCATCACTAGAACACCGTCGAGCCAGCTCCGCTTTTAGTACAGTTGCAGGCTTTCTTTGACCCCCGTGGTTAGCTTCAAATCTGGAAGGGGCAGTTTCCTGCTCAGTCATCTGTCACCCTTCACCTCAAATGTTCTGGACATGACAGAATTGGCAGCACAGTTGATGCAATACAACTAAACAGACCAATGAGACTCGATCTCATGATTGCCTTCCCCTACAATGGTGCTCTTTTGTTGAGGCGTTCAAATTCAAATTCAACTGCTTTCCACGCCACACGTCTTACCCAAGTCGCCCGAGCAAACAGGAATTCGGTGGTGCAAAGATTGCAAATATCGTATACGCCTGCAGCTGTTAGCGACCTTCTGTGTGAAGACGTTGCCGTCTGGTGCCACGGTGATTTAAGCAGGATGATTCTGTCAGAAGCATGCTGTCAGTCCGTTTACCATATTTTGCGCTTTACGTAACTTCTGGGACCTTGGGTCAACAAGACTATGAAAGGATTCTTTCTGGCCAGTCTCATTGCCTGACCAGTGCCAGTCGATGCTTCTAAGAGTGTCGACTCCTCATATGAGGTTGAGATTCTCAATCTTCCACCTGCTGTTACTACTGGGAAGGTTGTGGCTGGCCGATTGACTGGAGATCCTTGAAGCAAGCGGCCAGAGCAAGTCCGTGCCAAGCAGCAACACGAATAATTTACACAAACAAGGGTGTGTCTCTGGTTTCCGTGCCTCAGACGATCACGAGGTGAGCTGTCTCTTCACCCCTCAAATGTTGGTGTCGGTATTTCGTGGCCCGTAAGCAGCCCGGGCAACCACAGGCGAGAGCACAAAGAGTGGAACACTGAGTGGTCTGAAATCTGGTCTTCAATGTTTCTGGGCAAGCGCGTTCCGGGACGTCTAGGAAAAAACACATCATGCACTTTTCCCCATGGCTGATCAGCTCCTCGCATTTTCGAGACCGATCACGGGCATTCCATGATAGGTAGGTCACAGAATTCACCCGAAATTGTTCGACTCGGCTGAGGGGGTGTCATCCGCTCTGCATTCTTGTTACAGCTGGTGTGGGTATTCATTCTCCAATAAATTTAGCCGTGCGAATCGAGGACGACTAACTCAATCCTTCAGTCTTGAGGATTTGAGTCTGAAGCAGCCCTCGCAGCCGAGGCAATTTTCTTATCGGCAGTACCACACGGGAAGTTTTGCAAGCGACTAGGCTCGCTGATATGCTCGACATTATGGGGCAGGGTGTGCTTCTTGGTGAGGTTTGGATGAAACACAACACAGGGTAGGGAGAGGAGTATATATTTATGTCCAAGGGTCGGGCCACACGAAGCTTGGACTCACTCGGCTGCGCCGACGTCGGAGGGGCACGAGGAGTGGTCGTCTATATCTGAGGAGTGCGCCCCCCAATAACTCAGATTTGAGCGTTAGACATCGCGGGCGGGAGGATGGGACGGTCCAATCATGGGCTCGATCTATCAGCCAGCCTCAAGGATCCCGCTAAAGGTGTCAGTCTCCCTTCCAGAGAGGATTCCCCTGCATGAATCGTTGCTCACTCGTCGCTAGGCACCCTCCCTCGAAAGGCAAGAAGAAGACAACGATCTTCCTGTGGACCTGTGTACGCATACATTCCATACACTTTCTTCCCGAATCCCAACCCACTGCCCCCAATCTGGGCCCCCATACAGTCTAGCTTCGTCCCGAGCCGTGCCCTTGGCCAGATGATTCACATCTAACTGCAACAAAAGTGTCAGTGCGGGCACTCGCCCATCAGGATTACATCGCCGAACTGCATTCAGTGCCAACAACCACGATGCACCAACTGCAAACTCGAGAAACTCCTTCGTTAAAGGGGCTGCTGCCATCGGTCTCTAATCCGCCCTCTGTTTCCGCAACGTTATGGGCCCCTCGACGACGAGAACCCAATCTCCATCAGCTTTCATACGTTGTCTCCCTCCGAGCACCATGGGTGGAATCATGAATTTTTACGAAAGCACCTCCACCCAATCGGCTTCAACGTTCGATGTCAAATGGTATATCTGCAAGGGCTCTGTCATGTAAAAGATCGGGGACACCATCCAGACTTCGCCGTCAAGAAGATGCCTTTTTGGAGCGTACATTTGCGAACCTTCATTGTACATAGACAAACCCGTGCACTTCTCGCCCCTCCCAGTTGCACCTCGACCAACAACTGGGTCTCTGGGAGGAACTGCTCTCCGCGCCCGATCGAAAGTACCCTGGAGAAATCCTCCCACAGCCTCATTCCTAGATCCAATCTTTGTCGATGAATTCTTACGCTTAGTCGAGTAGACGAGTGTTTAGGAACCAATAAAACGAAGTGCTACCCATCGCTCGTGCCCAACTTGCCACTATCGAACAGTCCTTTCCATTGTTGAGAGCCGCCTGACCATCCCTCTTGGCGCGCGTCGCCCTCTCCAGACGCACGGTCAGCGGACATGTCATGCAAGGCGTCAGGTATCTGAGCACCGATCTCCCATTGCTGGCTCCATTGCAAATAAATTTGCGAGTTTGCTGGCTCCATGAGAACTTCTCAAAACCACAATACTGGCCACTGAATTTCGACCCAGGTTACCTCCTGTGTCACATTGAGTCCATATATGATTACGATCGTGCCAGCTAAGGCGATCGCGGCAATGTCTCCCCCCAGGTCGCCCTTTCAAAACGGTTGCATTTCTTCTGGCACGTATCTGGGCCACCTGTCAGATCTTGAGCCGTCTCTTGAGTTCCCGACGGCCTATCTACGTCATTTTGGAACATCTCGTCGGTTTCGCAGGTCCCTCCGAAGCTATGACTCGGTACTCGCCCAATTTACAACGCTTCAGTCTAGCTTTGACTGCAACTCAATGGCTGCCAGAGTTCGCAACGTACCGCTACGGTCTCGACTACTGGAATGAGAACAGGCCATATATCGGGACCCGACGACACGTACCGCCAGACGCCACGGGCATCGGTCTGTCCATGCCGAATCCTCAGGATACAGATGACACAGATATCGCCTTTTTCATGCAGGATCCCGAGGACGCAGACGACCTGACTTTGTCGCCAGAAGCCCAAAGGGTTGTGGATGTTTACAGAGGCAAGACCGGGCAGTCCATGCGACCAGACGAAGCAGAGGATGAAAAATGTCCTTACGTCGCTTGGTTGGATGAACGCGCCTGTGAAAATGCGGTCTCCAGCTCAAGAAAATATCGGGGGCCGCTCACATCACATGACCTTGGTCGGGAGTTGCAGAAACCCGTAAGGAAATCTTCTACGTCTCACTTCTCTACGTCTCACATCATTGGCTGAGAGCATCGCTGATATGCAGTACATAAGCGGTATCGTCAGAGGAAAGGACGCGTGAGACTTCGTTCTGGGGTCGCCGGCGACTCGAATTCCTCGCTTGGTGGTCCGATTGAGCCTGATGCCGATAGACGACTGATATTCATCACCGATTTGAACAGCCCAAGCATTCATGCACTCATCAGCACCGCTTCGACAACTCAAGCCTCTGCTCTCCGCGACGCTCTTGCCAAGCACCTTGCCTTCGAACCTTTGATCGAGGTGAGAATCGAAGTATGTATTCGTGTCACTAGTCTCATCAACCACTGGCTAAAAGCCCACTGGCTGAGTTTTCGTGCAGACGCATGGACCGTCGAGGTTCGAACTATGCTTTCATTTGCCTGTTCTTCTCTGCAGGGCCTCTGAAACAATAGATCACCGAAGGCATGAAAATGGGAAGCCTTTGAGGCGTACATCGGACATATCGTTCCTAAATTTGGAGCCCGGACGTCCTAAAGAGTTCCTGTACGAAGCCGAGGTCTCCTGTGTCATCGCTGGGCTACACGACCATAGTTGGATTGCCTATTGCTTTGTTGATACGTACTTCGACAGCAGCAACGAGCGGAGAGAAACTATCTACGAGTATCACAAGGACAAAGTCGCCGAGGCTGGGATGAACATGGATCCGCTTACATATGGTAATTGTGACGCCGAAGACCCGATATGGGACCCCAGGTTGTATTTCCTAGAGGTGTGCTTTCAACGCACAGCCCCGACGGTACGGGAATGGAAGCACCTCGTTGGCAAGGTAGAGGGGAGTTTTAGGAACTATGATCAGGTACGTCATTTCTACATGTTACCTTGGTCAGACACTACAAAAGCACATGCGGTTCCTGGGTGATACGAGAGGCTGAGGTTAGATGGACAAAGCCGGTGTGTGTGTTGATACAGCGAGAACGCGGGCAGGGTTGAAAGACGTGAGAAGTGTTTGAGCTTGCATTGATTAATGTCGTCAATAGACCTACCGCTCTACACTGCCCCTTCGAGCGTCCTTCGATTGGGTGACAAAGTTCATGTGCCTCTCAGCACAGTTGCAGGAAGTCCTGGTCAAGATTGTCGACATGTGCGATAACTTTTGCTCAACGTACCCTGCTATCTTCGAGCACGTCCCCCATGAATACGAGAAACTGTTGAACAAAATGCATGAGTTCAGGACTTTGAAAAGGAGATTTGGTTTTCTGAGTGATCGCTGCGCCAAAGAGGCTCACATTGTGAGTCCAACTCCTCAGCAAAATTCGTCGCTCCTTTGTGGAAATGTATGTTGAGTCCCCTCGCTAACAGTTTCAATGAAACCCACAGCTTGAGCTGAAGCTCATTGACGAGGCACTCAGGGAGAGTAGAGGCCAGAGTCAGCTAGCGATGGACAACAAGCGGTTCTCTTTGGTGATGTTGGTAAGTCCTGATCTGACATTGACACATTTGGTCGCCGTTCGCCAGCCAATCTAATGAAGTTCGTCTAGCTCTACATTTCCCCGATTGCACTGGCTCAAGGCATTTTCTCGACGGAAAAACCCATCGTCCCATTAGTTCGCCCTACGTTTCCATGGTTTGCAGGGTTGATTCTAATATTCAGTGTTGGAGGGTTCATCGTGCACACCGCACTGTTCTGGGTTCAGTGGGGAACGTTCCTGCACTTCTTACACGCCTGTGGCCCCGACCTGATGGTCCTGCCACGGATCCGCCGACGGATGCGGAAATCTCAAGACATTGAAGGTACGGGCGCCGACATGCCCGATGGAGTGGCGCAGTCTGATGCTCAGATAGTCAGTTCATCGGATACCCAAAACAGCCCCGTCACATCACCCAAGCTTGGTGTTATCCAACCACAATAATCCTAGATATTGCAAACAAATCCCGACCAAACAAGATCACCTCTAAGAGCCCCTCTACCAGCTGACCTCGAGTGCGTTCATTCCTACCCGGTCAATGCTTCCGTAGTCGAGTGCTCCTAATCAAGCATCCGTAGACCTGCCCTCACATACCATTCATAAGTAGTCGCGAACTCAACAACAAAACCCGTTCACGCGAATGCCTGCAAATAGTCCTTGAGAAATTTCAATACGCAAAGAAGGCACGAAAATTATCAGTGGTCGTACAAAAACAACCAATCCTGCGCGGTCTAGACCGGAGATGGTGGCGCTGATTTACTCAGGCGGACCAGATCCACCGAGTATTGTAAAACCAATTGGCTGGGAACCTATCAGAAGCGTTTGTACTTGCAGTGGGTCGTGCCACCACCATAGAGAGAGACTTTTAAGTCAATTTCCACCTCATGTGCCTCGTACCGATCAACGATGTCATCTTAAAGCGTCCCCATTGAAAGCGTGTTTCCTACAGGGAGGGAATTATCTCCCTTATCCAACCATCCCAATGCTAGTTCTCAGGCCACATAGGAGGAACCCTTTTTTCCAGAACAAGTCAGCGGTCGAAGAACTTTCAACTTTGCAATGGATGCTTCTCGGCGACTTACCGGATTTCGACAACAGCAGATTTACCAGCCTTCACGACGCTGACCGCTTCTTTGAGGACAGCGTCGACTTCGTGGATCTCCTTAATGCTGCCGCCCCAGACATTCCCTGCGGCAGCGGCTATTCCCACGTAATCTGGAGACGGTTCGAAGGAGATGTTGACATCTAGATTCCGAGACGGTTCGTGTGGGTCAGTCTTATCTCGCGATAGGAGGTAGGGAATGGCTTTTCATCTGAAGGAACCGAAGGACTCACCTTTTCTATTATGTTGAGAAGTATACCCGTTTTTGTGGACCAGTAGAGCCGACACCTTGGGCGCATTCCAACCGCCGTTGTTGAGAACGATGAGTAAAATAGGAATGTCGTAGCGTTTCGCGATCCAAAATGTGCTTTCCATCTGTGAGAATAGGAAAGTTCCATCTCCAACACTGTACACATACATTAGACACAGATTAATAGTTAGAGAAACGCCTCTTGTTTCAGGCTCACTCACACTGCACAGACAAAGTCCTGAGGCTTTGCAAGCTTGACACCTAGAGCAGCGCCTCCAAGCCATCCTAGCCCACCGGCGCCGGTTCCGAACAGTGTTCCAGGCTGTAGTTCTGGTTAGAATGGCCCCGGTGAAGAAAAGAGGGACGTATAGACCTTTGTAAAATTGAAATGATGGATTACAGGGATGGCATTCGTCACTGCTTCGATGACGAGGGTGGTCTGCTCTGGAAGAAAGTCTCGAAGGCGGGACATCGCATATGGAACCCGGACAATCCCATCGTCAGGCGGAGCCTCCGCCAACTGAAGATTACCCCGCCACTTCTGATATCGCTCGCCTCGGGCTTTGAAGAGTTCGGCGTGCTGCGAAGAGTCCAGATTCTGTCCATCGAGGAAGGAATTAAGTTGTTGCAGGGCATGTTCACAGCTGACTTTGTATCTTCGGTGTGCGTTGATGTAGAAAACTGGATCCTGGTCAGTACAGTCCCCGTATTGCTTTCGATGGATACATATACGTACGTTGCATCTGGAGCTTTAGTGGATCAACATCAAGGTGAAAGATCTTCGCATCTATATATAATATCAGCAACACGGCCGAGCCAAAACCGAGCGGGGTTGGGTGCTAAGAAACGCACTTTCAGAGGGTTTGCCCGAAGTTGGAACCCAAGGCACATCACAGTCGAGAACGAGGATGACATCGGCTTCTGCCACCAGAGGATGAGTGCTTATTGTAACGCCTCTGTACGCCTCATGGCTACTACTCATGCAGACATCTGAGCCAACAGTTTCAAGGACTTCGATCGGTAGCCTGTCGCAAAGGGCTTCAAGTAGTGGCGGAGCTCGTGTGTTTCGGCCGAGATATCCAGTGATCACCAACGGCCGTGTAGCGTTTATTAAGCTGGTCGCAATGTATTCAACCTCTGCCTATAGTCAGCACGATGGTATAGGGTTCGAAAGAGCCCGGGATACTTGCCGGAATTCGGGAGTGTGGTTGGGATTGTAGCTCCCCACCTCTCCTGATCGATCTCTAGCCTGTTAACAGTCTGGAGGAGAGTTGTTAATATGATATGGCCCTTATTGGGTGTTTCTGACCGACCTGCTCTAGTGCTTCGCGCGAAGCGGTCAAATATGCAGGGCCTTTGGGATCCGACGTCGCGATTTGAAGTGCCCGATTGACGAGCTGTTTAACATTATGGCCGACTCTGATTTCCCCCGTGTACCTGCAATACTGTCGAACGATCGCCGCCTGGTCTGGAACATCTTGCAACCAGTGAATAAATCTGCCGCCGTCGTCGCCGTCAGCATATGGCATTCACCAGCAACAGATCACCTCGTACTCGGTCCGAGAACCTAGCATTTCACCTTCTTGGGTGACTGGGCTCAGTCCGGCGAACATCAGGACTGGTACACGAGCAACGGATGCATTGTGGATCGATTGTCCCATCGCAAGAGTGCCACAATCCACATGCACAATCACACATTGCTGGAGATAGGATTAGACAGAACCCGATCACAGATATGGACAAGGCATTCATAACGTACAGGGATTCCAGTAACCTGTCCAAACCCCAGAGCCATTGATAGACCAACCATTTCTGACGGACAAGTGATGATAGTGGGAATGCGCCGGCTATGGTCTGAGAGTGCGTCAGCGCCGTCCACTGGGTGTCATAGCGTGCTCAGTTAATACCTGTTTTCGCCGCCGCCATAGCCTCCAGGATTGCTGGATGATCGCTCCCTCTAAGGACATGGCGTCAGTGTTCACGAATCGCAGAGTCGACAAGATCTCGAAACATACAAGTTTACGAAACAATATCGTGTACCCGCATCATCTATTGGATATCAGTCGAGATATCAAAGGGGTTTCAGCAACACTGGGTAAGACTCACAGAGCGCCTCAAAAAAGTTCCCTGCAGTAGTGGTGGTGGTAACAGTATTTCCTGTCGACCCATTCTGCCCGTTTACTGCAGCTGTCTGAGCTTCGCCGGTGTCGAATGCCATTGCGACTATTGGGTAAGATTTCAGAATGATCGTCTCAGCAAGTCAATGAAAGTCAGAGAATGAATGGTCTTCTTGATCGAGCCATGGTTTTCAGCAGCTCTGTGAGGAATGGTTCCGCCTATTAGTACAGTGTGGGGTTATCCCACCAGCTTGGGACTGACCTGAGGAATCATGGTCGTTTTCTTGGGGATCAAATTAGGAATTGCCGAAGGCGTTAACCGGAGCCCCTCCGGCATACGCGGAGGGAGCATCTGCGAAACATGGAGCACCCGCGCGATGTGGCCTTCCAAAGTATGGAGAAGCCAGGATGGAAAGAAACAGACACACACGCGCACACGCACTCCTGACTACTATAGGAGTTGAACTTCCCTTCGATACATATGACCCGGTCTTCATCCCGCCCAGTGCTGGAGTGCACCCCAGCGTTTGATTAAGCCGCAATGTAAGGTTAATTTCTGTGCATCGCATTGGACGAATGAGATCCCGAGCCTACAATGATGGTGAGCCGAACGTGTCACCTACGAATCCCGCATACAGACACTGGCAGAGCCCTGATGGTAGGTACTGTAAGCAGACTCACCGGTTAGAGGGCACCTAGAGGGGGAGGGCCACCCAGTGGGGAGGGGCACCCCGAGGCCTAGGCCCCCTTAAGAGATGGCTCAGCTTACAATATCCTCCCCGCGTCGCTCACGTACCAAATATCAACAAGCTCATAATTTGATCTCCCTTCAGTTTCGCCCATCTTGGATCGCCAAATTGCTTGTCGGCGTCGATGCATCCTCATGATGTTTGTCCGCCGGCCGAAGCTGGATCGATAGAGGCGGGAGGGGGAATGACAGAAGCCTAAGAGAAAAGGTGCTATTATGACTCGGCCCACTGGACACACAGAGAGAAGATGTGTAAGTTCAGTTTGATGGTAATTTGAAGCATGAAGAGAAATCCACCCTGATGAAAGTAAATTCGTTCTATGATAGATGCTCGCTCTCTGGGGGAATGTTTCTTGACGAGCGTGAAGAAACATCAGAGTCCACTTCAATATTTCGACAACAGAGCATGCAATCATCGCGCGGAATATGCTAAATTCGTTCACCAGTTCATCCTGTTCATCCTGTCTTCGACGCCTTGATGACGTCCTGCCTCGTATATCTCATCCAGTGGAGCCTAATGGGTGTTGACCAGCTCCTTGCTCAGCTTCTAACCCCCAGACGGATCGAGAGCACGCCTTATCTCTGCATATCAAAGGAGCCTGTGGCAAGGATGTGTAGGCCCCAAAGTCCATTGGACGCGTTCCATCCCGCACAGCCGGGTATCTGCATCCATCCAACGGTAAGCCATTTCTGGAGAAAGCGGCACGGCGAATGGCAGCTGCCTGGTCTGCCCCTCTTCGCAGTCGCTCGTATCTTAACCCAACCACAACTCGTCTGCCTCAGCAACCTGGCGTGACTTCAGAACTCGAAAAGACCGAACTTCTTTCCAGCTGCTTTCATCTCTCTGCAATCTCTACCATCGCAGTCTGCATCCGCAACTTTGCAAAGGACTATCTACGTTGCGGCGGCAAGCCCTCGACCTTGAGTCGAATTACCATACTACTCAGACAATGACCAAACTGAAACAGTACCCGCTACGAGGTTACGACACTTTCGAAGAAGGATCCCCCTCTGACCCAAGAAACGCATCGAGTCATACTCCCATCTCGTATCAACGCGAGGATTCAGATAAATCCAGATCTGCTGCCGTGGAGGCTCAACGGCTAGGCTCCATGGGCTCCTGGGCAGACCAATTTAGTGGAGGCACGCCGGCGACGAACATGACGCCACCAGCGTCAACGGTGAATGGCGATGAAGAGACCGCTCAAAATATCCAATATCCTCGACTACTGCACGATATGGATCCTTCCGACCCGCCACCAGTTTATACGCCAGAAGCCAGTACAGCTGGCACGACGGGGGCACCTTCATCTCCCGTAGCCACAAGGGTAGCCCCGGTATTTCTGCCTGTAAGCACACCTGTGAACGACGATTCTCCCTACAGCCCTTCGCGATCTGGATCACAATCACAAGCCCAGCATCAGCCATATGAGAGTGATGACAATATAGAGGACGATCCTTCTGCCTCGCTTTTACCCGAACCTGTTCAGTACCCATACCAGCAAACCCCCAGCCAGACCCCTTCTCCCTCCGTGTCGCCCAAAACCCCCAGATCTTGGAAGAAGAGATGGTGTGTACCACGACACTCTCATCGAGGTCATGCATATCGGCGTCTGGACGGTAAAAGTAGAACTCGCCGCTTCAAGCGCACTTGTTGGATTATCTGTGCTCTACTACTGTGCCTCCTGGTGATGCTTCCGGACTTGTGCAAATCATCCTCTGATGTAATGACCTTCCATTTCGCTTTTTGTTATCCTTGGAGATCACCTCAGCTAACAGCGCCTGTCTGCACGTAGAATGGCCACACACAACTCCCAAATCTAGGTCCCAAACCAAATGATCAATTCCCACCATCTCGACGAGAACACCGCCAACACGAGACCTCACATTCAATAACCGGCACCTATCAACTCTACGACCTCCTTGATCTATCCACGTCGTCTGGGAGCATCTCAATCACAGTAGACGTCCAACCAGGAGACAAACCCGCCGTTCTCCGATTATCGGCCAAATCCGGGTCCGTCAATGTCCAAATGGTGCCCGCCTCAGGTGGAGGCGGTTGGTTCTTCTGGAAGAAACCCAAACCCAAGCCCGGTGACGACTTGGAAGAAAAGGTGAACAATCTAGGCAGGGTGTTCCAAACAGAAATCTCAACGAGGTCCGGGAGCGTGAGCGGGGCTGTCGTTCATGGCAATGGCGGCAGTACATCCATCTCGACCAGCTCTGGGAGCATAAGCATCTCCATACACCCAGTTGGAGTTTCCGGAACCGATCCTCTGTCCACCTTGAAGACTACTGCAGGTTCCGGGAGCCAGAATATCAGGATCCTCAGTCCAAGTTCCGTCCCTGGCTATCGGACAACCACATCCGCGATCCGGGCACTGAGGGCATCCCATACGACCACCGGATCAGGTAGCATATCAGCCATATATCCGGAAGAGTGGACAGGGCAGCTGCACGTGGCCCTAAGGGGTAGCGGTAGCATCCAAGCCAGAGGCAGCGGCCTCCAAGTCCAGCAACAAGGCCGCCACGAGCTGTTCGGCTGGAAAGGCGATGACGCTGAGCATGGAGCGTCCATCGACATCACCGAGATGGGCAGTGGCAGCGTCCATTTCCAATGCTGAGCGCGGTACGGTGTACGGTGTGCGGTGTGCGGTGTGCGGTGTGCGGTGTGCGGTGTGCCTCGCTAGAACATGTATCTGTACCTTCCCCTTTTTTGAGGGGGGTTCCTCTTCACGTTATCCACATTCGTTATGATAAGGGTTCAAGGCGCAATAATAATGCGCTGCCATGTATTCAATGACATGGATCTTGAGATAGTATACGAGGAATATTGGAAACTGGGGAAGCGGTGAAATTCGTCAGATACTTCCCAAGCCCTCTACTGTGGAAGGCTATTGGAAGTGATACTAAAAGCCGCGAAGCAGAGTCAAGGGTCTCTCTCCCAGATGCTTTAACTACAATGCCCCCTTCCACTCTTCCGCCATCTGGGTGAGAGTTATACCCCCCCCTGTAATTGTACCCAGCGCATAGTATTTAATTTCGCCCACTTGGCGATTTGGGAGCAAATGGCACAGCCAGCGGATATTCGCATCACTAGGTAAGGGGGTGATGTGTGGGATGTCTACCTCTAGCGAGGCGTGAGGGCCAAGGGGCACTGTCCCTATTCCAGAATCCCGTTTGGGGTCTTGGCTGGACAGGCGCGGTCAGTCCTCTCTTCATCTCATGTAAAATAAATGCCTTGTGAGGCGATTCGTCAGAAGAAATGTAGGAGAAGAACACTGCCTGCAGACCAGAAAACCATTTATTTCACCCAACGACGCTCTACCATCTTCCCATCTTCTCCTCTCCTTTATCGCTGGGTAATTTCGCAGCGATATTTCTCTCACGTCCCCAAAGATATTCTCCGTATGATCTAGCTTGAAGATCTCCAGAGTTGGCAGTGCTTGCGATGGGCGGAGGCTAGGGTCTGTTTGTCCCCATCCTATCTCTCCTTCTTCAACAGGGATGTTGTGCTGAACGAGACTCTCAAGTACCAAACTCCAGACTGTCCCGTCTGTATTCATAGATTGACGACGACTCGGTTCACTCTTTTCGTCGCTTGACAATGAACGTGTCAAGGCGACGCTCCCGGTTTCATGGTTAATCGTCTTTGAAGCCATTGAAAACTGGAGTAAAGGACTTAGTATCCTGACACTTACAGGATTTCATGTTCCTCCTAAGGCGGACTTCGCCTATTATTCGGGTAAGTTGGAAATCCACAAAGCTGGTTTCCAGGAGATATTGATTTTCCCGACACCGTATGGCCTTGATAGGGCGAATGGGCGAATTGCTCGCAGGTACATTGCAGAACTTGCACCCCCACCACATACATTGAATAGTCTTCTGCTCAAATGAAACACGTTGGAACGGACAGGGCTCACTTGTGAACATAACGTCCAACGCCCCCAACTGACTCGCTTTTGGCGTAAGCCTTTGGTGGATGTTGCATCTCCACCTTGGGAGTAGATCTCAAGTGTTCTTCGCTTCCATTTACACTTTGGCCGGTCACCCATTGATCCTTGTTTCCATTCTCGTCAAGATATGTCGGTCTGAAGGCTTCGTCATTGGCCCCACTACTCAATCTCCATTTGTCATCCTTGTTGAAGCTGGCAAGGTTGAATGGACCGCTGATATTGGGTGTTTTGCGCCCAGCACTAATGTAGTCCGGATTCGGGCGAGGGGTCTTGACGCTCGAGAGTCCAAGTTTTGCGTTTACTATATGGACAAGAGGGCGGAGGCAGGCCAAGCTACCGGCGGTGATAGCGAGGCCGAGTTCAATATCGGACCAGACTGCAATATTCACAGTGGCCCCTATGAAGCATTAGTCAATGATGTAGAAGTGGCTGCAGTCTTTGGAACTTACACAGGAAGTCAGGGTCTGCAAAATCTCGGACATAGGCCATTCGTACGAGAACGGCGATCGCGGCACTGCAAGAGCGTGAGTGAAGAGTCAATAGGATGGGAGATATCAAACGAACACACAGCCCATCCCCAGAATCGGAATGAGAATAATCTTCACTCTTCTGTCCATTTGGAGCTTCCATACTAAAAAAACGGGCAGAAGCCCAAAAGTGAAGTCGCAAATGGCGTTGACCACACTGTAGAAATAGGTCAAACCAATGATGACATCCATACTGAGACAATGGCCATCCTGGGCTCGATTCCAGAAATACGAAACGGGGGAGCATTCGAAAACGGTTACGAAAAGAAAAACGATGCCAACGACCACGGTCGTACAGACGACGCTGTAAATGACCTGGCGTTGGATACGGGCGACAGCAACGCGCAGTAAGAAGAAGCCGATCGATGTTTTGGCGAAGATCATGGTGAGCGAGTAGGCTAGGTAGCACAGCCACCAGTACTGGGGGCTTGTAAGTCAAGTCAGGAGATTATGTCGATAGCAAACTCACCCGTAGAGCTTTCATACTATCCTCAGGTTCGAGGTCGGAAAAATGCCGTCCAGTGCCATAGTGCACTCCGGCGATGACGCAGGTCGAAAACATGATATAGCATAACTGCTCAATGCCGTCAGTAGAAGCTCGAATCAACTCGAAGATTATTGTAAGGCTTACGGCGGCGGCTACCATCAGCCAGTCATCGAGTCCAAACCATTTGACGAGTCTCGCCCTTGTATAGCATCGTACCGCGGTCGAGAAAACTGCACAAGCCAGGAATACCGCACAGATATTGCGTAGGCGAGGTCCTCGATCTTCAACCATATTGAAGGCGTGAAATGTTGTATGGGCGTGTGTTATTTTTTGTGGCTCTCGAAAGAACAAGTCTTTCGCAATAGCCAGTTGGTAGGGAGTACGGGAGATATCTGGAGCGTTTGACAGCGTCACAATCTCGAACCTCACTTGATATAATTGTTTCATCCGAGGTTGGAACCTGCCACTTTAAGAGCCCCTGAAACTCCATATGAAATCCTGGGCTCGAAACGGCTGAGAGGTAACGGCCCGAATCTAAAAAGATTTCCATAGCGATCACGTAGGGACTAGATCCAGCGATGATGAAGATGCATCCATGATTTTCGGACTACAGTCCCATTGTAGCAGCGACCAGGGTATACCGGTAAGGATTAGTTCTTTGCAAAAACCCAAATAAGAAGCTGTGTGGGTCAACATTTCGTAACAGATAGTGAAATTTTTGAGTTCGTCCTGTTTGGCCTTGACCCCGGGAATTGTGCGCAAAAGGCCTGATGGAGTTCAATAAACTTTCAACTCTACCTGCCTAGGTGCGTCTGTTTGGGGCGAGACTCCCAGCCGTTGTGGTCTGTGTGTGAACGGGGTCGTACACTTGATAGTCACGAGCTCTGGATCACAAACCGTTAAAGCACAAATGGAGGTACGCTTCATCGCAGACATTCGTCTCCACACTTCTAGATGGCTCATAATCTCATAGCATCTCTAGAATTCCACCTATGCGGCCTCAAGTCGTGGAAAAGCACATGTGAGATGCCGACGCTGAAGAAGTCTGTTGTGAGGTGTGGTCTGAAGTCCGAGGTTGGCTTGTTGAAAACGCCTGCTTACCCAACGTCAAAACTTTCGGCCCCAGGTTCGAATTGGGAAGGACGACCGAACCGACACGAGGCAGGCGTCGATCAGGCACGAACCGCCAGACGCGCCACCGCAGTTTTCTCGGTCGCTTTCTTGACTCGGTAGACAGAGATCGAATGTCGACTTAAGCTCTTCAACTCTCGCCTCGCGGCAGCGAGCGTGTTTCACGTTTCTTCCTTTAGCCTCGCAGGGCTTAGAAAGGTGGTGCAGAGGGGGAAAGGCCATTGATGGTTCACCAAAGCCATCCGGCCTGGAAGGCGAATGTCACATGCCTTCGTTTTCTCTTGCTTGTAGACCCTGCTGTCCGAAGCTGCATTTGAAAATCTACGTAACCCAACTATGGAGTACCGTGTCAACTTGCGGCACTCGGGATAAGCCTCGGTAAGGGCCTGCCCTGCTGCGCAGCAGCTCCTCATGGTAGCCCACGAGACTAATTGTCCGGGCCATAGAGGATGGGCTAACTCAGCCGAATGTCGGGTTCAATAGACCCCGTGTTGCATAATTGGCGGCCGCAAAGTCAGAGTAATGGAGATATTCGGTTATCGCAGGTCTTCGAACTTTCCTCCTAGTTGAGCCTGGTGCCAGGGGGATGGAGCTGATCGACAGGAAATCCCCGTTAACCCTGACACCATCCCGGTAAAGGTAACGATCATACCATCTTTAGCATTCCTTTCTTTCCCATCTCCCTTTCAGTCCATTTCCACAACCTTTTCGCTAGCTTCCCATTTACAGCCTGCTTGCTTGGCTTCTTCTCCACCGCCACAGGAATGAAATACTTCCCCGAGTGCTCCAGCAGCACATCCTCTCCGGCAAATGCCCACAAAGAGTTATAGCTGCCTTGTTCTGGAGTGATGTAGGTACCCAAACACCTCAAAATCGGAGTGAGGGTCGATTGTCCGAGCGTTTTGATATTGAGCTGTGTATCGACATTGCCGGGATGTAAGGATATGCACCATATTTTGGTGTCATTGTTTGAGGTGGCGTAGCGTTCATGCGATGATCTTGCATAAAGGATATTTCCGAGCTTACTCTGTGCGTACCTCCGGAAGGTGAATTTATCCGTCAGACTCACGTCCTCAAATGTTATCCCTTCTTTTAGGGTTGCGGCGTGTCCCATGGAACTGACATTGACGATTCGAACTGTGCCCTCGGTGGTGGATCGAGCAGTGGTCTCGAGCAATGGAAGGAGGTGGTATGTCAGGAGCCAATGCGAGAGATAATTCGTTTGGAATTGAGATTCATAGCCATCCCCGCTTAGTAGGTAAGGGGTCGCCATGATACCAGCAGAGTTGACTAGTCCATGCAATTGAGTGCATTCCGAGCGAATTCTGCTCGCTGCAGCAACAACAGATTTTAAAGACATCAGGTCCATGACAAGGAGATGAAGCTGTGGCTGATTTGACAGATTCAGCCCTGAGATAGCTGTCTTGATTTTGGCGATCGCACCAAGACCTTTCTCTTCTGACCAGGAGGCCAGATAGACTGACGCACCACGCAGGGCGAGGTGATACGCTGGCTAATATCTAATACCAGTATTGCCTCCGGTTACCAGGTATGTCCTACCATAAAGAGCAGGTAGTCGGTCGGGAGACCATTTGAGAGGCGCCATGAGCAGTTTTCTCAACAATCTGCGAGACTAAAGGCAAGGAGTGAAAGGTTTGACTTGGATGAGGGAATTGCGGTTGAGGCGTGCGGTCTTGAAATCTATGTTGACCAGCTCAGAGCTCATGTTTATATAAACCCCCAACTCGTTCAAGTAACCTACCTTTTTGTCCCATCTTCATTTCACGATCCTGTCGCTGTGTTGATGTCCCAAAGGCAATCCCAGAATTGACGCTACGAGGTTGGGTTCATGTATGTGGATGACAGCAAGCACTAAGCATCATTAATACTGTGGCAGACTTTATCTCGCATCAAAGTTGATCCGCCCCGGATGACAAAGCCGAGGTCTTTCTGGAGTTTAGAAAGCTCCACCATGTCAGCGACCTGCATGAAAGCCGAAGGTGCCCTGGTTTAGCCCTCAGCGCCGGCCCTACTCATTCTTTTCTCCGTATTAAACCGCCAATGATCAACATCATTGGGTTGCCGGAAAGCAGCCTGGTGATACCGTTTCAAAAAGATGGTCTCTCAGTACACTAGACACCAAGGCGGAGTGTCAGCGACCTACGGAGTTTAAGAGCGTCCATGCATTCTCCTTCTCTTCCAGATTCACATCTTCTCACAATTTCCAGAGCCTGAGCGCCACCATTTCGTAGGAACGTATGAGAATGGCAAATCCCGAGATCAAGGCCGAGTTGAGGCTCCATCAAGATGTCCACTCGCTGGAGGAGGAATGGTCTGGGATAACCGACCCAGTGATCCGGCGAAAGCTTCAGAATAGACTCAACCAAAGAGCAGCCCGTAAGTCAATTCTGATGATTGACCCGTCCCTCAATCGGCTGCAAGGTGCTGACCTGACGACTAGGACGGCGCAAGGCTGGCAAAATGGCACAGACCAATGCACTCCGGATCGCAGGATCTCCAGGTGGCCGTGAGAACGTGCAGTCTATGGTCAAGCCTACCTTTCACGACGGCTTTAGGCTCAGTGACCTCGCTAGACTGCGAACTTTTACGCTCATGTCTGCAGAGTGGACAGTTGCAGAGGAACGCTTTAATAAGTCCGGCAAGTCAGCATTCGTTTCGATCCGCAACAAGGCCTCATGTCAGCGGTGGTATGAGATCATGCTGGAGGGTCGCTTAGTCGAGATCAACGATATGGCGGCCCGGATTCAGGTCGAGCATGACAGCTCATGGGCCTATCCGCTACCGGCCGATCATCTCATTTCACTGGTGTACTACAATGTTTACCGTGCCTTGCTTCAGAACATCGAGCTGCTTGGACTAGACTTGAACTTGATGTTCACCGATGATTATCCATCACCCTTTACTCCACTCTCTCCGTCAGCGACGTCAGCCATTCGCCGCCTACCGATGTCACTAGAGCCAACAGACTTGCAGAAAGCCATAGCTCACCATCCTCAATGGGATATCGTACCGGATCCTGTGATTAGGGACAACATCCTCCGCTATGGCGAGGAAAATATCAACGACGTCGAGTTATGTCTCGATATGGTAGGAGGTAATGATTATACCAGCCTCAGCGGTGACTCGCAGGAGAAGACAGGCTTGATCATTTGGGGTGAGCCATGGGACCTCGAGGGCTGGGAAGTCACCGAAGGATTTGCAAGGAAATGGGGTTGGATGTTGAGGAACGCGCCTATCATCAATAGTACAAACAGATGGAGAATCACAAGAGGCGAAGACCCTCTGGACTTTGACAGGATCTTGTGGCTTGAATAAGTCACGTCGGCGCCAGACATGTGGTGGTTCGGAAGAGGAGATACCATATCATCAAGGCAATGGCGGCGTCAGGCGTGCAGCATTTTGGTTTGTGTCAGCACGGTCAAGAGATTAGTTGTTTTGAATTCCATGATTGCAAAGATCTCCACGCAAAGGATCCTGAGCCGAGTTCTGAGCCTCCCGCACCTGATGCACCAAGGGGTTGTATTGAGGCATCTCACACTACGAGTAAAGAGACATCGACTGTCACCGCCACACAGCCCTTCCAAATGCCGACACCGATATCACCCCCGATTATTAATAAAATATATAGAACGGCATGCATGCTCAAAGCAGGCCCGTCGTTGTCTCCTGCAGACCCCACCCTACGTCCGTGGCCTGATTGGCTCCCGAACTTGATGCAGGTCCCCGGTACAGCCAACCTGGGCTCCTAACTCGTAAGAACTAACAGATGTGAACATCGTACACGTCTATGCAGAGGGATATTTGCTTGTATACCCAAACCCTAATCAGAAACTAATTGATACGATCAATAGCAACTAAAATTTATTGGTTACGAGATCTTCAGCTGCTGTCTTGTTTACTAAACACATGCAGAGAGAGAAAGCCAGCCGCGGCATGAAAGTCATTACGGACGAAGGATGGGGTATGAAGACTAATCATCCCACAACAAGAAAGCATATACAACTCACGACCGCCACCAACCTGTAAGTCGAGAAGCGTCTTCATAATCGATGTACCCCCTGTTTGAATCTACAATGTCTGAACACAAAACCTCGTATATCTTCGTGGTGGGCGGCACCGGAGCCCAAGGCATCCCAGTGATCCGCGGGCTGGTCAAGGACAAAAAATACAAAGTCCGAGCTCTCACGCGGGACGTCAACTCGAAAAGGGCCAAAGACCTCGTCGCTTTGGGCAATGTCGAATTAATCGAGGGCACGTTCGCCAGTGAAGCCGACCTGCGCAGGGGATTCCACGGCTGTGATGGAGCGTTTGTCAATATTGACGGCTTCAATTGTGGTGAGAAAACTGAGATTTACTGGGCGATCCGTAGCTATGAGCTGGCGCTGGAGGAGGGAATCAAGTTCTTTGTTTACGGGAATCTGGATTATGTGTATAAAAAGAGTGGGTATGATCCGAAGTTCAGAACGGGCCATTATGACGGTAAGGGGAGGGTGGCAGAGTGGATTCTTGCTCAGAATAAGGAAAATCGGGACAGGATGGGGGCTGCGGTTTTCACGACAGGCCCTTATATCGAAATGTCGATATCGATGGCGACGATCTTTACACCGACGGTTGAGGATGGAGTGGTGACGTGGCGGGTTCCTCTGGGCCAAGGGGCAGTCGTCCATGTGGCGCTGGACGACTGTGAGCACTATGCACGGTGGTTGTTTGATAACACGAAGCGTTCAAATGGATTGGATCTGGAGGTCGCGATTGATCACATCCCCTACGCTGAGTTGGCTGCTGCCTTCGAGAAGGTCTCCGGGCATCCGGCTCGATATATCGACACTGAACTTGATACCTACTGGACAACAGGGAACGTAGCTGCTGCTGCAAACACCGGAGGCGGGTACAACTCCGACCCAAATGACCCTGCGTTCATGACATTCCGACAGAATTTCACCGGTTTCTTCAACATGTGGAAGTATTCTGGTGGCAACAGTGGGGTGATTCAACGGGATTATAAGCTTTTGGATGAGATCCATCCCACCAGGATCAGGAGTGCCGAGGAATTCTTCCGCAGAGAAGATGCCAAAGGGAAAGGACTTGGACTGGGAAGTCTCTGGGACCGTGTCCAGAAGAAGAACCTGAAGCCTATCCTCAAAATTGGCGAAGATAGAAGAAAAGGTAGATTGTGAGACGAGAGACGAATGAAAGTAGTGAACCACGAGATCTGTAGCTCGTACCACGAGTTGATCTCTCTCTTGCCCGTTTCCAGGTCTCATCTGTACGGGTTCGTCATGATTGTCAGCTCAGGATTTGAGCTTAGTGGAAGTAACTTGTCGCCGAAATGGTAGAAGATACTATGTTGGCAGGATGGGCGTTGCAGTAGTAGGATGATGTGATCGTAGTGTGATTATCAAAATAGGTGAATGCATACTAAGTACGGAGTACTCCATACTGGTACCTAAGAAGAGGAAGGCAGCTAGTAGCACCTATTAATGACTGTGGGCAGGGAGTATTAACTATTTTCTCGCCGTTTAGCCCCCCCTCGGCGCCCCTAGCGAATCCGGTCTGGGGCTGGATAGGCTGCACAAGGCTTAAGGCGAGAGGGTGCCCTTCGGCTCTGTATTCGCCAAGTGTTAGGGGAAGAACGGGGGTGCACGGCAGGATCCTCAGTGGCCAAACATCTGTGGCGCAGCTGCTAGCGATGACGCGCTTAAAGACTTGCTCCACGCCGAGGGCCAAAATTAACCAGGGAACGTGACGTGGGCGGCCTCGCGGCACTGGTGAGGATGTTGGTGACAGTGCCGCTGATGCTGATGTGGTTGTGGTTGTGGATGCTGGATGCTGGTTGCTGGCCATGCTGATCATTATCGAAAGAGAAAAGTGGCGGGTGGCATCCAAGTTACAGGTCGCAGTCTAGGATTTCGTCGCAGCAATGCAAATCAGGTCAATTACCCTGCTCGACCTTACATAGTTAGCAGGCCTGATTCTCAATCTCATCCTCGTTCTCATTGTCTCTGTTTTACAAGTTTCCTACTGCGATTGCACTACACCTCCCTCCCGAGTTTTGTTCTTCTCATTCAACGCTCTTCCTTCGAGCTTACTCTCCAAGGTGTAGCCTGAATTCGTATCACCTTCCTGCGTCTATCAATCCCCTCCTCTCGCCTCGCTGCAGGTGACCACAACCATGGCTGCAGTAGGCGAACCTGCCTCTACCATCGATGGCCCGGGTGGTCTAGGTGGCCCTAGAGAGAACGACCTCCCTCCGGTACCTCCAGCCGCTGGTCAAAACGGCGGCGACCTTGACGCTGCACACAAACAGAGCATTCGACAAGTTCTTTCCTCCGAGGTAAGCAGAGCCACTCAAGCTGCGCTCTTTCACCGGTGACTGACTAACCATTGACGCAGATCGGAATAACCACCCTGCTCAACCGCCTGAAACAAAGCATAAGTTCTACAAGAGTACGGTGATCAGCCTGCTCGAGATCATGTCGCGACTGACCAGGTGTAGGATTTCGCTGCTTTTCTCAAAGAACGAGCCATCCTCGAAGAGAAGCACGCCAATGGTCTGAAGCGCCTGGCTCAGAATTCACACAATTCGATAACGAGGCCTGAGAGTCGACAGGGGTCATTCGCACAAGGCTATCAAGAGATTGCGAGGTCACATGAAAGGGTTGCGGATCACGGCCTTACCTTCTCAACCACTCTCTATTCAATGACAGATGAACTACACGAGCTGGCCACTAGCTCAGAGAAGGGTCGGAAGCATTGGAAACAAACGGGGTTGAATGCTGAGAAGCGCGTGCAGGATGCTCAATTCGCCATGGAAAAGGCCAAGGCCAAGTACAACTCGCTGGCAGAACAATATGATAGAGTAAGGACTGGTGAGCGAGCTGGTGGAAAATTTGGCCTGAAGAAGTCCGCTGCTCAGGAAGAGGAAAATCTGCACCGCAAACTGGAAGCTGCTGATGGCGATTATTCCTTCAAAGTCCAAGCCGCTCAAACGGCTCAACAAGAGCTGCTGACTACCTTGAGACCACAGGCCGTCAATGCTCTACAAGAGCTCATCTTTGAAATTGATGCTGGCCTTGGTGTCCATGTCCAGAAATTCGCTGCTCAAAGTGAAAAGCTTCTGCTGGGATATGGGCTCAGTATTACTCCAATGAAGGGGCCCAACCCATCAGGTGGTCCTCCAACCAAAAGTTTGCGAGAACTGGCCTCGAGCATCAATAACGACAGGGATTTCGCCGATTATATCTTGAGCGTTTCAAACAAGGCCTTACCAAGACCAAACGAGATCAAATATGAGCAGCACCCAACGTTGGGACCCAAACAACAGACCCAAAATCAGTATACGCAGAACTACGACGACGATTCTTATTACCCCACAGCTCATAATAGGCAAGTTTCCAGTGTGACATCGTATCAGGATTCCTCCTATGAAGATTCCGGCTACGGATATCCCGGGTCTGGTCCACAGTCACAGTATCAGCAAGGGAATCAGGGGTCACGATCTACTCAGCCACCCCAATCACAACAACCGCAACAGCGACAAGCTTCGGTGGACTATCCATCTGCGCCATCAACCGCACCAAGCCAGCCGGGTTCTGGAGCACCACCACCAACCGATGGGAGTACTTCTGATAGATTTGCTGGCCAGACCTCGGGTGTGATATCTTCTGTTGTCCCTGGCGGTGGTCCGACATCGATTCCCGGCCAAAATGATCAGACTGACCAGTCATCATATGGTTCTTCTCTTGGACAGGCCAATGCACCCACCGGTAGCGCGGGGCCGGCACCAGGTGCTGGAGCCAGACCTCCAGGTGCAATGCGACAGCCTAGCAGTGAATCACGACCCGGGGGTGCAGGACCAGCACCAGGCCCCGCTGGCAGAGGCACTGGACCACCTCCAGGATCACAGAATACAGGTGGTCCCGGTGCGGGACCTCGACCAACAGGGCCGCCACAAGGAGCTGGACGTGGTGCACCAGGGGCTGGAAGAGGGGCACCTCCAGGAGCCGGGAGAGGGACACCTTCGGGACCTGGAAGGGGAGCACCTCCTGGGGCCGGTAGAGGTGCATCAGGCGGGCCACTAGGAGCTGGAAGAGGAGCACCGCCAGGCGCGGGTCGGGGAGGTCCTGGATCTGGTCCTCCTTCTGGAGCAGGCGCTCGATCAGCGGGCGCTGAGACTTCGGGTGCTGGGAGGGGAGCTCCAACATCTAGACCATCACAAGGCCCATCACAGCCACCGCCTAATGGGGCACCACGCTCACAAGGCGGTCCCGGCCCAGGACCCCAAAATGTAGCTGCCAGACCACCCGGACCTGGTGCAGGTGGACCAGGCGCGGCGAGAGGATCATCCCCACCGAAAACTTCATTACCACCTCTGAAGCCTGTCTTTGGAGTGTCCCTGGATGATCTCTTTCAACGAGAAGGTTCGGCAGTCCCGACCATCGTCTATCAGTGTATACAAGCTGTTGATTTGTATGGACTTGACACTGAGGGTATATATCGAACATCGGGATCCGCACATCATATCATGGAACTCAGACAACAGTTTGATCATGGTAAGGCTGCAAATATGATTTTGGGTAAAGCTAACAAACGCCAGATTCTGCACTTGTCGATTTCCGCAATGCATCTACTTTTCATGACGACATCGCCTCGGTAACGACATTACTGAAACACTTCTTACGGGATTTGCCAGAGCCTTTACTGACCACCGAGTCATATCATGGATATGTCCAAGCCGCCAAGCTCGAAGACGAGATTGTACGACGAGATTCCATTCATGCGCTTGTAAATGCTTTACCAGACCCTAATTACGCCACTCTTCGGGTTCTCGCCCTTCATCTCCACCGTATTGCACAGCGCAGTGACAGGAATAAGATGACAATCAGTAACTTGGCCATCGTCTTTGCACCAACATTGATGGGCCAACAAGGAACCACTAATGGCCAATCAAATGGAATGACGGCAGATATTGCGGATGCTGGATGGCAGGCAAAGGTGGTGGAAACAATATTGACTAATACTCTCCAGATTTTTGATGATGACGAATGATGCCTTGATATTTCGGGATGAAGGAGTTACTTACTACTGGACGTACTAGCTTTTGTACTCACTAGCTAGATGAATCTATTTGATGAGTTCAGGTTGCAGGCCTCCGAGGCTGATACCTACCTAGCGTGGTGTTCATATTATATTCGAAACCGTCGCAATTTAGTTCACCTGCCCCTGACAGTTGCAATAGGTGTTTATCCGCCTTGTTTACTCCTTTGCCGTCTTCCATGCTGAAAATCTGAGACGTATGAAAGCTTCCTTCTACGAGCTAAAGTCGACCTATAAGAGTAGAGGTTAGAAATCACGAACAAGCAACTAAGTAAGATAAATAACACGCTCGGACTAGTATACTTAAGAGGTAGGTAGCCAGCATCCTAGCCACTAGAGACGGATTGAAAATGTACTTAGATTTACTCTCTTGTTCATTCTCTCTCCCCTTTTGTTGACTGAAAAAAAATATCTTGGTATTTATAGATGTATGAGATTCTTTCTAAATACCCGTATAAACTCGGCTCGGTATCCATCTCGCCCTCTCACCTCCAAGAGCATAGGAGGCCAAAAATATGTTGTACAATATATGCACTCCGCGTGGGACTCGAACCCACAACTATGGAAATTGTTAATTTTTTTTTCCTGGTGGCAGCGGCGTTGTTGGAGGATTCTTACCCTCCAGATTAGAAGTCTGGCGCGCTACCATTGCGCCAGCGGAGCTGGAAGATCCCTAAGGGTCGTACCAGGCCTGGCGAGGAAATTTTCGAGTATTTTCTGCTGGTCAAGCTTATATCCAGTGACAATGTGTCACGTGCCTTTAGGGTACTATACCGCAAAGGGTAAGCCGGTGGACGAATCCGCTAGAAGCCATGACCACTGGGAGCTTGAGATATCTTTTCCACCGAGACAATAACGTTCTGGCATATGCTCGGCGACTAAATGTGAATGCTGTCTCCCTCGAGGAGTCGTTACCAAAACGAGGTTCACCATGTAGTACCTCCCCAGTGCCTGCGAACCAGGGTCTTCCAGATTTCACCACCCTATTTATCGCCGCCTTCCTAGCATCCAGCAGGTTCCCCATCAGAGTCCCAAATGTCACTATGAACTCTCGCTCTCCCTCCCTCGTTCAATACCACTTGGCCAGCCTTTCAATAACCCCAGCACGCCGTGGACACGATCTGAGTCCTCGAAATTATCCCAGCCATTCTGGTTCTCAAATATTATTTTTGCCTGCCTCTGTTCCTGCACCGTGACTCTCACCGCGTTGGCTCGCATCTCGGTGAAGCTGATGTATGGCCTGGGTGCGGTCAACAGCGTGACCTTGGCGATACTGATTGTGTTGAACTCGGGTCGACCACGGTATTGGCCTTGGAGGTCCAGGGCGAATGGAAGGTCGGGCACCTCGTCGTTGAGGTGACCACGCTAGCTCGCCAGGCGTTCCAATCGATTCCAAGGTCTCCAATCCTCCATCTACTTGGAGCACTCTTCCTCTGACCAGACCTCTGGGACGCAGGACTGTTCTGGAATCATCGCCACGGCGGACGATGACTCTTGGGCACCCTACCTGCTCAAGGTCGTAGAGGTGTGTGGTAGAAGCACATGAACCCGCCACGGGCCAGCGATGAGCAGTCTTGACCATGAGTCGGGAAGACTCTACACAGCCCAATCCATTTTCACAGCAAGCTTCAGTCAGCTCCAGCGCCACTCATTGACAGGCGTACACTCTGTGGCGGCTAGGGGGCGCTTCCACCCAACTGTCCATCAAGACCACGGAACCAGGAGGCTTGTGTCTGCCATCAGCTTCTCCTTGGTCCCGGTGCCGATTGCAATCTGTCTCTGGATGAAGAGCTTATGGTTAGGAAGAGGATTCTGGGTGTGGAGGCTGGATGTAGGATCACTCTACAATGCTTCAAGGCAAGTGATGTTCTTCTTGAGGACTTGTGATCAGGGCGTCCACTTGACTTCTTTTACTCGTTCTTTCAGAACTTGTGGTTAGGAGCGGCGGCCCCCCAGGCCCTTGCGTTCCGCGGCGAAACTTCCTGCTGTCTCACCACACCTGCTGTACGCCGTGAGAGCCCTGAAGGGGTGAGGTCTCTTCGGCAGTCCAACCCTAAATGTCTGATGATTAAACACAACACCTCTGTCCATGGCTTACTCTCGGCGCGATTGCTCAGCCAGACCTCATTCCATCGTCATGGTTTCCATTCGGTTGCGCGACCCACCCTCACTTGACGTCCCTCGATGTTTTGCTAGTTGTAGAGGTTCCTGACCTTTATGGCTTTACGAATATACGGGAGTGTGTCGCATCCTCCGCTGAGCATAGCGACACATACAAAGTTTGATCGGCCCCATTTGAGACCGTCGACAGGAGATCTGCGTCTGACTCACCTCCCCTCCGGGAGCAGAGCTGTAGTCGAAGTTAGGCAGAATATCTGGCGTCATTTGTCATCGAAAGGTTTTCAGCATGCAAACCTTGTTCATCGTGGTCGTGGCGACCTAAAGTGTCACATTCAGTCCTTCACCGCTTTGGGACCTTTGCTTTACTATTTCAAAGGACAACAATAAAAAAATTACGGCTATACTGCTATCTCGTGACGATCTTTCTTTACAGTGGTTCCTGGAAACCGAGCGGGATTAAGTTCACCACCACTTCCCAGACGGATTTCTAGCTCGTCATACTGTCAGTGGCTGGATCAACAAGGACTTTGTGAGTTGCATCGTCGAGATCATGAATTCCTGGGCCCCCGCATCACCTGACAGCACAACGACCAATCCGGTTCACCAAGGCAGTTATCAGGGAGGAAGCTGAAGGTATTTCAGAGGTGTTATCCACCCACCTAAGCAAGGGGCGGCCCCGAGCTCTCGACACAAGAAACCCGACCAGGTTGCCGCGGTGGCGCACCTGAGCCCGCAAATGCGTCAGGCGTTTCAGGGAGAGGCCTTACACTACATATACAGTGAGCTTTTCCTTGATATAATCACAGTCTCATTCAAAGAACATCTTTCCGTCGGTGGAACACCTGCGGCCATTTCATTGATTACAATTTATACCAATCTTGAATGATTCAGTCCTTTTAATTTTGTGGGTCGAGTGTTCCACACTTTGCGTTGTATGTTGATCACCTGTTTGACCATATCCAACTTCAACTCCATTGAAATCTGACAAGCCTCAATATCCTATTCTTTTTGGACCTCTGAAATGCTCGCCCTTACAAGTATACAAGGCGAGGTCATTATCCTATCTGAGCAAAGACAAAAGATTGGCAACGTTCAAATCTCCAGGGACAAAGCCTCACCAGGTGTTTCATGATCTAAATGACAGGGCTCTTGAGAGAGCGTACTAGACGGCTTAGACTGCAAGCCGATATATGTTCCGAGTATGAAACTGCCTACATGCGTGTTGGAATTTATCCAACATCAAGAACTATATGACGACAGAAGAAAACTTCAAGCAGGGATCTCTTTGAACACCTCCCCCATTCTGCATGATGCCTAGGGCGCGCTGGGTCGCCTCTAACAAGAGCCTTTTCGCTAGCATACAAGTAGGTCCCTGAGACCCATGTGACCTTGGAAACATTTGTTAAGAGTGAATATTCACTTCTCTAGCTCTCCAAGCTGTGGGTGTGGTCGCTTCATCCTCATTGGCATCGTGACAGCCTCCCAACCACGCAAAAGCCCTGCGGCGCCATGATGAAAGCAGGGTTTCGGCCTCATGACCATGGGCTATCACACTCACCGATAGCCGTCATACATGAAGGCGGAACGACCCTGAGATTGTGCGGATGACAAAAATGCACATTCTACAAATCTTCACACTTTTTAAGGGACAACTGCCTCTTCACCCAGCATACCAAATTTATCATGGCACGAGGTACCGGTTTCACAACTACTGTGACTGGCCTTCACGCACATGCTTTTGGAGTGACCGTCGACAACTACCTCTCAAACAACTGATTCTTATCCCAAGATATCTAAATATCGATCATATTCATCGTCAACTCTTCTGCACTCATCCTCAGCACTTTGCAGAAGCTTCCTCCAGAGCACACAACGGTCGTGGTTTTCTCTCCAGTGCTGCCAATCTTCCATTACTCTGCAACATCGATCACGATGCTGTTCGTACTCTTTGTCCTCACCCAGCTCCTCGCATTCGCGCACGCCGCCACTGCAAATGCGTGTGACTGGGTCGGCGCCACCCCTGTCCTCTATCATCAGTATGATGGCAAATCTTGCCCTCCACCACGCCATCTCCAGGAAAATAATGTTGATTGCGAATGGAGAGTCGTCCCTGACGACCATTACAGCTGCGACAGCTTCTGCCAGATGAGAACCAACTTCTTCTACACCATGGAGACCCCAATATTCAGCAATCCCTATTGTTACGGGCCTGTCATCTGTAGCGTTGGGGCCAACGACCACATTTTTTACAATGGGAAACTCCATCTCGGCGCCAGCGTTGAGTCTGGGACTCTGGATGATGGCGTAAGTAATCTGGCGTTCTTTCTTGGGACCATTGAAGCTGACGGTAACTTGCAGGTCTCTGGGGGATGGCTCGGCTTGCGCCAAGGCAATACTGTATCACAACCTCTCTTCGTGTCACTGGGACCGAACGAATGCGGCTATTTCGCCTTCCTCCCGATCGTTCGAGAAGTATGTGGAACCCGCACTTGGGGCAAGACACATAACCACTTCCGCCAGGACTGTGGAGATGAGTTTCACACCACGGCCAATGCGTGCAATTCAGAGATACTCGGTGCAAACACTGGTCGCAGTGCAAGTGCTTGGGGCAGCGGACAAGATCTCAAAGGCGACACAATTTTCGTCCGGACTGACTGCGCGAATCACGAACCTCTGCCCATGGACCAGCAGAATCCCGCGTATCGTCATCCTGGCGTCGCAATGCCTCATGACATCAGAGAAGCATACACTGCGTTCTGGAGTCAACAGAAACATGTGTCCTGTCTCGCAATCGATTCTGCAAAGACTAGCTGTGTGACGGGGAATAGCGCTCCTCGTGTTGCCGACTGCGTTGACGCCCTCCAGAACATGATGGGCAAGCCCGGAAATTCAATTACTTCTTCCAGCGCTGCAGACTTGGGCGAAGGCTATACGACTTTGAGTGTAAGTCGATCTTCCACTCATCGATGACAATCTACTAACCTATCGTTTTAGAAATCCGGTAGCTGTGCAGTCCGCTTGTACTATGACGACCAGTTCACTCGCTCATCGAATTGCAACATCAATAACATCGAGATAGCCGCCGCGGCGGCCAAAGTGTTGGATAAGTGCGCTGCGGGTGCTGGAGTGAGAGGCAAGCAACCCATCCGACCCGATGGAACTTGCGGTTGCCATGTGGTATTAGAGATGGGTTAGATTATTGGGCCTGCAGCTCTACTTCTGAACGACGGCGATAGACTGCTAGAGTTGCTCTCAGACCGAACGTTAACGCCTCATGGCCTCATCTATAATTTGGTCATGAATAATTGGATAATCCACCCCCATTATGGGGTGGGGGGTTGCACCCAATGTCAAACGAAGGCACACTAGAACGGGCAGGAGCAGCAACGCCACGAGCTCGGCTGAAATCCTTATTCGTGTCAATTTGAATTTGGTCCGCAGTGAAGGCATCGTGATAAAGTTTAGCATCGCCATCTAGTCCCTCTGTTGCTAAAAAGCTCTCGACTACCTCCCTTTTGAACTGATTCCATTCACGTTTGCTGGGCTCCCGCTAAGCGGTGGGCATATCTACACCGCACCGACCCACAAAGACATTTCTTGTCGAGCTGCTCCCAATACCGCGAAGAGTAGTCCACCGTGAGCTCTTTTCCGGCGGGGACACCTTTGGAGATTACGAGCATCCTCTCGACGCCAAGCCACGAGAAGGCCTGGAACTGACAGTTGGGCTCGCAGGAATGGTTGATGAACCTGGTGAAGTTCCCACACCGACCCTGCCAGATCTGATACGGGTCTCGATTCTTCACCTGGCTCTGCATGACGTCGGTGTTCGTGAGACCCTTTGTGATCAGTCCGAGGTATTCCGCGATTGCGACGCCTTTCGGGAAAGAATTGCATGCGATCACACCATTATTGCGTCCGTTTTCTGTCTGGAACACTTGGACGGGTGGATTCTTCTGGGCGTTGACCCCGAACACCTCTGCAAAGCATGCACATTCATTTTGGCCCGCCACCACCGACTGTCGCTGAGAACATAGTTGGCAAACGAAATCTGGACCTTCCTCCAGGCGGCGAGGATCTTGGTCTCCCCACACTTCCTCGTCGACCTTAGACTCGGTAATGTGCTGAAAGGAGAAGTTGGGGTCTGACCGACGATACGTGAATGCCAGCGGGAGCGGGTCTTTTCGCTTGCTGACAACCCAAGAATGAGGATGTCCTCGCCAATGCAGTTGAGCGGAATCGCCGACGAGGGGCAGCAATCGCCTCCAGTCAGGATGTAGAGTATCGGCAGCAACCTCAAACCTGGTCTTCAGGCCTCTCAGCTTCGCGAGGGCATCGGGATCGAGGCCCAGCCGATATTTACAGAATCGATATATTCCCGGACCTGCGAAGATGAGGGCACTCCAGCCCGCAGCATTCTTGATATCGCAATACCCTTTCCAGATCGCCCTGACAGTGTGGTAAGTACCCCTCATGGAGTGGGCCTGGAAGATCAAGACTCACATTCTATTTCTCAACTCCTTCTCTGACCAGTTGAATAGTTCGCAAGCCTTCGCTATTGTGGCCTTCTTCTGCTCCGATGGCGTGAGATCGAGTCTACTCTCTGCCAAGCTTGCCAGTTGCGCATCAAATGAATCAATCCAATGCGCCTGCATTATCACTTCAAGGGCTCTGCCAGTGCGAGCGCCTTCGGTGACATGTCGACAGGTTTGAGTGGCGACATCGAAATTTGTTGTATCTGGTGCTGTCTCTACGTTTCGCTTATCTGCTCGGTTGAGGGTCCGGAGCAGCTCAGGGAGCTTTTGGTCGAGGACTAGGCTGTTAGGATTGTGTAATTCCTTCCAAATACCTTCGATGAGCTTATCCACAGTTGACTGCTCCAGCTTCGGTCCAGATTCCAGACGGCGACGCTTCCGAAAATGATCATGACCCGTCTGCAGCTGTCGAGTTGTAGGCGGCGAGGGGGATCTCTCGAGGGCACCGCCAGAGGCGGTATTGATCCTTGGTATCGACAGCCCTCCAACTGTCTTTCGACGCCTTGTCGAGAGAGGTGCTTGAACACGGCCATCCTCCAGCGCCGGTATTTCCGCTGATCCGGTCTGGTCTACACCGTATCCACCTGGTTGCTGGGTTCTCTCGGGTTCCCTCGGGGTATGACTGTCGGAAGTCGTGGGAGAAGGTAATTGACATCTCTCCTGTCGGGCAGGAGATTGGTCCAGATGCTGGAGGGCATCTTGGAATGATCCGGGATCAATAGTGTCCAGAACAACACGATCTGGAAGGTCTCCTAGACATGGAAGCGGCGTCCCATGAATAACGGTAGCCTCGACCTTGATGCGAACGCCAGGAGAGGCATTCGAGGCCGTAATCAAATCGATGAGTTTATCAAGCTCCTTCGCAATGTGATTGTGTGTGTGGAATCGTTGCATCTTTGATCGCAGAGTTCATCTGGCCACCATGGCCAAGAGTTTAATTAGAATCTAGCTAAAGAAGAAAGAAAACAACTGAGCTCTATCATTAGAATCCATATGTTCAGGAACAGGTGGAAGGAGTGACGTTGAAACTATTGGAGGTGCCGCGGGCCAGTCTCTTGGAAATTGAGCACGTCAGTTACCAAGCGTTTATTGCTGATCTAGGCTATGTCGCAACCGTCTGGTTGGGAGGCCCCCACAAAGTGGCAAGTTTGTGCAAGTAACTTAACTGACTGAGTGACATCAAATCATGAGGGATGATACCCAAAGGGCGGGAAGAGCGGGAAGCCTCTAAGCATGGAAAAAGCATGGCATGGTCTGGCGGATTGGACAAGAGGGGCCGGTGGCGGCCAAGGCAAGCCTTCGTAGGCGCGGGTACGCAGCAACAACAAGTTGTAGTGAATGAACAACCATTCTGTCGACTTGTACAAATGCACAAAGCTATCCTAAGCAAATTATTTGGTGCTGTGCCATCGTTGGTCCGGTCCCTTGCCTTGAGGCATGCTGTGCAGAAGCAAGCGACACTTTCATGATCACAGTTAGTTTCGAATCCGAGCCATAGAAGAGAGCTACATTTCAAAAACACCTCTGGACTCTGTTCAGGTCGCCACCAGCGTCTGATTGTGCGACATCTAAACCCAGCTCAAGGTCTCAGCGTTGTCTTTACCACGGGAGATTCCAGCACCTGCTTGAGAGGATCAACAGACTCATGTATCATGCATGACAAGAGCACCTAAGGGACAGGGAGAGGACTCTTCTGTACGCGTAGCTTTAGGCACTATAGGCTTGGCGATCACGTGGGCCAAGGGTTGTACACTCCTTCCAAAGACTCCTCCTAGAACCCAATTGAAGGAAGTACTGAAGTATCTGACCCCAAGGGGGTGAGCGGCGAAGAAGAGCATTTCGGTAGATAATACTCGTCCAATGAATGCTTTCTCGCCCGTCGAAGCGACCGGTCAGCGAGCTACTCACACTCGGTAGTCCCGATCCCTCCGATGGTGGATCCTGTCCGAGTGGCGTCTTTTCTGCCCGGGCAGAACCAAACATGGATGGTCCTTGGCACCTTGGCATGCATTTCAACGACATCTGAGCGAGAGGACTTTGCTTCTCTGCTTAACTTTTGGGCCTGAGTGGAAATCCAACTGATGCCTCGTGCTACTGAAGGGTGTGAGTACTAACGGACACTGTGAAGCAGAATATCCCAATGAGTGAGAAATGTAATGAGTAAGTCGAAAACCTGGCGGCTGGCCATACCACGAATTTTCAGATACACGGCGAGATTGAGCCCGGCGGTGTGCCCGTGCGGCAAAACACCCCGCCCATGCACCCACTCCAGTGACGCCTTGCATGCCGTCATGCCGTCATAGTCAATTGGATGGGCAGGTATCATTAGCGTATCATATCTATATATTATGGGTAAGGATATCAGATGCCTTTGTCGGACTGCCTTGGTCGTCTCCCATTCTACTCTTGTTCCTCCTCTTCTTTACACAATCTTGGCGAGAGCCTGAAAGGATGAAGGCGCAAGGCCATACAGGTGCTGCCAGAGCCCCCCCTGACCCATATCACTGGCGAGATGACCAAGGATTCCTCAGTCGTGTGCTTTTGCCCTGCCGGGGGATGTACCATGATGTCAAACGGCGATTGCCTTACTACTGGAGTGATTTCAGAGACGGCTTCACCTATCGTGTATTTTCCGGCACTGTTCGAATTTACTTTGTCAACCTGCTCCCAGCCCTTGCATTCCAGTTGGACATGCAGTATAATACGGGAGGCTTTTTCGGGATCAACGAGGCACTGCTCTCTTCAGCTCTAGCCGCAATCGTTTTCAGCCTGCTCTCTTGCCAGCCATTGACGGTCGTTGGTGTTACTGGTCTTATTTCTCTGTTCAATTACACCATATACGATATTATTAAGATCTACGACGTCGACCTCTACCCGTGGTTTATGGTCTGGGTGGGCATATGGGCCGCTATTTTCCACTGGGCGACCGCCATCTTTAATCTTTGCGACTACATGCGGACCATCACAGATTTCTCTTCGCAGACATTTGGCTTCTACGTCGGTACGATCTATGTTATCAAAGGCTGTGAAGAACTTAGCATCGGCTTCCACGACGGTCAAATCAGCAATGGCTTCGCATCCGCCCTTGTCTCGATCCTCTACTTCCTGACCGTTTACTTACTGGAACAAGTGGGCCAGACCTCGTATACACGGACTTGGTTGCGTACATTATTGTCTGACTACGCCTATCCAATAGCAACCATCTGGTGGACAGGATTCACACATTTCCCAGGTAACCTGGCCTATGCCCGATTCGAATATCTCCCGACCAGTCGGGCATTCTTCCCGACGGTCGATCGACCTTGGGTGGTGGACTTTTGGTCGATTCCGACAAAATGGGTCTTCATTGCAATTCCCTTTGGATTCCTGATGACTCTTCTCTTCTACTACGACCACAACGTCTCGTCGCTCACGGCACAAGCCCGGCACTTTCCGCTCAAGAAGCCTGCCGGCTTCCATTGGGATTTCTTTATACTCGGCTGGACTTGCCTGGTGGGAGGGTTGTTGAACATACCACTTCCCAACGGTCTTGTTCCCCAGGCACCGGTGCACACTGACTCCGTCACGTACTACAAGGATGAATCAGTGCTCATCGAAACAAAAGACCCTGATGAGCCAAACATCGTACGAAAGATCACAGCGGCAGAAAGTGTTGCTGAGCAGCGCATTTCTCATTTCGTCATGGGTTTAGCCCTCGTCGCGACGATGACCGGCCCGCTATTGACGGTCATTTCTCTCATCCCTCGAGCCATTATCAGTGGCGTCTTCTTCACCGTCGGGATGGGCAGTATCTTGACCAACCCGATCCTGACGCACAAGATCGCATTTCTTCTTCGAGATCCGAGATTTCAACAGCCCTCCGAGCCCCTGAGCACTATCCCCCGGCGCCAGATATGGCATTATCTGTTCTGGCAATTCCTTGGATTTGCGTCGTCGATCGCCATCAGCCAGACCATCGCGGCCGTCGGCTTTCCAGTCTTGATCACGGCTTTGATCCCTCTTCGGTGGAAGTTACTTCCACGCTTGTTTACTCGTCGTGAATTAGAAGTTCTCGATTCCCTCACGGCGACCGGTGAGGTTGTGTTGGTGTCGTTGGGTGGGAAGCCAGAGATGCCCGAGGCCCGCCGAGACAGAAAAGCCACGGAGCACGGGCAAGATCCAGAAACTGGGCTTCAAGCCGGCGAAGCCGGAATGGTGAAAGATGAGGAGGCAGATCTGCGACAGCGAGAATGGAACAGGCGGATGAGCCAAGGGATTGGTGGTGACGGTGGTGGCATTACTAGACGAAGATCTAGCATAGGAAGCCGAGAATACTCAGCTCCCCCAAGGAAGCGTGAAGAATCGACGAAAGCGGATGCTGATGAAAGGGGAGAAGCCGACAAGCGGGATTGAGATGACAGGATGCTTCGCGGAGGGGGTCTTTCTGGTGGATGTTTCCAGGGGGCCCGTGAGTGTCACCCCTGGGCCCGCGTTTGCAGGCGTATCAGGCAGATAGCTTCAGATCCTTGAGCGCACCTCTTTCTTCAACTGTCCTTGCGACCTTGTAGCCGTCATCGGTGTTGAGTGCCTCGAATCCCTTAATGACTCCCTCCCTGTCAGCCTTGCCCAGCTCCTGGCTCATCTTGAACTTTCCTTCCAAGCGAGTAATCTCGATCTCAATGCCGATGATGTTCTTCCTCAACAGATCCACATAGGACTGGGGCGCGTCCGTCACAGCCCAGGCTTTCGGCCGGTCTCCCCCAACGTATCCCATCACATTGGTTTCCGCGTGATGCGAAAGATCGATAAGCTGCCGTTGCAGGAACTCACCCGTTTCCGGCGCCTTCGAGTCAAAGTAGACGGTGGCTTTGCCGTACGCCTGGACGGCAGAGTAGTTCCACGTAGGCACGACTTTGCCCGTGCTGGGCTTGGTCTCGGTGTAGAACTTGGGCGTCACGTAGTGGTGCACGGGGCCGTTGAATATGATCGAGACATCGTCTGTAAGTCGGCCGTTCGACGCAGAGTCGACCTGGGCGGCTTCCGTCAATGCCTTGGAATGAGGATTGGGTTTGGCCATGTGGCCGCGCAGAATTCCCAGTTCGGTTTCGCTGCTTTCGTCTTGGACGTCAAGCACCCACGGGACATGTGTGCACTGGATGGTGGGGAAGTTCGCAGACTGTATGGCGGTGATGATCATGCCGAAGGGGTTTTCCTGGATGAATCGCCGCAAGGACGGGATGTGATGCTCGGCGTGGGCGGCGCGAAGATACATGTTTGGGTGGTACTTGGTGTCAATCCGGTTACTGCAGTACCCTGAAGCCTACACGATAAACCTCAGCTTCGATGCAGTTGCTTGAGACACAGAACCGAACTGTCGGCAGGCAAGAGAGACATACATGGTCGAAGCCTATAAACCCCCCGTCCCACCACTGACGGACTTGACCGTCGTGGAGCCGAGCGCATCCTCTTCTTTGGGAGAATCGTGATGTCCGGCAAATAAGATCGGATGTTCAAGGGTGGACCCGAGAAACAGGCTCGCTATCAGCGGTCCAAGCTATCGATTGGCGAAGGATTGGAATGGTCCAAGATATGATTGGACCTTCAACATTTTCCACCCCCAGGTAAATCTCTGCTACACACTCGTCGGCCGTCGGGACGCCTTTCCCTGTGGAGGCTAACCGCCGGATCTTTTTGGCGTGTAATGAGGAAAGTCGAGACGTTAAAAGTACATGATCGAAAGGCGTAGGTTTCAGCTTTCTCGAAATTTCCACGTCCGAAACAGCCTCTCATCCAGGGGCTTTTATTCCTAGGGCTCCTCCTCCGGATCTCAGGGGAAGATTTGCGGTAAGTTGGCCAACGAGAAAGGGAAAAAAAAAGAGGTTCTCTGGGGACACCTATCATATCCACGGTACCTCACAACAGAGGAAAGGTGGTTCTTTTCCCTCGCTTATCTAGCCTGGGGCATTGTTCATACCACCAAGGCTGCTCTGTCAAGCACCTATCTGGCGAATTCCGGAACCATGTTGGACGGGAGTGCTCGACAGCACATTGGCATTCGCGATGCCGTCGGCGAAGATGTGGATTGCATCGCGAACCTCGGGGCCCACGTGTTCAGCACGACGTTCGGACACTCCGTCCCAGCTCATGAGCTCCAAGCATACCTGGACGAGTCCTACAGCGCAACGGCGATAAGGCAAGATGTTGGACATCCCAATAAGAACATGATCGTCGCCACCACTCCGGACAATGCGATTGTCGGGTTCGCTCTCCTCACTCGCGGGACGAGTGAGCCGTGCATCGACTATATTGACAATAAGGTGGAATTGCAGCGCATTTACGTGCATCTTGACCACCACGGACTTGGGATTGGGAAGGCCCTGGTAGGTAGGATTGAAGACATGGCTCGAGAACAAGGATTCAAGCATATATGGCTCGGGGTTTGGGAAGAAAACTTGAAAGCTCGACGGGTCTACGAGAAGTTGGGATATACTTTCGCTGGTGACCATGACTTCACTATTGGAGAGGTCGTGCAGACAGATCATATCATGATCAAACCGCTATAAACAATTCTCTGGAAGGGACTGCTGCTTGGGGCCGCGAAGGTCTCGACACCCAACTGAACCAAGCAGTGAGTCGCAGCGTGCCCGCATCGCCCGCTTTGACGACCCAATCGGAGAGCCATTGGTGCCAGAGAGGAATCGACCAGCATGGCTTCTCTTTGAAGCGTCTCCGGGCCCTCACGCTAGAGTGGCGGTCAGATGTTCACTGTTCAGAGTCTAATTCTCGCCCAACCTCACAGCTTAGCACCGCTGATGTCGCAAACGATGAAGTGCCGCTCGATGACGCCGCCCGCAATGAGACGATGGTTGACCGGGTCCACAGCGGCACCGGTGAGAACTGTGATGAGCGATCCATCATCCCAGTACAGAACTTCGGGCTTGTAGCCGTTCTTCTTGACGAGTCGTAGAACTGCGGCTTCTGCCTTGACTTCGCTGTTGAGGATATTGTCGCCCCCCAACCGCCCAGTGAGCTTCGCTATATCGGGGAAAACTAAACGTGACGATTGTCAGAATTCAGGATGAAATGACCTGGAGCACTACAACTCACCACAGACTGCGATATCCCCCGATCCAGGGATTTCAGAAAGATTGTCCGCCGCGGCTCCCAAACGCTATAGCACTACAAGTTAGCCACGGTTTCTCCAATAAGATGTTGGCACTCTGCTTACCACTTTCCTATTCACGGTCAGCTCCTTCGAGACAGGGTCAATGTCGTAGAACGTCGTCGTGGCTTCGATAATGTCGTTGACTGCCAACATCTTTCCGTCGTCGACGAGAAGAGCACCATTCGCAGACGGATGTGCGTGGGTGGGTGAGACGGTCTTGCAGTCCACTTCAGATCCGGATGCAGAACAGTAGACGATACTCGCACCCCATTTCCAAGGTCCGAACTTATCCTCGAACCTCCGCAGCCAGCCACCGAGGAAGCCGCCCCAGAAGTGGTGATCATTGGTGATGAAAAACGATCTGCGATCGCATTAGATTCTTCGTTTGCTGGATCAAAGGATAGGGGGCAACGGGGTCCTTACTCGAGGCTTGTTGCAGCCACCGCGTTGGGAGTCTTGATACTTGGATGTTTGAAAGTGCGGACAAATTCGAGGACGTCGGAGCCTATGGTGTGAGAGAAGAGGATGATCTCGCTCCCACTGCGGGGGTGGTTGACTGCAAACATGTAAATCTATTCGACGTTGTCAGCTGACGGTTGACTCATGCCAAGGGTACCGTTTGGATCTGATCTACCTTGGAGGTATCCTCCTTGGGGGCCAAGATGTCGATACCATGAAGAATCAGGTCGTGCGAAGGCTCGAGTCCTTCGATTTTGAGTGGAGTTGTGACGTTCGTCTGGTATCTGTTAGGAACAGGCGGCCCTTCCACGAAGATCTATGTAGATGCTTACCTTGATATCATACTTCAAAAAGTATTCCCTGTAGCTCTTCGCGCCGGTGTTGTCGTGGCGATTGAGGGGTGGGTAGAAGACACTCCTCGTCTCCGGGTAACCACATGCTGGTTCCTGAATGTCAATGGCGAAAAGACTCGAACTGGAGGCAAATGAGAATGGCTACGCACCAAGTAAGGCTGTTCCAGAAGGATGATGGATACGGACATCCTCACAAGCCTGGCCGACTGTTTGACGTTAGACGAGCCTGAACCATCCCCAGTCCAAGGTTCATGACGAGCATAAAGGGGCATGAGTACCTGGAAAGGTCCAGCATTTGTCATTGTTCAACGCGCCATGACCTATGTGGTCCACGCTGGGCTGGAAATCCGACACTCGATTACCGAAGCGGTTCAAGACCGGATTTGGATTGTTGTACAATTGAATGAAGCCCACCACCACGAGCGGGAAGAACCTGGCCCACGCACTAACCATGATGATTTCAGCTCGACACAGTCAAGCAAGGGCAGATTGAAACGCGAGGAGTGTAGAGGAATACAGAGTTTGTAGGGTCTAGGAAGTAATTGTCGTGGGATGGCCTCACTTCTTTCCCGCCCCCCTGGGACCTCGGTAGACATCCGTGTGTCCCCCGCACTCAGGAGTCAGGACCGCAAACCTTTGGCCTTGTATGGTGTATGGAGAATTTCAACCCCACAGCTCGGCCTTTGGTAGGGATGCCATCGTGGGGTTCGAAGATAGCCAGTGTGCTCATGAGGGCCCTCGCTGGTGAGCACACCCATGTCAGGCTCATCACGGATAATGAATGCTGACCGGAAACCCCTGTTGGAGTCTAAAAGCACTTCAACGTTGCCATGGAAAGCACAAACACACAAGCTCATGTGCCCTGTACCGATTGTAATTCCATAGATGGGTTCTCATAATGCCCCGGCGGAGGTGGGATGGAGAGGACCGTAGAAATGCTCTCCAAATTCTCCTATCTGAAGTTGTGTCCGCTCAGGAGTAGGCAGCGGTTCTGGGAGGTTCCATCAGACACTACGTCCACCAGCCCTCAACACCGGCTCGGTGCCTGTGCCCAGTATAATACTCAAGGTCGAAAAGCGTGGCCAACCCACGACCCCAGGAGACAAGGCTCATGGGAGGAAAGGAACTCTCTCCACTTTTTCCGCCTTCAGCCTCTGGATCGATGGCGCAGCGTCATGCAGTAGTGTTTCAGATGCTTGTGACACCGAGAAAGCAGCCGCAGCGACTTCAGAACTGAGATTGTTGCTGTGCTCTTTTCTCCTCCAAAATGGTGAAGAGTGCCGCGGCGTGCGCAGATGCGTGGACTGGAGATAGAGCAGCACGAGGGATACAAAACCGGCCAATACTGGCTTGGCGAGGATGAAGAACATTGCAAGAAGAGCGATGATGCCGTAGATCGCTTGAGTTTGGGTGACCTGGCGTGACCTGGGCTGTTCACCTGCTGTCGAACGGGGATGGATATGATGGTGGTAATGGTGGCCTTCTTGGTGGTGTAGCATCTTGAGTGTTCGTAGTGGTTGTCGCTTAACCCTTTCGCCCCGGAGGATAACAGAGACGCGTAGGTGCTCTGAACTATTGACAATATACCTGTTGGTATCGATGTCCTCACTTGAAAGTCGACAACGCTGCCATCAAAGCGGTAGTCATGACTGACCTGGAGACGGATCTTGCTGGCTATGCATGGATGATGAGACACTGACTAACCACCTCGATAGGGCATTTAGGTAGTGTTTGGAGGATTTGACTTCCGCTTATGCCTGGCGGTCTTGGAGGATACTGAGTACGTGAATAGAACACTCTATGCTCCGGATAACATTTATGACGGCTCTGGCTCCGCGAGTTTCGGGGGCACAAAGCCGGCCGCCTACATCAGGACTTGAGCGGAGTAGCTTCTTGCAAGGCGCTTCTGCTAATTAATGCTTTGACATCCCCGTTCTGTACTGGACGATATATGCGTAAGTCCCCGGGCCAGGAAATGACCCGGCCTAGTAATGACCCACGCGTCTCAACGCGACTTTTTCTACCACTCCATCTCTTCTACACTAAATTGCTCGTATAAACCACCTTTTTATATAGCTAAAATGGCATCAAATCACGAGGCTCGAATCCAACAAGCCATCCTAGACTATGAAACTCGACGGCATCCAACTATTCGCTCCGCTGCGGCAGCAAATGACGTTGACCGAAAGACCCTCGGCCGTCGACTACAAGGAGGCCTTTCACGAGCAATTGCTCATGAACCACAACAGCTATTAACCAACGAACAAGAGCAACTCCTTATACGATAGATACTCGACCTTAAGGGCCAAGGACACCCTCCCAGCTTTACTTAAATACGAGAACTCGTCGTCATCATACGAGGCGAGTCAATATCCACTATAAAGATTGGCCAAAAGTAGATATCACGATTTGTACAGCGTCATCCAGAGATTCATTTAAAGGTAGGTAAAAAGATCCATGGATTACGCCTATAGAGTACTACTCCTGAGTCCTTAACTCGCTAGTTTAAGCATTTTAAGGCTGTATAAGAGCGATATCAGGTTCCGTAGCACAATGTCTTTAATATGGACGAGACAGGCATCGCCCTAGGGTATCTGCGCCAATCAACGAGTGATTGGCAGGGCCGATACTACCCAGTCATATAAGGCAACACTAGAAAACCGTGAATGGATATTAATTATCGAGATAATATCCGTAACTAGCCGTCGACTTCAATACCTTATTATATTTAAAGGAAATACGCTTTAATCGACTTGGTTTACCGAACTAGACCTTCCTGACTACTTATATACGGTTTCACTAAATGGCTGGACCTTAAATGATATCGGATTAGCCTAGCTACGATAGATATTTATACCTCAAACAGCATCGAATGATTATCGACTCCTCCTAGTTAACGGTTATAAAAGTTATACTATATACGAGTTTATATAAGAATACTATATAAATCGAATTACCTTAGTCTATTTAATACCTCATTTAAGTTATATTCTACAGCCACTTAATCTTACCTACTTTTCACTCCTAAAATGCCGATATCGGGATGAAATCGCTAACCTAGCTAGGTACGACGACGCCTCGGCCGTAAAGAAGAGCAAGTTCCTTAAATTATACGAAAAAGCAAGTAATAAAGGTCTCTCAGCATTCCGTATTACTACTGGGTGGAATATAGCTAGTATTTATCCATGGAACCCTCGTAAAGTTGTACGATCTCATTAAGTCCTACAAGATAGTCAAACTAGTCAAATATTACCGGTAACGCCGCCATCACGCAGGCTAATTCAATATATATAAAGTACTATTTATACACCTCTAAATTAGCGTGGAATACGGTAGGAAACGCAGTCGATTTCACGGCGTAAGACCGTCTCTCGATTAGTCCGTTTATTGCTTAGTAAGACTGGCAAAGTTCTCGATCGATTACAGTAGGATATTACACTTAAATCACAATAGTTGACTATTCAGCGCAAGCAACTAGACGAACTTTACGCTACACGACGGCAGCGAGTAGCAATCGACTGTAATGAGGTCTTTGCGAGCATCGAGACGATAAGGCAGGCGAGGCAAGGTATGGAGGCCTTACAGGCGACGGCGAGGTCGACATCTCGCTTGCCTACAAGGAACACTACACAGGATGGACAGAGAAACAATCCACTCACTCCGTACATACATCAATTCAGTATTAATGACGTTGTAGAGTAGACAAAATACGATTATATTGACTGGTGGCAGAGTGCATTACGTGGGTCATTACTAGGCCGGGTCATTTCCTGGCCCGGGGACTTAGCGACTCCGCACAGGATGGATTAAGACGAAACCAGAAAGGCCAGGCCCACAAAGGCATATCTTAACATAATCTCATATATCATTTGATAATTCTAGCTGTAGTATTACTAGGTCTTTGGGAGCGATATCACGTACCGCCAGGCTTTCAGCGAAGCGGCTGGGCAAAATGGGTATCGATCTCTCAGAATGATGGTTCCAATTGAAAATCACGACGACTCAACCAAAACACCGTGACACCGATCGCTGAAATTGTTCATTATGCTCGTGCTCGTTGATGCAATGTACAGGCACGAGCCGACCTCCCCACGGTCTGTTCCAACCTATTTTTTGGGTGCAAAGCAAAACTCTTCTAATTTCTTCACCGCCTTCACACATCGATTCTCCACCTCCCTGTTCCACACATCGGCCACGCAAAGGCAGAACAGTAGGCTGATGGACCAACCAATGAGGACGGCGGTGATCCACGGTAAGTTTGCGGTTTCGATACCCTCGGTGCCCATCGCCCACCATACTCGGTGGGGAATCATATAGCCAAAAGCATGGAGGACAGGGCCATGGGTAAGGTACAGTCCGAAGCTGATTTTTCCAAGATACTGCGCAAAGTCGCTGTTGAGTATCCGACGCCAGATCGAGTTGTTGGGGTCGGAACGTGCCAGCAGCAGGATGAGGAGGGCGGTGCCAAAGTTGGGATAAAACTTGTCCTTTCGCTCCATCCATCCTGGAATGAACTTGTTCAGCGTCATATACCCTGGTGCGTAATCTCGCGCTCCATCAATCGGATAAGATAGCAGGTAAAATGCGACCAAGAAGCCGAACGCCCGAGATGCGGAATAGGCGGTCGAGTAGGTGAGGGGCACTGAGCGACGATAGCGGGACCAGGAGTTCGATGGTCTGGGCCCCTGTGTCGGCGAGCGCGGCGGAGAAGGCGGGAGTTTTTCCAGTGTCAAGGAGTTTTTCCTGTCTTCATCGCGCTCGGTCAACAGTAAATCAACTTGTGCCACAATTGCGCCGAGGATGTACACCCAAATTTGCCAACAGTTCCAAACGAAGTACACATATGTCATGGCAATCATCACAATCAACCGAACGGGTCTCCGACACAATGCGGTTGCAACAAGGATAGCATACAAGTGCAGAGATCCTTGCATTTCAGCCAGGATCGACCATAAATGCTGATCGTGCCACGGATAGACAGAACCATGCTCGAGAAACTTGGTCAAATCGAACATTTCATGGAGCCAGAAGCGAAATTGTTCATAGACGGTCGGAAGCATATGAGGTTTGGGTTCGTTCCAGACGCCGGGGAACAGTCTACCACGATCCAGCAACAAGGGCCGATTCGTTTCGTAGAAGCCGAAGTGGATGTACGTCGTTGTGATGAGTGTCACGATGAACACAGGAAGGTAAAGTCTAAATCCGCGGCGGAAGACCGCACCGGAGACGGTCTGAAGAACCTTGGCCTGAGAGGCCTGATCATGCTTGTCGATCAGCTGGAACAGTCTCAACGTGGTCAAGTAGCCCGCGATGCCGAAAAAGACGTGTGCGGTAAACCCAGAATAGAAATAGCGGATGATGGGTAGCTCTAGAATGTATCGGTGACCCGAATTGGTTCCCCAGGGAGCAAAGCCAAAGTCGCTGAAAGCGAAGGTGTAGTGAAAAGTGAAGACTTTGACGGACGTGATGCCACGCAGACCGTTCAGATAACTCGTTGGAAAGAACTTTGGTTTGGAGGCCGTGTCGTTCCAGATGTAGGTTCGTGCGATCTGGGGCACAAAACAGTATGCGAAACGTTTACCTAATCGATAGGCATGTACAGGCCGGACCAATGATGCGACCTTGGAGAGAATCATCCTCCGTCTCTCACGACGGAGGGATTCATCGCTGTAGTCACTCGTCGTTTCTACAAATATGTCCTTTTCCTCCGCGGTGATAAATGGCGTCTGGGATTCTTCGCGTTTCTCAACTGTCATGACGGAAATCTTGACAGTCTGATGGCCTGATCATAAGGCTCTGCATCCAGTTGCAAAGCCACGGCGTCTTCAGGCGAGCACGCGAGCGCAAAGGAAACGACGATGATTTAGAGTTCGCAGCAGAAAAAGCCAGAATAAGAAAAACGAGCGGCCGACTAGCGGTGCATAAGACAGAAAGTGAGTAGAGTGATTGACAGGGCCGACGCAGGGTGACCTTTTCAATGAGGGTTCAAGATCAGAAACGTGGGCTGTTCTCTAGAGGTAAAAGAGAGGACCTTGGAGGGTAGACATAGGAGTTCACATCGTTTCTTGGCTCAGGCCAGTCAGCAATAGTATGCCAACCCAGTGCGACCTGCTCGCCCCAAAGATCGCGGGTCGCGACTCGCGTGAGATGAGGCTCCTACCAGGGATGGGGACCATCTCCTGGGGAGTTTTCTGAGGGAAGACAACTCACAGTACTCCGTACCAGGATTGCCGAATAGGAGGGATACAGGCTTGGCTGAATGGTTGAGAAACTATGGAGCCAATCTTTAGGGGTCTTGGTCGTGCTCCTTCACACTCCACCTTGGTGGCAGTCTCCCTGCATTAGCGTTGATTTAGAGCCTTATTGCCTTGGTGTTCAAGCCCTTCTTAGAGCACTTGAGGCTCCCTGGCATTGGCTTTTCGCCAATCTCTTAAGCGAAGCTGAGCGCCCCAGAGCTTTGAAGGAGCACTTTCGCGTTAATGCCAATCCTGCTGGCAGAAAAGTTCTTCCGATCGAGAAGGTGGTCCCAGACGCCGTTGTCGGAAGGATTTAGGGCTGGCCTAGACATGTTCGTAGTTCGTCTACTCTGTCTCATGATTTCAAACCGAATGTGAAGAGCTCTCTCTGCTCAATAGTCCAAGAAGTTTTATGTTGGTCTGAAATTGCCTGGGAAGGCCCGAGAACCTAACGCTGGCTAACGCTGTTTTGAGGCAGTAATCTAGGACAGGCAGGCTTCAACGCAGACTCTGGTGCCGGCAGGACGGAGGACGCAGTATTGGTGGGTGGCCCCCTACAGCCGAGTCTTGGCACGTGGCTTTCAGAGTTCCGCTATATCCGGAGTGGCTCCTCGGCCAGGATGGAAAGGAGACGCTGTTGCGGAATTGGCTATTATTGCTTGGGTATCCGTACGCCCAGTCGACTTTCCATGAAAATGATGCTTCGGGCTGCAGCAGCCTCAGTCGTGTCAGATTTGCCCGCCAGCCCCCAAATTCAATGACTAGGGGCTTTGTGTCTGCCGTATCTTTGGTTGGAAGCCCGGCGTGTGCAAACACCAAGCCGACAGCCTGGGCCGTACCGTAACACCTCCGACAGAATGACACGATAATCCCAGGGCCCGACCGAAGGTTTCGGAGCAACGCAGAAGGGCATCAGCAGTGGCACACACTAGTACACCACTGCTGGATGCCAAGCACTCCAATGGCAGCAATGATTGATCCATCTTCCTCGGTTCCTGTGCCTTATTTGAGTTGGGATATGAGGGAGGGCAAATACGACATTGCTTCTTCCTTCGCTGCGCCGCGTGCAGCACGGAGTGCCTTGTATGGAATTCTGCATCACTCCCTCGAATGAAAACAAGAACTCTAGTACCTACCTACACAGGTAGCTCACTAGTACGTAAAGCGCAAATCCTGTCGGCCAGCTCAATCACGGACCACCTCGTCCATGGCCCATCAGATGGCCGGGAGGTCTTAGCGCCCCCCTTGACTGTGACAAGCGTACTCCGGACTCCGTTGTGCGAGTACTTGGCATTTGCCTCGCTTGGGAGGAACCATAGCCATTTGAGCAGAAATTAGGTGTGCCATGTTGTCCTACCCAGCCGTATATCCAGGCCGCCCGAGACCCGTGCGACCATCAACCACAACGGAGTCGTTGATTGGCGACACAGCGATGAGGTTCGATTACGTCTTTCCCACTTCGTTCAAGAGCATACTCCGTATAGGGCGCGAGGTACTTTCGAGAGTAGTGGTTTTGACCCAAAGGTAGGCGGGATGTAAACTTACCTCTCTACCATCTGGTTGTTTACTGTATGCTTCAGTCACTGCTTGTCAACGACATAAAACCCTTTCAACGCCCTCTCCATTTCCTTGCTTGTCTCTTGAACTGGGTCAGGAGGTCCCTTTCCTGTATGACATTCCCGTGGATGCACAGAGTTCGCATGATCAGAGAGAGCTATACCGCAAGATTGAAGGAACCATCTTGAACAATATCGATCAGGTATGACACCAATTCTGCATGTTCTCTGGATGCACAGCTACGGCCATTCTCGGTGCTCCCATACTTGTAAGCACGTGTTCAGGGGCAAGGCACGTGGGCACATACGGTACGAGCACGAGCAGGTCGGTCACCTCCGATGCACGTGATCTTTGTGTTCTCTTATCGATAAAGAAGCCCCTGGGGAAAAAAATCAATATGGACGATCTAGTACTCGCTCGTAAATGCAACCGCTGGCAGTGTTACAGTCATAATTTTCAGTCATATGTGTGCTTTTTGCGCAAAACCCCCACCTTGTCCACTAAGCCTACCGCTCTTGCATCATGATTAAAGGCAGCCACGATCGTCCAATTGTGAAAAATGCTTTTCCTTTCTTTCCTTCCATCGCCATCTCAGGCTTCTCACATCTTCACAGCGAGCGACTTCTGGAGTTTTGCGCTCGCTCATCGCCATAAAGCTCCAAACTGACATTTCAGCACACACCGCTACTACCGCATAGACTCGAGTAACATCATTCTAGCAGGTAGAGGCTGTCCCTTTCTTGACTCCTCTCTTGGTTTCTATCAAGCTTCGACGTTTCACCATGAGCCCCTCTTCCAAGGACACCGACGCCGCAGTGCGAGCGACCAGCATTGATTTCGGTCGTGACTACGGCACCACGGCCTCTGGCTCGTCGCAAGCACCTGCGGAGCACGGCCATCCCGAGATCGTGGAGGCAAGCCCGGCGCGCGGAATCAACGCGACTGGTTCTGCGGCGACGAAATCATGGCGCTCCAAGTTTGCATATTTCAAGACCAAGGATTTCTGGTTCATCCTGCTCCTGGGGCAGATACTGGCTATCTGCATAACGGGCACCAACACTCTAACCACCCTTCTGGTTATTGAGGGAACCAGTATCCCGGCCTTTCAAACCCTGTTCAATTACGTATTGCTTAATATCATATACACCAGCTACACTTTGTACAGGTACGGCTTTAAGAAATGGACCCAGTTGCTACTCAAAGACGGCTGGAAATGTAAGTCTTCTCCATCTTCTGCCATCGTCGCCAATCTTTCAGACTAATCCTGAATGCTAGATATCATTCTGGCCTTCTTTGATGTCGAGGGCAACTACTTCACCGTCCTCGCCTACCGCTACACAACCATCCTGTCCGCACAGCTGATCAACTTCTGGGCAATCGTGGTGGTGGTGGTTATCTCGTTCATCTTCCTCCGGGTGCGCTACCACTGGGCTCAGATTCTTGGAATCTTCGTGTGCATCGGTGGGATGGGGATCTTGCTCGCATCCGACCACATCACGGGGTCCAACGGTGGCGACATCAGCAGCGGTAATCAGCTCAAAGGGGACCTTTTCGCGCTCGTTGGTGCGACATGCTACGGTCTGTGCAACGTGTACGAGGAATGGTTCGTCTCCGGACGGCCTTTATACGAGGTCATCGGACAGCTGGGTTTCTGGGCAACGATCATCAACGGTGTTCAGGCCGGCATTTTCGACCGTCAGGCATTCCATGAAGCGACCTGGAACGGCAAGGTTGCCGGTTATCTGACCGGCTATACTTTGATTCTGACGCTTTTCTACACCTTGGTCCCGATCTTGTACCGCTTTGCCAGCGCCGCATTCCAAAACATCTCGCTCCTGACCGGTAACTTCTGGGGCGTCATCATTGGCATCCGCGTCTTCCACTATAGTGTGCACTGGATGTACCCGATCGCATTCACGCTCATTATGGTTGGTCATTTTGTCTATTACCTGGGAAAAGGCGTCTTGGGCGAGGCGGCGAAGGCGTGGCTCGGCGAGAACCAGGAGAAGGGCATCGACGGCTTCGGCTCGGCGAAGAGACGAATTCGAAAGATGCAGGAGAGCGAGGCGGGGCCGAGGGGCGGCGAGGGAGTCGAGGGCGCCGGTGTAGTGTGAAGATGCCACACACCACTTGCTCCAGAGGCGAGAACATGACCGAAGGCGGGTCGCGGGTCCGTTGAGTCGGCACCCAATGGCCGCCGGTCCCATCATTCATTTCGTGACCGTGCGCAATGGGATCCAACCACACGATCCACGATCCACGACGATCATGCTTTTTGTACCTTCCACTAGAAAGAGAAATCGCAATACAGAATAATCTCTATAACAGTAACCTTGGAAAACAGGATCAATCTACTCGATAATAAACCTTTGCAGTGTGATCACTGGAGTGTTCTTTTTACTAGGTGGTGATTCATCCTGGAAAGGGTCCGCGAAGATTCGGCGAGAACATACGCAGCACAGCAGTGAACGGCTCATGACCACAGGACAGAGCAGAGATCCCAATTGGGAGACAATTCGTAGTCGTATCGACTCCCGTCTCCGCCGTGCCTTGAAAAACTACAAACGTGGATGGACACCTCCATTGTTTGTCACTCGGGGGACGAAAGAGTCCGCATAGCACGGGAACAGAAGGACCAAGGGGAAATCATAATTTGATGATATCATTCTTTGAATCGACTTTGGCCCGCCGATATTTTATGTGGAATGAGTTTTGAATTTTGGTGTCGTCCGACAACCAATCCCATGCCGTGCCATGCCATGCCGTTTCTTTCAAAGTACACACCCCGCCATACATGTCAGATGCACCCATGTTCGTTGGTTGCAATAGCGGTGGCGTCTGCATCTCTCTCTCTCTCTCTCTCTCTCTCTGTGTGTGTGTGTGTCTGTGTCTCCGTCCCGGTCTCCACTCGAACGCTTCCACAAGCCTCCAAAAGCGGTCTCTCGCGCGCTCTCCCACTACTGCTCAGTCTGGAAATAGTTCAAGAGGACGTTACGCTCCTGGCTCTCCTCGCCCCAGTCTCGGACGACAACGCAAGAGCAGTTGACGACCTTGCGGGCATTGCCCTCGCGGTCGAGCACGCAGAGACCGGCCCACTCGCCCAGCAACTTGCCGTCGGGAACCTTGATGAGGGGGATCTTGTGCTCAGAGCACAGGGCGATGACAAGTTTCTTGTAAGCCTCCTCCTCGCACGCCTCGTTGAGCACGCACATGTGCGCTTGGCGACGATCGAGAGCCTTGGATGCTTCACGTAGACCGCGGGCGAGGCCGTCGTGGATGAGGGCGAGTTTGAGGACACCTGCAGTGGCCGTCGTTGTCAGAATAAATACTTCATTGGCTTCCCTGTAGACCCTGGGGCAGTTGTAGAGGGTTGAAGCGTACCTTTCAGAGCGTCGAGGACGGACATGGATCCAGAGGATGCCGCGGCATCTCCTGAGACTTCAACTTCATCGGCTGCGGCGACGGGGGATGTGGGCTCTTCTCCGTCCGACTGTGTAAAGGATTGATGTCAGCTTGTCAGTTCACCTCCATGGACTGCATGTTATTCATGGTGAGGTCTGTCTAGATCAGGCTCTAAACCAAAGGTCGAGGGTGGCCCGGGCTGCCGCTCGTAGAGGACCCTTGAATTTGTCCAACCCAACAAGGGTGGAACAGCGAGAAGACGTACCATATTGGCGATGTTGCGACCCTTGCGGTTGTCAAGGAATCAATTGAAATATCAACAATTTTGTCGGAAGATCCTCAAAGAGTCACTGGGGTAGGGAACGAATTGATCGAGTTGGTATGAAGGGGATTCATAAAAGGAAGGAAAGCAACATCTCCAAATCGTTGGAATTTCGCCAGTCAAGCCGTCCTGATTTGGTGGAGTAATTGTGCGGCTTGGCGGTCGGCTTGATCACGTGACTGGATCCTCCCGACCCCTGAAGTACCACACTATCGTGGTACTATCTAGATTTCGAACACGCTGCATCTCGAGGGTACAATTGTTCTACTCCGGTCGTGGTCAGCGCGCTCTACTTAAATGGCTCATTAAGAATGACTTGGAATGTAAGGCTTGCAACGTCGTTCATTCGCTGGTAATGGCCAGCTTCCAGGTACCTAGTTACTACGTGTAATCCCAATCCAATCCGGCCACTTAGATAACCGTCCCGACTTATCACCATAGATGTGGATGTGTGTCTATGTGAACACCAGGGGCGGAGCGATGATGATATTCGTGGTGCAAGCCGGCCAGGCGGTAATAGTGTGTACCCCTAGACTTGGAACCCCTCATCATTGCTTGACTCATGTTGAAGCGTTGGGGAACTCCGTTTAAATTCATCATCAGGGGTATTTCATTCGTCAACAAGATAAAACCTTCTTTCATGCGGGAACAAAGAAAACATCATCACAAGCGAGTGTATCCATTGCTGTACAAGGCGGGCGACAAAACAGGGTTTACTCCGTTCGTGAGTTTTGGTGTAGATGGTAGGCAGATACCATTGGTTTGAGGTGACTGTTCCGTCGGGGTGTGTAGCCCAATGGTCCTCAAGGATATGGCTTGTTTCTTGAGAAGTAGTGAGATGAGATGCGGATGCCGGAACACTTGATCTTCGAAGTCGGAGAGCTACTCATGTCAGCATATGTCAACGCTCGCTGCTGGAGTTGGCATCGTACCTTTACCCAAAAGAGTTCCTCCATGGCGAAAAACTTGGGTCTCTCGTCCTCCTCTCTCTGATTGGCCTGTTTGATTGTCGTGTTCAGAGCGTTGGCCTCGTATTCATACGAGAGCATGTTTCTCGAAACCTTCCAAAGGCTCTGACGTTGGGCAGGGCTGACTAGCCTCTTCTCGAGCGATGTGTAATTGCGTAGGTTCAAGTCTTTAGTGGCCAGCAATCCGGCAACCTGAAAATTAGGCACCCACAGGCCGTCGTGCTCCGCATCAGATATTTGGTCACCAAGCTGGCTTGATTTGACAGTGAATAGTGGTAGGAATTTCGACAGCCACGGTACGCTCTTCGCCGCTGAGGTGTCATTGTCGATCACGAGTGCGGTCTGACACAACAGAGCAGGGAGGGCCTCTCGCCGGCGCCGTTCGATCTCAAGTCGTTGCAAGCGGAGTTGTTCTTCTTGACGCCGTTGTCTCTCTTCTAGCTCTCGCTTGATGCGTTCCTGACGCTCCTCTTCGTCTTTCCTTCTCCGCTCAGCTTCTTCCTCCGCTTTTCTGATCCTTTCTTTCTCTTCCGCGAGCCTTATTTCTTCGGCAGCCTTCTCAGCAGCTTCTTCGGCGGCCTTTTCAGCGGCCAATCGTTCTTCTTCTGCCCTCTTGGCTTCTTCGGCTTTGCGTTCCTCTTCTCTCTTCTGGAGCTCGAGCTCAGCCTCAGATGGGCCGGTTTCGATTGGTTCAGTCTTTACTGGAATCTCCACTTCCTCGATATTCTGTTGCGTCTTTTCTTCTGCAGAGTTGGTGTCGGCATCGTCACTGTTGCCTGTATGGGAACTTTCGTCAGGCTTACCCATACCCGACTCGTCTACGTGATTTTCGGATGAGGCAAGGTTGTATTCGGTCTTGGAAAGTTTACGTCGCTTTGGTCTTTCATCTTCGCTCAGGACTTGCTCGGTTTTGTGCTCGATCACAGGCATCAAAGTTTGATTGCCCCTTCGCTTTGGACCGGGTCGTGATTCTTCGGGACTACTCTCCACGACCGTTCTGCGTTTCTTGGCTGTCCCGCGACCGGCCTCTCCTTCCTCTGCCGCATCCATGTGCGGTGATACGCTCTCTCTTTGACGTTTGAGGACAGTACTTGGCTTGGTCTCCGTTTTGACGGTGGCGGTGGATTCATTCTCATCCGAAACTTCCTCTTCAACAATGCTCTTGCGCCGGCGATGCTCTTTCCCACTCACAAGCCGTCTTCTTCGATGAGCACTGTCCAAGTCCAATTGAGGAGCTGGCGGCAGATCACTTTGACTCCGTCTTTTGACATGACTCTTTCTCGGCATATTGACTGTTTGATCTTGGTCAGATGACACGGCAACGGACGCATCCCCGATGTCTCTGCGTGCGGGAAGATTTTTGCGACGGTCACCACCGTCAGTGGAACCAGAGTCACGATCTCGGAATTTCTGTGAAGACTGTGGCGATTTGTTGGGTAGAGATTTTTGTGTCAAAGTCGGGCTGGAGGGATTGGAATTGCGCAGCTTACTAGAGATCGGAGACTGTGACCGACGAACGGGTCGATTCTTTTGCTTGTCAGAATCTCTGGTCATCCGTGGCGAGGCTCCTTTCCGAGATCTCCCAGCTGCATGTTTGTCGTAGGCAGTTTTCAGAATATCAACTTCCTTCTGCCATTGCTCTCCTTTTCTCTCAAATGCGATTTCGTGGTAGGCCTTCCCCTTAAGTATCCTTCTCGTTGGGTTGAAGCCGGACTGTTCAACCAGTAATTTCACGACCTCCGGGTGCCCGCGGCCGATTGCTGCCAACACAGGGGTGTTGTAACCCGTCTTAAGATGACGAAGGGGTTCGGGATCTGACTCTGGATCACCCATGCCGAGCAAGTACTGCAGAACTTCTTCGTGTCCGGCCTTGGCGGCGGCGATCAACGACTCGGTTTCGGCCTTTTGCAAGATGTTGAGGATGTTCGCCACGCCCTGCACGTCACCCTTTGCTGCCAGGCGGGTCAAATTGTCCTGGGTGTTTGCTTGCCAAAGGAGATCATTACGAGTCGATTCACTTCGTCCCGTTCTTCGTCGTTGGGTTAGATTGGGTGGGCTGCGAGGACCGGTAACAGGGGGGGAATCTCGCGGGCTGGCAGCAGAGGCTGCTCGGGAAGAGTTCCTATCTTGCGCAACTTCCATTTGGTCGCTGGATTTTCGTCGACTGACATTATTCTCTCGGGCGTCTGCGAGTAGCTTCCTAAGCTCCGCGTGGTTTGGGTCGTCCAGAGGCACAAGCTCGTAGGGTTCATCGCCCTTAGCGTTCCCCAGTCGAGGATTTGCTCCATTCTCCAGAAGAAGCCGAACAACTTCAACGTGCCCATTTTCCACAGCGTCAATAAGCGGAGTTTCTTTGTCAATATTTCGTGTATCCACGTCTGCATTGTTTTCCAGTAGGAACTTGACAATGTCTTCGAAGCCCATCAACGAGGCAATTTGGAGTGGTGTATTTCCCGCGTTGTCTGCCAAATTCAGATCCTGCGGTCGTTCGATCAGCCGGGCTTGCGCTGAGACAAGATCGTTGGCATTACACGCCCGAGAAAGCGCAGTGCGACCATTTTTATCCCGGATTTTTCTAGGACCAGTGGCTTTGGCAGGAGACATTGCGTCATGGTCTGCGGAGGACAGCTTATTGAGCGTAGGTCTTGAGGTTTGAGGAGAATCCGAGTCTGATTCGGAGGCAGAAGGTGCGCGATGATCTGCAGAACCGCTTCTTTTGGTGTTGATAGCTGGTGGCCGCCCGCGTTTTTTACGCTCAACATCGCCAAGAGTCAACTGGGTCGACACACCACGCCTGTGCTCTCTCCGAGCTGGAGGTCTCGGTGAAGGGGAACGTTCGTTGGATGAATGGCGGGGGTAAGTAGCAGACCTAGTTTCTCGACGTTCGGAAGACCCAGGGTCTGCACCAGAGTTATGAGTTTTGGTCCGATGTTTGCTAATGGGGGGTAAAATGTCGCTTGGGCGGCGCCTGCGGGTTTGGATCTTGACTGGCTTTTCCTCGGCATCATCTGAATCAGCCGTGGGATTGTTTTCGCGCTTTGGAGGGCTCTGTTTCGAGCGGTGTAACTCGATACGACTGGATAAACCTGAATCACTGTCTGCTGAGTGGGTTGGAGCTCTGGGCGATGACAAGGGCGAGCTACGTCGACTGGAAGTTGGCGAGAGCGATTCGTCCTTTTGGTCGTCCACACTCCGCTTGCGTTTTCTTGGTCGATTCTCGGAGTCGGTCGCAGTTGCTCTACTCGGAGAATCGTCCTCTTTGGCTGGTCCGGTGTGAGCGGATCCAGATACAGACATGGCGTCAGCGTTGGTTCGTTGCTTCTCTGGTGACTGGATCAGAGTCTCAGCTTCCGAATCCCCCTCGACATCTACGGCCGCCGAGGTCTCCCCATTGTCATTGCTATCCACGCTGACGGCCGCAGCTTCGGCCATGATTTGATCCTCACTTGATTGTTTGGGTGCACAATCGGAGGCGGGTTCTTCGAGTTTCGGGGTCAGTGGAGGGTGGGAGGGGCTCTCGGTGGTGAGCAGGTTGGTTTCGGGCTTGGTGTCGACAGCGACATCCTGAGGCTCAGGCCTAGCCCCTACACCGTTCATCACCATGTCCACCTCTTCCTCACTCTTTGTCTGATCATTATCGGTGGCCGTTTTGAGGACGGCGAGCGTCGATTAAACGGGTGGAAAGGCTGGGAGAACGGTACTCCACTCGCGAGCAAAGCGGTGAAAGCACGAATCCTCCAGGCCGGTAAATGTGGTTTTTGGATGTGTGGAAGAATGCGGAGAGAGGGCTGCAGATGGAATATGATTGTTGCAACGGGGATAGTTGCTGGCGCAAGTGGGATGTTGATTGCTGGAGTGATGGCTCTGGTGGATGGAACTGGTGGACAACTCAACTCAGTTGGCAAGAGACAAGAGACTCAACTTGGGCTTGTCGGACTTGGCCACCGGTGCACACCCAGACAGGCTAGATTTGTCACGTGCAGTCTCTGCTCTCGAGTCGACAGATGATCCGAACGGTGGCCTGCCCATCGATCCCACCAGGCCTTCCACGTTCCCTGCCAGCCCTGCCTGCCAACCTGCCCCAACGACTCCCTAGTCCGTAGGGAGTCAGTCCCTATATTGATGCCTAAGGAGCAGCACCCCACCCGCCTCCTCGGCCTTCTCCCAATAACAAAAGGCCAGGCAGAAGGGGCTTGTTCGCCTGCCACCCATCAAGCCTCGTCTATTCACCACCCTTGATATTTCATTTCACGATCAGCATCTAATTTCACCTCCCACCACCTCTGGTGCTCTCTCATCGCCTCACTCTCCGGAGTTCACTTTCCTCCTGTCTGTTGCCTCCACTTCCTGATTACTCCGTAAATTGACGAGCGCCCTCACACCTCAGACTCGATATATTCACAGAGCAGGACCACCAGCAGCCACCAGTCGACTGCAATTGCTGCATCGTGGCTCCCAAGCTGGCCAACCCCCTTCTTTTGGCCTGGCTTCATGACAAGCTTCGTTGAATCGAGCTAAAAGGAGATCAGAGAGATTCGCGGTCACCGCCCGATGGCCCCCTCGGCCCGCCTCATTTTGGACTCGTCCCTCCGCAATCTCGATTTCCTGCTCGCCCAAAAACCTATTCTCGACCTAGTCTCCTGGACCATCAAGGCCTTCTACCTGCTCAGTAGTATCTCAATCCTCATTGTTCGCCTAACACCAGTACTCAGAGAGCGCTTTCTCGACTACGGAGTTCGTGCGCCCACCGGGACTGCGGTCCAATATCCTACCCCCGGAGACAACACTAAAAAGCCTTCGGCAAGCCTTCCATTTCTCGACTTCCTCGCGACCTTGACCGTCCCTCATTCATGGTTCACCCATTTCTACGTTCTATGTGTTATCTGTTCAGTCTTTCTGTTTCAGCAGGATGTCTGGTGTCGCATGACCTTTCCCGCGCGCGTGTCATCACAGGCCTTACTCCTCCAAGGCGGCAGGAGACTCCTGGAGTGTCTCTGCTACCACCGGAAGAGCAATTCCAGGATGTGGGTAGGTCACTATCTCGTCGGCCTGGCCTTTTACTTTTTCACAAACTTCGCCATCCTGCTTGATGGCGTCGACTGGTCCCACTGGGATCCGACCCATCCCAACAACGGAAAGAACGTCAATTCGGAAGGTTTGCTGCAACGTTTGCTCTTCGGCAGTTTCTTTGCACTCGCTTCTTACAGCCAGTCCCTATCACATTATTACCTGTTCAAACTCAAGAAATACACTTTGCCAGACAATCACGGCTTCAAATATTTCATCGCCCCTCACTACACAGCAGAGTGTGTGCTGTATGCCTCACTCGCGGTGATTGCCGCTCCTCCGGGCAATTATGTCCATTGGAACTTATTCTGCGCACTTGTTTTCGTTGCGGTCAATCTCGGTGTCACTGCTGACGGAACAAAGCAGTGGATGTTGACCAAGTTCCCGGATCGCCGAAGGGAAATCAGATTGAGACGAAAGTTGATCCCCTTTCTCTGGTAGAATGATCGTCCTAGGACACGATCCTCGTTCTCTGCCTCGCCCTCCGGAGTCGTCCTGCACATGCTCGATCTTACCTGCGACAACCCTCATCGTCACATGAACCAGTATTGTTTGGCATGTATTGAAAGGGCTCATTGATGAGAGAAACTGTTCTTTCTGCCGTCCTCGGCCTTCCCATCCGTCTTCTATGAATCCGTGATTGCAAAATACTTCCTTCGGGCAAGACGCTGCCAGCGTCGCTGTTCTACTCCTGAGTTGTCTGCGAATTGGATCTCTTTTCGTCCTCGTCGAGTGGATTCTCCATACTTCTGACGGTCAGAGACTACAGGCGCATAAACAACCTATTTCTAGTACCCGCCTTTTTGTCGAACAGATATCGAACAGTTGTTCATCAAGACCCCAGCGACTGTTCGCAGGACGAAAGAGGCCTGCTGCGAAGTTTGCGGACTTGCCTGTGATATCAGCCTGACCCAATTCTGTAAAAGCAGCGAGAGTTGTAAACAGCTGAACCTTTTCTAGTTCTGCCTCATGGAGTTTTTGACCAGAGTACAAGGCGCTCTAGTACAAGATCATTTCCCGGGCCTCAACTCTCAAATTCGGCTAGTGCCATTGAGCTTCAAGCATCAATTGGCATTTTACACTTGTGACTTGACTGTCAACAGCATGTGGGATATAGTTAATCCATCTGACTGGGATATGGAGGGCACATTCCCAAGTACTGCTGTCTGGCGACGACGTTCATCACTTCTTCAAAATATTCTAGGCACCCGGAACGAGAGGTGCTTTTTTCAATCGCTACCAGACCAACCATCATCCCCCATAAGACCGAACAGTCATCGGGAAGGAACGGTTCTCGCTCGCTCTTAATCTTCACAAAGTACCGTCTAGTGAATTGTTTGCCCGGGTCTCGTGGCGATGAAAAGTAGGACGGAGATCACATGTCTATCAGTACACGTGAAGCACCCCTGAATCTGTCATCCAGATGTCAAGCAGCTGTCAGGCTCATTTCATTGGAATGTGGGCGTAGTGACCCCTTGCATTAAGCTCTTGTGGATCGGTCGCTGGGCCATCTGTGTAACGATAAGGGGCTGCGGTACGTCCCTCGATTCACATTCAGGAAGGGGTATAATGACCACTTTTCCACTGGGAGCGGACTTTTGACTTTGGATGTTCTTTCGTCCACGCGTCTCTCCCCACTAGGATGCATACCTACTCTCGTCACCTATGCTACACTATGGCCGGCTATAACCCAATTCAGGACTTTGAGAGTTCACTGGACAGAACGGACGACGACGCGATTGCTGATGATATTCCATTACGAGGCCGAAAACTCGGCGAATCACACAATGTATGCGCGGAGGAGAATGGTAACAACTCAGATACAGCTCACGATGTCGAGAACGAGAAACCACCACCTCGAATCGTGCCAAAATGGAAGCGATATATGACCTACAGCTCACGCATCAAGTCATCTTGCATCGAAGCTTTACCCAGATTCTGTCAGCCCGGAGGCCTTCAGATCAGAGGCAAGCTCCACCCAACGTCCTACTTAGACGCTCTTCGAGGCTATGCTGCATTTATCGTCTACGTCTGTCACATGGTTACCTTTAACGTGGGGCAACCTCCCTGGCGCCATCAGCCGTTTACGTCAATTCTGTTTGCCGGTCCGGGCATGGTTGCAGTGTTCTACGTCATTTCTGGCTACGTCTTGAGCTATAGCCTACTGAGAAACATCCGCAGGCAGGAGTCAGCCCCGACCCTCGAAGGCCTCGCGTCCTCCACCTTTCGTCGGTATCTCCGACTCTACGGCTCTACCGTCTTGGCGATATTCATCACATTGATCATGATTCGTTTGGGCTGGTATGGGTATGACTTGTATAAGCCCGCGATCATCGATCAGATCAAAGACTGGCTGCTGGATGTCATCTTCTTTTGCAACCCTTTCGCTGATATAAGAGGGTATTATTACAAGGGAGTCCACGATACTAAATACCTTGGGACAATGTGGACTATCCCTGTAGAGTTCAGGGGCAGTATTATAGTATTCAGCTTCTGTACTGCCGTTTGCAAGCTTAGTACACGATCAAGAATGATCCTGACTTGGATGATCATCCTTCTCGGCTATCTCTGGAACGCGCTGTACGTGTCTCAATTTCTTTACGGCGTGTTTCTAGCAGACCTCTCCTTTGGCAGGCATCCTGAGCGTCTGATGCGACCCGGGGATCTTCCAAACACCCGAGTATTGCCTGTCCAGGGTCAGAGGAAGATACAGCTCATTCACGCCAAGGTATGTTACAGCCTGCTCTTCGTTCTTGCCATATTCATCCTCGGGCAACCGGATCAAATCGACCTGGGCATCTGGGGACAGTTTCCGTGGGGGTTTTTAAAGTCTTTTATTCCGTGGTACTACTCTTCGGAGTCGGGGCAGTACTGGTATCTCTCCATGGGTGCTTTTATCCTGGTGCTATCGCTCGAATCATATCCTATCTTGCATCGACCCTTGGAATGGGGAGTCAGCCAGTACATTGGCGATTTGAGTTTTGGCATCTATGCGCTGCATCCGCCTTTATTGTTTGGCTTCTATCGGACCTGGGAAGAGCCCATGCGGAAAAGGTATCTGGGAAATTCAGTTCTTGCTTACCTCCCAGGTCTGCTTGCCATGACCTTTTTGGTTTTGGCAAGTGCGGATTATTTCGACAGACTAGACAAGAAAGTTGTCAGGCTCGGGAAGTGGCTACAGGGCAGGACTTTCCGGAAGTGGAAAAATTGAAAAAGAAATGGCCGCCGCGCGTTCTACACTCAAAAGCCTGGAGAGGCCGGGGTTGGCGACGAGATGGGAACCTCGTCGACAGAAAGCTTGCCTTCTAGAATCTCCTCAGCCCAGCCATGCGCCCGTGGTAAGCGAAAATGCGACGTTGAGGGCCAACAAAATGTAGTCGCAACTACGTTCGACTTGAGCAATATCATCTTGATTGGCCTGTCTCTTTCACTCAGGTGGAAGGAGACTCACGGCATGGCCTATACGCAGAGCAAGCTGGAGAAGGGATCCGTTTCCTACTCCGAGGCCTGCGCCTAGTCAACGTGTCAAGTTACGGACAAAGCTCGAATCGGGTGGCGCACCTGTTCGTCCTTGGCTCACGGTTCTTGGAAAGCCAGGTCGAAAACCCTTCACCCTCCGGACAGGTGTTGACTAACTGTCAACAAGGCGAAACCAGGCTGAGGCTGAAAGGTCGTATAACATTCGGAATCACGCCTCAGCCAGAGAACGGGTCCAGCATTTCCGTTCGGCGCAGAATCGTCCCGGGATATTTACGTCTCTACGTAGGTTAAGAATAGTATCCGTAGAGTCGGCTTATAACGAATGCCCATCCGTCAGAGCCTAGGAGGTTCCGGGCATCTGTCTGCACTATTGCTAAGAGAAAGGAATCGTTTGATCTTATCCATCCAGCCTCCAGATATGTAAGGCTCGAAGTCAAATGAAAAGCGATTGGCTTCTGAAATTATCCCAGCGCGGAAAACAGCCTGATGCCTGAAAGTCCGACGTTGTTGCCAGCTAGACCTCGCTATGTTGCGACCAAGACTCGAACCTACATTCCACCCTTCCCATAGCTCCATCACAATTCCATCAAGCTGCTTTTCGCGAACACGAGCGGGAATGGCCAGGGAAACCCACAGGAGGACTCGTCGGAGCAGAAAATGCGAGACTTACAAATCGTTACCATCATCGAGATACCTGCCCGTAGAGAGATGGTATTGACGGCTTTGACGGCTTTACTAGACCGGGCGAGAAATGGAGGATGTGATCGCGAATGAACCCCTGATGGTGATGAATTTATGGATGCGATGCCACGACATAACGAGCCAAGTGTGGAAAGGATGCTAGCTTGAAACAATAGCAACACGATGAGTGATATCGGCAGGGCATGCTCTGATATCATGTCATTCCAACACTGACCCTCCCGTTACCGATTAGCGATATGATTTCTCGAAGGGAGTCCTCGTCTCATGCATAACCCATGTGATGAATAATTATACTAGGCCTGATCAAAGGAGCTCAAGCCGTCAAAGCGACTCTCCACGCATTTTGCGTCCCGTTGACCCACGAGCTAGGTGCATTCAATCAGTATCTGATATATACAGTATTGCCTAAGATATGTACTAGGAACTACCAGCCTGCCTAGGTCTTTATCTGAGGATTCTATATCCTATACCGTAAGCAGTCCAGATTCGGTATTCATACTTGCTTCCCACTAAGGTGGAATAGTAACGAGTTTAAGAGCGTCTCGGAGTGGGAATGTTACACCCAAGTCATAGTGAGTCTTCATTTGCCCACTCGAAAAAGAGCCAGCTCCACAATCTCAATATGCCCGCCTCCATCCACACAAGCCGGCAAATCTATCATGCTGACCTTCGTAGACTACTGTGGTACACGAGTTAGTCTGAGTGACTTGACCTAATACCCAAGTCCTCGGCTGTGGAGTCGATAGTATCATTCCCGAGGACGCCTCCTACCTTGATATCGTCTCAAAGGCTACTTGGTACGGGGTACCTTGCTAAACCAGTATGAAAACAAATCCAGGCTCCCTGGCTAGAGCCTTGGTATACCGGTGTACCCCTCTCCATCGGTCTTATCCGCTCATTCCCTCTCGTTCTCTCTTGCATATACAGGAAGTCTCGCAGCTGCCCAATCAGGCATGGTTCGCGTACTTGCAATGACGACAGGACGACATCGAATCACAATGGAAATGGAATGGAAGCCAAGTCTGCTTGACTTTCTCGGTACCGGCCTAGGCGCCTCCTAGCTAGTATTGGGGCCTTTTTTACTACCGGTGAACGAAGCGATGTAGATCAATGATAAACGCAGTAACTAGCTTTCTTGTCTTCTCCGCCATCTGCTTTGGAGATTGATAAGCCCTGGATCTAGGATGGTTGAATTGGAGAAGAGACGAAATAGGGAGGTGGTTGTTTGATCGAAGATCTGCTCAAGTCTTAACTATGCATGTCATGCCATGGCATGTCGGTATATGTATGTATGCTTTGGCTGGATTGTGCGGATTTTGCCTTCCCTCTCCATCTCTCTCATCGTCTCTTGCACAATAGCCTGTTTGTATCCTATATATCTAACCAGACATGGCTAGAGCGATAGCGTTGTTGGTGCTGCTCTCCCTTTGCGCAAGCACCTTCACACTCACAGTGCCCGCAAATACTAATGGGCGGCTCTCGTCTCGCCAGTCGCCGAACCCGTTGCAGGTTCGACAGGAGATCCAATCACCACTACTCTCCTGCCCTGCATCGTCATGGCCACATACGAATCTCGGCACGCGGATTCAGCCACAAGCTCCCGATTCGGAACTGCAAAGCATTCTGTCACAAGTGTCGCCGGCGAACATCGAGGCGACGATATTAAAGCTGGTCTCGTTTGGTACGCGCCATACACTCTCGTCCCAGACTGACCCGAAGCGCGGGATTGGCGCGGCGAGGGATTGGATAGCTAGCGAGTTCCGCAAGTATGCTGAGCCCAGCGGCGGGCGGATGACTGTTGAGGTGCCTGGCTACATGCAGCAGCCCGACGGCGACCGGGTCCTGTTCTCGGTTCTTCTCAGCGACGTCGTGGCGACACTGAAAGGCAGTGAAGACCCCGAAACGCTCTATGTCGTCAGCGGCCATTACGACACAAGATGCTCCGACCCCTTGGATTATGAGTGTGACGCTCCGGGCGCGGATGACGAGTAGGTTTCAGCTCTTCAATGCCCAGGAGATCAGTCCTGTTGCAGTGCCAGGGATAGAGTGTTCGCTGACAAGCCACGTTACAGTGCATCCGGTGTGGCGATCTCGCTGGAGCTGGCTCGTATCATGGCCACACACCGGCCAAAAGCGACCATCGTCTTTGTGGCGGTGGCCGGCGAAGAACAAGGCCTGTACGGCTCTCAATTTCTCGCCCAGACGTACAAGAACAACAGTGTGAACGTAGCTGGAATGTTCACGAACGATATCGTTGGTTCCTCGACGGCAGATGACGGGACAAAAGATCCCTACACCATCCGTTTGTTCGCCCAAGGACCTCCTCTGACTGAGAACAGTACTCAGCGGGCAACCCGTTTGAACGTCGGGGGCGAGAATGATTCTCCATCCCGTGAATTAGGGAGGTTCGTCCACGAGGTGGCAGCGAATGAGTACACTCAGATGAATGTGAGTGTCATCTACCGACTCGATCGATACTCGAGAGGCGGAGACCATCGGCCGTTCCTCGAGGCCGGGTACGCGGCGGCGCGCTTCACCGAGCCAAATGAGGATTACAAACACCAGCATCAGGACGTGAGGGTGGAAGGTGGCGTGCAGTATGGAGACCTCCCCGAGTTCTGCGATTTTGATTTCATATCGAGAGTCGGCAAGGTCAACGGGGCCGCGCTTTGGAGCCTGGCGAATGCCCCTGGCCAACCGACAAACGTATATGTCAACACGACTGCATTGGACAACAACAGCCAGTTCATCTGGGAGCCACCCCTGGGAGGCGGGATCGGGGTGACTGGATACGAAATCGTCTCGAGGCCCACGACTGCTGCGTTTTGGACGCATGCTCTTGACGTTGGCGACGTCCTCACCGCCAAAATTGACCTGAGCAAGGATAACGTAGTTTTCGGCATCAGAAGCGTCGGGAAGGGCGGATACAAGAGTCCCGCCGTCTTCCCATTCCCGCTCGTGTCAGGCTCTTGAGGGTCTTTGGCAAAGCATGTCATGAATGCAGTAGTCTTGCTTACTGGGTGCCATAGCTGGTAGGCGGGTATGAATATATATCAAATTCAAGGGACTTGGTAAAGTTTCTCGGGACCTAGCCATGGTTCATCCACGCAGCCGTATTGTCATGACCCATCCAGAAAGGAATATCAAAACCTTGCAACGGGTCCAGCCCATCCACCGAAAATGGAGGCATCTCGGAGACAGGGCCTAAATCCATGCTGCTAAAGTCGGGCCACGGCTTGCCACTGCCCACCGCATCGGGGAAGAACGTTGACTGAGGTAGTGCAGAACCAGTATCCCAGAACTGGACGTTTGATCCTCCTTGAGGAGTGAAGACTTGCTGCTGTTGATTTTGGAGCTCTTCCAGCCCAGATCGGAGGTTTTGTCGGGTACTGACCGTGCTGGAGTCAAGATTGTTGTACGGTTGCAGCTGGGCGCTCTGGGAGGAATTGCCGCCGGACATTTGTGGCTGGCCTGTCGTAGAATAGGGAGGCGGCCCGCCCCATTTAGGTTGCGACGCGGAGGGGCCATCTTGGGTTTGAGCCTGGAAATAGCTGTTCTCCTCATCATTGTGAGATCCTGGGTGCTCGAGATGTCCCGCCGAGATGCCACTGTCAGAGTGGATGGACGACCTCGTCGTGGTCGGGCGCGGTCGGTCCACTCCGCCGCCGCCGCCGTTCTGCTGCAATGCAGAGCGCATGTCCCTCACCGCGATCGCACAGGCAGATGGCCATATACTGCCTCTGGCACCGAGCCTCTCGAGGACCTGCAGGCTTCGATCCGTACACCTATGGCTAACGTTAGAACATATCCCACAATCAGTCGGAGCGAAATCGCCCAAGACTCGGTGAACTGACCGAACTGCGATTTGCGGATCTACCTGGTTCTCCATCGCCGCATAAAGCATGATAAAGGCGCTCATCCAGACTGCCCAAGTGAACGAGGGCCAGAACATCGGCATAAAAGTCCTGATACCTTGACTGGGGGACGTGGTCGTCGAGTCACCCACAGGGGCGACCAGACTATGCAGAACAGTGATGATTGACTTGGAAGCCGCAATACAAGTGTGCAGGGCCCCAGCGTAGCTTGCAGTCTTTTTGGACGTTGTCAAGAGCGGACGGTTGAGGGCAATGATAGATTCATGCTTGAGGACCTTGAAGACCGCCTTGTGCAGCGTGCTGAAAGGAATATCCTGGATATCAGCCTGTTCGATTGAGTCTTCCACATTGTTCCACCATTGCGTGAGTTTGGCATTGATCATCATGGCTCTTTCCAGACTGTCCGCTCGCTGCGCGACCATCTTGTTGCGCAGCTCCATTATCAACCCTTTGATCTCGGCGTGCTTGGAAAGGAGCGTCAGGATTCTCAATCGCCCATCAACCGGGCCACCCATGGCTTGACCGCTGGTGGTGGAGAGTTGGGCGTTTCTGCCGGGGACGATATGCCTTTCGGCATCGGGATAACAGACATCGACGTCGTCGTCACGGATAGTGAGCGGTAGTCCAAGTGCTTGGCATAGATGTCGATCGATACAGTAGATGGACCAGAAAAGGCGCTGACGCAGTTGTTGTTCCCCAACCGTGAACGAGGAGAATCTCGCAGGACATCGATGTAGACCCATCTGGAATGCAAGCCTAATGACCAGGCCTCCAAGCCTGGAGGCGGCATTGAGTCGCAGCATGGAAACTTCAAGGAGCTGAATGCAAACGACCGATTGGAGAGCTTTTATAGTCGCGGCTTTGGTCAGGGCCGGTTGTACACTATCAAGCGCTTCATCGAAGGTGGTGAACACCAGGCATTTGGGCACAGGTCTTTGGGTGGGATGCTGTCTCTGGCGACGGTCGCATAAGCTGATGGAGATGATGGTCTTCATGATGATCACCTCAAAGGTATTCTCTTCGGGGACTCCGTTTTGAGCGAACTTTTCGAAGCTTTCCAACACTGAAGGTGCATGGAGAAATGGATACGCGGGATGCCAAATGTCGAAATAGCTGGCGGACCAGTCGAGCAGCTCATCGAACGTGAAAGGCACGACGTCCTGGTGGTGATCTTCGAAGTCGACCTCATGCGGTTGCCATATTTGCCTCGACACTGTAATGCCGTTACCAGTTTCGAGCCGGTCATCCTCTCCAGGCACCAGGGTGCTCTCCGGTGTCTCGCCATGGGTGTTTGGAGTCCTTCCAGCCATCGCGCTGTAGACAGAACGGATGAAATGGATTCCACTGGCACTGCCAACAAAACTGGCCGAAGTGACAGTGCCTCCATTGCGCATCAAACCGACCTCCTGTAGCCGTCCAGGGTCCTGCTTGTGAGTCTCTTTTTGTCGTTTGGCCGGACGTTCTTCGCCATTGTCGCGCCCGTTACTGTCGAGGGGCGATGAGGTATTTCGATATGGCTGCATGGTACTCAGTCCTAGGAACTCATTGACTCGGAGAGTCGATGTGATGTTTTCACGATGGATGCGAAGAGAACGTGGTAATCACAATTCATGACGGAACGATGCCTCGCTCGCCGTTGGACAAAACATCCTGCAATGGCGACAAGAGCCCCAGCCTTCACGGCCCCTGTTTTTACCCCGCAGAGCTTGATCCGCTTAGGCGCTGTTGAACGGAGCATTCGTACTCCCATCTTACAGTTACATAGCGATAATTCCAGATATTCGTCGTTAGTGCCCAAACCAATCCTCAGGCTAAAGAGAAGGAAGTCGATTGCCCAACCTTTGCCTTCAAGGACCTGCTCCATGCTGACATCTCCCCGATCTACAACCCACGGGGCGTCACGTGGGTGCCACGAGCGCACTATTCGGTTCAAGCTGCATAGGAGACTTCCATGATACCATGGAGGAAGTCAACGGCCTCGACATTTAGAAGAAAGTGGTCAAGCCTTTGACATTCTTCACACGAGAAGGACTAAGTATCTAGGCAGAGAATGAGATCGTGTGAGAAATCGCCGAACCTGAGTTATTGCGACTGTGAATACCAAAAAGACCCCAAACTACTAATTGCCCTTGACACAACGTACGTACATTCACGGGAAAAGGGCTCAATCCTCGAAAGGTTCTTTGATAGTGCAACTGCTTCTGAATAGTTAGTAGAAATCAGTCTCCCACAAATGGTACTGCAAAATTCAAAAGAACCGGCGCCACTGACTCGAGGACAACTGCTGTGCCCGACTACTTCCACCTAGGGTCTGTCCACCGGCAGGAGAATTGGCGTTGTTCCCTTCTGCACTTGTAGACCTCCTGTGAGATTGGTCTGGATCCTGCAATGGGAGCCAGGAGGGCTGTGTCGTCGTGGCGTTCACCGGGGGAAGATTCCTCCAGGTTTCTGGTGGTTGAGTTGGTGCTCGGTAGGCCACAAATGAAGTGGACGATACGCTTTCTGGTGAACTCGTGAAGCTTTTGCCGATGTTCACAGGTCGAGCAGGCGGGGGCATCATGGTATTGCTGTCGCGTGTTGCACTTCCATCACTAGTTCCACCGGGCGATGCGTATGATCCCGTGTCCTGGTTATGCGTAAATCCCGTTGGCAAGAAAGGCTGTTGCTGTAGGTCACTACTACTTGCCGATCGCTGAACTTGTGGCCGTTTCTTCGAGCTGGGCTGTTGTTGTGCCGATTTCTCCGCAAGGAGGCCAACTAGAGACAGTCGATCGTTCAACCACTCTGTTTGCTGAGAAGATGTGCGAATAGGCAGCCTTTCCCATTCGGCGACCTTCTCAGCCTTGGTTTGGTTGATATTTTGTTTTGTAATCACTTTGTTGGTATCCACGTTGTATTGACGTTCTTTCGCCGTCTCCGCATCGGCCACTCGGCCATCGAGTGATGACGGTTGAAGTGAGAGTAACTGTAGCGCATCGAATAGCGCCAGCTCCGTTTCCAGCAATCGTTTCTCAAGCGCAGCGATGTACCCTGGCGGAAAGCCTCTAAGCAATAGTGGTCAATCCCGAGTTTCACAGATTAATGCTCTTATCATCGTACCGCTTATTGCTCTCTGGGTAAATACATCGCATGCCAGTCCCAGCACACTGAGTACAGATCGGGAGCTTGCGATCACACTGCTCGGGATTGCTTGTCAGCTCTAACTTTTGCAAGCAACTTCAAGATGCGTCCTTACTTTGCATTTCTTGCCCCGACAAGACTCGCATGCAACAACATTGACTTCTAAGAGCTCCGACTGTTAGTATTCGCGTGGAGAACAATGTGCAGCATTCTCTGCAGTCTTTGGGCCGGTGTTGTAGCAGAGATTTGCCGAGATACGGCCTTGAGTGTCCAGTTGAGAGAGGCTTCAAGGTTTCGGCATTCGACATCGCCGTGTGACCTGAGCTGAGCTGAACGTAAGTCGAGACTACTCACCACCAGAAACAGCAAGCAATCCTGCCATATGACCTGATACCAAGTCTCATAATGCAAATCGAACGGTGTAACGGAAACCCGCTTGACTTTCTCCGCATAGGCGCTGAATGACAGACAACCAGCCTATCTAATAATGAACAGACCGGTAAAGGCTTTCTCCGGTGAGGTCAATTTGAAGCGTTGACGATAACTTGAAAGTGGTGATGGCGCTTCCTTTCCGTTGAGTTGGTGGCCCAAACGCAGCGACCAGAAGGATGATTCTGGCTTATGCTGTCGGGGAAAGCTTTATCCGATAATTATGTGACAAGCTAACTTCTTCAGTCCCCAACATTTCAGCGATAACGCAATCGAGGATATGATACTCACTCCCTTGTGTGACTTACTGCAGCTTGAATCCCAAGAATGGCAGGGCCCGGTTGATCGCGAGCTCTTGCTCCACGAGTCAACCCAAGCATAGCAAAGAATGTGGATTACGTGACTTTTCAAACAAGTAGATAGTGTCCTGCCTAATTGCGTGTATGCACTGTGCAGCTGCTATTTACGATGAGGATTTTGGTACCGGTCTGGGCAGAAGCGTTCTGCGATCTGTCTCGCCGAAAGGTCTGACTGCTCAAGTCACAGCCCAGTGAGCAAATTCATAACATGAGAGTTCCCTGCCTTCTCCAGGATCTAACGCCTTAGAAACTCCGACAAATCACATTGGAGGGCCTTTTGGATCTGGGTAAAGCTTTGATCCCTTCCAGCCCTTAATCGTCATGGGAGGCCGTCCCATGTTCTTGTATTCGTTGATCGCCTGCCTCATCACACAATTGCCTGACATTATTATCCACCAATCATACACTCTCCTCAACATGTCGAAGAACAGGGTACAGTTGTTCCTGATCAGACCTCTCCTTGCGGTCGTCGGTCCCTGACATGTCGGTGTCAACATTGCTTTCTTCCTTGAGGTCGATCTCGTTGTCATCAGCTCCATTGAAATCTCCACGCTCGAGTCTCTTCTTAATAAACTCTCGCATCCATTCAATGAGACGCATATTCTGAACCCAAACCTCCGTCTGATCGGCTTCCTTTGAATCGCTCTTGGGTGTGCTCGCATCAGCGCTGAGGGCCGGGTCGATGACGCTTTCCTGCGGCGAAGCCTTGCCCTTGCCCTTGGCTTGCTTGTTGATGGTGGAGGCCGGGGGAGTGACAGACCCGTCACTGACAACATCCATGTCGTCTTTGCCTCTAGCGGGCGCCGCCCGCTGGAGCATGCCACCACTATACCGTCGTCGATGGTCATCGGTATCGTAGATACCGCTCAGAGTTGCAGCGTTGGCAGCGGCGTTGGCAATATCACCGGAGCTGAAAGGCAGGGTGGGGTACATCGCGCTGTTAGATGGGGCAGCATGGCCTTGCAGAGGGCTTTGACCGGATGTATAGCTCTGCGCAGATGAAGGGGGAGTAAGGCCTGGGGTGCTGGCATCGGTCGCGCTTGCGATGCTACCCTGGTGCTGGTGCTGGTGCTGAAGCATCGACGTTGGGGTGCTGTGGGAGGCGGCCGATGGCAGGTGAGAGCTAGGTGGGCTGTTGCTGGTCCTGTAAGCAACATAGCTCGCTCCGGGCTGAGCCATGCCAGCGTTGGCCAAGTGAGTGTCATTCTCATAGATGGTAGCTTGCATTTGTTCAAGAATTTGATCGATCGAGGTCAAGTCTTCACGTGTCTTTGCGTTACCCATGGGAGGCAAGCTGTAGGCCTGAATTGGGTCGGCATGGTCGTAAGCTCCACCGACGGAAACAGGCTGGTATGCGGGAACTGCGACAGCAGATGGAATGATCTGAGGAAGTTGAAGACCCTGAAGCTCGAAGAGGCGACGGCTGACGTTGTGGAAATTGACGGGATCAAGCTCGCGGCGTTTAACTTGACCGAAAAAGTGATCGAGAGCATCATAACCACGCTTGCGAGTCTCGAAGTCATATGTCGTTTGAGGTGCGGTGCTGTAGTATGTCACTGGGCCATAGCCTGGGTGTGCGCCAGCCTGGGTGGATTTGTTAGCGCGCGGTCTCTACTCAAGAACAATGGCTCAACTTACCGAAGGATGAGGTTGATAATACTGATTGGGGTGATGCTGACCCGCATAGTCCTGAGGACCAGGCATAGCAGGGGCATAGTAGTTCGGGGGAACTTGTCCTGTCAGAGGATGACCATAGTATGAGGCGTTGTAGTCCCCACCTTGAGGCATGCCGTTTTGTGGTTGACGCTGTCCGCCATTAGGTTCCAAATTCGGAGAGCGCATGATGACACTGTCATCAGCATGCGTTTTGACATGCTTTTTCAAGTCTTGAGGACGCTTGAACGCCTTGCCACAGAACTCGCATTTGTGAGGCTTCAAGGGAACATGGACTCGAATGTGGGAGGTAATGTGATCGCGTTTAACGGTGGTGGTCCGGCACTGACCCCATGCGCAGGTGAGGTTGAGGTTGTTGGTGGATTTGCGGCCAACATGGCGTTCACAGACATGTTCCTGCCGACGGTTAGACACAAGGTAGGAGGACTTCAGCGAGAGAGGTCAAACTTACGTAGAGGGCCTCTGGCGAGGTGCAGCGCTCGCCGCAATTTTGCCACTGGCATTGCAAATTTTCACCGGCAGCGTTCACATTCGGTGCAGCGGGTTGAGCGGCAGCGGCAGGCTGTTGAGGCAATTGACCTTGTTGTTGGACAACATCCTGAGGAGGAGGAGGAGGAGGGTTAGGGGTGCTGGTGCTGGCTTCGCCGAGATCAGACATTGTTGCGAAGCTGCCAAGACGTGATGCGAAGAGCAGGTCGGAAGAGCCAAGATATTTCAGTCGATGACTTGGCGACGGAGAGGAACAGAAATAGGTCGAATAGCAGACGACAAGGCTACACAACACTCGTGAATCGACGGCGGAGACGCTTCACGCCCACGTCGGTGATATTGCGATGACGGCGGTGTGAAGAAAGGACAGTGAGGCCGCCTGAGTTGAGGTGAAGAGTGCAGAAGTGGAAGGAATTACTGCAGACCCTGGTAGTGGTGGGTGGTGAAATAGACTTCTGGCTTTCACTGCAGGCTAGCGGTGTTCAGTCACCTCGACGAGACAGTCGGCTTCTCTAATTCATACAATTAACTCAAAGCTTGGAACACTGATGAGAGAGCATCCGAAACAGTGAAGTGGTATGGGGGGGTGGAAGAAGGAGGATAGAGGACAGAAGCAAATGGAGGGGGAGGGGGCGGGTGATATGATCGGGTTAACCACGAGGAAAAGGACTGCTACTACTGGAATTAATTGCGAGGTGATTTCACTGGCGGGGGAACTGATATCCACAGCCCACCACTACTACTGGACTACTGATTGATAATGGCGAAGGGCGGGTAGAAGAGGGAGCGCAGCACAGGAGTGTGTGCCAGCGTTGTGATGATTTAATGGGCCACTGGGCAACCGGTCGCAGGGAGAAATGGAAATGGGAATGGGGTGACAATTTGACCAGCTTGACTCGTTGAGATTAACTTGGAAGCTTGTCTGGTGCCGGAAGGGAGAGACAAGACGGAGACAAGACATGCGCAGAGACTTGAGCGACTTGGAATCGAGAGGGAATGGAAGCACCCACGGGCACCGCTGAGTTCCAGAGTCAGTGTCACGTCTGGCCAAGGCTTTTCCTCGTCAGCGGGCTGGGCGCCCAGACCTGATTGGCGCCAAGGGGTTTGGCCAAGCCGCTATTGCTGGGAAGGACTTGAGGTTGCTGCAACACATGTGGGGCACCTGCCTTGCCTGCACCGATTCGGGAATAACACCTGATTGTGGCTGTCAGCGTGATACGAGATCGCTACGAACAGTGATTGTAACAGTTATTCTATCGAGTGTCGCAGGCTGCTGTGTGCTTGGTGGGCGTGCTGGACGGAGTTCTGATCTGCGTCGGTTCACTTGGCCGGAGAAGGTTGGGTGGAAGTTGGCCAAGGATGCCCAGGGATATGCTCAAATTTGAGGTCGGAATGTCTTGGGCTCTTGGACATTTCTTGGGAGCAGGAGCGGGATGCCCAGCTTGAACCTTCTTGGATTGTGACACCTTCGACTGGCAAGATCAGGTCCTTGCTAGGGGGCGCAGTTCTTGGTACGAAGGGCGCCCCTCTCGGCCCTGGGAGTTTCATGAGATCCAACCGTTCACGTACTCCTTTAAGCGATGGGTGGCAAAGGAAGGAGCATATCTCGGCGTCAGATCGGCACATCATGCAACCTGACGAAGTCCTCCACACACCCACGTTTTCTGATGCCCTGATGGTTTTGGTAGAGCAGCGTGTGACTCGTAGTACGGGTACTCCGTACCATCGTTTGTACTCCGGCTATGGCTTGCCACGATTGCTTCTCATTTCTTGTGTGCATATTCATGCCTCGGTGCCTCCGTTTCCTTTCTCCCGCCTTGCAGATGCTTATGTCCCTAAGTGGACCGTCCAGCTTTATCCCACCTTTTGCGCTCGTAATGGCGTTCGACCGTATGCCACCCTCCAAGAACATGAGATGCACTCAGAATTCCAGAGTACGGCCTCATCGGTGCGGCAGCTTGGATCCCATCGCTGGTGCTTCATTCACATTCAACCTCATTTGGAAGCTCAACGAGGTTGTCCGATATATCACATATCATATCAACATGCCACGTTGCCCGGTGCCCACGTTCAAAGGAGGATCAATCTCACCGCCATATTATGCATACTTCAGCCAACTTCGGACTTGACCCCCAGATTGAAAGGCCTCGACGCATTAGGTATGTGCAGAACCCACGTGGACCACCAAGCAACTCCTCCCTCAAACTTGGCTCAATCCACAATCCGCATCAAAAACAACGAAATCAAATTGACGTCAGCTCCTCCCTCCGACCAATTCAGTCTCCCATCCTTGGCGAAGTCCCAAGGCCTTCCCACCTCCCTCCCCGTATTTTCCAAGAAAATCCAAGAATCCAAGAATCCCAAGACTCCAAGAAATTCCTCCCTCGCGACCAAGACTCCCAAGACTCCAAGCCTCCTCCGAGTTATGCCCAGCCTTGCCACCTTCCAAGACATCCCATTCCCGTCCCCTCCCCTTCATGCCAAGTCACTTTAAACAGAGGACACGTATGCCAACACCCAACGTGCATGTTGCTCTATGTCATAGCATACAACAGGTCAAGCTGCATGGTCATTCTTTTGCTTGGGAGCGGAAATTCTTGGAAGTTGGCTTCAAGCCTGAACTCACCCGCCTGAGACGTCGCAGCACATGGCGTCAAGACCGATCAGGCCCTCCTCAAACACGACCCACCACAAGAGCTCCGCGACGGTAATAATAATCATCGGCCAACGCACCCTGAATCAAGGGCAATAAGCGCTCAATAATGCATTCACAGATTGGAAAGAACCCAATCTCACGACACCACCCTCAGTCCCCTCATGCATCTTGACACATCGCAGCGAATGGGTCTTTGCAACAAGAAGTAATCACAACGGCAGCCGTCAATTGTCACCCTGTTCTGAATAAGTTCCCTGTAATTTCTCAGACATCCTCTCCCTACAGCAAGCGAAATCAATGTCCGTGAGATGCCAGGACCTCTCTGTATGAATACCCGATCCTGGCCAGAGAGCCACAACAAGTAAGGGCAGTGAGACGGGAGACGGCCGAGAGAGATGCCGGTTTCCAACACCCATTAATTACCTGCCAATTGCTAGTAACCTCTGTTCTCTCCTCTTTGGTATTTACACCTACTCGTACGATAGACCTACTTACGCTGCTACGCACAGAGTGTAATGCGAGACATTGAGTCCTAATTTCAGAAAAATAGTAAAATGTGCCCATGAATGAATGAATGTGTGTGTGTGTGTGTGTGTGTGTGTGTGTGTGTGTGTGTGTGTGTGTGTGTGTGTGTGTCCTTTCTCTGCTAGACTAAAGCACCGCACACTTATCAACGTGGCCCGTAGCGTGTCGAGTCACACTGTACCAGACAATAAGCTATAACAAGTGCACGAGCCTATCTATGTACCTAGGCGTGAACATGGCATGTCGACAAACGCAGAAGACAAGGAGGAGGCGCACTCACTGTATCAAACGATCGCAGTATCTCGTTCAAATGCATGCCCTCCCTCCCGGCACCCGCGCCCACTCAGAATAAGGAGCAGGCCTCTCTACCACTCATCCCAGTCCCACCACCCCAAAGTTTGATCATAAATCACGGTGAAATTCACATAGTATTTATTCACATCCACGTATCGCTTCTCATCTATGTATATCTGCCGAAGTCCCTGGTGAGCCCCTCCACTGTAACTGGCTGAGTTACTGCGCGGCGCGTATTGGCTGGACATCCAGGACGACCATCTCGTCACGTACGCTGGGGGTCTTGAAAATCATGTTTACCAAGACTAATCGACCTCCTTCACATTCCTCCTCGTCCTCAACAAGCAAGCAAACAGCACTTATCAAAGCTGCCCGTTAGCCTTCATGCAATAAACCCACCAGGGGGACTCCCGACGCCGTAGGAAACATCTCAAGTTCAGATGAAGAAAATTTATGGATCACACTATCCGTATGACCCCTTTTCGAACCCCGTAATGCCTGGTCCTGTTCCGTGCTTTCTCGGACCGGAGACGTCGTATGGTATGTTCCTCATGACATGTGCGAAAAGTAGCCATCTAGGTAAGTTCTACATGGCCTGACCATCTAGTTAGCTCACGTCCAATCCATATGCCAAGACCAAAAACAATCCTCTCCTCCGGTCTCGCAAAATGTCCATACACGCTAGAACTCTAAGACGACCGAAGACGTGAGTGCGAACCAAAGCTCCAGTCAAGACTACCTCAAATACGGCCTCACGAATCTCTACTGTGGGTTAGGGAAAGGATGGCCGGTGCCCCAATTTGCACTCCAGCTCTCGGGGTTGTAGAACTCGTTCAGGCCCGACTCAACACCGGGCGTGAGGCCGGTCCTCATGCCCACGTCGTTCTTGTGCAGTCGATTCCAGTACTCGTCTGAATTCTGCGAGATACCTGGATCTGAAATCTCGGGGGTCCCCGTCGTCATCGGGTCTTGGAGATGTGGCATGTGGGTGAAATGGGAGGGGCTGTTGTCGCCTGCGAACGTGTTCTGCATGATTATGTCTGTCAAAGGTGTGCTAAAGTGGCTGGCGGTCCCACCGTAGGCGTGCATCAGCCCTGGATGCTCGTTCAGTGCTCTTTGATAGGAAAAGTCATAATTGGGTGCAGGTGATGGCTGTGGCATTTGGCCAACGCTTGTTGTTGGCGTATCATACATGGAGTGGTCGTTGGGCCCGGGAAACGCATCCATCCCAGAGTCTTGGAACGAAAACTGCCCGTCCGACGACTCGAGGGTACTTATCGGTTGGTTGGGATATGCAAATGGATTGTCGCTTGGGAACATGACGTTTTTGAGATCCGGGATTTGGGCATTTGCCATTTGAGGTGTATAGTCAAGGCTTGGAGATATAGGTGAAGCGGTTGAAGGGCTTCCAAAGGCGGCCATAGGAGGCTGCGGGGCGACGCCGTCGTGAAAATTCGCCATCACAGGAGCTTCAGGCATCGAATTTCGTTTCGCGATCTTTGCAAGAAAATCGGAGGGGAATGTTCGTGCTCGGGCCGGAGGGCCTGTAGGCTCCCGAAGACTGATTGGAGTGGCAACTCCCGATGTTGGTTGCTTCTCCTGCTTTGTTTCAGCCGAGGGGGGAGGTCGTTTGCGAGAGGTGCTAGGAACAGGTTTGGTAGAATTTCGCCGCTCTTGTAACTTGGTCGGCAATCCATCAAAGAGCGCCTGAACTTTGTGAGTATGAGACGCCACACGGTGATTCCCAAAGTCACTTACTGATAAACTGAGAGTGCATCTATCCGCGGCCATGCTCCGCTTCGCAAGACTGGCGAGCGTTTCTCTTCCTTCGGTCGCATCTTTCAGGATGTCTTGCCCGGTAGGGCTGTTAGGGTTCTCGATAACAAAGAATACAAGTGATAATATGGCGAAGTAGGTGGTATACATAACAAACCAGTAGGATCCGACCAAGAGGCCTCTTCTTTTCATTTCGCTCGTGATATGAACGATATTCCGGCTGACACTGATACAAGCAGCCGCACAAGCAAAACTTCGCTTATCGACATTCTTGCTTTGACATGCCTGTGAGACATAATGTAAGAAAGGTCGGTATATCATCATTTGCACGTGAGCGTAGGAGATTCGAAGTAATTGTTGTACCCTAAGAAGAAATCAGTGACCTGTACCAACTCAACCGTAGACTATTTGAGTTACCTGGCTAATTCCTTGTTAGCGCTCTCTGAAGGTCTCAAGTCCATAGGTAGTTCATCCATCCAAGTTTGAAGATCCCGTTCCAGTTCGCGTATTCGACGGTGGCTGATGGTGTACCGCTGGTCTAAAGACACACTGTCCAAACCTTTAATTGGGTATATGTATCGCACCACTTTGCGCAAAGTGTGTGTCAACCGAGTAGAAGCGTTGGTTGCTTTCAAAAGTGGGAATACCCCTGCCGGCATTGATTGAATGCCCTCTGCGGTGATGTATTCATCATCCACTTCAGTCGGGAACTCTTGGTCAGCGTCGTCGTCGCTTAACATTTGTGGAAGCCCAAGCACAGCACCGACGTATGAATCCATCTTTCGAACGAGCCAGAATGCTCTTTTCCGCTCTTCCAGTTCGATGGGATTGAACTTATGCGAGACGACTCTGTGCAATCCCAAGCGACAACACGCTCTTAAGGCAATACCGACGTAGGCGTAGCAAGTCGGAAGTTTTGCGGTGGATTGAAGAAATAAGATCATGAACACGATCGCCTGTAATGAGACCAGATCCCGGCAGTCTGTGATGTCCAGCATTTGTTTGGCGCAATTGAAATATTGGTAACTATCAGGTATTGGTCAGCGCACAAGTGATTCAATCCTGAAAGGCGATCTTACCCTTGTTCTGTTGCCTCCTTGTAGCCTTTGATATCGAGCATGGTATTGTCGTCCTCGGTCTTGGAGAACAAGCAGCCCACCGCCATGACAACGTAGAGAAGGGGTAGGAACTGAACGTGTTCATTGTTGTACTGCTCCGGTTCAGTTTCGTAGAGTGCGTAAAGCCGTTTGAAGAACGTCGGTCGATGGACGGGTCGCATTAAGGCGCAACAGTCATCAAGAGTGTTGCAACATAATTCAATCGCCACTTCCCTGGGTGGTAAGTCGATCGCAGCAGGAAGGTTGAAGTCATAGGGAGATGATTGTGCAGATCTCGGAGACTCCAGAACTTGAGATATGGTGCGATTTTTGTTTAATGTTTTGAAGTCAGGAAGAAGTTGGTCTCCAAACTGGGCTCGAAATCTGCGCATGAACACGTAGCCTGAAGAGTGGCCGTGGAAATCCCAATTTCCAGTATCGTCGAGATCCAGAGCACCGGTACGATCGACCATTGATTGCAACTGAGCATCATCCTCGAGCTTCGGTGTCCCCGGTGCTGCTTTGGGCTCGGGACGAGGAATGGTGCGGGCGGACTCGACTAACTGCTTGATAGAATGAGCATCGAATTTCGGGTCGTCTAGGTCAAGGGTCGGCAGGACTGTGCGCAAGACGGCTTCCGCCTTTTGTAGGCGTGACTCCAAAGCTTCAATGTATTGAGGGGCAGGATTTCGCCGGCGATTTGACGGTTGATCATATGTACACTCTACAGGGACAAGGTCAGCAAGATTCGACGAGCGTGCACTTGATCCGGGAGTGGGCTTACCGTAGCTGTATACCGTACAATGCGTACAAGGCTGTTTGCCGTCGCATTTGATTTTCTTCCGTCTACACTCGTCACAGGCTCGAGTCACCCTCCGACGTTTCTGCAATGGCGCAGAGGTCTTCGCACCAGATTCGTCAGGAGAGTCCGCACTGGGTGACTCTGGACGTGAGTCCGAGGGATTATTTGCGTCTTTGTTGCCTGAAGCATCAGTCTGAGAAGTTGCGGCGGCATGTGTCGATAGGTCTCCTGCGGCAGGGTCCAACGATTGCGGAGTGACCATGTCGTTGTCGTTGTCGCCCATCGTGATACGGGGCTGAGTCAAGATTGAAAGGGAAGCCTCAAGGGGGACGAAGTGCAAGACAAGGCGCTGGTGCGCCCATTCGCCTAGCTTGATCAGCTACAGGCTAAGAGTTCCGACGTCGGTGATGCATGGAAAAAGGTTGAAGATCACAAATTTTGGTGGAGGGGATTCCAGTCTCAAGAACTCGCTGTCGGCCTTAAGATTCGGAGAAAGAGGGCCCCGCAGTTGAGAGAGGCTTTGCGGTGATGACAAGCTGCGATGCGAAGGTGAGGGATCGATTGGCAGTCAAGTAGGGCGTCGTGCCTGTCGAAGCGACATCTGATTTTGAGTCACGAGTTGCCCAAGTCCGAACGGGGTACAAAAATACGAAAGGAAGAAGCACCGATCTCACGGTTGCCTCGCTCCCCCAAGTCCCAACGCAACAACGGATGTGAGCCTGCGGTGTCGGTGGATGGACCAGTAGGAGTTGCGTTGGAGAGCGCGCAATGCGTCATGGAAAGGATGAATAATGCGATGGACCGCATTCGAAATAGACTCCCAATGGAAATGGTCTTTGCGGCTCGAGTGGCTCAAGAAGGTTCAAAGTCGCACGATTTAAGCATGAAAGGGCTCGTCTGGGTGGGAATCGTCGATGGGTCCGAGGGGACGTTCCTCGATGGCGGCCGCGCCCCCTGGAAGCGACAGCCACTGACAAAAGCCAGCGTGGGCAACCGTGGGTATCTCCTCCCCAAGAGGGCATTGTGGATGGCGGGCAAACACCGATCCTGCTACTGCGGTGCATTGACTTTTGGTTAAGTGTCCCAGGGTTGTGACTTGCTAATAGGGTTGCCCTGGTCCCTGGATGCTTGTAACCCTGGGGCACTCGCTTGTTGACGAATCTTATGAACTTTTGGGCGGAGCATGAGTACGAGGCACCATATGCAGCCCACGCTGGCCCAAGTGGTACGAGGCACTGGAATCGCTCGACGCCAGCTCAACTTGATTGGGAACCTCGGTGCACCCAAGCGCGAAGGCCGCCCGGGCCCAAGCAGAGACGGTGTACGAGTAACTAGTTATTGGCAAGTTTGGGGATGGTACCTATTCTAGTTCCAGAGTGCGGTGCCTCCTTGCAGCGACGAACAAGCCTGTTCACGGTTGGACCAATGGGCCACCAAAGACTATCGGTGGTGCTTGTGGCGTCAGATAGGCGTCCACCTCCTCGCGTGGTTGTTCCACTAAGGCGCAGTCCCACCAAAATCCAGTCATTCCCCAGTGGTCCATAATCCCTCCTCGTACGCCTTGCTACTAACTAAGTAGAAAGGACTGGACTAGTTCAGAATGGCCCGAAGAAGAGACGCTCAGCACAGCACAAGTATTTCTACATATACGTTGCCACACGGGTCACGAAAGGCCGAGAGACGAGGATATAAAAGCAAATTCTTTGACTCAATAAACAGGGGACTCAGAAGCCTCTGTGTGAATGGCCCCTCCAACCGGCTGTCTTGAGATGGACGCCCTGAAACACTTGTTGAGACCTATCGACACCTGGGGAGCACACCTCGTCAAAGTACGAGTACTCGTACGCCGTATCGTACTCGTACATCTAGGACGGGTCGATGTGACACGTTAATCCCAAGCAGTCTGACCCACTGCCCGTCTTGGAAATATGCACAATCCAACCGCTAATCAGCCAGGGTACATATGCTCGCAGCTGTCCACGTACGCCCCGGTCAGAAATTCTTGAAATATACGGTTATTATCCAGAGCATGGCCGGGACATCGAGCCTTGTGATGTCGACTTTGGCGACATAAACACGGAGCCTTGGAAAACCGAAAAGCGAGATACATTACACGTGTTATCTGACAGATCCAGAATACTCGCACATCTGTCCGAGGAAACCTGCCTTCTGAGGTGTCCGGATTCTCCATCCCCACCTATAGTGAAGTCAGCCTACGAATAAGGATCAGCATGCTCGTCCCACCATGCCAGTGGTCTCATGCCGGTTGCTCGTGACCGACACGCGGGTCAAGTCTCCGCGCCCCGAATGCCCTCCGCCTTTCCTGTGGAATACAATCCACTGACGGTGCTAATCACCTCCTTCGCAGGGTGGACTTTCTCGGTCGGTTTGGTCGTTGTTGTTACACCGCCATTCGTATATGAATTGGACGGACCCAGATCAATGTCGTCGAATATTTCGTTAACTTTTTCCAACGTGTAGCCTTGTGTCTCCGGATAGTAGAGGTACACCACTGCAGCCGCTGCCCAGTTGAAAGCCATGAAGACGTAGAAGTACCGATAGCCCATCTTTGAGAGCGCAATTGGCGAGCATTGCGCGACAACCAAATTCGACGCCCAATTTGTAAATGTCGACAAAGAGGTTCCTTTTGCCCGAATCGCGGTTGGAAACAACTCGGCGCACAATATCCAACTGATGCATCCGACACTGTTGGTGTCAAGGTTAGCTGCGTAGGAGCAGTTGCCAACGGCACCGAGAGGCACACTCGGCTAATTTGCCAATTTAAAAGCACACTCACCTCGTGAAAAACACCGAGAACACAAAATTCATCGCAACGCTCGCCCGCAGAGCGTTAGAGTTGCGATCTCCAGGTCCCGCGGACTCGTCTATGAAGAAGTGCGCCAGTGTAGCATTGACGCAGAGTGCCGCCCCCATTCCAATCATTGAAGGGATCAATAATTTCCTCCTGCCGACCCGATCCACGAAAGCGATACATATTGTGTTGTACAGTTGAGCGAGAGCACCGTATATGCCGATGATGAAGAGAGATCTTGTCGTTGAGAAGTCCAAATACCTGTAGATGCGGGGACCGTAGTAATTGATAACATTGATGCCACTCGTCTGGGTGAAGAGCTGTATGCTGCACGCTATCAAGAGCCGCTTGCGAGAAGAGGGCTGTCGAAACATGTCACGCCAGCCGATGCTAGACCGCCGCTCAATCTCAAGCATCTGTTGAATGAAGGCATACTCGCTTTCCACGACCTCTTGATTGGAGTGCAACCTTTGCAGTGTCGCACGTGCGGCAGTCTCGTCTCCGCGTTCAGCCAGGTACCGAGGACTTTCGGGAAGAAACCATGTCCCCAACGCGAGTATCAATGCCGGCACCACTTGGAAAGCCAATGGAAGCCTCCAGCTCAATGGCCCGTCCACCAATGAACAACCATAACCCATCCATTGAGCACAAACAAACCCCAGCCCGATTTGCCACTGTTGCATACCGGCCAGCAAGGCCCGTATCTTCGGATGTGCTACTTCAGAGCAATAGTTGGGTACGGTGGCCGATAGCAATCCAATTGCGAGACCAGCGATCACCCGTCCAACAATGACTGTGGCAACATGGTCCGCTCCTCCTTGCAAAGCACCGCCGAGTATGGCCAGAAGGGAGCCTAGGAAGATAGCTGCACGTCTTCCATACCGATCAGACATCTGGGTGAGGATCAAGGATCCAATTATGGCACCTCCGGTGAACGATGAGACGATACCACCAGCAACATCATCCGCGAGAGTTTCACCGCCAAAACGTTCGACAAAATCGACCTGCGAGATCGAGGACGCTATGATACCAGAGTCTACCGATGATAATGTTAGTGACCATTTAATCCTATAAGGGACGCCCGCAGATCCAGTCATTCATTGAGATATTGCTCTCCACCTCTTCACATAGAACAGCCACCACCACCCAACAGGCGAACACCGTGTTGACAGCATCGTGGCCAGCGTCAGTCTCAGTCGAGCGTATCGGCATGCCGCTGTCTCAGAAGCCATCGCTGTCTCAATCAATCGAGCATCCTACTGAGGACAATCTCCAGGGCATCCTCGAAGATTTTGGTGCTGACAGGACCCACATGAGGCTGAAGAGTAACGGTGGACTCACCATAGCCAAAGAGAAAAGCTCCTAGGCAGGCAAAAGCACAGCAAAAGCCGACCAACAGCATCTGATTTGAAACCTAGTGACCGAATTGTACGAGCAGGTGACAGATGGGAATGGGAGAGGTTGGGAAACGGTAGTAATGCTGACTGATGGATGGACTGATGGAGTTTGAGGTTCTCCGCGAAGGAAAAGTAGCGAGTATCTGGTTGAGGTTGCACCCGTTGCCCCCGAGGAAAGCCCCGTTGCCAAGCTGGCTGGCCCCTTCGTTAGTCAGGGTCATTCCACGGCGGTGGATGAACCCAATCATTTCCATGTTGACCTCGTATTTGTGCGGGAGCAGGACATCTCCAGCGCACCCGGAACACTGCTCATCACCTTGGAAGACCCTTGCTCGTGAAGGCTCCTGGACTTGTGGGATTTTCGGACCCCTCAAATCCACGAAAATGGGCTTCTATTGCACCATAATCCAAATTTGGGAGTATTAGAGCCTGACATCCCTTGGGCAACCCTACTCAAGACGCTGCACAACTAGATTCGCTAAACATGTGGTCGGTAACAATTCGGCCAGCCTTGTGAGGAGACTCTAGTTAGCCAGATCCTCAACAATCTTTGCCATAGCGTCCATCCTCTCCATGAACAATAGTTCTCGTAACACCTTCATAACCTGCGATGGTCCAGGTGCATGCCTTCATACTTCCTTCGCACCGCGGCTTGGCATATCGTTCGCTCAGGGACTACTGGTAGAGGTGTGGGTGGCCTTTGTTGGTTCTGTTTATGTATCGGGCACTGGCTGCGATGTCATCCCATCATAAATCGAGATTGATAGCTCACTAGGGGCGCATTCAATATTTCTGCACGCAGCTCGTCCTCCCAAGCTCCGATGGCAGGTTGTAGTCTGGGCCCCAGAGTCAGAAATTGGAGAAGCACATCGTTTAATCGTTCGAAAGTAGGACGCGAAAGTCGCTTCGCCACTTTTAGAAATCGGCCGACGAACCACGGCCGTTCCGTGTGTAGCAAATTTGGATTCTGACTACCACTTAGCAATATCTGTATCAAAGCTTCGACGGAGATGTGTTGGTGGAGGTCGTTGTGGATGATGTTCTGAAGTAGCTCCACAAAGAACTCTTCACTCAGGTCTGTCGAGTGACGGTATTCCCAGATTGCAGTGTTGATCGTGATCAACGCTCCCAGCCTGGAGATGATCTGTTTAAATTGGCCCGTCTCGGTATATCTTGGGCCGTTTGGGCTTGCAACAAGATTGTAGAGAGGCTCTCTATGGCGGAACACGGAGTAGCGCATTGGCTGCTGAGCCCGAGCCACCGGGTTCTGCTGCATACCTGCTTGGACGAGAGCGAGATGTTCGGCACATTTTAAAAAGGTAATGAACTCTGAACATTGTTGTGCAATTTCGCGCCTGGCGATGGCTTCTGCCTCTTGAGGGTTGGAGTGGATAGGCGACGACTGGTGATCGAAGTAGAATGTAGCTCCTTGCGCATTATATCCTGAGAAGATGTAGTCGGACCAGTTGATCAACATCTGCAACCGATTATGCTGGACCAACGCTGCCGGACCTCCTCGGTCACGAATCTTCTGGACGACTGCTTGCCAATGCATCCATGCATACTTGCGACGTTCTATGCGGGGATCAAAATCTTCTAATGCAGCCGCAGACAAGGTGGCTGATATTGTGGCGTCGGATGTGTCATGCGGATATTGTTGGTAGTGGTGGAGTAGCAATTGTGATGCCTTTGCCCTGTGTTCAATTGCTAAGGGCGTCTCCGCCAGTCCCTTGACCCATGCTTGAGTATTTGCCGCGTGAACCAGGATTGTATTTTGAAAACATACGGCGCCCTTCATTGCCTCTGGTATAAAAACGGAAAGGTACCAGTTGTGGGCACGGGGGCTCCTGCGCTCAAATCCGTACGAACAGGCTGGCATAACATTCGCGTAGAAATCAAACAGTTCCTGGTCTTGTACGCTCAGATGCATTGGTAGTGAGTCGAACGGGTCAGTTCGAGCTGCGCTCAGTATCGTTTGTGGTTCTGGGCTCTGTGATAACTTCAATGCTCTCGTGTGGTTCCATGTCAGAGAAGAGGACGATGAGTCTCCTGACCGCACAGTCGAGGGAGGAGAAAAAGGCGAATCGGGAGTCAAGGTAGCTAGTTTCGCAAAACTGTCTGAGCTGATACGAAAGGGTCTCCGCGACAACTTCTGTAGGCGTGGTGGTTGAGAGGGATAGGGGACGCTGAGAGCCAATGCTTGTGATGCATAAGAGGGCTTTGGATGACCAGGTCCCACTGTCGCGGGTGTATGAGCAGACACAAAGGTAGGATGGGTAGGATGGGTAGGCTGAGACCTCGCCGACTCAATAATGGGCAAATTCTTAGGCTTTGGCTTTCGTGCATGAGGTCTTGGCTTCTCAGTCTTTCTCCGAGTAGTAGCGAGATCACTGTCAGAAGAGTCCCCTTGTTTGGCACGAGACTCCCATCGTTTCTCCCTCATGTACTCCTGCATGACATGGCGTCGAACCTGAGTGGAGTTATTCCCCGTAGAGGAGACATCGCTGTTGTCGATGAATTGGAATCGACGCTGCGGCTTTCTCGAAGGCTCTATGCCTTGTGGTTGCCCAACAGACTCCTGGCGAGCTTGTCTCTGCCCTTGAGAAGCGGACATCACAACGACCGTCGTCATGGATTTCCAAGTAGAATTGAGCAAAGGCAGATTGCGAGGTAGGATATGGCGAAAAAGTGAAGTCCAGGCTCCCGTCGTCAGAACAGTATGTAATTCAGTGACCCCTCCCGATATGGCCAAGCATCGACACCATATGTTTACAAGGGCCTGGAGCAAGGAATAGCAGGTCTGTTGCCGTGCTTCGCAGTGCCAGAAAGGACTTTTGGGACTTTGAAAGACGGTGTCCTGATGAAGACGAGGAAATGTTCCTCCGGAAGGTGACTCCTGAAAAGGTACAAGGCCCCGTGCAGAAATTGGAAAATGCGGTTTCTGGAGGCCCGAGCGAGGAGAGGAGCAAAATAGCAACGTCTCCGTAGCTAAGGAGGAGAGAAGAATTAATTAGGAGAACGGTCAACGGTGCAAGGCGAACCGTTAGTGGAAGTATGTTCAAAACCTAGCATGGGCCTGGTATGCACATAAGTCGACGCTGTGCGAAGATGGGGTGGGTGCTATATGGATGGTATGGTGGGTGGGTGCATGGATGAATTAGGCGAAGGAATCAATAGGAGAGCAATAAGAGAGAGGCCTGATCTTAACTCTTTATGGAGGCTCGGATGTCGGGGACGTATTAAGCCATAGCATGGTCTGTAGTACCGAATATGGGGCGATGGAATGGATGAATTGCTAACACAAGCGTTCCGTTGACAATCCTCCGTGAGTGGCGACAGCAGCAGATAGCAGAGACGAGGTACGAGATGCTCCATGTTGTCTGGCAGGCGAACAGGAACGAGGCGGCATTGTTGCTTAGTCGGGTTTGTCGAGAGGACTGTTTGGCAGGTTGAACCGATTCCAAGGTACATACGAGGCCCCAGGCACGGAATACAGGGTATGGATTATGGGACACATCATTGTCTTTGTTTGGGCGAGGCCTACATCAAAGCCACGCAATGAATCCAACCCCGTTAGTCAGGCAAGACAGGCTAACGGACGCATGGACAAGAACACGGGCAAGACACAGTCAAATCCAAGGCCTTGGGCCGGATGGCGTGGGATCTGGAATGTGGAAGAGCCTACTCGTACGGTCGTACCCTTGCGAAGCAAAGCTTCGTGGGTCTTTGATGCGCTTCTAGAGCAGTACTCTCCTTGTACGGAGTACAGGGAATCCAGGGAACCGAGATGCCTAGCGCTATACAAAAGTCTATGACTCAAGGCATCTTCGCGACTGTTCATATTGGGCTAGAACGCGTGTCACCATGCCGGCACTTTCTCGTACGCCTGCAAAAGCAACAAACAGGTGCGTCCCTGACAGAGACTGGCGGATATAAGCGAGTATGGGGCGGGCCACCTACTTCTGCTACTGGAGAAGAATCCTTAGTGAGACATCTGCTTTGACAACCTGCGTTTGGAATTAACTAACTGTTTGGCAGAGTGCGCGGAGTACCCAGTTAAGGCGGTAGGAGTACCAGCAGGGAATTGATAACAGGAGCCCGAGGGCCCCGAAGGACGATGGCTGAGGGGCTTCGCTCAAGGAAGGTGAAGGTGCAGCAGCAACAAGCTATGGGCGCGCATAGCTCAGGGCATCACCAACAATGTAGTTAACTACTTGTAGTGGTCGTCTTCCGCTCCGAACACGATCAGGCCTGAATTGACACTTCAGGCCTCATATTAATACGTCTTGTATGACAGATCCAGATACTGTGCAGATCACTCCCCCAAGTGTCCAAAAAGAGCCATCGCATAGTGGTGTCTCATTGTTGAAGGCCTGATGCCTCAGGTAAGTAAGGCCAGATATGGACCTCGTACGCCGTACTGTCCCTTTGCATATGCCAATGGACACGACATACCCATCCCCCCGTCAACCCCTACTATATCGCTAACGGAGCCACCCGACGGCTTATATGTTATTGTCAGGCAGGGCCTTTGCAAATCCGGGTGGCCTTGCACATGGCTTCAATTAGCACGATAAAAAGAGTCTGATGCTTCTTTTGACCTTGAAGTAGGGACAGTCATGCCCAGTTTGATTTCTTGCCGTCACCACAATTCACTGCTTAATATAGAGACACTCCGAGAGACCATCTGATGGGCACGCAGAGGTGGGATTAGTCTGCTCGATTAATTTTTCAACGACTGCCATGTTCTCGTTATCCTCGTGGTCGTCGCCGCCATCGCCATCGCCATCGCCAGCTTCCCCTGACAAGCACAATGGGTGCTCCGTTCTCACGACTATCAGAAGTATCCGATTCTGGCGGTTCAAGATGTATGGGTCGAAACAGACCAACAGTCGGCGATAAGTTCCTCCTCGTAACAGTGGGTGCTTCAGGATGAACCCGATACACCCTAGGACCATTTACCCCCTAGCCAGTCCCCGTTACCCGCTGATCCAGTTACCCAGCTGCCCTCCAGTTTTCCCAGAGCCCTTGCCAAGCTCCCACCCTCTTCATTCTCCTCAATGGGTTTGGTAATATGGCCTTCGAGTATGCCCGCACCGGCTCCCTAGTTACACTCAGCATCTGGCATCCTCCCACCGCGGCTTATCAATTGACATTACTGTGGAAATCGCAGCACACTTGACATCCATAGGCCATTATTGGTTGACATCGTCTTCCATCACAGGCGCACACACTCATACTCTCTCCCCGTCCCCATCTCTCCAATACTCGATCGTCTCAGGAAGTGCTTCAGCCACTGCACACTCTAGAGTTGCTAGTCGCTTGTAGCCCATCCATTCATTGTTCTTCAACCAGCCGCTTCAAAATTAATCCTCTTTCACGGCCACTCCCGCCGCATCTGCCTTTCCCCCCTGGACCCTGAAACCTGTACTGAACGAACTCATCTGATCTGGTCCGAACCTCTTCCATCCTTCCTCATCAATCAGCACTACTGTGTACTTGCTGCCCTCCTGCCTCCATTTGCCTACACCCTACACCACCTACTGCCCAGCTTCTTCATCCTGCAGCCTCTTGCATCTGCACACACCTTGCCCTGCGGGCTTCCAGTAACTTCCCATACCAGCAGAACGCGCCTCCCTGCTGGTCAAGGTCACGGCTCGCGTTGTTGATAATTCCCCTACCCAGCTTGAAGCTGCCATAATATAACCTCTTGGGCAACCAGATCATTGATCCTCACTATTCCGGTCCGAAATATCGAGCCCGATAACCATCACAATCGCTACCACCGACATGGCGCAGGGAACTCAATCCATAAAATGCGTGGTAACTGGTGACGGTGCAGTCGGCAAGACCTGTTTGCTTATATCCTATACTACAAATGCCTTCCCTGGTGAATATATCCCCACCGTCTTCGACAACTACTCCGCAAGTGTGATGGTTGACGGAAAACCCGTCTCTCTCGGCTTGTGGGACACTGCTGGTCAGGAAGATTATGACCGACTGCGACCGCTTTCATATCCCCAAACCGACGTTTTCCTGATATGCTTTTCCATCGTCTCTCCTCCTAGTTTTGACAACGTCAAGGCGAAAGTGAGTGGAGTGGAATCATCTGTTACTCATTCCCAAGCTGACCTCCTCATCAGTGGTACCCCGAGATCGAACACCATGCACCCAACGTCCCTATCATCCTGGTCGGCACCAAACTTGATTTACGAGAAGACAAAGGCACCGCAGACAACTTGAGGGCGAAGAAGATGGAGCCGGTGTCCTACGAGCAGGCTTTATCCGTTGCCAAGGAAATCAGGGCGGTCAAATACCTGGAATGCTCTGCATTGACACAGAGGAATCTGAAGAGCGTATTTGACGAGGCGATTAGGTAAGATGAAAATCGCAATCCGTCCACGGCGATAGACTGACCATCATCTTCATTTGTTTAGAGCGGTGCTCAATCCCCGACCCACTGCGACCAAGAAGAAATCTCGGTGCACCATCCTCTAGGCAATCTCATGCAGAACGCATGTGGTTGAGAGTGCAAAGGAAAAGGCGAGGTGTCTGAAATTCGAATTTTCTTGGATTTGGACCGGCAAGAGATATACCAGGCAAGGGGCCATTCGCATTTGCATTCACAAAAAGGAGGACATAGACTTTGCAGCTTCGATGCTCGTGCTCCCCTTTTTCTTTTGAATCACTACCTCCGCGCTCCGCATATGGTTGCGGGTCGGAGTTTGGACGAGGAGGAACGAGGGATCTCTACCTTACCACACCACAGTAATTCATTACGCAATCTAGTTGGCACAGGCGGGCGGGCGTTTACATAGGAGCCGGACCGGAGAAATTCTCAACATCTCATGCACATATCTGATTTCACCCGATCGCTTCTCAGTGATTCATTTGAGCCAGTCGACTTGGATGTATTGAGCCATTGTCTTTCTGTGCCGCGTTTGCACCTGTCCGAGGCCGGCCCTGCTTCTTCCTGGCTGCCTCCTCCTGTTCAGTCCTCTCCTTGACCCTCGTTCGCTCTCTTTCTTCATCCAACTTGATGTTCTTCGACTTGATCCGCTCCTTGCGCTCCTTGCTGTTCTTCCCTCCACCACCCGCCGTCAACTCGACATTAATGCGTCGACCTCTCTTCTTCCCATCCATGGCGTCGTCTTGTTCCTGGTGGGTTTTATCCTTTCCCTTGGCATCAGGGTCGAAAATGGAGTGGTGGTAGAGTTTTAGGCACGTTTTCATTTTATCATAGCCATCAAACTCGACGAACGCGAATCCCTTGCCCCTCCCTGTCGCTTTGTCTGTGGACAGTCGGACAGATGTGGGCGCCAGCTTGACAAAATGGTCTTGGACTTGAGCGACGGTTGCGGTGAATGGGAGATTGCCCACAAACACTATGAATCTGCTTGCGCTTTTGTCGGGCTTGGGTTCGGACTCGGTATTAGCATCGGTATCATCCTTTGATTGTTTCTTTGAGCTGCTCTTTTTGGTCTTTTCCTTCTTGGTCGGCCTTGATTTTGCATTCTCCTGCGTAATACTAGGCTTTTCACTCTCGTGTGCTGAGGGGGCGTCTTCCTCAATCATAGGAATGGCCGGGGGCTCAAGCTCACTTCTACCCTGACGACGATCTCTTGTGTCTGACTTCTTTTTCTTGGCCCTCCGCTCTGATTTTTCTTGTCGACTCTGACCTTTGGCCTTCTGTGTCTTGGCGGGTGTGGATGAATCTGGGCCTGGGCCATCGTCTGGAGCAGGGACAGCGTCGGGCTCGACTTGGTCGTGCTTTCTCTTCTTGGACATTTGAGAATATGCGATGACTACTGAATCAAGAAAAGGGGAGGCCGAAAATACACAGATAGATTGAGTCTAGATGGCGGTGGTCATGGCTAATGGTGAAGGCACAACTGGAATTTGGTGGTTGGAACTTTTCAAAATCGAATTGCCCACAGAAATTTCTGGAGCCGGTCGGCAACTGCGCGTCATTCCCTTGCACCCAGTCCTCCCTGATTTAAACATCCAAGTAAGGCGACTAAGTAGCCCAGGCACCCAGCGAGGCCACTTAGCCCAAACATAGGCTTCCACGGGCTCCGCTGCGGGTACCTGGACACCTATGCCTCCTGTGTGCAGCTAGCAAGCAGCCCTGGAGACTCATGTAACTCTGGCCAAATATTGTACTCGGTATGAGGTTCTCCCTACCAACCCTCCACCATCGTCACCTGCCCACCGCCGCCGCCGCCGCCGCCAACTGCATCATCCACTCTCGTTCGAGTTCCCTAAACCTATCTAACTACAACCTGACCACTTCTTTTCACGGCTGCCTCGGGCATTTCCTGAACATTTCCGTCCTTTTGCTTGTTGCCTTGCTGCTCGTCAACATATCAGCCACCCTTCTTTCAATTATGATAGACAGATAAAGTCGCCAGCTGCAGCCTCGTCCAAACACCTTTCCAGCTGCGGCCCAGTTCTCATCCTCTCCCTCACTCTCCCTCCATCTTTCCAACCCACCTATCATGGCTGTCTATGCTTCTCAAATTGGCGCCAAAGGTCCTTTTGCGACCACCGCCCCTCCATCTATACAGAGCCATGCTCCTCCCGCCGGCACTTTTATACCCGGGACCAAGGTCCAAGTCGGAGACCATAGGGTAATTATCGACCGATATCTTTCCGAGGGTGGCTTTGCCCATGTCTATGTGGTCACCCTGCCACGGCCCGTCGATGGCAATACAAAGGCTGTGTTAAAAAGAGTGGCCGTTCCTGACAAGGATCACCTGGCCAATATGCGCACCGAGGTCGAAACCATGAAGAGACTGCGGGGCCAAAAGTACATTGTCAAGTACATTGATTCCCATGCCTCGCAGTTGAAGGGTGGAGGCTACGAGGTCTTCTTGCTCATGGAATTCTGTCAGGGAGGAGGCTTAATCGACTTCATGAACACCCGCTTACAGAACAGGTTGACCGAGCCTGAAATCCTCAAGATCTTCGCCGATGTCGCCGAAGGTGTCGCCTGCATGCACTACCTCCAGCCTGCCTTGATGCACCGAGATTTAAAAGTTGAGAATGTTTTGATATCTGTCAGTGGCAATACGAGGCTGTACAAGCTGTGCGATTTCGGTTCTACCGCTCCCGCGAGACCTGCTGCTACCACCGCCGCTGAGGGTCGCCTCATTGAGGACGATATCAATCGTCACACCACGCTCCAATATCGAAGTCCCGAGATGATTGACGTATATAGAAAGCAGCCCATTGACGAGAAGGCCGACATCTGGGCATTGGGCGTCTTTCTCTATAAACTCTGTTATTATACCACTCCTTTCGAGGACGTCGGCCAGATGGCAATTCTCAACGCCAGGTTCAAGTTCCCTGCGTATCCACGCTTCTCTGATCAGCTGAAACTAATGATTGCCTCAATGCTTCGGGAAAAACCTTCCGATAGACCCAACATATATCAAGTTTTGCAGAAGGTGTCCCGCTTAGACGGTCGGGAGCTCACCATCAAGGATATATACAGCCGAAGGAGTCATTCAGAGAGTCAGAAAGATCAAATCGCTCCTCAAAGCTCGCTCCCGGGCGCCACTTTGTCTCCTCCGAAGCAAGAAACTGCTCCTGTCGTTCCGCAGATTGAGCCCATGCGAAGAGGTCGTCCCACCCAACCGGTCTCCCATCACGGTTCCGCCAAGCCAAGCCCTTCTCCTCTTCGCATGGTCGAAACCACGGATCCATTCGCCGCTCTGGATGGAAATAAAGGAGTTGTGGAAGACGAGCTTTCTCATAAATTCCCTACGCTCGATCACTTTGCCTTGCTCACTGATAAGGGCAAGAAATTTGCGTTTGAGTCGACATCCGAACAGCTACGCGAGGGTGTCGACTCGAATCTAGCACAGCGGGTTACCAATGCTCTAGCAGACGAAGCTTTTGGGAGGCCGCCTAGTCCCGTTAAGCCTAAACCAATCCTTGATAAACCACTACCATCTACCAAGTCGCAAGCAGTTCTGCAACACAAGAAGTCATTGGAAAACAAGGAGGGCCCCGCCCGGCTTAGTGCCCCTGCTATCACTGCACCAAAGCCTTCAATATCGTCTACTGGCACAATGGCTTCGTCCTCGCCTCAAATAACAGGAATAATTCCTGTTTCTGACAGGCCTATACACCGGTTTCCCCCAAGTGACCACCCACCGAGAGATGCGAGCTTAAATAGGCCATCGAGTCTGACACGGGCACCTGAAACCAACAAGACTGGCTCACGACTTGCAAGTTTACTCAAAGAAGATGCGCGACGGTCACAAATGAGCAGTGAAGAAGAGGCAAGATCACCTACTTCATCAAGGCCATCGCTTGAGGGAGGTCGCCCCACAATGCGAGGGATTGATTCTGGTGTAAGCAGATCAAGATCGTTGAATCTCAGACAGCGACCCGCAAGCGTTAATATCGGCGCGGGTCCAACCCATATTAAAGACCGAGAAATCAAGGGATTGGACTACGAGACGACGTTTACAAGTGCGGAACCAGAGCTAGCACCCCTTACGCATTCAGAGTCGGCCACGAACATTTCGTCCGACATTGAATACTTGAAGGCCAAAGAAGAGGAGGAACGAGAGCGAAAGCAGCATCATAAAAGGCTGAGTAGCGGTTCGAGACACATGAAGCGAGCCAGTCTTCCATCCATAGGTCTTGCAGCCGGCACGAAATTGCTGGCGGGAAAGTTCGGTGAGGCCTTCAAGAGATTCGAAGGCAGCGATTCAAACAACGGTAACCATCATCATCACCATCACCATCGAGATAGGAGCGAGTCACCTTCACGAGATCCAATCAATGTCTTGACCCCCATTGCAGGTTCAGAAGCAACAGATCTGAGCGATGATCGGCCGGGGTGGGACGAAACGGAGGAGCTATCACCTGAAATGAAGCGCGAATTAGAGAAGAGGAAGCTTGAAGCGGAGGAGAGAAGAGTGGCTAATGCAGCTGCAGAATACAGGCAGCGGTTGGCGGCCAGAGGAGGTGGCTCGGCTGGTCCTGGGGTATCGGCAAAGGCTTCCTCCATTCAAAACAGACTACATTCGCTTCTCAGTGAAAATGATCGACCTGCACAAAAGACAGCCACGGGGTATGGACGGTTCACTGAATCCCCTGAACCACAGCAAAGAGTTGGAGAGCACGCACAGACGTCCCACCCTCCCCGAAACGTTCCTGCACAACAACTTTCCACCTCTTCAGCACCGGCCTCGGCAGTCGACTTGGTCAGGGGGGAAACACGCTCACAGAGACCGACAGCACCACCAAAGCCCAAGGTCTTGCAAAACGCGATCATTGATAACGGCGCTCCAAGAGATGAAGTCGAGGTCAAGCTGGACGATGACTGGGAAGCGAATTTTAGTAAGAAATACCCGAGCTTGTCCGGCCTGGAGATGGTTGAGACATCCATAGATGAGCCGAAGAAAACGGCTACGGTGCGGACGAAAGAAATATAAGCAAATGAGGTACGAGGTATTCACAAATAGTTGTAGATGTAAATTAGAGCATTGCGTATCCTGACTCCTGGGTTTCTGTATGCGAAGGTCAGGTATCCTGTAGAGGACTGATTGGATTCTATGGACTGCCTGTGTACACTGTCTTCTTGCAGTGAAAGAAATGTGAAGCTAAAGAAGTGAAGTTGAGGTTGAAGTCCAGTGAATATTGAAAGCAACTTCTTTATCTACAGATTGCCCACCCATCGATCTTTCCTCCTGCCATAACATAAGCAACAAGGAAGTCTCCTTCGTTGGATGGGTCCTTACAATACTTCATTCTCTCTTTTCTCGTTCTATTGTTGTAGATGCCATTCCTCATCAACTACCAATAAGTAAAGCCACCTCGCATCAAGTATCCTCCACGTCTCAGGGCAAGATGGCGCCTGAAAAGGGAAGCAAAATCCGGGGACGTGGGGCAAGCCAGGCGATCCGTCGGCCAACCGCCACTGGGGTCCCTCCAAGCCAGTTTGCGCCACCTTCTGGCCAGGGCCTCAGCTGGCAAACCCCAGTCGTTGCGCCAGCAAGACGGAGGAGTAAGTGTGCCACTGCGGGGCCACAGAGACTCACGGCTACGAGCGCCCAGACATCTGCTGAGGCTGGTGAAAATGATAAAAAAAGCAGACACGATTCGCTTCCTGAAACGGCCTCCTCACACTGGGTCACTCTACGCGTTCCATCAGAGCTGTTGACAGACTTCCCCATTCATCGAACGAAGAACAGATGGTGGAGAGATGAATCGGCCTCGGAACCCTTTGTGACGCTGCAAATTGGCCACAGAGCTGCTGCTGGAATTGTTAATACACAACATTCAAAACGTAACCCACTACCCAAGCCTCTGACTCTACAGAGTCTTCCATCAGCCCAGACTCAAGCGTCACCGTTGCCTTCGCTGAACTCGGCTGCTACGTCTGTTCTCGACTTTGCCGGAGACCTTGGGCCACGAACGCCTTCGGAAAGCCAGCCATCAGGATTTGTTAGCCATCCGAGCGGTTTGCCCCAAGAGATTGGCTCGCTCAAGACCAAACCCGTTCTCCAGCGAGACCTACAACATCCAAGAACGGCACAAGCCCAATATCCAGGTAATCTGGTTTTCACTGCGAAAGGAGCCGCTGCACCCCAACATTTATCCAGCGAGATGGCTCCCGTCAAAGACACAACAGGAGTCCAAGCAGGTATCAAAGATGTCATCCAAAATCTATATGACATCCAAGTCCAAACACACGGCTACGTACCAGAGACCGCCGATCTCCTGGTCGACAAGATGACGGACCTTGCACAGTCACTCAATCGATTACAGCACATGACGTCTACGACCGGGTCGCCGAATAATCCGATTCATAGTGTACGGATCGCCCCTGAAATTGTGGATTACGTGGACGACGGTCGCAATCCGGACATTTTCACGAGAGATTTCGTAGAGAACGTGCAACGTGGAAATGCAGTGATCAATGGGAAGCAGAAGGCGTTCAAGGATTTCAGTGAGGTATTTGCTGAAGTTCTGAAGGAAGGTATGCCAGAGTTGCGTAGGCATGTGGATAAGGTGATGGATAATGCTGGGTTTGGTGCCGAGGGTTCCGGCGAGGCGAATAAGCCTGATGCTATGAATGGTCCCCAGCAGCATGACAGAAATGGTGGTTAAATGCAGCGACATCTCTTCCCCCCCCCCCGGTTCGTGAAGAACGAGGAGGCACACCGATCAAACGCAAGGGGGGTTAAAGCAGTCGCTGGAACACCCCAAGATCCATCCACACGAAGCTTGCAACGAACATACGACTGGTGTATTAATGTGCCAGCCCTGAGGACTGCACAATTAACGAGACCTGGGGATGATATCACCCTCTGCGAAAGGCAAAGCTGTTCAAGCGTGGGAGTATGTCTGAGAATGATTGCCAATGGCTCGTAACGGAACGATCTCATGAGGGAAAACGTCCAGTCGAAAGACCGTGTTTTTTAGAGATAGTTAGACTAGCTCCAGTCACAACACTGCGCCAGACTTCATCACTACACTACTAGACTAGTTCAATTGGACTTCAAGACCATTAGTAGCAGCCTTCACAAAGTGGGAGCGGCAACTTCAGACAACATATACTGTAGGCAACTCGGCCAGGCTTCGAACACACACCGCCCTAGCTTAGTCAGTTCCCGCTAGAAGAGATTTATGCTTATTCGGCGCTAGCTTTCTAAGATATTCTGCCGCCAGCCGAGTTCGGGCTTCACCACACCACTGGTCCACCGCATGGCAGGCAGGACAGAGTGATTCTTATTTCATCCTCCCCAGATCAACGCTCTTCCAATTGCTTTCCCATATTACAGACGCGGTCGGACAAGATGCCTGGCCCACAGCATATCTCTCCTATTCGAACCCTCCTTGCTCGACGAGGTGTCTGTCGCTGCAAACCTACGCAACCGCAACACCAACCTTCTGCTCTCACTCGCCTGCTCTCTACCACCGCCCACAAGGATGCACCAAGCCAAGCACCGCCCATCTCAAGCTATGGCTCTGCAGAGCTCCTTCGCCGCCGCCATCATAGGGAGATGCTTACGCCGTCGCAGCTGGCAAAGGCTGAGCGGGCTCGCACCGTGAAGAGAATGCGCTGGTCCGCCTACGGGATTGTTGCTTGTGGTCTAGCTATCTTCGGAACTGTTGTTCTGTACCCCGATCCAAGAAAAGCAGAGAGACGGAGACTCCTGTCTTTAAAGGAGGAGGAAGAGTCCAACAGCCAAAATGTCGTGAAGCTGGACGCTCCACCCTCGGTCGACGGACCGCTCGATGCGCTTACAAACGTCGAAGAGGTCGAGCAGATCCCCACGGGCACCACTACGATTCCCACGTTCCCTAAGACCATCCGTCTTCCCAGTACGGCTCCTCCATCTAGCCCCGCGGCCGCGAACGAGCCTAACGGTGGCGAGCAATCTTCCGTCGAGTACCAGCTGGTAGGTCTCGGCGTGCGGACCGTGTCCATCCTCAGTATCGAAGTCTACGTTGTAGGACTCTACATCGCGGTCAGCGATATCGCTGCATTGCAAAGACGATTAGTCCACAGCGTTGCCGGTGTAGATGTCGCGACAACGCTCGTCCCCGGCGAGAAGAAATCTCTGCGCGAGAAACTCCTGCACAAGAAGGATGGCGAGGATCTCTGGAACAAAATCATCCGTGACGGGCAGCTGCGAACCGCTTTCCGAATCGTGCCTACTCGCTCCACTGACTTCATGCATCTCCGTGACGGCTTCGTGCGCGGCATCACCGCCCGCAGTGGCCATTTCGCCAGTGACCGCCAAGACCTCTCATTCCAGGACGAGTCCTTCGGCGAGGCTATGAATGACTTCAAGACCGCTTTTGGTGGCACCGCGCGCAGGAAACTGCCCAAAGGTGAAGTTTTGCTCCTCACTCGCGACAACCGTGGTACTATGGGCGTGTACAGTGAGGACAAGACGGGTGTGAGGGTCAAGATGGGCGATATCGTGGACGAGCGTGTGGGCAGACTGCTTTGGCTGAACTACCTGGCTGGCGCGGCGGTGAGCTCGGAGTCTGCCCGGCAGAACATTATTAGTGGTGTGTTGGAGTTCGTCGAAAGACCGGTTGGCACCGTCGCTACTCAGGTCGTTTAAGTTTTCAACGCATGGCGAGGGACTGGGAGCATACCTCTGTTTTATAATACAGGCCTGAAGGAAATGGAAGGTTGAGGCTTAAGCTGAGGCTGGCGAAATGGACAAGTCGTCTCGTGTATAACCCACCAATTGCTACATTACCACTATCTTCTCACACCCAGCTATCTGCCGGCTTTTTCAGTTTCGTCCGTTCTCACGAGAACAGCACCCGTCAACACTCGCTATGGTCAAAGGTCTGTCTGCTTGTTGTGTCGACTCAGCTACCGTGAGCCAGCTGCCCATAATGACATCGACAACCTACCAGTCATATGGAGTACAAGGTGAGGAGGTCCCCGTTGATTGACTACTAACTACCCCTATCCGATGAGGTGTGTCTCCCCTTGCTTCGCCAACCCAACCGGTGTAGGCAGTATTCGTCACAGGGGTCGTGCAGCAAGACAGAGTGCCCCACTCACGCACTCCAGATAAATAGTTCCAGGTCTTCGGCCATACTGAATCGACTTCCCATATCATCTATTGCAATCTACAGCAAGGAATTCCCTTTTCTTTTACTTTATTGGACATATCCAATTGCCAAGTTTCAAAGAGTACATACTATACTTACATCCCAAATTCATCCCAGTGCAAAGATATAGACCACAGGGTTCAGAACTCAGAGAGCCTGAGTCGCCAGGATATCAAACTCACGGCACTCAGATGCTCGGACCAACTGTATGCCAGCGAGTGGCTGGAGAACATTAAGAACCTGTTTCAATCTGAGGAGAAGAAGTCGCAATTAGGTCGTACTCCTCCCGTCTTCGTCGACGGTAGCGGGCTTCTCGCGCAAGGCTGAAGCGTGTTTGGACACCGATACCGTTGATTCTTAGGAAGACGCTGAAGAGGAAGAGCACCGTTTCTGCGAGAAACCGGGCCGGTCGCGATCGGAAGTAGGCAATCTCTCTGACTTCAGAGTCAGTGTGAGCGAGATACCGCAGAGCGAGAAGTCAAGGACCGTTTCAAAGCATTTGGAGACCGTCCAGGACGTGCTACAGCTCCTCCGGTGAGTGTCTCTGTTTCCGCTGGTGGTATTCCATCACAATCGAGACGCTAAGCAACAATTTTGGGCGAAACAGCCACAAGGCACAATGGCATTTCTGTACGTCTAATCCTCAACCTTGAGCCATGAAACCTGAAACCCGGTACCGACAAAGATAGCAGAAGCAGTGACTAACCAAATTTATTGTTTGCATTCTAGCCATATCCCACAAAGCTACTCTCACAGCCGGCTATCAGTGACGGAAGCCGTAATAGAAGCAGTGATGGCACGCTTTGGCGTTTCCCCCCTTTTCAAGGATATCCTGCTCTACCAGGAAAGACGCAGTCTCGAGCTCGAAGTTGGCCCTCCGTGTTTGCAATCGAGTTTGCATCCCACGACGGTCGCGGGTCGCTTTGGTGTTGGTTTTGGTATGTTGGAGCGATTACCAGGGTTTTTAACATCCAAACCCGTGCCAGTCGTTTGTCATTGGTTTGGGACAGGAAGAATTGTGATGGTCCGCTAATGATCTTCTATTATAGAAGTCGCGTATTGCATCCGATACATCTATCTTAACGGGAGGAGCGACGTTCACAGCCCTTGGTCGCTCCGCCAATTTGTGGTCCATCAGAGATTCGACTACGACACCAAGGTGAATACCTGGATCTTCGTGTCTCCACCCGCCGAGTTACAGGATATCTGCACTCGGTTCTCTCCAGACCCTGGCGGCAGCGATAGGGCAGACGATTATCACGATTCTGAACCGCTGGCACTGCAAATCCACCAGGCTCTGATCCACTGGGCGGTGGCGCAATGGAGACCTTATCTCGCGCACCTGGTAAAGGTGGTGGATCAACATGTGCGTAACTCTCTATGGCTATTGTCCCTACCATTCACGTGAGTGCGTGAATGGCTTATTTTAGCGTACAGGGCCATTGGCAAAATACTTTCTCGGGCAGACGATGTCGCTTCTCGTCGCGAGCCACGGCAATGCGGGTCTGGCAAACTTCGACGTTCACCAGCAGCTAAAAACAGCTAGAAGATGACCTGCTCGACGCAACGCTGGCTCTCAAGGCCACTCGGTCATGCGTGCAAGACATGTCGCACTTTCTCAGCGAAGTCCGATGTCAGTCTCTGAAGGTGCATCATGGTGGTGATATTGATAATTATTATCATCAGCAGCACCAGCACCAGCACCAGCGCACAGCCACCAGCGTTGCAAGCGAAATGCACTCTGAGATGGACAAAGAATTGGCTCTCCTTCTGGAGCGAGCTGATAGCCTGTATCAGAAATTGAGGAGCTCCATCGGTCTGGTGAGTTCTACCAAAAATCAAACCCCGATGCAATTGGGAAGGAAAACTTCCGTGGCTAATGCTAAATACTGATTACTACTACATAGCTATGCAGCTTCCTCGATCTGGAGAGTAGCTACACGTTTCAACAGCTCTCGCGGGAAGCTCAAAAGGAGAACAAGAAATGGAGGAGGTCGCCAGGCGGAGCATGAAAGACGCCGCTGCTGTGAAGTTGCTGACCATCATCATGATGGTGTACCTACCACCGACTGTGGTTCTGATGAGATATTCAACTCCCACTCATTTTTGCAGGCCTGTCTTCCGTGCTCACCTTTACCCTCTCTCAGCCTTGCTCTGAAGAACCCGGACAAAAAAAAACTAAATAAAGTAATGAAGGGGGGGCTGGAATTAGAATTTCTTCTCCACTGAATTTATCACTAGAACCCTGTTGCCACACGGTACAGCAACTACTTCAGTCGACCACGATTCGACTATCATGTTGTTGATCTCGGCGCCTATGACCGCGGGAACTATCGCTATATGGTGGCTCTGGAACAAGATTTAGTCTGGTGGTCTGAGATGGAGGGATCGATGGTTTAAGCTGCGGGCTCCGCCGAAGGGACGTTTTGCTGCCGCTACTCCTCCTAGCCCTTGTTGATTTGGGGTTGCGAATGAGCCATTTATACCTGGTTCGAGGGCTGAGCATAACCTTGACAAGCCAGCCTAAATGATATACGGAACAGGATAGGTTCAGGCGAGGATGCCCAGGAGATCATCTATACCTCTAGAATACAAGGCTGGGCCCAGTGATTGATTACACTATCCCGGGAGGATTGATAAAGTTCAACTATAGACCTATGGTACTTTGTAAATAAATCTATTTGACTATTATCAAACCATTCGTTCTCCTTCATCTCGGAATAGGGAGGCCATAGTGTGTCTGAGACATCTTCTGCTGATGGCGCAACCAAATCACTATTATTATCATTGAATCAGTGTCTTGACTTCTTCCATTATAGTTCAACATGCATCAAGATCAATTGGATTTACTGTCTCCCATGGCAATGTTACCCTTTATCGCCATTTCTAGCTTTGTCTATCACATGACTCTCTATCCTTATCAAAGGCTCATCAGCCTCTCCTTCTGCAACATGAGTCCAAGTCATTCCCCCAACTTGCGAATTCTCAACGCGCGTTATCTTACGTTCGCAGATTCGAAAGGGAATAACACCGCACGCAAGCCGCACGTATATGAATCATTGATATCCACAATTTCTCACACAGCACTACATGGAGCCCTCTCCTCAAGCTATCTTTGTGAAGATAGCCACGCGGCTTTGCAATGGCGAGTTGTTTCGGAAGGGAAGGGAATATCGCGCCGATGCTGGATCTCTGTTCTTGAGGAACTTTGGCTTTCTTGTACTTCTCAGGGCAGAGTTGTCTCGTGTCTACGGGCAATTGTCGGGCCGTGCCCTGCAGCCGTGGGAAGAAGGCTCGGTTGACGCCGACAGCTCAGGGATGACTTACTCCCCTTTGGCGTCGCTCATAGGACTTAGTGTCATGGCTGAGCTGCCTGCTTGGCTGACCACTTGCCCTCTCGATTTGCGCGGTGTTTGTAGCAAGCTTGCAGCTCAGACTCAAAAGGGAAGATCAATGTCGCCGTTTGTCCTGGGAAGAATAATCTCGCAACGTCAACCCCGTGTGCAAGACTCCCCATCAATGAAAGAGTCCAAAACTGTCCTAGATTGATGCTAGGTCATTTCTATCTGCCTTCAGTTGTTCAAATTAGTGAGGAACCCCGGATGAGAGAAATAGCTAAGAGCTTTCCAACTTTAGATACTATTAACGAAATTTATTCTTTTGGATATTCTATTTCTTGTCTTATGGTCTCATACGCTGGTAGCCAGAAGTGTAGGTTTAATGCTGCTGCATGCAGGAAGTGGCTCAGCGGCCCACGTGTTGTGTTTGAGCAGGAGGAGTTTCCGAGTTGTTCCACGTGCCCGAAGGTTTCAATCCTGGGCGTAGTAAAACAAATATGGTCGTTGCGAAGGTGCCGTTCCCTCATCCGCAGCGCAAACGATATTTGCTCACGAGCCACAACCGAAAGATAGCTCTATAAATGATGATATATTGGCCGATGAAAGCCTAGATGGCACCTGCACTCTGCAGGAGGCCGTCCAGCTCGCCCTTCTTGGCCTGGAGATCCGAGTTTCCACCGATGTGTTGCTGGGCGATGAAGATGTTGGGAACGCTGCGTTGGCCGGTGATTTCTTCGAGGGCGTCTTGGAGGGCGGCTCCATCCTCTATGACGAGACTCAGTTAGCGCTAGAAAAAGGTTGTACTAAGATGGTTGTCAACACATACCGACTTCATCCAACTCCATCAAGAAGAACTTGGCATGTTTCTCGTTCAACAATGCCTTGCTGGCGCGACAGTAAGGACAGTAGGACTTAGAGAAGACCACGACACTGTTCTGGGCGATGATTTGCTGAGCCTTTTGCTTTGCGGCGGACATGGCTGCGGGACTGATTGTGGGTGTAGAGAAGAAAGAGCGGGTTACGGTTTTTAACGAGTTGAAGATTGAGGAAGCTATGGTTGCGGTGTTTGCTTTGATCGAAAGTGATGGAGGGGAATAGTCTCGGTTTATGGAGGGGCCAGGATTTTATACGTGAAGTACCAGGAAGGCGTCTTGCGAGAGTTGTTTGGTTTAATAATGGTAGGAATCGTCTAGATGAGCAGGGGTGACAGACTTCGATGAAGTATCGAGTAATACGAGGGTAGGATCAGAGCACGGAATGCGATGGGATGAGAGAATTGGAGTTCGGTGAGGGCAATTGACAAATCCTGAGGCACAAGATTGGGTGTCGGTCGGGAAATGACGACAAGCACGGGATGATGTGATCGCTCAGCAGGAGCAGCTCGCCCATAAATGCCCGATTTGGACGTCACGTGATATCCACTTTGGAGGATGGTAAAAGCGGCCAGGCTGCTAACCCCAAGCTGGTATATGTGCAAATACTGCGAATTCCATTCGCAGAGTCACAAGTACTTATAGGGAGTTCTAACTTAAGACTCGCCAGTACATGCTTACTACAGACACACCAGAAGCGAGCGGCACGTCTGATGCGATATATCCTGATTGACCTTGAAGGGAATCGAGTTGCGGATGGGAGTGAGTCGCTCCCATCTGTGGTGAAATCATCCATGGCTGTTCTTTCTGTCCATCCAATCCACTCCTCACCTCTTCCACGTCCCAGCCTACCACTAGACACTCTGTCCTTTTTCGAATTTATTTCTAGCTCTTCACTTTCTCTGTAATCTCCTGAATCATAAAGCCTCTGGTCCTCATGCCGTCCTGCTTGCTGGCTATCAAAAAAAATGGGGTAGATGGGAATGTGCTTGATTTCAATACAACAAATCTGCTCGCCGGACCTTTCAAAACACCCAATCAAACACACTTGATACAGTCAATTCCCAGGTTGTTGTGAGACCGCTTCCCGCTAAAAGTGCTGTCAAGAGAGAAAAAAGGACAGAGCATAACCCCTCAGACAAATGAAAATCTGACTCCGAGTCGTACACACAACGAGGGAAAACGATAAACAAGATAAAGGAAAGCCTGAGCCAAGCCAAAGGACTGGGCTAGTAAGAGTTACATGACCACACAACAACCACAGCCCTTATCCTTGACCTTCTCGTCCATGTCGTTGTGTTCCAACCGTTGGACTTGCAGTCTACTGCTCTGAGGAGGTTGACCCGGGGTCGATGAAATACTGCCCATTCGGGGGCTCTGGATTATCGCGGGACTCTGAACGCGCGGCATCGTGCTATATCCAGCATTGGAACTTCCACCAGTGCCAGGTCTGCCATTAACAGAATTCCTCACGCTCGGCACTGACTTCAGAGGCCAGGCATTCGAGTCTTGAGTTTTCCCCGGGTTTGGTGACGGAGAGGAAGGAAGATTTGGAGAATGAGGGTTTACAAGGCCATTCGGTGAGTGAATTGCTAAAGGCGAGAAATTGCGATCGTATGTTCTGGGGATGGCGCCATCTTCGTCCCATTGGGCCTGCTGCTGCCGCCGTGCGTGCGTTGGAATAATTTGCTCGTCTGGAGGAAGTCTAGGATCGGGTTTGTACATCGTAGCTAACCAAGGTGGATCCCCTTCTGGTCTGTTCACTGCGGTTCGTGGTCGATCTAGTTCCCCGGATCTTGTTCCAGGTCGTTGGTTAGGGGAGGGCGTTACACCAGCCTTGTTGTTGGTCGATGGCTTTCGGGTCGTAGTTGACACTTTGCGTCCGGCCGAAGTTCCTGGGGGTGATGACTGGCCAGGCTTCGTCTTCGTCTTTGTGGGCGATGCTGATTTTTGTGTCTGAACTTTGCTGTTTGTTAAAACAGGTGTGGCAGCCAGATAATCAGTATCATCCTGCGCCAGTGGTTGGTTGCCTGTGCTTCCTCTCCGCGTCCGGCTCTTGAGAACGGGTATTCCATCCTCTGGACTCATGCTGTTGCTGATTGTTCGTTTTCGATTTAGTGGGGTATCTCGTTCGATTCGTTCTTGTGGAATAGGAAGAGGGCTCGTTGTCAAGACGGGTATTTTGGAACCGGATTTCCTTGCAATTGGAGTCAAGTAAACCTGGGAGGAATGATCCGCAGCAATTTCTTCAGGCGTACGGAAGTCCCAATTGGGTTGATCGTCTTCCTCTTCCTCCACAGGTTCTGCCAGACGTGGCTTTCCCGCATCCGTATCAGTTGTGCGAGTGTCATATCCGTTTTTGTCTTCACTTCGTCGACCCAAATTTGGATCTCTTTTCACGTTTTTATGGCCGTTGCGTCTGGCACTGGCTAGATTCAAACCCGCAGCTTGCAATTCCTCGCTCTCAATCTTGGCTAGCTTATCTCGATGTATCCAGCCGTCTGGATCATTTTGCTCAGGACGGTACATATTTTCAGGGATGTCATTGTCGATGGCTTGTTGGCTGACGTTGCCGCTGCTTGGATTGCTTCTGTACAGATCCAGCAGACTGTCCGATTCGCTTCCGCTTCGCACCAAAGATCCCTCCTGTTGGCCTAGCTCTTCCACCCTATTATGAATGACCCGTCCATTTGTAGTACCACTGTCTTTGCGGTTAGGGGCGACGTTAGTTAGAGGCATGCGCGAAGATGCATTAGAGTTCTGGCGAGAGCCTGTAGGGCGATTCTTGCTTGCAACCGAGTTCTTGTGATGCCATAAATGTCAGTCCTGTCAAAGCACGTTTTGACGTATGACCATGCAAATTCCAACATACCTCTTGCGCAGATCCAATCATGTCCGAGTGCTGCTTCGACCCAACTCCAACCGTAGTCGTTACTCCTGCCGCTGCAAGTCCAGCCATAGTTTACCGAGCAATTTCAAGCGCAGAAAGGGCGTCCCCTTGAATTAGGGTGCATGCGCCATATACATTGGTGGAGGCCACCGTCCGTTCAATTGCGGAGGTCTCTCTTGAAAGTGAAAGTCAAGAACAGAGAGGTTTAGATTGAGGTCAGAGATCAGAACGCGCGCTAGGACCCACGTTGGGTTCGCAGGAAGTTCAACTCGCTTGAGGGGGCTTGCAGAAAGCGGTCTGCAGGGGCAAAGGCCTAAGGTGTGGAGGATCGCCAGCGAGTTTCGCGAGCGTATATGGCGTACAGGCGTGGCTTTCGCGTGTGAGATGCAGGATATCAGGAGGAATGCACCATAGCGAGCGAAATCGATACTGAGATACTTGCTGAAGCGAATATAGAGGCAAGGGTGCGAGGACAGAAGTGCAATTGCTACAGAATTCGGGGCGGGCTTCGCTTAACGTTGGATCCATCAACAAACGGCCTCTTCTGCTTCATCGAAGGCTTGGCATCGCCATCTGCCATTCATGTTACGGAGTACATATGCTCCATGTTGTAAACGGCCTCCGCGTTCCAACGTCGAACCTTATATCTATTCTTGCTGAGAAACTTGATCGGCGTTTGATAGCATTTGCTCTATTCTGGATTGCGTTCGAAATAATTGAAATTCGGACTGCCTATTTTGGAGGTGACTTTGTGCACACTCCGACCTGAATGGATCTACAGGAGGGCTTCCCAACCACATACGTACTAAGTAGTAGTTGCCGCAGCCCTTGGCGCGGGTTTTGTTTAGAAGGACGCTGGGATATCGTTGAACGTCATCGCCCGAGCTATTTGAGAAACACTTGATATAAGGCTATGAACGGTTTCCTCCTGCATGGTATTCGATCCCAAAACACCAGGCACTTCCATTGAATCTTTCACAATTTGATATAAGGACTTAATTGGGCAGCAATGGATAAACGCTGCGCTATGGCTTCGTCCCGATCGTGGACACCAGCCCTTTCTCCCCAAACACCACATAACTCGCATCCGAACACAGCTGAGCCATTAAGTTGAGATAGCAGCCGGTAAGCCCCAGGTATAGAGGGCAAAATATGTGTAGCAACTTGAAGCAGAATTCCAAAGCATGCACTTCATGTGCTCATCTCGACATATCTAGGTACGTGCTTATTTCGCTGTAGCCTTCGACCCTTAGTTACCAACTCGAAAGCATGTGAATGCTTACAGGACTTTTATTATCAACTGGGCAGCTGCTGTAGGTTGCTCGAGACACTGCCTGAATCCCCAAGACCATAGTCAAATTGTTGCAACCCATCAACGCCGAGTCGTCCATTTTTGGTAGAGAACATGATATAAAATCAAAAAGCGCCAAACTTGGACTTCTCTACCAAAGTTCCACGATCCGAGTAAAATCCCGCCTGTTTAACGTGTGTCTGTTTGCCTGTACTCTCATCGAACAAGTTGAAACCGAAGTTGGCTGCATGGGGCGGGGTGTAGAGGTGGAGGGAGACTGCAGGTTCGGTATCGGATGTATTGCATATCTTGTGCAGACCAATGCTATCAGAGATGTAGGTGACCTCATTCTCGGAGAAAGTGGCCTCTTTGACTATACGTGGGGGAGTCACTGTGCCAGAGGATTCGGTCGGGTCGGTGCTGCAATGGGGCTTGTCGTAGAGAACCTCCTTGAGGGAGCCCTTCAAAAGCTTCATCACACAGTGTGCATCTGCATGGTCGTGAATAGGGCTACATCGTCCAGGATTCCATACCACAATGAGCAAATTCGACTTCCCGTTGCCCTCATCGACCAAATTTCTGGTATAGTTCCGAGATGGATCGGCAAAGGCGTACTGATGCCAATGTGCTTCCTCCGAGGTATACTCCTGCATCAAACGAATGAGGTCATTTTCATCTACATCAGCAGAGTCAATGCCGGATGACGGGCCGAGAACATCTGACAGCGCTCTCACCAGTAGGTGAAAGCCGTCGGATGGATTGATGGAATTCGCCTTATCCTGGTGATGTGCTGGGTAGATCTCTGGAGTGGGTAACACAGTCTTTTGGTATGATAGCATTGTGACGAAAGGGTTGAATACGGCCACTGGCAAAATTGTGGAATGAAGCCAAATGAATAATGTGAGAATGATAGAATGGAGATGATAGTAATTGATAAACAAGCTATTTTAGAAAAGGAACAGACCTGAAGGGCGGTGAAGGTCCCTTGCCTCAACTGCTCAACACTCGTGGTAGGCTTCACAGGGCGCTCTGCTTAGCTTGATCTTGATCAGACGGCGAGCAGATCTTCCAATAAGTCGAATATCCAACGCAAAAAGATAGGAATTCCGCGTCATGCGAAACTAGCTGGAGTCCACTGGGAGTAACTTCAACGGCCCGTGACCCCAAAGCTCCGTGTTTGTGCAGAGTCTATGTCACTCTTGATTGCTATTCTGAGTGACGTTCGGCTATCTCGGGGATCCGCATCAAGGTCGCCGTGATTTTAAGGTCCCCGGAAGCTGGGCTGCCTTTCACTGCTTAGGATGGAATCAATCTTACAATTGCTTAAACAGTATGGACAGAAGGAAATGGAGTAGTCACTTGGACACTGGCAGGATGGACAAATGATTATAAGAACAAAGGTCAGTACAGTTTGAGTGGGAAAATGAAATTGAAAATTGCGTGATTTCGGCAGACCATCTCTTTGGTGGGGGCCTTCTACGGTGGAGGATAGAGGAAATATACGGGTAATCGAGACCTCGTACCTCGTATTCAGATTCCGTGCTCTACCTACAGTTTGCCTCGCGCCACAGTTATGATGCTGCCTGCCCAACACAAGAAACACAGGAGAATTTAGGATTAGAATTTGTATGTAGGATAGAGAATGCACATGACCTGGAATTCAAGCAGTTGATTTCGTTTGCAATAGTCGGTTCTCCTGGATACCCTTGTCTGTGTCAGCCAAGTGCCTAGCAGCTACCTGAGAGCCTGGAACTGCTGGCGCAAGAACTGTATGCGTATCCCTAAATGACCCCTAAAAAATCTGCCCGAAGGGGCTAACAAGTGCCCGAGGGTGGCCCCTCAGCCCCTGGTTCCAGCACCCAATCTGGAAGTTTTTGGTGGGCAAGCCTCGTTCACTCCCTCATAACCAGCGCCTGCGACTGCGGGGGAAGGGGGTGACGTGGGTTGTTGTCCACAAACTTTTATTCCCACACTCGCTGGCCCAGGGTACTTGGCTTTTGTCCAACCTCATCATCGCACTATTGTTGCTGCACGACGTCGTACCGATTCTCAAAGGATCGTTACACAGCAGCTGTTACTGACAGTTCGCCAACACGAGCTTGACTAGACCTACGGGGTAATTTGACCCAAAACATCCGTCTTCCCTTGCACGCTCAACCTTCGCCAAGTTGGGCAACAAAATCGTCATTCTTCCCTCCCAGTAATTACTCTCTTCAGACACGATGGCTACCACAGTCGACAAGATCAAGGATATCGAGTCCGAGATGGCTAAGACACAGAAGAACAAAGCAACGTCTTTCCATCTGGGCCAGCTGAAGGCCAAATTGGCGAAATTAAAGAGAGAACTGCTCACTCCGTCGTCGTCCGGTGGTGGCGGCGGGAGTGGATTCGATGTCGCGAGGACGGGTGTCGCTTCAGTCGGCTTCATTGGATTCCCTTCTGTTGGGAAGTCCACTCTCATGAGCCGACTAACGGGACAGCACTCGGAGGCTGCAGCCTACGAATTCACAACCCTCACCACGGTCCCCGGTCAGGTCATGTACAATGGAGCGGCCATCCAGATGCTCGACCTACCGGGGATCATTCAAGGCGCCAAGGATGGTAAAGGTCGTGGTAGACAGGTCATTGCCGTGGCAAAGACTTGTCACTTGATTTTCATCGTCCTCGATGTCAATAAGCCACTGACCGACAAACGCGTCATTGAGTCGGAGTTGGAGGGCTTTGGCATCCGCATCAACAAGGAGCCTCCAAACATTGTTTTCAGAAAGAAGGACAAGGGGGGGCTCAACATCACGAGCACCGTGCCGCTGACACATATCGACCACGATGAGATCAAAGCTGTCATGAACGAGTATCGAATATCGTCTGCTGACATTGCCATCCGATGCGACGCGACAATAGACGATCTCATTGATGTGCTCGAAGCCAAGAGCCGGAGTTATATCCCTGTTGTATATGCGCTGAACAAAATCGACAGTATCTCCATCGAGGAGTTGGACCTGCTTTACCGTATCCCCAATGCCTGCCCGATCAGCTCCGAGCATGGCTGGAATGTGGATGAACTGTTGGAACTGATGTGGGAGAAACTTCAACTGAAGCGCGTTTACACCAAACCGAAGGGCAAGCAACCGGATTATTCGACACCCGTGGTTCTGAGGAAGAATGCCTCGACCGTGGAGGATTTCGTGAGTGCGCTTGGACTCTTGTTTGACGAGCCATGCTAACGTTTGCAGTGCAATGCTATACACAAGTCCATTGTGGAACAATTCAAACACGCTATTGTCTACGGTCGTTCAGTCAAGCATCAGCCCCAGCGGGTGGGCCTTGCCCACGAGCTCGCGGACGAGGATATCAGTAAGTGCCTCACATCCCCCGGAAACCATTTCGGTGGCTAACCCATACCCTCGCGCGTCCAGTCACCATTATTAAAAGATGACGGGTCAAGTATAAATTTTCTTCGGATGTCCCATCAGAGTTTTGTTTTGAACCGGGATCGCTTGGTGAATGAAGCCATGAGGCACGTTCTAGCTTTTGAGTCCGCCGTCCCCCGGGGCCAGCACTCGGCTGGATAAGGCTAGGTGGCTAACTAGTCCTTCCGTGCATTCCCCCCGCTCTCGGATCTCGAAAGTCCTCCGTGTTATCCACCCTTTTCTGATCAGCGTCAGGGGTTGAAGGACGGAGTATATTGCAGGTTCAACAGGGAGGATCTCGTGGAAAGACCCGCGCGTCGATGAATTCCACTACGAGGTTACGAGGTGTCGAGTCTTGTTTACGAATCCACACGGAGCATTTTCTGACGTTTCCGCGACACCACTCAATACGAGGGCCACGACATTTGAGACCTCCAGCTATCTTGGGCGGCCAGGTTTCTGTAACAAACGTGCGATTTCACGCCCGTCAGGGCGCACATTCAGCGATCGATAGGAAACCAAACGCTCACAGCTTAATCCGCGGAGTGGGTCGAGATTTTCCGGCGGTCAGCAAGGTAACATGGTTGTATACGGCAGTCTGCCCGGAGTGCGGTGCCAGAGATGCAGTGATCTTTGTTAACGACCAAACTTAAGCTCGGCGAGGGGCAGGATTATCGAATGGGCTGCAGTGCGAAAGACACCCCTGTCAAGGCAGATCAGTGTGCCCCAGGGTTCTCCCAGGCACTTTTAGATAAATGTGGAAAATCAAAGAGCACATTGAGGTAGGGAGTATGCATGCACATTTGATTGCGCATTGTTCAGATTCTCCCAGCATGCAATGGGTTTTTCCTAGTTAGGCAAACATTGTCGATCATCTCCTCTGCCTCTGGGCGCTGGCGCCTCAGCAGGCCTGGATCCAGGTCTTGGAGGGCGGGCATCATTGACCACCCTTTATTAGCGAGCGCCCGAGGCGCCGCAGCCCAGGGCGGTAGGAAGCCGGCTCTGCGTCGTTGATATCTCGACCTCGCAGGTAGAGCCGTTGGATTATTCTATTTCTTTGGCTCGCTTGTGACGACGAGACGCAAGGACAAGCACAAGAACAAGCGAAGGAGTTTGGTTGTGTCCCTTGATTTAATGTTCGTTTTAGGGATGGTGGTGGAGGACGAGGTCCTAGCGTGTAGGGAGGAGCTGTCAAAATTTTACCGTGCAGACCGTTGTACACCTCTGGAAACATGTCAACCTCGTGGGCGTAGGATTCCCGTATGAGGTACGTGCGCCGTACGAAGTACCAAGTACTACAATCCAGAGTCCAGACGGGCAAGCCATGAGCGCATTCCCCAGGGTGGCCCAAAATGTGAAAAATCCCAGTCAACGTGTGAAAAAGGGTGAGCACAACCAGCTTCTCGGGAAAGCAAGCATTGACGCAGAATCACAAGGTAGTCCGTACGCAACCTACCTGTTCTTTGCTCCAGAAGCCACTCAGTTGTATCTCGCTGGTTCTGCGACTCTCGCATCCTAAAAAATGGACATTTGGGACGTATGCACTGCACGCCAATAATGCCCAAAGCAAGCGGCGGGTAGGACGTTACGGCCGGGGCTTGGTGTGGTTGGTGTGCCCAATGGATCCCTTCAATTCGGAGGCCCTTGCATGGCTTAGTTAGAGGCACCACCACCACCAGCCAGCAGGCGCCTCATTAGCTAGGGAGCCGCCCGGTGGTGGCGAGGCGGGAGGTACTATTACTCGTAGAGGTCCAACACACCACTGGCTCCTTCGAAGCGTCTCGAGATTTCCTGTCAAGGCCCTGAGAAGAAGGAAAAGCTCTGAGCTGGCCATGTCTTTGACTATGGTAACTCCCCCTTTGTATAGAGTTCGAGCATAATACACAATACCTCACAGTTAAGGATGTTTGCCGCATCGATGGCTAACCTGGTGTAAGACGTGGGATTTGCGCACAACGGGCTGAACACCTGCAGCTGGTGTGGTGTGTGGTTGGGGATTTGGTTGTGGGAATAGTCGTGTTCGATCCCATGAAGTGCAGATGGTCGCACGTTAGTTAGGGAGCCATCGTCGCGAGCGGTCACGCAGGGACAAGCATAAGGTTAAGGCATGTGGTGTCGAAACGACTACTCGTAACTAGCACTATAGGTCCGGAGTAGGTCGTTAGCAACAGGGAGAACAACCTCATCCTGATGATCTACCGGGTTGATGACTTGGTCCTAAGCTGAACTCGCTTGCAATTTTATTAAGTCATAGTAGTTCGTTGAATCATCATCGTGCATGTCGACAATTACTCGAAGCACGAGCTCAGCGCTACCTACTCGGTAACAAGGTACGGAGTACAAGTGTGCGACTAAGTGGTCCATTAGACAGCCTAAGTTGACGGTCCGTTCGTCTCCCGCATGCCAATGTGCCAAAGGGCGAGGGGGAAAGGGTGTACTTGCCAGTAGCGCTGCTACCTAATGGTAGGAGTTAAATACAACTGAGGACGACGAGTACGAGTAGTACTCGGTATCCACTACGAGTACGTGCTACCGCTGTCGGGGGTAGTTCTAGGGCTGGAGCAAGACCTGGTTAGGCAGCGACTTCCTTTATTGACCCAACGCTGCCAGGCGGTCTTAGATGCAGTCTTTTGTTCGCTGGATACCTACAGAGCACTTAGTGGTCACTGGTCAATGTTCTTGTTCTTTGTGAGTACTCCGTACGGAGTGCGCCTACTACTCCTTAACCGTAGCACTCTGGCGCCCTTGGGTCTTGTTGGGTCTTGGTGAAGGGGACAATTGAGGTCGCTACCTCCGTTCCTAGTCGTGTCACTTGACCCACCTCCCACCCTATTCGCCCACGCGAGCCTGAACCTGAGCCCTATCTTGCCGCCCACCACCTCGTAGCTTAACTACTGCAGTTCCCCCTCACCACCAATCCATGTCCCAAGCATGTCTTCGCGCCATTTGTTGGTTGCTTTCATTGTAATCCAAGGCCCCTGGGCGTCCGAGCAGTGCAGGCCAATCGTCGACAATGGTCCATTCCATCTTAAATACCCTCCTCGGGTTGGATGGCTCGTCCCTAGTATTGCAGTATTATTCCATGGGTTTCAAGCCACCTGAAGCCTGCCTCGGGCCCTCGTCTTCCAAGCATTTCCCCCTTGTGGCTTTCTCAAACCCATTTGTGTCAGCCCGTCTCGACAGGCCTTCAGGATCCACGCTGTGTGGTACAGAGGCACGTTGAGCACACGCTCCCAGGTAGGAAGGACTCAGTGCGGAGTCCTACGAGTGTGCCACGGGCTGCCCCAGCCCACGGTCCCCCACGGCTGAGGATGAGCACATTGCCCCTTCTGTCCCGAGCACTCCCATGGCCCTTTCCCCTTCCCCTCTCCCCTCCCACCCCAAATCCCTTATGGTCAGTAATTGCCATAGCGTAAAGTACCAGGTATTGTGTATTGTATGTACGTACAGTACCATGACAGGCTGTTTTCCTTTCCACAAATACCATAGCTACAGAGTACTCATCTCTGTCAACCACGAATCCCCATCCTCATCGATGATTCGCATCGTGTGCACGCAGCCCCTTCTCACCCGCACCAGGCACTAGCGATCTCGTGAAGGCGTTCGACTGTGGGAACCAAACCATGCGATGGCACAAGACGAGGTCGCTTTTAGCACCGAATGATCTTCGTCTACAACTGCTCGGCTCCTGCGGTCCGTTCAAGGGAAGAAAGGGAGCTAGACGGACAGCGCCAGGCCTTGTTATTGCCGTCCGTGATCGACTCATTGAGCGAGACCCTAACAGCCTAACCTGTCTACTCTAGCCTGCATTTCAATTCCACGCCGCCACTGGTAGAACTACCTGCGTGGGGCGTATGAGGTCCTCGAGCAAGTCAAATACTCCGTACGGAGTACCTCTTCTAACACTGCCACTCGTTCACGAGAAAGAGGAGAAACCAAAGACATGACCTAACAGGGTCGAGAGCGGAAAGCGAGGAGAGCTCAATTTCTGCATTTGAACAATCCATCTCGCCTTTCTTTCTTGCAATTCTTCTTCGCAACTACACATAACCTTCCTTGGGCATCTGAAGCACTGGCTCTCTTCGGGTCTATATGGTACTGCACTGAGGTCCCCAGTACTTAGCACAGCACATGGCGACTTCTTCAAGCACCCTCCCTAGTATCCAGGTAATGCCCTCGAAGCCGACAAACACTTCAAGCCGATTCTAGCAGTACCGGACTCTGCGGTCCATCCTCCGATCACACTACTGCTCCTGTACGAGGCGCATACTCCGTACTTATTATTGCCTATCTTCCCGGGGACTGCCGCAAAGCTGCCTCAAGTGCGAAGTGGTGGCTTGCCAGGGATTCAATACCTCTACAACCTCCCAGAGCCAGAGCGGGTCCAGGTGACGATTCTGGTTAAGTAAGTCAGTCTAATCCTGGGCGACCTTTCCGATGCCTAACTTGTCTGCTGCTAACTAACCCTGCTCAATCAACAGCCTTTAGGCCCGTTCCTTGACGCGGCCGGCCGGTACGGGCTAGCCTGTAAGCTTTTCTTGATAGCCCTGCTCGGCGGTTAGCCATCTTAGCCATCCACCTTGCAGTTTGAGGAGGGTCCTGAGCGTCCCTCACTCCCCTTCCAGGGAAAACCAGTCCCAGTTCCCTCCTCGCTCCCCTCGAAGAAGCATTGCGAGAGTCAGTGGTGGAAAAGCATTGAGCTTGCTTGCCCTGCCAGAGGTCGAGACCTACATCTCGATTTCCTACTCTTGGAGCCCAGACTTCAAACCCAGATCAACCCACAACCCACTTACAACCCTGCCGACCTCTCTGCAGCCCAAGCTCTCCGAACGACCCTCTCCAAGCCATTGTTCCATCTCCCTTTCATTTGTCTGGTCCGAGGATCCCTGCCGTACCCTGGTCCGACCGCTCACCCAATTCGTTTACGCTGCCTGCTCTGATTGTCTGGATTCTGTTCCCCCATCCACCTGGGACCTCCACTTCATCATATCCAACCCTCAAACTTCCTTCTTTCATATGCTCGGCCTTCCCACCCAATATACTACTTGCTAGTGTTCTAGCCAGGCCTGGTATCTGTACAGTAGTACCTCCTTCAAGGCCGGCCATCATCAGGAAGGATATTGAAGGTTGTAAATCCTGAGCTTCGTCCCTACTCACCTTCTCGGGACGACGCCTCCTTACATTAGAGCACGACGCCGGATCTGTTTGGTATGCATTGGTTGACTTCGTCAGCCTGTTGTCCATCTCAACCCAGCATATGAACCGTGACTCTCAATGCAGGTCTTATTGACTATGCCACCGGACCACCAGGACTCGCAGCATCCCGGCTATGGCCAGCCTGGATGGATCAATGTACCTTCGGCGTACTCAGCGAGTCCTCAGACGTCAATGTCACCAATGAACGACTTTCCGGCTTATGACTACCACTCGGTAACGCCCGTACCGATGGAGCCAGCGTACAATATGCCTCGAGCATCACCATTTGCCACCACTCATGCGCAGATGCCTCCGCCATTGATCATGCCCCATAATGGGCTTTGGCCGAGCATGCTGGCGAGCCAACCTCAAGCAAATTACCAAACGCCCATTATGCCCGCTGGACCCATACAGACTCCTTTGTCTGCTAGCACGGCGTCTGATATGACGCCCACCAGCGCGAAGCCTACACCTAGCCGTCGCAAGCTGACAGATGATGAACGGCGTCAAATGTGTATTGAAGCGGAGCAAAACCCCACCATGAAGCAGACTCAGATAGGAGGTAACAGGCCCCACTTTAATAGTATCTTGGTCTGTACTAACTTTTGATAGCCAAGTTCAATGTGGAAAGAAGGTGCGAAGTCATCGGCTACTGTTTCTGTACCAAAAGCGTCTGCTAACAGTTGGTAGCACTGTGTCCAAGATCCTGAGACAGCGTGACAAGTATATGAATCCCAAGCCAAAAGAAGACAGTTCGAGTCCTGAGAAAAAATCAAAAGCCAAACTGCCCGATTTTGAAAAGACGTTAACCAACTGGGTAAGAAACCAGCAAAAGAAAGGCTTGCCAATTTCCGATGAAGACTTGCGAAAGCAAGCTCGAGTTTTCTCCTTTAGCCGAGACGACCAGGCTGTAGTATCAAGCACGGACTGGCTGGAGAAATTCAAACGCAAGAACCACTTGCTGGCCCATCGGGACGACAACGACTCAAATTTGATAACCTCAAGCACTGCTTCCAACGAACAGACACCAGTTGATGCTTCACCTGTCTCCTCAAATGACGGCCTCGTGTCTCCCCCGATGTCCGCTATTGATGACTTGGCGACCAATGCAAGCATTAAGCTTGAAGGACCTGATTTTTTCAACTATGAAGAAAAGGACAGCTTCGAGGAATCCCCAATGGATAATGACTTCACAGAAGGCATCGGGCAGGGAGCCTCCGGCGCCATGCTGTCGCCACAGTCTCCCAGGTCCAGTAAAGTGGAGAACGAAATCTTAGGCCTGGCATCAGAAGATATGATCGAGGATCTTGTGGAAGCTTCGCACCGCCAGAGAAGTCAGACATTTTCCCACATGTCTCAAGGATATAGCAATTCTCGACCATCGTCGGCGGGACATCGGGCTCCATCACTGCCCGTCCGCTCATTGACTTCAACCAATGCAGAGGCCCGGTCCATGGGTATTGATCCCCGCCAAATGATGAAGCGACACAAGAGTGTCCCGGACATTCATTATCCTGAGCAGCCACGGATTAGTTCCATGCAGCCTCCACCTCTACCTCGATCTTCTGCGGATACTTCGCCTGTCAGCCATCCAGCTTCGCCTGTTGATGATGAACTCATCAGAGCATTGCATGAGATCAAGTCTCTTTTAGAGCAGAATCCAAGTGTAGCGGAGCCAGACGATTACTTGCTGATTGGCAAGTTGATGCAAAAGCTCAAGCTGCTACGACCAGTACATATGTCATCGCTGCCAGGCGGGATGCACCCTATCGACACTATGGACAGTCCTCGCATCTCGAAGAAGAGAACGATCCTCGGGATATCGACTTGAAATGGAGGTCGAACGAGTTGGAACCATTTCCTTTGCTACAATTCTCTCAGCACAGCATCTTGATTGCTGTGTAGGGTTACGTTTATTGCATTAGCAAGTCACAATCCTTTGGTTACATTTAGCGCGGAGCACAGGGATCTGGGAACTACAAGAACAGCAGGAAGATAGCGATCTCACCATCGAAACAGAAATAAGCCAGCAGATACCAGGGGCAAGCATGATCTTGGAGTCGCATATGGTTCATTTATTGGACGACCGGGCCAATTTCAGAGGAAATGCAAATTGGCCGTACGAATTTTCCCCCGGCTTTGGACTACCCTTCTCGGTCATGAGGACGAGTGGAAGTGATTTAGAACACCTGCCTCACAGCAAATTCTCCTTATTACTTGTATGATGACGGCATGCAAGGGCAGGCACAACAGGAACAGGAGCGAACGACGGAGCCGGCGAGTTCTTATCTTGGACACCATATGTATTTCGTTTCTTACTTTCTCTTGTCTTTCTCCATGTTGAGGGACCCTCCACACTTATGTCAGTGTCCGGGTCATGTGGAGCCTTTTTTGCTTTTACTTTTGGGGTTGCATGACGGATGGATAAGCGGTGTGTGCTTCGTCGTGTTTCGCTCAAGCGGACCGGAGAGGGAGGTTGGGCAGTGACTGGAACAGCGACAGGGACAGGGACATAAGACTGATCGACGTGGGGACAGGACTCATGAGCATATAACTACTCCTCTTCTTTCTCTCCTTTCAGAAGGGGAACTTTATGATGTGGTAGCATCCCTTTTTTCCATCTTGCTGAAATGCCAGCAATTACAAACCGAAAACGACGACTCAGACTGAACATTGTGACGCTGTCGAGATCTAGAAGTACACTGTTTCAACACCATGAGCATGGTGTTGGCGGCAACGCCAGAGCATTACATTTGCATGCAGGGAGCGCAGGCTGGAAAGAGACCATGAGACCATGAGGCGGCGACCAGGGAGAACCCACGGCGCTGCCAATCGGAAGCCAGCAGATAGGGGAAATTGAGATAGAGAATCGCGATTCGGCTGTGTACCTCCTACCCAGTGCCTCGTAAGGACAGTGCAGAAGCGAGACCAAGACAAGGCGAACAGGTTGCAGATCACTCAGATCACGGCTGATCAACGGACTACACAGCAGCAACGAAGTATACGTCTCGACAGAATTCTCGTGACGTTCTCGAAGCCAAAAGTGAGGCTGGCCGCTGGATAATGTTATAATGTTGGGGATGGAGGAAGCTGCATCACTCTTCCTACTCAACCGGTCGTACCTGCCGATCATTTCGCCTCCAAAATGGCAAGAGGGTCAACATCCCCCGCCCTTCGTGCACGATGCAAGAAAGGAAGGACCGTCCCGACCGTTGAACCCTCAACCTGTCAACGAGATCTCCTTTTTTGCTCCAGTCCTCCGCATCCATCACTCGCCCCGTAACTCGTTCCGTATCCATCATTTGTTCTCTATCACATCTGCTAGACTCATTCGCGGCTTCAATGGTTAGGGCCTCCAAGGGCCGAGACAGCCGTGGTTTACCCCAGAGTACCATTGGAGCTGACGCCGTGTTTCATCCTTGGATGCCCAACATTATCAATTCGAGCGCCACTGGCTGGGAACGGGCAGGCCGAGCTCTTGCTAGAAGGAGGGCCAGAAGTCCCATAGAAGTGCACCGGCGCCCTTCTCCAGCATTCAACGCTATCAAAGCTGCTGCTCGTCCAGAGTCACAGGCTTCTATTTGGAGAGAGTTGAAACCCTGGCTCCCTATCAACAAGAGCTATTGACGCCAAAATGAAAGTGGGTTGTTCCTGTGTCGACTGGGTCCTCCACGGGCAAATTCCATCATTGCATTTGCCTGCCTCATCTCCTTGAACCATCGAGATGATGGACCACTGTCTTCCCCATCTGGTCCTTTGCACGCCCCATCTCAAAATGAGCATCCTTGGTCCTGCGTTGATATCCGAAACGCTGCTCAGTGTCTCCCACGCACCCTTTCCTCGAGCTCCACCCACCAGCATCCCTACGATCCACCAGTTTCGAGTCAGCAATGCAAGGATACGCTCGCAATTGCGAGGGGAAAAACTTCGGTTCGGTCCTCAAAATACAGACTGGAAGTCCGGAAGAGTGAAGTTGATCAGCATATATCATACAATACATTAATGGCGTGGGATATTGAGCGGGTCTATTTGAGCGGAGACACCCAACATTGCAGCTCTCTGGTCAATGAGTCAACGACTGTTGTGTGATTTCTCTCAGAGTTAGACACTCTCTCGGTAGAAGTCAAACTCCCAAGCCCATGATACAATGGGAAACACTAAGGTTTTGTTTGAAGGCATAATACCATGACGGTAAGCTGTATAAATTCTCGCTCATGCGCAGCAGATCGCTAAGTGAGGTGTCCAATGATGTACAAATTGACCCGTGGTGGTCGTTCTTAGAATTCGGAGCCTCTGAGATGAGGAATAGGGTGGTATCGACGCTTCGCCAATCGAAGTTCGAGAATGGACAATTGCCAGCAAAGTCAAAATTTCTCCATGAGACATTGCCAATTGAATTTCAACACGCGCTGACGCTTACGAAACACAATTCGGCGGGCCGAAAAATACATTCAGGTGAAGAAAAGTCTGATGGCATCCGCTATCGATCACAGGTCAGTAACTAGATGAACCCCATAGCCTCCGGAGTCAGAACTTTTAAACCCTCGACAGCAGAGCAGATCCCCGCAAGTCCACGACATTGATTGAGATCAACGTGGTCAAATAGCCTTCACCTATTCTTTACCGGTTCGAAGGCCCCAATCTCTCTAACTTAAGTAGACTAGGAAGAGGATCGGCTACCGCGACAATCCTTGGGGTAAGAACATTTTGTTATATGCTCCTCACAAGGAAGCAAGGAATGCACACTGGGGTACGTGGCGGAGAATTGTCCTTCTGGCATATTGCTGTCAAGAAATGAATCGGTCTACTTCAAGATTTCAACGCTTTACACGGCCCAGGACAAGAGGAAAGACATCTATATACTATGTACACTGTAAAGCTAACTCTCGCATCAGTCTGCCCTGTAGGTGTTAAAGACCCTCCTGCGGGTGACAATGGATTTTCGTCCCAAATTGAGGCATGAACTCACTGGAATGTTCGTCTCTTGAGCGCTCCCCAGATACCTGGCATGCATAGTTCTCGATAGACTCTTGCTTGAAAGTCTTCCAACCTAGTCCTCCATTCCCGGCGTTTGAGCAAGTCTATATGATAGGAATGGAGGAGAGAAGACAAGAAAATGAAGGGACTCTGCTGGGATGGTTATTCATCGAGATCAAGAGTCTGAACAGAATACACCCTCTTAATTTGGGCACCTGGTTTCACCTGGTCCACCTACCCCTCTCAGTCTGGAGACCCAGGTGTATCAAAGCTCTCTACCGGCCATCTCACACCATTCAGTGCCTTGTGCTTCTCATTTTCTCCAACCCTCTAAGCTGTCGAAGCTGAACCTGGCCTTTTCCTTCTCCCAGGTTATGCTCTCTCTCTCTCTCTCTCACACACACACACGCGCGCGCGCGCGCGCGCGCGGGGGACGGGGGCAGGGTCACAGCTTTGACTGCGATGAAGCAGAAATAAGACTTGAGGACCAAGTCAAGTCTACATTATACATGGTTAGTTACATGTAGATAGGAATCGAGAGCCCTCTCCGTCTCTCCTCGCCACAAAGCAAAAGAGAGCAGGGGAAAAGAAAACGAAAAGGGACGCTTTGTATTCCCTTTCACCACAGTAGAAGAGCCCCAATACAGAGAGACAGACACTAGACACCAGGCAGGGAAGTAGTGAGGAGATCATATGTAACGAGTGGCTCGTTCGTGGAGCGGGAGACTGTCGATAAGACACATAGTGGATCTCAAATGTTGTCGTTCATGAAGGCATAAAAATAAATAAGAATCTTTGGAATTCTGTTTCGATTCCAGATTTCGAGCCCCGAGGGGAACACAATAGTGCATTGGTGGGAGGCGGGGAACACTTCGCACAATCGAATCTGTGATCAATATACTAGGAGGTCTCAAGTCTAGCCTCTTGTCAATAGCATGGCATGTTTCTTTGCCAGGCCATCCATCTCCATGGTTCGAGATCTGGACGCTGACACTCAGGAAATAAAGTCAAACATTGGAGTGAAAACCATGAATAATGAGAATGAATGATATTTTAATACAATAAATGGGGAATGTTTCGCTGTGAGGACTTGGAGTCGTACCTTTCGAATGAACGGTCTGGCTATACCAAGCTTTAGTCTTCGAGACAGAGTCCTGATTCCTCACATCGCTTCCATAACCCTCACGTAGGTCTTCTCTTCGTTATTTGTGACTCAGTGACCGCCCATCCACTTAGGATGGATCTCACTCGGGCCCTTGAATATGTAATTCCAGCTCGTCCTCCTCTTCCGTACTTAAAGATTGGAGGACGCCCCGTTCAGCAAGCAATTCAGACGGCAATTTGTCCCTCATCTCTGGACATATTCTACACAACACAAGCTCCAGAATCCCATAGATCAGATACTTGTTCAACCACAAATCATCGCTCCAGCCCAGTATCTCTTCTTCAATCTCGTCCACTCTTGCTTCTTCGCTATCGTGCATCAAAAGTGTCTTCGCAACTCTGTTGGGGAGCAAGCCAAGAATGTCGGCGGCGGCCTTTCGTTTGATTGCAATTCGTTCTTCGGTAGATGGTGGGGGAGGTGCTGGTGGGCCGAGCGTATTGTTGGGAAAGAGGATGGAACGGACCTGTAAGAGCAATGGTGGTAGGAGAGTTGGTGTAAAGATGCGTGTCGAGATTGTATAATAGAAAAATCTGTAGGGGGAAAGCTTGTCAGCACCAGACGACGGCAAAAAGACGTTGTCGCTCGCTTATAGAAGTCAATGAACAGCATGATTAGTCCGCAAGCTGTAACAGAGTACCAGGAAGCACCATTTTACGAGTGTCTTCTCTGATAAGCCATTCTCCAGAACCCTCAAGTCTTCTGAGATGAATTTGTCTTCACCAGCATCTTAAAGTCTGCCAAAATGATACTTTTCCCCCTTCTAATGCTCACCACTGACTCAGAACTTCACCGCTCGCCTCCTGTAGCCAGCACCCGGAGGATAGCACGTGATTCGAATGATGCAGCGTGGAGGTCGCTGTCTCGTGCGCAAGGCGTCGACATTCAGGGGGGGATGGAAAGCACGGATCGCTGCAGCAAAGGGCGGAAAAGGAAACGCTGGCCAGCGACCTACGGCAAAGTCCTCACGAGCATGTGTTCACAGGACTGGTCTTCGCATGCACCTGAGCAGACCTGCATGCGTAGTCTACAAAATGAAGAAAAGGACATAGCGTTGGCAGAAAGTGCCAAATGTGTCCAGGCGTGGTTTCGATGCAAGCGGAAACTTAGTGAGTCCCCACTATAGTCTCTTTTGCAGAAAGTCAGCAGCATTCGAGGGCTCCACCTTGAGAAATTGGCTGGGATCAAGGATTGAGATATCTTGAAAGTCAATTCAAAGAATTATCAAGGATGGTTGTGGTGGAGCTCTGAACCGTCTTGGGGGAGAAAATAGCGAGTAGAGTTGACGCTCGAAGCGCTCGTTGCGAGGCAGCTTCAGTTTGGCAGAAGGTGAATGGAGTAGTGACAGGCATATGATGGCCCAAAGCACGCCCAAACCGAACTTGGTAAGCCTGGGGAGATGGAGGGATCGAGACCACCACGCCCCAGTAGTGCTTTTGAAATGTTTGCAATTGAACTGATCAAATGCATTTGACGGGACGGGGATATTCGACAGACTCTGTTTGACAGATAACGGTTGCATGGCTGGATTTGTCCGTTGGTTTGGAATGCTGGGATGTGTGCGATTTGTGACGTAAAAAATACATGTTGGAAGAGCATATCTGCAGCGCGGGATTGCCCACTGCTCTGTTATCGGCACGCGCCGAAGACGGCCGACCCAGTACCAGTGGGGATCGGCAACCGGACTATCATCAGACCTTCAGGCCTAGGAGTTCGAAATCGGACAAGCGACCAATAGTGCGGGAGGACTGGTCATGATTTGGAAAATTCGTCCAGGTGGGCGGTCTCATTGGTTTCCTAGACAGAAATATTCCTGCAATTGGGAATGTGGCCTGCCTCGCCTGCGCGTTTGGGACCTCCCATAGTGATTCAGAATGGAAACTAGCGACCTGAGAGACCTTGTGCAACAGTAACTGGTGGAGAAGGATGAATATTTCGGGTTAAGTAATTCGGAGATGAAGGTGACAGAGACCCGACCAGCAAGGAAGATTGAAAGGGCGGGGCCGATCCATGTTGCCTTCAGGGCCCGAGTGTTGGCAATGTGTTTCGAGAGGAGATCAGGAAGGCGAAAATACCAATAATTCCGGGGCGGCGATTGGATGGACTTTTTCTATTTTTTGTTTTTACCTGGTGGGCCGACAGATCTCTCTCCAATGACCTTCAAGTTGGCCGATTGTGTTTGCGAGTGGGCCTGGCCATGATAGACTTGACGTACGGCCGATGATCATAAACATCACACATCTCCACTGGCGACGAGCGGGTTGCAACTGGGGGCCGATGAAGGCGAGCTTGAAGGTTCAGGTGCGACACAAACCAGTAGAATATGGTAAGGCATGTGCAGTCGAGATGAGCCATTCAGGAGGCGGGGGTTTGATTCTGACAATACAAGGCCCGTACCGTAATATACCGTAACGGCTGCTTATTGGGTGGACTTGGTATGACGGTATTTTTGGTCCACACGCACTTGATTCGAGGCCCGGATGACGAAGGAAAACGCACAATCCTCCACATGCTTCAAACATGACAGACTTGGAGATTCATTGGTGCTTGACTTTGATTCTCATATCATCTGACCAAGGTCTTATGCGACTCCAGGGGATAAGTAGGACCCATTGACTTACCACCGGCTCGGGACCATGGTGAGACATTTGACACCCCAGGAGCAAAGGAAAACAGCACGGTAGGGACTGGCGATAAATAAATAAAAAGGAGACGTATCACTTACTTGTCAAGCGTTGAATTTGCACTTCCATATCTGCCAGGCCCTTCGCTGAGAGCATGTTGCCAGAAACTCAATGAACTTGCCAGCCACGGCATGCGGACTGACAAATCGAGGATCGTAGAGATGCAGGAGAACAACCTGTAATTGATGACCGCTCGGGGAGATCCAGAATTGGCATCCGATAGGCGCCGCGTTGAGGGAGCGGGAGACTTGTGCGAATGCCAGGACGACGAGGCGGAGGTGGAGACGTCGAGGAAATGACTGTGGCCACCTCTCCCGGCTACATGCTGGGCGTGCACTATGCCGACGAGAATAAATCGCAAGGACTGATATGCAATAAAAGCGTACTGAAGGAGTCTCCAAACCCACGCACTAGCCGGTGATTGGTGTCGTTCTGACGAATTAGTTTCCTGATCCGCCGTTTTCGAAGACAATAGGCCGAATTTCTCAAGTCGGCTTGTGCGTTCTTCATGTTGTGAGGCCTTTTCGTCGACGGTGGTTTCGCCTGTCGCACGCGATGTCACGATCCCCACCACTTTTGAGGCCACGCCATGAAGAAACCACGGCTCGCATACTTTGTCCGCCAGTGCCCGTCCCAGGATCAAGTCGGCAATGATGTCGGTCACCAATGTCCTGAGACAAGTGTTGGCCAGGTCCTCGGTTGGCAGGAGCACTGCCAGTGCGCCTTGAATGAGTAGCTGGCGGTAGGCCGACTCGTACTTCTTCTGCTCCTCTTCTGTCAGCGAAGGGTCGAGAGCTGGATGTGGATTCAGAGCGTGATAGATTCGACGTGGGCTTTCTCCATAATGTAGAGCAGCTTGGGCGGTAGTGGCTGTGCGGTAGGCTGGAAATGGCAAGGGGTCAGCGTAGCCAACGACATTTGCGTCACCATGATTTCTTGCTTACCAACGACGTGCCTTTCGACCAAAGCAGCACCATCGTCCAATATCAATTCCGTGACGTCAATCTGTCTTAATCTCTGTTCCACTGCTCGACTGCAATGTGCAATTATCTGAATCACTTCATCGACAAAGGTACGGTCCGGAGTAATCTTGGAGTACCAAGAGTTGACAAAGTTCTTGATGATTATAGCGACGATGGCATAAAGCTGCACATCGACGTCGTTGGAACTGGTCAGTGGAGGCAATATGCCTTCAATGGGCGCAGGAGAAGTCCGAGAGGCTATGCCGTGGTTTCCATCTGCCACCAACGTCCTCTTGATCAAGGATAGGGTCGCCCTCTCTGAGGTTGAGTCCTGCGCTGAGGCAGGAGTATCTCGACGGTGCTTGGGGCCTGTCGGGGGTATGCGAGAGGAAGACTGGCCGGGAGCGACTTTGTTGTCGGCAAGGGCGTTCAATTGAGAAGCCTGAGCAGTGGAAGCGGCCTTTGTCGCAACATGAGGAAAAGGTGGGTGGGATGGAGAGGAAGCAGTCATTTCAGGACCATGGTGATGCCGAAGAGGTCCTTTTTGTAGAAATGTATAAGGATGTCGTTGGGTAGCTGTCGCCCGCTGGCCACGCTGGCAATGCAGGGGCAAGAGAGCACTCTCACCGGTTTGGTGGACTTTGATGGTGTCGAGAGGTGTGTCAGTGTGTGATTGGCCCGAGGCTCGAGATATGTCGAGGCTGCGTGCAACAACGAATTAATCTTGGTAGACCCCGGCTGACTTTCTCTTTTGGGCTTGCCCGCATTTGGTGTCTCACTAAGATGAGCGCTAGTGGGGTCTAGTTTGACACTAATTAGTAGATCTCACTAACAGCAACGATTCTGAAACCATGCCCCGAGGATTACATTCCCGACGACCGAGAAAAAAAATGGATTGGAACTCACCTTCTTCTATCTTTTAGTGTCATTAGTATTTACTTTTACCGACGACTGTATCAACAATGGGTGACTCACTGGCCCAGTCGTCCCGCATACCGATATGGCTAGACTGTGATCCAGGTATGTCAGACTCCCGGACTGGAGGAGGCCTTGAACCCATAACCTTCCCCCTTTAAATCGACCTGTCAATACTCATGACCATTCACAGGTCATGATGTAAGTCCCCATTTCGATCGTCTTGAACAATATATAGCAGAGGCTCATTGCCAGTTTTCAGGATGCCTGTGCCATTCTTCTATCCGTCTATCACCCGGCTTTGCAACTTCTAGGAATCAGCACGACCCACGGCAATGCTCCGCTGTCTAAGACGACATTGAACACCTTGAGCATCCTGGAGGCCATCGGCCAACCACAAATACCAGTGCTGCCAGGGGCATCCCGACCGTTCTGTCGCAATGTTCAGCCCGCGACGGATATCCACGGCGAGAGTGGCCTGGAGGGCACACACCTGCTCCCTGTTCCCCGGCGCAAGCCTCTCAGTCACTGTAATGCCATCAAGGAAATGCACGATGCATTGATATCAACTCCGGTCAACACGGCCTGGGTGGTCGCCACGGGGCCCTGCACGAACACCGCGCTGCTCTTCGCCACCTACCCACACCTTGCCTCTCATGTGAGAGGCGTAAGCATAATGGGTGGTGCAGTCGGCTCGCACTACACATCCGTATCGATGGGGCCGGACTACGTCGACTCCAAGGGCCAGTCTCACGTACGCAGTGGAAACATCACACCATTTGCAGAATTCAACATCTGGGCAGACCCCGAATCAGCAAGGAGCGTGTTCACAAATCCAATCCTACGATCCAAGACCGTCTTAATCCCTCTGGACTTGACTCACCAAGCATACGCAACACCGGAGATTCAAGAGATGCTCTTGAATGGCATCCAAGGCCCCACGCGCCTCAGAACCATGTTCAACGAACTACTCATGTTCTTTGCGAAGACGTATTCTGAAGTCTTTGGCCTAAATGAGGGGCCGCCCTTACATGATCCGCTGGCTGTGGCGGTATTGCTAGCTGATCATCCTGATAGCGGTTTCAAGGTCCCGTTCGATGACCATGGTGGCGAGCGTTGGATCGTAGATGTCGTGTTGGAAGGAGAGCAGATTGGTAGAACTGTGGTTGTGCAAGCAAATGACGGTGATGGTGTTAGAATTCCTAGATCGTTGGACTTGGCTCGTTTCTGGGAAGTTTTGAATTCATGCATGGGAAAAGCGGATGCTGCGACGAGTTATGTCAAATAGGCGACTGGCGATGACCCATTGGCCCCGTGGGCTGATGAAACAAGATTATCCCTACAATTTAAAAGCACTAGATAACGGATCTTAAGTCTGAATCAGGTAGTCATTGCAAAGGCCGGGTTCCTCTATCCGCTACCTCTATTCTGTCCGAAATCGCCCAATGAGTAATCTCCAGCGTTGGAGCTCTCAGAGCTCATGGACAGGCCCTAGATCATGGACACCCAAAGATCTCAGTTCACTCCCACAGTTACAGTCAGAGCAGTAGGTATGAAAGGAATCCTGTTATCAAACTCTCAGTCCAGACCCCTTTCCGAAGACGCCAGCGAAGGAAAGGTAGGTCATCGTCTCCCTGACTTCACGATCTCCAATGGAAGATCTTCACGGACGCCCAGACACGTACTTCTGTCGGAACGTCGACTTTTGCGGGGTCTCTCTCGGCGCAGGCAGTCTTGGAGCGTGGAACATTCGTACGCAAGACTCGGGCTCGTTTCGCCTTCTTCTTCGCGTCATCAATGAGTTTCTCAACCCTGTCCTTTCCTTCGCGCAGACAAACATCGAGGAGTCCTCCAAAGAAATGGTCGGAGTCGTGGCTGCGACTTGCAACGCAGTGTCTCCGAAACTTTTTCGGAGGAGAACCATCTGCAGACTTCGCCTCTGGAGTACACTTGAATGTGAATGAACATGGGGAAACGGCGGTGAGCTTAGCCTCCCGCATTGCTTCGGCATTCTGTTCCGTCGAAGCTACCCAGAAGTCCGGCAGACTAATTTTATTTCGTAGTTTCATCAAGAGTGGAGCCATACGTGGCTGACGGGTTCCAAGTTCTCTGATAGACACCCGCAGATGGATCACTGTGGGGACGTCGTCCATGCTACCGTGAGCATCAAGATTGTCAACGCCTCGCGCGGGAGCGATCTGACTGCTGTCTCGTGTGAGTCTTGATACGTAAGGATTTGAGCCCAAAATGACTTGTTGAAAGGACTGTTCCCGGAGGCTGGGTTTTGGTGGTGGTGATGGCAGTGATAGTGGTGATGGTCTCCATGCTGACTCTTCCCACTTGCGTGAACGAGGGGGCAACTGTGGCTTAGCAATGCCGCCCTGAAGGGGTTTCAAGACATCAGCTCGTGCCTCACGCCGAGAGGACTGTAGTTGTCCATGATCTTCGACTCTTTGTCTCGTATAACTCTCATTGACAAACATCTTGTGGAATTACCAGGTGCCATGGTCACCTACCTTGACAGTCAATGGCTATTGATCAATTTTTGGGCAGATAGCCACTGCTCTGAGAGACTTCGGCGACATCCGCAATAATAGGGATGGCTTTGGTAAGGATATTTGAAAGGGACAAGAGAGTTGGTCTAAGGTGGGTGCGCGCAGGTTTGTGTATCATCCGAGCAAGAGGCAGTGAGAGCCACAGACAGTCTCAAATCGTCACGTCATCTAGCTGCTTCGAGGCAGTGAGGCGCGACTCAATCCATTGTTGAGAGCTGGCACCAGCCTGTCATTGTTGCAGTGAATGAGATTAGAACAGGGACGGCCTTGCAAACTGTTGGAGCTATGTCGAAGACACACGAGCCCAACCTTTGTCTGTTTCATTTTTGTTCCAATTGCCCAAAGATGTTGTTACGTGAGCCTTGACGTCCATCGAAGTTCTTCGGAGTGAAGTTGATTTTGCTTGACAATACGTGTTTTGGACCAACGCACTCCATACCTCTTGCAGCTGGATAGATCTCGCTGAATGGATTGTGGTCGAATAAATCTCGAGTTTGTCGTGTACATCGATCATTTGCCTCCAGTTATCGACGATTGTCACTGCCATGTTCCACAACTTCCGTCGGGAGACAACGCTTGCTTTGCGTTCTCGAATTTCCCACTGTTTGTAGCCCTGTTTGACCCCATTTATCAGAACCTCCAATATCCCACCGGCTCCTTCTCCGGGGTCTAGTACCCATAAGGCAGTCGCGTTTGACACTTTAGGCTTCTGCTGGCCTGGTGATGCGCAGGTCAGCACTGCTCTGTCGAAGGCAAAGCGTGGAAAACCTGGGGGAAGTTTAGACACGTCGAAAAATTTCCCGCGCAGGGAGATTCTAGAAAGTCTTCCTTCTGGTCCGAACGCTCGACAATATCCAGTCTCGTTATATTGGTCTGCGTAGACGATCAATGTTCGAAGGTAAGCATTATCAGTCTTCTCAATAAACAAGTCATTTGGAAAGGCAATAACACTCAGAAACTGCTTGATAGCTAATTTATCGGTGCATGATTTCGAGTTACTCGGTTCTGCGTCGGCGCGAGCAGGCTTCCGGCGTACAAATCCAAGCATTGAAAAGTGGCCACGGCCTTGCAGTGTCTGCCTCAATTCATTGACGTCCTCATGCTGCCACGGTTCTGCCGTGCCCGGAGACATGGAGTTCATCAAAAGTTCCATTGACGCATCGCCACAAGGAGCTTCGGTCGTGAATAAATGAATCGAAACACTACTTTTGAACCTGAAGGGCCGGGATGGGGTTTCGCCGGGCTCGTTTAGGGAACTCGTTGAAGCCTCAAGGGATGAGAATTCAACAACCGGCGACAGGTATTTGGAGTCCTCGATTACTTTTCTCATCTCAGAAAGAAGCCAATAGTTGAAGCCCCTAAGAGCGAGCACCTCGGCATGCGAGTCGTGCAGCACGAGGCCAGAGCATTTCGGCAAAGCGCTTGCGGGAAGGCATTTTGTCCCAGTGCTGTGGTTCTATTAGTCCAAGCCATATGATCGCAGTCGCTGAACTAATAGGTGCGCACTTACGCTAACGAGGCACAGATAAGATCTTGATTTTCACCTGTTGCACCTTTATCAGGCTTCCATGCTACTGCTTTCAACAACGCTTACCGTGCGCCACAACGACCGAGGACAGAGGAGTCCACTCTCGCCTTCCGTCAGGATGAGTTCCAGGTTTACACTTGCTCGGGAGTGATTGATACTTGTCCAAGACAAGTGACGCCACCCGCTCAGCTAGTGAGGCCATCAACAGAGGGTTAGAGTAGAAAGGTTATTGCAGCGGTGAATATTGATGAAAATGAAAAGTTCCATATTAAGAAGATTTGCTGGCCTCTGCAGGCGAGGGTCCTCGTGTGACTAGCGACCACCTTCCATGAGATGGCAGCGCGATATTCGGTCACTACCAGTAAATGCGGGAGATGGTGATTTAAAGATTGAGTTAGGATGACAAAATGGGACCCAACATGTCAAATCAATCCTACGGTGACACCTTTAAGCTCGATATGAAGTGCATTAGCCTTGCTGTGCCCCGCCCTACCCGACTTCATCTCGACCAATCAACATATGAAGCAGCTACGTTCGCTATGTTGGCCACCTTGTACCACTATCATTGAGACCAATTCTTGGAATCATGGTTAGCTAACGCTGAAAAACTTTTCTCCAGCCGTAGGCACGCCGCCTCAGATAAACAGCATGAATCACATCGATCAATAGCCCCCTTCTTCAACGGGCTCATTGGCTTTATTCGCCGTCTTAAAGTAAGTATTGATGAACTCATTGCGCGCCTCGATCCACCCCTGGCTATGCCCATCAATTCTCTTGGTCTCGAGGCTCCTTCCTCGACTAACGCATGCCACCGAGTCCTTCGTATACTGGACATCCTGGCCAATGAGGGTGTGGAAAAGCTTGCCATAGACCTTCGCCCTAACCCTTTCAACGTACTCCGCCCTCATCTCGTCTGTGGACGGGATCTCAGCTTGACCGGAGAGAGTAGCGGCGATGGCGATGGCTTGGAACCCGAATAGTGCGAACGTCGCGGTGTAGAATGGGGTGCCCGTGGACGCGAGTGTTCGATCGGGGACGTAGAAGATGTCCTTGTGCAGGTTGTGCAATATGGTCTATTCGGTGATGAGGATCTTGTCATCGGCCTTGTCCCGCGGTATATCGCCACCGTGAATCTTGGGCGGGGAGAACGGGAAGATCAAATACAACCCAGTGGCGATGATCACTCCATCAATCCCCTTCGAACTCTTGCCCATCGACCAGCAGTACCTACCCAGGAGTCGCATTGGAACCCTTAGGCGAATTTGACCTCTCTTGTAATAACCAAAAAGAGACACTCTCAATAATCCGGGCACTATTGGGCTGTGACCGAGATTCAGGAGTATCCATGAATCCGCTCCTTGTTGACTGCCATACCTTTTTTGCAATATCAATGGAAGAGGCCCTACCGCCTATGAGCAGAAGGGTCTTCACAAACACGCGCAACCAGTCAGTTATCTCTACCCATGTCTCCATGCGGGTCTCGAAAGGGTCTGGCCCGCCTGATCCTCAGACTCCTTAGCATTTCGACAGCTCCTGGGATGCTAGATTCTCGATGGCCTTGGCTGCTTCCACACCGCCAAACCCAGTTTATCCGGCCCCCTTGGAGCGTGATAATCTAATATTCACTTCAAGTTTCATGTCAGCACTCATCAGTATACTATAGTCAACCAAACAAGAACCGGAAAAGAACATACGTCCGAACGCAACGACAACGAAGTCGACCGCCTGCAGCCGTTAACGCGAGGCGCCGATCTAAGACTCCAGGAAACCAGCGAGCCGTACCCATGCCCTTTAGTTGAGTCTCTGGTGACGGCATCCGATGCTGACGTCTCGGCCGTCCAGAGACAGGAGCTCTCGAGGACAGTGACGTCGAGCTCCTCATCCTTAAGGTGAGCAGCAGTGATAACCCCAGAAACTCCCGCACCGATAGCGGCGACACGTCGTGCAGCGCGGTCAATCATATTGAAAATTTCCCTTGAATCTACAGAGAAATTGAAAGGAAGCGGTGGCAGAAAGAGGACGTCCTTGCAAACGGAACTTCCAGGTCAAGAATGTCCGTATCACGAGTCTTTGAACCACCCGAAGAGAACGGCACCAGTTTATTGCGAATCTGAACGCGGGTCGCGCCAACCATCCGCCGGACGACGCGATTGGAGCTCACCTGAAAAGGGGAGCACTTGTGTCGGAGCAGAACCCAAAAGGCGCGACGCTCCGGGATAGTTTTCGCAGAGTACAGCCAGTGGTCAGTGACGGTTTTAACATACATCCAGCAATTTTCATGCAGAGTTGCTGGTGGTGGTCACGCCTTGCTCGAGGCTAATGGTTTCATGTCACTGGCGCAATGCCCTATCTAACGCGAGGTATGTAGGTACTTAGGTTGGCTTGGCCGAAATTGTCCCGACCCATTTCTAGCTATTTAGCACAAGCATTTTGGCTATTACAATAAAAGACATGAAGTCTGCAGCATATGACGAAGTCTTTACTCTGACAGATGTTTAGATAAAACAAGTTGGATTTTGATGCTGTTGAAGTTCGGTCCTCACGGGATCATCTAGTAGCCATATAACTTTTCACACAGGACCTTGTTCAACGAGATGGTGAGAACCACTGTGGCCTTGCCGGATGGCGATGGGTCATTATTCCAGTAATGGCTTCGTGAGGAGAGAACTGAGGAGACAACGGGCTTGACAGTCGCGGGATGAGAGGATGGGTCGAGCCGTGGACTCGAGTACAGTCCTGTCCGTCCATAATTAGAGTCAGGGAACAGGCTTTCCCTTGGATTGCCGTCTATAACATTGTTCGGTGAATTCAGTGTGGCCAGACTGGTAGCAAACCTGCGCTGAAACCTCTTCAGGAACGCAAGCAGACAGTACTGTGGTCTGTCTCTCCTACCTCCGGAAAGAAACAGCATCCTACCAGATACAGTGAATGCTTTGCAGAGACCACTATTAGCTGGGACTTCCACAATCCTGGACCAGTTGATGGGAAATGCTGTCCTTGACTAGCAGGAACCTATCCCAGATCTATCAAACCAAGGTGGTTTCGGTTGTTCTGACAAATTCGAGGCACGTTAGACTCTGGGAGGTATGAAACGCTTAAAAGGGTTTTAGCAGTCGCGAATCGGGTATACAATTGGACCGTGAAAAATGTCGGGCAGGCCCAAAGTAATAGCAGGAAAGTAACCCGGGACATGTCTGGCCATTCCCACACGTTAGTAGTCAAGGGCCACGCAAAGTTTGAATGCTTTGCCTGGGGAATTGAAATACCTCATGCTGACTCTGAGGGTGGTGGTTTGGATGTGGGGCTTGATACATGGTCTTCCGATGCGCCGGTCTGCGGACGGGAGAGTATTCCGTACTACGCGTGGTGGATCTTTCAGGGGAAACGGGATGAAGACGCAAGGCTGGTCGATCCCATGAGCACAGCCATGAGTCAAACACTCCATAAGTAGGGGATAGAGTATTCGGTACCTTTAAACCTTGTGTGTAGGCCCTTTCGGCCGAGTTTAACCTGGAACTAAAAGGGGTCCATTGCCTGTCCCTTGTAGCGAATAAGACAACTTTCCGCGCACGGTGTATGGTTCCGGTCGGGTATCTGACGGCTGGGGCAATTTCGGAATGTCTAGCATTAAAGTCGGACTTGTGAAATATGTATCTAACAAATACCTGGTGCGGAAAGAATTAAAGAGGAAGGCGGTAGAAGTTGGGAGTTGGAGGATCTCACGAAATCCAGGAAGGAGGGAACCTGGAGCCCCACATTCTATATAGCTTGGCCGATTCGTTGAGTAATCCGGACTGGCGACGATGACATGGGGGCTGGCGAACACGAAGGGTGGCCTTGGATCCAAACTTGGTGAGTAGCTTGGTAGTCTCAAGAAATTAAATTGTCGACGATATTGTGCGCCACCGTTCGCACCCTGTAAGTTGGCTGGTGAATGTTATATTGAGTACTCGGTATACCTAGACTGTGGAAAATACACTCTGACGAAGCACTGGCATCGAGTACGTCAGGTTGTGGAATCTTATCCGCGAGGCTCCAATGACGAAATGAGGCCAAGTTTGAAGATCAAACCAGAGTTTCAGATTGGCGTCGATTATGCAAAGGCTCTCTGTGGCTAGGGCTGAACGCAGCTGCAACATTCTGGCTAGGTTCTCTTTGAAGTCTAGTCAGGGCCGTGGGACGAGGTTAGTAGATAGAGACCTGGTAAGATGGTGGAATTTCGACAGGTCCGGAATGTACCGGCCTCGAGGGATCACCCAACGATATGCAGGGGCTCGGGTTTAGCTCAGACACAGACAATACCCAGAGCGTCAGTAGTGATGCGGAGGACGGAAGATGAAGGAGTTGGTTCCTGGTAGATGTTGAGATTGATGTTGATGTTGGACCTGGACAAACGGCTCCCCGGACCGACTATGTCTAAGATGGAAAGCGTACTGACTGAGGCCGATGGAATACGAAATACGCCTTGGAAGAGATGTTTGAACAGCAGTCCCCCGGCATGAAGCCGCGCCTAAACAGCTTTCTTCTCCACAAACCGTTGCCCTGAAGAACAAATTCTGGGTAGCAGGTGCTCTAACGTTTGGGCTATGCATAGTTAAGCAGTTGCGCGCATTCCGTCTGAAACGGGCGTGCCTGTTTAGGTTCTGGTAGACGGATGGGTGCCTGACGCTTTTCAGCAAAAGGAAAGCAAGTATATATCAAAGACTTTGAGATCTAGAACTTGGGCATGAGATTGACAGAGAACATGGTCAAAGAGATTCAGTATTAAAGGACTCGAGCTCCTTGTCATTTCTCAAATCGAAACATTACTTCATTGCATTGATCGACCCTGCCTGGCTCACCCGTGCATGATCAACCTAGGCACCCAACGACGCCATATGCAGGCCATATTAGGCTGTTCAGGAAACACCCTCCAAGGGCGCACCCGCCCCGGCCCAAGTCTCCAAACGCCCCCTCGGCGTAGGTCAAGATCCGCGAACCCCTGTCTAGGGGACCTTAGGTAAGGGTGCTGGCTAGATCCCCTTCACTTATGGGTCCCAGTCTCCCAGATCGCGCGTTTATCACCAACACCAGCGGCCAGTGGCCCGATTCGATCGCGACCCTCCGACTCTCAGAACCTTCCGGGCCCTTGGGACGCTCGGGACCCTTGGGACGCTGTGTCGGTCTCCCTCTCCTCCATCGTCGCCATTGCCTCCACAACCACCCCTGCCCCCCAGCTGCTTGGTCCCCTCGCCGTTCCTTAAGCCCCTAATTTGTTAACTCACTTAACCGGCGATTCGTTAGTTGGTTCGTCTTCCTCACTGGGGGCTTTCCTCCCACCGGCTCCACCACCACCACTTGGATTGGGGCCCCTCTGACGCGATCTCCACATCCACACCCTTCACCCACAGTGCCACCACACACAGACACAGACACGGTCAAAGCACGAGTAATCTCTACTCTCGACGCTGCTCACAAGTCACGGGCTCACAACCCAAGCTAGAATCAACCCCGACTTCCAGCTTTCTTCCGCCACCCACCTAGCTGCCCATCACATCAACCTCGCCAGCCTTGTCATCCTTGCTCAGCTTCAATGATATCGGCATGATCTGATTATTTTCTATCAGGCTCTTTTAGCCCGCTGTTGATCTGCTCTAACGACTGGCTCCTCACTGGCTCCATGGTTCTTGGTCATCGGTCCGGTTCTCCCACAGATTCTCATTTTGTCATCTTCCATCCACACCTTTCTAACCGTCATCTTGCATGAGGACATGCGGTTCTCCGCCGTCTCGTGCGCCTTGACCAAACGGCCAATATGACCAGCTCATCGAAATCTGCTAGTTATTCTCGATCTGACCCCCAGAACAATTTGATTTCTTCCTCGGGCTATATCTTGCCGGGCCCTCAACACCAACACCAACATCCCCGCATGTCCATGGACAACATCAACCCTCCAGGCCAACACCCAGCCCAATCTTCATCCTTTCTTGATGCTTCTTCGCCCATTTCCGTCGATTTTAACTTTCCTTTTGCTGGCAGTCCTCATGGAAGTAGCAATAGTGGCATCGATGCCCCTCCAGATATTCGACTCAGTCATGCCCAGAGCTTCCCCAACCGCGCTTCACTCCAGGACCAAGCTCGTTACACTTCTGGCAGAGTCCCCAGTCCTCAGCATCGTGCCAGTTTAGCCAGTATTGACTCCGCCTTTGATCATGATCTTTTTGGTCCCACGACAATGAATCAATGGACTCCCACCAATTCAGCCAATCAAGCCGTCAGCAATTCTGATTCTTCGCCAAGAAAAGCCGCCAGTACCACCGAGCACGACAAGAAGCTGCCCCTATCTCTCGACGACGAGAAACCACCTGCCTGGAGCGAACTCAAGACCAAAGCCGGTAAGGAACGCAAACGACTTCCATTAGCGTGTATCGCTTGTCGCCGCAAAAAGATCCGATGCTCGGGCGAGAAGCCCGCTTGCAAACACTGCCTTCGAGCCAGAATCCCATGTGTCTACAAAGTCACCACTCGAAAGGCCGCGCCAAGAACCGACTACATGGCCATGTTGGACAAGAGATTGAAACGCATGGAAGACCGCGTCATCCGCGTTATCCCCAAGGATGAACTTCCTGACTTGAGCTCCACTGGCCGGGCTTCTGTTCGGCCCCCGTTGCCCGGCCAGACGCCGAAGAAGGACAAGGAACAGGCCAAGAAACGTTCTGCCGATGAAGCATTCACTCAAGAACTCAACGACTGGAGAACTACCAAGGAGAAGTCGACCCTTCTCGATCCCACTGCCGGATTACGAAAGCAACGTGAAGGCGAGAATAAACTCTTCATTGAAGGATCCGAGTCACTACCGCCCCAGCATATCCAAGAACACCTGGCAGAGGTCTTCTTCGATTGTGTCTACGGCCAGTCTTACCTCCTCTTGCACAAGCCCAGCTTCATGCGGAAATTGAAAGCAGGCACCATCCCACCAGTTCTCATCCTCGCCGTCTGTGCCATATCAGCCCGATTTTCAACTCATCCCCAAGTGAGCACCGAGCCGGCATTTCTCCGTGGGGAACAATGGGCCACACCTGCTAGACGCATCGTAGAGAAACGCCACTATGAACCCAACATCACCATCCTTACCGCAATGTTGATGCTGGGGCTGCACTATTTTGGCACATGCGAAGGTGGGTTGTCCTGGTCTTTCGGAGGCCAGGCCATGCGGATGGGCTATGCCTTGCAACTACACCGAGAACTCGATCACGACCCGCTGGGCCGCAACCAAATCGTCAACTCCAACGACTCGAGCAAGAAAGGGCCCAAACCGCCCGAGTTGTCATTTACGGATCGCGAGATTCGCCGAAGAACAATGTGGGCATGCTATCTGATGGACACGTTCAACTCGTCCGGGACCGAGCGACCATCATTCCTCAACGAAGACTACTATCAGATCCAACTACCCATTCAAGAATCACATTTCCAGATGGAAGTCCCAGGCACGACAGAAGACCTATACGGAAACGTGCCGATGGCGAACAACAAATCCTCGCTCAACGCCGGCGCCAACAACGACGCCGCCGCGGAAGCCAAGGCCAACATGGGCGTGGCGGCATATATCGTTCGTGGTGTCGTGCTCTGGAAACGGATCGTTAAATACCTCAACCTAGGCGGGAAAGAAAAGGATCCGCACTCCATCTGGGACCCCTTGTCTCAATTCGCCACGCTCCAGCGACAGATCCAACAACTCAAAGCCTCCCTTCCTGAACACATCAGCTACAACACCGACAACCTGGCAACGCATGTCTCCGAGCGGCTCGCCAACCAATTCATCTTCCTGCACATCGTGCTCGCACAAGCATCCCTCTTCCTCCACCGTTTCGCCATCCCAACGACCCCGTCGCACCGCCCACACCAACACCACCAGCACTTCACCGCCGCCGGGATGCCGAAACCGTTCCTCACCAATTCCGCCAACACGGTGATCGAGTCCGCCGCACTCATCTCGAAGCTCATCTCGGACTCGACGGGCCACACGATGACGGTGCCGTTCGCGGGCTACTGCGCGTACGCGGCCGCGACGGTGCACGTGTGGGGCATCTTCAGCAAGAACGCGAGCCTCGAGGCCTCGAGCAAGGAGAACCTGCGCCACAATTACAAGTACCTCACGCGCATGAAGCGCTACTGGGGCATGTTCCACTACATGGCCGAGAGCGTCAAGGACATCTACCGCGCGTTTGCGGACGCCTCGCTACGGCATGGCGGCGGGGGCCCGTCCCGACCTCTCAGCCGCGGCGGGGGCCAGCAGCAGCTCCCATCGTCTCTCCTCCGCCGGCCCTCCGCCGCAGGGAGCCAGACACTAATGGACCTTGACGGGCTGCCCCTCGGCGGCACCACGACCGCACCATCAACAAACCCGCCCTCACGCAGCGAAACCCCCGGCCTCGCCTCCTCCGCCGGCGACAAGGCCAACAACGCCGCAGGAGGCCACAACGCTAGCTCCTCGTCCGGATCCAACAAAGCGATGTTCCAGTACGGCGACTGGTTCGATAAGTACCCGCACGGGGTGAGCGAGAGCGAGTGGGAGAAGTCGCACCTGGAGTACCGGCGGGAGGCGGGCACGGCGGACGCGGTCATGTCGCAGCGCAGCGATCTGCAGTCCGTCGAGGAGTTCTTCGCGAGCCTGAGTCCGCCCAGCAAAGGCGAGGATGGGCCTGGTGCTGGCCAGGGGGGTGGACCCGGGGGTGCAAGAGGCAAAAAGGTCGCAAGAAAGAGGGGGAAGAGTGTCGCTGAGAACAAGAAAGGCGCTACGGCTACAACTACGGGAGCGGGAGGAGCAGGTGGCAATGCTTCTGCTTCTTCGTCTGGTGGCGCAGGTGGCGGAGGAGGGCTATCATCGTCATCGGACGCTCAACGCCAACAGCAGCAGCAACAACTTCAACTTCAACAACAACAGGGACAACAATCCCAACCAGGCATATTGATCCCGGTAACGACACCGACGGGAACAGATCTGAACCTCAATCTAACACATCCGTTCAACCCTTCCGACTTTGACATCACCTCCCCCACGCTATACCATACGCCTCAATTCTCAGGCGGCCAACAACAAAACCAACAAGGTCCCAACGACCCATACAACTACAACGCATCCGCATTCCCCTTTGCGTCGGCGCTCCCGGAAATCGACCGGCAGATGGTATTCGGCGCATACGCGGGGCTCGATCCTTCCAATGCCTCGACGCACGGCGGCACAGGGGCGCTGAACGAGCAATCTCCCTCAATGGGTGGCCACTTCGGCTCGAGCAGTAATCCATGGGAGGGGATCGACATGGGTGGGTTCGGTGGGTACGGAGACATGCATAGTGGAATGATGGACACGAGTTCTTCGGCGTGGCTGCTTCCATTCAACATTGAGCCGCCGAGTTATGGAAACATGGAGGATTACGGCGGAACGGCGCTAGACGGCATGGATCTAGGTGACCTTGCTGGTCCGGCTGCCGGTGGTGCGGGCAGTGACGTTGGTGGATTCCGGGAGCAGACGTGAGATTGCGACTTGGCCGATATGTGACATGTGATGCGGAATGTGAATATACCCGCACATGATACAGAGTGTAAAAAGTTCGGAGGATCTTCGTTCTTCACATATTTTGTTGAAAATCCCTTTGGGGGAGTATATAAAGCATTGTTGAATGAGCAAACGGATGGGAAAGGATGCTCTTTTCGGATACAAGATGGCAGCCAGCTCATTGTTGTGTGGTAGATTTCTACGTGAACGACATATCGCTTCGCGCGCCCAGGGACATTGTATATGTCCTTGGGAGTTGGCCTGCTCAATCTTCCCACTCTTCATCAAGCTGATCGATCAACCTGTTCTCGTCCTCGGGCGTCCGATTTCGTCCGGGAGCACTATGGTGGTCATTGGTGCCCACGCGATGATAGCCTCTTCGACCGGCAAAGAGTTCGGTAACTCGATCGGGCATTCGTTGGGTACACGAGGAAAAGAGGATGACGAACATGTCCTTGATGCGCAGAAATAAAATGTCAGTTTCAAGGGTGTTGGATTGGATTGGATTTGAGTTTTCAATGGAGCAAGATGTCAAGTCAGGGTATGTCGGATTTGTAGATGGATGAGGGCTGCCATGGATCTCTTGCATCCGTGACACGACGCTTTCGACGAGTGGAAACGGACACAGGGTTCTAAATTAAACACGAAGTTTGGTAAGGAATGGCGCGTGGCACAGAATAGTGACAGACAAAGTAAATAGAGGACATATGACCAAAGGCGGGGAAGACGAAAGCGGGAGTACATACAGAGATGAAACCGAACAAGCCCGCCCAGACAGCATAGTTGGGCAATTGACGCCAGCCTCTCTGGTGCATGACATTCCTTTGGTAGACGACACCACCAATGAGGTAGACGAGAAGTGCAATACCAAGAATGACACCAAAGACTCCTCCAGGACCAAGGGTGCCTTTCTCTTCCGATTGTGTTGTGCCGCCACAAGAATATCGCGAGCGGACCTCAAAAATGTAGGTGCAGTGGTCGGGAGAGCCGAGGAAAGAGATAGCAGGGCGGCCTGACAGGAGGGGAGAGGTATCGCAGATGAAGGAGAAGAGGGTCGACTTGCGGCGGTTATGGGTCTTTCTTGGGACCAAGTCTGGGTCTAGAGGAAGTCCATCTTCGTCGAGGTCAGGGCACGGAGAGCCTTGAGTGTAGTTCAGCAGCAGCTTCTTCCCACGAAACATTAGCTGGTCGTTCTGCTGGCCTATGCTATAGACATCGCCTCGACTGTCCCTGTAAAATGCCGAAACATTTGCGATTTTGGAGGAAGAAATGCCCTCTACATCGTCGAGAGATTCCACGACAGGGCCACAGAAATTGATGGTGAAATTGGAGGGATAATCGTAGCCTTTGGCATGATAGGATTCATTAGAAGCAGACTGGTATTTGGTGCCGTCTGTTTTCAATTGTAAAGGGCGCAGGTCGAAGAAGGAGCCAGTGGCAGGAGAATAAATAGTACAGGGTTTGGTAATAGGTTTGGCATCGGTTGAAGCAAGGGTGGAGGAGGAGTATATAGAGAGGAGAAGCAGGGTTGTTGATGGGAAATGCATTTGCGTGTTCGGCAGTTGAATTCGAGAAACGGGAGAGTGTCAGGTAGTCTGTGATGCTTCTTGAACCGGCAAGGAGACGCCGCGCAGCAGGGTGCGCGATTGGTATTGGTTGGCAAAGGAAGTCGGCAGTGAGTGAGAGTGCCAGTCGAGAGAAAGAGTGGCTTTGTTGAAGAATAGATGTAAGGAATGGGAGGTGGTGTTTGATGGTAGCCTGTAGAAAAAAGATGAGAGGAAAGGGATTGGGGCTTGTGATCAGGTACACTGTAGGTGACAGTAACAGTCCAGCACGGATGCGGGTGCGGGTAAGCAGACCGCGATGTGCTTCAAGTGCCGTGAGGATGGAATTCTAATTGGAACCAGCAGGAGAGGATATGATTACTCGGCACGGAGTACGGAGTACGTCGTCCACCGCCAGAGTGCCTCTGTCCTTTGCACTTGGTGTATGCAGGGGGTGGATATAATTTGGACTGACGAGTAGAGAGAGCATGGCGGGACTCAGGAGTGGATGGCAGTAGATGGCAGTAGATGGAGTGGGCGGCGGTGGACGGCGCGCATAACAGTGGATGCCTGGACGAGCATGTCGGGGGCCAAACTTCACAGGCGCTCAACTGGAAGGAGCCTCACGCTGTGAATGGAAGATCGGGGAACCTGGGGACTTGGCGCTGCATCCTTCGAATTCAAGATTCAATAGATTCGGTGCTCGACACATTGTTTATGTATAGATTTATGGAGTGATGGTCATTCTGTTGCGCATGCTTTAGACTTGCCCGTGTGCTCTCGTATTCATGTGCCCGTTCCCACCGTCTCCCATATCAGAACCTCACGGATGGGTCCTTCTGGACAGTGTCCCGTGTTGAATCGGTACATGATCAGCTAGTCATGCAGTACTACCACCAGTCCACGACAGCACTCCATAGCTACGATGGCACAACTACCCGTACTCCATCCTGAGTAAGTCAACGACCCAGGAAATAGCTAAACTGTAGGGTTCATCCCAGTACATTTCTGGACCGGAATATGATACTTTCATCTTGCGGGGTGATCCTACCGTTCCCCCACCTTGAATTGAAGCTTCCTCTATGCCACCACTTAGCTTGGTATGTCGCTGTACTTCCTATGTTATCAAGATTACATCACAGGCCGTGCCAGTTTGGGTCAGTACTTAGTAGACAGCAGGCGGCAGGAGTGCATGAGGTTGCTGTAGCCATCATCTAGTTATCTTGTCCCCTCCCAGGCTGTGCCATTGACATGGCTCCTTCACCGCAATCCTCGGTGGAGAATGAGGACGACAAGTTTCCAGCACAGCAATTATTCGTCCTAGGTTTGCTCCTACCACACCGTTCTCCTTCAGTCATACTGACTTCCTGCCAGGCCTGTGTCGATTTGCGGAACCCATTGCTTTTACGTCCATCCTAGCCTACATCTACGTCTTCGTCCAGGATGTACGAACAGATGATGAGGCCAATGCCGCCTTTTACGCTGGCCTAATGGTCTCTGCTTTTGCTTTGGCCGAGGCCTGCACGGCCATGAGCTGGGGCTCCCTGAGCGATCGGATTGGGCGGAAGCCAGTCGTCCTCTTCGGCCTTGCAGGTACGGCACTATCAAGTCTGGTATTTGGTTTCGCAAAGAACTACTGGCTTGCCCTGGGAGCTCGAGTCATTGGTGGCCTCCTGAATGGTAATGTTGCTGTTATTCAAACCATGGTGGCAGAAATGTGCAAAAGACCAGAGCATGAGCGTGGGTACCCTCCATCGACACCAGGAAGTGCTCGAGCTGACTGTTACTTTGGATTTGCAGCACGCGCATACAGTGTGATGCCGTTCGTCTGGTCTGCCGGTTCCATCATCGGTTCTGCCATGGGCGGCTATCTTGCTCAGCCTGCGAAGAACTATCCTTCCGTATTCCCTCCGGGTGGCCTATTCGGACAATACCCGTACCTTCTACCAAATCTAGTGGCCGCCATCTACATTGCTTTGACCATCTTAGTAGGCGCCATCTTTCTCAAGGAGACAAATGTTCCTGTTCGTGCAAAAGCCCCTGTACAGGGAGCCTCACCCACGGCGAGTCCCGATGAACGAACACCTTTACGCTCGAGCCGAAGCACCGAGCACGCCCGGCGCGGCAATGAGCCGGATATGGCCAGTATCAACACCAATCGACGACCTTCGTTGCTCGGCACCAATATGCCTCTCACAACCGGTACTACAGCCGATCTTCGCAGGATATCTACAATCTCAGCCAGCACAGCCGGCGGTATTTTGCCCATCTTTCCTGACACAAATGAACTAAGGCGAAACTCAAGTGCCATCAGTGATGATGAAGACGAAGAATCGTCCACGTCAAGTTCAAGTTCAAGTCCTTGGACTCGTGAAGTGAGACTCTTGATCATCCAACTTATCCTTATGGCGTATTACCAGATGGCGTATTCCTCCCTCTTACCGGTCTTCTTCATCGACGTACCCGACTGTGCAGGTCTGGATTTCCGGGGCGGTCTTGGATACACGGTTCGCAATGTGGGCACGTTCCTGTCCGTAAATGGCTTCGCTTCATTAGTTATTCAAGGCTTCATTTTCGCACCGTTTGTGGGCCGAGTCGGGGTGTGGAAGTCTTTTATCTGGCTGACCATACTCGTCCCTCTCACCCACGCGGCTGTTCCATTCTTAACAGCACTGTCGGGCACAGCGTTGGTGGGAGCCATCTATGTGGATCTAATCATGAACAACTTTTGTCTCATTGTGATCTATCCCTGCCTGTTGATCCTGTTGAAGAACGCAACTCCCTCCTCGTCCATGCTGGGACAAGTCAATGGACTGGCGATGGCAGCATCATCAGGCGCGCGAACATTTGCTCCACCTCTAGCCGGATTTCTCTACAGCAAGGGAGGTTCGGCAGCCGGATGGTGGAGCATCGCGGCGGTGGGGATCCTCTCAGGGTTGGTGATTCTTCCGATGACACCGCCTCGCAACGATGATGGAAGTGAAGCATGACACACTGATATGTAGATCGCGGAAACGAAGATGTTATTGAAGGCTGGGCATAGCTTTGGTGTTGATTTGGTTACTTATGGATCCGGTGGTAGTCGTACGACATGCTCGTATATATTTGCAATATTTCTTCGCATTCGGTATCGGGCCTTGCATCTTGTCATCTGGATCTGTGGGGTATGGTTAAATAGAAGCGCACCAATTAAACCGTCAATGACATTGCTGCGCGGAACGCGCGACCTGGAATCTGGAGATCCGAGGAACACGAGAAAAGTGGCATCATGACTTTGGAAATTTCGGCCACCACCAATCCCGAGGAAGTCCATTCGTACCGCGCGTGTCTGCGCCCACTGTCCCACCATGTTCATGTTCTCACCCTGCTCATGATGTACAGTAAACAACCACTCATTCTAGCGTATTGATACTTCAAGATTGTCACTCCTTTGTCCTAGAGAGGCCCTGTCTCCTCCATTTCTCGTTGTCGCCTTCTGCCCCCAGCAAGACGTGTTCTTCCTTGTCGTCTCTCGCGCCCAAAATGACCGTCGCAACCAAATCAGAGAAACACTCCTACGAGTTTTTCGGACCGTAAGTTCAATCTGTAATTGTGCATTCCATTCATTGATCCAATCTAACCTTCCTTTCTAGCCCCGGTGCCACGGCCTTGACGTTCGGTCTCCCCATCCTCATCTACGCCAGTATTCTGTTCTGCAACGATGTCACAGGATGTCCTGTGCCCGCCCTCCTCGATCCAAGGACCTTGACTTGGGAGAAGCTTCTGGCACAGACAGAGCTGGCCGGCACCGGATTGGCAGGGCTGTTCGATCTCAACGTCTTCGGGTGGGTTTGTGCATACTATGGCCTTCTCGTCGTCCTGCAACTCGTTCTTCCAGGCGAGGAAACTGAAGGCACAATCTTGAAAAACGGAGGCAGACACCACTACAAGTTCAACTCATTCAACACCGCCGTTCTGATCCTAGCCGGTCTCGCCGCTGGAACGGCAACCCATGGCGCAGACTTCGTGGTGTGGACCTACTGCTGGGACAACCTCCTACAAATCCAGACGGCCGCTCTGATCATCTCCATCATCCAATCCATCTATTGCTACCTCGCGTCCTTCACCATTCCTCACCCGGGGAAACCCAATCCAACGCACAGGGAGTTAGCCCCGGGCGGCTCTTCGGGCAACATCATCTACGACTTCTTCATCGGCCGCGAGATGAACCCCCGTATCACCATTCCCTCCGCCATCCCAATTGTCGGAGGCCAAACCATTGACATCAAACTCTTCAATGAGATGCGCCCCGGCTTGATAGGCTACATTGTCCTCGACCTCGCCTTCATCGCCCACCAATACAGAATCAACGGCTACATAACCGACTCAATCGTCATGATCACCGCTTTCCAGATGCTTTACGTCCTCGACGGGCTGTACATGGAACCCGCCATCCTGACAACGATCGACGTGATCAACGACGGCTTCGGCTTCATGCTCGCCTTTGGCGACATCGCCTGGCTGCCCGCCCTCTACAGCCTGCAGGCACGCTACCTAGCCGTCTACCCCCTGAGCCTCGGCCTGCAGGGCATCGCCGGCGTCCTCGCCTTCCAAGGCGTGGGCTACTACATCTTCCGCTCGGCCAACAACGAGAAGAACCGCTTCCGGACGGACCCCAGCGACCCGCGCGTCGCCCACCTCGAGTCCATCTCCACCGAAAACGGATCCAAGCTCATTGTCTCCGGCTGGTGGGGACGCGCCCGCCACATCAACTACTTCGGCGACTGGATCATGTCCTTCAGCTACTGCCTGCCCACCGGCATCGCGGGCTATCTCATCCACAACTACCAGAATCCTGTCACCGGTAACGTCACCTCCGAGGTCGAGCAGGGCCCCGCACGCGCCTGGGGCATGGTGTTCACGTATTTCTACATCATCTACTTCGGCGTGCTTCTCGTGCATCGTGAACGGCGTGACGAGGAGAAATGCCGCAAGAAGTACGGCAAGGACTGGGAGCGCTACTGCAAGATCGTGCCCTGGAGGATCATCCCGTATATCTATTGATTGGGAGGGGAACTTCGGTTGGCTGTATGCACACATCACGCGGTCGCTTTCATGCAGATCAAAATGCGTCTCGAGGGAGATCGGGCAAAGGAGGGGAAACGGAATGCGTGTGTTTTTCGAAAATGATTGGCGGGTCTATTTGCACATATGTATGTATTGTAGAAGTGGCCGGGAACACGCTAACTGCTAGTTAGCTTTGCAGGCGGAAGCGGCAGAAGTGTGTAAATATCCAAACTATATTCACAACATCGTGTTCACGAACTCCTCATTCCCCAGCCTCTACCCCTCCCTATCCCTCTCCCTCGCCATCGTTCTCAACAACACTAGCCGGCCATCGACACGACAACCAATCAAGGAAACTGACAAAGTGGCAGCTTCGCCACGGCATGGAGATACTCCAGCACAGCCAGGACCTTCTCGTCTTCGAACCGCCGTCCCACCAGCTGCAGACTCACAGGGACGCCGTGGAATTCTTCTGGGTGATCGTTGTCTGTTATCGCGAGAAGGAATGCGGTCAGCAGCTTTGTGAACTTTGTTGCAATAGACCCTCTTCGAACCAAAGTCAAGAGAACAGGTCTCAGAGTAAAGGCCCAAAAAGGAAGGAACTTACATAACTTCCAGTTCTGCTCGTCGGCACCACTCATGAACTCCTCTCTAGGATACGCTCGATCGAGTTCTCGATCAACTTTATCCACGGGAAACGACACAGCTGGGTAATCCAGGAGGTTCCACACTGCGGTGTAGCCCCAGTACTTCGCGGTGTTCAGGCGATTGGCGACGCTGGGTCCCACGGGGCAGAGGATGGCATGGACGGTATCATCGACTGCATCCCCCGTCGTCTTCGTCGCACCGGTCTTGTTCCACACAGCAGCATACTCGCTCCGATACTCCTCCCGCTCTTCGACCCAGTAGGACAACTGCTGCAGGGAGAGGGTCTTGACGCAGGGGTTCTCATTGAGGATCCAATCCGTGAGCGGCAGGAGCGGCTCGCCGCTCTCGGCCATGACTTCGAGGTCTGCCGCGCCGCCGTCCGGATAGTACAGGCTAGACAGAATCGCCCAGGCCTCGTCATGCAGGTGTGGTTGCCAGGGGACCACCGTGATGTTGGGAGTGGAGAACAGCTTTTCTGACAAGGTCGACAGAGCGCGTGTTATGGGTGGGTGTGGGAGGACGATGTTGTCATGCATCATGATCCCGATCTTGAGGCGCGTGGTCGATTTGATGGCAACTTCTTGGTTCCATGGCATCGGGATCAGGGCCGGTTCAGTGAGCCATGGTTTGGCGGAGATGACTACTCGCATGAAGAGCGATAGGCCCGCGAGTGAGGTACTCAGGGGCCCGATGCAGCTAATCACACAGTCTGCTCCGGCGGCGATGGAAGACCATCCATCGGTTGGGATGCGGAAACCTGTGGGCTTGAATCCGTAGATCCCATTGTTGGCGGCTGGGTTACGAATGCTTCCTGGTTGGTCATTCGCTTCAGCAATCCTGATTTGTGGTTGCGACCCAGGCGTCGGGTCAAGTAAAAGGGACAGAGTGAAAGGCGAAACAAACTGACGAGATGAAGCACCCACCTCCAACATCAGTCCCAATCCCCAAGCAACTCCCTCTCATCGCGATCAAAGCACCCTCACCACCCGAGCTCCCGCCCGCCGAAAGATCCGTATTGTACGGACAAACCGTGACGCCGTACAAGTTACTATGCGTCTCGAGGTGCATCATGCTCTGCGGCTCCGTGGTGCGGGCATAGAAGACAGCCCCAGCATCCCATAGGATCTTGAGCACGTGGGCATCGTCTGACGCGACGTTGTCCCACCATGCACAGTACCCAGCGCTCAGCCGGAGGCCTTTCATCCCAAGGTGCTCCTTGACGCTGATGGGCAGGCCGTGCAATGGGCCGATGGGGCGTTTGTGTTGCGTGTAGAACTCGTCGAGGGATTCTGCACGGGTGAGGGCCCGTTCGGGTAGTAGCTCCGTGATGCAGTTGGTCTGGTTCCGTTAGATTTCTGGAGGTCTTCTATATATACTAGTAGCTGATCGAGGATTGGGGTTATGTAGAAGTCTGCAATGAACGCACCACTCTCTGCGCAAGCGCTGCTCGACGGAGGAACGCATTGGTCGCCGCTTTGGCAGTCACGTCGCCTTTCGCGAGCATTGCCACGAGCTCCTCCGGAAGCATCTGGGTAATGCTGGTCTCGAATGGGTCGAGAAAAATCTCCGGTATGTTCATCGCATTCTTTGACGACAACGCTGGCCATGGACGGTCAGGCAGAGAAGGTCGTACTCGATCGATGCTGGCACGGCGGTGCTCCTGTGCTTCGTTGGAGATCTCGACCCATGTACGCCGCTTTCGTTTTTTGGGTTTTGCGTGGGTGGGCATGTCTACGAGGCGATTGGTTGCTGGCGTTGGACTGTACCTAGATCGGAGATAGATTGGGTACAGGAGCTGAAAGTTCGTCGCTGGTGAGGGTAATTATTGTTGGTCAGGGGCTTGCTGACAGCATTATTTTGCACGTTTGCCACTACCCTTAACAATGGGTTGGGCTCAGTGCACAAGAGACTCAACTAAATATGAATGGCACCAATTTGCTTCAATATTTCACTCATTATATATATGCGATGGACCGTCTCGTTTGAATGGAGACTGAGACATGGTCGTTCGTGGTCGAAGATAGAAGAAGCCAAACTCCAGGCTATCTACTTAGTCAGCAAGGCTGAGTGCTCCTCATGCCAAACAAAGAATGTATAAACCTCATCTGCACAAGGCCACCAGTCGTAGGTGATTGAGGGTGTAGTCAAGGGAATTACGCATATATATACTAAACCTCGGGACAGGAGTCGGCGGTGAGAGTGAAACAGCTGGACTGGGTGGCGGTATTCCCAGTAAGTGATTTGAAAATGCTACCACAGCAAAAAGGCCCTTTTGAGGTGGTTCTTGATCTGTCATTGAAGTCTTTTGCTCCGTTCTGCGCACAAATCGAGCAAGCTTTGTTTTTGAAACGACATTTCCTCTCACAATAGGCTTTTCGCCAGGGTTCGCGAGCAAAGCTGCAACCTAAGAAAGCCTGCAGGACTAGGTTGACGCTGTTCGTCACTTGTTTGCATGATTGCAACTTTTGTCATGGGCAGAGCACCCTATATTGGTTGACGTCTGTCGACTACATATCTGAGTCCTGGAGGTTTCACCTTGTGCCACTGCGCCAGACCCCACGGTTCGGTGATCTCAGCTCTTCTCCGGTCTAGAAGTCAAAAGTCGTTGATGAATCAGTAGCAACCTCCCAGCTACTCTGCACATGCCCTTTAGGTGGTGGTAATCCGCCAAAGCCGACGGCCGTCTGGGTAATAATGAAAACTACCAGAATCGACATACTGGCCTGAGCAGCAGTACATGACGACCAAGTCTGCTGGCCTAGCTACTAACTACTAAGTGTGCTTCCTACCTAAGAATTTGTGAACATACTGTATGCAAGTTCAACAACATTTTCATCTCGGATAAATGTCTGCGGGTAATAGAATTCGTTCCATCTGAGGGTTGATGATGGGAATTCCGAGATTCAGATGCACTCAAGCTGCTTAGGGAGGTAATTACTGCAAGCCGAAACGAGGTCGTTGCAGTGCCTCAGCCAGGTCCGGGGCACACCAAATCATGGGGAGCCTCTCCAGAGCGGTTCCAAATACCACGCCCAATCAAGGAGGCATACTTCTTCAGACAAAAGTCGTTCACCTTGTCCGTTCAAGTCCGGGTCACGACCGATCAAACCGGCTGTCCTTGGCCCCTAGGATTGTGGCTTGTGACGGGTGGATGCACGCCCACCAAGAGACCGATCCCGACCTATGGGGGGCGTGGTACGCGTACAAGGGTCACCAGTCTAGTCCAACATTTCATCAAAAGTCGTTAAAGATGGAAGATGAGTATATATCTGCCCATCCAGCTCACCCAAAATTACTGCAATTCGTCTTTCTCGATTGCAAGCTCAACAGCGTCTTCCAGATACTTTATCCGATCGTCAGCCTCGTGGAATGCAAAGTCACCTCAAAGCTCAATCGAGAACGGCAATCATTTGAACGTGACTGAATTCAGCCTGACCTTCGCCACAGCCACAGCCACAGCCATCCCTGTAACCGCCGGTTCCACCAAACCAAACCACGTCCAGTCCCCCTCTTCTTCGATTTGGCGCTCCTCTATCAACCATGGGGCTTTCAGCCGAAGTCACCGTCTCCCTGGTCTTTGGAGTTCTCATGGCCATCATCGCACTGTTGGCCATGTTCCAGGCTGCGGTTTATGCTGCACGAGCCTGCAGAGGTAAGAATCAGTATGCAACCCGACCTGCTACAAACTAACCTTGGCTCTGGTGTAATAGCTCCTTCAGATTCCCGTGCGAATAGCTTCGAGCTGGAGGGATAGCGGAATGCTCCAATCATTTCTCGCGTATGTACAGGGTCACGGCTAGAGAAGGCATTGTTCGATTTGGGGAGTGTATTGGTGTTTATCGAATGGGAGGATGTCACATAGCATTCATTCACTAAACCGGAGTATGTTCGTTGCATGCGAGAGTATGTATGTAAAAAATCAGGGACGGTCGGGATTGGCTTTTGGCTAGCATCGCTCTGGTGGAGCACCTTACACACACGGTCGGACTACGAGCGCTGATGAGTAGCCCGAGGGCCCAAGACTCCAGCATGACGTAGGATCTGAGGACTTGGAGTGATCATCAATTGGCCATGGGAAATCTTAGAGTCTGTGCACCACTCAATTAAGCACTGTGGTTCCTTACGTTTCTCTTGACTGGCTTGGTTATTATTTTCCATGTATCTATCTCTACGGACCGGGTGGGAACTTGAAGTCTCACCTGCTTAGGGAGGTTACTTGTAAGCACCAGATGGTCTCCGTCAATATCACGTGAGTAGAAAGCTCCGAGTATCCTTTACACACACTGGAGACGCGCAAGGTCCATATTGAATGTTTTTCATTTCGTATGTGAGGATGTGACTGCTCAAACATTAAGATAAGACAGTGAATACTTGTCTTTATGTATGTCATGACAAGACCAACAACAGAAGACCATTTCCGGCCCTGATATTCATTTGCAAACCACATGCAATCATAAGATTGTCCGTTTCAAACTCCGAACACCACATAAGCCCTGTACAGAGGTTCGTTTCTCGGAGATCCAATAAGATCTGCCCCTCTATGGTGGTAGTTCGCCGTCAATAGCCAGCTGGAGGACTGGTCCACAAACGGACTGAACGAAAAACTGGTGGAGGCCTAGCTGAAAATGGAGTGAGTGGGAGCGTTGAAGCTTCGCATCCTTAAGCATTCCCAGTCTCATTAGATTAGATGCAAATAGGCACACCTTTCCCATTCCACCTTGAAGGGCGGGCCCTCCTTCGGTGATTAATTCATGTAATTCGTCATGCCCCGTACTCTTTGTCATGTACGAAGCTGCCTCGACTTCTCGTACTCCGGCTCCTTCGACCCTTGAAGAACCCACCGCGTCGTCCGGACGTCGTCGTCGTCTTATCTTTTCGCGAGGGGCCCACACAGAAAAGAATCGTCGCAAGAAAGAAGCAAGCAAAGGCCGCCCATTCGAACCCGAATGCGTACTGTCCGACGTTGGATTCTTGGTTGTTGTCCCGGAAATTGTTTCTACCCTTGAGGTAGGCAGCAGTCATCAATGCAGCGTTGATTGCCTGGAAGAAGGAGGCAACCATGGTCAAGAGACCGCTCAGATAGCTACCAATCCTGGTGCAAAGCGCCAAGAGGCCAGTAAACAGCGACATGGCCCCGAAGAAAAGAGCGATGAGCATAAACGCAAACATGAACCGTGTCATGAGGAAGTAGAAGCCGTGGTTGTCGACAAAATCTTGAGGGACACCAACATCTGTGTCAAAAGTCCGGTGCGAAGTAGGATCTAGCGGATATGCTGGATGGACCTTTGAGTAGTCCTCATCACCACAGACCGTGTGGCCGTTCTCAACGCCACATACATTCCAGTACGACCATCTTGAGACTGGCGGCGCCCCGGGGATCAACGAGGTATCAGCCTGTAAAAGATACCACCTATCGACTGGGGCGTGGTCGATGGCACCTGCCAGTAGAATAAAGAACATGAACAAGAGTCCACCGGCGACGAGGATCAAGGATAGCAAGCTGAAAAGTCCCTCTGTAAGTCTTTATTAGTAGGTGTAAGACGGTGAGTTCAGACTACATGTATTTACTCACTTCCGGCCATCTTGGAGACGTTGGCGATTGCGCTTTTTATGATAGCAGTCAAAATAAGCGGTGGTCGTCGTATGCTTAAAGGACGGGCGACAAGGCCGAGATCGCAACCAGGCGTAAAGACTCGAGGATGGTGAGCGAGGTCAATGGAGGGGAAGAGGCGCAGTGAAGCGGAAGCAAAAGAAGATGTGCCTTTCTAGCTGGGAAGAAGAGGAGCTGTCGTGGCAGCAAGCAGCAAGTCTTGGATGAGGTCACCTTGGGGCACCCACAATTGCACCAAACTTTGAAGTGTGGTCCCCAGACTGCACGAATCGATCGAGAGGTGAGATGTAAACCAAGGTTGCCAATGGAGGACATCAGCAGAGATCCAGCTCCAGCTTAGTTGGGGATGCAACCCAGTTCCCAAAGAGACACGGCATTTGGGTGGCACAGCGAACAAGCAGCCCAGGCGTGCCCAGGTCAATTGTGGTGGAATAAGCTGCCAAAAAAACAACACACACGTCATTCACAGCCACACTAGACCCAAGCTACCTCCTAGCTCCATAGACTAAGCCTCATATGGTTAATCGGCGAGCCTAGGCACCAATAGCGCCAATCTGGTCCCTCCGGCCAAACATCCGTTTTTGCAACCACAGTGCCGCAAACATTGTCACCTGATTACATCACCTCTTAGCCTCGACCTAGGCGGCCTAGGTAGGTAGGCACTTCTCCATTGTTGCCAGAATATCAATTCAACGATAGGTCAATGTAGGCACTCTATGCTATAGCCAATTCCAGTTATGTCAACTTGGGTATACCCTCCAATAGCCCCAAATGAGCTCAGAAAGGCCGAAGACACCTCCTTGGTAAGGGTGCAACAAACAACCTGATAATTATCTTCCTGTCACCCCACAGCTAACTGGGTCTCAGAAGCTCGAGCTTCAATGGTTTCTAGAGTCCCTTCAGCCATCCTTGGGTGCCCTGAAGGAGGGCCTTGAAGATTGTGCTGCTTTACTGGCCCCGAAGGAGCCTGGTTCTACCCTGGTCCTATCTTCTCTCAGATCCGAAAGTGTCAAAGGCTTCGTCACTCGAGTAGGCACAAAACTTGTCAAAGGGGTAAGATAAATCTGATACATTCCTATCATCTGATGGGGATAATTAAGTGGTCTTTCAGGACATTCACCTTAGGCTTACAACTCTTCCTCCCAATACCCCAAGGGGAACAACCACTTCGACGCCTTCTACACGGCTGATTTTTGTTGCATCGCCTTCTTCATCGGACATACTCCTTCCTCAGCTATTTGCCGTCAAATCTCTGGTCAATGATGCCCTCGACATTATTGATGTCTCTCGATGGACTGGGCAGTCAACTGATTCGTCCTTCATGTCTGGTCAATTGAAGCTACTACATGACCACCTTCGTGAAGCGAAAGCGTGTCTGAAAGGATCTGGACCGAGAAATGATGTTGATCCCGTCCCTGGAGCAGACTGGTGGACAAACAGTCCAGATGAAAACACCTTCCAACCTCCCCTGGGTGAACATCTAAGTTTACATTTCACCATCCAGGACGCTCACCTTGTCCTCACTGTTCGTACACTCGCCCCTACCTCTCCAGGAGGTACCCCCAGTACCCCCAACGAGTCTGCTTTCTCTCTTTCAGGCTTCAGCCTCAGGAGCAAACTCTTAGGCCTTGGACCAAAACCTCCGAATCACGATGAAATGGGTGAGATATTCGAATGGCGGGGGCGGCAAGACGTCATCGTCCGTGAGAAAGTCCGAGTAGAGACTGCTGATCCCAGTTTGCTCAGTATTGCAGCAAAGTTGAGTGCTCTTGAACATGAAGTTGCTCGCTGGCGCTTGAATCTTAGGATCATTCTAACAGGAGACGTCGAGGAAGATTGAGAAGGTTTTAACCTCAGTGGTCCCAATTCACCGGAGGTTCACGCTGGGGACTGGAATCGCCGACCAAACCCGGCAGGGTTGGGGGAGCATCGGTCACGTGGTCACGTGACCGTTATTCATTCCCACACCGCAAACTTTGAGGAGTTTAGCTTTCCATGTTGTTGTGAATGCAACGACTTGTCCCAGAACGCGTGGTGGGCGATTCATCATTTCAGACAACTTCGCCGTACTCTGTCAGCTAGATTATATGCCTTCAGACAAGTTCGGGACTTGAAGACAATGAATCCAAAAAAACAATGCACTTGCGCGCACTATGTGACAAGCACGACAATGACGACGAGTGGTTCATTGAAATGAGACAACTACTGAAATCCAAAATCTTTGTCTGTCGGAGGTCACGACTTACTCGACAAATATCATTCCTAGGCACCCAACTTTGAGAATTAACCATCCAAAACCTCTAGGACCTTAAACACCGCTATGGATCTCTTCCTATCTGTTGGCTCTCGAAACGTGAATATGACAAGGAAGAATACTCAAACTCGGAACTCGGAACATTCCAGATCTCTGGTCATCTCGAATGCTAAGCCTTCAGGGCCGACAGCTCAAATCGCCAGTGATAAAGCACCAGCGGCGGCTAAGATTGCCACCTCCGTACAGCCATCGCTGACACCCCCCGGCAGTCGACGAGTGACTCTCTTGGGATCGGATGCACGTCAGATGAACAGCACCGACCAATTGGCACAGGAATGTGCTCCGACACGCATGACTTCGCCAGCATCTGCTGTAGAGAGTAAAAGTTGGAAAACTTTCCAATCCCGCCAACTAAGACCTAGCTATCCACCAACAAGCTGGAGATGTTGCGAGGACGACAGTGATGATGAACACAACACTGGGGGTAATTTGGGCAGTGAACACAAACAGACGAGCTCCAAGGCGACTCATCCAAATCATCTGAATACCAACCATGAGAAACACCCGACTGAGATATTACCAGGAGGATTAACCAAGAGTATTGCTTCACATGAGGACCGGGGCAAGTGCTCGCTATCTACAACCGATTCTTTCAGTAGTCCTGCGTATCCAGCGTTGGGGCCAGAAGACAACCTGCTTCCAGGTCAAACGGCGGACATTACCTCTCGTGTTTCTAAGATCAGTCTTGACCCACCAAGACCTTCACCACACATTTCGGAAGCTCCCGTTTGCGGTAAAGCCACGGAAGCAACACCACGAGCTACGAGTAATACTCGAGAAGCAAAGGCGTCGCTGTTACCGGACCCTGAGACTGCTTACGGCCAGAAATTCTATTATACTGCCTGCCCTCATGCATCGCCACCATCTTCAAGGCCCCTCAATGTCCAACCTACTCTAGCTACATATCAAGAGGGTTTGCTCAGATATGCTCCATATCATCTCCGTGTGCGTCCGCGCGAACAGGCTCCCGAAATCTACATCCTGGAGGGCGCTTGCAGTCAGTGTGATCTAGCCGCTCGTCGGGAGGCGGAACTACGGGTCTTGAATAAATATAAATCCAAGGTTGATGTCCTTTCAATCAGATTATATGAACTACAAGGTGACGTCGACCTTGACTCACCGACCTTACCTCGTGAGTATTACCCTGGCACTAGCCAAGCCCTCGCACCTCCAAATGCAGAGACTAACAATACAGGATTAGTTTTCACACCTGAAGTGATTGAACAGATCCTGTCGCTTGAGGCGGACTTGGATTCACTCATCAAGAGACGAGACCGGGAGATCAAGTTCGTCTGGCGCGGATATACTGCACGTTGGGGGCCTGCAACTCTCGGGGTTTTCCGAACTAACATCCATGCAGTCACTCGTGCGATGCAGAACCCAGCCAAGAGCAGTGCTGAAGCCACATTTTCTCAATCCACCATCACAAGTGATACCGAGTCAATCATGAGCACGGAGGCGATATCTTCACGTGGATACCTAAACTCTAGCTCCTTTGCAGATTCGTCATCAGCCACGTCCTTCAGCAGCGGTACTGGTGCTACCGCCCCTTCATCCACTCGCAGACAATACATCATCCGGAACGGCAGCGTGAGCCCGCGCGATACCCCGCAGTCACGCTACTCAAACGGCACACGCAGTATTCCGTTACCATCTCCCATCGACAGTACCAAGCAAAACGGCAGGATGCACATCGACTGGGTGCGCCGAGATTGTGGCTCGGCAGTAATGCCAGTGAAGACAGCTCGTGGCCCAAAAGAATAGGTCAAGCCGACGGAGTCTACTCAACATGGCAAGTGGCAGTATGCTCTCGCTCACAAGGAGGAATCTAGCAGTTGATCGCTGGCCATTAGCGCCGCAGTCGAAAACTCTGGCGTTTTCGACTGACAGCCTCGTCTCAATACAAGCACAACAGCCAACACCTTACGCATTCGTACGCTCGAGCAAGTGCACTCGAACCCAAGGCTACCTTCCAATATAAAGGAATGAATGATCACCTTAGGTACACACCTGAGCAAGGTGGGAAAATACTTTTGCGTTATAGAATTCACCTGTCGTTTCTTTCTCGCACAGCACTGCATCGCATAGCGTACCGAGGGTGAAGGAAGAAGCGCTGTCACGATTTTAATTTGACGACTTCTTAAATATAAAGACATACAATACAACATTTGGTGCTTTCGTAACCCTTGAAGGCCATACAGCATAGCGCCGCAACATGAATGGAACAAATCAACACGATATATATCTTGCGTTTGTTATCTCCTCCGCTCCGTTCGTTTTCTCACCAATCTGGAAGTCCGGCTCGCTCGTGTCCAATCTGACGATGCAGGGTTATGTGTCGTTTGCGTGCTCCTTGATAATGTGAAGCCGATACTCCCTTTTCCCTCGAGACTCGGAATTCCAACTCCTCGAAAGGTCCAGGATCGATTCAGACCATACCCATGTAGTTATCCAACAAGGCAGAAATAAACCATGTAGTTGTGCACATTATCCAAGTTTGTGCTCGTCGTCATGCATGGAAATCCCCAGAGTTCTATCCAAGTCATGTTCTGTAGCCTAGCAGGTCTGACAAGAGACAAGAAGAGAGCCACCCAAGATTGGAGGTCGCCCGGCCGGAGCCGCTCGTGGAACAAACATTTGGGGGGGTTTTCTGCGGTGTCTCACACAGCCAGCTGGCCAGAAAGGCACTTGGGAAGGGGAATGAAATATCTCCTCTTCAGGGCGTCAAGATTTCCACTCTAGGGGTTCAACACCACATGCAGTCCTTTCATGGCACAACAACGACAGCCCAGATGATCGTGCTGATGTGCGATCGAGTTTGCGTGTTACTCGACGCGGTTCCAACTTCCGGTAATAACAGAGCCTCTCTCATGTGTTGGCATAAAAAAGATCATGGCGCTGGGGCGAGGACAAGGGGAGTTTTGCTCTCAGAGTCTCACAGCGTCCGACCGGCTGGCCCCAGGGAGGCGGTGATACTCTTCTGCTGGCTTTCCTCCAAGGCACCGGCTTCGCATTCATAGTGCCGCTCTAGAGAAATCCGAGAACACACTTACATATTTTAATGCATTCGGTGAAGGAATGACGGGCCCGCTTCCACCGCGGTCATTCTGTCGCGGTGGAAAGGGCCACCACGCTAAATTAGCTACCAAGGTGTCTTGTTCTGAGTGAAGACAAAAGAGAAAGAACCTAGAAGGAGAACACAAGCAGCCCTGCGGACGCTTCCAGACATAGCTGTATTTTCGCTCCAAGTCAAGCAGGAGGTAGAGGCTCCTCTTCGGCTTCAGAAGGGAGAAGGATTGTTCATGTGCTACATAGAACGGAATCCGACACATATGCATCTCACCTGCCGGCAGAGGTACCGAATCAGGATGCTTTGAACACCATCTCAAAGTCTTCAGGTACACAACATAGTGCAGAGATGTCCGACGACTCGTGTTCGCAGTCAGTTATCCGAACTTACGGCGAAGGGCACCTGGGTCGGAGTCATCCCTCTTCTCTGAATGACCTCGACCTGCATGATGTTGTCAGGAATAATCATTCACAAGCGCCACCCTTTGACATGCGTGATCGTGATCGTATGAAAGATTATGAAGGACGTGTTCTGTGCGGCGTGGGTAGTGCAATTGATGGAAACAATCCAGAGCAAACCGAGCGAACAAGCAAAACTGTTGATTAAGCGGCAGCATTTGCCACCCCCTTTCGGTGTTGCCTGTCCCGGATCTTCCCTGAAGGTCTCCGTGTCTTTGCCGCGCTAAGTAACCTAGGAAAGTAACCAGTTACTGTTGAGTTGCGCTGGATTTTGCCGCCAAAGATCACATCGACAGAAAAAGATAGTTGGCAATAAAAAAGAAACTATTGCCGCAGATTTGTGGCGCAAGTGGCTGATGGGCAGAGACTAGAAGTATTCGTAATGCACAGTAGTGGCAATCCTCGGATAGCAAGACAGACGCCCTTTTCTTGTCGATCGTGAGTGAAGATTCATCCCTCGGCATGTCCACTGTGATAAGCCACACTCGCTCTCTAGAAGCAGCAGATGTTGGCCTGACAGCGTACGAGTACATGGCGCATGCTCGACCAGATGATGCCAGTTTGCGTGAGACCCTGCACCACGGACCCCACGAGTTGACCTCTCTGCAGGGACGGGTACTTTCCTGAGTTCGTACTCGTACATACACGTATTGTGGATCCGTAGGTGACTGTTCCTCGCTGAGCGCTTCGGAGACGTATTCGAATATGATAAGCCTCACTCTGACATTGCTTCCGTGAAACAGGCTGTTTGTATTTGATTGCAGTCATTAATTGTAAATGTTGCCTGATACCGTAACAGAAGAAGTGTTCGAGGACTAAGATGCGCTCATCTCATGTTCCTGAACCTGCCCCGAGCAGTCAGACAAGCGTGCGTCATGGATTGACTTCTCCTCGTCAGGCACTACTCTCAGCTCACCTGTTCCATGAATCAGAACCCTTGTACTAGCAGTAAGGAAGAGAAATCGACGGAGATCATTCTGCAGAACATGCCACCGCAGCAAACGGGCCTTCAACCGATAATCATAGTAATGCGATAGAATAGTGGTGGTCAGTTGACCCCTGGGGTGGATAGGCTAACGATTGAATGTCCGTAGTATCGCTTGCTACACGCCACGCAAAGGCCTTTCTCTTTGTTTGCCACAGATAAGATCTCCGGGCTGTACTACAATATGCTCCCGTGGTTTTTGCTTGGGCGTACTACAAGAAGAGGAGGCAGTTGCAAAAGGCCAGAGTTTAGCCACTTCGATTCAGCTGCGGCGATTGTCTCGGTTGCTTTGGTCAAAGCAGAGGGACTCACCTCACCATGTACGAGTAGGAGTAACGGATACTCTGCCGCCAGCTTTTGCTTTCGCGGGCAGGGGCATCAGCCACAACTGCCGTGGCGGAGACAGCAGCGTGATTCAGCGAGCCGTTATATCCCTCTTGCTGATTCGCCTCGCATGATTGCATTTGACAGCACGAGCTATGGCTTGGACTCCGTGATTGCGTGGCTCTGTTATCCCAACGACCGAGACTACAGGTCGATGTCTACCATGTTGAATATGTGTGGTTGCCTGGCACAGAATTTTGATATTGGGCGCCCGTCTCTCATGCCAGAGAAGCATCTCGTAGCGGACACAGGTCGTGCTGTATTCTTCCCCAAGCCAGGTGGTGGGTCCAACACAAGGCAAAATATGAAACGATTGTCTAAACTGGTTCTGGTTGACGAATAAATAGCAGTGTGGTGGAGTGGACGTCGTTTTCTTCGTTGACTCGTGTTGAATGTTCCCGTGACGACTAGAATAAAGCATGATCTCATCTCATTGCATGCACTGGGGGAAATGTGATTTGAACTTGCCATGCCAAAGTTCCCATAGCCCTAAGCAGAGCTCGAGGGGCATGTGATGGAAAATGGACAAATAGTAATGTTCAGGGATGTTCAGGGCGGTAAAGGCCTTCTGACCCTTGGTAGCGATTGGAAGAACATGCGCCAGAAGGAAACCTACTATTACCCAAGAATCGAGATAGGATATCCCACGAGAACCTTAGTGGGGGAGCTGCGGTGAAGTTGATGCGGGTGTTGGTTACTCGGTCGATGGTGTTGGGCAGCATTCGAAGCGGGGTGATTGAGATTCTTGCATTCAGGGGCCCTTGTGCGTCTCAGATTCCATTCGTTGTCCTCTGTGTTATTCGTATCGGCCTACAGTCACTGATGAGCTTGGATGCACTGTCTGTTTGCCTGTAAACCAAATTCTATGCCTTAACGATCGAACGTCCGCGCAAAGCAAAAATCCAGCTGCCTTCGCCAATGGATGCCGAAGGGCAATCAATGGCCAGTAGGTTTTGAGTTCTTCGACGGCCGCTTCTGGCCCAACAGGCGCGGACCGCCTCGGCTGGCTGTTGTGGAGTTGGGTTGGGCAAGCGGCGGTTTTGTGGACAGCGATCATCTCGTCCTCGGGTTTGGCTCTAGTGCATCAGGCACGAATCGACCATTCAGCTGTGCGAGAGGTGGGTGAATGGACCCCAGAAGTGACCATTGATCACATCAAGTTTGGTGTGCCTGGTTTGGCCATTGTGCTGCCTGAAAGGGCCCGACCCACGCTCAGCAGGCCATTGCAACAGAGCAAAGTGGGCTGTGCCCACCGACTAGATCGAATGCAGGTGGATCTCAAGACGGTGCGTGAAGTCATGTCCCAATGCTCAGTCTTAGAAAATGCCATGTGGATTGCAGACTTTGGTGGGCTCCTCAGTCCGGTTTCCATTCAGGTGAGTGGTCAGACGGACATGTCTTGTGAAATAGGAAGCAAGCGAAAAATGGGGTGTCCAGCAAGGTCGGGGGCCATCTTGCATGGAGCTATCGCGGAGAAGGTGTTGGGTAACGAGCCAGTCAGTGATGATGCGAGTGTGAAGCGTGACACGCTGGCTGCAGGAGGTTGATGGCAACATGGACAATTGGACCTGTTCAAACTCGTTAGGCCGAGAGGATTGCCTGGCGGGCGGTTCAACCCCAATGATGAGAGGTGATGGTCAGAACCTCATGCCTGCTAGCAGATGGGGAAAGGCAATTCGACTGGTATGAGGTTTACGGAGGGGAGGGAAATCGCCGTACTACTCGTATGTACGTGCAAAGAAGCGACCCAAAAGAAAAAGCAGCTTGTAGTCTTCCAGAACTGCAGCGATACCGCAATCCACTGGTTTGGGCTGGGACCGCGAGATGTGCTATCTTTAACCCCAGGCGGGATGGGTTGGGCTGATGACACAGAACACAACGGCTGATGGCTGGAAAAGACTTGGATGGCCACCAAGCATGGCTTCGTCATAGATTAGTATTCCCAGACGCTGGACAATATTGCATAGGTCGCTCGACAATCTCCCATCACGCTGTTCGACTGTCAACCATCATGCAAATCGACCGAGGCGGTGGTACCACATCTCGGCTTTCTCCAGAATCGATGTCGACGAAACGTGGCGTGTTGGTGGTGTCGCTTCGGGACGGGGAGAAGGCAAGGCACGGAAGGCTAGGGAAGGACAAGTTAGTGGTAGTGAGAACGGGACCAGGAGCACCTGGCCTTCAAGTTGGCTAGTCCCCAAAGGCCCGGGGCCCGGGGCCCTCGCCCTCAGACCCTTCGGGCGTTTGTCTTAACGAGAGGCACCCCTAACGGCTCCTGGAACTGTGACCAGTCGCCCGAAGAATGGTCGTCGGTCATCCGTCCAGACTATGCTGGTCTTGGGCTTCTGCCTAGGCCCGGGCAACTCAGGCTTGGGGCGACGTCCGTATATTCAGTGCCTACTAGAACTAGGTACCCACAGTCTGAGTCTGACTGTCACCGCCGCTCAGAGAAGAACTGACAGGTAAATTTGTATGAGCACAGCCCCCGGGGCCGCGCCATGGATATGGGTACATATCATGAGTAGTAGAGAAAACAAGGACCAGGCCGAGTCGACTGACGCCGGATCAGTGTTCATCAAGAACCTGGCTACGAGTCTACAGCTGATACTACTATTGACCACTGCTACTTAGTATCACTTAGCAGCCAAAGCATTTGATCCATTTTTGCCCCCTTCTTCTCCACTTTGTGCTCACCGCGAATCCCATATCGGCGACGGAGTCACTACCTACCAGGCAAACCTGATGATATCCAGTGCTTAATTGCCCCCTTCAGGCATCTCCAGACTCTCCTTCAGTCACTGTTGTCAAACTGTTGCATTGGACCTTGTGGTGCCGCAAACCCGCCACGAAAAAGAAAGCAAACAGCAAGCACCGTCCAGCATCCGATCATCAGAAATTGCCGCAGAACCAGTTACATAAGCGACTGGGATCGGAGCGCAGAGCCTATAATCGACGGTTGACAGGGGAAACATCTGGTTAAAGCCAGGCCAACTGTGGTGACTTGGCTTGGCTCTCCCCCAAGCCTCCCGGGTCGTGTTCCTCACTCACTCACCCACCCACCCACTCACCCATTCACCATTGCCCTGCTATACGGCATACGGCGTTCCTCTGGCACCTGCATTTGCACCGACACGGACAGTCACGATTATACTATCCTCATTCCTACTCTTCCCTCTCCACCTTTACTTCTCATTCATTTCGTCAGCGGCTTCCTTAACGCTGCTGCAAACCGCCTCCAGCAAGCTTGCACTTCTCAACAACACTTCTTTGACTCCTTCCTACCTGACTTTCGACTTCTGTATTTCTTCTGCACCTATTTGTACATTGGTGACCTAATTTAAACCACAAACACCATCCTTTGTTTTCCTCACGGGCCAAATACCAACCACCCACCGACAGACCGACCCATCAGGCCAGACCGACCAATACTACCCACCACCTCACCTCTAGACAGCTGGCACACCATGTCCGCCACGACCCTCTGTTGACCGCTTTGTACAAAACACGACTGCTCTTCTATCAATTGCTCGTCCTTTTTTCCTGCCTGCCTGTATTTAGTGCCGAACAATGTCGTCGCCTCTCCCTCCGGATCCCTATGCTGCCCTGGGAGTGGCCAAAGATGCCGAATTTTCAGCCATTCGATCCTCCTATCGGAAGTTGGCTCTCCTCCACCATCCAGATCGGATAAAAGATGAGGCCTTGCGAGAGAAGGGCAAGGATGAATTCCAGAAAATCCAACGAGCCTGGGAGCTCCTAGGAGATGCTGAGAAGAGGCAGCGCTATGATGATCGGGTCCGGTTAGCAGAACTTCGCAAGGAAGCGATGACGAGAGATCCGCCACAACGCGCAGCCTCAACAGCTAACTACAATACGAGAACGGCCGCTCCTGCTCCTGCTTCACACGCTGCTCATGCAACCAACACCCGTGAATATCGAGAGGATGGAAATTTCTTCGAAGAAGTTCGACATCCTAGAAATGTCCCTTCCTACGACGAGCCATACTCCTACGATGAGCCCTCTAGAACAACCTCCCGCAAATATCCCGAATACGAAAAGCGTGCTCCTGCCCCCAAGAGCGAGAAGAGGTCCAAAGCAGCAAGCACCTTCGCCACTGCCGGTCTTGCGGCACAATTTGCATCCAAGCTGCGAACACAGGCTGCAGAGAAATCAAAATCCAGTAGGGCGGAAGAGAGAAAATCCGACCGGGAAAAGAAGCGGGAACGGACTGAAAAGGTCCAGACACGAAGAACGGCATATGTGGGTGATTATTCCAGTGACTCTGATCACACCGAAGTTCGACCCTCTATGAGACCTTCTTCTCGTTCTAAGACGACATCCGATTATCCTCGAACATCTAAAACAGAGAAGCCTCGTGATCTGGACGAGGAGAGTTTTGACGGCAAGTGGGAGAAACACCACGATGACGTCAAGGCGTATATCAGCAAAGCCTCCAACCGTCCGAGCCTGGATAGATCTGGTTCCGATGCGTACCAGTACTGGGCGGGCGGTGACCCCAAAGGTCGAAAAAGTGGTAGCGATAACGAAAGGCGACCCAATTCGTCCAAGGGCCGTCGAACCCAGGACGACTACTTTACTCCAACTTTTACTAAGTCTACTTCCTCACCCAACAATCTGCGAGCTCATATCGAAGAACGGACTCCCGCAAGATCGACCGTCGGGGTCTCCCGTGATCGTGAACGAGAACGTGATCGTGGCCGAGACAAAGATCGTGAACATGAGAGAGAGCGGGAACACCGAAAGGTGATCCCACCTCTATCACGTTCTCACACAACTCCTATGCCCAGGTCGAGCTCCAAGAAGGACTCAGCTCCTTCAAAAGGTTCCAACCTGAAGCACGGAGAAGTGCATGACTCAAGCTATAGTAGTAGCTCTAGTCCTCAAACCCCAGAGATGAGAGAGCAAAGTCCACCGCGGACCTCCAAAGGTCGCTACGCCTCCAATACTACCTCGACGAAATATCATGTCGACCCAGAGATCGTTGATGACGAAGGTATTCGCGCTCCTAGAGTCACCAAGATCTACCCGGAAGAAGATCGCTACCCGCGCTACCACAGCCCTGAGCCGCTATCTCGAGACGCCTATACACGCGAAACAGATCGTCGGAGCCGGGATAAGCCTGAGCGCCCCAAGGTTGATACCACTTCTCGTGCGAAATCTTCTCGGGGAGCAGCCATGATGGAAAATCTGGCCGGTGGAATCCCACCTATTCGACGCGGTGATTCTGGACACCACACTGACAGCAGAGCTTCACCACGCTCTCCACGTGACACACCTCCGCTTTCCCGTCACGACAGTGGTCGCGAAAAACTGTTCAATGAAATATCACCTGAAGATCGATATACCAGACCCTACCCGGCGGAAAAGATTAACATGGCACCTCGTAGGGATGCTTCAACCACCAAATATGCGAACTATCCTAGGGACGCCCCTGATGTTGATTACAGATCTCGTTTCCCCGAGCCATTCCGAGCGAGAAGACCCTCGGTCTATTGATAGCCGGCATTCTCTCTTTACTCCTTAGATCTCTCATGATCTTGTCCTCTCTTTTTAGCAAGCCAGTATCTTTCCTCATTCAACCTCACATAGATGTCCATCTCAAAGACGACATCCATATTTGCTTTCCGTGTGTTTTTATCTACTTTATTTTGACAGGGGCCTGGTTCATGCGTGGGAAATATTCTGTGGAGGAACAGTACGGTCAAGGGAAGTATCGGGCTTGGATGCGGAGGAAATGTAGGTGATGGATCTATACCAGAGTGGCTGATTGCATTGGGGTGGATACAGACGGGGAGTGAATAACCCCTTTACGGTCGACAGAACCAGATTCAGATACCTGGTTCAGGTATACAGAAGGGGTATATGTTGGCATGATGCCACATGGGCAGACTCTCTCTCGCCAACCTTTCTTTTCCTGCTCCTCCTGGGCTGCGAAAGAGACGGTTGCTGGGGAAAGTTTTTTGTACAGATTAAAACCACAAACTATATCATCTCCCATTCCTTATGGGGATTGACGATGTAATGAGCTTACATGAATATCTCAACGAACCCACGGAAATCTGATAATCATTGGTACAGGGATCACTGCATTGCATTGTTGTATTGTGATTTTCAACGAAGTGATTGGAGTTCTCTGCGTTGTGGGATATTCCATCACTGGCTGACTACTCGTCCAATGAGCGGTGTATGGCAAAGCTTACTTAATAGACCTCGTCATACTCTCTGAATCGACATTCTCACATGCCTATGAACTGGAACTCGGCAGCGTGTGATTAAGGTTCCATAGGGAAGCGTGTGTCACAAGTTGGTTTTGTATAAGCGAGGTACCTCGTGTGCACCCTCAGAATAGCAAATTTATGCGCAAAAGGTACGAGCTGGCGGGCGATTGACAGCAGATCCATATCTATGTATACACGAGAGTACGGAGTACCTGGGCTGTACCTCGTACGTAATAGTCATCTTGGATCAAGATTAGGTAGATCGGCTTGCGCACAAACTAATAATAGATACTCCCTGCTTAGTTACAGTGTCTCTTTTCTTTTTGCTTTCCTTTCGCATTGGAAGGAGTTGACGGTCCGGTTCAAGTCAGATCAGTCCGGCGATTCCAGCCCCTCAGCCCTCAGCCACAGTGTTCAGGCTCTGGCTCAGTACCTCGGACGAGGTGCGCAGGTACTCAGACTTGGGATCTGATGTGATATGGCCATCTGTGGTTTGGGCTGTGGTTTGGGCTTGTGCAGTAGGGCAGGGCAGGGCAGGGTAGACTATTGTCCGAGGTTCATGCGTGAATATCCTCCGTCCACGTCGAGAATCTCGAATAGGCGTCGAATGTGATACAAGGTACAGATGAGGTAGTCGGCCCTTTTTTGAGGTGGGGGAGTGGGATGCCTTTGCCTCTGAAGGTACACGCGGTGGGAGAAGGTCTGGTCACGGAAACTTGAAGGCCCTGCGCAATATGTATCTCCATGTACGGAGTATTGATCTACCTAGGTGTGCATACATTGGTAGGATCGGACAATATTGTTTAATCTAGCTCTGTTCAACTGGCCAGTAACATTGGCTTTTGCGATCAATACGTGGTAGAGTAGTTAGTGGTGTTGGCATCTTCTGCTGTTCGGTGGTGTATGCCATCTTCGTAAGTACTGTCCGCCGCATGATATGAGATAGCATTTCGATGATAGCGACCGAGTAGTCATGAGGGGCCCGCCGCAAATCGCAAATCCCCAAACCCGTGGAATGCTGTTTTCGCTGGTCTCGGTCTGCCCTCCTCCAGCGGTGGTGAATTTGTCTGGACTCATCAAAATAAGGAGATGTCCGTCCTCGGATGTAGCGGGCGGCGAAAAGAGGCATTCGTGGAGCGGATCTGGATGGCAATGCGGAGAATGTGCCTGGCCTCCATGGCGCAAGTTGTTATGATTGGGGTGTGTGACAACGTTCCGAGCTTGATTGATGCATGCACTGTGGGCGGATCCAAACGCACTTAAAGAAAGGAGCGATTGTTCTTGGAGTCTGGGATTTCTTTTATGAGTCGAGAGTATTGATATCAGACGTATCAGTCTCATCTGACTTAACACAGGTCATTCACGGACCACCTGGAACTTTGGACATTCAACGAGTGTGAGCACGAGACATAAGAATCTGAAGATTTCAGCCTCAGATTACGGTCAAGCAAAGCCCAGCCATGCCTGAACTCTCGCAGGAGCTGACCGACTCGATCACGAAGTCCGTCTCGGACGGCTTCGATGAGCAGATCGCGTTCACGCAGAAACTGGTCAGAATCGGGGGTCAGCGAGGCGACGAGCGCGCCGTGCAGGAGTTTATGTTCCAGCAGTTCTCCGAGCGAGGGTATGGACCCGTGCAGTTCGACATTGATCCGGAGGCGATCGCCAAACATGTCGGCGGTGGCAGGATCAGTGAGACTCACTCCAAGGCTCCTGTCGTCGTGGGTGTTCACAAGCCTAGGGAGCAGGCCGCCGGTGGCAAGAGTTTGATCCTGAATGGCCATGTCGACGTTGTGCCCCTGGGACCGACTGATCTCTGGACTCTGGATCCTTACAGCGGGCAGATTGAAGGTGACAAGTTGTACGGGCGAGGTGCGGGAGATATGCGTGCTGGAGTTGGTGTCTACGTCAAGGCGCTCGATGCACTGCGTCACATTGGCCTGCAGCCTGCTTCTGAGGTCATCCTCGAGTCCGTGGTGGAAGAAGAATCTACGGGCAATGGGACACTAATGACGCATTTGAAGGGATATAAAGCAGATGCTGCGCTGATTCCAGAGCCCGTGGGAGAGGAACTGGTGCGGGCCAATGTAGGCGTGTTGTGGTTCCAGATCGAAGTGAGAGGCAAGCCGGTGCACGTTAGAGAAATGGCATCGGGGACGAATGCGATTGATGCGAGTTGGAAGGTAATTGGGGCATTGAGGGAGCTAGAGGAAGATTGGAATGAGAGGAAGATAGGACGCGAGCTTTATATTGAACAGCATAAAGAGCTGGAGCACCCTCTGAGTAAGTTCAAGTCAAAGCTCCCCCATCCGAGGTGATCCGCTATTTAACCTTACGATTTCCCCCGACAGATCTCAATGTTGCCATGATGCATGCTGGAGACTGGGCTTCATCAGTGCCCGCGTGGTGTAGAGTGGACTGCCGGATAGCGATCTATCCAGGAGTCAGCGCCAAATCCGCAGCAGATGAGATTGAGCAGAAAGTTGCAGAAGCCACAAACGCCGATGAATTCCTGAAGAAAACCCCACCGAAAATCACATGGAATGGTTTCTTCTCTGAAGGTTATGTGCTTGAGCCTGGAAGCGACGCCGAAGCTGTTCTTCAGAGATCTCATCAGCAGGCCACGGGCAAGACGCTGAAGACCGCCTTTTCGGGCGCTTATCTGGACTCTCGTGTGCATTCTCTCTATGATAAGATCCCCGCACTCTGTTATGGTCCTCTTGCCGGGAACATCCACGGGTTCGATGAATGGGTCAGTATCAAAAGCATAAAACGTGTCACAGTCGCTGTGGCGCTGTTCATTGCGGCATGGTGCGGTGTCGAGAAGATTTAGCCATCGAGCAAACGAATATCACTTCGATCAGCCTGCTTGTTCGACGAAGATTCAGGAGTAGTGTCAGTCGGGGGAACAGGGTTCTGTAGGATAGGGAGGTCGATATCAATGACAACAGGCTTGTGAAATGCCTTCCCATCTTTATGCGGCCAATTCGAAGCCATAAAGGCCGCGTTGACGATGCAAGTCTGAGCTTTACCACGGCGCCCAATCTCTGAGTTAATATCTGAAGTCGAGTCAATCTCCGATTCCGGGTCGATTTGGCCGATACTGCAATCGTTCTGCAAAGCGGTATCCCGTGACCGCGATGATAAGTCGACAACGAATAGCTTCTTGCTCTCGGGAGCTTGGTCTTCCAACTGTCGCACACTGTTTTCTTTAGATTGACCAATTGAACTCGACAAGTCCCATGTGACAATTTCGACACCATAGCCCTCATGGATATGTCCACAGACAAAGATCTTCGGTCGAACTTGTGACAGGGCAGCCAGTAATTTGTCGCACCCTGCAGTATCACGTGTACTACACCGATCACGATGACCCTTTGCTGGAGCATGTGTAATGACGAGATCTGCGCCCAGGGGAATCTGGCTCCATAACTGAGAAGCTGTTTCTGGGTCATAGCCAAAAGCCCAGAATCCTTTTGCTGGAGAGTATGGCGACCCGAAGACCTTCAGCAGGGCGTGAGTGTCATCGTCAAAGTCGATCCTGACATCTTTGGCCTCATGATTGAGATATATGAAGGTGGGATCTGAGTAAAACAGATCAATGCAGCGTTGGGGATCTTCGATCTTTTTGTTATGAAATCTTCCACCATGCTGCGCATAGAATGGAACGTCACAGGTGATATCGTGGTTTCCGCAAACGAGTATCTTCGTCCGACATTGTGTCTGTTGGAGCCACCTTATGGTCTTTTGAAGTTCTGAGAAGGTGCCTTGGTTAGAGAAGTCTCCAGCGTGGATCAGTATGTCTCCTGACGGGAGCTTCGGCGTTTGATTATGAGTGTCAGATATACAGACCAGTCTCACACGTCTGGTGGCCATCATGGAGAGGGTTAGTCTTCAAATCAATGAATTTATGGAACGACGATGTCGTCGATACCACGATTATTTGTTAGCTCGGGAATGTATCCGTATAGTTGAAGTGATGCGATGAGTCATTCACGCCGTGTCATCATCGGATGTGTTGCGTTGTACCTGCTATTGTCCGTGTTTAAAACAACACCTACTAGGATGCTCCTACAGACTCGACCACAGAGTCTCAAGAGAGCAGATCAATCATCAAGTCCTCGGTAGCCCTGGCAAGATGTTTCGATTGAAGATGATCGACTCTGCTTGAGGCAAGCAGTAAACCGTAAGTGCAGTAGCTCATAAGGTTGAGCATGGTGCGTCCTAGGGAGGCGGGCCATCAGACGGGGACCTTGCATTAGCGCCTACGGGAGAAAGCACGGCCAAAGATGGCCTGGAGAGTGAGTCTCGCGGTCCCTCGAAAGGAAGGGATCCTGGTTAGTGATGGACCTCCTGCTGAGGGACACCTCTGTAAGGTTCTCCGTTCTCCGTATCAATATTGCTGATAGGCATTGAAATGTACGCTTATTCGAGCTCTTCCGAATAATCAGTATTGATTGATGATTGATAATAGACACGACGGCGTGATTAACATGCGTGGAAGATACCCGTCGGGAGGACACACATCTCGATTCTCCAGTGGATAGGATTTGCGCAGATTGGGGCCGTTGAATGCTTTATCATTACCCTGAACTAGGTGACTGTCAGGCCCGAGAGGCCCAAGAAAGTACTCCCTGATCCCCCTCCATCGCCCCGCCAGGCCCCTAGCAAGTCAACCCTCCGGGCACCTTACTTAACTCGTGGTAGCTTGAAACCATAGCTCGCCGCCGGTCTTGCCAACCCTGCCAAACACGCACGCACATTCGCCTTTTGGACGTGACACGTACCCAAAACGCACACAGATCACATTTTCATCTCACCTTTTTTCCCTTTCCCACCGTGCTCGCCTGTCCCATCCGTGGCGTTGGAATTGCTCCAATGCTCCTAGTTGCTGTTGGAGACTGCTCGAGAAACCAAACCCAACTCATCTGGCGTCAATAATCTGTAGATCAAGCGAGGTCTCAACATCCGTAGGTGCTGGGACTGCCGAGTATATTACTAGTAGCATGTAGAGCCCACCAACAGCTTTCCTTTTGCTCCAACAGTGTCCCTAATACTGATGAACAGACCCATCGGCATCCTCTACGACCAGCTCAGGCTCGGGCTCAGAGTTGGCAGAGACAAGCAAGCCTCACCATTGAACAAGCGAGACAGACTAGCTGGGGGGTTTGATCCATGGGCCAAATCAGCCGCCAGGCCCTCGACCCGCGACCCTTAAGCCTCGATAACAGATGGGATGGCCCTCAACACCAACACCAACACCACCAGCCTTTCGACAGCCTTTCCTTCATCCCCATCCGTCCCCCCCTATTCCGGTGGAAATGATAATCATCTTACTTTGCATGTTGCAGATGTATACACGGCTCATTCCCGATATCCACCTGGCCACCAGCCAGAGTCAGCATCAGGGCTGCATCATCGAAGGAACCATGTCCATGTCCATGCGAATCAACTAAATGCCAATGACTTGACATTCCGCCCGCAACTCCGCAAGAAGCCCAAATTAACATCCACCCTCAGCTCAACTTCAACTTCCGCGTCGCCGCTACCACTACCACTACGACCACCGCTACCAGGACACGATCCTCTACACATGCACAAGCTAGCTGCAACATCTAGTGTTCCCTCTCTCCGCCTCGCTCTCGACATCAGTTCCTCCTCTGACACCCATCGACCAACCTCTTCTGGAGGCCTCACCCACCCATCGAGCCCCTTGCACCGCGCCAATTCCCACCCACTACAACGTTCGCCCTCACAGAAACAGAGGAAGCCACCTGCGTCCCACAGCAGCTACGGAGTCGAGACCTTTCTTGGTCCACCTCCTTCATATAGTACTCAACGTACGCTTTCACAAGATCGGGTTCGCAGCCTCGACCGGAACGGCGGCGTCTCCCGAACCACCAACAGCAACGCGACGCGTGACACGTCACCTGGGAAGTCCAATGAGCTGCCTGTGGAACCAGAATCCATCACTTCAAGACTGTCACCCGTGAAGGTGACTCCCGACGTCACGAATTCGCCCATCGCTGAGTCCTCAGGGGACGAGTTGAACCCTCCCGAGACCTCGAGTTCTGTTACTGCGGATTCCCAAAGTCTACTCACACCCACCTCGAGCATGAGTAAAGTTTCGCCCACAGCAGCAGGGGCTGTTAGTGGAGATGAAAAGGAAACCATGGGTGCACATCAGCTCCAAGTCGCGATGCTTGAGGATGATGGTAAAGGTTCGAGTAGTGATGAGCGAAAAAGTGAGGATTTGTTTCTGAACATTGCAAAAGCAGACGCGACCCGTGTTGGCCAGCAGTCAAAGATGGACAAGCGGCGATCGCGTATATCATTGCCTTTCTTCTCTAATACACGACCATCAACGAGTTACAAGTCATCTCCAATCCAACAACCACTTGACACCACCACCAGCCCGTCAACGCGGTCAGACGCGCTGAACTACTACAGCAAGCGAGCGTCCCTTGGCCAGCATGTGCCTGGAGCTTTGTCAAGAGCTTATACCCATGAGACAGCGCCTCGCGATGGGCACCCGAGTACACAAGATACGCAGAGTAATTATCCTGCTGACCTCTCACGACGAGTGATGCCGCGGCGATACTCGAACACCAATACCGAAGCTGGACGACAACGGCCGAACACAGCCCGCACCAACCGCCTCGTGTCAGAATCGGGCTTTCAAGAACGCTCTAGATTGGCTGATCATAACGCGACCGAGTCCACCATTTCTACGGGGGCTCCCTCGACTGTCTGGGATGAAATGGACGACTTGAAATCGAGAATTAGGAAACTCGAGCTCAGAGGCAAATTGCCGGCCTCTTCGGCGGCGGCAATGACATCGTCGGAGAGACCAAAAACCGCCACTACCGCTGCGACAACAATGTCATCATCCCCCAAGCAGAAATCTACTGCTCCACCACTGCCGTCCGCTGTCGAAGGGATTCCATCCACGGTCCATCCGTTACTACATGAAGCCCTTGGGAACGCCAAGGGTGCTTTGAATACTGAAGTGTTTCAGAAACTACAAGCCACAGCCCAGGATGCTCTACAGTTGTCCATGATGATGCACCCAGAGGGTTCTACTGTAGCTGGAAGTACAGTGGGAAATGGCTCATTGTCTGAACGACAAGTTCGACGAAGGACAGAGAGTATGTGCCGGAGCCTGACAGAACTGGCCATTGCCATTCTAGCAGACAACAAGCCGGTTCCAGCACCTGTTACAAGACCAGCAAGTCGAGACAACTATCAACCACTGTCGGCTGGCCTTCGAAGCCGACGATACAGCAATGACGTCAACGAGCGGCCGCCGGTGACTTCCAGAGTACAGTCTCGACTGGACAGTCGAAGGACCAGCGTTCCTTTAGGAGCGGCGTTCAACCCACAACCCACTGCAGATCACTTATATCAGACTCCGCCGGCGGCTTTGCCGCAGATTCAGACGAATTCGTCATCGCGGATAGGACGCACGTCAACGTCTCTCCGCACGAGAAGAACGCCGGGGTATCTGGATGGGGCTACAGATGACGAAGAAGCCAGTCCGTCTGTGCGGCCAGTCAGTCGAGCGATGACAGAAGTCAGCACGTATCGGCAAATGGCGAGAGATCGAGCAGCATACTCACGAGAGTATACGGCGCAACACCCGATGCCGGCCTCGAAGGAGACGACGCCTGTGACTCGAAGTGCTATGCCAGCGAACGTGAGCAGTAATCTGATATCTCGGCGGAAGTATGCATCTCCAAGTAGCGTTGTGGGAGGCCAGGAAAGAACGCCTGTGACACCGAAGGAGGCATGGGGCCGAATAACGATTGTGCCCGGGATGGTGGGATCGAGCCCCGTTGAAGCAGCACCCGAGAGCCCAGCGAGCATTCGACAGCCGAATTCAAGAAGGAGCTTAGGGTTTAGCAGTCGGATAACTAGCGTCAGCAATCGATTACGGGCAGCCAAGGCGGATCGGGGCACGAGTCTTCGAGAGGCAGTCGAGGCGCGAGGAGGCAGGGAAATTGCATCAGCAGGACAACAGGAGTTTGAGAACCACAACATTAGCATTATCGAGCCAGGGCGACAAGGTTCAGGTCCAGGCCAGGGTTTGGAGCACGCTTGAAAGCACGACATTCTACACAGATTTGTATCATTGGTGTACAAATAGTACTTTTACATTTGCGACCGAGAAGGCAGTCCTTCATCGATGTTTTGATACCCCCAGAAATGGAAATACAGATGGGACCGTGGCAGCAGCCTGGGAGGAAAGGTCGTTTTGGTTGCTGTTGCGGTGTGGGCTTGCATAAACACAGAGTCAGAGTTTTCATGATGATATTTGAGTTCCCTGGTCAAAGTAACGGACAACGTGCATACCTCATCGACAGCCTTTTCATCCCTTAGCTTCATGGGCATAGTCTCTTCGGCGAGTGCGCTTGGGGAGTGTGCTCGTTTGATTGGCGGTCCGAGATGTGGCGCTCAGGAACGGGCACCGCTACTGACTTTCCTTGGTCGTTCGTCGTCCTTGGTCCTACTCGTAGACTGTTCCAAACGAGGACGACGAGGACGAAGAGGACCAACTGAAGATATCCACGTGCGATTCATGGGCATTCTCAAGGTCTAAATCGATTCACGGGCCCCAAAGTATGTACTCGTATGTCTGCTTGGCCAGTCCTTGAGAACACGTGTGGTGGCCCACCGCAGAATTGAGGACAGTCCTCCATAGGGTTCGGAAGGTCGGGAAGAAGTCGTCATGCCACCAACTGACGATACATTAATGACATGACTTAGGTAAGAAAAAGATGTCAAGGCGGGGCGTAAACACGCCATTCTCTCTCAGGGCGGGCGTTCAAGGTTGTGGACGCTTGATAGGGTCATTTAGCCATGGGCTGGCCTGGACGAGTGGATGTGGATGTGGATGGATTTTTGAGCACCTTTAGGAAACGCATGAGCACCTTAACGACCATTCCTGTAATCGATTGATCCATTGAGCCTGGTGCCTGGTGCCAGTGCCAGTGCCATGTCAGGCCAGGTCAGGCTGCTTTCCCATTTTTCGCCTGATGGGAATGGACGTGATGGGATGCCAACTAGTGCTCCCCGATGTCGCAATATCCAACCAGCATGGCACATGTGTGTTGTTAGTTGACCCTCTTTTCACATTATTCTTCTTCTTATTATTGATGAGGGGGGCCGTGAGTTGTGGTGGTTTCGGAGAGTCTTTAAACGCCTCAATTATAAGGACTGAGCCACTTCCCTCCACAGCACATCCCATCCATGCCCTTCTGCTTTGTGTGAACAAGTTGAACCTGGTCCAAACAACAAACGCATAATTCTTTGTATACCTGTTGCGTACTGTACGTGCTGCTCCAACGAATCCCACATTTCAGTTGGCCCTGAATACAGTACCTGGTAATTTTCAAGGTTGTGGTTCTCGTCTAGTCCCCAGTCTCTAGTCTCGACATATTCTGGAAACACGTAAGACGGCACCCTTGGAAAGGATCCATTCCGAAACACGGTGACATCAAAGGGCGCCTCTGCCTTTGGCTGTCTTTCTTACTCTGCTGCCTTTTCTGGCCCTCTCTGCGTGTAAAGCATATACCGCCCGAGACACAGGCCACGAATTACACCTGACAACCTGGCTCATTGGAATAATACGATACTCTCGAGATCCGTCACCTCAGATATTCAAAAAGGCCCATCCATCGTTGATTAATCGTCCCTTGACCTGCAAAATCAAACCAAACAAATCAACTGCTTCCAACCGAGACTTCCAGCCTTTTCCTACCTGGAAAATGGGCTTTTTCGATAAACCCGTCGTCGACTCGCCTCCTCACAGCCCAATGTCCCTTTTATCTGATACTGGATATCCTTTCCGACGGAAATCATCCACATCCACATCCTCCTCACCGTTATCGTCACAAGTAACATCACCCGTCACGACGTCGCCGGCTCTGCCGGGTGGTGGTGCCCCCAAAGTGCAACTGGTGCCATACGCACGCACAGCCAGCTTCGAAAGCTCTTTTTCCTCCGCCGAACGAGAACTGCTCGACCGAGCCAGTTTCGACGCATTGGACCTTTCGTCCCAGGACTTTGACTTTGCCGATATCTTCACATACGACAAGCCCCAAAAGCCACTGAACAAGGTGGTCGAAGTGTCGCGGCCGACCCGCAGTGCTCGTGACTGGTCGAATTTCTCATTCTCGCATTATCCGGCTGCCGTGAGCGCCAGGAGTAAGGTCAATAGCCATCATCACAACCATAGAACAAAGAGTGGTGGGATTGGGGGATTGTACGTCAAGAATCATGAGGATGCACGGAAGCATTGAGGAAGAATCGGGGGTCCGGCCATTGTCCCATCATCTTGATGATTGACGAGCTGCGGGCATCGAACGAAGCTTATGAATTTTTCATGACCACGCACGACAATTGAAGTTTTCTTTCTGGCGGCAATCTATTGTTCTCATTATTACCTTACCTATCTTTCTCACCTCGCTGGGTGACCAGGAACTGAAAGCAGAAGAACGGCCGATGGTCCATCTCAGCACAGTCAAGTCAGGCCCTGGTGTACACCTCAGCACATTTTTGAATTGTTCTTTGTTTCTGGTTTCTGAAAAGAAGGACAAGTGGATCACTCCCCCAAAAGTTTTTAGCATTCTGGACGTTCCGTCACTGGACTGACGGATTGATGGCCGAAGGTTGACGGCATTTTGGACAGGGCAGGGAGAATATTGAAATTGGATACTCCATACGGATATAGCATATACTGTAAGCAGAAGCAGGTAGAACTGGTTGTTGAGTGAACAACAATGTGAAATATGAATTGGCGAAAAGGGCCGTTCAGTATTATATTTAATTGCATTTCTCCCTCTCTTCATCCATGTCCATGCCGTGCAGTTGGTAACGCGTCCTCGTCCACATGGTCGTATGGATGGATGTGCACGTACTTGTAGGAACCTCGGTGATTTTCGGAAGCGAGATCGATCTCATCTGATGTGCTACAGATGTGCTCCAAGTCTGTCGCAGGGTGGTCTCACTGTCGTCACGATCGTCACGATCATCACGATCACCCACGAGGAGAGGAAATTCGGTCAGTTCACCAGATCACGTTATTGTTGGTGTTAGTGCTGGTGCCAGGTGGTTACGGTAAGCGAAGCGACGATCAAGCAAGAAGCGAGATAGACAGGGACAAAGGGGGCTGAGAGGGGTGGGTGCCTGTGCTGTTTGAATATAAACCGTTTTCGAGGGAAGTCTTTTGTGTGGCATTCTGACACTTGGGGTGAACTTGGGAGTTGGTGTCGGAGCCCTACGGAGCACTGTACCGCGTAAGGACTCCGAGAGTGAGAAGGGCCAAGTGGGTGGCAGAAGAACAAGCTTCAGGTGGCGCACAGACACACTGTCTTAGACCTGAAACGCCATGCAATTTGAGATTGTTGTCTCTGCACTGCACACAGACATACCCATGCTCTTGCCCATCAGTCAGTCATTCATGGTCTACAGGTGAAGATGTAATCGAATACGTTCGGTGGTATTCCGCAGACAACGCGAGGTGTAATGGCCATGCATACAGTGTCATTGAGTGCAGAATGTCCATCTGCCTAAGCATACGAGCGTGTTGATTCTATCTTTGCGTGTCTTGACTCTTGGGTGCTTGGAGCTACTGTATGTACGAAGGAACGAGCTGAGAAGAGGCTCAGCAGCGCCAGCAGAAGCAGTAGTCAGCCGGTCGCCTCGACTTAGCAGCAGAAGTCGGAGCTACTGAGAATTCCCAAGGCACACATGCCCATGCCATCTCCGTCCTAGGCAGTCAGCCAACAAAATTGGGTTCACCAGCCAGCCAGCCTGCCACCCACCTACTGGGGGGGGACAAAAGTTGTTTGAGACAGGCCTAAAATACCCTCTGTCCCCAAATGAGGATCAACAGGGTGGATCAGCCGAGAGGATCCCAATGGATGCGCGCGGCAAATTTCATGTACAGACTGGCAAACAGTCCATTCATCGAGCGTCCGTCTATTCATAGCAACGCCTGGGCGAGTTTCAGGTTCGAGGCGGCCGTCCAGTCTGAGCCCCCAACCCCCCTCGCCTGCAGAAGCCATGCAAAGCCCATGCAAAGCCATGCAGAGGCCCTGCAGAAGCCATGCCGCCCATCAAGCCGTCAGCCTGTAATTCGCCCATCTCCCGAATTCGTCCCTCTGAACATCTCCACCCTCCCTCTCGGATGGTCTATTCTTCCAACTTCCCACTCCCCCCTCCACAATCCACCGTCCACCGCCCAAACCCATTCCCCTTCAAGCGCCTTGACTCTGAGTCTCAACAACACAGAGACATGCATTCTTGCAACTCGGTTGGCCTCATCCTTCAATTGCTCCCACCAACTGGTTCATCTTTGTCCAGTTCTTGTCCATTAGGGTCTTGATTCCAACCCCAGATCCCTCCTTCATCCCTCGTACTCCGTACCTCGTCCTCAACCTCGTTCGCTTTACGGCCATCTTCCTTCACAATTCCATTTCGCCTCCACCAGCTCCAATCTCTCTGGTCTTCCACCTGCTTGTCTATTGCGCCATCCCGCGCCTCTTGTCCATTTCCATTTGCCAGCGACCGCTCCTTGCTGAATTCCACCAACCAACCGCCCTCAGCCTGCCCAGGTAGCCCACCAGCTGCCGGTCCAGGTCTACGAGGACGCCCTCGTCCTGAGTCGCGACCCTGAAGGCCTTGCTCAGCTTGCCGCCCGTTCGCGCGCAGCTCAACCCGATCGACTGTCTATCACTGCCACTTCCATTTCTCCTTCTCTGCGACTTCCTCTGTTCCCTTTCCCTCTCTCTGTCGAGACGTTCAGGGTATCGCCAGACCATTTGATTTTGTTGCGCACTCGGCTTCAAGAGGGGGCTCTTTTTGTTTGGAATCCCAAATCCCGCCCAAATCTGACCGATCCCCCGGTGGAGCCCACCGAGAGACAGCCTGACCTGCTCCGCCGCACATTGGATACGCGCTGAATCTGAAACTGTGAGAGAACCCCCAGGTCTAGCATCATCTCGCTCTTGTCGCATGCGCTGTACCGGCTATCGTGCTCACTTCCCATCCTCTTTGTTTTGACTCGGCGCTCTGGTACGTCAGGCTGTTTTCTTTCTTGCTCACTGACCTGCCCGTTTTCTTTGTTGGATCCCATAGTTTCCCTTTCAATGTATCTCTATACAAGGCACAATCATGCACACCTCGATCAATCATGCTGACCCTCATCAGCGCAAGAGGTCTTTTGACTTGGCCAACGACTGTTTACCACTGCCCAATTCACGACACGGCCCTCAACATGGTCAGCCCATTGCCTCTACCTCAGTGACCATCCCCGAACTCGATCTCGAATTCGAACCTGTGGCCAAGTGCCTCAAAAGACGACCGGTTTTGCCCAGGTACCCGAACATGCCCGTCGAGGTCGCCTCGATAATGTCCACGCCTTTCCCGTCATTCATGTCAGTTGTTGGGAAAGCCGATACCACTTTAGCCAAGGACATGGAAGAGCTGCCCGCTCCCGATTCCATCAACTGCGATACTCAATTCCTCGTCACAGACGCGAGCCCAATAACAGACCCTCTCCACCAATCTGCCCAATCTCTACACCATCGTGACAGCGTCACTTCCATGACCTCCACCTCCACCGAGTCCTCTCCCACCACCACGAACTCGACCTTTGATTCTCCCTTGATCATGGATGCTTCTCCTTCCTCCTCCCCAGAATCCGCCACCTCCAACCTACCATCATCCCCCTTCAAATCAATGATGCCACAATCCACCCTTGAACCTGCCGCTCCATTTCAACACCGGACTTTTGCCCGCGCCGAGGTCCCTTCTATGCCACCACCACGGCTTCCCGCTCCACTGGATACCGCTAAAAACGTCAAAAACTTGTCACTGAACGTCAGTCCTGTAGTCCTCCAACGTCCCGCTACCGCCCATGGCTTCGAAGGATCCCATGCCTTTTCTGCACCATCATCACCCATGAAAGATACCCCACGAACTGGGAGACGGAAACCAACTAATTTGACCATCAGAACTCCGGGTTTCCAACAACTCTCCTTCCCTCGTCCTGGCTTGGATGTTCCACCCACTCCAAGTTCGCGGCCGTCATTGCACCACATGGCATCATCTCCCGCGCTGGCATCTCTTGGCTCACCCACGAAAGCCCCTCAAGGCCTTTTCTTGCACCTTCCCACAAGTGGAAGCGTCCACACTGGATCGATGTCCGGTCCCAACTCGGATTCTAGCGCTTCTAGTCAGCCTTTGAACGTCAATCTGCCCGAGTTGCGAGAGGAGGATGAGATGAATGGGATGAAGTCACAGGAGACGCAAGAGAAGGGATATCCTAACGGTCCTGTATTAATCTATGACGAAGGACTATATCTGTTTCTGGAGCCGACCGCGGACGAAGCTTGCAAATTCGACACTGTAATCAACGTGGCCAAAGAGATCAAGTGTCCTTTTCCAACCACGACTGTGCCCTCAAAACCCGAAATCACAGAACCTCAGACTGCTATTTCAGAGATGTCATTCAAGTCTGCTTGGGAATGGCCTCGACCCAGTGAAGTCCCTACACCCACTACTCCCCGACCTGCCTCCTTTTATCAGCCAAAGCACCCGGAATATTTACATGTACTATGGGACCACAACTCGGAGATCTTGGATGATCTGTATTCCTTATGCCGGCTGATTGAAGAGCGGATACAGACAGGTAAAAAGGTCCTCATCCACTGTCAACTCGGTGTCAGTCGATCTGCATCTCTTGTAATTGCATACGGTCTTTACAAAGGATACCAACCAGATTTCCATTCGATGTATATGGCTGTCAAGAAACGCAGCCAGTGGGTTGGGCCGAATATGAGCCTGATCTACCAATTGACAGATTTCCGCTCCAAGGTGGTGAAAGACGTTTATGGTGACCACTGTTACAATCCAAATGCCTCTTGGTGGGAACTCCAGGCGACCAACGCCTTTCCGATGTCGGACACTCCAGTTGCAAACACTTCCAGTTGGCAAACCCCTCGTGTCAATGAGTATGCCACCCAGGAAAATGCGAAGACACCCGTCGCCCAGAACCGGAACTTCACACCGCCAACCGTCAGGCCAGGTCCACCATTGAGGCTGAACAAGGCTCTCCCGCCTGTTCCGCTGTTCCCCAAAGACGCAACCGTGGCAACACCAGTCAAGCTCAGTCAGATTCTGGGTAGTATCGCCAAGCCCAGCCCGCCCCAACCGTCATCCGTCGAAGAGAAGTCAGTGGCTCAGCCAGCATCGCCACGGCCCCTTCCATTTCGAGAACAGTTTGAGGGGAAACTATCACACCAGATGGCACTGCCCGAGGCGAAATCGCCCAAATTAGGTCTGAAAATTGATTCACCTATGATGGATCTGGCAATGCAAGATGTACCTGATACACCGTCTCTCCTATCACCCCGAGCCAGTGAGTTTATGGCATCACCTTTTGCAATTACGGTGACGAGTGATTTGTCGACCATCTCAAACCGGAACAAGTCGCTAAAGCCGTCCAAGAGCTTTGTACTGCCTCGCCACCAGGCAATTCTACCGCCTGCAAACTTGAATCTAGCAGAAGATCGAGTTCCAACCCCCTTCGATCCGCGAAGTCCTCACCAGCATGGTGAACCAGTGGAGATTTTGCGGCACATCGATGACTTTTTGTAATCATGGATGGATAATGAATACAGACACGCGATACAGTCCAGGTGGTAATGTCTAAAGACCAAAGGACATGCACGGGTGTGGACTTGATGTTGACTCCCTTTTTCATTTTATTGTCTGTAACATAGCGTGGCGTCTGGGAAAGCGGACTGCAAAACCATTTTTGGGTTTGCGGTGTTGCGATTGTGATGAATACCTTACTGGGCAATGCTCTCCCATGGATCTCAGTGTGAGAGAAGCACTTGTTTGTACTATTAGTCACGAAGGAATGTGGATAATGGAGCAGTGACATGCAGACCTGCTCAGCACAAAACTTGGCACGATTGATTGATTGATTACTTCATGGATTGGATGAGACGGCAGGACTACATGTCGAAAATGGTCGTGAATGAAAGAGGCAGCAGAAAATGAAAGAGAGAAAGAAGAAGCAGAAGAGCTTTGCACAGATGGACAAGACTTTTTGATGTCGTAGACAAAAAGAATGAAACAATTGAACACATGCCTCAGGTTGCAGGTTATCATTTGTGCTGCATTGTCGTGGCTCGCGAGTCGCGCGCGCCTCTATTCTCACGACGAGGCTGATTCCACGTGATGGTGATGGACAAGGCTGGGATATTGGATTGCGGGCCTTCGTTTGGCTTGGATCCTGACGTATCACCACCACCCTCCCCCATCTCAGTGTATTATCACTTCTACTATTCTTCGACCTGTTTTTAACTTTTCTGCCGCATATTTATGTATCTAATGCAGACCAAGCTAACGCCCCTTTCATTTGTCTTTTTCAATTCCTAATCCTGCAACCCCACTATGCTCTAGGTGTTCCTCTCAATCCAAACCGTTGAGCGTCCACGCGCCGGCCCACCACCAACTATCATGGCCATGGAACGGACTCGCATCGCTAAGGTTTGTCCTCGTCGCGTCTTCAGTCTGCTTGTCTCTCTTAACGCTTGCTCCATCCTAGGTCGAGGATGTCACCTTGTCTCGACGCGGCGAGCAAGTTAGCGGCACCATCCATCTCACTCCCCACCATCTCATCTTTGTCCATACACCCCCACCCGCTACCAATCCTTCGACCACCACCGCACCCAACGGCAAACCCGCGCGCCCGCGGGAACTATGGATAACCTATCCCATTATTCACACATGTACTCTCCGCACCAGCCCCGCAGCCTCCAGGCAACCCAGTTCGATCCGTCTTCGGTGTCGTGATTTCACGTTTGCCTGTTTCTATCTCAACGATGACCGGAAGGCAAGGGATGTCTACGACAGTATCCGCGCCTGGACCTGTAAACTGAGTGGAATTGAAAAGTTGTATGCCTTTACATATCAGCCTCAGGGCCCGGAAAGAGAGGTCTCACCAAATGGCTGGTCATTGTATGATCCAGTGCGTGAGTTCCTGAGGATGGGCGTCGGTGATGAGACCAAGAGACAGCAGTGGAGAATCTCCAAGTTGAATCAAGACTATGCGGTATGTCGAATGATTTTTGTCTACGTGAGTGGGGGTACTTATGGCCCGCCAGTTTTCGCCTACATATCCCTCCGTTCTAGTCGTCCCTGCTTCCATATCGGACAACACTCTCAACTATGCCGGCCGCTACCGATCCAGAGCGAGAATACCGGTATTGACCTACATCCACCCTGTCAATGATTGCTCGATCACAAGATGTTCTCAACCGCTTGTCGGGGTCCGAGGCAATAGGAGTATCCAGGACGAAAAGCTTCTCGCCGCAATCTTCAATACCACCCGTGCTGAACGTCCTCTGTCCGCCTACAACTCTCCACCACCCGAACGTGAAGACTCCGGTCCCAGCAAAGACAAAGATACGAGCTGCCCAACCCCTCTGGACGGTGACCTTCAACAGACCGATACCGAAGCCCTCGAAGATGCTGTCATATCCAGATTCCGGGGTGACGATGAAGAAGCGGGCAACCAGGATTCTGACGAGAAGAAGCCTGTGGTTTATGGTGCTCAACAGAGAAACATGATTGTCGATGCCCGGCCCACTTTGAATGCATTGGCCATGCAGACTATTGGGGCTGGTTCGGAAGACATGAGCAATTACAAGTTCGCAACAAAGGCTTATCTCGGTATCGACAACATCCACGTCATGAGAGACAGTCTCCAGAAAGTCATTGATGCTCTAAAAGATTCCGATCTTACCCCATTAGGTCCCAACCGTGACCTCTTGCAAAAAAGCAACTGGTTGATACATATCGCCAAGATCCTAGAGGGTGTGAGTTTAATTGCACGCCAGGTGGGACTACAACATAGCCACGTTTCGATTCACTGCAGTGATGGTTGGGATCGTACCAGTCAGCTGTCTTCGCTCAGCCAGATATGCCTGGATCCCTATTACCGCACAATGGATGGCTTTATGGTCCTTGTCGAGAAAGATTGGTTGAGTTTCGGCCACATGTTCAAACACCGCTCCGGATTCCTCAGCTCAGACAAGTGGTTTCAAATCGAGAATGAGAGGATCAGTCGAGGAAATGAAGATGTCGAAGGTAAAGAACAGGGCGGGAATGCCATCGCCGGCGCCCAGAAAACATTTGAGAATGCCTTCCTCAGTGCCAAAGGCTTCTTCTCCAATAGCAGGAACAATGACTCCAGAGAGTCAATCAATATTGATTCGGACGCCGATGCCGCTGGCAATTACGATTCTGAATCCCAAGCTAGTCGACGTATCGTTTCAGGAAGCGTCAAGAAAGAGAAGGAGAAGTTAGTGACCAAGGTCAAGGAGACTTCACCCGTTTTCCACCAATTCCTCGATGCCACTTATCAACTCATGTACCAACATCCTACGAGATTCGAGTTCACGGAACGATTCTTACGCCGTCTACTGTATCATTTATACTCTTGTCAGTACGGCACCTTCCTGCTCGACAATGAGAGGGAACGGAGAGAAGCACGTTTGCGCGATCGGACGAGAAGTGTCTGGGATTATTTTCTGGCTCGAAAGAAGGAATTTACCAATCCCAAGTATGACCCGGTCGTCGATGACAATGTTCGGGGCAGGGAGAGATTAATCTTCCCAAGATCTGAAGAGACCCGGTGGTGGAATGAATTGTTTGGCCGCACAGATGATGAGATGAATGCCAAGCCGGTGAAACTTCAACCCAACGGCGGCAGTGATGGCGAAACAGATGTATGGACGTCTGTGGGCACACAATCCGGTTCCGCCTCTGTCCCTATCTCGAGAAGCAGAACGCCGGTTCTCATCGGCGTCGAGACCAGTGAGGCGAGTATTGGACTGACGGCTTCCCCTCAATTGCAAGAACCGGTATCGAGGACTAGAACTCCCGTCGGTTCCATTGGCCATGCTGCGTCTCCAAAACCAGAGGAGTCGCTGTCCAAGCAGAAGATTGCGCCTGCCCTTGAGTCTGAGCCGGCGCTGAAGCCAACGACACAAGACTCTGAACAATTGAAAGCTCCCGCACTCGGGATTCCATTTGTGCCCACCACAGAAAACGAAGGAACGGCCGATGTCCAATTGCAAACTTCTCAACCAAGCATCCCTGCTACTGCAGGTTCAGAGATACATCCTCCAGTACAGCAACTAGACCCAGAAGTCGAAGCAATGGCTGACGACTTGGATCCTCTTGGTATTGGCGACGTTAAGGACCATGTGCCACAGTCTAAGAGGGCGCAGAACGCGCAAGATCGTCGCCGCGAACAGATGGACATGTTGCTGAAATAGGACTTTTGCGACTGAAGTACTGTTTTCGTTGTTGATTGGGGCATTTCACCCACATTATAAGTGGCATCATCGTGATGACGGATTTTGGGAAGGACAGGAGGGACAGGAAGAATGCATGCGAATGAATTATTAGATAAACGAAACGCAATGAATGCTACGACCAGGAATCAACCACATGCATGTCAGGCCAGGCCAGGGCTTGATGCCTTGTGCAGCGCGCTATTGGCGATGATAAACGATCTTCAGATGCATTAGGAGACCCAGCTGGCATATTCAATTACTGGAATCTCCGGTGACTCTGAATTCTGTCTCAAAGAGGTTTCTGATTATTACGCAAAGTCCTATCTAGGGAACTTACACTGGTTTCTGCAGGTGCGTGTATTTCTGGCTGCTAACTGTCCATACCTTTACATCCGCCAAAGGAGACGTCAACCTTCTGTCCCACTGATTAGTGATGCGCTCCTTGCTGTCTCTCGAGAGATTTTCCAACTCATGCTCTGGTCTGACGACCCTGTCCCACCGCGTTGAATACCACTCACTCTCACCATTCAGCCACGCGTCCAGATGCCGTGCGCCTCAAGCTTCAGTACAAGGTATCAGAGCCTACAAGGCCTGGACTATAGCGAACCCTCAAGATGTATCACATACACTGTAGCTAGAGCTCCAAGGCCTCTCGGTCACTCTACCCCTTCAGGCTTCAGTGAGTAGACATTCGAGGAGTTCTATGTAAGAACCTGGTGGGTCTGGTGGGGCCCTTGGACATCCCGGTTAGGGCTGGTCGGCGGTGTTAGCGTTCTGACTATAAGACCGGAGTGATAACATGTTAACTGCTATCGTCACCTTATCACCCATGTCCATAATGGTCGGTTGAGGTACAACCGAGCCATACAGTACCGTAATTCTGATATGGACAACGAGCTCCGTACTCCAAACCACAACCGACATCAGGGCCGGCCGTACAGGTCTCATATGCACCCGGCCTGCATTCCCTGTCGAGCAAGAAAGTCACGGTGCAAAACGACACATGCATCGCCGTCATGCTTCATGTGTCAAGCAAATGACACCGAATGCGTCTTTCCAGAGGCTGCTGCTGAGCGGCCGCGAAGAACAACACCACGTTCTTCAAAATCATTATCCCGAGAACAACACTCTACGGAATCCTCCCTTTGCCTCTCATCAGCTTCGCCAGCCCTATCCCAGAGCGCCTTACGATCAGACAACACTCCCCGGAGTGGGAAGTACACGCCAACAAACGAAGAAATTGCAAACTATCGAGAGCTTGTATCTCCATCCATCGACCACCGAGATGGCTTGATCTCGGCCGTGATAGACTCCATTGCCGAATCAGGAGAAGGCAGCTCCCACGTCGTGAGTCCTGCAATTGCCGACGACGATAAAGTATTCCAAGAATACCTCTCCAACACTCCCTACGGCCAAAGCGGCCGTACGGTCCGATTCAATCCGAACTCGTATAATAACCCAAGTGGACCCACCCGACCTATTGTCTTCAACACCATCCCGAAACGCGGAGCAAGAGAGGCAGAAAGTCGAGCGCTGGCCGTTTCAATATGCGCGAGCATCGAGAAGATCCTGGAGCCATACCAGAACGACTTGGTTGATCTGTGAGTGCTCCGACAGTGTTCCGCAGGATGACCCTTTGGTGGTCCTCCTGTAGCTACCTAGCTAATAAACTCATTTCTGAAAGGTTCTTTGAGAAGATCAACATATGCTTCCCAATATTCGATGAATCACTATTCCGACGCCTCCTGACCACTCAAAAAGAGAAGATCTCACCGGGTCTGTTGTCTACGTTATACGGAAACACGATGATCTACTGGGATACCTGCCCACGACTGAAGGACGTCCCCTGTCCTGACCACTACACCATCTGGATACAGGCTGAGAATGCCCTCACTTCAGAGTTCAAATGTACGCCAGGCATTTCGACAATAATCACGATCATCTTGAATCTGTCCGGCAGGCCAAGCAGTCACATATTGGGCAATGGCGCCCTGCTGGGTATGGCGGTCGCACTGGCGAATGCTTTTGGCTTGAATCGAAACCCCTCGGATTGGAATCTGTCACCGACGGAGAAGAAATTTCGCGTTAGGATCTGGAGAATCCTCCTTGTTTATGATCGCTGGTGCAGCCTGGCCTATGGCACTCCGCCTTTGATCCATCGTACCCAACATGACATCCCGGTGCCGACTGCCGAAGACCTTTACACCCTAGGCGCATCCCATGACCAAATCTTTGCGGCATCTTGTTTTGTTGCTTTCACCACTTTGACCGATGTGCTCGGTCACTGCTTGGAACTGGTCTATCATCTGGGAAATGCCTTCTCAACAAAGCCAGAGACGTCTCCATTTGGCCTTGAGAGCCTTCTGACACACTGGGAGGACTCGTTAACTGACAGCCTTCGTCGTCTGATTATTCGCGGAACATGCCTGGTCGGCCCCGGCGCTGCAAATCTTCGACTGGCTTACCTATCCGTCAAACTCCTCATCCGGCGCAGCCAACTTGACTTGGACACAGTAAATCTCCAGATTAGTGATGTCGACTCCATGTACTACATACAAGCTCGAAGGGTTTGCGAGGAGATAGTCGACTTTGTGCGAGAGCTAGACGAAAATCACTGTCGTGATTTCTGGATTCCTCTCAACGCATACTCGCTCACGTCGGCCACCACTTTCCTCATGAGAAGCGCTCTCACATCCAGAGGGCTGGTGCGGAATCCTTCGCTACAACTCGCGAAGGCTATGATCGATGCACTCCGATCTCTCCGCCGCAAATATGCTTGGGATCTAGCAGATAATTGCCTATCAAATTGTAGCGACTTGGTCGAGAAGATCGAGACTGCATGCGAAGAGTCGAGCTCAAACACTATAGAATTCCAGGAGCCTATGCCCATGGACATGGATCTCGCTGCTCTCAATGGCTTGTTCTCGGAATACACAGGGTAACTACTTTCTAGATACAAAACTGGTTGATTGCAAAATGACGTTCCGAAGCCTCCGTACAAAACAGCTGGAACACACACCTGGACAGGGGGCTTCCGCAACATGCCGAGCCTTACATCTAAACAACCCACATCCAAAGTCTCTCCAAAAAGTTTCTCGGTGTCTTCACAGGCCATGTCATGGCATCCAGAGACGACTTACCAGTCCAGAGATCGGCCTCTGCGGGTTTGACAATAGAAGTACGCTTCCAGAATTTCCACAGCAGATATGTACCAAAATAGATGGGTATTCCAATGTAGGAAGTGATGAAATCCTGGACGTCCCATTTCCCGGTGGTGAAGATTTCCCATCCGTTAAACACAATGATCATAGCGAAAAAGCACAAAGCAAACCAGGCGGTGTACGGCTGGAAACGAGATTTGAAAGGGAGGGTATCACAATCAATACCTTGCACCGCCAAAGCTTTCCGGAAACGCAGGAACGCAATCGTAATGCTACACCATGTGAGGAGAGACGCAACCGTGCCGATTCTGAGGAACCATTGGAACACTTCGGCTGCGCCCGCAGATACCGACATATAGGCCAGCCCGCTCCACATGGCAGTGAAGGCAATAGCATAGAGTGGGATTCCGTTCTTGTTGCATCTGAGGAAAATGCGAGGAGCCTGCTTGTTTTGGGCGAGGCCAAACAGGTATCGCGAGCCCACAAAGAGGAAAGCATTGGCGGACGAAGATGCAGAGCTGATTATCACCGCGTTGATGATGTGAGGGAGGACGCGAATGTTGGCATTCTGAGCGGCAATAACCCATGGTGAGGCGCTCCCGAGATCACTGTGGTTGGAAGGCACGAGTACGCTGATGGCAAGAGAGCCGAGTACGTAAAAGATCAGGATCCGCCAGATAAGCCGTTTGACAGCCTTGGGAACATTCCTGCGAGGGTCAACGGCCTCGCCTGCAGCCAGAGCAATCATTTCGACACCACCGTAAGCGAAGGCAGCGAACACGAGAGTGGAAAACAGGCCTAGGAAGCGGCCCGTGTGACCGGTGGCGACGACTTCCTTCATGGCTGGTCCTGGATTGTACCAGTATCGGAAACCAAGGCGATCGCCGGTAGGGCTACCACCGAGGTCTACGATGAAGGCCATGAGCAAAAGGCCAAGTATCGTCAAAATTTTTATCGATGCAAAAACAAACTCGGCCTCGCCGTAGATCGCGACGGCGAAGATGTTCAAACACACGATCAGCACGATGATGATACTGATCCACACTGCGGGGTTGATGTCGTCGTTCCAGAACTGTACCAATACAGCGGCCGCATTCAGGTCGGCGCAAATCGCGATGACGGCGAGATACCAGTTGTTCCAGCCTACCGCAAAGCCCATGGCCGGGTCGACGTAGCGAGCACAATACTGAGGAATGGCTCCGGGGAGAGGTAGCCATGTCGTCATCTCCCCCAAGCACATCATCATCGCAAAGACGGCACATCCAGTGAAGGAGAAGCCCAGGATCACCGAGAGAGGACCTGACTTTGCAAAAGCTCCACCAATACCGAGGAATAATCCAGTCCCGATGGAGCCTCCTATCGCCATGAACTGCATATGGCGCGACTTGAGACTACATTTATGAAGAAGGATGGGATCTTAGCAACAAATCATCTCGCGCAGCGCAGACTGAAAAGAAGATGGGGGAGGCCGCTATAAACAAAAACACAAGTGCACAACGTACCCTCTTTGAACGTATCCCAGCTCTTCAGCCGTGGCGGCATCTCCATAGACATCGAGCGCCTCTCCAAGTGCTGGGGCTGCAGTCTTCGTCCCCGAATCCACGCTCGGTGCGGCTGATCCATCAGAAGGTGAAATTTGGCTGACTACCGGGCTGTCACTCCCCTTTTCGACCACCATCTTGGGAACCAAATGGTTTACTTAACTTAATGGAGAGATAGTTGTAGATGGTGGACCTCGCCTTGAGGGGAAGGTGGGAAATGTATGACAAGAACGAAGTTGCCAACTGGTTGGATTCTGTCGAGGATTCCGCATGCCGACTGGCTTGATATACATACCGTTCTAAAAGCAAGCTTCCGCAGGCACACTTCTCATGAGAATTGAACCGTGTGCATATCTCCTTATCACCTGCCAAGTTGCCAAACCGAGCGACAACCGACGGACTGTCCACGTCTAGACTTCTATCACAAAGCTATGTTAGTAGCCTCACGGATGATAAAAGAATCGAAAGATGATAGAAAAGCAGAACGGTCAGTAGCTGTAATCCGGGAAAAGATACACATGTCTTTCTGGCGGGTGATAAGGGCAGAGTGTTTTACGCGGTGAAGATAAAGAGACAAGTGGTAGTTCGCGAAACAGTGGATACTGCCCAGTCCACTATCTCTCTGGCCTCTCGGCCCATCTTCTGTCCAGCGCCTTAGCAGAGTCTCTACCGAGGCAGCATGACTCGAGCGGGCGAATAGAGCCGCCGAGTCTCGCATTCTATCATTCTAATTAGTAGACCCTTCCGACCCAGAAGAAGCACTACCACTGGTTCCGCGTGCTAGTAGCCTACCAGTGGGCGGGGCAGTCCCAGGTGTTTCGTGAAATACTGCGTCCCAGATAACCCAGTTTCCCGCGGGGAACTTGTGTGCGGTTGGCTGTGTCTCGATTTCGCCCCGGGACATGTGTAAGAGCGTCCTGTTGTTGGGATGAGTACAAAGTAAGATCGCTTGCTCGACTTTCTCGCATTATCTCGCTTCGAGAGCCCAAGAACAACGTATAAAAGAGTTCGGCTTCACACTCGAAAAGTGGCTCATCAAATTATCCCTTGCTTTCTTGGGTTGGAGAGGCAGGGGGAATTTTGTATTAACTTCTCCCATTGGAAAAAGGAGCGTCACCAAACAGCGCGAGAAGAAGATGGCCGCGCCATACGACAGCAAAGACTTCTGGGAGCGGGCGGACAAGTACCTGATGAACACGGGCGCACCATTCACGCCGATAATCATCACACGATCGAAAGGGACTTACATATACGACGTCGACGACCGCGAGATCATCGACTTCACGTCGGGCCAGATGAGCGCGAGCCTGGGCCACGGACACCCTGAGATCGCGGAGACGGTGGCCAAGTACATCTCGGAACTCGACCACTTGAACAGCACGATCCTGTGTCCGCCGGTCGTCGATCTGGCGACCAAGTTCGCGCAGATCCTGCCCGCCCCGCTGTCCAAGTCGTTCTTCCTCTCCACGGGCTCCGAGTCGGTCGAGGCGGCGATCAACATCGCGAAGCGCGCGACGGGCAAATTCGAGATCGTCGCCTTCTCCGCGAGCTACCACGGCGCGACCCAGGGCGTCGCCTCCGCGACGTACTGCATGGGCCGTAAGCACGGCTTCCCCGTGGTGCCAGGGCAGCTGGCGTTTCCGGCGCCGCACGGCCCGTCCTCGCGGTTCAGGAAGCCCGACGGCAGCTACGACTGGGCGACGGAGATGGACTTCGGGTGGGCGATGGTCGACGCACAGTCGGTGGGGTCGCTCGCGGCGTTCGTGTTCGAGCCGATCCTGTCTGCGGGCGGCATCATCGAGCCGCCACTGTGGTACCTCAAGCGGATGGCCGCCGAGTGCAGGAAGCGCGGCATGCTGGTCATCGCGGACGAGGCGCAGACGGGCCTTGGCCGCACGGGCGACATGTTCGCGTTCCAGCGCGACGAGATCGTCCCGGATATCCTCGCGCTGTCCAAGTCTCTGGGCTGCGGCATTGCGTTATCGGCTGTCAGCACGACGCCGGAGATCGCACAGCGCGCCGTCGAAAGGGGCATGCTCTGGGTCACGACGCATCAGAACGACCCCCTGCCCGCCGCCGTCGGCTGCAAGGTCCTCGAGATCGTCGCGCGCGACGGGCTCGTCCAGGCTGCGCGAGACCGCGGGACCCAGCTGCGCGACGGCCTCCTCGCCCTGAAGGACAAATACTGGTGCGTCGGCGAGCTGCGCGGCCGGGGCCTGCTCCAGGGGTTGGAAATCATCGGCGACCCGGTGACAAGGGCGCAGAGCAACGAGCTGGGCGTTGTTGTTGCAGAGAAGGCCCTCGAATTCGGTCTCAGCTGCCAGATCGTCTCGCTGCCCAACGCGGCGGGCTTGTTCAGGATCGCGCCTCCGCTGACCGTCTCGGAGGAGGAGGTCGCGAAGGCGTTGGATATCCTGGATCGCGCCTTTGCCGCCGCGCTGTATACGCATCCCCTGCCGAGCTTGCCGGTGCCGTACGCCAAGAATCCGACCTCGTCCGGGCTCGTTGCTGCCGATGCCATTGCTGCTGAGCCTAGCCCTCGTCTATGAATAGATAGCCTGACAACTCAGGTTGGATCTCGGGTTGGGAAAATGGTGCATCACCTGCGTGTATCTGTGCGCTTCGTGCGTCACGGCGGGCCGTCGGATGATCGGCATTTAGCAGTTGAAATAGTATTTAAAGAAGTCACCTCGAGGAGCATGGTGTATATGATACATGCACAGTCCGAAAAGAATCCCCTGCAGCTCTGGAGTGTGCCTGCCATAGCTTGACAAGTAGAAAGAAGATCGTAAGGTCGCAACATTGGAGATTTTCTGTCCCATCGATCATCTGACTTGTAGATACTCACGACAAGCGGCACTACCCTAGCCTCTAGAAAGCGGCGCTTGGGGAGAGAGGGGGGTTTGAGAGGGACGGGCGAGTAAAGACAAAGACAAATGAAAGAGGAGAGGAAACCTGCTACTTGACCTCTGTTGCTGTTGCGTTGCGAATTCTGTCAAAGAAGAATAATCTTATTACCTACACATTCACCTAGGTAAGTACTGGCGGCTTACAAGGCGCGGCGCAATTTTCAGCTGATCGGCCGTTTTTCTCTCCTCCTCCAATTCCCCTAGAAAAAGGGGCTCGGCAACATATCAATTGGGGTACAAATACAATAGTCGAGCTTCAGGGTGGCACACGGGGTGACTGCATTGATACATGTGTACATACATTCAGGCGAAATCTTGGCCATTTGGGTGATTGATTGATATCAACAGTGGTCTTCCATGGACCATGCAAACTCGACACCCAAGACCCACCAACCCATTCTTCTCTAGCTCTGCAATCTACGTATATAGGCCTGGCGTGGTTCGGAAAAACGAACGCGTGGAGTCGTGGAGCAGGGTCCAGCTATACCATGCTGTCCGTAGTCCGTCACGGCCCACGCAAAAATGCCAGTGCTGCAATGGTCATGGCTTCCCCACCAGTCTGCAGCGTCGGGTGAATGACAGGTGCAAAGTCCGGGCTATGGTTGATGGGGAGCGTGTCCAGCTTGTTCACAGCTGCAAGAGAATCCCACTGTTGTTGGTCAACACCACCGAAGAGCCAGAAGTAGTACGGCTTCCCGATCTCGGAGGCAAGCACGCTGAAGTCTTCACTCGCGAGGCTGCTCTTGGGCATGAGTGCGAAGTTTTCCGCAAAGTGCGACTGGAAGATGTGCTGCAGCTGTTGGTTTGTCGCTGTGGCGGCGTTGGCAGTGACTGGAAGACTCATGTGGTGTTCAATTCGAGGTGGCTGCTCGCAGAATCCCGCGCTGGTTTCGGCCTCGATGGTTCTTCTGACGTGGGATAGGACTAGCTTTCTGACTTCCTCGTTGAGTGTTCGAATGTTGATGGTGAAGAAGGCTCTGTCGCAGATCACGTTCTCGGCCTCGCCGGCGTGGATCGATCCTACCGTGATGACGGCTACCTCGTCGGGTGGCACCACTCTGCTCACTATGGTCTGTAATCGGACTACGATATGGCTTGCAATGACAACAGGATCGATGCACCTGTGAGGCATGCTCCCATGACCTCCTCGGCCGAAGATGGTGATTTTAAGACTGTCGGAAGAGCTCATGACAGGCCCCGCCTTGGTCGCAACAACACCGGCTCTGATAGGTGCAACGTGCTGGCCCAGCACCATATCGGGAATCGGACAGTTGTGCCTGTCTTTGTCGTAAAGCCCGTCCTGAACCATACCGTGCGCACCGTCGCCGGTCTCCTCAGCGGGTTGGAAGAGAAAGACCACGGTACCTGACCAGGAATCTCGCGCTGCCAGCAGGGCTTCGGCAGCTACCAACAAGCATACGACGTGGAAATCATGTCCACAAGCTACACCAGGAAAAAAATATCGTCAGCGGCAGCCTGACAGAAATTGAGATCCGACGTTCGTGATCTCTGAATGGTACATACCATGCATGACGGGGGTCTCTTTTCCATCAGCGCCAAGTTGCCTTTTGTGACTGGAATAATCCAGATTCGTCTTCTCCGCTACAGGAAGAGCATCCATATCGGCACGAAGCAAGACGGTCTTCCCAACCCCATTCCGCAGTACCGCTATCAGACCATGGCCGCCAATGTTGGTGCGAATGTCAAGGTCTCCTGTGAGACTCTTGAGATGGTTGATTATCAACGCAGCGGTGTCCGATTCTTGATGCGAGAGGTCTGGGTTGGTGTGGATAATCTTGTATAACGATTCATACCCCTGTAGGCTTGGTTGGGCTTGCTGAACGATGTCCTTCAACGAACGGGTGCTGCCGTTGACCGAGTCGATGGCCGCCATGCTGCGTCGGTATTCCAGGGCTGCGCTGGTGTGACAAGCTTTGGCGACAACCAGAACACAAATATTGTAAACCGGAAATATGAGTTCGTGATTGCTGCAATTGATTGATTGAACATCTGAAGAACGGAAGAAGTGACCGAGGCACAAGAGCTTCCCTCAGCTGGCATGAAATGAGCATGAACTCAGGCCGGCTCGAGCTTCCTTAGCTGCGGCCCTCCCCAAGACCGGTGCACAGGCCACATGAAGGTTCATTGACCGTTGGAAAGCACATTTAAGTTTTGTTGCCATCCCAGCTGAGAAGCTGGGTCGCCCGTGCTTATTGCTAGGTCATAAGCCAAGGCCCGCCAAAGCGGAAAGTTCAAGTCAATGAAGCGAATATCATACCATGTACCGCAAACGCGAAGTGGAGTCTCTCGCCGCGCACGTCAAACGGCAGCAGCACCTCATTTTGGGTTCTCAAAGACGCTCAGCGTTGTTGAATCATGTAAGCGAGTGCTGAAAGCAACGGTGGCCTGTATGAGCGTGCCATACAGTTGCGATTCCATTAGCAGCTGCGGGCCTGCATCCCGTCGGCGCAGACGTCAAGCGGCGGGTGGTATTCCACTTGTGACTGTTCTTGTTGCGACTGGCGCCTGTGATGGTGCAATCTTGCCAAAAGGGAAGATTGATGCTGCTTTCCATGATAGGAGCTTTCATGAATGATTTTTGTCTTCCCGTCGTTGAAGTCAGATGGAAAGAGTACATATATTGTCCGTTAAGCGAGAAGTATCTTGCCCCCACGGGACGCGGATGCACATCTGAGTCATGTGACAGGACTTATGCGAGCGGGGGTGGGTGGGGGGAAGTTGGTATCATCCCCGTACCACTCCAGCCCCTATTTCCTGCACGGGAGTGCCTCCGAAGGCGACTTTAACAGATCAGGATAAGGATCGCAAGGATGTTGGGATGGCGAATGACTCGAAGGTGTTGCGTTGGAGCTCGTCGACTGGCATCGTCAGCGTGGTTGCTGTGGGATTTGGGATGGATGCTGCGGCATGGGTCTTGAGATACAATTGATCGAAACATTGGAATAGGCTCGCAAGAGATCTACATGTTGAGGAGGGAGTATTCTCTCCGTGGATTCTAACAATGGAATGGGGTGAGGGCGGCAGCACTCAATTCGCTACCTTGGATCAGCAGCCACGTCTGCGATCTCATCGAGTAGACAGCAGAGCAATCTCACAATGGACGACTGCCATGTCGCCGGAGGCAGGTAAAATGTGAGGGTGCTGCCAATGCTAAAGGATATCTATGGTCAGCTCCCGGCTCAATGGCCACACTCAGGCAGGCGATCTCAGTCATACAGGTTGCCTTCGCACTCGAGATGAACAATAAGACCAAAGCTTGGACCATCTTCGATAGGTCACCACAAGCCTTATGATACTAGGCCTGCTACCCAGAGTGCAACTACAGATCTTGAAGCAGCTCCATGCCTCGGCCGGAATCGCTTCCAATGAGTAAGCCGCCTCACAACACGAGGTCGATTAGCTAGAGCCTAGAGGCAGGCCAAGTTCAACCGACCGCCTACCTTAATTACCAACGGCCTTCGGTCTGGTTGCAGGATCCGTCGCATCCAGCCTTGGGCCGCTGACCACGTGCCGGCAGCGCGTCTTAGCTAATGATGCTTTGATATACTGTCGGTGACTGTGCACGCAGTGTCTTGGCAGCTCGGTCCGGGTTGCTGCTGGAGTCCCCCCTTAACTCTGAGGGAATTCCACCGCGTTAACACTCTACCTCTTGCTTGTTGAAGAACCGAGACAGAACACTTCTCCCGCGCAATCGTCTTGGACGGAAGGAGATTGATATCCTGCGGGGCTGTGCTGACCAACGCCAGCACCGTTGCCAAGCATTGCCAACCGGTGCGCTGCGAACAGGTTTTACTTATCTTGGCATCAGTGGCCTGTTCACCACGTACTCACTCGTGCCCGTAGAGTTCAGGCGCAGCAAGCAAGCCCCTGGAAGACTAGGAGGGATAGTTCTTGTGATTTCTTTGGCTTCTCAGGCAAATCAGAGCAGAGAAGCCTTCTTTGCGGCACCTTGAAACCTGTTGCTCTCGGACGGCACGCACCGCACCGCTCATCCAACCGACATGAGGAAGGCTTTCAAAAAAGCATTTCAGGACATCAAGGATGTCGTGGACGGGAAAGATGAGACTGTGAGTATGTTCTATGTGCTCTCTTTTCTTGGCTTCATCCCACCATGACTGCTAGATGGTTGATTCCTACTGCGGTGCGGAAGCTGCATGGGGTGGAAAGGCGGAATGCCGTCGGTGCCTTCCTCAACTCAGCCTCGTAGTCCGACAATGGTCGAGTGTCGATACTACATGACGACCACCAGGACGGCCCAGCCGTTTCACCTCTCCCCGTGTTGTATCCCTCCACGCAGCGCTACGTATCTCGTGCCTAAAAGCTCCTCCTCTCCCACATCTACACCTACTCCCATTATTTATACTAACCTCGCGATTCAACTCTCAGCGTATCAAGCTCAACCACCCCCTCCACAGGGCGCCATGTCTTTCCAGCAACCAACACGTCCGTCACCCAAAGACATCTTGAGATATCGCTATCAACATGGCACTAATCTGGGATCCATTTTCATCCTGGAACAATGGCTCTTCGGAAGTATGTACGACGAAGGCGTGCCGTCGAGTAGCGAGCTCGATGCTGTCGTGACGTAAGTGACCCCTTATTGCTCTTTCGATTCTATTCCCCGTCTCGTTCTTGACTTGTCCCTTTTTAGTTCTCTCAACAAACGTGGTCTTGGTGAAACAAGAAAGAAGTGGGAGACCCACTGGGCCAGTGCTCTCACGGACGACGACCTGACGTGGTTATGCGACACCGCTCATTGCAACAACATTCGCTTGCCCATTGGCTATTTCACTCTCGGCCCGACCTTCTGTGCCAACACTGCCTTCGCCATGCAACCCTCGGAGGTTTACGTCAACGCTTGGGCGGCTGTCAAATCCATCGTCTCTCGTTGCTACGCTCGCGGTATCGGTGTCCTGATTGATTTACACGGCGTACCTGGCGGAGCCAACCATGAAACCCATTCGGGAACCAGTAGCGGTAAGGCCGAGCTCTGGGGTAATCAGTTCAATCTCAACCTCGCCACGAGATGTATTCAATTCATCGCTGACGAGTCTATTCGTGATCCCCAACTTGCGGGTGTAGTTGGCATCCAAATCTGCAATGAATCCATTATTGACCCGCCCGGTATGTATGAGTGGTATAATGATGTGATACAACGTGTCTCTGCCATGGATGCTAGCATTCCTCTCTACATCAGCGATGGCTGGGAGTTGGGTCGCGCCACTCGCTTTTCTAGAGCGTATAATACTGTCGAGGGGCCGCCCAAAACACCGGTCGTGGTGGATTGTCACAAGTATTGGACCTTCGACGAGAAAGATACTTCCAGGTCTCCTTACGAGATCATCGAGCAAGTCAAAACCGAACTACCGGAACTTGACTCGAGTCTCATGGGCGACGTCTTCAGTCACAGAGCCGGCATTGCCGTCTACATTGGTGAATACTCTCAAGCATTGGCGCCTCAGACCTGGTCCCGAGCACCAGCAGACCAGAAAGACAACCTGATGAAAGAGTTCGGGAACGAGCAGAGTAAGACATGGCAGAGAAAAGCCAGCGGCTCGGCATTCTGGACATTTAAAATGGAATGGATGCCAGGATGGGAGTGGGGATTCCAAGCCGGGACCGACAATGGCCAGATCCTTTCGCCCAGCTGTTTCAAGTTCACGGTCAGAGAGGTGAAGGAGAAGCTGGTCCTCGCCGACAATAAACGCAGCGAATATCTCCAGGCCAATCTGGAAGGACATTCCAAATGGTGGGACACCACCAACCCAGGTCGCCCTTTCGAACACTGGAGATACAGTGATGGATATTTTATGGGCTGGAACGACGCCCGGGATTTCTTCGCCGCGAGACTGAGCGGGATCGTCCCTTCATCTGTCCCGAATGCCGCCAGCTTTGCCAATCCTCCACCACCGATGGGCGGCTTCGACGGCGCGAACCAGAGTCAGCAATGGCAGCCAGGCAGCCAGCTCGGCGAGAATAAAATCATAGGTGCAGATACCCTCGGTGCCATCGACCTGTGGATTCTTAAGCGCATGAGAGAGTCCCATGTCGCGGACTCCAACAGCTGCCCCTTCGGGTGGGAGTGGGAACATGGCTTCCGCGCTGGTGAGAGGGGGTTCAGAGAAGTTGTCGGTGCGTGAGATAGACTGCGTACTGTAGGATCCTGATTGATTGCACGAAGGTTAAGCATGGAATAGAATTAGAATTGATGGAACTTCAAAACCATAGCGTACCATCTCTTCATCCTATGTTGCCTTTTCGTATCGGCATACAACCAGTTACCCTTGAGTCCTCGCCTTGCCATCACATCAACTCAGACCAACTCACCATCCCGTATCGTATATCACAGAAGGCATGCGTCCACCAGGGGCCACCTACCAACCTACATATTCGAGCACGTGGCGAGTCTGAAGCTGAATATAGTAAAGGGATTCTGGACCCGGATGCTGACTCCTGCCACTCTTTCGGGAATCACCATGCGGCCCTCCCACGCAGTCTCAGCTCGGCCTCGCAGCGCGACTTGAGAGTCTCGAATCACTGGAATAACCAAAGCTAGCCACGAAGGTTCAGTCAAATCGTTCGGTCAGGGTCCAGTCCAGTCCTCGCCGTCAGAGTCAGGCCCATGACAGCACACGATGAAAGCACGACGGGCTTCCATAGACATTCCTGCCCTTTACCAGTTGCACGGCAAAGGACGGTCCGTCTACTGACAGACTGATGAATCAGCAGAAGGAAAGGAGATCGTCAGCTGAGGCAGTCAGCGAAGTTTAGCTGATACATAATTCAGACCTTCGTTGTGCCGGGCTTGGCAGCGCGTCGCAACAAAGCAATCAATCCTTGGTTCTCCTCGTGCATTTTGAAGAGTATCGCTGCCCTAGGCGAATCCCCCCAACTACCTACTTAGGTAGCCTTGGTTAGCCTGCTACGGAGGGGCCAATTTATCGCTGCTATACACGATGCGTGACGCTTAACGCGTTGTCGATAGGTGACACGAAGCCGCGTCTTAGGATGCATGTGGGCGAATCGAATCGATCCAACCCACACACCGCAAAACATCAGATAAGTAAGTATGTATGAATTAAGACATGAACGCTGCGTATATTCGAATGGACAGGCACGGCACGAGCACGACTGCGGCACGGCGAATCCATCCCAGGTCAAAACCTAATCAACCCGGATTCTATCTCGAATCCCAATCCCCTTGGAATCACTCATTCCAAATCGCGGCGGGAAGGCCGGCAGCCACGCCATCCACGGTAGTGTTGATGGCCAGCTCGGCGAGGACATCGCCGATGATCCCAGTCTGTGGGTTCCGGTCGAGCACGGCGATCTTCGAATCCGTCTGTGCTGCCACCAGGACACGATCGCCCTTGAGATTCACCTGGAAAGCGCGCGGGAACAGGCCACCGGCGGCGGCGAGCTGCACGAAGTCGAGGCTGCCGTCGTCCTTGATGCGGAAGGTGGCGAGCGAGTCCGACTCCGGGAATGAAGTGTCGTTGCGGTTCGACACGATCAGGAATTGGTTATCGTACGACACGCGAATTTCCGCTGCCTTGGCGTTGACGAGTGTCTCGGCGTCTGCTTTCCCGCCGAATGTGTCGATGACGTGGCTGGGCCCCGTGAGGATGATGGCATCGTTTGCGTCGTAGTTGACGGCGAAAGTGGTGATGGTATTGAGGAATTCAGAGACCACAAACAGGTAAAGCTGTGAGGTGGCCGTGTGTGAGAAGAATGCCGCGTGACGTGGACCCGTGCCCTTCGGGAGTGAGATCACACTGCCCACGTTCAAGGAGCCAGTGTTATCTGGTACGAGGTTAAAAGTCCGGATCTGGTCCGCGCCGTAGTCGAGAACCACGAGATTCTTGTCCTTCGGGTCGGGGTAGACGCCGTGGGCGCGTGGTACCGCTTGGCCGGGTCGCGGTCCTGGTGCGGCCAGAGCATCGAAGGTGTGATTGACCATCTCGCCCAGATGACCATCATCGTTGATGCTGTGGATGGTTAAACCGCCGCGAATTCCAGTGGCGTCGGCGTTACCAAACTGGGCCAGAGCAATGTTCTTGCCGCCGTTATAAAGTTTGGTGTGGACTGGACTTGCTGATACGTTCCGGTGCTGCACGGGCGTCAGGACCCCACCGTCTTCAATATCAAATTGGTTGAGTGTTCCGAAGCCAGCGACGAATCCTTCATCTAGACACCAAAGTCGGTGGTTGTGGATGTCGATTGTGAGCCACGAAGGATTTGTCTTGCATCCATCCGTCTGGTTGAGGAGTGTCAACTTCGAGGAGCTCCCCTCGCCGGTCAATTGGACGGTGCGCACAAAGCCATCGTATCCAGCAACGAATATAGTTGTCGGTGCCGCGGGCGCGTGATTGGCTGCTACCAGAGATGGAAGAGCTGCGAGGAGCAAAGCTCCAGCGATGGTAGGTTTCATCTTTTGTATTAAATGGCTCTTTGACTTATTGGTCGTTTACGTTCCTGTTGATTCAAAGGACTTTGCGGGATAGTTGTCGGTAGATATGAAGAAGTCAGAACAACTGAGATTTGATTTACGTTTAAAGGCAAAGGAATGCTATTGGCATGAGTGGCTTGGTGTGAAGGCGTGGTAAGTGTGAGGACTTTAATGCATTTGTTCGAGACACGCCCAGTGGATGATGAATGAAAGACTTGGTGAATGAGACAACAAGCAATGCCACCCAAACAGACAAAAGCGGCTTTATTCCAGTGCTAGGACATGCAGTGGTGAAGACCAAAAATATGTTTCTCAACATGGATTGTACAAAGAATGTGGAAGATATGAAGAGCAAAGAAAGGGAGAATGTTTGAAGTTGTGAGGTTCTTTGTAAACCCGGTATGCAGAACAAAGAAGACGGCTGGCGATTGATGACTCTGGGGCAAGGAGGTGCATCTTTCGATGAAACCATAATCATTCATAACCCGGTCCACAGGAGGCTGATTGAGTGACAATTATTTTGAGATGGACTGCCTAAGAAATTAGGTCGTGTTTCATAGCCCTAGTCCGAGTGGCTGAGATGATTGGCGTGAGCCGTACCTTGTACGTCCTGGGGGCCTGCTAGCAATTGTAGCGAATCGTGGGGCGAAGTCAGAGATATTCTTGAACGGTGGAAGAATGCCATGCATGCCAAGGCGCCAAGATGCTTCCGCCTTAGGTGTTAAACTTTCCGCCCGAGAGCGAGCCTGATCCTGAGCCTCCGGAACCGGCCTTCTTTCTTTAGATAATATGACATGCTCAGTCAGCTATGCAGTCTGTGCTGCGGCGGCCATAGACGGTGTTTGCTCAAGGGGTTTGTGGCCTCACATTACCTAGGTATCAAACCGGCTCACAAAGCAAGGGAGCTTCTCGCACCACTTGACAAGCGCTGACAACGTCAAGCGACATATATTCTAGTTTAGGTCTCCGTATGAGGTATATACATGGATACTATGTAGGAAGCCTACTGAGGGACAATTTGCATATTCGCCTATCCCAGGCCAAGGCTGACACAAGAGCAAGCGAAGGCCGAGGGGTCTTGGGATGAATTCTAGACTGCTCAAAAGCCAAAGTACTTACCTAGGTGGGCACTAGGTAGTGATATAACCTCAACGCATAAGCTGGTACGTGTTCCCCGGCTGGAAATTCAACTCCCACATTTGACGAATCGACTTGCAAATGGCATCACTTGACCTTTTTGATCACATAATTCTAAGCACCCCATCTGTTTTCCTGAGATTACAACTTCGCCTTTCCGCTGTCGATTCTCGCCCAACTGTCTGAATCCATGGGCTTGAATGTCTCACTCTCTAGGTCGAGATAATATTGTCTTGTTGCCCCCGAAGCGTCCAGGACTCCCCACTGAATATTCTTGACCACAGCCTTTGCGTGCTTGAATGTATCACCAACATCAACAAGATCACCTCGCACTAGCACAAGTCTAGGCACTGCATAGCGAGGGACACCCTTGGATCTCAGCTCCTTGAACAGCCGCGTCATGAAGACCTTTTCACCCTGACCAGCGCCTTGCTTTTCCGATTCGGTGTCTAGAACGATCAACGCTGTACCTGCTTGGCCATCATATTTGTTCAGTCGCCGGCCAACAACAACGGCATCTTTCACGCCTGGCAGCTCTGAGATGTATCCTCTCACTTCACCTGCTGACACATTTTCGCCCATCCATCTGTATGTGTCACCTATCCGGTCGACGAATTTGACCCAGTTGTCCCTTTCTTGAACAAGTAGATCTCCACTGCGTTGCCAAAGGTCGCCTTTCTCAAAGACATCTCTCAACAATTTCTGCTCCGTGGCTTCTTTGTTTGCGTGGTAGTTGATGTAAGTATCCATGTTTTTGATTCTGGCGATAGCCTCCCCCGGCTCAGCCCTATCCGCGATCTGACACCAACCCGTCTTCGGATCTCGAATTGGCTGTTCGGTATCATAATCAAATTTGATGATCCATTGGTCCTTTTCCAACACCTTCTTCCTCAGTGTGCCTAGGTATCCCACTTTTCCGGCTCCTGGCCGGCCCTTATGGTGAATGTTGTCAAACTTGACCAACCCTTCCGTCGAGCGGTAGAACTCTCTGACTTCGGGCACATTGAATCGTTTCTGGAAGTCCACCCAGACATCTTTCTGCAAGCCGTTTCCTGCTGCGACCAGGACATTGTGCTTTCGATCATAGACACCTGGAGCGGTTGCTAGCAAGAATCGCATCAACTCTCCCACGTAAAGGATGCGTGTAGCCCTTGATTCATACGCGTCCTTCCAAAAACCTCTCGCCGAGAATTTCCGTCCAATTGCGAAGCAAGTGCTCTGTCCGACCGAGTAACACAACCCTGTGAAGAAAGTTGTACCATGAAACAGTGGCATGCAAGAATAGATTCGAAGCCTTTGAAGGTATTTCTTAGGGCTTTTATGATCGACGGACGTAGTGCATGCAACAACCGTGAGCAGTGCATTTTTAATGCTGCAAGCCTTGGGTTTGCCTGTCGTACCCGAAGTGTATATCAAGACTCCTACCGAAGCGACTGACTTTGGTGGTGTAGGTGGAAGTGATGCGATACCAGCAGGATCTAGAAATGGAAACTCTAAGACGTCATCGCTAGGGAGAGGCGTTGGACGGAACGAGCCGAGATTCAATCGAACCGTCTTGATGGTACCATTTAGAGCATTTGCAGCAGAAGCAGCATGTGAGACAATATCTGGAGTGGCAACGATCAGGTTTGCTGATGGCAGTTGAACGCAGTGGAGTAGCGTGTCGTCACGCAGAGCACTATTGATCAATGCAGGAGCAGCGCCCAGTTTGGTGAGCGCAAAGACAGTAAAAGCCATCTCAGGGGAGTTTGACATGAAAACAGCAACAATATCGCCATTTTTGACACCAAGTTCGTGAAATCCAAGTGCCAGTTCATCGACTTGTTGTTTCATGGCGCGATAGTTCCACGTTCGTCCTTCGAACCAAATAGCATCCGCATTTGGATCCGCCAGTTCTAGCATTCGGTACAGATGAGGAGACTGAGGACCCAGCTTTGCGAGGAATTGGGGATATCTGGCTCCGAAATCGGCATCGAGTCGATACTGGGAGATATCTTTAGTGATCCCGAGAGAGTGATTTACATAGTACAATAACCCCGCCACCGCAGCAGTTGAGGCAGCGATTGTCGACATGATGGAGGTGGAGGTCAAACAACCTGAAATTGACTGGGTCAGGAGTTTCCAGTCGAAGAAGAGTCGCCTTCTCTGCGAGGACTGAACAGTCCAGATAAACGCGGGAGCTCAACGGGCAGTTGAAACAAAGGGGGCCTAGATTGTAGATGATTTGTTTGCTATAAGGAGATAACGACTGGCCAGTCTCCTGCTTTCCTAAACCGATGATCAGATCCAAGTGCTGTCAAGGACGGCTGCTGGTGTTCAATAAGCGGCACTCGCCAATCGGTACAGGCAACGGGAGATGGAGACGGGGAAGCAAGACTGCAGATATGGACGCAAATAGATATACATGCAGCTGCGGTTGTATGAGTGTACCCAGAAGGGCTTCCTAGAAGAGTAGCTCGGCCAAGTCCAAACAAAGCGGAAAAGTCTCAAGGTTGAAGTGATGAACTCGGTCCGGGGCAACAGGGGTAACGGGAGCAGCTATAGACGATTCGTCCGTAAGTGCCCCACTGTGAGTTTGGCGGCTTCGAAGTCTATGCTTGATGTCTTCTGAGAGGTAGCAACGAGTGTCGGGAACCTCAGTTTGGTAGAGATGAAAGAAAAGTCCCATGAAATTGAGAGAGCCGTGGATTGAATAGAATAAATCCCTGCTGCAAGGTAAACATCCCCTAGTTACCTCCACCAAGTGGCTGTGTTTCTAAGCCAGCCCTGGAAGCCTGGGGCACTTGTATTGCTCAGTAACAAGCGGTGTCTTAGGACTTGGGCACGCCTTTTAGATACTCCGTACTTACACAGTGTGGAGGTGGGGCTGGCTCGGAGCAGAAATGAATATCCACCCTTTCGTTCAAAATGCAAGCTTCACTGATTAACAAATATAGGGAGGCGTACTCCGTACACGAAGCACCCGTTGACAAGGAGGCAGATAGTTCCGTAGTAGCGTTGATCCTCTGATTCCCTCATGGCATTCGAGGGCGAATTGCCTCCGAGGCAACGGTATCAAAGCGGCAGTTGGTGGAAGGTGGACGAGACACAGGCGAAATGGTGGTTTCGGCAGTTGCAATCGGTCTCAGGCTCGCAGCTTCCTCAAGCTACTCGTAAGGTTCGCGGCCTCGTGCCTGCCGTCAAGGGCGACCTCGCCCGTGACCCACCAGACCCGTTTAGACCAGCCGAGGCATCAAACCTCCAACATACTTCGTGGGCCCTGACTTCCTACGAGAACAGATATTATTTCAAAGCAGGCTGATCACAGAAATTGGTTATGTCGACAGTCTTCCGAGTTTGACCGGTCCGTTCGTTGATATCGCTTTCAACATATTCTGACCCTCGGGAGCAAACCTTCAACCACACCTGGCAGCTTACGTTCTGCACCAACTGCACCCTGAACAATCTGGGAACTGATATCTCTTCTGGAAACATGAGTGCTCAACAACGACTCGATGCCGTCGCTGGCCATCTCAACTCCAGCGGAGCTGCAACACCCTCTCCAGCTCTCAAGAAGCTCCTTGAGAAGAATCCAGATGATATTGTCATAACAGCTTCCGTTCGCACACCTCTCACGAAAGCCCGCAAAGGCGGCCTGAAAGACACTCCCGCCGAAGAGCTTATTGTTCATGTGTTAAAAGCCATCAAGGACAGATCAGGCATCGATCCCAACGTCGTCGAAGACGTCTGTATTGGAAATGTTCTACAGCCCGCCCCTGGCTTTGTTGCGAGAAGCGCTGTTCTAGCTGCCGGCTTCCCCGTTGGCACCGCCGCCAACGTCGCCAGCAGATTCTGCTCTTCCGGACTACTCTCAATCCAAACAGTTGCAAGTTCAATCGCAATTGGTGCCATAGATGTTGGTATCGCAGTCGGATGCGAGAGCATGTCAACCAATGACGATAAACCACCACCAATGAGTCCAATTATCACCGAACACCCTATTGCCAAGGACAACCTTCAACCAATGGGTTGGACCTCCGAAAATGTCGCTCGCGATTTCAACATCACACGACAACAGCAAGACAAGCTCGCCGAGATGTCTCATAACCGTGCCGAGCGCTCCCAAAAAGAAGGCTGGACAGCTGATGAAATCGCTCCCATTACCACCCAATGGATTGACCCCAAGACCAAGGAGAAGAAAACCGTCACTCTAGACAGGGATGACGGTATTCGACCTGGTACCACATATGAAGGGCTTTCCAAGATTCGTTCAGCTTTCCCTCATTGGGGCCCTACCACAACCGGTGGCAATGCCAGTCAAGTGACTGACGGTGCAGCTGCAGTATTGCTGATGAAGCGCTCGACCGCCCAGAAGCTAGGCCAGAAGATCATTGGAAAGTACGTATTGAGCACTGTGGTCGGTCTCGAGCCTCGCATCATGGGCATCGGTCCAAGTCTCGCCATCCCTAAGGTCTTGGAGAAGACCGGCCTGACGAAAGACGACGTTGACCTCTTCGAGATTAATGAGGCTTTTGCTAGCATGGTGAGTTGAATCTAGCGATACTGCATAAAACAGCCACCCCTGCAGCACCCCCCATAACCGACTTTTCATCGGCTGATAGTGATAAAACTAGTACGTCTACTGTGTCAACGAACTCGGTCTGGACATCAACAAGGTCAACGTGCGAGGAGGAGCAATGTGAGTGATATCTTTTCCTTCCTTAACTCTTCCTATTCCCCACTGAGTATCGCCTCTTTCTCTAATACGCTGTCAAATAGCGCCATCGGCCACCCTCTAGGTTGCACCGGTACCAGGCAAGTAGTGACAGTGCTCTCAGAGTTGAGACGGCGGAAAGCCAAAGTCGCCGTCACTTCCATGTGTGTAGGAACAGTAAGTCTTGAAAAAACCCCTATCCAACTGCTAGCCCCCTGCTCCCCTCAGCCTCACTTATTAACCTCCCATTGTTCGGTGGGAACGGGTAATGCTGGGAATTCATTACTGACCGATCGCGTTCTTCCATCTAGGGAATGGGCATGGCTGGCGTTTTTGTGAACGAGGCATGAAAAAACAAAAATTCATGAATGTTGCCGAAAGCGATTTCTACGTCCTCGCACACTTAATGTTTGAGTCCTATTTAAACCAAAGAGGGGTGACAAAATTTGGTGGGCATCTCACTACCACAAAGATGGAGCCCTTGCGAGGGCGTCTTAAATACCCCAGATTTCAAACTTGGATATATTATATATTTTCAAACTATCATGCCAAACAGATCAACATGCAAACCCCTTTCAGAATCATCTAGAGCACTTAGAACCGCGCGAACCGTCCTGGGCTTCAGTCCAAAACCCGGATTTCCCACTCGTTGCAGCAGTAGTCATCAGTTAAAGGGTATGTGATTGTTGAGAGTTGCAGCCGGCAAGTAGGGAGAGAAAAAAAGGGAGAGAAAAACACTGCATTCTCATTTTCACGTTTACGTTCATTTTCTCACCGCGATTAGAGGGCAGGCAGACCATTCCCCCATCCCGTCCCTCGAACCCAAGGAGGTGGAAGGGCCCGTATCTTTTCTCACATCCTCATTATGTGTTCGCCCAGTCAATAGTGTGTTGCATTGTCCCTCTCTTCTTCTCTATGGCAGCAGTGTTGTGCTGCCGACGCGCGCTTGCTACGTCAAAGTTTGCTGAAGGTTGAAGGTTGGAGGGAGTACTTCGCATCTGGCTCAGACCTCGCGCTTTTCTCCTCGGTTCGAAGGGGAGATGGCCGGTACACTCGCTCACAGCGCAACGAACTACGTCATGTGCATCTTCAACATGGAGAAATGAAGACAAAGGCTCGAAGGTTTGTCCAGACCACTTCAGCGTACTCCTCGGGCTGAAGCGAGGCCAGTTTCTGCATATTTCACTGCTTCCCATTCTTCTCGGCCTCGGAATTGCCATTGCCATAGAATTGCTGCTTGTCCATGTGCATCTCGTCGTCCGCGACGCCGATCGTGGCAAAGTACTAAATGGGAAAGAAAGGAAAAGAACCACATGTTAGCAGGCGGAAGCGCCATAGTAGATGCTCGGTATTGAAACGGAGGTAGGGACCTCAGCTGGGCTGCAAACAAAAGAGAGAAACGACTTGAAAAGACAAGGGCACAGAAGAGACGAGGAATGGTTTTCGGCAGCCCGAAGCAGAACTCACAGCCATAGCGCGGCGATTCGCCTCGGGGTTCATAGGCTTCCCGGCCTCGCCGAGGGTCGACAACAGCTTGAAGTAGTTGATGTAGAAGGCCGGTGTATAGGTGTTGAAGAACTTGGCCGGCTCGTCGTACGGGTTCGAGAAGGTGTGTGGCGACCGCGGTGGGACGGTGATGTAGTCTCCCAGTTTGGCGTCGATGGTCTTGCCGTCCAGGCCATGGAAGCGCAGTGTACCTTGCGTTATGAGGAAGGTCTCATCGTGCTGTTTGGTTGGTCGCGGGGCTGTGTCAGCGAATTCTGGATAAGGGTTGTGCAAAGGTTTGGGTCGTGAGAGAGCATGAGATGTGAATGACGGAGAGCCTGAGTGAGAATCCTCCGCCGCGGCTCTTGAGCTGTCTCTATTTCTACCTTGTTTGGAGGAGGACAGACTTCCGCCTGAATTCGGGAGAGGGAAGAATAGTACGACGAAGAAACAACGTACCATCTCATGCCAATGGGGAGGCGGTCTTTTGTCCTCAGAGAATGATCGCTCGTCAGCCATTTCCACTTCTTCAGGGTCCACATTATTCTGGTCCACAGGAATCGTCCACCACGGGGAGCGGCGTTCAGCGGAGGGAATACTCACCCAGAGGTGTGGGGCGGAACAGTGAACTCAGCGCTGCCAATGCGGTTGTCTGTTCTCGAGCCGTCCTCCATGATACGGATCTGGATGGTGCCCACTTTGAAGGTCTCACCCGTCTCTGCGGGGACGAAGTTGAGAGGGACCGATGGCGTATCCATAACTGTCGATTAGCCTTGCGATTTCCAAGGTGGTTTTATGAGTCCGAAAGAAGAAAGAAAACGAAGCCAAGCGTACAGCACAGGCGGAGAGAGAAAGAACGAAGGGGGAATGCTAACGTCCGCTGCTTGGGATGTAAGTGCACAGAGGGAGCGAGCCAGCGAGCAAGTGTCGTTTATGTATGTGAAGAGGATTAATCCAAATTACTACCAGGTAGTTCATGTATCAACGGCGATGATGACGCCCGAAAGGCCGTGCGAAGTGGGAGGTGAAAAGGAACAGCTACCGTAAAGGGTGGTTCGGGTAAGGAACAACATTACTCCTGGTGGTGACTGGAGGGGCGGAGGGGGGGAGGCCCAATTCATTTTAGCTGTGTTCCGTTTCTGCTTCCCGCCACGGTCATCCGAGCCTGGTGAACGAGAAGGAATAAAAGATGTGGTTCCCGGCGATTCGCTCATCAGACCAAATATCGTAAGATCAAGGCTCGGCCGTCATATGATGGTCGAGTAACATGACAATACTAACTAGTGACAATGGAAGATAGTTAGGTAATCCAGATAATACACCCCTGGTGAACCATTTCCAAACACCCGTGTTCAACAGTTGGAAGTCGTTTGACCCATATCTTCACTCCAGCCCCCCAAAAATCATCCATCGAGAGTGACATTATTTTCAGGCCGAAAAGGATCAAAACCCATGCACTTTCCAAACATCTAGACCTTACCAATGTACTGATCAAAGATATTCTTCAGCTCCAGTGCACTCTTCTTGGGGTATCGTTTTTGCCCATTGGCATAGTCGACGTAAGTCACACCGAAGCGGGTTTCATACCCTTCAGCCCATTCGAAGTTGCTAGCAACCATGTCAGAGTGCAAGTCCCAAAGGACGATAGGTGAATAACAGCTTGAACTTACTCCATCAGACTCCATGCCATATATCCCTGGCAATTGATGCCATCTTCGGCAACTGCCTCCGCCATAGATGTGATATAGCCCCGGAAATACTCCACTCGGAAATCATCTTCCAGAATTTCTTCCATCGGTAAGTCGTTCTCTCCCTTGATGCTGGTACCATTTTCGGTAACATAGATCTTCGGTCCACCATATCGGTCACTCAACCACTTCATCAGCTTCCGAAAACCGGGGGCGTGAGGACGTAGCCAAGGACTTTGGGTCACTGGTCCAATGCTGTTGCCATTCATGTCTTCGAAGAGAACATCAAGATTGCCACTGACATCTTGCGGATCAGGGTCGGTGTCCTTGCTCTTGATGTAATTGGCACAGTAATGATTCATGCCGTAGAAGTCGTTGGAGCCAGTAATGAGTTTCCGTTCCTCGTCTGTGAACTTTGGTAACCGATCTCCTAGCTGCTTGACCATAGACTCAGGGTAGTGACCAAAATAGACTGGGTCGGCAAACCAACAGATGGCAAACTCAATCTTCCGGTCGCATGCCAGTCTATCCGCTTCCGAATGAGGGTCGTAAGGCTCCGTCCAATCCCCTAGGAAGTGTTAGCAATCCAACACAACGACTGTGTACGGCTGACATACCATTCAGCGTAATGCCGATTTCGCCGTTGATCTTGGATTTATAGTTATCTCGGAAGATTTTGACGGCGTTGGCATGAGCAATGAGAATATTGTGTCCCACAATCCAAGGTTCTGTGCTTCCGTCACCAACAGTGCTTCGTGTTCGATCACTCGAATGGCCTGGTGCAAAGACGCCGATGTTGTATCCAAGAACCGCGCTGCAGAAGGGTTCATTAAACGTGATCCAATGCTTGACCTTGTCGCCCAAAGCCTCAAACATGACCCGTGCATAGTTTGCAAAGTCGGCAACGAACTCGTCCTTGTTTAGGAAACCTCCATATCGCTTGTCAAGCTCATCGGGCAGATCCCAGTGAAACAGGGTGATGAACGGGACAATGCCGGCGGCGAGGAGGTCATCGACGAATTTGACATAATACTGAAGGCCTTTTTGGTTGACGGGATCGTTTCGACCACCAAGAGGAATTACTCGAGACCATGAGACGGAGAATCGATATGCTCTAGCACCAAGCTTCTTGAGCAATTCGATATCCTGATCCGTCCGATGATAAGAATCACAAGCAACATCTCCAGAGCTGCCATCGGCAATCTTGCCGGGGATTTGGCAGAAAGTGTCCCATATTGAAGGACCACGGCCGTCCGCAGTAGCGCCACCTTCAATTTGGTACCTAGAAAATTGAAATGGTACTGTAAGCGAAAAAGAAAACCCGGGGTTCAGGCTAGAAGGGTCAAAAGAACATACGCTGCAGTGGCGAAACCCCATAAGAAATTAGCCGGTAGGCCGGCTTTAGGCGCGTTGTCTTTAACCATGGCGTGAGTTCTTAACTAGACCTGCACGTATTGGCGTTAGGTGGCTTTTCTTGGGGTACGTCGCCCTGGGGGGCTCTCTCGCACTTTTAAATGCTTGGTGGGGTGCTCTGTACTCTGTAGGTCCTCAAACCCGGGATCCAGTTCTGTCGATGTGTCACGCTATGGGCTGCAGCCTTCAGTGTCGTGAACCTTGATCCCACTCGCAAAGTTTGGTTGTCTTGACAAGCAGAACAGAACGGGCGGGGGGGAACAAAAAGGTGTGGTTCACAAGTTGCTCTGGGTTGATATATGTATCCTCCATGCTCTTCGGGACCATGGCGGTAGTACTTCTCTGGTTAAAAACTACTGGTAGAGCTTGATCGCTCCACATCTTCTGCTGAGCCGAAGATTTTGCTTGGACCACGCGAAGATGAATTCTACCGGATTGGTTGCGGAGTGCTGCTGGGCCGATTCTTGGGCTGCCGACATTTAGCCTAGTCGCCTCTGCCACAGTTGTACCAGAGATAGTCGAGAAATCTAGCCATACGGTTTCTCTTCGGGAATTCTATCACCAACGATGCAAGTCTCATTTCCTTTCCAGGTTCCCACTCCCAGTGTTACTACGTGAACCCAGTGAAGACTCAGCCAAGACGATGAGCGTTCGACGACTGCCCTGAAAGGATTTAGAACCATACTTCCGACGTCTGGAGCACCTGACCTAAGAAAACCCGTTGCTCCGCCTGGCCCGACTATCCGACACCTCATGTCTGCAAGCGGCTTGTGCATGCCAAAATACAAGTCGGTGGCAATTCACTGGGTATAGGATGCCATGTTGTGGCCTGTTGGGCCGCCTTTAGCACGCAATTCGAGCAGAATCGGGTTTTCCACATTCAGTCGACGAGCGGGCGAAGTGCTAGGATTGGCGGAAGGCGTTGCTCTTCAGCACAGAGCTCTCACGCGGGTCTGTGGCCCTTAAGAAATCCGCATCGAAAGCGCCGGTGAGAAGGAATGGCTAGATCTTACGGCATCCACGGGCTCTGTTCAGTGCGGAGTATATCGAACCTCTCACGACTATCCAGGGAGAGGAAGAATCCAGTAAATGCCTTGTAAAAGGTGGCAGATAAATGGGGCTAACTTTTGTCCCATCAAGCCACGAAGATGACGGAGGGCTAAGCGAACTCCTGTGAGTCAACCTTCCAGTACGGTCCCACTCTAGTCACCGAAGACACGCAGCGTACTTTCGCCTGGCGCTTCCAATAGATGTCTCCCTGCAGGGCAGATATAGAATACGATTGCGAAGCGGGTCGACAGGCCTTTGCCGCGGACCCTGGAGATCTTTCCAGATGTAGGACCCTTTGACGGCGTGATGCTGGATTCCGTTCACCTTCGGTTGTGATCTGCAAAAGCACATAGGTGCGCCTCGACCCGTGTTTATTTCGCGTTGCTCTTCCCTATGTGAGTCACCGGGAGGCAATCTTATTTATCTTCATCCTCGTTGTCAACTTCTTTCATCTTCCATGTGATGAAGGCCGATACCAAAGTGGCAAGCCCACCTAGTCTCAACGTCCAGCCGACACTGACATCACCTGGTTCATTTCTCGGTTTCTGAAGCAATTTAAATACAACACTGCATACGAGAGTCGCCAAAACCTGGGGCGCGCTGACTGCAACGTTGTGGATACCAAGAATGATTCCCGCTTTATCTTCCTCCTCTTCTACTGTGTCGCTCTCAGCGCCATCCGGACCATTTATCAGTCTTTGACGGTCCATACGTCGTCTCCTCTCATCTCTTCGAGAGATTTCAGCTGAAATCAGGGCGAAGGGGGCCCAGAGGGTTAAAGACCAAGTTATACCGATCAGTGCAGTCATCACGGTAGCCGCTTGTGGAGTCGAAATGAAGAACGTACTGAATGTGCATACTGAGAATAAAAATTGTGACAATAACCAAGCTCTCCTTAAAGTCAAGCCAGGAATTTGTAGACGTTCCAACCAGCGATGAAGGACGCTTTGGGATTGTTGAGTGCCGGTCTTTCTAGGATGTGAATGACCGAGAGCTGGACGTATGTCACGATTAGACTGTGATCGACTGTGCACCATTGCCAGCTCTCCCCACGAGGCGGTTCTTTCTCTGGTCCCAACGGGTGAGGTTGGAGTTATGGGGCGGGGAATTTCTTCGGAGTCTTGAGGGATTTCAACGCGGTAGGTCGGAACCACCAAGAATGGAAGAATCAGATTCGAGGCAAAAGAAGTAATGGCGTATATTAACAATGCCAGGGTCCCGATTCGCGTTGCCTTATCCCACAGTTTGTTGACCTCGTCATCAGACAGGCCCGGCTTCAGGTAAGGATTGACATATAGTTGCCCGATGTAGGTGGTAATGTAGAAGAGAAAAGGGAACCAGCCCATCCAATGGAAGAATTGTATCTGGCATACCGTCTTTGTTTGGGGTGGAAGCCTTTTGATGGACACGAATACTTGTTTGAAGAATGCAATCAATCCGGAAGATTGCTGGGAGGATTTTGAGGGCGGGTCTAAACGTGGATTACGCTCTTTGATGAATAGGACACTGACCAGAACTGTAGAGGTGATCGCAATTGAGGCAATCACCACCAGCACCTTGAATTGGGTGTTTCCAAAAAATGACATATACTGTGGTAGGTTGAGATAGCCAAAGATATAACCAAGTACGTTGCCGATCCCGGTCATTCTGGAAGCCCATGCATTGGCAGATTCCTGTTGGTGGGATGGGGCATTGTCGACTATGAAAGCACGAATCCCAGCTTGGACTGGCAAACATTAGCAAGGATCATCTGTGCTCTCTAAATGGACTAACCAGTGTTAATTGAAAAGTCCAAACACCACATCATGATGGTGGCCAGAACAATGGTTGCAGTCTTATATCCTCCATCGTAATTGGCGTCTTTTGCTAGACCGCCAATCACACGAATAATGTCCCTGGCGTAGGAAAGCATGATGGACGCCACCACGGTCCCTAGTGCACCAGCAACCATGAAAGGCTTTCGTTTGCCCCAAGGAATTCTCGATCGGTCACTCAGAATACCAATGTAAGGCTGGACAAGAACCCCAGTCAGGGGTCCTGCAAGCCAGACAAATGCGACCAGAGCCTTACTCATCCCAAGTGACAAGAGGTAAGGTGAGCCATTGGAGAGCTCGACTGACCAAACAATTTGCAGGCCTCCAATGGAGATTGTGAGTAAGGCAAGATACCAGGAGCTCTTTGACTCTACAAAGGAGTCTTCGAGATTAATGGCCTCAGAAAGAGGCCTTTCGTCGACATCGCCATTTTCAGAGGTGTCCTCGGCGCCAATGAGGGGTGACTGCTCGTCAATGTCGAGAGCCGGATCACTTCGGGGCATGAATAGTTTGATCCACTTAATTCGGTCCTTCGTACAGGCTGGTGGTCGAGATGTTGTTTGAAGAAACGGACGGCTTCGATGTTGGATGATGACGAGGCTCTTTTGGTGGATGGCTTTATGTACTACGTACAATACGTCGATATGGGGGAGTCCTCACGAGGCCCTGTTACGCCATCCTAGTGTATGCGGGGAAGGCCGAGCAATTTTGGTACCGAATTGTCCTATGATCGAATCAGGCGGACGGTGAACTGTCGATGGGAGAGTCTGGATGGTGTCAGGAGGTCGGTACAGAGACGGCGGTGGGCCAGGATCTTGGTTCAAGAATGTTCAAGAACGTTTACCCTGGCAGGAGCAAGGGTCCATGACGGCTGCAGCTTCCCTCCCCAAGCTCTGTTGTGATTGGTCAGTCTGAGTCGACCACTGGCAACTTCAACTGCGCTTCTTCCTCCATATGGTCGACTTATAATCCTTTTCGTTTGACCAAGCCCTTAATTGAATAGACCGACTTCATTCACAAAGCCTCAGATCTCCCCATCCCACCTGTTCTGAAGATATCGCGTCCACAAACCTCACCATACACCCATTGTGAGGAGCAGCCCTATTCCGCTCAACATCAGGCAACCTTCGGACTCCCATTGCTTCGTTCAATCGGTCCACCGAGTCCTCTTCAATATCCACCCTCTCTTCTTCCTGACTGAGATTCCTGTCCTCCTACTCCAGCAACCGCCCACAATGAAACCTGTCGTTTCCGCTGGCAATGCGTGGTTCTGGTCAGCCACACTTACCGCAATCGCAAACCCCAGAACTAACTTGCTTGTAGCACGGTGATCTCGGCGTTTGCCATTGTGATATTGAGCGTAATAGGCAGCCTGTTTGCGGTATGCTTTGATATCCTCTGCAGCAGCTTATTTGCCGGGAAGGATTCACTAACGTGCACAGCGCGATCACCATATGATGATGGGGTTGGAAGAGGATCCGGAGCATCCTGGTGCAGTGGCTGGGTCTATATTCGTTGCAGTGGCTGTGAGTTTCCCCGTTTGAATAGTTTTCAATCCCCGTTCTCATCTGTGTTTTAGGTATATGCTGGCTTCTTGGTCTTCTGCGGATTTCAGGCCTGGCTTAACGTTCGAGCGAGTCGGCGAGGACAAATATCTTTGAGATGATGGACGAGGTGCAAAAGCAAACCAAAGACCATGGTCAAAATCCATGGGGCCGACTACCTTACGTGATCTTGGATTGGAGGCCGAGCGTTTCTCGCGGGCTGCATAAAACATTTCGGCAGACGTATACACAAACCGGCCACGGACTATTTAGACGTGTACAATGCAGAGTATGACCCAGACCGGTCATCCACAAACTAAAATAGACCATCGTCTCCTGTGAACAAAAGTGACCTGGCCCAAGGGAATCTCTAAAATGACATTTTAAAGGAGATCACGGCTCACAAATTGCTCATGCAGCGACTTGCCCAGCAAGGCCGGACTTCGCTGGACCACAACACCAGCAGCCTCCAGTGCGGCAATCTTGGAGTCCGCACCACCTTTCCCACCACTGACAATAGCACCGGCGTGGCCCATTCGTCGTCCGGGAGGAGCGCTGATACCGGCAATGAAGCTAACAACCGGTTTGTTCTGTTTGTTTTCACTCTTCAGGAAGTCTGCTGCGTCCTCCTCTGCACTGCCACCGATCTCGCCGATCATGATGATGCCCTCAGTTTCTTCGTCTTCAAGGAAAACCTTTAGCGAGTCGATGAAATTGGTTCCAGCGAATGGGTCACCTCCAATTCCAATAACCAGAGACTGTCCAAGGCCTGCTTGTGTTGTCTGATTAACCGCCTCGTAAGTCAAGGTGCCCGATCGTGACACGATGCCTACGCGTCCTCGCTTGTGGATAAAGCCAGGCATGATACCAATCTTGCATTGTCCTGGCGCAATGATACCGGGGCAGTTGGGTCCAACAAGGCGAGTCTTGCTTTGAGTCTTGAGAATGTTTGTAACTCGGATCATGTCATGTTGAGGAATTCCTAGAAGGGCAGTTGTGTTAGAAGGGGATCTCGTAGCATTTCGAGTATTAGAGCGAACATACCTTCAGTGATGCAAACTACCAGAGGGATCTCAGCGGCAATAGCTTCCTCGATACCAGCAGCAGCCAACGGTGGAGGCACAAAGATTGCTGTTGCGTCGGCACCCGTCTCTTTCACTGCATCGGAGACATTCTTGAAGACAGGAAGGTCCAGATGAGTAGAGCCAGCTTTCTTAGGATTGGTTCTAATGGTTGTGAGCTTGTTGAACAGGGGCTTTTCCTGCTGCAGTAGCACCTACCCTCCAACGACTTTTGTGCCGTATTCAATTGCTTGCTGTGCGTGGAACCTGAGGGCCAGTTAAGATAGGTGTGAATGTATAGACTCAACCGAGTACTTACGTTCCCTGTTTTCCTGCACATCGATTGTCAGCGGCACTCAGACCTGAAGCAAGTCATGAAATTACCTGTGAACCCCTGGAAGATCACTTTTGTCTCAGAATTGATTCTCAGGTTCGGAATAGTCTGGCCATAAGCTGAAAACGAAGATACAGTAGCATAACCTCTACGGGAAGCGTGTCGTATCGCCGTAGAGGCGCAGGCCTTGAGGGCGTGCATTGTTTAGCGGCCGATTTGATAAGAGACAGCGAGGCAGAAGGAGCTGCCGCAGGTTGAGCGAAAGGACTCCTGCTGTTAGGAAGGGTGGCCGCAGAATCAGTGAAGTGCAGATGGAGGGTGTTGTATCTATTCCAATGGGCGCCGATGAGCTTCCAAACGTTAGTCAAGGAGAGGCTGCGCTGTGGAGGTGCGTCTTGCCGATTCGGAGTAGGACGGGCAATTGGACAACAGCCCACAGGTTCCCTGGAAGGACCAACCCAAGTTCGAGGGTCAATTTTGGCGGCTTTGGCAGCAGGAGCTCGCTCTGCCAAGCCTCTACAAAGTATTTCCGAGCCGACCGCCTCCAGATTTGCCGCCTTCCCTAATCCGTGTATCATTTTCGAATTTCCATCTTCACCATCAGTCACCACATTCACTTCCCAACTTAATACTGGCAAGAACCAGATGCCCCTCCTTGTGCATCTTCTATTTTGAGTTGATGCATTCTTCTCGCGCATGAACAGGACTAATTTAGATCCTTAGGCGTCATGGCGACCGAGACAGTGACCAAGCCGAGGGTGAAGTTGGGCAAGCAGGAAAAGCTGGCGCCAGAGAACATTCGTTATATGGCTGCTTGTACCGATATAGCCAATGCTCTCATTCAGGAATATGAGTCCAATCTGGATTCATCCAAGCCAAAGAAGGATGTCAATCTCAACCGACTCAGAGGCGATGTTGCCAAGAGACACAGACTTAGCAATCTACCACCACTCACAGCCATTCTGTCTGCTGTTCCCGAGAATTACAGGAAGCTGTTAATGGCTAAGTTAATGGCTAAGCCAGTGAGGTCCGCAAGTGGAATTGCCGTTGTCGCTTGCATGAGTAAGCCTCATCGCTGTCCTGTGAGTCCTCTAATTTATTGTGCCAGAATGCACTTACTAACGCTCGTGATCTAGCACATCGCCTTTACGGGAAATGCATGCGTCTATTGCCCAGGAGGACCAGATTCCGACTTCGAATACTCCACCCAGTCATACACGGGATATGAACCCACTTCGATGCGAGCGATCCGTGCCCGTTATGATCCATTCGAACAGGCTCGTGGAAGGATCGACCAAATCCGTTCTCTTGGCCACAGCGTTGACAAAGTCGAATTCATCCTCATGGGTGGAACCTTCATGTCGCTGCCAAGCAGTTACAGGGAAGACTTTGTCGCTCAGTTGCACAATGCCTGTTCAGGCTATCAAACCAGCAATGTTGACGAGGCGGTCATGGCAGGCGAGATGGCCAGTATCAAGTGCGTTGGCCTCACTATAGAGACTCGACCGGACCATTGCCAGACACAACACCTCACTGATATGCTGCGGTATGGCTGTACCCGCCTGGAGCTCGGAGTTCAATCCTTGTACGAGGATGTTGCTCGTGACACCAACAGAGGCCACACCGTAGCATCGGTGGTGGAGACGTTCAAGTTATGCAAAGATGCAGGCTTCAAGGTGGTCTCACACATGATGCCTGACTTACCCAACGTTGGAATGGAACGAGATATCTTCCAGTTTCAGGAATATTTCGAAAACCCAGACTTCCGAACCGATGGCCTCAAAATCTACCCGACGCTAGTGATTCGAGGCACCGGACTTTACGAGCTTTGGCGGACCGGCCGATACAAGAACTATACTCCAAATGCCCTTGTCGATTTGGTGGCTCGTATCCTAGCCCTTATTCCTCCTTGGACTAGAATCTATCGAGTGCAACGAGATATCCCCATGCCACTGGTAACTTCGGGCGTGGAAAATGGCAATCTGAGAGAGTTGGCGCTCTCTCGAATGAAGGACTTCGGCACCACCTGCCGTGATGTCCGCACCAGAGAAGTGGGCATTAATGAAGTCAAGAACAAGATCAGACCTTCACAGGTGGAGCTCGTGAGAAGAGACTACACTGCGAATGGTGGCTGGGAGACATTCCTTGCCTACGAAGATCCAAAGCAGGATATCCTTATTGCGATGCTAAGGTTGAGAAAGTGCTCAGAAACCCACACTTTCCGCCCAGAACTCACTGGCCAGCCAACTAGCATCGTGCGAGAGCTTCACGTTTATGGACTAGCTGTCCCCATCCACGGTCGTGAGAAGAGTAGATTTCAGCACCAAGGTTATGGAACACTTCTGATGAATGAAGCCGAGAGAATCGCTCGAGATGAGCACTGTAGTGAGAAGTTGAGTGTCATCAGTGGAGTGGGCGTACGAAGCTACTATGAACGCCTGGGATACACACTTGATGGTCCATATATGAGCAAAAAGTTGTCCTTTGATGACGATGAAGAACCCGATGCTTGATGGCCGCTGCTATTGCCATCGATAACACGTCTGTCGGGCATCGACATCTGGTCTACCCTGTCCCGCTTCCGGAAACAAAAGTACAACCGGTCGTGTCAAGGCGTCATCCCAGGCTCGGCGGAAGCTCTTCCGTTAGAGTACGGCCTGCCGAGCCAGTTGCCATGTGGACTTTGGCTAATGGTTCATCTGGGTTTCTTTTCTGGTCTTGAACGAGTTAATTCACGAGAAATGATCCCTATCAACCCTGTCGTTCCAACTGCCCGCCCTTCCAAACGGTCTGCGATCAAGTCATTCAAAGGTCCATACGGCATCATGATTGAGATAACATCAGTCCAGATGAGCGAAGAAGACATGGTCAAATGTGCAATTATGGTTGGTAACACCCAACAACCTCACCCATCCGCGGAGTGGTCGGTGCTTACGAATATGAATGGCATGCTCTCCGCGGCCCCACCAGCAAAACTTGTGTGGCGGCCGATAAGCGATAGGCGATAAGAAAGAAAGCCTCCAGCAAATCGAAATGGCATCATTTTCTTTCACCCGAAATCTAAGTCGCTCTTTCTCCGCGCATCTCCAACAAATCTTTTCGGCGCCCCCAGACTTTCTCTCCAGACCGGGTGGTTTTTGTGTTTTGCGTATTTCCTAGCTTTTTCTGTTCTATGCATTGCTCTGGCGTTTTGTCGCCTGTACGAGTACCTAACGTCCTATATACCTTCTCATCCTCAAGTTGTACTGTTATCTCCAAGTTTGCCGCGAACCCCTCCTCGGCTCGATCACGATGCAGCTTCCTGCACTTTTGACTGCGCAAAGCTGTATTGGTCATGTCCACCTGATCATTGGATCTGGACCTCTTGCAGCCTCGAGATGTACAAAGTCTCTGCAAGTCGGTGCTAGACCCATCGTCCTAGCTCCTGAGACTGAAGACGTCCATTTCACTATAGTAAAGGCAATCGAGGACGGCAACGTGCGGTGGATACAGCAAGAATTTAAAGAGCAGGATCTAAGTACACTGGGCAGGGAAGAGATCGAGAACTACGTCGATGCTGTATTCGTTACCCTGCCTGCAAAGGACCCGCGGAGTGTCCACATCTCTAGCCTGTGCAGGCGTAAGCGAATACCTGTCAACGTTGTTGACGCCCCAAGACTATGTACCTTCACGTTACTATCTACGCATCTGGACGGTCCTTTACAGATAGGAATCACGACTTCCGGGAGTGGCTGCAAGCTGTCGTCTCGTATTCGGAGGGAAGTGGTTTCGGCGTTGCCACCTAAATTTGGGGACGCGGTAGAAAGACTGGGTTCATTGAGGAGGCAGATTTGGGAGGAAGATTATCGCTCACAGTCGGTAAACGTTTCAGAGCCCATTGAAGCGGAAGCGGAAGATGAGGAGTCCGCTGCGCAAAAGCATACCTTCAACACATTAATCCGAGAAAATGATCAAGATCCGGCAGTCTTAAGGACGCGGAGAATGAGGTGGCTCTCGCAGATATGCGAATACTGGCCTCTTGATCGGTTGGCGTGTATCACAGACACGGATGTTTCAAAGATTCTTGACGCCTACAAATCCACTGCTCAACCACCTCCACCAATCTCCGATAACGCGCCTGATGGTCAGACTCTGATTTCTGGACACCTACCACTTCGGAAAGGGACAATTACGCTTGCAGGATCGGGTCCTGGCCACCCATCTCTCCTCACAATCGCTACCCAAACCGCGATTCAGAACGCTCACTTCATTCTTGCCGACAAACTCGTTCCAGCCGAGATCTTGGCACTTATACCACGTCGGACCTCTGTTCACATTGCTCGTAAGTTTCCTGGTAACGCAGACGCCGCTCAAGAGGAACTCCTCCGACTTGGATTGGACGCTATGAAGGAAGGCAAGGATGTGCTTCGTTTGAAGCAAGGTGATCCCTACCTGTACGGGCGAGGCGCTGAGGAAGTAACATTTTTCCGTGATCGTGGTTACGATGTCAGAGTGATTCCTGGAATTACGAGTGCACTTTCAGCGCCACTGTTTGCCGATATACCCGTCACCCATCGAGCGGTCGCCGACCAAGTCGTTATTTGTACCGGTACTGGCAGAAAAGGTGCTGCCCCAGAACCACCATCGTACAAAAAGAGCAAAACGGTCGTCTTCCTGATGGCATTACACAGACTAGAAAGTTTAGTCAGCAGCCTCACTGTAATTCCTGGCGAAACAGGCGGACGACCCGAAGGGCGAGCGGTATGGCCTGCAGATACACCCTGCACAGTGATTGAGCGTGCGAGCTGTCCGGATCAGCGAGTCATTCGATCGACCTTACAGCATGTCTGCCAGGCAGTGGAAGATGAAGGATCTCGACCGCCCGGTCTACTTGTGGTTGGCCACTCATGCGAGGTCTTGCATCAGCTTAGTAAGAATGAGAGGTGGTCAGTCGAAGAGGGTTTTAGAGGTCTCGAGGCCACCGGATCAACGAGTTCCGAGCTAAACCTGCTCAAGGATCTAGAGCAGATGACTAGAACCACAGACAACACTTCCGTTGATCTGTGATCTCCTCCTAACGTGCTGACAGTTTGATGGTGATTTTGCCCGATGAAGAGGGCTATGTACTAAAACGATACCCTAGATATAGAATGCCATAATGATCAAGATCCAAGCGATAAGCACTGACCAATTGTTCCTCGAGCAGGTTACTATTGCGTTTCTGCAGGTCCCATTCATCAGGAATCGTCTTGGATGTCAGAAGAGGTCCACATTCAAATTTCGCTGATGCGACCGGTATTCGTATTGCCTATCCCTCGCAAACAGTAGACTTCCAGGGCTATTCTTTCGATCAGTGAGAGAAGTACATAAAGATAAAAGAAGGATTGTCGACATTGCGCGGGAACAGGCTTTGCTGCAGAAACATTGTGGCTGGGCTCGCTTACTGTGGTTGTAAAGTTATTGTAGGGAATTTAGCCGCTGCTTCAGGTCATGATATTGGTTCTCATTAATCGTAAACTATCAATACAGTTCTGATTCATGCACTTCATGCAGCGTGTCCCATATTATTAGAACTGTGTCTCTTATGGAGGTGGTGAGCCTGCAACCTCTGGTAACCCGATGTGAGCTCTGAGCAAACACTTCTTATCCGCCAAATTTGCACCCTGCGTAGGAATACCTAGTTGTTGTAGTATAGAATCTAATTGTCTTCTTGCCATTCGTTCGAGTTCGGATGAGGTGTGAGGGAAATTAATGATAGCGGTACAGGTAGTAGCGTTGAGAAACGATATAAGATTTTCGTTTTGACTCCGAAGGTATGTGTTCTAAACCCGTGCTGCGTTATTGTAATTCCTATAGAATTAGCATAGTAATATGAAAATAGGTCGAATTGTACATACGACGCAGTAATTATAGTCACAAGCTCTTGACGAACATCGACAATTTCCTGGCGGATATTTGCAATGTCTTGTCGGATTGCCATCGTGTCTCTCATTGACTGCTCCCTTATTTCACGGAGCTCGGCAATAAGTTGCTGGCCGCCGGCGAGTGCAGGTGTATTTGGTATCTTCAGTATCTCGGTAGCAAGATATTGAAGTTAGCTTGCGGACCAAGAGCGATTTCGTCAGCCATCGTGACGGTGAGGGTAAGGATGATTATGGTGACAGGAGTTTGTGGTGAGGGTGGAAGTGTTTTGTTTTGGTTCCCGAAACAGGGATGAAGGAAAGCGACTTTTGATCCAACCACTCTGATGTCTCTGACGTACACCACCAGCTTGCAATCATGGCATATCAGGATGAAGGACAAATAGCGTACGGTAATACGGTTATAAACTCGAATGCTGTTGATCTCTCGCTGCCAATCAACTACAACAATATTAAGAGCAAAACTATCTTAATCACCGGCGGTGCATCAGGCTTTGGGGCAGCCTGTTTTCAACTATGGGCAAAACATGGCGGGAATGTCATTATTGGCGATGTGAACGACAAGGCTGGCGCGGAACTGGTGGCTCAAATCAGGACAGAGACCGGGAATCCTAATCACCATTTCATTCATCTTGATGTTACAAGCTGGTCAAGTCAAGCTGCCTTCTTCAAACAAGCGGCAACTCTTAGTCCGCACGGTGGGATCGACCATGTCATGGCCAATGCCGGCATCGCCAACCCACCAGAGGAGGGTGCCTTTGAGGAGCCACCTGACTATACTTCTATGAATGACCCGCCCGTGCCAAAGCACAGAACACTGGATATCAATCTCGGAGGAGTTGTGTACACTGCGCACCTTGCCATTGCTTATCTGTCCCGGAATCCGGGCAGTAAGAAATGCAACCCGGAGGAGAAGACAGCGGCACGAGATCGTCATCTAATCTTGGTTTCTTCTATTGCCGGTTTGTGTGGTCTACCTAGCCTACCTTACTACGCGACTGCCAAACACGGTGTGGTAGGATTGTTCAGAACGTTAAGAATCACGGCAGCAATCAAGAACGGGATTCGGGTCAACATGATTAATCCCTGTGAGTACAAGTGACCGCAGAGCCGAAGAGAGGCAGTTACAGCCTAGCAAAGTGACTGATTAGAAGCACAGATTTTGTCGAAACGCCACTTCTGGGTCTTGACGGAACACTGGTGATGGCAGGCGGCGCAATGGCAAAGATAGACGATGTCGTTCAAGCTACAACACGACTGGTTGCTGACCAGAGCATCATCGGCCGTGGGTTAGTCATCGGAGCTCGAGCCCCATCAAACGTCGCCAAATCCGCTGGACTGGACCCTGCGGTCGATGATCAAGCTATCTGGGATGTGTACGCGCATGATTTTGAGCAGACAGACGTGTTTGTAAGGCGCATCATCGGCATCACGAATCTGATCTGCATGGCGAGGGGCTGGACTGGGGTTGTTCGAGACGTTGGTTCGAGACTCAGTAGACCTCTCTGGAAGGCGCTGGGTTACTGACCTCTGTAGACTTTAGGATATACCATAGAGTGTATAGCTCTTGTGGGTACTGCGATACCACAAAGGTACCTGGGTAGATCTTGCGGCGAAATTTCTCACATCTTCACGTGCGGTGGCCCATGCCTCTTCTCGGGGAACTTACCATTCAAAGACTAAAGCCGTGCTAAAGACATTTAGATTGGCGCTAGGGATCGTGCTAGGACCAGATAGTATTCACTGATCACCAGGTCTAAGGCAACGAAACAGAGGCCCCGTTCGTTGAGCTTTTGTCGTTTTCCCTCCTCATGCAAGTTCTTGTACCATAGTTTGGAACACAATCTCGAGGAGAAGTGGTATTCTCGTTTGGCCGGTTGGTCGAGCATAGATCGCTGTGCATCCTCATCTCACGTCTCCACACCGCAAACCATTCCTCTGTGCCACCCCCGATCGAAGCATGTGTCTGTGCCCCCCTCAACCACTCCCGTCTTATGTATGAGTTTGAGAAACCCAAATAAGAGCCATGTGCAAGGCATGGTAAGGTCTCGAAAGTTACTGGTTCTCACTTTCCTGATTGCCACTGCGATATTCACAGTTCTCTGGCTGCGGGACCCCTATTCCATCGAGGAATCCACCCAGAATATCCTTCACGGCCACCATGCGCACGAAGAAAACCGTCCTGTCCTTCCTGCGAGCTCCCTGTCTCATCCCATCCACAAACTAGTCGCGAAGGCGGATGGAGATTTTACTGCAGTTCTTGCTCGCCAGTCACGCTCTCTTGCCGATGCCGTCGCAGAGTACCGCAGGCGATACAAATTGCCGCCTCCGCCGAATTTCGACAAGTGGTACAACTTCGCGAAGAAGAGAGGTGTGGAGCTGATTGACGAATATGATACTATCTACCACCAGCTCCTCCCATTTTGGGCTCTGGAACCGTCGGTCATTCGTGAAAGGACCAGAGAGGCGATTGGATTCGACAACGCACTGATTGCAGTGATGATTCGCAACGGGGAGGTCACCCGGATCGAAGGTGGTGGTGACATGTATCAATGGCATCGCGAGGCGACGCCCATTATGTTGAAAGATTTTCTCAGATATTTACCCGATATGGATCTGCCATTTAACATTCATGACGAACCAAGGGTTGTGATGCAGCATGACGATCTGCTGCATCATGTTCAGGTCGCCACGGACCAGAATATGCCAAAGGCTTACGAGAGCAAGGATTTGAAAAACCACTGGTCTCCCAGACCCGAAGACTTGGGCGAGGGGATCAGGATCAAAGAGTACCGGACAACCCGTTTCAATCGCTTTGCGCATCAACCGACCTGGAGCAATTCTCGGCTATCCTGTTCCCCTGATAGTCCTGCTCGGTCATGCCTGAATGACTCCTGTCCGGATAACGTGACCGCATATTCAGACCTCCCCTTGGGTTTCATTCGAAACACTACAGCCTTTTCAGATATTTGTAACTCACCAAGCATGGAGAAGTCTTTTGGATTCTTTGACCGACCCAACGCCTTCGATGTAACACATGACCTCTTCCCAATATTCTCACAATCCAAAATCTCCAGCTTCCAAGACATCCTCTATCCATCGCCTTGGTATTATATGGGTCGGGTCAAGTATGAAAAGGAGAAGGATATGCCATGGGAGCAAAAAGACCCGACGATGTTTTGGCGAGGGAGTACGACCGGAGGCTTCTCACGAGATGGGGGATGGAGAAGACAGCATCGTCAACGTTTTCTGACCAAGATTCAACCACTGAGCAATTCGAAGATTCTGGAACTTGATAACTCAACCACCACCCCCGACATGTGGCGCGAGAAGGAGATCCGAACCGAATCCATGGCTCATTATTTCGATGTCAAGTTCACCCACATTGGACAATGTGACCCAGGCGACTGTGACGCACAGCGCGCATACTTCGGCACTGTCGAGCCTGTCAATATGTTTGACGCCTTCAACGCCCGTTATCTCCTCGATATTGATGGAAATGCTTTTTCGGGTCGTTACTACGCCTGGCTCTTGAGTAAATCCATCGTGTACAAACTCGCCGTCTTCCGTGAGTGGCACGACGAGTGGTTGCGACCATGGGTTCACTACGTTCCGCTGGGCTTGGTTGGGGATGAATATGTCGAGTCAGTCCGATACTTCGATCAAGTCGAATCCGGGAAGATTGAAGCCAAGAAAATCGCCGATCAAAGCCGTCAGTGGGCGCAAAAGGCGCTTAGAAACGAGGACTTGGAAGTTTGGTATTTCAGGTTGTTGCTTGAGTGAGTCGGGTTTTTGATTGTATGTTGCAAGCTGTTGCTGACAAGCATTCAGATACGGCCGTTTGATCGACGATAACAGGTATAACATTGGATTCAGCCTGTGACGAAAAAGCAGCAATCTACTGTTGCTGTGTGGAGAAAGCGATGTCGTTTGGGTCTACTGTTCGGTTTGGGTACCCATGAGCCCACAAGAGCGCCATCGAAAATGTACCTCCCTCGGTGTGCCCGAGCATTTCTTGTCAACTGAACCGACCTGAGACAAGACAGCTAGAATCGCCGCGAAACGCCACTTGTATCATTTTGGACAACTGTGTTGATGGAGGTTCCAGACCAGGAGCGCCCAAACCGGCAGGAGGACAGGGAGTCGTGGTCAACGGAAAGAAAAGAGAGAGTACACACGACCGCCGCGGCGCTTATCACACGCCTTTTGGATATCCATATCATCGACATCGTCAATGTCAGGATGTACCCACCTGGACGCGACCCCATCTACCGAGCCTGCTTACAGGGTGGGCCGCCTCGTATCATCGTTGCACTTGCAAACCCGAAGGTCTGATTTTTATTGTCACTGTTTAGACCCTGGGCTGATAGCACGGCCGTCTTGTTATTGAACACATGTTTTCTGATAGCATGCGCCGAATCCCTGGCCTGAACTTCAGACTGGACATGTATAGTATTTTTATAAGTCACCTCTCCGCCTATTCATTGCAGATGACACAGGGCTACTAGTACCTAGGGTCTTCTCAAGCCTCGAACACCCCCATCGTTGTGGCATCTTTACCCTATAAGCCGTCGAGACAGGAGATTGCGACTGAATTGGTTGGCGGTGTCTACCTTCGCGACGCTTGTATGGGCTTGGGGGGGGGTGTAGACTTGGTTGGGTTGGGTTAGAGGTTTGTTGTTTTAAGATAATCTGCTGCTTTGCTACATACTACCAAACTACTGGAGACTTATAATCGATCAAAACATATCACTCGAGGGCTCATAGGCATGAGCATTCTTGCAATTGGATCGTTGTTGGTTCGGCGCCGCCTGTGGTTTGATCTTGATATCTGTGGTTCGTCTCCGTTTGTCTGCCCTGCCTCTCTGCCTATTCGGCCGTTATCAAGAGGAAGAAAGCGAAGAAGGGGGGAAGAGAGAGAGGAAGAGACGAGAAAGACTCAATCAATGTTCAGATCACACAAATCGCAGTTTCTTCATCTGACACTTTATCTCATCATGCTCAATTGTGGTATCACTCATTTATTTCACCCTTTCTTTACCCTCGCGTCGTGATCTTCCTGGGACGAGAGATTTTGACCTTCCCAATCGTTTCTTTCTTCTATGTTTGACGGTGACGAGGACTGTAACACTGTTCCATGAACCCAACCTCTCCAACCCACGGAGCCGGTAGCAGCGAAGCTGATTGAGAGAAACTGGAAGACCTATGGTCCCGTTTCCATCCGCTCGGCCGCGTTCACCGTGGAGCCGCCAGCAGCAATTGTAGCGAAGTACCTGACATCGACATCCTCATCGTCTTTGAGCTTTTCTAAGTTGGGTAGGATTTGTTCGTTGATGAGATCTTCGCCTTTCGAACTAGGAGTGGCAGTAGTACCGGATGCCTCTAGCTCTGCAATTGTGCCGGATTCGGGAAGTCGGCGAAGTGTATCAATCAATACGGCGTATGACTTGGCTACGTTGAACCGAATGTTTGGGATGGGATCTGCCACTAGTCGATCCATCATGGGAAGGACACTCTCTCGGATGATATCGAGTGTGACGACGGGGGCTAGTATCTAAATAAAAGGTTAGTCTCTTGTATCTCACCCAGATCTTCAACAGGATCATGAACTTACTGTAATGGCGAAGCACGTGGTCATTCTGTAAAGATAGTTCTCTTGCTGGCTCATCGCCGTAACCTTGGGAATGATGGATCGGTTGGCCCACTCGACGCCGAAAACCTCGCTTAATTTTCTTAGATTTTGTGTTGCAGCTTCTCTGATAGAGAAAACAGTGTCACCCAGCCAGCCCATACAGAGTGAGCTTAGTTGTTCATCGAAGAATTTCACACCCAGCTGCTTGGCAAGGAGGGGAATGTATTCGATGATGGCAAGACGAACTCGCCACTGTTTATCTTCAGCCAGTTGTACAATGGCGGGAAGCAGGGACTGAGATAACAAATCAATGCCAATGACATCGTTGACACGTTCGAGCTTGGAGATGATATGTAATCGTACATCAGGGAATTCATCCTTGAGCATCTGCAAGAACATTGGAAGAAGGTGGGAGATGGTCTCTTCTTTGCCGAGAATGGGAGCCAGTCCACTGAGTTCGGTTCCCAAGGCCGCTCGGACATGTTGTGAGGGATCGGAAACGAGATCCTCAATGCTGGTCATGATTTCATTGAGTAAGGTTTCGCGATCAAGTAGCGCGCAGAATCCCGGGATTTGACTGGCGATCGCGGTCCTCACTTCAGCTTCGCTGTCCTTGAGAAGCTTGACGAACGCTGGGACCAAATCCCGAGTGACAACCTCCTCATTAACTGCCTTGGCAATCTTCTCGAACTTTTCAGCTACCATGTATCGAACTCTCCAGCTCTTGTCTTCAAAAAGACTTCTCAAAGCGGTTAGAAGGACACCATGACTTGGTTGTTGTTCTTTTGGAATGGCTTCCGAGATGGAGATAAGGACTTCAACGGTAAGCAAGCGAACACTGTCTTGGTCATCGCTTGCAAGGTGTTGGAACAGGGGGATCATCTCCTCAATGACAGTGGAGGTTGGCACTTCCTTAACGAACTTGGCGAGATTGTTTGCAGATTGGCGCCGGACCATAGGAGTGTCGTCGTGAACAAGAAGGCCAAAATGCTGACGGAGGTCGGCTTGGGACCGAGGGCTGGCTTTCTTATAAGGACTTGTATACAGACCGCAGGCCGATATTTTCGAGGTGAACCAGTCTGCTTTGGAGAGACTGAGGGTCAGGGGAATGAAGCTTTCTTCCACCTGTCGCTCCGACAATTCTTCGCATATTTTGTTCAGAGACTCAACGGCCTTGAGGGATTAGATTCCAGGGTGTAATATGCAATATGGACATCGCGTACCTTGTCCCTCACAAGCGGCTCCTCGATGGCGGCCAAATTCTGAAGCGGTGGCAACAGCACGTGACCGTATTCTGGTCCTCCAACGTATTCAATGAAGTTTCCAAGCTCTTCAGCGAGCGCAGTGAGGACTTCATCTTCGTCCTCAACGGAGTCTGGATATGGGTGTCAGTGTATCGCGCAGGTAGAGCCACGGGCAGAAACAGTACGTACCGTCCAAGAAGGGTATTAATTCGTCTCTCGTACGTTCAGGGCCCAGGGCAAGGGCAATTGTGGAAAGTCTATGGATGGCATTGAGGCGTAGGAGAACATCATCATGCTATTGAAAGTGTCAGTCACCGAGCTGGCACATGCCCAAATAGCATCACAGAAGACAGTAGTACCTTGAGCTCGTCAATCAATACGGCAATGGGATAGAGCTCGTCGCCATTATCTTGGTCGGCCATTGTGCCTGTAAACAGGAGTCGAGTATCAGGGCGGGTCTTCAGGCTTCGAGGAATCCTGGGGGAGGGGGTCGCAGTTTGGCGGGAATCTTGATCTGGGTGAACGCGTGTTTTGTGGGAGGTCGGCTGAGAGGGCGAAAATGTTGGTGGAAGATTATTGCAACTGCCAATGCATGCCTGTCTATTGAAGAATCAATTTATTGCAGTTTTCATAGGGTCAGGAAGGTATTGTTGAGGCATGGTGGAGGGAAAGGCAGGGCTGTGCGGTAGACGATAGGGTCAAGACTCAAGACCGGACACGAGGCAGCGACTCACCAAAGCAACAAGTTCAGAAGTCCTGATCCGGACAGCGCGGAGGACAGGGGACTCGAGCAGACCTTGGATTTGAGCAAAGTAGATGCGTTGAATGGGTGTTTGGGTGCGTGAATGGGAATAGGAATCGTTCTCTATGAGCTTTCCGTCGTATGTGACCTTTTTGGGCGGACGTGTGGCTGTGGCTGGTGCTTCGGGTTTGTGCCACAATTGCAATTGTACTTCCACCTGCACTTGCACTTGCCGTCGAAACTCGAAAATGTCCCGCCAAGCCTTCGTATGACTCGTCGTTGAGATTTTGATATTGCTTCCTTTCCACCACAACGGCCAGAAACAGCGGCTTCTGAGTGTAGATCCACCGACGACTACTACATCTGGTGACAAAGAGTTGGATTTGGTAGTCTCTCAACCAGCGACCATCTTCCAAGCCGAAGCAAAGACTGCCGCCATCATGCCCACCATCTCTGTGGACAAGGCTGCCTTGTTCAAGGCTTTGGGCAGAGAATACACAACTGATGAATTCGACGAACTGTGTTTCGACTTCGGTATCGAACTCGATGAGGACACGTCGCTCATAGAGAGACCCGTGGTCGATGGCAAGCAAGAACCCCCTCAACTGAAAATTGAAATCCCGGCCAATCGATATGACATGCTCTGCTATGAAGGCATCCAACTCATGCTCAACGTCTTCAATCGCAAGGTCCTGGCTCCTAAATATGTCTTGAAGGCTCCTGCAAACGGAAACCTCCAAACAATCACCGTCGCCAAGGACACCTCACGGATAAGGCCCTACGTCTCCGGTGCTATACTACGAAACATCAAATTCGACCAAGCCAGATATGAGTCATTCATCGATCTGCAAGACAAACTACACCAGAATCTTGCAAGGAATCGTACTCTTGTTGCAATTGGTACGCATGATCTCGACAAGATCAAGGCGCCCTTCACCTATGAGGCGCTGTCTCCAAAGGACATCAAATTCACCCCCTTGAATCAAACAAAGGAGATGAACGGCGAGGAACTAATGGCTTTCTACGACAAGGACAAACACCTTGGTCGTTACCTACCAATAATCAGAGACTCACCAGTGTATCCTGTTATCTACGACTCGAATCACGACGTCTGCTCTCTTCCGCCCATTATCAACGGTGATCAAAGCAAAATTACCGTGAACACCAAAAATGTCTTCATCGAGTGTACAGCTACAGACAAAACGAAAGTCGAAATCGTTGTCAACATCATGGTCTCTATGTTCTCGCAATATACCTCCGACAAATTCACTGTCGAGCCTATACAGATTATTTCCGAGCACAATGGCGAGTCAAGACAGGTCCCCGACCTGACACCTCGCGCGACACAAGCCGAGGTGGACTTCATCAACGCCTGTTGCGGTCTGTCTCTCTCCCCAACTGAAATTTGCACCCTTCTTACCCGCATGTCATACACTGCGCGTCCTTCTAAATCTGATCCTAATCTCATCGACGTCGACATCCCACCGACAAGGGCCGACGTCCTTCACCAGGCTGACATCATGGAAGACGTCTGCATAGCTTATGGATTCAATAAGCTTCCTCGAGCCTTCCCCAAGGTAGGTGCAACCGTCGCTGCTCCGCTCGCCATTAACAAGCTCTCGGATGTCCTCCGCCTCGAGGCTGCCATGGCAGGATGGGCCGAAGTCCTACCTCTGATTCTGTGCTCACACGACGAGAATTTTGGCTGGCTGAACCGAAAGGACGATGGTTCTACGGCTGTCAAGCTCGCCAACCCCAAGACCGCAGAATACCAAGTCGTCCGGACGACGTTGATCCCCGGCCTACTGAAGACAATTCGCGAGAACAAACACCATTCTATACCCATCAAAATCTTCGAGGTCAGCGATGTCGCGTTCAAGGCCCCCGAGCTGGAGCGCAAAAGCCGCAACGAACGCCACTTTGCTGCAGCCTGGTACGGCAAGACATCTGGATTCGAAGTGGTTCATGGTTTGCTCGATCGCATCCTTGCCATGCTGAAGACTGCGTTTGTTACGAATGAGGAAGGGCTTGAGGTCAAGCATGGTTCTCCTAGTAGTATTCAGTATTGGATAGAAGAACTGAACGATCCCACTTTCTTCCCAGGTCACGCTGCCAGTATACACGCCAAGATTGCCGGTAAGGAGGTGGTCATTGGCAGTTTCGGCATCCTACATCCTAGTGTCTTGGAGAAATTTGAATTGAAATATCCTGTCAGCGTGTTGGAGTTCAATGTGGAGGTGTTCCTATGATGCAATGACAGAATAGGGGCAGTTATAGGGTTTCAACTGAATCATAACAGAACTGGCGTGAGATGACGCAGAAGACAGGAGGTCGAAAATCGCTTGTTTCCAGAGCCAAATAGACGCAGAAGATTGGCGAAAAGTGGCATTGCAATTGTAGAAAGTTAGAGAGTGAAAAGATCAAGCATGAGTATGATTGAGAATGAGGATATGATGTTTCAATTGATGCTCTATCAGAGCTACACATCATGAATTCGATGTCCACGATTTCTCTCCCCGTTCGCCCACCACCTTAATCTCGAGCGGCGTACCACTCAAAAGACGCGAAATAAGGTAGCTGACAGTCCCCTAATGTCTTTTCGCATGGAAGAAGGGAACGCAAAGAAGTCATGGGCTAAAAAAAGGTTTAAAGCTCCATTTTTCAACTCCAGTGTATCTGATGTGCGAATTTTGGGTGCGCAAGAAGTACAACAAAGCCAGGTTCATCCGACCGATCACTACTCCTGTGCGAACTGCTGCTCCTCACCACCGCCGGTTGCACCGTTCTCCTGGTCTTCGGCGGCCCGGGCGTCCTGAGCTGCGGCTTGTGCAGCCAGAGCCTTCGCACCGTAGTCTTGTGACATGGGTTGCACGACCTGTTGCTCTTCCTTGGGGTCGATGATGGTGACGGAGTCGGGGAGGGATTTCTGGGGTCCGGCTTTGCCTTCGGGGTCGCTACCGCGCATGATCTTGACTTTGATACCCAAAACACCCTGTCGGAGGAGGACGTGGCGTGTGGCACTGTCGATGAAGTCGTTGACAGGTTGACCGGAGTGGATCATGAAGCCGTCCTAGAAAATCGAAATGGTCAATATCCTGATCTCCTCGACTTGGGGACAATGTAGGGCTACTGCAGCGGCAGTTGATCTGTTCTTACAGTGAACTTCATGCTCTTTGCACGGGCGGCTCTGAGCTTTCCGCTGACCACGACCTCACAGCCCTTGGCACCACTCTCCATAATGAATCTTAGTACACCATAGCATGCTCTTCGAACGGCCAAGCCATTGAGGAGTTTGTAACGGAGGGACTCGCACTGGGCGACGGCAGAAAGACCACGGTTCTGAACCTTGGCGGCGTATAGGGAGACGCTGTTCTCGGGGAATTTGAATCGCTTCTGGATGAGGGAGGTGAGTTCGCGAATTCGTCGTCCCTGCTCGCCTAGGACTTCCTGGGTATGTGTGGCTCGGATGACTGTATGGAACTGGTCAGACTTTGTCTTTTTACTTTCTTCTTGCTTCCCAATTATGCATACTGATATCGGTGACGGTGGGAGTAACTCGGACTTCGACACCAGAGTAGCCTTCTTCGGCCAGCTCACGCTGGAAGAACTCGTTCAGTTCGGCATAGAAAACACCGTCGGCGACGAACTTGCGACGCTTGGAGATCGCTCCTTGTTGGGTCGTCATGATTGCGAGTGCTGTGTGGGTGGTGGTGGGAGGAAAGATTGACGATGCGAGCGCAGTTGGCGGTCTTCGAGACGTTGGAGGGGGACCTGAATTTCGATGATAATTTCTGGGTGCGGAGTTTCGTGCGTGCTTGAATCAAAATTTGCACGTGACTATATGCCAAGACTGTGGGATATCATCTCCGAGTCTCCGACACGGGCGTTGGATGGCTTGCTTTTCAGCTTCAGTCGTAACTATTCAGGGGAAATACCTTTGATTGTCGATCTGAACATTCACGGGATTCTGGTGGTCTCTTCAATATCCAAACTGAACACCTCTGAAATAAGCTAGAGTTATGGCCGGGCAATGCAGATGATCACGCGAGCGACATGTGCCCATTTCATGACTTGAGAACAGCAACACAATGTTCTTGGGCCTCTACACCAGCTGCCTACGGAAGTGTCGATATATGAAGGATGCTCCAAGTCAATCACTGTCCTATACTTTCAATTCGGGTTGCTTCGTTTCTCATACCACCTGAACATACTCAGTGAGCCATTCATTACACCTAAGGGTACCATCACAATTTGTACTTAGTGGCAAGCTGTGCAGGACACGGGCGGGCGGGGGCTCGAGTGATGGGCGGTCAAGTAGTTGGACTAACCTCTCTGGCACATCTTCCTTGACGAGGCTCATTGTCAACTCAGGCGAATATGTGGAAGCAAGGTCCAAGATGGGAGATCGACGGATCTGTGTGGACTGCTTGAATCAGGCTGAGGACCATTGTCTGGAGAGATCCGGGTCTGTTTTATCGCGATAGCAAGGCTGATGTGCTTGTGGATACAATAGCCTCGGGTCATGGACGCGGCTGTCTGCCTAAAGGATGACGAACACGATGTACTTGGGGGCCAGCTTGCCGCTGCTCTTGCACCACGTTTATTCACTGACATGTTGAACAAGAAATACCTTTCCAGAGTCACTGGCCCCAAGGGAACGATGGATAAATCCTCGGCCATTGCTGCCAGTTTGGTATCAAGTGAGGTCATATCAAGACTTCAACGTACGGTAACTCAGATGCGCAAGGCTATAAGAGCACTTGAATAATCTTCAATCATTCCCTTTGCCTCACCCGCGACGTCAGGTTTATTTCATTGTGGAGTGACTTGGCGAAGAGGATGGTCTGCTGAAAGCGAGTTGATCTAGCACTGCAGTTGCCGGTCCATTTTCATTTATTGATTTGCTCGCTGCTAGTGCTGTTTGGCTGTTGACGCTCTTTCCCATTTCTATAAGTACCCCTCTCCCCTTCTACCAAATCACCTTTTAATCAACACTCACTATCGTTGACCATTTCAAGGTTGGCTGCTTCCAGTCACCTTCTCTTCTTCTTTAGCTTCTCATATTCTCTGGTATCCATCCCTGCTCCAAGAGACCGTGGATAGCAAGTCCAGTCCAAGTGAAGCGTCTAGGTAAGTTGCCAATTGTCCACACAAACACTCACCTCTCTCAAGTCTCAGCCATTCCTTGCGCTATGCTGAATAGCCTTTCACCCTACTTACACTGCCTTCCTGGATCACATGCGACCTGAGTTGCTATCTCCTCACCTCATCTTCTGAGTCTCTTTCTGTGGTCATACTCCTAGACCTTTTCCTTGCCATTGCCTTTCCTCCCTCGAAACTGACTCGAACACGCAACACTACCACCCTTCCACCTCCGTGGTCCATTACTGCTCTCCAATCTGAACGCTTTTGACTTGAGTTAACGCTTCAATCGAGCTAGCATGGCCGACCTTTCTGTTTCCGGGTTGGCTGAAGCCTCGCCGGATCCCACCAACGGTACACTCTCTACCTTCCGCTCCGGACGAATGAATGAGGAAGCGCGCCAGGTTGCCCATCTGCAAGGTTGGGTCGAACCCAAGGCCTACAATTACGACAATGACCTGGTCTCTGAAAATCCTGCCACCAATGGCACAAACCATTGTGATGTCATAAATGAGGACGGTGACAATGCCAACAGTGGTGGTCAAGGTGACCAGTCAGGTCATTGCCATAAATGGGCTCATGACGCTGGTCGTTACGAATGGAAGGAAGAGTTCGGAGATGTTGGTCCACGAAGCGAGAAGTTGGAGGAAGAGCTGTTCAATGGAAAGTACATCAATCGGGCTGGTGAGAAATTCAAGAAGTAAGAATCTACGCCATGCAAAATCCAAGGTATCTGCTAACTCTCACAGCCTCACTACAGTAAAGGTCATTGTCGAATCCGAAGAACGCCCCAAGCCCATCAATAACGTGCGTATCCATCACTAATGCTCCTGCCTCGACATGCTAACACCAATCTATAGTTCACCCAAGCAGGAATTCATCCCATTCTTGTGGAGAACATCCAGCGCTGTGGCTACGAAACACCTACTCCGATCCAAGCATACACAATCCCTGCCGTTATCACTGGTCATGACATGATCGGAGTTGCCCAAACTGGTTCGTGCGCAATCAAGAGAGAAGACAGAGATGGCTTACATTATCACAGGCTCTGGAAAAACTGCAGCTTTCCTGATCCCTTGCATCTCAAAGCTCATGGGTAAAGTCAAGAAACTTGCTGCTCGTCGTCCCAATCTAGCTGTCGATTTCGATGTTGCCCGTGAGCGTGTTCGGGCAGAACCATTAATCCTCATCGTCGCACCCACCCGTGAGCTCTGCTGTCAAATCTTCGATGAGGCACGCCGTCTTTGCTACCGCTCAATGCTTCGTCCTTGTGTCGCTTACGGTGGAGGCCCTATGCGTGACCAGATTGCTCAACTCAATCTTGGCTGTGATCTTCTTGTTGCGACTCCTGGTCGCCTACTTGATTTCATGGGTCGTCCAGAGGTGCTCTCCTTGTCTCGTGTCCGGTAAGTTGATCTCCTGGGACTGCGCAATATTGGTCGAGCTGACGAGTTTCAAAGCTACACCATCATCGACGAGGCTGATGAGCTTCTTCATGACGATTGGGAGCAAGAGATGACGAAGATCATGTCTGGAGGAGGTAATGTGATGTTTATCAACCATAAAACACATGTCTAACTTTCCAGATGCAAACACCGACGGTGATCATCGCTACTTGTTATTTTCTGCAACCTTTCCCAAGCGCTTGAAGAAACTTGCTGCCAAGTTTCTCGCCAACGATCACGTCCATGTCAGCATCGGTCGTACTGGGTCGGTCCATTGCAATGTCAAGCAACAGGTAGGAACGTCGACTCCCTAACTGATGGGGCTATCTCACTAAGTCTTTGCAGATCATCTGGGCTGAGCCTAATGCTAAGCATCAAGCTCTCTATGACCTTCTCATCTCGATGCCTCCCTCACGCACTCTTGTCTTTGTTCGCTCCAAGAAGACTGCGGACTTCGTGGATGACTACTTGTTCAACTTGGGTCTGCCCTCCACTTCCATCCACTCCGACCGCCTTCAAATTGAGCGTGAGGACGCACTGTAAGTGGAACAAGCTATTTTGCTTGATGAAATTTACTCACTTTCCCTAGGCGCTCTTTCAAGACTGGTGATTCTCCGATCCTTGTCGCCACTGGAGTCTCTGCTCGTGGTTTGGATGTTAAGCATGTTATGCATGTGATCAACTTTGACCTGCCCTTATATGAACATGATGGCACAAATGAATTCGTTCATCGCATTGGTAAGGCTCCTGATAAGATATGTGTTGCAGCCACTGATAGTTGCAGGTCGTACTGCTCGAATTGGCAATGAAGGTCTGGCCACTTCTTTCTACAATGACAAGGACTCTGCTATGGGCCCTTTCATCACCAAGATCCTCATGGAGACCGGTCAGGCCGTTCCCGAATTCTTGGAACAGTACAAACCCAATGGTGACCTCGACTTTGATGAAGATGACCCTGATGTTGACGAAGACAATGAAGGTGCTGCCCTTCATGGCAATGATGATGCCTGGGGTGGTGGTGAGGATAACAATGCTGTTGGTGTCTCTGAGCCCGCTTGGGGCGCCAATAATTCCGCTCATCAGGAAGCCTGGGGTACCACCAACGAGGCTGCCACCGCAGCTTGGTAATTTCCCTTACGTCGGAGTTCAGGCGGGGAAGGAAATCAACACACCGTTCATTGTGAATTAGCAAAGCAAATTGGGGCAGCAGATTTTATGTCAATCGTCATTCCTATCAAGATATCTGAAACCGGATTGAGATGGATGGAGACGTGTTGACATAATACACACAAGTGAGCACACGTACCAAGGGACAAGATTGTCCGCCAGGTGGATCATGGAAGGATCTCGGCGGTCAAATTGAGACCGATACTGTCTTGCACCCCAATACCAAATACGGATGGCCCCAGAGCACCCTCAGTTTCGGACTCTGCTTAGATACCTAGGGAGCTGAACACGGGTCTACAGTTCTAAGCCACAAGTTGGATGTAACCCACCTCTAGGGCATCCAGCAATTCTTTCCCCCTCGTAGAAATTAGTGCTGTACGCGTAATATTTGACGGAATTAAGTGAATTATAGCTCATAGTATTGCTATAGAGTAGGCCTTTCTCATGGTCCCAACGAGACGCCCCTATCCGACTCCGTGGACGCGTGTATACCAACCTTTAGCTTCCCTCAGAGTGACCGAGGTGCATTTTATACGGGCTCCCAAAGACCTTCCGTAGTGCTACGGCGAGTCGAGCGCATGTTCCCGCAAGGTTGGTTTTGCTTCTCCCAAGCCGGAGCGCCATGCTCTACAACACTACATCATCATTTAGAATCAACCATTGGGGAAAAAAGGTAATCTCACATCATTCGATTTTCCAGCTTGCTCTCAATACGAGAGTGAGGTTCTTAGGTAGAGTTGATTGGAGACTGAGCAGAAAGCGGATGCACTGATTGTTGATGAACAAGACGTTTTTTGAATCAAGACATGCCTGGCTCTCTACAAAGCTTCTCCGTGGATCCTGTGCTAGCATCTACCTTACTGGGCTTGGAGTTGCCCTCTCCGAGATTTGTTGCAAAACATCCGGGACAGCAACCGGACGGACTTGATGTAGACGGTCTGCATCCATGTTTCAGACAACTTTGGCGTGGCGGTAGTGTTGTCGGTCTTGGTTCATCAGAGAGTGATACGCACGAGGTGAGAAAAATGAGCTCCTCTATGAATATGGAGGAGTCGAGGAAGGAATGATTCGCCATGCGTTGACGCTAATCGATTATAATCACGATGAACAGCTATCCCTCGCATTGAATGTGGTGGCATCTGCCCTACTGAGAAGACCAGATTCTTCACCGGTCAGACAACAAAATGCTCTTGAAGATGCAAAGTCACTATGTTCAAGTTCCTCCCCGGCGGCAGTGTACATTGTAGCACCGCATACGTGCCAGACTATTCCACTTCTGCATGCACTGCTTGCCAAGCGCCTGTCGAGTTCGGCCGCGGCCGTGGACTTGCTCAAGAAGGTGCAGTTGTTGCAGTTCTTCGATATGGCGGGATTAGTGGAGAGCATTGCAGAAGTCAACGAAAGCATTTATCAACTCTCTCAGGTGGACTTCCGAAGGGATCAAATGCCACCGAATAGTCTCAAAGTTCACCACGAGCCCCAATATGTGGTGCTGATAGAAGGTCTTGCATCAACGCTTTCGGCCACACAGCGACGAAGTGGGCTTGTGCAGGCAAATGCTCTTCTTGCCGGCCTGACTCGCAGCATCACGCAGCTCTCAAAGCTGCCTGGACGGCCATTGGTACTGATAAGCGTTCCAATAGATGTCCGAAACGGGCGTGAAACTGGTCAAACCGGGGAAACATACCACCAAAGAAAAGGGCAAGGCTTGCAACTCGAGTCGGCATTTTCCGGGCCCAATTGGGAAAGTTACACACTAGCCTGTGGAAGCATGATTCTTTCCCAAACCCTCGCAGGATCACTTGACCAATTGATCCATATTCACGATGCGTTAAGAAGGGCCACGTCCCGGCGTCCAGACACGAGACTCCCTATACAGTGTGTGATCGAGGTCATGAAGGATAGGGTTGGCAATCTGACTGGTGTGTGGGCTCCCTGGCAGAGCCAGATAAGTTGATAGAGCTCACTCGGTCCATGAGTATCTTCGAACCAAGTCGGTAGCCATGGTGGTCACCAGCAAGCGCAGTTACAGCCTGAGTGGCTGATGGTAAGCTCTTCGTGGCCTCTGGAAGCCTCAACGGAACCGATTCAAGGAAGAAGTTACTCGATGGAGATCCTAACCAATAATCAACCATATTCGCTGTATCTCTGCGCGTTCTGCCAGATACCTAGCTCTTCGTTGTGTCGATAGATCTTTCGAGATCTTGGATGTTTTCAACCACCACACCAACAAGAAATGCCTTGCTTACGGATTTACACGAGACATACCTGCATACATCTGGGACTGTGATGCTCCCGCTGCCAAAATGCAACTATACGATCCGAAATCATGACCTCCTGGGGCGGCGGGGAGTTTCAAGCCTTAGACAGTCCGATCGATACCTCTGAGCGACTATCCTAGGGGAGAATAATACGTATGGCAGTACTGCGGAGTGCTCAGTAGCGAATACTGTGGAGCATTTATCGCTTCCTTGCCTATTACTCCGTAGTGCGTATAGATCGAAAGTAATGCTGGCCACGTCCACCCAGAACAATCCCTAATCAGAAATAGCAGATGACATGGATACCCTCACGTCTCCCACAGCTACCTCGCAACCTCCTACGGGTGGAACAGCTGCTGGTCCAGTGTCACTTGATTCTACGCTACGAACGACTCCTATTCACCCCTCTCTACCTTCCATAAAGGTCCCAGCGACCGCGGTTGCAGGTTCAACTGAGCCGAACACGAATCCAATCACACTAAAGCCATTCACCGACGCAGAGCTCTCTAAGTACGGGTTTGAAAAACTGCGCGCACAAATTTCTACCCGAAATGCTGCAACCGAAGCAGGCAATGGCACAAACCTTGGTGGACGGACGGTTGACGAAGAGGAAGTCAAGAAGCTGAGAGAAGAGACAGCGGCGTTGCTGAAGCACAAACTCGAAGAGCGTGAAAGCAAGATTCGTGAGATAGAACGCGAGATAGAGGAGAAGGAAAAGATCCGTGAGGTCGAGAGGAAGGTGTTTCGGAAGAAGATGGGCAACGTCGCTGGAATCCCAGAAGGATGAAGACCGGTCGTCGTGGGACAAGAGTCAAAAGCTTATTGAACGCAGTCTGACCATTCACTATCCCTCTTGACAGCGGATTACGGAATGTGACAAGTGAGAAGCATCATGGGTCTACAGCAAAATGTCCAGCGAGAAAAGGCTTATGGTGGTTCGGAATACTGGTAATTCTCCTCCAACGACGACACCTCGATTGCTTCTATTGCGCGGGAAGCAATTCAGATAGCCTATCGGTGTCCTGTGGGCACCAGAAAGACTGGCCGAAGACCAGAAATTCGAGGATCGTCAGGACGACAGCGAGGGATAAGGGAATACCGTCAATTTTGCTGTCTACAGCTCAGTGATTGTGAACAGCGAGGCAAAGAACAAAGTTTGTTCGCACTGGGCATCTCTTCGGGGTGCGTACCAGGTTCACAACGGGACTGATAGGATCGATGATGCATATAGGGATCAACAGGGAGAGGAAGCTGTTGTGATGTCGTTAGCTAGCATGGAGACGAGACCACACGTCACACCCAACTCAAGCAGTTGGATTTACACCATCCGAAGACAATCTACTCAACACAAGAATGAGCACTCCGGATCGCTGTGTCACACCGATGTGTGAGTTGTCTCGATCATCTGCAATTTGTACATGGATATGTAGGTTTCTTCAGGGAGGCCGTGTTCCCAACAGGTACACTATATCCAGATTCAGTGAAAGCTACAACATAGATATTCAGCATGACAGGCAGCTCTGTGCTTTAGCTCCCTGGTGACGGAGCACGATTTGTTCTCTCCGATGCGCTGAGAATATGGCCCTTCTTGCGCCTCCTCTTCTTCTCTTTCCTGTCTCCGCCTCGCCTCGCCTCTTCTCCGTGAGTAAAAAGCACAAAAACAATCAACAGCCAGGATTCCCAAATGGTCACCCACTTCAGTACTAGCTGACCGGCATGTGGCTTAAGTACGGCTGAGCGAACGGGAAGCCCTGTTCTCCACATCCTATGGTCGATTGTGAAAGAAAAAGCTGGGGGTCTGGACTATGTTTGGATGATTATCCAACGAAAGGAAGGAGGAATGGGCAATGGTAGCGAAAAGGTTTGAATTTAGTCGAATGTTTCGCATGCAGAAGCTGGGGTGGGATATTGTACGAGTAATAATGCCTCAAGGCAACGCAGTGTTGGAAGCTACCGTAACAATCCCATTCATTCATTCATACATTCCTATGGTTTATGCCTTTTGGTTTTCTCTCCATTCTGCATTCTTCTTCATGCCGTAGTCAAACATGATACCCGCAAGTAGTAAGTGATATCCACTCTCATTCCTTAACACCCTGTGGAGCTACTGCATCATAGCACTCCCAAGCACTCTCTCTCTCGATGACCCTATCATAATCCGTCCGGCTGATGGGTTTGTTGGATGATTTATTTCTGTTCAGATCACGACAAAGGTTAGTCCATCATGTTCCAAAAATGTTGGTGGAACTGTTCTTGGTGTAAGGTGAGAAACACGTACCCCGCAGGAAGCGCATGTGCAGCCGGAGCCGCAGTTGCAGGTGGAAGGACCGGAGCATTGGCAGGGACCCATTTTTGTTGGATTGGTGGTTTCTTTGATTTGGAAAGAGGAGATTTTGGAGATGTTGGAAGGTTTTGAAACTGGGGCGCTTGTGATTGATGTTTGAATTGCTTGGATGGGTTTTTGAGAAAAGAAGGATGAGGTTGTGGTCGAATATATACCCTCTGTGCATGTCAAGGGACGTCCAGGGCCCCCACAGCCGAGCCAACCCCTCTGCGTGCTTTGTGCGTAGTGGCGGCCAATCCAGGGTCTCGCCCAGGTACACAGCCAATCATGAACAGGCGAGCTAGGCCTTGTCCGTCGCAACGCACAAACCTCGCAAACCCACTCCCACTCGATCCTTCACCAACTGACCCAGGTGCCAGTCAGACTGCATCCTAGAACGCACAAGTCCCTCAAGGGACCCCGCAATTGGGATGGAATGGGGCAATAGTTGTTTCCTTCTTCTTCTTCTTCTTCTCCTCTCCCTCGTTCTTTCAAATTCCCTGTGTCAGGTCTTGTTGGGTGCAATGGCAAACTCCGTCTCGGTTGTCACTTGCCCCGCGTTGAAAAGCGGCAAGCACTTCTTGGAGAACTTGAAGAGAAGGGAAAGAGCACCAACGACTCGCTACACGTGACAGATGTGCAGAGCACAAGGCCAGGGCGTACGTCATCGCTGTCATTCCAACCTAGCACAGGCCACGCTTGGAGAAACTTGTGCCCTGGCCCTCCCAACGTCGCTGACAGTGCGAAGTTTCGAGAACGGCCTTGATTTCAAAGACGCTTCTTTCAGTTCGCCCCATCAGAGCAGGTGTAGTACTCGCCCCTTGTCCTTGCCCGCCAACCATCGTCCGCTCGCCATAACCGGATCAACATAAGCATGGCCGACTAACTCGTAGATGTCCTCTTTGTGAAGCTCAGATAGCTCAGTTGACTTTCGAAGGATGGCGGGTAGCGTACATCCTTCCACATGCCAGATCGAATCACCAACCTTGGCGTTTCGATGTGCCCACCCCAACAGGGTACCGTCACTGATACACATGAGGCAAAGACCCTCTTGAAGTACCGATGCAATCGATTCCAAGACCGGGAGGAATGACATCCCCCGTCGGCGGCTGCTTGTTTCACCCGATGACGAGTATTCTTTCCATGCTGCGGGAATGCGCGTTTCGTCCAGTAGTCCAGATGATCGGACCCTCATGTCCGCTCGTTCAGCAACACCGTGAGACATCGGTTCCAGTTTCAATCCGAAGCTGGCAAAGAACTGGCGGTGCTCGTCCAGCCATTTCCATACACTCCAATGTCCGCTGAGTTGGTAGTACTCTTTTGGCAAGGCGTACAGCAGGTGGAAGAAGTCCATGCCGTTTAGGTGACCGAAAGTCTGGTTGTGAGATATCAAAAGCAGACGACGAAATGCCTTGGCCATGATATCTGATGGACTTCTCTCACCTGTGAAAGAATTCTGAGCACCCTCGTCATCACCCACGTTCCCGTTGCGGACGCCGTCGTGTAGAATTCCGCCGACAACTGTGATGTACCCTTCACGTACTCCTCTCAAAGTCAGTTTCTTTCCGTTTAATTCGAACGAGTCAGGAATCTCTTCATTCAAGCGTGCAGAAGCCGCAAATGCTCGTCTCCTTTCCCAACCGAGGTTAGCATCCTTCCCGCAGATATAAGGGACTAAGTTTCTATCAAACGGATCGACCTTGAAGTGGAAGTAGTCGGGACACCACGACGGCAGAGTCTCCTGGCCGGCAAGTGTGCTTCTCAGAAAGATGATATCCACCGAGGCGTACCAGTTGATGTAGTTAGCCGTCATTTCCAGGCAAAGGTCGTGTTCTGATACATCTTCCCCATAGTTAGGTTCCTGCACGAAATCAGCCCAGTCAGACGCCAGGCCCAGTAGACCGTAGACCTTGTCCCTGAGAACGCTGGTCTCCGAGGCACTCGTGAGTTCTAAGATCTCCATTAGCCGCGGCTTCTGCTGTGCTCTGCAAGCCGCCCGCACGGATAAGACCTGCTGCGCAAGCGGAGGCTTTCCAGCGCTCCCCTCTTCGATTTCCTGACCGTGGTCACGCACAAGAAGTTCCACGGGCCGCAGCTCGAACGAATACGGGCCCCAGAAGATTCGCGTTCGCCTCGCCGCCGCTATCTCCTGGATGATCCATACGCGACTCCAATATGGCTGTTTGAGCATCCTCTCCAATCCAGCCAAGGCTAAATCGTTAGGCTCTGCATGCCCCCTGTTCTTGATACTGCCCGCTGGATCTTTCGTATGCTCCACGAGATTGTGCAAGTACTTGACTTCATCCTCAATCAGCCCGCTAATTTCGTACTGTCCGAGCCACACGACGACCTCTCTGGCAATACGGTAGATGGCAAACATCCTCGTAACCTCTTTAGATTTCTCAATCGCGTTCCCCTGGTCGATCGAGATGGCGTCCACCCATATCACCGAGATCCCATTCTGTAGCATCCGCCGAAGTGCAGCTGCTAGGTTTGGTGTCACTGGGAACTCCTGCCCGTTTACCTCCGTTATCGCCAGTGCATCTTTCCGGTTCATTCCCCAGGAGTATGAGAGTGCCGTATATTGGGGCCGTTGGCTCAACTTGGCATGGAAGAGCTCGAAACGCAGTGTCTCATTTCCAGCCGCTGGTTCGGTGAGAAATCGCAGAAGACGGATCTGCCCTTCCTCTAGCGGGTCATATAGAAAATTAGAAGACGACGTCGCCATCGTCATCTTCACCGTCTCACCCGCCCAACCCAAAGGCCACCCGCATCAGGGTTACCTGATTAGGGTTTCGAAATCTATGGTTTTCGTGCTATGCCTGTTTCCTCATGGCGAATGGGTTAGCTTAGATTTGGAGTATCGGTCTATACTGATACATATACATGATAAGGCTACCTGCTGGTACATCTCCGTCTCCTCTTGTGGTGGCAGCGCCAAGTTATTCGCCAAGGGGTGAGGCAATTCAAGGACTTGGCATTCGTACGCCACCAGAATGCAAGCTAGGAGCTGCTCTCCTATTGACACGAAAGTGCGAGGGTCAGCACAGCGAGGCCGAGCTGTAAGTCCATTGCCTGGAGACCTCTGTGGGTGAAATTTAATGGAGACAAATGCGTTAACAATTTGACCTTGCATGGTTCGCACCGCCACAGGTTGTGCTGGCAAGGATATTTGGCGTACGACACCATGGAAGCCAAGCGAGACTGCCCAGACGCTCAGCCTTTCTTGACTTGGAGCCCGCCGTGATCAAGACGTCAGTACATCTTTAAAAGGTGTCGCAACCCTCTCACAGCCCAGTCTTGGAGTTGAAGTTTCTCGAAGAGTCCACACAGATAACGCATATTAAGAATCATGAACGCACAGAAAGTAGACTACGAGGCCCTCCCGCCTTACGCAGAGTCTGTGCCTCCAGGGCTATCTTTCACCACAGACTTCGGACACTATGGACCGATGACTGTATATATGAAGGGAAATTACCGCTCCCCGGATTTTGATGTCGCAACCATGGACAAGATACCCCTTTTCCATCTCGAAACCGATTCGACTTTGATCTACCATGTCACGCATATCAGGGATTTGAGACCAAACGGACCCAGGGGAATCGCCCACACAATCAAGAGAAAAACCGACGGCGACCGTTGGAAATACTCGGCGGTCTCACCAGAGAAGGATGGCGTTCGGTATCTCGAGATCGAGACCACATCGAAGATTCTAACCGATGCCTCCACGAGGCTTGTTTTCCGAAGCACCGTTGACGGCGAGCTCGACGCCATCTACTTGAAGACAGAGGTCCAGAAGAATCGCAGAACGGCAATAGTGGAGTACCAAGGAAGGAAGATCGGAGAAATTCTACAGCTCGGCAGCGACGAACGGCCCAACTTCAGTCTGGTCATCGACATCCCAAGAGTCGATCCACTCCTCTTCGCCTGTCTTGCCTATGTTTTGGATGACCGCTTGATGACTTCCAGGAGACGGCTGAGACGGCCTTTGGGTGCAGGATTTACCGGTGTTGGAAAAGGCCCAGGCGCTGGTCTGGCTGGAGCCTACGCAATTGGCGGAATGGGCTGAATCCTCTCTTGGAAGAAGCTGTTGCGTCACTTCATCTCTTCAAGTTTCTGAATCCGAAGACGGCAAAACCCTGTCAGCAAGACAAGGATGATCGAGCTCCATCAGTTTCCTGGGGCAGAACTGCGGGCATCGCTGACCACTTTTGAGCGCAAATGTGGCTGAGAGACTAGCAAACAGCGCCGACTCTTTCCTCAGGGGGACAACTATATACGAAACTTCCTCTCATCTGAAGATCAAACTCAGTCCGAGCTTGCTGTGCAGGTGGCACCACCAGCCCATGCATGGGATCAGTCTGAACACTTTCGCTACTCAACATCACGGGTGATCTCGAGAAAAAGTCGGCCACTCCCAGCAACAACGATTACTATGTCCCGGCCTTTCTACGCAACTACCTCTAGAGAGTAAAGGTAAAATAGCGGAGACAATAACCAATTTCAACGACATCAGAATCCATTCGCTGAAGACGCTATCTCAGCCACCGGGCACTACATTAGCATTGATCGTTGCCCTCAAAGAACATTTTTAAGTCGAACTTCAAGTGACGAAGGCACTAGAAATATTCAAATCGACAAATGATTGTTCCAAGACTGTCAGATTCTAATTATGTTGTAATTTTATATCGAGTACATTTATTTATTGCAGTGATAACTGCTTGAATGTGATTAGCCCCACGCACATCGCTCTGAAATGTCTTCCGGGTATCAAAAGTCGTAGCGAACGGAAATATGGACGGCCCAAATATTTGTCGTGTAAACTGTATCGACCTCCGTGGTCGAAATTATGCACATCGCCTACTTTCTCCGCTCCTTCAATTACTATACTCTCCCCTCATATTTCATTAGGTCACGTGATCAGGCTCCCTAGGGAGCTGAATCGGTGCTCTGCTCAGCAGCAGCACTGGTGTATTGTCGAAGGGGCTGGCGATCCTGAGGAGCACTAGGCACGGTGCTCGAGCTCCTTCTCAGCTTCGGTGCTCTCGCTGTCTCGGGGGACATCAGCGGCCGTAGCGGGTGCGGGCGTGATCTCACCGGCTTCGGCTGCATCGACGGTGCCGGCCTCTCTCCTGATCTTCGCAATTTCTTCTGCCGAGGGTGGGATCCACTTGGAGCTCTTCCACGGCTGGACACCCGTGATGTACATGGTGTCGATCTCCTCGAGTGTGCGGCCTTGACCTTCTATGACGAAGAAGTAAATCAACAGCACACCGACCAGGTTGCAACCGGCGAACACGTAGCCGTACAGGAAGTCGATGTCGCCGGTAATGAACGGTGTAAAGAAGGCGATCAGGAAGTTCCACCCCCAGTTGCTTGCCGTGCTGAGTGCTAAGCCTTTCCCGCGGTAGCGACTTGGATATAACTCAGCGCAGATGGTCCAAACCTGGAACGACATGTTAGTGTTTCGCTCTTGTTGCAGAGAACGGCTGGTAGAGCCGGTGGAGGTTTGCACATACCATTGGTCCCCACGTAGTAGCAAAGCCTGTTAAGAGATGAACATTAGAATCATCCTCAAACCTATGCAAATGTGAAAGCGTCTACGAGGAGCTTGGGCGCAGATTGTGAACAACAAGGGTGTGGGGCGGAATAACTCACCAAAAATGAAGAACGATGCGATTACGATCATAGCTGTGCCAGTAGACTCGGTGGCTTGAGGATCGTCACGGTTGAGGGAGAAGTGTCCGACATTGGCAAAAATGAAGAACATGGCGGACATCCACAGGCCTCCAACCATCAGTGATTTGCGACGACCATAATGCTCGACAATGTACAGGCCATAGAATGTGGAGCCGAAGTTGATGCCGTTCAAGATCATCTGGGTGACATAGGAGTTGTTGATCCCAGTAGCCTATACGCAATAACCGTTAAAATTTCGATTCCGTGAGACGAGAACGCTTGCTTACCTGGAAGATTGTAGTGCCATAATAAAAAAAGTAATTTGCACCTAAAGCTGGTTAGAGAAAAGTTTTTGGGAATATTTGTCGATCTTCGCACCTGTAAGCTGCTGAAACATCTGTAGGAGCATCCCCAAAGCGATGCGCTGGCCCATTTTTGGGGCGGAGAACATATGAACCCATTCTCGGACAAATCCTTCTTGAGCAGCTTCGGCACGTAGTTTTGCTTCGATCTCTTCCAGCTCCAGGTGGACGCTATAGTGGTTCGGTGGTGCTCCGTAAACCTTCAGCATGGTTTCCTTGGCTCTCTCTGTCTGGCCTTTGCGGAAGTCGAAGCGAGGAGTTTCGGGGAACAACAGCACGCCAGCACCTAAGATGAGTGGCCAGATGAACCCGACGCCTAGTGGGATTCTCCAGGACCCAGAATTGCCGCGTTGGTGTTCGTACGTTCCAAAATTAATGCAAGATGCGAAGAAAATACCAAAGGTGATCTTGTGTGTATTGTCAGTGTCTCATCTCCATGCACAAAGGGATCAGCGCTTACGAAGAGCTGATAAGTGGAGATCAGGGCACCACGAATATGACGAGGAGCCGTCTCAGCTAGTTGTTGTTAGAATATATGCTTCGCAACTGTTAGATGAGCTTGCTTACCCATGTACATCGGCACAAGCAAAGACAGCGAGCCCACGCCGAGACCAGCCACAAAACGACCCATCATCATCTGGTACCAGTGGTGATCAGACGAAATCATGACTATATTGCCCACGCAAAAGATTCCACACCAAAAGGTCACGCTAGGCTTTCGACCGATGATATCTGCAATGGGGCCGGCGATCAGGGCACCGAATAGTGTACCAACCGAGAGCTACGTCTGTTAGTACGTGGGCTCGCGATGAGAGATCTCGGCACTTACCAAAGCGACAATCAGACCGGCCCGGACATTGCTAAAGTAGAAGGTACCGTCGGAATGGCGCTGACCAAAACGCTCTAGAAAGTCTGGCATTTCGAGGAAACCCGAAATTTGACCTGTGTCATAACCGAAGATAAACCCACCCATCGAGATAAGAATGCCCATCCAGAACGATGGCCATGTTATCCGGCGCAGAGGAGAATAGTCCAGGTCCGCCAGTGACTTTCTCGCATCCGTAGAGTGTTCAGAACGAGGGTTATACTTGTCATATTGAACCCATGTGGTCAAGCCAAGCGACTCGCGAGTCAGCTTTGGCCTCGAGAATTTGGGAGTCTTCAAATAACCCATCTTCGAGTTATTTTGGTGTTCGTAGTCTGATCGACGTGAAGCCTTTGAGAGATTCGCCTGGGACCCGTTTGGTTCTTATACACGGGCATTTCCTCCACATGACGAAAATCATTACACGGCACGTGGACCTGCAAGGGGTCGTTCAGGTTACCTCGAACAGCGGAGAGGCGCGGATGCGACAACGTGAAGTATGGGGATTCTGCATCAGATGTCCAATAAGATGGCAAAATGAGTGATTTCTCCAGTTGTTGTGTAAGCAGGATTCTAGTATTCAATCGAGTGACGTCAAAGCAAGGCTCGCTTGCCACATACTTTGTGTTTTCTTCTTCCTCGATCTCATATTATCGTCCCGAGCTCGAAGAAATGCACGGCAAACACATGGTATAATGAATGCCGTGAAGGCTTGCACACCAACAAGCAATCGACAAGCAAGTCTTATCCATGGGCCCACGGAATATTGACCCATCGCTGTACACTGCCAACCGGCTTTGGCTTTGAGAGACATTCCAAGTACGAGCCCAGGTAGTCTTGTGGGGCAAAAATCATGGCAACTTTTGGTCACGGACCTACCGGAAGGGCGCGGACTATTCCAACACTGTCGACATTTGCTTGTCAGCATCAACGTAAATCACTTGACCTATGACGACGTGCTCGTGCAAAAAGGGAAATGAGATCGAACATTCTGTTCACTCATGCGTCGCCATTTGAATTTCTCTCCCCACGGGGAACTGTTACCATAAGTTGAAATTTTGTCACAAGAGCTTATGCCACAGTTGGTAATCGCCCGCAGCTCGCACTACACAGTTTGGGAAATTGTTGCCCAAGCTGTTCAACTGACTGGCGGGCACAGCTCGACCCATTGGGGAGTTCCTGGTGACTACTGGTGGTAGGCAAGGCTGAAGTTGGCGATGACGCATGTGAGGCGTGGGAGGGTGGCATGAATAGTATGGATGAGTAAAGCTTGCTTTCGTGCTTAAAGAAAAGTCTCGCCATTCACAACTCGTAATTACATCCACTCTCCTCGTGCTTGCGAAGTCGGATGTCGGCAAAGTTGCGCTCCAAGCCTCTAACAACCGGCCGGCCCTGGGCGTGAAGGCCTTGGCAATGATTTCACTCGGCTCACCCGATATCGTATGAGCCGAGTTCCAACTGTTGACAGCGAGACCATGTATTGGGCAATTCGCAAAACCACCACGCTATCCCACTCCCACCACCTCGGTATATCGGTACCCGTCATAATCGCTGACTGCCGATCACAACAGAGATCACGCATTGCACAACACGGATATGCCCTCAGTACCTCTGAATACCGAGCAAACAGCATCTATGGGTCCCTCTCACCACGATCACGCGATGATTCTCTGAGAGGGCCTGAGCGCTTCCGAAGTTCCAGGGCTGGCCCTTGACATCTAACGGGAGTCGATCAAAGTTGGCAGCCTGGGCCCTGCTGGCCGCTCCCTGATACTGTCACAAGGAAAATCGCCCCATCGAACTCTGAAAGCCGCCTATTGAACTAGCCAACAACGTGACATCTTGTGACTGCGACATCTACTGTCGCCGCATCTGGTCATAGGAAGCTTCTTTCCACCTAGGTAGCTATCAACACCGTGTTGCACGTTAAAGCCCCACTCCGTACCAATATGCCTGTCAAAGAGTGCAGGAGTACCCAACCCCGGCACACTCCCAGTGCGAGAACGCCCACATTTTTCCCTGTCACCCCTGGAATCTTACTCATGGTCTAGCCCAAGGTTCGCATTTCGTGAAAAAGAAAAACTAGAGGATTTGCTACTGCAGGTACTTCGACCTGGCATTTGGCATTGGAACTGCCGGCATACGGACAAGCCGCAGGAACTCCCCTCTGGAATGCTGCGAATTGTTGGGAAATGCTAGGTTCCTTCTAGAGAGCGCCGTGTCGCACATTCGGAGGACGATCGTACCGAGCATCCCTGGTGAATTAACACATATGCTCGTCCAGAAAATCCTGGGGCTTTGATGCCGCAAGTATGAGATCGATTTGAGAGATCCGTTATGCGACTGAATAGCCTGTTCCAGGGTGGCATTTTGGAATTATGGTCAGGCTGTTGCTTTGGGTTACCTGATGACTATCAATGAAATACAATTGACCAGCCACCTTCCTCCAGAAAGGGTCATCTCAGCTAGGACGCCCATTCTGTCTGAAATGCTGGGAAACGGTCGCTCCGCTCTCTCGCGTCAGTTTCAGAATTTGCCTCGATGGCATGTTGAATCGCTGTGAAGGCCGTCGAATTGCGCTTTTGAGTTTGCAACCAAGGCCACCTAATACACTTTGTTTTGTGACAACCATCCCAGGGTATCCTCTAACCTATCTAGTGCGAATTTATCTTCTCAGAAGATCGCTGAACGACGAAAAGAGATAATGAATGCTTCCTCCTTGGTTGAGGCGAATGTGGGACCATTTTCTCCCCCGGTGGTGCCTGTTGTGAGAGGTACAAAGTTCACGGATGTTTCTTTTTGTCCCGACATAGTAATATACAATGCTGCCCAAGAAAACCATTATGGATCCCGTTCTTGGTAGTGGCAGACATTTGAGAAATAATCTCGTCCCTGTACCAAAAAACTGGCCAAGGTGTACCCAAAGGAGCCTGCCTCGAGGACTAGGCGTCTTGGTAGCTGATACTCCACTCCTTTGTTGTCTTGATGATCATGGCTTTACTTCCATCACTGCCATGACTTAAAGCACCATCAGAACCAAGGCTATCACTCCTGTTTCTCCCCGTTCTCGAGCTATCCTTCATAGCGGCAGGCCCACCTCTGACACTGTGTATGATTCGATTGCTCGTCAGTGCTCGTCCAATATCGTCTCTGCCGCCTGCTGCCACGTTGTTTGTTCCATGGCTGGGCAAATCTAGACTTTCACCTCGGATCTCGCTTTGCATGTGCTGGCTTCGCACTTGAGAATTGACTTTGCTCTGGCCCGTCTGGCCCATCAAGTAGCTGTCGTTTCCGTAACCAAACCGTGCATCACCTTCTGTCATGACTCCGGACAGATAGCCTGCCTGAATTGATTCCATGAACGGCCTCAAATGCGGTACACAGGACGAGAAGACGGCAAAGAACAGTTCGAGAATTGTCGCAATCGTCGGCAGCCAGCTGTCAAACGTGATGTCTCCATCCCGGTTGAAGAATTTTTCAAGCTGTGTCAAGCGCCAGACCGTGCACCCCACTCCCAACAGACGGAAAGAGAACGCGAAACAGACAGCAGTTTTCTTGTTCACAGACAGCTGAAGGTTGTATACTAGGTACACAGGTAGCATCATAAGTGCAGCGTCTGTGATGATGTTGATTACTCCAAACGAAGTCCAGAATCGCGTCTGCTGAAAGCAGGTCCCCGTGGTGATCAGATAGGGGTGGGGAAGCGAGCATTGAAATGCGCTGCTGAATATAGAAGAGATAGCCCAGGCGACAAGGACTCCCCCAATGACCAACATAGGGGCACGGTAGCTTTTGTTCGGAGCAAGGGCGAGAAGCAGAGACAGCGTCGATAGCTTGGCCAAGCAAATACCGAGCACGTAAAGAATGTTCCACACATATCCTGCTTTTTGGAAGTTGTCGTAATCGTCGTTCCTGGCGGTCGACAGTTCCGATCCAAGACCATGGCTAACTTGATTATTGACCGCGATAGTAAATCCAATCGAGAGCAACTTGCAAGAGAGAAATCAGCACGACTGGAGTAGCGAATGGCGAACAAAATGCAGAATTTGTCCATACCAGAGCGGCAATGACAACAGAGTCATTCCAAGTGAGTCTTCGCAAGACCAGAAGTTTGCTGACAAGAACCGTAGTCACCGCCAGACACATCGTTGTTAAACACACCCACGAGACGAGATTGACCACTGGACCCTTTTTGTCTGATGCAATGAGGGGCACGCGGGCAATCAGAGCTTGTAGGAGGCCCATCTTGAGCGACAAGACGATGACTGTAAGCTCTATGAACAGATGTCTAGAGACGTGTATTCATGTATAGCAATGGAGTGAAAATTTGGCACTAGAGCTATCATTCTGGCTGTCGCGCCGCTTACGATGAACAAGTACGAGCGAAAGTGACGAAGGCAGTCTCTCTGAGAATTAGCACGATCAAAGCTAGATCCAAAACACTATGCAGCTGGAGGAGGTGATAAGTGGTATGTAGTTGAAAATTTTCAGTATGGCCTGCTTCAAGAAAGGGAAACAGGGTCATGAATCATGATCCCAGTTGGTCTGCATTCACTACCGACCGTGCCCTGGTTTCCAGCTACCAATCGAGGCTTCCCAAGGGTTGTTGGCAGACATGTTGGAAGTTGTGAGGAGCGAAGCCTGCAAAGCAGAATTCCGCTTGCCACTCAGAGCACGGCGACGGATAGGCAAGCCTAAAGATCTAGACGTGCGTGACGCATATAGTGTCATGCCAATCAATCCCGGGCAGCGGTGGTAGTAGAAGTAAAGTTGAGAAAGCTGGGGGGAACGCGGACATCCGAGCGGCTCGCAGGGGTATTACGGCCCGGAGCCAAAACGGGGCCCAGCCATGAGGCCCACTGGGCTGCTAGCTAAAGCCTAAGACGATCCAGTTCTTAGCAGATCATCCACCTCAAAGAAAGCCAGGACTTAGCTTGTATACTTGCCCTCGGAGTCTGCGAGGATATCAAGCATGTCCGTCGTGAGGAGCAGCTGCTTTGGAGGCAATCAAGAGAGTCGTTTGAGACGGACATATCTAAAGAGTCACCACCAGAATGGAAAGCAGGTTCGTCCACATTCCGGAGTAAAATATCTGCCCGGAATTTTCGAGGTCCTCGCGTGTCCTGCGACTGAGCAGGAGGAGCTTCCTGATTCCTGGGCCGATCCGATGCCACTGCAAAAGTGCTCATCTCGGCTAGCACCTCCCTTGCGTTTGGACCATTTTCAGAGACATTGGCACCCACACTGCTTTAGTGTTGCAGGTGCGCAGAAGGCTTCAAGGCCGTCGTCACGCCCTCAGGCCACATGAAACTAGGTTTCAAGAGCGAGTGCCGATAGCCAGTTCGTTGCTTAAATCATGGAGAGTGGAACCGAGATAAGCATCCGCCGAACATACTGGGCTTCAACGATCAGGGATCAGGTTGATCGATGATGACCTGCCCGTTTTGGATGCTCCAGGGCCTTGCGACATTCGTTAGTATTGAAATGGGCATGGGACATACGCACTACGACAAATAAGGTCCGGGAGGCGCTCACCAATGGGCTTATCTTAAGCAAGCATAGCAAGTGCCGGGGCTTGTTTTGTCGATCGCTGAGCTTGCTTCTTCTCAACCGTTTGCTCCACTACTTACGTGCCTGTGCCTGGGCTAGGCAGGAACATACTTCGCCCCAGCGCCAGTGGCATGCAGTTTGAGGGAGAGCATGCATGGAGACAGTTCATTCTTCCTGGCTGTGGCGGAGCTTTCGAATACCTGCTGTCCCGGAATCTCATATCGTGTTGGAGAGCATATCGAAGCAACGTACCCTGGACCTCGCGCAGAGTGCCGAGTACCAAGCAAGGTGGAAACCGCGTCCGGCGTAGCATGTGGGATTGGGTGATTGGAAACTGGGCGTGTTTGGGACCAGGAGCTCCACAGCGGCAATCTTCTGATCTTTCACCTGTAGTTGGTCTACGCTACAAGAACTACCCATGTCGCGAGCATGTTCTGGGCAACATGAAATTCGAACTGTCCTTCGCAGATCATCATCTTTAGGACTCTTCAAAGACTGTCCTTGCTCGATGTGCTAGGAACGACGGAGTCGGTGAAATGGCTCAAAAGAAAAAAAAAGCCACGATCTATCAATGTCGTGATTAGATCGACTGAGATCAAGGATCACGAGAAGGCGTTGATATCCCTTGCAGTGGGCATGATACGAGGTACATTATGCAACAAGTGGATGATAATTGATCCTAGCCACTAGCCTGGCATGTCCACGCCTGGAGAGGAATCACTTGCTTGTTCATCATGAGCGCTGATTCAGCCACTGTGAGAACACCTTCGGCAAGGACAATTCGCTCCCCCTGAGAATGCCCTTCACCGGACCGTGCAGCGTTCGCAGTTGGGATTTAGACCCTGGGTGGGTGCCGGAAAGCTGGTTAGCCGATGTGATCATTCTACCTCCCTGTTAGCATCTTGGTTACCTCGTATCCACGCATGCATGCATGCATGCACACACCTACCTGTACTCCGTACTCACATCACCCCAGGCTGCAGAGCAACCTTCCCTTGCGTGCTTCGGCTCCTAGTCAAACATCAGCCTGCTCCTTCTGAATACCTCCGAGCTTGAAAGAGAACATTGAGCTAGCCGTCAGAAGACATGCCAGTGTCGACACTAGCTTCCTTCGTGTCCGGAGGTTGTTGGTTTGGATTTTGAATTGATTCGAAGCTCCTCCCCATTCAAGTGTTATCATCATAGACTGTGACACATCTTGATCAAGTTCAGCCTTCATGGTGATTATCAGGCACCTCTCGTTCGCTCATCTTTCCTGTGAACTGCTTCATCGTGATTTCCACCCAACAACCTCTTGTGCTTCCAAGGCACCATATATCGAGTATTGGCAACACCTTAGCTTGAAGATCCTGTCAAGATGGCGCAATCTTACGCTATGAAAAATGGCAGTAAATTTGCCTCTGGGATCCATCATTCGAGATCATCCTCCGATGATGCAGGAAGTCCTGGCATCAAGTCAATCAATCGAGATGAGGAGGAATTAGCAAGACTGGGCAAGCGTCAGGAGCTGAGAGTCAGTAATTGTGAGATACCAAAGTCAGAGGCTTTGAGCTGATCTTGATGTAGCGAAATTTTGGCTTCATGAGCATGCTGGGATTTTCGTGCGGGTTGATGATAACCTGGGAAGGCTTGCTCACGGTCTTTGTGTACGGTTTGACAGACGGCGGTCCAGCGGGTCTGGTCTATGGCTATCTGTTCTGCTGGCTGGGTTATTTTGCCGTGGTAGCAAGTCTGGCTGAGATGGTCTCAATGTACGCTCGGGTCGCTGTCCAAGGCATCGGCACTCCACTGACATGAGCAGGGCACCCACAGCCGGCGGCCAATATCATTGGACATTCCTATTCGCACCGAAGTCATGCAGAAACTTTCTGTCTTTCATCACAGGCTGGCAATCGGTTCTATCCTGGCAAGCTTGTTTGGCCTCAGCTGCATATCTTGGAGGTACCATCATTCAAGGCTTGCTGGTTCTCAATTATCCAACCTACAATGCGCAGAGGTGGCAGGGGACACTTCTCCTATATGCAGTTATTTTCATCGCAATGCTCTTCAACACATTGCTGGCCAAGCAGCTTCCCAAGGTTGAGGGAGCAGTCTTGATTATCCACGTTGTTGGATTTTTCGGAGTGCTCATTACCTTGGTCTACCTTGCACCGCATGGCAGCCCTCACGACGTCTTCGTTCTGTTCTTGAACAATGGTGGATACGATAAGGGTACCTCGTTCTTCGTTGGCCTCATTACAACTGTTTTTGCGTTTGTGGGAGCCGATGGAGCAATTCACATGTCGGAAGAGATTAGGAATGCATCCACTGTGGTCCCGCAATCCTTGGTCGCTTCTATTGGGTTGAATGGAATCCTAGGATTCTCCATGCTCATCGCCATTCTCTTTTGCATCGGTGACATCGACAATGCTTTGTCAACACCAACAGGCTTTCCCTTTATTGAGATTTTCTATCAAGCGGTGCAATCAGTTGGGGGCGCCACGGCCATGTCGGCCATAGTACTATCGTTGATGATTTTTGCCTCCATTGCAGTTTTGGCTGCGGCCTCTCGGATGATGTGGGCCTTTGCTCGAGATAACGGATTGCCAGGATCAGGTTTCATCTCTCGAGTTGAGCCGCGAACCAAGCTACCACTCTATTCGATTGGCCTGTCGGTGATCATCACTTTACTGCTTGGGCTTATCAACATCGGCTCTTCGGCCGCTTTTAACGCAGTTGCTTCACTTGTCGTCTCCGGCTACCTTGGTAGCTATACTCTACCAATGATCCTGTTACTCCACAAGAAACTCACCAACCCATCCTCAATTCACTATGGGCCTTGGAGCCTCGGTCGGCCGCTGGGGCTTTTCTGCAACATATTTGGTCTTATCTGGATTGCTGTTGTGATGACATTCAGTTTCTTCCCTGCCGTTAGAACTGACCTGACTGCGCAAACCATGAACTGGTCCTGCCTGCTCTGGGGTGGTACGATGATCCTAGGCATTTTGAGCTATTTTGGATACTTACGCGGCAGATATAATGGCCCTGTCATTGAGATCGATATCATTGAGCAGGTCCATGGTGTCTGATTCCACAAGGCCTGCACATCATATCGGTAAGGCGGGAATAGGTAAAGCAATTTTGCAGGAGTTGTAGCTTGAACCTCTTGAAGCACCGACGGGCTTCTTGTGCATGTGAACCAGGACCATCACTTCAGGAGCAAGTAGACTGCTGCATTAGGAGGGCGGATCAGGTTGGTCGATGCTTAGCCCGCTGGTACAAATGGGCTCGGCTCCTAGGACTGCCTTCTTTGCGGCGATCTGAGTTGCGAGAGAACATTCAAAGAGAATACTTTTCATCGCAAAAATATCAAGCTCAGTGTGAATTGCACGTGTACGCATGTAATAAACAAGAATCCCACAAGATTAAGATAGCCACAAGATTGTTGTTAGGGCGGCTCATTCCCATTCTTTGATAGACCTTATGCTGGGAAGTTCAATCATCACTAGTCAGATACAACACTGTTCCATTCTTGCTAGAGGGTGCGCCCCATGGCTGCCAGAAGTTAGAACCAAGACCATGGTCGGGAGGCCAAAGAAGGCTTGAAAAAGAGATAGGATCGATGGATCTTTCACAGATGCAGTTAGCATGCTCCAAGGAGCTACTCGACACAGAGTAGGCCAACTCGCAGAGGCAAGTTGCCAAGACCGGGTGAAAAGGGGTGACCTTTGCAAGGCTGATCCTTGGCTCGGCAAACATTCCACTTCAGGACCACGCGTCTTCTCTGAAATATGAAACACGATCGACAGGGCGTGGCAAGGACATCTCAACCCCCTAGGGGTATGCCATTGATTTTTCTTTCTGTATGCCTGTCCTGTGCCACTGACGGAGAGAACAAGGGCATGTTAACACCAAGTCAACCCCCACCCCACCCCTCAAAAGAAAATCGAGCCTGCTGATCAACGATTGGTGTCGTTGAGATGCTAATCTCGAAATTCTCCCCTTACCACCGCTTCCTGCATCAGGCTGTAGATCAAATCCGTTCGTGCTGTCGTCCTCTGATCCTGCTCAATCATGTGAGAATGTGGACTTCTGTGGGGAACACATACCCACAAAATCTACAACACTGAGCCACAAACGTGCGCACTATCTGTATGATACGTTAGACAAGTCAACATGTTCCCGCAGATGGCGTCTGAACCATCCCTGTCTGTCTCAGAGGCTCTTCATATGGACATCTTCTAGATGAAATGAAATTTATGCTCCTTTACAATCTACAGAGGTATGTGGCTTGGTGATTACTTTGATAGCAATATGCGTGCTTCTAAGGTAAGCTCGTCACGATCGAGCTTAGAGGTCACTTCCGAAAACCCTCTTCCAAAGAGCGGGTTGCAGAAAGACGAAGAGAGTCAGAATGACGCTCACTGGCCGAGTTCGCCTGCCACGACTATCCTTACCACACCGAACTCAGGAATTTCTCCTCGGCAACTTCTCAGACTTCTCGGTCGGCTTTTATATCTACTGGCACCGAATTGTCTTCGTTTGTTTCATAAGAATGGAATGCCACAAGTCGAAAAGGCGTCATCAACGGCTTTTCTCGACGGCATGCGTGGGATGGCGGCCTTTGTGGTCTTCATCTGTCATTTGACATATGGTACCTTCGACATCGGTCATGCTTATGGCGCAATACCCGAGGGAGAGTCTCCGAGAGATTCTTCCCACGGTTCCTTGCTTCGACTTCCAATAGTTCGTCTCTTGTATTCGGGGCCCCCAATGGTGGCGATTTTCTTCGTCATTTCGGGCTATGTCTTGAGCTATAAACCGCTAAAGCTCATGCGTGCCCAGCAGTACGAGTGCCTGATGCTGTCTGCAACATCCACCGTCTTCCGACGAGGCTTGCGATTGTTTCTGCCCTGCTTTGCTTCGACCTTTTTGGTCGCAATCCTGGCACAGCTAAACCTTTACAAGATCACGGAGGCATTCTCGGAGCAGATGCGCGGTATCAGAGAGGACCATTGCTACACGCAGCCCGATCCTTGGTCGCAGTTCACGGACTGGTGCCAACAAATGCTAATCTTCACCAACGTCTTTGACTGGTCGCTGTATGGTGGGTCCATTGAACTCGACCGCCATCTGTGGACCATCCCCGTTGAGTACCGATGCAGCATGGTGTTGTTCTTGACACACATCATGGTCGCAAGAATGCCACCCAGGATAAGGCTATCTGTCTTAGTTGGGTTGATGGCGCTGGGCGCTAACTGGAATCGATGGGATCTTTGTCCTTTCTGGGCAGGCATGATCATCGCAGAGTTAGACCTCATCAGTATTGAGCAAACGTCAAACAGATTGTCCTTCTCAGCCTTGGCCACAAACACTTCTGATCTCAAGGAAGCCCGTTGGCACATTGCATCTACTACCCGTCAGCCAGGGAAGGGCCCCATGGATGCAACCTACTGGTTGCTCTGGGCTTTATCGCTCTTTCTGCTGTCCTACCCGGATGCAGCCGGCCACGCTACACCAGGCTATGTCACATTGACCTCTCTCATCCCAGCAAACTTCACACAGATGCACCGGTTCTGGCCAACTGTCGGTGCTATTCTGATCGTCTTGTCAACCTGCAATTTAGACTTTCTGAGGAATAAGATCTTCTGCTCGAGGCCATTGCAATATATGGGCAGGATCAGTTTTCCTTTATATGTCATGCATGGTCCTGTTATCCATACTCTTGGCTATCTGGTATGCACCTCCCTCCGGATATTCTCTCCAGATGGCTCAACTGACATTCGTATAGATTCTACCCACGACTATAGCTCGAGCGACGCCCGACGCAATGCGAGATTTCGAAATGGCATTTTTCAAGTCCTCCCTCGTAATCATCCTCGCAGTCATGTGGGTATCGGACATCTTCTTGCGTATGGTCGACACGCCCTGCGTCATTCTCGCCAGGAATCTGGAGAAGAGAATGTTTCTTGAGTAAATGAACATTCTGGTATTACAATATTGTGGACCGTGAAGACTACTGAGTACGTGGATCACACATTAAGGACGAAATCCTCTTGTCGATACCAAATTTCAGAGTTTCAGCAGTACTACCTACTTTTCATCAAGTCAATCCTTTCTGCTCTCGGTTTCAATCCTTGAAGTCGGTGCTCTCATACACCTCCCTATAGTCCTCTGCGGTCTCCTGGAGGTCAGCAATAAATGCTCGCAATTGAGCTCCAGTGTCTGAACCAAGGGGTAGTCTGAGGCGTCGTTTACGGTCCACAAATAGGCCTTTCTTGGCGGCATACTCCCACACCCTCTCCGCCAGAATCGCCGGATCACCAGGCTGCTTGAGGTTATACTTAGAGAACGATCGCCTTGCATCGCCAACGGGGGTACTCTCGTACTCCGGCATTGCGGGTGCAAGATTCTGCCCCGCCGACGCAGAGGCAAGGAAATTTGTGCGGAAATAGCCCGGTTCGACGATCGCTGCCTCGATACCAAACGGTGCGACTTCTTGTGCCAAAGCCTCGGTGAGGCCTTCCAGAGCGAACTTGGTCGAACAATAGATCCCATTGCCGGGGAAGCCATGGAATCCACCAATCGAGCTGAAGTTCAATATCAAGCCTGACTTTTGGGCTCGCAGATATGGCAACATGGCGCGTATCACACGCAGAATGCCAAAGACGTTGATCTCGTACTGTTCTTTGACAGCTTCGTCACTGCATTCATGAATGAGATACCGCTACCAGCGACAAAGGAATGAACAAGACCTACCTGATCTCTTCGATACCACCCATGTATGCATATCCAGCATTATTGACCAAGACGTCGACCCTTCCGAACGCACCTACGGCTTCTTTCGCAAAGCCATTCACCTTCTCCTGAGACCAAGAGAGGTCGAATTTGATTGTGGAGACGTCGGGCCCCTGGAGACCCTCAGGAACCTTTTCAGGGCTCCTGACCGCAGCGATCACTTTGTCGCCCTCCTTGAGTGCTTTCAAGGCGATTTCGAGACCAATGCCGGTGTTCGCCCCAGTAATGAGCCAAACTCGAGACATATTGTCGATAGATCAGGAAAGCACGGTATCGAGACTGTGAAGTGTGGATGATGATGAAGAAGTGCAAATTGGAATAAACTTCCTCCCTTTCCGCCATGAGGTGGAAATATATTGTATAATCGGTAGCGCCAACGGATTTACCATGCGTACCATCGCTGTCTCGTTCAAGATACCAGCCCACCCTCGAATACGTCTGGCTGTGTTGAAACAGCTAGTGGCATTGCCAAGTCATAAAAACACGCAGGCGGCAGGCCCTGCGCCCTATGGCCAACTATCGCCGAGATGGGGCTGCTGTCCTAATTCGAAGACACACTTACATAAACACCAGGGCCCGAGGGGGGTGAAGTGTTTGGCGTGCGGCTTAGTCAGGTGGCTTATGTATGTACTCCACGGATACGAAGCGGGCGGGCGGCCGCTCGATATCGATCTAAAATTCGCTGTCAGTATCTACGAGTCGTTTAACTGTCCAAGTCATATATGCAAATGACGCTACAGGGCTGCAGAGCTCATCTGTGATACGAGACTGGTCCGGAAACGAAGTAAGTGAAGAGTGGCGCGGTCTGTATAGCTGGGAGACCACATGAATGTGCTTTCTACACGCGGAAGGCGCACCTCTTGGATAAGCATGGAATTCGATTGTGACAACATTGAGAAATATTGTTGGCCACGCGCGGCGCGGCGCAAGGCTGGTCGAGATCCCCTTCCCGTCAAGCCAGCCTTGGGAATGGGTCGTCGTGGCTGGTCCTGTCGAGTCTCGGGCGTGCTGACGACCTCGATGATCTTGCTTTTCATCATTCTAATGCATTGGTGCGAAGCGAATCAAACACGGCTCCGAGATTTTGCCTGGCGAATCTGAAGCTACGGTGTGTGTGCTCGTACTGTGGGGACAGTATTCTTTGCACGGGTGGCTTGTCAAGAGCGCTAAGTAGCAACTGTTGTCTGAAAGTGTGGATAGCAATGATTATCAACGAATCGCCATTCTTGCAATGATTAGGATCTACTTTTGACCCTCTCTATGTGAGGGCCCAAATGGCTAACAGGTCACATCCTTATGACCTGGCGTTCACAAAGTCCACCAAATCGAAGAAACTCTTCTTGAATCTCCTCTCCTGCGTGGTCCGGTTCACTGTTTGCAAGCCAAAGTGAGCTGAGTAGTCTCCAAACTCCCAATTGTCTGCGAAGCTCCATGCAAAGGCCCCGGCGACTTCCACACCATCCTCCCAGATTGACTTCAACACCTCTGACATATAGCTCAGGTAATAAATCGAACGAGGCGTGTCAAAGAGCTGATCGCTGAGGTCGATCTTCTCGTCTTCGGCGAAGACTGGAAACCCAAATTCTGTGATGATGACGGGCGTTTTGAACGTATTGTATAGATATGACAGGTACAGTCGCAGATAGGTCGGGGTGATGTAGACATATGACTGCGATCGGTACCCGATGTTCCAACCTGCAGGGTTGACAGTAGTTTGATTAACGCAATAAGGCGAATATGGACTCGAGGAATTCGTCGTGCATTCGAGTATCGAATCGATGGAATCTGGAACGGGCGGGGTCACTACAGTAGCAGTATATGGGTCTATACCGAGAAAATCAGCTGTTCCACCGATGTATGCAAGGTCCTCTGTCGTCAAAGGAACATAATCAGGAACCGTCTGCTTGAACGAGTCCGGATAGTCGATTCCAAGGAAGATCGGATTGCAGAATGTGCCCAGTTGGAAAGAATTGAAATGGTCAGCTGCATATACATCGTTAGGGTTCGAAGGATTGCGAGGAACGCCGAAGTTGTCGTTGAACTTTATGGAGATTTTGCCTGTACCACCCAGCGTTTCTTTGTAGAAGTGATAGACTTGCGCGTGAGCCTTGATAACATTGTTGACTGATTGGCCATTGTCCGAGTACAGCAGTGGCTCGTTGAATGTGAACCAGACGGGAACTCGGTCTGCATAGTGGGACATAGCTATCTTAGCATAGTTGACGAAAGCATCAACAAAGGTTTCATTCTGATAACCACCGTTGACATAGCCAATCAATGGAGGTTCTTGTGCCGCGGTAAGATTGCCCGCAAAGAATTGCAAAGGCGTGTCGAAATGAAACAGTGTCACTGTTGGGATCATGCCTTTAGCAAGGACGAAATCGATCAAGTCTGAGTAATGCTGTAATCCTTGCTGGTTGACGGGAGTTGACGGGAGCGCAAAGGGAAGTATGCGACTCCAAGCAAGACTGAAGGAGTAGTATTTGACGCCCATTGAGGCCAACCGTTCGACTTCTTGTTTGTACAGATAATAGTTCTCATTTGTAACGTAGTCTTTTGCCCTATCATCCTGAACCAAGATATCCATTAACGTCGGTGCCTTGCCTTCTTCAGCGGTGGCGCCTTCGATCTGCGACGCTGAGCCTGCTACTCCAAACATGAAGTCCTCAGGAAATTGATAACAGTCCGTCGGTCCAAAGTAATCTGCCGGAGGCAATATCAATTCATCTGTTGGAAGGGCGGTTGGTTCCACGGTCGTGCTGTAGAGTGCCTGCTCAGTAAAATTTGGGGGTTTGGCTGCTTCCCACAGTGCAGTCCAAGCCGCATTTCCATAAGGGTTGTTCGTATCATTCGCGGAAGATGTGGCATTGGGATCCCATCTGCCCCAGGTCGTATATGATAACGATGGGACCAGAGACGTCAGCGACTCTGGAGGGGGTGCGTACGTAGCGGCCATAGTTGGAGCTGGCACCGAGGTTGCTACTCGTATCGTCTCGCTCATCGAGTAAGCAAATGAGGCAAAGTGGTAGGCTGGTTGAAGCGATGATGCCGCTGTAGTGCATTGCATTCTTGGGGCTGGACCAGTTGTAGTGATATAGTATTGTTGTGCATTAGCTGATGACGCCCAGAGGGACTCTACAGCTAGAAGGAACAGCCACATTTTGAAGGTGTGCCAATTTTAGCCGCGACGAAGTTGAATATTGAATGCTCAATATAGTTGATCATTAGAAGAAATAGGTTGAACCAAGGCGAGGAGAATGCCTCCGAGGTTGTTTTGTACAGTAGGTACAAATCTGCTGGACTTATAGTTCCTTTCTTAGGCGGTAGCGATCCTAGAACATAAGCTTTTGCAGTCAATCCACGGCCACCGACGTCGTCCCATGATGGGAGCTACGACGTTGCTGATCATGCTATCCAGGATTGACGCTGTCTTCCCCGTTAGGGAGGGGGAACAACATCGAGAAGTGTAACGCTCTCCGCATTGCTGTTGCACATCGGTGGCGTCCTAGTTTTGAGAAATGGATGCTATTTCGTCATCGAGCAGCCATTATTCCTGTTTGAGCAAACTTTCATCGTCTTGCAGTGGAAGACTAAGTTGAGGGTGGTTGTCTTGGTCACTTAACTTAAAGCTTTTTGTCAAAGAGCTTCGCTTGAAGATCCCCCTACAGGTTGTGATCTGGGGGGAAAACCGTCGGTGTAGTGATTGAGCGAGGCGTGCCCCGCCATAATTACTAACTTACCTTGTAGCTAAGTTCTTAATGCACAGAAAAATCAATGCCAGCAGTTCTGTGGTGCCGAGTCGGTCTTCTCGAGTTAGCCTTTTGCGCGGTAAAAATGAACTTGTCCCAGTTTAATGTATTGGGCTGTGATACATCAAGTTGCAGCATGGTGTGGCTACTATTGATGAGACTGTGCCTAGATTATGTATCACGAGGATATGGTGTACGTCCCATGCACAACGATACACCGGGGTATTCACCATAGCTCCAGTAGCAAGAACCAGATGAGTTGATTGGAACGAAACTAGCAAAGAAGGAAAGGAAGTCGAGCAGGCGTCGATTTCGAGTGTTGGCGATCACGTGTCAAGGTCTGCCTATGTAGCGAGTGAGTCTAGTGTCACGTGCACGATGAGAACCTGGCTCACGACTCACAACTCTCCAGCCCCATGCCAAGATCAAGCACAAGCAGATATAATCATGAACGATTAGTCTCAGACAAGCAAGGCGAGAATTAGAAGGGGCTTGGGCCTGAGCAGGCTTATCAAGTTGTCTGATGTGAGGATGATCAGAACTACTTAATCCACCTTCGCTCGAATTAGGCATCTTGATCCCTTAGCCCTACAGACCGCCATAATGTGGGCTGCAAGTAACTGTCACCGCCACAGTCAGGCCAATTTCTGTGAGTGAAAAAGTTGGCCTACTCCGCCCAGATGCGACCTTTCCTCTGAGAAAAAGTACATCCGCCGCAGCTACTTCGCAACACGCCATCGGTCCTTTGCTCCGCGGGCCGGTCGAGACGGTTCCTGGTGGTTCCTGGGCACCCCTTGGGGTCCGCTGCACACCTGGGGGGCCAATGTTTAAGCTTAGATTGCGAGATAGGGGTCCTCCGGGGCACCCGCGATTCGTGAAGTGGCCGCCCCACATCGCTGACGCTTCTATGTTTGATCCCCTTTTTGCCTGAAGAAAAAGTTGTTCTATTTCCCTTCCCCTGCGCGTCGACTGCGTCAATTTCACGCTCCCTTTTCTCCGACCATTTCTTTCGCTTATAGTACCACCCACGTTCACTCACCGCAACCTCGTCACCTTCGCTCAGCACACTCGTTCTTCAGCAAGCAATAGACTCATAGACTTTGCAGTCTTCTTTTTCGTTTTCGTTTGCACCTACCCATAGACAAAACGCGTTCCTCTTGTCTTGCAATCCAGCCCAAGTCCTTCCCTATTACCTCGCGTCCCTGAAGCTCATCAACAACACAAACAAACCACTCGCATCATCAAGATGGCTCATTTTACTATCACTACCTTCCTCGCCACCACGGCCACTGCTGTTGCGCCCTTTCTGATTGTCTACAACATGCCTCAAAAGAAAACACAGCTGTCCACCTTGTCATCTCTCCCAAAGCCGCGCCCTCTCGCCGCTCTCCGCGACTCGCGAGAGCAATCGAAAGTCGGCTCTGAGTTCAGCCTCATTTAGACAGCTTTCTCGCTCTTTCGCAACTACACAACACCAGTCGTGTCTCCTCAGGCAGCAGTAGAAGTAGGAGTTCAGCATTCTATGGGTCGTGACTTGGGGTTGAAATAGAATGGTTCGGAGGATGGTTGAGCCTACATGACGAATTCATAGAACGGCATTCCTTTCTGAGGTGCTTTCCACACAGGATGGAGGAGTTATGATAATCACGCAGCTTTTGGTATTTTGGTATTGGGCATTTTCTCTTCGGCTGGTCTATCAATGTAATATTCTCCATCTCGCCCCTCGTGCATGGCTGGAAGCCAACCAAGTCGAGTAGCCTCCTTTACCAGTCGTCATCTCGGCTCCATCATGACATGATGGTCCATGAGAGACCGACTCCTCGTCCATCGCGTTTTCGTATTTGAGACTGAATCCTCGGAGAACTCTGGGCAGCAGAGCGATGTCCAGTCGCGTGTGTTCAAAGCGACGAACCAATTTCTATCCCGAACGCCGGCAGTGCCGCAAAAGCTGATATGATTGTTCCCGTCCCAGATCTTTGCAGACGCGAAAAATGCAACTTCGTGGTTAACACCAGAGTATCTCTCATCGCATGTACCTTGCACTCAAGTAAATAGAGTCTATCATGTAGACAAGCTGAGAGCAGGATGAAGGATGAACTCAACGTCGACAAGAAACGGAATCTAGACTTGTCCCATAGACACCATTTTCTTCCGCAGATGATTTTTGTACGCTCCGATCGAGCCATCCCATCGTCGTACAGTCTTGTTTTCGCATACCATGATATCTTTGGCAATTTTATCGAGTAATCTACACAAGCGGTTAACTGAGAATTCGAGAAGGCAAAGCAGTACAGCATACCTGAAATCGTGAGATACAACGACCACACCGCCCGAGAAGGCATTGATGGCATCTGCGAGTGAGTCGATGGTGGGAATGTCAAGGCCGTTGGTGGGCTCATCCAATAGCAACATGTTAGGACTCTCAATGGCCAAAAGAGCAAAAACGACTCGAGATCGTTGACCTTCAGACAATGTTCCCATCAATGCTGTTTGGGCTTCGCCAGAAAGACCATATCGGCCGAGTTGTTGTCTCCAGTATTGATAATCCTGTGAAGTCGAGGCATATTTGTCACGAACAAAGTCGAGGGCGGACTTGGTCAAGTCTAGTTGATCAGCAGAGTGTTGAGAGTAGAGGCCAAGTTTCAAGTGAGTATGTCTGCTGACACTTCCACCAGTGGGACTGAGTTTGCCAGTCATGATACGCAATAGTGTCGATTTACCGACACCGTTCGGTCCCACAAGAGCCGTTCTGCTGTCCATGTCCACACCGAGATCGAGGTGTTCGTACAGGTTGTCCTCCTTTTTTCCAGAATAGCTGAAAGTAACATCATCGAACGACAGGACCGGGGGCGGGAGTTTCTCAACGTCGGCGAATCTGAAGGTGAAGACGCGATCTTGTGCAACAGGTTGAATAAAACCGTCTGCTTCCATCTTATCCAGGATTTTTTGTCTTGATTTAGCCTGTCGGACCAAGTTTGCATATGTACCAGCAGAGGCAATGAACTTCTTGATATGTGCGATTTCGTCTTGTTGCTTGACATAGGCCTTTTGCTGGTTGACCTCTTGTTCAGATCGAGTCTTGACGTAAGAATCGTAGTTCCCACCGTAGTAGATCAATTTCTTCTCTCTCATATCGATCATGTTTGTGCAGACACCATTCAAGAAGTCCATAGAGTGTGAAACCAAGATCAGCGTCTTATCCCACTTCTTCATGTATTCTTCCAGCCACACACAAGCCTCAAGATCAAGATGGGCGGTGGGGTCGTCAAGCAGTAGCAGGGATGGCCTGACAAAGAGAGCCCTGCCGAGAGCCACACGCATCCTCCAACCACCGGACATGTCTTTGGTCTTTTTGTGGATGGTCTTCTTGTTGAACCCCAATCCAGTCAGAATGAGAGAAGCTCGAACTTCGAATGTGCTTGGATCCATTGCTTCAGAGCGCTTTTCAGGTCAGTAAATATTGCTGGTCAAGGGATGCAATACAAACCTCGTAGATATCCATCAACTGTGGGCTTTCAGGGCCCTCTTTCTCCAAGATCTCTTCCGCAAGATCATCCAATCTCTTGACTTCCTTTTCTGCCTCTTTGATAACCCATTCGAGTGCGCCCAAATCGGTCGGTGGGGCACCCTCGTTGAGGAGATAGATGTCGACATGCTCAGGGAAGGGAAATTCTCGCTTCTCGATAGCCTTCAGAAGTGTTGATTTGCCACATCCATTTTCGCCTAGAAGGCCATATCTTCGACCTGCGTTGACTTCAATAGTTGAGTCGGCAATGAGGACTTTGCCATGGAAAACCAAGGAGGCCGAGGTAATTTTGACATCTCGACTGGCCTCAAGAGAAGCGAGCACACCGGTTGTGACTCGATCGGAAAGGCCGTGTTTATCCATCTGCTCGGTCAGCTGCTTGACCTTCTCCATCTTATCGGCCCCGGTTGCGGGGACGTCGATTTCATCTTCATCGAGCATAGGAGGGTCATCGTCACCAGCTACCGATGACGCTTTTGAGCCGTTTGTGGAAGCATTTCTGGAGGCGGCTTTGGAGGAAAGTCTGGATGCAGCGGTTTTCTTGTCACCCTTCTCAGCCTTCTTGGCAAGGCGAGCGGCCTTCGATGAAGAGACTGGCATTTTGTCTTGTGAATTAGCAGAGGCCTGGGTGATGTTTTACTTGGTGAAGAATTCGTGCAGCAAGGCCAAACAAGAATTGGCGGGGTTCCCTTATCGATTATCGGTGCCTGCGACAAAGATACGGTAAGGGTGGGGTTCTGGGTAAGTCGATGGAAGAGTCTGTCGAAGGACTAACAAGACTCGAAGACGGGATCCAAAAGGCCTCTTGATAGCGTAGGAATGCCAAAGGAAAACAAAAAAGAATTCAGCGCTGGGGAGTGTAGAGAAAGAAGTAATGGTGGTAGTATTATTGGACTGCAAGTTGGTGGTTAGTGACTGAATCGTCGAAGGCAAGAAAATTTGGTTGCCGCTCTTTGATTGAAGGCTTGCGAGGCAAGACTTGAAAGTGGAGCCAAACCACGTCACACATGCCAAGCCTGATATCTTGCTGTTTTTACAGAGGAAGTCCGTCCTAGTCAAAATTAATGCCTGAGCCACAGAGAAGCAGCCTTTGCAAGCCAGGATGATATAGTAGGTAGGTGTCAGAAGTCATCTCAGTTCATCGATATTACAACCTATGGCAAAGTGAGCTCATATATCTCTTCCTCATCCCCTATGTCTTCTCAACTCGAAGTCGTTACTTGCTCTTTACAACAAGACCTGGCATGCTATGAAGGAGTGAATCGTAGTTGGACCATTCCAGGCAGGTTGCTTCTGTGAAAAAAAGAGTCGAGTCTTGCGAAAGTCAACTAGATGAAATTCATAAATCATGGCCCGTTTTCTCACCACCACTTTTAATACCATCCACTTGATGTCGCCGTTGCTGTTGCTGGCCAATCTCCCCAGGTCGTTGTACCATCGCCGCCGCCGCCGCCGCCATCACTACCTCCTGGTGCGACTTGGGTACAAGATCTTGTGTCTGTTACTGTAGCCGTAGTGGTCGTTGTCGCGCCACCTCGAGTGATCGTGTTGGTCAATGTCAATGTCGAAGTAACAGCACCACCTCCTGGGAGAGTAACAGTTCGCGTTTGGGTTTGGGTTTCTGCTTGAGATACGGCGGTCACCGTCTGTGCCGGTCCTCCGCCTGGTTGCGTGACTGTCACCGTCTGTGCTGGGCCTCCGCCTGGCTGGGTAATTGTTACAGTTTGTGCAGGGCCCGGTCGAGTTACTGTCTGGGTTTGTCCAGGTCCTGGAACTGTGACCGTTTCTGTTCTCACTCCACCTGGAATGGTGATTGTCTCCGTCCTCGTACTTCCAGGTATGGTTATCGTCTGTGCAGGACCTGGAATTGTCACAGTTTCTGTCCTTGCTCCACCTGGTTGGGTAAGTGTTCGAGTTATCGTGGTTGGCGGGCCTCCTTGAGTGACTGTTGATGTTACCGTCTGCCCTGGTCCAGGCTGAACGATGGTTTGAGTAATTGTTCTTACTCCCCCTTCAAGGGTCACAGTCAAAGTTGAAGGAGCCGGGCCTGGCAGAGTAACCGTAAAGGTTGAGCAACCATTAGTTCCTCCAGGACCAATAGGGGTGAGTGAAGTGCATGTGCCCGGCAGAACACTAGTTATCGTGGTTATGACAGTCGATGAGCAACCACTGTTGACAGGGTTGACATCTGTACTGCCCCCACCACCACCGCCGCCGCCTCCATATGAATCCCAGGTAGAAGTACTGCCATCCCCTCGGGCATGGAGAGGATTTGCAGAGGCCGGTAAGCTAGACCTTTGTCAGATAGAAATATGCGCTTCGAACGGAGCAAGGATAGAGAATTGGGTGGAGAGTGTCTTCCCACTTCTGTATACTCACCTAGAGAGAGCGCTGGCAAGAAGCCAGAGCTTCACAAGTCTTGACTGCATGATTGTAGACGATCCGAAACCTATTGGAATTGCTCAGTCGAACAAGTTAGACTGATGAATCCTGTCGGAATTGATGAACACAGTGAGATGGTGATCCTCTGCTCTGCCTTTATAGGCAATGAGTATGGACATCTGGGAAAACTTCGAGTCCGTCTGAAGATGCACGACAGGAAAGCAGGAACAAGTCGCTGTTCCTGATGTTGTGTTGCTCTGGCCTGCATGTTGAGTAACTTCGTTGCCAGTTGCCGCAAGTTGCAGAAAATATGATGCTGGGATCCCAATACAATGTCAGTTAGCAATCAAACCGATATTTCAATTTTAGTTAGGTTTGTGGTCTCCTCGTTCCATTTGATCCTGAAGGCGCTGCCAAATCAATCGTTTCTGGTTATTCTTAGAAAATATAGTTGGTAAAGTTTGAATCCAATACCAGGGTCCTGTCTAACCAAGTGTTGCACAGCAGGCAGCTTTACCTGTGTGTATTTGATTCTTGTTCTGGATAGCTGCAAGCCAGCGTCCTGGTCGTGCCTAAGGAAGCTACTTCCGGTCTAATCCCCCCTTTGTATCAAACATATTGTTGACACAATCGCAAGTTCTGAGCCTGGGTAATGCAGGAGCTTGTCGAGACTTACAGTGTGAGACAGTCTTGCTTTGCAAGTAGAGAAAGCATTTCCACCCTCGCCATGACTGTGTGCTGGTCTCGCCGAAGCCACAACAACACGTGCCAGGCTAATACGGGACATGGCTGTTTTCTAGGTCAATCAAGGAAGCAATTTGATGGAGATTATGATGTCGTGGAGCACTTTTGCTAAATAAGGCTGGCCGTTCATGGCTTTTGAGAAAAAGGCAGGGATGACTTGAACCAGCCATCGGAATGGAACTTTGCCCGAGAGAGCTCGTGTGACTGTTTCTCATGCGAAAGAACTCGATTAGTTCAGGATTTTGGTGATGAGGCGAGGTGCAGTGTACTTATGCAGTCGATCAGAAACTTCTCTCAGACCATTGGCTCGGTCTCAGGTTTTAAGCTTGATTGTTGGAATGCACCCATTTGAACTGGTATTGTACGAGCGATAGTGTGATCTTACATCAAGATGCAATCTCCGAGGATACTGGTTCTCCTCTAGAGAACCAACACACATACCATTCACAATCATGTTATTGTTGAACGGTATGAGAGCGTAGAAGAGGCTGGATAGCACATGTGACACAGTTCTGACGACATTGCTCAGGCTGGATTAAAATGGTACGACAGAAGCGAGGACTCCGCGGTCGCAACTGACATAGTCACGTTCTGTGGAACTGACAACGCCATGTCTTGGGTTGCAACGGATTTGCCTCCAGCGACATGCTCGTAGAGGATTTCGGAACGGAATGTCGATGTCGCTTTTCAAGGGCAAGGGTTCTGGTTCTGCACTCGATAGTACGCCTGGACCTTCAAAGTAGAAATTGTAATCAAGACCATAGATCGACCGACATTCAAGCATGGCCAACAAAGTCGCAATTTCTTGTCAAAATTAGACATGGGCAATAGTTTAGCTTAGAGGTCAGAGGTTCATTCAACATCGGCTGTGATCAAACTGCACCATACCTGAAAGCTCGCAGTCGCTTCGCAGTTGAGATGCACCGGCATCGCGCTTGAACAACTAATCAGTATCAAAGCGAGGAAACTCCTGTTTCCAAACTCAGCAGAGGCGACCCTCTTTATACGAACAAGCAAGAGTCTGCTCGTCCTGCTTGCGTGTAATTCGCACGTCACGGGATATTCAGCTTTCAGGAGCTGCAAAATGGTCAATGGACCTCATGCTCGACGAAACGCATACCCACCACCTCCTACTCAGTGTACCCATAAACGGTTACGAGGACTTTCCATTGTGTGATGCCACGTGAAGTCCATTAAACATTAAAGGAGATGAACGGATTGTAGGGCGTCCCCGGGTAGTACTGGTAGCTCAATTGGAAGAAATAGTTCCACTCGTTCAAATCATCTTCCGATTGATGCCAAGCCTTATACGTTGGAGCAGATAGCTTGATGCGCCACGTACTTCGAATATCATTGATAATCTGGCACTTGAATTCTGATGCTGTCCATTGTCCCTTAACATATATCATTCTTATTCATCTTTTCAGTATGAGCCTGAGATCGAAACGGGACGTACCCATCATTTCCAGGGATCGTGAGTCTCTGTCTCCGCAAGAATACTCACCTCAGTAGACAACAATATTAAGCGCCTAGGATTGTTCTTTTGTCTCGGCTCTGGAGAGCCATCTACCAAGTTGTTGTGGTGAGGAACGCAGGTCTATTGAAAAGCCGTGCCACCAGTAAGTTAGTTTTCTTTGGGCTGCGATGGCAACAGAAAAAGAGCCAGATCCAAAGCATGATGGGTGGTCGTTGTAGGCCGTGGAGGGAGGCCTAGCAGTGAAGCAGGCCTAGAAGCCACAGGTGTTGAGGTTCATTCAGGCAACTTGCTCCTGAGTGAATTTTGTCTTCTTCACTTTGATTTGAATTACACACCACCTTTTGAACACGCCTTGCACCTCAAACACCCTGATCTCTTCTCTTCCTGTTTCTTTATCATTCGATATCTCCTACCATCATCCATCACGCTCCCCTTCAATCAGCATTCGCTTCATCTTGTGGACCACCATCGCCTATCCTCAACCCTCACTTTTACTTCTTCTCTGTGCTTGACGCAGACAGAGCGACTTCTCTAAGACTCTAAGACTCCCTCTTCCCACTCACTCAGACGACTCAACATGGCACTGCGTACTTTGCCAGCTGTGACCTTTCCTGCCCCTACTGCTTTCCCAACCGTTGGGTACGGAGGTTCCTATTTTGACAAGCCAGCATTCAAAGTGCCTACATACGGCACTCGTCCGTACGCTAATATCACTTGGAGGCTGCTCGAGGACTATGCACGTGTCTTGGCCAGCAAGAATTCCGCCGATGGCATTGCGGCTGGCGTAGCTTGGGCAACCTTCATCTACCTGCTGGCCCTGACGCCAAACAAGAAAAGAACCTCGCCATTCCATACCTCCCTGATCCTTGGAGTTGCTTTTCTCCTGATCCATTTGATGATCAACCTCATCTCTCCTTGCATGACTGGCTTGAACAAATACTCGGCCTACGCTTTCCTGGTTGGGACCGAGAATGTCATCATCACTTCACGCTTCATATCAGTTCAGGCTGCAAGTTTGATTGCCGAGATCATCTCCTTCTGCTGTGCTAGCCTTTGTCTCTGGCTGCAGGCCAAGGGTTTGATGACCAGCATGCAAAACAGATTCCCCCGATTTTACCGCATCATTCTCGGCTACCTCATTTTCACTTCGGTGGCAACGATTGTCGCTCAGACCGTTTACATCGTCAAGTCAATCAACAAAATCAGCAAAAGCTCAAATAAGGTGATAACCGACTATTTGATGTGGATCATCATTTACCACTGCTTATTCGCCGTCAGTATCGGGAGCTACTCTCTGGTCTCCATGTGTTCCATTGTGAGCATCATCTGGAAGCGGCCATCCTCTGTCGTCAAAGGCCACAATGCTTATGCCTCCGCATTGAATTTGGTCGGACTTCTTTGTGCACAGTCTTTCGTGCTCCCCTGTGAGTTATAGCCGTGGACTCCAGGGAAACCTCGTGCTAACCCATGTGACCAGTCATCTTCTGCGTTCTCCTACTGTCAATAAGTCCAGTCAGGGTATGGGTAGACCCAAGCGTGATGATCCTTCCGACCGTATATCTGATCATCCCATTGGGCACATTGTTCATGACCATCAATCAGAAACCTACAGAGATTCGACAGGATGACAATCAGTACAAACCAGCCCTCAGTCCAACCAAGCCGAGTCACCTCAAGCGTGACCAGTCCCCAACGCTGACCAACAACAGCACCAATCCCATTTCAAGTCTCACGGCCTTCTATTCGGACCTTGAACCTGGAAATCGCCACCAGCCCACTTCTCCACGCTGTAATATCGAACAAGAGCTTGCAGCCATTGATATCATTGACACAACCACGATCGATTCGCGATCACACAAGGGCAGAGAGACAATCGTGCAGAAGGATGCCCCTCGACCAGATTCATGTGTTCTGAGTGGGAGGACTTTGTGACTTCGCTCGTAAGTGCGCACCACCCAACCCGAAGGTACCATTGCTAACGTTACATCAAAGAAAATCACAAGACTGCCAATTTGGCTCACGATGTCGGCACTGCAAACTGGAGCTCGAGATCAAAAGTGCTTCCCTCCCCGACTTTCATGCACACCTGCATAGCATGTCACAGTTTCCAGAGCTGTTATGTCCTATCCCAATCCCATGGGACGAATTTTCCCCTTCTCTTTTTACACAAACATCTGCGATGAAATAATTTGCTTTCAGACACAACTCCGTTTGTATCGGCGGACGAAATCGTATCATGAGCGGCAAAAATATCTACAATCTGCTGGAAACTCTGGGCACAGTTGGGCTAGATGCGAGGATGGATTCACCAACCGCACATATCACTTCATATCGCATAAGGGAGGGCCGACGAGGAGGCAGTCATCCCCAGCTGCCGATGGCTGGACCTAGATAAACGTGTACGTGTGCTCGACCACTGCAGTGCTGTGAGCTCGAAATTCTGATTTCACGGTCGTGAGAAGTTGCAGAAGAGGGGCTCCGCCCGTGATGGCTCTTGCAACTCCCACGGTTCGTGTAAAGTACATGCCTAACCAGTCAGGTAGAGATAACAGAACTTGAGTTACGAGAATGATTCTCTCCAAGAAACCACATGCCTCATAATGGATGTTTTCGTGCATTCATTTTGTAAAAATCGACAGCAGCTATATCAAGAAGGCAAAGAAGAACCAGCAGCAGCTGTATTGGCACCAGCACCGGCACTGCCAACAACTATTCTCTTCACCAACCTCACCCACCGCCTCCGCCTCCATTCGCCGGTGCGACCTTTGTTCTCCAGCCTGGTGGCCTCCTCCCAGTCCCTGACACTCCCCAGACTATTTTTAGCAGCGCTGCTACTTGCCTTCTTTTTGAGCTCTTTCTCCTTTTTCCTCGCTGCGGCGGCGGCGGCTTTGTTCCGCTCCTTCTCTCGCTCGTCTATCGGCCTCGGGAGCTCGTAGTCACCGTACGCCAGCCACAGATCATCGTCTCGGTTCAGGCCGCTGCCTGGGACCGGGGGCAGATCCCATACCCAGCCACCAAAGTCTAGATTCACACTCTCGCGCCGCCGTTGGAGTTGGTTCGAGCTTGATTTGCGGTGTGAGTGATGTTGGGGTTGGATTTCTGGGTCGGTGCCTCCGCTTATACTCTTAGTATCTATAGCTTCGTCATTATCGTCGAGATCGTCGTCCTCGTTGGCATGATGCAACACGTCATACTCGACGCCCACGACCAGTCGTTCATTCACCCATTCACCGGCTTCCAGATCGAGTTCCCATTTCTTGCTCGCCCACTCCCATCCTTCTGGTGGGGCCACGTCTTCGAAGAAACGTGTGCCTCGTGGGCGGTCTCCTGCGATACGGGAGGGGGAGAGTGGATCGTATGGAGTGGGTGTAAAGAGGTGAGGTTGCCATTCGGCCGCTGAAGCGTTCGCTGAAGAAGAAACGGATGTGAGTGGGCGGTGTTGGAGCTCGAAAACTTCGACTTCCTGAGTCTCTGGCGTAGTGGAGAGTGTAACGGCAGAGAGGGAATGGAGGGTGGCTTGCATCACGGCCGGCGTGGCTGGTAGAGGGATTCCACGAATGAACCGTTGGTGTTTTAGTGTGGGGTCGCTGAGTGCGAGTGAAGCTTGTCGTTCAGCGCGCTTTTGCATTCGTGCCAGCCATTGCTGTGCAGTGGGATGGGAGCTGACGGTGGTTGCCCAGCCTGCCACCAGTAGGATCAGCCGCCACGGCAAAAGATGCGCGGAGACGAACGATAGAGTAGTGAGAATGGTCAAATACACAAATAGCTGGGAAGAAAATGTCTCGTTGCTGAAGTTAGTCGCTGGTGCAATTGTCGATACTAGAAAGTCGTGCATATTGCTAAAGTCTGCCATGCAGTTTTGCAGGTCACGCATATTGCGGAAGAAATCTTTTGAGGTCTCGCTGGCGGGTTTGATCGTCCTTGCTGGGGCAAGTGCAGGGCCTGCATAGTTTTGATGGTAATATGGAGTGGTGCTGGAGATGATAGTCGCTGGCGGTGGAGGTGGGTGTCGCGAGGTGAAAGCTGGGACCATGATGAAGAATAAAGCCACTGCGAGTGGAACGACGATCAGAAGGTATGGATCCAGACACACAAAGGTGTATGTGGCGAGGAATGATAGAGTATGAGATGGGGTTCTCCAGGTGAAGAGGCGGATTAGTCGGTTCTGAAAGACGAAGACTATACCAATGCGTGCATTGAAACGGCGAAAATTATTCGTCATCAGCGGCAGCGAGAAGGCAGGGCGAGAAACATATGTTGACGACCGCCGGTCAACAGGCGAACCACCCAGGTCATCATCCACATCCTCTGACGATGGGACAACTTGTTGAAGTATTTTGGAGAAAAGTCGGTCTTGTAGTGAACCTTTGGAGGCTGGGCTCAGCTCGCTCTTCTCAAGTTGAACTGCAGCGACTTCTTGCCCTTTAGTCTTCAAGCGAGATGGTGATGGCGAGCGCTTGAGTCGACTCCGGCGACTGATGGAGTCGGCTTCGCTGGAAGAAGCCTCAACATCACTCTGCGAGACCGTGATGAGTGGCACTGGCTCATCACGATTGGCGAAGACGTCAACTGCATATTCATCCATTGTACCAGGACGCTTCGAGACATGCTATTGCTCCATCTTCGAGATAAGACAGAGAATTATATGATGAAGTCTATGTGTATGTCTAAATCAGATTGCGTACGCCTTGAAATTGACATGCGAGGCAAGCCACAACGGAGATGTTGTCAGCGACTATCACGTGGGAGAGGCCGGTGGCTACTGAAGCTGCCACGTGATCCTAGTTTTCGAATATCGGATCGGGTTAATTGATCGGAGAGTTGATGGCGTACTCCGTACACATACTACGTATGTACCTCGTACTGTAGACCCTGAAAGCACTGACACAGCAGAGAAGAGAAGAACCCAGGGGCAGGGGTTCATCCCCCATCTCAATTCGCGCCGCTAGCACTGATATCAATCGTGAACTTTGCCTCTCTTGGATTGAACGGGGAGGCTCTTGGTTGATGGTAAGCAGGCTACTGGCAGCTTTTGAACTACTGCATCAACAAAGGTTAGGCCATCCTTTGTTTGTTGACGCAAGGGCCACCCCCCTCAACAAGCGATGCCAAACTCCCTATCCTCGCATGTTGCCAGCCTCGACACGGGCTAGTTCCGGCAAATCGCCCAGGAACAACTCCAGGAACGTTCTGTGAAAGCAAAAGCTGTGGCACGTTAGAGATCCCTCCATCAAAGAGGCATATGGATACTGTTGGACTTAAACCCTTGGCCCTAAATCGAGACGAAATTGCTGGTGATAGAAAACGGTGGCCAGCGAACTCGGAAAGGCAGGATGGCATGGATGGCCAGTCGCTAAGCAGCAGCAGCCAGCCGAATCGAGATAAGCCACTGGGAGCGATGGGCGACTTAGTCGAGTCGATGCCCCTAATAGTCGATCGCCTGGACGGGAGGGAGGTCGTAGTTAGAGATGGCTTCTCCATTCATCACCATAGAGTGTCCACAGGTGGCCTGTCAGAAAGAGCGTTGACAATTAGCCACAGCCGTAGTCTTGCAGCTCAGGTACAGGCACCAATAGCTAGGCCTATTTCACCTGCGGGTGGGTGGGACTCTCTAGGATGTCTAGGCTTCATGGGCGTGGTTTCTGGGCATTGTTAGTTAAACCCCCCTGCTCCAAAATCCCAGCTTACGACCCCTTCTACTACGAACGAGTACGGGAGTGCTGAGCCAGAAATCTATGCACTGCACAGGACAGGCCTTGATGGATTGCTGTCACCGCAATATCCAACGGCATCCAATATTCTCCCTCGCCTCACCTCTGTTGATGTTTCTACAACCACTCTAGTCCTGTTGACCTTGATTTGTTACTCCCGGTCCTTAATTCTCTGCATTTAGGACATCTCACTTCTCCAACCCGTTCCCTGATAGACTTCTCCCTCTGCAACGCAGAACGCTGCGCGTGGCCTGCCAACTGTTTCTCTTACCCTAAGAACAGTTCCACCTACAGACACCCTGGTCTGCTCGTCACTTGGTCGCGACCAGGCCATTTGACCTCCCACTTCGAACCTTCGAAACCCTCTTCGGCCATGGAGTGAGCACGCAGATGGTATTCACCCTCGAAGACTGAATGTTGGAGGACACGGGGATAGCACACGCACGGCCGGACCTGCAGGGTCAGAGCGTTTTGCTGAGCCATGCCTTACCGTCAAAATGCACCATTGCCCTCCTCCTCAAATCTTAACTCAGGCTCTTTGCAAACCCGATACACAAATCCTGCCAGAGCCGAAGATCTGGATAATGGTGGTACGAACCCGATGCAAAGGCTACCTGCAGAAAACACATCCCTGCTGACACTTGTGCCCTTCCTATAGCAGACAATCCACCTGCAAGGAACGTCCCCTCTTCCTTGGTGATGAACTCGACCTCGACCTCGACCTCGACTTCAACCTCGTCCGCCCTCAAACGCGATGCTGGGGAGGATGTAACATCCACACCCACTCTCGCTACACGAAGAAGACAGTCGTCGATTCCAAGCGCGAAAGTTCCCATGGGTCCACGGCCCTTGGAGTATGGTTCGGGGACGGGCAAAAGGTATAGTACCACTCATGGCTGCACCCGTAGTTTCCAGAAATTCCGACTGACAGAGCCACTTTCCTCAGGGCGGCCAGCAATGCCATCAACCCGCAGTTCAACTCCCTACGAGGCGCCTCCGCAGTTGCTTCCCAGGACCCTTATACCAATGAGTTATCCATCAACGACATTTCAAGATTCAGTTTTGCATCCATACAAGCCAAGCCTCCATCCGCTCAACAACGGGATGCCACCTTGGATTTTGGTAACTTCCTCGAGCCTACCTTCAATTTCGATGATTTTCAAGACACCATAGTCGGTGCCGAGCCCAGCTTGAACCATTTCCCTCTGCCGGGAAGAGGTGGTTCAGTCAAACATCCTGCTCCTGCTAATACCACTACGGCCCTTGATTCCCAGCTACCCGATCAGAAGAAACCACCCCCACAGGCTGCTATTCCTGTACCTGCCCGCAAGGGGTCCGGTGTCACTCTTACCCGCAAGAGCTCGACTGCGTCAAATACCTCGAGAAATTCTGCAAAGTCCGATTCCATGTCAACATCCACAACCTCCATCCTCCGGGGTAGAAGGCAGAGTCATTTCCCTCCGAATTCGTTTAACAATGCCAACACCGTTACAAAGGCTCCGAGAAAGTCCGTTGGACCCGGGACATTCGTTGCCCCAGAGACATCAGATAAGCCCACAATTAAAAGAAGACCCAGTGCCGGTGGGAGAAAATCCAGTGCGGAGAGTACAAAGAGTCTTCAACTAAAGACGTCGATCGGGCCGAAGAAAAGAACATCTAAAGATCTGCTCACACCTTCGAGGACCCCCGATCCGTCGAAATCCATCTCAGGGGCCAATCCAAACACTCCGACAAGAAGGAGTGGAACTCCGGGAAGAACAACGACGCCAGGCGGCAATGGTGATCGAAACAGGAGGATGTCAGTCATGCCTCATCATGCCACTGGGCTAGGTGCTCGCACGGTCAGCCCGACTGATGCAAGACGGATGAAGCGCATGTCTATTGTCCCTCCTGCACCTCCGTTGCCCCAGAGCAGAATATCCCAAGCCCCTCCAACCCCTCTACCTGAACCCGTCCCTCAAATGCCGCAGTCAGATATTCATTCTCCAGTCGTGTCCAGTCGGAAGAGCTTGACACCTTCGTCTTCACGAACAACCCCAGACCCAAACCGAAAGTCATACAGCTCTGGTCAGTCTTTGTCTTCAAACACGAGTTATAGTTCTGTTCGCAACAACACGAACATTCCTGCCAGACTTCCGCAGAATGTCAATTCTTCCCGTCTACCGACCCCAAAACCAAGATTGGACACATCTGGAAATACAACGTTTGAGCTCGAAGTCCCACCTGTCCCAGCCATTCCCAAGGCGTACGAATCCCCAGGAAGTGAACATGATCAGCCCTTCTTCTCGGCCCGATCTTCAAGCCTTCCTCCCTTTGATGGTGCAATTTCTGCTAGCCCTATTGTCTCGACACTGGCGGATGCAATGAATGCGCTCGAAACTCCTCGAGCACCCAGTACTTCTTCACATGCATCCGCTAACCCGCCTCCACTACCAGCTCCGACACTATCTTCAGTTGACTCGGAACCCAAAGCTAAACCACAACGTAAATCAAGCAAGAAAAATCTACAGACTCTGAGACTACCTCCATTGAATCTTCTGCCTTTAAGTACACCAACTGCTGCGAAGATCAAGGCATTCAATTCGAAGAATGAATCTAGTGATGGAACTACAACTCCTCCGGTGGCCCGTAGCAGCATGAAAACCCCAAGCACGCCCATGACCGCGTCTAAAGCGACCTTCTTCTCCCAGTCTATCAAAAGTGCCAATGAAACCATCCTTCGGAGCTCTACTTCACATCATGCACTTCGTGCAGATGAATTACGACCACCGAGTGGTATCAGTCCTAGCCTACCATCTTTTACGTTCGAAACAGGGAAAAGCGATCGAAATATCTCACCATTTGTGTCATCCTCTTTACCAAAGAGCAATGACGACTTCTCCTCATACATGAGACCCAATTTCATCACCGAGCTGAATCGCAATCCCAGTCAGGCAAGACCAAATGGACCTCGGGCACCGAGTTTCTCGGTGACACCCAAAACCGAAGTACCCCCCAGCCCTGCCAGTATAGACAAACCGTCAGAAACCGAATCTGCCTTCTCCACTTCTGTCTTGCGAAGGAAATTGAGTCGAAAACGTAGTGAAGCCAAGCTACCCGAACCAACATCGCAAAATGATGATCTCCGCAAATACGATAATATGCCGCCTCCAAAACTTCCAGCATCTTCAAATTGGACAAACCCTCAAAATGGTGCTTCTAGTCCTTCTCAAAAGCCTTCGTACTTGCGATCCCGAAGACAAACCTCAACTTCTAGCGTTCATATTGAGCCAAAACGACAAGACAGTCATGACAGTACGGTGTATCAGAGTTCTACTGTTCGCCCAGCTCTGGACTCCAGCAGAACTCTTATGATGCACTCGAACAGGTCCGGTTCATTGTCTGCAAGCACGCCAAACTTGCTAAACAAACAGCCGACTCAGCGTCAGCAAGAGCCGGCATTGGATCGTGATGACATGGTCGCCGAGGAGGAGATGAAGAAACTCGCGTCGAAAAGGAAAGATGCGGAGTCTGCCGCACGTGAGTTGGATGCTCTCCGTGCAAGAGCAAGGCCCGTCCGTCGCATGTCGGCAGAGACGGCTTCAAGAACTTTTGATCTTAATATTTTCGAAAGAGGCGAAATTGTCGACTATCCCAATATCTACTTTACTGGCACGCTAAAGGCCCGGAAGATTATCGGCGACTTGAACTCGGCATCCTCCAACTTTGGCTACGACGATGAGCGAGGTGATTACAATATTGTCGCGGGAGATCACCTCGCATACCGTTACGAGGTTGTAGATCTTCTTGGTAAGGGCAGTTTTGGTCAGGTAGTACGTTGTGTGGATCACAAGACCGGGATTCTCGTTGCTGTGAAGATCATTCGCAATAAGAAGCGATTTCATCAACAGGCACTCGTGGAGGTCAACATTCTTCAGAAACTCAAAGAATGGGTGAGTTCTTCTGCAAGCTGCTTTTGAGAAACTACTAATCAGATCTAGGATCCGCAAAAGAAACACAGTGTCGTCAACTTCGATCAGAGCTTCTATTTCCGAGGCCATCTTTGCATATCGACTGACCTCTTGGACATGAATCTCTACGAGTTTATCAAGGCCCACGACTTCCGCGGATTCTCCTTGAAACTGATTCGACGATTCACGAAACAACTACTCCAAAGTCTAATCCTCTTGCAGCAACATAAGGTGATCCATTGTGATCTAAAGCCCGAAAATATTCTCCTTGCTCACCCTGTACATTCTGAAATCAAGGTCATCGACTTTGGCTCCAGCTGCTTTGAAAACGAGAAAGTGTATACCTATATCCAATCACGGTTCTATCGATCACCGGAAGTAATACTGGGAATGTCTTATGGAATGCCAATTGACATGTGGAGCATTGGATGTATTCTCGCCGAGTTATACACGGGATATCCAATTTTCCCAGGAGAAAACGAGCAGGAACAACTGGCTTGTATAATGGAAGTTTTCGGACCACCAGAGAAGCATTTGATTGAAAAGAGCAGTCGTAAAAAGCTTTTCTTCGATTCGTTGGGCAAACCTCGTTTGACTGTCTCTTCTAAGGGCAGAAGGAGACGGCCAAGCTCAAAAGAATTACGACAGGTCTTGAAATGTGATGATGAAGCATTCCTTGACTTCATTACCAAATGCCTGAAATGGGATCCTTCACGAAGAATGTCACCTCATGAGGCCAACAAACATGAATTCATCACGGGGGTCAAGATGAATACAGCCGCCACCAGACGGAATTTGATTGGAGTCGTGAGCTCCCCTGTGAAGAGAGTCAATTCGGTAACGAATGCGGCAGGCCCTCGTCCTTTACCGCAACCCCCTACTCTCGGATTGAAGGCTCCCATCGGCGCAAGGCAGGAAACTTCGCCAAATAAACCAGGAGCGCGGCGGCAATCAACAGTACCACCTGCAGGATCTGCCCCAGGAACCTCTCAGGCTAAACGAGCATCACATGCCGCAATGGTTTCGTCAACCTCTAATCCTAGTTTGACACGATTGGCGGGTCAACGAACATTGAGTGGCAGATCTGATTTGGCGACTGCCGCAGCTACTGCAAGTCTTATAAAGTGATGTCTCATGGTATGGAGTACGTCACTCATGCATGACGATGGTGACAACAACTGAATGAAGCTATCGAACTGTACATTGGATGTCTAACGCTACTGGGAAGACGAATCTCCTTATCATTAATGAATATATAAATCTCCGCATAGCAAAAAAAAGGCCTGAATTGGAAGTGGCAACGCACAAAACAACGCTGTCAAAGAAAGGCCCGGACATTTTTGGAAGGGAGTATGCGAGCCCATATATGCGGCTTACAGACGTGGACGAATTGATCTTCTCGAGACGACTTTTTGTGGCAGCTGGCAGCCAGACAAGTGTTTGCATGATATGGCATGGATACGGCATCGCCTGGCATTGCATCTTTGAATTTTTCCTAATCACAATCCAAATACCCTTTCGTGCGCGGCTAAGATAGAGTGAAAATAGGACCAAAACCTCTTTGAGGCGGTTTTCTGGAGGAGCGAGCGTATTGCTTTAGGCTGAACTCAAGGCTTTGACTGAAACCATCAGGGGAAAAACTGCGATGATCCTCTCTAAATATTTGATTCCCCGTTCAATACAAACTATATCTCTGGGAGATTTCTTTCCCCGAGTCGATATGTGCAATCGTCCTATATGTTTTTGTTCACCAATCCTGATCTCGAGAGTGCCTTACAAGCTTAACCATTTGCCAATTGCCACAGGCTTGTGTTTCTCTCCTTGCTTTCGTCTTCTTCTTGTCCTTCTTCCTAGTTATAATACTCTCATGTGATCCCCAAGACCCATCAACGCCTCCAGCATCACACGTTCCGTTGCGCTCTCAGGACAAACAACTCTTCCCCAAGTCCACTCGAGCCAGCGCCGAGCCAGAGCACCCTCATCGCCTCGCAGGATCCCCACGGAGATGTTCGCCAGCGACGGCCGGCCATCGTTCAGGTAGAACACTGTCGCCCCGCAGACCCGGCAGAATGAACGCGTGATGTCACGTGATGACCGGTACCATGTCATCGGGAGTTGCGAGGAGACGTTCGCCGCGGCGCGGGAGGAGGGTGGCTCGTGTGCTGTGGCGGCCAATATCTCTAAGAGCGTCACGGATGCGGCGCTCCTGCTTTGCTGGTCGTCGTCCTCGTCGGCATCCGTGAACGTGATATTGGCGGGCGGCACGTACGTCCATGGTTGGACGAACCAGGCGCCCGAGCTTGCCCGGTCGTAGCGGAACGCGCAGAACAGAGCCGGATATTTCGTCTTGTCGTGCCCGATGTGCCGCGCTGGCACGCCCTGGTCGTCCATCGCGTAGTTGGGCCGGCGGATCGAGAAGGCGATGCCGCCGCACTGGCATGCCGCCTTTAAACAGTCAGGGTTGGGTTTCGTATCACGTCGGTGTTCTGCGAGTCTCCGGATCTCATCTACAGATGCCTGCTGTCCCTGAACCTGCGACGATGGGCCCAGGTAGAGAGGGATCTCTGCGCCGTCGAGGTCCGCCAGGCCAGGCACAATGCTGCCGTCAACGGTGTCGGCGATGTGGTGATGGTATTCTGTCTCCACGAGATCCGTGGCCCAGACTTCCTGGGGAGCGACTTGTGCAGGATCGCGCTCGATGAGCCCCGCGTTCACATACCACTTTCCAACCTGTGGCTCCTCGGCCCCGCCGTTGGAGGACGACCTGGGGTTCGAGGCCTGCGACTCCTTGTTGAATTCCTGGTGGAAACAGTGGCAGCCACACCTCGAGCAGAAATACCTGAACAGGCTCGCTGAGCTAGAGTAAGTCGTGCATCGGGCTAGCGATTCTGTGCTCGGAGGCCCCACGAGCACGGGACAGGATAGTGTGATGTTGCCTGTGGTGTATCGGCAGCTGTTGCAGTGGCACATGTGGCTGCCGACGGGGAAAGTCTTGGTGGGCGATGATGGCCGGAGGAGGGTTCCTGGTTCCTTGATGTCTCCGCAGAGACATGTGAGCTGTGCGGTGGACAGTGGAAAGCGTTGTTGGTGAGCCTTGGGTGGCATACTGGTTGGATGAGGATGGACAGATCGAGCAATCAGTGGTGGTGTTGTACTGTGTGGATGCTCTGGGAGGTCACCGCCGATGGAGATGGTTATTGGAACCGAAATAACCATCCAATATTGCTCAATTCTGGATGGCTTCGAACGCTGCTAGGAGATCTATTACACATTCGGATCCCAAGTCGATCTGTCGCAAATATAAAATGTGATACCTCTTGCCATGCGGTGCAGGACAGGCCCATTCTTAGGGCCTTGGGATTTGTCAGATCAAGGAGGAAATACGCCAGATCGACAGGGCCGACTTCCCACTCCACACACACAGCGGATTCGGAGAGAGGGATTCAGGATAGCTTGTTGACTTCTCCCATTGACATTCGATGGACGAAGAATATGGAAGAGAAGATACCGTATTCAGTGAAGTTGGTGACTCACCCGATTGTAGCAGCAAGGCGTTCCTAGTTCCAATTACCAAAACTCAATTCTAAATGCATATCGATTACATTCTATTCCATGATAGAACCAGCGAAAAACTAATCATCCCTGATCTATATCTGGGTGTGTACCTCTGTCTATCACTGTCTCTAGGCCTTGGGGAGGTTCAAGTACATCCTCCTCGGATAGGGAAAGTCTGGATTGGCAAAAGCATGTAGGAGACACCAAATCTCCCTTCGCCGTGGCCTGAGGAGCCAAAGCTCACAGCTTGGCCTTGGGAGGCTGGTTTTCTGGGAGCCTTCGACCAATCTCGTCGAATTCGATCTTCTTTCCTGTGATGAGCGATTCTTGCAGCGCAGCACCGACCTTGACCGCTGTGACAGCTCCCTCGAGTCTGAAAGGGACCTCGGTGTTGTCAAGGCAGCAAGCCGTGAACTCGTTCGCTTCTGTGATGAAGGCATCGCGGAATCGACCGTAATAGTGTGGGGGGATCTCACGCCGAATTCCGGTGGAATCGTAGATATTGACCAGGTTCGATTGCGGTTGAGTGTTGATGGCGAGTTTTCCCTCAGTTCCTGTAACCTCGGTCGTATCTTCTTGTCCAGCAGCCATCATACGAGAGCAGAACAGCTGAGCGATCTTGCCGCCGTAAAATTCGACGATACCAACAGCATTGTCACGGTCATTATATTGCCGTAATTCGGGGCTAACTGCGGTGATTCCCACGGCGGAGACGGACTTGACGATAGAATCTTCTCCGAAAAACCACAAGGCAAGGTCGATGTCGTGGATGGAGCAATCAACAAAGATCCCTCCAGAAAATTGGGCATATTGCACAAAAAATCCAGAAGGATCGAGCTTGTCACAAGTTTGGCTGCGGAACACGGAAGGTCGACCGATCAAGCCAGACTTAACTTTGGAATAGGCGTCACGGTATGATGCATCGAAGCGACGAGAAAACCCGCAGATCACCTTCTGGGCCGGGTGTTTCTTAATGGAATGACGATAGGCTGTCACCACTGTTTGCGACTAGATAAATCCAAAATCAGAACGAAGCGACTTCACATGCCAGAGCGAACCTCATTCTTACCACTTCTGGGCTGGTGCTGAGTGGTTTCTCGCAGAGGACATGGAGGCCCAAGTCGATGGCTTTGATGGCTTGTTCGGCGTGTGCGACTGTTGCAGATGCGACGACCACCGCTTGCAGGTCTTTCTCTTCCCGAAGCATTTGGTCGTAATCGAGGTAAGCCCTGACACCTTCCAGATTTCGAGCTGCCCAAGCAATTTCCTTTGGGTCTGGCGATGAAACGGCGATCAGCTCAGCTCTTGGGGTTAGCTGGTGAAAGTGAAGTGCATGTCGTGCACCCATGCGGCCGAGACCAGCAATTGCGACGTTGAGCTTGGGAGACGCCATCTTCCCAAGAAGCCTTGCTGTATGAATCAAACCAAGTGTAAATGGAAATGAAAGATAAACTGGAGAATCTCAACAGTGGAAAATCCTGGGAAATTGTTGAAGTCTGCGGCCGATCCCGTGCGCGTCGTCCGTTGCTCACCGCTGATTCATAATCGGGTCGATCGACACGGAGTGTGAGAAGTCGCAACTCCCGTTGTAGACAGCGTACATATAAATTGCACGGCAAATCGCACGGTTTCGGTTGCAGTCGTAGATTGAGAATGCTTCTCGAATAGACCGTGGCGTGTTGGCTGGACAGCCAGCAGAGGGCCAGAGGCACAGTTGGTCCTGCAAGCATCGGAGGGGCCAGGTATACGCAATGCGATTGGCCCTCGGGCCTCTTTCGAGAAGCCGAACGTGAGGGCCGCCCGGTTTCTCGTTAATTCTCGTGTCTAGTTTGACATGGGAGCCCCTACTATATGTTGCCCATAATTAATCGTCCCGATTTTCAGGGGCTGAAGCCTCGCGACGACAATATGCAAATTGACTATCAGCAAGTCCAATTTGCCCACACCACTGTCTGCTAAAAGTATGGCTGAGGACCCATGGTTATATTGAGTGGCAAAGCTCCTGCATGGTCTGCGACGGTATCTTGCATGAAGTTGGAATCGTGCAGTAAACGGGACAGGGTAGTCCCCGAGGCTGCCATTAAATTTATGACTCTTGTCAAGGTCGTGAGCTTGACCCGAACTAGGGACCTCCTGTAGGGTTGTATATCCTAGAGACCCCGCAAATCGACACTACCATAGGCTTTGGTTCGGAATATCGGTTGTTTGCGGATATTGACATCTGAGCCAGAAGGTCTTCCGCCCTTGTCGTCGCTACCGTCTCGATGAGAATTGCAGGACTTTCGCCAGAAACAGCTCCGTTGCAGAGGTGTAATATCTGCACTCTTGGAATCGGTTCAGACATTGCTTCTATCCATGGCTGGAGGTCCCTGGAATAAAGGTGGATCTGCCCATTTGGCAGAGGCTGCAGCAGATGTCGCATTCGATTTCCGAAGTATGGTCCGCCAAATATTTGATCGACCGATTCACCCACTCCTGTTGCTAACGAGCTGTCCTTCATAGGCGATGTTGTGACGGTCCCGACTGAATCAATGCTGCGCGCTGTTTGGCATACAACCTACAAAGATGATGTACATCGTGAAGACGCCACAACTGAATCGTTCCAAAGGGACATGGCCGCTATGACTGGGCACGAAGCCGGTCTCTTTGTCCTTTCCGGGACGATGGGAAACGGGCTTGCATTGCGTTCACTCCTTTCTCAGCCACCATACGCCATACTAGTTGACGCACGCTCGAATGTGCTGAACTGGGAGACCGGCCACGTGGCTAGTTCGACGGGTGCGCTTGTACAACCAGTCGAAGCTCGCCGGAACGGGAAATACTTGACGCTAGAAGATATCCTTGACCACGTTGTTCTCGATGAGTCTGTCACATCATGCCCTACTCGAGTTATCGCGTTGGAGAACACTCTCCATGGGATGATTATGCCGTTGATCGAAGTCCGAAGAATTGCAAGTTTTGCACGCGAACATGGCGTGAAGCTACATCTGGATGGCGCTCGACTATTTGACGCTTCCGTTGCAGGCGCCGGTAGCCTGGCTGACTATTGTCGCGAATTTGATACTGTTTCCCTGTGCTTCTCAAAGGGCCTTGGCGCCCCCGTGGGCAGTATGCTCGTAGCTGGCGAACAAGTCATTCGACAGGCCAGAAAGCTGAGACAAAGTATTGGAGGAGGGCTTCACCAAGCCGGTATATTGACAGCTATGGCTCGGGTTGCACTCTTTGAAATATTCGGAGACGGAGCTGACGGTCAACATTCTGTACTTGCAACCTGTCACCAAAAGGCGGCACAGATCGCTGAGCTCTGGGTCCGATCTGGTGGCAAGCTTCTGAAGCCTGCGGAGACATGCATGGTGTTTCTGGACCTTCAGTCAGCAGGCCTGTCCAAGCCTGACTTGGTCAGTATGGCAGCTGAGCAGGGTCTAAGGATTATGAGCGAACGATTGGTTGTTCACCACCGTAAGTATTCGCCTCATAGTACTTACTGCTGTTTGACACTCACTGACCATCCACGTAGAGATCACCAACGAGGCGATCCCACGTCTTGACGCCCTGTTCAAGGCTATTGCAGCGCGTAAGCTATCAGCTGAACACAACAAGGAAGTAGAACCACAGGTCGGCTTTCGGTCGCACGGGACCTGATTCTATTCCGGAAAATACCCTGCAAGAGATTTTTCGCGCGACACCGCAGGACGAGGAAGATCTCGAAGGATTCTGGAAAGACAGGATCGAGCGAGAGATACTTCCTATCAGCTTACCCCCAGCGGTTCTTGGTTTGCTTGTCATGAATTAATTTGTGAACAAATTGAGGAACCTAAATATATACACCTTGATTAAGATATCTCTTTACTCCTACGCCTTGGCTCTTCAGCCTATCTAACCAGCCTGAAGTCTGCTGTAGTCCAAGCTGGGATGGCCTTGCCTTGAGATCCAAACCAAACACTTGTACACCTGCCCGTGACGGGCCTTTCGACTTTGAGGCCGCGTAGAAGCCGACTCCCGAGTTAGTTCACCTGCAATGGAGAGCAACCATGCAGGTCAAACCGGCTCCCCCTTTCCTTATTTTCCCCTGGCAGCCTCACCGACGACAAATAGGCCGGTACAGTTCAAAGTTACTTCATCATCGAAATCGTTCATGTTTGAGTCCTTGCCCTGGCAGAATCAATGCTTCAGTCCACCTCCGGCATATATTCCATCCAGACTTGGACCAACCACCTTCAAGAGTTGTCAACTTCGATCCCCGTCACACTGACCTCATTATTCTTCAAGAACAAAAGCGCTTACTGTGGGGTCCAGCCTGAAATGTAAAGGACATGGACGCAGGCCCACTGAGGTATGCCGCTGGATGCCAGCGGCCTCCATCTTCTTTACGAAATGTACTCCACCGCGATTGAAAGAGTTCACGGATTGTTTTCCTCAGCATGCCGGATGAAGGTTTCACGATAACCTCCAATAAACTCCTATGCTTCAATTTGCGGTTCCGATCAGATCATCCATTGTTGCTTGCGCGTCCGTGGTACGATTAAATTACATGTCTCGAATACATCCATTCGCCGGTTGTCCGATCAGCGCTCGGTGGTGGGGTTCCGAGGAACCTTGGCCGACCAGGAGCATGTCTCGGCATCCGAAGTATTTGGCCGAACGGCAGGCCAGGTCAGTCTTCTTGCCTATTCTTGCACGAGCGTGTACCTCTGGGCGCCAATAGTACACTTGGGTATAGGATCGTCATTCTTTGTTCATTGCAGAATTAGTCCTGATCTTCACATGAAGACTCGGCCTGGCTAATGCGTGGAGACGCAATGTTGCAAAACAATCTGATCAGGAGCGTATCACAAGATCGTCTCTGCACCGTATGAGAAACGTCAAAGACGTGGGAAGGCAATTGCACCTTAATTAATGTTTTCCAGGGCGTCGGGATCAAAGTCGTCACGAAACCCGAAATAATATCTCTCGCCAAAGCAGCTGGCTACGACACGGTTTTCGTCGATCTTGAACACTCGGTACTTTCCGAAAAAGAGTCGAGTAGATTGTGCTCGGCAGCGCTTTCCGCGGGCATCACTCCTTTTGTGCGTGTTCCGTATCAATGTGGGCAGGGCTATGTCCAAAGAGTGCTCGACGGTGGAGCTCTTGGGGTTGTCTTTCCCCATATCAGCACCCTCGGTAAGTCTCTTGATCCGCGCGGCCCTTGACCAAAGCGGCCCTTTCAACTGATCAAGATCAGAAGAAGCGAAGCAAGCGGTGGCATCCACCAAGTTTCCACCCGAAGGCAAACGCTCCTTGACAGCAGCGTTGCCGCAGTTTGATTTCCAGAGAGTCTCGCCAACAGACGTGATTCAGCAACTCAACCAGTTCGGTTCAACTGTGTTGCTCTTGATCGAGACCAAGGAATCTCTCGATAATATCGAAGCCATTGCTTCGCTGGACGGAATTGATGTTTTATTGGTCGGTGCAAATGATTTGTCGTTGGAGCTCGGTGTTCTAGGGGAATGGGAACATCCAACCTTTCAGTCTGCGCTGGAGAGAATTGCAGCTGCGTCCCACAAACATGGCAAAGTATTCGGGATGTGTGGCCTGTATACTAGACCAGACATCTACAAGCGCGTAGTGAAGGACCTAAGAGCCCGATATGTTCTCGGGCACCTGGATATTGGGCTACTCGCAATGGCCATGAACAGTAATGTAGAAATGCTAAGGGATGTCGGTAATAGCCTAACTCCAGACATGTGAGAATGATGAACAAGTTGTAGGGATTATGTACTCGATAGAGGCGAGGTCTTGGACTTCTGTTCCATGGATTGTGAAGCTGCATACTCGGCAGGGAAGGGATGTAGCCTCGGTATGCCCACCCGAACGGGCCGTCCTGACAGTTGGCAGTCTCAGTCCGGACTACAAAATATCCTTCTCCACGATATGCCTTTCGTTTCATCCCAACCAGCTGTCGCGTAGTCGCCTATGAGTGTCTTGTTAAGCCAGCTTTAGGTCAGTATTTACCTTGCACTCCAACTCCAAGAGCTTGCTGCCTCTCTTATAATCCGTAGGTTATCATCGTTGTCCTCGACAAGACTTCCGCTTTCTCAACTCAACTCGACATGGCCGCCAGGAGAAGGATTCAAGTTTTACGTGACAAGCTGAACACGCCAGGCCGTCGACCAGTAATCGCTATGGCAGCACATAACCCTCTTTCAGCTAAGCTAGTCGCACATGCGGGGGGGTTCGACGCTATCTGGGCCAGCGGCTTCGAACTTTCCGCATCTTATGCCGTGCCCGATGCAAGCATAATCTCACCAAATGTTCACCTCGAAATGACAAGGGCCATGGGCGAAGTTCAAGACCTGCCGATCATCGCCGACCTAGATACAGGATTTGGCAACGCCATAAATCTGGCGTACGCGATCCCAAAGTATGAGGCTGCCGGGGTGGCTGCCATCGTGATTGAAGATAAAACGTTCCCGAAAGATAGCAGTCTCCGTATCGATGGCCGACAGTCTCTTGTGTCTGTTTCGGAGTTCCAGGGGAAAATCGCTGCAGCCAAGGACTTGGGGTCTATGATTGTCATCGCTCGAACAGAGGCACTCATTGCCGGATTGGGGCGAGACGAAGCTCTGAGCCGTGCTTTGGCTTACGTGGAGGCTGGGGCCGATGCCATTTTGATCCACAGTAAGCAGAAAACCTCAGAAGAGATGCTCGGTTTCTGTCGTGCTTGGTCGGGGAGTGCGCCTTTGGTCATTGTGCCGACGAGTTATCCGCAGCTCTCCTTCGAACAGATATCTGCGTTGACTGAAAATAAAGTCCGCCTTGTCATCTGTGGAAATCACAGTATTCGCGCAACTGTCGCCGCACTGAGGCGGACATTTGATCAGATTTTGCGAGATAATGGGATTACTGGCGTAGAGACGGAAATTGCCCCAGTCTCGGATGTTTTTGCTCTGCAAGGTGATGCAGCCATGCGGGAGATAGAGAAAAAGTATTTGCCGAAGTGAACAACTCTTTGCATGCAACGTGAAGCTCAGTAGGGACTCTTGCATACACGCTAAAGACACTGTGAGAGTCAGGCCATGAAATCTGGATGGAGTAGAGATTAGGAATTAAAAGCTTTGGAGTGGAGCTCCAGAGCCAAATTCTGAGCTGCAGAATTTCTGTTGTGCTGTCTGCTGTGCAGAGTTGAATATTGCAAAGCACGAATGTTTGTACCATCACAGAAAATCCAGCCAATCAGAGTTTGTAATGTCTGAGTCAAGATTGATTGCAGATTCATGAAAGTAGTCGAGAAAGATTGCATCAGATTGCGCCACACTGTTCCCGGACGCAGGTGGGACGGGTAGCATCAAGTTCGAATCTATTCTTGACCGCAGTGGTTCTCGGCTTTCTTGGTAGAAAGAGTGATTTTCGACAGGTGCCTGGCTTTTGGGAGGTTGTAGTTGAGAAGGCTCAATCTCGGAGTACCGTGCCTGGCTAGGTTCGATTTTAACCATATCGACGAGACCGGTGTTGAGAACATTCCCATCATGAGTCATGCGTAAAGGGGGCTCAAATTGAGGCAAGAGGCTGGCCGTCTGGGTCCACGAGAGATTAGCAACCAAATCGCAGACTTCGTTGAGCGCATTGAGAAGTGCACCAGCAGGGATATTTCCGCAATGCTTCATGTCTTGAAGAACGTGCCTTGCAGAAGAGAGATATGACGGATCTATGAGGTTCGGAAACATGGGGTTGGCCAATGCTAGTGATAGTCCAGCCATAAAGGCAACTTCAAGGTCAAGAGACAAGAATGTTTCTGAAGCCTGTCAGCACCAAATGAGCCCTTAGGAGACCGACTCACCAATAACTCCTTGCTCTCGGAGCGCGAAAATAATATTGAGACAGTGCGCCGCCGCGCCGAGGTTGGTCTTCAAAAACTGAAGTAGAGGGTCAGACGTCGGGGTCCTCGTGAGAGACCGATCTTGAGAAGAACACCGCCTAAAGGTGGACATCAAGAATGGTTTTGTGCCGAAAAGGACAACCTGTGAATCAATGAGAAAGCCATATTTACCCGGCTCATGGGATGCTAACCTGGCAGTATAAGAGGTGCAATGTAGCAACAGATCGCGAAATCGACGTGAGAGCTGGTGTCCCACAGAGTTGCTGCGAAGTACTCAATGCCTGGCCAATCTTCCGGGCGGTTACAAACTGGCTTGTAATATTGACCTTAAAATCGTCGTGCTTGATGCTTTTATTGTAGTATGCGAACTGAACTGTTTCCCGTCAGAGAGGCTCAGGATAATTTCTACGGTCTTACCTGATGCCACACTTGACATGAGAGTAACAACGCAAAGGTGGGCGCGCAATGCAGCACCTGCAGTATCGTCGTACGCAAAAACCCATGACAAAATATCTTCAACTCGACTGGAAGATTGGCAGTCGGGGCTAGCGCCAACAGTGGCGGCTAGCTTCTGGTCAAGGATATGTATAGTCCACCAGAGCTTCTGTAAGTTACTGGGGCCTTGTGCGTCCATATCTGCGGCGGACGGTGCTGATCGCCCCATTTCGAGGATGCGACCTAGCCTTACAGCTTGTCCTACCTGGGAAAAGTCAGAGAAAATAGTAGGAACAGGGATCGCTGAAATCTGACATAAAGATAGGCAACTCCGTGGAGATCTGCTGCCTGTGCGTACATAGCCAACAGAGCGAGAGTCTCAAGCGAACGATCTAGAGATTGGTAGAGCACGACATTTGATGGCAAGACTCGGATAGCTTGAAGAAATTCTCTGATCCCTGGTGGACCGGAGGTGGTCGCACCCTCTTTTAGGAGAAGCTTGCCCATTGCTATGACAGCAAGGATTCTCGCGTGAAATATGCTTGGCGTATGTGGTAGGGGGAAAACCTCGCTTGTGGCGATTTCCTCTCGTAAGTTGGACAGGTTGAAGAAGAAACAGGTTGCGTTGAGGTGGAAATCGACAACTTGTGCCAGGTGGTTCATGAAAGATTTTGACGGTAGATCGCACCATGTTAGAACGTTTTGCAGTTCTAATGGAGTCGCAAAGTTGTACGTAATTCTTTCAGCAGTTCTAGGGCTCGGAGCTCCTTCATCAGAAACTGGCCTTAATGCTTGGTGTGCAGCTCGGCAGAATTCCCAGGTAAAATTGTTACGGTTCGTGTCTGAATCTGATCAATTGCAGAAGCCAAATAGTAGGCATGGAAGTACTAACCTTCATGCCGCGACGAATCTCTTGGCCCTGAGGGATTAAGGAACGGAGCAGGAGAACCCGACGGGGGTATTGTCGTAGTGTTGGGACTATGTGGTCGATAGCCGTGGACGGCTCCGGTGGGTGCCTCAGCTACCTGGCTCTGTATGTCCTGCGAGACATCGACAGGAGCTGGAGGTGGAAAAGTCTGCGAACTGTGTTGTTCCCTCGCGCCGACTCTCGATACACGCCGTTCAAGCTCTCGTAGACGCCTTTTTGATGCTTCTCAGCGATGGTCGCGCTACGCGTTCTCAACCAACCTCTCAGAGACGACCACCTTTCGTTCCACCTTGTCGAAGGCACAAGTCTGTCTCCGACGCTCGCAATTACTGCATGGCTGTGTTCCTGAACATTTCACTTTCCGCAGCCTGCATCTTCGGCAACTGATGTTTGGTCAGCTCCTCGAAATCTCTCTCGATCTGATTGACGCGGCACGCACGCAGAAATCACTCGATTTGGAGGCGCGTTTGCATCATTTCCCCGGTTCTGTATCGTCTCCATTATCGCCTTGTGGCAGATGAGGTAGCGACCAAGGTTATACCAGAGTTTCTGAGGTAGCCAAAGAGGAACGATGGGCGATCTGACTTTCAAGGACGTTGGCAGACGCCAAGCCGCTACCTTGGAAACCAACATTTCGAGATTAAAACATTGATCATTTGGTGTCGGATGCTATTAATTACGGACAGAAAGCCAACCAAGCCAGCGTCCTGAACCCTGGCGACGCACGTCTGTCCTCGCGAGTCTCTGAATGCTGGCAGCAGCCCGACTGTATTGATTTACCCCTCTTCTTAAACTATCTCCACCTCAGTGATCCGAACATTCGAGTATCGCTGTTATCGCCGATGATTGTATGACTCTTCCATGAAGCTCACCTAGCCGTAAGTTCCCCGTATGTATCTCGTATCACTGGCGGGAGAACACTGCACCCTGTTAGCTTGGGAGGCGTTAGCGAGAGTGACCAATGTCCTACCCACCATTAAACCGGAAACACGGCCCCGGATCTCGAGAGCAGAGCTAGAGAAGTGTGTGAGATGGAGTCGGTCGGATAGAACTACAAACCCAGCGGGACAGGCATGGCAGGAAGAAAAGGCATCGCTGTGTTTATATAAGTATTGTCCTAAATCAAAGAGCAGACTTTAGCCCGAAATATCTTATTGCAGACAACTTGAATCCACTAGTTAGTAACATGTCGATAAAGATATCTTGAAACGAAATGACCACGTAGGTAGCCCTGATCATGGTTATTCACATGGAAAATCTTTGCGATTTCCAGTAGCACAAGACGAGATGGAGCTTTGATGCTTTTTAACCGAAAGGACAAACCAAATACCAAGACATTTCAATCACCGTTCCCGAAGATTTTCACAGCAACACAGCCTCAATATTCGTGGTGACATTCCCGTGCGTAGCCCTGGAATACGGACAGACCTCCTTCGCCTTCTGGATGACCCTATCAAAATTCTCCTCACTCAACCCTCTAACAGAAACCTTCATGTCTACACGAATCCCCAGATCGAGAGCATTCATGTCCCCAACGAGATGGACGGTCGTCTCAACGATCGAATCCTCCTTTTCGGTTGGCATGGTGAGGCCCAGACTCGCGGCCGAGGCATTCATCGCCGACTGGAAGCACGCGCCGTAGCCCGCGGCGAAAAGCTCCTCCGGGTTCGTCTTGCCTTTGTCGCCAGGCCCACCGAGAGCTTTCGCCATCGTCAGTTCAACGGCGAGATCATCGCCGTCAACGTGGCCAGTCCGCGCGCCGACAACTTTCGCGTGGGCCGAGTACAGGACTGGCGCGGTGTCGGTGTTTAGATATCGACGAGATGCTGCATGTGGCTGCCTTGTTGGGGAACTTGTGAGCCGTGGTATTTGGCGGGCGAATGGACGGAGAGCTGAGAGAGGCGATGCCATGTTGAATAGTAGTATATAGAAGGCGCTCTTGCCTGAAGGTCAACTCAAGAACTATACCTATAAAAACGAACTTCAAGAGGTATAGTAATGAGGAAGCTGGAGCTTCAATGGGCCGCGCATCATGGCCGCCACTAATTGATTACCTTTGTCTTTTGACTTACTGCTGTTTTGCTATGCGGTGACGTCGACACTCACCATTGGCCGAAGTCTAGTCGTCATTGGAAGGGCCAGCACGGGTGGGTATTCTCATTTCCTCTTTCTAGGGGCCTTGGCCGTCTTGTACAAAAAGACGGAAAGAGAGGCATAGGGTTGTCAAGCCATCAAGCGTGAGAATAAAAGATCGGATACGCTGATGATGAGAAAGCATGAACTTCTGTAGTGTTGTCCACCATGGGACTTTGAGTGAAGGAATATCAAGCTAGGCCAAAGAGGGCACCCAAAGGTCTATCATTGATTCGATGACGTCATGGCAGCTATATCAGAAATCCACCAACCGAACATCCCGCCACTGAATCCGCTACGTTCGAGATCCATACGTATCACAAGTTACAGCCTGTCTAAGTATTTCACTGCGTGTGCTGCTCCAAGAAAGAAATCAGCAACTGCGAAATCTCAAGAGGCTTATCTTCCAGTGAAAAGTGTCCCGCGTCATCAACAATGCTGAGCTCCGAGCCCGGAATCGCGCTATGCAGGCGACGCGCCCAGTCTGTGACCTGCCACGTATCGGCATTTCCCCATATCAATTTTACCGGCAACTTTGAGAGCTCGTGATAATGCCCCGCGACTTCCGTTGTGTGTTTAGGGTCATAGTGTCGAACCTGATGCTGGAAGAAGCTTGCTTGACCAATTGGTCCACAGATGTAGTCCAGGTAGGTATCGAGACTTGTGTCAGCCAAGTTTTGGGGATTATGGACGGCTGACAGAAGCCATTTCTTGAAATGCACACGGTGATCCTCGTCTTTCGCCTTGATTAGGAACTCCAGCCCGTTCTCCATTTGCTGTTTCGTACGCTTGGAGGGATAACTGTCAAAGCTCACGGTATCGATCATAGTTAGGGAGCGGACGCGCTGCGGAGAGGAGATGGCAAAACGTTGTGCAATACCGCCGCCAATGTCGTGAGCTACGACATGAGTTGTTCTCAAGCCCCAGTGATCGAGAAGCCCTTCAAGAAGTGGTACCTGGCCCGAAATGGATGTGTCGATGGCAGGATCCCAGGGGCGCTCCGAGAGCCCATAGCCAAGGAGGTCAAAGACATAGACCTTGAAACCAGCCGTAACCAGATGAGGGAGGATGTTCCTCCAGATAAGAGATGAGGAAGGCGTCCCGTGAATCAGGACCACCGGCTCTCCATTGCCGTAAACTCCATTAGCGATGCGAGTGCCGCTGATTAACACATTTTCCGTCGCAATTGGGTTCATTGTCAACGATTGTCTTGATTCCAGCACATCGAACCTCAAATACTGTTCTATGATCCTGTGGTCCGCATCGTATAAATGATGGCAAGAAATTCTTGAAATTCTTGTGAAGGTGTTGGACATTTGTCATCCGATACGCAGCTGTGGGCCGGAGGTGGCCGTGTTAACCCAATTTTCTGCTTGGCCTTCCAGGACATGCTCGATTGGTGTGCTAATACAGGGGCTTTCTTTCGAAATCGAGGGATACTGGAGGTATCGATAGGCTCTCTGGGGCATTGCCATGAAAAGGCGTGATGACAAGGTGGTTGGCGACGGGTACGGGGGCGATTCTTGCACCTTTACCTATGCTTGAAACCGATGGCCATGATATCACTTGTTGTGAGCAGGCTGGTGACAGCGACCATGGAGGTGGTTTTGCTTGGTGATCTTCAGACAAAAAGTGGTATTTGAGCAGGGGCTGCCCGAAACGTCCAAGAACGTGCCTTGACACAGAACAGAGAACAGAGAACAGGCAACAGGCAACAGGCAACAGGCAACAGGACAAAAGCCACCCATTTTGGCATCACGAGACAGATGGAATGGGCGATTGATCATGTGCGAACATGGACCGATATTGCCACCAAACTAAAGGCTATGTGCCAGGTTGAGGGTCGAATTGAGACAGTGTCGAAGTGAAAAAGCATCGACAACTGTTCTTCTTCAGGTTCGCACAACTGTGTGCCCTTTCCACTGTACCACCCGGATTCATGGTAGGCGGCAAGTAAATTCCTATAGCGGAACGGCATCGCAGACGAGTTGGGAGCATGAATGGGCAGACGAGGTAACTAGAAATCACATTGCTGGAAATCGAAAACGGTACTTCCCACGACAGATGGCTGTCATCTTGAAATATTCAAGCCATTCATGGGGTTAGACTGTGGAACATAGTCTGGCGCCTTTGGAGGTTCGTAGAAAAGTTTGATATTGCATTGTCGTAACCAGGAAGAAGGCGATCGCCCGCGTTGGATTGAAACGCCACTATCGAGCTTCCCAAACACGCTAGGCCGGTCGCGAAAGCATGCAAGCAGTGGAAAATGATTCAACCTTGCGCCGATGCCAGTTTTTCCGTTGGCACCATCTCCTCAACTCGTATGTACGTTCCCCACCAATATTCACGCGACTAGATCTATGCATTGCATCCTTCATAACATTTTGATTTTTGGCAGCATTTCGTGGATATATTGGGTCAGGAGCGGGATCGAGCACCCAAGCACGATTCAGTAGTTGCGTGTTAGGGCTGCTGCCGGTGTGGACAGAGATGAGAATGGCGTTTAACAGCAGTCGGCAAAGCACTCGCAACAATCAGCACAGCATTCGCATCCCTCTTCACAGACGAAACAACAACACAGTGCGGCCAAACTGGAAGGCTGGATTAGGACAAGAGTTTCTTGGAGAGGTGGTGTGATAATTCTTACCATGCGCCCAGGCAGCCGCGGTCCTTTTTCTCACGGACAATCACTTGCTGAGGAGGACCTTGTTGGTATTGCATTTGACCTTGAGGAGGTCCGTAGTACTGTTGCTGCTGTGGTGGGCCATAGCCACCGCCATATCTGCAAGGGAAAAAAGGTCAGCGGGTCCGGATGGCGGAATGATCAAACTGAATTTTCAGAGGGCTGTGAGTGACTGGGGCGAGATTGTAGGATCCTGCGATGGGATACATGTTCTGTAGCTTTGCGCGCTCTCTTCGAACCACTTGTGGGATCGAGGAGGAACAGCGCTAGCTAGCGACATCGAGCGCATTACTTCCACTTACGTTTGCTGAGGATATTGGGGCCCGCCTTGATAATAGCCTTGGTTCGACATAATGGATGGGATTTGATTTAGAGGCAAAGTGATATGGTTGGTATGGTTGACGGTAGCTTCAAAACAGCTGGAGGTGAAGACGGAGGAAGTGCCAGGTGAAGAGCGGAGTCGACGTGGCAGTTGAAGATAAAAGGCAAGAGCGACAGTTGGAGGTCTCGTAGGGGAAGGCACGATACGAGAAGCTTAACTGGACTTGGCTCTACTGGTGTTTGGGGGAGGCGGAAGGTCGGTGATGCAGGGTGCTTAGAAGTGCTCGTCGCTCGAGTTTAGGCGGTGGGTTGTGGGCCGCGAGCAGGCCGAGCTTCCGAGGGATTGTCCGTGTCCGTGGAGTCTGTGACACTTGGAGGTCGAAGGGGCTTGTTTCAGGATCAAGGGTTTTAAGGGCAGTACTCGTAATCTACGAGCGTCTCTCCACAAGGACTCAATTATTATTATACCTTTTGACTAGCCATGATTGTTTCTATTTCCAGCCGAGCCATATTCGACCTCCCAGGGCCACGAACTCGGATGGGACTTGTCGTCGTATGTACGAGTAGTCAAGTCTTGACTCTTGATGTAGCAATTCCCCGTGCATTCGACACTCGACCCAAACTTTCCCTGCTTCGAGTTGCCTGATACGCAATAGATTACATTCTGGCGCAAGCTGAAAAAAAAAACCTCAGCACTGCATTGAATGAATTCCCGAGGACACAGTTACTCGTACAAGCCTCCTCGTTACTCCACCACCAGCAGTTCAGCCACAAATCGCGGACACTCTTGCCTCTCGGACTTTGCATTCGAGGTCCGGCACCTCGCGGCTGAGCCACAAGAGGCAAAATCGAGGCAAGAGCCACTCGACACAGTGACCAGCAATTTGATGCACGTCACCTGGCCAAGGCATCGTCCTTTCCCCTCGGTGGCCTCGGGCGTCGAAGACGACGCCTCTTTCGATCAAGGCGGCCGCGCGGCCTTCACATCTGATTGGCCCCGCAACAACTTTCAGCCACTAGCAGGTAGGTCATTGGAAGCTGAAGGAAGGGCGCCCACATGTCACATGCTGCCACCGACCTCCGACTCGAGGAAGGCACGAAAGGGTGTTCCGTCACGGCAAGAAACAGTGAATCCGGGAAATAAACCTCTCCATGCCTTTTACCGGGACCCAGAACCGAGACTCTAGCCAGCACGAGCCAGCATGGAATGACTGCTGGGGATCGTGTCAGGTATGTACGAGTAGTAGCAAGGAGGTAAATAAGATTCAAGTAACTTTTTCAAGACCAATCCAGACTTCCCTAATTACCTCGTCAAGTAAGAAGCAGTAAGATCTAGAGCAATGATGATACTCCTCGAAGGGCACCCACTCTTCCAACCTGGCCTTCGGACCAAACATGCAACGCACAAACAACAAACATCAAGAGTACTCCGTATAGTAATAGCCACATTCCATACGCGTGAGAGAACTGGTTGTCCACCATGGAGCCCATCAGCTGTTTCGGGCTCGTCCCTGTCAATGGATATCTGTTCAGACCCTGTTTCCATGTCCCTATCCCTTTACCCAAAAGTACATTAAATCCATATCCAAGTCCAATATCCATAGTATCCATAAGGTGGCATGCAGAGAACCCCTTTCGCAAATACAACAAAACCGGCCAGCTCGCTCATCAGCAGCATCAAGTGCATCCATTCATCCATCCAGGCATGTTCCACATTTCACTTCATCAATATGCAAAGGCAGACTCTTCAAGAGCGGCAGGATAGGTATTCAGGTCGTAAACGACATGGGGATCCATCGGAGCGCCGGCGTAGTTGGGGGTCATTGAGTTTCCATAGTACGACGGGTCGTGCATCACTGGCATGTCGTACGGTTGCAGGACTTGCTGTTCCATCTCGGCGCCGAGGTTGAAGTCTTGGTGAGGGTGTTGGTTGCCGGTCAGGTTGGGGTTGCAGTTCATGAGTTCGTGCATGTCGGCGGCGGTGTAAGTTGTGTCTGGCGAGAACTCTTGCACAATGGTCTTGCCCTTGACGTTGAGCTCGACCTCCTCGTACATCCAGTGCTTGAGTTGATCCATGGCAGGCCAATTGCCACCTCCCATGCCACCTCGGTTCTCACTCTTCTTGCCACGGCCTCCTCGTCGATTCTTGCATGGGTTGAAATGTGCTCGCCGAAGGTGTGCTGCCGCGTTGTAGTTGGCGCCGTATGTCTTTCGGTTGCGGCATGCTTTGCAGCCGCTGAGGAACGTTCCGTCTGGAGATGCATCTTTGCAGATCCACACCTTTCGAACCGAGGTATGGTGACGTTCGATGTGTCGACGGAGTTCATGTTCACCGTGGAAGCCTTGCGGTTGTTCAGTACAGAATTGACAGAAGGTTGTCTTACGAGGAGGCTGTTGTCGAGTGGTTCGAGTGATCTCGGCCTTGTGTTTTACTGTACCGTCTGCACCTTTGACTGCCACAATCCTAGGTTTGGGCAACTCGCCACCCGGGTACGAAGTGTTATTACAACTCTCCATCTTGGGCGCCAGTGGTCTTGACACTGAATTACTGTTGCGCAACACCGCTTCCTGCGGAAAAGGTTGCGCGGGCAAAGGAGATTGACTGGAAACAGAAACAGACGAAGCGTTACTACCATGAGATGTAGTAGGCTTCATTGCAAAACTAGAAGGAGAAGATGATGGCGATGATGCATGAACTTCATCATCGACAAATGACAACTGAGAAAAATCATGATACCTAGATTCAGGTACCATGGAAGAAAAAGGAAATAACTGCGCATGGTCGATATCATGCGACTTGGAAAGATTCGACTCAAGTATGTCAGGATGGGTATTCTTCGACATGAGCTTCGACAGCGAATCCATGCGGAACATACCGAATCCTTCACACAGAACATCATTTGTGTTACATCGAGTCATGGGCTCCGACAAAATTGTCGACGGCGCCGTCAAACTCGAGTCGCTAGTGGCAGTTGCAGGAGAGCTATAGCTTCCTGGTGACTCTAACGCTGGAATATAGGACGATGAGAGCTGAGATAAGTGGTTGGTACTAAACTCACCACGTCCCACTACGGTAGGAGGTGTAAAGGAGACGGTAGGTGCCGCATACTCATCTATCGATTTGGCGAGGTAGTCAGCAGGAGACATATCAGTCACCAACTCCTGGATGTGGTTGAGATTGGATCCATTGTATCGATGAGGAGAGGATGCCGATGCCGATGTCCGTCTTCTGCTGCTTTGAGGTCGGGGAATCGCCATGGGTCCGATAGTCGCCGAGGTTTGGATCGAGGGTGAGTGATGCATCGAAGTCTGCCCGGAGCGGCTTCTGGAGATAGACTGACCCATAGGTGCCGAGATGTGTCGCTCAAGAAGAGGTGCTGATGGTGCCGAGGACGCTAGAGAAGCCTTTCTTCCGTCAAACCAAGAAAGAGGGGTAAACAACAGCAAGAGTACATACATGGCCAGGACGCTTGGGAGTGGGTTCCAAACCAACTACCATCGCACTGGACGCGGATCGCTTCTGGGGGACCGAGGTGCCGTACTGCTGGGGTAGGCCGAGATTCAGCTGAGTATTGATCGAGGCCCAATAGTCAAGCCAGCCATGTTCGCGCTCGGTCGGCGAGAGATGTTGGTGATCCTGGTCGTAGACAGCTCGACAAGAACGGATGACCGACACAAGAGCAGTGTCCATTTTGAAGAGCGGATACACCAGATATGGACCAAATGAGTATATTGGAAGGGGACAAGCTCGTCACCTGTCATCCAATCTAATCACACGTGGTCAGCGGCCTTCTCGTGTTCAAGTTAGTCGTTCCCCCAATGACATTCCAATACTCACATTTGATAGCTGGAAGGATAAAGGAGACCAGGAGTGATACAACAAAACCGTAATTCTTGGAAGTATAAGTAATAGCAATAAGGGCGAAGTGAAGCGGTAGGAATTGGGAAAACTGGACAAAAAGAAGGCTAGGAGAAGGTGGGAGCGACCTCAGCGAGATATAGAGGGATTCCTTTTTCTCTTCCGACTCTTGGGAAGGAAAAAGGCGATCAGGTTGAAGATGCTTGGGACATGAACACAAGCGTGGGAACGAAGCCACTTTCACGTTAGCGACCTTTAGAGATGACGGGAAGTCTGCCGTTAGAGAGAAGTTGGCGACGCAAACGTCGGAGGCTTTTGCTGGTCGTGGAGCTTGTGGAATCAAATCCTCGCCGCTGATGGGCTGTAGAAAGTCCCGTCCCATCTCACCCTGGCCATGAGACCAGGCGGCCGGCCTCCTAGGCATTCTTCGAGTTTAGGGTCATCCACTCAGCCAAACATGTTCCGGGCGTTCCAGTGCCTATCGCAACCTATCGCACGATAGCACCACCGGGCGTCTCCTCCCGCGGCACGAACCATGTAGCAATGGCGCCGTTGCAAGGGACCTTGAGCTCGTGAGCTTTTCATGGGAGCACCCATGGAGCCAGTCGAAGGGGCTGTCACATTTTCGAAACCAGATCTCCATTGGTGGGCTGCAGTGTCCTTGAAGCGAATGGATTTCGTTCACCACCGCAAAAGCCCTTCGTGTTCTGACTGGCAGGCCGGCAACAGGTCATTGATTCTCTCGTCGCCTCACTTTTGGCGTTCCGGGGTTTGTGCGCACCATGTTGACGACTCAGATTCCTTGCCTGACCAAGTTCATGCCCAACTAACCTGATACCATTATGCATAAACTCAGCATAATCAATCACATGAGATTTCCGTAGTGTTGCTTGTCCCACCGTGGGCCCACGAGCACGATTCTCTGCTGTTCTTTGGCTCAATGTCAGATGCTTGATTCGTGAGAGAAGACTTTGACTCGGTGAACTTGGAGGGCTGTCATTCTCATGTTGCACAACAGAGTGACTTGCAGAAGGTGGATAGCTAGGCTACAGAAGGTGAATAAAAACATTGTGTCTTGGGTGATGGCAAATCTCACAAGTCGTAGCCACCGAACACTATTGTGCTACCGCTATTTGTCCGTTTCTAACGCCAGTGGTCAGACGGAGAAAGAATACAACCCGATCTAACAGATACGGATTTATACTCGAGTCATATGCTAAGTCTCTACGTGCTGGCAAACTGGATGTGGCTTCATCCCAGAAAGATGTCCTTTGTCCTTCGTGCCCAATGTTTGTGACCTGCATGTGGTCGGATTGCTTTCCCCGACCACTCTGAGGGCATTATATTACTACAGGTCTCGTGTTTGCCATCCAGTTCAAGCCCAAAATCCAAAATCCCGAAAAGCCTCGTACATCTCCGCGCATAATTCCTATCCACAGCCCTCTGCTGATGCGCATGCCTCGACATGAATGCTATGGCTGGTTCGGCTTAGAAAGTTTACACCTGCTGTTGCAAAAGTACTCGGTAGACAGTTTAGCATTTGACCATGCCCACCCCTGTCAAAGAGTGTGCTCAAACCCCTCCACTGAAGTAGCGTGGGAGAAGAGAAGAGAGCAATGGAACCGATGATCGATAGCGGTGCCAAGGGAGGTTCAGCTTCTCACAGGGTTCAAGCTCGCGATCCAAACAGCCATGTATTTAGGGATTGACAGGTGTCAGAGAATCCTGGAAGACTATCCCGTCCTTTCATCGAGGGTGGCGAGGCTTGCGACCCGAAGATCACGTAAGGGTAGGGGGTTATTTACCCGTTCCGTCTCTGGATCGGCATTGGTAAATAGCTCAGGTCTGGGTTGGGTCAGGCAGTCAGTTTGGGTGTTGTACAAACACTTCAGAAGCATCAAAGTCGGCGGCTGGATTGCTGCCACGGCAAACGTAGCGTCTTCTCATGGCTGCTCTTACATATATTGTTTTTGTGTAATCATTGCTCGACTCTGTACCTGATCAACCTTGGTAAATAGGAGACTATGGCTGATCGACGACGATCATCAGGACCGAAACTAGTAGTCCGATCTTCGATTCAACGTACTCGCACAAGGATTACAGGTTAGCTGGGATTGGATAAGCAGTTGTAGGATCGATAAGCAGAGTAAATACGATGAGAAGATGGACGAAGCAAAACGTGCAGCCCTTACGTATGTAAGAGTAGATGTGCAGGGTAGCGATGTTGGTTTGTCGGCTCCTACAGTCCTCCGTAATACTTCGTAGGGCCGTTTGAAGCTGATCAAATGCCATTTAGTCTGACGAGATATTTGACACTTAAACTGCCACTGCAACCTTGCCAGACAATGGTATTTCTAATACTGCGGAGCATAACGTGCATTACGCATTGTTTACTCCTTGACATCATCGGCCAAACACACGGTTCTTGAATATCACCAATCCCACCCGCACCACGAATCATCACTTGAATAATAGTATTCTGGGGCGTTGCTCAAAATGTCTATCGGCGATATTTTTGCAGACGCACAGCGCTCACTCGTTGGGCATAAGTCTCTTGCGAAACGTCTGAAACGATTGGAAAGCAATCCCAACTTCGAAGCGAACATCAAACAATGCGTCTTTCGCCTCCTCGAGGTCAGCAAACCTGAAGCTGCTGGAAATCGCGCCATCAAGTTCCTCACCACGTACCTTGAGACCTCTGAAGACTCGACCCAGACGGCATCGGCCCTACTCCTGGCCTTGCTACCATTCCTCTGCGCGAAAGACAAAACCGTGCGCTATCGGGCAACGCAAATTGTATCTCAGATTTTGGGGGTTCTGACTACGATAGACGACGATTTGTACAAAGTCATTCGACACGAGTTAATCAAGAGATTGAGAGACAAAGTCCCTGCAATCAGGTTGGAGGCAGTTCTGGCCTTGGGCAGGCTGGTCGAAAATGAAATGGAAGAGGAGGATGAGGAAGAAGACTCTGATGACGATGTGGCTCCTGGATTGCTCGAGAAGCTACTAGATGTTCTACAAAACGACACCAATGCAGATGTGAGGAGGGCCCTTCTCTTGAACCTACCGATTACCCCCAAAACGTTGCCCTATCTACTAGAAAGAGCTAGAGATCGTGATGGCCCAACAAGACGAGCACTTTACTCACGACTGTTACCGTCGCTTGGTGATTTCAGACATTTATCTCTCTCAATGCGAGAGAAACTGCTCAGATGGGGTCTGAGAGACCGTGACGAAAAGGTCCGCAAAGCCACAGCACGACTATTCCGGGAGCATTGGATCGAAGACTGTGCAGGCTCCAGGATTGAGGGTCCTGAGGGGCCCAAAGAGAAGAAAGTCGGGTTTCATGATCCCAGCATTCCGGCGTTGCTCGAACTGTTGGAAAGAATCGACACTCTCAATACAGGCAACGAGAGCGGTGTTGCACGGGAAGCTATGAAGGAGTTTTGGGCCGGCCGACCTGACTATCTTGATGTGGTTTCGTTCGATGACGAATTTTGGGATAGTCTGACACCGGAATCTGCTTTCATGGCCCGAACGTTCAATGACTACTGTCAGCAAGATTCCAACTACTATGCGATGATAGAAGAGAAGATGCCCGAAGTAACACGTCTTGGTTTTCACCTGCAGAAACACATCAATGAGCTTTCGAGCAGGGTACAGACCGCCAATGAAAGCGATTCAGACGATAAGATCGCTGAACAAGCTGAACAAGAATTCATTGTAGAGCAGTTGCTCCATATCGCTCAAAACTTGGACTATACCGACGAGATCGGTAGGAGAAAGATGTTCTCTTTGCTCCGCCATGCACTAACGATGGCCGACTTACCCGAGGAGTGCACTCGCCTTACTGTTGAAGCTTTGCGCCTTGTCTGCAACCCGGATGAAGCTGGTGAACGTGAATTTACCTCAGTTGTCCTCGAAGCTATTGCAGAAGTGCACGATCATATCGCATCAACTGACGTTGAAGATGAAGGCCAGGAAGATGAAGAAGACAGCTTTGTTTCAGCCAAAAGCGAAGTCAGTGGCGAGTCCGACACTACTCCCAAGCAAACCAGCAAAAAGAACAAACACAATAAGAACCTTTCGGAAGAGGAACAAGAGGCTAGGGCGATCAAGGAAATCGTCATCAACATGAAATGTCTGCACATTGCGCAATCTATGCTCCAAAACGTTGCTGGCAATCTGCAAACCAACATACATCTTCGCACGATGCTTGATAGCCTTGTTATACCCGCTGTACGGTCCCACGAAGTTCTCATTCGGGAGCGTGGCGTGCAGTGCCTTGGACTTTGTTGTCTATTGGAGCCGAAGCTTGCAGAGGAAAACATGCGCTTATTTACCCATTTACTTAAGAGAGGTCATGAAGCGCTCCAGGTTATGGCATTGCAGATCCTCTGCGACATTCTTCTTGCGAAGGGAAGGCCTACACCTACACCGACCCCCCATAGCGATGATCCAAACGCCACATCGGTCAGTGATTCTGAGACTGCCGATAGCCACAACGCCACGACTCAACTTCTTGCACCATTTATCAAGGCTCTCTCGACAAGTTTTCCAGATGAAGTTCGGTCCACAGCTACGACATGCTTATGCAAGCTGATGCTTTGTGGGTTCTATAAAGACAATGAAGAACTTTTTGACCAGATTGTGGAGAGGGCGATGCAGACAGGAGCGAAAGGGTGGGAATTACTTGAGAAAGTCAAGAACGCTGTCCATGTCGAGAGGGAGAAGGAGTTTGAGTTTGAGAAGGAGAAAGAGAGAGATGATGGCGGAATTGGGGCATTGCGAATGTCCTCAGGTCATGCACTGGCACTCAGACGCAGTAGTGGTAGTGAAGGCTTTCAGAATGGCAGTGCCAGAGTCAGTGCGGAAGGGCTGGAGACGTGAAAGTTCAGCGACATTAACGATGAGTTTCTGTTTAGGGTGGGGCATTTCAATGATGACTGCTTAAGTTTTGTTTATCGGATCATGCAGACTGGGCCAAAAGGGAGCTCTTCAAACTCGCGGTCTCAGCAAGAGCTCACAATCGACTTTGGATCTTTAGCCAAGAATATTACATATATGCCGTCTATAGGACGAGGAGTTCCTCTGCGAATCTTCCAAGCGCCCCGGGGACTGATATGTAAATCCTCACTGAATCCACTGACATGCTGTGACGTACGAGTACTCTGGCCACAGTGCAGATTCTTGGTTCTTGGTATTCTAGCGGACCCTTCGACGGAGATAGCTTAGCACCGCTGGCGAATGCCGAGGTGGGAGAAGCGTCGCCGATGTTCAAGTCGGGGTTACTCTTTTCTTGATTGAGGCTGGACCAGACAGCTTTAAAACTCTCTCCATCATGGGCTTGCAGTCTCCTCTCCAGCTGACTGAGATAATTGAAAATCCTGCTTGAAGAATTTCTTGTTTATCGGTCGCGGATTCCGTTGTATACATAGTCGCGCGATTCCACGTACAGTTGTCAACTTGTCACGGCAAGATATCGGGCGATTCACTACTCTCGATCCGGAGGTACATAGCTCACGTCGGCAAACATGAGTCTCTACAAGAACTTGGGCAACTCTGGCCTGAAGATCTCCAAGGTCATCCTGTACGTCACCACTCACGAGTCACACGCCATCCTGTCCAAATGGTTGCGCCCCGACCAATAATGACTGATTATCGCACAGTGGAGCAATGAGCTACGGCTCGCCGGAGTGGCAGGGCTGGGTGCTGAACGAAGAAGACTCACTCCCACTGCTGGAATACGCATACAAGGCTGGGATCCGGACGTGGGACACCGCGGACGTGTATTCACATGGGCAATCGGAGCAGATCATCGGCAAAGCCATCAAGAAGTTCAACATCCCGCGGGAGAACCTGGTGATCCTGAGTAAATGCTACTTCGGGGTGACCGAAGACAGCCCGTCGAACGCGATCAGCGTGAGCTCGGTCAACGACAACGACATGCTGAACCGGGTCGGCCTCAGCCGGAAACACATCATCGACGCCGTCGACAAGAGCGTCGCGCGGCTGGGCACGTACATCGACGTCCTGCAGATCCATCGCCTGGACCGTTCGACGCCGCGGGAGGAGATCATGCGCGCGCTGAACGATGTGGTCGAGTCCGGCAAAGTTCGATACATCGGCGCGTCGAGCATGGCGGCGTGGGAGTTCCAGGAGCTGCAGAACATCGCGGACCGCCACGGCTGGCACAAGTTCATCTCGATGCAGAACTACTACAACCTGATCTACCGCGAAGAAGAGAACGAGATGATCCCGTACTGCAACCACACAGGCGTCGGCTTAATCCCGTGGTCGCCGGTGGCCCGGGGTGCGCTGACGCGCCCGTACGCGAGCAGAGACACACTGCGCGAGAAGACGGACAACTATCTCAAGACGTTGATTCGGTCGAGAGACGACAAGGTCGACGAGGAGATCATCAACCGCGTCGAAGAGGTGGCCAAGAAGATCGGCAAGAGCATGGCGCAGGTTGCCATTGCGTGGACGCTGAGCAAGAAGGACGTGTGTCCCATTGTGGGATTGAATAAGCCCGAGAGAATCGATGAGGCTGTCGAGGCGACCAAGATCACGCTGGAAGAGGAGGATATCAAGTACCTCGAAGAACCTTACCAGCCCAAGAAGCGACAGGGCTACTAATTGGTTGGCCCGCGCCCAGCCGCTGCTTCGGTTGAGAGAAAGATAGAAGTCAACACCGGCCTACGGAGGTAGGTATCTATGTCTGTGCCTATCTGAAACAAGACAAGATATAGCCGATCTTTATCTGCGCCAAATAAAGGCCAAGATTGTCCATCAGAAGAACAAAAGAGCCATTCCCATCTCATGCAATTCCAGGCGGTGAAGCAAGTGCTTTCTTGTAGTCTTGCAGTTTGCTATGAGTGAGTTCATCTCTTTCTGGTTGCGTTTGCGGTGAACGTCAACGTGTTTGTCAGCTGGGGCAGGGAAGTCACTACAAAGTCACGTCAAGCAACTTATTCACGCCTTCACTCTCACTTCACATTTGACTCATAAATCCTGCCTTTTCGTGATTAAAAGGACCAACTAAAGACGGGGTTCTCTCTCTCTCTCTCTCTTGAACCTCCTTGCTCCCCCATCTCTCGTCTGCCAAAACCTACCTCGTTCCTTGATACTTACTGTGGCGTGTCAATGCGCCGTCTTCCTCGTTATATCTACCTGAGACTGAAAGGCAAAGACTACCCCGTGTACCTGCGCTTCAAACATCGTTCATCATGCCCGCGCCGTGGTCTGACGATGCAGACATCTCAGTCAACGACGACGACGACGACAACGACAGAGACGACCTCAGCTCCCTTGATCTCGATGCTTCCGGAAGTGACGACCGAGAACATTTCATGCCTCCTTCCGAACGACTGGAAAACCGCGAAGAGGCCGAGTATCAACGACTTGAGGATTTCTTGGAATACCGCAACATGAAGCAAATGCCACGATCTGATCACGGTCACGGTGACACAGAAGCCGAATCATTTCCCAATCACCAGAACAAGAAGAAATTCAACGCCAAATACCACTCCATGGTCTTCCCAGGCTTGAGCATTCCTGTCAATGCGCCCAAAAAAGGCAAGAAAATCTCTCAAGACATAACGTGGGTCACAAAAGAAGAGGTTGTGCCAATCATGTCTGTGGAATGCCCTCTTCCTGGTGGCGAGGCCGTTGCAATGGTTACAGATCCTGTTCAGAAAGTAAGCTGGGGCCCCTTGACGAGAATCGAAGCAACTAAAGAGGCACGAGATGTGATTAAAGAGTGGCGGAAACTTTCTTCAACGTGCAGAGAGAAAGTTGCAAGCACACCCAAGCACGACAAAAAATCGCCTTTGAAGGACAAAGACACAGCGATCCTGCCTCCTGTTGTCCACGATGAGGATAGGAATGAGGAAGATATTGTCGCAAAAGAAGCAGCCACTTCTGTATCTCAAGCAGAAACCGAGTCTACAAATTCGAGAGTCCGAGTTCTCAAGCCACCACCGCCAACACCTCCAGACGCGATATTTCATGGAGCTTTGTCTATGCCTACCCTTCCAAACTTACACCGCATATCTGATGCTCTGTTGGTTGAGCAATATCGCCTTCAGCGAGCTCTGGATCCAGATGCGTTTGATAAACAAACCCGTCTCATCAAACGTGGACTTGTGGACGCCAAGATTGCACGTGGAGGAAAAGATTGTTTGCTAAAGAATGAGTACACCGTGGAGTTGGCATCAAGAGAAGACGCAACAACGGCCGAGAAATGGGCAAGTGGAAGGATTGTTCAGATGAGATCAAGGGAAAACACTGTAAGCGTTGCTCCGGCAAACATCGCAGAGAAACTTGGTATTCGGGGCGGAGAAGGTGAAGATCCAACCATCTCCGCAAAGACCCTTCAAGCCACTGAAGGCGAACTTGACGTTGCTGATGGCTCGCAGAAGGAAGAGTCAAAGCCAGAGGATGAGAGTCATGAGACCTGCAAACAGGGCGCAGATAAGACAGCCAAGAATGGTGTAGAGAGAGTGAGACCCAAAAACAGCCGTGACGGGACTTCGGGCGGCAAAAAGAGTACGAGCCAGGATCTCAAGGCCAAGTTTGACTCTTTTGATCTGCCATCTCATGTCAGCAAAATGTCCACATACGGAACTATCCGTCATCAACACTCCGAAAAGCGAGAGGTCAGTGACTATGGCGAGAGACGCACAGTTACCACATGGATCCAAATCGAAGAAGTGTACGACGTCCCCGCTGCGAATTCCTTAAGCTGGAAAGATGTGATGACAGCGGTTAAACAAGAAGCTGATGGTGACGATGGTGGTTCCAAAGGAAACAAGACGGGCCGGAAGCATAAGAAGAGTCAAGGAGGCAAGCGGTCTCGGTCGGCTGTCCCTCGAAAGCAGCAACAGAGTAAGAACAATTCTTCTGATTCCGAGACCGAGGATAGGAGCTCCAGGTCTACCAACCAGTCAAGAGAACATGGTCAAACTCGGACCGAGGAGCTCTTCGACACACTCTCTCGCTATGGAGAAGTGAATGAAGAGACCATCAGGAGATTGACACGCAGTTTGAGTCAGGTCATGTCCGAGCTTCGAGGAAGAGGCGAGCTCATGGTCGAAGAAGGAGACTGAATCATGACAGGACAAGTGAAGTGACTGCTTGCTCAGCAGTACGAGTAGGATCGAGAAGGTGGCTGATGCTCACTGTCATGGGCGAAAAAGGCGTGGTAGGCAGGATGTGCATTGCATGAGACCATGAGACAGAAGGAATGGCCAGGCTGACACGCAGCATCGATGGATTGCTCTACGCAAACAATTGAACGCTTTGAATGGTGAACGTTCAGCCGTGTGGCAAACCGTATAGCTGAAGTGAAAGTCAGCAGATCGATATTCAGTCAATACTATTGTGCTGGGAGTCTGCCAGAGGATCGAGCAAGGGAAGGCAGTGCTGACTGGGCTTCAGAGTGCAAGTGCACCAGGCGCTCTGTGACAGACCTCGTACCGGAGCACTCGATACTCCGTACCTAGGTATGCACTATGTACTAGGCACCCGTAGGTAGCCAACCTGGACACTCGGTAGCAGAGGAGCTTGTACCGGGAGCTCAAGCAGCTTAAGCCACAGGCCTAGGCCCACTGCTTCAGCCTCGAATACAACAACGATGTGGCTAGTATCCAACCGAAAGGAGAGTGCGAGCAATTCCCATATGAGACGCGGCTGGTGAGTCCGAGCCTGTCTGGACGCTCGAGCCTTCCACCAAGCCGACCAACTACTAGATCGTAGGCCAGTGCATGAAAGGTAACCTTAGCTCGTGCTTTGTGTTCTATGCGCCGACTTGAGAGTCGAGACCAGTACCCATAGCCTCGTGGGCTCCCTGCTCGGTAGTTGGCGCCCCCCAAAAGGCCTTGGCATGGAGCAGCCCCTTTGACCTCTACGAGGGCCAACACGGGAACACGGGGGCCAAAAGTGGGAATGGGGTACGGAGTCCTCCGTCCTTGCCCTGGTAGTGGTAAACCGGTGAACGGCTTTGGCAGGTGCGACAGTGCGACAATGCGACAATGCGACAGTGCGACGCGCATTTCTGCAGGAGCCATTTACAAGTTACGAATAGAGTAGAAGTTGCCGTCTGTATGTATAGGTACCCCGTACTCCGTACAGAGTACATACAGCACTCCGTACTGTACGAGGGACTGACTAGGCAGCCACACAGCCTACAGGGGAGGAGTCCGCCTTCCCCTGCCCATACATCTATGATGGTGTCCAAGCAATTGACAAGACGGAAGAGGCGGCGTGAGAATCCGGCAGAACACTGGTGAGATGGGCTTCGCATGCCCTACGAGTACAAACGAATTAATAATTCATGAATCATGGATAACAAAGAGTGCTCCGTACCTCGGAATTGTTGCATGCTACCGATTCTACCAAGTCAAGCCTCCCCTAATCTCTTTAGCGGCGCAGACCAAGCGATCCCCTGGGTCGATCAATCTCGCTCCTGAGCCTCCATGTGCCAAGCACCACAGCAACAAACGCTCCTGGGGCCTTGGAGCGGCCCAATGCCTAATTCTCAAATTTCCAGGCCAATAGTCCAATCATGGTCATATGATGGTCCTGATGGTCCTGATGGTCACCCTTGAAACGGTGCTGTCCTGCCTTGCCAAGACTCGCCCCGTTCCACAATCACTATTTTTGCCCTTTTTCCCGCACCAAGGATCGAGTGTTGTGGCACCCGACTGACCAGGGAACCACATCTGACACATCTTGACTATGCCATTGACGAACATGCACGCACGACTCGAGCACGTCTAAGGATCTCCATCTGTGTCTCCCCAACCAGAGCCCCGATATACCTCGTGCTACAAGGAATATGCAGCCCGTTCCACAGGAGGATTGCCAACCCACGCTACCATCACCAGTTACACAATAATGAAACGGTGACCATTCCTGCTTTCAGCTGCCAAGGTATTCGGCGCGAAACTGTTTGCACGAGGCCTGGGCTATGGCGAATCCTCCCAATTTGACTTCCCTTGGTATACACCCCCCCCCAGAACAGTACACATGGACGGGCGTATCCCCTATAACAAGGACGCTCCCCCAGGGTAAAGAGCTGTAGTCTTCGTTCTCTGCCCGCGCCATCAATATACCCTTGCCTCGGAGCTCCTACAGTAGGAGGGACCTTCGTTAAATTTATTATAGACCTAAGCTGTGGTCTGCGGGAGTTTGGTTCTCTGGAGAACACATCTTCCCCTTTTTGCTTTTTATTCTGATTATTGGTTAAAAATGATTCCAATAATCCTAGCCTTGGCATCTGGCCTTTCCACCGCCTTTGCACAGGCGTGTCCTGACGGCTATGCACTCAATACTGGTACACTCCCACAAAACCAGACTCTCGACTGGCTTGCATGCCCTGTCGAGGAGGAACCGACCTTGGAATGTGCTACTCTATTGGTCCCCATCGATTACAATGACCCTGACGCGGGACTCTTGACGCTTCCACTTGTCCGTATTCCATCCAACAGCTCGAATGCTAAGTCAATCATTTGGAATCCTGGTGGTCCGGGAGTGAGTGGTATCACCTCACTGATTGGTAACGGTGCGAGTACGGTCTTGTAAGTCTTCTCTGAGCTATTTTATTCCCGCCTCTGACGAAGATAGACTTGCCGGTGGTGATTATAACGTGTTGACATTTGATCCTCGAGGAACTGGCTTCACAATACCCTACCAATGTCCTACTGTGGACAGCGCGGAAGGGTCGGAGGTTCCGCTAGATGATCCTATTGGATTGAACGCATCTTTTGTCACAAACACCAACCAGGGAGAACTTTGCGGCCAAGACGAGTACAAGCTGGGAGGCGAGCTTGTCGGCACTGCATTCGTCGCAAGGGATGTCGACTCTATCGCCCAAGCTCTTGGAGAAGACGGCATGATTAGATACTGGGGTTTCTCTTATGGCACCCTTCTTGGATCTACTATTGCAGCAATGTTCCCGGAGAAGATCGATCGCATGATTCTAGATGGCAACATCAACCCAACGGATTACTATCACGGGACGAACGAGGAGTCGGTGGACAATGTGGATGCAGCATTGCTCAACTTCTTCGAGACCTGTGCTGAGGCTGGACCCACATTCTGCCCTCTAGCGGACGCAACCTCGACTGGTCAGGAGCTTCATGACGCCTTCCTGCAAATTTTGGAACAGGTCAAAAGCGGAGAGCTTATCCTCAGTGGAACGACCTCCTCCGGCAGTACCGTTGAGGTTGGTTACAAAGAGTTGAAGAGCCTGTTCTTTAGTGCGCTCAGAGGCCCAAGGAATTTCCCTGAAGCTGCAGAAACTCTTGCGATTCTTTTGCAGGGTGCTTCTGGAGGCACCTCTCGCGTGCTGAGACGGGACGAGTTCGACCCTCTCGCAGCTCAGAACCTTGAATATGACCAAGCATTGAGCGCCATTACATGTGGCGACTGGGATGACATCGACGGAACTCTCGACGACTTTGAAAAATGGCTTGGCCTCTATTTAGAGCGGAGTCAATTTGGTGGTGATCAGTTGATCAGCATTCTGTACGGATGTGCAACTTGGCGAGTCAATGCCCGCGAGAAGTATGACGGACTATTCACCGGCATCGAGACCAACACCCCCATCCTTTTCATCAATGGTCCTTTCGATCCCGTCACCCCATTCACCTCGGCACAGAACTCTAGCTCTGGCTTCACCAACAGCGCGCTGCTTCAAACCATGGGCGCAGGCCACTGCTCAACAGCCCAGCCATCGACTTGCGTTCAACTGAAGGTAGCATCTTACTTCCAGACAGGCCAGCTGCCAGACGTGTCGGAAATCTGTCAACCCAATCAAGCCGCATTCTCTGGCGCGATCATTCCTTCCACAAACAGCACGGGTCCAGTCACGAACTCCACTGAGGGTAGAGGTGTTGATGATGATTTCAGTGCCGCGGTGGCCAATCTCGTGAACATGTTTGACAAGCGCGACGTTGAATACCCAGCAATGCTCCTTGAAATGAAGCGTGATGTGAAAGACATCCTCCGCGCTCGACAAGCCAGCTCAGCTACCAACACATTGATCCCGGCTACCTGCACACCCACTGCTGGAGGTGCGCAGTCCACAGGGTCTGGTAGCTCGGGGTCGGACAGCGGTGGCTCAGGAAGTGAAAATGGCGCGCCACAACTCCTATCAAACAAGCATATCTGGAGCGTTCTTACAGTGTTATGCATTTCCTGGTTGGGGCTGAGCATTTAAGACATAATCTTTTTTGACGGAGCATAAGATGCGGCTGTAAACGGTCTTGGAAGATGTCTATTTCACAATGATTGTTATTATTATATACAGCCCAATCATATACACCATGACGGACGGTTCAATGACGTTCATTAATTCTGCTCAACGACCAGGGCTACATTTCCCTCATCTACTGCGTCCTATCCAGCCTTCAAGACCGAGGTGATAACAAGGCTAACCAATCGGAGTTCTCCATGGCTGCCGAGTGGCTTAGATAATCACCGGATCTGCCCTGACGAATAATTTGAGGCTGAGGAAGAGGAGGGGTCCGTGCCCCACTTCATGTCTCCCACCGCTGTGCGGCGGCTTCTCCAACCCTCCACTGGAAGTGCCACCACATCATCCCTCATCTACCTTTTGCCTCCTTCGGTTGAAGGACTCTTCATCACAAAGCCTCCGCCACTACTGTCCAAAGCGACTCGCTGTCGACTGCGCCTTCTTCCGTGTCAAATTAGCGCTCATCGTAGGTAGGAGTACATATCTCCTGTCTTTCTCATTCTTCATCCTCTCTTTTCGCCGATCGACAACACCGACTGATCGTCGATATCTTTCGTCCATCCGCAAAAGGCCCATCACCACTTTCTCAAACCCGGCCAGCAACACCAAGAACAACCGACTCCTCCTGCTCTCCCATCCTGCAAGCATGGCGGAACCCACAGGACAACCCCAGACCAAGGTGCCCTCACCACTGCAGACGCAAAACCTCCCTTCAACATCTCCGCCACTATCCGCGACGCCGTCGACGGCATCACCATCATCCATCTCTCACAAACGGTCTCGCTCACCGTTATCAATCGACCTGTCCAACATCCCACCATTACAACAACCGGCACCTCCATCCAACACCCTCCTGATCACCCGCCTAGACGACTCGAAGATCTTCCACCCAGCCTCACTTGCCACGATCCGCGCACACATCAACTCGATCGCACCGCTGAACTCCTTCTCCCCGCTGAAGTCGATGCACCGCATCATCTGCTCCTTCTACGACATCGACTCGAGCATCGCCGTCCGGCAGGCCATCGACGGCACTGCGTTCCTAGGCAATAGCGTCGCCAAATGCTACTTCGGCGAGCCCACGCCCATCGGCGACGAGAGTCAGACGAAATACCTCGCCCGGCCCGACGCCGGGCGGTTATTCTTCATCAGCCCGCCCCCGTCCCCCCCCGTCGGCTGGGAAATGAAGACTGAGGACCCGCCGAACAAACAAGTCCATGCCGACGACCTGGCCACGCAGCTGGCGAAACTAGGCGGCCGGCTGCAGTCCTCCTCGAGCGACCACGACTCCTCGAGCGAAAACGAAGGCGAAGAGTCCTCCACAAAACAATACTCGGCAGAAGAGCTCGCTCGGCTAAAAGCCCACACGCACGTCCGCGGCGCGCTGGCAGAGCACTCACCGACAACAGGCTCATCCTCGCCCGGCAAGAAAGGACCCCGTAGCCGCAGCTCCACGCTGATCTACGACCCCAAAGCACACGGAGACAGTCCCGCGCTACCGGCGGTGATGCTCGAGACCGAGGACGACTCGGACGTCGAGCTGGATGCTCACCCGAAAAAGATCCTCGCGCATACAGAGAGGCCGCCGCTGGAGCTGATGGAGCACTGATTGATTGATTGATTGCGGCGTTTCGTGGGAAAAGAGGGAGAGCGTGAGGTATTTCATTCTCTTTGGGCACGGGCGTGGGCGTTAGAGAGGTATCGGGCAGAGAACTGACTTATAGTTGAATACGGTCCGCTCTACGAGCGCCGTCACCGTTTGGGGAACCTTGGTCGAAAAAGGGACGAGCTGGCTAGCATGATACAAGAGAGCGTATCGCTACAATTGGGGAAGGCGAACCATGCTCGAAGTTTGGGCACGTGTCTTCTTCTATTTTTGGGCCGCCCCAACGTGGCGCAACTATGAACTTATCAGACATAGACTAGATGTCAAAAGACAGCATTCATCATATCCAACCACCCATGGGTAATATTTTGTTGCTCAGGTCCTGTCTGTACTGTGCGGAAGCTGTGGGCTAGGAAACAGAGATCTCGCAGAAAGAACCAATCAAGGTTCGAGAAACTCTTTGGGAACCCCCCAAATCGTCTATAGTAGGAAAAGCGCCGATGCTTCAAATTAATAGCAGGTTTGTTGGACTGGACTCGGGGTGGCCACAACCGTAACCTCCGGGAAAACGCCGCCTTTGTCCGCGCAGAAACCAAAACGCCGTGAATAACAAATCACAATCAACCGCAGTGCTCACCCAGGGATATTGTTTCAGTCCAGGCCCTTCCAACGCCGGTATAGTTTCTTGTGTTGCTCAAAAAACACCATGGTGCAGATTGTCTGTGGTCCGAGGCGGATGAAGCTGGGGACCCAGCCTCGGAACATCCAGAGCAGACCCTCCTTACGGCTGGCCTCGGAGAGAAGACTTAGGACCGGTACTTTTCCTCCTGCGCTCATGATCCGCGTCTTAATGACGTCGACTGGGGAACAGATCGTCGTGGCCACAAAGCCCGCAGCGAGCGAGGAGGTGAAGTGGGTGCCGAAGTTGTCCTTCATGCCCAATCTCTGCAAACAGAATTGCTTGAAAACGTCGTAGGAGGTCAACTGCGATGCCGTCATGAGTAGTGCCCGTGTGCTGTTGGCGCCGACGCCACGGAAAATACTCGCGGGCCCTTCCTCACGGGCCATGCGCATGAGGCCATCTAAGGCGTGCTTGTAGTTGCGTTGGGCTTCGGGCGGCTTGGAGGCGTCGGACTGCATGCGGACGTTCAATACGTCGCCTGGATTTCCGGCGATGCCACCAAGGAAGCCGGCGGTGGAGGACATGAGGACGAGATTGAGCAGAGATTGGCGAGGCTTAGGGTTCTCGGGCGTGGGTATTGGGGCGAAGCGGGTCTTGAGGTCTTCGTAGATGCCGAAGCGCACGGTGGAATAGGTGAGTTGGCGTAGTAAAGCAGCGGAAAGGCCTGCATAGAGGCCCAGAATGCCCTGGCTGCGATAGACAAAGGCGAAGGTGCCCAGGGTGGTTTTGGGTGCGGAGGCTGTCCGGGTTTGGAGGCGGACTTTCACTGTATACCGGAGATTAGTTTAATGTGGTCAATGGAGAAGTTCAGTATGAGCAAGCGGGTACCCAAGTCAAGAGGATGGGTGACTACCGCGGCCATGGATGCAGCACTCCCTCCGAACCAGAACGGATAGTGCAGCGCAGGGGATTTGGCCTTTTGCAGCCTTGAGCTGAGAGCAGCATCTTTGGCGGTAGGGGAAGCGATTGTGGACATAGCTCCATTGGAGAAGCAAAGGGAGGTGGAACAATAGAGGAGAGGAAAGAGAATGACAAGCAGGTATAGTAGGAAGCGTGGTACTACAAGTGGGAGTGGAAAAAGGTACCAGGGACGGGTTTGTGAGACAGACTGGAAAAAGGCTCTTGGGAAGGAGCTCCGAAGAATGGAATTGGGAGACGGCTGGCAACGGGTAGCAAAGAGAAATTCGATGACGAAGAGGAGGATGTTTCGAGAGAACGCGACATCAGTTTCGAGAAGAGGACAAGCGAAAGCGACTTCGGCCCTGCGGGTTTTCGAGATGAGGAGGTACTAGCCACACTAGCAACACTAGCCATGGCACACTAGTATAAACTAGCTCGAACGGATAATTAATTATTCCTGGCAGCAAAGTCGCAGCTTGGAGCACGTTGTTAATCCGCAGCTTCACTCCTCACTCTTTACTCCTCAGTGTTCTGGCCCTGCGCCATCTCTCAATCCAAGGTCAGTTGCTTCCTCACTGGCCAGTACTTGTACTGCTCCTTCCCGAGAGCCCCCCTAATTCGGACCATGCGACTTCTCAAGACAGGAGCGTTTGTGCGGCAAGTGCGATCTGCCCGCACCTGTCGCATAGCTCATTCTTCCTCCTCTCCCTCTAACAGCGCTCGCCTCACTCCTCCCCCTTCAGCTGTCCGATGGTCGAGCATCCAGGCCGCTCCTCAGTCTCAATCTTTTCCTGAACAATCGGTCGATCCTTCTCGAGAAGTTGACCCTGCAAAGACCGCCGCTCAATCCTCTTTGTCCCACCCTTCCGAAACAGACACTTTCAAACAGCACCTTCAAAATCTAGGAAAAGAAAACCAAATTATACACGAGTCTAGAGAGTCAGGTTCTCTCATCCTAGGCAAGCCCTATGTGTTTGACTACACTACAAATGTCCCCCAATCCATCCTCGATCTTGTTGGTCGCAATTTGTACGACAACCCCGATCATCCTCTCTGCATCACCCGAAAATTGATCGAATCATGCTTTCCATCTCCCGAGTTCAACCATTTCATCCAAGGAGACCCAATTGTGACCGTGCAAGAGAACTTCGATGTCTTGGGATTTCCTCAAGATCACCCTGGCCGTTCCAGAACTGACACCTACTACGTCAACTCGTCTCATCTTCTGAGGACCCATACCTCTGCCCATCAACATGCCGCCTTCAAATCTCTCGCTCTCGAGGATTTTACGTCCGGCTACACCATCTGTGCCGATGTCTACCGCCGTGATAGCATCGACAAGAGCCACTTCCCTATCTTCCACCAAATGGAGGGCGCAAAGGTCTGGGCTCTCGATGGCAACATTACTCAAACCAGATATAACCGAATGCTTGCGCGCCAGCAGACTATCTCAAACGATTTGGCGAACCTTCCAAAACCTGAATTTCTCCAGACAGAGCGCAACGCTCATTTCGACCCCAAGACAAACCCTGTACAAAAAGAGCATGATCGAGATGAGACTATTCTGTTAGTTAGTCACCTCAAACGCAGCCTTGAGCTCCTTATTGAAACCGTCCTCCGCGCCGCCCAAGCTGCCTCCGCCCGCAAGGCCGTCGCGAATGAACCAATAAAAGCACGCTGGATTGAAGCCTACTTCCCTTTTACATCTCCTTCTTTCGAGATTGAGGTCCAATGGAACGACACTTGGCTCGAGTTGCTAGGTTGTGGCATCGTACAGCAGCCCATCCTGACCCAAGCCGGCTTACGTGAACACGTCGGCTGGGCATGGGGTCTAGGTGTCGAACGTTTCGCTATGCTGCTGTTTGGTATCCCCGACATTCGACTATTCTGGTCTACGGACCGCCGATTTTTGAAACAATTCTGTCGCGGTAGAATCACCCAGTTTGAACCCTTCAGCAAATATCCAGCTTGTTACAAGGACATTGCTTTCTGGATTAGCCCTACCCCGGCCACCGGTACACCTATGAATGCTAATCCAGTATCTTCAGGTGTAGCTGCAGCAGCAGGAGGTGACTCAACAAAAGCATCTCTGGCCGAGACTCAACCTGCCGCCTTCCACGAGAACGACATCATGGAGGTGGTACGTGATGTGGCTGGCAACCTGGCAGAAGATGTCACCTTGGTCGACGAATTCGTGCATCCGACCAGTGGCCGAAAGAGTGTTTGCTACCGAATCAATTACCGCAGTCTGGAGCGAACTTTGTTGAATGACGAGGTCAACGCTTTACATGATGAAGTTGCCAAAAGAATTGTCGGATTACATGGTGTCGAGTTAAGATGACCTGGGCAGAAAATCCCTTTTTGACTGTAATGTAAAACCCCGCCCCGTGGCGTGTATAATAACTTCGAAGACGAATTCTCCTCTTCTTTCACCAATCGACATATTAAGAGGTACGGTCACGTGAAGAAGTAAAGTTACACCCAGACGGAACATGTTAGCCGTCGACCCCTATTTTCCACTATAAATATACAGGTGCAGCACTCCGCTGGTGGTCTCTAATTTGAACACTTTCATGCTTCCCATACGATACGAGAAATGCCAGACCAGCAAACCCATCCCTCCCATCTCCACATACACGTAACATAACGTAGCATCCGGACCGTACAATACATAATTAAGTGGTAGGTGATTGTGGAATTTATCTACCACACACGCCTGGAGGGTCTAGGTGTTTCCCTCGCAGATCTGTGACATGGGTAGGGAGATATGTTGGTATGATGGCCGTTTTGGGTTTGTTTGGATTGGAATAGAGCCTGGGGTTTTGTGTCTTCGGTAGATTTTAGGGTTGACCTTGGTGTTTTGTTGGTTGGTTTCCGTTTTCTTCTTTCTGGTACACTATCTTAGGAGAGTCTGTTCGGGGATTCGAGTGGGAGGCGAGAGGTTGTGATTGATGGCAGTGGTATTGGTGGTGGTATTACCGTGTCGTGGGCGAGGTGAGGCGAGGCGGGATGGCAAGGCGAGGCATGAGAGAGACCGGGGGACAGCAGGAAAGGTTTTGGCTTCATCTTCATCCAGGGTTCGAATCAGGGTGTCGACTAGACTCAAGCACTTATCCCAAAGGTCCATTCCTTGTGTTGTGGGCCGGTTGACGCCTCCGCCATCTCCTTTTCCTATTCTTCGTACGGCGCTTATGAGTTCTTGACGACGCCGACCTTCGCCGCGCGAATGACCCGTCCATGCAACTTAAATCCCTTACTCTGTACAAAGAAGATGTCGCCGTTCTCCTTGCTCGGATCCTTGCTGAAGAACGTGGCCTCGTCGGTGTTGGGGTCAAACTTGCGGCCCTCGCCTTCCGTCGGGTCGAATTTCTCAAGCCCGTGCTTCTTCAATGTCCCCAGGAGGATCTCTTCGGTCATTTTCAGCCCGGAGTAGAGACTTAGGAGGTCCTTTTTGGCGTCGGCGGCGTCGGCGGACGAGGATGAATCCGCGATGGATTCTTTGGGGACGGAGGTCAGGGCGCGGTCGAGGTTGTCTATCGAGTCCAGGAGGTCGCTGGCGAAGCGTTGGATCGCGAATTGCTTGGCCGAGTCCATGTCTCGTTTCGTGCGGTCTTGGAGGTTGCGGTAGTCAGCGACGGAACGGAGGTATTTATCCTATTCACAGGGTATCAGTTTGTGTAATGAAAAACCTCATATTTTCGGAGCGGGACTGATTTGGTGAATCCATCAAGCCCGGGTCAGATCATACCTTGAGATCTACTACTTCCTTTGCCATATCACTATGCTCTTTCTCCACCTTGGCCAGGTGCTCCTCGGCTGCTGTTTTGGCAGTCGCTTCTGAGGAGGATGCAGCATCTGCGGTGGGCGTTGTCGCGGTGGCGTCAGCGGCTTTCTGTTCGGAATCCGATGACTGCCATCGTCTCCCTAGTATCCGTGATGTCTGATAGGTGGGCAGTGCTACTCGGGTTGTAGGGGTGAATGATGCAGTAGAAAACGATGCAGACCGTTGTATCAGTGCTACTTGGGGCAGTGATGTCGAGGTTAAGGATTCTGAAATGTTGCGCGCTTGGCGCAGGAGCTGTTTTCGGAGCATCATGGGTATGTGTAGGGGAGACTGGGGGAGAAATTGAATTTCAAATCAGATGCGAATTACGCCGAATCGACCTTGATGATAGGAAGTGTTTCTAGTTGAATTAGAATGCTAACGAAGGGAAGAGAACACGCGTGTTGAATTGCAAAATGGATTGCCGACCTTCTTGAGCTCCATTTTTTGGGGTTTTTGGTTCAACTTTCGGCCTGAAATCGGGGTCCAAGGCTCCAAGACTCTAAGGTTGTGCTGACATAATCAAGATTCGACTTTCAGTGGGTGCAGCCTTGCCCCCCGTGTCGACGCAGTCTGAGGGTACTCAAGCGATTCATTCCCTTATTGTTGGTATTTACGCCCTCTTCCCGTTCTAGCACTACTTGAACAGATCCCATTCCTTGATGAGGGCCTCCAACAGGCAATCAAGAACACAATGTGATATTTATTAACTTAGCACTGCCTTCACCCTTGTCTATGTGTCGAATATAGCAGTTCCGAGGCCGAGAGAATCCCGGAAATTGTCATTTGTGGCTAATTCCTGGCCATTGCCGCTGTAACATCCTAGCTGCTGTCCTGATGCCCAAGGCTCGAGACGAGAGGCCTGCTTGCTGCTTTGACGGGCAGGTAGAAGGCTCGGAATGCCCAAGCCAGCGGCAGCTTGTATCTCGGCGCACTTGAGCCATGATTGACCTGGTTGTAGCCATACGCGGGAAACGCAACTCCTATCTTCTCTGAGATGTCTGGCTTTTCGGTCAGAATTGTATGAGCAACGCTTTGATGTTGCCCAGTCGGATGCGCATGACCTGAGGTGGAATTACGGCTACTGGTGACTTGAGCAAGATCAGGTTGTTCTGCCGATCCAATAGCTCTCCCTATGGAACAAAGGATATTTCCAATCACAGCCACCGGGTAAGTAAATGGGCTTGGCATCAATCGAGATGCGGCATTAGGCTCTTTCTTATGTTCACTCAAAAAGAGATTTTCGTCAATCTTGGGCGGGATGAATCTTTCCACGCCTTGACGGCCATAGGAGTCGACAATTCCATGAGTGTGCTCTGTTCGGGAGACTTTAGTCCGTCTCTTAATGAATATCTCTTCAAAAACGGCCGCTCCCTTGGCATGAAGAGAATTGGGCCGCACAAGCGAGATGAGAAGCCCAAAGACTGCGGGGGGGCGTAGACTTGACGAAGCATCTTTTAGGAAGCAGGGGATGCTCTCACTAGTCTCGATTGGAATGAAAAGCCCTGGCTCAGCGTTGGTGACGCCAACACATACATAACTAAGAGGACAACATCCAGGTTGACCAATGGCGTCCGTGGTGCAGTAACTTCCAACCGGGCAGCAATTACCTGGGACAGTACAAGGCATCCGACTTGCGGCGCAGACCGCTCGGTCAGCTAAAAGAGAGGCCGGGAACGGTGAGTACGTCGTGGTGGGACTTAGGTTAATTTGAGCGGAGAAGCCGACCAATGACTTCGAAGAGTGCCGTGGCTGGTGGGGGCTTATATCTGTTACCGTCAGAATTAGAAACCGTTGAAAGGATCTGCGACACCTGCCTGCGTAAGCTCCGGAGAGCGCGAGCGTGTTCGATAGTATTTGGAACTTCATACTGCGATCGACTGGTGGTTTGAGTTGTAGGTGGTGGAAAAGAGATGCACTGAGGGGAAACGGTTGAATTTATAGATAACCCAACGAGGCTGAGCCATCAGAGCCTCACCATTGACACAGCAGTATGAAGCACCGGTTCTTAATCCTCTTGGCCACGACTATCTCCTGCGTTTGTCAGGATTCGTTTGTCTGCAAGCACAACACCTGATCTCTTGTGTATGACCAGAAATGAAGGCGACATTGAATGAAGAGTGATATCACGGAGCGGAGATTTACCAATCGCTGATAGTATGAGCTGGAAATGATGTGTAATCTTCGTCCATATGGAAGCTAATGGGACCCGCTGGAATGCGTTTGTGACAACATTGGTTGTGGCAGTCTTGCCCGCTCAATGAAATTTCTGAATCTCGCCAGAGGACATGCCGGGGAACATCTTAAGTAAAGTAAATAATTCTCCCAGATCAAGATAGAGCGCGAAGTCAGCGGGAACTTGGGTCGGTGACAATGACATGCCTGGCTTGTGTTGTGCCCTTGGATCAGTGTGACATTAGTGAGCTTCCATGGCGTTTCGCCGCATCGTCTAGCAGTCTGTGTAGGCTGTGCGCAATCCGCGTGGCTATGAAATCTTGTGACAGCCAGAAACCATTGTACAAGCCCATTTAAGTCGCTCAAAACAAGACGAGTGCTGAATTGTTCAGTAGCTTAGGTCCCGTGGCGGCGATCACTTCTGCAGCAATCCCTTTTATTGAGCCAGGGTCGTCGACTTTCCAGTCTTCCCAACCACGAAGATCCTTCAAATTCTTAGCACATCTAACAAGAGAATGTGACTTACTAAGTAGCTCACCTCTAGCTCGATCAATGTATCTCTTACCACCAATCGCCAATGATCAAGGTCAAGTTTCTCCACCTCTTCTTTTGTCAGGACACCTGGAATGTTGTAGTCGAATAACGATCCTTCAGGAATTTCTGCATCCTCATCATCACTGTCTGCTTCGTCAAGCTCAAGGTCCTTGTCGTCAGCGAAGGTTTGAGCTCTGTTCTTCGTTGTCTCTGGTTCTTTGTTGTCCTCGACGGTAACCGGCGAAATTAAGACTGATGGTACTAGGTTATTCTTGCTGTCACCTGCAGCTGGGGCGGTTTCGCGGTCGCGCGAGGGAGAAACATATTGCCGTTGGTCAAGTTGCTTGCGATAGTTGTCATCAAAGAGATTCCAATCGAGGCTCTCGGGATCTGGCGGGTGTAAGAAGGTGAGCACGTAGAGGAGGACAAGGGACACTACCTAAGAAATGGGTTGGTGAAAAGCTGGCCTTGTATCGCATTTTGATACATGAGTGAATATAATAGCCTAGTTCTCGGTAAGCCTGTGTGGAATGCTTATGAAAGGCAACTCACCCATATAATAATACTCATAGCGTGCTTCTACGGCAAGGGCAATCTCTTGGAGAGCACTAATTTTACCCCAATCCCAATGTTGATATTCTGGATCATAACTGTTTCATCAGCTGACAGAAAGGCTAGCCACATGTCGATGTCACTTACAACAAGTAGACAGAGCTCACAGCATGGGGTAGAAGATCAAGCACGCCGACGGCAACTAGCTTGCCATCAATTCGATAGCACTGATGATAAGAACCTAGCTTTAGTGTATTCCCACTAATTTTCAACACCTTTCGATCCAGACCTGAACACAGAAAGCGTTTGAAAGCCGATTCCCCCCAGCGGGAGGCTGGGTCATGATGGATTTGGAGCTGATAGTTCAAGAAAATCCCATACCTGCGAACATTAGTTAACCGCGCCCAAAACAGTCATGTTCACAGACTTCTCCTTGGTGAAGCTGTCGCCTTCAAGACTGATCTCGAGTTTGTGTGCTGGTTCGATCGGTTTACCGCTTTTCTTCCCAACTGGCTTCTTGACGATGTTATATTCTGCTTTGTGTACTGCGGTAGGGAAGTCGAACATATCCCGCAAACGACGTTTCTCGCTGTCAGACCAAGTCAGTCAGGTTCCAACGTTCAATGCTCGTCTCACTCGCTCTCTGCTTTGTGGGCACAACATCGCAGCCTGGCGCTTGTATTCCGGACCAAGGATATACCGGTTCAACTTATTGATACAGGAGCGCTGATTCTTGTTGGCTTTGAATTCTGATGCTTCCAACCTGGCTCTGCTGTCAATCATAGGACTTGCGATGTCGGCATGGCAAGTCGAGTACCTGATTGTGTAATGAGGGCAACATGATCTAACTAGGTCGGGCTTATAGTATAAAGTCCCAGACCGTCTCCAGCCACGATCCATCAACTCTTGATAGTGGTCTACTCTCATGGCGTCACACGACATGTAGAACGAGGAGCCTGGTTCGATGACACATTCAGATAAAAAGGAAAACAGACAGGTTTGGGGGAGACTTACTGCCCGTGGTATTCTTGCAGTAACCACAAGAATGCTTCCTCTGGTAGCCTGTGAAGGAGGATCATCGTCAATGATGAACTTGTGCCAGGCTTCTCAGATTGGGCGAGCCTTGTGCCTGGTACAGCGGCTAAGAAATCACCACATACCCATAGGTCTCAGGAGGGAGATTTCGTTCGGCATTATAGCCGTGGACATGAACTAGGGCTTCAAGCACTTCTCGAGTATGCAGTCTAGTAGAAATGCAGCAGACCCAATAATTCCATCACACGACCATTCGGATGGTCGACAGTGGAAAGAAGATGGAGAGGAAGTCAGGTCACCTGACCAGACGCGGAACCAGACAGACAGAAATGACGAGTTTACATTAGATATCTGCGTCGGAAGGACAACGAAGGAGGCCTGTCAAAGTGGGATATGCACACGACAGGCCCAAGGCAACCAATTGCCGGAACGGTCAGCTGGATTTGTGTTTCCCCCAGCGTGGGATTGCTGGGTGCTGGGCCTGCTGGCAGCTCGCGTGAGCAAGGGAACGGGTGGGAAATGCGTGATATGGGAGTTTGGGAGGGAAACAAAAAGGGAACCGAATGGGAAAATAGACCAGTATAAACGTTGAAATAGGCACGTGTTGGAGCATCGTGTGCTTCAGAGGAAAGAGTGGTGGAGGCATGGCCAAATGGCAGGAACCACCCTGCAGCTGCTGTGGTTCGCCGTTCCGGTAGTCCAGCTTCGTTAGCTGCGTCGCCTGCGCCTAGGAGCGCCCCGCGACCCTAGAACCAAGAAGCTGCGTGGGTTCTTGCTCTTCAGGGAAAAGCGTACTCGCTGCCATGCTCCGCAACCATTTCTCAGTCACTTTTGCCTCTATGGAAAGGTAACCCACTGGCTCCCGTACTAATTCTACAACACTACAAAATCATGGCTGCTCCCGACCTTCAACTGTCTCTGCTTTGTACGTCCGACCTCGTCCCTCAGCCCCGTTTCACACGGGACTGAAGGTTGCCCTCCTCTATTCTTGCGCTCTACCGCAGAAACCCCTTCAACAACGTTCGCCATGGGTCGTCTTTGATCCTCATCCCATTCCCTCCCACCCCGACCGCTACCTGTTTTCTTCTATTCCCGGAACAGCTCGACAGTGTTCCACGTGCCTCCTCACCGTCTCTTTACACGTTCGCTTTTTTCCTTCCTGGCGGGCAGGAGTTCACGTTCTTCTCTTCCCTGGCCCTTTGGCCGTGGCCTAGTCAGACATCAACGGCTGCACCCATCTTCAATCATGGCCAAACAGTTGTCGATGGTCTCGCGAAGCGGCTCGGACAACCAACGTACATTGCATTCACCCTTCCTCTTTCTGGCCTACATACTAACAGGCAAACAGGCTACGGATCAAAAGGCGAGAGATTGGTTGCCGGTATTGTCCCTTTGTCCTCAGACAAAAGCAGAGTACTTCTCATTCAGTCCACCCGACGGAGTGGTTGGGTTCTACCAAAAGGCGGATGGGAACTTGATGAACCTACAGCATCAGCAGCTGCTTGTCGGGAAGCTTGGGAAGAAGCTGGGATCCTTTGCAAGGTTGAAAGAGACCTGGGCCACATCCTGGATACGAGACCCACCGGGGCACTGTCCAAGAACGCACCAAAAGCCAGTTATCACTTTTTCGAAGCGACGGTTACCGAAGAACGATCAGAATGGCCAGAGAAACACAAGAGGACTAGACAATGGTATGCCTATTCACAGGCAGTCCAGCTCCTGCACTCAAGGCCTGAGCTGCTGGAAGCCCTCAGGAGAAGTTCGGTCAAAAAGTGAGAGATATGGAAATGCAGGACACACATAGAGTCCCTGTTGGCGGCGTTTTCTCTGGAGCAAGTCTCCAAATCTTTGCATCTATGCATTAGCCCTACCTAGACCTTTCTCTGAGCTTGATATTTGCTGGTCGGAATGCTCACTTACTAGTGGCAAGCACTTGAGTTGCCTTTTCATGGGATCTAGGTCAAACATTATTAATAGACCATACAAAATGCTCCTAGCTTCGATGCGTTGTCATGATGCAGCTAATACTGGAAGTGGAGGAGACAATGATCATAAAGATAATACACCACAGCACCATGACCGTGGTGCTGTATTCTAGAACGACTGGCGCAGAAATTCGTCCACACGATCGTTGTTCTGCTAGCATTGATGGCCCAATTGATTCGCTGATCTATAGCACGATCTGAAAACTCTGGCTGGCATTGTTTGAGGAATACCAACCGCATGTGCATGTACAACACCAACATTGATAATGTGGGCTATCGGCGACAAGCACGGGCACGTCACAACCCATATACTGAATTGCATTCGACAGATGGTCACTGCAAACCAATAGAAAGTTTCATCAGGTAGATTTGTGTGCTGGCGTCGTTGTTCGAGATCTAATATGTACAGTCCATGCCTTTGTCACACTCTCTCATAGCACCCGCTCTCGCGTCGGCGTTTTTTCAAGTTTGCTACCGATCGTGTATATCTCCTAATGCTCCAAATCGACAGGGAAGTTTCCAGCCTCACGTTGGTCGTTCCATCTACCCACCCAGGAGCTGGGGCACAATGATCGGTATGCCAAATAAAACTATTCCAAGTTGTCAGCCATTCTCCGTGTCTCCCTTGTAGAGATCTCTCTCTCTCTCTTTTGGCATACCTGTCTGCAGGGCTTGAAGTCTTCACCCTTTGCAAGAATGCACTTGTGGTAGTCGACGTAGTTTTGCCAGCAGTGCTTGGTCCTAAGAAAGTGGTTTTTTGGTTAGGGAGGGGTCGGGATCTCATGGGCTTGGATTTTTTCTGAGGGTCTGGACGTACTGGTTCTGGTTGGGGAAGCGAGCGTCGTATCCAGCTATAATTCAATGGTCAGAGCCCTTCTTATATCGAACTTCGTAGAGGTTCAGAAGCCATACCGGTGACGAATTTAAAGGGCTTTGTCACGTTACCGCCGAGCTCGTCGGCATCAGGCATCTCGATTTCGGGCATATTGGCGGCGTTGAGAATGGTCGAAGCTTCAGCAGGAAGAGGTTTAGAGTATCTGCGGTCGAAGGAGGCGGGATTGTGATGGCCTGGAGCTGGAGGTGCTGCCAGAGGTTGCTAGAGAGTGGTCTGAGGGAAGGAAGGTCCGTTGCCTCGTCTTGGCATGCACGAGCCCACTTTGGGATTTATACCACGCCGCTTTTGGAATATCCCGCCTTCGAGGCCTGTTCTTGCACGGTGACGCTGGTGAAGCTCCCTAGGGTGGGCTGAGTTTCTCGGTCCTGTTACAAAAAGTACAATCAGCACCTGTATATTCTGTACCAATCATGCCCACTCCGCCCGCCATAGATCCCGAAAGATATCAAGGCGGTTTTACAATCGTCCTTGTTGGCCGGCCTGGAGATGCATCTACATATGTTTGTATGTAGCGTTCGAGACAAAATCCTCAAATACTTCGTGCGGCACAGCAGGACATGTGGAAAGTAATAGAAACAATATTTCAGGCACCTACTTCTACGAGGTTGCTGTTGATCGTGGACGTCCGCTTTAGCAATACCTATAATACCTCACCTGATTTGGGACTCAGGGCCGAGTACAGGGCGGCAATTACCGGTTTCCTATCCCGGCAGCGGATTAGCGTGGCCTTGATTGGACGCTTGGAACCTCACCTGGAGCTTCCAGTTTCCGCAGTTAAACAACTCCAAACCACATTACGCCCCTTCAGCTTCCTTTGAACGCCAATTCTGTAACCTCTCCACTCCTTGTAATTGCGACACGATGAATACTACAACCCTCTTGCGAATGCAGCCGCTTCGGGCAACTGCATTCCGACAGCCAGCTTTTCGGCAAGCCGCTCTTAGACAAGCCCGACCCTTCCACAACTCGAGGGCTGTGTTTAGAGTAAAGGTGGGCATTCGCAACAGCTTTGCGACGTTTGGAGCTAACAGGTGCTACAGGAAGAGGAACAAAGTGGTACGCGAATAACGCCGGTATTCTCACGAACAGAACAAACTGACCCGCCATTTACCCAGCCCACACAATTACCCAGAGACTCAAGACCCTCAAGAAGATCCCCCCGGAGTTGCTTCCTCTCGGCGTCGTCATTGCGTACGTGCTAGAAGACCCCGAAGGATCGAAAATCGTCTGGCTTACATATGTTTAGCTTTGCCTTGTTCGCTGCCACTTTTGCGATGGGACGAAAGCTGTTTACAGATAAAACACTCCGCCTCCACAAGAACCCTCCAAAGGAGCATTGAGAAGGACAGTATTTTCGCCAAAAGCCAGGCGCAGAATGACGAGGAAGAATTCTTCCACTGTTGGGCCTTTCAGATTGCCGAGCATGGGATTACCACACTGCTAGGACGTGTACATATCAAATCAAAACATCTTCTGATATTGCAAGCAGCATGTCACACTAGACCGTTCTCCATTCCCTCTTCCACTAAACCTTGACAATCAGCCGCTGGAAGCTGTTTCTCATCTCTCACATCTGCATGGTATGCTACTGATCCAATCTCCTGCTTTGCGATGCTCGCTATCGCTGGGCTCTTGACGTTGAGCCCTGTGCAGGTATCATCAACTGTTGCAATGTCCTGTGACATGCTCTGCCGTTGAAATATCTCGACTCTCAGGTAGTATGTGTGGGCTCATCTAGGCCGGCCGCACGCCTTGAGGACCAAGCATAGTTCGTTTTGCTGTTTGCAAGTGTCGTAGTCACATTGTCATGAACCTTCCTTGAACGAACCCTACCTCACTCTGGTTTTGGCCCTGCAACATCTAGACCCTCTAGACCCTGCATAGGATCTTCTGGCTTGTCAGCCCTTGACTGCTCCACGGCTTCCCTGTCATTTGCTGCTGCAGAATATTTGGCAAGATATCCTTCCTGTAGGAACTTAAGCCAAATGCAATAAACGAACAGAATACTCGAGGTGATGCTCTCACCTGTTCCCAAATAGCGGTCGTGCTCCCAAGACCAGACTGCCCGGTTTCTTTCCTGTCTGGCTTGGCCATGGCGACTTTGATCACCCGGCCGTAGAGTTCGCTCTGATCCATATTGTCGATTGCCTCTTGCGCATCAGTAGGGTCTTCAAATTCAACATAGCCAAATCCGCGATGCAAGTCAGTAGAGGACGGTGCTTCTGGCTTTGGCAGTGTGATATCAGATATTTCACCGAATGGAATAAAGGCTTCTGATAGGGTTGTGACTGTGACGAGCTGCGTATCAAGTCCACCCACATAGATGGTGGCGTTTGGGCGACCTGGCTCCTCTGCCATTTTTTAGGGTATATGATTGTGCGAAACAGGTTGGCTCTATTGTATCGTGGATGGGACATCTGTTGAGAAGATGCAAGATTCACGAGGTGGATTGAAGATCACGTGATCCAGTCGCCCTCTCCCTGAGGGCCTCCTGCCCCACGAGTCATGCACCACAGCACTAGAGTTTCAGTGTATTTCAGTTCAGGGATGACACTTGGCCGATTGCGGGCGCCGCTTTGTGGGATATCGAACCGTGTCCCAAAAGTTGAATACCGAAGAGGACAACCTGTTTGCTGCTTCACCCGATACCACTTCCCCTGCTTATCTGTTGGTTCCATTGTGACTTTCTGCTGCATGTTTCATTCCTCTCTTCTCCCCATCCGCTCCCTCTCTTAATTTCCCTTAGTCGACGTCGTCATGGTGCGAATCCGGGAATTACCACGGACTGCTGCGTTCGCGTGGAGTCCTGATGCTTCTGCACCATGGATTGCAACTGGGACAAAATCGGGAGCTGTCGATGTCGACTTCAGCAATGAGACCTGTCTGGAACTTTGGGATCTTGCTCTGGACACTCCTCAACAAAGCCAGGAATTGCAACCTGCAGTTGCACTTCGCACCGAAACTGGGTAGGTACCATATCTAGAAATCTGTGATCCTGTCTGATCTTTGCTTGACTCAGCTTCCACGATCTCGCATGGACTCCTGCACAAGAAGGACATGAACGGGGCATCATAGCGGGTGCGTTCGATAACGGATCCCTAGGCATTTGGGATGCAGACAAAGTTGCAACAAGTGCACCTGATGCGTCCCTTTTCGACCACAAGATACACAGTGGTGCAATCAAGACACTACAATTCAACCCTAAAATTGAGAACTTCCTCGCAACAGGTGGATCCAAAGGAGAATTGTACATTTCAGATTTGAACCATTTGGACACGCCCATCCGGCTGGGCAGCACCGCAGCTCGAGCAGACGACATCGATTGTCTGGACTGGAACAAGAAGGTTTCCAATATCCTTGTGACAGGAAGTAGCGGAGGCTTCGTGACAGTATGGGACATGAAGACGAGGAAAGAGAGCCTGACGCTCAACAACTATCAAAGAAAACCTGCCAGCGCAGTAGCTTGGGATCCAGAAAAACCTACACGGCTGATCACTGCTGTGCCCTTGGATCAGGAGCCAGTCATCCTGGTCTGGGATCTCCGGAATTCGAATGCGCCTGAGAAGATACTTCGCGGACACGACTCTGGAGTCTTGTCCCTCTCGTGGTGTCCCCAGGATAACAACCTCTTATTGTCGTGTGGCAAGGACAACAGGACAATCCTATGGAACCCGCAGACTGGTCAAGCTTATGGCGACTACCCAGTTGTCACCAACTGGACTTTCCAGACTCGTTGGAACCCGCAAAATCCTAATTTGTTTGCTACAGCGTCCTTTGATGGCAAGTTGCAGGTTCAGTCACTGCAAAATACAAATCCTAGTAGTACCCAGACCGATCAAAATCAAGTTACTGATGGTGAAGATTTCTTCTCCAAGGCCCAGACGCAACCGCAGACATCATCTTTCTCCCTACCAAATGCTCCGAAATGGCTAGAACGACCTTGCTCTGTATCCTTCGGCTTCGGTGGTCGAATTGTGTCTGTCAGGCAAGCAGATCCTGGCAAATCAAGAACATCTAAAGTCACTATCAGCAAGTTTGAGGTGGATTCAAGTGTTGGAAGCGCCACTGAAACTTTCGAGAAAGCTATTCAATCTGGAGATCTCACGGCCCTGTGCGAGGAGCGAGTTGCAGCAGCGAAGTCTGAAGATGAGAAGGCGGACTGGAGAGTCATCGAAACCCTCGTTTCCAAGAACCCCCGAGAAGAACTTGTCAAATACCTGGGTTTTAATGACAAGTTAGAAGATGTGGTAAACGGTGTCGAGGAACCAAAAGCTACCGAGGAGCAGAAACCATCCGTCAATGGCTCATCTAGATCTCACAAGAGATTTCAGTCTATCTTTGCCAGTTCGGCCGATGGCGATTTCCTCGCCGAACTTGCCGCTACCAAAGGCACGAAGACCAATAATCCATTCCAGATCTATACAGGGTCCGAATCGGAAGCTGATAAGAAGATCACACGAGCACTCATTCTAGGTCAATTTGAAAAGGCACTTGACATTAGTCTACAAGAAGATAGGATCGCCGACTCATTCATGATTGCAATCTGCGGAGGGCAAGCGTGCATCAAGAAGGCTCAAGAAGCCTATCTGGCAAAGCAAGGCGATGGTCCAAACTATCTTCGTTTATTGGCATCGGTAGTGGGGAAGAATCTCTGGGATACAGTTCACAATGCCGATCTGTCAAATTGGAAAGAAGTCATGGCCACCATTTGCACTTTTGCGGACGAGAGGGAATTCCCCGACCTCTGCGAGGCTCTAGGTGATCGAATTGAGGAACAAGCCGACGATTTATCTGCAGTGGGTCGAAAAGATGCCTCGTTCTGTTATCTGGCAGGCTCGAAATTGGAAAAAGTGGTTGCCATCTGGATCGGGGAGCTCAAGGAGCACGAGGAAGCAGGTGCAAGGGATGGAGACGCCTCGTCAGCCTTCTCCCTGCATGCTCGAGGCCTGCAAGACTTGATCGAGAAGGTTACCATTTTCAGGAAAGTGGTCAATTTCAATGACCCTGATCTATCCAACCCTGGTGACTGGAAATTGGAAGACTTGTACAGCAAATATCTGGAATATGCTGACATTGTCGCCGGTTCGGGTCAACTAGAAGCCGCACAACGATACCTCGATCTTCTACCAGAAAGCTATCCAGGCTCGGATGTTGCGCGAAGCCGGATTCAACAGTCCAAGAAGAAGGTTGTGGTACCAGCTTCTGTACCTCAGGCTAACACTACACCATCTAGAACGAAGCCGCTTCCACATGCCACCTCCTATCAGGCTACTGCCTCATACGGTGCTCCCGCACCCTCGGCGCCAGGTCCATCGTACGGTGGCCTCCCTCAACAGCAACCTGCAAGTTCCTATGCACCGCCAACTGCGAATAATGCACCTGTCAATCCATATGCCCCGGCTGGTGGATATCAACCTCCGCAACAGATGAGGGTGGCTCCAGGCCCTCCCCCACAGTCTTATGGCTTTCCACAAGCGAATCCAATTGCCCCTCCGCCACGGTACAATCAATCACCAGCAATTGCCCCCCCATCTCAAGATAGAAATATGACAAACTGGAACGACATTCCCGAAGGCTTTGTCAAGCCTCCAACTTCGAGAAGGAGCACACCCAGCGTTCCCAATACAGCAAACCAAATTCCCCAGCCGACGCCACCGCCTTCGTCGAGCACTCCTTTTGGTAGCCGGCAGAGAGCCTCACCTGTTCCTCCGCCCCCGAAGGGCACCGCTCCTCCTCCAAGAGTGACATCTCCTCTTGCTGGTGGGCCTCCACAAATGACTGAACGACCTCCCTCTGCAAATAACCCGTATGCTCCATCTCATGGTGTGACTTCGCCCCCTTTAGGTCAAACAATGATACCACCCCCTATCCCCCGGGGCCCTTCACCTTTCACAGCTCCCCCTTCACATGGCCCGACTGCCCCAAATCGGTATGCTCCCGCGGGAGGGACACAGCCATCAACAGCACCACCCACCCGGCCAAACATTGCCCCACCTCCGCAGCAAACCTCTTTCCAAGGCCCTCCTCCAGCGTCGAACCCCTATGCGCCTTCACAATCACCTCAACAATCAAGACCTAATCCATATGGACCTCCACCGACCTCACAAGCACCTCAACAAAGTAGTGCACCACCATTGCCAACCCCTTCCCAGCAATTCACCTCAGGACCTCTACCCACTAGTGGACCGCCACAGCCCATGCCCGCAAGGTCTGACACGTCAGGTTCTGGCAAGGCGTCTGCCCCTCCAGCAGTCCGGAAGCATCGTAAGTTTCTTGATCACATTCCCCACAGTATCTACATACTAACATCACTCCTCCCTTAGCCAAAGGAGACCGTACACATCTCCCACCTACTGCAAAATCCATATTTCAAATCCTCTCTGCGGAAATGGCACGCGTTAAAGCGAGAGCGCCCGCTTCATTCAGAGCCCAGGTGCTCGATACTGAGAAACGCCTCGACATCCTCTTCGATCATTTGAACAATGAGGAACTCCTGAATCCCGACACGGTCCAACAGATCGGGGAGCTGTCCACCGCTCTTCAAAGCCGCGATTTCCAACGTGCCAGCGAGATCCAAATAGATGTCCACACCAATAAGGTAGAGGAATGTGGCAACTGGATGGTCGGCGTCAAGAGATTGATTGGTATGTCGAAGGCCACCCCTTGATTTCCTTGCGGGGGAAGTGGAGGGCGCAAGGAATTGGCCTTTGTAGCAAGGAAAAGAGATGGGTTCTGTTTAGAAGTTGATTGGCCTTGATGCGGTTACAAACGAGGATATGACGGGGTGCATTTGGCTGAACGTTCTACGACCGACGGAAGAGATATTCAACTTTCAACGGGAAGGAGAGCATACTCGCGAGGTCAAGGAACGAGCGAGGAACGGGGATGCCAGTAGGGATGCCAACGAAAGAAAAATTGAATGAAGCACTGTGCTACCCAGGTAGTTGGTGAGAGTCTTTACTGAACTCAACTTGCGAGCCAGCACGATATTCCCTCCTTGTCTTTGACACGAGGTGCAGCAAAGACACAGTCACATAGATAGATAGCAACATGATGAACGAATGTTTTGAGTCAGCTACGGAGTCTAGATCCAAGGGTATCAGCGTTAAGCGAGGATTGGAGATATGCATTTCTGCTTCTGCAGCGCTAGAACATCTGTCTGGTGCAAGTATGTATGAGGTATAGAGACACAGGGGTCAGTTTCTTCGGCTTGTTCTTCAGTTCTGCGACTTTACAGCCATTGGGTCACAGTGACAGACGTGCCATGTTCTAGGCCTCTCCTTCGTACATGTTGAGCTTGGGAGTAAGGTTTCTCGCTCTGTTAAACACTTGAGCCTTGTTGCAATTACGGTCTCGGGTGTCAGCGTCACCTGCACACCATGACAGTACACCGACAGGATTAGATGTGGTTCCATTATCAATTTCTGGTCGACTAACGACTTGGGCTGTGCCCGACTAGTGTGAAATCTTCCTTTTCTGCTTATACGCAGTGGATTCGGGGAGTCTGGGGTTGAGCCTTGCCTAAAATTCCCTATTTGCTCAGCGTGGTTGCTCAGATGACTCCCATCTTGGACAGGAAGCACCTGGATCGTGGAGGACTTCCAATATAGCAGGTGTTATGTTCATTAATGGCCATGCATCCGTTTGTCATTTTGTGGGCAACGCGAACGGTGTAGGAGCCCTGGCTGTAGGAAAGTTCCTGGAACTCAGGAAGGCGCCTTTTAGCGACCTGATTTCGGCCTTGAATTTGGCGATTTCGTTATCTTTGGTGTTTGATTGTTTATTCTTTAGCGAGTCGTCCGGATAGTTCAAGGTATAGTCGACGGTGAAAGGGTTGAAGCTCGAGTCCATCTTGTTAAGCACACCCTGAAACTCGGTCACGCGCTCCTTTAGTCGGTCTTGGGAGAAGTGTGTGTTGGTGGATGAGAGGAGGGAGGAGAGGTCTGCGTGCAAATTCTTTAAGCGTGTTGTTTGTTGTGCGGTTGGGTCAGACGCAGATTTGTCTGGGGAGAAGTTCGAGGAGGAATTGGAGCGTGATCGCTTTGGAGAGGTTTGAGTTGCGATGTCCCGGTGAAAGAGCTCGGTTGGATCAGAATCAATAGATTCGAGATCATCATCATTTCCTTGCTCCTTCTGTCGTTGTAAAGCGGCGCTACTAGCAATGTAAGGGACATGCGAGACAACAGATTCGAGTTTGCTGTTGAGTTTCTCAAGGTCCTCTTGAGTTCCCTCAGCAAGTTCGTGGCGCGCCTCAGTGAGAGTTTGCAGCATTGGTTCGACGAGATACTTGCTTGCGCCGTATGTCAAGGCTGATATTCCTGCTAGCACATATGCAGCGTTTCTAAGACGATCAAGAGTGACAAGTGGTGGGGGCTTTTGAGGTTTGAGCAGAAACTCGGGATAGGTGATAATAGGAGGAATATCTCGCTTCGAACTGACTGCTGGTTGTGAAGGGACTGGCGCGGAGGGCAAGGATGGAGTCGATTGGAGTTCTTGTTCTCTCGTACTCGTTGTTTGGCTGCTGTCATGGATGGTGTTCATTTCTGCCGGTTGCGATTCGGGCTCGGTGTCGAGCGCTTTCCCTATATATTCCAACGGAACATCCTTCCTTTCTGAGGGTGCAACCTCACGCCCTTTCGATGCATCACGGTTTGAAGCGTCTTCCGGTAAGCGCTTGGCCTGCTCCAAGGAAGGAAGATCTGGGGAAGTGTCGGGGGCAGATGGATCATTGGTGGAGGCAGTCTGTTCCCGGGCGGATGTGTAGGTTTTTTGCCATTCTGGGATCGAAGGGCCGTTTCGTGAGCCTGAGTCTGCCATGCTGAAGATGCTATTGTGTATAGTACTGCTAGAGTAGGAGGGAAAGCCAAAATGTTGCAGGGGGCGGCGAATGCAGGACGGTGGTGACTTGACGAAAGTGCAAAAGCGCAGGTGCAAATGCCTCGGCTGCCACTTTACACAATGAACCTCCCCAGCCACATTTGCACACAAGAGCTAAGACTGAAAGGGAAGTTGACGCCACACTTGCAACTGGAACCCGCAAGGGGAACTGGAAAACAAAATGCCCAGACCTTGCATGCTGGAGTCAAGAATTTGGTCTGCGTGCCATTGCAGTCTATTTTTTACTGTGACCTTGAATTAAGGCCCGTATACACTCCCCCTACAAATTATCAGATCATCAGCAATATACCGTGGCCATCTAGTACGATATCATTGGTGTGGATTAGACAGCGAGGTTGAACAGGGTGATACGGATTTCAACGCGAAAACCTCACGAAGCTGTCCGACCGCCAGGACGCGGAGTCCTCTGGCACCGAGCTAACGAGACAAGGTCGTCTTAGCCGAACCTGAGCATGGCAGACAGAAGCCGGCGTGTGCGACGTCAGATCAGCGATGTAACTGACGACTTTTCCGAGGACTCAGACATCGCCAGTGGTGAAGATTACGATCCCAGGAGATCCGATGCAATGCGTAGAGCAAGCAGATATGAGTGAGTAGCCTGTTCTTGTTGTGTATTATTTATGGTGCAGCCCTACAATCCACCCTAAGTCTCTTTGTCCGCCAGGAGAGGGGGCACTGCATGAATATCAGCAGAACGGCAGTGATGCCACTTCCTGCATCACTATGAGTCGTGACTTATCACGGAATGAACTGCGGCGTAGTTACGAACCAACTATAGAAGAAACCGCACATCCTCATTTGCAGCTCATTGTTCCCTCGGCAGCGGCGATGTACAAACAAAGGCCCTTCTCTCCGCTGTTCGACAATATCATTCACTGCTCTTCGATATCGCCGCTGTCGGAGAATGCAAGCTAACGGCAGACACAGATCCTCAGCAAACTCCAGCCCAGCTTCTTCGCGGCCTCGAAGAGCCGGTGCTGCAACAGCAGCCAGTGGCTTGTCGTCTGCAACAGTCCACCGTGGATCCTCATCAGCTGATGATCGCCGACAAAGCCTGAAGTTGACAGTCAAAGCCCCACCAAGCAAGCTGCGAGAAGTCATGCGTGCTAACGAGGTTGAGTCACTCCATGACACCTTGGGTGGTGGAATGGTCCTGGATGCCCCTCGCAGCAGCCGCCGTGCAGCCGCCGTCGCTCGACAACGCGGTCCACAGTCGCAGAGACCAAAGTATGCCGAGTATGAAGAAAGTGATGATGATGACGATGACCATGACCATGACCATGAAGATGACCATGAGGAAGATGAAGATGCAGATGAGCTTGAAGACGACGAAGAAGAGGACGAAGCCGAAAACGAAAACGACGACGACCCTAACGATTATCATCGACTAGGTGCTGAACCTGAGGGAGGTACAGACAATGAAGATGTCGAAATGGACGATGCTCCGACCCCAGCCTCTGCCCAACCCCCGGCAAGACGGCATGCTCCCCCTAAACCGCCAAAGATCACACTCAAACCACCAGCAAAGACCGATCCTCGCCAGCTAGCCAAGCCAAAACTCGTCGTTACTCCAGCGAAAGTTGGTCCCGTCAAAACAGTCGAGGATCAGGAAATGGATGATGATCCTGATGATGAAGAAGTGGATACCTCATCCGAGCTCAGTGATGATGATGATGATGACGAACACGCATCAAAACTCAACGACGATGACGCTGGAGGGGAGGAGGAGGAAGTTGAGGAGGAAGGCGCGGCTGGAGAAGAGGAAGGGGCAGAGGAGGAAGATGACGATGACGAAGATCTGGATTCCGACAGCGATGAGACCCCCGGATCAGGTACGGCGACCCCAGACTTGACCAAACTGACCAAAAGACAACGGGGAAGGCCAGAGGATCAAACGCAACTTATGGCTTTGGACATGGCGCCGCAACAGAGAAAGGTAAGAATTCTCTAGAACCTTGAGATATTTGGCCTAAATCAGCATTCCCAGTTCTTTACCGATGCCGAGAAAGCTATGAAAAAGGATGAACATGCGAGAAAACGCAAGGAATTGACCAAACGTAAAGTTCAAGAGGAGAAAACTGCAGCGTTAAACAGATTGGTGAGGCTCTTACACTGCAATTTAGTACTTTGCTCACATACATATACAGCTGAAGCCTCAAGTCTCGAAAGCAAGAGGAGCGGCACCCAAGCCTGAGACGCTTGCTGCCGCTGCAGCCGCTGCCGCTGCCGGCTCGCCCTATGAAGAAGAAGAAGAATACATACCCCCAGCACATCCTATCTATACCAGATGGATCAGCACCAAGGACGGAGTCAAACTCGGAGTTCCAGAGGAATGGCTGGGTAAACGGGCCGGCAACTATTTTGGCCCCCCGTTAGGCCACAGCAATGGTAGTCTCGTTCAGGAAGTCGAGTGATGGACAATGTACAAGAAACTCCAGCAATCGAGTATGGAGTGCTACTCATAGTATGTGTATCCAGATGGTCATGGGCAGAAATTAAGCGTATGATATGCAGAGGCAGGCATCCAATCGAGCATGTTATTGTTGGGAATGCCGAATAGACTTTGTCATCTCTAGGCAAAGAGCGACTAGCTCCGTCTGTAGACTTCATATGTCCGTTCCCTCCCCGTGAGAGTAAAGGGGCCATCCGCGCAGCTGGACTACCGATCTAGTTGAGCTTGGCTTGTCTTGGGGTTCTGTGGCAACAGTTTTTCATGATGTCGTGTGCATGCTGAGGCTGATTAGGAAAATCCCATCAGATGCCCCAGATCGAGCTCATGCTGCCGACCTGATGCAGGTCTCTGTGATGTATATGTCTCATGCTCCTTCAAAGCTGTCTGCAGGACGGTGGGGAAACCAGTTGGATAATACGGGATGCAGAGTCCATGGAAATGTCAAACCATATGAGCACCCACCAGACACAATTCCTTGACGTGCTTTATGTTCATAGTCTCGCTTCACATCTCTCATCATGGGCCAGCTTTTCGACCTGGTGAGGCCACCGACGACCATGGTGGCATGCAGACATCTGAGGCGAGGCAAGCAGCATAAGCTCAGCTGCCTACACTGTATCTCCACCTCGTATTTTCAGCATGCTTCACTTGTTTCCATCCTGCTTACTGGCATTCAACGAAGTATTGGTGGCAGGTTGCATCAACTGTGCTGGGATCTCAACCATATGGGGTCCCAGATCCGTTGCTGCAAGTTCCCTGCAATCGGAGACCATTGTCAGCATTCCTGGGAGCATTGTCTTGGGTAGATTTCATTCCTTACTCCTGCTTCAACTTTCCTCTTTCTCGTTCTTCGAACGCAGGCTGGAAGGTTATATAACCTGTCGTGAATTCAGTAATCAAACAGTCCATGAGAATCTTCACGTTTAATTTACCATTTGCGATACCAAATCCCACGACAAGTACCCATCCAAATATTCTGCGACTCATCCTCCGCCTTGTAGTCCAATCAGCCCTGGTTGGCGTCTGGCACCGATCTGCGATTGCTAACCAGAGAAGCCCTTGGTATTGTCATTCAACCAGTCTTCATGTACCAGCGTCTATCCGCAGTTTTTCTGTCGCGGCCCTGTCAGTCTGTATCGCCCGCCGTAGTAGAGTGGGCCAAGAATATTTGTCTCCGACGCGTCGGTGGCGTCAACCAAACACGCGACACAAACCAAGCCACCCCTGCAACCTTGGTAAACCACAGGCACTCGAAAAAGACCAAGAGTATCATGGACGAAAATGGTGGATTGGAAAGAGCGAGGCTACGTGCCTGACTCAGATGACTCAGATGAAGATGTCCGAGAAGAGATCGGCTCAAATCCAACCCAGGAGCACCAGATCGACACTCAGATCGGCCACTCGTCGATTCCGACACATCCTAAGGTCAACTCTTTGACAGCGTTCCACAATGGAACTGCTTCAAATGCCCCAGCAGGAGATGATTTTCTTGCTTTGGAAGACTCTGGCGGCGAGAAGTACTCCGTCCAGCAGTCATCATCCACCAATCCAGCAAGCTCGATCGCCAACAGGCTTGAGGCAGAGCTCAACAGGGGAATTCAACTCACACAAGACGTCCTTGGGTCTTTCATTGACCGAGACGATGCCACAGACAGTCCACTCTCGTCACCACCTGCTTCACTACCTGATTCCCCTCGTCAGGACGCGCCTGGGGTGCGGACATCATCGTTGACCTCCGTGGGGGCCAGTAACCCCGATGTATTAGCCGCTGGTCAAACCTTGACCTCAATGCCACCACTTGGTCGCTCTTTCAGAAGACGTGCCCCGATACAGCTGCACCCATATGCCCTTGAAGACGCCAAATATCGACAGAGTCTGAAGGATCGAGGGCTGAAACCAGTTCGTACATTTGGACCTGCTCAAGACCCACAGAACAGTGCTCAGGGTGACTCTCAGAGTGTTGATGCCCCTCACAGCAGCCAGATGGATGAATCTTATGACCAAAGCCCCTGTTCTAGTCCCATGATGCAAGATGTGGCTGACGAATCTCAATCACTCGTTCAAGCCACTCGAATACCCATACCAGATGTTGACCTTGGGGAAGATCTTCCAGAATTGAATGATATTCTACATAGTAGCATCGCTCGGCCTCCTGGCGTAGCAGCAGTCATTCGAAAACGACTTCATCAATCCAAGAAAGCCTCACGGATTGCAATTCATGATGGATACCACATTTATGATCTCCCAGTCGAGGAGAATGAATCCGCCGAAGTGTCAAGAAGAACGCGACCTATGTTTCGAGTCCCACCATCCCCTCCCCGCTCTCGAGATGATCTGTCATCGCAAGGCGCTGTTAATATTGATGAAGACCAACACTCCCAGAGCGGTACGACACTGTTTTCAATTCCGACGCCCTTGCTGTCGTCGGGAACGCGCGCTAAGAGACGGCTGCAGCGGTCTGCTTCGCTATCTTCTCGTGTCTCCACTTCGTTCGATATCAGTGATGATCCATCGGCCTCTGCGTTGTCAGAACACTCCGGCGGTGACTCACAAGGTGTTCAACGCCTGCAACGCAAGATCAAAGGAGTGTTGCCGGCATCATGGCTCAAGTTGGATCAGAAGAAACAGCGAGATATTGGAAAGCAGACACAGAAGCCTTCACACTCTCCAGTAAAATTCAGCGTTGAGAAGGGAGTGGCTAAACATGTTTCGGGAAGTATCACCCGAACTATGCACGGAGATAGCACTCGGTCTGCTCTGGACGACTTTGACCTACTCAGTGAGAGTGAAAATGAGAGCGATAACAATAAGTCTGCCGACTTTGGCGATGGTCTTAATGTTGAGGCCCGCTTTGATTCATTCATGGATGACGTTGTCGAAGACAACGCCGTCGATGCTATGATTCCGCCCCGAAGCAGAAATAATCCCCGAATAAAGAAGCAGCAAAAGCTTAGAGACGTGTGGGCAAACCCCAGTAACATCTCACTCGATAGCGGTGTGTCCTCTCACAGCCATCATTCAGCGGCAAGAAAGACACGACCGAAAGCGAGGGGAGGGGCGCCTCCGCGCAAAAGATTGAAGCAGTCGCATGCAAAACCTCAGATGACAGTGCTTGACGCACCTGGATTTGAAGAGCCGGAGATTCCACGATTCCTTAGAATCGCTGCAAGACCCAAAAAGACATCAAATCGACCGCCTGGCCAAGATCAGTCAACAAAATTCTTCAAGCTTGCAACAAAGCAAGATACATTAGATGTAAGGGCTGGACTGGCACAGTGGAAGCCCCGTCGCACACAAAGATACCTAATGCGCCCCTCAAACAATGTACCGCACAGCCAACCCTTGATATCTCAGCCGCGTCCTCAGCCGGATCTTTCTGTCACTGAACAAAACGACAACGACATCACCCATCTCACTCTCCTCAAGCAAAACACAGAAGCAACTCTCAAACGCGTTCACCTCAATCAGATACAGAGGGACGTGTTGTATTCTCAACCACCTCTCCATCATCAGCCTCCATCCAATTCCCTTGCTGAATATTTCAGACCTCGTCCTACATTGTCTGGCCATTCGAGTCGGAGACAGTCCTTTGACCCTATCAAACGCTCTCACACGCAGAGTGAGTCAAGTGCAAACCCACCGAAGCAACTACCATTGCCTCGTCGTGTTCCTCGGAATACGTCGACTGCTTGGGACAGCAGCAAGCAGCAGAATCAACGGTCTACCCCAAATCCTTCTTCAACCACAAGGCCTCCCCAGTCTTCCTGTAAACATCGTCCAAGGTAAGCTGTCTCCTCATCTCACTCTCCCATCTCTGCTAAGTTGAATGCCAGAAAACAACGCCCCACAGCTCTGATGGCATCACAAGCCCTCTTGCATGATCTAGATAATCACAATGACACAACACATGGCGCAGATGAAATCAAGACTTCTCCTTTCACAAATACATCCCTGAAACCTTTCACCGAAGATGGCATTCTCGCACATTTGATGGGCCATGCTCCAGGAAACAAGCCTCTCAGCAAAGAAGGTTGTTTGAGCTCATCTCATTTATGGGACAGCGGCATTCTCCAGAGAACTGTCGAGGCAATGGGAGACTTAGGTCGACTCCTTGAGCCAAGCAACTCAACTACTAAGGTTATTAAACCTGATTCTGGCCAAACCATGACCTTAGGTTCGTGGTCATTGGACGTTGACTATCTCATGTTCGAGCTATGCTCAGTCATCGTCAGAATTACTGAGTTTAACCCTGCCACTGTTCAAATTCAGGCCCTGACCATCAGCTCCTGGCGCGACAACAGAAGTGCTTGCAACGCAACTCAGCGACACCATCAATTGATGACTCGCTGTCAAGAATCCCTTGAAACTCTCATTGAGTACATAAATGACACTTTATGCTTTGCCAGTCGTGGACAGATTGACGACTTCATCAAATCCGGCATATCAATGGTTGAGCGAATCGTGCAGGAGATCAATTTTCAAGAACATGCAAAAGTAGGGGTTACTGCTTCACATCTGCTCAACGTATTCAACAGAGTCATCCTCTTCAGCTACCAAGTCACAAAAATAGCAGAATACAGCAGTCACGATGAGTCGTCGACCAAGCAAGCTCTCATTGCTCACGACTCTCTCACACGTCTTGCTTGGTCAATTGCTCTCAGGGAAGATCACGCAGGCCACCTTTTCTCTTTTCTTCAAGGCCTCACAACGATAAGCGCGATCGGAAAAACCAGTCCCGGCGCAGAGATAGAAACTATTATCATTGTCCATCAGCTCTTCCCTGGCAACGTCTGGGAAGTCTATATGGATCAGTTTCTCGTCCAAAAGTTCAAGGAACCTGACGCCTGTCCCGGAGAAATGCTGGCATACACGGTACTCGTTCTAGGATGTGTCTATTGCCTATTCGGTATCGAGCAAGAAGACCATGAGATGGATGGCCAGAACACAAAGCCCCCAAAGGAATACGGCCTGATTTCGCTACAAAAAACCCTGCCTGTCTTCCTCAAATTCTACCTCGACGTGAAGCACAATTACCATGGTGAACGCAAACGATCAAGCACAAGAAATTTGCGGGACGCAGAAGGAATGAACAAGCTCGCTCAATATGGTCTGGTCGCCTTCAAATGGTGTTTCTTGCTTGTGAGCACCATAGGTAGACACAGCGCCGACCAACTGTTAAAGAAGATATTGAAATGCTACGGCGACAACAAGATGCATGACCTCTTTTCCAGGGAGCCTTCTCATGCCATGCCAGCTTTTCTAGCTCAACAAATCCCACCTTCAGAGCTTGTCCTAGACTTTCATGACAAGGACTTCCACATATTCCTCAAGTTTGTTGCCTCAAGTCTAGTTATCCACCACCGACCATCCGAGGGCGAGAACTCCTATCGACTGAGAAAGTTAGCAGCACGAAAGCAATCGTTGGTGTTCAGTCTGCTACCAAACAACGCTTTTCAGGTCAAAGATGAAGAGGCTCTCACACTTCGGGATCTTGCAGCTGTCGCAAACCGCTACAACTTATTTTCTACGCTGTACCACTATTCTCCTTCCGGCTACAAGCCCCCCTTGGTGAACATTGAGAATCTCATTGTCTTCAGCGAATCTCACGAGGCAGTGTGCAACCTTGCTCTACAATGTTGGGCCAGTATTGGCAGATCTGCTATTGCTCAAGGGGAAAATGATGCAGGGCTGACAGAACTCTGTCGTTGGATTCAAGACATGTTTGTCCAGGTGACTAAGAAATTGGCCTCGATTCCATACAACGGGGAAGGAAGTTTTCCGGAACAACGAGTGAACAGCGTCAATCGTGAGACGGCAACTCGTATCCTCTGTACCATAGCACAGACCTGGACCGATGTGATCGAGCTATGCCCGAGCAAGATACAAGCGCAGCTATTAATCAACCCTGATGGAGTCTTCTCTCGAATATTTACTCTCGAGGACATCCTGCAACTATGCCGAGTCAACCCAGGTTTACCTGACCATGTCATTGTTGAAGTCCTCAATGTTGTCCGCAGCTATCTAAAGAAGCCTTCAGACCATACGAACCATCTATGTGAAGAGTGGTTACAAAGCGAAATCCAGAGTATCATTCGCTACCAATTTGATCAACGCGTCTTGCCTACGGATGACTTGCTAGTCGCTTTGGTGGACACTTGGTACGAGCTTGCGAAGACATTGGTAGACGACAAGGTATTTTCCTGGGACGATTATCTCAATCCGGCATCGAAACTATCTTTCGTCATGATGATGGATTTTCCAACCTGGGCACACTGCGAAGCGCTCTTCCTAAACAAAGCCTTGATGCATAAAGCATGCTTCGAGACCGACAGATTCGGGCCCTTCCAGATTTGGCTAAGTTCGATGTTGCTACCCAAGGAGTCTCCCAAATTTGAAAACACTCTCACAAGTCGACTTGTGGAGATTGCCCCGGACACTCTTGATTTAGCAGATCTTGCTGTTGGTCTTTATCGCGAGACTTCGCTCGATATCCCTGCTAACTTTCCTCCTGTCGTTAAACATCGACTGGAGATTGTTTTGCATATCATCCGCAGTGTTCACAAACACCATAGCAACAAGGACAACTCAACTGTCGGTGTCCTGAGCAAATCTCAAACCCTAGAGCTTTTGAGAACAATTCAAAACGTTTTGAGCTGGAGATGGAGATGGATGAAAAATTCCGACCTCAAAGCTGAATGGGCCGTTTTCATCAACGAAGTCGTTTTGGAGATGACTCTTTACCCTGTAGAAGGAAACGAGATCGACGAATGGATGACCTCGTCTGAAATCCGAGGCTTTGAACATGAGGCTGTTCAAGTGCGACGTGTCTTCGCCAAAGCATTTGCACAAGGACGAACGGAAGTCAATGCAGTGGACGACTTTAAGAGATGTGTTCATGCATTCCGCGCCGCCTGCGAAGCTCTATGTATCAAAAACAGTTCTTCATTTGGATATTGGCACACAAAAGCCACCTTCAGAGCTATCATGGGAGAATGCATCGACGGAAAGGGCAATTACCAAGTCAACATTCAAGCTCAGACGCAATTTCTCAAGGCAGTGCTTCCAGTATATATAACTAAAGCACTCGACGACACAACTCCTGCGATGCTCTTCGCCGTGCCTACGCTGGAAATCGCCAACCGACTTATGTTAGCCGTGGAACTTCGCTTTGACTTTCACGACGTCGTGGCGATGGAATCCTTCGCCGAGCTAGCAGTCATGCTACTCCGCGCGTCGTACCTCTGTCTCAAAGGGCAGGCAAACAAGTTCGAGAAACCACACGACTGGGAAGTGCTAACAATCTTACGCACCATCGAATCGGTTGCGGTTGCGGCAATGGCCTGGGGTAGACTGAAACTTGCCCACGCAGAGTCCGAATCAATTGCGTCGCTTCAGACGCAGGTGCAGACTTACGTCTGCTTTACCTACGAGTACATGGTGTGGATTTGGAGGCTAAGCGTGCCCTACATCGATGCCGAGTACACGACGAAGCTTTCCCGTCTCGCGTTTACGAGAAGAGCCGACGAAGATTTCGGCTTCTACATGCCGTACGCGGACCCGGGGGCAACCGAAGAGCTGGAGAGCCTGCGTGAGATCGCCGGAGAAGACCTCGAGTTTGCCGCCAGGTCGGTCTGGCATCGAACAAAGCTCGACCAGTTCCGAGGCCCGGGTTGGCGGTACAAGGGGGTGGAGGAGGAGGTGTTCGCGGTCGCTTACGAGCTAGACCAGGAGTTGCGCCTGGCCAATGCGGTCTTGGGCTCCTTGCTATCGGCAATGGAGTTCCTTGGCTTGCGGGAGCCAGAGGCATGGAGAGCATAGGGAAGGTGGGTGGTTGTGGGGTGGTCGTTGTTCTCGGGTGGTTGTTGTTCTAGGGTGGTCGTCGTCTCAAGCTACAGCTCTATCTGCTAGAATACCACCAGCGCCCATTAGGGGCTTACCAATGACAATTGTTCTATTCGAAACTCATCCTGTCATCGCCGCCTCCGCCGTCGTGTTCCACCCTTGATTTTGCCCCTCAGGTTTTTCACTAAACCTCCCGTCCGGTTTCGTGGAATTACGCTGACGGAGCACGGCCACGCTCAAACGTGTCGAAAGACAACAGGTATCATTATGGTGCCGCGTTCGCCCTGCTCCTCGCCGATCCTTTTTCATATAGTGGTCGTCAGGGTCTTGACTTGGGGTAGGGTTGTATTCTGGCGTGCACGACTAATGTTCACCAGAAGTTACATCCGACGTCGTGCGTAGGTCCGAGCGAGTGAGGCTAGGGTGTGATATAGACGTCGGAGATATTGATTAGGATAAGACACAAGGACGGTTCAGTTTCACATTCATTGTTCATCAGGGCGTGCTGCGGTCCCATAAGAAAAGTTGCTATGATCTATACATCAAATAATTCTACCGTGCTTTCAAGTCGCGAACCAGATCACCGAAATGGTCCTTTTGGTCATCAGCCAGCTTGCCCTTCGTGTCGCTGACAATGGTCAAGACCAGGCTGTAGTTATTGTACAGGAACTTCGAGCGCTTAGCCGCATCGGCCCCGGCACCTTTGGCCAATTTGCCCAGGAGAGTTTCGTACTCGGTGCGCAGGCGGCCCAGGCTCTTTGAGATAGGCTCATCGTCACCTGCATCCGCACTGAGCGTCAGGATGCTGTGCAGGAATTGCCCAAAGCGCTGTGTGATGGTGTGCGGTGCCACGGATGTTTTTGAGGCTTCGCTGGAGCCACCACCGACCCCGACCAGGGAGAATGCAGCGGCGGCAGAGCCGCGGGAGATGCTGACGGGGAATCTCTTCAAAGACTCACAGTGCGCGTCCATCACCATTTGGAAGCGAGGCCATAGGAGGATGTTGGTGTAGTTGATGTATGAGTCGGCGACGGGGACTTTTCGGCGCTGGAGTTCAAATGCGAAATGTTGGTTGAGGCGGACGCAGAGTAGGACACCTTGGCAGTCGTTGGAGTTTTCTACCAGCTGCTTGGTCAGGCCGTGGCCCATTGTGAAGGTGGGCTCGAAGATCTCGGTCACGCGCCGGGCAACTTGGTGGTAACTGCAGGTGGAGAACAGTTCCGTGCACACGGAGTATTCTGCGCATACATTGTCCACCAAAGCGCGGTTGAAGTTGCGAAAGGGTGTCTCCATGTAGTGTGCTGTTTTGCTGTCCTCCGCGAGGTATGAGGGCAATGCAGAGTCGTTTTTTGACTTGAGGACTTCTTCACGGCGTCCTAAACTGAACGCATCATGTTGTGGAGCACTGGGTTTGGAGGCACCCAGCACGTTTCTTCGTGCAGGAGCAGGATCGGATCCGAGGAGGTCATACTGGTCGAAGATGTGCAAGTGCAGCGATGAGAGGGCGTGTTCGTAACGACTGAAGTGGATATTGTAGTACCATTTCATGGTATTGATGTACGCTTGACCTATTTCGTCGGCCAGCACAGAGTGGTTTCGAGCTAAAAATGAATACAAGTCTTTATATTTCAAGAAGGATTGCTGTTGGATCACTTGAGCATTGATATTGGGAGACCTGAGGGCTTTTATTTGGGCCACAATGTAGTCTCTAATTCTTTCGATGGCTTTAGCATTCAGATCATCTAGTAAAGGCTTCAGATCTTGTAAAGCCTTGACGTTTTCGGCCTCCTTCTCTTTGACCTCAATGAGGGCGGAACGGGCCTCGACTTCATTGAGCGCCTTAATAAAATTTTCGTCGATGGGGCCTTCGCTTATTGACCTCACTGTATATGGGGAGAGGCTCACGCCTTCGACAGCTGGTCCCAACAGCTTCTCGACTTTTCGACGGTTATCAAGTTTAGCGTTAAGGTTGACGGAGCGAGCTTGGAGATTCTCAATCTCAGCGGAGACTTGACCGAGTTCAGCTTTGAAGTTTGTAAGATAGCCCTCAACGGAATTCAGAACTTGATCGCATTCAGCTATCGAATTGTGGAACTCTTGGTATTTCTGCCTATTTTCCTTTGAGGAGGCTTCAGACAGCTTACTGACTGGCTTTGGTTGCTGAGGCGGCTCCTGTAGGAGAAAGTCTTCGAGGCTGAGTCCTCCAAAGTCAATATCTTCCGGCCGGGGCTTCTCATGCTTGACATTGCTCCCATCTGAGCCAGGTCCTGTCTGACCAAGGATTTGTCTTAACACCCTCAATGGATCTTCAACGTCTGCAGGGGGCCGCTGTTCGAACCGAAGAGATGAGCCATTGGTGATTCTAGGGTGTTGAACAAGAGATGTAGTGGAGGTGTTGGCACTCAAATCCAAGGACGAAGATGAGGATCTAGCGGGACCGGACAAGCCCAGCCCAGGTCGTTGCGGCGGAGCGAGACTGGAGTTCTTGCGTGGTGGAGCGGGAGAATAAGGACGAGAAGGAGTTAGTGAGCCTGTTGGAGTGGCAGTGGAAGGAGCGGTGAAGCGGTCCAGCCACATTCCAGCCATGGCGAATGTATCGAGTATCAAGACATGGCTCGATATACAGAGAGGACGAGCAGGTCGTGAGATGGGGGACGATGTATGATGCTCTACCCGTACAACCAGTGGCCACGAGGGGTGGATGTTGCACGAGCGCGGCACGTGATTCATGCCTCGTGACATTAGACGCGCCAAGGCCCACTGCCGAGATGGGATTAGCTCGTATCTAATCGCCTTTGCCCCCGCCTTCCAGTTCTCTTGATCCCACTTTGCTCAGGACTTGCTAGACTGATATTTTACCTGAGCCTGGGCTTAATTCGCTGCTGCGAGTCTTCTCTTCCTTCTCCTCAGTCTCATTCCCATCTTCTCGCTCCCTGGTCCGGCCAGTTCATTTGCCCTCCTTCAATTTCTTCATCAATTACATTCTTTACGCCAAACCCCTCATCTCTCACCATGGCCGACGACGCGCAGGTAAGCTTGGCTCGATTTCCCCCGCTTTGTGTGTTGGCTGGCTGGTCGCAGTCGATGTGTCTACATTTGGAAATTGAGCCTATTTCTTTATCATTTTCTTACTTTGGGTTTCCACGCTCTCCTACTAACTTCCACCGCTTATAGCATGAGCACACCTTCGAGTCCGCCGACGCTGGCGCCTCTGCCACCTACCCTATGCAATGTTCTGCCTTGAGAAAGAACGGCTTTGTTGTCATCAAGGGCCGTCCATGCAAGATTGTTGACATGTCCACCTCCAAGACTGGCAAACATGGGCACGCAAAGGTCCACTTGGTCGCTCTCGACATCTTCACTGGCAAGAAGTTGGAAGATCTCTCCCCATCTACCCACAACATGGAGGTCCCCAACGTCGTCCGTCGTGAATACCAGTTGGTAAGAGAACATTACCAATTATCCTTCAGCGACGTCCGTCCATGCTAACGAATTTGGAAATACAGCTCGATATCACCGATGATGGCTTCTTGTCTCTTATGTCTGATGATGGTTCCACCAAGGATGATGTCAAAATGCCAGAGGGTGAAGTTGGTGACAAGATCCAAAAGCTCTTCCGTGAAGATGAGAAGGATACCAGTAAGTCTGATTCCTCCCAAATGAGAGTATCAAGGCTGATCTATCCACAGACGTTATTGTCTTGACTGCCATGGGTGAGGAACTCGCCATGGACGCCAAGGAGGCTCCAAAGTAAATCAGACCTCCTTCTCATTCTGCCGCATTTCGAAGGCCGCTTCTACGTGCCTGATGTGTTCACGGTTTTCACGATCAATACAACGTCAAAAATGAGCGTCTTGGTGTTGGGACAGTTTGCCCTTCCAACCTCATCTAGCCGGCGGGATACTAAGACAAGGACTTTTGTCGAGCTGGATACGCCATGGATCTTCTTACTTGCTCGAAAAGCAAATTTCGGTCAACTGGTTGCAATGGGTAGTCTAGCATTTTGAAATATCTTAGACGAAATCAAAGCAATTGACACAATTTTATGAAATAGTAATGGGTACCACCAAGCTTGTCCGGTGGCATGCGTCTTTTACATTCCGTAATTCATTTGCCCGTGATTGGCTCAATTGACCCTACATATGAGTGACTGTCTGGTATAGGGTATTGCTCGTCCGTGAAAACTACAGTCTTGAGTGTACTCCTGGTCATGACCAGCTACCGTATTTTTGGAAATGGAAAATCATCAGGCCAAGTTGTTCCAGAACCATGAAGTATCAACCACAATTGCCTTTCAACTTTCATCTTAAATCTTGCGACGTTTGTACTTGCTAGTTATCCAAGGTGGCCCTTTCATTCACCACCATGATAACTCGGAAAGCTACCCACACTATCATCACACCCCTCTCTTTCCGCAACACCATATGGAGGAGGACGACGACGACCGCTGTGACCAGTGCGGTTCCACAGACTTCACGATCGAAGACGATGGGCGCACGTACTGCGCCAACGGCCACGAGCAAGCCCGTGGAATCATTACGGCGGAGGACGATGCGGATTACGCCAGAAAGGGCAAAGTCGTAAGGAAGAAGGAGAAGAAATCGAAGCAGAAGGTGTCTAAAGGTGAGTAAGTGGGTTTTGAATTGAGTTCCCTCATACCCTCTATGTTTCCTCTTTTCCATCTTCAAAGAGAACATGGCTATGGGGCAGGGAGGGAGACCTCTCCCCACCTCCTTTTCCTTTAGAAAATAACCCGCCGACACGTCCTGGTCACTCCAAAGCAACAAGAGTGAAATTATACCGTACTAAGATCCAGCCAACAGTCCTCCGAGGCGTCAAAGCATACCAACTCTTTCTACAAGCATGGCAGCACATTCTCTGGAAACAGTGTCATACTTTGGTGCACCAGCTGGAGCTGCCGGAGGAACTCTGGGTACGTGGAAGAGGGGGGAATCTCCAAGCGTCTTGGCCACTGACAAGATTGGAAACTAGACAATCGTCCGAGATCTATGGGCACTGTGGCTCTCGAAGCTCGAGCACCGTCTGGATCGCACTGAACAGGGCCAACACGAGAGTGACGGCGATCAGCTCGAGACGTCTGGGGAGAACACCGATACCACCGACGCCGTCGATACAGACGCAGATGAACGGCAGGCCGGTAACAACAGCAGCAAGGCTGCGAGGAAAGGCCCAAAGCTGATCGACACGGCTGCGCTGGGTTATCTAGCTATGATCCTCTTGAGGCTCCCGATTGAGCTGGCTACGATATTGAGGTAGGCTGACTGCTGAGCAACCTCACAAATGAGGGCTTCCCTCATGTGCTACGTTGCGGATGTTAACCAGAAATGACTCAACAGATGGGTCCAAGAAGAAGACATTCCATTTATCCGAGCCATCAGGCACGTTCCTCAGGAAATGAAAGAGCGTCTGCCCAGTGAGTACCAGGCGGCTCTGGACACCCGCCACATGCCACGGCCGGACGAGCTGCAACTCGCCGTCTACCAGCGCTCGCGCATGTACGACGTCCTCTTCGGCATGGCCACGCCGCCGGTAAACCATGATCTCCTCTTCATCTCCTACATGCGCTCCCTCGCCCTTCCCATCGAAGTCTATAGTCTCGCTCAACGCCTGAACAGGATCACAAAGTACAGTTTCGCGTACCAGGACCTGGATGCGGGTGAAGAAGCAGCAGAAGCAACCTCACGACTGCGCCGTCATGCGACCAGCTATCCCGAGGCACAGATAATCTCGCTGATAGTGACGGCCACCAAGCTTCTCTACCCCTTTGACTCGGACACCGTGCCTCGACATCCGAAATCGCCCAACGATCTCGCGACCCTGCGCATGGACTGGCCAGCGTGGCTCAAGGCCAAGACAGACCTGGAGACGGCTTCGCGTCAGCTTGGTGCTAACGGGAGCACGGAGGGCTTACAGCCCGGGTCAGAGATGGCCGTCACGGACGAGGACGTCCTCAACATGAACGACACCCAACTCGACCAGTACCTGGACTGGTACCAACGCATGTGGCTGAACCCCACGGCAGCCGGGACTGCCCCAACAACCAGCGCGGTCAATGAATCAGGATCCCAGAGCCAGAGCCAGAGCCAGAGTCAGAATCAGAATCAAGAGCCCAACACCATCGACCAAACAATCCTCAATCTCTTCCCCTTGCAGCCGATCCCCTCCGTCGAAAAAACCCGCACACAGCACGCCTCAGCAGCCCAGAGGCGCGAAACACTCCTGCAGACACGGATCGAGCGTGTCCAGGCCTCACTGAAACCAATACGGGCCATTCCACCTGCAGAAGAAGAAGCCGCCGCCGCCGCCGCCGCCAGAAAACGCACGCAGAGCGTCCTCCGCCCTGGCGCACGCTACCCTCGATACAGATGGGACGAAAAACTGGACGGCGACGCCAAATCCGGGTGGGCCCAGGCTGCCAAGGTGTTCCACGAGGAAGCCGCGCAGGTGGCATGCCTCAGCGTGGCGGCGCTGTGCAGAGCGGTTGTCAGGACGGAGGATTTGATTGAAGCGTGGCGGAGGGAGAGGAGGCGGGAAGAGCACTTCGCAGGCGTGGATCGGCAGGGTTCCTCCGGAGCACCACCCACGACGACAGGTGCTGGAGCAGGTGTCGTCCTAGCTACTACCACTCCTGGGAACCCGTCTTCGAGCGCCGCGCTGGTCAGGGGACTTGGGGACCTGGAACTCGAGGATTTCGGCTCTTCTCCTGCTTTCGCCGGTGATGTAGCAGGGATTGGTGAGGACGACGAAGGAGGAGGGAGCCGGTTGGAGGAGGATCACGAAGGCGGCAATGATGGCAGTGAAGGAGACATCGAGATGGAAATGGCCTTGGAGTATCTGCCTGAACTGTGAACATCGGCATCCTCTTCCGAGAGTATAGAGGTGCTGGCATACATGCAGCAAGATGCCTTGCTTTGCCCTGCGTACCTAAAATACTGAAACCAGTACGTGACACTTTTACCACTTCGTACGGAACGCGTCATCTACACTTGGTGATGGATTCATCGTGGAGCAGTGCGCCCCTCTCCCACCAACCGAAATCCCGTTGTTGTAAACACAGTACAGTACACTCTGTGTTGTGGAAATAGTGCCCGCAAACAGGTAAGAGCTGGGTCGTTTCCCGACTTATTCCTGGCCGTGCCTTGGCGAGAGGTCGATACATGGCCGGCCCAACGTCCATTTCAGATGCCTTGAAACCATGCGTCGTTACAAAGAAGTCTCAGTCAGCGTACATGGTTGGATTCATGGTCATTCCCCCAGCTCGGATAAACCGCTCCTAGCGCTTCTATAGCAGTGAAAACTCCCGTCCCGCTGTGAGGAAGTCGTTGAAAGTCAAGATCCTTTTTCCATGAAGCCAATGGTTCGGTTCCCGCCTACAAGATCATGGTCTCTGAAGAGTGGTCTTTGGAAGACACCATGATCGTTTCTATCTTACATGGCATGCAGCCATCAAAGGTTTTGTGCCACATCAGCCCGCGAAATAAGCCGCACGTTTCAACGCGGCTGTATAGAAGCGTATACCTTGACTAGCCCCCATTCTGAAGGCCTGAAGGACGTGGATGTTCAATCTCTCGTGATACACACAAATCATCGATAGAATATCTACTCGTTATAGTGGTACACCTATAACAATATGTTAGTAAGCACTCTCCAACATCAAGAAGGAGGGGTACACACAAAATAATCAGGCAGACCGTAAGACTCATAATGGAGCCGTCCCGCCATCTTGGCAAAGCCTTCGGTTTCGATCAAATGGTAAAAGGGAAATGGAGGAAACATGGCTCCATCTCGATGCACATGAGCCTTGACCATGAGTGCAGTTCCGCCCACTCCATCTAATGGCAAGAGACGCCTCGGGTCATAATCCGGGTCTCCAGCAAACTTGGCAATTTTAGCCAACAGTAACCTATACGTTGGCATTTCGGCATAGCCCTCGAGCAGTATTTCATCTGGACCCATAGACGCAGCGAGTTCTTGTGCAACACTGCTATCACGCCATGAATTGAAATCATAAGGTCGGACGTCCGGTGCACCGTTGTCGTTGATGTATCTTTGAAAACAATTGGGTACAATTATGTCTCTGTCATGGCTTGCTAGGTCTTGGATCAATGTCGGAGGGGACTCGACAATGTCTCCGTCGAGCCACAGTACCCAAGAGGTATACGGACCTATGGTGGTGAAGAGAAGGCTGTTGCGTGCCAGTGCCATGGCGGCACGCCGAGCCTTCTGGTTTTCCAACCGATGCCGCTCCTTTTCATCTTGAGAGACAATGGGGGGATCAAAGTCCTGCCTTAGGATGGTTATTGATTGGAAACGTTGCTCTTCTGGGCCAGACTGAGTGATCTTGATCGCTTCTTGCAATGCTGCTGTGGCTGCGTTACCTTCTTTGTTCTTGGGCGTGACAAAACCAAGGCTGATATGTTCATGGGGATAGGTCAGGGCGAGAAGGTTTGACCAGTATTCGGGGTAGAAGCGCGCAAGGGGGGTGAGGATTAGGATTTTCTCATTGTTCTTCTCCGGGAAGGTTGAGGCGGTGAGATTATTGAGGTTATAATGGACGACTGGAGGTGGTCTGCGCAGTCCGCGCGAGCCGGGCCCATTCTGCTGTTTTCGAAAGGCTGAGGTTGGTGGGCTGAGAGGGTTTTCGGCAGCGGCGTCAGATTTACGTTGACGCAGGTCGGATGGTGGGGAGGAGACAGAGTTGATGCTGTAGAGAAAGTATATGAAAACGACGAAGAGAAGAATGGCGAGGACGTGAGTCCGATTGGCAGTACGTGTCTGGCGCATGTCGAAGTAGGCCATTCTATGGTCAAGGATGGAGTGGGATACTGGACAGCGTACAGCGTCTCAAAGGCATGAAGAAGGGTCAACGTGTCACCTTTGAATTTTTGAAATGTCGCGGTAACATGATGGCAGACAGCCAGGGAGTATGGGTTTTGAACAAGGTCACAGCTTTGAAAGTGTAACTGTACAAGTCACGGCACTATGTGACTATCATTGCTTAGGGGGAGGTATGAATGAAGCAGTGCTGGTGGTGGTCGTAAGGGTGATTCGCACTCACAGAGCAAGGAGCAAGGACGATTGCGTACGACTGACTGTCAATCCCATGTCGCACGGAGCACGGAGCATGGATCGGAATTACGGGCCCTGAGGAGTGAGGAGTGAGGGCAAGTGAGACCCTAAAAATAAGAAGCCTTCCTTGTCCGAGGCGCTAGCCAGGGAAGTGGAAAGCTAGCTCTCTGGCTAGGCATCTACTGTGCATACAGTACAGTACTCGTACGTTGCGATGCACCCCCATAGCACCCGCCACACAATTGAGCCACAGCACTCGGGATTGGGCATTTGGTATGCAAGGGTTCGACACTTCCTAGTCATCCAAATAATCTGTTCTGAGCCAAAGGTTTTCCATTACAATGCCTATGTGATGTAAACTATTTCAGTCTGAAGGAGCCGCCCCTTGCCTCTAGATGGGTTTGGCGAGCTCTGGCAGTAGAAACACCCAGTCCCCCTTACTCGGTCCCTTTTTTTGAGCATCCCGTTAGCGTCTCAAGGCAGGTGGGAATCTCATGATGAGATCCAATGGACCAGGCTGAGCGCTGGCTCGAAGCCTGGACATACACAACAAAAGAAAGTCGTGAGTGCTGTGATTACCAAAAACGCCCGGTCCGATGAAACCATGGATGGCTAACATTCGACTCTCATGCATCGACCAAAGTGCAAGTCAACAGACTGGTATACATGCAAGGCTCGGTTCCCATCAAGACTCCGGGACAATGACCAAACCCAACGCGACTTCAACGCATGTGTGCGTTTCAACATGCACGTCGTACTTCATCAAGGATACATATCAGTCTTCGTCTGGCGGTGTGCCTCGGTGTTGTCGGATGAATTTCTTGGGCTGCGAGGCTTGGGGCTCGTTGCGGGTGATATCTTGCCAGCACCGGCGACTTGAAAGTAATCGGCAGCCTCGTCGAGCTCAAGCGGCGTTACTGGTCCCTTAGGACTCCCTAATGGATCTAGGCGTGGGCCGCCAGGCTTGATGCCCATCGACGATGCCGCAATCTTGGAAGATAGTTGAGCCCTCTCTAAGAATTCCTTTTGCTTCTCGCGCATCAATCTGGGCGATTCAGCCTGCAATGGTTGGGTGACCCTATTTACGGTAATAGCCGGACTCTGAGTAGTAGAAGACGGTGTTGCTGGTGAGTCCAGTTGGTTGAAATTTGCTGGATGAAACCTTGGCAGCGTCATATGCATATGTCTTGCTGCTGGTCGTGCATGTTGTGTTGAACGAGGCCTTGTAGGCTGGGGAGAAAGTGGCTGATGACTAGTCGGTAATCTGGGAGAGAGCGGAGATGTAGGGGTGTAACGCCCTGGATATGCGTCGGATGAACGCATGATAGAATGTGCAAGTGAAGGCACGTCCTCTTCAATTTGTGATAATTTGTAACGGACGATGACTTCACTCGCTGTCCCCCCGCGTTGTTGTGCTCATGCAGCGGCTTGTTGGTGGTTTGACCGGGGGCTCTGTATATAAATGTCGCTGTGGTACTAAGTGGAAGGTTGCGCTCGGATGTTGGCCTACACGGTAGATGGGGACGAAAAGTGGCTTGAAATGTTGATAATTAGATATAGGTATAGTGAAAGGGGTGGGAGAGCCGCTTGTGAAATGGTGTGTGCGTGTGTGTTGAGACGGTATGGCAGAGTGTGAGAGGGCTGCTTCGTTATGTATGTACGGTAGAGGTACTTGGCAGACGGGGACGCTGTACGGAGCACCTGGGTTGAAGCACCGCCGTAGGCGAGGGTTTAAGGGCCACAATTCCAGGGATAAATGGTCCCAGACACAAAATAGCAGGGTGATTAACAGTGGGTCTGGTCAGGAGGACTTTAGTCACACACGCGGGACACTACAAGCTCCGCGAGGTTCTTGGTGTTTACTCCCTGCCACCTGGCGGCTTGAGTGGCATCTGTTGGAGAAAAGCTAGGGGGCCAGGTGATCGGCAGCCTGAGGGAATTGGAAGTGGATCGTGATGGAAGTGATGAGAGTGATCAGCAACGGTTAGCCATGGATGGTCAGCAAATCCATCACCGAAACGCGGATAGAGATTCCAACCATCTCCACAAGAACAAGCACCTGTAGGTGGATCGTGCCAGGTGGCAGATGGAGATATATAAAGGGATGTGTGTGGTTTAAAATGCAGGGCAGCGCTGCTGAACGGGGGTGCCTTTGCTATGTACATTTGGTTGATGATCATGACGATCAACCTGGGGGGAAAGAGAGTTGTTCCGCTACGCTTAGAGGATTGGATTGGGGGGTCATTCTTCATCGTGGACCAGAACTTCCACAGAACCAGGGCGGTGGCCTGCACCATCGGGTTCGCTTCGATCAAGGAGAGATGAGGGCGGAGGCTGGGCAGAGGTCTGCTCGGTGGTCACTAGTAGTCAGTGAACTGCAGTCAAAGCCGGGAATCTGATGCTGTGAGTCTGTGACGCGCAACAAACGAAGAAATGGGCGAGTTCAGTTCTGGGTACATACAAGGAACGAGCGCCTTTGGGGACCGTTTCTTGGGCGTTGAGACGGGAAGACATGGCGTACAGACTCGTACGAGCAGTCTGACCGAATTATTGTCAATTGACAGGCAAAAGGAGACAACGCGCGGGGACAAGGTAGCAGGCACTCGTTCCACCCATTTCCGTCTTTTCCGCCTGGAGACTCGCCTGTCAGACGTCAAGAATTCTTTCGGTCCACCGCAGGCGTGGCAGGCTCAATGACGGCAAGCGTTGATATCAGAACGCCAACTCAACGGAAGCGATGGCGCCACACCCGCTTTTGTGGGCACCAAAGCCAATCTACAAACCAGCAGCTTTTCTCCGACGCGATGATGATGGGCTCTTCGGGCCCTGGGGACTGGTCCCTGGTCCCGGGCACCCGGGGGCTCTTGGGTCAATACGAGATCATGGCGAGATCTGATACAAGTGGTCAGATTGATGGACAAAGGTGATCGATATGCTTGAGCCCACGGCCGGAAAACCCAAACTCTATTGCGAGCACATGGAATTTGTTGCACAGCGATAGGAACCCGCCGTAAAGTGTCATCACTTCTTCACATTGTGGCCCGGATGGAAGACGGAGTGAGTATTCTGTCGTCCCTTCCTGTCCCTCGGCTGCGTCCAAGTGGGAGGTGCCACGGCCCCTCTTTTGCGGTCGGTGCAAGACTGTCCCGGATATCGGCAGCTGGTGGCTCACGCGCACGACAAAGGTCATATTGGAATGGCTTTAGCGAGTTCTGCAACCCACAATCTACGAGTGCTAGGCTACTAGGCTACTAGGCTACTAGGCTACTATTACGAGTACACATCAGGTATGTGCCTAGGTTAGTATGCTTTGGTGACTCTTGGAGATGGAGTTAACTGACCGTCTACCCTGGTCCCTCATACGGAGGACGGGAGAACCTGTACTGGGTACGGACTGCTCACTCGCTACCCAGTCGCTACCTACAGTAGACTCCTCTCTCGTGTTGTCAAGCAGCCAGCCCGCAGCCAGCCCGCAGCCAGCCCATCAGGCCCACGTTAACATCGGCCGTGGTTCTCTCACAACGAATGACATTCTCTGGTTGTTCCTGCCGCTCTCAGGCAACTGAATCCCACTGCCCCGTCCTGACTGGCCTCACCACTTACTTCTCGCCTTATCGCTACAGGCCTGTGTGACAGTCAATGGCCAAACATACACGGCATGTACTGTATCCTGTAAAATTTATCTTCCGCTAATATTCAAAAAGTAGCCCTGCCAGTCCAACTAAGGGAAATCGACCTCTTGGATTGCATTTTCCACTTGTGGGGCACAGGTAGGTCCAAGCTTCCAGCTCAGGGCATGCTGGCCACGGAACCAGGTCACGTTTTCCCTCCACCAAGTCCATCACCAAGCCCAAAGATAAACCCTTACCCACCATGGCATTTGAGACTGGACCTATCTATAGCCACCAAGATCACTTCATCAGTAGTCCGGAAGATGAAGTTGGACACTTTGTGCATAGCCATAGCCAGCGCATCATTATGGTATATCTAGGCCGATAGAATGCCTAACGTAGCTGGGGTTCTTGGCCTCCAGCGTTATCCTCATACTACACGTACACTACTGCCATCTGTCGCAATGGAAATTTCTTCCAGGGGAGCCATTGCTAGCGTGCTGTCGACGTCACCATCGCCCTCCTGCTTGACCAATTGACGAATTAGTCAACCTTGCCTCTCCCGAACTCACGTCACGAATTATTCCCTTCATCATTCCGTTCAGTGCATATCTGTCTACACCATTGTATCGAGTCTAGACCACCAGTGCGCAGGTCGAGGGTCCCGCCAGCACTGAATGGGTGGCGATGAGGCAGTGCAATTGCTCGCAACTTCTGATATCCAAAGGTCAAATACTCCTGGCCCGCGCCAATTTGTTTCAAGGTTTGGACAGGACCACGTGCTTTGGGACCATGCACCTCCGATATTACTGGTTTCCACAAAAGGACCAGGACAAGCCCCCTGAGTTATGGGAAACCCATTGGAGCTTCAGCGATTTCTTAATGAAGACTTGGTAGAGGCTAGCTGACCCGATGATCTTCATTGTACCCGGGCCATCCGCCTGCGATCTACGGTGAGCACTGCCACCGAGGGGAGGCTCATGCCCAACTTCACATAGCCCCTCACCCGCAATATTCATCCTAACAAGCCAAAATGGCTATCCGCCCTGGCACGACTCTGGTCACGTGGTGGTGAGGACAGTGCCGCATGAAATGGCAGTAGAAAGGAAGGGGCTCAGTACCCCTTCTCGTAGGTAGGTACCTACGTAGGTTTCTGACAGAATACCTGGAGGACTCACTAGCGTTTCCTTTCAATAGTGACAGCACAGTAAAGCTGCTATCTGCGGTGGCCCTCTCTAAGCCGGGGAGGGGATTTGTGTAATCAGTAGACATGCCGTTTGTTGGTCCCGTTGCCCTTCGAGTTTGGGCACTGCTTTAATTCAAGGCCAGAAGGGAGTGAAGCGCCATTTCAAGACTCTACTACATTGTGACACAAAAGTCAGCAAGAGCCAGTGTCTACAGCTCACACTGGGATCTTTGCGAGCTGCTTCGCGAGTCTCCGATTGCTGCCTGCCCTCGCAGTTTGTGGCGTCTTTCAAAGACATGCGAGATCCCGGCTGTTTCCCAGTCGAAATTCAGTAAACCCGTGGCAATGAACGTTTGGCAACCAGGCAACCGTCAGCGTGTCGGGTTTGCTCGAAGTGGTCTAGAGTACGAACAAAGCGATTCAGGCTATGAAAACACCTACCTCAGCCAGGTAAGCGGATATACCTTACCGATGGACACCGAACTGTGGACGTATTGTACCGGCTTTGAACGGGAGCAGATCGCGGCTTACTCGAAGCGAAAGAGAGACTCAGGTACGCATCCCTCGCTTACATGAAAATGCAAGTAAGATCTGCATCTTACAGCCACACAGCGCGTATCGAGAAGGGCGAAAACAGAAACAAATACGATAGAATGAGGGAGGAAGAATATTTCCTTCGTGCGGTCATCAGGCTGAACGAAGAATTGAGAGTCGATCGGGCTCGTAGGTATCGTGGCTGAGCTGCCGGAAGTTGCGATGCCGGATAGGGGGCATGAGGAAGGAGCCAGTGACCATGTGGTCTAAGCTCGCAACGGTTAGCCCACTCTACCCTGGACTAATTGCGTGCCTTAGTACTCCGTAGGGACGACCACTGAGTCCTGACTCCTGAGGACCTGCAAGTTCGAAGCTCCCACGGGGCAGAACCTGCCCGGATGCGCAACAAACCGCCTGCACCACTACTGGCAATGGCACCCACCAAGCACTATCTCGGGTTTAGCCAGGGACCACGAACCTCGTCCCACGACCAGCCCAATTCAATATCTATTACCGGTCAATTGCCCTTTAATGTTGCCTTCTTAAGCATATATCAGTCTCCCACGGCCACTCTTTCACGTCAAGGACGCCGCCATAGTTGCATGGGCGCCATGCTATCGCTCACTACCACACCGCCACGCGTCTGAGATACAGAATCCCACCATCCTCCTCACCATGGACGCACCCCTCAATTTCGATTCCGTTGGTCGTGAATTCGACAAGTGGCTCGATTGGAACGGGTCGGTCAACACTACAGATAGCAACATCCTGACGAACAAAGATGCTGTCGAGCCTGGCAACACCTTCCATCTTCCAATATCCCCTTCATCCACCGCCAACGGCGATACCCACAACCCCTTTCTCAAGAACGAACTTCTCACCGCCCCTCATCCTATTGATATCTTAACCCCCCGGCACAGTTCGGCTTCTCCTGAATCGCGTTCGAGCATTGATATAAGATTGAGCGGAGACACTCTACGTGAGCAGCATTCTCCCACCGAACACCCCATGCTCAAGCGAAAACTCTCGCCTTCCGACGTGCCCACCACCGACTACTCGAAAGATGCCCAAGTCCCGGCCGCAAAGAAACGTCCGCATAATGTCATTGAGAAGCGTTATCGAGCTAATTTGAACGAAAAGATCGCCGAACTGAGAGACAGTGTTCCCAGCCTTCGCAGTATCAAGAAGCCAAAGGGGCGAGATGCGGACAATGCCGATAGTGATGACGAAGATCTCGATGGCCTTGCCCCCAGTAACAAGCTCAACAAAGCTTCCATTCTGACCAAAGCAGTCGAGTATATCCGACATCTCGAGTTTCGCACAAAACGCCTCGAAGACGAAAACAAGGCTCTCAAAGAACGCCTCGAAACCTTGGACAAGGTCATTGCGGAGGGCGGTCAGGATGCCCAAAGAACAGCCGCATTCACCAGCAACACGGTCATAGAAGAATCCTCTGAGACTGTATCTGCTGAAGGCCTCCCGACAGCAGATCTGTCATCCTCAACCCCAGCACAGGGGCTTATTCCCCTCCCTGATGCATGGCGGCGAATGCGCGAAAGCCAGTCTCAGGACCATTATGGTCATATTTATCAGACCAATTCTGAACGAGCTCGTTTCAAGGGCAAATGGCCCACTCGGATATTGTTGGGCTCGCTTGCGGGACTCATGATCATGGACGGTCTCACCGAGTCAGATACTGGCACGGAATCTCGTGAAAAGGGTCTTTTTGGCATTCCACTCGAGCTTCTCGATGGGTGGCAGTTTCTACGATCTCCCAGAATCTATCTTGCTGCGTTCAGCCAATTCTGTCGGACTGGAGGCATCATTCCGCTCGTGAAAGGATTCGTCGCTCTGACTGTCTTGGCTTTTCTTATTTTCTCCTACCTATTCAACTCGAAACCAGCACCCAAGGACGATCTCGAAGAACTCGGCACCGCTTCACAGCAGGCTCCCGCCCCAGCCTCCCCGATCGAAGTCCGGCGCAGGGCGTGGAGCACGAGCATGCAAGCTCTTCACCTCCCCCACCATAGCTTCTTCCCGGAATGGCTTGCTATAACTTCCGAGTGGTTCAAATACACATTTGGCTACATTTTCGGCCCTCGTGCCTACGCATGGCTTACTAAACGGACCGCTGAGGATGACGTGGCCCGGATCAAAGCCTGGGACATCGCAATCGATGCTCAACTAGCTGGCGGAGATATTGAAGTCAGTCGAAGTCGAGTTGTTCTAACCATTTTCGGCTCTGGCACATTGCCTTACACCCCCCTGAGGCTAATGCTGAAAGCGCTCCACTGCCGAGTTTTACTGTGGAACGTGGGCTCACTCGGAACAGCGACATCCAGAATCGCTAACCGCGTTGGGCAATATTTTGCAAACAGACAATGGCGGCGAGCCAAGGCTTCTCATGACCAGCTACCACTTCAACATTCAGATCGACTTCCCCGCTATCTGTCGGAGATGCTTGATTTGCCCTGTGACGATGTGCTCCTCGACACGGTCTGCCAAAGGGCATACAATTTGATGTACGATCGACCAACACAGGAGCATTCGTCAAATAAGCTTCTTGATGTTGTGGTTGACGACCACGCGGTCCGATCACCGCTTGACGCCGTCGCTGCATGGCGATCAACCCATTCTTTGACCCAAGCGTTGGAATTGACTATTCAGTTCCCTGACTCCCCTGAACTTGCACAAGAACATCTCAACCACGCGTTGAGAATTGCTCCCATAGGGTCTACAGCTGAGACAAGGGCGTTGGCAGCAAGCTCAGTTTTCTGTACCGCCAACCGACTTGCTTTTTTCACACGCGCCTCGCAGGCAATGGAAACCACTCTCCCTCCCGAGACCAAGGTGACCATGCAGACCCAACCACCATATTTCATCGATTCCTCCACTCCGTTGTCGGCAAGAGCCGATATTATCAACTGCCTGCACTGTGCTAAAACTCTGCAGATTCTTGATGGTGAGGGAAATGCTCAGAAAGCTCTGGCCTTCTTTTCTTCCAAGAATATCCATTCCACCTCTACAAATCTTATGACTCAAGCTGCTGCTAAGATTCTTCTCCGACGCTTGTCGGGCATAGAAATACCAGTCGCAGCTGGTGGAGAAGAGGTTCGAAATCTGCTTAACGAAATTACTTGCGCCGCTGACATTTTGGATGTTGTAAGCGCCGTGAAAGTCTCAAGACGATCCAGCGTCCTCAGTGATGACACTGGATATGCCAGCCAGGATGACTCTATCTCATCGTGGGGTCTGGACCAGGATCTACGATGTGAAACTGTGTCTCCTGCCATCGCGACCGAATTCGTGGTGTAATATTCTTACAGGCATATCGGCGTTCGGGATTTGCTACAATGGTACATATATCGTATGTCATGCCTGAAAATGGGAGGCTACATTGAATTACGCAGTTCATGAGTGATAACAAGGCACGAGCAATCGAGTTTCACGATAGTAATAAATGGATTTCCGCACTAGCATCATATTATCAACGGTTTTGTCGATGCACATCGATGACATCATTCAGATGTGCATTCGAGGCCAAGTGGCGTGGCACCACTCCGTAGCAGTAGGCACTGCTGACAATTCTTCAACCTTAGATAAAATTATGATCCTCGCTGCCAGTACAGAGCGTTCCGACTTGGCTTACACGCTTCAGCTGTGGTAACATAATCTGTTCAAATGACAATACTGCGATATGATCCCTTGCGATTTCCATTTCCACCCCATCACCCCTAAATCAGCACATACACATCCTACATAGGTCCAGTTAACCTAGCATTGCGATAGCCTCAAATCCCATTCTCTTTGACGAAGACTTGCTTTGAAATGGAGGAAGTCAAAGATGAAGCCAACACCATTTGGGATATTGGTGTATTCGATGCTCATTGTCATCCCACCGACATTATGGCTTCTACTGGAGATATTGCCAGCATGAAAGCACGGGCTCTTACGATCATGGCCACGAGGTCTCAGGACCAGAAGCTAGTTGAAGACACCGCTAGGAAATATTCGATTAAAAATCTGAGAAACGCCTTCTCAGGTCGAGATGTGACCCAGGTCGTGTTGCCGGCGTTTGGATGGCACCCTTGGTTCTCACACGAGCTCTACGATGATCGCGAGTCAAAGGCTCATATTGATGCCGTGAGGCATTACAGATACGTCTTGGCCCCAGAACCGGAAGATTTGAGTTTCATCAGCGCTTTGCCATCGCCAATCTCACTTACTCAATACTTGAACGACACTGAACAACGACTCAAGGATTTCCCACTCGCTTTGGTGGGAGAAGTAGGTCTCGATCGTGCTTTTCGTCTTCCTGACCTCCCCGCTGCAAAGGGGCCGACAGGAGAAAGATGCGACAAAAGTGGTGGCTCGACTGAAGAGTATACCGCGGGTTCTCGTGAAGGACGGCCACTGACCCCATACCGGGTCAACATGGAGCACCAAAAGGTGATCTTGAGGGCTCAACTTGATCTTGCGGCAAAGATGAACCGAGCAGTCTCACTCCACAGTGTTCAAGCTCACGGGGTGGTATTTGATCTTCTTCAAGCCATGTGGAAGGGCCACGAGAAGCCATCAAAGCGAGAGAAGAAGAAGCTTCAACCAGGGAAATCCGTATCTGGGGTGAGCAAAGACCAGGAATCAAAGGATATTCTTCCATATCCTCCACGAATCTGCATGCATTCGTACTCTGGGCCGCCCGATGCTCTGAAGCAGTTTTTCAACCCTAAAGTGCCGACGGATTTCTACTTTTCATTCTCGACGGCCATTAACTTCCCAGGCTCCCGTACATCAACAGACAAGGCCACAAAGGTCATCGAACTTGTACCCGATGACAGGATCCTCATCGAGAGCGACCTTCATTGTGCTGGCCAGATGATGGATGACCTGTTGAAAGACATAGTACTAAAAGTCTGTGACGTTAAACAGTGGCCTCTGACAGAAGGTGCTGAACAATTGAAGCAAAACTGGATGAAATTTGCTTTCGGTTGAATTTGCACGGTTTGACATCAAAGTCCGAACCATACATTCGAAGGGACGAACAACGCTCTGGCGGTGACGGATGGTGAATCTTGCGTGGCAAGATCCAAGAGGCAGTGAAGGATATCTCCTAGAAAAGTGAATGGACTGCCCAAGCAGATCTTGTCGGCTTCGTCCCTGTAATCTGTATCAACTTCCGCTGCGTTGTTCACTGACCTTTTTGCAGCCACCTTAATACCCCGTCGGCCACCCCTCTTCGTTTTATTGCTCCTTCATCGCGCTTGATTCCGTTCATCGGCCGCATCTCACGTCATGTTCTCCGCTAAAGACATCTATCGGATAAACCCTCCTCATAATCTTCGCCCGAGCGATTGGGTCATCGATCTCCCTCGCCCAGAGCCCCACTTGGAAGTCTCTCCGCTGGCTATTTCGCGGCAACGACATCAATCCGTCCGTATACAGCAGCTTATTGAATATGCAGACAAGCGCTTCCACAAGGGGCGTTGTTTCTATGAATTCTTGGCGGGAAATCGGGGCAAAGAGCCCTCGCCCGGGCAATTTGTTGTGACGTGCATATTCGCATATCATGAGATCGAGCACTGGCCTGGTGCATATTCACATCTACAATGGACAAGATTTGTGATGGAAAACATGGAGTATGATGCACTGGCGCAGGCACAAGCGTCAGAGGAAGGATTAATCTGTGGGTCGTTCATGAAAGCCTTGTCTTCACACACCATACTGACTGTCGAGTGTGTTAGTACCTACCCTGCCAGCAGAGGCCTTGCCTATATTTACTGCAGTCAAGCGAGTCGAGGGAGATAGACTAGCCAAAGAATCAGCGAGGACGGGTAAATCGATCAGAGAGCTTACGGCTTATGATTTCGAGCGATATCAAGTTAGAACCCAAGGTCTCGATGCCGTGACTGATCCTCCAACCTCGGGATTGCTTCAGCCTGCTCGTGGCGAGCCACGTCACGTAGAAGAACTCTCCTCAGCAGAAGAACTCACCAATACTGCCGTCCATCAGTTTCATGTTTTCCAAACGCTATCCGAATTTTCCCCCTTCCCAACAAGCCCAAGCCTTCACCTTCTCCAACCGTTCAACGGCCGCCTGAGCCGCTGCCAGTTACTCGAAGCGCCCCTTAACTACCGACTCTTTCGGCACATATGCGAAGCGCACGCAGTATGGACGACACGACTAGTCAAGAACCATCACCGCCTCATGCTTCGGATCATCTTTGCGTCCCCCGAGTCGACATCTGATTCGTGGCATTACTGTTTCAATCTCGCGAGGCAGACGATCCACGATTTCGCCGAACATGCCTTCCAAACTTGGCAACTACATAATCCCGACGTCCCATTCGATGAGAAGAAACATTTCCCGAACTGGTTGAGGAAGCAGTACGAATATCTCCTCGCCACGATTCAGGCTAGAGACCCCATCCCGACCAATCTACCCGCGAAATCCGCTAGATCTCTGACCGTGAAGCAAATGCTCGTCGCCATGCACCGCCAGCAAACTGTGTTGATGAATTGGTCGGTGGAGATAAGCGCTCGGGCTGGTGAGCGGTGTGGGAATCGGTATCGCCATGAGCCAGACAACGTCTTGGATCTGTGGACCGGAGAGGTCTACACGGTAGAGGAGTTCGAAGCTAGGGAGAGAAATGAACAGGTGTTGGGAGGCCCATTTCCGGGACTTGTTCGACACCCTACCGCAGTGGCGATGGAAGGGGTGGCGGTACATCCAGGATATGTAAGTGTCAGCTGATATTGGAGGGAGGAAGGATTGTTTTGATTTTAAGCATTCCTGTTGTTGAGCAGATAGGCCCGGGAAATCATTTACGACCACAGACAATTTCTTTTTGCGGAACGCGTGTGCACCGACCACAGAGCGTGCGATCAAAGAAAACTCTCTATTCTTGCTGGTTATTGATGGCATTGATCCTCCTCTCACTCTGACATATGGCCTTGAATTCGCTGCTCCTCACCCAATGCTATTTTACCGCCCAGGCTATTTAACGACCACGCCTGCGCTGTGAGGCGGCTGGGAAAAGACATAGACTTAGGGTCGCGATGTTGTTGCTTGCACCTTCACTCACGGCACATGCCTGGTATTGACTCTTGAGCTTGTTCCCCATTAGCCCTCAGTGCTGGTCAGTGATTATTACCATGGAAGTTATATAGAAAGCCTTTTCTGTGACACTGGGGCCACTGGGGCTCTCGCCAAAAATACTCGGAACCCGAACAACATATTCATCAACTATGATACCTAGGCGGGTTGATGCCCACTACGGCCCAGAGTTCCTCCCACGCACGCTGCATCTCCACAGACAACGGCCCCTGCTCACACGCACTCAAACTTTGCTCAATCTGAGCATCAGAAGATGCGCCGAGGATGACACCGTCCTCAGCTGTCAAGGGTGAGTGATGCACGAACCACCGCATGGTAGGTAGCATCTAGCAATGAAACACCCTCCCGTTCACAACTCTGCTGAACCTTCTCCGGTCCCTCTAGGATCCCCGGAGTTAGATACGTATCGCCGAAGATTTTCATCTCCTTGAACCGCGTCCCTTTAGCCGGGTCGGTATGTCAGACAACGGCTTCGCCAGCAGACCGCCTGCGAGCGGCGAGAAGGCGTAGAACGACATGTCGAGCTTCCTGAGCAGAGGGAACAGCGTCTTCTCCGGTCCGCGTCCGATAGGATTATACCCGCCCTGATACACCGTCGGCAGTACGTAGCCCTCACGCACACAGATGTCGTACATCTCCTGGACCTCTGCGTCCGAGATATTCGAGACGCCGAAGCGATCGAACCGACCTTCGCGATGCAGCGTATTGATCGCGCGGCATTGCTCTTCGAGGCTTGTAGTCCTATCCGGGCCGTGGAGGTAGTAGAATCGATTTTCTCCTGCTTCAACACAGCGACCGACTTGGCACAGTTGTCGAGGATGTTCCGCTCCGAGAGAGAGCCTGGGGCGAAGGCGGGCGCTTTGGTTGATACTGCGAAGCGTGAGTGGGCGGAGACTGCACCGAGGAGCTCTTCGGATTTCCCGGCATTGTAGACGCGAGCGGTGTCGAGTTCCTTAATGCCGTGTCGGTGGACGACGCCGAGGAATGAGGACACCTGCGCGGCCGTCGCCATTGAGGAGGATCCCTTTGCGACGGAGCTCCCCATCATCCCTACTATTACCTTTACCATCTTGCCTGCCGTCTTGCTTGTCTGGTCTCACTCGGGAAGGTTCGTGTAAAAGGGGGAGTTTGCAGCCATCACTCAAGTGCCTAGATAGTCTCCCAGATATCCTAAATGATCGATGCCGAGTGTCGGGTGTGAGAAAGGTCACTTCCTAAGTCAAGGCTCCACCTTTCCGTCCTTCTGGTGTAGTATGTAAACCACACTTGGACGCCAGAAACGCCGGTGTCGTATGGCCCGCGTCTCGCCAACCACATCTGTCTCCAGGGTCGATCGTCCGGCCGACCTGGACGAACTCGGTGTTTTCGGGTGGGGCGAGTTGTAATTAGGATTACACTTCCGCATGGGCGTGAAACTACATAACTCAGCTCGCATTTGACCTGACGAGGCTGCGGTTTCGCGCAGTCTATGACGACATGACAGATACTATTTTGCGGGTGTCTGTTTTCAGGACAGGAGGTACTAATTAGTTAGTTGATTGGTTAGGCCGTGGCTATGTACGGAGTCCTTGTTTAGCTAATATTTGGAAATCCTACCCAGATATAGATATCTGCCTGGTGTAAATAACCCCATGTCTCTCCCTCAGGCAGGGCGTCAACAACATCAGAGCGCGGCTGTGGGCAGTTACACCGGCAAAAGTGGAAAACTCGTAGATCTGGCCCTCTAACACGTCCGACCTTCTCATCACGCCGTGCTGCCAACTAATAGCATACTACAGTTTTGCATCCAGATGCTTACTGAACACGAAGAGATTCCTCTTCCCATCGTTCTGGACATGGCCTGTTCGTCCGATCTTCTCGTCCGAGCCCGACGAGATCTCCTTCAGAGTCTCTTCATCGCCGTGGTTGGCCACGAACCTATGGCCACTTCTCTTCAAGCGGCCGACAATGTACGCCCGGAGAGGGGTGTTGTCGCGTTTGAACTCGACCGTGTATGTCTGTACGCATGGGTAGGTCGTCAGCGTGATTTGTTCCGCTGCCTCGCACGAAATGACTAGCCAATAAAAGATCAAGGTTGGCTTACCTCAATCGTTGCTTCCTCATTGCCTTCCACCTTCACATCGACGACGGGAACTGGAAGGTCGGTGACCATTTCCGGCAGCGGGTTTTCCGCAGGATATGCCGATCCGTCGCGGCGACCCGTGGTTGACAAGCAGATCACATGCTGGTAGCTCATTACGCCACCGTTGGCGAGAATCAGGCCGTTGCGTCCTTTGCCCTGCCGTAGCTGCCGTGTCATCTCTGTGATCGCCTGGCGGAGCTGTCAGCGCCCAAAACAACAAAAGACACGTGCTGGGCGAAAAGGCTTCTTACATGCATGGAATAATTGTTGCCAGCGCCGCCAAAGCTTGTCAGACCTCCCAGCAGGGTCAATGATTTCGAGCCATGGGTGATTGGCAATTTCAAATGTGACGCTGCGATCTTGGGAACAATAGGAAAGCACCTGGATGAATGTCAGGGTTCGATTCCTTCTGGTGTCCAGCCGAGAAGTACTCGACGCCAGATGGGGTGGAAAGAGCACATACGAGTAGAAGTCGTACAAGTCAATATCTTCTTTCGTGATACCAGAGACTTCGAGGGCCGAGTCAATCGAGCGCTCAATGGAGGGGCTAGAATAGTAGTTTGGTCGTTCCCAGACTGAGAGGAATTGAGTAACGCATAAGTAATGTGCCAGATCGTACACCGGGCCACTCATTGACAGGACTTTACTCACATGCATCACTGTCGCGTGTGCCTGCTCCTCCCAATGCATAAATCCAATTTGCCGGAGGTATCCCTAATTCCTCAGCATAGGCTCTTGATGTCAAGATGACTGCCCCAGCAAGGTTTACAGTATTGAAAGCGTTCATGAGGAGGGGATCTAGATATACCTACGTTAGCGAAGGCAGTCTGATGGTCGAATTTTGTGTGTAACTAGCATACATGGCAAGCAGATCATCCGATTCCGCTTGGTTACGGTAGAGATATCCTCCTTTGATTTCCGCGAGCCGTAATTCCAGGCGAAAGGTTGATTCTCTGCAACCTTGGCGAAATCAGCATATAGTTGAGCAGATTCGTCATGATTCTCCGCCAGAGACTGTCGTCGCTGTGCGCGAAAGCCATTCTCAAACAGAGGATAGATATGGATCGGGTCCCCGATCGAGTGGACTCCACCAACAGCTAGTGCGTTGTAAGCATGGCAAGAACAGGATAGTCAAGAAGGGACTTAGAGTAGCTCACAGGTACCGTGATCTCTCCCACTGGCCGAGAAGACTGAATCAACGTTATCTTTCGTCTTCGTCCATCCCGGTGGTGGCAGTCTCTTGGCTTGGGCGCACGCGGTCACTGTAGGATTAGTTGTTCCAAATCTTCGGACACAGCGTACACTTGGTACTCACACGAAGCTAGGGCCTCTCCACCAGCGACAACAGCCACCTTAGTAGCACCTTTCGAAATTCTCCTGGCAGCTTCGTCGAGTAATTTGGCTGGCTTGTTGCCACCATGTTCGGTGTAGGACTTATGCGTAGCATCGACACCTAGATTCTGACCGATAAGACCAGGTAGGTCGTCATACGGCCATGTCCATGTCCTGACAATGTCAATGCTGTCGATGCTCGCCTGTAAGCTCGCTCTTTTGACTTCACTTAGGCCGGTGTCGTTGATTGCTTTCTGAATGGCATTGAGCATAAGGGTTAATGGCTCACGTGCATCCGACACAGAAAGCGAACGATTGATGAAATCACCGACGCCGACAATGATTGGGACGTCAAATCTTGGACTCATGGCGGCAGAACGTGGTTAGGATTAACCTAGACTTTTGTGGGTGGTGTCCTGAATGATTCGAGATGCGATCAATAACAGTAAACAACATTGCCAGAGAGTGTCCTGAGGCAAATTGGAAATGTAATACTGGATGGAGTATTGATTATGCCAAGCTCTGATACAGTGATACATATTTACTGACAGCCGAAAGTTGAAGTCGCGTCGTAGCTGGACCGAGGTACTATTAACTAGACAGCCGAAACGAACTACCCTGATCCCCACCGCACCGCGTAACGTGGTTGCTGACTCCGCCGCGAAGCCAGTCATGACTCAGACTTCTCTTGTCCCTGGTATGTTCTGATTATAACAGATAAGACAAACACCACGAGTTCGATTAAGTCGGCGTAGCCAACGAAAGAGAAGCTATCCAGGAGACACGCCCGATGAAATGCTCTCAACTTTACTCGTAAGGTTTACCAGCGGAACGGAATAATATGTCTCCAGCATAATGATGTACGGTGAGGCACCACCTTTTTCTGGCATGACCTTTGTATGATCGCATTAACATCACCAGGATTTTCTGACTTGCGGACCTGTCCCGCCACCATCGAGACCAATACGGCCCATCTGAGGGAACACAGGAATATAGGTAGGTGCATCAATATCAAACGGGTTTAGGTGGGATCTACTCCTATTATTACGACGCGGCCATGTGGACTCTTGATAAAAATCTTCAATTCGAGGCCAAGAGGAGGACAAATCCATGGACTCGATGCGCCTCTTTATATATAGACCTTACCGCAGCCTAGCTATTTGCGGGAGGAAGACTAGTGCGAGAGCCCCTTGTGTATTCTCTGGTCAGTCATAAAGCCAGTGGGCCGAAAGCTCGGAAGTGTCACTTTCAAATGGTAGCACTTCCAACCGAATGCATTCTTGGGCGGAATGGAGACAAACATACTCGACGGCTATTCTTCTTCGGGGCTGAGATGCCACATAAGGTCCAAGTTACCTGTCCTGAAAGTAAAGCGACTAAGATATTACTGCAGCCGAGACAGCTCTTCGTGTAGTAGAACCTAGGAGACAACATTCAGGGCTCTGCGACCTTTGTAGACGACCCTTTCGTGCTATAGCCTTCCTCTCGAATTGCTTCGTTATCTCTCCTAGCTGTCCACGAATGTCTCGGCCCTGCATATCTCATGCTTGCAACGAATGCCGGCGTCGTAAGTTCCGCTGTCCCGGCCACCCTTGTCATGCACTTTTCCAGATGCCCTTGTTGTAGCTGCCGGTCGGGGCGACAGGATCACACGGTCTCAAGGGCGGTATCGCACGCTCTCTACGTCCATGCCACCAGCCTCCATGCCCCCTTCTTACCTGAAAAGCTCGGCTCAACGGCCGTTTGTCTCGACCGTTTGCCATCGCTTCCAGATGTGGCAGCCGCATCTCGAACCTCTGTTGAGCGAGGTTGGAACCACATCGTCAAGACTTATATCGTTGTTGATAAAGACTTCGTCTGATTCTGGATGGGAGACCGATCCCTGGTAACGTCTGATTGGATCCAGGCCAAATACCAGCAACTGGCATATCCGTCTTGGGAGCTCGAGATTACCATGCTTCCGCCTATACAGCAAGTAGACTTGATCATTCCGCGGCAGTAGCCAAGGACCATGGTGTGGCAGATGGCTATGTCCAACATGCTACTGTCCTCAAAGCCGGCCAGCCAGAGAGCCTTTCGCTGTTTATGCCCCTACGACTGTCGAAACAGCTCGAGACGTGCCTAGCTGCGTTGTCGAATCACAGCATTGTAGTTTACAATGTGGGACTCGTCCCTAAACTCTTTGAGATCACAACCACAGTCGCCGATGTGGTTTTGGCGATGACACCATGAGACATTGCTGAGGTTCGATCAAATATACAAGATCTATTGCTCACCACGCAGTTCTTATTGAATCTCGTCCAGTTGTGGGCGTGGAATTGTAATTGGCGTCGAAAGCAACTGTCATTACGGTCGTCCTCGAATTAAAGTATGCCAACTCAACCTTGACTGAAGACTATACAGAGTATGTTGAATCATTGACGTTGCCATGAGGTTTGCCGTCACACGAACGAGCGATGCTGAAAAGCATCCCCGCACGAAGCCTCCTCATGGAACCCGGATGCCCAGTTATCGGGCCGAGCTATGGGACTCCTGGATAATGCTTGCAAGATACTGTAGGTCTCTGCAACAGCGCCATCGCTCAGCTCACCATTTTCAGGAATCCAGCCTCACCCAGAGGATTGAACATTGAGGCTGACGCGGAAAACTATCGACTGCGCTTTTTTTCAGTATCCCCAAATCGGCCCTGGTTGTGCCAGTTAGCTTTGCCAACACCGCACCCGTATAGTATGATCATACGCTTGGTATGCATACCAGCTCTGTTCCGGGCCAATATATGGGGTTTCCTAAATCGTCATTCAAACATGTCGACAAGGGCGCCAGTGGCCATTACTGGATGTTGTGGCGAGAGTTTTAAAGACAACGAGACCTCCGATGGTTTCCCTAGCGGAGTTACTCTTTTATAAAGCCTTTGCTCTCCGATAACTTCGTTGTTTCTCTATTCAACATCTACATCGCACCTACATTACACAGTAAAATGTTCTCTCTTTCAGACGGACATTCGCGTTGACAATGGCTGATAGCACGCGTCCTTGGTGGAAGGAAGCGAACATATATCAGATATACCCTGCCAGCTTCCAGAACTCGAACCGAGATGGTATCGGTGATCTGCCTGGAATCCTGTCACGCAGCAACTATATCAAAGATACTGGAGCAGATGCAATATGGATTTCTCCTATGTATAACAGCCCTCAGCAGGACATGGGCTATGATATCTCGGATTATGAGAGTGTATCCCCCCCTTACGGAACGGTAGGGGATATGGAAGCCATTATCGCTGCTTGCCATGAGCGTGGGATGAAAGTCTTACTCGACCTAGTTACAAACCACACTTCCAACGAACATGATGATTAATTTAAAGAGTCCCGCTCCTCGAAAGACAGTCCTAAGCGCGACTGGTACTTTTGGCGTCCACCTCGATATGACACCCAGGGGAATCGCAAACCTCCCAATAACCGGAGCAGTCACTTTGGTGGTAGCGCTTGGGCCTGGGACGAGGGAACTTGGGAATACTACCTTCATCTATTCTGTCCTGAACAACCAGGCCTGATCTGGGAGAACGCCGAGACTCGCAACGCTATATATGAGACCTCAATGCACTTTTGGCTTCGAAAAGGAGTAAACGGTTTCCGGATTAATACAATTAACCTGTACAGTAAGGTTTCTTGGGCTGCCCGATGCTCCTATCACCGACGAGACGTCGGACTACTAGTTTCTAGAGAAACAAGTATCTAACGGGCCTCGAATACGCGAGTTCTTGAGCGAAATGTACTCTATATTCGCTGTTGGAGGATTTGGACTGTACAACTGTACGGGCCAATCGATACAGGCAAGTCAGCGTAGTTGAGATTTCTGTCTTCTTCTACTCTATGGTCACCCTTCTGGTTTATATAGAAAATTACCAGGCAAATGACCTCCTGGAGCCTATTTTCCATGATTCCAAAGCATTCCAAAGGCTGTAGCACTGACTCATTGATCGTCATCACAAGGTTGCGTGCCAGCTTGTTTTGTCGATAGTCATTTAGGCGCCAACAGCATTGCCCTCGTCCCCAAACCGGGTAAGTCGCCAGTTTTCCAAACCCTTGGCAATAGGAGCCTTGACGTTCACTTTCACCTTGGCAAGTACATAGTATTTCGGACATCTAGGCCCCCGCGGTCCTGAGAAACGAGCATGGTCAGATCAAGCGGATGGATTCGAAATACGGATTACGATCGAGAAGATCGCGGACCTCCCAATCGATCCGGGATATCGTTTAAGCGGCCTCGCGCATGACCCTTGGCGATGGTCACTTCAGGTGGACATCTGACAGCATCTTGCGTCTCAGGACCGGATTTCTAGAGGAAGCTAGGGACGTGTGGAGAACCTTGAACAGGGTCTGACTTGGTTGGTGTGAGTCTGGCCGTGGCAGACGTCGCATCTCTTACGTTCACGGGCCGCTCGTCACCGCTGAATTAACCTCGACACGGTGGGACGAACGCCGAGCTTCATGGTTTAGCCGCACGAAAGTCTTGTGTACGCCTCGTCCCAGTCAAGCTCCATGCTCCTGAGCAAGGCCTGATCTACAGTGAGGGGGTGCTTTGGACCCAGGTCATCTACAGTCACAATCACTTACTAGGAAGACCATCCGAACAACGCTGTTTCATATGATCAGCTTCTCTAAGACGATATTGCTATTGATAGTGCGACCATCAGACATTACTGGTACATCATGAACGACAACAATACTATCGACGACGACCTGGGGAAAAGGAAATCACGGGTCGAAAAATGGAAGGAATATCTCGCGCAGGACGTGGATAAATCATGGGCAGACGTGATATTGCTGGTTGCTTGCTTCATTTCTGGTCTCGTGGACAGTGCAGTCTTCAACGTCTGGAGCTGCTTCGTCAGCATGCAAACGGGTGAGTTTCTCAGAGCCGAGCCGTGTCGTTGACCCGGCCATCCACGACTGAACTACCATTGACACGATGTCTCCTGACCAGGAAACACTGTTTACGTGGGCTTGGGAATGTCAGGACAGCCTCTTAGCCAGCCATATCGATGGGTCAAGTCAAGTACCGCCATCTTGAGTTTTTGCATTGGCACCTACTTTTTTAGTCGCGCAGCGCGATATCTTGGACCTCTGCGCCGCAGCACCATGGCCGGCTCGTTCGTCTTCCAAGCGTTGCTTTGCTTCATCGGTGCCGGACTGGTCGTCAGCGGCGTGGTGCACAAAGACGCCGGGAATCAGCTACCCCGTAACCTGATCGTGCTGCTCCCATTGGCCATGCTATCTTTCCAGTCCGCCGGACAAATCGTCATGAGCCGGATGCTCGCCTATAATGAGCTCCCCACCGTCGTCCTCACCAGTACCTACTGCGACCTGATGTTCGACCCTGGATTGTTTACTATCCCGATGAGTCAGAACTCCAAGCGCAATCGGCGATTCATCTCGGCGCTGGCCCTGCTGGCAGGTGCCATCTTGGGTGGCTTCCTCACCAAGAATGGAGATATTGCAGATCCACTTTGGATTGCAGGGGCGATCAAGATCGCGTTGGCATTGGTTTGGGTGTTCTGGAAAGCCGAAGGAACCATCCGTCTCGACTGAGGTTCCAGGCTGGCGAGACAGAGGAGGATGTATCCACTAGCGCTCGAGTTCCCAGAGGACACTTTTGAAACCCCAGCAAAAGAGCAACTCATGTAAAACAAACGGCTATCAGAATCAAGCGGGTCGTGGTGTTCCTAATAGGGATCCAGACTGTATCTAGATAATGTTGCCCAGGTACCCACCTCGATATCGTTCTCGGAACAATGTAATTAGTTGTCGTAGAGTCTCGTTGAGAGCCCAATCGAACCAACTGTCCGGATCTATATTTCCCCACGGCCCACACGCCGGTCAACGTGCAGTGTTGTAGCGTCCCAGAAGTCCGAAACTGGCCGGCCGTCAAACCCACAATCTCCTATGAAATCAGACAAGGCTTGCGTTCACGGCGAACACACCGTCCGCTTAAACGTTTTTGTTACATCCATGGCCTCTGTACCACTTGCGGTCAAAGCCAGGGACTCGAGGAACCAAAACGTAGTATGAGAGATCTTCCTCGGACAACATTTCTTATCAAAAGTGGCCACAGTAGATATCTGCTGACATGTGCTCGTCATGTAAATGTCTGGTCTTAAATATAAGGACCCACTGGTCCAAACCCATCCCCGTGTTCGACTCACGAGAAACCACACATACATCCAGCAGTCGTACGTCCATACGTCCCAAAAGACCAACTCTGCCTGCAACTAACCCGGGCCAGGGTCAAGCAAGCCCGAGCCTCCAAGCGCTCAACATGAGATCATCTTCAGTCATCAAACTCCATAGCTAATCATTCAGCTTTATGCTTGCTTCTCATTCTGCATGGCGCTTACAGTCTCGTCCGAGTCCGCCTTGACAACGACCTCAAAGACCTCGTCAGCTGTCCGCGGCGCGCGGACAGCATCAGCCACGGTCCTGAAAGACCTGACGGTCGCCGACCCAGATTCGTCGACTGATGCGCTAGGCTCCAATAACGTCCAACCCGCACGCTCGAATCTAGAGCGGATGTGTTCGCTGATGTTTGCGAAGCGGATCTCGAGCCTCTCGCCGCCATATTTCATAGCCTCGGTGAAGAAACCCTTGAGTGCAGAGGTGGCGGTGGTATCGATGTAGTTGACCCTCGAAAAGTCGAGCACGATCACGTAGATTGGTGGAAGATTCTGGCCCGCTGTCTTGGCCCTTTTCCGCAGTCTCGCGACTCGTCGCTCTCCCTCGACTGACCATGTCCGATCTGCCTCGGCGCCGTTTAGATTGCTGTACGCTGGCGCATGGTAAGTTTGCACAAGGTCGAAAATCGTCTTCCTCAGCCGGTGGGCATTGGGGAAAAAGAACGACTCATTGAATCGGAAGACCCGGGTGTCGGGGGGAATGTCCGAGGGCATGCCTCGCTCTGCATCCAATGAAGCCGTCAGTTCCGACCGAGACTCCACGCCCACGTGGGTGACGCGAAGGAAGACCTGGCGTAGGAGGCAATAAACCACGTTCCAAGCCACGGCACTACCGATCCCTATTTCGGTGCTGACAAAGAGGGAGACCCAAAAGGAGACCATGGCTGCGATAAAGTCGGCAAGCGACGTTTTCCAAAATTGGTAGTAGACCTTGGGCGTGCCAATAAGGGGCCAAATTGCGGTGATAATGATTGCAGCAAGAGTTGCTTTTGGAATCCAGTAAAGAGCACCGGTAAACTTATAAATGGACAGGATGACGAATGCCGTGGTGACGAAGCCAGACAGAGGTGATCTGACTTTACACTGAGAGTTCACTGCAGTCCTGGACATGGCGCCGCCAACGCCCATGGCGTTAAAGAACGAGTTGAAGAAGTTGGTGATACCGTAATAGCAAAGTTCCTGGCTGGCATCAGTAACATAATTGTTCCTGGCTCCAAAAGCTCGAGCAATGGCCAGATGTTCGACTGCAGATGCGATGAAAGCAGCGATACTACGACCAATGACTTTATTGATGAGATGTGTGTCCGGCATTTTTGGGCGAACGATGGTGCTCTTGGGGATTTTGCTGACGTCGAACAGGAAGTGCTTGGAGTCACGGTCTTTGTTGACGGCATAGCTGATGCCAGTGAACAAGAGAAGGGCGATGAAAGCACGGGTAATGGAAAGGAACCAGATGATTTTGTTCTTGGAGCCCCATTTTTCGCCAATCTTCTGGAGGAAGATCAACAAGACAACCCCGGCAAGCCCAATAGCTGCAGCTCGGCCGTTGCAGGTGCCAAGGTTTGTGAAGACATCATGGATGATGGTTGCTGTGCCGCTCCCGACGTTTTGTTCGCCAATCTAAAGAGGGTATCTCGAGTCAGCAGGCTGGTCCTGAGTACATATGAGTTGGCGGTCAACTTACGAGATTGGCAATTTGGCCTAGGCCGATGGTGATGGCCGCAGCGGAGATGAAGCCAGTAAGCACAGGAATGGAAATGAAATCTAGGATGAAGCCGAGCTTCAAAAATCCCAAAAGCAGGCCATACACTCCCATCATGAGAGCGACGGCTGAGGCGACAGCCTGCTCGGTGTAACCTTCTTTTGTGAGATCTTCGACCACATCAGCAGTGAGCAGACCGATCAGTGATGTGGGACCAGTGGAAAGATCTGTCGAAGACAATCAGTATGGCGTCAATTGAGCACATAACCATGAGCGTACCCTTGGAGGTTCCCATGAAGGCGTAAATTAGCGCAGGGAGCCAGCTGGACATCAGTCCGTATTGCACGGGGATAGTGGCAATCTTTGCGTAGGCAAGACTCTGGGGAATAAGCATGAGGGCCAGAGTCAAGCCAGCCACGAAATCATTCACGATCCACCGATAGTCATATTGAGGTAGCCACCCAATGATGGGGAATTTCTCCATGACGTACAGCAATGCCGCCGCTGGGGCAGCACGGAGCCCTCGAATGCCATAGTAGTGCACTCGGTTCCAGGTGACATCAGTGCGGATATCATCTTTGACCCTTTCGTAGATTTTCATGATGTTGAGCACTAGGCCGAAAGCCAAAGGAAAAGGAAAAGCGAAAGCGTTGTTCAAGTGAGAATCCGGATCTCCCGGAAGGAGTATCACAACACTGCGGAAGGGTAAATTGTTGGTGATGATGTAAATTGGAACATAGGAAGGGTGAGATGGGGGGGATATCGAGAGTTGTAATGTACTATGTAGTCGAGACGCTGCCCCTCTTGAGATCACCTCGTTGGGCGAGGCCGTGTCACAGTAGTTGGGAATATGTGCTGTGTAGTTGGTAGCCTAGCTAATCAAGCAACTGCATCTGGATCTCGAAACAAGCATGGACAAGCATGTCGACAAGAAGGATGGTTGATCTTGGAGAAGGCTACTGTTACATCCCTGTCGAATGGATTGTCGAATGCAGTGATGGATTCATGGGGTATCAAAATGCATAGAGGACATACAGCGTAGAGGTGTGTAGGACTGCCGCACGTGCCGGGGGCTGGCTGGGTGGCTGCTCGTAAGATAATCTAGATAAGGGTCCATGGATATCGCCGCCGTTGTGCGAACCGCCCCCACAATGCCAATTCTACCAAGCGCCTCGATTGTGGAGCTTGTCGTCAGCAAGCACCACCCTGGCAACTCGCTCTCCACAAATCAACATAGACAAACCCGGGGATTGTTATGCGGGGAGGGCTGTGGATGTGGATGTGGATGTGGATGGACCGCCCCTGTCGACTCCTCTACCGATCTCTTCGCAGTCTATCCAGTCGCATTCCAGGCCAACTGTTCCTTTCTCCGTCATTGCTTCAACCGCATAAACAATCTACCGCCAGTCGTTGCCCTCCCGTGGCCTACGTCGGTTGTCTGTGTTTCTAAAAGTACCAATATCACACAGCCCAGTCACCATGTATTTACGCAGCACTTCGGCCAGGAGATCCTGAGATGTTGGTAGATGGGAAGATCAAAGCGGCGCTGGAGCCAAGCTCGATACGACGCAGACTGATGCGTCATTTCCACGGTGTAAATAGTACTCCCCTCAAAAGACTACTATTTTTAGAGAACTCTATCGTCTTTGCGTCTGTGTTGCAAGCCTCGTCGCAAGACATCGTTACGTCAACCAGCAAGCCGGGTGTCCGGCTGAACGATCAAGCTGAGGCTGAGAGGGTACGAGATAATCCGTATTGCTGATGTAGGTGCACGGGCCTCATCCCGCTTCCTAGTATAGATGCGCGGAGGTACAGGTACAGCCCCTGACCAATCTATTGTATTAGAGATCAGAACTACTATATGGATGTAGCTCGGCTCTTGAGCCTGGAAACCTGTATTGCGTGTGGCTGGCTCGTAATGGTACATCGTACCATGTATGCAACTAGCACGATGCATGGGAAATTCACCACATGCAGTGAGTGGATGTGACTCACCAAAAAAGTCCCCTCTTGCAGCAATGGGAGGTGACAGGCGAGCTGACGACGTCCATGGCTGAAGCAACATGCTTGTGTCGCCAAGGCGAATGCTTAATAGTTTTGCTAGTATTCACCACAGGCTTTCGCCACGATCAATCCAGGATTGAAATCTTAGATGCAGCGAGTCAACGTTCTCAAGATCTAGCTAGCTAGCTAGTACTATGTCCTATTGTGCAAAGTGGCGATTCGTAACTCCAACAGAACCTTCCAGGCCGTATGGTGAAGCTGCGTCTTCTTGGGTTATATATATGTGCACAGTATACGAACTAAGCTGTCTCGTGGCTCTTGTCTATTAACCCCTTTTCATAGTACAAGCAGTCGAAATCGTGGCCGAACTCTTATTTGCTTGTGTATCATCTGCAGGGCAGCCGGCTGTCACATAAGCGAGTCAGATGACGGATTCAAGAACGATCCTCGCTTGCAAGACACAGAGTGTTCCGCTGCAAGTCGGGTACTCAAGCAGGGTAGATCAATATTGTGATATGTAATGCATGCTATTCATTACATAGTACTTTACTCAGAGGTCTCTCCAAACCTAGGTAGTTGCACTATTTCAAAGCTAGTGCATGAAACGGCTGTAGAGGCTAAGGCTAACTGGGGTGCTGGCATTCATCATCGTCCAGTCCACAGGCTGAACCTTTAACCATCGAAAGCATCGAAGCCACTGTCATATCACCGTCCTCGTTTATCAGTTGGAGTCGTGGTCGAGTACCAATTACCCGCGCGGATACCGGCATGCCCAGCATATTGATAAGGAGGCTGTTGCTGAATAGAGAGACACTATGTGTTTAGATCAGCGGCAAAGGAAACCTCAAGTTCTTCTCTCACAGACAGAGGAAATGATGATGGTGGCGATGATGAATCCATGCACCCAGTCATTGCCGAAGCATAGAAGTTCATAATAGACTGTAGCGATGTGCTCAGTCCTTGCCACCATGTTTAGGTTCGCCTAATTCTTCGGGCAGCCGTCACGCGTTAACATGAGCTAGTACACATTGAATAACCTTCGCTTCCACGTCACCCCAGTCGGTGCCAGCTGTGATTAACTATGAGGCGGACATTCCAAGAAGACAACTAACTGGTGTAGGGACCCGTGGACAAGAATGACAACGACCCCGGGAGCTTAATTGATGTGTGGAGAGCTCAGCGGCCCGTGAGACGGGGAAGAAAAGGGTCTCTTCCCTGGCGTCGCATGCCAACGATTCACTGTGTCTTTTTTGGCCAGCCGTTGAAACTTGGTGAAAGTTGCGGTAATCATGAGCCAGTGTCTGCTAGACGGTAAGCCTTATATAAACCTGGGACAAACACTTGGTAGTTCCTCCTTGGTTCCTGCCATAGGTTAGGATGTACCTTTTAGATGCCTTCTGCTACCACAGAATCTCAACACTAAGCTGCCCTTATTGACAAGTTAGCAGCGATGGCGGGGATAGCTGATTGTGATTTTCCTACCGAGTTCTGCAAATCGACAGCCGGAAACACAGCATTTCTCATTTTGCGCCGGTTGGTCGATGTATATGGCTCTGCGCCGATGCTAATTGTTCGGAAACTTTCAGGGCAAAAATTCAGTATGTGCCGTTCTCGTGGAGTGGTGCGCAAGTGTTAAAGTAATATGTAGAAGGAAGAATCCAAGCTGTGAGCACGTGGAACATACTATGGTACCTATATAGAGGAACGGAGGAATTTCTTGGCAGAAGGGACTAGCTACATCTCATCTAGCTCCCCAACTTAGTACGGCAAATATTATATTCGCGTCCCTCGTTTTCATCGCTTTCATCGCTCTCCTGTCAACCTACTGTCGTAAGATAGAGTAGATTATTTCTTACACTATACTTATATATTAGTTACTATGCTACATACAGCTTTAAATTACTCTAGATACTACGCCATATAGTAAATAAAGTATAAAGTACTACGTAATTACCTAACTACTTTACTATATATATATAGTATGTAATAAAAGTAAGCTTCGGTTTATTCAAACATATAATTAGGAATTACTAGGAAGTATACTATTTATTATAGTAGTAGTACTATTAGATATAAGTGAGTGCTTGAGAGTAGGCTAAATGGACTACGACAAAGACTAAAATAGGCTAGGCCAATTGTAAAATCAAGACTTATACACCCGATCCCTAGAATCAATCATGATCCAGACTCCACGTCGTTCACATGGCGATCACAACAGAAACGGGCATCAACACCCTTAAGACAAGGTTTGGTTTGATATGTAGACTTCAACATGGGACTTACCGAGCTTACAGGGGTATTCCTGGTGTTCAATACTAAGTACATATGTACTACTAAGTACTTGGTACACTATGTACTAACTATACATAGTAGTGCGCAAGAGGTCAAGGTGTGGTTAAGTCACTTCAAGTCCGAAAGCCCTGCACCTGGGTGTTGACGCTCGTCTGACACTTGGTTTCGCAACACCTCTGTTCTAGCTTGCGCTGCGAGGAGAAGCATTCTTCGAGGCAACTTACTACGTAAAGTAAGTACTGTCGACGTGCGAGATGTGCGATGGGAGCTTAGCATGAGGCAACCAGCGTATGGAGGCGGGGCGGGGGAGCGTCATACGTACATAGTATCTAGTAGTAGCTCTCTATGAGCAACCCATGTTCAAAGTGTTTCAAACGAGATATACAAGTCAAAGTGCGAGCACATTAGGACTGGCCGGGCGGTGTAGAGAGACAACCTGAGTGAGTTCTCGATGATATATATGTATATACCTATTGACTACTTGATGAGGTACATTTGTACTATTCACTTAACCTATAATAAGTACTTTACTTCGTCCTACTACTATTACCTCTATTGGGGGGTGGTGAATGGCAGGTCTTGGCATTGTGAAGATTACATCACTCGCTGCATGTGATTCGCTCCTGCCACATCCTCGAAATGCCTCGGTTGGAACTTACGCGCACGATAAACCCCATCACCAAGTGCATACATACTATGTATTAGTACTACGTGACTACATACTACATATGTCAACTGTTGACATAGTACTTATTATTATCGGTGTACAGAGTCGTAAGCAATTATCAGCACCCACGTATACTAATAATAGTTATTTAATAATATACGTGCCGAGGACTTCACACAAAGTTACCTAGATTCTACCATAAATTCGACTGCCAGTGTGCAGACCTCACAGAAGATGCCAGCAGACACATTATGGCCAGTAAAAAAGGCAACCCTGTCGCCTCCGACACTTCCCTCTCTTGCGAGCGCTATCGCAGCTGGACTGTGTTCCAATTTCGCACAGTCTTCTTGCTCAGTTGCGACGCCACCAGATCTGACTCTCAAGCCCTTTCATCTCGCAGCATCGGGTTTGGCTGGTGCCACGCGGGTAGTTGATGTTGGAGGGCCTCCTCACCTTCAGCCAACTCCCGACCTTAGCAAGGAATATGATCTGCTTTCAATCTCCCAGCAGGTTGGCATGAACCAATCGACGGGCTTCATGCTAGGTGCTGGGGCAGGACCTTTCCATGTCCTCGGACAAAACTCTGAGCTGATGCCCAACTTCGCCTATGGAACAGCTGCTGGGTCAGATCAAACTCGCAATCGCACCCATTATGCAAAGATCACCTCTTCGAATGATGTCGCCTGCTGCCAGCTTCCTGATAGCACCGGCTTTGGGCTAATGTGTAATCTCTTTTGTTCAGATGGTCTCCCTGGACCATGTCTCCACATCACTGCCAAATCCCGAGTTGGTCCGCTTAACTTCACCGAGACGATCCAAGACGCACTCAAATCGACATTCGGAGACCAGCTCATTTCCCTGGGTGGCGTCTTCCTCATAAAGCAGGGCAAAGCGAACCTCCATGTTATGCCGGATTTTCTATCACGGCCTTTCGGGTCGCGGAAAGAAGTGGAAGAATGGTTGCGCTATTTCGATATGCAATTCAACCAGGAAGACCCCTTGATCTGTCTCAGTGTCTTGCATTCGGGAAATGATGGAGGGATGGACTTGAGGATGGAGCACACGCATTGTTTCACTGTTAGCACTGATGGTGATGAGAATATGTCGACCGAAAAAGGTGGGCATTATCACTATGACCTCGAATCGACAAAGGGGGAAATTGAATACGAGGGATGGTTCAATGTTGCTGAGCTGCTATATCGGGTTGATCAACCTTGAGAATTGATACCTATTGCAATTATCTAGATACATATCTGTGTGTTGTATTATGTAGGCAGTCTTTCGAGAGCTCTTCACCACATGATGCTCTGCAGAGCCTTACTAGGTCTTTCTTCACCTGATGCCCTGCAAAATTGCACTTGTAGCTTCGTGGGTCGTTTACCAGCGTCAAAAATACATAGTACATATTGGTGTGAAGGTCGGCCGCAACAGACCCTATGAGTAGACGAATTGGTGAGTAGCTGTTTGGGCATACTTCTGAAAACCCAGAGCGTCACAATCCACTTTTTTTTCTCCCATACATCAGTCACCCACTCTCCCATGGGAGTACCGATATTGGTTGACAAATGCGGGCAGTATCACTGCCGCTGCCTTTGCTTCGGAGGGTTACTTAGATCACATTCAAGTTTTTGAGAGGAAGAGCAGTCCTGGTGGAACCGGGCCGTACATACAGGTATCATTTGTGCTAACGATGTTACATAAATGCAAAAAAGGGATACGTCCCTGATTCATGACCAGATCTCAAGCTTCAGCATGGTGCAGGAATCATTATTTTAGGACCCGTAGAAGCTGATTCAACTCTCCGGGGCTCCTGTCCACTTGCTCAGAACGACATTTCCAACAGAACAAGAGCGATTCAATAGGACATCAATCTATGGCAGTTGAAACTCGCTACCAATGTCCCCGAAATTGCCATTTCTTTCTCGGATAAGCTGTTTTCACATGGCTCATTCCCACCCCAATGGGTTCCAAGACAATTTATACTGGATATATTTAGCCAGCCATTCTCACAGCACAGAACGGATTCCTTACTCAACTTAGACACCAAGGTTGAGGATGTGAAAAGACTACCCGGGTGACAGACAGGTATTGAGTCACACCTTGGCGTTATGACGCAGTCAAAGATGTACATGGTACATAATTTGTTAGTATATGGGTGGTGGTGACAAGAAGAATTCGAAGCCGTGGTGATCGCCAATGGTCATTATGCAGCCCTCTATGTAAGCCTAAACATGACCCCTATCCACAGCCCATATGACCCTATGCCATTCTAGGGATAATAGTCGTGCGGCGAATACTTAAGTATATTCCGCTCCGTCGAATATCAAGCATTCATACTTGCACAAGTCTTCTCAAACAGAAACACTTGCGAATTTCCTCCCAAGAAGGAGCAGGAGCCATGGGGCAGAGACCAGTGGTAGCTGGTGATCTGCGAGAAGCGCGAATGCCATGACATCGCATGAGGAAACCGTGAAACTCTAGGCGGGCTGCGAAGCCTTTTTGAGTTGGCAGTTCCTCCTAGTTTGGAAGGGTGGGGAAGATGCCCTCCAGCGTTGGATGACGAGACCAGGTGGGCGATCGAGCATTTGCGGAAATACTATATGTACTACCCAGAACCTGGCCGCCCATGCCAGTCGTAGGATACTTGGCCCTAATCACAGCGCTCAGGCACCATGGAATAAATCACACTGTATATATTAAGTAGGATAGTAAGTGACGAGGCTGAGAGATAAAGGGGTGGCCTTGGCACTAGCGCTTTGTAGAGATTAGGATGGTGGGAGGTAAATGGAAAAGCATTAAGGTTAGATAAATACTATGTATAATATCGCACATTTCTTTGGGCCTTGATGTCTTAAAAAAAGTATAGTCCTGAGTGTGTTGGCCAGAATACAAGCGCACTTGCAGTTTAGAAAGCATCAGGAAGCACAGTTGATCAGTGCTTGAGAGCCACTGCGGATGTCTTTGAGACCAACCCAGCACATATGTCCTTGTAGAAGAGTACGGTCGAAGCTCGTGTAAGCTATGTGTGTTCCTCAATGGCACTCTCTATGTGTGCGGTGAAAGCCCTAGATCATTTATCCGCCGGATTTATTGATCGTTTCTTCATATGCGAGTAGTGCCCTACTACTGCTTAAAAGATGAAATTTCCCCTGGGTCAAGTTAGATCATACCTGTCGCTGAATCGAAGGCCGCATGACTCAATATTGTCTTTGCGACGGAAAAGAGCGCCTAAGGCGGTGCGAGTGATCTCAAAACCGAAGGGCTGTCGTTCCTCGAGGCCGAAGGATCCCGGGAGACCCGACACGGTAGAGAAGCGTTCGTTCGAACTCGCCTAAGCAGTTTGTCTTAGGCCCTACCTCTCGAAATGAGCTCACTCCCCTAGTCTTTTCGAGCCCGGATAAACAAGTAAGGGTAAGTATTTGATCGCTCTCCTGTTTTCGGAGGCACCTGAACGGTGGGTGGTGGGTGGCTGACGCGAACGATAAGCACTTAGTCAGCGATATTGAGGAAATATGAGCCTGGTACTTGTTGCTCCGCAGATGGATCTCTACAGCAACCCGCGCTTTTGCTCTCTTCGAGCGGAGAAATGCCGCCCTTTGTTCCCTTTGGGATTGAATAATTTTCCTCTATCAACACTGTTGGAATTAGAGCTGACTGATCTTCAAAGCAGCCCAGGCAAGGAATGACCAGGAAAGGGTAAACTCCGATGTGGGCGTCGAGGCCGGAAAATTCCTGCAACTAGTATGGTCCGGGGGAGACTTACCGTCATACCTTCGCTCCTGGATCACTTAATCTCGTACCCGTACGGATCCTCGCTGATGCTAACATTCATAAGGGTCTCTTATTGTATGGCTAGCCTGCTGAGAGCGACTAAGTTTTCTGATAGCTATCTAAGATTCTCGCAAGGTTTTCCAGACCAGGACATGCCGGAGCAGTAATTTGTCAGAGACATCAGACAGCGGAGAAACGAGGATAGTGATAGATTTAGCCAGAGAGCCATCCAGGATTTTGATACTGCCAAGAGTTCTTTTCACGAATGCGTTACGAGGGCTATGGTTGTTCCTGAACTTCGAGTATCGATACTGGTACCGAGTGAAAGATCCAATCACGCTTGGACATTATCATTTGGGTAAGGCTTCAACCTGACTAGCATTATCCGAATTTCGTGAATGACGAATGCGGCTACGACGGGTGTTCCAGACAAGACGCCTACTGGTTTTGTAACATGAAGCGGTAGTTCTGAATTCTTGGAGCCTCGGCTCAGGCATCTTGGAACTATCGGATGGCTGTCTCAAATCAGCGGCCGACATGGAGTGCCTGGTAAAGTCGACTGGAAAGCCTGGTTAGGCAGGCATTATTGCACTTTGTCGAGAATTTGAGAATATCGCGAGATCGAAATCGGGGTTGCATATCCAGATGTGTTACTTGGAGGATGGGATAGCCTACACACCATGCCTGGAGCCTTGGCTTCCGATCAAGTAAAAACCCGTCGGATCCTTGCGCTCGCCAATGAAAACGCAACATGGATGCAACTGGGAGGTTCCACGTTCCCCTTGATACCGGCTAATAGGCCCTTGGAAGCGTGTTGTGACTGATCTTAAATACCCGCCATCGACCTCCGCACCGTTGCTGGGCACGGGGAAGTCGCTGAGTGTTAATCCAGGAACCAGGGAATGAAAGGTAAAAAAGGTATTCGAGTTTCAAGAGTTCCATATCATGTTTCTGGATGATGATGTTGTTGGAAACTCTGAACCTCACCATGTATTTGTGACCCCACTGTGCCAGATCAAGCTACCGATAATCCCATGAAATGTGCCTGATATCGAAATCCATCCACTATTCAGCCGGGCGGACTTCCACAAACAGCAATACCACTTGATAGATCGACGAGACACCGCCAAACTGCCAGTTGAATTGGAAAGCGTTGAAGTTAGTCCACCGCCTACCGGCCGTTTTCCCTTTGCCTACTGCTGCCTGGTACATTCTACAGCCATATCAACCAACCTGGACCTGCTGCTCTCCTCGACCAAGAGAGCCAGCCAGCCCGCCCCTGTCAGGTCGTCGAAGACGTTAGACATCTCCTAATATGTTACTTTCCAAGGATAACGTGTTGCACTTTACATATGATTCGGAGCTCGTACAGATTGAGGCTTGGGGGCCGAACGCTTTTCGAGTTCGAGCCACCAAATTTCACACCTTGCCAGCCGACAAGTGGGCTTTGATAGAAACCCCTCCACCAGCCACACCATCAATAACTATAAAGGAAGACCATGCCACAATTGCCAACGGCAATATCGAGGCAACTATTTCCTCCAAGGGCAAAATCGTCATCAAGAATGCCAAAGGGGAGCTCTTGCTTGAGGAATATGCGCGCAACCGGAACGACCTCTCCGACCCAAAATGCAGTTCTCTCAATGTCGAAGGAAGAGAATTCAAGCCTTTGCTTGGAGGTGACTATCATCTCACCTATCGGCTGGAGTCAATTGATCCCAAGGAAAAATTATACGGTATGGGCCAATATCAACAGCAATTTCTTGACCTGAAGGGACTTGATCTGGAGATGGCACAACGGAATTCCCAAGCAAGCGTTCCCTTCATGTTGTCGAGCCTAGGATACGGGTTTCTTTGGAATAACCCTGCCGTAGGCCGAGCAGTTCTCGGAAAGAACACAATGAGTTTCGAGGCCTTGTCTACTAAAGTCCTCGACTACTGGATCGTATGCGCCGACACTCCCGCTCAAATCGTCGAGGCATATGCAGATGTCACGGGGAAAGTCCCTATGATGCCCGAGTATGGACTAGGTTTCTGGCAGTGTAAACTGCGATACCAAACACAAGAAGAGCTGTTGGACGTCGCACGGGAGTACAAGAAGAGGAATCTGCCACTTGATGTCATAGTTGTGGACTTTTTTCACTGTAGGTTGAAACCCAATGCCAAAACTCTCGTGTTCTAACCAGCAACACCAACAGGGCCAAAGCAGGGAGAATGGAAGTTTGATCCTACATACTGGAAAGACCCCGGTGAGTCTGCCATGCGAAGGTTACTTTCTACGTGGAAAGAGTCGCCTGTCCTGCCACCAACAGCCTCCGATTTTGCCTTTGCACCTCCCTGCACCTCTAGCCCGAAGCTTAGATTCGAGAGTAATCTTCTTGGTCCTCCTGTCTCTGCATTTGAAAAGAAACCTGTCGTGAAAATCGAAGAGTTCGAAGATATGATGAGCTGAGTGTTTTCAATCTTCCAACACAGACGCCATGATCAAGGAGCTGCAATCGATGAACATCGAGCTCCTGGTTTCAATTTGGCCCACGGTCGATAAGACGTCGGAAAACTTCAAACATATGCTCGAGCACGGCCTGCTCATCCGGCAGGATCGCGGCCTTCGAACCTCGATGGATTTCCAAGGCGACACGATCCATGCCGACTTCACGAATCCTGAAGCGAGAGATTTTGTCTGGAAGGTAGCCAAGAAGAATTACTATGACAAAGGGGTCAAGTTGTTCTGGCTGGACGAAGCGGAACCAGAATATAACGTGTATGACTTTGATGTCTACCGCTATCACAGCGGAAGTGTGCTCAGCACGGGCAACGCGTATCCGGTTGAGTACGCGAAGGCGTTCTATGAGGGCATGACAAATGATGGAAAGCAAGAAAATGTCGTAAACCTCATCCGTTGTGCATGGGCTGGAAGCCAGCGATACGGGGCGCTGTTGTGGAGCGGTGATATTGCGAGCAGTTGGAAGGCCTTCAAGGATCAATTTGCAGCAGGTCTAAACGTTGGGATCGCGGGATTGCCCTGGTGGACTACGGATATCGGTAAGTAACAGACCCCTCTGCATGCCAGTCTCCCAAAGATCCAATGCTGACAACGAGCGAAAGGTGGCTTCCTCGGCGGCAATCCAACATATCCAGAGTTTCGTGAGCTGTGCACACGATGGTTTCAATATGGTAAGTAAGCTGCCATTCCAATGGCTGAATATTCTTCAACATGGAGCTCATCCTGACCAAATCGTCTGACAGGCTGCTTCTGCCCAGTCTTCAGACTCCATGGCGACCGAGAGCCGCAGCAGCCGCAACAGGGCACTACCGGCGGTGCAACATGTCTCTCTGGCGCTCCCAACGAGATCTGGTCGTTCGGCGAGGAATCCTACGAGATTATGAAGAAGTATCTCCACTTGCGCGAGAAGCTTCGGCCTTATATCCGTGAGGTCATGAAGCAGGCACACGAGAAGGGTTCACCAGTCATCAGAACCCTCTTCTACGAGTTCCCACAGGACAAACAGTGCTGGGAGGTTGACGATCAGTACTTCTTTGGTCACAGGTACCTTGTTGCGCCGGTGTTGAATGCGGGTCAATCTAAGAGGGAGGTGTATTTGCCGAAGGGTGCGAAGTGGAAGAGGTTTGACGACGGGGAGGTGAAGAATGCTGAGGAGCTGGAGGGTGGGAAGGTTGTTGAGGTCGAGTGTCCTTTGGCAGTTATGCCCGTATTTGAGAGAGTTTGAAGAGGACATCCTGCCTTTCAGGGTGTACATAGTATTGGTCTCTCCTCCTGTACAGGTGCGACATCAACTCGGCACGGCATTGTTAGCGAGAGACTCCATTGTTGCAGGTGAGCAAAAGTCCTGCTAGTATAAGAGACTCAATGGTAGCCAATATATGAGAGCACTATTCCTCTAGCAGGACAACTAATATTGACCATCTCGCTGTGTTTGCAATCCTAAGCGCAAACGCTAGATACACAGCTTGTAAAAAGCACACAGGGCATCGCTCTCAAGCCCAGCCAACGATCGCTCATCCGACGGCGTTTTGATGTTCTATTCAGCTTTCCAACACTGTCGCTTGTGACATGATTTTCTTTCCCCATCCCAGTCCTAGGTTGATGCAATTATCAATAGCGAAGATAGTCATCAATGTCATTCGTATCCGATCAAGCCATTGGCTTGCTTCTGACTGTCAGGTCGTCAAGCACATCCGCAGTGCCCCCATCGCCTCTCTTTGTTTCAGCAACCTTGAAGGATGTTCCTGCGCCACCGACGTCAAGCCCCTTTTCTGCACGCTCGTACGCCTTGTCTGACCGGTCTGTCAAGATCTTCAAGTCCGATTCACTAAGGATCGCACCAGTGCCATCCGTATGCGGGATATCGTACTTCTCGAAATCTTCGTTTGCGAGAGCACCTTTCAATTCTTCCGCATCCGTGCCAGAAAGGCCTTGGGTGCTAGATAGAAGAGATTTGAATTTGCCCTTTTGAATAACCAGTTTCTCTAGTTTGCGCTTACCGTCTGCTTTGTATAGGAGGGTCTCTTCCACCGTACCTCGAGTTGCCAAACGGTAGACGATGACCGGTTTCGTTTGGCCAATTCGATGGGCACGATCCATAGCCTGTAAATCCTGCTGAGGGTTCCAGTCTGAATCGAATAAAATGACTGTGTCGGCCGCCGTCAGATTGATGCCTTGCCCACCAGCTCTTGTGGACAGGAAGAACACGTTGTATGATTTGTCAACGTTGAAATTCGTGATCTGTGTGTAGCGATCCTCTTGCGCAACTGACCCATCAATCCGGCATGCCTTCCAACCGCGAAGCTCGACTGCATAAGTCTCCAGGATGTCCAGGGTCGTCTTGAATTGACTGAAGATTAGAACTTTGTGACCCAGCTTGAACAGCCGTGGCAAAAGGGTGTCCAGAAGCAATATCTTGCCAGACGAAGTGATCAAACTCTCATCAACCTGGGGATAATCACCAGACTCTTCTTCTGCCACGGTAGTTGGCTTCCATGGCCAATAGAAGTTGTGTGGACTATTACAGGCAAGTCGGGCCTGCATAATAGGGTTTTGTAGTTTCTTTGACGAGATCTCCTTCTTAGCCAACTTGAGCGTCTGAGCACGTTCTAGCTCCTCAGCCTCATCTGAGGATATGTCTTGAGAGTCTGCTGTTGGTGACGCTCTGTCGAGACTGACGTTGTCATTTCCCATTTCTATTTCTAGGAGTCGAGCATGGAATTCTCGATCTGTTACATCCCGATAACTCATTCTTGCTGTTTTGCGGCCCCCCCTTCTTGAAGCGGCTGATCTAACTGAAGCTGGCGTGGATTCGCGACTCTGTTTAACGCTTTTTGCAGGTGTTGATCGTCCACTCCCATTTGCTTTGCGCTTGAGGGAAGTGCTGCGACTTTTGGCTTCAATGCGCTCAACAGCTTTGCCCTCGAGATACGTCCGGCTTGTTCCAGACAATATTTCCCGGTATAGGTCCTTCTGTTCAGGTGTAAGAGGCGCGTAAAGGATATATTCTCGTTTCTTGGGCAAGGATGACTCCACATCGGTCTTTACTCGTCGAAGGAGGAAAGGCTTCAAGATCGCATGCATTGTAGAAACCAGATTGCTTTTTCTCTTGACATTTTTGCCCTCGACCTTGTCCTCGAGCACGCTAGAGAAATCAAACCATCTCTCGAAACTATCGAGATCGTTGAACACTTCTGGTAACAGAAAATGTAGTAGTGACCAGAGTTCAGCAATGTTGTTTTGCAGCGGGGTGCCGGTGATCAGAAGTCGATTGGCAGAATTGTATGTCATCAGTTCCTTGATCAATTTACAGTTCATGTTCTTCAGCCGATGTCCTTCATCGACAATAATATATCGCCACTGATAGTTACCTAAGAATTTCCTGTCGTTCATGCATATCTCATAGCTAGTGACAACAATGGGAAACTCAGGCTGACTCTGGTGGGACATCTTCATACTCTTCCTCCGCATTTGCTCTCTTTCGTCTTTGCTTCCGTGGTATAAGATTGTGTTTATCGTTGGAGTCCAGCGCTTGAACTCTTCGACCCAATTTCTGACTGTACTGAGAGGTGCTGCAATCAAGAAAGGGCCTGCGATGTTATGCTCTCTGAAAAAGGCAATCATCGAGATGGCTTGCAGAGTCTTTCCAAGGCCCATCTCATCCGCAAGAATACCACAGAGACCGTTCATCCACAGTGACTTGAGCCACTCTAGACCTTCAAGTTGATATTGCTTCATTTGACCACCAGTCACAAGCTTCGGCTGGTCTGTTGCGATGAGATCCTGAGCACCAAGGCCCTCACCTTCGTATTCGTCTGCGGCTTCGGCAAGAGCTTCTTGTACGGAAGGGCCCTTTGAGTTAACATCAATGGTTGTAGATCCAAAATAGTCAGTGATGTTTTTCCTTGCTGAAATAGTGGTCTTGGTAGCTTTTGGCTTGCCCCTTCGTGTTTTCTGTGCATCTTCTTTGGTTGGTGGATAGACTTGCTCTGTCCCAGCTCTTGTTGACTTCCTGGTAGCAATCTTAGGTTGCGCTGCTTTCGCCTCATTGTTCTGCTTCTTTGCAGCAGTGCGGCGGGCCGCTTCCTGATTTTGTTTTTGCTGTTGCTTCATTTTATCGGCCATGATGGCGACAAATACGGAGCTAGTCTGCAATAACTTTGTGAGGGCCCTGGATTTGTGGTCGACAGTGTCATCGTCGTCATTGTCGTCATCTTCAACGTCCATCTCCTTCTCCGTGACAATATCTCTTTCTTCTACCTCCACTTTCGTTTCCGTGGGGCTGTCTTGCAGAGGAGATGAAGGAGGTGTATCATCATTTGAAGACATGTCTGCTGCGATAGAAGAAGAACTGGTTGATTGTCTGCTCATTCTCACCCATGCGATAATGTGATTGATTGATCGTGAGGTGGCGGCGAATGCGGTTGCTTGGTCACAGTGATCCGTTGGTCATTGACAGGGAGAGGCGAGGCACGAGGTAATGTAAGGAACAACCAAGATCAAGTGAAGGTCGCATCAGTTTATGGTGAAAACTAAACAAACCCCTGTGCCTAAGGCAGCAGTGAGCGAAAGTAAAGGATTGGTTGTTGAGGGAGGGTGCCTGCGAAAGAATCCCTGAGCCCTTGCCATTCCGTCATAGATTTTATGTTTTAGGAAGAGACGCGTCTTCGAATATTTCATCACGCGTCGTGTCAATTTCGCGATGCACTTTCAACATTGGGAGAAATCGTTTGCGCATTTGCTATTACTCCGTCAAAATACATAATCATTAATACATCCTCAGGCTGAATTTGTGATTGTTCAGTGGCTATATCCCAGCTCGGTGGATTCGCTGATGCGTTCCTAATTCGTCGGCTCATCTACTCTTTATTTCTCGATGACAAACACAAGGAGTGCAACACATTCAGAACTATGCTTGAACACCAACTACTCCTCTTCCGGCTGCTCGAGTTTTCTGACGGTCCGGCCGCTTTAGGGTGTATCTAGCATAGCGTGTTAGTCTCCAACTTAGGCATAAAGTCAAGGTTGCATACTTAGCAAACGTTCTTGCAAGCGCCTTCTTGCAGCTGAGTTTCTGGCTTCCGACAAATGAGTCCACCGTCACAGCAATGGCACGATCAATGTCCTGAGAAGTGCAGAAATCTGATAGCCGCATTTTGCAGAAGGCTTCAGCAATTCTCATGATAGCCTCGAGATGTCGAACCTGAGAACCAAGTTAGTAAGGCCATACATTGGACCACATATGTCGACTTACCGTAATGGGATAGGCACCTGTTGCTAGGGATTCTCTGCGCATGTCCGCAAACAATCTGGCAACTTTGTCCTGATCAATCTGGTATAGTTTCGGCTTGCACTTCTCTCGAGCGTACAAAATATACTTTCGTAATAGCTCTTGGGAAATGGCACCTTCCTGTCCAGGTTCACCATTATTGATAGCGTTGGTGTCTTCTGTCTCCATCGGTGCGGAGCCTCCTGCGTCAACGCCAATTTTGGACGGATGTGCTCGCCCATGACTGTTGACCACGAAATTTGCAAGTCTTTCATCCTCGCTGGGATCGACGGTATCTCTGACGACAACCAAAATATCGAATCGTGACAAGATGGGTTCTGTCAATTCAACGTTTTGACTAAAGGGGACATTACTGTTGTATCGTCCTCCTTGTGGATTGGCTGCTGCAACAATAGCACATCTGGCTTGAAGTGTTGTAACGATACCGGCTTTACTGATGGAAATCGTCTGCTGTTCCATGGCTTCGTGGATAGATGTTCGATCTTGGTCGTTCATTTTGTCAAACTCGTCAATGAGACATGTTCCCCGATCTGCAAGCACCAGCGCGCCACCCTCGAGAGTCCACTCCGCAGTGAGAGGATCACGTCGAACAGAAGCTGTCAAACCAACAGCTGATGCACCCTGCCCAGTGGCAAAGACTGCCCGATGAGCTGTCTTCTCAATATATTTCAAGACCTGCGACTTGGCCGTTCCAGGATCTCCCAAAAGAAGTACATTGATATCACCACGGATTTTGTGCCTGCCTTGCGCTTCCTTGCCAACACCGCCAAAAAGTGAGAGAGCCACCGCAGTCTTGATGTCCTCGTGACCATAGATCGAGGGGGCGATCGACTTAATAATCTTATCCACAATCTTTGGATCCTTGGAGAGTGCTCTGATCTGCCTCTCGTCATCTTCTGTGAGTCTGAAGCCTGCCAATTGATCGTGTGTCTTGATAATATGGTTAGCTTCGAGCATCGTCGCAAAGACAGGGAAACCGTTCTTGTTATTGAGCTGACCACTATAGTTGTTGCGATAAATAGCGGTGACCTCAATTTCTTCTCCCGGTTTGGCTTTGTCGATCAAATCAGCCAGCAGGACAACTTCCCGATGTCGAGGCAAACGACCAGCCGGCACAGTGCCTGGAGACTCTTGGAGTGTCAATTTCTGGTAGTTGCGGTACACCGTGTTCTCGCTACTGAGCGTGAATGGTCCTCGTGATTGACAATTCTGACAGAAGGTCAATTTGACCTCTGTAGATGTTGATTCTTGAGCGTATGGACCGAGAAGGACGCCGCACTTATTGCAGGTGAACTTGACCATCTGCAATTGTGGAAACACTCCCGTTCTTCTCGTGACCACACCTGAAACACGAACTAGGCAATTGAGATGTGATTGTCGAAGCTGGCGCAGAGTGTATTGGACTGGTAAATCAGAAATTCGAACATGAATTTCTGGATGAATCAGTTCATAGTTTGGATAATGGAGGCGAACGACCTCGAAGGCAGCCTTGTCGAAGATCTTGAGCATCTCGGCAGGTGCATTAGCCAAAAAATATGCGAGAATCGCCTTGGTTGAAGATAGGTGATCGTAGGACACTTCCAGAGACTCTGAATTCACCTCACCGAGGGTTCTAATTCTGGTACCGTAAACTGAAGTACCGTTGGCATCGATGTACTCTGTCAAGAACGACTTGAACTCTCGAGCGATTGACTTCACGACTGGCGGATTGGTCACCCATTCTGTGATGTTGGTTGCTTTGACATCTTGTAGAGTTTCGAGAGATAATTCCTCTTCCATTATGTTCTCGTCCACATCCATATCCTCCTCGTCATCGTAGTGATGCCGGCGTCTTCGGGGTTGCTTGGTCAAGTCAATACCAGCATCCTCATCATCATCTGGCATGAATGCTGCTGGCATACGTCGACGAGCAGCGAGCTCACGATCTCGTTTATTGAGCCGTGCGTCTAGCTGACGGCGTGCCGCAGCATCGAGTTCTTCATAATCACCTTCATCGTCGATCATGCGTCCTTGATATGTGTCTTGGTCGCGACGTTCGCGCTCATCATTCATAAAGTTGTCTCCGAAGAGGTCAATACCATCCTCATCTTCTGCCATCTCGTCGACATCATCGATATCTCCAATGAGATCATCTTCGGCATTTAATTCGTCCTCCAAGTCGTCATTCTCGTTGGTAGGTATTAAAGGGGGTGACGAGGGGAGTGCTGATCAGTTAGTGGACTGAAATCTAGATACGGAGAATGAGTTGCACTAACCTGGAGCGGGGGAAGATGACATGATCTCGTCTTCATCGTCTCTGGCACGCTTGCGCCTACTTGGATTGCTGGGACCTCTGTTTGCGGCGGACATACTTGGTCGTAGAGGAGAACTTGAAAATGTCAACTATTGCAGAGGGAACTCTGGCCAAGGCATGATGAAGGACGCAGTATAGACTTACCTCATATTGTGCTTATGTCTTGATCCTTGGGTAATCGGAAAGCCTTCAGCAGTGTTGGGAATGAATTGAAACAATTAAAAGTTGAACCGCCAACTGAGCCCCCCATTTCTTGCAATCAACCAAAACCACTTTACGCGTGTGGAGGGCACGCGCGTCGAACGTGTCGCGCTAGTGCTGCACCCACTTAAAGCACCTAACTGAATTGTGGGGAATCACTCGACCGGCTTGTGGTCACAACATCTTGAGTTTTGCTCGTGCAATAATATATGCCAGGCGCTTCTCGCAGAACATTCCTAGGCTCTCATTATTGGATCTTGTTCAATTCCTTTAACATTCAACCCTCCACAACCGAGAAATAGTTGCACTGAATATGAATTCTGTACCAGATGGTGGCCTAGGCAATGATCAGGCACAACAAGATAGCCAGCCTTCCGAGGTCTCCCAAACCGCTGCAGAGTAATATATCCCACACCTTGCTCTCTTCGAAGATGCGATGACTTATGCTAACACCAATGCTTCCAGTTTCATCGATGAGCAATTGGCCCTCGAAGCCGATGCTCGAGAAGTCCTACCTTACGTACGTGGATCACTTCATACACCTTATCGAGGCTGACCTGTTGCAGAAGTTTGACAAGTGTACGCATGACCTGGGTTCATTGCGGCAAAGTGTGTTCGCTTGCATAACTTGCTGTCCACCACCTGCTTCCACCGCGCAACTCTACACATCCGCCGGTGTTTGCTACTCCTGCTCGATCTCCTGCCACGGTGAGCATACTCTTGTCGAATTGTTCAATCGGCGGGACTTCGTATGCGACTGCGGCACAACAAGAATTCAATCTGGCGCACCATGCACCCTACGGTCGGATCCAAGCTCTGGTAGCCGAGGAGTCAGTGCTCAACAACCCGCCCCAGGGAATCACTATAATCACAATTATCAAAACCGCTTTTGTGCGTGCGGGGAGGAGTACGATGCACACACCGAGAAGGGAACAATGTTCCAATGCCTTGGCCTAGGCACAGTCGAGACAGGAGGCTGCGGGGAAGATTGGTATCATCCGGAATGCTTGATGGGATTGAGCCGTGACTGGTATCACCAAAGGGAGACAAAAGAGGAGGAGAAGAAGAAGAAGAAGAAGAAGGAGAAGGCATCAGAACAGGCAACGGAAGAAGAAACCAGCCACCCAATTCCTCCGGGCTTTCCCCGCGAAGACGACTTTGAGGGTTTGATTTGCTATAAATGCGTCGAATCCAACCCCTGGATTAAGCAATACGCGAACACAGCAGGATTCCTCAAGCCGGTATTCAATTCAAATCCCAGCGCGGAAATCCAACCCCAAGCGGTAAGTGTCCCAGTAACGGGATCATCGGAGACAGTAAGCCTTAAACGCAAGGCTTCTGACAGTGACCTGGACGAGGCACCAGCAAGCCCGTCCAAGCGTGTTAAGGACGAAGAGAAGCCCGCCACCCCCGCCGAGACTGCTGCGCCGACAGCTTTAAGTGGAGGGAAAGAAGCACCAGGCCCAACACCACTTCCCCACAAACATGACGCCCTTCCCCCTTCACCTGAGGGTACCTTCAGCTTATTCCTCAAGGCCGATTTCCGCGAACACCTCTGCCATTGCCCGAAGTGCTACCCAAACCTAATTCCACACCCACAACTCGTCGAGGAGGAAGAGGCATACGAGCCGTCGATCTCGGACTCGAATGCCTCTGGACCCAACGACGGCCGCTCCGGAACTCACTCACACGGGACCGCCAGCCTGCTGGACCGCGGCGAGGCCGCGCTGTCCGGCATGGATCGAGTAAAGGCGATCGAGGGAGTCATGGTGTACAACCACCTGCGAGACAAGGTCAAAGAATTCCTCAAACCGTACGCTGAGAGTGGCAAGGCTGTCTCGGCCGATGATATCAAGGCATATTTTGAGAAATTGCGTGGTGATGAGAATGCAATCAAAGAAGCCGGCGCAAAGCCGACCGATGGCGATTCTGGTGGCGCTGGTAACAGGCGGGAGCAACCTGGGTATTGAGTTACTTTAGGGCGAGGTTAGTCCCAATGAGCAAAGTGATATGCTCTAATAACTTGGACGGCATGCTACTATGAGCCGAAAGGCTCTCATTGTTCAGAGCAGGTCCACATTTGCACCTGACAGAAAAATGATCTTTCACTATTGATTCACTTAGATACAGATCTTCATCACATCAATTCACGTACACAAATCCTTATCTCTGCTGTTTAATCGAGCTTTTGCACCTGAAGTATCCGCATTGCCTATTATCCAGCATCTATTATTTACTCAAACAGAAACCTTTGTAGCTTGAAGTTGAGTGCCAGAGAGCTTTCTGCACGTTTTTTAGCACCACATGCTCTGGCCGCCGTTACACCCGGCAGTGCCAGTGGAGTCCAAGTCTCAAAATTGTCGAGGAAGATTACGTTACGCTCGAAGAGAATGCATTGCCGAGACACCAGCGCTACCACCATACATGACATGGTGGTCGAGCGAATGAAGCCTATCTCCAAACCCGATCCCAGGAAGAGTTGTAAGCTGGCATGACTTCCGCTGTCATCCAGAGGTGTTATCAACGATTCTTACATCGTTTCTTTCATCTCGTATTGCTGAATGGTGTTGTGCCTTGAGAAGGGCCTGGAAATCCTCCAAGTGTTCGTTCTCGGGTATTGGAGAGAATGATGGTGCACGATCGGAGAGTCGGCCCGCCGGGCTATTTTGTTGAGGCTGTGCTAGCATAACTTCATCGTGTGAGCCAAAAAGCCATTGGCTATTCGTATTGGCAGGGAAGTTAGTATCCTCGGTCTCGATACTTTGAACGATCTTCTCAGCTCTAATTGCTGATGGTGTGTGAGTTCCAGTGGAACCAAGCCGTCCACGCTTCATAGGTACGGTGGAGATGTCTGCAAAGGACGCTTTTCGTTTCACCGATGGTAATAGAACACCATAGGAAGAAATAGTATCTTGAGGAGGTGACAGCTCTTTGGAGATGCCCTGATTGACGGCGGCGAAGTCTCCTTTCGATGATCTTATGGGCAAAGATGTGCTGTTTGTGCACGTAAGGTTGAAATTGTCCGAGGTATATTTCAGAGTGACAACCTTTCGATGAACAGTATCATTTTGCGGAAACGAGCAGAGACTTGTGGTCTCTCGTGAGCCAGGGTTTTTGTATGTTGGAGGGTGGCCATTGAATACGTTCGCCAGTTCGTCTTTCTTCTTGATCTCGAGAGTCAGGAAAGCAGCATTGCAGATTTGAGAAGCTGTGGTAGTGGATATCCTTGGTCTAGGAGTTGGGCTTCCGCTTTCATCTTGTGAGGAATCATCAATTTGCCACTCACTGTCCTGGTGATATGAGTCCCTGTCTCTCGTGCCTGGAATGCTACTTCGATTGCGCAACTGCGTACCACCCGACATTCTCTCATCCCCATGACCCTGAGTATCATTTTGCGGTCCAATCCTAGAACTTTCTTTACGGTGGTGGGTGCCTCCTAACGTTTTACGAGGTGGACTGAGGGGTTCCATTGCGAGGGTGACTGTGGCAAGAGGGTGACGACCGCGTTTAGGTGTCGACCCCGAAATGAGAGGTCTCAATTCCTGGTCTTTTGAGGCATCGGCTAATTGGCCACTCACGGGTATTTTAGTGGTTTTGGTGCTGTTCGAGTCATCGGTTCGCAGAAAACTAGATTGAACATGTCTAGACGTTCCCTGCCAACGATATCCACCGGAGAAGAGACCGAGAGTGATATCATTGAAGCCAACTAGTTTTGCAACCTCTTTGGGGAGATGCCTGAAGAATTCAGTACTATCTTCCGATCCCGTGCAGTCTGGTACCCATATCCCAAGAATTGTGCTCGGAACATTGCGAGATTCCAGGAACGTTTTTGCTCTCATGATCTCGGATTCATAGGCCACCTCATACTTGCCTGCAAAAACCATAGTGTTGAGGTTTTGTTGGAAAATATCTGAATCAATGTCCATGATGTCGCCGACCGTTGAGTCTTCACGGACGGTATTGCTGTTCGCACAAGAATTCCAGATGTCTGAGACAGATGCTGGTGATTCATCGCGGAGGGCGACCGCGGCCTGAAGCTCCTTGAAATGTTTTTCTGATAAGCCTAGAATCCGTGATATTATCCGATCACTCCTAGATAGGGACAATTGCTTGTAGATGTGATATTGCAGAGACAACGGCAGAGAAATCCACAAATCAGGCGAGCGAGCCTAATTATCATCAGCTGTCATGCCATTCAAGGAGACAAAGCCAACCCCTACCTGTTTTCGTTCGGGCGTAGGCAAGGAACCAAACACCGAATAGTCTACAGGAGCTGATATCGTTTGCAGATCTCTCCACACATAGGCGCTGCGTCGGTCGGGGCCCAGCCATGCGTTCATTCCACTATCCTTGGCCTGAGGGCCGCTATCCGGAACGCCAGCTGAGGTATTGGATCTCCTTGGTGGTGAGTTCAAAGGCAGAGAAGGAAATGCTGCAGGCGGATTGTCTGGATCAAAGGCCCCGACTTGGGAAGCCATCAAAGCAGGATAGGCCGGTTTGGTGGTAGATCGAGGCTTTGTAACCAAGATCTCCTCATCAAAGCGATTTGGGGCAGAGACGATCTTCCTGAGTTGCATCTCCGTAGCGAGAAATCACGTAGATCTGAGAGATTCGTCGAGAGCAGAGTTGGTCGTGAGGTGGTAGAAAAGAGGTAGGTATTGAAAAGCCACGTGATAAGGTAGGGTAGATATGAGCCAAGTGCCACTTGAAGACGCGAGAGTAATTCAAGTTCAGTTCTTCATTCAAATGCATGCTCATGCGGTGCGCGCTGTTTTGTGAATCTAAATTTTGTGTTTTAGAAGCCACTGCCTGATCAGCCTTTGTTCACAATCTGCTTACAGGTTGTGTTAATGACTTACTAGTCATTTTGATGCTCTATGATGTGGGAGGCAGGGTTCTGCTTGGTTAGGCGCAGTACAACGCTTTTGGGCAGATTTATCTTCAATGGATGCCTTGCGGCCTCCTTATACTTCTTTAATGTCCAAAGCCATGATTCCAACGCCCATGTCTACAAACTGTGTGTGGTCCGACGCCCCAACATAGATGGTATGGTTCGAGCTCTGATGGTGATATTTGGTTTTCGTGATGTTGTGATAGGTTCTTTGTTCAAGAACACAGCACGCTTTAATCACACAATTGGATCTGCGAAAGGAGCAACGCCCTCTCTGCTCGAAACATCATCCGCTGGAGAATCAGCCCCCATATCTTCATCTGAGGTGTCCATGTCATCAAGGTTCCGTTTGGTACCCATGGACGTGCGTGATGTCTGGCCCGAAAGCCCAGGGACTTCGACAGAACCAGTCCTGCTTGCTGAGACTGTCCGCTGCGCCTCAAGGATGTGTTGCAAGTCCAGAAGCACGTTCTTTAAATCGTCAGACATGGTGATACAAAAACGCTGGGATTGTATCACCTGAATTGCAGAGAACGCGCTGACGCCATAGATAATCATGAGATATGCGGCAACCAGAACTGGTGATCGGTTATTGCCAGACTCGCAGAAAACCAGCACCTTGCCACCAATGTCGGCGACATTCTCCACTGGCATTTTGACACAGGTTTGCTCAAGATGTTCATTTACTGCTCGCACGATGAGGCGCAGCTTAGAAACAAAGTCATAAGTTGAATCAAAATCAAAAGATATGGTTGATATGCCTGAGTTTGTTACAAAGGATGCAGGGTTCAGGAATGCAGGTCGAGCCTGGACGGCCTTTGTGCTCCGTACAGCTACCATCAGGGTAATACCCGAGGCTCTGAGCGATATGGGATCTCTTGCAGCGCTGCTCGGGCCCAGATAGAGGTAGGGGAGGACAGGCTGCGCAGCTCTGCGCATCTCATATCGCCAAGAGAGCATGCTGTGGATCATGTGGAGGCTATGACAAGATCTTATGGAGTCTAGGAAGACGGGGTTCCCGTAGTCCGTACTTATGTGTTCGAACTCATCAGCAGCCACAATGAAGGATGGTTTGCCATCTTTATAGTCGAGGATTGGGGGAGGAACATGGACCCTTGGTGACTCAAATTGTCGCTTGTCACTGTAGGGGAAAGACTGTGTGTAGCTGGAGGAGACCGAGACCTGGTGGTCTGCAGCCATAGAGTTGAGTTGTGTGAACTACCTTGGCGTTTGAAGTCTGTCGTTTAAGCCCTCTTCAGGAGACCAAGACTCAATTTGTTGGTCTGCTGGATATAATCTGCAGAGGCACGGTTCTCGCGAAGAACAGAGCAAAGAAGCTCGTCAGGAAGAACGAAGCCGGTAAACTTGCTCCTGCCTTCTGAAGTAGTCGACTTGAACTGCAGCCGCTCTGCCATTCTCGGACGCAAGCTCAACACATCACATTCACAAACAGATCATGCAAGTTTGATCCCCTGGAAAGGACCGTTGAATGATTTGATTCTGGACTTGATTGCCGATTGCACGAACTGCCCCCAAACGGGTGTGTATGATAAGTCCCGTACCTAGGAAACGAAAGCAATGAGGCTCTTGACTGACAGCTGTATCTGGTGTTGTGTCGAGTACACCTATCGATGAGTCAGAAATCCCTATGCGTGGATGTCAGCAATGCAGGCAGGAGTTGTGTGAGGACAAGTTTGCCAGATCTTGCATTGTTGTCGCGGTGGGTCGGGCTGGTCAGATGTCTGGAAGTTGAATGAATCAAATCTGCCTGTTGTCGGCCCGCATCAGGAACGAGGTAATTTCAACGCTGCTTTTAAGGCACGTGACATCTCGCCTCATGCCGCGTTGCCAAAGTCATCAAACATCAAGTTTCTTAATCACACAAAGCAATCATATCTCTCATCAACCACAGAAGAAGGGAATTACGTTTGCAGATTCGTTCCGCCTTGAATCTAGGGGTACTAAAGTCGGCACGATCGGATAATTGGGGGAGAGAATGCTTCAACTAATCCTACCCATCAGAGATGTATCACATTTTTACACTGTGGTGTGACCGACTGAAAAAATATGCTTGCATCTTTTGTCCAAACGGCGAGAAACTTTCTCCAGAGAAGTTGGTGCTGAATGCTTCGATTTCAGCCGAATGCTTTGATGTTTGCCTACAATGTAGCATGGCATTCAAGGGCCTCGACGAGGCCGTGGGAGCTGTCTTTCACAGGTTTCGAATGGGTAGGTATCTTGTTGTCTGTCCGCAATCGAAGCCTTCTTCGTCCGATAGACCTCCTTGAAAACTTTGTCATCGTCTTGAATTATGGAAGGCCAAGCACAGCCAGGTTTGCTGATGTTCACTTTGGGTAGGCAGCGACCGCTTGAATGGCAATGTTGGGTTGTCGGGTGAAGCTCATGTTTCACACTGCCCATCTTCACGTGCAATATATTGTTCCTTGTTACTACAATGAATGAAGCCCTCATTTTATTCACAGCCTTGCCTCATGGCCTCTTAACTATCTATTCGCGCGCTTTCATTTGCCTTCATAATATTTTGCACTACAGTCGATCCTCACTACCATCAGTACGACGGCGATTTTTGGCAAAAACGATGAGATTCACCTTGTTAACTAGTCTTCTACTGGGAGCCCTTTTCATTCGATGAGGCAATTGCGCGGCGCTTTACAACATCTGTGCATGGGACGGTGTTGTTCCGGTACTGTACCGTGAGTACAGTGAAAACCACTGCCCAGGTGTGAATCATCTTGACCACGACTTAGCCTGCCATGATTGGAATGACTGGGATAGTGAATGTGGCTTATACTGTCAGATGCGCACGACATTCTTCTACGGTCCCGAGCAACCATTTATTCGCGTCTCATTGTGAGTCTTGTCCCCGCCCGCTTGCTTTGGCGATTTAAGATCACTGTGCTAACCTCAGGATTCTTTAGCTGTCGTGGTCCTCTCCGCTGCAAGGTAATACGCCACAGTGGACTCCAATGCCTTCTTAATGTATCAAAATGGAGCATGACAAGGTTCCTCACCTGAGCATACTGATTGATGTTGACTCCTATCTATCATAGATCTCCAGCAATGTACACCAGGGTTACGCTTGGAAAGGCAAGGGCCAACGGCAATTACAAAATCGGTCCATTGACATTTGGTGTATGCTCCACAGCGCTCAGCGGCACAGCCTGATGCGAACTTTATGCTGACGAGGCATGTGGATTACGGGAGGCTACACTCAAAAGTGGGCCAAAGGCACGTCGAGCAGCTTCACTGTAAACCTCAAGTCAGGAGAGTGGGGCTATTTTCCCTTCGTGGCTATTTGTCGCGAGACCTGTGGCACCTCCACTGATTCCCACGCTGGGTTCTTCGGATGCGATAAATCTACCAAGGCTGCATCAGGAAATTCCTGCATTGAACAAGTCGCAAGATTCAACAACGATGATGGCTACGACGATGACGTTGCTCGTGGCATTGTTATCCTCGTCTATACCGACTGCATCACTTTGGAACCCCTTCTGGGCGACAAGCAAGATCCGTCTTATAGCCAGCCTGAAGTGAAACTACCCTGGGGGGACATGGTCGCCTACCAACAGTTCTGGAAGGAAATTATGTCTAACTTCCTCAGTGCTGCAGCGAGAACATGCTCGCCAGACACCGAGGGCGTGGCCTCTGACTGTCTCCAAAACATCGGCCTGCTGCTACAACAACCTACCATGAAAGCATCCGTTCCAAAAAAGGAAAAACTACGTTGTTCGCTGTAAGTTCAACCCTTTAATGATGGTTTCTGCGCCGACAGGTAACTGACACTAAGAACAGAGAACGCTTAATTGCAGTGTGTGGGTGAACTACCTCGAGGACATTGGCGACGCTTGTCCGGGTATCAATTATATGGAGGTCGCGGCTGCGGTCCAGGGCATCTATGACCATTGCCAGGGCGGACAGGGCAATATGGGAGTCAGACACGCTATCGGTACGAAATGTGCTGGTGCCGTTATCATTAAGAGGGATTGAGAGCTAGGAGCAGCAGCAGCAATAGCATCCTCATCATTCAGTCATCTTGATGGCACGCAATACTGAACAGACGAGCAGTCCCCTTTCTCGGGGCTGTGGATTTGAACGACCTCATCGCATCGTCTTGTCTTCAGAATGAGGCATCTGCGAGTGCCTTCTCATAATCCACGGGTTGGCAGATATGGACTTCGAATTATTTCGACTTGTATCCCATCCAGGTAGTTGATCAACGCAAGGGGAAATAAGGCAGGAACAGCCCTTGTACATATTGAATTCCCCTACAGGCCCGCGATCGTGAAGCTCTTTCCATAAACTTAGACAGACGTTATAGCGAATAAGAGCTTCACATCAATCGTGTTGAGTCATTAGACGGGATTTCTAGTGAATTACAGAGGGGTGGGTTTTTGTTCGTCATAAAATACAAGCAACAATGGCTTGACAAAACAAGCCTTTCTGTTGCGTGAGCCAGAGTCGACATCTGCGCCGACCCAGTCTCGTGGGTTTCCCTCGCCCTTCTATCTCGACAAGAAGTGCTTAACGCCATCTCAAGCCTTCGTGGAGATTAACTTTTCTTGTCTTTGGTACCCACCTGACGTGTTTGGGCATTGGGTCCTGGCTGCTGTGGTAGTTGCTTCTGGACTTCCTGTTGTGATTTTTGTTGTGCTTTCTGCTGCTGTGATTTTTGCTCTTGCTGCTCACGTATTTGTTGAGAGACCTGCCAGATGGCCCGTTCTACCTCTCCGCCCAATTCTGGCACCTTGAGGGCCTTTGCGATTTTATCGTGGGTATTCTTTGTCAGAATTAGTTGTTCCGGTGGGGTAGAGCCGTCGAGGATCTGGCTGCGCGTGACAAAATGAAAGTCAGGTGAGTCTGGTGCGATATCGTCGAACAAGTCTTCTACCTCAGGGGTGGACCGGAGTCGATAAAGCCGGTTGTCGAGAATGAAGTCTAGATGGTCGGAGCCTTTCAACGCTACCAAACAAGTCAGTCGTCGCCCCACGGGGTGTGGGTCCCAATTACTCACCGTGCCAGTGCGACCAGCATCGGAATACTGTGTAGAAGAATGGAATATTGGGTATGCTAAGCTGTTAGGTTTTCGATCTAATGATACCGAGGAGATGGGACCTACATCGGTATAAGTCCGAAGGGGATAGTGAACGGCATTGCCACCATGCTTCCAATAAATCTATTCCAATGGAGCTGTTTTCTTTCACGGGCTAGCCTAGCCATGACCTTGGGTACATCCTCCTTGTGCATAATATTGCCGGGGTAGATGACGTCGAATTTCTTGCCATCTGTTATTTGCTCCGCCTGGAGCTTGGGGTTTGAAGGAGGAAAGCTCTTCAAGGACCATTCCTGATAGGGGATCCGCTGGAGACCTCTATTTCCATATTTGGCAACTTGTTTCTTCCATCCTGACTGAGCGCCTTCCCAACTGGACCACGTCTCCGCCGCTTTGTTCGTGATGCGCTCGATGTAGCCGAGTTTGGCGCCTGGAGTGGGAGCAGCGCGCTGATAGTAAATAAGGGCCTGTCGCGTCGTAAGGGGGAGGAGGAAAATGCGCATAGCAATGGTGTTGCGGGTCTAAAGGAGGCACACGTCGGTGCTGATAGTGCTGCTACAGCTAAATCATCGCGAATATCGGAGATTTTGGAGTTGTGGTGACAATCTGCCTGGTACGTCGAGCGTTTTGCCAGGTTTGGAAACAATGAAATGAATTCGAACGGGTCAGGGCAGGGCTGCTGTGGTAGCTGGTTACTAAAGTTTTTCTCGCTGACACCTGAGAATTCCCATTTGTTTCGATCTTGTCGTCATTATTAGGCGACCCAGCCACAGCGAAATTCAACTCCATGTGCTAGCCACAGCACAGCCACAATCGTCGTCGCGCTCAAATGCTTAATCCTTCGATCGGAAAAAATGTGGGAACCTTCAGATGTAGAACCTTGTACGGAGTGCTCTGTATGCACCCCCACTTCCGCGACGCTGATAAATATCTGCCCCAGCAAGTTGCGCCCCGACAAAGGGCCTATGTCTTCCTTTACAGGGACTTGAAATGGCTACAGTAACTCTCATGCCCGCAAGAGCACCCAGCACAGTGGGGATCTAGTTGTATGAATCTGTAAGGGCGTGAGAGTGACGTTCAAGGATTGTTGTAGGATAGTGGACACGTGAAGAACTATCATAGCCCGAGACAGGAAGACCAGAAAGGCACAATCCACACAGTGAAAAAGGAAAATATATAATATGCATTTTGACTTTTTGCTCCAATAGCGAGAAACTGTCCTCGATGGTCTAGTGGTCATGAGTGAGTCTTATCACATAGCCGCTTCAATCCATCTGTTATCTGACGTAACAAATAGTTTCCGCTTGTCAAGGCATTTACCGCTTAACAAGCGCGGGAGACCAGGGTTCGATTCCCTGTCGGGGAGTGATTTTTTGTCCTTTCCTCAATGTTTTTGGCGTGGGGTGTTTTTGGCGTGGCTTAAATAACGATTACAGTGGACTTGGGAAAAAGAGAAAGCGCGGTCAGATTTATATATATATCTATGTACTGTAGTACTCCGTAATTTAAAGTGGCGTTGGGCTGGGGCTGGGCAGCAACCTCCTTCTCTCATGATTACGCCAAGTAAACGCTCCGACAAGGGTTCGGGAAGCTGCCCATCTCTCATCTCTGTTTACTCATACTCTGAGTCTGTCCCCATACATATCGCTGGTCGAGTTTTACTCAAGCATAAACCTAGAATCAGTACTCCGTCCTACCCATTGCCACCCTCCGACTATAGCCCGGAGTGTACGAGTCCTTCCCTGCCTCGAAAAGCTTACATAGTAACTAGGAGGAGAATGTCCATGACATGACCTTCGGACACCGCGGCCGAGCTCGTCATTACCAGGCAGGCCGCTCACCCGCCTAGGCCTGGAAACTTGGGATATGGCACAGAATGGGTTTCCCTGGCTTTCGCAGTCTCGAGATCCAGAGAAAGATCCGTCATTGCTAGATCCGAACCAAGCTATCTCACGCTCGGGCGAACCGGCGCCAAACCCTCGAGCCACTTCTCCCAACTCATCGGCACACCCCAAAAGACAGTCTGGTGCACCACACTCTAACAAACGGACTGGGTCGGGCAAAACGCCGCCACCTGTCAAATCCTCCATTCCGAATGGCCTGTCCGATCCTCAAATTTCCAAAGCGACCTCACCGTTACCGGTTCGGACGATCCCTCGTAAGCGAACTCCCCTATACCAGTGCGGCGTGTCCCAGCACTAACCTCTTGCGTAGCTTGGGTGCAAGATGCAGAAGAAGACGACCTTGATGACACCGAATTCTCCCTCCCAGGTAGCCCGGGTGCGGCATTTGTTGCTCAACACAACCACAGCCCGGCCTTTCTCCAACGTCCCCTTCTGTCAGGGAAACAACCTGATTGCCATGAGTACGTAACATCCTCTGGCCACGGACGACCCGATCGAACCTCAAGATGGGCCACTTTCGCCCGTCCAAGTGCTTATCCGCGCGAGACCTTCAACGGAGAGAAAGTCGATGCAGATTATTGGAATCGGAACTTCACCGATTACTCCAAAGCATGGCTGGAAGATCACGAGGAGGATGAGCTGGAGAGCAGCAGCAGATACCGCGCTTTCCGAAGGAAGCGGCAGGCCTGGTACAAGCGGGCGCAGTATACCATTCTGCGGAATCCTTTCATCCCTTTGTTTTTCCGATTTACGATTTTCCTGTTTGCACTGCTCGCCCTCGGCCTAGGCACCTCGATATGGAAGGAAACAGGACGAATAACTTATTGCATCGAGCAAGAGCCTCGAGACGCCAGATGCCGGAGGTTAGTTGGCGATGAAAAACCAGATTACTACCGAGATCCATCGGGCCTGATGGCCATTATTGTGGATGCCATTGCTTTGCTCTACACCATCTACATCACATATGACGAGTACTTTTCCAAACCGTTGGGACTGCGACCCGCCCGTGCAAAAGTACGGCTAGTGCTTCTCGACCTTTTCTTTGTGGTCTTTCAATCAGCAAACTTGAGTCTCAGCTTCGAGTCTTTAACAGTAGATGAGGGAGCTTGTCAGTCGGGCCCCGATCCGAGGACAGCTTCGAAGTTCGATCAAGTGTGCCACAGAGCGCAGGCTTTGAGCGCTGTATTGTTGGTGTCTCTAACTGCCTGGCTAATGACTTTTTCTGTCAGTGTCCTACGGTACGTGTCTAACCAGGAATGTGGTGTGAAGTGTTACTAATCAGTGGCAGATTGGTGGAAAGAATCAATACAAATTAGATGTTGAGATGGGCCGAAGAACGTTTCAATCATTCTCAGTAATTCCACCCAACAGTCATTTATCATGGGCTCGCGTGGTTTGGAAAGGAGGGCGAGTGTATATTCTTTCTCATCGGTATGGCATCATTACACGTGCAAGCTTGGGCCATCTTCGCCATAGACTGGGTCCTTCTTGAACCATTCTAAATTGACAATTGATTTGACTTGCTCTTCCTCGCCGGCACGCCCGTAACACATATCCCACGGCTTGCCCTTGGGATAACTTCCCACCATCTGAAAACCGCCATAGTCTTGGAGCAAACGGTGGCCAACACCCGCAGGTATGATGATGACGTCGCCTTTCTCGAGGATTGGCTCTATTCGACATTCGTTTTGCTCGTGGCCGAAACAGCATTTGGCCGAACCGGATGCAATGGCCAAGACCTCATGTGTACTGGAATGGAAATGAGAATCAGTGAACATGGTATATCTCCATTGTGGAGATACCTCGCCGACCGATCTCAGGTGTGACTCGATACTTGATGGAGTGGGGTTGGAGAAAACAGCATGATATATCATCAAGGGTTTGCCTTGAATGCTTGTGTTGGGAAAGCCGGTGAAGGCAGGGATCTGATGTTTAGAAACTCGCAAGGCGCTCAGAGGAGTAACGGACATATCGAGCGAGCTGGATTGTGTACGCTGGTCACTTTTCCTCTCTCTGTACATAGGTGGGTAAATCAATGATAATGAGGTTTCATAATGCATCGTTCTTGTTGTCATGTCTGGTGAATGATGTCAATTCTCACTATCTGGGCTGCCATCTATTGGAGGCGTTCCTTGTCTCTCGGCTGCAGCGCTTCGGCATTTGCCTCCCACATCATCGGAACCGGAATATCTTTTCTTCCATGTCACATGACCCGTACCCATTGTCCATTATGCCAAGGCGGAAGCGTCACTGTTCCAGGCTGCCTCGAGCGCCGGTTTGGTGCCTCACGCAGCCTGCTCCCTCACTCTTACTCGTACTTAGTCATTCATTCTTGCACTCATCAACAAGTCTGCCTTCCCTCCGCCGACAGGACAGACAGTTTTGTGAGGTGGCTCTTTGTCGCGCACCTCGTCCCGCACCCTGATCCTTCTCTTGTAATTCTCCTCGACACATGGTCCATCCTCTCCTCTTGTAAATCCCCAGCCTGCTCAGCAGTCCAGGAGCGTTGCTTTGTGGGACCATCTTTTGTCGACGACCTTATCCCCCCATCGATTACCGTCCTCCCGAGTCCTGAGTCTCAAACTTCGTTCTCTGCGTTCTCACCCACCCCATTCCACCAGACTTCACTCCTCCTTGACTATCACCTCGCCCGTGATGGCTCCCGCCACCACCACAGCGTCGGCTCCCGCTAATCGGGCCCGGGATGACCTGGACTCCACGTATGTTGATGATGCCCTGGGCCTCGTTTAATGCTAATCTTGAGCCTAGGTGGACTTATCTGGAAAAGAGTGTCAACAATGTCATGACCAAACTTCAAGAGGGCCTCGACATGAAGACTTATATGCGAGTTGCCTTGTGAAGGATCTCCTGATATCCTACTGACAGATTCCAGGGGCGTGTATACTGCTGTCCATAATTTTTGCACATCTCAGAAGGCAGCAACTAGCGCTTCATCTCCTAGCCAGCCTACCCTAAGTTCAAACCACCGTGGTGCACATCTCCTGGGTGAAGAACTTTACCAGCTTTTAGGAAAATATCTTACCGAACACCTTCAAAGCGTTCTCGTATCCTCGGAATCACACACCGACGAGGCTCTGCTCACGTTCTACATCCGCGAGTGGAAGCGATACACCGACGCTGCCAAGTATAACAATCATCTCTTTCGGTACCTTAATCGACATTGGGTCAAGCGAGAAATCGACGAGGGCAAGAAGAATGTCTACGATGTCTACACCCTTCATCTGGTGAAGTGGAAGGACGACTTTTTTAAGGCCGTGGAATCCAAGGTCATGGCGGCTGTCCTGCGATTGGTGGAGAAACAACGCAACGGCGAGACCATCGATCAACTTCAGATCAAAGCAATCGTCGACAGCTTTGTATCACTTGGCTTAGATGAGCTTGACAGCAGCAAGTCTACCCTTGACGTCTACCGCTTGTACTTCGAACGACCCTTCATAGCTGCGACAAAAGATTATTACACCAATGAGTCCAGACGGTTTGTTGCAGAGAACAGTGTCGTTGAATACATGAAGAAGGCTGAAGCCAGGCTCGAGGAGGAGAAGGAAAGAGTAGGACTTTACCTGCATCCGGATATTATGAAGAAACTCATGGACACTTGTAATGAAGCGCTCATTGCAGCTCACTCTGTTCTTCTTCGAGATGAATTCCAGGTCCTTCTCGATAACGAGCGCACGGAGGATCTTGCTCGGATGTACAAGCTGTTGTCGAGAATCAAAGATGGCTTGGATCCTCTCCGCAATCGTTTCGAAGTCCACGTTCGGAAAGCTGGTACTGCCGCCGTCGAAAAGGTTGCTGCTAATGGCGACAACTTTGAGCCTAAGGTCTATGTCGACGCGCTCCTTGAGATTCACGGCAAATATCAGCAGCTGGTCAATGTCGCTTTTAATGGAGAATCCGAATTTGTAAGATCCCTCGACAATGCTTGTCAAGAATTTGTCAACCACAACCGTGTTTGCAAATCCAACTCTACACGCTCTCCGGAATTGCTTGCCAAGTATGCCGATCAACTCTTGAAGAAGGGAGCTAAAGCCGCCGACGAATCCGAACTTGAGGAACTTCTGGTACAAATTATGATTGTCTTCAAATACATCGAAGACAAAGACGTTTTTCAAAAATTCTACTCTCGCATGTTGGCCAAGCGTCTGGTTCACACCAGCTCTGTCTCTGATGATGCTGAAACTAGTATGATCAGCAAACTCAAAGAGGCCTGCGGTTACGAGTATACCAACAAGTTGCAGCGAATGTTCCAGGATGTGCAAATCTCCAAAGATCTCAACACTGCCTACAAGGACTGGCATGACAAGATCTTGGAAGACAGCGATGAAAAGCGAAGTGTTGACTCAACCTATCAAATCTTAGGAACAGGTTTCTGGCCTCTCAATGCCCCCAACACTCCCTTCGTTCCTCCACCTGAGGTTAGCAAAGCTATTGAATCATTCACACGGTTTTACGATCAGAAGCACAATGGCCGAAAACTTACCTGGCTATGGCAGTTGTGCAAAGGAGAAATCCGTGCCAATTATATCAGAAGTCAAAAAGTGCCCTACACCTTCCAAGTCTCCACCTATCAAATGGCAATTCTCTTGCTATTCAACGATGCCGACAAGCTTGATTACTCAGAAATCAAAGACCTTACAAAGCTTACTGATGAGACAATTGAGCCAGCCATTGGTATTCTTTGCAAGGCTCGCGTCTTGCTTCCCACTCCTGAGGATGGCAAGCCCGCCGATGGAACCAAGTATGCTCTAAATTACAACTTCAAGAACAAAAAGGTTAAAATCAACCTCAACATTCAGGTCAAATCTGAGCAGAAGGTGGAATCGGAAGATACCCACAAGACGATTGAGGAGGATCGAAAGCTGCTGCTTCAGGTATGCCTGTCTTTCTTTGAGAATCCCGATATAGCTAACTGTTGCAGGCTGTCATTGTTCGAATCATGAAAGGCCGAAAGAAGCTCAAGCATGTCCTCCTGGTCGAAGAGGTCATCACACAAGTCCGCAATCGATTCCCTCCAAAGATTTCTGATATCAAGAAGAATATCGACGCTCTTATGGAAAAGGACTACATAGAGAGACTTGATAATGACGAGTTGGCATATATTGCATAGGCCTTTCACCACCGAAAGTGGTCTCGAAGATTGGTCTTGGATTGCCAAAGCCGATCTAGATTTTCCATCAAACGCACCTTGTGCATTTTCCGTTGTGGTGTCTGAAGCGTTTGAGCGAACACAACAGTATCATTTTGCTATCTTGGTCCGAGGGTTGCACAGCTACGGAGTCTTCTTACTCGAGTGTTTCTGAGCCAGAGAGAAACTACAAGGGACGGTTGTGAAAGGAACTGACTCGTTCAGCACAGGCCAGGAAGGGGATCATGCATCTTTGGGCATTGCAAGGGAAGGCGGCACTGAGGTCAAATTTTTCATCTTGCGTGTCTCTTCGAAATGGTGGAGTGGGATATGACTAACGATGATAAGACGACGCATCGTGCGCATAATCACCTGGAGTACCCAAAAACCACTGGGCGATTGTCAGGACATGGTGTGAAAATGAATAACCCACAATCCACAGAAGGCGCAATGCAGACTAAAGCTATCGAACACAGGGCAAGTGCTCAGCCTCGTTTCAGCGATGTAGTCAAGGCTTAATCACTCATGCTGAAGATGAAAGCATGAGAACATGAAGAATATGAAAGACTTATGTTAAAACGCCACGGTGATTGCGTAGAAGGATCCGGCATTACCAGGATACGTAACCAACGATAACCCATTTATGAAGCGAAGAAAATATCATGAAGACATCATAATTGTCGGTGTAAGTGTGCGCACTGTGCTGTGTGCGTGTGCGTGTGCAGCATGGTGCAAATGGGTTTCTAGTAAATAATGGAACTGAAAGCGATGCCAAAGCTATATCAACCGCCGCCCCCCCCCCTCCCCCAACCAACCTCTCTTCCTACTGGGAGGCGTTGAAAGGTGGTCGGTCGTGCTTCTTTCGATTCGTCGATGCAACTCCTTTTGCTCAATGCCAATCCGAAATGGAGCTTTCAAGCTTTCTTTGCTCCTACCAGAGCGACGACTTCGTCCTCCATACTCTCACCCCGACGTCGGACTCGTCACACATCACGCTTTTGGATCGTTCCTAGCAGCTGCGCCATCACCACCACCGCCACCACCACCTGCATCTGCACCGCCGGTTCCAGTTTTGGATTGCTGAACGCGCTCTTTCGCCCAGCTTCCCCAGGAACTGAGGTACGCGCCCGCCTTGGCGGCGTTCTCGCGCGCCGACGCCTGGAGCTGCGCTGTGTCGACGTTAGGCTTCTGGAACTGGGTCTTTGTGGCGCGCTCGCGCAGCGATGCCGCCCATCCTCCTCCTCCTGAGGCTTCGGTTGAGGGGTTCCGTGTTGATGTCGACGGAGTGCCTGGCTCCGGGGGTGCCGCCGTGGTGGTAGTCGAAGATGAAGGGTCGAGGTTTTCCTTCCCCTTGGCGGCAGTGTCGCCGACCATCTCCCAGTCTCCACCGCTGTCACGGGTTTGGCTTGCATCGCGGCTGCGCTGCGCCTGTTTGGTTTGCCGCTGTTCTCTGGCCTTCTCGACCTCAGCCCAGAAGCGGGCGACGCCGGCGCCGACCCTCTCCTTTCCAGAGGCGAACGTCTTTCCCAGCTGCTCTCTTCCCTCCCTCACGCGCTCGTCGAGATGCAGTTCCGCGACCGTCTGCTGGAGCCGCCGCTGGACATCTTCGACGTTCAGGCCCCCGGCGGTCGGGTGGCGTGGTTCGATGATGTCGAAAATGCGGTGTTCTTCCGTCAGCCGGTTGAAGAGCGCGAAGTTGTTGGTTTCGCGCCACATGGCGAGGAACTCTGGGTTGAAGTCGCTGGCGGTGTCGGCTGGGTCCGGGTAGTGTTCGGTGTTACTGACACTGGTAGGGACGTTAGCCTCGGACATGGATTCGTGGTACACCTGGTACGCCATGGAGCTGAGCAGTGACAGGACATATTCTTCGAATTGAAGACGAATGGCATCCTCGGACCCTGCGAAGCCCATGTTCTTCGGCCGTGATGGGTTCTCTGGGTCCCACGTGTCGAGCACCGTTTGTGTTAGAGCATCTATCCATCGGCGGTCGGCGGCTGAAAGAGAAAGTGCGGTGCGAAGAGATGGTGAGGTAATCGTGATGCTGTTGGATTCATCGAGGTTTATCAGGATATCAGAATACCGTTCTTTCTGCTGAAGAAGGAGACTGTTGGTGGAGCCAACAACGTATGATTTCGTATCGTAATCGGCAAGGATGTCGAGCTGCTGAAGGGGCGTATATGGACCGAAGAAGGAGCCCTGTTCAAGGAATGCTCAGTCCAATGTCGTTGCCTTTTTCAGAACCAAGAAACGACCTACCTTGCCGAATATGTGCAATGGTAAGCCCATATATGATAGTACTATGATAATCAGCACTCCCAATGTCCCAATGTATGTATCCATATGGATGAAGTGATCAAACGCACAAGAATTTCGTTCACTCGTCTTCAAAGTCGTCGGTCTCTCGACCGTGCGACCGTAAGAATCGAGAGTCGGATCGGCGGAATCCTGGAGATTACGGATCAAGCCCGGAATCAAGGAGATCAACGCAAACTGCATCATGCAAAGTCGCTCGCATTTGGACCCGAAAAAAAGCATCTATAACACCCAGACATTCTGAGCCGCGATTCACCGTGTGGAGGTGCTGCATGGATTGAAGGAAAAAGCATTTCTGTTCCGTACCTTCCGCTGCAACAACAGACATTTCACCAAAGCCAAAGTCTGATATCTGAATTCATACATCATTTCTCGCAGAGACAGGCCTGGAAAACATGTCAATTGTGATCACAGAAGAGACCATAGTTTGCAGATTTGCCCTGGACGACCAAGTCCAACTTTTTGAGATCAAAAGTCGTACATACCAAAGTGGTGATCTCTCCCATCGTCAGGCATTGCAGGACCTCTCTCGAGGCTCTCCTGGAATTCCTACATAGTAGAACAGTTCATTTAGTCCCGAAACACGAGGGCCAAGAGCAGAGCTTGGGAAATGTGCTGTTTGACATACCTTCAAAATTGTGATATCAGAAAAATCCCTGAACACTGGTTGTCAACGTGTGATCTTGACAGGTTCTTGTTCTGTGAAAGACAATTGACGTGCCAAAGGTAGGGACTTACTCCTGCGCAAACCAAGCAGCGGTGACGACGCCGAGACGCTCTCTCAATTCACCCATGCCTCTGGCCGTCGGTGAAATCACGATCACGGCTTTCTGCACCGTACTCCTCGTGACATCGGCAGACCTCCGCTTCAACTTCTCAGACTTAATCTGTCGCGTACAGCTTATGCCGAAGAGGCTGGTAGCTGTTTGGGATAGATCCCGACTCGGTCTTGACTTTGCAGGTTGCTTCGGTGTCTCGGTCTCCATCGTACTAGGTTCAGACCCCTGTACTGCTGTCTGTCCATCATCGACAGCAGCATCTCCTTTGTCCAGCAGGGCAAAGTACGAAAAGTCTTCTAGCATTGCGTGCGCCCCGTCTGACAGGGCCATGAAAGGAAGCAGAGACCAGTCGTTTTTCTTGGCAAGCTGCCCGCCTACAGCCGGCTCGACCCAAAATTCCACCTCCGGTCCTCTTTTTGATGGCACAACAATATTAGCGGGACTTGTGCTTGTATCTTTGCTCACTCAAACCCGGCAGGATGATTACTTGCCGACGCGCGCGTGTGGGCGTGGGATAGCACGAGATGAGTAGGGCAACTTACCGAGCATGATGGAAGTCCACCACCGCCACTTGAGGTGCTGTTAGAGTAGTCATGGTCATCGCCACCGGTCCCGCTCTCTAAGGTCGGTAGAATGTCGACGAGAGCGCACTTGATTTGTTCTCGATGGATTGCCCTTTGGAATCCAAGAACATCGCGAAGTTGGTTGGGATATAGATTGGAAAAGGCGAAAGGAGAGAAGAGGTCGGATGGAACAGCGAAGCGCAAGGCGCAAGGCTCGGACTAACTAATCAGCTGCTAGGAACAAGGAAGTAGTTCAGCCTCAAATTCGTCACCGTCTTGGCTACCACTTCTAAGCTCTCATACAAACAGATAAATGACGGCTGGCTGTGGTATTCAGAAACGTCACGCGTGCTCCGCCTCATCAGCAAGTATCATTATGGGTGATTCATTGACTGGGTTCTAGGTCTTCTACTTTTGGTCCCTCGCAATTCCCCAGTCGGGCTACCTAATATATCCTCTAGGGCTTTATTACCTTCTTGGGTGCCTTCATTAATGCTGGAAGTCCACCCATTCTCGCTCAACCAATCTTGTGATCTCAACAGCAACAAGCTAGGATGTTTGTCGGTTGTTCAGTGCCCAATTCTCACTGTCCCATCTGGCCCTGTCTAGTCCATCCACTGTTCACCATCTAGGAATCTAGCCCAGTTCGTGCCCGGACTTCTTTCTCTTCTGCAACATCTAAAGGTTCAATATTCCAGATTGTATCCGCATACTCATTGATACATCGGTCTAGAGGTCTAAGTTAGCCGTCATCTGGGTCCTTTCTGATTGGGGACATACCTGATGTAAAGAATCCCATGCCAGCCACACTCGAGATGCACTTGGCCACCCATTGGTCTTGATCCTTGAAGGTCTCATCGATGAGGTCTTGCGTCTTCGTGTAGCTGTTGAAATCATCGCTTACTAAAATCACAATTATCAGCGGGGTTGCACAGCATCCATCTCATATGCAATTTCTTACCGAGATAGTAGTCGCCATGCTCAGTTATGGCGCTGATGAGGGCTCCAAAGGACCCTTCATCGCCAAATTTGCCAGATTTGATAAGCTCGAAGACTTTCTGGAGTTCCGGATCAACCTGATATTCACCATAGAAGTGGTTATGTCTGAGATCTTCAACATCCTCGGACAGATTGCCGAACAAGAAAACGTTCTGTTCGCCGATTTCTCTTGTGATCTCGATATTTGCTCCATCGAGCGTGCCAATGACCAACCCGCCGTTGAGGACGAACTTCATGTTGCTCGTTCCAGAGGCTTCTGTTCCGGCAGTGGAGATGTGCTCACTGATGTCAGAGGCTGGAATGATGATTTCTGCCTTGCTGACATTATAGTCCTCGAGGAAAATGACCTTGAGAAGGTCACCAACATCGGGGTCGTTATTGATGACCTCTCCCACCTTGTTGATCAAGTGGATGATGGTCTTGGCCATCCAATATCCTGGAGCAGCCTTGCCACCAAAGATGGAAACCCTGGGTGCAAGTTTCTTGCGCTCCTCAGGGTTCAATGATTTGATAGCGAGGTAGCGATGAATGACACCGAAAATATTGAGCTGTTGTCGTTTGTATTCGTGAATACGCTTGACTTGCACATCGAACAAAGCTTTGGGGTTAACGCTGACTCCAGTTGTCTTCAAGATGTGCTGGGCTAGGCGAACTTTGTTGGCGTATTTGATCTCTGCCCACTCCTTCTTGAATTCCTTGTCATCAACAAATGCTTCTAGCTTGTTCAACAGGGTCAGATCTTTCAAGAATTCGTAGCTGCCCAGTTTCGAAGCAATGAGCTCAGAAAGTCGAGGATTCGCTTGATGCAACCAGCGTCTGGGAGTAATGCCGTTTGTGACATTTGTGAACTTGTCTGGACCATAGATCTTGACAAAGTCCTTGAAAATAGTGGTCTTGATCAGATCAGAGTGCAGCTCGGCCACACCATTGACCTTGTGGGAACCCACAATGGCCAGATATGCCATGCGAACGGTCTTTGGTTGAGACTCTTCAATGAGTGAGACTCTGGAGAGTAGCTCCCGGTCTTTCGGGAACCGACGCTCAACAGTCTGTAGGAAGTAAAGATTGATCTCGTAAATGATCTGTTTTCAAAGTATCACATATGTTAGTAATGCCATTCAGCATGGTCAACAGCAGAAATCATTGAACGGGTAAGCCTTGGTGAAGGTGAAGGCAGACAATCAGTACACGGACGACATTCTTCAAGACCACAGGCCCAAGAAGTCGAAGAAGAGGTTCCATCCTGTCCAGATGCCGGCAGGCTCAACCCAATGGGAATGAGAAGGAAGTGGGTAGCGGCCATCTCACGAGGAAGCAGCTGAGGACGCATACGAAATTGAGGAGATCATTACTTACCTGAAGATGTCGCGGCAGCAGATTCTGAATCAGAGGGACGGACCATTTCTCCAGAGCTTCTGGCAAGACGGTGTGATTGGTGTAGCCAAATGTCTTGGTCACAATGTCCCATGCTGCTTGCCATTCCAGCCCTTCCTTGTCCACCAAAATGCGTTGCAACTCGACGATAGCAAGGGTTGGATGAGTATCGTTGAGTTGTATTGCGACCTGATCGGAGAATTCGGACCATTTGCGGTTGGTCTTCTTGAACCTACGGACGATGTCGTGTAGGGAGGCTGCACACCAGAAGTATTGCTGCTTTAGACGCAGCTCTTTGCCCCGCTCCAGATTGTCATTGGGATATAAAACAGCAGAGATGGTTTCAGCTCGCTGCTGATCGGCGACAGCACTTTCGTATTCTCCAGAGTTGAATTTGGAGAAGTCAAATTCGCCACTCGAGGCCTTGCTTGACCAAAGACGGAGATTATTGACAGTTGGAGTTCCGTACCCTGGAATAGGTACGTCGTAGGCGACAGCCGTGACAAGTTCACCATCTTGCCAGGAAGTAACCTGTTTCCCTTCGTCATCAGTGTACTTATTGACCCAGCCATAGAACTGAACGTCGACGGTCACATCGTGTCGGGCAAACTCCCAAGGATTGAAATCCAACCAGTAGTCGGGGATTTCCACCTGATATCCGTTTTCAATCTCTTGCTTGAAGATGCCATATCGGTATCGCAGGCCATAGCCCCAAGCGGGGTAGTTGAGCGATGCCATACTGTCAAGGAAGCATGCAGCGAGTCGGCCAAGACCGCCGTTTCCGAGGGCAGCGTCATGTTCCTGGTTGATCACATCCTCGATACGGAAACCAAGATCTGCCAGACCATCTGAATCTCAGGTCAGTGGAAGTACTATTGTTGTCCCAGAGTGATCAAACCTTTAGCCACATTCTTCAAACCCACATTCAGCATGGCATTGTCAAGCGCTCTTCCCATGAGAAACTCGAGTGATAGATCTAATAGGAAAGTTAGATTTCTGCATTTGGGAGAAAACAGGCCCGATCAGACTCACAATAGATCCTCTTCTGGTCAGCGAATGTCTGTCTCTGCTGAGTCTTATTCCAATCGATAATAAGACGATCTCGGAACGCCAGAGCTGTTCCAGAGTATGCAGCGCTGGACGAAGTCAGCAATACTCCCAAGATCCGGATGATGAACTTACAGCTCGTCACAATTGAACAGAGATCTCGCCAAAGTGGTCTCGATATGTCTGACAATTTCGGTCTAACAGAGCCAGTGTCAGTCCATTCTCCTGCGGATAGCATCGACTGTGCCGACCTCGAACTGGTCCTTGGTTGTGAAGCCCGAAGGAGACTACTGTATGAGTAAGCTAGGGATTCGAGATGCTCGGAACGTGTGCATCCGTACGTATTTCCTCCATCTGAAGCCAAACATTAGCTATTATTCTCAAACTCGGTGCTGGATCACTTACGCCTCTCGCATATGCTCAGGAATGCTTGACTCGACGGCTTTGATATCACTCGCTCCGAAGCCCGTGGCGGTGCGCTTGTGCTTGGGACGGGTGAAGCCAGGGCCGACAGGGCCCTGAAGGGTCGAGATGGGAGCACTGGTTGAGGGCTTTCGCTCCCTGGGGGAGGATGCCGTCGCAGCTGCCATGATGAGGGTCCTTGGGGACGGCGGGACGGCGGGACGGCGGCGTAGCAGGGGCACACCGATAACAATAAAGCAAGAAGAAGAAAGTAGTGAATGGGGAGAGGAGAGAAAGAGAGACTGCGGATGAAGAGTGGACGAGCGGTCAGAAAAATAGTATTGGAGATTTGTCTCAGATGCAATGCAGTGGAGGGAGGTATGGGATGGGATATACAACCAGGGAGGAGCTGAAGCTCTGGAATGGCATGCGCCGCCCACGCCCACGGCCACACGCTCATGCACACAACCGCACAGAGCCTACGAAGCACGAACAGCATTATTGGCACGCATCCGCTTGGAATTGAACCGTTGTTGCAGAGCATATCGTCATCATACTGCTACTGCAGCACTAGGATCCATTTATTCAGCAACTGGGCTTGCATTAGCTGCCAGTAAGGAGCAGGCCTTGGGTGTGCAAACGGCTTGCGGATACATGAAGCTGTCTTGGAGTTTTCAATTGCAGCAAGGGGGAGGTCAGGCCATAGGAGGGGCAAGCATAAGCTTCCTCTGCCGTTTTGGCTCCAGCATAACACATCATTGGGCGGGTAGTAGGTCGTTTACTTAGAGCGGTGTAGCATGGGGATTCTGTGTAGCCTGAGCCCTGATTACTGTACTCGGGTAGTTTGTCCAAACATTGCCACTTCGTGTTGGGTCGTTGACTGAGAATATCTGGCTGCTGTCACTGTCGTTGCCCTGGCACTTTCAGTATTCTGTAGAGAAAAAGAAATGCCCCGCACCTCAGGCTCCCGGAACTCTGTCTGCTCCCTAGCAACGGCACGCATACAACCAGTGCAACAAAACAGGAGAAGAAATGCAGGAACCATGGCACGGTTTCCCAGCAGAGGACACTGTGTTGAACACCCCGGACCTGGATTTGAAAAATGCACATGTCCAACATACTCTGTCGCCATCAGTTCCAGGCTTGCGGCGAACGTATTACTGAAGCTACTAACTACTAGTTGGAGGGGCTCTGGAGCTCTGCAGTGAGCTAGTCAGAAGGGGTGGTGGGGTTCGACTCTGGAGGAGGGGCAAGCCGCAATTTCTTTCTTGGGGGGGGCAAACTGCACCAGGATTGGGACCGGATTCCGCCCAGGGAGTGCCTGGATGGCACTCCTGGTGGGCGCCGAAAGTCCCCCCAGGCCCCATCACAACCGGGTTGACTATTGGGCACAGAAGAGGATTTCCGTCGTCTGGATGGGCCCGAAGACCTCTTTGTTTTCCCTTGTCCCACCAATTTCCCCAGACTTCTCACACATTGTACTGTACTCCCTGTCTGCTTACTCGCAAGTACTCGTAAGTACTCCTAGCCTCTCCAACGTTCGCTCTGCCAGGCAGTTGCTGAGGAAGCAACTCATAATTCAATAATAATCAGCTATGGATCCAGATGGATTTTTCTCGAATGATGGACCTTGTTGAGTGGTGATTTATGCGAATGTTGTGGCGCACTCTAAGTATGCCAGACTTATGAGGAGAAGCAGCACCCAAACAGCCTTTGTGCAAACTCTTCCTCCCTCGTTCCAGCATACCCTACTAGCTTCGTCGAACCGGTGGAGGACGATGTTCGGATATCTCGTTCAGCTATCTCAAGCGAGACCGAGCATGGATTAAGGTACGGAGTGCCTGCCAGGCATGCGGACGGAGATGCCTCGTACTTGGATCACACCATACTCGGTACTTCATGCTGAAACGACTACGGCGACATTGCTAGTAACAAATAACGGGCATGCTCAGCTCAGCTGGATACCTCCGTACCATCATGCTTGATAACTACATGCCATATAAGGCAAACCACTGTAGCAACGGTGCAGTATAGTAATAAGGATTGTCTGTTCTCTGTTTCGGCTCTGGTCAAACTTTACCATATTCAAATAGTCTTATTATGAGTACACGGCGACGGAACGCTCGAGTAGATTCGTGTCCTTGCTTTTCATCCATGTCCTCTTCTCCAGCTTTCTTGCTTGCTGCAGCTTTCCACTCCACCCATCCTCCAGCATGGACAATAGATTGATTTCCACCAGATGCGCATCTGCGCCAGAGAAGACCGCTGTGGGCATTCGATGCTGGTAATCCAACACTCCATCAGCATTCCAATTCAACGACTCGATTGATCAAAAGAAAAAAAAAGGTGCAGGACTTGCGATAGACGCCCCGTCTCGCAACATATCCTTCATGACTCGCTCCAGCCCTGAACATTAACAAAAGGAACAGTATTCCAAACGCAAACTTGAACTTTTTGCGACGACTCATTCAAATTCAAAATCAAAACACCCTGTGCTGAGCGCCGCAATCGACGGGCAAGAGCCCCGGGAATCGATTGATCGATATCAGCAAAGACGCATCCTCCCAAGCTTCGTGACTCCCGTTTCATCACATGCCGCGCTAGACGCCGAAAATGCAGAACCTGAATGAGAAACAAGAACCGTGGTCGTGTATCTCATAATATTCCCGAGTCTTTCAGGGCATTCTGTAGAATCGTCTCTTTGACCGCGGCAAAGACAAGACGAATGTTCGTCGTATCGGTAGCTTGTGTTAGACTGTCAAGAAATCAGTAACAAACTCGATGCACAAAGGAGCCGCACAAAGGAGCCACACTGACTGAGGATAAAGATTGAGCTGTGCTCGATTCACTTGGTTGAAACGCCAGAGTAAATATTTGGCGGCCCGGTTCACGTCATTGCCGCCTGAGTAGTCGGGGAAGTAGTTGCCCAGAGGTGACCGACCGAGCTTTTCCTTAAACAAATCGACCTTGTTCAGGAAGAGAATAATACTCGTCCGCATAAACCATCGGGAGTTGACCACTGAATCGAAAAGCACTAGACTTTCCATCATTCGGTTCTGGAAGTGGGTTAGAGATCGAGTCTTACTGTGTGCCAGCGGGCAAGGGAGTCACGTACTTGATTCGCTTCTTCTAGAAGGACCTGGTCATATTCGCTGAGGGCGACACAGAAGATAATCGACGTGACATTTTCGAAACAATGAATCCATTTCTTTCGTTCACTTCGTTGACCACCGACGTCGAACATGCTTTGACATGTTAGCAATTGATCTCAAACCCATCCATGCCCTTTGAACTAACTGGATGCTCAGTTGACCCATGGAAAACCGTGTTTCATAGATCCCCGTCGTTTTTGTACGTGCGCGAAGAACGTCTGCTTCGTTAGGGATGTAGTCGGGTGCAGCCAGCCGTCTGACTTCGTCAAAGAAACTAATGCACGTCAGCTGGTATTTACCTGATGGCGAGGAGTGACCTACTAGGGCGCAGAATCCATGAGATAGAATTCACTCTGCCGTTCCATCGTCTTCGATGATGAGGGATCTTTCCAGATGGCTTCTACAGCATCTGCAGCCTTGGGGTCCAAGGGCGTGTCGGGATCTGGGTCCACATTATATTCTAGCAGGTATTCCACGCAGTCTTTGACCTCTTGAGTTTCGGGTTCAATCTCAAATTGCTGCATCGCGCCGAGCAGCGCCTTCATACAGTCGACTAGGTTTTTGTATATCGTGAGGCGGTAGAGCGCTCTCTCCTCCTGTGTGTAACCATTTTGATGGATGATTTTCATCTGCTTCACAATGGTGGACTTCCCACTCTCACCGGATCCTGCAAGAGCACAGTCAGGATCAGCTCTGCTCGAACGGGGCTGTGCTACACCTACCAAGAAGTAAGATTTTGCATTCTCGCCGTAGCCTGCGCGAATCTTGCTCGAGTTCCTTGTCTATAGCCTGACTTCTCTTCTTCTGTTCACTGTCCTCTGTCGACGCCTCCTTACTTCCACATGCACCCATATCGAATGTGAAGATGAGTGATAAGGCAGCGGCAGCGAAGGCGCTGCAGATGCAGCGCTAGATGCGGCTGCAGCTGCACAGAGAGCTGCACGGATGACTTGTGTGTTCGCGACCCGTGATCCCGGGGTAGTCGAGCTTGAGAGGTAATGCAGGAGGGATGGCGGGCGAGGCGCAGGGTTGGTATAATGGAGAATCGCGGTGGTGAAGCTCGAAGCCTGAAATGTCGAGGTGTTGGTGGATTTGGCGGTCGATTACATGGAGAGGTTGACGATGGGCAGACGGGGCCGAGACCAGGATTCGACGGAGCTTGGATGGATTCAGGGATTCAAGCGAAGAAGGGGTCGAGCGGGCGAAAGGGCAAATACAGGATCACAAGGGTGTTTATAGATGAGCAGTGGATCAGAGAAAGTGAGCAAGGTATGGAAAGATTGACAGGCTGGTCTGGCAGTGGAAGAGGAGAGGTGGTTGTGGTTGTGGTGGAGGTGATGGTGGAGGTGGTGTAGTAGTGAATGTGGCAGTGGGAGGCAGATACCGTACGAGTAGGCACTAGTAGAGATGGTGATCGGTTCCAGAGGAGGTTCGACAGCTGACAAGAGGCCCGAGAGGCACGAGAGGATCGTGGAGTGAGTAGCGGGTAGCCAGAGTGAGAGTAGAGCGGAGTAGCCGAGAGCGGGAAAGCTGGGTCGCTGAGCCAGCACGAGCGTCAGTCCCAGAGCCAGTGCTGGGCTCAGGGTGCTGGGCTCTCGCTGCTAAATGGGTATCCCCCTACGAGTACAGATACTCCTGGAGGTACTCGTATGCCGTACGAGGAAGTTAGCAACCGCTGTCAGTTGGCTGCCGGGCTGGAGTCGGCGTCAATCAGCAAGCTCCGTCTGTGGCTACTTGTAACTTATGGCTTAGTGGCCTGCTATGTGACGCCCTTGGCCCTGGGCCTTTCTAGTTGAACTGCTCCTCGTAGGCCTACTCGTAATTAAAGGTTGAATTTAGCTCTCCAGGTAGGTCCAAGGCTCTCGGTAGCTAGGAACAACCTTGGGGGGCAGACCCATCCCTAACAGTAGCGAAGAACGTGGTATCGCTCTGGCGAACTTTGGTCCCGACTACCCGCACGAGAGCTGGTCAAGACTACAAGTATTCTTCTCCTTAGGGGCACCCAGGGCACACTACGAGTACACAATCAATCAGAAACAGACTCGCAAAGCGGAGGCCTGAGTCTGTGGCTAGCAACTCACATTGAAGTGTGTGCAAGGTTGTTTTCCCGCAATTGTGAATCACCACTCCCACCAACTTCCTCAAGTCGAGCCGAAGTAGACTACTTTTCCACAAAGCCTGCGCCTCGACTGCTAGTAGTGGTAATTAGCCTCAGCTTGCCCGCATTCTCTCCCTCGTCTCAGGCTGATCTCAAATGCGCCCACACGATGAGAAGTGACGGGTGGTGAGTTGCTATTATTATTACATCTCTGGTTGCTGGACCATGTATCATTTCTTACGGAGTGCGGAGTACGTTTTCTTTTAAGTAACCCATCAGAGTGTTACAACTGCGTGCATGGCATGGCTCGCGTGGCTTCGGGGCAATTCTAAGGCCAAGGTGTGGTGGTGGGTGTCAGACAGAAGCAATCCCACATGGAAGCCTTGCCATTTGTTCCTCAATTGCTGATGACCAAGGACAATCATTTGCGGTCAGACTCTCCACAATACTCCGTGCTCCGTGAGGAATACGCCTATGTAGATGCATCACTGCTAGTCTGCCAGACAATATCACCACGAAGGCAATCTTCATTGGGCCCAAATTGGCTGTCTTGAGACAAACAGTCACTGGTGCTCAAATTCACTCTATAAAGGCCTTCGGAAAGCAACAAGTCACGCACACGCCGTAGAATTCAGATGCCTGCAGACCCAATCTGTGTCATGCAAGTTGAAATCTGCGTCCTCCACCATGCACAGCCTCATCGCTTCTGGACGCCTCAATGCTCTTTTGGTTAGGATGGATTTGTCACCTCAGAGTCAACATTCAAGAGCTTGGCTTTTCACTCTTGGTTCGAGCTGGAACGCCTTTCCCTCCTGAAATTGGAGTTGGCCGTTTATGCCGACAATACACCTCTTTTGAAACACTTCCACACAGACAACCGCTCGATGAACGTCATCGGCCTTGAGCCTCACGAGTACCATTTTCCAGCGAAACACCACGATGTTGTCATCCACAACTGAATTTCACACAAGCTGGGTTCGCCAACTGTCGACAATCCATCAGAATTATCATTCAATTGACTGACGTTACGAAACTAGCTGCAAAATGCACAGCCATTTTCCCCACAGGTAAGCTAGACGTCTCGATTGCATCGATGCAGGGTGTATCCCGAATCGGAAAGGATGCTGCTGAGCTACAAGGTGAGATTCTCTATTCAATCAACGACAAGGCTCTATTCCACTGCACAGATGTCAATTCAATCATGGACACCGACCAGAGCTTTCATTGCACCTTCAAGGATCACATCTGTCCTGAAGTATAAGAGCTTGAGCGACAATGGAAATCACACACAACCAAACTTAACAAGCCAACACTGCATACCTATTGTCACTCCTATAACAGTCAGAGAGACTGGCTATTTTCGACATGATGTGATTTTCAGCTGAACCTCAGTTTTTAGGTGCAACAAGTGCAATGGATTGATCTGACGGTTTATATCCATGGCTTCAGCAAGTGAGCTGGATCCTTGAGCAGGAACAGCTACAAAGCAAGTTGTAGTACCGATACTCTAAAGATGAACTCCGACAGATATCAATCGCTCACGTGGGTTTTTGGCATACAATTCGTTGTATCAGTTCAACTCCTATATTTCCAATGGGGTGGACCACTGGGCCTGAGGCAAGATGAACTTCGAAGAGAATCCATCAATGGCACTCCTTGAACGTGACCGAAGCAGATTGCATTCGCAACATCCTGTGCAGCCTACGATCGCAAGGCTACTTGTTAACTGAGGCAGTGATCAAAACTCCGGTGTCAGCCTTGACCTATAGAGTCTAGATGCAACCCCCGCGTTCAGGTGATGAGACATTGAGTGGAAAACAAAGGGAGAGAGATTGGATGGCCAAACCAAGGCTGAGAATTTCAGAGGGGTCGCACGGCATATTCCAAAAACGTCGAACATGAGTGTCAAGGCCACTCGAACAGGGGTGGGACAGTCCATTGGCGGCACCTTCAGATCCAGTTGGTGGAATCATATGTATTTAGAGAATGTCCTTTGGATTTCATAAATGTCCCAGTTTATTTGAGGTGGAGCTTGGTAGACTACCAGATATGGACTCTGTAAAGTGTAATTAGCGCGCATAGAAGGCTTGGACGGAGGGTCTCTACGGACCTGGGAAGGTGCAGACTACGTGAGCACGAATGAGCAGGTGGCAAGTGGGTTACATGGCGTGTTCGCAACAATCAAGATCGAGTTCACAGCCGTGGCTGGACGGGGCCGAGACCGCACGTTTTACTCCGTACTAGAGTGAGCCCAGGTCGAAGCAGATAGCAGTGGCCGCCCCCTGCCACTGCCCACTGCAGATGAATGCCAAAAGGTCAGAATCAAGTTTGGTGAGCAAGGATAATTGCTGACACATGGCGAACTCAGGTCGTGGCACTGTGAGACGTCAAGGATAGGCTCGTGGACGAGACGCTAGACATGCAATGAGCCTGGTGAGCCGCCTGGTTGACGGGATGAGCATAGCTCCTTCCTCCTACACCGCGCTTGACAGTTCAAGAAAATGTGTGAGGTCATCGCTGCAGTATGACGAGTCGTGCTGAGACGCGAGGAAACCTTAGTCAGGCAGGAGCCACCATTTGGGGTTAGGTAGACGACCTAGGTTGGAGGAGGTGGTGAGGGTACGAGCTGGAAGAGAAGCTGAAGATAGAAGGCGAAGGCAACCTTCTTCTCGAAACTATGTAAAAACCCCGTGTGTTTGCCCTTCGTCATAGGCAACTCGCCGAAAGACTGTCTCTCCCAGGCAAACCCAGAGATCGTCGATGGTCGAGGGATCAAACACAGGTACTTCGTACCTGCAGTTCACAATATATTTCATCCAGATCGTACCTAATGTCTATCATCAAAGTGTATCTGGAACCTGGAAGGGATTTCCGGGCGCTCACAAACTCACACAGAGGCAGCGAAGCTAAACACGGGCTTGGGAAAAACGTCGCCATGCCTAGTGCCCTGCCTAACCTAAACCTGTAAGCTTAGCTTGCCAGGCACTCCGTAACTGGAGGAGACCTGCTTAGCTAGAGGCTACTAACTCGTACTCTGTGCTCTGGACGACGAGACTCCGGCGACTCGACTTCCCGTGGAGCCGAAGCCCATGGAGGGGCGAGGGGTAAACTTCGAGGCCCTCGGGCCTGCGCTTTAATAAAAACTTGATTATTGCGGACATGGCATTGTCACTGCCACCAAAGACAAACACAGAATAGGGCAAGGATTGTACCCCTCGGCCTCACTGTACGGAGTCCTTACGTAGCGATGATCAACATCAACAATGATAAATTCAATAAACAAATCATTCACAGCATGTGTCGTCCCACTAGTACTAATCATTATGAATAATCCTCAACCGGAGGCAAATGGATTTGATGGGAAAGTAACGGGGGCCATAGAACGGCTTCAAGTTCCCCATACAGTCACCTACTGTAGTGGCAGGGACCGGTAAGTTGGTAGCTAGCTGGTACTGTACTCCGTCCTCGTAGTCCGGAGCCCTGCGGTCAGTGCAGCTTGGAGGTTGAATCTAAACCTGGGTAGTTCGATTGCCCCACGCACCAAAACACCATCTTCCTACGCATGCAACCGTACCAAGTGCCACTGAGAACCTCGTCCTTTTCGCCTGCAGTCCTGTCGGTCTCCTGAAACTTCGCCTGTATCGATCCAGCGGTTGCCATCCTCTCCCCTCCATCTCTCCATCTCCTCTTCGACCTCGTGCGTGTTTACTATCTCTCCCTTCTCGCCCTTGTCGCCGACCCGACCATCCGCCTTCGCACCCCTCGTCAAGGGTAAGCCACTCCCGGTGCTATTCTACACAACTTTTCGATCCGCACCTCCTTCGCCCTGCCGCCTTTCACCTCAAGTGGGACAAGATGGCAGAATTCGTACGAGCTCAAATCTTTGGAACCACCTTCGAAATAACCAGCAGGTAAAGAGACGATGGTTTCGCTGAGAAATAAGATAAAGACTGATTATGAGGCTCAAGATACACGGATTTGCAACCAGTGGGCATGGGCGCCTTTGGGCTGGTTTGGTGAGCAAAACTTGAAGGCTTAGGGCACGCAGTTGGCTGATCCTCGTGGAAGCTCTGCTAAAGATCAATTGACGGCTCAATCCGTGGCCGTCAAGAAGATCATGAAGCCCTTCTCAACCCCCGTCCTTGCGAAACGTACCTATCGAGAACTCAAGCTGTTGAAGCACCTTCGACACGAGAATGTGAGACCATGAACATAATATGAATGAGACAGACGATTAATTCGGGGCAGGTCATCTCGCTCAGCGACATCTTCATCTCGCCTCTTGAGGACATGTGCGCATCCCGCCCAACACATGTGACAACTTGGAACAGTTCACTGACCTGCAAATAGTTATTTCGTTACCGAGTTGCTCGGTACCGACCTCCATCGCTTGTTGACTTCCAGACCGCTTGAAAAGCAATTCATCCAATATTTTCTTTACCAAATCCTGGTACGCTGCTGATCTCCCGGAAGATCGATCCGGTTTAATTACGTCTAACTTATCACGTGCAGCGCGGTCTGAAATATGTCCACTCAGCAGGTGTCGTCCACCGAGACCTGAAGCCCAGTAACATTCTAGTCAACGAGAATTGCGATTTGAAAATCTGCGACTTCGGCCTCGCTAGAATCCAAGATCCTCAGATGACGGGCTACGTATCGACTCGATACTACCGGGCCCCTGAAATTATGCTGACTTGGCAAAAATACGATATTGAAGTAGATATCTGGAGTGCTGGCTGCATCTTTGCGGAAATGCTCGAGGGTAAACCGTTGTTCCCTGGAAAGGATCATGTCAATCAATTCTCCATCATCACCGAACTCCTCGGAACACCCCCACAAGATGTCATTGAGACCATCTGCAGCGAAAACACTCTCAGATTCGTCCAGTCTTTACCCAAGAGAGAAAGACAACCACTGAGCGCCAAGTTCAAGAATGCCGACCCGCAAGCCATTGATCTCTTGGAAAAGATGTTGGTATTTGATCCTCGGAAACGAGTATCCGCGATCCAAGGATTGGAACACGAGTATCTATCGCCCTACCACGACCCCACCGATGAGCCTGTGGCCGACGAGAAGTTCGACTGGTCTTTCAACGACGCCGATCTTCCCGTCGATACCTGGAAAATCATGATGTACTCGGAGATTCTTGACTACCACAACATCGATAATCAGGAGGGTGAGATGGGTAAAGGACTATCAGTTGAGCAGGCCCAGGCCGTCAACGGACAGACCGTCCAGTGAGCCGAGCAGTCATGCTATCCGGCTAAGTATGCTGGCAGGGCTTCAGGGGTCCGAGCGGAGGAGTTAACTGGGCTTCGTATGACTCGGCACGGAGGGACACCAGAGAAAGCGGTTTTTACTTCCTTGGGTCTTTTGATGAAATGATGAATTGCCACGATGATGGGGGATGTGAGTGGCGGCTGGGAATCATGATTGGATGGAAAATACAACATCCAGTATAAGATTGCGTTTTGGCCACATGAAAGGAGAGAGAGAGAGAGAGAGAGAGAGAGAACGCGCGCGAGTGCGAGAGTGCAAACATACCGCAGCGACATCCAAACCTGGTAGTTGAGGAGACAAAATCTGGAACAGACGAACAACAAACATCCAACGTGAAGTTGGATTTTCTGTCTAAAATTTAAGAAGCACCCTACTACAGACCCAGGCGGCATCGGGAACTTGTGCGTTGTCTGCCAACGCGCCCTCAACCGCGTGCAACCTCCCCTCTGTCGTCTGAGTAGGCTCTTTCTGCAGACTTGGATTGAACTGCGGCGTGTGTCAGGTATAGATAGACTCGTGATCGCTTTGATGATGTTAGCTACCTAAACTAGGCGCCAGCAGTAGTAAATTCATGAGTTGTGATCATCGCAGAAGCACGGGGTCAACTGTGGCTGCAACTTGTTCCAGCGCACCAGTTAGCAAATGCCATGATGCAGAGCCCATGGCGATGTTATGGGAGACCACTCCGCTGTGAAATACACAATCCCATCAAGCATGGCTCATTCCATCGCAGTTCATGTCGTCCAGAGGGCAGATGAATGCACCAAACCCCTCTCCGTTTGGTATCTAGCTCTGTGTTCCCGCCATTCATCTTCCCAATACCTTGCTCTATGGATGCTCCTCAGGAACAAGCAGAGTAATCAATGTTATAATAAACTCACATGCAGAGTGATGTGAATCCTTATCCCCTTTCAGCCTTGCGACCCGGAGTCCGTGCCCTTTCTGCCTACCAGTGAGCTGAAGTAAGATGTTACGACAGAGGAGGATTTGGGATCGCTAAGGCGCGGGCTTGAGAGATAAGGCTTTCCAGTTGTGGAGCCCCAGGCTGTGATGGTGGTGGTGGTCGCACTGGTGCTTGCTAGTGTGCTTGTGCTTGTGCTTGTGCTTGTGCTTGTGCTTGTGCTTGTGCTTGTGCTTGTGCTTGTGCTTGTGCTTGTGCTTGTGCCTTTGCTTGCATCGTTCCCGGATAGCGAGGTCTCCTTATCTGGATTCGAGGGGTTGGCTTGCTTTCGAGGAGGCAAAGCCGGGTTTTCTGTCTCGCCTTTGACAGTGTTCGACTCCGGTTGAAGCGATGGCATCTTCACAATGGCATGGGTCGGTACCGTTAGCTAGGGTTCTTAGAGGGTGCCTATGGTTAGGAGTCGAGGCAATGACATGCAAGTACGGATGATAGTTGGCAGCTTGAATGATGATGCTTCAGACCAACACTGAATGATACCTAGCTGAACAAGGCATCGAGTGGAAGTGCGCGTAGAGTGAAAGACCAACCAGGTTCTTTCAGAGTATGAGTTCGCATCGAGGAGTGAAGGGTCGTCTCCTGCCCACGTGTTTTGGTATTCCAGGCACGCTTTGGTGGCGACTGCCCCGTCATGCATTGAGCGAATTGGCGCGTTCCCTCCTCTCAACACTCACCTTCATCGTCTGTCTCACACTCGACTCTCAGCAAGGCGGTGCTACTCACTGGGTGGGGGGGAGTGATACATCTCCCACCATTAATTTCAAGGTCCTTGCAGACAATCAGAAATCTAGCCATCTTTGGTTCTGGGACCTTCAAGGGCGTACAGAGTAAATAAAGGATTCGAAGGGATACTGCTAATAATAAATGGACGGAGCAGGTGCCACATGTACATGTACGAGTAGTTTGCCTCGGGTTACCATGAAAGATATCTATCTACCTTAGGTTGGTTCCTGGGTGTAACCGCCGAGACCATGGATAACCTAGGTACAGAGCAAGGCCTCGGCCCGTATCCGGTCTTTACTGTAACAAAGTATCTTACCCATACATACTGGTGTTTCATACGGAGCACTCTTCACAGCACCGCGGCTATTACTAGTAGTACGAGTACATTCAACACGCACTAAATCTCGCTACTAGATCGTGACGGCGAATCTTGCATGCTTCAACCGGTGCTACTAAGTACATAACCACACTCTGCCATGCTAAACAACATATCCTCTCCGCATCCGCCCTCTGGCTCCCACTTCCACTCACCCACAACCGACCTCTATTGTACGCGCCATTGTGACCTTAGAACATTGTCCTAGGAATCCACGTCTACAGCTCGCGGACTACAATTCTTCACACATTGACCAAGATTTCCACTCTACGAGTACCATGGCCGCCCCACCAACCCCCAGCCAGGCACTTGCACCGAGCACTCATCAAATGTCCGTTACCGAGAAGCTAGATCTTCCACTGGGGCTGGCCTCCCTCCGTATGTATCTTGACTTGCCTCTTCCCTAACGTGTTGGGCTGATTGCAATCAGTGGGAACTGCCATCTACACTGCTGTAACTTCGCCGTTTCGTGGGGATTCTGGAGCATATTACTTCGGCCAACACGTCAGCAATGCCGTGATTCGGAAGGTGGGCATGCCATTACTCCTCCTGCTCTCGAAGTTCCACTCAGTGCTTTGCCGTCCAGCTTGTCCGGAGGTTCAGCACCCTACAATTGCAGTCTGTCGTCTAGTCCCGCCCTACATGGACTTCTGGCTGACATTCCACAGGTACATTGGCCAGCCCTTTGGCAAGATCTACGAAAAATGGTCTCAGCAAAACAATCTCCCGACAGAGACTTTCCAGCTAAAATCTGGAGTCAAAGCATTCTGGCTGGGTGATCACAAGGCCGCCAAATACATTGTTATCTACTCCCACGGTGGAGGCTTCTCTCTCGACGGTGACGACACCCATATCAGATTTTGGAACACCGTGCAAGATGGACTCAAGTCAAGCAACATCCCTATCGCTACCTTGTTCCTGGAGTATACCCTGGTGCCACACGCTACTTACCCAACCCAGATCTCCGAGGCTGTCGAGGCTGTGAATTATGTGCTGGCAGATCTAAAACGGCCAGCTTCAGACATCATACTCGCTGGGGACTCTGCTGGTGGAAACATGGCTCTAGCCATTTTGTCTCATCTAACTCATCCTTCTCCTGACCTTCCCCCAATCACTCTCTCCCCAGGGGACAAACTCAAAGCACTTGTCCTCATTGGCCCCTGGACTTCGTTCAGGACAGATTTCCCTAGCGCCACACGTAATGGATTCAGGGACCTCGTCACCGTCGAGGGCGGTAGCGCTTGGAGCAAAGATTACCTAGGAGGGAAAGAGACGGGTCCGTATGCCGAAGCGCTACTCGCCCCAGAGGACTGGTGGAGAGATGCAAAGGTCGAGCAACTCCTCGCTGTTGCTGGGGCCGATGAGCTTCTCATCGACCCGATTAACGAATGGTTTGCCAAATATAAGGTCAGTATCCACGACTTCAGCTGTGAGGAGACAGCGAGGTCAGTCGAGTGACAGAATACTGATGAGTAGCTGGACAGGCGGCGAATCCTACCTCCTCGACCCTGGTGGTGGCCCCACACGAAACGCATATACAACCCATCATTGCCCTGCGCTTTGGCGACACTACTGAAACAGAGCAAGGCAAAGCCATCAAATCATGGTTGAAATCAAAGCTCTAGACTGCAGCGTGTGTTTCCAGACTAGGGTTATTGTGGAAGACGGCCATAAGTCATCAGACAACCATATGGTGTCCCTTGATCTTTGAATAGGCGGCTGACTGGACTTTCGTTCCAGCGCTGGACTACGACTTCACTGTGAATACGATGTCCGCCATTGACAGCATCATCTCTCAACTTCACAGTTCAGGGACGAAGAAATGGCAAGGCGGATCAGCTGTTCTAGCCGAAGATACCAGTACGCAGCTGGTTGTCGGTATTGACTTGATCCACATCTATACACGTTCACCCTGCATTCTACTCGCGCTTCCCACGTCAAGGCTCTGTGACTGATTTACTGACTCCTGCTCTGGTCCCACTTTATGATTTTATTCACTACATGCAGCCATTTTATGATATTCCTCGAAACTCACAATTTCTTCTAGTATTCGTTTGTTCCTGTTCGTCCTCTTGACAATTCCACATGTCACACGCTGACCACTTGTCATACACTGTTGGCACTTGGAAGCCTCCTAGGAAGCATGAAGATTGTCATGTGCACCACAGCATCTGGACACCTAACAGTTCCCTCACCAATTCCTCCCTTCCGCAACGCGCTCATTTATCGGACTTGCCATTGTGCCTCAGTACCCTGTTACCACACCCTTCTTGCCACTGCGGTCAGGAGCTCAGAATGGAGTTCCCATTCAATCGGAGTTCACAGAGTCGGTCTATCCCCACGACTTCCAACGGACGAACCCTTTCCTCGTCATGGCGCTCGATCTTCCGTCGAAGGAGACCGTCAGCAAGTAGCACTGAAGCATTTTATCCAACACGATACCCAAGGTCAGGTCCACTTGATCAACAACATATGGTGTCATATAAACAGAGCTACTTGCCTCAACACCAAGCACTCGGCCGTTCGAGTTCGATCCTATCTTGGTCCCCATTCCGCAAGAAGGACCGGATCGAGACTGATTCTCTGAATCTAACAGCTGGAGACGTTTACCAAAAGCGGAAAGCGGAAAATTCTACCATACCACACCTATATCCCAGCCGATCTAAAACCATTGACACCCGCACGCAAATAGCTACAATTACTCCTGTACTGCGTTACCCTACGGATAAGTGGCCTGACACTCATCACAATTTCCAGCAGGTGGACTTTCAGTCGCCAATAGGCCCTGAAGAAGCATCGGAGGCTATATTTACACTCACCGAGCCACCCAACCCGGAAGCGAGGATCACGGTTCAATATTCGCCTCGGAAAAGTTCATGGGATCGCACAGAGCGACGGATGAGTCTCGATGCTAGCGTACCTATTATTGGGGATCTTGCTGAACATGACTCGGACAAGAGAAACGAAGTTTTCGCTCGGGTTGATGCCGAGGGGTGGAATCAAAGTATTCCCAAGCAATGGGTCGACAATGGATTTAGCGAAGAGGGTGCCAAAACAACGGCAAGCCGAAGCCTTTATTCTGGCGATGACTCTGGAGATTCTCAGAATGGAGGGCAAGTTGAGCAAGCAATGTCAACGCTGCAAACAAAAGTCGAACCTGAGCGCCGATCTGAATCTTCTTCGAAGGCGACCTCGAGGCTTGCGAAAACCTCAAATCCTCGTTTCGTTTTTGAAGATTGCGACGATGAACCAGAGCAACGAAAAACGCAGTGTGGATCTCACGAGGATCAAGTCTGGTGGCAAAATCTTACAAAACCCCTCTGTCTATGTTCCACTCCATATCATCAGACCCAGGAATGCCCAGCGAACCGCCTACCGCGTGCCATAGAAACAGTGTCACAATTCAAGAGATCAGGCAATAACACAGCACCTCATCTTCGGAGTTTACTTCCCAGTGACTCCAGCCAGAGAAGGGAACTCATCTTCTTGAGCAAGAGTTATGATGCAACAAGGTCTTCTACAATTCCACCATGCTTGTTACAAGAATCTAGGATGTCACCGCAGAATAAAGCTCGCAGAGCGGTGGACGAGTTCTTCAACGTCGCGGACACGGAGTCGTTGTGTCCACCTCCACTTAGACCCAGACACGAGGAATCGAATTGTGACCAAAGTCGCAAACCCAATATTGAAGCCAACCGTCAGACTACGATCCATCAGTCAGATAAAAGGTTGCTGATGTCACCGGGCAACGTGCGTCTAGTGCCTGTCATCTCGGAGTTGCATGTGGAGGGGGAGGTCACTGGGTCGCCTGACACGTCATGGGAGAGTATTCAGTGCGCGGGGGAAGAAGAGATAGGTCGGTACGACAGCAACCCTGAGACTCAAGTTGAACCGTGGACAACCGCCAACAGTGGACCCAAGCATACCAACGACTCTATAAGAAATCCAATGGGGCCAAACCAACGATCTGATTTTGTTGGAAATGAGCTGGAACAGAATCCCAACGATATTCTGGATCTATATTTCACCGAGGACGAGGCTGAAGGCGATTCTGGGTACGCCACCAGCCGACAGCTGAGCCTCAAGGACTGGGGTAAAGGAACGAGCCCGGAACCAGAAGACAGCGACCAAGCTCCTACAACGGCTCTGCGATACCACAATCGCAACGGATGTCCCTTTCCGCCTCGTATCCCACTGGCCCAGGCTTCGAGGGGGATGCCGGACTGCCGAAGAGATCATGGTGGGACGGAGGACAAGCCATGGCAGCACGAGGAATCAACATTGTCGACAAGGACAGTAACAGCAACGCCAGTCACTCATCTCAGACCCTCGGTCCTGCGACAGCACGCTCTCTTCTCAGGAGATCACCCACAAAGCCCTGGTAGCCGGAGATGGAACGGAAGTGTGGGAGAAAGGAGGGAAATCAACTCCGGTGCAAGGCTGCCAGTCACCCACATCGATGAATTCGGTAATACCTGGATTTGATATTGGGGCTTGTTTTCTAATGTTCAGCCTTAAAACGTTGGAAGGGCCTTCCAGTGCTGAGCCACCTCTCTTAGCTTTGGAATTGTCGTGGAGCATGCTCCCACCAATCCTTGCACGTTTGCTAATGTCTGCTTTTGGGGCACGATCACATCACTGCGTCCTGTACATTTCCCTATTTGAACATCTGCTCTTGGACTACAAAGGAGCGTGGTGATTGTAAAGCAGATAGAGAAAAAGTGGAGATCAAGGCCTTTTTTTTCTCGCTTTAGCTGCGGATTTTTCATTCTTCATACGTCTTCATATTCTAATCCACTGATATGGTAAAGCCTTCTTTGCGCTATGAATTCCCCCTCTCGCTCTCCGGGTCTTCGCGAGCAAGACTCACTCACCAATTAGGCAAGGCGTGGAGAAAGCCAGTAAAGTTAATCCTCACAAGAAACTCTGGACCAGCTTCTTGAGCTCCGGCTCCGACAAGCCGGGCAGACCCAGCAGCTCATTGTCGTTCTGAGCGGACCACTCGCCGCCAAAGCCCTCCTGGAAAATGGCGCTGAAGATGAAGCTGACCATGATGGCACCGATGTTCTCGGGAGCCTTGCCGGACGACAAGGCCTTCAGGCCCTCCTGGCGGGTGGTTTCGGTGTCGACGGGCGTGGTGGCGAAGTCCTTGCCGTCCTTCTCCTTCGCGTAGGCGATCAGTTTCTTCTGTGTGGTGCTCACGTCCTGGATATAGACGGCGCGGTTTTTGGTTTGGGCCTGGTTCTTGATGATCGCCGCAGTGGCTTTCCCGATCGTGGCGAGGGTGGTCGCGCTGAACGGCCGGTCGCCGCCATTGAAAAGCTTCGCGCTGTGGTCCTTCGGCTGGATGATGAAGCCCACCGCCATGCACCAGTCGAGGAAGGCCCCGTTGTAGACCCGCGTATAGCTGAACGACGGGTTCTTGGCCGCGACCTCTTCCAGATACTTGGCCGTCGCGACCTTCGCGCCGAAGACGGGTAGTGCCGCCGTGTTGGCGTTGTCCAGGTTGCTGCCGAACTCGGAGGGCAGGAACCGCTTCACGCCTGCCGCCACGGCGGCGTCGATCAGGGGGGTTTGTGCCCCCAGAGCTTCGCTGCCCACTGTGGATACGACGGCTTCGACGCCCTGGAGTGCCGGGATCAGAGACTCGACTGAGCTGTAGTCGACTTCTTTGACGGCGATGTTCGGGTTGGAGGGGATTTTGCTTGCGTTGCCGCCCTTACGGGTCAGCACTACCACGGAGAACCCGGCGTCGAGGAGGGCGTTGAGGATAGACGGGCCTAGGTTGCCTGTGGCGCCGGCGAGTGCGACTTTCGTGCCTGACATGATTTTGCTTTTGTTTTTGGGATATGGAGGGGAATGAAATGGAATGTGCGTCGAGGGCCGGAATCGAGGATTGACCGAACGGGGTTTGTAGGATCGAAGATATAGATTGATAGATCTGTAGGGCAGGTGGGGCTCAAGATGGGGTTGTCGTAGGATGGCGTTTGATGTGGAGTAACTGTCGTTTTTCCAGCTGCAGAGACCGAGAGAAGAGACTCTTTGTTGGATGGTGAAGGTAGAAATACTTCATTGCCAGAGGAGCGAGCCTACCTTATATAGTTGTTCTCGAAATTACGAAGTGAATCGACAAAGAGGAACGGCTGTCCATCTGCCGTGAGGCTTTCGGATCAGGGGTCTAGATTCCTAAACTCAAATGCCTCCTTCTCGATGTCGATTGCAAAGCAAGTAGTCGTAATGGCGTCATGCCTAGATCGGCAACAGACTCGGGGGGATGTCAAAGCTTGCTAGAACTTCCAAGAGTGAAATGTAGCCGTTGGAACTAACAGCCTTGCCGTCCAACCCTTTGTCGGGGGTCGTTTCTTTGAGGGCCTCGGGCAATCAGGAATGGATGGTGTGACAAGGCTACACGGGGCTGAAAAGAGCTTGGTGGAGTAATTAATTGGTGGGTTGCTGCTACAGGCGTCCACAGGGAAGGACTTAGCGGGGAATGTGATGAGTAAGAAAACATGTCTAAGCTCTTGTCCCACTCGTAGCGAAAGGATTCAGAGGCTGGTTATCGTCGTAAGAAGGACAGGGGGAAAGTCTCCGAAGCGGATGGATTTTCCTCCGAGTTTCAACGCATATGCACCAGCAGCGCCACAGCTTGGTCATTGTCAGAAGGTAGAATGCGAATTCCGCCGTGTATGGTGGATACATGCTATGCCATTAATCAAAATAGGTTCCATACATGAGACACCGGTACCGTGTATATAACAGTGGATAAATAAGACAACACGGCCGCAAATTCCGCTTCAGACAGGAGATTACGAGGGTACCCCTTCGTAGTCCCATCCATTATCTCCCCGTCGTCGGGTCCGACTATTCCTCCGGTTCTCGTTGCACTTGACCAGCAGAGTCAACACAGTGAGGATCAGCACGATCAGTGCGGCAATGGTAGGGATCAGGACATTTCTCTGCCTCATTTCCTCCCCATTGTCCGTGTATGGACATGTCGCATTTGGGCCTTCTGAAGTCCAGCAGTCCTCAACATCCAAAGAGTTGAAGTTGATCCAGACGCCTTTCATCTTCAGCTCTGCCTCATTGCCCTCGGCCGATCGCGAGTCGTTCAGGATTTTCTCGTATAAATACGTGTTCTCAAGCCCAGTTCTGGGAAGATCAAAGCGTGTGTCATTAGGACAACTTTCCGTCGCGGCTCCAAAAGATACCTCCATCTGGGAAAGGCGCCAGAGAAATGGCTGTCCTGATATCCGACACGCTGCGTACCGCTTCTGCTGGCAGTCTTCTACTCGCCAGTGGCCCAAGTATCCGCTGGTAGAGTCAATAACCGCGCACCTATACTGATCATCAGCCCCCTCGGCATTAAAATCTGGAGCTGAAGCGTTTCGGGGTTCTCCTCTTGCCCATCCGAATACTGCAGCTCTAGCGAAGTCCCGGTACGGTTGGAGGTTACTTAGCAAGGCTGACCCTGTAAGAGTAGTGTTCAACATGGTAGAGATCCCACAACGAGTAGCATTGCTGATGATATCGGACAAGGGGTCCATGGTGGACTGGTTGATTGTCGCAATTGCCCAAGATGAATTGTCTCGAGCTATCGAGAATACATCGGGTTGATAGAAACATGTAGAGCCGATGCCACTATCGGCATTGATGATTGTCGATGAGTTTGCATTGATATAGCCACTAGGAAACACTCGTCTAGAGTCCCTTCGGAAATCATAGCCCTGCATCTGTGGGTCAATCTGGCCCCAGCCCACGAGTAGACGTCTATTATCAGTGAGGAGAATCCATGACTCTCCAGGCCAGCCGTCGGGGGTTTGAGCAATGTTGTCCACGCCTCTTTGTACTTTGAAATAAGTTGTTTCAGTGCCCATGCTGTAAGAATCGCGGTACCAGGATTTACCCAGATCGAATCGATCAGCCTGCAGCATTTCCGGGGTGTAGAGTGCTCTTGGAAACGCTGCTTCTAGTTGCGTTCCAATCAGTTCTTCAAATCGAGGTAAATGTGCACCGGTAGATGTAAGGGCGGGATTTGATGGGGAAGTAAAAGGGGCGGCCGCATGCAAATTTATATCCAAAAGTGCTAGCCGTACTGAAACCGTATCAGATGTATTTTGGAAATATGACCCGTACAACGAGATGATTGAATCCAAAGTCAGATCCAGACTGCATGTGTAGGAGCCAAGTTCGAGCAGCGTAGAGCCATCGACCCCGGTAGTGGTTGGGATAGATGTGGGCATGGTGGCTGTGATACTAGGTGCTAGACTAGTTGTTGGCGTGGTTGTAGTATTCGATATATCTGACTGGCGTTTAATAAGAAAGGAGCCATTGCCGTTGGGAGTGTCGCTAGGATTCGAAGCTGAATCGGTGGAGGAAGTTGTAGCAGTTAGTGAGCTCAGTGCAGACACATCGATACTTATGCCACTCGTAGCATTCCCGGACAGGGGGGGCAGTTCAACAGGGCATAGATTGAACTGTCGGTTGATAGTATCCCAATATACATCGATGACAAGGCGGTGGAATTCAAGCGCTAACAGGTTAGAAATGCAGGTTTGCGCCGGGATATCATCGTAGACTCCATCGGCGAAGCACGCTTTTGTCAGAGAGACTGCCGGATGAGTGATGAAATTGATCGGAACCACTGATGAAGCGTCTCGTGTTGACTGAAGGAAAGGAGGCATGAGCCTTCGCAATGAGAGTTTATACAGAGATTCATACTTACCAGGTACACCGCGCCCCATTTGGAGTCTGGTACGGCATCATCATCGGGGTCAAACGTTAGGGACATTTGCTACGCCCCGGCACAAGCTTCAGATCATTACTCTGAAGCACGCGCCTTGCTTTACTTCTTTTGTGTGTCCATAGGATATGGAGCTGAAGGCGCGTTGTCTTGAAAGGAGACCAGGAGTTACTGAAACCGTGCTATTGAATAGATAATATGTATATGTCGACGATATGTTGCTTGAACTGCAACGCGGGGGGTATCTTTGTGATTAATATACCTAAGACTGTTGATGAGAATGAGAATGAGATGCTGGTTGACGGTTGATGGTTGACGATGATGCTGGTCTTCGGCTCCAAGCAAAAAGGGAATGCACCGCCACAGAAAACGATCGCACGTGAGGCTGGGATGAGGCTGAGGCTGAGCCAGAGAACTGACGCTCGTGGACTTTTTGACACATCGACATTATTTCCACCTTCCACGCTGTACAAATCCATCCAGCCTTTTCTTGACACCCTACCCTCTTCACTTGGCCGCTCCTTTCCATCCCGCAGACGACGACACATATTTTTGATTACTCTTTGCCTACCTACCTTTCTCTTCCGACCTATCACCTGGATTTCCAACCCACGTTATCACGCACCCCTCCTCGCAGCCGCCACCTCTCTAGTCATCACCATCATGTCTCAGCCAGCACCCCCTCCGGGTATGCCTACCCCTCAGCAACTTCAGCAGATGATTGCAATGGAGGCTCAGAAGCGTGGCATGACCGTCCCTCAATTCCAAGCCTTCCAACGCCAACAGATCGAAGCCGAAGCCGCCAAACTGAACATGTCCCCCCAGCAGTTCATTCAAATGAAACAGGAAGAGGCCAGACAGGCTTTCCAAAGACAGCAGGCTGCGCAACAGCAACAGCAAACGGGCCAACCTCAGCCACAAGGCCAAGTCCAACACATTCCTGTCAACGGGGAGGTCGAGGCCAAACCCGAGGCGCTGGCTGTTGCGAAGTTCCTGCGATCGCAAGATTTGAAAACAAGAACCTGCATCTTCAACGGCCAGAGGAAAGACATGTTCAAAGGTAAGGATTTGGTGGGTCAGCATACTCGCGCTCACAGCTAACGGGTGTCTAGTGAAACGGGCATTTCGCGCGCTCTACTCCGATGCTTATAAAAAGGCTCGCACCAAGGATCCTCTCCTGCCAAAAGTCGAAAATGAGATGGAAGCCCGTCAAGCTGTTCAGCTTCTCCCTCTCTCAATGCTGGCTTTGCGTGTGTCTAAAAAAGACCCTCACGAGGGGCATAATCATGCCAAACCAAAGAAGGAAAAGCGTGTCAAAGGACAGTGGGAGGTCAAAATCGAACAACAACAGGACTTTGAACCTATGATGCACTATGTCTGGCTATACGAGGGCTCCCAGTGGAAGACCAAGATTTGGGCTGGTGTGGTTGTCCTTCTTGTTTTCGCAGCTATCCTCTTCCCACTCTGGCCCCTGGTTTTGAGACAAGGAGTATGGTATCTGTCAGTTGGCGCGATGGGACTTATTGGGTTATTTTTCGCCATGGCGATTTTCCGACTGATCCTGTTCGTCTTCACATTCTTCCTTACTCCTCCAGGCCTCTGGCTTTACCCGAATCTGTTCGAGGACGTAGGCTTCTTCGATAGCTTCCGTCCAGTATGGGGCTGGCATGAAACCAAGGAAGACATCAAGAGAAAGAAGCATGAGAAGAAGGCAAAACGTGCTCAGAAAGCCGCCGCCGCTGCTGGTGAGAAGCCCGCGACCATTGTTGCGGAGACTGCTACCGCGGCGACTCCTTCAAATGGCACTGCGGTCACTTCTGGGTCTGAGGCGGTTGTGGTGTCCGTTCCGGCAAGACGACATGCGGCCCCGACCGTAGAAGAGGCCGATGATGAATGAAGTGCTTTCTGCGTTAAGGCGTATGTTGGCTGTAACAACACGCATGATGTGGCGTTCTAGGAGTGTATCCGAATGTGATCGGACATGGCATGATGTCAGATCGCGTAAGCCTGCGTTAATTGAATGGTAGAACTTTGTCCCATTTTCCCTTTTCTCAAGTCGTTTCCAGGAGTCTTGTTATTTTTTCTGCGTTCGTCGTTGACCTTGGGCTTGATTGCCCGAGTTGCTTGTTCGCAGGTCTGCTGCCCGTCTCCGCCAGCCTTGCAGAAACCCTTGCAAGCAGGACTCGCATTCGATCCAGTTCTTGACTCAACTCACCATCTCTGGTGACAAGGTTGGGCTGAATGTTTGCCACTGGATCTTGCAAGGGATCGAGCATCTTGTGCAACTGCTGATATTGTGCAACTCTCTTTTTCAGCGCATCTCGCTCCTGGCTCAACTCTAGCAATTTCTCTCGTGAGTCCTTGTACTGCGTCCCTTCGTCATCCTGCCGTAGGTGATCTGTGTGGAGATGGAGATCAGCGTAATCTTCGGGCAAGTTTGCAATCGTGGAGGTGTCTGTGAGAACTGCATCACGCCGGACGACTACGGTGTCGATTTCTGCATGGTCTTCTGCAGCGGTGACTCGATTCCAGTACAGGGTCTCGATCTGTTCGGCGACATGGCGTTGCGACTGGGCTGAGAAGATCATGCGGTTGTGCTGCTTGACTTTGTCGTCGACTGAGTTGTGTTCGCGTCAGCGAAATGGCAGTGAAAAAGAGTGACTGCGCTGCTCACCCTTTGACACAATGTCTTGTATTGCTTTCTCACTGAGTCGGCCGTCTGCAGGCTCCGGGGCAAAATCCCTCCACGTTGTTGATGGCTGCAGTGGAGCGGAAAGATGGCGGACTTGAGATCTGATGAATGCGGCCTTGATGCCAGTGATGGAATCTTCATCCATGGTTGTGAGAGTTTTGGGAAGGGCGACAGCAGGATGGGACCAGCGTTGTAAGATATGACTTGTAGCCTGCAGAACCGTGCTTGCCCCCCTGCCCCCCTGGGCCCCCCTTCCAGTATTCATAAACACGCGAGGAACGCGTTCGAACGCGCAATACGGCAGATCATCAACCGCGATTCAATTAGAGATGCGCTTTAGAAATGTATGCTTTGAAGTAAGGATGTCGGCCCGATTCGTCCGATACCTCGGTTAAGAATAACAAGTCGTCCATACCCGGACCTTTTCCTCCAAGACGAAGATTAATCAATTGTCATTCATATATTGGCTTGCCGTTTGGTGAAACCACAAGAAGCGGATTTGATCTGAGTCACTCAACACCCAGGTACACATAGACTCTCTAGAAAGTGATCCAAGAGACAACCTCGACTCTGTCCTGACCATGGGGTCACCATCGAGGCCGAAAGTTCTACTATTTGACATTGGAGGTGTCTGTGTAAGCCATACCTCTTCCGAAACAGTTCAAGCACTCACCCTCGCATAATCCATTGCAATCTAAAACGTCGAGGGTCCAGGACTGATCCAAACATAGGTAGTATCTCCATTCCAAGCGATCCTCGACTATGAAATCGCACGGGGCATACCGAAAGGCTACATCAACTTTTCCATCCGGGAGTTAACACCAAACGGTGCCTGGCACAAACTGGAAAGGGGAGAGATCCCCAATGATGCCAACTACTTTCGAATGTTCAAGGCTGACCTGGAGCGACCTGACTTGTGGGCCAAGTTTCACAAGGAGAAGCTGAACGTCTCGGACGGCACCAAGATCCCATCTGTGCCAGACATTGACGCGGAAACGCTGTACTGGACCATGATGAGCACGTCTCGAACGCCAGATCCGCACATGTACCCGGCTCTGAAGCGATTAAAGGCCGACGGAAGGTACAAGCTGGCCGCGTTATCCAACACCACCATTTTCCCCGAAGGACACGAATTCAATAAAGTCGGACCCGACGACGTCAAAAGCATTTTCGAGATCTTTGTGAGCAGTGCGCACGTCGGGATGCGGAAACCGAACCGGAATATTTATGAGTACACTTTTAAGCTCATCCAAGACACTTGGGGTCATGACATTCAACCACAAGATGTCGTGTTCACGGACGACATTGGGGAGAATCTAAAGACGGCTAAAAGTGTTGGATGGAGAACCATCAAGGTTACGCTGGGAAGAATAAAGGATGCGGTCAGGGAACTAGAAAAGGTCACAGGCCTGGATTTACTGGAGGGAGACGAGATCAAAGCCAGGTTATAGACCATCGACTCCCGGATTTTAGAGGGTCCCTTTTGACAGAAGTACATAGAATAGAGCATCTCAGACATGGTTCGCAAGCAACTACGTGTAGTGGGTGTTGGGCTATGGTTGGGGGATTTTCATGTCAGCCTCGCGATCGGCTTGCTGGACGGATAAGTCACATACCATTCTCAACAGGATTATTCGAGCAATAGCAGCCACATGCAATTGATCGATGCTCCAAAGTCTACTTGGATGGACCATGAAGGCAACCTAATCAGACACGACACAAAGTTGAGGAAGTGATGCGCGAAAATGGTTCTACATAGCTTTGCGCCTGAATCGTACGCCCTTCATGAGGATAACTCGGAATTCTGACAAACCACGACCCGCCAGGCCAGCACTCACGTGCCGCGGCTCCACGAGCCTCGACCGATCCGCCAATTCGAATCTTCTTGTTTGTTTGTTCCTTTTGAGGTGGTGGAACCTCAAGGCTCCATGATAACATTCCTCATTGCTCCCCGAGAGATCCAAGGGTAGGGATTCAGGCCAGAAACATGGCTCCATGGATCTAATTTGTGATAAAAAGAGTCGACTCTTCCTCCCCTGAATGTCTTTCCAAGCGCATCATCCTCCAACCGAGGAATCAACAACTAAACTAATTAGCGTACTTACACCTGGGAATGATCTCGAAACACGCAGCGCATCGTATTCGTACTTTGAATGTGGTTCCCCAAAACGCCATTTTTCCGGCCAGTGTTCGGGCTCTCCTAGGTCAATACGCGATAGCTTCGCAACTAATCAGAGAGCCGAATCCCGGGACTTCACGCCTTTCGACATGAGATGCCTTGCTCCCCTTTGCTCCAGACTGAGCTTGTTCTCCAGTCCTCGGGTACAGTCTACTAGTATCGATTCCACACCCGAGGTGATGACAAAATGGGTACGAGGACACGAGGCTACATTTTTTGAGTTGTCCTAGGTCTTAATAATGACTCATCTCCTTGTATCCTCTCTCAAGCAATCCAATCTTGGGATCGGGAGGGGATAGCTTCAGAATGCTTCCGTCGAAGCCGTTGACTTGCTCAGCCCCTCTCTAGATGCTGCTCTTTATCTCATGTTGACGCATATACATATTGACTTCGTCCCTAGCGGGACAGTTCACTAATAGCTTGATAGATCAATTCCGAAACACGTAAGGATCAGAGCGGAAGGGCATCACCACCTTCAAAATAAGGCTAACCAGCAGGTCCACCGTACACGGTCTCAACTCAATCACCTCCTGGTCGGGCATCTCTCGGTAAATGGGCATCTGGATGTTTGCCCGCCCTGAATCGACAACGTGAACGAAAGAAACTCCGAGTACTGCCAATTCCACCCACGGATTCGCTGCATATATGAGTTCAATGACTCTTTCTTGCTCATTATATATACGCGACACGTCTCACCGCCGTTCAACGACCTCGACCTTTGTCTCATTAACTTCCCTCCTCTTCGTCCTGGTTGGTCCGAGCAAGACCTCTCAACTCTCATTGCTATTATCCTCGTCCACCCAAGCCAATATGCCCGACCGAATCAAAAGATCCTAGATCGAAAATCTCCCTCACAAGACCGACGACCTCTCTGCGTATCGACGGCCCATGAACGGAGCAGCACCATCCGATTCGAAACATCTTCCTGAGTTTCCACAGGTCGGTCTTTCGCACGACAATACGTCACATGAAGCGAGCCCGCAGCTGGGTAAGCAAGCCTGTCAAGCAGATTCGGGTTGTGATGAGGAGCCGAAGCCAAAGCCGGAACCCACGGATGTCGATTTGAGATCAAATTATACTGTACGAGGCCAGCACCCAAACCCGCGACTTTTTGATTTTCAATCCAGGATCATTGGATGCGCAGTCCTATGAGCGCCGTATCAGGTGCAGCGCCCTTATCAGAAGGTACATGCAGGGTACATACATGCGTCCCATAGGTGTTGGAGAACCCCTTTCACCACCTCACCGAGGTACCTGGAAACCCCAAATGCACGCGCCGCCCACGTCTGCCACTCCGAGTGTCGTTTTCCCCCAAGGGTTCCCGTGCACCAGCGTATATCGCTGAACATTCGACACAAGGCCGAACAAAATCAAGGAAGCCCACACACTTTGGCCTTTGAGAGAAAGCACGGGAACGGAAGGAAAAGGGGATTGGGGATTGACTGTATCACGTGACCACTTCCCGCCACTTCCCTTCGGAGGATTCGAGCTTCACTATCCACCCCCCCCCCCACCCCGGTATTGGTCAATGATGAGTGCTAGGAAACAGGAACTTATGGAGACATAAAAACCGCCACGAAAATGGTTGTGACAACGACGTTGATGTTTTTGGCAGGAGACCAGTGAGAGACGGCCCAATCCACGAGTATGCATATTATGGCCGGGGACTTGGTCTGGGGGAACGAGAATGAAAGACGAAAAGGGCGACGACGTATCGAAGTGTACAACGCGGAATGAAAGGTAGGGTTGGGAGTAAATGGGTCCATCATGTTTTATGAATAATCATAAGAGCTTCATCTCTGTCTGGGAGTGTATGCGTTCTTATTCCTCGGCTCGTGAAATATCACGAACACCGAGAGCTATGTTCTTACTCCAGCAACGGAAGTAAAAAGAACGCATATCTCTGAGCACATTTTCACATTGATGATGATGAAAAGGGGAAAATTGAGATGCGCTTGAGAGGTCCTGCCGTCCAACCCCCTTTTTACGCGAGCCAGAACCAGAATCTCTGGATCCAGTTTTTAGCCACACGCTCGGGCCATTCAATGGCGTCCAAAGCAGCCTTTCCAGTGTGCAGATCAGCCTCGGCAGGGCTGATGAAATGAGTGCGCTTGAACACTCTCCAAAACAGATAGAGGCCGAAGTAGATTGGGACACCAATGTAATCAGTGAGGAACGCTTGATAGTCCCAGCTGCCCGCAATCGAGTCGAACCCATTGAAGAAGATGATCAAACTGAAGAAAGAGGCGGAAGCAATACCAAGATATGGCTGGAATGGTGCTTTGAGAACCAGAGAGTTCCGGTCAATGCCTTGCGCTTGAAGAGCAGCGTGGAAACGACAGTATGCGATGCAAATGCTGACCCAGGTGAAAAGAGTACTAATTGAGTTAGCACAAAGGACTCAAGTCAACGGATTCTTAACTTACCTGATGGTTGTCAAGTTTTGGAACCAGGCAAAGACTTTGGCGGAGCCGGCGGAGCAAGAGAGGTAGGTGATGAGGGAAATGGAGCAGGTGATCAAAACGCACCAGATTGGGACACCGCTTTTTGAGCACTTGAGCAGGAATCTCGGAGCCTGTCGGTTTTGCGCGAGGGCGTACAGATAGCGAGAGCCGGTGTACAAGAAAGCGTTGGCGGAAGACGAGGCGGAAGTCAAGATCACAGCGTTGATGATGGAAGGGAGAACATCAATACCGGCACGGCTAATGGCAATTACCCATGGAGATTGAGCAGCACCAGCAGCACCGGATTCTCGGGCATTGATGAGATTCTCGTCGTTGGAAGGCACCAAGACACCGATAGCGAGAGATCCCAAGATGTAGAAGAACAAAATACGCCAGAAGACACGGCGTACGGCTTTGGGAATGTTTCGGCGTGGATCTTCGGCTTCTCCAGCTGCGACGGCCACCATTTCGACACCACCGAAGGAGAAAGCGGCGTTGACGAGAGTTGACCACAGACCAAGGAAGCGACCGGTGCTACCACTAGCAATGTAGGGCTTCATGGCACCTGGATTTCTCCAGTACTGGAAGCCCAGGCGGTGCTGTCCGGGAACGCCACCAACATCAATAATGAGAGCGAGGATCAACAGGCCGATGATGGTGACGATCTTGATGGAGGAAAAGATGAATTCGGCTTCACCATAAATGGAGACAGCGAAAATGTTGAGGCAGAGGACCAGGACAATGATGAGTGAAATCCATGCAGCGACGTTGATGTCACGAGCTCCGTTCCAGAACTGAATGACGGTGGACGCAGCGGAAATTTCGGCGCAGAGAGTGATGGAGCACGAATACCAGTTGTTCCAGCCAACCGCGAAACCCATGGCATCGTCGACGTAACGAGCGCAGAACTGTGGGATTGCACCAGGAAGAGGTAGCCAGGTGGCCATTTCACCGAGTGAGTACATCATGGCGAAGACGGCCAAGCCAGTAAAGGTATAACCAAGCAGGACGGAGAGAGGGCCGGCGTTCAAAAAGGCACGGCCGATACCCAAGAAGAGACCGGTACCGATGGTACCACCGAGGGCGATGAACTGGATGTGTCGAGATTTGAGACCACGGGAGACATAGCCGTATTCCTCCGCCGTGGCGACATCGCCATACATGTCAGTGGCTTCATTGAGCTTGGAGCCGCGTCGGGCCTGGGAGCAATAAGGTCAGTATGTGTCCATGGGAAGAGTGTTGGGATATTGCAAGCATGCTCACCTCGGATTTGCTGGTCTCATTGGATTGGATGGGGTATTGATGGTCTGGCGACTGTGAGCCAGAGTGTTGATGGAAATCGGCGTGCTTCTCCGCCATGGTGTCAGCGCAGGGCTGGGACGAGTCTCGACTGACAGTATGGATGGATGGAGACCCCAAGGTGGATTTGAGGACAGGATAGTCCCAAGGTCCTATTTGTAGGTGAGGTGCTTCTGGACAGGCAACACTACCAACCTGACTGGGAGACAAAAGGCTGAAGGTAGGTGGTGTAGCATTGAGCGACAGGGGCGACTATATGTATGGCATGGGCTGAGAAGGTTGTTGTGAAGGAGAGTATGGAGGCACGCAGGCTGAAGTCGGTTTCGGTAGGTCGGTGTCAATGTAAGTGAACGTGTTCGTGACAGTGACCAGGTTGGTGGTGTGTCTGGGGTGCGGCAGTGATAACTCTGTTCAGCCTACGAGGTTGCGGGAGGTGGAATGGCGTTGAACTCAGCGTGCAACGAACACCCGTGCAGGCATGATATGTGGAATGGGTATTTACAATTATTGAGATGCTACCTTGTGACCCACTTTGGGCCAACGCTGAAGCAGGGCTGGCCACGAGCGGGGAGGAACAGGTGAGAGGCAGTAGGGCGAAACGAGGTTAGGCTGCGCAGGTTGAGGCCAGGGTGAATGTCTTTTGGGCTAACAGGATTTAGCCTCGAGGACCATTGATAGTGAATGGTGAATGGTGGATGGTGGTTATTTGGAACAAGCAAAATAGGAGGCGCCAGGTAGACGAAGGGATAGGAAGGTCGAGGGTCACTAATGGTGGATGGCTAGTGGACAAGCGAGGCAGTGATCTCCGTCCGAGTGTGGATTTGGTGAAAGGCAGCTTGAAGCCAGTGAGAGTGCGGTGCAGGGCTGTCGAGACTCGACATGCAGCTACAATCAGTAACCTTGCAAGTTGTCTCTACCCGATGATGGAGAGCCCGACGAAGGAAGGATGAGTTTGGAGGCTTTGGTTGGCCGGTGACTCGTGAGTTGAATTTGGATATTTTGAGAAATCTCCTCCATGCTCGATACAGACGGACGGACGGAAAGCACAGCCAAACTCACCAGGGACAACATTACTGGAGGAGGGAGTATTGTTTGAGAGGAAATACTGACTCCACTCCAAGTGCAACTCTCGCATCTTGGGGCTTGCCGGGAGAAGCCTTGCACTGCTGTGATCAGTGATGACAGCCAGGCCAACTACGAGTGTCTCGTACTCTCTCTGACATGGCAGTGTCGGTGATGGCGCCACTCTGGCAGCTGGTGGTGGGAGTCCTTGGCTGCCATCCTCATCCTCGTCCTCATCCGATGGAGAAGACAACGAGATGCAGTCCAGAAGTGACACATGCAAAGAGAAAGACCAGGCTCCAATGTGGGGTAGGCATTAGATTCAGCGGCAAGAAGCTAATATCAAGATCGGCTTTAGTCACCAAGCGGAAGGTGAGCATGGAGGATGTAATATGTAATATGTAATCCCATGGAGGTGCCAGAGGGGTGAGAGCCAGGGACTCCAGGGCCGCGCAGATGCAAGTGCGATGTGCAACGTGCAGTCGCAATTGGCAGTGCAAGGAAGCGACAGGGCCTGACCGTGTGCAGGTGTGCAGGTGCGCAGCGTCAAACTCGCAGTCCCCATGAGTCCGGGTCCCAGGACGGCTACGGCTAGTCCTTCCCCTAGTGGGCGACGATCCCGCACTTGCAGGCTCCCAAACTCCCAAGCCTCCAAGAGACTCCAAGACACCCAAAGAATGGGCAGCCCACAACCAAGCAATCGACAAGGCGTCTCGATCCTGGTCAAGAACTGCAGTCGTCCATCGAGGGCCCTTCCAAGCTTTGGCTGACCTCTGGGCGTGAATTGCTTAACAGAACGAAACACCAAGACTTGTCAAGAAGATCCAATGCAACAACCAAGTCAACGAGTCTCATTGATATTCGTCGCCTCGTACTCCGCAAAGTCTCACGACACCACGAGCTTGTTTGACAGGTGTGGTCGCGTGCTGTGCAGACGCATGCGAGTGGTGGAGGTGGAGGTGGAGGTGGATGGTTTGATCGTCTGTGTCCGTTGCCCTTTCACTTCCAGCCAGAGTCACATCACGCCTTCCCCCCCAAGCTTGGTCACATCTCAATTTCCAGGAAGCCGCAAGTTCGCAACCCAGGCAGACCAGGCGAACTCCACGCCGAATCGGCCACCTATCTTTACCTCGCACCTCCCTGTCAACACCCCCCCCCAAGCCACCTGAGGCTGGCACGCTGGCGCTAGCGGGTAATTCCGCATCGTCTCTGACTCTCTGCCCTCCCCTTTCCTCTTCCCTCCTTCCCAGGCTTGTCACAACGACTCAGAGTCACATGGCGCCCGCGGCCCACAATACCCATACGGCACCCCGCCCGACTAACTCGCCTAACCCGTTGGACTAGTTGAGCCAGACTTCGGCACTTGTGCTGCTTGGGGATGGAGGATCATGCCAGCCACGCCTTCTAGAAGGTGGCCAAGCATCACTCCGGAGTCCACCCTCGTGCACCCATCAATCGTCGCTTATTCCCTCGCGTCTTCCGCAGGAGCTGTAGCGACACTAGCAAACCTCTCTTTTGAGGTCCACTGGCGGGTCGCCAAACTCGTTTCCTTGCTCTGATGCCGGTTTTGATTCATGCGTTAGTTAAGGAGAACTCAGCCTGGTATCAGGTAGCCCCTCGAAATCGGAATCAAGCCGATGTACTACTAAACTTGCTGCATCATATCCTGTTGCGAAAGGGTTGAATGGTATCGAGGGATGAAATTCTGGATGAGCGCCCCCCGATGCTGTCCGAACGGTGGCTGTTGATCTCGACAATTCATGCAAGCAATGTAACCTCCGATAGCCAAAAGCAATATACATCCTCCTGGGGGCTCGGGACGAGGTACGCAGTACGAGCTATCGTATACCATCTCAAGAGCTATTGGTATTCCTACCCCGGATCTGTCTCAGGAGCCTAGTCTCTCAGATGGGTCCGACAATAAGCGCACCTCAGATTGCGCAATTCCAAGGCATGTTCTGTGGGCATGTGCTTCCTGACTCCTGAGTTGACATCTCTGTGCTCCTCTTGTTTTGAATCGCCACACGTCATTTGTTTCACCACCCCGCAAAGTTTCTCCTGAGAGTGTTCCCTTTCTCCCACCCTATCTGGTTCTCTAGCTCGCTTGCTCCGTATCTGATTCGAGATGGGTCCCTCTCTATAACTCAGTACGAAGCACTCCGTATTGGAAGCAAGCCCCTTCGTCGATCTGGTTCGCGATCGTTGTACTCCCTCCCTAGGACTTTATTTAATGCTGCTGAAAGCACCAGGCTCACCCATGCAAGCTCACGGTAGCATCATAGATCGTGGGCCGCTTCCTTCCTCGCATGTAGACGAGCTTGGTAGGCCTGGATTGAGCAGAGTTGTTTCTTTTCTCTTGACTTCAAACCAACGACTTCCAAGTTTGTTGGCGACACCCATCGTCCTTGGTATGCATCTTGACTTTTCCGTGCCGTCAGCTCAATACTCGTGCCATGGTGGCATGAAGGGATGCTGTCCCCGATCATAGGGTTCCGTCCGGTTTAATGGACCATAGGGACCTCGATCCCTACCTGGACCGCTCATTACCGAGTACCAAGGAAATCCCATTCCTCCACGAAGTCCTGGGACCAAGGGCCCGGCCCAACCCTCTTGTCCAACTGGATTCATCGGTGAGGGGGGTCGAGGGGGTGGTGGCGGCGGTGGTCGAGTAATAGGAGGCCGTTGCTCATACGGTGCCGGACTGGGGATTCGCGGCGGGCGATCCTCTCTTGGTGGATTTAAAGCTGCCCTCACGTATTCGGGCTTTGGTCCGCAGCCATTTCTCCTACAGACATCACATACGCGATCAGGCCTTCGCTCAACGACCGTTGTGTCGTGGTTGGGAATTCTGCAATTTCTTCCTTTACGAAACCGATTGAGCCTATGGTAAGTCGGGCATGGCCGACAACCCAAGATTTCATCATGACCGCATAGATAGATGTTGTGGGCTGCCTGACATATGGCTAATCACGCAATCAAGAAAGGTCGCAAGGAATAATAGGTTAGGAGGTCTTGCTTTGGAGAACTCCTACTTTTGATGGTATGGCAAAGGACAGGTGAGACCCGCCTCCTGAATTTATTTGTGTTCCAATCTGTAAAGGAGTTCCGTCTTTCACCCCAATGGTTCGGTGTGTTGGGGCACAGCCCACCTACAATGCTTTTCAGGCCCAAGGGCATCACTTGCGGTTCCTCGGTTCTATGGTGAAGGCGGTGACAAGCGTTGTACTAGCTAGTGTGTAAATAGGTACTCCGTACTCCGTATATAGATCACCTTAACCGTGGTTCAAGTTCGCTTATCGATAGTGATAAGCTAGCGAGGGAACGTGGTTGCTGGGCAACATCTCGGCAAGCGGCCCATGTCAACAAAAAGTGACGACACCACAGACCGGCAAGCCTGTAGGAGACGCGCACCATCAGCACCAGCACCAACTCCGGCCACAGCTGGACCTCCTCGTTCGCTTGGTCAACCTGCGCCTTGGCCATCCGTTGTTATCTGGTCAACTTCCAGACTTCCTCTCCATCTGACATTCATTCATCTCCCCCAATCTGCATTCTTTTTGAGGGGCCAGAATGGGAGTCGAACCTCCATTCATCTACGACCGTCCCCAGGTGTACACCTTTGGCAACCCATCCACACGTTCCTTCGACCCCAAAGCTGCGTCTAGAGCATCATGGCAGCCACCTCCACCTCGACCAAAACAAGATGGACCATTGATTGATTTCAACAAGCATCCAGACTCGGTAAGTACTCTGTTAACCAATCAAGGAGCAACTCAAGGCTACAAGGCTAATATGAAAACCAGTACCTGGCTGCGCCTTATGGGAACCTCAACGTGAAGCCCATGCACCCTCGAACCAAGGTTAGAGTCGATCGGGGCAGGCGGCTGCAGCTGTTTTTACGAATTTGCTCTCTTATCGGGGCCTTGGGTGCATTGTTCTGCGTCATTGCTATCAACAAGACTGCTACGAATGTTGGGTGGATTATTCGAGCTGCACCAGCTGTGGCTATCTGTCACACAATTTATGGCATCCACCACCTGTGCCGAGCCGCCACCGGTCGGACGCCTGCCTCCAGTGCGAGCTATATGATTTTTGCTGCCATCATCGACACCGGTCTCATTCCCTTCATTGTCTTTTCCGCCTGGTTGGCCAATGCGGACTACACAAGAAACGAGTATGGGTGGAGCACACTTTTCAACGACTCGGATCTCTCCTACAAGATCATCTTTGCTTTCTTCATTGTCTCGTGCGTCCAAGGCGGCTTGTTGGTAGTCTCGTTGGTTCTCGATATCTACTTGGCCACTATGTTCAAGGCGATTGCTCGGATGCCACCAGACATGAATCCGCTGGAGCCCAATCTCACGTCCAGACACAAGCGGAATAAGTCGGAGGCGATTACAGAGAAGAACATGAATGCCTCTGCCCTGGCTTCAAAGAGAGAGTCGGCCATGTCTGGCTTCAGGCGAGTCCCCTTCATTCACACGCGCACCGATTCCGCCGACAGCGTGACTCTCTATGGAAATGACAGTGCTCGAAACTCGAGGGCGGAGTTCCGCAAAGAGCTCGATGAAACTGGGAAAGACCCGTGGCGATTTTCCGGGTCGACAGCCTCGCCCTCGCGACCCACCTCCGCCATCAGCCCATCGCCAAATTCTCGTGGTGCTGGTTCTGGTCTTGACTATCGCCCCGAACGTGCTTCTTCCCCTCTCAAGGAGTCTCCTTCCAGGCCGTCTTCTTGGCTCTCGTACTTGGACTATGAAGGGATGCCTACTGATATGAGCCGAGACGCCAGTGCTCGCCTCGACAATGAAGTTCGTCCTATCTCTCCAGTCTCAGCCACATCAGGGCGCGATCCATCCATCGACAGACGTAACAACGAGAGGGAAAATTGGTATCAAGGCTCACCAAAACACAGCCAAGTCTACCTCCCGGCGAACAATTCAAGCAGGCTTCAACTTGACCACAATTTGACGGTCCCCACCACCGAATTGACCCCTCAGAAGCGAAGCAGAGAGCCGCTGGCAATGAACCCTCCGACACCCATCCGCGAGCGCTTTGCCAATGAAAACGCCCATGCGACCCCACAATCGAAGTCGAGGTACTCCTTTGAACAAGATAGGGAAGTCCTCAATGATACAAATGCAAACGCTCGAGGCCGCCCGACGGGAAACTCCAGACCATCCAGCTTCGTGGGAAGTGGTGGAAAGGCTCGGTTCTATGGTGATCTCAGATCCTCCATTGGGTCGGTCAGCTTTCCATTCAATGAAAAGAAGGAGGCAGAGCTCAATGTGGACGAGATCGACGCGTACGAGCGAACCAAGACCATGCAGACCGAGAGTGACTATAGTGCCAACTTTGAGGTGTATGACTCGGACAGTGACGATGAGGGTCAGCTTCGTGCCAATATTGTGGACTTTAATCCTTCACTTGTGCAGCCTCATAATCCCTTCAGCGTGAGACAGAGCTCTAATTCGACTGGTGCGGATCTCAACAGTGGTTATGCTGGTCTAGGCGTTGAGTTTGGCCAAGGCATGGGCAGAAGACGAGACGTTAGTGGCAAGGTCGCCGAAGAAGGCCGCGCTGGCAGTGTTTCTCCTAGCAGAAATGGCGAGGCTGGCTGGAAACGATTCAAGGGATTGTGAGCAGGTTATATCCACTCCCCTCGATCAAATTGGACTTGCGCTAGGATGTGAATTTGGAATTTGTTTGGCTATGGAGTATACAGGTGGCCTAGCATGGGGACGCGATGGATCCCAACCAGTTTTCGCGGCGGGCATGATGGCAAGGCTTGAACGAGCCAGCTTGCGGCTCGAGATGCGCTTCAGCGGCTGCTACTGGGACGGCTGCATCGCTTCATGGATGTATGCTGAGAATGAAATTGGGAGGTCTTGGGATATTGGGATACAGGGAGTTAGTTGCTAAAGCTTGGGGACTTGTGAATCAAAAGTACACCAAATGCATCCTCACTTGACGAAATCGGATTCTCGATCAGTGTTGTACAGTTATAGGCGGAGGAGCAGCAGCAGTAGCAGGCTGGGCCACCTCATTCGCTGCAGTATAAAGAGCGACTCGAGGCTACACAGTCCACCGTTGTCACGTGTCGCAGTCCCCGAGACGCCGACTGCAAGCCGCCTCGCCCCGACCTCCTCCAACGCCCTCCGCTCCTCTGTGAATAATAGACTATGAGATTCGTTGCCTCGTCTTGCTATTTCCTCGCTCACCAACATCCGATTCAAGCATACCAAACACAGCTTTCCTTCGATCCACCACAACCGTCTCCCCGAAGATGGCCACCAAAAGAAGCTTGTCGATGCCCCGTCGCTGCACGCAGCAGCTTGCCACGACCTCGATCTCGATCTCCCGGACCACGACGACGGCACCACTTCTGCGCCAGCATCCATCCCAGCTTTGCTCGGCCAGCCGGGCTGTTAGCTGCCTGGCAAGCGCCAGCGGGGGAAGCCAACTGCTACGTCTACACAAGGCTCGTCCCGATCCCATGCCCCGGGCCCGGCAGCCAAAGCGGCACTTCACCACCACGCTCGTGACACGCAAAGACGACTCTTCTTCCTCGCCTTCACAACCCACGACCCAAGCGCCCTCGAGACTGTACACATTCGAAGAAGTCCAAGGCCTTGCCGCTCACCCCGAAACACACCGCATCCTCATCGACGTGCGCGAGCCCGGAGAGCTACAATCGACAGGGCGCATCCCCGGTGCGCAGAACTTGCCGATCTCGAGCGCGGCCGACGGCTTCTTCCTGCCCGCCGACGAGTTCGAGGAGCGGTTCGGCTTTCCCAAACCAAACGCCGCCGCCGACGAGGTCATTTTTTACTGCAAGGCCGGCGTCAGGAGTCGTGCCGCCGTGGCGCTCGCCCAACAGGCCGGCTTTGCGAAGAGCGTCGGCGAGTTTCCCGGCAGTTGGCTCGAGTGGGCCCAGAGAGGCGGCCATGTGCAGAGATGAGATCAAGAAGCAGCACTGCAAAGCAGAGCAAAGCCAGTGGCCCAACACGAGTTTCTATAAGACACTGGCTTTCGCCAAATGAGAGCCTGCTGCCATTCTCCCTGTCGAGGTCCTTGCTGCTCCAGTGCTCATATTTTCTAATGTTTCTTGCCCCCTCACCCCCGGGCCCCCCGCCCCCCGCTTCCCTCCCATCCTCCAAGGTGGACCGCGTGACGAGGGTATGGGTATGTACGCTGCACCTAGCCGACTGCCCTGGACTGCGAATGAGCCGTCTTGCTTGATGATAGTGGGAACCTGTGTATCAGACGGGCCCAGCCAACGAGTCCTGGTAGGCTGCATGTGAATGCATGTCCCTTAAGTTCGCGGACCATTATTGTTCCAGCGACGACACTCGATCTCAAAGGAGCCCCCCATTGCCGAACGCAAAAGTAAATACAATACAACATCCCGTGCTTGTCGTTTACATCAATGGACTTTCTTGTTACGCACGCCGCAATATGTCTTTGCTGCAGGTTTGACCGTCATTACCATGATCTAAATTACTGTAGGTTCGTACATGGTTCAATTTTGGTTGGTTTACCATTTACGTCACCAACTCAACAAGTCATCGTCATATTACAACCACCTGCTCAGATCCGCTTGTCTCTTCTGCTTAAGCCAATCTCCAAGGCGATACGGCTTCTTCTGTCTCTTGTTCTTGCTCTGCTTTTCATTCCTCTTCTTCAGCTTGGACGGCGGCTCCCCTGTCGTCGCGTTACTCGGCGCATTCGTCGTGGTGTTGTACACTAAGTCCGGGTCCGTGACCACCAATTGGACGGTGGCATTTCCCTCGTGGAAGGTGCTGAGCTTCGTGCCGTTGGTGATGTATCCGCCGGAGACGACGCTCTTGCCGGTCGCGATGTCGAAGCCGTTGAGCACGCGGTCGACCATCTCGAGAGCCACCAGCGGCTGGAAGAAAGGTACCAGATGGCCGGACTCGTAGATCCGCACGAACGCAAATTTGCCGGACTGCTTGACCTGGCCGTGCACGACGTCGTCCGTGGTCGTGATGTTGACGAACCCGGCGCCCTCGTAGCCCGGCGCGTTGACGTGGTCCGCCACGACCTGCCCGCCCATCCAGTTGCAGTTGAAGTCGGCGTCGCCGAAGTACATGACCACCGTGATGTTTTGTTCGAGGAGCTTTTGCATGGCTTCGACGGTCCCGATCTCGCGGTCGTCATCTCCCGTCGACGTGAATGCCGCGCCCACTGCGGCGTTGGATTCGCTGAAGTTCACGTATGCCCCGATCGCCTCTTGGACCTCTGCGGTGTTCAGGTAGTCAACGTAGTAGCTTGGAGGGAACGGATTCGGCATCAGGTAACGGAAATCGTACTCGTCTCGCTCCAGGTAGATGTCATAGAGGTTCTCGACTGCGTACAGGCAGAAGTTGTCTGCTGCGGCGCAGACGGAATCGATTCCTCGAGTATTGCAGTCTACGGTTTGGTCGTAGCAGTTGCCTGGGCCGTAGAGGTTGTTGTACCACTGGTCTAGAAAGAAAAGCACTTAGTTGCGGCTGCGCTGCAAGGACATGCTTGACAACTTACCTTTCACACTCTGGTTGAGCGGATCATATCCATAAGTGTTTCCAGGGAAGACACTGAAATTGTAGTACGCCTGGTACTGGATCAAAGGATCATACCAGCCATTGCCGATCAGCACACCTTGGAGATTGATTTCGTGAGCTCCGCTGATGTTCTTTGCGTTCTGTTCTGCAAAGTACTCCGAGACAACTGGAGCATAATGGCCACCATAGCTGTAGGCTGGATTTAGTTCTGGGTGCAGCCACACGAATTGTGAGTCGACATACCTTTCGGTTGTGAAATACACTCCATCTGTTGCGTATTCCGGGAAGGCACCCATGAAGCCTTGGAGTGTCTTCCACATGTTTGGTGCCACCGCAGGAGTGCTGTTGGCGGTCAATGATTCGTTCCAGTAGGAGTAAGTTCCACAGGCCCAGTCACTGGCATATTCGGGGCAAGTGTTGTCGGGAAGCTGGACAAGGAAACCGCCAGGGTCTTCGTAGGCTGGGACTGGTTCTGAATAGCTGAAACCGACCTGTGATGGTTGATCAATAAAGATCATGTTCGTGACATTCGACCAGGAGAAAGGATTGTCCACGGCCTCGCCATCAGCGTTGACGGTGCAAGGGCCCAACTCTTGGAACAGACCAATCATGCTAGACGAACCTGGGCCACCATTGATCCAGATGGTCAAGGGTGCCTCCTGGGGATCGACATTTCTCGCCTCGAAGAACCACCAGAAGATATGCTGTCCAGGCGCCACATCGGCGTAACCGGAGAAGCTCTTGACATCGGGGTCTTGTTCACAGATTCCTGCCGGTACAGACTTGTAGCGAACGGTGACGTTGGCATAGCCTGTTTTGGACGTGAGGTTTTGGGGAACAGCCACGAATTGACACAGAGCGAGCTGCCCAACGCTAGCCAGCACAAGGGCCGTTGAAAGTAAGGAGATCATGTCTTGAGCACTGAGAATTCAGAAACTCTTGACAAACGACGGAGTGCAAGACAGCTTCGCCCCGCGGGAGCAGAGGGGAAAGCCTGCTTTTTTGTAGCTTGGCTGGAGCTTCAAGCGACCTCATGTCACCCATCGTTGAAATCCGACGATCCTGTCTGCGAACTTGGGCCTTTCCATCTGGTGGAATGGGTTTCTCGGAAGCTCTGGAGCCAGGTAGACTACAGCTAGCTAGTTTGAGGGAAGCTGTGAGGGCCAACCGGACAAACAGCTCCCTTGGCCCACTTCGTCGGGGTCAACCGAGATAATGCTAAAGTATGACTGGAACCAAAAAGGCACACACACTTACTGCCTCTGGGTAGCAGTGATGGTGGCAGGTACATGTCACTGCTACCACTGAGATGGCCATCGATGACGATGCGTCTCCACAAGCGTGACCAAACAATCGCTACTGCCAAGGGTCCCCGTTGTCCAGATGTCGTTGCTTGCCTGATATTGTGGTGCCTAGCTACTGAGTCTGCAGGAACCTAGGTAGATACGGGTAGTTCAAAAGATAAGAAGTGAGAAGCATTGTCGAAGCATCATACCTTGCCTCCACCCGATGCTGGCTAGTGGTGTTAGTGGTGTAGGCTAGGTTAGAAAAGGGAGGACAAAGACAGTGGACGTGGGGAAAGGTAACATCCGTCCTCTTGTATGCAACCAATCTAAGTGGAAGGCGATCCAATCCTTTGTTCCTCAGTGACTATGCGATTGGTTCTTGATTCCAGAGGATGATGATCGTGCTAGTATTTGTCTCGGCCTTGTAGCTGACTTTCTTTCAGAGACCAGCCGAGGCAGGTAACGCAAGGCAGGCAAGATTCTACTGTTTTGAATATCGTCATATTTGATCGTATTTGGCCGAAAAGAGCATAACTTTTCTTCAACCTAGCTCATGTCTGTAAGCATTGCTTCTCGATATTCGAGCCTGGTATCAGTGTCACCCCGACGGCAAATAGTCGCCGCCTTTCCCATTTCCCATGTTCTACGAAAATCCCGTCATTATGTGTTGTCCCTCACTTCCAGCTTCGCCTGTCGAATCGTTCTCATACTGACTCTGTGCGTAAATTCTCAGATTCCCCACCGGAGTGCAAACCCAGCCGCAAATTCAAACTCAAAGCTTGAGCAACTCAATCAAATCAATTTTGTTTTCAAGAGACTTCGGTCGCTTGGCTTTGCATCTCGACTTCTTCGACTTCTTCGACTTCTTCTCCCATCATCTGAACGTCCGCCTCGAGCATACTGTAGTCGTCAATCCAAGCAGTCCTCATGACGATTGCACTAGTTAGCGCATCAAAGTCATCGTCGACCAGGTAAGTGACCTCGATCATGCCCTGACCTCTGAGCGCATCCTCGTCCACCTTCTTGACGGTAGGTGTGCGTGGGCGCTGCGGGCTTCCTTTAGATGGGCGCTCAAGCGATCTCCGGGGCACTGGACGAGTAATGAGATGCTCAAGCGGACAAATGGCATTCTCGTAATTCCAAGAGCCTGGCAGGCTCCGGCCACCACACCTGTCACAGGCACGACGATGGCGCCAAAAGTCCTGATGAAGATCGACTTTTTTGTCGTCATCCTCGATCATAAAGTCCAGGTGAGAGCACATCTCATCTTCCGTTGCGTCTTGAGGCACCCAGCCCAGGAGCTTGACCATACCAGCAACGTGTGTGTCGACAGCAAACACCGGTATATTCATGCGAAAAGCCATAATGCAGAATGCAGACTTGATGCCAATCATCATAAATCGGACCAGGCAATCAAATACTGCTTGCTTTCCCTTGGTCGCATATATTTCGCTGATGTAGTCCACCGAAAGCAGACCGGGCACAAAGTCGGATGCGTTTGGATCGTTGAATCTGTAAACTACTTCTCCAGGGCTAATCAGGGAGACATTGTGGCAGTAGATTTCGTCCAGACACCGCTTGATGTATTTGGCTTTCTTCTCCTGAAGCCCAGCTCTCGTGAGCACCATTTCAAGCTTCTTAGCACTTTGGACACGCATCAGATGATAGTTCGGTATTGTGCCAATGACTTTGACTCCATTAACCATATAAGGATAAGCATGGATCATGCATTGTTGGGCATCCAATGCTCCTTCGTTCGTGCTTGACTGAGAAAGCATGACACGGACAATCGCATCGACACTGAACGTTTGTCCCGCATGCATTGGTGGTGTGGTTGCATCGTTTTGGCTGATCTGAGCAAGCAAAGAAGGGCGCTCTTCTTTTAGAATTCTTGCAACATTATTGATGTCGACTTGTCTGACCCAGTTGTGGTAAGCCAGCACGCTCCTGCCAAAGGTGAAGTTGAATCTATTGCTCGAAGGTACTACACGACGTAGCCTTGTATGTTTTCTTTTCTCCATCCTTCGCAACGTCCGAGCAAAGGCAGGAGGAGAAATTCCAAGCGTGAGAACACCAACTGTTCGGAGAACTGGGGCAGGACGTCTTTTACGAAGGATTCGAGTTGAAAAGTGAGACTCATGAGACAACGTCAAAGCCGTGTTTGAGATGTAGTCGCTATCGTCTGCTGTGACTTGCTCAGTTACAGCAGCTATCGTTGTTAGCTTCTTGCTTCGCAACTGTTGTATCGCGCAAGACACTGACTCTTCTTAATCCTACGCCTCTTGGATCGTCCATTCTCATCGGTGTTTGAGGTTGATGCTTCTTTCATGCCAGTAGCGTTCTCTTCGTCGCTTTCCACTTTGATCTTCTGTCGAGGAGAGGTGCCTTGTCAATGTCAGATTGAAATTGGGAAACTGGAATGCACAGATACCTACCTTTGGATGGCGTTTTGCGTGATCTGCCAGCTTCCTTGGGTATCATTAGTGTGGCAAGCATATCTCCATTGTTCCGTGAAACTGTCTCTCCAATGACGGTCTTCATGCTGACGTCTGCTGGTGCAAGTCTGCCGCTTTGCGCTATTGAGGTCATCGCCATGTCGTTGGGACATACTGTGTTTGCTGATGTGGTCAAAGGAGCAGCTATAGAACATGCGTCGTCGACTTTGTCGACTTGAGTGGCGTCGTCCTCCGCTTTTTGTCTGCGTGTGAAAACCATGATTAAATTTCAAACAAGAACCGCAATAGAACAATATGACTGAGACCCAGTGTTAGCATTAGGTAGAATGAAAAGATCATGTGATTAACGCAGAGAAGGACGGCGTCGAAATAAATATGGCCCACGGGTCCTGTGAGTGAATCAAACCGTAGCCTGCCATTTCTGGGTGTGAAATTGCCGCATTGGGTAACATAGATGACAGACCCGCTTTAAGGACCCGCGTTTGAAGACCCGCCTCAGCCTTGCTAGATCAGCTGTTTTCAGATCGGAATTGGTTAGAATTGCCGGTGTCAAAATTGTACTGGGGATGAAGACTTCACTGATTTCTCAGTTTGTGCATGAAATTGCCTGACATGTCGTCATTTCCCTCCGCCGTCGATTGCTGGACGCTTGACAGGAATGGCGGAACATGGAAAGGGAATGAAGAGAACGAAAAGCTCGTTGCTTTTGGAGTCTGATAGGTGCGTCGCAGGCTTTCCTTGTTTACAGAGGATTGACTTACTGTTTGGGATGAGGTCAGGCCAGCTGTGCTTGACAGACTGACGAAAAGAACATTGGGGGTTGCTTCGATATGCTGGCGTAGAATTTGTTGTCTTGTGCCAGGAACAATGAGGAAGAGATGAACGAAACTGACCAGACGATGACTGGTGAGTATGTTGATCGCGAAAGTCTTATTTCACCAGTTTGAAGGATCTGAATTTCAAACAGAGAAAGCGCTAGTACCAGCGACCAGTCAGCAAGGTGTTTTCGCAGTCAAGAGGAGCGTCTGGAAATAGTTGTTGTCGAGGATGAAAGAAAGAAAGAAAGAAAGATGAAGGCTTGGGCAGATATATATAGCTTTGAGAGATCGATGGTCCCTGGCTTTAAACGAGACAGGTGAACCCTGAGTCTGTGAATCTCGATGCCCGCATCGGTAGTCCCTGGGCCGGTAGTGTATGACTCAGGGTAAAATGAGATGTGAAAGCCATATTGCGTTGTCAGCAATCTGATCCATGATCGTCATCTTGACCAACCTGCGGGAAAGATAGGCTGGGAAAGGCATGAAATGGCGGACGAGAAACTATTAATTGCACTTCGATAATTGGCCATTGTCGGGAATGTCGTCGACAAGGCTTCGATACAAAGGGGAAGGAGTATGGTTGTTGGTGGGATTTGAACTTCGAAAGATGGTAAACTCCGATAGACATACCTTGTTAAGTGGCACGCTGTTATGGGTGAGGAGGTTCTATGGAGGCAGAGGCGTGACATGAAACACTCGCCTGGCTGTCGGAGCTGAAGGGTGGAAGAAAAGCTGATACAGCTTCGAAGGGCCTAATATGAGAGGTGAGGGCGATGGCAGTGAGCGATGTCGTGGGACGGACAGAGAGAAGCCAAGGACGGAACGCAACGTTGACAGAGGAACTCAATTGCCAGTGGATTCGTAGCCGACAGCAAGCTAAAGAGGTTCAAACGGAGAAGGAAAGTGATAGAAAGTCACAAGACAAAAGCAGGCCAGCCGATGAAGTGACGGAAAGGCCACGACGGGAGTATACCCTGAATCCTTGGACGAATCTCAAATCGTTCAGAAGAAGTGCGAGCAAAGTGACGTGGACGTCGACTCAAGGCTCACGAGTTGCAGAGCCTGTCGAAGCCATAAGCCATCAAAGAGGGTATCCGAGGAAACAGGCAGAGAGAAAGACCAGATGATTGCTAGGAAAGCGAGAACAAGAGCGGATGTCCCAGTTGGGGTAAATATGCGGCTTTGCTCGCTCATTGGACCATTGGGACACAGAATGGGGAAGCCACGCCGTTTGAGGAAGGAACGACTCAGTTGGAGCCAATGAAGCAGTTGCCAGTCTGCTTGGGGAAATCAAGACACCTTGAAACTCATGGCCCAAGGCTCAAGCAGAACGCTGCCACTGCTTTAGGGCAGTCAATAGTATTCCACGTCCTCTATCGACAGACTCTGTGGACTAATTGGTGTTATTGAATACCCTTTTTCTCTCGCCCGGCTGGTGGAACAATGGCCCTTGGAGGGACCTCATCTACCACACCGCTAACCTCGTCAACTTTGTGGGCGGCAACCAACCTGTGATTGTAGATTCAGCTGAAGCTGGTCTCGATTTGGGATGCTTGAAAGCCCGAAGAAGTATCTGTCTGTTTCTCAGGACAAAAACCTATGATTGGGATAGTTCCTACCATTTTGTTGCCTCCGCTTTTGCGTCCCCAATATTCTTCGCAGATCTGAAGTCGGTGTATTCCTTCTTGAAGTCACCACTCTCCTCACGGATGGTGTATCGGAGACGACGCCACATTTCCAGTTGGACAGCAAATCCCTTGTTCGGATTGACTTTGGGCCGTCTCCCCCTTACATATCGAAGGGCTGTGTCGTATTCCAGATCCATTTCTTCCATGACGAAAGCTGTGACAACAGAAGCAGAGCGGGAGACGCCTTGGTGACAGTGGATGAGGACACCACCATCCTTCTTCGCAAGGCTTGACTTGATGAACTCACAAGCTTCGCCCAGAGCTTGAAGCAGATCCTCCGTGCTGCTGTCACGAAGCAAGATGAGCTTTAGGACAAAGTCAGATTCCTGGCCAGGCGTCATCTTCGGCTGTTGGTGCTCTGCATTGAGCAGGGACAGGATGTATCGGATTCTGGGCCGATTCGGTGCCTGGTAGTTCGGACTTAGAACAGCTTGAGCTGTTTGGATGCTGTTCATCAAGATTTCAGTCCTTGTTAGTAGTCCGCTGTAGTCGAGGTGTGCTTACTCGGAGATGTAAATACCAGGCATGATCTGGTCTGGAAACAAAGGGGCGCATGTGGTTGATGCCATTTTTTGCTTGGTTGTCTTTGATCGCAGTGCTGGTGCTTGAGATTCAAGAATTGCCCTCGGGAAGGAGATGGCTTTCAGGTTACTGCGCTTGTGGCCAGGCCGGGATGGAGCAAACATGGCTAACATCTCGGACCGATCTTGTGTGAATGGTGAAGGCGGTGGGCTTGACGAGTGACGCGCCGATCTGGCAGAACAATCAGGGGCTTGTACGTCGCGTTATACACGAAGTCCACCTCTCAGTCACAATGTAGCCCGAAAGCATTTTAAATATATATAGGTTAGTTGGACGGCGACAAAGTACTCAACCCCAGAAGATGAATCATCTTCTCATTTTTCATTTCCCAACAAAGCTGGAAGTCATGAGGACAAGTAAACGGCGTGGCCTCGCGCTCAAGGAAACCAGGCCTGATCTAACTCAGCCAACGAAGAGAGAGACTGCGGGCACGGAGCACGAGGCGATAAGGAGGAAGGCTCTTGGTTGTTCAAACGAGACGTTGACTAGTTAACTCGCAGCAATCTTGACGCCTCTAGCCGGAAATCGCCCCACTCAGCCAAGCACAAGGGAAATAGTGGAACCATATCGACTTCGGGCGAGCCATGCCAGCAGTCTGCATGTGGCACGATGCGACTGATCTGAGCGTTCTTCTGCAAGGCTACGCGTGATGCGTGTATATAATATGCTGGTTTGGTGTCATTCAAGGTTCTTCAGGTGGGGGATTTGTCTCGTAGGCATCCAGCGGTGGAAGGCATTGTACTATAATTATCCGAGGCCACAAAGGGTTGTTCTGGTGTACTGATAGCAACAACTGGTGCAAAGTGAACTCCTGGTGCTATTTGCGATGCGCGCACCGGAAAGTCTGGCTACTGCTTACTTGGGTGCATGGTAGTGGCTCTTAGTATCTCTCTGTGTTTGACGATTCAGTCGTAGATTTTGGCTCTGTGCCTTTGATGCCAGGCAAATGCTACATAACAACTGTCTGTCGAATTTTTCAGAGCTTCTTCGCACAAGATCTTCAATCGAGATATTGCACAATACCGCCGGCGGACGTTCTTAGTCGTCATCATCATAATCCTGACGGAAGTGGACGCCGAAATATCTGGAATGACCATTTGAGGAGGAGGGCAGGTCTGACCGTATCGGTCGACACTTAAGAACGAATCAAAGGCATGAGCCGTTAAGGCTTGCTGGGTTCTTGCTGTATTCCCAATAGCCTCCAGGCCTCCTTGTCAGCATGGATCTTTAAGACCACGAGATGCCTAGCATGATTGCCGCTCCAACAGCCATAGCCGTAAATTGCAAAGCAGTCTTTCGCAATTCCTCGCCCTTGTTGGGGCCAGTCTCAAGAAGTTCCGGAATAACAGCAACGGTGCCCACGTAGAGAAATGTGCCCGCTGTAAATGGCAGAAGCATATCCCCCCACTGCAGACTGGTCCCCCAAATTCCTGTAACTGGACCCGCAGCTGCATCGGTTGGGCCACTGCCATACTCTTGCACAAAGATGCCGATCAAGGTACCGAGGAAAGCACCAACGGCAGTCACAAACTGTGCACCCATCGCCTTGCGCTTGGAGAAGCCTGATTGAATCAGCAAAGCAAAATCCCCAACTTCGTGGGGGATCTCGTGGAAGAAAACTGCCATAGTTGTGGTCGCTCCCAGGGCTGGTGAGGCGTAAAATGAAGTCGAAAGTGCTAGTCCGTCAGTAATATTATGTGTGAAGTCGGCAATAAGGTTCAAAAGACCTGCAAGCTTGACAGAGGGGTTGATAGGCGCTGGTTCTGCCATAGGAGCCTTAGACTTGCTGTCCTGTTGGCCTTTTCGCTTTCGTAGCTCACTGTTGGACTTCTTCTTAGAGACACCAGTTGCAGAGCCGTTGGCGATCTTCCGATGTTCATCAGCGGCATGACTGTGATCATGTGAATGGCCGCTTCCACCAGTGGCTATACGAAGAGCCTTGTCCATCGCCATGAATGTCACCAATCCAACAATGATCCCAACACCTAGCAACAGGTTTCTGTTTGGCTCGATCAAGACAAACCTTGCTTTGTCGTGTTCGTCTTCTCCCAGAAATATCTCTGGTAGCAAATGAAACAAGGTATCTCCTAGCAAACCACCGACTGCGAAGGCAACCATGATGCTGAGCGAAGACGGATCGATGTTTGGGGGACATAGTGCCAGGAGGAAGTTTGGTGGTCCAGAGATGTAAGCAGTAGCTAATAGAGCATTCACCGCAGGAGAAGAAGAGGGGAATAGTATTTCAAAGAGCTTGGTCGTCAAGGAGGCATGCGGAGGCGCATTTTTGACTTTGTGGTCGGACAATCTCTGCACAAAGGCACATTGCTGGACAAACAATTCAGCTGTTTTATCGGCTACAGAGAGATGGAGGTGCATACCTGTAGGTTCCCCTCGATTTCTTCGGGTGTCAGCGAGCCAATGTCTTTGCCAAACGCTTTTTCTGCGCAAACTGTGGTGACTACGCCTAGTAATACTGCATATAGCGCATAGCGCGTTATAGAAGACATCCGCATCGTCGGGATACCCATATCTTCGGTGTATTGAGATTTGTTGTACAAGCAGCATGGAAAGACACGCGACTCTGGAGAAGAACAAAGGCTGCCTTTGGATTTCAAGGGGATGTTCAAGGGGGTCTTTATCGATAACGATTTAACCCACAAACCTTGAATGCGTGAGGCCCAGTTTAGACCTGATCTCTAAGCGTTGGACTCATGAGCCAGGGCGTTCACCTACCGCATGTGCAGTATATCGACCTCGACAGATAGAAATATAAGAGTATACAAGAGGATGGCATAGACTGGAAGGCTGCATTGATGTGTACTATAGATGGCTAAGATAGGATGTATGAGGCTCGCTTCCAATCACGTGGATGGACCACGCTTGGCACGTGACTGACATTTGCTGGTCGGGGAATCCCCGGAGAAAGATCCAGGCCTTATCGATAAGCGAGGTTCCCTGGCAAAAGTTCTTTAAACTGCGGACCAAAAAGTTGGGTACATCAGACACAAGAGATAACACTTGCTCCTGTCCGTCCTCAAAGCTCCTCACCAGTCCAGAAAAATTTCTTACGATGGGCCGAGAGAGGCAAAAGAAGAAGAATAGATCTTCTATATCGAAGGCAAAGCCCAAGTCTAACCGGACGAAAGCGGGCAAGAAGAAGGTCAATTTTCTGGGTAACGAGATCATCAAGCAAAACTGGTATGCTCAGCCCCAATCCCCGAGGCCAAATGCACGCTCCGATAGGACTAATGCCTACAGGGATCGCAAACTCACACTCTCACAGAACTACAAACAGCTCGGCCTGAGCTCTAAGCTGAATAGCGGATCTGGCGGGACGGAGAAAGAAATCCCCAAGGCCGGCGAGGATGTTAAACCTGTGGCCAGAGATTCTCTCGCCATTGCAGGTCCCCGAGCCAATGCCAAATTCGTACCTGAGGAAATCGAGGTCGAGAGGGACCCCAAGACCGGAAAGATCATCAGAGTCATCAGACCGGAAACAGACCTATCTGCGAACCCATTGAACGACCCGCTCAACGATCTCATGGAAGTTGAATCGGAAGGCCCTCCTGCCGTCCGGACGGAAAAGCAAAACGAGATCATTGCGCAACTAGAGGCCCAGGCTGCCTATGAAGAGGAGATGCTCTCGAAGAAACGACCCAGGCATCAGAGCACAAGAGAAGAGGAGTGGATTTCGAGTCTCGTGGAGAAACATGGTGACAACATCAGGGCCATGGTGAGAGACAAGAAACTCAATCCGATGCAACAGACTGAGGGTGACATCGGACGGAGACTGAAGAAGTGGAAGGCAAAGCAAGAGGCCACCAGCTAAACGACTCCTTTTTTCTGAGTAAGATATCGATTTGTCGTGGGAAAGCCATTGAAGATCACAATCGCAACCTGCTCACGGACTCCAAGATACTACAGTTTGGCCGATCGCACGTAAATCATCCAGCAACACAGGTGTGTTGAGACGACATCTGGAACGGTGGTCCATTCGTCAGCTGGACACGCTCGAGGAACCCCTAGGCTGCCGCTTGCGATACGCCACTTTATCAGTTTTCCAACCAACGGTTGAAAGGAATATTTTCAGTTGGGCTTGCTCCGGTCAGAGCATCAATACCCTGAGATTACACTCTGGAATCGCCTCCGCGATTGAGAAACCCGTTCAACGGACCATCCTTTGAAAGCATGATCGCACGAGAGATGGTGACATGCCACGCTACCACCGTCAACAATGTACATGGAACCATCCCAAAGAAGAAATGCAATGGAAAAGCATACTTTACGCGCAAATAGATATCCGATAATAGATGGACACGAAAGGTCCACAGAGCGTATATCGCAAAACGCCGAATCTCTTGGTACTCAGTATCGATCGAAAAGCAGAGACAGTGGAGTACAATCACAATACGAATTTATGTCTCTAGTAATGAATTCCTGTTTCTGATATGCACTGTAAAACAGGCTGCCTTTTGTGATTTGGAGTCAAGACTTCTCGGTCGCAGTGTTGTTCACAATCCAGGGTTCACTTTTCAGGATTGCTGTAAGGAGTCCAGCCACACTGGTCATCATTTCTGTCCAGCCGATAGAATAACCTGTACCAATCACCCCCTTGCATACTTCCCACCCGTCGCGACTTACTGGGTACTGCAGTTTCGGCGGAATTTGCGTTTTGATACCCAGCATTCTCGCCCAAGGGGCTTCTTCACAGATACTCTTGATGTTGCAGAGGGCCTTGAGCCCCTCCTCGCCGCCAAAGCGGCCGTAGCCTGAACCCTTAACCCCGCCAAAGGGCATTGAGCAGGCGTAGAATGATCCGAAATCATTGACAGCCACCATGCCAGCCTTGACACCTCGAACGCACTTCTGCACATCATGACTGTTATAGCCGAAGACGCTCGCGCCGAGACCATACATGGTCGAGTTGGCAAGCTCAATCGCCTCATCAACAGTCCGAGCTTTCATGAGCAAAAAGACTGGTGCAAAGAGCTCCGTCTGGGCAATTTCCATTTCTGAACGCACGTTGCTGAGAAGAGTTGGTTCAAAGTACGTTCCACCGGGGTAATCAGGGTGGTTGTAACGCTTTCCACCACAGTGAAGAATTGCACCTTGCGCAACGGCAGTGTATATGAGGTTCTCAAGTCGTGAAAACGAATTCGACGAGATCATGGAACCCATGTCTACGGGGGAATCACCAGGTGAGAGAAGGATTGAGCCAAGCCTTAGAGATTTTATTTTAGGAAGAACATGCGAGAGGAGCTTGTCGTGGATGCTGGGCATGGCTATGATCCTCTCAATTCCAATGCAGTTTTGACCAGCTGTAACTAGGGTCAATGCACGTATGTAGGATAGAAAGAGGGTCACTGACCAGATTGGAACACTCCTCGCATCAGTATGGAAGCAACATCTTGCAATGCTGCTACCGTCTTGGAATCATCATGAACTATAACTGGGTCCTTGCCTCCCAGCTCCACGGTCACCGGAGTCAAAACCTTCGCGGCTGATGCACAAACCTTGTGCGCAACATCTTTACTTCCGATGAATGTAATGTGAGAAACACCTGGATGTCTTGTGAGATAGTCGGCGCTTTGAGGAAGGCAGATGATGTTTTGCACGAGCATCGGGCTGTGGTTACATGCGTGGAGGGCACCTCTGATAAGCTTGAGAAAGTACGAAGTACTCCAACAAGTCTGCTCGCTGGGTTTGACAACGATGGCATTACCTGAAAAGAGAGCAGATATCACCGGTGATATAAAGTTGTGGAATGGGTAGTTCCAGCTTACACAGGCCGCTACGACGCCCAATGGTTCATAGATGACGGTGTTGGACTTGTAGGACATGAGCAGATTGGTTGGTCTTCTGGACGGCACCAAAGCCCTCTGGCCATGTTTGATTGTCCATTGCAACTTCTCAACGGTGACGAGGATCTCACCGAAGCAGGCATCAATCTTGGTCTTGCCGCTATCGAGGCAACATGCAGCGACTATTTCTTCTTGATGATCGAGGATATAACGCAGGAGAGTCTGGAGCACTCGGCGTCGTTCGGCGAACGTGGTTTCGGCCCATCTCAATTGCGCTGAAGCTGCAGCAGTAATGGCAGCATCGATATCGGAGGGGTCGGCCGGCTCAATGGGAGGCCCAAGACTGCGGCCGTCTGCTGGGCACCGAGGATAGATGCGGGAACCAATGACCTGTCACCAACATCAATGTTCAAGTTCAAGTATAACTGCGGTTGTATGACCACATACCTCTGGAGAGTCCGCTTTGGGCCTCTTGCCCTTAACATCCCATTGGTAGTCACCTGCTAGTTGTGGCGGGACTTCGACGGAGTATGGAACCGCATGCTCGATTTTTGGAGCATGGACATATCTCACGACGAGAAAAGCTCCGGCAGCCAACAAGCACGTGCATAGGAAGACGGTCCACATGGAAAGCCCTGACGGCCAGGCAGATGCCTTATCAAAAGACAGCTGTTCCTGAGAGGCCATGTTGTCGGCTCTCACCGCAGGAGACCACATGTGTCCTTGGGAGAAACTTGTCATTGGCCACAAGTGCGGAAGGTGGGCAAGGCTTACCTGCAGCCTTACGCCACATCTTCAGCCACAGATACTTTGAGAGGAAAGTCAACCGATGACGCAAGACAAGGATGTGCCCTATCGGTGACGTTTGATGGGTCCACATCTGGGCCCCGGAACCTGTTTTTGCCCTTCTGACCTCTGACATCACATCCTGAAACAATCGAACCAGCTTTTCCATCAGATTCTGTGACTGGCTCTTGCCATAATCCTGGTCCTGCACGATGAAGGAAGTTACCGTTTGAGCGTTAGTGGAGCGGCCAACGCTTCATCTACGCCACAATCATACATAGGAAAGGGTGGCAGGGAGGTCAGAAGATCTTCACTTTTGAACACCCCAATACGAGCCTTGACCAGCCTTGGGCCTTGGTTGTGATTCGAAAGTGCCCGCCCCCCGTACGTCATCCAGCCTAAGATCGTGAGATTGCCATCGCAAGATTGGATGGGAAATTCATCCATGGAGGGCAACGATGTCGCAGCTAAACCGCATCAGTCGGAAACCACCAGGCGAAATGTGAAATGTGATGTAGTTTTGCGATGCCTTGCTCGATTCTCGATGGCTGCACCCGTTTTAACTGTGATATCTCAAAGTACAAAGAGAAGGGTCAACCCTCCCCAACTATTCACCGCTTTCCCTTCTCCATCACAAACATCACTTATCAGAAAACCTGTCTACCATCAAACAACTCAACCAAACAAGAAATCCAAATTCTTTGCCCTCTCAAGCAATCTCACATATATACTCCATTAATCACAATGGGTGCCGTCGTCTCTTGCGTATGTCAGACTACTCCTTTGTCATCAAACTCTCACTAACATCCCTCCCAGGTACAATCGCTTTGCCGAACTATCGGCAGCGTGCTCATGGCCATCGTCAATGGCATTGGTTCCATCTTGACCGCCATTGTTAACGGCATTGTCTCTTTCTTCAATATCATCATCTCATGCCTGACCTGCGGTCGCACCGGCAGAAAACGGGGAACGACTCACTCAACAAGACGTCACCATGGTACCACGACTAGAAGTCGTATCTGATCAATGGCCTCTTTTCTATTCACATCATCAACACATACGAAGAGAGTCCTAAAACACGAGAACATCTGATTGTCAATATCATGTTGTATAGATTGCTTGGTGCGCATTGAGGAGACATAGAGATGCAAGGCTGGACAGTCCACTGCACCCCTCGAGATTCGACTGAATAATTTCAGTGACGGAATTGTACTTATACGGAATTCACGATACCCTTTCATAGCGTTTTTCATAATACATCAACAAGTTTACACTCTAAAAAACTATGTTCATCACAATTACCTGAATTCTATAGAATTCCCATGAAAATAGATCTTTCATATGATACAATATCTTACTTCTCATCCTGATCAGCCTTCTCAAAGAATCGCTTGCTTCCAAAATGTGTAGTTTAAAGTTAAGCAACCAATGGTTGCGATAGACAGAAATTCAGCTGGTGAGTGACACCATCTGACCCTCCACGCCCGGGTTCCTGGTCGACTCGCTGATAATGTTGTGGAAAACCCAGTGTCCAACATCAGCCCTCTTGATGGAGAAGCCAGTCGCCGGCTTGTCCTCATACCCAGATCGAACGCCCGCCAGTCCACTCGCGTCCGTGTACGCAACCGTGCCGCTCAGGAGGGTTGGTCGAATACCCACGATATTGCGGAAGACAGAATCCTCCTTCTCCACCTCACCACGGTAGATGTCCTCCATCTTCTTCTTATCGACGTGGGGAATCGTTAACATTTGGTGGTAGAAGAATCGCATGCCGAATGGAACATCCTCTGGGCCCCGAGTGATACCAGTTGTAGAAAGGAAGACCAACAGGGGCTTATACAACTTGAGGGCAGGCTGTTCGCTGAAGATCTCTTGTAGTGCGGTGACAAGAGTCTTTGCGGCGGTTTCGCAGATCTCAACGTTGTCAAGTGTGGCGATTTGCAGAGGATGGCACATGTCGACATTCAATTTGGGGCTTCCACCAAGGCCAGTGACAACATAAGTTGGCAAACGACCATGGTCGAAAGACAATAGGGTCTGCTTCACGGCCGCAACTTCTAAGGCATTGCCTTCCCTAATAGTCATTTGGTTCTCAATTGTGGCTTGATTGATGTCTTGATCGGCGAGTTGTTTTCGGAGTTTCTCTGGTGTCCTCACGAGGGCTGCTACCTTGTATCCAGCTTTGAGGGTATGTACAAGCGCAGCATTGGTCACGCCACCAGTGGCGCCGAAGAACGCGACTGAAGATTTGGAGGACATGTTCGAGTTGGAAAGGAGGTTTTGGTGTTATTTGCAAGCGTCGAGATGTGATGTCGTAACTTGATTGCTGGGAGTGTATCGAAGGAAATGCTTCCGATGGTAGGTGTGGTGTTTGTGAGCTGAAGGATCCGCTTGCACGGCCGGGCTAGCCATCATATCTTATACAGGAGTCAGTCACCGGGGAAAGGGGTGAATTGTTATGAAATCGGGCTATGCATGTGTTCCATCTCGCCTCAAGGACCAACAATAGTATGTGTGCGGCTCTACCAAAGCGGCTTTACAAGCGGCCGCGGGGTCAAGCGGCTCAACTCTGGGATGGACGGATGAAATATTGCGCCGCATCGCCACTCATACCCTGTTCTACATCACGTGGCGGCGCGCGGACGAGATGAATGCTTCCCCCTAGAGTCTGACTCGCTGTTCGGATTGGACCTCAAAAAGTTCAGTTATCAAAAGCTTAAATGTTGGGCAAGCTCTTCCCGCGGCGGCTCAATGCTTGCTTTGTATTTCCTGACTAGGTTCGTTACGAGGGTGACTGCTCGTCCCTACATAAACTATTAATGGTATACTATCAGCAAATGACATTTCGGTGGGTTCTGATGCTGAATCTTCTACTTCTGCAGCGTCTACAGCCGCCACCAACAGCACATGGACAATTATCAACTCATAGCCACATACGGTTGTTCCAGTTTGTTGATGTGGCGCAGATCATGCCAGATGGTGTTGTCTTGATAGTCGATGTGATTCTACTTAACGTTAGCTTCGGTAACCCCTGAGAAAGTGAGCGGGAGACATACGTTGCCCAGATGGTCGATGTTGTGTGTGCAGTCACATGGGCTATTGTCGTACGAGTCCGAGTTGGAGTCGATGCGGTGATCGTGATGGTGGTTCGCGCTCTGCCAGAATAAGCTGTCACTGCCGCGGGTGTGCTTTTCGGATAATAATTAATTAAATCTCTTTTAACACAGTGGCTGATATGGTGACTTACACGGTTGCAGTCGTGGTCGTGAACTCGCTGACGAGTTCCGTGCTAGTTGGATAAGTAACCGTGATGTAAGTCGAGACTATTTTGCTGGTATCCATGAATGTGGTGGTGCACAGATCTATTGGTTGGTTAGTAGACTTGATCGGTTCGGGGCCTGGTCTGATATCTACCTGGTCCAGTACCACGTTTAACCAACCCTCCCTCTTGTCGACGCGCAACTCTGCGCTTCCTAAGTCTCTCAAGGACACCACTTTCCGCGCGACGTATACGAGGAATAGCAGTGACAGGAGCGTTCGCAGCAGCGAGTGTGGCTTTTGAGGGGCGGAGTGTACATGTTCGATCTCTCCTCGGTAGTTGCGTCCTGCAACTAGCGGCAATGGTGGTGGTTGTGATCGTTTTTGAGAAGACTTTGGTGGTGCGGATTCTTGTGGATGTCGAAGTTGTGGTCACTGTTACCGGTCTCGGTCTTACAGTGATCGTCCGCGTGGAGGTAGTCTTGGGCAATGTCACAGTCGATGGGAGCAGGGTCGTTGTATAACCTTGTGTAAAGGTCATAGTCACCGTGGTTGAGGGTGTGTAGGGAGTAGTATAAGTTACCGTTGGGGTGCTGGTGACGACAACGGGTGGGCCTGCATTGATCGAGAAGTTCCTCATCCACGCAAAGGTCAGTCCTTCGATGATGACGATCCAATCTCCAGACCACATGGCACTTTTGGGCATTTCATCACCCGGTACATTGCTTTCAGAGGTCAGGAGAGATCGTAGGGTCGGGGAAGTCTTCTGACCACGTAGATAGAATATTAGCACCATCAGGATTGGTATCAATGTCTGAGCAGAAGTATTCGTCGCTGTTTGGTGCTATCAAGATAGGTGTGACCGAGTCCTGAATGTCATCCGGTTGGCATCCTTGCCAGAGTCAGCTTCCGGTCTTGATGCGTCAAGACATACTCTGTCACCTTGAAAAACTGTGCCAAAGGCAAACCAGTCGTTAGATGTGGTATTAATGCAGTAAGGGCCACCGCCGTCGACGAAGTCATAACCGAAAGACTGGCATTCGGATTTTGCTCGGCCGGCTAGGCTTACAACCAGAACCAGTGGTAAGATAAGCGAATGCATACTGACAACGAACAATGAGGATAGAAAGTAAAATCCACGAAATGCTCGATACTAACGACCATATATGAAGATACCCCCACTCAAGATGCTCAGCCCAGTAAAGGCACCCTTTAAAGCTCGAAGTGTTCATAATTTTTGCGCTTCGGCCGGATGTTATGGTCTATCATTAGCACACGGCACCCTTGATCCCTTGGCCAGATCCTGATACGAATGCGGACTGAGACATTGAGAGCGAGGAAAGAAAGCAATTTTACTACACGAGAGATCGTGTTGCCCGGCACAGTGTCTGAGAGACATCGACCGACCCGTTGCCAATGTGAATGTCTCATAATCCGAGGGTGCCTTCTTTCGAATCCCTTGAATAGGGAGGACAATGCCCCGGCCAATTTGGCACTCTTTCGCTTAGCAGTGGGACAATGATCATCTTTGTGTAATCATGCCCAGGCAGCCTTGCATTAAGAGGCACAATCGACAGGGACGGCTTTGCCAGGGGCGTAACAAAACTAGTACCAAGACAATGATTGGAAGTTCGACCCAGCTGCAAGGGGAGTGTTGAACAATATCGGACAAATGTAAAAGGCAACTGGGGAGAAAGCGAGGATATCAAACCTGTCAAGGGGCCTCCCTGCTCTGTTGACAGCTTCGACCCTGCATATGATGCCAAGAAGGCCAAGCCAAGAGACATCCTTCGAGGTCGAGGCTCAACAACAACATCCGCCTCCGTGTTCTCATTCACAATAAGCCCATCAACAAAGATTGGAGTGTTCTTCTTCTACCAGGTGATGTCTATCCGAAATTTGAATGGTCAGATCGAAAATCCTGAAAGTGTTCAACACAGGGGAGGCGGGTATTGCTCACAGCATCTCCTTAAAATTTACCCAATATTTTTGGGGATTTGTGTTTCCCAAGGAATTCTTTCCAAGTCCAAGTAATGACAAGCAGGCTTTTTTCTCCAACGCAAGCTATCAGAACCCTCAAAAGAGCCTCTCATGTGATACGGAGTCAATAAAGGAACCCACTTTGACTCTGAGACAGCATGACACCAACTCGTGTGCACCACGTTTTTCACAGCCCACCATTCCTTGCATGACATTTGCAGGATAGATGATGCCTCTGGTGTTCAAAAGGCTGCTCGTGCCATGAATATCAGAGCCATGCCTCCTCATTTTGTCCTCGTTCTGATCAATATTGATTCTATATTCTGTCTGGTCTTTCTTTTTCTCTTCCAGTCGCTCGCTATGTTTCGTTCACTTACACTCCTTACACTGTTCTTATTTCATGTATCTGCCGCCTTCATTCCCACCGCAGAGCTTGTGCCTATCGAAGGCAATCTCGTTCAACGACAGGCTTCCCAATCTCTGACTCCCTCGGCGACTTCCACCCTCAAACCAGACTCCAAATGCACCCATTCAGCGTTCACACGCCAATGCTGGGGAAGTGGCTTCAGCATCGCCACCAACTATGATAGCACTTGGCCTGTTACCAACAAGGTAGTATCCTACCACCTGGAGGTCACCAATTCCACTTTAGCTCCCGACGGGGTGCCGAGGGTTGTCTATGCCATCAATGGACAGTTCCCAGGGCCAACAATTCGGGCCAGTTGGGGAGACGTTTTGGAAATCACCGTCAAGAACAGCTTGACCACCAATGGCACGAGCTTTCATTGGCATGGTATCCGCCAATTCAAGACAAACCATATGGATGGGACCAACGGGGTAACGGAATGTCCACTTGCTCCCGGAAAGTCACGGACGTATCGGTTTCTTTGCACGCAGTTTGGCACAACCTGGTATCACAGCCACTATTCGGATCAATACAGCGATGGGGTGGTTGGTACAATAATCATCGACGGACCTGCCACTTCAAATTACCATGTTGATCTTGGTGCTATGCCTATCACGGACTGGTACTATCGCCCAGCCTTCGAACTTGCACCACTTGTCCAGAGAGGCGCCTTTCCTGGTGGCCCCACTGGCGATAACATACTCATTAATGGCACCAACGTCAGCCTCAATGGTACACAGGGCCAGTATCATCGCAACACTCTGACGAAAGGAAAGAAGCATCGTCTCCGGCTCATCAACACCTCCACAAACGACAATTTCAAGGTTGGTCTTGATGGGCACGATTTCACAGTCATCAGCGCGGACTTCGTTCCAATTGTGCCGTACTCAACACAGTGGGTCTTTCTTGCAGTTGGTGAACGCTACGACGTGATCATCAATGCCAATCAAGCTGTTGACTCTTATTGGCTACACGTCGTCCCGCAGAGAGGTTGTAGCAAGAATGCCGTCACCAATGCGCTTGCGATCTTTAGCTACGAGGGTGCTTCCTCTGCCACCCCTTCCAATGCTTCAAGATCCAATGCTCCTCCAGGAGCTGAGTGCAATGATCCCAATGACAATCTGGTACCATATGTGAAATTGAACGTGCCCGACAACTATACCATCCCGGCGAAGTCCCGGCTTGACGTAGGCTTCGCTATCGTCCAAGACCAAGCCAACCAAACCTTGTTCCAATGGAATCTCAATTTCACCGCGATTCAGGTTCCCTGGGGTGCTCCAACTTTGCAATACATCTTAGACAACAACAGCAGCTACCCACAGAACATGAATCTGATCTCGTTACCAGATGCAAACGCATGGTCATACTGGGTCATCCAAGCCATCCCGACGATCGCACCACCGGTTCCACACCCCATCCATCTCCACGGTCATGACTTCTACGTCCTGGGTGCGGGACAGGGTATCTTCAACAACTCCCAGACGCTACGGTACAAGAACCCTCCGCGCCGCGACGTCGCGATGTTGCCGGCGTCAGGATATCTGGTCATCGCGTTCATCACCGACAACCCCGGCGCGTGGCTCATGCATTGCCACATCGCCTGGCACATTGGATTGGGCCTGGGCGCACAGTTTCTCGAGGAGCCGGACAAAATCCCAGGGCTGGGAATCGGCCCCGACTTTGAGCAGGTCTGCGCCGACTGGAACAAATACTACGAGACTGCGTTGTTCGATCAGGAGGACTCGGGGCTTTAAGGTGGGTAGGGGTGTGTGTTCTCACGATTTCAGATGCGGGGAAAGGAATAGATCAGCTAGCATTCATTGAGCACATCTTGTCGGTCCGGATTGCAGAGGTGGTCTCTTGACGTATAAGGCTCAAGAATCCGGAGCCCGGTAGGTAGTCAGTTCTATCTACCGAGTTCTCTCTCCAATATGAAACAAACAGCCTGCCGTTCGACTTGGTCAAACGAGGCTGCGACTTGTGAGACCAACTCTGTGTTTCCAATGACATCTAGTCATGGTTTCCGTCCATGACCACGCTTCCTGCACCATCGTTGGGTTCTCCTTTTCTGCTGAGGCAATGCTCTGGTTTTCTAGGTGATCCCAAACACCAGGAAAAGCATGGCGGTGCTTCGCACAGAGAGCAACAGCGCGAGGGTTGTCGTACTTGAACTGCAAGCATGCTGCGCAGTATTCCATATCGGCTTCATTGGACATGGTTTTGGTAATGCGGCTCCACTGATAGAGTCTAAAGCGGACATCCATATACTTTTCGAGGTCGTTCTTACGCCTGGATTCTGCGTGCTTGTAAACCATATCATAGTCCACCCGCGCCTCTTCTTTGCACGCTTTGTACCACTCATTCATGTCTCCCATCGCTCTGTCACGCATTCGCTTCCAGGCATCGAAACACTTCGTCTCGACTTCCGATCTGAACCGGGCATACATTGCATAAGCCGTCACTTCTTATCGCGTGATCCATATCATCTTCTCCCCAATGAGCTTGATTGACAGGTTTTTGGCACGGGCCTCCTTTTGCTCTTGGCGCCACTTGTCCCAATGACACACGATACGATGCAGTCGTTCGAGCTAGGAATTGCGAACGAGTTGGCCAACCAGTCAGTGTCTCTCAACACGCGCGAAGATAGTTCATAGTGGAGAGCAGCCCATACCTCAGCTTTAGAATTGAGAACCACCATGCTTTTTCGCTTGGAGGAGCCCTGAGCGGTAGCATTGAGTGCAGAGTTCGACACGGAGGCATCACCGCTAGCGGATATGGGAAGCCTTGAATTGGATCGCTCTTCCTTTTTGACATGTCAGTAGTCATAGGAACCGAATTGAATGCAGCATTTCGCGCCACTTACTTCTCCATTGCTGCGTGAAGGTGACTTGTTACGCTCAAGTTGGCTGAGCTTTCGCTTCTTACCAACTTGGGAACTCACCATGGGCGCGGACCGATGCGCAAAAAGAGAGGTTGTAAGAAATATAGAGGAGACGGAGTGCGAAAGGCGCAAGTGCTCATGTGCTCGAATTTATAGACAAGCCGCGACAGGTGCCTCAAAATCCCTGCACACTTTGGGAACTCGGGCAGTCGGCTGCCTGCTATCACAGCAAAGGCAGCGACGATGTCATAGTAATTGCGATGTTAGATCGGCTGGTGAGATGTTGTCAGTTCTGCGGGCTGGGAAGTGCGTGCCTGTCGCGAATATCATGATGCTTCCGGAATCGAATTAGAACAAGACTGCTTCAATGTCACTCCATGTCACCACGGATGATGAAAGGTCCAAGAGCTGGGGTTAATGAAACAATGGAGTTAACGAATTCTGATTGTTCTAAACCACTATACACAAATCCGCGGAGGAAAAGAAGCTTTTGCCCGCCGGGAAGCTTTGGACCAAGTTTTGTTTCAGGGTAGCACAGCAACTGTCTACAGAACAGACAGGTTGGGGAATCTCTCCTGTAGGGCAGTTTGTTAGTCTTCGAAAACAGAATTGAGCGCGTTGAGCTAGGTGGCCATACCTGGTATCCGGGTGGCATCCATCTTCCGTTCTTGACCAACCTTGCCGTGTACTCATCGATCTCGGGCTCGGCCTTTGCAAGCTCGTCCACGGTGGTCTCGTCCCAAGGCCTGGCGCCCTCGATATCGGCTAACGCCTTCTCCAAGCTTCTCAACTCAACCTCGACCTTTGTCTTGGTCTCCTCAGCATTCTTGATGGCGACCTGTTCAAAACTCTCAATGGCCTTGATCTGCTTGCTGACGTCGTAGGTCTTGGGCTGGAAAGTTTTATAATATTGCTCGATCTCGTCAATGACCGCGGTGTTCTTCAGAATTGATCGGTAGTGGCCGAAATCGATGGTTGTGGGTTGCTCCTGCAGAACCTGCACTCGGCGGCGAGCGTCATCGTTTCGCTTCTTGAAGTTGGCTAGAGCTGTTGCCGTGCTGCCACGTAGACCAAGTTGGGAGCCAACCTTGGTCCAGTCGAGCTTCATCGCGGAGCGAGCCTGTTCATTTGGAAAGGGTCAAGGTCAGCCAACCGTTCTTTATGCTTACTGAGATGAAGCATGAAGCTCATATCAACACAGAGGAATCTTTTGCACGTACTTGAGTAGCCATTTTGGCAAGTTGGGGTTCTTATTGCAGGTGTATGGCGCAAGTGTTGAGCTTTGTCTGATCTCGAAGTCGAATGTCCCTGGATATCTCTTGGGACTACGTTGAAATCGTCTTAGCGCCAAAACCACGTGATTTTTTTCCTGAAGATGCACCTACAAGGACAAAACGAGTTAACCGACCTTTTTGACTCTGATGTATTGTTCTGATACATAGGTTTCAGGTCCACGAAGAGACCAGCAGCCCATCGCACAATCTACAGCCAGAAAGTATCAAGAATCTTTCTTGTGAGAAAGTCATTGTATTTTGCGGACTTGTCTACGTTGTGTGATTGAAAATCTACCCCTCTGGGTTATTCGCAATGTTCGCCCGGTTCGTCGACCTGGAGCAGGACAGTGAGAGACGAGCCTTAGCCTGATGTAGATCCAGAACTTTTGCTAGCTTATACACTTAGCGCCATGATAGAATTGACTATGTCATTGCCATTCTCCTTCAGCGCGTTGACTGCCTTTTTCCGTGAAACTGATGCTTGGGTCATGACGAGTTCGATGTCCTTAGCTTCGAGACCACTATCATCAACTTCCTCATCATCATCGTCTTCTTCCTCGGCCTTTTTATCTTCAACAGCCTTGCCTTTGCCATGATCATGGTCATGGTCGTGATCATGGCCAGAATGGTCCGCGTTAGCGGCCTCAGCGGCAGCGAGCTGCTGAGCGGCAGCAGCTTGCGACTGAGAGTTAAGATCTTCGATCTTAGCCTCACCAAAGATGCTGTTGTTGATGTCAGCTGGTGGCCCTCATAGCCCTGCGGCAGTTCTACTCACATCCATGTGTTGCTTGTGGGTGATCGGTAGACGTCAGGGTTGGAGATGACAAAGAGAATCTATGAACGAATGTCAGACGCTGGTGATTCACACATTGCTGGCTAGATAGTTTCAGGATGTCGTCCTTGCGGCTCACTTGCCCGGTGAACTTACTCCCTTTGGTCTTCTCAGGGTGACTCTTGTAATTCCTGGAACATGCTTCAATCCCAACTTGCCAATGGCTTTTCGTGCCTTCTTCTCGTTTCGGCTGTGAACAGCGACTGCTGAACCAGCAGGAATATTGGCCTCGCCCTCAGCGGCCTCAGGTTCGGAGTCGGATGAGCTAGATGCATCATCTGCTGCCTGCTTGGTAGGCTCATCGTCGGGGAGCTCTTCTATTCTAGGATTCGACATCTTGACAGAACCGTGCGCACGAGGACAGGAATGACTGAAAAGGTGAAAGCTGCAAGAGAAGTCAGTTAGTGGATGAGAAGGACGGTAGTGTTGAGACTGCGAGTCTGAGGAGCACCCCGCAGGTCGAAATTGGCGGTTTTCACAATTGATACTGCTCGGGAAGGTCAGGGGTTTAATGGACGGTCCTTACATTCGAGTCTCTCAATCTTACTGTTGCGCAGGTCAATTTTGCAGATTTTAGTCTGGAAGCTTGAGGCATTGTGAATTGATGCCGAGCTTCATGGTTCTCCAGGTCTTGGCGATAGCCCGCCGCTTTAACCTGTTTTTGTTCCCGAAATTCGACTTTAGCCTCATGTGTCAGAGACAGAGTAGTGCCTACAGGAAGTTCACTTCAGAACGCAGCAAACTCCAGTATCAGGGAAGTTCGAGGTTCTCTCCCTTGGATATGAGTTTTGGGGCTACACATGGATTGGCGTTGAACGAGTGACAAGATCATCCCATCAAACAAGTTGATCGCCGTCCTCATCTGGTGGAAGATAAGTTTCGTCATGTCTACCTTAGGTCCCTAGGTAGACTTGATGTTGAAGTCCTTCTTCCTCGATAGATAGGCACTTGCAGTGTCACAGTAGCGCAGCGATATCACAAAAGAAAACAAAACGACAAATTGACTTGCAGAATTTGGATTGGAGTTTGCGGACCAGCTGTCAGAGATCTCTTGCTATTCATGAATTTATTGCATCATGGTGTGCGAGAAAACGGTGCGGGTGCAATAAAATAGCCACGACCGCGGGATAGTGGTTTATCAATCATTTTTTTGGCGACTGATTTTCCGTCGACACGCACACACGCCCTGTATGTCTTTCGTCCCTTTCTGACTTCTGAATAAAGGGTTTAGTTGGTAATTGAATTGACGCCTGAATCATGCCTGGATTTATGCCTTTGCCGTCGCTCGAATCTTCGCATGTGCCTTCGACACCTCAAATCGTGCCTGTTACATCTCAAAGGTCAGTCTTGTAGCCCACCACAGCACGTCGAAAGCCCGTCTTGCTCTACTTTGTCGGGTTGGGAGAGATCTCACCTGCTTCTTCAGCCTCAACACCTTGAATCGCTCGAAGTCTGTCAGGTTCTTCCGTCGGTCTTGTTGGTCTCGCTTCTTTGACCAACTCGACTCTACCCACTTCTTGTCTATCTCATGCTTCTCCCACAGCTTCTTCACTGGACCGGTACCGGCGGCCTTTGGCAGGTTGGGGATGACCCAGGGTGTGAGGGAAACGTTGCTGGTGGGAACAGCTTGTCGGGGAACGACTGAGCCTTCTTTCGACGAGGGGCCGTCGACCAGGATCTGTGAAAGTTGTAAGCCCACATTCTGGCTAGCAGTCCAGATCCAACACAAGCACGCACTCTGCCAGGGTCTATTATCTCAACGACGGTTGCAAGTTTGCCGTCGAAAGGTCCAGAGCGGAGGGTGACCACTCGACCAACCTCGACTAACTTCCACCCGGCGGCCTTAATATCAACGTTGGACATTTTGCCGAAAAGACTGCACGCAATATGGTCAGTAAATGAACCAGAGTATGAGCAATGCGGAAGAACGTACAAAAAGTTTGCGAAATATTTCGATCGCACTGAGTTGTCGTCGATCCAAATCGTTCAGATGTTGAGGTTGCGCTACTCATTTTCACTCGATGTGTGGCCCGCCAAGGCCGACATTTGCCAAGATTGTTAAGTCTTGGCACTGCCTTTCCAGAGTTGTTTTTTCTCCGAAAAGCTCCTGTTCAGCTTTCTTCTCGAGATTTCCTTTTCCTTTTCCCATTTGCCCATATCAACGTTCTGTCTTTATTAACTACTCCAATCCGTATACTGAGCTATGTTTACTTTGACCTCCACTTTTATCTTGGCCATGCAATCTCGGCATGGAGTGGTCAATTATGTGTGATACACCGCCGCGAGAGATAGCATCATCGCGCCCAAACTTGGAAGCTCACCTTGAGCTGGCTGTAACGAGGTGAAATCAGCGTAGCTGCTCAGTATTCGCCTGGTATGCTTGGTGCTTTCGTGATTGGCCGCGTCTCAAGGTAGGCGTCAGCTTGCTCTTTGAGACGTGCAGTTCAAGGATCTACAGGTAAGAATTTTTGTACCCTCAGATGTTTTCTTCTTTATGATGTAATAATTTGCGATTGAATCTGATGCTGGAGACTCTCGCCGGAGCCTCTTAACAGTGTCAGAGACATGATATTCCATTCTTACATATTCTGATATTACGTTGATGTCAACAATGCTCTCGTTCCCACTCGATCTCTGAGCTATAACGAACTGACGGACTTTCATGCTAGGTTGTTCCACGTGGCCACTGCATGTGCCAAAAGCACTGTAGTCTCCCCAATGTCCCGCCCATTGCAAGCTCTATGGAGCCTATATCTTTGTCTTCCCGACGTCCGGTGGCTCGGATCCAAGCAGCTACAGTCAATTAACACAGGTATGAACTCAGTCTTCCTCATTTCACATTTATTTCCCGATGATTACACCCTTTGCACTAGATAGTAACTGATCAATTTTGACGTGACTGTACCCCTTTACACCAAGATCTCTGAGGGAAACTCTTTACTGAGCACCGCAACGTATCAATTTTGAGCTGGACCGATACTGATTTGTTTGACAGGTAGGGAATTCGTGCGATGTTAGTATCAAAATTATAACTTGATTGTCAACCGATTTTAGCGGGCTTTGCCAATCTCTTGTGGCATTCATCGTATGCGGGCGTGGAATTCTTGTGCAACTCGAAAATTTATGTTCATATGCCAATACGGGAAACTGTTCTTCTAACCACTAAGTGGCTTTTTCGATCCGGTTAGTGCTTCCTACGCAGGTCGCCATGCTGCGCAAACTAGACACATACGTGCCTCGTTGCACAGGCTAATCTGTTCTGATTTTGGGCAAACTTCCCCAATTATTCACAACTCAGATACCCCTTCTGAAGTGTGGTGGCTTGCGTGTTACTTTGTGGTTTGACAAGTCATGACTTGTTTCTTTCATCTGCATCCGTGCCAACACAGTAACTCACTTGTTCGGTTTGGCATTGGGAGCAGGTCTCTTGTACAAGGAAAAAAAGCAAGTTGGCCCCTGAACAATTCCCAGTCTACGTGGGATCACCAGCTGAGTCTGTCACTCGAAGAAGCATCCAGCAGTGGGATCAGTCTCACATTAAATGATCTATTTGGCGAGCGGGAAGATTGAGCAGACGCGCAGAGGCCCCTTCGTGGCACCACAACGCTGAAGTACTGTACAACAATAGCACTAATGGTATGAAACCCAGCTCTTTGTTATTGAATAGGGGCGCTACCTCGTTAGAACTCATTGCGTAATGTTCGGTATTGCGTATGCCCTCGGACACCCAGGTCGTAGTCATAGCTCGTAAGTCGTGACCGGTGAGGACTCTGAAGAGGCTTGCTAGCCACGATTCTGGTCAGGCTCTGATACAGGGAAGCGAAATGACACGCCGATAAGGATGATATTCTCGGTACGGGTTGCGGAAGGACAACAGGGCGATCAAGCAGTATTCCGTAGTCCGATCGCTTAGCACGTACAGGGGTGAGGGTTGGTCCTACGGCAAGGCTTCGTGTTCTTTTGTGGGGAAGTGCAGGACGATGGATAGTGGAAAGAAGGCTGGCAAGCATTCGGCGAGCAGGAGAAGCTTTTACGGGGTGTGGAAACAGTGCCGTCGTCGGAGAGAGTTCAAGGAAGTGTTACACCAATGCGGCAGTGAGATGGGCAGGAGGTTGAGATTCGGACCAGGCACGCCAGCCCAGCAAGGGTGTTTCAAGACGGTGTTTGCAAGAGGAAAATGGGCGTGTTCTGTGCCAAGCCGCGTCTCCTGCGAGGCTTTCCCTTGCCTCATCAACGCCTTTCTCTAAGCAGAAGCATTGTTATCGGGTGATTCAGCTGAATCTTCTTCGCCTTTTGAGCACAACATGAAGCAATCAGTGCTGCTATTCCTCTTGCTGCCATGATGACCCTTCGGCATCAGCTCCCGAAAAGGGCTGAGCAGCCAGGAGAAGGCAAGGTTCCCACCCCATGAAACAACACCTCAAACCAGTTCCGTGTCCGGCACTCCAAGCAGTGGTCGGTCCTCCGTGCTGCGTACTGTCCAAGGTAAGGCTACACATGGAAACCGCAATGAGCAGAGTCCAGTGCAACACCACTGGGTCAGCAAATGGTAACTTGGTATGGACGCGGTACGGCTGGTCGAGTCGTTGCTCGTCGGTTGTTGCGATGGGTTCCAGGTACATACGAGGGCTGCTCCTTCCTCCTGATATGCTCAACCTCAGGCTGGACAGCATTCTCTTCCCTTCTCCCACTCATTCCTTCCTTCTTTCCTCCTGGCCTGTCTTCCTTCCTTCCTTCCCCGTCGTCCGCTTTCCCCACCTCTTTTCTTCCTGTTCCCGAGTCAGTGTGACCAAGCTTCTTTCAAGTTTTCAATTCTGCTTCAACACAGCGATCCCAGACGACAATCAGCCACCAATCTTCACTGCTGGTCCTGTGGATTGACGACCTCGTTGCCATCACCGCGACCCTGCATTGGAACGTGGCTGCCTTATACTTCCATCTGGCTTCTCAACTTCTTCTCGACTCTATTCTTCTCTTCTCATTCTCGAGAACTTGTGCTGACTTCCCTTCTACGCCCCTTGACATCTGAAGTTTTAATCTGTTTTGCTGTTCGCCTGTCCGGATGGCTGACCCGAATACTCCATGCGGCGGTACCGTGCCTCGGACAGTCGTTGACAAGGGAACGACCACACCTGCCCTCCCTAAATATGCTCAAGGCTACGACGGTTCAATGAGGTACAACACCGATGGACTTGGAATGACCTATATCAGTATAGTTGCCGTCTGGACCTGCTTCCTTATTCCCGTTTGCATATTTCTCCTCAAGAATCGACATCTGCCATTCCTTCGCATGCGCAACATTCCCCTAGCAATCAGTGCTGTGGCCACGCTCCATGTCTACTGGATACTCTGTCTGATCGCATACGTATTGAATGGGTTTTTCCCATGCACCACGGAATACTGGATCATGAGCATCTACCTCCCCCTCGGTATCGCTCTCTTCCAGGCTTCAAACTCGCAACTGCTTTCAATCGCCACCGCCCAAAAGAAGTACACGCAAGGAGATTCTCTGGTCAAGTCACAGACTAGTACAAATCCTCGGGTGAGAGGGCTACGCAAGTACTGGCAAAGACTTAGGGCCTACAATGCTACCAAGAACACAATGGCCTGGATAGGCATCGGCATGACCCTCCAGGTAAAACCTCATCTCTGCTTCGGTGGGACTTGGGCTAATAATGGTACGAGGTGGCCGTCGCCCTTGTTGTCTTCCTTGTGTCGAAGAAGTTCCATCAGGCATTTGGGACTTTGCAGTCCCCAGCAGATAACCTTAGCTGCCGACGAGGTTGGGAGTGGTAAGTGTTGAATGACATCCCGTCTGACATAACTCTCACTGCCCTTTAGGTGGCCATCCATTACCTGGCAGCTCTTCTGGGCCTGGATTTATGCACCCATTCTTCTCTGGCGAGTTCGGAATATCCGTGACGTTCACGGCTGGAGGTCACAGACCATTGTTTGCATCATAGCTGGGTGAGCTAGTCACCATTGTGGTCGAGACACCATTTCCTGACAAACGCAGGCTGCCGGCTTCACCTATGTGGCTGATTGCATTGTATGCACCTGGGATGCGTACAGCCGATTTCTATTTCATCCCTCCAATGTGGTAAGCATCATAGAATGGACCAATCTTCACAAGCACTAACAAGTCACAGGTTCTCTATTTCTATCGTTATCATGCAAGGTTGCATGGTATTTGTGCCTTTCTTCCAAGTATTCAAAAACCGCAGCTTGGAAACCGAGACACGCGAGATTATCGCCGAGTGGGAACAGAAGCAGAAGTCGGATGGTTCTGTCATGTCTGATTTCTCAAAGGATGGTGCTCGCTCAAGAATTTCAACAAGGCAATCAGTCAAGAGCACTGCCAGCAGCCGCCATTGTGAAATGTACACGATGAGCGCCTTGGAGAAAACCCTCCAACTCAATCCGCAACCGCTTCTCATGTTCTCGGCCCTGAAAGACTTTTCGGGAGAGAACATCAGCTTTCTGATTCACGTCCGAGAGTGGAAGGCTAACTGGAATTCGCATACGTCAAAATCAAATCAACATCGCAAGCGAGAACCCGAAAAGGTACCCGATAATGCGTTGGTCCGCAAGCAGTTCCAGAGAGCTGTCGGCATCTATGCCTCCTTTGTCAGTCTAAAGTACTCAGACTTCCCTATCAATATCTCGTCGCAACACTTGCGGGATTTGGAAGCTCTTTTCGAGCAGTATGCGGCGCTAGTCTGCGCTAAGCCTGCTCCAAATGCTGCTACTCCATTTGAGAACTATTGGTCCTCCACCGTCTCTGAAGATCTCGAAAGCCAACCTGGAAAAGCTCAATTGTCAGTGGTTTCCACTATCATCGGCGAGGGTGGCAGGGATAATACCAAGCCAACTTCCGACCCAACTCGTCAACTGGGAGAACTGAAGATGACTAACTTCGGCGACAGATTACCCGATAATATCGGTATTCCTGACTCATTCGACAGTACAGTCTTCGACAGAGCCGAACTGAGTATCAAGGAATTGGTCTTGACAAATACTTGGGCGAAATTCGTCAAAGCAGGCTTCGCACAAACCGAGAAGCAAGGTGTGACTGCCAAACTACAATCTGCTATCCAGGCTTGCCGCATCCGATTTCCAAGGCGGCGGTACCACGCAGGAGATACCCAAAAATGAGATACCCAAAAGCTCTATAAAAGAGAGAACGAATTCACTTGTTGTTGTTTTATTCGGATGGAACCAAAAGTGGTGTTGAAGCCTTAATGCATTAACTCAAGGGCGAGGGAAGTACCTGGTCAAGCGAAATCAAGAATGTGTGTGCCCATGTTATGTTTTCAGGATTGCTCAGACGTTCTCTCGCTGGAATAAAAAAAGCATATGGGAAAGCCTGGTGGGCCGCGACCTAACAGCTTTCAATCCAGCTTGAGATGTCTCAAAACTTTAGGACGTCGGCGTGCCTGGTACTATTAGAAATGGGATGAAGCCAAGAGCAGCATCAGTTGATCAGGAATGAATATATATCCGTGAGAATAAATAGCGCTCTTTGCTCATAGCGAACGTTGTTAAACGTTGTGCAAAACCTTCCTAAAAGGAGAGGGATTCTCTTCTCATAGTTACATAACGGCATCCGAGATGGCGGCTACAAAAGTCACATATTGGGACAACGTCGCCTTTGTTCCCCTTCCAGGTTCGGCTTCATTGTTACTGGACCCGAAATTTACGTTGATGGTAGTTGAAGCACACGCCTAAGCCTGCTCTACTGGAGAAAGAACCATCTAATCATGCACAACACACTGCTGACAACCGAGTAGGACCGCGATACCACCAGTCTAGTGTGTTTGTAGTTTCCAACCATTCGAAACTGTCCGAGCACCCTTCCCTTGTCCCTCGCGCTCCCTTCTCGGAGACTCATACCAAGTACGACACGGGTATTGCACTACCAAAGGCATTTGGAAATTTTGCATCATTGTCGTCATAATTCTACTCAAGCAATGGTGAAAGTATCTTTTTTCTTCTTCTCCTCTCTAATTATGGGCACGTTGAAGAGGGGTGAGAGAGACTATCTAATCCACACAGCACCAGGGAATCGAGAAGAAGACCTTGTGTTGGAGTTCCCGTGGGTGTCGACACCATGCCCAAGCTTTTCTCGTCTGTCATTTGTGTACGTTGCGAGTATCACTCAAGACCCGACTTTTCCAGGAGGCAATTCTTGCTTCAAAGCGTAGCATTGTGTTTGGAAGGTCGTTCGTAGAGTGAGTAAACAATGCTCATCCGACCATAAACCCATCCATGCAGTTCGTAAGGTCATGGTCTTCTCCTCTATCGTGCTCCGCAGCAGAGTTGTCTACAACTTGTCTGTTTGGAATGTCAGTAAAATATTGCATTCCATAGATTTGTCAAAGAGCTTACCATAGTAGTTATCATATCCAGGAGGCTGAGGCTTGAGGCCCTTCCTGGTACGTGTCTTCTCAACGATCTGACCAGGCATAGTAGTGTTGTTAAGAACAGAACCTCCAGGAAGGATTTGCCAGTGATCGAACACCATCTGGGGGAAGGCTTGCCCGCTAGTGGCGGCACGGAGATCTGCGTTGAAACCGAATGATTCGGCGACAGGCAGATAAGCCCTAACTGTGAAGAGAGGGGTTCCAACACGTTGCTCCTCTGAGAAGACGTGACCTCTTCTACGTGTAAGGACACCATAGATACCACCCATGGCTTGCTCGGGAACTTGGATCTCAACCAAGAAGACAGGTTCCTGAAGACCAGGTTCGGCCAAAAGTGTGGCAGCGTATAGCACACGTCTTGCAGTAGGGATGATCTGACCACCACCACGATGAATAGCGTCGGCATGAAGAGTGACATCCATAACGTTGAATCGAATTGATCGCATGGGCTCCTCAGCAACTGGACCCTCACGAGTAGCCCACTGGAAACCAGAGACAAAAGAATCCTTGATTTCGCTGAGGTACTGAACGGCCTTGGTCTGGTCGACGAGCAAGTTAGGACCATTGGTATCTGGACCAAAAGCCCAGATCTTTCGAGCGTCAGTGACATCCCATCCATGATCATCGGCGAGAACGCGAGCTCGGGCTTTGAAATCATCACGAGGGTTGATCTTGCCAGCCTCGATGTCTTTTGAAACCTCCTCTCCAAGGGGTTCGGCAATAACATAGAGACGGTTGTGCTTGTTAGGAGATTTGGAGAGAGCGGTCATGCTCGATTTGGCACCGACAGTCTCACGGTATGGCACGACAGGGTCACCGATCTTGAGGGGGACGCCAGCGTGGTCCTCTTCCAAGTCCTTCAGGCAGATCTCCAAATGCAACTCACCAGCGCCTGCAACAATGTGCTCGCCGGACTCGGAGATCATGGTCAAGACGCAAGGATCCGACTTGGACAATCGCTTAAGACCTTCGACAAGCTTTGGAAGATCGTTGGCATTCTTGACTTCAACTGAACGCTGCACAACGGGCGAGACAGAGAACTTCATAACCTTCAGGTTGTGTGCGGTCTCAGATGTGGTCAGAGTGCCAGACTTGAGCAAGAATTGATCGATACCAACGAGACCAATGATGTTGCCAGCGGGCATATCATCGATGGGCTCAACAGTACGACCCATCATGAGAACAGTACGCTGGATGGACTTGACAAAGAGATCGTCTTTCTTGCCAGGGACGTAGTTGGGCCCCTGGATGCGGACCTTTAGACCAGAACGAACGGTACCAGCGAAGACACGGCCAAAGGCATAGAATCGGCCTTTATCAGAGGTAGGCACCATCTTGGAGACGTAAAGCATGAGATCTGCCTTGGGGTCGCAGTCTCGGATGGCAATGCAAGCTGCATCGTCTGATGGGCCTTCATACAGAGTCTCTGCACGATATTTCTGAGCAGTAACAGGTGAAGGCAAGTGGATAACCATCATTTCCAGAAGAGCATCGGCAGCTGGCAGGAACTTTCGCATTGCGACCTTGAGGAGACCCTTGCCGGGAAGTTCCTTCTCTTCGTTGGTGATCTTGATCTCAAGTTTAGTGGCCAAGTTGATAAGCTCATCAACTTTGCCTTTTGTGAAAGCATCGAAGATCTTGAAGATGGGGTCGAGGATGAACTGGTTGAAAGCACGCTCAAGGGTTTTGCCTTCATAGTCGGCGGTCTTGGTCCACTTCTTGGTCTTGGGGTTGAAGTAGTTGTCACCCCATAGACGCTCCATCATCTTGGCCTTGTCGACGCCGAATTTCTTGGCATATCTGATGGCGAATTGGCGGATGGTGAAGGCCCAGCCGTGGAGGCCAGAACCGAAGGCAACGGTACCCTTCTCGGGCCAGACTTGGACGTCACCAAGAGCCTTGTCAAAGTAGGTGGAGATGATGACGTTGACAGACTCGATGGTTCTGAGGAATGATTGATAAAGATCTTCCTTCTCGACTTGTAGTTCGAGGAGGGCTCGATCAACCTTGTTGATGATGACGACGGGCTTGATACGCTCTCCAAGAGCTTGTCGAAGGACAGTCTCGGTCTGAACACAGACACCTTCGATGGTGTCGACAACGACCAAGGCACCATCAGTGACTCGTAGGGCAGCAGTGACTTCTGAGGAGAAATCGACGTGACCAGGAGAATCGATCAAGTTGATCAAGAACTCGTTACCCTCGACTTTCTGGCAATGGTTAGTATCATGACCACTCGTGACGCATTGAATGAGGTCTTACCTGGGGGATGTCCTTTAGATCTTCCTCATCCGGTAGATGGGCATACAGAGAGATAGCCGTTGACTTGATGGTGATGCCTCTTTCTTGCTCGTCCTTGCGTGTATCTGTAAATCGCCTAGACTCGAGTTATTAGGTGTTCCTTGTTTCTCGAAGGGGCTCGCAAACGCTTCACCAGCTTTCGCAGCTGAGATGATACCGGCACGCTGGACAAGAGAGTCGGTCAGGGTGGATTTGCCGTGGTCGACTGTGTTAGTGGTCAGACAGGGTTTCATCCGCGGGGGACGAAGGGAGACGAACCATGTGCAATGACTGACATGTTACGAATGTTGGCCGGCTTCTCCATGAGAGCACGGATCTCGTCGACGGTGAAGCTATTGAAGTCATATTAGCGCCGGTTCTGTGACAGCAAAGCGCAAAAAGGCGCCGTACTTGACCATTGTGGCGGTTTTTTGGGGGGGGAGTAAAGCCTTTGAGCGGCGGTGAGTGTGCTCTCTTGAGCTGTGGGCAGAGGGGGGCAGAGTCGAGGTCTCGCTCGGTCTGCTAGAAAAAGCTGCGCTTGTCGTCGAAGACAAGATAAGAAGTTGAGGTGAGGTTTCGCAGCTTCGTACGAAGTCGAAGTGATGAGACTCGGAAGGTGGGAAGCAGATGTGAAAAATGCTAGTCTGCAGGTGGTGCGTAGAGGGGCTGCCAAGGAAATTCTGGAGTGGCAGTTAATATTTTGGTCTGACAGCGAATGTCGTTCGCTTCGCGCCACCTGGCAAAGGGTGGATCGCCTGGGTCGGTGTCAGACTCGCCACCGATCATGCACAGTCCAATGGACTTCCCCCGCTCTTCGACCGAATGGGTTAGTGCGGAACGGTCCATTGGCAGTGGGTGCCGGAGATAAGTGTGTGAATCACCATCCATCCTGTTATTACCACCCAAGCCTTGCTGGTCATAGAGTCGGTGGTAGAATCAGTAAGACAAGACTCATGCAGACGACATGAACCTTATGGAACCGAGATTCCCATTCGCGACAACACTATTGCTGTTGCTTCAAGCAGATCCAGCCCTTCCCAAAGCCCTATCAAGTCCGAGCGAGGTCGGGCTGGCATTGTTCACTCACAGGCAAATGACTCACTCACATGGGAATTAGATACGAAACCAGTCTAGTACAACAACCAGTAGGGATGTACCCATCCATTCTCTGCGACTCAACGATAGTCATTCAAACTGACGAGGAGTGGCCTGGGTACCTAGATAGTGACCTGGTGACTGTGTCTGACCATTACTAATATAGTCGTTCAGACAGTCAGCAACCCTGCTTTGTCCATACAAAAGATACCAAACTCAGGAATTCTTCAAAACGCCCTCGCTATGCCTCGCTATGCACCCAATGACCTTTAGCGATTAATCTTAGCTGGCCCCAAGAATTCGAGCATAAGCATCTTCGACTTCCCTGGCGATCTCCAAAAGGGAAACAATCGCGATAGAATGTGTTGCTTCCGGTAATTTGTCTCGATGCAACCCTATCCATTCTAACGGCGGAGTTGCCTCTCCCATGTCTCGAAGTTGAGGAGTGTCAATCATCGGTGGCACAAGAGCAACATATGTAAATCGGGACTGGGGAACATTGACCACCGCAGTGATTTTTTCTTGCCCGCCGTTCTCCCCTTCACCTTGTGGCTCGGCCGTAATCTTGACTGCTGAAGGAGCCAAAGGCTTTCCAAGTCGTTGAGCCACCCCGCGGGAATGTGTTTGCCACATACCACGAATAAAATTTATTCGTGCAAAATTCCATCCAACGTCCACTTTGCCCTCAAATGTACTGCGAAAGACATGTTCTATGATATTCGAGTCTGGTTCTTGCCACGTTTGCATGGACGAGACGAGTCGAGGGACCTTCACTATCGTGCCTCCTCGAGAAGTTGTTGCTTGCTCGATAACCTCTGGGACCGATACTTCGCTCAAAGCCTTCGTGGTGACTCGGTTCACATTGGATAGAGCTACCCTGACTTGACCTAGACTCATTCCGAGTCCACTATGAGTCTTGCCTTCAGTTGTTGCCACAGCAAATCGTGCCTGCACATCAGTCGCCTCGACCTTCAGGATCTGGGTGTCAAAGAATGTAGTTGGGAAGGCACCCAAATCCAATGCCTTGAGCGTCACAACTACGTCTGTGTGCAGCGAGAACGTGCCTTTGCTGGTGGACTTCTCCTTCAATTGTGAAGGTGGTGTGACCCAGCTGCTCGAGGGAAAGACCGACTTCCTTCGCAAGAACTTATCCAAATCGCGTAAAGAGGTTTGATAGGCCTCTTGCTTCTCCTGCACGAGCCTCTCGAAGGCCTGTACCAAAGCCAAGGCTTGTCCGGCTGTCGCGGTTGTACAAAAGATTTGCACTTTGCCACCATCAAGAATGCCTACCAAACGATCAGTCGCACTCCCTCGGCCTTGTCTGACGTTATACATCAAGAACTCGAAAGAAGAGATGTCTGCTACAGCAAAAGGTTGATAGTCGAAGGATGCCTTGACCCGAAGATGCTCAAAAGCAATCGAGGCCTGCACCAGCGGAGCTCTTCTGTGCGCCTCCGAATCTATGGGCCACCTGATGGAAGTTCTGGCCTTCATATTTTGAAGCTCGACAAAGCCGCTCATTCTGCCTGTGCTGTCGATGCCGACTCTGTCAAAGCCAATGCAAAGGTTTTGTTCCGAATCATTGTTCTTTTTCGAAGAAGCCCATAATTTAGAAATTGTTAAGACTGACTTGCCTAATCCCTGACCCAGATCGACTTGTAGTTTGATCTCCTGGATTGAGATGATAGCATGCCATGGCAGAGTTCCCTGGGCGGATATCTCCTGATACCGCTGCATTGCATAAGCCTGTTGATCTTGCGTCGTCGCAATAGACGTTGTAGGCTTCGAAGCACGTCGAAGCTCAGCAGGGTACCATATCTCGCGAAAGAGGAGAAAGTCTTGGACCTGTTTTGCATTGATGTCGATGTTCATCGGACTGATATTGAGAATGACGGAAATTCCAGTTCGGGAACTGACGTGCTTGCTGTTCATTAGTGACATCACAACTGAGTCGACTTCAAAGCTCGCTGTGGATTCCCTCGAGTAGACGTGTTGCACCGAGGCCTCAAGCTTATTGAAAGTAGTCAGAACCGCAAAAAAGCGCTCCTGATCGGGAGCCGATACTGTATTGACAGCCACAAAAATATCGGCGAACCTTGTTGTCGCAGCAACTCGCGCGATGGGCTGACAACTGAGGCTGAATTCCTGCCGCTGGATGTAGAGACCGGCATTCAATTTACAACGACCCAAGATTGCTTTTGGAGTGGTATTGGTGATCGTGGCATCGGAAAGATAACTGGTCCGCGGAACCTGTGGAGGAGGCTGTTCCGCAGTCGAGTCTTCGTCACCTAGAATTTCCTTGACACTGGATGAAATTTCGTGGATCAGAGGTACAACAGTTGGGTACAGGGTGTTTGATGATGCTGCCACCTTGACCTCGGTACTCAAGGATGGATCGTCCTGTCCGTTGTCGCTGTACTCAATTTTGAGTGCGACGCCAGGAGACTTCAATATTGCCGAAGTTGCATCGTCTCCTTGGACAGCTTGTCCGTACCGACCGGCACGCGATCGCTTTTTGCCTTTCAGGAAGCCGAAAACCGAGGTATTTTGCTGTACTTCAGCGCGTGGACTGATGTGGACCACAGCGCCAGCAAAATCTGCGTCTACAAGAAGTGAAGCCAGCCGGTTCCCTCCTAGAAAGCCGGAATGCTCTGTTCCAGATGTTTGTGGATTCTCTGTCGCAGATTTTTTTGCCTCCCGTAGATCGGCACTCGCATTGGCGATTGATTTTTGGAGAGCGTGGGCTCCAATGACAGAATCTGTCGCAAGCCGAAGATCCAAGGCTTTGCCCTTCGCTTGAAAGGCGAATCGGCGATCACGCTTGGTACTCAGATACACCGCACCAAAAACGACTTCTGGAAGCAGCGCAGAGTTAGCTGTTCGTTGAGTGGGAGAATCTGCTTGAGACTGAGGTACGATCTGCAATTGAGTGTCAAGAATGGAAAGTCTTGCAGTCCCTTCTTGTCTAGTCTGGAGGTCAACTCTGCGAATTGAGAAAACTAAATCTTCCGGTTCTCGCGTAGGGGATAGCACTGAGTGGCGCGTCAAGTTCCAGCGGATACAGATCTTCTCTAGATCAAGAGCGTAGGTGGAATCGTAGAGTGCCGAGGATGTCGACTCTTGTGACATCGTTGCTACCAAAGCAGCCTCTACCTGGTCTTTAGGCTTCAAGCGATCTGATATGCCCGCGGCTGTCATCCGCCTCAGTCGTGTGATGTTGTCAGAGGCATCGGCAAGTTTGATGGACTGAACACGGTCTTGGATGAACTGGGCGATGTCAACACCCACAGAAGCAGTTTCTTCATATAGTTCAACTGTAATGCCTTCACTTTTCGCGCGATACACTTGGAATGTGCGAGAACCGGAATCATTTGAAGTTCTTCCAGACGCTTTGAGCCCCACGACTACCTTCCCCACATTGACCTTATTGTGACCAGCTGTACGATAGACACTTAATCCAACTCCCTTCGAGTCGAGAGAGAACTGTGGGTGTTCGTATATTGAATTTAAGTCATCAGATTCATTATGAATGAAAAGAGTGGTTCCTTCTAGTCTCAATTCCATTTCAGCCTTGTAATTGCTTCCTTGGTGAACTGAGGGAGCGCTCATGTGTATGTTCACTCCTGCAAGTGTGCCATGAATAGCAAATCGCAACATCAACATGGGCTTGACAGGCTGTGTCGGGTGGGATTCAGCTGGGCGACCTTTGACCTGATCTAGAGACGATCGTATTCGCTGTACTAATCTTTTGGTATCCGGAACAAGTTGCACTACGCCAGGCTGATTCAGGGCGTCGAAACATGCTCTCACCCCAGCGGCCTCGAGGTTGACTTGTTCCACTGTCGTGCGTGCATGAACCACCACGAATTGGGGTGTTTGCCGCACCGAGAGACGGCCACTAATCGGTGGCATCTTCAGGATTGATAAATTGTTCCTAGCCGTCCCACGTGGTACTTCGAAAAGATGTTCGTGCTGTTTTATGTCAAAATTAATGTCTAATCCACCATCTTTGCGGGGCAAGACAGATGTCCGCGCAACGTTTCCGGCTATGGTGTAAGAGAGTGTGGGAACAATCGAGATTTTCAATCTGTAGTCGTCCAAAAACATTGCGATGTGGAGGTCGAGATCGAGAGGCGAATTGTTTCGAATGTGCCCAGCAGCATGGCTTTCGTCCTCTCCTAGCGGCATTTGATCTCTCAACCGCATAATGATGTGGACTTCGTCATAAATCACAGACTCTACAACACTTAGCAGTCCCACTATGTTTTCCTTCATCTCGAATCGGAGCTTGTTGCTTGCAGCGCCCACTCGTACAATCGTCTTTTCTGTCGATAAAGCTTGATATGAGACTGATCCATATAGTTTTGGCGACCTCAATTCCCACATCAGCAGTGAGCGTGAGTGACTCTTGAATCTAGCCATAGCTGTATTTGCTGCAATCGTGAAGGATGCAACCTCTGGTCGAATGCCGCCTGTGTTAAAAGAGACTGCACTTCTGAAACTCTCAGCGCCCCACTTCAACCTCAGGTTAAGTGTCGTAAGATATATCGAGGCTGCATCGCTTCCAAGGACAATGGTGAATTGTCTTCTGGTTACAGACTGGTCGACTTGAGCAGTTCTTTTGATGGCAACAGTTGGCTTTGCTGCAGCAAATGGGTTCCCCAGCTCTATGACTTGGCGTGCCAACTCAAGTAACGCCCAGTTGAGATGCAGTGCAATGTCCGCAAGGTATGCTTGTACGATGACTTTCTGTGTAGGTTGATCATTCAAAGATCCATCTACTGGGCCAAGAGCTAAATTCAAATCGAGACCAAGCATTGCTAGATCGCTTTGCCTCGGACCCGGGTCCAGAATGAACCCAAGTTTGCCGACGACAATTTCGGTGGAAAGAGCAGGAGGTCTTTCAACCAACCTGGGTGAACCAGGCCCAAGATCTTCGAAAAGCTTGTTCATGAGGGGCACTCTGTCCCTTGCATAGTCCCAACCGCGCCAACGTTCGAAAGAGGAGAGAACATCCTTCCGAGCCGAACTCTCAAGTTCGAGCGCTTTACAGTCACATACTCCCAATGCAAGCGAGTCGTTCTCACTGAGTAGAGTGAAGAATATATATCTGAGCCGGGTCATGATCTTCCAGGAATCTGTAAGGCGAACATGCTTGTCAGCGCTTCGTAAAACATAGGACGGTTTGGTCAAATAGACGGGGTCTGACACCGAAGAGCCTGCCTGAGTGAGATGATAGATCAAGTGTTTTGACTTGGAGCTTTCGTCAAGTCCAGAAAAGGCACCGGCAATATAATCTACCATTACCGCGCTTCGTTGTATCAACCCAGCCATATTAGCAAGCCGGTCTGACCACAGAACAATATCGAAGTTGCTCAGTTGGAGCTTTGATTTCGTTTCCTCTTTCATGTATAGCCAGAAGCCAGTATTAGCCAGGGACAACTCCGCTTGTGCTCCTGCCTTCCCAGGTTGAAGAGCATCGTCTCGAGCGCTTATGGATAGGCTTTGGATAGAGCCATAAACAACCTGGCTCTGTTCCTGAGCCTTCTGTTCCTGAGCGTTGGTCTTCCGGTGCAGCGAACGATACATAACCTGACTTTCAACCAGTTTTATGTTGTACTGATCATTAGAACCCGGAAACTTTTCACTTGCTACGATGCTGTTAATTAATTTGATATGCGCTCTGGGTAGATGAATCGCGATATCGACCAGGTGTCCGTGATCTCGATGCTTGTACATTTCCATCACCTGTTTCATGAGATCGATCTGAACTTGATCGAGCCAGTCAACCGGGCGATCTGTACGAAGCTCGCGGATCAGCTCTCCAATGGACAAGAACATATCCGGCGTGCAGAATCCAGATAATCCGTTTCCGACCAAGCAGACAAGTCCGTTGTGAGGCGTATGTTCGAATTCACCATGCTGTGTCTCGGACATGCTAGTATGTAACACCAGGTTACTCCATTCCTGGGCCACTAGGCTTGATGCTGGTGGCATATTCGTAGTGTCTGGCTGAACATTGTGCAGCGTGAAGTGAGGCGGGGTCCAAGGGCTTGAGAAAGTCACAAGATTAGTATGGGCATGTAAATCATTCATATCGGCAAGGTTGGAGGTGGTCTTGCCCTGAGCAATCAAGTTCTCAGAAGGAGGTAATGGATTTTTAGAAGTTCCACCCTGATAACCTCCCTTCAAGGCCGGGGGTAGTAAACGCCTGTCAGAAGCATGAGGTTTCGAAGCCCCGCTTCTATGTAGTGAGACCGACGAAGAAGAAAGAAATGAGCTCTTGCGGATTCTCTCTTTGGGAGTTTGTTTATTTCCGGTTCCGCCGAGCAGATTAGTGTTCCGTACCTGGCCCACTGGTTCAGGTAAGACAGGTACGGGCATTGCAGGTCTTTCGCGAGCCCAATCCGGCGTCTTGTGGTTTGCGGGATAGAGCGGATTGGCTTTTAGCAACCAGTCAGCACGGTGAGTACGCTGGTCGTGATAACGAATATGCTGTTGTTGCAAAGCCCTTGTGTGGGCAAGATCTTCAGACTTATCGAGGGAGCCCACGGTGAGCGAAGTTTCGAAGCTTGCATGCGTTTTGACCCGACCAGAGTGACCATCGTGATGGCGGATCGCGCTTGTATGGTCGACAACAGCAAATAAGATCCGCGGAACATGTGCTCTCAATGTTTTGGCAAAGCTGGAACCAGCCCAATCCCCAAAGGAAAGATCGGATTCGGACAGTTCAAACAGAAATGCAGCTCCAGTCGTCACGAGCCAGAGACGCAAGGCTGCAAGGTTGACCCTCAAGAATGTCACGTCGTGAATGATTGATTTCTTGATTTCTGGAAGCGCATTCTCATCATCATCCAAAGTGAAGACAAACGACATTATTGCAGGGATCAACGTTTGTATGAATTTGGACGAGCACTCGCCAGTGATTTCACCCACATCAATGTCCCAATTACAAACGTAGGTTGGTTCAGTTGGTGGAGCTCCGAATAGTCGGTGGCCATAGACGCCAGCACTGTCGATGAAGAGCTGGCAATTTGAGATGCTAGTGCCATCCTTTGAGTTGCTTGAGGGAGTGGACTGTATCGATGCTTCGAGGGGACTTGAATTAACTTGTAGATCCATGTAATAGTTGGTGAATCGCATATCCGCTTCAACCGCGAGCACATCGACCCGCACACATTCTGTCCGTGAGTAAATGTTAGCTGGCAGCAAGACGCTTGAGTTGTCAGCCCGTACTGTTAGGATAACGTCCAGATCGTTCTCCTTTTTCAGTCCAGGGCGAGGAGCATAATTCTCAGGATCGGCCAACATGTTCTGATATTCTTCCAATGTTCGGAAGTGCAAGTCTTCTCCAAAGTAATTTTCCTTGACATTCATGAAATAACGGATTAGGTACCCATGTAGGTAGAACTGGGGAGCGTATCCCGTAACCGTCATGAACAAGGAATCGGTCAAGGTGGGCGCGACATTTGTGTAGTAGTTGTAAGAGCCCTCTAGGCTGAGCTGCTTTAATGTAGCCGTTGTCTTTTCCTCGACAAGTGTATTAAGAGTGCTCCATAAAGGTGTCACCAGCTCCAGATAGGCATTGTGGCCTTCGGCGAGAAATTTGACACTGCTTTGGCGGGGGGCGAAGTACTGCATGGGAATATCTACATTCCCCGTAAGTTGTTGAAATCCCAAGATCAAGAATGCATTTTCCTCCAAGTCGCAAGGGTTGTCGATGATATTGTAGTCATTAGCATTGAGATATAACTTCAGGTTCGGGAATGTCAAATGGAGCTTGTAGAGAAATGGCACAAAAGTCATGTAATCGGGCTTCTGGCCCGCGGTGAAATCGCTTATCAGGTCAGTCAGCAGAAACATGTGGTCTCTCAAGAGAAACATTTCCATCGCGTTGTTCTCAACATCAAAGATCCAAGAGTGAGGGCTGTTCCAGGCGAGAGGATTTGAGAGGTCGCAGAATACCATTTGTGATCTGCACCGCCAGAGGAGAGCGTGGTTCACGCTTGATGTTGCCTTTGTATTTTTGAGGTCAAGCCTTAACAGGTTTTGATAGCCCTGACTTCGGGGAAACATATCCATATCATAGCGAACTGTGGAATCTTTCCCTGCTGAGACAGTCAACCAACCGAAGGGTCGAATATCAGGTCCAATTTTGGTCTTCTGAGATCTGCGAAAGCGAAAATGTCTTTTCCCCCGCTGTTTGCGAACAGCAGCTGCGTCTCGAACTGTATGGGCTCGCCCTCTCCATTGCCAGTCTTTTGAACGTTCTTTGGTAGGGACACGAAGGCTCACCTCATCTTCCAGGTCGACTCGGATGGTCATGACTGTACTTTGCCTCGGCTGCCCAACACCGAGAGCTTCTGCAGGAGTGACAGATTTGAATGGGTTTGGGAAAAAAACGTTCTGGATCTCCAGTCTGAGCCTGTCTGCCCACGGGCCGTAGTTGACAAAGCCGCCTCTGACAGTCAAATCCAAGCCATAACCTGGGGGGCTACATCCATTCACTTCGTCACAGTTGGCATCTGGTTCTTGCCCACCCTCCTGCTCTTCAACAACTTCGCCTGGAATGTCCCAATAGAAGTTCAGGTGTACTGCAGGTGAGTCCAAAACCTGTGAAAACCTGGCATAGTCCACATGGGACCAGCTTTCATGGTCATCCCTCTCATCTTCATCTAAATAGCGGGTCAAGCCATGCCATGACCTGTTCTGGTCGTGAAAGTCCTCGAAAATGAAATGCCCTTTAGACACCCTATCGGGTGAGGCCGAAGTCCGCAAGGATCCACGCGAGCTACGAAGTCCTGGAAGAAGGCGCTTCAAACCATGGCCAATCCTCCTGACTCGGTCTCCGATTCCGAAATCGATTTTCCACCACCGTCTTTTTTTGCGCAGCAGAGATTCAGCAGCTGATATATATTTCTCTGCGGCGGCAGTTTGAGATCTGCGATAGTCGGGATTAGGCTTCATTTCAACCTTGGGGTGGTCGATCTCGAAATCGAAAACTTGACGAAAGATGTCTAGAGGACCAGACGTAGCGGCATCTATGTGGCCGAAAGCGGATGCAAACGTGGTAACCATAATAGCACGCGTGTTCTCATTGCCCAGAGTGATAGCTCCTTTAGTACACTCGATTGAAATTGGCAGGGTCCTCACCATCAATGAGTAGAAGGTGGATACATTTGTTGTAGGCTCGTCTTCGCGGGAGGCAGCACTGGTGTAGGTCTCCATCCGAGAGATAGGGACCCTCGCTTCATCTGGCCCCAAGGACTGATCACTTTTCTCGTTGGAGAGTCTATCGGTTGAGGATTCGCTAGCGAATGTATCTTTAGAGTCTGGTCTTGCTGTCCCGAGGCGATGGCGTAGTTTCCCCGAAAACGACTTGGGCAGCATTCCATTTTTCTCCGGATTCGTGTCCTCAGTTTTCGACTTGGCCAAAGGGTCATCCTTGAAGAAAGAAGCATAGACTGGTGTGCGGTTGTACACGAACCATTCTAGGCCGGAAACAGTGATTGCAAGTCGTGCGTCGGAGGCGTCAGGTTTCCCGATGGGCCCCAGTTCTTGGTCGTCCTCAACAGTAGCAGAGGGTTGGGAAGCATCTCCAGGATTGGATGTCTTCTCTTTGAAGCTGACATGACTCTGATCATCCGTCATGGAGAGATCGACCTGGCGGGCAGACCGAAGCCAGTATCTCCAAGTGATGTAGCCACTCTGGATTAGGACAGTCTCATTCTCAGCATGATAGCGAAGACCTTTGAAGAATATCCTCCCGGCGAGGAAGGAGAGCTGAAGAGACTGGATGTCGATCCATATGCGATACTTGTGCCATGTGAAAGCTCTCAAGCCGTAGGACACCAAAGTTGCAAAGAGGCGGTTGAAGTAGAAGAGAAAGAAGAGGGCGAGACATGAACAGGTGACCAGCTCAATGAACCATGTCCTAGTAGCAGTTAGTAACGCTTGAAGTCGTACTCGAGGACGTTGCTGAGGATTCACCAATTAAAGCTTGTGCTCCCTGTAATGGGCTGGCCAACAAGGTCACCCAAGTCCGCCATGATGATTTGGGCCAGAACCGTGCGAGTTCTCGCTCATGTTTGTAAATAGCGGCAGGAGATGATTGTAGAGAGCATTCCGAAACGAAGACTGCCAGTGCTGAGACTTCGAGAGAGTGAAAACGGGGAAGAGAGCGAAGGCAGTCGTGCAGTGGTACATATGAGGCGAGAGGAAGGGACTGACCGCGTTGTGTTGGTCGCACCTGCACTTTGCATTCCACCGTTCCCCGCAAAGAGTGGCCGCCTGCAACTTGACGACATTTGCAAACTATGTACCGTACATCTCCATCTGCATCTGCATCTCCATTCAAGTTCAGTGCCTCACCCATGCATGCATGACTTTGCCAATTGTCTGCTCATACATCTTCCCTGCTAGGCCTTTCCTTCAGGCAACAGCCACAGCTTCTCTTCCACCTCCCACTCACGCGAACCGCCTCTGTCTACAACATGATGTCCTGCTCTAGCTCCAACTTCATGTCCACCTCCAGGTAGACAAGTACCCGTCGAGCCATTCTTCTCCTACAACCATGGCGTCAGCCACGAGCGCTGGTGGAACGGGCAACAGGCTTACCACAGTCACTATTATCCTGACTGGCGTTGCGTCGCTCGCTGCCACCCTCATATCCTTTCTGTGGGACTAATCTGCTATTGAGAAACCTACACAGGCTGATACAGAGCAGGTCTATTTGGCTGCAATCCAAGAACTACAGGAAGCCTCTGCTCCAACGATATGTCATCCGAATCCTGCTCATGGTCCCCATCTACTCAGCCTCTTCTTGGACCTCCATTGTTTCTTTGAAAGCTGCTTTCTACCTCGACCCCTTGCGCGATATCTACGAGGCCTTCACAATCTACACCTTCTTGCAACTGCTCGTAAACTTTCTCGGTGGCGAGCGCTCCCTCATCATTATGATGCATGGTCGACCTCCAGTCTCACATCCCTGGCCTTTGAACCTCTACATAAGCAAAGTTGACATCTCTGATCCGCACACCTTTCTGGCAATCAAAAGAGGTATTCTGCAATACGCTTATCTCAAGCCAATTCTCTCTGTCGCCACTATCATTCTCAAGCTCACAAATACCTACCAAGAAGGCTATATCGGTTTGACCTCGGGATATCTCTGGGTCGGTATCCTCTACAACGCCAGCGTCACTTTGAGTCTATACTCCTTGGCCATGTTCTGGGTTTGTATGCATGAGGACCTGAAGCCTTTCCGTCCCATGCCCAAGTTCCTGTGTATCAAGCTCATCATCTTTGCTTCCTATTGGCAGGGGTTTTTCTTGTCCATTCTGCAGTTTTTGGGTGCAATTCCAAATGTTCCTGGTTATTCTGCGGACAACTTGGCCGCTGCTATTCAAGATGCCCTCATCTGTTTTGAGATGCCTGTCTTCGCTATGGCACATTGGTATGCCTTTTCCTGGCACGACTATGCTGATGTAACAATTTCAGCCGCCCGGATGCCTGTTAAGTACGCTCTCAGGGACGCATTTGGATTTCGTGACTTGATTGAGGATACCAAAGAGACTTTTCGGGGTAAACAATACGACTATCGAACCTTTGATTCAGGAGACAATGTCATTGCTCACGAAGAGTCACACGCTCGTGTCGCAAGGATGATGGCAGGGATGCGATATGAGAGAGGTGGAAAAGGAAAATATTGGATCCAGAAACCGCAACAAGCCAACAGTCGTACTCCCTTGCTTTCCAGTGGTCCAGCTTATACGCGCCCTGCCCCGGAGGCCAGAGGGAAAGCCGGTGATTATCGAGCAGCAGATCCGGACTGGGAAATTGCGATCGACCCAGAGGACGAACGGCTGTATACTAATGCCAGGACCCTGGAATTTGGGGATTGGAATGTAAGCTGCTCGTCTTGTGGTGTACCAGGCCCATGCTTTGCTAACCCCCACCCTCCTTTTATAGTATCCTGTCATCACAGCGCACCAGGCTCGACGCGAAGACTGGCTACATCGTAGTCCTGGGCTGCTCACAACCTCGGCGAATCGAAATTTGTTCCAACCTACCCGTGACAACAAAACTCGACGACGAAGCCACCTGCGTCAGAGTATACAGAAGGGCAAGGCTCGAAGCACCTCTCCTTCAGAAGGCTCATCAGAGAGACCTTCCCGAGGAGGCGTTGAGTCAAAGCTTGGGCAAGGCCGGGATCAGTCAGCCAATTCTGCGCACTCGGATCGTAGCCAGCTCATCGACCTCGTTATGGAAGACACTGAGGCGGAAGAAGCGGAAAGGGTACGGGCTAGGAAGGAAGGCGGGGATACCTGGAATCGTACCGAGCAGAAACACTTCGTCCGTACATATAGTATCGACAAATCTGCTCCAGAAGGACAAGAGATCCGCGAAGGATTCGATCCAAGCCAGATACCCGCGAAGCACCCCCCGCCAGAGCACGCCGTTAGCGAGAATGAGGACGACGACAGTGAGAGAGGCGAGTCCTCAAGCCACGACGACCCCAGGAGATATGGAAGCTTGATTGAGGAAGACAACGTATGGGGTGGCAGCTGAGCCTCGGTCGCTTGAGCAGAGGTTGAGCTAGTTGACTTTGCGGGGGCTAGTTGCAGCTCAGCTTGCACCTGAGAAGCCATTTGTACACACCCATATTCCGGATCCAGGGTGCGGGATGCGTGGTTGCCTCCAACTTTTGTGCTTACATTGAGCGTTCAAGCGATTTGCGTCGGTAGGTTTTAAAGCCATTCAAGTAATACCAGTTGATTTGACCCTTGGATACAATCGAAGAATGCACCCACACATTCCTGATTGCGCAAGCTTCATTGTTCATTAATGTCACCATAGCTACCACAGGTATGTGCCTTTTGTTTGGACACCCAGCCGGGAACGGAATCGCTTGTTTCCTCCAACATCACCCCATGCCCTCAAGTGTCAATATGGCTTTTGCGTCCAAATAATGCTGTTGTGCTCTTCAAAGTTGATTGTATGTCATGACTAAGGCGCCCACCATGCATCTGTTGGTCCTCCTCCTCATCGTTGGTATTACTACGGCAATCAGGGTGCAAGACATTCCAAGTTGCGCGGTACGTTACTTTTCAAGCTCATGGTTGGAACCGGCTATAATTGACAGGTCTGCAGCAAGGGTGCCTTGGTAATTCAACGGCTGCCCAAACTTCGTGCGCCGTGATTGATATTGCCTGTCTCTGCTCGTCCGGCGCGTATGTCAGTGCTCTATCATGCTGTCTGTATACAGCCTGTTCTAGCGATGAGCAGGCCAGTAAGTCCAAACGAGCCAGTAATTCGAACAAATAGGCGCTGACGATGCCAGTCGCTATTCAATTCAACAAGCAGGAGTGCGAGGCTGTCAACGAAACAGCACCCGACTTTGTAGGCTGTTCACCTGCTGGGCTCTCGAGCGCCCTGTCCAGTGCTAGTGCCGAACAGGCTACAAGAGCTTCGTTTGGCTCTGCGTCAGCCACCGCAAGTACATCAGCCACTTCTTCCTCGGCCTCTGGTGTGTCTGTCATCACAGGAGATGTTGTGTCAGAGTTTCCGCCGACCCAGACCATGAAAAGAGCCACGGCGGATTTTGCCGGCCGGCCATTGATGACGGGCAGCTGTAATGTGCCTTATTTTGCGGTTGCGACTGGTGCTCCAGGCATGGCTACCCAATATCCAATCATCGGCTGCTCAGATGGCAGACATGATTGCTGTCCATTCGATCCCAGCACCGACGCGGTCCTTACCAGGTGTCCTCAGGATCACTTCACCACAGCAGGTGGCTGCTGTCCAATGTGAGCTCTATTCTCCCGAGTGGCGAGAAAAGGCTAATTCTATTCGCCAGTGGGTTTCAGATATATTATACTGCGATTGGTTCCCAAACACCTTGTTATTCAGACCCATTGACCAAATTCATCCCGGCGTCAACTCCGACGGTGGCTGGACTTACCTTGATCACCGATCATGTGTTTTCACAGCTGTATACAGTGGGAAAGCCCGCGACTGGACACAAGAAGTTGCCATTGGGTGGAATAATCGGGATCTCTGTGAATGCGGTGCTTTTCTTAATTGTGATAGTCGTGGTCATCTGGTGGATAAAGAGGCGGAGGGCAAGGAGGATTGCGATGCAGGCACGATCAACCACCTTTCCCCCTGAAGAGCCGTCTTTGCAGATGTCTCGAGCACCGACCACGCACGAACTGGACAGCCCAGATGAGGGAACTCGATCGGCGGTGATGAAGTCGAATTGGCCGCCCAACTTTGGAGCCGTCTCACCGCCAGCATACGACGTGAGCAAAGGACGGCCTATGGCAGCCACGGGCAAACCTATCCATCCAGCACCACAGGAGCTCCCGGGAAGCACATTCATTCACGAACATCACCCAGCATTTACCGGACCGACTCCTGCGGGTACCGACGCTCCCAGTGAGCTCTCTCCCACCTCGCCACCAAGAACACCCACCCAGAGCGCAGTGGAGAGCGAGAAAAAGTTACCTTTGTCTCCCAACACTTCGCGGACTGGTACCCAAAGCCCCCAGTGTGTGTCTCCGTTAGCATCACCAAAGCTGCCCTTCGTGGGGGGTTGAGCGTCGGGTGTGTACAGGTGGCTTGGGCTGTACTTGTATTGTCTGCTTTTTAATCAAATTGGCATCCGGAGAGGACGTAATGTAGTCAATGCGTTTACTCTATTACTCGGTTGAACATAAAGCGCCTCACCAGCTCATGGATCCTGATACCACGTGACAAACGCCCGGACAGGCGAACTGGAGTCTCGTGACCTTGGAATTGAGTTGAGGTGGCAAACCCAGGCGAAAGTCGGGTAGCGACTAGGACTAAGTAGTACTCTACTAGAGAGTAATTAGCAACTTAGGCACCGGAATAACTAGAAGCATCCACGAGTTCGACCACCGGGACGAATTCTGCCCTTTGGGATCGGAGGTCGTGACTCGTGACTCGTGACCCTCAAGCCGTCCCGCCAATTCTGCCAAACCTCACCACCAAAGGTCGTCCCATACTAACTAGCATCATCTCTACCATCCTCTTCATCTTGCCGTGTGGCAAGGCAATTCGTCTCTCTCTTCTCTTGTACCCTTTTTTTGTTCTCTCGACATTCTTTCCTTTGCGTGACTGATTTTTCTATCTATTCTCTCGCGGCCTTGCCGCCTGCTACTAGTCAATATGGCCTTCTTACAGACCCAGCTACCAGTAAGTCCCTCCATTACTCACTTCTAACGATTCTTCTCCCGTTCGTTTACTGACCGACTTGAATCAGAGTCTGTCTGCTTTAGGCCCCGATATGTATACTACCTTGCCATCCATCCTCACCTCCCCGCTCAAGACTTTGCGCCGGCATCGCCTCGCGCGCCTACGGGCTGAGGGAGACACTTCGGCTGGGGTTTTCCAACCCAGCAGCCGTCAATATAGCCAAGCACACGTATGTCACCGTCTATCAAGGATTTTCGACCCTCTAACACCGAGTAGGGACCATCCGCTGCCTGCTTGCCCGACTTCCTGACCTCCGTGCCCATCACCAAACTTCAACCCGGTCACCTGCATGTATCCTCACAAGGGTCGCCCCTTTGGATGTCTAGCAGCCTTCGCTCGCAGGTTCTCCCTAGTCATCATGTCCTCATGTCCCTCAGAAGGGCTTTGTCGACCAATGCTCAAAACGCGGCCCTCAGAACTCCGACAGTGCGGCCTGGAGAGAACAGCATGAAGATCTGGAATCAATTAGCTGGCGCAAACTTCGTCTTCGGACCTCCTCGCAAAGGCGGACCCAATCTCAAAGACCAACGTCGAACTCTCTCCAATACTCCTCGACTTGACAACCAGAATATGCTTGCTCACGCCGAACGAACCGCTAACAACAACCCTACCAGCGCCACTGCTCAAACAGCCTTCTATTCCGCTCTTCTCCGAGCGAACATGCCAAAGATTGTCATCGAGCGATATCAAACTGGCCGTTATGCTTCCAACCCAGCGGCGGATGCTACCTACCTCAAGGCTCTGCAAATGACCGGCTCTGTTCCAGCTCCCGGCATGCCTGGCTCAAATGCTACCTCCGCCAGCTTGAGTCCTGAAAGATTGCAAGCCGTGGGCCAAGCAGTAGCCGGGCAGAATTATGGTGGTCAGATGGTCACACCTGGAACCAAGCCGGGAACGGGAGCTAAGGAAGCACCCCTTTATGTTGTCGTTGAGGAGTCCTGGGGTGCGACTATCCTGAAATGGATCAAGACGTTCCTATGGGTCGGCCTTGCTGGCTATTTCTTATTGGTCGTTCTTACCATGGTCGTCGAACTCACTGGAAGTTTTCGGACTCGAGTCGGACAAAACAACGAAGTACAGCCTCAGCACCAAACTGTTCGATTCAATGACGTCCACGGTTGTGATGAAGCCAAGGAAGAGCTACAGGAACTGGTCGAATTTCTCACCAACCCCGAGAAATTCAACCAGCTTGGTGGGAAACTTCCCAAAGGCGTACTGTTGGTAGGACCGCCCGGAACTGGAAAGACCATGCTTGCCCGCGCCGTCGCTGGCGAGGCAGGAGTACCTGTTTTCTACATGTCTGGCTCAGAGTTCGATGAGTTATATGTTGGTGTAGGTGCCAAACGTGTACGGGACTTGTTCTCCCAGGCACGGAATAAGGCCCCGGCCATCATCTTCATCGACGAGCTGGACGCCGTCGGCGGCAAGCGCAATGCTCGCGATCCCGCGTACGCCAAGCAGACCCTGAATCAATTGCTAACCGAGCTTGATGGTTTCAGTCCTAGTACTGGAGTTATCCTGATTGCCGCTACGAACTACCCAGAATCTCTTGACAAGGCTCTTACCAGACCCGGTCGATTTGATCGCCATGTTAATGTTCCGCTCCCTGACGTGCGAGGACGCATCGAGATCTTGAAGCACCACATGAGGAATGTTCCTGTTGCCGCCGACGTTGATGCAACCAACCTTGCAAGAGCCACCAGCGGAATGTCTGGTGCCGACCTTGAGAACCTTGTAAACCAAGCCGCCGTACATGCATCTCGTTTAAAGTTCAAAAAAGTTAACGCTCAAAACTTCGAATGGGCCAAGGACAAGATCATGATGGGTGCTGAGCACAAGTCTCGAATTATTCGGGAGAAGGACAAGGTTATGACGGCTTATCATGAGGCCGGCCATGCGCTGGTCAACATCTTCACGCCAAGCAGCAGCCAACTCTACAAGATGACCATCATTCCCAGAGGCCGTGCTCTAGGAGTTACACATTTCTTGCCTGAAATGGATGCAGTTAGTATGGGCTACGATCAATTTCTCGCCTCGATCGATGTGTCAATGGGTGGCAGAGCAGCCGAAGAACTGATTTATGGACCCAACAAGGTCACCAGCGGCATTCAGGCAGACGTCCAGTCGGCCACGCGAACTGCTTATCATCTTGTCACACAATGCGGCTATTCTGCCAAACTGGGCAATGTCGATCTCCACAGCGACTACAACAATCTATCCAGCGAGACAAAGCAGGAAATCGAGCGTGAAGTGCGGGATATTGTTGAAGCAGGAAGACAACGGGCCGATAAGATTGTCAAAGAAAAAAGAAAAGAGCTTGAGGCTCTAAAGGATGCCCTTCTTGAATTTGAGACCCTTGACGCTGAAGAAATCACAAAGGTTATGCGAGGGGAGAAGTTAAAGCGCCTCGAAGTCGAGTTACGCGAAAATGAAGAGAAAAATAATGAAAGTGGAGGGAGAGGGAACAATCCCCAACCCAAGAAGGATAAGGAGACTGGGCCGAAAGGCGGCGTAGGAATCAAGCTCCCTGATGTCCTGCTACCACCGGCCACCGGTGGCCGGGGAGGTGAGAAAGAGAGCGCACGAGTGAGCGAGAGATGACATTCCGCGTAATGGATGCTTTTCCGTTTCCTGTGCTGTATTAGCGGGTTTAAAAGGACTCAGTTTTCTACTTTTCGGGTTGAAAGAAAATATGTTACTGTTTGAAGCTGGACAGAATCCCTCGATGCTTTGCTGACTAGGCTCTGGCATTACCCAGAATTAAGCTATATCAATCGAATAAGTCGTCTTCACTCTGAAAAACTCCATGAATTCGGTAAACTACCAAACTGAAAAGCCCTAGGACCGTTTCTCAAGCATTGCTCAACATGATCGCTCACTGCCAGATGATGATGGCTATCAAAGGCGCTAGCCGATCCTACCGAGAAGAGCAGAGATCTATCAGTTTACTCTACAAGCAACGAATTAACCTGACGGATCCACCGACAGCTGCTTCTGCTGCCATTCCAAGAGGTTGATCATCCTCGCACCTCTTCAGAATCTACGAGGGTCTTGTGTGGCCACTCCAGAGGCAGGTGGTAACTCTCACCCCAGGCGCGCTTGCGGGGCTCTCCAGGTTCTTGGATCACCTCGTCGTCGATCGCCCACCAACCCGAACGAGGCTGAACAGTATCCAGCCCCAGGGCGCCCGAAGCCGTCGGGGTCCCACTGTTGGAGAACTCCATCGCGACGGAGCCTGCCACCAGCGTCATCGACCATTCTTTCTCTGAATCGCCGGGTCACGGGGACGCTCATCCAGCCGTCCGGGACGCAGTTGGACTCGATCTGGCCGTACTTCACTCGGACCATGCACAACACCTGGTTCTTGCCCTCCCCGTATTCCGGGATTTTATACTGGCACCTCGCATCCTCGCCCCAGAAGCAAAACGCCGTGATCCAGCCGTCGTAGTACGACTTGGTCTCGTACGTGCGCGTGTCGTAGTCGTTGTACGCGCTGAGGATCGACTGCTAGAACTCCCGGCTGGACTCCGTGTCGGGCTCGTTGAACGTGCGCACGAACCGCGCGCAGATTGGCTTCAGCAGCCCATACCACGTCCTGGGCTGCTCCCTTAGGTGCGGGATCGTCTCGAGCCGCCGCTCCAGGCTCTCCCAGTTGCTCTTCTCGCTCAGCAGTGTGACCGACGGCAGCCAGCACTTCCCGTACGGCACGAACCGGATATACTCCTCGAACGCGCCCATCATCGCCATCGCGTACACTGTAGAGTCCATGGGCGTCGTCGTCGAGAACCGCGGCGTGATCCGCTCCCGGAACCCCCCGGGTCGACCAGCACCTTTTCCGTCAGGCGCGCGATGTCGAGTGCGACGTCGCCGAAGCTAGGGAGGTCTGTGATGTCGACTTCGAGATCGAGCTGCTCGTCGTCGGCTTTTATTTGTGGAAAGAACCGACCCCGGAGTTCCGATGCGTGCTCGTGGATGTAGATCTTCAGCTGGATCAGGATCGCAAGCCAGATGTCGTCTGGTCGGAGAATCAAACGGGAGCGCTTCGTATTTCAGAGGAGATCGAGATCATCTCACCCATGAGACCTGCGGTTCGCCTTGAAACTCCACAGTTGTCCCGAACATCGTTGTGCCCCTGTGAGGCTGAGTGTTGCGAAGCCTTTCGGGGCGAATGATTGGCGATCGCAGGGGTAATCGTGCTCCAGGCGGTGCAACCACCGATACTTGGCTATCCACATATGGCGTCAGGCTCGTGCCGGATCGCGGCGCCTGTAGGATAGCCTAAAGGATTGGCGGATTGCGTTGCTGGCTGATCCGATCGCAGGTTGAAGGAAGTCCTTCTCGAATCTCTAGTTACTTAACAGGGATTATTGCTGGATTATGATTGATGACAGGGAGAAACGCTTGTCACAACTTACAACTACCTCGCTCAATACGACAAGAATCAAAGCTTGAGCGACCAGAATGAGTGGGCTCTGATCAAGCTCGTTCTTGATGTCCTGAATGTGTGTAATGGAAGCCCCTTTCCACAATCCGCAGTGTAACCGATGCGCTTAGTAAGCAATATTCTGTGCTCCTCGGGTGCCTCGCACGACTAACAGAGGCGAGGGAAAATCTCGACAAAACAAGGTGACAATGTCAACTTTCGTTCACATAGTGGTCCCTTTTACGGATACCTTTAACGGCTATCTTATACTCTGCTCAATATTCAAGAATCCATGGGACGAAATGAGGCTCTGACCGCAGTGAGAGCATATGAACGATCAGCATGGAGTGGGCATATACCATGTGTTGCATGGCGACCAACTGATCTCGCCACCGTCTACAAGCGTGATTTTGCTCAAAATAGAGCCCACCAAGGAGGCGGAAGCTCAACCTGCACCATTGGTCGTTCTTTCAGAGTCAGCAGTACACTCAGCGTTCCAGATTTATGAGAGCACTTTAGTTTATTTCAGAAGCTCTCACAGCATTAGAGGCGAGGCAGTGGCTTTGCTACGGGGAGCCTGCCTGGTCAGTTTAGTTTCTAGGAGCTCGCTGCCGCTACCGTCAACAATAAACCCAAGCACTTTATTAGATCAGTTGCTCTCGACCAGGTTAATGTTTGCATCGTGTGGGGACATTATTAATGAGCATGTTGCGCACCTACATGTGACATTGTTTCCAGAACGTAACAATAAGACCACCTTTGATCCTCGGACGATTCTTACCATAAGACCACAGATAGTTTCCCCTTACTAAATCTGTTGGAAATCATGCCTTCGCTTTGTGTTTGGCGGTCTTAGCGTGGCAGGGAGGAGACCAATCTTTCTCGCAAGGTGATGCTAACCACGCTATATATTGCTACCATGCTGGCCTGTACATTATCTCTCAGATTTCGATTTTTCTGCATCTGAGGATGCAGCTACTGCTTAATTTGACAGCAATCTACTCTAGCATCACTACTGACTTGCAATTGGCGGAAACTTCAGGAGCAGGAGTATCCTCTCAACATTTTCAACCTAAATATGCGCCCATCTTCAAAAAAAAAAAAAAAAAAAAATCCCCGCGTTATTCAAAGGCAGCGATTCATCCAAGGAATGGGTGGACTATCAGGAACGGCGACTGGATTTCCTTGCAGTCCTGTGCAGTTCGAAAACAGGCATTTAGAAGCTGAATCCTTCTTTGGTGAGAGCCTCAGGGCACAGCTCCTTAAGTGTAGAGCCTGTAGACCTAATGAGAAAGGCAGATATGATTGAATTGGCTGTCAGGTACAGCAATCTGGAGAAGTCGCAGGACCATTTAGGTACAATCGACGATGAAAGATCTTGTTCCCCTTGTTGCTACTCGTTTGATGCCACCAAGTCGAAGTTCGACTTTTCCATCCACGGCTCATCATCAACGATTACTACAATCTCTGAGTTGACTTTCTCTTGCGCAATCAGTAGAGGCACTGGCGGCGTGCGAAGGAGCTGATGTACCGTTGGGAGCGAGTATCTCCTGGCTATTTCAACTCTGGCGAAGTCCAAGGCTCTCCTGTCGGACAACGCCTCTTGTGGGCAGCACAGGTCTTTGCCAATAATAATAGTCAGAGTATGGCTTGGATTTACACCATCAGTGCACTTAGTGAGATTAACAAAGCGCGAATTCACCTCAAGTAATCCGATAAAGGCAACTTTGATAATATGGCGAAAGCATTAAAAGTCATCAACCTGCTCGTCCAGCTCTCAATACGTTTGCAGGAGTTTGGCTCTGGACCTGACATGGATGCTGCCCAATCAAACAACTTTATGGGACTGCCTTCACAGGAAGCGATACGTGAATCCAAAAGGACAAGGTCAGTGATGACTGCCTTCAACGCTATAGACCTTATTGAGATGGTGCGAACGCGTACAATTACAGACTGGGTGTCGCAGGATCGAGGGATCTCCCGAAGTTATCTCGAGATCACACGCAAGATTCAAACCTGGGAGCACCGCAGACATATGCAGCAGGAGCTGAACACGGCCGAGAGACAAATTCTTGATCTTCTAAATTCAGAAGTTGAGGATCTTGTGAAAACAGAAGGAATGCTCGAAGCAGAAATCTCCTTTCAAGCGGACGCACAACCATCGCGCAGCCTGAACACCTTTCTCACCTCCATTCAAGAAGGGGACTTAGTCATATATACAAGTGTCTCGGATGATGGTCTTGCTGTCTTCGCGTTGGACATGGACGGAATCAAGCACGTTTCAAGGAACGCTGATGCCAGTGCTCCTCAAATTAACATGCGTGTGGCGGACCACTTGGACAGCATAGCCTGGTCCAAGGGACAAAATCTTTCTCAACGAACAAGGGGCCTAGGCGAAACGCTTGCTTCCTGGCTCATTGACCCAATTCTCAATTACCTGGAACGGCAAATTCTGTTAGAATTGTGCCTTCCGGCGACCTAATGCAAGTACCGTTCAGTGCATTGCCTTACAAAGGCGATTATCTTCTCCTCCGCAAAAAGCCTCACAAGTCCCCAGCGTGACAACATTGATTCATCTGAACTTGAACCACTACCGAAGACTACCTAGAGTTACCTCGTCGACCGGCCGATTTTGTACTGTTGTGGCAAAACCTGGGAGCACACGTGAGGCGAGAAAGCCAGATGGGGAGCCAGAATTACGTATGGCTGGTATCGAGGCGGCCATGATTTCGCATCTCTACCAGACAAAAGCATTGCGGGCAGCAAATATGTCGCGCGATGATTTTCGAGATCATCTAAGCAGTTCCGCAATCTTCCATATTGTGACTCATGGTCATCTCAATGCAGATCATCCTCTCAGATCTTGTATCTCGCTGAAAGAGAAGGGGCGCATCCTGGGCGTCACAGGAATTGATGCCAAACCTATGCTGGCAGTCTTCAGTGTCTGCCTGACAGGTCTGGGAGAAGCGAGTGACAGCGGCGATATGCTTGAATTTTCCATTCACTTCCTCCGGCAGGAACAACGGGTTTCATTGGTGCGCTGTGGAATGCAAATGATGTGGGCTGCAATGATACATATGGATCTGTTCCACCAGGAAATATTGAGCGCGACGATTTCAACAGTAGGAAACTGTTGGCAGAGGGCAACTAAAGCCCTTTACAACATGCCTCTAGATAAGGTCATTGTGCTTCTGTCCGGTTGGATCGAGCTCTGGGACAAGGTTCAAAAAGAGCTCGGATATTAGAAGGAATTCATTATGAATGGAAATAGGAAGATCCAAGGTGTGATTGACGAGCTAAAACCCGACTCGGTAGAAGTATGCTCGATTTCAAATACCCATACATCTGGGCGCCTTTTACATTGGTCGGCAGAGCTGGAATCAGGTATACCTCGAGAACTGAGCGTGTGACGTCGGACATCCCACCTCCGGATTCTCATCTAGTGGATGGAAAGCCCAATGTGCAACACAGTAGCGGTTTATGAGTTCCGGCGTTTCGAGTGTTGTGGGCTGCTCGCTCTGGAGGTGGACTAGATATGGTTAGTGGAAGTTCTCAGCTGGCAAGACAAGGAATGAATGACGAAAATGCGAGATTTGAGAATCGCTTTACAATATGAGTGAACTGGTGATATTGCTTTCTAGGCCGATGTGGTTGCTGTCACCTAACATCCCTTGAAACTCAGCCTTGTCATACTCAATTCAGTCGCGTGCTATGGCAAACCTCACGCCTCGTATGTATGTAGTTAGGCACTCTTCGGCATTATGGCGTACTCCGTACCCATGGCGGATCGAGCAACCAGATTTCGTAGGCAACTTAGCCGAAGCCTATCTGGTCCAATGACATATGCCTGCCGTTCACGAGACGCTATCTGAACACTTGTGTTGGACTCGGTGAAACCTATGCTTGCAATGAGTTCGATGACCTGCTGCAGGTCCATAACTACAGACGTCGTTGATAATGCCAGTGTTTCTTTCAGGTTGAACTTCACAACTGATACCTATGGCTATCCCTATGCCAGGCTCGCCTTCGTCGTCATGGCCCGTGTTTCGTGAGCGTCTGAAGCAAACGTTCAGAGGCGCAGACCCTAGAGTCTGTATGGCTTTCTGGCTTTTTGGTGAGTGGGACTGAGTGGCGTCGAGAAGCCCCTGGTCTGCTATGGGGTCGCTTTCTGTTGCAACCGCTAATACGGCCGCAGGTTTGATCAACAATGTCCTCTACGTTATCATCTTGACTGCGGCTCTTGACCTCGTGGGACCGGGTATCCCCAAGGGCGTGGTGCTTCTCGCCGATGTCATTCCTTCTTTCCTCACCAAGTTACTGGCGCCTTACTTCATCCACGCCGTTCCTTATTCTATCCGAATCCTGATCTTCGTGGGCTTGTCTGCAGCCGGAATGCTGTTGATTGCGTTGACGCCGAGTTACATCGATGGTGGGACAATATCTACCAAGATGGCAGGTGTAATACTGGCGTCTTTGAGTAGTGGTGGTGGTGAGCTGAGCTTTGTGGGCTTAGTCCACTACTATGGACCATTTTCCCTGGCGGCTTGGGGCAGTGGAACCGGAGGTGCTGGCCTGATCGGTGCTGGCGCATATGCTCTAGCAACAACATCCTTCGGCCTGAGCGTCAAGGCAACAATACTCGCATCCGCCTGCTTGCCAGCAGTCATGCTGGTGAGCTTCTTCCTCATTTTACCACTTGAGCCAATTCGATCGCATGCCAAGAGCAAACAAGTCAATATCAACAACGTAAGAACAAACGATGCCGACGACATCGAGAGTGAACAGAGAGAAGGACTGCTGTCAGAGACTGCCTCCCTCGGGGAAGGATTCATTTCTTACGACAAGGGGACATCTGCCTGGAGTGTGTTCGAGCACAACTTGATCAGGGCAAAAGGACTCTTTTTCCCATTCATGCTGCCTCTTCTGTTAGTGTATGTGGCAGAGTATACGATCAACCAGGGCGTCTCTCCAACATTGTTGTTCCCACTGAAGGAGACACCTTTCAAACATTTCAGAGCCTTTTACCCTACGTACAATGCGATCTATCAAGCCGGGGTCTTCATTTCAAGATCATCAACCCCATTTTTACGGATCCACAATCTATACCTCCCCTCTTGCCTACAAGTGGTCAACCTGGCAGTCCTGACGTTCCACGCGCTATATGATTTCATCCCCAGCGTCTATATCGTGTTCACCATCATCTTCTGGGAAGGCCTGCTGGGGGGATTGGTGTATGTAAACACATTTGCGGAAATTAGTGATACCGTCCCCAAGGAAGACCGAGAATTCTCCCTTTCGGCAACGACCGTGAGCGATTCAGGTGGGATTTGCATTGCCGGGTTTATTAGCATGGTGTTTGAGGTCTGGTTGTGTAAATGGCAAGTTAAAATGGGTAGGGATTTCTGCAAACAGCTGTGAGGACTGCTGGGAGTACCGTGTACTGGAGTAGATCTGGGTTTGGTCACCAGAATTGATAGCATTTAATATCCCTACCAATCACAACGGGTCAAGATGGACCCGTGGGCCATGGAGAAGTTAAATGTTCCTTTGAAATGCGATATCACGAGTAGGCGATGAAACTCGAGAAAGCCCCATTCCTGTGCAGCATTAAGGCCCTTACTCCTGACCCTGACAGGTCCAGGATCGACAAGACCCAGACGGAAAGCCAAAAGTGGGCCGAACGGCCCAGCTGAGTGCGAGAGGGCAAGGCACGCGAGCGAGACAGTCAATAAATAATATGGATGCTAAACACTTCAGGAAGCGAACACCTTGTCATGTATGTCTGTTATTGCTCGGCCGCGCTTTGTGCTAGTTTGAGACTCAGACAGGTCGTTGTGTTCTCGAAGTGAGGATAAGGAACCCGTCTTCATGAGCTTGATCGTGCTTGAGGCAGTTTCGGGAGAAAGCCCGATTTACGAGTAATGGCAAACATCACGACCCCGGGCCAAGGGGGCCCTTGGGCCTGCACTCGCCTAACTTAGTTGATTTGAAAGCGACGAGCCTGGTTGGTTTAGTGGCAATTTAGGCGCACGGCGGTACCTGGACTAATGGTTCCACAGGCGTATGTACATAATAGGACTTAAGTTTAGGTGCAAAAAGTCAAACGACATCTTATCCCTGGCACTACTGGCAGACGCCAGAAGCCCATCCACCAAGCTTACGAGGATGCTCGAACACGGCCCTCGTACGGAGCATGTAGCTAGGGGATCCATGGTCTCTCTCCCAGACCCGTGCTGGTCGTGGGTCAATGCATCCACCATTCAGTGGAAGGGAGAAAACACAATCAATCAATCGTTTCTTCAGCTCCTGCTGATTTTTGACAGGTGTGCTGTCTATCTTGTTTGGCGCTCTTTTTCGCTCCTCTGTATCTCTCTTTTCTCTTACATCGTTTGTAAAGCCTCAAGAACCCCTTACTCAACAGGGTTCGTTGCGTCGTCTTCTCTTGAGAGCGTATTCGTGCCTATTACTTGTCTCCTCCCTGTATTCCTGGCCCTTTTACTTACCACGAAGGATAATCATCGAGTCACTTACGATCAACACACGAACAGTGTGAAGGGGCCAGCCTTCCACCAAACCACGTGCCCCTACGTTTTGCCGCAATATCTACCCAATGCGACGAACGTCCTAGCTTGTAGACAGCAACATCGACCAGTCAACCACGTTGAGAGTCGTGATGCACCGACTCTCGGCGAAGGGAACCGAATCATCATGACCCGTCTGGTCCACCCAGGTGCAAGTTCTAGAAGAGAAAAAATGGATTGGCGAACGAAAGGACGACAGGGATTAGAGGTCTATAATCAGGAGACCATTGAAGAGCAAACTCGTGGATTGGCAACTCTATCGAGAGCACCTGCAGCTATGGAATCTGCCATGGAGCATGACAACCTGCGCAGAGAATACAGACCTAACATGGACGAGCGACCGACTCACTGGGCTCAAAGACAGCATGCTTATACGCAAAGCTCAGTACAGCAACAGAACCAACAGCTGTGGGCATTGCAACGCCTTCAGCATGACCAGCATCTAAGAGATGCAAACCAAGGTACGTGACAAAGATTGTGAGAAAAATGAACCAGATTGTGTCGTCAGACGGACATCATCCTGTCCCAGTTGGAAGCCGATATTTTCGTCCAAGCCAGGGCGAGCAATCTTCATGCATGTGCCCGCCTAGGCCCCTGTTTGTCAGCGTGCATTGGTGTGGCCTGCACGGGGTCATGCCACCCCTCGACTTTTGTGATTCACTGAAGTCGCAGGTAGGAGGTCAGTCATGGTGGCGGCGGCAGCAGCATCAGCAGCGGAAGCGACAACAGTGCACGAATACAGCGTACAATAGGCAACAAGGACCGGGCTACCACGAACACAACACGAGCACAGGCGCAAGCAGCAGCACAGGTAGAAAAAGACACCGACAAACCAGGGCCCTAGGCTTGTTTGAAGAGACCCTTGGCGGATCGACGTCATTGACTTGGTTCGATCTTCCGCCCAGCGACATCCACCCACCGCTTACCGCCTCGGGCTGAAGGCTAAAGTGAAGCCTCAGCCTGGCTTGCCCAAGACCCGATCCCACCCCCCGACATTGCTTAAACCTTAAGGAGGTGGGGGCCACTGGTGGCTTGACGGACATGTCTAGTTGGGCGTTTTGGCTGGTGACAGGGGTGGTACGTTTCGGCTTATTAGGCTTCCCAGTTGAAAGCCAGAGAGGCACCTGCGCTCCAACCCGAAAGGAGCCAGAGTGCCCTCGGCACCCTGGATCCCAGGGCCCACCACTGTGGTCGAAGTGCCACTGCACTCCCTAGAAGGCGACCTTTCGAGAATTCAAACAGTTGCGAGTACGGAGCCCCCCAGGTCAATCTGCCCTCTGCCATGCTGAAGCAGTCCATAGTCGATAGTGGCCCACCTCGGCCCTCGACCATTTTCTGCCGTCTGACGCCGTTTCGAGGAAGAGCGGTCTCGACTATTGGCCCTTGGTCCCTGCAGAACGGCAGCCACTACTGCTAACTGCCTAATCGCCATTGCCCTACCCCAAGCCGGGAACACCGCCTAGTGGCTACCGCCCAGCTAGTGCCTGGCGAAAAAGAAGCTGCTGATGGGGTTCATGCCATCACGTTGTCATCTGCTGCATGAGCATGCTACCACTGCTGCCTCCCCTGCGGTTGCTGTCCCTGTCCACTGGGACCGACCTTTGGTTGCGCCGTGTCCTTACCCCCAGACAGCTGTTCCTTCCGCAGCCCCACCCTGCACCCTGGCTTCCACCACTGAACCAAGCCAAACCAAGCCATCCCATGCCTGCCTGACTGTCTGGCACATCCGCACCGCACCTTTTCCTTTCCCCATCTTAACAAGATTCTCTCGCCTTGCATCACACACCTTTCCCCAGTATTCCATTGCCTCTGCTTTCGTCCGCCATAGGTCTTTGGATTGTCTGATCATCTACTATTGTCTTCAATATTATCTCTTGACAACCGACGCTCGTCGACATGCAGATGGTCTTGCTAACAGGATTTCCCTGCTCCTAGCACCGATTGTCGTACCCGCACCCGAAATCGCGCCTCCGCATCATCTGCATCGCCTCCCTGTTGATCATCCCGCAGTCCAGCACCAGCTCTCGCACTCTCTACATCCTCACCCAGCCTACATCCAGACCGCGACAATGGCCATGCCAGGTCACTCTCCCTTCAATGGGCCCTCGAGTCCACCACGCGCCTACAACAGTATGTCTTATCCCGTCCATGCAAATCCTTTTCACCTCCTAGCATCGGCTTCAAGACGTCTCTCTTCACTCCAAGCATTCCACCGCGCATGTCTCTCATCACATCCTTTCACTTGTCCAGCCCTCCAGATCGCTAATACACCCCTTTAGGTTATTCAGAATCTCAAGCTCCCCCTCCTGCCCAAATGTACGCTCCCCATCCTCGACCGATGCTGCCACCCTCACCGCAGCATTTTCCTCCTCCACGATATTCACAACCCCCCTTTCCTGTGCCATCTCCATCCGCACCGCAAAATAATGGACCTCCACCTCCACATAAGAGACCAGGAAGCAGTATGTCAATATCTTCAATGCTGGGGACGGCCGAGCCAGAGAAATCGGCGCCGGATCAGTTCCATCACCACAATCACCATTCTAGAAATAATTCGAGGACGGCGTCTATCTCTGGAACAGCCCTACCAATCGCCACAGTCATGTCACCTCCACAATATCACTCCAAAATGCAAGCGGGAGGTGAATATTCATACAAGCCAAGATCGAAGACCCCCGACCGAGTCTCAGTCACATCTCCGGGAGGGGCAAGACCACATCGCTCGAACTCAGGAAATATGATGCAACGCCCAGGGCCTTTCTATGAACCACCACCACGTTCAACGCCGAATCCTCAACACATAACCCACTTTTCAGAGCCCAAGTACACTCCTCCTTCTGGACCTACAGCTATGTCAATGGAAGAGAATGAAGATCGAGTGCGGCGCACGAGCATCAGTGGGCTTCTACAACGACCAGAAAGCCAGCCTCAACTCGTTACTGGTGCTTCCGGCTTTCAGTCAAACCCTGCCCAGCCAATGCGGCCGGACAGCATTCCTCCCTCTTTTGTGCAGATCGAGCGCCCACTGCAACACGCCATCAATGGTTCTGAAATCCCTCGACCAAATGGCCCGGGGGGTTCCTACGACACCCGTCCTCCTAGCCTACCTTCCCTTTCTCGTCTACCATCTGCAGGCACTGCACCCCAGAGCCATGCTCCTGCTCAGGAACGACCTCTCCCGCAGTCACTATCACCCGAGATCCGACGGTTGCAGCTAAGTGGGGTTGAAAATCGAGGGTTTGCAGGTTTATTGAATCACCAGATAGAACATGCTCAAGCATCTCAGACAATGATGCGGCAAGATTCTATGCAGTCACAGAGTGACAGATCCATCCTTGGCGACCGACCTCGCATCCCTAATCGAGCTTACTCACCTTTTGCTGGCTCCGTAGCTTCGCAACACAATGGACTTTTCGATGATCTAGGCCGCAAAGGAAGCGATGAATTGTCCCAGCACAGAGCGATTTTGTCTTTAGCGAACGATTCAAAACGCGGAAGATACTCTCCTGTTCCCCAGGCTGTTCAAGGTGCCCAGGCTCAAACTCCTGTACCTGATGCTGCCATCAAGACTGAACACGGACGCGTCTTCTCTGGCTTGGGAGGAGGGTTGGGTACCGCTAGCAGCGGCCCAACTTCAACGCCGCAGCCACTATCTGCAAGTCCTTTTAAGCAGAATGACGGAAGCGCCCGGCTAAGTGAGGAGAACTTGATGAAGATGTCACGCAGCACCTCAGGTATCAGTAAACGACCTCGCAAAGCATTGCAGGATGACCAACGTGCAGAAAGTGACGTCGGCGATGTGAAGAGACCTGGCCCGGGGAAAGGCAAGAGAAGCAAGTATCAACACTCTTACAAGCTGGAACTGGAAGATGCTTCTGTGGACCAAAGAAAGAATGCTCCGTTTCCCTCGATAAGCAATCGCAGAGCCGCAACACCTACATCTCATCCATCGCAGCTGCATCACAATCAATTGCAACGTCAAGCCTCAGCTGCTGAGGTCACACCTGTCTTCAGACCCAAAAAGACGATCAGAATATCATCGGTAATAGCTCTAGCGGGCCGCAATCGACGTCGTCATCTAGGCTCATTCAAGTACGATCCCGTTGTTGCTCCCACCGAGCTTCCTAGACCGAGTCCGCTCAAATTCGATGTTTCAATACGACCCAGTCTGTTACCATCATTCGCAGATGCCGAACATGTCAATTGCACCTACACAATACGCGTGTCAAGAACCTGGCTTCAACCGCGAGAAAGAGGCATCATCTGCGCGGAAAGATATCTTTGGGGTTCCGGCATTTATACTGACGACTCGGATCCCTTGGCTGCAGCCATGCATTCGGGCTTCATCTCTTCTGTGCACCCTGCAGGAATTGACGAGGCATTGCTCGAACGAGTCATTGAGGAGCAGAACCCTAGGATTGAAGGGAGCACTGCTCCAGCAAAGCCCAAGAACGTTGAAGAAGGGAAAGATCTGCATCTCACATTAGTTGTCCTGCCTCAATTAGAGCAGTACGTGGAGTCTGTCAGATTCGGGATCAAATCCCGGACTTGGCCCGAAGAATCATCTACACTGTCAGAGGGAGCAAACACCAACAAGACTCCACACGATGGAGTAAGTTTTATGATTTTGAAGGCTGAGTTTGTGCAAGATGGAACCGAAGTGAAGCGTGTCGGTCGAACGGGGGTGGAGAAGCGTGAGCGTTTGAGGCGTGAGTTGATGGAAAGAAAACGGGGCTTCGAATTAGAAAAGCAGAAGATTGCAGAAGCCGTTGCGCGCGCGAAGCTTCGTAAAGATGAGCAAAGACGTCGCGCCGGGGATACAGCTTCCAAAAGAGTCAAGTCGGTCAAGCCTGAAGTTGCAACTCGTCCCAATGAATCGGCCAAGAAGGATGGTGAAGAGCCGCAACAGAAGCTCTCTGAGCATGCGAGTATTCAGCTTGACGTTGGTCAGAGCCCTGGGGAGTGGATCCGACAGCTGACCGTTGCCGCAGCCTGAGAGCATGTCGGCCACAGCAGCCTCTCGATGATGGCCTCGGATCTGAGAGATCCCAAAAGCCTACTCGACCTCTTAATGAAAACTGTACGATAAATTGATTGAAGCATGAGCGATACCTAGATGTAAGTAGGCATGGGACTCGCGTCGTCTTTGGTTACTGTCAAGACAAGACACGGATGGGTCGAGGAGGTCTATTTTCTTTACCCTGAAGAAATGAAACATATTTTTGAACCCCATTGCGCAAAGAGGCCAAAAAATCTTATGTAGACGCCGTAGTCTTGGGCATTATTGGTGTTGTAAGCACAGAAAACCGGAGCCATCTCTAACGATAGTTCCAAGTAGGAACGGGGGGGGAAAGGAGGACATGACACCAGCGAAGCGGGAAAGAGGACAGTCAAAAAGGACGACTTTGAGGCCATTTCCACGCGTACATATAATGGGTTTCTTTTGTGTTGACCCGGGCTTTTCTTCTCTGCTCTTAGGATTCTTATTGGCATGCAGAAATAAGTCTACTGAGCACATGGCAGGCATGCGTCTTCTCTTGTTTGGTTCTCGTTTGTTTCCCGCGGACCAGATACTGGAGAGTGATGCTGCCGTTTCCTGTTGGATCTGGACGGAGTACTGGAGTTAGGGCCGTAGAGGGAGGAGCGTTTGGCACGTCCGATCCAAACTGGCATGAAACTTTGCTGCTACTACTACTGCTGCTGCTGCTGCTGCTACTGCTCCTGCTCCTGCTCCTGCTACTAGCACTGGCCTTGGAACATAAACCAGGCCTACTGCATGTGTGTACGCTCGCTCGGTCAGGAATGGATTCTCTGTACATGGGGTTTGCTCCTTCCCAGCCGATACCCAGTCCCTTTTTTCATTTTGAACACTGGAAGCAAAAACAAACTAAAGTAAAAAGGTGCATCTATTGCCCGGGTGCGACCAACAGTCCTTTCTTCCCAGAGTCTTGCGGCCAACCGCCAGCGAGGGTCTCGCCGCTGTTGGAAAGGCCGTACTCTTTGATCCGTGCCTCGAGTTCCGGGCGGAAATGTCGGATCAAACCTTGAATAGGCCAGGCGAATGCTTCCCCTAAAGCTGTGGATGGTTCATGTATGTTAGCTTGTGGCCAGGGATACATCAAGATAGTAAGGACAGAAAAAGGAATGCTTACCGCAAATACTATGGCCTTCGACCTGTTTGGTCAGCTCCTGGAGCATGTCGATTTCTCGCGCCCTCGCTTGGCCCTTTTCAAACCTTTGCATCATCTTGGCCGTCCATGAGCTACCTTCTCTGCATGGCGTGCATTGACCGCAAGATTCGTGTTTATAAAATTGTGACAAGCGTGCGATCATGCGGACAACATCAGTGGATTTGTCCATCACGATCACTGCTGCTGTGCCTAGACCGGATTGACTGTCCTTGAGGGCATCGAAGTCCATGAGCTGGTCATCGCAGATCTTCTTGGGTAGGATGGGTGTCGACGAGCCGCCGGGGATGATTGCGAGGAGGTTGTCCCATCCGCCACGGACGCCTCCGCAGTGTTTCTCGATGAGCTCACGCAGTGGGATTGACATCTCCTCCTCCACTGTGGTTGGGTTGTTGACGTGTCCGGAGATGCAGAAGAGTTTGGTGCCCTGGTTCCTCTCGCGACCAAAACCAGCGAACCATTTCCCACCCCGGCGAATGATGGTCGGGCACACAGCGACAGTCTCGACATTTGTCACAGTGCTAGGGCAGCCAAAGAGACCAACGGCGGCGGGGAAGGGTGGTTTCAGGCGCGGTTTTCCGGCTTTGCCCTCGAGAGATTCAATCAGTGACGTCTCTTCACCACAAACGTACGCTCCGGCACCTCGATGGAGGTAGACGTCGAAATCATATCCTGACCCGCAAGCGTTTTTTCCGATCAAGCCTTCTTTGTACGCCTCTTGGATTGCTCGCTGCAGAACTGTCGCCTCATGGTAGAACTCGCCACGAATGTAGATGTATGCTGCCGTAGCGTTCATGGCACGGCCAACGACCAGGCAACCCTCAACGAGCTTGTGAGGGTCCTTGCGCATGATTTCTCGATCTTTACATGTCCCAGGCTCGCCTTCATCGGCATTCACTACCAGATATCGTGGCTTCTTGTCGTTTTCCCAACCCTTGAAATTCATGAACGACTGTCAAAGTTCCCCGGTTAGTTATCACCAAGCCAGAGGTGTGAGGGGTTGCTCATAGCAAGACATACAAATTTTAACCCAGATGGAAAGCCCGCACCACCTCTTCCCCTCAGTCCTGAAGCTTTAATCTCATTGATCAACCAGTCGTGGCCCTTCAACACGATCTCCTTGGTTTTATACCAGTCGCCATATTTCATGGCCGACTTTAGATCCGTCCCGTGGTGGCTATAGAGGTTCTGGAATATGCGGTCCTGGTCTTTCAAACCTCCGTAGTGTCTCTGTTGAGGTGCTCCTTCTTGGACAGTTGCATAACTGCGGGCTTGAAGGGAGGAGAAGCTGGTGGCGGCAAGGGACGAGTTGATGGCGGAGGAGCTACGTGAAGCTGTTTTAGCAGCCGCCTTGGCCACTGTCGTGGACCGGATGATCATCGCGGCACCGATGTGTGGTAGAGAGGCAGAGAGGATGAGATGCCACTCGTGAAGAGTGAGGAACTGAGGGCCGATGGGTGTGGTATTGGACTCGTGGTACGTCGTTGCGTGCGTTTGATTCTATGATGCCGGCTCTGAAATTGCCGCACGGTAATTGGTAAGAGCTCTTAGTCGCACGGCGCTATGGAGGTCTGGGGACTGGCCGCTACTAAATTCTAACAATTTGCTACAGCGGAGTATATGGACAAGTATGGCATATTCCGCCCTTGGAACCACGCGATAAAGCCTCAAATACGCCTATCAGGAACAATATCTCTGCTACTTTCTCCCTGGAATGAGTTTGCTATCCATGTGACCATCTTACTCGAAACAATCCTTCCCTTCTTTCCAGAAAACTCATTAATAATTACAGATCTATCCAATTGAAGCTTGAAGCCCATATCTCGACCTAGATTTCAATTGCCTGAGAAGGTGTCGGTCGCCCTGGCTTCTCCGTCCTTGTAGCCCATATCTACTTAGGCCTACTCTCCGAAAGAAAGCCTTGCAATGACGATTGAACCTCTCTATGCAGAATAGGCGCCGTCATCAGTATTGCTGCCAGTAGAGCATGATAGTAACGGGCCCATCTTCGAGCGTGACTGGTTCACCACAAGGCTGCAGGACACGGGTAGGAACACGGACAACTTGCTCCTCCATCACGTTCCAGCCCCAGCAAACCCTATCGGGGCGCAACCACTGCTTCGTACTGGAGTCTGTTGAGATTTTAGGAGACATACTTACTCGCGCTGCTAGTAGACTCATCAACGCGGGTGGTGGTTCATCCTCGAGACTGGGGACGTACGCCCATGAATCTGCATCCAGAGGGTACCATTGCGACAGCTGATCAAGCCATGACTTTGCGCGATGCGGAAGTTGTACCCCTTGGTCTAACTCACTGTACAATGCGGATAGTACTATGGCAAATCTGGTCTTGTCAATTGTCGCTTTGTCGGGTGGCGGCTGACTATTCTGCGTACTCAGATTGGCCTCAAGCTCACTCGTGCATCGCAACACCGCCGATGACAGGCCCTTGGGCAACATATCCAGTATTCCTTCGAACGTCAGAAGCTCAGATGGACGTGTAAGTCGTGTCGCATAGTAGCCGACAAGTGCCTGCAGATTCTGCGCAATGGCCGGCGGTAAATCGTGCTGCATTTCCTCCAAGATGCCGCTAGCCTTGGACTCCCGGACGGCACTCTTCAATACGAAAGTGCAAACGGCTGTCGCCGTTTCGACAATATGAAGTTGGCTATCGCGATATGTTTTTGCATGCTTCTGCTTCATATTGCTAATCTTCAACTCTGCGTGTGTTGGATTTGTGGACTTTAGACGAGCCACTCGGGCCGTGCATTCGACAAGGAGTTGACTGATTGTTGCCAGGATAAGTCGGCCGTCTTGAAAACATGGTGTTCCGTTGAATGGCAAGAAACGACTCATGATCGTTTGTTGGTGAGACTGCATGATTCCCTGTTCGCGTTCGTTCGCACACAGAACGGATATACTGTCTAGCAGATCGAATGAGAAGACTGATGTCTCTATGGCAGCTGCAGCTCTTGTCGTTGGATGTCGATAGTCAAAGATGAAGCATCTGTAATCTGGATCTGATCGAAGATCTTTCTTCCATCTTCGAACTTCCGCCAGGGGAGATCCTGGAAGGGCTTTGATGCTAATTACGAGGTGGTCGAACGGATTGTCCTGAAAAGTGAAACCGTATGACAGTAGGAGACCCTCGTTATCTTTAGGCCCGTAGTTGTTACAGAGCTCCTGCCCCGACTCATAGGGCTGCAAGACCTGAAGGCCGACAAAACTGAATCGGGCGAGCCATTCCACCTGTACACCAGGCTTGTGGTTGAGAATATCAAGGAGTGGGAGCAGAACGCCAAAGCGATCAGTGAAGAGCTTGACAAGGTCATATGGTCCATCTTTCTTGTTGCGATGACCGAGACGAGCCTGGTCCGCCGGCAATGTGTCGTCAAGTACCTGAGATGTGAAAGAGCGGCTGCCAAAGATTGTAGCAGCCCATCGGAAAGCTTCCCTGCATCATATGTAAGAGTAGGATATGGGCTGTTCTTTTTCGTTTCACTTACCAAGTGTAAGTCTCATCATGTGCGTGAGGCCATTGGTATCGCTTAAGGAGTTCAAGACCGTGTTGGTACATCTGCTGCCACTTGTTCAACTGTGATTCGTATCCTCCCTTGAGATTTGTTCCTTCAAGCCAGGCTAGATCTGAATCTTCACTAAACTGTAATTCGTTGACGTCTTCGACTGTAGGCAACGAACTAATGTAGGGAGCCCACCAGGATTTGTCCCCTAGAACTAATTGTTCCATCAAAAAGAACGACTGTAACGATTCCGCCTTGCTGGCCTGGTCGACGAGGAATGGTTTAGGAAAGTGGGTTCCATGACAAGAGAAAGGTTTCACGTCAAGGGCATTCAAGATTGATATTGTCAACGGCATCGGGCAAGCGGCGATTCGTGTGCCAGACGATATGGTCTTGCCATTTGCCACTAGAGCATGAAATCCTTTTCTTGAGCTGAAAGCAATCTGCGCATCAGGGTGGAAGTAGCCGTTGTTTGTTAAAACCCACCCGACCAGACGGTGATGCCGAGCGAAGATATCATTTTGCGACGAATCCTCAGTCTTCATGCACAAAGGCGGACTCGTGCTATCAGCACGCGTGCCAGCGACATCTTGGGTAAGCTTCGTATCATCAGACTCCATGGAATGCAGCCACCCGGAAAATGAATGGTATTTGTGCGTGTGCTTTGACGAAAGTGCTTTAATGCTCCGATGATCATGACAACTGACCCAGCAGAAAGAGACAGAAGAACAGCGAAGGTATTTTGTAAGGATATGCAATGAAAATAGACGAAACTGAAAGACACTGTGCTCACTGGGAAGTGTTCGAGCCCCTACAACAGCCCCTACAACAGCGGGTGGACTTTCTTTCTCGTAGAGAGATTGTGAGCAGGGACTTAATTAGCGTGAAGTGGAAGTTTGAAAACAGCAATCAGAGGGACGCAAGAGAATTTGTTTGTGTGGCATGGTGACGTTCGGGGACTTCACGTCTTCGAGTCCACACGGGCCCTCGAACCTTGATATAGTTCAATACTTCATCAGGGACCTTTATTTAATATGGGAAAAATGTCCCAGTGAAACAAGATACGAAGCCTCATTCACGATGTTGTACATCGTTCATCGACATGGCTCAGGAGGGAAGTAGCGACCAATCGCAAATCGGACTTCTCCTTTTTGTTATGTATTGAATCACCCTATGCGCTCATTATGCGAACAATAAGATCTACAAGTACAGCAAGTATCGGTGCTTTTAATATGAGGCATGCGTCACGAGACAGTTACGAATCTGCAATAATAATACTAATGATGCTCCGACACACCATTCGTCGAAGGGCCATACATGACAGGTAGGCGGACAACTCCTACGAGATATCGTCCACACGATACCCATCTTAACCTGTCATGCGTAAGTGGGGACAGATTACTTCAAATCCAAGCCTGCCACGGACTTCCAAATCCACTGATCTGAATGATGGGCAGTGGAAATCAACTCTGCTCTCGTATCTCAATGAAATCTGGTCAAAACCACGAAGCGATCAAGTCCTGATCTCTCGATTTCCAGCCCGTACCTCACTTTTCCATCTTCGCAAACTGAGAACCATGGCAGCCAACGGTGTGAATGGCATGAAGGGAACTAGTCCAAAACATGATTTCTCCGCTCTCAGAGTGAATCAGTCCCGGCTGTTGGATGCAATTCATACAGGGTGTAAGTATGGAGCGGATCACCGGTATGGGGACGATCCCACCGAAACTGGTATGGCAAGGCTGAGCTTGAATGACGCTGATAAACAAATTCGGGATTGGTTTACCGCTACAGCAGAGTCCCTGAACTGTAAGGTCACTGTTGATCAGATGGGCAATCAGTTTGCCGTTCGACCGGGTAAGAATAAGACTGCGTCCCCAGTCATGATGGGCTCGCACCTGGACACTCAGCCAACAGGGGGGCGGTACGACGGCATTCTAGGCGTCAACTCTGGACTTGAAGTTCTCAAAGTACTGCATGAGAATAATTTCGAGACGGAGGGAAGTATTGGAGTGGTCAATTGGACCAACGAAGAGGGTGCACGATTTCCAATGATGGCTGTGTCGTCTGGTGTCTGGGCGGAAGCCGTCCCATTGGAGACCGCCTGGCATCTCGCCGAGGTGACTCCTGGGGACGACGGCCACCGCAAGACAATGAAGCAGGAACTGGAGAGAATCGGCTACCTTGGATCCCAACAAGCATCCTACAAGGCTTTCCCAATGGCCTGCCACTTCGAGGTCCATATCGAGCAGGGCCCCATCTTGGAGGCAGAAAAAAGACGAGTTGGCGTTGTCAAAGGTGAGTAACACAATGGTCTCAATAAACGTGGGCGTACCGTCTGACAGATGGCAGGCGTGCAAGCCTTCAAATGGTTCGAAATTACTGTTAAGGGTCGTGACTCTCATGCAGGGACGACACCTTTTACAGCACGTATGGACTCGATGCTCTGTGCAGCCAAATTGATTGTTGAGTCCAACGCCATTGCGAAGAAGCTGGGTGGTCTGGCGACAACTGGCATTTCAACAGCGCACCCTGGATCGATTAACACCATGGCTCACACCGTGATATTCACACTCGATGTCCGACACAACGTAGACGAAAAGCTCGCTGAGATTGAGAAGGAATGTCGTGCGGAATTCGCCCGGATCTCTGAGAAGGAGAGCGAAAAGGGGTGCACGGTTGAATGGAAGGAATTGGTTGACAGTCCCGCGGTTACCTTCCACCCTGATTGCATTGCAGCAGTACAAGCCAGTGCTGAAGAGGTTTGTCATGGATTGCATATGACGGCGGATGACGGTAGACTCTGGAAAGATATGATCAGTGGAGCTGGCCACGATAGCTGCTACACCAACCGTCGGTGTCCGACAAGTATGATCTTTACACCCACCCGTGAGGGCATCAGCCATAACCCTCAGGAGTATTGCAGTCCTGAAGACTGGTAAGTACCGTGCCTCGGCCGGATGAGTCTTACTCAAACTGACCGATGTTCTTCTAGTGCTATTGGGGCCCAAGTATTGCTTGGTGCAGTACTCCGCTACGATAGATCAAGAATGGAGCGAGGAGATTTCGCATGAGTCCCAGCAAATTGCAGCCTGGTAGCTGATGCAGCGTTTGATTGTACTGCAAGTGCTAGAACCTAGGCCTGATCAATACAAGAATGTACGAGGATGGCATTTTGCCACGTGATGTGAATTACTTTTGGTCCTTGGACAGTGTCTGGAGCATTATTCTGAACCCGATTCTCCTCATATACTACCCGCTATTAGTACATGCCGAATGTCCTAAACTCCTGTCGCTATACTCATGAAACCGTCCATGCAATTATGGGCCTTAATCTTAGGTCTGAGCTTGTGTAATCGGACATCCGGAACAATTTGACAACAGGATACGGCCCGCCAGCGGGTTATTGTCGTGTTGACCTCGGGTAAAACAGGCCGTACTGGACCCGAGAGATTTGGACGCAGATATCGAATCCCGAGGTGTTGACACTCAGGGTTGAAATCTTGGTCTCCCCGCGACCTCTGCTTCTGAATGTTTCTGTGGTGCTGCCGGAGGAGCACTAAAATCCTGTGTCCTGCCCTCAAGTCTACCAATGAGTTTTTCCCACAGAGAGAAATATTGCCCCATCTCGTCCTCGCAATTGCGCTTCGGATCAATTCGGCACTCTTTGAAGTTGACAACGAGATCTCCTCCCTGCCACATACTATCATGGGTGCGGGTTATACCAGTGATGGAGTCACGCACTGGCGGTGTGGCATGGTTGTAAGAGTTGAATCGTCGCTGTTCAACGAGAACCAATTTGGCCAACACGGTTGGATGCCACTGGACAAGATGCTCTAAAGCATGGTTCTCTGCCTTTTGAAAGGCGTAGGCACGGTATAGAGGGTCGAACCAGGCGTCTAGGAAGTACTGTGCCCAGTTGTCGGTTGTGCTGGGAGTGAACGGGGTGTTACGGAGGATGAAGGAAGTGTGGGCAATATTATTCATGTCCTGGGACAGTATCAAATGGGTCCGAGAAGGCTTGAGGTGCGAATAGGTGTGAATCACGGAATCAGGCGGTACGACAGGGATGTCTTTCTTCATGAGAGATTCGAGAGGTTGCAAGATATGTTCTTCCAGCGACAGAGCGGGATTCGTTATCAGAGCATCGGCGGACAGAGCCCAGAAGAATGTGCTCGAGGCATGAATGGTCAACGCATGGCGCAGGGCTGGGACAATGGACCAAGACGACGGGGAAGGATCAACCAGGTTGAAGTAGGTGGATGTGTTTGTGTAGAAGGTTTTGTAACCTGAATTCTTGATTAGTACAGCCACATGGTAAGTCTGGCTCTTTTCAGCTTGCCATACCGTGTTGCGCCGCGTAGTGATTGCGGTTTGTCTTGACCATGCGTATGTATTCCTTACTCATCACGTCTTCATCGAAGACGGTGACCAGGACGATCTCTTGCGGGCCGTCAATGCCCGATGGGCCAGTCCCGGAATAATCGGCGTCAGTCAGTAGAATATACCTGAGCACCAGGTACAAGGTCAAGAGGGCCAATATGACATATGCCCCGATTTGTAACTGTCTCCGCCGTCTCTGCACAAGGGCGTTGGAGCTGGTGTTGCGAGCGTAGGGAGGTGGGTGTGAGGTCTTGCGAGGGGGAAGAGCGAACTGCATCTTGCCAGCCTATCTACGGGCAGTCGGCAGTTTGGGACTTCATGAATTGGAGAAGAGGGGCCTCATTACTGCAAGTGATGAGTGTGCTCGACTCGCGACTAGCATTGGACGTGGAAGAATTCCTGTGATTGAGAAGTAGTGAGCTGTGAGCAGCGAGTCGTGCAGTGCAGTGTACTGTAGTACATGCGGGAAGGGCCTCTTCTTTCCCGCATGCCCTCGTCAATAATTATTTAAAACTCTAATTAGGCTGCCTAGCTTCCCGCACTCTCAGCCTTGTTGCTGCATTTCATCTGCCACATAGTCACTTGTGGTTACTAGTCACTCATTAGTCACCGTCGATCTGAGGACTGAGAAGCGAAACATGGGCTCTACGATCTACGATCAACCTGGTTGACAGCACGGAATACTCGTAAGACATAGCACAGACTTCTCATTCAAATGTACATTTACGTCTATTTTGTCTATTTATATTTCAAGAATGCCATCTGCTCTTACTAATTTGGAGTTGCCATCAGGCATTGGCATAACTCGATCATCCTGCTACCAGATTCCTGGGAGCATGGTGTATCTCTTCTTCTTGTACTTGTCGCCAAACTCTTTGCGGTAGCGGCGTTCCTTCTTCTTCGCCCACTGCGCCATTTGAGCCACCGAAATGACGGAGAAGATCAGGACTCCCCAGCTCAGGCCGCTGACGAGATAAACACCGATCCATGATACTGTCTCGGTCAAGTAGTTTGGGCAAGTCACCAATCTAAACAATGGTCCTTGAGGTATCCCTCTTTCCGTACCCCCAGAACTGCGCAATCCCATTAGAGTGAGGTGGGATTGGAGATTGCCCAACTCTCCAATCGTGTAGAGTACCAATCCGGGGTACAAGAGTAAAGGATTGGGCGCCTTCGCAGTTGCAGATGATGGTGCATAGACAAAGGCTGCAATTAAGACTCCTGACAATATCCAGTAGTGAAAACTATTCTTGAAGATGTTGCGCAGCGGCATTGTAGCAGCGGAGAAACGATGGATAAACAGGGTCTCTAGCTCTCTCTTGATGAAGTGCAAGACGACTAGCCATAAGGTGACAGTTTGAAGTTGAGAAGGTTCCTTGGGCGCAGAAGGATACACATATGGGCGTAAAGTATAGACGAGGGGATGAATGAGGATCGGGCCTACATACTCGACAATGAAGACGGTTCGCCACGCGATTTGGGTTCCCAGGTCTTTCACATATACGGTGCTTTGATTGCGCAGTCCAGTAGCATGCGCCGACACATCTTTCGAATTGGTGATGACCGTACCATCACTTCCTTTGGTGACCCGTAGCTGATGGACCGAGAACCGGGTCTCTTGGGAAAGCTTGGAGTAGATTTCAGCAGTGGTTGCGTTAGGGTCGAGTTCGATCGATTCGGGCAAAGCCTTGATGGGCTTTCCTGTGAAATATCAGTATTTGAGTAACGATTGGACTAATATGTTGGATTTCAGTACCTCGTGGACGAATTTGCAGGGTGATTGGTGTCGAGGACATTTTGTTGAATTCGTGACAAGGCCTCCAAACAGGTGCAGAGGTGGAATAAGCCGCCGTCTCCAGCGGCCAGGTAAATTTAGGAAGCCACGGCTCAAGGGAAGCGTATACCGTGGTGTGTACGAGAACTGCAGAGTAGTACGAGGCGCTGTACAATTGAGTTGAATGAATGGCCTGTGGTGGCTGCTGCTAGGAGTGACAAGACTGCGGGTTCAACGCAAAAAGTAGACGTGGTGTACTCTGGGTGGAGGAGACTTGGGAGGGTTCCGAGGCTGTACGGATGTGCAGATAATGGCCCAGAGGTTGGCGATTACTGGTAATTAAGCGACCTGGGCACTCCCCAGGGCCCGAGGGCCTATGGGCACCAATCAGATGCTGTTCGTACGAGTGTAGTTACCTCCGAGAAGGCCCTCCGTAGGCAGTCAGTAGGTACTCCGTAGGTACTCCGTACTCCATATGGGCTCTGGTAATTGAAGAACGTGCTGGGTGACGTGGATGCACCTGCCAAGGGCCAACGGGTGCTCCTGTTCACCCAAGCTTGAATGCCCAGGTCTCTAGGCGCTCGCGAATCCATCCTTGCCCGGCACCTGCGGCTTCCGCTCCCCAGACCTCACGTTTGTCCAGCAATGCGCAAGCCCCAACCAGAACCGGGCAAGCGAGTAACGCGGCCTTCTCGACTTGTTCGAACCATACCTCGTGCCTGCCAGGAGTCCAGGACAGAGCAGACATTGACAAACGGGCCCTGGGCCCTGGCCCCTGGCACCTTTCCTCGGATCGCGGGAGAAGCCGCATGAGAGCAACCGCGTGCCTTGGACGTTCGCACTCGTACTAGCACTGGAAGAATGGCGGCCGGCGTCTTTCTCCCCTCCAATCATTCCGCTAGCATTGCCAACTTCATGTCTAAAAAGGTGCTTACTTTTGACCACCACCTAATTCTGAACTTTTATGCTACATGACTCTTTCGAGGCTTCGGGTGTCCACGTTCGAGGTGGTCCACTTGGCTGCCACAGCCTTTTAGAGGCTTGGAGCTGAATCCGACACTATTGGTGGCGTTTCCCCAGACACGACGCCCACTCCAGCTGTTAAGGGGCTGGCTGAGAATGTGAAGACTGTGCAGCGATTCACGGAAATGTCTCGCCTCCCCTAAACATAAGCCTTACGAACACCAGCTCTTCGTCCCAGCCGTGGGTTCAAATAAATACCGAGTATGTACAGCCTCCTCGCTGTGTTTGGGTTCCTTTTTCCTGTCGAGTGTTTAGCCATTTCCTCTCCTTTCGATCCGGAACATTCGCCTGCTGTTTCGTCTCTTCAATATGCCGTCTTTCTTTAGAAAGCTCACCTCGGGTATGCTATGCTTGAGTCCCTCAGGCAATGACCCTCACTCAGAGACAACAGGTTCTATCCGAAAGCCAAAGACCCAGCCAGTCCGGAAAATCCACGATGATGATGGACCAACATCCAAAGGCTCACACGATTCCCTGTCCTCCAGTGATAGTCAAAAGTCCAACTACGTCCTCGAAGTTCTCCGAACCTTCAACATCAAGCACATTAAGACTGTCAGTGATGTTGTCATGGAGGGCGTCGAAGGCAAGCCTGTCGACGACAAGACCTATCTAATGGAACGCATTATCCAGCTTGTCGCAGACCTGCCCCTTGAAAGTAGGACCAGCGCCACACTGACCAATGCTTTTCTTAACCAATTGTGGACCGACCTTCAACATCCACCTCCCTCCTATCTTGGCACCGAATACACCTATCGCAAGGCTGATGGCTCGAACAACAATATTCTGTGGCCCCATCTGGGTGCTGCTAGACAGCCGTATGCACGTACAGTCCGACCAAGGCTGATGCAGCCGGTTGCTCGCCCTGACCCGGGCCTCATCTTTGACAGTCTGTTGGCACGAAAGAAGTTCACGCCGCATCCCAACAAGATATCCAGCGTGCTCTTCTACCTTGCATCAATAATCATTCACGACATCTTCCATACCAGTCACCGAGATTTTAGCATCTCCGAGACCTCATCATATCTCGATCTTGCCCCTCTCTACGGCAACTCCGTTGAAGAGCAACATTCCGTCCGAACACTGCAGGATGGTAAGCTCAAGCCTGACTGTTTCTTTGATAGGCGGATTCTGGGCTTCCCTCCAGGCGTTGGGGTCCTGCTCATCATGTTCAACCGCTTTCACAATCATGTTGCAGCGCATCTCGCCTCAATTGACCAAGGTGGACGTTTCTCCAGTATACTTCACCCGCCAGGAAAGCCCAGACCTGCAAATGCCGAAGAGCTCTACGATGATGCTCTGTTTCAAACTGCAAGGCTTGTCACAACTGGCCTCTACATAAATATCATCTTGAACGACTACGTCAGAACCATTCTCAATCTAAACAGAGTCGACAGCCATTGGAATCTTGATCCCAGATCGGAGGAGGGCAAGGCTCTCCTCGGCCATAAGATCCCAGAGGCTACAGGCAATTCTGTCTCTGCCGAATTCAACCTGGTGTATCGCTGGCATTCGTGTGTCTCTCAGAGAGATGAGCAGTGGACTGAAGATGTTTACACCAAATTGTTGGGAAGGCAATCCACCCAGTCGCTTGGGGACTTCCTGGGCAAACTTGGCGAGTGGGCGCAAAAGCTACCAGCTGATATTCTGCAGCGCGACTTTGCCGGCCTTGAGAGATCTGCCGATGGCAAGTATTCAGACGACAAACTTTCAGCTATTTGGACTTCTTCGGTCGAAGATGTGGCTGGGAGTTTCGGAGCACAACATGTCCCCGAGATCCTAAGGAACGTTGAAATTCTCGGAATAATACAAAGCAGATCTTGGAACCTCGCAAGCTTGAACGAGTTCCGGGAGTATTTCAAATTGGCTCCTCACGAATCATTTGAGAGCATCAATCCGGATCCCGTAGTGGCAGAGCAATTACGTCGGCTGTATGGCCACCCTGACAATGTCGAGATCTACCCCGGCATAATTGTCGAAGCCGCAAAAGAACCCAGAGTGCCTGGCAGCGGTCTCTGCACCAACTTCACCATATCCCGGGCAGTTCTGTCCGATGCTGTTGCGCTGGTCAGAGGTGATCGTTTCTATACTGTCGATTATACGCCCCAAGCACTTACCAACTTTGGCTTCAACGAAGCCAGCTATGATCCCGCCATCAATTACGGGTGTGTCCTCTACAAGCTTGTCCTCAATGCCTTCCCGAACAACTATCAGCAAAATTCCATATACGCTCATTACCCTCTCGTTGTGCCAGATGAGAACAAGGCTATTCTCACACGATTGAAGAAGGCCGATCTGTACAACTTCGAAAAGCCAGTGGACGTCTCTGCTGTGATCACTCTCACTTCTCAGCAAACAATCAAGAGCGTGATTGGCAACACGACGGATTTTCATCCCACCTGGAATCCTCAAATTTTCTCGCCCACCCGCGGGCCCGTCAAGTCTGAGCATCAACATCCACTCTTGGCCCAGCAACTGGTAGCCAGCAAGGGCTTGGAAAGTGCGACCGCTTCATTCTATAAGGATGCCATTTCCACTCTGCTGAAGACGCAAGCATATCAAGTTGCCGGCATCAAGCAAGTCGATATTCTTCGAGATGTCTTGAACATCGTCCACGCGCGATTTACCGCGAACTTGTTTCTGTTGCCTCTCAACACCAAAGAACACTCCAAGGACGGGTACGGTGAGGTAGATCTAATCTCGCTACTGTCAGCGGTATACTCAAGTGTGAGTGCGGAACATAGCCCTGCTCGTCGTTTCGTGATTACGAAAATAAAGCAAAAGGATATAAGACAATTGGCCGAGCGGATCCAAGATGAGGTTGACAGTGTGGTAAAGGGGAGCTTCGGGCTTCACTCGCATTCTACAGTCCAACTTCGCAATCTTGCGGTGCAAGCCGTCCAAGCCGTGTCCCAAAATGGACTGTCGGTCTCTGACATTGTGTGGACGCAGATCTTGCCCCTGGCGGCCAGATCCTTTGTTGCTCAGTCCCGGTTCTTCGCCGAGAGCCTGGATCATTTCCTTGGAGAAGGCCAAGGGCAAGCACAGTCCTTTGTTGATGCCAATTATACCGCCGTGCCAGAAAAGATACAAGAGTATATCAGCAGAAGTTCTGGCAAGCAACGATCCGCTCCAGTGTCGAAAAAGGCCGTGGTATCTGCAACTATTCAAGACGGGGAGCGACAAGTTGAAATTTTGCCTGGACAGCTGGTACTCTGCGACCTTGTAAGTCATCTCCGAGAGATTCTTGCTGTGTTCAAAACTTGCTAACAACTTTTCGTCAGACCGGAGAAGAGCAGGCTCATGATTCGGTCCATGGGGTGGAACTTTCTCTGGAGAAACAGTTAGGTGAGGTGGGCTTTGGAGAGGCGCTTGAATGCTTGCTAGATTTGAACGGCTTCACTCGGGCCGTCGGACCAACTGGACAATTGAGAAAGATCAAGGTGGGAAACACAGCCAAGTATCTCAACATTGAAGAGAGCAAGACAGTGTTGTACCCTGGATCAATGAAGATCGACTGGAAAGGATGAGTGGCACAAAGTACTTCGTACCTAGGTTTATCAATAGTTTTCGGGGTTTGAAACCAGTCAGCAGAAGTGTTGAGATTATCATAGCCTAGGAAAAAGGAATTTGCAGACAACACCTGGAGGCTCAGAGGCAACGCTTTGCCTCGTGGATGCGACTGTGCCAGCAAGTCAAGGCTGGCATGGTATTTTGAATCAATCACGTGTCAGGTTTGATCTGGTAACTTGCTGGCTGGGCGCCTGCCGGACGCCGGCAGAACGCAATGCAGTGGGTGACTATTCTCCAGTACGGAAGTATTTACGTATTATATAAGATGTCTGACGAGCAAAGAATTGAGTTGGTATGACGTTGGCTGCCTCTTGCGAAAGTTGGAGACTCGGTTCACCAGTTAATCCGGGCTGTGAGTCGTTCAAGTTACTGCAAGAATAGTAAATAATGATGAAATTATGAGCGTATGAACACACGCACACTGCCCGTTTGCCACTTTTGCAGAGGCAAAATTTCAGACAGAGGTCGTCCATCCAACTTGACTGACCAGTCATTATTTGTCCCGCAAATGGGCCCGCCCACGAACCCCAAACCCAAAGTGGCCAGCACTGTGGTGCTTGTATTAACTTTGCAGCCGCTGTGAGTGCAGATTAAAGTAACTGCACCTAGACAATAATTCGTTAACTGCTACCACCGCAGCAGTATCTATCTCGTGTACTATTACAAACTGCCCACTGCATCTACCACCACCACCACCACCACCACCACCATCACCATCACCACCACTTACGACTTCTTGTCATCAGAAGCTGCTCCTTTTCGCAGCACCCTCTTCTTTCCCATCTGCTCTTCCATCCTCCTTCTTCCCACTGTACACTACTTCCCACCGCAGGCAATCAACTCCGCCTGCTAAAGTGCCGTCCGAAGCAGACCGACCCCTTCAGTTCTGCCTCATCTGCATCAATTATTCTCTTCCTCTCAGTCTACGCTTCCATTTTCTGAGCCGGCCACTGATCCTACGGAATCACCTTTCGCCAGATCCTCTTCCGCACTCCTTGCATTCACTCCAGACTTTCTTGCAACTTCCCTCCGTACCACACCGGATTGTTCATCGCTCCACATCACTTCCGAGGCTGAGTCGACATCCCCATCTCTGATGCAGCCTATGCTGCACCAACGCGGGGTCTAGAGAAGATGGTGAAGGTTACGAGGAAGCCTCAGGAGAAGCACAAAGTCTCACTGGTATGTTCCAGACTTTCTCTACAATCCACATATGCTAACCCGCCGTCATAGTCTCCTGCGGTATCAGATCTGGTCAACAAGGTCTCTACCGTTGGCCTTGCTGATCTGCCAGCGCTCTTTACTGGATGGTCTCAGCGATGGCCCTATCCTCGAGGCGATCTGAACAACTGGATTGAACCACTTGACCGCTTTGATTCCATCCTTCAATCCTTCAACTCCAAATATGGCCTCGACAAAGGCCCGCAGACAATCCCCTTTGGCGTTTCTTTACTCCTCGAGGGAAGCCCTGGTGTCGATGACGAGAGACTTAAAGAGCTGAGATTCGGTCCGGAAGGCGATAGAGAGCTCATCGAAGCTATCTTGGTCTTCTCAAAGTTGCTGGTGGAGAAATGCGCCAACAGAGCCGTCTACAATAGTACCGACCGCTTGAATGACTTACTGAACACTACCTCGTTGTCTCTTCTCCATACCACTCTGAGGATAACTTTCTATCTTGCTCAGCGATATGCCGAACGGCCTCCTCCTCCCTCGGGGCAATCAGTCGCAAAATTCTACGATTTCGACCACGACCGTCTCCAAATACTTGCCTCTCCATTTGGGCAACGACAACCCTCTGCCCCTGCCATGAAGCGTACTCCCTCATCTCCTGTCAAGTCAAAATCAAGGGAAAAGTCTCCTCAGACCACCCGATCTCGACAGGGCTCCGTTACTGTGTCGCCCAATGACTTCCGTGCACTTTGCAGAGAGACGTCCTCCCAGAGCGAACGCAGCAAGTCAACGCCTGTGTCTGACCGAGACTGGCAGCAGTGGGCTTACGTCAAGGTCTCGTGGAAATCTTCAGATTCGGAGCAGCATGCTGCCCCACTCACTGGCTCCCAGTCTGAAGGTCCCCCGACTCCCACTCCGGCTCGACGGCATCCTTCGTCATCGCTTGCGGGTCCTCGCATAGAGACCACACATCAAGAGGGACCTCGGCGGATACTTGAAGCACAAACAGAGCCAGACACAAAGACCCTTGAATTCTCCCCTTCAGATCTGCACAACACTAGCATTGAGACGATTCTGGGCCATCAGCCTGAGGACATTCCTACCAAGACCCGCTACGAGCTGCTGCACCAGCTTCGTATCGCGTATGGCTTGATGACCTCGTCGAAGACTCGCAAAGAATTATTGGCCATCCGCCTTCTTTCAATTGCAAGTCTTGCTAATGTTCTGGGTGAAATCGAACTTGCACAGAAATTCCTTCAAACAGAAGGTGGGTTTGGCAAATCTGCAACAGGTCTAATTGAGCAACTTATGGATCTCCTTTATGACCATAAGAAGACCCATTCACCGGTATCACTTTACCTCCAGACAATCGCAATGGAGACTATGGGTATTTTAGCTCATCACAAACTCTTCGCTCCGGACATACACGGCGCGTTGGCTGCAGGCTCAACGCATGGGCTTCTAACGCAACTCACCCAGAAAGGTCTCAATGACATTGCAAAAGACCAAGACAACACAGACACTGTTACTGGTGATGACTGGAGAGATGCTATCTTCACCTTGCCTCGCACTTTGATCGAATCTGGTGGACACCACGGACGTTCAAGCGAAGCAGTGATACCAGCAGCTTTCATCTCAACTTACCTGTGTGGTTTTGGTGTGACTACTGGCAAGGCGTTACGTGTCCATCTTCGAATGCTCGACTTCATCAAGACATTCTTTCACCATTTCAAAGATGGGATGGCGACCTTACTTGCAAGTGGAGCTTTCGAGGTCATTAGCACCCTGCTCGGAAGTCTTGCGACTGGAGCCTGTGCCCTCTACTCGAGTGGCGATGGGATTCCAGCACAGTACAAGACAAGGGCGACGGATTATGAGATCCCCTATATGCACCAACAAATCATTCGCTCCATTATCGACATGATCAATGATATCAGTGGACACCAAGGCGCACAGGCAGACCGGGTGCTGAGAAGTCTGGTCGACTCTCAGGCTTTGCTGCGATCTTTCCGCTTGATTGCTGATAAACTACCTGCATTTGGTGCGTATACCTGGAGCGAGGTTGTGAAGGCGATCTGTGGGTTTTTACATAACGAGCCTACCAGCTATACCGTCATCTCTGAAGCAGGTATCATCCAGAGTCTATTGGATACAATGAAGCCATCTCCGGCCGATTCGACACCGTCAGACCAATCCAAGGACCCAGATTCCATATCCTCGATTCCCAACGAATATCCTCCGGGAATTCCACCGGCCATTGACGCCATCATTAATGTCTCACAAGTCTTTGGTGCTATATGTCTGACAAATGCTGGCTTTGAACTGTTCAAGTCGTCTGGGGCGCTTGAGAAGTTCTTCGAAATTTTCGAATCTCCTGCCCACGTCAAAGTTCTCAAGGACACAAACACTCTGGCTCTGCTTGGGTCAACGTTTGATGAGATTGTCAGACATCACCCCGCTCTTCGGACTTCTGTCCTCAGCGCTGTTATTGTCATGCTTGCTCGTGTGCGGCACATTACTAGGTCCCTGTCAGTCACAATTGGCGCTGGTCCGAAGCTCTGGCTTGGTGGATCAGCTGATGAATATGATCCCTGTGGAGGTCGTGAAGCATTGTCGTTGGAAATAATCCCTCCTGCTTCAACCAAACTTGATGATTCCCGGTCCTTGAAGCCTCTTGAGCTCCCAAATGGAAAATTTTTGCACATCGCAGACGAAACCCTCCCAGTGACTGACGCCTCCAAAATCCCCGCTGATTTTGACCGCCACGGGCTTTCGGCGAACGACTACGCAAGACCGGCAATCGCTTTCCTTGTCACATTCTTCGAGAATCAAACCTTGTGTACCAACTTCCTCGAGTACGGTGGCGCTGATATCCTTCTTGACTTCGTCACACTGCCCAGTCTTCCCGTTGGCGAACAAGCTTTCAGTCGACGTGATGGGTTGTTCAACGAACTAGCCTCCGCGGTGCATATGATGGCAGAGACGAAACCACATCTCATCCTTCCAACCCTAGCAGACCGTCTACGCTTTGCTTGCTCGCAGTTGAATCATTTCAGTCAGTGCCAGCCTCGTAATTGGACTTGTTATTTTTCGACATTGGTGAAAGATGATGCAGCATCCGATAAGTCCACAAAGGGCAAAGAGGCATTAAGCGATGTTGAGCAGAATGGAACACGAATAGCGAAGAGCCTGATGGCCATTTTCTGCTTGTCCCAGGTTCTTGCTGAAGTCTTCAATGTGCCAATGTACACTACCCGGTCGTCTCAGAACTATCTCTTTTCTTTAGTCAACCTCGCGGATATCTTTGCGGACATTTCCAAGATGCTCGGCAGTATCTCCGCAGCTTGCTACCGCGAGGAGATAGCCCTTCAACGTTTGATACCTCAGACGTGGCTCTCTGCAACTAAACCTGAACACTTCTCAACTGGTGATGATGATGTTGACAGAATGTTGAGCGTTCGTGATCCCAATGCTCCTTTTGGCGACATTGGTGCGGCGACGACTTTGGAACAGCCACCTGTGGCTAGTTCTGAAACAGCTCTGCTGCCCAGCCGTGAGGATTCCAAACTTGACGAGGAAAAACGAACACCATTCTTCCGGAACGTCCAGATACTCCGATATCTCTTGATTGAGACGCCTTCTGCAATCACGGACTTTCTTTGTCGGCTTGGACGAGGCATTGCTGCTCGTCGTCGACCCGATACATTTTCTAAGCAGAAGACAGCGTTGGTGGCCAATGCTCTTGCAGCGGCGTATTCGGCTCAACTACAGCCCTACTTCATTACTGGCGGTCCCACTCAACCCGATGCCTCTGCTGTAGAATCAACTTTCACATATCTCGTCATCGTCCTGGACAATGTTCGCCGCAGCTTCTATGACGATACTCAGCCCTCTGCAGGACCTATGACTACGCCATCGGCACGTCAAAGTTTTGTCATAGAATCTTTCAGAAAAGCAGGCGGTCTCAAAATCCTGACCAAGATTGGGACCGATTTCTATGACCAACTCAAATCCTGCAAAGTAGAGCATTCAACGCTCTCTGCCAATACCGGGCTCAAAATTTGTTTGAATATTCTAGACGAGTTTACCAGCGCCAAGAGCATCATGGAATCGGCGCAGTCAACCAACATGAAGAATGCAGACGCAGCGAGATCGTTTTACTTTGTCCCAGCTCAAGTACTCCTGAATTTACGCATGGAAGCCCTCCCACTAACACGCCTCGTTTGGGAAAGCGACTATGCTGATCAAGCTTCTCGAGACGTTGTGCAGAAGCTGGTGTCTATCTTGAAACACGTTCTGACAGGAGATCATGAGAACGAGGCAATTCAGTCAAATGATCGCCGACCAGCAATCGGGTTCAACCACCGTAGAATGCTCCAAATCGATGCTCAGAAGGTCAATTCGATCAAAGACAAGGGTTATGACGAAGGCCTTGTGCGTGAAGCCTTGTATCGCACCAACACAGGGCCATCGAGTAGCATTGCAGCTGCAGAAGAATATTGCAAAGCTTTGATGTTCAACCCTCGTCGGAGAAGGTTGCCCATTCCAGAGACCGAGAACGACGTCACAGCCACCAGCAACCAAACTCCAAGCGCGATGAGTCCACCTGCAAGCGCGCAATCTAATACTATCATGATGTCTTTATCGGGATCGCTCGAAGGCGGTGCCATCGGAGCAACTCCTTCTGACGCTACCGACAATGAAATGAGGGATGTCACAGATTCACAGATAGAAGATCCGGTGTCAACGAGGCATGCAGACAGTGATATCCCCACAAATACTTCTGCGATGAATATTCACAACATATTAAATGAAGACAACAACGGCTCAGGAATCCATTCATCGGATCCTCCGTTTCCGGAACTGTCATCCATCTACTCTGTTGAGAGTATTAATGCTGAACGAGATACGATTCGAGAAGATTTAGCTGACCGTTGCAATAACGTTCTCAATACCCACCAGAATCTGACTTTTGAGCTATATGATCTAATAGAGAGCGCCACCAAGAAACTCGGCGATGCCGAAGCCAAAGACTATTGGCGAACCACTACAAATCTGCTTGTCAGCTCACTCTTGTCAATGCAAGTTGACGAAGACATCAATGAAGCTCGGGGCAAGAAAATTGCTGCTGCAGCACATCTAGTTGCTCTGCTCTTTCAAGATGGTGAGGTGTTTGCAGATACACTCAGCATCTATCAAGAGTCTTTTGAAGACCTGCTGACTTTCTTGAAACTTCCTCAATCAAATGGACGCACAGCTGAAGATTCGTTCCCCTGGGTAGCTCCCATTCTGCTAATAATTGAGAAAATGCTTTCAAGAGATAGCGAGCCGGCTGAAGTTAAGTGGGAAGCGCCAAATGACGTGGAAGCCGTCAAGAAGCCTATTGTTACCCCTACCGCGATTTTCAGCCTCGATGAGAAGCAGAAGCTGCTTACGGCTCTGATTAACATGCTTAACCGTGTGGGTAAAGACAAAGCAATGGCACTTGCAATTACTCGGGTCCTTGTAGTTCTTACACGTACGCGCGAGATTGCCACTCGACTTGGGGAGAAGCGTAATCTCCAGCGGCTGTTCATGATGGTCAAGCAACTGGCGCACGGGATCGGTCATCGAGTGCAGAGCACGTTCATGATCATTTTGCGACACATCATGGAGGACGAGCATACCTTGAAGCAGATTATGCGAAATGAAATTTGTGCAGCGTTCACAGGAAGGAACTCAACAAGACACATGGATCCAACAAGCTACGTTCGGGATCTCTATCACCTTGTTGTAAGATCTCCTGAAATCTTTGTGCAAGTCACAGAAGAGCTTGTCAAGTTGTCTTCCTGGCCTCCACACAATTCATCTCCCGGTCTGGTCCTCCAAGAGAATGCTCTTAACCAATTGGCAATGAAGGAGACTGGAGTGACGAAACCAACATACGAAGCTACTGACCCTTCCACAGAACCTGCAGAGAGTGTCGAGGCCCCCAGCGATCCAATTCAGGACAGCGGCAAAGGCAAAGGACTTGATCTGAAAACCCCCACCGTGGAACACCCTGATGGTGTCATTCACTTCATCCTCTCCGAGCTTGATAGCTACAAAGATGTCGAGGACAAAGAACTTGTTCCTGAAAACCCTAGTCCAACGAATTTGAACGAAAAAGAACATCCTGACACGCCAGCCACCACCAGTGATAATGCGGATGAAAGTGCGCCTCTATCCAAGCCAGAGAAGCTTAAGTTCAGACCGGAGGACCATCCAATTTTCTCCTACCGTTGCTTCTTGATGTACAGCCTTACAGAGCTGTTGCACTCTTACAACCGTGCCAAAATCGAACTCATCAACTTCTCCAAGAAAGCAGATCCAATGGTAGCTACTCCTTCCAAACCTCGGTCCTATATTCTCAATTACTTCCTGCATCGGCTAATCCCGTCTTGCTACGTCGATAAAGAGGATTCCTTGCATTTCAAGAAGAAGCTTCTCACGAGCGACTGGGCTATTCGTGTCATAGTAGCATTGTGCTCTAAGACTGGCGAACAGGCCTTCACGCGGGTTGGTCAACGAAATACATCGCAGAGCCCAATCGTTGATTTGGACACTGAGCCTGAGTTAACATTTGTGCGTCGCTTCGTACTTGAACATGCCATCAAGTCTTACAAGGATGCGATTTCATCCACGGAGCCGCTGCAGATGAAGTATAGTCGGCTTCTTTGCCTCGCTGACACCTTCAATCGTCTTCTGACAAAACCTGCAGTCCCCGAGGGTTCTGCTGGTTCTCACAACAATTCATATAAGGTTCTTGGTCGCATGATGTTTGAAAAGAACATGACGGCAATATTGACATCCTCTCTGGTCGACATAGACCTCTCATACCCTGGATCGAAGAGAGTGATCAAGTTTATTTTGAGACCCCTTCAGGAACTCACAACTCTCGCCTCACAACTTAGTTTGACCAATCCCGAGCTTCTGACACCCGCTGTCGGTAGTATGCCAGACCATGACATTTCTTCTGCATCTTCTGTCTCTGATGTTGACGATGATAGAGAGGAAACTCCAGACTTATTCCGCAACTCTGCTTTAGGAATGCTTGATCCTAATCGTGACCCGGAGTCCGATTCTGAGTCCGACGACGAAGATGAGGATGAGGAGATGTATGATGAGGAGTATGAGGACGACATGGAGTATGATAACGAAATGGTCGCTGGTGGAAACGATGATGAGGCCGTTAGTGATGAAGATGTTGATGACGAAATGACCGCAGATGGTCCAATCGAAGGTCTTCCGGGCGATGTGCCAATGGATATTGAGTTTGTGGTGAATGATCCTCATATGGACATTGATTCTGATGAAGACGATGAGGATGAAGAGGAAGAAGATTCCGACGATGACGAGGAGGAGGATGGAGAGGATTTCATGATCGAAGAAGACGACGCCGGGGAACTAAACGGAGATGATGAGAACGACAGCCTCAACGAGGGTCTTGGTGAGGATGAAGGTGAATGGGAAGATGAAGGCGACGAAGACCAAGAAGACGGCGCGAGCGACGATCAAAATGGAGCGGAAGAAATGAACTTCGACGGAGACGACATTCCTCTAGCCGGTCATGGTAACGGAGGCACTCCTGCGGTTCTCAGCAGCCTTCTCAGAGTTCTTGAGGACCATGACATGGACGGTCCCATCGGCATGGCACCCAATATCCCCCCCGAGCTCATAGTCCCTGCGTCTGGATCTGGCGACCCCGGCGACGAGGACGATGAGGACGAGGACGAGGATGAAGGTGAGGAGATGGATGAGAATGATGATTTGGACCAGTTCGACTTCGATCATTTCCTCGCAGGAGGCGGAGATGACCTTCTTGACCAGGGAGATGGTTTGGTTTGGAATGAGTTCCCGTCTTTCGTTCGTCGACATCGCCCTATGCGTGGCACGGGGGGCCATATCTCTAGTTTCATCGGTCGACGTCTCGGCCATGCAGACGAAATGCATCACATCAATCGTGCTGCTAGACATGGTCAACATGGCAGGCCTGGTGGTGATGATGGCACTAATCCGTTATTACGCCGGCCTCCAGCAGACCACATTCGTCCTCAGCGGGAGGGATTGGTCCGCCCTGGTTTTTTGCCTCCTGGACTTGGGAACATTCAGGAGCTTCCGGGCTTCCCTGGCATTGGGACAACTTTCCAGACCGTTATCCGCAACGGTGACATTTCTCCTCCACATGGATCTCTCCTTGACACTCTGGTTCAAGCTTTCAGTCGTGATGAAAGTGCCCGGCCCATTTTCAGCTTCGCTGGAACCCCGGATGACCTACGTCAAGCTCTTTCGAGGCCTACCATCTCTGGATTCGGCCATCGCCACCATTCTCGTGAGGACAGTCCGCGCGCTGCTCATTTCATTCCAGCGACAACAATAACAAGATGGCAAGAAGAGTCGCGAATCCTGTTTGGCAGCACATCTGTTGACAAGATGCAACGTGTTCAGATTCTCATCATGTCAGTTCTTGTACCTCCAGCTCAAGAAGAGGAGAAAGAAAGGCGCCGAAAGCGTGAGGAAGAGCAGAAGGCTGAGCGAGAGGAACAAGAAAAGCTTAGAATTGAATCAGAACGTCTCAAGAAGGAAGCAGAAGCGTTGGAGGCAGCTGCTAAGGCAGAGACAGAACGCCTTCGACAAGAAGCCGAAGCCGAAGCAGCGGCCAGGACTCATGAAAACAGTTCTGGTCACCATAATGATGGCGATACAGAGCCAATGGAAGACGTACAAGGTGCTGAGGACAACATCACGCGAGGTGAAAATGCCGCACCGACCGACGACACTGATGCAGAGACACAACCTCGTATCTATACCACGATTCGCGGTCGTCAACTTGACATAACTGGCCTTTCAATCGATATTGAATATCTTGAGGCCCTCCCTGAAGAACTGAGGGAAGAGGTCATCATGCAACAATATGCAACTCGACGTGAGGAAGCACGCCAGGATGGCAACAATGAACCAAGTGGGATTGACCCAGATTTTCTCAATGCGCTGCCCGATGACATTAGAGAAGAAATTCAACAGCAGGAAGCGCATGCTCAACGCAGACGAGAGCGTGAAGCAGCCCGCCGACAAGCTGCAAACTCCACTGGGCCAGCGCAAGCAGAAGAAATGGATAATGATAACTTCCTGGCAACTTTGGATCCCAACTTTAGGCGTGTTATCCTTGCCGAACAACCGCCCGAGGTCTTACGCCAACTTGATCCACGACATGCTGCCGAAGGTCGTGCCCACGCGAGACGCTATCTACAATATTCTGTGGGTGGAGATCGTGACCCCCGAGGCGAGCGTGTCTCTAATGACGCCCCTCAGCGTGATGGCAAGCGACAGGTCATCCAGATGGTTGACAAAGCCGGCGTCGCCACTCTTCTCCGACTCATGTTTCTGCAACAACAAGGATCATTGCGAGCCAACTTATGGCAGATACTGCGCAATATCTGTGGAAACCGACAGACTCGATTTGAGGTCATTAATCTCCTCCTAGTGGTTCTCAAAGAAGGAAGCACTGATGTTAGCGCTGTTGAGCGTAGCCTGGCCAACTTGTCGCTCCGTGCCAAAGCGACTGTGGGACAGAAGACTCCGCAGCCACTGAGACGGACTCTTTCAATGCAACCCAGTGGAGGATTGAGCGAAGAAATCACCCCACTGATTGTTATTCAACAATGCCTCTCTGCCCTGAAGCAATTATCATCAGGCGGGATACATATTCGAAGTATCTTCCTTCGAGAGGTCGACGTTAATCCTGCGAGCAAGAAGGCTAAGGGCAAAGCAAAAGAAGTCCGGACAGCCAAGTATCCTATCAACGACCTCATTGGCCTTCTGGACCGTAAGTTGATTGTCGAGAGCTCATTCTGTCTTCAGCTCCTCGCAGAGCTTCTCGCCGCTGTCACATCTCCACTTCCAACCCTTCTGAGAAAAGACAAAGACAAAGAGCTCGATGAAAAGAAACAGTCTGAGGTCGATCCAGGCAACGCAGAATCTCATGACCATTCATCTCCGGGTACAGCCGAGACGGGTGCTCCATCACGGATATCTATCGCAGAGCACGGCGAGGAAATTGGAGATGCTCCCGCCCCTTCAGCTCCCACCAATGCTAGTACTATTGCAAACGAAGGAGAAACCTCTGTGAAGCCGAGTTCGAATAATGAAGAATCGACTTCCGAAGAGATCAAGTCCAAGAAAACTTTCGACCCACCAGAAATTTTCAAACACAACCTGGAGCTCGTCGTTAGCATCTTCGTTGCTCCAGAATGCAACAGTGATACTTTCCATTCGACTTTGGAGACGTTGTCAAGTCTTTCGTGGATCCCGGGCACCGCTGCAACCTTCAGCAAGGAACTGATCAACCATGTCAAATCGCTTTCTCAATCAATCTGTGTTGACCTGGATGACCTTATTCCACAGTTGCGAGAGGCGCAATTAAGCACAGACTTGCACGCGATCTCTGCTTCCAAGTTTTCTCATGGAGGTTCTGATCAAGTCAAACTCTTGCGGGTCCTTCAGGCGTTAGACTACCTGTCCGCTCCTAAGAAGGACAATGAGGAATCAGAGGAGAATCCGGTGATCAAGAGTATTCTCACCTCTTCATATGAGAGCCTCACTCTTGGCCCCTTGTGGGCCAAGCTTAGTGACTGTCTGACAATAGTTCGCGAGAAGGACAATATCATCAGCTTTGCAAACATCCTCCTGCCATTGATAGAATCATTGATGGTTGTTTGCAAGAACACATCTCTCAAAGATTCTGTTCTGGCCAGGCAAGTCAGAGAGCAAGCACCAAGTAGCCCAGTTCCGGAGGCCATGGATGGTCTGGAAGAGCTCTTCTTCATTTTTACCACCGAACATCGCAAGATTTTGAACGATATTATCAGACAATCACCAAAGTTGATGCAAGGCAATGGTAGCTTTAGTCTACTTGTCAAGAACCCCAAAGTACTCGACTTCGACAACAAGCGTGCATATTTCACGAAGCAGATCCACTCCCGTCTCCATCAGCAACGACATATCCAGCCACCCCTACAGCTGAACGTCCGTCGCGACCAAGTATTCTTGGATTCGTACAAAGCTCTCTACTACAAGTCTGCTGAAGAAATGAAATATGGCAAGCTTAACATTCGGTTCAATGGCGAAGAAGGCGTTGATGCCGGCGGTGTCACTCGAGAATGGTTCCAAGTTCTCGCTCGTGGTATGTTCAATCCAGATTGGGCATTGTGGCAACCCGTCGCTGCTGATCGGACCACCTTCCATCCCAATCCACTGAGTTGGATCAATGGCGAGCACCTTCTATATTTCAAATTCATAGGCCGTATCATCGGCAAAGCACTGCATGAAGGCCGTGTGCTTGATGCTCACTTCAGTCGCGCGGTCTACAAGCGCCTGCTCGGAAAAGAGCCAAATTTGAAAGATCTTGAATCCATGGATCTCGATTACTACAAGAGTCTACTGTGGATTCTTGAAAATGACATCACTGATGTGATCAGCGAAGACTTCTCTGTTATTGAGGAACAATTTGGAGAAGAAAAGGTGGTTGATTTGATCCCGAATGGAAGGAACATTCCTGTCACAGATGAAAACAAGCGCGAGTACGTTAACGCCCAAGTCCGCTACCGTCTCACGACATCAGTACGAGAACAACTCGGGGATTTTGTACGAGGCTTCCACGACATCATCCCGGCTGAGCTTGTTGCCATTTTCGACGAACAGGAGCTGGAGTTGCTCATCTCTGGCCTCCCTGAAATTGATGTCGATGACTGGAAAGCTAATACTGAATATCACAATTACACGGCCAACAGCCCTCAAGTGACCTGGTTTTGGCGGATTGTGAGGGGCATGAGCAACGAAGAAAAGGCCAAATTGCTCCAATTCGTCACCGGTACCAGTAAGGTTCCGCTCAACGGTTTCAAAGACCTTGAGGGCATGCAAGGCAACACCTTGTTCAGTATTCATAAGTAAGTTCGGTTTCCTGCCCGCCTTCGAGAAAGTACTAACCCAGCTTGAACAGGGACCCAAGTCAGTCGCGTCTTCCAACCAGCCATACCTGCTTCAATCAGCTTGATTTGCCCTCTTACGACGACTACGACACCCTCAAGAGTAATTTGATGACGGCCATCAATCTCGGTGCAGACTATTTCGGATTTGCTTGATAGCCTTGGGCCCGTGCATGTGGCAATGAAAGTGCATTACCAACAAGTCCAATGCTAGGAATTCACAACCGCATGAGTACGGCGTTTTTCTTTGATTAAGCGAGCCCAGCATCTCTCCCGAAAGAGAGACAACAATAACATGCATTTACAGGGAGTGGGCAATGGGATTTTGCAATGGGCTGTATCAAAAAGGAGAAGCGAAAATGCGACCACAGGAACGGGACAAAGAGCATCCATGGATGTAATAGTGTTGAGAGGGTGGATACCATGTATTTGAGCTCAGGAAGAGAAGTGCAGGTCTTGAACTGGCGCCAATACCCCGGTTTATCATTTCTCGTAGATAGATTAGCTTGTCAAATAGACCACGCATTATGCGCAGGCAAGACTTCCTTCCTATTGCCAGATTGATCCTATGTCCGTAAGAACCAATGTCGACAACCGAGGGCCTCTTTACCATTTGTATTTCATCCACGTGACTTTCGATCATCTCGCCTAAGTACGCCAAGGCTGATCGGTGCCAAGTTAGCCGATTCCTTTTTCGGCCACACCACATTTCCACATCCACACTGGAACTTTTCACATCTCTTGCACTGGCCCTTTCTCCAACCTTGTTCTGTTCAGCTTCAAAACACTCTCTGTTCTGGTCAAGTCCTTCCTCCCTGCAACCATGGTAAGCTAAGATCGCTATCACCAAGTCGTATACCGAGTCCTGTGCGAGAGAAATGCTGCCTTAAAAAGCAATGTTTCAACTGCAACAGTGACAAACTCCGCTGGCCAGAAGACTCGCGGGTTACTCATGGGATCTGAACTCTTGATTGAGAACTCAGCCAACAACATGAATTACCCGCAGGTTCTACTGTGTATGGTGATGAACTAGGCTGGAGACATCGTTGAGACCAGAGGAGAAATCTTCTTGTCTGATCGTCGTCGTCCCTAGAGTCGAGAGAAATTGATCAGATTTGCTGATGATTTTCTCTTCTCAATGATAGCCACCCAAAGGAAAGAAGCCCGCTCCTGCCCCCTTCCCTCAGGGAAAGGCCGGCTCTGCCAAGAAGGCAGCAAAAGTGAGTGTCTTTTTCTAGAGCTTTGTAGCGCACGACACCTCGACCGAGGTTTACTAACTTGGGTGCACAGAACCCCCTCCTCGAGAAGCGATCTCGAAACTTCGGCATCGGTCAGGATGTCCAGCCTCCCCGCAACCTCTCTCGTATGGTCAAGTAAGCTATTGACTCAACTTGATGCACTGCATCTTGAGTCGCACATTCTAACGAGACCCTTCCTCTTGACAGATGGCCAGAATATGTCCGCCTGCAACGCCAGAAGAAGATCCTCAACATGCGCCTGAAGGTGCCACCAGCGATTGCCCAATTCCAACACACCCTCGACCGCAACACCGCCGCACAAACCTTTAAACTCCTCAACAAGTACCGACCAGAAACCAAGGTCCAGAAGAAGGAGCGACTCCACGCCGAGGCCACCGCCGTTGAGCAAGGAAAGAAGAAGGAGGATGCGAGCAAGGTACGTACACACATGTGCAGACATCTCTGCATCAACACCTCTCAAGCCGCTTTGATCATTCAACTGACACGATCCATTTGTACACAAAATAGAAGCCTTACGTCGTCAAATACGGCCTGAACCACGTTGTGGGACTGATCGAGAACAAGAAGGCGTCACTCGTCCTGATCCCCAACGATGTGGACCCGATCGAGCTTGTGGTTTTCCTTCCCGCTCTGTGCCGCAAGATGGGTGTCCCTTATGCCATCATCAAGGGCAAGGCTCGCTTGGGCACGGTCGTTCACAAGAAGACCGCCGCCGTAGTCGCTCTCACCGAGGTCAAGGGCGAGGACAAGTCCGAGCTCAGCAAACTTGTCTCCGCCATCAATGACGGCTATACCAGCAAGCACGAGGAGAGCCGTCGCCACTGGGGCGGTGGTATCATGGGCAGCAAGGCCGTCGCGAGACAGGAAAAGAAGAGAAAGGCCCTCGAGAGCGCCATCAAGATCTAAACGTCTTGCTTCGTATTCCGTGTACAACCTTTTCTCCCTCCCCTTCTTTCTTGCCCGCCTGCCTCTCTACATGTCCTCCACCACTACTCTGCCAGCCGGGCTCTGCTCTACACACCCTCTCCACTCGCGGGGGGAGGGTCTTTTGTCTCAACCGAAAAGTTAGATGAAACCAATTGATCGGGTAGGACGGGTCCTGCGCACCTCGCAATGGTACTATCCAGCCCGTCATGGGCCATCTCTTATTTCGGCCACCACCACACGAACAACCACATCAAGCGTGCTCCAGCACGAAAAGGATTCGAACAGCTGTGCCCCGCAAGCAATGGGCTCGTGGGAAGACAATCGAGTGTTGTCCAACTACTCACTGCCTAGTTAGATAGCACAAAGTAGTCTTCTCGTGACGCAAGGTACTAACTCAACCCAGTTAGATGCAATCCAGGAAACGAAATGAAATGAGAAATAAAAGATTCCCAAAAAGCCATTTGAACCGACGTGATCCTTCATACTACAAGATCCATTCGTGTCTTTGCTCGTCGTCCCCCTCCCTTGTCTTCCATCTCTGTTCCCAGTGAGTGACAATCCTGTTGGTTCCACTCTTGGTTCTTCGTCCAGTTACCAAGTAATTGCATCTCTGGTAAAATGTATCGACAAGGTCGAAGACCAACGTAAAGATCGTGTGCAACGATATGCGGATTAAGTTATGTATGTGTCACAGTTCTCAGTGGGATGTGCATGTGTATGTACATGCCGGCGAATGGTTTGGTGGTCATCTCGTTATCATTTCCAAATATACATTATTCCTCTCGCTCTCTCGCTGTGCTTTGTGTAGTCTATGCTTTTCTGACTTCTCTTCGCCGTGTAGGACCCAGCCCCTCTGCGGGTAGGCCAAAAAAAGGTCTCGATAGCCCTGCAAAAGAGCTCAAAAGTGACTGACAATCAGCACCGGCTCAAGACTGATTTCGCCAGCCCGTCCAACCCCAAAACGCGCACCCAAGACAACGAATCCACTCCCCATAAACAGACGGGTATCAAGAAGATGAGGTGAAACTCAACCAGTTTCGCCGCCAACAACGCCTGTCGCTTTGCAATATCGCTATTGATCGGCCGTTTGACAATCTTTGGTGATGTTATTATACATCTGACCAACTACGTATCATGCCAAACGCGAATGAATTGGCACGTTGACCTCGCCTCGGAATCGCAAGCCCGATCGATCATTGAACTGAAAGCACCCAAGGATGAGAAGGATGGATCATCGAGCTAGTTAGAATGAGGCCGTCCATCGAAGAGTTTCCTTCAAGGTCGAGTTAAGCCTTGCCGAGCCTGGATTGCATTTGTTAGCTTCGTTGACCTCACAGGGATCATGAACACAACGTACCTTCATGGCCTCGATTCTGGCCTTCAACTGGCTGGTCACTTCAGCAGCTCTCTTCCAATTCTCTTCCGTCTTTGGTTCTCTAGACCCAGTATCACTCTGCTCTCGACTTCCGAGGTTTGGTCTTTGAGGGCTGCTTCTTCCACTGCCATTTGCCATGCTATTGACGGGAGGGCTTATCTTTCTCCTTGAAGCAAGCATGTCAAGGCCATTGTTTTCCTTCTCTTCGCTCGGGCTGAGATCTACGCGGTTGGACGTGTAGGTACTTTGTGGCCGCTGCTTCGCAGTCGCTGGTCGGGTGCTTTGTGAACTTGCAGTGCTTCCAGTCCTCTGTAGTGTGCTTTGTGGTCGGGAAGAGTGTATGTTGCCATTTGGCGGGTACCTAGTCATCGCTTGGTCTTCATAGATGCCTCCACTATCACTTACAACATCATCAGCGCCTCTACCGCGCATCAAGTCCTCTCTTTCTCTTCCAAGGCTTTCTCGGCCCAATCTCGACAATTCGCGCTTGTATCGTTCCCCCTCCTTACGGACGGTCTCTATCTCAGCCTTGAGAACGTCACATTCACCCCTAGCTCGAACCAATTGCGTCTCCTTGGCTTTTATTTGAAGCACGTCACGCGTATGGTCCTCTATGAGCTGCGCGTTCTGATTTTGAAGTTCTGAGATCTCGGCGGTCAGTTTTGCATTGTTTCCCTTGAGGCTATCTGTCAGTGCCGAAAGGCGGTCCCTGTCAGCCCGCAACTCCTCCAGCTCCGCTCTCTCTATTGCACTCAGGCCGCTGGACATCGAACGAGCAGAGGGTGGTGACAGAGGTGCAGCTGCTGGCCTCGCCAGTGAACGGCCGGCAAGTCCACCCCTCGCAACACCGAATTTCGACGGCGAAGGTGCAGGTGCCTCTTCGTCGCCGTCGTTGCTCATGGGTGGGGAGATGACTCTTCTTTGCGGGCTCGCAATGCCACTAGGAATGCCGCCTGCTGCAGGTTTCTTCAAACCACCAAGTTTCAGGGCAGATGGCTGAGCCAAACCCGGACGCTTTGGAAGGGTTTTTGCAGTAGGTTTGGGTTGAAGAGGAGTGGCATGTTCGACAGGTGGAGGAGGTGCTTGAGGTGCCTTTTTAGCTACGGGTTTCTTAGAGCCCCCGAGGACCTTCTTGCCGACGGCAGAAGCTGCTTTGGCAGGTGGTGGGGCCGCTTTGGGTTTCTCCTTTGCCTTGACCTCAGCAGTGTCAAAGAATTCCTTTATCTTTGCTTTTCGAATATCGTCCAAGCCATCAAGATAGGGATTCATTGCACGGTCTCCGATGATTTTCATCAGAATCCCAAGAATCTCCGCACCTCCGGCCCTCAGGGGTTCGGTTGATTCGGTCAGGAGCTTGGTTGCCGCATCGGCGATAGATTTTTGTTCTGGTTTGGAAGGAACGTCACGAGTGGTGCGGAGGCATCTGACTAGGAATTTGATTGATTCAAGCTTGACCTGAGGGTTTTTGTTGGAGAGAAACCCAAGAGTCTCTTCCAGACAGTCCGTAAGAGAGGTGGCAGAGAAGACTGCATCGAGTGCAGCACCAAGGGCGTCGGCAACCGACTGTTTCTTCTCCTTCAGCCGCTCCATCATGGGCCCTTGGATGGTTGAGCGGTACCTGGTGAAGGGTTTCCTCAAACCGGTGGCCAACTTTTCGGTACAATTTGCGGCTACGGTGACAACAGCAATATTTGCGTCCTTCATGCATTTTGCAAATGCTCGTACTAATTCATCATAAGAACCCTCCTTGACCCTGGGAGTGTTTAAGATGTTGAAGAGGTTATCGAGGGCGTCCTTTCGATCTTTCCATTTTGAAGAAGCGACCAACTCGTAAAAATCTGCGGGGATCTTGGAAATGACATCAACTGGTTCGGCTAGATCAAAGGCATTGACCTGAACCTCTTCCTCCTCTTCTTCATGGGCGACGACTTCATCAATATAACCGTCAGCAGCAGCAGGGGGCGGGGCGGTTGCTAGAGCAGCTTGTTGTGTACGGGTTAGACGCTCCTGTTTAGGCGAAGGCTCCTCCTTGACCTTCTCGAAGAGTTTTTCAAGATCTTGCTGCTGAACGGGCTTCAATTCATTCCAGAAGACGGGCTTCATTGCTTCCTTTAGCCATCGATAGAGTTCCACTGTAAGATTTTGGGCTTCGGCACGGACATTCTTGTCCGCGTGGCCAAAGACTTTGGGTAATGCTTTGAGAACGGGTTTGGGTTCGACGAGTTTGATTCCAAAATTATGGAAAATGGCAGTGATGGCATTGAGTGTGGCGGCAATGATCTTTGGCTGCTTGTTTGACAGTGCAGGAAGTAAGTCTTCAATGACGGGATCAGACTTGTCGAGTTCAACATAGAGCAACAGGGCTTCGAGAGCGCTTGCTTTGGCGGCGGGTCTGGTAGAAGCCAACCCCTTCTCGTAAATGGCTTGGAGGGTATGTGAACGGGATCTGGTGGCGGCTTGTTGACCACCATATTTTAGAAAGGCGCACAGAGCAGCGAGGCCTTCCTGCTGCGCAGCAACATTGGAATCGGCGGCAGCGCCTTTCCAAAGATTAGGATCCTGAAGAAATGGTCGGAAGGCGGGGTGTGACTCGTCGGGAGTGAGTTCAAACTCTTTGGCGGCGGCTTCGTAGCCCTCCTTCCTCACTTTCCAGTTCTTATGGAGGAATCTTTCGGGCAAGGGGAGTTTAGAGAAATCTTCTTCCTGGCCGTCGGCCATAATTGAAGGAGAGAAGATGCGATATAGAGCGAGAAATTTGGAGGAAGGTCTGGATTTCCTGACGGGCGGACGGGCGAGTGGACTGTCGGAGAACATCAGTTAGTGGTTGACATTCAGCAGAATGGAAGCAAGGGATAATAGCCATAGTGAACAGCAAGGACAGTCAGAGACAGAGACAGAGAGAGAGACGTACGATCAGAGTTGAGGTGCCTGAACACAATCCTGATACCTTGTTCGACACCTTGCAGTTGCGACAGGCGCGCGTGATGGGGAGCAGACGCGACAGGAGGAAGTCGCTACCGTCAGCAGCCGTTAATCGTTAGTTGCAGGGAGGAACTGGGGGTGAACGAGGAGGTGAAAGAGGAGATGCGACACGTCAAGACAGGGTCAGATCTGGCGCAATTGAGAATTGCGGTGGATAGGGACCAGCAAGCAGGAATACCTAGTTACCCATGGTAGTTGGCATCCGGTGAAGTGGGCGAGTGGAGAACCAAATTGTTTGTGGTGCTACGTGCTGTGGTTTGCTCTGTATTGGATGTGTACGGGTCTCCGTATTCGTTCAGAGTACACATCATCGCGCCCACATTCGGTTGTACCGACAACACCCCCGAGACCCCAGCATAAGGTATCTCGTATTTACATTACTGTATGCATCTATACACAGTACACTCTGCGTTTTGTCCATGCAACAGCCAAATCATCTCAATCCAAGACCCTCTCCCCTTCGACATATTGCACTTTTTCCCCCATTGCGCTGCAGAACGCCTGTGCTGAACAATTCCTCTACATCACCTTTCCTTCTTGAGGCGTGCTTTGTCTCATCATAAACCTCACTAGCCCCGCCCATAAATCTCCCATCCCAATTCATCCATCCGTCCAAAACCTCCTCTGTTTCGTCCTTAAGGTCTTCTTACGAGTACACATCTCTGGACACTTTAAAACCCTCGCGGCCCTATCTACTGTCGACCATTCGGTGCATGAGAGCCAAGTCTCCCAGTCCCGGGCATCAAGCCCATCCTGCCAAACATGGCCCAGCTTCTCACCTCCCGCCAGGCGGAGGAGTTGTAAGTTGGTTGCCTCGCAACCTGAACCGTTCCCGGCTGACAAAGTTGCAGGCACAAGTCGATCGTAGCTTACATGCTCTCTGCGGGCATGACCGAATCTGCTGCTGCCCTCCGCCGAGAATCAAACCTGGCCGACACTTTCGACGATGCCACCGCAAAGAAGTATGAGACTTTGTTGGAAAAGAAATGGACTTCGGTTGTCCGCCTGCAAAAAAGAATCCTCGACTTGGAGGCCAAAAACAACCTCCTCCAGCAGGAACTAGACTCAGCTACTCCGCTCTCCTCTAGCCGCAAGACTGACCCTGCCACATGGCTGCCTAAAGCCCCTGCAAGATATACACTGGAAGGACATCGAGATCCCGTCACCTCGGTCGCTTTCCACCCCGTCTTCTCCTCGCTTGCCTCTGCGTCCGAAGACTGCACCATCAAAATATGGGATTGGGAATTAGGCGAACTAGAAAGGACGCTGAAGGGCCATACCAAGGCTGTTCTCGATGTCGATTTTGGAGGCCCGAGAGGGGGCACGCTGCTGGCAAGCTGCAGTAGCGACCTGACCATTAAATTGTGGGATCCCAGTGACGAGTACAAGAACATCCGAACCTTGCCTGGACACGACCATTCAATCTCCTCCGTTCGTTTTATACCTTCTGGTGCTGCCGGTGCTCCACTTTCAGGCAATACTTTGGTCTCCGCTTCGAGAGACAAAACGCTGCGAATATGGGATGCCACTACCGGATACTGTCTAAAGACTCTAAAGGGCCATACAGACTGGGTGAGAGCCGTTACCCCTTCAATCGATGGCAGGTGGCTGCTAAGTGCAGGCAATGACCAAATTCCTCGCTTATGGGATGCCAGTTCTGGCGAGGTCAAAATTTCCTTTCTTGGCCACGAGCACTACCTAGAATGCGTAGCATTCGCTCCCAGTACTGCTTATACCCATCTGGCTGGCATAGCTGGTTACAAGAGGCCACCCCCGTCAAGCAGCAGTGGGGAATTCCTGGCGACTGGAGGTAGAGATAAGCTCATTAAGATATGGGACAACCGGGGGACCTGTCACAAAACACTGGTTGGACACGACAATTGGATTCGTGGCTTGGTTTTCCATCCCGGTGGAAGGTATCTGCTGTCCATTTCGGACGACAAAACAATTCGATGCTGGGACTTGTCGCAGGAATGCAAGTGTGTCAAGGTGGTTGACGATGCCCATCAACACTTTATTAGCGGTATTCGCTGGGCTCCTGATATTCCAGTTCAGCCCACGGCCAATGGCGAAACCAACAGCACAGCCCTGGCAGTGAAAAAGGAAGACAGTGGCGGGGGAGGCAAGATTCGGTGTGTCATTGCGACAGCCAGTGTCGATTTAAATGTTCGTGTCTTCGCTGGCTAGGTTTAGCCATCGACGGAGCCTTTGCTGAGCGATTGAATGATGGCTAGATTAAAAAAGGTAGATGAGTGTATGACTATGAATAATGAATCAAGATACCAGGTTGGCCGCCTTTAATCATATGCATTTGCTGAGTACCTGAAGCACCTTGGAATGTATGCACGGCATCTGTAGACTGTGTCTGATACCCCATGCTCAGGAGATCTTGGCATAGGTCGCGTCACCTCTTCCGCGCGACTTGCTATCAACTTTGTCAATTCTCCCTACGCAGCGAGCAAATATCAACTCTCACGCATGATACCAATGCTTAGAGACATTTCCAGTGCCACTCACCCCTCCACTCTAATCATGAAACCTGAGTCTTTATTCACAGCAGTAGACTGCAACTCAAATTAGCAACTGTCTCAAACACACCGGAGATCGTGGATTCCCGGCTGAATTAGAATTTCGCTCCCTTTATGATCCTTTCAATTCCATCTCCATGTCCCTCTTCAAGAGGGTCTCACCCTCATGGTGCTCATTACTGACAGCCTTTGAGTTCAATCGCATCTCTGGTCCACGGGATCATCATGGTTTTCGACCACCTGCCTTCGAGGCATGATCGGGGTATATGTCTGTCTATATCAACTGATCCTTTTGAAGAGCCCCATCCAGATACATGAACAACGATGATGCTGAATTAATGTTCGCCTCTGAAATGGACTCAGTCGAAGATGAAATGCAGCAAACATCCGCACTTGATTCCAGCCGATTCTGAATCAGACCAGATCATGTTAGGGTCCGGCAATTTCAGCTGAATAGCTCGCTCGCTCGCCCAGCAACAGAAGATGCAAGTCTCCAAACGTTCCTGGTGGCATGAACCATTCCCACTTGGTCATACGCCGCAACTTCGCATTCTTTGTTCGGGCTCTGCATTCCTGATGTTATTGTTTCAGGTGCACGGTGATTGGGACCGCGTTTTCCCGCGTTGGGACCTATTGAGAACAAAGCAAACCATGCACACCTTGCTTTCCAGCCTCGCTGACCTACGCTCATCGTCACTGTACCTGCAAAAGGAGTCACACCAAAGGGACAAAGCAGAGGAGCATCAAATAGATGGGTAAGCGAACGGGTGGACGTATGTGTGTATGTGCTTCAAAGCGCTCCCGCCCTCCTATCCCTTTACAAAGGACCAGTGATGCCCGCTCCATCTTCAAGCCCAAGAATTTCACATAGTGGTGGGCTCAAAGACTTCCTTTCTTCGTTCAAGCTATGACTCCTTCCATGCAGGAGCACCCTCCCCCTCCGCCTGCATTGCATCGGCGTTTGCCCAATCCTGTTGCTAACCATTCCACCCCGGCCTTACACAGAACTTCTTCGCTTTCGCAACATCACTTATTCAATGGTCCAGCTCCGCCTCCCCCCCCTCCCCATCATCAGAATGGCTGCGAAGATAATGCTGCTGTTGCCAGGAGGAACACCATCCACTTTCCCCAGCAACACCTCTCTGAGACTTCTTCCTCCAGTTCTAGAGCAGACCTCGCTTGCCGATCCATGTCTGTTACTGGTCACCATGCTTCTGCAGACGGCCCCCCTGAAATAGTTCCTCCTCCTCATGCTGGGGAGATGCTAGATCAGCAGTCATCACAGTATAACCACGGCTGTGATGCCCCCACTCCCAGGGAACATGTATGTCTGTGTCCACCAGACCCTAAAATCCCGAGACCACGAAACTGTAAGAATTTGTTTACTTCAATCTCCCTCTTCTCGTACACTGAGCGGGTCGTCGCTCGCCTTTTGTTGTGAAAAACTGTCGATTGTCCGTTTGCGGCTAACTTTTTGATTTTCGACAGCGTTCATTCTCTTCCGCCAGCACCAACAATCAAGCATTATTGCCCAGAACCCCGGAATCCCCAATCCGGAGGTATCAAAGATCATCGGAGAACAATGGCGACACCTGTCCACCAAGGCGAAAGAGGAGTGGAATATGCTCGCGGAGGTATGTAAAACAGATGTTCAAATCATTTCTCGTTGACAAAGACCCCTTGTCCACTGACTCAACTGTTCATGTAGGCAGAGAAAGCCCGTCATCAAGAACAATATCCAGGCTATCGCTACCACCCTCGCAGAAGTGGAAGAGTTAGCAATCAACCATCTGCCTCTGGTCCATCATCTGCTGAATCACAGGAACCTTGTGCCAAGTGTGGTGGAAAACCAATACTGAATTCCGCCTATAGCACACAGCTGCCTAATCCAAAAAGTACGCAACAGAGCATGGCTACGCAAATCCCAGGAAAGCGTGGCTACGTCGTGAGTGGTCCGCATGGTCAGATAATCCATGGCCAGCCGACAGTGTCTCCTGAACATCTTGCACAGCAGAAATCGTTTGTCGAAGCATATCCGTTCTCCAGAGTTGATCCTAGATTGATCTATGCCGTTCCACCAACTGCTCAACGGGCACCGCCTTCAGATTCACAGGATCCCAAGAGGCGTCGCTACAATAACAATGGCGTGTACGTCCCAGCAGGCCAACCTTACCCTGAGCCCACCTATTCCTATCCTCATTCTCCCATGAACAATGCTTATACCCGTGGGGAGGCGATGCAGCAACTTCATGCTCAACAACTCCCTGCCCAGCGGATACACGGAATGCAGCCAACAAAAGCAGCAATCATGTCTCCCCCTCGTGGAGTATATCCACATCCACCACAACTGCAACCAGTGCGCCCGCCCCATCCACACCAACGTGCCCGGTCAACAGTTGCTCTTCCGCCTATAGAAACAGTGCTGTCTCATGCTCCTATCAAGGCATCATCAACATCATCTCAGAGATCAGGCGTTGAAGCGATGATCATGTCAATTCCAGTGTTGAACAAAATCAAAGTCCTGTCTCAAATTTCCGGACCCCTCCCAACCCCTGGTCTGACCTCGCCGAAACCACAAGTTCGCGGTGCCATCATTGCTATCGAAGGCATGGATGCCAGTAGCGTCAACAGTATCACCATTTCTCTCGCCGATCAGCTTGGAAGGGAAGGCAACTTCGCCGTGAAAACCTTTGATGGTCCAGACCCTTATACGCTTGTCCGCGAGGCAAGAAGCGGCGTCCACGGTCGTGGTGGAAATATCACAACCGAGTCGTACCTCAAGATGTTGAGTGAATGGCACAAGACCAGCAAAGAGATAGTGGAGTATATAACCACACGCCCTCAAGGACAGGCAGGTGATAAGGACACCCCTATTGCCCTTGATAGTCCCTTTATGGAGAGAACAACGACTCATTCTAATGGGGAAGCGGACGTTCCTCTATCGGCCATCTCTCCCAAGACGATCTACAAGGCAGCAGAATTGTCGATTGCCTCACCACCATCAATAAAGGGACGAAGCCAGAGTACTCCAGGAGAGAGACCGATTGCGGATGCAGCAAATCTTACTGTTAACAAAGATAGCAACAATCCCACTTCTATGGCCGGTCCCTTGATGTTTCCACGTCCAGTAAACTCATCCCGCATTCCACCAATGCCTACCCCCGCACACTCGGCAGCAATTGTTCCCGAACGTGAGGCTGAAACTCCACCTCAAGAGACACAAGGCCCTCAAGCCGATTCAGACAAGGGAAATGAAAATGCACCTGTGTCAGCCGCAAACAACAGTAACTCCGTCATCCCAATTGCCCTTGTGCCACACTTCCAACTCACCACCGTGGACGCCAGCTCGATCTCCATGCCCATCTCCGATGGCTTCAGCCCACCGGCACACTGGCAGTGGTTTGCCACGCTGTGGCGAGGCAGCGTAGGTCCAGACGTCACAATCGTGATCAAGAGCACAGAGGAGGATACGGGAGACGGCGCCAGTACGGTCGCAGCAGCAACGAGAACAGCAGCAGCAGCGGAAGCGGAAGCAGCCGGTGATGGAGGAGCTACCGACACCAACACCAGACCCGCAGGTCCCAGCACGATGTCTACAGCAACAGGTTCTGCGAAGCCCAGCGCCGCCAGTCAATTTCCTGGGGCCGCATCTACTCGCCAGCGAACCTCCGGTTCCACCGCCAGCGTCAGCAATGCGCCCTCGAGCTCTGGCGTCGAGATCAGGTTGAACGACTATCGGGCCGTCATCGTCAAGACTGGCATTTTCTCAACGGCGAATTCCGCCGAGGGTAGTGGTAACGCAAAACAAGTCAGCCCCAAGGAGCTTGAGTACTGGGAGAAAGCGAAGAGACGGATAGGCTTCGAGGTCGAGGAGTTTCTTAGAAAGTGACGCGAGTGTGTCTTGCTGACACTAATACTTCAGCTGTGTCTTGAGAGAGATATGTCCATTTTTGATGAGTGGAACTCCTACGGGAGGTGCAGGGTCCATGGAAGAGGTTTTGAGCATTCTTACAATAAGGCTGGTGAGCGGGCGTCGTATACTTTTCCACTTATTTCCAACGGGGTCAGACAGGCAGGGCCTGCCACCACCTGAGCTATGTATTGACTGGTTGATTTCTTCATGTACACTCTGTAAGCCAGCGCTAGGTCTAGTTTTCCGCCCTTCAAGTCATTGAAGCTGCCGGTTTGGAGGCTGTGGTTCCACCCACTTCAAGAACTTACGTTTCTCGGGCCAAAGAACATAAGTGTGTGCCTCGGGCATTTGAAGTATGGAAGAGCTGAGGACCGGCCAACGCTTGCCCTAGAGAGCTTGTTTTGCCTCCGCTCAAGATTCTGACTGCCGTTTCGACCAATGCCAGGGGAGGTTACTTGGTTTTATCCTAGTCTGTTGCCGCTTTCGAAATGTTGAATCAAATGACGAGGTTCCCTCTACCTTTTTCTCAGCCTTGTTGCACGAAGTCGATGGGAGGGAGGGGCCCGGTCGTCTTTCTTATTTCGTTCTGGTCAAAGGCCATCTGGATTGAGTGTCTGGAGGCTCCTTTTCCGGTTCCAACATGACTAGTTGGTCTCTAGTCCACTGCCCTTTTTATAAATACATGGGGTGTCCTTCGTAAGGGGCTTAAAGCAAAGATACAATTCACTCGTGATTCGATCTGACCGCAATTCCTCCGGAGAAAAGAGAAAGGAGGATGTTACTGCAATGAGCAAAAGCCCCTTGTCTGGAGCCAGCTTCGAGACAGACCCCAGGTTGTAATTATCGTCTAATGTGTTCCAGAAATCTTCAAGGAAGAGAGCCTGTGCAAAAGATGATGCCCCTATTACGGAAGCAGACGAGATGCGTCATTTGAAACGCCGTTGGAGGTGGAACAGCTTCGCGTATTGGGAACGGGGAAACGATGAAGGCCCAGTCCAAGTAGAGAGAGTTTCATTCGATGAATTCGCCTATGGGACAAGGCTAACATCGTTTCAGAGCAGCACAGTGGTCACGCAAGGCCGTTATATTCAGTATCGGGCCCTGATAGCCCTCGGTGCAGCTGAACGCATCACAATGGTGACTTGATTTCGACCCAGATCCCCATTTTTCAAAGACGACACCAGCCGAGCTCTATTCGCACTACTCCGAATATCGCTTTGAAAGATAGAGGAGCGTCTGCGTATGAAGCTCAAGGGTATTCTTGATCGAAAGCGGGCCAAGCGTCACCTCTAGACGAATGAAGTCAAGAAGTCCCTCACGGAACAGCGAGATTTCCTCGATGCTATGTTGGAAGAGACGGTCGACATCGACAAAGTAACGAAGGGTTATGTAGAAGGATGAATTTCACTTGCGGAGTGAGCAACTTTGGTGGAGATCGAAGCGTTTGAGTTGAAGAGCCGAGTTCTCGGAAATCCGTTTTGCTGAGGCCACTTATAGAGATCTACTGAACTCTGTTGAGTACCAGCCAGATGGTTTCAAAGAAATTCGATCATTGTATCCGGCCAAAGGCCTCAGCCCGGCTGTCCGACTATCCGATAAGGGCAGCCCCCACACCCCGTCTTCCACCTTTGTATTCAAAGTATGTTCTCGACTCCTTTCGCTTCATTCCGATGCCTCTAGTTTGTTCTTGACCACTTTCTCCTCATCTCTATGAGCCACTTGCAAATATTGCCAGGAGAAGCGCCCGCCTAAGACACGCTTCTCCATTTAAGATCCTATTGGGGCCTTTTCGTAAAGTAGCTCCCTAGCTTCGATAACGTGAACACCACAACAGTTTACGCCTTTGTTTGCTTTTGCACTATATCTTGTCTTATCCAGGCATTGTTTTTCCCTCCACTTCCAAAAGCCTCAGGCAAGGTGCCTGCCACAGAACGGTCATAAGAGGCGGGCAAGGGCCGTGGTTTGTGCTTGGAGGGGGTTTACCCCAAAGTGATGAATGTCGATTTATTATGTGTAATAGCTCTTTGAAAAGAGGGAGGCTGGTGTGTTCCATGTAGTATGATGTTTTTCTCCAAAGCTTTGAAATGGAAATCAGGAAAGGGACTGATTTGGTGGTATAGTCGTCAAGCTTGCGTCACCTGGTAGCTCTCTGATGCTTTGACGACACATAGCAAGACTCTCAGGGACAATCGGGGACAGTCAAGACCTTTAAGACTGATTGAGACCTTGTGACCGAATGGACAGAAGATCCTCCGTCCCAGCGAGCACTAGAAATGTCTCCGAACGTGCAAACGTGCAGACTTTGTGAGATGGACTCTAGGGTGCTTGTGAGCCTGGTGAGCGAAGGAGTAAGACATTGAGATACAAGGATTCTGACATCAGGCTCTATCCGCCTGTAGATCTTCTGTAGACACCACCTGTCTCTGACGTCCATGGCGGGCTATAGCCGTCTCTCCAGGCCCGTCGCACCGCACCAGCCGCGTCAGGACCTCCTCTTGCCTCCTCAGCCGCGCCCCTCGCGGCTCAGCAGGACACCTGCCTGGACGACGGCCAATAGGACGGCTCGATTGCGACTCTCGGCGGATTTGGACACTTGGCAGCCACAGATCCGTTGACTGGACTATTTAAGCCTCCTCCCGCTTTGTGTTCCTTTCAAAATTTCTTCTCACTTACCAAACACTCAATCTTTGAGTCATCTCAACTCTCGAACACGTATAGGATTTTATTCCGGAAGAGGAAGAGGGGGGCAAAGAGGACAGGCGTCTTTGCCTCATCCTCCTCTCCCTCTCCCTCCTCTTTGGCCTTCGGGCCTTCCTCCACCAAGAGGGGAGGAACGGCCTTTCCCCGAACCTCCTTCAACATGAGGGATGCTGGTGATCCCTCTTTCATATATTCAACAACAAACTGTCGTCTTTAGAGGGGAGACTCCCTCTGGAACTGAGTGCGGAGGGAGTCTCCCCTTCAATCTCCTTTTCATAGTATTCGTCAAACAAGGTCAGGGAGGGAGGCGCCTCAACTCTCGAACACAGGAGAGTGCCTCCCTCCCTGACACATTCATTACTGTTCAGTGAGCACTGAAGATATACCTTCCCATGGAGACCTCCAAGAAGCTGAAGTGGGTAGGCTCAACAAGTATCTGGTTGGCCATCCTGCATCTCGTCATGATGCCATGGAGGGATGTGCCAACGTTTGAGATGCTTGGAGAGAAGTGAGGTTTGATCAAGATATAGTGTTGTGGCCGCGACTGCCCATCTTTTCAAAACACACCAAGAACAAGACTCAGCAGCAACAAGACTCAGCAGCAACAAGACTCAGCAGCAACAAGACTCAGCAGCAACAAGACTCAGCAGCAACAAGACTCAGCAGCAACA